TGAAGGTTGGTTTTAAGTCAATGGCATGATCCCAGTAAGTGTGTTCTGGGAGTCGCTGCGACTTTCGTTCGCTGAAGATGTCCAAAAATTCGTGATGCGCCTTGGGAACTCTTTCCTTTAGATTGGTGACGATAATTTCGTCTTCCAGGTCTTGGTCGAAGCTGGCAAATCCTGACGGTTCGGGGGCCAGTTTCCGAATAACTGGGTCCCGGGTGGCCTGTTTTCCTGAGGGTTTGTCTGGGAGATCAGGTTCTCCCCCGTTTGGTGAAAGAGATGGCTTGTCTTGAGCCTTTCGTTTCTCTTCTGCGTATTTCCTTATGTCCTTTAGGAGCCATTTCCTTTTGAGGTATGCTCGTAGTTGGACGCCAAACGTTCCGCTGTGATCGCGGAGTCCTACATCTTCCGATAGTCTTCGGAGATGTTCGAGGCGCTGTTTTTCGCGCTCATTGATGCGTGGTTTGTGCCGTGGCTCCACGTCTGATAACCGCCTACTGTATGGCGGTTCTTCCCTTGCCCTAGTGAACCCATATGGTTGCTGGCATTTCTGGGGGCACCGATCGAAGTGCACTTCACGTCGCCTCCATTCGATGGAGGGATCGTGGTATTTCAGCTAATCTGTTCCTAGGATAAGGTCGTCTTTCCCTAGATTGGAGATAAACATCTGGACGCGCTCGGTATGCGTTCGTCCACAGATGTCCCGAATGGTGAGGTTCACATCCAAGGCGGATCGGATGAGACCTGCTTTATTGATGGTGTCATCGACATTCCGGACGCGAATGGGGTTGTTGAGTGTGTAGGTGGGGAAACGATGTCTTTTGACCCAAGTTTCGTTTACTATAACCCCTTCGCATGCCGAGTCGATGGTTGCCTTTGCTCCAGCGTTTTGACTCCTGTTTGATACTTTCACGTTCAGGCGTATGGGGGTGATGATACGGTCGTTCATTGCTCCGATACGAATACAAGTGCGGGCATCAAATTCGGGTCGTCCTTGACCTCTCTCCTTCGCTGGCGAGGGAGAGGTCAGGAAAAACGCTCCGCGTGTCCCAAGATCACTTCTCTTGCTTCATCTTCCCCTAGTTCTCCGAGTACTGCTCCGATTCGAGCAGAATGACTGACGCTTCCGTCTCCCCGTCGTCCGTTAGGTAACATAGCGCGTTGCCCATGGTTCGTTTGGGGTCGTCCGGATGAGGTAGAGTGAGGACGTTCCATCGAAGGACCAGGTTGTGGTACCCGCTGGTCGTTGCGAGGGACATCCTCTGTCTCCATTCCTCGATATATTCCCGCTTGGTTTCCCATAGCGGGTGCGTCGTCTTCTCCTTCCAAATCAACCGCGCGGTTTCTTCTCCCTGTCGTGCCCATGCGTCTCTTCGAGTTTCCTCGAGTCGGTTGAACGCCTCTGCGTTGTGACGGGCAGTCAGTATTCCAGTGTCCTGTTTTTCCGCAATGGTAACAGGCGCTTGGAGGCTTGCCGTCATATTTCCGTTTTTGGCTAAGGGCATTGCGCTTGCGTGTCGCGTCAATGTCCATGTCAACGACTTGGTTGTTCATTCTACGAGGGGCGTTTGTAGAATTGTAGCGGGGAGAGATTTGGTTATGAAAACGATTCAGATAATCGCTTCGAAAGGAGGTGGAGTTGGCTAGGATGGCTTTTTGAGCTGTTCTGGCTCGCAGCCGTCCATCTATTTCGCAGGCTGTATTGATCCAGTCCTGAATGGTATCCTTTGGTTGGACTTCCTTGTCGTAAATTTTGTCCATGACGCGCGGGTCTAAACCGCGTTGGAAGTAAGGGACCTGCTCTTTATCGGAGATGTCGGCATCGGCGGCGATGAGAATGAATTGGTTGGAGTATTCATCAACCGTCATTCGTCCTTGGGAGAAGGCCATGAGTGCGCTTCGCGCTTTGTCGGTCTTGCCCGTCTCCCTGAACTGTAATTTGAACTTGGCTAAAAAGTCCTTCCAGGTGCCTAGATCGGTAGGTGGATCTGCTCCTACTGATTTGAGGAGGAAGTTCTCCGCCCAAGCTCCTGCCGTGCCGTATCTCATGCATGAGAGCACAAGGGATATTTTGTCTTGATCGGTCTTGTACCGATCGGATTCTGCTGCGAAAAGAAGGAGGCATTGGAGCATGAATTTCTGGGATTCAATGCGGTCGCCTGTGTAATTGTCTGGGAGTTTGACTTTTCCTCTTCCGGGTTGTACTGTCGCGGAAGGGGTGTTTGTAGAAGTCGAAGCTTGTCCCGACATTTCGGCGAGTGGTTCGTTTCGGGTGTTGATCGGTGTTTGGTCTGGTGAGTCGGAGTCTGATTCCGAGGTTGTTTCCTCTTGCTCCGAGTCTTCGGGGATTACCGGCGCCGGTTCCCTGTATTGTGGGGCTAGTTCCCACTGAGCTTCTGTTTCGTTCCAAATATCCTCTTCTTCTGTTCCGTCTTCAAGGGTGAAGTAATAACGCCCGTTTCGGTATGAGCAGTTATCGTAATTCGGAGGGGCAGTTCCGTTATTGTCTTCGTAGACCCAGAAGTCCCCTTCGCGCCGGATAGGGCGATTGTTGTGACGGAGTTGATTATTGATACGTCTAGTGCCGGGTGGGTATTCCTGGCCTAGGTCTTGCTCCAGAGTGTGTGCAGTAACGCTTTCTCAATGGGGGTCTATATCCCCACTGAGCAAGGTTATGAGAGAGAGTGTGGCAGCAAGCTAGTGCGAGCAAGGTAGGGGCAGAAGAGTCTATTCTAGTGTTACGACTGCTCGTCGGTAACCCCAAGAGTAGGAGGTTCTTCCCTAGGTCACTCGTGGAGGATGTGTGGAACGGTGGTCTCGACCGTACGTGTAGCACAGGAGCCAGACGTGTATTGCGATGTAGCAATGAAAGTAGACAGTATGAAGACTGCCTAAGAACGAAGAGAATAGACTGAAGATCGTCAGCCTATTCTATGGGCCTTTTATACTACTTTGGGAAGTAGGGCGTGAGAATACCGAATATGTATCTGTAGGTATTCTCTAAGTCGTCTCTCTCAATAACGACTACTCTTGTGCTTCTCCGTTGGTCTCCTTCCGGCCAGGAGAGACTAGGAGGTTCATGCCCTGCGTGTGAGTAATTTATAAGGCGGCGCTCCATGCCCGCTAATACAAAGGCCCGTGATACTCGACCAATGATTGATGACCCATTGGGAGTGGATGACCAGGGTTAATATCTGTACCTTGGTGTACGCCTCAACCTGTGAGGCCGCGTGATATTTGTGATGATCGTATCGGAATAGACCGCCGTGTAGGCCCGATAGAACGTGATCATAACACCTTGTCTGTGGCTTCAAATGGAGTTCTACTTCACCTGATGCTGGGGACTTATCCCACTGGCCCCGACCGAGGGGTCTATAGGCTCACACGTCCTTTCCCTCATTTTCAAGTTGTACCCCTGACCTTTGGACTCTGCCACCCATCCTCTTGCACTTGACCCCCTATCATTGAATATGATCCTAGTGACTCTGATGCACTCCCCCTCATTAATCACCACCACACTCTCTAAAAGCACACAAACAATTGTCCGGTATGATGTTAAACTGCCAGGGCAGACGATGGTTCGAATCTGTTGGGCCGGTACTTACTACCACGATGAGAAGAGGGACTCAGTTTTAAGATGCAGTCCCTGCATATTTCTAATGAGGTGAGGTACCATGGCATCAGTACTCAAGGGCTATTGCACCATGGCTTGACAGTGGGCAGCAAGAATTGGTGCCCTAAGTATTATTTCCCTATGATTATAACAGACTTTATGCACATTGCTTATGTTTTTCTTGAACTCTTTTACTTACCGTCTCTGGCACTGACGGCCTAGAGGGGGGGGGTAATGTTATGAACCGCCTACTGTATCCTTCTTGCCTTTCCCACAATCCATATAAGGACACATAGGACCTTTCTCCCGACTATACCTCGCGTTCCTGATCCACCACTAGTTGGTCCATGCTCTTGCTTGTACATATTTATAACAGCTGTGGCGCAGTAGGGAAGCCTTAGGCTATCTACCTCTGTCCAATCTAGGAACTGCTGTTCATCAGTCTTCCCTGATTCTCAAGCATTAGTCTGATTAGCTTCACTTTTTCACATCTATTAACCCTGCCATCATCCTCCTTGTGTCTGTATTGATCTGTGGACTAGGAATCTCTCATCCCGAGCAGCCGTTCGTGACAGCCTTGTCATAGTGAACAGTGGCAGGGAAGTTCCAATGCCTTTGATGTCTGTAATCTGTCTGCACTAGTACCACTTGTCTTATTGATTTTCAGGGTTCAAGACAAATACAATATTTATTGATGATTATGACACTTAAATGCAAGTAAAAGAAATAAAATAAAAAATAGAGGTTTACCTCACTTTGGAAATAGGAGTGTCAAGACTCAAGATGTCAATCCAAAGAGCTTCACTGAATCCCACTAGTGTATACTGGCATGGTGCTCGTGGTGGTCAACAACCTAGTGATTACTGGTGTCAGATATCAAAGCTTTTCTCGAACCGATGTGAAACAGTCTCACAGGGGGGACAATGCACTATGTGGCGGCCCACCTTGGCGACGGACAAGATGCATTCTGGCAAAGTTAGTAGAGACTCGCTTTCCGGCAGCTTCCGCACGCCGAGGAACAATACCCGGTGCTCGGCTTGCGCAGCGATCGGGAAATGCCGAAGCCTCGACCGCCGCCGCACTATGCCACTACCATGCCTCGTTGCCGAAGCATGTCACTTCGAGAGAACTCGTAGATCACGAAATCCCTTGGAATTGGTTAAAATTTGAAGATCGGTTCGATACATGACAATGGTATTGCATAGGCATAAAAGTCATACATGGGCATAATTCATGGAGATCTATGTTTTCGAGATGCAGGTGTCGATGCTAAATGAGTTACTTCGGCCAGCCATAAGCAGCGCCTACCCCTTCGTTGTTTTGCGCGTTCGCAGAGTCTTGTGGTCCCATTGGTCGCTCCAAATTTCCGACGTGAGTGTACCAACTATTCGCCTCAAACTCGATACAGTGGGTCAAAGGTGCGCTGAGGCCGCGTACGGGCCACGCGCATGGTGCGTGGCAACGACCCCGATGGACTGGAAGGAGTGGGCATGCCAGAAGGTACATGATATGGACCAGTCGACGTTTGGGGGTAGTATACCAAGGGACGTATGCCGGACTGGTGTCCAGGATTGAATGTTGAAAGTTGGGTCCTGGGGATAGCAGAGGTGGCCTCGGCACGGAGCATTTGATGGATCGCGCTCGTACGGCGGCTTCCAAATTCGAGTCCCTTGTTGAAAGCGGCTAAGAGTAAAGCGCGATTGCTCGGAGCAATTGTTTGCCCGTTATGATTTAAGAGGTCTTCACACCATCGTTTGAAATCGGGGTCTTCATTGGGGCGCGCTGGAGTGACAGCAGCTTCAGGCGCTCTGAGTCTGGCACTTATGCGCAATAGATGTTCCGATCTCATTCGACTTAAGCATCCACATCTTGCGGCGTGTTCATGCGGATCTTCGCCGCTATGCGCACTGTGTATCGTTAGTGAGGATTCCGGCGCAACTAATGTCTGAGGCTCACCTCCACTGGCAAAGACGATATGGAGGACACTTCCACGGAGACGGCTGCACAACATGTCTAGATTTTCGACTCCGACTCCCTTCTGCGTTTGTGTAGTAGTTCACACGAGGGGTCTCATCTCTCTGTTTTGACGGCCCAAGCATTCAGATGTAAACCCAATAGCCAGACGATAAGAGACGTACCGGTAGTATGCCATTCGCATGGTCCGGTCCTTCCACCGAGCTAGCCACATTCTGTTGAAAGTGTCGACGGGTCTCGTCTCTCTGCTATGATGGCCCAAGCATTCAGATGAAAACCCGATAGCCAGACAATAATAAGATGCGTACCGGTGATATGTCATTCGCGTAGTACGGTCCTTCCACCAAGCAGGCCACATTCTGTCGAAAAGGTGGATGTATTTCTACATTGCGATTGTCGGGGCTGCAAATGGTATTAGCTAATGTACGATCATCAAAGAGAATTGGTGAGTGCACACCTGGGAATTGAACTCTGGATGATTTGGGGCTCTTCTTTACTAGGATCTGATTGTGTTTGTGTTTGATCGACCCCCTGATGTTCTGGGACAGCCGGCTGGGTCATGATGTACTGGGACGCATTGAGTTGATCCACTTCGTCTTCATCGTCTTCCACAACAGTGGATTGGGAAGCAGACAGGTCGGATTGGCTAGCATCGAACTCATCGTGCACTTCAAATACTTTACCTTCTGCTAGCAGAGTTGTAAAAGACGGCAACTCCTCGGGGGCTACCTGCACAGTGTCTGAGTCAGAGCGCGATGGAGTGCGTTTGCAAGGGATAGTGGATCCAGACGAGAGGATCTGGTGATCAAGAGTAGCGGACATTGTGATTGATACGTGAATCCTCAAGAACTGAGGGGGCTATTTAAGTGAGAGAGGCCGTCGCTAAGCCACAACAAAAACTCCCCGAGGCTCACCACATGTGCATCGCATAACCGAGGCCACATTTTACATCATGCCGCCACAAATCTTGGCTGTGGTACAAGATGCCACAACGGAAAAGAGGCGAACCGGCCCATACGCCAGCCATGTCGAGTTTGGGCTGTGCTTTGTTTATGATGGTGGCACACTGGTGGCGCACTCAGGCAACGCTTGTGCCATGATGCACTCACGTGATGCATGCATCCTAGATAGTGATACGTGAACCTGAAAGATATTTGAACATCTGCAGACACACGAAGCTAAGCACATGATACACAGTTGGTATGTGTTTACCACCCTAAGGAATTTGCTATCCGGATAAGCAAGAGCGCCGTAAGAATCTCGGTCACAACTGGTAGGCCAGCGCGATTTATGGTGAGATTGGCATAATGCATGGATGAGATGCCATTCCGCTCGAACACCGGAGATACCTCGTTCGGCTGATAGACAGCCATCACAGTTTTGCGGTGGATGCACTGGCGAGAGAAAGAGTTCAGAACTGACGTTAGAGATTCGAATCGTGGTATGTGCCATTGTAGGTGATCACCTCCATATGGCCGGGAAAGAGCTTCCATTTGAATTCTTTTCCGCCTTGTGATTTAAAATAGCGTGATCTGTGTGGCGATCATGGAAAATAGTGAGGCTGAAGGAGCTAAATCTCAGCATGTCGACTGTGGACGTACGTGCTCGAAGCACGCTTCCTCTGTAAGACCGACATCATGGGCTGCTGAGGTGTATTGCCGTACACGATGTATCCTGGAAATTCCGACGGCCCAAGATAGAAATAGGCATCACTTGGACCCATGATGTCACGATGCTGCAGGGCCCACGGAGCTTCTCGACGAAGTCGAACGAGCTTGTTTGGAATACGATAAATCTGCAGATATGTACGATGAGCCCCAAGCCTGGTGGCAGAATCGATTGCACTTGCCTCCTGGCTGCACGATTTATTTTTTAAGTATGTTGGTGCCGCAAGATAATGGAACTACGCACAGTGTAAATGCTGTCCTGCCATCTACATCTACAAAGGTCGTGTTGTACAGATCGGAGCCGATTTGGAGGAGAATGTGAGGACTCATGTAGTATATTGAAGGTAAACAAGAGAGGAAGAAGGCGTTCGTATGTTGGACGTAGCTCATATATGCTGGGACCACATGCCTTCTCCTTTCGTGAAAAAACAAAAGATACCCTATATGTTAGGGCTGCGGCCAGGATTCCGAAACGTCTTTCGCCCAGGGGTAGACCGCCTAGCGAGCCTTGCTCAAGGTTAATCGTATGAACAAAGAGATGACTATACAAGGAACAGGAGTTGTCTCGGCAATCGGTGCGATGTTCGTGCGGGAAATCCCGCAACTGCACCAAGAAGACGCGCTCATCAGGGGTCGAAGCCTAATGGCGCTCTGAGCAGCCTGTACGACCAATGACGAAGTATGAATACATATGAGATAGATGGCGAGTTGCAAGTCTATGACATTGTGGGAACCGGGTCCAACAACAGGATAGCCCACGATGGAAAGGATGTATACACTAATAACGATCTGAAGTGACCAGTATCAGACTCAGATTGAGAAACAGATTACAAGGGAAAACGTGTACCAAACTGTGCGGCAAGAGCTAAGGTCGTGAATAACCCCTTCGCCTGAGAACCTAGTCGTACACTGGAACATACAACGGGTGAGCTTACGCAGTGTACTAATGAAAAAAGCCATACCGTGTACAATTCCTAATGCAAGCATTCATGATCAATTGATGTTGATCAAAGAGCGTGTAAGTGTGGGAACAGATGCACACGCACCATAGAACAATGTCCACATCAAGATGAAAGAGAATACGTTCTCCTGGCCAGGGTTAAAAGCTGCCAAGAGACCGCCATGCATGTATCTATTCGGATATGTTTTGAAATTGACACCATACATGCAAACAGAGGAGAACAGCGTCGACACGAGAAAGAGCGCGAAGCCAAGCCAGTTCTCGAGACCCAAGACGCCTGCAACTGCACCAGCAAAACACGAGGAGATGAATTTGATGTTGTTGATTACGGTCATGTTATGCACAAGGTGTGGGCCATAGATGCGCTGCGCTGTGGCGTCGGCAGCGGTAGACATGGCGGTGGTGGTGGTCTGGTGGCGGTAGCAGCTAGGTGCTGGACCGCACTCGCGGTCATGGCGGATGATGTTCCCACGGCTGGAGTCAAATTTGGAGGGTCACTGCTTGTTTTTACAACATTACGCCGCCCACATTGCTTATTTCTACCAGGTCCTCCACAACGACGATGACCGGGCCTCGCTCAGTCAACGTGGGCGTGCTTGGCGCAACCGGAACCGTCGGGCAGCGCTTTATTGCGCTCCTTGCCGTACATCCCTACTTCATCGTGCATGCACTGGGCGCCTCGCCGCGGTCAGCAGGCAAGCCCTACGCGGAGACCGTCAGGTGGAAACAAACAGATCCCATACCGAACCCCGTTCAAGGTCTAGTGGTCCAAACTTGCGAGCCCAAGTACTTCAAAGACTGCGCAGTGATATTTTCTGGGCTGGACGCTGATGTCGCAAGCGATATCGGTATGCAACCAGTGTCTCGATCCTAGATTTTCTCTCAAGCATCTAACAATTTCTCTAGAGGCTGCTTTCAGGGCCGCAGATCTTGCAGTTTTCTCAAACGCAAAGTCATATCGACGGGATCCGCACGTTCCCTTGATCGTTCCTTTGGTCAACACCGCCCATCTTTCCATTATTCCGCAGCAGCGCGCCTTGCATTCACCACCACTCAAAAAAGGGTTCATTGTCACGAATGCCAACTGCTCGACGACTGCTGTCGTCATTCCGCTCGCCGCGCTTGAGCGCGCCTTCGGACCCATTGAGTCCTGCATCATCACCACTATGCAGGCGATCTCAGGCGCAGGATATCCCGGCGTCCCGTCTCTCGATATATTTGATAATATCGTTCCATACATCAGCGGGGAGGAAGAAAAGATGGAGTGGGAAACTCTCAAGATATTGGGAGGAGTTGCGGAGGCTGATGACGGGACCAAGGAGTTCGATATGCATTCTAAAACGCCGCTGCGCATCTCCGCATCGTGTAATAGGGTTCCCGTCATCGAAGGCCATACGGAAACCGTTTCCATCCGGTTCTCTCGCCGTCCTCCCCCAAGTCCGCAGCAGGTCCGCGAGGCTCTCCAGGCTTACAGCCCTGATGCTCTCGCGGCTGGCTGTCCCTCCGCTCCCCGTCACGCCATCTTCGTGCACGAGGAGCCTGATCGCCCACAGCCACGTTTAGATCGCAACTACCAGCTCGGAGCGGGAGTCTCGGTCGGTCGGGTGCGGCAGTGTCGGGTGCTGGATATCAAGTTTGTCGTCCTTGCGAACAATGTGAACATTGGTGCGGCGACGAGCAGTATCATCAATGCGGAGATGGCGATCGTGAAGGGCATTGTGACGGCGTAGAGTTTGAGGTTGAAAGGTACATGTACGACTTATTATTTTCTTTGACGGAAGAATACAATCTAGCTGCGAGTGTAATATACGCGGCGCATAGCTGCAGGGAGCAGTTTGCACCTATTCTATGTAGTCGATTCGTTATGTAGTTGACTCGTGTGGTCGACTCGCTGGGTTTTACGAAAGAAATTTCGAAAGTTGTTCACTCTTTCTTAGTACCTTGAGGCTCTAGATCAGTCGTTCGGAGACCTTTTTTCCTACATATTTGGAATGCTATCACCCTATGCTGAGTGAAATATCTAGAGCCTAGGCAGTCGAATTCGTGATTTATATACTAACAGGACTACACGCCGCACGACGACGCACGGTGGCGTTTCGTCAACCGCCACAGTGGCACATACTTCGCTCATCATATTTAAATGCAACCACAACATATCGAGAACTTTTCGCGCAACGATCAGCAACGACATCTACTTCCTGCCACTCTCATCGATCACTCTTCCCGAACTCCTGACATATTTACTCCTCTTACTCTCTGATGTTCATTCTTCGAAAGGCTGACTGGAGTCAATATGCCTCAGAGCCAATCCTGTCAGACGACAGCGAATACGACTCCACGGGCGAAAACCGGTCCAGATATGATGATGGTCCCTCGAATTCTGAGCCTTTGGGCGGTGGTAGTTATAGGGAAGACCAGATAGTGGATGATGGTGACGATGGCGCAGAGTCGGACCATGCCGTGGCGGAGGATGATCAGCAGGAAAGCAACACAGAGGCAATTTCTGTCCTTGATGACCGGCAGGACGTGAAGCCCGTAGTCCAGAAAAAGAGACGCCGAATTCAACCTCCTACGGTGTGTCCAAAAAGTTCTGCCGTGCTTTTCCCAATTGCGATCTCTTTTCCTCCTCAGGTTCCTTGGATCAATGGGGAAAATCCGCCTTGCTGTGAGGGCCTGGCTGATGCAAGCCTTATTCGCCACCAACGGACGAGGCGTCATCTCGCATACTTCGGGGCGCAAGCGATGGATGATGTCACGCATTATGTCTGTCCAGGTTACTTCATCTGCAGGACGTGGTGAGCTTTTTTGATAAACACCCGTACATTTGAGTCTTATAAACTTGGAACAGCTGCCCAAGACCAGATTCGATTAAGCGCCATCTATTCAATTGTCGAGCCTACCAGTCAGTGAAGGCGGCCAAGCCGAGAACTGGGATCCTGAGGGTCAAGGGCGTTCCACCACCCGAAGACTACAAGCATCTCTTTGAAGGTGTGGCCATGCCTGATGCTCCACGCAGAGGACAAAACGATGTCGGCAATCGTGTCCTCAAACCCCCCGTTCCTTCTCCCGAAGTCGCTAAACCTTCTCCTACAAAGCATCGAACGCTCCGCAACCGAAAAACCTAAGCGAATTCTACAGGCGGGATTGAGGTTGTTCTGGTCGGAGCTTTCTCTAGACAGAAGTGATCTGGATCTATCTACGAGGAAGCTCAATCTAGCACAACCATCGCAAACATCTATAGGCCATACCCCAACGGAATCCATATCGACCTTGTGTTCGGAAACTCAGCACTACCTCGCATTGACAATCTGCTTACAATGTTTGTCTGGTTCGTACCTCTTTCTGCGCTATATGCTGTGGATGTTCTTTTCCCTCCTTGTTCTATGTCGGTTGACATGTGCTATTAGTTATCCTAATAAACTTAGATTCCTGTATGCTAACTAAGAGAACCCATTAAAAAAATTCGCGGTGTAGATGAGTCATGGGAACAGAGTACATGGTGCGTCAGGGTGCGTCTTCATTTGTGGAGACCATCTTTTCCATCAACGTTTGAACCAGATTCTTCATCAATTACTAAATCAGCGCTAACGCTCCTCTCTGCGTTAGGGTTACTCTGTTCGTCCGTCATACGAGGGTCGCGCAGTAAGAGGGCGAAGATGAACATGGGAATGCAGAGGCTGTGACGGAGAGGTTAGGGCGTTCAATGATAAACTTTTGTCGCAAAACTTACGCTATGCCGGTGATGCAGAGCAATTTTTGGGTGTGCTTGTATGCATCGACGATCGCAGAACGTTCAGGTGTACCAAAATCGTAGAGAACGGCGATGGTCAGAGGGCTCCCGTAGACGGATGCAGCCAATGTCGCGTTGCCAAGGCGTTCTGTTAATTGCCTTGGAAGTACCTAAGAGAAGCAGGTTGACCAAAAGGCACTAGAGTGAGGAGATGCCCAAAACTGACATTCGTCCAGATCGCTGCAGGACAGAGATGTTAGCCGCAGTGATGAAGTCCGTGAGGAAAACGATATGCCTCCTGAAAGCGTACCGCCGAGCGCGCTACCAATTTGATACCTACGGCCATATGAGATTAGCCCTATGGTTGGAAGGCTCGATACTCACGAGGCGAGGTAAAGAGCAGTGATAGTGGCCATATCTATGCGACCGTATTGGTCAGGATGTTGATTGAAGATACTCAGATCCGACTCACGTTCATGCTTCGTGGCAGCTTGGATGCTAGCCTGTGTCGGATAGGCAAACAGCCTGCAACCGAGAGGGTTCAAATGATAGGCGAGGAAGAAATTGACTGCAAACGCACCCTCCTCCGATGCCGAGGACAACTTGTGCACCGACGATTGCAGAGTGCGAGGTGTTCCCACTCCCTCCTCGGAAATGTATCAGCAGACCGAATGCGACGAAGAAGAGAGTGATGCCGAAAACAATGCTGATGAGAAAGTTCAATTAGTGATCAGCTGAACCTGAGAGACGACGTACAAAGATTTGAGGTATCTGACATATCTCACAACAAATCCCAAAATGACCCCAGTGATGACACTAGTAAAGGAATACACGCTTGTTATACGCGTTGCCGATGTTATGGATTCGCCAAAAGCGACAACTAGATAGAGTCTCAAGGATAGTTTGGGAGGAGGAAGATGCTAGACGCACCCAGCACTGTATAAAGGTAGCTGACAAAAATCCATCAGTACAGAGTCCGATCGCTAAAAACCGCAGTAAAATCATGTACTCACTCCCCCTATGAGCCGAGCAAACACATCATGGAGTTCAATCACCGGTGACAGCAGAGAGTGAATGGATTCACCTGCATATACCACGCTGAAGATTTGTTAATGAAGTTGTTCGCTCGCCATGTAGATGCTACTCACTTGTATCAAGCATTACAGCAATCCCAAGCGCGGCCCACACACCACGGTCTTTGAGGAGCTGTAGTATGGATATTTTCAGTGGAGGTTCGAATAGGAACATCGAATACTTGTACCTTGAAGGGAATCAGGGGATGCTTGGCTTTAAGTTCCCACATAACTAGAACTGGAACGCATGCGGCGCCAAGGACTTGAGACAAATTTAGGTATGATCAAGTTGAGTGTTACATGCACGAAGTTACCTATCATGACGATGATATGTGCGCTTTTCCATTGGTCTTTGACAGCCCTAGCGATCGTGAAAGGGACGAGAACCAGAGCAAAAACTTGAAATAAGATCGATGCATTAATGATACGAACCAGATCAGAATCTATGTGGAGACTTGCTAGCAATAACGAGGACAATCCCAATGACATCGAGTTGCCAGAAGAGCGCAACAGCCAACTTAGCGGTACCCAGTTGTTCGAAAGGAGACTTATATGCTGCCAGTGCACCATTGCGCTCCGCACGTCGGGAGACGTGAAAGAGTGTAAACAGAAGCGGGAGGATAGCCACTGTGCGAGACTCAATTTGGTGGTAGGTATGAGAAAACGCTGGTACACGTACCAAAGTAAATGATCGCCCACATGCCGATACCCCATCTCCATGTAGTCACACCAAGAACTGCAGCAGTAACATTACCGCTAATCCACGTGTTAATCTTTGGAAGGGGTTGTTAAGGGCACAAAAAGTCGATATCGTGAGAAACAACGTACCAGGAATGGCGTGGCAGGGATGAACGAGAACAGTACACGGTTACGGAGGGTAGTGGTATCGCCGATGAGGACCTCAATAAGAAGCATGATTGCAGTGTACCCGATCTAGGATCGATGAATGATACATATTGGTTCCCGCGAACAGAGACCAGACGCTGACTTACCTGGTAGAGGATCGCCCCACCAGCAAAAGACTTCACGTTGTTGGACGTGGCTTCGACAATCGTTCCTAAATATCATCGGAGAATGTAACAGGATGTTTGTGCGACAGAAATAAAGAACCAACCGATGATATAGAAGATGACGGACACGGTCATCACTTCAAAGCGACCGAAGACATCCATAAGTTTTGCAAGGGTAGGCTGGAAGTAGTGAGAAACCCGAAAAGGCGGAGATGGAAGTGATGCTACCTGTGCAGCAGCCGCAATCACTGCGCGCAGAACATTGACTGTGGCCAGAAGCGAGTGGGTTGCGTACGAGTTCGTAGCATAGCTCTACACGAATCAAATTTCAACAATTAGAAAATGTGTGCGAGAGAGGAGTACACTACCTGATACGTATAGCGGACCGTGCCATCCAACCCGTAGGCGTACGCGACCAAAAATATGCTGACGAAGAGGGAGATCTTGCTCCATCGCGTGAAAGACGCAGAGATCGCCTCTATACGCTTGACACCAGGACTTTTGTCTCCTAGGAGATTGACGAGGGGGCTGGTCGTATGCGCGCCGTGATCCATGACGAGTAGACGGAGAGGAAAACCAGAAGAGTCGGGAAGACCGAGGGCATTAGGTCGAACTTAAGTATAAGTCAAGATCGAGAGTAGCAGGCTAATCTGATTAGATTCACAGGCACATCACAAAGCTGATATGGCATCTGATAAGATTGATCCCACTTGGCACCCGACGGCCGACGGCCGCCGGCCTACAGTGAACCTTGTCAGAGATCCATCCAGACTCACCAAGACCCACCAGCACTCACAGGTGCCCGCCTTGATCTGTCCTCGTCAGGCCCCGCATGCCGTCAATGGACTGCGCAGGGGCGAGTCGATCTCGCGAGCTCTACGACATGAGAAAATTATCATGACATCAGGGACAGATCCGATGTACCCGTGCTCTCCTCTCCTGGGTGTGGTCAGGCCAGTGTCCACGGCACTCGGAGTTCAAAGGGCGCAAAAAGGAACATCTATACTATAAGTAATGCACACATGACAGGCCTCAGATACACTTGCATCACCTTCGATTCCCTCCTTTGACTCTGTTGGTCTTCATCTTACAGCACTCGCTCAACGAGCCCAAGCCCCTCCTTTTCCAGTATCTCCCGAATAGGATCGCAAATCTCCTTTGTGTACGGCACCTGGACACCTGGCGCGCTGAGAACGCCGTCCAGCACGAGCTGCGTGGCGATGCCACACGGGAGACCGACGGTGAGTGCCATGGCAGAGTGACCGCCTGGCGCACCGTACGCCTCAAGGGTCGACGTGAGGATTTGCTGAATGAAAAGATTAGAAATCGGCCACGCATTGGGGAAGGATGCAGAAAATGCGGTGTACCTCGGACCCATCCTTCCACTCGACGACGAACTTGTGCTGCAGCATGACAAGGTCACGCTGGCCCTCCTCGTACTTCATCAAAGTCTCGAGCTGAGCACAGAGTGTATCGAGCAAGTTGCTGGCGCGAGGCACAACAGGTTTGGAAGAGAAAAGGCCGATCCAACGTAACCCAGATATGATGCGCGTACTCTCCGACTGATCTGGGAAGTTGCAGATGGACTTGATGTGTGCAACGAGCGAACTGTAAATCTGATAGTCAGATGATTTCATCGCAGAAGAGTTGATATCAAAATGACCTTTCAGACGCTTCGTTGGCACCGATCGTTTTTTGCATCACCTCGGCCCAGCTCAACTTCGTGTTATCGCCCAGCCAAGACTTCGGTTCAGCATCCAACCAGCCAAGTTTAACCAGTGCTGCGATGAACTCCGGGAAACCCTGATATCTGAGGGTGCCGCGCAGAACAGTCTCCGCCTCCGGAATGTTGTACCACTCTCTAAAAGGAACAGAGTTCCTGTTGGGATATCCAACGAACGCAAATGCAGGGGAGATGTAGTAAGGTTTGGACAGAGTCATGAGGTCCTTGCCGCCCTCAACATCGCGCTGCGCGCCGCCGGAGAGGAAGGATGCCGAGTTGAGCAGAGCAAGGAGCACACCTCGGGAAGACCAAGAGAACTTATATCCCAGGGGATTGTCAGCACATTCCGGCGCGGGGAGACCGCCACAGTACGAAAGGAACTGCTTGATCTGAAGGAGAACAGTCAGACCAGCAACAAACAGCGAACGTGAAAAATGCACACACCTTGCCACCCTTTTCATGAACCTCACCGATCGTCTTGACAGCGTACAAGTGATCGATCCCAGGGTCGAGCCCGATCTCATTCATTACGACAATCCCAGCTTTCTTAGCCTCTTCGTCAAGCTCCCGGATCGCAGGCGAGACGTAGCTAGTCGTGACGACGTGCGTCTTGCCCTTGATCGCTGCCTTGATCACGGCGGCGTGGTACGTGTAGGGGATGAGGGAGATAACAAGATCGTGGTCTGCGACTACACGCTCGAGGTCAGTCGTTGAGTTTACGTCTAAGGAAACGGCAGATGTTCCAGGAAGCCCCTCCGTCAAGGCACGAGCCTTCTCGAGCGTCCTGCAAGCTAATAAAAAAATCAGATTCGTCGTGGAAATTGCGTGCACTTGACCTACCAACAGTCAACTCATTCAAAGGGTCGCGCACGACATACTCAGCGCAAGGTCGAGCAACAAAACCGCTACCAAGTAGAAGGACCTTCTTCTTAGGTTTGCCGGATTGCGCTTCCACACGAGCCGCGCGACCAAACTTCGGCATGATGTTCTTGCCTTCTTCAATCAAAGCGCGCCCAAACTCAGGGAGAGTGAATGCCGCCATGTGGACGGCTGAGTTATAGTAGCGCGTGTTCGGGACTTGACGAACAGGGGCCTTGAGATCCCTGCCCTTCTCCTTTGAGCAGACGACGAAGCCAATCTGTCCAGAAGGATAGGTTGGAATCGTGGTGTACGCGTACTCAGCAGTGGGGAAAATTTCGCGCGTCGTTTTTCTGAGCTCCTGGATGAGCGGGAGGTGGAGCCAGAGACATTCGGCCTGGGTGGAGATATGGCCACCAGGGGTCAAGGCATCGTGCAAAAGTTGGAAGTACGGCTTCTCGAATAGCGACGCAGCAGGGCCGACAGGGTCAGAAGAGTCAGTGATGATGACATCGTAGGTGGAGGCGTTGTCTGCCAGGAATTTGAAGCCGTCGCCGATGAAAACGGTAACTTTTGGGGAGGCAAGCAAGGAGGACATGTGAGGGAGGAACTGTTTCGAGACGCGGACGACGGCCTAAGACATTCATATGAGCAACTTTCCGATGAGACTGACGACAGAATTCACCTCATCGATATCGCAAAGGACGACTTCTTCAACAGTGTCATGCTTGAGCACTTCCCGCACAACGCCTCCATCTCCACCTCCAATGACTAGCACCTTCTTCGGGTTCGGGTGACTAGCAAGAGGAAGATGGGCGATCATCTCCTGATAGCTATAGCGAAGAGGATGAGCCAAGATGAAACAGATATAACCGTACATGGTATAGACTGGGCACTCACGAAAATTCGTCGCGTTCGGTACATTGAATGACGCCGTCAAGGATTAGAACATTGCCATAAGTTTCCGACTCGAAAACGAGGACATCTTGATAGAGTGATTTCTCAACGTGGAGAATTTTGTTGACCTTCAGGGTCATGGCCTGGCCAGGCCATTGAGAGGAGATCTCGCGGAACCAGCCATCTTGAACAAGTAGAGATTAGCGATATAAGACATGAAGGACAGAGAGCAAACCTCTGATCGACGGATGCGAGAGCGGGGCCATTTTGAAGGAGCAAAGGAGGGGTTGAGGTGAACGAGAGAAAGCTGGAAAAACTTGACTCAATAGACCAAATTTGGCTAATTTCATCTAATGATCTAATCTAATCGTCGACATCTTCTCATAATCGAGGGTTTCAATCTACTCCTCTACCATTCCTCTACTATATTGTATCGAAAAACATGGGCCATGACGTAGGTAGCACAGAGCGAAATAACTCGTCAATTATGTCGGCGCTGGTAGGATCCATGTTGTCCTCCTTGTTCGCAGTTTGCCCCTCCGGCGACCCCGAGGAGTCATTCGCCTGATCAGCGCTCAGCTGACGCGCAACACCTAGGATGTCCAGTTCTAGATCCTCAACATACTCGGGTTTTGGGGACTGCGGAAGATATCCAAAGCTAGTTTCATCGTCATTGTCCAGGATAGATAGGGGAGGGGGATCACCAAAGATGTTATCATCGAAGCCCTTCAGTGCAGGTGTATACAAGACTGTTTCAAGGAGGGGTTGCGGAATATTTGTGACCGACAGCGTGTCAGGCGGTTGTGCTATTGAAATCAAGTTAGACAGGGAACTCGGCGCCTGCCACTGTGTCTGGGACCCAGACGCGTAGCTTGGCTGATATGGCGTCTGGTCGACAGGGGTAGGAGGCGGAGTCGAGGTGGGACTTGAACGTCGGGAAGAGATTGTCGACTGGGACGAAGAAGCTTCGGGTGTCTGGAGAAAATACGCAGCAAAGACCTCAGGGCGGACTGTGTACCGGTAGTCATCGGGATTGGGTTCGCCGAGTACAGATCGTAAGTAGAGGCGTGAACTGTATTCATTCTTGATTTGATGCATATGCTCGCATTTTTTAGCGTGCTTTCGGGTGGAATCCATTCGAGCACTCCTACGTATAGACTATTAGTCTTACTCTGCCAAGTATTTAACTGGTCCAGGAACTCACGAGTAGTTGCAGAAGTAAATCGCGGCGCACGGGAAATGGGCCACGTCATCCCGACCAGTGTAGGCGAGATGTATGTCAGATTTAAGGTGGTGGGGAGGCACCCGTACTGCCAGATCCTGATTGCAGCATGGTGGGCGCGGCTTATCTGCCGCCCAAGGGACCTGCGCAAAGAGCGGGACACAATCAGATGGGCGAGTTAGGCAAACCAAACTTTGCACTCACCGATGGCTTCTTCCTCAAAGGAAGAACGCGAGTCCGGTCGCCAATGTGGTAAGGTTGCGCAGATGTATGCTTATATTTTGCAGTTTGTCTGTGGCTTTGGGTGTGGGTAGCTGTAGAAGCCGAGGGCGCCTTGTAGGAGGGCGGTTGGTGACTTTGTGGAACCTCCGGTGAGAATGCGTTGAGAGCGCTCCATGGAGGTATGATTTTATACCCAGTTCGGTGATGCCACAGATGGGGCGATCCACCAAGGTGGCTTGAGTGGACCAAGTCGACCGGATTGGGCCCCGTCAGCGTGAAAGCGTTGAGGTTGGAATGTGGATGGAGACTCCCATCTCCGGACGGGAATGAGAAGTCGGACGGGAATGAGAAGTCGGAGAGGAAGCTTTGGGCGATGTTCGAGTTCATGGTAGATGTGGAAGCAGTTCTATGTGGAATACTGTGCGTGATGTGGCAGATGTAGTGGAGGCGAATTGATGTCAAGAGTCGGGGAGACAGATGAAGTAGTGCCAAATTGTGGCAGAGCTCGAATGAACTAGGTATATTGTATTGTCTGTAAATATTGGGTAAGCGTCAATGGAAAAATTGGGCGCGCCACGCGCCTTGTCCACCATGAACCCGTTGCCACAAGGGCCTTCGCTATAAAATTCAAGTAGGATATACGCAAGGTCTATCTCTATCACCGTATTGGCATTAGAGCCGGTTTGCGGCCTGTAAAAACGAAAATATGATTCAGTGTTCCTTCATATGAGGGGTGGATCACTGCCATGATAAGTACAGAAAATCGCGAATCGAACGTCCTATTAGGCATTATGCAACAACGTCAATTTTCAGTATGTATCAACCCCGCAATCACTCACAAGACCCAGTTCGCAAATAAGCAACATTGACGCAAAACATCTCCACGTACAATTGAGATCGTCCAAGGTGGTTCTGTAAGATATGGTACGTTCTAATAGCTCAACGAGTGAAGCGCTTTGTAAACGAGAAATGAGTGTCTCGACTCTCAATAGGCCTCGATAGGAGTGCAACCCTTACTGAGTTGCATTGATACAGCATTGAAAGAACGCTGGGAAAAACTTTCGCATATAGCAATTAGTCTCCGATAGAAAGCAGATACCTGGGAGGGAGAGCATCGACCAAAGCAAAGTGTTAATCCACCAAGTCGCAGCGCGATTGAAAAGAGATCTGAGAGAGGAGTAAGCGAATGATCGTCGTAGATGTCTTTAATTGAAAAGGCTATGATCAGCGTAGGAGTGAAGGATTGCTGGAACAGTGCCGAGTGCCAGACGACGGAGAGAGAAACATTTCCGAGCCTGGTCGTTCACGACTCAAACAGTCAGTTATCACAGATAGTAAACGAACACGTCTCAGATCAGCCGAAGATATGATTGAATGAATGAGAACTTGAAGCTTGAAGCATGACAAGCTAAAGGAAACTGCAGGAGCTGTCTTGAGTCGTGACTCATCGATGGACGTCTCGATTCGGATCAGCTCGGATCCAAACTGATCGTGACCTCCGACATATCCCTTGGACACGAATTCTTGATATCGGCAAGAAATATATGGTTTATGAAACCTCATTAATCCGCAACATACTACCTTACAAACAGGTTCTAGCAAGTTAGCACCTATGCACTCTTCTGAATCGGACCCTAGTTGGTTGTTTTGGATGAGGGACTAAGCGCCTCGACTTCTTGTCGAATACTCGCAAAGAAATCCCTGCTAGTTTTTACAGGCTTCCACCCCAAAGACCTTCCCATTTCCCCCTTAGTGCGTGCGTTCGTACCAAAAAGCCATCCCTATGTAGGCGGTCCATCAATGAATTCATTCTGATTTTCATCGTCGCTAGGACTTACGCCGAGGTACTTCATGTTCTCCTCATCACTCAACTTCGTCGGCGCCTGGCTCTTGGCCATGCCTAGCTCATGCATGACTCTCCCTATCTCCCGGGCCAACTCTACCTGCGAATACTCTCCGTTCTCGGCGAAGTAGTAGCCCTGACGACCATGTGGCGTGTTCAAGTCTTTGAGCGCAGAGTCGAAGACCACTCGGTATAGGTCACCAACTAGCATGCATCATCGTCAAATTAAGATGAGAGGAGCGATGTCTAAAATCGGTACACACCCTCGTCAATATGGACATTGTTCCAGACGTTCAGGCCTTGGCCCACCACCGCCGCAGATCCTCGGGCCAGGCTGGCTCGAATCGTATAGGGTACCTGTATGGAATATGGGTTCTGGATACCGAGATCGACTAAGGGCCCGCTGGCTATGCCGTAGATGGTCGATGGAAGGATGATAAATGTGCGGACATAGCCTATTGATGGAACTTCGTCAGCATGCCGAACGCCAATGACCAACAGATGAGAACCTACCTAGTTTGTCAGCCTCGGTAACCTCTATATCTACGTTACGGTGGGGAGCAGTGGCAGGGAGAGATTCCATGTCTTGAATATTGGTGTCGTAGTAGATATGATCTTGGCCATATTCGCCCCGTGCATCGTCCATAAATACACCTGTTCCAGACTGCATTTCTTTCAGATCCAGGCAGTCCGGGTAGATAGACCGACTCACCGTGTGTATAAGTATTGGAGCAACTCCCGTTTTAACGAATCGTTCCTTAATTCCTCGCAAAATCGCTTTCGCATACTCTAGATGATCTGCGCTTGCCTACAGAACATGATATCAGTCGTGTTCCGGCCTACAGAAACTTCAAAAATAGGCTTACAGTGTGAATGACAACGTCTGCGTCCGCGGACAGTTGGGCCAGCTTATTGAAGTCATCAAGAGATCCGATAATCGTCTTCACCCCAAAAGCGGTCAACTTTGAGGCCTTGTCTTCACTGCGGAGAAAGGCAGTGATGTGAAAGTTATCCGAGCTTGGATGGTGTAGTAAGCGTTGAAGGACTGTGCCGCCGATGTAACCTGTCCATCGTTACGAGTTAATGAAAAAGCCATTCGATAAGCACACAGAAGACTCCACCTGTGACCCCAGTAATGAAGATGTTCGTTCTAGAAGGCATGATGTGGCAATGGGAATTGTTGGACTTCTCCCGATGGGCGCATGGCTCCTTTTTATACTCTGATTCTGAGCCAGGGTTGCGGATCACAGCAAGGATGACGCGTCGGAGATAAACTCACGTAGCAATGCGTGAAGCTGACGCGCTGGCGATTCGCCTCGGCAGGCAGCTTAGGCCACAGGCCGCGACTCTTGTGTTCGACATGGGTCATCCCTTTGTTACGATAGATATCAGGCGGAAAAGCCACCCCTCGCCGGGACCGATGGAGGTAAGTGCTCAACATTCAAAGGCGGAATGTACTACCATCACGAGTGGACGTTTGAACAATGAGCAAACGTGAGCAGAGCCAAGTCCACCTCTCCAAGTCTTCGCCGTAGTCTCGCGACGCATTCATCTAGGATGAGCAGTACCAAGGCTTAGGGGAATCATGACGACTTTTCGGTCAGAGGAAGTTGACTGGCGCGCTGGGTGCCTTGTAAGGCACTGCCGATCAGCTTGCGTATTGCGGCAAAGGCTGATGACCGCATTATTAGCGCGCACAGTCATTGACAGGAAAGGTCTAGGGATGCACTTGTCAGCCGCTATAGTAAGCACTCGGCACCCTCACAGGTTTCGGTGTCAAGGGAGGCTGAAGTATTTTGAAGACGGCGAAACTACGTCGAATTGCTGATTTCTAGTGATTGGAGCGAATGACGAAGGGCAAGGTTCATATTGGGTCCTAAGGAGATCAGATAGGATCAGATTGCAGAGAATCACGTGAGGGCTGAGTTCTGCAGCCGAGGATTGACTTTGAGAGCGATCGTCAAGTCTCATCCAATTTTCGTGGCAGAATGGCCTTCGCAAACGACAATGTGGGGGAGACAATCCAAAAGTCACTCCTGACCGGACAATGGAGGAACGTTCAATCACAAGCCCCCCTGGTTCAGATGGCCAAAGCAGTTACCGAAGGCGCCTTTCGAGACGTCCTCTCGTACCCCTTCGCTCGTGAAGTACTCACAGGCCGCCCACAGCTTGATCAACCGCTCAAAGAGAGTTTCCTGTTCGATGTTCCCTCAGCGGGGGGTGAATACGATCTGGAGCTTATCCGTCTTGTCGTCGCTGTGGCCGCCCTCCACGCCTTTGTACAGGCTAATTGGACCGGCCCTGATCTCGACTTCAAGCCTTTCGACATCCTCCCCGACAACGAGGGCCCACTCACAGACGAACTGCTGCACCAGAAATCTGTTTCAGAGCTCGCATATGGCGGAGAGCCTGCTTATCACCTCGCCCAGGTGCCGTTTTTCCTCCGACTCGCCCAACTTCTCCTCGAGCTCGAATATCACCAAATAGCGTCCATAGATTGGTGGAGGCTTAGGATCTGGAACATCCACCAGCAGATCCTTGATGAACCCGTCCCATTACCCCCGGACTCCCTCTCATCGCTCGAACGATTGGCCATCACATTTGGGTCCGAACCTGATCTTATCGGCCGGCTATGGCTCGAACGCGGTCTGCTAGACCATTATCAATCGAACGACAAGTCTGCGTTGGAGTACTTCATTCGTGCCGCGAGAGCTACAGACCTGCAGTACGAGCTTACTGGTGCGCTAGGCAAGCGCACAAAGTTCCAGCAAACTGATCTCTCACAACTCGTCCTTCTCGCTGAGTCTCGCAAACGGGACGTCGCAGGAAATACAGTCAGAGCTGCGATCATCCCTGACGCACTTCAATTGAACGATGATACTCTGCTTGAGCACACCCAATTCACGTCCTCCCATCCTGTCGCCCCTGGCTCTCGGTTGAGTCATCTCGACCCCTCATCTCAACCCGCGCTCCATCCCTTAGACCAATCTATCCTCCTTTCTCTCTGTCTGAATGTACGCAACACTTCTCCCTCGCATGGGTTAACCAACGAGCAGATGTCTCCCTATATTGCACGTGTCATCTCCCATCCTGAAAACTGGTCTATCCACACCATGGCTCTCCTCCTTCGTTCTCGCCTCGAGTCCAACAGAACGCGTACCGTGGAACGCTCGACGCTGCAGCTTCAAGCCCTTGTTGATCAGATGGCCACAGCGGACTCAACGCTTTCGGAGCGACTTCTTTACGTCCATGCGATACCCTTGCCGAACAAGTGGGAAATGGAGAAGGAGTTAGCTATGAGGTTTCTCTCTATCGGCGTCGTCAAATCTGCATTGGAGATATTCGAGAAGTTGGAGATGTGGGAAGAGGCGGCCAAGTGTTGGCAATCAATGGAGCAGCGGGATAAAGCCCTCAAGCTCGTGCGCGATCTGCTGGAGGGTCGCAAGGCAGAGGCAGAGGCTGTCATCACCCGCGGCAAGGTGGTCGGTGATCGGAGAGCGTTGTTTGACGCAGCGCGCGAGGCTAAACTATGGTGTCTTTTAGGCGAGCTAGAGCCAGATCAGGCCGCTGACCATTTCCATCGCGCATGGACCGTTTCCAAAGGATCGTCTGGTCGTGCGATGCGCTCACTTGGCGGATTCCATTTTGCTCGAGGGCAGTACGCAGATGCCATTGTGTGCTTGCGGCGCGCAGTCGCGATCAACCCACTGCTGTCTAGGTCGTGGTTCATTCTGGGGTGTGCTTGTGTTCGAGAGGAGGACTGGTTTGGAGCCAAGGACGCATTTGCTCGTGCCGTTTCCATAGATGACGAGGACGGTGAGAGCTGGAATAACCTGGCAAGCGTCTATCTTCGTATGGATGCGAGTGCGCCAAAGGCGACACAAGGCGGAGAGGAAGATAAGGTATGTCCACTACTAATTTATCTATGCTCTGCTAAGCCTATAATAGGATGCCGAGATGTCTGTTGTTACTACGGACGATAGCCCTTCTTCAATTCCCTTCGCGAACAAGATGCTAGCCTTCCGCGCGCTCAAGCAAGGTCTCAAGTTCAGTTTCGAAAACTGGCGCATGTGGACGAACTACATGATCGTTTCCATGGACGTTGGTGAGCTTGCAGAGGCCTGCCGTGCGCTTGGCCGTATAGTCGAACAGCGTTACGATAAAATTGGCGCTGAGGCTGTCGATGAGGATGTGCTTGATCGACTTGTTGACGCAGTCACGCGTGCGCCCTCGAACCCTGACGAGGCAGTGGAGGGCGGCTCAGCTGATAGCGCGCTGAGAAATCCCAACGAAGGACACGGTTTGTTGAAGTGGGTTGAGGATCTGTTTGAGCGTATACTTCTGCCTCGGGTCGCGTCTCCGCGCATATTCAGAGCAAGGGCGAGGTTGTTGACGTGGCAAGAACGATGGGAAGACGCGTTGCAGTCATATCTGGAGGCATACAGAACAGGTGTAGCCGGAAAGATGGAAGAAAGCGAGACCGAGGTAGGAGCGTGGAGGGAGGCCGTGCGTGAGGTGGAGGAGATTGTGGATGTGTTGAGAAATTTTGGCCCGAAAGCCGAAGGATTCAATTGGGAGGTGCAGGCAAAGAGCATTTTGCGTACATTTATGGGGAGATCACGCGATTATGAGGAAGAGCCCGAATGGAGTCGGCTGGTAGAGTTGCAGGATGAGCTAAAAGGGCAGAGCTGAGCATTTCATTCATCTGTTGTTGAAGCTCGTCGTATTGACTCTGCGAAATGCGTCTTCTCGAGAAACATGTTATCCTCACATCATGAGACATAGGCCGACCTGCAGTCTGTCCTGAGAGCGGTGGAAAGTTATGGATAGCCTCGAAACCTGACTGGAGCTTTTGATAATATCTGGAATTCCTGGCTAAGCAGATTGAGACCTTGAAAGTGCTCGATGGCATGTTTGCGAACTCTCAGCATCTGAAACGCAGTCACATACCATGGCCGACTCTACGTCGTTTGAAAAAGCGTGTTCAGACGATAGTGCACAGATGGCCAATTTAAATCTGCCATTCTTCATGTCCACAGATATTTTTCGTACCGTCCAGTCGCTGCTAAACCCGCCGATAACGCGCCGCGCCAATCAGCCCTGGTCGATTAATTTATCACACCTTTGCACGAGTGTAGACGCTTCCCATCGAGTTAGTCATCGCATCGAGAGGGTGGTAGCCTTCCCCGAGCGATGTCGGCGCCTGACCGAAAACGGCTGCCTCATCCATTGCCCGTATTTGACATCCGCGCACTTCATAGCAAGCATCGTCATCAGGGGGTTTATGAGATTGTGACCCAAGAGCCCCACATCAGAGACCCACATTGACCTCCCGTACTTCCGTGTGAAGGCTATAAGTAGTCCGTTCTTTTACTCAGTACAACAGAATTTATTCTACACCCGGGCCTGTCTATCCTATGGCTGCCACTGTCCCCACCCGCATGCCCTACGGTTTGTCTTATCTCTACCTGACTACTCGTTGAATGCTCATCACTTTTCTGGATATAGTCCGCCTCGGGAAGTCCGGGCTCAAGGTCTCTAAGATCATCCTGGGATGTATGTCCTATGGTAGTCCGGAGTGGCAGCCTTGGCTTCTCGGCGAAGAGGAGGGTATTAAGCACATCAAATTCGCGTGAGCTTTGTCTCATGTTTTCCCGCTAAAGAGAATTGATCATTTAACCCATAGATACGATGCAGGTATCCAAACGTTTGATACTGCGAACGTGAGTTCCCGGTTGCGTGCATCTTTGTATCCAACGAGAGTGCCGATGCGGTCACTGATAGGTTTACTCGAACGGCCTCTCAGAAGTAATTCTTGGCAAGGCTATCAAACAACATAATCTACCCCGCGATGAGATCGTCGTGATGACCAAGGCACGACTCTTTCTAGATCTCTCTGTGATGCTCGATCACTAAGTGCCTCTATCTTCTCGATCTACAGTTGTTCGGTACCGTCGGCCGTACCCCTGGAGAACGATACCAAACTCTCGATGCTGCTCATCAGAAGGGATATGTAAACCAACAAGGTCTGAACAGGAAGCACATCTTCGAGTCTGTCAAGCACAGCCTCGATCGACTTCAACTCGATTACATCGACTTATTACAATGTACGTGAATGCAATCATGGAGGGAGATATAAATCGCTGATTTCTCGTTTCCCGGACAGGTCATAGGTTCGACCCTAACACGCCGATAGAGGAGACGGTAAGCATGTACTTTGATTATCGCCACACGTGCTCAAATATACTCGAACACTATAGATGCAAGCCCTGCACGACGTCGTACAGGCCGGATGGGTTCGCTACATTGGCATGAGCTCTTGCTGGGCATGGCAGTGTACGGCGCTCTATCTTGATTACAGGAGACTCTGTTTCTGATCTCACTTCGTCGTGCACAGTCCAGATGATGCAGAGTGCGGTTTGCTATCGCTGTCCATTGTCACAGACCGAATTCGACTGACACGACTGACATACGACTCGCAGACTATGCAATCACGCACAACCTCACGCCCTTCGTCTCGATGCAAAATCACTATAACATTGCCTACCGCGAGGAAGAGCGCGAGATGTTGCCCATGTTGAAACATCTCGGTGTGGGTGTTATCCCGTGGTCTCCTCTTGCGCGGGGAACTACAACGCGTCCTCTCGCGGACACCACTGACAGGGCTAAGACTGATCCGTGTGTATTCGAGCTTTATCATAACTAGTGGCCGTTCACTCATTCAGTCCCGTACACGCAGCTGGCATGACTTCTACCTTCAGGATGGCTCAGGTGGCAAAGAGATCGTGAACCGGTATGCGACTTGCTTGAATATTTGATGCCTATGTCAATGATTGCTCTCGACGACTCAGGATCGAAGAATTATCAAAGAAACACGGCGCCAGTATGGCTCAAATATCGTTGGCGTGGATCCTTAGCAAAGACAGTGAGTCACACTCGCTCCATATCATAAATGTATCAACTGAATCTGCCGGTATGTGTGTGTAGCTGTCACAGCGCCCATCATCGGGACCACCTCCTTGGAAAAATTGAAGGACTTGCTAGGTCTGTATTTGCTTGAAACGTCGTTCATCGCGCCACCGTTTCTTTCCCCCTCAAATACCAATTCCCTCTGACGGTATGCTCGTTATCACGTCCATGTAGGTGCACTCGACGTGAAGCTTTCGGAAGAAGACATCAAGTACTTGGAGGCTGCCTATAAGACCGTCAGCGTCTTTGGGCACGCTTAATTTCTAGGCTTTTGAATGGGCACGGAACCTGTCGATAGGGATTCACTGTTGTGAGATCTTGACATGACGGTAGAACCGGAGAGTGAGTGACTCTCCAAGGTGTTGTACGATCAGCTATTATCATGTGTATATGCGATGAATATGACAATGCATTCGAAAGATGGCGTATGGGCACAGGAAAGAGTTGGATGGGATATTTGTTCTTGAAGCTTGAAGCTTGAAGGGCTGGCTTGTACATTTGTGACATTTTCCGCATCCTGTCGCATTGCCAAATCAGTGCAAATGGCATCTTCGATCCAGACAACAAAAGCCCATCCCCCAAAGGGCACAGCCGTTTCCAACCGTGATAGACCTACCAACACATCTTATTTCTCTCGCCCTCTCTTAGTCTGTTGTTCACAACCATACTCGTCGACTTGGCCAACGTCACTTTGCCTTCTATATCTGCCATTACTTCAGCTAGGCAGGCGACCGTAATGTTTAGGTAGGCTATCATCACCCTGATGCGCTCTCGCCCGTCGATAAATTAGACTTCCGCAGAGCTACACGCATGCTGAGAAGCTGAAGACACCATGATTACGAGACAGGATGTAAAGCGACGAAGATTTAGGGAGACGCGGCAGCTCAGCTTGTTCGATGTCTCGAGTAGATGGTTTAGAAAGAAGGCAATAACGGACTTGCGATGAGAAGTGAGTGAAAAGCTGCTTGACCGGACTGGCAAGCGGTCAGGCTGTATAGAGTGCGATAACCATTCTTGAGACACACTGTCTCCCGTTTGAGCGATATCAGCTCCTGCACCTGCTCGACTCCGCACGAATATGTGCAGAGCAAGGTCCTCCGTGAGGTCGAGGATCGCAGCTTTATTGCAGCAAGACCAGGATTTTGGGGCGCAATACGCTATATCCCACAGGGTACTTAGCTGGCTCTCGTACGAACCATCGTGATGCCGTCTGCCAACGGTCAGTGCGAAACCCTCAGAGGCCCTCAGAGACGGCATAAGGAAGTCATGAGGAGCTATAAGGCGGCGCCAACCGGGGTGATTGTCGCTTACGTCAGGAACGCGTTGGTTCCTGCGGGTTCACGCGCCTGGCTCGGTTCATCGCAGGCATCCGAGCCATCAGCTGTGTCTTCTTTGTCCTCTCCTGCGATCTCCTTGATCCACACGTTGCATGGGGATCTCGCCATCAAAACATGCATCTCAATACCCGAACGCTCCACAAGGCTATCCGATGCTTTCTGGCGCCGGATACCCGCCGTACATACCCTCCAAGGGGTGGAGCTGGTTCGGGCGCAAAAAGAAGAGGAGGGACCAAGCATTGATCAATCACTGGTACGCTACCCCGGCCTTATGGCAGTACCCGGCACAATACACCTGTGAGTAAATTTTACCGTGTACGTGCTGTGACGCGTATGGACGGACATGATTCGGGGCGCTCTTGATACCGTTCAAGAATAGCATGCCGACGTCAGACAACTGCCTTTATCCATCTCGTCCACCATCTCGTCTCCCCTATGTGTTGCAACTGTCGCGCAACTCTTGGATAAATGGAACAGCGACGCGCTGTCGAGTTTCATCAATGCATATCCTGCGGGATCCGTTCTTGCACATCTCCAACGTCTGATTCGGGACCACGCCTTATCAATCTCTTGAGGACAGTCTGCATGAAATGCAGAAGAAAAAAATGATAGCTCTCTGATGTGTTCAGTGTGATTCAGACCATCCGACCTTTAATATATTTCCGCTTTCATCATCCGCTTATCATTCCAACTCGTCGCAGATCCAAGCCAGTTTCAAGGATATGGATACCAGCAAGGTTCCGTAGCCATGCCCCAGCCTCAAACCGCAGCGCCTATGACCATGAGTGCAGCGCCGCAGGGTCTGCAAATGCCCAATGCGACATCGGCCGCACAATTCCCACAGCCTGCTGCCCCTGTCATTCCAGGCTTCAGCGACCGTCACCGTCGACGACACCGCCACGATCGACCACGGCACTCACGCCGTCGAAGACATCGACGCTCCTCGTCCGTCAGTTCCAGCGTTTCGTCTTCGTCCTCCCTGTCCTCCCCTTCGACTGCAGCCACCTACTACCCGCGACACCACCGCTCTCACCATCACAGGCATAACCCACTACCGCCCCCACCTAAAGATGTCCTTGCGACAACCCCTTATCGTTCTCTGCTGCCGGAGCTCCCAAGCATGCGCGGCGAATATTGGCGTTCCTTCCCTGCCGCTCTAGACCCGTATTCTCATCGACACCCTTTGCATCACGAGGGCACATTGGGAAAGTATGCAGATGCGAAGGCTGGAAGAAAAGAAGGCGGCGGGTTTTTCAACTCCTGGAGAAAGAAACGCCGACGCGAGCGTGAGGAAGCGTCGTTGGCACAGGCGGCTGCGATGCTGCAGCAGACTGGCTACGTTCCCATGAACCCTCAAGGCGCGATGCCGATGCCGCAACCGGAGACCGGTGCTGAGTCCATTCAACCTCGTCCCATGGCAGGACCGGGGATGCCCGTTCCTCAACCGGCACCGTCTCCCGCCCCCTATATGCCAATGCCCTCACCTAGGCCAAATGGCATGCCCATGCCTGAACCTGCGCAGGGTAGCACATCTATGCCGGCTCCGATGGCTGGTGGTAGTGCTCCTGCTATGACGTCTATGCCTACTCCCGGACCGTCTACGATGGCCATGCCAGGTGCTAGCGTCATGCCCATGTCGACCCCCTCCCGCGGCGCTATGCCTATGCCATCACCTTCACTTGGAAACCAGCCCATGCCGCCTGCTTATGGCGTGCAGCCTGTTCTCATCAGCGGCTATGGCCCTTATGACGGGTTTCTACACCACTCTTCCTATTCGATCCTCTACGAAGGCGAGCTTTACCCCAGCGCGCTGCATCTATTTGAGGCCATGAAATTCGAAGACACGCGACCTGATATTTCTGCTAGGATCCGTGACACGCAGAGCCCGGACGAGGTGTTTGCCATCAGTCGTGAAGCCGAAAACCTCACGAGGCCGGACTGGCCCTCTGTTGCTGTTGGAAAGGCGCGTCCACCGCCTTGTTGATATCGTTTTCATACTGATCGACTCGCACTCTTAGATGGATGACGTTCTCTATCTCAAATTCCGCCAACACGGACATCTACGCTCGATGTTGCTCGAAACCGGGAATGCGCCCCTGGTATACGCGGAGCCGAATGATCACTTCTGGGGCGAAGGCCACATGGGCCAGGGCCAGAATCAATTAGGCCAGGCTCTAATGCGTGTGCGCGATCGGTTGAGGGCGGAGCTTTCTGCATGATTTTTGGGGGGATTCTGACAAAAGTTCGCAAGATCATGATTCCACGAGTTTATTTTATTTTTTCCAGTAACGACACTTGATGCTACGACATCGACGCCTGGATTTGCTTTTCGTTTGCTGCTGACATCTATTATGCAAATCATGGATACCTGTACCACATACTATTATCTGTTCTGCTTTGGCTTGTCTGTATTTGGTTCCGCTTGCTTTCCGATTTGGTTACACAGATGTCTCGATGAATTTTCTCGCTGCTACTCTGACCTAGACTATTTACGCTTCTGAGTTTCTTCCATCTACGAGTACGGATACATCTTCGAATTTACTTATGTCTTCGTCGTCTTTTGCGCGCCTGCGACTCTTCTTCGAGGGAGGCTGCAACCACTACTTCCTTCGCGCCGCGGCCACTGCCCTCACGTTGCTGGCCGACTTCGCGGGCGCGTTGAACGGCCTGACGGCGAACTTTTTCAGGGACTCGCTCCCAGTACACCTCTTCCCGCCGCCCTTGGACGAGCTCAAATTCGAGCGGCTTCTGCGAGGTGTTTAGCGCTGCGGGGGCGCCGGATGAATCGAGGCCGTTCGCCTGGACTGTTAAATTGAGGGTGAAGTGGGCTACGAGAGCGTGGGCGTGTCGAGGCGTTGCGAGGCGAAGGTAGCACTAGGATTGAGGATCGGTGCGGTGGTCCCTACGTAAAGCGGATGATGGAACATACTGTATCGAGGCCCTTGTTGAAGTCAACGTAGTCGATACCGTCCGGCGGCAAGTCCCCGCCTCCTTCCAATAGGGCAGCAGAAAAGAGAGCACGAAGAGCAGTCTTGTTAGTCTCTGAATTCACGTTGCGGACGAAGACGAGACAGTTCGGTGGGTACGGAGCAGAAGGGTCGAGGTCCATCGGCCGGACAGCGTCGCCGCGAGGAGAGTGATCGTCAGCCTTTGTATCGGGTTTTACGTCGGCACGACCTGAAGAGAAAGCGTGGGGCACTCTATTTACGACAGAAGAAGCTGCCATCTTGCTCAAGAGGTCGGCACGGTAGGCCGCATATTCATCTTGCAGCTGTTCCCAGCGAGCTCTGGACAAAGCTCGCAGGCGGGTGGGCGTACCTTGGCTGGGTTCATCAGCTGCTAGCAGAGGAGAGTCGTTTTGTCGATATGGTCTATCCCAAGGCCATTCCAGTAAGAGTGTTTCGACATCTTCGAGACGAGAAAGTATGACCAGGGCGAAGCCTCTGCATCTCGGAGGTTTCGCGAGCGAATCTTCGGAAGGAATGGGAAACGAGATATTTTGAAAGCGGCGGATGCGATCGGTGGAAGACGAGGGACGAACAGAGGTAAGGAAGCGGACGACGTCAGAGATAGAGCGATGTGACGACGGTATATTTTCCTGGAAGCCAGAATCAATGAAGGTTGTAAGGGGATGAAATCAGAAGGAATACTATGTAGATTGTCCTCAAATGCCAGTATTTGCGATCAAAGGTGTGGAACTGTTGAAGGACGGAGTGCCAGTCTCTCCGCCGAAGTTCGTAGCCGCCTGTCTCTGATGCGCTTCGCGTTGAGCGCGCTGTGTTGACCATGATCATGCGAATATCGAACGCGTCCTCCGCGTGCGCACGAAGAGCTTTTACAATCGTGACTTCGCTGGGAAGAGAGCTGATGCTCGCGAACACTGGAGAAGTGCGGAGAAGAGCGCCGAGCACAACGACTGGAGGAGCGAGATCAACAGGGCATTTCGCGGAGAGAGTGTGTACACTCACAGCCATCCCTGTTGGGATCGCGCAGGGTAGGATCTGCCCACAAGGCATGGTCGGAGAGCGCTAGGGTCAGGAGAAGGGCATGCAGCTTGTCGGTACCCCCCGTTGCGCGGCCGGTGGTCTGCGCGGGCTCGGGGTTGGCTTCGACGGCGTCGAGAGCATGCACGCTGGCAGATGGAATGAAAGGCGGTGGGACGGTTTTGTTGTGCTTGCGGGCTGTGAGCGAGCGAGGGACGAAGGGGAGGGAAGACATGGAACGATAATAATAATATCTGCGTGGGCTGTGCCGAGCGGCGATCGTTCCCAGCGTCCCCGGCTTGTCTCCGACTCCTCCCTCGTCGTGCTCGGCGTCCTCTCCTTTCCCCCCTCCTCTCTCCTCACCATCGTAGCCGTTCCCCGCCGTCTCACTCTCCTTCTCTTCCTTCTTGTCTATTCAATCAGATACCCTCCTTCTTGCTTTCCTTTTTCCTGCTTCATTTGTACCAACAACCCCTGGGTCCTGGACGTTTCGATTACCCCATCTACCGTGATGGCCGAATACGTCTACGCCCTGCACGACTTCGTGCCCGAGCACGAGGACGAGGTCCCTTTCCGTGCTGGGGAACGCATAGAGGTCGTCGAGAAAGACGATATGTATGGCGATGGCTGGTGGCAGGTATGTGGCTCTCTGATGTCAATTTCCACGTTTCCTCTCTTCTATCAGCGTTCTGTCCGGCGAGGCTTTCATTTATGCGATCCTAGCGTTCTCGTTTGATTCGTCACTGCCATCGCACCTGGTTCATGTCTCATTATTTATATCATCCCCTATCCCGTCCTCTCGATGTTCTCCTGGCGCATACATGCCCTCGTCCGCTCTCTTTGACTCACAGCCTCAGTGCTCCTGTCTCGACCTCTTTATTCCGAGCCCGACGCTACCATGATTGTTGCGCTGTCTAAAATGTGGTTGACTCACTTGAACCCCTTTGCGAAACAGGGTCGCAACCTCTCTGGCAAAGTCGGCCTGTTTCCTAAGAGTTACACGCAACCCGCGCCACCATCAGAGCCTCCGGCCCCTCCAGCACCAATGTCGGACGTATTCGACGGCGGTCGTTCTAGCCCCAAATCGAGCTCGCTTCAACCCCTCCAAGAAGAACCCGAGCCTGCCTCCGTCAACGGCTCAGCAACTCCTAATGGCGCCACTTCCGTGAAAGGCTCAAGGGAAAATGGCGAGGTCATGCGTGCTACGATGACGGATGTACAGAAGGCTATCGAGCAGCTTGGGCACGACGACTTTGACGGCACTCGCAGCATCGCATTCTCGAGTCTCCGTGAGGGTGACTCGACCGACCACGAGACCGAGACGGACACGGACGCCGAAGGGGACAATTTCTACAAGGACGCTCGGCAGAAACTGGCCGAAAAGGCAAGAAAGCAAGTAGAAGAGGACAGGGCGCGCGAGGAGGCGGAAACACAGAGGTTGACGAGGTCATCGGTGCCCCCAATCGAGGTGGAAGTCAGTGACGAGAGCGAAGACGAAGAGGAGGAGCGTGAAGTCACTCAGCATCGGCGAAAGCATCCCCATATCTTGGAGGAAGAAGACGAGGACGACACGAGACATTTCTCCCCACCCATACGGCCTGTACAGGACAGTGGCGCCTCTATCGAAACATCTACCCTCATCGTCCCTTCAGAAGACTATGTCGTTTCCTCACCCCACCTCAAGGAGGATTCAGAGCTACCTACCGCTACTCAAGCCACATTCCCTACCACAGGTGGCGACGACAATAATTCGCGAACTTCGGAGCGGCCATCGTCCGCTTCCCTCCCAAGTCCTGTGTCGCCGACCTCGAACAGGCCAGGCTCTCATTTGTCGGCCGATGACCATGGGAACAGTTCCACGTCTCTTCAGCAGCACTCTACCCTCTTGGAGAAATTTCCTTCCCAGACATTGGCCGCTCCTGTCCAAACTGGCACTCCCGTTTTCCACGACTTTAACGGCGTTCTTCCATCTCCTGCCGCTTCGTCAACAGGACGCCGTAGCAATCCGGTAAGAGACTACGTTTGCTGTACCGAGTCCAGGCTTCCTGATTTTTTTTTTTTTTTTTGATATGACAGCCTCAACCATCTGAAACGGCATTGTCCCCCGTATCTGGTAGAACATTATCTGTTCATCCCTCAGATTGGAGCGTGGATGACGTCGTTGACTGGTTAAGGTCGAAAGGGTTTGACGAGAGCGTCTGTGAGAAGTTCATCGGTGCGTATTTTGCACGATTCATGGATGCGATCGCACTGACGGTTCGACTTTGATCGTTGTGTGTAGAACAAGAGATCTCGGGCGATGTATTACTTGAATTAGACGTTGATCTCCTCAAGACAGAAATCGGCATTCTTGCATTCGGAAAGCGCAAACGTATCGCGAACGCCATAACAGAACTCCGTCGTCCCCCTTCCGTGATTTCCTCCGAACACAATGCCACCCGTTCGCACTCGCAGTCTCAGTCGGCGTCCTACTCACTCGCTCCCAGCTCGGCGCAACAGTCATTCAACAGTCCATATACAATGGCTCCGAGCTTGAGCCCCGTTTCGGCTGCAAGCCCTCAGACTAACGGCTTCATGGGTGTAGGATCGATCATGAGTCCAGATAGTCCCCCTCACACGGGTGATATTGCTGGGACGCCGGCGCCGGTTCGAACAAGACGAGACTCTGATCCCGGGGTCATGTTGGATCTGGATGCGGACAGGAGCAAGGCGACCATTGGGCTAGGGATAGGCGGCGTAATGGAGTCGTCAACACAGGCTAGTGTCAAGACTAGCGTAAGTCGAGTCAGCCTCTTCATGAAAGCGAACTTGGGATTTATCGTAATTCAGAAGGGCCGTCCATCGCAGTTGACGCTATCGCCCAGCGACAGCGCTCTGGGCGTCAAGGCAGTATCCGGTGCTACTGAAGAGGCTGAGGAGGAGCGCGTTGTTCTCAGTGAGGTGCGTGTGGATTCCGTTGGTCTCACGTTGCAGCAAACTTACACATGAAATCTAGGGAGAGACGGCAAAGAATCCCGAGGCAAGAACCATGAGGAGACGCGTGTTTGGTCGCTCCGAGTCGACTTCTTCCAAAGACAAAGATTCGCCCGGCCGCAACGCTAAGGAACCCTCGACGCCAATATCCAGCGTTTCGCCTCTCGACGACAATGTCAGCAAGCATGGCAATCGTAAACGCAGCATCGATGGGACCAGAGGTTCAGACCGGCTCAGTATATTTGGCGGGGCGTTTACGGGCTCACTGGGCAAGACGAGAAAGCCGCCACCGAGATATTCTGCGTAAGTCGCACTGCACTTGCTGCATTCTTGTCTCTAACTGGTTCATTTCAGCATGGTTGATAACGCAGATTTGTCTCCGGAGAAGGGAAGTCGGACGCTTTCGCGACTGTATCCAGGTCATGGGCACCGGAAAACTTCTGGTCGCCCTTCCACATCGGACGGAGTCAAACCCAAGGACGAGAAGAGAGATTCAAAGGAGTCGAAGGAGTCGAAGGAGAAGTCTCCAAGGGATCCAGCTGTCCTTCGAAAGCGAACCTCTTCTGTGGTTGAACCTCCACCTCGCAATGTGGCTATTCTCAAGGCCGGACAGAGTTTTCTCGAACAAATCGGTAGCCCCGACCACAACGGATGGATGCGTAAGAAAAGTGACCGCTACAATACGTGGAAGTCGCGCTATTTTGTCCTCAAGGGATCACATCTCTACTGGCTACGAAGCAATAGCACTGCGGTATGCCGTCTTATCTCCTCATGGGCGTACACAGACTTACGCGTGATTGTAGGAAACCAAGATAAAGGGCTATATTAACATCGTGGGGTACAAGCTGATCACGGACGAGAAGGTGGATCCTGGACGCTATGGTTTCAAGATGATCCACGAGAGCGACAAGACGCACTTCTTCAGTTCCGAAGAACAGAATGTGATACGGGAGTGGATGAAGGCGCTCATGAAGGCGACGATAGATAGAGACTATACCAGTAAGTATTGAACAATATACCTCACCCGACGCGGTCGTCAATTTTCCTTAGAACCTGTCGTGTCGTCTGTCAACATACCTACCATCCCCCTCACTGTGGCTCAGGCGATGAACCCCGCACCACGACCACCTTCGCCGACTGCGCGCGCGGCAACTCAGAAAGCGTTGCGGCGAGAGAATCCTCATCAGCTTTCCACTCGTGATGCGCAGATTCTGATGATGGGGCTTCCATCATCGAGCAGTCAGGCGAGCACGAAAGACGGAGAGCGTGCGAGGTTAGATTCGTTTTTCACAAACGAAGCTGCGGAAACTCCTCTCACTGCCACAACCCTCAAATCCATGTCCCCTAATTTGTCTGCTCCTGCGAGGCCGTCGCGAGAGATGCGTCGGTTTGGTTCATTGCAGTCTGACGTAGGCCTTCCCCAATTTCGATTACACCAACGTCTCTGATCTGAGCGTTCCCTTGTTTAATTACCTACCTTGAATAGGCTGCCATTGAGCCGAGTTTGATTGAGTGGGCCAACTCTCATCTTCCTAAGTCTTTGAAAATCGTCGATACCACTGGGCCAGCAGCCAGCGGATTGACTCTTCTCAGACTTGCGGAAGATATTAAAGGTCGGCCATGCTCCCCGCCCGTTCCTGATTCCGCGTTCCCATCGGGTCCGAATGACGATAAGCTCGACGGTCTCTTCCGATTATTTGACTTTCTCCTCGATAACGATGTCAAGATGGGAAGTGTAAGTATCAACGATGTGCGACAGGGGAAGAGAGACAAAATTGTGCAGCTGTTGAAGGCGTTGAAGGCATGGGAGGATAAGCGAAGGGTGATCGCGCAGTCGATTGGCAAGGGCTCGATGCAGGCCGGTCCGTTTATAGCCCCGGTTACTTGGACTAGTGCATGAATGCGGAGATGAAGGGACTCTTTTTTTTTATTGCTCAGGTCTGCCTTGTCGCATACAGTCTGCTGTTGCTTAGGGTGTCTGTCTGTCTATATAGCGACGTGTCGAGACACTCAACGTTATCTACCGCTTCTGTGTTATGTTGTACTTATTTGAGGACGGGGTGTCCTGTTATGTGTAGTTTCTATAGGCAGCAAGGCATTGATTTATTTTCGTTGAAAAATCGAACGCGAGCATACCGCAGTTATTATGCAGGAGTCGCTGCTAGACGCTGGTGCAAAAGGCGAAGCAGAAGGATGGATGGAAAAATGTGAGCGAGGAAGCGCTGGCGAAGGAACGTGCGACTTGATGAATTTGAACTCAAGACTCCAGGCTCGTACTTGGTGCATCTGCAAGCGTGCATTTGACAGGCTGAGGCTTGTTCATCAACGAATACAGACTGGCTGCACAACACTCTTAGCCGACAAGCCACTGCGTTTTTTTTTTTGGCACTCACACAGGTATTCTTGAATCAAAGACGGCCGCTGGGCGAGGGTTGTATGTTGGATAAAATTGATCCTGAGTGCAACGTGGCTCATATATCAGAGGCCACTGTGTATCAGTACACGAGACAATGGAAAATGGACTGCTACTAATCGTGTGTATTCTCAGAGTCAGGGGGCCGGTCTCGCCAGAATGTTACGTTCTTTGGCAAGCAGGCCTCTGAGCCCTGAGCGAGAACATGCCACCTTTGCCACAACAACCTATATAGTACTCGGCTTCTGTCATAATGTGGCACTGGAACCGAAAGATAGGGGCGAAGGTCAAACCCATCAGCTTGCGGACACTCCATCCTTCCACTTACATTCAACACACCACATCAATGGGTCGACAGTGGATACTCGCGGACCTCGACAAGCGCGAGAAGGCCACCTGGGGCAAATTCGGAGATTTCTGGGGCGGGAGTCTTGTGTTTCTCGACAACTTCCTTTGTTATCGTCCGGTCTACCTCGCGGATCTCGAAGATGTAAGACTGCCTGCATTGTGAGCGAGAGGTTTACGTTCTGGCGTGGACTCGCCTCTCACTGCCTTCATGAAAGTCTCGAGGAAATCAAATCGCCCCCGCGCGCCACTGCCTGCGCCGCCGCATAGTCTTCTAGCACAATTCAAAACAAGCGCAAGTTGTCCGATGGCACTCGTTCAGACTGCGACGACGGAGAATGCCATCCATCGAAGCGCACAAAGCAGGCGGGCATTGCTGATAGACCCTCACTCTCGTCTTACTCGAACGCAGCGCCTCTCGGCACGCCTTACCTATCCCTCCTACCAGCTGAGCTCATTGATAGGATATATACCCATATTTCTGACCACATCGAAGTCACCTTCCTTGCCTTGACTTCCCGCCGACACTGGCAAGTTGGCCGCCACCACATCAAGTTCCGCTTCGAATGCTTGTCTAACTGGGCAGGCGATCGACTCATTTGCATCGGGAACTATTCCGAGGATTTTCTGCCTGGGCTACTCGCAGCTGCCGAGGAAACAGAACTACGCAAGGGCTATACATGGGCCGAAAAAATGGAATAGTTCGACAACGAGAGCGAGGAGAGCGACGAAGATGATGGGAAGACAAGGTGGCTCAACCTGTACGACGTCGCGGTTCACCGCTTCACACCAAGGTTCCATACGGAAAAAGTGAGATGGGCGGTGCACGATGAGTCGCTTTATGAACCCATTATACGACAGCAGGCCAAAACAACGGCGACCTATTTCTGAGCCTAACCGACCCAAGCCGTGCGTGAAAGAGGCATGGCGTGCACTTGCAGACATGTGAACCAGAGCCGATCGGTTTGCGGAAGAGGTGGGACGTGCGTGTGAGGAGGCCTAAGGACGAGCCCGCGGAACACTGGGTTGTTATGCGAAATCTGCCTCGGCGAGAATATGTGCATGGTAAGGCCAGGATCTCAGGGAGCGCAATTATCTAGATGACTCCCATTGGGTCACGAATAATCTAGACTCGTTCGGGTTCGGCGACCTGATCGCCTTTCGCTCGTTCTGGTCGCAGACGGATATGAGTTCGTCCTTTGCTTGGGACTATGACCGTGGTATCTGGGCCGGGCATCGCTTTGATATCGTGCTGGAGCAGGATCTGAAGAAGGCAATGGAAAATGAACAGTGGAAGGATGTGAGTGCGGAGGCAATAGCGGAGGTGATAGAGGCATTCCAGAGAAATTCCTTGTAATTACCCTTGATAAGCGTCTTGTACATCTTTGCAGTCACTCAACGTCGAGCGCAAACACGCATCTGACAGGCAGCGACTTGTTCAACTAATTATTAGCCAGAACGAATTCGAGCGCTTAGTACAGCCAAAGGCGTTGCTTTCGGCACTCACATTAGATTTGGGATGGCAGGCGAAACGAGGGCACTATGGAAAATAATCACGAGTCAACGAGTATACGACGAGATGACAAACGACATTCTGATATTGGCCCGTATCTTTCCTCGAAAGCCAGGATGGGATTCTGCTGAAAAGTCAACCTTGAAGCGAAGTCACGGCGGCGTGTATACACCATTTGGACAGACGGTTGTCCGGGCAGGCTCTTGTAGTAGGCAGGGTTCGCGCGCCATGTATGCGTTCGAGACAGCCGCTCACACGACTGGCTGCAGCAGACACTGGAGCGGTGGCACAGCACCATCATGCCAGTGGGCAAGCAGCATACATGAAGCTGCTCACGATATAATGTAGGAGTGTGGGAGCACTTTTGGAGCAGCCTGCGTTGTATGACGATGTGGGTGGGTGGAAAGCGACGAGCGTGCGCAGGCCGTGGACAAGTCGCATCGGTGCACGTGCACCCACACGCGTGTCACGCTCTATCCTGGTCCCTGGAGGATACTCGATACAGGCCTCGTCATTGCTGATGTAGGTTTTGTCTTACCCTATTTCTCACCATTGACTTAGACAGCCTGAGTCGCCGCTGATACGACAAATACACGCATTCAAGGACGCACGTCTATGTCTGTCTATGTTTACCAACATATCGACGAGAATAAAAGAAAAGGATGAGAGATTGCACATGCACATCCAGGAATTGGAGGCGTACCATACGTCTGCAGAGTCGACACCATGGGGGTTGGAACGGGCTCTGACACGACGACGGGGTACCGTGTAGCGCGCGGGCTGCTGGATGCGCTCTAACAGGCAATGCCCACAGGCTGCCTACTTCAATCCCCATGCACCAATCTACCGCTTCAATCAGTTTATCCCTCAGTACCATCATTAGGACGCTGGAGAATGGAGATATAGGAACGAAGGATGTCACATATTCGGTGGTGAGTAGTGACAAATTTGGCATCACGGCGCAGTATGTTCGCCTTGCACTAGTGTCTTGACCATCAATTCTTTCTTTCCAGTACAATGCCACGCACCCGGCCGTTCGCTGCTCCCTGCCTGAGCAGTAGCTGTATGGCATGCCGGCTGCGGCGGAGAGAGCTGTGTAGGAATCCTCGCGCGTATTTCTTCTGTAGTACCATTCATCTCCTTGGCGAAGGTTCTGTTAAACGAGTAAGTGATTGAGTCTGGAGATTACTGGTCGCGCCTCGTCACGATGGCCGATGTCGCGTAAATCCATTCCTCTGCCCTTGCCCCAAGCCACTTGGAGAAAGCTGCACGAAAGCACGAGGTTCAGTATACTTACACGCTGAACGAGGTAAGCCATGATGCATGATGTCGATGAGTCGGGTCCTGAGTAGCTGCTAGAAGCTCCTACCAGCCGAGCTCATTGATCGGATCTGTGCCCATCTTCTCGACCACGTCGAAGTCACCCTGTTCGCCCTAACTTCCCGCCGACATTGGCAAATTAGCCGTCCCCACATTAGGTCCCGCCTCAAAATATCGTCTGACTGGGCAGGCGATTGACTGATATGCATCGGGAGCTATGCCGAGGACCTTCCGCCCGGGTTACTTACAGCTGCTGAGGAAAAAAGAGTTGGAAATGGGCTTTACACATGCCGAGAATGTGGAATACTCGGGAATTGAAGACAAGGAGAGCGATGAAGACGACGGGAAGACAAAGCGAGTTAGCCTTCATGGCGTCGCGTATGTCCGCTTCCCGGAGCAGGTCGACGTTGATTTGAGTGAGGAGGTGAAAAAGAAATTGAGACACATGGATGACTACTTTTCAGAAGGCCACAAGAGCTACGAACTGCTTCTGAGTCTCACTGACCCATATTTCGCGCACAAGAGGCATTGCATACAACCGCAGACAGGTGGACCCGAAGCGGTCGGTTTGCGCCAGGTGTACTGGGATGAGCGCTTTAGGCCGCCTGAAGCCGAAGATGGAGAACAATGGGCTGTCCTGCGAAACCTTTCTCGGCGCGAATATTTGCATGGCAAGGCGATCCAGGAGCTCAATGATCGCGATCATCGACACGAACGCCAATGGACTGTGAGAGATCTCGAGTCGGTCGGGTTCGGCGAGGTGCTCTGCTTGCGCTCGTTCTGGTCGCAGACCGAAGAGGGATCACCTTACAGCTGGGACTATTCCCGTGGTGTCTGGGTTGGGAATCAGTTCGACATCGTGCTGGAGCAGGATTTGAAAAAGGCAATGGAAAAGGAACAGTGGAAGGGTGTGAGCGAGGGAGCGTTAGCGGAGGTGCTTAAGGTATGCCAGAAAAAGCAGATATGAGAAATCTGTCGGTCGGTACATTGCTGAGGTTTGGCAATTGTTTCTATCTGTCTTCACCACAAATGGCTAACATAATGAACAGCATGTCTGTATTGAACAGTCGGAGGGAGCAATTACCATGTTCTGTTTTCATTGACCGCGAGCCGAGCGGCGCAAACTTCGCTCCAACTTTCATTGTTGTGAGACGAGCACTGGTCTGAATCAATCAATAGACAGAGACTATGCTTGTTATCTATGGTCTTCGCTTCCGCCGTCTAAACGCTCTGATTTTTCTGATGCACGGCCCTCCATGATTTAACATTCCCCGATCAAATGTACTGACTCACTTCCTTCCAATCCTCATGACAATTTTAGCATCCTAGTAGCAAACGTGAGATGCACTTTCATATCCTTATCAACGCATGTCATTCCAATTCCGGACGGGGACACAACAAATCAAGAATGTCCGATTACAGGGACGGTCTTATAGGCATCCTCCAAGTACTTGATGTCTTCATCAAAGAGCTTCACATCGAGTGCACCTAAGCAAAGCGAGCGGTGAACATCCGTATCAGGATCGAAAAGCCTCAAACACACTGATTAGATCTTTCAACTTTTCCAGAGACGTCGTCCCGACGATGGGTGCTGAGACAGCTATGCAGAGGCGAGCCCAAATCAGTCGATCCCTTGCAACGGGCCAAGAAAGCAACCCACTATCTTTACTGAGGACCCAGGCGAGCGAAATTTGGGCCATGCTGACGCCATGTTTCTTCGATAATTCCTCGATGCTGAACGTTGTGGTCAATCGCCATATCACTGTCCAAATCTGATGACATACCGGTTCACGATCTCCTTTCCGCCCGAACTATCTCGAAGATAAAAGTCATGCCAACTATATGCGATGGATATATCAGATACGGCTGCAAGGAGTCCTTGAACACCTAGTGGTCATTCTTTGCTCGGTTGGTCGTTTCCGAGAGAGGACGTGTGGTAGCCCCGCGAGCAAGGAGGGACCATGGTATGGTTCCCACCCCGAGATGCTTTAGCAAGGGCATCATCTCGCGCTCTTCCTCACGATACGCCACGTTATAGTGGTTCTGCATCGAGATGAACGGTGTGAGCTTGTGGGTGATGGCGTAGTCTAGAAGCTACTTGTCAGGACTCGAACATATTGGGCAACTCGAATGCTGATGGCGAAACCTACTCTGCATCAACTGGACTGCATACGACGAAGTGTAGTCAGTCATACGCTTGCAAACTTCTGAACCCGTGAGGAATTTGGTCCGGAGGAGCCTCTCTCTTCTCAAGTACGTGGATGGCAAGAAACTTCTGGCCAATAAAATATCTGGCAGAAGTTCTGAGAGACTCGACAAGATTACAGGGAGCGAGGCGACAGTCCTTCTGCTCCCAGCCTTCATCTCGAGTGCCGCATGGGAGGAAGGAGATGCATGGGAGCCAAAAGCGGATGAGCGCACACACATAGCTGGCCACCGACCGCGGGATGTCGCGGTTGACAAGATAGCGCGCCTAGCCAGAGACGGTGGAAGATGGCTCCCCCAAGACCATAGTCCAGACTCAAACGACCTGTGCGGGGAGCGGCCCGGGAAGTGGCAGCATACAATGGCTGAAGAAGTTGGAACGCGGATAAGAGAAGCAGACGAGGCGGGAAGGTGGAGAGGACATGACGTGAGTCGCTCTCCGCATTCGCGGCGTCCATGCCTCCGAATGCAAGCCCCACGTCACATTCGAGTGGAAGTGGTAGTGCAAGGGTCAGGGCAGGGGCGTCTAGAAACGCGCTGGTCTCGATGGTGTCGAGTCCCAAAAGAATAAAACTCGTCAGATGTCGATGTCAGAGCATGTCGGAAACGTCGACCGCGAGCAGCGCGGGCAGAGGCCGCGTTGTACGACTGCGTAGGTTGGAGAGAAACCTCGGTGGATATGGGGATGTCGCATCGCATCAGTGGATCCAGAATTGTCGATCCAGATGGATAAAGGAGGCGAGTGCGGGAAGCGTCGAGTAGCGCGACGCGTCACGAGAGGTCACGAGCCCCGTTGGGCCGACCATCTGCACCATCGATAATCTCAGGCTCATGCTCACTCACAGCGACGAGCACCCCTCAAGGGAGTCTGCGGTGCTGCGTATCGATCGCGTTTGTGTCGAGGTCAAACTCGAGCCCAGTGCCAGTGCAGGTTGCTCTCAAGGAATCAAGACATCGCAAGCATGGTATGACAATGGCATAGTGGCGAGGTATCATATATTATGTTCATCCTAGATTACTGCCGCTCTTCTCTGGCTGAAAGACAGATCCTTCACCCTACCAGATGTTCAATCCGACTCCTCTTCATCCACATCCGTATCATCCACACTCTCCCCGTCTGCATCATCTACATTCTCCACGTTCGCCTTCTTCGAAATCACCCCGTGTATATCTTCCAAGTGCCGCTTCAACACCCACGGCCTTGACAGACCCTCGCCGCACCCCTCAATGGGGCACACGCAATTCTTCCTCAGCTGCGTCGCGCAAAATTCCAGTTCCGGGTACAGCAACGCGAGCACGTTCAGGCGGTGCTTGTTGGTCTTCAGGTGCTTCGTCACCTCCGACTGCTTCGTGAAGCCTCCCTTGCAGATATGGCACCCGACCCCGTTCGGGTCGTACGGTGTCTGAGGGGGTTTGCGCTTCTTCGGCTTGGCGCTCAATGGCGCCTTTGAGGACGAAGACGAGCCCGATGTTTTGGCCGGGGGTTGCTTTTGCTTTTTTGACTTGGCACTCGATGCCGCTTTGGATGAGGATTTCGAGCTGGCTGCCCGAGGCGGTTGTATACGTCTTTGCGGCTTGGTGATCGATGGCTTTGTCGAGGAGGACGAGGCGGAAGCGCGAGGAGGCTGTATTCGCCTTTTCGGCTTGACGGTCGATGGCGCCGTTGACAAGGAGGAGGAGCCAGATGTCTCTGCGATCCCAACTGAAGGGAGTTGATTGTCTGTCTGGTATGATCCTGTATCGAAAGTGGGCCCGGCAATGGGGATGGGGCAGGGCCGGGACTGCGCAGGACTGGTGTAGCACGCCCGGCGAGGCTGTCGGCTCCTTGGCGCGTTGCTCGATGGCTGTAGCGTCAGCCAACCTTGATCAGGGACCTGAGCGGCGGCATGGGTAAAGGACGCATCAAAGCCGCTCTCGATGGGCATGGAAGGCATCGACCGCAGCAGGAAGGGGTCCTCTATCTCAGTGTTGGATGGCCATGGCAGAACGTGCGACGTTGATTGTCCTGCGGTGGTAAAAGACGGCTGGGGGACGTCGAGGCCGTACCCTGTCGGCCTATACGGCATTGAGCTCTCTAGCGCTGCACCCCATGGCAGCATTGGTGCGGGCTGCTGAAAGGTGGGCTGTGCGCCGAATGGGAGAGAGACAGTTTGGTCGCTGTACCCAGCGGCCATGAACGGCATCTGCATCTGACTCTGACGCGTCGCTGAAGCCGCGCTCGATGTCATCGTCGGCCAAGGCCCTTGGGCTGACAATGGCACAGAGACCGGGACTGAACCGGCAGCGGGGAAATATCCCTCGCTGCCGAAGGTTCTTGTTGTGTAGTTGTTAGTATCAAGGGCAATGCCCTCAGTGTTTCCGTAGGCTCCTGAGAACCTACTGGAAATTGAATGTGTAGGTGGGAAGACCTGCCCCATCGCGCTCGCATCATGCCACCTCCCGCGCTTGGAGGTGGACCATCCTGCGCCGTCATCTTCCAGCGGCCTCTTCCTGCAGGAGATGGCTGGCAGCGGCGTCGTATTATCCGCCATCGCAAAACGGTCCGCAAGGATCTGTGTCGATGGCATATGGTGAGGAGCGGGCACTGGGAAATTCGACACTGGAATGATATGTTAGCGTCGATGTCTCAGATGCCACAACATATCTCCGGTGACTTACTCTGTGAAAGGCCTTGTGGGGCGGCGGCAACCTGGAGGAAACGTTCATTCTCAACGGATGCTGGCACAGGACCAGAGAACGCGGTGTTGGATGTGAAGGCAGAAAAGCCTTGGCTGTAGTTGGTCGCGCTGGGGTTGCCACAAAGGCCGCTCTCCTGCACGAGGTCAGCTTGGTCGCAAGTAAACATTGACCGTTATCAAACTTACCTCCAGGATCCGCATCAATTCGGCCTCCTCTTTCGACCCCTCGGGTGGCAATAGGTCTGCGCCTGCCAAGTCGGGTCTGTACTCCCCTGAGACTTCCCCGAGGTTGTGCGTACCGGGTAGAAAGTCGAAGCCGGCTACATCCAAAGGGCCGTCGGGGCCCAGGAACGGCACACCTTCATACAGCTCTTGGAAGAGCGCCTTGGTGAACTCGTTCGAGCCAGACATGGTTGTTAACGGTTAGTAGGATTGGCGTGTCGTCGGGGTCAGTTGAGTAGCAGTAGTGGGATGTGGGCTGTCTCATCGTCCGTCTCTTGCTTTTATGGTTCTCCTGACCAGGCAAGGACAAAGGAACGCATACACCTCCGATTCACACGCGCCCAGCAGCAACGACTGCGCGATCTAAGAAGTTCCCCAAGCGCTTTGTGCGTATCATTGTGGCAGAGTAACGTGATGCCACACTACAAACAAAGCGAGGCTTCATTAATGATCGCTGGGTCTGGCGACAGCTGTTTACGATCACTCGATTGCGAATTCGGGCTGTGGACAATGATTCGATGTCCGACGGGGCTCGTCTCGATTTCTGCCGCTACGTGTTTTGTTCCGAGACCCCGTGGAGGGGTGTTGCTTGTGTCCGTGTAATTTCAGGCTGTGCATCGTCCGTCTAGATTTGCGACCATACGTCTCGATCACTGTCACGATCCCCTGGTGGTACATAGATACGAGTCGATCGTCTTTGTGGACTCTCTTTCTTCACCCGTCTGATCCGGGCAGTGCTTCTCGACTGTTCTCCAAGACGAACGTCGGTCTGTGGTCGCCCAATCGGAGCTTGTGGTGGCATCGCGGGGGATGCCACCTCAAGCTGCGAAGGCTTTTCTTCAGTTTGAAGTCAATGTCTAGGTATCAAGCTTCGAGCCTCGTCGCACCTGTCGCCATCAGAGCCTCAATAAGTGAAACACACATCGCCGCTGCTTTCGCTAGTCAAGTGCTACAATACCGCTGGTCTGAAGACCGTGTCTCCGCAGTGCAAAAGAGGAGCAGAGCTTAGACTAGGATTTCGCCGAGCTGGAGTGAGTTGGCTGGGCGCATCGAGTACACACAGACGGTGAGCTCAGGCACTACTTTCAGTGTCGTAGCATGTACACGCATCTGTTTGTAGGGCGCGCATCGACTGTGAGGGTTTGCTTAGACTTGGCAGAGCGATAGTCTGTCTCCAGACCGTGCATACGAGCTTTACCCGTCCAGAAGCATGCCACCACGCCAGTCGTCATATCCACAGTCTTGCCTTGTTCGCTCATGCGCAGCTTCAATCATTGGGGGCTGGGACGACGTTAAGGAGCGATTGGTGATCGGTCGACTTCGTTTGTGCGAGCACGATGGCAAGATGCCACCGCGCGACGCGGAGATATCGCGGCAGTTTGATTTGAATTTCGTGCAAAAGGCAATGGTGTTGGCATCGAACAACTCACCCTCGAGCCAGCCTCTTCTCCTTACATTTTGTTGATTTCCTGTTCAACGGAACCCTGGAGGTTGATCGTTCCACACGATGACGCAAGTTCAGTTTACACAACGTGGACACATCCAGCTGCAGTTAAAATCAAATCAAATCAACCATATAAGATTATCAAGCTCCCAAAGGGCGGAGCCGTCCTGTCTGCACCAGGAGCGCGAGATCGAATAGCCGGCGCTGCTGCGCATGTGAATGGCCGACCTTAGTGAGGACCGCCATGAACGCTAGGTATGTCGTGGTGTCTGTGGGCTCTTTGTACCCCTCACGGATCACATAGTTGTTCTCTCGGAGGAGTAAACTCTCGCGCATCCAGTTCAAGAGCTTCGCGACCAAGATCCACTCACTCTCCCATGAGTCTGTGCACATCAGGTGAGCGCTATTGAGCGATCGCGGGTCCATGAGGCGCTGCTTCTTCATTGCAATGCTGCTGCGACCGGAAGCGTTCCAATCGCCCAGCGGCGGTAGTGGAATGACATCGGTATCTTTGCACCAGACGCAGACCCAAAAGAGGATCCGGACGAAGGCCTCGAGGTCATACCTGTCACTTCACCCCGCTTCCCCGGGGACTCGCCCACCATGGCCGCAAGGTCCCAGTCGTTCATCACCTCGTAGTATCTGTTGTTCGTGCGCCGGAGCATTAGATTAGCCAAGCTAGGATCGTTATGTCGAACGCCCTTCGTCCACAGCACGTAGTGGCCTGCATCCATCTGTCAGCGGACAATCATCTACGGCAGAACAGAGATACACACATTGAATGCATCCACCAGGCAGCAATAAATTGTTCGCCACAGAGCATGGTCAGGGGATAGAGTCGTCGAAAGAGCGTTACCCGAAGCACTCGAGGCTCCTTAGAACTATGTAAGGATTTGGTCACACCGACAGCCTTGCGAATCGTCCTGGTCGAGTAGCGAAGGTCGTAGGAGCAAATCAAGTTCGGAAGATGATTCTGAACGTCAGGGTTGCCTTTTCCACATGCCTTGGCCCGAGCTAGCACGGTCTGCTCACTCCATCGCCACGTCTCCGGCCAAGACAGCTTGACGACGAGCGGGATGTGGTCGAGGCTGTCTCCCGTCACGGGGTGACGAGATTGGCTCGTAGCACCTACCATACGCGTCGCCCGTCCACGCAATCCCAATCGACCATAGAGGAGTTCCTTGGAATTGATCCCGACTTTGGTACCCTCGTTCGAACCAGAAGCCGGAAATTGGAACTCAAAAGGCGACGCTTGGATGGCGATGTTCACCTCATCAGACGTGGTAGCATCGTGGAATTTGTAAGCATTCGGATTTAGAACTGTGTTGATGCCCCAGTCCTCGAGGGTGAATCTCTGGAAAGCAAGAAGAAGGGCCAAGAAACGCGGTAGATCTTGTATAAAGTTCATTGCTTGAAAGCAGATGATATCCTGGCGATCGTACCACCAGATCGTAGCCATATCGTCTGGGTTTGAGATGAGATCGAAGTTCTGAGCAAATAAAGCTGTTGAACTCACCGACGATGTGCATATCGATGACGTGGTTGACACTCAAAGCGGTGTTTAACATATTAGTCGCACGAATTGCGCATCGAATGTGTGACTGCTGTAGGTCCGATTTAGAGAAAGGTATGCGAGTGTTTGATTCTTCGGTCATCCGTGTGTTTGTTTCCCATAGAGCTAACTTCTTGGAGTGAGAAGCTGCTGGATCGTGGGGAGGCGTGTTACTGTACTGCGGCAGTGGTCGTGGGATGGCTGTGGATTTATGCCATTTCTACGGCAGACAGAACATCGGGCCACACAAACCCATATGATGGCAGATTTTGGCAGAGGTTCTCAAGCTCCATGGTCCAGTATACATTTTGGTGTTGATTCGATGCGCGTCTTGCGGAAGCAAGAGAGGTTATGATGACCAAGCGCCTATTGGGGATTTGTTCCTCGCGATCACTTTTGAGAGTCAGTATATTAGGTGCCCAATGAAAAGGGGTCTCATCAGGGGGCGGGCCCCGCAGGGGCGAGTAGTTGAGTATGCTCAATTTGCGTAGAGCATAGTTACAGATGCCAATGGACGATACTTGTCGTGCCTCCATCAGCCTCAATGCACGGTGTTGGGGTTTATCTGTCTCTGGAAATGCGCCGCTGGAGAGAAGAGAAATATCAATAGAATGTAGCAACCCACGAATCAGAACACACACTAAGCATGTAAGAGCGTCTGCATCTCTTGTTCGTTACAGATCGGAAGCACTTCGTTGAGACATTGCTGCAGCAGCGTGTCCTGGTCGACTTTGAATCGACATTCATCATCAATAACACACTGCGTCAGGAAGTACTTGAGGAGCTGGTCGAGCCCGCAGGTGTCGTTGTATGACCTGATTCATTGTGATCGCGGCGTCCTGGTTAGAGCTTGCAAGGACAGAAAGCCATGAATTTGCCCCATGATACAACGCTCCATATATGAGAATTCGACCTAGTTCGATTCACAGTGAGCTATGGTAGTCATCGCGACTGCACAACATCGTCATCTTTGAGGGTCGTTTGAATCTGGCGGGATTGAGGTCTACGATGCCGCGAAGGAGAGGGCCCGTGACCTCCCCTGACCCGATCAGGGCATTCCGAGCACGTGCACCCTATCTATCACGGGAACGACCGCGACGACGACGACGACGGCCCTCCTGCTGCCCGCCATCGCCGCCAGCTTGAGCCTTGAGCACATGCGCGGTGCGGTTCTCGACAAATGGCTTGCAGACGGGCACGCGCCCACAGCGCCGCGAGAACCCGCTTCTTGGCAATCGGATGTGCGCCCACTCGGGCTCTCTACCGTGCGCTCCGTGCTCGTCTCTTGCGACGATTTTGCACTGCGTGCCCCGGCGGAGGCGCTCTTGTACTACATCCCGCTTCTCAATGGCGAGCAGAAGTGAACAGGGACACCGCGTGTTCGTGTTGTTCGTCGCGTAGGGCGCTGTCCGCGGTGAGGCCCGACCTCACCATCCGAACGTGGGGTGCTGTGCACCGCTGCATCACCAGCATCGTCCCCAGCAGAAGCGCCGCCTTCGCCGCCGACGTGCACTGCCCTCGCGGCTGACGCCCTTCGAGGACTTCCCCACCCGTGCCCCGTTCCTGTGCCCGAACGAGGGAGCTGATGAGGGCGAGGGGGGGTAGTGCTATTCACAGCGCGTATCCCGCCCATCATAGAACGTCTGGATAGCGCGCAGCGACGGGGTGTTTGTTTTGCGCGCGGACGGCAGAGTTGGACTGCGGGCGGATTCGTTAAGCAGCCAGGGGCAGGGGCAGAGGCAGCAAGCGAGATCGTCGTACTTGTTACTTCGTGCTGATTTGTGGTGCCCTGTTAGGCCGCTGCTGACGACGATCACAATGACGACCGCGCGCGCGCAGGGACATCGAGATCGTGCTTGCGCTACCGCAGCTCCTGGAGAGCGCACTCATTGGGTCTCTGACCCTGTCGCCCTCTTCCTTCTCATCGAAGTAGACAGCTTCAATGTTGTTCAATAGCGTCCCTTTGTCGGTGCCGACAGAATATATCTCCGCAAGACCGTTTGCGGGTGCTAAGGTGCCGAGGGTGGTTCCAGTGCGGTGCACTCCTCATGTTACGCCGACATGAACTGTGTGCGTGAGCGAGCAAGGGCGGGAGATGTCTTGGTCTGTGGTGGATGCCAGGACTTGGAGAAGGCGACTGGACGCAAATCCAAAATTTCTGGCAGTATGTCAGCGGGCCAAGCATTCAACTACCCTTTAATTATTGCTAATCGCCCCCGTATCCATTGTAGACTTCTAGGATAACGCAACGTTGCGCTGATCAAAATGTACTGTAGACATCGATTGAGGCGCGCGGGTCGTCAGGCGCCACTGCCCGCAGTGTCGCCCGCCCGAGCGCGCCTTGGCTGCACGTGCTGCCCGATGCGCGAAGCGTTCACCTTTTCATCGGTGTTTTGACTATCAAAATTTCTCTTCCTGTGTAAGGCTACTCATCGGCTGTCCGCTGCTCTCTACCCGAGCAGCATATGCCAGGAATTTCGAAGCATGTGTCGAGATAACTCTCTCAGTCGAAAGGCAAATGAAACTTTAGGAGAACGGTGTCATCAAGATGCGATCATATGTGCGTTCCGGTGCATTGCGATCTGTTACAAAGTACGTACTTCCGAGCCTATCCTATACGATGTCCGGCGGTGTCGCTGTACAAAGGCTGCGTCATTCATGTGTCTACAGCGTCAAATCCGAACTGGAATAGAACATCATTAGATGAGATGCCTGAATCACCTATGAATCCACGCACGATCGTTGATCCTGTGTTCAAGACCAGCTTCGTCGTCTGCTATAGTGCGCGTCCGGAGCTTTCGCAGTTCCATCCGGCGCCATCGATTTCATTTTTGGCAACCGAGCAATGTACTCCTCCGAATGTGCCTCAGACGGCATGCTGTAGAGTCGCGCACCGGCATCCCACAATATCTTCGCTACGAGAGAATTCTGTGGCCGATAATGATGGGGGGTCAGTACTGCCTGCAACGCGCTCCCGTGCCTTCCTCCTTGTGTGTTGAGATCAGCACCTCGGTCCAGCAGCAATCGCACGACTGTTTCATGACCACCGTCAGATGCTGCTTGCAGCGCATTCCCGAAGTATCCTCCCTGCGCGTTGATAGCGGCACCTTGATCCAGCAGTAGTCGAACGATTTTTTCGTGACCACCGTCAGCTGCTGCCTGCAGTGCATTCCCGAGATAACCTCCCTGCGCGTTGATGGCGGCACCCCCATCTAGCAGCAGTTGAACGATAGATTCGCGGCTACTGGTAGACGACGCCTGGAGCGCGTTCCCATACTGTCCTCCTTGCGCGTTGATGTTGGCACCTTTGGTGAGTAGCCATCTGGAGATGTTCAGAAATCCTGCACTGCATGAATAGTACAGAGGTTCAGGGATGGTATCGGCTTCACGACGCCATTTTGGGGGATCCCAGCTTTGATCCAAATCATACATCCTGATCCAATTCAGAAAACATGCTCGCCGGGGGAGATGAAAGAATTCTTGTGCTAAATCTTGCAGAGGCTGATGAGCGGCGGGGCCCTGCTGCTGAAAATGGGAAACCCAATGCCGTGCCGCATATAGAGCGAGGGCGACATCCGTTTCTTTTTTCATCCTGTTCTCGTCAAGCTCGTCTGTGTCGAATTGCATCAGATATACAAGGCATGTCATGGCAATTGACCTGTTGGCGAGCTCGGCATTGACACTGTAATTCGAAGCTCTGCCTGTTCGAATCCGTTTAGAGCCCAAGTATTCTTTGACAGAGAAGTGTGCTAGTCGGAGAATTCGTGCTGCGAGAGTTTCAGAGGGAAATTCAGGGCGCCATTGATCGAACGTCGAATTATCAGCGGCACCTGGACTGGTTGACAGAGAGACCAAACTGCCACATACTTTGAGCACGTCCGATAAATCGCGCATGCGGCTCTCAGAGTCGTAATGTGCCTGTCCTTTAGCATCTATCGCCACTGTGACGACCTCTGCGAGTTCGCCAAGCAGCATCGGTCGTTCTGAGAAGCACAGGAATTGTAGGATTCGATGAAATGCCTCTTGTCGGTGATCAGGGATGTTTTGGAGGATGCGTTCATACGTCTCGTCCAGTGTTTTGGGGAGAATTTTTAGGGCTGTCTTGAGATCCGCTGCCGTGACGCAGTCTCGCAGACTATCCAGTTGACAGTGCACCCATCGGAACCTTGGTACAAGGCCTCATATCAGCACTCAATTTGCGACATGGTTGTGACATCGACATACATCCCATTTGCACGTTTGACCAGAGTGTCTTTGATCAACGCTTTTTCCGTAGATCCCCATTTATTCAGGCGGGGGTCGTCTTTCAGTGTATTATCAAGATAAACCTGAATGTCGCCCTTGATGTATGCCGTTGCGTCATGAAGATCAACGTGATGAGCACGGTGGAAAGACTTGATCTTCTCCTTGATTTCCTGCACAGGCCGACTTGCAGCGAGAACGTGAAGAGGTTCCAGATCCCAGCTTTGTATGTCGGCCAAGAGTCTGAGTACAGCTGTTCTCTCTGAGCCAACGCACTCGTCCAGTCCATCAAGAATAATGTAAGTCTCGCTGAAGGAGCCGGCACTCCTCTTCAAAACATCGAGCAGCTCGCCAACTGTTGACTGCCGTGAGCCGTCGTTGGTTCGTTTGTAGAGGTCAATCAACGGACCAGGACATTGTTGAAAGAGTTGAAAGACAAGAGAATGCAACATATTTCGATGGATCAGCTTTTCGTAGTCATTGAAGTCGAAGTAGAAATACGCCAGCGCGACAGAGGAATCAACTCGAGCTTGAAGAGCTTCGATGACCGTAGAGCTATCGCACGTAAGGTGCGTCAGTAACGTTGAAAGTATGTTTCTCCATGACAGCCTCACCAAATGATTGTCTTGCCGTTGCCAGCTGTATACACCTGTCATAAAAATCTATCACCAAAAAGCAAAAGCGTATGAACTCACGTATACCATGGATCCACAAGAACGAGCCTGCGGTCTTCATCCAGTGAACAAAACCCTCTCTGCGTATGAACCAGTCGCCAGTTCCAACCTGTCGTGTTTCAATAGCTGTATTGTAGTCCGTGGTCGGATCAGGTGGCTTGAGCCACGAGTGGATCATCTGTCGAAGGCCATCATCTATGTTTTGGATCTTCAATGAGATACAGACAATAATCGTTCGTGAATAAGGATTATACCTCTGATAGTTATGGCATTATCATGAATCCCGGCAGCGACCATAGGGACCTCCCGGTTGATGAATGTTTGCAGTTTCCCCATCGCATCCGTTACCCCCGTAGACTTCCTGAAGAGTATCTTCGAGTATTGAACTAGAAGTTACCATCAGCCAAGCTATCGAGTGAATAGTGGATGCTCTTACTAAAGCGGGTCTTCTTTATCCACTTCGTGGCTACTCCGAGTACCACGAGCACCTGAGCAAGAATGTCGACAATAATTTCCTTGAATTTTTCGGTAATGTTTTGTTTGATGTAAACATGCAGACGTCCCATAAAGCCTTTGAGCTTCTCGAACATCTCGATGATCATGTCATAGTTTCCACCGACATCTTTGGCGGTCTAGATCGATGACGGCTATGAGATGCATTCTCAAACGAAGACCAGAACACATACCTTTAGCAGTACACGAATGGCAACGGAGACCGCTTTCGCTGGTGGGAACTGCTGATATTGTCAAAGTTGTATGTGGTCTCGAAACTGAGGCAGAACTGGTGCTCACAGTCGCGAGACCCTCTCGTACAACATCTGAGAACGCATTCACCATATTGAGAACTGACTCAATTGCACTTCGAAGCTTCTCGCCCTTCTTCCGATACTGCTTGAATCTATTCAGCTCGTTGTCGAGGATCCCAAACAGTGCATCAGGGGAATCGGCTCCCAGCCCGCCTTCGATGAGATAGTAGCTCTCGGTGTATTGGTTGTAGGCGGAGATCGCTCGATCCCATATTACGAGGCAGTCTAATCCAAAATGTGGACTGGGCGTGTTCGACGAAGTGGTCTGAGGGACCTCCTGGTTGGATATGGTTCGCAATCTTTCCATCGCATCCGTCACTCCCGTATTCTTCCTCAAGATTGCTTTCGAAAGCTATTAGCCGCCTTAATGAATGACCATTAGGATCTCTTACCTATCCTATTCTGCTTCATCCTCTTCGTGGCTACTCCGAGCACCACGAGCAGCTGCCCAAGGATGTCGACAATGATTTTCTTTAGTGGTTCCGTGATCTCTTGTTGATTGTAGTCACTCAGCCGTCCAATGAGGCCGTTGAGATGCTCGAACATCCCAGTGACCGTGTCATAGTTCGCACTAACATCCTTTGCAGCCTAGATCGACGACGGCATTGAGACTCATCCTCAAATGGGCACTGGAGCACATACCTTTAGCAACAGCCGAATAGCAATAGACACCGCTTTCGCAGGCGGGGATGCCTGTTATCACCAATGTTAGGTATATGTCTTAAGGGTTGGCGTAGTACTCACCATCACTAGACTCTCTCCGATAGTCTTTGAGGACACAATCACCAGGTCGAGGATGGGCAGAATCGCAGCTCGGAGGTCTGTTCTCCTCTTCTGATATTTCTTGCGACCTTGAAGGTCCACGTCAAGGAGTCTAAACAGAGCATCGGGAGAATCTTCCCCGAGCCAGCCTTCTAAATAGTCGCGCTCTGTGTCTTTTTTGTATTTCGTGAGCGCTGCTATCCAGACCTCCTGAAATTGCGATCCTGGATTTAAATTCGGCATTTTTGACCGCTCAATCGGATAGGTGAGAGGAGAAGGTGAGGGATGCTGGGCTACAGAACAACGTGTACACAGGAGACCCTAGAAACAGCCACGAGGAGCAAGCGCTGCTCCGGAACTACAACGAGTTGAATGCCATGACATTATTACACGCACAGGAATGTGATACCTTGGTTTTTACTTGACAATCAAATCGGGAGTGAAATGCTGGAACAAGTTGGGACACTCGGATTGTCGAAAGGACTATATGATTGATGACAATCAATTCATGTCCATTAGTAGTAGAAGAAAGATAGCTAGATCCTGAGTTTCGATGACACACGTCGGTCCTCAGCACTCTTCGCTCTCAGTCCCATTCGAGTTTCTGTCGCCATGAAAATGCACATTACTTACCTAGCGCTAACTATCCCCCTATGTTTCTCTTGACTATTGCCCCCAGTGTCTGGTCAATAGAATCGGAAACGTGTCCGTTCGAGTGTCGGCGTAGGTAAGTGTGACCTTGAATCATTTTCTGATGCACAGAGAAAGGACAGAAAGGTTAGGACGCTAACTCACTGCTGGTTCGAGGAGACATCACGTGCGCAGCTGATGGCTCCGCGAATCTGATCCTCAAAGTTGTTCTCCTCGCCGCCCACGCACTCGCCCTCATCGCCTCTGACGGCGAGCGGGCTTGACGTTGTCGCATCTGAGCTGTTTCAAGCAAGAACTCTCGGTTCCTGTCAATAGCCGTTTCGACCACGCAAACGGCAAACCCCGAGACTCCCATCCAGCCGAGCATCTCTCTCAACATCGGCATGTCGAACTACTACAGTGCCAGCACAGTCCACTGCTCCATCGGTGCCCTCCGTAGTATCATACCCGCTAATCGACACATCTTCCAAGGATCCTCCCAACCGTGCCCTCTGCATCTGTGTCTATTACGTCATCAGGCTTTTTATCGCCTGTATTCGCACCCGCTTCCACAGTGTACCTTCTCCCTGGAGAAGGCTAGGACCGACACAGCTGCCATCGCACAGAAGGTGCAGAGCGATGTGGATGAGGCTGAGCTCTAGGATTCTTGTGCGATAGTGAGTGCTCATTGTTCCTTCTTCCTTCTATCACCTTCATCATTCATTTCACCACTCGGCTTAAGAGCCTCTCAAATCATCTTCGTTTATCAAAACGCTGGCAAGAGGGCTATGGAAGGCAAACTTTTCTACCTCTCCAGCACTACCGATGTGCGCAACATGGACAAAGAGGCCAAGGACACTGGCTGCGAGACCTGGTACCTGTTATGCGCCCTCGATTCAACACCGCAAGAGTACACGAAGAAACAAAATGTCGAGCCTGGACGCATTAATGATGAGACCGGCACCCCTCGCTGCGCCATCGTCGACGCGTCCGCCTGTCATCCTTATGCCCCCTCTATGATCAGTGACCCTCACTGCCGCGCTGATCTTGCCATTCTCGTCTTATGCTCCTGAACACGATGTTTCGAGTCTCGGTCCATGCGCGAGGGTCAGATGCGCGAGCAACTCAGACTGCACGCGTCGGGAAGATGGACGATCCTGCGAATGGGAGGGGGAAGGCGGGCTTTGAAGAGTTCAAGGACAAGGAGACACCGTGTGTGAGTTCAGGGAGCCGTGTTGTGCTGTCTGTATGTGCGTGGTGGGGATGCGACCGTTGAGCATCGAATTGGGTTACCGAGCAGACTGTGGACATGGGTCGTTGTTCATCGCCTGCGGATTCTGATCTCATCGCTGGCAAAGCCAACTGGGTCGCGATATCGTACTACATGGCTAATGTCAGCTGTCTCTCTTCCTCGTCACCTGTGCGCTTCGCCTCCCCAGTCCCCACGCTCACTCTGTACACCGTGCAGCTGCACGGGCAGCTTTGATGCACGCTAGCGACGATCACACCGCCTGTCGTCGAGTTTGGTATACTTACGCACCGGGGGATCCGCATTTGCTTTCGAAATCTCTTCGTATCTGCTCGGGCAATCTGTGGACTTCTGTGGATTGTCTCTCGGGATTATTTTTGGAGGCCAGCTGGAGGTGAAGTTGCAAGCCCGCGGACGCTGATACAGCCGGTTAGTTTCAGCGCAGGTGTTGTGCCCGCCCCCCCTTCTCATTCCCTCGAAGCACATCGGTTCACCATTCCCCGAGCAGGTGCGCCGATGAGTTCCATGCCTGGTGGCGTGTGCATACTGAAAATAGGCGCTGTGGAAGCTGGGCAGGTGCTAGAAATGCATGTGTGCTGAGCGCTGATCCACGCACGCTGGCCAGATCCTAGACGATCTCCTCGAGAAGCATCGAACTGTTGCGACGCTGGGCTGAGCTCCAAGTCGCGATATTATAAGCATCCTCATCTCGTCTCCCCGTACATCGTCTCCCCTTCATATATAACGCGCGATGGGTACGCTCTGCATACCAAGTCCATACCGCCCATTGCCTATGATATCGAAACCAGGTCATCAGCCGATATGCGACCAGTGTGGTTTGGAACAGACCGCCGGAAGGCCCCCACTCGGGACGTGCTCGTCCTGCAAGGCGGCTTGGTACTGCGTGCGTTATTGTCGGCAGGCGCCCCGTGCAACATCATGCATGCTCACCATCCTGTTCCGTTTACCAGGGCCAAGGCTGCCAAAGAAAGTATTGGGACGTACACAAACCCATCTGCAGGCGCGTTACGCGTCGCGCCACCTCTGCCGCAACAGAAGGGCTCATCCTCGCGACCCTCCCGATCCCATCGCCCTCTCTCAAAGGCGACACGACGCAGTGCATCCTCTACCCTGGGCTGAAGGATCGCATCCTCTCTCAACCCGGATTCCCGCAGAGCATCCCAGAGCCGACGTCCCCCGCCCACCGTCTCGGCTCCGTACCGGGCGCAGGCATCGGGATGTATGCGACCCGCGCGATCGCAGCGGGGGAGCTTATCATCACCGAGCGCCCACTCCTGGTCGCTCCGGGAACCTACAACTCGCCGCGCCAGCGCGACGACACGATCGCCGCCGCGCTCGAGCGCATGTCGGAAGACGACCGCGCTGCATACACCGCGCTGTCGAACCCGCGCGATGCGGCCGTGCCCCCGCTCTTTGCGATCTGGAAGACAAACAACTACGATCAGACGCATGATCTGGGCCCGGCCTCCTCGGAGATGGCGGCTGACGCACAGCACCCTATGACAATCATTGGAAAGCTCACATCGCGGATCAACCACAGGTGCGCTTCGTTACACGAACCCACCCCTCTCTCGACTGTTTCCACCACGCCGCTGAGCGAATTGTGCGTGTGCCAAACAGCTGCAGCCCCAATGCGACCATCGCGTGGCACGTCCTGTCGCTCGCGCTTTTCGTGACCGCAGTGTGCGACATCCCCGCCGGCGCGGAGATCTCCATGCACTACTGCGAGCCCCTCCTCCCGAGCGCGGAGCGCCAGCAGTTCCTGCGCGCCAACTACGGCTTCACATGCGCGTGCGCGGACCCCGCTGTGTCGGACGTGCGGCGCGCGGGTATCATGCAGCACGGGTACTTCCTCGAGGACCGCGCCGCGACGCTCGCGCGCTGGATCGGCGACGCGACACTGCGCGACGACCACCCGACCGAGCCGCTGCGCGCCATGCTCGCGCTCATCGCGGAGGAGGGCGTGCAGGACGCGGAGATACACCCGATGGCGCTCAAGCTGCTCGTGGATGTGTACGCCGCGTGCGGGGACGCGGAGAAGCTCGCAGAGTATGCCGCGTGGTTCGCGGTCGCGGGCGCCAGTGCAATCTACGTGCCCTTGAGGAGGAGGCAGGAGATGGTGCGCGACCTGTCACGTCCCGGCCTGTATCCGTTCTGGAACAAGCGCGTGGAGTATCGAGGCCCCAACGCAGCGCGGGGCTGACGGGCCCGAGGCGAGGTTAGTGGATCAAGCGCATTCCCTGTTCATTTCAAGTTCGGCGATGGGGTGTTCGCATAGTGTAGAGCTGTAGCTGTATGGCGCGCCGGCTGCGGAGGAAAGAGCGGTGTAGGAAGTCTCGCGTGTATCCTCCTCAGTTTGGAGATTCCCGGTCGCGCATCGTCTGGATGATGGCCCATGTCAAACCCTCGGCGTCGCTGCATACATCCATTCCTCTGTGTCCTCGCCTCGAGCCATTTGGTCAATGAAAGCCGCATGTAAACACAGGGTTCAATACACTTACGCGCTGACCGAGGCAAGCTATGACCCCGCATGGCAATCTATGGCAATCGCATACGTAAAACCAACTCAGGCATGGGAACATGGCAGGCGGAGTACGATGCAAAGCAGAAGAAAGGAAAGAAGCATCGGAATGAGTGAGTAACTGCTGGCGAAGGCCTCAGGGATGTGCGAACCGGTGAGTTCGGATGTCCATTCCTTGTACAGTGCATGGTCACATTGTCCGAACAATGGCCTCCTAGTGCCACATTGCGGCAATAGCCGAAGACTATATCATAGCTTGTTTCAGCGCACGTTACCTTGCAGACTCCCCATCCTTCCACTCACATCCAGCAGACGGCATCAATGGGTCAAGAGTGGATACTTCTCAACCTCGACAAGCGCCAGATGACCAACTTATACAAACGCGAAGACCTCTGGGGCAGAGGTCTCGTATTTCTCGACAGCTTTCTCTTTTACCGTCCGGTCTATCTCGCCGACCTCGACGATGTGAAGCAGCCTGAATCGTGAGCGAGAAACTTCTGTTATGACTTCTCAACGCGGCTCTCACCTTCATGAAAGTGTCGGACAGGTCAAATCGACCCCGAGTGCCACTGTTCATGCCAGCGAATCACCTTCCGTCACATCCCAGAACAAGCGCAAGTCGCCCAGTGACACTCATTTAGACTGCGATGACGGAGGATTCCATCTCTCGAAGCGCGTAAAGTCCACATGCACTTCCAACAAGTTCTCGTTCTCGCCCGGCTCGAATACGGCACCTACCAGCACACCTTATCTTTCCCTCCTACCAGCCGAGCTCATTGATCGGATCTGTACCCATCTTCCCGACTACGTCGAAGTCACTATATTTGCTCTGACTTGCCGTCGACATTGGCAAATCAGCCGCCGCCACATCCGGTCCCGCCTGAAACTATTGTCTGATTGGGCAGGCGATCGACTCATCTGCATAGGAAGCTACGCCAAGGACCTCCCGCCTGGGTTACTCACAGCTGCTGAAGAAAAAGAGTTGGAAATGGGCCTTACACATGCCGAGATCGTGGAACGCTGGGGAATTCAAGACAAGGAGAGCGATGACAACGACGGGAAGACAAAGCGAGTTAGCCTTTATGACCTCGCGTGTGCCCGCTTCCCGAGGCGGGTCGACATTGATTTGGTTAAGGAGGTGAGAAAGAAATTGGAGCACATGGACGACCACACTTTAGAAGTCTACAAGACCTGTGATCTGCTTCTGAGCCTCACCAAACCATATTACTCGTGCGAGAGGCATCACACACAACTACCGATAGGTGGGCCCGAGGTGATCGGTTTGCGCCAGGTGTACTGGAATGCGCGCTCTAGGGGGCCTAAAGCCGAGGATGAAGAGCAATGGGCTGTCCTGCGAAACCTTTCTCGGCGCGAATATGTGCATAGCAAGGCAATCCAGGAGCTCAAGGATCGCGATTATCGACAGGAGCCTGAACGGGCTGTGCGTGATCTAGAGTCGTTTGGGTTCGGTGAAGTGCTCTGCTTGCGCTCGTTCTGGTCGCAGACCGACGAGAGATCACCTTACAGCTGGGACTATTCCCGTGGTGTTTGGACTGGGCATCGGTTTGATATCGTGCTGGAGCAAGATCTGGAAAAGGCGATGGAAAAGGAAGAGTGGAAGGATGTGAGCGAGGAAGCGTTAGCGGAGGTGCTCAAGGTATGCCTGACAGGATATTACTGAGAAATCTGTTGGTACATGATTGCTAGGTTTCAATAATGGCATCAGTATCTGTCTTCACAAATTGCTGACGTGGAGCCTGAACAGCACATCTGTATTGAACGGTACATCTGTATTGAACGGTCGAATTGAGCAAGAGCGATGACCCCATTTTGTTTGCATTGATAGCGAGAAGAGTGGTATGAACATCGCTTCACATGAAGATGAGTACTCGTCTGAATCAATTGATAGACAGAGATCGTGCTCGATTTCTATGGTCTCCTCTTCCGCCATCCAAACCCACTGATTTTCCAATGCACAGCCCTTCCTAACTCAACATTCCCCACCCACACGTACTTAGTTACTCTCTTCCACTCCTCGTGATAAGATTTCTATGATTTTGGCACACTTGAGATGCAGTTAACGACGCATGCCATGCCCACTCCGAACGAGGAAACAACAAATCAAGGGTTTCTGATCAAAGGATGATTTTTTAGACATCTTCTAAGTACTTGATGTCTGCGAGAGATTTACATCGAGTGTAGCTTGTAGGTGCACGTAGGGAAACCTTCCGGCCGAGAGGTTCGAGGAAACGTCACGTGCAGCGCGTACTAACGACGGCTCCGCGAATTTGGTAAGCCCTGTCGCTCTCCTCGTCGAGTCGTCGTCCACACACTCGCCCTCATTACCTCTGACGACGAGCGCTCCACGCCGACGATTTCAGTGCATCCTATACAAGGCGTCAACATCCTAGATGAGTTTCTCCACTTCTCTAGACCGTCAAGTGTTCTGAACAGACAGAGGCCCCCTCCGCACCCGCACCCGCCTCCATATCGCGCGCCACATCTACCTTGAGAAGACAAAGACCTACACAGCTGCCTACTCTCAGGAATTTCAGAACGGCCTTCAGAGATATTTTTGGCTAGTGCTCTCCTCTTCTTATTCGCTTATCTTTATTCAGCCAAACAACATCTCAACAAGGTTTTCATCGGTCATAGGCAAAAGCGCGCTTCGACGAGATCAAGGGAAAGCTAACAGTATCTATGCGCGGTTATATATATAGCAAGCTTGAGACGGACATAAACTAACCTGACTTGCTCCGCGAATTGTGTTGCATTGCCCATCGTTCTCCTCGCCACCATACTGGTAGTCTCATTTCAAGACCGCTCACCTTCACATGGTGAAGGGGTCGGTTGAGCCTAACTACACTAGCCCTCATCTGCATCACGTCCGATTGGGAGCGAGCTCAACACTATCGCAGCCCTTCACACGTCCACGCGTTGTCTCGATATGCCGCCAGAAGGCCTGCTTTTTGGGTTCCAGTTTCCATGTAGTACAGCGCAGCGATCTCTTCCGCCGTGCATGTACGTGCACTTGCAGAGTAGGTCATACTTGCGGTGAGTATACCTGTCCTCATTCCTTCTTTGTTCGGTCTTGTCTCTGTGCATTAGGTTAGACCCTTACTTTCACTAGCGGATCTTGCATTACTCAGAGGCGACCGGGCGGAAATCCAATGCGCTCCTTCGGTTTGTCAAGCGAGGTAAGCCTTTGCCTCTCCCTTCCTTCTCTCCTCCCTTCAAACACCTTTTGACGGCCTCTTATCGTCTCCGAGTGTTTTGTGTAACTTAGGGCAGCACATCGTTTCCCTGACTATGGTGCGCTGTACGCATGAATTGGGTCGCGCGACTCGTCGCAGGGCCTTCGATGTGACCACGAAAATCAGACTGTGTGCAGACTTGAGGCTCGACGAATTCACTGTATGCTCGAAAGCCGGCAGTCTCGGCGGGACGTGATCATGATATGATGGAGACGCGTCGGACACCAGTCGCGATTTGGCTCTGCCATGTCGCACGCGCTCATCTGTACGGCCAATTTCGGCTATGCGGGCGTGGGCAAAGTGGTCGCCATGAGGGGTAGTGCCACAGGACGCTGTGCACGGGCAACGCGGGCGCGGAGGACAACGGCACGATGCGCATGAAGTACCACTGATCGCGTCAACGGTGTCGTCGACGCTCGGGAGCGGCACAGTCGTACCCGCAGGCGGCTCAGGCGTGCTGGTTATTTGAATTGCGGTCGCGGTCGCGCAGGGAACGGTGGTGGTGAGTTGGTGTAGCTGGGGTGAAACGAGACGGAAAATCTCGGAGATGAGGAGCGCGTACGGCTGGATAACCGGGTGGCCAGGGGCGCCGCACATTAAGACGGTGGAGGTGCCTTGGGTGGGAAGGGACAAGAATGGAGGATGATGAGCGAGGATGGCGGGAAAACAGCGCGGAGGAGGCGGGGGAGGGTTAAAGTTCTATCAAGATGCAAAAACAAGAGAGCGTAAAATCTCAAACGGGGACACACATAGCTAGCCGCCAACGCCCGGTCATCGTCGTGGATAAGCCACAGAACGCGCTGATCCATGACCGAATCCGGACGAGATGGCAATGCGAGGGTGGTGTGGTGTTGGACGGTAGCTGAGAAAGCAAGGAAGGGAAGGAAAGAACCAGGTGAGGGTGGTGCGGAAATCTTGTCAGTGTGAGGCGTAGAAGACCGCGGTGGTGTTTATAGCGTCAAATGACCCAGATGCAGGGAAACGGAGGCGCGCGCTGGTAGATACCGCGTTGAACGGTGAGAGGTAGCAAGTCCGCCGGTTTCAAGACCAGATGAAGGCGCCATGTATTTTATCTGGAGTAAAGAAGGGAGCCCGCACGCAGCTGGCCAAAGGTAAGCTCCAGATGAGCAAGACGATAGTCGAAGAAGTGGAAGAGCGGGCGAGTGAGACGGGCGAAGGGAATTTGAAGGGAGAGAAACGCGGATGTCGAGGTCGCGCTCAGTGCGCACGTGCCTGCTCAGGCGCTCCGATGCGGGCGCTTCCGGGTGAACAGTCGACGGCCGGAGTATACAGGCCTTGTCGTCGTCGCTGCTCGTCGATGGACTCGATGGTCGTTCTATCTACCCCCTTTTCCCTGCGCTTGACGCGTTCTGCTGCTACTTTATCGACAGGTAAGACTTTGCTGGACTTTGCTGGACTGGCAGGCGCAAATAATCTCACATCCCACCTTGCTGGAGGACTTTGATCACTCTTTGATCTTCCTCTCTGCCTCGTCCCTGTGCCCTTCGCCTCCACACTCCCCTCGCTCACGCTTGACGTCGTATAGCTGCACTGCCAGCCCCGAGCCGCAAACTACCTCACTGGGTCGCACGATGCTCACGAGCAACGCGAGCGTGGACAACAGCTTCATGATGAGGATAATTCATCAACCGAGTGTGCAGACTGGATCGTCGACATGGGTTAGAAAGCAGGATGGATCGGCCGCGGCGCTAATCGATACGTCGAGATCGAACCCAGTTAAAGTGCAGGGTTATTCACAAAAAACTAAGCGGTTCAATATATATATATATATATGCAGTGGTAGCCGGGTAAGTCATGATATTTGTCGTCATCGTGGAGACTATCGCCAATTATTCCCTCCCCGAAAGAGGGACAACTACCTCTATGATTTCCCCTCCTACTAGATGTTCAATCCGACTCATCTTCATCCGTATCTACATCGTCCCCTTTCTCCACATCTGCATTATTCACATTCGTCGCGCTCACTGCCTTCGCAATCAGTCCGTGTATCTCTTCCAGGTGTTGTTTCATCAGCCATGATTCCACCGCCACCTCATCGCACTTGTCAATGGGGCATATGATATCCTTCTTCGGCTGCGACATCTTCAGGCCTGGGAACATCATCGCGAGCTCGTTCAGGCGGTGCTTCTTCGTCCTCAAGTGCTTGGTCACCTCCGAGGGCCTCGTGAAGCCTCCCTTGCAGATATGGCACCCGACCCCGTCCGGGTCGTATGGGGTCTGAGGAGGCCGTCTGCGCTTTATGGGGCGCACGCATGAGGGCGCCGTCGACGAGGACGAGCCCGATGTCTGAGCAGGGGCTTGTTTCTTCCTTTTCGGCTTGGAGGTGGATGGCGCCTTGGATGTCGTGCCGGATGCCCGAGGCGGCTGTTTTTTCTTTTTCGGCTTGGAGGTTGATGGGATCTTAGACGATGAAGTCGTGCCGGATGCCCGAGGTGGCTGTTTTTTCCTTTTCGGCTTCGCAGCTGATGGCACCATCGACGAGGTGGACGATCCGGATATCTGCAATGCGTTCGCGACTGAAGGGAGTCGACCGTCTGGGGGATATGGCACTGCGCCGAATATGGGCGCAGCGACAGGGAAGGTGAAAGGCTGGGGCTCTGCGGCACTGGTGTGGAGCACCCGATAGGGCTCTCGCATTGTTGTTGAGTAGCTGGGCTGTGGCTGTGCGAAGGATGCACCAAGGCTGCTCTCGATAGGCATTGTAGGCATTGACCGCAGCAAGAACGGATCCTCTTCCTCGGCGCTCGTCATCCTTTGCAGGGAAGGGTCGTAAATCATCGATGGCCCTGTGATGAAGGGAGGCCGAGGAAAGTAGACTCCGTTTTCTGTCGGTATATGTGGCATCATGTCGAACCGCTGACGGCTCTCTGGCGTTGCACCCCATGGCAGCATTGGCACGTCCTGTTGGAAGGTGGGCTGTGCGCCAAATGAACTGAATGAATGAGGAATGGCTTGATTGTTGTACCCGGCGCTCATATACGGTGCCTGCGGATGATACGGATGCGTCGCTGGCGCGGCTGTCGATGTCATCGTGGGCCAAGGCCCTTGGATCGACGATGGGACAGTGACTGGGACTGCATCGGCGGCGAAGAAAATTTCCTCGCCGCCAAAAGTTCTTGTTGTTTCGTTGTTGTATCTGAGGGCATTGCCCTCGGAGGCTTCGTAGGCTGTGGCGAACCTACTGGAAACTGGATGTGCAGACGGGGGGATTTGCTCCCCTGCGCTTGCACTTAGCCATCTCTTGTGCTTGGAGGTGGACCATTCGACGCCGTTATCGTCTAGCCGCCTCTTCCTGCGGGCAATTGATGGCAGCGGCGCCGATTCGTTCGCCACGGAGAAGTAGTCCGTAGAGGTCTGTGTGAACGGCACACGATGAGGAGCGGGCCACAAGCAGTCTGGCACTGATCGAATACGTTAGTGTCGATGTCTCGAATGCCACAACAGATTTCGGGTGACATACTCTGCGAAAGGGCTTGTGGGGCGGCAGTAGCATACCGATCATATGCAGGAACGACCCCGGATGACGCGGCATTGGACGTGAAGGCAGAGAAGCCTTGGTTGTAAGCGTAGTCTTGGTTGGGCGCGCTGGGATTAACACAAACGCCGCTCTCCTGAAGGGGGTCAGATTGGTCGTATGTATTGCTTTCGTGAGACGTACCTCCAAGATCCGCATCAGTTCGGCCTCTTCGTTTGACCCTTCGGCTGGGAGCAGGTCTACGCCAGTCCAGTCGTGTCCGTACGGCCTGGGGTGCTCCTCGAGGTTGTGCATGTCAGGGAGACAATCGACGCCAGTCATGTCCAAGGGGCCGTCGGTGCCCAGGATTGGCACTCCATCACGGAGTTCTTGGAAGACGGTCTCAGTGAACTCGTCTAGGTCAGACATAGTTATCAAAGGTCAGTGGGATTGGGGTATTGTCGGGGTGAACTGAGTAACAGTTGGATGTGAGCTGTCCCATCGTCCTTCCTCTGCCCGTTCTCTTATACTGACCCTAATCGCCCATGGACAAAGGAATGCATATGCCCCCAATCTACACGCGGCCAGAGGGAACGACTGCGCGATCTACGAAGCCTCACCGGCGCTTTGTGCTGGTGATTGTGGCAGAGGAACGTGGCGCCTCGTCACGAACAAAGCGAGACTTCATTTAGGGTCTCCGAGCGTAGTCAGAGCTGTCTTCGATCGCTCGATTGTGAATTCGGGCTGTGGACAATGACACCTGGTCTTGATTCCCTCCACAGCCTGCTCTACTTCGAGGAGTTGCGGTTTGTATCAAAGAGAGCACGCGATTTTGGTCTGCGCATTGGCTGTTTGTTACCAGGACGTTACATCTCGATCATTGTTGTGGTTGTCCGGTGGTACACAGGCTCACCTTGCTTTCTGATCCAAGTAGCTCTTTGCGATCACTCGTAAGTTTCTGTGAAGAGCTTCAGTTTGTGGCCGCGCAATCGGAGATTCCGGTGGCATCTCGAGAAATGCCACATCGAAGCTGTGTGTTTGTGGAAGCTTTTCCTCACTCAAATCCGTCTTTCTGCAGTGGAGCCTCGGTGACCCGGAGCGAAGTGTCGCCGCCGCTTTCTCCGATTAATATCTATTCAAAACGTGTAGTGAGTGGTGGTCGCAAAGGTTGACACAAGATATGGGGCTCGGATGAGCATTTCTCGTACGATACATGGCCACATTGTCAGAACATTGGCCTCCCAGTGACACATTGCGGCAATAGCCGAAGACGATATGGTTTGTTTCAGTGCACGTTACCTCGTGGACTCCCTATCCTTCCACTCACATCCAATGGACGGCATCAATGGGTCAAGAGTGGGTACTAATCAACCTCGACAAGCGCCAGAGGGTCAGCCTAAGCAAGCGCGAAGATTTCTGGGTTGGATATCTCGGGTTTCTCGACAACTACCTTTTTTACCATCCCGTTCATCTCGTCCATTTCAACGATGCGAAGCCGCCTGAATCGTGAGCGAGAAACTTCTTTTCTGACTACTGACTCGGCTCTCACCTTCATGAAAGTGTCGGATAGGTTAATCGACCCCGGGTGCCACTGTCTATGCCACTGAATTGCCTTCCATCACATCCCAGAACAAGCGCAAGCCACCCGATGACACTCGTTCAGACTGCGATGACACAGGATCTCATCCATCGAAGCGCACGAGGTACACAGGCATTTCTGATAGGCTTTTACTCTCGTCCCACTCGAAAGCGGCACCTCTCAGCACGCCGTACCTATCCCTCCTACCAGCCGAGCTCCTTGATCGGATCTGTACCCATCTTCTCGACTACGCCGAAGTCACCCTGTTTGCCCTGACTTGCCGCCGATATTGGCAAATCACCCGCCGCCACATCCGGTCCCGCTTGAAACTATTGTCTGATTGGGCAGGCGATCGACTCATCTGCATCGGGAGCTATGCTGAGGACCTCTCGCCCGAGTTACTCACAGCTGCTGAGGAAAAAGAGCTGGAAATGGGCCTTACACATGGACTACTTGGGAATTGAAGACGAGGAGAGCGATGACGACGACGACAAGAAGACAAGGCGAGTTAGCCTTTATCTCGCGTATGCCCGCTCCCCGAGGCAGGTCGACATTGATTTGAGTGAGGAGGTGAGATGAAGATTGAGACGCATGAGCAACTGCTTTTCAGAAGGCTGCAAGAGCTGCGATTTGCTTCTGAGTCTCACCGACCCCTATTACGCGCGCAAGAGGCATCACATACAACCGCAGACAGGTGGGCCCGAGGCGGTCGGTTTGCGCCGCCAGGTGTACTGGAATGCGCGCTCTAGGGGGCCTAAAGCCGAAGACGGAGAACAATGGGCTGTCCTGCGAAACCTTTCTCGGCGCGAATATGTGCATGGCAAGGCAATCCAGGAGCTCAAGGATCGCGATTATCGACACGAGTCTGAATGGGTTGTGCGTGATCTAGAGTCGTTTGGGTTCGGTGAAGTGCTCTGCTTGCGCTCGTTCTGGTCGCAGACCGACGAGGGATCACCTTACAGCTGGGACTATTCTCGTGGCGTTTGGACTGGGCATCGGTTTGATATCGTGCTGGAGGAGGATCTGGAAAAGGCGATGGAGAAGGAAGAGTGGAAGGATGTGAGCGAGGAAGCGTTAGCGGAGGTGCTCAAGGTATGCCTGACAGGATATTTATGAGAAATCTGTTGGTACATGATTGCTAGGTTTCAACAATGACATCAGTATCTATCTATACACATAACTGACATAGAGTCTGAAAAGCATGTCTGTATTCACAGCCAGAGGGAGCAATGTCCTCGTTTTGTTTTTATTGATAGCGAGCAAAGCGGCGTAAACCTCGCTTCACACTGATGTCTTGTGAAGACAAGCGCATGAGCACTCGCCTGAATCGGTTGATAGACAGGGATCATACTCAATTTCTATGGTCTCTTCCACCGTCCAAATGCACTCATTTTCTGATGAACGACCCTCCCTGATACAGCATTCCCCGCTCAAACGTACTTAGTCACTTTCTTCCACTCCTTGTGATAAGCTTCGCGCAACATTGACACCCTGATCGCAAAATTGAGGTGCACTCGGAGGCGACCGGGCGGAAATCCAAGACGCTCCCTCGGTTTGTCAAGCGAGGTAAGCCTTTGCCTCCCCCTTCCTTCTCTCCTCCCTTCAAACACCCTTTGACGGCCTCTTATTGTCTCTGAGTGTTTTGTGTAACTTAGGGCAGCACATCGTTTCCCTGACTACGGTGCACTGTACACATGAATTGGGTCGCGCGACTCGTCGCAAGGCATTTGACGTGACCACGAAAATCAGACTGTGTGCGGATTTGAGGCTCGACGTAATTTACTATATGCTCGAAAGCCTGCAGTCTCCGTGGGACGTGATCATGATATGATGAGGACGCGTCTGGCATCAGTCGCAATTTCGCTCTGCCATGTCGCGCGCGCTCAGTTGTACGGCTAGCGTCGGCTGCGCGAGCGTGAGCGATGTGATCGCCATGTGGGGTAGCGCTGCTGGACGTTGTGCACGAGCGATGCGGGCGCAGAGGACAGCAGCACGGCGCGCAGAAAGTGGCACCGATCGCACCGACGGTACACCGCCTTCGTTTGAGATAAAGCGGAGATTGGACTAGGCTCAACCAACCCCCTCCCGAGCGCCGAATACGTGAATGTGAGCGCTCTTGGAATGAAACTAGGGAGAGTGGGCGAGGGAGAGCACGCGGATGTCGAGGTCGCGCCCTAGAGACATCACGTGCACCATTGATGCCTTGAGCGATCTGATCATCTCGTTGTTCTCCTCGCCGCCCATACACTTGCCCTCACCACCTCGGATGGTGAGCAATCTCGAAGTTGTCGCATCTGAGATTTATTAGGCGAGGCTTGCGCATGCCCCTCAACAGCGCCTTCACCTCCTCGCAAACCTTATACCAATAGAGGTCCCCGCCCGACCATCTCTAAACATCGGCGTGTTAAAACCATCACCAGCGCAGTTCACCACTCCATCAGCGCTTTCCCAGTCTCATCTCTTATCCTTCCCATATACTTGAAAGATATTCTCAACCTCACCGCGAGCAGATTCTCTTCCGCATCCATGCCTATCAGACATTGGACCGATTTTCTCTTGGATCCTCACCCGCCTTCACATCGCACACCTTCTCCCTGAAGCAGGCTAGGACCGACACCGACACCATCCACCAGGAGGTGCATAACGCTGCAGATGATGCTCTCTATAATATCTTGCACGGCGGTGAGTGCTTCTTCTTTCTATCACCTTGATCATTTGTTTGACTCGGCTCAAGAGCCTCTCATATCACATTCGTCTGTCAAGTAGACACTAGCAAGAGGATTTTGAAAGCAAAATTTTCTACCTCTCCAACACCACCGATGTGCGCAACATGGAAAAGCGCGACAAATAGGCCAAGGACGCTGGCTGTGATCCCCGGTACCTCTTATGCGCCCTGGATTCAACACCGCAGAGTACATGGAGCAAGTCGAGTTTTGGACGCATTCGTTGTGAGACCGGCACCCCTATTCGCGCCATTCTACATGCGTCCGCGTCTCATCGCTGTGCTTCCTCTACGATCAGCGATCACTAGTGCCGCGTTCATCTTGTCATCCTCGTCTTCTGTTCTTGAACATGCTGGTTCGAGACTGGATTTCAGTGCGAGGGTCAGACGCGCTATTACCTCTTTATGGTCAAGCTTTCTGGTGTCGGGGATCTCATGGATATGCTCATCGAAACAGAAGACGCGCTTTGAATAGTTAAGGACAAATGCACACCGTGCGCGGACCCGGGGGACCGCGTTATGTCGTCTGTATGCGCATGGTGGGGATGTGGCCGTTCACCATCGCATCGGCTCACCGACCAGAATATAGTCAGACTATAGAGATAGGCCGTTGTTGATCGCCTGCAGATTCTGATGTCATTGCTGGCGAAGCAGGTCCGGGTCGCGGCTTCATCATACATGGCCAATGTCAGCTTTCTCTCTGCCTCGTCTCCTGTGCGCTCTGCCTTCACAATCCCCACGCTCACTCTCTACGCCGTCCAGCTGCACAGGCAGCTTCAATGGTGCAAACTACCACGTTGGGTCGCACGATGCTCACGAGCAACGCGAGCGACAACAGCAGTAAGATGAGAACGAAGTACCCTCCAAGTGCGAGGCAGCCGCTCATCGACACTGGTCGTGTTGAGATCAAACCCAGTTCAAGTGTGGGTTGTTCACAAAAGAGGAAGAGAATTCAATATATATGCATTGGTAGCCAGGTATGTGTCGCCAACTTTTCTCTAGCTTTAAGAAGGACAACTACCTCTATGATTTCCCCTCCTACTAGATGTTCAATCCGACTCATCTTCATCCGTATCTACATCGTCCCCTTTCTCCACATCTGCATCATTCACATTCGTCGCGCTCACATTCTTCGCAATCAATCCGTGTTTCTCTTCCAGGTGTTGTTTCATCAGCCATGATTCCACCGCCACCTCATCGCACTTGTCAATGGGGCATATGATATCATTCTTCGGCTGCGACATCTTCAGGCCTGGGAACATCATCGCGAGCTCGTTCAGGCGGTGCTTCTTCGTCCTCAAGTGCTTGGTCACCTCCGAGGGCCTCGTGAAGCCTCCCTTGCAGATATGGCACCCGACCCCGTCCGGGTCGTATGGGGTCTGAGGAGGCCGTCTGCGCTTTATGGGGCCCACGCATGAGGGCGCTGTCGATGAGGACGAGCCCGATGTCTGAGCAGGGGCTTGTTTCTTCCTTTTCGGCTTGGAGGTGGATGGCGCCTTGGATGTCGTGCCGGATGCCCGAGGCGGCTGTTTTTTCTTTTTCGGCTTGGAGGTTGATGGCATGTTAGACGATGAAGTCGTGTCGGATGCCCGAGGTGGCTGTTTTTGCTTTTTCGGCTTGGAGGTCGATGGTATCTTAGACGATGAAGTCATGCCGGATGCCCGAGGCGGCTGTTTTTTCCTTTTCGGCTTCGCAGCCGATGGCGCTGTCGACGAGGTGGACGAACTGACTGTCTGCGATGGGTTCGCGACTGAAGGGAGTCGATCGTCTGAAGGGCATGGTACTGCGCCGAATGTGGGCGCAGCGACAGGGAATGTGAAAGTCTGGGGCTCTGTGGCACTGGTGTGGAGCACCCGATGAGGCTCTCTCATCCTTGATGGGTAGCTGGGTAGTGTTTGCGCCAAGGACGCATCTAGGCTGCTCTCGACGGGCATTGAAGGCATCGTCCGCAGCAAGAACGGATCTTCTGCCTGAGCACTCGCCATCCATCGCAAGGAAGTGTCGTGTATCATCGATGGCCCTGTAGTGCCAAAAGGAGGTTGAGGAAAGTAGACTCCATTTCCTGTCGGTATATGCGGCATCGTGTCGAAACGTTGACGGCTCTCTGACGCTGCACCCCATGGAAGCATTGGCACGGCTTGCTGGAAGGTGGGCTGTGCGCCAAATGAGCTCAATGAATGAGGGAAGGCTTGACCGCTGTACCCAGCAGTCATATACGATGCCTGCGGATGATACGGATGCGTCGCTGGTGCGGCGGTCGATGTCATCGTGGGCCAAGGCTCTTGGATCAACAACGGGACAGCGACTGGGACCGAATCGGCGGCGAAGAGAATTTCCTCGCCGCCAAAAGTTCTTGTTGTTTTTTTGTTGTTTCTCAGAGCATTGCCCTCGGTAGCTTCGTAGGCTGTGGCGAACCTACTGAAACTTGTTTGCGGCAGAGTTGGGGGAGGGATCCGCTCCACTACGCTCATACCGTCCCTCCTCCCGCTTTTGGACGTAAACCACTCTGTGGCATCGTCCTCCGCGCGCCTCTTCCTGTGGCTAATGGGCGGCAGTGGCACCGCATCATTATCCATCGCGAACGGCCTATGTGCAGGAGGGCACCACAAGTTGTCTGGCCACAGAATAAAGCGTCAGTGTCGATGTCTCGCATGCTACAGCAGACGTCGATGGACTTACTCTGCTGGATGCTCTGGGACATCATCGCCACCTCGGGCAGACTTCCACTTCCATCGGGTACGAATGTCTCCGCGAAAGGCATTGCAATCAACGTCCGCTGAGCGAGGGAGCCTTGATCGTTACAGTAATTGAGATTCGGCCTATCGGTGTTCACTAGAAGGCCATTCTCCTACAGGAGGTCAGATTGCGAATGACTACGCGTTGACCGACGTGAAACATACCTCCAGCATCCGTATCAGATCGGCTTCCTCCTTCGTCCCTTCAGCTGGTACCAGCTCCGCGCCCGTGGTGGTAGTTTCGTCCACCGTATGGGAAGTATTCCCGACGTTGGGTGCATCAGGAAAATCATCAAAGTCCGTCATGTCCAAGGGGCCGTCAGAGTCCAGGAACGACACTCCATCACGGAGCTCTTGGAAGATGGTCTTCATGAGCTCGTCCAAGTCGAACATGGTCATCGGGGGTTGGTAGGATTGAAGTCTTGAAGTGGTCAGGCGGTAGCGATGAGATGGTGAATTGTCTCATTGTCCTTCTCCCGCCCGCTCTTATATATTCATCTTGACCGCGGATAGACAAAGGAACGCATACACCCTCAATCTACACGCGGCCAGAGGGAACGACTGCGCGATCTACGAAGCCTCACCGGCGCTTTGTGCTGGTGATTGTGGCAGAGGAACGTGGCGCCTCATCACGAACAAGGCGAGACTTCGTTTAGGGTTACCGAGCGTATTCAGAGCTACTTACGATCACTCGATTGCGAATGTGGGCTGTTGGCGATGACACCTGGTCTTGACTCCCTCCACAGCCTGCTCTCCTCCGGGGAGTGGCGGTTTGTATCAAAGTGAGCACGCGATTTTGGTCTGCGCATTGGCTGTTTGGAACCGGAACGTTACATCTCGATCATTGTCGCAATCGTCTGGTGGCACACAGGCTCGCCTTGCTTTCTCTCACGTGTCTGATCCTGGCAGCCTTTTGCAATTACTCGTAAATTTGGCCGCGCATTCGTAGATTGAGGCGGCATCTCGAGAAATGCCACATCGAGCTATGTCTTTGTGGAAGCTTTTCTTCATTCAAATTCGCCGTTCTGATGCCTCGATGACCCGGAACAAAACATCGCCGCAGCTTTTTCCAGATCGATCGCTACTCAAGACGTGTAATGAGTGGTGTTCACATTTTATACGATAGATGGGCGTTTGAAGAGAGCATAGGGCGCGTGAGTAGTAAGCAGTTGCGTGTGAGGGGTTTGTTGATATTCTGATCGCAAGCCTGATCTATATGTGTGCGTCTTGACGCTGTTCTGTTTTCTCTCCGGCGTGGACTCTACTTATGCTAATTACTCTCTGCACCAGGGAAATGTCCAAGACGTGTCAGTGCAAATGTTGCACTGATTTTGATGTGTATTGACCTCTTGTTGCTGCAAATTTGAAGATTTTGTCGCCTTGTGGCACGATAGACTATGATCTCCTACAAAGTGCGTGTTCCCGACCGTTGGTCACCTAGTATCAATACAGTCCCTGCATCGAGGCCCTGTTCTCCCTGTATCCACAGCGCCACAATTCAGTGACTCTTGAGATGGATGATGGAGTGTCCTTTTGAACCCACACGATGTGAGTCCTCGATCCCGTGATCCCGAACGACTTCGTCGTCTGCCTTCCAAATCATAGCTTCCAAGACACTCGAATTCTTCATTTTTGCCAAGGATATATAGTAGTAGAGTGGTTCCTTGCTCTAGCCTGTCCGGCGCGTTTGTCGTGCGCGTCAACTACTGAACAGATTGAGATGGACTGAGTTTGTCGTAAGTTGCACCTGCACGCGCCGAGGTCATGTGATGAGAGGAGGAGAGCGCCTGCCGAGGCGGCACGTTCGGGTTGAACCGAGTATCTTAAGTTTTCTCCCCCTCCGTTTTTCTGTTACCTCAGTTCTCTCTACTCGAGACTGAGGTTCGTTTATTCGTTCATATTACTGTTCACCTTTCGCTAATACCCCCCCTCGTAGAATATATTCTTTTATTCTCTCGTTACAGGTTGGCATTCTACCTTACTTACTTATCAGTTCTCTCTACTCGAGACTGAGAATACATTCTTTTATTCTCTCGTTGCAGTCTCGACTGCGCGTCAAGTACTGAGCAGATTGAGATGGATCGAGTCGGTAAAAAAACCTGATTCGAGGGTCAACTACCCATTGTGCTGTGCGCAGCTTGTGAACGAATGACGAGAGAGGCAAAAGGCGGGTGCAGGAAGAGCCACAAGAGGAGTTGAGTGTGTCTCGAGCGCTCAGCGAACACTCGGAGGGACCCCGGGACGGCACCGGCTGTGATTACGGCATTAGCTCATTCTTCCATTGACCTCCTCGAGTCCGTTCCCGTCTTCGAGAGCGATGGCGACGTCTGCAACAGCTGCGGCGCCCACCACGACCATCCTCGGGAAGCGCAAAGCGACACAATCGTACATCATCCACCTCTCCGCCTCCGATGTCGATCCTGACGTGAACACCGACACGAACACACATCTCCACACCGATGGCGACGCCGAGTCTTCGTATGCGTCTGATGCCGCCGCGGGACCATCTGCGTCTAAGAATGGGAGACAGAATGCGCGGAGGACTGCGATGGGGGGTGAGAGAGCGTATCGATGTGTGTTCGAGGGGTGCGGCAAGGCGTACACGAAGCCGTCGCGTCTCGCTGAGCACGCGCGCTCGCATACCGGACATGTACGTTCCCTCTCTCTTCTTATTGCTCTCTTATTTTGTTTTCTTCTTTCCCACTTTCTTAGAATTCGTCCAATCCGTGGATTGTCGCGTCACTCCTGCTCTGGAATTTCGCTGATAGCGTGCGTCTAGCGCCCATATACATGCCCCTCCTGCCCCAAATCCTATCTCCGCGATACCCATCTCGCCGCACACGCGCGCACGCACCTCTCCACTTCTGCGCGCCCACTCCCGTGCGCCGAGGTCGGATGCGAAAAGCGCTTTTGGACACAGCAGCACCTGAACGCGCACGTCGAGGTCATTCACAGGGGTCTGAAAGGCTACGAGGTGCGCGTGTCTCTATCACTCTCCCTATTGTTTTGTCTCATAGCTTTGTTTACGATATCGTCGTTCTATACAAAAATCGGTACACGACCCTTCATCAGTGTGAGGTATGCCCTGCCGCCTTTGCAAAGCACCACCAACTCCGCGCACACACTGCAGCGGAACACGCGCCTCCTGGCAGTAAGCCATATCTGTGCACGCACAGCGGGTGCACAAAGTCGTTTGCGACCGCACAGAAACTACGTGCGCACGCGAAGGTACACGACGGTCAGTCGTCACCGCGTCATCGCCCTTCTAGAGCTCCGAACAAAAATTTGACACGTTCACCCTGTATGCGTGTAGAGAAGAGATACACGTGTGTGCATCCTGGGTGTCTCGCTCCCGTCGCGCTGCCCGCGCTCTCTTCTGATCCAGCGGAGCCGGCTTACTTCCCTACCTGGACCGCGCTCCAGCACCACATCCGCACGGCGCATCCGCCGATGTGTCCGCGTGCCTCCTGTGATGGGCGCACATTTGCATCGCACGCGGGGCTCAGGGCGCATCTGAAGGTGCACGCGGATGCAGATGCGGAGGCTGGAGAGGATAGAGGCATAGAGAGACGGGACAGCGGAGGACAGGACAGCGGCGACGACGAGGAGAACCGGCTGAGAAAGCGACGGCGCGGGGGCGAGCTCGGGAGAGATTGGAAATGCGAGGAGGACAGGTGCGGGAAGGACTTCAAGTCTGTGCGTCTCGTTTTTTTTCCTATCCACGTTCAATCTCTCAATCTTCGTTACTCTGCATACATGCTGACTCTCGCCCGATGTGCAGAAAAAAGCGCTCACGACGCACCACACCATCACGCACCTCGGTAGGCGCGACTTTGTGTGCCCCGAAATCGGGTGCGCGCGGGCGTTCGGATACAAGCACATACTGCAGCGGCATGTCGCGCGCGTGCATGTTGCTGGGCGTGAGCAGGGAGAGGTCGGCGATGCAGATGCGGACGAGGAATACAGCGACGCAGACGGAGCGCAGGGAGGACCCAGCGGCATCGACGCGATGACCGGCCGCTTGTACGCACAGCGCGCGGCTGCTGGGGATTCTGGGACTGCTGGCGCTAGTATTGCCAGATTGCGCCGGCTTCGGTGCCCATACCCGAACCTGAGAGACTTCTCGTTGTCGTCGTCGCCTTCGCAGCCCCTGCAGGCGGCGTGCGAGTACGTGTTTGGGCGCGCGTACGATCTGCGCAGGCATATGGGGGCGGTGCATGGTGTCGTACTGGAAAAGGAGACTGTGGATGCGTGGGCGAGGCGCGTCAGGGCCGGGCTCGCGAGGGGCAGTTGAAGTCTCGCAGACGATGTGAGTCCCCGGTGGTGCTTGGAGCCCCGCTGGATTAGGTCTCTCGATTGGTTTCAGTCTGTTCTCTATGTTATCGTTACGCTGTCTATCGTTTTTGTTTTGCTGTTGATATCATACTGTCCGTTGATCAGGCGTATTGTGCATTCTGGTTCCTTGCGGCTCGGACAGGACACGGCGACACGCATCGCTGTTCCCGCTGATGATGGTTTCTGATTTTTCGGCCAGTTGGTTCAGCTAGTTGGTCGAAATTTTTTACCCTCTGAATCGTGTCTGGGAGGCACCCAATAGATAAAGATTCCAGCTACTGGTAGACGTGTTAAGTCTCCCTGAGTAAGCAACCTGTTGGTCATAAAAATATGGATTTTGTCATAGCATGATTTTATAAAACTCTTGCATGGGGACGAACAATACCTCACACTTTGAATGAAGACTCGAGAAAGTAGGCTCTCCAAAGCTGATCATTGTCAGGAACGTACATGCTCCAGAGCATACTTCCCTATCTGACACCAAGTTCAGAAGAAGATTTTCGATAAATTGAACCTGTGAAGAGGACAGCTGGATTCGGTAAGTACACGGCGACTATAAGTCTATCGTTTTCGGCGAGAGCGACATTGTTTACCTCGTATCGAGCGGACGAGAAGAGCCAGATAGGCGTCAAGAACCCGCAGCAGAGTTTCATCACGTATACATTGTCAAACCATCGCATTACTTGATACATGGCGCCAACCAACCTACAACTCGATCTCGCGAACCCCGTTTTTGTCGACTATCTTCACCTTATATTTCCCTGGAGCGACGACGAGTCTCCGCGATGTCTCGTCAATTGCCCGCTTGAGCGTCTCAAGGCCCTCCTCAAGGGATGCGTTGGGGTTGTGATATCTACGCGAACAGAGAGTATATCAGATTGATTGGAATGGGTCAGTTGATCGTGACATCCTCTACGGTGACGACTAGACGCATCGTGGAATCATGAACAATTTCGATGTCGGTGGCCAGAGCATTCGTGCTTGGAGGAATCGGTTATGGAGATGGGTATGAAAAGAAACTCACTTGTCAAACAAACCAAGTGTGAAATAGCTGCCATACCCGTGAGCTGCGAATGGAACGGACGCAAGCGTGCCCAGGTAATCCATCCAGTACAGCTGGGGCTTGTCATCTGCGGTGTCGTATCCCCCCAGTAAAATGTTGACGTTATAAGGGTGACGCGAACGGAGAGAATCAGCTAGCGCGCGCCGGATCCACGCGGCGGCGGACTGGGGACGGAGGGGATAGAGGTTGCGGATGTGGTACAATCGAAGATTGCGCTCGACGTATTCGGCAAACTGCACAGTGTCGCCTTATGGTCAGCAGAAGCGGTAGTTTAAATTTTACTTTTCATCGTGGAGAAAAGGAGGACACGCACCTGGTTCACCAGAGTAGGCCATGAGGAGGTGTGGGCTGAGCGTCTTGATCTTGTCCTCGTCTACTTTCATCTTAACGATGGAGCGCGCGGCGGTGGTGTCTGCGGCAATGATGACATAGTCTTTGCCTGTGAGAGCGAATGAGCAGTCCATCGTGCGCGATGATTGTGGTGGTCGTGGTCGTGGTCGTGGTTGTGGTCGTGAATTCGAGCTGCATACGCGTCGTCTCTCGCTCGGTCACGCGATCACAACACGTCACGCCTCCTCCGCTAACAAGTTCCGCTCGACTTTCTCACCAGCGACCATGTCTCCACGTCCCCCCTCATAATCTGTGCAGTACATGCAATTCTCACCGCCCAACGGAAAGGCTATCCATATCCGCGCTCTTGACCCCTTAAATCCCTCGAACATTGTGGGAAAGGCCGTTCAAACCCTCTTATCTCGTCAGAACTACTGCGCAGTCATATACTTGTTGGAATGTTCTCAACGCTGTTGATTGACCCATAGTGTTCTGATGATAGAGGCAGTCACTCCAACTATCTCTGGTGAGTCCATTTTTCCCGATGTACTGTTCAGCATTGCTTTCATAGCACAAGGTTCGAACGCACTCAATGACATATCGAAGCCATTCTCATGAGTGCAACTACCAAATAGCTGCTCATTTTACCCAATCAAAGTTCAAATTACATTCTCCATTGAAAATTGCCCTATGGTATACGTCCATGCACGTTAGCTCCGAGTGGACCACCATGACTAGACGACCTCGTATCTTGTTCTCTTCTTGTATCTTTCGCAGAGAGAACCCGGATTATTCGGCTTGATTTCCGAGAAGACATCAGCAAGTCATGTATGTATTATTTGGACATGAAGTTTGGGATGCCACGTATGCATCTTTGAAATCGCTCGGGAAGGCGCACTAGGACTGTGTATACCAGGCGTTTGCACCGCTATTACCTCAAGTTACTCGTGAGTAGAATTTCACTATGCTAGCTATGTGGTGAAGATGGATTTACTCTGTCGGTGCTGGCCCGAGTACTGTGTAGTATCGTTTTGGACAGCGAGAGGATTCATCAAATTTACAGGCCATCTTGGCTTGAGCTGGGCGGCCATAGGGGATGTGTAGCGACTTCTCTTTATGAATCTGTAGACGGCAAAGGTTATCGGGAGTCCAACGGATTCATTACCTCCACACCATGAATGGCACAAATACATAGAACGTGTGTTGTCCCTAACTCTCCGTGTGAATGCTTATTCGAGTTCTGCTATGCATCCGTTGAGTGCATCAGAATACGCAGGTGCAATCAGAATATTGAACCGAAAAAGAACGGCATGTATATTTTTCAACACGAAAAGACATCATATCAAAAATCATCTACAAGAGATGTATCAAATCCCACAACGCTGCACATAAAGCAACAACTTCGTCGTCCATGCATTCTTCCAACATATTAGCCCTAGGGATTCAGTGCGAGAAGAAGCCAGGGTCCGCTGCCGCACCCAGATTCTACGCCTTTCGCAACCGATCGTTCGTCTCATCTCCAGTTTCGTACATAGGCTCCTTCCAGCGCTTAGATGTCTTCAACGAATCCGCCCAAACACTCTCGCTTTCTTGAGTGATCGGCGCATAGATTTCGCTCGTCAAGCCTGAGCACCAGATGTCATAAGCAGTGAACCTTCTCGACTCCTTGGCCTCTTGGTCAAGAGACTCTGAGGTAGGCGGCTGGTATGGGCCCGTCAACATCGGTCCTATTGTCAAAGAGGTGTCTGGTGCTGATGGAGCAGACCTCTTCAAAGCCTCTGACTTCTCCTTTCGAGTCGAAGGAGACAGAGGGGATCTGGCTGTGAGGAATGTCGTGCGACCTGCTAATGCGAAAACAATCCGGATGATGGGCACATTTGCGTCCCCCTCCTCATTGAAAAGCCCCAGGTCGTAGGGATCCATGTCATCCAGTAATGATGGATTGATCGTCGTCGCATAACGATGATCATTCTTGAATCGAAACATGATCACGCCCACGTTATCGGGCTTCGTCACACTCCTTTGAACACGAACGGCACAAAGGCGTCAATTCCGGCCTGCGAAGTAGCGTAGAGCGTGCCGATGCCACGACTAGCCAGATACAGCAGGTATTCGCGCCGCAGAAGCGACCGATCGTGTATCTTGGCAAAGGTCTCTTTGAGTGGACGGTCCTTTTCTTCGTCGGATTTGAAGACATATGGACCTGCGGATAGAATATCCTCGAGGAGAACGTCCTTCCTTGCGCCTCTTGATTTTTGTGCATCATCCGGCGTAGGCCCTGGCAGTACGAAGAGTTCCTTGACGAATCCGCAGACAAATATCATGCGATTACATGCAGCGATGGAATCGCTGTTTGAATCGCTATGTGCAGATCCAACTTCTGGGTAGTAGATTTTTTGATTGACGTCCTGACTGCATTGTCCCTGGCAAGGGTCAGAAGGAGGAGCGCAACAAGCACTCCTCGATCGCCCTGATGTACAGAAAAACTACTCAGAATAGATTAAAGCGCCTTGAGAACATCGAAGTCATCCTATCCCATCACAGAAAACGCACCCTCTGCGAGAATCGGCTCGGATGGACAGATCGTTTCCATCGTGCGAAAGCCACTTTCGATCTTCAGTGGCACGCGCATGTGGCCTTCAATCTGCTGCTGCTGCTCCAGACTTTCGTACATGTTAGAGATGAACTCGAGCGGTAACCTATGAGACAAGCATACAAGCTCTTGTTCCGGGGTGAGGAGGTTTTCTTTGAAATACGACGCTCTGATCAAACACTGAGCGGCAAACGGGACGATATAATGTCTTGTTCTGGCAAGATCCTCTTTGCTGATATCTTTGTACCTTGATATAGTTGCACTGCCTTTGAGATAGTAACGCGTGGCAAACCTACAACCAAGGCTGTTAGATGCTAAAATACACATTGATTGATGACATACAAAGGTCTACCAAGAGTGGCTAGATGATCATCGGTGGCAACCTCCTCGAGCGTCCACGTATCGCCCCAGTTGATTATTTTGGCAAATTGGTCGAAGCCAAGATCGGTATAAGGATCGATTGAGCGTGGAGAAACACTCTCATTGTTTTGCTCCCCTTCCATCAAGATGGATTGCTGTGGATGCGCCCGCTTAGACAGGAAGAGCGTGAAGATTGCACCAGAAACCTGCCCAGATGACATGGAGCGGAGAGCGTCACGCAGTTCAGAGAAGGTAAACCACGAGGACCATGAATCATGATCTTGGATAAGTGTCTATGCCTCATCGAAGACAACTATGAAGACGGGCTCTCGGTGGGTTTGGCCCTTTTTCGACGGACAGATGGGGTCGATGAGCGCTAAGGAGGCATCAACAGTCTCTGTCTGCCTCCCTATGCAAAACGTGAGGCAATGTCGACACTCCAGCTCGATTTCCACATACCCTGTGGCAACACAAGCCTGAGTTGCCTGACTGTCGAATCATCGCAATCAGATGCGATCTGCAACTCGACCCGATTCTCTAACTGAGTACCGGTAAGATAGGGATGGTGAAGCAATTCGCAAATTCTATCACCTTCTGGGCAATCGAGGTGATATCGTTGTAGAATTCGACCCTCTTGGGTCCCTGAGAGCGCATAGTCTGACCCTTCTTCATGTACTCTCTGAATCTCGCCGCGATCGTGGACTCGTCGGCGCCCTCCCGGTACAGATCTTCTACGACCTGCTTTGTTCTGTCAAAAAGAGCCTTCAAGAACGCATGCACTCGGAAGAAAGCCAGGGCTTGGCTTGTGACACGCTTGGACCAATAAACATGCAAGGAGTGGTCAGACGCAGGAAACCCTGAAAAAAGTAGGCATGCGTGTCATTGTAACCATTCAGAGCATACCTCCCGCTGTCGGCTTCATGAGATTCATTGAGATCGCGAAATGCGTTTTCGACAACTCGTCGATCAGCCTCGACTGGCCAATGCCCGAAGACTAAATTATGGACGCGTATTGTGTGTAGGGGGATTGTGCACGGTCGGAATGGCTCTGGTGGTGAACAATGTATCGCCAAAGCGCTTTATGTGCATTGCCTCGGAATGTCCGCCGCCAGCCGAGTTCCGTAACTGTTCCAAAGTAAGAAAACACACATCTGTGCGGGGAAAGGAGGTCGACGACTTGCCTTTTTCGCTCAAAGCACGAGGAACGACACTGTTATCGTCCATATCATAATTAGTATATCTGACTTCCCGTTCAGCTATGTCACGTAAGTGAGCCATCCTAGATAAGGTTAGTCTTCTGAAAACTCACGCCACAAGATCTCTAACATGTATAGTTGGTAGCCTTCGATGGTGGGCGAGAAGACAGGTATAGACGCACCTAGATCTCTGATACTTTCGAACGACTGCTTCTCCCAGCAATCCTCCAACATGGATCCGAGCTGCGTATATTCTACGAGTAGCTTGTTGATGCGGCCCAAATAGGCCTCATCGAGCGAGTCCTGGTACAGTTCAGGACACTTTTCGATGATTGTTGAGAGAAGAACATCGTGGGGCGGACACTGGGGTACCGTGCCGAAACAGAATGCAATTTGTTTTAGAACGGCCTCGTCCATCTTCTTATGGGAATAGGTGAAGACCTCATCGTCTAAATGAGCAAGCGATGGGGTAGCCATCAATGGCAATTCAGGACCTCTCAAGAGAGCCCTAGTGATTGCTACCGATAAAAGAGGACGGGAGCCCGAGGAACACCGTGAGCAATTGCATCGACGGCAGTTGAAACCAGTTGAGACATGGGGGCGGTACCGTCTTCGGTCCGATTGCTAGCGACGATCTCGAGTCTTTAGCAACGATCCAGTGACTGAGTGTGCCAGTAGGCGTTCGTGATCGGGTGCTCATCCCAACCCAGACGAAGGACACGAACTCCCACGGGAAATTTGAATCACTCATGCTCTCTTTAGTCGACAGTGGGATCTACCTTGACCACGACCTTGCCCGTCGCACGCCTCGACATCAAGCGGTCGTAGGCGGTGAATACGTCGTCGAATGCATACACAGAGTCTACGGGCGGGATGACTCTGCCTGTGCACCAATAAGGAGAACGTGAGTACAGAGAAAGCTACATACATATAAAAAAACGCACCTTCTGCAATGAAAGGATGTATGGCCTCCATAGTTTCTTTCTTCGGGTCCGCTGATGTCGTCCTACGGTCGCACAGCCCAAGTCAAAGCCCTGGATATAAGACACGATCACAGCCCCAGGAAAGGAACGAACGTACTTCCACTTTCGATCTACACCTCCTAGCCACACTGGACGCACAAGGTGGAACATGAGCATGCACAGCCTCGGGACATCCCGCCAGGACGTCGGCTGCGGGCCGACCGTGACGAACGTGCCGCCAGGCGCAAGATACGCGGGACTCTTGGCGTAGAGCGAGCTGTCTGTGAGACCGGCGGCGTCGAAGACGACGTTGAGGCGCCCCGCAGGCGGGTTCGCGGCAAGCGCTGTGGCGATATCGGTCGCTGTGTAGTCTATGAACTGATCCCGCGGAGACGGTGACGCGCATGGTGTGAGCAAAGTGGAAGAAAGGTGGACTCGAGACGCACACCCGCGCCGAGCCCGAGGCCCCGAGCACGTAGTCCCTGTTCTTCCCAGAAGCGCTCGCGACGACGCGTCGCGCGCCGACGGCCTTCGCAAACTGAATTGCGTACGCGCCGACGGCGGTGCTGCCGCCGTTAACAAAGAGAGCCTGGCCGGGCTCGAAGCATGCGACGTCGAAGAGGCATTCGTAGGCCGTGACCGCGACGGCGGCGATGCCGGCAGCTTTTGTGGGGGTCGTGGTAGGCAGATATGGGCGTGGGGAGAGCAGAGACGAGTCGGCGATGGTGTATTGGGAAAGAGCGCCTTGGCGAGATCTGAATGCGTCGACTGTGGTAGCGGAGGGACGTCAGAGGGAAGGTGGTGGTGGTGAGTGAGTACTTACAAGGACGTATCATCCCATAGACGGCGTCTCCGTTTGACCAGTGCGACCCGTTCGCACCCATGACGATGCCCGAAAAGTCGTACTCAGCCACGGCTGGCCTCCCCGCGAAAAGATTGGGAACCAGGCGCATAATGTTGTACCCTCTGTAGCAAAAAAGCACAGATAATTTCAGCAAAAAAAGAGACAACGCTTGGGATTGGATAAATACACGGGGTTGACGGCGGCGGCTTGGACTTTGACAAGGACGTCGCCCTGATTCAGTTCACTGGGAACGAGGAGATCGTGGACGTGCACGAGTGCCTTGCGCGGGGTGCCGCGCGCGACGACTTGCCAGGCTTGTTGAACGGCAGGGATGTCCATGAGAACGACGAGGTTGGGCGCTGGATGCAACGAACGGTGTGTAGCGCCATGGCCGAGGAGGGAGAGGCGCAAGGGATGAACTTGCTCTGGCGGAAAGAAGAGAGGAGAACGACGGAGCGACGTCACGTGGATGTGCTATACCTGAAGGTGGTTCAGCAAGGTCGCCGCCGTTCAACTCAAACTTCCCCCGTCTTCATACGCAACCATGTCAGAACATCATATTCAGACTAGACCATGTAGTACCTAGCAACAGCTCGAGCTTCCTTCCCCTTTATACTGACGAGGAGGAGGGTGACGAAAGTGGTTAGCTCTATTGCCACTGACCTGGTACCAAGCACATAATTGACAATATTCACAGGACCGTGCAAGGGTTGCCCAATACACACCTTTCATTAAAATTCCGCCTATCTTGTACCCTAAACTCAGTAATCCATACAAAGCGCCCGTCATGCATTGTGGCTGGGTGATGGACCGGCTTCGGAAGTATACCGAAGACAATGACTTCGTCGTGACCCTTACATACGACTACCGTGAAAAATTCACAGAAGACGAGATAGGCGACGAGGATCCTATAGTTGTAGCATGCGTCAATCCCTTGGAAAGCATGAACAATGCCCTGGCGGATCTCATGGGTAAATTGGGCATTACAGAGATCCTCAAGACTGTCGATATCGAGATTGTTGTGACGGAGAACAAGGCGCTCTTCGTCTCATTGTATACGAACTACAGCGTAAGGTGCACGCCTGCAGCAGAGGCGATCGAGAAACTGCGTGTCGCGCTGGGCGAAGAGGAAGGTCCGAAGTGGTACCTCGACTACTTTGATTTGCACTGGACGCCGAAACTCCCATCAGCAATCCGCGCAAAGCCGTACGTGGATTTAGCTGTTTTGCTTGTACTACTGCTAATCGAAAGCCCTCCAGAAAACGTCCGGCTGGCGCACCGAAGAAGAAGCCTCTTCCGAAATGATCACGGTCGATTTCTTGTGCGTCTGGTGCTTTTATCTATGATCTCGGACGATCAGCTGCATCAATACTCTCTATGACCGAGACCTCCAGTGACTAGTGACCCGTCACTGTTCGAGTGTCGTTTTTTTGGCTTCTGGATGCTGGTGTAAAGACGAACATGCGAATGGCTCAAAGTCAATTTCGCTCATTGAGGGTTGCACAGAGCGCGGGCGAGTCGGACGTCGATGGAAAGTTGCACTGTGAACCCCAAACACAATCTTTCGTGACTATTCCTAAAACCTGATAGCAATCGCAAGGAGTGCCGAGCGCGGCGAATTGCAAGGCTCGTTAAATGAGAACGATGAGATTAGGAGCAAGATGCGATGAACGATGTGTAGTGCCATGACCAGGGATAAAGTCGATGAAGAGGCACAGGGTATGGACTTGATTAGGCGGAAAGGAAAGAGAGAGCTGATGGCTGCGACGCCTGGATGTCTTAGACATTTCCTCATTACAATACGATATCCGTCTACGGCCGTGTAAATCACAAGTTTGTCGACAATGACCATGGCTGCCGAGTCATCCCAAGAATGGTATCGTGTGCATCGCTGATCAGCAGAAAACATGTCATCGGACAACGTAAAGAATACAAGGGATTGGTACAACATGGTGTGAGTACGACGGTAGCAAATGTGGACTTGCATGATAAAAGAAAAGAGAGACAAAGGATTCGCCCATCATAGGTTCATAGCATCTGAAATTTCCATATGACACCCATCATTACTACCGGAATTTCAGTTCGCCCTGTCCAGCTCGCGACTCTACACAAGCCGCGACCATCAGCCAATTCCGCTGGAGCCAACAATTCCCGACTGAGAATACGCACCTTGCTGCACCATCTCTTCCGCCCACAGCACCAGATCGTCACGCAACAGCTGCAGAATCATGAGCGCGTCCTTCCCCGCGCGCTCCGGCTCCAGCTCGAGGCCCAGCACGGCCTCGTCGAACGCGTGCTTCGCGAGGTGGCACGCGCGCTCGGGGCTCGCGCGCACGTCGCGGAAAAAGACGGCGAAGTTGAGCGCGAGCCCGAGGCGCGTCGGGTGCCACGGCTCGAGCGTGGCCAGCGCGTGCTTGTACGCGGCCTTGTACGACTCGAGCGCGCGGGTGGCGCTCGACTCGCGCAGCGCGCGCGTCGCGAACTCTGCGAGGTAGCGGTAATAATCGCCTTGCCTACAGCGCGACGCGTTCGTCAATACATCGTGGGAGCAGAAGAAGGAAGCAGGCGGAGGAGGACGGCGCGCACATCTTGTGATAGAAGACCCGCTCTTCGCCGATGCTCGCAGCCGGCGTGAGCGTCTTCTCGAGCAGCCTCAGAAGCTCGGTGCACCGGTTCGCCAGCTCATTCTCGATCCGCTCGCGCTCGCGCTGCAGCAACGCGAGCTCGTGCCGCGGGACGTCGGGGACCATCCTCTCGTGCTTCTCGATTTGGTCGACGGCGCGCCAGCTTGCGCGCAGGGTGCCCGTGATGTTCTTATACGCGATGGAGAGCAGGTTGCGCTCTTCCGTGGTGAGCTGGGCATCGGAGTAGGCGATGATGGACTTGAGTTGTGATATCACGTCTGCGAGATAGGAATCGTTGGATGCCACAGCCAATGTGCCACGGTCAGGGCTTGAGTCTGCTTTAACTTTAGCGCAGCAAACCCACCATCCCATCGTTCTGCTTGCTCGGCGAGCTTGGCGATGAACAAGCAGTCAGCGCGCGAAGCCTTTGTGTTAACCTGAGTTTTCATCGTTGACCAACGGGTGGCGAAGATGAGAGTTGATTGTACAGGCAAGCAAGCGTACTTACGGGGGACATTCGTGCGCAGGGGTTTGTTTGTATTTATTAGAATAGCAACACTCGGGGTTCTTCTGCGGGACAGGGGAACTAGCTAGCCAACGTCTGAGCGTACAAAGTTGGAGATCGACGAGAGGAAAAAAAGGGGAAGATGAAACGAGGCGACTATAGCGGGCCAAGCACGATGCTTTAAGGGAGAAGGGAAACGTGTGTTTGGGTCCGGGGCAGGGGGCATGAGGCCGGAGGGCAAAGCACCGTCACACATGCCCTAGGGTCTCCTGGAACCGGCTATGCACGCATCTGCATCATCCATCGCTTCCCCGTCATCGCATAAAGGAACGCTGACGTCCGTTCGATTGTGGGCGCGTCACCGGCCCAGAACAATTGGGAAAGGGGACGACGAAGAAGCTCCTGGATCTTGACTTAGCGTGATCCGCGGGCCCTTTGCAACGTGAGGCTGCTGTTGTCGACGTCATGAGAGTGGGCGACGATATACAGCTGAAGGTTTGCTATGCGGAGTTTAGGGCACAGAAACGAGGCAAGGCAAGTGGAGGCTGTCAACGAACAGGTCGGCAGCTCGGAGGCGGCCCCGGTCTGCTGTGGCGTCGGCAAACGTCGGCATCGACCTAGAAATCAAAATCACGTTGACATTATTGGCTATCATTGGTTGCTCTTTCGCTGCATCGACCATCGCCCGCGTCTCTTCTTTCGTTTCCCAATCGTTCAGCGGCAAATGGGCCCTTGGCCGTGCAGTGCAAAACAAGTTTGACGATGGGCGCAGTGAAGGACAGACACCACTCAGACACTGCATTGACCCAGGCACGGTGTTTCAAAGTCGAAAATGCTCGGTTGTGAGCCTGGAGGAAACTGGAAGCGTGATTCGTCGTCTGGCTCTATCTCGCTCTGGCTAGTGACTAGTGATCTCTCGCCTTGGCTATCTTCTGACTCTAGGTCCTCTTCGTCGGATCTGTTCCCACCTGTGAAAGAGGCTCTGAATCACGCTGCGGATGGTCTGGGGTAATGTCGGTGCGTAGAATTTTACCGTGTCTGGCATGGTGCACAGATATGCACACTCACCTACCATTGCCTGATCCGTTACCTCCCGTATCTAATGCAGCCTAATCATGGCTCCTTCCAGCAGCTTCCATTGTCCGGAATGATTTCTGGGCATGACTCCGACCTCCCTGTCATTCGGTCTATTTTCGGTATACTTGCTGGACATTTTCTAGCTCTTCACGATAAGGTCAATTCATTGCGGCCTGAGTGTCACGCGGTTGCCTCGTGGTGAACAGTTTGCAGCTTTGGCGGTTTACGTTTCACGACGAAAGAGGGACATGATCGATTCTCTTTGGACTTTAAACTTGTCCTCCTTCATCCTCCTGCTCATGGCGCGTGCTCCTCTCCTGTCCTTATCATATGAACTGCTTGAGACTATCGTTGTCCATGGTGATTCCCGCGCAGACATCCTAAAAATCAGCACTCGTTTGCAAGGTGCTCAAAGTCATCTCGACATAGCAAATACAGGGAAATTCACATCACGACTCATGGTACTCTAACCATGACCCCCTTTGGCAGCATCTAGTGTACAGTGTGCGTCTAGCCGTTGCGGGGCATAAGGACGCACATAGCAGACGACTATCATTGCTATCAAGGTGAGCTCTGACGATACGCCATCTTCATGTCAAACAGAAGACTCTTGATTTTTTCCCAAATTTTATCATATCAAGTGACCCCTGAGCGTGTTGCACACCCGAGTGCCAAATGTTCACGAGACCCGCATCCGACTTGCAGCTGCAATTCGATTTCAATGTCTCAGCTGGTTGTATACTCAGCATTAGGGCGGACTTCTACTCAAAAAATATTCTGTAGCACTGCTCTGCATACCTTCGGGAACGCGGAAAGGGCGTAGGCCTCAGAGGCGAAAAGAGGAATCCGAATTTTGGTTCACACATACGCATGAGGACTCCAAAATAAATCATTTTGGGCTAAACAGACAACTGTTACACCTCTCAACAATCGCCCTAGAGACATGATTGCACTGGCTCTAGTCATTCAGGGGGCGCGAAAGGATGTGCAATGAGCATGATCGCCCATGCCACCCTGCGCTACTAAAAAGAATATTTGGATGACAACGCGGAGTACCGGCAGTCCCCGAATCGTACTTAACCAACTCCTCCGTCCTGCCACCAGCCTCGGTGGCTCTGAACATACACCACAACCTCCATTTCTGAAAAGTATCTACAACTCCCCAAGATGGCAACCGTTCCCGGTGGCAGATGTTTAATTGGTGGCGATGACTACCATAGCTCACTGTGAGTCAAATTCTTCGTCCATCTAGCCCACGGCGCTGTGATATTTTCGGCGGATCGATAACCTTTGAATGTTTTCAAGCGTAAACCAAGATGTCTTCCTCTTACAATTCCAAATTTCACTACATGATACCTGCAAGCTCGATCGGCTCCTCAAGTATTTCTTGACGCAGTGTGTTTCTGACGGTGAAGACCGGTCCACACTCGACAAGGAGGCGCTGCTCGAACAATGTCTCAACAAAGTGCTCCCTATCTGTAATGAGGAAGAGATGCGGACGCATTTACAAACCTAGTACGTACCTCGTTGTATAGAACGAAACGCAGCAGAATATTAACAGCCTTCCCTGATAGCTGCACGTCCTTGAAGAGTAATAATCTCATGCTGGGACGGCGGGTATCATTCATTAACATCTGCAACTACGCTTTGGGAAAATTGAGCGTGCTCGATTTACCACATCTGCGTGGCCCTTCCTCGAATCAGATTCTTCTTCATCGTGGCACTAATATCCCAACTCTCGATCGCATACATCAGGATGCACTAGCGGAAGGACCGTTCATCATTGTGACCTCTCTTGCTTCGGCAAGACGCGCATCTGCCAAGCACGGAGACACGTCCTGGAATGGGGCAGTGGAAGATTTGTGTCGGCAGCCACCATCGAAAGGGTTCGCGTGGCCCGACGTCCTGTCTGCCGTGGAGATGGATAGTACTGCCGTAGCGATTCCAGGACCACCGGAGCAGTATGACACGTCCTCACACGTGCGAGAGGTACCGATACCCAAAAACAAATGGCTTTTCAGTGTACACGATCAGATGTCCGGAGAGTCCAACACTCGCATACAGCTCCCTCAGAAGGCACTGGAACAATCACAGACTCGGTGCGGTACTCACGCCACTGACATGTTGAGCAGCGCTTTGTGTGTCAATCACGCCATCAATCTGCACATCGTCGGTGAGTGCAGCACTAGCTCACTATCTTGATCTCATCTCAGTATCTTGATAAAACTTAGACGATGTGGCATCGATCTGGTGGTACGATCATCAGGGTACCATCCGCTCTGAGGCAATGAACTTCATACAGGATCTACCGCGTTTCTTGGTCCTTCTCCTAACGTTTCAACGTTTCACCCTCGAGGACTGGGGCGTAAACACGATGCTGAATCCAAAGGCTCGTGACATCCACGATGCCGCCGCGTCGCATGAGGTAAATGCCGCTATCCAAGCGTCGCCTTTTGAGTTCCAATTTCCCGCTTCTAGCGCGAACAAGGGCGCCAAGGTCGAGATCAACCCCAAAGAGCTACTTCACAGTCGGTGGAGCCTACGTGGACGGGCGACGCGTGTGGTAGGTGCCAGCAGCCAATCTCGACACCCCGTCACGGGAGACAGCTTAGACCACGTCCCGCTTGTCGTCAAGCTATCTTGGCCGGAGACGTGGCGATGGAGCGAGCAGACTGTGCTGGCCCGGGCCAAGGCGTGTGGAAAAGGCAGCCGCGACGTCGAGAATCATCTTCCGGACTTGATCTGCTCGTATGACCTTGGCTACTCGACCGGCACAATTCGCAAAGCTGTCGGTGTGTCCGAGTCGGAACACAGTCCGAAGGAGCCCCGAGTGCTTCGGGTAACGCTCTTTCGACGACTCTATCCCCTGACCATGCTCGGTGGGGAACAATTTGTCGCTGCCTGGCTTGGATGCATTCGATGTGCGTGTCTCCGTTCTGCTGTAGACGGTCGTGCACTGATAGATTACACTCAGGCCACTACGTGCTGTGGACGAAGGGTGTCCGACACAACGATCCTAGCTTGGCTAATCTGATGCTTCGGCGTACGAACGACAGATACTACGGGGTGATGAACGACTGGGACCTCGCCACTGTGGTTGGCGAGTCTCCAGATACCAAGCGGGGCGTACTGACAGGCACAGTGCCGTTCATGGCGCAGGATGAGCTCTTCAAACTCGCGGTGAAGCAGAGCGACACGCGCATCTACCGGTATGACCTCGAAGCCTTTGTGTGGATCCTCCTCTGGGTCTGTGTCCGGTACCAGGACACCCGCCTGCTCCTGAATCCGGAGCTTAGCCACTGGAAGTCGTTCGACTTCGGCGGCATCGCAAGCTCGAAGCAGGCCTACATCGACCATGAATGGCGCGAGCGCCACGCTGTGCGCCCGACCAAGTCATGGGAGAACGAGTGGCGTCTAGTTTGGAAGCTCCTCGACTGGTTAGAGCAGAGCTTCGTGGTGCGCGAGGCTATCCGACGGCGCGCGGCCGATCGCTTCCACGACGACGACGACGACGACGATGCGCCCGTGGAGACGTACGAAGAGCCTGCAGACGATGCGACGTACCTTTCCTTCATGGCAGTCCTCACGGACGTCGGCCAGTCGGTCGCGAGCCTCAGCTGGCTGCTCGATCTCGTGCGCCCTGTGAAGAAACGGCGTCTGCGTAAGCGCGCGACGCGCCGCCGTTAGAATGCGATACCAGTCTGGTTGTAGCCCTAAGTCTGTCCCGAACGTTTGTTTTCAATCCGCGCTGTACTTTTTGTGAAACGGGTCCATGTAGCGCTCTATCCTATGTAAATACCAAACGCGTCCACTGACCACGGAATATATGATATACACCTTACTCTTCGGCCTGACGCCGCATACACGCACGAAGTGGGGTTATCACTGTCCGCGCGCTGGCCACCGCATGCTTGGCCATGTGGTCCCGCCCCAGTACCGCGGGCCGACGCGCACGACGACGAGTGCACAGACGGCGACCCAGGCGCAGTCGAACACGACGTACGTGTCCCGCGCGCTGCGCAGGAACGCGAAGAGCGCGCCCACGGAAAGCAGCCAGCGCACGGAGACTCTCTCGAACCTGCAACCGCGGACGCGCAACCAAGGCAGCGTAAGCGCGCACCGAATCGATAACTCAAAGCAGGAGAGAGGGCAGAGAGAGGAGGCGAAAGAAGGCACTTACGGCGCGCGCGCGAGCACGGGCCCGCGGGCCCACGACGCGTAGTCAACGAGCACGAGGAACGGCGCGACGGCGAAGAAGCCGCGATCTCCAGCGGCGAACGGCGCGGCATACCCCGCGCTTGCAAGCGCGCGCACCCAGACGACGAGCACGGGCGCGACAAGCGGCAGGAGCCAGGTCATCAGGAGGAGCGCATGCGCGGCGTGGTTGTGCGCGTCGTGGCGCTGTGCGCTCGGGCTCGCGCACTGGGGCGAGGGCGGTGACGACGGGTGGGGAGGGGAGACGGAGCGCGGGGTGGGTGAGGAGAGCGTGGTAGGTAGCGGGGCGGCGGTCGTGGCGCAGGTGAAGAGGTGGATGATCCAGCAGCCGAGGAAGGCGACCTGCCACGGGACGACCACGGCGATGAGGACGAACATGAGGATGAGCGAGACGACAGTGTTGCGTCGGATACCTGCATCATCGCGCTTTCTGCACCCCCACGAGCGGCAGCCCAATCAGATCAAACTACGAATAGAGACAGAGGGAGGGAAAGGCGCGCGGGGAAGAAGGGCCTTACCTCTCGCCGAGCCTGCGCAGCTTCCCGAGCGGCCACATGAGCGCGCGCAGCGCGTACCAGCTCATGCCCACGAGGCCCGTCGAGAGCAGGAGCAGGACCGGTGCGAGCGGCGCGAACACAGGCTCGCCCGCGTTTCCAAGGTACCATCCCTCCGGAAGCGGCACGAACGAGAGCACGAGCGCTGCGCCAAGCAGCCACCTCACGCGCACGCGCGCAAACGCCTCGAGTGATGCCGCCACGCCCGGCATCGCGCCTGCCGTGCACCGAATTGATACGGCACAATCACACGACGCATACGAAAAAGCAACACCCCCGCCCAGACCGTCAGCACAACGTCGCATGAGAGAATGGGCCAACAAAGGATGCGGAGACACGCACCACTCCGCTCCGCATTCGCGAGCGCGTCGCTCCACGCGTACAGCACGACGCCGACCGCCCACCCTGCGCATGCGGCCCAATATCGCGCTGCCGCACGCCCGAGCGTAGCCCATGCGTCGACGTGCAGGCGCACTGCGCGCAAGCGGCATGCGGGGGCACTCGTGTTGGCGTCGGCGGCATCGGCATGCGCGTACGCGTACACCGTCAAACTGAGCCCCCGCGTGCGCGGCGCGAGGAATGGCGCGCCTGCGTGCGCATGCAGGAGGAGCGGGACGCGTTTATGCGGGTGGAGCGGGTAAAAGTGGGATTCGACGGTGGAGGCGAGCTCAAGCAGGGGCGGGAGGAGGGCATCTGCGTCGAGGAGAAAAAGGAGGGCGAGTGGGTCAGAGCGGGCCAGAGGGTAGGTCGATGCGCACCATCGCATGACCCAGTCGCGCCCGGGTCGAAAACGGGCGTCAAGCGATACGCGACAAGCGCGCTCGCCAGGAGCTGCGGCAGCGCAAGCATGGTGCGCACCCGCCCTGGTCCACCTGCATCGAGCGCGATCTCGACGTCGTTGTACATTAGCTCTTCGCGCACGCGCGGTCGTCATTATCGTCCTCGTCAGCGGCGGCCTAACGGGTGCACAGAGCATCACAAGGTAGCACAACGCACCGTGCACGGCAATATCGCTCGCCGCCTCTGCCCCTACCACCGGCTGCTCAACGAATCCGCCCGCCGCCCACCCCTTCCCGTCCGCGTGCAAAACATCCACCACGACCCATCGCTGCGCGCTGTCTACACCTTCGATAGCGGGTGGGACACGCGCCGAGAAGAGCACTACCCCCTCGCTCTCATCTACTCCTTCATTTGGGAGGGGGAATGGGGCGCCAGGGCGTGGGTGCGGAAGTACTCGAAGGGTGTCAGCTGCAAGGGGAGTGCACTTCGGCAGCGACGGCGATCCTTCTGCCGGGAGCGATCCTGGTGCTACGGCTGTGCAGAGCCGAACGTCAACAACCAGCGCACCGGAATGATGGGGCCCGACGCTGCGGACGGTGCCCCGCGCGACGTATAGCACAAACGCGTAGCCGCCTCGCTCCCTTCTTCTCACGGCGTCGTGAGCATTGTCGTCATCGTTACCTTCCACGGGCAGCGGGACGTAGTACGAGCGCACCTCCGTCGGGGCACGCAGCGCAAAGTCGGCACTAGAGACAAGCACGGAGCGCGCATGGGAGAGCCCGAGCGGGTGCGCATCCGATTGCCAAAAAGCGGGGGCGGGGTCTCGCGGCGCTGCCGGCGCGTTCCTGTCTGCAAGCCATTTGTCCAGCACCGCGCTGCGCATGTGCTCAAGGCTCAAGCTGGCGGTGCTCGAGTTGGAGGCAGGCAGAGGGAGCGCGCCGAGCTCGAGGGCAGCGCGGGCGACGCGCCATCGGACCTGGTGACACCAAACCATGGCCTGGTGCCCGACGCCGGACCAGCAGCCCTCGAGCGCGCTTGTGAATACTGTCCGGCGGTACGGGCTCATGACCACTTCTACGTCTACCTCGCGCGGAGACGCATCGGAGGCCGGAGGGCTGGGCAAGACGCACGATTCGGATGCAACCATACCGTCTGCGGCACCTCCACAGAGAGATAGCACTGGCGTGCGCGCCTCAGCAAGCGCGCGAGCATTGGCGGCGTAGAGGCGCGCGAGGCTGCGATCCAGACGCGCTGGTGAAAGCGTGTGTGGGGTGGCCAGGGTCATAATAGATGCGATGCGCGGATGCGGAAGGAGGTGTACGGCGACGGCGCCGCCCATAGAGTGGGCAACGAGGGTAATGGGGGTGTGAGGCGGGTAGAGAGAGAGGATGTATGCGATGGCGCTGGCCGTGTAGGAGGCTTGCGCGGCGAGTGTGGGCCCGTGAAGGGCAGATAGATCTTCGTTGAAGTCGACTACGGGAGAGTAGGAGGGTTAGGAGGGGGTAGGGGGAGGAGGAGAGACGCGCACCGGCGTAGACGTCGAGAGGCTTGATACCACGAGAGGAGAGGCCCGGATCGGGAACGCGCGGGGCGGTGTAGAATTGTCGGGCGGCAGAGGAGGCGATGGAGCGGACCTGGCGGGAAGAGCCCGCGTTGCCGGGGATGAAGAGGACGGGGGCACCGCGGGGCTAGGCGTTACGTTCACGACAGTCAGGGCGAGCGAGGAGGAAAAAAACGCACTTGTGAAGACGCATCGGTGTCCCAGACGACCTCGCGGTAGAGCCAGAGGCTGTAGCGCGCAGCGAGCGGCGACCACGAGGCGTCGAGGGCGCGCTGGAGCACGTATGACGGCGCCATGTACGACATGCGGCAGCCCTGAGGGGACAGCGCCGTGGTGGTGTCTGACGCAGCGCGGAAAAGCGCATAGACAGCGACGAGGGCGGCGAGGGCGAAGGCGGACAGCAGGCGGGCCATCGTCGTCGTCACTGTCGACGGTGTCGACAAGCCTCCCCGTGACCGGTGGGGTGCACGTGCTTAGGGTACGCATGACCAGTCACGGGTGTTCGCCTTCGTGGTATCGTATTAGCACCCACTGCCAACGGCCTCGAGTCAATTCCGGGAGGTTCGACACAACTCTCAAAGGTGGCGATGTTGCGCAGTGGCAATGATAACCATAGCTCACGGTGAGTCGAACTCTTATATGTCGAATGTTGCATCATGGGCTAAATTCATGGCTTTTTGTCTTTGCAAGCTTGAACCAGGACGCTGCGAATACAAGGAACTAGGTCATACACCGCAACACCTGCGGGCTTGACCAGCTCCTCAAGTACTTCCTGAAACAGTGTGTCATTGATGGCGAAGATCGAATCAAAGTCGACCAGGACACGCTGCTGCAGCAATGTCTCAACGAAGTGCTTCCGATCTCAACGAACAAGAGATGCAGACGCTCTTACATGCTTAGTAGTTGCTTTCATTCATGGGTTGCTACATCATATTGATATTATTAATCTCCTCAGCTACGCATTTGCAGAGACAGATAAACTCGAACACCGTGCCATGAGGCTGATGGAGGCACGCCAGGTATCGTTCATTGGCATCTGTAACTACGCTCTACACAAATTGAGCATACTAGACTGCTTGCCTCTGCGGGGCCCATCTCCTGATGAGATCCTTTTTTATTGGATACCTAATCTACTGACTCTCAAAAGTGATCGCGAGAAACAAATTCCTTGTACATGCTTCGTCATCATAACCTCTCTTGCTTCTGCAAGACGTGCATCGAATCAACACCAAGATGTATCCTGGACCATGGCGGCTGAGAACCTCTGCCAACATCTGCCATCATATGGATTCGTGTGGCCCGATGTTCTATCTGCCGTGGAAATGGCATAAATCCACAGCCATCCCACGACCCCCACCGCAGTACAGTAACACCCCCCCTCATGTTGCATCAGTATCTCAGCCGAAGAAGTTCGATGAATGGGGTATAAACACACAGATAACCGAAGAATCAAACATTCGCATACCTTTCTCTAAATTGGACCTGCAGAAATCACACATTCAATGCGGAATTCGTGCGACTAATATGCTCAACAGCGCTTTGAATGTCAACCATGTCATCAACATGCACATCGTTGGTGAGTTCAACAGCTTGACTTGCTCAGCATCTCGATCTCATCTCTCAAACACAGACGATGTGGCCACTATCTGGTGGTATGATCGCCAGGGTATCATCCGCTCTCAGGCAATGAACTTTATACAAGATCTACCGCGTTTTTCGGTCCTTCTTCTCACTTTTCAGAGATTCACCCTCGAGGACTGGGGCATCGATGCAGTTCTCAATCGCAAGGCTCACAAATTCTACGATGCTGCCACATGAGGTAAACGTCGCCGTCCAAGCGTCGCCTTTTGAGTTCCAATTTCCGGCTTCTGGTTCGAACGAGGGTGCCAAAGTCGAGTTCAATCCCAAGGAACTCCTCTATGGTCGATGGGGACTGCGTGGACGGGCGACACGTGTGGTAGGTGCTACGAGCCAATCTCGTCACTCCGTGACAGGAGATAGCCTCGACCACATCCCGCTCGTCGTCAAGCTCTCCTGGCCGGAGACGTGGCGATGGAGTGAGCAGACCGTGCTAGCCCGTGGCAAGGCGTACGGGAAAGGCAACTGATACGTCGAGAATCACCTTCCGGACTTGATTTGCTCGTAAGAGATTTGCTCGTAAGATCTTGGTTACTCGACCGGGACGTTTCGCAAGGCTGTCAATGTGTCCGAGTAGAAATACAGTCCGAAGGAGCTCCGAGTGCTTCGGGTAACGCTCTTTCGACGACTCTATCCCCTGACCATGCTCGGTGGGGAACAATTCGTTACTGCCTGGCTTGGATGCATTCAATGTGCGTGTCTCCGTTCTGCTGTAGACGGTCGTGCACTGATAGATTATACTCAGGCCACTACGTGCTGTGGACGAAGGGTTTCCGACACAACGATCCCAGCTTGGCTAATCTGATGCTCAGGCGCACGAATGACAAGTACTACGGGGTGATGAACGACTGGGACCTCGCCACTGTGGTTGGCGAGTCTCCAGATACCAAGCGGGGTGAAGTGACAGGTACTATGCTGTTTATGGCGCAGGATGCACTATTCAGGCTCGCGATGGAGCAGGGAGACCAGCATATTTACCGGCATGACCTCGAGGCCTTCGTCTGGATCCTCTTTTGGGTCTGCATCCAGTACAAAGATACCCACCTCATGGCGGGCTTGCCGCTGGGTGATTGGAACACTTTCAGTCCCAGCAACATTGCAAGCGAGAAGCAGTGCCTCATGGACCCGCGATCGCTTCTGCGCGTTCACATAACGCCTATAGACTCATGGAAGAGTGAGTAGATCTTGGTCTCGAAGGTCTTGGACTGGATGCACGAGAGTTTAGTCTTCCGAGAGAAGGACAGTGTGATCTGGGGGGGGGGGGTACAAAGAGCCTGCAGATACCACAACATACCTAGCGTTCATGGCGGTCCTTACTGAGGTCGGCTATTCACATGCGCCGCTGCGCTGGCTACTCGATCTCGCACTCCCGGTGCAGACAGGACGCTTCCAATTTCGGGGAGCTTGACAATCTTAGATGGTAGATCTGGTTCGCCTTCAACTGCTGGCTGTGTTTGCCATGGTGTTGGGGGACGATCAACAAACAAATTTCCGTTGAACAGAAAAACAACACAGTGTAAGGAGAGGGTTCGAGTTCGGATCGAATAGCACTGCTTTTTGTTGATTCAAATCAGACCACCGCGACATCTCCGCGGTGCGTGGCGCACCGTGCTCCTTACCACTCTTCAATGCTTCTTCAGGCGTGGCATGCACAATCACGGTCGAATGATCCTCAATGTTGTCACAGCCAACGAGTGACGCCGCGCATCAACGAACAAAGTAAGACTGAAAATACGGTAGCACACTTTTGGACGGGCACGGTTGGTAAAAGCTTACATGCACGGTCCGGAGAACAGACGACTGTTTTGCCAAGTATAAGCAAACTCTTATGTTCTCAACACGTGTCCCTTGAGCGCTGCACACAATGCTATTTCTTGACGAATAAACAGAGTGTTTGTTTTGTATGAGCACATGCCACAATGCTGCGAGCAGCGCCTTGACTCACCGTCTGTGTGTACTCGACGCGCCCCGCAGATACCTTTCCAAGTTGGCGGAATCTAGCCCAAGCTGCATTCGCACCGCGAAGACACGATCTCCAGACTGGCGGATCTATAACATAGAACTTAAGTAGTCACACCAGCGGCGATGTCTCGAATACGCTGATAGGTCACCTAGGACCCCAAAAAAGGTAAGGTTAGGAACGCAACATCTGAAAGTAAGTAGGGAGAAAAGCTTCTGCAGAGACGTAGCACGGAGTAGCAATCACCTGGGTCAGGCATGTAAAGAAAAGGAGTCAACGGAGACGCTCTTATGCCACCAGACGATCGCGACAACGATCGAGATGTAAGGTCGGGGTTCCACCGCCCGAGATCACACGGGACCAAACAAAACCCTTACACAACACCCTACAACACCTTGGGGCAGTGACAGAACTCAACGCAAGCCCCGCCGGACGCAACATCATTGTCCACAGCCCGAATTTGCAATCAGGTGATCGTAAACAGCTGTAGCCAGGCCCAGGTATCCTTGAATGAAGCCTCGCTTTGTTTGTGGTGGCGCCGCGTTTCTCTGCCACAAGAGACAGCACAAAGCACCGGCGGAACTTGTTAGTCGCGCGGTTGGTCCCGCTGGGCGCGTGTGAAATGGGGTTGTATGCGTTCCTTTGTTCATGCGCAGTCAAGATGACCCCATAAAAGCGCAAGCGGGAGATGGACAATTAGACAGTTCACCAACCCATTGCTACTCGCCTGACCACGACGAGACTTTTATCCCACTCATCCTCTGAAATGTCCGACACAGACGAGCTGATCAGGATGGCTTTCCAGGAAACCTGCGACGGTGTGCCCGCCCCAGACCCCAACGGCCAATTCGATATGACCAGGTTCAATTTCCCCTCTAATATGTTCAATGCGCAGCCCCTTCCCGACATTTCCACATTTGGCCTGGCGGGCGCGGACCTGGTGCCACCCGAGGGAACACAAGAAGAAGCCGACTTGATGCAGATGCTGGAGGTAAGGTTCGTATTGGAATATGCATATTCAACGCCAATCTGACCTTCTACAGGAAAACGGCATCAGCATCGGCCTCCCAGCTAGGGTCCCGTACATGGACCACAATTATGACCAAGGCCTCTCCCTGATCTTCCCGTCCGGCACCACATCCGCTATGACCAGATCTGCAACCGACGGGAACGGATATGCCACACAGTCCGCCGTGGATCCTGAATGGTTTTCGCGGAGTAAGTCGAGATAGATCTACTGTGGCACGATACATCGCCACTAACGTTCTCTCTCCAGACTACTCGAGACCCGCTCCCCAGCCTTTGCCGCTTACACTTACCTCCTCAGAGAGTTTCGCAATTGCCAATGAGACAATTCCACCGCCCCCCATCGCCCGCAGAAAGAGGCCGGCGGAAGCTGACAGCGCCGCATGGCGTACTGCCAAGCGCGGGAGGTGGGATGGCATAAGCACGATGGAGGAAATCCCTCCATCCGCGCAAACACAAACTCAATCTAGTAGGCTCTTGAGAGCCTACGAAAGCACCGAGGGCAATGCCCTCAAGCTTGACAACGTAACAACAAGAACTTTCGGTGGCGAGGAGAATTTCCTTGCCACCTTATCAGTCCCGGTCGCTGTGTCATCGTCAGCCCAAGGGCTTTGGCCTACAATGCCATCAAGCGCGATCTCAGAGACGCAGACGCCGTTCATGGCCGCTGGGTACAGCGGCCAACCCTTCTCTCTCCCGATCGGCGCGCAGCCCACAGTCCAGCAGCCCGCACCGATGCTGCCATGGGATACGATACCAGAGACGCATCAGCTATTCGGCTCGATGCCGTATATGCCGACGGAGTACGGTTTCGACTTCGCCCAGCCGCCTTTCACCACCGCAGAACAGTCACCCCACGAGGAATTGCTGCCATGGCTGCCAAGCGCTGAGATGGAGGATCTCTTCTTGCTGCGGTCGATGCCTTGCATGCCGATCGAGAACAACCTTGATGCGTCCTTCGCCCCTATCGCCGCACAGCCCTCCGACCAAGCCAAGCTGACGCCGCAGCCATCAAGGTACCCACTAAGGAGTCAACAGCCTCGTCGGGAGTGCCACATGAATCCTGCAGGGCCTCAGCCCTTCCCCTTCCCTGTTGCCGCGCCCACGTTCGACACAGGACCATATCAGACAGATGATCATCTCTCATCAGCTGGGATCACGTCGGGGACATCCGGCTCGTCTTCCTCGTCAACGGTGCCATCGACTTCCAAGCCCAAAAGGCGAAAGCAACCCCCTCGTGCTTGCGCGTCATCCTCATCCACGGCGCCATCGACAGCCAAAGCAAAAAATCAAAAACAACCACCTCGAGCATCCGGCTCGAAGACGCCATCGACTGCGAAGCCCAAGAAGAATATTCCTCCACGGATATTGGGCGCGTCATCCTCCTCATCGACGGCACCATCGACAGCCAAGGCCAAAAAGCGAAAGCCCCCTCAGACACCGTATGACCCGAACGGGATCGGGTGTCATATCTGCAAGGGAGGATTCACGAAGCAGTCAGAGGTAACGAAGCACCTCAAGACCAACAAGCACCGCCTGAACGTGTTCGCGTTGCTGTACCCGGAACTGGAACTGTGCGCGTCACAACTGAAGAAGAATTTCACGTGCCCGGAGTGCGGTAAGGGGATGGTCAGAGCGTGGGTGGTGGTTCGACACTTAGAACTGAAACATGGGACGACTGCGAAGAAAGCGAGCGTGAAAACGGTGGATGATGCAGGCGTGCAGACTGCGGACGATGTGGACGTGGAGAGAGTGGATGAGTCAGACGCGGGGACAGGGGACGACGCAGATGCGGATGACGATGAGTCGGATTGAACATCTAGTAGGTGGAGAAGAGATTAAATCAGTTGTCCCTCTCTCAGCGAGAGAAGAATAGTCAGGAGTCTTCATGATGCAGTGACGACAATCGACTTGATTTACCTCGCTATCACTGCATAGATCTTGATCCCCTTGATTCTTTGTGAACAACCCGCACTGAGATTGTCTTTGACCTCAACATGACCGGTATTAATGAGGGGCGCCAACGACTGTCCTGAGAAGGCTCTGCGCTGTGAGTAGAGGGAATTAGAGATGATCGATGGAGCATACAGACGGAATAAACGAGGCTCGTGACGCGCGCGGTCTGTCGGGCCGGGGCGATGATTCGATGAACCACGTGTGTTTTTCCCAATCCTCTTGGTTCCCGTGTTTGTTATACAACCGTTGAATGCCACAAGTCATCGAGATACACCTCCACAAAAACAGATGCTTACTCGGTTGAATTGAAGCATGCTGTCTACAAGGCGGTACATTCACCTATTGACTGTCGTATAAGGCTCAACACAACATACACAGGCCCACTCATATGTTCCTTATAGCAGCGTTGAGCAGATCCTTAGGAATCCATTGCGAGAAAAATTCAGGATCCATCGCTGCGCCCGGATTCTGCGACTTCCGCAACTGGGTAGCCTCCTCATCCCCAGCCTGGTAGATCTGCTGCCACCTCTGTGAAGCCCATAGTATAGAGGTCCATGTCTCTTCATTGGATTCGTTAATCGCCGCATACACATCACTCGTCAAGCCAGAGCACCAGATATCGTACGCTGTGAATTTCTTCTTCGGCTCCCCCGGTGCTTGCTTTTCATCAGAGCCTTCTGCCTCAGGCTGGTTTGCATCCGGTAATACCAGTTCAGCAGGCAGAGTGGTACCAGTGGCAGTGGTTTTCTGGTGATCATCGGCGACCGACGGAGGAATGGCTTCTGAGCCCTCTGACTGAGACACTTTCGTCTCTGAAAAAGGAGATGGGGGGGCTTCAAAAACGTCGTGCGAGCTGCTAAAGCGAGAAAGATTCGGATGATAGGCACGTTCGCGTCCTCTCCGAAAAGCCCTAGGTCATATGCGTCCATGGCGTCCAATAACCCTGGATTTATTGACATCGCATGACAATGGTCACTATTGAACTGCAGCAGGATCACCGCAAGTGATTCGCAAACAGTCATTAGCCCTCGAATCGATCAGAACCACTTGACTATCAGAGCTGTAGAAAGCAGTGTCGTGGACTGACCTTAACGCAGAGAACAGTTGCTATAAGAAAGGGGCGCATCAATTTTGGTGAGAAGATGGTAGACATACCTGCATCTGCGACGATGAGGCTGGTATCGAGTGACCTCCAGGAGAGGAAGGGAGAGGTCATCGACTGTTCATTCGGAAGCGTACAAGCGCCCGCATCAGAGCACGTGTACATGCACGTGCACCCGCGGTCGCTGCTCTCCAGTGCTCTCCCCGCCCCCGCCGTCGACTGAATCAACGTCCTCACCACACAGCGTCTGGCCTAGACGGCGCTGGCGGTATATATCACCGACGTGACTCTTCCATATCCTGCGCGCGCCTCTCACCTGCACGCACTTACACACACCGTCATACACTGCAGGTTGTACCCAACGCTGCGCGACTCCATCTACGCTCTGACGCGTTCACTTCCTTCGGGCCTCGATGTTGTCAAACGCACCACTACTTGACGTGCCTTGCCAGTGTGAGCCCTCTGCCCTCCCGCTTGCTATCTCTACCGTGCAACGCCACCCCGCCCGATCCCTGCGCCGCTCGTCTAAATCTGGTCCTGGATCGGCGCGTCCTGCAGCATATCCGTGATCGTGGCCGTCTTGATCCAATCGCGCTATTCTCTTGACTGTGAAATCATGCCGTTTGTGGCTAGCAAAGTGGGTACCTCTCTTGCCTGTTGCGTCTCTGCCGCAGTTCCTTCCTCTCTGCCTTTTCTGCGCCGTCCTCCGTACCTTCCTACAGATCTCGCCGCCCTGTCTGACTGACACAGATCCAAAGCATCTTCGCCTTCCCTATGTACGGCGACCATGATGCCCCGCTCACCCAGCCGCACGCGCTCCTCGGTAGTCACTCCATCGGTGTGCTCCTCGGTATCCCCTACTCACGCGCTTCGCCCAGGTCCAGTGTTCTGCGCAGTGCAGCGAGCGTGCGCGTCGTACGAAAGACGATGTTACCAGGGAAGTACGATGGAGACGTTGCGCTGATAATAGCGAAAGGAACGAGTGAGTGGGCGCGTGAGCATAAGAGACTGAGGCGCGAACGATGAGCATGGCGTTGGGGATCTGTCGCGTTCGGACGCTGCCGCAGAAGATGATCATTCCCACCTTGCATTCACGGCGAGTGCACAGATATGCTGGACCATGTCGAGCACGAGCCCGGGGCTCTTAGAATGCGTGTAAGTGAGTCAGTGAGTCATGTCGTCGATGAATCCGCCTGTCAGAGCAAGAAAAAAATAAATTACGAGGACGTTGTTCTTGTACAATGGATATCGGTGGCGGGCTCGACTGTGGGAGGGTGTGCGGACGGCGAGCTAACCACATTGTACACCCAGTACCAATCAAGCAAGCGCTCGTTCTAGGAGAGGCAGTGGAGAGGCGCCCACATTGGAGCGTGAGCAGGCACGTGCGCGCTGAGCGCGACCTCGACATCCGCGCCTCTTTCTCTTCGCCCGTCTTGTTCGCCTGCACGTTCTGCGGCCTGTCCGCGACGATTCCGAGCTTTTTGGTGGCTAGCTATGTGCGTCCCTGTTCAATTCTCCTAACTCTCTTGTTTTTACATCTCGACTTAACTTCGCCGTTTCTCCACCTCCGTCCCGCATTCCACATTCCAGCCCCTTCCCACCCAAGGCGCCTCTATTGTCCTGATCTACGGTGCTTCTGACGCCCTGCTCATCTGACCACGCGTGTTCCTCCTTGGACTCATCGGCGCCAGCATCGCCAAGCTCTTCCGTCTACCCTCGCCCCAGCTGCACTGAATTCACATTACCGTCTCCCGCGCAAACGCAACCCCGCTGTTCCCGAGCACCGTAGAAGTCGGTGGTACTTCCTTCTCGTCGTCTTCCACGCTCGCGCCGCTCGTGCATAACGTCCAGCGGCGCCACCCCGCTTGACCATCTCCCCCTGTTGCGCTTTCCCATTATGCTGTATTGTAAGCTCATAAATGTACGCATTTGGGTGTTGGCTCAGATATGTGCATTCTTGAACCATGTCTGATGCACGCCGCACGGAAACTGCACAGAAAGGTTTGTACGCGGGACATCACGTGCGCCGCTGACGGCTCTGAGAATCATACAAGCCGCCCTTGTCCAATGATCTCCTCGTAGCCTACACACTCGTCCTCACCGCCTCTGATTGTGAGCAAGATCAACACCACGTTCGGTTCCTCATCCCTCCCTGTCCATCAGTCAGACGTCCGCGAATGGTCTCCCGACGCCGCCACAAGACTTGCTCATTGGGCTCGTCCGACACCAGTTACATTTGAGCTCCGCCATGTCGCCCGCGCTCAGCGGTACGGACGGCTTCGGTTGCATGGGCGCGCGACGCACTTGTATATCATCATTGCGACCGAGCGGGACCGGAGCGCGACTGATAATAAGGGGTATCGAAGGTCAATTACGCTTCATCAGAGTGTAGCATTCGTGTATCATTCTTTCACGATGAACGGAGATGACCCTATATCTGTCTATGATATACTGTTTTAGACAGTGCAATTGTCTCGAATGACTCTGTGTCTCACGCCTGTCTTGAAATTCGGATAGGGAATAATGTATATATACTATCGATGGACTGTACCGTTATGGTATCCAGCTCACTCTAGCTCCGATAGCGCTCACTTCCCGTGGCTGTTGTCCTTGGGAATCCTGTACGAGTACGTCGTTCTATCACCTAGCATCTCTCACTGTCTGCCCTTACACCTGTCCCACAGAATACTTTGTCAAACATGCCGGATTCGAATCCTGGATCTCAATTCCATAACATCTGGAAATCGGCCCTCACGAAATACAAACGAGACACCGACCGCGACTATTTTGAAGGCTGGCTAGGGGAAGATTCTCCGGATGCTCTGTTTAGACTCCTCGACGACGAGCTGAAAAGTTTCAAGCAGTATCAGAAGAAGCAGAACAAAGTGCGAGCGGCGATTCAGCCCGTTCTTGAACTGGTAATTGTGTCCTCAAAGACGATCGGAGAATCTCTAGCGACGGCGAGCCCTGCATCTACCCATATTTCTGAGATGTATACCTAACTTCGGTGACGATAGGTATCCCCACCCGCGAAAGCGGTTTCTGTCGCCATTCGGGCGTTGCTAAAGGTGTGTGTTCCGAGTATCAATCTTTTTCTCAGGACTGGTTTGAATGCCGTCGTCAATCTAGGCGGCAAAGGGCGTCAGTAGAAACTATGACATGATTATCGGGATGTTCGAGGAGATCAAAGGCTTCATGGGACGGCTGAAATGTCACATCCAACAAGAGATCACGGAAGCAATCAAGAAACTCATCGTTGACATCCTTGGGCAGCTACTCATGGTGCTCGGAGTGGCTACGAAGCGGATGAAGCAGAGTCGACTTGGTAGGAAGTTTCAGTGTTCATCGGATCAGAAGGCTGATATATTCAAAAGCAATCTCGAGGAAGAATACGGAAGTGACAGAAGCAATGGAAAATTTGCGGAGCTTATCAAATCAGGAGGTTCCACAGACCACTTCGTCGAACAAGCCAGCCACAAACCCTGAATCAGACTTCCTTGTCGCTTGGGATCTAGCGATCACCACCTACAACCAACACACCGGGAGCTACTATCTTATTGAAGGCGGTTTGGTGGCCAATTCCCCTGATGCTCTTTTTGGGATCCTCGACAACGAGCTGAACAGCTTCCAGGAGTATCGGAAGAAGGGAGAGAAAGTTCGACGTGCAATTGAGCCAGTTCTCAATATGGTGAATGTGTTCTCAGAGACAATAGGAGAAGGTGTAGCAATGGTGAGCAACATGTCTACCCAGATTGTCGGGATGATGTTGAACTTTGATGATATCAGGCATTCTCACCAGCGAAAGCGGTTTCAGTCGCTATCCGAGTCTTAATCAATGTGTGTGTTCCGATTACCGTTTGAGGATGGATCTGAATGCCGTCATCGATCTAGGGTGCAAGGGACGTTAGTGCACACTATGACATGATTATCGAGATGTTCGAAAAGCTCAAAGGCTTTATGGGACGTCTGGATGTTTATATCAAACAAAATATCACTGGCAAACTCAAGGGCCTCATCGTCGACATCCTCGCTCAGGTGCTCGTGGTGCTCGGAGTGGCCACAAAGTGGATAAACCAGAACCGTCTTTGTAAGGGCGTTGCGTTATTCACTGGAGAATGTGGCTGATGGTAGGTTCCAGGTCAATATTCAAAGGTACTTGTCGGGAAGAACACGGAGGTGACGGATGCGATGAGGAAACTGGAAATGTTTATTCACCAGGAGGTTCCTATGGTCACCGCTGAGATCCATGGCAACGTGGTGGCTATCAGAGGTATAGTCTTCATGAAGGATGATCTATACCTCATGTCTCATCCACGATGCAGACGATGGAATCCGACAGAGGATCCACTCCTGGCTCAAGCCACCTGATCCCACTACGAACTACAACACCGCTATCAAAACACGACAGGTGGGAACTGGCGAATGGTTTACCAAGGGACAGGATTTTCAAGACTGGATGAAGCTTCCAGGTTCATTCCTGTGGATTCATGGTATACGTGCGTCCACAAACCTTCGCTTATTGGAAGGTCATTGACTGGAAGTATATACAGCTGGCAACGGCAAAACCGTTATTTGGCGAGGCTATTCCGACGCTAAATTCGTTGAACCATTGCTGACGCATCTATCGCTTCACAACAGCTCTACAGCTATCGAGACTCTTCAAGCTTCAGTCGAATCCTCTGCCGCGTTGGCCTACTTCTACTTCACATTCAACGACTCCGAGAAGGTACTCTATCGAAATATGCTGCATTCGCTTGTCTATCAACTCTGCAAGCAATGTCCTCAGCCGTTGAGAGACCTCTACAACCGGAAGGACAACGGCTCCAAAGAGCCAACGGTGGAGGAGCTGCTCTATGTTTTGAAGATCACTGCTAGTTCATTCAGCCAGACTTACATCGTTCTTGACGGCCTGGACGAGTGTGGTGGCTCAGAGAGAACAGATGTACTCAAATTCTTGACTGACATACAGAGATGGAATCTGAAACCTCTTCATGTCCTTGCTGCAAGTCGGCCTGAGCAGGAAATCAAGGAAACCATGGACACTTTGCGCGGCGCTTGTCACGTCGATCTTCATGACGCAAAGTCACAGACCAATGACGATATCAAGGTGTACCTTGACAGTGTACTGCAGGACGACTGCCACCTGAATAAATGGGGACCTACGGAGAAGGCGCGAGTCAGAGACACTCTTGTCGAACGCGCAGATGGGATGTAAGTGAAGCTGATTGTCCGAATAGCATAAACATTGACGGGGAGTTCGCTATCAAGGTTTCAATGGGTGCGCTGTCAAATAGACAGCTTGCGACACTGCCATACACCGAAAGATCTCAGGAATGCTCTAGGATCACTGCCGAAGACGCTGGACGACACGTATGAACGGATACTGAGAACCATTCCAGATGAGGACCAGGAGAAGATCCATCGAATCTTGGAATTCCTCTGCTTCTCCGAACGTCCGATGCTGCTTGGAGAACTCGCCGAGGTTGTCACTGTGGCTATAGATTCCGATGGAAAGGCCCATTATGACTCTGAGAATCGCATGCGCGATTCATCGGACGTGCTCACAATATGCAGCAGTTTGGTCTCGCTTTCATCCAGTTCAGATGCCGCCGATGTTCTAAAATTTGATGTTTGGCACCCTGAATTTCTTCTCGAAACGGCCGCATCGCGAATTCTGCGACTGTCGCACTTCTCTGTAAAAGAATATCTCTCCTCTCAAAGGATTCGAACAGGTCGAGCATCGGGTTACAGTGTCGATGCAGAGCTCGCCAGAAGGTCAATTGCCATGACATGCCTCGTATACCTGATGCGATTCAACACCAACAGACTAGACGAGAAAAGGATAAAAGGAGAGAAAGATGTTGCCCTAGCTCTATATGCAGCACGGCATTGGATATCCCATTTCCCGCAGCAGAGCTGCGACACTCCTCAGCCTCTACAAGATTTGGCACAAGAGTTCTTCCATATCCCCCGGCGAGCGAATTTTCTCAATTGGATCAGGATGTATGATTTTGATGGCTACTCGCATGACGTGGATTGGCATCGTGAAGCCAACACCATCCCTGATCCTCTTTACTATTCGTGCATGGCAGGATTTGTGGATGTCTCAAGATGGTTGGTCACCAGAGGCGCCGATGTCAATGCGCGAGGAGGTTATTACGGAAACGCGCTGCAGGCGGCGTGTTACCATGGTCACGAATCCATCGTGCGACTGCTGCTGGATCGAGGTGCCGAAATCAACGCGCAAGGAGGAGAGTACGGGAACGCGCTGCAGGTGGCGTGTTACGGTGGTGACGAATCCATCGTGCGATTGCTGCTAGATCGAGGTGCCGAGATCAACGCACAAGGAGGACAGTATGGGAATGCGCTGCAGGCGGCGTGTTACAGTGGTCACGAATCTATCGTGCAACTGCTGCTGGATCGAGGTGCCGAAATCAACGCGCAAGGAGGAGAGTATGGAAACGCACTGCAGGCAGCGGTGGCGTGTTACGGTGGTCACGAATCCATCGTGCGACTGCTGCTAGATCGAGGTGCCGAGATCAACGCGCAAGGAGGACAGTATGGGAATGCGCTGCAGGCGGCGTCTTACCGTGGTCACGAATCCATCGTGCAACTGCTGCTGGATCGAGGTGCCGAAATCAACGCGCAAGGAGGAGAGTATGGGAACGCACTGCAGGCAGCGGTGGCGTGTTACGGTGGTCACGAATCCATCGTGCGACTGCTGCTAGATCGAGGTGCCGAGATCAACGCGCAAGGAGGAAGGCATGGGAATGCGCTGCAGGCAGCGGTGGCGTGTTACGGTGGTCACGAATCCATCGTGCGACTGCTGCTAGATCGAGGTGCCGACATGTACGCGCAAGGAGGCTACTATGGGAACGTGCTGCAGGCAGCGTCTTACCGTGGTCACGAATCTATCGTGCGACTGCTGCTGGATCGAGGTGCCGAAATCAACGCACAAGGAGGCTACTATGGGAACGCGCTGCAGGCGGCGTCTTCCTGCGGTCACGAATCCATCGTGCGACTGCTGCTGGGCGGAGGTGCCGACATCAACGCGCAAGGAGGCTACTATGGGAACGCGCTGCAGGCGGCGTGTTACCGTGGTCACGAATCCATCGTGCGACTGCTGCTGGATCGAGGTGCCGAAATCAACGCGCAAGGAGGACAGTATGGGAACGCGCTGCAGGCAACGGTGGCGTGTTACGGTGGTCACGAATCCATCGTGCGACTGCTGCTAGATCGAGGTGCCGAGATCAACGCGCAAGGAGGAAGGCATGGGAATGCGCTGCAGGCAGCGGTGGCGTGTTACGGTGGTCACGAATCCATCGTGCGACTGCTGCTAGATCGAGGTGCCGACATCAACGCCCATGGAGGAGCATACCGGAGTGCGCTGCGGGCAGCATTGGCCCCTCGTGGGTATCCGCCACGGAATCCTCACGTAGTGATAATCTTGTGGGATGCCGGTGCGCGACTCTACACCATGCCATCCGAGGCGCATTCGGAGGAGTACATCGCTCGGCTGCCAAAAATGGACCTGATGATGATGGATGAGCCTGCAAAAATTCTGGAGACGCGCAGCAGCAAGCGACGAAGCTGGTCCTGAATGAGGAATTGAGATCACTGTGCGTGCATTCAGACTTCTACTTCATCAAGGGATTCATTCACCGATTCGATTATTCTTTTCCAGTCCGGATCCGACGTTGTATATACATGAGAGACGGAACCTTTGTACAGTGACAGCTACAGGCTAGGCTCGGGAGTACGTACTTTGTAACAGAATGGAATGCACCGGAACACGCATACAATCACACGAAGTTGCCTTGACATTTTGACCGACAAGGTCTGTCCAAAGTGCTGATACTTCGTCACAGGCTTCCAAATCCTGGTATATGTCGCTCAGGTAGAGATGAGCACATACAGCGAGTAGCGTCACACTGGAAGTAACAAATTGACAGTGAAAGCACCGAAGAAGAATAGCACCTCTCACCGTCCATGTGATGCCAGGTCAGACATCCGCCGCTGACACGCCGATGCTACCACAGGTCTCGCACAATGATCTTTCTCTCTCGCGTCCTGCTGGTGGAGCATAGAGAAAAACTGAGAGAAGTGAGCTAGGTAGAAACCAAACGTCAGCATACATTGAACCAGATTGCCTAGACAGCCGGCTGTTCAGAGCGCATCTAGTAGTACCTTGTCCTCACAATTTCCACAGCTGCCATCGCTCGTGCACGATGTCTTCATATCAGGAAGCCTGCAAAGGCACATGATACACCCCGTCAAGGACGCGTATCTGTGTCTGGAATAAGAGGCAAGGATAAACAGTTGATCATTTGCGAATGCGCATGCAGGAATCGGAGGCATACCGTACTTGGTGGCTTCTCCGTGTCTGAGTCGAGAAAGGAGCGCATCGAATGTAATGAGAACATGGGTTCAAAAAAACCTACATAGACGACGACGAGGCCTGTGTCGAGTTCTTCCTGGAGAGATCATCGACTGTTCATTGAGTCGAAGGCGCACAAGCACGCCCACATTGGCGCGTATCCCGCTCCCTGACTCCGTTCTCCATCCAAGTTCTTAATCGACTGACTCGTCCACATCGCACAGGCTCTCGCTCAAACGGCGTCGGTGATATATATCACCCATGCGTCTCGGTCATGTCTTGCACACGCCTCCCACGTACGCACATTGTCGTAGAATCCAGGCTGAACGCAACGACGCTCCGACGCGTCCACTCCACACTCGCCGCTGCATGACACACCCTGCCAGCATGACCTCTCCGCCCTTCTGCCTCTCCCGCCTCCACGATCACTTCCTCGACTTTGTACAATGCCACCCTGCCCTCCCAGCACTGCTCGCCTGGGTCTGGTCATAGATTAGTGCATTCCGCGGCCTGTCCGTGATCGTGGCCGTCTTGAACCATGCGCGCTTTATCCTTGACCTTGACGTCCATCCGTTTGCAGCTACCCATGTGCGTACATATATTGTCTTCTGAATCGCTGCTGTGCTTCCTTCCTTCCCTGCCTTTTCTGCGCCGTCCCCTCCTGTCCCTTCCTAGTGCCTCGATGCCCCGTCTGCCTGACGCAAGCTCAAAGCACCAAAACTGCACATGTCCACATAGCTGCCCATGTACCGCACTATCGTCTGCGACACGAGCATCTCGAATGTTTCCATGTCTCAATCTGGAATAAATTAGTAGTATTTGGGCTTCGAATAAGTATGGCATGATGACGAAAATCTTCTATTGGTACCCAATCACCAGACTTTCGAAGAAGTTCTCGAGCGCTCACCAGCGCTCACTCCTCGTGGCTGTTGTCCTAAATCTGGTTATCCTCCTCCCCCACTTTGTCGGACATGGCAAATCCGTGTCCTGCATTGCAATTCCAGGAGATCTGGTCATCGGCGATCACGAGATATAACCAAGACACTAAACGCGACTATCTTGAACGTGGGCTGGAGGCAGATTCCCCCGATGCCCTCTTTGTCATCCTCGACAAGGAGCTGAACCGATTCAAGGAGTATCGGAAGAGGGGGGGAAGAGTACGGCATGTGATACGGTCAGTACTGGAACTGGTGAATATATCATCAGGTGCGATCGGAGATAGTCTCGCGACAGTAAGCACCATGTATGCTAAAACTCCCGAGACGGATACCTGACTCTGACGATATCAGGCATGTCCGCCAGCGAAAGCAGTTTCTATTGCTGTTTGGGTATTGCTCAAGGTATGTGTCCAGGTGTTCATCTGAGCACAAAAGTCAACGTCGTTATTGATCTAGGCTGCGAAAGACGTCAGTGGACACTATGACATGATTATCGACATGTTTGAGAAGCTCAAGGGCTTTATGGGATGTTTGGATGTTTATGTCTAACATGAGATCACTGACAATCTGAAGAGAATCATTGTCGGCATCCTCGCCCAGGTGCTCGTGGTGCTTGGAGTAGCCACCAAGTGGATGAAGCAAAGTCGTCTTGGTAAGAGCTCATATTGCTTAGCCGAGGACGTGGCTAATGGGGCAACTTGGTAGTCCAATACTGGAAGGTCCTGTTCGGGAATAACACCGAAGTGTCGGATGCGATGGGCGCACTGCGGATCCTATCCAGCCAGGAGGTTCCGATGGTCACTGCAGTGATATTAGCGACGACAACTACAACCTCACAGAATATACAGGCGTCAGAAGGTATGTTCCTTGCAGGTAGTGATCGTGTACTGTGCTTCATATATACCATCAATGTAGACGGCGCGCTCCGAGAAAGGATCGCTCGTGGCTGAAGCCTCCTGATCCGACCACAAACTACAATACAGCTATAGAAGCCCGACAGGTCGGAACCGGCGCCTGGTTCATACAAAGCCAAGATTTTGTGGACTGGACGACGACATCAGGGTCATTCTTGTGGATACGAGGAATACGTGCGCCCAAAGGCTCGTCTCTTGCAATGATTACTTACGAACACCCCTGCAGCTGGCAATGGTAAAACGATCATCTGGTAAGGCTATCCCAAGGCAGAAGTTTCGGACATCACTGATGAAATTGCCATACGACAGCTCGACCGTCATCGAAGCTCTCAAACGTCAATCCAATTCCTCCGTCGCATTGGCCTACTTCTACTTCAACTTCAACAATTCAGATAAACTGATCTATCGGTACATGCTCCATTCACTCGTCTTCCAACTCCTGGGACGATGTCCTGGCCCATTGGGAGAACTCTACGAACGGACCAACAACGGCTTTTAACAGCCAACAGTGAACGAGCTCCTCAATGTGCTCAAGAAGACCGTTGTCCTCTCCAGCCATACATACATCGTTCTTGATGGACTGGATGAGTGCTTTGGATCAGATCGGACGAACGTGCTCGAATTTTTGGCCGAAATTCAGAGCTGGAATCTGCAATCTCTTCACGTCCTAGCTGCAAGTCGGCCTGAGCAGGAAATTCAAGAGAAAATGGACTCATTTCCCAGGGCTCGTCATGTTGATCTTCAAGGCGCAACGTCGGGTATTGGCCAAGATGTTGAGCTGTTCATCGCGGCTCAACTAGAGAAGGATTCCCATTTGAAGAAATGGGAACTAAAAGAGAAAAATTTGATCAGACATACTCTTATCACACATGCAGGTGGCATGTAAGTCAATCTACAGCTGCGTGGCACAAAATGGAACACTGATGGCGAGTTTTGCACAAAGGTTCCAGTGGGTGCGCTGTCAACTGGATAGTTTGCGACACTGCTTCACAGTCAATGATCTTGAGGCGACTTTAGAAAATCTGCCGAAAACGCTGGACGAGACCTATGAACGCTTACTGTTGAACATTCCAGATGACTGCCAAGAGAAAATCTATCGAATCTTGCAATTCATCTGTTTCTCAAAACGTCCGATGCTTCTTGGTGAACTTGCTGAGGTCGTCACGGTGGCGATGGATTCCGAAGGAAATGCGCGTTACAACTCTAGAAATCGCATGCGCGATCCGTCGGATGCGCCCACCATATGTGGCAGTTTGATCTCTGCCATTCCCGACAATTTTGACTATTTCAACTATCGCGGCGACCAGTGGAAACCTGAATCTTCTTTCAACACACTTGCAGCCCGATTCATCCTGTTCTCGCACTTCTCTGTTAGAGAATACCCGATGTCTAAACGGGTTCGCACAGGCGAAGCATCGAGCTACAGTGTGAATGCGGAGTTGGCCAACGAGTCAATTGTCATGACATGTCTCGCGTATCTCATGCGATTCGACACAGACGGGTTAGATGGGACACGGATGAGAGAAGAAAATGATGCTGCCTTGGCACTATATGCGGCACATCATTGGGTCTTCCATTTCCAGAAGCGGAGACCAGATGTCCACCAGCCTCTACAGCCTCTAGCTCGAGAGTTCTATCATGTTGACCGGCAAAAATCCCTTCTGAATTGGGTCAGGATATACGATCTAGACAAACCCTATGATTCCCCAGATTGGCATCGTGCAGTCAAAACTATCCCTCACCCTCTGTACTATTCATGCAGCGCAGGGTTTCTAGACGTATCAGAATGGTTATTGATCGAAGGTGCTGAGGTCAACGCTCAAGGAGGTTTGTATGGGAATGCACTGCAGGCGGCTTCATACCGTGGTCATGAAGCCCTTGTGCGACTGCTACTGGATCGAGGTGCCGGGGTCAACACGCAAGGGGGACACTACGGGAATGCACTACAGGCGGCGTCTCTCATTGGTCACGAATCGATCGTACAACTGCTGCTAGATCGCCGTGCAGATGTCAATGCGCAAGGAGGAGAGTGCGGAAACGCACTACAAGCCGCGAGTTCTCAAGGCCACGAAGTCATTGTACGACTGTTGCTGGGTCGAGGTGCTGAGGTCCATGCACAGGGAGGAAAGTATGGGAACGCACTGCAGACTGCGTCGTGCGGAGAAGACTATAGGATGCGGCGCCCAGTCGCTAACGATGGCCATAAAGCCATCGTTCAACTGCTGCTGGATCAAGGTGCTAGAGTCGATGAACAAGGAGGAAGATATTAGACTGCTCTACAAGCAGCATCACATCGTGGTAACGAAGCAATCGTTCAAGTGCTGCTGGATCGAGGTGCCGAGGTGAATCGATGGGCCGGTAATGCATTGCGGATAGCGTGTCTTGGCGGTCATGAAGCCCTCATGCGACTGCTGCTGGACCGAGGTGCTGAGATCAACGCGCAAGGAGGACGGCATGGAAATGCACTGCAGGCAGCGTGTCTCAGTGGTCACAAAGCTATTGTGCGAATACTGCTAGATCGAGGCGCGGAAGTCAATGCGCAAGGAGGAACGTATAAAAGCGCGTTGTGGGCAGCGTTGGCTCCCGATGAACGATGCCATCGCTTTACAGACCACAAGCCGAGTAAAGAGGTCACGAGGGTCCTGTGCCAGGCCTTACACCATGCCGTCCGAGGCACATTCAGAGGAGTACATCTATCGGCTGCCACCGGAAACGGATCCGAGGACGTTCAGAAGGGATGTGGCGACTCTAAAACCGCGCAGTAGCAGGCGACGAAGCTGGTCTGGAAAGGGGGATCAAGGACACTGTGGGCCCAAGAGTAATATTTTTCACGCATCTTGGGATTTCGTGCTGTAGATACACAGGGATGGCAGTATGGACGCTCTGCGAACGATGTTAAAGGGCACATACTAAAAGCTTGCAATGACCTTGCAATAGACTGTTCCGGCAAGGGGTCATGAGCATCCGTTGTGCAGCCGCGTGAGGTCAATGCACAATCTAACAAGGCGATTCACAAGCGGCCCGAGTGTTGATGAAGCGCGTAGAAGCGGTCTAGATCGAGGGATGGGCAGCGAAGTTAGCGGGCATCTGAAAAAGTAAATAATGTACATGGCACGTTGATTGAGTCCCCGCAGCCGCGAGCTGCTTGTGGGGAACGGACAAGGTTTCGCCCTGGACAGTAGAGTAGGTCAAGAGAACCATCCAAGCGGTCAGCATATACATCGCGAGCGCCAGGATTAGAATCGTCACATACTGAGGGTCGACGTCGACCGCTGGGTGGTCGAGCAGCTTCCTCAAGAAGAGTGGGCCGGAGCCCAAGTGCATTCTCTGGGGCACTTGGTAGGCGCGTCGGCGCGAAAGGTGCCCGCACATCCGACGAAGCGATGCGGGCTATTGCTGGGGGTATTTACAGGCCTGTACAGATACTGGTAGTTCGTTGTTCACAAAGGGAGAATCTTCGATGAACTGATTATGGCGGGCGATGAGCGCTTCGGCACACGTTCCTGAGGCTTCGACGGCGCAGGTAAATAAGCAGGCGGGCTCTGTCCTGCAACAAGTAGTATACAAACCAAGCGTCGATAGAGTGGAGCGATAATACAGTCAGCACTATACACCGAGCGCTACCCACTCCTCTTTTTTAGCAGTCAACTATCAGCAGCAGCAGCAGGCATGTCCCGCGCGAACGTCGCCGCGACGAGCAGCGGGAACACGAGCGTCGCGTCCGCATATACCTGTGCGAAGACGGCGGCACGACGGTAATGACGGTCAGGACTAGGAGCGCGGGAGAGGCGGGAGAGCGGGAGAGGCGGGGGCGGGGACGTACCTTGACGGACTCGGAGCCGGCTCTGATTTTTCCCCAGGAGACGGCCTCGTCGGGGCGCGCGCCCGAGTCGGAGCCGTCGAATTCCTGGCCTGTGTTCTGCGCGGCGGGGTTGGTAAGCGAGGTGGGAGAGGGGGGGGGGGCGGGGGACGTACGATGTAGACGGCGTAGTCTGCGCCGTTGCGCTAGCGATGACGAAAGTAATTAATTAGCGAGTGATCGCACGAGTGTGTATGCATAGAGGGAGGGCACGCACGATGAGCATGGCGTTGGCGATCTGGTGCTTGCAGACGCCGCCGCCGAGGATGATCATGCCCGCCTTGCGCGCGCGGCGGGCCTGCTCGTTGAGCGCGCGGATGTCGTGCACGATGTCGAGCACGAGCCCGGGGCGCTTGAACGCGTGGAAGTAGAGCATGTCGCCGATGGAGCCGTCCGTGAGCGCGGGACAGTACACGGGGATGTCGTTCTGGCACACACAACGGACGTCAATCGCGCGCTCGCTCGGGGGTGTGAGGTGCAGAGGGCGAGGAAGGCGGCGGGGGATTCACTTTGTACGCCCAGTAGTAGATCGAGCGCTCGTCGTCGATCTCCTTGCCCAGGCGGCGGATGAACGCGCTGGGCGACCAGACCTGGCCCGACGCGGTCTGCTCGGCGAGCATGGCGTCGAGGATGGGCATGAGCCAGTCCTCGAACTTGCAGTAGTTGTCGTTGGGCACGACGAGGTTCCCGATGCGGTTCATGCCGCGCTTGCGGAGGTCCGCGCCGTCGAGGTGGAAGTCGGCGAGGTAGGTCGGGCCGAGGCACTTGATGAAGTCCTCCTCGATGCCGCCGGCGGTGGTGACGAGGCAGGCGACGTGTTTGTGCTTGACGAGGTGCAGGATGATCTCGCGCAGGCCGGAGGAGACGAGGTTGGAGGTGTAGCCGAGGAAGATGGCGCAGCGGGTGTCGGCGCGGACGCGCGGGTCGAGGAATTCTTCCGGCTCGTCCTCGGCGACGGGGTCGTCGGAGAGGCGCCATTTGCGCTGTGCCGTGCCAATCTGAATGATGGACGCGGGAGAGAGGGGTGTGTGTGGGTGCTCACCATGTTGTTCACGACATGGATGGCCTTGCCAAGGTGGTTCGCCTGGAAGCCGATGCGCTCGTAGGAAGCTAGAAATTCTTGCAGAGAGAGCTGCCTGTCGAAGTTTGGGCCCTCGACGGAGACGGCGTCGTCGGGGACGGGGTCAGAGGGCTTGAGGACGGCGGCGGAGGCGGCGGAGGGGACGGAGGAGGAGGCGGAGGCGTTGGCGGCCATGAGCGGAGAGCAGAAGGAGAAATGCGATTATCTAAGCGTGGCCATCGCCGGCGTCGTTGCTCCTTGCTCGACGTCGTCCACAGCCCGCTCCATCCCCCGTCCGTGCTCGCTCACCGACACCGTCCATGGCGGCCGCAAACGACGACCTCGCCGCACAAGACACACCACGACCACCCCCCGTCGCCGCACCGCACGATAGTCGCACGCCCTCGAATGGTCCCGCGGTGACGAGTCCCGTCGACACCGACAACGAGCCGGCCCCAGACATCAAAAGCACGCTCCGCACACAGCGCAACGGGCACGCTGGAGGGGAGGAACGCGCAGAGGCGGAGGAAGAGGCAGGAGCAGAGGCAACAGCGACGAAAGACGGTCCTCGCTCGGCGCCTGCACGCGCGCCCGTTCAGCACGTCGACCTCCCCGCTGAGCAAGAGCCAGAGCCCGCCGTGGATGCCGTCCCTGCTCACGACGACGCGAGCCCACGGCATCAGGATAACACGGCGACGGCGTCTGCGCCCGCGCACGACGAAGCCGCCCTGCCCAGTGGCCCTGCGCCCACGGAAGCAACCCCGGACGCCCAGGTGATCACGGTCCACAACCGGCCGTCGCTGTCAGAGACGGTGAGCTCGCCGATGCCCCCGACGCCGCCAGCCAAGAACTCGCTCCAGGACCCGCCCCCGCGCAGAGACAGCCTCAACTACCGCGCCCACCATCCCCCGTCCTCCCGCCTCTCGTCCACCGACGCCTCCTCGTCCTCGCGCACGATCGACACCCGCACCGCGTTCTCCCCGTCCATGTCCACCGCGTCCCTCCACACCGTCACCTCGCCGACCTCCCACAAACGCTCCATGACCATCTCCAAGGGCAACTCCGTCTCCACCGTGCTCATCACCTCCGCCCTCGACACCATCGCCGCCTCCCGCGAGGCCAAGCGCTCCGCCCCGCTCAGGGAGAGCGTCCACATCGCTCTCGAGATGGTCCGCGCAGGCATGGGCGGCGACCGCCCCCGCGAGATCTTCGAGCCCCTCCGCCTCGCCTGCGAGACTCGCAACGAAAAGCTCATGGTCGCCAGCCTCGACTGCATCTCCAAACTCATCTCCTACTCTTTCTTCGTCGAGGCCAACCCCCCCGAACACGCGTCCCTCCCATCCCCGCCCCCCTCCCCGGGCCCGGGCGCCCGCCACTCCACCTCGAGCGCATCGCAAAGCAATCTCTCCCCGCCCTCGCTCGTCGACCTCGTCGTCCACACCATCACCACCTGTCACACCGAGACCACGGCCGACTCGGTCTCGCTCCAGGTCGTCAAGGCCCTCCTCGCCCTCGTCCTCTCCTCCACCATCCTCGTCCACCAGTCCTCGCTCCTCAAGGCCGTCCGCACCGTCTACAATGTCTTCCTCATGTCCACCGACCCCGTCAACCAGACCGTCGCCCAGGGCGGCCTCACCCAGATGGTCCACCACATCTTCTCGCGCTGCACAGTCGCCCCGCCCGCCGCCGCAGAGTCCACCGCGTCGCTCGCGTCCAAGGCCGAAGAGTCCCCGTCCGCAAAGCGCGACTCGTTCGCGCCGTCGACGCCGGGCACCGAGCCGCCGCCGCTGCCGTCCCAGGACGAAGCGCCCTCGGCAGAAGACATCTCCCTCGAGATCCCCCTGCCTCTCTCGCCGCCGGTAGCCGCCCACGACGACTCGCCCGTCCTCGAGCTGCCCCCGACGAACGGCATTCAGCACGACTTGGACAGGCCGGGTACTCCTCACGCGTGGGTTTCCCCCGCACAGTCCCGCTTGTGTTCCTTTTTGACTGACCCGCACGTCAGCGAGCCCACTCTCCGCCCCAGCACCCCAGGCCGGGCGCATTATGCTGCCCCGGCACACGCGATGACGATCAACGACCTTTTCCTCAAGGACGCCTTCCTTGTCTTCCGGTCTATGTGCAAGCTCACAATGAAGCCCCTCAACACGGAAAGGTTCGCTCTCCTCTCCTCACACCATATCATCCTATACTGAGCCCCGCGCTCGCGCGCCCCGCCCACAGCGAGCGCGACCTCAAATCGCACGCGATGCGCTCCAAGCTTCTTTCCCTGCACATGGTGCTCGTCATCCTCAACGCGCACATGGACGTCTTCGTATCCCCGTCGTCGCTCATCCACTCGAGCTCGTCCCACGAGGCGACACCGTTCGTGCAGATGGCGAACCAGTACCTGTGCCTCAGCCTCAGCAGGAACGCCGTCAGCCCCGTCCCGCAGGTGTTCGAGATCAGCGTCGAGATCTTCTGGCGCGTGATCACGGGCCTCCGGACGAAGCTCAAGGTGCGCGCGAGCGCGTCGCGATTCCGGTCTTCGCTGACCACCTGTTTTTTGTTTTCCTACCGCGTGTGCAGAAAGAGATCGAGGTCCTGTTCCACGAGATCTTCTTCCCGATCCTTGAAATGAAGACGTCGACGCTGAAGCAGAAGGCCGTCATCTTGGGTATGCTGTCACGCCTTTGCCACGATCCGCAGGCGCTCGTCGAGATTTATCTCAACTATGATTGCGACAGCCAAGCCGCGGACAACATCTACGAGCAGTGAGCATGCCCCGCCTCCTCTCTTTTCCTCTGTTTCCTTTCTGTCTTTTTTTGTGTGTGCGGCTCGCTGAACACCCTGACCGCCACGCGCGCAGCCTCATGAACATCATCACCAAGATCGGCACCAACACGCTCCCGTCCGCCGCACAGCAGAAGCCGAGCGACCCCGCGAGCCCCGCGCTGACGCCCACGAGCAAGGCGCACGGGTCCGGCATCCCGCCCTCACTCGCGACGTCCGCCGTGTCCGTCTCGGGCTCGCTCGACACGTCCGCGCTCGGTCACTCGGAGCAGCAGCTCCGCCGCCAGAGCCTAGAGTGCCTCGCCGCCGTGCTGCGCTCGCTCGTCGCGTGGGGCACCGCGGCCGGCAAGGGCGCGAGCGACGCCGCGCCCGACTCGGCCTTGGCCTCAGCAGCGGGGCGCGCTAGCGTGGGCGAGGACGGGCGCCCCGAGGGTTTGACGCCCGACGCGTCGCAGTCGCTGGACCGGCTCCCGATCGGGGGGCCGAGCGCGGAGGCGACGAGGCAGTCGACGCCTGATATCCACGACGACCCGGGCCGGTTTGAGAGCGCGAAGCAGAAGAAGACGACGTTGTTGGAGGGCGTCAAGAAGTTCAACTTTAAGCCAAAGCGGGTGCGTGTCTCTCTCGGCCGCGAGTGCACCACAGTAGCACTAGGAGGGCTGACCGATGGGCGGGTGTTAGGGCATCCAATTTTTACTCGAGACGGGGTTCATACCGAGTAAGGCGCCGCAGGATGTCGCGCGGTTCTTGTTGCAGACCGATGGGCTGAGCAAGTCGATGATCGGGGAGTACCTCGGCGAAGGGTGCGCGTTTTTCACTTACTCCGTTTGCTGTGCGCGCGCGGTTGCTCATCGGGTTGCAGGGACGAGGAGAACATCGCGACCATGCACGCGTTCGTCGACATGCTCGACCTGCGGAACATGCCCTTCGTCGACGCGCTGCGCGTCTACCTGCAGGCGTTCCGCCTGCCCGGAGAGGCGCAGAAGATCGACCGGTTCATGCTCAAGTTCGCCGAGCGCTATATCGAGGGCAACGCGAACACGCCGTTCGCGAACGCCGGTGCGTGTCCCGCGCGCTGCTCATCCGCGCGCGTCTGACGAGCCGCGGCTCCGTTTCCGTTCCAGACACCGCCTACGTGCTCTCGTACTCGGTCATCCTGCTCAACACGGACGCGCACAACCCGCAGGTGAAGAAGCGCATGACGCGCGCCGACTTCGTGAAGAACAATCGCGGGATCAACGAGGGCGCGGACCTCCCCGAGGAGCTGCTGTCCGTTATCTTTGACGATATCGTGAACAACGAGATTAGGATGAAGGATGAGGTGGACGCGAGTCTCGTCGCGTCGCTCGCGCCGGGTGCGGGGCTGGCGAGCGCGCTCGCCACGGTCGGGCGGGACTTGCAGAGGGAGGCGTATATGCTACAATCGAACGGCATGGCGAACAAGACCGAGGTGCGTGCTCACCACTCGATATATGCGTCGTGATGGCGGCAGCGGGGTCGGGTTTGCTCACGTGTCGGCTATCCAGGCACTGTTCAGGACGATGATGCGGTCCCAGCGCAAGGGCTCGCGGAGCGGCGAGCAGTTCTTCAGCGCGTCGCACTTCGTGCACGTCCGGCCCATGTTCGAGGTCGCGTGGATCCCGTTCCTCGCGGGGATCTCGGGCCCGCTGCAGGAGACGGACGACCTGGAGGTCGTGGAGCTCTGCCTCGACGGTTTTCGGAACGCGATCCGGATCGTGTGCTTCTTCGACCTCGAGCTGGAGCGCAACGCGTTCGTGACGACGCTCGGGAAGTTCACGTTTCTGAACAACCTCGGGGAGATGAAGACGAAGAACATGGAGGCGATCAAGACGCTGCTCGACGTCGCGGTCACGGAGGGCAATAACCTCAAGGGCTCGTGGCGCGAGGTGCTCTCGTGCGTGAGCCAGCTGGAGCATATGCAGCTGATCAGCAGCGGCGTCGACGTCCCGGACGCGCGCAAAGGGTACGTCGCGCGGGCTCAGACCGTCTTTGCGTGGACGCGCGTCGACTGGTTGACTTTTTATTCATTTCTCTTATTGCGGTTTCTAGGCGCACGCGGAAGCTGCCCAACGAGGAGCTGGCGAACGAGAGCCGGTCGACGCACATCACCGTCGCGGCGGATATGGTGTTCTCGCTGAGCCATTACCTTTCCGGGGTGCGTCGCGCCCGCCGGGCCCTGCTATATGCGTGTGCTGACCTCTGCGCGCAGACGGCCATCGTAGACTTTGTCCAGGCCCTGTGCGACGTGTCGTGGGAGGAGATCCAGTCCTCGGGACTGTCGCAGCACCCGCGGCTGTTCAGCCTGCAGAAGCTGGTCGAGATCTCGTACTACAATATGAGCCGCATCCGATTGGAGTGGTCGAACCTGTGGGATATCCTTGGCGAGCACTTTAACCAGGCGAGTGGCTGTGTGTGGATATATGCGCGACGGGGGCTGACTTTGGCGGCGGGCAGGTGTGCTGCCACAGTAATCCGCACGTCGGCTTCTTTGCGCTGGACGCGCTGCGGCAGCTGGCGATGCGCTTCTTGGAGAAGGAGGAGCTGCCGCACTTCAAGTTCCAAAAGGACTTTCTCAAGCCGTTCGAGTACACCATGATCCACAACGCGAACCCTGACATCCGAGACATGGTGCGTGTTTCTCCATCCTCCCGTGCCTATACTTCTGTTCCTGGATGAACTATCCGTGCTCCAGGTGCTGCAATGCTTGCAGCAGATGATCCAGGCCCGCGTGCAGAACATGAGGTCAGGCTGGCGAACGATGTTCGGCGTCTTCTCGGCCGCATCCAAGGTCCTGACGGGTACGTGCTCGAGCCCTCGTCCGATCCTCCTGTCGCCGATTGAACGTCTGCGCAGAGCGGATCACGAGCTCCGCGTTCGAGATCGTCACGCGGCTGAACAAGGAGCACTTCCCGGCGATCGTGCGCTACGGCTCGTTCGCGGACCTGACGGTGTGCATCACCGATTTTTGCAAGGTCAGCAAGTACCAGAAGATCAGCCTGCTCGCGATCGCGATGCTGCGCGGGGTGATCCCCATCATGTTGAGCACGCCCGAGTGCGGCTTGAATGCATCCGGGACGCCGAACGCCACCGTCGATGACCCGATGATCAAATACTGGTTCCCCGTTTTGTTCAGCTTTTACGACGTGATCATGAACGGCGAGGATCTGGAGGTTCGGCGATTGTGAGTGCGCTCGGCGTCGTCTGTGGCCGTCGTGGCTGACATGTTCGCGCCGCGCGCGCAGAGCGCTGGACTCTCTGTTTAGCACGTTGAAGAAGTACGGGGCGACGTTCCCCGTCGACTTTTGGGACACGGTCTGCCAGGAGCTGCTCTTCCCGATCTTCGCCGTGTTGAAGTCGAGTCAAGACCTGTCGCGGTTCAGCACTCAGGAGGACATGAGCGTTTGGCTGTCGACGACCATGATCCAGGCGCTGCGCGATCTGATAGACCTTTACACGTTCTACTTTGAGATATTGGAGCGCTTCTTGGATGGCCTCCTCGACTTGCTCTGCGTCTGCATCTGTCAAGGTTCGTTTCGCGTGTGGATGTGCTTGCGTCGCGACGCTCATCGCGGCTGTTAGAAAACGACACGCTCGCGCGCATCGGCACGTCCTGCCTGCAGCAGTTGCTGGAGAGCAATGTCAGGAAACTGAGCCCGGCACGCTGGGAGCGCGTGGCGACCACGTTCGTGAAGCTATTCAGGACGACGACGCCCCATCAGTTGTTTGACGAGAGCCTCCGCGTCGAGATCCACAACGCGTCTCCGGAGCCTCAGGACTCGGCAGGTATGCACTGCTCGGCCATCCTGCCCTCACCTGTGGGTTCTGATGTTTGCAAGTAGATACGGATGGGCAGGCCATCCTCCCTGCTCCACTGTCGCCGTCGACGCACGATAGCCAGAAGATCAACGCCAAGACGAACCTGAACGACCGGCGCCGGATCTTCAAGCAGATCATCGTCAAATGCGTGCTGCAGCTGCTCCTGATCGAGACCACGAACGACCTGCTGCGGAACGACGAGGTGTACAACACGATCCCGCCGGAGCACCTACTGCGGCTCATGGGCGTCCTCGACCATAGCTACCAGTTCGCGCGGCTGTTCAACGAGGACAAGGAGCTGCGGACCGGGCTCTGGAAAGTCGGTCAGTGTTCCGCTCGCGTTTTTGACGGCGCCCGTTCCTCATCTTCACAACCCGTCCGTGCGCCGTAGGTTTCATGAAGCACCTGCCGAACCTGCTGAAGCAGGAGTCGAGCAGCGCGTCGACGCTCGTGCACGTGCTGCTACGGATGTACTATGACCCGCGAGCCGAGCACCAAGCGGCGAGGCCGCAGGTCGCGGAGCGACTCTTACCGTGAGTGCATCGTCTCGCGCACAATGCATCGGTTCAGGGCGCGTGCTCACCTCTTCTCTCTCTCTCTCTCGCAGGCTCGGGCTCGGGGTGCTGCAAGACTACAGCAAGCTGCGCTCGGACACGCAGGCGAAAAACATCGCGGCCTGGACGCCCGTCATCGGCGAGATCCTGCGCGGGTTCTGTCGCTTCGACGACAAGGCGGTGAGTAGTCGGGGGCTGGCTAGCTGGGGACCGCCTCGCTGACCTCCTTTTCCTCCGCACGCTACAGTTCACGCGATACCTGCCCGCGATCTACCCGCTCGCAGCGGACCTGATCGCGCGCGACACGTCGCCCGAGATCCGCGAGGGCCTGCGGGACTACTTCGTGCGGGTCGGGTACGCGCAGGGCATCATAGAGCCGTCATGACCCCGGGTGTCTCCCATGCTGTCTTTTTGTTCCCTACGGTACCATTGTATGACTTTTCAACTTAATTATAGCCTTCTTTCTTCTTCGGACGCACAGTCTATAAAAAAATCCCAGCGGCCTGTTTAGTTTTTGGATCCGGAACGGGACGACGTGCATTGAGAGCGGACGGGGACGGAGAAAGTAAGACAGGAACAAAAAACAAAAAAAGGGATAAGGAAAGACGAGCGAGGTGAGAGCGAACGAAAGGAGAGTATCACGAAAAATAGTAAAACGTCCGTAAAAGAAGACTACTATTGGTATCCACCGTACCCTCCGGGAAAGCCGGGATAGCCCCACCCCGTCGGCTGCGCGGTAAGCTGCGCGGCTAGAGGAAGAAACCACCATCAGCGAACGGCCCACAGCAACAGCGCGACACGACTCACGCGCCGGCCGAAGGGCATCGTACTTGTCTGAGCAGCGAAAAGGGAAAAAAAGGGAAGGTGAAAGGGATATCAGCCTCGCACGCGGAGACGGCCTGCCCAAACCGGAAAAGAACACAGAACGACCGCTCACCGGAAGACTGCGGCGCGGCGTCGTTCGCGAACGTGCCGGCCTTCATCTGCGCGAAGATATTCGCGGGCGACGTGTCCTTCCCCTGCTGCTGCTGCTGCTGCTGCTGCTGGGGCAGACCAGTGTGCATCCCGCCACCATTAAACGACGGCGGCTGGCCGAAGCCGGTGTTGAAGCCCGTAGGCGCTGCAGACGTCGTCAGCTCACTCGCCAAAGAAAAAAACGCACGCCCATATAGTGAAAAGAGAAACGGCACGCACAAGGCTGCATCTGCCCAAACGAGTTGCTGCTCTGGAAAGACGGCAGCGGAGGCACAGGCGGCGGCGGCGGCGGCGCACCACCGCCGCCATACCCGCCGAACCCAGTGGGCTGGGACATCAGCGGGCCTGACATCTGGAAGCCCGTCTGCTGCGGGAGCATCGGCTGCGCGCCGAAGCCCGTGGGCTGCGCCGAGAGGAACGACGGCTGCTGGAACTGGAGCGGCTGCTGCTGCTGGAACGGCGATTGCTGCTGCTGCTGGAACGGCGACGCCTGCGCGCCGCGCGTGGGCACGAACCCTCCAAAGCCGGTCGTCGTCGGGATGAGCGGCTGCAACAGCGTCTGGTTCGCCGGCACAGGCGCGTACGGCCCGCGGGGCCCGCTCGCGCCGACGCCGCCGCCGACTGACGGCGCGCGCGGCGGCGGAAGCAGCCCCGTCTGCTGCGCGTGCAGGTGCTGCCCGAGCGGAACGGGCGAGCTGCCCATGCCCATGCCCTGCGCGTAGCCCCCTGGCGGCGGGGACACGATCGACGGGGACGGCGCGGCGCTGGCGCTGGCGTTGAAGCCGGCGGAGGTGCCGAGGCTGACGGCGGGCGGGCTCCGCACGCGGAGCTGGCTGAGGCGCGCGAGCTGGTCGAAGATGTCGGATTCTGTCGTCTTGGCGAGGTTCCCGCCGCTCGTGGGCTGCGGCTGTAGCGCTGCGGCGGGCGGGGACGAGACGCGCGCCGCGACTGGGGCGGGCGCTGGCGGGGCTGGCGGAGCTGGCGGGGCCGAGGGCGCGCGGGGCTCGAGGACAGGCGGAGTCGGCGTCGGCGTTGCGGCGGGCTTCGTCGAGCTAGGGCGCGGCGTCCACGCGTCGTCGTCGAACCCGCTCGGCGGGGGCGGCGCTGGCGACTGCACGGATGCGGTCGCGGGCACGAGCACAGACGCGGGGGCGGGCGAGGGCGCGGCGGAGCCCGCTGCGCTGGATACCTGCGGGGTGGACGAGCGCTGAATCTGGTCGGAGGCGGTGGCGATGGCGCCGAGCTCGACGGACGCGAGCGGGCCGCTCTTGCTCGGCGGGGGGCGGCCGCGGCGCGTGCTCTTGAGCGCGCCGCCCGGGCCGGCGGTGAAGAGCTTCGGCGGGGACGCGACGGGGCGCTTGGACTCCTCCACCTGCAGCTGGCGCGCGAGCTCCTCGTCACGGCGGAGCTGCTCGGCGTCGCCCGCGCCGGCGCCGGAGCCAGCGGATGGGAGCGGAGGCGCGCGGGCGGCGATGGCCTTGCGCACGCGGATGATGTCGCCCTCGCGGAGGCCGAGGGAGCGCATGGTGCTCTCGGTGATATCGGGCAGGATCTGCGCGTCCATCTTGTCGCGCTCGAACGCGGACGCGTAGCGCGTGCAGTCGTCGACGTCGCACCCCGCGTTGAGGAAGAACTCGAACCAGTCGATCGTCGGCTTCTTCGGCGCCGGCGCGGCGGACGGGGGCGCGGTCGCGGAGCGCGGGGGGACCTTGAGCGACGAGCGGCGGTGCGCGAGCGGCTCGTCGTCGTCGTCCGACGCGCGGCGCTGCGGCTGCGGGCGGCCGGTGACGCGCTCGACGAAGCGCATGTCCTCGACGGACATCTTCTCGGACGGCACCTCGATCACGACGCCGTTGACCTTGTGCAGGCGGATCTTGCCGTTCGCGAAGCCGAGGAAGGCGGCCTCGACGCGGAACTGGCCCGAGCGGTCGTGCCACACGCGCGTCTTCTCCGATGGCGGGGGGCCGCGCTTGTCGATCGAGCTGCGCGGGGACTGGTCCGTGGACGCGCGGGGCTTGGACGACGAGGAGGAGGACCTGGCGCGCAACGCGGGCGTGGGCGCGGGCATCAGAACACGGCTCGCGTGGAGCAGGAGAACGGACGGGACTCACGACGGTCGAGGCGAAGGCGACGGCGACGGCGACGGCGTCTCCCGCTTGCGCACGTCCGCTTCTGCGCGCTCCTTCGCCTTCTGCTCTGCCTCGCGCGCGTCCCTCTCTTTGCGTTTCCGGTCGACCTCAGCGGCGGCGGCGGCGGCGGCCTTGGCGCGCTGCTCCTGCTCGATCTTCTTCCGCTCCTTCTGCGCGCGCTCGGCACTGGCCCGCGCCTCCGCCTCCTGCGCCGCCGAATCGTCCGCCTCCTCCACCTCGTCCTCCTCAGCCGCAGCGACTGCAAGAGGCGCCGGCGCCGGCGCGCCCGACCCAGACGGCTGCAATGAATCACACGCGCAACGGTCCCGATCAGCACCGCCGGCCCCGCACAGCCAGACGCGCCACGCACCTCGACATACGACGCGGGCACGACGCCCTCCTCCCCCTTCGCATTCCGGCACTTCCACCACTCGTCCCCGTCCCGCTCGACGATCCACAGCGCCTCGCCCTCCGCGACGCTCATCTCGTCGTCCCCCTGCGCCGCGAAATCGTACAGCGCCACCGCCGCCTCGCCCGCGTGCGCGCCGGCAGCGTCGGGGTCCGAGTCGCCCTCCTCGCCCTCCTCGCCCTCGCCCTCGTCGTCCTCCGCGGCGCCGTCCTCCTCGTCCCCGTCCTCGCGCGGCGGTATGATCGCCGGGCCCTGCTCCGAAAAATGCACCGACGCGCCCTTCTTCCCCGCGCCCGGCCCCGCGCCCACGCCGTCCCCCACGCCCGACCCAGAGCTGGACCCGGACTCGGCGGCAGCGGAGGCAGCAGCGGCAAGCGCGCGCGACGCGTCGAGCTTCGCTGCGATCGCCTCTGCCGCGTCCTTCGAGCCCGCGTGGAAGTGCAGGCTCGCGGGCGCCGTGCTGCCGCCGCCGGAGCTGCCGATCTCGATCAGGATGTGTTTGGCCTTGTCGATCTTGGCCGAGGCGACGTCTGCCATCTGCCATTTCTGCACGGGCGTCTGTGGGCGCGCGCGTAGGCGCGGGGACAAGAGCGGGAAGGGAGCGGTGTCAGAACGGGCGGGGGCGGATGTGGACGGGCGAGGGCAAGATGGGAGGGAGGAGCAGGTGGCGAGGAAACGGGCGCACCTTGTCGCTCTCGCTCGCAAAGAACACGGCGCCGTTACCGACGCCGAGGGTACCCTTCTTCTTCTTCCCCTTCCTGTCGACCTCCGAGACGGACCAGGTCTGTATCGGGTCGGACGCGGCGGGAGCGGCGGCGCGCGCCTTTGTGGAGGAGGCGACGAGGTCGGCGGGGTCGGCGTAGGTGCTTACTGGGCGGGCGGGGCGCGGTGGCTGTGTGTGGGACGTGGGAGATGCGAAGAGAGGGGGGTGAGAGGGGGTGCGGTGGGGATGGGAAGAGAAGAGACTTGCCGAATCGGGGACGACGATGTTGGCGAGTATCGGTGCGGCGGCGACGGGTACTGCCTCTTCCGCCTCTTCCGTGCTCTAAAGCACCAGGAATCAGACTACGTCAGCGTCCGAAGTCTACCCCGGCGCAGCGTATCCGACTCGAGCTCGACGCACCTCCTCGACGTAGTTGGCGGGGACGTAGCCCGCGCCGTCTTTCCCGCGGGCCTGGACGAGCAGCCAGCCGTCCTGCGCGGGGCCGAAGGTGTGCAGGAGGTCGTCTTCGGCGACTGTGAGCTCGCCCGGGGCGACGGCGTCGTAGGCGTATTGGGCTTTCACGGTCGCTGTGGGTTCGGCCTGTCGCCGGGCGTGCGTGCGCAGGCAAGCGTTGGAGTGGTGAGGACGAGGACGAGAGGCGGGATGGGCGGATGTGGTGGGTGGGAGGCGACGAGGGGAGAGGTGTTAGTGGGGGTGCGGGATGTGGAGAGGGAGGGAGGGAGAGGACGTGCCTGGTCGACGTAGGCGGAGGGGACGAGGCCTGCGGGCTGCTCCTCGGCATCTGGCGAGTCGGCCCTGGGGCGCACCTTCCACCAGCTGCGCGCACGGCGTCAGGCGGGGCCGCGATGCGTAGCAGACGACCCAGCCGAGATGGCGATAGTGCGATATGGCCCACGACGAGCAGCGAGCGAGCGAGGACGGGCGAGAGGACAAAAGTCTGAGTAGACGCAGAGTGCAAGAGAGAGGAAGAGGCCGGGCACGCACTCGTCGTCCGTGCGCTCGACGAGGAGCAGCAGCTGGTCCTCGCGGATGGCGATCTCGTCGTCGGACTGGGGCGCGTAGTCGTAGGACGCCCTGAGCACGGCGAGGTAGTGCTGTGCGTCTGTGCTCATGCGTGGATGTTGTGCGAGCGGTGGTATGATAGAAACAACGGTGGTGGCGAGGGAGGTGGAGAGGGCAGGGCTGGTGGAGGTGGACGACGAGCGGTGCTGACGCTGGCGGCGTCTGCCGCGCGGGCGGACTCGGCTCCTTCCGCAAGCACGCGCAGTCGCTCGATACTTCCACGGCACACGGCACACAGCACTCGAGCAAACAGAAACACCCTGTCTATCGCAAGCGTACATGCACAAGAACCCCGACACGACCCCACCTCTATAAATCCCACCGACGCCCACCCGCCTACTCCCTAAAGAACTCCTTCAACGTCTTCGCAAAAATCGCGACGCCCTTCCTCATGTCCTCCGGCTGCACACAACGCCCCCAGCAACGCACCCCGCATTAGATGAATAAAATCAAATCGAAAAACAACAAAAGCGCGCACGCACCTCCGCACTGCTAAAGCTCATCCGCATGTGTCCCTCCACATCCGGATCCGTCGGCGCGTCCTCCTGGTCCGCAGCAAAGAACCACCCGGGCGCAGTCAACACCCCCGCCTCCGCAAGCGCAGTCCACAACCGCATCTCCTGCGTCGTCTCCTCACCGTCATCCTCGTCGCCGCCGCCGCGCCGCCGCGCGAGGCCGGCAAAGTGCAGCTTCACCCACACGAACATCCCCGCCGCGGGCGGGACGAAGCTAAACAGCGGCTTACGCACCGCGCCGCCGCCCGCCTTCTCCCCGAACGACAGCAGCGCCCGCCCCCGCGCGGGCGCAGGGGCCTTGGGGTACGCGGTGTACACCGCGCGCCCGTGCCACGCGCCCTGCGCACGCGTGCCCGGCGCCTGCACGAGCTCGAACTCCTCCGCGAGCAGATCGACAAACAGGTCCCGCCGGAGCTGATACTGCATGCGCAGCCCTGCGCCTCGTCAGCGCGCGCTCGAAACGCAATAAAACAGAGAGGGCGCAAGACGCGCGGTGGGGCGGGGCGGGGTGTGGGGCGTACCTCGCAGCCAGCGGATGTAGCCTTCGTATTTCCATGTGGAGAGCAGCTTCGTGACGAGGGCCTGGCCGAGCCCGCATGGCGACTGCGTCGACGTTTCGCCCTGGCGCTCGAGGCGCTCCGCGAACATGGGGTTGCAGGTGAACCACCCGAGTCGTACGCCGGGCGCGATCGTCTGCGGGGCACGCATCACCGTCAACACGGGCGCGCGCGGAGCGTGGAGCACGCACCTTGGAGAACGTGTCGAGGCGTATGACGCGCCCTTGGTAGTCGACCCTGCCCAAACGCACAGGTTAGCAGCGGGCCGCGACGCGCGGCGGGTGTGCGACGCACCGCAGGTAGCTCGGCGCGAGGCTGTCGATGAAGTGCGACACCTCGTCCTGCGCGGACGCCTCAGGCGCGGCCTTGCGGTCCGCCTTGGGCACGTACTCGTCGACCTGCAGGAAGAAATACGGGTCGTCCTCGACGATGACGACGTCTGCGCCACGCGATCAGCCGCGCGCCGCCGGCGATAAGCATCGAATGTGGCGCACCGAACTCCACGCAGATGTCGTAGATCTGCTTCTTGCGCGCGAGCTGCATCGTCTGTGCGGGCGGCGGGGGTGAGCGGACGTGGGGGAAGCGCGGGTGAGTGAGAGAGAGAGCGCGCGGGCGCACGTACCGCGCCACAGGGGTTCTGGCCGACGGGGACGGTGTACATGACGTGCGGGCGGCGGCCCCTGCTCACATCCCACCCCTCCAGCAGCTCCCTCAAACTATCCGCACGCATGCCCTCCCCGTCCATCGCAACAGGCAACACGCCCACACCCACAGGGCCCGCACTCGCCAGCGCAGACGGATACGTCCACTCCTCCGCGATAATCGTGTCCCCGGGATTACACAGCGTCATCACGCAGCGCGACCAGCCGTCGGTGTTGCCCGTGTGCACGAGCGTCGCGAAGCCCGCGTGTGCGGGGCGGAAGACGCGCGCGGAGAAGGCCTGCACGAAGGCCTGCAGCGCGGGCATGCCCGTCGCGGGGCCGTACTGCAGCGCCGTCGCGAGGTTCAGCCCGCCGTCGCCCGCGCGCGGGGCCTTGGGCACGGCGATGCGCGCAGTGCGCTCCGCGCGCGGCGCGCTGCCGAGGAGGCGCCAGAGCCACGCGAGGGGCGACGGAGACGGAGACGGAGAGGGCGGCGGCGGCGGCGCGAGGGCGAACGAGTCGGCGACGAGGGCGTCGCCGCCGACGGCCGCGAAGGGGAAGTAGTCCGGGCTCGGGAGTCCTGTGCGTGCGTGCGGCTGTGATGGGCGAGGGCGTCGACGCACGCGGAGGGCGGGTACGTACCGCCAGCGAACGCTATCATGTGCTCTCGCCCCATGTACTTCTGCAGGCCCTTGAGCGGCGACATCTTGCGGGCCTTGGCGAGGTCGGAGAGGTGGTGCGACAGGTCGACCGCGTCGTGTGTTTTCTCTGCGTCCATCGTGTGCGGCGGCTGCGTCGGTGGAGAGCGATGATGATGGGAATGAAGCAGAGAGGGGCGACGAGGGTGCGACCTTGTGCCATTGATAAGAGCATGACTATGCAGCAGTAGTAAGCGACGCGGTTGGGAATTGAGAACCAAGTTTGGCCCCGGCCAGCGCCGTTCCGCTCGACGATGGTTCCGATAGCAGTGCTGCTGACTGGCTCGTACACGCTGCGCAAGTATAGCCAGGGATCATTCCCGCACACACGTAGCCCGGCCGGACTGAGCAGAGCAGTGGTAGAGACCTGCGGTGGCTGGTGCTGAACACGGCAGGTCGCATTGAGAAGAGATTCGACGCGTGATGGCGACACTGTGAACGAAGAACACGAATGGATCAGTGAAGAGCGATCTCGTTCGCCTCGCCGATACGAGAACAGATCATGGCAAGCCGGCACGGTCGCCGCGCGGCACCAAACCCGCAGCCGGGGTGAAGCTGAACGCTGCGTTGCGGCGCGACATGGCAAACAGAGAACGTGTTGAGCGCTCTGGTGCACGGAGCAGAGGGTATAGTCTAAGACGGACATCGCGCCATCGGTCACTTGGATGATGCATGCCCCATAACGTTACAAGGACGACAGCCTTCTTTCTGCCATGATATCTCTACTTAGTCAATGCAAACGCTAATCGAGACGTTAGGGGACGGCATAAGTGCAAGCTATTTGAGCTTTCCAGTTCCCGATTGTGACAACTCTTCCTGTAGCCACAAGGCCTTGATATCGATGCTAAATCCTCGGAGTCGGAGCGAAAGAAGTCGTGGCATGCGCAAAGTCAAACCCAGACACTCAATTGGGGTCGCCTCGCACTAGCGCGCCCCTCGACTCACGCCCCTGGGGAGCGATGATCGATAAGACGTTGAGGCGCGAGGCCCGTCGGGACGAGCAGATCGGGTGACGAAATTCGCGCTGAAATGCTCGAGCGCATACGGGAGCGCCGAGATCTGGAGCTGGAGAAGCCCGCGCAACGAAGCCCTCACGAGAGCAGGGATCTGCCCGCCAGCGCGCCAAACATATATGAAAATGAAAATGCCATTCTGACGATCTTCCAGGAACAAGAAGTTCGGGCGAGAACAGCTGCATAGCTCCGGATGTACTAGCCCACACCTGTAGAGTTGTCGAACCGCGATATTCAGAGCAATGTTCAAGAGGACCAAGAGATCGAGCACAGCGTACCTCGACATGAGAGACCTGCGTTGATCACGCCGGGAAGGCTCCCCTCTTACACACAACGCCATGCATCGAGCGCTCGTTACGCGGCTTCTTGTCGGGTTGGAAGACGACGTCAAAGAAGATGCGACTCTGCGGTGTAGATGTGTGAATTCGCATGACCAGCGGGAAATGTGAGTTCACGAACCTGCTGAGAAGCCGTCGAGGAACCTTACAAGAAGCGCGATATGCCAGTGTCCGAGGCGTGGCGATGCGCTAAGAGGCATGAAGGAGCCCGCAGCGGCCCCAACGCCTTGACGGGAGGTCAAAAATCTCCACGGCGACGGCGACGTGAATGCAGGTGATGCTCACAAGGTGGCCAGGGGCGGGCGATGTGGAGGGGGAAAGGGGAAACAGACCCAAAGATTTTGAGAAACCGGAGCGTTGCCTTTTAAAAAGGGCCCAAGGGTCCGGATCGGAGTGTACAGTGCGGCCCCGGGGCCGGCCAGAGCAGCCTCAATGGACTACAAATTCGGCTTGAACCTCGGCGACAGAGGGCGGGATCAGAAACTAGAAAACGCAGTGCGCTTTAGCGGACCTGGCACACAGAAGGCGGTCCACTTCGGGGTTGGAAGGGCGAGACAGTAAGCCAGCTCGCAGGGGATATCCAGAGATGGCTATATCTGGTCCGTTGCGAAAGAGGTCATTCTTCGTGATTTGAGACCTTGGTGGTTACCAAAGGGTGGTTGTCCCCTCTACGATTTCTCCGACATTCACGAGGAAGGTCAAGATCGATAAGAGAGTGGAGAAGCAAGAGCCTCGCAAACGGCTCAAGGTGAAGGGCGGAGAGGAGGATTGCGCTGCGGACGCTCGAAGTGGCGGCTGTGGCGGTGGCGTGGCGCGTCGGCGGGGAAACAGCCGCCGCACGGGATCCGATTCCTTATCCACCACCATCACCTCCACTTCACGTCTTTCGCTCGTCGGCGGAGGGTTAGCAGGAAAGGGTTAGCAGGTCGAGGGTTGAGAGGTCCGCACTTGCCGTTTCACGTCCCCGTCGCACCTGCTGACCCTCCCTTTCCAGGTTTTTGAAGAAAGCAGATCAGAAGAGGCATTGTATTTAAGTAAAATGGCGTATCAGTTTCCTAGGAAGGGGTGTTTCAAGTGCGGCAACTGTGCGTTCCTCGGCTCCCGTTCTGTATCCCAACTCTGAGCTGGTTCTGGCAATTGCGCATTCAGTGGGGCACATCGCCGAGAACTGTTCGTCCGACCAGCGGCTGTGCTACAACTGCCGCCAACCTGGCCATGAATCGTCCGCCTGCCCTTCTCCCCGCACTGTCTCTGCGAAGCAGTGCTACTCGTGCGGCGGTGTAGGACATATCCAAGCGGAATGTCCTAGTCTCCGTCTCCAGGGTGGGAATCAGAAGTGCTACGTATGTCGTCCCGCTGTGGTTGAAAACTTCCTCTGACGCCATCGACACGGCACAAGAACTGCGGTCGCTTTGGACACATCGCACGGGTTTGCCCCAACGGCGCAGGGGGTGGAATGGGATTCGCTTCCCGTGCTCCTCCCCCTGGCCGCGGCCTCAATACGTCTACACTTCCCCCTGTGAAGTGTTACCGTTGCGGCGGGCCAAACCACATGGCCAGGTCAGTACTCCTGCCTCTGTTCCTCCTTCCCCACTGAACCTCCCGTGCGACAGGGACTGCCTCGCTGCCTCTGGCACTCTCGCTGACGGCATCAACGGTCTTCCGGCGGCAAGTCTGAACAAGACCAAGACATGTTACAAGTGCCAGCAGGAGGGACACGTACGTCACCGGTCATATGCTCGACCGTCCCACGCCTGATTGACTTCCTTGTTTCGCTCTCCAGATCGCCAGAGAATGCCCCGAGAACACCGATTACGTCGCCTAAACCAAAGTATGCGCGGACTGGTTCTTCTGCATGCGTCGTCTGGGGGGGAGGATAGGCATCAAGCGAGATTCGGCAGAGTGTTCTGTTGTGAATTATTTTTCTTCTGACCGCTGTATAGTCTTGTGCCTCGAATATTGGACAGCATCAGCTTCTGCACCAGTTATTCGGCATCTATGCTTCCGAAGCTTCGGCAATGTATGTTCGTGGCCATGAGATGTCTTGATTTGGTCGAGATATGAAGACCTTTGCAAGTCACAACGAGTCGACGTAGATTCCACTGAGTCTTCAAGCACACGTCGGTGTGGATATTTTGCAACTTTTCTCCAATCAATTCTATTTGTGACAGTGTTGTCTACTCAAAGAATGTGGTGATAGTGGCTGTGGTTGTTTTCACGACGGACTGCAGCAGACAAAAATCGGTTGTAAACCTCGAAGGCGCACCGGAAAAATCAGTTCTTGATATTGCACGCGCATTTCGGACACTCGTAGCATTCACCTCCTCGAGCTTCCAATCTCAGACTTCCCTCGTTTCTCTCCGTTGAAAACCTCGAGAAACCTGACATGGCTGTTCACCAAACGACGAGCCTGCTAGGAACAACACCCATGACTGGGGTTTGGGCCTTGGCGAAATGCGCACCAGACGGCACGGCGATTGTCGGCCTGGTGAGAAACCCGCAGAGAGTGGCGTAGCACAAGCGGGGAGCGGCGGAGAGCTTAAAATTTGGATTTCCTATGCGTATGTTTTTCTACGGCCAGCCCATCGTTCGTCGCAAGCGCGAGACGCGCTCTGCATTTATCACGTGGTGGGAAATCCATATCCTCCGCGACGACAAGCACACGGAGTTCAAAATCCCAGTCGAACGAACCTCAGCGGACCAGTAGCGGACCGTCGTGGCAACTAACTCCGATTTTTAGGCAGCCTCCAGCGCACTCATCCCCGTCAACGGCCTGAAGCTATGCGAGGGCCACCCTGGAGCGACCTTGCATCGCTTGCCAGCATGGGTGAGGGTAGCCGTCTCATTCCCAACTGGCTGTATCTGTGATAACATCCGGGTAATCTAGGAGATGGGTTGTTGGTACCACGGGTCTCACCGTCTCACGGTGAAGACTCACAGGTAATTAATGACCTTGAAGGATGCGCCATGGAGTGACTTCGAACCGACAAGGCACCTGGAGAGTGGACGTTATCGGATTTCCTCGATGGAACAGTCTCTGACATGCGTGTACACATTGCCAACACAGTGGCGGCCTTCTGGCCTCTACCATGCACACCCACAACTCCGCCTATCGTTCCTGGATCATAATGAAGAATTGTGAGTCGATTCCATTTCGGGTGGGCCTGCTCCGTCGTCGGATGAGTGTCTGCGCATTCTGACTTTCAAAACGTTCATAGGAGCGACTTACAGCCGTGCAATGCCATCATATACAGTTCTCCTCGGAGAAGCCGTGACTGAGATATATCCATCGCTCCCAATATCTATCCAAGTCATAGAGCAGGTGCTGAATCCCCATTAGCACGGTCAAGTTTATCCTCTGGATAACGTACCATCTGTCCGCCGTGTGCTTCCATGCTCCTCACTTGGGCGAAGAAGGTTCTGTGCCCTTCAACGTCTCTACGGCTATGGTACTACACTCGCCCGAGTTGAAAACACGATGTGCGATCCGTTAATCAGTCGCGAGTCAGCGCCTCCGAGCAAGTATGTGTCATGATTGATTCGTGGCTCACTGCGGTGTAGAGCTGATCGTGATAGTGGTTTCAAGACGGAGCTCCCCCTATTCTCGGACCAACGGACACTCCTACGATGGATGGGATAGAATGAGCTCAATAACCATGGACAGAGATGCTTTGAGCAGAATCGATCTAAGCCAAGCGCGAGAAATGAACATGGCTAGGCGGCTCTAGTGCCTGTTTCAGGCAACCAATGGCACACTAGCAAAGCCTCGCACACCCAGTCTCTCGGCTGACTACCCACGGAGAACACCGGTCAGCGTCTGTTCTCTGTGATGCATTTTTTAACGACTCGATTGAAAACTGTATACAACAGTAATGGCGTCTCGTCAGCCGGCGGAGTGTGCGGCCACAATCCCATCTGAAAATATCTGCGCCCACAAGCAATGCATTCCATCTCATTGCATATTTTCGCTCCTCGTGGTCAGTGCGTGTGTCGTACTTGCCTTGCCCAGAGTAGCCGATCCGTTCGGCGGGACGTTTTTCCCGCCCACGTAAGATCTCCTCGCCCCCATCGCTCTTCTCATCGTAGGCTGGATGTGGATCCAGTGTTACCCCGGGTGTGTTACACTTAATTGACGCATAATTCAAGTCCCCGACCGGCTGCTTTCCTATTATAGTCTCTTGCCCTAGTCCCTTGTCTGCTTCTTCCCTGCGCGCATAGTCCAAGGTGCGTTTTTCTGACTGCGGCGAAGCTGTGACATTGTGAATCTGACATAATATGGCACCGTTGAGGCCTATCTAGATCCCAACGTTCGATAGAGTATCCTGAAACAACTTAGTTGCTAACACCCTCGTGATCTTTGTAGAGGTTTCACTCCGCTATCCGATACGCCTGGCGGTGTTTCCGAACGGCAGCGTTCCGACCTCCTGAAATGACCTCCAGCAACGCCCCTCTGTGACATTTCCCTCGTCTCTTCCATACGCGGAAGCCGTTCTCTTCTGTCCCGCTTGCCTGGCTCGAGCGGGGCGTGAATCTTGTGGAGACGTGGTCTGGTAGCCGATGCCTGAGGGGACTCGCTGCTCAACTCTTCACCTCGTCTCGCCGCCCGTCCAGTCGGAAGTCGGCAAACTTGGGCATTTCTGGCTTGCCTCCACACCTCCCGGTTACACCTATCTGCAACTTGTCCTCCACTTTCTCCCACCAACATCCTTTTCTGAGACATAGGGGAATACGGCATGCTCACGATGTTTTCACACGATGCACAAACCAGGGTTCCAGCGGAGTTTTGGGCAAAGCTCGGGCCTTCTAACAGCTTCTGTAACAATGGAGCAGAAGATGGAGAAGTGTGGTCGTATACATGGGGAAAAACTGACGCCACTGCTCGGCTCAAGTGCGCAGACCCCTTGCAGAGCAATACCCTGACACGAGACCCTTAAAACGAAGTGACCCTCTTTCGATCTTATCTCTCATCAGTATGCGCCGAGGGCGCGTCTTCCCGAGGTCCACGTCAAGCGAGAGCCGATATTTTCTCTTCGCTCGGTCAGGTACCCAGGCCTTTTGTATTGCACGTGCAGAGTGGTATATAAGAGTCGCGAAGCATTTCTGACGGCCAGCCATCATCTATAATCCCCTCGTCAAACTGTATGCCCCACTCCCCCGTCGTCTCGCTTAGTACCTGATTGCTCACTGCCCTATCCCTCAGTCTTCATGAATCTTGCTGCACAACCGTGCGCGAAGTTCATCTGCGTTTGAGTCTCATTCCATACGCTTCTTGTAAGGCTGCACGGCGGCCTCATCTCAGGTGAGCGTTCATCGAAATGATTTATCGTCTTCTTTGTATCTCTGACTGTACTATTCATCTAGGTTACCCCTTTGCCGAGATCTTCTACCGGCCTCGCAAGAAGAGGAATGCGAGCAACCGCAGATGAAACCCAGGCCAGTTTTCAGGAGGCTTTGGTGGATCGTGAGTGACCTCTCTCGTGGCAGCTGTCAGTATTGATGTCAACCACGATATCTAGTGATGACAAGATAGCTGTGCTTGTGCCGTCTTCGTCTCGGATTCCCCTATCTACGACTCGTGTTGAGTGGAAATTATGCTATTTTTTGTTTTTCATCGTTTGCGACGGTATCGTCCCTCACACTCATCGGGCACTTGGCGCAAAAGCCACGATGCGGATAATTCCTTGCCTGGTAGCTCAGCGACAACTGCTAGGAATAAGTAAATAATTTGGTGTCTAAAGGTAGCTGGTGTGCCTCTACGCTTTACGCTCGTTTCACTCCAGCACCCACATCTATGGGTTGAAAGGAAATTTGGCTGCCATCTCTTTGGTCCGAGAAAGAGCTACTTTGTTCAAGAGAACTGAGATCCGAAAGAAAGTCAACCGTCGCACGTGATAGGCAGATGGTTCCAATTTCAATTTCACAGACCTTGCACTCCTGCAGCCATGTTGAAGCCCAGTTCTTTGCTTTTCCCGCCAGCATGCAGTTCAGGACATGCGCGATCCATGCGACGTACATTCATAACACTTCCCGACTTCTCTTCGTTGTCTCCTTTTTCAAATTCAGTGCCCGAAGCACAGACATACCATGAACGGAAGATTCTTCCGTACGTACGTTGTCTTACCACTTGACAAGCTCGTGCCAGGTCTGATTCGGAGCGTTCCATCTATATATAGATACGGGCGAGCTGAATTATATCGCGTGGTCGCGGACGTCTCGTCATACCACAAGTTCATACCCTTCTGCACGTCTTCCCGAATTCTCGAGTCTAGCTCACCTCTGCAGGCCCATCTGACGGCCCGCGACAAACCGGATGTGCTGGAGATGGACGGAGAGTTGACGGTTGCATTCCTGGCGCTGAAGGAAAGCTACGTGAGCAAAGTAACGTGCAAGCCGTACGAGTCTGTACAAGTACGTCCACACCCGTCCTCCCCTCCTCTGCACGGTTGTCAACGTATATTATCAAGGCCGTCGCACTGTCTTCGACTCCATTGTTCAAGAATCTGACTACAACATGGCGATTTCAACCTGCCTCTCCTCAGTCACCGCATATGAGCATGGATGGTCCGACAGCACAAACGCAGAAAATCTCTGCCGGCGACGAGGCCGGCCCTACATTGCTGACGTTAGACCTGTCATACGCCTTTGCAAATCCATTACACGCAGCAGTGTCGTCTGCATTCTTTGGGCAGGTATCGAAATTAATGGTGGAAGCATTTGAGAAGCGATGTTTAGCTGTCTATGGACTGGGTCGAAAATAGGACGGGCCACGGACTGAGGGTATATAATTTAGAACGGTATGTCAATTTACCGTACTCATCGCATACCTCTGTTGCAAACCAAGCCGGCTCAATAACTGCAGCTCTCAGAACGTGTAGACAGATGGATAGATGAATTGGACGGTGGGCGGGTGGTGTATCCCAGGATGTGTGGGAATATCCGCTGATATACCTGCGAATTACAGAGATTCATAGATGTCCGCAGTAACAGCACTCAAAACTATCACACGGATTTCAAGCCATATATGTATGATCCCCAAACTTGCCAGGTGGGGTCTAGGCGTTACCCTACACAGAATATTCCCGTGCTGTACGGAGTTCGAGTAGACTTGCTTGCCGTACCGTAGGTATATCAACAGGACATTCTTCTTGTAGACGTCAAGATGCAGCTGTTGCATCTTCACGACATCTATGGATATCTATTTGACAAATAGTACAATACTGACGAGGATAGTTCGGTGCACATGCCGGTGCGTGACCAATTTCTTGCTTCCATCTCGCGCCTTCTGTCTGGCTTAACGCTCTCTTTCTGTTGTCTCCCACCCTTCATGAAGACAGATAGTGATCTCGGGAATAATTCCCTTGTCTCGATCGCTATCGTGACATTCCACACAGATATTCTCAACTCAGCGTTCTCGTTCATCCCACGTATCTGTTTGTATCAACAAGCAGCACACTCAAGGCAAGCTGCGCGAAGATGCACCTTGTGCCCTCCCGAATAATCGCTCAAGCAGCGATTGATGCCGTAGCCAGTGATGTCAAATTTTGTTACTATCTGGGAATGTACGTATGGGATGGGCTATTCTAAATCGAGAATTACATCAGATATTGCGAACACTTGGCCACGCACTATGTTAGCTGCTAGGTACTCGATAGACCTTGAATTCCCTATACCAACTCGCGCTCCAAGCACCCTTTAGTCTTCATCCTTATACTGTAAATTTCCATATGAACCACTGATTTTGAACTCCCCCCGTCTCCGCGGTCCAACGGATATTAATTTGGCTTGTGATGTAAAGGTCATCGTATCTGAGACATCCCTTTCGCGTTCACCAGTGAAGACGCCATTCGCAAAGCGTCAGCAACGTACCGAACGGACCCGACGACTGCACCGAACAAGTCTTCGAAGTCGTCCTTGGGCAGTTTCTTCATCTTCCACGCAGGCGGACTGTCCAAGCCCATAAGAGCCCCGAAGACCACATGGTCAGCGCATACACCATCGTAAACAAAGCGCGCTGTGCCGATTTTACAACTTGGTTTTCACTGATGTGCAATGGCAAAAGAAAACAAGGGCTCATGAATTTAAGCAAATTGTAAAACAAAACATAAAACAGAAACATAATGAGAATTCGCAGCTCACCGACATCTGCTTCTTTATCCCACTGACTGCGGCATTCCGCAATTCATCCGCAGCAGCTTGCATCTGTTCAGGAGACTTCTTTGCAGTGGTCTGGTCACTCGCACGTCCGGCAGCAAGAGTGCTCCCAAGTTGCCGTGCGTAGGTCACGATCGTGACAAGGGTGGTACCCGGATCTCCATTTCCATCCTTGTAGAGCTGTGCATTCTTGAGGATATCAGCGACTAGAGAACGCGCGTTCGCATCGAGAACGGGTGTGCTGGACGCAGCTTCCTTTTTTGTGGTCGCTGTGCACGCTTTCTTCGTCGTGCTGGTAGCCTTACGCGCTGGGTCAGACTTGCGCTTGCGGGATGCAGAGGTTGTAGGGCGCGTTTCCTCGCCGCTGTAAGATTCGTTCTCCATACTGATTCGTGGTCTGTGGGGGAAGGTGATGAAGACGCTGCGACGCGTGCGCGTGTCGCCATCGCGTTACGTCACGCGTCGGAAGGTGACTTTCTTTCGCACCCAAATGTCCCCGCGCGGTCCTTTCCCGGTGACCACAACATCGGGCGGTTTTGCTTGATTCTTGAAGCTGCCAGCACGCGGAATTTTCATAGAGGTTCTTATCTTGTGTTGTGCCGTGAAGGTCTGAGCTCACGCCCTACATAGAGACTGACATCCAAATTGTTGCGGAGGACAAGATACATTGGCAGACTCAAGCTGTCCATGATCGTCAAATATTGACTGACGAAGATCCGCAGCCTGTCAGTAGCCTATGAATTTTTTTACTAAAATGTTTATTGAAGGTATGTACTCGATACTATTCAATACCGTCCAGTAGTGATTACAAGAACAAATCTAAGTATCTATCCTATCGCCTCTAACCTTACATTTATCCCAATAAATATGTTCCTCCAGTATGTGCTACAGTAAGTGTTTCATAAATAGTCGCTGTCCATGATATATAAGCAGTTCATCTCGATGCTCGCACCATTCTTGACGCCAATCATCCTCGTTCACCGGGCCTTCTGCTTCTCTTCCATGGCCTTCCGGATGTCGGCAGCCGCACGCACAGTCTGCAGCAGACCCTGGATCCGTGTTGGCCGCCAGTTGTCTGGGAACCGCTCCGTGTTCCACCACTCTGACAGTAGCTCGAGCGGGACTTCATCTTCTTGTGATGCCTCTACTGCACTGGCCCCAGCGTGCTGCCCGAATATACCTAGGACGAGCGCCATCTCCCCGCGCGCGATCTCCGCGTGCATGTGGTCGAGCGGCACGCGGAGGCTGTTTTCCCTGCGAACGCGCGCACGCGCGATGTCGTGCGCCGTGAGCCCACTCCCATCCGCCGAGTCCTCTAGCAGCGCCTTCAGCGCATCTTCATCGAGCTTGCACGGAGCGTACTCGGATGTCGCGCGCGCGTTGCGCCGTGCGAGAGACGCGTCGTGCTCTATTGCGCCGTGCCGTGCGAGGTCACCGAGGGAGAGGCGGCGGAACTGGCCAAGGAGGAGGTACGAGCCGAAGGTGAGGAAGACGGAGAGCGGGAGAGAGAGATGGAACCCTTCTCGGAGAGCGGAGACAATCTGGGAGGCGTGGATGTCGCGCCCGTTGTGTGGGCTGGTGGATGCGAGGAGATGATGAGCGGGCGGGAGTGAAATGTGGGAAGCGAGGACATACAGGTATCCGTGGTTCGCGAGGGTGTTGAGCGCGGGGCAGGGCGAACGGGAGTCTGTCGCCTTTCTTGGCACGAACTCATGGCCCGTTCCAGGAAAAGCGACTGGTGGGTGTGGTCTCTGCCTTGGAGGGAGGAACCGACGGGGTACACTGCAGCATCGTCCAAGATTTGTCAGCTTTCGTCCTTAGAATTGAGAGGAAGAAGGAAAGTGCGTACATGGTCGCGATGAGAAGAATGAGCAGGTGTGCGATGTGGAGAAGGCCGCGGCGGAAGCAGGAGCCCAGTTGCTGCAGGCGGAGGGAAAGAACTAGTGCCTCCGTCGGCGCGGCAGATTCTGCGACGGGGGGCACGATGCTCGTGCTTGTGGCGACGATCGACCCGGTGAGCAAGGACATGATGTATGCGTGGGGAACCATGGACAGGAATGAGTAGAGTTCTGGCGATTAATATGAAAATTATGGAGAATGCTCATTCCATGCTGGCTAGGTCTCACTTTTATAGTAGGGAACATTCGCGCGCGGACAAGTTCGAACCTTGATTGATGATCTATTGATGGGTCGGGTATGCCATCAGGCGTTGATTGTGGGTGAGGCGATACGCACTTATCCGAGTGCGACACGGAGCCCCGGTGTGGAGCTGAGACTCGCAATCTTTTTGACAGACACTTTCCACAGGCTACGACTTGTATACTTTCACCATCAGGCTCTCGACGTGACGACGGCGCCACACTATCCTCTCGAGGCGAGTTCAATATTGTCGCTACTTTATGATCGTCACAGGGATATCTATATCTCATCTCGACGAGACCCCGGTGTTCTTATTTTTCCGGCATGCCAGTTACCACACGACCGCCCATATCACCGCACTTGCCGCTCAAACCAATGTGTGGCGCACTATCCATCATCCAGAAGGCGGTAGTGTCATCGGTATGGGCGCGCGAGTCGCCATAGGACCAAGTTCGTCCCCACGATGATTGACGTTTCGCCCAAAGCTGGACACCTTTCCACATGATACATCTTCGATCACAGCCGCCTAGCTGTGCTTTCGTCTCCATCTTTCTAGCTAATAACAGCTTGGTGACTTAAGTACTCATCGACGGTATGTCTGCCTCTGATCGCCACTCTCATCGGCAAGGGCGAGTCACCTTCTTTCCGAATCGAACTGTCGGCGGCTTGATTTAGACATGAACGACGGGTTGCGCGCTCACGACAACTTGACATCGGTCGAGTGATATCGAGCTTAGACACTGATATTCACGGTCTATGACGGTTGCGTCTATACTAAGCTACGATAATAGTTGGTGGCCTCATGATCTTGATCTTTGGCATCGCTGCCTCTACAGGCCGTGCACGGCGAAGGTTCAGCACCACCTCTCCAGAAAACGTTAGTATCATCCACCTCAGAGCCTGCGTTCGCGCCACATTTCCATTAGTCTTTGGTTGGTTAGTTCAATGCACAGGTAAAGAGTGGGCCTATTAGGCGCGCGCTCGTGACAAGTTGACACAGATCAAAATTGAGCCGAATGATAGCAGCCCTTGACCCTGATGCTTGCCTGATATCTATGACAGTCGCGTCCGTGCCGTGCTGTGCAATTATAGCCTGCCAGAGCGTTAGTGGGTTGGCGCTTCGCCTGTACAGTAGCTGCATCTACTTCAAGGTGTCGATGGGTGAATGAGATGGGGGAGGACGGGAGGGTGGCCATCTAAGAGTATGTTTGGCGCGACCGGTGTTGCGCGGTTGGCATCCACGGCGTCGAAAGAGGGAGGAGATGTATGCAACGGTTCAAGAAGTTGTATCCACCTTGTTTTCTGTTTGGTATCACTGCACCTGTGCTTCGTGGAGCATATGTCAGCATCCAACACCTTCAAGGAGGCAAGGATTATCCCGTCTATGGGTTTGCAAGTTCCACACGCGAACCCTTCAACTTCGGCGTACTGACAAACTCCTTTTCATCCTCACATAGTATCAGACCCCATGAATGTTCCCACTAGAAGCTTAATGGAAGGAGTGGTCTCAACGCCATTGATCTCCTCGATTTTAAATATCCTCCGGTGTGCTTGGTTTGTCGCCAGCGTGAGTTGCTATCGTCGTCCAAACTAACTCTAGGTTATACATTCCTATCGCTCTTGTTCGATATGGTGCGGTACGCATCTACCTGCATGCGAATGTTCGGTGTGATCAGTGACGGGCGGGGATGCACGTGCAACGATCAAGGTCGGTATCATACCTAACGTTCCTTTCTGTTCCGTGTTCCTGTGCGGCGGGAGATCATCAATGCACACGCTTCCTCATCATCATCGCGGATCGTGGAACGTGGGCCGCGGTCTAAAGCTGCTTAAGCATGAGAGGATGATCTCGCCTGCGCATGTGCACGTTCCACGCAGGTGAGGGTCTCCTCGAGCGGATGCAACAGCAGGGCACTGAGTCGTAGCTCTACGCGACCATCGTCGACCATCGCATTGATATACCGACCCGATCACGAGCCCGGCATCAACATGGTGCAGTCCCGGTACAAGCTCACCTCCGTGGTGGCGGTGTCTAGTAGAGATGGGAGATGACTGATGGCTACGATCTGGTATTAGGAGTCTGATCGAAGTAGGGGCGGCAGGTCTACCTTTGTTCTCAGTTCGGCATGTCGATACAGCGCGATACCATCCATGTACGCGTGAGTCGTGTATAATAGATTAACATTTACACGCTACTCATGCAGGCAGGAATTATCCCGTCTGCGCATGTACAAGTATCACGAAAAGGGCCTGTTCAATTTATTAGCAGGCAAAGGATATCATGAAATGGGTAAGTACACGCTCTGAAATCGCTGGGGATCGAACAATCCGGCTGGCTGCGCGACCGTCGCCCTCAAATATCGCATCGGCCATCTTAGAGCGGCCTGATGCTGGTCACAGTCAGACTCTGCGTCCGTCGGCGATTGCCTGAGGATTTTGATATCATCGCTGGCGGAGAGAGACAGGGATCGCGTTTGCGAATGTGACCAGTCATACCGTTGGCTCCGCCTCCCCGCCCGTGCCCGCGCGCTCTCCCTCCATGTCTCCCGCACTCAGCTGCACGAGGTTTGGCGGCGCGGGCGCGGGCTGCGAGAACCGCCACGCGGGGCAGCGCCTCTGCACGTTGTTCACGAGCAGCGCGACGGGAAGCAAGCGTTTCCGAAACTTTGGGATGGCCTTCCAACGCCATCGAGTCCATGTCTGGCAGCCCATAGATGTACTCCTCCGAATGCGCCATGGACGGTATGGAATAGAGCCTAGCACCGGCATCCCATAGGGCCATCGCCATCTCTTTGCTCAGCTTCCGAAGCGCAAAGGAACCGGGCGGTCGAAAATCAGGAGTCAGCGCCGCCCGCAGCGCACTCCCGTACCGTCCTCCCTGTATATTGGCCTTTGCGCCTCGATCCAACAGCATTTGTACGATGGCAAGGTGTCCATGCTGAGATGCCGCCTGAAGTGCATTCTCATGAATCCCTCCTCGAGCATCGATGTCAGAACCTTGATCCAGCAAGAGGCATACGATGGCCTCATGGCCGTTATGGGATGCTGCCTGCAATGCACTCCCGTGGAGTCCTCCTTGAGCGTTTACCTCGGCACCTTGCTCCAGCAGAAGTTGCACGATGAGTCCGTGACCAGACAGAGAAGCCATCTGCAGTGCGTTCCCAAAAAGCCCGCCTTGGGCATTGACTTCTGCACCGCGATCTAGCAGCAGTCGCACGGTGGCTTCATCGTTTTGCGTACACGCCGCCTGCAGTGCAGTCTCGTGCTCTCCTCCTCGAGCATTGACCTCAGCACCGCGGTCCAGCAGCAAGCGTACGACGGCTTCGTGGCCACCCGAAGATGCCGCCTGCAACGCATTTCCGAAAATCCCTCCTGATGCATTGACGTCGGCACCCCGGTTCAGCAGCAGTTGTACGATGACTTCGTGACCGCCTTGAGACGCTGCCTGGAGCGCGTTCCCAAAATCTCCATCTTGTGCATTAACATCCGCACCTCGGTTCAGTAGCAGACGCACAATGGCTTCGTGACCACATGCAGATGCCGCCTGCAGCGCGGCCCCGGGCTCCCCTCCTGGTGCATTGACATCGGCACCTTCCTCCAGAAGCAGCTGCACGACGGCTTCATGTCCACCTTGAGATGCCACCTGCAATGCGGTTCCCCGCCATCCTCCTTGAGCGTTGACCTCCGCGCCTCGCTCTAGCAGTAGTCGCACGATGACTTTATGACCACCTTGAGACGCTGCCTGGAGCGCGTTCCCAAAATCTCCATCTTGTGCATTAACATCCGCACCTCGGTTCAGTAGCAGACGCACAATGGCTTCGTGACCACATGCGGATGCCGCCTGCAGCGCGGCCCCGGGCTCCCCTCCTGGTGCATTGACATCGGCACCGTGCTCCAGAAGCAGCCGCACGACGGTTTCGTGGCCACCTTCAGATGCCAGCTGCAGTGCATTTCCCCGCCATCCTCCTTGAGCGTTGACCTCCGCGCCTCGATCCAGCAGCAGTCGGACGATAACTTCGTGACCGCCTTCAGACGCCAACTGTAGTGCGTTGCTAGGGTCTCCCGGCGCCTCAAGATCCGCACCTCTATCCAGCGGCTGTCGCACGACGGCTTCATGCCCATCTCGAGACGCCGCCTGCAGCGCTTTTCCACTGTGTTGTCTTTGCTCGTTCATCTCAGCGCCCTCAAGGGTTCCGCAGAGAGTACCAAAGGAATCTATCGTCCGCTCGAGGTCGATGTGCTCGCGCTCGATGTGTTCTTCGGATTGTGTGATCGCACTATTTTGCGTGCGATCCAGGATTTGGTTCTGCCGTATTCGACGAAGTGGTGTGACCAGGTGTAAGGAGAGGAGAGAGATGATGGAAGGCGATCAAAAAAGATGCGGAGGACACGTATGACAACAGCCATTGGCAGTGACTTGAGCACTCTCCAGCGCTTCAGTGGCCGAGTCGAGAATACTGCTGTACAGCCTACTTCCCCAGTTGGAAATGATGCCCAGATGCGAGACACTGCACAATTTGATACACGTGCATTGTAGGTCGATGGTATGGTGGGTGTGAAATAACACTGAAATAAAGACAAACGAGTTCTATCAAACTCCCGCGTCGCGTTGCCCGAGTCAGTCTTATCTTGTACCCTAAGTAAATCGTGCAGCGCCCTCCGTTGCAAAGGCTCACAGTCTCCGTTGCCAGCACTGAACAACTTAGTCTCCGTGGCCGACCTTTACACAGAAGACAGTCGTTCTGTGTATAAGAACTCTCGTTGATGTATCGAGACACCATTCTTACATGGCCGCATCCGTTAATTCCTGTAATCTTCGTAAAATTCCAACCTCGAGCCTCGACTTAGGGACTCAGCGTGACCAGCGATGCCGCCCAACCACCGTTACTTGCATGCTTGGCTAACTACTGCAACTAATTAACAGCGAAAGCTTCACCACCTTTTCGCCATCGCTTATGAAGTAAAGGACTTTTTGTATCGAGACGTTACACTGAATAAACGAGACATGCTTGCTTGGTGCTCAGGAGAGGAGGGAGGAGAGATACACGATTGGAAAAAAAAGCACATCGAGTGCGAGAACGGAGTGGTGTGTGTGTGTGTGTGTGGGGGGGGGGGGGGGGGGGAGGGATGTGCTTGCGCTCAGTCGAGGGTGTAGGTCATGCCGTAGAAATCGGCGTCGGGATACTTGACAAGGATCTGCTTGATAACCCACCAGATGGGCGTACCGTAGGTAACATGGTTGTGCAGGCCTCGAGGCATTCCCGAGTGCAACATGGCGAGCGCGTCGCCATCTCCCGTGAAGATCAGTGAGCCCGAGTCGCCGTGGTCTGAAAAGTCGCCCATATCGCCCGAAGCCTTGGTGTAATTGTACACGACGATCTCCCTGGACTCGAGCCCGAGGTCGGTGCAGGTATAGGCATCCATACCAGAGTAGCAGCCCAACGTAAGCTTGGTCGTGTTGCCGTATTTGGCAACGATATAGAGGGGCTCGCCGTTTTTGTTCTCCGTATCGGCATTGATGACGGGGCGGCGAGGAAGAGCACGACGGATGGGGAGCTGGAGATTGGCTGGGATCGTCCTGCCCTCAGAAACGGCAGCGACGGGCCAGAAGAGATCCTCGAGCTGACCAGCGGTATATTGATTACCTGAGGAGTTGGATGTTGGTAAGTGTGATGGGAATGAAGAGAGCAAACGGAACGAAACGTACCGAGGTCAACGATGTTGCTCTCAAAGTTCCCGAGCTTCTCGTTATCGACTGCGAACGTGGCGATGTCGCGAGTGTAGCGGCGGTCGTCGACCCTGACGGAGATGTGGGGAGCCCAGTCGACGACACCGAACCTGCGACCGTTGGTGTCTTTCCAGTTGGCGTCGACTTCGTCGAGTAAGGCCTTGAGATTGGCGTTGTCCTCGTGCTTGTCCTCCAAGGCGTTCTTCCTGCGTCTCAGGGCCGACGTATCATCTTTGGGCGTGTCCTTGAGTTCGCCAGCGAGTCTGAGGGCGTCGCGGAGACCCGTGGTGACGGCGTTCTGGACCTCGGTGATGGCACGAGCGAGACGACGATCACCACAGACCAGGATGTGCTGAGGGTCGGCCTCGTCGAGCTCGTAATCGGCGGTGGTGACGAGGGAAGCGACGTGTTTGTTGGTGAGAGCGAGGATTCTGTCGCTGGGTTCGCCGGTCTTGGTCTTCACCTCTTTGAACAGGAACGTGAGGGTACCCTGAGCGTCGTCGGACTGCCTGGCAATGGGTATACATAGGCCAGTGTGGAAGGGGTGGTTGAAGCCGAACTTGGCGTTGGTGTTGCCCTCAACTCTCATAAGAGGCGGACCATCTAGGCGGACGACCGACCCCTCATACCACTCCACGACGACACCGGTGATCTTGGCGCGAGTGAGGATGTCGAGGATGTCTGGAGTCGCATCGCGAACGGCCCTGGCGTTGGTGGTGTTGGGACGAACAGCAATCCAGATAACGATGGGACCAAGTCTCTCCTTGCCGTCCTCGGCGATCGAGAACTGAGCCGTCTTCAGCGCGGAGTACTTGAGGCCGCGAGCCTTCATCGACTCTAGGATCTGAGGAGCAATGGTGGAGTCCCACACGTCGTTAAGCGGCGTGTTGAAGACACCCTGGGGAGTCTTCTTAGGGATCTTGTAGAAGTTGGTGCCAACAGGGGGAATAGGGAAGGGGTTGGACTCGAGATCGGAACGCCATAAGAGCTTAGGAGGGTTGCCTGAGATGCCGTGGTAGTAGAAGTTCATCTCATACTCGGAGATTAAGTCGGGGCTGACGACGGTGCGGGCATCTGAGTTGGTGCTGAGCTGCGAGAAGACGGTGAGGGTGGGAGAGGTGGGAGAGGTAGGAGAAGTAGGAGGAGTAGGAGAAGTAGGAGGGTGGGGCTGATCAGTCACGTCGTCTTGTCGGGCAGCCTTGGCAGCGTCGCGCCTGAGGCACTCAACCGCAAAGCAGGTCACGCCTGAAAGTGGAAGAACGTGTAAGTAAATGGGAGATGATAGGCGCAGAAAAGAACATAGAAAGACTTACTGCCAAGGTTAACAGGGTCAGCTTTCACTGCGTCGACGATACGTTTGACACCAGCGGGAACATCTACAAGGTCGAAGGGTGAAATGAGTGAGGGATGGACGTTTGTAATGACAAAAGGGCTCACTTTCACCCGTGAAACCGAGGGCAGTGAGCTCCTCATTGGTCATGTCGACAATCTCTGCGGGAAACAATCAGCACTCGTAATGAAAGGGAATGACGGACACCACTCACTCTTGTTTGGATCCATAGCGGAAGAGAACAGTTCACGAGAAGTAATAGTAAGAGTGCACGAGAGGTGGCAATAAGAAAGCGCAAGTAACTCGTCGGTGGGGATGAGTTGAGGGGGGGTGGGAAGGCGAAAGGAGGGGGTACTTTTAAGAGTCTCGAGTGGGACAGTCGAGTTGGAATGGTACGGCGATACCCAACACTCGGACAGGGATGGATCGGGCGTGCGTGATAGGACAACGATTGCAGAATGTAACAGACAGTACGTAAGGGGGGATAATTATAGTAAGGACGGCTGGAGGAGGAAGAGGGGAAAGGGCGGGAGACTACTGCTAACTGGTCGTCGCGGGCCTGTAATTATACACTGTCCGTAGTTCTAACTATAAGTAAGTGTCTCGTCAGTGTCTTGTCGGTGTAGTAGTAAGTGTCCATGGTGGAGTGCCGCATTGGCCTCCACCAGATTGAGGCTTATATAATCTTGAGAGCCTGCAGGCAAGGTCATATACAGTCGTTTGCATGTCAGCTTGCACAGGACCCCCGTGAATCACGCCAGAGGTCCGAGCTGGATCCGGGGGAAAAATGGGCACGTAAGTGCCGAGCTCCGAGGAAAATTCTGGGGTAAACTGGCAGGATAAGAGTCGGAGGTCCAAGTTTTGTCCGGGAGCTGTGCTTGTTTGAGTAGGAGGTTCGATCCTGTTCGGGGATTTGACCCGGATCTGACCTCGGGATATATCACTGATATATCTCAAAATATATTACTATTGCACCCAAGCCCAAGCATCCAATACTGATCATGTATTTCCTAGAACAAAACCAAAGAAAGGCTTGCCTCATTTTACAATCAGTGCTGAAGTATCCGAGGTGTATCTATCCTCTTCAAACAGTGGCTAGGTGTAGATATGCTCTTGTCTTTGCTTGTGGTCAAGTGTGTCTGACTCAAGGTGCATGGTTCATGTCTAGTTTGCAGATCAATAATTCACATGCTTCATGCTGTTGGACAGTCCTTGACATCTACAAGAAGTCTAGTGGCAAGGTAGACAAACATGACTGGACAATGCATGTATCTTCTATTGCCACAGTTTCAAACATTGTGGTTCAAGTATTTGAATCAGTAGCACAATCTGGGCAACTTGTGCAGGGACATAGAAAGAGAGAAATATGCATTGATGCCCCAGCCACTTTGTTGGCAGCTTAGCAGCTGCCACAAAAGACTATGAAGACCTCAGTACCTTGGCCTTGCACACAAGATCATTGAAGTTGTTATTGTTAGCTGATGTCTGCTACTGGTTATTACAGGATACAATATGCAGGTTGGGCTTAGGGTGTGCTACATGCAGCCTTGTAGACCTTGTCTATTAGTACAGTGGTTAATACTGTCTTGTGCAGCACATAATCATCACCATTATTGATATTACAATTCTCAGTGCTATCCACACTGTCCATTGCCTTGTTATACAGAAGATGCTCAAACTTAGTGTTTTTCTCTAGCTATTGGGCTATGGAAAAGACAGTCATGTTCATATGTAGTGCCAGAATAATATGTTTGCTTGCTATGTAGGAAATATGTGCACTAAGCATATCAAGATCATCTCTAACAATCTTGTGCTTATGTATACATAGGCATGCCATATATATACCCTTGTCCCCACCCTTTACCTTACTAGTAGCCATTTGGAAAACCCCTCCCTCTTATTGGATCTTGATTATTGATAATTATTAATAATACTAATTTGAGCTAATTATGGCCAATTATTCATAATCATGTTTTTGATCAAATTTGCAAATTAAGGTAGCATTGTCTATACTAGTAGAGTCCCATTGAATATTACACTCAATCATAGTTTTACACATTCTAAATCCAAATTGTGTAAGTGCCATAATTTGTTTTTACCCTACATAAAGTGTATTATTTATTTTACATTGGTTTATTATCTTCTTAGCTGGTATTTAAACTAAATCCTAAAAGACCTGAATTTTTAGGTATTTATTGACCTGTTTATTTATAAGAGAGAGGAAAGATAAATATTGAATAAAATCAGAGATGTTGAGGTTGCCTATATTATGTCTACTTATTTAGATTACCAAGTTTATATATTAGATCTTGTGGCTTAGTGGCTTAGAGCATCTGTCTTAGGTGTTTGCATACATGAGGTTGTTGGTTTAACTCTGGCAAAAGGCAAGTTTGTTATAAAGTATAATTTGTGTTTAGGTATTCAACTAGTACTCTAATAGACATGACTCTATAAAAAGGCTATGAGAACTATAATGCTTGATTTATTATTATTATTCTGAAATTACAAGTAATAATTCATCCTAATAATTCTTAATTTAGGAAAATTATGTCTAATCAGAACAGGTTTAGAGGGGGGGTAAGCTAAAAATGTCTAATCCTAATCTTTCATAATTTAGTATAGTAGGGCATCAATTATAGATGAACGCACCTGCGAGCGGCTGGGGCACTGATCACGGTCGCTAGCATCAATAGGGTTGAGGTAGTGGAGCAGATGCGCACGCAACGCTGAAAGTAGGTGTTGAACTTCTCCATTTGACATCCTCGTAATAATGCCTGTGGTTCGATTCAATGCCTCGAAGTAAACAAGGATTATCTCGTCTGGAGATGTGCAAGGTCCCCGCACGAGCCCTTCAATTCATGCGGTCACTCACGGCCTTCGCCCCAGATTCACAGAGTGTCATTATTGTATGATTGTTCCCACTGGAGATTTTCAGGATGGTGTGTACCCAACACTATCAACCCGGCATAAATTTCAATCGTCGTTCGAATTAGATTGAAATATACGCTCTATCACTCGAACCACGTCTGCTGCCACCGTCCAAAAATTGCGGTACATGCTTCAGTAAGTATGTTGCAGATCGTCCCCATCTTCAATATCGAGAGCAGGACCCGTTTCTTCCCGCACCATCTCTGGCGCCAATCATCCTGATTCACCGGGCCCTTCGCTCCTCTTCCATCGCCTTCTGCTCCTCCATGGCCTTCCTGATATCGGCAGCCGCACGCACGGTCTGAAGCAGACCCTGCACCCGCGTCGGCTGCCAGTTCTTCGGGAACCGTTCCTTGTTCCACCAGCTCGCACGCGACCTTATCTTTCGGCGGCGCCTCTGTCTCCGCTGCCCCGCCTCCGGCCCCAGCGCGCTGCCCGAATACGCCGAGCACGAGCGCCATCTCTCCCCGCGCGATCTCGGCATGCACGTGGTCCAGCGGCACACGGAGCCTGCTCTCCCTGCGCACGCGCGCGTGTGCGACGTCGCGTGCCGTCAGCACGCGCCCGTCCGCCGAGTCCCGCAGCAGCGCCGCGAGCGCCTTTTTATCGATCCTGCACGGCGCGTACTCTGCGGATGCGTGCGCATCGGTATGCGCCAGGGACACGTCGTGCTCGATCGCGCCGTGGCGCGCGAGGTCGGCGAGGGAGAGGTGGCGGAACTGGCCGAGGAGGAGGTACGAGCCGAAGGTGAGGAAGAGGGAGAGGGGGAGGGAGAGGTGGAGTCCTTCGCGGAGGGCGGAGATGAGCTGGGAGGCATGGATGTTGCGCCCGTCGCGTGGGCTGGTGGACGCGTGTGGAGATGATGAGTAGGGCAGAGGCGGCGGAATGGGTGGTGCGTTGGGAGGGGATAGGCGAGACGTACAGGTATCCGTTGATACGCTAGAGGTGGCTCTAAGTGCCGAGCACAACACCAAAACAACCTCTAATGCAAGGGGGTGCTGGAGCTAGTATCTAATACACAAGGAATTGTTAGTGATGACTTTAGAAATTGATGGCGTACTGAGGAGCAACGGGGAGTATGAGATTATAGTGCCCGAACGGTTTCGGGACTGCGCCGAACACCGACCGAACGTTCGGTCGGTCGTGTCGGGGATTCAGTCGGTAACGAGGAGGTAGTGTCGCGACCGACAACTACGTGCTTCAAGAGCCACACGGGACTCTGACAATATACGAGGGAGGATGGGGGTACGAGCGAAGAGACGAGTACGAACGCGAATGAGGCCGAACGACGAGGATGACAAGTTTTCGGGAGTCGATGGAGACAATTTCGATGGTTGAGACGAGTGCGAATGAGCTCTGAACTGTGGGGTGCGAAAGCTGGTTTATTCCAGAGTTGTATGTAGGTTTTTATAGTAAACAGCGCCCCTAAGTAAAATATCGAACCCGAAATGAGAGTAGATGTCGAATGGGCGCCAAGCCCCAGCGATCAGAGAAGATAGGAAGGTAGGTGAGATGTCCATATGGGTTCCGAAGGTGATAAGGTAAAAGGTAATCAGTGATGTCGAAATCCCGAACGTTCGGGATCTGTCGCCCGAGCGTAGGTAGCAGGAACAGGCGTTGGAGAGCCAATGAAAAATAAAGAAGAGGTGTCGTACGACCGGGGTGGCCAAGCAATGGTGCAAGATCGCGTTTGACCGACCATGCGGAAGTCAGGAAGATAAGCGATAAGGACCGACCGACTCACGGAGGACATCGGCCGATACGGAATACTGGCTCCGATCTCGTAAACACTTATCGTAACACTCCTATGCGGTCATGGTAAGTACGTGAAGTGTGGGCAAACTGACCCAAGTGCTGCCGGACGTCCTTCGGTGGCTTGTCGTCGGTCGGGTAGGGACCGATCGTGTTCGGTAAAAGTCGGCATCTTCGGTACTTGTCGAGCGCTGTTCGGTATCTCCCCAAAGCTTCCCGACGACCTCCCTCGGACCCTAGCGCGGGTGCATGCTCATCATCTCCTCCCTACTGAAATCCTGACTGTCCTCAGTCAGTGGTCGGCGACTATGAGTCGGAGCGGAAAAAAAGTGGTGTGGAAAATGTGGGAAAGAGTTGGTAACAAGCGATAGCGTGGAAAGAATAGCTGTGGCGTGGAAAATGGAGCGGTGTGGCAAGTTTCGTGGGAAAAGATCGGCTATGAGCGGTGGCGTGGACAGGGGTGGGTGCGTGGGAGAGATGTGGCACAGGTGAATAATCGGCAAGGAGATGTCGTAGAAAGGACCGGGTCGGCGCGCAAGAGAGACCGGGGCTGAGTTGGCAAAGTCCTGTGGCGTGGCAACTGATTAGGTGAGGCAGTGGCTGAGACCTAGAGTGTCCCAACTAGACGCTGGCGTGAGAGTCGTGTCGGCAAAGAGCGGTGGCGCGTATCGCGGCTTCTGCCGAACGCAGCGGCACAGGGCTTCGTCAGGTGACCACAATCACCTGATGATCGTTGATTCTCCAGCGACTAAGTCCTGTATCGCCCTCTTCCCGCCACTTCGTCTCCTCGTCCGACTCCTTTCGGCCTTCCCACCATGTCTTCCCTCCTCTCTGTCCTCAAAACCAAGCTCGGGGAGTACATGCTCGCCCTTCCCGATGGCGCCGCCGAGTACGAAGATTACGAGGCCTGGGCGCAGGGGTTTGCCAAACGAGTGGTAAGTCGGCTCTTCCTCTTGTTTGTGCTTAGATGCTGACACCTTCGTAGGCTGTGTTCGACCGATCGGCGCGTGGGCAGGAAGTGCCCGAACTTGCCGACTGGATCGCCGAGGCCGAGCGCGGCCTCGATCATATGGCCACCGACCACTGGCTAGCCTGGGGAACGCGAATCTTGCCGCAGCGTGCGGTGCGCTTTGCCGCGCAGCAACAAGCGGTCGAGGCACAGGCCCTGGAGGAGGAAGCTGCGCGGGTAGCCGCTGCCGAACGCGAGGCTGAGGAGGCTGAGGCGGCGCGCGCTGCTTCTATCCTTCGGGTGGCCGAAGAAGGTCGTCAGCGTCGCCGGGAGGCACTGGTGGAGGCGATGTTCAGTGGGTTGCTCGATGCGGAAGAGGGAGATCGTCAGATGGCCGCCCTAGAAGCCGAGTCCGTTCTTCCTCTCCCTCTCTTTCTTCGTTCTCCTTCTCCATCCGTTCCTGCCGCGTCCTCCTCTCGTCCCGAGCCCTCCTTCGCCCCTTCGCCTTCTCAACCTCATCCCTCGGTCGCCGAGTCCGACCTCGCATCCGCAACCGCCGCCTTGCATCGCATGAGCGTCGACCCGGTCGCTTCGGCCGCCCCGACCAATGTGAACGGCAAGCCGTCGGCGGCTGCTGTTGTTGTCGAGTTCGCGCGTCAACGGACGCCATCTTCCGGCCGCGTCGTGCTTCCTCTGGGCCCTGGTCACGGCAGGATGTCGACGGTTCGGGCCCCAGAGGAACGGAATGGTGCCGGTAAGGTCTTCAAGGACCCCCCTGGGCTAGTATCTGGTGATCGCCTGGTGCGTCCCTTCCCTTTTGCCGCCTCCTGAGACTGACCTTCTTCTTTTCTAGGCCGAGTACGCCTGTAGTCGGTGCTCCTCCGATTTCTCGACCGTGGCGTTTCGTTGCTACACCCGGCCTGGTCAGGTGTCTTGTATCAAGTGCGCCGACCAGCAAAAGGGGTGCAGTTTCCAGCCCGGGTGGACACCGACGGGGAAAGGAAAGTCGACGGGGAAAGGAAAGTCGACGGGTAAGGGGAAGTCGAAGGGGAAGGTTTCCGACAAGTCGGAAGCGAATGAACTGTTGCGCCCGTCAAAAAAACGCAAGGTCGAGGTCCTCATGCCCGAACGTTCTGTCGGTGCAAGCATAGCGCAGACCAGAGGTGAGTACCGGTTTGATTAGTGCTGGGATGGGAGCTCATCGGGTTGTCTCAGGTGTGCGGGCTCGGAAGCCTGTCCAACGCCTTCCCACCACCACCCGTGCCGTTCCCTCCTCCTCCCGCTCCCGTTCTGTCGCCGTCCCCGCCCTGTCCGACTCGTCTCGTTTGTCGCCGATCGTTGCGCAAGGCATCGCGTCCGATCTTCGGTACCGGATCGCTGTGGCGGAGGGTACGCGGGCTTCGTTGGCGCGGTCGATCAAGATGTGGCAGGCGGAGTTGGAGTCGCTCGAGGTGCAGGCGGGTCCGTCTACGTCTTCGGACGTCGTCTTGGTCGAGGATTTGTCGGCGGCGGAGGATTCGGATATGTCTGTGTCGGGCGATTTCATACCCGATGAGTAGAATAGTTTCGGCGATTTCTGTAGTACAGATAAATGTAACATAATAGTGAAAGGACTGTCCTAGTTTGAATGAGACGTTTTTTGGCGAAGACTAGAGGTGTCGTTCGAGAAATCGGTCGGCGAAATGACTGCGTGTGAATGTAGTTGTAAGCGAAGTGTTCGGCAGAAATGCAGAAAATAAATTGGAATATTTAGGGGAAGCCTCAGTATGTCATCACAGGCATAAAACCCTATGGTTTTGCGCAAATCGGAAGAAGTCTTCAATGCGGCTTGGTACTTGAAGGAGTGATGGGAAAATGAGTGCCGACTATTCGGTCGGCGATCGGTCGGTGGTAAAAGTACTAAGATATGTAGAAATGATTGGGCGTCAGTCCATGTCTGTGACGAATAAACGAAGATAAGGAATGGGTATATCTGTGAATCCTCCTCCCTACTGAAATCGTGACTGTCCCCAGTCACCGACCGAAGAGAGCGAAGGGTGGGAGGGTGGGATCTAGTCGGAGGTCGCCGAAGCCGCGTCGTCGTCCTCCGCCGATCGGACTGAGCTGGTGTCGGTATCTTCATCGGCACTATCGTCTTCGGTGTCGTCGTCGCTCGATCGGGAATCTTCCATGGCCCGAAGGCGTTCCTGCGAGATGTCGAGGAGGGCTTCAAGGTCGGCGAGCTTCAGAGACCTGCGAGCAAAATAAGGAATAACGCGGAATGCTGCAACTGGTCGATCAAAGACCGATCCATCGAGTTCGGCCAAAATATACGCTCCTCCCCGATTCCTAGAAATTACTAGCAAAGGTCCTAAATAACGTGGACGCATCTTCCGATTGAGCGCCTTTTCTATGGCTGTGTTGCGCATCAGGACAAGCGAGCCTCGGTGGAAATTGAAGTCGCGAAGTGTGGCCAAATGCTGTTGTTCGAATCGGATGGCGGCCTGGACACGGGCGCCGACTACTGAGCTGCGAAGGTGGGCGAGGTCCGATCGTCGTTTCTGCAAAGCGATGGCACGTCGAGCAATGAGGTCGGTGGTGCTGAGGGCCGTGGTCGGTGGTGGTAGAAGATAGGTGGCTTCGGCGATGTCGAGGGGAAGGAGGGGATGGGTTCCGGTCGCTGCGAAGTATGGCGAGCAACCCATTCGGCGCCGAACAGTAATACGATCAGCCCAGAATACGAAATGAGCTGCACGATTCCACTTGGCCTGGTCTCCATCAACGGCTTTGAACAGAGCCTGCCGAACGTCGAAGTGAGGTCGTTCGGCGATGCCGTTGGCGCGGGAATTGTAGCCCGAAATGCGAATGTGCCGAACGTGGTACTTCTTTGCTAGCTGGTCGAGCGCCTTGACGAATGCCGGTCCGTTGTCGGAGACAATCTCTACCAGTGTTCCCCATCGGCACAGGATATCCTCGAAGATCCAGTCGGCGAGTGCGGAGCTTGTTTCGCGTCGCAGCATGCGGAATTCGGGGTAGTGTGATACCGAACAGCGGCCTTGCACGAGATACTTGAAACCACCGGCGGTCGGCATGTGCATGGTGTCCATATACATCTTCGCGAAGAGTGGTGCAGGCGTAGCGACGGTCGGGGGAATGAGGACGTTGCGAGTCTGGCGAATCTGGCAAAGGTGACAGGTCCGAACAAACCAGGAAATGTCTTGCCTCATGTGCGGCCACCAGAAGCGTTCGGCGATCAAGGCAGTCGTGGCGTAGAAACCCTTGTGAGCGACGTCGTCGTGGGCGGCAGTGAGGATTGTGATCCGACTAGAGGGGGCTGCAACAATCTTGTGTCGGCCATGTGAGTCTTTTCTCCATAGCTTGTCGGCTGCGATAAAGAACTCAGTGCAATATCGTAGAAAAGTCGCATATTCGGAGTCGGAGAGAGAAGGGGGCCGAACCAATGTTCGGTGCCAGTCGCGGACCAACCATAGGCGTTCTTCGGCTTCCAAAGCTTTTTGCGATCTTGGGATATCTGAATAGTCGATGGTCGGGCCTTCGTCGTCGGACTCGGTATCGGTCGGGAGGTCGCCTATGAGCGAGGAGGTGAAGATGGCGGTTGTCGAGGTTGAGATGGAGGTGGGGAACGTGTTGTTGATCTGATGGAGGAAGCCGTAGAGATTGTCGATCCAGTCGTCAAAGTCGTCTTCGGGTTCGGGTCGATCGGAGGGTTGTGGTGGTCGTCGGGAGAGGCCATCGGGGCCGTGAGAGGTGCCGGGGACGTGGACAAGTGTGAAATGGAAGGTGAGGATGGAGACAATCCACCGATTGATGCTGGCGCTGGGTTCGAGATCCGGGTTAGTGAGCATGCCCTTGATATAGCGTGCGTCTACTTCGACTATCAGATTCCGAACGCCGATGAGATACATTTTGAGCGATCGGAGGGCGCGAAAGAGACCGTAGAGCTCGAGCTTCGGCTGGGAGAATCGCGATTCGCGGTCGTTAAGGGTGATGGAGCCGAATCGAGCATAGTACCGAACCCGCGGATTGTCGAGTGCGCATTGACAGAGGTGGAAGCCGACCGCGATTTGTGAGGTATCGACGGCGAGGATGACGTTGGCTGCCGACCCATAGTCGATCGGCCGAAGGGCTGGCGATTCGAGAAGTGCCGACCGTAGGTCGTCCTGGGCCGCTATCTGGTCTGGGCCGAACACGAATGGAAAATCTTTGCGCGTTAACATTGTCAGTGCATGCGCCCTGTGTGCAAAATTCCGAATGAAGATCCGAACGACACCGATCGTCCCCAAAAATGCCCGAACGTCAGAGAGATCCCTGCAAGGTCCCCACTTCATAATTGACTCTACCCTAGATTCGTCGGGTAATCTTCCTTCGTACGTGCACCGATGGCCGACCACCGTGATTTCGGCTGCGCAGAGCGTCGCCTTGTGTCCCGAAAAGGTCCCTCCGCTATACTTCATCCGCTGAACCACTCGATTGAGGCCTTGAAAGTGTTCCCACACAAATCGTCGTATGCCGGAGTTGTCGGGGTGCGTCTCGAAGCCGCCGTTCGGAAGTTCGTATCGGGTCGGTGGGCCCCGAATCGGAACATCGTCGATGAAAGGAATGGTGGTGTCTGGGATCTCTGGCTGGAGGATGTGGGTGACGTCGTCGTGGAAGATCGGGACCGAATTCGTCCATCCCATGGGTAGGGTGACGAGTCGGTGGGCGCCGAATGGGGTCTGGAACGTGGTGAAGTCGCGAGATGATTCGGAGAGCCCTCGTTCGTCATAGCCGACATAGAGATCCAGAATGCCGCCGCAAGCGCGAGCTGCAAACTGTTCAGCGATCTGATCGGTATATGGGGGCACACCTGAATGCTGGATGGTGACGGCGTTCAGGGGTTCGAGGCTGTGAACGATTCGGAGTTTGGTGCCCGTGGAGGTGCTATTCGTCTTCTTGACAACCGTAAACCAGCGCGATCGGTAGGACGAATTCGACGGCTCATAGACTCCAGCGGCGATCTTGGTTTTGATAAGTCGGCACACTTCGTCGTAGATGCCTGGTGGAATCGGAATGTTGCGTTGAACCCAGGGCTTGTGTTCGACCACCGGCATATTGACTGGAGGAAAGAAATCCTCGCGGAAACGTCCGCGTTCCGAATCGTCCCAGGCAAATCCCCTCTCTTGTAGACACATGAAATGGTGCATGAGCTGTCGTTCGGCCGGCCAAAGGAAGTCGTCCGAGTGGACTTTGTCGATGAGGTCGCGTCGTTCGGCTGTGTATCTGCCGGTCGGCGTGAAGGGTGGGGGGTTCGGTGTCAGCGTCGGAAGGGCAGCGAGAGGGTCACCGAGGATGTTCCGAACGATTCGGAACTTTTCGGGGAGGTCGGCCAAGACTGGTCGTGTTTTCTGTGCGACCGGTTTGTACTTGCGCTTGGCGGCAAAAATGGCGACCGGGTCGGCGATATTAGTGGAATGGAGAGAACTGGGAACGACTGAGGAGAATAAGGACAACATATCGGAATCGAGATTGTTTTTGAGATGATTTTCGGGCCCCAAATCGGAGGCCATAATGTACTTGAGACAAAGATCGCGACGAGAGGGAGATGGAGAATGGAAATCTGAGGACGCTTCGATAAGTGGGAAATGGGGGGTATCATGATCGGTGGAAATGATCAGTGCAACTTCTCCTTGATCTCGGATCAATTCATCGAGTCGCGAAAACCCGCTTGTCTTCGGTGAAGGACTCGAGGGGGTCCTCGTCTGATCATCGGAATGGTGGCTCGTCGTCCCGTGTTCGGGTCGCTGATGGTGATCGTCTGGTCTTCGTTTGAATAATTTTTGACGATACTTTCGGTGAGGATGTCGAATGGCCGACCAAGGAGAACGTCGTAGGCGGGGTTCCGAATGATGTGGACTTGGAGGTACAGGGTGATGTCGCCGATGAGGAATGGCACGTTGCGTGCCAGGCCCAAGGATCGGTCGATTTCGCCGTTCGCCGACTGCATATTGAGGACGATTTCGGGGTCGTAGATGAGCGCCAGTTCGTTGCAAATGCCTTCCGACATGGCAATGACTTGTGAACCCGGGTCGACGACGCATTCGACTTCCTGCTGATGATCGACGAGGGGAATAATAGACCTTAGGGCAGACGATTCTTTAGCAACTATCAATGGCTGAGGAACCTGACCGGGCTGTAGATTCTTCAGGTACATTTCGTACATGTCGGGGATGATGATTGCGCCAGGCGGGGGTGTTTCCGGTTGGTGCAGGACATTGACGAAGGAGGAGACGGTCGGTCGAGTCGGTGGTTCGAGGTCGTCGATGGCATAGGGTAGATCGGCATCTTGGTAGAAGGTCCGAACATTGCTGGCGTCTCTGGCAGGCGATCGGCGTGCCGACGTGGCTTCCCTGACCTGTGAACGGACTTCGGCGGAGAGAGAGAGTAGTTCGCGCTGGGTAAGCGTCACCTGAGTGGCCATCGCCCTGTTGTAGACCTCGGCTGCTACCTTCTCGTCGTAGATCGGCGCCGTGGTTTTGTAGGCCGGAGCGTCCTTCTTTGCCAATGGTATCTTCGCCGGGGCTCCCATGTTGCGGTCGTGTGGTGGTGCATAAGTGGCGTCCTGGGCTTTGGCATATGGGTGGATCGGAGCATCGTCCTTGGCTGGTACCGGGGGCGGTCGCTGAGTCGGGGTGGTCGGCCGGGGTTCAGGTTCGGGAGTCTCGGTCCTCGCTCGTCGTTCGGGGGCCGGTGAAGGGGTAGGTGCCGAACGTCCTGCCTGCGCCATTTCGCGTGCCCTTGCGCCCTGCGTTCGGAGCGCGAATAGTTCGCGTTCGAGGCTCGCGATTCGCTGGACGTCGGTGAGTTGGTAAGTCGGGGTGACATCCAGCAATGAGGGTGAATCGTGACGGGAGGCTATCGTCATCGGGTGAGTCGGCATCGCGTTTACCGTAAACATCATCTGTCCGGTCGCCAACTGGCCTGGATTCCTGCGATGCCATTCGTCAACTCGGTCCTTCAGGTTACTACCCGTGATTTCTCTCGGTACGAATGCCCCACTTGACAATACCACCTTCCCTTCGATATTCCTCTTGCATTTTCCGATTCGAATGTATTCGGTGACCTCGGGACAGGCGCGCATGAAGTGTTCGGGACTGCCGCAGAACATGCAGTTGTCGCCGCCTTGTCCTGGCTGTCGGGATGGTCGATCGGCTGGCCTGGTCGTCCCCTGAGCTGTGATGGCCTTGACAAAGGTGTCGGTGAGCCGTTCGAACATGGTCGCCAGGTCTTCGGCCTTGATCGCGTTGGTGGGCGGCGCGGCGGGGGCTGCTCGAGAGATGTCGGTAGGGGTCGTGCTGTAGGCGGACGTGGTGCCGTGCAAGACGAATCGGGCCGCGTCGTGGATGTCTTGGAGGTTGTATGGGTCGTCTGGGAAATGATCGGGGAACTTGAGTTGTAGACGTTGAGAGATTCTTGCCCATAGCTCCGGTTGGAATCCTCTAGCGAAGGCGCGTCCTTGTTCGGCGACCGAGATCCGTGCCTTGCTGAGGAGGAATACCGTGATCGCCAGGAATCGCCGATGATAGTCGCCGAGTTCGCTGAGAGACAAGATGCCGACCCTGCTCGTTTTGCCGACTAGCTTGTCCATATCCGATACCGACCATTTGCGTTCTTCCTCCGATCCGGGGTATAGCCTGTAGACCTCTTCGCAGAACTCCTTGAAGGTCTTCGTGGCGTCGGTGAAAGTGGTGAGCGATTCCCAAAGCTCACAGGTGTCGACATCTAGGAATCGGCAAGCGTGTTTCTTTCTTTCTTGTTCGTCCACTACCGCAGACCGAACGAAGTGGAAGTCCAGATCGGAGAAATATCGTCTCAATTCGCGGGGTTGATGGGGGTCAAAGGTCGGGGCCGTTCGATCTCCACGAGCGGGCATGGATGGGGTCGCCATAGTGAGAAAGTCAAAGGTGGGGGAGAAGGTATTGTTTTCTAAGGTGATCGGGGATGGAGTCGCTGGTTCGAAGGAGCGTTCTAGTGAAGTCGGTCGGATGGTCGGCGTCCAGAAGACGGGGCTGCGTGGGATTAACGGAGAGATGGAGTCGTGGAGAGATGGGATAGGAGACGGGGGTGATTGTTCTAAGAGTGCAAGATCAAGGATGGGGGAAATCGGCGGGAGTAGCGATCGGTTCGGCGACGAAGGTGGGGTTAAGAAGAAAGTGGAGTTGGGTGGCGGCGAGAGCGATGGCGAGGATTCGAGATCAAGGTAGTGATGGTGGGATAAGTGTTCTGGGACTATATCGGCGTCTCCGAACAAACTTCGGTCGGCAGATGTTTCCTGGGTATTGAAGCTATCGATAACTGTTTGTCGTTCTTCGCGCTCCGCTGTTGGTCGGGACGAGCGACGTAGATTCCTTGAGGTAATTTTGAATACTAACCCCTCGCGGTGGGCTCCAAAATGATACGCTAGAGGTGGCTCTAAGTGCCGAGCACAACACCAAAACAACCTCTAATGCAAGGGGGTGCTGGAGCTAGTATCTAATACACAAGGAATTGTTAGTGATGACTTTAGAAATTGATGGCGTACTGAGGAGCAACGGGGAGTATGAGATTATAGTGCCCGAACGGTTTCGGGACTGCGCCGAACACCGACCGAACGTTCGGTCGGTCGTGTCGGGGATTCGGTCGGTAACGAGGAGGTAGTGTCGCGACCGACAACTACGTGCTTCAAGAGCCACACGGGACTCTGACAATATACGAGGGAGGATGGGGGTACGAGCGAAGAGACGAGTACGAACGCGAATGAGGCCGAACGACGAGGATGACAAGTTTTCGGGAGTCGATGGAGACAATTTCGATGGTTGAGACGAGTGCGAATGAGCTCTGAACTGTGGGGTGCGAAAGCTGGTTTATTCCAGAGTTGTATGTAGGTTTTTATAGTAAACAGCGCCCCTAAGTAAAATATCGAACCCGAAATGAGAGTAGATGTTGAATGGGCGCCAAGCCCCAGCGATCAGAGAAGATAGGAAGGTAGGTGAGATGTCCATATGGGTTCCGAAGGTGATAAGGTAAAAGGTAATCAGTGATGTCGAAATCCCGAACGTTCGGGATCCGTCGCCCGAGCGTAGGTAGCAGGAACAGGCGTTGGAGAGCCAATGAAAAATAAAGAAGAGGTGTCGTACGACCGGGGTGGCCAAGCAATGGTGCAAGATCGCGTTTGACCGACCATGCGGAAGTCAGGAAGATAAGCGATAAGGACCGACCGACTCACGGAGGACATCGGCCGATACGGAATACTGGCTCCGATCTCGTAAACACTTATCGTAACACTCCTATGCGGTCATGGTAAGTACGTGAAGTGTGGGCAAACTGACCCAAGTGCTGCCGGACGTCCTTCGGTGGCTTGTCGTCGGTCGGGTAGGGACCGATCGTGTTCGGTAAAAGTCGGCATCTTCGGTACTTGTCGAGCGCTGTTCGGTATCTCCCCAAAGCTTCCCGACGACCTCCCTCGGACCCTAGCGCGGGTGCATGCTCATCACCGTGGTTCGCGAGGGTGTTGAGCGCGGGGCAGGGCGAACGGGAGTCTGTCGCCTTTCTTGGCACGAACTCATGACCCCTTCCAGGAAAGGCGACTGGTTGGTGTGCTCTCTGCCTTGGAGGGAGGAGCGTTCTGGGTACACTGCCGCATCAACGACCACCTTTCATCAGCTTTTATTCTCAGAATCGCGTAGAATAAGGAAAGGTGCGTACATGGCTGCGATGAGGAGAATGAGCAGGTGTACGATGGAAAGCAGGCCGCGGCAGAACCACAAGCCCAGTCTCTGGAAGCGAAGAGAGAGGACTAGAGCCACCGTCGGTGCGGCGGATCCTGCGACAGAGGGCACGATGCTCGTGCTTGTGGTGACGATCGACCCGGTGAGTAACGACATGGGTCGTGTGTAGGGGGGGATCCCTGAGGCTTTGAGGGACGCGGATGAGTGCGAGGGATCAGCGAGGGTCTTTATATCTGGTTCCATGCGCGTCAGACGTCAGATATTCATGCTCAGTCCTTGGACGGGTCCGAGATATAAAGCGGTGTCGTAGCCGGCGGCTTCGTTCGTCACTTTGGTTTCTGGCTCCATGTTTCTGCACGGCGAGGTATCCTGTGGGGCGTGAATTGTGGATCAGCGTCCCGCACAGTGCTGCTCAGGATCTATACGCTCTGTACATGTGCGGGTTTTTCAGGGCCTTATGGGACGGATGGGTCTAGCGGATCAACCAGCCTGGCCAACGACGCAGGCGTCCTCGGCTTGAGTTTCTCTCCGTGGTGGATGAAGACGAGCGATGGGGGGAGGACAGCGATTTAGGAACAGAATGCTACGGCATGATCGAGCGAGGGGCCGCACCTACCTATCGGTTCCACTATTCATCTGCCCCGTACAATGTAGAATCGCTGATGCATAGCGATGCATACGTGAATCCTGGATCGTGGATCAACATCCGGCACTGCACGAGGACGCAGGCATCATTTCGTCTGCACGCGTGCAAGTCCCGCGCCCGAGCCCGTTCGACGCACCGGCAGACGAGGCTATTATAATATGGATAAGGTACAAGCGCCTGGCTGTGACTAGCTATCACCCTCGCTAAGCACCGTATCTCTAGTCCTGGTGCTGGTCGCTGTCACACTCTGCGTCCATCAGGCCATCGCCCGCAGATCCTGATGTCATTGAGGATGATGCAAGACCGGCTTCTGGTTTCGTGTGTATGTGTGTGAAGTCATATATTAACGTCTAGTGGCAGCGCGCCGCGTGTCTAGACGAGTAGCTGTATGTACTCTACAGTAGTGTGAATATATGTAAGCATGATCCAACTCTGTGCTCTGCATTAGCCGCCAAGGGGCATGTGTTTACCTCAGGGAGGTTGGGTCGCATGGCGAGAGTTATGGTGGTATAGTAAAGTAGCGTACTTAACTGTTGTTTGGTCCGGTTACAGGTGCTGTGTTTAACCAGCTGCGTAACGTGGCCGCCATCTGTCTTTGTTCCGCGGTCCGAATCCGCACGAGTCTCGTCGCTCCTCTATGTCCGCCTTCTGGTTTCGTGAGCGCTTACAACCTCTGCTCTACCTCATTCTTCACGCGGGTACCCCTCCCCATCTCCTGTGCTCACGCTCGATGCCGCGCTCGACTGCACGCGCCGGCTGCGCAGGCATAGGCGGCACGAGCCATACCACGGGACAGCGCCGCTGGGCGTTGTTTACACGCAGCGCGGGTAAGCAGGAGGAGGCAGAGGAGATAGGGAATGTTGGTGCCGAGGAGCACACCGAGGTTTTGCGAGTAAGACACCGTAAGCGCCACAAATGAGGTCGGCAGAGGCACCCTAGGCGAGGTCGGTCAATCCGAGTGCTGGAAGAGACATGCGCGGGGGTAGAGTGCAGATTTCAGACGTAAGAAGAGGCGGGAGGAAGGAAGGAAGTGGATGCATTCAATCGGAACAAAGAAAGGAGCGCGCGCGTGCCTAACTAAAGACGGCCGTGATGACGAAGAACGCGCGGATTTGTAGAGTTGTCATATGACAGACGCATCAGTGACGTTTGAAACGTCTGGCCCTAATGCAACCTCACCAAACGATTGTTTTGCCGTTGCCGGCTTAATACATTCTCATGAGAAGATATCGAAGACAGACAGAAGCTCCTAGACTCACGAATACCATGAATCCACATCAATGAATCCGGTGCCGTTGTCCAGTCCACAAAATTTTGGCCCTCTATAAACCAGGTCGTGCATATATAGCTGCGTTATAGTTCGCGGTCGGATCGGGCGGATTGAGCCACAAGCGGATTTGATCTCGGAGGGCGTCGCCTACACCACCGCTTTTCGATTTTATATGATATCATTGTCTGCAAGGAAGGTCGTACCTCTTATGGCTTGCACGTTTCGAGAAGTTCTCGTCGTCGTTGCTGATATCACGGCAGTGACCGTAGGGACCTCCTGGTTCGATAACATCCGCAATTTCCCCATCGCATCTGACAATTCCGTATTCTGCCCGATGAGTGCCTTGAAGTATTTGGCTACAAACTGCCATCAGCCCCGTTTCCAGATGAACAGTGTGAGCTCCTACTAGCACTATTCTGATTTATCCACTTTGTGGCCACTCCGAGCACCACAAGCAGCTGCGCAAGAATCTCGATGATGAACTTCTTGAGCGGTTTCGAGATCTCTACTTGGTTGAGAATGTCCAGCCGTCCAGTAAAGTGCTTCAGCTCTTCGAACGTCTCTATGATCATGTCATAGTTCGCACTAATATCCTTTGCAGCCTAGCTCGATGGCAGGATGGGAGTTCATTCTCGAATCAATAACGGCCGACATACCTTTAGCAGGGCCCGAATAGCGATAAAAATTGCTTTTGACGGTGGAAATGCCTGGTCCCACCGAAGTTAGACATGTCTTGTAAATTTGGGCAGAGGTAATGCTCGCTGTCGCTAAACTCTGTCCTATCATTTCCGAGCACATATTGACCAGCTCCAGAACTGGCTTGATCGCGTTGCGAACTTTTTCGCCCTTCTTCCGATAATGCTTGAACTTGTTCAGTTCCTTGTCGAGTGCTCGGAAAAGGGCCTCAGGGGAATCTGCCTCCAGCCCGTGATCAAGATAGTCGCGCTTGGTGTGTTGTTTGTGTTTTGTGGGACAAGGGTAAGGGGAGAATGTCAGAGAGGGAGATGGAACGACGTGGAGGCCGCAAGCCAACAACCACGAGGAGTGAGCGCTACTTCTGAACTTGAATATCTGAGTCGAATATGAGAATAGAACGATTCCAGCGAATGTCTTTTCGACACCCAAATGCTCGTCACTGAGAGTGATGTTTGTCTGATCGTGGGGTTCTGGAACATTTCGGGACGCTCACACTGTGAATCATAGTGCAATGTCAAGTCAGATATTGAGGCATGATCTTCCTGTGGATAAAACGAAAAAGCCTGGAGTCAGGTGCGTGGTTAGTGCTTGGGACTCTTCATCGCATCGTCGTCGACTACAAGTGATATGCGAGTCTTACCTAGCTTGCTCCTCTATCGCCGTCCTCCACCATCCAAAAAGCCGTTAATTCGTATCTTGAACCTGATTGATATACGGCGTCTGAAAGAGTACGTGAATTCGTGATGTCTAACTTCAGTGTACATATGACGTGCACAGAAAGAAACGGCCGGTTCGAAGAGACATCACGTGCAAGTTGAGCGACGGCTCCGCGAATTTTGTAGACGGCCCATCGCCTCTTGCCCGCTCTCGTCGTTCTGCTTGGTGACACATCGAAACGCTGGAATATATGCGTGCGCAACAATTCAAGCAAGGGCTTGATAGAAGCAGGAGTCCTCCCTCCCTCTATTCTCTGCCCGATATTACCGTTCGACGCAAGATCATCGGTGTATGCGAGGGTCATAGATCGTCGATCGAGATACGACACACGTCGAAGAGGCAAGGTCGCAAGCCGCGTGCACAGGCCCATTTGACTCACCAGCAGATGAGGGTACTACAACATGGTGAACGTACAAACGGCTGGCTACCCTCGTCGAACACCGCATCTCACACCCGGTGCTGGTCGCACTCACGCTCTGTACCCGCCAGCTCGCGGATCCGATGGTCGAGATCACGTTTTCGCACGTGCCCATTGATCACGCTTTCCGCTCTGCCTCGTCCCCCACGCGCGTCCCCTCCACGTCCCCCGCGCCCACGCTCGACGCCGCGCTCGGCTGCACAGGGGGCTTCGGCGGCGCAGGCGGCACGAACCACCACACGGGGTACCGCCGCTGGACATTATTCACGAGCAGCGCAACCGCAAGCGCGAGCGTCGAAGACAGCAGCACGACGGGCAGAAAGTACCACCCAATCTCGCCGACGCCGTCGTCGACGCTGGGGAGCAGCGCGGTCGCGCCGGCGGGCGGGTGCGTGGTGCCCGTGATCTGCATCGCGACGGTTGCGGTTGCGCAGGAGAGCGCGGCGGCGAGCCAGCGGAGCTGGGCGAAGCGCGCAGGCGGGAGGAGGCGGAAGAGCTTGGCGATGCAGGTGCCGAGGAGGGCGCCGATGAAGTGGCCGCCGAAGAGGGCGCGGGGCTGGGAGAATGGGGCGTCGGGGGCGCCGTAGATGAGGACGGCGGAGGCGCCCTGTTTGGGGATTAGTTAGTCAGTTGGGCGGTCGAGTCAGGGCGGAGGGACCGGGGGCGAACGCGGGGAATGTGGGGGAGGCGGCGGAGAAACATTAGGAAAGGTATAGTGAATGATATATTGGAGAAAAAAATAGCAAAAATAGAAAATGCGTACGCACATAGCTGGCCACTAATAGTGGGACGTCGCGTTCGAGAAAGTATCGCGCCTGTCCAAAGACGGCCATGATCACGGACAAGCCGCAAAACGCGCCAATCCAGGACCAGACCCAAACGAGCAACGCAGGGAGCGGGCGGGGTGGCGCCGTGCGATAGCCGAGGAAGTGGGAGAGAATGGGAGGGAGGCGGGCGAGGCGGGAGGGCGGAGAGGACATGTTGTGGGTGCGGGGCAGGGCGCGTCAAGGACTGTTGTGGACCGGTGCGGTTTTGACGGCGTCGAGGGCCGACGGAATCGGACGTGTCAGAGCGTGGAAAACGGGTCGAGCAGCGTCGCGCGAGGTCGAGTCTTATGGCGGCGTGGGTAGGTGAGCATTGAGAAGCGTGTGCGGGATTAAATACGAGCGTAGTCGAGTCACATCGGCGATTAAACCGAAATCATCTAAGCCAGCAATATGTAAGCGACAAAGCCGCGGTCGACCGTCGACGTCGACCCAGTCGGTTGAAAGCTTGGATGGAGAAGGGGCGGGTGCGGGGAGAGCAGGGACACCGTCGGGAGGTTTGACGGCGCGAATGGGTTGGGCGCTTACCGCAAAAGGCGTCGTCGAGAGAACCCGGGACGATCGTGGGCGCGAGTTGGGCGTTCAAACGAGCGGTCCCGGCCGTGCCCGAGGGAGCTGACCACCACTTCGGCCATAGGCTTGTGAAACGCACCTCTGCTATCCAAGGAGGCCCGTATGCTTGATGTTCTACACAGGCCTCGTTATTGTCGATGCAGTCATCAATAACTACCTTCAAATTGCAGGCTTGAGCCCGTCTAGATTGCGTCTGGGGAGCACCCATCGCAAAGCATAACCTTCAAGGCTACTCGCTTTACTCACTCTACACTCTCAGATGACCCCCTCAGCACTGGTGCATCCACACGAAAGAAGAAGCGACTCACGTCCTTGCATTCAGGACAACTACCGATGCGATGCCGGGGCAATCACGAGTGCTTGAGGCGCTGTGGTCAATCCTGAGGCCTGATCATTGATTTAGAATCGTCTCCTTATGACCATTGACCAGATCCGCCTTGCTCCAAAAAAGGTTTCTAAACATCATCATCAGAATCTGAACTCACCGCATACATGGTACGCTCGCTGTTTAATCTATTTGTATACTACCACTGTATGTTCTCCCAGTGTGATCCTATAGACGGAACCCAGAGGCCGATCGCAGGAGCAACTTCTGGGAAGGACTCTCCTTCGGTTGAAAGGCCAACACGTCTTCGAGGGGACTATGACATCAAGATGGGACTTGATTATTTCTGCGTGTGTTTGGCAGTATTGCGATCTGTTACAGAGTACGTACTTTCGAGCCTTGCCCGTACAACGTCCAGTGCTGTCCATGTATCAATCATTTGTGGGTTTACAGCGTCGAATCCTAACCACTGGAAGAACGCAATCGATTCTTCCAATCGGCAGCATATTTTTGAATCCATACCCAATGTCCCCCATCCTCCATTCAAGACCAGCTTCATCGCCTGGTTCTAATTGGTATCAAAATATCCCCATTGCAATTCACCATGTTGCTCCACATGAATGCCAGAAGGGACTGTTCTGCCTCAGAACAGCAGGAATGCAATCTATCGACCACTTACGCGCTCGCTCGGTCTCGTTGACAGCTATGTAAACAACAGATGCACATTTATTAGCTCTTCCGGCTACTGAACGTTTTCTGACAGTCGGCAATGCTTTATCCCTTGTGCGACTATGACATCAAATTCTAATTGGACGAAATCCACAAATCCATCCAGCTAGACGACTGACAAAGTATATCATAGAATCCACACACGGTATTCTATTTTCCACATTCATAAACTAGCTGTGTCGCCTGCTGCAACTGAAGCATTCTCTGGAAGCGAGTCCGCGATGGCTTTGTAATTGCCTCGGGACGCCGCCTGTGGTGCATTGTCTGCTTGCCTCTGTGTATCATTTTCTGCGCCTCGATATGCCGCATCTAGTGGACTCCCATACGACCCTCCTTATGCATCAACCTCAGCACCTCGATCCAGCAGCAACGTTACAATGGTTTTACGACCATGATAAGATGCCGCCCGCAGTGCGCTCTCGTAGAGTCCTCGTGCATTGACATGTGCGCCTTGGTCCAACAGCAGTGTCACGATGGATTCGTGTCCACCTGCACACGCCGCCTGCAGTGCAGTCGAGTAGTATCCTCCTTGCGCATTGATGTCTGCACCTCGATCCAACAGCAGCTTTAGAATGGATTTGTGTCCAAAATAAGATGCCGCCTGCACTGGGTTCTCGTAGGCTCCCCCTTGTGCATTGACTTCAGCACCTCGATCCAGCAGCAGTCGTACGATCGGTTCGTGACCAAGTGCAGATGCTGCCTGCAGCGCGTTGCCGTACCGACCTCCTTGTGCGTCTACCTCGGCGCCTTGCGTCAATAGCCATTCTGAGATATCAAGAAGCCCTCCCATAACTGAGTAGTAAAGAGGTTCAGGGATGACGTTGGCTTCACGGTGCCATTTGGGGGATTTCCAGGTTTGATCCAAATCATACATTCTGATCCAGTTCAGAAAATATCTTCGTCGAGAGAGATGAAAGAACTCCTGAGCTAAACCCTGCAGAGGCAAGTCAGCATCCGGTCCCTGCTGCTTGTAATGTGAGACCCAATAATGTGCCGCATACGAGGCTAAGGCCACATCCTCATCTTCTTTCATCCTCTTTTCATCCAGCCCGTCTGTGTCGAATCGCATCAAGTAAGTGATACAGGTCATGGCGATTGCCCTATTGGCTAGGTGTGCTGCATTGACGTTGTAGTCGAACATTTTAGGTGTTTGACTCCATCTAGAGCGCAAGTATTCCTTAACAGATAAGTGCGATAATCTAACAAGTTTCCCTGCGAGCGTATCGGGAGGGATTTCAGGGAGCCACTTGTCGGATCGCAGATCATGGACATCAGGTCCAAGAAATGACAAAAAGACCAAGCTGCCACATATTGTGAGCACATCCGACGGATCGCGCATGCGGTTCCTAGAGTCGTAATGAGCCGTCCCATCAGAATTTATGATTACTGTGACAACCTCGGCGAGTTCGTCGAGCATCATCGGACGTTCCGAGAAACAGAGGAATTGCAAGATTCGATGGATCTTCTCTTGGTGATCGTCTGGAATGTTCCGCAGTATGCGTTCATAAGTTTCGTCCAGCGATCTAGGCAGAGTATTCAGAGCAGTGTTGAGATCGTTGTTCGTGACACAGTGTCGCAGACTGTCCAGTTGACAGCGCACCCACTGGAACCTTTGTACGAGGCTTCCCATCAGCATCTGGTTTCGTGCCACCCAGCTTTGGGATGAACTTACATGCCGTCTGCACGTGCGACAAGCGCATTTCTGATTGACACCTTCTCCTTTGCTTCCCACTTGTTCAGATGAGGATCATTCTCCAGTTGAGCTATGAGGAACCGATGCATGTCTTGGTCGATACGCGACGTTGCACCGTGGAGATCTACATGACAAGCACCGGGCAAAGACTCCATTTTCTCTTTGATTTCCTGCTCCAGTCGACTGGCTGCCAGAATATGAAGAGGTTGCAGATTCCAGCTCTGTATTTCGGCCAGGAATTTGAGCACATTTGTTCGCTCTGGTCCAATGCACTCGTCCAGTCCATCAAGAACGATGAATGCATGGCTGAAGAAGTCAATACTCTTCTTCAGAACCTCCAGCAGCTCGTCTAATGTCGGCTGCTGTGAGCCGTTGTCTGTCTGTTTGTAGAGGTCTCTCAATGGGCCGGGACATCGTCCAAGGAGTTGGAAGACAAGAGAATGCAGCATATTTCGATAGACGAGCTTCTTAGAGTCATTGAAGTTGAAGTTGAAGTAGGCCAAAGCGACAGAGGAATCAGCTTGTCGTTTGAGAGCCTCGATGATTGTAGCGCTGCCATATATCAATTGTATCAGTGACATCTGTAATATCTGGCTTCATAACAGCCTGACCAGATAATTGTTTTGCCATTGCCAGCTGCATAGGTGTTTCGTGAGAAACCATAAGAAGGGACGGGTTCTTGTGGACGCACGTATTCCACAGATCCACATGAATGACCCTGGTGTCGTCGTCCAGTCCACAAAATCTTGGCTTTGTATGAACCAGGCGCCGGTTCCAACCTGTCGCGCTTCTATGGCTGTATTATAATTTATGGTCGGATCAGGAGGCTTGAGCCACAAGCGGATCTTTTCTCGGAGCGCGCCGTCTACATCATCAATGATATATATGAGACATAGCACATGGTGACTACCCGAAAAGAAATACATACCTTCTGACGCCTGCATATTCTGGGAAGTCGTAGTTGTCGTCGCCAATATCAAGGCAGTGACCATAGGAATCTCTTGGCTGGTCAAGATCCGCAGTGTCCCCATCGCATCGGACACTTCTGTATTCTTCCCGCAGAGTACCTTCCAACACTGAACTACCAAGTTTGCCCATCAGCCACGTCCTCGGATAAGCGATATGAGCTCTTACCAAGACGATTTTGCTTCATCCACTTGGTGGCTACTCCGAGCACCACGAGCACCTGGGCAAGGATGCCGACAATGACTCTCTTCAGATTGTCGGTGATCTCGTGTTGGACATAAACGTCCAAACGTCCCATAAAGCCTTTGAGCTTCTCGAACATGTCGATGATCATGTCATAGTGTGTACTGACGTCTTTTGCAGCCTAGAACGATAACGGTAATGAAATTTATGCCAAATGAGCACTGAGATATATACCTTTAGCAATTCACAAACAGCGACAGAAATCACTTTTGCTGGTGGAAATGCCTAATATCGTTGAAGTCAGGTATATGTCTAGGGAGTTGGGCAGACACGATGCTCACTGTCGCAAGACTATCTTCGATCGCACCTGATGATAAATTCACCAGTTCCAGAACCGACCGAATAGCATGTCGGACTCTTTCTCTCCTCTTCCGATATTCCTTGAATCGGTTCATCTCCTTGTCGAGGATGACAAAGGAAGCATCGGGGGAATCTGCCGCCAGCCCGCGTTCTTGTAGATCGTCGCGCTTGGTGTCTTGATTATATATTGTGATCGCCGATGCCCAGATCTCCTGAAACTGCAATACAGGACTCGGATCTGTCATGTTCGACGCCGTTGGGCAAGACAACAGAACCACCGTGTGCACGGAACAGACCGTAGGATCACAGCCACGCAGAGTGAGCGCTCGACGCTACTTGGAAACTATAATAATTGTGTGAGATTCCAGAATACGGCAATTTCGGTTCTATTGCTTATTCCATGATCAGACGCTAGCACCTTATTCCAGAGGGCCCGACTTAGTGCGCCCAAGCATTTGAAACGCTCACATTGTTGTAGTGCAACTGTAGGACATGTGGTTAGTTACAACCTGTCAGTAATAGAATCGTAGAGCCTTCAGGGACTCTTCGTCAACTTATCGGACCGGGTTGGCCCATTGCACGCAAGATTATATACGGGTCTTACCTGACTCTTTCCATCGCCCTCTTGAGCCATCTCGGAAACCTAGCTTAATGTCGAAGCGATATGCTGTGTTTCGACGTCAACTTACTTGTGCAATCATCGCGTCCACGGAGGTCCACGGTCGTGAAAAGTTTCGGATGGCAGAGACATCACGTGCGGCTTTGACGGCCTTGCGGATTTTGCAGAGCCCTCTTGCCCGATCTCGTTGATCTCCTCGTCGCCCACACCCTCCCCTTCATCACCTTTGACGATGAGCAGACTCAACGCCGGCGCGTTCGAGTTCGTGCCAGGCAAGGCCTTCCGTATCCCCCCGCCCGCCCAACAACCGTCTCCGCCTCTGAAGCCCGTCGAGCGCCCCGAACAGACAGAGGCCCCCGCTCCCGCCCCGACCATCTCTCTCAACATCGGCGGGTCAAAAGCGCCATCAGCTCCATCCCAGGCTCCATCTACGCCTTCATCAGCGCCATTCTCTACCCCCGTGCCATCTGTGAAAGCCCTCTCTAAGCCTGCCGCGACCGCCTCGTCCTCTGCATCTACACCTGCTAAGACATCCGGTATCTCCTCCCCCGCACTCGCCCCCGCTTCCGCATCGCGCACCTTCACCCTCGAGAAGGCTAAGACTGACACAGCCGCCATCGCTCAGGAGGTTCAGAACGCTGCGGATGAGGCCGTCCTCCAGGATCTTTTTGGCGACGGTCGGTGCTTCACGCCTTCTCTCTTTTCTGTCTACTGAATCACCCTTTTATACAGTCAAAGAGCATCTAAATATTGTCTTTGTTGGTCATGTTGATGCCGGCAAGAGCACAATGGGGGGTAATATTCTTTACCTCTCTGGCACCGTTGACAAGCGTACCATGGAAAAATACGAAAAAGAGGCCAAGGATGCTGGCCGTGAGACTTGGTATCTTTCATGGGCCCTCGACTCGACACCACAAGAGCGTCTTAAAGGAAAGACTGTTGAGGTCGGACGCGCTTATTTTGAGACCGACACCCGTCGCTACACCATCCTTGACGCGCCTGGCCATAAAACATATGTTCCCTCTATGATCACTGGTGCGGCTCAAGCTGATGTCGCCATCCTCGTCATCTCCGCCCGCAAAGGAGAATTTGAGACTGGGTTTGAGCGCGGGGGTCAGACGCGCGAGCACATCATGCTGGTCAAGACTGCTGGCGTCGGAAAGATCATCGTCGTGATCAACAAGATGGATGATCCCACTGTGGGGTGGGAAAAGTCGCGCTTTGACGAGATCAAGGACAAGCTGACGCCGTTCGTACGTGGAGCGGGCTATAATCCCAAGACGGACGTGACCTGGATGCCCGTGTCGGCATACACGGGAGCGAACCTGAAGGACCGCGTTGCGTCGTCTGTCTGCGCGTGGTGGGAGTGCGTACCCATCCGCCTCTCCGCCCTGCTCACGCTCACGCCTTCTCCCTCCCGTTGTCGTTACTTTCCGCATGCTCTCCCCCCGCTCCTCGCGCAGTGGTCCCTCACTACTTGAGCACCTCGATAAGATGCCCATGGTCGACCGACACCTTCATGCACCTCTCATGATGCCCATATCCGAAAAGTACAAAGACCTTGGTACAATTGTCGTGGGCAAGATCGAGTCAGGGCACATCCGCAAGGGCGACACGCTCCTGCTCATGCCGAATCGCGACACCGTCGAGGTCGCGACGCTGTACAATGAGCTCGAGGAGGAGGTTCCTGCGGCGGCGTCGGGCGACAACGTGCGGCTGCGGCTACGGGGCGTCGAGGACGAGGACATCAGCCCGGGGTTCGTGCTTACAAGCCCGGCGAAGCCGGTGCGGGCGGTGCGGCAGTTCGAGGCACAGCTGGCGATCTTGGAGCACAAAAATATCATCTGTGCGGGGTATACGGCTGTCATGCACGTGCATACGCTCGCAGAAGAGGTCGCACTTGCGGTGAGCATCATTCTTTCTTTTTTTGTTTCCAGACTCTGGGACTCACGATCTAGTTTTCAGGGGCTCTTGCATTACTTCGATAAGGCGACCGGGCGCAAGTCTAAGAAGCCTCCACAGTTTGCTAAGCGGGGACAGCGTATCGTCGCGTTGATTGAGACGGCTGCACCGGTCTGTATCGAGCGCTTCGCGGATTACCCGCAACTCGGCCGATTTACTTTGCGTGACGAGGGTGCGTTTTCATTCGCCATCATCACCTCTTTCTATAGCTTATCCTACCTTGTATCATATAGGAAGAACAATAGCGATCGGGAAGGTTCGTCCCTCTCCCCTTTATCTGCTGGCTTTTTTGGCGCTAGTATCAATGTTTTATTGTCATCTCTCCACTTGCAGGTCACGAAGTTGATCGAGTCCGGCGTCGACACGGATGAAGTCGTAGGCGGCGTCGCTAACCTCTCTGTAGCGAGCTCTGCCGCCCCTGTGGCTTGAGCGATACCCAGAATGACCTCTCACTCCCTTTGAAGTAGTGCTGGCCGTGTAGCGGGTATTCATGAATGATATGGGCGAGCACGGGAGGCGATGTGTAGTGGTGGGTGTATTGGTTTCAGAGGGAGGATAAAGTGAGCCAAGATTGTACTTGTTTCGACGTTGGGCCGATGGGCCTGTGTAGCGCGATATTGCTATACCATATAACGAAAGGCCGTACGTCTGTAGTTACCCCCATGTAGCCCTCGATGTTTCCTATCCTCCCTGTCCCCGAGGTCGATTCACACCAGTCCACTCCCGGGCTCCTTATCTATTTTTTCGGGCAAGCCGAGTGCTCCCCAAGTCACGTCTCGAACCCGCTAGGTTAATTTTGACCAGAAATACAACAACAGTGCCACCAATATCAGTAACAAAAAGCTACAACCGCTGCTTATGCTGCAACGACTTGTGGCTGAGGCGCCGGCGGTACGTCCCCACTCGCCGCTGCCTCGCTCGCAGCAGGACCAGCAGCGACGCCTTCAGCATCGTTCGTCGGTCCCTCGGCAGCGACAGCAGCCAACACCTGTGTGTTCCGCTTTTTGGCGCTAGCGACGACCTCGAGAACACTCTCAAGTCCCGCACGCCATGCTGTGAGGCGCTGCTCAAGGGCCTCCCACTGTGGACGCTCGAAGGCGCGCGCGGTGGCGCGGACAACTCGGAGCGTTTGAGTCGTCTGGGAGAGCTTCCCGGACAAGAGGCCTGCACGGATCACTGGTGGGCAGGAAAAACATGAGGCGTTTGATGCAAATAGATGGGTAGATATGATTAATGCGCGTACCGTCGATGACCCATTTTTCGACATCGGAAACTTCGACTTGGAGAGAGGAAGCGATTTTGGTATACGAGAGCTCGCGCCCAATGTTCTGGAAGCCGAGTGCGGCAAGTGAGAGGAGGCGCATCTTGCGTTCCAGCTGCGCATTGTCGAGGCCTGAGTGTAGAAGGCCATGTGAAGGGATTTGTTAATATGAACTTAACAAGGTTACAGAAGGACCTAGCGTACCGAATTTCTCGGCATCGGCGTGTGCATCTTGCCATGCCTTGAGCTCATCAAGCCCGCCGTTGACAAAGACCTGCAGGAGCTGGAAGAGCTCGTGGTCTTTGAGGGCGAGGACGGAGTCGAGCTTGAAAAGCGTATCAAAGTCGAAGAGAGTGGGGTAGGAGAGGGCGGTGGCGATGAGATCGATGGCTGCGTGTTGCGCATCGGGGGAAGAGGATTCGAGGGAGCGGACGTAGGCGAGTTTATACTTGTACGATACGTCTCTATACGACTCATAGGTCAGATATAGTAAGGGCGGGGTCAAGCAGAACGCACAGTTGACCAGCCGTCGTGAATGCATCGACGAGCGCTTTCAGGAACGCGCTCTTTTCACTCGATGAGATGTCCCATTCCTGGAGCCATTTTTCGGTGTCAGCTTGTGACAGCTGTAGGACTTCGAGTTCGTCGTTGGCGCTTGCGAGCTCGATAATAGAGGTGTAGACAGGAAGGCGCAGCGACGATGATCGTGGAAGGGCATTAAATAGGTTAGAAAGTCTATAATTAAGCAAGATGTTAACACCGGACACCATGATGATCAAATACTAGACGCACATGCGATATTTGATACTAGATTCTGCAGGGGAGGATGTAACAACATTCAATAGATTGGAAACGCTTTCCTTCGTTTCTGACGAATCCGTCGGCCATAGCGTCAAGAGGTGGGCATAAAGCAAGTTGAAAAATCCTTCGATCTCTGATGTTTGCGAAAAGAAAATGCATCATTGTACTAGGCATGCCATTCCGACGATACGAGTACTCACCTCGGAGAGATCCTTCCCCAAAGCCCTTCACCTCCCCAAAGACATTCAAAAAAACCTGCTTCCGACGTCCCTCGTCTTCGGATATTGGTGTTTGGCCCTCCCCGACCTGCAGACTGTCTTGCACGAACTGGACATACGATGCGCGTTCTGACTCTGGCTTGCTCTGCGCGATGTAATTTGCCAATTCTAGGATCTAGCAGACAGTCAGAAGGTGCATTTATTGGTATAGATATGGTGATGCATTACCTGCTCCTCGAATGTGCCCTCTGCGAAGACGGAGACAGAGTCTGTTACCGCCATAATTTTCTTGTTACGAGTACTGGTCAAGTTTAAGGCCGTTGGTCAACAAGAACAAACAACCTCTTCCTCACTGCCTCTTTGGGAAGGTTTCCCCGTCACGGTCAGGACGTGCGTGCTGCTCATCTTGTCGTACAAGTCCTTTAATTTGACGGTCCAACATCTCTCATCGCTATGCTTAGAGGCACTGAACATGGCCTCGGGAGCGCAGGGTACTGGCCTTGCACTTCGATCTTGAAACGGTGATGAAGGGAGCAGAGCTGCACAGCCACCGGTCACCATCCGGGGTCATCATGCAGTAGCATTGGTCGCGACTCACCCATGAACCTCCTTGATTGGTCTAGACAAGCTTTATTCATGGACTGCTTCCGCTGTCTATGTCACCTCAATGATTAAAGTTTTATATGTACGGGCTAGGATCGAACACGATGGCGTTCAATGTCTCGAAAATAGTGCTCAACACCAGCAATGCTCTCGCATTGTTAGTTTTCTCGTTACTCGAATCAGTCGTCACATGACTGACTAGGTTTTTTTAAAAAAAAAAAGCTGCCGTGTCGATTGCCATGGATGTTCATGGAATTCTATATAGCTCCCTATGAAGCATCGGAACGTGCGTCACAGCACAGTGCCTCCAAAGCAAGATGGTTACCCGTCTTCGTCTGATTTTGGCTCGCGTCCACAGAGAGCTACTATTTAAGCTAGGGCCTGGGTCTGCATCCTTTCGCTACTCTCATCAGCCCAGAAACTGTCTCTCCGGCAGACTCAGTCTCGTGCATAAAGATGGCAGTGGATACATCCGAATTTCTCCACCTCATTGGTAGCATTATTATAGACGATATCACCACACTTGCTTGTCAACTATTTCTCGAAGGTGCGTTGGTTCAACGCTGAAATTGACTAAATGTTCACTCTCGTCTAGGTATCTTCGCCATTCTAGTTTGCTACTCGACATATCTTCTCCTGTAAGTCTGGAATCTCAGGAGATTCCGGCCATGTTGATCGGGAGTACGATGTAGTCGGAAGGGGCATATCTCGAAATCAAGCCTCACGATGCTTGTCTGCACTCTTGCCATGTTTGTATCTTCAACCACTTATGTGGCCATCATACTGGCCACGAGTATCGACACCGTTCGGGACCTCCTCATGGAACATTTCGGCCAGTCGTTGAGAATGAAGATATTTGTCTTGCACCGATCCATCCAAATTGATCAATTTGCGCTTGCGCTCCTTTCAAGTCTCATTGTGAGTAATTCGCCAGCCTCATTCGCCCAGAAAGCCGATAACCAGATTTCTAGTATGTTCTGAGCGATGCTATCGTCGTATGGAGAGCTTGGGCTTTATGGTCGGGCAATAGAATCATTACGATTGGTCTCATATGCCTTCTGGCAGTCACGGCCAGTACGCTGCTCTCTATTTTTTTTACCGAGTCCGGAAAATCAACTGTGTCTTTTCAAGTCGCAAATTTGATCATGGGCGGCACTGAAATCAAGCATTTGCTTCAGCATGCTGATCTCTCAGCTAACAGGTTAGGAGCTATCGTTCAACGTATTAGTTGGTCGACGGCATTGGCAACGAACGTGGTGGCTACCTCCCTTATCGCATTTAAAGCATGGTACATCTCGATATTCTCTCCTCGTCAAGCCAACCTGATATAGGCATATCGTCAGGCGACATAGGCAGTTTATTAAAGCTCAGCTGGGTAACAGAAGCAGAAGAACTAGGATTGAGAAGATCCTCATCCTCTTGGTTGAGTCCGGGGCGCTTTACTGTCTCGTATGGGTAAGTTGATGTTTTTCCAGTCAGCTGTTGATCTTGCGATTCTATGGTGATGGGCCTAGATATCTCTGTTTATTGGCAACCACATCGACATTTCTGGTCAAAACTTGACAACCCGCTTTTTCTTGCCTCTGAGCACTCAAATCGCAGTCAGTGTATATAGTGAAATCATAACCATAGGTCTCTCACATACAAGTAGGGCATCTATCCCACCCTCGTCGTCATTCTCGTTAGCATGCAGCGGTCGGTCATAGACATATCAACTATCGAGACCAGGAGATCATCTGGCATGCAATTTGCGGCTCCGCCAGACAATGACAACCAAAGTCCTAGACGAGTGAGGGCCGAGATGTCGTCGGTGTGATGTTGAGGCTTTATATTCAGGTTCGTCCAGCTCCTGCGAATTCTCTATGTCGGTAGACTCGATACGTGCTGAGTGCAGGCACCTAGGTGCAACTTCTGTAATTGAGACACTACGAAGAAAGGCCCTGTAGAATACTTCTGCGTTCTATCTTTAACACATTATATGCGATAACTCGCCAATTCTAGGACTTATTATAGGTTTGGTGGTCGCACAAGAGATACTGCCTTACCTGTTCTGTGAAAGTTTTCTTTGTGCAGGCAGAGACAACCATCGCCTCTGGCCCACCCGGATAAACACTCAGCTTTTTTCCCACTAATTTAGGATGGTAGCAAGTTGAACGGCGCCTCGACGATCTGTGTGGCCGGTTCTCATTCGTGTCTGTCGCCGCCAATGACATCTTAGGCATCCGCCGCAGGATCGCGGATGAGATGCCATACATGCACGGTGCCAATCAACCAATCAAACGGAATTAATCAAGCTGCTCATTACGCGCTGATATTGACAGTTGTTATCGATAACTTGCTATCCGTCGGATGCCAGACAACCTTGCGACGTATCCCTTGCTCGGCGCTGTCGAGCCTCAAGCCCACCAACCTAGTACATTATTAGTAAGGCTATCGTTGTATGAGGAGCATGGGCTTTGTGGCCAGACAACACAAAGGCCGCAGTCGGTTTCATATGTCTCTTGACAAGCACGATCAGTAAGGTCTCATCGCTTTTATTAAATTACGAGAATAAATAATCTTCTGGAACAGCTGTGAACTTGATTTTGGACAGCACTGATCTACAATACTGGTTCAAACTCAAATACGTCGACAACTCGAACAACATATTAGGACTCATCGTCCAACGCACTAGTTGGTCAACGGCGTTGGCAAGGAATGTGGTGGCTACATCACTCATCGCAGACAAAGCATGGCGCGGCTCGCTATCCTACATCGATCTGCCATCCTGGCATATGGACGTGTCCTTAGGTGACATAGACAGTTCATCAAATTACAGCATGGCAGCGGAAGCAGGCGGACGAACATCGAAAATATTCCCATCCTCTTAGTCGAGTCCGGAACACTTTATTGCCTCGCGTGGGTGGGTCATTTTCATCCAACCTTCTAGCCTTGCAATCCGACGTTTATGAACCTAGATATCTATCTTTTTCGGTTGCTATGTCTCAGTTCCTGGCGAGGATCTGACATACCCAATAGTTCCTCCGCCCTTACATTCATCTCTGCATTCCTCATATCATCTCTTAGGGAGGCTACGCTCTGTATTCGAATTCCTCTGAAATTGTGGCGATTCGCTAGTCAGGGAAAGTCAGGGGAATAAGAATAGAGCCGCCGGACTATGCCCACGAGCTGTCTATCTGCCATGTTGGTGATGTGTGACAACTCTTGGACGTGTACATTGCTGTGAAACTTCGTCCCTTGGGAATCTCATGTGTATGGGTGCCGAGGTTCAATAGAGAATCATATATCATTCTCTGATGAAGTACGCGCGATCAGACAGCTGGCCAGTCGCCCATTTTCTGGCCTTGCCATCTTCGTCTTTTCGACCCAAGGTCTCTAAACAGCAGCAGCCGCATTGATTACTATGATCGATGATGGCTAACTCGTTGCATGTCGACGATTGGGGTTTATCAAATCCCATTCATGAACAATGTTTGGGAAGCATCAGGTATCATGTGTAGGTATAGTTACCGATCTTTGTCCGTCACAGAGGTAAAGTGATGTCCTTTCTGTACATTGGTAGGCATTTATTAAAGGTTTTGAACAGCCTTCAGCACTTTCCCTGCTCTCACCCGCCCACTCGCTGTCTCTCTGGAAGACACAGCCTCGGTGGATGAAAATGGCAGCCAAATCGAAATTCCTCCGTTCCATAGGGCAAAGAGTCGTATACGATCTCAGCGCGATCGCTTGTCAGCTATTTCTGCAAGGTAGGTCACTCTCATCTTGAGAAAAACAAGTGCTCACTCTCCTCTAGGCGTCTTTGCCATTCTGATTTGCTTTTCGACTTATCTTCTGCTGTAAGTCTGGTAATAAACACCTCAAGCTTTACTGATAATTGTGGATTGTGTAGCAGCCGGAAAGGATCTATCTCGAAGGCACGCCTGATGATGTTTGGACTGACTCTGACCATGTTTACGTGTTCAACCACTTGTGTGGCCATAAAATTGGCAACTAGCATCAAAGTATTTCGCCAAATTCTCATCGAGCAGCCAAGGCAACCAAAAAGGTTGTCTGCGCTGCATAGATCTCTCGAAATCGACCAACTTATAATTACTTTCCTCACCATTGTCGTTGTGAGTAACTGTCTAGCAGAGCTCACTTCGTTATAAGCTAAAAGCCTCATGCTTTGGTTTACAGTTCGTCCTTGGCGAGGCTGTCGTCGTGTGGAGGGCCTGGACTTTATGGTCTGACAATAGGACGATTAAGACTTGCCTGATATGTCTGTTGACCGGCACGACTAGTAAGCTCTCTCATCTTTTGATAATTTACGAGAATAAAGGATCTTTCAATAAGTCACAAACTTATTTTGGGGCGGCTCCGAACTTCAGATTTTATTGAAAAATAGTGTTATCCACGGAAGCAGAGTAGGAGGTATTGTCCAACGTACCAGTTGGCTAACAGCATTCATGACGAATGTGGTGGTTACATCACTTGTCGCGTATAAAGCATGGTGCGGCTTGCTATCCTCTAATCATCGGGTGATTCTGATATTCAGATGTATCACTAGGAAACATAGACAGTTCATCAAATCACAATTTGGCAGTGGAAGCAAGCGAACGAACACTGAAAAGATTCTCATCCTCTTGATCGAATCTGGTGTGCTTTATTGCCTTGTATGGGTGAGTTTTATATCTCAAGGTGTTGATCATGCATTCAACGACATTGGACCAGATATCTCTATTTATTGGCCACTATATCAGGGTTACTGGTCAGAATTTAACCATACGTTTTCTCTTACCTTTGAGTATTCAACTCGCGGTCAGTGTGCTCGCCGGAATTATGCTCCCAACTTTCTCATCTCTTGGTCTTATTAGGGCATCTATCCCACCCTTATTGTTATACTCGTTGACCTGCAATGCACAGTACTAGACATTTCACTCAATCAAGCTTCTGAGAGGCAGTCATCTGGTATGCGATTTGCGCCTCCGCTCGATTACGGCAATTGGGGGCCTACGCGACTGAGGAACGAGATGGCCTCGGCATGATATAGGCCATCATACCGCAGTATGTTTTATTCCTGCGTGTCTCATGAGTGATACTTACTACAGCAGCTATGTTTCAGACTTTCTGAGGACGGGCTGTGTAGAACATCATGCCCCCTCTACTATCGTTGCACCAGGTTCAAAATCGAGCTCCTCGTAGCATTTTCTGACAGCACCTTTCGAAAAATTCACAGTTATTTATTTAAGTACTCTTCAAGGACGCTAGTTTTTTTAAGAACAAAAACTGGGTGCAGCAGCGAGGAAGCAATGGATAATGGTTTTTAGGACAAAGTTCTCTCAAAGATGCTCAAGATCCCTCAGATCCTTGGGTTCAATTTCAAAAAAAATAAAATAAATAAGATAATCAGGTACCACTGAAGAAATATAGAGCATTCAATTTAACTTTAAAGACTTCAATGCTCTTCACCAAATTGTTTTTGACGGGCAATGTCCGGTGGCAGGCAGAGTGACAAGGAGCCTCGGGCCGCGTGATGCTTGGTCATCTTTTTGAAACGCCGCTTCGCAAGTCGCCCCCACTGCGTGCACCGTAGGGTTTTTCTCGGGATAAACCGTGGGCAAAACCGTGGATATAAACCAAAAATTTGCTTGGGTTTATTTGCGGAAACTACCAAAACAAGACCTTAAGGTTTATTCAATATTTTATTATGGGGTGTGATAAAATATCGGGTAAACCTTAAGCTTTTGTTTCAGTGGATAAACTGGAACAAAAACTTTATCTATATCCAGAGTTAAATCCACGGTTTATCCTGAGAAAAACCCTGCGGTGCACGCAGTGCCCGCAACCAGAGTTCAGATTTGCATGTGAAGACGTGTGACCCGATCGTCAGAAAGATTTGCAACTCTCAAGTTTTGCTCGTTTTCGGACTCTCCTTCCCAAACATTTTATAACAATTTTGTCCATGGCCTCAAAAATCCGAAAAAACGACAGGACATATTTTAAGATGTTTCCGCATGTGCAATAAAAATTTTGAGCGAAAAGAAGTATAATCCACGATGCCATGAAGGAATTTTTTTTTTTGCAACTCCGGTGCAACGATAGTATACAATCACTATACCTCAAATGACGGCATCGTCAGGGCACGACTGCTCCGATATTCTGTGGTATCATAAACACTAGTCAACATTGCACACATGACAACGCCGGGATTATGGTGGCTCTATCGTCAACAGATATCTAGAATCTATAATGCTACCTACACCTTACCACTCCCCGTCAAATCCCACAAAACCTAAACAAAGATCAGCACATATAACTTCCGTGATAGCTCGGCGAGGTGTAGGCTTACCAGTGAGCAGGAAAATGGGGAAGTACCGCTTTTTCTCGAGCCCCGCGCACCAGTTCCAGGCACTCGTGAGACGCCCATCGATGCAGCTGCCCGCGTCGTAGAAGTTGTCAGCGCCGCTTCCATCGAACGCGTGTCGGAAGAAGTCGCCGAGGATTTCCATGTACAGATTATCCAAAGACCCGTACTCGGCGTCGATGTAGGCGCGGAGCGCTGGACTTGAGTAGACATCGGGAAGCTTCAGGAGCGTGTTGCAGATAGGGAGCAGTATGCGGTAGATTTGTGAATATTTGTCAATGAAAATAAGCGCGTTGGGCACATTGTGGTCGCCCATGTGCACGACCGACGAACCGACCCATGACCCTACACTCTTTTGCGCCCGATGGAGGATAGCGTACATCATTCGAGACGTCTTGGGTGCGGCCTGGACACGGTTGAGACCCTGGCCGGTGTCGCGCAGGCGATACATAACATTTTCGGAAAGCAGGTCTTGTTCGGCAAGCGACCATAAATGGAACATATCTGATGATGCAGAAAAAAACTTTCAGTTAGAGTTGTGTCCGGATGCTCGAACCGACGAAGGGCTTACCATGGAGGATCTCCCTCCATAGCGACAAACTTTGCAGTACGTAGACGTACTGCTTCGAATGGTCGTGACTCAATCGTGCACCGCCCTTCCCACTTCGGATGGCGAGGCTGTCTTTTCCCTTTTTGTCCTTAGGTTGCGACGGGTGGAAATACTGTTTTAAATAGTCTATCATCCGCTCGCAGGGGTCCCTGTTGACCCGCAAGAATGCGTGATTATCACCGATGCTGTATAGCGCCTGTCTAACCTGCTCTTGCGATAAGTCTGCCGTCGAGTATCGCGACGACAGTGTCTCGATCGCACGCTCTTTCGCCTTTATATCCTTCTGGATCTCCCGCCGACTGCGCTTGGCAGAGTTAATTTCCTGCGTCGCCGTTGTGATTAGTGGATCACGAAGGAGGTCTAACGCGGAATGTTCTTCAAGTAGAGAGTGCACGGTCTTGATCGGCGTTACACATGAAAAGCTAAGCATGTCCTTCACCTCCGGCGATTGACTATCCTGGATTCCATATAACGTCAGTCCACGTCCTAAAAGCCTTCGCGTCCGCGCACACGCACCTGCAGCATGTAGATCAGCTTTCCGTACGTCGTCCGCATCTTGTCTGGGTTCATGATTTTGTGTCTCCGTCCCAGCTCGAAGATTCGTTGATAAAACGACGCGTTTGACTGGAAATCACGGTCCGTGAACAGCTCTTGGCCCTGCTTGTAATCTGCGGCAAGGACGAGCCCCGCCAGCACAGCACATAGCTCGCGTATCTGGTGCACTATCCGCTTCGCTTTGCTTAGTCCGAAACCCAAGGTATCAATTTTGTCAGTGTACTCGGACACCTGGAGGGCGGCCTCGAGGAGGCGAAGGAATTTGCGCTCAGTGAGCGTGAGCCGGATGGGTATGTATTTTGTGCGTTCGACATACCACTCGCCTGGGTCGCTGCCAAGGGTGGGCTGCGCACCAAGGACAAGCTCAGGTGCGGGGGCTGGGACTAGGTACTCAAGCTCTCCATCCAGATCCTCGTCCTCTTCCGTGTCCATCTGCACTCGCGTGAGTCAATCATCTGGAAAGGCAATGTAAACGAACCTTCTCAATGCTTGAATTAAGGGAAGTAACGCCGTTCTCAGAAAGTTTAGCTCTCTTGCCTTGCTGCTCTTCCAGAGATGTCGTCGCATGGCGCTTGCGCGTACCTTTGCGATGCTGTGCGGCAAAACAGACTTCACAATAGTTGTCCGAGCATACTTCGCAACGAAGCTGAGCAGGCTGATCTACACATGCCACAAAACTATTGCGTACACGTCCAGCACGAAAGAAGGCTGCGAACACGCACCTTCGCACTCTATGCAGTATCCTGCGGCAACTTCTATCTCTATCTGCTCTTCATCCCAACCCTCCGCGGGAATATCCGGTTTGATTCCAGGATGTGCCAAGTGCTCATCGTTGCTGTCGAGGATATTCGCGAGCGAGAACGTTCCGTTCGTCGTAAGTGCGTCGGTGATGGTCTCGGAGAGCGTAGACATGCTACGAAATAATTTTGAAAAGGGAGCCAGTCGTTTCTGAAAGGTATTGAGCGAGTCAAGCGGCGTGAGGGGGTATGTGTCGAGTTTTTGAACCTCGTGCAACGTTCAAGGTGGTCAACGGTCAGAGAGCTTCGGGCATAGGCCGAGGTGGCATTATATAATGACTCATTTTACTCAAGCAAATTTCGCATAAAATGTGTTACGTGATGGTCATGATTTCTCTTGCCTATAACCCCTTATCAGCTGTATCCTCTGGGGGGCACAAATGACGATGTTCATCTCGCTCATCTGTGTACCCTTCCTCCCTTCTTGCAAATGATCGTGACTTCTCCGGTCTGTCACTCACAGAAAATCTCAGAATTATGTACTGATTTGACTGTTCTTGTGATATATACAACGCCAATGTTTCTAGCACAGATAATCACTTTTTCAACGGCGGAGGTACACGCTGGACGTAATGACACAGATGTGCATTCAGGGCACACAACTTTTCAATCAGACTTCACAATCAGATATAATACGACTGGACATCCACACGTTCTTGCCGTTTGCGTTGCATCAGATACTAATCAGAGGGAGTCAAATTCTACTCATCTCTCTTTACAGGATACTTCCTTCTGTATGCAGCCCTGGCCAGCTCCCGTTTGGAGCCAGTAGGAATCCAGTCCGCTAACCATGCCTTCATGCTCGCCAGTCCCTCGCTTTGCACCTTCTTGATCGTGGCGTCCACAGGCGCGTTCCTCGTCAGAAGGTCGGAGCAGTGGTAACCATCGCCCACCGCGACTGGCTGGCTTGGAGTGCTTTGGACGTCCACGCCGTCAGCAGAGACAGTTGCCTCGCGCCATGGGTCACCTAAAAAGAACAGAGCAAGTTGAAATGCCATCGATCAACGATATCTATCACTAGTGATCTGGACACGCACGTTGACCGTTTGCGAAAAAGAGGCGATCAATCGTGACATTCCACCCGTCGTATGCAATATTTGTTTTCTCGACGTCCGGTACAGGTGGTGAACTGAATGCAGCAGGGAACATTTGCTGACATTGTCTCTGCAAGAACGATCACAAAGAATTGTAAGTATGACCTTCAAACGCAAACAGTAGCCAGAGACGAATTTACCTCGTCACCCGCTGGTTGGACAAGGCGAGAGACGAGGGTGGGATGATTTATTGGTGCGGCATCCTGCAGGAAGCCCACTTCATTACAGCTAGAGTTATATATCAGGGTTAGGTCATGAAATGTTTCACTAATCTTCAAAACCTACACTATCCAATTCCAAGATCGGTCGGCATTGTCAACGGAAATGTCAGTCCAATAACTCTGGTTTGTCAAGTAGGTGCTGAGGCAATCTCTTTCAAAAGGAAGAACATGTTAAACAGATGATCGAAGCGCAGCCTGTGAAACGACTTGCTCTGCATCCTCCCCGCCACAGACTAATTGGTGTCAGTCAATTTCAATGTCGAGGTATTCGAACCTTGATAACTTACTGATAGAAAGATAGGTGTTTTTGAAATAGGAACCCCAAGCACTGACAGCGTGATCAGTACCCCAGCCGCTCGCAGGTGCATTGACTCCGTTCTTGACCTCCAAGGCATCACAAAATTGGAAAAACTGAGCCCCCGGACCCGTAGATGGTTGCAAGGATTGCCAGTCCCACAGATTGTTACGTACTGGTTTTGTGTCTCAAAGTGTTATCCCACGGAAGATGAGGATCTCAAGGACATGGGACGCACATGCTCCAGTGACATCGTCAAGGTGCGTCACCGCCCCCATGCCGAATTCGTTTTTGAGGGCGTTAATTTGAGATTGCGTCCCGTCCGTGAAGACTTGGTCGAAGTGTGCAATCACGGCCTCGACATCGGCCGAGCAGTTCTGTGGCATGAACTGGCGAATCGGCTCAAAGTACCCCCAGTAGTCGCTGGACAAATACATGAAAGGTGTGAGAGCCGTCAACTGTTCGCTCTTAGTGATACCACTTACAGAATGGCTTGCACCACAGCAGAGGATGCGTACCCAGCCCAAAACACACCAGGTTTGCTATCAACCGATCTGGTGTTGGAAACTCCAGTGAATGAGGAGCGGATTGGAACTCACTTGACCATGGTCCAACTCGTCAGCGCGCCTTTGAGATGTCGACATCAGGGCATCGTCCAATCGTTCAAGTCATGGACTCGCCTGAGTAACTGCCTCCGATCAATACCCATGGCGCACGACCAGGGGCCACAGCGTCTCCGCCAGGCATAGGCAGCTTGACATTCTTGGCAAAGTACTCGAGGTCGTCAATTGCCTGCTGAATCGTGTGGAATTTCAAACTCGCGACGGACAAGTTGTTGTACGGGTTTGACAACCCGTAGAAACGATGTTCGAGGACGATCGTCGCGCCTTTTTGCTGCTGAGCGATCTGGCCGTTGATGGTCGTGTTCGTGAGGTATCCGGTATAACCTGTTCAGGATCGAATATCGGCGCGAGGCGAGAAGCGTCGCCGCAGAAAGGGATACTTGCCGTCCGCATTCACTTCTCCCGGTGTCATCAAAATGATAGGCCCGCCTGAGTAACAGCCGGGATCATGAGATGTGCAGATGATGGTCGACAAGCTAAGGCTTTACCGGACTCATAGAATTCCCATGTATGCCAGTACCGTTGTTGAAACTTGCCTAAACTGGGGTTGGTATGATCTATCAGCTGCTCGAAGATATACGTCGTGTTGTATGGCGGGATCGTCGCCGCGGTTGTCGCATGGACCACAGCATTGGAAGGCGCAGCCACAGGAGGAACGGCAGGCCTAGGAGCCAAGTTTGCGTGTAGACGCCCGTCTGGGAGTCTAGCCACAGCAAGCCGGGATAAGGAGAACAGAGGAAGAAGGATAGCAAGCAGACGCAGCATCGTCATGCGGAACCCACTACGATAAGCTCACGGCAAAAGGGAATGAAGGATCATCACCAAAACTTCATCATCTTTATGTGCTTTTGTTGATGTTCTCCGCGCCGCTTTGCCGCCGTTGTGTCGCGAATGCGTCGGGGAAACTAGCAGTGTTCGGTTCTAGCACCAGATAATGATCCAGATCATCCTCCATTCTCCTGAGTGAGAGATATAAAAAGATGTTTGAAGGTCTTGCGGACAGCTCGGCAGGCCCGGAAAGACCTGTGCATATGGCTTGATCAGCATCACAAGGACAGCAGGTACTGAGAAGCGACGATAAAATGGTGAGACCTAGAGAGCTCTTCTGCAAGCGGAAAGTCTTCCTGGCCGGAATGGCGCCGGTGACGTACGGCCCTGCTGGCATTCGATCTCACATGACATTCGTGAGAAACGAACGTTGACTTTGAAGTTGATAATCTATCCAGAGATAAGTCCATGAGGTGAATCCGCCCTAGGTATGCTGGCCCAGTGTCCTCTAGAGATCAGGGCTGCGAACGCAATTCCTGTATATGTATAAACAGCGATGCCGTAGAGGCTAAGGGAGAACCATGGCTCATGAGTTGTATATTTGAAGTGATGAAATCAAGGGCCGACGCTCCTGGAGGACTCATTTTCATGTTCTAAATGGGAATACGATGTTAGCAAAATTTCAGAGTAAGCAACTTTGCGCTGGCAGGCCTCCCTGAATAGCTGTCTGGAGCTTTGCTCTCGCTTGAAAAGCCTTTTATCATATAAACATACTTTCTTTGCGAAATCGTCGGGAGCGATTCAGCATAAGCAACCATCTTATACAGACTGACCCGTATTATAAAAATGTGGTAAATCCAGATCTGACTTGTTCGAACTGGCATCTGCCGCAGCTGGCATGTAATTGAGAGTTGAGTATCTTGAGTACATAGAACCTGTTCTCGTTCCAGCCTTGGGGTGATGTAATGTGAAGCAAAATCGAGATGAAAGCAATCAGTTCATTCTCTAGTAAGATCGTCTGGAAACCCACCTTAGCCACCTGTGATAATAAGCCAGTAAGGCACTTTCCGGAGTATGAGATTACGACTAGATCAGCGTCAACAACGGGCGGGGTCGTGTAGGATGTAACAATACATCGGGAATAGGTCTTCCAACTTAAACATCAGTTCCAAGCTAATGGCCAGTGCTTTAGACAAAAATAACATTACCTTACAATTACCCCCAAACGCTCATATATGCGGTGATCAGCAGCCGAGCCCTCGCAGATCTTTGTCGGTATGTTACCTATAGTGTTTGTATGGTGCACATGTTGACAGTCTCGCGTCGTACAAGGACATCGAACAGATGACTTCGATCGTTGCACGCATCGCTTCCGCTTTCTCGGCGTTGATGCCAGAGGCGCGTTATCATCTGCCGACATGGCACAGCACAGACGCACCTTCATCCTCTTAGATACATACGAGTGTCAAGCATCTCTATGACTCGACCAGATTCCTATAAAAAACGTCACCATCTTGAACATGTCCATCCAACTTGATGATCAGAAATTCGGTTCGATCGAAGCATTGGCTGAGCATCACTTCTGAGGCCTATAGCTGCCACCTACCGCAATCTTGTCGTGAGACGGATATCTTCGCATGTGTTGACTGTGATAGAAGATGAACTCGTGATTCGACTGTATACAAAGTCATGGCCCGACGTTATTCGCCATGCGGGCGCGCCGAAATCAACGTTCAACACACGCGCCTATCAGGGCAACGATGCGCTATCATCAGAGTCCATAGCAAACATGGAGGCAATCAGGAGCGGCCGGAAGCTTGTTGAATGAGCTCGAGGGGAAGACTCTGGAAGACTGAATGGATAGTCGACAGCGTGGGTCGTCGGAGGTGGGGGCGACTATTCGTTGAGCCGTCGGCCCGACAACAAGGCACGTGCTATCGCATACGGGCCTTGAGCCAACATGCAAACGCCATGCATTGCTTGGCTTCGAGACTAGACTTCTCATTCCGTTGAGGAGATGAATGAAATAATAAAAAATGTCAGCACTAGGCAAGACAGACAATACTTTCTTTTCAGTTTGTTTGTCGTTTTTAATTAAGGACAGATCATATCTCCATAGCTGTCCGTAGGTTGTGCTCTTTTCTACAATGCGAACGTTTGGGATGCTTCGGCGTCTCGAACCAAGAAGAAATTGAGGGCGCTCGGGTTCCGGTTTGGGAATATCACTGGAGCTGTGAAGTATCCTGGGATCTTACTGATCACCAGGCTTCCGAAGTCACTCCTCGTGGCTCTTGTCCTACGGTCTGCTCCGTACACGTTGTTATACCATCCTCTCCGGATTGTTCAGCATGGCATATTCAAGTCCTAAGGAGCAATTTCAGGAGATCTGGACAGCGGCGATCACGAGATACAATCAGGACACCAAGCGCGACTATCTTGAACGCGGGCTTGAGGCAGATTCCCCCGATGCTCTTTTTAGAATCCTCGACAAGGAGCTGAACTTATTCAAGGAGTATCTGAAGAGGGGACACAGAGCCCGAAATGCGATTCTGTCAGTTCTGGAATCGGTGGACATATCCGCAGATGCGATAGGAGACAGTCTTGCGACGGTGAGCACCGCGTCCTCCCGCAGCTGCTCGTAGTGCTTGGAGTAGCCACAAAGTGGATGAAGCAAAGTTGTCTTAGTGAGATCACGCACGGCTCATTCAAAGTCATGGTTCACGATCCTTTTTAGTGCAATACGGGAAGACCCTCTTCGGGAAGAATACAGAGTTGCCGGATGCGATGGCGAAACTGCGGATTGTGTCCAACCAAGAGATTCCCATGGTCGCTGCTGTCATTTTAGCGACGACAACTAAAACTTCTCATAATGTGCCAGCATTAGAAGGTGCGAGTAGCGTGTGGCGCAATTATCCTGTGTGACTCAAATTCATTCAATAATCCAGACGACGGAATTCGAAGGAGGATCCGTTCATGGCTTAAACCACCTGATCCGACCACGAACTTCAACACGGCTATAGGAGCACGACAGGTAGGAACCGGCGACTGGTTTATACACGGACAGGAATTCGTGGACTGGATGAAGGCGCCGGGTTCGTTTCTGTGGATTCGTGGTATACGTGCGTCCAAAAGCTCCCACTTACAATGGCTTCCAATGATATACATCTATGTAGCTGGCAATGGCAAAACGATCATTTGGTGAGGCTCTCTTGTGAGCGAGACACTATAGATGATGCTCACGAATTCATTGTATGGCAGCTCTACAGTCATCGAGACTCTGAAGCGTCGAGTTGATTCCTCTGTTGCGTTAGCGTGTTTCTACTTCAACTTCAACGATTCCGAAAAGCTGATCTATCGAAACATGTTGCATTCGCTCATCTTCCAACTCTGCAACCGATGCCCTGGCCCTTTGAGAGACCTCTACAAACGGACCAATGACGGCTCACAGCAACCGACAGTGGATGAGCTACTTGGTACCTTGAAGAAGACCATCGGCTCCTACAGCCAGACTTACATTGTCATTGACGCATTAGACGAGTGCATCAGCTCAGAGCTAGGAGAAGTTCTCAAATTCTTGGCCGAAGTCAAGATTTGGAATCTCAAGAACCTTCATATTTTGGCTTCGAGTAGACCTGAACAGGAGATTATGGAGGCAGTGGATTCTTTATATACATTCACTGTCGATCTCCACGATGCACATTCTAGTATCAAGGACGATATCTAGGTCTACCTCGACAATGTTCTCGAAAGCGACTCCCGCCTTAAGAAATGGGGACCTACGGAGAGGGTGTTGATAAAAGAAACTCTCGCCACACGTGCAGACGGAATGTAAGTCAAAATACGGGTCCGGATGATGCGAACACTGACGGGGGTTGATCGTGAAGGTTTCAGTGGGTGCGTTGTCAATTGGCCAGCTTGCGTAACTGCGTTACAAAAAAGGACCTCGAGACAGCCTTGGGATCTCTACGAAGACCTTTGACGTGACGTATGAGCCCATACTGCGAAACATTCCCGATGATCATCAAGAAAAGATCCATCGAATCCTGCAATTCCTCTGTTTCTCGGAAAGACCGATGCTGCTCGGCGAACTCGCCGGGGTTGTCACTGTGGCCATAGATCCTGATGGGACGGCTCATTACGACTCTAGGAACCGCATGCGCGATCCTTCGGATGTGCTCACAATATGTGGCAGCCTTGTCTCTCTGTCACCTAGTCCGGAGGACGTCAGCCTTTTGCGATCTGATAAGCGGTGCCCTGATTTCCCTCATGAAACACTCGCAGCACGATTTGTCCGATTATCGCATTTCTCGGTTAAAGAATACCTTACCTCCACTAGAATCTGTTCAGGCGAGGCATCGGAATACAGTGTCGATGCCGAGTCAGCCAATAGGTCAATTGCCACGACATGCCTTGTATATCTGACGCGCTTCGACAGACGTGCTGGATGAGACACGGATGAAAGGAGACAAAGATGTGGCCCTAGCTGCACTCCAAAGGGCTATATTTGGTGGCCGCAAAGCCGTCCTGCAGCTGCTCTTAGACCGAGGTGCAGGCGTCAGTGCACCAGGAGGAGTCCTTGGAGATGCACTGGGCATGGCTTCTGCTCGCAGCTATGTGCCCCTCGTACGAAAGCCGCTAGATCGAGGTGCAGAAATCAATAAACCAAGGGGATATACATTGCAGGGGGCGTGTCGAAATGGTAACGAAGCCGCCGTGCGACTGCTTCTGGATCGCGGTGCGGAGGTCAATGCACAAGGAAGAATGTATGGAAACGCACTGCAGGCGGCATCTCGAGGCGGCCACGAAACCGTCGCGCGACTGCTGCTGAACCGAGGTGCTGAAGTCAACGCAAAAGAAGGTCCTTGTGGAAATGCATTACAGGCAGCATCTGAGCGTGGTCATGAGGCCGTTGTGCGACTGCCGTTGGACCGAGGCGCTGATGTCAACGCACGAGGAGTAGCGCACAAGAGTGCGCTGTGGGCAGCACTGACTCCTACTTATCGCATCGGAGGTTCTTGTCAGATGCGCGTGTCCAGCAAAGAGGTCATGAAGGTATTGTGGGACGCGGGCGCCAGACTATATACAATGCCGTCCGAGGCGCATTCGGGAGAGTGCATCGCTCAGCTCGCAGACATGGACTCGATGGTGTTGATAGGGGATGCAGAAGTTTCGCAACCACAAAGCAGCAGACGAAAAGGTTGGCCTTTAAGCTTGAAGACAGTACGTGTATGCTTTCTTCGTGCATTGATCATCTAACCTGAGATCGTCTTCTTCTAGTAAGGACTCAATATTGTAAGTACACGAGGATATAAGGATAGATCACACACATTCGAGCGTGTGGAACCCGCAGATAGACAGCAGCTTCGATTCATGCCTGTTTGAACGGGATTGAGTGTCAATGTGTTGCCCTGTGCTAGCGCCTCAAGTATATATAATATGCCCTTGGAGCAACAGCCTTTTGGTTCCTTATGGGTACTTGAAAGTCGGACTGACTGAGGCCTTATCATGATTACTTGCGCGTCATTACCGACCCCAACGGATTTTGTTCGAGCGTCCTAGGCGTGGCGAAGAACCATGGCGGTGCAAATGACGCGTCGCGGCATAGAAATAGCCAAGTGAGAGCAGGTCAGAAAGACTTACGAGAGGATGCTCATGGAGATTTGCTCAGCAGTGAGGTTCGCGATGTTCCTCATATGCCTACATCCTGAAGTGATATTCGGCGAAGAGACGTAAAGCTGAGGGGTACTGCGAGTAGGATGTATTCCCTGGATGGAGAGCAGAGGAAGGAGTCGTCTCGGAGAGACACAGGAGGAGCACGGAGTATCCCGACCGCACGGAGCCAAGAGCGCGGCTCGGCGTAACGGGCTGGCATTGTCACAAGACGACAACGGTCGAGAGTCCTCCCGCAGCCGCCTTGCTCGCTCTCCTCCTCGTCCTCGCTCCCTCGTCCCCACCGTACCGCCCTCGCGTGCACACCGACGACACCGACGCCCAAATGAGCGGCCTCTCCCCGCCCACCCTCAAGATCCCCGCCCTCTCCATCCAGACCTCCACGTCAGGCGACGGCCCTCACCGGCGCGCCCGCAGCGGGAGCCTACTCAAGGTCGAGAAGGTCGACAGCTCGACGGAGGAAGTCCTCGACCAGGGCGCGTACGCGAACATCAACGCCGAATGGGTCAACCGCAAGGGTGAGTCGCTCGTCGTGCGCTGGTTCGACAGCCGGGTCGAGGGAGGGCAGACGAGCTCACCTTTGGCGGTTTCGTGCAGGCGCCTGGCTTATACATGTCGTCCTCATCGCGACCGGGAAGGTCGTCATCGACATTATCCCCGGCATGACGCAGGAAATTAGCTGGACGACGGTCAACCTCTGTTACCTTGCTGTACGCCCCCGCTGAGCTGTGCCACCTTCGTTCACACTAACCGTCTATGACTTTAATCACGCGGTTTTGGCCATTTCGGATCGCGCGACGCAGTTATCGTATCTCATGTTCCACTGGGTGACGGGCATCCCGTTCCAGAACGAGATGCACGGCGGTGCGTACGACGACCTCACGCTCTGGGAGCAGATCGACGAGGGCGCACAAAATACGCCGTCCAAAAAGTGGCTCTTCTTCGTCCCTGTGGCTTTGTGAGTCCCCTCTCCTGAGCCCTGCTTCTATCCCCAGTCCTTCTGACGCGCCCTGCTCGAATTCCTGGGGCAGGTTCCTCATGTCCACGCACTACACAAACTACGACCCGTGGCTCTTCGCCATCAATCTCTCCGCGCTCATACTCGCCCTGATCCCGAAGCTTCCCTTCGTACGTCCATCTTCTTTCCTTCCTCTCTCAGGGTTTAAATACCGCTCGCGCAGGCCCACCGGCAGCGCGTCCGCTTCATGACCGAAGACCAATCCGGCATGGCTACGCCCGTCACGCCTGGCTTTCCGCCGTCAGGCATGAACACCCCGCCCGAGGGCCTCGTCAACACCTCCACGCCCTCCATCACCGTAACAGAGGCGGAGTTCCGGTGACCTGCCCCCCCATCCCTCGGGCATCGGGCTTCTCGCTCTGCCGTGCCGGGCTCCGATCAGGACAGAGGCTGTGACAGCGCTCGCGAGCACTATAGAGACGTGGACTGTTCTTGCTTATTCTGAGGATATGGTGTGGCGAGAAGTAGAGGATCGAGAGTTAGTTTGGCGGAGGGTGGCGGAACACAATCATGCAATCACTAGTATACTCATTCACGGACCCCTAATCGCACAGCGCTGCTGTATCTTGCATCTCCGTTCATCTATATTTGCCAGAGTGACAATACTGCGCCTGCCTGCCTTCCTTCTGCCCGCGACTAGATCTAGCAGTATGTAACACAACCGCCCATACACTATCCCTTTTTTCAGTCTTACACGTTCTACTTCGTGGCTTTCACATTGTGAGTAAGGCCAAGCCAGGCTCCTGCATATCAGGACGCGATGCGAAGCCTATTACATGTCATTTTTGTTTGTGTTCCAGGTGACGTCGCTAGGTTATGAAGGCGATTTCACGAGGAGGTCCTGGTATTCCTGCAGACGCAACCTAGACACCGAATCAGATAACTGTCAAGAGCCCGCGATATGTCATCGGCACTCACAAGTTTCTTAACAGCATCAAGATCGTAACCTTGCCCACCGCAGGGACGTACAACGACGCCTATAAAACGCGCGTTTTGTCAGCCCCGGTGCGCAGAGCGAGCCGAGAGGGTAGGAAAAGGGGGCACCTTTTCGCGGACGTCCGCCTCGAAGTTCTTGTCTGCAGCGACGTTCACGCAGACGCAGCCGTCCTTGAGCCACGCGGTGCGCACCTTGTAGGCTGCGCTCGGGACGGCGGAGACGACGACGTCCGACTGGGCGAGGCACGCCTCGAGCGTGAGCGTGCTTGGGTGCACGACGTGGTGCGGGTGGTACCGCCGCGTCGACGAGGGCGGGCGTTTCGTGTATTCCTTTTCGACCATCACCGACATCAATCGTCGTGGAAACACAAGGTAAACGGGAGGGAGGCGTACCTGGATGGAGTCGATGTCGACAGAAAAGACGCGTGCGCCGTCGTTCGCGAGCAGCGCGGCGAGCGGTCTTCCAACGACCTCCGATCTGTGAAAGTCATCGAGAGGAGGACATTATTTATTTGGCTGTGGTTTGTTGCTTTCAAATGGGGATCGGGCGTACCGGTTGATGACTGTGACGGTCTTCCCATATGCGCGGTCACCATATGGCAGGATGCGGTTGTACACGCCGATGTTTTCGAGGCATTTCACGATGCCGAGCGGCGTGCAGGGGAGAATGGACTTGACGGTCCCCTCCGGCGGTACGTCTTCGGTTTTAGCGGACGGCACGTTCGTCAACGGTGCACTCGACAGGAGCGAGTTCGGGTCGAGGTATCTTATGCTGCGATAACACACGCCCAATAAACATCGCAGAAAAAGAAAAACCCTGCGTGTATGCAGCTGTATGCGCACTCACTTATGATATAAGTTATAGTGGAACTTGAAGTTGAGACCCTCAACATCCTTGAAGGGCGAGACAACCTGAGAGAGGGGTGGTAGGGTTGTAGGCTAAGGTGGATAGAGGAACTGCGGTCAGAGGCGCACCTGCTGCAGGTAATGGTCCTTGAGACGCAAAATTCAGCTCGAGGTGTCAAATTGCGACGACGGCCCGCCGAACGCTACAAACCTGCTGTGCGCCAAAAATCGGATAATACACCTGCATCGCGCAACGGCCCATTCGTCCAGACACAGAAAAAAAATGGTATAAGAGGTGAGATCGCGGCGCACAATTGCAGAGAAGAGGCTGGCGTACCATGATCCCATCCACGCTCTCGTCCGCGTTCGCCTCAATGATCGCATCCTCGACGCCCTCGCCCTCCCCGCCCCGCTCCCCGCCCTCTTCCGCGGGCGCACACGCCGCGCCGACCTCGCGCAGCACGAACTCGAACCCGAGCGCCGCGCACTGCCTGCGCGTGAACTCGGCGTAGCTACGGCTCGGCGCGGACGACGTCGCGAGGATGCCGACGAGCTTCGGCGCGCGGGGGCGCGCGGCGAGCGCGTGCTGCACCTCTGCTTGGAACGGCGCCGCAATGGTGTCGGCTTTGAGCAGGAGGCCTTTGGGCGCTGCGGCGTGTGCTGGATCAGAAGACATGCTTTTTTCTTCGTGGTGTTGTTGTTGGAAGGGGTGTGGTGGGCTCGGAGTCAAGAGAGGACTCTGACTCGAGGAGAACTGGGGAATGGGTTGCGAAATGCGAATTACGAAAAAAATCGAGCAGATAGGAACCCTAACCTCAAAGATATCTGGGCTTCTCCGCTCCGTCACACTTCCGTCGCTCGGCGATGCGTCCTCTCTTCTCTTCCGCCATCATCGACGCCCTGAAGGCTTTTGAAATCCCTGCGTACACTTCGAGTGGCTTCAACTTCCACACCTAAGCACATTTTGCGACGGATGCAAATGCATATATCCTCTCGGTCATCTCTTACTATTCAAGCCTGCATCGTCTCGATATTGTTGCATTTGCACTTCAAAGCTGTTATGCTTTCGAGGTAACAACGGTCTTGATATGTTCCTTTCACAGTTTTTGAGCAGATTCATTTACGCGCCCGCCTCTTCTCTTCATTTCCGAACGACGGCCTTCGTTCATCAATGATTCGAGAAAACTTTGAGCATCAGTCAAGGATCGAATGCTCACGAAGCTCAGCGGAAATCGGCGGTGCCTTTGGTAGAGAGACCTGTGATCTTACTTTTGTTCCACTATGCTTCTTGGACCTAGTTGTCTTCTTCTGGGGGTCATACACCAGCATCTACCAGCATACACTTTCACCATGCTCGGCATTGTCATTGAGTCCTGAGGCCGGTTTTGAAATGTGACGGTTTGATGCGGTGGAGCGGGATTTCCTAGGATCCCCTAGCCTCAGGAACGTCGACTCATGGACTTATCTCCATGCCAATTGTTTATCTCAGTCAAGTTACCAGCTTCAAACTTGGTTTACGTAGGCGTTCACTTTCGTCACGAATGCCTTGCGGAGGCAAGTACCTCAAGAACACCTTCCCGCAGAAGCGTGCTCTACCTCGTTACTTCCTTTGTCCCTGCATCGAATCCTCTGTGATGTTTGTCAAACTACTGGCGCTCCGAAGTTTCCAGACACGCCGTGTTCAAGATGAATACTGTATTATATCACCCGTTCAGGAGAAAAGCGGACAGCATGGTCCATATCCCGAAATTCGAATTGAACATTGGTTTCCCCGACAGCAGCTCATCGGCGGCAAGCGGCGCGGGTACATCGACAGTCGAAAAGCACATAAAAGAGGGCGAAGTAAAAACCACCACTCCTCATCCCCCTCTGCTTTGAGCTGATCAGACCGGGTCCCGCACGATGATGATGCGTCTGCTTGCTGTCGTTCTTCCTCTGCTCTCTTCCTCTGGACTCGCTCTCGGCAGACTTCCAGATGGGCGTCTCCACGGAAATGCACCTCCTAGGCCAGGCATTCCTCGCATTGCCGCGCCAGCCCAAGGTGTCCAACACGCGTCGTCAGCTGCGACAATTCCGCCATACAACACGACGTACTTCTTTGACCAGCTTATTGATCATAACGATCCAAGCCTGGGCACGTTTCAGCAACGGTACTGGCATACATGGGAATATTATGAGTCTGGTGAGTTGTTTTTCAAAGACGAATTTCGGGAGAACCCCGCTGACGTGGGCCACATTTCAGGTGGACCGATCATTTTGTTGACGCCAGGGGAACAGAACGCCGAAGGCAAGCCAATTTCAGCAGAACATCGCTGGGTCGTCACTCACATGTACTTTTTGTCTTGAACAGGGTTCGATGGGTACCTCACGAACCTGACTATCAACGGTAAAATAGCTCAGCAGGAACATGGTGCGGCGATCGTCATTGAACATCGCTTCTATGGACTCTCAAACCCGTACAACAACCTGTCCGTCGCGAGTTTCAAATACCACACAATCCAACAAGGGATCGACGACCTCGAGTACTTCGCGAAGAACGTTAAGCTGCCTATGCCCGGTGGAGATGCTGTTGCCCCTGGTCAAGCGCCCTGGATCTTGATCGGCGGAAGCTATAGCGGTGAGCCGTTTTATTCAAATTTATGGCCAATGACCTGATGTTCGATTGCAGGCGCGCTGACGAGTTTCACCATGGTCAAGTAAGTCGGCGTTCACTTTGTTCCCTTTTCTTGAACAAAATGACTCATTTTCAACAGTAAACCTGGCCTCTTCTGGGCTGGATACGCATCTTCCGCAACCGTGCAGAACATTGTGTACGTCGGTTTCCCTTTTGTTAATCGACTAAGCTCACATCTCTTTGTAGCGACTTCTGGGGATACTTTGAGCCAATCCGCCAATCCATGCCAAAGAACTGCTCGGCCGACGTTGAGGCAGTGATTGCGCACTTTGATGATGTCTTCGAAAACGGGACGCAATCCGAAATTGATGCCCTCAAGGACGCATACGGCATGGCGAACGTCACACACCTCGACGATGTCACCGGAGCATGTACGCCTCATTTATTTTGTTCGCTTCGTCTAGACGGTTTATCTTCATTTGTCAAATTTGCAGTACGCAACAACCTGTGGGACTGGCAGGACCTGGATCCTTCTTCAGGCCCCAACACCAAGTTCTTCAGATTCTGTGACGCTCTGGAAGTCAAAGACGGCGTCAGTGCGCCCGAGAGCGGCTGGGGCGCTGACCATGCTGTCAGCGCTTGGGGATCATACTTCAAAAACACTTACCTTCCCAAGCGTAAGTCGTTCGCTAGGTGGATCTCTTCAACGTGGTGCTGATCGACGATCATAGTTTGTGGAACGGTGGACGCAGAGTAAGCCTTTCCAACCGGATGTCCTGAAAATTTCGGTAGACTGACAAAATGGCCTTGACAGAGATTGTCTGAGCACGTATTTGTCCAACCAGACGTTCTGGACCAGTATCGATGTCGACAATTCTCAGCGATCGTGGTCTTGGATAGTGTAAGTCCTGAGAAGCAAGGCCACGTGTTTTATCTTAACGGCGCCCTGGATTTATAGATGCAATGAGGTCGGGTTCTTGCAAGTTGGAGCGCCAACCGATAAGCCTACCCTCGTTTCTCGCCTGAACACGGTGGCAACTGAGGCAGTAAGTCCTTGGTGCACTCTGCTTTGGGATTTGACACTCACATTCGCCCTGGTCTTAGCGGCAATGCCAGGAACAGTTCCCTGCTGCATGGAGCTCCACGCCCACCATCGACGTCGAGAAAACAAATGCGGCATACCATGGATGGAATGTCACAGTCGACCGCCTCTTCTTTGCCAACGGCCAGCGTGGGTGTCTAGCACAAATTGCGAAGGATGATTTCGTTCTGACCTTTTCTTGTTTACTATAGGCGATCCTTGGCGTGAGGCAACGCTCTCTGCCGATGGCGTGAACGTTCAGAGCACCTCGAGCCAGGTCGTCGCAGTGAGCGATGGCTTCCACTGCTCTGACCTTCTCACCCGAAACGCGCGGGTGGACGATACGATTCTGGAAGTACACACCCAGGCGTTGGCTAGCATGAAGACATGGTTGGCGGACTGGACGCCGACCAGCTCCAAGCGGGAGCTGGACGGGACTGTGTACAAACGAAGCTACGCTATTAAGAGAGAAGAGTAGACATGTTACGTACCTCAACAAGTACTTGCATAAATATATGGATATCTAATTGCATTGTGTGAATGCAATATTCATTTGCATGTTGCCGATTTTACCGCGGTAGCTAAAGAGATGGATACACACTCATAAATTATATAGTGCCCTTTAATGTGTTCTGAGACTACCCGCAGAGGCAAATGTGTAAGTATAATCGCTAAAGAGAGAGTTAAACCTGTCCTCGCTTTATAGTATCGTCTCCCCCTTCCAAGTCACATTCACTTTGCCATAGAACTGGCGGTTGAGCCAGAGGGAGTACTCATTGTCAAAGTCCAATTGCTCCAACGGCATGTTCGCTAATCTTCGCTTCTCGAGAAAAGTCAGGAGCGTGGGGATCAACAACTTGGCCTTTGATGCGGCGTTGCTAATTCTCATAACGAGCGTCCTCAGGCGTGGAAACATCAATTCGGCCGAGGAGTCCGCGCGACTGGAGGGGGTAGCAGCCTCGATGAAGGTGATTAAACTGCTGCAACCAATGATTACGATGTCTTCCACATGAGTGAATCGCTGAAATATGGACAACCAGGTTGATTTCGAAACTGGATGAACGATATGCAGAGTCAAAGTCTGCACATCCACGGGGGAATGCCACATGCACATCGTGGATGTCATGGTATTCAATAGGTCGTCGAAGGTCAGTTCCTTATGGAGCCATTGGTAAGAGAAACTAAGGGGGGGATCGATAGAGCTCGGGACAAGAGGCAGCGGTAGATTCGCTCGTCTTTTGGGTTCTGGCCATGCTAGGTACTGCAATATCTCTGTAGTCGTCCCGGACTGACAACTGGACTGAGAATCATAATACAAGGCTATGCTGTGATTCGAGCGTGGTAATTTATTTGACTGCTGTAAAGGCTTTGACATACCAGCTGTTATGCGAGCCAAGTTGGCTACAGTTTCCACCACAGTTATATCGACCAAAAGATGCAAGCATGCTAGCGAAGGCGTATGGAGGATGGAGAGGAAGTGAGAGACGTCCCAACTGTTGCTGTCATACCGGCTTGCCCTGAAGCCTACACGAAGAACCTGAAGATCAGGTACATTCGCTGGAGCGATTGTGCCATCCCACGAACCGAGCGGGGCTGATACCTTTTGTATGTCCGCAGAGCGTAGATGTGGGCACTTTCGCAAGGTATCAAGCACCGTAATAAAGTCTTGATAGTCATTGGCTCGAAGGTGTCGTAACGAAGTCAACCCATCGTGTACCCGGACTGAGCCATCTAATATCAACTCGACAAGACTCGGGGCGTTCTTGAGAAGGAGCGGAGGGATGACAACGTTAGGACGAGTGTCGAAGGTTGTCGTGACAGCTATCTTCCTCAAGACGGGGGCTGGGCCAATAAGGAGTTTGAAGAAGGCTGAGAGGTCGAAGATATCCCCAGTCAATTCCAAGACGCGAATACGTCCGATCTGTGAAGTAACCATTTCCTGACAGACCAAATTATCTTTGATGGTCAGTGTGATGTCTAGGCAACATTTCGAAGGAGATCTTGCGATGCAGAGTTGCACCCACTCGGGAGTACTGAGAGAGATTGTGGACCATAGGCGAGAATAGCCAAGTGCAACGGCACGCCATCGACTACAGACGTATGTGATACTAAGCCATGACGGGAGCCTCAGCAGTGGACTTTCCCATCCATCGTGACAGATGCCAAAGATGATCTGCAAAATCTCATTCGGAAATCGAAAGATGGGCAGCGCCTCGTTGTATGCTTGAAGTGCTATGATGGTAGGATCGCGATGGGGTGGACTGAGGACGAGATCCGCAAGAGTGCTCTGAACGGAAGCTAAATGTACCATTCTAGAGGATGAGGCACTTCCTTGGTCGTTAGCGGTTTCCAAATTGTCAAATAACAAGCGCCTCACATGTGCATAGATTGGATCCAGGCGGATCCCAGACTGCAAAGCAAAAGTAGTTGTAGTGATTGAAGTGTGAACGTGAACGACGAACTGCAAGGTAAGTTATGTCTTCACGCAGCGAGTCACATACTGTCACATACCAACGACCTCTTGAAGCTTTCCGACTTCAAGTTGGACGGAATACTAGCTCATGGCACATTCGCCCTCTCCACCTCAAATTCACTCACGACGCTCTCAGCCTATGATTTCTCACAGAATGTCTAGCTCGAGCGCTGGCTCTGATAATATCTACGACCACACCCCTCACTCCATCTGGAGCCCCGTTCTTCATGCACTTCGGTCCTCTACTTTGACGCAGCACTCCCTATTTTTCGCAATCGCGCCGTTCGTCCTTTTCACACTCACACTCTTCTCCGTACTCCTTGCGATTCGCGCGCACCAGGCCGAACCTCGGCGTCTCCCATCTGGGTCATCTGGCAACGTGTTTCTCAGAGTCGACGAACAGACTACCGTGAACGGGGTCCTGGGTCGTGTTCTGCTATTCATAGAACAGATAAATGATCTAATGGGAGGCGGGGTACGCGCATGGATGCAAGCGTGCGTACTGAGCCTGATTGTGCTCAGAGGCCTGGTCTGGATTAGTGCTTGTGTGGTCGACGCAGTACTCAATTTCGAATACGGTGGTGGCAGTGTCTGGTGCTGGGAAGCGATCGCGGTTCCTACGGAAAAGGACACGGGCTCTTTGAATGTCAGGCATAGGAGGAGGATTAAGAGTAGACAGGGTAAATAACCTTTGGTTGAACAGAAATTGTTAGGAATATACGATCATCATCTCAATTGCGGGTGTGAATAGACGTTTGCGACTCATATCTATGATCGTATTTCACTGGAACCCAATCATAACGGGAAAACTCTTTCTAACTTTCCGTGCGACCCACGGTGCAATGGCTGTGTCACACCCCCGTAATTCCGAGCTCTTCAGCAATGATCACTGCAGCCTTCTCCCCCACCACGAGCGCCGTCGAGTACGTGTTCTATAAACGGGCGAGCAGCCCCAAAGTCAGATTCTCCGCAATAACTCATGTGGATAGACAGTTCTCACCGCAGAGACATTCCCGGGACATATTGACAAGTCTAAGTTGACGAACAGAGGAAATAAATCAACACAGGGATGGGAGTCTATGCAGCCGCAGGCGGGAGAAGAGAATAGCTTACCCGCAATTTTGAGGCCCTCTACGCCATATACATTCAGTCTAGAGTCGACAACACCACCCGCGTCGCGAGGCTTCATCGCACAGGTGCCGAGCTGCACCATCGATCATTACAATCATACTTTCACCAACACATGTGTCCACACTTACGGCATGCCAAGCAGTAGTCACTACCGACAACAAATTGCCGTCAAATCTCATACCGACTGCAAGAGCGGAACACCGCTTACCGGACTCTCTTATGAATTTCTCGATCGCCTGATCGTCTTCTTCTCCGTACACCAAATCCGGCGCATTGATCGGCACCGGGCCCGCCTCGATCCCATCGCGCTTGACACAGACCTGCGCAGCGCTCCCCTCGGGGAACTTGGGATGCAGCGGCGCGTATTCCCCGCGAAAGAGCGGCATGCGGCGTGCTAGCTCGCGCGAGAACTTGTAGGCCCACATGAGAGGGCGCACGTCCACCATGCTGTGCGTGACGGGGAGGGAAGTGAAGGTGAAGAAATTATCGCATGGGATGCGTGCTCACTCCTCGAGATATCCGTGCTTAAAGTCGATCGGTGCGTCTGCGTCTGTACCGGATGTGATGTGGACATGGCCACGCGCGAGGGGATGACCCTAACACATGCACTTTAGTCTATACATGTATTTGGGTCTCACCGAGAGAATGATGACCCTTGCGCACCACATAATAGGCTAGGGTGTAATACTTCTGCTTCTCCGCCGTGGACAGATCGCCCACAAACCTGTTCATCGCCAGGTAAATCAACATCCTGATGAGCCAGGAAATGATGGAAATAATTTAGGTGCGCACATGGACAATGAGGCCAACAAGAACACTGGTCTATCCGGCGCAGATGCGAAGTGACTCTCCCAGCGCTCTTTGAACTCTGGGCCCCACGACTCGAGCTCGTGAGCAGAGGGCCGAATCTTGACTCCCGCATCAATACCACTGCGTTAACAAAGAAGGTAAATTCCTGCTATCTGGCCTGACAATAGTGTAGGAAGCCCACAGACGCACCAGTGTGCCATGAGGCCTTGACCATCCTTGAGCCATTGATTCGACGTGACTGGGCGGATCGTGTCGATGTAGTGGCAATTATTTAAAGTGAAAGCACGCACGCTCTATCTCGTCTGGGTCGTTTCGTATGATAGCATCAATCGTCTCTGCTTCAGGTGCTGCAACATAGGGCACGAAAAGAGAAGGGTGATCTACCATACAATTCACATTTAATGTATTCACTGTCCTTTCAGCAAAGTAAAGAACACGGGCTGACTCACCCTGATATGCTTCACCTACCCCAGGGAGGTCCACAATCTCTGGAACACTGTTCTTCCTTAGCACCTCTGCCGCACCGACCCCAGAACGCTCCAAGATCCCGGGAGACCCAAAGGTGCCTGCTGATACCACGACGAGACGGCGAGCGCGTACAAAGTGCACCTCGTCGTCCGCGCGTGACAAAAAGCGCTTGTTCCACCGATACTCGATCCCTGTGGCGCGAGTGCCTCTACGCATGCCCGATTATAAGAAATCGTAAGTCAATGACAGGAAATGTTAATGAAGATGGATAGGCACATACTCGATGCGGACGCGGTGAATATACACGCTCGTGACGACGTGCAAGCGCTCGTTGTGGGCCTGGTTATAGATAAAGTGGTGTGGAACGTCAGACCGCCTTCCGGTTGTGTTGTCGATCCACCTACGGACGGGGGGGAACCGTCAGTGACCCACTCTACTCAGGCCAGCTGATGCGCTGCTTTTGAAAAAGATAGAGCAAGAAACGAAGGAAGAAGGAAGAAGGAAATTGTGATAAGTAGATAAGAGATATGAACCATACTTCTGCCATCGCTATCCAGACATGTCGTCAAGTCAGCATCGCTTGAGGCCGACTGTGCCGACAAGAATCACATACACAATATTGATTCACCGTCATCAGGTCGTTAGGATCTTCACCGACAGTCCGTTCTCGATCGTACATCGCTGCGGTCTCGAGGAATTCTCGTCCGACGTTAGTGTACGTTCCACCGTAGGAAACTTTGAGCGGGCCCTCATAGCCGTGGGTCAGTGCGCCGGGCGTAATTTGATACGTCTCAGTCTGCAAGCAAGGATGTTTGAGGTGTCAGATTTAAGAATAAGCGGTAGGTAGTCTCACCTTCTCCAGAAGCGGGACGAGGTCTTCTGAGCCCCATCCCGCGTTTCCGTGTATATTCTTCCAGTCGTCGTAATCCGACTTACTTGCGCGCGTGTACACCGTGACTAACGAGCGTCACTGTCTCAATATCTGCAGCTGATGAAAGGTAGAAAACAACTTACAGTTTACGCTCGATCCTCCGCCCAAACACTGCGCGCACGACACGACGAGCTCGCGTCCACCCACAGCCTCCGTCTTCTCCGCCTTGTGGAATTGCATGGTCGTCGACGTCGGTGTAATGTGCGAGGGGGCCCGCGCTGGTTGTATGTGCGCGAGGATTTCAAGGGTCGACGGGCCCGCTTCAAGAACCAGGATGGTGAGAGTAGGAGATGCGGCGGCGAGGCGACCGGCAAGAAGGCAGCCCGCGGTACCGCCTAGACAAATAATGGTAAAAAGGTTGATGGGTGAAAGGAGACGAGTTACCGCCTGCGATGATGATGTCGTACTCCGTATCTATCTGAGGCATCGAGATCATGATGAAAAGCGGTCGGTTCAGTAGAGGGGGGAAGACGTGTATAAATCAGAGCACGCAGGAACACACAAAAGGCAGTACTCGATCCTCGTTGGCTAGGCCTCGCACTCTCTTATACGCCTTCAGGGAAGATAGAGTACGAGCCGGGCCGCACAATCTGAGTTTGTCTTCCAGACCCTGAGCTTACTATACATATTTCTTACGGGGAAAGGAAAGACATCAGCTGGTAAGCTGTAACGTTAGTAGACTCAGATCCAGTGCGGTTGTAACTAGGATGTGACAATAGACCCACTTCATTTCTCTGCAGGCGATAGCATGTTCAAGTTCCAGGCCTTATCTGTAGATCAACGATCCCAGTGCGACCAATCCAACTGTCAGGTATTCAATGAGCCACACAATGTCAGGAGAGTCAATAGAATGATTCAGATGTACGCTCAGCGATGAAGTCAAGTCACTCTACATATGCCTTGGGCAAGCTCCGGCGGAGTCTGGTTGCAATTTGTCTCAATACTCCCGCTCGCGGTCCAAACTTGGCCCCACTATTACACATCGACGAAGACACGGACAATGGACATATCATAGACGGAGCCTCGGTTATACGCACAGTCAACGGGGTTATGTTGCCCACGCATTAACTGCTATCGCCATTGCTCTTCCCACGCTCGCCGGTTCAGACCTCGCCAAGCAGGCGATAGCGGACCGATAACAGAGGAAGGTGGATGGAAAAAAGACTAGCACATACTAATCAGCGTGCATGTCAGGGCATAAGTCTCATGATTAGTTCTCTCGGAAGCACGCTTGTGAGTCTTAAGTTCCAAATGGAGTGTTGAATTGAAAGTCCAAGGGTGCGTCCTGCTCCTGTTCACAGCGTTATCATTCGACAAGGAACACTTGGTTACAGATCATCATAGTCCTACACAACATCATGAAACGTCAGTTAAGCAGCTCACTGACACTGATCGCATGATCTACAGAGTCGGAAACGCGGATCGGTGAGTACCCTCGGCATTATCGTCCACGGGATCCGCGCCTTTCTCTAATAGCAGCTCCACGATCGCTTGATTATTCCCCTTGGATGCTGCCTGGAGCGCACTTTGATATGGACCCATTCCTCTGGCATCGACGTCTGCGCCATTCTCGAGCAGTAGCCGTACAATGTGTTCGTGGCCGCCCGTCGATGCAGCTTGCAGTGCGTCACCATATTCTTGGCTTTGCTTGTTGACCTCCGCACCCTTTACGAGCAACAGTTGAACGATTGACTCATGACCTCTGGATGCTGCCGCCTGCAGTGCACTGCCGCACGGCTCCTGCGGCATGTTCACCTCTGCTCCGTTCTCTAACAGAAGCTTCACAATCTCTCCATGTCCTTCCAATGCCGCCGCCTGCAGTGCCGTGCCGTATCTTTCGCTTTCGGCATTCACTTCTGCACCCTTCTCAAGAAGCAATCGAACTATGTCTCCAAATCCTTCGGACGATGCTGCCCGAAGTGCGCTGCCATGCTGTCCTCCGAACGGTGCGTTTATCACAGCACCTTTCTCGAGCAGATGCTGCACAGCCCGAGATTGACCGCTCCGTGCCGCTACCTGCAACACGATGCAGTCGTCAAATCCCTTCGCATTTGGATCTTCCCCTGCGTCCAACAGAGCTGATGATAAGTCCTGTAGCCCAGCCAAGCACGCATAGTAAAGGCGGGACCCAATCGGCACCCTTTTCATATCACGTTTAGATCCAGGACGATCAAGGTCGTTGAGCCGAACCCAGGCAACGAACGGGGCATCGTTTCCAGTAAAGAGCGTGTAGGTCAAAGTGTTCAAGGGATCGGTGCGACCATCACCGGTTCCAGCATGAGCATGGGAAACCCAATAATTGGCAGCGTATTGTGCAAGTGGGAAATTATCAAGCGTATCTTCAGTCAGAATTCCTGTGGTCTCGAACTGGAGAAGATAGGCGAGACACGTCTGAGCGATCAACGAGTGAGATGATTTTTCGTTCGTGGTGAATCCAAAGTTTTGTAAGGAGGTCGAAGTAAGGATATAATCCTTGACGGAGGGGTGAACCAGCTGGACATTCCCTGCAAAGTTTATGAGCGAAGCAGAATTTTCATGTGGCACATCTGATCCCACCTTCAACAGTGACTATAATGAGATTCGAGCAGATGACCAAAATATCTTCCAAATTGTACCTCATATCTTCACAAGATCGAGGGTACGGCTTCGCTTCGAAATCGACAGCGACATATTCGGGCAATTCAATGAGCCGTGGCGGACGTGCGGAAAGGGCCAGCCACTGTAAAACTCTCAAGGCTGTTTGACGATGCACTGGATCGAGCTTCGATAGAATGTGGTCGTATGTCTCGTATAGTTTGCGCGGCAGTTGGCCTAGTCGCAGCTTCAGTTCATCGATATCGTGGCAACTTCGTAGTTCCTCTAGTTGTAATGCGGCCAATCGAAACCTATCGAGGTCGTAAGGATGTGAACGATAAAACGGCGGCGAAACGTCACCGTACATTCCTTTTGAAATCTCCAAGACATGCTTTCGAATTTCCTCCTTTGTCGTGTCATTCCATCTCTGCATGTGACGGTCGGTTTGTAGTGTGCGATCGATGTAGGTCCGGATATCATCGTCGACCGACTTGCCTTGTATACACGCTTGTACGACGTGAAGCAATTCGAGGGATCGTCGGATACCCAACTCATCCCGACTCGAGACCAGAATATGTATCTTGTGTTCGAATGCTTCCCAGCGCAAAATGCGCTGTAGCCAGGCCAGAACACTTTCTCTCTCTGTGCATTCGTCCAGAGAATCAAGGACCACATATACGTCTTTGAATTGGACAAGAAGGAGCTCCAAGGCCTCCAGGAGAGATTTTTCGGATGGCTGCGCACTACCGACTGTCTGCTCTAGGCCATGAGGAATTATGTTGCATTGGAGAAGAAGCTGTTTGATAAGGCAGCGAAGTAGATCGCTGTAGCGCCGCAGATCATCTTGTGCATCTTCGGGGCCGAAGAAATAATATGCCACCGCGGATAACGGATTGTTAACACAATGCTTCGAAACATCTTCGATGGCGGAGGAGCTGTGTACACAATTCATTGATCCATACAAACACAAGGAGAAGGAAGCGAAACTCACCACAATATGGTTTTCCCACATCCCGCTAGAATTGTGCTTCAGTCCGTTAATTCAATCGTAAGGCTTGTAGCGTACTCACGGATTCCATGTACCCACAGCAGTGATCTCGCGCTCTTCTTCCATTCCGAAAACTCCTTGCCGGTAAGGAACCAGGTACACGTGCCATCTGCATGTCTCTGCCGCGCATTGTTATAGTTTTTGGAGGGATCGGGTGCATTCAGCCAGGCTAGAGTCCCTTCGAGTCGCAACGCTGATTTTGATCCAGAATCTGAGTATACCCAATTTGAGAACCAAAGTGACGCAGTCGTACCATGAAGGCCATTGATTAGGTTGACATCGATGTTCATCCGCCTTCCAAGTTTCTCCGTGATATTCCTGCAGCGCGTTTGAAGCAATCCCCCACGCTCCTTCATATTGTTGGACAATGTATCGCGCAAACTATGGACTTTAAAGCATTTGTCGTTATTATGAGATCAAACAAGGCGTGAACATCATGCTTGGCTTACCAGCAAAGGGAAGTTTGATATACTCGTCAATGAGAGATGCGACCTGCAGCGATATGTGTCCAATCGTCTCAACCAGATCCTCCGCGCCTCCAGTGATGGGTAGATCAAGGCATTCATTGGCTACATACAACATTTCGCGCAGGGATTCTGTCAAAGCTCGAATAGACTCGTCGGGGAGACCTTCATTCTTGAAAGCCTGTGATGAATACAATGATGATGACATATATCTATGATGATCCGACGACGAGTTTCTCACCTCATACATTGAGAGCCAAACTGCGCACGAGACCTTGAGGACTGGGTGAGCCTGATGCACAGATTGTGAACATTGTTGAGAATAAAAGGAACGTAGAATATAAATAGACTTGCATAACCGGATTTACGGGCGATCTTGACCGTCGAAGCGAATGCTTGGCCAAGGGACGGGATGCAGGTGCTGATGTCGTCCGAAGAAGTGTAGGAGCCCTCGATCGCAGATGGAGATGCAGCGACAGAGTTCGATATCTGAGGAAGTACGCTATCATCGAGACGGGAGATTGCGGCGTCAACCTTTCTCATGATATCTTGCGGAGGCTTGGAAATAAGTGCCAGTTGGATCTTGATCTTGATGCCGTCGAGTCTGTTTCCGGCCTCATCAGTCATATCGAAGGCCGCATCTTGCGAAGCTTTCAGCATGAAGATTGAAGCTCGCAGGAAATCCAATAAACTCACTGTTTCCAAACAGCTCGATCAGATTCCCAGAGAAGCGTCCAAGTTTCTGCCTTAGAGGTAGTATGCCTTTGCGGAAGAGCTGGATTGTGATTCTCGAGGAGGGCCGAAAGTCACTGCGTGATAATCGTAGTGATCAGTAATAGACTCACTCTTGAGGAGTTCGCAAATGATTGAAATAAACTTAAGGTACTTACAAGCGATAGTCCTGTTGCCAAAGAAGCGGTGAGCCACTGGATTGTTTTGAAGACTTCCACTCCTTCTGGTCATCGACGTAAACGACCACAAATCGAGAACCCCATCCATGACCGACGCCACTCTTCTCGAGTTGTCCTTCGATTTCGATGCCTAATATTCGTTGTTCACAACAGAATCAGCTCCTCGTACACTGAGATCATTGTCGGATGGATTGGTCACCTGTGCAATGGGCTACAAGTCCAAGAGGGGACGACATTTTGAGTTTCAGCGTATCGTCGTGTTAGGAGTTCAAATGCAGAGAAGATGGCCGTCGCAAGATTGGATTATGATTGTGAGTGCATTTTTGTCGCGAGGCATCTCGAGGACGTTGGAGGCCTCGAGGCTGCGAAGCCTAGTAGCAATTTCCACGATTTTGACCACAAATCAGTCACAGATCTCCATAATCTAGCGCTCATCCTGTTATCCATCTGTATAGAAGGCTTGATCAACGATATTTTACTCACTTCGTGGAATATTGTCTCCTGTCATATACACAAGACTTTCAGGCCTCCGCGGCCGACGGTCCAACGCAGCGCCCGGCCCAATTTGGATGGATTGGTGACGTCGAAAGCATCAGATAGAGTTTAACCCGAATTGCGTACAGGTTGGGTGTTTTAGTCAGATTTGTCAGCCAGAGCGAACGACCACTATTGGGTGGAGTTTTCTAAATATGCCGTAAACCCGGGTAAATGTGCCGCTTTTCATTCTTATCCTTTCCCAGTTTCGACTATATTGCTCCACCTCCATACTTAACACCACCCACCAAGTTCCTCCTTCACTCTCTGGATTGACGCGACACTGAGCCTAAAAAGTTTGCATGTTCGGCGAATATCAACGTCAGATTGAGCGAGCCGCAGGTTTGCACGCGCTCTAAACGGCAGACTTGATCATAACGAGGCCGAATTTCCTCGACTGTGCCCGGACTTTGTCCCGGCTTCCATTCCCCAGGGCCCTCCAAGGGATATCGACGCAGACATAACTTTGTGAGCTCCTATTCCACGCACCCTTCTCCAGTAGCAAGCAAACAACCTCTTCGTAACCTCCCTGTGACGTTGCTTATGGTGCGGAATTTCCCCATGCATGACTACATTTGCCACCTCTCCAACAAGAATCGCACAGTCTCGATGTGTCCACAACTTACTGCATCGTGCAGTGCAGTGCGGTATAGCTTGTCTCGAATAGCTCTTCTTGCGCTCGTTGGTATCGTCCGTGCTAAACTCATCGGATTTCATGGTGTCTGCACCTGCATCTGAGGCTGTTGTGATTAGGAAGGGGCTGGAAGTGACAGATGCACTGGGGTGCGGATATGCAGCGGGAGGCGTAGATGTTTACAAGCTAGTAAGGGGTCAAGAAGCAACAATACTTGTGCGTGGAGAGTCGTCGAGAAAAGTGTGGTACGATGGAGGGGGAGGTGACCGGCGTGTGTAGCAGCCATAGAATGAGACAGTCTGAGGAAGAGAAGGGGAGAGGAATGGCGTGACAGGAGGACTTGAGCACGGGATAGTAACATATAGGCACGTACTCGTACCTACTTGTACGCTATTGGACAATAATATTATCTGCATACACAGCCCACATTGGTTCCTTTTAAGCCTGCCGCTAGGAACACAAGCATCAGAACAGCAAGCATCGGTCACTTCAAGGCATAAGCTCCAGACATGGTCGCAAAATACTCAAGTCAGCGTCGAAGGTGAGTACATTGAGGTCACCCTCGGGACGGTCAAGATATATGTAGCCTGTTCAAATGCGTGTTAATTACAGTGAGCCGTCTTTCCTACCTCTTCTCTGTTATTATGGTCGCATTTATAAGCCCGAAACTGCAGATACTGTATGTATATGCTCGTACATGCAAATATTGGACATTCGGATCAATCCTTCTCGCTATTCGACTCACCCTATCACCATCCGGCAGACTCTCTTCTCCATCCAACCATTCTGCGCTGAACTTAAGTAGCAGGTTGACCACCGATTGGTTGTGACCCGCTGACTGGAGGGTGCTTTCAAGTTTCCCCGGTGCATTGGGGTATGCTCCCTTCTCCAGCAGCAGTCGCATAACCTGCTCATGGCCGCGATATGCCGCTGCATGCAGCGCACTCCCACAAAAATCACCTTGCATGCTTATGTCTGCATCCTTCTCCAGCAACAGTCGCACAAGGTGCTCGTAGCCCTTATATGCCACTGCTTCAAGCGCACTCCCATGAAAAATTATACCTTTCAGGCTCACATCTACACCCTTCTCCAGTATCAGTCGCACAAGTGGCTCATCTCCTCTCATCACCCAGCTCGATACATACGAGAAAAAACCCGGTGAGTGGTCATGAATGTGACACTGTCACTCTCCCGACGAACTGTCCAATTCCATACGCTATCGGACATTGAATGATAGGATACCAATCAGCTAAAATCTACTAGCTCGGAAATGTCGGTCATCAATGAGCACCTGCAGCATCGTCGTCCGGCCCCACCGCCCCTTTTTCCAACAACAACTCCACGATTGCCTGGTGCTTTCTTATGGACGCTGCCTGAAGCGCGCTCCCATATAGACCAACGCCTCGGACGTGAACGTCAGCGCCATGATGAAGCAGCAGTCGCACGATGTGCTCATGGCCACGTCTTGATGCCATCTGCAATGCGTCGCCAAATCTTTTACTTCGCTTGTTCACCTCTGCGCCCTTTTCGATTAAAAGTTTCACGACCAATTCATGTCCGCTCATTGACGCCGCCTGCAGTGCGGTGCCATATTCTTTACTTTCCTTGTCCACCTCAGCACCCTTTTCGAGCAGTAATCGCACGACTCGTTCGTGTCCTTTGGATGCTGCTGCCTGCAGTGCACTGCCATGAGGCTCCTTCGGTGTATTAACCTCTGCACCCTTCTCTAGCAGAAGGCTGATAATCTCTGCGTGCCCTCCCAATGCCGCCGCCCGCAGTGGGGTGCCGTATTTATCGTTTTCTATGTTCACCTCTGCACCCTTCTCCAATAGCAGTCGCACCGTCTCTTCGTGACCTTCGAACGACGCGGCTCCCAGCGCGCTTCCATGCTGCCCTCCCAGTGGCACGTTAACCTGTGCCCCATTCTGTAACAGCAGTTTCACGATCTTCAAATGGCCACCGCGTAACGTTGCCTCCACTGCATTTCTGTCCCAGCTTTTCAGGACATTTCCTGGTATGCTGGCGTTCTTTAGCAGCACTCGCATGATTGACCCGTTACCTCCGGATGCTGCTGCCTGCAATGAGCTGCCACACCCTCCCCCTTGGATCCCTACGTCCGCGCCATTGTCTAGAAGGATTTGAACGATGTCTTCGTAGCCTCCCACTGATGCTGCCTGTAGTGCCGTGCCGTAGTGTCCACCTCGCTTATTTGCATCAGCGCCCTTCTCTAACAGGAGCTTCACGACGTTCAAGAAGCCATTCTCTGAGGCCTCATGCAGTGCAGTAACGCCCATTTTGCCTGGCATATCGACCTCCGCGCCGTTCTCCAATAATATTCGTACGACTCGATCGTGGCCTTCCATCGATGCCGCGTGCAGCGCGCTGTTAAATAGACCTCCTAGTAGATTTACGTCTGCGCCCTTCTTGAGTAATAGTCGTACGGTGACTTCATGACCCGCAAGTGATGCTACCTGCAAAGCGCTGTTCTGGCCTTCCCCGCTTCGCATGTTCATGTCTGCCTCGTTTTCTAGCAGGAGTCGCACTATTTCTCCGTGACCTCTCGCTGATGCCAAGTTTAGAGCACTGCCGTTCCAGCTCTCCCCGTTCACTTCCGCGCCTTTCGCGAGTAGATTTTGTACAGTCCGATATTGTCCACTTCTTGATGCAACCTGTAGCACGCTAAGTCTAAGCCTATTCCCCCCCTTCGTGTTTGGATCGCCGCCAGCCTCTAACAAAGCCATCGATATATCCTGGAAGCAAGCTAAGCAAGCATAGTAGAGACGAGATCCATGAGGCTCTCTTTCGAAGTCATGCTCGGACCAAGGCTCATCTAGGTCATAAAGACGGACCCAGGAAATAAAGGGGGCGTCATTGTCGGCAGTGAAGAATGCATATATTAAAGCCTGCAGGGGATCGGAATTACTGTCACTGGTGCCAAATTTAGCATGGGATATCCAATGTTCCGCTGCATATTGAGCGAGTGGAAAATTGTCGAGTGTATCCTCCTTCAAAATCTCTGGGGTATCAAATTGAAGAAGGTACGCGAGACAAGTCTGTGCAATCAACGAGTGAGACGACTGCGAGTTGATTGTGAATCCAAAGCGGTGTGATATTGAGAGAAGAAACTCCTTGACAGAAAAGTGCGCCAGCTGGACATTTCCTAGCATATGGATTATCAGTGAGGCATCATCACCAAACTCGACAAAATGGTTGACCCTACCTTCAACAGAAACGCTGATAAGATTGGCACATATGATTAGAACGCTTTGTGGATCAGAATACCGTGAGTCAGCACGGAATTTAGGGTACGGTTTGGTCTCCAAGTCAACGCCGACGACCTCTGCCAATTCCTTCAGTCGTAGCAAACGAGCGGAAAAGGCTAGCCATTGCAGAAGCTTCCACGCTGTTCGAAGAGGCGCTTCGTCGAGCTTTGATAGAATGCGATTGTAAGTATCATCTAGATTGCGGGGAAGATTGCCAAGTTGCGTCTCCAATTCACGAATACTGTGGCAATTTCGTAGCTCCTCGAGTTGCAACGCAGCCAAACGGAACCTAGATCTGCAATGTCAACATCAACATGACTTGTAAGCGAAATGGTATCATACATTCCCTGCGACATTGCTGACACCTTCTGCTGTATTTCCCGTTTTCTGGCGTGTTCCCACCTCTTCATGTGAAAACTCGTCCGTAATGTCCAATCGAGGTACATTCGAATGTCATCGTCAATTACCTGTCCCTCCATGCAGACCTTCACGACGCTCAGCGATTCGATAGATTCTCTGATGTCGATTTCATCTCGACTAGTGATCAAAAGATGTGTCCTGTGCTTGAACGCTTCCCTCCGTGTGATCTCCTTCAACCAGTCTAGAACCTTCCATCTCTCTATAGATTCGTCCAGGGAGTCAACAATCAAATAAGCGTGTTCAAATTTGACGAGAAGAAGCTCAAGGGCTATATGGAGAGACTCCAGGGACGGTTGCATATTGCCGGCCCCGAGTAGCTTCTCTATAGCAGGCGACATTCCATTGCATTGAATCGCAAGCTGCTTGATGAGGCAGCGAACTAAGCCACCGTGTCGCTGAAGGCCATCTTGCGCGTCCCTAGAGTCGAAGAAAAAGTATGCGATTGCGCACGAAGGATTAGCCGCACAATGGATCGTGATATCTTTGATAGCGGATGAGCTGTATACAATGCTCGCTGATCCATGCAGGTGCAGAGAGGAGTAGATTCCTCACCATAGTACTGTCTTACCGCACCCCGCTAGAAAAGTGTTTCAGCCAGCTCTGAATGAAAACTATTGAAGCTTAAATAGAGACGTACGGATCCCGTAGACCCACAGTAGCGACCCTGTGCTCTCTTTCCATTCTGAGAATTCCTTTCCAGTGAGGAACCAGAGGCACGTTCCTTCTCGGTGACTTTCTCGTGCATTGTTATAGTTTTGTGATGGATCAGGTGCCTTCAGCCAATCTAAGGCCTTTTCAAGTCGCGCAGCTAGTAGCACAGAACTTCAGTAACCTTTCAATTTGAAGCAAAAGTGACAGAAGATGCACCATTCTGAATTTGATGAATAGTCACGTTCGTGTCGCGGTTCATCCTACCGTTGAACTTGACTACCAAATCTTGACAGCGCGTCTGGAACGATACGATGCGTTGTTTCATATCATCGGACAACATGTCTCGTACACTACGCACTTGATAGCATATACCATTAAATCAGGGATGAATAATTATAAAACGAGCATTGTGTTTGACGTACTTGCAAATGGAAGCCTTGTGTACTCGTCAATGAGAGAAGTGATCTGCAGCGATATGCGGCCAATCGCCCCAATCACATTCTCTGTGCCTTCAAGGACCCGTAGATTAGGACAGTCATTGGCCGCGTACACCATCTCACGCAGGGTTTCTGCCAAGGCTCGAACAGACTCGTCAAGAACCTGTTCATTCTTTAAAGCCTATGATAAACGTTTTGATCATGACCAGTTAGGAATTTTACGAAGAGGCTCAGAGAGGCCCTCACCTCATACATTGAGAATAAAATCGTGCATGAAACCTTCAATATTGGATGAGTCTGGTGAACAAGATTTGAATTACCATGATGAGAGCGTAATGGGAGGAAGATATGATGGACTTGCATCACCAAAGATACGGGCGATCTTGACCATCGCCTGGAATGTCTGGCCAAGGGCCGGTATGCAACTACTAATCATTTGGGTAGAAGAGTAAACGCCGTCGGTGACGGACTCGGATATATTGACATGTTTCGATATTTGGGAAAGTATGCTGTCGTCGAGGCGGGAGATTGCAGCGTCAACCCTGTCCGTTATATCTCGTGGAGAATGGGAAATGAGCGCCAGCTTGATCTTGATCTGAATGCCGTCGAGCATATTCCCGGAGTCATCAGTCATATCAAATGCTGCATCTTACAAGGCTTTCAGGAAGGATGCTCAAAGGCCGCATAGAGAGTCTGGTGGCTATACCATTTCCAAGCAAGTGAACGAGCTTCGCACAGAACTTTCCAAGGAACTGCCTTTTGCTGGGGCGCATGATTGATATTGTACTCTTGCGAAAAAGCTCAATCTTGATATTGGAGGATGGCCGAAGCCACCTATGTCGATCGTGCCATCGAGTATCGAAACGGCGTTCAATGCGATGATCAGTGAGAAATGTAGCAAAATCGAGAGACTCACATGTGGTGATCCTGCTGCCAATGCAGCGGTGATCTGCTAGAGAGTCTCTTGGACTTCCACCTCTCCTCATCGTCAACGTAAACGACCAGAAACCGACCACCAAGTCCAATTTTCTGTAAGAGCTTGCCCTCAATTTGGATAGCTAACCGGAACGAGTTCAAATTTAGGGGCACTTTATTGATGAAGACGAACATACCTGAGCAATGAGCCACAAGCCCTAGAGGAGAGGTATTTTCGTGGTGTTCTGTGTCGGTGATCATGGACAAAGAGGATGGAGATCGCAGGTTGGATATCACGGGAATTAGCATTGTGAGTAGGCATGCTTAAGTGATGCACAACGAGGCTTGTGGGTGGCTGTAGCGTGGTACATATCAGCACACATGACCTACAAGCTATCACCAATGTCGAATAATCGATGTTGGATTGCTTACAAGTGTGAATGAACTACTTTATATGGCTACAGCTAGAAAAGCACGATCATTCAGATACACAGTGCGATCAAAGTCTGCCTTGGTGATGATTGAGATTACCACCTCTAGGGCATGCCACTGGACAAGCAGTTGGCTAACCAGTGTCAAGACCCTTCATCAAAATCTCGCAGCGAGCTCGGACAATTTCATAGTATTCTCCCATATCTTGATTCATATCGTCTTCTAGATTCCGATCTTCGGAATGGCAAAGAAAATATTGGTGAGTTCACCATGCCCTTAGCCAAATGAACAACTTACTTTCAGGTAGCCTCTCATATTTGTCGATCAGTGAAGCAATCTGGACTGCTTCCCTTGCAACCGCCTTTACGAAAGCATTGGATTGTGAGGGAACGGCCTTGTAGAGCTTGCACAAACATTCCGCCAAGTCGATGATACGGCTGTCATGGGCCTCATCTTGAGATTCCTATGGAATATCGCGATAGCATAAGTGTCATTGAGTCAATGACACATCAGTTCTTGACTCGCCTCGCACACTGAGACTACAATTTGACATGAGTCTACGATCTTACGGTGGACCTGTGGCATGCTATTATTCAACGAAACTGGAAAAAGAGTATACCAATGACGTACGCCACTCCATTGTGTTTTATCAGCAGTGAGTATGCATTCCGCTGCTTTGTGCAGGGAATGCATGATCCCTCTAGAAAAGTTGTCATGAGTGGGCATGTCGATGCGATACACAGGAGCGAGCTGGACCAGGCAGTGAACTTTGCCCTCTATCCCGATATGTACGCTATCTGTTCAATGAAAGACCTTGAGCATGAACATGGCTCGAAGGAAGGGAGGGGCTCACGACCGTCGAGAAGCTCAATGACTCTACCACTGAAACTTCCAAGTTGCGTACTAGTCCCGGAGTCCACCACGAGCGATGGATCCGGGCTGGACAATTTTATTATGATGTTTGAGGATGCGGCGAAGTGTCTAACTCAAATTGTGAATGTGGCATGTTAATAGGCAAGTACCAGCTAAGTTTGAGAGACGTGGGAGACGTACATAGGTGTATCTACTCGCCATGAATACTCCGATGAGCATATACTCGACTCCCATTGCACAAAGTTGTCAATGTAGATGGTCAAACGCCGATAAGGGGATTGAGCGCGAGGATCTTCCAAATTACCATGAAGCTTAATGGCTTTAGAAGACAAACAACGTCAGTGCTTCAGAAACACTGCTGAGAAGGGCCGGACTGACTCTCTAAACGGGTGGTCAACCCGTAGACATAGGGGGAATGGTGAAGGTTCTCCATCTTGGAGGCTCTTAAAAATGGGAGGTGAAGGGGCGAAGGAGAAGAAGGAATATTCTAGGAGAAGGGTAGTCGCAAGAAGTGGAGGAGAGGAGATATGGCATCGGGATACCTGCGCACCCAGGGAACTTTATATCATGGTGAGTGTCTCACAGAACAGGATGTTAAATCCCGAAATAAAAGCCCGAATAAACATCTCAACACAAGCGCACCATCGAACAATAGACGAGACAAAGCCCCAGCCAAAGCGTACTCCAAACAGTGATGTGGCACTGATTCCAGGGACCGGAAAGTACGTAGAACAAACTGGTGGCTGATGTTAGGTTCTTGGAACAGCGGTGGCTGAATCTCCGGGAACGCGTCATCTTCACGTCCTGTTCCTGTTCAAACCATGTCTATGGTATGGCAAAGTATAAAACAGGAACTCTCACGTACAGTGCACGATACTGTCTTCATATATGCCATTTAGATGAGTCCACATCTAATGGGTTAGATGTTTGTCGATAGCTCATGACAGAAAAACAACCTACCTAGTCACAACAGCGCAATCGCCCGCACGTTCATGCGCTTCAGGCCGACTGCCTTGAATCCTCGCTGTTCACAGTCGATTCTTACAGCTTGTTCCTGCTATTATTGAAGCAGTGCGGCATATGGAAACAGCACATAATATATCGCAATAAAGGAGCTCACATTGTGACTCTGTGTTGCGTCCGCTAATAGCACCGTACTTGTTCTGCCTGTTTTGCCTGTTTTGCCTGTTCTGCCTGCTCTGCTTGTTCTGCCTGTTCTGCCTGTTCTGCCTGTTCTGCCTGTTCTCATAGGCCGAGACTGTTCTCGCCCAGTTCCCTTCCTGATTCTGACTCCTAATCATGAAGGCCAGTGGTGCGCATGGAACACTACATTATGATGTATGATCAGGCAAATATCCCATATTCGCAGTCTGCGTTCGAAGTAACACGTCACTCACCCGAATTATTACCCAGCATGACGGATAATATCTTAAAATTAGGAGGAAAGATAACGAATAACAGAGTCGCCTAGTAGAGTTGAGAGGGCTACAGGCGCGCGAGAGAGGCATATACAGGGTTTTGCAGTTGTACGCAACCACTTGACAACGATACCGCTCTCGACACACAAGCCCAGCGTGCTGTTCGGTCTCTTACCTTCAGATACAACGATAGATAATCACCCATGTAGAGCTGGAAATTATGAATTCACTACCACGTCGAGCCATCATAACAATTCCCATCCAGAGTAATGAGAAGCCGGATCAGTCTAAAGATTCGCAAAAACACATACTGTATGAATTCCGCCCACCAGCCAGAGTGCGGTGTTGCATCGCCTCTCAGATATAGCCCGCTGGAGCCTGTGATTCTCTTCCGTGCCCGATCCTTCGAATACGTAGCCTTCGCTGAATGTAGAGGTGGACCGTCGACGTATGATGATGAGTGGCCACATTCCTTTTTTGGACTCTCCCACCAACGGCGTCTACGAGGCCAACAGTGACCGACAGGCTTTGAAGAGTGGACCACTCGGTGACGACCTTCTCAACTCTCAACTTTACCACCTTATGCACCTTTCTGCTACGACGCCATGAAGCTCCTCCACTGGTGCACGCTCGAGCCAACGGGTTCCTCACAGCTCGCAGCTATACGCTTCTCCGCCCCCGTACGCGTGCGTTCTGTACGCGTTTTCCCCAAGGACATGACGCCATTCGAGATGCAGCCAGAGATCATCTCGTGAGTGTCATTTCTGCCCTTGGATATGGAGATCAGAAAGCATATGGAATAGTTGGGGTAGAGGATGAGAGGAAGACGTGTCGCTGCGAGGCTGCCAAAGGACGGGGGTGAGTTCAATCATAGGACAGATTGTCTTGGGCATTGGACTGGGTCATTTTGAGTGGTCTCCAATCCTTCAGCCCTGCTTTACATGTAGTCTTTCGTGGCGACTGCGGCAGTGTTATTCGCGGCGCCGCGCGTGCATGTTCAATGTTGATATTGATTCTATGCATGGGGTCTCTGCTCTGAGGTGAACCTCTACAAGCATGTCGCGTTCAATTCAAATCTTGTCATGGTAGCCAGCCTGCGAACTATTCATCAACTATCCAAATCCGCTCTGTATCCAGGGCCTATATATCCATCCTCTCGTCTGCTGTGACGATCAACTCACTGACATACCATGCCTAGCGAAACTGAACCAGAGGCATTCTTCCTCGAAGTTTTCTTCAATGCGCAGCCTGTCGGCTCTCCGGATGCGAAACAAAAGCAGAAGGCCAGTAATGTTCTAATTCCCTCCGTCATTGCGTACGCAGGAGGCGCAGTAGACTTCGCAGTCGATATGGGAAACGATGTACGTTCCGCATAAATCTTGCCCATTGTCGCAGTAGCATATGCTGTTCCCTAGTATGCAACACGTCTGATGATCGTCAAAGGCGAATTCACCAAGGTGTCCATGGCCATCTACGGCGACGTCGTTGCAGAACGTCCAACTTCTCCGATCCCATATACGCCAACCCCATTACCCATACTCGAGCCGACACCGCTTTCCTCGTCCATCGACCCATCCAACTCCTCCGACCCGACCGTCCTCGCTCGTCAGCTCCTCGAGTCTATCCCGGATGCACCCCCACTTTCTCTCGTGATTCGTCTGATGTTCTGTCTAAAACCTTCCAACGACGACTGGGATTTGCCAGACTTCCCGTACTTACATCCCGACTTGGACGAAGACACCTTAGACTTCGACCTAGACAAGGCTTGCCAGATGCTCGGTCGACCCGTGGCTGACGACGTCTCGTACGAAGTCCTACAAGAGTTTGTTGATCGCGTGTCTGACGCCATAGGGCCCAAGGTTCGTGCTCTCCATCAGTGAATCGAAGAGCCGCACACCAACTTTGCTATCGTAGAGCAATGATCAGGCTTATGCAGTCGCTGGGATTCTCTCCCGCTCAGCTTCGCAGAATCCGGAACTCGCGAGGCTGCTGCTCGACCGGTTAGACCTGCGAGCCATATTCGACCCCACCACAATCGACGAAGACACGCTCTTCCGACTACTCGTAGCCTCTACGAACCCGGACATCGCACGGCAGCTGGCCGCGGTCAATTTCCAAGATGTGCTCCTCGCAGTCCAGCACAACGCCGCAGCAGACGCTGCGACGAAGTCATTCGCAGGAGCTCTTGTTGTTCGTATTCACGGCTGGGAGGTGCTCACGGACGCGCTCTGGAACACGCAGGCCGATTTTGAGACTGCCGTCGAATTAGTGCGCGCAGCCGGCATGGAAGAGCCGATGTTCGGCGTACTGCTCGCAGCGCTCGTATCGCATAACGAGATATTCACAAGACTGGCGGAGAAACCAGTGCTCCCGCGCTCACCCCCACACCCGCCCGTGCTGATGCAGGAGGCGGGCGAGCGGGGACAGTCGACGCACGACGATTTTGTGGCGTTCTTGCGTACATTTATCGGCATCTCGTGTGTTCTTGCCGTGTACGCGTACACGGACAGTCTGCCGAATAAGAAATGCAGGGAAAAAGTTCTGGGAATATTGAGGGTGTGGCAGGGTGTCAAAGGATATCGCGAAGTGGGTTCATCACAGATCTTGGGTTTCATGTGCGTTGGCTAATTGGGTACAGATACTGGATCACCTACTGCTCCTCCCTCAAATGATTTTCCGCCTCGGAGCGATGACGGAAAACGAAAACGATGAACCTACGCGGGCTGGAATCCACGCGGAACATATTCTCCTCACGCTCACGCGCAAACCGAGCGCACTCATTTCTCCATCCCTCATCGAATGCATCCTGAACATGGAGCCCGGCCTGTCCGTCATCAGCGAAGACAAACGACTTGACCTCCGCGCGCTCGCACTGCTCGCTGACGATGGGTTGCCAGCCGCGCTTGATGAGCTCTTGCATCCCATCGAGGGCGTGCTCAGTGCGCAAGCAGTCCGAATGCTACGTGTCGCCTTGGCGGTGGTCTGGCGCGAGCTCGGGAAGGGGCTGGAGGGGGAGTGGCGCACCTTGAGCACGCTTTGGGAACAGCGCGGGCATGGGCTCGCACTGCACCTCATCGACACCCTCCAAGCCGTCTCGCTGGAAATACAAAGCCTATTTTCTCTTACGGCGCCGCGACACATGACTCAGGAGGACGTGTCGGGGCTCTTCAGTCTCGCCTATGAGGCAATGCGCGTAGTACAGCACCTCGTCCCGGTGTACCCGCTCCCTGGCCGCCAGCTGCGTGCAGCAGTGCGGGTGATTGCAGACTGGTATGTGTGCGCAGAGGCGGCCGACGCACGATATACTCGAGGGTGCGACGCGTGCGACGCAGCACAGCGGACACGCGTGGCGTGCATCGAGCTTGCGCGCACACTCGCGAAACCACCACGGGAGGCGGAAGTCTTTTTGAGGACACTGTTGCAGCATGGAACGTGTGCCGGCGAGCGCGATCCGACGTACCATCTCGTCCAGGTATTCAGTCTCGTGGACCATTTACTGCCGATGCCACTACGAATGGACATAGACATTGGTGAAGACGAGGACGTGGTGTGGGTTAAACAGGTCATCCCGCGGGTGTTGACAGATCTGACACGCTTCTTGAGGCTCTTGGACGTGGAGAACAGGGCTCATCTGATAAGAAGGCTGACCGCGCTGGACGATGGCATGATTGGTATTGGCGAGTGGCTGTTGCTAGAGGAGCTGAAGCATCTGCGGGCATCTTTGAAGAGCCTCGAAGTACCCTCGGCGCATGAGGACCTCACGTTGTTCATCCAGTATCAAGTAGCCTCTTCTCTGCGCCTTTTGGATGATCTCATTTCTAGCTCTTCTGACGAAGCAACACACAAGGCGATCAAGTACCTCGGAACCGATACTGAGCCCGCATTGCTCCTAGCTGCCTGCTTCAATACAATGCTCTCTTGCCGTCTCACCTCTCCTTCGCAGCTGAGCATCGCAGAAACTCTCGTTTTGACTCTCGACAGCACCCTCGATACCACCCTCGCACTCTCCCTCGGCCTCACATTCCTCCGAGGCACCCACTCCTCCCCTTCTCCTCTCCCACTTGCAACCGCCCTCAAAAATACCCTCGCAGCGCTACGCATTGTCCCTCCCAAATCCATCGCCGCAGATCCCGACACCCTTACCGCCGAGCTCAGCGCCACCTGCCTCGCGCTCGCAAACACCGACCTCCTCACAGCGCCCGAAGCCCGTGCAGCTCTCGCCCTGCTCTCGTGGCTCGTGCGTCTCGCGCGCGCAGGGCTCCCACAGCTCGCGAACCTCAACGGCATCTCGCGCGACACACTCGTGCACCTGTGCGATGCGCTGCAGGACGCGCTCGCGCCCGCGGTCTCGTCTCATCGCGGCGGCGAGCCCAAAATCAAGCAGGACCCCGAGCCCGACCCCGGGGACCCTCGAACGGTCCTGAACGCCGTCCGGCGCGCGCTAGACGCTGGCGCGGAAGACGCGCCGGTTCCTCCGCCCTCGACCCTCCTCCCCTCACAGCTCGCGCTCCCCCTCGCGCGGCTCGACGCGCTCATGGCTCTGCGCCCCTCATCATCGCTGCGCCACGCACACGGGGCCTCCTCCGCCACTGCTCCGGGCACGCCGAAGCGCGCGACGCCGCCGCACGCGCAGGACGTGCTCGGGCTCGCAACGGTGTCGCCGCCCACGGCGCTGCTGCGCTCGCCGGCGGTGACGGGGCTCACGAAGACGTACAACGCGAACGACTTTCGGCAGCTGAGGCAGGTGCCGAGCGCGCGGATGAACACGAGCCGGATGCCGTCGAAGCACGTCGACGTGAGTATTTCGCGACCTGTGGCATTGGTGCATTGAACACCGCTGATCTGCGTTGTGTGATTTTTTTCGCGTTTTGTTGAAACTTGCTCAGGAATTCGAGTCGGCGATGGCGTCTTCGTCGCCGCCGATCCATACTGGCCCGCTTCCGAATCTGAATTTGGCTAATCTGCCCGGCCTGCCACCCCATCCGCTCACTCAAGACGGATTTGGTGGCCCCCTCGGTCCGCCATTCAACATGCAGTGATGAAGAGACGCGTTTAGGATCTGATGTCAGGCAGGCAGGGGAGACGTTGAGATAGCTCTGCCACCAGGGTCGTGGCGCTGTAGGATCGGAAGCGAACGGGAGGGTCGCGAACACGCCGGACTGCAATTTCTGTTTGAATATCTGCTTTGCTCTAGTTGCTCGTATGTCTGCTTTCTTGGCTGAGATAAATGTACTATCGTTGTTGTGCGTAAACGCGAATCAGCTGATGTCGGCGTGTGCCTGTATCACGTAGGAAAACACGAGGGTATAATCATGGTGTCGATAGGGGTACAAGTACACGTCGCGGTTTGCTTCTCCACCTGCGCCCTCGATGTCCAAGAACAAATATATAGTATGTCGTCACGCTAACCTGTACGCGCATCTACATACAACAAAGTGCGTAAGGCTCGAGCATCTGTATCTGCAGCCGCATCCGTGCTCTCGTTCCAGCGTATCGGCGAAGCGGTATATAAACGGTGTATAAACATGGGAGCGAGTGGGGGCAAGGACATCATCAAAGAGGGAGACGGGAAACAGAGAGCACGCACGGTCCCTCGCGATAGCTTCGACGACACATAGACGACACGCAACGTGCTGAAACCTCAGAGCGCGTGCGTGACCCCGTTCACGCGTGGCGGGCCCGCGTCCCCATTCTCGCGCACACTGTGGGCGTCCTCCATCGACACGTCCGCGGCACTCGCGCTGTCGTCCCCGTCCTCCGCCGACGCGGTAACGGACTCGAGATCGGTCTCGGACTGCGCTTCGGCGTCAGCGGCGCGAGGGTCGTGCACGGCCTCGTCGTCATCATCTTCATCCATGAGCTGCTGGGCTTTCTGCAAATCCGAGAAGAGATCAGAAACGTGCTGTATGATCGAGACCGAAAGGATCAGCACGTACCTTCATGGCCTCGGCCTCGTTAGAGTAGTGCCGTCCTCGTGCGCGGATGAAGGCCGCGTGCTTCGCGGCAGCTGTAAAAAATAGACATGCACAAATGATCAGCGCTACTCGAACAGCGGCGGCGATCGTCACAAGCGTCATCGCCAGAGACGGTCGTCACACTGGCGTCACACCCATGCTGTGGCAAACATGACGCGTGCAACCTCGAGAGCACTGCGCGTTGCGTCCGCAAGCACATCTGAGAACGATAGAAAGAAACCAGGGATCCAACAAGACAGACGATCCGAGCCCAGGGATCCAACAAGACAGACGATCCGAGCCCAGAAATAAAAATAAAAACAGAGACACTCACTCTCCTCATCCATCTCCTCCACCTCCACCTCACCGCTGTCCCCTCGCATTCCATACAGATCTCCCCTCGCGTCGGCTGGCAAATTGAAGCTCGTGCTCCTGCTCGAGCTCCCGCTCCGCCCACCGCTGCTCCCGGGCCTTCCGCTGCTGCTCCCCGGGCGGCCGCTCCCCGACAGGATGGGACGCCCCGAGACGGAGACGGCGCTGGAGAAGGACGTGCGCCGAGAGGAGGGCGAAGAGATAATGTTGTCGCGGTCGCTGATGTTCGACGGCGACTGTGCACGCGGGGATGAGTAGGCGGAGTTCGTCGAGAGGTCGAGGTTCGGGATTTCTGCGTGTGAAACGGGGGGAGGTCGATCCGTGCGATTAGGTACATATGGGGGAGGGGAGAGGGCAAAAAGCGGGTGAGTGAGTTGGGTGAGTCGGGTGGGAGCGGAAGAGAGGAAGGGAGTGCGTACCACCATCGATGGTGTCTGTCTCCGCGTCATACCGAACGTACGGAGTCTTGGGCTCCGTGATCTTCATAAGACTGTCTTTCTGGAGCTCGGTGAGCGCGAGGTTCTCCTCGTCCCATTGCAAGCTGCTTGGAAGTAGGGGGAGAATGAAAACATCTGCTCAGTCGATGTCTAATCGAATGGATGAAGAAAGGTGCAACATGCGTTGCGAGGTGTGAGGAAGGAAGGCGGGGATGATAGGGTGCTGGTGCTGGCGTTGAAGATGATTCAGGAGAGGAGAGAATACTCACTGTTGGCCAGAACCGGACAAGGGTGGGGCGTTCTTGAGGATGCCTCTCGGTTTGGGTGCAGAGCCAGAACCAGATAGTGAGCGGCTAGGCGTCGACGGCGCCGCTACTGCAGGTGACGGGGTGGAAGACAAGTTGGTGTTCACTGTCATGTAGCGTTCTGAGGCCATGATGAAAGAAAAGAAGAGACGAAGAGGAGATGGGTCTGTACAGCGGAGGTGGAAGGTGAGGTGAGGTGGTGGTGGTGATGGTGGAGGGCTGTAGATTGACACCCCGATGCGAGATGGCAATCAGCCCGACGATGGCGATGTGCTCCAACGGTATCCAATGTGGCGTGGGAAAGTTTGCTGCATCGCTGAACTCGACCCTTCTGCGATCTTTCTCTCTTGAGGCCTTTCTTTTCCTGACTCTTCTTGTTCTGCTGCCACTTAACACCGAGCTATGAAACGAGCGGTGTGCCCGGACTCTGTGAACTATGAGGTATGTATGAATCGTGCCTGTTAATTTCCGAAGAGGTCCCGGGCGTCATCCTCTCTCCTCATACGGTCCCTTTCACACCACACTCATCCCGCGGCCGAATAACGAGAACCTCAGCTCGTCTTCACCTGAGTCTCCCCCTTCCTATCCCGAGCCTGATCACCCCTTTGGTTTTATCCATCGGACCTACTCTTATCTCCCCTACGTAAGGTCAGCGCTCAGCAGTCGGCTGATGACTCCCAGCAGTTTATCAGGGTTTTCATAGTCCTGTGGACTCACTTTGCCAGCCGAAACTGAACAGCTTACTCTGAGGTAGCCAATTGAGACGCCAGCGGTGTCGGCGATGGACGGGCAGCGTGCTTTACTGATCAGTTCAGGCTAGATTGGGGTTAGGCCCATCGGAGCGCGTTTATGCCCCACACACAAAGAAGATTGACCGTCTGCCAATGAGCACTTGAATACATGCTACTACTCGAACTGCACACTACGTGAAAAGCCGACATATTTCCAAAACGGTGTCGCGGACCAAGAGGACCTGGATGCGCCATCTTCTAACGCCGTGTTCTGCTCTATTTTTTCCTTTTCGATACGACAGGTCGATGGTATAGATATATCTTCTGTTGCTGGTACGTACGTGAACGCGACAGCGCTGGGAAGAACAGAAGGCGAGGGAACAGGCATCGCCGCGAATGTCATCTGGATCTGACTCGAAGACGCCCAAATCCTTTCCACTTTTCCCCGCCTCACCTGATTGAAAGATCTCCCTTCCCCCGTCCGCATCGAGGTGCCGCCAAAGCGCCCACTCTAGCAGAACAAAGAGCAGGCGTGCTTCTTCACGGCTCGTCCTTGGTCCCATGGCCTCTCCTAAGCGCATTGACGATATCATACACTGGAATAGGCGCACGTAGCTTCCCTGTTCTCTGATTTTATGAATATGACAGGTTGCGTATCCCCTTGGAAGCAACGAAGCAGCCTATATGCGTGAACTTCCCTGCCCCGGATGGGGTGGCAGTCAATGTCATGCCTGGGCGAGGTATGCATTTTCACAGGCTCGGGAGATAGGATGCGGATAGCAATCGGGGCGACATGCAGGACGTGAAACATTACGATCCGTCTGCCTGAATACGATATATCGCCCAGGGTTCCCGCGGACGCAGCGTGAGTATAAGAGGCCTTGACGGAGTGTGTGAATGTGTAGGAGGGGTCTTTGTGTCTCCATCCTCTTTCCCTCGTTTCCCTCATCTTCTCATCTTCTGCCCCTGTCCGGTACGATATGACTTCGACGCCGCAGATCGACGCAGAGTATGACGTCGTCATCGCAGGCGGCAAGTCGCCTTCAGGACTCACGTCATGACCCCACTCACTCTTGTCCCTCGCCAGGTGGTGCAGCGGGATGTCTGCTCGCCGGGCGCCTCGCTGCCGCCTCGCCAACCCTGACCATCCTCGTCCTCGAAGCGGGGCCCCCGACGCGCGAGCTCCTCGCGCACATCCAGCCCGCGCGGTACCTCTCGCACCTTGCGCCGACGTCGACGACCGTGCGGTTTCACAAGGCGGAGAAGAAGGAGGCACTGGGCGGGCGCGAGCTCGTCGTGCCGTGCGGGCAGTGTTTGGGCGGGGGGTCGAGCGTTAACTGTGAGTGAAGCTTCCGTTGGCAGTAGACCGCGAGAGACGCGCGGGACTTTGAGTTTACGATGCTGATGCGCTGAGGACGTGTATGTGCACAGTCGCGATGTACACCCGCGCGAGTAGGTCCGACTACGATGATTGGGAGACTGTATACGGGAACGTGGGGTGGGGCTCTAACGACCTCGTCCCTCTCCTTGAGAAGGTGCTTGTGGCGCTTGCCCTTACTAGACCGCAATCTCTGACCGTCTATGGTTCCCACTCAGACTGAGACATACCAAGTTGGCCCCGATGCGCTAAACCACGGCTACGAGGGCCCGCTCAAGATATCCTATGGTGGGATCTATACGGACGCTGGGCAGCAGTTCCTTGAAGCCGCCGCCGTGTACGACAAGCAGCGGACGGTCGGCGGGGACCCCAACGATCTGGTGTCGGTTAATAAATATGGCGTGCGTAGATTTCCTGTCCCATTCGAGTAGCTGCGTCGGCGTGATCGGTGATGCTAACGCGGCGATGTGATGCGTATCAGCGATGGCAAAAGTGAGCGTGTTTCCTGTCTTCTGTCCTGCATTCTTGATACCCGAACCCTGCTCGATCGCTCGACCGCCACGAGTCGGGCCTGTTTGCCTCTGCTTCTGCTTCCGTCTCTGCTTCCGAGTCTGCTCTTGTTTTGGTTCCGGTGTTTCCTAACTGGGCGAGTCATGTGGCTGAGGCGGGGGCAGATCGCTGATAGAACGCGTGCGCGGTTTGCTTCGCAGGTGGATCGACGCGAAGACGGGGCGGCGCTCCGACGTGCCGCACTACTTCATCTACAACCAGGCGCACAACGAGCGCCTGCACGTCGTCACGAGCGTGCACGTCAACCGCGTCCTCCTTGAGTGCGCGTTTTGCCTTAGTTCTCCCATGCGTAGTTTCGCTGATCGTGAGTGGTTGTGCTTGAAAATTGGATCTTCGCTGTTTGCAGAGGCGCGCGCGCTGTGGGCGTCGAGTTCCGCTGGAATAAGCGCTTTCTTCCCGATGCAGATGACGAGACGCACACCGTGCGCGCGCGCCGCCTTGTCGTTCTTTCTGCAGGCTCGTTTGGGTCTCCCGGGATCCTGGAGCGCTCTGGAATCGGCGCAGCGGATGTGCTGAGCAAAAATGGAGTAAAGCAGGTCGTTGATCTTCCTGGGGTGGGCGAGGGATATCAGGGTGCGTGGACTTCATCTTTGAAGTTCTCTTGGTGAGTATGCGCGCTGAACTATTTTTTTATGGCCCGTTGTCAACCTTGGCAGACCACAACGTCGTTTTTGTGCCATATGTTGCTGCGCCAGAGGCGGAGACGCTCGATGGCATCGTGCTGAGCGACCCTGACGTGATTGAGCGTGTGTAGTTTAGGCTCCATCTCTCCATTCAACCACAAGATGACATTTTGAGATAGTCACGTCGAATGAATGGCTCAAGAGCGGCCAGGGGCTCATGGCGCATAAGTACGCTCGTTCACGCTCGGTGATGTTAACGATGGCCAAAATTGAAGTTGCATAATTTTTTTGCACGCAGCGGCATCGATGCCGGCGTCAAGATTCGCCCCACGCCAGAGGAGCTCGAGGCTTGGGGGCCTGAGTTTCGGAAGCGATGGGAGAGCTACTTTGCGCCTGCGCCGGACAAGCCGGTGCTGTGGATGGGCCCGGCATCCATGTGAGAAATTCCCTCTTCGTCCTCGTCTCTTTCCTGCCGGCTAAGCAATTCAATTCTCGATAGGCTCGTGGGAGATTGGTCGGTCGCGGAGCGCCAGAAGTATTTCAGCATGGCGTATTTTAATGTACGTCAGACTGCAGATAGTGAGGGTCCAGATGTGAAGGAAACTGACGGTTTGGTGGCTATAGGAATATCCCGCTGCCCGAGGTCATGTCCACATCACGTCTGGCACCGACGTGACAGCCCCGACCGATTTCGAGCACGGCTTCCTCGAAGAGTACGCACGCTTCCTTCTGGACACGTTAGCCACCATTGAAAATTTGTGGTGCACAGCGTGGCAGACGTGCGCCCGCTTGTGTGGGGATACAAGTTCTCGCGCGAGCTCGCGCGCCGCATGCCACTCTTCCGTGGCGAGTACGCCCCGCTGCATCCTAAGTTCCCTGAAGGGAGTGCTGCGGGCATCGTCGTCGGTACGGAGGGCGCGGGCCCAGGCCCGGTGCCATTGGACGCCCCAGATTTGTTGTACGATGAAGAGGACGATCGCGCGATCGAGAAGTACACGAGGGAGTTTGGTGAGTCAGCGCTGTTGACGGAATCGGCGGGCCTTGGTCTCACTGTTTTTGTTTGTGGCGTTCAGTATCCACCGCGTGGCATGCGGTGAGTTTTGGCGGCTGTACAGATCTTTGTTCACTACAAGTGTTGATGGCGCATTGAACGATGTAGCTCGGTACCTGTGCAATGAAGCCACGAGCCGAAGGCGGTGTTGTCGATTCGGAGCTGAATGTGTATGGCGTCGAAGGCCTCAAGATTGCCGGTAGGCCAGCTTCTTCGCGTTGCAGATGCACAGCCTCTCATATTTTCTTTTCCCGCTCCGTTTGACCACTCAGATTTGTCGGTATGCCCCGGGAATGTTTCTGCGGTGAGTGCCAGTGCGTGGACGCCCGTACGATGTCATGTTTAATTGCTGTCTGGTTCGGTTGTTTGTAGAATACGTATTCGACGGCGCTCGTTGTGGGAGAGAAGGCTGCGATGATCATCGCTGAGGAGCTCGGGATCAAGGGGGTGTGATACACAGGCTTCGAATGACAGAGGTTCAAACGACAATGCTGTACGTATGCCGTATGTGAGATGAATTGACAGGAACAGGCCACAACGCTTGGTACTGAGCGGAGAGTCAATACTCGTGTAGGTGGTTGTGGCATGCTTGGGCCACCGAGCCACCTTCGCTTGTGTCAAGCTTTATAAAGGGTGCAGGACGCGCGCCTTCTGTTCCCCATCTTACCGTCTCCTCCTTGCGATTTTACCCAGCCAAAGTCAACTCGCCGCGACAACAGACCCTTTCCACTATCATCATCCCAGTCACAACTCTACTTGGCCATGTCTCTCCAGAACATCACTGACTTCGGCTATAACCTTACAGCTTATCTAGAAAGTCAGTTTGTTTGCGAAGATTCATTGGAGTGTTATTGATCGTATCGGCCTATAGATATCAAACTCAAGAGTAATATCAAGAACAGAACCACAGATAGAGTATGCTCCGATCGTTTCGTGACCGTTTCTGTCGACGATCAGCAGTGGCAGGGGAGCAAACGCTCTTCTGGGCAGGAACTTTCTTGGTCGCCGGACCATCTTCTGTATGTTTTCTATTAGGATTCGGAGCGTTTATGCTGCTAATGTCGAGTGTCATGCTAGACGAATGCGCGCGTCGTCGAGGGTCAAAATCGAGGTGTTCCGCAATACGCTGGTTCCGGGCGAGAAGTACTTGCTGGGGTGTAGCATTGAGAGGGTAATGGACCTCGTCAGATTCGGTGCGTCTCTGTGATTTGAAAGCACATCTAGGTGTTCGAATTCGTAGTCAATATGGCTCATGCAACGACAGGCGGGCACTTTGGGATTGCTGGAGTTGGTGGGGTGGTCAAGCTCCGCTTCGTTCCCTATCGCGCACAAGACGCACCAGAATCAGACGCCCTTGCTCCGCACCTGCTATTTGACAAGCTCTCGGACCGGATAACGGCCTGTACCTCTGTGTCTCAAGGTGGCGATGAGGGTAGCCAGCAGGTTGATCTCTGGGTCCGATCACTCGCCCGTGCAGCCCAAAGGACGTCGGACTTGATTGAGCTACTTGACATTGTATGTTCGTTGCGGCTGTTTGGTCTATTCCGTCACACTGATCACGAATGTGATTTGAATCAGTCTGACCAAACACCCAAGTTCTTTTGCCTCATCACCATCTCGGTATGCGAGGTAAGTGGCTTGCCGTTTGACTGTATGATCTGGAGCATCATCCTTAATCACGATGTCTAGAATCTGAAGGCGAAGATAGCTTCACTATCCAAGCCGGCTCCCTATTTCCTGGTCGATGCAATGGCGTACTTGGACGAGGTCACATCTCTGGATGCACAGAATCCAGAGTTCTTGCCAAAAACCTTCGAACCTGCCAACCTTCTCGGTTTGATGTCAATGACAGTCGCTGTTCTTATTGATGAGCATGTATACTCGTCCACAAGTGAGCAGGACATTGCTTTCTCTTTTTGTGCCTTATGTGACTTATTGTTGTTATCAAAGCACAAATCGACGAAACAATGACCAAGCACGTAGAGGATATCAAAGAAATCAACGAACTTCTGAAATGGCGTTTGAATTTCCAGTTAAATTTGGACACATGCAGAGTAGTTCAGCGGATGCAATACCGTAGGCCGGTCAATATTGCTTTATCATGACATCAACTGACACCCGGATTCTTCGTCAGAGTTGCGCCGTGATAAACTTTTCCAGTGGCTAGATGCTCCAGATCCCTCACGGATATTTAACGAAATGAAGGACAAGCATCACCCCACAACATGCTCATGGTTGCTCAACGGAGACAAGTTCTTGAAGTGGAAGGAGACCACAGGGTCAGTCCTGTGGGTATATGGGCCTCGTTCGTACTTCTTACAGTTCTACTTCTTTTGTCCCAATAACTGAGATCTCTCTCCATGTAGCGGGATGCGGAAAAACTGTTTTGTGGTGAGTAGCAGCAGCAGCTCTCATTTTTCTCAGAGTGTGACGTAGAGACTGATGTACAATCTGTACAGCTCAGCGACGAGAGACGACTCGGTCCCGATGGTTTATTTCTTCTTTAATAAGGGAGAGAGCGCCTTCCTGCAGCACGATGGCCTTATTCGTTCGCTCGTCAAGCAATTGCTTGTGCAATGCGAGCCTCAATACGATCCGGAGGTGTCAACCCACTGGCAACCATCCCTCAAGTATCTCTATACCTTGCTCCGGCAATTGCTGGCCAAATTCGAGCGGGTATATGTGGTCGTAGATGCTGTGGACGAGTGTCTCGAATTCTATACACTTCTTGACTGGATTCAAGACTTCACCAGCTGGAACGAGTTCAAAGCTCACGTACATCTTCTCGTCACGAGCCGAGACGAGATACATATTCAGGACTGCCTCTTATCACTCAGCACTATCCAAGTATACATGGGGCGCAAAGTGGTCGACCCGGACATTCGGACCTTTATAGACTGCAAGTTGCAGTCGGGGCGTATAACCAAACGGTGGGGCGAGGAGGAGAGGAAAGCAATTCAGGCAGATATCTCGGAAGGGTCGCAGGGAATGTGCGTCTTTTGTGATATCCTTCTATGCATAAGCATTGTATTGACAAAGCTTAAACAGATTCAGAAGGGTCGACTATTTCCTAAAGAAACTGGGGACCTGCTACAATAAGCGAGAACTGAATAATGCGCTGGGGGAGATCCGGAATCGCAATACCTTAGGGCTGAACCGCATTTATGACTGGTAGATACCTTGTCCTCGAATTCAGAATCCAGATCAGTCCTTTTGAAGAGATCTCCCCTTCTTTCTCCCACGTGCAATTTATTATTAGTAGGATTGCTGTAGCTAATAGCATGAAATTCTTGGATAAGACTGTCCCCCATTGTCTAAAAGATGTGGCATGTTGCTGAAATGGCTTATTCTGGTTTGAATAATAGTAATTTTGTCGATGGAACTGTTTGATAAGAGTGTTCTTCATTTTTTTTTTCAAGGTAGGGTATCTTCCGAACATCCTTGTAGACAAAATGCGTGATGTTACCATCACCTGCAGCCAATCATGTAGAGACAAGAACAGTTTCCAAAGAGCGTCAAAACTCGGAACGTGAGGGATCCCTCAATCACGTGCGAGAAAGTCGTTCCGCTGTTGCGAAATCGGCCGCTCTGTCCAGCATTCAGATATTCAGATGGCTGGGAGCAGCTGTGAGTCTGGGGCCCCATTCCAGTTTGCTGATGCCGTCCCGCACTCTCAATCAAAAGTGGCATACAGGTCGCCTACACAGTCACGGCCATCAGCAGCTCTGGAACATACGATCAACGCCTTCTCCTCAATCAACCTCCTTTGAGGCCTTCATCTATGGCCCCCAATAGACGTGGTGGGACAGAGACAGGGCCTTCGGGGTTTGAAGCTAGGCTAGAAGCCATAGCGAGTTGTAGCCGTCTTCAACTTTCCCTCCAGCATGTGTCCTCTCATCCCAGATGCAATGGCCATCTCCAAGTCCTTCTTGCCCAATATTTACCAAGGATATTGGCATCGTGCTGGTGATCAATCCTTGATGCTCAAATACCTTGCTAGCCCATGAAGTAGAAGGGAAACGAGCCGGGCGCTAGTTTCGGGGCTAAAAGTAGCACAGATATCACTACCACGGTCCACAACTGGACCATACGATCAACGCTTTCCACTCAGCGTACCCTCCTTGAGATCTTCCACGACGTTGATGCCTTTCCCGATTGATGATACTCAAGAACACAAACACCCATCACCATCGGGGCTTGTTGCTCGATTAACAGGTGAGTCGTTCGTTGTAATCTATGACATCGTGCAAACATGAATTCCATCAATAGGCATTGAAATTGAAGGCACCTTTAAAGGATCAGGACGCGGCGATCACATTGTGGTTGTATTTATTGACGACCAAGAGAAGTGGAAATCGAAGAAATGCTCTGGCGGTTCACGACTGCATTGGCAGGAGGATCATCGCTTGTAGGTTTTCAACGACCACGTCTTGATCATCCACGAATAACAAGGTGTTTATCTAGATGGCTTCATCCCTCGTCGAGTATCAAAGTCGAAGTCTTCCGCAAAAGCAGGGTTCCCGGAAAGGTGCACCTGCTTGGACATTCCTTGGGGAGCGTCGTCGATTTTCTCGGAAGCGGTCAGTCATATATATCATCTACCATTGAAGTACAACCAATGCTTCAAATAGATGCTGCTATGGACTTGCTGGATGATACTGGTGTTGTCGTTGCCGGCGTCAAGCTCAAGATTTTGCTCTCGCTCGTCTCTGACTCTGCACAGGATACAATGGGAAGGGTCGATGCAGTTATATCTCAACTCGATGATAGTATATTGTCAAAGATCTCCAAGAGCGTTGATGCGTCCGCTACTGTCGCCACAGGTGCATATTCATCCGCAGACGCGGCTAGCAGCTGCATACCATCTCTTGGACAGGTATTCGAAGCGGTCGTCAAAATTGCCCGCACATTCAGTGACGTGCGTCCATCTCACCTTCCTCACACTTCGTGATCTCATTGTCCTTCTGTATTGCAGACTCATCCGATATTGAAAGTCTCATGCACAGTCCTCTTATCGGTGTACGAGGTGTGTAGTCTGTTGTTGTAATGTTACAGGAATGTCGTTTACAATGGGCTTCATCAAAGGCATGGAAAAATGAGTTACTTCAGGATCAGTATGTTCAAAACCTAGCAGACTCTCTGCGCGAGATGGTTTTTGCTGCCAACGAGTGTCCCGATCTATCGGTCATCAAAGGCACGGAGGATGTCATCGAAGCAATCGGCCGAGTTTCGTTGGAGATTGCTTCTTTCATCGACGAGTACGCAAGACGAACCTTCGCAGGTCAGTCTATTGCATGGCTTTGTTAAGGTCTTTCGTGTTGCTAAGTTCTTCGTCCAAACTCTACAAGTGCGAGCTGTGCGAGATGCGTTGTCCAGTGACATGAAGACTCGTCTCGAGTTGTTCCAGGCACGCTGCCACAATCTGAGGGGGAAATTCAACAATCGAATAGTCATTGGCATGCACAAGATGCTCAAGGACGGGAAGCTTGGTAAGCGGTTGACCTCTAGCCCGGGCTGTCTATCGTGGACGCTGACTGAAGAGTCGATTGTGACATCAGCCGAGCGACACGAGAAAATTCTGCAGTGGTTAAGTGCACCTGATCCTTCACGAAACTATAACAATGCGCGAGCGAAACATCGAGAAGGGACCGGCTCCTGGTTCCTCACTGGAAGGGAATTTTCACATTGGAAGAACAGTTCGGGGTCGCTGTTATGGGTCCACGGAATTCGTACGCATCTTCCAGATGGTATAACTCTTGCTCGAACGCTGAAGTACTTGCTCAGCTGGATGCGGCAAAACAATTCTATGGTGAAGACTCCAAGTAGCATCTCCGAGCTTGTATAGACTAATCTGCATTCATTCAGCTCGTCTGCCATTGAGGATGTCATGGCTCATTGTGCTCCTGACCAATCTGCAGCGGTCGCGTACTTCTTCTTCGACTCCAGGGACGCACAAGAAGGTCTTCAACGCCACGAAGGTCTTGTCCGCTCTCTCATCAAGCAGTTCACTCTGCAATGCACTGCTATGCCAGACGCGCTGGAAGAGTTATACGAAGGGGGACATTCACAGCCATCCCTCAAGGCCCTTCACGACACTCTTCGGCTCATTCTCGGTCTCTTTACGAACGCATACGTGATTATAGACTCTCTTGATGAATGCTCGTCAAAGTTGATAGCTCATGAAGAGCGTTCGGAGAGATCGAAGGTCCGCAGTTGGATGAAGGAAATTAGCGACTGCAACGAATTCAGCCAACACACGCATCTTCTCGTGACTAGTAGGGATGAGCCAGACATACGCCAGTCACTGCAATCATTGGGTGCTGTTGATGTTTCCGTCCAAGGCGAGGCGGTCGACGACGATATTCGACGATATCTTGAGCACAAATTACGGACAGACGACGAGTTGAAGATATGGGAAGCCGAATCGGAAGAAATTCAAGCAAAAGTGCTATCGATGTCCCAGGGAATGTACGATCTTTTTATTTCTATATTCGGCTCCACAGCTAACATGCCTTGTGAAGGTTTCGATTGGCCGCTCTACAGTTGGAGGAGCTACGAGATTGCCACAGCCTGCATCAATTAATGGAGCAGCTTAATAATCTCCCGCGCAATTTACACGAAACCTATGACCGAATCCTTGCGAAGCTCAGCGAAAAGGACTGCGATAGTGCATGGAGATTTCTGCAATGGTTGGCCTTTTCGCCTTGTCCGCCACGACTTGAGGAGCTAGCCGAAATCACCTGCATTGATCTGGACGCAAAACCGTACCCCTGTTTCTGTGCTCGCCTGCGTTACACAATGAAGCGCGTTTTGATCATTTGTAGTAGCCTTATTGTTAGCTCGGCTGAAGGTATTGTGAACCCTTAGCTTCGGCGTGGAATAAACTTGCTGATGATTAGAAGGAGAGATCAAGCTGGCGCACTTGTCCGTCAAAGAATATCTCTTTACCTCCCCTTCCCATAAATTCCGCTGTATCGACGAGAAGACATCGCACTCGTTGATGGCTCAGACCTGCATCGCCTACCTTCTGCAATTTAACACCGTCGATGTTTTAAACCAAAACACGCTCAAGAATTTTCCCCTTGCATCACACGCAGCAAAGTATTGGACTTATCACGCTAGATATGGAGCAGATGACCGCATGGGCGCTCTGCAAAAGCTCATCAACACATTGTTCTCAGTTGATTCTGATGGTCCATTTGTCTCTTGGATTCGGCTGCATGACCTCGATGCAATCTGGAAAGAAATCGACATGGAAAAGTTGCCCAGCGGCTCTCGCCTATACTATGCTTCACTTGCCGGTCTGCAGGAAACATTATTGGCCCTACTAAAGGGGGGTGCAGATCCGGATGCGAAGGGAGGGCTCTACGACAGTGCACTGCAAGCAGCGGCATCGGGAGGTCATAGGGAGATTGTGCAGTCACTTATCGAATGGGGTGCAGAGGTGAATGCACGAGGCGGTTATTACGGAAGCGCACTGGGGGCGGCGGCATCGGAGGGTCATGAGGAAATTGTGCGTTTACTGCTGGAGAAGGGTGCAGAGGTAGATATGCAAGATGGACATTACACCAACGTGCTGGAGATGGCGGCATTTCGAGCCCATGAAGGGATCGTACAACTGCTTCTGGACAAGGGCGCAGAGGCGAACGTGCAAGGCGGAGGTTACGGCGGCATGCTGCAGGTATTAGCGGCAGAAGGTCATGAGGCAATCATACGACTGCTGCTGGAGAGGGGTGCAGATGCGAACACGCAAGGTGGATATTATGGCAGTGGGCTGCAGGCAGCAGCATCGGCTGGTTACGAGGGAATTGTGCGACTGCTACTGGAATATGGCGCAGAGGTGAATTTGAAGGGAGGATATTATGGCGGTGCATTACAGGCCGCAGCACTGGGAGGTCAAGATGGAATCGTGCAATTGCTCATAGAGAAGGGTGCAGATGTGGATATGCTGGGTGAACGTTACGGGAGTGCACTGCAGGCAGCGGCATTAGGAGGGCGTAAGGGAATTGTGCAACTGCTGCTGGCGAAAGGCGCACGGGTGAACGCGCAGGGTAAACGTTATGGTAGTGCGCTGGGGGCAGCGGCACTGGGAGGTCATGAGGCAATTGTGCGACTATTGCTGGAGGAGGGTGCAGAGGTGAACATGGAAGGCGGATATTACGGCAGTGCACTACAGGCAGCGACATCAAGAGGCTACGAGGAGATCATCCAACTTCTGCTAGAGAAGGGTGCAAAGGTAAACATACATGGCGGACATCATGGCCACAGCGTGCTGCAGGTAGCAGATAGTGCAACTGCTGTTGGACAGGGGCGCAGAGGTCAACATGCAAGGTGATTTTAACGACAGCGCACTGGCGGCAGCGGTATCAAGAGGTCATGATGGGGTCGTGCAACTAGTCTTGGAGAAGGGTGCAGAAGTGAATGTGCAAGGTGGATATTACGGGAGAATACTGGAGGAAGCGGTATCAGGAGGTCACCAGGAGATTGTGTGACTGCTGCTGGAGAAAGGCATGGAGGTGAATATACAAGGTGTAGGGATCTCAGCAGTGCACTTCAGACCGCAGCATTGAGAGGCCATGAGAAGATTGCACAACGACTGGTGGAAATGGGTGCAAAGGTAAACATGCCTGGTGGACGTTACGGCAGTGCACTGGGAGCAGCGGCATCGGGAGGTCATGAGAACATTGTGCGATTGCTACTGGAGAACGGAGCAGACGTCAATGCGTCGGGAGCATTCGGAAATGCTCTCCAAATAGCGTCTACATTTCGCCGCCAGGCGATCGTCAAGCTGCTACTTGACCATGGTGCAGTGTAACCGGATGGCAAAGATCCGGAGCATAATGGAAATCATGTTTGAAACTTTAGATTCGGAATATGATGACACATTTGAGCTCGCTGCATGCATTTGGACGCTTGCTGAGCGCAACAAGAAAGTATCTTCAAGTCCGCGCGTCGCCACACCTGCTCCATGGACACATATTGTGGAATTTATAACATTTCTGCTCAATTCCAGCCTGATTTTATGCCAAAACGATTTTTTAATCAGATCATGATGTAATCCAAGCACACTTTGTGCAGAAGTCAAGGAGCACATTCCTATTTTCATTTAAGATTTATCTGTAGATCTCATACTGATTCTTTTGGTCAAGAAATCATCAGGCAATCAGTCTGGAATCACCGATTCCATCGAACTTTGCCTGCGGTGACTGCAATTTGACACCGTGGACCTCTTACACGAAGAGACTTGCGAGAATTTCCCACTTGCACCCTACCCCGCAGAATATTGGATCTCTCACGCTAAATCTGCAGCAGATGGCGGCACGGGCACTTTGCAAACCCTTATCGACACAATATTCTTGACCGATTCAGATGGCCCTTTTATCTCTTGGATTCAGCTTCATGACATTGATGAGCGTTGGAGCGTGTCAACTGATGGTTCTCGCCTATATTATGCATCACTTGCGGGTCTGCAGGATGCATCATTGTCCCTCATCGAGGGTATTGCAAATCTCAACGCGGAAGGAGGGCGATTTCACAGTGCGCTACAGGCAGCATCATCTAACGACCACGAGCAGGTTGTGCAACTGCTACTGGAGCAGGGCGCGGACGTGAATATGCAAGGCGGATATCACGGGAGTCCGTTGCAGGCAGCGGCAAATGACGGCAACAAGTACGTTGTGCGACTGCTGCTGGAGCAGGGCGCGGACGTGAATCTGCAAGGCGGATATCACGGCAGTGCGCTGCAGACAGCGGCATATCGCGGCAACGGGCAGATTGTGCGACTGCTGCTGGAGCAGGGTGCAGACGTGAACCTGCAAGGCGGACGGTACGGAAGTGCGCTGCAGGCAGCGGCATATTGGGGCCGCGACCAGATTGTTCAACTGCTGCTGCAGAATGGAGCAGACCCCAAAGCAATGGGACCGCACAGAAGCATCCTCAAGACAGCACGTTGCCACCAATCGGTGGTCAAGCTGCTACTCGAGTACGGCGCAGAGTGGTTGGATGGAGAAGAGGATGAGCTGGATAGTGAAGAGGATTAGACGAATGGAGAAGAGGATTCGGAGCTTTGAAGAGGACAAATCCGATGGTGAAGAGGTCGAGTCGGATAGTGAGGAGGATGAACCAGGTAGCGAACATATACATATCGTATCTGCGGATTCGGGCTTATGATATGAGATCGATGACCAGAGCAAAGAGGTGGGAAAGAGCGCTCACTGTACTTAACGCCCTGCGTTCCAGCCCAATATATACATCTTAACGCTCCCAAGTGGAGCCTTGGCGAACAGTTGGCGTACTTACTATCGACATTCACTTGGAAGCTCTGCGATCGTGCCTTGGACCCCGCCACTTGATGTGACCAACTGCATTTTTGATGCTTGTGTTCTGCGTGAAGGGAGCCGATGTATGCTAGTTGTATGCTGCGTATGCAAATATATTAGCGTACAGTAGCGTACAGGTACGTGCCTATACACTAATGACCCATCTTCAAGTCCTCCTTTCGTGCTGTTCCTCTCCCGTATTACCCTTGCTCCTACGATCACATTTAATGCCGGCCCGGTCACCAGGCTCCCCCTCCATCGTAGCACGCTCTCGTCCTCGTCCCCTCTTCTCGCGTAGTCATTGTTCTGTTGAGACGCCTTTCCGGCTTGTCAACATCCATGCCTACCGCCGTATATCCACGCCCCAGTGTACATGTGACGTCCAGCCATCCCCAATCGCGACAAGCTCAGAGTATGCACGGTGCACAGCCGATGCATTCACGCCCATCTCGAGATGCATGCGTAGGGACCCGCGTGGAGTAGAACTCCGCGGAGAGGCGCCGTGGTAGCGAGTCAGAGTGAGCCTCGAGGTCGCGCCTGCTCCCGCGCAGAGACTTGATGGCAGTGTGCTCGTCTGAGAAATGCAAGAGCGCGACGGTTCGATGAGGATAGAAAACAGTACAGACGGTAATTGCGACTGGGGGAGAAGGATTCTATGTAGCAGGCAGACTAGCTGTGTTCGAATCAGCACAACAAGCATAGACGCTTGACAGCAGAGGGAAAGGAGGGAGGTAAGATATGACCTCGCGCACTATTCAAGAATCCACTGAGGAGTTGATGGACTACATAGGCCATGGCTCCGTCGCAAACCGGATGAGTAGCATACGCAGAATGACCTGAGAGATCGTATGGGATAACCAAGCAGCGGCAGGCAAGACCATGGCTCGGCCGCGGACGGGACTTCGAGGGATGGTCGTCGGTCGCACGTGCTTTCGGAGTCTGAACCAATCTAACAAAAGACGTTGTTGGACAAAGACAGAGCCTTCGGGGTTTGAAGATCGAAGCGAGTCGTAGCCTGTCGCAGCCATCTTCAAGTTTTCTCTCCTCCTCCATCGGCCTGTGTCCTCTCATCCCAGACGCAATGGTCCACGTCCTTCAGACCTGTCCAAATATGATGTGCAAGCTCCAATGGTCCCAACTTCCATACAGTAGGTAGTCCTGTCTTACCTCGCATAGCCCTTGTCCAATCTCTCGATGCGCTGTCTAAACATCGTCGAGGATAGATCGTTTCCAACTCTCGCGCATCTGTATGATATCATACCCATACTAGCTGCCTGAATCTCTCCGTTCACTATGTCCTTTTCGTTGGAATAAACTCGCTTTCCCGGCTGGTCCCACGCTGACACCATCGAGATGCTCAACTCGGCCCTGAAGACGGTTGCAAAGCCCTCCCCGTTGCATACCGTTTATATGAGTGCTGGTTGTGCGCGCCGAGATTGTGATTGCGACCGACCTGGACGAATGGCCAATGGACTGACTGACTGGCTTTGCCACCGCCAGAGCTCGAGATTCTCGATATCGGAGACTTGAGGACAGTTCAGGCTCGAAGGTGATTTTGTTCGACATGTGCGAGGGATGCACGCCGCACGACAGTCCAGGTGCGTACTCTATGCTCGTGTTGCATGTGTTGAGAGACCTCGCGCGTGCTGTCATACCTTTGCGCGCATGTCGACATGCCTTGGGAGTGCTTCTGTGCTGAACGCTGATTTAGACATCGAGGTTTCAAGAAAATGACAGCCCACTGCTCGCTCGTGCATGGAACAACTTGCTCGTCGCGGTCGTTTTTGTTCAGGATTTCAAGGTCAAGATCGTAGGGGTATGCTGTAACTTTAGAGATCTGGGCATCGATTCCTTCAAGGCGATGGTGCTGCCATATACCGGACGTAAGGGAGCTTATCATCTTCTTCAATGTATCACAGACAGATATAGGTTGCAATGAAGTAGATCGATCAAATAACCGTCCTCAAGTTCTCGGGAGAAACATAACGTCTCTTTTCGACGCGTCATGGTTTGATGTGGCAGGCTCATGCCAGATCCGCCACATCGCCGTTCAGGTCGCGTTGTGTCTGGCCCATGACTCCACCACCCTATTGTCCACCAAGGTGGCATCGCTTTTGTCGCCGCTTGGCGTTTGGCACATTGGTCAGCAGTAGACCGCTCACGCATATAAAGAGCCCTGCGCGAGAGGGGAACCTCAGTACACCCCACTTCATCTCTTCCACCCTCACTCACCCTCTGATCATTCTCACCTTCGTCCTCATACGCTCCATCTATATATCATTGTCCTTTACGGGCATGACTCTCGAGAATGCGGGTAGCTTCCCAATATATGGTCAGCTTGTCCATGACAGCTTCAGAAATGTTAACGAGGCGCTAATGTTAAACTGTCTCACACGTATCACATACAGCCTGCAGCATGTTCTACTATCCAGAGCAAAACTCTGACATGGATCTCTCCCTATATTCCGGCTACGACGGTGGTAGAGCACTGTCCAATCCAGAACCATCATCAGGCTCCATGCCACACGCCCTACCGGTATGTTTCTCACCTTCTGTGGCACCCGACATGGGTTCCTCATTCTCTCTCCTTGACTGGCTAGGCTTAGCAATGCCTCGCGCGGACATTCGCAGCGCGCAGCGGCTTTCTCCACGCCGATGCCATTCGACGTACTCGACTGCCTGGGTGAGAATCCCGATGCCGATCTCTAACCGTACGGCAACATGGGGCAGAATCACGGATATTCAGTGCCGGCGCGGAAGGAAACCCTTCTACGGACCTCTGCAGTCTCACATGCGCTGCTGGACACCTCTCCAACGCGTTGCTGGATACCTCCCCCACGCGTTGTTGGACACCTCAAACGCGCTGCTGGACATGCTCAAACGCGCTGCTGGACATGCTCAAACGCGCTGCTGGACATGCTCACAAGTGTTCGGGGCAACAATCTAGACGATTGCACAGGGGGTGGTCAGCAATCGAGCATGATGTCGGCCGTGCGGAGCCAGGCCGCGGTCATTGCGGTATGGTGATTCGTTTTGTGTTCGACTGTTCCAACATACGGAGTGAGCCTGAGCCCGTTTCGCACTCCCAGGATGGCACTGATAGTCTCTTTGCATCTTTAGTCCCTCGGCAATCACCTTGGGTGTCAGAGTGCGTGATACTCATCATGATGCCACCAATATCGCGGATGGCACTGCGAGCCGCCTGTAATAGACGGCACAATGCACTATGTATATGGTGCGGATGTCAACGCAAAGCAATCGCTCATCCGCAGCGGTATGTTGGTCATGATGCGTTGGGTTATTTCATTTATATCGGGAGGGGACTACAGCAGCTTGTATCTTATCAATTAAAAACAAGCATACCATTTTTATGTCACGAGAATGACCCGCATTGTTAGTCGGGTTAGGGACAGAGGCTGCAGGCTGTAGAGTCACCCGTGCCACCTTCCATTGTACATGAAGCTGAGAATGGCTTCGGTCGTGCAAAGCACCACACGCGAAATGTTGCCCTCTCAAAAACCTGAAGAAATTAGTCAGCCCTCCCTTGTGGAGCTCGCCTGATATTGGAGGGAACCCATGCAAGCTGGGTATGCAAATAATGATTAGTATACAATATATGTGCACGTACGCGTCTATATGCCAGGTCCCATGGCCACAGATCCTCCTTCTCCCTCCCTGCCCCCCCTTGCACCCTGTATGCCAACTGTCCGCTACTACGACCCCCACACCTCCGCAACCTCCCCCCTCTTCCCCTCCATCCGTCTCCCCGTCCACTCGTCCTCCCCGACCCTCCCCGCCCAGTCCTCGTCCCACTCCCACTCCCTGCCACCCTGCGCGCGCCCAGCGCCCAGCCCCTGCGCACTGCGTCCCTTCCCCGCGCGTCCCTTCCCCGCCGCGCCACGTTCGCCCATCGCGACGACGTCGGGCGAGTTCAGCGCCGGCGGGAACGGCGAGCGCGGGAGCAGCGGCGGGGGCGGCGAGCGGCGCTTGCGCGACACGCCGGGTCCGAGGAGCGTGCGCGGGACAGAGGCCGTGTGGCCGTGGCTGTGGCTGGAGGTGGGGACCGGGGAGAGGCTGGAGCGGCGCGCGGGGCCGGCGAAGAAGCTCTGGATGGAGGTGGGCGAGCTCGGGGCAGAGGGCGGCGGCGGGTAGGCGTGCAGCGCGGCGATGCTGTCCGTCGCGCGCGGGGTGGGGGACCCCAATGCGGATGCGGACCCCGAGCCGGAGCCGGATGCGGAGCCGGGGCGGGACTTGCGCTCGCCGTCGTTCGACGGGCGGCGGTTGACCTTGACGTCTGCGGAGTGCGAGCGGGAGCGCGGGCGCGGGCGGCGCTGGGCCTCGATGTCGCGCCGGCCGTCGTCGAAGTCCGAGTCGTCGGAGCCTGCGATGTCGTCGGACGACGGGCGGAAGAGGGGCTCGGCGAGGGAGGAGCGCGGGGAGTCGTTTAGGAGGACGGCGGAGGTGGAGGCCGGGGTGGAGGCTTTGACGATGGAGTCGATGAGCCAGAATTGGAGGACGTTCATGAGGATGGGGAAGAACCCCATCGTGCTGGTCGCGTGATATGATCAGTGTCATGATCATGGTAGAAGGTCACAGAGGAAGAGCATACAATATAACCTGGAGCACGTCGTCGTTGCCGAGCCAGCTGAGGAGCCACTCGCCGAGCTTGAAGATCCCGGGCCACAGCGCGAAGAGGGCGACGACGAGGAGTTTCATGGAGGTGAGGGCAAAAACGTAGACGGCTGCCTGACGGATCCAGAATTTAAAGGAGGGTGGGGAGCCGTATTGGCCGGACTCGAAGCCTTTGAGCATGAGCTTTTCGGCCAGGGCCCAGGTGGCGATATGGAGGACGAGGTAGATGAGAGCCACGCCTGGCAGGATCAGCAGTGGAAAGAGTAATGATGAGGAAAAGAAAAGACGGGGAAAGGGGAGAAGGGATGCAGGCTCACCGATGGTTGTGTCCAAGAGTATATTCAAAAAATAGAATACGCAGGCGTTGCCCGCAGAGCGATGCGAACCAACGTCTGAGATGAAGACGTTGACGCCGTGTACGAACATTTGACCGACAATCTGTTTCGATACATCAAACAGCCTATGGTGTCGAATTCACAACGACTGCATAAGACTGCTGGGCACATCGCGAGGCGGAGGAAGGAGGACGAAGAGACAGACCAGATACGCCATGGGCGTTTCGGCTTCTCGCGCTGCCGTTTGAAGAGCAGCGAGGCAATCACGACGATGCCCATCATGCCTTGGACGATCTCAAAACAGGATGATCAAACGGAGCAGAGCGCACGCGCTTCAGGATTTGAATCGCGAGCGAGGGGGTGTTTCTGAGATGCGCACCAGAGCGGTTGGACCGAGGAGCTGACATGATGTCTGGTCGACGGGATAATCCTCTGGCGGGCCTCCCTCTGGGGGAATGGTGGCCGCTGGCAAAGGCATGGAGGGGACGGAGAGGGGATGTGTTCGGACGACGTGCGAGGCGTTGGCAAGCGTCGGCGGGGCGGCAGCCAGTAATAGCCCTTACGTAACGAGATGATGTCCCCGAGATGGACCAAGCAGCTGCACCGCCCATCTATCCGTCCTCCACGTACACAACCCTCCTCCTCCTCCTCTTCGCCATCGCACTCACGACGCACATTGAACGACATTCAGACGATACTGTCCTAGTCTGATCGTCCATGAGTAGCTTCTTCAACAGGTCTGGCAACCCGCCCGCGCAGCAGCCTGCACGAGGACAATCCCCGTACTCAAGAGTACCAGACAGCTCACAATATTCGCTCCCTTCTGGTCCTCGCGGCGCCCCTCGCCCGCCACCAGCACGCTATGACGACCCCGGTGCATACGAGAAGCGGTCGTACGACCGAAAGCCTCCACCGAGCGTGGGCGGCGGAGGAACGTGCGTTGTGACGCACTTCGATATCGGCTGAGCGGTGAAACTGACTAGTCTATGCGACCGTGGCTTGGATGGCACAGATTTGGCGTCGAGGCGTGTCCGAGTAACGCTCTTGCGCTGACCAACTGCATCATCGTCCACCCTGCCGACTTTCCCAATGGCGAGCACGTCCTTGTCAAGGGGCAGTACCCTCTAACAACACGGTAAGCGCATATAGCTACCTTCCCACCCTTCCACCCGTCTTAATCACGATTTGCTTCCCAGCCACGACAACACCGGCACTCTTTCTCGCGGTACCATCGGCGCCTCCGCCATGCAGCGCCAATGGATCGGTCTCTCCGTCTCGGGCGACAGCGTCTCCGTCCAGCCTACCACCCCCGCCTTCCTACAGGATATCACCATCGAAGTCGGCTTCCTCAAGCGCGGGCTCGAGATCGCCGAGCAGTTCTCTGCGGACGACATGGCGCGCTCCTTCGTGAACGCGTTCGGCAACGTCGTGTTTGCCGTCGGGGAGCTGCTCGTGTTCGAGTATCACGGCCAGAACCTAAAGGCGACCGTCAAGTCCGTCACGCCGCTCGAGCTTGCGGACGAGCAGAGGAGGGGCGCCGCCGCCGCGCAGGGCGGCGCGGGGCAAGGAATGGGGATCGTGATGGAGAAGACGGACGTGACGTTCATGAAGGACCCCACGACCGCGATCAAAATCAAGTCGAGTGCCAAAAAGTGCGCCCTCTCTCTTTCTCTCGGAAGCGTCATGGCGCGCGTGCGTGAGGACGGAGGGTGACGACGACTGTTGTGTGCTGCTCAGGGCCGCGCCGAATGCGATCTTGGCGCCGAACTTCAAGTTCGCGGATATGGGCATCGGTGGCCTCGACTCGGAGTTCAGCGCCATCTTCCGTCGTGCCTTTGCGTCGCGCGTGTTCCCTCCCGGCCTTGTCGAGAAACTCGGTATCCAGCACGTGAAGGGTATGTTTGAAGCCCTCATCCTCCCAGGCATTTCATCTCTGACTATTGAGTAGGTATACTGCTGCACGGTCCTCCCGGAACGGGTAAGACGCTCATGGCGCGTCAGATCGGAAAAATGCTGAACGCCCGCGAGCCCAAGATCGTGAACGGCCCCGAAATCTTGAACAAGTACGTCGGCGCGTCGGAAGAAAACATTCGTAAGCTCTTCGCCGACGCCGAGAAGGAGGTCAGTGCACCGGGTTTTCTCTCCCTGCACTGATAATGATCGTCCTCCAACGCTCGATTACAGTACAAAGAGAAAGGCGACGAGAGCGGACTGCATATCATCATCTTCGACGAACTCGATGCCGTATTCAAGCAGCGTGGGTCCACGAACAGCGGCACTGGTGTCGGGGACACCGTTGTGAACCAGCTGCTCTCCAAGATGGACGGTGTCGACCAGCTGAACAACATCCTCATCATCGGCATGACGAATCGGATCGACATGATCGATGAAGCGCTGCTCCGCCCCGGCCGCCTCGAGGTGCACATGGAGATCTCGCTCCCGGACGAGAATGGGCGCGCGCAGATCCTCAACATCCACACTTCGAAGATGCGCACGAACGGCGTGATGGACGAGGACGTCGACCTCGCGGAGCTAGCCGCGCTCACGAAGAACTTCTCGGGCGCGGAGATCGGCGGCCTGGTCAAGAGCGCGACGAGTTTCGCGTTCAATAGGCACGTCAAGGTCGGCACTATGGCGGGCATCTCGCAGGACGTGGAGAACCTGATGGTGAACCGCGCGGACTTCATGAACGCGCTGGACGAGGTGCACCCCGCGTTCGGTGTGTCTGAGGAGGAGCTGCAGCAGGTCATCCAGAACGGGATCATCCACTACGACACCGTCGTCGAGGTGCGCGCTTTTCTCTCCCCCTCTGACCCTGACCGACCGATGATGTCCGTCTACCGCGTATAGGAGCTCCTGCGCACAGGCCAGCTCTTCGTTGAGCAGGTGCGCACCTCGACACGCACGCCTCTCGTCAGCCTGTTGCTGCATGGCCCGCCGGGGTCGGGCAAGACCGCGCTGGCGGCGACGATTGCGCAGGCGTCGCAGTTTCCATTCATCAAGCTGATCACGCCCGACAACATGGTCGGGTTCTCCGAGCCGCAGAAGATCCAGGCGATCTCCAAAGTGTTCGCGGACAGCGCGAAGAGCCCGATGAGCGTCGTCGTCGTCGATAATATCGAACGGCTGCTAGGTGCGTGAATTTGGAGACTGTGAGAGTGCATATGTGTTTATTGTTTCTGCTTCGTTTCAGACTGGACGCCCGTGGGCCCGCGGTTCTCTAATTCCGTCCTGCAGACGCTCATGGTCCTCATGGGCAAGCGTCCTCCCAAGGTAAGCCTCTCGTCAGCGCCCGCCCGCCCTTCCACCTAGCGCATCTGACATCGCTAACCACACACCAGGGCCGCCGCCTCCTCGTGATCGCGACGACCTCCCTCCGGCCGATGCTCACCGACCTCGGGCTCGCCTCGTTCGACTCGGAGCTGCGCGTCCCACCGGTCACGCACCTGCGCGCGGTCGACCACGTCCTCAAGGCCGTCGACCTCTTCCCGACGCGCGAGGAGCGCAAGCGCGCGATCCAGATGCTGCAGCAGGCCGGGCTCGGCGACGGCGACGCGCTCGGGGACGTGGACGGCTACGGCGAGGAGGGCGCGAGCACGGGCGGGCGGCTGAACATCGGCATCAAGAAGCTGCTCAGCGTCGTCGAGATGGCGCGGCAGGAGCCCGAGGCGGTCGCGGAGCGGCTGACGAGCGCGCTGATGGGGCTTGGCATGTAGTCGCCGCCTTTGTGGTGGCGTAGCGTTTGTTGTACGGACCATGGCAGCTTGAGTTACGCGGATGTAAGTACCTGTAGGAACTAGATATTATTTAATGCATACACACACGCCTCTCGTGTCCCACATGGGTCGGCATGTATTATTCCAAAGCAACACGCCGGGAGCAGGGAGGAAGTGCTGGTATAGTATATCATTGCGGTATCATAGACAGCATGCAGCATAAATAGAGCGAGACGATGCTTTGAGGATAGCCAGGACGGTAATCAAGAAAGAGAAGGAAATACAGAATCGACAGAGAAATACGGAGAAGAAAAGAAAACAGACGAAGGTGAAGATGAAGACAGATCCAAGGACGACACACGCACGCACGCACGCACACACACACACACATCACATACCACTCACCCACGCGCTCACTTCTTGCCCATCCCACGAAGCTGCGCGCGCAGAGCCCCGTTCTCCGTCTGTATCGAGTTGAGCTCCTCCAGGAGCGCAATGCGCTGCACCTGCTCCGCCATGCGCATCTCCTCGACCTCCGCCTGCGCGCGCGCGAGCGCCCCGCGCGCCTCGGTCAGCTGCGCGTCCGCCTGCCGCCGCGCGCCCTCGCCCGCGGCCGCGGCCTCCTCCGCGAGCGTGAGCGTGCGCGCGCTCAGCGCGTTGTTCGCGTCCGTCAGCTGCCGGCATGTCTCGGCCTGCTCCGCCGCCTGCATCTCCACGTCGCGCTTCTCGGCCGCGATGCGCTCCACCGCATCCTGCAGCTCCTGCACCTGGTCCTGCCTGCGGTGCACAACGCCAAGGAAAAAAAACGTCAGCAATGAGCTCGACATCAAAGAGAGGCGGCGGCGACGCACATGGCCGCGTGGCGCTGCGCGAGCGTGAGGTTGCGGTCCTCGAGCGTCTTCACCTGCCGCTGATACGTCTCGAGCGCGGCGTTGCTCTCCTGCGCGAGCTTCTGCGCGCGCTCTGCGTTCTTCTTCAGCAGGTCGTGCGCCTGCGCGAACCGGATCAGCCGCTCGATCAGCGCGCGGTCGTCCGCGACCAGCGCCTGCACCCGCGCCGCGAACGCCTCCACCGTGAACGCGCCGACGCCCGGGGCCCCGCCAGAGCCGTTCGGCGCCGCCGCGGCGGGCGTGTAGAGCGTCTTGAGCGAGCGCACGTCCATGTCCGAGATCGACGCGCCCGCGCCCCCGGCCCCGTTCGCGCGCGGGCTGGTAGGCCCCGCGGTCGGCGAGCCCGTGCGGAAGCGCACACCGCTGCTGCTCGAGCTGGGGTTCATCTTCGCGCGCGCCTCGGGCGACGGCAGGATGCCCCACACAGGCTGCAGGATCGCGACGATCTTCGCGGCGTCGCCGGTGTACTCGACCGGGGACATCGGTGCGCGTTGCGCTGCGAGATCCGCAAAGCGGTCGGCTTGCTCCTGGTGGGGCCGAGTAGGGGCGTCAGCGAGGGGTGGACGGGGGCGCATGCGTTGCTTACCCTCAGGCGCGCCTCAAGCTCCTTCGTGTCCACGCGCGCGGCGCTCAGCTCCTGCATCAGCGCACGGCGCTGCTCTGCATCTGCCTCAGCCTGCGCCTCCAGCCGCCTCCGCGCCTCCACGTCTTCCCGCCTGCCTGCGCCGCCGCCACGCGTCTCCAGGTGCTTCCCGATGCCCGTCACGAGCGCCGACAGCGTCAGCTCGCGCGAGAACATCGGAATGTCGTGCGCCTGCGCGAGTGCGCGCAGCTCCTCGCGCGCCGCGTCCACCTCGTCCTTCTGCCGCTCAACCAACTCTTCCCGCTCTGCCGCCCACCGCGCGCGCTCCGCGTCCGCCGCCGCGCGCACGCGCTCCATCTCCGCCCGCAGCTGCGCCGCCTCCTCGTTGCCCTCCGCGCGCGCTGTGGCTGCGATCGTCTGCAACTGCACCGCCTCGCCGCTCTGCTCCTCCAGCACCTCGAGCCGCCGCTCCAGCACCTCGACCTCGCGCTCGCGCTCGTCCAGCGTGCGCCTGTCCCGCTCCCACGCGCCGCGCTCCTCCTCGAGCGCACGCACCCGCTCCTCCATCTCCTCCGCACGCGCCGCCGCCTCCTCCGCATCCACGCGCGCCTCCTCCGTGCGCTGCGCCTCCACCCCGAGCATCGCATCCGCGTTCTGCTTCTCCGCGCGGACCATCGCCAGCTCCTGCGCCGCGACCGCGCGTTGCGCCTCCGCCGCCTCGAGCGCCTCGCGCGTGCTCCGCAGCTTCTCCTCGAGCGCGCCCACCTCCGCCGCGCTGAGCGGGCCGCGCGCGCGGCGCGGCGCGACCGCGTTCTCGTGCCCCGCGAACAGGTGCGCGCCGTCGAAGCGCGCCTTGGCGGACACGGACGCGGCGGCAGACGCGACGGAGGAGGTCGGGCTGAGCTGCGCGCTGCGGCTCGGCGTGCTGTACCCAGACCCCATGGCGTCCGCGTCGGTGTCCGCGCCGCCGACGGTGGACGGCGCGGCGCGGCGCTCGAGCGCGCGGAGGGAGTGGCTGAGGACGGCGGCGCGGTGCTCGAGGAGCCTGCGGTGCGCGTCGGCGGCGCGCTCGGCGACGCGCCAGAGCTCGCGCTGGGCGGCGTCGACGCGCTTGTTGGCGGCGTCGACGGTGTCGGCGGTTTGTTTGGAGACACGCTTGTAGGACGCGTTCATCTTGGCGAGGTTCACGGCGCCGTCGCGGATCTTGGTTTCGGTGGTGAGCTTCTGAGTGAGCGCGGTGAGGCGCGCGGTGAGCAGTTGATGTTCCTACATGGCGGTTGAGGAGGAGGTGAGTATTGGCGGATCTATGGGCGATATAAAATGGACGCGAAATAATGGGTGCGCGGTGTCTGACGTCACGCCAGGCGGATCACATGAGCACGCAGACATCACAAAGAGAAGACCGCATCCGCTCGCGCCAAGCAGCGGGCGGCCCCGTGGCGACATGCACAGAGCATGCCCAGTCACGTTGCGTTCATGCTCGCTGCAGTCACCAGCGACGACGGGTATATGCGTCGGGGAGTCGACGTGATGCAACACACGCCCGATCAAGAGGGCGCGTTGCTTGTGAAAACGTGGACAGTATGCACGCCCATACCAGAGGGCTGCTCGCGCACCTCCAGCCGGCTGCCGCCCGCGCACGCCAGAGAGCACACATGTAAACGCTTGACAGAACCCTTCGAGCGCCACGTTGCGTTCATGCTCGGTGCACCAGCGACGACGGTGATATGTGCCGGGTAGTCGAGTTGATGCAACGCATGCCCGATCGAGAGGGCGCGCGGCCTGGAAAACGTGGACAGTGGACCGTGCGCACGCTCACACCAGAGGGCCACCCCACTCGCGCACCTCGAGCAGGCTGCCTGTCCCGCACCTCAGAGAGCACACATCTAAACGCGTGACAGGACCCGCCCCCCGAGACGGAAACCGTCGAGCGCACACAACAGACTGCCAAAAGATCCGACATCACACACCTTTTTGAGCTCCTCGACGTCCTCCGCGGACAGGACCTCGTACCCTCGACTATCAACGACGGCCTCTGACGACAACAAGCTGATCAGCAGCTCCTCCCGAGTGTCCACAAACTCGGACGCGCGCTTCCCCCCGCCATATGCGCTCTCGCTCGCGAGCACAGACCGGCGCAAAGACAAGTTCGAGCTGCGATTCGTGCGCGGGGACGACGGCCCCGCGACGGGCGACATCGGGACCGAGGGCTTTGGCGGCAGCGGGGGCGATGTCGCCTGCGATTGCGACTGTGCGCCGAATGAGGGGTCGGCGAGGCCGTCGGGCTGGGAGCGCTGGCGCTCCTTGCGGATGAAGAGGCCGGCGGTTGTCGGAGGCGAGCGTGCGCCTGCTGCTGCTGCTGCTGCTGCTACTGCTACTGCGGCATCGAAGGAGGGGTTCTCGCGCACGGGGCTGCTGGACGGAGTGCTGGATGCGGATTTGGAGGGGAGGCTGAGGGGTGCGACGGCGGGGAGGGGGGTTGTGGTGGTTGATGGTGTCGTGGTGGTGGACGCACCGCCCAAGAAGCGGCGGACACCATTCATCGGGTGCAGCGGACAGGCGCGGAAGAGGCGAGGGGCGGGTGTGTGTTCGTGGGCTTGGGCACGCACGTCGACAACCTCCAGGTCAATGCCCTGTCGTCACATGGCCAAGCTGCCGCGATACCAGAATAAGCCCTCGTTGTCTAATGGTTATGACGTCAGACTTCTACAATCACGTGATCTGGAATCTGGAGGTTGTGAGTTCGATCCTCACCGGGGGCTTTTTGTGCTCATCCCCACGCCCAATTTTAGTGTCGCACGCTGACGATAAATCTGTGGACATTTCGTTGTCAGAAGGCACCGCTTGTGAAGAGACTGGAGGAAGAGGAGGCAGCTCGCGGGGGCGACTATGTAGTGAGTTCGATCCTCACCACCGACCGGGTTGCGAGGAGAGCTTTCATTGCTCTATATTGTCCGTACACACTGCGAGCGCGTCCACTGTGGTCACGCCGTTAGTTTATGGTTTCTGGCAAGCACACAAGACCAAGTCGCGAGCGAGAAAAACTCAACGTGAGGTGCGCAAGAAATGGGGAGGGGGCTACCAGTACGGGCCGGGTGGGCATAGATACAAACAGGTCCGTCAGCGCCGCGATTCATATCGCACGTGAAAGAGACAGTCTAAGTAGATAGAGATGGGCCATACGAAAGAAAGACAAACAAAAAGAAACGGCGTAGGCGTACGTAGGCGAATGCGAATGCGAATGCGAAACGGACAAAAAAGAAGATCCTAAGATACCAACCACGCGCCCCCGCCCCGCCCCCTCCCCCACATACACAACCTATCGTATCCTCTACAATCGCCGACATAACGTACACAGCCGCCGCCGCCGCCAGAGATCACGAAGCCTGGTACGACGCGTGCCGCCGCCGCCGCACGTGCGACGGGTGCAGCTCCGGCGGGTAATGCTCAAGCTCGTCCCGCGCGCGGAAATACCGGTCCATCTCCTCCGCGTCAAACTCGCTCGGCAGCACGGGTGATGCGGGCGCGCCGAGCCCCGCCGCGTGTGCGGCCCCGCAACTCGCGTCCGCGTCTGCACCTGCGCCGCCGCGCGCGTGCGGACGTGGGGGCGAGGGAGGAACGGAAGCGGGGTCGGTCGCACCCGCGCCCGTGCCCACGCCGCCGAGCCTATACGTGCGCCTGCGCCGCGCGCGCACGGGCGCGGGGGGCGCAGGGGGCGGCGCGAGCGCGCGCGGGGGCACGGAGCGGACGGTGAAGTGCTCGAGGGCGCGGGTGTATGGCGAGAGCGTGTGGTTAGAGTGCGCGAGCGTCGCGATCTGCGAGACGTGGTTGTTGAGCGCGGGGCGGAGCACGACGGCCTGCGGGGCGGGGTCCGGGTCCTGCGCGTGCAGGGGGTCCGGGAAGAGCGCGTCGAGCGGGTGTGTGCCTGCGGCGGAGGCGAAGGCGGGGTACGGGTAGGGAGAGGAGGTGGAGGAGGAGAGAGAGGGGCGGCGTTTGCGCTGGGGCTGCGAGGGGGAGGCGTGTGCATGCAGGAGGTCGGTCGAGGGCGGCGTCGGGACAGAGTGCGTGTGCGAGCTCGAGCGCGATGGCTGCGTGTGGACGCTCGATGGCGAGCGATACAGCGGTGGCGTGGGCGGCGTCGAGGTCGCACGCGCGTGGCCATTGCGCGAGGGGCCGACGTCGGGAAAATAAGGATTGTACATAGAGCTCGCACGGCGCGGGACTGGGTGTGGCGTCAGGATCGGCACGGAGCCAGGTGATGTGAGGCGCTCGAGCGCGGCACGAGTGAGCGGCGGCGTCGACGCAACAGATGGGGCACGCGGCATGCGTGACCCCCCTGCAGATACGGGCGTCTGAATCTGTGACTGTGCGTGCACGACGCGCGGACGCGTGATGACGCCTCCACCGACAGCAGGGAGCGTCTCGTACTCCCCCACGTCGGCGCGCATGTCCTCGTACTCGTTCGCGTCTGCGACTGACGGCGCGCGCGTGCTGTCATCGGGCAGCATGTCCTCCCAGTCGACCACGTCGTAAGACGCGCCCTCCTCAAACTCGTCTTCACCGTCGCTTGGCTCCTCCGCGAGGTCCGCGAGGCCCCTGTTCGCCCCGAACAGCCGCCCAAATCCGCCGAACACGCTCTTCGCCGGCAGGCCCTCGGGGCGCAGCCCGTACGTCGGGTCGAAGTTCTCGATATCGGGAAACGCCGTCTCGGGCGCATCCAATGCGCGCGCAGGACGTGTCCGGGAAGGAGAAGTCCGTGCCGCCGTCGTTGCGGCGCTGCGTCGGCTCGTACTCGCTACCGAGGTAGCCCCATACAGCGACTGCGAGCGTGGATACGGCGGGGGTGGGGCCGGCGTGCCCAAACCAAAGCTTGGCTGCAGTCCGACAGCAGGAAAGCGGGGAGCCAGGTTTCTAAGATCGGGAGCCGACATTGTCATCCTCTCCACAGACGGCCGCGACGATGCCGTCTGTGATGATGGCTTCTTGTCTAGATAAGGCGCCTCGACCTTCGCCTTGACCCACTGTTGGCTGAGGCGATGAATGATGCCCGGCAGGTCCTCGCGGAACATCTGCCGGAGCTGGCCCTCAATCTCCTTCTGGATGAACTTCTGGATAACGGCGATCGAGTCGAAGGTGCTGTTGATATCGACGTTCTGGAGCGGGTCGGTCTTGAAGACGAGCGTGATGCCCTTTTGTTTGGATACGACGAGGACGATGTACGAATTGAGCCGGAAGTGGGAAAGGCGGAGGAGCATGGGGACGACGAGGGGCTGCTTGGCGGCGAGCATGCCGCGGGAGCCGCCCATGAGGTGTATTTCGTGTTGCTTATGGTTTAGAGGGTTCGCCTGCCAAGAGAGTGTAGAGCCGGCGTATGTTTGGACGAAAAAAAAAAGTAGAAAGAGATATCATATTAGGTGGGCACGCGACATGAATATAACAAGTGAGGAATACGCACCTGAACCTTCGTGCGTAACACGAGATGCGCATCCCCGGCATATGTTAGCCGAAATATTCCACGAAACTGATCGGTGGTCAAGTCCCCGATATCGCGAATCTCAAGCTCGGGCGGCTGCAAAGAGTGTGGCAGTGTCAGTCAGTGGATCGGTTAGTTAGCCAGGTCGGTCGCGATCGCGGCCTCGGCGCACGCAGCTAGCGCTTAGATATGCGGGATGTGACGGAGAGGATATAGGAGGGGGCCGCCGAATATCGAGAGGTCCACTGTCTCGTGACGCCGAGGCAGGCAGCGGTCGCGAGACGGTCAGAAAAAGACGGAGTATTTAACGCACCTGCGTGCCCATCTCCAGTTCAACGACCTCAATCTTGTCTGCGATGACGGGGGGCTTCGCACCCTTGTTCAGAGCCGAGTTGAGCATCTCAATAGCGTCGGCGTGAAACTGATCGGAGAAGCGGGGCCATTCGAACGAAAAGGACATGGCGAGTGATGAGCGTCAGGCGAAAGCTGCTGGAGGTACTGGGTGTGGATATGATATGGCTGAGATTTACAAGCCTCTTCAAATGTTTAAACAGCCTATCGAGGGATTGGACGACGCTGTGGGGGGCTGAAGACCAATGACAGGACTACTAGCGGCGCAAAAAGTTGGGCAGGCGTGCGGTGGGCTGTCGAAGTCTGTACACCGTGTTTTAATGGGAGTAGTACGCAGGAGATGAGGACATGGAGATGGCCATGCCGCCTGCGATGGGAGGAGAGGAGGAGATATGCCGTATGAGGCGTTGGAGGAGAGAAAGTTGGAGACGGGTCCTGCCGTATCGTCTTCCGGGCGACGTCAGGGCCTCGAAGCGGCCTTGCAACTTGGCTACACTGGCTTCAAACCCCGAAAGCACCTCTCATCAGCTTTTTCAAGCACCGAAAGCACCGGTCTGTACGTCCCCGTCCAGTCTCTTCACTCTCCCTCTTCAGTCCCTTCGAATCCGAGTCCGAATGTCCCCGAGTCATCTCCCCGTCCGCGGAGGATATGTTCCTTGCATTCGATACCCTGCGACGCGATCACGCCCAACTGTGTCATCTTCAGAAGGCAGAAGAGGATGAGAGAAGGCCGTGTTGAGGCCAGAGCCTGCTTCCATCAATACATGACAACGTTGCTCAGCTTCTAAATCGTGAAGCACAGTTCGCCCATTTTCTTTCACAATGGTGTTTTAAATCCATCTGCAATACGCTACGGACACCTGTTGTGGTTGCCTCCCTGTTCTCCACGCGGAGATGCTAAAGCGCCCATAGCGTATCTGGTCCGTCTCTTTCTCCGCTTTCCTCTGCTAATAACCCTATGACGACCTTTTCAATCCGGCGATATAGGCTGTTTGACGTGGTGAAACAGTTTGTCGGCCATATGTTCGTGCACGTCATTCTCTGCATCTGGGTATCCTCCTTTTCGAACGTATACATAAATGGGGGCCAGATTCGAGCGCCATTTATCGCAACGCGCGACCTTAGGAAACGTACGAGAAGTGAGTAGGTAACGTATACCACTAAGCGCGTCGGATCTCACTTCAGCCTGTTGTCCATCATACAGCTCGGTATGCCCACACGAACAACATATCGGGTATCAAAAATCAGTCATCGTAATCGTTCTCTTCATAGCCATCGTCGTCTTCGTAATCGGTCTCTTCGTAACTGTTCTCTTCATAATCGTTCTCTCCATCGCCGTTCCCTTCGAAATCGGCCTCTTCGACGTCGCTCTGCTCGCCATCGCTCTGCGGCTCGCCATCGCTCTGCGGCTCGCCATCGCTCTGCGGCTCGCCACCGCTCTGCGGCTCGCCACCGCTCTGCGGCTCGCCACCGCTCTGCGGCTCGCCACCGCTCTGCGGCTCGCCACCGCTCTGCGGCTCGCCACCGCTCTGCGGCTCGCCATCGCTCTGCGGCTCTCCATCACTCTGCTCGTCATTCCTCTGTGCGCCATCGCCTTGTCCGTTGTCGCTCTGTCTGTCGTCGATCCGCTCATCGCCACTTTGTCCGTAGTCTCTCATTCCGTCGCTCTGCCCATCGCCGCTGTGTCGGTTTTCGTTTTGTATACCAAGGGTCTGTTCTTCATCCATTCGTCTGTCGCTCTGATAGTATCTGTCATCGCTTTTCCCATCATCGTATTGAACGTATTCGTTTGGTCTGCCATCGTTCTGTTCGTCCTCTCTTTCTCCATCGCTCTGTTCACCGTCTCTCCGCTCATCGTCGCTCTGCACGTCATCGCTCTTCCTGTCGCCGTACATTTCTCCTTGCATGTCCACATCAGCACCTCTCGCCGGCAATTCTGTGGTCCATCCGGAGCTAGAGGATGACACTACTTGCCGTGCGCCACCGTACGGTCTTCCATGTATGTTTCTCTCCGCGCCATGCTCCCGCAAAAGTCGTTCGATGTCTTCATGATGTCTCGAAACCGCAGCCTCCAGAGCGCGGTCGATATATTCTTGCCTGTCCGCACCTGCAGCCTTCTCCAGAAGCAGTCGCACGATCGTTTCGTGGCCATACAATGCTGCTATACGTAGTGCATTGCCGACCTCTTCTTCCTTCGCAGGAACATCGGCGCTCTTCTCTAGCAGCAATCGCACTATATCTTCGTATCCTCTTGATGCTGCCATATAAAGCGCAGTGCCGTTGTGCCCGTCCTTCTCGTTCACATCTGCGCCAATGTCAAGAGGCATTTGGTAGCCTTCCGATGGTACGTCTCGCAGTACGCTGCTGTCGCACCATTCCTGCGATGCGCTGCTGCGCTCCCACGTTTGCAAGGATACGTCTGCGCCCTTCTCTAGCAACAACCGCACCACCCTCTTGTGGCCCATTGCCGACGCTGCCCCCACCGCGTTGCCATATGCTCCTCCCCGAGCGTTTATATCTGCTCCCCTCTCTAACAGAGCCAGCAAGATTTCTGGCAAGCCGGCAAGCGCAGCGTAATAGAATCGAGACCCTTTCGGCGTCCTCTCCATGTCAAAGCCCGGTTGTCCGTCGAGGTCATAGAGTCGAACCCAAGCGATAAAGGCTCCGTCAGAATCCGCTAAAAAAAGAACGTCAATAAGAGTTTGCAGAGCGTCTGCGTTGTCGCTTGGTCCAGATCTAGCATGAATAGGCCAGTACTGTGCCGCATATAACGCGAACGGGAAATCTTTCAGTATCTCCTTACTTAGAACTTCGGTAGAGTCAAACTGCAAAAGGTATGCGATGCATGTTTGAGCGATCAGCGAATGGGATGCCTTCTCGCTGATGTCGAAGCCGATGCCTTGGGCAAGAGATGAGGAATCAAGGTATTGCTTGACGGAGAAATGCGCGAGCTTGGCCTCTCCTGGTTCAAAGCATCAGTAAAACAATTGTTAGCTGAGGCTATTGTGTTCCAGCCCACCGTCAGACGATGTGACAATAAGACTTGAGCAAACAATCAAGATGATATCAGGATTATATCGCAGGTCAGGGTAGAATCGAGGGAATGGCTTCGACTCGAAATCGACACCTGTCACCTCAGCCAGTTCATCCAACTTCAGGGGACGAGCGGAAAAGGATAGCCATCGCAAGAATGTCAAGGCCATTTGAAGATCTCTTTCACTGAGCTTCGAGAGTATGCGGTCATAGGTCTCGTGCAGACTGTGGGGCAGATTCTCCAGTCGCTCCTGCAAGTCGCGAGCAGTGCGGCACGAACGTATCTCGTCTAGTTGTAGAACAGCCAATCGAAACCTAGATGCGCCTCAACATTGTGAGCACAAAGAGCAAGAATTCAAATGCACGAACGCACATTCCATCTGACATCTCCATCACTTTCGCTCGGATTTCCTTTGCCTTGCCCTTCCAAAATCTCAGCTGGCCGTCTGTTAACAACTTATTATCGATGTATTCTTGAATGTCTCTTCGGACGGGATCGCCCTCCATGCACACCTCGACGGCCTTTAGCGATTGAAGGGCACGCTCGATACTCAACTCCTTTCGACTTGTGATGAGAACGTGCACATTTCGCGTAAACTCTTGCCAACATGTAAGATCCTTCATCCAATTCAGAACCCTTGTCCTCTCCGATGACTGATCGGGAATAGCTGAATTGTCAGAGCATTCGTCGAGAGAGTCTGCGATCACGTAGGCATGCGTGAATTGTGCCAGGATATTTCGAAGAGTGTCCTGAAGATATTTTAGGGATGGCCACGAGTATCCTTCTCCATATAGTTGCACCAAGGCGTCGGGGATGACAGAGCATTGAAGAGCGAACTGTTTGATAAGGGAGCGGATGAAACCTTCGTGCTGTTGGAGTCCCTCTTGAGCATCTCTGGAGTCAAAGAAGAAGTATCCTATCGCGGCTGAGCTATCTCCTTTGCAGCGCACGGTGATGTCTTTGATCGCAGACGAGCTGAATGATAGCTATTCAGTCTGATCGCTGCCATTATACTAGAGGTCGCTTTCTCCCACTCACCATAGAATTGTCTTCCCGCAGCCAGCTGGGTATTCGTTTCATCATTAAACGAGAGATATGGCATCGTGAAATGTACCTACGGATTCCATGCACCCACAGCAACGATCCTGGTCGCTCTTTCCATTCCAAAAAATCCTGCCCGGTCAGGAACCAAGAGCCAGTCCCTTCTTGGTGCCTTTCCCGAGCATTGTCGTAGTTGTGTGTCGGATCAGGCGCCTTCAGCCATTCGAAGATTTTTCCATAGCGCTTAACTGATACGAAGGACAGCCCAAATTAGCCCGTAATGTCTGGAGCTGTTTGAGAGAAGGCGAGTACTAATTTTTCCGTCTTGAAGCTTTTGAACAGTCTTCTCTGTGTGGATGATCACCCGACGATCAAACTTCTTCATCAAATCCGCGCAGCGCGCCTCGAACGCTTGGACACGTTCCTTCATATCATCGGATAATGTGTCTCGCAAAAGCCGGCCTTCAGGCATCCGTGAGGAGTCACGATATCAAGCACAGAAGCAAGGACTACACAACAAACTCACGCGCTCTCGACAACTTTGAGTACTCATCAATGAGCGAAGCGATATCCAAGGATATGCGACCGATCGCTTCAATGATATTTTCGGTGCCGTTGATGACCATCAGGTCCGAGCATTCGTTGGCGGCGTTTACCATCTCACGCAACGATTCTGCTAGGCCTCGAACGGCATCATCCTGGAGCTCTTGATTTTTCAAAGCCTATCGTACAGGTACAGAGATCAATACCTGCCCAAGTCTAATAACAGAAGACTTACCTCGTACACCGACAGGAGAATTGTGCATGTAACTTTTAACACTGGATGTGCCTGTGCCTCAGATGAGCTGCGCAAAAGGCAGAGATGCAACGCACAAAGAGGTTAGAGAGATACATACGTCACCAACGACGTTCATGATCTTCGCGATGGCCTCGAGGGCTTGTCCGATGGCTGATATACACTTGCCAACTGTTTCTATATAAGATCTATCTTACGACAAGGTGTTCAAACTTTATGGTTTTGAGGACGCACCAGAGCTTTTCAGACCAACAACGCTTTCGTCCACCCTTTGCATCGTATCTCGAGCAGGGTCGGAAACGAGTACAAGCTTCAACTTGACTTTGACAGCAGTTCTAGTACCAGCACGATCAATAAAGTCAAGAGCAGGTCCTGCAGGAATAATTAGCCCCAAACATCGTTAGAAGCAGCTGAATCAAGCTCACCATCAGCGAGCACATCAATGATCTTACCAGAAAAATGTCCCAGCAAACGTGAAGAACAGAAAACCGAGGGGAATTTCGCTTTGCGGAAGATTTCACCTTGAATGCTCGATGACGGCCGAAACCAACTAAATGAAGGGTGTGTATTGCGTGATAGTTTCGAATGAACGTCAAGTGTATAAGCGTACAGCCGATGTTCCTCTTGCCAGTGTAGTGGCGAACGATTAGAGATCTTCTTCGACTTCCACGCCATCTTGTCATCAATATGCACAACCACGTATCGATTCTCGCGTCTACCACCTCCGATCTCTCCCTCGATCTCGATGCCTATGAGCGATGAGTTTCTTGAGCACACACTTTCATCACTACGACAGCCCACCAGTCAAAAGGGCAATCAGCCCAGACTTAGGCTCCTGCTCTTGTAAGTTGTTGTTTTCGAAAGCCACGGACATAGTGAAGGAATGGCGAAGGTAAGATGCGAACACTGACGGATTTCGGGGTGGGATACCTCGATTCCTGGAGGCGATAGGGTCGACATCCAAGTTGCTACTTATAGTCTTATATACACAGGCCAATCCAGACTTGCGTCTTCTTCCTAAGATCTGTGGGAGTTCAATCAACAATCGACATTCATTGAAATAATGACGATTCGAATTACCCGGTCATATCCAAACGAGGGATTGGGAAATGTAACATATAGGCCGAGGGAAAGCCGCATTCCGTTCGCAATATTCTCCTCGCAATGGTGTTTTCACGCACGATGCAACATTAAGTACGCATTTGTTTAAAAAACGGCTGACAATGCTGCAAACACGAGAAATCCCTATCAGCCTGCTGCAGAATGCTCAATCAGTCATACGAAGCAGCTTTCCTATATATATAATACTCAACCGCCTCCCACCCCCAAAACGTCGCGGTCTGAGATTCAAGCCGTGGAAGGTCACTAGGTCTCTGCCCACATGACTGCACTGCCGGCATGGAGAATCTCGGGCATGGCGGCTGCAAGAGAAAGAAGACGATCAACACAACGCACCCTTGGGAGGGCTTTGGAGTCAAAGAGTCTAGAAGCAGCCACACAAGCTTGCTACGGGTGATTCAAACCCCGAAAGCCCGGATCTGACCAACTTCTGGCCATCCCAAGAGATCCTTGAAGCCTTCGACAGCGCGGCATAATTCCACAAAGTCGAGGTTACAAGCTTTGCTCAACAGGTTCGTACCCCGAAAGCCCGTCACTGTGTTGCCCACTGCAACCACTACCCTTGACTGCAACCATGGCGGCGGTCTTTCAGTCCCAACGACTTGTCCGCAACCTTGCGAGTCCTGTCCGTGGTCGAGCTGTGGTTGTACCTGCCGCTGCTGGGCTATCCCCTACTGTCTCTCAAGTCACTCTGCGTATGCTACTCGTCCGGTCTGCGGTTGGGCCATGGCCCATATAGCTCACCAACTCCTCAGTGGATTCTTGAATAGTGCGCGAGGTCATATCTTACCCTCCTCCTTTCTACTTCCCTGTCCCCTGCTGCCAAGCGTCTATGCTTGTTGTGCTGATTCGAACACGGCTAGTCTGCCTGCTACATAGAATCCTTCTCCTCCAGTCATAATTACCGTCTGTGCTGTCCTCTATCCTCACCCAACCGTCGCGCTCTTCCATTTCCGCAGCGCCCCTCCGCGGGGTTCCATCCCACGCGTGTCCCTATGCATGCATACCGACATGGGCGTGAACACATCGGCTGTGCACCGTGCATACTCTGAGCCTGTCGCGATTGGGGATGGCTGGACGTCACAAATACACCGTGGCGCGGATATGCCGCGGTAGGCATGGATGTTGACAAGCTGGAAAGGCAATCTCAACATAACAGTGACTGCGCGAGGGGGAGGTCGAGGACGAGAGCGTATTACGATGGAGGGGGAGCTTGGTGACCTGGCTGGCATCGAATGAGATCGTAAGAGCAAGAGGAGGGGAGAGGAACGGTGCGAGAGGAGGACTTGAAGATGTGTCGTCAGCGAATAGGCACGTACCTGTACGCTACGGGACGCTCATATATCTGCATACGCAGCATACATTGCTTCCCTTCAAGCAAGCCGCTAAAAACACAAGCACCAGAAATGCAGTCGCTTCAAGAGGCAAGGTCCAACACTCGATTGCAGAACTTTTAAGTAAGTGTCCAAAGGAAGCACACCAAGGTTCCGCTTGGGAGCGTCAATATGTACTATATAGCGTGTTGGAACGCAGGGCGTTATCTACGGTGAGGCATCTTCCCCCACCTCTTCTCTATTGTCATCGATCTCATATCATCATCCCGAATCCACAGATACGATATGTATATGTTCGCACAAGCAAAATATCAGACATTCAGATCAATCACTTTCACTATCTCATTCATCCTCCTCACCATCCTCCTCAACCTCTTCACCATCCGGTTTGTCCTCTTCACCATCCTCCGAGCCCTCTTCACTATCCGGCTCGTCCTCTTCTCCATCCAACCACTCTGTGTCGTACTCAAGCAGCAGTTTGACCACCAATTGGCGGCGACGTGCTGTCTTGAGGATACTTCCGTGCGGTCCCAGTGCCTTGGGGTCTGCACCTTTCCCCAACATCAGTCATACAACCTGCTCATCGCCGTGATATGCCGCTGCCTGCAGTACACTCCCGTACCGTCCACCTTGCAGGTTCACGTCTGCACCCTGCTCCAGCAGCAGTCGCACAATCTGTTCGTGGCCGTGAGATGCTGCTACTCGTAGCGCACTGTGAAATTGACCTCCTTCCGCATTGGGATTCGCACCACCCTCAAGGAGGGACAACGATGAATCCTGCAGACCCGCAAGTGACGCACAATAAAGGCGAGAACCATCAGGTGATCGGTTTATGTCCACCTGTACCCAAGGGCCATCGAGGTCAATGAAGTCGAATCCAAGAGATAAAAGGGCCATCTGAATCGGCCAAAACCAATGTGTCGATAAGGGTTTGCAAAGTGCCCGTGCCGCCATCTGCTGCAAATTCAGCGTGAGAGATCCAATCTTCTGCGGCGTAGGGTGCAAGTGGGAAATTCTCGACAATTTTTTTCGTTTCAGAGGTCCACGGTGTCAAATTGCAGTAGGTAGGCGAGGCAAGTCTGAGCAATCAGCGAGTGTGATATCTTCTCATTGATATCATAGCCACAGAGTTTGCGAGCAGAAGAGGAAAAGATAAATTCCTTGACGGACATGTGCGCTAGCTTGATCTCTCCTTTGTTGGTTGTCAGTAAAGCAATGGCTGGTAGAGGCTAATTTTTCACATCGCCTGAGGTGGAGGTCACGATAAGACTGGAACAAATCGTCAGAAACCTCTCAGGATCATAGCGCAGATCTGGGCAGAAACAAGGACGTGGGTCTGTCTCGAAATCGACACATATAACCTCAGCCAATTCTTTGAGATGTGGTGGTCGAGCACAAAAAGCCAGCCATTGCAAGAATGTAAGAGCCATTTCCCGATGCTTGCCGCTGAGCTTTGATAGAATTCTGTCGTAAGTGTCGTACAGACTGCGGGAGAGATTTTCCATTTGTTCTTTGAGTTGACGAGGGTTGCGGCAATCTCGTAGTTCTTCTAGCTGCAAAGCGGCCAATCGAAACCTTCACAAATACATGTTAGCATCAGAGCAATGTACAGAGACGAGTAATCGTATATTCCCTGAGACATTGATAAAGCGTTTGCTTGAATTTCTTGTGACTTGTCTTTCCATCTCTTCAGCCCTTCGTCCGTTCGTAACTTGTCCACAAGATATCGCCGGATATCCTCGCCTGCCAATTTGCCTTCGATGCGAATATTAATAGTACTCAGTAATTGGAGCGATTCGCGTATAGTATCTGGCTCGTCCCGACTAGTCACAAGAAGATGCATTACGCTGTTTAAATCCATCCCAGTCAGCGATCTCTTTCGTCCAGCTGCGAACCTTCTCTCTCTCCGAATGCTCCTCATGAGCTATCAGCGTTGATGGACATTCGTCAAGAGGGTCTATGATCACAGATGCGTTCTTGAAGAGACCGAGAATGAGCCGAAGAGTGTCGCGGGGGGCCTTGAGAGATGGCTGCGATTGTCCCACTCCATAAATTTTTTCTAATGCGTCGGGCATAGTAGTGCACTAGAGAGTAAACTGCTCGATGAGTGAGCGGACAAGGCTTTCGTGGCATTGAAGACCTTCTTGGGCGTCTCTGGAGTCGAAGAAGAAGTACCCGACCGCTGTAGATCGATCGGTAGCACAATGATCCATAATATCTTTGATGGCAGACGTGCTGAATGAAGGCAGATTAGTCTATGCAAGCTTTGAGACGCTATTCGTAACCTCACCATGAAATGGTCTTTCTGCATCCGGCTGAAGAAAAACTTCAATGTTCAAGCAAAATTTTATCAAAATTGCAGAATACGCACGAATTCCTTCGACCTATAATAACGACCCTGACTGGTTCTTCCAACTTGAAAACTCGCTTCCGCTGAGGAACCAGGAGCCGGTCCCTTCTCGATGTTTCTCTCGCGCAGTGTTGTAGTTTTGTGAGGGATCAGGTGCATTCAGCCACTGCAGGATCTCCTTATGCCGCTCAGCTGACATTCCGAACAGCTCGTTAGTTATTGCCATAATCAGACCGTGCTGAGAACAGTTCCACACCAAGATTCCCGTCCTTGAGCTGACGGACCATCCTGTTCGTGTCATTGCTTATGCGACTGCCGAATTTCTCCGTCAGATTTTGGCAGCGTGCCTGGAATAACTCGAGACGGGTCTTCATGTCACCGGACAAGGCATCTCACACAGCTCGAACTGAAAAAATGCTAGTGAGGAACTTAGCAATCCAAAATACCCCGAGAAGGCCCCACGATAGACTCACCTACAAAGCTCACCTACAAAGATTCGTCTTGCGTATTTGTCGATGAAAGAAGCAATCTCCAGTGATATCTGGCCGATTGCTTCGATGACATCCTCTGTGCCTTTGATGACCGATAGGTCGGGACACTCGTGGGCGGCACAGACTATCTCGCGCAGAGACTCCGCTAGTTCTCTGACGGACTTGTCTTGAAGTAACTCATCTTTCCACGCCTTTGATAGATCCTATCGTAAACGACATTTATGGTACATTTGAACACTGAACTACGCACCTCGTACACCGAAAAGAGAACCGTGCACGAAACTTTCAATATCGGATAAATCCGTAATACAGAAGGATAATGAGATCACGAAGTGTGAGGAAGGTTAGATGGATGCATGTCACTGAATGTGCGGGCAATCTTCACGACGGCTTCGAGTGCCTGTCCCAGAGATGGTATGCAGCTACTAGCCGTTTCTGTAGATGAATACGCGGCCTCGGCCATTGTAGCGGACGCATCGATGTCTTCAGATATTGAAGAATATGCCGTTGTCAAGACGATAAATCGCCGCATAGACCCTGTCCATTGTATCTTGTGGGGAATCAGAGACTAATGCGAGCTGTACCTTGATCTTGACGCTAGCAAGACGGGCGCCAGTAAGGTCCTGCAAGTCAAGAGCCACGCCTATTACAGTGTCAGCTGTACATCACCAGTAGAGAAAACAAGGATGTACTGTTTTCAAGGAGCTCAACAGCCTTCCCAAAGAATTGTCCAAGCAGATATCTCTTGTCGGGTGATATCTTCGAGAGGATGCCACTGCGGAAGATCTCGAACTTGATGCTCGACGAGGGGTGAAGCTATCTACATCAACATCGTCAAACCAGTCCATAACGGAGAAGTGGTTGTTGAAAACCTACACCCGATGATCCTCCTGCCAATGCAGTCGTGAACCGCTAGAGCATTTCTTCGATTTCCACTCCTCTCGATCGTCAATGGAGACGACCACGAATCGATCACTGCGTCCTGGCTCTCGAAACTCACCTTCAATGTTGATCCCTATCGAAGATATCAGTGTCTGCGCAATCCCACAGATACAACGAATGACTCACCTGTCAATCGTGCAACGAGCCCTGATGCAGACAGTGCATGCCCGTGTCCCTGAATGTCGTGTTTCTCTGCAAGCATCAACGTAGATCGAGGCTTCAATGAGGTCAAGTTTAGTGGAAAGTGTCGATTGTGTGGTTCAGGTGTGATATAGATGGTCATTACGGTTGCTGTGCAGACTCTACTTTTGGCACGGAGACTAGCGCTCAGTTTGTTTCCAACTTTTCCGTCCACTTCATGGGCCAGGCATATCCGAACGTGAAATGCTAGCGTGATATCCCTGACAATAATTGGCCCATCTAGTAGTGAAGGTTCAAGCGCGCCGAGGGTCAGATTGATTCTGCAAGCTCGGAGATGAACTAGCTCTTTGGCTGAGTTTGAGAGGATTTCTCTGTCTTTGCTCGAGACTGGCGGCACTGTATTGGTGATAGCATAGCGGATGGCAACAACGAGAAGTCAGTCATATTGGGCCTGGTGAAGCACTGGTGAAGCCTAGTGAGCTGCTCGGAAGTCAGCTCTCAGTGCCGCTCCGCTTTCTCGCACGTGGCGGCTCTCATCGCACGACACTCATGAAGCTCATTCTACTCGCCTTCGACTCGTGAAGCGAGTCATCCTCGATGGGAAAGAGATATATAATGTCATCCAACGCCACAACGGGAACCCTCCACACAGAGAACAGGGTCCTTGATGAATGCTCGACAGTGAGCACAGTCCTTCCAACCTTGAAGCTCAAGCGTTTTTGCAGCACGGTATTATATCGTATTTGTACAAAAGCTCTAGGGCTTCACTTACATGGATAGTCGACCTGGTATTCCCGCTATTCTAACGCAAAGTGCGAGCTGCGTGTATCTCACACTCACTATGCTTTTAACGTTCCGTGGATACCAATGCCGTCCACACACCACGCTGTGGCGCCTGCACGTCACTTTCCGACGTCGACACGAGGGCCCAGGATGGAGAGGGAGAAAATGAAATTGATAGTCGAAGTGAGCGAGGAAGAGAGTAGCAGGATGGTGATGAGGTGAGACACATTCCGCGTCTCATGGGACGTGTGCATACACCTGTATGCGCACCAACATCGATGCTGATATCTTTTGGATTGATTCTGGTCCGACTATGTTTCGTCCTTCCTACTACAACTGGAATATGTTCAAATTCGATTCGGAGAAGAATGCGCCTTGTTTCTTGTTGAGCTCGACCGCGGCGCGATGTGAGTTGGTTTGGTATGCTCTGCTTTTCCACCTGATTCTATGTCCTCCGCGGGGAATTATCTTGAGCCGCTGTGTTGTTGAAATGTGGATTAAATCTGCGTTGCTTGCAGAGAACTTGATATCACTTCCACAGCATAGGTTTGTGATGGTCGAGTTGAGTCGAAATGAAGCTTTGCGTTGAAAACCTGTTTCTTAATATAGTCTTCAGTGTTTTACTTGTTGGTTTATACTCGATATGCTCCTGAAGCTGAGGGTTGCAGCGATCCTTTGTGCTGGGAAGGCGCCCATCCTTGCAAACACGGTAGCTATTTCAGGCTTGATCGATGCAACTCAGCCTCTGCGAACACTAAATTACCTTGAGCAATACCTATGTTGAGGAGCCGGCTCAATATCCTCGCTCTGTTTGGAGCGTCGGATCGACGCGGTTGATCTCGAGAGACGTTCAATCTCAAGCTGTTTGGACGAGGATCAAATCAGTTTTTGTCCGCTCTCAGCGTGAACCGCCACCTCACGGCCCCAAGACTAGGATAATCATAGGCTGCCATGCTTACAGTTGCTGATATCTTTTCTCAGATCACGTCGTAGATCATGGATTGTGGGTAGGCTGCGAGTATCAAGGCTGTGTTGTGCATTGCGCGAGGCAATAGGTCGTACGTATGTGTGACAAGGTTATTCATATCATCGCCGAATGATCCAGTATTTCATGTCCTCTTGGATCACATCCTCCTGGTTGTAGCTCGGGACTACGTATGTACAGTCCTGCTATCACAAAACCCTTAGGGTTCAGACGAGACAATATTCTTACTTTTTTGTGTATCAGGGGAGGCAACGATCAGCCATCGGTCGAGATCTAATTTTCGAAACAGATATGGCAAGGCGCCGGATTTTGCGCGCTACTTGAGGCAATGCTCGGGCATATAATCAAGTATGCCGTTTGCAGAATAAGGTAGGGAGTCGAGATCATTGTACATGCCGCGACTGTGCTACTGAGATGATCAGGACACGAGATGCTGTCGGGATGGGCTATAAAGACTCTCTTGTCTTTGCTTAAGCTAGACCCTATCTTCTTTTGGTGCCCGTGTCCAACTCATTAGAACAGGCTTATCCGGATGTCGAATAGTACGGACCCGGACACCAGTGTTGTCAGTGAATCCCCAGACGCTATTCATCACGCGGGTGTCATCATCCTTCAAAATGTGATATCACTCGTCTGCGAGACTTTCCTGTACGGTAAGAGTCATCTTTTATTCTTTCAATGCAACTCACAAACTCGCGAACTCTATTCTTGAGGCATCTATGTCATCATGGTGGCCTTCGCGATATACGTATTATTGTAAGGTTCCGTTCCGCACCAGATTTCCTCTCGCTCACTTCGTTGAAACGATCAGACGAAAAGGGCTGGGCAAGGGCTACAATCTCCCCATGTTCTTCGTCATGTTGCTTCTGTTTGGCCTGTCGACGGCGGATTGGGGGACGTTCCTGGCGAGCGTCATCAGGCAGATCCGTGGGCTGCTCATCGAGAACACTGAGCAGCCTCTGCAGGACAAGTTCGACATCGTCGCGCAATCCATCCTGCACTTCAATATTGCCGGCGTCTATCTATCGATGTTCAGCGTGAGTTTCTGTCCGGCACGAATAATGGAGACTATGCTGAACCATGATCAGTACCTCGTGGGCGATGCTTTTGTGGTGTGGAGAGCCTGGGTCCTATGCGCTGAATACAGGAAGGCGACGATGCTGCCTATCGTGCTTCTGACATGCGCGATGGGTCAGTCTCTGCGCCTTTTCCCATAGTATCTATGAAGAAGAACTGACCTTTGCATTCTCTTCGCAGCAATCACGCTTGTGGCGACGACGTTCGAGCGGAACTTCCTCCTCACCGGATCGAACCATTCCAGACTCATCGTGCGGTACACGCAGGGCGTCATCATCATGCTAGAGTTCTTCGCCAACGTAGCCGCGACCTTGCTCATCGCGCGCGTAGCATGGTAAGTAGCGCTCGCCATCTGAACATCGTCGCTACCATGGTCTCTGATCTGACTGTCGCCGTCAGGCTGAAGCGGGAGCTCATCGACACCAGGCTCAAGCTCGTCCCGAAAATGCGGACGAGAAAGCTGGTGATGTTGGTAATCGAGTCCGGCGTGCTCCTGTGGATCGTATGGGTACGTCGACACCGCACAGCGCCTGCACGATCGACAACCTCACGCATCTCCCTCCCGCCTTAGATCTTGCTCATTATCTTCCAATACGGCGTCGACAGTGGCACCGTCCCCGGCAACCTCTTCACCGCATCGAGCATCCAACTCATCGTAAGCACCCCCACCCCAATCCCTCCACCTCGATATCACCTTTCACCCATCCGGCACTAATCGCGACGCCACAGGCCATGCACGTCACCGCCGTCATCGTCCTCCTCGCGCGCAAGAGCACCGTCTGGGACCTCTCTGACACGCCTGGGCCCGACACGAGCCAGACCGTCAGCCGCTTCGCCGCCGCGCCCGGGCGCGCGCGCGGCGTCTCCGCCTCGGTCTCCGTCAGCAGGCAGCACCGCCGCTCGCAGCCGAGCGTCATCCAGCTGCGCTCCGCGCGCGCCGAGAGCGAGCGCACGACCGGGATCGCGACCGTGCACGAGCGCGCGGGCGACGGCGCCGGCGACGAGGACGAGGACGACAGCGAGAACGAGAACGAAATCAGGCACGTGAATAGGGAGGACGAGGGTGGGAATCGCGTGTTCGAGGAGAAGAAGCCCCGGCTGGACGAAGAGGAGTATACGCCTGTCTGAGCCGCTGTGGTTCGGTACGTCGGCCTCTCGTGCGACGCTTTACACCGTCTCGAGGAACCTATTTAAGTGAAATATTTTGAGCCTGTCGCTTTCGCTGTAGGTATTTTATTGAAGGAGGTGATTTATTGTATGCTTGTCCTTTGCCAAGTGGTATAATACTGTTTTAGATTGCCAGCTGTCACCGTTGAATTAAGCATGAACCTTGTACGATGTAGCATATACAGTGGATGACGAAGAACTTGTTCTGGTCGTTAGGAATCGCACAATGATTTCGTGCCCGCTGGCCACACCTCACACATCCACCTAGCATCCGGAAAGCAAGACGGTAACGAGCATCCGAGAAAATAGATTCACAATCAATAAATAACAGCAACAACCCCATCCGCTCTGCCCACCCTCCATACAATCAACACATCATTTTGTCATCGACCGGTCCCGCTCAGCTGCTGGCCTCCCACTCCTTCAACCACGCCCCGATCGCCTTGAGGCCCGCGTCCTGCACGCTTTTCACCGTCGCGTCGACCGTGCCCGCGCGCGTGATCAGGTCGGAGCAGTGGAACCCGTCGCTCACCGCGATCGGCTGGCTCGCGGTGCTCGGGACGTTCAATCCGTCCGCAGAGACGGTCGCGTCGCGCCAAGGGTCGCCTGCAAGTTGGACATGAGGTCAGCATGCAGGCAATGGATAAAAGAGATGTGTGTCGAAGCGATGGACGTAGAAAAGGAAGAGGGCACGCACGCTGTCCGTTCGCAAAGAACAGGTGGTCAACCTTCAAATTCCATCCGTCGTACGCGGCGTTCGTCTTCGCGGCGCCCGGCACGGGCGGCGAGCTGAACGCCTTAGGGAACATCTGCACGCACTGCCTCTGTTCACCGAAAATGATCGCATTAAAAAAATGCAGGCGAGTGAGAAACGGCACAAGACCGGCGGTAAGTATGAATCGAGATGCACGCACCTCATCGGCAGAAGGGTGCACTAGGCGCGAGACGACAGTGGGGTAGCCCTTGGGTGCCGAGTCCTGGAACCATCCGACCTCGTTACATCTGCATCCGCACAGAAGACACCCATTTAGTATGTGCACATGTACGAAAAAGCAGACACATACACGATCCAGGTCCACGAGCGCCCAGCATTATCGATCGATTCATCCGTCCAGTACGACTGGCTCGCGTTGTACGTCCCCAAGCACTCTCTGATGACGACAAAGATATAGTGAGTGAGTAAAACACTCCCCCTCGCACAAAGAGTATGGTACACGCACTCGGCAGTCTGGTCATCGCACACTACTCGCATCAACGAAAGCATGGATGCACCGAACAGCCACCCGTCAGTCTCACTTTCAGGAGCGCACGGGTAAGCATTGACACGTACGGATCGACAGATACGTGTTCTTGAAGTATGCGCCCCATGCGTCCAAGGCATGCTTCACGCCCCAGCCCTTCGCAGGCGCGCTAACGCCCGCCGCATTGACCTCAAGCGCGTCGCAGAATGCCCAAAACTGCGCGCCAGCACCCGTTGTAGGCGACAACTCTTGCCAATCCCACAGGTTGTTGCGCACTGTTGTACCAAATAAGTTTTGCGCGAAAATGAATCCAACAGCCAGAGAAGGAAGGATAGAAGTACATACGGGCCCCGGTGACGTCGTCCGCGTGCGTCACGTCTGACATGCCATACTGTTCCTTCAGCGCCGCTTGCTCTGCGCTCGTTCCGTTTGTGAACACTTTGTCAAAGTGCGCGACCACGGCCTGCACGTCGGCAGAGCAGTTCTTCGGCATGAACTGCCGGATAGGCTCGAAGTAGCCCCAGAAGTCACTGTGTGGGCACGATTGTGGAAGATGATGAACATGGAAAGGGGAGAGACGGTTATCAGAAAGGGACGACCCGAAAAGGAATGGCGGGGAATAAGGTACGTACATGATGCTCTCGACGACCGCGGATGACGCGTAACCGGCTTGGAAGAGGTCCGGTTTGCTGCACATGGGCGCCCATCAGCATTGTGGTCACAGCTGGGAATAGAATGGAGAATGTCGATCAATTCCATCGAGAAACAGTCCCGCGCGCGCATATAGACGCGTAGACGCGTGCGGATATATAGCGCGCGGAGGGAATGTGGATTCAGCGCGAGGAAACAACCGGGTCGTGCAAGAAAATATGTCGGTCTCCGACACATCTCCATGCATGCACCATGTGCAGCTCGAATTACCCCTTGAAGGGCTTTCCATGGCACCGACGAGTTCCAAGCGAACGTTCCACTCACTTGACCATCGTCCACGCAGTCAACGCGCCTAGCACCACGAGAATAAGCGCACATGATCCGTCTTGCGAACACGCTACTCACCGGAGTAGCTTCCGCCCATGAGCACCCACGGCGCCTGGCCAGGCTTGACCTTGTCCCCGCCAGGCATCGGCAAGTTCACGTTCTTCGTAAAGTACTCGAGGTCCTCGATCGCCTGCTGGATGGTGTGGTACTTGAGGCTCGCGACGGAGAGGTCAGGGTAGGGGTTGGAAAGGCCGTAGTAGCGGTGCTCGAGCACGACGGTTGCGCCGGACTCTTGCTGGGCGAGGAGGCCATTGACGGTCGCGTTGGTGAGATAGCGGAAGTAGGCTGTGCATGTACAAGGAGTGCAAGGTGATATATGCGGGAGTATGCGTCAGTAAATGCGCATGTATGCGCGCGTAAATGGACCTACGCGCAGCATTGGCCTCGCCAGGAGTTGACAGGATGATAGGTCCGCCTGCAAGATGACCGTATAAGCTCACAGAACGTGCATATATTTGAGTATCACCCGCCTTCCTCGTAGAACTCCCACGTGTGCCAGTACCTCTGCTTGAACGTCCCAAGACCGGGGTTAGTGTGGTCGATGAGCTGGTCAAAGTAGTAGGTCGTGTTGTAAGGCGGGATGGTCGCGCCGGATTTGCTGACGGGGGCGGAAGCGGCGAGATGCTTCTCCGCGGGAAGCGACGCGATCGGAGGGAGGGGGAATGGCGGCGTGTTTGGATGGGCCCGGCCATTGGAAACGGCGGAGACGGAGACGGTAGAGGCGGCGAGGGCGAGGAGGAGGGGGGAGAGCATGGCTGGAGCTCTCGGGGGAGCGGGGAAGAGGGGGGGAGAAGGATGGGGAGGGCCTTGGAGAAGACATCGGGAAGCAGGGGCTTATATAGGGCGACGGGACGATGGAAGGTGGGCTGCTTCTATGACCGGGCACTGACTAGCACGCGACGCAAACGCAAGATGCGGGGACGAGGAACGCATGGCGCACGCCTACGGCCACACCGTCCGATAAGTGCGCCATATGCCTTCGCACATCGCTAGGCACCCTCTGGGCCCTGGCACCCGTCGTCGCACTCACACGACGAGCAGCGACTGCAAAGCGCACGGCCAGACCGCCAGGCAACCAGAAGATGAGGCTGCGATCACACGGCAGGCGACTGGGCAGGCGTGACATCGTCATCACAAACTCATCTTGAATAAATTAGTGGACATAACACAACGCTCAACAATATAGAGGCATGCTCATTCTTCGAGTTTGTGAAGCTGGCACGGAATTGAACCAATCACAGCAGGAAGAACAGTAGGTTGTTGCCGCGAACAAATATAAACTTGAATGAATTCGAGATGACAATGTCACGCCTACCTAGGGACGTGAAGCCCCAGCAGCCTGAAGCATGCAAACGGGCCTCGTACTTTAAGCAGCATGGCGCAGCTGGTATAGCGCGCAGGGCCCATACCATTGGTCACCCTGAGGTCCCTCGATCGAAACGAGGTGCTGCTACTTTTTCCACCACGTCTTAGTTGCTCACATCACCATCGCTTTGGCCCGTGGAGACCGTTAGATTGTTGGTCTTCGCTGTTCCCGCGTACACTATTACTGTCTTCGATACAACAACAAACACACTATATTCTAGTCATCCTCTTCCCCCTCTTCGTTATCCGACACAGCTGGCAAGAACGCGTGCTTCACATCCAGAATCGTGTCGTTCAGCTCCGTCTGCGACCGCCCCGAGCAATACTCACATCGACACAAGGGGCCGTTCCGCCCATCGCGCGGCATGCCCTTCATCAACCACTCGGCGTGCAGTACGAACTCCTTCGGCGAGCTGAAGTATCGGCACCGCGGGCTCAAGGATCCTGCGAAAGATGCGTGGGAGGGATCAGGTCAGGCGGAGGCAGGAAAGGCGACGCGCGCGTTGGGCGTACCATACAGATAATAATCCCGTCGGACGTCGTGGTCTTCGCCCGCGCCTAGCTTGCTGGTCTTCTTCACCCAGAGCGTATACCCCTCCGGCCATTTCCAGAGCGCCCAGATGTGCTCTCCCGCTGAGATCTGACGAGTAAGCTCTTGCCCTCTCCACCACAAACGTCAATAGACCACACAACGAGAGCTACTCACGTTCCTGACCCCTCTCAAACACCACCCGCGCCAAATACCGCCCGATCTTCCTCTTCCACATCTTCGCCGGCCACTCGCTCGGCCACACGCGCTCGAAGGAGCACACGCGCCCGTCGGTGCCCACGACGTACGGCTCTGCAGGCGGTACGTTCGTCCTGTCCCCGTCCGACACGCGCAGCGTGATCTTGTTCCCGCGCACCTCGTAGTACGGGGACACGCACGTGAACCCACCGTGCCGTCGCGGTGTCTCTTTCGGCGGCTCGGAGTGCGTGTGTGGCGGCACCTGCCCCCACGTATGCTTTTGGCGGTAGGCGCCGCGCGCTTGCGGGCGTGCGGTGGGGGCGGAGGACGAGGAGGCTGATGCACCGGGCCCGAGTTGGTTGATCCGGAGGATCGCAGCGCGGCGGTTGGCGAACGTGGGGCTAGGGGCGGGGGGCGCCGATGAGCCACCCATCGCCGCTATCGTTGTCCTCGCTGCATCGTCTTTCGCGCTCGGCCTCGCGTGATCCTTCACCATGCGAGGATAATCAATCGAGGTTCGTTATGTTCGGGCGATGGGGCGATGTACGCGCGCGATGGGGGTATAAAAAGTGAACGCTTTCTTTGATTAAACTGGTTGTAGATGATTCGTTTGCGTTCAAGGGGCAGCGAGACAAGGAAGAAGAAAAAATTGCGCGATGCTCGACGCGACGCGATATATAGTGGTCAACAAAGATTGGAGAAACTCGCTGAGTAATCATTGGCTATCGAATGTTACCTAAATAGGCTCTGGACTCTCACTCCGAGTGCTATTATATGGTCTTAACAAGAACCTCGTAAATCAAATTTACAACAATAAGAACATCCCTTCATAGCTTGTTGTTTCTCTTAAAATTACAATTGATACCAAGAAAGTCTTCAAACTATGTCATCTAATAGAAATAATCAAAATCAATTCCATAAAAATTCTTGAGAGGCATAAACATACATTTTAATCAAAGTCTCATATAGATTCCATGTGAGTATTATCCTTTGTTCTGATAGGCTTATACAAAGCTTTGAGCTTCCTCGTATTTCTAACCTGATGAGGATTATTCTTCTGGTTTCGAATATCTTTTCCTCTCAGCATTTGGGTTACCTCCCATTGTTTGACTCCACTACAATATGTGCATCGACAGTCTGGAAGATGGTTTGGCTTTGTAGGCATGCTTTTCATCAACCACTCCACATGAAAGGCAAATTCATATGGGGATCGAAAGCAGGGCACCTTCGAGGTTGTAGATCCTGTGAAAAAAAATGAGTATCTTTGTAATCTTATTGATGAATAAAGCAGAAGGAATCCTACCATAGAGGTAATAATCACGTCTGGCATTGAGCTTGTTTGACATCTCTCCATTCAAGTGGACATACAAAGTGTAGCCCTTGGGAAACCTTCCCAGCTTCCACTTCGGCTCACTTGCTAGAAGAAGAGATAATAATCAGATTAAATCTCGACCATATTGGAAAGAGAAACACACGACGCAATGGTCTCCCTAAGGTATGAACTGCTAATAGCTTTCCGATGGTTGTTCGCCAGTGCACCGATGCAGCATCATCAAGTCCAACAACTTTATAAACTGAGAATGTTTTGTCTTCGAGATCATATTCGTCAGGTGGTGGTTCTCTCCCTTCACCATCCGACAATTTGATCGTAATGATATTATTCTCGACTCTGAAGGCATCCCTAACGACACTGTATCCCTGTGAGACAACAACGGCGGATGCGCGCTTCATCACAGACATCGATAGAGGGTTTCGCTGTGAAGTGCCTTCGATGGCAGAAGCCTTTATCGAAGGATAAACACTGAGTTTATTTACCCGACGAATGCTCTCAAGCCATGCACGATGGTTTGCTTGCGAGACCCTGATCTTTAGAGGGGAATTGCTCGAGACAACTCCTGTGGGAGCATGAGGAACACCACGATTATCCATGAAGGATCGCGAACAATAATCTGTAGTCACAGTAAGGCACACAGTCACTTTGCGAGTAAAATTTAATATATTCACCGATTATAGAGTCGCACGGGCGAAATGGAAGGATCGGGCTTGTAGATACAAGGAGCGGGGAGCGCTTCTGAATGCCAAGTGGCGAGTGTGATGGGACACCTTTGATGAAGACGTCAGCGTCAGTCCTAAACACGACAGTACTGATAGACGCTGCTCACCACGTGAGAATACCTTATCTTATCACGTCGCCTCGAGTGGTGTGCAGTCGGGAGTCGCAGATAGATCGATGAAGTTGAGGGGTATGGTCAAGGTACCCTCAGGCAAACGCACCCTCGATCGCTCTTATATATGCATCCCCATCGTCAGCTGATCAGATGTTAGATTCCAGATGATTCTGGCGCAATCTAGAAGAGGACATTCCACGAGCTACATGAATCGACTGCCATTGGCCGGCCGTTCCCTTCCTATTGTGCAAACAATGAGCATCGGAAGGAACTTGCATGTGTACTATTCCAACATACCGACCAGTTATCTCGTTAGCGACGGTTGCAGCCCATACCTGTTCAAGTGCTTTCTTTCGTAAAGAAACATCGACTTGCATTTCCCCAAATGACTGAAGCTTGAGGTCACGATAGGCAACAGTGCTGGCACGGTTCATTTGGTGGACACTGGTGAAAGCATTGCAGCTGACGCACGAGTTGCACGAGGCGTGGTTGAGTCAATGAGAGTCGATCACCACTCCTCGGACTCTTCGATGTGTGGGAAATCTGATTGCGAAGGGTAAGATCAATTAACAAGAATTGAAACTGATTAGACTTCCAGACATACGAGGAGGTGGAGGGGTGAGGCAAGCATACTAGTAGCATTGAGGCTCCTGATCCTATTTATTTACAGACTCCTGATGATCGAACAGATCTTGTAAGTAGTCCCACAATTGGAGTCATTGCTGAGACACAGAGGTGTAGGACGTACCAGCAGATTCTAGACTACACGCACCTCGGACGTACTCATTCTCGAAGATCGAAGGCCACTCTCGTCGAACAAATTACATCGTCCAGCTCATCACCTGTATTCGAGGATAGGCACCTTTGCGCCGCTCGGTATATGGAGAGGAGTCAAAGAGCGCGGCTAGTGGACAAGCTTCGGAGTTGCAAACGACGTGACGTGTTCGACTGCCTTGCCTTTCCGGACCCACGAAGGCCCACAATGTACGAAGATCCAAGAGCGAGGGAAGGGGGTCCGCGACCAAGTTCACCACATCTGGTCGATGTCGGTGTGATGCCCAGTTTTGCTGGTTGTTCTGACGGCCACTCCTCGGACAATGATTGGGCTTCCCAGCATACTTCTCTAAATTCGATCGAAGTCGCCTTTCAACTGGAACTCACATGCTCTTGACCACCTGACATAGCTCCTCATCAAGACAGTCTTCTCAAGGTCTCTGGTTCTTATCGCCTTCGGCACGCAGTTGGCGTTGGGTGGCACATAAGGTTCTACAACCGAGTATTAGTGAATGTTCCCCACCTCCCTGAATCTTCGCTTCCCCTTCAGCTAGTCCGAGACTCCGAACATATCATGGAAAGTCAACCCCGAAAGCATGTGCCGTATGATCAGTCTTCATCTGTGAGATCATGAATCCATCTCTGATACTGAAACACAGTGCGCCTGGGCAACTCTGGACTGAAGGTGTCACGGATTATCCTGGGATGCATGTCATATGGTTCTTCTGAACGGATGCCTTGGGTGCTCGGTGAGGAGGAAGGGATCAGGCATGTCAAGGCTGCGTGAGTACTCTCTTTATCTCACCTACACCGAACTCCTCACATATGTTTGATACAGCTACGATATCGGCACTAGACGTTCGATACTGCAAATGTACGTCGGTCATTATTGTGCAGGCAAGCTAATTGATAACACTTTCAGATCTACTCAAAAGGGCTATTCTTGGCAAGGCAATCAGATAACACAACCTCCCTCGCGAAGAACTTGTGATCATGACGAAGGTCAATCCCAGTCACTTATAAGCGAGAGCTGCATTGTGACTATCATCTGACTGCTAAGGTCCACGGCCTCGTAACAAGAACAGTGACAGAAAAACATGTTGGACAAAATCCGGAGGACTTCGGATATGTTAATCAAGAAGGCCTCAGTCGAAAGCATATCTTCGACTCTGTCAAGCACAGTTTGAGGCGCTTGCAGTTAGATTATATCGATGTCTTGCAATGTAAGCATATCCTTACTTTTTTTTGACCTTCAAGTCGACTTGTGGCACTCCGTCGTGTTCACGTCATCGATTTGACGAGAACACGCCCATTGAGGAGACCGTGAGTAGTGTTATGTACTCCTCAATGTGCTCGCTTAGACGAACACTAGATGCAAGCACTGCATGACGTAGTCTGCGCTGGGTCCTGCCGGGCTTGGCAATGTGCGTATCAATATTCACGGGGATTCCGACTCTCGCTCACTGAAACGTCCTTGAGGTGTCTAGTTCATGCTATGCAAAGTATGTCCTTATCAGTTTGTTCTATCAATTTTGTTGATCTTTATACTCAAAAGACTACGCAATCGCGCACGGGTTGACCCCATCCATATCGATGCAGAATCATTACAACATGATCTACCGAGAAGAAGAGCAAGAGATGATGCCTGTCCTGAAGGTGTTTTTTTCTGTACAATCTTCCGTCCGCGTTCTTCGTCTCAATGTGTCAGCATTTTGGTGTTGCATCAATGCCGTAGTCGCCCCCTGGTCGTGGTCTCCTTGCTCGTCCCGCAAGAGCGGAACGAACTACGCGTGGAAGTTTTGATCGGTACGTACGGACCATTTTAGCATTTGCCCGCCCGATCCTCCAAGTATAGATGGCACGCGATGTATCTTGACGACTCAGGCGCCGCACAGGTCATCGATAGGTATGTTTTCATTTCTATCTTGTCTGGTCTTCGGTTTCATGTTGTTTTTCGCTAGAGTGGAAAAACTTTCCAAAAACAAGGGAGTTTCCACGGCTCAAATCTCGATGGCATGGATCCTGTCCAAGGACGGTAGATCAGCTTTCGCACCCATTCAGCAGTTATCCGGGCTCAAATCACTCTGTATCCTTGGTGTTACATCAGTTGTGGCGGCGCCAGTGATCGGTACTACCCCGCTTGACAATCTGTATGATATCGTTGGTACGTTCATGCTTTCCTGCTGAAGAATCTCACATCTATATGCAATTACTTTAAAATCTTCCAGGCGGATCAGACGTGAGCCTCACGGGTGATGAGGTGAAGTATCTGGAGGAGGCATATAGGCCAATGCCCATTCTCGGACATTCTTAGTTCTGGTTCCGCATGTGTATCACAGACTGCGAAAACTCCATGAGCGACACAGTTCCTTGCATGTTTTTTTTTCTGCGAGGCCGTGTTCCGCATGTTACAAACGCTGGTGAGGTACGTCGGAAAGTACGTGTGTTTCTGCTTCCACCACTCTGATTCCGATTATCTGACATAGCCTTTCACTCGGTGAAAAGCCCCTCAAGACATTGGACTGTGTAAATAGATCGAGTATCTTTGTGCTTCCGAATCGAGATCATTCAGAAAAAATGTCCTGGTATAGTAGTGCTTCCCGTGATAAGGTCATCGATGTCGTTCACAGCAATCCAAACATGCTAGACGCTGTTGGAGGCTTTCAATCGAAATTCAGCTCGTCCAGGGGCATAGTAGCGAAATGCTGTCCAGGATGCTGTTTATGGTAGAATTTGAGAGCCTCAATACTCAATATGTCTTCTGTAGGCCGGAAAAGCGACAATATCGTTGTTTCGGAAGAGAAAACAACAGATCACCCCTTCTTTTGTTCCCGATGCGAGCTGCATGATGACCGCGCTTGAGAAGCACCTGCATCAGCTAGTCCTCTACCGTGGATTCCAAGATTGGAACACACTGCGGTTACTTTCCAGTGTAAGGGGTTGGACGGACCCACCCGGTCTGGAGAACTGTGCCTGCCCTGATCTGCCCTGATGCTTCGGAATGTTCCCACATACCAAGATCCTTCAAGATCGCGGTGTCGAGGCGTGTCAATCTGTGTCTGCCTGTGTCCGCTGTGCCCATAGTGGCGCAGCGCGCCTATACGGCACTGCGAGGATTTTTTCTCCCCTTTCCTCAATGGAGCTGCAGGCTGTGCGTGGGGTTTTGAATCTGCCCGGACGAAAGTTTAATTGTCTTGTTCCGTGGCCATACCGAGCGAATACTCTTTCGGAGACTTTACACTTCCGCGCAGAGAAAAAAGCAACACAATTTCCCATGATGCGCGAGAGCCTCGCAAGATGTGGATGCAGGCGCAGTAAAGGTACGGAGTAAATGACTATAGGCAAGTGGAGTGTTCTGTCACCGGAGCTCGCGTAAAGTGACGGTTGGGGTGCCACGTGGCAGCTGTTGATCTCGACAGCCACGAGCAGCGGACTCAGCAACTCACCCGTCATCATGGGCGTCTACTACTACCATGTCTACTTCTGGATCATCGTAATCGTAGAGATTAACACACGGATAGGCTCTGGGCTTCGCATTTTTTTATGACTTGCAAGGAAATAACTTCTATAGTCGATAGGGAGCCGGTTACAATTGCTTTGTGAGAGCAATATACGTCGCCACGGCCTGGTATGGACTCTCGCATATGGTAAACGCTTGCACTCACTAGCTGTTGCGAATTGACCAAAGCTCGATTTTGCTGATCACGCCTGACACCACCTTCATATCAACTTGCCGGCCCATTCGCACGTCGCCAGAGTCTTCCAGTCATCCTTCCTGTTGCGACCAGTTTCACAGCCTGCACTTCTATAATGTTGAGGGCTGCACTGGATCACGCCTCCACACTGTCGCCGAGATAGTCCGGGCTCCGAGGCGATTGTGGCTATCATGGTCGGCAAGTTGACCTGCAGATATTCAAAATTATAATCAAGTCAGACGCATAAGGTACGCCAACAACAGGTTCTGGGGCCATCTGTCGATAGAGACGGAGCGCCTACGAATCTCGGATCTGAAAAAGGCCCCGAGCTCAAGAGCGCTCAAGGCTCCGTTCTTATGACTGGTTTACAGCTTTTCTTCCGTTTGTATCCCCGACAGCACCCAATAGCTCTTGAATGTTGGGTGTCCAGTCGAGCAACTTTGCGTTTCATCGTCACAGCCAACCCGCCGTGCGTCTGACCATCCCAAGTCCAGACTCAAGCATGGTCGCACACAGACAGGTGGTATGCAGACGGGTTCTCGGACAGTATCGCCAGGACACGGTGGTACACTCAAACCATTGTCAGGATTAACAGATAATGTTCATATACCTTGACGCTTGTTCCCGCTACTTATCCGGTGGTGCAGTGCGCATCAAAGACAAACCGGCCTCTAAGGGAAATTTTATCCAGCTCAAAGCTCCTACGTGTTTCTACTTTACGGCAAACTCGCTATTCATTACCATCCGCGTTCTCAAGCTTATCAACATGAATCGTTATCTAGCGTACTGCACCCATCATACCCGTCTGCTGATACAGATGGAGAAGGTGCGCGGATCGACAGCTTTGATCAATGGCTCATGTCTGTATACTTAGACGAGGTCGAGCATCACATATAAAGCAGTCTATGCGCGATCATACTCCTCACTCAACACCACATCCTGAGTTCGCCTCAGCGTTGACTTACTTCGAACACTTTAGCCTGTGCACTCTATCGTGAGCATGATATCTTCCTTTTATAGTTATCGTCACGGTTGTCTGACCCTCATTCGTCAGGCCTACGATAATTTCAATGGCCCCGACGATCACCAAACCATTGCCCTCAACTTCTTCACCTATGGACATCGGCATCATCGGCGGCGGCGTTGCTGGGCTCTATTCAGCTCTCCTCCTCAGGAAAGCGGGCCATAATATCCACATCTTTGAGGCGAATAATCGTGTCGGGGGTCGCATTTACACCCACCACTTCTCATCCGAGAAAAACCAGTACTTCGAGGCTGGCGCGATGCGCATTCCTAACTCTTCCATGCAAAAGGTTGTGCTCGACTTGATTGCGCACCTCAACGCCCGCCACGATCTCCCTTCCGATAAACACATCCGTCTCATCCCCTACATTCTAAACAGCTCTGGAAACTGCCTCTACATGAACGGCCTTCGGAGGGACGGGTATCGTGTCATGAACACGACGCCTGCAGATATCAATTGGGATGTCCCGCCCAGATACCTCGGACGCACAGCAGGCTCTCTATTGATGGAGGTCCTTAGACCTTTCCTCGAGGATCTGGAACGAGACTTTGAACGCGGATTCGAATCCCTCCTGAAATTCGACAGCCTCTCCTTCCGTGACTACCTCAAGTTGATCGCTCAGTGGGAGGACGAAGTGATCGATTTTGTGGAGACGGTTTGCTCCCAGACGAACCAGTATGCACTTGGCTGTGTCGAGATCGTCATGCAGCACTTGGACTTCATGACGCAGGAGTGGTTCACGATTGAGGATGGTATGGATCGCCTCCCCCAAGCGATTGCGCACGTCATCGGTCTCGACAAGATCACTTTCGGTGCTCGCGTTACTGGCGTTCATGATACGGAACATGGCGTTGACATCACAGCACAAGGATACAACGGTATCTTCCGACATTCCTTCGACAAAGTCATCTTGGCAATCCCTCCCGCTGCCTTGAAGATGATCGCTGATCGCTCTCGATGGAGTCCTGCGAAAGAGCTAGCCATTCGTTCGATGCACTTCGAGCCCCTATACAAAATGGGCATGCGCTTCAAAACCCGGTTTTGGGAGCGCGGATCCGCCAATAGAGGGGGCCAATCAGCGACGGATCTTCCAATTCGGTGGATAGTCTACCCGTCCAATGGCATCGGTGAAAACGGGCCTGGCGTTCTTTTGCTCTACTCCTGGATGACGGACGCCAGTACATGGCTTTCCCTGACTGAAATCGAGCGCCGAAGTCTAGCCCTCCGCTGCTTAGACGAAGTGTATCCCGACGTCGATGTATACGGCCAACTCATGGAGACGTTCGACATTGCATGGGCAGCGCAAAACGCGACGGGAGACGCGATGTTCCTTCCCGGCCAATTCCATCTGCGCTTTGAGGATGCACGCAGGCCAGAAGGAAATGTCTATTTTGCAGGGGAACACCTCTCCAGACACCATACGTGGATCGCGGGTGCCCTGCTATCTGCTTTGCACAGCGTGCAGGAGCTTCTTGGTGATAGTTCCGGGACCACGGTGGAACCATTTGCTCCTATTCGACCGCTTTCTATTTTCGAGTCTTCGATTCAGTATGACATCTAAATGCCTAATCATACATCATGGCTCGCCCTGCCACGCTTAATGACAGGTTTTTCTTGTGTTTGGCTTACAAAGTCATAGAGAGGCCCTTTTTTCTTGTATTTATCGAGATATACATATGTATCAGATCACTTACGCTGTACTTTTATGGCTACTTTTACAGCACATACGCATCATTTATGGAGCAGGTCTCGAGCGTATACTTGTAGTTACAGTCTCTTATGCGACGTCCTCAGCTTAAAGCGTCAGCGCATTGCACCGGCTCGCACTGACCCGGCGGAGGCCCTCGGGACTAAAATCACAACCGCGTCACCAATGCGCTTTCGCTCAACAACCTCTCGGCTTTTTGCGTGGACATGCGTTTTACGGCGTTGCTACTCTCGGGTTGTGCGCCATGGATGTTTTTTTTGTACTGCTGCATTGTATTGAAGAGCCAGATGTCATCTCTTGCGTGGCGGTACGTGGCTCTTGCATAGTGCAGTCTGTCCATGTTGAGTTTTGCCACGCTTGACCCTGCTGATGCATTTTCATCACTCATGGACGACCCAAGCACTCATACCCATTCAGATATGCAACTCCTTCCTACAATGGTCTTACTGATGAGAAGCGCGTCAGATGTTGTGATCATGGATCAATGGGCTCTGGAAGATTGCGCTTGGGTCTTCACGCAGCGCCACGCTGAGAAGCCCGGGCCTGAAACGATAATCTATTGTCTAGGCATGTCAAAGCATTTTGATCGGCTGTTGAGTGTGGCACTCAATTTGGCGGGTACCTGTTTTGACCACTCAACTTTCCTTAAAAGCCTACCCTCCCGGGCGTTTTCGCGTGTCTTCCCCCTCTTCTACTCACGTCCTATTTGTCGAAAACTACTCATCTCAATCACCCATCGCCATCCATGGGGGAACTTCAGAGGGTGTGTAATATGTTACTGAATGTGACTCGCGATCTGATATTGTAGACTGTAATCTAGACCTTCTCACAAACCCCTGGGCCAGGTTCGACAGACAGCAGGACGCAAGACAGACTCGAGGAAAACAGAATCATCCAGACACAACAATGGTGCGACCTCGTTGGACTACCTCAGAATGGTGCTATCGAGGTGCATGAGATGCGCAAGCGTTTCTATGAGAAAAACACTGTGAGGATGCCACTCGATGCGATCATCGGTGCATGCATTGTCGTCGCCAGTAGAGAAACAGATCGCGCCATATCGATCGAAACAATCTGTGAGCAAATGCGCCTTGATCAGCGGGTCGTCGCGCTATGCCACAGCGAACTGGGGCGCATTAAAAACACGCGCAAGCCTGTTTCGACATTTTCTGCATCCTCTCTGCAGACCAACTTGGAAGGGAATAGCTCGCAAGATTCGTCGCAAGATTCGTCGCAAGATTCGTCGCAAGATTCGTCGCAAGATTTGTCCCAAGATTCGTCGCAAGATTCGTCGCAAGTCGACTTGTGGTTCGAGCAGTCTCAAGATCCTTCGCAAGTCGACTTGTGGTTCGAGCAGTCTCAAGATCCTTCGCAGGTGGACTATGATTGTGAATATTATGCACAAGACCCATCTCAGTGGACCTTTCGATCCTCGCCTTATCAGGACGCCTCAAAGAACACGTCGGAGGATGTCGCTCAGTACCACCACCTGCAGCATGCCGTCTCGGAGGATGCCTTCCAGTTTCCATCCTCGCAGCCTGCCTCACATGCCACCTCCCAGCACTACTCCGAAGGATCCTCCCAGGACGAGGACCTTCGTTCTATACACTCAGAGGATCTCTTATACGGCTCATCTCAGGAGTCTGATAGCTCAGATTCACAGGATACTGTACGACCAGGCTCTCCAGAGCTCGTCTCTCAGAACGTTCCTCAAGATATCGTACCAATCCAAGATAATGCACTCCTTTACGCCTACGTGGATGACCTCCAACCGACAGATTCGTACCTCGTTGGTCAGGTAGTCGGTCAAGCATCCGAGTATGCAGTCGGGCGCGCGGTGTCCGACGCCCTCGACTTCTCCGAGTCACAGGATTCTCAGCACTCCTTCCAATGCGCCTCCCAGGGCGACGCGTTGTTCTTTGCTTCACAAGAGGAGTCACAAGAATCTGTACAATCCTCCGATCAACGGGATGGCTCACGAACCCCCGTGCAGGACCCGTTGTCACAGTCTTCCCAACGCTCAACGACTACCACAAACTACTTTGGCTCGCAGTCCTCCTTTGGCTCGCAGTCCTCCTTTGGCTCGCAGTCCTCTTTGGGCGCGCTGTCCTCCTCAGGTTCGGAATCTACCTCGGGCTCTGAATCTGCTTCAGTCTATGACTTCTCCGCGACTCCATCCACTTCCCCACCCACTTCCCCACCCTCCACTCCTCGAGCGTCTAATTTTAAAACCTCGACGCCTCCACCCTATGATCGGGAAACCGAAGAGAGACAGTCTGTTCATCAGTTCTGCGATACGCTTAACCTCTCTGAGCGGGTCAAGCTGAGATGCTGGGACCTCCTCGTTCAAGCTCGCTCTCTGGGACTTTTGAACAACAGTTTCGACCTCAACGCGAATGCGGGCGGCATGGTTTTCTTTGCTTCTCTCTTATACCATGAACGGAGGCCTATCAACATTGTTGCCAAAGTAGTCCGCTCTACATCTGTAGATGTCAGGGAAGTTTACAGGATTTTCTTCGACGCACGGGATGGGCTGGTCCATGAGCGATTGCTCGAGGAGTTCGGGTCGTTGAGTTACTTGTTGCACCCTGATGCGGTCAGAGAGAGCCGTGGCTTTGAGGTCACGATTACACCTCTACGGAGAGGATGAATGATGTACTGTCTTTGTACTAGAATATTATGTCCAACATAAACTTGTAGATGCCCTTAGGAGTCCCCTAGGGACGCCCTGTTCGAGATTGAACTCCGCGGCCTCTGGGTCATCTCGATCACAGATGCACTTGCGATTAATCAGATAAGATTCTCTTTTCTCCTTCCGCTGCAATGGGCGCGAACAACTCGAAGAGAAGCGTGGTGGTCGTGGGCGGAGGAGGCGCGGGCTCTAACATCGCCGGCTATCTATCCACCAAACTAGATCCAGCGCAGCACTCACTCATGTTGATCAACGCGCGCCCATTCCATGTGTTCTTGCCCGCGACCGTCCGCATGACGGTCACGACCGACGGGAAGCTCGAGGAGCAGATTCTCATCCCATTCGACCGTGTGATGTCGAAGGGAATTGGAGAGTTCAAGGTGGGCCGCGTGGTAGGAATAGAAAAGGACGAGCGAGGCGGCGGATCGGTTTTATTGGAGGGCGGTGAGAATGTGTGGTATGACGTGCTTGTCCTTGCACCGGGAACGATGTATGAAGGACCGATCGAGTATCCTGACACAATGGAGGCCACTCTGAGACAAATAGAGGCATGGAGAAAGAAGGTTTTACATGCAAACACGATCGTTCTTTCCGGCGGAGGGCCTGTAAATATAGGTGAGTTCTCAGCATCACTCACTACCATCTGATCTACAGTTACGACACATTATAGAATTGTCGGGCGAGATAAAATATTATTACCCGGTGAGTGATTTCTTGCACAGGCTAAGAATCACAGTGCTAGAACAAACCGCCACAGGAGAAGAAAGTGACAATCGTTCAGAGCGGATACCTTCCTCTCAACAGGATCTACCCTGATTACTTCCGGGAGCGCGTCGCTGAAGCCATAACATCTCGCGGTGTCGAGTTTATTTTCAACGACTACTTGGATCAAGATGCAGCCCAAGACGGGTTTGTTACCACGCGCAAGGGCCAAAAGATACCCGCCGACCTCGTTGTAAGCCAGCCGAGATACCAAACATGATGCTTTAGAATTCTTACTTCACCTCAAGATGTCTTCTCATGGAGGTCGACCGAACACAGATTTCATCAAAACTCTCGGGCCAGACGCTGTCACATCCAGAGGCCTCGTACCTGTTACGCCCTCGCTCGAACTTTGTGGACACCCAGGCATCTTCTGTGCCGGGGACGTCCTCGACAACTCTGAGCGCAACACGCTCGGAAAGTATGAAGGTCACGCAAATGTCATCGTGGCCAATGTGTTGAAATGGCTGAAAGGAGAGCCGAGTGACAGCAAATACGAGGGCACGCTGGAGGCCATAGGCATCACGATGGGGAAGGTACGTCACCTGGTACACATTTGACGCCTGTTCACTGATAGATCGTCGTGTGACGACTAGACCGGAGGCGTAACATACCTTGGAGATGGCACAGTGGAGGGAGACGAGTTCACTCGAAAGTACCAAGCTGAAAAACTCTTGGTGCCATATGGAAGAGGGAAGATGGGGTACGGACAGACAGATCTTACAGACACAACAGAGTGACGGAATTGATGTAATTCCATCAACATAAGACTGTTTTTATCTGGCGACATTTGGATCCATGAAGGCGAGTCATAGTTCAAGCGAAACCGTCTGGAACACCACGTCACGGGTAGTCACGATGTGACTCAAGGAGCCTGCGCTTTTCGTTTGTCATCCGTTTGTCCTGTCCTTCACCTTGACCACGACTCCTTTGTTCCTCTGTCTCCTAGTCTCCCTCGGATTCGTCTGATTGTTTTCAGGTGTCGATTTGCAGGAGTCTGGGGCCTTCCCAGTCGCACGCGCGGTAGGTACCAGCGAAACACTAACTCTCTTTTCACAATGGGATTGAACTCGTATAGCGACGAGGTCTGCCTGCTGCGTCTCAAGCACAGAGGGTTTTTTCTCCGCTCGACAACACCTCCTGAAACACTTCAACGCCACTCGCACCCCCCATTCTTCAGCTCCTCGCTACCCCCACCTCGCACGAGCATCCCACGATGGCCTACTCTCAGCCCTTCCCTCTTGCGGCCCCCATAAAACCTCAGCAGGCAAACTATGCCCCGGATCTAGCCGTTCGGCTTATCTGCCCAGAATGCAAAGATCCGAACCCGAATATCATCGAAGAGTTTGGCAGTGGCGACCTCGTGTGCGGTGGGTGTGGCTTGGTCCTCGGTGATCGTGTCGTAGATACACGCAGCGAGTGGCGGGTACGTTGACTCAATCTGTCTTTCTCGTTCCGTTTGTGATCAAACGGTCGAATTAGACGTTTGCGAACGACGAGGGAGACGACCCATCGCGTGTGGGTGCCGCGTCAGACCCCCTCATGGATGGGATTGAGCAGCTGGACACCATCATCAGTTTCCGTGATGGCGGGTCGGGAATAGCGCGAGAGCTGCAGCGCGCTGCGTCGCGCTCTCAGAGCTCCCGCTCGGAGCGTAATCTTCTTTCCGCCTTCCGCGACATCTCCAGCTGGTGCGACCAGTTTTCCCTTCCCAAAACCATCAGCGACATCGCCAAGCAGCTCTACAAGCGCTCGGACGAGGAAAAACTGTTGCGCGGAAAGCCGCTCGACGCGGTCATCGCCGCGTGCATTTTCATCGCATGCCGACAAGCGCACGTTCCCCGCACGTTCCGGGAGATCTGTAATCTCACGCACGTATCGAAGAAGGTGCTCGGCCAGTGCTACAAGGCGCTGGAGCAGGCGTTCAACCTCACCCCTGGTGCGTCGGCACACCACTCGAGCACGCCGGCCATCTCGACCGGGCCCGAGGACCTGCTCGTGCGCTACTGTAACCACCTGGACCTGCCACCGAATGTGCAGGCGATTTGCAAGGATATCATCGTGGAGGCACGTAATCATGGCATTGCGGACGGACGCAGCCCCGTGTCCATCGCTGGGGGGGCGATTTACTTCACGTGCCACCTGCTGGGCAAGGCGAAATCGGCGAGAGATATCAGCTCGGTCGCCGGTGTCAGCGAAGGGACTATCAAGCTGGTATACCGGCTGTACTACGCGGAGAAGGAGAAGTTGGTGAAGCAGGAATGGATCAAGGGCGGCAAGGCGAGCTTGGCTCGCTTGCCTGTAGACCAGTCGGCGAAATAGGACAGCATGGAATTTTCTGTAGGGGGGGTTTGTAGACTAGCCCATGGTATAATGATAGCCGCCGTAGGTCAGTGTAAGTTTCTTTTGACTATGACTGTCCTTCTTCACATGTATCCCTCCTTCTGAATAAAACCATCGTTTAGTTCTCGTCTGAATATCACTGAATGTTTCCTAAAGGTGCACTGCGTCGCGGTAAGACTCCGCTCTATCGACGCGCGATCATCGTCACAGCTGCATCAACAAAATAGGCAGCCGAGGAGCACCAAATCGCCCCAGGCGCTGACCTCATCGGCATTCGCGGCAATGAAGCCTTATCCGGTCCTTGACAGACGACATAAATCATGCATACCTATTCACAAATGAAGTTTGTTTCGAGACACAATCGGCCATGTGTACTGATGTGGGTCAATAAGCACGACCGCCGTGTGGAGTGCAGCCGAGTGACATACGATGACTCGCAAGGATGTTGATGCACGGTTTGAACAGCCAGCGCGGGGTTTTGACTCAGCTCGGAACGGGCTTCAACGGGTGCAGAGGAACGGACCCGCGATCTGTAAAGACCGCATCATACACGCCCCCCTTTCGTCAAGGCAAGAGATCTGCCTGGATGCGGAGATTCGTTCGGCGCAAACCCTGCCCCAGACGATGTGCTCCAGGAGGCCATATGGGCCTGTGCGCCTATTCTGTAGCAGCTGGTGATCCGACGTAGGGGTGCGATATGTAACTCAGGCCTGCAGGTTTCTCCGAAGAGGAGCATCACTCGCAGAGCCGAGTCGTGCGAATGTAAGAGCTTTCTCGCAACAGCAGGTGGATGCATGACCATGCTCGGAAATACTGTATTACGCACAGCCGCATAAGGCTATCAATGACAACAACACTGCACACCACCATCGGGTACACTGACGAAAGTCAATAGAAACGATCATACACGCAGATAAGCAAGAAAAAAAAAGGGAGAGGCTCATCATGAAATGGTAGGACGATCTACCGCCTGCCCTTCCCCCTCTTCTTCCCGTCTCCCCCGCCCTGCTTCCTCGCCAGTGAGACGCTGCCTTGGCCCTTCGAGGCAAACCGCACGGCCTTCCGCACGTTGAGCACGTCGTCTCCGTCCTCCGGCCTCGCTTTTTTAGGCTCGGTTCCGAGCTTGGAGAGGAGTGCCAGGTTGGCGTCTTTCTCACTTTCCACGGATTTTTCTGCGGGGTCGAACTATATCGCAAGAGCAAAGACGAAGGAAGGATATCGAAAATTTTAGAAGTTGAAACTAATAATAATGGGGCGAAGGCTGGCGAGACGAACCTTGCGCTTGACACCCCGCAGCTTCTTCTCGCCCTCGAGCTTCTTGTCGAACTTGCCCATGCTCGCTGTGCTGGTGCGCGTCGTCGCGAGCGTTCGCTCGATATCCTGTTTTCGCTGGTCGCGCTCCCCGGATCCGCCCTGCGCACGGGCAATGTTCTGCAGCCGCTGGCGCTCGTTCTTGGCCACCCGCGCCTTGCGCTCGTCGCGGGCCTCTTTTGATGGGTCGTGGTCGGCCTCTGTCAGAGGAAAGGCGGCCAGTCAGACGTCGGTCAACGCAAGTGCGGCGGGTCGAGGAAGCTGGAAATTGAAAAAAAGGGAGAATGTGCGCACCGGCGTTGGCTGGGACCTCCGAGAGCCACTGCGTCTCCGCCTCGCGGTTCTTCCCGTTCCACCCCCAGCGGTTGACCCAGTCCTGCTTCTCCTCGTCCCAGACCTTCTTGTCGCGCTTCGTCTTGGAGATGCCCTTCGCCTGCGCGAAGCGCTCCCACTTGGTCATGGGTTTTGGTTTGGGGAGCGGCTTCGCGCGCGGGAGCTGCGTTGTCGGGGTGGGGAGCTTTGCGAGGGGGCCATCGGTGGAGGATTGGGTGGGCAGGGAGAAGAGGGCGCCGAGGAGGACTTGGATGCCGTCGCGCGCGGTGGATTGGAGGAAGTCCTCGAGGTTCTCGCTGTGTAGGATGTTAGCTTTGCAGAGACGGCATATTGGCAATATATTTACTTGTAGCTCTCCGCATCTATTGGGTTGAGATCCGTGACTGTTAAGAAGCCGACGTCGACTTCGAGGGGGATGTCTTTTTCGACAGCCACGGCCTTGCTGATATTGCGAAGATATGAGCGGACGATTTTTTTCTGGGCCTGGTTTTTTGACTCACTGTTTTTCTGCCTGAGAGGCGAGGATGTCTGAGACATCCATCGTGAAGTAAAAGTGTTGGTGGGCACAGAGGACGGCGATGGCGAGAGCTCCTCGAAGACGAAGAAGCTATGAACGCCCAATGGAGTCGTCACGTGCTTCAGTGTTACGTACCTGTTCTGCGGTGTTTAGCGCCGACAGCGTTTTGATCTCTCTCTCTCACTCCTCGGATTTGATGTTCCAGGATGCTCCCCTCGCCATACTGCCTTTCTTCCAAGATTTTGTTCTGGGCCTGAGACATGTCATCTGGCCCTGAAACCGCTCTGAAATCAGCTCGCCCCGGTTTGACTGCAGCATCTTCGCGATGGCTGGATCCAGGTCGGAATGCCTTGCAACCCACGAAAATCTGGATTGCACGCAGGTCTCGATCATATCCCGTCGATACCGCCAAGCGCCCTCATGTGTGCGTGATCAACTGCAGCAGTGCGTTCCGATTCAACCTTGTGCGCGAGGCTGCGTGTTTCAACCACTGCTATGTACTCCCGACGGACGTGCCAGCAGGCGGACGGTGCTGGATGGAGCAGCCACGCTGTCGTCATTTTTCTGATTCCCGTCGCCTCGGTTCGACCAGTGGTGGGATCGCCATCCGCTGAACAAGTCACTTGACCATTGTTCCTCCTCTGTGCGTTGCAAACGCTGGCTCTATTCCGTCTGTAGATATCATTTCGAGCACGTATCTTTCTCAGCAGGGTTTCACAGCATTCATACAGAGCGCTCTCATCACTGCAGCTTTTGTCCCGGCTCCTTTTCCGAATGCTGCAGATGGCTCTCTCTCGGTATGACCTCCTTTACTTCAGTATGCTCTCACGGGATCCGGCTTTGATGTCTCCCTTCTGCCATCTTACATACTTTCAGAACGCGTAATGGGCCGAAATTCCCCCTATATCTACCGGTTGTGCTGTAACGACGATATCGGTCCAATAAATAGAACAGTATTAGCAGCTCCTGCTTGACTAGTGCGGTGATGGAGTGGTGGTGGGCGTTGAGAGGCGTCGAATGATCGACAGACTAAAAGTAGTAACATCATTTCATCCTATCTTCGTCCCTCCGGGTCTTCCCCATGTGCCGCGTTCCATGTATTGTTTTGCACCATAATTGCGCAGCCATCTGTATCAGCTTCTATCTGTTCGGCCGTAATATCGCAGGGATTCATAACGCAGCCCTGCAGAGCACGCGCGCGTTGCGAGACTTGGTGTGTAGGTTGCCGTGGCGCACATGGCGAGCGCTGGGAGCGCTCCTTTGTGCGGGTGTACGGGGACGGAGGCTAGTCCGCTGCGTCGGCAAGTGAAGACGGGGGCGGTCGTGCATGGAGATGAATTGTGCGCATGTGGTCGCCGTCCTTCTATATTCCCATCACTCCCAGAAGACCATCCGTCCCCCTCATAAAAGCCCACCCGCGCCGTCGCTGCCCCAGCAGCAGCAGCAGCCCTCGCCATGCTCGTCCTCCCCGCCATCATCCTCGCGGCCCTCGCCCACGCCGCCCCCCACAGCACCCCGCGCCTCAAGGAGCGCGTCCCCGTCCCCCGCAACTGGGTCCGCCTCGCCTCGGCCCCCGCGGACCACACCATCGCCCTCCGCATCGCCCTCCCACAGCCAAGGTTCAGCGAGCTCGAGGCACACCTGTACGAGGTGAGCGACCCCGCGCACGCGCGTTACGGCGCGCACCTGTCCAAAGAGGACGTCGAGGCGCTCGTGCGCCCCCATGCGGAGAGCGTGGACGCCGTCGACGCATGGCTCGCGAGCCACGGGATCAAGGAGAGCGACTGCCATCGCTCGCCCGCGAAGGACTGGGTCAAGGTAGACGTGCCTGTCAGCCTAGCCGAGAAAATGCTCGACACTGTGAGTCTGTCGACTGTTCAAGAGCACCTCTCCGGTCTCGCTCGCGGGCGGCGGCTGACGCGGCTGCGGACAGAAATACCACATCTGGCAACACGCTGATGGCGACACGCTCGTCCGCACGACGAGCTACAGCCTCCCGGAGCACCTGCACGCGCACGTCGACCTCGTCCAGCCCACCACCCTCTTCAGCCGCTTCCGAAAGCACCGCTCCACCATCAGCATCTTCGAGCAAGATCAAGACCAGGCCGTGCCGGCCGCGAGCGCGAAGCTGAGCGCCGCCGCGGCGTCTGACCAGCTCGTCGACGCGAGCTGCAACACGAGCATCACGATCAAGTGCCTCCAGGAGATCTACAACATCGGGGACTACGTCGCGAACGGGACGAACGGGAACGCGATCGGGCTCACGGGGTACCTCGAGCAGTTCGCGAACATCGCGGACCTGCAAAAGTTCTTTGCCGCGCAGCGCCCTGACGCGGTCAACTCGACGTTCGAGACAGTCTTGATCAACGGTGTGTGCTTCGCCTGTGCCCGCGCCCGCGCGTTCGATTGAACGGGGCCTGTCGGCAGGTGGACAGAACGACCAGAATGTCTCGCTCGCGGGCGTGGAAGCCAACCTCGACACCCAGTTCGCGTTCGGCCTCGCGTTCCCCACGCCCGGCACGTTCTGGTCGACCGGCGGCAGCCCGCCCTTCATCCCAGACGAGAATACGCCCACGGACACGAACGAACCATATATCGACGTGCGTTTTGGCAACTCCTTGCTCCACCATTGATGCTGACGCGCATGTGCGCGTGTAGTGGTTGTCGTTCGTGCTTAACCAGACCACCCTCCCGCAAAGTATCTCGACGTCATATGGCGATGACGAACAGACAGGTGACGCCGAATTTCAGTTGTCGCCCTAAGCGACCGCACTGACGCGCTCTGCGCTCTACTACAGTCCCGCAGAGCTACGCTGAGCGCGCATGCCAGGAGTTCGCCCAGCTCGGTAATCGTCCACGCAGCGCCTCACTCCAGCAGAGTTGGCTGTTCTGACATGCTGCGCACGCACGCGTTTCTTAGGTGCCCGCGGCGTGTCGCTGATGTTCAGCTCTGGCGACGGCGGCGTCGGGGACGGCGACTCGGACCCCGCGACGCAGACCTGCATTACCAACGACGGCACGAACACGACGCGCTTCCTGCCCAGCTTCCCCGCGAGCTGCCCCTTGTGCGTGGGCCCCCGCAGTCTCTCGTTGTGTTTGACCTGACGCTGGCGACGTTCGTGCGCGCAGCGTGACTGCCGTTGGCGGGACGCAGCATTTCCCCGAGGTCGCGGTGTCGCGGTTCTTCTCTGGCGGCGGATTCAGCAACTATGTGAGCACGCTCGGGTGTATGTTCGTATCTTTGGGGAGTGTCTCATCTACGATGCGTGTTTTTCCTTCCTTGTAGTTCGCTCGCCCTGCGTACCAAGAGGCGGCGGTCTCGCAGTACCTCGCTACCCTCCCTGAAGGCACCTACGCAGGACTGTTCAACTCGTACGCACCCGTCCCATTTCGCAGCTTCCATTCGCATTCTTACTCCACGATCTAATCAACAGGAGCGGACGCGTATGTCACGCCCGCCGTCTCCCAACTCGATGAGCACTGACTGATAGATGGTCTTACCTCACCCGTCGATCTACCCCGCAGGCCTACCCCGACGTCGCCGCGCAGGGCGATTTTTTCCTGATCTTCTTCCAGGGCCAGACGGGCCACGTCGGTGGGACGTCGGCGTCCTCGCCGACGTTCGCGGGCGTCGTCGCGCTGCTCAACGACGTGCGGATCAACGCGGGACTCCCGCCGCTTGGGTTCTTGAACCCGCTGCTGTACAGCGTCGGCGCGGCCGGCCTGAACGACATCACGGTCGGGAACAACGCGGGATGTGGGACGGAGGGATTCAATGTGCGTGGCGTTTGATGTGCTTTTGCTTTTTTGTGTCTTGTTGATGTTGATGTCGTTGACGTTGGCATTGCATGCTGATTTGGTTCGCTGCTCAGGCGTCGACGGGATGGGATCCTGTGACTGGGCTCGGGACGCCGAACTTTGGAAAGCTGAAGGACATCGTGCTGGCTGCATGAGTCGGCCGTGTTCGTGTAGCGTTGTACTGACCGAGATTCCACCACCACCGGCATCGTTTAACTTACTAGGGATATATCGATCACTGACGGCGGAGGAGGACGGATGGAGTAAATTTATTGGGGATTTCTTTTTGTTTGTTCTGTTGGTGTGTCGGGCGCTCATGGTGCTTCGTGATGGCGACTTTGAGGGTCGTCACCGGCCGCGACCCACCGGCCTCAGCGAATCTGCGCTGCATTTACGGGTGATATTCTTGGATTTGCCCAGTTGGTTGCATAGGAGGGTGGTGCTCGCCGCTGAAGGTGCTCGTGGACATTCGACATGTTCGCTGAGCATGCGAATGCGATGTGTCAATACTGCCTCGATGGGGCGATCGTATTGCCCGAGAGTCGAGTGATAGAGATTGGAAGCTCCGCGCGGTGACTTGCGCCGTCATAGCATCAACAATTGATGGGCGGTACGTTCATCTAGCGGAGTATATGCGGCTGGGCGCGACCCTGCTTGACTTGGATCATATGGCCTGAAAAGCGGACCAAGGGACGGTAAGCGCATGCACCCAGCTGAGTAAGTGTGACTGGCGGGACTACGCTGGCGACACCGACGAGCGTGGGTGTGAGCAAGTCGCGAGCGAAGCGATAAATGGCGCGGGAGTGTTCCTGGACAGAGAACCCGCGTGCATATGCTTCGCCGTTTGTAATGACCGCGCGGGGTATATAAGATCGCGTCGGCTCGCGTCCAAGGGCCCGCACGGTCCTGCTCGTCCGCAGCGCCCGCGTTCACGACGATGCTCGTGCTCTCCCCCATCCCCGTCCTGCTCGCCCTCGCCGCCCTCGCCGCCGCAGCCCCGCGCAGCACGCTCAAGCTCAAAGAGCACATCGACGTCCCGCGCAACTGGGTCCGCGTCGCCGACGCCCCCGCGGAGCACACGATCGCGCTGCGCATCGCGCTCCCGCAGAGCAACTTCGACGCGCTCGAGGCGCACCTGTACGAGGCGAGCGACCCCGACCACGCGCGCTACGGCCAGCACCTGTCCAAGGAAGAGGTCGAGCGCCTCGTCGCGCCCCGCCCCGAGAGCCTCGCCGCCGTGCAGGAATGGCTCGCCGGGCACGGCATCCCCAAGAGCGCGTGCACGCACTCGCCGGCGAAGGACTGGGTCAAGGTGGACGTCCCCGTGAGCAAGGCCGAGGCGATGCTCGACACCGTGAGTGCCGTTCCCTGCTTGAGCGTGCGCGCGTGATCCCGTGACGTGACGCGCGCCGTGCAGAAATACAGCGTCTGGCAGCACACCGTCGACGGCGACGTCCTCGTCCGCACCACCAGCTACAGCCTTCCCGAGCACCTCCACGCCCATGTCGAGCTCATCCAGCCCACCACCATGTTCGGCCGCTTCCGCAGCGCTCGCTCGCTCATCAGCGTCGTCGAAGACGCCCCGGAGTCCTCTGCCTTGAAGAGCCATGTCAAGATCGTCGACCCCGCCTCTGGCACCTCCGTCGATGCGAGCTGCAACCAGACCATCACGATCTCCTGCATCCAGCAGCTCTACAACGCCGTCGGCTACGTGCCCCAGGCTACCAAAGTGAACAAAATTGGCATCACGGGCTACCTCGAGGAGTATGCCAACTTTGCGGATCTCAAGAGCTTCTACAAAGACCAGCGCCCTGAGGCTGTCAACTCGACGTTCAAGGTCGAATTGATCAACGGTGCGTAGTCGTTCTCTGTCCATATATGCGTTGGCTGATGCGGGAATCAGGCGGCTTGGACAACCAGACTCTATCCGCGGCTGGTGCGGAGGCCAACTTGGACGTCCAGTTCGCGTACGGTATCTCTTTCCCTACCCCGGGAACGTTCTGGTCCACTGGCGGCCGCCCGCCGTTCAAAGCTGACACGGATACACCCACCGATACCAACGAGCCCTACACCGAGGTGCGCCCGGCCCGCGTTCCTCCGCCTTGCCTGCCCCCGTTGACGACTTTGCGAATTTAGTGGCTCGATTTCGTGCTATCACACCCAGACCTCCCTCAGACCGTGTCCACCTCTTACGGCGATGACGAGCAGACGGGTGAGCATGAGAGTTTGTTTTCTTCGTAGAGCCGACCGGAATCTCACATTCTTTTTGCTCCCGCGCAGTCCCTAAGAGCTTTGCCAAGCGTGCCTGCAAAGGCTTCGCCCAACTCGGTGCGTCTCCCACCACGACCATATGCACCTGTGGGACTTGAATTCTAATTGTGCATCGCCGTGGCCGCATATAGGCGCCCGTGGTACCTCTCTGATGTTCAGCTCTGGTGACGGCGGTGTCGGCGATGGAGACTCTAACCCTGCGACGCAGTCTTGCTTCACCAACGACGGAAAGAACGCTACGAAGTTCATCCCTCTGTTCCCCGCCAGCTGTCCCTTGTACGTCGGACCTGCCCCTGCACTCTGTAGCCAACATGACATGCTCATCGTGTGCGGGCAGTGTCACCGCCGTAGGGGGGACCCAGCATTTCCCTGAGGTCGCGGTATCTCGCTTCTTTTCTGGGGGTGGTTTCAGCAACTACGTGCGTGCGTTCGTGTGTGTGCGCGCATTCTGTCTGATCAGCCATGCAGTTCTCTCGTCCCGCGTTCCAAGAGAAGGCTGTGACGGGATACCTTTCTGCGCTCCCCAAGGGCACCTACAAGGGTCTCTTCAACCCGTTAGTCTTATCATCCACCCATCTCTTACCCAGAGCTCACCAAGATCTTCCAACAGCGCCGGTCGCGTAAGCCCCCTTAGCACCCCCTACTCGAGCTTTTGGGCCTGACCCCTCTCGCTCAGGGCATCCCGGACGTCGCCGCGCAAGGCGACTTCTTCCGGATCTTCCTCTCCGGCCAGGCCGTCCTCATCGGCGGTACGTCCGCGTCCTCGCCCACCTTCGCCGGCGTCGTCTCGCTCCTGAACGACGCACGCCTCGCGCGCGGCCTGCCGTCCCTCGGCTGGCTCAATCCCCTGCTGTATAGTAAGGGCGTTGCCGGGCTCAACGATATCACTGTTGGGCATAATTCGGGTTGTGGGACTACTGGGTTTAACGTGAGTGGTTTATCTCTGTGTCGTGTGTCCCTGTGCCTGCGAGAGCGATGGCTCGGTCGAGGCCGATGATGATGTTGATACTGATGATGATGTCTGGCGCGCGTAGGTGACGAAGGGGTGGGACCCGGTGACCGGCCTCGGCACGCCCAACTTTGGTAAGCTGAAGGATATCGTGCTGTCGGTCTAGCGGCTGTTGTAAAAACGCTGTTCGTTTTTTTGTTTTATTTTGGCCGTGGACGGGTGTGGACCTGCTATCGGAGATAGGAAATGTTGTTGTATTATTGATGCTTCGCGCTCCTATCGCAGGGCTGTCTGTGTCTGCTAGCTGCGAACGTGAGGTGTGTGTATTTTTTGGTGCGTGTGATAGAGGGACGGATGGCGCTCGCTGTACGGCGTGCAAGATGGAGTGCTTTAAGCTCATGGGACCGTTGCTTGATGCTAACCATAACATATTGTCTCTCGAACGCTCACGTCGTAGCCCATTCTCCCGCTCCCTCATCATGGTACGAACAGGTTTTTCGATCGACGACTGCGGCTGCGCTAGGTCCTTCACACGATTTTTCGCGAACAGCTAAGGTAATACGCCACGCTTTCGTCCCGCAAACTAACAAACGCGCATCTGCGCTCGGGTCGAGGCGAGGACTTCGGGTCAGGACTCCTTGCCGAGAAATGCGATGTCGCTTGGAGATGCCGTCGGGGCTGGGTCTACAGCCAAAAGACACCTCTTGTGCCGTCGCGCAGATAGGGTACGCTTGTTATCTGGTACTTCATCGAGTTCGACTTGGGCTACATAACTTGAGCCAGCTTGGACGCCGTTCCGCCTAAAAAATGAGTTTGCAGGTTCGTCTTGTGCTCACGTTCAGCCTTGATCGCCACTTTCTCTCGTCTTCTGACGTGGCCCCTTTTTTAAGATATTGATCATCGATGCGAATGTGCTCGTCTGGAACGCTTAGGAGGCGATCAGCTTCTAGTGCAGACCAAGGAGAGTCCAGGGCCTCCGTTACGAGGATAGTTGTCATTCATTGTGGGAATCAAATGGTGGCACAGGTCTTGCACGCTTGGTTGTTCCACCTGCTCAACACCGGAGCTCATATGTCGAGAGCAAATATACCCGCGCTTTGGGACCTGTTCTGCACTTCTAACTTCGAAGAAGTTCGGCAGATGAACAGTTTCTGCCACAGATGCTCGCATTGAACGCCACCTTGACGAACACAATCTTGTGTTCAGCCACTGGTACTTTTATGGTCTTGCGCACTTTGTTCGAACGTGACAATTAGTTGTTCACGTCTTTGAAACAGGCATGATTCGGTGAGTGTGGTGTTCCAAGTTGTCGACAGATTGTGACTTTTGCTGTGTAGCTTTGCCTTTTGTTGCATCTTGAGTGTGGCAGTAAGTAATTCAGGGCATGAAGGCGTTGTTCACGCGCCTCAAAGTGCTTTGTTGTACCACCGTGGCGAATGTGGCTTCGCTTGGATGGATTCCTCATATATAAGGGTACGCTCAGCACCCTTCCTCATCTCACTGCCGGTTATTCCTTACCCACCACCACCAAGTTCTTTTCTCCCCTTCCAAGTCATTGCTCTCAATGTTTCCTTACAAGACTCTGTATATCCTAGCCCTTGTAGCGATCACCAATGCCGTGCCTATCACTGTTCACAACTATGCGTTCGTAGCCGTCTCTCGTCGTGTTTGCTGCGTTCTGACCGTTTGATCCGCGTCATGCAGCCTGACGCCCACTTCCCCGCCCGCCTGCGTCGCCAAGGCTTCGCAGTCGCTGACCGCCACTCCCACTAGCATTGCGGTACCCCAGAGCACTGGTGCTTCTGACGACTGTTCTGGCTACGACGATGACGATGGAGCGTACAACACCTCGACTTCTGGATACTATGCGAGGAACATCGGTGGCTTGCCCCGCATTCCCAAGTTCAATATGACCGTCGTCGATGTGGTCACACAATTGCAGAGGAGCTCCGTCATGCGGGCGCCTCTCTTGCGTCGCGCCCACAAGGTGATAATCACACGCATCGCTCAACCAGACCTTCCCCAAGTTGCACAGGAGTGGCAGGACCTCTGCGTACGTCCCCTGTATCTCCTATCCTCTATGCTACTGATCTCTTCCCATTCCAGCTCGCCAGCGGCGGCGACATCTTCACCAACGATCCTTGCGTGAAACTGGCCGGCGAAGACGGCATCAACGCTTTGCTCGCCGGCGACGACCCATGCGCCCAACAGGTGAGCATCCTCGTGTTCTGCGCGGAGCCTCGAAGTCGCTGAACACGACGTCGTCTGCAGGACAACGCCGACGCTATGATCGACTTTGCGAACTCTGCAAACATCACGAACCGCGACGCGCTCGTCGCGAACGCCGTGGCTTACCGCAAGCACCCGCGGAACGCGCTCAACATCAACGGCATCGTGCCGTCCACCCCGTTCTGCCAGAAGGCACCTAGGAACCCCGAACTTCAGGGTCTCGTCAACGCTCAGCTCGATGGCGTCGACCTCGGTTTGTTTGGTGGGCCGAAGTTCCCCATCGTGGCTTTCGGAGCGAGTAAGCCACTTCTGTCGTGATGCGCGTGTGCTCTCATCTGACCGTCATTGAACCGATAGGTGGCACTTGTCCTTTCGGTCAGACTCCGGACGTCTCCACCTGTTCCTGCAACTGAGCGCTGTGCGCTATGCGCCGAAGTGGTTAGCCTTGTCGATAGTCCTTCTTTTAGTTTATTGTGACAATCTCAGCATTGGGGTTCGAACATTCATTGAGTATTGAGTCAAATGTGTGACGCGTGCCCAAGAATATTCTTCAACACAGGTTCTAGACACTAGCTGGGACGATCATGTGTATTGGCGATCTCGTCGACCTTGCAGCGAGATGCTTGTGCGCCCACGGTCCTTGTGAAGTGAATAACAGTGATGGCCGTATGGTCTGGGGGGCGTCGGAATTTCTCTCCAGTTTAAATAGCACCTCTGATGAGCCTATGTAAGAATACACTGTGATGAAGTGTGCCCTAGTGTCGAGAGTGATATCTGTAAGAAGTTTAACCTCACTCTTCATCGTCTTTTTGGGTTGATCCAATACAGAGACCTGCGCCAATAAACCTGAAGCCTCATATGCCAACAACGACACTCACAGAGGATGCACGTATCAATTCAATTATCATCAAAGGCGCCAACCCAGTAGAGTAAATATCCAGCACTTGCGACACGGCGCTCAGCCATCCTCAGCACCGCTCCCACTACCATTGCTAGTCCCGTTCCCGCCGTTCCCGGCGCCGTTCGTCTTCCCTACAGTCGCTCTCGCAGCGGCGGCGCTCGCGCCAGGGCGGTCCTTCGAGCTCAACAAGCTCTGGAAGAAGTTCTGCAGCACCTCATGCTGCGTCTGCCCACCTGTCGGGCTCGGGCTGCCAGGCAGGTTCGGAGACGTAGGCGATCGCCCCGGCCCTACGGACGCCGTGAGCGATCCAGCACCGCGCTCGGCACGCGGCGCCGGCCGGCCGGACACCTTGCGTGCGGGCTCGGACGCTTGCGCGCCGGCGCCGCCCTCCATCTCGCTGAGCGCACGCTCGACGTTGGGCATGCTGAACGAGCTGCTGCCGAGTGGGCCGACGATGCCTGCACCGGAGGACTCGGTCGGGTTGCGGAACATCCCGCGTGGGTCGCGGTCGGGCTTCTTGGAGTTCTCGTCGTAGTTCTTGGCGAGGAAGGCTTGTTCGGGGATCGGGTTGTTGAATGGAGGGAGCGGGGGAGGCTGGAGATAGCGTGTGATGATGAGACGAAGATGAAAAATTGAAAATTAAGATTAAAAAAATATGATGCACACCTTGATGCCTTGATCAGGGACGAGGATCGCGTACATCTTCCGCACGCCTGGCTCATCGTAAGATTCGTCGTTCGTGGCGTCCAGGTCGCGCTCCCAAGCTTCGCCCCAGCCTTTGGCGTCAAATCCATCTCGTAGGACGCCAATCTTTCCCCAGCTGTCCCAACCTGCGGGTACGACAATGCGGTCACGGTCCAATGTGTTCGGCTTGTGTTGGAAGGGGAAAGGGTTGCGGGCGGGGGCAGCGGGTTCTGTCGGTGATGGTATGCCTGGTGAGGGTGCTGGGGGTATAAAGAGAAGGTGGAGGGCATATTGGCGGAGGACCTGCAGGGTCGTCGGTTGCTGTGTCGAGTAAAAGAGTGAGGCTCCGTCTGAGCAAGGATGTTAGATTAGGGGCGTTGTTTAGATAGACGCGCAGCACTCACATTTTAGACATATTGTTCGTAGGATCTGCATCACGCCGTCTGTCCTCTCTTCCCACTCTCCGCCCTTCCCCTTGACCATACCGCCCATGCCAGAGGCCCCTGCTACGAGATCATTATTGTCGTCTATTAGGTCGGCCTTCGCACATGTCACGATGATTGGTATGCCGGCCGAGTTATGGGTAAATGTGCCGGGTCCAAGAGGTAGCATCGTTTGTATTGTAGATGTTGCTGGGATGGGGTCGGAGCTTGGCTCTGTGTAGTGCTGGAGATGCGTTTGCACTTGGAAGAAACGTCAGCATAGGCTACGACGCGAAGATGTGTTATACGAAATGGTGCTGCGCTATCGGTGATAGGATGTCCGTCCTTTCGAAATGCTCGGGAAACTAAAGAAGCACAGAAGCATCATATACGACGTCGACGTCGAGTCGAGAAGATTTCCGAGAGCGAGTACTCATTGTCGGGCCAGGGAAAACCGCGGGCATATGAAACAATGCAAAAGAAGTACATCGCCAGCCATTTGCTTCACAAGTCATCTATCCCGAACAGTTTAAGAAAATGAGAGATATCACTCACAGCGTTCCCGGTTCTCCTCGCGAGCGATCTCGAGCTCTCGCGCGCCGTCGCCTTGGGCCCACTGCTCGATCCAGCTGAGCCAAGTATGCAACTCATCGATAAATGTCCAAGGACGCGTCCAATCGAGGACGATCATGATGATGGTATGAGGTAGTGACACGCGCGGGGGCAAGAAGTGGGGTATTAGGGAGGTGTATGCCGGCGCAGAGGATGGGACGGTGTAGACAGAGAGGCGGGCGATCGTATCTGTGGTTGCAACACATTCATGTGAGAATCAAACGTCGCGTGCGCCTGAGATGGTTGCATAGGTTCAATGCGAGGCATAAGATAATGTTGAGGTGCAGCGAGACGCGCCTCCATCGTCGATACTCGCAGGGCCGAACAGTGCCGCACTCGGCGACTCACCTTCGTCAGCGTCGTCCCGCACATCCGCCCAGTCATATCCAAGCGCGAAATCGGTCGCCGCGTCGTCCTTGCCCCCGTCCGCGGGCGGTTTCTGTAGGAGCGCGTTTGCTAGCGTCGACTTGCCCGAAGACGGTTGGCCGAGGAGCAGAATCTGTTTCGAAGGGATCGAACGTGTTGAGGACACAGAGTCGAGGATGGAGGACCAGAGATCCTGTGGGGGTGCCTCGGGCGTTGAGGAGCGTGAGTCATCGTCCATGGTGGATGCGTCGAGCGTCGGGAACGCTGTTCACCTTTTGTGAGTTCGTGACCGAGGTCTACTACGACGCTTGTAGTCGCACCTTTCGGAGCTTGAAATGCTACTGATCGTGCCGCTTCGCCTCGACGATCTAATCAGCCAACGTTCACCACGGCGTCCACAAGGAACCTCGTCGGGCGCGTGCCCACCTACAGAGAAACTATAATGGCGTCCGCCGTCATGGTCCCCGTCCATAACCTTTCGGAGTCTCCGAACACGCGCACCATCGAGATATTTGACTGGTCTATCACGGCCAGCGCGAGTCCCATCTCCAATGCCGCCGAGTGCGACGCGCTGCAGGCAGCCCTGGGCTTCCCGCTTCCAGAAATGACGTTCGGATCGAACAGGCTGGAGCTTGAGCACCGCCCGTCTGGATGGAAGTACGTGTTTGGGACGGAGCAGGCGTTGAAAGGCGTGAAGAATGGAGAGCTTGGAGAAGGCGATGGCGGCGTCAAGGTGGGCTACGCAGATGCGTGGTTGCAGAGCCGGTGAGTACGTGTGCGGCGATAGTCTACTTTTTGGCAATGTTTGCATGATACGAATACTGACTTTAGGACGGACCCAAACTCACAACTACCGCTTCCCAAGACGGTACCCACAAAACCGTACGACTGGACGTACACCACGACGTATGCGGGTCACTCAGAGGGCGCATCGTCGAGCGAAGTCGCTTGGAAGGAGGAGAATCTAGAGAACACGGCCCATGGAATACCCATCGCTGAACTGACCAGACCAGACCCGATTCTGTTCTACGCAGAGATCCCCCTCTTCGAGGACGAATTGCACGATAACGGCGCATCACATCTTCTCGTCAGAATAGTAAGTACGTCTTTCTCCCTGCTTCCTGCCACCTAAACCTAAATGCGTTACTTTCCAGCGCGTCATGCCCACCTGCATCTTCATCCTCTCCCGCTTCATCCTCCGCGTGGACAACGTTCTTTTTAGAACGTACGACACGAGGATCTATCACTCGTTTTCCTCTTCCCCTCCTTTGCTAGTGCGGGAATGCAGTGGCTGGGAAGCACCGTACGATCGGGTCAAACGGGTACGTGGGATGAGTTTCACCGCTGCCAGATTAGGAATGTTTCTAACCTGACTTGTGGACCGCAAAGCTCCTCCCGCGGCGGGATGACTTGACGCCTCTCACGGATCCCAACTTCGTGGGGAAAGTGCTCTCTGGGATGCCAAAAGAGACATCGCAGGAGCTTGGGGCCGGCACAAAATGGAGAGGATTGGGAACGAAGTTGGAAGTCGCGACGTTGGTGGCAGCGAAGACGCCAAGTCCTGAAAGTGAGTCGATGTCTGGATCTCGCGCCATGTTGACTCAAGATTGACTGCTGGACCTTGACTCTCAGCTGTTAGTGTATGAGAAGCCCACTGACTGCATGCGTTGTACTGCGTTGTGCTGCGTTGTTTGCGTTGACCTTGGCCTGTGCTACGGCCTGTGCTACTAGTGTAGATTGAGCGACGTGCAGTGCGTTCGCTGTGCTATGATCACGTATCGGACGCAAGAATGGTCGGGGCTGCTCAGCCACAACAGCCGCGCCACTGTCGTCGCACCAAACGCCAAACACGGCATAAATAGAAGCGCGTCTGCCGTTTACTTACACAACCGCCGTACACACTCCCTTGCACACATTCCTCCTCCCCCGCCGCGTCCACAATCAAAAATACGTTTTCTGCGATCTCACAATGGGAAAATGGTCCGTTGCACACACTCACTGCCTCCGCAAATCTGACCCGCGAACCCGACATGCCTTGGCATCAATAGGACAGCGGATTACTTCGATGACGTCCTCGGGTCCAAAATGAAGAGCTTGGTGTACGCATCGCATGCAGGGCTTGCCTCACCGTGATCAGCACGAATCACTGACTTGTCTTGCTTGGTACCGCTCTCGTCGGGCAGTCAAGGCGCCGTCAAGCGGTCAAAGCTGGAGAAGGCGGAGCCTACCATCAGCTATGAGACGTTCGTGGAAGACCTCGATCCAGGAGACTCGTTCACCACTTCTTTGATAGAAATCTTGGTGAAGGTGCGTGCATATTACCAGTCAGATCATGGGGGACCGCTCATCCACCATGTTCATGCGCAGGAGCTCAGCGAGCGCCGACAACGACACACAATCGCGGACAAGCGTCTCATCTCGGATCGCACTTCGAAAAGCTTGCACATGCTCACCGTTCCTCAACGCATCTATCGAGACCGAGGCGGTATGCGTGGTTTGATGAGCCGCCGTTCGCTGAATTTAGCGGAATATCTAGCGGTGCCGCCGGAAGAGATGGACGTGGACGACGACAACGATAGCCTGGACAGTGTCCTGGATCTGCCGGGGGCCGTGGAGGGTGCGAGAATGAATGCGGAGCTTTATGATGCGTATTCAGTGGTGCCACCACACGGTGCGCTAATATCTTCATTCATCCTTGCTAACCTCTGATCGGCCTTGGTCATTCAGATGCTCCTTCCTCCACATCTAGAGCGCCCAGAGTGCAGCAGCATGCCATGGTCAGATTAACGGAGGACGAAATGCTGCGCGAAATGCACGCGCGATACCCGCTAACTGCACCCACGGGCCCTGCATACTCCGGCCCCACACCATCATCTGGATCGGCGTACCCCCCACGCCAGCCTACCACCCGCCGCCCACCCGTGCGCTCTCGGACGGTCGACTTTAACGACTTCACGTCTCGCCGCCGCTCCAGCACTCGGGAGAACACCGCAGGCGCCGACGAGACGTCCAGCTCGCGACCCGCAGACGGCAGCGCGCAGGCATCCGGAGAACGGAGGGGTTTGCTTACATCGCTCTCGAACCCATCTGCATCTGTTGGGAACGTGCCCCGGCGCTTCTTCCAGCCCTTTCGGCGACCGGAGATGAGCATACCGTGGACGATGTCGCCCGAACCGGTAGAGCATCCCCATCCTGCCGCGAGTCAGATGTCGAACACCGAGCGCGAGCGCACATATCTCTCGTGGCTCTCGCACACGCCCGCGCCGCAGCCACAGCCCGCCGCGCTGCGCGTGTCCCCACCATCTACGGTCGAGCATCGTGATTCCGAGCCGGACCGCGCGAGCCCGGCACCTGAAACTGGTCCGCGGCCCGCAACACACCGCCTTCGCAGAGGGGGCGTACGCCCGCCCGAGAGCCTGCTGCTGAGGCATGTACCCACGGAGTCTGGAGAACTATATTCGCATTCGAGATATACAGTACCGCGGCCGATCCATGTGTATCCAATGGCAGACGACGCTGCGAGCGGTGTGGAAAACCGGATCGAGTCTGAGCAGGGTGCGGTGCAAGGGTACGAGAATGCGGGAGACTACGGAGAGGACGCTTCGCGATACTCTGTAAGTGCTTCGTCCTCACTGTGGGGTTGTTGCTGGGTGCTGATGCCTGACGGGTCGAACCATCAGACTTGATTGCGCTTGAGGTCTGTTAGTCGTTCTATTCGTACTTTGGACTTTCTTCTTCTTTTCGCAATTGTGGGCGCTACTCACGATGCATGCACCTTCCCAGTGCTTGGAATAGACCTCACTTTGCCTGCAGCAGAATCAGTCGTTTTTCGTTTTATTGTCATGATACCTTTCGTGTGTATGTAGGCTATCTTTAGCTGTAGACAAATATGTTGACACTTTCTCACGCTCCCTTGAAACCTCTCGAAACAAACATAACTTGCTGCCCTCGACACACTTCCTCTTCCCCACTTTCCAATAATTCATGATCAGGAAACGCGCAAGACCGCAGCACTGCGCTCGTGAGCTCTCACGCGAAGTCGAGTCGCTGCCAGCAGATGCTGAAGCCGGTGGCGATGTCGAACGCAGTGAGAACGAGGACAACCTCCCGTATGTTCTGCAGACGCCTTGCACCCCCTTTCCTCGAGATGGCTGACGCGCGTCTGAAACGAGTGATATAGTGTAGCAGAACTCATTGAGCTCCGGAAGCTTCGGAAGCTCAGGCAGGGCATCGACGTTGCGAAGCTGAACAAGGGGGACGTGAAGAAGCGGAAGAAGAAGAGGGCGAGAGAGGGCGAAGGCAAGGATGGCGAGGGTGACGACGAGGATGGCGAGGGCGAGAAGGTGGAGTCTGGTCTGAGGCAAGGCGTGAAGAACGAGGACGACGAGGACATGTGAGCCGCCGTTGTGTCACGTCTAGGTGGTGTACGGGCGCTCAACGCGAGATCAGGGATGAAGAGGACAAGGAAGCTAAAGCTCGCCGCGTCGTGCGAGCTAACAACTTCACGCAGCAAACCAATGCGCTGGACGTCGACAAGCACATGTGCGCCGTTCGCCCTATTTTTTGTGCTTGGTTGTTTGGCTGACGCGAGACGGCGGTGCAGGATGGCATATATTGAGGAGAACATGAAGATGCGGCGCGGGCCGCAGAACGCGGAGACGGAGACGGGACCTACGGATCCTTCAGACGACCTGTACCGCCTTCCGGACCGCTACAAGGTCGAGAAGAAGGCTGCCGAGGAAGGGAACGTGACGAACAGTCTCGCGATGTTGACAGCGATCCCTGAAGTCGACCTTGGCATGGAGTGCGTCGTCCTCCTTTGCCTTGCTTTCTTCTATCGTCCTTAACTGACCGGCGGTCTGCAGTGCGCGACTGAAGAATATCGAAGAGACGGAGAAGGCGAAGCTGATGCTGACCCAGGAGCGCAAAGGCCGCAAAAAAGCGGGCAAGACCGATGAGGAGCACCTTTCTGCTGCACGATGTCGGTCTTTTTCTTCACGTCTTTATGAACTGAAGCTCAATGGGCGCATATAGTCTACCGGCCCAACATGCGCATGAAGTCTGACGCGGACATAATCCGAGATGCGAAGTTGGAAGCGATGGGACTGCCGCCGGAGGAAGAGCACCACAGGCCTCACAATCAGCGGTCGCAGATGGCCACTGACGAGATGGTGAGCGGATTGCTTTCCACATCTAATGTCATGACTAAACATCGCGCAGGTTATGGAGCGCTTCAAGAAGCGCATGCGGAAGTAGGCCACAAGGAAGGCTGGCGTTCGACACTATTTGATCTTTGTACGTTCCTGGGATATTGTATTGTGCTTTCCGTTTTTCGCTGCTTCGCCGACTTAGTGCATTGGCTTCATGTCTCATTCAAAACCGTTAGACCAATTGAATTATACCGAGGTAGGTGATGACATGTCGGTCGGATGACTCGGCGAAAATGTTCAACGCCATTGACGATATGTTCTTGACGTCTTCATCCCTGGTCTGTTCCTCCAACTAATCGTCTGCAGCAGCACGCTACAAAGCAGGGCTCTTGTTCCTTGAGTTAGCACACTGAAGGAACCTGATGTTTCTCTCGCCATCAAAGACGAAGCTCTCCGTCGCTTCCGAATGCCCGTACTTCACCTAGCCTATCTGACCACTCGATTTGTGGCATCAGAGCCTCTCACTGGGTAATATGCCTCAGCTTCGGTGACTACCTGATCAGCTTCCTGTTCATTTTGGCGCACACTATGCTGGCCATAGGCATACCGATGTGATTATTATTGATCATTTTGACAGTAGCAAATTGTCGCAAGTAATGACTTGTACGTTAGATCGCAACAACTCGCGCTCACACTGAGATACATATGGGATATCACGTAGTTCGACAAGCGAGTCGTGAGTTCCTCAAAAGACAAGGCAAAGGCATGTGGCCAAGCTTCTGGGATGAATGGATCCCTCCTCGCGACGTATCCAACGGTGCGATACCAATGCGTCCAGAATCGGTACATCCGCAGGATCGTGTACTCTTTCTTGCCCACGATTCGAGAGCGCAACTGTCTCGTACTCAAGGATGATCGGATCTGGTCAAAACGGGAGACTACTTCGCCGATGGTTGGACGCTTGGCCAAGTCCTCCTTGACCATGTCGGCCACAAGCGGCTCGATAAATTCGTAGCCGTATTTTTTCTGCAAGGAATGGGGCATATTAACCTACCTTAACTCATCGACCATGAGGGATGCGAACCTTTATGAACCTGTCGCGGATCAGGTTGCCCAGATAATATATGTCAGTAGCGAACGGGTCGCATGGTGTGTTATAATTGGAATCTGCGTGCTCTGGCGCTGATTTGTCGCCGCCCCTCATGGGCAACTCCAAAGCAGGGCCATCTTCAGGATTGTATCGGTGCGAAAGGCCATAGTCAATGAAGTAGTATCTAGGTGGACGCCGCGTGCGCGTGTGATGCCTGGCATTGCCCTTCCAGTTTCTGTTCCACTTCATGTCTACGGGATGGAAAGAATTGGGGTACATAGCCGACGTGCCCATCATGATATTATTGAGGGTACAATCACTGCACAATGTCAGTCAGCCATTGAACAGGTGAGAGAGCAAGGGCAATCATACCGATGGGCGACATGATGCTCGTGTATGAATTGTAAGCCCTGAACGACAATATCGTCGGTGATAATTTTGAAATTCGAAAGCAACCGTACCTCAAATATCTGGTGGAAGAACCCCACAGCCACCGTGGGTTTTTAATCGAGGGTTGCTCCATGGCCTGAGAAACGGCGTGACCAACAACTTGTGATTGTCGTCGTCGGGTGGCTGCAGTATTTCGATGACACAGACGCAGTGATTCCGAGGATCAGATGCCAGAGGCGCTGAGGATAACATCGATTCCAGCGGAATCTCGTCAGGGCGCTGTGTAAGGTTGACTCTTTTCATAGATACGAATGTGCCGTCTGACAGACGTGTAGCGTCCATCACTGCTCCCCACTGGCCGCCATAGGTAAGTTGTCGTGCTGTGCTGTTCTGAGATCGTCATGAAGCACTCACATAGGTGATCTGTCCGTCCTCTAGCCTCTCCCAATCTTTCGTAGTTCCAGTCCATGAAGGCACCCAATCTGGCCTATACCGGGGTCGCAACATATATCCCGACTCTTCGAGCCAAGGTTGGAGTCTCACCCAATATCGCTCAATACTCGTGATTGTGCCGAGTCGCTCTCGCCATCGGCGGTCGACATCCTCGCTGTCTTCGCTATAAATCGACATCTATGGGGAGGTGAGAAGGTGATGCCAATTGGTGCGACTCATGCGAGTCCGAGTCTATTGTACCATTACTTTTGGGCACCAGCGATTATAGTGCGAGAACCGCTCAAAGACTGCGACACATATCCGAGCTGGTCATTCTGTGCCTGGGCGTTGTCTCCCAAGACAAAAGGCTCCATCTTGTCTGCTGATTCGTACAAGCTTATGTGACGTTATTACGACTATCGTGCTGTCCTCCTTGACATGATGACAAGCATAGCAACGCACCGGCACCATCAACCTGTTGACGAATGTTTTGGGTCTTGTTCCCCATGCGAAGTTCTCGACAGACTTGAAAGATTTGAGATATGATTCACGGGTCGAGGATATATAGACATCCTCGTTCCAGAGCCAATGAAAAGACAGAAAGGACCAAGAATCAGCATAGACGCCTCGTGATCAACTTTATGAGCTATGAGGATCAGGGACGGGAGAATCCCGTCTCACGATGTAGCCAGCCACACGATACCAATACGTACAGAATCTGTACATGCGCAGGATCGCGAACTCATTCCTGCCCACGGTGCGTGAGCGCAACTTACTTGTACCCAAGGATTGACGTATCCGTTCGAAGCGCGAGACCACCTCGTCGATCTTTGGACGTTTCGAGGGATTATCCAGCACCATATCATTTACGAGAGCCTCGATAAACCCGAAACCCAGTTTTTTTTAGAGACACAAGTTCAGTCGATGAGTTGCGTGCAGACAATAGCCAAAACGTACTTGAAGAAACTTTTCACGGATGGGGCTACCCAGATAATAGATATCGGTGGCAAACGGGTCGCATGGTATATCATAATTATCTCCTTGATGTTCAGGCGCTGTTTTATCGCCTCCTTTGATGGGCAATTCAAGAGCAGGGCCATCTCGAAGCTCAAACCTTTGAGAGAGGCAGAAATCGATAAGATAATACGTAGGCGGACGCCGTGTGCGAGTATAGTGCCGTGCTTTTCCTTTTCAGTCTCGGCAGCGATCCATCTCCACTGGATGAAACGATGCGGGGTACATGGCTGATGCATCCATCATGATGTTATTTATGCGACATACCGGTGAGCAACACCATGCTCATGCATGAACTCGAGGCCCTAAGTGCACGTCGTTAGTGCGTGGTCCAGTCCTCAAAAGCACGGCATCTGTCTTACTTGGAATATTTGAGCAAAGAATCCAACTGCCTCCCCGTATGTCTTGAATCGAGAGTTATTCCAAGGCCTTAAAAGCTGCATGGCCAACAGCTTTTCATTGTCATTGTCTGGTACTTCCAAAGCATCTAGAACACGAGCGCAATGATTGCGGCGATCGGAGATGAGAGGTTCGGAAGAGAAATAATGGGCAATATCTATCTCGTTGGGGTGTTCCGTGAGATTAATTCTCTTCAAAGATACGAACGCGCCATCTGTTATACGCGTCGCATCCATTACAGTCGCCCACTATTAAGTATGATCAGGCTGAGATGATGAATGTCGTATTGGAATAGCTTACAAAGGTCATTTGTCCATCTTCACATCCTTTTCGTTCCCGTCCATGAGGGTACCCACTCTGGTTTGTATCGGGGACGCAGCATGTAGTCGGATTTCTCTAGCCACTTCTGGCGCCTCCTCCAGTATCGTTCCAGGCTATTAATGGCGCCAGGGTTTTCTCGCCTGCGGGTTATTATTTCTTCCGTGTTCTCGCTCGTGCTTGACATTGGGTTAAAGAGTAGTAGTGTCAGTGAGAGTTTGAACAGGACCTCAGACAGTTCGACGCAGTCAACTTTAAGCGCCGCGAACGATTATGTGATCGCGCCGAACGAAAGCTCGAGTTGGCTCGAGTCTTGTTCTTGTGCTTGCTACGGATGATTGATCGCCGTCATTCATAAAAACAGGGTCTTGTAAGGATACTGGACCAATATCTTTATCTAGGAAGTAGCTTTGGTACGTCTTTCAATATCAACGCATATCTGGGTAGTCGGGCTGCTGAATATAGTACTCATTGTTCTCCTAAGTTGGCGTGGCGGTAACTATGTCAGGTCCTAGATATCGTGAGTCTTCGTATATTTACTTCAACAGTTCAGCCCGAGCCTGACATAACCTCGATCCCCCTTCAATTGCTATCGACAGTATCATCATCGGATTAGTTCCACAGCCGCGATGCCCGCTCCTGCCGTCCTTGCACTCTTGAGCGGCATTGGCTCCGTCTCATCTAACGCTGCTGGTAATGTGGCTGGTAGCGCTATAATTGATATTCTGGGAGCAATAGTCCTAGCAAAAACAGAAAGCAAGGTGACAGAGCAATGCATCAAGCATTGGCTGTTTTCGAATGGGACGTCGGTGAAGGCCTTCTGACTCACGGGAATCGGCGGTCGATACAAGAACTTATGATTGAGTATGTCTACATCCTTCTCGTTTCCCTATGATATCTAAGCTGCGCCGTACAAGATCCGAAGAAGCCAAAGAGAAGCTCACAAATACTCGAGGGTTCGGGCTGATCCCTAAGTCTCGCCAGTACCAACGTAAGGCTGAGGCAGCCAATGATCTAGTCATGGAATAGTCCTATTTCTCTCAACAGAGGTTTAGGTTGTTCTCAGGCTCAATGTGCTGCCCTTCTAATCCTTATCAGAGGCCTCCAGAAGGGTTAGGTTAAATAGGCGAATCTCGCTGGAATTCGCAACGACGCCAGCAGAAATTTACAGAGAACAAAGGTTCGGACCTGCGTAAGTCAAATTCGCTTGTCTGTTCGATTCTCACTAGTATGTATACACACTTACTTAGGTTTGATACAGAAACAGCCGATAATCCGTTCCAGGATCCAACTCAAATGCCCAATTTCCTTCATAGGGCAGTGCAGAAGCCTATGGTGGCAAGTTCTCAACTCAGTAAGTCTGTAGGAATATCAGTCGAGACGTAAATTAACGATTTCTCCTGACCATTTTCGGACGATTATTCCAGTGCTTCTTCAGCTCATTCCTCAGGGCAAGGCCGAGATAAGCATGTGACATGGGCGACAGATACAGAGACAGTCCAATCCGAAAACCAAGATGATATTGCCTTGGATATTGCCTTGAACAATGTCACAGCATCGGATATCACATCAGGTCCGTCAGTTCGTTTGTGTCTGACTGGGGGCATTTGAAGACATTGCATGACAGCTGGTCTCCCTCTATGAAACCATTTCGCTCGCAGAGGGTTGGATGTTTCTAAATAGGGGCATAAGGAGAGGTTTGAAACGATGACAACAACAGGAAATCTGGGACAGGGGGGAGCTGCCTCACAATAAAGTATATGGCTGTGAGGTGCCAGTACATCTCGACCTTGTCGACCTTCGACCGCTTCGACGGGTCATCCTTGACCATGTCACTTACAGGCCTCTCGATGAAATGAAACCATATAATTATATATCAACCTTTGGCGGGTAAGGTTTTTCAGATATCACTAGCGAACAGATCACACGGCCCGTCAGCATCGGCGTCTGTACAGCCTGGCAGTACCTTGTCCTGTCCACCTTCAGGATCATCAAGTCGAGACATGCCAAAATCGAGTTCACGAGTTCCACAAGCAGATCTGTTCAAGGACACCAGAGCCGTACGAAATTCACAAGCGAGATAGGTCTACAAGCTGGTATAAATACATACAAGCACAGTATTTTTGGTGAGAACGAATACAGTCGTCTACGACTGTGAGGCAGTGACGAGAGCAAGTCGCGAGGAGACCTCCGCTTGAGCGCGCACGAGGTTCGCGAGGTAGGACATCATGAGAGTATCCTGAAACGTAAGAAGAAAATATCAGCAGACGAAAATAGTTCGTGAAGAGGGCACCGACCTGCAAGCTGTTCGCAAAGCCGCCCTTTTCGAGCTCCTCTGTCCCCGTACCGAAGGTATCCATAAGATAGCGCCCGACGGCGGCATCTCCCTTCTTCTCGCCAGCAAGCACGGCGCGGACGTAGGAAAGGACGCGATCGAGCATGGCGACAACGGTTTGGAGAGATGATTCGAGTTTTGAGAGATCAGATATAGGGAGGGTGGAGGCGGGGGAGGAGAGGAGATCCACTGTCATTTTAGAGGTTGTCAACTGAGGAGTTTGGAGACAAGAGGAGGGTTTAACGTACAACCACTGCGCTCGGCATCGTTAAAGCGAAGATCGACAGGGATGGGTACGAACACGGCGTTCTCGGGTTTCGGGTAGACGCCAACGGGAGAGCTGCGAGGAAGGACGAAGTGTCATACTTTCGATGGACTCCGTACACGGTGCTCAGACGGACCTGGTGTAGGCTTTTACGCCAGCCTCTTCTCCCTCGACGGTACCCGTGCTGAGCGCAACGTGAATCGCAAGATGTGGTGCTGTTTCTTGAGAGTAGAAATTTTGGATCAAAGCGGAATACGTGTTCAGGTTCGATCCTGTCGAGTACCTGTTCCATCATCGACTACGGTCAAACCTCCACACTCTCCCTCTAGGAACAGAGCACGCACCATCCGACGATTGCGTCTTTCGGGCTCACGCGTTGTGAAAGCTCATACATGGCGCGGTGGTACTCCATGTCTACCGCAACCTGCTCGCTGGTCTCGCTGTGCAGGACGGCGAACGCAGAGCGAACTTCGACTTCGCCATTCTCAGACCGCGTACCGAGGAGAGTCCCGATGACGCGCTCTTGAGTGTCAGTGCGGCGAAGATAGTGGTCGAGGATGGTAAAGAGGGCAACAGGGTGGATAGATACAGATGATGGGGTGCGCCTGTCAGGTTACAGAATCCTGCATGAGTAAAAAACATTTATACAATATCCGATGAGATTAAGGATTTTGGAGCCAAATTTTGACTCGGCAAAAGAAGTGATCATGAGGCCAGTATGGCTCAGAAACCCGAGAGCTAATAGATGAAGGGAACAAGCAAAACATACGCAGTGGAAGTGGAGGTGGACGGGGCAGCCTGGAGGTGCAAAGCAGATGACGGGGGACCGAGAGACATGGCTTTGTTGATGTTGCTTTCAAAAGATCTGAAAGATCGTTTGTGAATGTGTTCAGCGAACGGTTTCTGCTTGGCTGCTTGACCGGAAGGGACTGGCGAAGTGGACGAAAATCCAAAGCTTGATTATGTAATCAAGCTGCGTTCGAGTTGCGGTCACCGTCGGACGACGTGCTAGCACCATCCAACCATGTCGACCTCACCCTTTACCTCGGCCCACAGGCTCTACGTCAAGTCGCTCTACAAGCGAATGCTCAAGAATGAAATGGATTGGGTGGTGCGGTATGATCTGTTCAGGGCGCGTGCTCTGAACATTAGAGCAGAGTTCGAGAAGAACCGGTGAGATCACTTCACCTTCACGTCCCATTCAGAGGGCGACGCGCGTCCCATCTTATCGAGGAAGGAGGTGTTGATATATAGAGCTAATGCTACTTCTTGGCAGGCATGTACACGATCCCCGTGCGCTAGCGAGCATCTTAGAGAAGGCTGAGGCCGAGCTTGCAGAGAAACGGCATCCCGACCCATACATCCGTAAGTTATCCTTATCACAGTCCTTACTGTCGGCTAAACCCAAAATATTGTCTATTTAAGCTTCCTTGTTTCCTGGTGGGACCAAGTGGTGCGTGCTGCAGTTCACATACGTCATTCACCTTCACATATTCACTGCCTCGTTCTTGCAGGGAACGCAACGCACCCGTTGGTATCTTACTCGAGCCATCTTTCTTGTGCGCCTATTAATGACTTTGTTTTTGGCAGCCCCCGCTGGGACCCATCTTCGACCACGAAGCGCACGATGCTCATCACTGATCGCGCACCCTACGTGCCTAATGTATACCGCATCATCCCGAATCTATTACTCTGTTTTACAGCGTCTTGTCCACTCTGATTCTTGGCGGAATACAGAGGATGCGTTCCTCAGTCAGGCCGGCTGAACATCTTTCTCTTTGCTCGGGTGCATTGCAGACCCAGCGACTCTTGTGGCCAAAGTATTGATAATCATATTCAGGCCCCAAAGTCATCTGTGTGCCATGTCTGTGAAGCAGTCTTCACGCACAAGGCATCAATCGGGTGCAAGGCTGGCGAACAAACATGATTTTTTCCTCAAGAATCAAAGTCTTATTGCGCTCTGTCATCACATCATACAGTCACCATCGGCAAGCCATTGCGGGGGTTACTAGCTGTGAGTACGGTTATTGACAGCCTTTGAATTTCCATGTAATCCGTCGTTCTGGTGTTGCATTCGACGTCACAATCATTGGCTGTACATGCATCAAGGAGGATGATATTCTTAGCTTGCGCAGATCGAAGTCTTTTGGCGGAGAGAAGGGGTCAGGCTTTTCTGGCCCGTGATTTTTGCACAAAGCGACTGCCTCTTGCCAGCCACGAGGCGGAGACGCTGAGTAGTCTATATTCCCCCCTTCCTCTGGCTGATTTTGACATGGAGAAGCCTCCTTATCGCTTGATTTACAAAACATTGTGATCACCCTGACTTCTTTGGCGCATCGCTTCTCCAAAAGTAAGTGTTCCTAAGCTGCCCCGGCCTCGTCATCTTTGACGTATCACTTCTCCAAAAGTAAGTGTTACTAAGCTGCCCCAGCCTCATCATCTTTGACCGATTCGCTTCCCTCCAGCGCTCGTGGGTGATGCAAACGCCTTGAGGTCGAGGGGCTGTATACTTCAGAGCCTATTAACTGGTTCTATGGCAATCACCGTATCCACTGCTTCATGCCCTCATGGGTCGCGGTGTTTTTGACGGTCGGCCAAGGCCGATTCACCGCGACTGGCGAATGAGGTGGTCCTTTGCCTCCCGCCTTTGTTTGAAACGCATACTGACTGCCTTCAATTTGTTAGGTAGCCTCGCGCGCTACCACCAGTACTTGGTTCTTGACTGTTTCTCGATATGAGGGCAAGAATGTTGAATACGGCAAATAGCAGCTACTCTCTAACCTTCACAGTTCTCGCCTGATCATCTTCCGTTCTCAGCGGAAACTATCTTCGACCACAAACCGCCCCACGCGGCTCTTCGCTGAATGCGTCTTTCCGTGGCTGCTGTCCATCGCGGTATCACAAATTTACCGCGTTTCGAAACCCATCGTCGCACTTGGACTGACCTTCTCAGAACATGCGGGAATCATTCTGTCAGTTGCGTCCCGGCGTTCATTCGGATCGTCGCATACCTGTCTGATAGTGCTGTCAGGAGCGCGTCCAAGTCCCCAAGTGCGCTTGACACTCACAGCTGAGTGAGCCGCGGTCCGCACTGCCATACATATGCATCATTGTTGGACAGAATAAAAGTTTATCGCCTTCGGGTGCAACTAGGTGCAGCCATCGTCCAAGGTTCACGCCTGACAGCGGCTTTTGAACGCTTTCTCCTGCCAAGCTAATCAGTATAGATAGGGCACAGTGTATCCACGATAGTTCTCCAGTTCAAGTGCCCGCTTTCGCCTCGCTATATCATGTCTACTAGCACTAACTTTACGCTTCCCATTTCTTATCGATTTGCTCGTAAGTATGTTCGCTTGAGTGCTCCTTCGTGATCGCCAGAATTCTGAACCCGAACCATATCTGACAGTCGATATTGGCAAGCAATCGCGAGGGGGGGCTCTGGGTTTGCTTGCGTATGATTGCTGTGGGTATCGAATGTTTGTCGATATACGTCGCCTTGCTACGTTGCGCCGTTGCTGATGACATCGAAAGTCATTAACCTAGACAGAGAGGTGATTTATCATGTCAAATCGGAATTTAAACAGACGTTCATCCGTGTTTGGGCTTTCCAGGTCGAGTTTATCTGGGGGCAGAAGAAGAACCGTCTTGGGTTTTGGCTCTACGTCTTCGTGTGTCCACTGCAAACGATCATGTCCTAGTCTCCAGAGCTGATGGATTCAACAGCTTAGGTTTCTGCCAATCGTCTATTTAATCTGCGGAATAAGTAAGTATTTTCCTTGGTTTATGTCCTTTGCCTGTATTAGTAATTGCGGTTGCAGTAACCTTCGCTCCCGTTGTTCCGCCAAAGGTGAGGCCCTTCAAGCTGCTTTAGTGTTTCCGACTAACTTTCCTCCAGATGTCAGTCTAGGCGCGGAAGCGATTGTTTCACCATTTACTCACACCAAGTCGTGTAGCTGCATCACTTATCTCACACTCGATGACGCCGTGACACTTTTGATTACCATTGTTACGCAAAGTGCGTATTTTCATCCTGGTGCGTTAACGATTGCTTAAATGCGACCGTCTAGCTATCCTACAGATTCGGGTGAGGACACCTCTTATTCGCACTCAAAGTCCGGCAGGTCGGCTGACACTCAAGCACTAGGTTTATGCTCTATACGTACAAAGCAGAAGCATCCTCATATTCCTCCTGTGCTGCTGTGCTCTCGAAGTTTTGACCATGTTGGTCTTAGCAGTCATAACCATGGATCGCTTGTCTCGTGCGTCCTATCTTTCACCCCCAATCCCAGCACCCAATGTTGATTTTGTGGGAAATAGATTTTCCAGTAATTTCAACGGCAACTGGTTGTTATTATTCAGGACTCTCCAGGCCTTCCGCGATATTCTGGATCCCGCCTCTTATATATGAACTGATATTATGTCTGCTTGTAGTATGGAAGGCTTGGGACGAGGAGATTCTATATCGCTTCGGGCTAGGACCACACACCTCCGACGGACAACCGCTTTTTACAACCCCTTGCATGGTGAAGTTGATTGCTCGTGACAGGTAACAGCTCATCGCATGTGTCCATGATCCAGTTTCTGATATAACCTGTGCTATCGTAGCTTGAGGTACTTCTCGGCGTGAGCTTCGACTCTCATCCACACAATCTGCTCATCCCTCATTCTCATTGACAGAATCTTCGTGGAATTCGTGATCAGCACGGTCATATGGTCCCATTACAAGTACTATGTCGATGTCACTATGCCGTGAGATCGACTCCCGTCTTTGTGAGAGCACGCTGACCACCTCCAATTTTCCAGATGGGCCTGTGCACTGCCATCTATACTTGGGAGCCGCCTCTTCATCAACATGCGAGAAAGCATGCTCGAGACGAGCAATCAGAATTCGTACGTCCTGGAGACGTTCCAGTTTGCAACACGCCCCGTCCTTGAGTCTGCAGATGCACGCAGGGACCCAGAGCTTACTGCGGATGCCCTACATCCTCATATGACATCTGCACCAGACGTTGAATTGGTGTGAGAAGGACGATTTCGATGGATTCGAGTACTAGAGTCGTAATTTATGAAATTGACAGGGAAACACTTGAATGTGATGAGATATGCTATTGCGGGTTCTAGTACTGCGCTCACGGTGTATAGCCTTCGCTATTGTTCCTGACCTTGAGGTTCTTGAGCATGTTTCGGCGTGGATACTTGACATCAGTTAAAGAGGGTATGATACTGTGATACGCACGGTCATGCTATTCTGAGACCTTTATACATTCATCTGCAGAAATAAAGGGACACAACAGGAGGGACCGCCTTGTATAGACATGGCTAATCATGGCGGGACATTATAATACAAGAAAATGCTCAGTTATTGAGATAAAAACACGAGCTGCCGCCTAATTTCGACAAATAAGCTCTGCGGAGCTTGCTTGAAGCGAGGTACAATGGCAGCCCTCCGACACACACCTCTTTGAAAAAACATAGATGGTCCGTGCGCAGACGGTCGGGTATAAATGCGGGCCCCCGCCATCCATAATTCTTCATACTTACCTTGATGACACGGATCCCTTCAGGGACCTGGGTTCGTGGGCCGTGGGGACCTTCCATAGCACGGCGACCCTGTCCCCAGAGGGTGCCTGCGGTCTGTATGTGCTTCGGTGCATGCATCGTCTCAATATTTTCCTGTTCCGCCTCGGCCACTCTGGCTGGGCGGGCCTTATTTTTATGCCCCGACGCCGCTCTAACCCTAACCCTATTTCACTTCTCAATAAAACAAATTCTACGATACTGGCTATCACTTTTTGCATTCAATCATTTTATAAGCTGCCAAAGCTTCCAAAGTGGTACATATCTAGAGATGCCCTGCATCCAAATAAGATATTTCTGGAGCAAAAATCCTACAAACCTTTGCGTCATGCTTCATTTTCAGCACACAAACGATGTTTCTGCTGCGATATGTCGATAGCCTTCACAACAGAGCTAAGATACACAGTGATATATTGCGAGTAAGGCGTGATGGTGCTACATCCCGGGACCAAAAAGACTGATGACTGCGACTGGAAGCGGACCCCCCTCTCGTTGCTTGGTCTGACCGCAGTATGCTATGACGTATTTTGAGGGATGCCAGGTGACGGTCGGCGACGATGCAAGGGCGGGGACCCTGTGCAATGGTGCACTGGTCTCTGTCGCGCACTAAGAACGTGAGGTGTGAGCGCCGCGATTGATCGAGCGGGAACGAAAGGAAAAGACCGACGATGTCGATGTATGGCCCCGTGTTCGCGATCGCGATGTATTCGCCGTCGTGCGAGAAGCTGAGCGCCGTGATGCCGTTCCTGGGGCGAGGGCGAGGGATGGTTAGCTGCGGCGAGGAGGAGGCGCCGGCGCGGGGAGCGGGAGCGGGACGTACTCGCAGCTGGTGATGGTGCGCGCGCAGATCCACTCTGATAGATCGAACATGTTCACGATGGAGTCGTGGCCCCCGGACGCGAGGTACCTGGCGGCGATCAATACGGCGGTACGAGAGAGCGAGAGCTTGTAGAGGCGCTCACCGCCCGCGTGGGTCGAGAGCGGCTGCTACGCAGCCGCCGACGTGCGCTGCTGGGCTCTCGTAGAGGGAGAGCGAGGGAAAGTCCATTACTCGCAACGAGTGTTCTGAGTTGTGAGTGAGGATGATGCCGTCTCCGGTGTGGTTGAACATCGCTGTGGAAGCCGTGATCTGTTGAGGAAAGGCGGAACGGCATGAGCGATGTCCACCGGCAGTGGAGCCACAAGAGGTCGATCACGATGGTTTGCGCACCCCTTCTTTCTCAGAGCTTGCCCACTGATCTTTGGCGTCGTCGCCCTGCTTGCCATATGTCATGAAGAAGACCTGGTGGCCCGCCGAGACGTAGAGTAGCGACTTGCCATCGGGCGAGTAGTTTGTCTGGACCGGAGATACTTTCACGGTGCACTGTTGGACATGTCGAGACTCTGCAGTTGGAAGGGATGAGCTCTCGACTCACGAGCGGGGAGCGAGGAACGTACGGCGGGCGTCCCAGAACACTATTCGACGGTCCTTCTGGCTGGAGGAACAGAAGAGCTCGGGGTGCGTTGGGTTGTACGACACATAGTCGACGTCGTCTGAGTGTGCGCCTGAGAACAGAGCAGCGGAACGCATCTCCATCTGTGCCATCTGAGGTCAGTCATCGGAGATACATCACGAAGACCGTGGGGAGGACTTGCGCTTTTCTCCGGTTGAAAGACGCGCACGATCTTGTCGATTCCTACGGCGGCCAGCTTCTTCCCGTCGCAGCTCCACGCGACGTGGGTCATGGCCTGGGGCGACGTGACGCGGACGTCTCGCGGACGAAATGCGGAGAACGTTGTGGTCTAGGAGCGATGCCGGCGTCATGGTTATGGTCTATGAAGGTGGGTCGAGAGCGGGCATACGTGGACGCCGCGAGCTGCGAAGGAGGTGTGTGGAGGGGGGGAAGGCTGGCGCTGGGGTGGAGGGATCTCCTCCTCGTCTTTGGAATTTTGTGCGATCACAGATGCAGACATGGCGAGTGGTGGGATGTGTGGTATGTAGCGATGTCGAGGAGGATTACTGCTGGGGACCGGTGGCGCAGAGGGGACGACTCGGAAGAGACACGTGCTGGGAAACCGGCGGTGGAAGGTAACGGGGAGTCGGGACGCGGTGTTGGTGACTGTGGGTCCGTCTTTTGTTTGGTCTGTGTTCGATTTAAGTTGGAAGGCGGCTGGTTTTCCCCGTTTCCTTGTGATCACGACGACGACTGACCAATTATTCCATCAGCCTCGACTTTGTGGCTGCTCGCCGCTCTTACGAAGGCCCTACGCCCTTACGCCTCCACGCCCAAAACGCTCTCTTCAAGAATAGCTACGATTTACTTTACCAATGATTCCGCTCATCCCGACCCTCGCACTTGCGTTTTTCTCTTTTCTCTGCTCTTCCTTCGTCATTCTGCGTATCATAATTCCTATCTTACCTCCACACCCCCTGAGCAGGCGCGTTCCTCCCGTATGTCTCCGTCTCCGTGATCTGCTGTGATTCGCACGCTGACGTTTTCCATCAGTCTGAGTTCGGCCTCCCCAATTTCCGCTCCCTGTCGGTGGCTGACAAAAGTCACGTATGGCTGTCCCTCTGTGATGTTCTCGCGCTCTCTGTATTTGTTTGGGAAGCCGTCTCCGAGTCGATGGGTGGTGCATGGGGTTACCAGTCTGCGGCCGACCCAGGCTCCTCGGCCCGCTTGTGGTTTGCCCTCACCGTCCGCCAGACCTGTCTCCTCGTCGTGTCCGGTATCACCCTTATGCATGTTCGCATGGGCCGCTCGGTCTCCTTTGGCAAGAAGCACTGGGTCCTTTGGGCACCGATGCTCGTCCTCGTCATCACGTCCACGGTCCTCGCCGCCGTTATGTCGGGCGCAGGCATGTCGAGCTTCTTCGTCGGATATGTTGCCTACTCCACGACCATCTCCGCGCTCAGCACCATCTCGTTCACCTGCCTTGCGGTCACTCTCGTCATCATCAAGCGCAACTTGAATGCCCTTAACGATGCTGCCGACCCATGGCCGCCAGCTAAGGAAGTCGAAGAGAAGCCCCGTCCTTCTTTCGCCACCGAAGACGTCGATGCTATGCGAGAGGGTAGTTCCTGGATCACGTCTCGTGCTAGTTCCCAGCATGAATCTATCTCGGCCTTCTCTTTCTCCACGCATCATGACCACTCCTACGCCCGCCACCACCCCGCCATGGCGTCCAACCCCTCTATCCCGGCCAAGTCATCTTTCTGGTTCAACCCCTCCACTCACGACATGCATGCTCGCGATTCAGTTCCGCCAGTTCCGCCTCTTCCTTCTGCATACAAGAACCAGGCCCAGGTGTATGCGTCCCTGCACGAAGACCCCGACCCTTTCCGTCGTTCCGAGTCTCCACATGCGGCCCGCATTCGCATGGGCTCTCAGAGCTCTTGGTTGACTTCAAGCGACGGCAGTCATCGCACGCTCTCTGCATGGTCCTATCCTACTACCGTACGCGATCCGCCGATGATGGCTGCCATGGCTTCGACGCAGGACTTGAATGTCGAGCTCTTGCCCTCTGTCTCCCGCCCCGTGACTCCTGCAATGTCCAGCGCCCAAGTGCTTGGCGGCTATGGATACTCTCCTTCGACTTCGGAGGCCGAAAAGGGCATCGCCGCTCTTGCAGCGTCACCCTCGGGTGACATTGATGTCTCTCTTACTCGCAGCATTGGTTGGATGGCCAGTATCTGGGTGCCATATGTAGGTGACAGATTACTTTCTCCTTCCATCCTACTGAAATATCTGCTAGGCACTCGCACTTCCCTACTTTTTCTCGGCCTTCTCCGCTTCCGGCTCTAGTTCTGTGATGCCCCTTTTGCTTGTTATCAGTGTTACGATCTCTTCCCCCATCCTCGCGCTTAACATCGTTCTGCGGTCGCCTATCCCCATCCCGACGAATCTCTTCGATGTGCACAGCGAGCCACCTTCCATTGTCGCTCGCGCCCCTTCGCCTCAGAGTACTCTCCCCGTCCACTCCCGCGAGTACAAGCGCAGCGGGAGCACGACCGTTATCGAGGGACGTCGTAGTACCGATGTATGGGTCGCCAAAGGCGATGCCGTTGACGGCAAGAGCCGTGTCGGGCGCGCTTTGATGATGCTCGCGCCAGCCCCCAAACTGTCAGTCCTCCCACCCGAAACTAACGACGCCGTGCCCTCCACTCCCCCGCTTCCCATCCAAGATGACTGCAGTCCCCCTCCCACCGTGCCCACGACGCCGCACTCGGAGAACAGCGCGGAGTTCGGCCGGTCGAGGAAGCAGTCGAGGACGTCGTCGCACTTCTCGAGCGCCGACGAGTCGCTGGCGTTCACCACCGAGATTATGGTCGCTCAACGGCATTACTCTGCGATCGCTACCACGATGTTCATACCCCGGTCCCCCGAGAAGCGCGCGTCCACGGGCGGACACTTGACAACCGGTGATCTGCTCGGTGTATCATCCGCCATACCCAGGCAGCCGACGCACGTCCGCTCTCGCTCGGCGTCCTCTCTGAGTGGACCCAACCCTCCGATGAGCCCGCCTCCGTCTGCGCCGCTGCCCCCAATACCTCCGACGATCAGGAGCTCCCATTATATCGGGCACAGGAAATCGTACTCCTCTGGGCTCGATCTCGGCGCCGTCGGCAACGGCGAGATGAACGAGATAGACGCGCTCTCCGCCGGACTTCTTCCGCTCCTTGTTCCCGGTCTCAAACTCGGGAACGACGTGCGCGTCAGCGAGGATTGGGCCGTGCGCGGCCCCCCGGGCACCTTCAGCAAGGGAAGCAAGGCCGATAAGAAGGCGAGGCGCTCGATCAAGGACTCCTTTGGCGCAGGGGACGAATCCGCCGGATTCGCGACTTCCGCCGAGTTTTCGTCCCCCGATGTACACTCGACCCCTGTCAGCCGGCGCGCGCCGAGGCCCCGGACGTCTTCAGCGCACAAAAAGAACCTCTCCAGTCTTTCGGGGTAAGTGCGATTTTTCGATGGTATCTCACCAGCGCGTTGATCTGCCCCCGTTCGTCAGCCCTGTATCGGGCAAAGACGGCGCTCACGAAATCTCGGCTTGGACGAACGCGACCGACGACGCCCTGGAAGCCAGAATGGAGGAGTACAAGGCTAGCGCCGACACCGCCAATGACCGCAGGAAGCCGGTTTGGGGAAGCGAGTCCACTGCCGATGAGGAGAAACATCTTGCCTTGAAGCCAGAGTCGGATGTGTACCTGCAGCCTGCTTTATCCGGCTCCACCCTCGCCCGCTCTCCCTCTGGCCGTGTCCTCAGACCCCGGTCATCTTCCCTCAAGCTCGAAGACCTGCCCACAGGCGGGAACACCGCACGCTCGTCCCTCGTGACCCTGATCGCTGCGTTGGACCAGCCCGACAAGGCCCTCCCCTCCGCAGGCTCAGACGTCACCCTCTTCGACTTCAACCTCGGCACCCCCGTCGCAGAAAGCACCCCCGTCGAGCACAAGAGGAACAGCGCCGCCTCCCAGCGCGCCGCATCTACGAGCCGCCGCTCCAGCATCGTATACATCAAATCCGACGCCCCCGCCCCCGCCGGGTCCGCGCCAGACGACGAAAACGAACGCCCCGGCGCCAAGCCTCTGACGCCGCCCTCCACCTCGGTCAGGCTCGTCCAATGGTCCACGCGCTCCGTGCGCCCGCTCGTGCCGAAACAGAGCAAAAAGCTCGCGGACGCATCCAGCCCGCCCAAGACGACCTCCCCCAGCGGCGGGGGGCTGCGCCAGCTCTCGCTCCTCCAGAACCGAGATGCGAACGCCGACGGCGCGCGGAGGACGCAACCGCTGGCGGCCGGGAGCTGGAAGCAGAAGCTGAGGCAGCGCGAGGACGCGGCGGATGCCGAGAACGCAGCCCCGAGCGGGCCTGTGATAGGGTTGCGGCACAAGAAGCTGCGCGCGCTCAAGCTTGCGCGGTCGGACACGACGAAGGAACGGGAAGTCCTTCGCGGGCAGGAGGTGCTGCCGGACGTGGTCGTACGGCCTCCTTCGGAGACGCAGCATACCGAGTATGCATACACGTTCCGGTGAACGCTGGACGCTGGACGCTGAAAATTAACGATACGTATATACACCCTGCAGGCTGTCGTGCGTTTGCGAACCTCGCCTTCGCCTTTCATGAATAATCTTTTTTTTTCGCAACGTTTTTTTGTGCTTATACCCGCATTTTGTTTCGCTTTCGCAGTGCTTTTCACGTCGCATGACCCCTCACGCTGTTCTTGATCACGACATCCTTCCTCACGGCTCCTCCAGTCTGCTCTGAAACGCTCTCGTACGTCCGTAACCTTGCTCTCACACGTCACCATCATCATCACCATTGTCAATACTGTCGTCATAATCTACTATGCTATCCACTATCCCCTCGTCTCGTCTCGTCTCGTCTCGTCGCGTCGCGTCGCGCCTTGTTTCGTTTCGTCTCGTTTCGTTTCGCTGGCTATGCTGTGCTTTGCTCTGCGTTTGCTTTGCTTTGCACTGTTCTCGATGAACTACTATGCGTGTTCATATTTCCTTGTCGTTTGACAATACTATTGCTTGCACCCAGTTATTGTAAGGCTTTTATAGGTCTTTCATATCTTCAAAAACGCTACTCTCGACTGGTGTCTATTCATCAGACGATGTATCCGCCTCGGGCTCGTGCAACATCTTGAAAATCGTCGTCGGTGTTCTAGAGCAACCTTGTGAGGAGACCGTTTCCAATCAAGACTCACCGCGATCGATGAGCAAAGATCGCCGTGAAGCCCAGGTGGAGATATACTATGCACGCTATAGCCCACACTCGAACCGCATATGCGTCTATGCTGACAGCCCTTAATATTATACCCGTACACTATATCTTACAGTCTACAAGAACGGCACGTTCTCCATCTCGCCCGCCGCCAACAGGTCCTCGTCGAACGCCTGCTCCGCAGCCTCCTCGTTGACATCCTCGTCCTCGCCCTCGTACGCCTCGTCCCCAGCCCCGAACTCCAGGTCCTCCTCTTCGTCGTCGTCGAGCGACGTCCTCGACCCCGGCAACGACCCCGGCATGCTCTCCATGCTCCGCGTCCGCACGCGCGGCCCCCCGCGGGCCTTCTCGCCGTCCTCGCCCTCGCCCTCGCCCTCGCCGTCGTCCTCCGAGTCCAGGTACGTCTCCGACGACGACTCGGGGCTCCGGCTCCGGCTCCGGCTCGACGGCGCGAGGCCCGCGAGCGCGCCCCCGAGCCGCTCGAGGCTCGACAACTGCCGCAGGCGCGGCTCGCGCTCGTCGCCCATGTTCCGCCCACGGCGCGCAGCCACCGCGGGCGGCGGGAGCGCGGGATACGACGCCCTGTTGCCGGTGCTCCGCAGGCTGAAGTTCCGCAGGCGCGCGAGCGCGCTCTGGTTGGACGTGTCTGAGCGCGCGCTCAGTGCGGGCGAGGGCGGCGCGAGATCTGGGAGCGGGAACTCGGGCATGGGCGCCTTCCAGTAGTTGTTGTCCGTGAACTCGCTTTCCCACTTGTGTTGGATGGGAGGGAACATCTGGTCCACGAGGTCCGTCATGTGGATGTAGCTCTGTACAGAGCTGCGATCAGAGTAGGGGAGATCAGGATCGCGCCGACATCTTGGAGAACCGAGACGATACTCACGGGGACCGGTAGCCCGCCAGCTCCAGCAGCTCCATCTTGACCTCGCCGTTCGAGTCGATGGTGAATATCCGAGAACTAGGGATGTTGACGCTTCGGTAGGACAGCGCGTCCGTGATCCGGTTCCCGAATCCAGCGTAGAACGGGTCTGACGCCGCAGGGCTGAACAGGCGCTGGATATCCCGCAGACAAGCCATCTTGAACACCTCTGGCTTGCGCATGATCACCTCCCTGCGAGTAAGCCAAAAGCCTGGTCAAGGTCTCGTTTGATCGCGCAAATCGTTCGGCATGCGTACCGGTGCAACGAGGCCATGAGCCGGTCGGGGCTCATGATGACGGGGCCCTCCGGCAGCTGGTAATCGTTCTGCTTGATGCCCTGCAGATAATACCTCGTCGAGTCTGCCTGTCCAATTGCGCGGGACGTCAGATACATGATCTTGTACCCATTTCGGCATATATCGGTGTAGAGTTTGGCCACACCCAAGTGTGTCCAGTCCCTCCCGATCATCGTGAACACGTGTCCGAGGGCGTCAGATCTGAGCACAAGACTTGAGCAAACGAAGAGAAAGATAGGCCACGCAGTCCTCGTGCGTACTTCGTGATGGTCCCATCGATATCAGAGACCACGATCTGGTCCGTCCCCTCCCACACGAATATTCGCGCGGTGCATGCGGCCACGCTGGATGTCGAGAGAGAAAAGGTGATCGTGTTCGCGCCGGGCTGCAGATCCAGCTGTTTCTAAGAACCCGACAAACGAAGCTGTTTCAGCTGTGCTCAACGTTCAGGAAAGGGTGCGTTGGGAGATAGCTGTTACTCACGAGCTGATCGGATGTCAAGCGCAGCGTCTTCGCGAATCTGGTCTGGCCTTTAGCTTCCTCCGGGGTCGGCGGCCTGGATTTGCGTATAGGAGCGTCTTCGTCGGGAAGGGACGTAGGAGCAGGTAACACTGAAGGATCGTGTGTCTGAGCGTCCGGGCTCGGCACTATCGTCGACGAGCCGCTGCTTTGCTTCTGCCAACCGTCAGGAGAGATATCACATCCGAGGCAAGAGAATGAGACTCACGACCTCTAGAGGGACCGAATTGTAAGCCTTCAGCGCAGGTCGATCGCCTTTCCCGCTCAATTTCCGAATCCTGGGCCCTGTCAAACTATCGCCCGACCGCACGTCCACGCTCTGAGTCCGCGTCTTCGTCCCGCGCCTCCACCACCGCACCCACGACGTCCGCTCTGCATTCTGCATCTGCATCTGCGCTGCATCGCCCGCGCTCAGCCTCCCCTGCCCGCCCCCATCCCCGTCCGACAGCGGCTCGTCGTCGCTCTTCTCCACGTCCGAGCGCACCTCCCCGCTCCCGTCCACCTGCAGCTCCGGCGGGAGGCTCTTGCTGCGCTGGAACTCCTCGCGTATGCCCTCCTCGTCCGACTCGCCCGACATCTCCGCGATGTCGCCGACCAGGCCCACCGCCTTGGCTGCCATCTTCGAGCGCGTCGTCTTCGGGAACGTCGCGCGCATGGGCGACTTCTGCGGGAACGCGCCCCACTCCCACATGTACTCGTCTGCGGGCGGGGAAGAAGACATGTCGACCGTCAAGGCGCGGTGCAGGTGTTGTCGTGGAGGCGATTCAATCGGTGGTGCGGAATCTGCGCGCCCATTCGGGAAGGGTACTCGATAATTCTGACTCGTGTCGGTAGTTGGAGAGGGTGGATATATTCGGGTCTCCGGAGTCGGTGAAGAGGAGGGAAATGGGATAGCAGAGGAGGATTCCCCGTCACTATGCTGGAGGTCCATACGTCGAGAATGATAGCCGCCCATGTCGATCATGACATCTGATAACAGATGCCCGTTGGCTTAAAAAAGCGTAAGAGATCGACGTGCACTTACCTCCGTTGTTGAGGACATCTGGGGCTTCGAGATCTTCAGTCTTGACTTTGGGCAATATTTCGTCACCTTTGTCTTGTGGTGTATCTACGTGTAATGGGTCGTTGTGCTCATTTCTACTTGTCGTGATGCTTTGAGCGAGGTCGCGTGCAGCGACGAGGTTGTCCTTGAGTTGGGCGCTCTTCTCCTTCTCCGTCTCGACGATCGCGTCCACGATCACCTTGCCCAAGCCGGCTGTGCGACCGAGGAAGGTAGGCGGTTCGCCTGGTTCTGGGTAGTCGCGCTCATCCGACATGGGCTTCAAGAGAGACAGCCCAGAAGGCCCTGTCTTCGATCTGGGGGAAGGAGGCTCTGGCGCGGGTATGCTCGAATCGGGAGTGTTGGACGCGTTAAGATCCAGAAAGTCAGGTTCTTGCACGGCTTCTTCAACGCGTTGCGGGGCGCCTTCGGCGTCTCGATATGTATCCTTCGCGCCAAAGCGGGAGCCCTCGTCAACGTGGGTGCTCGCCTCGCCGGGCTTGGTCGGTTCAAGCAGGGGACTGGTGATCAGATCGTCTGGGACTTCGCCTTCTGTCTCGAAGACGAAGAAGGCCTCGCCGGCATCGCCGATCTTCATGTTGAAGGGGATGAGCTTGCCGTTGACGGAGACATTGACCTGGAGATGGGCAGCTGGGTCAATAATAGCAGGGCTCGAGGGCGTGCACGACGACGTCATAGGGTGCGTAACGGGTCGTGTGCGGATCTCTTCCAAATATACGACGTCCTCGGAGCGAGGGCCCGGACACAGTGCAAGAGTATATGCGCCCTTGGAGCATTGCACGGGCCAGCAGTCGTGTGTGCAGAAGTGCATGCTGGACATGGCTGCTCCTCGGATGAATGTCGCCCCAAATGTACACGATGCTCGTACCAACTCCGAAAACGTCACGTCGACCACACCTCCGTCGACCCGTCGCCCTTCCGGGATCCGCACGACGCCGCCAGCACCGCGCCCTGCAACGACCAGCGCAAAACATCCATTATCCACGCACCTTCTTCTCCGCAGGCCGCAGGACCTGCCATTTCCCAAACCTGACGTGAAAGGGCGAGCACGCCAGCTCGGAGCCCCCGTCCGCGGTCGACCTCCGAATGACAATGACATCAATCGCACCAGTGAGCGTAGAAGGATTGAGAGGCGGGAGCTCCTTGTAGTACTGGTATGGGGCGCTGATGGCATTCACTGCGCCCCAGAGGTAGTTCATGGGGTGGCGGGACGGCGAGGACGGCGAGGAGAGGGGAAGGAGAGAGGAGGGGCGTACGAGGAGGAGAGGCCGAGGCCGCTACTTATTCCAGTCGTACAACTTCCTCATGAATGTCCCGGACTCCGGACACGTGCCCCGCGCCACGTGCGTCCTCTTCCCGACCCTCGGTGTCTGCCAGAGACGCTCAAGCCATTCAGAAACGTTGTTAGATCCGTGCGCAGGCGCGGAGCAGCAGACCCCTGTTATGTCTTGATCCATGCCCCAGCATGTCCCATGCAGATCAATGACAGCGTCGCCGAGGCGCTCATTCAGGTCACAAGCATCTGTCTTGGGACCCCGATTCCCAGCCAACTGCCATCTCGCTGCATTCCAGCCCATCTATCGGCAGCGTATTGGCTGTACTTACTCACTCGAAGAAATGTCGACCCGTTTGTCTCCGCGGGTGACATGCAGATCTATCGAGCGGCGATTAAGAGAAGTGGTACACCATCTCGATTGCCCAGGTCCCCGATGGGCCGCTTCTCTCTAACCGGTTCAGACGCTACCCCCACATGATTCGGGAAATCCTCACCGCCTGTCCCGGACGCCCACGCCCTCCAGCAGTCGAAATAGGCGCAAGTAACTATACAGCATCCTCACGAGAGCACCCCCAGCACCAGCGATGTCCATGAACCCCTCGGATCCCGCCAGCTTCAACCACAGGACCGCGCTGCTCTCCACCGGCCGCACCTACCACTTCGTCGACCAGGCGCCCGACGGGCACAATCCCGAAACCGTGCCCACCATCCTCTGCGTCCATGGATTCCCTGATTTCTGGTGCGTCCGAGTGTGCCGTGTGCTCTCTGCTGTCTGTCGAACGAGGTCGGCGCCAGGTACGGATGGCGGTACCAGATCGGTCCTTGGGTGAGGAAGGGCTACAGAGTCGTCGCCCCGGACATGTTGGGCTACGGCGGGACGGACAAGCCCGCGGCCGCGTCTGAATACTCTATGAAAAAGCTGTGCGCCGACCTCGCTGCATTGTTGGACCTGATCGGCGTACAGAGGGTGGTGAGTCTCCCAGGCACGACTCGCCGACCCGACGTTCGACCGGCGCGCTTTCTCAATTCAGATTCTCGTCGGCCACGACTGGGGCGCCTACACCGCTTCTCGATTCGCGCTCTGGCAGCCTGACAGGCTGCTAGCTCTGGTAATGTACGATACACGCTTGCCATTCGAAAAACGAGCACAGGAGCTCAGAATGAAGGACAGATTGTCGGTACCGTACGTGCCTCCGGCCCTGCAATACCTCCCCCTCGAAGACGTGGTGAAACGCGTGCCCAACTTCGGGTACCAGCTCTACTTCGCGAGCGACGAGGCGACGCGCGAGATCGAGGGCGCGCTGCCGCGGTTCATGCGGCTCATGTATGGGCGCGTGCGCCCGCGCAAGCCGTTCACGGCCAAAGGAAACCTCAGGGAGTTCGTCGTGAGCGGCGAGGAGGGCACGCCGACGAGCAAAGTGCTGCTCGACGACAAGGTGAGCGGCGCGCGTTTTGTCTGCGCGCGAGTCCGAGCAAGCGTCGCCCCCAGGAAATCGAGTACTACGCCGCGCAGCTCAAGAGCATGCACGGCCCGCTATCGTACTACCGCACGACGAAGATCCGGTTCGAAGAGGAGCACGGTGACTGATTCGCTGCGCTTCCCACGTTCATGAGCACCCACTGACCCCGCACGCCTGCTGCGCGTGCAGCTGCGAACCTAAAGCCGGCGCTGCGTGCCGACCTGCCTGTGCTCCATTTCTGGGGCACAAAAGATGCCACGTCGACGCCCGCGCTGATTAAGACTTCGAGGACGTTCATACCTAAGCTGCAGGACATCGCCTTCGAGGGCGTTGGGCATTGGATCATGGTCGAGGCGAGGCAGAACGTGACGGATAAGGTGTTGGAGTGGTTGGAGGTGTTGTCGTTGGTTCCGGGATTGACGAAGTCTAAATTGTAAAAAATACGATGTGCAACATGGATCACTCACGGCGTCTACATGCGAGACTGCATCACGACCAGAGGTCGACAAAAAGACGCTCGTCAGGATATCGATAGCAAGGCAGAGGACAATTGCGGAATAATCACAGATGCCAGTCTAGAAGGACATCGATACCCACCTGTTGCCTGTTGCCTTAAGCGAGGTCAGTCGAAGACGAGGCAAAGAGGCGTGGTGGCCAGATGGAGAGAGGTGAGCGGAGTCAAGGGACGGTCCCGCAGCGTGTCCCAACGCGGAGTTTCAATTGCATTGTGACTTTCTCTTGCTCATCGTCCTCGCCGTCGTCCCCACCGCTCTCGACATTCACCAGCACATTTTCCCATCTTTTTATCACGTCTAGCTCGACTCCCCACTGTACCGCGACACAACTTCTAATTTGCCATACCCTCCCTGCTTTTCCCCTCGCAAGGCCATCATCAGCGACCGTTCCCAGTCTTCTTTGGTGCGTATTGTACTCTTGTTTTGTCCTGGACTAACACCCCGTTTCACGTTGTACTCACTCTTCTTTCTCTCTTACACCATCTAATAGTTCGTCCAATGCCCGCACTCACTCCGTTGAAAGCCATCAAGCCATCTTCAGCCCCTCGTGCGCCGTCTCTAAAGAAGACACGGTTCGTTAGGCGCAGAGGGAGGGCCAATGATGGCATCTACAGTGACGAGGAGTTTGTGCGCGAGGCCAGGTCTGACACCGAGTCCGACGACGACCGCTCGTCTCTCGACTCGGCATCAGACTCGGAGACAGAGCCTGCCTCGGAAGACGCACCAACCACGGGCCACCCGCAGGTCGTCATCCCGAGCTCGACGCACACCCCACAGCCCCCCGAAGTCAGCGCTGTCAAGCCGCTCGTCAAGTCCGCCTCCGCTGGGCCAACGCTGCTCAACGCGCCGCTCGACTGGGCGGATGACTCCGCCGCCGACGACCACGATCTCCCCGTCATCGACTTTGCGGATCTCGATGCTCAACACCGGTTCCAGAGCACGAGGTCGCGCAAGCCCGAGAAGGGAGGCAAGCGCCCGGTCTTGACACGCACTTCCTCCGCGCCGCCTACCACCGTCTCTCCCGCGCCCAATTCTGAGCACTCTGAGGAGAGGCCAGAGTCTCCCGTTCCTTCCACTTCCGAGCCACGCCAGAAAGAGGCCTCGTTCACGCGCCGCGTAGGACAGACCGCGCGCCAGGCGTATCAAGAGCGCTTGGAGAGTGACCCGTCCTACGTGCCCACGGTCGGTGAGTTCTGGGGCCACGACGACAGGCTGCTGGACAAGGACCTCCGGAGCTTGAGTGGCTGGTGGCGAGGGAAGTGGCAGGGGCGGGGCGGGCGAGGCAGAGGAAGATTCAACAACGGGTTCGGGGCGCGAGGGCGAGGCGGGTTCATGAATCCGCGTTCGGTAGCGCCGGAGGACGAGGGTGAGCAGGAAGGGTCAGCTGATGTGCCACCCGTTGAGCGCCCGTGGACGCACGACGGTTTCGAGGAGATGAAGAAGAGGGATGAACGGAGGGCGGAGTTCCAGCAGCAGCAGCCTCAGCGAGGGTTTATGCGCGGCGGGTTCCGTGGTGGCAGAGGTGGGTTCACGCCTCGTGGTCGTGGCTTTGCTCGTGGAGGGTTCTCTCCAGTTTCCACTCACGCAAGACAGGGTATGCCGCCTTCGTCGTCTCCGCATCGCGTCTGGTATGCCATGAAGCCCGAACGCGTCTGGACGAAGCACCACGAGTCGTTCTTGTATTCGGACCCGTCGTTGAAGCCGAGGGTGGGTCAGGGCGCGGGGTATCGCATCAAGCTGCCTGGCCAGCCACAGGAGGAGATTGTCCGTACTCCCCCTCGTCCTTGGGCCTCGCCGTCGTCGCCGGCATCAGCACCCGTCGCGCCTTCTGCCACGGCCTCGGAGGCGGCGGACAAGGTCTTCACGGTCCGCCTCCCGCCACGTGAGGAGACGGCCGTCCCCGAGATGTCCGAGCCTGAGCCTGCGACGACTGTGGCTGAACCTCCCATCGATGACGCATTCGTCATCACCAAGCCGCCTCCCCCGACCGTCATCCCGATCCCCGCCCCGCCCACGCCCCAGCCAAGCACGAGCAGCTCCCCCGCACTCGGTCCACAGCCCGCACAGGTCCCAGCAGAGCCGGCGTCTTCCGACAGCGACGGCGAGTGGATCGAGGCGCCGACCGTCCCCCCGATATCCCATGACAGACCCCAGCCACCCATCCTCCCTCCTCTCCAGACCGTCTTTTCACCCATGGCCCAGCCTTCTCCTTCGTTCGGCTCGCCATACGGGTATGCCCCGGCGCTGCCACCAGGCATCGGACTCAACCAACATGGCATCCCCTACGAGATAGCTACTGGCCGCGCTGTGTACCTCCAGCCCCCCCCTCCGCCTCCCGGCCCTCTCTACAACCCGCGCGGTGTCATCCCGGGACACATGTCCATGCCTCCCGGCCTCCCATTCGTCCCTCACCACGTCCACCACCACTCCAATCTCTCCGTTTCCCCCGACTTCCTGGCACACTCTCCAGCGCCGTCCGCCTACACCGGTGAAGCCCCGATCTTCGCGCCCCCGCGACAGAGCAGCCGCATCGAGATCCGGAAGCCGACACCGGAGGACGAGGCGAACGCGAAGAAGGGCCCGTCGCCGCGTCCCGCGCTCCGCAACGGCGCCTCGTCCCTGCGCTCGAGTGTGACGAGCTCTTCTGCGTCCGCCGCGGGCGTTCCGCGGACCGTGGACCCGAACGCGCCCGCGTTCATCCCGCCCTCGCACATGCAGCGGCCGTCGCAGGAGTACTTCCCCAACGGCTCGCCGTCGCCTGCGTACCCCATGGCCTCGGCGGAGGACCATCGCCCGCCGCCGCCGATGGATCCCGGGATGATGGGCTATCAGCCGTATCAGCAGGGGTACTATTACCCCGAGACGTACGGATACCAGCCCTACGTCGATATGCCACAACAGAGCATGCCGTACGAGGTGTATCCGCTGGACCCGCGCACGTCCCATCCTGTATACTATTGAGCAGCTCTTCCTTGCCCGTCGTCCCGCTCATCGTCCTCGTCTGTGGTTTATATGGACGCGCCTGCTGAAGCCTCGAGGCGATGGATTCGTACATACATAAAGCACATACACACCATACCTAGTAGTTACTCGCCTCTTTCCTTTCTTTTTCTTCTTTTGCTCTTTTTTCTTCGTTTCTTTTGTTCTCATTGTATTCTCCTTTGTTGCGCTTTTACAAGAGCCCCACCATCGATTGACATGCCTGCTTTTTGCTGCTTCCGTTCTCATGTTATGCAATCCCCATCATGCACATGCTTCCTTACAGTAAGTACACCCACGTCTGCACCCCCCACCCCACCCCCGTCCTGCCCCTTTATCCCCGCTTCTCGTTCTTTTACTACTTATACGACTACGACGTCCGTTGTTGACGCTGCTCGACGCCAGATCCTAGCCCATATACGTACATACGCATATTACGTATATACATATAGTGTTCGGCTCGAGGACTTGTCGTGTAGCTGCGTCACAGACGTCTCGTCTCCCCGCCTCTCCCTTCCTTGCTTGCTTCCTTGCTTGCTTACTCCTTCTCTCATGCACCTTACCGTCCCAGGCTCTCTTGGTTCTGTCCGCGCGCCGCAGTCGCGTGGGCTCGTTTCTTGTTTCTGGTGGTTCGTTCTGGTTTCCTGTTGTTTTCTTCTTCTTTTTCTATCTGCCTCGCTCTGCTTCACCTGCAATGTTGATACACTCGTGACTCTTGTTGCGCGCGCCGCGAATTTCGCCGGCGGCGGCAGCGGCTCCGGCTCGACGTGTGCGCTACGTACTTACGTCGAGGACATCCGATGATGTACAACGAAACTCACCATCTCAATACTCTTGCTTCTGTGATAACGAGTCCTACTATTTTACATACGCTCCGCATCTCACACTGCGGCTCGGCGCGCGATTTGTGTTGCATGAGAGCGTCTGCTCAGCGCCTAACTGTAGGCTCTCGTAGGCCTTTGTAAGCTCGTGTCAGCCAAAATGACACAAAAGCCGTGGCCTGCCGTGGCTGGCGTGTCCTTGCCGGCCGCAGTGCGGGTGCGGATCGAATCTTATCAGATAAAAAGGCCTGCACCGATAAGATTCTGATCATCTAACTTTCCCCTCATGGCGAGCCTGACCGATCAGAAGAGGAAGAGCGTCGTCGTCGTCGGCGGAGGCGGCGCAGGGTCGGCCGTCGCCCGACAGCTCTCCAAGAAGCTCGACCCCGCGCGGCACTCGCTCACGCTCATCACTGCGCGCCCGTTCTACGTTCATCTGCCGGCGAGCCTCCGCATGGCCGTCACCGCCGAGGGCAAGCTCGAGGACCAGATCCTGAAGCCGTACGACGCGCTCGTTCCGGCGCGCGTGGGCGGGGTCAGAGTCGCGCGGGTCGTGGGGGTTGAGAAGGCGGCTGCGAAGGACGCGGAAGACGCGAGCGCGCCGCTGGGCGGGTGGGTGCTGCTGCAGGGTGGGGAGAAGGTGTGGTACGACGTGCTCGTGGTTGCGCCTGGGATGCGGTGGGAGGGCCCGCTTGCGTATCCGGACTCGGGGGAAGAGATACTGGCCTTTATCGGGCAATGGCGGACGAAGATCGAGGACGCGAAGGAGATCGTCTTGGCCGGTGGTGGTCCGGTCAACGTCGGTGTGTCTGCCTTTTCTGGCCGTGTATTGTCACGTGCTGCTGCTTAGAGTCTAATTTTAGAACTCGCTGGTGAGATCAAGGAATATTGGCCGGTGAGCGAAACGCGCACATCGTTATCATCTCGTTGCTCATGTGGACGTGCAGGAGAAGAAGGTCCATATTGTCCAGAGCGGTGATCTCCCGCTTAACAAGGTATATCCAGATCACTTCCGCAGGCGCGTTCAGCAAGAGATAGAAGCTCGCGGCGTGAATTTTAGATTTGACGACCGTCTCGACGAGTTAGCGCCCGTAGATGGCGTCGTTCACACTCGCAAAGGCAAAGTCATACCAGCAGATCTCGTCGTATGTCCGAATTGTCTTTTGTATGCGTGCAGGCTCCCGTTGACGTGCTGAATTTCCCAGCTCAGTTGCCGCGGTGGAACTCCAAATACCAAGTTCTTGGAGTCCTTGGGACCAGACGTCCTCACCGAGTGGGGTTTCGTGCGCGTGATGCCCTCTCTCGAGCTCCAAAACCAACCAGGGATATTCTGCGCCGGCGACGTCCTCGATAATCCGGAGCGCAGCAAGCTGCGCGCATGCTGGAATCACGCCGCCGTCATCGTCCGAAACGTGCTGGACCGGTTGGACGGAAAGCCTGTGCTCGAGGCGAAGTACAAGTGCGGTCGCGAGTTCATCGGTATCTCCATGGGAAAGGTGCGCGTTGGTTTGCGATGCACGCTTGGACAGATGTTTGACTGCGTTTCTTCAGAGCGGGGGAGTGTCATATGTTGGCATTTTGTGGGGGATCATCTTGGGGAACTGGATCACGGCACTGTTCAAATCGCGAACGCTTGGGGTTCGGATGTTGAAGTATTATTTCTGAGCCTCAGGTGCAAGGCCATATATTATGTCCCGCTCGCCTCGGCTAACAGGGAACATGTATACTATCCAGCTAATCCATTGTCATATAACATCTATCTTCTCTGTGCGGCCGTCGCAAAACTTGCCATTTCAACTTACGACCAGCGACGCTATACCAGTCCAGATTGATATAACGGCCAACAGTCAGTCACCAATTGCTATTTCGCCTGGAGTCTCCCAGTCCGTTCCAAAATCTTTGTATGCAATGCGCTGGCTTAAATATCTCCTCTTCCCTCCCAATCCCTCGCCATGATACTTCGTCGCTACATTGTCCTCATTTTCACAGGCTTGAGCCTTTCCCTTGCCGGTCCGACTGTTCTCCCGTTCCACCTCAAAGAGCGCATCGATCCACCCCGTCACTGGGTCAAGCTCGGCCCAGCGCCTGTCGATCACGTAGTGACACTACGCATCGCGCTCCCTCAGCCGAATTTCTCCGTGCTGGAACAGCACCTGTACGAGGTGAGCGATCCGGGGCACGCTCGGTACGGCGAACACCTGTCCAAGGAGGAGATCGAGAGTTTGGTTGCTCCGCATCCTGCGAGCTTGGATGCTGTAGAGGCGTGGCTGCTGGGACACGGCCTAGAGCGAGAGGCCTATACGCACTCACCGGCGAGGGACTGGATCACGGTCAACGTGTCCATTCGTTTGGCCGAAGAGATGTTGGATACCGTGAGTCTCGCTCGAGCTCAGCCCGATATTGTTTCTCGATCTCAAGCGATTCTGAATAGCGTTATCATATCTGGAAACACGATCTCGACGGCGATGTCGTAGTGCGCACCACAAGCTACAGCCTTCCACCGGCCCTCCACGCCCACATCGCGCTTATTCAACCCACCACCATGTTCGCGCGCCTCCAAAACGCCCGATCAACCCTCCAAATCGTCGATTCCGAAGAAGCCTCCTCGCAACAAGATGCCGACAGCCCGCCCATCGTTGACCCCGTCTCGGGGACCGAGATCGACGCGAGCTGCAACAGGGTGATCACGATCAGGTGTCTGCAGCAGCTGTATCACACTGCGGGCTACGCCCCGTCCGCGTCCGGCCAAAACCAGATAGGCGTCACGGGATATCTGGAGCAGTTTGCGAACTTCGAGGATCTCCAGATGTTCTATAAGGATCAGAGGCCGGAGGCCGGAGGCTCCTCGTTCAACGTGTCCTTGATAAACGGTGTGTTTTTATCTTGGTCGGGTTCGTTGGATTCTAGTTTTGATGAGGCGCATAGGCGGTCAGAACGACCAGAACCTTGCTGACGCGGGCTCGGAAGGGAACCTGGACGTGCAGTTCGCTTTCGGCCTGGCATATCCTACTCCTGGATTTTTCTACTCCACCGGAGGAAGGGCGCCTTTCGTCCCGGACGCCAGAATGCCGTCGGACAGCAGCAACGAACCTTTCATCCAGGTAAGAGCAGGCCGTGACCCTCAGAATCGGTATCCTGATCAGGGTCTCTATGTTGTCGTAGTGGCTTCACTATGTTCTTGTTCAAAAAAGTATCCCGTTCACTATCTCAACGTCCTACGGTGATGATGAGCAGACAGGTACGGAATTTATCTCACATTCGTGTTCGGAGGCTCATGTTTGGCTCGTCGATACAGTACCGAGAAGTTATGCGGAGCGCTTGTGTCAAACGTTGGCCCAGCTTGGTAATTCCTTCTGTTCGTCGACTGAGTCATGTCACAGAGTTTTCCCCGCAGGTGCCCGCGGTGTCTCAGTTCTGTTCAGTTCAGGCGACTTTGGCGTCGGGGACGGGAATCCCGATCCGAGGACGCAGCAATGCCTGACCAACGACGGCCGCAATGCCACACGATTCATCCCCACGTTTCCCGCCAGCTGTCCTTAGTGAGCCTCTTGCTTTATCGCACGGATTTTCTCCACTCACGAACTCATGATAGCGTGACCTCTGTCGGAGGAACGCAGCATATACCTGAGATCGCGGTCTCTAGGTTCTTCTCTGGAGGAGGATTCAGCGACTACGTGGGTTCTTTCTTGCTACATGATCTGATGAGCTTTCTTAATAAGCCATCGCCAGTTCGCTCGTCCATCCTATCAAAACGATGCCGTGTCGTCGTACCTCGACAAGCTCCCAGCCGCGACGTACGATGGCTTGTACAACAAGTGCGTCGAACGTCCTTTGCCTCGTCAACCAAAAAAAAAAAGCTTAAAAAATTCCTTTCGCCACCCCAGAAGCGGCCGAGTGAGTTTCTCGAACTTGTCCTCCAAACCATACCGTCTGCGAACACACCTTGATTGTCTAGGCATTCCCCGACGTCTCTGCACAAGGCGACTTTTTCCGCGTTTTTCTCAAGGGCAGACCTACTCTCATCGGGGGCACGTCCGCCTCATCGCCCACGTTCGCAGCCGTCGTCGCGCTTCTCAACGACGCGCGAATCGCGTCTGGTCTTCCGCCGCTCGGGTTTCTCAACCCGCTGTTTTATGGTAAGGGGGTCGGAGGGCTCAACGATGTCACAGTGGGGAACAACGCGGGCTGTGGCACTCCCGGATTCAACGTGAGCCCTGACGCGATTATCTGGTCAGGTTACAGGATGCTGATGAGTCTCTGCCTGCGTGCCAAGGCGACGCAGGGGTGGGATCCAGTGACTGGCCTCGGCACGCCGAATTTTGGAAAGCTGAAGGATATTGTGTTGAGTGGCTGAGTGATGAGATGAGCATGCCGCAGAGGACATTGCGTACCGACTAGACTTGCTGAACAACGATGGATGGGTCGACACATCAGGTTAGTAGTGGGCGGGGGTAAGGACGTGTCAAACATCAATAGGACATGGGCAGTGAGATAGGATAGTTGAGATGAGAGATTGCGTTCAATGCAAAAGGGGACAGAGTGAAGGGTAACAAATCTCAGATCCAAATGTCACGGCACAGATGCATCTTCTTCTCCCCATCTGGGGCGGATGGATAGATTCAGCAGAAAAATCTATATCGACTGAGGGACTGAGGATGCAGCACATCGCTGACAAACAACGCGAGTGCGATCACTTGCCTCGTTGGATGTAGCGACGTCGACAAGGGCGTGGGTTGACAGTGAGCTCTGCGTGAGGTATTCAATCACGCAAAGGCTCAGAGCACCGAGGAATCAACCTACCTCAACTGTTAAATATCCTTGAATGTAACTGGTCATGACGAGCTGCGATAATCTCTCCCAGCGGCCAAGTGCTCGCGGGACCCAATCGACCCTGGGCGAACACGTCCTCCTCTTCATCGGCCTCGCGCAATACGCCGGTGGAAAGACCTTCGGTGCGCTTCGCCTCGGCATCGACGAGGGGTCGGACTGCGTGGAGGAGGAGCTGCTGTGCGGCGTAGGGGCCAATAGAGTTCATGCGGATGGCTGCAGAGAGCAGGCCGCGAGCGTGGAGGAAGAGGTGCAGGTGTGCGCCTCGTTCTAAAGCATTGCCGCTATTAGCGAAATTCGAAGAAAAAGGGCACGAGGACTTCAGACCTAACGATAGACCAAGAGCGCCGACCAAGACGCCCCAGCACACGGGGAGGTGCCCATGAGTCTTCTCGCCGCGGACGAGCAGCTTCAGACGATCAACCAGCCTGGCCACCCTCCGCTCCTTCTCCCTCTTCTCCTCTGGCTGCACGGAGGCAAGAAACGGAGGGCACGCGAAGCCCTTGGTGTAGAGGGTGAGCAGCGCGACGCCCTGCGCGCAGGACGCACGCCGCGCGACGTGATTGAGGGTGTTCGCCTCGTACAACGCGTCCAACCGGAGCAGCGTGTCCAGAATTGCTGCGCCGTCTGCGTCTGCATCTGCGCCTGCGCCCGATACACCCGACGCGTAGGCGAGGACGGCGCGGTGCGCGTCGCGCACGAACGGAAGCGCGCTCCGGGCGTACGTCTGTACGCTGTCCCGGACGAACGCGACGGTGGATCCTAGCGGATCCCGCGCTGATCCGAGGGCGTGGGTGGTGTGCGATTCGAGGCCGGAGGAGGCTACGAACGCGCCCGTCGGCAGGTTTCCATCGGAGAGGAGCAGGAGCAGGTAGGACTCGGTCGCTGCGTCCATCGCTCCGCTGCCTGCGTTGCGCGTCCGCTCGGGGCGACTCGCCACAGGAGTCGGGTATCGGCGACTGCCCCGAAAGCGGGTCGGGGCGCACGTGATAAGACAAGCTCGATGCTCCGAGACCTGCGTTGCACTGCCGCGCACTCCTCCCGCCTCCGAGCACCCTCCCTCGCAAACACCCTCCATAAAACCTCGGCCATCGCATTCTCAGGATACAGCATCAGAACCTGCTCTGACATTCGCGATCTACTAATGAAGCCAGCGGCCTTCATCCGTCCGTACACCACTCCTCATGTCCATCGCCGTCTGCTTTCACCATCGCGGCATGCTAGCCTTCGACCTCGCTCACCATCACCTCAGAGGACTCTGGCCCCTTTGCCATCCTTCTCTGGCCGCCGGTACAACTCCTCCCTGACCACCGCGTCTCCGTCCAGCAACGATGCGGAGGCATCCATATTACACGGAAAGCTCAATGATTCACACTATGGTGAAGGTTCGCTTTTTATTTTAATGGCCGAACCCAGTTCACTCATACCCTTTTCAAGGAACTTCGACGCCGATGCAGCAGTACGAGGCGCTCATCGAAGCTGGCACCCTCAAACCGGACGATCATCAGACGCGCATCATACAGAAGCTGCAGGACCTGCACGATGCCCTTATCTCTTACACTCCCCCGCCTCTCCCACCATCGTATATCCAATCTTCAATCGTATGTCATCTCAATCATGCCTCTCATACAACATGCTCACCGCCGCGCTCCCCACACAGCTTACCCGTTTGTTCTCGAGACCCTCTGAACGAGCGACCGCTAATACCCCAGCGGGCCTTTATCTCTACGGCGACGTTGGCACAGGCAAGACTATGCTCATGGACCTCTTCTACCGCACGCTCCCGCCAAACATCACCCGCAAACGACGCGTCCACTTCCACGCGTTCATGATCGACGTGCACAAGCGCCTGCATGCCGCGAAGCGCCGCATGGGGCACGAAGGCGGCGACTCCATCCTCCCCGTGGCGAGAGAGCTCGCGGAGGAGGCCAGCGTGCTGTGTTTCGACGAATTTCAGGTGCGGTGAGTGGACCGGTAGCACTGGTTGGTCCAAGCGCGCACATTTTGCCCTCGGCATCTGCGAGATGTGTGGGTCCTTCCGATTGGCCAGGGCAAATGCGCTTGTCTCGATTAATCGGTGCACTGCCGTTAGCTTGCGTACACCTTGATTGACCTACATCCAGGTGACGGATATTGCGGATGCGATGATTCTGCGCCGTCTGCTGGAAAGCTTGCTCGATCACGGTGTAGTCTGTGTCATCACATCAAAGTAAGTGTGCATCCCGATCCACCTGATCTCCGTGCATCGTTTTGAATGCCGTGCAGTCGACACCCCGACGAATTGTACAAGAACGGCATCCAGCGGTCGAGCTTTATACCCGCGATCGAGATCCTTAAGACGCGCTTCAGCGTGACCGACTTGGATTCCGGCACCGGTCAGCCTCCTAGCCTCGTTCACTTTGCTTCCACCGCTCATGCGTAGACGCGACAGACTACCGTCGCATTCCCCGTGCGCTCTCGCACGTATACCACCACCCGCTCGACGCGAGCACGCGCGCAGAGATGTCGAAGCTCTTCGACGCGCTCACCGCAGCCGACCCGGCCGACCCCGTCGTGCGCGGGCGCGAGCTGCACATCTGGGGCCGCGCGCTGCGCGTGCCGCAGAGCACGTCGCACGTCGCGCTGTTCGCGTTCGAGGAGCTGTGCGGGCGCCCGCTGAGCGCGGCGGACTATCTGGAGGTCACGCGGAAGTTCGGGACTGTGTTTTTGTGCGATGTTCCGCGGTTGGGGTTGGGGGAGAAGGATAAGGTGCGTTGGGTGGTGTGGTGTGTTTGTGGTGGTGGTTGTCTGACTTGTGGGTAGGCGAGGAGATTCATCACGTTCATCGATGGTGCGTGACAGGTTTCTCGTTGCGTCGTTAACCTTGCGCTAATTATTTATCTTCAGCATGCTACGAGAGCAAGGTCATTGTCCTTTAACATCGACGATCAACGAAGCTGATGCTGACTGCCGTTTCGCTTCACAGACGAAGCTTTTCGTCTCCTCCGAGTTACCCATATACCAGATCTTCTCAGACGACAGCACCTCCAAAGCGGAGATATCAGACCACATGCGCAGCGTGATGGACGACCTCGTAAGCACACCTCGCTCCCACCCTGTCTTCTCACCCGTCTGGGTACACTGACGCGCGCGCCGCACTGGCTGTCAGGGTCTTTCGCCGGAGACTGTCGGCTCGGCATCCATGTTCTCGGGAGAGGAGGAGCTGTTCGCGTTCGCGCGCTGCTGCTCCCGTCTTGTCCAGATGGGCAGCCGGGAGTGGGCGGAGACGGCGGGCGCGCGGTGATCGATGTTGCGGGGATTGATTTGGATGCGGTTAGACGGGGGTGCGGGTGTGATCTTATGCGAAGGCGCTATTTATTGTCGCGGGCGATGTACCGCTAGAGCACTCGGATTCTCGGTTGCGCGAACGCGTGCTGAACATATCATGTAATGTAAATTCGGACGAAGATGTTGTAATCCCTGCAGAGAGAAACTTGGCCTCGAGTTGGTCTCGGCTCTCGTTGCGGACGCTGGCGGACACGGTCAGGAAGGTTAGGACGACCCGTCCAAGCGCCCGAAGATCGGCGAAGCGCCCCTCCCCCGCTTCGCGCAGATCTGATCGACAGCAAAGTCTGCCCACACCGCGGGCAAGAACGAGATTCCGGTTCTGCGCCTTTCTGCATGCGTTGCGGTTTTTGTACGCATTGGTATCGCACCGTAGCGCATGGAGTGTTCTGAAAGAGGCAGGCTTGCCGCCGAACCATCCGCGCGTCTTGCTCGCCGACATGATCCCGATCTGACCGAAAGCGTAGACCGCACTCGGACACAGCAATACAACGATATCCACTGGGCCGTCAATTACGTATCAAAGTGCGCGTGAGAACAACTGCGTAAAGATTCTCAGTATTGTGGCCTTGAGGCCCAAGGTATATGATTGAAACTTACCATGTTGCCAACTTTGGATGACCGGACTGTCGTAATCTCGACGGCAACATCATTCCCATCGTCGACAGAACGTCTAACGAAAAAGAAGCGAGGAATGCGGTGATGAATGGCATAATTCATGGAGCCACCCTGCCACAAGGCAATGCTCCTAGTGAGACGACTACAGGTGTCCTCAAAATTGGAGCCCTGATAAGGTGCGCTGGGCCTGAATTCATAGCCGTTTGCAAGCAGGAACTTGCCGAGTTCGAGAAGCTGCGGTCGAAGAACATGGAGCTCTATTTTATCCTCTCTATAGCGATCATCTAGAGACATCGATGAGGGGATGACAGCGCCTGTGCGCGCCTGTAAAGCGCGGAACGTGGTCAAGTCGGGGAAGAAACATTTCAATCGTCGATTGATGTCGCGCGCCCGACGGAAATATGACTTTGCATTTGCATTTGCCACGCGGCAGGTTCTCGAGACACTTAAGATGTCTTGTGAGGAAAGGAATGCGAACATGCGATCGAGGATGACATGATTTCCGATGACCTGAGGACCTAACAGAGTAATTGAGCTTGCCTGAGTTGTGCTATGTGAATGAAGCATCTGGACTGGAATGTAAGGACTATCAGACGTCAAAACCGATAGTTGTGTGTCCTCGTGTATTCCACCGATGCACTACTTGAGTCAGTGACAACGGCGATGCAATGTGTGACACAATGTCACGCTATACAGTTGCTGGATCTGGTCGGACGCCACTCAGAACTCAAAATTTCCCACCATCGACCAACGTCGTCTACTCACCTTACCTCCCTAGGTTCCTAAAATTACAACATGAGGTTCGTTCTGCTACTCATGTGTACCGCTTTACGCGCAGAAATCTGATATTTGAGTCGCGGAGTGCAGCAGCAAGCTCTCAGTGGCAAGTGTGCGGGGCTCCGTCAAGGAATTGCTCACAGAGGCAACCGGCGAGAAACGCCGCAACTTTGTCGAGACCATCGAGCTTCAGATTGGCCTCAAGAACTACGACCCCCAGAGGGACAAGCGTTTCTCCGGAACCGTCAAGTGCGCTTCATATGTTGTTAGGAGATATTCACAGCATTAACGCCTGCGCACAGGCTTCCCAATGTCCCCCGTCCTCGCATGTCCATTTGCATTCTTGCCGATGCCGCCGACATCGATCGTGCTAAGCAGATCGATCTCGAGTACATGTCCGTTGATGATTTGAAGAAGTAAGTGCACTTCCTGGCATCTCTCGATTGAACGACGCGTCTAATGTTTCATTAGGCTTAATAAGAACAAAAAGCTCGTTAAGAAGCTCGCAAAGAAGTACGACGCCTTCTTGGCCTCTGAGACTCTCATCAAGCAGATCCCTCGTCTTCTTGGTCCCGGTCTCTCCAAGGGTGCGCAGAATTATCGTCCTCCTTAATTCCTGGTCTCACAGCCTTGTATAGCGGGCAAGTTCCCCACCCCCGTATCTCACGCGGAGGACTTGGGTATCAAGCTCACTGAGGTCCGCTCCACCATCAAGTTCCAGCTGAAGAAGGTTCTTTGCTTGGGTGTCGCCGTCGGTCACATCCAGATGACGGAGGACCAGGTTCTTGGCAACGTCATGTTGAGTGCGTTGCCTTCTTTTTACTCCTTTACCTTCGCGTTGCTCAACCATGCTCTCAAGGCATCAACTTCCTTGTCTCTCTTCTTAAGAAGAACTGGCAAAACGTCAAGTCGCTCCACATCAAGACGACGATGGGCAAGCCCATCCGTCTCTTCTAAGCGACGTGGCCTGTTTTCGAGCACCAGCTTTGGTTTCGTCTGTCTGCACGAGACGTCTAGGGGATAATTTGTGGTTCTGGAGTGAGGCGGCGGTCAAAACGCGGGCCGTAATGCATAACATGAAGCCCCGCACGCTTAGACCAACGGCTTTCTGGGGTTGGGAGTCGATTGGGAGCTGATGCGGTCCGTTATTTTGTCTGTTTCTTCCTTGCCTCTACATTTTCTCTCCATCTGTAGCACTATTCGTCTTTCTTCCTGTGTAGGCTCGAGGCGCTGCTATCGTACATTGCATACCCTACATGCTGCATGATTTATGAAATCTCATAAAACTGTAAACCAGCATTATGGGCGACTGGTCTCCTGAACGACTCGACGTATGATAGTACGCGAGGTTACACTGTTACAAGAGGACAATGATGACTTGGAAACATATTCAGTCCACTTGATCCTCCAGCCTCCATTTTCGGCCTCCGTATCTCAACTTCAAGTCTCTCTCGACACCAGGAGGATCGTATGGGTCCTCTCTGTCTACATGCATATATTCGCGACTGTCCTCCGTACCGGGCACGCCAGCGTTGTCCCACTGGCCGGATGGCCACTCTGTGTTGCCGTTGATTCCAGGGGTACGTGCAGTCTCAACGATCGTGTACTCGCAGTGTGGGTAGTGCCCGGAAGTAGTCCCGAACCGTGTCTCGGACGCGCGTGTCACGATGAGTTCTCCCTCGGGTGCGGGGAACCTATATCTCGTGTGCTGCCGTTCCGATGCTCCTGCTACCCGACCTGGAGTGAGGGTCGACAACTTGCGGCGTTCCGCGGGAGATTTGGAGGTGAATGTCTCTGTGCCAGTGACCCCACCGCCGCCTCCGCGGTTCTGCTTCACGTCGTCCGCCGATGTTTCCATGCCGAGGGCCTGCTTGACGGTGCCAAACATGCCAGGGGATGCAGCTTCTTCCGCACTTCGATCGTCTTCCACTTCTTCCCAAAGTTCTTCTCCTGCTCCGGCGGCGCTTCCCGCCCCTACTCCGCTGCCGCCCTTCGCAAGCTTGGTGGCGTACGCGCTCTGTCCACCTACTTGGTCTGCAAACCCGATGCGCTCCGGGTTTCCGGACTCGTCTGCGGCACGCGGAGGCTTGTCCACGCCGTGCGGGGAAGCGCTGTCGTAGGGATGCTCGTTGGCAGGATCGTTGGCGGCGAACCCTGCTCTGGCGTCTTGACCGTGAACGGATTTCTTTTGGCGGTTCGTCGTGGAGGCGACGTGGCCCTGAGAAATCCCAGTGTCCTTGTTCGACTTTTTGCCCGCCGATGAGTAGAGACACGTCGAGGTAGTATAAAAAAGGCGGTTTGGGGTGGGATGATGGCGTGATAAGCGACGAGAACAAGACAATGCAGGAATGATGCTTATAGATTTCATTGTGAGTTTCTCGGTCGAGAGGATCGATTGTGGTTATGTCGAAAGCTGGGATTCAAGAGCCGTCCGAGTCGAGAGGCAAGTCCCAATAACTCCTATGTCGTCACTTCCGATCGAATGCCCCCGCTAAGCCAAATTCTGGACGCAAAAACGCATATTCCAAGAAATTCAAGAGAAAATACACACCACTCACCCTGGTGTAGAGTTGGTGGCATATGATATATCTCCATCCATGAGGTGTCTATCAGAGGTCAAGCACAGGGAAAACATAGCGCGCTTGGCTGGCGCGCCGCTCATCACGCGATCGTTCTCCAAAATCACGTGTGTAGTCGTCACGCTCGGCTCGTCTAATAGAGCTCGAGACGCGTGTTGGACGGGCAATGGACGCACTTGACCCAGACTATGTCGCAAGGACACTCTCGAACCCTCCCTTCGTCTCGATATCTGGCGTATACAACGTGCGATGTCTAGGGAACTATCGCACCCAGCACTCCAATGAGGTTACGCGGGCGAACTTCATGTTCCGTGCTGGAGAAGTATCAGGCATCACAGACGATGGCGAGCTGAGCATGCGTTTCTCTATCCCTGTTCGCATCTGACCAACGAGTGTATTGGAACATGGTTGGACTCGATACAGGGAAGCATCGGATGCACGACCTTGGAATTACCACCGTATACGATCTGCGCTCGGATACAGAGATCTTGAAATACAATACGCCGACCCCTTGCATAGACGGTGTAGAGATTATTCACGTGCCAGTGTTTGAGAAGAAAGACTACAGCCCTGAGATGATGGCCCGGTACGTGTATATCTCTCGGGGGCATATGTCCTCGCATTTCTTGCATGTCTGCATGGCAGCATTGTTATGTTTGCACTGACCAAAGTTGCCGTGGATGGACTCAGACGTTTTCAGCTATATGCCAGTGGGAAAACAGAGGTACGTACTGGTGTTAGATCAATACATTGAGGTATTTTAAATTGTTTCTCAAGGCGTTTATGCAACTCTACTCTGAGATACTAGACTCCGGTGGTCCTGCGTTTGGGACCATACTGCGCCATGTGCGTGACAGACCACAAGACAGCTTTGTATTCCACTGTACAGGTAAGTCTGCAATATTTGAAGTTGATAACTCATCTCACTCTGTATACAGCTGGGAAAGACCGTACAGGGGTCGTGGCCGCAATATTGCTCCTCGTAGGCGCTCTACCTCGCGTCTTGATACAATCTAAGAATTGACGAATCTATCGACACGCATCGCATCGACCAGCTCGCAGGTGTCGATGAGGAAATTATTGCCACGGATTATTCCCTGACACGCGTCGGCCGCGAGCCTGCGCGCGAGATGGTAATGGCACGCCTAGAAAAAGAACCTATTTTCGCTGAGAATCAGGAAGCTGCGCTCAACATGTTCTCCTCGCGGTACGTTACTTCAAACCACACTCATTCGACCTTAGATAGCTGATGCCTTATAAGGCACGAGACTATGATCGCCTTTCTCCGCATGTTCAAAGAGCGGTATGGAGGTGCAGAAGAGTACGCCAGAACGTATTGCGGGCTATCTGATGATGATATTGGCCTTATACGGAGGCATATAGTGGCCCCGATTGATCGAGCTGGACTTTAGTCCGTCATTGTAAAAGTGCTGGGGGGCTGTTGCCGTTTACGCCTTTTGTATCAGATCTTATGACAGCTTGCATTTCCCGTGTATCCCACAAATTCTCTGTCGGCCTCATCGCCACGAGCAAAGGTTTGTTGATATGATTTAAATCCTTATAGGGTTGCTCCCAGAAAGACCCACCAGTGACCCACCCCGTCTTTGGGCAACTCAATCAGATCAAGTGCCAGCCCCGCGGCAATGAAATAGAGACGCCGAGGCAAATGTGAGATGTATCTATATCCAAGGTCCGCAAGTAATATGTTTTAATATACGGCTTTGTCGACTCACTGAACTGACAAAGAAGCAGGAATCGCAGCGAAGACGAAGGCATGGATGACATCTCACAAAGAGAAAGTGTCTGTATGTACAACACAGGATTCTGGCGTGAAATCCTGTGTCCCTATCATGATTTCCGATTGAGGCTCAATCCTCTCTTCGGCTTGGAGCCAGCCTGCCCTTGAGATGATAGCGCTGACGCCAACAGCCCGCCTTGAACCCTCGACCTAGGATTCAATGGGCTCAAAGCACCACCGGACCGCGAGGGTGGCCGCACAGCTGACTGTAACGGTACAGGTGGCTCCCCACCAGTCACTCTCCGTCGCATCAAAGGACGAGATGATGACGGGGCCTCAGATGCGGAGGAAACGCCGTTCGAGAAGCTGTCTCCTGACGTGCCGAGGGCGATGCGGCGAGCTTTCTCGTGCCTTGCCTGCACGGCCCGAAAATGCGAAAGGAGGTCAGCCCATTTGATCTCATCTCGGGCAAGTTTGGACCGCGTGGACATGGCGGAGACTGGCCTGCACATATGCGTCAAAGATCATATGTGTGAGAAAGAAGGGAGAATATGCGCACGGTTTAGGAGCGATATGGAGAAAGCCGGCAGAGTTTACGGCGTTGAGACGATTGCGAAGAGAAACAAAGGCAGAGCTTTGAGGTAGGATCATGAGAAGGCCATAGAGGCACTTGAATAGATAGGGATATCGATCAGGTTCCAAAAGCTGCAAACGAATATCTGAGGATATAGTCAGAACAACAAACCTGATCACAGCAGATTTATTATCACCGACATGTGAAAACGGGTGACTCGATCATCTGTACTAGCTTGTCGACCTGAACCAGCAGTGGCACAGTAATCTCGAGATCAGCACTATAGAAAAGTCACTAAGGCGACGGCAAATAGATGAAAGTAAAGGACGAACAAGATGCTAAGAAGATTAGACGCGTGCTCGTAAGCTTGGGCGAGAAGGCATAAAGAAAACACGGCGACGGCATTATGGCACCATGATCGATATAAGGTCACGAATAGCGCCTGGCCGTCCTGCTACAGAGTGGCAGTCAGCAATCATGACTGAGGTTTTTTTTTGGAGAGAGACATACCCGTGTTTCCAGACTCTTCAGCCTCCTCCGGAAGTCTGCTAATTCTGGTGATGTTATGAGAATCATGTTCAACTTTTGGACGATGACACTAGCGAATTCAAGGTCCTGATCAAGAGCTCCAGTAAGACTCGACTCCAGCACAGATGATAGCGCGCTAACCTCTTCCTTCTCCAGGATCTCAGCAAACGCCTTGTAGATCCTTTCAGTATTGAGGTTGAAACATAGCTGTCGAATGATAAGACTGCCTCGTGTATCTAGCAACCGACGGTCGGTGCTGAAAAGCTCCAGAAGGTTGATCATGAAAGCTTTAAAATAACTCTCTTCCGAGCTTGACGAGATTTGAGCCAACAGTTGAAGATCATGTTTAATGACCTGTAATCGAGGTATATCTGACATGCATGTTGATCAAATAGAGTCAAAACATACCTCCTCTGAAGAATCTGAGAGAGTCTTGAGGAGTGCGGGAAAAGTGCCGTCGTCCATTGCTAGAATCTGTGGATCTGCGCAATGAACGAAACCCTCAATATATGGTTAAACAACAAACCTTCTTTGGCGCCTTCTGGTGCAGCATGATGAGCCATTTGAGCGCAGCAACTCTCGTCTCTTCGTGTTCGCTCAAGAACTGAATCGTCAAAGCATTTACCGTCGCCTGATAGTCAAAAGCCTCTGGATTCTGGGCATCTCGATCCATCTGCGCCGCTTGATGTGTACTCCGCATCGACACCGGCGAGTGTGAACGAGTGCCGTGGGATGGTGCGCTGATACCATTGACGTCCACAGGCGCAAGTCCGCGAGAAGCACCATTATCTGCAGATAGGCTCGCTCGTTTCTGTATCGCGATATTACTAGCTGGCGGAGCTTGCACAGTTGATTCTGCTATAGATTCAGGGGAGCTCAGCTCTCGAGATTGGCCAGGGAGAGTAGACTGGCGGGAGGCCGCCGGTGAATTTGGAGCAGGGAGGGGTGACGGTGGGACGTTGCGTGCGGGAGCTGATGGTGGTGGCCGCTCGGATGTACCTTGTCGACTGGGTGTCTCTGAGGGTGGGGGGAGCGATTGAATGACATTGGCTAGGAGCTTATTGGTACGGTTGGCGGAACTCTGAATCATGGGGACGTGGTGTGCGAGATTTGGGAGGATGGCTGGTATGAGACGGGGAGTGAAGGGAACCAGCACCTCTTGTGCGAATGTTAGGAATTCTGCGAGCCATTGTAGAGCTGTAGACTGCTGGATTTCATCATCTGAAGAGAAACTTAGACAAGGAACTGCAATAATATCACGCGCGTTGCTTACGCTGACTGTCCAACTGCTGTATCAGTATCTCGATGATAGCAGCATAATCGATATGAACGCCCTGTCCAGGTATCCAAGCTATGCATACAGTCAACACTGTATATCATCATGAGATTGCGGTGCACGTACCGCCGGTGTCACGCTCTGGAATATCCGATTCATCTGCTCCGTTGATCTTCTCGTTGTCGTTCTCGTCTAGAGCACTTTCACTGTCTCTCAAAAACACAGCAGGGTCCGCTTGGGATGGGTTCACATCGGACATCTTTTCCTTCTCGGCATCGGGTCGGGTCGGCTCTGCCTGCTCCGCTTCGCGCGCCCTATATTGCTCCTCCTTGACTTTACGAACGATAGTCACTTCACGAATTTCGCGCAGAAATTCTCCCAACTGGTTCTCTGTAGCTATTCGAACGTCTTCAGTGGGGTCCGACAGATATTTACTACAAAGAAAACTGAAGTTAGTACCATCCATGAGAAGGACCATGCAGAGACTTACAGGAGGCCATCCATAAAGTCGGGAAGGTATGTGATGAGCTCCAGTTCTGGGACAGAGTCGAGGACAGTTATCCATGAGACGAGAAAGCTGCGAGTAAATGGACTGATGACATATATCCTGTCGGATAGTAATGGGATGAAGCGTGCAAGAGAGAACGCCTTCTTTGCACCAGGCCTATCCACTCTGTCTAACTCATCTGGATGAGGCACAACAATGCCATTGTCCATATCATTCTCTTCTCGTAATTTTTCCGTCCCAGGATAATGCGGAACATAAAAGGATGCAGACTCTGCGACGATGTCCTTTAACAAGCGGTCAAGCAGTTCGGCGCCGTTCTTGACAGAGAGTTCTGGATCGGCGGCTAGCTTTGCGGAAAGTTTACTTGTAGGGCCAAGTGCCGGACTATGAACGCGAGACTCACTTTACTGAGCGCATCGAATATAGGATTGAAATACACCAGCACCTCCCCCTTCGATACTTTCGCGATATTGTACAGGCACTCTGCAGAGAAATAACGAACTCTGTTCTCGGGATCGTTAAAGCAGATGAGGAGCGGCTCCAGAAACCTCTCCATGTACGGCGCGATGTTCACGCCTAGGGCGATAGCAGTCCCAGCAAGACCGATGAGACCTCCGTTCCGTACATGGAGCGCATTAGAGGTGCTGGTGAACATGTCGGTGAGCTGATCCACAATCTGTGCTATGCGACGCTCATCGCCCTGTTGATGACATTCTCGTATAAGTCTGAGCACATAAAGAGAGTTGATTTAGCGGGGCAGATGAAAAGCATGGGGACACGCACTTTTCGAGATCTAGCGCAGCTGCTTTTCGTTTCTCGTACATCTTGTCCACAAGCTGTTTCGCGATTGTAGAATCTTTGTGTATTTTGTTCAGCATACATATTGTCAGTTGAGCAGAATGCCACGCACCCATGGCAGGAATTCGTTGGGTATCTTTAACTCTCTTCAGCTGGAGGTAATTAGGTCGTGATGGACGTAAGGTTCATAAAGGTTGCCTGTCTTGGAGAAAAGAGGATAATGATAGATCCCAACAACGAATCGCGCTTGCCTCCGTAGGTGAACTTGGTAGGATCTGAAACCAAGTGCCAGTGGCCGAAGGTGGCAGGCGGTCAATAGACGCCAATACTCGCCAATGTGTGAACTGCGTGACCGTCAAACAAAACATGTGACACATAAATAATGCCATTTTTCGAAACCCTCAGGAAGGAACAACGATGAGGCTTCCTGCAGCGAAGATAGACCGAAAAATATCAAAACACATGCTCGAGAGACTTTTCATAATCGTGTTGTACAATAGATAGCCCAGAAGTTCACAACCCAGTCCAAGTGAACGTCTCCTTCAGTTCCACCTCACTCTTCAACCGGATATCTCTCGACGAGGCGCCAACTAGCACCTCGAACACACCCTTTTCTGCGACCCAGGCTTTGCGCCGTTCGTCGAAATATCCAAGAGCCTCTCTATCAAGCACTACGCTGGCCTTGGTGCTCTCACCCGCCTTCAAAGTGACCTTGGTGAAGCCCTTCAGCTCTTTCACTGGTCGCGGGAGCGCCGACGCCGGATCCGAGATGTATACCTGCGCAGACTCGCTGCCATCGAAATTTCCTGTATTTGTGATTGTGAAAGAAACGCTGAAGGTTCCATCGGCTGACACGGAAGTCGTCTCCAGGTCGTTGTATGAGAAAGTGGTGTACGACAAGCCAAAACCGAATGGGAAGAGAGGCTCGACGGAGAGCTTGTCGTAACTGCGGTATCCGACATAGATACCCTGCACAAAACACTTCAATATATGACAAATGGGTGGGGTTGCGATCAAGTACCTCGTTATACAATATCTTCCCAGATGATTCCCCCTTGTCGCCGAACGAAGGATAAGGAGGACTGTCTTCAAGCCGTTTCCTAAGATAGATAAGCAAGCTGTTCATGCGATTCCAGGATGCAGGAGAAAACGGTTCTCACGGAAAGGTGAGAGCGAGTTTTCCTGAAGGGTTTACTTTGCCGAACAGCATATCCGAAAGTCCGTTTCCAAGCTCGTTCCCTCCGTAGAAGGCCTGACGGGCCTGTTTAACACATGTTCGAATAAGTACTCTGTCAATCAAATACCTGGAGCAATGTGTGTGCTTCATCAATCCAAGGCATCTCAACTGGCGTGCCGGACTGATTCACAACAACAGTGTTGGGGTTAGCCTTGAGCACCTCTGTAACCAATCGGTCGGTCAAGCCAGGCAGCCTGTAAGATACCGTTCAGCATGCAAAGAGATGTAAAGCAGGCTCCAACATACTTCATATCAGGCCGATCGAAACCTTCGCTCTCCAGCTCATGGTTCATGCCGACAACAAGGATAGCGACTGAGGCAAAGATGAACAACACAGTCCTTGGGATTAACGAACAGAGACGAAACTCACCATCTGATTCTTTCGCCATCTTGACTGCCTCTTGTATCGCCTCATCCCCAGCCACAATTCGAACAGCTCCAAGTCGAATGCCCCCGCGACAGGTGAACGGGCTCCCGCGCCCGATGAAGCTCGCGTTACTCAGCCTGACCTCGATAGGCACAGGCTCTCCTGCCTTGAGCCCCTTAACCACGGCTCTCAGATCTGCTGTTCCCAACCCAAAGAACGCGTCGCCCGCGGGCGGGTCAGTGGCCAGGTCGATCACACGCTCGCTGTTCACGAAGAGGTTCCCATTGCCTGTAATCGTGAGGCCAAACTCATAGTCCCCGGATTCATCGGGGATAAAGGACGCGCTGTACTATGAACACAAGAACGTGTGAGCGCTATATAATCAAGGGCAATTGGAACTCACGCGAATCCAGCAAATCTCGTTGACTTTCTCCTCATCCTATACACAACTGTCATCAGCTATATTAAACGAGATTGAAAAAGAGACAACGCACGATACCGTCTATCAAGAAACAATTACTCCCTCTCGTTGGCGTGCTCCATACACACTTCTCACCATCTTTCAATTGATTGACCCACCCGTCCAATGGCTCGTAATTCCAAAACTCAACCAACGCGCCATTTCCGCCTTCATACTTCATGTACCCATCCAGCACGGGAAGATATTTGTGTGATGTAGCGCCCACCGTATAGCGGACCTCGGCTCCGAGCTCTTTAGCGGCGACGCGGATGCCTTCCAGTGGGGAGACACTATACGTCTCCAGAAGCCTTGCGGAGCCACCGCCTGAAGTGAACGCCTGCTTTGCGTTGGGCCCAATGACGGCAATCGACTTGATAGAACCGGAGAGCGGGAGGAGCGAGCGGTCGTTTTTGAGCAAGACAATGGCAGACGCCGCTGCGCGCCGGAGGAGAGAACGTAATTGGGGCGTGTCGACACCGTCTTCAGGGCCGTCGAAGGGAATGCCAGACGCATGGGCGCGTTTGAGCAGTTCAAGAATCTGACGCAAAGATGGGCCGAAGAGTGAGAAACTTTCACAGTGGAGATCATCGTGAGACGGACACACCTTGCGAACACGATCGTCGATATCGCTTGGGAAGAGTTTACCCCCGACGAGGGCGCGCTCGACGGCCTTACCACGCATGACTGTAGGCCCTCTGAAAACCCACTATTAGCGACATGCCAGGTTATGGATGACTGAAGACGCACGGCATCTCTAGTTCCACCCCGGCCTTAATACTCTCTGCGGTGCTGTATACACCGGTCCAATCACTCATGATCATGCCCTTGAAGCCCCACTCCTACAGTGGTAATTTGATCAGGAATGGGCAGTATCAACCCGATGGATTGTGCTTTATACTTTTCTGAGAATTTCGTCGATCAGCCATGGGTTTTCAGAAACGTGCAAGCCATTCACACGATTGTATCTGTGCAAACGAAGAATTAACTATGATACAATAACATGCAAAATTGATAATAATGATACGAACGCCGTCATAAGAGCCCATGGATTCGCCTTCTTGATAGCAATTTGAAATGGCTTGAGGTATATTTCTCGGAGTGCGCGCTCACTGACATCGCCTTTCATGGAAGGCCGTCAGCAGTTAGATACACACTCGTGAACATTCTTCGTACTGCTGATAGAGAATCTACAGAAGTATATCGGTCAGTTGGATAGGCACGCCGTATCAACGGATCAGAAGATGAGGTGATACCTCTCAAACTCTTGATCGTTAGCAACAAAGTGTTTGATCGTGGCCGCAACACCCTTAGACTGCAGACCATTAATGTATGCAGCTGCAATTGTCCCGTTCAAATGTGGATCCTCCGAGAAGGACTCAAATCCACGACCACCCAAGGGGGATCGCTGTGTGTTCACGGTGGGCGCGAGAAGAATGTGCGAACCTGGCATTTGCAGTATAAGACAGCGAGGGCCGCTTGCGCTAGAAAGAAAACGTACTTTTGGCACGACATTCATCGCCAAGGGCCTCCCCAACCTCTTTTGCAAGATCAAGGTCAAACGAGGAACCCAGGCCCGTGGAGGACGGGAAGCAGCTAGAGGGTACTCCGTTGAAGACTGGGTCGATGTGTGGAGTTATTCAACTGTGCGGCTCGAAGATAGCTATGACTTACATCGAGTACCACGAACACCGTTGGGCCCTGAACCAAGGATAAGAGGGAGCTCATGCGGCCATAGATGCTGGCCTTACCGTCGCTCATGCGCATAGACGGAACACCTGCCTCTGGAACAGGTTCAGTATGCCACCAGCCCTAATCATGATGAACGGTTCGATTGGAATTCCTAGCCTGATACTCGGAGGAATAGGACACACCAAGCCAGCAAGCATCTTGATCTTCTGAGGCAACGTCAGCTTTGCCAACGTTCCCTCTACGTCAAAGGTTGCATTTGCCATGATTTACTACTCGATCGAACGCGAGATCGATATACTGGCTGTCGGGGTGAGAATGTGGGGAGTCTCGAAGCATTGCAGCCGCTGCGGCGGCAGGGTATATGTACTGGCCAAACTGCATCGGATAATCCTCGGAACTTGTCCCCTGAACAGATGTGGTAGAGACGTCATTACCAACCTGTGACTTGTCATGAGGAAGGGCGCACCTAGTGTGAGGTTAGGGTCTAGCCGGCACTGCCGACGATCGAACCGCTTCGCAAAGGCATCCGTCCACGACAACCTCAATCCATCCCCTCCCGTTCATCTCGCGTTCCGGCCGACGACGGCGTCAATTCGTGCCCGACGCCATCGAATAACACCTCGAGCGGTGGAGCAAGAATGCCAGTCAAACGGACCGCAAAGTCAGTTAACCTATTTCAGGACTCATATATTGGCCTGCTAATTATTATTGGGTTGGCCTGATACCAGGGGGAAGAAGCGCGCAGTGCTAGAGGCTGATATATCCATGGACGTACTTGACGAGCAGAACGGGGGCAGTGTAGCATCGTCGTCGTCGCTCTCTCCTCCGCCGATGCCTGCCAAGAAGCGTACGCTCAAAGTGCCGATATATTTATTTTCAAGAACTCATTCCGTCGCACAGGCAAACGTGGAGAAACCCGTCCCTGTCCAGTCTGTTCAGAACCTATCCCTCTCCGCCTACTCGGACAACACAGCGAGCTCGAGACGCAGCGCGTCCAGTCTCTCATAGATGCTGTCGGCGACATTGATGAATGGGTAGACCCGTACCCCAGCGCATACCAGAATAAGTGGGTCATTTGGCTCGGATACATCGTGACAATACATCTGAACTCGTTATATTGAAAGCTCTGGTTCCATTTCTCGCCGTCGATCCGCTCTCAAAGCACAGCACAACATGTCTAATAAGTCTACTCCTACTGCGTCACCTGAGCTTCTCAAGAACCTCCGTCTCCTCAAACGCCGCCGCAAACAGAGACACATCCAACTACAAGATATTACGCAGGATTCAGACGACGAGAATGGCGCCCGCGCTAAGGGCAAAGCGCGAAACGCCGATCTAGAGGGCACAACATGTCCTGTATGTCTACAAATGGTTCAAGGCGACCCGGACGTCGTGCATGCTCACGTCGACGCATGTATCGCACACGCCAGTATACAAGCCTCACATGTGTCGACTCGCTCGCCGTCCCCAGACGTTGACGTGGAAGGTGACAGTCAGCTGGCTGGCCATAACGACAATTCGGATCCTTGGGAAGAGATCACCACCGCAGATGGCCACTTTCGTCTCCGTCTGCGTGCAGGCACTAATCATGGTGACAGTGCCCGCAGACTTGGCTTCGCGGTGCGCGATCGCACGCTCGAAGACGTGGATGACGAAGTGGATATAGATGGAGACGATGAAGGCGTGTTCGGCACAGTGCAATTCACTGAAGCTGATCTACTTGGTGGGAGTACCATCGCTGCAGATACACGGAGAGAGGACGGTGCAGACATTATGAATCTCGCGCAGAAAAATCTTGTCTCGGGTGCTTGGGACTATGAGCGAGAAATTGCACGCGCAAGGAGCGTTATGGATGAGAAAGCCTTGATTGCTGCTTTAGAGGCCAAGATGAAATTCTTGGTTAGTCACTTTCAGTTGTTCCTTGTATGCAATTGTCTGACAAGAGGACATCAGGAGTTTCCCAGCCCCTCTGGCGTGGCTGGTGCACCATCCTGTCGAATTTGCCTTGATCCATACACTGAACCCACCGTTAGCACAGGGTGCTGGCATACATGCTGTCGTGAATGTTGGCTGCGCTGCCTCGGATCAAACAAGTTGTGTCCAATCTGCAAGCGTATCACCGCGGCGACAGATTTGCGGAGGGTGTATCTATAGCATTTTTTCCCTGTATTGAGTTGGACATCGGATCTTCATTTGCTTTAATGGCCTCTGCATTTCACGTTGACTGTAATACTACGGGGCTTTGTTAGTTTATCATCTTCTATTAATGAAGGACACGAGACAAGGAAATGAACGCTCATATCTGGCCTTGATATTTCTCCATATTCACTCCTGCCGAAGCGGGTGAATCGGAGTGTCCAGGTGAAGGGCACTACCACAAAGGTATAATCACAGCGACGAACGAAGCAGAAAAGGACAAACAAAGTGGGGAAATTGAGAAGAAGAAAAAAAAAACAAGTAGCGCATGCACAAAAAGCTCACCTTATGATGCTACCTCGCCCTGAAGTTCACGCGGGCGCTCATATCAAACTCAGACATTCGAAAGCAGTGATGCAACAATTATTTTGAAGAGATGAGTAAGGACTAGCATGGCGATGCAGAAAACAGGAGTCGATGCGATGCGGATAAGATGCGGGGGAGCCGGAATACCCGATGTGAATTATGCCAGCGGGCTCATCAGTCTGCGCGTGCAATCGTCAGCGCGTGGACAAAGAAGAATATGGGAGTGGGAGCGTACTTGATGAGTGAGGGTTGCGGGTTACTCCGCGTGTATCCCACATAGATGATGAATGGTATCCAGCCGTAGTGCAGCACGGTCTGTGGCCCTTCAGTGAGTAGGCGTTCAATGGTGACGATATGTGAAGTGAGGACTCACGCGGCCTAGCTCGACGGCGCGGATGATTCGCTCCTATGGTTGAGACATATGTCAAGGCAACAGGGCATATACAAAGGGCGCTGCGCACCTTGGTTTCTTCGGAAGGCATCGTGCTGGATGGAACTGAGGACGTCGCAGGCCCGCGAGTTGGAAAACGAGCGGGTGCTTCGGCGAATGCCGGGTAACAGGTGGCTGACACGCGGCACCGCGGCAGGACAGCGCTTCGCTCGACGCCCTGCAAATCCACTTCACAACTTCCATGACCGTTCGGAGTTGTGGAATACTCCCTCCAGCATTTTTATTACGGTTCCAAGGCTTGTCTCCGAGGAGGACCAGCAAGGCAACGAGCGTCGGCCCTCTTTCCTCCGATTCCATGATCGCGGTCGCATGACAGCAGCGGTTGAGATGCTATCCATCATTGTTCGATGTCCTGAGTTCACCATCGAAGTTCCGGGACGTATGGATTCGTGGAATACTGCTGTAGGCGCTTAGACACTAATAGGCCTATCAGATCTTCTGTCTGCTTCTGTCTGTCCCCGCATAACAAGACCCTCATCACCTTCTGCAGACTGATAAGTCTCACTGTCTCATCGTCCTTGTGTATCTGCACTGGTCAAAATCATCAGGTAGTGCGTGCGCAATACTCTATTCAGACGCGGCTGACTTCATGTGTTTCGCCAGCTACTTGGACAAATGACGTTCATCCAGGAAACAGCGACTCAGAAAGCCATCCGAAATCAAGCCGTCCTCGACGCCATCTTCTCATACTCGTCTCCGGGCACCATTCTTCGCATGTCAAGAACATGTCGACGTATCAAAGACCTGGTCGACTCATACATCCGTGCAGCGTTTAACATCAACCGCCACCTCTCCCGATACTTTCCTGATCCTATAGCCTTCCGCTCTATGCAGGCTCGCACCGCTTCTCTGCTCTCAGGGTCGAATGCTCTCCAGTTTCTCGACAGGACAACCTACCCTGATACCGATCTCGACCTCTATGTGTTCCAGGAGTGCACCGGTGAAGTCGGGAGGTTCATGCTCGAGAATGGATATCGATTTCTGCCCACCGAGATGCAAGATGCCGACTTTGAAATTGCTCTTATTCAGCGGACTGTGATGAACACCGTTTATCCCGGACCCCTCCGCGGGGTCTTCCAGTTTGTCAAAAAGTCTGACAACGGGGAGGACTTGAAGGTGGAAGTAATATCTACCACGGCACCGTTTTCATGCGTGCTGTGCTCTTACTCGAGTAGGTCCAGTTTTTACCTCATGTGCCATCTCTGTGGGCTGATAAATTTTACGAAGCGTGCGTCATGAACATGATTAGCTACGAGAAGGCGTATTCTTTGTTCCCCCGTGCTACTTTCGAGGACCGCACTTCTTTCATCTGCACCAACGTCCCTTGGCGCCGTGACGTAGCAATCAAAAAATATACGCAGCGAGGCTGGGACGTGCTACGAAGCCGCCGGGCATATGTTATTCGCGACGACCTGCTATCAGTTGAGCGAAGACTTGATGACGCCTACACTTGGACCATGCCCTTAAATGTTGAGGGCATACCGCCTGTATCACTCTCGCCAAGCTCCTCCAGCCTCAAATCGGACCCTGTCTCGATCTGCTGTTGGCGCTCCATTGGACAGCAATCAGACAGCAGAACCTGGGACCAGCTCACTCGAATAGACAATGGACTCCTGTCGTTGTTGAAGTTCCGCTATATCATCCAGGATGCGACACTTGCTCGTCACATAGCCGGGCTTTTACATTGTATAGCATCTCATCGTGCTGCGAACTTAAATCGCTAGTACGTTTTTCTCTTTGAGTATTTTGTTCGCATTCAGCAGCTGACTTCCAGCATTCAGCTATGATGCAGAGCTGATCCAATTCTGCCAGGAGTATTATCGACGCTGCAAAGAGATACGCAGTGCCTGAACAAAATGTATCCAAATGGAAATGACACCGAGTGTAACGCCTCAGTGTTGTCATTGGGTTTCTATGGGCTGGCACTCAGTTTACATGCCTTCCTGGACATGGACTATATTGTGTCATTATCACAAATAGCACTGCAGCATTGTGTATCCTTGCCTGACTTGATACTTGGCCATCGATGAGTTGTATTTCCTCTGAAATAGATTCGCCTCTGTGTATCATTACAATTCCTGGCTCGTTCTCTGCCTAAAAGGAGTCCTTTTTCCGCTAGTCGTAAAGAAAGGTTCGCTGCTCAGGTAGCCTTCGATCGAACAAGACAAGTGCATAAGGACGAGTTAGATGCTCGATTATGTAATTATCTTCCCCACAGGGCGCTTAACTTAGCTGGAGACTTGCCAACCGACCTGGACGATATACCATGGATCCTCACTCCAGGCATTCTCAATTCAACCAGAGGCCTCCGAAAACTGGCCCAATTGCTCTTGCATCGAGGCACATGGATTTTTCTCTTTCAAAGTCGTCGCCATCGCTCGACGAATTCACAAGACATCCTGCACCCTCGCGAAAATCTTCTTCGGCTTCCTCACCATCTCTACTCGCCTCCAGGCCGATAGCCACAAATTCCAGGATCAAGCAGGATGAAAAGCTGAGGAAGGATATGTACCTTGCATTTGTGAATAATGCCCTGCAGCAAAAAGCCATGGTAGGTGCCACTCGATATCTTATTATCAACCAGCAGCCTATATCGCTAAATTGGACACAGGGCATCTGCGAGCCGTTTGATGAGCTGGTTGAGCAATTCAATATAAACAAACCCGACAACGATGCCCCATCTCCCGTGCCTCAGCTGCGGCTTTGGATACAGGCTTTGATGCACGTAGTATCCCGCCTCGAGCGATCGCATTCTGCTTTGGTCGAAGCTGTTGTGCGGATACCCTGGATGACAATGGAAACCACTTTCGTGACATCATACACGTCGTTTATTGGGATATTGGTCAGTGCACGACCAGAATATCTGTCGTTGGTGTTGGGGGAGATTGCACATGGATTCACATACCGTGCGTTTTTTTCCAGCCGTCGTCATCAGTCTGAGCCAACCATGCTTTGCAGAATCCGGTCTACAAGCGCTACATGCTGGCCTGCCCGAGAGCTCTTCCTTCCCCCTCACGCGCCGCGTGGTTTATGACCGCATACATCATCTTCTGCAGCATCTCCTTTCACTCATCCCCACGCTTCCTTCGACTCTTCAACCGCTCCTAGTCCGCAAGTTTCCCCATAAGAGACAAAGCCAGGCAGCGCAAGTCACGTACATCCGCAATATGCTCCGAGTCACGGAATACTGCCCAGAAATCGCTGATAGACTTCTTTCAACGATCGTAGACCGAGCTGTCCAAATAGATGTACGTCTGTTTCTGGCTTAAATTCGTCTTCTCTCAATTTGTCTTTCAATCGTAGGTTGAGATCCAAATCGAAATCGAGGAGCTCGAGGCCGAAGACGCTGCACAAGAGCAACCCGAGTTGTTTGATTTAGATCCATTTGACACCGTTGTTGGTCAGGAGGGTGATCTTGATGGATCCGACATCGAGTCTGATTCTGGAGAGCTGAGCGGGGATGATTTCTCCGATCTTTCTTCTGAAGGAGGTGATCTTGACAATGAACGCGCCGAGCCATCATTAATCGTCAGCCACATACAAGATATGGTCAACAAGCTGGATTCTATCCTAAAGCTAGTATTTGATCACTTCGATCGCACCAATACCGCTGCCATCGCAGTATCCGATCCTATACCTAGAGCTGACATCGCCCGCTCCGACTCGCCGCTATCGGCGCTCGACAGCAACTCCACCCCCACACTCACTGCAGAGAGCAGCAAAACGCTCCGGCGAAACCAGTTCCACACCCTCCTCTCCATCTTCGACCGCACGATCCTGCGCACGTTCAAATCGCGGTACACGCAGTTTTTGCTCTTCTGGTATGCTTCGCTCGATCCAGAGTTCAGCGACATGTTCCAGGGCGAGCTCGTGTCGAAGGCGCTGCTCGATGCGGACCAGCCCGTGGTCACCCGTGCCGCGGCCGCGAGCTATATCGCGAGCTTCGTTAGCCGTGCGCAATTTGTCGACCAGGAGTGCACGCGGAGCGTCATGCGCCTTTTGTGTGGTTTCTTGCGCAGCCAGTTGGACGTGTATGAAGCGGTCGCGAGCGCGGGGCTAGTGCACTCGGCTGGTATGGCTCCGCAAAATGTCTTCTATGCTGTCGCGCAGGCGGTGTTCCTGATTTTCTGTTTCCGATGGCGGGATCTACTCGAAGACCAGGGTGAGGATGTCGACGAATACAGCTCTGTACCAGGCCATGGCCCAGACAAGAAGTGGATGCCAGAGCTGTCCATCGTGCAGCGGATGGCGACGTCCTTGCTCAATCCCTTGAAGGTGATCGCCCATTTGCATCATTGTGACGTGCTGAGGCTGAACTTCATGTAGCACTGCTCCGAAAACGTTGTGCTGCAGTTCGCCCGCATCTCTCATGCCACGGGCCTTGTCTACGTCTATCCGATCATAGAGGCGAACAAACGGCTCGAGTTCACTCCGAATATGCCAACGCCACATTCAAATGGCACGAGGGTTCAGGCGTTTGTGTCGTTCAGCGACAACGGCCTCGGCGAGCTGAACACGTTCTTCCCCTTCGACCCTTACAAGCTGCCAAAATCGAAGTCCTATATCGAGGGCGTGTATCGCGAGTGGTCGTCAGTAGCCATAGACGAAGAAGAGGAGGAGGAGGACGGGGAGGATGACTATGGGGGGGAGGAAGAGGAGGAGGAGGATGTAATCGGTCAAGCGATGCCTGGGATGGGGAAGCTGGCTGCCGGGACTCGCGACGCGGATGAGCTGGGGGCATCATTTGGAGGCATGAGCATCAGTCCTGCACCGTTAGCTGGGATCGCGGGTATGGTTCGCTAGCCAGTCGCTGGGAAGATATTTCTCCTTCTACATGTGGATTGTTTGATATATAGATATCTATTTTTCGAGGCCCGGGAACAAGACAATTCGTGCTTCCGACTGTCATTTCCCCATCGTTGGGATAAGTTTCTGCGGTTTGCTTCAATCTCGGCAGCCGATCTGCTGGTCCGAAATTCGGCGTGACATGGTGGAATGAAACTCAGACAATCGTAGAAGGAGTATCGCCGAACGTCTGCATACATAGTTTGGGAGGATCGTCGTACATGGATGGGTACGCTAAGGTGCTATTAAAAGCTGTTTGTGTTATAATGCATGCTTCTCTTCAGATCGACGATCAAATTCCCATCGACGTCGATTTTAGCTTGCATGGAGGACATGTTCACCGCTCGAGGCGGAAACTCGAGACACCACTCGAAATGACCTGTAAACACGGAATTACATTTCAAGCATGCGCTGGATCGAGCGAGGACGCGACTTACAGTCGCACTCCTGATCCCACGCGTCAGCGACGATCTTGATCTGGTCCCCCTTCAGTACGGAGATGGTGATCATCTCGGGAGCGAAGGGCCTTCCACCGGGACGCGGGAGATCGATTTCTACTTTGTACGAAGTCTCAGTCGGGATGTAACGAGGCGTAGGAACGGATGCGGGGGGTGCCGAGCGCCGAGCGCGGGCGAGGGGCGACTCGGGTTGAGCAGGTGAGCACGCAGATGTCGACATCGAGGAGGCAAACAGTTCGTCGCATGAGATTGACGCGGGCATCGTCGACGAAGGCTCAGAATTTGGGTCCGGTGGCACTATGCCGAGGGCGAAGAGAGGCGGACGCGTGCCAGAGATCGCGGAGGCGCGGGGTCGCTTGATCTGGAAGGATCTGGGCAGCTTGAACTGAGCGACGGCGTTGACTTGTGCAGTCAGCGTGCTCAGTCCCGAGAGTTGGCCGGATGACACGCTGGCGTTGAGGTCTCTAGAGCTCAAAGCAGATGGCATCGCCGGGGGGCGACTCAAAGGCTCCGCAAAGGTCTGATCCGGGATGACCATGCTTTGGCTGCGTACCATCCCTGTTTCATAAAAGGGTATGAGTCACTGTATGTCTTATGGAAGGTGCGCGCTCACCTACGATACTCGCCCTCTTGGAAGCGCTGTGCGCATGGGAGAGCGTTGCGTACTGAAAGGGTTTCTTCGGCGCTGTTCCATTGCCAGTCACGACTGGGGAATTCGTGCTCTTATGAGATATCCGAGAGATGGATCCACTCAGACGGCGATCTCTGAGTGGAGGAGTGAAGCATCGTGTCGAAGGATGGCCCACGAAGCGTGAGCTGATGGACATTGCTGGTAAAAACGTGTGCTCAAGATTTCACGGTATTGAAAGAGGCAGTATAGCAACAGAAAAAACGAAGTGAGGTCCACGGGAGATAGTAATCCACCTTGCGGTGTTGTTGAATTCTGGACTGGCAGTCGTCGAGCCTGAAATCAGTAGCTCCCAGGTGTTGAAGTCGAAAAGATGTCAGTATATCTGACCGGAAAAACATGGCGCCATAATATTTGATACTTCACCGTACTTTCCTACCACTAAGCTTGTATACTTAGTTTAGAGATTCAAGTTGGAAGTGGCAATGGTGGCATTCCGTAGCCACAGATCTCAGCCTGCGCACGTGCCTACTTATTTCCCACACCTCACGAGGTTGTCGGTGATTGGCGCGAATTTACTGGTGCGCTGTGGCATTCACCCTCGCCGCAGCCCTGTGGCAGTCAGTGGCTGCTCCCCACAGCTGGCAACCACCACCACCACCACCACGGCGACACTCACTTGCATCGATTATAGATGCCGTTCGTTTGTCTTGTATGCACAGCATCACAGCCTGCGCGTGGCGAAAACTCATGCTTCTCCACCAAATGTCCAAGGTGGCCTCAAAGCGATCGTGTTTCGGAGCCTTGGCCCATGATCGCAAGAACAAAGCGCTTTGATTCCTATGCCTTGCCTAGTGCTGTATTTAAACACAGATGACCCTGAGTGGTACCCTTCCCTCGAACTCACCTCCCCTTGTTAAAGCCCACCCCTCTTTCCTCTGACTCTTCCTCGAATTATATTGCAGACATGTCTCCCGATACCCAAATTATGCGCGCGCCATCGCCCATTGCTACCCTATTAAACACAAAGGCTATCTCTGATACCCTCTTTTCCTATTTGACCCCTGCCTCCCTCATCCGCACAGCACTCACTTGTCGAGCTGTGAAGCTCGCAGTGGCCACCTACATGCACGGCGCGTTCGACATCAACAAGCATCTATCCCGCTTCTTCCCAGATCCCGTCGCCTTTCGGTCTCTCCAGGCGCGTACTGGCTCGTTGATCTCTGGCTCTAACGCCTTGCAGTTTCTGAATCGCACGGTGTACAAGAAATCCGACATCGATCTCTATGTGCCACAATGGAATGCGAAAGTGATGGTCGAGTTTCTTCATTCACTGGGTTATGAGTATTGTCCGTCCCCCGAGTTACCAGATCTGCAGGCAGCTCTGGAGCTCGACTCTCCGCCGGCTCAGTCTAGCAGCATTTATGAGTTGCGCGGCGTCATAACCGTTTTGCGATTCCTTAACCCAACGTTAAGCAAAGATGGGCCTCTGGAGGTCCAGGTTATGACCACGAAGGTCCCGGTCGAATGTGTCCTGCATTTCCATTCTAGTGAGGAACTTGCTTTCTATGTCGGTGTCTCGTAGGGTTCTGAACTTCGTTCTTTTAGCCTGTGTCATGAATGTCATCAGTTTCAAGGCGGCTTATTCTCTGTATCCTCGCGCAACTTTCGAGGACCGATGCACTTTGGTTTGCACATCGGATATCAAACGCAAAAACATCGTCTTCACCAAGTACGGAACCCGGGGGTGGACTATCTGCACGCGAGCCATGGAGTGTTCGCGTTGGGAAAAAAGCTCGCAGTCGGCCTTTTCCCGTCGCATCCGTCGCGTCGCCGACCGATTCACATGGAAGCTACCTCTTGACATGACGGGGGTAGACGTGCCACTGCCGCGCTTTGGCGCCCTCGAGGCGCCCGACCAGGTCGTCGGAGAGTGCTGGTCGCTCGTACCCGAATTGCCACTGGTTCGGTACATGGGTCCCTCAAGACCGCGATTTCGCGCGCCCCATGCCCCACGAGCAGGTGTGCCGCATTATCAGAAGCGCTTCGTGTATGGTGCGCGGACTCCCCCGCGGGTCGCGGCCCCGCGCGCTATTCCTAGTCCTGAGCCACCAGCATGGAGTCTGCGAGCGTCTGCGCCTGCCTTTCAGCCTCGAGGTATCAAGGCGCCCGAGACCATCACGGACGTCCAGGCCGCACTCAGAAAATACATGGAGCTCAGGCCGCAAGTGTCTGAGGGCCCCAAAAGTCGTGCGAGAACTCAGAAGTGCGTTACTCTTTCCATGTTGGCCGAGCTAGTCACTAATTCTACGTCAGGCACGAGTCGTATCATCCGTCTGGATCGAGAGCTGGATTCGCTTCTGGCAATTTCCTTTCCCAGTTCCATAAGATGAACATCGTGCAAGCCGTGTGATAGTCATGAGCTCAATTTCCGTCAGCATTTGTGGAAGGGGGATTGTATTCTACTATTCTATATCCTGGTATCCGTGATTGTGTATGATCTTGATCTTGTATTTTACGGGCCATCAAGCTAGCATTGGGCCTTAGGCTTATTGGTTTCTCTCTGCCGGCTGTCAAATTGATATGTTTTATCACCAACAGTCGGGGTCCACGTGGCACTCCTCCGTATGAGCGTTCTTCAACTCTTTGCACTCCAGCTCTCTTCAGAACGACACTCACTGCCCTCCTTCGCAGTATCATAGTCCGTGGCATCAAATATGCACCTCCTGAACCTGTGTTTCTTTGTCTTTGTCCAAATCTGGATGGCCTCTGCGCAATTCCAATTCTTCGACGGGATGTTCGGGCAGCGGCAACAGCAGCAACAGCAGCCCTCTGGCGCATCACAATGGGCAACGCACGCAGACAGCAGTGCGCATCGTCTATCTATCTGTTGTTGGTCACACTATCTCACATATCGTCACGTTGCAGCGTCATGCTCTGAATACCTCTGTCCGGCAACGCTGGCGTGCGTGACCAGACCAGAAGAATGCCCCTGTCCTCACGTTCAGGACGTCAAATGTGTCGTTCCTGACGACCAGGATAGAGATCATGGGACTGTTTTGTGCGTGAGAGGAGGGAGCGACTGTGCTGCGGTCGAGCAGTTGGGCAAGAAGTTCACAAAGTGAATGTCTTGGCCGGCTGTGAGGGATCGTAGCGGCCTATGTATGTGAGTGGTGCTCGAGCGACAGCAATAAGAGCCTTGTTCAATGCGCATCAGTTGTTGACTACGATACGTAGGTCAGATTATACCATGTATTGTGCATTGGCTCTTCAACGGCGCAAGTGCTGATTCAACTAGCGCGTCGTGCAACCTAAGCATTGCAGCCAGATGAGCTGCGCACGCTGCCAAGCTATGGACCAAGGAAATTGGTGAGCTGAAAGGTTGTATATTCCCATGATGCTATGACACTGCATCCTCGAGATTGTCTAAATCTGGGACCATCATCTCAGGAGCATGACATTTTTGATTTTGCAAGCGCGACACGATGCGTTCAGCCTCGGTAGCTTGAAGCGCGTTGTGCATGTATAAGGAAGACACAGAAGATTCTGCCTCAATTGGAGTTTGCATGTCTTAATTTGCAGATCGATCTTTGCTCCCGCTCTGACATGCAGTTTGGAATAAGCTGTGAGCTATGCGTGATTCTCAGGCTGAGCACATAAAAGTTGGACGGAATGGATTTATGCTGCTCACCGAGTCTTTTGATTCACTCGTGCAGCATGTTTGTCTTTGTGGTCGCTTTACATCTGCTTTTCGCGTTGCGTGGCGCTGCGAGACGCGATCGCGATGACCATGATCCTTCTGACCCTATAGACGTGACGATCCCAGTCGTCGAACAAGCCTTCGACAATGCACGCATCGTCCCCGATGTTTTGTTATCGTTCACGCCTACCTCGATACTGGACGTTGATTTCATAGACCCTGACTCGTCGAAACTCGAGTTACATTCCGTGACGCCTGGTATCCAATTGTCTATGGAGCGTGAGTGAAATTCTATTCACTTAGAGTTATATTACCAAGGTCTCACAATGTCGGTTTTAGAGACCCTTCTTGCACCTAGATTTTCGCTTTCTACGAACGACACATCGATCGTGAACGAGAAATTCGTGATCGCGCTAGTGGACCCGGATGCTCCCACACCGCAAAACAGATCACTATCACAATTCCGCCATTTCTTAGGGGGAGACTTTCACCTAGACGGAAGCTCGACGATTCGCGCGCCTCTCGTTAACTCCAGCGCTGCCCTCACAGAATATGTCAACCCCACTCCACCCATAGGGTCTGACGCTCATCGGCAAGCTCTTCGCGTCGCTCCACTTCTGATCTGATCTGATCATTCGTGCTGCGCAGATATGTCATACTCCTGTTCGTCCAACCGACGAACTTCGATACTGTCGCGCCGAATTTTGTCACCCCTTCGACTCCCCGGCCGAACTTCGATTTGGCAACGTTTGTGGAAGAAGCCGGCCTGGGCGCTCCCATCGCGGGCACGTTCTTCCTGACGAGGGCCGATGTTGATGGGGGCACCTCGTCTGGAGGAGTTGGCGCACCTGCTACTGCTACTGCTACGAACACCGTCGTGATTGCTTCGAGTCCAAGTGCTGGCGGACGCTCTGTACCAACTTCTCTTGGTAGTACGAGCGGGGCGAATGCAAGTTTCATGAAGGGCATTAGGGGAGAGTTTAGGCGTGCATGTCTTGTCTTCGTAGCATCTCTTTTTTTCCTGTGACGTTAGCAAACGATTTTAGAAAGCGAGCTACCTCGTCGTTTTAGCATGTCACAGCATCGTGAAGCGCGGCGAAACCATAAGCTGAATTTCGTTGTTGTGCTGTGGCGCGTAGTATTGACGCCTCTTGGACCTCGACCTCTTCCACTGAACAAGCTTGCTCTACAATATACATCCTATTGTCTTCAGCTTTGTACAATATATAATGGCTGCCCCACGACCAACGGTGAGCTTGGTTGTCTTTTCCTTCCCCTCCTTGTTGACTCTGAGAAAGCGCCACTGTTGTAGTCCAAGCTTCCCCCTGGTGCGAACCGTATTCTTTTCGTCAAGAACTTGAACTATCAGATCACTGGAGAGGACCTCTACGATCTCTTTGGGCGCTATGGCAGCATAAGACAAATACGAATCGGAAATGAGCAGAAGACGAAGGGTACCGCGTTTGTGGTATTCGAGGATGTGATGGATGTACGTCTTTTCATCTGGCATCCTCATTTCACCATCATGTATCGGTTGACATACGCGTATGAGCAGGCTAAAAATGCTCTTGACCATTTGAACGGTTTTCATTTGCAAGAGCGCTACATCGTCGTGCTCTACCATATGCCGTCGAAGCAGGATGCGGCAGCGGCGAAAGCGGAGCTGGCACGTAGAGAGGAGGAATTGGCTCAGTTGAAGAAAAAGCACGACATTCATGACGAGGATTGAGTCGCATGAATCTTGAGTGCGAGATCTGGTATGTCCATCGCGTCGCTTCCGTGTTTGCTTTGTGACGTTGCTATACTATCTCATCTTTTCTTTCTGGATAGATCCCTTCGTCTAGCTTCTTCGCTTTGTATCACTGCTCCTAATTCTTACTGTATTCTCTTTCAAGTGACCTGTGTAACACAGGTTTCCTGCTCTGATACCTTTGACGCGCATGTCTTCAATCTATCGTACTATGGATCAAGCATCTAGGGTCGTTCACAGGCAACGAGATGATATGACACGTAAGTGATCTACAACGTACAGCTCGATGACTACTCAATGGTTTTCTTAGATACTCAGAGTGAAGCACAGAATGAAACAAAGCCTCCTTTCACAATACAATCCATCATGGCTCCACATTAGCAATTGCGTTCCTTACATGCCATCCTAGGTTCACATCTTGTACATCAAAGAGGCGCATGCGGGGCACCAGTCATCGATATGCGGATCTGATAGCCTTTGAGTATCGAAGACGAAGCGAAGAAACTCGACTCACTGTATTGTTGCGGAAATTGGTGACTGCACGTATCGGTCAGGTATCCGTTTTCAAGGTGAACGCAGAGAGCACTCACTATTGCCAGCACGTTTGAGTGCACCTGGGACACCGGTCGGGGTGAGTGCTGCTAAACTTACAGCGAACTGACTCGCAGACGATCTAGGGTTCAAAGGTTAGCAAAGTTGCACCTTGCATACGCAACGCGAACACACTTCTTCGTCGGGCTGATGATAGAATATCGTCTGTTGAGTGGATCGCGCAGCCATGAACGTAGGACCGACTGACCAAGGCGACCGCATGCTCGCATCTATCGCGATCGGCTTCATCAGCTTCTTGACTCCCTGGAGCAACAAGGGACTCACCTGAGATAGAAGTTCGTAACTCTACCGACAACAATCAGCGCGAGAATGGGAGGAGTACACGATGACATGACTGACCTACGCCAGTAACACATTGCAGAAAATATAGTGGAGAAAGGATAGCTTGGTCCTCACCGAACGTCAAGTATTCCAATTTATAGGTGACCAGACCTACCATCATCGTGTTTTTTTTGCTCGGCCCCACCGTCCCACTCGTGCCCCGCATACGGCCATAAACAGGTTTGCAATCCAATCATGGAAGCGAATACGATGACAGTCGCTTGGCATGAACGCGTGCACGCGAGTACTACACAGGCCCTCCGTGCAAGTTTTTGACAAAGTGTTGCCAGGAAAAGGAAGAGAATAGACCGGCGAAGGCTTCTGATTATCTTGATCAGACGGAAATGAAAGACTGCATTGTTTCCGTCACGACATCCCGTTCATTCGAGAATGTTGTGTTCGTTCATGGGCGCACATTTGCCATTCATGATAAGCGTAGGGCCTAGGATCTTGATGTGTATACATTGGGACCCACAAGGTTCGGCGACCATGACCGAGTTCATGAACAGCAAACAGTACCGCGGACGTCCCTGAAATATCTCGGCGAAGAGGTATCGCTCAATTCAGTGCTCTCTGGACACGAGACTAGCGGGTTCCTAGCTGCAAAGACCGAAGAGCCAGTCCGGTGTCTCAATAGGATGATTTGGTGACACCGTATCAAACAAGCCAAGCTAGCCTTTTCGTGAGTCCGTGATGTGCTATGATGTGTACGTGGTCAAAAATAGATCTCTGACAGGCGGAACAAGCGAGGGTGCGCTATCTGGAGGAGAGAACTCCCCAGGCTCGTGTGAAGTATACATAATAGAAGAAGCCCGAACATGTAAACAAGCCTGGTTGAGACCCGGCGGGAGGCCACTTACTAACATCTTGATGGCATTTTTTAAATGGCTGTCTTGCCTCTTGAGAAGCCGCCTCAAGGTAAGCAAACCCACATCTGATCTACCGGATAGATTTAGAGTAAGGGATAACAAACACGTCGAAAAGAGACATCTCGCCCGACCTTTCGGATGACAGCAACAGACTAAACATCTTGTAGACCAAGGCAGTTGAAGCGGGTGTTGGATAAACCATATGCAATCATGGCCGCTGAAGTGCCGTTCATGGTTTTATCCAATTTTACAGCCGGAAGGCGTGATACCGCACGAGAGCGCTTGGCCGCCAGTCCGATAATTCTGGGGGCTAATTTGGCGAGGATGGTTCCTTAGCTCTAAAACATAACATCGGAGTATAAGCGCTCGTTGGCAATAAGTCTGCTGGTAAGTGCGAGGAATTCGATAAACCGTTACAATAGTCAACAGCCTTGGAAGGCTGTGATGAACATCGCATGCAAGCCAATGCAAAGTGCCACAGTTGTGTGAGATACCTGAGCATTATCGCCAATTTTCCGTGTCACTGACTATAGCGCTGCGGAAAGTTTCAGTTTCAGAACGTGTGTGAGATCTCGTTGCTCTGCTTCATGGACTCAGCGTTGTGGAGGACGTCCACAAAACTGACATGTGCAGTATTTCTGCTCCAGGCAGTGTCTCCTGTACGTCGTAGGATGGGTGTTCCTCGCTCCAAGAAATATGCAAACGCTTATTGAACCTTGTTCTATGTCGGAGCATATACCGATCAAATTCACAACAGGGGCCGTTTGTACAAGGCGCTATCGAGACCCGGCGCCCGCACACCAAATTGAGCGAGGTTCTCAAGTTAGCACTTCCCATCATCAATGTGTTGACGATTTAGTCCAGGGGAATACGACATCGGCTCTTCACAGCGTTCAGCATACGTATCAAAATTGTCGCAAGTCTACACGCCTTCTTATATCTTGATTGGGGTCGTTCGAACCTATCTGAAACGGATGAGTACTTAGACAGGTGGGGCCCTCCCTCCGCGTCCGCAGAGAGTTAGATTCAATCTTCCTCTCATGCTTGAACGTCGGACCATCACTATCCACTCCCGCGGGGTTCTGGCTACTCCAGAATATATCTATGAAGCTCCATGTCGTCTCATTTTAAACAGAACAAGATTCCAGTTACCATAGTATGTTTGTCCATGCTTACGCTCCGGTGATTTCTAGAATACGACTCGAACCTTCTCTCTGATCGTGGATGGAACACAGACGATTCCATGCTAGGTTGGACCCCAGCCTCTTCTACCTCAAAAGACACCCCTTTCGTGTGGAATTTTCCTATTGTAGGTTTATAATTTTTCATGCGAGACTGCCTAACTCCAAGAGATAGACGCCTTGGTCTGTCATGATTAGCAGTAGAAGGTCTAGAAAAAGAAGAAGCGCGACGCCGCCGCTCGGTTGCCCAGCCACGCAATCTGTCCAAAGGAGATTGGCATCCATCTAGATAGGAGACGAATAACTCAGCGGACCACATACAACACCCTTTAGGGAGCCTTCGACTCACACCCCTCAGATTCAGATGCTCGAACGCCGATCACTGCTAGTACGTGATGACTTATATATGCGACAACTCGGTTTTATACCACGTACTCCGCTATCAATCGTGTCATCAATAACACATGCTGCCCAATGGATCAAATGGTTGGCACTTTCCAGAGACGTATGGACTTCGAACCCTAAGCCTTGAGGGAGAATAAAGTCTGACGGTCCAGAATGTTCGTGGGTATTCGACCTACAGCGTTCACCTCGTCCTTACTGGCTCCAAAACCCCCACTGTCATTCGAACAAAGTTCAAGGTCGGCTCCGCATAAACCCCAAGATCTGATTCGGTTCGAGAAAATTTCTTCCCAGACTTATCCAAGTTTACAACGTGGGGAGCGTGGCCCTGCGTGGCCCGACGCTAGCGGGCTGCAAAGGGCCGCACAAAGGATCCGATTGACGAACTTGTACAGAAGTTACGAGAAGGGGGAAGACATGTTGTTCTCTATCTGGGTTAAATTCAACCTTGACACGGGCGAAGGCAGTAACTACCGGACTGGAGTTAGCCCAGCTATGGATAGCACGGGACCGAGTAGCAAGCTTTTATCTCAACATCTGACAGACCTGATTTTTCAACGGAGATACTCCATGTACTGAACATGTTCGGAAGCTCGGTAACACCACGAGACGATGGTCCAGAGGCTTCTGTAGTTTATAACTTGAATTCGAGAAGAGCCTGGACCACAGAGACTACCCATACTACGCGATGAACTTCAACGTCCAGTAGCAAGATATGTCGTGTAAGATACCACTAGAATGAGGTTGTTGACGAAGTTACGTGAGGGATGCATTGCTTTCCTTGTGGAGTTTCACGATCCGGTCGGCATCTGCATCCAGCCCAGGTAAGCGTATTCAACGTCATGAGCGGTGAAACTTGCTGATACGTCAGCTGCACAGATCTCCTGGTTCAATGAGACATCGTAAATGCCATGGGCTTGAACATATATGAATCGTCACAGACTAGCGCAGTGCTCAACGCGGCTGTAGGGCCGACAGCAGTGACGATTTCGGTAAGCGTGATTCGACCACCAGTGATGAATTGGCAGTGTGGGTGAGGATTATTTGTACAGAATGGTGGAAGGTATTCTCTCGTGTACGGTTAAAAGACCGGGAAAGCGAGGAAACACAGTGTGTTCGTGGGGCCAGAGACGTATGATATCGGTGAAACTGCTCAGCCTGCAGGAACAGACAAGAAGCCAATCCATAAGTTGGAAGGAAGCGATTGAATAACAGGAAATGTTACCTCGACAGCCCCTGCGCCTTCCCGCCCGCTTTGCGCCGCGCTGGATGCAACACGGACAGCAGGAAGGAGCAACCGGAAAGTACGCAGTGAGGAGAACGGGACAGTCAATTTAGAAGACTGGAAGACGGAAGAAACAGTCATAGAGGGAATTTCATGTACCAGAGGAGGGGGAGATGGGTGAAAGAGGGGGGGAGGGGGGGGGCAGTTTCGAGGGCTGGCCGCTGTGCTGCCAGGGTCTCGGCGGCTGACTGAAGTTTGATTGGTTGAGAATGTGTGACGCCTGTGACATGTTAGTCTGCGGATATTTATTTTGTCTGGATGGTTCTACGGGATTCGGGTTGTTGTCTATGTGACCAACTCAGCGGCGCAAGATTACCCCTTGCACCCAGTATCACCGGCGCCGCCTTCTTCAGAATTGCGAGGAAGATAAAAAGTACAGGCAAGGAGGCCCCAAGGGAGGCTTTCGTGGCGGTTGAGTAGGGTTTGGATAGAAATCCAGACGGTTTTACGTATATTTACCACGATATGGTTTTATGGAGCCGACGAGTATGTTGTCTGCAAAATTTCATAAGTTGAGATGCACTTGCTTTGTAGCTTGCATATAGTGAGCCGATACGCAGAGAATTTGTTACCATGTCAATAATGCGAGATAATCAAACCTCCCAGGCCCAAACACTGAGAGCTTCTGATGATCACGAGGCGCACTGGGGAGCAAATAAAGACTTGAGTAGACGGGCTGAGGGAAATTACTAGTTCAGGCGACGATGACAGACAGAAGTTGTGGAGACCTGCATTCGGCATAGAGGTGAGAGAGGAGATGGGCTCTCTATCGCCGAGTTCCGCTCCGTCTCTACTTAGGGCCGGGCGATTTGTAAAGCACGTTTGGAGTGTCGCAAGTCGATCATGATCAAAATAGATGCGGCGAGGGAGGCGTATCCTCAAAGTAGCATCGACAAACAACGTTCGGATCATAGACTTCGGGAGCGGGTGGAATATGAGCCACTTACCTGTTCTTGAGTAGGAGTCTGCCGTCTAGCCATGGACGTTTGGTCCGCGCGATCAGTTTACTAGAACCACACTCCAACGGGCGAGGATACGACATATGTGCAAGTCCTGCAATCATGATAACGGGAAAGCCAAATAGAGTACATTACAGCCGAGTACACGAGACGCAACAGAAATGAAACGACGGTCATCTGTCCCTCGGGGAGTCGTACCGATGCTTAAATGAGCTCGGCGGCGTTAACAGGCATTTCATCCTACCAGATCGAATAATCAGTACTTGGACACTCAGAACGAGCAAGAGCGAGAAGGTTCGCTTACGATCTGCGTGCTGTAAAATTGCTCTGCAATGATAAGCATCAATCAGTAGAAATTCAAGAGCTAAAGCAAAAAAGATGCCCATACCGATATCGCGAAGGATGCGCACGTCATCCACTGTCACGAACTGCGGCCAAAATTTCAATGAGGAATGACCTTGAGATAGGTGAGAGTCAAGCACACGTACGTTGATGGCAACGCCTTTACGGCCAAAACGGCCGGACCGCCCAATACGGTGAATATAGTTTTCACGATTTCTAACATGGATATTAGAGGTGATCACATCTTTCTCGACAACACGATACATACGCGGGGAGGTCGTAGTTGATGACAAGAGAGACTTGCTGAACGTCGATTCCACGGGCCCAAACATCTGTGGTGATCAGAACACGTCTAACAAGTGGTATTAAAGTCAGACCACCGCTAGCACTAAATCGTAGTTTCAGTTGAAAACTTACGACGTGCCGCCACGGAACTCCGCCATGATCGCATCACGCTCTTTTTGGGGCATTTCTCCGTGCATGGACGACACTGTGAAGTTGGCAACGCGCATTTTCTCGGTTAACCAGTCGACCTGAAACGTACGAATTATGAAGGACTCGTTCAAGACTCTAGACCGATATTACTTACCTTGCGTCGGGTGTTACAGAAAATTACGGCTTGCGTGATCGTGAGAGTGTCATAAAGATCGCAAAGGGTATCGAACTTCCAATCTTCCTTCTCCACCGCGACGAAAAACTGCTTGATACCCTCCAAAGTCAGCTCATCACGCTTGACTAGGATGCGAATAGGGTCGGTCATGAACTTGGTTGTCATCTCCAACACGTCATAAGGCAGAGTGGCGCTAAGGAGGACGACTTGTGTTGCAGGAGGGAGGTAGCGATACACATCGTATATTTGGTCCTTGAAACCCTTGTTCAACAGCTCGTCGGCCTCGTCCAGTACCAACATTTTGATGTTTCTTGTTCGAAGACTCCGTCTGCGGATCATGTCGAATACGCGTCCAGGAGTTCCAGAGACGATGTGCTGGCCATACTCGAGTTTTCGGATGTCCTCGCCAATAGATGTGCCGCCAATGCAGGCATGACACTGCACGTTCATGTAATCCCCAAGTGCGAGGACGACAGATTGAATTTGGGTCGCGAGTTCGCGAGTGGGTGAGAGAACAAGAGCTTGCGTCTCGCGTACAGAGATGTCGATGGATTGGAGAATGGAGATAGAAAAGGTGGCGGTTTTACCCGTACCGGATTGTGCTTGGGCAATGACATCCCGCCCTTGAGTGATAGGAACAATGGCGCGCTGCTGAATCGCAGAGGGCTTTTCGAAGTCTGCATAGGCGCTGTGTCATGACGAGATACTATATGAAGCAGATAGGGACGCACTGTATGCATAGATTCCACGCAAAAGATCTTCCTTGAACCCAAACTCATCGAATGTCGAAATAACTGGGACAGCCTCAGAGGACTCGAAGCGAAGTTTCTGGACACAAAATGATAGTGAGTAAAGTCAGGAATACGTATATTAGCAAGAATCTGCAGACCTCGTCACCAGGGTTAATACCAGCCATGTTGAAGATGAAGGGATGGGGGATGAGTGCTGTGAATCTCTGCACACCGAGACACGTCGGAGTTCAAATATTACTGTGCTCGCCGCCACGCGAGACTTTGGTCCAGTCTCCTTCCTCACTCTCTTCGACAGCGGCAACGACAACATGGACTCTATCATCGAAGTACAGCGCCAGAACCACGAAGAGATTGAACGTTTCGAGAGGGCTCTTTATACCATTCTCTCTCGTCCACAGAATGTCCACCAGACGCGTCTTCAAAATGAACACAAGGCCGCACAAATCCTCGACCGAATCTCTTCGCGCGTCGTCACCTTGAACAATCATTATCAGGACGAAGATGTTCGGAAGGCAGAGATTGATGCCCTCTCTGCGCCAAACCGGCAAAATGATCTATCAGAATTTTACTCGAGGTTGGGTAAAATTCAGGAGCACCACAACAAGTATCCTGATGCTGGTGCAGATGGATTCGAACTCGAGCTGGCCGCGTTTCTCGACGAAGTTTCTCCCGAAGATATGGATGAAGACTATGTCGAAGAAGATCGTAAGTTGTGACCAAGTTCTTACATTGAAAGGCTCTCCATCCTCGTCTTCAGCGATCGCCATGCTGTTCTCCGGCGAGGAGACATACGGAAAATATCTCGATCTGTACACAAATCATACCACGTACAACAATCTCAAAAGGATCGACAAGCGGTTAGGATATCTTCAGTATCTCGACGTTCTGATGTTGGCTGAATCTGGCCCTGTGCACCGCGAGCTCTCGAAGGAGACCAGATTGACGAAGGACTACGAGTCGTGAGTCTTTTCTAGCTCCTTCCCTCCGCATACTCACATGTTGCTTCTTAGGTATATTCACTCATTGCACACTTACCTGACGTCTTTCATGCGTCGGACGCAGCCGCTTGTAGATACTGAATCAGATTTGAAAGATACGGCGGCTGAGTTTGACAAAAAGTGGGAGGCGGGAGAGATTGAGGGCTGGTCGGAAATTAGTCCAAGAAATGCTCAGGCTAATGGAAATGGTAGCTCAGAGGGCATCTGGTGTACTGCGTGTACGTACTTTTTCCATAATTCGAACAAGATGTCCTTGTTTCACCTCGCACCGCGTCACACAGGCCAGAAGATGTACTCAAAGCAGACGGTCTATGACGCTCACTTGTCTTCCAAGAAACACATCAAGGCGACTGCCAAGCAAGCTACAAACGAACCGCCGCCCACCAATCCTAACGGCCCTCCATCTTCCTCGATGCCACCCCCTTCTGCTACCAACCGGGATAAGCACATCATTGCTGCCCGCTTAACATACCTTACTACTTCTCTTCTCTCTCAACTCGTTCCCATCCTCAACGACACAAAATCGAACGTTGAGCGGCGCTTCTCACTGACTGCTCGTGAGCGCGAACAGGAGCTATTGGAACAGTCACAACCGCAGCCTCCGGCAAACACCAACAAGGATGGCGAACCAGTGGAAGAAGAGGAGGAAGAGGAGCGGATATACAACCCTCTGAAACTGCCATTGGGCTGGGACGGCAAGCCCATCCCGTATTGGCTGTACAAGCTCCATGGTCTCGGGGTTGAGTATCGATGTGAGATCTGCTCAGACCACATTTACATGGGCAGGCGAGTTTCCTAACCCAAACTTACAATCATTGCTCGATATACTGATCCACGACACTCATTGCAGGAAAAACTTTGATCGACACTTCCAGGAATCCAGACATGCGTTCGGCATGCGTGCTCTGGGACTGCCCAACACAAAACACTTCCACGAGATCACGCGTATCGAAGACGCTCTATCTCGTGCGTTCTTGTCCTGACACCATTGAAATTATGCTCATGTTTTCTGTCAGTCGCGGAGAAATTGAAACAAGAAGGGCGGCACGAGATTTTTGAGCAGGAGACGATGGAGGAGCTCGAAGACGAGGAGGGTAACGTGTACAATCGCAAGACGTATGAAGACTTGAAGAAGCAGGGACTTATTTAGTGCTCTGTCGAATCATTTGTCTTGCGGATCTTTATCTATGTTTCTTGTACGATGGATTGGCTGCCATGGCTTGTCAGATCATATGGTTGTTCAATCAGCGATTATAGAGCTGTTCCATCAGGTGAATGCAAGTCTAAAGCTTCACATATCAGCTACCAGACTTTGATCTAGGTGGGGGAGGAGGCGGTTTTCGTGCAGTGGTGTTAGAGGGCACTGGGATCATGGGATTTGGCAACGAAAGGGCGTGGTTGAATAACTCCTCGTCCGAGGACGACGGGGATGCCGAAAGTGGCGAGTCGTACGGTGATTCGTCAAATGGATTGTTGGACCCACTGTGACTCGCGACTGTGTCGGAAACGGGAACCACGCCATTTGGATGATCTTAGTTCAAAACATTAACGGACGTCAGATGCTGGCTGGAGCTGGTGAAGTCTGGAGTACCTAGTGTATCCCACCATGCCTGATCCTCGGAGCTAGGCAGGGGAACTACAAGACAGAGTTAATGTATAGACGTGCGTATATGGATAACAAACATGTTTACGTTCATCGGTGCCGGCAGAAAACGAAAGCCCTGCTAGTTTCTCTTCTAGCATTTCTCCAGGAGCCGTTGACGTGACAGTTTCCAAAAGGAGGCGAGAGAGGGCGGCACGTTTGGCGGTGTTGATGACATGCACCGTAGCCTTGAAAACAGCGTATACTATAGAAAAATGTCAGCCAACGAACGCACAGATGAACATAAGTCAAGAGACGCCTACCAGGTCTGTGATCAGACCCTCGGAGTTCTGCTCTAGAGTAGATTGATAGGTCTAGCCTCTCGCCCTTGAACAAGACCCGATCTAGATCACGATGAACTCAAAAGTCTAGTTGATAAGCCATATATCATCACTCACCGGTCCACGCAGGTATGCGCATCTTCTCACTTGTGTCATAATTGTCAGTGCCTACATCGTATTTGTATGTGGGTTTGAACAGAATAGGGCCTTCTTCATAACCCCCAAAGGCTGAACGATCATCCAAGACTTGTTTAAGCTATATAGCGTCACAACTGAGATCAACGATGGGGGCGCCAAATTTGTGAAACTTGCCTGATCGGCCGCAAGTAGGATGTCAAGCCTGCCTTGCTCTGCTAAAGAACGAGCCACAGTATTCTCGAGATCGACACGATAATTTGTGTCTGCTAACCAAATGACATTACTGGGGCGGCGTTAGACGTGCCAAAGAAGAGAGGATGAGAGGAAGCTGCCCACTCGTGACTGTCAATATTTTTCCCTCGCAGGAAGTGCAGCTCGTTAACTATAGTCCGGTAGTCGGCATTTCGTTCCTCTACATTAGAATGGCCTGCGGCGAGATGAGCAGTCAGGAAGCAGAAGCTTGTGTCATGATATTCAAGACGGATTCCGACAGCCCCTTTGTTTCCCGACATCCCGCGAAGCCCTGTCTGCGGTCTAGTCAGTAAAACAGGGAGTTCGGTGGCCGATGACCTTCACCTTGCGGGTGGTCGCCTCAACGCTGCGGATTACAGCGGTCAGTTCTGCTTTAACAACAACAACCAAAGCTGTCCCAACAAGCTAGTAGTAAAATCAGCGTCAGTTTCCCCTAGAATCTGGACAACTATATCCAAACTTACCTGGTCACTTCTCAGCAGAACATAATCGCATTTCTTATTGGGTCGCCGATCGAGAGTATCAAGAATTCGTGCTTCCCACATTCGCCTGACATCTTCCATCAAATGGCTACTCTGGTAGACAAGCATCTGACCGGGTGACTCACTTCTTTTCAGGGTCAGTTTGCACAATCTGCTGTGCAGTCAAAGGGACGATCTCTTGGAAGCCTAATACAAACATGTCTGGACTAAAGAAGCGTCATTCAAGGAAAGGTCCTAGAATGAAGACCTTACTCGGGGACGTCTGTGGGTACATACATCGTAAATGAGCTTAGCAGATAGGCAATGACATACACTCACCTGTATGAGGAAATAGCCATGGGAGTAAAGATTCCGATGGGGGCTGGTATAGGGTTAATTAATTCCACAGAACTGGGTGACATCGGATTTCGGAGCGGGAGACACTTACTCTGCCATTCAGATTCCAGGTACCAACGAACACGGTGCACTGCTTCGTTGAAGAGTATTCGGTAAGGCTAATATAACATGAATAAAGGAATAGTTATATGAAGCAGATGACTTCACCGTTGTTCCAAAGCAGCACGCACTGAGTCGTGGATGGGATCGAAGACAGTGACTTGCCTTTGATGGCTGAGGTTACCCTGAGTCGTGAAGCTATAACTTCTGCACAAGCTAAAGCAAGTGGGCACATGATACGTACCAGGAACATATCTATGGCCACCTGTTTCCCCTTATCTTGGAAGTTATTGATATATGCTCTGGACACACTCTTCGTGGCGTCCGACAAGACGCCTAAGCCGAAGCAGTTAGGCAAACATCAAAACCACGACCTGACTTGGGCAGCACTTACCCGCAAGAGTACGTTTCCCGCTACGTGTAAAGCTCGTGTTGAGCGCACCGGTACCGGCGTATATCCGGGAAAGTGCATCGCCATTCTCAGCCCAGAGCTCGCGATGATAAGACCAGAGAGAGTTCGAGTGCACCCATTCCCGTCGAACAAGGACAAGGTACTGTTCCAGGGAAGTGCGCGAAAGAATATCCTGCACAAAGTTTGTCCGATCGAGACTAAAAGGTTATGAGGCACATGAAGGACGTGTGAGCGTCGAAAAAGCATACCAATCAAGGCAATTCGTCCGAAACACGCCTTTCTGCTCCGTTATGATCTCATCGGTCGTAGAATCGCACATTGTGAATCCAAAGCGATCGATGTTGTCAGATACGCTCTCCAGCCGTCTAAGAATACATAAGTCTATTGAGGGTCGTATCATCAAAAAGCTTTCTCACCTCAAATCCCGTACAACGCTGTCGTGGCCCCCAATCCTTACCGCATTATGGAAGTCGAAGTGAGTAATCCCAACATCGTCCCCCCATACGCTTTTAGCTACTTGAATATGCCTAGCATACGCCGCAGTCAAGCTTGCCTCGTGGTCCTTGCTTCCCAATAGATTGATGACGTTGACTGAACCGTATTCTTCTGTGAGCTGAGCAAAATGTCTCTCAAATGCGGGCTGTGATGCATGAGGGCGCGTTATCTGGATGCGCTGACCAAAAGTCTGCAATCCTTGCTGTTCCCAGAATACTGCGCGAGGGTTCACAGATTTAGAGAATCCACCACGTCTCGAGTGGAAGTGACACATACAGGGAACGCTTCCACGAATTTGTACATAGCTGAAGCAATGCTGATCTGTGGTCAAGACAGTCTCAGTCTGAGGGCGACTTTAGTCACCAATCATGTGCAGGAGCGCCGGCCACATACCTCAACAAAATTAGCACAGTTTCCATCGTCATCGACTCCCCGAGTGTTGAATCGTGTTCCGGCGCGCTTCCACCCTAGGCGTGAAATTAGGCATACAGTGGCAACAGTTGGTGTGCCATCTGTCGGAGGCGCCGGCAGTGCAAGAGTGAAAACTCCAACGTATCCTTGAATTGCGAGGACCTGGATGAAGGTTAAAGGATGATTTCGATCCGAACATTCTCAATCCTCACGATGAACTGGCATTGATCCAACTCCTCACGCTCTTGAATGTCTAACCGTTCCCTGAAGTCGAGCAGGCTCCGGACGATATACTCATTCCACACGAAACGCTCGTCAAACGAGCCAATGTCACGTTTCTCGCCCTGGCCTCTTGAAATCCGATCCAACAATCTAGATGAGAGATCCCAGTGCGGACCAAGGGCGTAGTAAAACGATCCTGACGACAAGATCTTCGTGAGGGGCATACACGGGTGTTCTAGAAGAGGAGGTTGGCCAGAAGGACCGGTCTGATAGTTTGTGGGCACGGTATCAGCCTGATCGGCAAATGAGGGGCTGGGAATGGATTCTCCCATAGCGGAGAAATCGTCCCAGATTGACGACGTCAAGCTATAGAATATCACCTCGTGTATCTTCGCCACATTTTCTGGGCTTGAGGCAGATGGACGTGCATTCCCCATGTTAGATGCTGACGTCACGACAGCCAAGAACACGTCTTTTGGATGAAAACGAGGTTGTGAATTGCCATTCTCTATAAATCAAAGAGTAAAATACCTCTCCCGACGGATATAAGGCCCAAGCAGCCCTTGACTATGCGACTTGTTAAGCGTACCGCATTCGACAAATCGACCTCCTTTTTTGGCAGGAATTCCACAACGGCTTGAGAGGAATTGCTTTCCACGGCACGAAAAATAAGGACTCTCTGTGGTCTTCCCTGAGACTCTTCCCGTGAGCTGGTAACAAGAAGCAATGTGCGAGGCTCCTCTTTTAAGTAGAGATGCATGGTCTCTGTGTGGTTTACAGTCAAATGGATTGGGGACGGGCCGGGTTACACCGTGCCACAGGACGAATGCGTTATGGTCTATGTGACGATTGGCACTCATCAGAAGGGACGAATTGACAGTAGGATGAAGTGTCCTACATGGTTTCGCCTCGCTAGATTCGGTGACCAGCAAGAACGCTTCTCTTCAGTGGGCTCGAACCGCACAGATGACCAACAGAGTATCTGTCGCGATACAAATGGTTTGCGCAATGTACTTACACAGCAGTGCGACTGCAGATGCTTTCGAGACGTCCGTCCAAACGTGCGGCAAAGTGGAGAGGTGCGACGCGCGCTAAGGTTATGTAGTCGCACAATTACGAGCGGTATATCCTGCGTTATAAGATATGTCTATCACGGTCGTCGATTTAGAATTATGTTCAGCGAGTTCGGTGGAAAGATGAGAAAGGTTGGTGGACGTCGCTACCGAGCCAACGCAATATTTTACCGATAATATGTCCATGTTAAGCCTTATGGATATAAATTAAATACATGAACTCAGCGCCCACAAGTCACCACAAAATTCTCCTTGGCCTCTGCCGATCATGTTCTAGCCAAACGTCTCACCACCACGCATCCCGCACGGACGTCCTTGTATATTGAACACATTTCTTAGATTATTTATCTCTCAAGACTGTAGACTATCTAAGTCACAGACACCATGGCAGCACCGGATGAAGATGACATCGACATAGAGACCCTACAGGCTCAGATAGACATGTCCTTAGCATTTGCGCAGGACCTCGTTTCATCTTGGATAAAACCTCTCAAATCATCTGGCTATTCCAAGCCGAATAACTCTAAAGACACGGAGAAAGAGCTCGAAGAGCTCCTCCGCCGACCTCCAAGGTACGCCTGCCGATGCATTGTTCTTACGAGTAACGCGACATCCTACTGAACGTTATGTCATTATCTAGGCTTGGGGTAGGTGCACCCCTTCCAGATTCGACACACCCATCTGGTCGAGATGCGGTCAAGCTCAAAAATAAACTAGCGGGCAAGAAACGATCTCATGCAGCTGATGATGACCGCGAGCCTGTGTCCATGAAATCAAAGACACAGGATATGGATGAAGAAGACGAGGAGGAGAGCAGGTCTGGTGCGATTCGGAAGAAGGTCAAGATCGACCCCTTTGCGACGCATACTAAGAAGAAGGGGAAAGCGAAGGCGATTTTGGCGGTGCAGGCAAAGACGGACAAGGAACTAGCCCAACCGAGACAAAGAGTGGATATTAGCAGCGTGAGTGAGGCAAATGAGCCTCAAGAGAAGGAAGACGTGGTCATGGGCGTCGAAGACGATGCAGAGAGTATGCACATGAAGCAGCATGAGCAGAAAAAGAGAAAGAAAAAACGGAAAAAGTTGCATGGTGGAGACGAGGACATTTTGCGTGTGAGACCTGTAGATGGTACTTCAGCACCTCCAAAACCTGTCTCCTCCGCCAATCAGTCAATATCCTCAATCATAACCCCCATCGCACCCGGTTCGTCGTCTGCTTGCTACGTGACCATGGCTCGCATCTCTCCTCAATTGTTTAAACTACAGGATTGAATGATATCGTGTCATCTGAATTCCGCCCTCAATATCAGACGTCACCACCGAAGTCAGATAAGGCCAAGCCCCAAACGTTATCCTTCAAACCGCACTTCGTCCTTCCTCCCTCGAACAGTGATGCCCACCCCGCTGTTCCCGTCCTTAACCTATCTGGTCCCCCATTGGAGCCCATTGGTGCATTAGGATGCCACACGTCCCTGAAAAAGAAGCGGAAGCGGAAAAAGAAGAAACGAGGCATCGACGGGGATGGTGCTATTGGAGGTGGTAGTGACGGTGGCGACGGTGCTGATGCCTCTTGAGGGGACCATAACTATTGCTATTTCATTGGATTCCATGTCATCATGTTGTAAAATACATGCATCTGCTGCAATGTCCCTGTAGGCTTTGGAGCTAATTATCACTGGCTATTATAATATTAGACTAAGCAGCGCATTCCATATAGAATGAGCGGGTATCGTTAAAAAAAGGGATGATTACACCGTCGTTCGGACAGCTTCGGGAGCTGCAGGTGTTTGCTGTTGCAAGCAAACCCATTAGTTTGTGATGAGTAGCACAAGGTTAGACCACTGACCTCGCTTAGCTCCACTGGTGCCTCGTCAATAAAGTCGGGTGCTTTATTGAGGTCGGCCAGATACGAAGTACTTTCTTCGTCTTCATCTAGCGCCAGGGCGTCTAGTTCTGCGTACCCATGGCAAGGTTATCCAGATACACCCAGAATAAAACATGAAATCGCAACACACCTGCCTCAAGGTCTGCCTCGTCGATTTCGTCAGGAACAGCGTATGATCGTCCGAGAGTTTCTTGAATTTCATTCGCTTGTTCTAGTAGATCCTCCATATCGTATTGCATGCTCTGCACCATAAATTTAGTCCTGATAGCATCAGTCTGACAGTCGCCACAGAGACTAACCTCGATCTTGTCCACATCGATCTTGCCGTACTGCTTTCGCATTTCCTTATTCGCAATCTTCATAGCGTCTACCGTGGCCATAGTGTTGCGTAGATTCTCCGTGGCAAGAGCGGCGGATTCCATGTTGAAAGTTTGCTGCGTAAGCTGTGACAGTTGGGACTCGTACATCCTCTTCTGTTGTAGTGTGCGCATGGCGCGCTGTTGAATCGCACTCTGTCCATGCCGTTAGAATATTGGACATTGTAAGGTGATTCTAGATCCAGACGAGCACACACCTTTCCGGGACCGTTACGAAGCTTGCTCATTTGTTCCTTGTATCGCGCAAGCTCCCCATCTAATTTCTTGATCTTGACCTCGACTGAAGCTGCCCTGGCATCTGTCTGTCAACGACAATCAGGAAAGGTACGTGCCACCATGTAGGATTATCTGGCTCACCGAAGCTATAGCATCCTGCAAGGTAGGCTTTGGTTTTTTGCTGGAGGCAGAGCCGAAGATGCGATTCATGGTGCTAGGTTCGAGATCAAGCTTCAAGTCGCGCCCACAGCGTACACACTATGCTGACGTAACTCATATCTGGACCCACAAGTTGGCGATAATCGGTGACCGAGCATATTGCACTGCAAATGTTGTGTGCCGGATTCCCTCATTTCTTTCACATCGCAATTCGCGACGCGTTCACTTTACTGAGTTCTCCGAAGGCATATAGGCCATTGTATCTGCACCTATTGAGGGCTGCGAAAGCCAGTTTGACGTATGTCGCTCACATTTATCCTCTATCACGGCACCTTTGATCAATTTTGCGCACATGGCCATTCATAAACTTTGCCGTTCTCCAGCTAATCAACCCCATCGACTCTATTCAGCTCGGAGGCTCACTCGCTCTTCCGCTCTTTTGAAGGCATCATCTGCTTCTCCCTCGTGTTTTCGCCTTTCCTGGGCCACCGACCCTTCTTCCGTAATCGACTTCTCGGCGTCTACAGGAAGCCATCAGTGCAGACGTAACAGGACGCAAATCCAGGACTTGCGATATCTTTCCCCACAGGCTTTAATACCCATCTCCCTACGTGCTCCCTGCCCCTCCGATTCGATCAGTCTTACCTCTTTGGTTCGATTGCGTTTCAGACCTTTGGGTCCCAGAACGGTGCTACATGCTGCAGGCCCTTCTTTCCATCTTTCCCAGGTCTTGTTTCTTGAGAGATGTCTGAAGTTTTCTGCCACGTTGACGTCCCGGCTCTGAAGAAATTTGCTGCAGCTGCAGCTGCCGCCGAACATGCTTCACGCCTCAGCAGAAATGCCCAGAGTACGAAGAAAAGTGGTAAGAGCAAGGGCAAGGCGCGCTTGCAGGACAAAAGACCACCCCATCCTACCGTGATCGGATGCGAAGATACCGTGTGGGCTGGTGAGGAGGTGAATTTTTTGCTTATTTTCTTGGTATCAGCGTAACATATCTGCGATCGTGCCCTATCGCAGATGATTCTCATTACTTTTGACCCACAAACTGTTCCGTTGGGCCCCCACTGCATGTTGGCCCACTTTCCGCGTGGCCGGCCGACATTTACGACGAAATGCCTGGTAAGAGGTCGAGTCAAGCCTTGATCTACGTCCTCAAATCATATCCTGCACAGGTCGGCATGACACAGGCCGCACGGGATATTGCACAAATTTGCGCACCTAAAATCTACGGCTATTACGACAACGTGCCAAATCCCATCAACGCCGAAGTCGTGCTTCTTGAAATGGTGCTGTTTTTTCTCCCCCTCTGCCCACTTTGATGAACCTCTTCACCAACTAGAGTCCTTTTTACCACTCGTCCCCTTCTCCGTGATGCCATAGGTCCCCGGAGAATGCCTGGAAGATATCTGGTTGGACCTAAAACCCCGCCAGATCATGATGGTCTGCGCGCGTCTGGGCGAGATTCTGGTCAAACTCTTCAATTGCCGCAGTCCCCTTCTGTGCTCAGAAACAAACGTCGAAGATTCACCTCCACACGCATCCACACATCCTGGTGGATGGAGAAGACCCGTTCTTCTATCTAAACCATTTGATGAAGGTCCGCTTGCAACAATGGAACCTCAGGAAGCCTTGACTTCGACACACGACTATTTGCTCGCCCTTTCCAAGCGCCCAGAGCGAGTCTTCGGCTCCACGAAAGACATTGATATTTCCGGCCGCGACACGGGCTGGCAGGATCACAAAGAACTTAGTGATATGGACGTAATTCTCCTGCGGGACACTTGGAACCGTCTAGGGTCGCTCATTCCCTACCACTCCGGCGGATTTTACATACCTGGCTCCCTCTCCCCTGAAGCGCGATACACGGCGTACTCTGTCCTCCAGAGCAAGGAGTTCGGCATCCGGCATACTGACATGCAAATGTCGCGTTTCGTCGTGCGGTGGGCGCGACCAGGCGACGAACAGAGTGACCTGACGCTGGCACTCACGGGATGGGAACATGCACACCGTGCGCCCTTGTGGTCTTGCGCGCGAATGCCCCCTTGGCTCATCCCGCACATACACCCTTACGAACTCATCACATGGGAGGGTCAGCGGAATGTCCGTCACTTCATCTTCCAGAGCATCTACCACAGCGATTTCATCCCGCGCGACGCAGCGTGGGAATGGATCGTCGCGTACGTTTATGGGCACACGGAACGGTGGTTCGAGGGCCTGCTCGGATCGCACTGGGCATTCCGCGACTCGGCGGAGGTGCTGCTCGTTCGATTGCGGGAGCACTGGCTGAGGGAGCGACCAGATGTGCCGTTTCCGTTGGAGGTGGGGGGCCCGTATCTCAGTGGTGTCCCAGTTCGACCGAATGTCATCGCAGAGCAGAATAGAGGAAGGACTCAACGTCGACCTGGTCGTGAATCGGGGGACAAGCCGAAGCTGCCACTGCCGCTGCCTGTTCCACCCGAGACCAATATGACCCTTGCTCAGATGCAGGCCACCTTGATGAAGCTGCGTGGGGACGTGGTGTACGAGCGTGTTCCATGGCCGGAGAAGGGTATTGGCCCAGATCCAAACGACGTGGATTGAATTGGAGAGGGAGGAGAAAACAACTCAGGTGCGTGGTTTTCTTGACATGGGTTTAAGAATGGCATTGAGGGGATTGAATATGACGATCTATAGCGATAATGTAAGGAATGTATGGATTATTGGATACCCTGTTGTAGCATACACCAGTAATGGCGGCAGAGATACGCTCTCCGAAGACGAACGACTTGCCATCCAATACGGCTTATCTGGCCTTCCAGATGAAGGCACTCAGCTATCAAACTCTGGGCCGCTCGGTGCTGCCATACACTTCTGATTCTAAGCCTTTGGTATACTCCACGGCGGTTGTGGGGAGAGGTAGTAGAAGGAGGTAAATTGACCAAAAGTCATCACGTAGATGATGCATGTGATAAGCGCCGTAGGCCCCTCACGTCAGCACCTTCGTCATGACTCCCAAGTTGACCATCGCACCTCGATCCTCCGTCAGCTTCAGGCCTTTAGGCTCATCTCTCTAGAGTGTATGATTGTCTCACAGCATATTTGTATACCATCAAGCCACTTATCTGGGCGTCAATTGATGCATTATGACATTGGCAGTCGATGTGCTCAGTATAGGTCGGTGGCTGAAAGCATTGGTCAGTGGCTGACTTCTTTCGAACTTTTGTTTCGCGATTTTCCCAGTACTGCGGCCGTCATGTGTCTGGCTTTGGCAGCTGAGAATTTCGGGGGAGGCCGAATCGCCGTGTTTGGTAGGTATAAATGGTCCAGCTGACAACGACGACGACGGCGACGCTTCGATGATCATGACCTCTCATTCTCAGCAAGATCAGAGAGCAGCAATGACCCTAACGGTTTCCGAACGACTCACAATGGTTCTCAGTGTCCTCTACTTTCGTGAGTCAGTTTTACCCGATAGTTGAATGTAAACCCTCAATAGAGGTTTGCAGCGTTTGCTCTCATACCCAAGGTGTTTAGCAAGGCTAACAAGGAGCGCACGTGGGCGAGAACATTCAGCGATTCTGCAATGCGAACACTTGTAGGTGCAGGATGGAACATACGACAGATGGTGTCTGTCATGGGCAGTACGACCCCGCTCTATGAGAAGTGGGCACGGCAAACAAAGTTGGAAGTGCTCTCGGATGAGATTAGTGAAGGAGCGAAGCTCCATTGGGTCGGTTCCAGGAAATATGAGCGCGTTTTTCTGTATTTCCATGGTGAGTACTCGTCATATGTCCTTCTGCATAAACACTGCGACCTGATGTGCGCGTAGGGGGCGGATTCAGTTTGCCCCTTAACCCGCAAGAACAATTAAACTTCCTTCATAAGGTCCAAAGGGACCTCCAGACATCTGTAGGAGATGTCGGCGTCATTGCCTTTGAATACTGTTCGTTTTTGTGCTCACATCCTCATCTGGGTCTCATCTTTCAATTATCCAGCTTTGACTCCCAGCTCTCCGTTCCCGACGCAGCTTCGCCAGGTCAATGCTGCAATCTCTTATTTAATTTCCAAGGGCACGGCACCTGCGAACATCATTCTTGGAGGCGATTCTGCGGGTGGAAATTTAGTCTTGCAATTTGCATCCCACATTTTACATCCTCTTCAGAACATCCCTGCGCCTGCAACGTCCGGTCCTTTAGGCGGCGCGCTTCTTATATCGCCCTGGGTCACCTTCGATGACTCATCGCCGTCATTCGCTGAAAATGACAAACTTGATACCACGAGCAGGGCAATTCTCAATTTTCTCGCAGATCTTGTTCGTCCAGGAATTACACCAGAGACCCGCGCATACTTTGAACCTTTCGCAGCCGACGACTCTTGGTGGACGGGCTTGGACAAGGTCTTTCATCGGATTCTCAGCACCGCTGGAAGCGCTGAGTGCTTGCGCGACCCGATCTTGGCGTTTGGCGAGACGCTGAAGAAGCACGTGGAGGACACGACAGTGGTGCTCGAGAAAAACGGTGTTCACGAAGATGTTTTGAGAGATTTTGGAGTAGGGCAGGGTGAGAAGAGCGATGCTTACAAGTTGGATATTGAATGGCTTTCTGATACGTTCAAGGGCCGGCGCTAGATTATAGGGTTTGTTAGCTCGCTTTGCTTTCTAAAACTCATTTCAACGTTGATCTCCCCTCATGCTTTCAATCTAATATACGATGCAGAGATGTATGTCACGCTGTCCTACCAATTTTATCGAAGTGGACAAAATCAGGAATCTTAGGATCTGTGCTTATCCCAGGCCGAGCGCTTCATGATGGTCATGCTCGTCTCAAGTGCCTCTCTCATTCAAGCTGTAGTTCAATCGTGACATTTACAATCAAAGATTTAGAATCACCTTCACAACCTCGCGCAGAGGAGCTTCGCTCCTCGTCGACTCAAACGATTCAGCCTACACACAAGTGACTTCATGTTTTTTTTGTTCGCTCGCTCAGCAAAGTCACGCAGCGCCGAGAATGTGTCAAGGGCATCTGATCCTCGTACTACGGAAGGAGTCAGTATGGCGCCGTCTAATGTGTAACTATGTGGGTGTGGGTATCATATAAGCGTCTATGGCCCTGCAATCGACTGATATGGATGTTTCAATGCAGATCAATTGACTGCTGACTTGCTTCAAGTGTCTTCTCTCTGTGTCAGCACTCCCAGTGGAGCAATCACATATCCCTTCTTTTCTGGCTTGTAAATCTGGTACGGATATGGTCGAAGCCTCGTATTGAAGGGCAGCGTCCGTAAGGTTCAACATTCCAACCATGCCGTCGTCTCATTCTCAACAAATCCAAAATGCAAATACAACAATAACTTTGTCGTTATTGGAACATATCACGATGGTGCTAGATCTGCTCTTTCTTCGTGAGTGATTTCAGCCCGCCCGCGTAGTGTCAAGGCTTCAAATTGTCGTAGCTTTTGTTGTCGTCCCAAAGCTCTTTGGGATCGCCAACAGGAAGCGCACATGGACGAGGGCCTTCGGTGATTCGCTATTACGCTTTGTAGCAGGCGCGGGCTGGAATATGCGACAGATGATCCATTTCATGGGCAACACAACCCTGCTGTACGAGAAATGGGCGCGGTAGGTGAAGCTAGAAGTGCTTTCGGATGATATTGGGGAGGGTGCGAAGCTACATTGGATCGGTCCCCGAAAGTATGAGCGCGTCTTTCTGTATTTCCATGGCAAGTTTTATCTTGTTCAATTATTTGCTGCGCGCTAAAACTTAAATGCACGCGTAGGCGGAGGCTTCAGCTTACCCATCAACCCTCTTGTACACTTGAATTTCCTGTACAGGGTCCAGAAGGATCTTCAGGCATCTGTGGGAGATGTCGGTGTTATTGCATTTGAATACTGTTCGTCCCCACGTTCACACTCGCGTCGCAGGCTAACACATCCTCTCATAGCTTTGGCCCCGGAAGCCCAATTTCCGACACAGCTCCGTCAATTCAACGCTGCGATCTCCTTTTTGATCTCAAAAGGCATCATGCCTGCGAACATTGTCCTTGGTGGTGATTCCGCTGGCGGAAACATCGCCTTTCAAATCGCGTCCCATATCATGCACCCTCTTCCAAACTTCCCTGCGCCTGCAACATCCGGTCCTTTGGCGGGCGCGCTTCTCATCTCGCCTTGGATCACCTTTGATGACCCGTTGCCATCGTTCGTCGAGAATGACAGGCTTGATACTCCCAACACCAACTTTTTCAACTTTCTTGCAGACCAATTCCGCTCTGGGATTACACCAGAGACTCGCGCTTATTTTGAACCTTTCGCGGCCAACGACTCTTGGTGGATTGGCTTGGAGAAGGTATTTCCACGCATCATATGCTCCGCTGGGGAGGTGGAGTGCCTGCGCGACTCGATCTTGGCGTTTGGAGAGACACTGAAGAAGTATGTGAAAGACACGACTATAACGCTCGAGAAGAATGGTGTTCACTTGGATGTTCTGAGATTTGCAGTAGGACAGGGTGGAAAGAGCGATGGTTACAAGGTGGACATCGAATGGCTTTCCGACACGTTCAAGGGGCAGCGTTAATTCTATGGTTGGTTTACCCACTCGACTTGTGATCGACTCCCACCTGATCACTCTCCTTCCGCTCTCAATCCAGTATTCGTCGTGTGCGGTCTGTACCTTCGTCGCATATGACGTTCGTTATAATGTGGTTGATATATCTGGGTGTCGTGGTTCTCCTACATATCTTTGTCCAAATCTAACTGACTGCTGTCGCCTCGCTCGAGCATGATCTCCACTAGGCGAGTTGGGAGATCAACTATTTTTTACCTCGTGACCCATGTTCACCGATCAGGTGATGACCATGGCATCCGAGTTTACAAGTATGCCGATTTCACTCCTCTCGCCCGGGCAATATCACGGCCACTGAGCCATCCGAGTTCGGATAAGCTACACTAATGCATTTGGAATACACGGTCTCATGATGCTCACAACGCGGAAGATTCATTTACCCCAACTGGCGCCGTCGATAATCCATGGGCAAATGCAGCATCAGAAGCGGTAAATATGTGCTGCTGACCCCTGTTGGTGGGTGCTCTTTGCGCTTCGTGTTCCGTTAGCTAGTAGACCGAAACACAACCAGCCGGCTTCTTCCATCTGCTCGTGGTTTATCCTGGTTATATCTGGAAGGTTACTATGTGACCGATGGGCTTGTATATAAAGAGAGACGATACCAGGAGGATCCAAAACAGCATGGCGTCCCGTGTCTCGCAGCATGAACCTGCTCCCCTTTTACTCTCAGAACGTCTTTCGGTCGCTATTAGCACCACTTATTTCCGTGAGTGATTTCGCCTCATGAGTGCATGTTATAGACTAACGTACAAATAAGCCTTCATAATTGCAATAAAGATTTTTGGTAAAGCCAATAAGAAACGCACATGGGCCAGGGCTGCCAGTGATTCTACGATGCGGGTTCTCCTTGGTTCAGGGTGGAATATTCGCCAAATTGTACACTCCATGGGAAGTACCACACCGCTCTACGCGAAATGGGCGCGACAGATGAAGCTGGAAGTACTGACCGATGAGGTTGACGAGGGAGCGAAGTTGCACTGGATTGGCCCTCGTCGCTTTGACCGCGTGTTCCTGTATGCCCATGGTAGGCATCCGATTCCTGTCAATCTTATCTGTCCTTCTGAACTCTTTACGTGCCATGCACGCAATAGGTGGAGGGTTCAGCTTGCCCGTGAAGCCCCATGAACATCTAAACTTTCTTCTTCAAGTTCAGAAAGATCTCGAAGCGAATGCAGGAGGCGTGGGGGTCATTGCACTCGAATACTGTAAGCTCACGTTTGCATTCCGCTGTTTCGTCTAACGTTCCCGTGCTATAGCTCTCACGCCTGATTCTCCATTCCCTACGCAGCTTCGCCAAGCCAATGCTGCCATTTCGCATCTCGTTTCTAAGGGTGTTGACACTCAAAACATCGTCTTGGGCGGTGACTCTGCTGGCGGGAATCTCGTCCTCCAAATTGCCGCCCACATTCTGCACCCACTCCCTGACATTCCTGCACCCCCAACATCCGGCCCCTTTGGTGGCGCATTTCTGATGTCACCATGGGTTACCTTTGACGACTCGTCGCCGTCGTTTGCCGAAAACGATAAACTGGACACTACTAGCGCTCAAGCTCTCAACTTCCTTGCGATGCATGCACAAACAGGTATCACACCCGAGACGCGCAACTATGTGGAAGCCATCACAGCCGACGAATCGTGGTGGACAGGTCTGGACAAGGTCTTCCTGCGCATTCTGAACACCGCTGGACAGGTAGAATGCTTGCGCGACGCGATCGCGATATTTGGAGAAACGCTGAATAAGCATGTGAAGGACACGACAAATGTGGTCGAAAAGAATGCTGTGCATGAGGACGTTCTGAGGGATTTCTCAGCTGGACAAGGTGTGACGAGTGAGAACTACAAACTGGATATAGAGTGGCTATCTGATACTTTCAAGGGGCAGCGCTGACTGTTTGTGTCGATGCTGATTTCGAAAACCTACCATGTACATGCTTCAATCTTCCCCTTGAAATCTGCGTGTATGATGTAGCATTATTTTGTACAATAGGGATTGTTTCTATCAGTATCCTTCAGTCTAATTCTCCGCGACAATCTCAAGGGAGAAGGAATTTTGATAAGTTCATCTGAGGTTCGACGCGTTACGCGTTCTCCATCACGTGCTGAGAATCCTGTAACTGCAGTGTCACTGCCCGCGAGATGAATTCAGATGCCTCTGAATTGAACTATGTCGCCAAGGACACAATTTGTGATCTACACAGTGAGCACAAAGATTTCCACACAAATATTGAGTTGACATTCGAAGAATTACAAGCTAAAAACAGTCATACGTTTTGGATCGCACCTTGTAAGTGGTACTAACTCAACATCAATAAAGCCCAGGAACTACTCTGTACGGCACCTTCGCTGCCCACGCCGTCCACTTGTCTTTGAACTGACTCTTCAGCAGCCCGTCTTCCTTCGGAACCCTCGTCATGATGCACATCAGCACATATGCCTCCATACCCACCCAAAACCCCGCATATGCTAATCCCCCACGTGTTTCCAGCCATCCGCCGTCGTAAAACCAGGACCCAGGCCCAAAGTGCAGCAGTAGAGTGCCGAGGACGCCAAACACGACTCCCGTATAGCTCGGGTGTCGTACGTAGGCGTACGGGCCCCATGTGACGAGGACATGCCCGTCTCGCAATGTGACCTCGTATGTGAACATACGGCCCAGCGTGCGGTAGCACCAGAGCCGGATCCAGCCGCTAAGCCACAGCATCGAGCATGCGAATAGGAAAGATAGTGCGATGCCCTTGCTCCAGTCACTCGCAGGCGCAAGGCGTCGCCCATACACCGAGACATCGTGATGCCCGAGGACGAGTCCCAGGTCGATGAATATGCTCATCAACACGGATGTCTGTCATCGCACGGTGAGCGCTGTTGATTATGATGCATATACATATTCTCATAAGCGACTGACCTTCCACGCCAACGCATGAATCCGTACGAAATTTCCAAACACCTTCTCCATGCCTGTCTTCTTCACCAGTTCATCAGGGGACGGTGGCGGATTCGGAGGCGTCAGAGAGAGCCATGCTCCAACTGCTGCAGAGATAAGGAATGGTACGCGGATCAAGGACATTTCGGTGTGGCCTCGCTGTCTCCCTCATCGTATCTGATTTTATGGACTTCAGATGATAAGGTAAGCTCCATCCTTGAGGGCCCACTGCATACACGAGGACAGCGTCCTATTCGCAGAACATCCGATGGAAGCGATCGGTGAGCGATGATAAAAGTTTTTCTCCATGGGACCTGTGAGCGATGCTCGTTCCATTTCGCGGCGACTCTCCAAAGGCCTCAGCCATCGCTTGGGACAGGTCTCCTTGGAGATGTGGCCTCCCAATTTATCCCTTGTGTTATGTCTACGCCTAATAACATAACATGACGAAAGCCTGTGACCGACCGAGAAGACTGACAAAGCGGGAATGTGGACATCGTTGAAGGCGAGGGGCGAGAATTGTGGAATGCAAGCTATCCATTCCAAACCAGCCCCTAAATACACTAGGTCCAGAACAGATCTACGTATTCAGCGTTCGTCAGGCATTTGTCTCAGCTACGTTTCCGTGCATGTTGCTGTCTAGTAGTGACAGCAGTCGAGAACGAAATGTCCTCATCCATGCGGAAGGGGATAGTCGTTCAGACGTTTGTAAAAAGGAGAACCACCGGAGAGATCCCGATCAGAAAGGTGTGTGAACAAACGTCGTGTATAAAGGGCGACACAAATGAAGCTCTCGGCTCTAATGAAACGCAATAGAAAGGATGCCCACAATGACCGCTACCGCCAACGCAACGCCGTTGAAATCTCGACTAGCCCCCGCTCCATTCGCATTTCCATTTCCTGTGCCGCCGGAAGCCGACGGTGCGACGGCAGACGCGGGGTTTGAAGCTGCGGCCGTACCGCTCGTCGTCGAGTCGGCAGTTGGCCCCTTTGTCAAGAAGAACGTGCCAGCCAAGGGGCTTCCCATGCCCACACTGCTTGCAAACGTGGTCAGATTGAAGCTCAGTCTCGACGCGTCGACGGACGCATTGACGAGGTCGAGAGCGGTGTGGTCGAAATTGTCCGGCTGAGGGAACAGGAGGATCGTGTACCTATGTAAGCAAACATGAATGATGGATGAATGATGGATCTTTGCCTAGCTCCTATCGCGTAGACGATCTGAGATCGTACGTACCGGTGGGCGTCAGAGCCGGCGGGCGGCGAGGGGTTTAGGTACGCCGTCAAAGGCACGCTGGCATTTACCAGTTGCGAGTGGTTGGACGAGCCACCGGCGACTTTGATGTCCCCCGCGAGGAAATGGCGGATTTGCGAAAGGGATCGATTTTGGGGCGTCGGGGCGTCGGGGTCAACCATTGCCAGAACGAACGTCTGCTCTGCCACGGAGTTGTCGCTGAACGACACAAAAAACTGGGGCTTGTTCGCCGTTTCTGCGAGGGGCTCGTTAGCACTGCAGCATAGGCCACGCGCGGCAGGCATGAGAATTCGGAACTCACGGTTCGCAGTCAATTCCATTCCGGGAGTGACGTGAACTGTGTCATTGGTGAACGGATCAACAAAGACGACGTCCAGGAGTGCCGTGGGGTCAAAACTGGGAATGACATCTGGGACCACTTTCGACGTCTCAAAGGCCGATTTCACGGTGCTCAGCGAGGCAGCATCGACCTGGGCTCCACCGGGCCGAATCCAGCATGAAAAAGCGAGAATAGCAAAGTACGACAGCATCTCCCAGGTGGGTCCGGCGAGCAGAACAGAGTGGAAAGCCGGCGGTTGATGGGTTCTGCCGCTGCGTGCGTGCGTGCGCACAGGATATATGTGGGCGCTCTCTAGCTTTGTTGATCGTCGCTTGCGTGCGAACGCTGACGATGCGGGTTCCATGAACGGGGATCAGAATTGGACACCACCCTCGCGGGCGCATCATCCACGAACAGTCCCAGAAGCTTCATACCCGATGTATCCGCTCAGCCCGAGCCTTAATAGATAGGACAAATCGACGATTATGCACAAACCCCTACGGAGGCGAGTGAAAAAGAATGCGACTTGCGCATGGATGGGTAGGTCATGGACCACATCTGGCATCGTGCCCAACGACATATTCTCCGACCTAGATAACAGCTCTCAGAAGCTGTCGACGCAAGGCGCCGAAAACTCGTTGCGCGAAATGGCTTGCCCTGAAGCTATCTCCAACAATCAGCGACTTACAAAGGCACGCTGTCAGAGGCTCCAGCCAGCCAGCCAGCGTTCGGACTTTGTGTGGCGCTGATTGTCACGACGTTTGTGGCGCGGCAATTGAAGCTCGCGCGAGGCGATCACATACAAAGCGGTCCGCTACAAACGGACGGCGTGGGCGCCCAGAAGGAACTAGCCGTAGCGCTTCGCCGCAGCGCCCTCGGCGAACCAGTCATCCCTCTTCCTGCTCTCTTCCGCTGTGGAAATATTGACGATCGTCGACTTGCTCTGCGAATCTGTAAAACAAAAAAGCGTTCGCCGCGATGAGTGGGCGACTGCCCGAGACAGGCTTGGTGTTGTTGTCCGCTCACAAGCTTCGAGAGCCTCCAGCCCGTTTTCCCTCCCGATCCCGCTCTCCTTCATGCCGCCCCTACACAACATATATTTGGTCTCCCGGTCTCGAAGCAAAACAGAAGAGGGATGCGCTCACCAGGGTGAACTGGGGTCGTTGCGATGGTGCGTGTTGACCCACACGAGGCCCGATTCTAGCTGTGCCGCGACGCGGTGCGCCCTCGACAAATCAGAAGTCCAGATGCCGGCCCCGAGCCCGTATTTGCAGTCGTTCGCCAGCGCAACGCCGTCCTGCTCACTCTGCACCCCAGCCCCATGGAAATAGAACGCAAACGCAAACGCAAATCTGCGCGTAAGCACGACTGACGGGGATCGATTCTAGCGGTCCGTGCGTCCTCACCTGGAAGCGTTTCACGACGACGACAGGGCCGAATATCTCCTCCGTCCAGATTTCGTCGGAGGTCGAGACGTCGGCGATGACCGTCGGGGGGTAGAAGCTCCCGTTCGAGAACCGGTATCCATCCAGCGCGGACTCGCCCGTCATGGGTTCTCCGCCGGCGTGGAGCGCGCCAGAACTGCGCGCCTTGACCATCGCGTCTATGCGCTTGAGGTGGTGAGTCGAGATCACGGTTCCCATTGTCGAACTTGGGTTCATCGCTGATATCATGATCAGTACAGCGCGGACTGCTAGAGTATATGGAGCTATGCCGCTTACGGTCGCCCATCCGCTTGGTGATGCTCTGTACTTTCTCGAGGAACCGGCTCATGAACAGATCGTACACCTCGGATTGCACGATGAGACGCGTGCCGGAGACGCACGTCTGGCCCGAAGCGACGAACGAAGCAAACGCCGCGCCGTTCACCGCAGACTCCACGTCAGCGTCGTCGAAGATCACGATTGGCGCCTTCAGAGCAAACGGTCAGTTCGTCTGGTGTAAGAAAGAATACGGACTCCTTACCTTTCCACCCAACTCGGCCGTGTATGAGGCCAGGTTGGCTCCGACGATGGCGCCTAGGGCGCGGCCTGTCGACGTGCCCGCCTGTGCACACACAAAAGATCGTATCAAAAGCCGACATCTGCACGACCGAACAGTGTGCTCACAGTGATGTCCACCTTCCGCACGAGCGGGTGGGAGACGAGATCCTTCCCCGTCGTCCTGCCGTACCCAGGAAGAACCGAAAGAACGCCGGCAGGCACTGGTCACATACGGTCAACACTCGGGACGTCGAAAGAGTGCCGAGGTGCGACGAACCTCCCACCTCCCGAGCCATCTCTGCGAATTCAAGAACGGTGATTGGGGCCAACTACGAGCCCGTTCAAGGACCAATCAGAATCGTTGTACATATTGTGAAAAAAAGAAAAAAGTCTTGAGTGTTACCTCCGAGGGCTTTACGATGACGCTGTTGCCAGCGGCGAGAGCAGGCGCGATTTTCTTCACAGCGATCAAGAGAGGGTGGTTGAATGGCTTGTATCGTAGCATGATTCAACGAGGGCATTCACGATCGCATAACATACAGCGACGCACCGTGATTTGCGCAACGACCCCTAGAGGAACCCGTTCGACATAATTAAGGAGCTGGCCGTGCGTGGGCGCGACATACGCCTGGTGGGTCCGCAACAGCGCGGCATAGTAGTCCCTGACCCGACGTCATCATCTCCGCGCCAAGCAAGCCGACTCCAAGACCGGGCGAAGGGACAGAACTCACAGCCATTCCGGGAGCCGCCCCAGCTGCGCGCGCATCTCCCTGATCGCGCGGCCGGTCTGCAGCGTCTCGATCTCCGCGAGCTCAGGGATGCGCGCCTCGAGCGCGCGCGCGAGGCGCGCGAGCACGGTCGAGCGGTGCTGCGCGGAGGCGCGGGACCACGCGCCGGACTGGAAGGCGGCGTGCGCGTCCTGGACGGTCTGGTGCACGTCGGCGGTGGAGGCGGCTTCGACGCTGCGGGGCGGGTGAGCGGTGACTGCCTGGATGGAACAAAAGGCGATCAGGCGCGACGTACGTGCAGAGGTCTTGTCCTGTCGCGGGGTTGATCACTGAGAACCTGGGCGGCGCGCGTGAGCGGGAACGAGTCTTGTGAAGCGACGGGGGTGGGGATAGCTACTCTTCTCGTCGTTCTGGTGCAGGCGCGCCCTTGGCTGTATGCACCGCGACAGGGCCATATCGAGCGCGGTGGAGCTTCCTGGTTTGAAAAGACTAAGTGGGCGGGCGAACGCGGTCAATACAGGGCAGCCGCCGCAAGGACTGCGTGCTCGGAATGCGTACTGCGTTTTGGGCGAGAGGGAAGTGACGCGTTTTGAGGACGTTCATTCCGACGTCGAGAGTGGCCGGCAGAAAGAGCAGCGTCGGCGGACGCGCCAGGCCCCAGCTAGCACGCACCGCATGCTCACAGTGCTTATCATCAGCTGTGGTTGCGCGCAGGTGCCACAGGAGTCCCGGACCGCCTCGGTGAACTGGCCCACGATGCACTCGCGACTCTGACCACGACCGTGTCCATCTCTCGCCCTCTTCTTGCATCGCATTGGGCGTTCTCACCAGCACTGATACTGAATTTTGACAAGTAGACGACGCCGAACCGCAATGGAATCTCCCCTGCTCGGGCTGTGGCACCATGAACCTTTGACCTGGTGAATTGCCCCAAGCCTGCTCTCGCACCTGCGCCGGCCACGCCGCACGAATTTATCTGCGTATATATTGTCCTGATTACTGTCTGAGGCCACGCTACGATTACACACAGCTCGAGATGAGTGTACAGTCTGTCTATCGCTGGACAGGTTCATGTGCAACAAGGGAACTTGTGGTATTGCCTGGCACAACCGCACGCTCGTGGCCATGGAGCCAAGGCTATGACGTCGCACGATTTTCTGCAAGGGTAGTGACGGTGGGAGGCGGACAGACATTCGAACGACGAACTCAAAGCGACGACAAGCGCCAGAGCAGGATGATGTTGCATATCCTGCTTGTGTTTTGCTGGCGAGAGAGGAGCATGTAGGCAGCATACATAGGTTCACGGTCTGTGCGTGTTGCGGGTCATGGATAACGAAATACATACGGGAGCACAGCAGCCAATGGTCGTGAGACAAGTGGGAAATTCGGTACGCGGGGTGCCTAGCGGTAGCAGCATGCTTCCCCGCCAGGTGCGACGACTGTGCGACGGCCGCGCTATGTGCGTTGGGCGAACAGACATATGGGATCGATTTGAGAGGCGTGGCCGAGTGTGAGGGTCCACGTGTTGGAGGCTGAATGTCGCGGGCCGTGGGCGAGAGTGTGCTTGATCAACATCAACATCAGCTCGTTGTTTCGTCGTTGGCCCTGCAGAACGCCTCGCATGTCCACCACATCGCAATCGTCGCTGACGCCGTCCTCCACCGCCGACACGTCGCTCGCCGAGCGGTCCGTAACATCCAAGGCCGAGCGCCGGGTGACGCTGAGCGCGCTTGAGGGTGGAGCTAGATATAGAATACGAGAGGACGTGTGTAGTATACATACCTGCGTTCATCATCTTTCTCTCGTGCCTAACACGTGTTGGCGGTGCGCTTTTCAGTTTGGCCAACTGGTGCGATCGCAGAGCACATCCTCTGCCCACTCGACATCCCAGGTGCGTCTCCCAACTCTCCCTCTGCATCTCCTCCTCGTCCATGTCCGACCGTATGTGCGTGCCCCGCAGGACTCCCCCCGCGCTGCGCCTCTCGTCTCCCCAGGCTATGAAAGCGTCCAAGCAACCGGTGTAGACCACCTCGACCTCGACATCGGCGTCACGTTGGATCGCTCAGACATGTCGAAACCAGAACGGCAAAGCGCAAAAACAAAGGTGCGTGCCGTGCGGGCCACCTCCGCACCTCGCCGCCAGCTGACGTCCCTTCCTTCTTGGAGATCTATGAGTTCCTTTCTCGTTCTTCTTCTTCCCGCTCCCGCTCGCGTTCTCGCTCCAAAAGCGCGCCAGGCCGCGCTGTCTCCAACGATGCGTCCCCATCTCGGCACCCACCGCACCCGCAGCAGAGCTCTTCCTCGAACCCTGCCCCCAGTGCCTCGCGACCCGCCACCCGCTCGCCCTCGCGCCCTCTCTCAGCCAACACCAGCGCCACCGACAGAACGATCATCCAATCCGCCGTCCGTGCGCAGACCCCGCGGATCAGGCCTCCTCCGATAGCCGAGCTCCCCCACCCAACAGCTCAATACGACCCTCGCATGCCTCCGCCCCCCGTCCCTCCACCCCAGAAGAAGAAACCGCCCACTCTCTTCGGCATTTCATTTCGCGGCCGCTCGCGCCCACCCACCCCCAACCAGTACGACTTGACCTCTCCACCCCAGAGCCCACGACGCGGTCGGCAGGTCTCCGATCGCGCCAAGGAGAAGACAAAGCTCGAACAGTGGTTCACCCCCCGACTTTTCTCTGGTGCGTCCTCCGCGCCCCCTCTCCCTCCGCCGCCGGCTCCGCCACCTCATGCTGACCCCCGCACAGCGCCCGCACGCCTGCCCGACGACACGGCACACAGCTCCTCCGCGCAAACCGCCCTCTTCGCCCCCCAGCCGCGGCGCCTCCCGCCCCACGCCATGTCCGTCCCCACCACGCCCACCGCCCCGCGCGCGCCGCCCCCCGACAACGACAGCGAGGGCCGCTGCTCGCCGCTGCTGCGCATGTTCGGCGTCAAGTCGAAGGAGCGCGCGCGCGACAGGCCCGTCGTCAGCGTCCCCATCCTCCGCGCGCGCACCCGCTCGCGCGACGAGACGAACCCGCCGCCCCGCGCGCACGGGAGCTTCGAATTTGAGCGCCCCGCGGGCGCGCGCACGGGCACGGGCACGGGCACGGGCACGGGCGCGCCGGTGCCCATGGCGATGCAGCGCAGCGTCAGCCACGGCGGCGCCGTGCGCGCTCGGCGCCCGCCCGTCGCGCCCTCTGCGCAGGCACACCATCACGTCCACGCGCACGCGCGCGCGGGGGCGCCGGCGTCGTCGGGGCGTGGGCATGCAGGCAAGGCCCACGCGCAGACGACGGTGCACGGGTACTCGACGTCGCACGGGTACTCGGCGCGGACGCATCCGCCGCAGTCGCCGCTCGTGCCGCACTCGACGGGGGCGTCTGGCAATTCGCAGTCGACGGCGGCGACGGGCACGACGCAGGCGTCGAACCACACCGGCGGCGGCGTCGGGAACGGGTCGTGGGGCCGGCGCGCGCGGGCGGGGTGGGTCCAGGCGGGGATGCATCCGCCGTTTGAGTTCGAGTCTGCGGTGAGCGGGCGCGGGTCGCCGGTGAGCGAGGGGCGGGCGATGGTGCTCAAGTCGAAGGGGGAGAAGGAGAGGGAGCGCAGGAAGGAGAGCAAGGCGGTGGAGGGGCGGTGGGAGCGGCGGTCGATTGAGCTCGGGCTCGGGCTTGCGTGGGCGCCGTCGAAGATACGCGTGAGGGAGTGGCCGGGCGGCGAGAGGGGCGGCGAGAAGATCAAGGAGAGCGATCTGCAGCGGGCAAGGGAGATGGAGGTGCACAGGGTGAGGGTGCGGGCGTCGGAGGAGGCGAGGCGGGGGCACGATGGAGAGCATGGGAGGGAGCGTGCGCGCGACTGGACGCGGGAGAGGGAGAGGCCCGCGCGCTCCCCCGAGTCTCGGAGAGGGAAGAAGGATAAGGAGACGACGGGGAGGTTTAGAGTCGTGCTCGGGGAGACTGGGTTCGAGGCTTTCAAAAAATGTGAGCGCACGGCGGACGCCTCTCATTTATCCTTGCTCGTGGGCCGCCATGCTGACGCCTGCTTACAGACGTGCGACGGTACGACGCGGACTTGATCCCTCTCGAGGGTCCCACCGGGCTCCTAGTGCGCGTCAAGAGGCTGTTGGATGCTTCCTCTTCTTCTCACCTCCTGGAGTGGGAGAAGCGCGAGCTTCTCGACGACCTCCTGCGGATCGTCAGGGAGAACGAGTTTTGATGCTCTTCTTCGAGCGTGTTTCGTCCGCTTCTCCCCCCATGCCACCCAGTCTTCTGTTCTCCTTCTTTTTGCATAGCATCCCGCGTCCGCCACATCATCATGCCTGTTTCCAGCATCTCCGCGCCTCAAGTTATTCATTTTTTTGCATCATTATTCCAATCCTCTCGCTGTCGATTTTTGGATCCCACACATGTCCTTCTATAATTACTGCTCTCTCCGCCTCATCTCTCTCTCTCTCTCTCTCATTCTTTTTTGTTGGGTTCTCACGATGCGGAAACGTGCTCCATTTTTTTTTCTTGCTTTGCTTTGTTTCTGACCCACGTACTTACTTACTGATCCCCACCACGATTCGCATTCCCGGGCTACCTCTTACCATACACATGTCGTCTTTATTGTCGCAACGCCACCTTCACTAACCTGCATACGTTTTGTCCATACCATGATTTACCATGATATTTTTTTCGCACCACCTCGATACGACGCTCCTTGCCTTTTCACGTATAACTGTCGCATACCCTAGTTTGTACGCATACGGAGGCATTTATTCTCCATGGTATTACGAGTAGGTAGATCGCAGTGCACCGTTGCCGGTCGCACAATCCCAATCCTTCCCCGATCCACGCCGTAGATCCGCGTCTGTGACGATCCAGTTGGAGCATTGCCCGAGATGGGGCTGGATATGAAATCGCGCGGCGCGGCTAGGGTCGCAGCTCGACAATTCAAAAAACGAAAGCGAGGGAGATGGTACAGTACACGCTACATTTACAGAGGTGCATCCGGGTGCTACAGAAACCGTCCGCGGGCGACGCCGCGACGCCCGCCGAGTCGTCGGCGCTTATGCCCCCCCGCGCAGGGCGCAGGGCGCTACGTCGCCGGGCGCAGCGCGCGCAGGCGATCGGCGAGGTTCACGTCCTCCTCGCGCACCTTGTCGCCCGGGCGCGAGGTCGGGCACGCGCGCGAGGTCCTTGGAGGCGAGATCGTGCTGGAGCTCGATGTTCGCCTCCTCGGCGGTCTGCCGCAGGAGCGCGTCCACCTGGTCCTGCGGCGTCGAGACGGCGGTCGTGGCGCCCATCGCGTCCTCCATGTAGGAGGTCTGCACGTCGAGGTCTGAGAACTGGCTCTCGAACTTGTCCATGACGAGGGAGATCTGGCGGGCGGGCGGGCGGCGTTAGGCGGGTGAATAGGCGGGAGGGAGGGGGGACGCACGCGCTCGAGGTTCATGCTCTCCATTGCCTTGTCCATGCCCTTCACGACGCTGGTCATGTTGCCCGTCACCTGGCGCATCGTGACGGCGGTCTCCACGCGGCTCGCGACCGCGTCGATGCGGCTCGCGAGGCGCAGGAGGTTCAGCGACTCGCTCTTCTTCCGGATCGCGTTCGAGGCGTATATCCGCGCGCCGTCGTTGTTGCCCTGCTGGAGCGCCTGCGCGCACGGTCAGCGCGCGTGCGAGAGACAGAGCGCGAGCACGCGAAACAGGGAGAGACGAGAGACGGGAGACGGGAGACGGGGGGGAGAGGGCGTGCCTTTTTGAGGCGGGATTTCTCCGCGTTCTCGTCCTTCTGCGCTTTCCTCGCCTGGCGATTCAGCGTCTTCGCTGTGAACTGTCAGGAAGGGGGGGGCGCAGTCAATGCTCGTATCGCGGCACGCTCAGACCCGGTGGGAGGTTACTTTGAGCTGGAAGAGGGTCTCTGGTGCCGGTCAGCGCGCAAGCCTGCATTGTGCACGCGCGCGTGCGTGGGGACTCACTTTCTAGGTTGCTCATCGGGGCAGAGGATGGAGGGTGTCGGGTTCGTCGAGGGCGCAGCGGAAAGTGGCGATGGCGGAGGGCGGCCACGTGGAGAGCGGAGGGTCTACCTGCCACGTGATCCCGTTAATTAAGTGACGCGCTTTGCCGCTCGTCGTCGGCTACGATGAGCGCTACCGTGGTCACCACCTTGTCCAGCACGCCATGGCCCTCTTGCATCTCCTCAGGTCCGTGTGCAGACAACCTCTTTATGCAGTATCCTTACCTCCATGAAACCTCAGCTATGCGGCGGCTGTCGTAGCTTTCATTTTCATCACGCTGTCTCTTGGTGAGAGCGTCTCGTGTGCCTCCGTCGCCCCCGACTGACGTGTCGTGCAGCCAGCGGGCTCTTGTGGCTCTCAGAGGTCATCGAGGAGCATTCGAGAAGCGCAAAGCTGATTGGCACGAGGGGGATATACGTGAGCGTCTCCCGCCCCACAACATCGTGTCCCAACATGACCGTCTTCCGCAAGGCCATCATCGCCCTGCACGTCCTCCTCTACTGGACGGACTCGCTCCCGCTTCCCAAAGTGCTCTTCTCCGTCCTCTGCCACGTCGTCTACCTGCAGAACTTCTCGCGCACGTGGCCGCTCATCTCGCTCACCTCCCCGTCCTTCGTCGCGTCCTGCGCGCTCGTCATCGTCGACCACTTCATCTGGTTCTTCCACTTTGCGCAGCTCACGAACGACACGCGGCTGCGCGCGAGCAGGGCCTACCGCGGGCCGAAGCCCGCGCCCGCCGGCATCCCGAGCTTCGGGGACATGGCCACCTTCTTCGGTGTATGCGTCTGGCTCGCGCCCCTGTTCCTCTTCCTGAGCCTGAGCGCGAACGACAACGCGCTGCCGACCGCCTCAGGCAAGCCGCGCTCTGCTTGCGAGGTTCATGATGCCCCACTGACCGCCCCGCGCCGAGACAGACGTCCTGAGCTCGCCGACCACGTCCGGCCAGCCGACGCCGCCGACGCGCACGCCGCTCCTGCGCTCCCTCATCGACGCGCTCCCGCTCGACTACCTCCCGCGCCTCCGGCCACGAGCCCACCGCCGCGCCTCGGAGGGCCTCATCGCGCCGCACACCCCAACGCGGCGGGCGTCGTCGCCCATTCGGTCGCCCGCGTCGCCGACGCCGACGCTCAACAACCTCCCGCGCTCACCGTCGCGCTCGGCATCGTACGACCGCCCGGACGGCGCGGTGCGCGCGCGGCTGACGCCCGATTTCCAGCTGAGCCCGCCGCCGCCGGCGCGCAAGGCGGCGCTTCCGTCGAGCCTGGGGGCCCCGCCGCCGTCGCTGAGCCGGCGGAGGTAGAGCGCGGGTGGGGCGCATATACTCGACTAATTGAAGAGCACGCAGTGGAGGCAGTGTGAATAGTGCTATATATAGCTAGTCGACGGAACGATGTAGTGAACAAGTGAGCAACTGGATGACAGGCAGCAGATCCGCCGCACAGCCGCACACAATACACCGGGCTGTCTGTTATGTAAAGCACGGCGCTCTGGCTCGGTGTCTGCAGGACCTGACTCCATTCTGCGACGCTGCGACGCTGCGACGCCCTTCCTCGCCCGCTGTGCTGACTGACGCGACGGCCGCCACTGACGCGTTCCCTGCCGGATCACGTGCGGGGATGCGCCATGGTTCCGACATATTGCGCTATTGCGCCATGGACCGCGCCCGGGTCAGTCAGCAGTCTGCGGCGCACAATGTCGTCTCGTCGGCCGTCGTACAAAGAGCACCGCTCCAGCACCGCATGCACACCGCCACCCCTCTGCAACTCGACATCCTCGCTTCGCAATCCCGTCAACGCCCAGAACCCACAATCATTACGGTCTGCGGCCAGTCCTCGCGGCCGGTCTAATTTAAGCAGCACCGAATATATACGTCTGCGCCTGGTGTTCTCCTCGAAGCGACCATGACGTCCAGGATCCCTCTCAAGCCTGCTGGTCTCGCGTCTCGCCTCGCCCGATCGGCTTCGCGGTCCCCACGAGTGCAGACGACGCGCCCCTCCTCTTCGTTTTCCACACCTTCTCGCTCCCCAGAACGCCCCGTTTTTCCCTGCGTCGAGCAGCACGCCGCACGCCAGTCCCGCATCCTCTCCTCCCTCGCCTCCACCTCCTCCGACCCCTCCTCCTCTGGCCCCGAACCGCCCTATGCCCGCCCCGCGCCCCAGTCGTACAAAACATACCACCATCGCGCCCCCATGCCCCTCACATACGCCGCTCCCCTGCCAGAGTTCACCGTCGCATACGAAACATGGGGCACCCTCTCTCCCAGCCGCGACAACGTCCTCCTCCTCCACACCGGCCTCTCCGCCTCCTCCCACGCCGCCTCCACCCCCGCGAACCCCGCCGAAGGCTGGTGGGAAAAATTCATCGGCCCCGGCCGCGCCATCGACACCAACCAGTTCTTCGTCGTCTGCACGAACGTCCTGGGCGGGTGCTACGGCACCACGGGCCCGTCCTCGGTCGACCCCGCCACCGGGGACCCCTACGCAACGCGCTTCCCCGTCGTGTCCATCTTCGACATGGTGCGCGCCCAGTTCTGCCTCCTCGACCACCTCGGCGTGGACAAGCTCTACGCGAGCGTCGGCTCTTCGATGGGCGCGATGCAGAGCCTCGCCGCGGGTTGGCTGTTCCCCGAGCGCGTGGGCAAGGTCGTCAGCATCAGCGGCACGGCGAGGAGCAGCCCCGGCAGCGTAGCGATGCGCTACGCGCAACGGAGCGGTCTGTAGCCCCTACCTGCGGCGTTCGCCCCCCCCGCCCCCCCTTCCCCAGCTGACGCCCGTCCTGCAGTCCTCATGGCGGATCCGAATTGGAACAACGGCTTCTATTACGATCGGCTGCCGCCACACACCGGCCTGAAGCTCGCGCGTCGTAAGCCTTTCCTCTCTCTCTCTCTTTTTATATTCAAGCTCCCCCCATTGCTGACACTGCACCTCGCTGAACATAGAAATCGCGACCATCACGTACCGCTCCGGGCCCGAATGGGACATCCGCTTCGGGCGGCAGCTCAAACCGCAGCGACCAGAGGTAGAGCTCACCGCAGACCCGTCGCTCCCGCGCACGCCGGCGCTCTGCCCCGACTTCCTCATCGAGACGTACCTCGACCACCAGGGCGAGCAGTTCTGCCTCAAGTACGACGCCAACTCGCTCATCTACATCTCCAAGGCGATGGACCTCTTCGACCTCACGCGCCCCGCGCTCGAGGCGCTCAAAATCACGCCCGCGCCGCCGTCAAAGTCCGCCGCCATCGCATCGCTGCCGCACAGGACGTCGCACTCCAAGTCGCACCCGCCGCCGTCGAACCCGCCCGCGTACCTCCCGGACCTCGCCGCGGGCCTGCGCCCGCTGGCGCACACGCCGGTGCTGGTGCTCGGCGTGCAGAGCGACATTTTGTTCCCCGTGGAGCAGCAGCGCGAGGTCGCGGACGCGCTGCGCATGGCGGGGAACGAGCGCGTGAGCTACTACGAGCTCGGCGGCGTGTGGGGGCACGACACGTTCTTGTGAGTCTCGGTTCGTTTCGGGCGGCCGTGGGGCGCTGACGGAGGGGCCTTTTTTATTATTATTATCTTGCAGGCTTGATGTGCAGAACGTGGGCGGCGCGCTGCGCGGGTTCTTGTCGTAGCACGGGCGTTGTCGTTTGTAGAGCGTAGGGCGGCGGCTGTTCTTTGCGCAGTAGCAGTCACGCGAACGACGCCGCGATCGCGAGGCGACGATCGGGAGCCTTTGAGGGTTGGGAGGGGGGACAGCGGGCGGGGGATCATCGCGACCGGCATGGCTCTGAGCGACATGCATCGTCATCAACCAACCTCGCATTGTTGCAAGTTGTTCCGGATTGAGGTCACGTGTTACAGTACTTCCCCAACGCCCACTTAATTTTTGTGCGGCTTGTTTGGGTGGGTGGGTCGCTGGTCTCTAGTGCCCGTGTGGGCGTGGGCATTTGATCATGGTTCATGGCTGTGGGTGAAGAGTGGAAGATGTGATTTGCGTTTATCGTACATGGCCAGTAACAGGGATAGTGCAGTGATAGCGCTCAAGCGAGAGCAGGCGAAGAAATACTGAAATGACGTTTGAATTGCAAAACGTCACGACGTCGGCCGTTCTCGAGACGCAGTGTGGAGTGAACCTCGATCGTGGCATCTCCATCTCCAACCCAACGTACGGGAGATACGAGTACAGTATGTGATTCACGGTGTCTACCCCGTTCAACAATGGTAAGAAGATGCTATCCTCGCCACGCCGACCGTCTCTTCGCAGTCGGAGTCGCGACCCACACTAGCCCTACGACGACTATAGCGCCAACCGCGAGGTTCTTTCAAGTAAAAGGGCGCCCTCGAAGGGGACTTGGTGACATGCCGCCCTCGACTCTCGAGTAGTTCGTCGATGGCTTCGTGTAAGGAACGTCACGGGGTCGGTCGAGATGCAGACGATGTTTGTGGCGGTCATGAATGAGTGTGGACGGGCGGTTGGTGTGTCGCTGAGAGAGCGAGCTGCCGCCGGCGGGCATAGACACGCAGATGACGGAACTGGTTTAGGGGAGATGGGCAGACGAGGACGCGGGGAAAAAATACGGTTAGCAGCTGAGTTACAACCGCTCGCGTGTTGATGGACTCATCAGTACTCAGGCTCCCACCACATTGTGGAGGGCAAGGGTTGATCGGTGATTCGCACCACCATAGTCTCGTCAGTAGAGCGTTGTATAGCCGATGACGAATCGACGCGGTGGGTCTCTCCTGGTCCCGTTACGAGAACCACGCCGCTGCTTCCAAAATCAGCATCACGCAGAGCGATCTGCTGGCGGTCACGAGTGTACGAGGGCCAGATGCTGAGTACGGCGTTACGGTATCCGGATCGAGTACCTACACTCAAATCGCGAGGAAAACCCGAATTCATACGTTTGCTCCGAGTAAAAAAGCAAAGCAAAGCAAAGCAAGCTGGCAAACCATGATCTTCAGCGCCGGCCCCTGAACGCGTCACGAAGCCATTCAATATCCAGCTTGTAAGCCTCGCTCTTCTCGCCCTGCCCTACCCCAAAATCTCTCAAGACATCTTCGTGCACACCGTTTTTCTCAAGCACCACAGTCGTGTCCTTGACGTGCTTCTTCAGCGTCTCTCCAAACGCCAAGATCGAGTCGCGCAAGCACTCGACGCCTCCGGCGGTGCTGAGAATCCGAGGGAGCACCTCGTCCAAGCCCGCCCACCACGACTCGTCGGCCGCGATGGGCTCGAAGTACGCGCGGGTCTCCGGTGTGACTCCTGGGCGAACGAGCTCCGCGAGGAAATTGAGGATTGCCCGGCTCGTGGTGTCGAGCTTGTCGTTCTCGGCGAACGATGCCGATGAGTCGGCAAAGGTGACCCAGGGCGAGATGAGAAGCGCCCCGCCCAACGGACCCGATGTGCATGGCGCAGGGATGTTCGGAAGAGGGTGTAAAATGTGGGACGCAAATTGCAAGGCTAAATTTCCGCCTGCAGAATCCCCCCCAAGGATGATATTCGCAGGATTCGCACCCTTGGAGAGTAGATAGGCGATTGCAGCATTGGCCTGGCGCAGCTGTGTCGGGAACGGAGAGCCAGGAGTCAACGCTGTAACATCGAAGGATGAGACCCGGAGGAGGGCGTGAAGACGAAAACGAACAGTATTCAAAGGCGATGACGCCGACATCTCCTACCGATGTCTGGAGGTCCTTTTGGACCTTGTGAAGGAAGTTCAAGTGTTCCGGCGGGTTAAGGGGTAAGCTGAACCCACCCCCTACGTGTGCGTCAGGTTGCCGTGTCTATGCAGACTGACGTACGAGCGCTTGAGCACTCACCATGGAAATATAGAAACACACGTCCAAATTTCCGGGGACCGACCCAATGGAGCTTCGCTCCCTCGCCGATCTCATCCGAGAGCACTTCCAACTTCGCTTGCCGTGCCCACTTCTCGTATAGCAAGCTCGTGCTGCCCCAGACAGACACCATCTGTCGTATATTCCATCCTGCGCCTACAATTGTACGCATCACAGAATCACTTAAAGTTCTCGCCCACGTGCGCCCCTTGTTGGCCTTGCTGAACACCTTGGGTATGATCGCAAACGCTGCAAACCTGAATTGAGGCTCAATAATCAACTGCCAGGGAAAACCAACTCACGAAAATAGAGGACACTGAGAACCATTGTGAGTCGTTCGGAAACTGACAGGGTCACTTCTGCTCCCTTGTTTTGTTGAGAATGAGAGGCCATGGTCACTGAAGTACTGAAGCGCTGTAGCGACGTCGCTGGACCATTTATACCTGTTCAGGGTCTTCCATACAGGCACGGCGCTTCGTCCTCTACCGGTCGCAGACTCCTCAGCGGCTACAAAGTGGACCCACGCCGGCCGTAATGGGAAAATCGCAAGGCAAAAACGTCCGAAGAAAGTTAGCTACAAATTGATTTGCTTTCAACTGTAAGTCCATCGGCTTCCCATGACGCGACGCACCGATTTACGCTGAGATACTGTCAATAAGACTTTGCGCGCGTGCACTCTGGAGCAATGAGGGTCGGATGAACATTGATGAACGACGAGGATCGATGGAAGCATAAAGGTGAGGCTGACGTGTTGATATTTATCAGTATGGGCGCCAAAATGATATATGTACAATCGTTCTTTCTCCAACCCCAAAATTCAACACGAAAAGCCAGCAATTCGTGGTGGTGAACTCTGAGTTATAGACTCATGACTGCATGTTCCATGCGTAGATGTCGCGTCGTGGCCGGCCTTACAATTTGGCCTTTTGAAGGATCACGCGGACTTTATCCCAGACGCGATCGACGCGATAGCTAACCCGCTACACACAACCGTGAACAAAAATAGTCAACGTCAGCGTGCGATACTTGATTCATGGCATTCGGTCGCCGGAGAATGCAACGCGACATGCAAGCAGAAGAGACGGCGAAGGGGAGAGAGTGATGGTATAGAAACTAAACGAGCGGATGCTTACCGAGAACAGGCCCATTTTGAAGAGCTTGCTGTACCCAGTCGCGGGCTGCGACTTGGATTGAGACTCAGACTGGGGCTGGGGCTGGGGCTGGGGCTGGGCGTCGAGTTGGCCATTGTCTGCGACATTGGGGAAGCGAAAGTCGGAGGGGCCCGCGAACGAGAGCGGTGACTGATGTTTAATGTCAGTACTTCAACGTTCGAGATGCCGCTGGCCGTAAACATACTGGAGGCAGGTAAGACAGTCCGTCAAAGTAGTCGTCATAGCCAAAGGACGGGGCCACAGGCTGGTAAACAACGCGTTGTTAGATACCTCTCTGCGCACTTTACATCGCATACGCATAGATATAGAGTTGATGACGCACCCCGTAGATGCTGTGCTCATTCACCGCGAACGCAGACTCCGTGCGTCGGAGCGACGGCCAGAAGAGATAAACATCGTACTCGTCGTCTCCCTCAGTCGAAGACGGCTCATCGGACGATACTCCACGCGTTTCCGCCATTGTTGCTTGTGGGGAGGAGGTGGTGGAAGGTCGGTCGAGGGGTAGCGCATGCCGGCAAGGGGGGGCCTCTATTTATGAAGGAGCGGTGAACTCGTAATTGGAGCCAAGAAGTCGTAAACAAGGCCACTGTGTCCGCCACCATGGCCCAAAGGCGCCTGCGATGCCTCCCTGTGTGCATATCCTCATCGACGTACATACTGTCCTTGCCCGTGGACCTCATCATGACGCGACCTGGCCGCTTACGAGCAGGACTCGAATGTCTCTGGGGAGAGTGAACTGCAAGCTGACGTACGGACTTGCAGAGCATGCGGTCTGGAGCTCTCCATTTCTACAGTCGAAGCTTCCGTTAGCGTGTTCGACATCATTACTGGATGGTCGAGAGCAAAATGTAATTTGACGGGTATATCCCCGCCCTGCTCAATCATCGGGAGCCTGATCCCTGCGCAGAAGACTGCTTTTCCTTCGCACTGACCAAACAGCTGCCTCTCTCGAGCCAGCTTCGTTGGGTCAGTGCGAGAGGGATGCATTCTGAATTGGGGGGAAGCTCATAATGATGCTGAACCCTGCCCTTGGAGGCTCCTCATGCCAAAACTCAGCCCTCCCCTAGTCCTTAAAATTCTCCATCATTCCACAGTCTTCGTGCTGTGGACGTTCACCGTCTGCCTTTGCTTTCCCGACCATGCGTCGATAAACGCGAGGCAGGCCGGACCACATGCATATTGTCATGTCACGTTCACGACGTGACATTGTGACATGCACTCGGTCTGATGTGAACAACGAAGAACCAGCCCTTCGCGCGATCCACTGCTCTCGAGCAAGACGCCAATGCACAGAGCTTTGAAGACGAAACAAACTCACCGTATATGCTACACTTGACGAGGGATTTCACAAACATTCAAGTCCAGCCCTTGAGCGGGATTCATTGAGCGCGCTCGTCGTCGATCCTGACGAAGCGCTGTCGGACCAAGTGAGTGACGAACATCGTATGGAACCGTCATCAAGCAAGTAGAAAGCTGCAAAATGCGCCAAGAATTTTCGGATGTCACGATGATTTACCTGAACGACAGACAAATGTGTCAGGTCGCCGTCCAGATGCGCACAGCGAGCCACACTCCTCGTCAAGTCTCTCGTCGATGAAAATGAAACAGATGGAAGCGCGAGTGGTGCAGACGAAGAGACTGAAAATATGAAGCTAGAGGCCGAAAATCAGGAGAATTTATCCGTTAGATATCGGAAACTGCCCAATGCCCGTCAATTGCTCATCAAGTGCGCATCGGGGCCGAATCATTATCCAGGATAATGCGCGGTGACTGTGGCTTTGTCGGCGACGTCAATGAACGGCAAAGTCTACTGAAGCGGACGAGGAGATTGTGGACGCAGATGGAAACGTGGTGGAAGCGGGCGGGCCGTTCCCCGTCACGCTGGACGGAAGGTCTCCGCGGCCACGGTCCCCCAATTTACTTTTGAGGCTCCGAAGTCCCCCCCCTCTCGCGCTGCCCTCTCTCCGTTTTCCTCATTCTCCATGGACGAGAGCAACAAGACGAAGAATTTAGTGCTCGCCTGATACCTCCTCAGACTGCGGCCGAAATTCGCGATGGCAATCCAACACCTTCACCGTCAAAACAAAGTGCCACCAGCAAACAAGCTCTCTACTGACCTCGCCGCCTCCCCCTTCTCTTTTTCAGGCGGCCTCTCAATTCCAACGATAACGCCTTGCACCGCTGGCTTCATGTCCCTCCTAGGCCCTTCACCACAGTTCTTTCAAACAGCTTCTATGTCGTGATTCTGACGCTGTCGCGGGAGCCGGAGCCCACATCAGTCCATGCCATCACCAGATATCCTCTCGATGGTGTGGACACTAGTCGTCTCCATAATTCCTTCGACCCGTGGATTTCTCTCGATACGATAGCTAGATCGCTTGCCGAGGGAAGTGTCAGCCAGGGAACATGATATCAGGAATTGAGATCGATATGCCATCGCAAGGACCACACACCGTTCAACCGAGCCGTACCCTCTCTGAAGAATTCTTTCTTTGCCAGACGTATCAGTCTTCATCTTGTCTCCGATCCGCTCGCGCTGGCACCATGTAGGCCACTCTCCAGCCCTTGAGTAATTCGGTAGCGACGCCTCGGGCTTTTTCACATGTGACGCTGAGGACGAGTTACAGCATCCGTTCGTTTGTTTTCCAATCAGTTTTCAACCACCATCTCGCGTTTCTTCGTGTTTCCCTGTCCCGCAGTTATCTTACAGCAGTTCAACCTTCTGCCCCGAGTCACCGGTCATTGATCGCCTCCAAACCGATTAATGCATCTTACCATTACAACGAATGGACATATATGGATAATCTACCAAGCGACGTCCCCGCTCCTATTCTGCGCCCTGATTCTATCGTGATCGTTCCTAACAGTTCCCAGCCAGGTTGCCACCTTCGATGACAACGACGAAGGCCCTGCCTTTTTTTTCGCTTGCACTATGTTCTCCCCTCTTGGTCATGGGCGCAACCGTGTGAAGACTTTCCGACTCCTCCATGAACGCTGATGCGCTGCCAAACAGAATTTTCGAAACTAGTTCAAGTGACTAGCACGTCTCGATTTGGATATTTAGGCTGTGGCACAAAGCAGCATACGTCTCAGCTAGCTATGGCGGGTGTCATCGCTGGGCTCGATGTACAACGACCTAGGTCTGGGATCACAAGGAAGATGATGAGATCGCCGCACTAGTCCTGTTGCAAACGCTAGGTCAACGCCATCTTCCTTTGATGTCCAAAGTTTGCAAATTTCAACGTCCGGTCCATCGACGAAGACGCCACGAAGTCCTTGTCTTCGTGCGTTGAGCCTAGTATCTAACCAAACGAATCTGTGTGCATTGAATGTCGAACGCTGTCTGTTTTACTCTTGAGGCCAGAGGCTGTGGATCACAATCGTAACAAGTCGACCACTTTGACAACGTGTACCGAGCTACATATCAAAATACGATGGTGCTACAGTCCTTAAGAACAGTTTTTAAGTGCGACATTAGCTTTCCGTGAAAATAAATAGTAGAGATTGATGGAAAAGATTCCATGTAGCTGACGAGTCTCTACGCCTTCATGAGCTCAGCGATCTCTGGCGGTGCAACCGGGCGTCTCATCCATCCTTCTTGCCATCCGGCCGTCGCGCCTTGCGACTCGCCCTTGCTCGGTACGCCAAACACGGCAGTGAGAAGCCACACGTCCTTCCCATCGTCCGTCGGCTCATGCTGCCCCATCAACGTCGGCATAACAGCCCTCGGTACCATGAGATTCGTGTTTGCGTCGGTCCTCAGCGCCTTGCCTTCCCGCTTCGCGGACTCCGCATCCAGCGCAGCGATGCCCACGACGCCCGCTCGAGACGCCGCTCTCGCTTGTGCCCCGCTCTCCGCCGTCCCAAAAGCCTCCCCTTCAACAGGCTCCAGCGCCCGGCCGTCTTCCCTCTGCCCATAGATCGCCCAGCCGCCCTCCGCCGAGCGCAGCGCGCGCTTGCTCCGGACGCGGTGCACGCGCAGGTGCCAGTTCGGGCTCGCATCCTGCGGCGGGACGAGCCACGTCTCCACCTCCACGTCCTTCCAAGGGTACCACATCGAGCGCAGCCACACCTGCCCGCCGGCGCCTTCGAACCTCGCCTCGCGCGTCTCGCGCCGGCACTTCCACGTCTCGCCGTCGTCGTCGCTCAGCGCGAGCGCGTTGTCCGCGCCGAGCTCCTCGAGCGTGAGATTCCCCACGGGGACGCTGTACCCGAACGCGGACGAGTACGCGAACTTGCCGTACTTCGCCGCGCTCTGCTTCACCGCGTACGAGCACTGCTGCCCCGACGAGAGGACGTAGGTGTGCCCGCCCATGCTCGTCGCGATATGCAACGGATGGCTGAGCACTTTCGTCGACCCTAACAGTGCGCTCGGATATGGCTCTTCTTCCGCAGCCCAGAATGGATGCGTTTCAGGCAGGGCGAGCGTCACGAAGGATTTGCAGCACCAGTATGGAGATCCGGGGGAGTTGTAGTTTTCGGTCATGTTATGATTGGGGTAGCAGAAGCCGATGGTGAGCGTGCCATCAGGGTAGTAGGCGCCCGGTTGTCTTGCCCAGTAACGGATGTTTCGCAGCTGTATGCCCTTGATAACGCCCCAGGTCAGCGGAGCGGGGAGTTCGACATCGGCGAACGCGAGGGCGCCCCAGAAAGAGGACATGGCGAAGCGATAGGTCATACTACGTCCGAACGGTATTGCTCGTCCTGTGGATGCCAAGTTAGTTCCCGCTCATTCGATTGACGGTGGATCATGCAACCCGCCTTCTTCATCAAAATAGTGAACAAAATCTTGCGCGAATTTACGTGCCCTGTCCCTATACTCTTCGCATCGTTTGGGGTCGCTGTCTTGGGCGAGCTTTGAGTACGCCAACTGCGCGAACTGGATTGCAAAGGAAGAGGAATAATAGTCCAGCTGAACCACTCCTTCAGGCCCATCACGCGACCAGCCATCGCCGATATAAAACGTGTCCAGATGGTCTAAATCGGCCTTCATCCTCTCCGCGTTGAAATACGACGAGCCGGCTTTCGACAGCCCCAAGTTTGCGAAGACCTACCAACCAAATCAGCACACGATCAAACCCTGCCGCATGACACTCACCCTGAACCACAACCAATTCGTGTTCGGCATCTCCTTGTCGTTCATCCCACCTAACCACTTCCCAAAGTTTTCCTTCGCCCCGGAGCTCAGCGGATCCCACAGTTTCTCTTTCGCCACGGCAATCGCGAACCCGATCGCGGAGCACTCCACCATCCTCTGATCCTTGCTTCTCATATCCCCCCAGAACTCTTCGTGGTCTGGATCCGTCCCGCTCGCGAATCCCTTCAGCCAGCGCTCCGCGCCAGCATACTCGCCCCCACCGCCAAGGAGGGCCGCGAGGCCCCAGATCGGCCTCGAAAACCCCTCGAGCTGCGCGGCGGCCTCGTCGTAGTGCGTCCCCGTATGCCCAAGTTGCACCCGCGCACCTCCTGGCGAGGTGTGCGCCGCGAGCGGGTCGAGCAGACCAATCAGGAAGGCTGCGAGATCAGACTTGGTCCGGATCGGGTTCGAGGAGAAGGGTGTCGTGCTGAAGCAGGCAAGTGTCATGCTGACGCGAGGGTGATAGTGGTGGGCGCATGATTGTGCGCGTTCGAGCGATCTTTATAGCACATCGCTGGAAGCTGGACCTGCTAAAGAAAGAGAGGTGGGATAGATTCTCCGATGATCTTATGCTCAGCAGACCGGCCCGCTCATTCCGCTTTGAATTGGGTGACGACGACCCAGGTATAGGGTTAAGAACGCCTGTGTCGCCCGTTGAGAAACCCTGAAAAACGCCATAGTTCAAGATGCAGGAGTGAACAGGCTTGCTCGAACTTGATCTGGCTTCAGGTAAACGTAGCATATAGACCGCATATATGGTGTCAAGTTTCAGCCTTGGTGACGACCCTCGTTAGGGTGGTTGTACGGATTCCGAGGAACGTCGAGAGGTTCGAGGGACGGCTATACGTTGGCCGTCGATCCTCTCCATCGTGCGGCGGAGCACGTATCTGACAAAATGCGGGTTTTGATTCGCTATTCCCAGCTCAATTCTCGGCGCGCTGAGACGCTGCTGGGAATGACAAGCCAGCACAGCATTTTCTCAATCCTTGGGAAAGCTTCAGCACAACATAATCAGCAGTAGGTAAGAAACTGCTCACCTCTACTGGCAGCACTCAAAGCAAGGTGTAGTAGCGAAGTGTGCACATCCACGTGATTGTCGAGTTCAATGGTTCATATGCGTATGCAAAAGCTGGAATAGGCACGGCGAGTCGAGAATACTACTGTACATCCAGCCATTCTTCCGTTCCCTCGCAGCCGAATGAACAGTATCTCTGCAGAGGAACGTTGCCGCAGCGCAAAACGGAGGATGGTGGTCGGAGGCAAGAGACAGATCCTAAACATGGGTTAGGTCTTCCTTCACGCTAAACCAAGATGATTTGAAATTGTCCACCCTTCTCCTGCACCGCACCACCCCCAGACGTATGACAGAGTCTTGTCACGATCCCCCCTAGCACGACATAGCCCGAAACGACGCGGCGCAGACGTCGTCGTCCGCTGCTCGGGATTAGATATGTTCAAGCACGCTACCTCTGCCGCAACGCGCGTTCTATTATGTACCTCTTGCGCTTGTCCCTGTCAAGCAGTGCTGGCTCACATGCTCCGGTCGGAAGTCCGTCGAGCGGAGAGAAAATAATCAACTTCGCTCGCCGGCGCCAGGTAGCGCCAGGTCGCTACTAATCGTGCTTGTCCGTCTCTTCCGTCCTTCCGTCCAGCAAGCGTCGGGGCGATGAACGCTTGCGGGTCTTCTCCCGTTAATGTCCGGCCGATACCGATCATCTCCTCCGCGATGGCTATGCGAAGCTCGGCGATCACACTGGTGTGCGTCATACGTAGGCTCATCCCTCGGAGGTGGCGAACAAGCTGCCAACGTCACCCTGCTCACGACGTAGATCTCACCGCTGATGAGCACCAAGTGCCAAATACTAGCCCGAAAGGCGGTCCGATCTAGCTGGCCGACGTGACATCTGGACCTGCCACTCAAGTACACGACGAACCTGTTGCCTGCTAATGAGGTGCTTCGAAGCTAACCTGCTAGGCTGACTTGATTAAAGCTGACAGACGCGGACAGATGCGCAGAGGTTCGCTGGCGCCGGTGACGTCCTTCTAGCGAGATCGGGTGGGCCGTCAGGCCGTCCCGCTCCTGAGGCCAGCGGCCTGAGCGCTGAGCGCTGGCATCTCCTATCTGTGCATGCCTCCCCCGCGAGATGGCCCACCGCGCACCGCATGATGGCGGATCTGGCAGCCTATCTGACATGGCCGATTGAGTGCGTGTCGGACGGATGGTACCACGTCGTCTGACTCGACGCTACTTACCGCAACTTACAGCACCACCCCGTACAGCATCTCGTCATCGCACGATCGTCTGCGCGATCGTCCGGCGTCCTTACTTATGTGCACCACGTATACCGCTCACGACGCATCCGTCTCTCCGTGCCGTATCGTCTGTCTTTGTTTGAGAAATGCCTGCTTGCGCGCGACGACGAGCAGAAAGTGCTCACACACTGATCGTGACCATCGTCGGCAAGCGGCGGCGTCGAGGGCTCGTTTGCTTCCGAGCTGCCGCACAGCTGCAGCGCGGGGCCCCGGAGGGCGGCACGAGCACTGGTAGACGGGCGCCTGGCTGCGGGAGAGCCCCGTCGTTCCGTCGAGCTAGTCCAAGCAAGGCAACCGAGACCCGAGCGGCGCTGAAAGACACAGTGTGCAGTAGTAGTGCAAGGACGACCGAGGGAGGGCGTAGTATTAACGCAAGACTAGACTGTACAACGGACACGGTACAGGGTAGAGCAAGAACGGCATAGCGGTACATACAAGCGATAAATATATCTACAACTTACACTGCGGCGTGTGATCTATGTATGTCCAACAATGGGACTCGAGAGGGGATATTACAGAACGCTACGACTATGCAAGAGGAGCAGAGGAGGGAAGCGAGGAGAGTCTAAGAAAGCGCGTATGCAAGAGACAAGATGGGAGAGCAAGGAGCCTAGCAAGAAAGAAAGCGCGTCGCTCGATCTCGAGCTGAGAAGACACCGTATGTCAGGCGCGAGTGCAGTCAGACGACGAAGGAGCATCGTGCGGACCTTTTGGGGAGCAGCTAGAGGACTGTGGTCGACGCCGCGACCAGGGAAGGGTGCATGCTCAGCTGCCGCCCTGGAGCCGGCGATCCATGTGTTGGCGCCAACGGACGTAGATGCCTTCGTTCATCGACGGCGCGTATCTGCACATCTCGAACATCGACAACTGCTCGAGGAAGCCCGCCTTGGGCCAGATCTGCTCGCGGGCTGCGGGGCAAAGAAGCAGGGATTAGCGTTGGGCGTCGGGGCGGTGCGTTGGAGGGAGCACTGCTTACCCCGTCGAACGGTGTCGAGGGCGTCTGTCGAGCTAATTCGGCGCGAGTACATTACTGGTTGCACAGCGATCGAGAGAAAGAAGGGACGACGTCAGACTTTCCTAATCGGGACGGACGGACGGAACGGGACGAGCGGGCAAGGCACGCACAGTATGAAGCCATTATGGTCGCGCTGCGTGAGAGCCCGTAGACTCCGTGGACGAGGACGACGCCGCCGGCTCTGAGGGCCTCGTCGATGAAGCGGCAGGCGTGTGGCATCCATATGAGCAGGTCCTCGTGATCGAAGTCTTGCACGGGGATCCGAATGTGACGGATGCCCGACTGGGGATGCTCGGCGGGGATGGGGTCGGTGCAAACGGAGACGATGTGGGTGATCCGGCGCTCGGTCAGCGAGCGCGTCGATTGAGCAGAGACGAGGCTGAATCGGGAAGGAGGGCGAGTCAGCACGGAGGGCACGGGAGGGAGCGAGCACGGGTGAGGTGAGTGAATGGGGAGATGGACATGGGGGATATGTATAGCATCCTGTCATGGAAGAAGACGACTGACTTTCCGAGGAAGAGGCGACCTTCGATAACAGCGCTAACGTTCTTCCAGCCCATTTTGGATATGTGCAGTGGCGGATGAGTTGGGTGCGTCGGGAGCTTGGTCTCTGCCTTCGGGGCGGGATGGGTTCATCGGGGGATCCATGGGGTGGTATTTGAGGCGGGCACGATTTCGCGGTGGACATTTCGCCGGACAAGGAGTCGGCTATACGACCCGCGGAGCTGGACGAGGCGCAAGAGGCGAAAAGCTGACGTTGGAGGAGAAGGGCGGTGAGTTGGACACAGCAACAAGCGTCGGTTTGCGGTTCCTAGAGGCTTGCCATAACGCGAAGCACCGCTACACGTGCGGACGCATGACGTAGCGCCCGCGTGTTGCCGGCGTCGGTGCCGGCTATGCACCCCGACACGGCGGTCGCGTCTCCGGCGGATGTTCCCCCGACGGTGGGATTGACGGCTCGACTGCCACTCAGCAATACGCAGCTTTCGCTCGCGCCGTCGATCTCTCTCCCAATCTAATAAACAGGATCGCCCGCTCTACGCACGCACTACGCACGACACGCCACCCAGCACCGCATGACCCCACCTTCCGTCCCGCGTGCGTCCCCCGCCGCTCCCCAGCGCCACCCTCTTCCTCTGTCTTTACAGCTTTGGCCTTCTGCGATCCCTCCGGATTCGTCTCCGAGTCCCCAACAAACACGCGCGTCTCCAGCCTCTTCCTCTTCCTGATCGCCCGATTTGCTATGTCGGCTTCGTCCTCTTTCGTCTCGCAATTATATGACGCGTTGGATCTTCTGCCTTCCTCTTCGTAGCCGCTCACGCGGTACGCGCTCGAAGAACCTCTCGTCGTGCATGTCGTCGCGAACCCCGACTCTTCTCATCGACCGTCTTGTCCAGGTCCCAGGGAGAGGGGACGTGGATTCCAGCTGACCACAATCACAACCACCCACAAAGTCGACATCCCTCTGGCTCTGTCCTGAGACACTTCCGCTCGACGAGGAGCGCTCGGATGTGCTCAGTCGGCAATTGGGGACACAGAGTAGCCCGCGGCCCGTCACTCTCGGTTCTGCATCTGCGCAAATTTGACCGGCTGACCTCAGTCCACTGCTATTTTCAACATGAACCCGTCGCGCCCACTCTCCGTGACCGTGTGCTAGCTAAGCGACCGCAACTTGTAACTTGTGCCAGCATGTACAGCAACGTCGAAACGGTGTCCCACTTGGAATATCCAGCGCTGCCCATGTCGGATATCTCATTACCCTGGACCCTTGCTGCGTAGAGCAGGGACCGGTCCGTCTCCCGACCGTGCTCGTGATCTCCAAACTTCACGCTCTGTACACGACTCCGAAACCGCACACGCACCTTGCCACGTTCGAGGGTCCGAGGCTCTCCACACTCGCTCACTTGCTTTGCTTGCTCAGATCCAGATGTTTTTTGGCCCCAGTGACCAGGTCAGGCCTCCTCAGCACGATACCGGCAACTGCCGGCCACGAGGCCGCTTGCGGTGGTGTCGACACTTGTACTGACGCTGTTTGTAACCTGGTCGCTTGCGCCTCATTCACCCATACACCCATCACCCAACCTGCTGCGTCTCCCTGCGCCACTGCACACTGCGCACCCACGCTCACGCTCATCTCCCTCCACTATCTCCCCCCCATCGTCGTCATGCAACTCAACATCGAATGGAACGGGGTGCGTACCGACTCCCGAACGTCTTCGCCCCATGCCCACTAATGCGAGCGAATGGAACGGCCGCAGGACGACCCCCGAAGACGCCGCCCCAAGCCGTCCACGGTGCACGGCTGGCTCTGCAAGATGCGCGGCACGATCATCGGGAACGAGCGCATGCGCCAGCAAGGCCGCCGCGAGATGCAGGAGGCGCGCGCCGCCCGCACGAGCTCGAAGCGCCCCCGCCCCAAGGCGACGCAGTCGAAGCCCATCCTCTCTTTCCTCATAGGCGGCGGCGGAGGGAAGCCGCCGGCCAGGTCGAGGCAGAAGCAGAAGCAGAAGCAGAAGATGCGGCACGCGCAGGGCCCGTCGTCGCGCGCGCTCGTCCCGTATGCGCATCGAGGCGCGCGCCCCCCACCGCCGCCTCCACGGGGCAGTGGGCGGGGCGATCGATCGAGACCAGTGCCGTCTCGTGAGAAGAGTGGCCGGAGCGCGGGCGCGGGAGCGAGGCACGCTGCAGCGAGGGAGCCGCAGAGGCACAGGAGCCAGACGGCCCCGAAGCGCGATGCGCACGCCAGTGCGAGGAGGACAGGTGGTAGACGCTGATGGGCAGCGCCATACCGCCTCAAGGGCGCTTTACCGTTAGAACGGAGGGATGCGTTCGGTCCGTGTGTCTATTTTTTCCCTTCAAGTCTTTCTCTGTGGTATAATTGGCTCTTTATGGGTGATTGGCCGGTTGTGTATTATTGCTCTGTCTATGCCCCGTCATTAATCCCATCGCGTGCGCGATGTGTTTGTACCTATATCCCTGTCATAACTATTCTAGACGGATCACGACTCTTACGAATGTAATTAGTGTATTGTTGACGTTGTACTTTTAGGAGACTTGACGTTTTGAATGCACCATCAGATGTCGGCGATTTTTGCTTAGTTGAATGGACTGTGAGTAGCCCTCGGTGCGGGGTGTGGATAGATCTGCCTGATGCGCGACACGCCCAGCATGGCGCAAGGCCCAAAACAGTGCAGGACGGAATTAGAACGGAAAGTGTGCGCGAATTTCGTTGGCTGTCCGCGCGCGGCTGCGATTGGCGCGTGCGAGATAACACGCGCAACAGCCTGGAGGCGGAGACGCGGCAGACAGATGGGATCTTCGCTGGCGCACCGGGATCCAAACGCGCTGCGGGAGCGAGATGAGCGAACGCCGCCGCGGACATGGGATAGGTTTTTAGGGTGTCGAGGAAGAATGTTGGGGGATGGTCGGTGGGGAATTGGCGACGAGGTGTCATGCGGGGCGTGGAAGATCGAAGCACGGCTTTTAAATGAATGAATGAACGAGGGAACGAAGCCTCGGGTCGGCTACCGTGGTAGCCGCGTTATGAGGACATGACGTCTGCAGCTCCTCCGTTCGGATGCCAAAACCCGCTCCGCAGGCGGTACACGCTACAGGCGGACACATCCACATCCTCATTCGAAGCACGACGGTGATAGACTCTATCTACGCATACAGGTGGGTTCAGTGGTACAGCACAGCAACAGAGACAGCAAGAGAATACGGAGCGAAGGCGACACACACCCAGCGCGCATGGGACAGCAACCCGATCAAGCAAGAGCGCGGAACCGGCACCAACGAATTTTGGCATCCACCAGAGAGCATCCACATGTCCCCGACGATGCTAGGTATTTGATCGACATTTGACAGATACACCCTCGAGACGGGAGCCAGACGAACGCCGGAGGCAACGGTACAGGTGAGCGCACGCATGTCAGACCCACCCCCGCGCGGCGCCACGGCCACCACCGTGTCCTCGCTCCTTCTCCACCACGAACATCGCGTCTCGCAAGGTCACCGCTCGCTTGGATTCCTCCTCCGCCTGCGTCGCCGAACTCTGCGATTTATTCGTCACCACATACGGTCGCGCCCACGAGCTGCTTCCCGGTCCACCAGATCCACTCCCTCCCGCACCACCACCACCACCACCACCACCACCACCACCACCCGCACCCGAAGCCGGCGCCGTGGTCGTCGCGGGCGAGGCAGCCGCAGAAGCAGCAGGCTTCGGTTTCGCGGGCGCGGGCGTCGCGTTCGCGGCGTTCATCCACGCGTACTTCCCCGTCCCGAGCCCCGCCGCCTGACTCGCGACCGCGTTCGACATCTTCTTCCGCACGTCCTCCGACATGTTTTTCGCCGTCACTCCCGGCCCGTCCGTCTTCTTTTTCTTCTTCTTCGGGCCCTCCGCGTCCTCCACCTCGCCGCTCGGCGTGCCGGGCGCGTGCGCCGCCAGTGCGGCCGCCTGCGCCGCGGCGAGCTCCTTGCGCTCGCGGCGCACGCGCATCTCCTCTTCGCGCTCCGCGCGCTCGAGCGCGGCGAGCTGCTTCGCGACGTCGCGCCGCACCTCGACGCGCCACATCGGCGTCGTCCCGTCGTCGTAGAACGGCGTGGGGCGGTCGAACTGCGTGTCCGTGCGGTGCGCGGACGCGGCGATCATCGCGGCGAGCAGGCCCTGCAGCCGCGCGCGCAGCGCGAGCGCGACGTAGTTGACCGCGTCGTCTGGGATCTTCGTGATTTTGTGCTTGGCCCCGATCGTGCGCATCGTGGGCCCGAGGAAGCGCGTGTCGAAGTTGGGTTTGGCGGGCTGCTTGTGCGAGCGGTCTTCGTACGGGCGGTAAGCCTGGTGCAGGTCGGATGATCTCTGCAGGGTCTCTTCTTCGGCCTGCACAAAGGGGGTGGGAGAGGGCTGGGGGTCAGGGGTTCTGCAAGAAGGGGGGAGATGGACACGCACCCTGAGATCGACGCCGGCGCTCCCTAGGGCGTCATTCAGGGTGGCGACATCGGCGGTATCGAGCTGATTCGTGTTCGCGGTCGATTGGGATTGGGATTGTTGTAGAGGTTGTCGCTGGACAGGCGCCACGATTTGAGGCTGCGTGGCTTGAGGTTGTGGAATGTACGGCTGGTAGTGGCCATATGATGCTTGCGGGTAGTGTTGATATTGGTAGTACGACGGCCTGGGCAGACGAGTCAATGACAGCACGAGCGGGCATCCGCATGGATATTTACGCTGCGTGTTGTTGAAGTGCGGGGTCGATGGGTATTTCTGGATGAGGATCAGCCGCTCGGAAATAGAGGAATCGATGTGAAAAGGGGCGGAAAGGAGAACCGCTCACGCGTTGTAGCCCATTGTGTGGTGTAGGTGGGTGTCGGTGTTGGTGTTGGTGCGGGCGGGGCGGGTGTAGGGGTGGAGTCGCCCTCGGTTTTCATGGCAGAATTCTGTTGGTTCATAGGGACATACGAAAGGACTTCTGATTCTGAGGCTTGAATCTGGCTGCTCGCTGGCGGAAACGGTGAGGAGTGGCTGGTTGCGCGTGCGCGGCGAGGCAGCCACCCGCGCTATTGAGCCTTGCAGTGGCTGAGGTCCTCTTTACCAGGACCCCGGAAGCAGTCGAGGCACTTGATTCCGGTCGACGCGGACTTTTGCCGTGTCAGAAGTTGTGGGGCAGAGACATCCGTGTCCTGCCCGGCCATCTCTACTCATCGTCCATACCACATCCCTTGCAGTGCTCGGGAACACATTATGCCCACTCTTCCTGACCCTCCTGGCCCCTACGAGGTCGGGGCGACAACCTTCACACTACCCATCTCACCGCGCGGAATTGGTTCTTCGAAGATACGAACAAGTTCAGGGACACTCGAGCCGGCGCTGCTGCTCGAGGAGGTTGCATTCACCGCATTCTACCCTACCTCTCTAAAGCAATCCCCTCTGCCGAAAGCATTCCGCAAGGGGCTTCATTGGTTGACGCGGTAGGTACTTCGGCAACCTCGCATGTCTGATGCTATCCCCATCCCACAAATACTTTCGCACATCCCACACCCAATCGTCAACTCCCCTGAGCTCCATACAGCGCCTCTTGAAAGGGAGTGTTGGCGAACTCGATCACTCGTGCTGACCCTAGGCCAATGCATCGCTCTTCTGTAGGCCACTGCGCGATGCGGTGCAGGGCTACGCCCATTTTGCCGGTCCGAATTTTCGTTTCACTTCCCTGCGGTACCGATGGGGTACACAGAGCGGAGCTGATACCCTCTGGTCGCGCATGCAGGGATCTCGGCGATGCTCGTTTGGCCGCTGGTTCTCTTCTTTGGATCTCAGCTCAAGGTCAGCCTCTCTTCCTTGCCATTATCTTATCTGATTACAGACAATCCTTGTGGTTGCGGGCTGCTGTGTAGATCCCTGTATATCTGAATGCTCCGCCGCTTTCGCACGACACTGCGTCACAGGCTAGCATCGACGATGCATCAAGTTCTGTCCCGAAGTCGACGAGCTCACCCTGGCCGCTTGTTATCTTCTCCCACGGGCTGGGGGGAGGTCGCACGACATACAGGTCTGCTTGTCCGCTGCCATCAATTCTGGGAGAATCAAAGCTGACGCTTGGGCAGTCAGCTGTGCGCCCACCTAGCGTCTTCTGGTAGGGTCGTCTTGGCCCTTGAGCATCGTGATGGCACAGGCCCGGTCTTCAGGACGCGATCCGTCGATCCTGCAACGTCTCATAGGGGACTCTACCTCCGTCCAGAGGATGTAATGTAGGTGATCTGATGTTCGATTATAATAGATCAGTGGATGCTAATCGTAGATCCGCATCCAGTTGGGACGAGGAGGTACCACCGGAGGAAGCGAACCTGGCACTGCGTGCGGAGCAATTGGAATTCCGGCGATGGGAGGTTTACCTCGCATACCATGCCTTTCGCTCTCTCACCGGCGAGGGAGAGCACCAGTCATTGCTGCGCGTTGATGGAGCGTCTATAATTGGGGAAATATGGAAGGGTGTCGCCAGGTGCGACAAAGATGTTGCGCTTGTCGGCCATTCGTTCGGAGGGGCCACTATTGTAAGTTTCTGACTCTCGAAGCTGGCCTCAACTCATCACAAAAATTGTTTTGCGTACGCGTGCTTCAGTTCTCGACCTTGTCCAACCCTCCTCCAAGCACAGATACTCGTCCGATCCCTATTTCCCATGCGCTCGCGCTTGACCCATGGCTGGAACCCCTCCCTTCCCCGGGTCCGTCACCCATCGCATCCGCTAACGATCAACACCCCAAGATGTTCGTGATCAATGCAGAGGGGTTCACACTGTGGAAGGACCACTTTACCCGTCTCCAAGACCTCGTCCGGGCATGGGACGGCGGCCGTCTGATCACGTTTGGTGAGGCTGTTTCTGCCCACACTGTAGTCACTTTTGCCTGAACGTCATTGCATCGCTTCTAAGTGGGCGCCACGCATCTGTCCTTCTCCGATTTCCTCGTCATGATGCCGCGCCCTCTGCGAGATGCTTCTGCAAAACCGAACCTCCGCTCTATAAACAACATCGCGCAGTCGTTCTTGGATGATAAATTGGAAGAGGCTCTGGATGGGCTGACGACGCGCAAGATGGAAATACATTGGGTCGATCCGTCGCGGTGGTCGAGGAACAAGAGGAGGAAGCGGAGGTTGGTGGGGAATGTCGGAGATGTGGTCCTACACTAGACTTTAAATGTGGATCTACGTGCATGCCATTGATGTATTTCAATCCTAGAGAAAACGGCATGTATCATCGACGCGAAGGAGGCTCATGTGCGATTAGATTAGATTGCATTTAGACGCGTTATTTGACGCTGTTTGCAGTAGATTCGGCCATCGATGACTCGTATTTACGGACCTCCCACTATCCCCACCATCCGCACTATTGACCTATAGAATGCCCCCCAAGGCGACCCCGAGCGTGTCACCCGAGGCCGCTGCGCAGATCGAGCTCTTCAAGTCCATTGGACTGACCCAGGCGAAGGCTGCAGAAGCCGCAAAGAGCCCAAAGAGCGCAGGGATATTGACCGAGTTGATCGAGAAACATGATTTAGTAAATAAGGAGTTAGAAGAAAAGCAGGCGGGTCTCGTAGCGGCGCTCGCTGTTCAAGGCGGGAAGGTCGGGGAAGCAGAGAGGGGCTATGTGCTCGGTGCGGTTCTGGATGGACGACTGAAGAGCGTTGATCAGGTGAACGGTGAGCATTTTTGCCAACTCTGCCATCGCCGTGGCCCGCGTTGCACGCTGTTTTTAGAGCGGCATATCTTTGTTGTATATGTGTATAGGTGCTTATGGGGCGCCGTGCTTAGTGGGTTCTGTTTGTCTTCTGAACAGCTGCTACGAAATATCTCGAATCGCATCCGCTCCCCGTGGACACCAAGGCCTTCGATGAACAATGCGGCGTTGGTATGATCCTCTCTTATCTTGCCCTATCATTCTTCGACCTCAACGGATTCGTGAAGGCTTCAGCATCACGCCCGAGGAGCTGTATACAAAAGCCTTGGAGTACATCAAGACCAATGCGGTGTCGGGGTGGGCGAACCTCGGTGCCGTCATCGGCAACTTGAAAACCTCTCCGGAGCTTCGATGGGCAAACCCTCTCGAGCTGAAGAACACCGTGGAGCGCGCCTTCTCAGAGTCATTCGGCGCAAAAGAAGCCGCAAAGCCCAAAGCCAAGGTCAGTGCATTTGTCTTCGAGCACAGCCATGCAAATCTCACAGCTGTGCTTGATCCAATCACGATCACGATCACATAGGAGCTAAAGAAGGACAGCGTACCCAAAGCTAAAACGGCAGATTCCTCAGCAGGCTCGGCTTCCACGAGCACCAAGGTCGTCTTCGAGGAGGGTTTCCTCGGAAAGCTCCACAAGCCGGGCGAGAATCCACAGATTAACGCTGGGCTTCGTGATGCCCACCTCGCTGCCACGGGTGGACTCGTCTACACACGCTTCCCTCCAGAACCCAATGGGTTCCTACACATCGGTCACTCCAAGGCTATTTTCGTCAGCTTTGGGTACGCCGCGCATCATGGGGGGAAATGTTACTTGCGATACGACGATACCAATCCCGAAGCCGAGGAGGGGCGATACTTCGAGAGCATCTTGGAAATGGTGCGATGGCTGGGATACGAACCCTGGAAGATCACGTATTCGAGCGATTACTTCGATCGGCTCTACGAGTTGGCGGTGGAGCTTATTCGGCGGGATAAAGCATACATCTGCCATTGTACAGGTGCGCGCATCGCGTTTGAGGCTCGTGTTGGGTTTATTCTCAAGGATGACTAGGCGAGGAGATCCACGCGCATCGTGGTGGGGACGATGGAGGTCCACGAACTGCTTGCAAGCATCGCACAAGGCCCGTTTCCGAGTCCCTGCAGGAGTTTGAGAACATGAAAAACGGGAATTACAAGCCCGGAGAGGCGATCCTTCGCATGAAGCAGAATTTAGAGGACGGGAACCCGCAGATGTGGGACCTCATCGCATACCGGGTTTTGCTCGCTCACCATCATCGGACGGGGGACAAGTGGAAGATATATCCCACGTATGACTTCACGCACTGCTTGGTCGATAGCTTCGAGAACATCTCGTAGGTGTCCTCCTTATGGCAGGTGGTGCTTGTGCTGATCATTTTTCGCAGACATTCGCTCTGCACAACTGAGTTTATCGCATCACGGGTCTCCTACGAATGGCTTTGCGACGCGGTAGAAGTCTACAAACCAAGACAGTCGGAGTTCGGTCGACTGAATCTTCAGGGCTCTGTTATGTCGAAGCGCAAAATCCTCGCCCTCGTCAACGAGGGTTACGTGCTCGACTGGGACGACCCTCGCTTGTACACCCTAATTGCCCTTCGGAGACGTGGCGTGCCCCCTGGGGCTATCACTTCTTTCGTCAGCTCTCTTGGGGTCTCTACCGCGCCTTCGAACATCCAGCTCGCTCGGTTCGACCAGTCCGTTCGTCAGTATCTCGAGAATACCGCGCCCCGGCTCCTCATGGTACTACGTCCTCTGAAAGTGACGATCGAGAATTTGCCAGAGGGTTATGCCCTCATGGTCGAGAAGCCTTTGCACCCGAAAGTTCCAGAACTGGGGACAACGACGATTCCGTTCACGCGCACCGTGTACATCGATGAGGACGATTTCCGCGTTCAGGATTCTCCAGACTACTTCCGTCTCGCGCCTGGAAAGACCGTCGGCCTCTTCCAGGCCCCTCATCCGATCACTTGTACCTCGTACAAGACGGACCCTTCGACCGGGGCTGTCACCGAGTTGATTTGCAAGCTCGAGGATGGTAAGGACGGTGCGGCGGTGAAGAAGCCGAAGGCGTTCATTCAGTGGGTTGCGGAGCACGCACCCAGCGGAAGCCCAGTCCGCGTCGACGAGACCCGCATCTTCCACCGGCTATTCAAGAGCGACAACCCGCTCGCTGCTGTGCCGGACTTCAAGGCGGATGTGGATCCCAACAGCCTGGAAATCGTGAAGGGTGCAATGATCGAGAGTGGGTTCTGGACCTTGGCAAAACGAGCATACGCAGCTGCGAAGAAAGAAAGCGTGGAGCGGACGGAGAAGGCGCTGGAGGAGAATCCCGGCGCAAGTGGTGGGGATGCCGCACACCGTGGGGATACACCGGTGGCGACGAGCGAGCAGCTGGTGGGGAATGAGTGCGTGAGGTTCCAAGGCTTGCGTGTGGCATATTTCGCGCTCGATAAGGACGCGAGAGCGGCGTGCCTCGACGAACCGGGTGCGAGTTCCCCTGGACGAAGGCAGGGTGACTACATTGTGTTAAATAGGATCGTCAGCCTGAAGGAGGATTCGGGTAAGACAGCATGATAGGAGCTTTTTCGGTTCATGTGTTTTTTGTAAAGGTACGAAGTATACTGAGAGATAATAGAACCCTTCTATCGGCGATTTCTGTGAGGGGTCCTCCAATGGGGCATCTGTGATAAATGTGGGTTCGAGCCCAGAGATCCAGAGCCTTATACAACCCATTCGATATGCCCATTGAGTTCATCACTCGCGGGTTAAGAGGGCTTGCCTTGCTATCACATCCGAAGCTACATGGGCCAAGATGGATTTCAACTTGAATGGCTACACACCCTAAATTACACAGTAATGAAACAGATTGATGGGGAAACGGTCCGCACCCTTTAACGTTGTCTGTGAGACAGGGAAACCCGTAGAGCAGGCTTTTTCACGACATAAAAGTCCTGTACACCATCCTCCCATCTCTCCATCTTGGGCTCGTTGGGTGCGAAAGAGAAGTTCTGCAGCAACCAGCAGACAACCATACGCATCTCGAGCAGTGCAAGGTTCTTACCCGCACAGATAGTGGGACCGAATGAGAATGGGAAGAAAGCGGCGGTGTTGTGAACGTATGCCCGACCGGTGCGATGGCTCGCGGCGGAACCCGTGTGTGCTTGCTCAGTGCTTTCGGTCAACCAACGTGTAGGAAGAAAGGAATCAGGGGCCGGCGAGAAATTTCGTGGGTCTCGATGAACGCTATACGTGTGAATGAATAGCTGCGTCTCCTCAGGGATGATACTTTAGGCGAATTAATGATACAGCCGCTGTAAAGCCGGGGAAAACAGACGCTTACTATTGACCGATCACTTTGGCTCCTGCACCGCGTAGAACGGACCGCTGGGAACCGCTGGGAACAGGAGGCTGCAAACGCATAGCCTCATTACTAAAATGAGAGTCAATCTAGTGTGATCGGTCGCCACAGTATGGTTTCGAGACCCACATGCACGCATTCAGGTATTCCATGCCGGCCATCTTGACAGCGTCAAGAGGTTCCTCCCCTTGAGGAAATGCGGAGTCAACTTCAGCCTGTAGACGGGCATAGGCGGTTTTGTCCGATAAGAGATAGTACAAAAGTGCTGTGAGCACGGTCGCAGTCGTGTCAGAGCCAGCGATAATGGCGAGGGAGCCGTCCGCAGCGAGAACAGAAGGCGGAGGACGCGCAGGCTCGACGCCTGCTTCGTCACTCTATTGTGGGATCTTCATTGAGTACAGATAGAAGATAATTGCCGAGGTATCATACCAAGTGGTAGAACAAATCCTTGCGGGTAGCTCCGAGCTTCAGTCGTCTTGCAACATTGACACGGGCAAAATTACGCATGCGTTCAATGATTTGATCCTGCCACCCAGGCAATCGATTGAGGAGACTGAGGATCCACGAAGTATGCCCGAGAATGGCGGCAAGTCTGTGAAAAGACACGTGTCAAAGAATTATCAGGAAATGACCATAAGAATAGTGAAGAACACGTACTCCAGGCCGGCTTCAAAAATATGCCAGACCCCTTTCACATCCCCTCCATCTGCCATCAGCTCGAATCCGCCACCAAAACTGGTTGTAGAAATCAGAAAGGTGCTAGAGCATAGCCAAGCATACGTACGCCATGTCACCCATGAAATCGGTTCTAGTGAAGTGGAGAATCGTTGTTACAGTCCAATGAGGTTGAAGACAAAAACTTACGTGAAATAGCTCAACCATGCACTTATGTCGACAGTAGCCACACCTCCATTGACATCTTCAACTTTCTGTTCAAAGCACTCTTGAAGTTGGCGACATCTCTTAGCGATGATGACTTCGTATTCTTTGAGGGCAGCACTTGTAAACCCACGATTCCATGGCTTTCTGCGGTGCGCGTGTACTGAGGGGTCACGCTGGCCTACTAAAGAAGGTGGCTGCGAGCGATTGTCCCACCCTGGTTGGATGCCATCAGCGGGCAATGTAGTCAAAAGGAGCAGTGACGTACATGGTCCCTTCGGAAGACCAGTGGTGCCTAGGACCGGTTGAATCGCCGCAGCGTTGCGAATAGACAGTTCGTTAGGTCCTGTCAACTCAAATAAGTCGATTGCCATTCATATCACGATGTCTAAGTCTTACCGACGCGGATGATATCTCCGTAGCGGTCGTGCAGCGCCTTGTAATAGAGGTGCTGCTTTCCGGTCGCACAAACGTACGAAGCCCACCACTTCGACACTTTAGCAAGCGTTGGGCCCTTAAATTTTGCGAGCGGGTGAAGCGGAGATAGCCGGTAGGTGGTGGTATAGAAGAGGATGAGAAAATAGTAAGATGTAAATGCCCAAATCGAAGCCTTGGATTTTGTGGAGAAAAATGGCACGAGGAGCAAGCTCAAAGCACTTGGGATGATGCATAGGAGAATGAACAAGGGGAGGGGGTGTTGTGGCTCGTAGCGTTTGAAACACAGATATGAAGCCTACAAATCACATTCATCAGCTCAACAAACTCAAGAGATTTTAGAACGGCCGTTGACGCACCAAGCTAGTTGCAAGCATGATTGCAATTGCATCACTTGCCACGAGCAAGGGCGCGATGCTGATCAGTGACATGATAGAGAATTCTGCACAGGGGGAACGAGATGGACGAAGTTGACGGAGGATGTACACTGTCTTAGGAGAACCTTGGTAAGGAGACTCCTATATATGCTGAGATCTGCCGTGCAGCAAATAGTCATAAATTGATTGTATCGCCGTCGGGCGTCGTAGAATCCGTACCCGAGGTCCGGAATCAAATCGGGATGGCTGGGGTAAGCCCCCATACCTGTGTGCCACAGAATTACCGCGTAGAAGGACCGAGTTTTGGGTCGAATGTCAGAGGAGCCGATAGCGAGGTTACACTACTCCTGACAGAGTGGCCCCGACGCCTGAATATCATTTGAAACTACTCAGCGCCAAGATATCCGATTCCGCATATATCATGTCTGTATGAACATGCGGTTCATTGCAATGAACGAGACCTCAGCGCTCAGCATCGCATTCAGCAGACTCCAGCTCTAGTTGAGCAGGTTTCATTCTGGTAGGAAACGAGGCAGAGGCGCCACAAGTGATTATGTTCAAAAACAAGCCCTAGGTCAACAAAAAGATGGGCAAGCGATAGGAGTCAGAGAATGCCTGTTCAGAGTTTTGGGCTTCCAGTGGTAATGCCGCGATAAATTGGTGTTGTTGGTGTTGTTGGCGACTTCCAGAGAATTGAGGTCGTGACAGAGGTGTCCGGAGGGCATGCGCTAAGCAGAGGTGCCTTGCTGACTACGGAGGCTCCTACATTGAACCACCTTGGGCATTCTCAGTGTTTTCACTTCTGCATTCATCGACGATCGGATGGGGTGTCATCATTCATATGAAAAGCTGGCGAACTCGACATCCTCGTGTCTTGCTTCTTTGTGCAGCTCAGACTCAGCCATGAATGCCGGACGGTCAGATGGCGAGTTCATGTGGCGAGAGACTATTGAGTTGTGAAGATACACTCTTCGGACTTCTGCTGGCTCACATGTCAGTCTGTGCCCTCTTCTTGCTCCTCCTTCCCATTCAGGAAGCTGAAAAACTGGTTTGAGCTAGAAGAATCGATCATCTGAGGCTTGGCCCTGTGACTTTCATGTAAGTGACTTTCGGATTGACTCTGCATATACCATTGGTGCTGAGAATATTGTAGCAGTGTTTTATGCCTGCCTTCCTCCATCCGGCTCTTCAGCGCAAGACGGACGATCGAATCGGCATCTACGTCATTCGAATGACCTAGGCCGACATTCTGTGATTGAACGTCACCATTCAGTTGCACGGTTTACTGTGAAAATATCGTGCAGGAACCTCGGGTAAGTGCAGCCGAGCTCGTGCGCTTCGCTCGATAATTGCGTGCCCAGCGGGACAACTCAAGTGCGTAGAATGTATATAGTTCAATCACCACCTGTTGTAGATGTACCCCCGGCTTCCATTCACCAATCATACCACGCTGCGGGTACCTGCTAGTCAACCGACAGTTCCTCGAATTCTTACCGGTACGCAGCGTATAAACCCCTTAATTTTCTCTACCGACTTCACGGGCTCTTGTCCAGAGCTCGTTCAATTTTGGGTTCAAAGAACACTAGGCACGTTGCCGGCCTCGTGTTACTGTAATCAAACGCTTGGATCGAGTTTTGTCATATCACCTTGTTCAGTGTGCTATTCTCCCACCACGTTCGAACCTCCCCAATATCCGCTTTAGCATATCTGCTAGAAAAGAAAAGCTTAATATTTTCCTATCCTTTCTCGATGTTCCCTTTGCCAAGACCCATACGACATATATAGGTTTATTTTGGGTTTGTACGTGTTGCAGTCGATTGAACTCTCACATCGACCAATTCGTTATTGACATTGCTGTGAATGTACCTGCCATATTTACATGACTGAGTCCGTGGCAACATGCTCGGTCTGACCTTGAGCGATTGAGCGATTGTCTTTGATACTGAAGTAGAATACATGAGTCCTTGTCGTCTCCTCAAGAATGCCACACATTGAGAATATTTCTTCCCAAACGTCATGAATGACCAGTCAGTATTCCTGAGTTTCCTCCTCTTCGTCCACACCTTCCAAAAATTTCACTCCCTCTCGTTTCGCTTCCATTATAGCCTCTGCTTCCTTTTCCTCTGCGAATCTAACGAGGTCAAGCAAGATTTCGCGCTGTCCCGTGACATAGTCCTTTATCATCTCCGCGACGTCCGACCTGATCTCTGCCTGAGGAGGGCCGGGCAGTCGCAACAGGAGTGCAGACGACATTGATTGCAAAGTAGCGGCAGCATCGTGCGTCAAAGACCAGGTCGGGATATCGCCCTCTTCACCCTCGGCCTGTGCTGCCGCGCGAACGGCATGTAAGATCTCGTCCCATACGCCCTCAACACCGCGTGCATCCCTCCCTACCTCCCATTTCTTGCCTTCTGCGGTTGCGCCACCGATTCTCAGCACGATCGTATCATCGGGATTATCACAGATCGAAAAACCGTAGCCTAAGATCAATTCTGAGTTGGGCTTCGGGCCGTAATTGTTGAAGAGCTCAGATAACGCGGGAATGGGCGCAGGATTGACCAATGATATAGAGGCGTCTTCGCCGTTGACCGCAGAGAGACGTGATGATAGCGCGGAAGAAGCCTGAGCGGCTTCCTTCTTCTGGTTGTGCTCCTTCCCATCGGAAGGGGTGAAGCTGACTACCCAAGAAATGGGATGGGCTCGAGCATGATTGAGCGCATCAACACCTGGCAGAAGCACAGGGTACGAAGATGGCCCGGTAACAAGCGACGGTGCGGGCGCAAGGAGCGTTGAAGGGAAGGCCCGAGAGGACAGATATGTTGCTGCAGTGAGGTAGCGGTCCCTGTGGCGCAGTGGCGTATCATAAGCAATTTTTTAGCCCGATTTTGAGATTTATGAATGAATGAACGGACCATGTGAAAGAATCGGCCCAGCTTCTGTTCGCTTGTGAGATAGAGGTCTGACATCGCGACCACTCTTTCTCCCACTCGTTCCGGCGGTCCAGGGTCGCCCCGTATAGGTTTGTGCCTTTGAGGGCGTCAAGCTCGGCAGAAGTGAAATGCAGAGGGGTCCGCAACCGTTCCAGGGGTGGAAGGGTCCTCAAGTAGGGCGCGTGTGCAAGGGCGTCATATCTACGATAAATGAGCCTTATTAATATGATATCCGATGATCATCGACCGAGAAAGCTTCAAACACCAGGTCTCTGGCTTTATTCAGAAACATATAATCTCAAAAGAAAAACCCGCCCGACGGGTAAGCACCACGCTTTAGCGCGTACGATGAACAACAGTCTCAACTAATCTGAACAAGCCCGGTAACTCGCCGCGCGTAATACGGCGTTTCACGCGGAGAAGTATCTTCTGTCCACCAAGAAAGGAATGGGCACATACCGTTCAGGTTCAAGGATCCAATGAAAACAGATGTAGGCACAAATTAATTGACGCTCAGACCAATTGCTGATAATTGTTTCGTTTTGAAGCAACGTCAACAAAGCAGTCCGAGATAAGTTTGGTGTGATCACGAGTGAGAAAGGGCACGTCACGATGGTAGTTTCGGGCTCAAGCGCATCAATAGTGATGACTGTATGACCAGTGTCCACTAGAGAAATGCTCGATAACCTTCAGAGACTACAGAGAGAAGCTATACCAATGGACATACCAGGGGCATATCGAACGTGGGGATCCAGGTAGGCACCGTTTGCGGTCATCCATGTCTTGAACTCGATGATATGCTTGGACTCAGTGGTCACTGCATGCTGAAGAGAGTCTACTGGCATGATATGGGATCCAAGTTTGCCTAGAATACGCTTGGTGGGCCAAGCAAGTACAATCCCGCAAGAGTCTGTAGTACCTATTCTTACGCCAGAGTCAGTAAGGCTAAAATTCAGTCTGCTGGCGAGATGTGGAATGTTGAAGGAGCGAAGGAGTCGATCGAATTCGCGGGGTTTCTGTCATTGGGTGACGGGGGTCCCGCCTGAGCTCCTGAATCGGGGTTAAGGCTGGTTAAGACCATAGCCTACTCGGCAAGCCCGGGCCGTATCTACGAGTCATGGCTCTACACTGTCTTCTGAGTCCTTGTCGACTCACCCTTCCCTGTGAGTACCATTCATTTCCTTTCCGGACCTGCCAGGTAAGGTTTGCTTTCTCAATACATGTTTTGGCACCAGCTGATAAGATATCAAAGACCGAGAATGCCGACAACAACACTTCACTTCGATGCCATGTCAGTGACCTCACTTTCAATTCTCTTCAGGCGCGGCATTGATTCACACATGGCCATAGTCTTTTTGATATGGATGGCACCCTTGTCGACTCGACTGCAGGCGTCCTCGGTGCATGGGAGATCTTTTCGAAAACGTACCCCGGCTTCCATGTTCCTGACATATTGAGTTGTGCGTTTAGTCCATGTCCATCCATGCGTTCGAGCGTTCAAATGCCAATATATAGCTGCTCACGGTGTCCGCACTGTAGAGAACCTTCGCAGATTTTGTGGTATAGAAGATCCTGAGGAACTCGAGGTCTGACTCTTTGACACAAGTTACTGAGAGAAAGCATTAAAATATCGGGTAGCGAGAGGCCGCGCGTTTTGAAGGAGCAATCGTTTCCTCATCGAAGGACAATGGGGGGCAGGGAATTATACTTCTCCCAGGTGTTCGTGAAATAATTGACGAGGTACCCCGCTATACGTTCTTCAGTCAACGTCTATGCTAATTTGTTGCAATCACAGCTCGCACCAGGAGCAAAATACCCGACACCATGCTGGACCATATGCACGTCCGCGACGTCTGTTTATGCTGGTAAGGCATTGGCATTTGTCGGGATCGAGATCCCTGACGCCATTGTCTACGCTGAGGACGTCAAGCAAGGAAAGCCACAGTGCGCATTTGTCTCTTCATTTTTAAGAAGCATTTATATCTATCGGACACATAGACCGGATCCTTACCTTCTCGGAGCCAAACGGTGTGGCGTAGACCCTAAGAATTGTCTGTGTCGAACATTTCTGTGCAACGTGTTATGTTTGAGCCCATCCTGATCCCTGATGATAGGCCTCGTTGTCGAAGATGCACCAGCTGGTGTACGGAGTGGTCAGGCCGCAGGTTGCAAGACCCTCGGCTTGATTACTTCTCATACCCGTGAACAGATGCTCGCAGTGAACCCAGATTTCCTGGTCGATAACCTGGCAAGGTACGCTAATTGAAGGTTTCAGACAGCCACCTGATTAACATTGCTAATTAATGTGCAGCGTCACTATGAAGCGCGCAGAAAAGGGCGTGATTGTGACGATTACCACTTCATAGACATAGATGCAAGTTGGCGTAGATGCGCATACTGATTTTAGATCTAGAGGTCATAGATGTTGCTTGCCTAGTTCGGAAGGCTGCTGGAGTTAGAGAATGTTCTAGGACACCATATAGAGCTGTTGAGCAGCAGGAGTATATCGACGCACGTACAGATTCGACTGGTAACTAGAACAGAACCAATCCCGCTTTTACAACTATAAAGGGCTACTTCGGTTTCAAATAGAGTTCTACAGGTCGTCGAAATCCTAGCGAAAAGATTTTGACAATGTATTAAATGATAGAATTCAATGAAAGTAGACGCACTGCCTTCTCCAGCAACGCCCAGACGTTTCATGGATACGAACCCGATTTCTTTCAACAAGCGCTCAAAATCAGCAGGTTGGATCTTGAGATTTTTCGCATTTTCTTGCAGCAGCTAATCAATCGAAAGATTGGCAAAAACTCATATCAGGAGATCGAACACGTACTGGATCAAGCTTGCGCGCTTTTGTGTACGAATCCCATTGTTGTGGCTCAAAGACAAATGTCCCTCCAGGTCTTAATGCATCATAGACTCGATGGAAGAAGCGTCGGAGGCCTGAATCGCCGCCGTTCAGATGTATCCATTTCGACACGGAAAGCCTATGTATGTCGTATGTCAAGCTAGTGGCATTTGACTAAGGAACATGAGGACTCACCCCAGAACAACATCGTAGCCTTCCACATCCTCAGGGATTACCTCGTGGACCCAATCGGCGCATCTGAACGAGATATTATGAGGAAAGGTGCCTGTATCTCCAGAGATATCGGACGGCAGAATTGGCAGCTGTCCAAACATAAGTTGGCATGAGGCAGGGAAATAGTTAGGATCGGGAGGAGCCGTCGATAGCGAGGCTGGGAGGGCTTCACGTGGACGTTTATTCGATGTGGGAAGCACGGTCGAGGGAGTTGCGGGATTTGAGCGGGGAGAATCGACAGGTGCTTGCAAGCTCCAAACGGCCCGACGTCGTTTCCAAGCCATTCGGACCAGAGTCTCGTCTATATCGACGCCTACAACATGCTGTGCGGCCCATGACTGCGCTGTAAACCGTCAATGCGAGAAAGTGATACATTATAGAGGTCTTCACACCAAGCTCGCATGATACCCACCCCTCGTTGCACCCTATATCCAAGACGCGCGCGCCGATGAGAAGTTCGCGGGGGAGAAGGGTGAGACGAGGGTCGTACGGCAGCGGGTTATGGTGGTATCTAGTACAGAAACATGAGTCTGCACGTAAACTTACAAGTAAAACTCCAAACCTATGATAGTTGTGATAGTTTCCGTGAGTCGGTGTATTGGGACTAACAGACGTCATCGTCGCTCAAGTTTCGTCGACAGATGCTCTTTGGAAAAAATCTATGGATCGTCACTTTTTGTTATTTAATGAGTGTAGCTACAGTCGTTTGCATGTCAGCTTGCACTCGATGCGGGCGAGAAATTGTTTGTTGTGGCCAAACAGCGTGATATCCTTTGTCACTCTACACAGCCACCGGCGCGCGACAACTTCAACGACCGCCGTGTCGTGCAAACCGCTCCTTGAATGAACGGAGTTGAGTCAGAGTCTTTATGCTGTGAGTTATGCCAGTAGACAATGAGTTCCCTCAACTCGATGGAGAGCTGAGGTGCCATGGAGCAACCGCCGACTTTACGAAGTAACAGTAGGTAACAGTGTGACCCATGTGACTATTTGGCTACAACAAACAGTTTTTCGCCCGCGTCAAGTGCAAGCTGACATGTAAACGACTGTAAGTTACATACGATACTTGAGCTTGCTTGCGCCTGTGTATTGCCCATTCGGCAGAGTGAACTCGTAAGAAATGGCAGTTGCCCCAAGAGCGGGGTGTGTGGCAAGCAGTTGATGCACAGAATCTTACTAGGCTATCACACTCGTTCATTCTGCTCGGGCTGGCAATCGGTATGCACGCTGCGAATGAGCACCGGTATCACAGAAAACAGCATGACCTCCGCGCTCTTACCTCTGGTTTTGCCTTCAATACTATTTACCATTTTTTTTGTCAATGCATCAGCTTCAAGTCTGAGAGCGCAGCATTCTCTTCCCAATCACATTTCACGCTGAAAAGCTGAAGAGAGGTCGGGATGAATGAGGTCCTGTCAAGTTCTCGCGCTCTACTTCAACTGTTCCCAGCCCTGATATTGACGTCTAGGCGTGTTCTTCATCACTAGAAGGCATCATCAACTAATGATGCTATCTTCTGATGAGGCCTCGAGCGCCAGAAGGCAGGCTGAGATGAAGCGAAGCGTTCGCGGCTCACCATGATGCTACCGCTACTATATTATTCCACATTTTTCGGACTCCCGTGGTCCTATGGCGTAAAGTCGAACCTTGCTCCTGTTCTTTACGAAGCGTGCAACCTTTGAAAGTCGTATCCGCGAAACGAATGCAATGTTACATTAGTTACATGCAAACGGAAAACACATTCAAAAAAATCATATACTGTAGCCCAAGAAGTAAAACATAAAAGAGGAGGATCGACGTGGCGAAAGATATCACTGACAAGAACAAAGCCTAGGTACGCCGACTGTATCGAAGCGTACTGTCCTAGCGAGATGTGGCGAGGAGTAACAGAGTTACAACGGAACAAACCACGATAGGCACATTACGTATTCCCGAGAAGAACCGAGTAACGATGAGCGGGTACGCGAAAGAGTCCACGGAATGTCTGCTTGTTTTAAATAGCTAATAATCCGTAAAAGGTGTGTTCCAAAAAAAATGGAGAGGATGCCTGAGAGGCAGCGATAGCATGACGGTTTGAGCCGGAGACAATGTAGGAGGCTGTAGACCAAGTTTCCGAGAAAAGAATGACCAGCTTGCCTGCAAGAATCGCAGACACGCCAGCCAGGGCCTGCTGCATACACATACAATGCTCGAATGTATATACAACCTCCCATTGTATCAGGCCAGAGGAAGAGAAGCGCACGTATATTGCCCATTGGTATTGCCCACGGACGTCTGTCTGTTGTTCACCAAAGAGGCTTCGCGAGAGGTGAAAGCTCGCTAGGCCCTTCCTGCACCAATACCGGCACCATTTGCACCGTAGAAAGAGTCTAGCGAGGGCTCGTAGCCGCCATGAGGTACTCTTGAGGCACCACGGGTATACGAGACGGGCGGGGCCTGCTGTGCGTGCATGGTATTAGCAGGGTCTGCGAACGGGTGGGTACCGCTGGGAGAAGTCCGGCGCACAGGAGCGGGGCCAGCAGCGTAGGGATCATATTCTCCGGCCTGCTGGTACGGGTCGCCACGAGAATCGTACGCGCTCGCGCGATACTCGGTGCCGGGAGGATACTCTATCCCATACTCCGTCGGGTTGTAGACTCCAGCAGTGGGCTGCATGCCACTAGGCTGCTGCTGTGAGATCCCATATGCATCGGGCTGACCGTAATGCATCCCGCGATCAGGATAGGCAGCCATTTCGGTAGGCGCGATCGCGATGTTTGTTGCACTCATTCCAAGGGATCCGCCGCCCAGTTCCTCGCCGCGATCGAACCCGTCGTGTGACGTAGAGGGTTTCTCAAAGTAAGTAAAGTCCTCATCGTCGAGTTCGCGCTTGGCATTGCGTCGTCGGACATAGACCAGGATAAAACCGCCGATTATGATAAGGGCGACAACGCCGACTGCGGCGAATGTGCCGGCGACGGCTGCTTTATTGGAGAAAAATCTAGCGGGGGTAAAAAGGAGGGACAATGATTCAGAATGGTTACAGGCAGATCGTGATCGGAACATTTACCCCGTCGAAGCAGCACCGGAGATGCTTGTTTGGGAAGCAGTGGCGGCGCTAGAGGTGGAGACAACGCGAGACGCTGTCGCGAATGTGGCGGTCTCCGCAACTACCGCAACAGATGCAGTTTGGGTGACTTGTGCAGACGTTGCACTTGCGGAGCTCTTGGCAGAGGTCGACGCTGACGTGCTACACGTGGATGTGCATTCAGAAGCATATGGGGATTTCGACGAATACATATACGTACCTGGAGGCCAAAGAAGCGGACGATGATGAGGCAGACGAGGGGGAGGATGCTGAAGGAGACGCTGATGTCGTGGCGAACGATGTCGCTATGGTCGAGGAAGGGGTGGAAGTGGTGCCGGACGAAGGTGTGGCCGAAGGTGCGGCCAAAGATGAAGACTCAAAGGAAGAAGAGGGCGATGGGGAAGTCGACGATGCAGATACAATAGATGTAGAGGTGACTTCTGCGGTGGAAGACGACTGCCTGACGCTGGACGAAGGTGGTGCAGACGAAGTCTGCGCCGTCGACGAGGAAGCCTGTGAAGTCGGAGTCACCAGCGATTGACTGATCGACGAGACCGACCCATTATTGGCTTCTGAACCCGTGTCTGCCTGGCGTGCATTCACGAATGCAAAATTCCTAGAAGAGATCAGGTCGAATTCGCGCTTTCGCGACGTGAGGACGACCGAGGGACTTTCCCCAATAGCAATATGGTCGCCGTAAATAAGAGTGAAAGACAGTGTGGACAAGAAGACGAGTGAAATGATTGTGAAGATGCGCGCTGCGCAGGACGGCGTGCTGCGCATCGTTGAGAATTACACGGGAGACAGGCAGATAATGTCGGTCTCCAGGCTGTTCGAGAGTCGACGCGATGAAGGAAGCCGTCAGATGCTCTTTATTTCAGTTTTAGCTACATTACGTGATCACTGTGTAACCACTGTTGTGCCTGATCGTTGCCCCTCGAACAGGCGCCTCGAACAACTCTCGAACAGCGCTTGAACCACCATCATAGTTGGATCATGGTCTCGCCACTAGGTTTTTTCTTACACTCCCCGGGAATCATAGAGGATTGCAAGCCATCAGAGAATCTATATCAGCTGCTTTGGTGACGGTTCTCAAAAGGTTTGATATTAAGTACATCGACGGGGCAAATCTAGATACTACTTGGAGAAGGGACGGACATCTGATGATTAGTATGTCACTAGCAACGAGGGATTCTAGTCGACGGCTCCGACCATATATCAACAAGAAGAGAAAATGAGATAAAAATAATGCTTAGGCTTGGGATGTTATATTTAATTCAGCTGGCTTCCCTTGGTTAGTATAGTCGTGTATGCCCGTATCCTGGACGGCGCCCATCTGAAAGGTAGCTCCTCCAGACATATGCGGTCTGGTGAAAGCCTCGACAGAAATACCTGGAATGGCAGCGGCAGATCGAGGCCTTGCGAAGCTCATGGAGCCGGCATCCCCTACAGGGATATCGGACAAGTCCCATACGGTTTTTTGGAGGCTGACCAGGACTATAATCATAGTCGGGTATATGCCCTAGACGGGTTTGAAGTGTGTCATTTGGCCGACCGCAAAGGAGGTGCGATGAGCTTACTGCAATCTGAGGACTTGCTGCCATAAAGATATCGAGTGCAGTGGTACTACTCGACGGTATTGCGGTAAACCCAATAAGCGCAACCTGAACGCATCCAGGTCAACGAACGTGGGGTCAGACGCCAGAATCAATATATACTCGCCCACATGAGGCAGTAGAGCACGCCAGACTCTGCAAGCAGGGCTAGGACCCTTTCTCCGACGGTTCGTCTTCTAGTATTGATGTTCCTAATGAGCCGCCGATGTTGCCTAAGATTAAAAGAGCGATGTATTCAGCCATACATATCGTCAGTGACGGTCTGCATTGCAGACCTACCAAGCTTTGATCGCAATGAGCGCAGTAGCCGCTATATTCGTTCCAAGTTCCAGACTCCACGTTGCGTACTGAGCGTAATTGATGGCGGCCTGTATCTCGATGGTGTCAGAGGTCAAAGATTTGGCCATGTATCCTATTGAAACACATGTGGCGACTAGACAAGGCTCAATGAGATTCGCTGAAACGCAAGACGTAGATTCTCACCGAAAGCGCACGCCAAGAGACCGATCGGCAATGCCATGACCTTGCGATTATCGTGCCACAATGACCACGCCCTCCAGACGACGATGGCGTCACCCAGGATGTACTAAGGAGATGAATGCCTCCAAACAGTCCTCGATTGAAGCGGACGTATATACTTACATTGATCATGGGCAGATAGAGAGTTGAGACTCTCATCCCGTTGACCCAAGCATTGACCCAAGCGAATTTATTCTCCAAAGGTTGATCGGGCTGCATAACCAGGATGCCCCGTATTTGCCTCAAGACAGTGACTAGTTCCACAGCCCAACAGCTTGTGGACGCCGCGAACATGGTCAGAGTGAGAGTCAGTATAATAAAGTTGGCCTTTGTCCAATCCTTGCGGCTATTTTGAATCAGCCATGACGGGTATTGAACAGACATGGTAAGGTAGACATACAGAACGAGATACGTTGAAAGCGTTGCGAGAACCAGGAGAACCCCTTGAATAGCACGAGTCAGTGCTCCTATGCCTATACAGATGGTATATTGTGAAATTACCATAGAGCAAGGTTGCCAGTACGAGCGAGGATACATTGTCTAGAAAGACCGCGCCGACATGTTGGAACACCGCTGGGTCTTCACCTACTGACATTGCGAGGTTCCGGAGGATACTACGGGGTGGTTGAGAAGGGGTCCGAGCGAGGTACAAATGCAAACCGAAGGAGAGGTGAGAGACTGGATGCAAAACACCGATCGCGCAGGAGATGATCTTTATGAAGAATTTTGATTCTGTTACAGATAAATACTGTGCACAGGCTACTTAGAGATTTGCGTTCTGAACAATGTGGCGGGCTGGAACCGCGGGAGGTGCCCTATCGATGCACACAATTCAAAGCTGAGACGAATATATTATGAGATCTGATGGATTCACCTCTCTGGAAAGCCTTTCCGAGTCCTTCATGCATCATGTCCTATCATGTCGCGCTGTGTGCCCGAGGACTTTGAGTCAGTCAGAGCAAGTGAGGAACATGCCGTGACAATCATGGTGACGGGTCGCGCCGTCACTGCAGGTCACAGCCCCGCAACACCACGTATAGCAGTCGTTCACTGAGCCTGTAAGGTACGACAACAGCATTTCGGGATTGATTTTTGACACTATGGTGAGCAGATTGCGAGCCAACCATTATTTTTCTGAATCAAAGCTTACTAACTACACTAGGTCGTACTTGCAGCGTCAATATGCACGAAGGGCGGGAAGGGTAGGCACTATCTATCACATTTACACATTTATGGACTAACAATGGATGCATTTCGTCCCACCAGCTATCATTTCACGACAGTTCCGCGAGATGTCGCGGACACGCATTGAATCTCTCCTCGCCTCGTTTCCCAAATTGATCCCGCCGAATACCCAGCACACTTCCGTCGAAACCACGGATGTCCGTTACGTATACCAGCCGCTGGAGGACCTGTACATCGTTCTCATCACGAACAAAGCTTCAAACATACTGCAAGACATAGAGACGCTGCACCTCTTCGCTCGCGTCGCCTCAGACATGTGCAGAAGCGCAGACCAGCGCGAGATCCTCAAAAACTCGTTCGAGCTCGTCGGTGCCTTTGATGAGATCGTGAGCCTGGGCTTCAGGGAACAGGTCAACGTCATGCAGATCAGAAGTGTTCTCGAGATGGAGAGTCACGAGGAGAAGATTCAGGATATCATTGCCCGCGTATGTCATCTCTGAATATGGCCCACCGCTCGCGTCTGACTTCGTTCGCAGAACAAGGAAGCGGAAGCGAAGGAGGAGCTCAAGCGCAGAGCAAAGCAGCTCGAGATGCAGCGCCGCGAGCAGCAGAGACGCACAGCTGCAGGCGGGGGTGGAGGCGGAGGCAGCTACCTCGGCGGCGGACCGACTGGATATTCTCCCGTGCCCCAACGCTTCGACACTCCTTCTGCTGTCCCTATCCGCAAGTCCTCACCAGCCCCCTCTTCCGTGCGCGCGCCCGCCTTCAAAGGCAGCGGCATGAAACTAGGGAGTAAGAAGACAAAACAAGCAGAGCTTCTGGATGCGCTGGGCGGCGAGGCCCTGCTTTCGGAAGACATGTCCGTGCCCACTACGCCTGCCGTTGCATCGGCCCCTGATCTCGGGGTGACGAAGGCTCCAAGAGGGAGCCTCCCTGCTGTCACACCCGGAAGGTAAGCATCGCGCCATCGTCGCTCTACCTATCAGTCTTCATAATCAATCTTGGCATAGCATCCATATCATTACAAAAGAGAACATCACGCTAGCCCTCTCGCGGGAGGGCGGCCTCGAGTCCCTGGAGGTCAAGGGAGACATGAATCTCCGCGTTTCGGAGGCGGATCTGTCTCGCGTCAAAGTCGTCCTGCTCCCCCCACCTTCCGATTTTGGCTCCGAGCTCCAGTTCAAGCAACACCCAAATGTGGGCAAGTTCGCCGCGAACAAGGAACGTGTGATTGCCCTGAAAGATCCCGCGCGAGGATTCCCAGTCAACCAGTCGCTCGCTGTGCTCAAGTGGCGGTACTCGGGCAAGGACGAGAGTTACGTCCCTCTATCTAGTGCGCCATCTCTGTCCTTATTGCGCCCGAAAATTGAAGAGCTGACAAGCATGTGTGCCTCGCAGTTAACTGCTGGCCGACGCCTTCAAATGACGGGACGTGCGACGTGAACATCGAGTACGAGCTCGAAAACGAGGGTCTCACGCTCTACGACCTCGTCATCTCAATTCCGCTCCCGTGAGTCCGATTCTCATCCCGCACCGCCCTCCCATCTCCTATTTCGCACAACACTTGAATCATCTCACACCCTCTGAATCATTTCATTTTGAATCAATGATCGATCTAGAGCGGGCTCGTACCCCACCGTGTCTTCGCACTCAGGCGAGTGGCAGCTGAACCCCTCGACCCACTCGCTCGACTGGTCCGTTCCGCTGGTCTCTGCGGAGGACCGGTCGGGCGCGATGGAGTTCTCCGTCAGCGGAGATGATGTCGGCGCCTTCTTCCCTGTCCGCGTCTCGTTCGTCGGCCAGGGCAATTCTGTCGGCGTCCGAGTGGCGTCCATCTCGCGCGTGGACAACGGCGAGGAGGTCGAGTTCTCGGAGGACGCCATCGTTACAACGGACGAGTATTTGGTAGTCTGAGGGTGTAGCAGTCTAGACTTTGTGTACGGTTTCCGTTCTCGGAAAATATTCAATTTATGGTATCAATATTATCCTGACGTGTGACCCGCCTTTACCCGCCTTTGGCTATCTTGCTTTCTCTTTCGTCTCACTATCATTGAGTACGCTGTCCTAAGACCTTCATCAGCAATGAGTCATTAATCAGTTCTTGATGTGTTGTGATAGACGATCCGGTGAGCGGCACTGTGTAGACGGATCACAATGAAATAATCGAAAGCGTTGAGACGATCAAGCCAACGCTTGTAAACAGTTGTCAAACAGATCAACTTGTATAAACCGCATTCTCATTAAACGGACGCGACAAGGGATATATCTTGGGGAGTTATATACAGCGTTGAGTACCAATTAGTTAGAACAACCAAGAGGGCCACAGCAGCTAATAACTGTTATTGTAAGATCCGGGAACAGTACACCATAGGGAAGATAGCCAGAAGTAAAACACTCGACTGCGGATGGAAGTGCCGATGGCGAGGAAGGGTAAAAAAGTGGTATCATCATCGTCGACAGCGAGAAATTGAAACCGTCGAGAGAATCAGTACTCTCCCTCTTCCTCGGCCTCTACGGTATCCAGGCCAACTTCTTCGTAGTCTTTCTCGAGCGCGGCGAGGTCCTCGCGGGCCTCGGAGAACTCACCCTGTCGAAAGGCGTCAGGTCTAGGTCTCTGATGCGACGGAAGACCACATACCTCCTCCATACCCTCCCCGACATACCAGTGGACGAACGCGCGCTTTGAGTACATGAGATCGAATTTGTGGTCTGTGGAACAATCAGCATGTCGTCAGAAGACAAAACACTTTAACCGCACCAAGACGCTTCCAGGCAGAAGCAATGGCCGTGGTGCTAAAAGTGCGAAACAAGTGTCAGAGGTCGCCCAGACAGCCAAAGAACAAAAGAAGGCGGACTTCGAAAGCATGGCCAAGCTCCGAGATGTCTTCGCAAGGTCGCCTCCGGGAACGGTGGAAGCAGGCTCGCTGCAAACACCAAGCTGCACAAAGATGACGTCAGTTCTCCAAAATTTTCATGGGCGCTAATTGCGACATGCCTTGAAACCAGTCTGAATCCAGTCAACGAACTGGATGGTTTTCTTCGTCTTGATGCTGGCGATAGCAGCGTTGGCGTCCTTTGGCACGACGTCACCACGGTACAGCAAGCAGCAGGCCACTATATGCGATCATGTCAGAGCCGGGCCACAGGCAGATGTTGTCAAGAAAAGCGCACTATATTTTCCTTCCCTGGGGTCGCATTTCACCTACAGCCCATCGTTGAGAATTTCAACAGGATTGAAAGATAAGTTAAGATCAAACTTGCCATCTGGTTACCAGCCTCGAAGCACGCGAGGGTCATCTCGGCAACAGTGTTACCCTCATGGTTAGCCTTGTCGGTCGAAAGCAGAGGAGAGTAGGTGGCAAGAGGGAAATGGATGCGCGGGAATCTATGAGAAACGATGAGTATTCATGATAGAAACGACGTAAACAAAAAGACACATACGGAACCAAATTCGTCTGGAACTCGTTCAGGTCGACGTTGAGAGATCCATCGAAACGGAGCGAGACGGTGACGGACGAGACGACTTGGGCGATCAGCCTGTTCAAGTTGGTGAAGCTGGGCTGGGACACGTTGAGCCTCTTTTTGCAGATATCATAGATTGCTTCGTTATCGACCTAAAGAGATGACGTGGTCAGTTTGGTCGAGTCATAGGTGCCATCAACACGAGGCGTAAATAATTATAGACGGAAGGCATACCATGAAGGAACAATCCGAATGCTCGAGCGTCGTGTGGGTCGTGAGGACGGAGTTGTAGGGCTCGACAACGGAGCTAGACAGCTGTGGTGCGGGGTAGACACAGAACTCAAGCTTAGACTTCTTTCCGTATTCCGTCGCGAGGCGTTCCAGGAGGAGGGCACCGAACCCAGACCCAGTTCCGCCACCGAACGAGTGGAAGACGAAGAAGCCCTGGAGGCCGTTAGTGTTGTCTGTAAGACGGCGAAGCTTTTCCATGGCGGGGTCGATGAGCTCCTTGCCGACGGTGTAGTGTCCACGTGCATCTATCGAAGAAGTGATGAGCAAGGATCTCGAATGGAGAAAAAGCGGGATATGCACAGTTGTTCGCAGCGTCCTCTTTTCCTGTCAGCATTGTTTCCGGGTGGAAAAGTGATCGATAGGTGCCAGTCTTGACCTCGTCGATAACACCTGGCTCCAAGTCGATGTAGAGAGAGCGCGGGACATACTTGCCGGAGCCCGTCTCGGAAAAGAAAGTTGACAAACCATCGCCCGCGCGCGAGACCTGCGCTTTGTCGATGAAGCGACCGTCAGGCTACATACAAGTATATAAGCAACAATTTTTTCTATCGCAGCGCCGCAAGAGGACGAGAAACATACAGTCAAACCGTGCTCGATTGTGTAGAGTTCCCCTGTTGGAAGTGCGTCGTCAGAGAGGAAACGGATTGATCGCGAGGAACGACGAGGGCAAGAATACTCACAGCAGGCGTTTCCAATCTGGACACCGGCCTGGCCAACATGGATGGAGATGACTTCACGCATTGTGGGTGGTTTTTGGGAGTGACGGTGTTGATCCTGAGTAAGGCGGGACGCGTCCCAAAACAGCGCCACCGAACGCGCTCAAATATGGGCCGACAGCCACGCGACCGCTTGCCTCCGGGGTCCTCTTCGGGACCCCTCGGGCAGAAGCGGGCCCGTGGACACCTCACCATCCAGTGCAACTCCTCCGGGTCCATGCCGTTCCAACCATTAACCACGGCCGGAGTCTCTCCTGTGTGACTCACGTCTAAGTTACCCACACTCATTTGTCTGTGTTGCATGATTCCTTGGAACAGTGATGTCCAGATTCATATCCAGCTCAATGTTGGGTATAACATGGCAGATGGAGGACCATTTGTAGGTGTGACATTGTCATTTTGTATTCATTGAAATTTTGTTCCAAAGTAGGCAGAGGGAATCACCTTACAAAGGCTTTTGCCTAGTAAAAGGAATCAAATATATAATGGTTCATGCTGTCAATATTCCTATTTTCAGACTTATTCATGTCAACAATTTATTGTTTGACCACTGTGATTAGTTGACAGATTGTGTTGGCTTCAAATCTAAAAGAATGAGCATGCCAATGTATTGTTGAGATATTTACTCACTGGCCATAACCAAATCTATGCCTTTGCTTCTGGATCCCAGTCATTTGTTTAAGAACAAAATCAAAATGAGCTTATGATAGTAATGTCATGTTGAGGTATTGACTCCCACCTGCCATATAAAGAGGCATTTTTGCTGCTCTGCTTACATGTCACCTATTCTCCAGCTTTTAGGTTCCTTGTCTATGTTTGTAGGCTCTATGCCATCAATGATCAATCACCAACACATTGAGCACAACACTCAGTGCAGGTCTAGTACTACCTATGGGTGGTGTGTAGTACATCACTCTTCAATGGAGTGTGGCCTACAATCACATCACTAGGACATTGGCCAATAGCTGTCACTTGATGACGAGGTCAATGTGAGTACCAGTATTACGAATGGGTCCTGGCAAATTAAAGGGCCTGCTTGTTCTCCTCGAGGTCCACCTTGCAGTAGTGTATTACTTCCATCCGTGTCATACTTACACCATGTGAGATTATGTAGTATGTCTGTTTTCGAGCACCTGTCCATGACTCGAAACAATTAAGCTGGTGCAGACACGAGTTCGACTCGTTTTCACGCTCCACCATGCAGGACGCCTGCAGGGAAACACGAGGCGCGCACGGGCCAAGTGGTGGAGGATGTACGTGGGAATATTTGTCAGCGAGAGGTATAGCGCCTTGCCCTTAGCCCTTGCCTCTACGTCGTCCCATTCGTTTAGTCTCATCTGCTTCCTCAATGTAAGTATTGCTCGCCGTCTTCATTGTCTGTGGGTCGAAAAGACACGCTCATCCCTCTTTTTCTATAGCTTCGTCTCGAGTTGAAAATGCGTGAAGTCATCTCCGTTCATGTTGGTCAGGCTGGTGTTCAGATCGGCAATGCCTGCTGTAAGTTCGCTGCTTTGATACAAAGCATACCTCCTGTGCGCCGATGAGTCGAAAACGACGTGTCGATCTGCGCTCCCACTTGATGCACGTGCTCGTCTGGGGTATTGGCTGACAATTGGGTCTCGCAGGGGAACTTTACACCGTCGAGCACGGTCTGAGCGTGAGTACTCAGCTAGATGACGCTTCCATTGCACATACCGACAGGATGTATGCAGCCTGACGGCCGTTTGGTCGATGCTCCATCCTCCCACAGTGCTGATGGCTTCAGCACTTTCTTCTCCGAGACGTCGTCGGGCAAGTATGTGCCCCGATCACTCTACATCGATCTCGAGCCGAACGTCATCGATGAGGTTCGCAACGGGACGTACCGAAGTCTCTTCCACCCCGAGACCATGATCACTGGCAAAGAGGATGCGGCCAGCAACTGTAGGTCAAATTCTATTATCCGCATCTTCGCATGTTGACTTGCTCTAGATGCTCGCGGTCACTATACCATCGGGAAGGAACAGATTGATGTCGTTATGGACAAGCTCCGTCGCTTGGCCGACAACTGCAGTGGCTTGCAGGGCTTCTTTGTCTTCCATTCGTTCGGCGGTGGAACTGGCTCAGGTCTTGGTGCGCTTATCCTTGAGCGCCTTTCCACCGACTACGGCAAGAAGTCCAAGCTCGAGTTCAGTGTATACCCCGCACCTACACTCGCGAATTCCGTTGTCGAGCCGTACAACTCCGTTCTCACGACGCACACGACGCTCGAGCATTCCGACTGCTCGTTCATGGTTTGCCGCTTCCTCATCTCATGTCTGGCATCAACAAATGACAAATGTCGATGCGCAGGTTGACAACGAAGCTATCTACGATATCTGCAAGAAGAGCCTGAACATCTCTTCGCCAAGCTTCACCAACCTGAATCGACTCATCGCTCAAGTTGTCTCGTCAATCACGGCTTCTCTTCGTTTCGACGGCTCTCTGAATGTTGACCTTAACGAATTCCAGACGAACCTTGTACCGTAAGTCTGGTTAATCATTTGAAGGTAGCTATATCTAATATATATTCCTTAGCTTCCCTCGCATCCATTTCCCTCTTGCTACCTTCGCACCCATTCTCTCAGCGGAGAAGGCTCACCACGAGCAGAACTCTGTTGCGGACATGACCTTTTCGTGCTTCGAGACTGGCAACCAAATGGTGAAGTGCGACCCTCGTGAGGGCAAGTACAGTACGTGTATCCTATATTTCGGCCGCATACAATTCTTTGTCTCATCCCGATCTTGCAGTGGCTTGCGCTCTGTTGTACCGTGGTGATGTCGTTCCCAAGGACGTCAACGCTGCCGTTGCCATCATCAAGACAAAGCGGACCATTCAATTTGTTGACTGGTGCCCTACCGGCTTCAAGCTCGGTATATGCAACGAGGCGCCTGCTCACATTCCTGGTGGCGACCTTGCCAAGGTTTCGCGGAGCATGTGCATGCTCTCTAACACGACTGCTATTTCGAGTGCATGGAGTCGACTTGACCACAAGTTCGACCTTTTGTACTCGAAACGTGCGTTTGTGCACTGGTACGTCGGTGAGGGCATGGAGGAGGGTGAGTTCTCCGAGGCTCGTGAGGATCTTGCCGCTCTCGAAAAGGACTACGAGGAGGTCGGCATCGACTCTGCGGATGTTGAGGAGGCTGGCGAATACTGAGTGTATCGCTGTCTTGTTGGCTGCCTATCGTACTTTCGTGGTTTCAGTATCGTTAACTTCCTCTGGTCTTTCATTGTTTGGCCTCACGACCTGCCTAATCATGTTTTTTCTTCATTCGTCTTAACGACTTTCACGTCATGGATATCCCACTGTTTTTCTTTACCCCACTGCAATCATTCCCTTGCCTCTTTACAATAATTATATCGCATACCACTGCAATGTGACGTTCGAGATGTTCTTGTCATGGATTGTTCGTGTCCCGACAATGAAGCGTTTTTCAGTTCGAACCACTGCCACAGTCAGTCGTCAAGTCGATGCCACTGGTCGATACACGCCTGTGGTAACCCCGAACATCCCACCTCTACAAACACGACAGCGACATATCTTTCGGACTTCACCCCGACGATCATCTAATCAACGAAACAAATGAGAGAAGTAATTTCTGTTCATGTCGGGCAGGCCGGTGTTCAGATCGGCAACGCTTGTTGTGCGTATGACTTCGATCGTTTATTAGCCGAGTTACCTCAGACTTCAGTTTTGGGCAAACTGACGACCTGGCTCTATTTCTGACAGGGGAATTGTACACTATTGAACATGGGCTGAGCGTGCGCCAAGCTTTTGTTACCGGTTCTATACTATGACTGATCTATCTGCGCGAACAGCCAGATGGTCGTGTCACTGAGGGCTCTACCGCGAGCGATAGCGGTTTCTCGACGTTCTTCTCCGAGACAGGCTCGGGGAAGTATGTACCGCGCTCGTTGTACGTCGACTTGGAACCTGGTGTCATTGACGCCGTAAAAATGGGCACGTATCGCTCGCTGTTCCATCCAGAGACTATGCTTACGGGAAAGGAGGACGCTGCGAACAACTGTGAGTCCCGTTTTTCGTTTGTTCGGGTTTTGCTCCACGCATGTGCTTATACGTTTACCTGCTCGTAAGATGCTCGGGGACATTACACGGTCGGGAAGGAGCTCATTGATCCTGCGATGGACAAGCTCCGTCGTCTTGCGGATAACTGCAGCGGTCTGCAGGGCTTCTTCGTCTTCCACTCATTCGGGGGCGGAACGGGGTCTGGCTTCGGCGCGCTGATGCTTGAACGCCTGTCGACGGACTATGGGAAGAAGTCGAAGCTCGAGTTCTGCGTGTATCCTGCCCCGCAGCTGTCCAGCTCCGTGGTCGAGCCATACAACTCGGTGTTGACGACGCACACGACGTTGGAACACTCGGACTGCTCTTTCATGGTGCGTTGGCTATTTTATAATCGGGTGCTTCCGGTGCAGTGGTGACAAACGTCGATGTTGTTGTACGTGTATAGGTCGACAATGAGGCCATTTATGATATCTGCAAGAAGAAACTCAGCGTGTCACTACCGAGCTTCACGAACCTGAACCGACTCATCGCGCAAGTCGTGTCCTCTGTCACTGCGTCTCTCCGCTTCGACGGCTCTTTGAATGTCGACTTGAACGAGTTTCAGACCAACCTTGTCCCGTATGTCCGGTTCTCGTCCCACACTGTAGGCGCCCTTGCTCACGTTCTGACCTATTGCAGATTCCCTCGTATTCATTTCCCGTTGGCTACCTACTCGCCGCTGCTCGCGACTGACAAGGCCGGTCACGAGCAGAATTCCGTCTCTGAAATGACTTTCTCGTGTTTCGAGACTGGAAATCAAATGGTATGTGCGGAGAGCCACGCTTTTCATAAGCAAGCAGACTAACACTATATCTCAAATTTAGGTCAAATGCGACCCCAAAGACGGAAAATATAGTACGCACCCGAACCTGCTCTTCTATCAATCCTTCTCCCAATCTGACCGTAGATGAACAGTGGCCTGCTGCTTGCTTTACCGCGGAGATGTCGTTCCCAAGGATGTGACAGCAGCCGTTGCTGCCATTAAGACCAAGCGAACTATTCAGTTCGTTGACTGGTGCCCCACGGGTTTCAAGGTCTGTTCCATTCTGTGTTCACTCTTTCGTGGTTCATAAATTGTATGTGTACATAGCTCGGTATCTGTAACGAGCCTGCTTCTGTTGTCCCTGGTGGCGACCTGGCGAAGGCCAGCAGGAGTCTGTGCATGCTCTCAAAGTAAATTGTTCTCTCCAATCAGACCCGTGCCGCTATCTAACTTTTTTCTCCTACAGCACGACAGCCATCGCATCTGCATGGAACCGCCTGGGCATGTACCACCGTTTCGTGTATTGCGCTGTATTGCTGACTCGCTTATTCTTTGTAGACCACAAGTTTGACCTTATGTACTCGAAACGCGCATTTGTTCACTGGTACGTCGGCGAAGGTATGGAAGAGGTAAGTTGCTAGTTTGGCACCTAGCCGGCTATCTCTGATCGGTATGTTCTCAGGGCGAGTTCTCTGAGGCGCGCGAGGATCTCGCTGCACTCGAGAAAGATTATGAAGAGGTCGGCATCGATTCCGTAGAGGCCGAGGAAGAAGATGGCGAATACTAGGCGAAACATCTCCATAATCTACCTATTGAATATTTATATCTAACTTCAGCGCTACCCTTCGTCGTGTTCGTATCTTCTGAAATAATCCCTTCGATTGCCTCCAGTCAGACAACCCTAAGATAGGGTAGAGGTTATGTGACGTCACAGCTAGATCTGTCCAGTAGATCTCATCGACTCAACACGTCTTTCCCATTCTGCTGCAACGCACCTACTATCACCTTCCTTTCCTCCCTCTTCAAACCCATTATATTCTCGACATTCGTTTCATTCTATGACCGTCAGCACCACCTCTGCTGCTGTGCATATTACTCCTGGCCAGTTTACCTCCTGTTTCAAATGGTCATATTCACCTGGCTGATGTCAGATGTAATTCGCAGTCGTCCTCAAGACCTTTCTTGAACATTATAAAAGGAAAACCAAGAAATTGAGGGAGGGCCATTCAGGGCAAGAGGTGGCGACGGACGATATCCTGTTTGATGAGTGCGTCTCAACACCTTGTTACTACCAAATTGGCAATGTTATTCAACCGAAGTTGCAGAGCCTTTCATATCGTCCAGGCATTTATCCAGCTCGGGACCCAAAACACTATAGAGTCCCTACAAGCATTGTGAGCAGCTTGAATTTCGTCTGACTCGCCACCGTCCTTTCGGATTTTTCCACCTTTCAATCTATACAGGAAAGGCTGGCTCAATGTCATTCACAAATTCCATGGTAGCAGGCGTAGCTCATATGCTTCGAATCTGTCTTGAGCCGATGGATGAGCTCTTGACGCACCATAGTGACTATTTATCAAAAAACTCATGTTCTTTATTCTCTGCCAGCACGAACACACATATACCCGCTCCATTCTGGACAGCCGTAGTGCCCGTCATGGTTTCTCTTTCCTCTTGCAACCGAGCTGCAGACCTCCTCATCGACTGGTTTGGTCCTGAGGAGCTCAAGAGAGTCGTTGGTGGCGAACGATGGTGGCAAGTCCGTGGCATGGACGGCATAGCGTCTGAATGGATCACGGAGGGTCGCTTTTTGGATGATGCGGAGGTTGCTGGCGATGGCGAGAAATTGAGTGATGACGAAGAGACCATTAAGAAGATGGAGAAACTGGAGACCGTCATGGTGCGTGCATCCGAAATCTGGATCTTGATTAGTAAAATCAGTTAGACCGGTCAATACTACCGTCACAGCTCTATGTTCACGGAGGTAAGTCTTTGCTGATCTGTAGGGTATCCGGTTTCTTAGACTTGCTCTTAGGTGCCTATTTCTGGGGCTCGATCAGTACATCAAATCTCTCTCTATATGATTTGTATCTCATTCTATAAGCAGATACACATCGTTATCAAATCATTCGCTTCGGTATGAGTATCTCAGTTGTACTTTTCCGTCTAACTTATTCAGAATGCCCACAGCACACAAGATCAAAGGACGAGCCTTTGCCGTAAACTATCGGTAGGCGATATACGTTTTATGTTACCATCCTTGAAAGTCAAACATTTATATTTCCTAACGTCCAGCAAAGCTCCCCAGTACCCATGGCCGTGTCCTCTTCACGATGTTCTTGCGGCTTGTAAGAGTCACGCTTTCGTTCGTTTGCACCTTGAACACACAAAAACATTGTTTCAGATTTCTATCTCATCAGTCCACCACCTGGAGCTGCCCACAAACCTGTTTCACCGTCCAAGATCACCTTCGCAGGTGATTCAGCAGGAGGTGCTCTATGTATCACCGCTTTGACCGTACTACGCGACATGGGCATCCCATTACCTGCTGGCGCTGTGCTCATAAGCCCCTGGGTCGACTTGACTCACAGCTTTCCCAGCGTCATGTCCAACACCCATAGCGTGCGTGCCTAATCCCTATGCATGATACAAACTCTCCAATATATGCCATAGGATATCATCCCACCGCATGGGTTTGTTCATAAACCATCCACTACTTGGCCCGTTGAGCCAATTGCAAACGGGAGTAATCGCATCCGCGTTACGGATACGAAGACAAACCCGCCGCCTGGGCCTGGCCATGCTGATACTCTCTCACCGACTCCGCATCGGATGTGCGCGGAACATAACGCCATGAGGAGCGCGAAGGAAGAGGGAAAGGGAGTCCAGGAGATGAGAGAGGAAGAACAAGATAGGCACGATGGGGTGCAGAGCCAGAATGAGATGTTGAAGCATATGTCAATCAGTGAGTCGCAGAACGAAGTGGGCGAGGAGAGGGAGTCAGGCATCCGGAGAAACGAAGAACTCGATGCAAGTGACGGAGCTGCTGTGAGAAATGAGAGTAGTGGCGATCCTTCTTTGCGTACGGAGGATATAAGTAGGTGGGAGCCCAAACCGCCGAAGGTGCTCATGAAGGACCCCGATACAATCCCGCTCGAGATCCGATCACAAATTCAGCAATACGCTACCAACGAGTAAGCCTGCTGTTTCCATTACTATCACTTGATCGCTGATGGCGCGTTCAGACAACTCACCCACCCACTTGTGTCACCCATCCTGCAGGGCTCGCTAGGCAACCTGTGTCCGTTGTACATCATAGCAGGCGATGGCGAGGTTTTGCGAGACGAGATCATATATTTTGCTCATCGGGCTGCGCACCCAGATGAGTATCCGGTGAGGCAGGGTGTGTTGATGGAGGGCAGGCGACAAAAGGAAAATGTGAAGAAATTCACAATGCCCACCAAGGTGGAGGCTCTCTCTCCTCGTCGTGTCTGCTTGCTCACCTTGTCTTGTATTGCTCTTCAGGTTCATCTGCAGGTATACGACGGTAAAAACCCATGTCATCCTGAAGGTGTGTTTGATATGCTGACTGCTGATCATGCCTCAGGAATGCCGCATGTTCTCACTGTCTTCATTTTCACGGACTGTGTATGTTTGATCAATTTCTTTTGTGCTGTGCTATGCTTATATTCTGAATAGGCAAGATATGCTTACCAGTCGATTGCCAAATTCATCAAGCATGTCACTTGCCATTCCTCCGAGCATCTTGCCCGTAACCCTTTTCCTGAATTGCACCGTCCGCAGCCTGACGCCCAGGCGGACGGGTATGCGTCGGATGACACATCTAGCAGTGAAGACGAACGCCAACGCAGAGGGCGGAAAGCTACAAGATCAAGATGGGTCAGTGCTAGACATAAGGTGGCCGGAGAGAAAGAGATATCTCAACACGAGGCGAAGTTGTTCAAAGAGAACGAGGAAGTTGTCACTCAGGAAGTGAAGAGAAACGAAGCGGACAAACTTCCAGGTTTCTCTGGAATCTTAGAGGATTCGTTTAGTATGGAGGGTTCTGAGGTGTGTCTACGGTCACTGGTATGAATTATTGCTTACTGACCAGGATACAGGATATACCCCATGTCCTCATGATTCGCGAGCGAGTGGATCTTTTGGGACATGTGCGGCCAATGGAACCGAAAGACGAAGTCTCAGCGTTGCAATTGCGTCCAAGCGAGGTTGGTGTGATCAAGGAAGATCCCGTTCGACGATGGCTCGCTGGTCAGGAAAAGATAGACCGGAAGTTCAAAAGGTCGGCAGAACGTGTCGTGAAGAAACGCAAGAAGCTAGAGGCGAAAGCGGAGAAAATGTTGGCTGATGCAAGAGACAAGGGCCTCGTTTTGCATGATGATGGAGGGAGGATTCAGGGAGACGTCCAACGAGCAGACAGAGGAGCGTCTAATCCATCGATAAGTTCCGTTGACAGTGAAAGAGTCATAGACAAGGACAGGCGATGGGGGCCGTTAGATCTAGAAGGCGAACGCCCCCCGCCTAGCGCGATCGCAAAGAGGCGTGACACAGTAGGTTGCCCTTTCCGTTGCCTTAACGTTTTCTGACAAACTCATTGCTTAGCCCGAAGCTCTTGCCTTGCTCAAGAAGAGCATATACCACACAGCGCCAGTGACCCATATGACGGTGCCCAAGATGAAGCGTATGCAGCTTGTGCGGGCTACTTTCGACCCGAACGACCATCCAGTGAGGGCCCCAAGACAGTCTGTATCCGAGCAGCAGGTCCGTACACATATAATCCCTGCGCACGGCTTGTCGATATGGAACTCGATAGTGGTGTAAGTGCCAGAAGATACGCTCTTTTGACACTGATCACTCATGCATGTATCGTAGACTTTTCACGAAAAAGAGCGCGAAGAAGGCAATGAGAGGAAAGCAGCAAGCTGTGGACGCAATTGAGCGCACTGTTAGAGGCTCCCATTCTCGTGCTAGTGGATCTCAGCCTCAAGCGACTTCGGAGAATAATCGTGAGGGAAGTTGAGCACTTCCCAAGCCCGGCGTCTGATCCGTGGACTTATTACTCCATTCCTCGGGACATTACTTGGATACATACTTGGTAACGGACAAAACACTATGGACACTTACTATGGGGTCTCCTTTGGGATTTTTACACTGTCTCTATTACTCCATTTCAATATTTTTGCCAGATATCATGGCCGACGTCCTGACTATGACATCCGGGAAGAGGATGCATCCAGATGAAGGTCGCCAAGCCGCACTCGTTCTCGAATGCAAATCAAGAAGAACTACAGTACAAATACACATCCTGACACACGACTTAATCCAAACTAGATACTTTTTCACGTTCGACCAATCACTTTATCATTCAGAAATTTGATCAATAGCTTGATCATGTCCACCTCTGAGACTGTGCCATTGTCCACCTGAGCGGGTTTTTCCATCACTCCTTTCGCCTTCTCCATCAGAGCCTTCAACTCCCCCGCCATCTCACCCGTCATACCCCTCCTCAATCTCTCCGCGAGACCTGACGACTCTCTCCGCATGCGTCCATCTCCGGCGTCCTCCATCTCGGCATCCCCTGCACCGGCCGCACCACCACCGCCCTCGAACAGCTCAGGTTTGGCTAACCATGCACCGAGCTGCGTTGTCGCGTAGAAGAGTACCACGTCAAGGTTGCGGCGCGTTGTACGAACTGCCTCGCCCACATCCAGAGGATGCTCGCCAGGTGTCGACAAAGGCATGAGGGACTGGCCCGCTGGTCTTGTAGCCAAATGACCAAGGACATCGAGAGTGTAGTTCCCAAGTTCAAGTAGCGTCCCCATAGAAGCGGGTTCTCCGAGAACCACCTTAGAATGCTGCAAGCAGATAGTCAATACAAAATGCTGGGGAACAAACAAGGAAAATACGACTTACCGGAACCACCAAGGCTATACGAGTGGGCATATCTTCAGTCTCACCTCTCAGGACCATGTCCGACTCGCTGATTGCAATCAAGGTACAAACAATGTTGCTGGTGAGCTTGAACAGCCTGTGAACTAGTTGAGCCAGAAAGGGTTTCCTAACCGGATCGACTATCTCAGAGAAAGCCATCGAAGTCTCGTGGCTATCTCTGTCTAGTTGCGCCCGTTCTTCAGCGGTGACAGGTTCGAGCAAGCTAGCGAGTTGATTGGGATGTGTCAGGGCATAATTGAGCTGCTGTAACAGGAGCAGAACATTTGAACTGAAGGCCGACAATATTTTCTCGGTTGATGCCCTTCTGTTGGTCGACGAAGGTAGTGTGGTCGCAATGGCATAGAAGAGGCCAATGACACGCTCCATTTCCTCAACGAAAGGTAACGAAAGGGGGTCAGCGATGGTCCACGACAACGCCCGTGCTATCTGGTTTCCATATAGCTGCACAAAGCCACTGGCCTCAGCGTCGAAGAAATGCTTTTGCATCCCTAGAGCAGTGATGATGCCAGAGACGACCGAGAGCATGGCACAGTATGCCTGATGTGCAGGATTCCGTTCGCCAGGCAGTTCCGGAAGAGAGACGTCCACTCGGCCAGAGCTGATGGCTGAGCTGATGCTGTTATTGGTGTAGGCGACCAACAGCCCATCGCTCGCCAATCGCTCCGCAGGAGTCTGCAGGCTAGCAAAGGCGACGTGGAACATGAGAACGTGAGGCGCATACAAAGGCTGCTTCCTGGCGCTGATGAGGGACAAGCTAGACAGTCCCGTCAAGTCGATTTGTGTATAAAGAGCAAGGCTGGCACGAATCACGTCTGTTTCCTGGCAGCGCGTCAGCCAATGCGTCGTGGACGGGTTGATATCGTTCCGCGTGCACTGCTCAAATACAACCACCAGTAACTCCATATCCAAATCCAGATCAACGTCGAGTCGACTCTGTGCCGCATGGAAGACGAAGCGTAAGGAGTCGATCACGAAGATCATGGTGGAATCTATCATCGATGCGATGCACAGTCGACGGTCCGCATTAAGTACCTTCGGACGTACCGCAAGATTCCTGCATTGCTTTGCGCAGAAATAGATGATCTGGAGGAGTGTACGGTGGAATGGTGTAGTGACGGCGCCGCGGACGGATTTGACTGGAGACTGTGGCTCATTTACAACGATTTCGTGCACATGGTTCACTAGCTGCATCAAGGACTGGACCTCCTTTTCAGACTCGGTGGCAGAGAACCAGGCCAATTCAACCAAGGCCAGTAGCAGTGACAGGCGCACCCCGTGGATCTTGGACATGAGATTGCCAGGCCGCTTCTCCACAGCTATAGTTTTCGAGACCGTGGCAGCCAAGGAAAGGATCGTCGGACGGAGACCAGCATTTCCCTTCAAGAATGGCGCCACCTTCTGCAGTAAGAATTGCCACGACTCACCCAACTCGGTCTGCACATGCGCGAGGGAGAGGTTCAAATTTATCGAGAGCAGATCATGCAAGGTACCCTCCACTCTTCCTGCGACTGCCTCTTCGTAGTTCCTCTCGATAGGGCCTATTCGGGCTTGAAGAACGACCGAGGCAAAGGCGAAGTCTTCTCCCAGCTCGCGTTCTCCAAGGAGCGAGCGGGATTCCAACTGCGCTAGCGACAGACATGGGAAATATTCTTTCGCCTTGACTTCAAAGCCGTCGTAGAGACTTGGATCGTACGAGTTCATGGTCGCCTCCTGAAGATGATTGGCGAGTTGTTCCTCCTGTTTGAATATACCTGCAATCGACTGGTAACTCTGCGGGCTGGGCGGAGCTTGTGTATTCTGTGATGGAAGGTCCATGTTGACATCCAAAGCTATGATGCGAATTGCATGGGCTTTCGCAAGGACACGATGGGAGTGGGTGAATACGGCATCATGAAGAGCCGAGCGCGCGAGACCCTCGTCTAGGGCAGATCCATAGCTCCGGTATTCCGGTACTGGTGGCACATCCCTCCGCACAATTTCCGCTAGCTGTTGCCAGAATTCCGCGCTTTCACGGGTGGTCTTCAGGACAACCTTGTGTTCCAACCCACGAGTCCATATAGCAGCTAAGAATGCAAGGATGCTAGACAAAACCGCGGGATTGACATCCCATAGTTCTTCTCCAGTGTTGAGCCCCTCTCGCGCAGCTTGTAAAGCGCTGAACCTTTTCTTCTCCGGTGTATCAGTTTTGAGATCTCCTTTGAACTTGAGATCTGAGATCTGGAAACGGCCAGTGACGAACAGGTTACCCAACGCAGGCTCTTTTTCGACTGCCAAAGTCATGAACCGCCAGACGGCAAGCCGAACTTCGAGGCTGCGGTAAGGATCCCGCACGACACGGACAAAAGACGAGATGGTGGTCTCCGGATCAGAGAGGTGGCCAACAATGGTCGGCGAGGAGGAGGATGCGGATAGGGACGAACAGAGAGCGTACAAAAGCCGAGCGGCTTCGAGAGCTACCTGGGAAGCAGGATCTGGGTCGACAACGAACGTAGCCAGGACATCAAGAGGGTCAGCCTTGGACCGGCTGACGTTGACCACCCCGCCGCCCCCAGCACGGGAACACAGTGCCTGCTCCAACAAGCAAGGCCCAGCATTCGTATACAACCTTTGTTTGTACGTCAGACAGAGTCGAATCACCCGAATATGTGATTGTAGGACAAGATAGAGACCTGTCGTATCCCCGTGACGAGCGGAGGCGGTTATATGGCGCAAGATGGCTCCTGAAGTGGCGATAGCAGAGATGAGGGGGTTGATACTCGACGTGGTGGCTTTCAGGACTAGCGCTTCGAAAATCGCATGGCTGATCGACATCAAGGGTCCCTCTGGTCCACTCGGAGGGATCTGGTCGAGAATATCGCCATAAAGTGACGACACCATCCTTCCGACTGCGAATCTGTTGCCGAGCTGGGCGTACTTCCAACCGACATGCTCAAGCCAGATCTCGGTATGCACGAAGCGCAGTGCACGCATCAGCACCTCTTCCTTCAACTGCGCTCTTCGCGCCCCAGGAGTCGACAATAAGACCGAGGAAGACACGTCGGCAAACATCGCCTTCACGAAACGAAGCAGTTCCTTGGTGATCGAATAGGAGCCGGACGAGCGCTCGGCAGCAAGAACAGCAGAAGAACCGCCGCCACGTCGATTAGTATCGAATATGGCACTCGATGAACGCACAAACAGCCAAATATCGTCTGCACACGTAGGCAGCACCATAAGTGATGACACCAAGCCTAGAGCAGATGCGATGAGATCCATTTGTTCCGTTGTACGAGACTGTGCAACAGAGCGTGCCAATGCATCTTCGAGAACAAGCATAACCAGCTGGACAAGATTAGGCGACTCAGCATCACCATTGATCGCGTCCAAAATCTGACTGGTCAAGTTGGCATCCTCTTGAATGACACTGCGGAATAGGTCAAGGATGTTGGTGATGGTGCTCATGTCGGTTTCTGGACTGATGTCGACCCCGATGGCTTGCAACGTGAGTACAGTGGGCGGCTGTTGTCCTGCGCGGTGTGATGTGGCGTGGAAGGATGAATATGAGGTCGTGGCCACTGGCAATAGTCGTGCACGTTGCGTGTACGCTACCAGCACCTCCTTGAGAAGTTTCCAGCCTGAATGCTCGTGCTGCCAAGCCACAATCATATATTCTCCGCCATCCTGACTCAACAAGCGCCCTACAGTTTTGGGGGGCAAGATACTACCGCCAGGCAATTTGAGAGGGCGCAGGTTGATATATGTCGGGCCAGTAGATGTCGAGGAACCATATCGCTCTGGGACTTTCTCGTACAAGGCGTGTGGACCCACACATGCGCTAGCGGGCATCATCTGGGTGTATGTGGGTATCGTGTCCAAGAAAACAGACACGTGCTGCGCACAGATCATGCGTATCGGACTGTAGGTCTCTGCAAACCGTCCAGTGTCTCCTGATCGATCTGAGTCCACGTTGAGAGGATCGGTGCTCATGAAACCATACCCAGTCAGAGATCGCAGAAGCCGGACGAGTGGCTGAATCTGAATAGGGAAGCGTGATCGTGCAACGTCAAGGATGGCCCGTCGTGAGAGGCGGATAGCATAATCAGACTGCCAATATTGTTGGCAGATGAAGACGACTGAATCAACTTCGCCTCGAGCGAAGAGAGCGACCCACACTTCTATGATCGTCTCAAATCCCGGTATTAGCTCTAAAGGGACTACATCCAGAAGCCCAGTCACCAATCCTGCGGTGTGGTGTCTTAGTGAACATCAATTTTGAATGGCGCAAGATATCTACCTTTCATCACGGATCGGTATGCCACAGAGTTTGGGTCTGTGATGGCCGAGTTGGATTGCCATGCGATAGACGTCGAAAACAGTGGAGTGGTCGTCAAAAAGGCTAAAAGGAGGTTGAACAGTCCGACTTCTGGATCTAAACATCGCTCCAACATTGATTTGTAGACAGGCTCTCGATGTGTGAAATATGGGCGTGCCGGGTGGGGGTCGAGGGATTCGAAGAAAGGACGATATGAGGATGGGCATTCCTGCAATGCAACTGTCGTCTCAAGTCGCCATAGTACGAGGACCCATGATGCGTAGATGGGAGCAAAATAAGTATCTTCGTTAGAGACAACTAATTCATGTATCTTTCGAAGTGATGCGGGCGAAGAGAAGTACACATGCTCGTCGGAGGGGTTATCTGAGACTTCAACGGTTCCGTCGACAGCGATAGCCTCGAGCTCTAAAATAGAGATCATGAGAAGAGTCCAAAGACCTGCGCAATCCTGCTGCAACCTGGTACCTTCTTCGTCGAGAAGTAGCGAACCGTTCTGTTGTGCCGATCCGAGGTTGGTGCCGTACCCTATACTGAAGATTTGGAGTACCACTTCTCCTTCGCGAGGAACATAGCTCCACATCAACCAAAACAAAAGCTCCAGAAATACTAAATGATCTCTGACAAGCTCTTTTGCCCACGCCGAAGACATACGTGGGTCGCCTGAGATGTCGTCGGGTGGCGACGAGTGGATGCGCTGTTTGATCTCTGAAAGGACGCCCAGGACGAACGCTGTTGGTTGGGAGATGATTTCGGGGAGGAGTCGCGTAGAGGGGTCGTGGAAAAAGAGGACGTTGCTTTCGTTCGCGCGGAGGAGAGTGACGAGGATGCGGAACAAGCAGCGCCGTTCTGCGTAGTAGAACGGGGCGAAGCCTTCAATGATATCTTCTACCAGCGAGCCTCCGGGTTTCAGGTCAGGTAGTCCAACGTTGTAGATGAATGAGCGGAGCAGAACTAACGCCTCCACTTCGTCTATGTCGAACTTTTTGCTAATGCTTAGAGCAACATCCTTGAGGTCTGGAGGAACACTCATAGCGCTCCCATCGCGAAGGGTCACGGTGCCACTGTCAAATGACTTGCGCGAGACTGTATTCGGGCGTCCGAAGGTATTCTGGAAGTCCTTGAAGCCCTCGAGACGAGGTTTGAGCATCTCCTCTAAGCTCTCTTCGGTGGCACCTCCTTCATATCCAGAGACGAGAAGATGGAGTTGCTTGTACGTCCTGATTAAAGAAACGCGGGTGAGCAGTAAGCATATCGTTCAAGGACAAAAACATACACGTCGACCAGGGGGGATAATTTTGAGGACTCTGCGGAGGACATGATAGTAGTGGGCAGGCGCGTTCTGCAAGCGCATCCGAGACGCGTCAAAGGCCAACCCTTGTTTGGCTCACTTGAACTTCAGCATGACCTTCTCTCCATCTTCTGCTTGCAACGGCTGATGCTTCCACCTCTGCGTGCTTTCTGATCTACGACTGGCTCCGGTCGGTATCTTTGTCTTTGAAACATATCCGAATTTTCTATCGTCCTGTAGGATCTGCAGCTGAACGCCAGGAGCTGCCAGGAGTGATCCCTATTCACCATGCCGCCAAGGAGACGCCCCCAGTTCACACAGGAGAACATTGACCAACAGCTGCAACAAATACATCTCCTCGATCCTTCATCTTCCTCAGAGAACCTTGAGCAGTTAGGGCCAATAATCAAGCAGATTCATCAGAACCGTCAGCAAGACGCTTACCTGCGGACACTCCAGACACTCATCGACGGGAAGGACGCCGAAATTGAAGCAATATGCGGAGACAACTACCAGGATTTCATCTCTTCTGTGTCTAATATGTTCACTCTCAAGTCGTACACGACCAATCTCAGGGACAAGATTACCACTCTCGATTCTAGCGTCTCTCAGGTCGGCCGCGGTCTTGCAGAGAAGAAGCGGGCGCTCTTGCAGTCCAAGAAGACTGCAGCTAACCTCGACGAGGCCATCGATAATCTCCAGGCCTGCTTGCGCGTGCTTGACGTCGTGGATCGGGTTGGGGACATGGTGAAGGAGGCTAAATATTGGAGCGCACTGAGGGTCTGTTCTTCCTCGGTGTAGTCTCGTCACTTCCTTGTTCTTATAAATATATTACATTATTAGTCTCTGGAAGACATTCAAACGATGCCTCCGACGTCGTTGTCGCAGACGCCCCTATTCCAGCACCTTCTCACATCGTTGCCGTCGTTGCGAGGTCAGATCAAGGATGCCGTGACGGCATCTACTAAGCAGTGGTTGCTTGAGATCCGAAATATCAGCGCCCAGGTAGGCAGGAGCGCGCTCGAAGCCATGGAGTATCGAACAAAGCGGTGGAAATCGCGCCGAGAGAAAGATCCTATGCTGAGATTGACTCGCGTCGGCAGCGCCGTGGAAACTGTAGCCTTCGAAAAGACAGAATGTAGGCTTCATCCTCTCTTGGTTTAATGAGATAGGACTGATCATATTTGCAGACAATGTCCTCGAGAACCTTCAGGTTGACTTCAAGCCGCTGTACCAAAGTATCCACATATACACTACCCTAGACTCCATCGACGAATTGCGGAAGTCGTATCAAGCAGACCGAAAGGTATATATTATGATCACTAGATAACTTAATCTCTCTCATCTTGAATAGGCGCAATCAGATTTAATTCTGCCCAGTCCTCTCCAGCTATCCCAACTGGTCCCACTTACCGAAGAAGTGACTGGTTTCTTCATCGTCGAAGCTCATGTTTTGAGCACAACGGCATCGTTCAGGTCAGAGCGCGACGTCGAAGAGTTGTGGGACGCGCTTGTGGCGCGGCTCACTGGTGCCGTGGACTATGCACTCAAGAATGAATCTGACCCGGAAGGATTCTTACGAGCCAAAGAGGACCTGATGGCTTTCATCATCACCTTGGAGGTAAGATTCATCGATCGTCCTGCAATAAATGACGAGTGTGACATATCTTGCCTAGACGTATTCTTACTCCACCCAATCGCTTCACTCCTTTGTCCTGCTCCTTTTCGAAAGGTATGCAATGATGCTGGAGAAACAGTTCAGCAAGCGATTTAAGGACGTAAGCATTCCTTTTATTTCTAATTTCATCATCTATATATATTGTTCCGTGTTCAGATTATGGTCCAAGACGACTATCTGCCTATGCACGTTGACACAGCAGTGGAGAAAGATGCTGTACTCAAGATGGTATGGCTGAACAAAGCGGAGCAAGATCAGCTGGTTCAGTGCGTATCACGTTTCTTTCTTTTCCAGCGATCTTACGCTGATCATTCGCTCAAAGAGTGCCGACACCGCTCAATTTCCCGTGGTCCCAGAGTTTCTACCTCTGCTCTCAGGATGTGCGTCCCATCTTTCATATACTTTGGCCACTTCAACATCAACTGCCACCTCAACTCAGATTCGAAGCTTCGTGCAACGTTTCTACCAGTTCATCGAGGGGGTCTCGCAACATCACCGAAATGTTGACGAGTTGTTAAGCAAAGTACCAACCATTTTCCATCGAGTCTAGCACTTTGTTAATGAACGAACCATAGTCCCTAGATACTATCCTCTCTAATCATGTCAGTGACAGCATTGGAGACCGTCTGGCCAAAACGTCCACCCTTTCACAAGTGGCACAAATCGTCACCAACCTTGAACACTTCGAAGTTGCATGCTCAGAGCTGGAACGCTCCCTGACCAGTCTTCGGTACGTCTCGACCTCCTCCCACACCCGGTCCCAATCACCCACACGTCTCCCAGCTCTGTCCAAAGAGGCGGCACCATCCGCCTCACGGCTGCTCCCTCCTTCGCAAACACGCTCACGCGCGCCCTGGCGCGCATCAGCGAGCTCATCACGTCCAAGCTGGACGACTTTTTCGAGCTATCCGAGTACGACTGGACGCCAGCCGCGCGCGAGGACGCACCGAGCATGTACCTCTACGAGCTCGTCAACTGGCTCACGACCGTCGTCGACTCGCTGGTCATCAAAGAGACGTACAAAGAGGACGCCTATCGCGGCGCCGTGTCCTACATCGCGCAGTGCTTGATGGTGCGTCCTAGTAAACCTGGGGAGCGCGATCCCCCGATGCCGACATCGAAGCCAAGGCTGACTACTTTCGCTCTAGGACTTCTTGACGGATCGCAACATTCCGATGATGAACGAGAATGCGATCTCCAACATCCTCATCGACGTCGAGTTCCTAGAAGACCAGTTCAAGACCAGCGGGCGTTCGCACCTGATCACCGTCTTCGGCGAGCTGCGCTCCGTAAGGCCACGCCTCTGTCCAATTTTTCTCTAGCTGACGATACCGTCTCTCACGCAGACGACATCTATCGTCCTCACCAACACCGTTTCGGAATACCTCGTCCCCGCGAACCGCCAAGCTTCCTACAGCAACGTCAGGCCGAAACGCCTCCAAGCGCTCTTGGAGAAGCTCGCCAAATACGGGGGTTCGTGCAGAGACAACCGGTCGAGAGAGTTGGGCGAGAAGCGCAGGAAGGAAGCCGATGCGGTGGGGCGTCTGTTCCCTGGAGAAAGTCGGTAGCCTTCGAGATCGTGCGGACTGACCTTGGACTGTTTTTTTTGTACTGCACGTTCCGTGTCAATTGTTGATGCCAACCCGTGAGGCTGCATGTAAGCCCTCGAAGGAATACGCGTCTTCGATTTTATAGAAATCATTGGGCCGCGGTACAGATGTACACGAAGAGTTTAAAAGCTTTGTTAGGAAAGGGAGGACTCCGTGGGACGACAAGAAGAAAAAGGGCCAAGAGACAGGTAATAAGAGGGAAGATAAGGACAGCAGGGCGTGAATGGCAAGTATGACGGAGGCAGCGATGCGGTGCACGTTTTTTCGTTATCGTGAGGGATCATAATATGTGTATGACAAGACACTAAGCAAGGACCCAGGACGAACACGAACGAAACTACAGAGACTCCTTACACCCGCCGCTTGATGTTCGCGCTCAGCCACTCAAGTCCCTCGTACAAGCCATCACCGCTCGTGGCGCACGCCGCCTGTATATTACGTGAATGAGTGATCAGAACATATTGGTCCTAAGCGGTGGCGCGGGGGCACTGACCTGGATATACCACGTCCTCTGCCTGAGTCCCTGGAGGCCCAGCTTGTCGGTGATTTCAGATGCGTTCATGGCGTTCGGGAGATCCTGCTTGTTTGCGAAAACGAGGAGGAGGGCATCCCGGAGCTCGTCCTCGTTCAGCATCCGCTGCAGCTCTTCCCGCGCCTCAGAAACACGCTCCCGATCGTTGGAGTCGACGACGAAAATGATGCCCTGGGTGTTCTGGAAGTCTAAAGGTGGAGAAACAGCGTGAGCGCTTGTTGCATTTGCGCATGTGCATATACGGGCGTAGAGTGGATAACGTACAATGTCTCCAAAGGGGACGGATCTTGTCCTGACCTCCGACATCCCACACGGTGAAAGAGATGTTCTTGTATTCAACGGTCTCGACGTTGAATCCTGTGCGCAAACGAAAGTGAGCGCCTAAAAAGGAAACACACGCTCGGAAAGACATACCAATTGTTGGGATGGTGGTGACGATTTCGCCTAGCTTCAACTTGTACAAGATTGTCGTCTTACCCGCTGCGTCGAGACCAACCTATTCCAGTATGAGATATGGCGGGCGAGCAGACCGGAGGAAAAAAAGGTTACCATGAGGATGCCTGAACGGAATGCCCATGTCAGAGAGGCACGATAGTTGGATCGATGGAGACGTACGCATTTCCTTCTTGCCGAAGAGGCCTGAGAGGAGACGAGAGACAGAGAGACCCATTGTGTGCTGAAGATTGGGGAGGAGAGAAGGAAAACGGGCGGGGACAGCGGTGGTGTAGAGCGGATTGTTGAGGAGAGCTGGACGTTGTCGACGGCTCTCTTTAGCTGTTGCGTGTAACCCGTGAGCGTCCTCAACTTCAGACTCCGCCAACCCCGACACACGCCATTTTGGCGCTCGCCGGCTCTCCACCCAAGACACGTCGCTCGCTATCGTTGCACAAGATTATTCGCACGTTTACGCTATCGTACATGCATACGTGGCCTACGTTCCCAACGCATATCAGAGTCATCATCACTCATACAGCCGACACCGCCTCACGCATCCTCACCCACAGCCCGCCCTGTGACGCGTTGCCGATACATCAGTCATACGGCGCGACGTGGAGTTGTGCGCAAATTTCACCCACATGAGAGTACATAGTCAGGTGCAATTTGGGGAAAAACTGCTCCGTTGCAGAGCGCCCTTCCTTCGTCTTCCACTCCGCAGGCGGGCGCGTCTCTGGCGGTTGGGCAGACCCGTCCAGCGACATGCTATCGAAGTGCTGCAGCAAGCGGATGAGCATGAACGACATCTCGTTGTGCGCGAACTGTACACAATCCCGCAGGGCAACCAGTGAGCGTCATCCGAGACACACCCGCCATGACGCACCTGCTGGCCTAGACAGATCCGTGGCCCGGCATTGAACGGGAGGAAGATGTATGGGTTCGGAAGGAGGTATTTCTTCAGCCGTTCGTCGAGGAATCGGTCAGGATCAAACTCTAGAGCTATTCAAGGGGTAAAGTTCGAGGTCTGAAAGGAGCACCAGGCCTGACAGACTCACCGTCGGGGCCCCATAGATCGGTCCGTCGATGCATCATAAATACCGAGTAAGGGATACTGTACCAAACTGAGTTATCAACGTGCGCAATCTGTGAGTGCTCGACCAGAACGGCACCTTGTCTTCGCAGGGATATAGATTGGCTTCCGGGATCCATCGCGAGCGGGCCAGGTTGTCGCGTTGACAGTTTCGCTATCGCGCGGACTCATCAGGAAAGTGAAGCCTAAGACATTGGCTGAGCACCCTTACCGAACGTTGAATGGCCTTTTTGAGAATCTTCGTCAGTGGATGCTGCAGTCGAGTCCACTCTAGTACAGAAGCTCACACAGGCGGGAACAGCCGCAGCGTTTCGTTGATAACAGCCCTCAGGAACTTCATGTCTCGAATATTGTCGTAGGATGGCCGTTGCGACGGGCCTACTTTTTCCAGAACCTCGGTCCGCAGGCGCGCGAAGATCTCGGGATGTGTGGACAAGAGGTACACTGCAAAAGTCAAGGTCGCTGCCGTCTGCACGGCCGTGTGTATTCCGTCTGTCAGCGCACAAAATGCGCGGATCATTTAGACAAAGGAACGCACGGTGTCACGACCAGCAAGCAGGATGTTGAGGGTTTCATCTTTAAGGACCTTCGGGTCTGCAGACGCACGCACGTCAGTCCCCACATCCAAGTTGCTGTAGATCTGAAACAACTCGCCGTCGGTGATTTTAACTAGATGATCCAATAGCGTCGCGTCCTCCTCCACTTCGCCATCCGCACCGGTCGCCGTCATCTCGCCAATGCTACTGTCCTGAACCTTGGCCTCAACAGACGCCATTCCCCTCCTCCTGCGCTCCTTCGCCAGCGCGTCCTTCAGAATCGGGCCCAAGAAAGCGTCGACAACCTGCATCGGCGCGCGCGTCTCGTCCCGGCGCATCTCTCCCAGCGGCCACAGCTTCTTGCCGACCCTCGCGCGCGCCGCGATCACGGTCTGTGCGCGGGAGAATGCGTTTGAGAACTGCTCGGCGAACGAGAGCGGGCCTGATGCCGGAGACGCCGCGCTCGGAACCGTGTGGGGGTACGGAAGACCGGTGGAGAGGCTGTGCACGCAGGACCCAAAGAGGAATTCGGTGGCGGAATCGAGGGTGAAGCGAGAGACGAGATCCTGTTGTACAACAAAAATTGGATGGCCGTGGTAGGTTGCAAGGGAGACAGGTACCTGGAAGTCGACGGCGTAGCCGTCTTCGAAGCGCGCCTTCATCTGGGCGACGGCGTCTTCCGCGTGCCGGTCGAAGATGTCAAAGTGAGAGATGCGTTCGCGGGAGAAGAATGGTCGTGTCATGGAGCGGTGGAACCTATAAACGCATCAAAAAAATGCAGTTTCAACTCCAAGCGGCGGTGCTCACTTCCACATGTCGCCTGGCGGAGGCAGATTTCAGTCAAAGATTGCAGTCGTCTCAGGTAGAACTCACCGTCAGAATTGAAGACGCCAGTGCCGAGAACGGAGTTCATGCATTTCTGGAAGGCATCACCTGCACATAAAATCAGACTGACGTCCTCTACGGACAGACGAGTGTAAGATACCTTTCACATAGTTTGTGAAATCGGTGGACAATATGATCTGCACCAGAAAGATTTCAATCAATGAATAGAGATGAAGCTGATGATAAGTCCTACTTTGATGTCCTCCGGATCGATGGTGAACATAGAATCAACCCAAAGGACTCGGATGTTTACAGTGGTTCCATATTCTCGTATGACGGTCCACAGGCTATCCGCTACAAACCCTACCTATGAGACAAATGTCAAGTTATCCCTGCGATCTGTACACGCACCAGGATATCCGTTCTTAAACTCCTGCATGAGCTTGACCGTCAGGTCCCAGTTCCCGATCCACTTGCCGTTGTATCTGGGGGCGAGCACCGCGCCCATTCTATCCGCCTCCCGTTTATTCTGGTACGCGCGGACATTGATGCGGACGGCGACGACGACGGGGGGCGTCGCGAGCAGGACCAGGACAAAGAGCCATGTGGGAACGAATACGTTGAAATACGAGTGCAGGACACGTCGAGCCGCGACGACGGCGAGAGACGGTGGGACTAGATTCTTGAGCAAGCCGCGAGCGAGGTAGGGGATTCCCGGGGGAACGCGCGACGACATGTCGATGTCAGTGTGTCGTGAGAGCGAAGGAGAGACGGCCTGCAAATGCCCATGTACTAGCACCTTAAATTAAGATCTTCTGGCCATGTCATATGAGATCGAAGCCTGAGGGCGAAGCGGTCATGCAATGATCATATGATGTAGTGGTTTGAAAGATTTCATGATGGTGAAGGCACAATGGATCCATGGTCCATTGCGGAAGATTGTCATGTCTTGCTCTGGTCCACTAGTGTTCCGCTGTGCAAACCGCTGCGTCTGGAAGAAAGTGAGGACGAGTCGACGATTGATCGTAGCGACGTCAAGACATCTTCCCAGATGCCGCCAAATTGAGCCAAACTTGGAAGCATGCCATACATGTCAGGACTCAGGCTAGCTCAGCTCGTCGCCCAAGCGCTAGGGACTAAGTTCGTAATAATTAACTACCTACAGACACAGCCCACCCAGCAGCAAGCCCCTCACGCCGCCACCAGCGCGTGCAGGCCGTAAATCTCCTTCCGGACCTTATAATACACCTCCGAAACCGTGCCCTCCATCTCCACCCGGCCCCGCGCCGTCTTGCGCACCGCAACGCTCCCGCCCAGGTCGTCGAGGCCGCTCCCGCCCTGCCGCGCAGATACCCCGCAGATCAGCACGCCCTCGCCGACGAGCTCAGCCTGGACACCGATGGACGCGAGGCGCGCTTTCAGCGCCGTCAGCTTGAGCTCCCCGATCATCGTCGAGTTGGGGAGGCGCTGAATCGGGCGGGCGCCGAGCGGGCGCGGGGCGGACGGCGCGAGGACGGCGGGGACAGGCGCTGCAGCGCCAGACACGGCGATGGCAGGCTCGAGCGTGGGCACGGTCGACATGGCGGACATGGAGATGCGCCCGGTCACATAGCCGACCTCGTTGTCTTCAAACTGAACAAAGAAAACAGTTTCAGACCAAGCGCCGGATCGTGTCGAATGGGGAAGTAAGAGCACACACCCGTGACATTTTGATGGACGCAAGGAGCTCGTCGCTGAGCGATATCGAGAAACTGTTGGTGTTCTGGCCAATCTGGATGGACTCGCCCTGCGACGGTGCGTAGATGTCCTTCGTCATCGAGCGGATGTTGGCGCAGCTCTCAATGAGAGCGTCCGTCGCGCTCGGAGGCGCATGCACTATGATCTGTAGTTACTCGATGGATATTAGATGACACATGAAACGAGACAACGAGACGGACCATCTTGCGCGGGTTGACTTGCGGAATGATCGTTTTTGTGGCCCGACCGTCATTCAAACCTTCCAAGTCGACGAACAGAAGCCGACATGCCAGCTGAACGTCGACTGTGGTAGAAATAAACTTGGATGGCGGCTCTTTTGGGGCTTTCTAAGTAACAAGGATTAGAACGATGAAAACGGAGGACCCGCAACGCCCGCATCGAGCTCACCTTCGCTTCCTCCTCCTTCCTCTTCTGCTCCTTAACCTCATCGTCCTCGTCCTCCTCTTCGATGATCTTCCCCCTCCGCAACCACATCCCCACGTCCACGACCTCCCCATACTCATCCACCTTCCTCTTCTTCTCTACATACGGGAACATCCTGAACCGCTGCGTCTCGCGCCCAGAGCTCTTAAAAAAGCTCGTCGCGCGCGCCACGTTCCCCTTCAGATAGATATCGAACGACAGCAGCTGCTTCGTCCCGTCGTCCGCGTCGAGCTTGCCCCAGTCCGCCTCGCCCATGCTGTCCGCGTCCTGCCGTCGCCGCCGCTCGCGCTTGGGCTCCGCGTCGCCGCCCCCGAGCGCGCGCTCGACGTCCTCCTCGTCCTCCTCCTCGTCGGAGTCGGAGTCACTGTCCTCTTCATCTTCGTCGGCTTCGAGAAGCTGCTGCGTGCGCGCCATGGCAGCCTGGTGTGCCGCCTGCTTTTCCTTCGCCGCGCGCTCCCTCTGCAGGAACAGCTCAAGCTCGGTGCCTTGCAAGGGGACCTTCGAATTGAGCTGAAAGGGTGGCCCGCGAGTCAGACGAAGCTCTCGGTCTTGTTGATGCGAGGAGGAGGAGAAAAAAACACGTTACTTGTAGCTGTAGAACGCCGTCCATCATGATGTTGCTCCCGATCTTGCCCTTGTCCCACTTATCCTCCGCCCGCTGCGAGTTGTTCCACTTGTCGAACAGGACCCGCCCGAGCGTGCCCTCCTCGCCTCTGGCGGTGAGCAGCACGACGTTGTCCGGCACCGTCGCGAAGTCCGCGAACAGCGCGCGCGAGGGCCCGTGCGAGAGCGACGCGGGCACCGCGAGGATCAGCTTCGGGTCCTTCGACGAGTACGTCTGCATCAGCGCCTGCGGGCTCATGAAGAACTCGAGGTGCCTGCGCGCACCACCCCAACGTCAACGTCAGCATAGATCGGCGGGCCCGTCGCGGCGGCAGCGACGCGGGAGGGGGACAGACGCACTTGAATCGCAGGGCGAACGCGCCGACGGCGTCGTCGTCCACGTCGTCTTCGCGCTTCCGCTTTCCCCGGCCACGCTTCCCGTCCGTCACCTCCTGCCCGACGTCCTCCTTGCTCACCGTGCCACCGAGCCACTCCATCATGCTCCGCACGAACGTCAGCATCTCGCGGCCGGTGCGCGAGAGCAGGCATATGGGGTATTTGAGCCGCGCGTACGACCAGTGCTGGTCGAGCAGCACGAGGAGCTCGAGGACGCGGGTGCTGGCGTCGCAAGGGAGGAGGAGCGACGAGCGCGAAGAAAGCGTGGCCGTGATGCAGTCTGAGACGCGTGTCAGCCGTGGTCGCGCACAGAACGTCAAATGATACACCCACCGATGAGCGTCGCGTCTCGGTCCTTCCGCCGACTGCTCAGCACGTCCGCGCGCTCCGCGTCCGTGATGAGCAGGTCCGGGCGCGCAAGGGGCTCGAAGACGCCGCCCGCGGCCTGGCGCATGAGCACGGTGCCGTCGAGGTGGCGTTCGCGCATATGGTTCATGTTGACCGCGTATAGGATCGTGCCCGCGGACGGCGAGCGAATCTTCCATATCGTGCCCCCGAGCGTGTGTCCGGCGTTGAACGGCGTGATAGTGAGGCCCTGGCATTTCCCTAAGAAAAGAAAATTGGGCAACGACGAGCGCGGGAGGACGGGGCGAGCGACGTACCCTGGAGATGGGTCGGCTGGGAGTACCGCAGGGTGTTGATGGAGTCGAACGCGTCGTGCACTTCCTGCGGCGTCGCGACGTATTTCCCCGTGGTGTTCTCAGCAGCCGGCGACCCCCGCTCGCCCTCGCTTGGGCCGTCCTCGCGCACGTCCATCGCCTCCTGCGCGTCCTTGTCCTCTTCGTCGCTCATCTTCGCCTCTGCGCTCCCGTCCACGTCCTGCTCGTCTCGGAGGCCGTCCACCTCTTCCGAGGCAGCGATGCGAGCTATGGCTTGGACCGGCAGCGTCGAGTACGCGGGGGCCTTGAGGCCCCAACGCGAGTACGCGTAGGGGTACAGCCCGGAGTGCGCGAGGTCTCCGTGCGACAGGAGAACGAGGTCAACCTTCGGCGCTATCCTGAGAGCGAAGTGAACGAGCCGTCAAGAATGATCTCCCCAGATAGATAGAAAAGGAAGCAGGGAGACGCACTCTCGGAGTCTCTCGCAGTACTGTTCCCAGTGGAACGCCTGGTCTTTGATGTCGTCGTCTGTCAGTGACGAGGACGAGGGCTCTGGGCACCAGTTTGGGGAGCCGCAGTCGAGGAGGATGTGCACGTCGTCGACTTGGAGGAGGTAGGCGAGCGGGACGGATCGCGACGAGCGCGCGGAGCCCGAGAGCGGCGTGAAAGTGAGCATTATCGAGCGAGCCCCGTGTGCTGGTGCTTCCTGGTGGGCTCGATTGCCTCAGAGTATGAGAAGAATGATTTTTGTCAAGCGAGGGATCGTTGGAAGAGGCGCAATACCTCTCGCAGAGTCGCAGACGGTGACAACACGGCGATTACAGCACGAGCACGGATCTAGCCGCTCCTCCAGATGCGATAAGATAAGATCTCCCAGCGTGACTATTACCCTTCCCACAAAATCATCATCTCCTTATCCTCCTGACTCCTCCTCCTCCTCCGATGTCCGCCTCATTCGCCCACCTCCTCCCCCCGTCCTGGAAATCCCAGGTCTCCGCCTGGCTCGCAGAAGACACGCCCTCCTTCGACTACGGCGGCTTCGTCGTCGGCGAAGCCCCGCGCGAGGCCTTCCTCCTCGGCAAGGGCACCCAGCCCGCCGTCCTCGCCGGCGCGCCGTTCGTGACCGAGATATTCGCGCAGCTGGGCTGCGAGTGCGTGCACCCCGCTTTCCCGCTTTTGTGTGCTGCCGAGTGTCGACGAGTGTCGCTGATCGTTCGTGGTGACTGCGCGCGGGGGGTAGGGTCGAATGGCACGTCGACGAGGGAGAGGCGTTCGAGCCCGTGAAGCACGTGGCCACCGTCCGCGGCAGCGCGCGGCACCTGCTCCTCGGCGAGCGCGTCGCGCTGAACCTGCTCGCCCGGTGCAGCGGCATCGCGACCAAGTGCGTCCGTCCCGCCCCGCCCCTCCTCTTCTCCTCTCCTTTCCTCCCCGCTCTCTCGCTCACACACACGCACACGCACACGCACGCCGCGCACTCGCGCGCCCGCTGCAGGTCCAAAGCGTTCAAGGACATCGCGAGTGCGTGCGGATTCAAAGGCATCATCGCGGGCACGCGCAAGACGACGCCAGGTCCGTCCGCCCACACGCCGCATCCCACCCCCCTCCCGCCCCCCATCCTGATCGCCCCACGCACCCTTCAGGCTTCCGCCTGGTAGAGAAATACGGCATGATCGTAGGCGGCATCGACCCGCATCGACACGACCTCTCAAGCATGATCATGCTCAAAGACAACCACATCTGGTCCTCCGGTGCGCCCCCTCTCCCTCCGCACCACCACCGCCGCCGCCGCCACCACGCCCCTCTCACACCCCGCTACCCTCGCAGGCTCCATAACCTCCGCCATCCAACGCGCGCGCGCCGCCGGCGGCTTCTCCCTCCTGCTCGACGTCGAGGTCCGCTCGGAGGCCGAAGCGGACGAGGCGCTCGCCGCAGGCGCAGACGTCGTCATGCTCGACAACGTCGCCGGCGCGGAGCTCGCGCGCGTCGCGCGCAGCCTCCGCGCGCGCTGGGCGGGCAGGCGCCGGTTCTTGCTCGAGGCGAGCGGGAATATTACTGAGGAGAACTTGCGCGAGCGCGCGATTGAGGGTGCGTGCGCTGCTGATGCTGATGATGCTGATGATGATGATGATGATGACGTGGTGGTAGATATCGATATACTGAGCACGAGCGCGGTGCACCAGTCCGTACAGCACATCGACTTTAGCCTCAAGATCCAGATGCCAACCCCCGAGGCGATCTAACCCCGAGCGCATAAGTTAAAGGCCAACACTAGCAGGTGTTATTTTTGGTACGGGGAACACAGACACAGGAAGATCACACTAGCCAGGCGAACGGGAGGGGGGGCACCGCGATGAACTCGCACGCCGTACTGTACACTACTATCAACCCAAAAAATCAGATGTACTTTTGCCCTCCCCCCCACAGACCCGCGCGCGCGCTTCACGCAGCAAGCCCGAACAGCTCGAGCGCGTTCGCGCCCTTGACGCCCGCCCTGTCCGCCGCGGACCACCCGGCGACGCCGTCGATCGCCTCGAGGTTCTCCACGACGCTCCGCCAGCGCTCGCTCTCGTCCAGCGGCGGGAAGAACGGGTGGTCCGTGCCGAACAGCATCCTCCTGCTGCCCGCGTTCCTCTCTCCCGCGCCCGCGCCCTCGCCCTCGGGCGCGGTGTCAGCCTTGTCAGGCGCGCCCGTCGCCGACGCGAAGCGCGCGGCGCGGCCGACGGCGTCGGCGACGAACGCGAGCTCTGCGGACCCGTAGGCGACGGCGTCGAAGTAGAGCCTGCCGAGGTACCAGCGCGCGTCGTGCCGCAGGCGCGCGGCGACGGCGGGGTCGTGGGCGATGCAGGACGCGAGGCGCGAGGAGAGCTGCGGGAGGGCGCCCCCCGCGTGGGCGAGGAGGATGCGGAGGCGCGGGTGGCGGTCGAGGACGCCCGCGAGGATGAGGCGCGTGATGGCCTGCAGAGATAAAATAAAATAAAATCAGAACACGCGAAGAGAGAGAGGGGGGAGGGAGGGGGGGGCGCGCGACGGGCGCTCACCGTCGTCGTTTCGAAGGGGAAGCCGAGGGCGAGGGGGAGCACGTGGCCGTTATCTGCGTCGCCCCAGGCCTGCGGGCCGAGGCCGTAGTGCGGGTGGAGGAAGACGACGAGGCCAGAGTCGGCGAGGGCGGCCCAGAGGGGCTCAAGGGCGGGGTCGTCGAGGCCCTTGCCCGCTGCGCGGGTGCCGAGGATGACGCCGCGGATGTGGGGGTGGGACGCGGCGAGGTGGGCGACGGCGGGGGGGAGGGCGGCGGGGGGCGTGCCGGGGACGAGGGGGAGGAGGCCGAAGCCGTAGAGGCGCTTGAGGGCGGGAGCGGAGGGGTCTGCGGGGGGCGCGGTGGAGCAGTAGGACTCGAGGTCGGCGTTGAGGTCGCGGGCGAGGGTCTGGGCGGCGGGGAAGGGGAGGAAGTCGAGCCACGGGTTGGCGGTGCTGCGGGGGGGACGGGATGGTGAGCGGTGAGCGGTGAGCGGTGGGGAGTCGGGGGAGGGGACAGGCTTGCCTGACGATGGAGATGTCGATGCCGTGGTTGTCCATGAATTTTAGCTTCTCGTCTCTGTCCCAGTACTGATGTGCGCGATCAGGACTGCCTGCGCGGCGGCGGCGGAGACGGGCAGAGCACGCACCTGGGGGCCGACGGGGCGGCCGCCGCTGGGCTCGTCGTCCAAGATGACGAGGCGATCCTCTGCAAGGCCCGCGGGGGTTGTGCGGGAGAGGATGCGGGGCGCGGCGGTGCGGGAGCGGAGGACGGAGGCGTAGCGCGGGAGGTAGACGTGTGTGTGGATGTCGACCACGAGCCTGGAGAGCGCCATTGTGAGCGGGTCGGGAGAGAGCGCGGCTGCGGCTGCACATGATCTGTGGAGGCCGCGTCCCACGTGATCCCTCCGCCTTGAACACAGACAGCCATGGCCCGCGTCGACCCTCCCGCCCGCAGCACACAGCTCGACCGCGACATCCAGGGCGCACGCAACGAGGTCCGTCCCACACACCCCTCTCTCCCACATCCCCCGCACTCACCCGCGCCGCACCGCACCGCACCGCAGTTCACCGCCGTCTCCACCACCCTCGACGCCCTCAACGCCCGCTTCTCCGCCATCGTCCGCCTCCTCGAGGACGACAACGCCGCCCTCCGCCAGCGCCTCCTCGCCCTCGACACCCCGCAGCACGCCCTCGCCCTCGCCCGCCTCGCCCACGAAAACGCAGACCTCAGGCGCGCCCTGCTCGCTGCCCAAGCGGAGCGCACAGCCGCAGAGCGCGCACGCGACGCCGCCCTCGCAAAGCTCCAGAACATGCGCACCGTCATGGAGGACCTCCTCAGCGAGCACCGCGCGTCGGTGAGCACCCCCCACCCGCACCGATTCACCCGCGCTCCGGCAGATGACCGTCCGCGTTCCCAGCTCGGCGCACGCTCGCACCACGATCCCATCGACGACCGCGAGCCCGCCCTGCGCCCGCTCGCCGGCAGCACCCGTGTCCCCGCGCCGCAATCCAGCACCGCCGCCCCGCCATCGACCGCGTCCTCGCGCCGCACATCCGCCGCCAGCATCGTCCCCGTGCCCTCGACCTTGGCCTCAGCCTTCGCCCCAGACCACCCCCCACCCCCCGCCGCCCCCAGCCTCGGCCCCGCCTTCTCCCCCGCACGCAAACCAAAGCCCGCCCCTGCCCCGGGCCCCCGCGCCGCCCTCCTCACCGCCCCTGCGCCGCCCGCGCCCTTCTTCGAGCTCAGTCCCGGCTCTAGCGACTCCGGCATGTCCGTCCGCTACAACCCCGACGGCTCCCCCGCCCCCGCCCCCGCCTCCGCAAAGTGGCGCATCCACTTCGTCAAGCCCCCGCCCTCCGCGAAGGTCCTCGAGGGCCCGATCGCGTTTGCGCGCCTCGAAGGCATGCTGGAGCTCGATCACGAGACCGTGCGTGCGCCCCCCCCCCCCCCTCCCATCCTGAGGTTTTTTTTCTTACATCGAACGCGAAATCGCTCTCCAGAAGAGAGCCGTCTACAAGTGAGTCCGCCCCCGCCTGCGTACCGCCCCCGCCGGTCCTGTCCCCAGCTCACCCCCGCACCACAGCATGCAGACCTCCCCCACCGACACGCCGCGCCTCCACCTCGCGGGGGGCTACGCCTTCCTCCGCGACCCCATCTTTCTCGAGTGCCCCTCCGCGACGTACATCGTCGACTGGACCCGCCCCGACCCCAGCCCTAACCCCAACCACAACCCCAACCCCAACCACAACCACAGCTCCGACCCCGACCACGACCGCGACCGCGACGCGCACCTCGCGCGCGCGCTCTCCGCCACAGACGCGCTGCACACGCTCGTCTACTCGTCGAGGAAGCAAGGCTGGTACTACCTCGGCAGACAACACTGGGCCCCCGTCGACGTGCGCCCCGTCTGGCCAATGCTCGCCCCAAAGGTACGCTCCGCCCCCCATCGCGCCCCACCCACCCCACCACCCGCCCTGACGCGCACACGCCCGCACCACCCAGGCCCAGCGCGCCCTCGCCGCGCGCCGCGCGCGCGGCTCCGCCCCCGCCGACGTCTCGCGCATGCTCGCGCGCGGCGCGCTCGTGCAGCGCGCCGTCGAGCTGCGCCTCGTGGGCGCGGGCGCGCTCGCGGCGGGGCTCCTTGGCCGCATCCGGGAGGTCACGATGGCGACGGTGCGCGGCTCCGTGGGCGCGGGCGATGTCGGCGACGCGGGCGACGTCGACTTGTGAGGGGCGCGTCGCGCGTGGGTTGTGATCGCCGCTGGGTTGCTGGGAGGGCGCCGTTTTGTTTTGTCGTGCTTGCTTTGAATGCTCTGTACTGTTCTGTTCTTTCGTCGTTGGTCTCGGTCCGATTGGTATACCCGTATTGATTGATATGCTCGCTCGTTCGTTCGCTCTTCCATGTTTTTTTTTTCTTTCTTTCGTACGTACGTACCTACTGATCATGCCTTCCGTATGTTTTGTCCTAACCATGCTCTCCAATCACAAACTCCACGCGCTCGATCTCGGTGTGCCCACGAATCTCGAGGACTCGTAAAGATGGGAGTGGGGCTGAGTGGGGAGGTACCTTGAACACTGAACATATACTGGAGGCTACACACAAAGCCAGCGCGGGAGCCGCACGATGCGAACAGGAGTATGCAGGCCATCGCGGACCTGACGAGTAAAGACGGTGAAACACGAAGGCAGGCACAAGCTACGACCGTCTCCAAGTCCAGAGAACGATCCAAGAAACGACATTATTTAGACCCCAATCCTATTCGGGAGCGTGGAGTGGGCCGCGGGAAGTAAAAGTACCGGTAAACTCAAAGAAACTCAAAGTAAGTAGTATGTATGTCCGAATGTCACGACGATGGCGAACCAAAGAACAGATGACGAGAATGAGAATGAAGGGGGCGGTGGGCACGCGCAGCCTACGTTACGTGGACTGTCCGACTCAGGCAACGGCGACGCCGAGAGCGAGCGCGAGCGCGAGAAGGGCCGGGCTGCCGAATGCCGCGCGCGCGACGGCGCCGTTCGCCGCGCCGGACGGGGTGGTGTCGGTCTGCGAGGTGGTGGGGCTGAGGTCCGCAGCGGTGCCGCTGCCGGTGCCGCTCGCCGCCGCCGTCGTCAGTGCGCTCCTGCCAAAACGCGCCGTCAGCCGCCGCAAACAAGGAGCCACGCGCACCCGTCGGAGACAGATGGCCGAAACGATCGAGGGGGTGATGAATGATGGGGGGGGTGGGGCGTGAATGATGGTTGCTCACCGGGACGCGGCGGCGCTGCTCGCTGCGAGCGTGCTGGACGAGGCGACGCTGGAGGTGGACTGCGCGATCGTGAACTCGCTCGACTGGGCGTAGATCGTGCTCAGGTGCTGCGTGTCCTGCACGAGGTTCACGCGGAAGCCGGTGCCGACGGGCCACCCCGCGCTCGGCTCGCTGGCGGTCTGCTTGCCCGTCGTGCCGTCGACAAAGGCGACGAGGATCTCGTCCGTCGGGAGCAGATTGCGGTTCTGCGCGCGCGTGCGGCCGGGGTTAGTTTGGTGGGGGAGATGGGGAGACGGGGGGACGGACCTGGTTGGTCAGGACGAGGGTGAAGTTGGTCGTGTCGGTGGAGACGCGGTCCCAGGTGACGATGTTGGGGCCGACGGTCGTCCAGCCCTGCGTCTGGCTGGGCTCAGTGACCTGGTATGCGAGCGCGGAGGCGGCAAAGGCGGCGAGTGCGAGGACGGTGCGCATGATGAAGGAGTGCAAAGGTGGGGGGAAGCGTGTACTTCAAGGACGACGGGCTCGACGGGGAAGAAGCGAAGGAAGGAAGGAACGTGGGGACGTCGAGGATGCGGGCGTGAAGCGTGCAGGGTGCTGGGCGTTGGCAGGGAGCGGGCTTAAGAGGCGGAAGACTGGCCGCGACGGCGGGCATCCCAGCCCGGCCCGTCGCCGCACGTGGCTGGACCCTCCCCGCAACGCCGTCGAGAACATACGCAAGTCACACAACATTGCATCCTCGCACGGCGGAACATGTCCTCCGCGAGTACAATCCGCCTGGATTCAAAGTGGACAAGTCCGCGGCCATTGTTGATTCTCAGCGAGTCTGCTAGTATACCAGAGTAGAATGCACGAGGTCGGAGCCGCCGTTGGCTGAGGGTTCATCAAGCAAGACGTCATTGAGGGTCGGAGAAATACGCCGGATAGGCAGACTAAGGAGCCCGGGGCGTAGTACTATACTGAGTGAGAGGCAGAGAACGAGTTGAAAAGCGACTCGAGGGTGATAACCTCCGCAGTCGCTCATTTGTAAGTCCCGCAACCGCGAGGGACCAGCAAACGACTTACATTCGGAATAGAGAAAACGTAGGCCCCACACGCATCGACGAGCCGGGCACTACAAGTCGAGGACAAGAGCTACAGTAACAAGTACATGCGACGCAATGTCACGACCCTACCTTCGAAAGCATCTCCTCAGCATCGGACCACAGATCCTGCTGTCCCCACATGCCCACCACGATGCACACCACCATCCAGCACGCGACCTCGCCCATTCCCCGGTGCGCCTCCGTGCTCTTCCCCTTCACGTCCCCGTCCCCGCGCTCGCGCCTCGCCCGAACGAGCCCCAGACACACGCGCGCGAGCCCCCGCAAGCCGCTGATCTCGTCCGCCGTGCAGAACGCGTCCACGCGCCCGAGAAGCGTGAATATCCAGCGGGCGTGGCTTTCGGTCGGGATGTGCGCAGGCGGGGCCGTGGAGGCCGAGTCCAGCCATTCGAGGTGGAGGTTGAACCAGTGCGTGAAGTACATCAGCAAGTGCACAGACATGCGCTGCGAGGGATCGGAGCGAGTGAGGCGACTGTTACTTAGAACAGCACGGACTCGGACGTACATGATCGATGTATTGCAGTAATGTTGGAGTCGGCTCGCGGGGAACCAATGGAGGGCTAGGCGACGAGGCCGATTGCAATTCACTTACACCATCATTGGCACCAGACATGTTCCCAGTCGACGCCTGCAATGACCCCGAAGCAAACGCCCCCTGTCGAGGATCCGTGTCACTCACCCGCGTTCCGTCGTGCATCTCCGCCAGCTGCTCTTCTGTCACCGTCCCGACGACCCACTCGTCTGTGCTGCTCCCGTACGCGTTCGTCCTGTGAAACGGCGGCACCGCGTGGTCGTCGTTGCCAAGCCGCCGCACTTCCCTCTGTTTCGGCTGCTTCGCCGCGCGCGGGGGGTCCCACACCGACGCGGGCGAGCCGGCGAAGAACTCCCACCACCTATCGCGCTCTTTTTTGTCCGGCATGAGCTTTTGGCCCCGCGCGCGGGGCATGGGCATGTAAACGTGGATCGTGGGCTGCGAGGTGTTCTGCACGCGATGCCGTTAGCGGTGGATCGGTCAGATGAGGGGTGCGCACACCTTGCGGAAATTGACGAACCGACGAGTGAACGTCGAGCGCCATTGTTCGGATGGGATGTGTGATTTTTGAGAGGGAGGGCTGGGTGCGATCGTAGATGCTATGAACGTGGACGCCGATGGCAGTGCAGGTTCGGGGGGAGCTGTCTCGTATGGGTTCGGGGCGCGCTTGACCGCCGGTAGCTGACGCGTTTCTCTCCTGCGACACAGTGAGCCAATGCAGACGAGAATGAAAGAACAGTGCGTACCTGACGGTGAACAGATACTGCATACCGTCCTCCGGCTCTCCTTCGAAGTTCGACGGGAGATTCGCGACGGGGAGGATCTGCCTGAGGCCGTACGCGGGCTCATCATCCTCGTCAGCATCGTCCCGCTTGCGCTTGAAGCCCGAAGACATTTTGATAAGTTTCTAATATGATGGCCGCGCTTGAATATGACCTAGGGCTGATGGATGTGTGCGGCGAACACCACTCGAGACGGTGCGGGCGTCTGCACCTCGTGATCTGATATTGCTGCCACGTGCAGGAACGCGTCTCGACTCTCGGCAGCCCGTCGGCTTGTGTCTTTGCTTGTTCGATGGGAGGAGGGAATATCGTCAAGAGAATTTTCCAGAATTAATACCGAATGTACAACTTCTCCCACATGCACTAAGCACCGAGCCCAAAACAAATATGTAGCACTCATTACGCTAGTGTAGATTAAGTGGTCATTATAGTCGCTGTGCGTACACAATACTCAGGCTGTATGTGAGATCAAAGTCACGAAGTCCTACGGGAAAAAATCCGTCTGGCGAAGTTGATTGGGTTACCAGGCCTGCGTATGTGAAAGACGTAGGTCATGGCATAAATGATCAGAATCTGATGATCAGAGGCATCAGCAGGCGGACCGCGCAAATATTCATAGGTATACGCACATTGACCGCGACGTAGACCCACATCAATCCGAAATCTCTCCAATGGTGTGAAGGAAAGATATTGAAGCTCGCTTCCATAAACTGATCAGTCGTCCGCACGGAGCAATATTGACAATGGGCGTTCGCGTCTGGGTTTGTGAGATACCCGCCGGCCGTGGTCATAAATTGTGCGAGGTATTGTACGCATGTTTCACCCAAAGGGGGTTCGACTGTCACAAACTCCACGGCTGCACAGTTGACCTCCAAGTTACCGGCAGCTGAGTTGGTGTCAGTGGTTGGAAATGGCAACGAGACATGTGGAGTGCTGACATTGACCAAAGACGCCCTCGAGGAAGTACGTGAGCGGCGAGACTCGGTACATCCATTTCCACCAGCCAAGGTGCTGGAAAGGCTGAAGTACCCCGTTCCTGTGCAGTTGATAGAAAGATCTCAACACATAAATTCACGTCGAGGCATAAGCTGAGACTCACATGATGAACGCAAACGAGAAAAAGAACGAGAATAAGAGGGCCGATATCTCTATGTTGGGTGACATCGCGGCGACGCCTTGGCTAAGCGTTGTATAATAGAGAGGGTATATGATGCCGAGCATCAAGTACGTATATCCAGCGCGGTCCGTAGGGAAACCGACCGTCCAGTACCAGGTCAAGAAATAGAGAGACGACCCAGCGATGTTGAACGGGATCTCGCCGAGAATCTGAGCAGTGAGGAACGCCGACCAACTGTACATTCGACTCGGTCGTTCGCGGACGAGGTAGATCGCGCGCGTCTCGAGGAACGGGACCTGTATCTGGTTAGCCAGAGGAAGGCCCAGCACAGTGCTGATGAAGATAGACTGGTCAAGATGTGTCAATCAGTGTATATCATTGCTCATTTGTAAGACTTACGAAGAGCTTGTTCTGTGTCCCTTGGATAGAATCTTTAGCTTGATAAAAGGTAAATCCGATGAACAACCCCCCCGCAACGTTAAGCAACATCTTGGAAAGGAGATAGTTTGGATCACGCCAGTGTCTCTGAAGCTCCCTCGTGAGAAGGGTCGTAGTCTGGTATGACCAATTGGTTGAGTATTCAGAGTGCTTCTGGATGGCTGCCAAAGAGTACCCGCGACCTGCATTGACAATATTGTCCAATTCATGGTGTACCTGCTCCGCCTCCTTCGAGTGTTCCCAGATGGCGTGCCAGCCGTCCGCTTTCTCTTTCGACGCAGTAGCACCGGCGCCGATAACCTCTAAGATGTATTCTGCACTAGTTTAATGATTAAGGCGTCAGGGTGTACACGTTTCACAGAAGGGTAGACGGAAGACTCACGGGTTCGCTTCGCTCGGGCACAGATCCCCGCCGTTGTTCTCAAAGTATCGAAGTAAGGTAGATGCATTCTCGCCGATGTCACCAAAATAAACAGTCTGTCCTCCCTTCCGAAGAAGTAGAAGTCGATCAAACATCTGAAACAGTTCTGAGGAAGGCTGATGAATGCTATACATGCGATTTCAGGGTGTCATTCGGTTCTTTCGCGGAGAGATAAACGTACGTGCACAGAATGGCCAGTCCACGGTCAGCTAAGGAGCGTAGGAACTTCATAATGGCAAAAGCACTTCGCGCGTCCAGTCCAGAGGTTGGCTCGTCTAAGAATAACAGAAATTTCGGCTAAGGGCTAGTCAGCGAGGACCGGTCATAGCTAGCTATACGAGAAGATAGCTGACATTCGCTGCTAGTTCAACGCCGATAGTAGTGCGCTTCCTTTGCTCAACCCCTAGGGAGCCCACAATTGCGTCTGCGAAAGCTTCGAGACCACACATTTCCAAGACAGTGTCGACGCTGTACTGTTGTGTCAGTTCAGGTCACGAGAATATCTGGGATTTAGCTCACTAGGCCTCCTTCTCCGCGAGCGGAACGGAAGGTGGCTGTCTGAGCTTTGCAGAAAACAAGAGCGCCTCGCGGACCGTGGCTGTTGGGAGATGTGTGTCCGTTTGTTGGCAGTATCCCCTGCAGATAGAAACCAGCATGAGTCAATGATCACTGACTCGATGTCGAGATGACTGACGTCTGAGCTTGGAAATCTACTGGAAGCAGTTCTCCGTTAACAAAGATATCCCCAGCTACCACGCCAGTCGTGAATCGCTGGGCGAGAACATTCAGAAGGGTCGTCTAACATACAAAACCCCCGCTTAGATATCAAAAACGGGAAGAATATCTCAATGTGTGCTAACCTTGCCTGCGCCTGACTCTCCCATAAGCGCCGTCAGATTGCCCGGCGCAACATATCCGGACACGTTGTCCAACAGACGGCGAATATTGCCTCCAGCTACGGGTACATCATACTGTAGCCCATGCCAGGTGAAAATCTCGTTCGAGAGGAGCACGCCCCGCGAGGCCTTTTCCGCGGTATATTTGGTCTTGACTAGTCTTGGCGTGTATTCTTCTGTTCGACCCTTCTCTTCGTCCGCCTTCACACCCGAAGTGGGAGTCAGAGGGGATCGTGATCCTCGCTTGAAGAGTAAAACCGATGCATTTCTTGACGCCGAAGTATTGATCTCGGTAAAGAGCAGGAACAAGAAGAAGAAGAATAGACCGAATGCACAGACAATTCCGAAGTTCTGTGATAGATGGTCCAAACTTAGAATCAAGCGGTTATAGAGGAGCCGTATTGCTTACACGCCAAAGATATCGGTTGGAATAGCCGTACGAGAGCTCGAGGAATCTTCCTCCGTCTACAACTCCCTGTCCAGGCAGAGAGCCGACAATGGTGCATACTTGATTTGCAAGGGACACATTCTCATACCCAGGACCACTCGGAACAAGTGTTGAGCATGCCCCATCAAGGGTGTGAAACTCGTTGGTCATAAGACCCTCAAAGCCGTATCTAAGTGGCTGATGTCAAGGCAAGGTAAATAATACACCTTAACTGACGATAATTACAACGACACTTACGTTGATATAGGTGAGCCATTTCAGCGCACCGATCATGGACGGTTTCGGAAGGGTATAGCCAGTATAGAATGCAGCACCAAGGAATACGACTCCTGCGACTGACTGGGCTGGTGCAGGTGAATCAAATGCTGCGGCGATGGCACGAAATACCGTCTTCATTGTCCAAGTCATCGCAGAAGTGAACAAAAAGAAAACGCTGGTGGCATGGTCAGCTGGATGTTTGAAGCGATACATTTATGGAAACCCACAAAAATTGACCTGCTGTTGACTGCAGGCCGACGAGAAAGTAGAGCACGACACAGAAGATCAGCATGCTTAACAGGGTGATGGGTATGTCAACAACAGTAATGGCGATCGCTTCAATGAATGGGTGATACATGGCAGCCTTGAGATGTCTTAGGACAATTGGCCGCTGACTGAACAGAGTTGGGATTTCAGCCATAGAAGTGAGTGTAGCGAAAAGCAGCGCGCTGTAGAGGTTTTAGTTGGGAACAAACGATATATCGAAGGCTGGGTAGACAAAGCTCACAAAAAAAGTACGCCTCCACGAGAGAAATATGCAGACGTATTTCCAGGAGTTTTGTAGAACACCGTGCCAACAATGATCGACTCGAACAGAAACGCGCTGTCGAGGTAATTCAAGATAAGAGAGCGGAAATGTGGTCTAGGGATCCTGAATAATCACCCGATACGAATGGCCTCTTGAAGCCAGCTTCCTTTCAATATTTGCATCCTGCGTGCTACTACAGCCTTTATTTGCATGGATATTGAAATTGTATACGGGCTGCTTTTGTTATGGGTGCGAGCGCGCTCTGCCCATGCACTTTGCTTGTATGCCAGCGCACGTGGTTCTTGTCCTATGAATTCTGCTTCATAGGCTTTCATGTCAGCACGATTATCGGCGGACGCGTTCGATACAAGAAAACGCTCCGCGAACTCTTCAGCCGTCCTTGGTACGCGATTCTCAAAACCAGGTCGTGTAATCCGCACATCGGGATTCGTCACTGTGTTCATTCTTGTTAGTGCACGGTATGAATTTTCCTAGACGTTCGCGGTTCGTACCTGTGACAAGAAAATCAGCGGTAGTCTGTCTGGCCATGGGCTCAAATCCAAGGTCCATAAAATACTGCTTTGCACGATCTGCCCGCCCATAATACGCCATGCGACCCTCGTAGATCACACACACTTTGTCGAACTGACCGTACAGTGATTCGCCAGCTTGGTAAATAGACACAATGGTGGACAGACATGCTGTCTTCGTCGCAATACGCAGCGTACGAGCAAATTCGAGGGCCGTCGATGCGTCAAGACCGCGAGTTGAGCTGTGTATCAATGACAATAGCAGTAATAAGGATTTATTGTACTCGTTATTCAGTGGGGACTTACTTGTCCCATGCGCCAATGAGAGCTCGAGTAGCCAGCATCTCAGTGATCGAAACACGCTTTTTCTCCCCTCCGCTCACTCCACGGATAGCAGCATCCCCGACTGGAGTCTTCCTTACATGTAAGAGACCAAAAGTCGTCTGGAGAACGGTGGTGATATCATGTATGAACTGCTTTCGGCTCATGTTGTCGATGCGATGTTGTGGCGTACGCATCTTCGCTGCAAACTGTAAAGTGTCGTCGACGGAAAGTGTAGGAAAATGGTCGTCGTCTTCAGGACAATACACCACATCTCCACGAAAATGTTTAGCAATATATTCCGGGGTAAATGAATCGTAGCGAACGTCGCCTTGAACCGAGTGATATTCCCCGCGTTGATTTGCTAGAGTCTTCAGAAATGTGCTACACCCTGAACCCGGATTTCCTAGGACCACTGTCAAGGTATTGCATTAGACCAAAACGTTACTAGGCACATGATAGATTGATTGTTGCATAAAATTAGCTCACATAGCATTTCCCCAGGGCGAACAATGCCTTCGAACCCAGTAAGAATTGTTCTCAGTGAAGGGTTGCGCCAATTTTTCAATGCATTCCATGCATGCACTGGATTGAAAAGAGAACTGAACGTGGCCTGGTAGCTTACTGAAGAACCAAGACCGATTACACAAAGATCTTTGAACATAACACCGAGCTCCCTGGTTCTTATACCAGACGCTACTTGCCTTCGAAGCGAAATCAGTCATGAAACCAAAGGCACTTTATCGCTACGTACCTTTTGGCGGCCTCGAGCACCACCTTCTCAAAGTCAAAAGGTGCATCGACACCAAAGAGTGTGGCATCCGAACCAAAGCTCTCAGTACGTTTAGGAGATGTATGATGCGGCCTTCGAGCGATGTGAGGAAGGTCGGGTACTAGATCATGAGTAACTTCATGGACTGATACACCTGAGGGCGAGGAGATATGGCGATCGGGCAGCCTGACCCCGCGGGTACTCTGATTGTCGGGATGATCAGCCATCTAATCGGGGAGGCGCAAAGGAGGTGAGGAGTCGCGTCTGAGGTCTTGAATATTTCAAAACATTGCATCCCCATGCTTTATATACGCGACCGACGATTGGGATATCAACCTGATCTGTGCAAGATGCGCGCCTGGCAAACATGTCGAGCCGGCGAGTCTTCGGGGATCCCAGCAAAGTTGGAAAAAGAGGCCAGACCCGAGCGCGCTCACCGACGTTCCAATGACAGAGCGTCTATTTTTGAGCGCTGCGCGAAACCCCGTCGTTAGCGCAAATGGACACGAGTGTTCCAAATGCAGAGAATCGATCAATCCAGTCTATGAACCATTCAATACCATTCTTCACTTGTGGGGTATGGGCGTGAGGACCGGCTCATCTTGAAAGGACTAGTCATGTCAACCCAGTGCTCCATGAGTCCTGCAATCAAGGCTGTCCGGCTTTCAAGGAGCAATTTTCGCTTTAGATAACCAATATATCTCGGATGCCTTCTACTCTAAATGAAGACACAGCGCCCACCAAGGAATAGTCACAGCATCGACTCGGAATCACCAAGCATGAGAAGCGCTTGCGAACCAAAATAAACTGTTCTCTACCAGCGTCCAGTAGCGCATGGTAAGGATATATGCCACGATGCCCATGACATACATGGCTCTGATCTCTGTTGAAAAAAAAAGGTGTTCGTCCGCGGCTGAAAAAAAAAAAACAAGAAAAGCTGACACGTACGTTGACGCTTTTCTGGATGCCATTGGACCTCTGAGCTGTAATGTGGCACACCCATTAGGTTGCAAAACACGTGAGCGGCAATGGGAGGGAAAACGGAATTCGTGCGAAGGAACAGGAACGCGCAGTGAAATCCAAAAAGGGTTGTGTAGGTGAACTGGAAGACTAGTAGATGTGCATCAATTAGGTTGTGTTCTAGAAACGGCGATATCAGAGGCACGCACGAGTGACAATGATTGCGCGTTGAAGAGCTTGACGGGTCTGTCCATAACGGCAGTATGCTTCCCATCCATGATGAAGGTGAGCTATGGGACGTGTCAGGATCGACGTAAATAGGCATAAATACAATGGGACGCGAACCTGCACCAAACGAAATGGGGGTAAAGAAAATCAAAAAATTCCGCGATACGCCCGCAAGGTGGTAGATAGCAATGATACACGATCGCCACACAAGTTCCTCAGTAACCGGTCCCTGGGCACAGAGATAGCTGAATGGAAGTAAGTACATCAAGAACGGATGGGCGTACGACAACAAAGTTCCTGAATCCCGTCCAGGTGAAGAACGTGTCTCGAACGTCCCTGAAGGTCCAACGCCTGAAGGGAAGCTCCCCTTGAAGATGGCGGACATATAAAGGTCCCATGAATAGTGCTGGGGTGACCAGGTACGCCGGAATAGTGTCGCCACTCAACGTCAGCCCCAAACGAGGCTTGATGAAACTCCATGAAGGTGCGTCCTCCTGGGAACGGGACGTCTGAATAAGACCACACAAACGAGAAGATGGAGAAACGCACAGGAATATAGCTTTTCCAAATATATCTGATGACTGCATAAGCCCATCCACAGGCGACAGCCGTGCTGATTGAAGCAGAAAGTAGCCTTGCCTTAATGACCGAAGGATCATCTCTCCAGCGTTCCTCCGGTTGCTTAACGCGCTCTCTCCCGACACCAGCGCTAGGAGAGGCGGAAAAGGAAAGACGAGTATGCTTCATGAGGTATAGAGGAAACACATAACCAAATGTCACTGCAACATTATAGATATGGGCCGTATTGAGCGGCAAGGGAGGTTGGCGAAGTATTGTCATGCCGTCTTGAGCCATTGTCGTTGGTTGAAGTTGGTATAGAAAGCTGAGAGATGGGCTCGTCTCAGGACTTTATAACGAAGGACAGGTGATCGCGCTTTTGACAAGATAATTCAGTTTCAGTTGTAACTCGATGACGTTGTGATAGGTTGTGGTGGCCCATGACAAGGCATGAGAACGGGGTTAAGGTTCACCACACAGCGGTGACCCATCGCAAGAACCTCTCTCCCGAAGTGGCTCACACTATCAGGCAGTCAATAATTTATTTGCTGCATGTTCATGAACATAAATACACATGTTTGGGATAAAGCCACACATATCAGCCAGCGATGATTTCGAATCACCAATGAATGAGCAACGCAGACGTGATCAGCATACCAGCCAACCCCCCAATGGTACCGACCACGGCCCAGCGCGTGTACTCGTCGAAGTGGCGAAGCGTCTGACCGACATTACTAACGCTCAACCCGCGAAAAGCATAAAGGGCGACGCCTGTGACAAACGCGGCAATAGACCATATGAGAAAGACGAGAGGGAGAGAAAGAAGGACGCTTCGTCTCTGTATGACACATCGCACAGACGTGAGCACGATCGGGTATGTGGCAAGATCTGAAGAGACTCACAGAAAGAACGATCATCCCTTCGTGGGCATGATACGTCGTAGTCCGCTCGATGTCGCTCTTGTAGCGGAATAGGGCGATCACTGCCGAGATCATGCTCGAGGCCGAGAGGATGATGGCTACGAAACCGGCGACACGAGTGACATCGTCCAAGCCAGGAAGCGAAATGAACGTCACGGAAGCACTGAGAATGACAGCCGCCTGCGCGCGGAAGTCAGCATGGCTTCCACGAAAAGACCAGCTTGTACAATCACTCACGATAAGACAGGCGCAAGCACCGACAATAAGCATGGGACCAGCCTCATTCCGCAGTCCGCTCTCGGTGTCGATGACGTGGTGTTGTGAACGGTCCAAGAAGAGATAAGGGAGGCCCAAGCACAACAAAGAGATGATGAAGTCGAGGAACGAGCGGCGGAATGGCGTGTGGTGTGGCGTCTGTACAACACCCTTGTTCCCATCCGGAGAGCGGCTGGGGATGGGGTGCCCTTGGCGCCACGCAGCTTGACCGAATTTGAGCATGAAGAAGAAGTATGAGATAAATAGGACATACTGATGCGCAGAAGAATCTTTGCTATGACACGAGTACGGACCATGGACTGTGTCGGAGAGCTGGGTGGGCCTGCATAGTTCGTCAGCCAAAAACATGTTACGATCGTGGCGGAGGTAGTGACTGACCATCGAGCGAGCGAAGCAGGCCCATGAGTTCTTGACATTCATCTTGGCTGAAAGGTGGCGGTGTTGGATGTGAAGAAGGCAGAAGCCGATCTATGGAAGTTCAGTAGTGCTGCGATACGTTTTCCATCGATCAACATTACCTGTATACGACCATGTCAAGATATCGATCGCTTCCGCAAGGGAGCTCGGAGGCAGAGGCATATGAGCCGGGTGCGTTTCGATGAACGACCAGTAGCGACTCTCCATATCGAGCCCTAAATGATGAAGATTTAGCATAGCGCCGATCGCATATCGTTAGCATGAACGCGTTCATATACTCACTGTCTTCTTCAGGGATATGAATTTCATTGGAATGCATCGGAGGCTGCTCCAGCGAGATCGCTCTCATCGCATGGTGCACCCACGCCCTGGCCGGCACGAATTCCTGCTTCGCAGTGCCTGCGTCCCGCAGCCACAGCTCCCAGCCTTCCGGGGGTAGCGCCATATCGTCGCCCCTGCCGCTACCGCCGAGGAAGGCGGACACCACCTCGAACTTGCCGGGGTTGCGCAGGTCGACATCTGTCGTGACATGCAGGAGGGCGTGGGAGAAATAAACAGAGCTGTCAGGCAGGATGTGCTCTCTCCATCCGGAGGCTTCGAAGCTCTGCGATGGCACGGGCCAGATAGAAGTGTCGCTTGGGCGGAAGTAGATGGCCACAGGCTGTGCATCTTTCACAGGTGCTGGGAACGAGGGTGTGGAGGGGCGGCGAAGGAGAGGTCGAGTTTCACTTAAACAAGGGGTATGAATAAGCGAACGGGCAAGGAGACATGGACGACTCACTCTGTATCATATTCGACATGATCCATAGGCGAGTTGAGCATGCTGCGACCGGCATAGCTGGATGGGACTGTCCGTGGACTGTTGAAGAGTCAGCCTAAGAAATGGTGCACGAGTTAAGCGAACGAACATGGAATACATATAATCTCGGTGCTGGAGGACCGGCATGACAGCCGGTGCAGGTGCAGCCTGCTCTCGAGGGGCCTCCACGGTGGATGGTCTACAAAGTATACGTCACGTTTTTGTTACACAGAGAAGCGCGACGAGTGCTCACTGCGGCATATCGAATTTATCGTGTGCAGGAGAATGAATATCGATGAAAGATGGGCTCGAAGCTTCTGGGTCAGCAAACGGATTCTCGTATCCACTACCGGAGAAAGATTATCAGCTCCAAGTAGCGAGCTCGAGCTGCCGAATGCATACCCGGGCAAGACGCGTTCCCGCATGTGGTCCTCTGAAGTCGGCTCTGCGATCGATACATGTTTCGCATCATCCGTCTTGTGAGTAGACGGCGCGAGCGAAGACTTGCTGAGCTTCGGTGATATGGTGCCGTTGACGATCAACCCGGGCGTGACGGGACGCGTTTGAGATGAGGCTGTAGACGTGCGCGTCCTCGGCTTCGACGCAATGCTCGCCACGGACTTCTTCCTCGCGAGGCCTTGCTCCAAGCTAGAGTGTTCGATGGGCCGGGGTGTCGCCACAGCGCTGGTGGTCTCCTGGGAGTCTGAAGCGGTATCTGCGAGAGCGAGGCCGGCGTCGTCGGCTGGACGCTGCTGCGCATCCCTCACGAGCGAAGTCGTCGATCCGGACGCCAGCCACGGGTTATGAGTGACGGACGGCGCGCGTTTGTGTTCTGGAGCGGGCTCCGACTTAGTCTCTGGCCTGCTCTCCGGCGCGGGTCCCTGAACGTCCATCGACTGGCTCCAGGGCGCCGCGACCATCTCCGTGGCGGGCGGGCCCTCAGATTGCGCCCTGTGGTGAGAGTGGGGGTGGGAGTCCGTGCTCCCCTCCGACGTCCCCGCGCGCTCGCTCGGCGCGACCTCGTGCACTTCTGTGTCTCCGGCAGACTGTGTCGCCGGAATGGACCCCACCACGCTCATCTGGTCAGGGGTCGCGACCACGTTGGCGGAGGCCCATGGTATGACGTCTGGCTCGAGGGCCTTGGGGGCAGGGATATCGATCGGCGCCGACGCAGTCATTGGGGGCGCGGCGAGGGGGGACGGCCCGAGGGCCTCAGCAGCCTCAGCCGCGCCTTCGCGGGCGGGGGACTCGGGGACGGGGCTCGGGAGCTTGTGGTAGTCGTTGAGAGACGCGGTTGCCAGCGATGCGGAGTCTAGCCTGAGCGACTCCGTCGACGAGCGGGAGGGAGTGCTGGGTCTGGTGAAGGAGAGACCGGAAGAGGTCCTTCGCATCAGTGACCCCACCCGGGAGCGCATCGACCCTTTCGACGGATGCGACGACGACATTGTCGGCGAAGGTTAGCGATGGGATCAAAAGTTATGTGAGCGTTGGATGGGAGGACAAGAACGCAGGAGGGACTCCGGGCGGGAGGATACTTGGAGAGAGAGATGGTCAAGAGGGGGACGTGCGACGCAGATGATCATGGAGGGCGCATTATCAGAAGGGCTGCCTGCAGGTTTCGTCGAGGTAAACGGCGAGCATCGGTGCTCTGCATAGCTGTGACTGATGTGCTCGGACGAAGGGATATGAGGGCGTACCATGGCTATGCCGGGTTCGGACTACGCATGGTGCATCGAAATGTAAAGAAGCGCGTGGTTAGCACGAGGTGAGGCCCGAGCAAGGCAGCAAGTGTCTGGGTCATTCGAACCTACGGGTGCTCTAGAGGTCGATATGGGTGCTTAGAGGCCAGTATCTATTTTTCAGCAGACGGGGCAGGTTTGTGCAAACGCCAGTCGAGCACTAGAGAAACCAATATGATATCCCGGTGGTCAGGCATGTTCTGGTCAGAAAACGCAATATATTCCTGGAAACCCTGTTGCTAAAACAGGGTGTGAAGTGCACAGAACATTGATGAGGGCGGAGAGGACGCGAGCGAGGGCGGAGGAGCCTGGGGGAGCGAGGAAGGAAAGGAGGAGCCGAGATGGCTGCCACGTGCTCGATTGGCACGACCAGCGGCACACCGCACACAGCGCTCAGCCCGTAAATCCATCTCCTGAACCCGATGTTATTAGACGTGTCCGTGAGTCGCCAGCCCCGCTGACCCGCCCACGCGCCTGACCCCGTCCCCAGCGCAAACAATTCAACCGCTCGGACCGCGTCAAGGCGGTCGACTTCCACCCCACCGAGCCGTGGCTCCTCGTCGGGCTCTACAACGGCAACGTCAACATCTACAACCACGACACGGGCGCACTCGTCAAGACGTTCGAGGTCGCGGAGGTCCCCGTGCGATGCTGCCGCTTCATCGCGCGCAAGAACTGGTTCGTCGCGGGCTCGGACGACTTCCAGCTGCGCGTCTTCAACTACAATACGCACGAAAAGGTCGCCGCGTTCGAGGCGCACCCCGACTATATTCGATGCCTCACGGTCCACCCGAGCGCGAGCATCGTGCTCACCGGGAGCGACGATATGACCATCAAGGCATGGGACTGGGACAAAAACTGGAAGTGCATCCAGGTGAGCCGCCTAGCGTCCACACATACACATACATGTCTGGCGGTCCTGCGAGAGGACCGAGGCTGACGGGTGGGGTTGCAGTCGTACGAAGGGCACACGCATTATATCATGAACATCGCCGTCAACCCCAAAGACGCAAACACGTTCGCCTCCGCGTGTCTGGACCGCACGGTCAAGATCTGGTCTCTCGGCTCGTCGGTGCCCAACTTCACGATGGAGGCGCACGACAAGGGCGTCAACTACGTCGAGTTCTACCCTGGCGCGGACAAGCCGTACCTCGTCACGACCGGCGACGACAAAACGGTCAAGGTCTGGGACTACCTCAGCAAGAGCTGCGTTCAGACGATGGAGAGCCACACCAACAACGTCTCGTTTGCCGTCTTCCACCCCAACCTCCCGATCATCATCAGTGGGAGCGAGGACGGAACGGTGAAGATCTGGAACAGCGGTACGTATCGGCTGGAGAACACGCTGAGCTACGGGTTGGAGCGTGCGTGGTGCATCGCGGTGCGGAAAGAGGCCAACGAGCTCGCCGTCGGGTTCGATGAAGGGTCTGTCGTGATCAAGGTAGCTATCTCCTCTTTTGATTCTCTCTGTGCTGATCATCGGCTGACCGAGTATACCAGCTTGGCCGTGACGAACCAACGTTCTCGATGGACCCCGCAGGAAAGCTCATCTACATCCGAAACAACGCCGTCCTCTCCTCGAACCTCCAGACGATTGCAGACGACGCCTTCACAGAAGGCGCGCGCCTCTCGCTCTCGATCAAGGAGCTCGGCTCAACCGAAATCTTCCCCACGTCCATCACGCACTCGCCCAACGGCCGGTTCGTCACCGTCGTCGGGGACGGCGAGTACATCAACTACACCGCGCTCGCGTGGCGGAACAAGTCCTTCGGCAACGGGAGCTCATTCGCGTGGGCGGGCGACTCCAACACGTACGCGGTGCTGGAGGGGAAGCTGAAGGTGCGGGTATACAAGAATTTTAAGGAGCGCGGGGGGGCAGGGATGAAGGGCGTCGGCTCGTGGAGCGTCGAGAGCTTGCATGGGGGCCCCTTGCTCGGCGCGCGCGGGACCGGCTTCGTCGTCTTCTGGGACTGGGAGACCGGCGAGATTGTCCGGAGGATCGACGTTGAGTCGAAAAATGTGCGTCGCACTCTATGATTTTCGTGTGCGACTGAGGGTGACGGTGTTCGTAGGTGTTCTGGTCGAACACGGGAACGCTGGTGGCGATCGCCGCTGAGGACTCGTTCTTCATTCTGCGATTCGATCGGGACGCATACAACGCGAAGTTAGAGGAGGGGGCAGAGATCGGCGACGAAGGCGTGGAAGAGGCATTCGAGGTCATCGGGGAGGTGTCTGAGAAGTCTGTTTCCTCTTCCGTATCTCGCCCCACACGCTGACTCGATTTTTGCGCGCAGCGTCAAAACAGCCAAGTGGATCGGCGACTGCTTCATCTATACGAATGCCGCCAACCGGCTCAACTACTTTGTGGGCTCCGAGACGTACCCCATCACGCAGTTTGACCGGTATGTTGCTTTCGCTTCGCGCGTGCACACTGCTGATGCTATATTTTATTAGGCCGATGTCGCTCTTGGGATACATCCCCGCGCATAATCGGGTCTACGTCGCGGACAAGGACATGAACGTCTATGGGTATGCTTTGGCGCTGAATGTCATCGAGTACCAGACGGCCGTGCTACGGGGCGACATGGACGCTGCAGCCGAGATCCTGCCCAACGTGCCCAAAGACCAGCGAAACAAGATCGCGCGTTTCTTGGAGGGCAGAGGTATGCCGCATCTCCCGTCGTTCTCCTCCCGCCATCTCCGCCACTAAATCCCACGCTCTTTCCAGATCTGAAGGAGCTCGCGCTGGAGGTGACGACGGACGTGGACCACAAGTTCGAGCTGTCGCTGCAGCTGGACGACCTGGACTCGGCGCTCGCGATCGCGCGCACGGTGCCGGAGGCGGAGGCGGAGACGAAGTGGAAGGCGGTCGGCGACCGGGCGCTCGCGGTGTGGCGGTTCGACCTCGCGCGGGAGTGCTTTGAGAAGGCGGGGGACCTGAACGCGCTGATGCTGTTGCTGCTGTCCATCGGCGACGGGGCCGGGCTGGAGGCGCTGGCTGCGAAAGCGGGTGCGTGACGGCGGTTGGCTGCTGTGTGCGATGGCGACTGACGGCGTGTATTCTGGCGTTTGGCGTTTGGCAGTGGAGAAGGGACAGAACAACCTGGCGTTCGCGTCGCTCCTGCAGCTGGGCAACGCGAAGGCGTGCGTGGACCTGCTGGTGAAGACGCACCGGGCCCCCGAGGCCGCGTTGTTTGCGCGGACGTATGCGCCTAGGTAACGTCGCCGCGCGCGTCCCTGTCCTCGTCGCGTCGCACTGCTGACGCCGCGGGTTCTATCACAGCCAGGTGCCGGCGGTGGTGGACGCCTGGCGGGACGAGCTGAAGAGCAAGGGCCGGCCCAAGATCGCGGGGGCGATCCCGTCGCCACGTGACCACCCTGATCTGTTCGAGGAGGGCTGGGCGGAGGCGCTGGCGGGCGAGGGCGGCGCCGTCGATGAAGAGCCGCTGATTGAGCTGAACGGTGACGCGGGTGAGTCGTGGCAGGACGTGTGATTGCAACAGATACTGATGCCGCCCGCTCGTAGTGTTGGAGCCTGAGGGCGGGGAAGGGGAGGAGGGCAGCGCAGAGGCGGAGGCGGCAGAGGCGGCGACGGAGGGGTGAGGACGGACTATATACGTTTCTAGTTGTTGGTAGCCAATACATATATATTTATTGACCGGCGGTACAGCATACGTGGGGAAGCGAGGCCGAGCGGGAAGGGCAACCGGCGAGGGCCGCGTGGGAGCGGGGCTGCGTTTCAAGGCCTGAGCTTGCCCTGCGGCCTTTGCCATCCATTCCACTCGCTCGCTCTGCTCAAGAGGCCGTCTCCTCTCTCTCCTTTCAAGGCCATGGCCTCCTCATCGGCGACCCCAGCTGTGTCCTCGGGCGACCTCGTCGACCTCGTCTCCTCGTCGGGCTCCGCAACCGTCTATCCCTCCGACGACGCCATCCTCGCCGTCCTCCAAGCTCGCTTTCGCTCAGACCTCCCCTTCTCAAAAATAAATGCCTCCAACCTCGTCGCAATCAACCCCTACAAGGCCCTCGCCACCACAAACGAGGCCAGCGCGACTGAATACGAAGAGCGGTCCTACAAGGACACCTCGATCGCCGTGGCTGGCTCCACCCAGGCCCTCCAGCCCCATCTCTACGACCTCGCAGCAAAGGTCTATCTGCTCATGAGGCGGCGCAATCAGCCCCAGGCCGTCGTCTTTCGGTGAGTCTTTCGTCTGTGGAGCACCGTTGGAGACGACAGCATGCTCGTCATCCCACCCTGCCCTGATGTGCTCAATTTCCAATTCTTCTTCCCAGCGGGATCACTGGAGCGGGCAAATCCTTCAGCAAGGATCTCTTCGTCAACCAGGTCCTCAGGATCTCTGCCCACTCGAAGCGCGAGACAAGGCTCGCAGACCAGATCAAGGCCCTCACCCCCCTCCTTGACTCTTTCGGCAACGCGAAAACCCTCCTCAACCCCAACGCTTCGCGGCACGGCCGCTATTTCGAGCTCCACTTCAACGAGCGCGGCCGCCTCAGCGGCGCAAAGGTCCTCACATACGGGCTCGACAAGACGCGCCTCAACCGCCTCACCCACGAGGAGCGCACCTACCACATCTTCTACCAGCTCCTCGCCGGCGCCACCCCAAGCGAGCGCGATGCCCTTAATTTGGAGGACCCTTCCGACTACGCACTTCTCGCCTCATCCGGCTGCTACCGTCTTCCTTCCGGCCCTTTCAGCGACGACGCGATCGCCATGGACGACCTGCGCGTGGCCATGCGCGCCCTGGGCTTCAAGCCGAAGCACGTCGCCTCCATCTTCAGCCTCGTCGTCGCCATCCTCCTCCTCGGCAACCTCCAGTTCGGCGAGGGCGATGCACGGGACGTCTCGGCCTACGTGTCAACCCCACTCGTGCTCGATCAAATCGCCCGTCTGCTGGGAGTGACGTCGGAGGATCTCGCACAGACCCTAACCAATAAGACGAGCTACGTGCGCAAGGAGCTGTACACCGTGCTCATGGACGCGGAGCAGAGCGCGCACCAGCGCGATCAGTTCGTCCGCGATCTGTATGCCATTCTGTTCGCCTTCGTCGTGGAGACGGCGAACCACCGGGTCGCGCCCGGCGCGCAAGACCCACCCCCCCACTCGCAGATCGTGCTCGTCGACCAGCCCGGCTTCCAGTCGCGCGGCCCGTCGCAGACCGGGTCGATGATGTTCTCGGGCAGCGCGCCGCTCGTGCACGCGTACGGCCAGAACGGGTTCGACGAGTTCTGCATCCACTTCGCGGACGAGGTGATGCACTCGTACGTGCTGCGCAACCTGTTCGAGGACGCGGTCGGCCTCAACGGCCAGCTGACGGGCGACGGCCTGGCGCTGCCCGCGATCACCGTGATGGACAACTCGGCGTGCATCGAGCTACTGCGCGGCGCCCAGCTGAGCGAGCGCGCGCACAAGAAGCCCGCCGGCATGTTGGGCGTGCTCAACAAGGCGTGCTCGTCGTACAAGTCGGGGAAGAGCGGGGACAAGATGGACGAGGACCTGGTGCAGGACTTGGTCGCCAAGTTCGGGGTGCACGCGTCGTTTGTCGTCAGCCCAAGCGTCGGCGGCGCGTCGGAGCGCAATCTGTTCGGCATCAACCACTACGCGGGGAGCTGCTCGTACGACACGTCCGGCTTCGTGCAGAAGGACTCGGACATCTTGGACTCGGCCTTCGTGACCCTCTTGCGCAACTCGACCGACTCGTTCGTGTCGAAGCTGTTCTCGGGCCCCAGTCTTGCCGCGGAGAAACACTCCAAGGACGAGAACACTATCGTTCAGGCTCAAGTATCGTCAAGACCGCTGCGGCACCCCACACCTCTGTCCGCGCAGACCGGCGACGAGCACCCTCAGCTGGATCCCTCAAAGGTCTACCCGATCACCACCCAGCTCAACTTTACCCTTTCCGAGATCGTGGCCAGCCTCGATCGCACCCGGCTGTGGACGGTATCGTGCATCCGACCAAACGACTCTGGCTCCCCCAACTCGTTCGACAAGCGCCGGGTGAAAGCCCAGATTCGGTCGCTGTTGCTCCCGGACATGGTCGCGCGGCGGCGGACGGACTTCATGGTGGACTTTGAGCACCTGCAGTTTTGCGACCGCTTCGTGCCGACGATGCAGGGCACGGAGGAGGACCGGATACGGCAGTGCGCGCAGGCGAACGGGTGGAGAGAGGGCTCGGACTACGTCGTGGGGCATAGGATGATATGGCTCTCGTTCGGCGCATGGAAGACGGTCGAGGACGGTCTGCGGGCGATCGAGAAGGAGCAGCGCAAGGCGTCCCAGGAAGGCGACGACGGCGACAGCGTGCTGCCCGATGATAACACAGAGTATACCCATCAGGACGCACGCTTCGATCCCCATGGCGGCTATGCGGAGAGCGCGGATAACTTGCTGCTCGCGCGTACGGGCACGGGCGGGACCCAGTATCGGGACCCCAACGGGCCTGAGTATGGCCAGGGCGGGCTGCTGACTCCCCGGCAGGAGCAGATGCCTCCCTACAGCGAGGGGGACAGTGCGTGGGGATCGGAGTACGGAAAGAAGGAGTACCCTGGCGATAACACGCCGCCGGACGAATCGTCAAAGGAGGGCGGGCTGATCGTGAAGGAGGCGCCGAACGCGGTCGAGGAGGTGCCCACCAGCGGCATCCGGCGCGCGTGGCTGTACATCGTATGGGGCACGACGTGGTGGATCCCGACGTTCATGCTGAGCTCGGTGGGCCGCATGAAGCGCCCGGACGTGCGGCTCGCGTGGCGCGAGAAGGTCGCGATCTTCACGCTCATATTCCTGCTGAACGCGGTCGTCGTGTTCTACATCGTCGTGTTCGGGCGCCTGCTGTGCCCGAACTTCAACAAGGCGTGGTCGCTCAACGAGGTGGCGGAGCACACCGGCACGAACGACTACTGGGTCACGATCCAGGGACAGGTGTACGACGTGACGAATTTCGTGCAGCGGCAGCACAGCGACATCTCGGGGGAGAACAGCAACGACAAGGACACGCTGACGACGCTCGCGGGCGCCGACCTCACGGGCTACTTCCCCCCGCCGCTCGTGCTCGGCTGCCCCGATCTCGTGTCGGACACGAACCTCGAGCTGTCGTATTCGAACTTCACGGCCGATATACCCACCGCGGTGCATACCTCTGGGAACCTGCAGTCGAACACGAACTCGAAGCTGCACGACAGCGATTGGTACACGGATAGGTTCTTGAGCACCCTCAAGCAGTACCGCAAGGGGCCGTTGGTGTATACCACGAAGACCATCATGGCATCGGCTCAGGACGAGGACAGCCCGAGGTGAGCTTTGGCTGCTCGAGCCATTGCTGGCTTTTGTTTGCTAATTGGGCTTCTATTCGAAGGACGTGGGCGATCTACGAAGGGAACCTCTACGACCTCACGGACTACTTTTACACCATCACGCAGCACTCGGGCGACACGACCTCGTACACGTTCCTGAACAGCGACATCACAAATATCTTCCAGCAGCAGCCGGGCCAGGACATCACGAAGCCGCTGAACCAGGTGCTCGCGAGCCTGGACACGACGACGCGCGACCAGAACTTCTACTGCCTCAATAACGTGTTCTACGTCGGCAAGACGGACTTCCGCAAGTCTGCGAGATGTCAGGCGAACAACTATATCCTGCTCGCGGCGTCGGTCATCCTCATGACGTCGATGGCGGTCAAGTGTGCGTGATCCCGCTCTGGCCGGCCCTTTGCGTTCGTCTGATCTCTCATTTCTGATTTTTTTTTTTTTGCAGTCTTGGCGGCCCTGCAGCTCGGCGGGAAGCGCAACCCGGAGATGTTGGACAAGTTCGTCATCTGCCAGGTGCCGTGTTACACCGAGGGCGAGGACTCGCTGCGCAAGACGATCGACTCGCTCGCGAACCTCAACTACGACGACAAGCGCAAGCTGCTGTTCATGATCTGCGACGGCAACATCATCGGGAGCGGCAACGACCGCACGACGCCGCGCATCGTGCTCGACATCCTCGGCGTCGATCCGAAGCTCGATCCGGAGCCCCTGCTGTTCAAGTCGATCGGCGAGGGCTCGAAGCAGCTGAATTATGGGAAGGTGTACTCTGGCTTGTATGAGTTCCAAGGCCACGTCGTCCCGTGAGTGGTCTAATGCAACCCGGATCGGTCGAACGGTCGCTCATTCCCCCCCCCCCCCCCTTTTTTTTTTACGGCTGTGTGTAGGTATATGGTCATTGTGAAGGTCGGGAAGCCCACGGAGCGGTCGAAGCCTGGCAATCGCGGAAAGCGCGACAGTCAGATCTTGTTGATGCACTACCTGAACAAAGTCCACTTCGACAGTCCCATGACGCCTCTGGAGTTGGAGATTTACCACCAGATGCGTAATGTCATTGGGATCGACCCCGCGTTTTACGAGTATATCTTCACCGTCGATGCTGATACGGTGCGTGTATATCTGTCTTTGCGTTAGATGCAGTTATTTATGGGCGATTGCAGACGGTCACTCCCGATTCTCTGAACCGTCTGGTGGCTTCTACTGCGGACGATTCGAGTATCATTGGCATCTGCGGTGAGACCAGGCTAGAGAACGAGGAAGGTTCTTGGTGGACTATGATCCAGGTATGCTCGATATATGCGCGCTCAGAAGTGCATACTCACCTTGCATCCAAAACAGGTCTACGAGTACTACATCTCGCATCATTTGTCAAAGGCTTTCGAGAGCTTGTTCGGCTCCGTCACTTGCTTGCCTGGCTGTTTCTCTATGTACCGCATCCGTACCGCTGACAAGGGCCGTCCCATCATCATCTCGAACCGGATCATCGACGAGTACTCCGAGCCCAACGTGGACACGCTGCACAAGAAGAACCTGCTCTCACTCGGTGAAGATCGTTTCCTCACGACGCTGCTCATGAAGCACTTCCCGACGTTCAAGACCAAGTTCACGCCGGATGCACTGGCGCACACCGTGGCGCCCGAGTCCTGGCGCGTGTTGCTGTCCCAGCGTCGTCGGTGGATCAACTCGACGGTGCACAACCTGTGCGAGCTCGTTCTCCTCCCTGAGCTGTTCGGGTTCTGCTGCTTCTCGATGCGGTTCTTCGTGTTCATCGATCTCTTGGGTACTTTGGTGCGTTTGGCTTTCTTGTGGCGCGGTGGTTTTCGATTCTCATATTGTGTCCGTTTCAGATCCTTCCCGCGACTGTCGTTTACGTGAGTCCATGCGATACTGTACCTGATGAGCGTGTCGACTGAATGACGGTCGTGATACGTAGTTGATATACCTGATTGTTACCGTCGCCACTGGCAAGGCCGCCCTGCCAATTATCTCTATCATTATGATTGCTGCGGTATACGGCTTGCAGGTCGGTGTCTCGCTTTTTCTCGAACCTCAAAACGGCTAAATTCAATGTTTCTTTCAGGCGCTCATCTTTATCATCAAACGAGAATTCATGTTGGTTGGATGGATGGTGGTTTATATTATTTCGTACGTTGCCGTGGTTTCTGCGTACTCTGCCTCTGCACCCTAATGCTGGTATTTTTAGATATCCGGTGTACAGTTTCTTGCTTCCTGTGTATTCGTTCTGGTGCATGGACGACTTCGGTTGGGGTAACACTCGCTTGGTCATCGGCGAAGGTAACAGCAAGAAAGTGATCATGAACGAGGACGAAAAGTTCGACGACTCTATGATTCCGCTCAAGAAATTTAGCGGTAAGATTTTCCTGACTGGTTCTTTCATTCTGGCTGACGTTTGTCCAGAATACGAAGCGGAGGCTTGGGAGACCGGCTCACATCGCTCGGGCGAGACGGGCTACACCAAGGCGCGTTCACGGGCACCTGCTTCGCGGCCAGAGTCGCCTCGCAGCTACATGCATGCGTCCCAATCAGGCGATTTCTACCGGGACACGAACGCGATGCAGTCTAACAAGGACCTCCGCAGCCAAGTATCTCACAGCAATCTTTCGCATCACGGTGGGCAGCAGGCGATGTCGCAGTACGGTGGGGGCATGCCTCAGCTGCCGTTCATGCCGTTCGGTACGGGATACGCAGGGTCGGCTAACGGGTCTGAGTACGGAGGCCAGATGCCCATGGCGATGGCGATGCCTTACCAGCATTCTGGGAGCGTGTACGGGATGGTGCCGAATGGCCCTCGCAACACCATGATGACCAACTATAACATGTTCGGCGGCGGTATGGGTATGGGAGGCATGTCGCCCGCGCCCTCTGTTACAGGCGTGGCCCCGGTCGGACCGTCCATGGGCATGCAGCAACGGCCAATGTCGACGTTCTCGATGGCGACATCTGTGAATCCGTTTGCAGGGCCCAGTATGAGCACGGAACCATCGGACGAGGAGCTCACCCAAGCGCTGCGCAATTACCTGAGCACACAAGACCTGATGACCGTTACGAAGAAGTGAGTGCTCTGCCGCGCCCGTCTCGAACCTGCATGCTGATCGAGCGCTATCGCGCGCACCAGAACCGCACGCGAGGCCATCATGGCCCGCTTCCCGAAGGCGGACCTGACGTCTCGCAAAGCGTTCTTGAACGAGTCGATCGACAAGATCCTCTCTGAATCTTAGAGCCTCCTTTGCATCTTTACCATGCCCCATGTTATCCTCCCGCTGCATCCATCATGTCCACGTCTCCATTCGCATCGCACATCAGCCTATCTTAGTTCAGTCATGGAATGTGTCGTTGCCTCGTTCCGAACACTCTCTTCTACCCGCATAGTAGTAATACGCCTATGTTCATACATTCTCGGACCCTCTTCGTCGTGTCGCTCGTTCTTCTTACCGGTCTGGACTTGACGTTTTTCTCTCTCGTTTTGACATTATCTCATGGTCAGTCGTTGTAGTACCTTTTGCTCACGGACAATGAATAATAGATATACTCGATGAAGGCATACCTGACGAGTGTGCTTTGGCAGTCCTTTGGCCTGAGGGAGCTCGGGCCTGCTCGGGCCTGCTTGATCGCTTCGGCTCGAGGCTGACACAGGAATCTCGATCAACTCCGGCATCCACAAATGGCAACACTGCGCTGCCGGTGCTCCATGACCATCCTCTTTCCCCACATCTTCCTTCATCTCCTCCATTAGTGAGGATGCCTGGCCCAGCGATCTATGTCGTAGTTGCCGTGAGCACCGTCGTAGCCGCCGTAGCTTTCAAACAAGTACGCACACGCTCTGGCTATCCGCATCATAATCTGATGGTGTATTGGTAACGGTCTCCCCAGTTTGTCTATGATCCTCACTTGCGGCCAAAGTTGGAAGCATGGAAGGAAAACATGGCAGAGCAACGTAGGGCAAGGGCGCAGCGCCGGAGACAGAGTGCGGCGCCAGTCCCTAATTCTGCACACCAGTCCGGCCCCGATTCTTCGGGCGACGATGGCGATGCGCTTCTTGTATACGGCGAGCAGAGCTCGTCCAGGCGAAGGCCTTCACTTGGCTCTGAATACTCAAGTAGCCCAATCGAACTGGAGCAGCTGGTCTCTAGAGAGGTCGATCAGTGGAGGAGCAATGTCGACATGAGCCGGGACCAGTCGGGGCTCAGGTTGAGGCATAGGAGGGTTTCCGACACAGGCACGACAACGAGCACAGTAAACTTCATGGATGATGTGAGTGCATGGTATATGCAGACATCTTTTATTACGGCTGATTCATGCTGGGGACATTGTATAGCACATACACGATCCCATATCTGTTCAGCCTATAGAGCCGATCTCCTCACAAAGAACACCAGATATCATCTTCGAACAACCACAGTCTCCGTTATTGCATCCGCAACTACCGCCATCGCCTCCCAGCACGGTGCGCAGCATCCAAGCGCTTGCGATCCCGCTCAATGAGCGCTCCTTATCGTCGCCCTTCGAGCTTGGCTCTGTGTCCGCCAGCCCCATGTCAACTGCGACCACCACATGGCAGACTGCAAACGCATTCACCACGCCGTCTGTGACTATCAGGAGCATTTCCGACTCGCATCGCACGCCGTCCTCACGCGCCTCGAGTCCGGACTCCGATCTGCTCGCATCCTCGCTGTTCACAGGCATGTCTGACTACCACACGCCTCCTGCTGGCTCACCTTCGCTATCCTCGCCACGCGGCGCGGTCTCGCCCACGTTGTCGTCTCCACGCATCAGCGTCGACGTCCTCTCTGCACGCACGTCCCCGTCGCCGTACTCTTCGCGTGCGGCTTCCCCTCCGGTGGGCGCGCATAGTCCAGGCGTGCTGCTCTCGCCGCCGTACGCGCACTCGGACTTTGGCGTGCTGAGCGAGGACGACGGCGTGTTCGCGCTTCCTTCCCACGCGTCGAGTGATCTTGACACTGACGAAGACGCCTCCGACCTGGCATCCGTCCCAGGGAGCGAGGCGTCCAGCTGGGCAGATATCGAGCCGCACACTGCGCCCTCGCGCCGCTAATGCCAACACGATATGTGCATCCATCATAGATTACCTGCGTCTAATCTCATTTGGCGTTCGTACGTTTGCTCCTCTTTTTCCATCCTTATTCTGGTCTCTACACATGCTTTCAGACTGTCTGCATATCTGTGTTGTAGTATATCTGCCGTTTTAAGTCCGACCCATGACACTTGCTCTTCGCTGTCGTACACGTCGCGTAGTCTAAAGCATTCGCGTTCTTTGTCGGTGTTGTTCTAGTGGTACGTAAAGGAACATATGTATGTATATTGACCTTGTCAATGAATTGAGATACTCGCGAACTGGTCGACTCACCAATGAAACCAAGGGACTTTCGAACGAGAGCGATGAAGGACAAGGGTGTGAGGGCCGGACAGGGGGCGCTGAGACTACCTCTCCACACGTGTAACATCGACTTCATTAATCCCACATCCAATTAATTTCAGCTGCACGTTCAGCGCGCTCGTCGAATCCCCCGGAAATGGGCTGTCCTTGTCTCTTCATGCACGAACCGTACATAGACTTACTAGTCGCACGACCGCTCGCTCCGTAATATGGAACATGCATATCAAACGCATCGAAAACATGATATGGACGGGCTAAGCACAGAGACAGAGACAGAGACAGAGACAGAGACAAGGCGCGATGGACATGGCTACGGATACGGATGTATAGATGTATAGACTAGCTAGACGTACGTACGTGGGCGCACGCGTATATGTGAGGCGCAGCCACGGACGTCACACGCATCTCTCCCTGGAGAGCGAACGCGACCAATGCAGGGGGAGAGATTCCTGGGTGGTATGTATGTAGAGGAGCAACGCGGTCTGCATGAACAGACCTAAGTAAGGGGCGCAAGCCAACCCGCGATAAATATCCGCGTGGAACGTGTTGGCGGAGTCCGTAGACGAGAGACGAGAGACAGAGACAGGGTCCGCGGGATGGGATGAGATGGTAGTTATTAACAAGAACAAAGGATGCGAGCGCGGGACGATTAGGGCCGCATTGCTTTGCTTTGCTCTGCGGCGTGGTAAGTATAGAGTGGTGAGCATGCCGCGAGGCAGAGAAAAAAAGCACGAAACGCGCGTCAGCACCAAATCCAAGAAAAAAGTAGTCATAAATCGGTCAGCGATAGATCATCACAGTCTCCAGCCTCGGCGGCGGCGGCGGCGGCGGCATCGCCGAGACGCAGCCATCACCGGTCGGGCCACACCCGCCCGCCCACGCGAATCCAGGTCCCTGCGCCCGCTCCCGCCCCCGCCCCTGCGCTCGGCCCGGCGCTCTCAGCCGGCTTCTCGCCCAACTCGCCCTCGCCCTCGCCTTCGCCCTCGTGCTCCCCGCTCTCTGTGTCTGCGTCCGCGCCCCCCTCCACGTCGCCCCGCACCCAGCGGTCCGCCGCGGGCCCGTCATCCAGCACCCGCACGCCTTCCGCGTCCGCGGCGTCCCAGAACTGCAGCCGCGTGCGCACAGACCCGCGCGATACGAGCGGACGCCGCGGCGGGGGCGGCGGGGGCGGCGGGGGCGAGGAGAACACGAGCGCGGAGCTCGGGCGCCTGGCTGCGCCGCCCGCGCGTGCTTCCATCTCCTCGGGTGCGCTGGAGTCCGAGCCCGCGGGGGATGCCGGGGGCGGCGCGCGAGCGGGGAACATGAAGCCCGGCGCGGAGCGGACGTTGGCGGAGAAGAAGGTGAAGATCGCGCGGCGCGGCGAGCCGCGGCCGGGGCTGGGCGCGAAGGCCGGTGGGGTGCCCGTCGAGGCGCGGGAGGTGGGTAAGGGGGACACGGGGGGGTCGCGGGCGTGCTGGGCGGGGGGCAGCCAGTACGAGGGGCCTGAGGGGCGCCGCGGGGAAGGGGCGGCGAGGGAGGGGCGGCGGGTGGTAGATAGTGAGGATGAGGTGAAGAGGCTCTCGCCGGCGGCTTGGCAGGGGGTATAGATCGTCCCGAGAGTGTTACCACTGGTGAGAAAAGAACATGAGTACGGTGCAGTCGAGGGGGCGCTACGTAAAGGAGAGAGGCTCACCAGACACGGCATCCGACACCCTCGCGTATGCAGCCGCACGCGCTCTGCATCATCTTCGCTATGGCCTTGCAGTCGAAGTACTCGGCATCCATAGGCCCGACTGCAAGGCCGGCTGTGCCTCGGGCAATCCAGACGCCGTGCCTGCGCCGCGGGAGCGCGACAGTGTGGACGAGTGCGCCGCATCCGTTCGTGCGGCGAGGTTTAGACCCACGGCGGGCAGGGGCCGGGGCGGGACCAAAAGCGGACGCCCGACGCCGTGAGGGCGCAGGATGCGCAGGATGGTCGTGGTCGTAGTCATAATCGTGGTTGTGTTCGTAGTCAGAGTCGCTGTCGGGCAGATCGCCGCCGCAGAAGAGCATGTAGGAGCCCGCGGCCTGATCGGAGTCCTCGAGGCGGACCTCTGCCTCGAGTGTCTCGCGGGAGCCATTGAGGTCTGCACCCTCGCCGCTGGCCCTGCGCGCCCACACCCACTCGCCGCCAGCGCCACCAGACTCGTCGTCGTCGTCGTCTAGATACTGGCCTGAATAGGGGTCGGCTGAGGGGTCGGCTGCGGCGTCGGCGTCGGCCCAAGCGGCGGGACTGTACGAGTACCACTGGGGTGGGGGCGTGCCAGGGACTTGCGCTCGAGGAGGCGAGAGTGGCTCAGCTGGGAAAGCACGAGAGGTGGGATTGGTGCTGGGGGGTGGGATGGACATGGAAGGGAGGGCGCGGTGGGTGGAGGAGGGAGGGTCGCGGATGGCACCGCGACGGCGAAGACGAGATGCTTCGCCTGTGCGAACGACGTCGGAGAGGACGATGGAGTCGTCAGCGTCGATGATGGCGGGGAAGGGCGAGAGAGGGCGTGCGGGGTGGCGGTAGGAGACGGGCATGGGCGTGTGCACAACACCTGCTTGCTCCTCCCACTCCGCCGCCTGAGCCCCTCGCTGACTAAGCACTCTTCGTTCATTATTGCAGTACAAGTCGTACAACATACAACCACAACCCTCCGTAATACATCATAACACCCCCTTCACGCAGGAACAAGCCTCTCCGCGCTCGCGCTCGCAAGAGTCGCGATATCCGCCACGTTCGCCGGGTTGTAATGCGAATACGGCGAGCCCGGCCGCCCGGGCAGCGACACGTCCGACGCGCTCGCCCGCCCGTCCCGCCGACGCATGTACGGCGACGGCGACCAGTGCGCGCTCGGGTCTGGGATGGGCAGGGGAGCCTGCGACGGCGTCGGCGACCCCGACGGCTGCGCGTACCCGTCGAGAGTCGCCCCGCGAGCGGGGTGTGGCGATATCGATGGTGCTGGGTATGGCGAGACGTTCGGTGGCGGCACGGGCAGCGCGTCGGCCCTGCTCGGCGGGGAGACTGCTGAAGACGGCCGCGAGTAGTACTGCAACGGCGGTTGTTTTTGCTGTTGCTGCGGTACCTGCTGCGACGCCGTCGGCGCCGCCTCCGCGTAGATGCTCGGCCGCCGCGAGCTCGAGCGCCGTCTCTCCGATCCCGAGTGGCTTGATGCAAGAGGGCGCGGCACGGTGCGCGGCGAGGAGCTGGCACCCCCGTAGCGCGTCGGGTTCGAGGGCGTGTAAGCGGCCGATTGGGAGTATCCGGCCTGCGGCGGTAGTACGGGCGCGCCCTGACCGGCGCCCCCCGCGGCCACGCGTGGGTCCGCGTAGATATTTCCGCCGCCTCGAGGGGGCCCGTTGGGCAGTGGCGATGACACGCTGCGCGGAGACGGCGAGACCCGCGGAAGCTGGCTCGGGGGACGGTTCGGGCTCAGGTAGTTCTTCGCGTCCTGAGTCGTGTGCAACGAGCGGCTCGGCGTTGACGCGGACGCGGACTGATGTCAGGAAAAAAACGGGATCAGTGGGTTCCAGCAACAAAACTTCGAGGGGCGCGACGTACCGGAGATACAACGGTGATGCTCGGGGCCACGGATGGCCCTGACGAGGACGCACGCCGATGCCCGTTCCCGCCATCATGGGAATATTGACCGTCATAGAACGATGGCCGAGAAAACCCCTGGGCGAATGACGACTGCGAACGGCGGTGGCCATTGCTGTCTGGGCGGGTATATGTAGCAGGCGCCAGGGGCTCAGGAATTCTAGCCACAGGTGGACGATGGAGGGGTGGAGGACCCCTCCGTGGGGGACTGGTCATCGCCTGTAGACGTTGATATATATAGCTATCAAACGTCGAGCAAAGAAGGACGTACCTCTTCTGCTGCCATGCGTCTCAACTGCGGTCCGGCTTGGGTGTTGCCATATCTCAGTGCATCTGCGATTCTCTGACGCTCGAGGGAGTTGTTCCCAGGCGAGCGCTGTTCAGGCTCATATGGCTCATCGTCGAAAACCATCTCAGGAGGGGGCGGCGGTACGTAAACGCGCGCCGAAGAGCCCTGGTAACCACCGAGGCCTGAGGAGCGGTAAGCAGCGTAACTCTCGTCGGCATCTCGGGCACCTGCGATGGGCCTATCGTCATCCGGTTCGATGTATATGGTGTGTGCTCGAGAACCGTGGGGCGAAGACTCTGTATTGACGACCTCGGGGATTTGTTCGAGAACGTTGGGTACGGGGACATGAGGTGCGCGAGCTGGCGTGGGCATTGTATCACGGGTCGGGAACGGAAGTATGTTTGAGGGCGTCATGGACGCCTGGGACGTCGAACGGCGTACAGGAGCCGGCGTCGCCCCTGCCGGTCCAGGGATCAAAGACTGGGGTATCGACGACGGGCGTTGTGGCGGGGACACGGGGAGGGGCTGAACCTGCGGTGACCTCGTTATCGGTGGTTCCCGCTCACGCCGGTCAGGGAAGACGGGTCGCACACGGATGCCCTCCTCGTCCTCATCCTCGTCCTCGTCCTGATCGAAGTAGTCCCTCTGACGTGCCATACGATCCCGCGGCGCGCGCATCCTGCCCCTCTCGTCATCGGGCTCCTCGCTCTGCGCATCCATCATCCCTATCCGCTGCCCTGCACGCAGCCCCTCCCGATACCCCGTAGCGCGCCCGTCCTCCAGCGCGAGCTGCACCAGCCGGTCCTGCTTCAACCGCCTCGCCGTGTCGCGCGCGCGCGCAGCCGCTGCCTCGGCGTCGTAGCGCAGGCGCTCCTGGTCGCGCAACATGCCCTGCGCCCGGTCGATCTCGCTCTGCGCGTTCGCAAGCTGCACCTTGTACATCCCGAGCTCCTCGCGCGCCGTCGCGCCATCGCGCAGCGCCGAAGAGCGCGCGTCGGACGCCTCGCGCACGCGCTGCGTCATCTCAAGCGCGATACGCTCCGCGTGGAGGGCCCGCGTGCGCGAGGCGTCGAGCTGGTCGAGCGCGGCTTGCAGCGCGCGCCGCATGTCCTTCGCCTCGCGCGAGCGAGTCGAGACGAGGCGCTCAAAGTCGCGCAGCGTCCAGTGGTGGCGAGAGGAGCGGTCGTGTCGTCGAGGGTGGAGAGAATGGCTGGACATGGTATGGAGGGAGACGCGATTGTCGGCGTGGGGATGTGGGGATCCTTGGGGCTCGGGCGCTGGTTCTGGTACTGGCATTTGCACGGGCTCGGGGTCCGATGGGATTTCTGGATCTGGGAATTGGTGCAGATGGGGCGAATCTAGGTATTCGAGTGTCCCACTGCTCGACGACTGAGAGGGCTGTGGTGGCGAACCAGGGAGCCTGTTCGACATGGGAGGTTTGTGTCAATGTGTGGCGAGCAGAGCTACGCCTACCTGTGAGAGTATGATACATCTGTGCCGCTGTACATGGTATCGTCGACTGCGGGCGCAAGGTGGCGACTGAATGGGAAAAGGGAAATAAGAATAGGTTATGGGAACATTGGGCTAGATGAACCGAGGACACAGTACTGGGAGAGCGCCCACAGACTGGGGTTAGGTGCAACCGTCTCAGCCACCGATTCGCACTCCGCCAAAAGTTTGAGGCGTCCGCGCCACACGGATCGATGTCCCGCCCGAGCAGTCTGCCCCCCGTCCTGCGCCCTCCATCTTTCACTCCACGATGGCCCCCTCCCTTTCAAAACAAAAACGTCTCGCAGAAAAGGCCGCAAAGCAGGCCGCAAAGGCTAACGGCGCCGACGCATCCACGTCGACGTCTACACCGGCGGGATCTACCAATGGCAGCACCTTCAATACCCCGCTGACCAGCATGTCGGCTGCAACCAGCCAGGACGACCTGACATCGATGGCGAAGCTCCAGATCGCTACTGAGAGGTCGGAACTTGTCGTACCCCCATTTTGCACCGCCCGACTTATTTTTTCGTTCGTGTGTTTTTAGGAGCGCGGCCGGTGTTCTCGTATCTGATCCCAAAGGCCGCGACATCAAAATTGATTCGTACACATTGTCTTTCCATGGTCGCCTGCTCATCGAGGGTGCTGAGATTGCCCTCAACTACGGGCAGCGCTACGGTCTGCTGGGGGAAAACGGCTCTGGCAAGGTGCGCACGACGTCATCGCTCTGCGCACAGCAATTTTTTTAACCCCTAGTTTAGTCTACGTTCCTGCAATCCATCGCCGAACAAGATATCGCGCTCCCCCCGAACATCGATATCTACCTCGTTCGTGGCGAGGCCGAACCCGCTGAGGTCAATGCGCTCGACTTCATCGTTGCTTCTGCAAAGGAGAAAGTTGCGAAGCTTGAGGCGCGCATTGAGGAGCTCTCCATCGCTGATAGCGTCGACGAGCTTGCGCTCGACGCCGCATACGAGGAGCTCGATGAGATGGACCCGAACACGTTCGAGGCAAAGGCCGGCAGCATTCTCCATGGTCTCGGATTTTCGCAGGCGATGATGAAGAAGCCTACCAAGGATATGTCTGGTGGTTGGCGTATGCGTGTCTCCCTTGCCCGCGCCCTCTTCATTAAGCCCCATCTCCTCCTCATGGACGAGCCGACGAATCATTTGGATCTTGGCGCCGTCGTCTGGTTGGAAGCGTACCTCTCGACGTACAACCACATCCTCGTCATCACCTCTCATTCGCAGGATTTCATGGATAGCGTCTGCACGAACATCATGGATCTCACGCCCAAGAAAAAGATGGTGTACTACACTGGTAACTATACCACCTATGTCAGGACCAAGGGTGAGAACGAGGTCAATCAGATGAAGGCGTACCACAAGCAACAGGAGGAAATCGCGCACATTAAGAAGTACGTGGTCCAGACGTTTCTCTCCAATCTTGTGCTGATAGACAACAGATTTATCGCTTCCGCTGGTACCTACGCCAACCTCGTCAAGCAAGCCAAGTCGAAGCAGAAAATTATCGACAAGATGGAGGCTGCGGGATTGATCGAAAAGCTCGAGATCCCCAAGCCTCTTCATTTCAATTTCGAGGACATCCGTAAGCTCCCGCCGCCTATCATCGCCTTCGACGAAGTTGCGTTCTCCTACTCCGGCAAGAAGGAGGACTACCTGTACAAGAACTTGTCTTTTGGTATCGAGTGCGTTCTTTTCATCATATATGCGTATGCTCAGTAGTGGCTCATTGGTGATTTGATTTTCTAGCATGGACTCGCGAGTGGCGATCCTCGGCGCCAACGGTGCTGGCAAGTCAACGCTGCTCAACCTCATCACCGGCCATCTGCAGCCAGTCGAGGGGACCATATCGAAGCACGCCAGTTTGAAATTGGCCAAGTACTCTCAACACTCTGCCGATCAGCTTCCGTATGACAAGCCCCCGCTCGAGTACTTCCAGGCGATATTTGCTGAGAAATATCCAGAAAAGGATCTACAGGTTCGGATTCGTTGATTCCTTTCCTGTCTATTCGGTTTTTGACACCGTTGCCCGTTGCCTAGGCATGGCGCGCACAGCTGGGTCGCTTTGGTCTTTCGGGAGCCCACCAGACGGCACCCATTAGGCAGCTCTCTGACGGCCTTCGTAACCGGTACGTCACTTCCATAGTTGTTGCCATATCCCGAACTCATCGCAGATGCATAGTGTCGTCTTCTCCCAACTTGCCATGGAACACCCTCATATCCTCTTGCTTGGTCCGTCTTTTCCCCATCTTCTATAACTGAAGCCTCCGTCACTTACGACCTCGCTTTGACAGATGAGCCGACGAACCATTTGGATATGACCTCGATCGATGCACTTGCCCGTGCCATCAAGGAGTTCGAGGGCGGTGTCGTCATCGTCTCTCACGACTTCCGTTTAATTTCTCAAGTCGCCGAAGAGCTTTGGGAAGTCAAGGACCACACGATTCGCAACCTCACGAAGGAAGATATCTCCATCGTCGACTACAAGCGCAACCTCGCACGCGCCAGTATGGCCGCCATCGAAAAGGCCAAGCTGTTCAGCAAGTCCGCGTCGAGGACAAAGACCTAGACGCGCGCATGCGCTCATGCACACTGCAGTGCGGTATATACCTGTACATTCGTGTCACCCTCCATATGCTGTAGTGCTGTAGCTCTGGCCGCCCATCCGTCTCCACCTGAATTCTGCTCACGATGATGTCTCCAATGAATAACTTAGCCTTGATTCCTCTCTTGTCTTTCATTGCCTCTCTCCATATCAATACACTGATACATCCCACGATCTTGTAGCCCATTCCTACCCCCAGGCCCGGCAAACACCTGTAGTAGCCCGGTTTATGTTCACGATTACAAGCACCAATCTACGCATTTTTGTACGACGTTGCATTCTTTCGTGGTCGCCGCTTCGTATTCTTCGAGCGAAGACGGCCTTATAGACACATGTGTAGATGCCAATTCAATTGAGACTCACGCTTAGATATATTATCTGTTTTCTTCCCCCAAGTCGAGGGTGATGTTGGAGAATTGAGCAGCCTGTAAGATTAAGGTAGCTACCCCCTGCAATGGCTCGAGGCCCACACTTGGGCAGCCCGAGTCCACAAGGCGCCTCCTAGCCCTCGATCGAGAGGGAAATGCCGCCGAGCTGGCTACAGCTTCGCCCATTTGCGTGCCGATCTCTTTTTGCTCGCCTCTCGCAACCCGTCAGGCTCCCAGACACTCGCAGTGCCGTCAGGATCCATCCCCTCGGCGATGCACGCCTGGCGGAGGGCAGGGACGTATCGCAGTGCCCATGCGACGCGTGCGGCGGTCGACGGCTGATGTGGGGCGTAGACGTCAAATGCGGGTGGGCGTGCGTATGCCAGAGCAGCGGTGTGGATGAGGATCGCGCTGTACGTGCGTGCACGGGCGCACGCGTGGGGGGGGTGAGCAAGCAAGGATGCGAGGGGGGTGTGGGCGCGGGGTGTATCAGAATGGAGCAACGCACGCGGTGAGGCCGAAGACGGGCTTGATCCCGCCTGATTCTCGGCCTGTTAGGAAGCGATGCATGCGCACGAAGCGCTCGGGGATCCTTGTCGCGCTCTGCGCCCCTGCGCTCGCGGCTGCATGGGAGCCCAGCCACGGCCACGGGGCGTCGCTGTACGTGTGATATTGCAGCTCGACGGCGGCACGCTCGGCGTTGGTGTCTGTGTCCGAGCTTACATCCGTTCCAGACGCGGTGTCAGTCGCGAAGGGCGCGGACGTGGAGAGAAAGGAGGCGAGCGGGTGCGAGAAGAGGGTGTGGACCTCTGGTGCGTTGAGGATTGGCTGCGGCGGACGGGGACGCCTGGGGATAAGAGATTGGGGCTAAAGCCGTGTGAGGGGGTGTACATACGCGGACAGTGTTATCAAGGATCAGAACCACCACTCTGCAGAGAAGCGGTGGTCAGCGGCGCAGCTGACCCGAGAGAGACGAAATCCAGGCGAGACGCACGGCGTGACTAGTATTTCATTTCCAGCAAGGAAAGGGTCAAGCACACAGAGAAGTGGTATTCTTTGTTTGTCGCGCGGTAAGCCTATCTACATTCGATGGCGCATGGTCAAGCAATTCACTCGGAGTATAGAGCGAGATGAATAAAACCGAGTACCTCCTCATATGCTTCCCGTCTCTGAGCATTAGGGGCCGCTCTGGCTTGAGATCCAAATAAAATAAATGCTGAGCATAACATACCGCTGTATCCTCGATGGTGGAGTCCTCCCGATCCAATTTACCTCCAGGCAGCGCTGTGTCGCCAGCATACGTCCTCAAAGTTGCCGCGCGCCTGTGACCAACACCAGCGCATGAGCACTCGATTCAAGGAGATTAGAGTAAATGTATACATGGAAGACACACCTACCGACTCAATAGCACGTACAGATCTCCCATCCGCCCAACGAAAAGCGCAATGAGCACCGCCGCCCTACGCGAGCGAGGGTACGGCAGCACAGGCCTCGATATGCGGAGCGACGCTAGATTGTGGAGCGCGCTGCGAAATCACAAATGGTTTAGAAAGGAAAGGAAAGATGTATGACGCCATAAATGAATATGGTTAGCAGACGAACGTTTTAGACTCGCGCTTGAGGGGATGCGGTGTATCATGAAGTGATGCCTTTGCGCGATAGACCTTGAACAAATCGGTCTTTTCAGAACTAGACCTAAGCTTCGGCATGTACAGAAATCAGAACCAGTAGAAATAGAGGGTTGTAGAAAAGGCAAGTGCTTCCTGAAACTGTTCGCAGGTTGCTTCGGAATGATGCTAACGGAATTCGTAAATCGGCTCTCCGCAATACGGGGTACTCGCACACTACGTACTCGCACACTGCTTACACTACCGAATATTGTTCTTTGTTCTTACAGGACTGTTTGACAATCCGTTACTCCTACACGGAGTAATATCTATGGGCTCAAGGATACTAGCTTTTCACCCGTCGCGTTGCGACGGCGCAACCATGCTTAATCTGAGTTTGTGTTACAGTGCTTGGTCTGATGTGTTTGTAAAGTTTAGTATTCACAAAGTTTAGTGTCTATAAAGTCTAGTGCCTGTAAAGTCCAGTGCCCGTGCTTAATCTGAGTTTTTGTTGTAGTGCTTGGTCTCATGTGCCTGTAGAGTGCACTGACTATAAAGTCCAGTGCCTGTAAAGTCCAGTGCCCGTAAAGTCCAGTGCCTATAAAGTCCAGTGCCCCAATATCCCTATATGGCTCTTTTATGATATCCTATAAGGTCCTTCTTATAAAATTTCCATATAAAGCTCCCTATAAGGTCCCATCCATTAGATTCCCCTATGAGATTCTGCCCTATGAGGCTCCCCCATCAGAGTCCCATTTATGAGGCTCCCCCGTGAGGTTCTCTGTGAGGTGCTGGGATGCCATTTCAAGCTCCAATGGCTTCTGAGGCATAGCCCACTCTAGTTGCTAGCCTGTAAAGTCTAGTGCCCATAAAGTCTAGTACCTTAATATCCCTATATGGCTCTTCTGTGATATCCAATAAGGTCCTTCTTATAAAATTTCCATATACATATAAAGCTTTCTATAAGGTCCCATCTATTAAATTTCCCTATGAGATTCTGCCCTATGAGGCTCCCCCATCAGGGTCCCACCCATGAGGCTTCCCTGTGAGGTTCTCTGTAAGGTGCTAGGATGCCATTTCAAGCTTCAATGGCTGCTAAGGCATAGCCCACTCTAGTTGCTAGAGTTGCTAGGAGCACCAAGACATGGCTTACTCTGCTCACCCAATTTATCATGGATGTTTGCTTTGCTCACATGGTTTCTTATGTGGCCTACATAAGTGTAAGCAAGGACATATGACTTGAGCTATTAGCCTAGTGCCACCATTTTGTATTGTCCCCTTTTATTTATTATTTATTTACATAAAAAATACCTCCAAAAAAACCAAGAGCCAAGAGTGGTTGCCAAGCTAAGCCCTTGCTGAATGCTCCCTCATATTTTACCTGAAGAAATCACTGCAAGACAGTGCCAGGAGAAGAGAATTCCCTATGCTTAGGTTAGCTCCGGGCACGCGCGCGCTGACCAACTCCGTTTCAAGCTCCGACATGCTCCGTTTCACCTCCCGAAGCCTATGGGACAGTGGTCTCGCGTGGTTTGTCGCGTGGGATTAGCCGACGGCTAGTTGCCACCGGACCCCTACTGTCGCCCTCTATATAGAGATAGAGATCCACGCAAAAAAAATGATGATTAACACCCGACGAGCCGTGGGCTAGGTCAGCCACCAGGTCCAGAAGCGTTCGTCGCAAACACCGCTGATTCCGGAGTAGCAGCATTGCTAACGCTTAGAAGTACCAACCCGCTCATGCCTCTAATCCCAGGGCACACTAGGGCACAGCGTTTGCTGAGTGTTTGCTGTGGCATAGTACACGCCGCGGCCAAGCTGAGGTACGACGATGCATTCTAAGCGACTGGGTTGGTTCGGTGTTCGTTTTCATTCAAGCCCTTACTTCATTCTCTGTCTGAAAGGGGATGACAACAGACGAGGCGACGAATCGGGACCCAGATCGACTTTGAGTGGTGGCTGATAGGAGGCTGATAGGAGGCACGAAGCCAGTAAAGCGGTCAGTATCCTCGGCTTCCGGCTTCCAGCATCGCTCAGAAGATCTGCAGGGGTGTCATCGCTGGAAAGATACTGCCAACCCTCAATGAAGCTTGACCGTTTGACCACCTGTGATGCCGTTGGAAGACCGAAGGACGGGAACTTAATGCAAGTTTTCCGAGATCGCGAGTAACGACACCCGCTGTTGTCGATAGTGCGAACAGCTCACGGGATTATACTTCCGAGCGGAAGATCGAGAAACTGACTGACAGAGGTCGAGAAACACGGTGTTTGTGGGAAGAACATGGCATTGCACGTAAAGGAATACCCGAAGCATACCTATTTTCCGGCGCAGATGAAGTGCGCACGAGTTGCTTATGGAGTGGATTGTCATCCGGACATGTCTAATGAATAGAGCTACAAAAACATTGAGAACAAGCAAAGTGACACATTACAACAATGAAGCAAACGCAAATGTCGTGGTTCAGAACCGGCTACAAAAAATAGTCCGCTGGTGGCCTTTTCAAAGGTATAGAGCGCACATCCTATTGTCCACGATATCCATCAGCAACCTCAAGTAAGCAGATGGAAGAATCTTACTGAAGGGGCATGCTGGAAAACTTTGTATTCTTGTGCGAGATGTTCGTCAAGTTCCAGGATCGACGCCACGTTGCCGCATCTGGAAGTGGCATGATCAGCCTTGAAGCAGTCACCACTGACGCTGAGAAGTCTGGATCGAGCAGGGGTGTGACTAACCGATAGCAATAATTGGGCGCGCTCCAGACAGTGACAATAGTCTGATCAAACATAAGCTTGTAGCCTTCCATCGCAAGTTGATGCGCCCGCGCGATCAGGTCTATTGAGTTATTGTGCGCGAACGCCTTAGTGATGTCTGCGCCAAAGAGATACCCAGCGCCTCGAGGAGAGAGACCCCAACCGGAAATATCTGTGAGGTGGGTCGCGCCGTTTCATGTCAGACTAGGAACACAACCAGCCAATAAAGCGCGCGCTTGCCATCGGGGTCTGACCAGAGAAGGTCGCACATAGCCCCGTCGTGGGGTACTTCTTGTTTTCTGTCAATCGCACGTATCTTCGGTCCGACGGGGACACCGTGAATATGAGACCAGGCGGCACGAGACCATGAGAAAGGGGAAACGGGACGCACCTGATCAATACCTTGCAGTGTGGGGCTGAGGCCGCCATGCACGCAGAACACTCGCCCATCCACAATGGCACCGAGTGCTAGGTAGTCGAACACTTCGCAGCACCAACGCCATACGTTACTGCTTCCGTACTTCCTCTGACACTCGTCGTAGAAGCCGTACACTTGCGTGATTTGACGGGACTCGTGGTTGCCTCGGATGAGTGTAATGCGATCAGGGTAGCGCACTTTGAGCGCGAGGAGAAGGAGGAAAGTCTCGACGCTATAGAAGCCTCGGTCGACGAAGTCGCCTGTCCAGTACCGGTCAACCCACCCACGTCAACGACGCGAAGAGGGCGTATGCTTACCCATGAAGATGTAGTTGGTTTCCGGACATGTACCTCCAATTTTGAAAAGCTCCATCAGGTCAAAAAACTGCCCATGGATGTCACCACATATCTGAGAGCAGAGAAAATGTCGTAAGGAACAGTCCCTACACGTCCACGGCGAAGAGCTACGGCGGAGCGAAGACTCATGCGTACCGTCACTGGTGAGTCCACAACCTGCACATTGCCTTCCTCAATGAGTATCTCCCTCGCCTTGATGCATAGCCTCTTGACCTGCTCCTCCGAGATCGGCTCGCACTGCACCAGCTGCTCGATCTGCCTGCGCGTAGGGAGCCACCGCCGACACAGATGAAATCAGCACCACCGTCACAAAGTTTGCAAGTAGGATATAGCACTATGTGATGGAGTTTGGGGGAACGATTCTGCAACGATTTACCTGCGCGGCTCACCTGTCTAAATCACTCGGCATTCCACTCGAAGGTTGTCGCGTCGGTGAAACGCAGCCTGCCTCTGTCAGAGAGCATGCGCGCGCTGACGTAATGCCACCTTCGGGCGTCTAACAGGCGCAAGCACCTGCCTCCTCGTCCATCGTTTCATTCGCAGTCCTCCAAAACCCAAAATAGCTTTTTAAATCATAGAAGACACATGCACATAAGGGCCACCAACATAGCGTAGACACAAATTTATCTACTTCCATTCCTCTAGGCGTCATACGAGCAGATAATACAGGCAGGAGCACGATGGACAGCAATCGGATGCGGGGTAGGAAGTTGGAACTCAAAAACGTTACACTCGATCAGATCAGATAAATAAGGGTGATAGGAGAGGACGAGCGCAGCAAACGAATCACTGGCAGCACCCTAACTCAAGCATACAAAAAAGCAGCAATTGAAAGAAGATAGCATCTGGGTAGAAGAAAGAGCAAGATAGAGAGGGATGGAAATTCAAAAAAAAAAATGATGGAACGTGGTAGAGACGACACACGGCGCTTCGGATGTGATGCACTATGCTTGCTTGAAACGCGACCTGGACCACGCCTCGGCGAGCAGCGCGTAATCGAGCAACGGATAGTGCCGTGTGGGGGAGAACCTTGACCAGACGAATGAACCAGTGTGAAGCACAAATGGGGGTGGAATGCGGGCGGGGATCTGAAGGCTATGCGGGAACAACAAACGAGATAGTACCAAATCTCGTTGCGTGATGATAGATGGGGGCGACGCTAACGCCAATGCTCATCGCACGTCCAAAACAAATCCCGTCCCGAACCCCACATCTGTTTGTGCAAGCGAACGTACTTTCGTACAGCCCGCTTTACCAGTCCCTCTCAGTGTACCTCTGGATGAGCGACCGCGCCGTAATGCATGTGTGATGACACAATATGTGGGAATGATCCAATGTGCTGATGGTATACATGCGAGTGTTCCGAGGGATGGGCGTACACGAGGTCATGGGTGTGAACGAGAGAACTCGTGCCTCGAGACTCATGGGCGCCTATTGAGTTACTGACGCCGTATGCGGGCGTGGAATGGCCAGAGTTGTAAGAAGACGAGTATGAGTGCGCATCATCCGGAGGCGGTGATTCAGATTGCGATGGCCCAGATGAATGTCCGTAGCTGAGCGAGGCGTATATGGAAGACCGCGTAGCAAAGGACTCAGCTGCGGGTTGCAAGAGAACAGTGTCATGCCGCAATGCGCCCATGTGTTGGGATTGACTGTTCGAGGTAGAGATAGGCGCTCCTTGAAGCGCCGGTGCCTCATAGGCCCCATACGGATTGTAGGTGACGGCGGCCGAAGGCATCCCACTAGCCAGCGCGCTCGAGCTCCCTAGCTCTAAGGCAGTGCTCGAATAATAAGGGTACTCTTCACCTTGAGGTTGTTGGAACGTCATGCTGCCGGGGTACGGACTGTGCATCGGTGGCCGATGTTCCGAGAGTGGACTTTCGGTTGCCATCAAGGGGGACTCTGAATGGTATGATGCAGAGCCGTTCTCAGAAGAGGGCGATGATCGTTCTGATGTGATGTCGGGCGCGGTAGGATGGGTAGGGGAATGCGCCGATGTGAGCGCTGGGGGCGAGTCCGGAGTTGAGGGCTCGGGCTGGGAATGGAGAGGAATGCCCGAATGCGCCACATCAACCGTAGAGAAGACGGCTGGAGAAGGATATGCCATCTCAAGTGCGGGAGGAGTGGTGGGAGGGGAGTCGGGTACAGGAGGGATCCTCGGAATCGGAAGAACGATTGAGTATTTGGAGCGCTTTTTGGCACCACCTGTTTCGTCACCCAAAGCGCGCGCTAAAGCAGAACGTGATGCAGAACCTGAGCTTCTACGGGAACCCGGCGACAAATGGATACGATAGCTGCAAACGTGTTCCATCATCAACAAAAGAACGAGAATGGCGAAACAGAACGGTGATGGAGTGGGCGCGCATTGGTACGAGTCGAATGGAGAATCCACGGGGTAGGGAAGTGAACGGTAACACTCACTGCTGCTGGAGGTTGTCCTGTCTAGAGCATCGTGTCTCGCATCCAGGGAAAGGGCACTTGTGGTTACGCTCTCCGGTATGGACGCGGGCGTGTCTAGACAAGTGTCCGCTGGTCGTGAAAGCCTTGTGACAAGTTGCACATACGTGTTTCTTTTTCGATGTGGATGGTTCGGTTGTGTCACTGGAAGGTGATTGCGATTGAGGCGGTGAACTAGGAAGGACGGAGGATTGGAATTCGATATCAGAGCAATATGGGGAGCGAGAGTATGCTTCTTCTGGGATGCCTTGGAACGTCGCGCGAGAGAGATTGTGAGATGACTGTGGATAAGGAGAAATTACATGATCTTGCTTTGAGAGTTGTTGGCGAGGCATGAATTAGAGGCGTTGAGGAAGGATAAGGCTGGATAGGAAGGGAGTCATATAGAGAAGTAATCCCGGCACACTAGGGAACCAGAAAGGAGGAAACGAAAGAAGAGAAAGGAAGAATGATGCGTTATGAAGGAAAGAGAGAGGGCCTCCAGCCTGTGGCGGCGGCGGTCGAAGGCGGTGGCAGAGCCGTGTCGGACTCTGCGGCTGAGTTCAACATGTGTCCGGCAGCCTGGTCCCGAATGACCGCGGACTTTTAGAAGCATAGGCACCCTTCTCCACCTCCAAGCGCGCTGATCTCGCTCAAACACACACTCCTCTCTGCGCCTCTTCTTCGTCTTACCCCCTTTTCCTGCCTTGACGCACAGGCGCGATCACCACGTGCGACTCTCGGCTGGATAGCCCTCGTCTATCCCAAGACAACGACCGTCGGTCATTCGTTGGGCGCCATGATCTGCGGATCAAAAATCACCTTCACACGAGGTGCTCAAATTAGACAGGTTTTCAATGGCGAGCTACGCGCTCTTTTTACGATTCCATTTGGCCGATTTTTGACCGCCTATGGACTTTCAATTGATCAAATCTTGCGTCACATCCACCGAACATAAGCAAACCGTCGAAATCTATAAAGCTCGGGCGAAAGAATAGCACGCTGAAAAATCCGCTTAGTTTCCGACGGACCGACTCGAACGGATCCGTTGGACGGGTTCCAGTCCTTGCCAACCTGTTAGAGGCAGACGCGCATTGAAGCTGTCTAACGGCACATAATTATCACACGTCCTTCAAGGTATGTCTATCATATGACACGAGGAGTTGAGGAAGGTCAAGGATTTACCCAACTCAAAACGAACCACAATTTACCTCCGCAATACTTCCGCCGATCGATCGTCGACGGCATGATTATCCATGTCATGAACATGAAAGTCAACAAGTACCATGTGAACCCCCATCGTTTTCACCAGTTCGTTGTTGACTGACGGTCTCAGAAGCATTTGTGCTTTCGACGAAGAGAAGGTTGATCATGGCTGCCTGTCGTGTAACACATGGACAATCCACGCATGAGCAATGCCTTTACTAGAAGTTCATATTCGATAGGGGTAAAGGCTTGCGTCTGCCCGGCTTTCGGCAAAGACTTAAATGCATATAGGATTTTGTCTGGAACTGTTCGGAGGTAACAATCAAATGCGAGAATAAAGATTACGATAACAGACAGAGGACTGATAGAGCCTGGATTAGCGCCCAGCGCCCAGAAGAACGCCCAACGGGTCAGAGCTAGAGGGATGGGCAAATGATGGGCACCAAAGGAATGGCGTTGAGATTCTATATGGATACCGGCAGTGCTATTGATCAAGGAAATGACGAGTGGCCGAGCTGAGTCGCGTATATGTGATGCTTGTTGCCTTAAGATTATCCGATCTCCTGTAGGACCTTTCGTGTCTCCGAGCTCTCTCGTGCTCTCTGGAGATGCTATAAGGAGAAGAGTTGTCGGTTCATGATCGAGGGCGAAGCAGACATGTCGACATGTTTCACGCACTGACAAATGACTGCGTGTTCCGCACAGAGGAATGCGGCATTTGCCCAGTTACGACAGATAAGGCTAAAATACCGTCGGGTAGCAAAGTACTTTTGAGATTCGATTAAGGTTGAAGATTTGAGAATGAGGTGAACCTATAGCGATCTGGAGCAGAACTGCGCTCAGTCGATAGATATGATACGGGATATTCAGGAATGTATCCCGTATCACAGAATTCAGAATGGTAACGAAGTAACGCAGCCCAGCTGTAGAGATAGTTGGTGTTGTGTCAATGAGCCTTGTAGGAAAGACGCTGTAACCAGAATTGTGTCAGGCTCCACCCCGTGGTGCTGTTGATCGACTATTCGTGCTCCTATATGCTTTACAAAGGCTAAAGCACCGCCATTATAAAGGCCGTGCGAGGGGGAGTAACGAGGGGGAAATAGTCCCTGTGTGATTCGATCCTATGAAGGCGTTGCCTCGCTCCTTGTTCGCAAGGATGTAGCAAGCGACGCTCAAGATCCCTCCACCTTCCATCGGTAGCTTGAGACGTAGTTCTGTGAGAGAATTACTAGAGCACAGATGTTAATCACTGGCCATGCGTAAGATGTTCAAGGCGTTGCATTCGAGCCGCTATTGTGAAGTCTCGAAAATGCTCAGTCATATGATACAAGAGATACAATAGAAATTTTTACTGAGAAATTTTGCCTACAAAGCACGCGCCGGCTTCGTGAGACTAGGGCCTCCGCATCGCGGATTTCAGGCTGGACGGACTGTTTGACTGAGTTAAATATTCTGCGCATGTCAAAGCGGAAATCAAGGTGGATAGAGTTCCAGTAGGTTGTGAAGTACTCAGTACTGGGATCTTGTGCTTGAGATCCGCAATAACCCAGCTCAATCGTACAGGGTCAAATGATGTCAAGTCTAAAACTCGAAAAATAAGCGTGCAAGACGAAAAGCAACGATCACGTGATCGTCATACATGTGGGTCTTCGTCAATTTAGTCACTTGCGATCGTCTTCCTCATTCTGAGGTTGTTCACCTCGCTCGAAACTTCCTTCATCTCTGAGAGAACTGCATTTATTACTGGTATATATCTATCTAAATTGGCTGCCTTTGAAAGGTCTGAAAAGAAGAGTTCAGTGTGTCCTAAATTCTGACACGTGAGGTGATGTGTTGACAATAGGATACAGAATTAGGCATCCATCTACTACTGGAGGAACAGATTTTCACACATTGTGGGCGCTGCTGAATTCCTGGGTTTTACTATATCCAATGCTAACTCTTTTCTCAGTATGACTTCATCTGAATCACCCCCGCCATCCCCTATCCTATCTCACGCGACGCGTCGAGAGGCTATCCACAAGCAAGGACGTATAGAACGCTCTAGCTCTACGTCCAATCACCGTCTTTCCAAAGACCATGGCGTCTCATCCAACCGTGACCTCGCCCGAATGCTACTCCATGAAGAACGCGAGGCGAAAGACCTTCGGAGGATGCTATTGACTATCACAGAGCAGTTGAGGCAGGAGTCGCATCGAGCTGACGAGAACGAACGGCGAGCTAAGGAAGCTATATTCCGCTTCAAAGCTGTTGAGGAGGCCAGAGCGACTGCGCAGGCCGAAGCTGCCAAAGCCAACGAGGAACTGCGAATGTACAAGCTGCAGCTGGAAAACGCACAGCGCGAAATTAACAAGGCACAGGAAATACTGAACTCCGTTGAGGACCAGCGATATGAGGCGGAGGCAAGCGCAGCTCGGGCAAGGACCACGGCCAGGAAGCTGAAGGAACAACGGTTGATTGACTTGGCACGGGAGGAAGGAAGGAGAATTGGGATACAGGAGGGTATATCCAGAGGGAGGCGTGTTGGTTTCGAAAACGGGAGGGTTGCTGGATTTGAACAGGGGCGGTCAACAAATGGGGGACGTGCCATGTTCCTCTCGGACGAGCCTGACGACACTGCATTGTATGAACCCGACGCAGATCTTGAGGACCCTCCTCTTACCCCCATCGATCTTATCGAGGAGCCTATGCTCAACTTCCCTACCCCACGACCTACCGCACCTCCTGACCCCGTTCCTGAACGTATTTCACCGCCCAGGTCACATACTTCTTCGCGCGCACCATCAGTCATGACACAGGAACCTCCTTCAGCAGCTGTTCTCTCACCTTCTTCAGGAATTCACCCCACGGTTACTCACAATATGGCGTCACCCGTCCGGCATCCACATAACTTCATTCCGCCTGAGGGCTACATACCCCGCGCAGATCCGGACTCCATGATTCGTCTGCCGCCGCCGCACGAGATGCAACGAGCCCCTCCCACACCTGAGAGCGTTTTACGCAGAATTCCCGAAGAAGACTTCCCTCTCATGATTCCTAACCCATCTTCGCGCCCGTATCCTTCCGAAGCATCTAGTGTGCGCCGTGACTTTCCACATAGGCGACCTATCTCGCCGGAATCTCAAGGTTCCACGACGATTTCTCAGTTCGAACTTGTCAGTGAACCCTCGATGACACGACCCTCTCGAAACCGACCGCTTTCGACTGGTTTGAGCGTCATTCAAGAAGTTTCTAGTGGTTATCCTAGTCCAGCTAATAATGCAAAGAGCCTTGCAGGCGACACTCCCTCCCGCCCTACTTCTGTGAGCACTATAGATAATTTTCTCGCTGATCAATCTTTGTGATGACGTTTAGCCAGACCTCTCGCGGTAGTCCTCTTCTCGTTATGATGCCCGTGACAACACCGACTCCCCAGCCTGTCAGTTTGAACATAGCAAATCTCGAGGAACAAAGTCGTCACATCTACAGACGACCAAGCTATTCGTCTTCGTCCGAGTCAACGTCTCAAAAGCTTGGTAGTGCATCGAGAACGCCTGCAGGCTCCGACAATAGGAGCTTGAGGAGCTTGAATAACCGAGCAAGTTCGTCCATCCCTGACATCACAATACAACCGCCGGTATGATGACTTAGCACATTTTCATATTCTACGATACTGAACTTTGCCGCTAAATTACTCTCTTGCCTAGTCGCGTCCTTCCTCTCAAACACCACAAGCAACGCCAGCTGTTGCCCACGGTGACTTTTTGAGCGCTGAGGATGCTACGAACCGTCCGATTCAGCCCCCCGAGCCCGAGCCTCTTCAATTCAGCCCCCGTTCAATGGAGCCAGAAACTGCGCCGAGCCCTTCGCTAAATGGCGAATTGCCTCCTGGGTTTATTCCCATGGGCCCACCAGTGTCTGCTCCGACTCCATCACAGTCGTCGCGTACTATGTCTGCCTATACTGGCGCTGGAGTGCCTTTGCCACCATCGGCTACATCCACTTTTTACCAGTTGCCGTCCGAACCAGGATTGCGTGCCGGAAGAGGCACGTCTTCTGTATCCGGCATGTCCGGTGGGCAACCTACATCTCGCTCTCGTCGGTCCAGAAACGGTGGTTCCACTTCTGATCCTGTTATGATCCCATTGCCCCCGACTGTTGCGTCATCCTCGATTGTTTTACCGCCGCCAGACTTACTCTCTCGACCGCACGGTGATTCCACCAGTTCCACCTCCACAACTTCAGAAGACGAGGCTGTCAGATCGAGTATTGCGTCCAGCTCTGCAGATACGCTCACTACCCCACCGATGCGTAACAGGAAAACCTTGTCAAAAGCCAGAAATCCTGCCTATGATGCCGCGCCTGTCCCTACCGGCTTTGAATACCCAGCTACACCTTCCGTCCGCAACTCAACACCTGGCAACGCCGCAAGAGTGCCTCTCCCGCCTTCCACAACTGCCGGCACCCCACGGACGACATCTGCATTCACTCCACATCGCAGTGGTGCCAACATCAATGCGGGAATGACTCCCGGCGTGCGTCACTCGTCCTTGCGCAGCGGTGGCAGGGAACCCAAGGTTCATCATCGTCATTCCTACAAACGCTTCGATAGTAATGCTTACTTGGACCCGGCTTACCTTGCCAGTTCTGACGACCTCCATGAAACTGATGACAGCTCACGATAGTAACACCTCATGTTCATGACTCCGGGATGAGACTAACACAAGGGAGTTCTCACACCGAAGGTAGAGCTGGTCCTCTTCATGATTTCGATTTTCCATTATATATACTTCACGAATGTACCCTGTAATTTCAGACTTGACGTTTGTGAATTACAGAGAGCCTATATCGCATATGATCGATGCTATATTAGCCAAGTTGCAAACATGTACACGTTCTGTTCAGTCTTTCGATCTACATAATGTTCCAAGGTGAAGCGCTGAAGGTACCATTTCCGTTCATGATAAGCAATTGAACCACAGGGTTGCGACACGGTGCAGAACCTAAGAATGACGTTACTGAATACATTGACATAACGAAGAGCGACCGACAGAAAGCAAAACAGGTAAGTAAGTAGCATATACATTCATCAGAAGTGATCAACTGTGAACGTCCATTTGCCCTCCTGAATATCAAACCCTTCAAACTTCGTTCCCTTCATGTGCTTTAATCGCTTCGTGTGTTTGATCACCTGTGGAAGAGTCTCATCCTTGATAGGCTCTCGTGTTGCCTTGTCCAAAGGCCAACAGCGCAAAAGCGTGATTCTAGCACGAACGTTGAGGCCACTACCTGGAGGCGGCTTGTCGATATCGTCGCTATCCGGGTACACAATGCATTCCTGCGTGTCGAAGCGAATCTGCTCACCCAACAAGTGAGAGAGTTTGGCAAGGGTAGTGAGGTCGACGGGGTCCAAGAATTCAATCTTTCCAAAACCAACACGCCCGACGACCAAACCCCTCAGCTCTGCGATGTCATCGAAGCTCATCAAGCTCAAGGTTGGGACGGACGGTTTGCACCAGTAATCGCCCTCTTGCGGCTCGTCTTCGTGAACAACACTGTCTCGCGCAGCTTCTGTAGCGCCGCCGGCAGATGGTGGACCAGTTATGGATCCTCTGTCGCGGATCGTCCGTGCTGGAGAGTAAGTAATCGCGGGTGGAGTGGGGGCAGACTGCTTTTCTCTCGCGGCAACGCTGAGAGCAGGATTAAATGAGACCTTGCCAGGACTGGGTGATGAACCACGTCGGAGGAGGTCGGCTGCGTCAATCTTCCTATCAAGCACAAGTTTCTTGACGCTCGTTTTGGGACCAGCACCCAGTACGCTTGACCCAAACGCCTCTGAGCCATTCGAACCTCGTCCATTGAAGCCACCTAACCCGAGGGGATTAGGCTTTGAACCCAAGGAGGAGAGTCCAAGAACATTAGTGGGGGTTGGCGAGATGGTGGATGCGTTTAACATTATCGAGTTATAACCTCGTAACTTGGTGGTGGCTGCCCCCTTGCCAGGTTTGTAGCCCAAAGGACGTGACAATGAAGAAGGTGGTTCAAACATGCTGGTTTTCTTCTTTTGATATTGGTCAAAGTTTAACCCGTTGGACTGTGCAGGAAGCATGGAGAAGATGGGAAGGTTCTTCGTGACGGGTTGATCAATTGATGCAAAGAGACTGCCCTGCTGACCAGCAGTGGCATTTAGGGCAGACGCGTTCAAAGTGTTTCCGAACAATGAACCGCCCAGGGGTTGAGCGTTTAACTGAGAAAGACCGAGGGCTGGTGCAGCTGGCTTTGTACCAAAGAGCCCACTACCGCCGCCAAAAAGGCCTGTCGACGGTTGATTGGTAGATTGAGAAAGCGGAGCACCAAAAAGGCCCGTCGACTGCTGAGGAGCAGCAGCATTAGGATTGTTCGCATTTGTTTGCCCAGACGCAGATCCACCGCCGAAAAGGCCACCGCTAGTAGCAGGCGCAGCAGGCCTAGCACCAAATAAGCTAAGATTATTCGCTTGCGCGGGTTGCTGTTGACTCGACTGCTGTTGTTGAGTGTTATTTCCGAATAAACCGCCGCCGCCACCACCGAATAAGCCCCCTGTCTGCGGCTGCTGCGTTGGTTGAGTGCCTCCAAACACTATTGGGTATATCGACATCAACAATGATTTAACGCATGAAAATGTAGTCACTTACGTCCGCCACCCTGCTGAGGCTGGCTGGCTTGATTCTGCTGTTGATTGTTCTGCTGACCAAACAACCCTCCACCACCTCCAAAAAGCCCACCAGGTGGCTGTTGTCCCGGTGGGCCCTGATTCTGTTGATTTTGAGCACTAAACAGCCCAAGCCCCGAAGCAGGTTGCGCTGGCTGGCCAAACGCAGATGGTTTAGCGGCATTGGCGGGTCCTAAGAAGACATGAATATTGCAAGATACAGGGAAGAGCGTGGATAAAGTCTACACACCGAACGCTCCACCGCCAAATGCGCCGGTGTTGGGTTGGATCTGGCCAAAAAGGCCTCCGCCTGTTGCAGGCGGCTGCGACTGCTGCTGCTGCTGGTTTTGCTGTCCGAAAGCGGATCCTCCGCCAAATGTGCCGCCTCCACCTGAGAATTGTAGCAGTCAATGGCAATCCTTCGACATCGGAGGAAAGTACGAACCAAATGCGCTCAATGGCTTATTTTGTTGTTGACCGAAGGCACTTCCACCACCGAAGAGACCGCCAGTGTTCTGTTGCGGCTGTTGTTGTTGTGGTGGTTGCGGCTGTTGACCAAAGGCACTGTACCCAGTGGCAGGTGGCTGCTGTGGCTGCCCGAAAGCGCCAAGAGCGCCCGTTCCGGTTGTAGGCTGCGCGCTGGTGTTCTGACCTAAAGCACTAAACGCACCGCCCGTCGGGTTGGCATTGTTCGCAGTACCGAATGCTCCAAACGCCGAAGTCGGATTTTGCTGTGCAGGTTGAGCAGCCTGGCCAAATAATCCTGTTCCAGTGGGCGCTGGCTGCGCGGCACCAAATGCAGATGGTTGAGGTTGAGAAAATCCGCCAGCATTAGCTGTCTTGCGCCCTTGCGCGTAGTCCTGAAGGCGCAATTCCTATAAATAGTAGAGCAGGTGAGAATTCGAGGTACGAGAAGCCTAAAGCGTTGTCTTCATTTCAAGGAGATCGATGCCACGACTTGCGCTGCATGTCAGACCACTGATTTGTCCAAAGAAGGCGCTTAGACTCAATAGGCAATCACTCACTTCAGTCGAAGTGCCACGATAATGTGGCATGCAAGAGATACTCTGATATTGAAGAGTGATATTGGAGTTCGCGCCGTCCTTCTCGCTATATACACTGTAAGGCGGGTTGACTGTGCCAGTCGTTACAGGCGGAACACCATCGTAGACGCCCGCTTGTGTAGTCGCTGAAATGACAAACCGAATTTAACTCATAGCTTGAAACGCGGTAAGACCATGAGCATTCGTCGCTTACTCGTGTTCGCCCCAAATGCACTTGTTGCGGCTGGTTTGTTTCCGAACAGTCCGCCGCCGGCGCCGCCACCAAATGCACTCGTACCGGCATTGGGCTGTCCAAAAAGACCCGTCCCCGTTCCCGACGACTGAGCAGGGGGATTGTTGTTGGCGTTGGCCGTCCTAAACCCGCCCCCTCCTCCAAATGCTGATGTTCCACTACCACTGAATGCGCTGAAACCAGTGGCGGGTTTCGGGCCGCCAAACATGGGGTTTGTATTGACCGGGGGATTTGCAGTACCACTGAATCCTCCTCCTGATCAAAAATAAACACAGATGAGATCTGGGGCGCAGTACAGACTACGCACCGAAACCTGACGTGCCTGCTGGGTTCGAAGGACCTGCGCCTAGATTGCCGAACATGGGGTTCGCTTGAGGCTGCTGCTGCTGCTGCTGTTGCTGCTGTTGCTGCTGCTGTGGATTCTGTCCAAATGCACCCCCTCCAGGACCAAACGCTAAACACGTCATTTAAGCACGCCCGCCATGAGTCGTTCTGACATGCACGCACCTCCCGCGGACCCGAACGCACCTGGCTGTCCAAACGCGGAACCACCAGGCTGTTGTTGTTGTTGCTGCTGTTGTTGCTGATTTTGCTGGGGGTTGGCCCACGAAGATTGGATGGTATTGTTGCCGCCGAACATGGCTCGACGGTTTGCACAAGTGGGATGCGGCGTCGTAGACGTCTAAGTCTTATCGGGTGAGATTAGAGCGGAGCTCAAAACACGCGCTTGACAAACGATATTAACGCGTTTATTACATAATCCAAATTTTACAATGCAAGTTGGCCGGCGTGCCCACCGAGAGAAGGAGCTCAACCCAGTCCTCTCGCGTTTGCCATGCCCGACGGCAATGTTCGCTCCTCCTCCGACAAAAGCACATTCAAAACCCTCACCCGCGAACGAAATTTTAAACACCCGGCCTCCAGCAGTTCCACTGTTCCCATCCTCGATGAATTCGTTGCGCCTCATATTGAATCCTTCAACGCGCTTTTCGACGACTCTGGTTTACCGTCAGGTGATGGTGACGGTCGTGGAATCCTGAGCCTGGCTATCAAGGACATTGGTGAACGGGTTGTCTTTGACGGGAATGGTCAAATTGGGTCCGAGAGTGGTCCTAGTGGGTGGGGAAACCGAATGAGCAGTAAGTTGCCAGCTGAATTCAATCAATTTTTGACCCGCGGCGAACCCATTCAAGTGTGGATCGAACAGGTTTCTATATCAAGGCCCATGGTACCCGACAAGGATAGACAGGCGACGGAGCGTAAGGTCTTTCCTACCGAGGTAAGTACTTTCTATTTTTGAATGTTCCGACCCGCCACCTGGTGTTCCCCTCATAATGTTGATCTTCGCGTCAACAAGCAAAATACTGCAGCTTCTAGAAACTCATTCACCAGATGCTTGATTCTTACCCCTTACATCGCTTTTAGGCTAGGGAACGCCTCACCTCCTACCGCGGACGTATGACCGTCAAAATATGCTGGAAGGTCGACCAGCCTGGGCAGCCGGAGAAATCTATCATCAAAGAATGCGGCCTTGTACCTATCATGGTTCGGGTGAGTCATATCGACGTCGAAAAACCAAACTTTGACTGCGAGTGCTCAGCTTCAATTTGTCCATAGTCAGTCAGATGCAATGTCCGCTCCATGTCGTCCGCCGAGCTCGTCAAGCACCACGAGGAGCCCGAGGAATTTGGTGGTTACTTCGTCATAAACGGAAACGAGCGCCTTATTCGCTATCTTATCCTTCCGCGCCGAAATCATGTCATCGCCCTGACCCGACCTTCGTTCGTCAACCGAGGACCATCATACACACCCTATGCTGTCCAAATTCGATGTACGCGTGTTGACCAGACAAGCGTCACAAACACCCTACATTATCTCTCCAACGGCAGTGCCATGCTTCGATTCAGCTGGCGAAAACAAGAGTATGTTGTTCCTATCATGCTCATCCTCAAAGCCTTGGTGGGTGCGTCGGACAAAGAAATATTCGAAGGCGTCATGATGCAGGACTATGACAACACCTTTTTGACGGACCGCGTGGAGCTTCTACTTAGGAGCTATAAAATGTTTAGCTTGTACACAGGCGACCAATGTCTTGAATACTTGGGTGACAAATTTCGTGTGGTTCTCGGTCTACCTGAAGACTGGACGAATCAAGCCGTTGGAGCATGGCTGGTAAAGAAGTTGGTCCTCGTACATCTGGAGGACCCTCGTGATAAGTTTAGAATGCTTCTGTAAGTCACTCAGTACAAGGGTCACACACTCCTGCTAACCTTTCAAAAGGTTCATGTTGAGGAAGTTATATGCTATCGTTTCCAAGACATGCTGCGTTGACAACCCTGATTCTCCTCAACATCAAGAAGTTCTATTGCCTGGCCAGTTATATGGCATGATCATCAAAGAGAAACTTGAAGAAGCTTTGACCCAGATTCGAAATCAGATCGCTCTAGATGTGCGGAAACAGGACTCCACAGTCGATTTCTTCAATGGTAAGCAACAATCATTTTCCTTGATCGCGCACTCGGAGCCTAATGGATGTCCTCATCCCGTAGATCGTTATTTCCACAAAGTCTTGTCACGCGTCAATTTCGATATTGGAGCCAAAATGTCCAACTTTCTGGCAACAGGTAACCTTGTCTCTCCGTCGGGTTTGGATATCCAACAGGCCTCGGGCTTCACAATTATTGCGGAAAAATTAAACTGGCATCGATATATCAGTCATTTCAGATGTATCCATCGTGGCGCCTTCTTCGCGGAGCTGAAAACAACCACTGTCCGCAAGCTTCTGCCTGAAGCTTGGGGTGCGTATCTTCACATCGTACTGATGAATGCATGCTAACGCGATCGTGAACAGGCTTTCTTTGTCCCGTTCATACTCCCGATGGTTCGCCTTGCGGCTTACTCAATCATCTTTCCCGGACATGTCGCATCGTCACTTCACCTCTGGCCGTTGCACACATTCCCGGCCTTCTTGTCGCGCATGGCATGACACAGGCGTTTGTGCCGTCCGTGGACGGAAGTAAAAATCTTTGCGTTCAACTCGATGGCCGCGTTATCGGTTGGGCACGACCGTCAGTAGCAAAAAACCTCGCAGCGAGTCTGCGAATATGGAAGACCGAGGGAAAGAACCAAGTTCCATTAGACCTGGAGATCGGGTTCGTACCTACGTCTGAAGGCGGCCAATATCCAGGCCTGTTTTTGTTCGCGTCAAGATCGCGGATGATGCGCCCCGTCAAATTCCTGGCGAATGGGAGAAATGACCAAATCGGGTCGTTCGAACAGGTGTATATGGATATCGCGGTGACGCCTGAGGAGATCGAACCCTCGGTATCGACGCATGTCGAACACGCTCCGACAAACTTCTTGTCAATATTGGCAAACATGACGCCGTTCTCTGATTTCAATCAGGTATGCAGAACACTCCCGTGGCTCTGCCTCACTCACAGATCTGCCTTCAGAGTCCACGTAATATCTACCAGTGTCAGGTTCGTATCCCTTTCTGCTTACATCACGCAATTAGCAACGTTGCTTCTAGATGGGAAAACAAACGATGGGTACACCATCGACGGCACTAAAACATCGGACAGACAACAAGCTGTACCGGTTGCAAAGTGGCCAGACACCGATAGTCCGTCCATCGCTTCACAACGATTACGGGATGGACTCCTTCCCCAATGGCACAAACGCCGTCGTTGCCGTCATCTCATACACGGGGTACGACATGGAAGACGCCATGATCCTCAACAAGTCCGCTCACGAGCGCGGGTTCGCGTATGGCACGGTGTACAAGTCCCAGATCGTCGACCTCAAGGACCAAAAGGGTTCGTCGTCGCGGTCCTCTGGGCCGCCGACGCTACATTTCGGGCTTGGCTACGATATCCGAACGGACGGTGACCGGCAACATCCCTGTTGCCAATTTCTCGACAGCGATGGGCTCCCCTTCATCGGCACCCGCCTGTCGTCTGGGGATTACCTCGCTGCATACATCGATGACACCACCGCTCGCACGCGTTTCGTCAAGTACAAAGGCGATGAGGTCGCATACGTCGACGAAGTCCGTCTGCTAGGTACCGCGTCTCCTCTCCCTTACTATCGCGTCGTGAAGGATTGATCTTATCCGTCCAGGGTCCGACGCGGGCGACTCCGAGCTCCAAAAGATCCACATCACTCTGCGGATCACCCGCTCCCCCGTCATCGGCGACAAGTTCTCCTCGCGGCACGGCCAGAAGGGCGTGTGCTCGCAGAAGTGGCCCGCCGTCGACATGCCGTTTAGCGAGAGCGGGATCCAGCCGGACGTGATCATCAACCCGCATGCGTTCCCAAGTCGGATGACGATCGGGATGCTGGTCGAGAGCATGGCGGGCAAGTCGGGCGCCATGCAAGGGCTCGCGCAGGACGCCACCCCGTTCACGTACGTCGTGCTCCACCAAGCGCCTCCCGCCCTTGCCCCCGCTTCCACCCTTTACTGACCATCCCCGCGCCGCGCCGCTACAGGTTCTCCGAAACGGACACCGCGATCGACTACTTCGGCAAGCAGCTGCTCGCGTCGGGGTACAACTACTTCGGCAGCGAGCCGATGTACTCGGGCATCACCGGGCAGGAGTTCGCGGCCGACATCTACTTTGGCGTCGTGTACTACCAGCGCCTGCGGCACATGGTGCTCGACAAGTTCCAGGTGCGGACGACGGGCCCCGTCGACCCGCTCACGCGGCAGCCCGTCAAGGTGCGTCTCCCTTCTCTCCACTTCGACGAACCAATCGCTGACGCCACCCCCCCTCTCTTTCTCCACGTGCTCCCACGCGCTCCGCGACGTCCCCGTGACCGCGATCGCCCCGTGACCGCGCCTCCCTCCCCCCTCTCCCTACTCAGGGCCGCAAACGCGCGGGCGGCATCCGCTTCGGCGAGATGGAGCGCGACGCGCTCATCGCGCACGGCACCTCCTTCCTCCTCCAGGACCGCCTCATGAACTGCTCCGACTACTCCACCGCCTGGGTCTGCCGCACCTGCGGCAGCCTCATCTCTCTCGGCTACGACGACGTCAGCCTCGGCGAGGTCGTCGCCGCCGCCCCTGCCCCCGCCCACGCCGCCCACTCCGACGACAGTGGTGCGGGTGCGGGTGCGGGCCACGCGGTGTCGAACCCGACCGCGGCCGGCGGCGAGTACTGCCGCGTGTGTCGCGCGGCGGCGGAAGAGGAGGACGAGCGAGAGCGCCGCGCGCTCGCGACGGGGCAGAACCCGGCGCGGGCGGGGCAGGCGGAGGTGCGCGTCGCGCTGCCATCGGCGAACGTGCTCGGGAGCGGGCGCGCGCGCAAGGGCGGGGACCTCGACATCGTCGCGGTGCCATACGTGTTCCGATACCTGTGTGCAGAGCTTGCCTCAATGGGCATTGCGGTGTCGCTGTCGGTGCAATAGGGCTGTGCAGCGGGACGCGCGCGCCATCAGTCGTTCTTGTAGCATCTCGATGATCTCCTCGGATCACATGTTCGTCAAGGGATATAAAATAATCATTTCGATCTTGATCACCATTATCCGAACATGCACTACGCGTGACAATCCGCATCCGAGTCTACAAAAAAATTCCAACCGCCGCACGCTCAAAAGTTCCGTGTTTGTCATGTAGGTAAAGCGTCCGAGCACATCCCCGCCTTCCTAGCGCCTTGATCACTACGGAACGAACGGCCGCACCGGACATCAAGCGAGCGCGAAGCCAGCGAGGGACGCCAGCAGCGCCAGGAATAAGTCTACCGCGATCGAGCTCGCGCCGCTCGTGGTATTGGCGGTCGACGAGGGCTTGGCTGCAGAGCCGCTGCTGCTAGATCCGGAAGCGCCGGCGCTAGCGCTGGGTGCGGACGCTCCGGTCGGGTTGGCGAAGCCCATGACGCTCCCAGTCAGAGGGCCCGGGGCGGCAGAGGCAGAGGCGCCGACGCCTACGAGGCCGCCCTCACCTTGCTGTACATCGGCGAAAATAAGATAGCGGTAGGTCAGACTTCTAGAGAGTTTCAAGACGGGGAAATTAAGGGCTTACGCCAGGGTTGCCCGAGGAGGAGGCTGCCGCTTGCTGGAAGGCAGAGAAGGTGTTGCCGCTGGTGGGGGCATTGATGGCGCTGTGAGATGCGAAAAAATATTACAATAAGTTGAGGTGCGTAATCATGCAGGAATGAGTCTTACCCGACCATGCCGGATTTGCAGTGCGGCTGGGGGGCGAGCTGTTTGCAGAAGAACCACAACGCTGTGCGTGGGCCGTTTGTAAGGTAAAGGGCATTGAAGGACGTGTCGCGGGATACGTACGCGTCGAGCCGTTCGTGATGGTGAGGTTCCAAGTCGGGAAGTCGTCGGTCTGGCCCTGCGGGATGAACACCCAGCCCGAGTCGAATCCACCACTCAATGGCTGGCACGGGTTAGCGAATGAGCTCTGCGTGATCGAGTGGTTCCCGGGGCTGCGTGTGCACCGCGTCAGTGGGCGCGCGCGGTCGCAAATAAAAACCTAGCGAGGCTATATGCGCACTTTCCGGAGAACTCAAAGGTGATGACGGAGCCCTCGCTGGCGGTGATGGTGTTCGGGTTGAACTGGAAGAATCCCCCGGGGGAGTCGGCGTCGCCGCCGACTTGCACGGTGACCTGGTATCGAGTGCGCGTTCAGTGACGGGTTGCCGCGCAGACAGATGGAACTGACGGTTTGGTTTTGCGCGGCCACGAGGGCGGCGAGGGAGAGCAGCGAGAGGGCTGCGAAGCGCATGGTTGACTTGGCGTGGAACGAAGAACGGGTTGAACGGGGGGGAACGAAGGGCGGGTTCTCAGACGGGGGAAAAAGTGCACGGTGGATGGGAAGGAGCCCCCCTCAGGCTTAAATACGTGTGCGGACGGGCTGCGCATCGGGATGCGTCATCTATAAGTGTGGGTGACAGGATCGAGAATCCGTCGGGGAAGCGAACGAGGGGGGCGATGGCAGCTAGTCGCTCTCACGCTCGCTGTTCTCTTGCCCCCCCGAGCTCCCCACATTACCGGGCGGTGCACGTCGTGGGCACTTGAGAGACCACCGTCCGTGAAATCTCACCCCGCAATCGGAAGCCAGATACTCACACTAGGGAGGCGTGGACGCGGCGCAACAAACACACTGACACATTGCACCCGAACACGGTGCCAGGGTTAGGGTCGCATCCACCCACAGCATGTCGTTGTCCGCTCGAGATGACACTTGGGCCCGCAGCGAAGGTCCGCCCACTTACTCAGACGATCGCCATCGCTCGAATGCGGCCATCCTTTTGCATCAGGCGACGTGAAACACACCCATGTCAGCATGTTTCCAGAGACCCAGGAATTGGATTACATAGTGATTGTGAATGGATACCGAATACAAGTGCGTTTGCGTTGAGCTGCGTTAACATCGTGCACGAACACGAATCCTACCACAAGTTTGGAATCAGCAACTGCGACACAGGCTACTGATGGCAACGGAGTGGAGCCAATGTGGGTCCGACATGCACTCACATCCCTCCATCCCTCACCACCCTCCGCAGATTTGCCTCACCACCACCACGAGCACATCATCCGCCCGCTGCTCGCCCGCTCACGCGCCTCTCACGGGGCGGCCACGACCTTCTTCAGCCACTCCTTCAGGTCCGCCAGCTCCTTGTCGTTCGCAGAGTGCCCGAGCCCGCTGTACGAGTTGAACGCGATCCCGCGCAGCGCCGCCGCGTCCGCGCCCGCGAGCGTCGTCGCCGCGATCCCGACGTCCGTCTTGAGGAACTCGACCGAGTCCACGCCGAACTGGTACTTCACGAGTGGGTCGTGCGTGCCGTGGCCCCAGAATATCGGCATCGCGCGCGCGTGCTCCGTCGCCATCTGTCCCGGCGCCACAGCAGTCAGTGTTTGTGCATGTCAGTCGCGCGAGGGCCGGTCACGGCGGCGGGCCGCGCGGGCCGGCGCACGCGTCTGCAGGGCCGACTCACCGACTTGAATTTGTGCCGGAGCGGGAGCCAGCCGCTGAGCGCGACGACGCCGGCGAGCCTGCGCTCGTTCGTGAGGCCGATGAGGATGCTCATCGCCGCGCCCTGGCTGAAGCCGCCGAGGAGGATGCGCTCCGCGGGGATGCCGGCGTCGATCTCGGCCGTGATGAGCTGGTTGATGGAGCGCACGGTCCGCAGCATGCCCGTCTCGTCCTCCTCCGACATGAAGCCGAACTCGATGATGTCGAACCTGCGGGGGCGCGTTTTGAAGCGTGAGACGAGGGAGATGAAGGGGAGTGAGACGCGACGCACCAGGAGGGCATTTCGAGGTTCATGTTTGCGGTGACCTTGATGCTAGGTCTGCGTGACCGCGGTGGGACGTAAGACGACGACCATTGGGTGAGCGGCAAGAATAACGGAATACGGCGGGCGGAAAGGGAACGCAAGGAAGGGGGCTATAAATACGGGGCTTGGGAGTTCTGGACTCACGAGTGAGGCAAGACCCATTTAACATGGCGGAGGCCGGGATCCGTCTTGAAGGAGTTTGCGACGGGGCTCCATCCATGGCCGGAGTCGCCCAAGCCCTGTAACGGGAAGCACGCGGCGAGGATGGATCAGTGCTTGTACGGCACGCGATCACGCTGGATCTCCGCCCCCGGCGGATCATGGGGGCGGAGCGGAAGGGTGGGGCGGGGGACGGGGGAGGGGGGGACTGACATGGACGAAGATGACGGTCGCGGTGTGCTTTGCGGCGGGCTGGACGACGAGGGCGTCGAGGAGGGGCGGGGAAGCCATTGTGGAGAAAATACGGCGTGCACCAAGTGCGAGGAAGGCGCAGGGGAGCTTGGGACGCGGAATCAGTGGGATCGGATGGAAATCGCGCGAGATAAATATTATTGGGAGGGAAAGGCGGCGGGAGTCAGAGTCAGTGGACCGGACCGTCGAGGCGGACTGGGGAAGCGGAGGGCTCACGGACCGTCATCGAAAGCGTCAGTCGAATCCTCGCCATCGCACACCGACGCCGCGCGCATCCACTCCCGGCTCCGGCCATCCATAGCCGGTTCCTCTCCACGCCTTGGTCAGCAGCGTTTGGTGCTGGATTCGCCGCAAAGGTGCAACAATCGTGCACAATCGTCATCTTATCGCCCACGCAATTCAGCTCCGCGATCCTCACCACCACTTGCCCGACTTTCATCGCACCGCGATGGTCCCAGTGCCCTCAGTCCCCTCCCCTCCTCCGGCCCTCGAGCCCCAGTCCATCCCATCCACATCCACCGAACCAACCTCTACCCCTGCCCCCGCCCCCGCTCCCGCACTCTCCAAAAACGCCCTCAAAAAAGCCCGCAAGGCCGAGCTCATCGCCGAGCGCAAGCTCGAGCGCCGCGCGCGCGAACGCGAGAAGCGCAAGGAGAAGAAGCGCCAGCGCAGCGAGCGCATCGCCGCGGGCGAGGATGTCTCCGACGACGACCGGTCCAAGAAGCGCGCCAAACTGAGCGCGCCCAAGGCCCCCTTCGGTGCGCGCGTCGTCGTGGACCTCGGCTTCGACGACAAGATGAGCGAGAAGGTGCGCCCGCAGTGTGCAATCGGGCGTGACCTGGCTTTGATTTCTTTGTGAGCAGGAGGTCGTCTCGCTGTGCTCGCAGCTGGCGTTCACTTATAGCGCGAATCGGCGCTCGCCGACGCCCATCAAATCGCTGCTCTTCACGTCCCTCGATGGGCGGACGCGCGAGCGTCTCGACAGTTTGAACGACGCGGGCTACAGGCGGTGGGCAGGCACCGAGTGGTGGAGCGAAAGCTACGAGCGGCTATGGCAGGAGAGCAAAGACACAACGCCCGAGGCGGCGACGGGCGCGGGAGATAGCTCGGGGTCGGCAGACGATGTGGACGCGAAAGAGGAAGTGCAGGGCGCAAAGGCTGTGGCTCCGCAAGAGAGCGTCGTATACCTTACGGCCGACTCGCCTGAGGAGCTCGAGGAGCTCAAGGAAGGCGAGACATACATCATCGGCGGCATATGCGATCACAACCGGTACAAGGTGAGACCCACGCGCGTCCACACACTCATCATCTATCACTACGTTCTCACACCACCAATGATGAACAATTTTGATATTCTACTTCATGGCATCGCACCCGTCTTGATTCGATCCCTCCGCAGAAGCTATGCCTGAACAAAGCAAAAGCCTCGGGCGTCCGCGCGGCGCAGCTCCCCATCGGGCGCTACCTTGCGCACCTGCCCACGCGCAAGGTGCTCACGGTCAACCAGGTGTTCGAGATCCTCGTCAAGTGGGTCGAGACGCGGGACTGGGAGCAGGCGCTGTACGCCGTCATCCCGAAGCGCAAGTTCCAGAACGGGGGCGCGCAGGAGGCGGCGGGCGATGGCGGCAACGATGACGAAAATAACGATGAGAATGAAAATGAGAACGGGGAGGGAGAGGGGGAGGACACGAAAGAGGGCGACGGTGGGGACGAAGAGGCCGGGATAACGGGGGTGGTCTCTACTGCTGTATGACGATCGGAAGTACGCTAATCATTCTGTACCTTACAAGATGTCTTGCAGGTTCGTCTTGCCCGTGCCTCGTTCGAGGGGCTTCGGCTGTGTGGGTGCAGGTTTCCATCCGATCTAGATTGACCAGAAAAACGCCTGTAAGCTCATGGAAGACCTGACGACAGCCTACCTACCACATAGATGACCTGGAATGTTGCGGGTATAGTGCCGTCCGGTTCTCCGTGGAGCTCTGGATGATCCTATTCAACGCTCGAACATTTAAAGTGTTTCGGTCGCTGGTCACCTTTGTATATAGCCGAGGCCGCAGCGAGCGTATCACGCCGGATGATGTGCCGTCTGCACGAGGCCGGCCATGAGAACACAGCGCGGGGGATGTCATGCGCGACACCACTCACCGCCCGAGGACGGCGTTGCTCTCGCCCATGTCTCTCAGATCATCCATGAGCTCCCACATGCTCGGGTAGCCGGCTCGCACCTCGTCGACGTCGACAGTGAGAAGCGTGAAACCCGCGCGGCCCATGAGGTTCGACATGTCGCGCGGGTCTGGTAACGACGCGACAACGATGCGAAAGCGCAACATCGAGCAGCGCGACAAGGTGCCCACGATCAGTGGGGCCGGGGGTGCAGGTGTAGACGGAGCCGCTTACTGGCCATCGGAGACACGTGCGGGGAGACGCCGCCCTCGCGGTCGACCTCTGCGAGCTGCAGCGCCGTGCGCAGCTCGAAGAGCGTGTCTCCGCCGAAGAGCGCGCCCATGAAGACGCCGTCGGGTTTGAGAGCTTCTCGGATCTGCACGAGGACTCCTGGGGCGGCGGCGGCGCGGTGTGAGGGAACGGTCGTCGCAAGGAGGATGTAAGGAGAGGGCACCTGGGAGGTCGTTGACCCAGTGGAGGCTGAGACAAGAGACGATGGCGTCTTGTGAGTTGCGCGGGATGGACGCGAGGAGCTGCTCTTCGTCCACCTCGAGTCTCTCCACTGGCACTGACGCGGACCGCCGATTAACTGCAGTCTTGGCGCGCGTTTGAGTAGAGCGCACCTTCAAACTCGCTATCTGGGTCTCTGTGCAGAATCCGCGCTGGGGATACTACGTGTGAGGTGACAGCGTCAGGGACGAAGAGCGTAGCTCACGACTGAGGTCTAGCATCGTGATCTTGTCGGTCTGTTCAGGCTCCAGCAGCCTCGAAAAATGCCCGGGCCCGGAGCCCAGGTCAAGAATCGAGCTAAACTTCCGCTTGATATCCTATATCACGTCTCCCCGTTGAGCAAGCGAGCAAGCCAACGCACACGCATCCGCCGCAGGGGCGTCGGTCAGCAGTGGAACACGGGACGTACCAGGAAGCGCTCGATCATCCTGTCCGCCACCTCATCACGCACATAGTCAACCATCCTGCTCCGCTGCCCGTCTTCATGCGCGGCGGCGCGGTCCTTCTGCAGGCGCTTTGCGTGCCGGTCGAAGACCTGGAAGGGGCCGACGGTGTTGGGATTGACGGGGGACGATGATGCGACGGAGGCTAGCAGGCGGACGCGCTGCGCGTGGTGCATTGGGACGTGGGGGATGTTTCGCAGCATCGAGTCAGAGTATTTGGGATGTCGATGTGTCGGTGCGTACCCGCAGGGCAGCGGCGAAGCGGATACTACTAATAGCTGACGGACGCGTATGTCACGTGGTGACTGTCACCTTCGTTTGGCGAGTTTCCCGTCTGCCATCGTCCAGTCTTCCCGCCGCCTTCTCACTATATCATGGACAACAACGGGTTTCCCCAGCGCCCGACGGCGCCCAGCGGTACCAACGCCCAAGGTGATTTAGGCCAGCTGACCCTCCGCGACGTCCACTCCAGCGGCATCTCGCTCGAGCAGCACCAGGCGATCATGGCTCAGCTGGCCGAGATGCAGCGCATAGCGGACATGGGGCTGGAGACCAACATTCGGAGGCAGCTCGAAGCCAGAGCAGAGGAGGGGCGGGTGGCAGAGTGAGTCGTGGTGTTTGTTCTGTGTGTGTGTCCTGCGGACAGGCATCTGAACGCTACTGTAGACAGCAGCTGCGGCAACTTGAACAGTGGTCCGTCGCGCGCAACCATGTTCAGTCAGTATTTCCGGCTCTTTCGGTGTTGTTACTTTATTTGACTTTCTGGTAGACCGGCAGGAATGGCAACTATGGCCGCTCCTCCGATTATCATGCCACCGCCAGTCTTCAACCCCATACCTGTCTCTAGTGCATTTTCGTATTCAGGCTCGGGCACGATCTCGGATTTTCCAGTTAGTTCATATGTTTGCTGTCATGTCCGTCTCATGAGTGCTCAGGAACATGACGTGCAATCTGGCAGAATCTCATGCAGCATCATGCATATGCCGGCCAGCCTCCTGCCCCACAGTATCAAAATGGGGCCAGGTGGCAACAGACTCCGGATCCACAGAAATATATGAATGCACAGCCTTCCACCACAAGAGTTCAGGCTCCAAGTAAATATGGTCCAGCCTTTCTTTTGAAAAGTGGCTTATTCTATACCAGATCACCACACAGGTTCACAGAATTCCAATTCTGGTCAATCTGCGGTGAACAGCAGCTCAGCTGCAAATTTGGCCTCACAACTTGTAAACTATGCCCGAAAGGAGGGCTTAGACCCTGCTGGACAAGGTACATCTCACGATGAGTATCATGCCATATTGTGCTGATGAGCATCTTAAAACAGAGAGGTTCAAGACAATGTTTGTCCAACATGCCAAGGTGTGTCCTGTAGGATCATTTTGTAGCCTGATTGTCATCTTTACATTTTCCATTAGCGATTGGGAGTCAATCAGACTCATGAGCAGATCTCAAACATCATTCAGGCTGCGAGGGCAGACGTTGCAGCAGGCTTTTCATCCTCTCGGCCTATGGCTCCTGCTGCCCAGAACACTCAGACTAGACATGCCTCAGGGTCCGCCGGATCAGCACGACACGGAAGCCAACCGCGACAGCCTCCTGCTATGCCATCTGCTCCCTACGTACCTTCGGCTTCAGCTGCTACCTCTTACGCTCCAAATATTCCTGCCACTCACCTCTCCACATTCCCAGCTAGTGCTTCAACTTCTACACAAAAAGCGCCAAGACAGCGGATGCCTGAGGTACGAGCGCCATCTTGGACACCTCCGGCGCCGGCCGCGAATTCGACACCTCCTGCTCCATCTACAAGCACAGCGGCGACCAGCAAGCAGCCACCAGGCGCAACATCGCAAGTCTCTACACAATCGCTTAGTAATGTTGTCGAGGCGGCACAAAAGCTCCATCAGGCAGCATCGTCTCAGGCATACCAGCCTCATTATTCTCAAAGCATGGCCCAGCTTTACAATAACAGGGCCGCTCAAGTGCAACAACGAGCCTCCCGTCCGGCGGCGCAGACTGCTGCTCCAGTGCCCTCGCAGCCTACTCCGGCGCAACCCGCTCAGGCCAAAAGTGCCATTCGCCCTCCTCCACCCTCCCAGCCTGCACCAGTGGTAACTCCACAACATGGTCTCTCAGACTCGACTGTACCCGTTGCGAGAATCACCCCTCAGCAGGCGCGCCGGTCGACCATGGCCAAAGATATATTGCTGTCCCTACGCCCTCAGGCGGCTGCTGCTCAGCCCTCCGCAGTTTCTGCAACCGATTCGTCAAATGCGCTAGCAGGAAAGAAGAGGCCTCGATCGGAGTCGCAATCTGATGTCGACAATGTTCAGGGAGCCAAAAAGCCTTTGTTATCGACAGACTCACCCGAGCTCGTCATCACTGAAGGCGCGGCAGCCATCGCACGGGCCATCATGACCCCTTCGCAGACCTCTTTCCCTCATATCAACGCGGAAGTGCGTCAGTCCACCATTGACCTATCCGATTCACCGGTCCCGTCGCTTCGCTTTCCGTCGGCTGGCTCTTCAACCGAGGATAAGTCCATCATTGTGGACAAGTCTGATGACGAACACTACGCTCAGGCAGCCTCACAGCTACATCCGGCTCCCATCGCCAGCGGCAGTGCGTCTTCTGCTCAGTCCAATCCCGCTCTGGTCCCGGAAATCTCCCCTTCTGATGCCTCGACTAGCACCTTCATGCAATCCATCCTTTTGAGCCCGGGCACGCCGGAGCGACCTGCTGCGTCCCGCGGGCCCATCATCACATCGCCAGAGTCTCTCCCCGAGCTTCCACTTGCATTCCCAGGCTCTGCTCTGCACGATTTCCTTGCGGGCTTCGACGATGGCACCGATGTTGTATCGCTCCCGCCGAGTTCACCAATGGCGGAGGACACCGCGCCCGAACCTGAGGCCCCTGCCCCTGCCACCTCTGATGTGGAATCGAGCCCGCGGCAAGCCAAGACGCCGCTGTTCTTTCCCTCCCCGACCGGATCGGCGATGGCCATCGACGAGCCGCCGCCGAGAAAGGAGGTTCCCTCTCGTGATACGTTCGTCCTCAAGCCAGGGATGCTCAGCTCAAAGACTTCGGCCGCTTTGGACCACGCCTCGTTCGCCCGAGCGTTGGCCGCGTCGCGGGCGAATGCAGCAGCTTCTTCATCTCGCGTGCGTTCGGTGAAAGGTGCTGTGTACGTTCTTGTGCCCTCCCCGCCGGCGTACGTGAAGCGGTGGAAGGCGAGGCAGGCAGGCCTCAAGCAGTCGACCGGTCGAGTGCTTGCTCCGGGTACGTCCACTGTTCAAGCATATTGCGTGGGCGGTGCTGACTGGGCTCTGTCGAATACAGCGATACCCGAAAGCAAAGGTTTGCTGCTTCAGCGGGCTTTCCCGAGTTTTCACAACTGAGTTTTCGACAGTACGCGACGCTATACAAAAGTCTTCCACGCGACTCCATCCTTCGCGCTGTCAATGGTCAGGTTGTACCGCTCTGATGAACTCCGAAGAGGCTCTCAAGACGCATCTGAAAGTGCACAAAGCCGAAGAGCAGGCGCTTCGACGGCCGACAGTACGTGCCTATTAAGGTTTGACTTGTACACTTGTCCATCTAACCCATAAGATTCCAGGGGTCTGTGTGCCACTGGAGGAGATGCGGTGCTGTAGTCAAGTCTAAATCCTTCGACGAACACGTAGACCGGCATGCAAGTCGTCATAGGTGTGCGTTTGAAGGTATGCCGGCCAATCAGTATTTTGGAGGGTTCGCGAGGCTGATTTTCTTCGATCAGGGTGTGCTGATTCCTTTTCCAACGCAGAAGATCTCGCCAGGCATCATCGACACCACGGCAACGACCCCCTCTTACCCTCCACAAAGCCCACAAAGCCCGATGTATCCCAAACGCCACCTGCCTTGCCTGACACACTGCCCTCGTACATGTCCGTCACGGTCCGCATCGCCACAGAGCCGATCTCCCAGGAACGGCACGCGAAACTTGGGCCATGGGTGAATATCGCGCGAGTTTCCTCCTCCCGTGTCGTGGCTCACCCCGATTTGTCGGCAGGTTTTCCGGCATATCTTTGGAGACGTGGACCAGTCTGCTCTGCTGTCACGGGACCCCAGTGCCGTGAGATCCTCTCGTCGCTTGGCGGTCAGCCGACCGGCGCAAGACACCGTGTCGGACATGGACGAGGAAGAGGCGGCTGAGTACATGGCGCGCGTCGACAGCGCGCCATTGGACGAGTATGGGTTCCTAGCGTCCATTTCGAAAGTGTGTCGCACGCCGTGCGCCGACCTGGACTCGCAGGGCATCTCCCACAGGCTATATCAAGGGATGGAACTGTTTGGGACGGAAGCAGACTGGGACGATGCCGTCGAAAGTGCGCCCGGTCCCTCGATCCCGAACTCACAAGCTGTTGGAGAGCCCGGTGCGGTTGAAGTGGAGGCGATGCCTCAATCGTTGGACGAGGGGGGCTCGGGGAGCGCAGATGCACAGGCTGACATTGCCATGGCGGCGGATGCTGGGAGTAAGCCTTTACTAGGAAACATGGATCAGGAGACCAGTAGAGACTCGACGATGGACGTCGAGATGGACGTGGTCGTAGTGGAAGAGCTGCTATAGTGTGTTTTCGACGCAGAGCGTACCATGCTGTGATATCCTCGAAATGTTGTGCTTGTCTTCGGACTGATGATGCTGTCACGATTAGATGTTGTTTCGAGCTAGAAACTCTCGGAGCTGTGTTCTAAGCTGAGATCGTGTCTGCGCAGGTTTTGCTCTCAGGCGCCGAATCCGTGGCCCCCGTTTCATTGGTTCAGAGGTGGATATAAAAGGAAAGAGGATTTATTTCGTTTGTCGAGGACTAAAGACCCCTTGTGCTCCTCCTTTCTCCTCTTCTTCTCCACTCATGGCGACCGGCACCGAGGGCAGCAGTAAGCCCCATTCCAACCCACGCCTTCTAATTGCTCACTGTGTGCAATGGCTTCGATAGAGCCGTCATACGTCTCACCGCGGTCGGCAGACGTTATTCTGTCGGACATTCGTCCCATCAAGCTGCACGTCGAGGCCCTCCGATGCTTGAACGCCCTCCTCGACGAATTCCTGAGCAGTCTCATCACCACGGCCCACTCGCTGTCGACCGACCGCCTCAAGATGGCTCTGCTCAAGGTTCTTCCGACGACGCTGGGAAAGGAGGCGCTGCTGGAGGCTGAGATGGAGCTGCGGGCGTATTGGGAGCGAACCAACTCGGCACGACCGGGCTTGTCGTCTGTTGCCGCTGACGCTGGGACGGAGGAGTTCAACCCCCAATGGGCTGTCGAGGTACGTGTGCACGCGTCCCGTTTGTTCCGACATGGCGCCGATTTCCTTTGTTCAAAGTTGATGCGGTTGAAATGCGAGGCGTACTCGACTCTGAACGACGCGGACGAAGACGCACAGGCTGAGGTGCGGCTGAGCGATAAGCTGGGGGGCGCGAGCGCGAATGCAAGCAGAGCGGTGCTGGTTGCGCCGGCGGCGCTCTATCTGACTGCGATCATGGAGTGAGTCGCATTTGGGCTGCTCTCATTCCCGTGGTTGACCTCCGCCTCCAGATCAGTATGCGAGTAAGGCCAAGGTTCTCGTGGCGATATTGCATTTGATTGATGTCAATCGACTCTCTCGACCGCAGACATATTCTATCGAACGTGGGCCGCGTCGCGACGCGAGACAGCAGCCGGACCACTGCCAGCAGCCAGGACCTGTTCGTCGCACTGTGCGAGGACGACTCGATGTACACTCTGTTCAAGACGATGCAGGGTAAGTTGGAACGACCGCTCCCGGGACGCCGCCGAGATCTGATCTGACTGTTTACGAAATGGGTCCCAAAGTGTACGGCCAAATCGAGAGTCTGACCAAGCCGCCCCAATCGAGACGCAGCAAGTCCATGTCCCGACCGAACGATCGCCATGAGACGACGTCGCCGCTTCCGGATGGCCCCTATAAGGACGCCACGTCGACGTCGCGCGCCCGCATCTCGTCTGAATCCTCGACCTCTGCCGCCAACGGCGCCGCCCCTTCCCGAAGCTCATCAGAGAAGGTCAAGGGGTTCCAGCTCTTCAAGGCACCGAATCGTTCATCAATAGATCGCGACATGCCTCATGCCGACCTGGGTTCCCCCCGAAGGGCGGACGGTTCGCAGGACGGGCCTAGAAAAAGCTCGGGGGGCCACAGCGACTCTCACATAAGCGATCCGTCCTTCGACGATCAGGTCTGTTCCCTCCTTCTCTTTGCTTCCACAACACCCCTCCGCCTCTCTCACACTGCACGCTGGTATCTAGGACGACCTCGATACGGAGTTTGACGATTTGATGCGCTCGGGGGACACCAGGAAAGTGTCGCTTACACCTGACAGATTGAGGACGATGGAGGTGCGCCCGATGATCGTCCATACGCTTGTCCATTCTGACCACACGACAGGACTACAAGCAGGAAAGAAACCAACGGTCAAAACGATCAGTAGCAGAGAACATAGCGCCCTATCAAAAGGATTCGCTCTCGCTACCTCTTATGGACGCCCCCTCAAGACCTGTAGGTGGCCGGCGCCCGTCTCTGCGTGCTGTAGACTCTATCGTTGAAGACGACGAGGAGCCGAACGGCGTGCCGCCCTTGCCAGCTGACATGCGCAGCCGACTTCACGATAATACCCGACATTCCCCTCAAACTCCCCCTCCGTCATCGTCCCGCATCCGCTCTCTGTCCACCTCTCACACGCCAAACGCGTCTTCTATCATGCGCAAAGTCTCTCTTAGCGCTGGGAATTCCTCGCCACCGGTTTCTATGCGTTCTAAGTTCGATCAGCGTCTGGTAACCAAGCAGGACGACGCAGCTGGTCTACCCAAACGAACGCGTAAAATACAACGTAATCGTGAATCGCTTGATTTGGATGCCGTCATGAACGGCTCTGATGACGAGGAGGAGAACTACGCCCCTATGGTCGAGGCAAAGCCTACACCAAAGCACAAGGGTGTCTCTAGCAGCACGCGAGAGCTGATGGACTTCCTTGCTGAAGGGCCGCCTACCGAATTGCAACCTCAGAGACTGGCCGCTGCGAGTTCCGTTTCGCTGACGCCGACCACAAAATCGTCCAAGTCGTCTGGGCGGTTGCAGAGGATGATATCCAAGCTGAGTCTGGGAGGCGATAAGTCTGATTCTTCACAGAGAGTGCACAGGATCACCTCGGCGGGTGCTATGAGTGCACCTCCTACACCATCTTTAGGCAGTATGATGCCGCTACCTCCTGCGCTCAAACCTGTTCCCCCTCGTATTCCCTCCATCCCTATTTCACCCCCTTCGTCGCCGTCCCGAGGCCCCACCCCTGAGGTATCTATCCGTGATCAGGATACAGACCGCACACGTACTTACTCCTTTGCGCGTAAGGCTGTACCTAATTGGGGGCCTCCTGAGGAAGTACCCGTCCCCACTCCTCCGAAAGATCGATTCACCCCATCCCCTCGTCCTCCGCCCTCGCCTCTACCGCTTTCCAAGCACTCACCCGCATCAAGTACCCTGTCCGTCAATGGCGTCGTGAAGCCCGTGGCGAAGCGGGAGCCTGTGACAGCTCTTCGGGAGGAGGACAACAGACCGAGGTCGGCTCGTTCAGACAAAACCGTCAATGGATCCTCGACAGTTGTGGAGAATGGCACTGCGAAAGATGCTGGGGTCAAGACAGAACTTGCCGTCCACAAGCCGCCTACTTATAAGCCGAGGCCGTCGCGTGCTGGGCGCCCCGCGTCAGGTAGTTCGGATGCAGGCTCAAAACGAGCTAGCATGCGCAAGCCCGCTCCTACGCCCGAACTCCCAGACGTTGCTTCACAACCACCTTCTCTGTCAGAAGAAATGGCGCTAGAAATGCGCCGGTTCCTCTCGAAAGCGAGTACCGCTGATGAGTGTCGTCTGTTGGTGGATATGTTTATGGCCAAGGCGGGGATCTCCACATCAGTCCCTGCCGAACGCGATGATGCTTCGACTCCTCCGCCGCTCACGGACGCATCATCCGAGTCGTCGTCCTCTTCAAACTCGACGGTGCCCACACTAGAATCTTCTTTGGTTGAGATGTTCCTCGGAGGAGAGATCAACGGCTCTCTATTTTCGAGCGATATCGACGGTGGCAGCGCTCTGGCCCCTGTGTCTCCCCCGTATACCCCTAAGCTCGGTGATGGGGAGGACATTGCCAAGCCTCGTAATATCCCTCCCGCTCTTTCTGTCGAAACTCGTGGAGATGCACCTGTCTCCTGACCTACTTCGTTCTTTATTCTAGGCTTAACGCCCCTGGTGGTGATGGCTTAACTTAACGCAGGTTATTCTTATCGGTTGATCCGTTCATCGTCGCGTGTTCACTCCTGTCCATACATTATAATCCGGATTTTTTTTCTTTATTTCGTACCTTACTCGTCTGTTCCTTGCTTTCTCTGGTTTGTCAGTATGCTCGACCCTATCCTCATTCCCAGCGCACTATCTTCAGGTGGATTCCGTACTATGATAATACATATATACTCCATACTGTGTCTGCGCTGATCATCATTCATTTATTTGATGTGCTCCGTCTATCTTTATTACCTCTTCTGATTGTTTTATGGTTTCTGATAAGAAACGACATGGGTCAATATGATTTTTCGCGTGAACGTGGGGAAACAGCGCAACGAAGTTCAATGGAACAAGCGCATGCCTGAATCCTTCGATGATGGAAGAGCGAGAAGTCCAAACACGTTGAAATCACGATTCGTCAGACCAGACACCATCCCTCTTTGCTCTGGCTCTCACCCTTCTGCAGCTTCTCGAAGTCTTCCAGATCGAACCACGCCGGTATCTCTTTCCACAACTCGGCCCGGGCGCGGTTGACCGCGCTCGCGAAGTCTAACTTGCAAAAGCAACAAAGGCGCAGCCCGCACAAGCGTTCGCCGTCCGAAAAGTCCGTGCGGTGCAGCATGTCGATCGTCTGGAGGAGGGTGAAGAGCGGGTCGGCGTCCCGCCCCGAGGCGATGCCGCCGACGGAGCGCAGGGTGTTGAGGGTGATGAAGTAAAAGGACTCGTGGCATTGCCGGCCGTCCTCGTCGTCCTTGTGCGCGCAGGAGGCGCAGAGCGGGCGTTCTGCCAGTTCCTTGGAGACAAAGGCGGCGATGGAGCGTTGGGCGGCTTCGCGTCCGCGGAAGGTCGTCACCAGGTCTTCGTGCGAGAGGAAGACGTTCGAGCGTATGGTGGGTGGAGGTGTAGGTGTGGCATCGGATGCAAGAACGGTACTGGATGGGGGGACGGCTGCGGCTGGTGGGAAGACTGGTTGGTATGGAACAGTGCCCAGGGCGGTCTTGGAGGTTCCGTAGCGTGCGAGGTCGTAGAACGCTGCGGGTAATATGGTATGCAGACTGAGTTCGCGAGCGAGATTAATGACGAGGATCGGGTTGGGAACGCTATCACGAGGGCTGTAACGCCCGTTGGGATCAGTCACAGTCTTCTCTCTCTTGTCCCATTCTTCAAGCGTGAGAGGAAAGTCGCGCTGGAGGTAGGCTATGCATATGTCACGGAGGCTCTCGAGGAGGTATTTGGTTGACAGACGGAGTACGCCCGCTAGGAACGGAAACTCCCTTGGCATAGGCTTTTTTAGATATCTGACGGAAGCGCATTATATAAAACATCGAACGTAGGAGGGAGAAGACCTTACAAGCCATCGTACAATGCCTTCAGAAGGTAGTACACATCTGAGGCGCTATCATACAGTTCGATGAAGGGGAGCCCGTAGATTTGTGATTGCATCTTGGGCTGGGGCATCGAAAACATATCTTTGAAGACGTCCGAATGGCGCTCAAGCTGTCCGCGGTGAATTTTGAACACGCACGCGCCAGCTAGAACGATGATATTACCATCCGGGAACCAAAAGTCCTGGCACAGCTGATGCTGAACGTCTAGTTCGGCGCCATGTGAAGAGGTCGGCTTGTTTGCGGGGGTGGAAGATGCCACGGGATAGGTCATTTCAGGAGTGGGCAGCGTCCACGAGAAGCTAGACAGAATACAAAGGCCGTAGGGATAGCAGGAGAGGCCACAGATCCCGGCTAAGCCGTCTGATACCTAGTAGCTGTTCGAAAATAAACCAGTCTCCAGCCCGATGCCAAATAATGAGAAACATTCATATAAAGCATGGACGCATTGCAATGCAATAGCGGATGAGTATCTTGGGAGCGTATCAACATACCGCATCATGTTTGGACCAGAAGCGACTTGGTTTGGTATTCCATGGGCCATGCAAGTAGTATTATGCATGCTATCGCATGCTTAAGATCTGTGGTCATCGATGTAGTTAAACGGATACTCCCCGTGGCTAGTCGCAGAAGAAAGGCAGACGAGAAATAGTTGTTCGTTTCAAGATAAGAAAAGTCCCTGCAAATACCGAGAGCATATAAATGGTGCGGTTGGAGACGTATTACACCTAGTCAACCGGCACTCGTCGAACATTGCTCGTGATTCTCCCAGGAAGTCATCTGATCGCGACACGAGATCCGGATCACACCTGCGGACGTGACGTGGTTCCCACTGGTTCCCATCGGACACCAGCGTACACCAACACGATGTTATTCTCGATCGCCCATCGCTCCATAGTATCTCGAGGCTCGAAATGGCTTGTCACTCGACGCTTCACCTCCAATGCTCCAGACAAAGAGATCTTTCTACGGACTATTCCCACACATCCAGGTATCAGTGCACTGTTGTTCAACCGTCCACAGAGCAAGAATGCTATATCACTCAGGCTGCTCAAGGCGCGTTGCATGACGTTTCGTCTACATACTCGTATGGCATGGCGAATTTGATCACAGGAACTTACAGAATGCTTGGAAGAAGCTCACTTTGACAACAAGTACGTTTACAAAAAATCGTGATACAAGGCACAGGATAACCAACGCGTCATAGCATCCGCGTTCTTGTTGTTGGCTCCACGACCCCTGGCTCGTTCTGCGCAGGCGCAGATCTCATTGAACGGCGCTCCATGTCCGAGTTACAAGTGAACAAATTTCTCAAGGACCTCCGGAACGCTCTCAACAGGCTGGAGAACCTCCCAGTCCCGACCATAGCCGCGATTGACGGACCGGCGTTAGGAGGGGGGCTGGAGCTAGCTTTGGCTTGCGATTTGCGTGTAGCAGGCTAGCTTCCTTCTGCATACTTCTTAATTAAACCGGAGCGCTGACAGCGCTCTGTCTCAGGACACAGCGTCACTAAAATTGGACTGCCAGAGACAAAGTTAGGTATTATTCCAGGTGCAGGGGGCACGCAGCGCGCAACGCGGCTGCTCGGTCTGTCTAAGGCGAAAGACCTCATCTTCACCGGACGGTCGCTGGACGCTAAGGAAGCCAAGGAATGGGGTAAGGAGGCACCTCTAGGCACTGTTGCTTTTTTACGACCTTGAAACTTTTCTTTTTAGGCCTTGTCAACTATGTATCGGATGAGGGAGTGTCTGCGATCGACCGCTCTTTAATTTTAGCAAAAGAGATATCGGCTAACGGCAAGCACCTCGGGCACCCTCACAGTATGGCCGTGACCCGACTAACCTTCTATAGCCCCCCTTGCTCTTCGTTCTGCTAAACAAGCTATTTTCCGTGCCCCTGAACTAGCTCTTGAATCTGGTATGCCCGTGTATCATGTGTTATATCAATGCTCATCGATTCGTCCATCGATAGGTCTCGACTTTGAGCGTGCAGTTTACGACCCTTTGTTGAGGAGTAAGGACCGAATCGAAGCTCTCCAGGCCTTTAGAGAGAAGCGTCCACCGATTTTTAAAGGAGAATAGATACTTCCACGATGATTACAACAGTGAGCGAGCAGCGAACGTAGCGAGAAAGCGAGCAATAAGAGAAAACAAAACCGAGATCCGCCCATGTATGTCCGTATTTCAAAGCTGCTGGATGGCGCGAGCGGAGCCTACATCGCCGAAGCATCCCCACGCCCGTTACCAGCATCTCCACGCCCGTTACCACCACCAAACGCTCTTGACGAGATCGAAAAGCTACCTGCAAACCCGCTGGGCAGTGCCGGCATATTCATGCCCTGGATACCCTCGCCAATTTTCAACCCTTCTAAATCTTTCATCATCATGCTCAACCGCCCCATCCCAAAACGATCTCGCAGACCCTTCGTCTCCGCACCAGTCTCGTCGGCACCTGCGTCGCCGTCGTTGAAGCCCTTTTCCGCTTGACCCCAGTCGCTTCGCTGCGCGAGGTAAGGCCGCAGCAGCGTCGAATCGATGCGTCCAAGGTAGTTCTCCGTGATATACGATTTTAATATCTCGGGCCGAACGAGGAATATATTGCCGAGTTGACGGATGAACTCGAAGCGCTCATGGAGAGCGGGGATAGCGAAGGTGGCAATGGTGTCTTGATAAGATTTCAAATCTCTGTCAACCGTCGAGATGATGAGACGCCTGTGCGCTTGAGGATCACATACACAGTCGATGACCTACTTTGCCAGCATCAGACCGCCGGTAGCGCTGACGGGGAACTTTCTCAGGTGATCGAGAAGAAGCCTGACGTACGGACATGTTTCATCAGTCTGACCGATTACCCTGGAACAAGAGATGAACGAAAGACAGACCCATGGAAGGCGACACCGATTTCTGTAAGAAACACTTCCAAATTCTTTCCACTCAGGTTTGCCTTCGCTGCATCTCGCCCTTTTTCCAGAATTTCACAGCAGGCGATACAGGGCTCCGTGTTGACGCGGGCAAAGGACAAGTCATCATTCCTCGGTTTGAAGTCTGTCTTCTTCTGCTTTGCAAGCTGACTTGACATCCACGAGAGGACCGCTGTCCACCAGTGCCCCGTATCGGTAAACATATGAAACAATCTTGAACAAACAAAATTAGATAATTCTCACCATCCGTGAGACGCTGCATAAGTGCGTTCGCAGTGCCCTCGATCTTGCTGACTGTTTGATTATTAAAGACGACCATCTCACGCCGAATGGTGACTGAGCTTGTCGCTAGTGGGAGCAAGGCGATGTTGACATATTGTTGCCAAAGATGACAGATGAGGTCAACAGTGCTGAGAACGGACAGGGCTTGGAAGGACGGCTCTGTTTTCGTGTGATCAACGGCTTCAAGACGTGATTGAGCACTACAGACAGGAAAAGAGGTCAGCAGGTCGTAGTGTGTTGAACGCTGAATATCACGGACGTTTCGAGCCCCGTTTCCATGTATCCATTGGCTATGGCCTCTGCAAGCGCACGGAACAGCGCGAATGTATGCTTGGGACTAAAGATGAGCCGTCTTCATTAGCAACGTAAGCGTATGGATGGAAAGCAGTGATACCTACACATCGCTCGATGGGCTGAGCTCCACACATCGGCCGATGGCTTCCGCGTGCCACTTCAACATTGTCTCTGCGACATCCACACTCAGCATTCCGTCCTCTTCTCGTAGAGGTTCCTCGGTAACTTTGTCCTCTTTCTTCTCAGCTGAGTAGCCTCCAAACCGCATCAAGGCAGCAGCAGCAGCTGAGGACGTTCCAGAGGTACTCGTTGAATTCAGTTGGCCCATCATCCTGTCAAACATGGACGATTTCACTTTGTTAACTCTTTCCTGGAAAGATATTGCTATCTCATCAGTACCTATGAAAACTTGACAACGAGTTGTGGGCACGTACATGAAATCGGGTGAACACCATGAGAAAATTAGAGTATAGTTCTCCCAAACATTTGCTTTCTCGTTCAAGGTATCGCTGACCTTCAGTATAGGGGACAAACAATTCTTCCATAGCGGTTTCTAACATCGCACTGATGGACGTCGTCACAGAGGTTCCAGATGCAACGGATCCGCTTAACGATCTTGAGAGCTCAGAAGAATTGAGTGATGAACGAGACATGAGCGAGGGGGATTCATATTGCTTGAGGTCTTCAACGAGGAGGGATGTTTGGATGTGCACAAGCTGAAGAACCCGGAGGAAAGCTAAGTCGGAAACGTTGCCCGCCCGAACCAGCAGTTGTTCCATGTGTTGCTGGATCTAGCGAGTGAAGAAAATGTGTTCAGTATGCGTCTTAAAAGTACAAAGGGAAATGGTTTACAGATTGCGCAAATACACGCTGCAGGAACACTTGCATGACAAAAGGTGGATTTGGAAAAACGGCTTGTACGATCTGTGCCTCTTGGCCAACTGTCGCACGAATTTCTGCTAGGAGATCGTTCAAGCTTGTCTCGTTTCTTGGAGGCGATGTGTTCGGGTCCGGGAGAGCTTGCCACCTTCTCTAGACATCAATATCATTGAGTGTCAAAAGAGAACCGCGGCATTTACATTGTCGTATCCTCGCTCTGCGTGTCTTCGTGCACTTGATTGATAAAAAAGTCGTGCTGATTAACATAGACTTGAACACACGAGGCACCTCCGTTGAAGTCAAGCAAGGTTTGAGCGCAATGCTGGATAAGTTTGTTCAGTGAGGAGAGCCTCGTAAGAGTAGCGAGTGGACATACATGCATCATCTTAGGGTCACCCTTCCGGTAACACCTATCAAATAGATACAACATGTCCTTCTCAAACTTTTCACAGTACTTGTCAATATTTTCTCGTGTCTACATTCGGCTCACGTGTCAAACAAGATTCTGAAAGAGTAGAAGGTGACCACACCTTCTCTGCACTGGGTAAGTCAACTTCTTTCGCGACTGTGCTCAGACGCCGCAGAAGTACAGCAACCTGTCGACGGCCTTCTCTGCCTTCCTTCTTCAAGGTGTCTAGTTTTGACGTGTCATCACGGAGAAAGTGATTGTAGTAGTCAATGAGGTCGTAGGCAGCTTGTGCCCGCTGACGCTGTAGATGAACAGACTCCAGCTGTTCACCTAGCTCATGCCTGAGTAAGCTGTTATGATCATCTACATCGGGGCGCACCTATGCGAATGACAGTTCGACCAATTTCGCTCATCTTGGTCTCCATGGAAGAGAAAGACGTTCCTACTGCCTGCGCAGGCACCCTAAGGCATGGGACCGGAATCGCGAGTCAGAGACACGAACCTCAAATCCTCTGTTCAGATCTGCCATTTTCTTTGAATATTCCCTCTCAGCCACCCTGACGCCCTTCTCCATCTGCTCAGTTTTGGCCTGTACATCCTTGCGCACGGAGATGAGACGATCGACTGCGGCCTCGAATGTACGGATGAAGGGTTTAGGGTCGAATGCTTTCCATGCCAGTTCAAGATCTACGGAGACAGACGGGCAGGCGAGCACTCACGACCAGAGTCAGCCTTGGATTGTGCAATGAGCTTCTCGGAAAACGCTCCCACAAAGTCTTTGACATCGAATTTCCCCTGTGTAATCTATTGTTACGCCGACTGTTGACACGACAGGGAATATGATGCACCTCAAACGACTGCAGACTGAGCGTGGACTGAGCCACAGGATCAAAACTGAGGGATGGATCCATAACACACACGCGTGTATGTCGAGCGGTTGTCGGCCCAGAATCTAGATTCCAGATGGAGGTATCGGGGTGCCCAGGGACCTGCTCTCGGAAACGCCACTGAGCGAAGGACCCCACCACTTCATTCCGTTCCTCCGTTTGTTCAAAACCTCACAGCTATTATTGCATCTAACAACTGAACCTATACGGCAAAGACGCTCTGATCGTTAGGCGCGGGCCGCATCTCCTGACGAGATGTTATTCTGTCCAACCTGTGCCAACATTCTGGTGATATCATCAGAGACGGGGTACAACAAATGGGCTTGTAACACCTGTGCCTATGAATTCCCCATTGCGAAGCAGGTAGGGGTCTTCCTCCGATCACACAGAAATTCATCCGAGCAAACGCCCTTATTCGATCAGATGACGTCCAGAACAAAATTGCAACGGAAACAAGTGGATGATGTACTGGGTGGAGAAGACACATGGAAACATGCTGACTCGACTCCGGGTGAGATTTTTCTGGCTTCCTCAAGATCTCACACCGCAGGATACTCAACCTAAAAACCCTAAGCAACATGCCCCAAATGCGACAATGACCGTGCATATTTTTATCAATTACAGATTCGGTCCGCCGACGAGCCTATGACAACATGTAAGCTGAACGGTCTCTCTTTTCCTTCCCGACCACGACACCTTCTGATTTTCTGTGCAATCCTCTAGTTTACCGGTGAGTCCACTTCTATCCATTCCCAACGTGTATTCTGATGCTTTCACCGCGGGCAGATGTACGACGTGCGCTCATCAATGGCGCGAAAATTAGACATCGCTTGCATTCTATGATCTCTCAGAAGATCCGCTGAGACTCTTCCCCATGACTCACAATGAAACGCCACCAGGCTCAAGGTAATTCCCTGCCTACGGGTCTGCTAGTGATAGGCGCTCCCGTTTCACACTTAGGCCTGATATCTCAATGGGATACCAGGTTTGCGTCCGCACAGCCTAAATTACATCCTACAGTCTCGTCAGAGTACATGGCCAAGGCACCCGAAGGCATCAGGCGTACTATGTGCTTTCTAGACGCTCTCATCCATGGTGTCTTCTTTGGCTCCCACTTCCTCGAAAACAAGAGTGCCCTGTTGTTCCTTCAGCCACTGAACACTGCGCTTTTCATCCATAAAGTATGTATAAGCTCTGCGCAGGTCCTCAACGTCGACCTTCTCCGCTTTTCGTTTTCGAGAGAGTATTTGAGCACACGATATCAGGTTCAAGGCATACCGAAGTGTAGTTTGACCAGCCATCGAGGTGAGGACGTTGAGCGCATCCGAGGTAAGGGTAACGTCTTCCTCTTGACACCTACGAAAGACGACTGAGAAGACATTGCATGCAAACAAATATGTATTTACCGTATTTGGATAATCTGCTGAATATCCTCTTCTTCGTACGGTTTCGTGCTCACGATAAGAACACGATCAAGTAGGTCGACGGGAAGGCCATGGGGGCTTTTGAATTTTGTCCCGCGAATCCGAGCCATTCCTCGATTCGACGCCATGATTACCAGTGGCGACAAATCATTTTCAAGCGCTCGATTGAGGAAAGAAAAGCACTCGATGTCCAACATGTGCACTTCGTCAATGAACAACACCTGTGAAATCCCAAATTGGTTTTGCCCATCTCACGGAGCAGAGGCGCTCACCCCAGGAATGATTTCGGCTTTGCCCTCTTCCCGCCATTCAGCTACTTTTGCGTTAATTTGATTGCGCAATTCGGGCTTGATCTCTCCGGTGTCGCCTGCAAACAGGGCAAGGAAGCCTTGTGTTCGACTGTTGATGACATCGATTTCGTGGAGTGACACGGTATGGACTACTTCTCTCCGTTTTTGAATTTCGCCCTCAGGGCACTGAACAAACTTTGTCTGTGTAGTGACAGTGTCATCAGCAATGTGGCAATGTCAACGTCGACGACAGCGAGGACATACATCTGCGCCCATGGCATCGTAGTCTCGTGAGCGTGCAAAAGAACGGCCGAGTTTCGATACCTTCCCTGAAGCTTTGTCAACGGAGATGACGTCGCCAGCAAGTACTTTTTCCTTGGAAAGTGAATCGATCATCTTTGTCCCTAAGTCGTAGATAGTTTCCATGTCCGTGGTTTTAATGGTCAATTTTCCTGTTTTAGTGGCCTGTACAGCATCAAAGGTCAGAGGGCGATCGGAACAATTCCCGTATGGAACAAATACGTACACCGGTCAAGCTGCGGTCAATCTGAATTTCAACGACCTCCCCCTCAATGATCTCAGTCTCCTCTTTGATACGCACCCCAATACTCCGACGGAAAGCCTGGGTAAGTGCTTCGGTTTTAGACAGAGAGAGAGAGAAGACCTCAGAGGCCGCGATCATAGTGAAAGGCACGTCTTGCCCCAGGGTCTGTGCCATGCCTAGTAGGGTTGTGATATACGGTCCAATTATGATTAAGCTAGGTAGATTGTGGATGGGGATGTATGATGCTTACCGAGAGCAATAGCAGTCTTCCCAGTGGATGGTGGTCCCGCGAAGAGCATGGCCCTACCGGCGATTCTGCCCTCTTGGACCATTTTCAGGATCATGCCTGCCGCTTTTCTCGCCTTCGCTTGCCCAACCATTCCTTGCGAGTTGGCGCGCGGTTCCAGTCTGTCATCAAGTCCCAACCCGCGGATATGTGAGTGTGCGCCTTGGGAAATGTGTCGGATTAGAGCGCTCGCAAAGAGAATTGCACGCAAGACGTACCTATGCGCTCTATTTTCGTGATATCCCGTAACTCTGACGTTCCGGTGGAGATCTGGGTAGCCTGTGGATTAGTTTCTATCAGATTAAATTGTCCATGAAATAAACTCCACGCTATACCATCTTTCAAGCTGAAGCTCTGAAGCTGGAGTTGCACAACTTGTGGCGGAGAAGTGAAGACGCGTATCTTACGTAATTGAGTCTTAGCTTCGAGTGAGCGCCAGCGCATGGTCGTAGTCTCCCAAAGGCGGTGACGTAGGCAATTCTTCTTCAGCCTCCGACGCGGTCTCCGTCACCGAATCAATTTTGTTAACGCATACTTTGTCTTCAATCAAGATGTCCTCGTCGGGTCGGTTTTCCGAAAGTATCACCAATGGGGTCATTTCGTGTCCAAGGACATTTTCTTACACAAGGCGGTGTGCAGACGCTTTTTCTTGTTCTCCGAAAGCGCTCACCGGCGCTGAGCGGCTAGCAGCGGCTATTGGACTCAAAGCCGAACCGATAGTTCTTCTTTGCTCACCGATGTTGCAGGAAATAGACTCACAAGATCTTTGAGGCAAGGCAATACCTCTACATGCCCAGATACGGATGACAGACAATGTCGCTGTGAGAGCTGAGTTCAGGTGATTCTCAATACACGATGTACACATCTGACACGGACGTTTTCCCAAGCTCTCCGGATCTCATTTGGTCGCATATTACGTGCATACGGCATGTTGATCCTCCATTCCGGCAGACATCAGCTTTCAAAAGTCAAGGGTTCTAAGCCATCATTGAGGGGAACGACTCACATGAAGGACGCTATCTTTCTTGACACCGTATGGCGCTTGAGGCTAGGCCTGAGGGCTTAGAGGAGATACATGCCGCTACGTCCCGAGCGCTCCGTCACACCCCCTCTCAAAAGACCGTGAAAACGCTTTCTGATAAGTTTGAGAATACAGATGAGTTAGGCGCATATGGCGCTTCTGTACTGTGGTGTCCAGGAAATTGTCCTAGGCACCTCGTCAGCGATTCACCCGGCGCTGCCCATGGAGACTTAGGCGGTTAGAGTGAAACGACGCAGTTACGCTCTATCTGACACATGGCGTCAGATACTGACCTACCATTCGTGTTCATTCAACACTTTTCACCGTTGGCCGGGCGGTGCTCGATCTCCGTTTTGGGTTTCCGATGATTTGGATAATTTCATCCACGAAGGGGGACGACTGCACGGTATATAAGCCTGACTTCCTCTCGCCATTAGACCTATCTCAAAATCCCCCAGCATTCGAGGATTTGTCTAACTTCGTCTTCCTTTTACCTTCACCGTGCTCTCAGCCTTCCAAACCTCACCGTCTGCCTCATTTCCCAACCATCCACCGCAATGCAGACTTCCACCACCCGCTTCATTCTCCCGGACCTCATTAGCATGTCTAGTCCTTTCAAAGACGCCACCAATCCTCATTGGAAACGCGCTTCCACCGAGTCCAGGACGTGGGTCAACAGCTATTCCATCTTCTCCGATCGTCGCCGCGCCTTTTTCCTCCAGGGCCAAAGCGAACTTCTCGTTTCTCATGCATACCCTTACGCTGCCTACGAAGAATTCCGAACCTGCTGCGACTTTGTCAATCTTCTCTTTGTCATTGACGAGGTCAGCGACGAACAGAGCCCAGAGGATGCCCGCCTCACCGGTCAGACTTACCTCAATGTCATGCGCGATCCTAAATGGGATGACGGTTCAAAACTTGCGCAAATGACGAGAGAGTACGTTCTTCAGAATACTGTTCCAGCATGGGTCATCTAATTATAAGCTCTCCATTCCCAATCTTAGCTTCCGTTTCCGCTTGATGCGCACCATCAAGCCGGAGACCTTCCGTCGGTTCCTTCAGCATGGTCAGGACTACATTGACTGCGTAGTCCAAGAGGCTGAGCTCCGGGAACGCGGAGACGTCCTTGACTTGGAGGCGTACGAGATCATCCGGCGAGAGAATAGCGCCGTTCGGCTGTGCTTCGGCTTGATCCCATACGTCCTTGGGATTGACCTGCCAGAGGAGGTCTTCGCTGATCCCGTGTTCCGACGGATCTACTTCGCTGGGGTTGACATGGTCTGCTGGGCTAACGTAAGTCTTCAGGCTTCACCTGGCTTAGATGACTCATGCGAACTTTGAGCTTAGGACGTTTACTCGTACAACATGGAGCAAGCAAAGGGACTTGACGGCAATAACTTCGTCACTGTGCTCATGAAGACGAAGTACATGACTCTTCAGCAAGCCAGCAACTTCGTCGGAGACCATTACCAAAACTTGATGGATGGGTTCATTGCAGACAAGTCCCGCCTTAGATCCTTTGGACCCGCGATCGACTCATCGGTCAAGCGTTACATTGAGGCAATGCAGCATTGGCCAGTCGGTAACCTGTTCTGGAGTTTTGAAACTCCAAGATACTTCGGTTCTCAGCGCGAGCGTATCCTGAACACGGGCGTGGTATACCTTAAGCCTCTGGAGATCTCTGATGACGATTAACCGCACTTGTTACTTCTATATAACATACCAATTTTGGAACTTGTTCTATGATACTAATATCTGCAATCATTTCTAGCTCTAAGCAGCTAATCATCTCACATACTAGTAATTTGTAGCTATTATATTCTAGTCTGTCACAGCTACACGCTCGCATTGCTGTGATATCGATAGTATCTTCTCGATGCGCTGTACTTATCATATCTTAAGCTTTGTTTCTGTTTCCAAAATTTATGGGTGGGAGTTTCCCGGAGTTTCAAGTCACGATTGCGTTGCAGCTATTGATGGGTCTTCACACAAAAAATACTCTTCTAACTGAAATTCAGTGGAGCGTTGAATATCGAATATTAAATGTTGATCTGTTATCAAACATGCAGAGGCTTATTTGTGACTTACGTTTTCCCTGAGGTTTCTGAGCTATCGTTTGTAAGCAAGTTCATGTTCTTTCCGACCAGGATGCCGTCTCCTATGAACGACCACATATTTCTATTCGAATTTATGAACAAGAAAACGTCTCTCACAGCTCGGGATATTCACATACGGCGTCTCTATGATGTTATACAACTCTCCATCCATCGGGATGAGTATCTTAGAGCAAGGAGAGCGTTTGGCATCCTCGCCCGATGCAAGGAGATCAAATGGAAAGACCTATGGAAGCTTGCTCTTTTAATCCTCGCTGATAGCGAGGAACTTACTACATCTAAGGACGGAAGCTTCACGCGATTAGAGTTCTTGCGCATGATGATGTTGCAGCACCGAGAAGATGCAAGTACCCTGTATTCCTATTTTCGGGGTCGACCATTTACCACTCCCACAGCGGGAAACCATTTTCCAAGAACTGGTTCTACTATTGGTTCTGACTGGAAGATCTAAAGAAGCTCTGGACGAACTTCAATTGTACGGAGACTTCAACCTGCTCTCTGGACTTGATCGCTCACATCCATCATTTGATATCGTCGGGCAGGTACCTTCCATCCTTCCCATACCAAGATAATCCTGTTCTGCATGTGTATGCAGGTCTTGTATGCCTTGATCTCGCTCAACCTCCACCTATTATCGAGCGAACATCGATTCAAGGTACTCTTCCATTCTATTTTTCGATGACACGAGTCTTTCATTCTGTCTAGACAGGTCAATTGGCCGATCATTTAACGAGAACCTTGTACGAGAAGCCCGCGGACATTTCGAACGTGCTCTGGCACTAGATCCCGACAACGTCGTCCCATCATCTTTCTTAGAAAAGGTATGCTGTCTTCACTTCTGAAACACGCAGATAATGAACGCCGCCAAAGCTAAGCGCTCTCTGCCGAATGTTCAGGCGCTCCTGCATTGAGATTTTTCTCGCTGACACCCCGAAAGCTCCCGCAGATAACGCAACGGATACACGACAGTGCTGTTGAAACTGAAACCGAGAATGACTCAGATGGCGGAAGATCGAACACTGACGCCTTTGGAGGGGACCAACCGCGCAAACGCATCCGGAGCTAATGACGCTGGTATAGAAGTAGCTCAAACAACCCTTCATAATTTCAGCGTTAGCTGAATAATGGTAGGTTTTTTTTTTGCAGGATCCTCAATCAGAGTCTGATTCCATGTCAATACTAGGCATCTCCTCGTCTTCGTCATCCTCCAGCACAGTCACAGGTAAAGTAACAGGCTGCGCCGTTGTGGCTTCCGGCTTTTGATTGGATCTAGTTTCTGTCAATGTTGAACGAGATATAGCATCGGGTACCTGTGAAGAGAAATCGGATTCGGAGCTGGATGTCGGCAGTGTAGGCAAAGTGCTTGATGGAACAGCTTTGGCAGCTGGTGTCGTCGAAGGCGTTTCATTTTGCAACATGGAATATGCTGGTTGTGTCGTCGACGTGAAATCCATAGACCGACTTTGACCGGACGTCTGCCACCCTCGTGTCTCGTTATCGCGTCCCTGAGCGGCGACATGCGGGGCCGAAATAACATGAGCATCCTGGGCAATGGCCGACTGTGTGATCGTCTGTTCAGTAACCCCGATGCCTAGCCCTGTCCGTACGTCAGTCTCCTCGTTACTTTCTTCCGTTCTGAAGAGAGACAGCGACTCCACGTGTGGGAGGGATCTGACGAGAGGCGGGGCCCGCGGATGCAGGAACAAATCGAGCTTTTGACTGGCTGCTGACGTATGGTTGAACAGATCCTATCATCACACCGATAAGTTCTAGCAGCAGAACTGCAAAAAAGGATAACTGACATGTCCATCGCCGCCGCTGTTGAGAACTAGGCCTAGACTTTTACTCAGAACGCTAGATGTGCCCGCACCTATCTCTAGACACATTGCCTGGACTTTGCTTAGGATTCGCAGGTGTAGTGTCAGATCTTGTGATATCTGATGGGGTGCTATCAATGGCAGGGAGAGGTTGATCGACAGCAAGAAGCGCGAGGCGGTTGAGTATGTTGCCGGAGCGAGATACGGATTGTGCAGGACGAGGCGGATAGCTGATGAAAATACAAATTAGCGTAGTTAGATGTAGAATCATGAGGATGTACCGTCTAAGGCCTCTAACACGCATGTTCCTTCAACAATTGTCGGAAACACAATGTTGCTTGAGATTTTGAAAACCTCATCACCCTCGTACCCCCTTGTACGCTTCTTCCCCTTCTTGCCCTTCGTACCTGAAGCGACCGTAGCTTCACTGACGTCCGACTGTGACGGAAGCAGGACAGAGAGTATGGAAAGAAGAGCTTTTACAGTCCGCGTGGGGAGGATCACATTGTGGAGAGGTTGTGCGAATTCTAAGAGAGTTGTAAGGAGGGAAAGAAATGGAAGGCGTTGTTGACTTCCACGATGTGATCGGAGAATAGGTACAGAGGTCAGAAAGACATTTTGATCAACAATCGATGAAGCTTACGGCGAGGTTATGTGTTCAAGATGGAACGATATCACTGATATGAATCGGGGGACGTGTGGGGTCAGACGCTGACGTGCGCTGGAACCCAGGCAACTTGTGAGCATCCCGGAACCGCATTAGGGAGCATGATGTACTGACCACGCAACGAGGTCCCTGAGAAGCATACATCCGAAACTCAAGACGTCTGCTGTAGCGGACTCCTCCAGGGCACGCGTAGTCAAATCTATGTGTCCATCCCTCTTTGAAATAGAGATTGATGAAACTCGGTCCACGTAGGCGAGGAATCGAAGAACACGAACCTTTTCTTCGTTTGTGCAGCTGAGAAATGCAAAGCATAATTGAACAATGGCACCTAGAGGCATCTGAACGGGCCGTGTACTGGTAAACCTACAACCTCTTCGGGTTAGACAGAACCTTCTTAGTACAAGAGACAATTACCTGAGAAGGTCACAAAGGGCGATGATACCGCATCGCAATCGGTCAAGGTTTAGTGGGATACCGAGCAGAGGATCCGCGTCAGGAACTGGGTGCCGTTGGCGGAGCCGAGCTGGTCACAACTTGTCAGAACTTTGTTCATGGAATGGAAATATGGCAAATCACCATCATGAGGAAAGGTTGTTCTGATAGTGACGAAAGCATTCCACAGGAAGAGTACAGTCTCATCAACCGATTTTCGCCACAAAGTGGCTGCCCCTACTTTGCCGCCAGTGACAGGTAGAACGGCATACAGGCGTGAAGAAGCTTCTAATATTGATGCGTCTGTCGGCTTGGGCGCCGAACCATTCAGCTGACGCAGGACGAAGGAAGACAGAGACGCGTGTAGTCCGCGGTGGAGCGTTGGAAAGAGGGGGATGATCTGTGTGAGGGAATTGATGGCAAGCAACTGTTCAACACAGTCAGTAACACTATGTATGATATATTGGAGATTCAGAGGCTTGCCTGTAATTCGTGGTCGCTATGCTTATCTGCAAGTGCAAGCAGCACAAGGCTGTATTTTGGGACATTTGGAGTGGCCAATTGTCTTTGAAACTCGAGAATATCTGTCGCTGCCGAGAATATATGTGCCAAAAGGCGGATTGCAGCCTTGATATTCGGGACCGGCTCATTTTTCTTTCATATGATCATTGAAATGAGACGAAATTCGTGGACCATACAGATAAATACACGGACTGAAAGTAGAGGTAACGCTGCACCTATCCAGCCCTGCGCACCCTCAATCATCAAGGCCTTTGAGCATTTAGCAGTTTTCAGCGCCAGACAGAATCCTGCCCATCGTGCGCCTGAATCCTTGGAGTGGATGAGAGAGCTCAGTCGCGCAGACCACTTTTGCAGGTGGGGCGATGGACTGAAGCATGCAGGAGAGAGGGCGGGCAGGACAGAAGGCAAGAATCGCACAGAGTTGGCATCTGAAGCGAGCTGGTGTTGAAGAAACGTTTTGAGGACCTGTCCTGGTTCCATGTTTTTTTTTTACAGTGCTCGTAAAGGTTGCGATCGAGTTGACTTCATTCCGCGCATGTCATATGACCCTTACGTATGTAATTTAAGTCTCAATACTTACTGCTAACTCCTCACTAGGTACTCGATTTCATTCAAAAGCAACTTAGAGCTGCAGGCCGCCTGTTTGAGGAGACCCGGGACTGGCTTCATGCGACCTTCCGAGAAACTAGCTAGACAGCGTTACTTTCCTCTTCTGCTTTGTCGTAATGAGACGGGCGTCCGAGCTGGTGATTTCACGATATCGGAGGTGCCAAATCCTCAAAGTACTGTATTTGATACTTCGTCTATGACAACTTGATGCATGTGAGAATGGAGACTGGCACAGTGTGGACCATTTGATGGAGCAGCGGCCAATATTTTAGGGATTATCGCTTACTTCAAGATATTCTGAAGGGTACATGGATGCGCATCCATTACCTCTGCAGCAGAGTGGTTGTGATATTAGACAGGGGATACATGATGACCAAAAAGATAGTAGCAGGGCACGGCTAGTTACTGCGCATCTCTTTTCCTCTAGGCCGTTCGCGCACAACCATCTTGTTGCTGTTCTTGGGGCCCTTGGGACCCGGCTTGCGCGTGCGCTTGCCTTTGGTATTCCAGCCCCAGATGGACACGGGATGCTTATTTGATTTGGATTTACCACGACCACCTCCATGAGGATGGTCATTACTAAAACAAAAGCATAAGTTCCATTGCTCGCGAAGACGAGAAAGCAAAAGCATACGCGTTCATTGCGACACCGCGAACAGTCGGTCTCCAGCCCAACCAGCGGCTACGTCCTGCCTTGCCCAGACTACGACTTTTCCATAGCGGGTTGCTGACCTTCCCAATAGTTGCGCAGCAGCTCTGCAATACTTTTCGCACCTCTCCACTCTGAAGCCGGACCTGACTGTACTTTCCAGACGCCTCATGTGCGACGACCTGGCCGAAAGAGCCAGCAGATCGGACAAGGATGCCGCGGCCATCTGGCAAAAGCGCAATGGCATGGATAACGGTACCAGTAGGGATCAGTCGAAGGGGTAAGACGTTGCCAGGTCTGATCGTCTTCGCACGAAGGACGCCCAGGGTGAGGGACGCGGTTGAATCACTCTTGTCCTCGTCAGTCATGGCCTTGCCTCCCTGCTTCGAGTCGACGTATCCTGGCACGAATCCGTCTGGAATGCCTCCGCGGAAGCTCTGCACTACGTTCCCCGCCCTTAAACCATCGGGTGCCAGGATATAACTCCATCTCTTCTTCCCATCCACGTTCGGATTTTGGTTGTGTATGAGCGCGATATGCGCTGAGCGGTTTGGGTCGTACTCGATCCGAACAACATCGTGTGGTCCAGGCTCTATGCGCATGAAGTCGACGAGACGAATACGACGTTTGTGTCCGCCGCCACGGTGTCGTATTGTTATTCGTCCGTACGAGTTACGGCCGCCATTCTTGCGTAGCGGGACGGTGAGAAGGCGAAGTGGTCGACCTGGAAAGATATGCGGATTGAGCGGCCGGCGGAGATGACGGATGCCGGGGGTGATGGGTTTATAAGTTTTGAAGAGAGTGGATGTTCGGGCAAGGGCAGCGTTTACGTCGGTAGGACGTTGCTCCAAAGTCGCCTCCGAAGCATAACGACGCGTCAAGAGGTTATATCTTGATGTACATGCCGTTTGAGATGATAGCGAAGAAAAACAGTTACGGAGCAAGCTGGCACTGCTCCGAACGGAGAACATCGAGGCTCGCGACCAAGAATAGTTGGAGGATAAGCACGATAAGTTGGCGGCAATGGGATATTATCTAATATCACTCTCTTAGAAATCGCTATGTATATGCACGCTCCAACCGTCACCATAACCGTGTATCCCATTGAAACTCTTCCTTGTGGGCAGGTTATATCAAGTCATGGATGACGATCTTACATTTGGCGCGTCTGTGTGGGCTATGCCCGGTGAAGGAGCACTCGCCTCTTCTCCGGTACAGGTTGACAACCCCACACTTCTCCCCATATCTCTCCCCCTAGATCAAGACACTACCTTCGATGACTTTGACGATTTTGGACCACCAGCCAATACCATGGGTGCTGTAGGTGATACTGATGAGTTTGGGGATTTTGGAGACTTTGGAGAAACGGAGGAAACCGGGGAAGAGTTTACAGGCTTCGACGAGCAGGCACCCGTGGCAGGCCCGTCTACGAGAGAATGGGAACCTCTTCGACTCAATCCGCTACCTTCTAGGAAGGAGCTGGAGGAGCAGATAGAAGAGATTTTAGATCCATTATGGTCAACAGATGACCTTTCACAAGCCTTTACAGATGAAGATATCAGAGAAGTCGGGGGACTAAGCCAAATCTTGATCACACCGGAGAGGTATGGTGCGTCCTCTCCCCCCGAGGAGTCTGGCTTCTCATATCTTACAATCGGGCAGCCGTGCACTATACCAAACATTGTTTCCTTCCACACCTCCTTCTGCTCCACCACCTAACTGGACGCGCTCACGAATACGACGGCAACATCTCATAACACTCGGAATTCCTGTCAATATTGACGAGTTCCTTCCGCGCGTTAGCGGCAAGCAAATGCCTGCGCTACAAATCTCCACTCGACCGATGTCGGCACCTCCTGGTCCTCGGCATCTGCCTCTAAACAATGGCGCAGCGTCGACGAACAACTCTAGGAATAACTCCAGAGCTGTCACTCCGGTGTCGACAACGCCATCTCGAACCGGGCCCACCGTTGCATCTCAGTTGGGACTGGGTCCGAAGCCACAGCTGGACGAAAAGAAAATCACAGAGCTCTTAGAGCTCACGCCAGGTTCGTTTCCGTTTTCTATCAGCAAGATAATTCATCACTCAAAAGGAGGTCAGATGACTTGTCTTTGCTGCCTCTCCCTGCATTAGAAAGGCATTTGGCCAGCCTACAGGCCCAGACGGCAAACACTTCCGCGCTCCTCACGCATTCGTTGCAAACGCGAGAGGCGCTCCAGCAGGACTCCGAGACATATAATAAGCTAATTGGGGAACTCGTTGGCGAAGCACAGAAGATGAAGACAGGGATCGGTAAGGGGCGGACAGCGATCAGACGAGGAAGTGGGATGGTTTGAGGGTGCACTGACGTTACCCTACATTCTTCGCAGCGGCAGTGCGCTCTGTATTCCTTGGAAGTCGTGTAATCCGTCTGTGTTTGTTTAGTGCTTCAGTATAATCGAATGTGCTTTTCATGCTGGCCGTGTTCACCAAGGGTGTGACTTCATGATTCCCACGGGTGTGCACCTGAGGATTGGCGATGGAAAAAGTTGCTTGTCGCGATCGCTCAGACTGGCGGCATTGAGCGCCGTGTGCACATATCTTCTTGCTCTCCAGCTCCAGAGAGCTTAGGGCCTCGGTTCCGGCCTGTATAGTCGCCATCATTCTACAACCCTCTATTTCTGCCGAATCGCCATGAATATCGCTCACCCCGTCCCGTCCACTGTCACGAGCATATCCTTCTCGTTCTTCACCACAGAGGATGTGCGCCGCATCTCTGTCAAACAAATCACAAATCCGATTCTGCTCGACGATCTGAACCGGCCGAACGTTGGAGGTCTCTATGACCCTTCACTAGGTCCTGCGGGGAGACAGGACATGTGCGTCGCGTCTGCTTATAATATTTGTATATCCTTTGAACGCCTTGCAGTTGCGCAACATGTCAACAGACGTACTACGGCTGTCCTGGACACTTTGGACATATTGAGTTGCCATCCCCCGTTTTCCACCCGTTATTCATGCAAAATACATACAATCTCCTCCGCGCGACTTGTCTTTTCTGTCACCATTTCAAACTTAGTAGGCCAGTGGTACGTGCTATCATTCCTTTCATGCATCGCATCTTCTTATGAACACGAAATACTCTAGTTGATCAAGTACGCAGCCAAGCTTCGTTTATTGGAGCATGGTCTTCTGGAGGCTGCGAAGAGCTTAGACGATTTACAGATGAAGGTGAAAATGCGGAAGGACGAGGAGGATGACACTCCTGAGGAAACAGAGCATGAATGGGCGACAAGGATAAATCTCTATGTCCAGATCCAGTTGATGCGAGCCTCGGGGAGCAAGCGCGACAATTACAAGGATAGTCTCGTCTTCCAAGCAAGAAAAGATCTGATCACGGAGTTCTTGCGAACTGCCCTCACAAAAAAGTGCTCCAATACCGGATGCGGCGCGTACGTGGTTCTACTCATTTGTCTTTCATACCGAAATGACTTCGTGATCATAGGTTCGGATATACATTCCGCAAAGAAGGGCACACGAAAATCATAGAGCTAGACCTTACCGTCAGGCAAAAGGCCACGCACGAAGCTTTGGGACTCAGACGCGCTAACGTCATGTGGGGCCAGAAGGGTTCTTCATCTACAAGGGACACGGCGGAGGAGGAGGACTCTGATGTCGAAATGCCGGACACGGAACCTGCGGGCGACGCTACGCTCTCTGACGAAGAATCTGATGAAGAAGACACGCCCAAGGTAAAAGACGACAAACTTCCTAGAGCCGCCAACGGACGTGTCAAGACTTTACGAGGCCGGAACGAGCGCATCATGGCTCCAGAAGAGTGTCGCGCTCACCTTCGTCGTCTATTTTCTAACGAGACTGTCTTGTGCTCACTTGTTTTCGGTCGCCACGGTCCTTTGGCTCCCGTCAATGCCCAGGGCTTGTCGATTGCTTCAGCAGACATGTTCTTCATGGAAGTCATCCCTGTTGCGCCGACGCGGTTCCGACCACCAGCCGTCATGGGAGAGACGCTTTTCGAGCATCCGCAGAATGAACTGTTGTCGAAGGTGCTCAATACGTCATATCGCCTCCGGGACCTCAATACGGACCTTCGCGCTGCTTCCGTCAAATCCACTGATTTTGACGACACGGAGAGGCGCAGGATCCTAGGACAACTCTTGGAAGGGCTAGTACAATTGCAAGTTGATGTTAATAGTTTCATCGACAGTAGCAAGAATCCCGCGCCGGTGAGGCAGGGGAAGTTACCACCAGCCGGTGTGAAGCAGGGTCTAGAGAAGAAAGAGGGTCTGTTCCGAATGCATATGATGGTGCGTTTCTTCAACATCACATATAATGTGCACCTTTCATTCTTTTCACAGGGCAAACGTGTTAATTACGCAGCTCGTTCCGTCATATCTCCCGATGTTAACATCGAGCCAAATGAGATTGGCATACCCCCTGTATTCGCGCAGAAGCTCACGTTCCCCGAACCTGTCACGCCGGCAAATTTCCATGAGATGCGCCAGTTGGTTATCAACGGATCACACAAGTATCCCGGAGCGTCAATTGTGGAATACGAAGATGGCCATCAACAATTCTTGGTAACTAGTTCATCATACTGCGTCTCGTTTTGCATGGTTTGAGCACTATCACATATAGGACAAACTCACAGTAGAGCAGCGGACGGCCATTGCCAACCAGCTTCTCACCCCTCAAGATGATGTCCGCAATGCTCCCCGCCAGGGTCTCTCTACTCGAACCACTTCGGTCAACAAGAAAGTATACCGACATCTCAGAGATGGGGACATGCTCATCCTCAATCGACAACCTACATTACACAAGCCAAGCATGATGGCACATAAAGCCCGAGTCCTCAAGGGTGAAAAGACGATTCGCATGCATTACGCAAATTGGTACGAGGACTTAGCATATCGTACATTTTCTGCCCACATGCTCAATGTTCCGTGTGTGTAGTAATTCTTATAATGGTAAGCTGTTTAATTCGATCCAGTTGGGATATATCTCATGCCTTACTCCGCCCACTAGCTGACTTCGATGGAGACGGTCAGTGCCCGCCTCCTCATGACATGTTCATATGCTAAATTATCGATCGCAGAAATGAATATACATTTCCCCCGTGAGTAGCTCGCTCACAATAACGCTTTCCTAGCGCTTGACGCATGACATCAGAAAATGAGGTTGCTCGTGCGGAAGCAATGATGATTGCCAACACAGACAACCAATACCTGGTACCTACGTCCGGAAAACCATTGCGCGGTCTCATTCAAGACCACGTTGTTGCTGGAGTGTGGATGACCAGCCAGGATGCATTCTTCTCGCGAGAAGAGTACTTCCAGCTCCTTTACGGTGCTCTCCGACCGGAAGAAGAAACATCTCATTACTCTGGCCGTTTGGTGACGCTGCCACCAACAATATGGAGACCCAAACCTTTGTGGACTGGAAAACAGATTGTAAGATGATTCACCACCTGTTGTTTCTCTTCATATGGCTGATAAGTGCTTAGATTTCCACTGTACTCTTGAATATTACACCGAGTAATGCTGAAGGCCTCAACCTCACAGCAAAAGCGAAGGTTCCTGGTAGTGCATGGGGTCCCGGGTCCGGTGACGATCAAGTCATCTTCATGGATGGCGAACTACTTCGTGGCGTTCTGGATAAATCCGCATTCGGTGCAACTGATTATGGTTTAGTGCATTCAGTCTACGAACTTTATGGTGCCGATGTCGCAGGAAGGTTGTTGGGCATCCTCAGCCGTTTGTTCACTAAATTCCTCCAGCATCGTGCATTCACTTGTCGTATGGACGATTTGGCATTAACAGCCTCAGGTGACGCGAAGCGTGCAGAGCTCATTCGTCAGGGCGAGAACCTGGGCACTGAAGGCGCCATTGACAATTTCCCGTCACTCGCCAGTACTCCCGCTGTCGAACAGCCCGCGGCTCTTGCTCGTCTTCTCCAGGACGTTTTGCGCGACGATAGCAAGATGGCTGGCCTTGACATGTCCGTGAAGACCAAATTGGCAAAATTGACGAAGTCGATCGCAGACGCATGCATGCCCCACGAACTTTGGCGCAAGTTTCCGCACAACCACATGCAGGCTATGACGCTCTCTGGCGCAAAGGGAACTGCAGTCAATGCTCAGCAGATTTCGTGCGCGCTGGGACAGCAGGAGCTGGAGGGTCGTCGTGTCCCTGTCATGGTCAGCGGAAAGACGCTTCCTTCCTTCAAGCCCTTCGAGACGAAGGCCATCGCCGGTGGTTATATCGCTAGCAGGTTCTTGACCGGCGTGAAACCTCAAGAGTTTTTCTTCCATTGCATGGCTGGTCGCGAAGGTCTCATCGACACTGCTGTCAAGACTTCGCGTTCTGGGTATCTTCAGCGATCACTCATCAAACACCTTGAGGGCATCCGCGTCCATTACGATAATACGGTTCGCGGCGCTGATGACTCGGTCTACCAGTTCTATTATGGTGGAGATGCTTTGGATGTCACGAAACAGAAGCACCTGTACCAGTTTGCATTCATGGCGCAGAATGCTGTGTCATTCCTCAGCAGGTACCAGGTCAGGGATATCGCAGGCAAGGTGGACGATGAAGAGGCCGCAAGCCATATGAAGAAGGTACTCAAGAGATCGTCGAAGCGCGAGCTCAACGCGCCGTCCAAGAGGGACAAGTACGATACAGCTATGACGATGTTCAACCCAGTTCGCTTCCTTGGCAGCACTTCTGAGAAGTTTGCAGAGAAACTAGACGAGTATTTGAAGGCGAATCCGGATAAACTGCTCAAGTCGTCCGACGGAGGGGCTGTCCAGGTCAAACGCCGATATCCCTTACTGGCAGCAAAACGACTAAGGTTGTTGATGAACTTCAAGTATATGCGGAGCATCATAGAGCCTGGCGAGGCTGTTGGGCTCTTGGCTGGCCAAGGGTGCGTAGTTATTTTGCTAATTCACTCTACATGCGACAAACTAACGATGGCCATTGCCAGTGTTGGAGAGCCATCGACGCAGATGACCTTGAACACTTTCCATTTTGCAGGTCACGGAGCCGCAAACGTCACCCTTGGTATCCCTCGTCTTCGTGAAATCATTATGACGGCGTCCACCAAGCCAAAAACTCCATCCATGACCATGACTGTCTCGAAGGATACCCCGATTCCAGTAGTCGATGCCTTCTGCAAAAAAGCCAGCCGTCTCACGCTCTCTCAGGTGGTCGACAGTGTCTCTGTTACAGAGCGCCTGATCGTAAGTGGAGCCTCCAGGAGCAAACACTTCATCATCGATATCAAGTTCTTCCCTGAGGAAGAATACAGAGAAGAGTATGACGTCGAGCCTGTGGAGATCCTGCAATTCTTCGGCGTGCGATTCCCACTTTTATTGCGCCGCGAAATCCAACTGGAGATGAAAAAGCTTGACGCTGATCTGAAAAGCCAAATAGCAGAGCTCGGCAAGGGCAAGGGTTCGAGCAAACGTGGAGAGGAAGCTGAAGATGGAGACGAGGAGGAGGAAGAGCCTAAAAGAGGTGGACGGGACGATGACGAGGTCAGTGAAGTTGGGGATGGAGACGCACTTGGGGAGAAAAGAAAGAGGCAGGCCAAGCAGCAGGAGTCGTATGAGTCGGACAGTGAAGATGAGGAGAGCGAAGGAGAACTCGATGATGCAGCCATCGAAGCTGCGTATGCATCGCAAGGGGATGATACGGGTTCTGTGGAGGACGCCGACCACAAACCAAAAGCAAAGAAGGGAAAAGGTCTTTCGGCCATGGTCGGGAAAATTGAAGAATCCTTCTTGGACCGTTTCCCTCATGCAACGGCATTTAAGTTCCGTGAGACGGGATGTACCATTGAGCTGGAGGTACGTTGATATGGCTTATTGACTGATAGCTTTAGGATTCATTGCTTTCTTTTAGTTTGGGTCGGACCTGCCCAAATTACTCTTGGTAGGTATCGTCGAACGGACATGCGTAAAATCGATCGTCAGGGAGATTCCCAGTATCACAGACTGTTTCCGCGTACGCGAGCCAAACAGAGACGGCACCGTGAAGGTGAGTGCTCCGAGCTTTCTTTATTGTCTTGTCCAACACAATGTGCAGATCATGACCAATGGTTCCAACTTCCGTGGAATATGGGAATTTGCTTGTAATGATGAGCATAGTATCATCGACGAGGACGACATATACTCGAACGACGTGTATGCAATCTTGTGCACATATGGGGTCGAAATGGCGCGCGCGGCCATAGTCCGGGAGATGAGCGGCGTGTTCGATGTATACAAGATTGACGTCGACATCAGGCACATGGAACTGATTGCAGACTACATGGTCAGTCTTCTCCTTGATGCCAGAGAGCTAAATGGCTCATGCACTCTTTTGATAACTCAATTCCAGACGTTCGAGGGCGGATACAAGCCATTCAATCGCAAGGGCATAGGGATGCATTCCTCACCTTTGCTCAAAGCATCATTCGAGACAACGGCATCTTTCTTGTCTGATGCGACGCTATATGGCGACTTTGACGACTTGCGAACGCCATCCGGGAACCTCGTCGTTGGAAGGCTAAGTACGAGTGGGACAGGTGTATTCGATGTAGTCACACCGCTAGTGCAGGATGCGGGCGGCCAAAATGGAGTTGTCTCTACTCAGACATAAAGCAACAAGTCTCGGGAGAAACCTGTGGTAATTCTATAGCTTTTTGTATTGTATCTCACTGTGTTCTACCGTCATTCCATTTCTCAGGCATTCTTGGTTCTAAAATATTTGCATTCGCGGGTTGTCCTGATGTGGGTGACATTGACGCGTTACGCGACGCGACTAATTAGTTGTGACGTCGCGCGTTGTTTGTGTGTTGTTTGTCCTGTGCGCGTGAAGGGTGCGCTTCTTTCATCTCTAGATCTTGAACATCAACCACATCTACACCCCAACCTCACAATTCTATCGTCCACATATTTGCTCGTCAACCTACATTAATTAGCGGCGATACACACTACTCGCAGTGGAAAATGATTCGCGGAGCATTGCTCGAACTTCCTCTCGAGCAATTCGTCTCCTCATCGACCACGACAGACCCGAATGTGTTGTCGAGCTCCTTCACTCACAGTCCTTTCACACATCCTAAATCCAACAAGCGTCCTCACTCTCCTAGCGTACACAATCCCTTGAGCCCTGCTAAGCGACGGATCCTTGTCCAAGAGGGCATCTTATCGCCTTCCAAGCCGCGTCTGGGTTCGACGACGGCATCTGTTGCTCGACATCGATTCGCGGCTGAGTACTTCCAAAGTCTTGTTCAGAGCCCTGAAAGCCCCGCCGTGAAACTAGATTTCGGCTTCGAATCCAAAGCGGAGGAAGGCCCATCGTCGAGAGTAGCGAACCCCGTTATCACAGCACCTCAAGCGCTCCGTAATGAAGCAATTCAAGCGAAGAGAACGCGAACATCACCACGCCTCGCTCAGCGCGCATCCCAGACGAACTCGACGCCAAAGCCGCTCTCGCGGTCAGACCTCTCGCGGACGAAGTCGAGGGCCCATGTCGCCTCTCCTTCGCCCCGTGTGAAGACTGCACTGCCGACCATGGTCCCCCGTGAGATGCCGCCCGTGCCCGATCGCTACTCCGTTCACTATCCTGGGTTCGACATCTTCCAGGACACGCATGTCTTGCTCCCTGGCGCTTTTCGAGTGCCCGATGCGGAGCGATCACCCATGAAAGATCAGGAGAGGGAGAGGGATGTGGAGAAAGAGAACTTGCCCCCGCGCAGGAGGGTCCGCAAAGGCGTGCTCGCCGACGTCATCGCGGTGGAGGCGAAGAAGAAAGCTGGGGTTGCACCGATTATCGGGACCCCGCAGGGGAAGACTGTCGATGAACGAGGGGCAGGAGCAGAGTCGCCTACTCCCCGACGGTCAGCAAGGTTGTGCGCGCCCGCCAAAGGGGCAGCGTCGCTTGAGCTGAACCGGAGACGAAAACTGATGGGTAAGGCCAACCAGATAGACAGCGATGGCGATATCGTCATGCATTAATAGGCGTGCCTCTCGGTTCTCGGATTTCAGCACCAGTCAGCCCACTGTCAGTCCCCAATCTTTTTTCGATATCATACAGGTCGTTCATTTCATCTCCATGTCACCCATATTTACTATGATTCCCGTCGCACTTTATATATCCCCTTGATCTAGAGACACATGTACTCGCATGTACTTCTCATGAGCTGATTTTTTTTAAGTCTGTATTTAAGTCTAATTGCGGCGTGCCGCATGCCTAGACTGACATGGGATCGCTTGACGGAATTACACCCTATCCCATTACGCAGTACGACATACCATGGACTCTGGGCATAACACCCACTGGCTCCCTCACCATGCAAAGTGCACGCAAGCGTTCTGAATCGGTATCGGATAAGGGAGTTTGATGTCGTCAGTGGTGGGTGTTTTTTTTCGTCTCCTAATTTGTATAGAGAGAATCGACAGTAACGTATCAGCCTGTCCTCTCGAGGTTCACGTTCATGCGCAACGGCATCCGTCCGTACAAGAGTCCTGAACAACGCACCAACCAAGAGGCTGATAGCACGATCTGATGTTACGTAGTTCAACGTAGGTTCGCAGTTTTCAAAGGACTTCAGATGGCACACGTCGTTATATGTTGAGCACCGCCCTAGTCCAGTGCTTACCTCAAAAGAGAACACAGTGTGGGCAGTGCCAACGTCACATGCATGTACCTCTCCAGAAATAGAATGTCTCTGATTCTGGAAATAGGAATACACATGCTCTCGTGTACCTTAGACAGATGGGGCGATGCTGAACAGAGAGATTTCGACGAGTTTCGATAAGTGGGCCATCAATGCATCAATGCGAGCGCCCAGTGAGCGCCCTCACGACTGCGCCGCACGGAGCTTGAGCCTATCCATGCATGCAAGGCACGACCCATGACATTGTGCACGTCAACGGTGAACGGCTCGGCAGCACAGCAAGACTTGAACTCGTGGGTGGCCAAGTAAAGCTGCTCGTCCAGCACGCAGATGAATCTGGATGCGGCCGAAAGAACGCTGCATAGCCCAGCGACGGTGAGTCCTGAGAGCCTTGGTCAAGAGCGGAGGCGATCTGGTGACATGCCGACAGCATTCCAACACGGACGCTCCCAGACTGCTCCCAGGCGCCCTTCCTTTTATAATTGACTCCCACCTGCGACGTCTGCTGCGCACGCACCCCTCCGTCCGTCCCGACTAAGGCGCACCATTCCCTCCGGCGTCCATCTTTCCGCAGTGTGCCCTTTCGAACTTAAAAAGTCCTGCTGAGCGTACTCGGAAGCTTCACCCGTCCCAAGCTCGAAAAGTCAGACCACAGTCATGTCTGCAGCGAACGGCCAAGACCGCAAGGACCGCCTCCATTCTCCAACCGAGAGCACGTCCTCTCGTGGGAACGTCGTCGACCATAATGCTCCCCACGGTGTGTTTCTCTTACCCTGTCCGAGCTCCACCGAGCTTAAAGGCTGACCTTCTTCTCCTCGTCGGCGCTGCCATGTCGCTAGTGACTGAGGAAGCTGCTGCCAGGCCACATCCCACCGACAGACATGTCATTCGGGTACAGCCTCTGAAAAGGCAGGAAATGCAGGTTCGTCCCCAGGTCGTATCACTACCAATATCGTTGTATGAACGTTGCGACGCTCGCAGCCGTCTTACGCTCAAGACCTGGGCACAGGCGAAGTGACCCACGGTGTCTACGGCTCGCTGCTTCAAGTTCTGGGTTCGTGCGTCGGTTTCTGCGGCGCCATCCCTTGTTGCCCGTTCCCCAACCCCTTCCGCGAGGTCAACCAGGGTGCGTCTCTCTCATTTCATCCTTGACCGAGGCTATGAACCGCTTCGCCTGCCAGGCTCCGTCGGCCTCGTCACCCGTTTCGGAAAGTTCTACAAGTCCGTCGACCCCGGCTTGGTCCAGGTCAACGTCTGCACCGAGTCGCTCCGTATTGTGGACGTCAAGATTCAAATAAGCCCGATTGGAAGACAGACGGTCATCACCCGCGACAACGTCAACGTCGAAATGTAGGCCCTTCATTTACCCCTTCCTCTTTTTACACGTACTGACCCCTTCCCCTCGCTCAGCGACTCGGTAATCTACTTCCAAATCGTGAACCCCTACCGCTCTGCTTTTGGCATCACCGACCTGCGCCAAGCCCTCATCGAGCGCGCCCAGACGACCCTCCGGCACGTCGTCGGCGCACGGGCGGTGCAGTCCGTCGTGACCGAGCGCGAAGCGATCGCGTTCGAGATCGCCGAGATTGTAGGCGACGTCGCTGACAAGTGGGGCGTCGCGATCGAGGGCATCCTTATCAAGGACATCATCTTCTCCCCCGAGGTCTCCGCCTCGCTCTCGTCCGCGGCGCAGCAGAAGCGCATCGGCGAGTCCAAGGTCATCGCCGCGCGTGCGGAGGTCGACTCGGCGCGCCTGATGCGCCAGGCCGCGGACATCCTCGCGAGCCCCGCTGCGATGCAGATCCGGCAGCTTGAGGCGCTCCAGGCGATGGCGAAGACAGCGAACACCAAGGTCGTGTTCGTGCCGATGCAGCTGCAGAGCGACGTCGCGGGACAGCTGGCGAACAGCTCCGCGGGGGCCGGACCGAGCGCGGCCGTGCTGAGCGAGAGCGGAGATGGTCTCGGCGGGGCTGGACGTGCAGGTCTGCTCAACAGCATATCCGACATCTAAGTCCAAGCTCGATCCACCGCCCGCCTCGCCCCTTACCTCCCTCTGTCTTGATTCTGCCTTTCTCGATCTAGTACTTTATATTTTCCACGGATATCACCACGTACTTCACGATCCTCGCTGCTTCCCGCGCTGTAATTTCTCGAGCGTTCGTGTTCCCATGCCTTTTGTACTTTGTACTCGCATGTTTGTTTGACGGGTCCGTTCGCTTTCTTCGATACCGCCTCGCTACTTTCGGGGCGTGTTCGTTGGCCTGCGTCGACCCGCTTGTACTACTGTAATTCTACCCGCCGCTTGGGCTGTTGTTCTCCATATCAACATTGTATCGCGAGTTTTGCAGCTCGTTGTGCGCTTTGCGGTTCATTCGGTGGTATTTGGGCTCGAGCACCTATTTTGGAGTTTTAGGGCGATCTGTGCAAGATGGCATGCTATGTGTCTTCTATATGAAGCGCGTTAAAGTGAAAGATCCACAAGGCTCAATGGTCTAGTAGTATGATACTCGCTTCGGGTAATATACCCGCTTACTATGTAAGCAAGATGTGAGTGGTCTCGGGTTCAATTCCCGATTGAGCCCTTTTTTTGCGGGGTCAAGTTTTGCGTTGAAGACAGGCAGGTCTGTCCTGTTAACCAGATCACATTTTTGTGGTGTTTTTTTGGAGAGAGCTGTGTGAATTGGGAGCCATGTTGAGGAGGTCGAGTGGTCGAGTGGTGGGCCAGATGCGGTGGCGCAGCGGTTGTCACGCGTGGCTCCTTGACGAGCGAATGCCGACAGCCACAAGTCGCGTTCTCCTCGCTCGACGCTTTTACTTGTGCCACTGCTCGTGCGGACTCTCGCCCAGATCTTCGCTTACACCAGGCACGAGACCAACGCCACACAGGCGTACTATGCGCAAGCCGGCTGAGCAGGCGCGAGGCGAAAGAGAGGGAGAAGGAGCGCGAGCGGGGTCGGAGGCGGAGGCCGCGGGGCAAGCGTCGACGACGACGAGGGGATACTGGCTGATGAAGGCCGAGCCCGACTCGCGCATCGTAAAGGGGAAGGACGTCAAGGTCAGCTAGTCACCTGTCCCTCCATCGTCCGCCCCTGCCGCCGCGCTCACGTCTACCCGTCGCGCTCGCGCCGACTTTGCGCATGGTATCGCGCTACGTTGCGTCGCACGCGCTGCGTTGGTTCGGGGGCGCGCCGCGACGTAGTTCAGCGTGGACGACTTCGAGGCGGCGGGGACGACGCCGTGGGAGGGCGTGCGGAACTACGAGGCGCGGAACCTGATGCGCGCGATGCGCGTCGGGGACCAGGTGCGTGTTGCCCGCGCGCGCGCGACATGCGCTCACGCGCGCCGACTGTGCTATGTACAACTGGACGCTACAGATCCTGTTCTACCACTCGAACTGCAAGGCGCCCGGTGAGTCCTCGCTCGTTCTCGCGGGGCGGAGCGACCGACCGACGTGAACGCGTGCGCGCGGCGACGCCGTTGTGCAGGCATCGCAGGGTTCGCCGAGGTGCGTCGCGTCGCGTCGCGTCGCGCTCTGATATGCTTGCTCGGCGCATGTTCACGTTTCGCGTGTGCAGGTCGCGCGGGAGGCGTATCCCGATCGTGAGTCGACCGTCGCACGCTGGGGGTGGTCTTCTGGATGCTGACGCGCGGCCGCCGCACAGACTCTGCGTGGGACCCGTACGTGCTCTCGCCTGTTCGTGTCTGCGGGGGATCGCGCCGAGAGCTGATGATGCCGGCGCCGTGACGTGCGCGCGCGCGCGCACAGCGAGCACCCGTACTTCGACCCGGTACGTCCCCGCACCGCCGCATCTCGTTTCGCGCGACCCGTTCGCGAGGCGCGCCGCTCACGCGCGCACGCAGAAAACGGAGCAGGCGAGCCCCAAGTGGTTCATGATCGACGCGCGGTTCGTCGCGCGGGCGCGGCACTTTGTGCCGCTCGCGCTGCTGCGGCGGATCGCGGCGGGAGACGCGGCGGGGTTGGCGGGCGGTGGGGCAGCGTACGCGTATATCGGGGCGGCGGGGGTGGCGGCGGTGAAAGGTGCGTCCACGGTGGCTAGCGCGAGAGGAGGCTGATTGGGGCTGGGGGTTAGGGATGGCGCTGGTGACGCGGGGACGGCTGAGCGTGCAGAGGGTGGAGGAGCGGGAGTGGGACGTTGTGAGGGCGTTGGCGGAGAGAGGGGGATGGGAGGAGGAGGGGGCGGAGGGGGCCAAGGGCAAGGGGAGAGGACAGGGGAAGGGCAAGCGAGGCGGCGACGACGACGACGACGACACAGGGGAGGCAAGAGAGCCGGTGCGGCGGGGGACGCGGAAGCGCAAGTCGGGGAGCGGGGTGGACGTTGCCGGGCGACGAACACGTGCCAAGAAGACGTGAGCGTATTTATATATTTGGAGGAGCTGTACATAGTAGCCAGTGTGGGCGAGGGGCAAGATTGTGAGCGAGATCGCGAGATATGCAGCGAAGGCCGGGCGATGGGACGCAGCTGGGGATCTTGATTCTCGCCACGAACGGCTGATGTCCTCGATCGGGGGCGATCTTCCGAGTGTTCTGCCTAGCGGGGGCTAGCGGGGGCTAGCGGGGGTATCGCACCGCGCAGAAATAGCGATTTTATGGACCGTGTGCGGGTCGGGTGGCGGGAGGGGCGTGACCCAAAGGAGCAAGAGGGGGCGGCCACGCGTTGCGGCACGTTGCGACGGTGCGACGACGAGCACGGTCCTTGCCTTGCCCTCGTCCCTCTCTGCCCCCAGCCTCCCGCCTAGCCCCATCGCTTCCGATCCCCGTCACACCCCTCCCCTCCCCGGGCCACAGATGTCGGCGGCGGCACACCCTGCCCTTGCCACATCCGCTGACACACCACACCCACAGCCCCTCCTCCAGCCCACCGCGAACCCGTCCCCGTCCCCGTCCCCGTCCCGACCCCCCACGTCCCCGCCCGGCCCCGTCCCCGACACGTCCCCATCATCCCCGTCGTCCCTGCCATCCCCCTCCACCCCGCTCCTCCTCACCGACGCCCCGGAGCCACCCCTCGACGACGACAACGACGACGCCGCCCTCGTCCTCGCCCACGATCCTCCTCCCCACCTCGTCCTCCCCCAACACACCCTGGGTTCCTCCTCCCGCGCCGACCCCCCACACCACGATCCCCAGCTCCAGCCCCAGCAGGCCCACGACAACAACAACAGCTCCCCCGACAGCCACGACTCCGCCGATGCGCAGCTCGCGCAGGACCCCGCCGCTGCCGAGGATGCCCAGCAGTGGTTCCATGACGAGGGTCGCGACTTGAAACGCGTCAAGGTCCGTCACCGCTCCTGCTCTTTTTTTCAATTTTTTTTTTTTTGCCGCGCATCATTGCTGCGCGCGTGTGCGGTCCGTTCGCTGACGCGCCTTCGCCTTTTCTCCTTCTTTTGGCACACCGTCGCGTGCAATCTCGACGACGGCCTCGCCTCGCCACTTCTTCGCCGCCACGTGGATGCGAATGTCCACCCTCGCCCCTACGCCGTCAGGTCTACGAGCTCATCAACTCGCGCTGGATCGACCAGGGCACCGCTTTTTGCTTCGGCCACTACGACGACTCCACCCAGGAGGCCCTCCTCATCGCCCGCGCAGAGTCCAGCTACAGCGAGGTCATCCTTCAAACTAGCATTCGCTCCAGCGACGTCTATCAGCGGCAGCAGGGTGCGTCGCGTTTCCCGCTTGTCCTTTTCTTCCTGCCATCCTCCTCCCAACACTGACACCTGCCGCAGACACGCTCATCGTCTGGACCGAGCCCGACGGCGTCGACTACGCGCTCAGCTTCCAGGACCCCGAGGGCTGCGCCGAGGTATGGCAGTTCATCCTCGAAGTACAGCGCATCCACCAGACCGGATCTGGTGCGTCTCCTCCCTTCTCTTTCCTCCTGTCCTCGTGTCTGCTCGTCCGCCCCTCACACTCGTCCTCGTCTGTTCACACCCCCAGGCCCCGCCTCCCTCTTCGGCGGCCCGAGCAGCAGCAGTCCCGGTGGCCCCAGCGGTGGGCCAGGCAGCGGCGGCGCAGGACCTGACCCATCCCTGGCGCCGGCGAACATCATCAAAAACGGTCTCCCGCAGCCCGCGCTCGGTATAATTGGCGATATAGAGAAGGCGATCAAGATGATGTCGCGTGTCGCGACGGGGAAGGACAAGGTCTGCGAGTACATACATCGATCGGTGAGTCTGGCTCTTGATGTTTGCCCCCCCCCTTGGCGCATATATTCAGCCGTTTGGCCTTTACATCTTGGTTTGGACTACTGAACTCTTGGGCTGATGGACGCGCCGGCTAGAAATACCTCAAGGGGATGATCGACGTTCTCGCGCAGGCGGAGGACCTCGAGTGCCTCGACGACTTGCACGCGCTGTGTACTCTGATGCAGACGATCCGTGAGTGTCCCTGTAGGCGCGCCCTTTATCTCGTAAAGCTGACTGATCATGGCAGTCTTGATGAACGACCATACTTTGTATGAGCATATACTGGACGACGAGTACTTTATCGGTGTTGTAGGCATGCTCGAATGTGTGTCCCCGCCGTCCAATCGCATCATCCTCGGAGATTCCTGACATCTCGCGATAGACGACCCCGAGTTCCCGACGCACAAGGCGAACTACCGCGACTTTTTGCGCACGTCCGCCAACTTCCACGAGCCGATCGCGCTGCACGACGCGAGCGTGCAGAAGAAGGTGCACCACACGTACCGGCTGCAGTTCCTCAAGGACGTCGTCCTCGCGCGCATCCTCGACGACTCGACGTTCAACGTGCTCAACTCGTGCATCATCTTCAACCAGATCGACATCATCAACCACGTGCAGAACGACGTGCGCTTCCTCGGCGAGATCGTCGACCTCTTCGTCAACGCGGACGGGAGCGCGCGCGCCGAGGACGACGACAACGGGCTGGGGACTTTGTCGGTCGTCAAGGAGAAGGACTCGATGGACGTCGACGCGCCCGGGCCTGCAGACCCCGCCGCGTCTCCGCACGCGCGCACCCCCTCGCCCGGGCCGCACCCCGCCCCGCCGCCGCCACTCGTACAGCGCCGGCGCGCGGTGCTCCTGCTGCTGCAGCAGCTGTGCATCATGGGCAAGAACGTGCAGCTGCCGACGCGCATGGCGCTCTTCAAGCTGCTCGTCGACCGCGGCGTCGTGCACGCGACGCAGTGGGCGCTCGCGCGCCCCGAGGGCGAGCCGGAGGGGCGGCGGATGATCGCGGTCGGCGGGGAGGTGCTCACGACGCTGCTGGACCACGACGTGAACGGCGTGCGGGAGCACGTGTTGCGGCAGTTCGAGGGCGTCGAGGGCGCGGGTGCGGGCCCGAGCAGTGGGGTGGGTGCGGGCGCGGGCGCGGGCGGCGGAGATAAGAAGAGAGAGAGGGAGCAGACGCTGCTGTCGTTGTTGTGCTTGATGCTGGTGAGCAGCCGCGAGTTGGCGGTGCAGACGCTCGTTGGGGATGCGCTGCGGATGATGCTCGAGATGCCGCTGCCGGACGGCGCGGATCCTATGGTGCGTGTCTCCTTTTCCCGACTCCATGGGCAGACGCTGCCTATATGCGCCGTGCCTGGGCTGATTCTCACTTTTATTTTTCCCCGTGCAGCAGATTCCGACGAAGATGTTCTCGCGTCCAAAGGACGACCCCAAGACGGAACGTTTTCTCGACTGTTTCTACAAGCTCTGCATTCACCCGCTGCTCAAGCCTGTCTTCGACGTCCCAGACCGCAAGCTATTCACAGGTGAGCCTCTCCGTCGCCGTCGCCGTCCCTTATCTTCCCTTCCATGTCTACGCGACGCTTACCCGGCTGGTGCGCAGAGCCGACGCTGCGCTTGACGCGGGAGAGGACGAATTTGTTCCTGTCCTTGTGCGACCTGCTCTCCATCTTCGCGCTGCAGCACACGTTCCGGAGCCACTTCTTCATGCTCACGTCGAATATATCTACGCACGTCGCCACGCTGCTCTGTAGCAGGGATAAGCATCTGCGCCTCGGTAAGTCTACGCTACCCTGAGCCCCCTTCGAGGGCCGGAGGACCGATGCTGACTAACGTTTGGGCGCCTATTATAGCCGCGCTGCGCTATTTCCGAATACACCTCCGTCGGAACAACAAGAACTTCATGGCGCACCTCCTGAAGCAGGACGTGTTCAAGGCGATCCTCGAGCTTGCCCTGCAAGAGTCCGACCGGGACACGCTCGTCAACTCGTCGTGCCAGGAGTTCTTCGACCACATGCGCAAGGTCGGTGTCCTTCTGTTTGTTAGTGCGTGGTGACCCCCAACGCTGAATCAGGACGGCGCGCAGGAGAACATGAAGGAGGCGATCGACGACATCATGACCCGGCAGGAGGCGCTCGTGCGGCAGCTCGCCCAGTCCAGGTTCGCGAAGACGTGCTTCGAGCACTTCATCCTGCGCTGGGAGATGAACACCGCGCCCGAGCCCCCAAAAGAGGAAAAGCTGCCCGCACCCCAGTTAGTCTTCTCTCGCGCTCTCCCTCCCGCGCTCACGCTCACACTGATGCACACACGCGCGCGCGCAGCCTCAGCCAGCCGTTCGAGCTCCGCCGCCAGGAGGCCGAGGAGGAGTCGTACTTCAACACGGACGACGACAACGACGACGACGACGGCTCGCCGCCGCTCCTCAGCACGCCGCTGCTCACGCGCCACCAGTTCGCGGGCCAGAAGCGCAAGCGCCAGCGCGTGCCCGGCCTGCCGATGCGCCCGCTCCGCCCGCCAAGCATCCACCTCCCGCGCGCCCCGCTCATCGGCAGCCTCGTCGACTACGACGAGGACGAGGACGACCGCGAGCTCGCGGTCGACCTCAACCTCGACCTCGACCGCCGCCTCGCGCCGCTCGGACCACACGACGGCGACGCGGAGGCGGACACGGGCGCGGGCGCCGTGCACCCCCCCGTCGCGCCGGTCCCGACCCCCGACGCGCCCCCGACGCCGCGCCTCTCACATCGACTGATCGCGTCCGCCAAGCGCGGGCGCACGCCCGACGCCGACGATGCCGGCGGCGGCGGTAATGACGGCGAGCAGCCAGACACGGGAGGCGGCGGGGGGTTCATACCGCTCTCGCCGCGCCCCGAGAAGCGACGGCGGGGGGACGACGATGGCGACGACATGGGGCTCGAGCGGCTCCTGTCCAAGGTGAAGCGGCCCTCCCTCACGCCCGTCGCGCCGGCGAAAGAGGGCGCGGCGCCCACGGCCGCCACCCCGCCCCCAGCGGGCGCGGGGCGCATCGGCGTGACCGGCGGCGTGAAGCCCGGGGCGGAGGACGGCGGGCCCAAGAAGATCAAGCTCAAGTTTGGCGTGGCGGGGCTGGCGGTGGCGTCGTCCGCCCCGTCGGCTGCCGCCGCCGCCGCGGCGCGTTCAGAACCAGGCGTGAAGGACGGGGACACTGGCTGACGGACACGCGCCCCGATCTGTTGTTGTGCTCGCTGTTCGCTGTTCGCTGTGTGCTTGCTTGTTGCGGTGGTGGCATCATTGTATCGCTCGCTGTGTCTGGTCCTGTGTCTGTCGTTTTTTTTTTTTCTACTTACTTACGCCGCTGTGGCATGGGTGCTCCTCCGCGAATACTCGGCATGCTGTTTTCATATGTCCTCTCGATCCGCGTGTAAATGGAATTTTCCTGCTTGCTCGAGCGCTCGGCTCTTCCTGCCAGAACCACAACGATGGGCTTCGACGGTGAAAGTGCTTGGCCGCAAAATATAGTGGCGCTGGTACAGTACCAGTGCATGTCGATCGATGTCGTACGCCGTCTAGATCTCAAATTCAACGCCCCGACTCAGCCAGATTCATAACGAAAGGCCCAAGCTTTGGGAAAGAGGACCGTGATCGGGCCAGAACGCACGCAAGACAAAACGGCAAGCAAGCACAGTGTTCAATCAACGGAGTAATTATACATGTAACCCTGCGCGGAAGAGCCATCGAGGAAGTGTACTCGGGGCGAAAAAAGGGCTGCGGTGCGCTTCGATGTGCCTATTAGGCCTAGCAAAGTGAGAAAGGTGGGGAAGGGGTGGTCGGGGGTAGCTTGGAGGTACGGACGGAGATAAATAGGAGGGTAGCAGTTACTACTAGCAGGAGGACATCAGCATTTGAGCGTGCAAGCGTGCATACGTGCGTGCGAGGTATGCGAACAAGCAAAAAAAACAAAAGAAGACAAGGGACCAAAGAGTAACTGGACTGAGGGTTGACTCGACCGCAGGCGAAATGAGAAGTCTGCGGAAGTATATGTGCGTATGGAGTCATGATGAGGAATAATAAAGCATCGTTGATTCAGAATGGCAGATAGAACAGGGTTATTGCGAGCAGACACAGGGGACAGGGTGGGTGGACAAAATATAGGCACGTACGGATGTGAGCGTAAGGTATAGAGAAGAAAACGTGAGCGAGACGGGGACGAAGGACTGAAGATGGAAAACGGGGTGGTGCAAGCCAAAAATAAAAATCACCGAGAACTTTGACTGGACACAGGGGAGAGGGAGGGACAAAGGTAAGAGCTGGTAGAATTACGACAGGTGTGGCTCCAAGTATAGTGTCAGAAACAGCCAGAAAGACAGAGAAAAGAAGACGGAAGGGGAACATAAACGTTACGATGAGGGATGGGTGTGTATGGATACGGTTGGTTTAGCAGACGTATATGACAATGTGAATTATCAAGTGGATTTGTGCACAAAGGCTGAGATAGATAGATAAGACGAAGCGCGCGGAAAGATAGAGAGAAAAGAATACTGAGACTGTGTCACGAGCCAAATTGTCCGCCAGGGGAAGAAGAGAGGAGCTGTGAACGAGAAGCAAAGGGGTTTCAGAAAGCGTGAAGATATGCGAGCGAGATCGAGGTGAGATGTATGGTGTTCATATGTCGTCGATGTAGGAGGGAGGCTGATACATGGGGTGGGTTATATATAATTGGTGTGTACGCCGAGCCGCCCACCTCTAGTGACCATCAAGAGACGGTGAGTGCGTGGGAGGGTGCTCGGTGATGTCGGAGAAAGTGCTCATGAGGTGATTGCCGTTGCTGCTATTGATGAAGTTCATGCTCTCGGGTATCGGGTTGTTGTGAATGCTGCTACCAATAGGAGAGGGAGAAATGCCGAAAGGAGAGAACGTGGGCGTCGGTGAGTTTGTCGTCGTCATGTTGGACGGCGGTGGATATCCGAAGCCCTGGCCACTGGCCGCACGAGGATATGCGGGAGGCGGGGAAACAAAACGCGGCGGTGGCGGAGACACACTGAAGTGGTAAGCAGAAGAAGATGAGGACGATGAAGGCGATGTGATGCCAGACGTGTCAACGCGAGGGTGGATCCCAGTGTCTAGCTCAGTCAACTTCGGCTGGAAAGCCTCCGCTAGAATGGTTGCTCCGCCTGACGCAGGCAACCCATTCTGCTGAGACGTCGACGAGCCTGTCGCATTGGTCGGAGTGCGAACACCAAGCGGGTTCTTGCTGTAGGAAAGACGGATCCCACCACCCTTCACCAGGCCGCCTAGGGTCGCGCCATACAGATCGTTGAGAGCCTTCGTAGCATAGTTGACGTCGGCAAACTAAACCAAGGAAAGCATCAGCTTTGCGATCACTGATACCAAGATGCAGGAGATGCTTACCTCAACAAAGCACATAGGCCCATTACTCTTCTGCCTGAAACATAGCTTGCGGAAGCCAGGTCGACGATGAAACAGGTCGCGAAGGCTGTCCTCAAGATATGTGGGTGCAAACCCAGGAGGAGGCGGCGAGCTAGGGAGATTACCCACATAGAGGGTATTGATCTGGGAGACTTGAATTAGCTTTCTTGCTCTCTTACTCGATATCCCAAGATCAGACTTACGGGTGGGTTCTGATCGACGGCGGCACTCTTGCTACCCGAGCTCGCACCGGAGGCGGGGCTAGGTAATTGCGGGGAAGAAGAGCCAGTTTCGTGGGTAAGCGGTGGTTCGGAGGTGTTGACCGCGAGGATATTCATGGCACGTGATGTATCTTCATCGACGCTGTCCTGCGAACCCTCCACGCTGGACGAACTGGATGATGAAGTGTCATGCCCCGTAGCGGCAGGGGTATATGGCGGCGGGCGAGAAGGAAGAGAAGGATGGACGTGGCGAAGGTGCGGCGGCTTTGCCGGAGTGATTGGAGGTGGTGGTCCAACATGAGCCAGATACACCGTGCCATCCGACGATCTCCACAGGCGGGGTGTCGAACCATATGGATCATTTGGCTGGCTGGGAGAAACAGGACGAGGAGGCAAGCCAACATATAGAGGCAGTTTGCTCAAAGAGCTAGGAAAATTGTTTCCCCTGCTTTCAACACCCCAAGGACCATTGGCTGCTGCCACGCGAGATCCATTACCGTCGCCTCTAATGGTACTTGCGCTCTCACCGGCAGTCGCGGCCAGCAGAGAGTTCCCGACAGACTGCTGAGAGGAAGACACGGAATGAAATGCTGCGAAAGCATGGGCGTTGCTCGAACGCAATTGCGCGCTACGTTCCCTCTCTGCATCAGCCTTATCCTTCCACTTCCGATCCTCCTCCTCTGCCGCACGCTCTCTCGCGCCTCGGGTTGTCCCAAATCCAACAAGAGCTCCGTTGCGCGTATCTGCATCTTCTTCCCTAGGGTCCAGGCGACTCTCACGCCGACCAGTAAAACCCATCGCGCCCAAAGTGCCTAGCTCGCGCTCCCGAGCAGTCATGGTTTCCACGCCAGCTCCCAAGGTCTGAGGCGAGGTCAATCCATGCAAGTTCATACCAGGCATACCGGTAAGCGCATCTGGGGCCACAGTTCCGCCGGACCCTATCATAGACGATAGCTGGAGAGGAAGCGGGCCGATCCCACGCTTCGTGTGCAGGTTCTTCTTTGCCATCTCCGCCTTGAGTACCGCACCTTTTTCGATATCTATGCGACGTCCTTGAAGCATATCACGCGCCTCAATGGCTTCAGCGCGCGTGCGGAACTTGGCAAACCCAATGATCTGCTTTCGGGTCGAAATACTCGCGTTGGCGGCGTTGGAACCGGAGGCAGGCCCATTCGGGACAAGATGGGCATAGTGTTGATCGTCAGACGGCGGCCATGACGATGTGGTGCCGTCACGACCACCATCCACGACGATACCTCCTTGATTAATGGTTACGACATTGTAGGGATCGTTCGGGCCACCGTGCGTGTGCGGATAACCTGAACCAGGACGGCCAGCGTTGCCTCCCTGGCCCGGGCCATATGCCGTGAGCTCCTTGTTGGGTATTTTGAGCGTCGCGGCTTCAAAGCCGGGTGAGAATGTGAACATGTTCTGAAATTCGCGCTCCTGACCAAAGCAGAACGAGGCAAGACGCCGTTAGCCTTTTTGAGACAGATTTTCCCAGGGTGCTGACACGTACCTGCATGTCCTCCGGGAAGCCCACGACAAAGATTGTTGAGATCTCTTCTTGTGATGGCGCCTGTGTGCTCCCGTTCGTATGACTCGTTCCGCCCTGTGTCGTGATAGGCGCTGACGTGCTAGACGGCAGATGGGGCCCAAAGGCGGTCTGCGACTGCATCAGCTGCTGTTGATGGATCCCGTTCATATACTGAGCTTGACTCGTCGGGTGGAAGTTGCTCTGCGGCGGCTGCGTTTGGAGCGATTGCGCTTGTAGCTGCTGCGAACCCGGACCAGACAAATGCCCGGTTGATTTGTGAGAAGGTAACAATGACGGACCCGTGCTGCCTGTGAACATATCATTCGCATATGCAGGCTTGTTGTTGGAAACGAAGCCCGACGACGATGAATGCGGGCTGGGCCCAAAGTCGAAAGTGCTTCGAGGTTGAAGCATAGGATCAAAGGTGTTCGGGCCCATCGACTGAGAGGGCTGAGGCGGGGATAAGGATTGTAGGGAGGGTTGCGCTGTAGCGTAGACGTCTACAGGGTAGTGATGGGTGTAATTTGAGGTGTCGCGGAAGGTGTGTTGGCCGAGAGCGGGAGCAGAGGGTTGTCTGGTGCGATTATTGGAGAAAGCACTGAATGCAGTGGAGGTTCTGTAGGGCCCAGATGAGGCGTAATCGGATAACTTTCCTTGTTTCTGAGGGTCGAAGTCTGATGATGAGACAAAATCGGAAGGTTGCATGTTATGATACATGGATGGCGAGCTGTACGAGTCGGGAACGAAGGAAGAGGGAGATTCGGGACGAGGCTGAGAAGACTGGGAGGTGATGTGATATGGGACAGAGCCGATAGAGGAAGACGAGTGGGTACCGAAGGACGTCGGACCCGGAGCTTCAGAGTCGGACGAAGAGAGAGGCTCTGCGTCTGCCTGCGCGTCGAGGCTGTCAAGTAAAGAGCGGTTTATGAAGTCTTCGTCCTGTGAACGGCGAGGGGGAGGGCCGTGGAGGAAGGAACGAGAGGAGACGAGGGAAGAAGCCAGGATGGGCAATATATAACGAAAGGGGCGGAGTCGTCTGTTGCAATGGGGACTGGATACGACGGAGAGCAGTGGGGGATGCTTGCGGGAGAACGACGCGTTGAGAACGGGGATGGAGCGTCGAGGACGGGGGGGATGGCGTGGACGGCGTGGCTGTTACTTTGAAGGGACGATCGGGGAGGGAACGTCCAACAAGGCGCGGCGCGCCAGTCCGTCCCACGCCTGTTCCCACGCACAGACCATTAAACAAACCCAGCTCACAAACCTTAACCTTCACAGCTTGCGCACGTGCGCATTGTTCCCACGCTCGGGTCCTCCTTGTCATTGTCCTCCCCAGCGAGCGCTGGATTGCACGTATGCCGGCGGCAAGCGGACCATTCAAATGTGCACTCACCGAGAAAACAGTGGGCGCGCGACGTGCGCTCCGACGTTCATTGTGGTGTGCCACCCAATAGCCCGTACCAGAGCGCAGCGACGGTGCACGCCCCACTGTCCCGATCCAGTGCAGGCTTCCTCGACTCACCTTGAGCACGCATGCAAGGCGACGACCGGACGCGAGAGTGAACGAACAGAACAAGCTGTAGCAAGCGAGTCAGTGAAAAGAATGAAGAGGCTGACAGACGTGTCCCAGCGTCGCAGTGGTCCACGCGAGCGCTCCCCATCCTTCACAGTGATATCCAAAGGGTGCTGGAAAAGGTGTTGCCGGCCGGCCTGCAGATCTCTCCGCGTCACGTCGCCTCTGGAGTCCGAACCATCCATCACTTCGTGACGCCTCCTTCCCCTTGAATGCCGTGACCTACGCACCTCGAGCTCGCCGCGCACATGCCTGTCTACAGTGAAGCTGACGCACTCACCGCCTGATGCCTGATGTAATGTCGACAATGAAGCGCGCTCTATCCACGGTCACAGGCTCCTAAGCAGCCACCGTCGTACGCCTGTCCGCCTCTCGAGATTGGATAGAACGGGACACGGCGCTTTGTCGTTCGGACCGATGGGCCAATGTCGGCGTGGACACGGACGCGAATAGTCAGTTCAGCTCATCTAAAGGAGGACCAAAATTATCGACGGAACGGAGTATCGTGATCGTCTGTTGAGAGCTGCGGAATCAAGGTGAGGCGACGGGATTCGGAAAATGGAAAACAAGGTGGGCCATACGAAGGGCCTTAAAGAGAACAACAGGATGTGTACGCAGCCAAACAGTTATATAGGACTATTATAGTCCAAGCACACAACGACCCGACAGGTACGTCAAATACTCTCCCTACAATCACCAGTTCCTTGTCTTCGCTTCCTTTCCATCGTACTTCGAATCCCAACCATCCACGTTCCGCGCCTCAACATAACACTGCACATCCTATCGGCCCATCGATAAGTTGATGCCACCCGCCGACCGCCATCACATGTACACCCCAACCCCTCTCCCTTCCGGAATATTCGACACAGTAATATGGCTCGCGCGAAAGGAGCCGCTTCGCGTGCGTATGTATGTACATACGACGGAATGGAGGTCATGATCTCCCTTGATATCACCGCCTTCTTAATCTTGCGTATCTGATTGGTCTGTCCTTCTAAGGTAGCCGAGGCGCGTTTACAAGTGATCTCTCGTGTCATAGACTTGTCATGCACGTCTTTGGACCCTTGCATGGGAACGAACAGCTGTTGGGATAGCCATACAGGCGCTCAACATTCTTCTGGGCTATGTCTTCTGTGTAGAGTCCAGCGCTCTCCTATATTCCTATGCGCGGTTCGGGTTCTCTTTTTCTATTCAGGAATTTTGGAACATCATCTCGCACACATACGGACTCCTCTGTGTCTTGCCTACGCGCACCACGCTGCAAATACCCTAGCTGCCTGAGAGAAGCCTCTCAGCTGCTCACCTCGCGATCGAATGATACACAAGACAAGGTTGCCATTGAGTTGCCTGTCCTGAATAGTTAACTCAGTTCGGGGGTGACGATCTATGGCGATGGGTTATCTCGCCCTTCGCTCAATCCCGGATGGCCAGCCATCAGTTTCTTTGCGCTTTGTGGCCCCCGACGTACGATCTGCGCCTCCCTGTGTACGTAGTGCGTACGTCCCCGTTCGGTTGTCCATGAGCCAGGGCCTTCGCAGACCAGCGGCCTGGCTCTCATCGCAATCCTGTCGATCAGCGTGGGTACTGTGCGTAGCTGTTACGTACCGAGACGGGCAGAGAGGTCAGGGGACCGTTTATCAATAATGGCATCTGTACTATTGAGTTTCCTGCTTTCTAGATGAGTACCCTTAGGTCATAATTGAGTTTGCGTGTAGTTGTTCTGTTTGGACTTGGACGTCTCAGACGCTCGCTGGTGACAACAAGGAACGCAGAATCGGAACAAGGACCCTTTGCGATGCTCTTGAGTGACATGATAGAACCATCAACCCTGTACTCATACCAATTCACAAAAGCTAATACAGTTCTCAATGTGGGGTCCGCATTGTCGCGAACATGACATGATTTAGACATAATCAACATCGTATTTCCGCTGGAATTGTGAGCTCAAGTGAAATGTGTCAATATTCATTCTCATCCATCACACAAGTTCAGCGAATTTAAGAAATTGCTTCTTTTTTGGATTCCGTCATGATACAATCTCCGCGCAGCGAAGCGCGAAGAGGAGGGTAAGCTTCTACAAATCGTCGTTACAAAGTCCAATATCCACGCCAAGACCAACACCACCGCTCAAGCTCACACCGGATCCCCCGCGGAAAGCAGCGCGCTTAGAGGGGAGGAGTGTCGAGGAAGGAGAGGTTGTTGAATTCTCCTGGGTACCGCTCGCCCGGTGCGGTCTTGTGGATCTCCTCGGCGAGCGTGCGCAAGTGCGCGATCTCTTCAGCGGTGAGGGTGACCTTGGCAGCGCCCAAGTTGTCCTCGAGGTACTATTGAAAGAAGACAACAAAATCAGAACGCGTTCCATGGAAGTGTAGGAATAAGGAAAGCTGTACCTTGACCTTCTTGGTACCGGGGATGACGAAGACCTTGGGGCCCTGAGCAAGCAACCACGCAAGCACAACCTGGCCGGAGGTGGCACCGTGCTTGGCACCGATGGCTGCGAATTCGTCCGCAAGCTTGACGATCTTGGGGAAGTTGTCCGCATTGAAACGGGGGATGTACTTGGCGTAGTGGCCGTCGGGAACCGACTCTGCTGTGCGCTGTATAAGGTTTTCAAAAGAAAGCCGCAATTCGTCAATGAGATGGCTGTTCACAGTGAGCTAGGAGCACGGAAATACTCACGAAAGAGCCGGTGAGGAGACCACGACCGAGAGGAGAGTAGGCGACGATTGCGATGCCAAGCTCCTGTGCGGTCTTGAAGAGGTTGAGCTTCTCGAACTCGATGTCGAGGGATAATGGCGAGTATTCGACCTGCAGAGCGGCAATGGGGTGGACAGCGTGTGCGCGACGAAGTGCTGAGGCGGAGATCTCAGAGACACCAATGGCCTTGACCTTTCCCTCTCTGGATGGCAGGTGCACGTGAGCCCCGGCGGCACAGAACATGAGCATATAGGCAACTTACTTGACTAGCTCGGCAATAGCGCCGATCGTCTTCTCAATGGGGACGGTGGGATCAGCACTGTACGCAAAAGTAGTTGTTTAAGAACTTGGGCTCTAATACATCGAATCGAATATGATTTACCGGTGGAGGTAGTAAAGGTCGACGTAGTCGGTCTGGAGCTTCTTCAGCGAGTTCTCAAAAGCGACCCTGACGTATTCGGGAGAGCCGTTGGGGAAGCGGGTGGGGTCGGCGAGACCGAACTTGGTGGCGAGGTAGATGTCCTTGCGCTTGCCGGTCTTGGCGAACCATTTGCCAATCAGCTCCTCGTTGTCCTGGTAGGCGTCAGAGGTGTCCCAGAATTTGCAGCCACGCTCGTAAACGGCATCAAGGAGCTAAAAAGCACCAGTATTATCAGACCAAGATCTTGTCGAAAGGCAAATCTAAACAGCGTACCGTCAAGCGCTCTTCGATTGAACCAGTGTCTCCGTAACCGACAGAGAGACCCATCGCGCCGAAGCCGATGGAGTTGACCTGGGTACCACCAAGTTCACGAGTAGGGAGAGACATTGTATTGTAGAAGTGGTGAGGAGGATGAGTGTGTGTGTTTCGGTTGAATGCACAGGGGCGACTGGCGAGTCTCAGATTTGAGGCAGGCCTTATATACGATCTGGCGAAGCAGGATCCGTAACTTGGGACCGGAAGGGTAACACGATGATGAGGTAGATAAAAACCGATATGGGAGAGCTGACGCGTACACATGACGCTAAAGCGGACAAAAGTAGTGGTGATGGAATGAATCTCATCAGAGTGTCGGAGGGGTGGGTTTTATTGCGATGCCATCGATGGAAAATGCTGCCTAAGACAAGACAGAAGTGTGTGCAGCTGCGTCCACACTGACGCTAGAGGAGGAGTAATCACTCGGAGGAAGGAAGCATACTAGAGCGTGCAAACATAATCCTCCGCCAGGAAAGGAGGTAAGGATGCTGCACTGACGGATATCAATGGCATCATAAATCTCAGGCCCATTGCACTGCCCCACACGTCCGTGACATAATTCTTGCTCTGTCAAGGTGAGCGCAGATAATCAAAAGGGGTTGCTACCTCTCCATAGGGTCCAGATGCTGCACAAAAAGAATACAAACTCTCAGAAAATCTGCAGGCCAATCTAGCCCAATCTGAGCAAACAGTTTCTTGGAGTGATCGAAACGAGATTCAAGTTGAACGTTGAATGCCCCTGGCTTGTTGCAGCCTGTTGCAGCTTGTAAGTAGCTCCAAAATTACCCCGATGTCTGCATGTCCGAGTCCGGGTCGGGTCGTAGGCTTTTCTAAGCACAGTAACACGTCGATGCATCAATGCGCTCCTGTGCTATATATCATCACACAACATGCGTGGTGCCGGCAACGTCGCCACCCTACTTACCTGCGCAGAAGAAACATGATGTCGAACTAGTGTCAAGGGAAACATCCCAGACGGGTGAATCATGGAACTAGCGAATGATCGGGGAGCTTTCCGCCGAGATCAACGGAAGTGTAGCTGCAGGACCCCAACACTCTATGCCCCAACTGCGTTCGACAGAGGATACGCCAGGATACGCGATGAGACACCATTTTCCAGCAAGTTCTATGCACGGCCGGAACATTCCCAGAAGACTGCACAGAAGGCTTCGAGTCCAACGTGTTTGCTTATAGAGAACAGGTGACCTTCCATGATACAACCTCCCTCCTATATTCCCACTCCATCCACCACCGTAAATGAAACTCATGACATGTACGCACGAAGTGAGTTTCGGCCATCGATTATTGTAGATTCCTAACCAAGTCGACCTCATCGTGGGCAGAAAGGAGGCACCGCGTCATAAGACCGCAAAGAGAATGGAAGTCTAGCGATGGCTATTGGATGTCTTCGCGTGGCCTTAACTATCGCCCTCCGTAAAGCGCAGAGCAAAGTTGACAATGACGGAGACTACAGATATGTCGGTGCGTTTAATGTGCATTGAAAGCTGATTCTCTCAGAGAACGACGTACTTAACAAGGCCAAACAGAGCAAGGTCTAGATCACAGACGTCAGCTTTCTATACAGGAGTCCGAGGATAATGAGATCTTGCTCACAGGTCCCAGGCGATCGTCATATGGTCCTCGGCCTCCTTTACGGATAGAGGCTGCGCGCCAATGATAGGTATACAAGGCATAGAGCATGATAGCCACCGCTGATACAAAGAAATCAGTGTCTATTGTATTTTCAACTAACCCCTGATATGTACTCACCCACGATGGAAAACATCGCAGCACTGATTTTCCCAACCTTGACTAGGACTCAACTTGAAAGCTACGCCTCACGTTCGGGCAGACTCACCTTATCGCCAAAGTTTAGCAAGCCGACAGATAGACCGCCTAAGATGACCGTGAAGTGCAGCCATGATAGAAATGTGCGCTCGTTCGCGAAAGACACTTTTGGTTCGACTCGGACAGGGAGAGCAATGCGCTTCGTTGCCGTGCGCTGTAGGAGGGGCTGAGTTGACATGATGATAGTTCGGATCCAAGGGTGGAGTGGAGACTGTGTGCTTCTCGGGAAGACTAGTCGGGCTCGAAGTCGTTGAAAATAAAATAAAAAATCCAGATGGACCAACTCAATGAGTCCAGATTCCAGCGGTGGACCAATCACGTGACATGTCCGTTGTATTCGCCGATGGGTTTCAGTGCAGTCGCTCTCGTTGCTCTCATCGTCTGTCACCAAACCTGCGAGACATTCATAGAGTTCCCCTCAATTGTTCAAGTAGCTGCCTCCATCCATGTCGAGTAAACCGTCCGCGCCGAGCACGCCTCAGCCATCCGCAATTACTCCGCTAACTGTGGAGGAAGAAGGTTTGTGCGCCACATCCTCTTTGGCAGTTCAGTAATAGCTTATCGGCCTCCTCCAGATGCTATCATCCACTCTCGAATTACGAATGACGAACGTGCACTACGTCGGGTCATCAAAAAATTTCATGGCTACACCTCAGTCGCCCATGAGCCCATTGTCCCCATTCCATCGAGCTCCATCAGTATCGAGGATGCGCGAGACGCGTTTTTAGTGGAGCTTGCCTCCTTCAGTCTACAGCTGAAGAAAGCAGTTATGGTCTGTGAGGCAGAGGCGCGGCAGGTCGAAGAGTACCATAGGGAAAGACAGAGAATTGGTGAGTTCTCTCGAACGTGCACACCATACTCGTGGCCGATCTAGTGTCACTCGCACATCATAGAGGATGAGAGAGTTGCACTCAGAGGGCAGATCGAACAACTGAAGACGTCCTTGGAGCATGCGCAGCTGGAGCGCCGGCGGAAGATCGAATATGACCTTGTTGCCGAGAAGATCAACACTCTTCCAAGTCGACAGGAACTCCAGCGGTACGTCGAACGAAGTTACATCAATTGCTCTACTACCTCATACTGGCTATAAGAACAATAGACTCTCTTGAGAGTGACATGACCGCTATTCGCGTGGATCATGATGCTCAAAATCGCCTTATTCACGCTCAAAAATCTGCTTTGGTCTCGATAATCTCCGAACTTGGTTCTTTGCGCCTTATGGGCAAGGATACAGAGACCCCGCGCGATACCACACCAGCGCTTGACACCGTTGGGAGCGATGGCGAAGTACCGCTCTCCATTGTCACAGCTGCCGACGCGGACACTGAGAAGGAAGAAGGCGAAGAGGATAGGCAGTCGTCTGACGATGTGCCTCTTTCGGCTACGCTCAATCCTGGCCCGAGAGCCTTCTACGCCTCACGAGATTCCGTCGCTACAGGATCACGGAGTTTGCGCTCACGCACTGGTCTGTCGTCTGCTCCGCAGTCTGCTGCCGTCTCGCGTGCAGCATCAAAATCGATCGAGGATGATGATATTGAGATGGGCGAGCTGACGGAGGAACCCAAGGATTCGAGGACGAAGGTAAAAGTTCGGGAGTTGGAAGAGGGTGAGGCTAGTGACGAGAGTAGTGAATTGTCAGACCCTCCAGACGATTGAACGCATGTAGTCTAGGGATAGAATTGCGAGGAACGTGCAAGCTTAGTATTCAACTATGACTGCTGAATTCTACATCAAATGACATGAAGTCGCGTGCACATACAACAGGGCCGTTGTAGTTCTCCTGAGCCAACGCTTTTATTGCGTTCATCGTCGTCCTGGCCAATGGGTCCTTATGATCGTCCCCTGCATATCGCGCAGAGAAGTGATTCAGCACCAACTTTTTTGCCGCGATCCGCTGTGCAAACGCGCCAGCCATCTGTGGCGTCGAGTGTCCTCTTAATTTGGTGCGCGCCTCCACGCTCTCGACGGTATCGCTCTCCTTCGTTTCAGCGACGACACCTCGCAGATATGCGTTAGTCGCCTCATGGATAAGAATGTCGACGCCAGCCGCAAGGTCGGCAATGGGCGATGGGTCGTATGTGTCGCCCAGGATGGCCAGTTTGCGACCTTGTCGCCGGTCTGGACCGCGCAGCACGGTACCGTCTGGGAGTTCTACACTTTCACCCTGTTGCACTCGCCTCATCACAGTCATTGGAGCACCGGTCCTTTTGATATGGGGGATATACTGCCGTGGGTCTATTTTTCCTGGCACCGGAGCTTCCGTCACTACGTACCCCACACAAGGCACGGAATGCAATATTGGGGCAGCAGATACGGAGATGAGGTCGTTTTTGAAGATATCTGTCCATATTCCATTGGCTTGAGAGATATTGCGTCCGGTAGGTGATTCGAAAGGGAGGCGAGGAAGAGAGGTAAAGTCACCATCTTGAGGGTCAGTGGGGAAGCGCAGTTCATGAACAACGTAAGGGCCGCCTAGAAGGGTATGAGAGTACGAGAGCCCATTGCGAATATAGGCTCTTGTGCCAAGAGGGCCATAGATTTCTATAGGCTATGAGGTATTGAGTAACTCTTCCTCTGCGAGATCAAGCAAATTACTTCTTGATCTAACACCTCTTCAGCTCGTGAGTCTTCGCCTTCAGTAATACCGCCAGCTCCATTGAGTCGACTAGCAAGCAAAGGCAGAATCCCGAATATATGATCGCCTGGCTTCTCTATCAAAATATGAATACGTGCCATATTGTATAGAGGGCCCACCGTGCGTGTGAGTGATGAAGATCTTTTCGATCTTGCCCATCTTCACTTGGCTCCTCTGGATCTGGTGCTGAGTTGCTTCGCCGCAGTCAAATAGCCAGACGCCCCCGCTGAGTCTCAAGGCGAGTGCGGAATGATTGCGCGTAGAAGATGGTTGAGCAGAGGCGGTCCCAAGGAAAGTGATATTAATTGAAGATATCATTTTGTGTACCGTCCGAATCTGGAGTGGCTTTATTGTGGATGCACCGGCAATGTAAGGTGAGCTCTTGATAGCAGGAAAACATCGGACTAACAGCATGATAGGCAAATTCCGAATGTCTTACCACGAAAGGAGGATATGGACCTCACGTGATGGGAGAATCGAGTCACGTTAGGTCAATGTCAGCGCCTAATTGTACTGTCGAAGTTGCCTCAAAGTCAGCCGCCTAGTGAGTGAGCTGCAGAATGCCTAGGCTCACCAGATCTTCAAACGCCGGGGCATCCTCTTCTAAAGATACTCTCGATATAAAATCTTCAGATCTTGTAAAGTCTGACGAAGGTGGTGGCCTTGAGGTGCGTGCAAGATTACAACGATGAAAGGGGATCGGACCTGACAATGTTGTATCTCCCACACACGCTAGGGTCACATATCTGCCATCCGAAATGGCATGAGAAAACATCGTCAGGAGATCAAATTGTTAGAGAATCGCAATGCTCAGCTGGAGGCTGAGATAGAAAAACTTCATGATTCTGCCAATACATCCATTCAACCTCGTAGGGGTCGATCAGGTGGACCAACCAATGCGGGTTTACAGGCCCAAGTGAAGAGGTTGAAGGGCGAAGTAGAAGCGCTGAAGAAGGTGCGTACCCTAGCTCGATCCTTTGCTTTGACAGTGACGAATTGATCATTGGCAGGATAGAGCTAAAGACAAGAAGAAAATCCAACGAGTGCGCCTCCTTATATCTCACCATTCCTTTTTCGTACTCTAACACAGAGCTCTCATCCAGCTACAAATAAAGGAGGTAGAAGCAGACATGAAAGAGCTTCATGACGAGCAGGTGAATGGCGTCACGGATGTGAGTAACCAAATGCGCAAGGTGAGATATCATAACATTTGGATCCACAGTAAACAAACATATTCGATGTATAGTTACTTCGAAGGTTTCAAGATATCATTCTGAGCGGGGCTTTGGAGGATAAAGAAGAGTGCACCATTTGTCTGGAAACTATGGAAGTGAACGGCTGTTCCAGGTAAGATCTTTCGATATAATGATGCCTATATCCCTGACGGACGGGGAAGCCTCTCTTGTCAGCACATATTTTGCAATGATTGTCTATCGCGACTGGAACCAGGCTCTGTCGAAGTTACATGCCCACAGTGTCGGGAGAAGTGTGCTCGGGAAGAGTTTGAAGTCGTGAAATTTTCAACCGGAGAACAGTGGGATCAACTCCTCGAGGTTGCAAATGATTTCGCACGAATAGATATTAGGGGTGAGCAGGAAATAAGCGAAGAGGAAGACGAGGAACCGTTCATCGATGATAAAGACCCAGATGCTAGGTATGTCGTTTACATGGTCATCGTCATCGACGCTTACATGCTTATCCCTATCAGCTCAACAGCATCTGAATTCCAGACGGCACCAGCGGCTAGGAATTCCATGTCCTTGGATCCTGACCCTGTTCCAGCGGAAGCGATTATTCCAGATTCAACGTCAGATGATGGTGTGCCTCAGTTCGTGTACTCCAGGGCTTCTGCGTCGGAGAAGAGAAAATGGCTGGCACAGATGGCAGATCAGCGAAGAAAGAGAAGGAGAGATTAGTGCATATGTCCTTCACGTACGCTATGTATCTTATGGGCAAATTAGACTGGATTTACGGTTTCCGAACGACAGCGAAGGAAAGGAACAAAGGTGGAATGCAACGGTCACGTGGCAATCGGACGCGTCGAAACCAACAAAGGTAAATATAGGCGCCTTCAAGTTGACTTCATCTCTCTCGACAACTCAGGCCGAGCCTCCTAGCCGAACCTCTTTCCGCTGGCGGCGTTCCGCTATATATATCCGGCGCAAAATTGTGGAACGAAATTAAAATGGCCTTGAGCATTTCTCCACGGAAGGTTGTACCTCTTGCCGGCGGTGATGATTGGGAGCCAGTAAAATCCAAAACGGCAGGCACCACCACAAAACGTGTCTTCTTCTGTGGTGTGGTGGTAGAGAGCCAGAATGGTCAAGGGATATCGGAAGGTGCGCTGTGCTCCGTGGTCTTGCGCCGTACTGGGTTGATCTCGTGAATTAGAGGTACAGGATCTGGTCGCATCCTTGGGAGAGCCGTTGAGTGCATTCGAAGACGGAGGTTCGCTACCATCAGAGTCAATGAACGATGAGCTCTCGGGAACTGTGAGTGTAGGGCCTCTTTTGTCAATAAACTGCCTGTACGAATATTCAATGCACCCGATCAATCATAATCTTTCATTGTCATTTTATCACCGCCACTTTGAAGCCTGCCCATCTAACATGAATCCTTGTATTCGTAGAACATTCAAACACGCAGACGAGCATTGACCGAATCGCCAGCCATTCAAGACATCATAAACGAACTCGTATCTACGGAACGATCTTATGTCAAGCGACTTCACATACTCAAGTACGACTACGCAGATCCTCTACGCACCTTTGCTCGTACCAAGGATACCGCCATAATCGCCGCATATCAGGCGAAAACCCTCTTCGGGAACGTGGATAATCTGTTGCCAGTCAACGAAAGCTTTCTCGCCGATCTTGAAAAGATGCTTGCCCCAGACGGGCCTCAGAATGTAGGGTACATCGGTGACGTAGTCCTGCGACATTTCAAGGAACTCCGTGGGTTTGACCAATATAAACAATACTACGTGAAACGGGAGGAGGCTCAAATGATATTCGAGCGGGAGATGTCGAAGCGGTCGTCAGGTTTTGCTGCATATGTTGATGTCAGTACATTGACTATCTTCGCTCTGGGCATTTCTCACATTTGACACAGCGCATCAAGTATTCTTCTGCGGACACAAAGAACCGGATCGGACTGCGCGAGCTTCTTATGGACCCTGTGCAGCGCATACCCAGGTATACCCTCTTATTTCGCACAATGATCAAGCGCATGCAACCTGGTGACCCTCAGCGGACAAAGCTCATGGAAGCTGATCAGATAGCAAGCAAGATAGCCCTTGCCGAGACTGACGAGCAAACAAAACGTGCCGCCGTCATGTACTGCTTAGGCGCGACCATCGATGGATTTCCTCCAGGGTTGATCTCCAACTCCAGGCGTTTCATTGACTGTATCGATGTCGAGGATGTTTTCTTAGACACGCCTGTCTCCTCGTCCGCGACCGGTGCGACAGCGTCTCTCGATTCCCTTCACTGTACCTTGTTCTTGTTTGACGATAAACTCATGATCGTGAAGCGACCTGGCAACGAAAAGAGCGGAAAGGTCTTGTCTGGGCTTGACCAATTAGAGAAGGTGACAAAGGCAGGTGGCCGACCTTTGGAGATGAAGAAGACAGGGATGAGCTGCAAAGGAGTTGTAGACATATCCGAGATCGCAGCCACAGACGTCGGTGGGGCTGGCAAGTAACTTCTTCGCGTTTGAGAACCTTCTGTTTTTCGTTCTGATAGGTGGTGGCGGCTTAGATTTCCATCTCTATCTGGAGAACCCTCCACAAGATCAGACGGATCGGTGGTCCGGTCGGCCCTTCAGATCTCTATCTGTTGTTCTCCCACCCGCTCCGGTGAATATGAACCCTACTCGAACTGAGGTGGAAAAGAAGCGCTTTTTGGAGAATTTGTGGTATGCACAAGCTGTGTATCGGACAAAGACCGGACAGTCAGTAGCACTTCGCGGAGAGGAAAAAGAAGTGGAGGCGAAGCATGGTCGTGTCACATACGCACGGACATATTTCAATGTCTATCAGAGGACTGATTTCTTGAAAGAGGCCAAGAAAGTGAGTTGAGTCAACATGATGGCTGAATCAAGACATTGACAATTTTGCCACAGACAAAAGTGGTCGTACACATCGATGCCCTTGGTTCTTCAGATCCACTTCCGTTTGGTATCAACGGTCCCCCACACGTGGCAATACGGATTCAACCCATGGCTGGAGAACTTTGTCGCTACACAGTGACCACAGCGTTTCCAAATGATGATCCTACTGATGAAGAGATCGTGCAGTCGAAGCGAGTGCCGGAACGGATAGTGGATACCAGTGCGTTCCCCAGCAACTCTGTTTATATATTTATTAACATACCAGTATTCAGTCCACTCGTACGGGCTGTTCAAATTTCGGACGGGCAGAACTTCATTACCGTCTACTCCAACGGCCACCACACGTTCACGCGCTGCCATCTTCGGTCTCGATGTCATCTCCCGAAACATTTTCAATGCTCGTGCGGCCTCTAGGAATGAAGTATTCGGGAACTCTGTTAGCAGTCACAGGCGGACGAAATCCTCCATCAGTCGGTCGTCGGTCTACACGCACACGACATCGGATGGTAGTCTCAGATTCTCACATCGTACTGGGTCGACAGCTGCCACGTCTGTATACGATGATGAATCGATCGCGCCCACCCGACCCTCGACACCATCCAGAAAGCTGCTCAAACGACGCAGTAAATCGCCCAAGGGATCCAGTAGTGAGCCCGAAAGCTTTGCGCCCGTACGCAGTACGTTACGACCGGGCTCGAGTTCGAGATCTAGAGAGAGCACCTTGATGTATAGTGACGAGGAGCATGACGATCGACCACCCGAACATATGGCCGAGTCAGATCCGGATTTGAGCCAGAGACTAGCCTTGGCCAGGCAGAATAGTCAAACTCAAGAAGGACAATCTTCGGCTATCCCAACCCGAGTCAACACTCCTATAGAAGATATCATATACGAAGGTAACGAATCTTGTTCTCGATTGAACGCTTTGCTCACTCGATCTGCAGAAGAACCGCCACAACCCATTCGGCCGTCGTCGCGAGCATCGACGCCAGCTGGTCGACCGACAACACCATCAGGTGGACTTGAGATCCCTGGCCAAAGGTCTCGTTCAATGTCCCTGCTCTCGTCTGATGACCATCCACGTGGTCCTCGCAGCCTCTCGCCATTGCCTCCATCATTCGATGATAGATTTACTCCCTCGCCCTCACCTGAGCCATCCGAAGGTGACATGTCTATGGAAGATACTTTCGTTGACGCAAACTATACACCGACACATTCTGTGCGAGAAGGCGGGGTGTCTCCCCTTCCACGTAGCCGAAGACAGGCTTTCGACCGCTTGGATCCTGAGCGTACACCGACGATCAAGCCGTCCAATTATAAACAGGGCGCTAGCATCATCGAGCCGTTGTCGATCAAGAAGAAGACCTCGTTGCGGGGATCGGGCACTTCGCCATCCGCCGGGCGAAAGGTGGGCACGAGGAGGTCTCCAGCAGCATCGACTGTCGCCAAGATCGCTCATCGAAGAGTGTCACCTCAAATTAAGAGTGTCAAGGTAGCGACTTCGAGTCGGGTGAAATTGGACATGGACATGGACAGGATGACTGAGCTCATTGAGGCTACGAAGGATGATGCACGTCTTCTCTCGCAACCTCGTTACTGCCGTGGCACTGATCTCGGTGTCTAGATCGAGACAACACGACAAGCCGTCAAACGAATCAAGATCGACGTCGAGCAACTGCGGCCTGCGATAGCTCGCCCTGCAGAGCAGGAAGACCTGCAACCTCGGCCATTTGTCAGAGGCCTCCCTCGTGCCCCGGTAGCCAACAATACGCCAATGGTTTGGACCTCAGCATCATGATCTTGTCAAGTATGAAGTGTTCACCGTGATCCCTTTAGACCAGGGCAGCTCAAGAACGCATGGAGGAGATGAGGAACCTCATTGGCAAACGGAACGGAGAGATCATCCCTCGCGCTAGGAACCGGTCGCGCAGTTTCGCAGACGTTCCCGGTCCACCTCCCTCGCTGGAGAAGGCACGCACGGGGGATTTGATGAAAATGATCGATGATGCGACTTCCGAGGCCGATGAGAGTTTGGCCCGTGCCTTTTCAAATCAAGAAGCACTGGAGTCAGATATACAGCGCCTCGTTGCAGATCTGCAGGAGGTGAACTGGCGATTTCGTCTCGAATTTGAAATATCGGGCATGGCTGACGAGTGCTATCGTCGCAGAAAACAATGCTTTATGAGAGGGCCCGGTTCGAGCTCGGGGCGTCCAGGCGCCAATGTGATCTGATGAAGAGTCTCCTCGTGGATTCCACGGCCGAGAAGGAGATTATGTACGATGTAGGCGTCCCGGTTGCGTCTAAATATGTACGTGCTGAAACAGGGGCGCGCGTCAGGCGTTCAACGAGGAACTGGACCTTATGTTCACGAACGCTCAGTTGCCGGAGGACGAAGCCTGGGAAGGGATGGTCAAGGACCTGTCCGAGACAAAGGCCGACCGTCACATGCTCGAGCACCAGAAAGCGTAAGCCCAGATCCCGACCTTCGGCCGCCGCATTGTCGCTGATTTCGGATACAGGCTGTTGGAACGCAGGTTGACCGAGGTGGAGGATGAGAAGGAGGAGTAAGTCGTCCTTGGTCGTTTCGCCCGCCCGTTTTTGCTGACCTGTCTGGCAGGTGGGGTGCCTTGTTGAGGCAGCATGGACTGATATCATAGTTTCCCGTTCCTTTTCCCTCTCCCCCTCATTTCTGATCTCTCTAATTCTCGATCTCCCTGCTTTTGTAATCGATTCCTCCTTCGTCCTTCGCCGTACCATCTAATCGATCCAGACTGTATTCTAACTTCCTGTTGTCATCATTTCTTGTCTCACCGCCATCATCTATCGCTTGGACATGTCTCCACCATATATCTCGCATCTTTTACCCGGAATATATAATATCTGTGTGCTGGACGCATCTGCGGGCTCCGCGGACGTTCGGAATCTTGGGGGGCCCACATTCGCAGGATCTGCGAGCGATGTGACACGGCCGATCTATACAAGAACAAACGTAGTTACGTGCTACGGCGGCGCATGGGCAGGGGTATGGGCTCTGTTCGTCTGGAAGGAGCGTTACGGATGCGGTGCGTATGTATACAGGGTCGAGCGAGTGCGATGCAAACCGAGGCTGTGTATGAATGGAAGAGGGACATGGCTGCAAGAAGAAGACGGAGACGGAGAAACGGCGTACGTGGTACATGGGATACGAAGGCACACGGAAGTTATAAGAAAAAAATAGAGGACAACCGGGAAATATAGTGGGGGGAGGGAAGGTGGTGTGGGCCGAGAAATGCTCGTGGCTGGATGGGGGCTTGGGAAGGGGCATGGTTGGGAGGGAAGGGGACACGGGAAAATGATAATGACAGGAACATGGGGATATAAAAAATGCGAGATAATAACTACTAGGCACTAATAGACTTCGGGCGCAAAAGACGCAGTGCGCGCGCATGGGACAAGAAAAGGAACACAGTAGGATAAAGATTACGTCGTCGGCGATCCGACCAGGAATAAAGAAACGAAAGAAACGGAATAAGAAACGAACGGGAATGATATCGTGTATGTTCACGTCGGCGCCTTCGCCTGCGCGAGGTTCGTCGTGGAGCCCGAGCGCGCGAACGAGAACAGGCCCCGCAGCGTTGACTTCTTCGAGTACGACGCCGGGAGGTCAGTCAGGCCCTCCTCCTCCCCCGCCGCGGACGCAGCGCGCACAGTCCCCGCGTCGTGCTCCCGGCGCGCGTACGTCGGCGACGCAGAGAACATGGAGCGGTGCCGCACGGGGATCGAGTGGAAATCAAAGACGGAGTGGCGGCTCGTGCTGTTGCTCCGGCTGTTGCTCGTGCTCCGGCTCGTGCTCGCGCTGGACCCCTCTCCTTCTCCTCCGCCCCCGCCCCCGCCGCCGCTCGCCAAGGCGTCGCTCGCCGTGTGCCAGGTGTGCCGGTTCGCTTCGCGCGCGCGCTCGTTGGGCTCGGCGGTGACGGTGACGCGCGGCGTGCGCAGGTCATCGCCGGGCTCGCTCTGCACGCGATGGCGCAGAGACTGGCGCCAGCGGCGCTTCAGCCCGTCCAGCGCGGTCGGTGTCGGCGTAGGCGTCGGTGTCGTGATCGCAGTCGGCGTCGTCGACGGCTGGCTCTGCGCTATACCAGGCGTGGCCGGGGTCTCTAGATTCATGCGCATGCGCGGGAGCGCGGGGGACGTGGGCAGGCGCGATATGGACACCGCGCGTGGGGGCGGCGCGGGCACGGGCTGGAAGAACCCGCGGACATTGTCGATCATCGAGCGCGAGCGCTGCGGCGCGCGGGCGGGCACGCCGAGCAGGTGGAGCGAGTCCCCCGGGCGCCCTTGCAGCGCGCCCTCGCAGCTGTGCGCCGCGCCGTCCGCGGCGGCGGGGCTCGCCGCGCCCGAGCCGCCGTGCGAGCCCGTGGCGGAGGAGCACTGCGAGAGCGGCGTCGGCGAGTCGAGCATGAGCTCCGGGCTGTGCGGGAGGAGCCCGTCCTCGCCGCCGGTGCCGGCCGTCGCGGCCGCCAGGCTAGGCGCGTCGACGATCTTCACCGGCTCGAGCGGTAGGCGTAGGCCCTTCCTGTTCCCCTTGCGCGTGCGCGCCGGGACGGGGAGCGGCGCGCCCATCTCCCCGCCGCCACCGCCACCACCGCCACCGCCACCGCTGACGCCTCCGCCCTCGTCGACGTTCCCCAGATCGACGCAGCTCTTCTTCCTGCGCACGAGCACGCTCTCGCGCTTCGTGAGGCGATTGCGCGCGGCGATGCCCATCGCGCCGCCGACGCCGACGCCGGCGGACGCGCCCGAGAACAGCTGGCCGTCCTTGAGGTTCGAGAAGAGGCTCCCGGGGCGGCGCGCCTCGGCCGCGCGGCGCACGCGCAGGCACGCGGGGTCGAACACGTCCTGCAGCTGCGCGTCGACCTCCGCGCGCGCCTGCGGGCTCGACTTGTGCACGAGCAGCGCCGAGTCGGGCGACGCGGAGAAGAACGCCTTGACGGATGCCGTCGAGGAGCGCCGGCTCGGGGGCAGCGCTGCGGACGATGTGCCGTAGCTCCCCTGCTGCTGTTGTTGCTGCTGTTGCTGTTGCTGTTGCTGCTGTTGTACTTGCTGCTGCTGCGCCTGCGAGTGCAAGTGCGCGGGAAAGTCGGTGCGGAGCGTCGGGCGCGTCGGTCTATGCAGCACGGGCCGGTCGATCGGCGAGAGCGGCTGCGGATGCGGATACGAGTGCGGGTGCGGGTGCAGGTGCTGCGTCTGCACGCTCAGCGGCGGGCGGCGAGCGTCGCCCTCTTCAAAGGCAGAGACGGGCAGCGCGCCGCCGGCGTCGTCCGGGGGCGGCACGTTGGGAGGCGCGGCGGCGGCGTTCTCGGCGGCGTGGCCCGCGTCCGCGAGGAGGCTCGACGGGGGCTCGACGGCGTCCGGCCAGCGCGTGTCCGCGACGGCGACGTCGCGTAGCGCCGCAAGCCAGATCGCCTTTTCCTCCTCGCACGACGCGCCGAGCTCGAACTCGTGCCCGTGGCCGTACAGCCGGATCGAGTTGGTGAGCAGCGCTGCCCACCAACAAACAAACGCCGTCAGCGAGCACGCCCGACGCCGCAGCGGCCACACGCAAAACTCACAGTCGTCCTCGTGCGGGTCCACGACCGCAAACGCCGTCAGCGCGAACCAGTGCCGCAGCTCGTACCGCCCGCGCACGGCCTTCGCGAGCACGATGTACCCGCCCCCGCCCCCGCCCCCGCCCGCGTACAAAAACGCGCCGAGATACTTCGCCTTGACCGCGCCCGTCTCGAGCGCACACAGCCGGTGGTGGTGCACCACGTCCAGCGCACCCACCATCGCCGCGGCGCCCAGCGCGCGCACGAACGGGACCGCGGGCGCCGCGGCACCCTGCGGCGCGACGAGCCGCGCCGCGATGCGCGCCGACGCGACGTGCCTTTCGTGCGCGACCTGCGCGCGGTCCACGAGCGCCGCGACGTGCCGCATCGCCTGCGCCGCGCTCGCGACGACGACGTCCGGCCCCGCGAGGCCCGCGAGCCGCGCCGCGCTATCCCGCCGCGTGCCTGGGGCGCCGCGCGGGGCGGGCGCGGGCGCGGGCGGCGTCTGGAGGAGCGCGTCGAGGAGGAGCGGGTACTTGCAGATGCGCTGCGCGGGCTTGATGAGGTAGTCCATGAACTGCAGGCGCGGGAGCGGCGCGCTGCGCTCGCGCGGGTGCGGCTGCTTGCCCGCCTTGTCTTTGCCCGTGCTCGCGTCCCCGGGCGCGCGGTCGGCGGCGGCGGCTGCGCTAACGGGGGACTTGAGGTTCAGCGTCGAGCGCACGGGCGAGACGGCGCGCGGGTGGCTCGCGGCGCTGCCGACGAGGGACGACATCGAGTGCCTGCGCTCCGTGCGCGCCTCCGTCTGCGCCACCTTTGCGCGCTTCCTGTTCTCCCTCCTCCTCCCCCACCCGTCCGCCTTGTCCTTCTCCTTGTCCTTCTCCTTGTTGTCCTTGGCGGCGTCCTTCGCCCGCTCCACGTCCGGGTCCTTCTCTACCTCGTCCGCACGCCCCTCTGGGTCCTGCGCGCGCCCGTGTTCGGGGTCGCCCGCGAGGAGCATGTCGGACACGAGCCGCGCGCAGCGGCGCTCGAACGCGTCCCACTCGGCGGGGTGCCGGCTCTGGAGGCCGTGCACGAGCTCGAGCGTTGCAAAGTGGTCCGCGCAGAAGTCCTCGTACACATTGAACAGCGCCGCCTGCGCGCGACGCCACGAAGAGGGGGGGGTGAGCGATCCGCGCCGGCGCACAAGAAGAGGCACGCGCACCTGGGTCGTGAACGTCGTCGTCACCTCCACGATCGCCCTCTCCAACACGCGCATCGCGCCCTCCCCCTCCGCCGCGCCCTTCTCCCCCCCTTCCCCGCCCACTCCTGCACCCGCCCCGACACCGACTCCCGCGCGCTCCCGCCGCACAACCCGCTCCGGCACGACCGGGAACCCAACGGGCGCGAGCGCAGCCCGCAAGCGCGCCACGAACGCCTCGTGCGTCGCAAGCAGTCGCGCCGCGCTGGCCTGCACGCCGCCCGCGGGCTCTTGCTCCGCCTCCCTCTCCTGCCTGTCCTTGTCCTTGTCTTTGGGTGGGTGCGGCGCGTGTCCGTCGTCCGTCGGGGCCTCATGGTCCGCCTCGCCCGCGCCCGCGCGCGGCCCCGCCGCGTCCTTGTCCGCATTCATGCGCCCGCGGCGGCGCGCGGGCACCGTCGCCGCGCGCGCGGGCTTGGACGGCGCGCCGGGTGCGGGGGCCCCCGCGAGGGCGAAGCTGGACGAGCGCGAGGGCGACAGGAGCGGGAGCGGGAGCGGGCGGGCGGAGGCGAGCAGCGCGAGCTGGTGCAGGTACACCTGTGTTGCGTCGACGGGGCGCGGGCCGGAGCGTGGGAGTCAGCGCGGGAGGCGACAAGGAGAGCAGAGGGGAGGGCGGGGGGACTGACCGTGACCATCGCGCGGAGGTCGACGAGGTAGCCGACTTCGGTGGTGAGCAGCTCGACGAGCGCGTGGTAGCGTCGCACGGCGCCCCTGCTCGGCTTGATCTTGGCCTTGGCCTCCTGCTCGGTCGTCGTCGTAGTAGAAGTGATGGCGGTCACGGGCACGACCTGTGCCCCAGCGTCGCCGCCCACAGGCGGCGCGACCTGCGCCTCCCCCTCGTCCGACACGCCGTCCCCGTCTCCGTCCGCCTCAAAATGAAACAGCCTTCGGCCCCCAGTCGCCCCCCAACCCGCGCCACCGCTCCTCTCGCGCTCCCTCTCCCTGTCTCTCTCCTGCTCGAACGCGCGCCGCCCCGACCCGCCGAGCGCCGGCTCGTGCGGCGCCCCGAGGGTACCCGCGAGCCTGAATGCGGACGGCGGGGCGCCCGCCTGGGCTGGGGACGGCGGGGGCAGCGCAGGGAGCGGCTTCTGGGGGTCCGCGGGGAGCGACATGCGGCGGCGGGCGGGCGCGAGGTCGGGGTCAGGGCGGGGCGCGTGCGCGAGTGGGTACGGGTGTGGGCGTGGGTGTGGGTGCCTGTGGACCGGCGGGTCCGGGTCCGAGTCGCGCCGGCGGGGTGCGACGAACGTGCGTGCGCGCGCGAGGGCCGCGTGCGTGCCGCCTGTGCTGGTGTCGTCGCGATCGCGCGCGTGCGCGGGGTAGTAGGGCGGGAGGGCGAGGGAGGCGGGGCGCGGGTGGGGGTGGGTGCGGCGGCGGGTTGGGGGGTATGCGTGTTCGTTGTCGTCGGGGGCGGCGGTGGCTGGGAAGCGGGGGAGGAACTTTGGCGGGGGCGTCGGGGGGACTGTGATCCATGCGGGGGTCTGGAGGGGCGTCGGGGTGGACGCGGACGTGGACGCGGACGGGGATACGGTGGACGAGGAGGTGGAGTTGGCTGTGAATGTGGAGGTGTGTGTGGAGGTGGAGGCGGAGGGCGGGAAGGCGGAGGTGGAGGCGTGTGTGCTGGAATGCGACAGCGCAGACGTCGAGGGTGGGACGGCGGGGGCGGTGGGGGTGTCTGGTGGGGGACGGGCGGAGCGCTCGTGGTGTGGGGCGAGGCTGCGGGAGGAGGGCACGGATTTGAAGGACGCGGCGGAGGACGAGCCCGAGGAGGAGAGGGCGTCGTCGGCGGTGGAGGTGGAGGAGGAGGATGAGGAGAGCGAGGGCGAGGGCGGGAGGGCAGAGAGGGCGGCGAGGGCGGCGGGGGGAAAGAACGGACGGGGCGGGGACAGGTCGTTGGGGGGCGTGGAGGGCGGGGAGACGATGGGGGTGAGCGGGGTGAAGGAGAGGACGGGGCGGGGACGGGCGGGCGGGGACGAGGGCGACGGCGACGGCGACGGCGAGGGGAGGACCTGCATTGTTGTGGCGAGCGAGGACTTGGCTGTCAAGGACGTCGCAGGACAGTCATGGCAGCTGTGTGAGGACGCACCGCGCCTGGCTGTGTGCGCCTGGTCGTGCAAGCGGCCTGCGTGGTCTATTATAGAGCCCGGCTTACGCCATCCGCCTCCCCCTGGCCCGACACGCACTCCCGTTCCCATCCCCTCCCCCTCTCTTTCCCCGTCCCACGCTCCACACACACACCCGTCATCCAGCGGCCCCCATCACTACACCCCCCTCGCCGCGGTCACGTGGCCCTCCCTCGACGCCGTCCCATCGAGATCGTTCCGTCCCGCCGAGCACTGCTCCTGCACCGCACCCGCCACCGCCCCGTTCCCGACGATCACCCTCGGCAGCCCTCGGCCCGGCCCCAGCGCTCTATGGCCACCTTTCGGCCTCCCCCTCCCGCTGCCCGCCTCGCCCGCCGCGTCGTCCACCCCGTCGCACGCTAAACTCAGCTCGTCTCACACTACTGCACGCCATGCAAAAACATTCCGAGACACACGTCCCGCGCGTCACCCACGCTTTCCACCCACCCACCCACCTGTCACCGGCTCGCCCTCCCCCGTACGTCTATCTGTCTTCTCAGAAAGGAAGGTCCCGGCTGCGAACGACATTGGCATCGAATTCGAAGCGCGCGCACAGGACACGACTCGACGCGACAGGAAACCCTCGCCCCGCCCTTCCTCCTCCCGCAGTGCCGCACCCGCCCTCTCCCCTCCCTTCCTTCCTGCCCCCACACCCCCACCCCGGAATCTAAATCGACATTCAGCGCTCGACCCTCACGTTCAAAACAGCCACAGAACGCCCGACCCCGCCCAGCAAAGTACCCCCACCCCCCAAAGCACGTCGACGACCATGGCAACCCGCACGCCTCGCCACAAGCGCCGCGGCCCGACCCAACCCGACGCCCGACCCGACCCAAACCGCACCCAGCTCCGCATCCGCGTCCCTCGTCCGCGCGCTCCACCCCCCAACCGCAGCCGCGGCCCCCAATCCAACAGGCCGCAACCTCTACCGTACTTACAGTATACTATACCGCTGCCGCACCGCACCGCACCGCACCATAGCCGCATATAGAGGGGCCGTCGCATCGGGATCTTCGAGCGCGCGCCGGCGGGCGCCAGGCAGCGCCCGTCTCACTCCAATCTATGTCTCATGTCTCCCACCCTGTTACCCTCTCTCTCTGTCCAGCCAACCCAAAGACGGGGGGGTGGGGGCGCGAAATGGACGCCCAGATTTGAAAATACCGAAAACAACAAGCAACCCGGCGTCCCGCCGCAGAGACCGCGCAGCCGCTCAGATCCCAGATCCCAGGGCGCGCCCGATTTTTTTAATTGAATCGCGAACATGGCGATCAGAGAAAGGATAAAGCCGTCATGATACCTGGAGCGAAAATCGCCAGAGTCAGAGTCAGAGCACGCACACCACGGCGCCGTCCCGGGTCCTCGTTGCTGCTGCTCCCACTGCTGCGGTGGTGGTGGTGTTGACGGTGGTGGTGGCGCATCAGCATCGTGGGCCGCCACCGACATCATCTCCAACACCACACACCCTCCTCTCGGCATCGCACCGGCACTCCTCACCCACCCATCTGTCCATCCCAAACCGGACGACCAAAAATAAAAAATACAAATAAAAATTAAAGAACTTCCGCATACGATGACATACAGTCAAAGACCTCGGTTCACGCGGCGCGCGGCGCCTCTGGCGCCCATGCGCCACAGGACGCGCACGAGGCGCAACAATAGACAATAGAAAAAAAAGCAACGCGACGCGACGCATAAAAACAAAAGCAGAGGCGCACCGTACTCGCGCCGCACACGCTCGAAACCCACACGTCCCCCTCCCATCTCCGCACGGCGCATCTCGCCTGGAAACGCGCCCGAACCGTGCACCGTGCACCTTGCATTGCATTGCATTGCATTGCATTGCACCGCACCGCACCGCACCGCACCGCGCAGGGCTCGCCACGCACCGCAATATCGCCCGCCTGGGCTCCTGCTCTTCACGAGGCGCGCGCGCCCGAGGCGAACGCAGGACCGTGGGCGTTGGTGGTCGTGCGCGCGGCGCAGGCTAGCCCGCATCGGTCGCGCGCGCTCGGTGCGAGGAGCACACGCAGTCGGTGCGTGCGCGCGGGTGTGGGTTGACAGGTCCATTCTATGCGCGCGACTGCGCGGTTGAAGAAATATGTACGCGCGACGAGGACGCGCCGAGGCGCGCGGGAGGCTGCGAAGGAGCTTCTGCCCTTCCTGTCCGGCGTCCGGACTGCTACGGCGCGCCAACGCGCCTGCCAGGTCCCCGATGCACGATGCACGATGCGCGATGCGCCGATCGGCGATCGGCACGCGTCGGCGCGTAGAACATAGAGCATGGATAGGGTTTGCGTGTGCAGGTGCGGGCGCGCGCCTTCAGGGCGTGGGTCGACAGCCGTCGACGGCGGCGCGAGCGCCGACGATGACGAGCGGATCCGCGCGAGCAGGCGAGGTGCCAGAACAGTGATAGGGGTCGCGATCGATGCGGGTGCGCGCTGGCGCGATCCCGCGCGACGAGACGAGGTAGACGCGATGGAATGGAACGTGAACGTGAAATCAGATGTGAATTGGGACGGAACGAAGTGGGAAGGCCGAAACCGAAAACCGAAAACCGAAAAGCAAAAGGCAAAAGACGGACGGACGGACGATGGGGATGGACGTTCGCCGCAGACGAAGCAGGCCGCGCTGCCGCCGGCGCAGCAGCGCGAAGAAGGGTTGTGTGCGGTGGAGCCTGGGAGCACAGATCGGGCTCGTCAGACGCCTATCAGTCGCATATGGATGCGTGCGAGCGCGGTGTTGAGGATGGCCTCGGAACAGAGACAATAATAGCGGTCGCGTTCGTCGCGTTTGTCGCGCGTATCGCCGGTGTAGACGAGCGGCGTCAAATGGACAGGAAATAGAAGCGGCGAAGAGCTGCCTCGCGGTTCGCAAGTAGACCTGCAGCTGCTGTCGCCGCCGCTCTGTGACGCAAAGCGCAGGACGGATGGATATGGGTCGCAGAGGCGCAGAGGCGCAGAGGCCACGGCGAGGGAGATTGGACGACCGCGCGTGTCAGTCAAGAACGAGCGCGTCTGGCGCGTCGATGCACCGGTCGGTGATTAGCTTGACGTCGCTGGTGCGGTCAACGTTCGGGAGAAGGCGCGAGCGTGGGCGTGAGCTTGAGCTTGCGCGCAAGGTTTCGGTCGGTAATACGTGCGCGATCCATCATGGAAGACGGAAGGTCGGCCGGAGATAGCCGAGCAGTGTACTCGTACTGGTACGCCATCAGAGGCGGAGAGCAGCCAGCTGCCAGACAGACAGACGCGGACCACGATGCCATCCTCGACGTCCTCCACCCTCGGCTCCGTCTCTCCCCCCACCTCCACCTCCGACTCAGGCTCGGGCTCAGGCTCGGGCTCGGGCTCGGGCTCGGGCTCCACCCCGACCCTCGCCGCGTCCACCAGCACCGTCACCCCCGCCGCCTTCATCACCACCCCCACCCTCTCCACCACCCGCCTCGCCACCCAGCCCTCCTCCTTCTCCGCCCTTGCCGCCGCCGCCGCCGCGGGGCCAGCCACAGGCGTCGGCGCAGGTGCCACAGGCGCAGGCGCGCGCGCACCGCCGCTCCCGCCCGCGCCTCCTCCCCCGGCGTCGCTGTCCAGCCGCATGCCCGTCACCCCCGCCGTCCTCCGCGCCATCTTCGCCTCGTCCCGCTCGCCCGCCGAAGAGCGCTCGCTCTCGCGCGTCGCCTTCTTCCGGTGCGTGTCTCCCCCCGCCTGTCCACTTTGCCTTCCGGAGCGCGCGCACGCGCGCTGACGCTCCGACACAGCTTCACAGGCTTCCTCGTCAGCTGCCTCGCCATCAGCCTCGTCGCGAACCGCGGTCGCGGCATCCGCACCGGCGCCGCTCTCCTCGGCGTCGGCACCGCATGACGGCCTACGGACCTTCGCGCACACGGTGTCACATAGCAGGTTCGCGCGTCCTCTTATTGCCGTCGTGTCCTGTCGTTTTCTCGTCAATCGCCCAAGCGGTGTGCCATTGCACCAAATGGTGAGGTTTTTGGACAATCAACTGCTAATAGCAACTCTCCACCTCCTCGTGCCCATCCCCGATACCCTTCCTCAAGCCGTCCATGCACTCACGCCCTCCTCCATCTCACGCTCCTGTGCGAACCCAAGCCTGCGCGGGATATCTACCGTTCGTCTGTTAGGAACAGTAGAAGCGTGAACCAAGGAGTTGCATACCGATTCCAGACTCGAAAAATCGCGCGCTCGGCGCGCGATACATTACGCAGCGAATTGTCTCTAAACTATCGTCTGTCAACATAACGAATCAAACATGAGAGCCGTTACAACCCACCTGGAGTCCCAGCAACCTCCCTCTCCCACAGACTCTACCGAGCATGCGCAAGACAGCATTCGGCGCGCGATGTCCCCGCCCTCGCGGACTGCATGGGATCGCGCAGGCAGGCCCGCAATCACGGCACGGTCGCTGCGCACCACAGCCCGCGAGCTGCAACAGACCTGACCTGGGTCAGCGATCCCCAGCCCCCGCCTTGAACACCCTTTCTTTCCCGAGAGAAAGACAAAAAAGAAAGTGTGTGCCTGGGGTCGTGGCTCAGCCACGCCGCCGTGCATTGCGCACGGAGGGCGCCGATAGCGAAGGGTGCCTGCGCGTCCAATCATCCCTGCGCCGGGGTGGGGCCGGGACAACCCCCGCCTCGTACGCCCCGGTCGACGCGTCCTACACGCACGTACGCATTGCTGCGCAGGCCAGAGCCTCGATGACATACGTATATAGCCAGACGCGGGAGGCCGACACAGTGAGGGGGCACCCCATCCCATCAGGTGATCGAGTGCTTGCTCGTTCGTCCGTGCGTTGAGAGGCTGCTGTGCATCGCCGCGCACGTATACGTGCACGGAGGGGCCCCGATAGCGAGCGCCGTCGATGGCCCTGCAGGCCAGCAACGACGGCCAGCTCCTATTCGCTGGACCCGAGCGGGACGAGCGCTCGTCTCGCCTCGTGGGCCCCGACTCGACGCGGCCAACGGATACGCTACAGCGCGCGGATCGGTCGCGACGCGTGCGACAGTGCGACTAGAGGCTTTGGCTCCCAAAAAGGGACGAGGGCTTCGATACGCTCCTGGCTCGAATAACCATGCGCTGCAAACCCACACCGCAGGCTGTAGAGCGATGGACACACGTAGAGAGGACGCCTGAGTCTCCCTCTCGATAGCAATTTGAAGCACTCGGACTATTCCGTTTCCTGTCGCAAAAGTGTTCCGGGATCTTTACATTGGCGCGAATTGAGTGAATGCTGTGCGCATGGGAAGGGGAGAGGAAGACGCACCTAGTGCGTTATATCCCCATCCTCGCGCGCCGAATGTTTGTGTCTTTCGCGAACAGCACTTCTTGATGGACTGCACAGCCATGTCTGCGTGTATACGACATGAAGTGAGGTCCTCATAGTGTGCCTCTTGACGGGAAGCAATCGACGTGCCATTTCCGATAACAAAGCAAAAAAATTCGAGCATCCCAGCAAGGCAACCAAAACCCTTCATGTATCAAGATGCGTGCCATGCCATGGATTGAGAAGGAAAAAGAGAAGAGAAAATGCTTTTGCCTGGTGTAGTGGCTGGGTATCGCCGCGCACGGACGTGCACGGAGGACGCCGATAACGAGAAGACGAGCCCTCGTCTCGTACGCCCTGGCTCGATATGGCCTACATACGATTTTTGCGATGCCCATGGGGTCCGTAAGGGTCCAGATCAGAATGAGTGCTGGGTCACTAGACCGGGGTACGGCAATTCCCACATGGCGACGAGCCTCTGGAATAACTGCTCCCGAGCTCGACGTTCTCCCAAAAAAAAAATGCCACGGACTTGCCCTGGGAGGGATGAGTAGCAGTCCACGATATTCATTGAAATCAGAAATAGAGAAGGAACTAGCTTATTTGCTTGGAGGTGGCTGGGCATCGCCGCGCCCAGAGGCACGGAGGGCGCCGATAACTTGAGTTCGCCTGACTCGAGTCTCGTACGCCCGGCTCGACACGGCCTACACACGAGTTTTGAGACGACGAGAAACCGACATTCATGTAGCAGTGTAAGGTATTGACACCATTGACACCCACGATGGTGATCGGTGAGCGCGGCGGCACACACATGCTGCGAATGAAGTGTGCGATGTTATCAATGGGTGAACAGGGAAAGAACGCATTTATCTGGTGGTGGCTGGGCATCGCCGCACATGAACGCGCGGAGAGCGCCGATAACGAGAGAAGGCTCCTGTCTCGTACGCTCAGCTCGACACGGCCAACCCACGAGCGACGAAGGCGAAGGTCGTTGCCTGGTACGGTTTTGATGTCGTTCAAGATTCGTATGTATGAAAGGCAGGTATGCTAGGGACCGGTGAGAGTGAGTCGGTGAAGACCACACAAAGTCAAAAGTCGACTCGCAATTGAGCAAGCGTCCATCCGCAGACGTGTACGTAGATGTAGGGGGGAGAGCAGGGAAAGGAGATCGGATGTTGACTCGGGCGGCTCTTAAGTGACTCGGGAGCCAAGGCAGCGGGGCGCTGATGTCATTCGCCCCCTCGGCCCGGTGTGAAAGCGTCCTGCTCGATTCGATCCATCGACCGTCGACCAAGTCAGATGTTCAACTGCAACCTGCTCTGGACAGCCATCCAAACACACAATGCCGGTCCATAACACCCAAAGCAAAGTGACCTTGAACCACCCAAAGGTTTGCATCGATGACTTCAAATCCGACGGCCTCGTCATTCTGACCTGATGCGGCGTGCCGTATCTCTCAGGGGCCTTCTGCCGAAATTCTGCTCTATGGCGCAACCGTCACGTCGTGGAAGGCGGCCAGCCCAGCCAGCGATGGATCCTTCCCGACTGAACGCCTCTTTGTCTCGTCCAAGGCCGCTCTAGACGGTTCCAAGCCCGTGCGCGGCGGCATCCCCGTCGTCTTTCCCTGCTTCGGGGCCCCGGAGCATCCAGAACACGTCAAGCTCAGCCAGCATGGATTCGCGCGCAACTCCGTGTGGGCGTTCGACTCCGTCGTTATGGACAATGACGCGGGCGTCTCTGTGCGATTCAGTGCGTCCTGCAGACCCGCGTTCACCCTGCAGTGGAGATTGACCAGACGCATGACCCGGTGGTAGCTCTCCAGCCTGACGCGAGCATCGCGGCGGTATACGCCCGCTCCTTTGAGCTCGCATATGTCGTCACGCTCGCCGAGCACCAGCTGAGCACCGATCTGCACGTCACGAACCCCGCCTCGAGCCCCCTTGAGTTCCAGGCGCTATTGCACACATACATCCGCGCGCCCGCAAACGACGTGACCATCTCTGCTCTCGCGGGCAAGTTTTACATCGACAAGACCGACCCCGACCCTGCGGCGAAGAACACGCTGAAAGAGGAGAAGCGCGAGAAGGTTGACGTGAGGCGATTCACCGATGCGATCTATGAAAACGCCCCATCCAAGGTCCATGTCATCTGGCCTGGAGGAGGGCTCGAAGTGAGAATGACAGAGTTTAAGACTCTGACGGTGTGGAACCCTCAAGCACAGGCAGGCAGCAAAATTGGAGACATGGAAGAAGGCGGATGGTGAGTTTTTCTCTCCTTTTGAGATCTTGTCTTACGCTACTTCCAGGGAGAGATATGTATGTGTCGAGCCAGGCTACGTACGCGGATTCAAGAAACTTGAGGCTGGCAAAACTTGGATCGGGCAACAGGTCCTAACCGTCCTTTGAAAATTCATATGGACGCGTAAGGAAGAGAGGTTACAAATGTCTTATTAAATAGTTAGCAGTCTGTGCAATCTGTAATAGTATCCCTACAACAGTTCTTCGTACGTCCGAAAGCGTTCACACCACATCTACGACTCCTCTCGCCGGCGAAACCACGGCTGCGACCTTAGCTGCCATATCCAGCACGCATCCACCTGTATATGCGACTATATCGCGCTGGGCAGCGTTGTCTTCTCGCTGATTCCCCGTCCGTACGTCGACTATCCCGAGGAGTTGCTCAAGATTCACGCTCGCAAGCGCAATCGCGTCCTCTTTTGTAATGCGTCCTCCAGACTCAGCCATGGCCTACGTGTCGCACAGGGTCAGATGAATGAGCGATAGGCCAGGGGGGTAGAATGAAGATGACGAAAGGTAACGGGAAGCGTACCCAAGCAAGATCAAAACGCGTATGTATCGCCGCGCTTGCTTCGGTGTTACCGAGTCCGACGACGACGCCGTGTCTCAGAAGCTTCACAAGGGCTGTGTCGTTCGTTAGCGGAGGACCGGGCAGTCTTGAGCGACGCGTGAATATTGCAGTGTTCGTGGCGCATCAGTACACCCCGGGTTTCTCCCACAAAACAAGGCCACGCACATCTGTCGCCTGTCCCACGTCGTAGGCGCTGGGCGCGGGGGCGCTAGGATGACACCTATTCTCACCTCGCCTAAGGATCTCCAAATCAGCATCTTTCTTGAGAAAATAGAACAAAATAGAGACCGATCTCTTTCGCTAATAAATGTGCCTCCTCTGCACCCACAAATACCATTTTCATGGTACTCTTCCTTACCTCCTCGATTTCTTTCTTCAAGGCGATCAGCGTCATCATCTCGTCTGAGCCACTGACATCAACAACGAGCGGGATCTGGCCCTCTGCTGCCTGTGAGAACCAATACCCTAGCTCTTCTTTCCCCGTATCGGAGACACGGGTCCTTAAAAGCAGCCGCCGAAGCGCCGTGATCCGCTCGCTTACACTCGGCGGAGACGTCACGCCGATCGAAGGCAAGCCGGATGCAATCGCATTCAGCGGGTGGACGGCATAGTGCAGAGCAGATACGGGCTGGATAAACGCTCCCCGTGCGAGCGCATGTTTCGCACCAGTGCGGAAGGTGGTAGAAAGGCCAGCGAAAATCCAATCCCCAAATGTGGTGTGCGTGGCAGCTGTGGCAATGGTGACGCCTGCACGGTGCGCGCGGCTACACGAGCAAGATAGCCCTATCATCAGAAAATATATCTAGAAAGAATATAGCGAAGAGGCACGCACAGAGCATTCCGTGTTCGGAACTGGAGCGCATCAGCGGCGCGGAGAATTGTGTTTCCCAAAAGTCGCGAGGAAGCTCTGAACATAGTGTCTTGCGGCAACCCATCGCCCGTGCTTCGTTCATACTGAATTTCCTCGAGACCGAGAGGCGAGCCAAATGTGATGAGAGCGGGCGCAAGGCACCCCCCGTGCAAGTCGATGCTACGTGCAACCGTGTTTGTGTTCACCAGAGGGGCACACTCACCCACACAGATGACCTTGCCGGACTCCAAAACGACGGTTCCTCCACTTCCGTTCACGGACGAATCCCACCGTACCTCGACCCCATGAGGCTCAGCATGCTCTCCACTCACCACGCTCACTATCTCTGAAACATTCCTCAGCACGACCCTCGCCGACGTCGTAGCACCTTCAACTTCGAGAGGCGGCAATCCTTCCCACTCGATCGCCTGCTTCCTCTCCTCTGTCCAATCTGGCACCTCCGGGGCTTCATTCCACTCTCGGCCCTTCTTTCCATTTTCTATATCTACCGGGTCTCCGGCGGCTGGTATTTGCAGCGCGCCGTCGATCCATACCCGTTCTGGCGTTGCACCGAAACGCAGAGGATGGGAGTCCCAAAGAACGGCGTCGGCGTCGGCGCCCGTGCGTAGGACGCCAATGCGGTGAGCGAGGCCCGCAGCGGAAGCCGGAATGGATGTGACCGACGCTAGGGCGAGGGGTGCAGATAGGCCGTAGTAATATGCTTGTTGGGCTTCGTAAAGCAAATACCGGCCGTTGAGCGCAGGGTGATCGGTCTGAATCGGAGCAGTAGATGATTTTTTCTTGAGAAATTTTCACAAGCACAGGAAGTCCATGCATGAGTACCTTCATTACAACAGGTATCCCATTGTCCGCGAGGATGCGGGGTGCAAAGACAGAGCCGCGGTAGGATCCACGTTTATACCTAATAGAACATGTCAAAAAGAGATTATGATAGAAGCGAGTTAAAAATTCTAACCCGTAATTATTTCCGGAAAGTGCGACTATGGGAGGGCCTCCCCACCTACAGATGTAAATTCAAAATCATGAGACCAAAAGACATACACGAGCTTCTTACGCTCTTTTCAGAATATCAGGTACAAGGTATGCCTCTGCAGCATGATGGATAGAGGAAGTGTGAAACCTGAATTCGTTCCCCAACTATAGAGGTTATCATTCAGACACATAACCAAAATATGTTGGATATGAATTGACTCACTCGAACTATAGCATCAATATCAGTCGCCTCGTATGCATGCTGGGCAATCTGAAATTCAACGACATCACAGAACTGAAACAAGAGCCAATCGCAAGCCACACCTTTACATGTCCTCGAAGCACATCGATAAGGGTCTCCCATTGTAGACTTTCGGAAAAGCTATGCTGGATAACGTCCCAGAGCCCTGCCTCTGCGTGACGGCAATATTCGTCCTGCGCTACCGTAATCTGGCGAGCTTGCTCGTACGCAGAACGAAAGGACCACATCGAGTCCATACGTCCACCATAACCAATTAAATTTTCTCCCGCGGCTTGTCTGCCTCGTGTGTTCAGTCATGTAAGAATCATACCATGCAATCATCAGAGACCCTACTTCAGGTGACGCCAACGTGACCGAGCATGCGGTTCCACTGCTGTGTCATTCAATGTATATGGAGGCTCAATTATCATAGATGAAGGGGAGCGCTCCACCGTCGGACGCAGCTTGATCATGAATGATTGACCACCTATGTAGTAATTAGGAAAATTGCATTAGTATGAAACATAAGCAATCCGTACCAATGGCATTCGCGCTGCCTGGCAATACTTGGGCAGATGTCACGCCGCCTGCGATGAACAGCCGTACGCTTTCATCATGCGTATTGAGAGAATCGATGCTCCGGAGCCAAGGAAGGATAGGGCCCTTGACCGAATTCAAGTCGGATGCCCCTTGAAATTTACCATATAAAAGGCAGGTTGTGTGAGAAGAAATAATTGCACAAACCAGAAAAAGAGGGCCAGCTAAATATTCCAATGTGCGAATGGAGATCAACTGCACGACAATAAAGGTTGAATATCATTATTGCTATTGAACGAGAAAAACAGAACGCCACCTACCCAGTCCCGGTGTGACCCAAGCCTCATGCGCTTCCACAACCGTCAATCTCCCAACTCTTCTGAGTAGCTTTTCGGGGACATGACCGACAATTTTGACAACCCCCCGATCAAATAACACATCCCCGCGAATAACTTCTTCTCCGTTCCACGCTCCAGTCCAAACCGTCGCATTTCGAATGAGCGTGGCGTTCGTCCGGTGCTCCCACCGGTCCGACTCTTCCCGATCACTGAAGTTATCTGGTGGATCTGGCATCATCTTCAGCTTGGCACAGTGAGCAAGGATCTGTTCCACATTCATGGGCACATTTTGCACTAGGGAGCCAACACGAGTTATGGAGCACGAGAAGTAGATATTACACACAAGAATAAGGCAGAACCCAGCAATCAATGCAACAATTTCGAGGTGACTTCGGAGACGAAAACATGAATAGAGGAGCAGCGGCTTTTGGGGCATGATGCAGTGACAGCAGCAACAGTGGTGGTGGTGGTGGTGGTGGTGGTGGTAAGGGAAGGGTAGTAGAAGCTGTGGGAGAGCCGCAAGCGCGCAGGGCGCGCAGCATCACCTTGCCTCGCGAATCCAATAGTTACCTCAGCTGCTGGACATGCACTAGAGGGTAGGTCAAGTGCAAATCCTGAAGCAGGTGCAGGCAGCATGGAGTACATGCTGAACGCGTCAACATTGGCAGCCTTCTCTTATTCACTTGGGAGACACGCTGGTCAAATAACTCAGAGATTGTCGATCAAGATACCAGTGCTTCAACGAGAATCGTAGCTCGCTTGTTCGCTAGGCTGTGTTGTTCAGTATTTGACCAACTTTGTTAGACGGAAACATGTGATGTAGTAAAACGCACACGCTCGGATGAACGATCGTCACGATTCGTACAAACGTAGATACAGCACGATCGAGAAGAATATTGATGATAGGCAATCACTCCTCGTCCGATGAAGACGAAGAGTGATTGCCTCCAGGTTGTATAGTTGGACTCCGCGCCGTGCCGGTAAACCCATCGACCAGTAAGGCGGGACCAGACTGAGTCTGATTCAAATCATCCACATCTTCTTCAGAATCTTCGACGGCTTCGGCACTGACGATCTTGCGTTGACGACGACCTGTATCTACGGGCAAGTGAACATTCTTAACAAGGAGGATATCCATGATTTCTATCACAGAGTGGTGAATAGTCAGAATGCCGTATACCAATAAGCTTGTAACGTGACTGCACCTTCATGAGACATGTCTTCGTAGCCTCTGATACCCCGCTTCATCGTCTGCCACCGTCTTTGAAGAATGTGAGCGCTCCAGAAGTTCCAATTCGCATCCGGAAGTGTCTTCCAGTCGATTTCACTATCGTCTCTAACGTTCAGGGAATGAACTCTGTGAATGATAATGAATGGCTAAGCAATGAAAAGTCCATAAAGCACCATACTTATGAACGAGAATATATGCGTCTACCAAACTCCAACGCGGTTTGTCTCCCTGATTTTTAACAGTCTTGCTCAAAGAATCGAGCCTACCAATAGGTTTAGAGCAGTTAGCAATGGTTCACAATAATAATTCGAGATCTACCATTTGATGCGACATTGCTGTCGGCCACGCTTGTTGTTCATGCGCTGGCTTACAACTCCCCAAAACACATCGTTGTCCGGGTCCTTACCCTGACTGACAGTTATTTCGGTGACGATCTGCGTCAACAATGCCTCTTCCTCTTTTGTCCAGGCACCTGATAGGTGTTCAGTAATTGTCTTGTAAAACAGAGGATATTTGTGCCTACCATTAGATCTGTGTTCACGGTGTTCGATATGATTTCGATAACGATCCCGACAGTCAGATGCCATACGGCCGACTCTGTCACTAATCTTTTCCCATTGCTGGCCCAGCTCCGCTACAGCGCTGATGGGTAATGCTTAGTAAGAGTAAACCAGGAGCTTGCGAATGAGGGCTTACTGTTTGAGCATCGAGTCCTCTATGGGCATCCACCGTCCTTGCTGTTTAAGGGGATGATTCTTCCTTCGGACATGGTGGTAGACCGCAATGATTGGACGGAGAGAGACAGCGCTTGCTAGGAAAATGTATACATTAGCACCCTGAAAAAGACGGATCAAGTAATTAACTCACTGATTTCAGACCAGAATGCATTGTCCCTGTCTTTAGTATTTCTGGGGAAGATGATGTCCACCAATGCGTCTTGAGAGATTCCAGTTCTCTGCATCAGACACTGCCATGTAAGAGAGGTCCATTAAAAGCAATGGTAGTACAACTAACCGCACGATAGTTCTCAATAGCCTTGTTCAGCTGGGCTTCCTCGATGGCAGAGAACTTCCCCTTTTTATAAACGAGACCTGATGGTAATTTCGGTATTACAGTGATGCGAGCACATAGAACGACCCAACAAGCTGACCTTCAGTTTTCACCATTTCTGCCAATCTGTTCGCACTCAACCACTTGGTGGCGAGCATATGCGCATGTTCGGGGTTATCGGTCGCATCCACGGGTGGTAGATTGATGTTCGTGATTCTACTGCGGTGTACTGGCTTCGCCAGCTGCTTCGGGGGAATCCCAAGAATACGATTTGAGGATGAAGGATTTTGATCCACCGGAACTGAACTTGCATCTCGGGGAGGCTGAGACACGAGAGAATCCAAGAATCCAAGGGGGACGTTAGCTGCAGCAGCTGCCTCACTTAGAGTCTTTAGCACGTTTGTGATCTTGGAGACATCTAAGTCTTGCATGATCCGTATAAGGTCATCATTCGACCCGAAACCAAAATCGAATGGAACATTAGCACCAAAGAGCTGTGGAATTTCGGACGATGTCGAAGGAATCGACGAAGGATACAGGTAGAGTGGAGAGGGGAGAGGATAAGGCGCAAACTGTAGAGGCTGAGCGTCACAGACAGGAAGGACCGGTTGAGGATACGATATTTCCGGAGAAGACTGAGCGGGAGCGTTCGAGGTAGCGGAAGCAGCAGATAGCACGGCATTCAAGAAGGCCGTTTGTATATCCATGCTTGAACCCGGCGACTCGACGTCCGTAGTAGGCGACTGAGGAGAGCAATTTTTGTTTACCTTGGACTTGGACCTTTTCTTCTTTGACTCCGTCACCACTGAGTCTACAACCTCAAGTTGAATATCTGCGAGCGGTTCCTGGACAACCGCAGTTTTCCTCTTTTTCTTCTTCCTCTCCACTAACTGCTCTCCTCCGCCATCTTGTCTCTTCGATTCGTCTTGCCTGGCGCGTTTCTTACCTTTTTTGGGGGTACGACCATCCTGCGCGTGGCCGTTTGTAAAGGCATTGTTGGCTTGGCCTACAGCGTGCTGAAGCGCTAGCTGGATATCAGATGTGAGACCAGGCTGTGTTTGAGCATCCATGAGAAATGCGATCCAGTGGCACTGAGGGCACAATTTAGGGTGGGCAACACCGCCAACTCCGCCCCACGGAAACGGGCGGCATTTGCCGTTCACTACACTTGCCATTTAGGGTTGCGCGAAGGAATGCATAACTGATTTACATAGACACGAGTGTACAATGGAAAACATCCATACTAAGTTATGAAAAATCCAATGATCCGCGACGACGAGATGGATACGATTGTATCAAACGTTCATATCAAGCAGTGGGTGGCTGCATGGCCAAGAACGCGGCTAAGTCACGGGCAACTACGCTAGCGAGCCTGGTGGATGGATGTATATGATCGTACCAGATGGTGCCTCCCATCACACGAGTGTCCTGAGCACGCATCCCGTATGCCGTCGGGGTATCGAGTACACTACTGAAGGTTCCCCAGGATGAGAATACCATAGACGTGACATCGGGATGTAGTGCAGTGAAATTAGCAACTGCCGATCGTAGTTCTTCGTTCCATATCAAGAACGGTTGAGCGAAAGTGTTGTTACCATCGATAGGGCCTAAATAAACATAATGAGAGGCCTTCTACAGAAGCCGTGATTAGGCGACCCACCTACAGGGGAGCGGTGGATAGGAGGCACATCAATAAATACGAAATTTCTGGCTCCCGCTCGATAGAGTTGTTCTTGCGCAGCAAAAAGATTTCTGACGATCTCTTGAATTTCTCTTCGGTCGTTCGTATAGCTGTGGAGCGATGCCTATGATCAGTGGCGCACGTTTGTCAAACTAACGACACGCACAGCAGCCGGCAGTCGTTGGTGCCAACCCAAGTCACTAGTGTGCCAATGTCAGTAATTCGAATTTTACCATCATTTTGAAACCCCACCAAATAAGGTCTCCGCGGCAGTCCAGGAAGCCCATCGTGGCTTCCTTCCGACGGTAGGAAGAAATTGCTCCAGGATCTGACGCCTGACACCGGGGGCAGTGTCACCCCGCACGGCGTAGTCATATACCAGTATATTGGCCTGTCCATGGGAGTGCGACGTGATGAGGTGCCCAACCCAGTTGGACTGTCCGGGTTCATTGACAGGGACGCCTGGAAACGGGACACCGAGCGGTCTCGCCGCCGTTGGCGGGGGTGCTTGTGAATGGTAGCCAACATAGCTGTAGGAGTCACCACTACAGGTAGCAGGGCAGTCATGAAATCTTGTTGTACCAACCGATTTTCAGAAAGACCTACAAGATGACTAGCTTTTTAATGCCGCCATAGCCTTGCCAGTAGGGACCGAGTCTATAGGTGCTCGACATCCTGAGTGTTGGTAGTGAAGTATTCGGGTTGATGCTCTCGAACAACAAGCTGTCGGGAGCTTATATACGACGCTAGGTCCTCGAGAATCGAGAGAATGTGGGCATTGAATCCCTACGGGAGAATGTGGGGTTATCCAACATTGATCGGGATACTCGAGTTGCAATAAATTTGGCCATAAGTCCTGGTTCACAGCTCGGCCATTGAGCAGCTACTTGCTCGCCGAGTCATAAGGTAGAATTGTCCGTATCATAGGAAGGGTTTCGGTGATAACTCACCCATAATTGTAATAAGGAGCTGTGTCGGGTCGACGACAGGGTCATGTCCGTGAGAAGGCCAGAAAGTAAGGCAAATGCAGAGCGAGAAGCGGAACAGTGCAACATCTCAGTCGAGCGTATCAATTTGTCGTGGGATAAGGGGAAATCCCAACAATACGCGAACGCCGTCCCCGGGCCCAATTCAGACAGAGCCCCAAACCCTGGCTATGTAGATTCCAGTTTGCCGCCCAATCGTTCAAGACATCTGTTATACAACCAAGATGCCTTTATTAGCGGCATTGTGGATCGAGAATTTTACATCGGAGATGTCTCCTCATCTTCCTCATCAAACCAGCGGTCTTCTGTCTCTCGATCACTGTCATCCCATTTCTCCTCCCAGTCGACTTGATCGTACAAGTCCGTCTGTGATAATGTGCTCAATATGAAGAAACACGATGAGTAGATGTAACACGCACTTCCAACAGACCGTATATGAAACGCTCCCGAATGCGCCGCTGAAACAGGGCCTGTGAGTCGCCAGAGGCCTCAGGCTCCTCCTCCACAGTAGAGACATCCTCTTCATCAGAGCTTTCGTCTTCTTCGGGGACGAACTCCTCGTGCATCGCCTCCTGTCTGCGAATTACTCGGACGCGTTCGGCCTCGCGCTCTTCCTCATAATCGCCTAGAAGAGCGCCGAGCTTGCCTACGTAAGGCTTGCTTCCTCCCCCAAGGAAGGCATTCTCCACCCACTCCTTCTCCTCGCGACCTTCATCCTGTCCACGGCGCTCGCGGCCGTCCCAGAGAGTGGGCCATTGAGATCTGGCAGCGGTGAAACGCAACTCCGGTGGATCCGTAAGAGCAAAACGGAACCGCCTATTACGGACGGCTGCAACGGTAGACCGTTGCCGTGGGGTGGTGACGAAGGAAAAATGCCTGAGTAATTCAGGTGGGAGTTGGTGAAAGTGTTGGACTACAAACTCGATGGGAGCTTGCGAGGGGGATGGGCTGTAGTCATCCGGTAAACCTAGGTACGATAGAATGCGAATGTGATCAAACGTTTGGGAAGAGCTCATGTCTGTCGGAACAACTGGTCTCTGCGATAACAACAAGTGTAAGTCATTCAAGAAAACTTGGCCCACACTACGAACAGGGACAGCTGTAACCGGATCTCACCTGGACGAGATCAGGGATTACGTAACCGTTCACATGCGTCATATGGGCGCTTGTAGAACCCGGGTGCCTGTCGACCCAGCCGTCATGAGCCCCTCCACTTTACAAGATCAACAGGCCAGTGAAGGAGACAACCCTCTATTGGACATTGTTCTCGTTGTATTCATCCATGGGTAGACTTGATGGTACAGGCCATCTATTGTTTGGCTTTACTAATGCGATCTTGGCGAATGCGCGCTTGCAGGTTCAAAGGCACCGACACAACCTTTGGCAGTTTTCCTTCCAGACTCAGGCACGTCCTGTCCGACACCCTTCGAAATGTCAAGGTTGAATGTATAGTTTTCCCCGCATACGAGGTAAGAAAATGTTTGCTCCTCTGCAAAATTGGACTCTGAGACGTATGCTTTCATTGGACAGACGAAAGGCGAATTGGTGAATACAGTCATCCACGCTACCTTCGTCTCTATCTCAAACCACCGTGTAGAGAGAAGCGGTAGAACGCTTTGCTGACTGGCTTACCACTCTGACCGTCAACAAAGAGGTAGCCTACGGAGTTGGGGCTGGAAGAGCGAAAGTTGTCCTCTGTGGTCACAGTATGGGGGGTCTTCTTGCGGCCGACTCCCTTCTCGAGTTCGTCAACACACGCCCGGACAAGCATGCCCCTCTTTGGCCAAACATCGTTGCATGTCTTGCATATGACACCCCCGTGAGTGCTTATCCGCCTCGCCGAAGAATGGTCCAATACTTACAGCACCATCAGTATCTCGGCCTTCATCCACATGTCTTCAAAAACAGCGCTCAAAAGGTGGGAACCTACGTGCAAACTGCCCGTGAAGCCGCTTCTGGTCTATGGAGTTCTTGGGCTGCTTTTAGCAATACGAAAGCCGCGTCGTCATCAAACGCCACAGAACCTGTCGGGCTTCTGTCTCCTCCCGTCAATGCGGCGAAGGGACCTTGGGCTAAATTTACCCCCGCTGCGTATGCCATCGGTGGCGCAGCGCTTGCAGGCGCCGCTGCGGGTACGGCATATTATCGCCGCACTGAGATTGGCACAGGCTACAGTGCGGTGCTTGACCACATGAAGTACGTCGGGAATTTGTGGAACGAAAAGATGCTAGTAGACAGGCTGGATGCCCTAGTCCAAGCGGAAACTGTACACGGGGTAATTTTTCGAGCGTGCGTCAATCTTAATCCTTGTAAACATTTGACAAGATTTATAACTGGTTGATAGATTTTACACTGTCCTCTCGCATGGGCCGCTTTCACCAAGGGACCGCACGTTTATCGTCCTCCCGAAATTATCTCCCGTGATAGATCACTTTCTGGGAGCACAAAATAATTTGGCTACCGATGAGGTGCAAGCGCATGTAGGGATCTTTGAACCTTCAACGAACGATGGATATTATGAGCTAGGGATGATGACTGCGAGATTAATTCGGGAGGCAGTGATGAAGGACAGGGGGTTCCGTGTTGAAGACGAAATCCCTGACACCACGAAGTCCGTCGAAGCTGATCTTTGGGACGTAAAGGGCGATTCCGGGATTCCACCAAGAACAACGCGTTTGGGTGACGGACAAGGAGTTATTGATGATGATGTGGTGACGGGAGGGGCATGAGTTGAGACCTGGACAACGTTGTGCTGAGCTTGCAGCACGCCCATATTTTTCCAGTATACTTTATTCCATATGTAACACGATCGGATACATCCCGCTACCAAATGGTATTGTATCACTGTTTCAGTGACAGTTGCATCGCATACGCATCTTCTCCATCGGCATCTGTGGCAAGTGATCCGATAAGCATTGCACGCAGGGTCCGCGGAAGTGATGAACAACTCACAATACTCCTTCTCAATATCTTTGACGGTGAAACCAAGTGTGTCGCGGTAGAGGCTCAGAGCGGCGCGGTTCGACTTACGGACATGCAGTGAGACATATGGTGCTTTGTATATCGACGCCATTGCCTCTTCTATACCATGATGCGGATGCCATCAAAAAACGGATCAGCTTCGGGGAAGATGGGAGAGGAAAACTAAGGAAAGATGACATGTCACAGGACGCACGAGATTGTATCATCAACTTTTTAGCAAGTCCAAGGCGGCGGTATGAGCGCAGCACAGAAATGGAGGTGACATGCCCATGAATCTCTTCTCCAGGGCTAGGATCGTCTTCCCTGAAATATATAATGGTCAGAATTCCTGGCACAACTATAGTACGAGATCAGAACGAGAATTTGAGGCGATGAGAACTGTGGGAAGGGTGACTTGTGAGGCTGGGACGTACATCTTTGCAAGGATATATCCAACGATGCGACCTTTCTCGTCCTCGGCGACGTATGAAAGTGATGGCCACGTCATAGCATGATACAGGTCTGTTATCCGAGTAAATGTGATGGTTGTGAGGAGGCTCAAGACAAAAAAAGCATAGATGAACGTACAATATCTCAGGGTATAATTCTCGGGCAAATTTTGCAGGTTACAGGCCTGCATCCCCATCAGGTCTTCTACCTACGAACATATCAGCGATCGAATGGACAATAATAAGAAGGTTTACCCGTGCTGGCCGAATGTTCATGATGTAGCTGAGGACAAGAGCGCGAAGCTGGAATCAGGGACGTCGACGGTCCGGGAAAGAAGTGACGTGACGTGACGCGTCCGCGGCCCTAGTACTGAATATGGTTGGGTACTACATGCTACAGTATACGTAGAGCGACCATCTTCTGTGTAGGGTCAGCGGAGACTAGTGGGGGCCTGGATGGGAGACAAAAATTTCATTCAATGGTGGTAAACCACTGATGCAGCACATTGGGTTGACTGTAAGCTGAACCCAAGCGGTTGATTACATAACGCACAACCGAAATTTGAGTGAACAAGGTGCCGAGAGCGCGTAGATTGTACAGACACGAAATTATCGCTCAATATTACGCTGCGCCCGACGCTCGACTGTTTTGTAAAGTGAACGGGCAGAGCTTACTTTCCCTTGGATATCGCGCTCAACAATACTCTCATAATGGTAGGCACGCGGCGGATCTCTAGATTTCCCAGATTTGAGTGATAATAACTTACAGCCAGTACTGCACTACTGGAGACTACTGGGCGCTGGTCACAGGTCACCAGTCTTGTCTTTCGTCTCGCGCTCTAGGATGGTTTGGTATACAGAAACACGAGGCGCTTGTCCCTGTGACCATTCCTCCGGGCCATGCTTTCTTCTCACCGCAGAAAACCCGCCCAAACTTCTCCCGCTTGCCCCACGGCAGCCCGGGCCAGTACTTAAAGCTATATAGATCATAGGGATGCCCGGTCAACCTGGGTCCTGGGCTCCGCTTGTCACCTCTGGTCTCGCTCTTCACTCCTCGAATCTCGCTTTGAGATATGTCTGCAGCCCGCGATGCTCCCTTTCAGGTCGATCAGGAAAAACAGGAGCCTGCTGAGATTCATGTCTCCGCATACCAGAAACACCAGAGCGAGTTGGATGCAGTGTTTGGAGGTCCTGAGGAGCGTAAACGAATTGAACGAAGGCTATTATGGAAATTGGATTTAAGAATGTCCATATTGATCTTCATCTACATCCTCAACTACGTGTGTCGACTGATACCAATGTGCCTTGCCCGTACCGTCTACTGATCTCCCTAAATTGAGATAGATTGATAGAAATAATGCTGGGTAAGTCGTTATTGCTCCTCCACGATGGCGCCTTTGAATTACATGTCTTCGTAGAGCGGCCAGGCTGAGAGGTTTCGAAGCAGATCTCCACCTGAAGGGGCAAGAATTCGCCACACTCTTGTCCATTCTATACGTTGGATATATTTTAATGCAAATCCCATCGTAAGCACAATATTCAACCTCGCTAACTTATCCTGCTAAACCATTCCTCCAGTAATATGTTTTTGAACTGGATAGGAAAGCCATCTATCTATCTTCCATGCTGTATGATCATTTGGGGTACGATATCCGTGTTGACTGGTGAGCGTTCTTCGATGGAACCTTATGATTCAGCTTTAATTAATCTTTGGCAGGAATCACGAAGAAGTGAGTATTCTGCTCCTAGCCTCACTTGAGCCAACCTCAAATCACCCCTAGTTTTGTCGACGCACTACTCACACGATTCTTCCTTGGCTTTGTCGAGGCTGCGTTCTTTCCCGGTGCACTATTTCTATTATCCAAGTGGTACACCAAATCCGAGCTTGGAGTTCGAACGGCCATATTGTACTGTGGTAACATCATCAGCAATGCCTTCGGATCCCTCATGGCAAGTGGCATCTTAGACGGGATGGATGGTAGGCTTGGCCATGCAGCCTGGAGGTATGCGAGACACTTTTTGAGAAGAGGATCGTGACGATCACACTGACGATATTGGAATTCTCATTCTAGGTGGTTATTTTATATCGAAGGCGCCCTCACCATCTTCTTCGCAATCATTGCTTTATTCGTTTTGCCTGACTTTCCGACGACGACACGCTGGCTTACGCCGCAGGAGCGCTCACTGGCCTTGAAACGCATGGCATCTGACTTTGCCGGGATCGGTGATCAAAATGAGACGGAGACAGGTGGACATACCCACGGACTCAGGCTCGCCCTAACCGATTGGAAGGTCTGGTGGTTGTCGCTCGCCATGACAAGCAATGTCGTTTCCTTGTCATTTAACGCATATTTTCCAACTCTCAGTGCAACGCTGGGGTACGGAAGAACGATCACGCTGGTGCTTTGTGCCCCACCATTCATAGTGGCTGCAGCTGCAGCACTTCTTCTTGCTAGGTACTTATTGAGCTTCAGTCTGAAAAAGGAGTCTTTTTTTGACATCAACCATAGGCATTCCGATAAATCGGGAGAGCGCTTCTGGCATGTTTCAATATCACTCGCTCTGGGAATAGTTGGTTTCATCATTGCTATTTCCACAATGAATACTGCTGCACGTTACGTTTCATTGTTAGTTCTCTCTTTCACTCTGGGGTCCGTCTACTGAAACTGAAAAAAAAACAGATTTCTGATGGCTCAATCCTACGCTGGGTTTGTGTGTTTCTACACATGGCTCAGTAACTCATTTCCACGACCGCCATCCAAACGAGCTGTGGCCCTCGCATTTATCAATGCGTTTTCACAAATGGGCAATATAGCTGGATCGTGAGTCAGAATATTTCTCTACCTTTTGGATGTCTGACATGCTCGTACATTGATAGTTATGTTTGGCCATCAATGTGGGGCCCGACCTACCGTAATTCGTATGCAATTTGCATTGCATGCCAGAGCTTGACTATTGTGATGTTGTGGATTTTCCGGATGCATCTGAAAGCTCTAAACGAGAAGATGGATCAGGATGATGAATCAAAGGACATCAAGGAGAAAGGCTTCAGATATATGCTGTGACTCTCGCTCACTGATTTCTTTGATCCACCGAGTAATATATACTTCCATTACATGCAAATGCGTGGCTTCAAAGTTATGGTACAACAATATGGCCTATGAAACCAACGAGTGATGCAAGGTATGTGCTTATATGCTTCTCACATTCCGAGACACCCTCTACAACGCGGTTGACATACTGCCGTCTCCCTGTAGCTGCTGCATCATCCTCTTCAGTTCTGCCACATCTGCCAGAAGACCATTTGTGCTTTGCCCAGTAGTGGGACCGATGCGTCGTTGCACCATCTGATAAGGTAGCCTTCCCGTCATCCATCGACAACCATCTGTCCAATTGGGCACCGATGGAACGGGCTTTGAGACGGAAGTGAGTGCGGATGACGTCTCCGAATGGTTCAGGAGGATTTCTTATATTGCCGAGCATCTGTGAACCAAAGTAATTGTAAGCAGTCGAATGAATGTTGAGATAAGCCTTATGATGAGAATTCTCACTGCAGTCTTGATGACCATCCTTCGAACGTTCGCCGAATCTGGAGATGACATAGTGAGTGGACTAAGAGCAAAATGAACAACGACACGAACTATGATTGCTTACAGGCTATAGATTGGGGAGTCCCGGCACTATTTGCCCACCCGGGCTCGTTGAGGTATGGTTCATCGCACAGGATCATCGACTGGATAGATATGAGAACCTGTGGAAATAGTAGATCAGTAATTATAGGCGTCATGGAAAACCTCCCATACGCACCTGCAAGAGGGTCGATTTCCCGGATACCCAACCGGGGCCTGCCCACGTTCCCAGCAATGACAAGCAAACCTTTCCATCCTATAATATAGAGACATTTAATAATTTGGAGGCAATGAACAGTCATGGCGAACTTACCGCGTAAAGATTAGGGTTGAAGCGATATTTACCTCCGTTGGTCTACCGGATCATTAGAATTCATGCTAAGATGATGGTAAAGCCAAAGCTGACCGTCATGTACTTCACACTCGGTGGCGAGTGATTGTAGGAATTACCGAGAAAGATATCGAACAGGAAACTAACTTGAGATCAACACATGAATATACTCTCCAGAAGACAAGACACTTACCAGCCATTTTGATAACTAGTTATGAACGCGTGACTGATCAGGATATGGAGGTGCAGAGTCAACATAGACTCACGGTGTACCCTCTGGACCAATGATGAGTGCCTTGATGATATCTACACGGCTTTCATCGACTCGAAGAAATATTGACGAATCCCAAGCGACGGGTAAATTGGTGGTAAGCACCGCAAGCTAGGCACGATTGTCTGTTCATACGTGAGTTTTGGATTCTGCAACGGTAACGTACCTCCTTTGCAATTGCTAAGGAACGTTTCGGAATGTCGGACGACGCGAGCATACGTGCATCATTGTTGAAGTAGAATTTGTAGTTAGGCGCTTCGTCAGATGTGCTCTCGCCTTGAGGGACTGGGACTGTCAAGTCGCAGTATTCGAACCTAACTCGAGTCGCCCACTCTACATATATCTTCTGCATCGCTTCGTCCGTTGCTCCTGCATCCACCACAATGTTAGCGGTGGATGAAGATGACGATGACGACGATATTTTTGGAAGCGCATCGTGTAATCGCTGGAGGAATGTGTCGCCCTTCGTCTCGCGTAACGAACGATCAATGGCGTTGGCTGTCGCAAGTATCCTATTGCAGAACTTCAAGAGTTTCTCGTTTTCCTCCGATTGGACAACAGGGGCAGTCTCCTTAGCTTTCCCCTTCGAGTCATTTGTCACCCGTTTTTGCTCTTCTGTCATCTCTGTAGGTGCAGTTTCTACCACCTTGACACCCTCCAACCCTTTGATGGCAGCTTGCGCTTGAATGACAATAGCTTCCATTAACTCTCGAGGGCCGGAACTCCCTTCGTAGATGATAGTGCGTTCACGAGGAGGAGGAGTACCATTTGACGGCCTCTTTGTTGGATTTGTCCGAACCGACATGACAACCATTATGGGCATGGCCATCATGCTCGCTAGGGCTTCGTGGTTTGAGATGGTCTATAGGTTGATGCGTTAACAGTGCGGCAAGGAGCATAGAAATTAAACATATACCTCCAGCCATTCGAAGAGTTCAAAGTAAACAGCGGATCGATCTGACATATCCGTAAGGGAATCATTTCGAAGTAGAGAGCTGCAAATATTGTTAAATCGTCGTCGAAGGTGCGCGAGTGCCGTAGGATGGACGAGGTAATCACTAGTCCGTCCGCCGCCTTGGCGGTGTAGAGAGGGTAGGTATACGCGAATCTGTGTCATTAAGTCACCGAGTTTCTCGTCTTTGGTCTTTTGTATCATTTGGGCTTCAGCTTGACCAGTGGTCTGCAACGGACAACTCAGTAGCGGAACACCCGACGTAAGCGAGATTCGCTCACATCTTCTTTCACCTCACCGGCGTATCCTATCCCGACTTTCGATTTCTTTCCTACAATAGGATTTGTAGGATAGATATCGTCGTCATCGTCCCCATCTACAGCCATCGTAGGAGTTATTACCTCCACCTTTCTCCGTTTGTTCCGCCCCTTGCTATCTTGGCTACCGGAAATGAGTTGGACATGTTCGTGGTATAAGTGTTCAAGCATCGCAAGCCCAATGCCTAAAATTACTCCTTGCAGGTTTGAACAATGAAATAGGTCGTCGTCATCTGTATCTGTTGTCCGTTCCTTTGCCTGACTGAAGGGTTCTCCACATGCGAAACATAATTCTTTGTGGCACTGCTTGCATTCTCGACGAATAACACTGCGCAACTGTTGGATGAACGTCGGGAAAGAGGACTTCTCGCAAAGATGAGAGTTTGGCTCGTAATGAGATCCAAAGCCGAGTGCTTACATAGATGGCAAAAAAGTCACTTTTCTTTCTTGTGATAGAATATCCACAGCCATGAGGGCAGAAGCACTCCCCTTCACTGAGTTGTGAATAGAGGCTGAACAAAAAGCCTTGCTCTCCACCTTCAGGGCAGCCCTTCATCCATTGTCCTTGAGTCATAAGCTGGACGTCCTCATTGACCCCGTCCAAATGAACGGTCTCAGGTTGCTCCTCAACCTCAATAACCTCTTCACGTCTATCCTTAGAGAAGAATATTCCTGCAAGCAAATGAGCGTGCGCCACACAAAGTGAAGTTGATCTGCTATACCGGCGTAAGGGTCAATACCCGTCCTCGATTTCTCGTCGGAAACCTTCACTTCCTCATCAGAATCGTAATCCACATATTCATCTGTGAGTCGGTCGGTGAATGAACGCCACACGTAGGAGTTGAACTCTTCGACAACATACCATCGTCTGCTTCCTCATCATCTTCAACATTCTCATTCAATCCATCACCCTCGTCATCGGGGGTCTAAAGACACGTGAGATACGCGTAAATGTGAGTGTTCTGACCTTTAAACTGAATACCTACCACGAGCCTTCCTGTATTCGCCTGCGCACGTCCCGTCGCGTTCGCAGGAGCGGTAGTCATGTATACGTCGCCGTCTCCATCCACGACATCGTCGAAGGCGCCGTCAAAGATTCGCTCTGCTGCCTGCATGACGTCTTTGTATCTTTTGAGAGCAGCCCGTGCCTGCGCTGGAGTAGCTCCCTGCAACGCGAAGTCAGGTTCAGTGGGGATTCCGATAATGTGGTAGACATTCAGACAGCCGCACCATTTCGACAAGTTGTCCTATCTCGCCGTCCATGTCTGTGGTTTGAACGACCAAGAGGTGCAGATGGGAGCTCACAATGCTGTATAAGTACCAGGTGAAAACAAGGTATTATGCAGATTTGAGATGCGCGCAGCGATATATGTTATTACATAATAATAAACGCAAACCAGGCATATGTTGTTCTTCCCGCCCTTTATGGTAACTATGGTGTGCATAACAGGCAAGCGCACTCCTTTTGCGCCCTTTTCCACCCTTCCAGTCAATCTGAAATAATCGAATTGCCCATACAGTAATGACTACTGGGGAAATTGTTATGACAGATGGGCGCTATTTATCGACGTAGCAATCTCGGAGATTTCGTACCCGTTCGCGTTCTGGGGATGATCATCTTCCGACCTTCCTTTCAAACCGTTTGACATCGGACCAGACAGTAACAGCCCGCAGAGCGGACAAGACACTACTGTTACACCAAGTTTGCTTTGTCGAATATTAAGCAATGCAGCAAGAACAAAAGAGCATGGCAAGATCAGAATATGAACATGGTATGCATGTGAGATGCAAAGACATTTATTGATCCATGTCGAAGAAATTTTACGTCTGCCTAACTGTTACCATCGTTCCAATCCCACCTCTGACAATGATCAGGGCGCGCTACACATACGAGTCGGCCATGAGGAAAGAGGCAACCATAACGGACAGATACAGACAACTCGCTCGGATGGAGGCAGATTCCCGATCAATATCAGGGCCGACCGAGTAATCTCAGCCTGTCGGGATGCATCCCTCCAGGTCCAGGGGGTATTGATCCATTGCTTGAGCTTCCTGAAGGGGGGCCCTGGCCACCTGGAGGACCGTTGAAATTGGGAGGAGGGCCACCTCCTGAACCAAAGTTCGGTGGGAACGGTGGTGCACCAGGAGCGCCAACGTTTGAGGGAGGGAAAGGCGGCACTGATGGAGGGGCGTATTTCGCATGTTATCCTGCTCAATAAGGATGTGAAAAGGTACGGATAAACGTACCTCCTGGGAAGCCGGAAGGAGGGCCCATGCCTGGCGGCATACCGCCATTCGGAGGGAAAGGTGGTGCACCAGGGGGTATCATACCAGGTGGAAACCCACCCGCGGCAGGTGGAAACGGTGGCATAGCTACTACGGCTGTTAGGAAGGTGAAACGAAAACAGACGAAAACAACGCACGGAATCCACCAGGAGGACCTCCAAACCCTCCAGGGCCACCGAATGAGGGCGGCCCTCCAAACGATGGCCCACTGGGCGCAAGATGCTGTGGCCCGAATCCAAACCCACCGGGTGGTGGTCCGCCACTAGACTCATAAGCCGACGTGATTTGGTCAATGATACTTTGCGCTTTGTCGTGTCCGAGAGCTAGAACAGTATCAGCAGCTATCGCACGAATGATGTAAGTTATACACACAGGCGTAATAATCCCGGACGTTGGCCAAGTGATTGCGTCCGCTGTTGTGAGCCTTGCGGACTATAGGAGGATAGGCGGTCAAGTGGTGGGTCAGAAAGAAAGGCGCGCAAAGCTCACCGGAGGCGGAGTCGTGTGTGAGATACACGTCACAGTAGTCACAGTAGTGTTTCTGGTGAGATGCCCATGAGTTGTATGAAATCGTAAACAAACGGACGATACACACTGGCATGGTGGTAACTTGTTGATGTCGAGAGCGCCACTTGTCAAAACAAACGGATGAATACGATGGTGCTGGGTTTGTACCTCGTGGGAACCACGTGCGGAGCGGCCCGTCAATTCACCGCTGCATATGCTGAACTTGCTCAAGAAAACTCTACGATCCAAGAGGTTGCCAGGATTTTCCTCTCCATCTTCTTCGTTAACATAGGCTACGCATTGTTACAAGCATTCTGAACGTGGGCATCATTGTGTTTATTACTCGTGCTGTGATCACGGAGTGTCTCTATCATCAATGGACTTGTCCGCCTCTGGTATTCAAGAGCCCTTCGATCTCATCCGGCTCTCCCTCAGCGAGCGTGTATTCGTCAAGTTGAGAGGCGATCGAGAGCTCACAGGGGTTCTTCATGTGCGTAATCCATTCGTAACATGAATTATCGACATCCAAATATATTTTCCACCCGAGTTTAGGCATACGATGGACACATGAACCTTATTCTAAGTGATGTCGAAGAGACAATCATGCTTGTTGATGCGGCAGAGGGCGCACTACCATCACAAGGCGTCATTAGTGTACGCCGTTTGCCTTGCCTCATTGCCAGCATCACACTCCCGCTTCCCCTCATCTGATCTCTTGTTCGCAGATGGCTAAACGGAAGATGCCAATGTTGTTCGTTCGCGGTGACGGTGTCATCCTTGTATGTGACGATTTCTCCTTGTATCGCCACGATGACGGACTGTCCTGATTAACAATTATCTATAGGTATCACCACCTTCTCGAACTTAATCGAGCAAAATGAGCCCACTACGCGGGACGTCGTCGTTTTATCTGTAGACTCGGGTATGATACAGGCGACCTACACATTTCCGAAGCCCCGGATCGAAGCGCTAATATATTTTTCGGCAATATGTGCTGTACGGGATCGTTGAGTGCCTGGTTCCTTTGTATTCTCTGCTTCGCAGGAATTACATGGCTGATTATGAATGTATCGGTTGCTAAGAATACAGCACTGTGAATGGTGGAGCTGCCACCGACTTGTTAGAAACCCTTTCTGAGCGGGTCATGGTAGCATCGTCCTCGGGCACGTGTCTAATTAACTTCCCGCAACGTTCTCAACACTACAATCCTGAGCCGAGATAATTGGAGAGTTGTGACCATCACGCTTTGACTTGGTATCGATGGTCATCTACATATATATGGGAACTAATCTATCAGATCTAGTCGCATCGGCTGTGTACGGCTACACTGACGAGTTACAGGAGAACACGTCTACAGCTATGCAGACAACACAATGAATATACTGGATACACTAATCCAACACTTCTGACCTCGATTGCTTCTTGCTACAGATCACGATGCAACTCGTTAGAATCTGTTCCCGCTCCCTGAGCCTGGAAGTGAATTCAGTGCAGGACTCTCGCGACCAGAACTCGATCTAGCAGTCCCTTCCGCCCCCTCATACGTCTTCCCAAAGAAAAAAGAGGACGCGTGCTGCTCAACCGCGCTAAAAGTACTTCGAAGCGTGCGCTTCATGCTCCTCCCCCTCCGGTCGATCTCCCCACGACTCGAACTTGGGCCTAGTGGTCCTATACTCTCCTCAGTGCTCCTGATCTCATCGTGGTACAGAACGCCGTTCGTGCCGGGACCACCATTGAACGCGGCATGTACTGATTCCTGTAGTTCCCTTGTCTGCGCCATACGTGGTCGGCCCCGCGGGCGTTCTCTATCTTCCATCCCTCCACCAGCGCCATTGACTCCACCAGCATGTACTCCATTCGCCCTAGCGTGCGGACGTGATGGGACAGACCTAGTCATAGGAGGAAACCCCGTTAAGTGCAAAGTGGATGACCCTGCCTCCTGCGCCGCTGGAAAGGTCCCAGAATCCATCGATTTTTGTCCCTGCCCATTCACGACGGGTGCCGACGGAGGTGACATGGCGCGTGAAATCGAAGGCCCAGAGCCGCTAGCCCCCCGTCCGTGTCCGAGCTCGGCAAAGACAAGGTCAGGTGTCAGCGCGCCGCCCCGGAGTGCCGTCGACCCATCGCTATATGTCCGAAAGAAACCGGCTGCACTGCCATCACTCGGGGCGGGAGAGGAGGGTGGAGGCGGCCCAAAGACTGGTCGTGAAAGAAAAGGCACCCAACGTGAACGGGCAGAAGATGCAAGTCCGGCGGAAGGGGCAGATGGTCCTGGAGTGGACGTGCTTGCACCAGACCGTTGATCCCAAACAAGTGCAGTGGGAAGCTCGTTGGTATCGGGAGAGCGCGATGTAGAAGCAGGGGGTTGAGAAGATGTTTGCAATTGGGACGTCGATGCCCCGCTGCCGTTGACTTGTGCAAAGCGGCTCAGATCGCTGTCTGTTGGCCCTGGGTTAGCATTGGTCGGAGGTTGATCATCATCGGGATCGTCTGTCTCCATCTCTGCGTCGTCGTACCCGTTTGGATAACCATCATCGTCATCGTTATCGGAGTCTGTCCTCGTCTCGTCTGTGATACTTTTGAAAAGAACCAGTAGATATTCGCGGAGTTTGCCGACGCCGTCGCCAGAAAATACGCAGAATGCTTGTTGTTGCGTGGTGTTAAAGTCCTGTCAACAAACAACATAAATGTCAAGTTGCGAAAAAAGAATAAGCAGGCATACTGGTGGAGGCGGTCGGCAAAACTTCTGTAGCTCGGGTCTCCGAAATGATGTCACACCAGTCAAACTCAGATGATTGAGTTTATGCAACTTCTGGAGGAGGAAATGAATGGCCAAAACTGTGATCTGGTCACAGTATGAAAGGTGGACACGCTCGAGCGTGGCGTGCCGATCACTGAGCGCATATATAGCCTCATCCGTTATATTGCTGACGCGTACAAGCCCAATCCGCCGAAGTTTTTGCAGGCTGCATAACTCGAATACAGACATATCCGTAAGACGGAAGCAATCTGAAGCCAAGGAGCATTTAGTGAACTGGGAACAATGCATGAGAAGTAACGCACTCGCGAGATCAATATACCTCAAGCGTGCGCATGAGCGAGCAAGCATTGTTACTGAGCGGTCGGTTATTTCGGTCGCGTGTCCCAGGTGCAGATAGTGCAGATGCTTCCCAAGTCGACATATGCTCTCAACAGCATGATCTGTCAGATTACTGCACTTAGCGAGAACCAAGTTTCGAATTTTAGGTGCGCAGGCTACGATGCCATCTATGGCATCGTCTGTGATGTGTGAGCAATTCGTGAGATCAAGCATCCGTAGATGTTCAAAAGGTCGGTTGAGTCGTAAGGATGGGAGTTCCTGGGAAAGCTTGACGGCCGAGGATTGGGGGAATGGGTTGTTTGGTGGTTGCGTTGAAGGAGAGGGGTCGTACGCTAGAGGGGGCGCAGGGAAGGCAGAGTCAGTGAGCTCAACGCAATGCGACAGACGCATTTCCCGCATATAGTGCGAATGCATCCAAAGGTCGCGTACAGCGACATCGGTGATATGTCTACATCCGTTCAAGTCGATTTCAAGAAGCAGTGGGCTCTTGATGGAGAGAGCTGAGACAGGCTCATCAGAGAGCTGATATAAGTTGCTCATTTTGACACGGCGTAGAAGATGGCAGTTATCGGCAAGAGCAAGGATCCCAACAGACGTGACGTTCTTGCAGCCGAACAGGTTGATGCCTTGGAGTTTGCGGCAGTTCGCTGCAAGAGCGAGCATCGTTCTGTCCGTGATTTCCGAGACTCCAGAAAGATCGATGGCAACGAGACTTTTGAAACAAGGCAATACGCGTGCGAGCGCAGTGTCTGTGAGGGAGCTGCAGTTGAGGAGGGTGATACGTTCGAGGCGGGTGCACTGAGCGAGGCGGCCAAAGACCAGATCGGTGAGGTCCGGACCAACGGAGAGGAAGTTGAGTCGACGTATAAATTGAGCGTATGTGAAAGTTTGGTCATTGCGGGCGAGGACGCGCATGATCTTGATTACAGTGGTATAATCGGGGATGGAAGGCTTGTGCCATAGAAGTTCGACGGAGCATTCACACCACGCGCGGGAGACAAGAAGAGTGCTGTGCAGGTCCCTGGGTGAGTGAAGATGCTTGAGAATATGTATGAGGATTTCGGGGGGAAGATGGGATGCGGGGGAACGGGCGTGCGTATGTGGGTGAGAGGGAAGGAGGTGGAGGCGCGAGTGCCATTGCGCGGGAGAGGCGACGACGGGGTCGGGGGAGGCGAAGAAAGTTGAGCGGTTTGCATCGTCGTCGTCGGCATCGACGTCGGAGAGAGAGGTTGTCGACTGGGACCTGTTTCTGTACAACATGATGGGCAGGGTCGGGGAGATCTAGCGCTGCGTACGACTCGAACACTCAGAACAGCAACCGGCCCGTGACCGTGCGAACAGATGGCCACTCCTGTCTGCGTGCTTCTCTGCTCTTCTTACCCGTTCACTTGATGATTCCAGACAGACTTCGCAACTTCCTCTACCCACCCGCCACTTCTCCCTCTCAATCTACTCAGCATTCTGTAGTTGCTGCCGAACCCCTAATTGCGTCTGTTTGCCCGCACCTTGCCGATTTTTCCGCCTCCCTCATGCGCATGCTTCACTTGCAGCGATCCCCCCTCATCTCCTTCAGCCTTTGAGAAGCTTCTTGCCTCCGAAGACCTTCCTCCCCCTGGCCCTGACCACTTCCATGCACGACGTGCATTATGGCTGACCCCGCTTTCCGTACCTCGTCCGCCGTCGCCACCTTCGGCTTCCGAAGCTCACACTCGGCTGGAGGAGTTGCTAAACAAACCTGGTGCCCTCGAGAACAATGACGTCTGGCAAGCAGGCCTCGGAAAAGTCTGGAAGAGTCTCGTCAGCGGCGGGCGCCTTAAACAACTTCTTCCGCTCAAACTAGTTGTGCGCAGCATTTTTTATCTGACCCCCATGCGCGCATGATTTGCTCATTCTCTGTCAGATCAAGATCCTGTATGCTGGGTGGCTTCGCGACGGCACATGGCCAGAAAATGCAGCTGCGGTGGAGACTGACGACTTCTTCAGCCCTGCACATGTCTACCCGCATCCCCACTCTCCTGCACTCGGTTACGGCGATGCAGGTAGACTCTCATCAGGCGCGCCATCCGACAGTACCTCAGCAGCAGTACGCAATGGGTCGATCATTCAACATTAGAGAACAACACTCAGGCTGATGGGCACGTTCTTGTGGGGTCAGTATGATGCGTGTATGATAATTGTTTATCTGTAAGACTGTATCATCATCTTCAACAGAGAATCTTCTATCTGGCTCCTCTAGATGAGCACGCTTTTTGTGCACATGCAATCATCATGTTGAATGATCTTCGTGCAGACCACTCTTCGACCAACGGGGCAACGCTACGCACTCTCAGGTATGCGCATAGAGCTGATGAAGAGTCAACAGAAACCAGCACACCTATGAAACTGATGATCAAAGTACGACAGCATAAGTGTATATTACAATGTATACCATAAGCGATGCGACACGAAAACATTGGGCAGTGGATAACGACTACAGTCAGTTAAGGAATGACAGCATATGAGAAACAACTTGAAGATGAGTGCCAAATCCATGGCCTCTCCCGATACAACTTTGCAACAATACATCCTATAACATCCGGCCGGTCTCTCAGCGATTAATTGCCCGCGCGGTTTGAATAACGAGTGTTCCGCACATCGATAGTGAGGAGAGTCCCATCGTCGTTGAATCTGGCGCGGAGGGATGATATATCGATCGCCCGTGGGAGTGAGATGTGCCACTCATAATGGCCTGTCCATAAAGTGAGTCAGGATCAGAGTTTCCAATGATAAGAAAACAACTGACAATCTTCTTCGAGATGCCATGCATCTGCGACGATGTCCATCCGGTCTCCTCTCTTCAGCGATATTGTGATCATCTCCGGAGCGAACGGTCTGCCGCCAGGGCAGGGGAGGGGGATGTCGACGGAGTGGGTGTTCCCGTTGAACCGGAAACGAGGCTGTGGCACAGCTGAGGGCGGGGGCGTGCGTCGGGACGCCGTTTTGGGTGGCTCAACGGCCCCTTCAGGCTGCAGCGCTGGTTCCGGAATGTGCAGGGGAGGCGATGCGAGTGATGGCCTAGGCGATGGAGGTGTTGATTGCGAAGAGGGCGACAAAAGAGGTTGCCAAGTAGACGAGGGGCTCTCAGAGCTCGTTGTCCAAGGTAAAGAAGACGTGAGTGATGGCATAGAGGTAAACCGCATGTCTTTAAGCGTAGGTCGTGAGGATGTCATGGCCCTAGTATGGACAGGATGCTCAGAGGTGAAAGGAAAGGCTGAATAACGTGGCTCTTTGGTTTGAACCGATGAGGCGAGTGTGTACCTCCTGGGAAATGGGAAGGGCAGCCTCGCTGCAGGAGAGTGAGGAGTGCTCGGTATTTTAGGCATCGAGATGGCCATAATATTTTGTGAACAATGGGCTCGCGTGCGGCCAGGAGATAGTGGACAAGAGAAGGTGGCTTGAGTGACACTGTTTGAAGTGGAGCAAAACGTGGAGCAGGGCTCATTTTGCCACACTCCGAAGGGGGCATCGAACGGTGGATGACTGGATCGTTCGGTGGTGTTCGTCCATGATTGCATTGTCCACAGCTGCTGTTCGCCACAATATTGTTGGTAACGTACGAGCTCGAGGAAGAGAGTCTGAACTTTCCGGACCTTTCTGGCTTGAGAATGTTGTACCAGATGGTCCGGATCTGCAGCATTTGCAAATCATGCCCCCATGGCCAGCTGGGGGATTCATGCTCCTTGTCAAGGCAGCAGACATTTTCTTTTTTCGCAAGCGCGCATTAGTATGCTTCTCATCGCATCCAACATGTGCGATCGGTGTAGGTCTCCTGGTATCGAAAAATACGACTACCTACTACGTTGCCTCGTTTCGTGGCTCGCAAGCCTGGCCTGCATCGCAGACCAATACCCGGTATCCAACCTCACCGAAATGACCGGCTCCTCGATCGCTTGGATGTCCAAGATACCAAGATCGACTTGCATGACATAGCACTGACATAGCCCAATTGTCACCGAGCATCCACTTGTCCCCGGACCTCACACGAGATCTTACGAATTCTCACTCGATTGTGCGTATATAAGGACCACCCGCACTCCTCCTGATTCTCATCGATTTTTCCACACTCTTTCTGTCACCACCACAATCATGTCTCAATCTCGTATCTTGTTCGTCTATACGTCTGCCGACAAAACTCTCCGGGGGCATCAGACGGTAGGACGCATGCATCTTGTCCTATCCATAAGCTTCTAATGTATCAAAAAGGGGTGGTATCTCCCCGAGGCGGCGCACCCATACCATGTTCTCGCCCCCCACTTTCCGATTGACTTCGCCTCACCTGCAGGTCCGAACCCTCCCATTGATCAGGGGAGCATCGAAGTACGTGTCTTGCTCCCTGCCACTCCTCACTGCTGTCAAAATCAATATAGCAACACCGCTATAGATGTTCAAAGACGAACAAAGCGTAAAATTCCTCGAAGACCCCGCTGTCAAGGCCCTCTTGGCAAATGCGAAGCCTTTGAAGGATGTCAATGTTGACGAATACATTGCCATCTTTTATGTCGGTGGACACGGTCCTGTACTTGATCTTGCGACGGATCACGCAAACATCGAACTGGCGAATAAGGTTAGAGATTGAAGAGACAATATGTACTTTGTGTCCACTGACCTCGATCTCTGAACAGTTCTATCGGTCGGGCAAGATTGTGTCTGCTGTCTGTCACGGACCTGCGTGAGTGCTGATAAGCCCTCCCCCTTTGTTTTCACGCCCCTGATGATCTCGTTTAGTGCTCTGGTGGGCGTGACGGGCGCTGACGGCAAATCAATCTTCGACGGCAAGGCTGCCACTTGCCTCACCAATGTTGAGGAAGAACAGGTTGACAAAGTGAAGGTAAGTCCCTTCGTCGGGCACTCTTTCGATGGCATAGATCATGACCGGGGTTTCCACGTCCAGGATATCCCATTCCTGGTCGAAGACCGCATTGTCTCTCTCGGGGGAAAGTTCGAAAAAGCGGAACCTTGGGGTGTAAGTCACCGACTTCAACGCAGTTGCATACGAAGATCTGACTCTACTGATTGATAGGTCAAAGTCGTCCAATCAGGCACGCTCCTCACAGGCCAGAATCCCGCTTCGGCTGGACCTCTTGGGGAAGCGATCCTTAAAGCTTTGAAGGCGTAAAAGAAGAATTGTGTAGGGACGAATCACTGTACGATTGGTCAGAAGTTTTTTGAAGCAGCACCATGGCTATATTGTTCTATGCCGTTACCATGAACATATCCAGATATTGACATTTTGTGCCGCAAAGTCAAGATTTTTCAGGAGTGCTAACAAAATGAGATGGCAGGCATGAGATACAGAATGAGGCACAGCAAAGTTTTCACCGTCAACATGCACTGATCACGTTAAGCATACGCCACCGACATTACCCACCCCTTCTTCAACGTGAAACCATCTAAAGCCTCTTTGGCGACAGTTGCCAACTCCGGAGCATCGTACAACACTTGAGCCATTTTGGCCTTCTGGCCTGCTGCGTTAGACGTCGGGGACGGTACGACGTGGGTCGACTGGAATCCTTGATATCTGTGTATGCGGCGGGGTGAACGCCGAAGGCTCGTGGAGCGAAACATTTGGCACGCACTGTTGGAATAAGACCGAAAGGACACTGTCTGTGACTTCATTCGGCAGGTTAGTGCAGAGTAGACGTGCCGAAGGGCGCTCCGCAACTTGGGGGACTATTGCTGGATAGATGGGAGAATTGTGTGAACCATGATCATATGCATTGAACGCGGTAAGATACACAACATACTATTAGCGGCAGCCGCCTTCGGCCCCGCCTCTTCATCGTCATCTATCTCCATCTCCTCACCCTCATCGGACTCAGCGTCGTCAGCCGGTTTCCGTTTCTGGGCCCGTCCCTCTTCGTCCGCCATTTCATCTTCACGACCGCGCTTCTGCAGTGTGGATGCACCACTTGTCCTTGTTTGTTGATCAACGAGTGCACTCCTTTGTGCAGCTGTAGGCGGTACGAAGGTAGGATCTTCCCTCCTCAGGGTAGCGTGTGATTTGGTTTTCGCATATTGCACGCGCTGCACAGATAAAGATCGAAGCGAGCGTTTGTTGATGTGCTGGGGACCGTAGCAAGCAGAGAGTACGCACAAGGGGCTTGTCATAGAATAGCATACCATCGCACGCGCGCAAAGCAGAGGTTGCGGCTGCTAAATCGGTAAACACAAGGAATGCCTGCCCTCTCATTTTGGGTGTTTTAGACGCGACGACGTCGATCACCTTGCCGTATGTTGTGAAAAGAGCGTAGAGCTGTCCACGCATCTCTTCTTTGTTGATTTGATCATTGAGATTGTTGATATAGAGGGATGTGTTGGGCTGGGTTACGGTGGAGGACGAAGCCATCGTTCACTACGGTCGTCGCTTCGAGTTTGGTCCTTTGGCCCTGAGCTGCACGTTCGCGAAAGCGTGACTTGCGCTGTGACAGAGATTCTGACCGTTTACAGGCAGTTCCCACGGATGTATACACGTTTCAAACGAGTAGCTACAAAATATAAACAGGCCGCAGTTACGCCTACGACTTGCCATTTTCGTTGCTTCATCCGCCCACACGCTCGGACGCGTCTTGCATCCCGAAGGGAAGCGTTTGGCCGGGGACTCTCAAAAGCAGGCTTATTTCACATCCAGCACTGCATAGGTGAGGCTACCCTGTTTCTCCAACAGCTGGCAGGCCCTGATTCGGTTTGACCGTCTCTTTTCACCATTTTCTTCCAATAAATAGCCAGACCCAGTCGCTGCACATTCATCGCCCCCTCCTGGGTAGTTCATGATCTGGTAGACGTGTCGATTCTCCGTCCAAACACAACTCACTGCTACGAATGGACTACCTCTTCGATATCCAGAGGCTCCCCTCGTTCCTCGTCCCATTCGTTTCTCTCTCATACCCCGTGGAGCGCCCGTTGCTCACTGACTCCTTCCATGATGCTGTACACTATGATATCGGATACCTCGATACTTGCTTCATCGTCACACTCATCGCCATGATGGCCATTCTTCGCGACGTAGCGCGATTATTTGTCCTTGAACCATTTGCTAGGTGGAAACTCACCCGGGACTGGCGACTTCGACAAGGATGCATGGTCCCTATCACGAATGGCAAGTCCAACGGCAACGGCGCGTCGAACAGGACAGGATCTCCGACTGGAAAGAGCGCAGAGCGCTTGCCTGAGGACTCGGCAGAAGCAAAGCATATTCACCGTAGCGTGCTGCGGTTTGCGGAACAAGGCTGGCAAACATTATACTACACCATGCAATGGAGCTACGGCGTGGTATGTACTTTGTCTGTGCTGTTCGACGCGCTTTTCTAACATCTCTGCAGTACATCTATCGAAACGTGCCCAATATGCTGGCCGACCCTTGGTCCAACTATCCCCATATACCCCTCCCCAGCGTGGTCAAAGGCTATTACCTCATGCAAATAGCGTTCTACGTTCACGCCGTGCTGATCATCAACGCTGAGGCGCGACGAAGAGATCACTGGCAAATGATGACCCACCACGTCATAACTATTGCGCTTGTTATCATAAGCTATTCCTACAACTTCACTCGCGTTGGGTGTTTGATCATGGTCATCATGGATTGGTGCGACATTACCTTGACAGTATGTTCTTAATCCTGTGTGCGTTATTGGATAGTAATTAATTATTGTATGCTATAGTTCGCTAAAACGCTTCGATATCTCGCTTTTCAGAAGGCTTGCGATCTGGCATTTATCTTCTTCCTCATCTCCTGGTTCATCACGCGCCACGTTCTATTCATCAAAGTCATTCTATCAACTTACTGGGACTTGGCCCGCATCGTTCCATTTGAGTGGATTCCCGAACGCGGGCATTACTTCTCCCCTGAAGTTCACATGACCTTCGTCGTGTTACTGACTTGCCTCCAGGTCAGAGGTTGTTCTTTTTGGAGCTTTTTCGCACCACTTACTCGTTACTATGCAGATTCTACAATGTATCTGGTCGTATATGATATTCCGTGTAGCGTGGCGAGTGGTAATGGGATACGGAGCAGATGATACGCGTAGCGATGAAGACGCGTAAGTTCTCATACTCTCTGACTTCTGATCATGCCCTAATGAGTTTCTTGGGCCTCGCAGCGAGGAGGTCAAGAAGGACCGATAGAAAGCTATCAGATTTCTTGTAATGAAATTACGAGAATATTCGCGCTATATTTCTTACACCTCGTAATTCACGCTCTGCCAAAAGACCCGGAGAACGCATCGTGTACACAATTTGCTGGTTGATTCAGGGCATATGAGACAGGCTCCCTGAATATAATGAGAGGTCGTCAGGATATGGGGCGCTTGCTTCTGGAGTGTTCACAAACATAGCTCGATGAGAAAATCTGCAAGCGGGCTACACTCTCAACGTTGCAGCACACTGGAAGACAAAGATACCAAATGACTAGGTTAACTTCGTTAATGCTCCTGGGAAACCACAAATACAAGCCTTCTGAATAACATACATCCATGTAGCACACTGACATCTGTGACAGCTGACTAGTTGGACTCAGTAGCCTCGGACCGTTCACCTATAAGTACAAAAGCTGAGACTCACCCAACCTTCCAGCGAAATTGGGCTGGCGGGAAACCCATCCTGCCTCGTGAGACGTGATTCGGACCACGGCCCGACGAACCGAACGCCCATTTAAATATAGCAGAACTTCACTCTCTTCCTGCATCTCGATATCACCAAGCTCACAGCGCTCACACTACAGACCGACCATCTGAAGCCACCTTTCCTTTTGCATTAAAATAATGACATCCTCACGCTATGGAGTGTCTGCCCTCCGACAGCTTTCAAGGACGCGAACTACCCCTCGCATTTCCCCACAAATGCGGGGTATGACACAAGGTAGAACCACCGCGGAATCACATCGTCTGGGCTGGGAAAGCAGCCTCTATCTGTGTGCTAGCATTGCTGTTATTACTTTGGTGAGCTCTCCTGTTTATATCACTTTTTCGATATTGTACGAGTACTAGTCCATGTAATGGCAGACAAGGCAATAGATCATTGACAAGACTTCTCAATTACAGGCCGCTCACACATTAACTATACCTTTGCTATTGGATTCAAATTCTTCATCTGTACATGCCACACCACAATCTACAGTTCCAGACGCTCCTCAGAAAGATGTAAATCTTGTCTCTTACTCCGAATTGCAAAAACACACAGACAGCAGCCGTCCCTGGGTACTCATCGACGGACAGGTTTACGATGTGTCTCATATCCTCGATACCCACCCTGGCGGCCGAAGTCCATTGATCAAGAACGCAGGCAGAGATGCAACGTGAGCTTCCGATTTCCACCCATAGGCTACGAATGTTCTGTAAGAACGTCTAATATATCATCCCTTAGCAAGTCTTTCGCACCCATTCATCCACCGGGTACATTAGACAGCTTGCCCCCGGAAGCATACATCGGTTCAATTGATCCCGCAACTGTCCCAAGAAGCTCTCATGAGCCGACTGAAGAGGAAAAGCGAATAGAGAAGGCCAGAGCGGCACTTCCGTCGCCTAGCGCTGTGTTAAATCTTCGAGAAATAGAGGTGTGGTCGTTTGATGTAATTTACTCCTCTAGCTCACAGGCGAACCAAATATCAGGGACTAACCGAGACGGTATTAAGTGCTACTGCCTGGGGGTATTATCGCTCAGCAGGGGACGATGAGAAAAGTCAGTTCCCATATTTTTTATCTTTCTGCCATTTGTCCCACGTCGAAACGCAGGGCTCAATTGCTTCTCTAGCCTTCGACGAGAATCGCGAAGCTTTCTCGCGTTTCTGGTTTCGTCCCAGGGTGCAAGTCATCTGGTTTACATATCGAGCTACAGCCGAATGCTCACGTTTGTATATTTCTTTAAAAATTAGGTTGAATAAGATCTCGAGAGTATCTACGGCTACAAGCATGGCAGGCCTGTCGACCACATTACCCATTTTTATCGCACCGGCTGCACTTGCTCGCTTGGGGCACCCAGACGGAGAAATGAACCTTGTCCGCGCAGCAGGGAAGGCCGGAATTCTCCAAGGCGTAAGCTGAGCCTTGCACTTGAGCACGTACGATGACATGCTAACTTCCCGGCAATCGGTGCAGATATCGAGTAATGCGAGCTGCTCCCTCGAGGAAATCATGATGGCGAAGGCCCCTGAACAAAAACTCATCTTTCAGCTATACGTGAATAAAGATCGCGCACTGTCCGAAGCACTCGTGAAGCGCATTACGAAGGAAGGATTCGCTGCACTCATCTTCACGGTCGATGCTGCTGTGCCCGGGAAAAGGGAACTCGATCAAAGGTCGAAGGGCGAATTTGTGGGCCCATCGCATGGCAAGTCAGCTACTGGGAGCGGTGCAGGAGTCGCACACGTAGGTCCAGATCTTAATTCAGCGAATACTAGCTAATGCGCACAACAGGCCATAGGAGGATACCAAGATCCTGATATATGCTGTGCGCAGTCCATATCTTCAATATCTGGTATATAACCATTGATCGTATGCTGCAGGGGAGGACATTTCGTGGTTACGAACCTTAACTGATATACCGCTGATTATCAAGGGGATTCAATGCGTAGAGGTGTGGATAATTCGGCATCTTCGATGCACTGATTAACTGAATGTTTCTATATTTTGTAGGATGTTGAGATAGCGTTTGACAAATACAATGTTCAAGGGGTCATACTATCCAATCATGGCGGTCGTGAGCTGGATTTGTGCGTCGAGATTATTCACAACATTAGCGTGATTCTGTGTGCTCATGAATATTTCGATTGATGAAAGCTCACCGGCTCCAATGGAAGTGCTCTACGAGCTTCAACAACGTCGTCCGGATCTGCTGAAGAAGTACGAGGTTTACATCGATGGGGGCGTGACGCGAGGAACAGATGTACTCAAGGCTCTCTGCCTCGGCGCGCGTGGTGTTGGTCTGGGAAGAGCGTTCTTGTACGCGAATAGCGTGTGGGGAGAAGAAGGGTGTTCGCGGGTTATCCAGAGTACGTGGCTCGTGTTTACCATAATTTCAGATCACTAATACAGATGCGTCGTCGGGTAGTTTTACGGGAAGAGATAGTGACTGGAATGCAGCTTTTGGGAGTGACCAGCATCGAGCAGCTTACGCCAGATTTAGTGAGATATGTGGATCGGTTGAAGCCGATGGCACGTTCACGACTGTGAGACGCATGTGCTTCGGATCTATGTAGTGGTTTGCATGTTATAATGAAACTATGCCGTGGGTGCTCATCGATTCCAATCAGCAATTGAAGGCAAGACGAGAGAGATGGCACGTTTGATGGAGAGGATGTGTGATCGTCCGATAGAAATGGCAATAATGGGGATATCAATTCCGTCCACTGGGGCGACCGCGTGAGCGCAGCTCTGCGGTATTACTCTTGTCTCTGTCCACGACAATCGCCAAACCGTTTTCTCCTCCTCGCCGTGCACACCGTCGTCGACGGCGAGGCGTATCACCCTGCGCCGCTGTGCTCAGCGATGAACTCGCTCACTTACCTCTCCCGCCAGTTCGACGTTCTTGCATCCCCTCGGACAGCTCCTTCCACTCCAACCTCCGAACTCCCTCCCTCCCTCCCGCGCCGGGCAAGTTCTACAATAGATACTTCGGCTCGAAACCGCCCTCCAACGACATGGTCTATTAAGTTGTTGGTTGCACCACCCCCCCAGCCTCGCCGCGCAATCTCTTCTTCAGCGCGTATCCCGACCCGCCGGCAGTCCTCACGATCGATTCGAGCGAAACAGCCCCAACAACCGCAAGGCGTCGTTCGTCGCCTTTTTTTTGTGCGGCTGTTTGTCTTGCTATGGCACGCCGTATGCGATACAGCGGCTACTCTGCAGATACGCATCCGCGAGTGGCACGGGCCTGGAGGCGCTGTCGGTGTTGTGGACACGCTCGCAGCCGACGAAGGCGAGAAAGAGAGCGATGATGAGGACAGGAGTGAAGAAGATGCACTGGTGCTTCGACCAGTACAGTCTAATTCGTCGTTGCGATCTGCATCTCCCCCGTCTCTAGCATCCTCGTCCTCGTCCCGCAATTCCCTTTACCCCCCAGCTCATCGTTCCTACACGGATCCTTCGCCCAATCCCTCAAGCTCATTACGGTCTCAGTCGCAAGCGCACTCTCAAACGCTTCTCCCTCAACCCCTCATACCATCACTTTTCCTTACCCCTTCCCTATCCAGAACCCCTACACCCACATTGATACCGCCCACAGGTCTACCCGCAACGCCTCGCAAGTCGCCTTTCCACCTCCCCAAGACACTTGTCCTCGATCTAGATGAAACACTCATTCATTCCACCTCGCGTCCACTGCATGGTACGGGTGCAGGAGGCTCTGGTCTATTAAGCCTCGGCGGTTTTGGGTTTGGGAGGAATAAGAGCGCGGGGCACATGGTTGAGGTCGTCCTCGGTGGACGTAGCACGCTGTATCATGTATACAAGCGTCCATTTGTTGATTTCTTCTTACGCAAGGTGAGTGGGTTTGAACGAAGGGCGACGGGTGAGTGCTGTGGGAGCCGATCAGACTGACACTCTTATTACTGCTTTGGCGTATGGTGCAGGTGTCAGCGTGGTACACGCTGGTAATATTTACCGCATCCATGCAAGAATACGCAGACCCAGTAATTGATTGGCTAGACGCAGGAACGGGCATTCTCGAGCGACGTCTCTTCCGTGAGGTTAGCACGCTTTCTTTCATCTATATCACGCTGTATGCGCCTGGATCATACAATTGTGACTGAATGGTCCGGTGGTACACGTTGGTAGTCGTGCACTCAACTTCCGAATGGTGCATACACCAAGGATTTGTCCATCGTTGAGCAAGATCTGGCCCGCGTGTGCCTCATCGACAATTCGCCCATAAGTTACACCGTCAACGAGAGTGCGTCCCCTCTCTTATCCTGTTGACATCCTACTTGGCTTGCTGACTGCTGTTATTAGTGAATGGCATCCCCATCGAAGGCTGGACGCACGACCCGCACGACGAAGCCCTCCTCGATCTGCTTCCAATGCTCGACTCTCTCCGCTTCACGAGTGACGTCCGACGCGTGCTCGGTATCCGCGGATACTCGTAACACCCCCTCCGATTTCCTCGGATCGGACCCACGTTCCTCATTTTCTTGGGCGTTCATCTCTATTTCCACGATGGGCCGTATATAGCTACGTATCGCATCGTCCTCGCATTTCGTTCCGGCTTTTGATCTCTATAGCGCAATCACCATCTATTCCAACACCTGCAATTGACTCTAACTAATAACTTACATTCACTGTCCATCACCGCAGCCTCGTATGTCCAGTCAACTTGGAACATTGTCCTCCTTGCATGCACAATCCCTTCGCGGTCGACAAGCTCGTTCGATCAAGCTCTGTTTTGTCCGTCTCATCTTGCTCTCCTTCGCTGCCTACATGTACCATTATGCCACCTCTATTCCTGTCGCGACTATTTGACGTACGCGTCACAAGCATCAAGTTTCTCAGCAATTCGACAACCCTTTTCTCGATTGACAGGTTTTGACCTTCTAATTCACGGCGTGCTCACGTAGCTGAAATTATTCCCAACTTGTGTCCTGATAAGACAATGAGAGCAGGGAGTCAGAAGGTGGAGTACTAATGCTATCGAACCTGGAGGATAATCAAATGGAATATGAGGACAAGAGGGAATAGGTCTGCGAGAGCACCGGTGCATGAAAGATACAAGGAAACCCATGATCATAGCTTCGCAGTGATGATAAAATAGTAAGCTCAGATTACAGAGAGAAGAAAAGCCGAGGACTAGACGAGATAAACAGCCACAGACAAAGGGAGAAAAAGGTAGAAAAGGACTACATTGCCAGAGCTTCCTGGAGCTCTCTGAGCTCTGCCTCCTCGTCTTGCTCTTTTGTCCGACTGTGTGCTATCAGGAAACGGTCACAACGAGATCTAAGTAGAGAAGTCGCGATCTTGACGTACCCTCTGCCACCCGGCTGGGGCCTACAGGAGTATGCACAGGAACATGGTCTGGGAGGTTTAACCGCGCATCTAAATCCTCTTGTTCCAGTTGGGCCAACTCCTCTTGCAGCTCAGACTGTTCGCATGTGAGCACGGCAATCACGGAACAGGCGGAGTGCAGGTGACTCACCTCGTCCAACTCTAAGCCTGAGTACAACGGATTCGATATTGCATCGGAAATCTCATTTGCCACCTCACGCTGCGCGTTGATCTCGTTCATCGTATCTTCCACTCTCTCGGGGGTCCTGAATAGCCCCCACATTGTCAGTGAATCCGCCCGTGATCTACAAGACCGGGGAGAAAGACGTGGGGCTACGCACATGCCGTTGTGTATGACCTTGAGCGCATCAGATCCCTTCTTCATCGCCGCCATAGTCTCTGCGTTCAGGTTAGCAGACTCGAGTGTGTTGACTTGCAGCTCGAGCTGCAGGCGTGTTCCTGAGAGCTTGTTGAGCTCCGTTTCATGCATCTTCTTTCGTCGGAGTGCCGCCGTCGCAACTTTAGCAACACATAGAAGGTTAGGATACAGGCTCACACCCTTGATACATTTCATGGACATGGGCATACAAGCATCCCACAAGCATGGACACGAAGGCCAGCCAGTGGCAAACGCTCGACAAGCACATGGATCAACTCACCATTCTTATTCGACACTGCGTTCGTCCTGGCTGTATTGACCTCATCCCTGATGAGCTTCTGAAGATGCTCCTCCTTCTTTTCGATCATCTGCAGCTGCTGCCGCAGGGTCACAATAGCATCTCGCGCGGATTGCTTGGGATCGCGCCGTCCAACAAAATAGCTCATGAATGAGGCCATCATGCCTTGATGTTGCACTGCGTATTAGAAGGAGACCTAGTCGAGAGCGGTGAAAGGTGTGTACACTGCAAGGAACGATGCTGAATGATGAGTCCTTCAATGCATGAACGCGGCCGCAGTCGTAAGTAGCGTCTCACAGATTTCCCGATATGGTGGTTCAGTTTCACGATCCCGTGCTGGAAAGTTCAGTGAACGTCGAGGTGAATGCGATGAACGGCGAACGCTATTGTAGCACTGGCAGGCAAAACAGAACTGGAAAACATCGTTACAATGACATTCATCAAATAACTAATGAAAAAAAGGCGTAGCAATTCATAAAGCTAGATCGTATGTGGATAGGGAAGTGATAAAGACATAAGTATAGAGCTCGTAGCATCAGCGAAGACAACCAAAAAAGCGATACAGTGATAATTTAACTACAATTTGTGGATACAGAAAGCAGGAGTGAAAGCATGATGACCAAATGAGACACGAAGAAAACGCACGGAATACACGCGGCCCATGGCCAGCGAACGCTGAAACTACCATTGTACCCTGAACAATCTGAACAACCTTTTGAAAAAACCCTTCTTCTTTTTGACAGGGACAGGGAACGAGATCGGCTCTTCTATAGGAGATCTGAAGGATGAGGTCAACAAGTGGTCTACCGCTCACTAAAGGAGACACCCACTCTAACTCGTCGACATAGACAGGATAGTCCTTCATCAATGCAGCCTTGGCTAACTCAATCTCCCGCGCCCATGCCAACCTTAAATTGGTTGGGACAGATACCTTGCGCCTCCACATCGCGACACTGTTTCCTGAGGCTGATGGCAGGAGCGTGAAGACGATGACCTGTCTGGCGGGGTCATAGAACCCAATTGATTCTTGAATGAGCTTGTCACGCGTCTCTACAACTTCGTGATAGGACAGCCAATCGAGAGCAGGTTCTCCAGTCGCAGGTGTGTATGAGGCATTTACAAACAAGGCGCCGCGCTCTCTGGCCTGTAAGAATTTCTCTAGCTACAAATCAAAACGGTACGTCAGCACCCCAAACGCCAGCGCCAGCGCGGAAAGACAGAAGGAGACACTCACACCCAGAGCCCCCAAGCCGTGCGCTTTGTCTTGAATCCAGTGTAAAGTATCTCTGACTCTAGGATCCTTGTCGTGGGGAAACTTCCAATGAATCCTCTCCCTCGCCCTCCTCTCACGACCGAAGAGTGCTCTGTCCGCTGGCCTCAGCCCTTCCCCGTGCGCCTCAACGAATTTCCTGTGCGCATAATCGGACATTCCTGAATCGTTAATTGGTTTGACCGGTCTCGCGAGCCTGAAGGCATCGGGCGAATTGTCCATAGCATAAGCCATTGTTCGGGAGGGCATCGGATATGAAGAAGGATCCTCCAGTCGCGGGACGTACGCCTTGGCAAGTGAGTTCGAGTACTGCTGCCTCTCCTCCCAATCATTCCACTGATTCTCGTCAGGTGCACCACCTCCATTGCCCCACTGATTCTGGCCAGTGTCCTGATGGCCCCAGCCCTCGGCCTGAGGAGTCTGATTCTCCTGCTGCCAACGCTGGCCCTCTTGACCCCGGCCCCAAGTCTGGTCCTGAGGCTGACTCTCCTGCTGCTGGTGTTGGCCATCTTGACCCCAACCGATAGGGTCTTGATGTGTCCAATCATTATGATCCTGGTCCGGTGCTTGCCAAGGACTCGCATCCAAATTCGGTGCCCCTTGTGATTGCGCAGTGTTTCCCCATCCTTGCTCTCCCTGTGCTGGCCATGGATCCTGCGCCGGCGCTTTCCTGGTCTTCCTGCCCGATCTCTGTTGTGAAGGAGGCACCAGGGGAGGTGCGGTAGATGTTGCGCTGTACTGATACGGGATCACAGACGGCGTCTCCCTGAAAGCGACGCGTCCTTGGTTCACAGCACCGCGTTGCGTTGGCCTAGCCTGCGCGGCAGCTTCCGCACCCCAGTTCTGCCAACTCGGAAGGCCAGTGGTATGACGGAGAGCATGAGGTTGTCTTTGCATGGGCAAAGAGGGAGGAGGGGCGGTAGCGGGAGACGGGCCAGCGTAGTTACCAGCGCCTTGAGCCAAGTTTGACCAAGGTTGATTGCCCGACGGTGCACGTGGCGCAGCGGGCTGACTAGCGGGAGAGGGCCAATTTCCAGAGGGGGGACCAGGCGCTTCAGGTCCCCATCCACTTGTCGTGGCTCCAGCGTTGTTGTTGTTCCCGCCGCCGTCAGGACCTGCCGACCACCCGCTCGCTTCGGCTCCATCGTTCTCCGCCGGTCCCAAATCTCCTCCGCCGTGGCCCCAAGCAGCTGGAGGTTGCTCCCAGCCTTCATCGGGTCCTGCATTCTCTTCCCAGTGGCCGGACATAGCACCCTCTCCGTCTTCCAAAATTGTACCTGTGGTTGGATGATACGTGAGAATATGGTGATAGACAAGGCAGAGATGTGTGATAAAACAGACCTAACCTACCGAAATCCTCTTCCTCTTCCTCAATGACTTGAGGCTGCGCCTTTTGCTTCCCCTTTTTGTTCTTGGGCATCCACAACCTTGCCGTTGTCTGCGGGGGGTCCACCTTGTGTTTGAGAGTGAGAAGAAGGGATGATAGGGACAACTGAAAAGCAGGTGAAGAGTTGCGCAGGATGGAGGCCCGTACGAACGTGACAGAAGTTGGTCACTTGTCTCCCGTTCACCTGCGCAGGAAGGCAGAGGAGACGCAAGTCCGCTGAGCTGGGGCGACAGTGCCAGCCTCTAGGTTCATTATGAGCGCTTCAAGGACGGACTTGCCTTTTCGGGTGAAAGAAGTTGTGTTGAGGACTTAATTGCAACCTTACCAGCATATTACCTCCTTGGACTGCTCTCCGGGGACTATCGACGGCGGCATTCCAGGTAACCCTGTGCGCGCATATCGATGCTATGTTTCTTTCTCGTCGGACATGAACATCATGCCAACGTTCGATATATGTCTGAGGGTGCAGTCGTATGATACACCTAGCTAAGAATATATGTTCTGGCACCTGATACATCCAACGCAGCCCAAAGTTTGCCGGCGCAAAGTCTTTCGAAGTCGCTCGAAATGTGACGGAAAGTTAACCACGAACAATTTCCCAATCCAAGTCCTTACCCGTCCAAAATGCCACAACGCTTTCCCCGTTCACGGTCCAGCTCTCCGTCACCCTCTGTCCGGTGACTTTTCTGAGCCGCACCTGACGCGAGTGGTCTGCGCGATTGGCGACCTCCCTACCATAGAACTTTCTGCCAAACGTGCTCACGAAGCCCTCCAGGTTGTCCAGTGCCCCGAAAGACTCGAGGAGATGGGCAGTCAAGGGAAGAAGGATGGGAGACGTATAGACGCCTGCGGCGCAGGCATGGGTGGGGGTTGACGTCGATTTTGTCGACGGAGGGTGGGGCGCCGAGTCAGAACCGAGGAAGAAGCGGGGATGTCCTAGGGAGATGAGGCACTATTTCGACGTGACTTGAGGAGAGAATACTATATAAAGGACGTACCTTCCCGAATGACCTCTCTCAACGCCTCCCTATCGTCTGGGAACTTTGCAACGGGCTTGCAAAAGTTCCATGACTGACCGGCCCAGTCGTCTACGGTAAGAGCCAGATGATGCGCAGTGATCGTGCACGCGACCGCCGGACCGAGAGACTTGACTGTCTCGACTGCAGCGCGAGTGGTCGCATGCTCAAGAACGATACGAAGCCGAGGGAAGCGTGTGTGTAGTTTTCGAAGATGAGGCAAAAACGAAAGCTCCGCATTGATAACGTGGATGTTCTGAAATATCATTTAGTGATGCGTCAGATGAACGAATGTGCACGCATACCGCAGAAGCGTCCGAGGGGACTTCGCCGTGGAGGTTGAGGACCATGTCGACTTCCTCCATGGCCTCGAAGACGGGGTAATACGCCTCATATGATTCTATACCCCCATCGGAATTTGTCGTGACACCTCTGGGATACGATTTTACACCTGATGATGATCTATGATCAAGTAATTGCAAGTGTTGCTGAACACGATCGTGCTCACCGACGATGCCTGCTTTCTTTGCTTTCCGGATCTCATCGGGGGTCAGGTCAGGAGACAGGTACAGCGTCATGAGGTATTCGATGGTGGGGTCTATGCGCTCGAGATTGGCCTTGTACTCCAAAGCCTGATCTGTGGTAGAGATCGGAGGCTTCAGGTTCGGCTGCAAACCTATCAGTAGGATCGGGTTGTGCACAACGGTGCAATCTATGTCACCATAACATATGCAAGCTGGAACCCTCCAAGCGCAACATGGGGAACGACGAGCGCAGAAAGCGCTCCCTGGCGGAGATGTACATGGAAGTCCGCTGGGGAACAGACGGTGACGGTGGGTGTGGAAGACATATCGGGCTAATAAGGACACGCCCTGGGGGCGTGGTGGGTCCGCGATCACGTGGCGCTGTTGGAAGGGACGCGTCTGGTTCGAGCGGGTGGCTGACGCCCTTCATTCTCTCCACACCAACAACACCGTCCCTCCTTTGTATCAGGCTCCGAGAAATGGTTTCTGCCGGTTCTATAACCGTCGCAGGTATGTCGCCATGCTCGTTGCGTATATATGTATATGTACTTACCTGCTGTCACAGTCCGAGTGCGACCGCCTTCTTCATGGGAGGCCGCTCGCATGCCCGAACCATGCTACGACTCTACCATTCGGGGAGATGCAACCTTGTCCGCGCCAGGAAGGCCGGTATCATCCATGTCTTCAGTTCGCGACATCGTTCAAGTCGTGGATGACCGCATACTCACTTTCGACCCCGCCGAACCAGACCAAGCAAAAGCGTTCGTCGAGCGTGGCTTTACACCGCCTGGAACGAAGCGATACAAAGACAAGCGATTTATGTTCGATCGTGTCTTTAGACAGGACGCGACTCAGCAGGATGTGTATGATGCTACCGCCCGCCCTCTCTTGAAAAACTTGCTCGATGGATACAATGCAACTGCATTTGCTTATGGGGTGAGTCTTTGACACCACGTATTACTGGAAACATTCAGTGACTTCTTCTAGGCTACGGGCTGCGGCAAAACCCACACGATTAGCGGCACAGAGGCGGACCCAGGCATCATCTATTTGACCATGGCTGACCTGTTCCAACGCATCGAAGACCGCAAAGATGATTATAGCGCACAGGTTATTGTCACCTTCCTCGAAATTTACAACGAGGAAATCCGTGACCTCCTTTCCGAGCCGGGCACGCCGACACCTCGTGGGGGCCTACAGATCCGAGAGGACAAATCCGTCAAGGTTGTCGGGCTCACTGAACTCCAACCAAGATCAGCGGATGAGGTCAAGGAGATCGTCTTGCTTGGAAACTCCCGGAGAACACAGTCCCCTACACACGCAAATGAGACATCCTCACGCTCGCACGCAGTCCTCCAGGTGCATGTCACGCAGGCGCCACGGACAGCGTCTTTGACAGAAGAACGGTCCATGGGCACACTTTCCATTATCGATTTAGCCGGCAGCGAACGTGCAGCAGCCACGAGCAATATGGGCCAACGAATGGTCGAAGGTGCCAATATCAACAAATCGCTGCTCGCCTTGGGAAACTGTATCAACGCCCTGTGCGAAAGCGGTGGCGTCGTTCGCCATATTCCTTACAGGAACAGCAAGCTGACGCGGCTGCTTAAATTCTCACTGGGTGGAAATTGCAAAACAGTGATGATTGTCTGCGTCGCCCCAACATCTATCCACTTTGACGACACACACAACACGCTAATCTATGCGGAACGCGCGACGAAGATCAAAACACGCGTCGTCACCCGAAATGTTGTCAACGTTGATCGCCATGTTGGACAGTATGTCGAGGCCATCAACCGGCTCAACATCGAAGTCTCAGAGCTCAAGGCGAAGCTGGCTGGGAAACTTAACTCGGAGGCCGATGTTGCACGGCGGAAGAGGATAGAGGCTCAGGCCGAGATTGAACGAGCGAAGAATGACATGCAAGTGCGCGCTGAGCAGACTCAGGCTTCGATCCTTGACGGCGCGACCTGTGCAGGGAAAATCTCTGCTGCCCAAATCACGCTTCGCACAATACGCACACGCCTGGACGATCTCGACAGGCAAGCTTCTTTGCCCGGTGGCCTTTCTCCCGATCTCCAAGCCGAAATGGGTCTTCTAAAGGCGCTGGCGGCTCCCGAGGAGCAAGCCACGAGGATCGATAGTGCGCTGAACGTCCGCCTGCAGCGCTCAACCAATTCCGGCAGTATGTTCGACGCCATGCTGCGTGCCGTGAAAGAACGACGGTCAGACAGGCTTGATGCCACGGGTGTCGATAATGTCAAGCTCGACGCCGAGTGTCGCAAGGCAGAGATGGAGCGAGTCAAGGCGGAGGCAGAGAGGGATGCAGTGAAGGACGCTATGAAAACACAAGGAGAGATGCTCGTGCATCTGCTTGGCATGGTCGGACGATACACTGTCGTTATTGGCGATGCTAGTCGGTCATTAAGAACCGCACTGGAAGTAGGCAGAGATGGCTTGGACGGCACAATCCGTGCTGTGGCGGCATCGTTGAAGAACCTCTCAGACAGCAACGACATGGACTTCCAGTCTCTTGTGGGGCATGCGATTGCGAGCTATGCTGTCAACCCTGGCGATATGTCTATGCTGGAAAGTTTCAAGGGTCACAAGTTGATAGGCAGGGCTTCTTCCGGCCCCGTCTTGCCACAGCAGCCAGCTGTGCCCATTTCTAGACGTGCATCATCTTATGGGGCTCTCGGTATGGGATCGCCTACACGCAAAGGCCACATCAGATCTCCGCGTAAATCGCTGAGAAACAGCCTATCGGGGGCAAACTTCCCCTACCGTCGACCAGCAGATAAAGGAAAGGAGAAAAAGAAGGGCGTGCAATGGAAGGATGAAGCTGGACAGGGTGAGCTGGATGACGGAGGAGAAGCGAAGCCAGCGTCGGCGGCCATCCCAAGCAGCTCAAAGTTTCCGGTTCCGGTCAAGCCAAGCCCAGACGACAGTGGCCTTTTCTCAGCTGCGCAGCGGAATCCAGGATCGGAAAGCGAGTGGGAGGATGAGAAAACAGAGGACAGCGTGAACTTCAGCTTCACCCTGCCCCCACGCGACCTCCCGCCTTCTTGTGCAGGCTCGTCAAGGATCCGGCGGTCGAGCAGACTCGAACCTAGCTTCCTGACATCTCGTGGTGCGTCGAAATTGGGGAGCCTAGCAGAGGGTGATGAGAACGGAGAGGTCTCCTCGGCGGCCTCCCGACACACCGTGCCACTCTCAGATCGCAGCCTCAACTCTTTGCTATCAAATCAATCAATGGATAGCGCGGAGACCATTGGTACGGGGGGCAAGCTCCACGTGCCGAAGGGCGCGTACGAGCGAAATACGATGGCGAGTCCGCGCCGTGGGCCACCAACGCCACGTGCGGTGGGATCAACGCTGAAATCCTCGCGACGACGGTCAAACATTGGGCCCATGCGAAGCGAGAAAGGGCGTCGACGCTCAAGTCTGATCCCACAGCTGTCGCCGAAGTCGCGAGAAGGTACCTCTGCTACATCATCGTCTAAGGCGCTGACCAGTACGAGCGCGGGCCCGCCACGACGCGTCGCGATGGCGGAAATGGACCCGCCTGTGAGGAAATCGCCAGGGAAGAAAGGCAAACGGATGTCGTTGCTCAATATGGCCTCGAAAGGGATGAGCTCGATAAGCTCGGCGCGGTTACGACCCAGTCCAAGTGCGTCCATGGCGAATATATCTGTAGGGGACATCAGTGCTGCAGACACCAGCTTCAAAGTAAGGCCAACGTGGAAATAAAGTCAAGCCATTCTATACGTAGCGTTCATACCATCGCCATCTATACATATGCGTTCGCATGTAGTGACTCCAGTCCTTTGGCTATGAGGTTCTCGGTCCCAGTTTCTCGTTCTCCGCCATATTTGATTGCTTATTCTCTCAACGACCATGTTCTCTAGATTGTCGATACATTAGCTGTGCAGTATCTTTGCTTTGTATTTTATGTATACCCGCCATGGAAAGCTTTTCCGCGGCGAAGCTGTTGATTTCTGCGTGTTGCAGATTCAATTACGAAGTGGGAGATGTCGAGTGTACTTATTTCATATATGATCCTCGGCAGACGATGGTATAAGTGCGAATATTCTACAAATGCCTAGATGATACGTTTTATCTCGAAGAATGACTGCCATTCACAACTCAGTGAATAATGGGGAAGGCGCTGGTGATGTAAAAACGCACCTTCAGGTAGTACACTTGCCATGCGCATACGGACACTAGCACAAACGCCTGCAATATTGACCACCATTTCACTCTGGAATTGGTCGATTCGGCTGTGTTGCGGTGTGTTCGTTCGCGAACGACGATGTACTCTTGCTCATCTTTGACTGAGGTAAGGCCATTAGCTAGCAGCCGAATTTCTCGCTCGATGGGAGCAACGTGTTCTGAACGAAACCGTGAGTACGATAATTTCATGGCATGTTGATAAGCGCACCATCGTCTCCCTCGCCCACGTAAATTACTCCGTGAACGTTAAAACTGAAAATCTTATTAATAGTGATGGTAGCGGTCAACTGGTGCATACACACCTGACTATCTTGTCAGCAATTGCACTCATTTGATTCGAGAAACAGTATTCGTAGCGACCATCTTTCTCTGCTGTTATGGAGAGTGACCCCGTAGACTGTTTGATGTGCTTTCCCAAGGCAGTGCCTTCCGGATCAGTTATCTACTGAGGGATATGAGTGCGAGCTACCTGGAACCAAATAGTCACTGACCCAGAAGTCGATGTCCAAGTGGCCTCCACCGCCCACTTGGTAAGTCACTGTCATCTATGGAGGCTAAGTATTTACAGATCGGTTAGCTGAAGGAGCGAATATTTGCACCTTGTCATTCTTGTGAAGGTCCTCAAAGAAACACTCCTTCTTGGAGGCAGCCACGTCAATCAGATGCGCCGACACCAGTGACGACAGTAAAGATAGAGAAAATAAGCAAAGGGCCAGAATATTTTGACAATATAGGCGTGTCATGGCCGCCGAATGCTACGTCGCAGAGAGGAGGTGTGTTGTGCGCACTGCTTTGGGACTCGCCGGGCTGCAGAGCAGGGACGGAGACTCCGCAAACTGATCACGCCGTCTCCGGGGTCTCTGCCCTGCCCGATTTCCAGATCTGTGGGCTTTGGGTTTGGGCGACGGCTCTTCTCCCATTCTCTATTGTCTTCTCACTCAACGTTATTCTTCACGGACATAATCATGGCTGATTCCAGCGAAAACCCTCTCGTTCCCAAGGTGAGCCTTACTCTTCTGCAAGCCTACCAGATTCACCTCTTTCAGAGCCAACTGATCGTGTGTCTACTTTTGGGCGCAAATGAAAACTGATATCGCCCTTTGCTCTGTAGCAGGAAGACGAGAATGATCCTCATTTTGAGCCTGTCATCAAGCTCACAGAACAGGTAGAGATAAAGACCAACGAAGAAGATGAAACGGCCATCTTCAAGATGTAAGTAGATTTTCTTTCAGATCGGCCCATCCATCGATCCCCTCCGTCTAAACACTGATGCTTCTGCCATTTTCATGCAGGCGTGCCAAGCTCTTCAGGTTCGAGAACACCTCTCAGGAGTGGAAAGAAAGAGGCACTGGCGAGGTGCGGTTGTTACAGCACAAGCAGACTCAGAAAGTCAGGTTGGTGATGCGGCGTGATAAGACGCTGAAAGTCTGCGCGAACCACCTCAGTACGCACCGTTTTCTTCCTCTGCCAACACCGTACTAATTGTGTCAATATCATGTCAATCTGCTTTGCTGTAGTCTCTGCTTCTATGAAGCTGCAGCCGAATATTGGATCTGATCGGAGCTGGGTGTGGAAGGTACTTGCCGACTACTCTGAGGACCCACCTACCTCTGAGACCCTCGCAATCCGGTTTGCCAATACTGAAAGTGGGCAAATTTTATTTTCTTATGAAACATCAGTTAATTTGCCACCAATAGATGCAACACAATTCAAGACAGCATTTGAGGAAGCACAGCAAACCAATGTTAAACTTACAGCTGCATCTGCTCCTTCTGCTCCCGCTCCCTCTGACCCCCCTGCCCTTGAAGCCAAGTCTGCAGAGGGCGACGAGGCCAAGGAAGAAGTTGAGGAAGAAGTTGAGGAAGAAGTTAAGGAAGAAGCTAAAGAAGAACCTGCGGCCGATGCTGTCGAAGGATCAGCAGAGGAGAAGAAAGGGGATGCATAAAGATGTTGCGGCAGTTTCTCATGTCATTCCATCTGTTCCACCACGACCGTATATAGTGTCTTCATACCACCAAACCTTAGAACACTATGTGAGCATGTCTTCATACAAAGATTTCCAGCCGCAGCATTGTTTTAGTTATCGTACACGACGTCGTCAAATTCCAATGTATCATTGACCTCGATTCGGTGTAGGCGTTGTATACTTTTGCGCTGCACAATCTGCGCTGTTATCTTGTCTTGCCCAGGCACGGCGCTATACATGTCTAGAAACACAGATGCCACATCAAGCAGCTGCCTTCCCCATAGTTGACTCTTCATCGGCCCAAGCCGCCCAGAATCTAGTGCCATCCCCTTCGGACCAGTAAAGAGCAGACGATTTTCCTTGGACCACGGCTTCATTGATGAGGATATGTCGAACATTCTAAGATGCGATAAGACGACTGGGAAAGCGGAAGGGTGATGTTGAACTTACTGATCCGCTGGTATCGGTAAGAGAACACGTTAGCATGACAAGAACACTGACCGGAGAGAAGCGAGCTTACGGTACTTCGTACATAGGTTCTAACAACAGTTTTTCCTAGAGACCAGTCAATGACTCCGTCCGCTGTAACGCGTCGAAACTTGCCATGATACCCCTCAAGCCGCGAGCGCCACCTCCACGTTCGGCAGCCTTTTGACAAATCGCATTCAAGGCTCCCGTCGTAAATCGGATTTCCACACCCGAGTAGCCAAACAGAGCAGAGTATTGAGATATGAGAGAGCCCCGAACTTCGGTGAGGATTCGGCGAAGGTCAGCGGGGGTGAGAGGCGAAAGTGTTGTCAAGGAAGGCAGACGGGAAATAAATTCGGGAATAAATCTGTATAGAGACTTGTTTCCCAGACTCTTCATGAATGAAACGAGTGGTGGCATACCCGTATTGTATCAAATCTGCGGAAGAAGACAACAAATGAGCGCTGATTAATGGAATATACCAAAGTCATATTACCTGCTGGTTCCACCAGTTCAAAGAGGTTGGGAGATACCCGCCTGTTAGATGTAAAAAATGGCATAAATCCTGGGGTAGTGTCTTCGGACGGGGCATTGAGTGTGGCTGCAAAGCCAATTGACTGGGTATATATCGTCGTGAGAATAATATAAAATATCATTAAAAAGTCTTACTCCTTTGGCCACTCGTCTTTTGATAATCGTCTCCAATCCTACAAATGCACCACTGAGAATGAACAACACATTGGATGTGTCAATCTGAAATATGTCTGGCTTGGCCGCCTTCGCTGTAGCACAAGAGCATTACAGCATCCGCATCGATGACGGCCATATTGAGAGGATGAAACATACCAGGATTAGAAGGAATGGCTCGGCTAGCCGATCGCGAACGGCCTTCACTGCTAGCAACGCCGGGGCCTTCAACTGCTGCCCCTTTTGCTGGTACAGTGACGACCGAGCCTTCCAAAATCCGGAGGAGGGCCTGTTGTACACCTTCGCCTGCGACATCGCGTGATCCTTCCAATCCACCAGATCCAGCTTTTCGTGCGATCTTGTCTACTTCGTCGATATACACGATACCCATACTTCGCATTTATGGTGAGACCAGTTTACTAATAATACGAACATCCATACCTGGCTCGGTGAGGATCCCAGTTCGCGGATTGTAGCTAGCCAAACTGATAAACTCGCCAGCTCAAATAAGAGATGTATCACTCACTAATCGTTGTATGCACACGTCAACGTCTTCTCCGATGTCTGAAACAAAGATAAGTAGAACGCTAGTCGCATGGCACTCGACGTGGACTGACATCCGGCCTACATGATTGAAGAACACCCGTGGTCATAGGTTGAGGTTATAGGTTGCGAAAGACAGACACTCACTTGTGTAAAGGACGTGGCGTCGCTGACGGAAAAGGGCACGTCAAGCACCTTAGCAAGTGTTCGAGCCAATAGCGTCTTGCCTGCGACAAGGTAAATAACGGGTGTCAATGAATCCAACTATTGATTACCAGATCCAGTTGGCCCGCTGTGACTTCAGTGTCAATGACATGAATGAGTTATAGGCACGGGGAACACGTGCATGACAAGAACATTACTCTTCTCGAGAAGAGGTGCCGTGAAGTGAGGCTGTATGGGCATTGCAGAAGTCGGTGGGAGTCGTTGCGGATGAGGTTGTACGTGCGCAGAAAGTATACCCGATTGCGCTAAGACCATACGTCTAAGTGCTGGAAGAGAAAGAGAGGTCCCAGAACGTACTATCTTCTTCTTCCTCACCCCAATGTCCATGATATGCCTCTGCGTTCTCTAACGCTCTTAAGTTCGCACGGACGCGGTTGTAGTGATTAAAAACACTGGCGTGGCGTTAATATACAATGCTCCGTCGTGAATCACCACCAAACTCACGCCACTGAAAGGACCTTTTTCGCATTCTTCTGACCGACTACATATTCATCTAGATACTGCACCAGCTGTGAAACAGTAGAAGATCAGATCACACATGGGGAGTATGAGATTCTGAGAGGGCGACATACCTGACGTGGGGTGGCCAAACCTTCTGATCCCGCATGGATGTATTCATTGTAGTCAGGTTTAGGTGCATAGTCATACTGAGCTTGAGTGCGAATAGATCGAGTGAGTAGGCGAAGTGATCGCGAACGAAATGCCATAAATCAGGCGTATGGGGTCAGAATCCACAGTCCGTCACTGAATGTTATCTTGGTAAGTTCTGCGATATTGACGTGCACAGGGAGAATGTTCAGTAATTGGGTTTGACGTTGTTCCCTGTAGTCGAGACGTTGTCGTTACAGAGGATTCGGGATAGAAAGGGCTGAACTAAACTGAAAGTCTCAAGATCTCATTGTCTGGCGGCAGGCTGTATAGAACTCAGCATGCAACGTAATAGCTCGCGCGTAAGCATTACATAATTATGTCTTCTCTGTGACGGCCCGGTGCTGAAGTCTGCTACTGCTCTCGAGTCTCCACTGCCAGTATCTTGCTTCTCCTCATCTTCAGACCGTAACAATGGGTAGGGATCGCTCTCGCTCTATATCTCCTCGCCGTGTGGACGATCATAGACGGAGAGACAGGTCAAGAGAGCGGGAATTTTCGCGACCTGACGGGAACTCCACCAGACACACCGATCGGGACGATGGACACAACAGACGGAAACGCACTCGCAGTCGGAGCGTAGACCGAGAGGATAGGGGACGTAGTCGCCGGGAAAGAAGCCGTAGCAGAGAGAATGGTAGAAAGGAGAAGAAGTGAGTATCATGTAGCATGTGTCACGGAAATATTGACGTTGTCTCCACTTTCAGACGTAAAAGAGACAAGTCCGAGGAACGCAAGGCTCGCAAAGCAGAGAAAAGACGCGCAAGGGAGGAGGAAGAGGCTCGTCAAATTGCAGAACTGAGTGTTTACAGCGCGACCGACAACCCCTTCCACGACGTAAACCTTGGCCAGCAATTCCGGTGGCACAAAAAGAACGAGAAGGAGAAGAAGCAGGGATTGACTTTAGCTGAGGCGCAGCAGAAGGACGCACTGAGGCGGCAGGAAGCCAAGGAGGAGCTGGAGAGGTTGAATCGGCGGCGGGCTGAACGAGAAGCAGAGCAGCTGTTGAGGGAAGAAGAAGAGGCGAGAATGCACAGGATGGCGGAGTCGGCACAGATGGCAGATTGGATTGCGAAAGATGGAGACTTTCAGCTGGAGCAGGAGCGACGCAGGGCTGCCATTCGGATCAGGGAGAAGAGGGCGAAAGCAGTCGATTTCTTGGCTCTCAACCTTCGATATGTGAACCCGATCGATGAGGCAGAAGATGAAGTTGGGATCGAGGAGGCTGGCCTTGAAATTGATTTGGATGAGCCGTACAATATCTTCGACGTGAGTTCGGCATCCTCACTCTCACACTCTCATGGTTCTTATCATACATCAGAGCTTATCTCCCGACCAAGTCGATGAACTTCATGACGATATCGAGAGGTACCTGCAGCTCGAACAATCCGACGTGAATATTGATTTTTGGACAGTGAGCAACCATTCGGCTATCGTGTTTCCAAGTCATTGACGTATTGAGCATCTAGAACATGATGGTCATATGCAAGGACCGAGTGGAGCGTATCAAGGCCGATCAACGACTTGGTGTTGAAGCTTCCGCCGCTGTAGAATCTGATATCACCGCGCTACTGCAGGGCAAACCCTATGATCATCTTGTCGCACTTCAGAGGCAAATCCAGGCTAAACTCTCCAGCGGTGAACCAGTCGACACTGACTATTGGGAGAGCTTACTCAAGAAACTTTTGGTGTGGAAAGCGAAGGTACTATTTTATCTCTACGAGTCATGACATATATACTTATTCTAGCTCAGGCCAGACTGAAGAGCCTCCATGAGGTTGTCGTTCGAAATCGGCTGGAACAGCTTCGCAAACGACAACGAGATGAAGCTCTTCAAGCTCAAGAAGAACTTCTTGAAGGCGTTGCCAACGCCGCTGCAGGTAAAGCTCATGCGGCGGTTGTCGAACCTACAGTTGTACAAGAGTCTGTACTTGCCGAAGACGTCGAGCCCTATGACCGCGCCATGAGCCCAGGATTGATCGATATCACGAAATTGCCATATGAGGAGAGGCAAATTGACATTGTTCTCGAGGCAGACGATCGTCGAGCTCTTGTAAGTTTTCCCGGGGACATGTGTATCGACAAGAACTGATGCTCACTGCTACAGCTCGAACAACGTCGAGCAGTGGCTGCTTCTCGATTCGTTCCGAAGGCCGCCCAACCTGCACCTCAAGAGGAAGAAGATATCGAAGCACCCAGCGGTGCGGACCTGGCTTCAGAAGCGCTCTATAGAGCCGAAGCCGAAAAAGACATGGATGAAGAAGAGGAGCTCTTCAATCTCGAAGAGAACATCGTCAACCCGACGACATACAATTGGGAGGACAAGTATCGGCCTCGAAAGCCTAGATACTTCAATCGCGTGCATACGGGTTACGAGTGGAATAAGTACAACCAAACACACTACGAGTACGTAACCGAGATCGTAGGCAAAGCCCTCACTCACTGTTCTGTAGCACGGACAACCCGCCGCCTAAGGTCGTCCAGGGATATAAGGTCAGATACGGGTTTTGGCTCATCCCCCATCCAGAGGACGAGCTGCTGACAACACACCAGTTCAACATCTTCTACCCAGATCTCATCGACAAATCGAAGGCTCCCTCCTACAAGATCGTCAAAGAACCAGGTAACGACGACACGGTGCTACTCCACTTTACCGCTGGACCTCCATACGAGGACATCGCGTTCAGGATTGTCAACCGCGAATGGGAGTACTCTCATAAACGGTATGGCCATTCTGTTACGTATTGAGGAGCAGTCCCTCACACGTGCATGCGCAGGGGATTCCGAAGCAGCTTCGATCGCGGATGTTTGTCGCTCTGGTTTAATTTCCGGCGGAATGTAAGCTCTTAACGCCTGTGCGATGTCTGAAGGCTCATGTTTCCTTGCAGTTCTACCGAAAATGAGGGGATTTGTGTCTGTATTGGTACTGGCTGTGCTTGGTGTATTTTACTGCATATGATGTTGTCCTGCATATGTTCGGATATGCGAGGTTGTGAGTTACCACGTTACTGGCAACGCCACGACGGCCAAGCTGTCGGAAAGTTGGTGCCCAAAGGTGCCCAATGAGCACGGGAGGCGCGGATAACACGTGCTGCCTGCAGCCTCGTCTGAGATCTGCTTCCGTAAGAAGCTCTTCATCGCCGCCTGCAGGTCACTGCAGGCGGCCGCTGCGGCCGCTCGCAGGTCGTCCTTGATCCTCCACCTTGACCTCCCTCTTATTTCCTCATCGCTCCCTGCGCTCAGTACAGCTCACAGAAGTAGCTCTCCTGTTTTTCGGTCCATACCAGGCAGCCTGTGTGGCTTGCACCTCGACTGGGTCGATCGTTGGCCACAAGTAGTGACACCTGTGCCACCAGTGCCACACAAAGTCGCAGGTCCATTGTCCACCCTCACATAACGGTCGGGCGGGGTGCCCCATCAAAAGGCCTCGAGACTCGTCTGGTTCACAGTGTTGCGCTCTCTTCCCACCCACTGATTGTTTCCTCGCGATGTTCTCTGCCTTGAAGTCTTCTCTCACGACAGGCGGGTGCGACCACGATATTGCCCTCAAATATTACAATCGCCCCGCTTTCCTCGTCTCCCCCGACCCTCCCAATGACGTTCTCCCCTCGTGGCTTGTAAAGCGGCGTAGCATAGGGGACGTGGAGGCCCAGAGAAACTTCGCTGCCCCGCCCGCGGACATCAATTCGGCAAAGCAAGGTCGTGTTCTCAACATTGATGTAGAGATCGACCAGGCGGCCTTTGAGTCCCGCCAAACCGGGCTGACGCCATTCCCTCCTCCCCCGACCTTTGAGGAATTTCGCGAAATGCATCCTGATCTCCCTTTGGCGACACTCAAACGCATGGCCTGTCTTTCTGAGGGTGAAAGTCCAACGCTTTCAATGGTTGAAGATGACGCGTTCTCCCCGTTTACAGTATGCACCCCTTCGCCTTTGTTATCACCCCGTAGCTTATGCCACTACATCACAGATGTCGACCGCGTCTTCAGAGAGCGGTGGACGCTTCGGATGTAGAAGTGTCGTACAGGAGTCGTCGCCGATCTCATTCGACTCGGATTTTGCGACTCGGGGGACTCGTCCGAACTTCGACTGGTCTCCTACAGAGACACATGCAGTAGGCTTTGGTGTCGATCGCTCGGAAGCTCGCAGAGCGGCTGAGAAGAACTGGAGGACGAAGCCCTTCCCAGATACCCGATGTAAACAGGAGCCGCGAGCGTTGGCCAATGCCAAGCCGAAACTCAGCCTTCCTGAAACATCAGATGAAGACAGGCGAACGCTCGGCGCATTAGCTGGATGGGTAACCGACTACCTTTACGAATTGGCTACCGCAGGCAAGCTTTGCGATGAGCCATCTATAGAGTATGCCTTGTAACCTCTGGTGTCCTCTGACGAGCTGACCACACTTTCGCATAGGCGGCTCTATGTATGGCATTTCACGGCGTCGTATCATTCGGCGGTAGATCAGATTCGTCACATTCTGCTTGGTACCCTACTGCCGCGGTCCACGGTCTTCCTCGCTCTATGGTATACTGCTCGGCTCCCATCGTCGCCGTTCTCCATAGTGTATCCACAGGACATCGGTCGCTTTACCCTCAGAGAGATGATGAGAGCTGCGTCTAGCTCCATGGAAGGCTTGATCGTGCAGATGTTTCTGGTAGGAGCGATGCTAGCTGATAAGTGGGCAAACGACCACACTTTCGCCACAAAGGCATGGTGAGCCTTCTTCTGTTGTTGCGTTACCTTTCTCTGATGGCTGATTACGATAGGCACGTCACATCTGGTGTATCTGTGTCGACCTTGAATGGTCTCGAGAAATCTGCGCTTGGGATACTTGACTACGAGTTGCACATCACAAGCAACGAGTGGCAGCAATGGTTGGGGCACCTCAGACACTGGCACAACTGTCTGACGCCGTTGCAGCCTGTCGGCGTCTTCCGCACGTCGCCATACTCCTCGGTCAGCCGTGCAATTGACGAGGTAATTGAGGCATCGCATCCTGGGTGTGATGCTCGAGGTACAGCATCGCCTCAGTTCCTCAAGAGTCTCCAGCGCGGGGAGATTCATGACGTAAGTCTGATTCCTGCAAGGGACGCATCCCATATGCATGCGGAACAGACAATCCCCCCCTCCTTGATTCGTCTACCACTTGAATGGTCTACAGAGGCAGACCCCATCGTGTCTCGGCCAATCAGGACTGTTGGCGTTGCCCCTGGTATGTACCGTGGCAATTCCTCAACATCATACGCTACGGAGCCCAGCTATCCTCGTCAACAACCACTACACGCCCCTGCTCTTCGCGTCGCAGCTAGGAGCTGGGCGCCATATAGACCCCGTTGGCAGTCTGCATCGGCCTTGTGTGGAGAGTCGCACCTGAATTGGCTGTCGACGGGTTCTGAGCATCCTAGCCACCATCGATGGTCAAGTGTAGCTGTTGGATTTTGATTTACCTTGGTCTATGCTGTCACGACATTGTGATGTCCCCATGCATGTGGTATCTCCCGCGGCTTGCCTTGCTTTATCTCGTTGGAGATTCCTCTCCGATGACTGCAATACCGCGTCTGCTACATATGCCTCTGGTGCGCGAGGGGATCCACTTACCTGCTCTTCTGATACCTTTCAGGTGGTATTATATTGATTATGATTTGTGGTTGCGACGATCCATCACATCCCTGGGGGGTACCTCATGGCATCATGCTACCCTTTCCGCATGGGATATTATTGCGTTATTCTCTAATTCACCCTCGCTCGCTTACTTTTTGATAAGTCCCAAGGGGATCTGCTTTTCTCGCCTTTCGTCTTGTGCTACCGTCCAGTGGACTTGTACTTACTTTAACTGGATAGTAGTAGAAGTACTAGTATGAGACCTGTCGTACCATCTACCCTCGATCTGTCCCTCCACGGCACGGTAATACACTCCCGGCGGTATTTTTGCCCCACCTTCCAGTGCATATCGCTCTGCATGCCAACCAGACGGCTTTCGGCCTCGTACTTACGAAGATCCCCGAGGTTCCTAATCAGGACAGCATGACGGCGCGACGCGTGCGCCTATCCTGGCTTACTTGAAGCACACTGTGGCTCGATTTCTCCTCCTTGCTTTCTACCTTCTCTGACATCGCTTGTTCATATTACCAACACTTTTCACGACATGGCCGCATCTGCCAACAGTGCCCCCATGGACATCGACGAAGCTACGATCGATGAGGGTCTGTACTCTCGTCAACTGTAAGCAGCCTCCGCATACACTCGATGGGCCTGCTTGATCATGCTCACATCGTACCCTCTGTACTCAGGTATGTTCTGGGACATGAAGGTGAGTACCCTTGCCTGAATTTTATTTCTTCCCTAACAATCATTTATAGCCATGAAGCGCATGGCCGCATCTAATGTACTAATTGTGGGTATGGAGGGTTTGGGTGTCGAAATCGGTACGCGACCATATCTATCAGCGTTTGATGGATATTGAGAATCAATCCAGCCAAGAATATTGTACTCGCTGGCGTTAAGTCTGTGACCATTTACGATCCCGAGCCTGTCCGTATCCAGGATCTCAGCACCCAAGTACGTCCCTTGGATCGGTCCTAATTCCTGTCATCAGGTCCTAATGACTCGCGTCCAGTTCTTCCTACGGGAGAATGATATTGGAAAACCTCGCGCGCAGGCGGCTGTCGGTCGTCTTGCGGAGCTAAACGCCTATGTTCCTGTCCGAAATCTTGGTGGAGTAACAGGGCAGCCTATTACTGTCGACCTTGTCAAAGGGTTTCAGGTGAGTTCAAGGCGAATGAGAGATTTTGGATTACAGGAGATAATAGCGTCTTGCATCTCACTATAGGTTGTGGTCTTGGTGAACATGCCGCTGGAGCTCCAACTGGAAATAAACGACTGGACACATCAAAATGGTGTACATTTCATCGCCGCAGAAAACCGTGGTCTCTTCGGGTACATTGATTTCCCCCATCTTCTCGATAAAATTTTGACTTGATTCGGTTGTAGATCAGCATTCAACGACTTTGGACCTAAGTTTACCTGTGTCGATCCAACGGGGGAACAGCCATTGACGGGCATGATCGTTTCCGTTGATAATGTTAGACAATTTTGTTGCTTCCAAAGAAACGAATGCATGCTTACTAGATATATACATCTAGGATAAGGAGGGGCTCGTCACCTGCTTGGATGAGACTCGGCACGGTTTAGAGGACGGGGACTTCGTTACTTTCGCCGAAGTGAAGGGCATGGAACAGTTGAATGGGTGTGAGCCTCGAAAGATCACTGTCAAGGGCCCATATACCTTTTCAATCGGGGACACCACGGGTTTAAGCGAATACAAGTCGGGAGGCATTTTTACTCAAGTGAAGATGCCGAAGATCTTTGAATTTGTGCGTATTTTCCCCATCTTTCTTGGCTCTGAATTGTCACTCAAATAAATCCAGAAATCTCTTCGGGAGTCATTGAAAACTCCGGAGTTCTTCGTTACAGATTTTGCAAAGTTTGACCGTCCTGCGACTTTGCATGCTGGATTCCAGGCTGTCTGGCAGTTCAAGTCTCATAATCAGCGATTCCCCCGCCCAAGAAACAACGAGGACGCTGCTGTTGTAGTATCTTTAGCCAAGAAGATAGATTCCGATGCAGACGAGAAAGTTTTGACAGAGCTTTCATATCAGGCCATTGGGAATGTCTCTCCTCTGATTGCCGTCTTGGGTGGCTTTGTCGCGCAGGAGGTCCTGAAAGCATGCTCGGCCAAGTTCCATCCCATGATCCAGCACTTGTACTTTGATTCGCTCGAGTCGCTGCCTTCTAATATTCCCACCGAAGAGGACTGCCAGCCTGTTGGTTCTCGATATGACGGGCAGATTGCTGTTTTCGGTAAAGTATTCCAGGAAACTATTGCCAACCACAGGCAATTCCTCGTTGGTGCTGGCGCTATTGGTTGCGAAATGTTGAAAAATTGGAGTATGATGGGTCTTGGGTCTGGTTCAAAGGGCGTCATTCACGTCACTGATCTGGATACTATTGAGAAGAGCAACTTGAACCGTCAGTTCTTGTTCAGAGCAAAGGATCTCGGCCACTTCAAATCCGAGGTTGCCGCTGCCGCTGTTTCAGAAATGAACCCTGATCTCAAGGGCCACATTCAAAGCAAGCAGGAACCAGTGGGTGGTGATACGGAGAGTAAGCTCTAGACTTGTTTTTCTTACGACATTCAACTTATTGACGTTCTAGATATATACGGGGAAGACTTCTTTGACGGCGTCGACGGTGTGACTAATGCCTTAGATAACATCAAAGCCCGTATGTCTGCTCACAGCAAATGGATGGATTATTACTCATATTTTGCTTGCTTAGGACTGTATATGGATCAACGTTGTGTCTTCTTTGAGAAGCCCCTGCTTGAATCTGGAACGCTCGGAACAAAAGGAAATACCCAGGTCATCATTCCTCACTTGACGGAGTCTTATGCATCTTCGCAAGACCCACCGGAGAAGGAAACACCTTCTTGCACCGTTAAGAATTTCCCAAACGCCATTCAGCACACCATCGAGGTAAGCTCTACGAAAATCAATAGACAATGACTCATAGTATGTTAGTGGAGCCGCTCGGAGTTCGATAACCTGTTTGTGAAACCAGCGCAGGCTGTCAATTCATACCTGTCGGAGGCCAATTTCCTAGAGAGTACCCTGAAATATTCTGGCCAGCAGAAGGAGCAAGTCGAGCAGATCGTTTCCTATCTTGTTACCAACAAGCCGATCACTTTTGAGGAATGCATAGTGTGGGCTCGGTTGCAATTCGAAGAGAAATATAACAACGCCATCCGACAGCTGTTGTACAGCTTACCCGCGGATGCTGTCACGAGCACCGGTCAACCCTTCTGGAGCGGTCCAAAACGCGCTCCCGTACCCTTGACGTTTGATTCCAGCGATGTGTGTTATCATTGTTGTCTTTTGCTTGAAAATTGATCTTTCTGACGCTGCTCATCAGCCCACTCATCTTCAGTACATCATTGCCGCTGCCAATCTCCATGCTTTCAACTATGGCCTTCGTGGGGAAACTGACGCAACTCTTTTCAAGAAGGTTGCAGAATCCGTCCTTGTGCCAGAATTCACTCCAAGGAGTGGTGTCAAGGTACAGATCACCGAAACTGATCCCGTAGAAGGCAGTAATGGTACGCCAATGTCATCTATATTCATCTCGACTGTCATATTTAGTGTATTGGGAAGATTCTGGTGATTTCGGCGAGCTTTCGAAACAGCTACCGGCTCCCTCATCGCTTGCAGGCTATCGGTTGACGCCTGTCGAATTCGAAAAGGACGACGATACTAATCACCATATTGATTTTATCACGGCCGCGTCCAACCTCCGAGCCATGAACTACACCATCAATCCCGCTGATCGTCACACCACAAAGCAAATTGCAGGCAAAATCATTCCGGCGATCGCCACCACCACATCCCTCGTCGTAGGATTGGTGTGTCTCGAGTTGTACAAGGTTCGTACGACTATGCGTCCTGGCACGGCCGCTGAACGCTGACAACTTGTTCACACAAGATTATTGACGGGAAAAGGAAACTCGAGGATTACAAGAATGGCTTTGTCAATCTCGCACTCCCATTCTTCGGGTTCTCCGAACCGATTGCGGCAGCGAAGAACAAATACGGTACCACTGAGTGGACGCTTTGGGATCGTTTCGAGTTCAAGAACGATCCCACGCTGAAGGAGATGGTCGAGTGGTTCCGGACCCAGCACAAGCTGGACATCAGCATGGTCAGCCAAGGTGTCAGCATGCTGTGGAGTTCGTTCATCGGGAAAAAGAAGGTGTGTACTCCTCCTGTCAAGTGACCAGTCAAATTTACATCTCTATTTCAGAGCGACGAACGCTTGCCGATGAAGTTCAGTCACCTGGTTGAACACGTTAGTAAGAAGCCCGTCCCTGCACATGTCAAGAACTTCATCGTCGAAGTAATGGTAATGGATGAGGATGGAGAAGACGTTGAGGTACGCTGGCTTCGTGTCCGGTCTCGTCCGAGTTCCTGCTAACGACTTTTCTTGTAGGTTCCTTTCATTGTTGTTCGCAAGTAAGATGAAGGCGACATTTCTGACGTGCGTGTATGAGAATAGCATTTGTATCTACACATAAAGTTGTACAATTTCCTCAATCCAAAGCCTCGTGCATTTCTTTCTTTGATGAAACTCACGATAGATAGATGATTCCATTTATGGGTGGCTGTGCAGGTCGTTTGCGACCTATGTAGCTACCTGTACTCGTATGCACTCGTGTACCATACTCGACGTGCATTAAGCAGGTATTGTATCGTAAATCAACGCGAGTAACCATATGGGGATGTAGTGACAAAGCATGATGCGGATCCAGAGGGAGGTTGGGATCGTATATTGCGGCGGCGGGGTGGCGTGCCCGAGATGGAGAGGCTAGCGCCTCGAGGATGAAACTCACGATCACGCACAAGTTCTGCATAATTGTGGATCCATTGAGAAGCTCGAGTGCTACGTCAACAAACTCCAGGACCACGAAGAGACGCATAAGGGTACCCTATAAAGGGAAGGAGAAGTAGCGAGGGACGCGAAAAGCCGCTGCCGAAGTAAATACGAGTGATTTATACTCGAGAATTACGAGGGATGGGTAAAAACGGATGCGATGTGCAATCGAATATGGAACGAGGAGGGATAAGATGGAAGATGACGATGGCGGGGATAATGAGGAGATGTTTTTGGAGATTTACGTAGGTTTTCTGCATGTTTTTTTGGGGTTTCGTGACAGATGCTAGGTGAATGAAACAACCAGACGAAAAAGCAGCAGAAAAGACGTGATGACGAAAGATTAAGGAGCAAAGTCACTATACCGGTCGGGAAAAAAAGTGTGAGAAGGCAAAATGAAAACTGAACACATCGACGCTTCGAATAGGGACATCGAAATCGAAAAAAAAGACTGTACGGGACGTTATCACATGCCCGAGGCTGACAAGCCTTGGGGTAGCTTGGGTGCGTACAATGCCAAGTAAATTGGTCCATGAGATCCGTCGTTCCCCGGTCGAGCAGAGCGGACAACGCTCCATGTTGACCTCTCCCGACGAGGGGCGCACAACTGGACGGGATAAATATGGCATGACAGGATCGAGTGCAGAGACGTGAATGAGACGAGATGGCCAGGTCCCTTATGGACAGGATGGATATGTCATCGGGTTGCGGGAGGGCCGGATAAAAAATATAGTGCTGGCAACAGAGAAACAGTTCGGGGACAAACAAGTCACAGACAGGCAGGCATGAGGGAGCGAGTGAAAGATCGAACCATCGAAAGCGACTGGCGCCTGCTTCGTTCGAAACTGAGGGGCAAAGGGCGGGAGATTATGGCCATCGAGGGACAACTGAATGGATGTATGGTGGCAGGATCAGAGGATTGGGGGTAGCTCCGCAAAAGTCTAAGGCCGTCGCAGTGGGCGGGTATTTGAGGATCAGGCGCTGATCCAACTCGAAGGGTGCTGGAAGCTGGGAACTTGCCCAAAGGAATACCCATAAGGTGCACCGTAGACGTACTGATCGGCGCCAGTCCAATGCAGTTCGGCAGTAGGGAGCTGTGTCATGTTCTGGGCGGTCACCCGGAGGTCACTGCAAGCGTACTCAAGACGCGACTGAGACTGCGAACGGCTGTGAGTCACAGATTGCATGGCGACATGCTGCGGATTAGAGTATGATACGGATCTTGAATGGCTGGGCACTGCGGAATGGCCGTAGTCGTAAGCCTGATGATGCCCGGGAGGGAGCTGGATCTTCAACGGAGGCATGTACTCGACCCCTGATTGATGGTATCCGAGGCCGTACATCGGATTATAGGTGTACCGTGGCGCCAGGATAGGAGCGGGTGGCGGCACCATGGGCGGCTGAACTGCAACGTACTGCCCCTCCTGCCTGCTGCGCCCATTTCGAAAGATGGGTTCATCAGCGGCGGGGCTCCACTTGGCTGGCGGCGGGAGAGTTCTCCCCGTGTCCACAGTCGATTCCCAGCTATGTCTGCCGGTGATGGGTCTACACCCGACCTCGTGCCTGGCATTATCCGCATTCGAAGTGGTTCTGCGATGCTTCGGCATATACTCTTCGCGAAGAGGGCCATCCTCATCCAAGTCTATGTCCAATAATTCAATGCCAGAGGTAGCAGGAACACCGTAGTGGTCCATTTTCTCCCGCTTTCGATCCTCGAGACCCAAGAAGACCGGCTCCGGAGGAGAGGGCACGCACGACTGACTGTTACAAGCACGAGGCATAGCACTGACGGCTTCAATCGCTATCAAATCTTCCACGGCTTTTCGCATGATTGACTGAGGATTCGACGATGGGCGAGAGATCGGCTGAGGGTGGGAAAGAGTGGGGAGTGACATATGGCCGGCCAGAACGCGACGCAACCACTGAGACCATTCGAGTGGCGCTATGGACAGGTCATAAGAGAACAGATCAAGAGCAAGGGATTCCAATCTGTTCAAGGACTGGATTGGAATGTTGGATATGGTGTGCCTGGAGGGAAATACGTTAGTCGCACGCACGTTCTAGATGAGTTCAAAAAAGTAAGCTTACCAAGTCTTGTTCGAGAACGTATGATCGTCCAACCACTTGTTAGCTAACATACACCCGAGCAAAACCAATCTAAAAGGTGCGTATTGCTCCACTGCGTCCCGGTTGTCCGCGGTGTGCCATTCTTCGACACCGAGCAGTTCAGCTCGGAACCGAATTTCTTTGAGGAATTCGGCACCGAAAGGAGTAGAACTGAAGGATATGGGAAGCCGCATGATGTACCACACGGCCAGAAGAATAGCGGGCGGTTGCAGGAGAGTAGACATAAAAAGAGAGCGAATGGAGTTGGCCAGATGAGCAGGTGGAACAGTTGGATACCGCTGTGGGGAGCCGCTGAAAAACGAGGTTAGTTTTCCACAAAGCTATGAAGTGAACGCATAACTTACAGTGATTGCGCATTATAGTGCAGGAGACCGGAACCCGTCGTGCACGCCTTCCATACGTACGATGCCATCCAATCCACAAACGGATCGGCCATCTTTTTGTAAGGGATGCTAGGGGAAGTGGGTATGGGCTCAGGCGCGGCAGGTGCACCTAATTGCTGAGAGTGATCCACTACTTTGAACGGCTGTGCAGAATGACGCTGGATAGCATTGAGCTTGACCTCGTAGTGCAGCAAGGCTGGATGCTGGACAAGGGGCTCATTGCGCGCGGGGATGGAATCCGCTGTGTGGTCGAACGCGTGCGCCACTGCACGGTCGACGAAGTCCGGGAACGGCGTCATGGGCTCAACAGGACTCGATGAAGGGTCGCCCGCAGCGGTCGCCTCGGGGGACATATCCTCGAACATGGGTGTGAAGGGGCCACACTTGTACTGCCCGGGCTGTTGCTGGTCGTGGTAGACGCAAGCTTGCTCGTCGACAGCTGCGCCGCCGAAAGCGTCCGAATCGTACTGCGCATCGACCTCTATATCTGTCTCCATCTGGGAATCCGACGAATGACCGCTCCACTGGCTCTCTATGTCGTATTCGAGAGAGTGAGAGCTCATCTCGTCGTCTGCATCGTCTTCGCAGTCCTGCTGGGGGACCGCGGTGATGTGGCACTGGTCGTTGGGATGAATGAGGCTCAGAGAGGGCGGAATACACGCTTGCGCGCGTTCTCCTTTAATGACAGGCGCGTTACCCGCGTCAATCAACCCGTTGGAAAAATGTTGAATGCCACGGGCGGGGGCGACGTGGGTCTCTTCCTCCCAGATGCGACGCGGTTTATTGCGGCGCCACGATGGGAGAGAGCTAATCCACTCCTCGCGGGTCCCAAAAGAGGGGGGTGGACCCGCGGGAGGGAGGGGAAGCGAGTACGTCAGGTTGTGGAAAACGGAAGGGATCTGGTGGCCAACGTCGCCAGATTGGATGTTCGGCTTGAGGACTAGGTGTGAGGGGGCTCTGGACTGTCGAGGGACGGGGACTGGCATTTGCTGAGGAAAAGAAGGAGGAAGAAGCCCTGCGCTAGCGACACCAGGTGCAGTCAGCTAGGAGTTTCTGTGTCTAGAAAGCTCTCGTCGGTGGCACCGTCGAGGAACCCGGGGGCGAAAGAGGTCGTAATTTAGATCGTTAAGATAGAAAAGAGCTCAGGGATGTGTGGGATTGTGGCAAAAGGAGGAGTTGGTGGATGGCTGACGCACAACAAAGGCGTGCCTTTTGAGTCGGTTGTTGTAGACTGGGAGAGTGGGAGCTGTAGGGAGGATAGGGCGAGGAAAAGAGCGAGACAGGGATAGGATACCCTCTCCTGTCGAGGCCGCCGTTGTCGCTGACGGTGAGGACGAAACAAGCAACGATGGACCGACAGAGGAGGGTCGATCCTGAAGTGAGCCTCGGCGAGGGGAGAGTGAGCGAACAAGCAGGAGTCCGTGCCACCGTTGCCTTTTCCGTCATCTCTCTCCTAATTTTACAAAAAATATTATTATGTAATCGTGGCTGCTCCCGTCTCATGCTCACGACCCTTCGACGCGTCGAGTCCCGGCATCCCCAATGATCCCAGTTGGCCCACCCACAACGTGGTCCGCGCAATGTGTGTAATCGCCCCACATGCTCGTTGCATCCCCTACCACGAACAGGGGAGCGTGGTTTGTCATGTCCTTTCCCACCTCACAGGGTGGCTTCCCATCGCGCACAGCGTCTGGTCTGTCTGCCCATGAGTTCGATCAGCTTGATATCATTACGTCCACCTCGCATTCATCAGTTGTCGATCCCTGCGTCTATTTCTGTCATATCTATCATCAATAGCATTCAATTCCATCCCTGCTGGCCCGATTTATCCGGCTGTTCCTCCACAGACCTTAGTAAGGTCCTGCCAATCTCACTTTCACTTCGTGTTCTTTTAGCTCGCATCGATGCGATACATCCGAGCCTGCCCGCCTCCAACCGCCCCTGTACCTCCCTGTGCTCAAACCATCGCATCGGTAGGCACATTCTGGGTTGACATATTGACCGAGAAGACGTGGACGGGTGCTGATAGGTGCTGATTCAATCTCGCAACCTACAACATCCTGGATGATTATGTAGTGATGCTTCTTGCAAAAATCGGCAATGGTATCATCTGCCGGTTCGAACATTTTACTTATTCAGGGTGTACGTACAAGTACTCGCTGCATAAGCCAGTCAGTAATCGAGTGATTTTCGAATTTCGAGGATTTTAAGATGCGTGGGGATTGTAGAGCGCTGTAGAGTGTTGTTTATTTCTAAGGCTGCAGCCAAACAATTTCCTTTCTGGGATATAACTCATACTCGTCTCAATCGCAAGCACTGTCTATGTACTACAAGCGGCCAGGACGATCATGGTAACCTTACTTCTGCGAATCGAGCATCTGTGTTCCTCCGATCAAATTCACTGAAACACACATGTAGAATGAACAACTGGACTCGATAACCCTAGGCCAGCTAAAGGCCATGGTGGGGTCGGCACCAAAGCCCAAGGTACTTCCACCCTTGCCACCATCCTCGAGTTCATATTCATGCGCATGATCAGCAATCATACTATGACTTCAAATACGATGACGAGGACACAGTGCTCAATGAAATCGAGGAATTCTACTCGTACGTGGAGATGCCTCAAGTCGAGGAAAACGCGAAGGCGTGGGTCCAGGGCACGTTCGAAGGAGGTACGCGCTGTCCCGATCCGCGCCCATGCAGGCCTCTTTTTGATCCCCTTGACCTAAGAATGGATCAAGAGCTCAATATCGAAGAGAAAGGCTCACGTTGAGTTTCTACTGGAAAGACTAGAGCATAAGGACGCGGAGGCTCGCTTTACGCACGCACGACGGCTGCTCTATATCTTGCAGGGCGAGTATTCCATTTCATCGTGCGGAACACGCCATTCAAACGTTGTATAGGCACCTTTATGGAGACTACGTCTCCCGAACACCAGCTTCATTGGATATTTGAGAACTGCAAGGTGGTGCGCGCCGCTAATGGCCTCAGTAACATCGTGGAAGCAATGAAGATCGCTAGCTCGAAGCTAGATATGCTATAGTGAGGTCCGATCCATTGCCTCGCACGACACAGCACTCTGATACATCACGTTTGCTCTCGTAGCGCTCTTCCTGACGCAGAGGCCGCGCAATCAGGTATTTCGCTGGAAGCGAAGGCGGAGCTCATGGAAGAATTCACGACAGAAATCTATGTCTACCTTGCCATGCTGTATCATCTGATTGAGACTCTCAAGGGCCATGACGATTTCGCCGATGAACTCAGTGAGTATTGTTGTATCCGCGTCCTCTAGTCGTCGGTCCGGATTGACAGATCGCAGTGAGCCTTGACCCACCGCTTCCAGTTTATTTTTTCAACGTCGTGTCGGGGCTTCGTGACAAGAGCGCGAAGGGGTATCCTGTGAAGAAGGTATATCCTTCTGCCAACTTGTCAGGCCTTCGTTCATATTATACCCAGCTTCTTTTAGTTCTTTGGAAGACTCTCCTTTCCTGTTGCGGAGGAATCCGTGACTTAGCAAGAGTGAAAAAGCTCTCGCGAGAGCTGGCGGGATTGGCTCCGATCCCCGACGAAGGTTTGGATTCCTTTTCTAGCTGATGTGCATATAAAAGCTAACATTTCCATACCTTCCTGACAGCGGTCCCGATAAAGTCTTCGCCGCTCGATATAGAAGCCTTTCGCCAAGAAATTTCTGTGAAGTACCCAACATTCTCCGCGCACCCTGCCTCTCCAACTGCGGCTGGCCACGAACCGCAGGCCCTGCCGTCTATCCCCATAGCCAAGCTCGCCGAAGCCTACACCCCCATACCCATACGCCCTCATTATCACCACGAGGAGCCAGAATCACAACACCCGGGCCACAGTATGCAACACTACCAGCCTTCTCAAATGCACAGCGGCTTTCGGGGCGTCCCGCAGCCCGCCACGCCGGCTCCCACGCCTCCCCCTTCGCCCAAACCGAAGAAGCAGCAGTATCAGACGGACCCTTCTAGGCCGTTCCTGTTCCCCTTCTCACGGCGCCGAGACAGAGGGCGGGACATGATGCTCGTTCCCTTTGCCATAGAAGAAGCGGATAAGCTGTATAATAAGCACATGTACGTCAGTCTGCCCCTGTGGCAAATGTGGAAGATGAGGGAGGAATGCATGACGGCGGAGAGTGGTCTGGACCATCTGCCTGGTATGGAAGGCGTGACAGACTCTATGACTAGGATGACGGTGAGATTTATTTCTTAGCTCCATAAGTACGCATACTTGCCGCTCACATGCTGTTTTTACGTTCAGACCGAAGAGGCGTTGGACACAGAAATAGAGACCCTACATGATGTGGCACTTTTGGATGCGAAAATTGCCGAAACCGAAGCCGCCATTCAAAATGCGGAATCCACCGCTGAGAGCCGTCAGCTGAAGCAGCGAAGAGAAGACTTGTTGCGGTTGAAGAGGGTCGAACAGATCTATGTAGGTTTCTTGTCGCCAAATATCGTCAGTCACATGCTCATCTGATCACAGAGCGCAGTGCTCCCTGTCCTGTCCAACTGGGTTCTCGTACTGCTAAAATTGCTTCTGTCGATCGTGTCGGCCTCATCGCCGAACCAGCCTCCACCGTCTGCTGGTGGATCGAGTTTTCCTCCTGGCGTATCCTCCCGTAAGACCATTTATTTCCGCATACGATCAACTGAAGCGAGTCGCAGAATCAAGAGTCTCCTAGTCATGCGATAGATCCTGGTGACATCGATGTGACACGACACAGAGAAGTCACTACCAAGGCGGTCTCTGCAATCCTTCTCCTGACCCTCAAATGGTTCAAAGCCTCCCGTAAGCCTCATGGATGCTTTTCAGCCTTCCTTCGAATGTCCAATTGTCCGATCTTAATATTGATCGACAGATGTCATGAAATTTCATCATTTGGGACAGCTGCTACTGGATACAAACTGTCTTTTGCTCGTCATGAAGATGTTCGGCCTCCAGGACGTGTCAGCCTCGATTGTCTCCAAAGCTGAGTCTCCTAACAACAAGTAAGCATTTGTGCAAGATCACTCAATTCTTTACTGACGAATCTTCAGCTTCTTCCGATACTGTCTTCTTCGCTGTTCGAAGAATCCTCAATTATCTCACACTGATGATCATATGCTCAGCCAGCCCAGGCGCACCGTTACACGAATCACTGTACTCCCGAATGGGTTGAGGAGCGAGGAGGACGTTGATATGTTGACAGAATTCTCTTGGCGCAACTTCTTCTCGTCAATCAACTTCACCAAGGTCATGCAAAAGTTGTCCAAACATCGTTCAAATCGCATCCGCATGCTGGTGCAATATAAGAGTTCTGTGCGTCGTATAGGTTTACCGAGATGGCCCCTCTGATTACATTGTCAGGCCGTCTTGAAGCGAATTCTGAAGGTTCAGCATCCTATGCTTCAACTACACATCCTCAAGCTTATCAAGAGCCAAGTACCGTTCAGTGGGCGGAAGTGGAGACAATGTAAATCGGAACTTGTACGCAAGGAATGTAAGAGATGTTGATGCATGTTTCACAGCAAATATGCAAGTCATCACCTCGATATATCTAAATTGTCGGCCGGATCTGCGCGACGAGTGGCTCACTGGCAACGAAGTGGACGAGGTAGGCGAAGGGCAGGCCCAGGAGGAGGCCCTGCGGCAGCTGGTCAAATTCTGTAGGTATACCGGTATATATCATCGTCGTCATAGGCCTCTAATGTCCGACAGATAACACCAAGCGATACGGTCAACCGTCTTCGCATCCGGTCAGTCACACGCATCGCCGTTCGGTCAGTATGTCCCACACATTAGAAAGCCTGCACGGCTCTGAGCTGCAAGGCCTCGTCCGACCTGTCGGCACGCCAAATGTCGTGGAAGCCGACGTCTTCCCACCCCTTCGCGCGCAAGCTCCTGATCCTAACATCTTTCTGCCATACATCACGGAGGACATCGCATTTGAGGAAGAGTATGAAGAATACCTGTCGGATTTAGGATGGTCTGACAGCCAGCCACATGTCTCTGACGGACCGCCCATCAGTTCGTCGAGGTGGCACAGGCTTCCAGATTTTGCGTCAGACTTAGCAGACGGTATCAGTGACAGCGAAAGTATTGTGTCAATTGGAGAGCTCGGCGATGAAGGACGAGACACAGGTAGAGATGATAGAGAATCAACGGATGCGAATCTAAACAATTGGGAGGTGAGTAAACTTTTACCATCATGAAAGTGAGAACAAGATTGCGATGTTGTCCTACAGCACATGAGTCCGAAGACGATGGCCGCGCTCACGAAGTCACCTGCGAGGCCAGGGGTTCGACGATCGTCTTCTGGTGAGAAGCTGCGACCTGTCATACCTTTCGGACTCGATGAGGCCAATCTGGCTGAGGGTCTCGAAGACGAAGATGATGGTGAAGATCTAGGACCCATGCCCAGAGAGCAATCAGGGCCATTCGCCTCTGGTGGGGGTGTTGACGAAGTAGAGTATGCCTATGGGTAAGTTCATCTCACTACATAGTGATAACCGGAATTGACAAATCAGCAGGGTTTGATGTTCTTTCTCCACCCGTAGTTACACTTCTCTGATACACTCCGCCCATGCTTATCATGTCGTTGCCGCTATTCAATCGTCCTGGCATATCAATCGTCAGAATAGCAGATCGCTTCTCGTCCCAAACAACCCTGCCAGGATCGAGCGGATGTGACGATATCTGCATGTTTGACAGGTAAGGAAGCAAAGTCAGCATTCGCTTCAGCTGTTCAACGTTCAACGTTCAACGTTCAACGGCAACGTCCATGTATCATGAATAATAAGAGTCTTGAGATGATTTGCCTGAATGAAGATGTCAGCAACTCGCGTCATGGTTCGGAGTTACACCTCGGAGTTTACACACTCCGTCGGCCTCCTGCACTTCTTTACCAGTTCCAGTTCGAAACGTGTGAAGGACCAACGGAGAGTTAGGAAACGATCAGACACTCTTGACTCTATACTGTCAATGGACATGCACGAACCTAGAGGAATAATGAACGAGGATGGTCCACCCTCTCCACCGCAAACACCAGCTGCTACCCCGTCGGCGATTACGTCGGCTTTTCAGGATGCCGCATCTACTTCGTCCTCCCATCCGAGTAGTTCTTTCGGGGTGAAGCAAAAGCTGAAAAGAAACAGGATCATCTTGTGCGTTTGAGCCCGTTTCACCTTTTGTTCTCATTGAATGAATTTCTCATTTAGGAGTTGCCAGCGTAGGTCTATAGCTTTCGGTCGCGTAATAGCCAATAAAAATTTGGCATTGTTTTAGCATGTCATAGGCGAAAACAACAGGTGGAAAAGTTCTTTGCATCTTATCTTGTCGACGATTGAGACGTCTGACCACTATCACAGTGTGACCGTGGCCATCCCTGCCGTAGATGGTAAGGAAGTAACGCTTCTACTTGACTGCATGGTATTCATGGCTACAAATTCTTAGCATCGCCAGAGGTGCTCCAAATGGATGTGACTATGAACAACCAAAAGAAGTGATCCATAGAAAGTAAGGAAATACCTTCATTACAGTCGTGCACACAATGTGACCATTCTCTGGACACAGGCACACTGAGACTCAGAGTAGCCTTCCTGAAGATCTCACAAACCGAGTCGGTCAGCTCGAGGGCTTGATTTCTACTACTCTCAGTAACCTAGAGCCTTCAGCTCTGGCCGGTCTAGATACACTTTTGCAGATTCTACAAAATAGTGGCAGTGTGTCGTCGCATACAACGACCCCTGTAGATTTTGACCTGACAAGTGGCAGCGCGACAGACCACACAGTCCAAATAGCAGCAGCAGCCCTTGATCAACTTTTGCAACAAGGCCAGGCTGTTGCTCTATCAAATGAAACGGGTGCATCCACGACTCCTTTCGGTCCAATCATCGATATGTTGCACCACGTATGTAATCCTATGTACTTGCTGTACTGTACTCAGAATACTGACGTCAAGATTCTGACCTTTATAGATACGTGGCAATTCGTCAGCATCTGGTGCCGCATACCTCTCTGACTTGCACCAGCATTTTCCCAATCGCAAGATTACCAACTTTCTCGTCAAATATTTCTTTGAAGAATCCTCGGTTCATTGGCAATACCTCATGATACATCGACCATATTTCAACAATTGTTATACTACCTTCTCGAATGGACCAATCCCACCTAGCCTCGAGTTTACAGCCCTTCTGGCCATCGTCTGCGCCACCGCTTTACAGTTTTTGCCTGAAAGTGACGAGGATGTAAGCTTCCCGTAGATTTCAATGTATACCATCATTTGAACGTGTCCTTCGTTGCATCTCGTCTAGGAATTTATCTTCGCCGATTATCCTCAAGGGCGCCAAATACTTAAAAAACGGATGTATGATTTTACTCGCTCAGTCCTCGTCACAACAGCCAGTCCACCTGTATCATCAATTGAACGTATCAGAGCATTGACACTATTTTCGGTGTACCAGTGGGTGAGTTTTAATACGTTCAAGACCCGGTTCAAATAATTATCTGAATCTTACCTTTCAGAATGAGGGCAACGCTGCGGAATGCTACTTTGCTTCCGGTGAGCGAATCATGATTGAAGTCACCTCTCCCTTTGATCTAACGTTATCTGATAGCTCTCGCAATACGCATGGCTCAGACTCGTAGGCAGCTCATTTATCTTGTAGATACATATTTAACTCGCATCTACCAGTGGCGATGAATCGGGACGGCGAGACGACGTGGCATATGAGACCTCAAGATGCTGAATGGAGAAGAAGGCTGTGGTGTAATCAAGATTTACCTTGAATTCTTGGCCTGAATCTAACTGCGAGCTTTTAGGGACGCTATTCGTCTTTGACAGGTGATGAATTCTTTTTGTCTTCATATTGATATCATCCTCAACCGTCAACCTAGATTCCATGCAGTGGAGTATTGCCGCCCATATGTCATCTTCGAACATGTGAGTAGGCACAAGGGAGAAGGTTGACGGTTCACCTCACAACATACATCAGCACACAGATGTCGCAGCTTCCATGAATCTCGACGAGATAAGCCTGGAGACCGATGATGAATTGGTACCTAAATCCATGGAGGAACCCACCGACTCCCGTACGCGCTCATGGTGTAGGGTTCTGTTATTTGCCCCTGTTGACTCCGAATTACAGTATATCTCATTATCCAAAGTCGATGGGCACAATTAATCGGTCAAATTTGGGATAGTTGCTTTGCTATCAATCTCCCCACGTACCGCACCGTTGTCGACTTTGAGAACCGAATACGTAAATTCGAGCTGGATCTACCAGCGTCGTTCCGTTATCAGTCCCCGCAGGTAGCACAGTCTCGCCCGTACCTCCAGTTCCAGGTATGCATGTCAATTGGGTATCTGTAGAGCAATTTTGACCCTTTACAGAACCAAATACAAACCATGTGTATCTACCATGCCCGTGCACTTCTTCTGGTACGCAGTGTGCTTCGAATATCTCAACCTCGACCTGAAATTTTGGCAGCGCCCATTCTTATTTATGCGTGTCAAAAGGCATGTGCAGAACATGAGCGAGAAAGAAAAGAGGTTGGATATCTTCCATCGGCACTCAAGAACTATAACTCTCATCTTTTGGTACGACCGATGGTTCATTAATGATCAAGCTCAAGCTAATCCTGTATCGCGATTTTCAGCAAGCGCCTCTTGGCGATGCTTCAGCTATTCCAGACGCAGTCGCCCAAAGCTCATAAGCGCTGGACTACGCTGACCCTCCTCTCTTTCGAGGCTGCACGTAAGTCATGTCTACATCGAGCGAAAGGATCATGGCTCATGAGAAATCGAGGACAGTCACACTTGCAATTGCAATCATAGTGGATCCGCCAAATATCGAAAACGAGGAGCTTCAGGACTGGATCTCGTTCTCCCAAGTGCTCCTCAAGGACCTTGGGACTTGTAATGCCGTCGCTGCCGTCGCCCTGCAGCACATTGACGTGATCCGAAAACGTACGGATTTCGTGCTGAATATGAGTCGAGGGAATAATGCGGCGTCCCTCGACATCATTGCACCGTCTCTTCATGACATAGAGCGTGCAACGAGGGTCCTCTCACAGCCTCAGCCTTGCATGACAGACTTGCTTGGCCATGAGTTGGTGATGGATCCCTATTGGACCATCATTCAACCGGGAGCTTTTGGAGGGCATTTTCCGGGGATCGAGTCTCTCAGTGGACCCTTGGATTCCATGAACCTAGAACGATTTCTGGACAGTTGTATGGCGATGCAGTCGAAGGCACCGCCCATCTTCACTGTTTGACCGCTACTGTCAATCATCTTGTCTTTGTTTGGCTCTTGGCTACACTGTCTTCTATAATACAGCCTGAACATTGTTACAACGGAGAGATTGTCTAGATAGCGATGAGAACATTGGTGGGATTAAAATGAAGCTGTCGTTCTCGAGATCGCCCAAGGCGTGCCAGCGGCGTAGAAGTCCATAGGATACACACCGTCGATCTTCTTCCCTTCTCCATCCTCCGTATAGTCCATCCAACCGATAGCCTGTCCAATTGCTACAGAGGTCTCGTAAGGAGTGAGCAAGGGGCGATCGAACGCGTATCCCCAGTCTATAGAGAGGCGAGGACAGGAGGTCTGGACAAACGTGGATATGTGGGGACTGAAGAGGGACAGTTTCGCAGGCGAGAGTTCGGAGAGCAGTATGGGGATGTATGGAATGGGCGTGTGCGATTGGGTAAGTTGATGAGTGATGGCCTAGTGAGTGCATTGCGTTCAGCCAATTCCAAACAATCCGAGAGGCATGACAAAACATACCTGCAGTTGTTTGAAACTACCCTGGCGACCTAACGTACCGAGGATAACACCCCACATAGGGGGTTCATCGAGAGGATCCGACAGGGATTTAGCGACAGAAGTGGTTTCCGCGTTCGTCGCTGACCGATGTGCAAAAGTATCAATACTCTTCCTGGCCGTCTGCACCGCGTCATTCCGCACTGTCTTCATCTCCTCATGCGCATACCGTTCTCGCGTGAATTTTTTAGAGTAAGGGTCATAGCGGAACGCTGGAACGGTCGGATTGGCGATCATGATAGATTCGAGGTGAAAACGTCCATCGCCAAGATATCTGAAGGTGAAAAAGTACGCTCAGGCGAATGTAGGAGGAGTATCAGCAGATGGGCTCACATGAGTGCGTCAACATCATCGCTAAGCCGGGGCGCCGTACAACCCAGAATTTCGCCGGGGGATAATGGCTTAGAACGGGGTATGATAGCATCGTATCTTCCAGTGTATAGCATGGGCTGTTTCACCTCGAGCTCTGAACTTGAGGAGGCTTCAGAGTGTCCTATCAGGCCGGCAGGTGTGATGAAAGGCGTTGGATCAGTATACTCCACAGTAAGGTCATCCTTCAGTCGCGAGAGAGCGGCTACAAACTGTATCGTGGACACTAGAGCAAGGCGTGTCGATTTGGACGAAGCCCCCTTGTCTACGTCAGACCCTGAAAGGATATGAGTTTCTTCGGATGAATTGTTTGGGCCTTCTATTTGGAGATGTCGAGGCTGGCCGATCTTTTGACCAGCAGGGATGGAGATATCACTTTCCTCAGAATCCAAGAGTTCTGCATGGAAGCGCAGACGATCACCTGGGAAGTTGATACGGACAGTCTGCGCGAGATGGGCAGCATCGATGGCGATTTCAACGAAAATGTAAAGTGTTTTGATAGTTGTCTGGTCCATCGGAACTGGGTGACGAGTAAGAACCCGGAAGGCACGCATAGAAAGATACATTGCAGACCGAGACAGCTATGTCCGTAGTGAACGAGCATATCACATCCTAGAGCGACAGCCGTATAATCGTCGATGCAACAGGCACCGTATGTAACATCACCCATGATGACCGCCAGAGCATCTGTGAATCTAAATCACACAGAGTTCATGAGCATGACAGAAAGTGAGTCGATGTCGAGATTACAAACCGCTCGATGATGTCTACTATAGTGCAAGCAAACATTTGAAGGCCCTCGGGCATCTGCAGCGCCACCATCTTCGCGCCGTTCTTCCTTACATGGTGGATGGTCTTGTGTATTTCGAAAGAATAGTTTGATGGCAATTGCTGGATGGCGCCATTTAACTGGACGTCGGAGAGAATGTCTTCGGGGATCTGATTTGCGACAACGGATGTAACGCCAGGCTTCGAGGGCCGCGCGCTTTTACTGCCTACAAATCTTTTTCGAGGGTTTTTTGTGGTCATATCATGGGATGTCTGCGAATGTTTGGATACTGGCTGAGGCTCTGACATGGCTCGACGGCAGCTGCAAAAGTCGAATGGAGGAGAAGCTACGAGATGCTAAATGCGGACGGCATGAGGTCATTGTGGCTGTGCACGTGAAACGCTGGATCGTGCCAGCTCCCCGACTCGGTCTGGCAGCGCACCACGACTCGAGACGCGTCCCGTACACCCCTTCTCTATACCGTCCTCCTTGGCGAGCTCATACCGCCAGGTGCGCTCGGGTTGCTAATATGGCCTCTAACCAGATACCGTTCTCTGGTGAGGGGCGTTGCGCCCTGAGAGGATCGTGTGGAACTAAAGGATGGTTTGGAAAGCCTCTGCCATGTCCATATGATGGACCTCCTGTCGACGTACGTACGCGTATCATATCTATTGCTTGTGTTGTAAAGAGCTGAGGACCCTGTAGCCCGACAGCAAAGCACGCACCCTTCTCACGTCAGTTTGCGGTGAAGAGTTCGCCGACGGGCCTGCTTGTTGTGATACGGATCAATTGGAAGTTCTACGCGACAACCTGGCACAAGTGGAAACCCTAATATCCTCATGTCCTGCTTGCCGCAACAACTTCCGTTCCTTCTTCTGCCATTTTACTTGCTCCCCCCAACAGGCTACATTTGTGAATGTAACTTCTACCCAGAAGTCTTCAACAGGTCAGACGGCTGTGAAGTCTCTCGATTTTTTTGTTGGTGAACGATTCGGGGAGGGTTTCTTCAACAGTTGTGAGAAGGTTCAAGTAGGCGCAGCTAACAGCTATGCCATGGATCTCATCGGCGGAGGAGCTACAAATTACACCGGGTTCTTGAAATATCTGGGCGACGAGAAAGACTTGGGGAGTCCGTTCCAAATTAATTTTCCTCCTCCTTCTACTTCCTCGGAATTGGAGCCATACGACAGACAGACTAGGAACTGCTCAGACAACGATCTTCTCAGCCGTTGCACATGCATAGACTGCCCACAGGTTTGCCAAGCCCTCCCTCCCCTCCCTGCGCCAGACGAGCTTGATACATGTCGAGTTGGTGCAACGTCGTGTCTTACTTTTTTTTTGGTTCTTGCTTACGGACTCTGCGCATTCGCATTCGTTTCCGGCTTCAGCTTCCAAAGGGCGCTTAGTCTTCGTAAAGAGAGGAAACGTGCCCGAATGGTTTTGTCTGCCGAAACTGCATCAGATACCCCCCTCTCTCCGAGGTCGCATACACGAGGTTTGGTTGGCGCCCCCTCGCTAGCACATAATATCGACGGCGAACAATCGTCGAACAGTCAAGCAGAGTCTCGTATGGGTCGCGGATTGACTCTGGACCCCATAGAAACCGTCCAGCCCCGCCAATATCGCCTGAACTCTATCCTCCGTTCTTTCTTCTACCGGGTCGGTTCCATATCTGCCAACTACCCATGGTTAACATTCGCAGTGATGTTCACTGTGGTTGGACTGCTCAATATAGGCTGGAAGAACTTCAGCGTGGAGACAGATCCAGTGAGACTGTGGGTAGCGCCTGACTCGGAGAGCAAGATTCAAAAGGACTTCTTCGACCAGAACTTCGGGCCTTTCTATCGTACGGAGCAGATCTTTGTGACCTCATTGCCTGTGGAGTCAAGCACCCTTGGTCATAGTATATCTTTGCAAACACGCGCATTGGCCGAGGTTAAACCACCAGTTCTGTCCTGGGACCATCTCAAGTATTGGTTCGATGTGGAAAACGATATTCGTTCCCTCCGCTCTTCACCAAATGGATACCGCCTTTCAGATGTCTGTTTCAAACCCGCTGGGCCGCGTGGCGCCTGCGTCTTCCAGTCCGTCACTGCATGGTTCGGAAATGATATCGACAATACAAGCCCCGATACTTGGGCTGATCGCATACAACAGTGTGCGCATACCCCGGCAGAATGTCTGCCTGACTTCCAACAGCCCCTAGGCCCGAAGTATGTTCTAGGCAAGGTGCCAGATTCTGAGCGGGGGTACTTGGATGCGGAGGCTTTAGTCATCAATATCGTTGTCTCCGACTCGCTCGATCCGGAGGTGCAGGAGAAGGCGATGGAATGGGAACGCACTTTGCGGGAATATCTCTATGACCTCAGTCAGAGAGCTCCCGAGCAGGCCGGACTAGAGATTGCGTTCTCTACTGGAGTATCTCTCGAAGAGGAGCTCAATAAGAGCACGAACACGGATGTCAAGATCGTCGTCCTATCGTACATCGCTATGTTTATCTACGTGTCACTGACGCTAGGTAATGGTTTTGTAGGCCGTGAAGAAGAGGGTACCCTATCATCCCTCTGGAACTGGGCCTCGAACTTGCCGCGCCTGTTCACGCGTTTACACTTGTCTTCCTCCTCTATATCGGTCGACTCTCGGAACGTCCCTCGGATCTTCCCTCGTCTCCCGCGCAAGCTCTTCGTTGGTTCTAAACTAACATTGGGCTTGTTCAGCATTGCACTCGTCATCCTGTCTGTTTCCTCTTCCATTGGCTTCTTCTCTGCCGCTGGCGTGAAAGTGACTCTTATCATTGCCGAGGTTATACCTTTCCTCGTATTGGCCGTTGGCGTGGACAATGTTTTCATTCTAGTCCATGAATTGGATCGCCAGAACCTGCTGCACGGTCCGAACGCTGCTTCGCCGGAACAGGCATTGAATTTCTCTGTTGCAGCGTCCCCTACGTCTAGGCGCTCGCATTTCGAGTCATCCCGCGACGCGTCAGTCGATGCGGCGTCTATGCCTTTGTATCTGTCGCCGGAAGAGCGCGTGGTGAGAACGCTGGCGAAGATGGGACCATCCATATTGCTTAGTACCATAACCGAGACCGTCGCCTTCTCTCTCGGTGCGTTGGTACCCATGCCGGCTGTCAGGAACTTCGCTCTCTATGCCGCGGGAAGTGTGTTCTTGAACGCCCTGTTGCAAATCACTGTATTCGTCAGCGCTCTTGTCCTCGATCTGCGCCGGATAGAGGTGAGCAAAGTTCACATTCTCAAGTGATTGTCCCTGATCGAGCTATTCAACAGTCAGGTAGAGTCGACTGTCTGCCATGTATCAGGCTTCCTTCCAGAATTCAGCTCCTTGAAGCCCCAAGAACCGGTAGTGGCCTAGGCCTCATCGCAAGGGGCATCCGCAAATATTATGCCCCGTTTCTGCTTCGCCCGTTCATAAAGGGAATGGTCCTCTTATCTTTCGGAGGTGTTTTCATTGCCTCTGTCATCTCTATTCAACACATTGAGCTTGGACTTGGTTAGTCATTTCTCGTGCTGTGCCGTGACCATATTGATTGACACTTTTGTTCCAGACCAACGGCTGGCTTTACCGTCGGAATCCTATCTGATTCCTTACTTCAACAACCTCGACACATATCTAGACATTGGCCCCCCTGTCTACTTCATCGCTCATGATATCGATGTCACGCGACGACCAGGCCAGCAAAGTCTCTGCGGCCGGTTCACCACTTGCGACGATTCATCCGTAGCCAACATCTTGGAAGCTGAACGTAAACGTTCCGAGGTGTCTTTCATCTCACAGCCCACCGCATCGTGGATCGACGACTTTTTCAACTGGCTGAACCCGGCCGTGGAGACCTGTTGTCGTGTCCGCAAACGGGACCCCAGGACATTCTGCACAGCGCGTGATTCCCCTCGGTTATGCCAACCTTGCATGCAGGACAAAGAGCCGGCGTGGAACATCACCATGAACGGGCTACCTGAGGGCGAGGAGTTCATGCGTTATCTACGGCAGTGGTTAGTATCGCCTACCTCGGAAGAGTGTCCACTGGCTGGACAGGCATCATTTGGAACTGCGCTGTCAATCAATTCGGAAAAAGACGACGTCATCGCATCCCACTTCCGAACGTTTACCTCTCCACTCAAGGGTCAGGCTGACTTTATCAATGCGTTTGCGGCTGCACATCGCATCGCGGACGACCTCTCTGCGCAAACTGGCGCGACCATCTTCCCGTACTCTCTCTTTTTCGTGTTCTTCGACCAGTACGCACACATCATATCCATGACCCAGGAGGTCCTTGGGTTGGGCCTCGCGTCCGTGCTTATTGTCACCGCGCTGCTTCTCGGCTCCTGGCGCACGGGTACCATCGTCACGGCGGTTGTCGCTCTGACTGTGGTGAATGTGATGGGCATGATGGGCTTGTGGGGGATCAGCCTGAACGCCATCAGCCTGGTGAACCTCGTTATCTCGCTAGGGATTGCTGTCGAGTTTTGCGCGCACGTTGCAAGGTCGTTCATGAGCTCTGGGTCTGGCCTGCCTATGGATCATCCGGCTGGACAGAAGGAGCGCGATGAGAGGATGTTAATAGCATTGGTTGATGTCGGCCCATCTGTGAGTCTCCTCGTTTTACTTACTCTCATGATGCTAATGCAGTTATTTCGCCCAGGTTTTGTCGGGAATTACTCTCACAAAGCTAATTGGCATGAGTGTGCTCGCTCTTACACGTTCGAAGCTTCTCGAGGTGAGAACAGACTCCACATTCCAAGACGACGCCGCTGACTCGGCTGCAGATCTATTACTTCCGGATGTGGCTTACCCTAATTATATCTGGAGCATTGCATGGGCTCGTCCTGCTACCCGTCGTATTAAGCAAAGCAGGTGGTCCAGGATTCCCTCTACAGGAAGCGGACGAGGAATGGATGTCGAACGCCATCAGGCATGACTACGAATATGCGTAAGTGGGTCCGCCACCATGCTCGTGGACAATCACTTAAGCACTGTTCCATCCTCACAGACCTTTCCTTGCTGACGACGACTCCATTCATAGCGACGACTAGACGCTGCTTGATATATGTACACTAACGTGATCTTTTTAATCGATGTAATGGGCCGATGACTGCGAGGCACAGTATTTCGATGATATTGAATACAACGCGGTAGCGAAGACACTTGCAAGAAGGAATGCGTACATAGATATATATGCCTAGGCCTCTCGAGGTGCCGGTGATCTTGACCGACTATCTCTGATATCGTCCCTGCTGTAGCTCCTTCGTCCTCTGCTGTACGATCTCGATCGGCTGCGACTCCTGCTGTATCTCGAGTAGGAAGAAATTGACCGTGTGCGAGAACGGGAACGAGAGACGGAGCGTGAGCGAGAACGGCTCGAGCGCACCGAATAGCTAGCAGAGCGCGAACGACCCCTCCGTCCACCGTATCCTCCACGTTCATAGCTTGGTGATCTCCTCCTAGGAGCGATGGCCCCTACTCTGCGAATGGGGGACCGAGACCGAGAGCGGGACACGGGGCGGTAAGTGTCCCTCGGTGGGGGCCTGCGAGGAGGTGGTCTACGATACCCTTCGGCGAAACGTCCAAACTCCCTCCTAGGGAACCTGGGAGAACGGGAGCGCGACCGAGAGCGCGAGAGGGAGCGAGGTTTGTCTCGGCCGTTGCGGGCACGTGGGCGGAGAGAGCGCGAACGAGAGCGCACTGGAAGGTCGGAGAGCTCGACATTCAATACCGCACCATCGAGCTGTCCGCCGTTCATGTGAGACGCTGCCTTGTGCGCGGCTGCCGATTCTTCGAATTCCAGTGCCGCTTTCCCCCTGTTTTGACCCGCTGCGGAGAATGGAGGATCAGCGACGAGACCAGGCCAGTGCTGATAGGAGTTGGACAAACATTTTCCATATACGGGGAGATCGACCTTGGTGATTTTGCCGTAGAAGCCGAAGATGGTACGGAGGTGGGCCTCCACGACGTTGCGAGTAAGGTGGTTCACGACAACGACCTTTGCGTCATTCTTTTCCGGCGCGCCATTTTCCATGTCGACATCGACATCTGGCAATCGTCGTGGTGAGGGGGATCGGCCTCGTGTCGACATTGTTGAGTTGGTGTCGTTGTGTCTCGGGCTGGAGGAGTCGCTCAGAGTCCAGAGCGTAACATAGTCACATGACTGTGACACTTCGTCAGCTCTCAGGAAGGGCTTCATTCTCTACTAGAGTCCAGACCCCCACATTTCCGAGACCTTCACTTCCGAGACCTCTTGTATGCTATCCGCGAAACCGATGCGAGAAAACGCATATAAGCATCCATGGAGAGACGCTGAATGCTATCCAACCTTGTCCTCTTACTCCCATCTACCCACACGTACTACTTGCGTTGATCGCACATACCACTCACCACACAATCTATCCAACTACTTGCGTTGATCGCACATACTCATACACCACATTATAACCATTTACTTGCGTTGACCGCATCTACTCTTTGATATGTCTTATGCACGCAACTCCATCCCTGACCTCACTGGTCATCTCATCGCTCATCGCTCTCTAGAGCTTGTCCAGAAGATAGGCTCTGGTGCCTTTGGCGTCGTCTATCGTGCCATTGAAACGTCCTCACCAGAACCACAGGAGTACGCGGTGAAGGTTCTTCTAAGAGCTGACCCCAAGTCTCAAATGGGTCGTCTTCAGACGCGCGAGCTCGCTTTACACCAGATCGTTTCTGATCATCCCAACATTGTTTCCGTTCATCAAATTATCAAGGAAGCTTATTTCACCTATGTTGTGATGGACCTTTGCCCCTCTGGTGATATATGCAGAGCCGTTACAACCACGAGCACTTTCTATCGGAGAGACGATTTGGTGAAGCAGGTCTTCACCCAAATCATCGATGCCGTTCAGTTTTGCCATTCCAACGGTATCTATCATCGCGACCTGAAACCTGACAATATTCTTTGCTCGGAAGATTTGTCAAATATCTACCTCACCGACTTTGGTCTGGCCACCAGTCGTCCAGTCACTCCAGAACTCCGCACGGGCACCCCTAACTTCATGAGTCCTGGTGAGTCTGATTCTTTTTCCTTCTTCGAATGCAAATGTGCTGAACGCCTTTCCCCCATGCTCTCAGAGTGTCTCCGCAAAGGTGGTAAAGGCGATAGAGTTGGCTCTCGCCATTGTGACATTTGGTCGCTTGGCATCATCCTCATCTCCATGCTCACTGGTATGCTCCCTTGGGACACTCCTACACTCGACAACTATCACTTCCAACAGTATCTCACCCAACCGGCCTTCTTCACTTCCTTCCTCCCCATCTCTCAGGAGGCGATTGTCCTTCTTCGCCGCATTCTTGTCTACAAGCCTCTCGATCGCATCTCGCTTGCAGAGTTGCGCGAAGAGGTGTGCAAGATTGACACCTTCTTCCTTACCGACAAGGAGATTGCCAGGGCCCCTGAAGAGGCGCGCAATGTAGCGAAGGAGTGCACAGCGAATCAGAGACGAGCCTCGTCCAAGGCCCCTCTCCTTTTCCCTATGCCGCCCTCGCTCTCAACTTCTTCATCGACGTGGAGCGCAAGGAGTGAGCTCCCGGTGACGCCCGAGACATATCCTGTTCGACCGGTCGCTGAACTTCACGAAATGTCTGATGGGCTGGATCTCAACGCACCTGTCATTCGCATTCCGAAATCACCTATCATTACTCGGAATGGTAACGCTCAGAGAGCATGGTATTAGGTTTTGCTTATATTGTCACACGTACCACTACATTCGAATGTATCGATAGCATGAAAATCCACATACTCATAAACACATTGTGTGATAAGTATTCCAATGTTCGTGAGTAACCCTCAATTGGCATTTCGCAATGTCCGTCCACAACATAAGTGATCTGCATACAATCGACCTGATCAACAGGTCGTCTGGTCATGCAATAGATCAATGACAATCTTCGACGACGTCATTCGACGCTTCAGCGGCAGTCTGGAAGAAGCTCTTCGCATTCTCAAGAGTAGCAGAGGCGGTCGGATCCGTGCTGAAATACGGCAACGATGTCAGCCGAAGCGCGCACCGAAAATGCGTGAAGATACGAACGTATTGATGCTCAGCAGAGCCTTGAGAACGATGGTAAGGTTACCGCCAACCTGATTCCTCAGTTCAGGAGGAGCAGTCTGGTTGCTGAAGATCGCGTCGGCGATACCATCAGTCGCCTGGAAGGCACCGTCGATGCCAGACTGAGCGCTGTCTACGGTAGAAGAGAAATTCGTGTTTCTGCGCCATGACTATAAGATGAGAATCAAAATAGCAGAGGCTGCACACATACGCGAGTTCGGTGGCAAGCTTATTGATCTGGTCAGAAGTTTCCTGAAGGTTGACAACGAATTTGAGGCGGTCGATGTTGCATTGAGCATTACCGACTTGGCGACGAGATAACGGACCTAGGAGGAGCGCAAATAGGTAAGCTACAGTATGCGCCAAGATATAATGTTAAACAAAGAGCCCACCAGCATTCGCAACGAAAGCACATGCAAGCACGGCGGCAAATATGAAAAGTTTCGGGACGCTGAAGGCCATCACAATATATAACAAGGGTCCTTTTGAAGTCAAAGTTTCAAGGAGAGTGTTTGTCTGTGGTCGAGAGAGCTGGTGGAGAATCGTGAGGTGCTCGATACAGTGTCATGGTATTTATATGCGTTTCCTGCTAGCGCTCAAATTTGCAACGACATCAGCTGAGAACTGACAACCAGGACCAACTTCTCTAAACAGTGAACATGGAGCATATGGAGTAAACAATTGCCTTCAAAGGATGGAGAAAACGAAGGAAAACGAGCGCTGCTTGACGTGAGTTACGATAGGAGTGCCACCAAGCCAGACTGCGCAGTCATCAATGAGATGTAGGCGGTGTTCTTCGAAACGCGTTGGATAGCATCCGAGGGCTGAGCTGTGGTGATTCAGGGAAGCGGGACCAATTTAGGATATGAAAACCCTAAATAACACTGTTCGGCAGCTTGAAACCCTGTGCATAAGGTGTGGAATTTTTATGACAGCTTAGACCAGGAGTGTATCAATTTCATCATTCAATCGATATAAACTCGTGAAAGACAGACCGATGCAGAGTGTACTAAGACGAGACCGTTCGCCAACAGCAACTGAGGCTCACTCAAGACTGCTCCGTCGACTGCAACAGAATTGTGTGAAGCGCGGCCATAGAATTTGTTCTCGAGCTACACACAACCTGCGATCTCCGCGGTAAGAACGGAGACATACTGCAGAATCAAGTGTTTACTGGTACGGGACATTGACAACCTGAAAGGAAGAAGATGATAGTGATGAAGAAGAGCGCTGGAGCCTGCAATAGTCAATGTCCGCGCTGTTGTGGATGTCAGCCATAGCAGAAGCCGTGCACAGGCTGTATCGACCGAGAACGCCATACCATCGACAAAAGCGGTACCAGGAAACGGCTGCATAAAAGCAATGTGGACCCTGAGGCCTGAGGCCTGAGGCCTGAGACGTCAATTCGTGAACTGCGACAGATCAATAATCAGGCGCTCTGTCAAATGGTAGGACATATGTCTGTAATCATTCGGCATCGAGTATTTGCTCGCCGTCCCCGATGGACAGTCACATTGAGTGGCATCGCCCAGCGCTCAGCATTAAAGTTGAGGCGAGAAACTCTTAGCAGACATAGCCATCTTGAGAGACAGAGTCCTCCTGTTCAGATTGAGTTTCTGAATGCATGAGGCATTGTTAGAGGAGATTTGCCAGAGCGCTTACCTCAAAGACAATGAGCGAGGCGGGAATGTATTTCCAGAAGTATCCAACGATTGAACCTGCTCTTGTGGTATGTGAATCAATATGTGTCCTCCTTCGTCATTGGCAAACTACTAGCACGACTGCTGCTCGCGCCTCCTCCGGACTGAGTGCCGCTAATTTGTACGCCGAACCTTTTGAGCTTTTCAAAGTACTTTTGCACTCGACTGGCAACTTGTCTCGCAGTGCGACGGCCATTCATCGCTTTCGATATTTTTGCCCATCTACCAGGACCATGTCAACATGAATCTACCAAGGGAGATATAGAATCATGTACCGATTTTTCTCTCCATCTGGTATCTCCTCCAAAAGCCTCTCGAGAAGATGTTGTTCGGACACCGACCACGCCTGGTTGAAAGTCTCTGGTTTTGGCTTCCCAGAACCTCGAGGCCGCTTGGTGGTACGTGACTCGACATCTTCTTCGAGTGCCTGTTCGGGCTCTGGCTCTTGCGGACGCTTTTTCCTCTGCAAGTTGATTTTTACTGATAGGGGAGTCGTTGGTTGAGCCTTGGTCGCCGACCGTCGTGGGCGCAGAGGTTTTGGTGGTGCAGAATGTAAGGTAGATGAGGTTGTTGGCAGTGGAGGAAGGTTCGTCTGTTTGGCATCTTCCGTAGAAGTGTCCTGCATTGCCCTGATCGCAACCGCTCTCGACTCCATGATGTCCTGCAAGGATATATCTACTTCTCCGCTCTCGTCATCCAAATCTCTCCTGATGAACACTCCGTCCTCTTGCCCTCCATTTATCGGAAGAGTGAGCCCACCCTCGCCAATCCGTCTCATGCGTAGTTCCCGAATCTTTGCACGTTCTCGTTCCTTGCGGTGCTCATGGGGTGTCAGCTTGTCACTCTCGTCAGCAGAGTCGGAAGAAAAGTCCAGAGACTCGAGGACAGGATCGAGAATCGTGCGGCGGGCATCCTTGACTAGACGCTGGAGAGGGGAAAGGGGCGAACACTGCCTTGAGGATGGAACCTCGCGTTCGGATTGGATTAGGCGGAGGTCGGAAGCAAGCATATGAAGCCTGGCAGGATCTTGTTCTGGTTTTCAGCAGGTGGAATTATATGTGTATAAAATTGCTGTACCTTTTGCTTCAAACAACGCCCAGTCAATGCTCTTTATAAAGCCGGTTGCACCGTCTAGGTGATCGTGTCGGTGAAAGAGATCGTCATTAAGCTACGTCTTCGTTGTCAAGAATTAAGTCAAAATAAGACCAGCAGTAAACCGGACCTTTTGATCTATCCTTTCTACAAACCCTTGAGGATCCACAGTCACCTTTCTTCGAAGCTGCTTCAGACGCTCTATATCAGAGTGCGTCTGAGAGAGCAGCGCTCTCTGCGACTGTATGAATGCGGAGATCGCCTCAAGTCTAATGACGGTAAATTAAAGAGGCATGTCGAAGAAAACCGTGATCACATACGTTGGGGCGCGGTTGAGTTCCATTTATAACGAGGTGACATGGAATGAGAAAATGAGGGTGGCGACAGGGAATGGGTGAATGTATTGAGAAAAAGTTTGGTGAGGTTTGGTGGCTGCCAATTTCAATGCCGCTTTTGGGTAAGCTCACGATTCTCAAAGTTTGAAAGTCACTGGTATTGACATATCGACCGCGAATTTGTGACAATGTAACAGTGTAAAACAGGGGAAGGGAGATATTACAAGGATGTATGGCTTGTCCATAGCAGATTGCCCGTATGTCCATAGCTAGTCGTAGATAAGTACTATTGTATGATGAGTATATGCACCCGCTCGCAGCTATCAAAATCATAGGTTGTAGCAGAAGCCTGAACAGGATCATAGACAATGTTTTGTTGACTACTTGATGTGCTATTGCAAATGAAGAAGTTGTCCGCATCATTGTCTACAGAGAGGAGTGGGTCCGGATAGGGACTGCCATTCGGGGATGTGCTGACCTAGTTAATTTCGAACAGTCAGCGTCAGATCATCGTGTCACTAGTTGACTCACTAATTCACAGTACACTTCAGCCGGGTCAGTAGGCGCTCCATCGTATTGCGATATGAAGGGGAGAAAATCGCCACTAGTGACGTTGGCCGATATCTTGGGGACGAGGTTGCCACCGACTGCTTGGCCGGTAACACCAGAATGGGCCATTGTGAAGTTCTGTCCAAGAGGAGTCGGAATAGAATCGATAGACTTATATGCAATGAGACACATGACTTTGAGTGAATGATGAAACAATGAACATACTCCGACAAAGGTAATGTTGGGTGCAGGGTCTGAACCATCTGCACCGAGCACCAGCTGCTTGTGAATGCTGGTGTCGCTGTCGTACTGAGCGACCAGGGTGAAATCCAACAAAGTGTCAACGCCGTTCGTGGGAAAAGAGCGGCATCCAGGGCCAATGGATCGAGTTAGAGGGGTGGCACTAGCAATGACTGCAGTGAAACTAGCAGCAAGCAGATAGGACATAAGCATTTTGAACATGATTGGGGTGGAAGTTGCTTGGATCGATCTCCTGTGGGCATTCCACTTTATACTCTACAAAACCGTCGGGAAGAGAAAGCCGCCGCGAGGATGCTTCGCTTTGATGTCAGCGCAGAATCAAAATTTACATTCTGGACTAAGTTCGATCCATTCTATTCCAAAATCGTTCCGTGAAGCGCCTACCGCTCTGGATTTATCCCGAGACTTCCTACTTGGAGCGTCATGATGTGTCGAATAGGGGCTGTGTCCTAGGTACGTCATCCCGCAGCCTCGAGGAGCGTCCGTGCAAGCACACAACCTCGCAGTGGTTTCCTGATTCGTTTCGAACTTCTGGCCCAGGTCTCCTTGCAAGTTCCGAGATACTAAGAATTTCGACATCCATTGGCAAAGCAAAAATATCAATGCGAGGTCGTTCTTCGAGGGAACGAGACTTGGTTCGAGGTGCCGAAGTGTATGATATAGTTGGCGTCCCCGATTGCAACCTTTTACTTCGGAATCGGATTCTTAGACCTGCGAAGTATGTAGGTCCTGTCAGCATAGTTTTCCACGCCTATACCTTCAAGGACGGACAGCTGGTGTTGCCAACAACGTCAAACGTCCAATATTCTGATTCAAAGGTCACTTCGCACAGGCTGACGACGCTTTGCTCTAGAATCTAATGAGATATGAACAAGTGTTGGAAGGGACTAATAAGCAAGGAAGCACGCACCGAGACTTGCGCGGACAGCGCGATAACTAGAGGATATTACTTATACCTCAAGTCAGCAAACTGTAGGCGAGCCTTCAGACGCTTCGGAGAACGCTGTGACGAGAATGAGCTAGAATATCTGACCGCGCGCACATGCACAGTGGAGAGAAGACTGACCCATGTCAATAATTCACAGTGAAGAGGGACGAAGTCTGTATCACGGTGTCCATGGGCGAGCATATCGAAGTGGAGATAGCCGAACATGCAGTCAGTACTGAGAGATGCTTCCTGCCTGGAGGAAATAAGAAGCTGCAACGGCGGTTCTTGGGCTATGTCCGCGTAGGGTAAAATTGTGCCCAACTTATAGGAGACATGAGTCCATGCAAAGGGGCAACTTGACTGGCAACTTGGAAGCTGTCACCAAAAGCATGCGAATATGCGGAGTAGGTTCACGCAGAGCGGAGCGCTGAGTCTCAAGCCCTTGCGGCTGTCCTGACCCAGAAAAAACAAGCTCGGGGAATCGAATTGGATGGATCGCATAACAGTGGATTAGAGACAAAATCAAGAGACGGAAACTGTGTTTGGATGTATTTGTCACTTCATTTGTCTTCAATCGTCCCGATTTGGCACTCAACGCCTCACCATGATCAAGACGCGAGTTGTATCCACCTGGCGCCTTCAATCGCAGAAGAGGATTCAAAATGCACGCCCAATGCTGCGCTTTCGTTATTCCACAGCCGCACCTGCAAAATCTTCATACTCCTATGCTAGCGCAATAGTTGCTCTCGCTGCGACTGGCGGCCTGACCGCGGCTTACTTCTTTTGGCCCTCAGAATCCCGTGCTGCACCTACATATCGACACGAATCTATCTCACCCTCTCACTTCACTCCCGTCACTCTCACGGCCAGCGAGGACTGTGGACCAAACCTGAAGCTTCTCACCCTCACCATTGCACCCGAGTCCCTTCCATCATCTTCGCAATCATCGGCCTTCTGGCCAATCTGGTCCATATTTATTAAAGATGATGATATCCAGGTCGAGAGACCTTACACACCGCTAGAGGGGATGGACGACCGTGGCAATATAAAATTATGGGTGAAGAAATATCTCAAAGGCGAAGTAGGAAGATGGCTACATTCAAAGCAAGTCGGCGACACAGTGGAGATTCGTGGTCCGTTACCGACCTTCCATGCATATGCAGACACTTGGGATGAGATTGTCATGGTACGTCAACAACTCACATTTTTAGGACAGGTTTCTCACCACACTGCAAGATCTCAGGAGGGACAGGCTTTTCGCCCTTCTACCAGTTGCTCCATCATCAGCTGCTCCAAGGGGGTGCCAAGAATAAGTCTACTCGTTTCACGCTACTCCACGGCTCGCAGAACGCTGCCGAACTTCCACCGCCCTTATTCTTACAACCTCTCCTAAAGCTGGCTGAGCGTCACCCGGAGAGGCTAAGAATTCGCTTGTTCGTGGAAAATCAGAGTAGACCGACCACTGCATTGGCTAGTCACGACTTTCAAGAAGGTCGAATTGACAGAGCCGCCATCGAGCGCTCATTGGAGCTACTTCCAAATGATAGCCAGTCGTGGTGGAAATCTTGGGTTCGATCTTTTTCCTCATCATCGGAGAAGGACCCTGAGTTTCGCCAAAAGAACGTATTGTTCCTAGTATGTGGCCCTGAGCCGTAAGTTTGACCAACAGCTAGATCGTCATACCATGGTTTCGCTCACGCAAATTTTTCGACAGAATGATCGCGGCTATTGCTGGTCCATACGGTCGCAATTACTCACAGGGGGCTGTCGGTGGGATCCTTGGTGACTTGGGTTTTAAATCGGGACAAGTATGGAAGCTGTAGTAGTTTTCTTGATGTAAGTACCGATATTGGGGATCACTGGCGTTAGTTATTGCCCGTCATGATATCAGAAATGTTGTGTATCTGGGAGTTCCAAGGTGTGCGTCCGAGTGAAACCCATTAGCCAAAATAGGCAGATCTGCAAGTTCGCAAGTTGGCCATTCTTGGCCACCTTGGCCACAACACTAAGTTTTGGAATCTGGGATCTCCATTGACCATGTCATCGTACTCCTACGAGTTGTCTCTCTTCGGCGAATTCTTCGCACAGGATCTGAAGGCGGTCCTCAACCGAATCGCTATGCATAGCGAATCCGCACGTCCAATGCACTCTAGAGAAATAGTCTTCGAACCTGAGGATATCCAGCAGCAACGAAACGCTGGTCAGGAACCAGCCCTTCTGAGGGCCAGAAAAGAGCTGCTCGAACCGGAATCTGGATGGTACGTCACAGCTCATAATTCTAGTAGATCGCACCGCTGATGTCGACGCACGGTCAGGATGTTGTATTCGTATATGAAAGCTGAATCTTCCCGTATTCACCCCGATGCCACTGCTCGCCCGTGGGCAACGGTACAGGTCGTTGGGGACGCACTCAGCTTTGCCTCTGCGCTGGGCTACGTGTACGTTCGCTTTGACAAGCTCATATATCAGCTATAAGTGACAACACCCGATAGTCGACGGTCCCAGATATATAAACGGGGATACGTGTTCCGGAAAGGCACGCTAGCAATCCAGATGTTTCAACAAGAACAAGTACGTGAATACCACCTGCTTTCAATCAAATCATTTGAAACAGGTCGATCATTAACAGGTCGATACTCGAACAAACCAGCCTATACCTGCCCACACAGACACACTGTGGGAAGTCGAAGTGAAGACAGCGTCTCCCGTTCGTGGCACGCAAGAGGCGCCTCTCAGTCAAACGGTTGACGCCCTGCTCGAAGTACAGCTCCTGATGAAAGGCCTGCTCGATCTTCGACGACGAGACGCCTGACCTCGAACTCGGAACATCAGGGACAGCGTGAGACGTAGAAAGTAGGGTTCCACCCATTTATGCATTGCGTGCTGATGCTCTGACCTCGTCCTCATCCTCGCCCCAGTCAACCTCATCATCTCCACCTGCTTCGTGTACACCGTTTTGCCTCAAAATGTCGAGCAAAGCGGCATAATCCACCGGTCCTATCTCCTTGTCTTCGTCGCTGTCACCTTCCAGCTCCTCCGCACCAAGCGCATCACCTTCATCTTCGTCATCTAACGTACCGTCATCTTCACTTCCCGCGTAATCCCCCAGAACAGTGATCGGAGTGTCTTCCTCCCGCTCTTCGTCGCTTCCATACCCACTCAAGAGTCCGCTCATCGCTTTTTTTGATGCGCCGATATCAAGCTTGCGTCGCTTGACTACTCTCTCATCGCCCTCTCTCTGCATCCCTCCACGTTCATCTACCACAAGACCCCGAAACGCACCTTCCTCCCAAATTTCAATGACAGGAAACTCGACAAAATGTTTATGCCTCAACAGTGTAGACAACTTCTGTGTAGCTTCTAACCTGTGATAGCCAATTTTCGCAAACTGTTTAATGGACAGCGGCGTTGTCAGTGGGTCGAGGGCAGTAGGCATGAGAAACTGCGGCGGTGTAAAGGAATCGGGCACTTCTTGGTCGGGCAGGATAAGAGGCTTGAGCCAATGCGGGAATGGATTCTCGCGTTTGCCTTTGAGGCGCTCCTTGATTTGCGACTGGATGAGAGAGATGAGTGGTAGGTCGAAGTTGTTGCGATGAGTGAGCAGGGTGTATGGTGGATCCTGAGGATGTGATGGATTGGCGGCGGGATCTTGAGGAGGATAGAATTTAAACTCGATAGTGAGTAAGGCGGTCCTATTTCTACAATTACGAGCGCCTGGTTACAGAACAGGATATGGTAGTAGTTTCTCCTGACGTACTTAAAATCCCAAGTGGATTGGTTGACCATGCGTTTTGCCATCCCAGCCGGAAGCATATCCACATCGACGTCTCGCAACTCAAGCTGCATCTTCAACACATCTCTTTTCGTTCTCTGAACACCGCCCCTTCCGCGTCCTCTTCCTCTCCCTTGAGAACCTCCCCTCGTTCCCATAACTCCATCCCTCGACTTACCAAGAGACTGCCCGGGGCCAAACCCTCCGCGCACGATCTCCTTACCCCAGTCTCCCACCTTTCGTCCCATCTCTTCCAAATAAACAAAGTCGTCCATCATGGTTCCTAAGCTGTATTGATTCATCGGCACGTATCTTGCTTTGTCACGCAAGCCCGAACATCTTGTCTGAGATTTATGTGAATTTGAACAAGGCAGCGAGCATGTTCGCGTCGCACAGCGCGGACAGGTATAGATAGCAGCGTTCTTTTCGCAGATAGAACATTGGGGTCCAGAGGTGCTCGCGAATGAGCTGTCTGATGGTGAAGGGTCGGTCATGAAAGACAAAAACAATAGCGAACGCCGAACAGAGAGCAAGCTGGAGGAAGGAAGCAGAGTTTGCAGGAGCTTGCGATCACGTTCGTCACGCTCAGTAAAAAACGGGAGTTCAAGTGAACATCATGTCCAGTCACGAAACTGGGCTTTTGTCATGTATCCGTCAAGAAAGCGGCGCAGAAGTCGTGTGAAAGTCGTGTGCAATTTTAGAAGTTTATGACTTTTGCATGACTTTCTGCACCACGTTCTTAACGGATACATGACAAAAGCCCAGTTTCGTGACTGGACATGGCGTTCACTTGACTTCCGTTTTTACTGAGCGTCACGTGTGAATCAAGAGATCGTGGTTTTTTGAAGCAAAAAAAATACAACACTAAGAATGCACAATGTCTAAGAAAGAGCAGTAGGACGTATGGAAAGAGCGAAGTAGAATCTGGGGGCGTGACCAAACAGCGGAAAAATTATATATCATCCATCCCGAAATCGATCTCCACCTTCTCACCAGGCTTGAAAGCCGGCAAGCCTGCAACACCCATACGCGTGAACATCGGCAAGGCTGAGAGAACACTGCGAGAGACTCACCGAGGTATGGGCAACTCGCACACCGGAATGCATCGCCCAAGAAGCAGCTCCCACAGCTGCTCGTCGCCTTCGGCGCAGCCTTAGCAGCCTGCACGAGCCGCTCTTTCTCGCTCTGCTCGACTTCTGTCGCGGAGCCCGTCTGGCTTCCGTCCAGCACGACAACCTTGCTCTCACGCAGCTCTTCTGCCTCCAGCTCTGCAAGGCCGCAGGAGCAGTTCTTGCAAGCCTTCTTCCGGCGCGGTGCGCCCTTCACTGCTGGCTCGCAGGCCACGGGACGTGCACGGTCCGCGGCAGTCAGCAGGCTCTCCGCGTCGATTGTCGGGGAGGGGGTGGGGGAACTGAGCGTCCACAGCGCCTTTTTAGATGCAGAGCGTGTAGGGTCTGGCTTGCGGCGAAGGAGCGTCGCAGAGGGCATCGACGAGACCGTGGGTGCAGCCATCGAGGACTTGGTTTTGAGGGAGAACGACGTGCCGGGGACGTGTGCGGGCTTCTGAGCGATGATGAAGCTTTCGGCAGGGATGGCAGATAAGACGTTGAACCCTGCGAGCGTGAGCTCGGACGGAAAGTCGAGGATGAGTGCAGCGGTCAGGTTTAGGAGGTGGAGTGTGCCGAGGGACGAGAGGCCTACGAGGAGCTGGGAAAGGAGCTCAGACAGCCGTGGCCGAAGAGTCTCATACTCGGGCGGGGAGAGCGTGACATAGACCGAAGTGTAGCTGCCGGAGTTCAAGGTGGTGGCTATGCGCAGGCACGTAAGACGCACACCCTCCACGAGATGCGAGGGAGAAATTCCCACTGACCTTGATCTACCAGCCGGTCCAGCATCTGCTTGTCGACCTGCCTGCTCTCCTCCAACTCCGAGACAAGGCTCTGGTACTGTCCGTCTTGAGCGGTAGCGAGCGAGCCGATGGCAAGAGCTGGGCCCTTGACAGGGACAGCTGCGAGCGTCTTTGAGGAGTCTGGGTGGAATGTAGAGGGCTCGTAGATGGCTGCGGGGGACATGGTTGCTCGTTGTATGATAATAAGATAGAGGAGAGGTGCGCAGATAAATGAGGCAGAGAGCCAAAGAGGATGAAGCGATTATGGAGCAATCAGCGCTTCAGCCACCGCCAAGTCAGCGCAAAAATGATTCATATCGGCCTCGGATTTTCGGCCGCTCCACGCCCATTTACGGGTTTACTCATTGTCCAAGAACGACATTTCTGATCCTGGCAATCATGGGACCGGCGAAGGCATAGATAACAGAGGAAACGGTGATGACATTGGTTGGGAAAAACACAACACAACAACTGTTCGATATTACAGAACGTCCGAACATAACCACGAATAAGTAAAGTAAAGAACACCTACAGACGCAAACTAAAGGCGGTGACAACAACGAGAAACGGACGTCCAAACATGAAGTGCACAGCATCAAGAGACAATGAGCTCTTGCCATATCATGAAACGTTCCATTCTGGGGGCGATACTGACATTCATGCATGTTGTCCATCCGGTGACACCTCTCCTGGTGGAGGCTGCATAGGAGGTGGGCCGGCAAGGTGATCGCCAGGGGGGAGCGGGGGCAGGAGCATCGCGCTGCGGATCCGGAATAGCATCATGCGGTACCACTCCTGATCAATGCCGGCCTTCTCCTGCTCGGCCGTGACATTCTGCAACTGCTGCAACTCGTTCACCCAGGCAAGGTGCCAGTCGACGTTACCATGTTCGTCCATCTCGAGGTCCTCGGGTAAAGAGGGGATAGGAGGGGGAGGGAAGCGCATGCCCTGAGGAGGTGGAGGGATCATCGGGAATGCAGCGGGATCAAATCTGCAGACGATCTTATCAGACAGATTTGAGGTAATAATGACGAGAGTACTGACGGATATGGAGGATATGGCGGCACCCTACTTGGCCCCGCACCGTCGTGGTCCATAGGGGGAGGGGGCACATATTGAGCATTAGGATCGTCAAACTGCGGTTGACCATCAGGCGGCTGATACTCCTCGACGTCATCGCTGGTACGACCTCGACCTCCGCTGCCTTTTGGTTTCTTCTTGCGTATACGGTGGACGCCGGTTCGGGGATCGACGTTGTCATTGACGGTCCAGTAAGAGCCCTTGCCGCGGTCCGTGAGAGGACGCGCAACCTTCTCGAAACACGGGTTCAAAGAGAGGTTGTGTCGGACCGAGTTCTGTGGAGCACGGCGTTAGCAGTGAGTCCAGGGTGACAAAGAAATGGATGATGAGGAAGTTTGTGCATATTTTTGTCGCAAAACAAACAAGAACAGCGTCAAACAGCGCGGTCGCGTCCCGGTGGCTCGGCACACGACGCGTTCGCGCTCCCCAACACTCTACTATGCATATTTGCCCATCTCACTTCCGATCAAATCAACGAATCAACAGCACTCACTTTCCAACCAGAGGGGGCAGTTCTGAAGTACGGGAACTGATTTGGCGCGATCACATCAGCAAGGCTGCGGAGTCTCTCAACAAGCAACTTTGAACATACGCGACTCTCGATTGCGTAGTATATGTCCTCCAGTAGCAACTTCTGGTTTGGTGAGCCCTTGATCGCATAGCTACCCAGCATCGCACAGCGGAACCGTGAGAACGCGTTCAATCAACGAACAAAGGTACTCGTGACCTACCGGATGAGCGTCGAATACGGGTAGAAAGGCTTGCTCCCGGGTGGGCCATCGCGCAGGGAATCGAGATTGATGGGGAGACCGCCTGTGATGTCGTTCGGGGCTTCTGGATAGTAGGAGTTGGGTGGCATGTCTGGATGGTGGGGCGGAGGTGGCATCATTTCGGGCGGCATGACGGTTTGTGGTGGGGGTTGTGACATCGTGCTCCTGCGTCGTGTGCCTCGAGCGAGCGGAAGTGCTAGCAGAGGAGCTGGGCGGGCGCGGTCAAGGGCAACGGTTGGTGGATTGGAAGAAAAGGATGACAGCGGGGACAGTCGTCGCTTATGTCATGCGTGCGAAAGCGTTCGTGTGCCGCACGGGCCCCTGGTGGCAGTAATCTAGGCAATAGCATCCTGGAATCCATGTCGGGGATGTGGGGGGTGATGACGGCGATGATGGACGAGATGGTGGAAAAGGTGGGTGTTGTTTGTGCACGCAGCCACTATTACAACAGATGATGACAGTGTCCAAATTGTTGAAGACAGCATAAAACAAAATACAAGCAATGGGCATACAGACGAACACACAAACAAAGCTCGGCCAAATTATCGCCTTCATCCCCGAATCTCCCTCTCTCTCCTCGTCCCCCGTCGTCAATAGGCTTGTCATGAGAGCATCGTCGACGGACTGTTCTTTGCTTCATTTTAATAAGTTGAGGGGCGTCACTCAATTGAACAGCTCAGGTGGCCACATCCATCAACATTCTCGTACAATGGCTGGCTTTCCTCACGTTTTTTATATTACATTACTCCCTCCCCTAATGGGTGTTAAATGTCCATAATTTTCATAACATCTGTTCCCACTGAGAAATCTTTATGATCGCTGGCGTTCCCGTCCAATATACATCGCTATCCTTGAATACAATTCGATATCCTCTCCTGCAGTTGTACGCATTTTGAACAACCGTGCGGGAGGTCTCGTTTCACCGATCGGTCTGCCGTACCGTTCGCAAATCCAGCTGTGACTGGGGAGCATGGCCGTGGTTAGGGTCTGACGTAGTTTCTGTCGGCTCACCGAATCCAGAGCGCAAACCCGACGGTCAAGTGCGCAATGTCGGGGGCTTCGATTGCAGAGTCCTCGTCGGACTCGCAAGCGCCCTATTCGATCCATGTCGAAGTTCCACCGCGGTTCTACGTCTTGCCAGGGGCTGCGATGGTAGTCGGGACGGCCCTAGGTCTCGCGCGGGGCTCGCGGGCGGCCGGTCTACGGTTCCTCGCGGAAAACGCGCATCGACCACCCACGACGCTCAAGGGATGGTATCTCTACAAGAAGACGAAGAACTACCGGATGATGCTAGCGGGGCTGCGCGAGGGAGGGGCGGAGGCGGCGAAGCTGGGAATCACGGCGATGGGCTGGGTGACGTTCGAGGAGGGGCTGAAGCGGCTGGGATGGGAGGAGGTGAGCGAGATCGGTGCCGGGGTGGGGACGGCAGGCTTGTTTGCGGGTGTATGTGAGTGCGCGGGAGGCTCTGGAATGATGATGAAGGCGATAGGCTGATGGACCGGCAGACCGACTCCCGTTGAAGACAGCTTATCGGGCGGGGATTCTGGGACTGCTGATTGGAATCACGATGCGCGGGATACGCTACGGGCGAGACCAGCTGGAGGAGGAGGCACGGACACGCGCAGTTGCGGGTGCGGAGGCGGTGGGAGAGCAGGGGCAGGAGGACGAGCGGGATCGGAGGGGATGAGTAGAGTAGTACAGTACCTGGAGCTTGGAGAGTGCATATGTTTGTCTGGGACTGGCCGAGTCGGCAAGAAGCGACGACGGTGGAGCACGGTGGAAGTGGTACAAGTACCAGCACTTACGCTGCACGGTCGGCGCTGAGTGTCGTCCTGCACCTTGTTGTCCCGTCCGCTCGACTCGAGTCCAAGATGATCAAGCTGTGGCCCTCGCTGGCGGATCAGCTCACGCCCAAGGCGGTTCCGCGGAACCAGGAGCGCAACCCGTTTGATTCGCTCGCGGAGGCTCAGACGCAGTCGCCGCTTTCGCCCTTGTCGCAACCCCTGCAGCTGCAGCCCCACCATCTCCTGAACACGCAGCTTGCTCCGTCCGTCCCCAGCAGCGGTGGCGAGATCACGCCCCTAGGACCGCTATCGCCTTCTGTCGCAGGCCACGCTGCTGGCCTTCCTACCACACATCTCTCCGTTCATGCTCCCGACTTCAACATGCAGCTCCCCCCCGCAAAACGCTCCTCCAGCAACAGGGACATCTCCCCCACCCCGTCCTCTTCCAGGTCCACAAACTCTTCCGCCCGCTCCTCGTCCCAGGCTCCCGCCGGGCCCTCCAAGGGCCAGATCCACGTCAAACTCATCTCCGCACGCGGCCTCAACGTTCGCTCCATACACTCCCGTCCCTACGTCGTCGTCGTCTTCGAGCAGAACGAATTCGTCAGCCGCGATCCCACAGACGAATCCGACAAGGAAGTCAAGGGCGTCGCAACCAACCTCTCTCGCGCGTCATCCTCTGTCGCCCTCAATGCCCTTGGCGCCATAGGCAGCAAGGTCCTCGCCCAAGAGGCTGCCATGCGAGCCAAGGGCTCACCCACCCCATCTACATCGTCCAACACATCTGCCAAATCGTCCCTGTCCATCCCCCAGCCATCAGGCAGTCAGGCAGCCAACGGTCTTCTAGGCAGCCGTGTGTCTGCGCACAACCCTGTCTGGAAACACGAGGTCTCATTGTGAGAAAATTCTCTCCTCATGTTCTCTCGACTGATGACATTGCGGCTTTCGTGCGCCCTTCCAGCGACGTGACGTCGGAGCAGTCGACGATCGCCTTCAATATCTACGACCGCGCTCTAGACAGCCACGCCTTCTTGGGCAATGTGCAGTTTAAGCCCGTTCTCGTTCATGATCACACCGTGGACCAGTGGTACAAGTGCGTCCGATGTTCCCTCGCGCGCGTCTCCATGCGTTGTGAGTGTGGGGTAACCGGGTCCTTGTATGACTGATACGGGCGTCTCTCTGTCTCAGGCTCAAGTCACTGGAGAATGAGGCGGTTACCGGCGAAATCCGTATACAAATCACCTTTGAGCAGAGCAAGGTATGTCCACATGACTTTGACTTTACGTAGCTGACATCTGAACACACGTCTCCCTCCCCGCGATTTCTCATTTGGGTACAGTCCAAACACGCGCTAACTCCGAGGGATTTCGAGTTTCTCAAGCTCATAGGTCGCGGGACTTTCGGGCGGGTCTTCCAGGTCCGGAAAAGGGATACGAAGCGCATATACGCGATGAAAGTTTTGTCGAAGAAGGAGATTATCGCCAAGAAGGAGGTCGCACACACTATCGGCGAGCGCAAAATTCTCCAGCGCTCACTCGAGTCACCATTCCTCGTGGGGCTTAAATTTAGCTTCCAGACCGATGCAGACTTGTATCTGGTCACGGATTTCAAGAGTGGAGGAGAGCTTTTCTGGCATCTACAGAAAGAAACACGGTTTAGCGAGGAGCGCGCGCGTTTCTACATTGCAGAGCTAGTTCTTGCTCTGGAGCATCTACACAAGTACGACATCGTTTACCGGTAAGGAGCTTCTGACGTAGAAGATCCACTGGCGACTAACTCTATTTCTGACTATCAGTGATCTGAAACCAGAAAACATACTTCTGGATGCAACTGGGCACGTTGCGTTATGCGATTTCGGCCTGTCGAAGCCAGACCTCCGGTCAGACGAGCTTACGAACACGTTCTGCGGAACAACAGAATATCTTGCACCCGAGGTCCTCTTAGACGAGCACGGGTACTCGAAGCTCGTCGATTTCTGGTCTTTAGGCGTCTTGCTTTTTGAGATGTGCTGCGGCTGGAGTCCATTCTACGCAGAAGACACACAGCAGATGTACAAGAACATTTGTTTTGGAAAGATCCGGTTCCCCAAGGGCGTCATCAATGAGGACGGGAAGCAATTCGTCAAGGGGGTGAGTTTCACGCCAACAACCATATGTCTAGGCCTTCCCCACATCCGCACAATGAATTGCCAAACCGGGATTACTGATCGTGCCTTCTTTGATTGGCACCGATAGCTTCTGAACCGCAACCCCAAGCACCGGCTAGGCGCGCAACGCGATGCCGAAGAGCTCAAAGAGCATCCGTTCTTCAAGCCCATCGACTGGCAAGCCCTCGCGCGCAAGCAGGTCACGCCGCCGTTCAAGCCGGTCATCGAGTCGGACGAGTCCACGGCCAACTTTGACCCGGAGTTCACGTCGGCTGACATCAACGATTTCGGCCCGAACGAGATTCGCTTGGACGACGACGATCCGTCTGGGGACTGGGTCTCGCAGTCTGTAAATGGCACGCTGCATACGCCACACGGCCCGCTAGGGAGTGAACGTGCCCCGCCTGTGCCTGCGCCTGCACACGGCATCAGCATTAAGGCAAAGAAGAACGGGCGCGACCCGGCTGCAAGTCCGCCGTTGACGAATAGTGTTCAGGAGAACTTCCGCGGCTTCACGTATTCGGGCGAGGGTGAGAGCCTGATCGCGCAAGCCATTGGCCGGCTCGAGGAACAGGACGAGGGCGAAGAAGCGGTCGACGACGACGACGTGCAAGAGCCAACCACAGAGGACGAAGCGGAGGACGACCAGCATCCGGCCGGGCGGTATGCAAGACGAAAGGGTTACATCGTGGGCTTTGACGAGGACATGCACATATGACCGCCGCTTTGAATCGCTCTTGATGATACCGATACTGTCCTATCTGTCGCAACCCTGGACTTCCATCTCAAGAACTGCCTATCTCTTCCTGGCTCTCATACACATACATCGCTATTCATTCCCATGCATCCTGCCTCTCGGTAGACGCACCTCCCGCCGCGCCACCTGCATCTGTCATGCCCAGCAATCACTCATCATGTACTACAACTCAACTCGTCATCAATTTTGTCCTCCTGCAACGACAAGCGGATGCATTCCTACCCAACCTTCCACACAGTATGTCTTCACCTCTTCTACAGGCGCTATTTTTCTCTCGGTCCAAATATCTCTTGAGCGATTTTTTATGCGTACGATGGATAATGGAGCAAACGATCATGGAACCCCTTTCTTGGTGCGCCTCGACGCATCGTTATTGTACTTGGTTTGGGTGTAATAATCACGGGCACACGCCGAAATACGCAGTGTAATGAATATAGCATAGGTTGTCGGATGAGTATTGCGGAACATGTACGGATGGGTAGGGAGTACAATACTCTAGGGCAACTTTGATCAGCAACTTGACCGACAACTCAAGGTTCTCGACTGAGCCGTGCCGTGGGTGACGATATTTTCGCCGTGCAGCAACCAAAAATTCGAGCTGTTCAAAGGTGAGTGTTTTTTCGTTGACTGCTCGATAAACTGTCTTCTAATAACTGGCGTTGCGCTCTTAATCAGAATGTTCCAACGGCTACATGCATACGTCCTGATGTGTAGACTCTGTTTTTTCTTCACGGGAGGGTGGTTCCAGAACTCTGTTAGGTATGTATGTTGATGGTTTCGTCCTATATCTAGCTCCATCGATCGAATCAGAGGCGTCGTCTCGCTGATCTAAGAAAAGATCATCATATCCTCCCCACTGGTACGCAACGCACCACATACCTCACGAAGTCGAACCCCCGAGAAGAGTGCGGCATTCAACGGCGCTGAGCAGTCGCGTGCCGATTCACTACTTCAGAGCACGGTAGCGATGGTAACGGGAGAGAGTTCACTGAAGCATTCATCAGGTATGCATCTATCTGGTACGCATTCATTAATCATTGTTTGGGGAGGTATGTCGTCATTGGACGTCACGGAAGACTGATGCTGATGTCGTTCCAGAGTAGGTACATACACTATTCGCTCGTGCATACGTGTTTAGTATGGCTCCGAATCGATAGTCCTATGGCGCGGGCTCTCAACGCCATATGTGCACCCAAGGCTCTCGGTGACGAAGTGAGTACGGGGGCGAGCCCAGTCAGATACATCATCGGCGGATCATGCCGCACGATTCGAAACTAGCATTCATAGTCTGGTACAAAGACCGGACACAAGAGGAGCCTATCATGATTGACACCTTAGACCTGGTCGATTCAGATTTCAACCGCATAGATATGCAGAGTTCACATGATGTCTCTTCCCCCGTCCCATCAACCGGCGTTGCGCGAAATCATTGCAATAATTAGATTTTCCGACTTCATATTGCAGCTTGCAACGACCTGTGCCATCATTTGACTCGTACAGCAGGACCCCCATGAAGCCCGCATCAACATGTAAGGAAAAGTCCCTTTCAAATAATCAGAATGAATTCACGAATTTGAATCTCCATAGCTCGACAAATAATAATCAATGCGATTTATATACATGTTTGGCGCGTGCACCTTGAAGCTTGACGTGCCAGATTATGTGCACAGCCGTTGTCAAGACGAACTGTGTCAGGACCAGGCGTGCGATAGAGTAGAGTATTCCCCAGAGGTCGATGCGAATAGAACTACAAAAATGAACAAAATAATTGATGCAATAGCGCCGTAAGGCAACCCGGATTGAGAAATCTAACCGATGCTTGTGTGAACAGATGAAGGGATGATCGATGACCATGAAGAAAATATGACTGTGAGGATTCGGTACCGCGGGAAGAGTTGATGGCTGGTTTCGCTACCAATCGTTTAGCCTCTTGCAGTCTGGTCGTGAGAGATTAACGCCACCGCGGAGAAGGGGTGGGAGGATGCGACCGCCCAAGATGGTGTTTTGGACTATGGGATAGACTTCGTGTGTCGAAACACGACCGTACCACACGCCTGAGCCTTGAGGCATGTAAATCTGATTAAACCGCGTAAAGATAAGGCGATGAGTAACTCGTCGCGTACGAGCACGGTCATGTGAGCTCACGATAACGTTGCCGGCGTATTTGTGTCCGCCGATGTGCGAAGTCTTGAGGATGAGGGCTTTCTTGTGGATATCTTCATCTAGCTCCTGCAGGCGCCGCTGCATCTCCGCCTCTTTGTCCTCATCAGAATGATTGAAGTCTTCTAGTGACGGACCGGTCGGCTCTTCGAGTTGCGTGTGCACATCCCAACCTTCTCTGTGAAGCGCTTCCGAGAAAGCTATCGGACGTGGTATTTTGAATGCGTGTGAATGAGCGTGGGACGAACGAGACCCGATTGAATGCACCCACCGTGTTCGAGTTTCGGCGCTACGACTGCACATCGCACGTCTCTCCTCCGGTGTGAGCCTGAGTGAAACCCGATGTATTTGTGTATCAGATATGATGGGAGAGAAGCGCACATTGCGAATATCAGATTGCGCTCACAAATCAGGATAACACATGAATAAGGGATTATCCATGACTTGAGGGGACCGAGGACCAACGATGAGCCCAAGCGGGGTACTGAGGGGTCGACAGAGTGGTCCCAGAGCTCCCGAGCACCGTCCAGCGAACACGGCACCTCTGTCACGAGCTTGTAGTCGGGAAAGACAAGGACGGTTTCGACGTCGGAAGCGGCGGAAAGTGTGTCATGGCTGCCGTTAAGAATCGAGACTTTGCGCGTCTCCGAATCCTTGAATATCCCTGTGACCGCGGTGGGCTCGAAACCCCGCAGGGTGCTCCCGGGTGTACCGGGCGTCGAGGTTCCCGATGTCGAAGTGGACGCGCTGCACGGAGCCGTGCCCGAGTCGACAGCGAGGAGGTGAGCAGCGAGCGAGCCCTTGACGTCTGTGACCGAGCGCTCCCAATCCGACTTGCCCGTAGAGATGACGACCTTGATAGGAAAGAGGGTGGAGAGTGCCGAGCATGAATGGAACGAGCAAAGTTATCAGATAAACCGTTGACGGCAGCGCCACCATTCCGGACGCACCTGTCTGCGGTATGGCTTCACAGAGCCCAACATGTCCGACGTCGTATCAATCATCGACACAATTTTCTGCGGATACTCTTCATGGCCTGAGAGTAGTCGATGAGGACATCAGATGCTGGGGAGATCACAACGACGACCGTCACTCACCCTCCTCGCACGGGTTTGGACAGCTTCTACAGTCGGCGAACGAAACCGGAACCCCCGCTGCCTCCAGTGCAGAACTTGTTTCCTCCAGCTCTAGCGGAGGACCCAGAACGATCGCAGCAAGACTTCTGAGACGATGCATGGTGTTGGTGGTGGATGGGTTCACAAGAGAAGTGCCAGCATGATGCTATGACTATAAGTCCAGGCTGTAATAATTTCGTCGAGTACAGATTATGTTATCAGATAAGATGCGGAGATTCCCTTGGATGACGTAATTCTCCCGAGTGCCGAGCGCCGAGTGGGTGCCTCGACCATCTCAGATGTCAGCGCTCCCGTGGACTGACCATCCTGCCAGATCCTGCCATGGCCCATTGCCAAAAATCGCAAACAGCAAGGGAGGTAGCCAAACCAGCTGCAGTTAAATATATAACCGGAACTAAGACACAGCAGATAACCATCAATACAAATGCCCTGAGAGACAGAACCGCAGACACCACGATCCCACCAGGCAATGGCTCTCACAAGCCCTTCCGCGGTCGGCAACTCCTGCCCAAAACTGAGATATGATGATTTCCTCGCTCTCGGAACACGTCAAGTGCAAGATAGACATTCACACCGGCGTAGATCGTCTCACCCCCACTGGTCTGGGACCCACGGAGTCACAAGGTCTGCGTATTGGTCGCTGTTACCCCCGCCCTTGCTTCCCTTGTTCCCCCGCCCTATGAGCCGGCGGTACAACTTCCGCGCACCGCCTCGCTCGGCTGTTTCTGCGCCCTCACTGATGGCGGCAGGCATGCTGACTTCGTCTGGATAAAATTGCTCTACCATCTTCGCCAGCTTGCGCATTCCGCTGGAGCTATCGCCCACCGCCCGCCGCGAGTCTTCGAGTGCGGACGCTAGATACATCGCGTAACTCGGAAGATTGATGGGCAAGCTAGGGAGGGGCGTCGACGCGGTCGCTGGAATAGTGTAATACCTCGCCATCGGAGAGTCGGCGCCGTCGCGCAGAAGCGCAGGGAGCGACGAAAGCGTATAGGAGTACGGAAGCGTACTCACATCACCGTTTGTGTATTTGTACGACTGGGGATGGTTAGGGGACAGGGGGTAATCGATGGTGAGGTATATGAGCGTTCGCCATTCCGAGGACGAATGATGAACCTAACATTAATTTGACGTCAACCGAGCTTCTTCCCCGCACAACCCCGCAAAATGAACAACGGACCTTGATAAACTGGACCACGGTCCGCAGTTTCAAATCAGCTTTCGTTTCGGCAAGCGCCTGGATCGCGGGCTCGATGCGTGTGGCGCTCAGCTTCGCCATGAGCCGTAGCAAATGTCGCCAGCTTGGCGCCTGTATGTGCATGGGCGGACACCTTCCATAGGGCAAAGAGAAGACATTAGGAGGATCCTGCACTCTTGTTGGTGTTACGCCGATTGCTGGTGGTTGGAATCCGAATGCTGCAAGACATTAGTTCTGAGTGGTTGCATTATTTCGAAGGGGGTCTAAATACGTACAAACTCCCAACAGCATTTCAGCATCGACATATTGATTCGAGTTCGCAACGGAATATAGGTACGCTTCGGATAGATCCTCGTGATCTTCGTCCACGGACGCCAGACCTGAAAGAGCGGTACCAGTCGAAACGGGCCGAGGAGCTATATTCAGGTTAGATAGCGGGGTCGGGACTACCTCAGCGCTCGAAGCCCGGCGTAGGTTTAGTGCGAACAGCGACGAGGAACGCGAAGAAGTGGAATGCGTCGAGTGGCCGTCACTGGAGTTGTTGTCGCGGCTCGACGATGCTAAGACCGGCAGGCTAGTTCGACTCCGGTTGGGGGAATGCCCTGGAAAACGAGAACCACCTGTTTAATCTGGCAGAGAGCGGTGATCAGCGAACGTACCTGTGTGCGGCGCGACGACATCGGAGTAGAGGGGGAGGTTAGAAGTCGCGGACGGCGATGCGAAATCCATGTCGTGCACCCGTAACTCGGGCGATGGTGTGTCGTCGTCGGTGTCCTCGGCGGCTAACCGGCGAGCAAGCGCTTCGTCTTCCATCAGCTGCATGTGGGTCGACTGCGAGGAAGCTAGCGACAGAAAGCTATCGTTCCACTGCCCCCTGGCGTTGCCATACATTGACATCGATGCCGGTGCAGATGCCGGTACGGTGAGGCTGCGGTGTGCCGACGTAGGGGTCAGGGGGGGAAGAGGATTGTGCGATATCGGCGAATGCTCGACAGAGGATGCACGCCCTGATGTCAGGGAGCCGTGCGGCATAAGCAGGGGGCTCTCGAGTGTCATGGATTCCTCCAGAGCTCTAGCCAGCTCCTCATCCTCCCGAGAGGTTGTCTGCTGCCGACCCCGAGTTTCCTTGGCTGATACTTGCATCGCCGAGACCATAGCCTTATCCTCGTCGGTATCACCGAGGGACGAGGACGGGGGTGAGGGCAGTGGGGGTGGAAGCGGTGTTGGGGACCTCGGGATCGACTGCGGATAGAACGACAATGGCGGTGGCACATTATGCTGTGAGGGCGGCGCATTGGGCTTTGGAGGTAGGGCGGGCGGTGGTGGATCGGAAATTCGCTGCACGAAAACCGGCTTCTTGGGGATTGGCGGAGGGGCGCTGTGCTGTGGGCGCTTCAGCGGAACGAGGATCTCTGGTGCGCTGACCGAGGGGTGAGCCGAGCCGTTAGTGAGAACGGAGTAGCTAGAGTTTTTGGGCATGAAGAAAAGACCCTCGTATCGGCCGTCGGTGGTCTGTCGACGCTTCGCTCCTGGTATCAGACTAGGGGGTATAGGAGCTACGGGGGGTGGGGGGAGGGGTGGAAGCGGCTGCGCATGATAGTACGCGATATCTCCGGGCGCAGACGTTGCGCGATACTGCGCTGGACGAGGAGGAGGACGAGCGGGGCCAGATGGACCAGGCGACGACCATGGAGAGGAAAATGGCATGGACAGAGACGCAAGCAAAGCCTGAGAGAGGCTGCTGACGACTTGGCTGCGAGCGCGACTACATAATTGCAGGCCCTAATAAGAACGCTATAAACGACCAGCGCCCGTGTTGCCTCTTTCGATCAAATGAACGCCGGGCGGCGGTTTCTAGCTCCTTATATATTAGACTTCCGCCGAAATTCCTCGGTGCTCCGCGACTTCGTCTTCGAGCCATGCAATGCAACACAGACTTATGGTAATACTTTCGTCACACTCTTCTCAGATTCCATGCACGTTGGCTGCCTGGATCGGTATCATACCCAGGTATCTGCAGATATCTACATATTACGAATACATGCAATGAGCTTGCCGACGCGTACCTGAGTATGTATCTAGACACGTCGAATCTTGCAACCCGCGATCACTACTAAACTCACCACGACACTCGAGGCACGCATGTTCCGTAAGCGGCAACTTCAGACACGACGCGCGACGGTTCAACGCTGAAAAGATGGAATTGTGTACAGGCAAATAGCGCACGCACTAAATGTGTCTCGATAATTTCTAGCGTACAATGCAGGTGAGCGATGCGAGGTGGGGGTGACGGTGGAGGACGATTGACGGCAGAAGGGGTGGCGTGGTGGGCAGAGGGCAAGGGGGGATTGGGATGCTGAGAAAAAGAAATGTGATTGATGCTGATATGACAAAAAAAAACCATAGTGAGAGAGTGAGAGAGAGAGGAACGAAGATGAGAGTGTTGCAGAGCGTGAAATAGACATTGAAATCCATAGGGAGAGAGAAAGAGAGAGAGAGAAAAAAACATAAAGAAAAAAAAAACAGATGCGCAGTTGAGGAAGGAGTGTCGTTAATCGTAATGTCATCGCGTGGTCAATGTTTTGCCGGTCCCATGGGCCGATTCGGGTGCGGTCGATGTCTTGAACCCGAGCTGGCGCATGGCCGCCAGCAGACTGGCTTTCTGCAAAGGCTTCGCGAGCGAGGCCGCGAACAAATTGCTCGCGTCGTTGTTGTCGATGCCGCTGTACGCGCTCACGGCGATGATCGGAGTGCTCGTGTTCTTGTTATTAGTACTTTTGATATACCGAGCAGCGCTCTCGCCATCGACTAGAAGCGTCGCGCACCTGTCAGCGCACTGATGCTGCGCCCAAAACGTTTCGCAATCACTCACCGACCGGCATGTGTAAGTCCATCAGTATGCAGTCAAATTCTGCACGCGACCGACCCGATTCAGTCAAGAACAGCGCCGAAGACATAAACAGGCTGCCACTTACTGATATCGCCCATGGCGACGCTGATGGCTTCCGACCCGTCCGCAACCACGACACATCGACATCCCAGCCTTATGAGCAGGGTCTCGATGATTTTAGCAGTGATGGGGTTGTCTTCGGCCAAGAGGCACGTCACGGCACGGTCGTTGGGGTCCGGCCCTCGTCTCAGGTCGATAGACGCGACCGACGACGGCGGCGTGTTGACCTCGAATTGGGTCGACGCCTGACCCACGGAAGGAGGCCACGCGTCTGAGACGGACCCGTCTCCCATGCTGGAAGACACGGAAGCGGTGCGCAGTCTACTGGGCATCGAATTGCGACGATTCCCGTCCGCGTCCATGTGATTGAGCTTGAACCGCTCGACGGCGCCGTATTCGGACGGCTTCCTGATATGACCCGCGACACTCCCAGGCGTGGAGGGCGGTATGCTGCCCCGAGAAGGGGAGGACGCAATCGACGAGGTGGAGGTTGCCGGGGACGGCGGGTTGGTCGACGGCCTGCCATTACCGTCGAAGGTCGTGACCACGCTGGAAGGCGGTTTCTTGTTCCGGTGCGAGATGCTCTGTCTGCGGACGTGCGACGCGGCAGGGTCTGACAGCGTGTGCGTTAGGGGGGCCATCTGATCCGTCCTGAGCTTGCGAATCATGTCATCGTTCGCCTGCTTCAGCACGGGCAGGTTCTTGAAGCTGAACGTCCCAAAGTCGTCATCTGGGGGCGTGGCCGCCTCCCGACCCTTGGGCATCGGCACCGCATCGGAGTGCGCGACGTCGAGGCCGCCTGTCTGCCCGTGATCGGTGCCGCTCGACAATATATGCTCCTCGTCAAAGAGTTGAAGGATGGCGCCCCGCGGGTCGAAGTAGTCCGTGGACTCGGGATCGGTCACTTGAGGAATGAACGCCGCTTCGGTCGTGGTCACCTTGTCCCATTCAATGCCCGCAAACCAAGGATGGCTCTTGGCTTCTTCCGCTCCGTTCGCCCCCAGTCGGCGTGACGGGTCAAGAGTCAGCAGCCGCTGCATAAAGTCCTTGGCCTCCATAGTATAGTCGACGTATTCCTCCATCCAGTCAATCTGCCCGGACAATATATTCTCGAATACTTTCTCCGGCGTCTCCTCGTGGAACGGAGGCATGCCATAGAGGAATTCGTATGTGATGACTCCTAGAGCCCACTGCGTACGACGTCAGCCAAGGCCTCTCAGGAAATCGAGATTTAAACTCTACGAACCCAATCGACCGCCGCGTCATTGCCTCTCAATCCAAGGATGGTCTCCGGGGCGAGATAGTCCGGGGTCCCCACAAACTTCTGCTCACTAGGAGGCGTGCCGCTGCCCGGCGTAGAATGCGAACGGAGATCGGTCGTCAGCTCGGTAGCAAAAGACTGCAAGGGGCTGTCGTTCATCTGGTTCCCGTTACGGCGAGAGAAGAAAGAATCGGAGCCGCTGGATTCACTGACGTCGTCTGTGGAGGAGAGATATGAGGCTGTCCCGGGGCGATATACCGGAGCTGGCAGCTGACTGAAGTACGAACCTACACCCATGATGTCGGCTGGAATAAGCGGGGATGACAGATAGGCCGAGTCCATCGAGGGAGGGCGGGAATGGGGACTGTAGCGTGTCCGAGAGCGCATTCCTCTGTCGGAGGTCACGACCTGTCCTTCGCGCGTCTGACGTCCGAGCAAACCGATCCTGCTCAACCCAAAGTCCGTGAGCTTCAAGTGTCCATGCTGGTCGATGAGCAGGTTGTCAGGCTTGAGGTCACTATGAAGCAGCGCGATGACCCGATGAGACGCCTATCGAAGCATATATACGAGAGAGAAGGAGCACGTACCGATGCACGATCCCGCGCTGGTGGAGGTACTCCAGACCAAGGACGACTTCTGCGATATACTGCTTCGTCCACTCCTCGGGCAACGCACCCAGAGACTTGATAAGCGCAGCACAGTCCCCACCGTTGAGGTACTCCATCACGAGATACAAGTTCTCCTTGCTTTGAAACGTGAAGAACAGCTTCGCCACGAACGGCGACTCTGCCTGCTTCATGAGGATCATGCGCTCCGCCTTGACGTTCGTGATCTGGTTCTTCGCGATCATGTCCGCCTTCTTGAGCACCTTGATGGCGTAGTAGTCCCCGGTCGCCTTCTTCCTGGCGAGGAAGACGGAGCCAAAGGCGCCCTTGCTGATAGGCTTTATAATCTCAAAGTCCTTGATGGACGTCGGCGCCGTGCGGGACAGGGGCGCGACGGACGGCAGTCGGGGCGACAAAGGGCCGCCGCTGGACGAGGTGGCGGTGATAGAGGGGCTCAGGACGACAGGGAACGCGGTGGAGTGCCGTCGGTGGGACCGTCGGCTGCTCGACTCCAGGGGAGACAAAGGCGGGGTCAACATCAATCTGGGATCCATGTTCTGCAGCGAGCTGCGTGGGCGGATCTTCGAGCTCGCGCCGGTCAAGTCCATAGGGGGCGGAAGCGCGGTGATGTCAATGCCAGGCGAAGCGACGATGGGCGCTGCCAGAGCCAGAGGGGAAGAGACAGACGAAGGTGTGGACGATCGCGTTTGGAGGGTGCCGAGGCTCTGCCACTGGTACGCGAGCGGGGTCGGCGGCGCGGGCGACATGGGCACGGGGACGGACATGGGCACGGCGTTCCCATCAGGCACGGTCGCCGGAGGGATGGGCGATGCGGACGCCATCGGCGTAGGATCTGATGAGTGCTCGTGTCCGCTGAAGGCATACTCCGAAGTGGTGCTCGAGTGGTCGTCGCCATCACCCGCCCCGTCCTCACTCCGCATCTCCCCCTCCTCCTCTCCCTCCAGCTCGTCCGAATAGTCGCCCTGCCCGAGCGCCTGCTCGACCCGCTCCTCCCACTCCTGTCTGACCTTCTCGGAGTACCTGATCGTGTTCTGCAGGCGCACGACCGTGTCGATCTTCTGCCGCATGACCCTCTCCGCGTCCTGCACGAGCTGCGCGAGGGCGTTGTCCTGGGTCGAAGGCTTGGACCAGTTCCGGATCTGCGAGATCTTGCGCTCCGAGCTGGGCGAAAGCAAGCGTTGGCGCTCGATGGGCTCCTTGGCCTCCTCCTCCTTCAAAGACGGAATCGAGATCTCAAAGGCGACCTGAAGGACGTCCTCGAGCTGCTCCAGGATGCGGCGCTGCATCTTCTTGACGCCGAAGCGCTGCATCTTGCTGATGCGGAACAGATGAAGCGGGGACGACGAACCGGGGGACGACGACGACATGATGGGCATGCCGCGGTACTCCGGAATCGTGATCGGGGACGAGCGGTCCAAGGCGCAAGCGAGGTCCCGAATAGTCGTGCGCAGTTCCGCTATCGACTCGTTGCACTCGCCGATCTCGGCCTCCAGCCTGTGCGTCTCACTGCACGTTTCGTTGTGCTTCTCGAAGTACCATTGCGGGATGTTGTTCTCGCAGATCCGACACAGGATCGGCGTCATGTTGATCGGACGCGCGAACGGCAGGGGCGTGGGCGGCTCCTCTGTGCGGTCATCGAAGCTGCGGTCCCCCGCCTCGTCTGGTGACGGCTCATCGAGGACTTCCTTATTCTCGACCACGATGGACGGCGAGGACTGTAAGAACTCCGGGGGGCCGATGGGTTTCATGACCCACATAGTATGAGACAGGCGACCGTCGTCGCGGTCGATCATGAGCATCCCCTTGCCCTCCATCAACTGGTAAAGAGTGCCCATCGACAGATCGCGCTCGTCCTCGGGTTCGATCTGCAAACGAAATTTGACTTCCACGGTGTGAGAATCGTCGTCCTGCAAGCGCTGAGTGGCGTCGCGAAACACGTTGACGTCCTGAGGTTGAAGAAGACGGGAGATGCGGGTGCCCTGCATCTCTTCGGCATCCGAGCTGAAGCGACCGTTAGTCAACGCCGGCGTGTGTGACGCGAAAAGAGAGAGGTGCGTACCCGACGACGATGTTCCACGCATAGTTGACCCACATGAGATGATCGCCATCGAGGTTGAGCTCGAGGACGATGTTGCGATTCTGCGCCGTCTCGGCTTGCAAGCGCAGACGCTCCGTCGCCAAGACCCGCGCAGACTCGGCGGTGTCGAGGGTCTTGGATGCCGTCCTCGACGGCTCGGGCGGTGGGGCGACCGGCGTCAGATGGTCTCTGCCGACATCGTCCCTGGACTTCTTGCCCTGGCTGGTGGGTCGGGAGAGACGCAGCTTGTTCTCTTCCTCGACCGACAAGCGGGGCGTCGGAGCAGGGAGCTGCTCGTCGGCCGGTTTCATGACGAAGAGAAGGGCCTCGTCCTGCTCATCGTCGTTGTCGTCAAAGTTCCAAAACTGCTTTTCGGCCTCCCACCATTCGACGACTCGGCTGAGACTGGCCACGGCGAGGAGGACCTGTACGTACCAGGTCCGCCCGTGCCAGTCCGGGTGGTCGTCCCAGGCCTTGCCGATGATCTGCACCCTTTGAACGAGGGATTCACAAATCTTGGGCTGCACGGTGAGCTGAGCGACGGTCATCTCCGTCACGTCGGTGGCGACGCCGATGAGTTCGTAGAGGGTGGTCATGATGGGATCGACGGGGTCATCGATGAGGATGCGAGAGGAGCGGCGATTGGCGGACAAGGGGGCGACATTGGACAAGGACTCTGAGAAGCTGGAGTGATTGGTGGGTGGGAGTGGAGAGCGGGAGCGTGATGTGGAACGAGAGCTCTGGCCGGAGCGGGACGGTCTGATCGGAATGTGAATAGAGCGAGATAAGCGACGGGAGGCGATGCCACCCGTTCCCCATGCCGGGGGAGCGATGTTCTGCTTGCGTGGGCTGGTCTCAGGGCCCTGTGCAGGACCTATGACGGGGCTAGAACTTCCGGTGGAGGCGCTGGGTATTTTCTCCCTCGATACGGTGTTCTGGCGGCGCAGCGGAGCGGGGCTGGATGAGGAAGTGGAGGCTGCGAGGAGGCCAGGGGATGAAGACCAGTGTGTCAGAGTGGGAGGCCTCGGACTGGAATCTTCGAGGGACGCACGTTGTCGACTGTGGTTGCCTTCGAACTCTGCCTCGTACCCACCGTCGGAGCTTGCGTCGTCGGACTGGAGCGCGGACCTGACGTCTGCGGGCTGGAGGACGAAAGCGTCGCGCAGGGCTTCGGGGTCGGGGGAGTGTAGTACTTCGCGCTCCCTCTCGCGCTCGCGCAGCTCTCTGCCGAGTGCGAGCTGCTCCTGGTACTCCTGCTCACCTTCGCGGAGCCGCTCTTCGAAGAAGGCGGTGATGCTGTTGGTGACGCGCTGGAGCTCCTTGTCGCACTCTGACTTTGCGGCCTTGAGGCGCCTTGTTACGTGACGGCGAACGAAGGGCATGGAGACGGTGTTTGAGCCGGAGCCGTGGTTGCTGGCTGTGGTGTTCACCTGAGGAACGATGGGGGGCAGGACGGACTCGGGGGTGAACACGAGGGGACTGGGAGGTTGGCGCCGATGTGTGCCCGAGTCTGACATGGGAGGACGACGAGGGGAGGGAGGACGACGAGAGGGAGGAGGGAGGGAGGGGGAGGAGGGAGGAGGGAGGGTGCACGAGACCAGAGGAATGGACGTGACAGGGGCAGAGCAGGAGGCTCAGCGGGACATGGACGGACGCAGGGACAAGGGGGAGGCGAGGGCTGCTCGCTCGACGCACGCTCTCCTCCGTCCTCATATCACCCCCCCGTCCCGTACATCACGTCACGCCCCCGTCACGCCGTCCCCGGGGTCCCGTCCCGACTCCCTCAGCTCGACGTGCACCGTGAACTACCGTGAACCGCCCAGCGCTGCCTCGCCATGTTCTCGCTCTCCGCCTCCTTGCGCTCGTGCGCTCGTGCCCCACCCCGCCCCTCCCTCCTCCCGCTGCAGCCCCGCGCTGCACGCATGGCCTCCCGCAGGGCAACCCAAGCAAGCAGGCTCGTGTCCCGCAACGAGGAGCTCGCCCGCGAGGAATCCATCGTCGACGAGCTCCAGGATACCACAAAGCTGCTCGACAACGCCCCCGTCCGCATGGGCCCCGTCTCCGACTCTTTCAGTGGTCAGTCCCCGCTCTCCTCCCCTCCCGCCCTCCCCTCCCGCCCTCTCACACCACGCCCCCTCAGTCGACATCCAGAGCGACCCCCGCAAGTCCCTCAGAACCCGCATTCCAAACGTACGTCCCCCGCGACCCACTGCCCCCCCTCCCTCCCCCTCCTCACCGCCGCGCAGTTCATCAAGCCCACCGACTTCAAAGACCGCTCCGACGACGAGCGCATCCGCCGCAGGCGCCCCCTCCTCGGCCCCGACGCCGCCCAGTCCCGCCAGGACGACCCCTTCCACCTCCTCGGCATCGACCCCCTCGTCGAGGCCACAAACCCCAAGCTCCTCTCCTACTTCGTCACAGAGATGGGCAAGGTCCGCGGCCGCGCTGAAAACAGGCTCACATGGCACAGCCAGAGGCGTTTGACCCGCGCAATCCGCAGAGCAAAGAATATGGGCGTCATCCCCACCCTCAGCAGATCCATCACGCTCAAAAACCCATGACGCGCAGCAATATCATCCCACTCAATTGATTCATTTTCTAACACCATCTCGCCTCGTCCGTTCCGACGTGTCGGGATTTCGTTTTTGAGAAGCGACATCACCCCACACCCTACGAGGCGCGAGTCGCGACGATACGGTATGTTGGCGGCAATACCCTGTAACCCTAGTCTTGTTCGCCGTCAAAAGAAAAATAATCAAAAACGCGGTCACACGCGCTGCCTGTGAAGGGACGTCCGTCCGTTCACCCGGTCCTGAGTATGACCGCAAGCTAGACCCTGTTCTCGTATCGGGAGTTCTCCGAGAGCTTGCGAAACTCGCGGTCGAATAGAGCATCCACCGAGCTCAAGATAACATATCCCCGCCAGGTTTAAGGGTTCTCTACCTGAATGCTGGCACCTTGATACGGACGGTCGCACAAGCAGGATGCCCAGTCACACTGCGCAGCCACAACAGCCTCCATCTTGCGAACGGCCTTCTGAAAGGAGACCATGCGCGTGTGTATGAGCGTGCACTCTAAAATATCAATAACGATCTGTCATCGACGATCGTCATGAATGGCGATTCACAATCGTACACAAACAGAACTGAGACGTCCGGATGGAGAGAAGGCAAGCCTACAGTTCCGCGAGCAGCATCGTGCCCAAATTCTGAACCACCTGATCTCCCATCGCTTTCTCCACCGCTTCTTCTAGATGCCGCTTTGGGTCTTGTTTACCTACGTGCCGCGTTTTGAGCTGCTCTGGCGTCAGGGTAGACTCTTCCTGCACTGATTTGTTATACGCTTCCGACAGCGCGAGCATAGACTGCAACGTGGTGGGAATTTGGAAAGCAAGGGAGGGGCCGCGTCAGAGTCACAAGACGTGGAGGCACGGCCGAACGAACGGGGCTTACTTTGATGGCCTTTTCATTGCCCTCCTTTTGTACCTTAAAGTCACGCAGCTTCAGCCCCTCTGTCCAATTTCTCTTGTGCAAATTCATCAGCATCGACTGCTCTAGCTCCGTCTTCCGGTAGTTCACCGTTATCGAATAGTAGTGTCGGTTCAGCCCGTGGATGAGGGCCTGTATGGAAGGCTTGTTGATGTGACCGATGTTCGACGTCGTCTGGCGAGGCTCGTGGCCGGATAGCATGGTGCTGGGGCTGATCAAGCGGAAGGCGTCGATGACGACCTTCCCTTTGACCGATTGGATGGGATCGACCACGACGGCAACAGAGCGCTGATCGAGCCGCTCAAAGGACTGGACAGGGTATGACGCTATCTCAACACGAGCCTAGAGCCTACGCACATGATGCACGCACCTGCTGAGTGTTGATATCGACGCTCGATAGCCAGCAACCGAATCCTGGGTGAGAGTGATACCATCCCACGACCGCCTCAGGGCTGACAGATGCATGCTGGTTAGTCCCTTGGAGGATGACGCACAGAGCGCGGCTACCGACCGTCCTGTCTGCTTCAGCATGTCCACCATTCGCTGCTGGAACACATGGTCGACGGACTCGACGGACACCGTCGTTCCAGACTGCGGCATCGCAAACACGTCGATGACCTGGACCGTGTACTCGTCCACGAACTCGCCCAGCATGAGGCCCATGACTTCCATCGGAACGCCTGCGCGGCCATGCTTCAACATCTATCGAGCGCGCGCACATACACACACACACACATACGACGTCGTCAGAAAGCTATGGCTGCAAGCGATGACGCAAGACTCGGACGTGCCTTCAAGAGAGCGAGAGAGGATATGTGGATGACTTCTCCCCTGCGGTACCATGACGCGTCCAAGTCAATACCCCCGCAGAAAACAGACGAAGCAGGGCCTTACGTGTCTGCGACCGTCGTCTCGCCTCCGCCGGGGGGCCCCCGACCCCCCGAGGCCTGCGCGATCATACGTTCGAATGCAGATTGCATGTTATGCTACAATTCGTGAGTGGGAAGAAGTCAGAGTTGCTGTAATTATGACTGTGGCGGACTCGCGCCTCGAGCCGCTGACGCGTCTCGATTATTTGTACGCTATTTGCGCATATTATGCAACGGCCTCCGAAATAAACAGCCGCCCATATCCATCTTGGCGCCACATACGTCCATACATACACCGCTGCGTCGTCCTCGGCGGGAAACAAAGCGCTCAGCACTCAGATCGGCGCAACCTTGGGCAGTGATGCCAGATAACAATGCCCACAAGTGAACTCTCGGATGCGCTGAATCCCCATGTAGTCCAGTCGAGACCGCGCCTTTCGTACAGCGGCCACCTGCCGGGCCTCCCCCTGATCCCAACTGTTCAACAACAGCCCATCCCGTACGTTCCACACCGCAGCGAGCTAGAGTATGCAATATCCGAACCCCCGCCCCCGCCCCCACCTCCAGACCCCGCACCCGTCGTGTCCAAGTGTGTGCTATGGCTCGTCTGTTTCACCTCACCAGGACACTGACCCCCCTCGCCCCTAGGCCTAGGCTCGAAGGGGCGCAGGCCGCGCAAGAGCTGCTCCGCGCTCTGCACTCGCAGAAAGAGGCGCACGAGGCCGAACGAGAGCGGAGGCTCGCGTGGGAGCGGGAGCTCGACGCCAAGTACGCGCAGAGGCAGGCAGAGATGGAGACTACGGTGGCCGAGATGAAGCACGAAATCGCATTTCTTCGAGCATGCATCGCCACTCTGCAAACGCACCCCTCGTCGCAGCCATCGGGCTCACAGCAGGCCGGAACGCCCCCGCCGGGCGGACCTCCCTCCATTTCGCCCGTGGCCACCCTCCGCGGAGAGTCGTCTGAGCCCGCAACGCCGGCGGCCGCAGATCCAAACGGTGTCGTAGCCGCATCAACGCGCACTCCCGTCCCAACTGCGCCTTCCATCCCCTCGCCCGCCCTCTCTTTCCGCGAGCCATCCAGGTCTCAATCGGCCGCACCCTCCTCTTCGACCAGGAAAAGGCCGTCGCCTATGTTGAATGCGGGCGATGATTGTGACGATGACGACGACGGAAGCGACGCATCTGCGCGGTCATCTGGAGCCAGGAGGCCGTTGAAACGCCGCAATCATCATGACAAGAAATGTTACACCATTCAGGTACGATGTCCCCCTGTCACTTTTGTCGTCCTGATTGACATAACCCGTTATTCAGGTCGCGATGCGCAGACACATCTACCGTCTCATGGGCACCGGCCCCAAAGACGATCTCCCCTCGAATCATCTTGAGGGGCTGCATCTCAGCGACGATGAGCCCGTACGGTTTGTGTGGGCGAAGACGGCCAGACAGTCGCCCCACAACGCTCGCATGAAGTCCCGCATTATCAAGGATCTGATGGCTCATCGCCAAATATACAAACACGTGCCGGACGAGGCCTTCCAACGGAAGGCCCTCGAGGCGGCTTTCGATCAGGCGTTTACAACTCTTCGCCTGAAAGCGAAGGGGCAGAGCGACGAGTCGATCGCGCAGGCGCAAAAAGCCAAGGAGGAGCACAAGTCAATGAAGGCTCGGCGGTTCAGTCGGAAGAAGCTCGTGAGTCGTCCATTCTCTCGCCCTCGCATTCGGCGTCGCTAAGCGGTTTCCAGAAATTAGGCTGTCGTACCGAGGCTCGACAGAAGATGGACGCGTTCTCACATCCCACTTTCGACGGTGCCTTGCACCTCGAGTGCATGTCCTCTGAAGAGTCAAGTGACGAAACGTCCAAGGCGGGTTCCTCGACCCCCAAAGACAAAAAACTCGTCGTCCGAGGCATCCCATGGCGGAGCACTCGCCTGCTTAGGTTCTACGGTGTACTGGACGAGGACGACAAGCTCGACAAGAGCCTCAGGCCCAAACGCGGGTCCGGGAGAAAGGAGCGCACCGAGGGCCCTCCCAAAGTGGGGGCCTTCCTGCCGCCGACGGGCGTCGCGAATTGGATGATCAGCCGACGGTGGCTACGCGACATGCAAGCGGTCCACCCAGACACGCTGGAATTGCTCGAGGGCCTCGTCGTGGACCCGCCGGGGTTCGACTGGAACCAGTTCGACGCGCTTGGCTATGAGAGCGAAGACGAGATGGACTCTGTGAGCACCGTGCTCCGAAGTCAGCGACTTGTATATCCTCCGATCGACACTCATCCCACCGTCCCCGCGAGCGCGAATCCTGCTAGCAGTTCTTTACAGTATGCGTTGGCTCCTTTACCCTAATCATAATCACGGAATCACGGAACCATTGTTATTGCATTATGTACCCTAATATGTAGTCTAAGCCTCACTGGCGATGATATCAGCCCTCGAGCGTTGTGCAAGTCCCTGCAAGATTAATCCCAGAAAGGAAACTGACCTACGGACCGTCTCAATTGGTTCCGTGCGTGCTGCCATCATGTCCTCCGACCAAGGTTAGCTGTTACACACTTTCCTGTGGCGAGGTTTTCATCCAGATTACAGTGGAAGCTGTCGTACGCCCACAGGATGACCGGGACCGAGTATCGTGTGAGCATCCACTTGACGTGTCATGCCGTCTCATTGACGCGTTCCTCCAGTTCGCGGTCGAGCCAGGGAGTTCGTAGAGCTCCACGACCAAGTTCAGGTAACGCGCCAGGCATCTTATCAGGAATGCTGCTAGTCTCACGAGCTGCCCCTCCGCAGACCAGCGTCCAACTTCTCGACTCTCTAGAGTCATTCCTCTCGACGTTCCAGAAAGACCTGTCCGCCGTCTCGGGACAGATATCCGACTTGCAAGACCGCAGCAAGGACATTGGGAGTCGCTTGAGGAGCAGAAAGGCGCGTGCATGCTCTCCTTCTTGCAGTCTCGGCACTTACACCTCCCACTGCCCACTAGAGAATCGAGAAGCCGCTCTCCAGCCTCCTGACGGAGTTGACCATCCCGCCCCCTCTCGCGACTACCATACTTGACTCTGATGTCGGAGAAGCATGGATTCCTGCCATCGAAGACTTCGAGCGTCGTCTGGAGAGGCTAAAGTCTCGGTCACGAGTACGAGCGGCTCGAGATTTGGCAGAGGTGGCGGAGGGCTTGCGCATCGCCGTAAGTTCTCCTCCCGCTCGACGTTCGACGTACATGTGACAGATCACCTCAGGCAGCGACGAAGCTGCGCGCATTCTTCCTTGCCCTATTACAGCCCATACGAACGAGCATGACGACCAACATGCAAGTCGTCCAGTCGTCGGTGTTCTTGAAGTATCGACCGCTGTATGCGTTCCTCCAACGCCAAGCCCCAAATGTGGCGCAGGAGGTGCAGAAAGCCTATGTAAGTGCGGCGCGCACATACTACGAGACTGGCTTCCGCCGCTACATGAGGACGCTCGGCTGGATCAAGGTCAGTGCACCGAAATTATTCCTAAGAGGCCCCGCTAGAACGTTTTCGCAGGCGAGGACCATCGAGAAGGCGGACACGTTGGTATCAGAAGCGACAGAGAAGAAAATCGACGTCGATATCGAACGCCTTGAACACGCCCGGATCGAAGGCCCCGGTGTGACCCTTGCCTACATGGCGGACGATAAGGCCTATGTAAGTGCCATTCGCCAACGTAAACTCGAAAACGCTGGTTCTACTAACGTTCCAGAAAGATCACATCGAGAGCTTGTTTCGCTCGTGTATGCTAGTCTTGATGGACAATGGAACTGCCGAATACTCGTTTGTCACGATGTTCTTCGCACCAGAGCCCAACCTTCCCGCATCGTCTTCGAAGGACTCCGATGCGAATATGTTTTCTCCGAAATTATTCCCTGCGGACGATCTACAGTCAGTGCAGGACACGGACTTTGGCGTCACGACACCTAGGGCTTCGAGGCACCGCACAGAAAGCCTTTTCAGCACCGACAGTATGCCCCTTGATCAAACACTGACGAAGGAAGAGCAGAATGCGTTGAATACGGTCTGGAAGCAGATAATGGACCCAGCCCTCGAGCATGCCCAGGTAATATTTATGTGACGAATATTAACTGCTACTCATCATATGCCTGGACTTAGAACTTCGCGCGAGCCGCGTTTGAACCGCCTCCGGCTGTCATTCCGCTGTTGACCATGATCCGACTGACTGAGAGTGTCATGCTGGAGGTGCAGAAGCGGGGGTGTTCGCCGCTCGAGTCATTTGTATTTGGTCTTCGACTCCAGATGTGGCCCCTCTTTCAGAAGGCGATGTCCGATCAAGTCGATGCGCTGAAAAAACTCGCAGAAGGTGCAGGTGGCGGTTATTTCCGACGCGCTGTCGAGACCACGGACGCTTCGGTCAACAATGTACGTGTGACCCCAACCACGCCGTTCCCTCGTTCAACTCAACTCTGGATAGATATGCAAACGATACATCGTGCTCTTCCTGTCATTTGTTATGCTGACAGAACAGACCGAGGAAACGATGATATTCTCGAAGTGAGTGGCGAACATCTACGGGAGACCACCCGCTGAAGTTTCTACGTCTACACCAGCTTGCTGCGACTGAGGCAGGAGTTGACCAAGCTGATTGAGACGCACACGGACAAATCCGGTGATGGCCTTGCAACAGCGACCACCCGATCATCAATATTCGAAGACCTACTCCAAGGCCTCAATGTGAGTGCTAACACTCCGCGACGTCCAAGCTTTCTGTGCGTGTACTCAATGGCCATGGACAGCGCGGTTTCCGTTCTGCACCGTCTCACCCGAAAGCGCAGACTGAGATCACTTATTGGCGAGAGAAGGAAGAGGAGGCTCGCAAGCGCATGGACACGATCACTCAACAACGTCACGTCAGGCCAGGCAGATAGAGCGCTATTATGACATCCATTACTGTATCAAAAGAAGGTGGTATACGTTGCTATTGCAAGTGCAAGAGAAAGTGCGGGAGAAAGTGCGAGATGACGTACTGTATTTGTGAATCAAGTCCAACATAAATAATGCAAAGTGTTCGTCCTCCTGTTATCTACTGATGGAGATTCTCATGATTTGTACGGAGGCAGGAGCGATGGTCTATGCAGAGCGAAAGGCATGAGGCATGATCTCATCAAACGACAGCATAGAAGCCTTACCGTGCATCTGGCCTCTGGAGGGCAGGGAAGGATGACTTGAGCAAGCTCGTGCTGCCATTCGCCTTCCCTATGCGAAGTTTGTTGAGGACGTCACGGACTTCGCCTGGGTTGCGGAGAGCCTTTTCAGGCCTCGAACGCACAGGCATGAGTCTGTTCACTCCATTCTCTCCATGGGCAACGGAGGCGTGCTCGAGAGTCGAGACAGACGGTGCTACGTTGACCAGTGCCGGGTTCGACATGCTGCTGCGACCTTCGAGCGCCTCTCGGAGATCGGTGACGCCTACGCCACGTGATGGCCGACTGAGGCTTTGAAGTGACATGTTCTCGATGTGCATCAAGGCTGGCGCGATCTTGGAGCGCGGGGATACGCCATCACCGCGGAGGGCATCATAGGTTGAATGCGGCTCCACGGCTGAAGCATAGACGCGCAACGACTCGTTAAAAATCACAGCCGCGATTAGCTGGTCACTTACAATCCCTGAGAGCATTCTCTGCGGTCCATTGCACGGAAAGTTTGGAGAGAAGAGCCCGGCTGTCTGCGCTGCGGGTTGCCTCCAACACATTTTGGTTGAGGGCTAAAGCTGAAACAGCTACTTGGGCATCCACCCCTTGCCACCTGAACTCCGAGTCGTTGAAAGGAATGATAGGGACTGGTTGTTCCGGAGCTGTAAAAATGCCAGGTTGTTTTGGCGCAGCAGGTGGTAAACTAGACGATGACATGTTCTCAATGGCCTGCAAGACGACGTTAATCAGATTGGCTGCACTCTAGATGCTGATGGCAATGCTACCTTTTCCGCCATGTCGAGGAGCTCGGCACAGCCCCATACCTTTGCTATAACCAACCACACTCTCGCCAACACCTCCCGAATTGCCCGCATACGTCCGACCGTCACAGGTTGTTCAGCTTCCGAAGCTCTCGTGACGGCATCCAATGCCACTAAAAATGGCACACCCGTGAGCAGCCCGCGCACTGGCAGATTCTCATGCACTGCAGTCAACATGGCGAGGATATTGCGATAGTCCGAGCCTGTTGCTGCCGACGAGGTAGCCGCCGAGAGTTGGGATGGTACGTGCCGCAGCATCCGTTGCGCAGCGGACTGCTTGCGGGTCCGGATCTGGATAGAGAGGGAACGCCGTGCGTGCTGTGACTGCGGAGGCGACTCTTGGTTTTCCGAAAGGCCGATAGGTGACTGGGATTCCATTGGAGTGGGGGGCGTGATGTTGACCGTCGGCTGGTCGTCTCCATTGGTCGACCGTGCAGGCGAGGGAGTTGAAGAGCGGACGCCAAGCGTGGATGAAGTTGCAAGGATATACAAGAAGAAATGCAGCGCGTTGAGGAAACGTGTCGACGAATCTCCGTACACCATCGCAAACATATTGGCTCCTTGCCGAACAGGGCCTTCAGCCAGAGGTCGTACGCGCCGGACCCCATCCGTGTCCGTGTACTCGCCTTTGCACGAGATTTCCGTCTGCAGATAAAAGATGAGAGCATTGGCGTACTCCTCGCGAACACTGAAGCTCTCGTCGCATAGGAGATTGAAAGTCTCTTGCCAAAGTTCTGGTGTGACCTTCGTCCGCCGGGATGGCCTAGAAGCAGAATCGCCATGAACAGCGTTGTCCGTACCCTGGCTAGTAGACGGCGATACTGCGGAAGATTTGATCGAATGTTTATCATCTGTGTGCTCTTTCTCCTTTGGTGCGCGTATAAGGCCTACAAGGCCCGATAGCAAAGCTCGTAAGGCCTGATTCCGCCCCCTGTCGTTCGACTCTCCGCGGCCGCCAGTGGCTTCGACCGAGACAAGTCTGCTGACGAGCTCGCTTGCGAGGTCGTAAATCTGATCGGAATAATAAACGTGAGTGCCAACAGAGGCGATACACTCTACCAAAGCCGGAAGGACTGGGTCTTCGGGGTCAATTGAACATCTGCGAAGGACCAGAGTGACCAGGATGGAGATGATATCAGACGTCGAAAGATTGATGAGTGGGGTGGGGGAAGTGAATATAGTTGTCAACATCACCGCCAAGGCGTTGTGCAGAGGGGTAGTCATAGGCACATCTTGATCCTGTTGGAGTCGTTCTACAAGTCTCGTAGGGATTGCATACCGATACTGATACTGCGTCCAATCGGTCGCCTGTCGTGTGATCCAGCGGCAGTGGTCGATACGCTCCCAGCTTTGCCATCTATCTAAGCTTTCGAGGACGGCTTCCATGATGTGCGTTGCTTGAGAGCCATTTGAATGGCCAAAAAGGGACGAAAGGGCACGAAGACAAGTTTGCGAGACATCGGCTGTGGATGGTCCTTTGTCGCCGTCGATGTGGATGTGAATTGATGCTGCTCGTCTTTCGGCGGGCGGACGCGACCGAAATTGCGCCATATATGGAGAATTAGGATTTTCTTTGAGAGCAATAAGCCTGCCAAGTTGATGAGGACGACTTATACACCGACGAGAATGTGAAAAGCAACGGACTCGCTCTCTAGAACCGAGACCTCCAAGTCATGTACGTTGGCCAACAATGCAGGCACTATCGTCGAAACTTGTGATTGAAAGTATGTCGAGCTGTATAAAGCTTCCGAGGTAACAGCTCCACTCAACGCTGCCAAACCTACTAGACGAGTTCTGCATTTACGTGAAGACAAAGAAACAGTCTATAAATGGTCTGTGGCAGCGCACCTATTTTGAAACTCTTTGTCGCTGTTGGTCGAGCTGAAAGTGCTCATATGTGAGAACCTGTTGAGAATGGACATGTAGTCTTTCGTGATATCGTTGTCGACACCGATGAGACGGCCGTCAGTATGAGTGGTCCATGCGGTAAACTGGACATGATGAGAATTCCTCCACCCTCAAAAGGTGGGATGATAGTTACCAAACTCGCAACTTTCGCCGACACTTCCAAATCTGATGAAAGGCCATCGAGGGTCAAGTCAACTGTGGCTAAGAGCGAAGGAGTCAAAAGGGATATGTCGCGACGACATTCGGTTGCCAGTGTCCTCAGAACTGATAGAGAAATAAGGAGTGACCTGCCGTATTACAGGTATAGTGTGATCGATTCATAGATTCGACGATATGTATTCAAATAAACTCACGCTCTGGAGCGAGAATTCCCTCCCTGCGCCTTCCGGCATTCGCCTCTGATCCTCTTCTCCAGTTCGCTGCCTAATTTATGGATTTTTCCTGGAGTATTAGCAGCATAGTATGTCAAACGCGACAACTCTTGAGCATTTGGACGATAATCGGGCCCAGAGGTGATGAGAGCGGCGGAGGGGGGATAACAAGCAGATATTAATTGCACGTGATGAGGAGTGAACGGGAGATGCATCTGAGAGGAGGACGCCAGGACGAGGAAATAAAAGCTGAGACTAAAAGGACGTCGTAGGGTAGAAGGATGTGGTAGAAAGACGTGAATGCGGGTCAGAGCATGTGCTGGGTGGTGTGTGCTGGCGCAGGCCTCCAAGACAGCTGTGGAGAGGAGCGCCCGCGCTGGGTTCACCGTACAGCAACTTGAGCCACGTGCTCCAGATCTCTCCGCCCCCGATGATGATCATGCTTCCTATGTTCGACTGGCGGTGCTGCCACAATTTCAGGAAGATCTTCACTCTGACGCCATGTTATCGTTTCGGTCAGCGACCACTCTCTGCCACTCGGCTTCCCAAGGAGTTCCTCCCCCGTGGCCATCTGCGCACGGATGTTTTTCAGGGGAATATGACTCCAGACTGATATGGTATCAAAATACATCGGAGTGGCAGGTGAGCGAACTACGAAACCTTAAATGCTACACAGTGCTAGTGGCAATGGTGGTTCTACAACAGGTGAGACAATACAAACAGGCTTCCCTAGCGTACAAGGCATTCACTTGCCAAACATATCTATCAAGTCCTTGCATGTCTTGTCCGTAACCATCGAATATTCTCGTTCTTTCAATCTCTTTCCGGCCTTGATGCTATCCAGGACCCATTCCGGCTTGACGACATGTACTTTGACCTTCGATTTTGTGGTGAGCAATCTATGTGTTTTTGATCCGCTGAGCTGCTGTGACGTTAAAATATGTGTGGCACGTGAAGCTGTTTGTCTGCAGGATCATGTCAATTTCAGATTGACAGCGACAAGATATGATGGAAATCCCCGTACAGGACTTCTCCACCGGCCTGTGCGACAATTCTTTTCATCTCGATATCCGTCGTATCTCGTAAGTAGCCGTTGATGTAGACTCGAACATTGCTAAATAGAGCGGAACCTTTGGAGGGAGTCTGATATTCTAGCTTTTGCTTGCGCGATTCAGAATATTGACGAGCAGAGCCTCGGTCATCCGAACGCTGATGTCCAGTGGCAGCAGAGACTACATGATCTATCGATAATTTTCTGATCAGCATTCTAACTCAGGACGGAGCATCTATCAGACCGACCTGAGCGCAGGCCGATGTCTGAATGAGTTATCGGATTGGATTCATCGGAAAGAGTGCTTAGAAGGTGTTTTCTGATGGTTGAAGGCGAGGCATTGTGCAGAGGGTGAGGAACCCTGTTCAATCCGTCGTCAGGGGCCTAGGAGAAAATCGAGTTAGGTGAGGTTGACTACTTCTCTGTTCTCTTCTTATCCTTCCACTGCTCATGACTCCTCTCTTTACCGTTGCTGGCGCCATATGGATTGTATCTATGCTTGATTCGCTTCTCCTTGTTGTCACTAGCACCAGCAACACGCCCACTTGAAGGTTTGATCACGGTCACATATTTCTCCATTAGATAGTATTTAATCCAAGATATCTGAGTCTGGAAGGGTGGAAGGGTGTGGCCGTTATGTTGAAATCAATGTTCACGGAAGCGTCGAAAACGGCAAGTCGCGTCGAAGAAAACGCGTTCTAATGTGCTATCACGTGCGCGACGTGAATAGATAAGATAATGCTTAGATCTTTGGTCTTTGATGCTTAATTTGTCGTCAAGTATCAATTGGGTTGAACCAGATTGAACCTGCATGCGACTCGGTCTTCGGTTTTTCAACACTCTCATTCGTCCCATTATATATAAGCGCCAAGGCGCGATCGAGAGAAACATGTCGACGAGGACGTACCAGGATGCGATAGTTCACCTCAACTCCCTTCAATCCAATGCCGCGACTCTCGAAGCTGTCAGAGCATCTGGTGGACGGCTGAGCGAGTTTGCTATCCCGGAGATGGTAGAGTACTTGCACAGGATAGGCTACGAAGTATGTCCCAATACGAAATCCGCTAAATGACTCTCTTTATCGATTTCACAGCCCGAAGATCTGAACAAGCTGAACATCCTGCATATCACTGGAACCAAGGGCAAAGGATCGACTTGTGCTTTCACTGATTCCATCCTTCGCCATGTGAAGCCAGAGTGGAAGATAGGTAGAAAAGATTTGAGTTTGTCGTAGATATCTACTGCGCTAATCTCGTCAAACAGGCCTATATACATCTCCTCACTTGGTCGCTGTACGAGAACGCATTCGTATTAATGGCGTACCTCTCTCCGAAAGTGATTTCGCTCGATTTTTCTTTGAGGTCTGGGATAGATTGAATGAGAATGACAAGGTTAATATTGCATTTTGTATCAGCTGGCTAACTGAATTTGACCTCACCTGCAGCGAAAGTTTCCGAGTACACCAGCGAAACCGATGTACTTCCGCTACGTAACACTGGTCGCATTCCATGCCTTCCTGAGCCTCAAGGCATGCAGCTCCTCGCCTCTATATGCCTCGTTGATGGTCTGATTCTTGTATACAGGTCAACGCGACAATCTTGGAAGTAGGGGTCGGGGGAGCGTATGATAGTACCAACATCGTCCCACGGCCCGTCGTGACTGGCGTTTCTGCTTTGGGAATTGATCACACGGCCGTGCTGGGAAAGACACTAAAGGAAATTGCATGGCAAAAGGGTGGAATTTACAAGGTACTGATGAGCTTTTGCTGATTTTGCAACACTACTTTATGCATGGGAGATAGGAAGGTGTGCCTGCATTTACGGTGATCCAACCCGATGAAGCCTTGGAGGTTCTCAAGTCTCAAAGTAAGGAACGCAAGGTTTGTTCCTCACTTCTTTGACCTGCCACCTCTCATTGGCTTTGCTTCAGGCGTCTGAATTCACAGTCATACCTTTGAAGTCAGAAATATCGGGTGTCAAACTAGGTAAGGCTACATTGCCTTCAAATGCAACTCAGCTCACACCGGCTCACAGGTTTAGCTGGAGAACATCAAGTTCAAAACGCCAACCTTGCGGTCCATCTAGCGCAAAAGTTTTTGCAGATTCAAGACGGCACTAAACCAGAATCGCCCCTATCGCACTTGTATATCAAGGCTTTGGAAAACGCGAAATGGCCGGGCCGTTGTCAAACCGTTATGGACCCAAAGCACCTCGACACTACTTGGTTCTTAGACGGCGCTCATACCAAGGAGAGCCTCGAGTGCTGTGTAGAATGGTACGTCAGTCCCACAGCAGGACTGAGACCCAAACCAACCGCGTAAGTCATGATCATTCGTTCTGACAAACACTAATCTTCTCATCAGCAGAGGACGGATACGTGTTCTTATCTTCAATTGTACGAACGGTCGCTCTGGATCGTCGTTCTTAGGAACGATGTTGGAGAAGGCTGGAGTTCAGTTGAAGCGCCATGGGTCAGACGAAGAGTCGAGTTGGTTATTCGACCACGTTATCTTTTGTGCGAACGTTACGTATGCTGACGGGGGTTTCAAAGGAGGTACGAGGAGACTCCTCTCCCCCAGCGCCATAGATACTTTACTGACTATACCACCCGCAGACTTGACGACCAATGCGATACCTGAGGCCGATCTCGCCCAACTCAAGACTCAACAAGAGCTAGGTATTGCGTGGATGTCTCTCGTGCCCTCTTTTCCCTCAAAGAACATACATGTTCTTCCTTCGATTGAGCATGCACTCAGAGTAGTGCGTAGTCTCACTATGGAAGCGCAGGGCCCTTCAGCCGTGGATGTCTTGGTGACGGGTAGCCTTCATCTCGTTGGAGGGATGATCGAAGTGGGCGATTTGACGAGCGTTGCGCTGTAATATTTTTTGAGTCAGATTATCTGGGTCCGTGCTCTGGTATCATGCTCGTATTCTTGTATTCACCAGAAGAGCTTATGCCTTCAACAGGCGCTATTTTAGACCATGTAGACCATGAATATTGTATTATTATCACATATTAGATAGCAACTCTAGGGACGTCTCTTGGTCCGGCTGCCCCCAGCTTCCGCTTCATGAAAGTTGATAGACTACCCCGGCCTATTTTAGTTCCTAGATATAGCGGGTCAACAGAGAGATGGTTTACATACTTCTTTATCAAGAAATGACCGGACTTTCACCTTGAGGCCTCGTCGCGAAATGTTAATGATGTCTGCCATCTGCATGAAGATCTCGAACGAAATGGGCTAGCTGAAATGTCAGTATATAGCCAAGGGGAGGAAGATCAGCTGCCTACTTCATACCGCAAAATACGAAGGTAGAGAGCGCTGTCCTCAATGATCATTGCTTTTAACATATCCTGAAAAGTTGCGTCATCCGCGATGGGTTCCTCATTCTTTCCACTGTTCTTCCTTGTGCCCGCGCCTTGCTTGCTACGAGGCTTTTTTTGCACCCGCTGCTCCTGCTCAAGAATCAATTCCTGTAGTACTTGTGGATCGCGAGCGGTACGCCGTGTTTGTGTGAGACCTTGTGCAAGAGGGACCTCTCCGTCTGATTCATCGTCTGCAGGGTCCATAGATCGAGCTTGATCGGATATCAGAGCCTGCGTGTTGTCCGCTCCGGGATCGAAGTGAAGATAGGCATCATCGTTGGTCCATTGGAATTGATCTTCAAACTCGACGTCTAGTACATGGTTTTGAGCCTCTCTCGACTCTTCAGACAAGCCTTCCGGCCATTGTGAGCTCGGGTTCATCGCATGAGTCCGGCGCGGGAGAGAAAGATGGTGATGGCTGAGAACGCTCAAGTTGTCCATCGTCAAATGATGTGCTGGAAATAGTTCTCTTCCGCTTGATGAGGCAAGATGCGACGAGGAAGAGGAGGATATCTGTATGTTATTTTTTTCTTACTCGTGAGGCGAACACAAAATGACCACACGTACATCAATTACAGATTTGTTCCCAGCATCATTGTGGAACGCCGTACCATTAAACATTGTTGCTAGCCTAGATGGAGCGAACGCTTGAGTTGCAGCGGGTGCGTTGTCGTCTTCGTCTTCACTTCGTTTAGACGCCGATCCCAAACTCGAAAACCTGGTCAGGCTTGATCCTTGGGCTAGACCGTTCTCTCCGAACGCCTGAGTTTGAGGCGGTTCACTGTCGATCAAAGGGTGGCGTAAGGCAGCTCCGAGTTTGCTAGGCCCAAAGGCTTGTGTTGCTTGGAGAGGTTGGAGGCTTTGAGGGTTGGTGAACAGCAGGCGCGCTCTGTCCCGAATGGCGTTTGATGTTTGACTGAGGCTCTGGACGGTACTGACAACCTTGGCTCGCTTTTTCCTCTTCTTCGTACCAGCTTCTTCGAGGACGCCCTCGAGATAGGTCTTGGGAGCGAGCTCCACTTCGTCGACAACGTCCTTGGCTTTCCCCTTGCCTTGGGTGTTCTGTGCATTCTCTAATTGTTGAGTAAGAAGAATCTTGAGGGTCGTCTCCGTCAAGCCTTTCTTTTTCGCACAAGATTGTATGTGAATGATCTTTTGTGCGACAGATTTCCTTGTTGTCCATGGGATATCACATGAGACACACTTCCGGAGGCCCGCAAGGTCGAGGCCTGGTACGTTAACATTGAGACGTGGCTTGGTCGTCCGGGGCCGTTTTGATTTTGGGAGAGTTACAGAGTCCAAGTCCGTCATGATAGAATTGGCCAGGGATAGTGCGGGCGAAGAACGAGCAAAATTAGAAGATTGGATGACAGGTGTGTATGCGAAATGTTCTAGTTTGGCTCGAAAATCCTCGGCAGAATCATCGGACGCATCTCCTGAAGTCGGCACCGACGGCGGATTCGCCGAAAGGATATTGTCTGAAGTGGATTGGGAGGTCGGCCTAAGCCTCGGCAGTTCTGCGACGGCCTTGTGCTTGTTCGTATACTTTGGTGACAGACCACAATGGATCGTATCGGCCTCGGTTGACGATGCAAGCACTGACGCTTGCACACCATTCGCTCGTGGCTTTCCACGGATACCAAAAGTCATGTTTTCTGTTTTAGGGGCCAAGGTTTGCGGAGAATGCGGTTTGTAGTCACCGCGAGATGGCCCATCAGAGCTGTCTGCGCAGTGCTTTAATAAAGGAGTCGCAATACCGTGAGGCTGATGCTTACCGCTGAGTTCGATGATCTCGTCATTTTCATACGGTGACACCTTCGATGTCAAACAAGCATCGGGCAAAGAAGTCCCACTGGATTTTCTCTTGGGTGGCCGCCTGTGTTCGTTTTTCCTGATTTTCTGGACTCTGTGTTGTTGTCTGAGAAGTTCTCTCTCTGGTTCTGAATCCTCCACGATATCGTCTTCCGGTACGGAGGGGGCTACGGCAACATTCATTGCCTGAAGAGCAGGGTGATAAGAAACTTTGGTCGTAGGCGATGAAGGTGGGTGATGGACGATGTAGAACAAGCTGCGTGTGAGTCGGGACCAGTTCATGCAATCAAAATGTTGATAACAAATTTTGGTGGCGACTAGTTAGTGTTCAAACGCGTCGACGCGTCGGCGTGTCGCGTTATGTATGCGTATTTACCTGACCTCACCCCTTCACCCTATTCACCACCTTCGTTGTTTCATCGTCTACACCCCATATCATACCATGAGTAGTAAAACAGCACCTCTACAAAATGTATCTTTCCAAGAATTGTACAACGTCGTTTGTGGTGCCGCCTCTCAGAACCCAGCAGAAATGCGAGCCGCCTCCGAGCGCTTGAAGGAGTTGCTCGAAGTATCAGGAACCTGTAATGCTCTTCAGGAGATTGCTCTGCAGAAGACGGCTCCTCTCCAAGTTCGCCAACTGAGCTTAATCCAGTTCAAGAACCTGATCACCAACCGATGGAGGTCTCGAAAGTACGTATCCCTAATGTGTACATTGTCTGCGAGCCAATTCAAGCCCTCTTTATAAAGAATAATTGCTGATGACGAGAGACCAATAATTAAGACTCGTTGTATGAATCTTCTGGAGGAAGAAGATGACTTAGTAAGTACCTTTCTATTGCATTAATCTAAATGCCACTCAACGTGGCCCATCCAAGATATCCGAAGTCAACAAGATATGTGTAGCTACAATCGCTCATAAGGATTATCCAAGACTCTGGCAAGTGATTTGACAGTGATTGTGTATCATTATTGCTGACTGTTGAACTTCTTCAGGCCTTCACTACCCACAGATCTCATTTCCCTGATTAACACCAGGCTAGACATGCGGTATACTTCACCTGTGCACGATCCCCACTCAACACTTGTTCTGCAGAGAACATTGCGCGCTTTTTACGCTGTAATCAAGGAGTTCTCTCAGATGTCATTTGGGAGTCAGGCCGCGACGATGGCCGAGGTTTGTCATTCGTTGCTTGATCTTAGATACCTCTGTCTAACCAAATTTTGGATCGTATAGCTCGTAGAACGGTTCCATGCTACCCTTACAAACTACTACATCAAGCTGTCTGAGAATTTTTCGCTTCTGGACCTGGCTAGTTTGGGCAATGAACGCACCACTGAAGACCTCATGTTCATGCACATCATATTCAAGTGTCTCGCCAATGTCGCAGCTTGGTTGCGGAAATCGTCACAGAAAACTGTGTATGAAAAGTATGAGTTGTGGGTCTGTTGTTTTCACTTATTCGGTCTTGATAGTTTGCCTCACATACCTTCAGTTCTCCCAGTTGTTCCAAACATTCGCTATGCATTTGAAAACTCTATCCGAGCTTCGAAACAATCTCATGCTTGCTATGAGGACCTCTAATGTCCAACTTGATGCTCTGACTATGCGCTCGTTGAGCCTTCTATCGCGTCATATTCTCACCATGGGCAAATTTTTTCGGCGATTGCAACAAATCCATGTCGCGCAATTTGTTGCTCTGCCTTCATGCAACGACCTTGTTTTCTACTACTGGGACAAGGTGGTACAAGCTAATGCATCTCCTAGCCTCATCGACGGTATGGCTATGGGCCTTCGCTTTGATATTCATCTGAATCGCACTAACGAACAATGCAGATTCTCCTGATGCGGTCTATCCTATTCGCTTCCTAGTGCAAGGCATGGTCTTGTTCAAGGATAGTCTTGCACAATGGGTGCCTGTCCGCAAAGATGGGTCTGAGAATGTTACAGGTACGTTCCTGGCTGATTGACTGCTGCGCATAACTTAGTCCCAGTAAATCAAGCTTTGCCAAAAGAGTTCGTGGACCGTGCTGTGACTGTTCTGGTCACGAACTTCATACCCCTCAAGCCGTCTGATTTGGAGGGTTGGATGGCGGATCCGGAAGAATGGGTGAATAGTGAAGAAAAGGAGAACGAACAGTGGGTCTTCCAGATTCGTGTAAGTTTGTCTCGTTCGCTGCAATGTCCGCTAATTCACGCGACCCATCCAGCCGTGTGCCGAAAGGGTGCTTCTTACTTTTGCGAACCAGTACACGCAGTATGTTGCCCCACTCCTGGTTGATGCTTTCAACGCAGTCGTGTGTAAGTCATCTATGGCGTCTGGGCATTTGCACAAGTTCTCAAAGAGATTAAAGCTCGTCCTACCACTACCCTGGAAGACGTCATTCAAAAAGAAGCTGTATACTGCGCCGTAGGACGATGCGCCAATCGATTGAAAGATGGTATCACTTTCAATCAATGGCTAGATGTTGCTTCTAGCGAGGTCAATAGTCCCAACACTGAGTCAGTATTCATCTCAAAACACATACCGTGACTGATCACCCTCTGCTTCATGTTAGCTACTTAATCGTCAAACGGCGCATTGCTTGGTTGATCGGCAAGTGGGTTGGGGACAAGTGTGCATCTCCAAACGATGTACGGATTTGGCAAATTTTGGTGCACTTGTTACAAGACAAAGGTACAGGAACTGAAGTCGTTCGACTTACCGCTGCAGCAGCAGTGCGAGATTGTGTCGATGTAAGCTGCGGTTATCAGTTCTGTCCTCATCTTGTTGGACTTACTGAGGAAACGTTCTCAGGCGCTGGGCTTCGACCCTCAAATGTTTTCCCCATTCCTGGGTCAAACGGCATCTGAAATTTTGCAGCTCATTGGGGAGGCTGAAACATTGGAAAGTAAGCGCAAAGTAGCTGGTTTCTTGACCACAATCATCGAGCGAGCTGGCAAAACGGTGGGCCTTCTTCGATTCGAGCCTGCCGTTTGTTATCTGAAAACATCATATTTTAAACCATATCCCCTAGATAATACCTGTTGTTGGCATTATCACTTCACCCCTACCTCAACTTTGTGCGCTTTTCCGCTACACGCAGACCTCACGTCTTGCTAAAACTTTCCAGGGAATACAAATGGGGAGGATTATCTGTTTAAAGGCTCAATTATGAGGGTTGTGGCGCAGCTTGTGTCGGTCAGTCTTCTCTTTCATCTGTGATCTATGAACAACCTGACCTTCTGATGCAGTCTGCGAAAGAAGATTCTGCTTCGTTATCTGTAATCGTTGTCCCTCTTCTTCGCGAGTCGCTGTCGCCTAGCGTAAGTCCAGAGCGCCACGCATGTCGTATCTCTCGTACTCAGCGATATCATAGCTTATCTCTCACCTTGACGAGGATGCTCTTTCCCTTTGGTCGACCGCACTGAGGAATACAAACACTATCGAGGGTATCAATGGTGGTCCTGGTTTGATCGATCTCGTCCCACTCGCCATATCTTTGTTGGCTGGCAATCTAGATCTTCTCGGAAAGATCACAACAATTCTAGAAAGTTATTATTTACTTGGTGCAGGTCAAGTCGTGCAGGTAAATTCCATCACACTCGATATCCTGCCAAGCTGATGTCCCCTTGACTTCAGAGACACGCTGCGGACCTCTTCACAGCATATCGTACGGCGATGGACCAGGCGCCCATAATGAATATCAAATGTTTAGCTGTGTCTCTTATTCTCCTCTTCCAAATGGCGCCTCCAGCCACGTACGCCGAGGCATTGCATACATCTGGGTTGTTCTCAAAATTCATGACAGCTATCGTGGAAGACGATGTGAGCTTGTCTCTTTTGTGGGTGTACTTTCAGATGACTTGAGTTTGTCTTCACAGTCGGATGCACTCATCCTCACGCATTATATCACACTTATGGCGCGCATCGCCATCGCAGACCAACAGATGTTTCTTACGCTTATGGCTGCAACAGCGACGTTGCGAAACACAGAGGAAACTGTCCTCTGGGAGGGCTTGCTGGACCAATGGTGGCGAAGGGTAAGTGTACAAAACTGGCTTCAGTGCAGCAGGACTTTGAACGATCATGTCAGTTCGATAATATGTATGAGCCCCGCACACGCAAGCTTTCCGCAATGGGTATCGCGTCACTGGTTTCTACTGGGCGGCGTGAAGTCCTAGAGAGATTGCACAGCGAGATATTCAATCTCTGGATGGACGTTCTAGGAGAAGTGAAGGAGACGCTGGAAAAGAAGCAAGAGGAATCGCTAAACGGTCAAACGTATGTTCTTATTCAACCGCGTTTCTTTTACAACGCGCTGATCCTTTCTCGTAGGACAATACTTACCCTATACTGGGATCAACCACCCCCGTCCTTCTATAGCAACACTGAAGATACCCCAGAATTCGATCGTCGCAAAGCGGTGAGTGGTAGCTCAAAATATCCATCTGGGGAGCGCTTATTCTGTGACAGTCCTATGACAATGACCCTGTGCGCACCACGCCTTTGGCAGGGTTTCTTGCTGCTCGTTTGCAGCAAGCGGAGGCGGCTTGTGGCGGGCCACAAGTTATGCAAACAGAATATCTTGCGAAAGCCGACCCAATTGTTGTCAAGTCGATTACGGAAGAAGTTTTCGGCAGGCAATAGAGTCGATTGCTAGTTTGGTATACAATAACCTGCGATACTGTCTTGGTATTATGAGCATTTTGATCGTCTATCTACCGCTGAAGAAATGCACGCATGTTCGCAAATAAACGTGGCCAGATGTCAAGCTTCAAGTTGAACGGTATTTATCGTCAGAGAACATCATGTCTTAGTCCGAGTCGTCGCTCCCACTGACCCAACTGCGACTTCCAATGCTCGTCCCCATCCCGCTAACGCCACTCACACTACTCCCTAATTCGTCGAAATAATCACTCCCATATTCCTCAACACTGCCCTCGCCCTCCTCTCCACTTGTCGAGTATCCAGCGTTATCTCCTATTTGCAAACGTTCTGCTCCTTGTACTGGCTCAGCGCACCGAAGACATTCCCATGGTCCTCTGCCCTCATCTGCCGCATAGACCATCCTGTCAGCGATGCAAACGTAGCAATATGTATGCCCACAAGACGCTCGATACGGAGTATTCAGTGGGTGTGTTGAGGGCTCTTGGACACCTTCTGGTGCAGAAGAGGTGGCGGGCGTATATGTGGAGTGTGATGCGGATGCAAAAGCGCCAACTTGCGCGATCGCATTTGCGGGGTCCGCAAGGTCCAGATTTAAGGCGGCATTCTCGGTGCAGACAGCACACTCGCTCTCGGGGAGGTTCCAGTATTTGCCGCGCTTTGGGGAGGACCGATGACTTGGGTCGACATCGGGAACAGTTGCCAACCCAAGCAAGGCGGTAGCTCTCTTAGGTAATACATTTGGCAAGGTGGTCAAGGGATGAGCGATAGCGGTGAGTGTGGTATTGAGAGCACGGCGAAGTGCTCGATGAGGGAGTATTGGAAGTAAGAAGATCAGGAATTCCTATTGAGAAGAAAACCGTGAACAACATGAACGATAAAATATGCAACAATAATCTCACAGTGAAAGCATGCCAGACCATCTGACGGTTCATAAACTCATAACTGACGTCTCTTTTGACAAGACGTCGTGCAGGGACAAGGCGCATGCCTAGCAGCCGATCGACAATAGTTCGGTATCTTGAACACGCCATAAGTTAGCTGTATAAACCGACATGCAAGGGTAGACGACCTACTTTCCGTCCCACAGAAATGCGAGAAAGCTCGAAAGCGCCAAAATTGCATGTGTGGTCTCCAGTTTTGTCAGGACCTCCCATGCCTTCCTCCTCTTATCAGAGCTGGGGGCATCTGGCCACGCCCGAGAGAGGGCATGTCCACGGATACGAGTATGCAAATAAGGCACAAGGATAGTGAGAGTGCCGTGGACGAAGAGGATCCTACGAGGAAGGCCAGATGCTAGATGTCGGTCCCCTCTAGATCAGTCAGACAAGCATCTTGTTGATGACGCGACTCACATGTCAGGGAATAAGAGGTTGACCGAGGTGCTCTGTATGTGAGGTCCTGTAGTTTAGCACCATATGACGCTCCAGTATTCCATACCGAGAGCTTGTAAAGTGTGAGTTGAATAAGAAGAGACAACTCGGGCTCAAAGCGGGATCTGAGCGTTGTCTACGTGGCTTGAGAACGTTTCAGATGAGGGTAAGGCATGACACAGGACATACGTGAATCAGAGCTAAAGCCTTATTGACTGGTTCCAGCAGTATGTGGACTAGCTCCTGGTCAAGAAGTTCTGCGTCCAGCTGACCCACGCGTAGAATTCGTGGAGGAATCGCACTGGACGGAAGCGAATCTCTCAAGGACGACAGACGAGGCTGGGCTTGGTCCCATGCTTGCTGCCATGGAGTTCGATGGCTCATAAAGACAACTGATTCAACAAAATCGAGTGCAACAGTGTCTGCGGCACTGTGTAGCACAGTGACCTCGACCACTATCACGTGTAAAGAATCCGGGACTGCACCGAGATTTTCAATCCTTAGATCAACCTGCCGAGGCTTGTCTTTCAGATCTTGCAGCTTCAGATCTTTAGCTTCAGAGGCCAAGGGCATCATTCATTCAGCAGACCATGAATCTCGCATGCATCATGCCCAGCATCACAAATCTAGACGTTGATTTGCGTGCAATAAGATAACACTTCCAGGGCGACATCACAAAGTCCCCATCCTAAGGATGTCGAATCGAGGATCAAGAGGAATGAGGATAGCATACGACGAGCATGGTGATACATGGCATGGGGACCCGTCTCCGCAGACAACATGATGAATAAGACAGTGAGCGACCGGATGCATTTTAGTGGGCAGTTCTCCTGCTCTCTTGAATGATGTTGCCGAGCTCCTCAAGCTTGCGCTTCGAGCGCAAGAGCGTTCCAAGCTGCAAATAAGATAGATGAGAATCAGCATAAACCCACAAGCAACGGGATATTTAAGTCATAGAAATGACACCAACCCGCTTCTTCGTCAGCTTGCGAGCCTTCTTGTCCTGCGATAGATCAAGTGTGAGCCTCGGTGGATCACTTTCGAAAGGATAAGCTACCCACCTTCGAGTTACGGAGCAACTCCATCACCCGACGCTCATATGGGGAGAATCCGACGACTTCCCGGACGACAGACCGCACAAACTTTGTGCGGGTCGACTGGATGCCCTTGCGCTGGGATGGGCGGACGGTTTTAGGGATAGCAGTCGTGGGGTGGCCGTGGGCGAGACCGCGACGGGTGTCTGCACGATAGAAGTCGCATTTCCGTTGGTCATGACCCTTCCAACATACTGAAACTACGCACCGTTTCTGACCATTTCTTCTTGAAGCTTTGAGGAGGACGGCGTTGATTTCGTTGGCGGCTTCGCTAATACCGTCACGCGTGACCGCATGAGCTGTGGCTTGGACCTATACAGTTCAAGGCTCTCATTCTCACGCTACGAAAGCACATTCTATAAATGGATGGATCCCAGATCTCCGACCCCATGTATGCGAGTGCACGACGTGGGTATAAGTATTCATGGCTACATAATCCATTGATGAGGCGTGCACATGAGATACTGAGATATGAGACAGCTTGGGTGCGAATGAGATGGTGAAGAACAGATGAACAATCAGCCAGCAACGGATACCTCTACATCCAGCCCTTCTATATCCCTTGTTGTAGAAAGGAGAAAAAATATAATAATGAACAAACACAAGGGTTTTGTTACTCGCCAGTAGTAAAAGAGCACATCAAACAGAGACCATAGGCCGTTGGACGCTTTGACGTACCACCTTCACTCTCGACCCTGACTTCAAGGAGGGTAGTGAGGCAGCTGTCGCACGAACAATGCTGTCGCTTGTGGGAGCTGACAGTCGGAGAGTGGTAGTCGGTGGAGAGGTCTTGGGAATCGATTCTGGAGGGTGCCGTCGGGAGCCTGTGGGAGCATTACCAGCCTCCTCCTCTTCTTCTTCTTCTTCCTCTTCGTCGTCATCTTCCCCCGCGACATGGTCCTGAAGATAGATGAGATGTTGGGTTCTCAGAGTATATGCTTTTATCAAGGAAGAACTCACTGGATCGAAATCTTCCATGCGCCGATCCTGTGCATGCTCCTCTTCCTCATCTTCGTACTGATCGTCATCATCATCGATCCATCGTCCTCTCCAATCCACATCGTCCAATTGTTCAGGTGATTCGGGTCGCAACCTCATCCACTGCATTCGCGGCCCATTCTTTGCCCTCTCGCTGACACGGAATCCGTAAATCTTGGCCGTGTACACCTTCCCTGCGGCACGCCTTTGTCCACCATTGCCATTCGGATTTACGAAAGGCGGAGCCTGCGAGGAGTTGTTGGTAGAGCTTTGTGGAGAACGACCAGGAGAGATCGAGCCTAAACTCAAAGAAGGTTTCCAGAATGGTGCAGGCATGAGGTCACGGTAGCTTTGGAAGAAGAGATGCGCAAATGTTGTCCCAAAGAACGCGCCTAATGACCAAAGGTGTAAGTCACGTTGGCCCGGGCTAATGAACGCGGTAAACACACCATCAACTCCCTGGAATCGGCTGCTCGGTGGAATATAGATATCGTTACAATTTGGACAGTACAACTTGACGGTGTCTAGTCCGGGTTGATTCGATCGTCCGCACGGCACGACGTTACATCCCATGCAATACACGCGTGGACACGACCCGAATATCCCGGTCTCGTACTTCTCCGCCTGCTCATAGCATGCTTACGGTTTGCTGAGCAATAGAAGTGATGACAAGCGTACCATTGCTTGGAGCCCCGCTCGCGTGAGTATGAAACGCTGATGTACCAAACCGTAAAGCAACTCAGCGGAAGCTTCGACGATAGATACATCTGGTATCTTGGTCGAATCCTCATCTGACAGGTCAAAATCAGGTAAACGGATAGCTTAGGCCCAGCTGAATGTACCTCAGATGATAGAACGGAACGCACCAGGCTCGACGTCCAGCACCATCTCCATTGCCTCCTTCCAAAATGGCACCATCGTACTGAGCCCCGTCAGATTAAAGTCATCTTCGATGAAGTCTTCGGCCACCTCGCAAAAGTAATCATGCCCAGGCAATGAGCAAAACCAACAGATCCACGAAAGTGTTGAAGTAGGTGTCGATGATGCTGAACGTGAGTCCATGGTTCGATAACAAACGGGCAAAAAGCAAATAAACGCCCAAAGTAATGTGATGGAGCAAATCAAGGGTAACAACAAGTCCTCGTGTTAGTAACGGACAGGATCTCGCCGAAATAAGTATTTAAGTACGCACTGTATCCTTCCTGGTCTTCTACCTCCTCCATGAGCTCGTCGCCTTCACCAGTTACAGAAACATGCTCTTCATCTAGCATGACCGATTGACTGGTGTCCATTGGCTGCGATTGCGCCCGACGAGACATGAGAATTGGCCAAACCGACCGAGGTTGACGGTATGCAATTGGTCTTTGCTTTTTATACTCCGCACCCCGCCTCGCCGTCCCGATCAAACGAGAGATTAGATGTAATCTGTAGATAGATGTAAGAAACTGTGATCTAAGTCACTCGAAACACTAGTCTCTAGAGAATATCACTGCGGGCGAGGGATGCACGAGGTACAAGGCTATATCTACCTTGATTCTTTCGGCGTACCGATATGTAGGAGTTCCAACGCTAGAACTCATATATAAGGGGGCAATATTATATTGGGTTCTCATTCAGGTCGACTGTATTTCGCACAACATAACGAGATAACATGCTACAGAGTCACTGAGGGCTGTGATATGATGATATAATAATATCTAGGTCATCTCTCTACGCGAACTGGCAACTACCTTGTTCACTGACATTTCCTGCCCAGAAGGAAGGGCCCATGATCACCAGCATGAGCAACTGTCCAGTTATCAAGCTCACGGCAACATATGTCCATGCCTTTCGCTTCTTCAACGCATACACCTCTGCTGCAAACGTGCTCACCGTCGTGAGACAGCCGCAATACCCGTCCGCCAAGCCCTGAAGCACAGCGCACGCGTTTGGTGAAACGGGATCGGGAAGACCCTGTAATACATGAAACATGGCGAGAAGCCCTGTGCCGAAAGCGTTAGCTGCCAAGGTCCCCATAGGTAGTAACTTGAATCGAGGGTTTAGACTGATCGATAGGAAATATCTCGTCAATGTTCCTGGAAACGAGAAGAGTAAGGCGGCGGTCGCCTTGTGTCGAAAAGAATCAGGCAACTGGAAGTAGGCGGGGTATGTGGCGAAGTATATCAGAACCGAGAGGGCTGTCACGCCATAGCGGATAGTTCGTGACGGGGGGCGAACGGATGGGATACGGGGTGCAATAAGAGAGGCCAGATGGATGCCGAAATTTAAGGAGGCGAGGGATATTGAAAGCGTGAAGAACAGTTTGGTTGAACCGTCAGTCACCTACCGGGTGGTCAGTCAGGTCAACACTGAGACCATATATACATACGTCTCGTAGCCAGTCGCGGTGGTCATGCTTTTCATTAATCCAAGAATTAAAGACATCGAGTTGCCAGCCGGAAAATGTTGTGAATGACCCGCAGAAACCTACCGTGGATATCAATTGAGCGTAGCAAACGGAATGTGAATGAAAGGGTGTACCTGTGGTCAAAGCGGTGTATAGGGGGCCATAGCTACCAGAAAAATGTGAGTTCAGATTTTAGCTAAAGAAACCTTTTGGAAGGCTTACAAGTTTCCTAACGGCTCTTTTACGCTTAAACCGATGCCCATGATGAGACACCCAATGGCCTGGATATAAGCGAGCGAAAATATGCTCTGTCCATCATAGGTAACGAGGGCCTGAAGACCGAGTCGTGCAAGCGCGCCAAAGACGGAAGCGGGCATTAGGAGCGCTAGCACGGCTGGCGATAAAGGATGATAGACTTTTGCGGGAGGAAGCTTCTCAACGATGCTAGGAGGCCGACCAATGCTCGCAAGAGATGTAGCATCATCAACGGGCTCCTGGTGTCCGATAGCGGATCCTACATCGGTGGGTCGGTGAGTGAGAGAAGGGCGTGTGGGGAACTCTTCTGGTTTCGCGGCCAAGCTAGCCTCTGTGGGTGTGGACTCGCTGGTGGTGTTTCTGATAGAAAACGGGAAACGGGAAGAGCCCTTCTCGAGCGACGATAGATCGTTCACCATGACAAGTGCAGCCACAAGGCTGAAGCCTGAGGACGGTCTAGCAACTGCTAGCAGGCAAACGGTATAAGAAAGGGCCAGGAGTCATTTGAGTCCGGACCAAATTATAGGTCCGGACGCTCCATGCTATGCTATTACTATCACTCCCCCGGAGTTGTAAATGGGACGTGAGGATCACATTCCGTTTTTTGAAAGCAACACAAATCTGCGTGCTGAAAAAATATTCATGGGTGCTCTCATAGGCCACCATTAGGTGCATAAATTTTTTGAGAAAGAAAAATATGTGCAAAGGCGCAAAAATGCTAAGATACTGGTGTGGAGGAGGAATTTTCTAAGAGATGCTCAATATGTTTCAGATTCTGGTGTATGACTATCAATCAAGAAAATACTGAGCCATAAGAAAGTCCCTAGGATAGCTATCAGAGTATTTTTGATTTCCTTTGAAGTGTTTCACATCCCACAGCAAAATATTTGCGACAAGCAGAGGAAAGAGTGACAGGAAGCTCAGGCCGCGTGATGATTGGTCATACTTTTGTTCAACTCCGCTGCGCGTTCCTTGGAGTCGCAACTGCGGGGTCCAATTATGAACGTGACAGCGTGTGACCTGATGGTCGGAAAAGTTGCAACTCCCTGTTTTTACCTATGTTCAGACACCCCTTTTCATTTGTGCCTCAGCATCTCTTTCTCTCATTTGAAAAATAGGAAAAAATAATATGCTACATTTCAAAAAGCTCTAGTAGGTATGTGCCAAGATTGGAGGGGAAAAACGCTGATCTGAAGTCGCTATGAAGGAAACAAAAAAGTTTTGCAGCTCCGGGGGAGTGATAGTAATTGTATCTGGATGAAATGGGCCCAAAAAGTCTATTGCGGTCTAGTTTTTCCGCAGATTTGATAGACACGTCACAGATCCTCCTGGCACCCACGCCTCGAAGGTCCCTCATAGCTTCATCATTTCGCTCACAACTTAGGGGAAAGATTTGCTCTTGGACGATTCAGGACGATGGCAGCCACCAAAACGACGGCTCGGAGCCTCACTAAAGACTTGCAGCCCATGACGCAGAGGTTTGACCTCGCATGCCACGCGGCTTTGTCATTATGCTAATGGGCGCTGGAATCGGCACTAACAAGCTGAATGACAATATAAGTAATGAACGTTCGCAGCATCCCAATTCCCCGGTCGCAAGATGTCCTGTGTTCGCCTCCTTGCATTGCATGACGTGAATAACTCTGCCTTTGATCCGGGTCCTCTCGCTTCCTAGGAATCGCGGTCTGTACACTGCCTCTCACTGTTATCTCGTATACCTCGGACTTGAACATCAGGTAAGACTTCGACACTCATTCTAGCATAGCTACTCTTCTCGTGCACGGTCATCTCGGGCCATCGGATTCTCTAGAAAAAATCGATAAACGAGCTGTCGGGACCGCGTGGACTCGCCTTCCGACCAGGCTATTATTAGCTATCTTTTGGTCTAATTCTAGGCGTCCTATCTACTCGCGGCTGCGACTCTCGAAGTGAAGTGTTCGTACGCAATTACAGGGTATGCGAAGGCAAGGTGAGTCTCCCTGAGCTTCCCGGTTTGACAGCATGGTACGTTCATTAATTGGCTTTTCGCCCATCCAGTTTGGAAAGTCACCATTCCGACTTGGGTTAATTGTAGCGCAGCATCGTTGGAGATGGTCGCAGATCCTTGATCCGTGCGGTATGCATGCTGCCCAATAACACACACAAAGTGTCAGCTGGGTACAACGTCCGCCCAGTATGTTGATTTTGTATTCTTATGAGGAAAGCAGTAAGTCAACGCTAGACTGATCAGGTAAAGCAGGCGATTTCACCACTCGATTGGCATCCGCAGGTTTGTCCTCAGCTTTGCACGAGTTACATGTCATCATAGTAATAACAACAAAGTAGCCCTTGTACTACTTGACAGACTGGCTTCCCTGTAGGGCGTGTCGGTGTGCCGTCGGGCCAGAGACAGGAATGCCATGATTCTGGTAGTTTAATTTACTCCATGACTTGAACCGTAGTACGAGGATCTCCCATGACCTGGTCGAATGCACCACCTGTGAGTGTGAACCGAGTGGAGAGACCGGCCGCAGGTGTTGATTGTGCGTCGGTGATATCACCGACGGACTCAGGTGCAACTTCTTCTCGGACGCAGGTGGGTCCATGATCAACACAGTTGCTAGACACTATACTTGTCGCCCACATTGTGACTGGTCATTCGGCCGGGGGTAGGTATCGAGTGCACGTCAGCCCCTGAGAAGAGAGATCTCTAACCGCATCTCCGTTATACGTACCTAGAGCCCTTCCAGGTCGTGGAATGAGGGAATAAATGGCATCATGCATTCGCATCAAGACTGCGGACAAGCAGATCATTCGGCAGCGCATATAATTCGAGTCAGTGTATGTACAGGAATTCCCACACTGTCAGCACAGGCATGCGGGCAGGCGAAAAAACAGTAGGTACGTCTGTCGAGAAGAAGCGAAGCTCATACTCGAACTGGACAAAATGATCCACGATTACAAGCATTATATCCTCCCATCGGTCTTGGCCCCCGCCATTAGGTAGCACAATGTGGAAAGTAAAAAGGCTGCCTTGGTTTTACGATGGGCCGTGGTTGTAAGAATTGAAAAAATTAAAATGGAGACGAAGACGAGAACATAAACGGGTATTTAGGGCAGGCCGGGATCGATGTCCCTGCCACGATGGTGCCACTTCGAATTCGACGACCAAAGCGAGACCGCGGTTGTGGTCATGGTACGTGAAGCTTGTGAAGTGCGTCTACATTTACTATCAGTCTCGATCGAGAGCAGAAGCCAACGATCTTCCGCCAGCTGAGGAGAAGCCAATCTAAGGCCGAGTCGACCCTAATAGTCGACCTTGCATCTCGCCGGGATCCATGCCTGATCCCCGTTTGACAGCTGTGCTGACAAGCAGGAGTTTCGTCGCCCTTGACAAGCTGATAAAAGCTACAATCAGAAGCTGGCGTGATCATCTCGCTCACACGTAGACACAGCACAGGTCTCCGTTCCTGCCTGGCCCACAGTCAGTTCGCTCGCTCGTTTCATAGCTGGTCGGACGCGTCACCTCCGCCGTCTGCTTAAAGCCGTCGTGCCTTTTGGCTCTAGCGACCCACGCCAGAGCGCCCCCATGTCCGACCGACGCTCTGCAATCCCCGCGTTTTACTATGCCGTCTTCGGCGTCTACGAGCCCATCCTCACTTGGATGGGGCTGCTGGGCACTCTGCTCGACCCCGAAAAAGTGAGTGTCAGACTGACGCTCTGCGGATTGCCACGGAATTGACCTTCATCGACGACGCAGACTCACAACCTGCAGGCGCCTTGGCCGCGATTGTCGCCGCCACCTACGCAGCTGCCGCTCGCTTCTATCGTGACCGTCGTCCAACTCGCCCACGTTTGTGCCCTTCTCGGCACCGTAAACTTCTTCCTCCTCTCCACCGCGCGACGCCACCTCTTCGCGCAGCCCGCGCTTCAAGAAAAGGTCATCAGCTCTCTGCTCACGCCCCTCCTCGCTGGCGACATCCTCCATATCGGTCTCACGATGTGGGCTTTGGGTGACAGTCGGTGGCATTTTTCAGAATGGAGCGGGACGCTGTGGACGACGATGATCCTCGGCTTGACCCTACTGGTCCCGCGAATCGCTTGGCATATGGGCGTGGGCCGTTACGTGGACAAGAGGGATGGGAAGGTCTTCGGCTGACCATCACCGGGTGGTGGTCCCCCGCGGCGCCATGCGCTGCTCCAGTTTAGTCTGTTTCAGTCAGTGTTTTTTTTGCTTGGATCCAAACTTGGAATGGACTTCATAGACCCACTCTACAATTGCAGAGTAGATGTCGCGATGTACCTTACAAGCATCTCATCTCATCTCATCTCATCTCATCCAACATGCTACACAAGGGTACACATGTCGCATACACGGACACAGGGATAGCACATCGGACTTCTTGTCTTTCTTGGGTTGGCGATGTACTGCATTAGATAATATCAGGATTATAGTGTGAGCTGAGGCTAACATGCGGTCGGAATCAATGAGCCAATGCGAGGTGGATTCTGTGGCAAGAGATGCGGGATGTCAGTTCACGGACGGATACCACAAGGAGAAGCGATGTGAAAATGGTCATATTAGATCAAGAAAAGGCTCAACGGGCGCCCACCGCACAGAACGCGGGGCTCCCTCGTCCACTTGTTTTAATCACCCCGAATCACGATGGCATGAGACTCACTCAGGACCCGAAAACAATCATATGACATTGCGCGATGGCCGCCCGTCTCATTTATCGTGTTTTCCTCCGGACGTTGACAGAAGGGGGCGGATCGTCCGGCTTGGCCTCCGACGCGCGCTGCCGTTGCGCACTCGCCCTGTGCCTCTCCCACCAATCAAACACCCACGACTGGAGCAGCCCAAACGTCGCGGAGGAGACCCAGTACAGCATAACGCCCTGGCAACATTTTTCCCGTCAACATTCCACCCATCGACCATCAGAGAGACAGAGAGAACGCAGCCACTGACCCCGGGGACCACGAGCCCGACCAGGATACGGCCCACGGACAGCACCCGCAGCGCGGACTGCACGATCTTCTGCGGCTCCAGGACGATTTGCCCTTGCGCCTTCTTCTCCGCGTTGGCCTTCTCCTGCTCGGCCCGGCGCTCGCGCGTGGCGGCGTCGACGAACCAGTGCGAGGACTCGACGTTCGCGAGCGTGATGAGGCCGAGCGCGATGGGCAGCGCCGCGGTCGGGTCGGCGTGCGCGAGCGACGTGAGCGTGAGGAACGACTCCGAGTCGAACACGGTCGGCGGCTGTGCGGTGTGCGAGAGCATCATGGACGTCCCGACGAAGATCGGGAGCTGCGTGATGGGCGGGATCAGCATCGTGGCCTTGGGTCCGCACCGGTGCAGGGAGAACAGCTCGTTCCGCCGACGGGTGAGCTGCGGCACGGTGCGTCCGACAAGCCAGCCAGCCAGTCAGTCAGTCAGTGAGCGCGGGCGACACGCACGGCGAGAGAGGCACTCAACCGCTTTCCGCAGGCGCTTTTGGTAGGTATCCCGCAGTTCGTCTTTTGTCCCGCGCACTTTATCCTTCCTCATCTCGAGCATGACGCGCTGCTGTACCCCGGGCTTGTCCTGCAGGAGCTGCGGGATGACATGGGTCTCCACTCTCCACTGCCGCTTTTTTGCCTGATCAGGAGGGCCTTGTCTGCATGACATTTTATGGCACTTGTAAACCATGAGAAGCACGCACCCAAACAGAGAAAGGGACAGTCAACACCAGGCGAGTGACGATGGTCACCAAGATGATCGTGGTCGAGTAGGGAGGGAACGACGCTGGAAGAGGGAGCGCCTGCGCCAAGTCTAGGAAGCCCTCTGAGAGGGTTTGCATCATGGACCCGACATTTCTCTTGTGCACGCGCGATGCGACGGGTAGCCGTCGAGGGAAATGGAGTAGAACGTTGGCGCGAGCATTCCTTGCCACGAACATCGAGTTTGCGGTCAATCGGCCGCCACCATTGTGGAGTCGGAAACCAAAAAGCAATTTACGTGATACGGCTCGCGCCTTCACTCCAGCAAGCCACCGATAGCGTTGGGTGAACGTCCTGGTTCATACAATTACAAAGGGCTCACGTCGGAGAGGCAGATGGAGATTGCGTGAAAAGAAAAGAAAAAAACATGGGTACGACAAGCATATCATATCTCCTAGTGACCGTGCGCCCAAAGAACACCCTCCTACTCCTCATAACGCCATACATACGCTCGCATCGCCGCTCAGAAGTTGAGCTGGTGAGGGAACTGACCCTTGGAGAGTCCCCAGCTCGCCTTCAGGTACTTGGCCAAGTTCTCCGTTTTCTTGATAGACTCAATGATCGCCTTGTCAACCTCCTTCTGGTCGGCCGACTTGGCTTCGGGGAACGCCTCCTTCTCTTTGGGCTTGCCCTCCGAGAAGAACTCCTCCTCTGCGGAGGTCGACGCCTTCTTCGCGGCCTTGGCGAAGTAAGCGTCGTTAAACTTGTCGTCGACCTGGAGCACGAAGTTTGAGCACGCGAAATCAAAAGTCCCAAATCGCGCCGCAAACGCACCTTCAAGTCGCCGAGGTCAAGTTTTGTGGACGTCGCGATGACATAGGCCTGGTTCACCCGACGGAGGGGTACACCGTTGACCTTGAAAGGACCTGTGACCAACAACAGCCCGCTCTCCAGCTGCTTCAAGAACACGACGCGCTTCCCCCGGAAGCGACCTGCCAGCAAGATCAACACGGTGCCGCGGGAGATGGAGGAGCGGAGGGATGTGGGCTTCGCGGTCTTGCGGCTCTTCTTGGGCAGGCGCACGTCCTCGGCGGGGTAGAAGCGGGGGGCTTTCGAGGTGGGGACGAGGCGCGTGGAGCCGTTCTTGTCGCCGCCGACCTGCACCTCTTTAGTTGGCGCAGTCTCGGCGGCGGCGGGCGCGTCGGTTTTTTTCTGGCCCTTGTAGAGTGCGCGGCGGGCGAAGACTTGCGAGCGGGACAAGCGTCCGACGCTGGGAACAATCTCCTTGCTGCGGGCCATCTGGGGGGGCGCAAAGGCGTCAGCACGGACCGAAACGAGATCTCACTTGCTTGCACTGGGCGGGTCCCCCAGATGCCTGCGCGCGCGAGTCCATCCGTCCAGCCGTCGACCCATCCATCCTAATTGCGCCGACCAATTTCCGCCGCGAAAGCACCTCCGCACGTCTGGGGACTCCTGGGACACGCTGGGGCATGGATACGGCGGGAAAGGGTGCTCACAATCGTAGATCTTGAGGTTGCTGTGAGGGACGTCTATACGCTTACAGAGTTCGTTAGGGACGCCGGGCGGAGTTCGGTCTGCCCATCGTGAGACTTTATTTCCATATACGGATACGCGGACTGACTCTCGCAGGCCGGATTCTCGAGAGCTGATGCGGAGCCGACGCTTGCTTTATACCACCATCGCGCTGCGAATACCTATCTCTTTCGTTGACCAAGATGACTGCGGACCAGACACAAGGTAGCGCCGACTCCACGCGCCTCCAAAGCAGACAGCTCACCCCGACAGATGACCGGCTCATTGTTTTCTTTGACATCGACAACACGCTCTACTCTGCGAGCTCCAAGATCTCGGAGGCGATGGGCACGCGCATCCACGGTGCGTCTCCCATCCCCACCATCTGAACCTGTGTATACCGAGCGATGCGCCCACAGCGTACTTCCTCACCCTCGGCCTCTCCGACGAAGAAGCCTCCGACCTGCACCACAAATACTACTCGCAGTACGGCCTCGCGCTGCGCGGCCTCACGCGCCATCACAACGTAGGTGAAGCCGCTTTCCCTACCTCCTTCTCCTCCTTTCGCCCGTCGCCCTGCCTGCTTCGCGCCCCGACTCACCGCGGCCACGCTCCGCACAGATCCATTAGACTTTGACCAGAAATGCGACGGGTCGCTCCCGCTCGAGGAGATGATCAAGCCCGACCCGGCGCTGCGCCAGCTCTTCCTGGACATCGACCGCTCGAAGGTGCGCGTCTGGGCGCTCACGAACGCGTACCGCACGGTGAGAGTCCCTCCGTCCCCGCGCCCCTGCGCCCCGTACTGCGCGTCTTACATTTCGCACGGCGGTGAATGCAGCACGCGCAGCGCGTCCTTCGCATACTGCACCTCGAGGACCTGATCGACGGGCTGATATTCTGCGACTACGCCGAGCCCAACTTCGTGTGCAAGCCCGAGCCGGAATACTACCACCAGGTCCGTCTCCGTCTCCGTCTCCGCCTCCCACTCCCCATCTAACCGCGCCTCACCGCGCCTGCGCAGGCGCTGAAAAAAGCAAACGTCAGAGACCCCGCGCGGTGCCTCTTCATCGACGACAGCCTCACGAACGTCAAGGCCGCCGCGCGCCTCGGGTGGGGCCGCTGCGTGCACTTCTGCGAGACGGGCCTCGAGGCGATGGAGGGCGGGCGCATGAAGCGCATCGGCGGCGGCGACCTGCAGAGCGCGCCGGACCCCGCGCTCGAGGACCGGATCGAGGCCGTGAGCGAGCTGAGGCAGCTGCGCGACGTGTGGGCAGACATCTTCGCGAAGTAGGCTGGGGAACGCGTCGAGATCTGGCGTGACCGCGCGGAATTGCGGAGGGATGCGCGAACGAGGAAGGCGAGGGTGCGACGTTGCGCAGCGTACATTGTACAGTACTAATATACATACAGCGGATAGCAATAGACACATGTAGGTTTGTTTCTTGAGTAGGTGTGTACGGATGTAGGTCAGATAGTAAGTATGTAGGCGTGCCCGGGCGAGTTCCTCGATCGTCCACACAGGCTGGGTATGGCAAGAGAAGAGAGAGATCGATCAAAAGAGGGTCACGGACACGACCTGGGCGGACTCCGTCGCCTCGAGTATGATGCCGTCGAAGCCGAGCAATCCTAAGCCATTGCGTACGGTCAGCGGGGGTTCGCGGGGGTGGGGAGAAGTGAGAAGGGCGCTCAACGGGTGGTGGGGCTCGGGAGCGTCAGCGCGTCCTCGTCGTCGGTGCGGTTGAAGTGCATCGAGGGCGGCGTCTGGCCGGGGCACAGGAAGTGGCTGATCGTCTCTACCTGATTCATCAAGCGCGCGGCGGCAGAGCGCCTCGGTCAGCTCGGGCGGGAAGGACGGGAGCCCGCGGTGGGGTGGGGGGGAGCGCACTGACCCGTTCGTCGAATCTCACGCAGGGCGGTGAATCTGTCAACGTGGATGAGGGCTTCTGGGTGCTTCTGAGGCGTGCGCATGGCGCGAGAAGAGACGCACCGTCCTCGTCGTCCTCGGGGCGGCCCTCGATCTGCCAGGGACACCGCTTGTACCGCTGGAAGAGCGGCGTTCCAGGCTGCGGGCGGTCGGTGAGAAGATCACGATCATGATGCGGGAAGGAGGAGCTCACGATGTTCGTGTGAAGCACGATCTTAATGACGACGTGGGTTGTGCCCGAGATGAGAAAGTCGATGCCGTGCTGGAAGTAGTTGTAGAAGTCTGAGGGGAAGGCGGAGTGAGCGCGAGCGCGGGTGGAGAAGGAGGGCGACATACAGGAGGGGTCGCTGTGGGGGTCGAGGGGGGGATTGCGGGCGTGGATGGCCATGCGGTCGTCCTCCTTGTAGAATGTCCTGAGCGGGGGGCCGAGCTCGCACATCAAGTCTTGGGCGGTGGTGACGCCGAGGCGGACGCGGACGGGGTCCGTGGACGCGGGGTAGAAGCGCAGGACGACGCCGTCGTGAACCTGGAGGAGGAGGAGGCGGCCGGCGCTCGGTGGGTGTCCCGAAAGGGAAGGATGACGTGGGGAGACGCACCTTGAGAGTGGCTTGGGCGAGCTCACCGTGCATGGCGGGACAGACGTCGACCTCGCCGAGGGCGTCGCGCTCTGCGCCGTCGTCCACGGGGCTGGTCTGCGCGATGAGGATGCGCTTCACCTCCTGCATGCGACCCTCGGGGACATTGGAGGGCGGGGACAAGGCGTCGGACAGGCCCTCGTCGTCGAAGCTGAAAGAGATGCCGGGGTAGCGGAGGTCTGGGCCGGGGTAGGTGGGGCCGAAGGCGCGACTGACGCCGACGCGGCGGAGGTCGTTGTCTGTGGAGGAGAGGACGGCGTTCTTGTAGCGGAGGGTGAGTGGGCGGTGAGGGTCGCGGAGGCGGCGGATGGAGATGGTGTGGAGGCGCTGGTGGATGGCGGAGAAGAGGAGGTCGAGGTGGGGGCGGGCGTGGAGGATGATGGGGGTGGTGGGGGAGTCGGGATCGTACTTGAGGTCGATCTGGGGGAAGGTGTGCTGGTGGGTGCGGAGGACGTCGAGGACGGTCCACAGCGAGGAGCCTGGGGACGGGAGGAGTCTGGGTCGAACGGAGAGGCGGGGCGGGATGTGGGGGGGACGCACCGAGGGTGAATATGCCGAGGCCGTCGCCGGGCCTGATGTCGAGATCGAGGGCAGAGAACATGGCGGGCGGGGGCAGGAGCAGGAGGGGGACGAGGCACGTGCTTTGGGTGGCCTCGGCCGTGTGCTGCCCTGGCTGCCCGTCTGCGCTGCAGCCACCTGCACGATGTCCTGCCGCTAGACGTGCGAGTGCCTGCGAGTGCCCGCCATGCCGTCCGTACGCGTCCGCAGACGTGGCTATTCCACCCTGCGCGACGTCGATCCCGCAGTCCTCTCCCCCGCTTCCCCAGACTCCCCCAGCCCCCGCCCGCGCGCCCGGTCCGATGCCGCCGCCCTCTCGCTCTCGCTCTCCCCAGACTTCTCCGCCTACAACGACTCTGCCTTCAGCGACGCCGACGCCGACGCCGGCCGTGACCAGCCCTCGCGCGCGGTCCCCCTCCGCCGCACCCGCGGCTCTGCAACCAGCGCGAGCAGGGTGTCCCAATATGTCCAGCAGTCGTCCATCAGGCTCTTGTCCACCCACATAGACCCTGCCGCAAGACGCACCGCCCTCTCCTCCCTCTTCTCCACCCAGACGTCTCCTCGCCCGCAGTCTCCCTCCGAGTCTAGCGTCCGCCTCGAGGGCCCCACCGCCAGCGTCGTCGTCCATGATTCTCGCCCCCTTGGCCATGTTGGCTCTGCCCTCAGCCTCCCCCACGATAATGCAGAGGCCAACATGGCCGACGACGAGCACCACACAGACGACATCGTAGAGCACCTCGACGTCGTCGGTACGTGCGCGCGATCAGTTCAGCTGCATGATATCATCATTCATATACACCACCGTCTGCAGATCCCCAAGTCGCCACCGTCTCCACCCTCGCAAACACTGCCAATGCCATCCTCATGTGCGTCTTCTCACTCACCCCACACCCTCCACCTCACCGAGCACTGTACCCAGTCCCCCTCTGTCCTTCTACTCCCGCAAGCCCGTTCTCGTCTTGCCCGAGCGTCCTCAAGATGCAGAGGCCGCATCTGCAGCGGGGTCCGACGACGAACTCGACCGCCACGTCGAGGACGTCCTCACCCGCCGCGCCCGCTTCCGCCGCATTCTCCAGGGTGTCTGGGCCTTTCTCAAGACCCGTGCGTACCCCTTCTCGCCCCTCTCCTGTCCTCGGCCCCCGCTGACCTGCCTTCACCAGCGATCGGTGTAAGCATGCCCCCCTTCGGCCCGTTATCTCACTCCCCTCATCGCTTTGTGTTGATACAGGTCATCGCCGGCATCTACGGTTTCCTCGTTGGTGAGTGCGCAGCGCGCGCTCGCTCGGTGCCCCATTCACTGTTCTGACGACGCCGCGACCCGCAGTCTTTTGGGGCGCTGCAATCGTGATATTCTTGCTCAAGATTATCAACCTACATAATGCGAATACCCAAGGATTCTGGGTGGAGGTCTCCTCCCAGATAGAGTGCGGTGAGCCCGCGCGCCCATCCACGCACTCGCCCTTTCTCTCTCTCTCTCTCTCTGATCCGAACGCCCCTCTCAGGGCTGTTCTGCGTCACCGGCCTGGGCCTCATACCGTGGCGCGTGACAGACACATACCGTCGGTGTTTCTCGACCGAGCTTCCGGTACGGGACGCTGACGGCCGTGCATTAGGTGTTTACAAAATATGGCGCTACAAGCGCCGCACCCGCCTCCTGCGCAAGCAGCACGGCCTCCCGGAGCTCTTCGACCCGGACGATCTGCCCGATCCGATCTACGACCCCAACTACGTCCACGTCCTCACCGAGGAGGAGCAGGCCGACCTGCACTATCGTGAGCACCCCACCCCACTTGGCCATTTTTTTCTCGCCCTCTGAGCCGGCCGCTCCGCCTCCAGAGCAGCAGAAGTTCATGAAGTCGCAAACGTGGTACCGCCCGCACGGCACGGAGACGCATCGCGTACGTCTGCTTTCCGTCCCCCATGCCGCTCTCGCAGCAATTCAACTCATGCCACCGTCCTCCCGCAGGCGTTCCCTATAAAGTGAGTCTCGCCGCCGCCCGCGCGTCGACCGCTGACCGATCCGCCCCCCTCTTGCAGCAAGGCGCTGCTGATCTGCTGCCTCAACGACGGCAACTCCATATTCCAGGTACGTCCGAGATTCATGACCAACCCCGCGCGTTGAAGAAACGACACGAGCTGACCGACGCACGCGCGCCAGATCTGCCTCTGCGGCGTCCAATGGGGCCTCAACCGGTAAGCGCACCCGCACACGCGCGCGCTGTCCGCCCGCACCTAAACAACTAACGCCGACGCCGACGTCCCCTTGCCCCCCTTCCGCAGGTTCGAGCGGCCCGCGTGGACGACGGGGATCCTCATCCCGCTCAGCTTCCTCTGCGGCATCTTCTCCGGCGTGTTCATCTGGCGCGGCGGGCAGCAGACGAAGCGCACCGCGCGCGTCGAGAGCTGCCTGCGCGCCGCGCTCGCGATGGACGGAGACAAGCGCGCGGGGAGACACGGGAGCAGGCGCGCCGCCGTCGCCGCCGCCGAGGCGAACGGGGTCGGCGTCGGCGTTGCGGACGCGAACGCGCCGGGCGCGAAGAGCGAGCGGAGCGGGGAGTACCCGCCCCTCGCGCAGAACGGGCGCGCGCCTGTGGAGGAGGACGGGGACGACGAGGACGAGGAAGGCGGCGCGGGCGGCGAGGGCGAGGGCGAGGGCGGCCAGCTGCTGCTGCCGCCGTCCGTGAGCCGCGTCGGCTCCCGCGAGAAGCCGCCGCGCCCGTCGACTTCGACCGATGGCCTGAACGAAAAGGGGGCGCGGCGCGCGAGCGTCGACGTCGCGAGCACGGTCGAGTGCAGCGAGGATGGCCGCGACGGCCGCGACGGCCGCGAGCACGCCCATGTGCGCGCGGGCACCCACACGCCGTCTATCTATATCGAGGAGGAGATGGTGGTGCCGCCGCGCTGACGTGCGTCGGTCGGTCGATCTTATTGTACGTTTACCTGTGCGATATCTAGTCCCGTCATCTATCAGCGGTAGAAACTCTCTGGACTGGCTCCCGGCGTCGCCGCTTCTGTTATTTTACCCCTGCCTATTCACGACTGTTGTATTATCCTCGTATGTACTAGAACACACACGGAACATTGGTTGAGTGATTTTCGAAAAAGGCATGCAATACAATTTATTGGGGGATACTTCTGTGGATTGTTGAAATCCGAACAACTGCTACGCAAATACGACCGCACCACGCTGAACGATATGCGCGCCCGACGACGCCGCCTGCCTCCTCGCTCCCACCGCAGGACGCGACGAGTCGGGAACCCGCGCAGCATAAGCATAACCAGCCAAGCAATTTTCTCTGGTCCCCGCAAGCACCGATAGTGGCCACCCGAATGGACCGAATCATCATCTCGCCGCAACTACCACCCAAGGTCAAGACACAGCAGCTGCTGTTCTGTTGAGAGCTGTCTGATAAGTTAACCGTAATGTGGACGCTGTTGAAGCGCAAGGAGATGCCGTTCAGGCGTAGGTCTCGCGGGCCCAGCGGGCGGCGGAGACGAGGTTAGCAAGGGAGGCCTCGGTTTCCTTCCAGCCACGAGTCTTCAGGCCGCAGTCCTAGAGGGAGAAAAGGTCAGCGAAAGAATCGAACGAGAGCAAGGTAAAGCAGACGAACGGGGTTGACAAACACGAGAGAGTCGGGGAGGGTCTTGAGCATGGCCTGGAGACGGTCACGGATCTCCTGGTCTCCGGGAACACGGGGGGAGTGGATGTCGTAGACGCCGGGGCCGATCTGGTTGGAGTAACCGTACTGCTTGAAGGTGTCCAAGAGCTTGAGGTCACTCTTCGACGCCTCGATGGAGATGACGTCAGCGTCAAGGCGCTGGATGGAGGGGAAAATGTCGTCAAAGTCGGAGTAGCAGAAGTGAGAGTGAGTCTGGAGAGCATCGGTAACGCCGGCGGTGGCGAGCTTGAACGAGTCAACGGCCCACTTGAGGTAGTTGTCCCAGTCAACGCGGCGGAGAGGAAGACCCTCACGGATGGCGGGCTCATCGACCTGGATGGCGTGAATGCCGGCCTTCTCAAGATCGATGACCTCGTCGCGGAGAGCAAGAGCGAGCTGCTTGGACTGGAGCTCACGGGAGACATCCGCGCGAGGGAAAGACCAGTTGAGGATGGTGACAGGTCCAGTCAGCATACCCTTCATTGGGCTCTTCGTGACGCTCTGGGCGTAGCTACTCCACTTGACGGTAATGGGACCAGGACGGCTGACATCCGAAACGATGATGGGAGGACGAACGTAGCTACAAACCAAGGACTTAATATGGTAGACGACGTAATGAGTAGAGATTTTACGAACCGGGAACCGTAGCTCTGAACCCATCCATTCTGGGTGAAGACAAAGCCGTTGAGGTGTTCACCGAAGTACTGCACCATGTCGTTACGCTCAGGTTCGCCATGGACGAGGAGGTCAAGACCGATGCGCTCTTGGAAGCGGACGACACTCTCGATCTCCTTCTTGAGGAAGTCCTCATACTGCTCCTCCGTGATCTCGCCCTTGGTGAACTTGGCACGAGCCGCTCGGATTTCCTTGGTTTGCTGAAGAGATAGTCAGTACACCGCGTTTACGATACAAAGCGACGAGGCGACTCACAGGGAAAGATCCGATGGTGGTCGTAGGGAACTTCGGGAGGTCAAGGTGCTTCTTCTGCACTTGCTGGCGGACGGCGAAGGGGCTCTTGCGCTCAAGCATATCGGGGGTGATCGCGGCAACCCGCTTGCGAACAGCATCGTCCGAAGTACGCTCAAATTCACGGCGCTTGGCAATAGAAGTCTTGTTGGCCTCCACCGCTTTGGCAACCTCAGCGGCCTGAGAGCCAGCAAGAGCCTTCGCGATGGTGGCAACTTCCGCAGCCTTCTCCAAAGCAAACGAGAACCAGTCCTTCTGCTCCTCGGTCAGTTTCTTCTCGTTCTCGAGGGTGACAGGAGTGTGAAGAAGGGAAGAGGAGGTCGCGATGATGACACGATCCTGACCGATGGCCTCTACAGCCTTCTGGCCGAGCTTGAGAGCGGCCTGGAAGTCAGTCTTCCAGACGTTTCGGCCGGAGACAACACCGAGGGAAAGAACGATGTTGGTGGGCTTGATGGCGGCCAGGACGTCCTCGAGCTGAGCAGGGGCACGATCAAGATCGATGTGGAGACCATCGATGGGGAGCTTGGCGACAAACTTCACGTTAGCACCAAGGCGTCCAAAGTAAGTGGTAAGCAGGATCTTTGGGGCGACAGGAGCAAGGTCGGTGTATGCTGAGATGAACTCCTTCTCAAGAGTAGCAGACTTGTCGAGGACGAGGATGGGCTCATCGACCTGGACCCACTCAGCGCCCGCAGCCTTGAGATCAGCCAAAAGCTGTTTATAGACGGGCAGGAGCTTGGGAAGAAGGGAAATGGGCTGGAATCCTGGCTTGGCCTCCTTAGACGACTTGCCGAGGACGAGGAAAGAAACAGGGCCCAAGACGACGGGGCGAGTCTCGACGCCGAGAGCCTTCGCCTCCTTGTACTCCTCGACAGCCTTGTTGAAGTTCAGCTTGAACTCAGTCTCACCCGAGAACTCGGGTACGACAAAGTGGTAGTTGGAATCAAACCTATCGAAACTCTCAGTATCGTGTACAAAACGGAACGGTTGGGAAAGTTCGCTTACCACTTCTTCATCTCCGAAGCAGGGACATCAACGCCATCAGCCTGACGGCCACGACCCATGGCAAAGTAAACATCCAGGGGAGAGAGACCCTGACCAACGTAGCGCTTGGGAATGACGTTGAACGCCGCCGAGTGGTCGAGAACGTGGTCGTAAAGCGAAAACTCGCCACTGCCATCGATCGCTCAGAAAAGGCGTTAAAACGAAAAGATCTTAGAAGTGACCAACCTCGGAACGAAGTCAACACCCTTGGCCTTGACGCTCTGCCAGTTGGTCTTCTTCACGTCAGCCGCAGCCTGCGTGAGCTGATCGGCAGAAATTTTGCCTGCCCAGTAAGCCTCGACGGCCTTTTTCACCTCACGATTGGCACCTGTGCAAGGCATCGATGATGAACATCGGGAAACATTTTCAGCGCAGAAAAATCATACCAATGCGAGGGAAACCGAGAACGCTAGAAGAGACCATGTTGAAGATTTTGGAGGTGCGGTGAAAAGGGGAGATGGTGGTGAAGGGTAAATTCTGTGGGAGCTGAAATGGTGCTACAAATACTCAGAATTTAGCGCTGGCGGACGCTGCCGAAGAACCGAACCTTTCATCTTATCACCTCATCTTTGCCTCATGTCAATCGAACTCGAACTCGAACCGATCAACCTTAGCTCAACCGCTTTCCCTACAGACATTTATATTGCATATTTACAGAGGCATGTTATGTCGTGTAAGGCATTTACGGAGGTTCTTCTGAGAACGGCCCTTTTTTGGTGTCTACCAGGTGGATAGAGAAGGAAGGGTAAGCGGCGTATGAGCCCATGATCATGGTGAGTGTTTTAGTATCACAATCGTACTTGTGCTACCCTCTGAGGCTTCCAAGAAGGCTGAAATGACCAGGCTCTCAAGAGACCCAACAGCCATCCTCTCTAATGTGCATGCTGTTTCCCGTGGAGTATCGCTGTGTCAGATGAGCCAGGCCCAGGCTGCCAGGCTTTCTCGATTCTGTCACGGTCCGGGCTTGCCGTGCACTTCAATATAAAGGCCCAAATCCCTGTCGTGGACCGCCCCTTTCCCATCGTTCGCCCAACATGACATCCAACCCATCATTTGTACTTCAAGGCATTGAAAAGGTACGGAAAACGTCCACGAAACTCTGTCGTCGTATTCATCGATCCTGTCCTTTAAATAGGTCACCTACGAGGAGCGGCCTATCCCAGAGAGTATGTCAATCACTTCCTGATCCGCTCGTACTACCAGCTCAGGCATCATAAATCACAGTAAAGGACGACGAGGTGCTCGTCGAAGTCAAGAAGACTGGTAAAGTATTTCGACTACTTTATCAGAACCATGCATTGAACCTCGTTATGGATAGGCATATGCGGATCTGATGTGCGCTCCTACCTAATACTATTGAAAGGTCCTATTTATACGTGATCTCGTTAGGTCCACTACCTGGTTCATGGGCGCATTGGTGATTTTGTTGTCGACGGCCCCATGGTGATTTGCGCTTTTCAGTGAGACGTCTTCAGATATAATTAACTGGTAGTCCCTTAGGTCCTTGGACACGAATCCTCGGGAATCATCAACAAAGGTAGCGCACACGATCGCAGAAGTCATCATAGTATTGCCTCTGACTGTGGTCTCTTCAGTTGGCAAGAAGGTGACGAGGGTCAAGATTGGAGACCGAGTGGCTATGGAGCCTGGTGCATCATGTCGCACCTGTGATGACTGCAAGAGCGGTCGCTACCAGGTGTCTCGACTTCGATCTATTGTTTGTCTGTTGTAACTGACAAGGCTGTGACACCTCGCATCCCGTAGCTGTGCGCCGATAGTAAGTAGTAGTCTCAATCACCGTTCTGATTTTGGACCGGAACTGATTCATCTTTTAGTGGCTTTCGCCGCTACTCCTCCTTACGATGGAACCTTGGCCCGATACTACCGCTTGCCTGCCGACCTTGTCTATGCTCTTCCAGACCATTTGACCCTTGAGGATGGTGCGATGGCAAGTGTTTTGACTGTAACACATAGCAAAAGGAATCTGACGCCAAGTGCCAGATGGAGCCACTCGCAGTAGCCGTTCATTCAGTTTCCACTTTGGCTGGATTCAAGCCCAATCAGGCCGTTGCTGTTTTCGGCTGTGGGCCTGTTGGGCTCCTCTGTATGGCTGTAGCTAAGGCCCTCGGCGCCTCACGCGTCGTTGCGGTGGATATTGTCCCTGCTCGCTTGGAGTTCGCTAAAACATATGCTGCTACGGAGACATTCCTACCACCCGCTCCGGAATCTGGAGAATCAAAAATAACGTACTCAAAAAGATCTGCAGCACTGATGAAGGCACAGCTCGGCATCGAGGAGCGTGGAGAGAAGGCAATAGACCTTGTGCTCGACGCGAGTGGTGCTGAAGTCTCGATCCAAACTGGTCTCTTTATCGTCAAGATCGGCGGGACCTTTGTTCAGGTTTGGCATTTTCTGACGCCTTAGGTTTGCTTGCTCATGAGAGTATAGGTTGGCATGGGCCAGCCCGAGGTCACTGTTCCGATTGGACTGTTTCTCTCGAAAGAGATCACTATCAAAGGGTCATTCCGATACGGAGTATGTTAGCTTATTTTTTCACCTTTGGTGTTTAGGGGTTACTTACGCGTCTCCCTTCAACAGTCTGGTGATTATCGACTCGCCATTGCTCTCGCGGCTCAGGGTAGAATCGATTTGAAGCCAATGGTCACACATAGGTAATACTCTTTAGCGTATGTTGCACGAGTATAACACTCATGCGCTTCCAGGTTCGCATTCAACGACGCAGTCGCCGCATTCAAGGCTACAAGGGCCGGAAAGACTGAAGATGGCAAAAGCCTCATCAAGGCCATCATCTCTGGGCCTGATGTACCGGTCGATTCCCTCTAGGATTTCAGATTTTCCAGAAACATACCGCTTGACGTGTAAGATAGGAAATCAATCTGGTATCTGCGCGGTTTTGTACGTTGTGTGTAGAAGCTATCGCAGAAATAAAAGTGCATTAGGATGGCATATGTTGAGACGACGCAGTTACTGGTTATAGAGGGATATAAAATGGCTCAGGCTTGTTTGTATGGTGGGGACCTATGATCGAGTTGTCAATACTCCGTCAATGCACGGCCGCGCACAGGCGCTTAGCCCATCTCTTACTCCAACAACGCGTCAAGACGGTATACAACATAAAATCTAGCTCAGCTTCAGAACCGATCGTATTTGAAGGATTCTGGCCTCTTAAAAACCTATACACGTCGTTTGATATTCTGGATCGCGAGGCCAGGTCAGTATACCCATCAGTTATCGAACTAATTAAGAAGTTTCAAATATTTGCTCACATAGTGAGATCCAGTTCAAGAACCTTATGAACTTTGGGTCAACTCGCCTACGCGCCTAGCATCCGAAGGAATCCCAGGCTCAGCTGTGTGACCTGCATCTTAGAATCTGTCTGCTCATGCCGTTCCATTCGCGCAATGCGTATTATCTGCGTGTGTCCGCCTCCGATGTGATACCGCTCTATGTGAGTCAACTATCTACGTTATGACAATGGCTACTGGTCGAACTGACACCCTATTGAGCTTTATCTCGATGAACGACATGTCGGATGGATGTCAGACAGGGTCCTTCAGCACATCCTTGCTGATCTCAGGCCAAAGTCAGAGTGTTCCCCGCAGTGAAGCTGTGTATTGTCATGGGCTGAGTTCATTTGATGAATAGGATAGTTCCAAAGATGACCGCAGAGGCCGGCGTAGACCAAGGTACTGCGTCTTCTCAAGCAAAGAGGGGTACTGTTGATGTGCACCGAGGAGGCAAGTCTCACACGCAGGCTGGCGAGGGCGTTCACTCAATTTCGTTCAGACACATATCAATTTGCTTACTTCTTTCGCAAAGCAGAGCCACACGCTGTACTTGTCAAGGCATGCCTTGTTCGCTTGTAAAGCAAGTATTTTGATAACTGATCAAACGTTTACTGCCAGTCACGGAACTTTGTTCTTGATACACGTCCTCCACAGTCTCTCCCGAAACCGAGCGAAGATAACATACACACTAAGAAACGAAAGAACCGTCGAGCCCCAAGGGCAAAGGCCTCCTCCGAGTCGAAACCTGAGAATGCCAAACGGCGAAAGATACAAAACAGAAGGGAACTTTCGGAAGAGGATGCAAAAGCGGAAGAAACACCAAATGAGGATGAAATCGATGCGGCCCTTGACGCAGGTGCTGCCGCCGTTCTTATGGCGCCCCGTCGATCCTCACGAGCCAGAAAACTTGCAGCTGGGAGCTATCGGGAAGACAAAGAGGATGGTAATACGAGTGATGAATCAACAGCTGAAGTCTCGAACAGCATCTCTGACGACACTAGGCAAAGTACACAGTTTGGGGCGTCCGCGCTTTCACCTCAAACAACAAGCGCACAATCTCCTACCGTTATGATGAAAGACGAGACGGAAGAAGCGGCTCTCATTGACCCCCATTCGGAGTCAGTAGCTTCAGATGTTCTTGTGGAAGACGACACGACATTGAATATCCCGCAACCAGGCCCAGAGGTGGTCATTGAGGTCGAAGATGACGAGGAACCGAAGCCAAAGCTCTCCTTGCAAGTCAAATACCAAGGTTTTCACATCTATGGTCGTTGTCTTTGCGTCGTCGTCGAACCATGGCCTCCCATCAGGTCTGCATCTCGTGCTCCCTCACTGGCTCCTCCTGGTGCTATGACGATTAGGGCACCGAGTATAGCACCCTCTGATTTCATTCCTAGCGGGCAGAGAGCTAGGACTCCACTCTTCCTGCCGGATTTTGATAGAGAAACGACCCCGACCCTCGTATCATCTCGACAGACAAGAATCTTACCACCTGTTCCTCTATTCAACGACCCTTTGCCAGAAGAGGGCTACGACTCCGATCTAGACGCTGATGATGACAACAGTGGGCTCTTGAGGTTCAGTCAAACCCTCAGTGCGACGGCAGAGACTAATAGGATGGTTGAGGATGATGATGAGTTTGAAGGGGCTGTATTCTTCGCAGATGCGGATCAAGCGAGGGAATTATGATTGTCGGGTGAAGTAGACGACTATACAGCATTAACTTTTAAGCTCTACCTATTTCTCGTAGGATCTCCAGTTGCCGAGGCTTGTTGACTGCTCTGAAACCATATGGCGCCATTTCAAACTGGCCGTGTCCTCCAGAGAGTGCGCGAAGTCGGGTAGAATAATCCAGCACCCGACTGAGAGGTGCTACTGCATGGACAGAACGGCGCATCTGAAAGCCTCCAGCATTAGAGCCCGCTGTTGATGTGGAAGACATTGTGGAAGGTGATAACCATTTAGGAGGTATGTAGAGACCCTCTTGAAGGAACGGGCCAACTTCGTCACTATCAGTGAGGACACTCGACCCAGCAAGGTCAAGGACCTCGCCCCCGCGCTCTGTGAGGTCCTTGATAACTTTGCCGAGGGAATCTTCGCCGACAGAGATGCGAAGTTGAATGAAAGGCTCCATGACAGTGCCCATTCCAATTTGCTCAAACAGGTTGCGCAGAACAACAGCACTGGTGCCAGCTAGGGTCGAAATAGGACTGTCCGGAGGCAATTGAAATCCTTGAACTTGAACACAGTGGCGAGAGAGCGGAAGAGATGTGTTTGGTGAATTCGACAAGGTATTCGCAATCCCTTGGCCGATATAGCCATATGGGTCATTTGAATCATAGAAGGAGCTCGGCGCTGGCAGAGGTTTGCCGTTGTCGCGCAGAACAATATTGCCATCCCACGCAGGATCACCAGCTTCATCAAATTCCAGTGGTCGAACACTATACGACACGGACGAGTTCAAAAACTGCCCGGTTAGATCAACGGCCCAAGATGGCGAGCCCTGGTAATCATGACTTGGTCCTTCCCTGAAACTAACACGGCGTTTGCCAAGCTCAAAACGAACGTTCCACTCGTCCCGTAGTCGACCCTCAACGATTTCAAGATGTAGAGCTCCTAGTCCATGAACGAGAATCTGACCTTCCTGAGTCTCGACGCGGACTGACGGATCTGTGCGTGCTAATGAATGCAACGCAGTTTCCACGGGCTCCAGATCTGAATGCGATTGAGGAATTATAGAGGCAGACATGACTGCTGGTGGAGGTGTGATGTCGGGTATTGAATGAGATTCTTTTTGTTTGCCCCTGCTGGTGATTAATGTATCACCAGTGCGAGTGTGCTTAAGCCCAAGGATGACGCCAACGGACCCAAAGGGCAGTTCCTCGACTTCTTCGGCCTCAGATGCGTATAACATTAAAAGTTTCGATACTCGCTCCTTGACATTGCGCGAGATATTGTGAAGGACACTTTGACGGGTTAATGTCCCTAGATATCAGAATCAGCCGTGTCAACTATTTGTCGAGGATATCAATTGCATACCTGAGTAGACACGTACAAATGTCATCCAACCTCGCTTCCTGTCCCACGCAACCTTCCAGGCTAATGCACGTACAGGCGAATTGCTCGATTGTTTTACGTGCTTCACGTCCAATGGGCTCGCCAATAACTCTCCAGCATAATCCATAAGAATTTCAGTTCCGATGTTCTTGATAGCGGACCCGCAGATGATGGGAAGGACATCCGAGCGTAACGTTGCTGCACGAAGATGTGGAAGTATTGTAGAAGGCAATACACTGAGATATGCGGACGGAGTCGACGGCAGTTCCAGGAGGGCTTCCATGAGTGGCTCAGAGAACATAGCAATATTCTCTATGAGTTCGGTACGGGCTGGAACAAGATGAGAAATAATGGGGTGTTGAGCAGGCAAGATCCCTGTCTCATAAAGTTTATCCACTTCCAGAGGAAGAGGGTGCCGTGAGCATGATCCGTCTGCCTCCCATTTCCATATCTCCCACCTGACGAGGTCCACAAGCCCCTCAATACCGGGCTCTGCTCGAGAATAATTGTCAGGGTTGAACGAGGCAATCGGAAGGGTCAGCGCCATGGGTTTGGGGTGAATTCGGTGAGAGAGCAAAGAAAGCAAAGATAGATTGAATGAGGCTCCCGGACGATCTAATTTATTCACAAACAGGATTCTGGTTGGAACACCGTATCTGAGAGTATTTAGTGTATTTTCAGAGCAAAATCATTGGAGTGGAGAAGCTAACTCACCTATCCAACTGGTTCCAGACCCCTTTCGTCTGCGCCTCAACACCCTCTACTGAATCAATCAAAACAACGGCGCCATCCACGACCCGACTCGCACTCTCAACCTCCATTCCAAAATCCGCGTGTCCAGGAGTATCTATGAGGTTGAATTTCCAGTATCTCCACTTGACAGGTATGCTGGCTGATTGTATGGTGATTCCTCTCTCGCGCTCTGCGGGCAAAAAGTCTGTTGTAGTGCTTCCGGTATCAACAGATCCTGAAGAAGACAGGTACGAAGACTTGAGAAGAATCGACTCAGTCAAAGTAGTCTTCCCCGAATCTGGCGTGCTAGCGAAGTTGGTTTATGGTTTGCAGAAAAAATGGTTTGAGTACTTACCGATGTGCGCAACCACAGCTAGGTTGCGAACCTTTGAAGGATCATAACGAGCGGTAGAAAGAAATCTGCGAGATTGATATGACACGGGAAAGGCAGGAATGCTATAAATTATGGAGCATCGCAATTGCTGCAGAGACAGCATGTCCCGTCGCCAGCGGGGTTTTTTATGCCTTGAGCCTTTCTCGGAGTCGGCGGGAGGAGAAGATGCACGGAGCGCACACAAAGGCAAACAGCGCGGCAAGCTGTCGGTGCACTGCGGGTTGCCGAGGTCGAGTGACGCACAAGATGGGCTATTGTCCTCTGAGTCTGAGCCTCTGGCATTCACCACCACGTCACCTTCGCCATGGCCGCATCGAATGATGTCCCCGATGGCTTCGAGGAACATCTTCGACAGAGACAGACTCTTCAGAGCCATCTAGAGACTGTGCCATCATCTAGTGTCACCCAACCGCACGGGAACATCCCAAATACTCCCCTTGCCGCTTCGACCATCTCATTTCTGCTCGGATCTATATTTTCCCTCGCCTTTGCGACATTTTTATCGGGAGGCTTGGTCTCAAGCTGGTGGTCTACATATCAACTGGGGTTTTTCGTAGCCGCATGGGCCGCATTTCATTGGGGGGAATTTGCAGTAACGGCTGGTTGGAACAGGGAGAAGTGCAGTGTTGATTGTAAGCCACAGACAATTATTTTTCTGGGACGTTGCCTAATGCCCCAACAGCCTTCCTTCTGGATAACGGTGCTCTGTACCATGCAGCCAACAGTCTCGCGCTGTTCGAATACTTGCTTTCATTGTACTTGCGCCCGTCATTGAAGTCACACCCCTACATATCAGCAATTGGTATGTGGCGGTACTTGTTCTACTCATGATCCAGCTGATTCAAGGTGCATTGAGGGGTGACTATGGTTGTCTTTGGTCAAGCGTTGCGATCCATTGCAATGATTCAAGCTTCTACTAACTTTTCTCATTCCCTTGCTTTCCGAAAACTGGCTCGTCACCAGTTAGTGACTGATGGTATATACGCGTTCGTTTTGTGTCGATCTCTGCGGAAAGGTCTCTCTCTGATCCTTTGCTCAGATGGTTCCGCCATCCATCGTATGCTGGGTTTTTCTATTGGGCGTTGGGGACGCAGCTCGTGCTCCAGAATCCTATTACATTCATGGCCTTTTCAGCCATATTATGGCGGTTTTTCTCTCAAAGAATACGAGGTAAGTTCGCGGATCATCATCATATGGAACTCAAACCAAGGATCCTTTCTAGTCGAAGAGAAAACGCTGATAAACTTCTTCGGCGACGCATATGTCGAATATCGAAAGAGAGTGGGCACAAAAATCCCTTTCATCTCATGAAACAGACCAATGCAGATGGCGTTGCGGAGCTATCTTTCTATACAGTTAGCGTTTAGAAAGTTCAACAATAAAATATAGAAAGCGATGAGATGGGGAACATAGTGGTATGCATGAATGCATGATTGTGATCTCATAAAAAAGAAAAATACCGAGTGTAATGACATGACACATGCGACTTTTGGTGAATATGGAATACCAGCCGTCCCAACCACCGCCACCAATCGCTCACTCCTGAAGGATTGTGCCCTTCTCCGACACGTAGATACCGTCCAAGAATTTACGGATATCCTTGTTCCGCACCCGGCAGATACCCTGAATAGATGCCGCTGGAGTGGAGAATTTCAGCGGAAGATACCCACGACAAACTGAGTAGACTTACCTGATTGTGAGACATTCTCAATGTCAGCACCCTCAAGGATCAGCTCATCCTTTTGCGCCTTGCTCTCAGATACTGTTACACCGTCCAGCATGTGGACGTGGCGAACGGTCTGGGGAAATTTGGTTTCAGTTGTCTAGAATCCGGATAAGATTTCACGCACCTTCTCGCCCAGAAAATTACGGATCTCCAATGAGCGGCCATTCTCTTGGATGATACAGTTGATTGGGAAATGGGCGTAGACAGCGCGCATTTTGTACAAGAAACCCTGTCCTCTCATGTGAGCCAGCAAATAGCAGAGTCACCATCGTTAGACAGCCAACCTTGGTGACACCGGTGATCATGTTGAGAATGAGACTCTTAATTGTGCGCAAGCATGCGACGTGTTTGCGGCCGCCTTGCCAGACTGCAAGAGTCACCTTGTTTGCTTTGCCCTTGAGGAGGCGGATGTCCATGTTGACATGGCGGACGTTCTTGGTCAACGTCCCTCTTGGTCCTGTGACATTGATGACGCGGGATTTGATGGTGACATTGACGCCCTCGGGAATGTCGAGCTCTTCGTTCTTGACAACGTCTCTCATCTTAAGAGAAATGGTGTATCAGCAATTTCGCCCTAAGACTGCATCCTTCCGCCGTGAAGTCAATCCATCGTAGTGGAACTGCAATTCCACCGTTCAACTGCCTCCAACCTATATTCTAACTCGACAGCAGACTCCCGAGAAACATAGATTCGTCCTCACCTTTAAAGTATAGGTCTTGAGGCTGTCGGCAACGGCTTAGGGCGTTCTGGATTCGAGCAGTGGGCGGTGGCGCGGGATTGAGTTTACCGGGCGGAGCTTTAATGCAAGTCATTATGCTGCCACGCATGCTTTCTCTCTTCAATTGCAACCACCATCATCACTTAGACGTGATTCCCAGTATCATTGTAAAATTGAACGAGCTATAAGCCCGAACATCTGTGGTTGTCAATAGTCCAATCCGTGAGACTGCTATCATTGATCGCGGACCTCTGCTTCCTCCCCCTTGCCTCTACAAAGATGTCGACGTTTCCTCCGAATGTGGCATATAGCCAGATCCCTCCAGCAACTTATCCTTTCCAACCTCACCCCTCGTATCAGTATCCCCCGCCTTCCTCATCGCTCTACATGGTTGATCCAAATACTTTTCGTCGCGATTACACGATGCGCCTAGCGGAGCTAACTGTAAACTCCAGGCCCATTATTCAGAATTTATCGATGGTTGCACAAGAGTATTCGCGATGGGCAGATGTTGTTGTTCAATGCATCGAGAATCACATACGGCAGGTGAGTGGTCTGTTTCTGTAATTAGTTTCTCTTCTTTTTTTCCGCAATTCCATGTCGACTGCATGACGCCAGATGGGTAGCTCGACTATAGGATGATGTAGCTTTGCGCCTTGTGTATGTATGTAAAGTGGTAGCGTAGTGTAGCTGAGACAAAGAGAAAAAAGAAACGCAAGTGCCTGCTTAGCCTATGAGGGCGGCGCGCATATTGGAAGCTCAGCTAGCAATTCTTTTTCTGTCGTTGATTCGTCATACCGTGATGCTGACTAATTCTCCTCGTTTCATGATCGTTAGGTGCCTCCTTGGATGAAGCTCCCTTCATTCTATCTTTTAGATGCCGTTTCGAAGAACGTCTATGACCCGTACGCTCGCCATTTCGCCTCGGTCGTCACTTCCCTTTTCCTCGATTCATATGGTCTCGTCGAGCCTGGTGTCCGTAGTAAAATGGAGGAAATGCTTTTGACTTGGCGTACCGGCGGTCCTCATGGTAGAGAATTATTTGGTGTAGGTCCTCAGGTTGCGATCGAGCGAGGCATATGGGGCTCAGGCGTAATCAATGACGTGCGTTGCCTTTTGCTATCATATTATCTCATAGTTCTCATGTCTTTCACAATCAGTCGTCCTTACCATCGGGTGCTGGGACTATCTCTAAATCACAAGTTATCAGTGAACTTGAATTCACCCTTGGTCAAACAGAACGAGCTCTCCAGTCCAATCCATTTGACTCTGTGATTCAAAATGATGTCAGTGTTTTACATCAGGTGCGTAATTGTTTCTACTCGGAATAGCGTGTCAGTAATTTATCTCAACTTAGTTGAGAAAACTTGTCGAGGACGGTGGGGTATCACAAGAAGAACTTCGTCAGATCCTTACTAAGTTACGCAGTCTTGCACGTCCGCCTCCCCCTAATCAACCTGCTCCGTCTATTGGTCCGAGCAAATATTCTTCCAATTTATCTGCCTCTTACACCGGTCTGTCATCGTATCCTCCGCCTGTCGCTCAGCCGCCGCCTCCTTTGCCGCCTGCCGTCCAGCAGTTTTACTCTCAACCGCCGTCAAATCCTTATCCATCGTTTGATCAAATTGAGGCGCCACTCTCTGCCCTGCCTTCAACCGCGGGTCCATCATCTACCACTACAAGTTCAACAGTTACTATGCCTAACATATCCAACTTGTTCGAGGCTCTATTGAAGGCTGGTGTAGTCTCAGCAACCGGTACTCCCACTGGAGCTGGCACGACAACAACAGCGAGCGAGGTTGAGGAGAGTAAGCCTGCGCCTCCTGAAGATCTTGATAGGGATGAGGCAAGAGCTTATAGAGAAGCTATCCTCGCTGAGAACATCAAGTTCACAAGTGCTGATATCTCGAGGTTAGTCTTTTGGATCGCCTTCTTCCGCGCGACTGATCCGACAATCTCTCTCAGGCGCCGTTCGCGGATAGTTCATTTTCTTTATGATCGTTTACCCGTGCAATGTAAACAGTGTGCGATCAGATTCCAGGATACTGTTACGGGTAGAAAACAAATGCAGGATCACCTTGATATGCATTTCAGACAGAACAGGAAAGCTAACCAGAACGTTGGCCGTGGTCACAGTCGTAGCTGGTTCGTTGGTGCAGAGGTGTGGATAATCGCATGTTCCTAGCGCTAATGTGTGACACTGACAGAACGCCCTTTCTAGGATTGGGTGCACGACACTTCTGCGAGTAGTAAAGGCAAAGGTAACGCGGACCAGTCCCGTCCTCTGAATGCTAAAGCTGTCGCCGCTGCCGAGGCTGCGAAGCGTGATGCAGAGCTACGCGCTCAGTTCGTGGTTGTGCCGCCTGGAGATGAGGCGAAGCACATCGCATGTCCCATCTGTAAGGAGGTTTTGAAATCAGAGTTTCAAGAGGAAGACGAAGAGTGGGTGTGGCTGAACGCCGTCAAAGTCGAAGATCGGGTACATATTTTGCTCTGCTCTTTTGTAGTGGTTGCTCATGTCTGCTTTTATTCCTGACACAGATTTATCATGCGACGTGCCACGCTGAAGCACGAACATCCGCTACTACGATCGCTGCCCGCCTTCGCATGGATGCAGCTGTTGTGCGAAGTCGTTCTGCTACTCCGGATGTGTCCTCGCAGCGCGGGACCCCACCACGAACAACATCAGTCAAGACCGAGTCATCGCCATTGAGGCTCGCAGGTACCAAGCGGAAAGTTGAATCCGAAGATGTACCTGGCCTAGGCAGCGAGGCTGAGGGGTCACCGCCAATGAAGAAAACGTTGCTGTCCACGGCATAGAGTTGCACTTGAGCTGTGTTGTTGGAATAGGTTTGGGTTGTGTTGGGTCTCGCATTATACATCTAGTCTCATCATTATTGGTTGTGTTTCTTTTTTCCATTTTCTCTTCATCCTCTCCCATCTATCTACCCTGAGCGTTTGCATTGGCATTGGCATTGGCATTAACATTATCAAGCATATGTATCATTGCCCGCAATAATACCATCTGTTTTGGATTCTGATGTTGAGATCACTGTGGGTGCTTGTGTACAAACATCACAAAGTATGCGTGAAGCTCCTGGTAGTACAATTTGCCGATCGAACAGCCTCGATTTATTCAAACCCTTGACCAGCTTGTGCCACCGTGCACAACCTCTCTTGCTTCTAGTCTTTGTCTTTCTTCTGCACGTATCGTCAGGGCTGATATCGACATACCACGCATAGGTGCGTCTGCCATGTTCCCTTACACTGACACTCTACAGTCGTCGTACGCGGATACAAGCTACGTCCCAAATACAAATATTCATGATCCTGGTGAGCTTTCTCCTCGGAGCGCGGAGACGTTCGCTGAGGCCTTCATGAAAACATCCCAACGTATCAGGAATACCGTCATATATGCCTTCATTTCGTGAAGATATGCCGATTCAAGACGCCACGCTCCGGCGCGTGGAAGATGAAGTGAACGCGGACGTCGAGATGCAGGTAAGTCCCGACGCTCCGAACCTCACGTCCCCCCAAATCCACCGTGCCCGTTCTGCCCTTGCGCCATTTTTGCCACCAAGCTGAGTATCTAGCTTTGCGCCGTACACAGGGCCCGCACTCCTCGCAACACGTGGCGTACTTGGTGCTCGACACCAACGTCCTCTTGGGGCACCTCGATGTCCTGCAACAGTTTGTGGATGACGTCGAGCAGACATCGGCGCCCGTCATCGTGATCGTCCCGGGCGTCGTCCTCTCCGAACTCGACGGGTACGTCTCCCCGCCGTGGACTGCGCAGTCGTTGTTTCCGTGAGTGAGCTAATAATGTATTCCTGGGGCGTCCGCAGTCAGAAAACGCGGCCGGGCCTTGCGTGGGCCGCGCGAAGAGCGTCGACCTGGCTTTTGGGAAAGGTGCGCTCGCGGCGGACGGTCAAGGGGCAGACGCACGAGGAGACGTGCAAACGTTCTGGCAAATGGAACGTGCTTGATGCAGGGGAGGTAGGCACCGTCATGGGTTGACAGTGGCGTCACGCTGATGACGAGCGCTCAGAGACGAGGCGGAGAGACGAACGATGACCTCATCGTCGACTGTTGTCGGTTCTTCTGCGAGCGACTCGTGCCAGCGTACCGCGCGCCAGTCGTGCTGTGCAGCGCGGACAAAAACGTCTGCTTCAAGGCGGAGAGCTTAGGCAAGACACCTCTTTCTCATTGCGGCTACAAGTAACCTGACACACTCTGGTTCCGTCCGGCGACTGCGCAGGTATTCCCAGCCACAGCCCCTCTCCGTCCTGGACCAGCCATGAAATCGCGCGGTTTATTTTTGGCAGCGATGCCGGGATCGATCTTACAAAATTCGACTCCTATCCGTCCCGCGCGTCGCGACAGGCGGCCGCCCAGTCCGCTCCTAAAGCAGCTGTGGTGCGGAGGGACGATGACATGATGGATATCGACGACACCGGGGATGTGTATATTCCGCCGGCGCACCCGCTGGACGCGCTGCACCTGGAGATAATTGAGCACTTTACGCCGCTGCTGGCAGCGCTAGTGGACAGGGTGGCGGGGAGCGACGTGCCGCGCACGCGCGCGGAGGCGTCGGCGCCGAAATCCGTGCACGCGCCGTCGTGGACGCGGGTGCACCTCGCAGAATGGACGGTGGGGATCTGTCTTGATTACTTGCATGAGCGGCGGCCGCTGCCGCGGTCGGAGCCGCGACTGGAGGTGTTTTTGCTGAAGCAAGGGGAGAGGGGCCGGTTCGGGTCGGGGCGGCGGGGACAGGACTGGCCTCGGGCTGCATGGAATGGGGCGCGTGGGGCGTTGGAGGAACTGGGGCGGCGGTGGGAGGACCGATCGATTGCAGAGTCGGCTGAGATCTTGAAGCCGTTTATAGAGTCGGTTTTTCTGCGACCGTTGCGACCGACTGGGACCTGAGTCCGGTTGCTACTTTGGGGCAGTGGCTTATCTATGCGGTGTTGGGTACGGCACTGGTATGGCTGTGCGGGGTGGAACGTACGTCGACTGGGGCAGAGTACATATGGATGCACAGTGATGAAGCAAGCAAGAGAGAGAAGTTGTGTGAGCGCGACTCGATGAGTGGGCGGCAGGGACGTACGGGCGTGGGGCGGACTGGCGGAGAGGAGGCGCCCGAAAGAGGAGTGGCGGGGAAAAGACCTTTGCTCAGACTTTATTCGCACTCTTTTACACAGCGTCGTTCCTTCACCCTCCTTTCCTCCTTCCCCCACCATGGCCTTCCCCTCATTCAGGAGGAGGAGCATACATATTTGTCTCTCTCTCCTCGCTCTCTTTCTCTTGGGCACCGTCGTCGTCCTATCCTCCGTGTCCTACTATCTGTCCATTCCCGACGCTGCCTACATCACTGAACAGGAGCTCGATGCCCCTTTTAACCTCTCCGTCCCCTGGAACGCTACAGAACACGGAAAAGTAGAGCGCATCCCTAGAATCCTCCATCAGACTTGGAAGTCAGAGACGCTCCCCGACCGGTGGAAGGGCATCTCCCAGGAGTGTCGTGACATGATGCCCGAATAGTATGTCGCCCCCCTTCTCTCGCCCTCGCCCCTCTCAGGTTGATGATTTTCCAGTGAATACATGCTCTGGACAGACGCCAGTGCTCGCGAGTTCGTCGCAGAGCACTACCCGTGGTTCTTGGATACCTTCGATTCCTACACCTACCCCATCCAGCGCGCCGATGCTATCCGCTACTTTGTCCTCCATCACTACGGCGGCATATATCTCGATCTGGATATCGGTTGTCTTCGCCGTCTCGACCCCCTCCTCGTACATCCTGTCATCCTCCCGCGCACCATCCCTGTCGGCGTATCCAACGACCTCATGTTCGCAGAAAAGGGGCATCCTTTCCTCGCCCAGACCATTCACAACCTCGTCACCTTCGACCACAACTGGGTTCTGAACTATCCCACCGTCATGTTCTCCACTGGGCCCATGTTCCTCTCTGCCCAGTATGGACTCTATAGTACCTCGCATCCCTTCACTCCGGACCATCCGGGCGGTGAGATCCGCGTCCTACCCAAGTCCCTCTATGGAAAGAACGCGAAGCCTGAAGAGGCGCCCCATTCCTTCTTCACTCACTTCTATGGCAGCAGCTGGCACGCCGACGACGCGGCGTTCATTGGGTTCCTGGGCAAGTGGGGTAAAGGCCTTATGTGGGTAGGCCTTGCTATTTTGGTCATGGGCGTGCTGCGGATGCTGTGGACTAGCAGCAAGCAGCGAAGCTATGCGCTGCGGAGAATCGGTGGGTATGAAGTCCTGCTGCCTCGCTGGGTCGAGCGCAATGGACGGTGGCACCTTGATTTGGGTTGGATTTCCCTTCCCGGGCGCCCCTCGCCCTCAGCCACCCCCATCATCTCCCAGCGCATGTCGTCCGACATTCCTGACAGTCTGAGGTCCAGCAGTGACGAGGACGTCTCTCTCCTCCCTCTTTCCCTCGACATCCGGCCCTCGTCGCCCGCAAACTCTGACTATCCCCCATCGCCCTCCTCGTACTCTGCCGCGGACGCAATGCGGCGCGTTAGACGTGGAGTGGCGTCTCTTTTTGGATCTTCATCAGACGTACTGCGGTCTCCCGCGCGCTCCCGCAGACGACCACGCGGCGTGCTCTTCTTCCTGCCCGCGTTCGCGTCAGGGGGCGATATCGCTCTGCCCTCTCACGAGACCCCGTCCCGCTTCCCTGCGCCCATTTCCACGACGTCCCCCTTCCTGTCACGCTCTCTGTCGCGCACGACCTCGCCCTCGCCATCGTATCCCCCCGATAAGCGAAGGCCCGAAGAGCTCGAACAGGGCGTCGCCACCAGCGAGTCGCTTCCGTCGTATTCCGAGGCATCCATCTCGGCGTACGGTGCCCCCGCATCAGATGCGAGCGGTTCGCGGCGTACCTTCGCTAATTTCACACCCATCGAATAGGCGTTCGGTATCGCTCTGCGTTGGCTCCCCCCTTCCCACCCGCTGCTCTATTTACGATACGGGCGTCCGCTTGTCATTAACTCGCTGTTCTCACACGTTCTCAGACAGACGTTTTTACACATTGTTTTTTGTGTGTGGCCTATTCCTTCTACTTCGTATTCGTATCTATTTCGCACACATACACACATACGCCTCGGATTCACGCAACTCACTTAGTAGTGGCAGAAACGAGAACTTTCGTCCCGTTCCAAGTACCGCTATAAAACCAAATAATCTCTTGTGCATTTCTTGGTTCTGCGTCGATACCCCTTGCCATTCCGATAGGAACGAACATGAATTGTAAGCTACTAATGTGTCGGTTCCTAGAACCCTCCCTTTGGACAGGACAAGAGTAGAGATTGATATCGAGACACGCTATAAATATGACACATCTCCCGAGTAGTACACAAATCACGCCCTCGACGCAGCGAGCTTCCGCATGCTGCTAGACAATACGAACATGGCCACCGCACTGACGGCGTACGTCGCCGACGGCCCGACCGTCCAGTACGACGCGCAGGCTATAACGAAATCGGTCAGCGACCCCGCGCCCGGACGCTGGACGACATGCGAACAGAGGCACACGCACCCAGGAGAGGCCCAATCGCGCGCCCGAGCTGACCCGCGGACCGGAACTGGCCCAGCGCCTTGCCCTTCGCGAGCTCGGGGTGCTCCCCCGCGCCCGCGCGGGGCTTCCCCGTATCCGCGTCGACGTCCGTGACGCCGTCGTCGCACTGCAGCGACGCGTGCGCGGTGAGCGAGTTCACGACTGTTGCAGAGGTGACCGCCATGCAGACCGCCGCGCCCTGGAGCAGGCGGAAGGCGAACGTGGGGCGCGATGCGGTGAAGTGTGGGAGGAGCGCGAGGAGGACGAGCCCAAGCGCGCAGCTCGACACGCCGCGCCGCGCCATGGCGGCCTCGCCGACCTTGGCGAGGGAACGGCGGACGTAGCCGCCTTGCAGGAGGGCGCTGATGATGCCGATTGACCCGATGAGCTTGCCGTTCTGTGTGTTGTTCCAGTCGAACACTGTTTGGTGGATGACCCGCGGGTGGGACAGGTTAGTGGGAACGAAAGCGGTAGTAGAAAGCGGAGGGCGACGCACGGTCGAACGTGAGGAAGGTGAGTGTGAACTCGACGCCGGAGAAGAGGCCAAGGAAGAGGAAATGCAGCCTGCGGAGGGCCTTGAGGAGCTGGAGCCGTTGCTGGACCGTAGCGCCGCGGGACGAGCTAGAAGGGGTGTGGCCATTCGCACCGTTCGCGGGAGCCTTGCCTTCCTTTACCTTCTTGGAGGGTACCGACGTAGGCCCCTTGCCCCGTGTTTCTGGAAGCGCGATGGTGAGGAACGCGGTCTCCGCGACGAGGAGTATAAGCGTGAGGATGGCGGGTGCCGCGTAGACGTTGAGCTCCAGGCCGAGAGACGCGCCCAGTGCGACGGGGCGGGAGGCAAAGTACGCGCCGATGGGCGGGCCGATGCAGAAACAGATGGCGAAAGCGATGCCGACGTGTGCAAGGGCTTTGGCGCGGTTTTCGGGCGTTGTCACATCAGACAGGATGGCGCTGTCCAGGGCGAGGATCATGATGGGGGCCATGGGGCGATGCATGAAGCATGATGAGCTGTGCGTTTCGCTGAGATGAGAAATGTGCGAGGACCGACATGGCTAATTGTACGTTTCCCTCGCTCAAGCCGCCTATCACGCGCGAGAGCATATATGAGGCAAACGTTGTGCTCTGGATCCACCTGTGCGCACGAAGACATGGTTGAGAACACGGGCATGAAGCGGCAGAGACACTTGGACTACACACACAACCGCTGATAAGATATTGCCGATCATAGTGATCAGGAGGACACGTTTTCGGCCATATTTATCTGATAAAGAGCCGATGTAGGGAGAAACGATGAATTGCAGCGCCCTGTTAAAGTATGAGTGCCTGTGTGCATCGGGCGTGTCAAGATGACCTTACGAGAATACGGAGCCCATGAGACCTCCTTCAAGCCTGGTCAACAAGTAGAACAATGTGAATCGCGAATGCACGTACCGAGCAGCACAATGTCCCATCTCTGCGGGTTGTTGGTCGCGTTGTATAGCTGCCCTCGTAGGGTCGAGACAAACCCAAGTGTCCGCGACAGGAATCCTGTCGGGTCAGACGTCTCTCTCTTCAAGTGATTTGTTCCATCTCAACGCCCACGGAGCCATGCATCTAGTGCGGCGTACCTTGGTGTACCATTCGATGATGCGTGGAAAGAGCGGGAGGGGGATGGTGAAGGCTACATTCCGCGGAATAATACCCCGTCAGCTTCCGCTGCTCGCTTCCCCCTGGCTCGGAGCCAAATACAAGGCAGGACTCACCGAACAGATCCAGCACCAACGACAAAAAAACGACAGTTTCGATTTTGCCCATCTGTGCGCACCGAGAGCTCCTTCGACGTGGCCTCTTATAAGACTGAGCTTCGGGACTGACGTGGTCAATGGCAATGATGAGTGCTTTCAAATGCGGGGGTGATGTATTTTGGTGGGTCCAGACTCCAGGACTGCCTCAGCGACTATGACACGAGTTCGCGGCTGCAAGTGACTGAGTGAGCATTCGCGACGGCCGTTTCGTTTTATAGCCGTTGTAATGTGCCCTATGGATACGTGTAACATCCGGAGTGGGGATGTAGTAAAGTTGTTCGGAGCACGTCGTCCAATAGCATGAGACTTTTTCCAAGCAGGCTTCACCGGCCATATAAAGTTGGCTTGGAGGCCGGCACCCGCATTTCTCACAATGGCAGCTAGCGGTCTTCAATTGTTCTCAGGAAACCGAGTCCCGCAATGTTGGAGAACAGTGTCATAAAAATACACACGCGACACGTACGCCTTCTTCACACCGATAATTACAACGGGTACACGACCGCCTACCTATTCGCCGCCCAACTCCTCGACGACCACCGCATCGGTATCCGCGCTAGGATCGACATCAGCTGCTGTAGCCTCTCCAGCACTCTTGAACTGTTGATCCTGAGATGCTTGCGTGAGGCTGCTCTGGAAATGCGAGCTCGTCTCGGTCTTCGTCACCTCTCGCAGCGCCATCGTAGCATAAGCCGCCGTGCCGAGAGTCAGCCGGATCTGCAGCGCGAGGAAACGACCATCGGGAACGATAGCTGGCGCATCGTATCCGAGCAGTTTATCCTCGTCTGACTGCGCGAGAGGAACGTCCGGGTCAGTATACCGCAGGACATCCCATGACAACTCCCTCGGCAGATGCATGATATTGCGATATGACCCGCTCAAGCTGTAATCTCTGTCATAGTCACGCGCAAACCGTTAACGAATTGAGTGTTAACAGCTTGAAAGTAACTCACTTTTGACGCCGGTTAAAATTATCGGGATCCAGACCGTCTTTGCGCAGGAACTCCTTATAACGCTCTCCGAGAGAGCCTCCGGGAAAAGCTACATCTTTGCCGGGTAAGGGCATGACAACATCGAAGATGGAGTACCTGTCGACGTCTTCTGCTGTGAGCGTCTTCACCTGTGCAGGCTGCCAAGGTTTCTTTTCCCTTCTGCTTCCTCTGCTTGGACCGTTATCCGTCGCTGAATAGGAGTATAAGAGATGATGTTTTCACACTATGACATAACGTACCGGTCTCAACTTCAACTTCGTCAACTTCCATATCGCCATCCGTAGCTTTGGTTGACACGAGTACGAGGTCGCCAACAACTGCCTTCTCCGCACCATATGTCCGAATGCGTTCTGATACGATCGCATTCCAGACATAGGACTGGTAAGCGTGGACATACATGAGCCGCAAATTCCGTGGAATCTGCATAGACCTATGGTGAGTATACCGGCAATCAAATAGCAAGGCAGAAAGGCATGCACCGTCGAAAGCGCTCCGAGGGCGTTGCGCGTCTCGCCATTTTGCTTTCTGTAGCTCTCAAGAATGCAGCGCTCCGCGACGACCCGACGAGGCATGAGTTCGAGTGCGCGATCGAGGTCGCCATCTACTAGCCATGCCTGCCGAGCTGCCACGACGTCGGGATGTTCTCCAGGGCGTGTGCGTAGGATGAGGGAGACTGCTCGGTGCCAGTCTTCTTTAAGAAGGGCCAGTCCAATGGAATGTGTTGGGATAGATGCTGTGCCGAAGCGCTGCATACCTGAAAAAATGTGACTTTAATTTATTGCGGCGCAAGGAAGTAATGAACGATCTACCGTAGTAGTTTATGAAGCCATGGTCTTTGATTGAGTTCATAGCTCTATTCAAGGTTTCCGTGGAGTCGACTTGCACGTTCCTGTTCGATGAAGAATGAATGAGTAGGTGATTTAGTGATGGAGATAGAGGCAGACCTGAGCGTAATCACGAATGCGTTCCCTTTGAGCATACCGAGCTCTAGCCCCGCCTTCCTATAATTGAGGTCCGCAATTCTGACGCCTCTCTCCCCCCTTTCTCGCACAGCTTCTTCAACCGAATGCCGCCCAGGAACGCCATTTGCGAGACGCCAAATGTCTTCGACAGCCTTTCCACCCCGTCGCAGCGCGACACGTTGAACGGTGACGCCACGTTTGTCTTTGGTGCCGGCCGTGGAGAGGTCCTTCACATTAACATGCAACGTCCGTGCCAGGTAGGCGAGTGCATCCTGCGTGTCACGGTTCGTTTTTTGAAGGGTGAAGTGAATGTAAGGTGGGAAGTTCCCGCGGGAGGGGCGGTCGCTATTGCTGCCTATGATAATCAATATAAGGTTACCAAGGATAGGGGGCAACAAGATATACCCTTGTCACCTCGACCACCGCCCCGACCACCACCGCGTCCACCACCCCTTCTTGACCACTTGATGACAATTCTAGATCCTTCATCGTCCGCAGGCGCGGTCGTATCCGTCTCACTGTCGAGCTTTCCGCCAAACAGCTCTCTCACCGCCTGGTGGAGTTCTGTACGCGTGCTCTTCGCGACGATAGGCTACATACGACAATGATTTGCGTGGACCATGAGATCTAGAAAATGGAGCGGGAGGTAGGACGAGAAACACACATCTGATAAAACCTTCCTATGGTCCTCTCTCGCACCAAGTCTTCCTGGTCGTCCACCTCTCCCGCCTCGGCCTCCTCGGGCGCCTCTCCCACCTCTTTCTCTGCCGCGCTTCCCTCTACCCTTCACTTCTTTCTCGACGACTTCCTCAGATTCATCTTTTGCCTTCTCCTCGACAGTCTCGGCGACCGATGGACTTACCTCATTCGTCGTCGAGCGACCTCCCCACCCGGCATCACTTACGAACGGTGGCTCTGGTCCTTCCAAGAACATCTGCTTCAGCAGAGCGACTTTTTCCTCGGAAAGGAAGGTCGCGAGGCGTGTCGTGAAGGTTTCAGGCCAAGGGTCTGCAGGAGTTTCTGGAGTGACGGGTTCAGGAGCGTCAGAGGGCTGAGGAGTTTCGAAAGCAGGCTCTGCAGGGACCACAGATGGTGTTTCCTCGACAATTTTGGCGTCTGCAGGAGTTGATGTAGATTCGATGCCTTGCATGGCTTCGCCTGAGGCAGAAAGCTCAGTCACAGGCGCAGCCTCATCTTTGTCCTTTTTTGATGGGGATTCTGGCATGTCCAGAGACTTGATATGTATGACGTTGTGATCGAGATCGACCTCGTACACCAGAAAGTCTGTGAACCTTGTGATTTATTCAGTCAGTTTCTGTCACCATTCGAGAGCGACAGAGCGCACCTTTGCTTGATTATCCCGTCGATTTTCGGTACATCTTTCGCGATGTACTCTGAGATCCCGACATCTGTCTCCAAGATGCGAACGTGGCCATCGGTACTCGGCTGAGATAAAAATTTTGTTCCTAGCAAAGAATGGCTAGGAGGCAACAAGCTTTCTGGCTCCTCTGGTATAGCAGAGTATGCCGCATCGCTTGCTTCGAGTGGTGCAGATGAAGCTTCTACGCGTTTTTCACCAGCTTCTTCTGATGGGGCAGAAGAGCTTGACACATCTTGCTCGAATTTTTGTCTTTTCGCAGAGGGAGCTGCTGTTTCGTCGTGGTCGATTTCGCGTTCACGCACGCGAGGAGAGGCAGACATGCGAGAGGAGTGTTGAAGCAGCTGATGTTTTCGGAATCCAATCTGGGCAGTCAACGATCTTATCTTATCTCGCCCCCCTTCCTCCCCAACACGACTTCCATGGCCTACCTTCAATCGTATGCTGCTCGGGCGAAAAACCACACCAACCCAGCCGCAAAGCAACTACTAGATACGATAGAACGCAAGAAGTCCAACCTCTGCGTCAGCGTCGATGTCACAAAGTCGCTTGATTTCCTCATGGTCATCGACACCGTCGGTCCCTACGTCTGTCTCATCAAGGCAAGTATAATTTGCGACAATGAACCCTCGGCCGGACGACCTGAGTCTGATTTTACTTGCTCAAGACTAGACTCACGTCGACATAATCGAGGACTTTGACCCGTCGTTGATCGACCGCCTCGTCGAGCTAAGCAAAAAGCACGACTTCCTCATCTTCGAGGACCGCAAATTTGCTGACATCGGTGCGATCATCATCATCTCTTTCCAACTCTTCTATCATGCTTATCCTCTGTCTCTCATTGGACTACAGGAAATACCGTCGCACTGCAGTACTCTGCGGGAGTACACAAGATCGCCTCCTGGTCCCATATCACGAATGCACATCCCGTCCCTGGGCCTTCGGTCGTGACGGGACTCGCATCCGTGGGCAAGCCCCTCGGCCGCGGATTGCTTCTCCTCGCCGAGATGTCGACTGCCGGCACCCTCGCGCGCGGCGCCTACACCGAAAACGCCGTTCGCATGGCGCGCAACCACCTCGATTTTGTCGTCGGGTTCATCGCCCAAAGGCGGATGGACGGGGTCGCCCTCTCCGATGGTGCCAGAGAGACGACACAAGAGGATTTCCTGATCTTGACCCCTGGTGTAGGGCTCGATGTGAAGGGCGATGGGATGGGCCAGCAGTATCGCACGCCGAGGGAGGTGGTGCTGGAGAGCGGATGCGACGTGATCATAGTAGGGAGAGGCATCTACGGGAAGCCCGGGAGTCTAGATGTGTCAAAGGTGCATGCTCAGGCTGAGAGGTATAAGGAGGCAGGGTGGGCCGCGTATCTCGAAAGGCTGCAGCAGAAATAAAAGTGCCAAGGCACATAATTTATGACATTACAACTGTATCAAATACAATCCATCAGTGTGCTTGTACCGTCCTCAAGGAAGGGGGGTTAATACAGATATAAACCATCGGATACATGCTGTGTGTCTGTGCTAGCCGTACAACGGGGAATACATCAATATCGTCTGTGTAGTAAAGAGGCTCACGTACACAATCATTCTCCTTCTCCACCTTCACCTTCTCTCTTTTTCCTTTCTTCCTCCTCCTTCGCTTCCCTCTCTTCCGCTTCCACAATTTCCACGTCCAGCGGAAATGTGAGGATCGCAGCAATGCCCGTTATCTGGTTAAGTTCTGCAGTGGGGAGAATATATCAGGGGATGTTTGAGTAATCGAGTCATTCTAGTGGGATACTCACGCTGCCCGCTCTCATGCATACTTGAAAACATCAACACCTCGCCCCCTTTATCGCGCACGTCTTCCACGAGCGTAACATATTTTTTGCGTAGCACAGGGTCACTCGCACGGAACAATTCGTCGGAGATGAGGAGGGTGCCGACCGCGCCTCGGTCGATCGCAAGAGCGACGTGGTCTGGTCCGTACCATGCTCGTTGCTCGTCTGAGCCGAGCATTTTGAAGAACCTGAGGCGATGGTGAGCTACGAAGGAGGCTCGATCCGGACACACTCACTTGTCAAGCATGATGCCCTCACGAGCGAATTTTGTTTCTTTCAATTGCGCGACGATCTATACCCGAGTTGATGAGAAGGACTCAGGGCCAATATGGGAAGCACGGATGGCTCACCTCTGGGCTCTTCAGCACCTCCACTAAACTATGAACATGAGGGCTGTTCACATGAACACGCACGAACTTTGACCGTGCAGCAAGTAGAGGTTTGTTGGACGTTCGTGTAGCCTCCGCCATGATGTGGTCAAAGACGGCGTCCCGAACCCACCCGGGACTTGCGATGACGATTGCTCGGAGGCCAGGGCTTGAATACGGTATATGCCGGAGGAACGTCTGGTAGAGCACGTTGTAGAATCGCGCGAGCCCCTTCTCATGGGCTGTCGCAGAACCCGTGCGCTTGCGAGGAATCGGGACGTCGATGCGTTGTCGCACGACGGTCATATGCTGAGACAGGAGACAGAACGCAGCAGTGCCTGGGAGGAACATGAGTCTTAAGGTTTCGAGATCGCAAGATGACCTGCCTTCTCCACATACGATCGCGCCTACCTCTGCACCACGCCCAGGTACGCAAGCATCTCTGATCCTCTCTAGTGCGATGCTGTCCCACTCCGCCTTTTCTATGCGAACATCACGATTGGCCTCGATGTCGAGGGTGTGAAATGCTCCGAGCTTGACGTGAGCGTTCTCCACGGCGACACGGCCGGAGACCTGCATGGATGCGGTCGGCAGTGGAGGCGCCGACGACGTTGATTCCATGGAAGAGGGAATAGCGGAGGGGGAGAATTCGACGCGGGTGACTTGCAGAGTGAGAGTTGTGCGGATGCGATGGGACTCTGTCGATCCCGTCGCAGAGACATTCTGGACGCGGCTGCAGATATATCAGAGGACGAATCGAGATGGATTGGATGAACACACACCGTATGGCAGGGGCACGGACGCGGTCTCCCTAGAAGCATATTGAGATGCTAAGGACAGGGCAGGGGACGAGCGATCGCACCTCTTGGATGAGGTTGTAGAGATGCCACATGTCCTCGTCTTCCTCGGGTCTGACGGTGACATGGCCCTGCTGAAATGTGAGAACGAGCGTTGTTGCAGCTAGCAAGCACTCACCGAGTGGTCCTTTTCGATGTGTTTGCCGACAAGCTTCATGGTGACCGAGTGTGAGGAGCCTTGCGGCGGGCACTACGTCAGACTTGGTACATTCCTTTCTGGGCTCTCATCCCGCCTCACGAGCGACCATGGCCGACAACGACGTATAGTGAGTCTCTAACACAGAATCATCGACAGTTCGACCCAAACGGGTCTCTCGACAGCACAGGCCCGCGCAACCCCAAAGTCGCCCTCCTGGCCGCTCAGCTCGCTGCGCCTTCCACATCCACCTCCCGATCTCGCTCAGACAGAGACGATGAGGACCTGGACGACGATGAGCTCTTCGCGCAGCTCGAAGCCGAGATCGAGGATGACGAGGCCAAATTCCGCGAGCACGGCGTCAAGGAGCTGCAGCGCGAGTGCGTCTGACCCCTTCCTTTGCTCCTCCGCTCTGCTCATACATGTCTCCGCTTCGCTGTGCAGGATGGAGCTCATGAAGCAGATGCGCGAGGACAACCACGGGAAGTACACCGAGATGTCGGACGAAAAGCTCGTTATTCGGACCAGTGCGTGAGTCTGCCTTCCGCTCTGCCTTCCCCGTGCATGTTGTGAATATGACGGCACATCACACGTCTTCTCCTCCCCGCAGGACCGAGCCACGCTGCGTGATCCACTTCTACCATTCAAACTTCCGGCGATGCGAGATCATGGACAAGCACCTCGCTGTGCGTCTGCGCGCCCTCCACTCATTTGAACCGTGCATCCTCCGCTCACCGTTCCCTCGGGACTCATAGGCCATCGCACCGAAATATTTCCACACGCTCTTCCTCCGCGTGTTCGTCGAAAGCGTGCCTTTCCTCGTCGAAAAGTTGGGCGTAAAGGTCCTCCCGTGTGTCATAGGCTTTGTGAATGGCGTAACGAAGGATCGGTGAGTGCACGTCCTTCCCCGGCTTCCTCACCTCGCGGGATACCTATCCGCAAGTCGTGACAAAATCGCTCACTTCATCGCGCGCCTGAAAAGAATTGTCGGCTTTGAGGAACTCGGAAACAAGGACTCCTTCTCCACCGCCACTCTCGAGCTCCGGCTGCAGCAATCCGGTACGAACCCCACTGCCCTCTCATGCCCGCACGCCTTGACCATCTCATGTTTCCCCTCTCCTCCGCAGGCGTTGTCATCAAACCCTCAGAGTTTGTACCTGCGGTTCGAAATGTGACATCGACTGTCTCTCGCAGCCGCTTCCGACAAGAGCGCGACGACGACTCCGATTTCGACCTCGATGACTGACCCGTTTCAACGTCGCTCATACTAGGAAAATGGTCCGCACTCCTGCATCGCTTTCGCATTGTGCATTGCATACGTAAAATTGTATCTGGTATCCTTCGTCTAATCTTATACCATTTTTTGGTGATTCAACCGCTTCAAGCAGTCCGCTCGCCCATATCGGACCTTTTCCACTGAGTCAAAGAAGAGTACTCATCTCGTATATCTATCGCGATCCATATATTACATAGGTCAACAATAACGCTTTGTTGCCCTATTCATACAACACACTATCTTGTACAAGGACAAACCAAGGACACAAAGCCTCACTGTTGGAAAAGCCTGCTATTTTCGTTGATAAAGTCGTCGATCGCCATGCGTCGATAATCATCCCTAATAAGCGTCGTGTTCCCTGTCTGGAACTGCATTATCCGCTATTAATAAAACAATGTCATAACGAGCGTTAGGAAGCACGATGATTATGTGAGGATGACGGACCTGATCATCCCCATATGCCTCCCAGTTCGGGCGCAGGCTCCCCAGCCCGTCGTTCGGATCCAAGGAGTCCACGAACGAGAGCCAATAATCCATCATCGCCAAGCTGAGAGGCGGCAGGGCACCACCAATTATAGGGACCTCCTCAACGTCGCCGCTCGCAGAAATCACCCCGTAAATGTAACCCAGCTCGGAGGCGTGTGGCACTAGACACGCGTGCGTCGGCCAGAACGTCAGGCAGGCCTGAGCGGGCCCATTATCCACAATGAGGAAGCTCACCTCCAAGGTACGGCTGATTGTGAGGTTGAGGTTCGGTGAACAGGTATCCGTAAACCCTCGTCCCGTTTGCGGATGCGGTCTGCGTCCAGAAGCGGCGCTGGGCTTGGAACCACAAGTCACCGACTGGCATCCGCGGCGGGCAGAAACAAGACAGCGCGTAAGCCTGTGCACAGCTCAAACCCCACGAGTGGGGCTCTGGAACGTTCACACTGGCGAGGCATCCAGCATGGGCTTACCGATGGCTGCCGCGCGCTTATATTCTGCATTGAGCCCGAAAGTCGCGTTGCCTGTGCCAAATGGCGAGCGCATGTCCGGTGAATCGTACAAGGCGACCAGGGCTCCCGCTGCGATGTCGAGAGTCAGATTTCCATTGCACGAAGGGGAGGGAGTGTATAGCTTGACTATCGCGTCGTGGGTCTCTTTCGGCGAAGATATCGATGTGGGGACGAAAGACGTGCCTAAGGATGTGGATTGAGGTTTAATGAGTCGTGAGCCCGGCTCAAGAGATCGAAGAGAGGATGTGCAGTCACCTTCATCTAGAACTGTTCCAGCGATGAACGGCACTCTGTTCCCAGCACCCGATCTCAGTCGCAGACTAGGCAGATCGGGAACAAGGCCCTCCGAGCCGTCTATGACGGGTATAAACGGGAACTGTTGCTGGCCATAAGCTAGTGCGGCTTCTTCGCCGATAAGAATTTCATCAGACGTCGCAGCGAGCAAGCAAGAAAACGTCTCTCTATCGTTCTCGTTCTCGGTGAACAACAGAGAGGAAGTGCAGGAGGGTGTGCCTCTAGCGAATGCAAGCCAGGAAGGGAGGAGGTGTGAAGGCCCGAACAGGGGGAGAGTTGATGCGGAGCCAGATTCAAATATCTACGAGGTCACTGTGAATGGCTAGACCACGAAGGCCGGTGAGCAAATGCACTTACAGCGGCTCTGGCGACGTTTGTGAAGTTCTCGTTCAGATAATGTAGAGCAAGCGAAATGGAGCCAGCGCTCTGACCAAAGATCGTGACCTACAATGTCTGATTAATCCATGTTTGATGTAGCGAGGCTGTACGACATACCTTCTCAGGATCGCCGCCAAACGCGTGAATGTTCGCTTGTACCCATTCGAACGCGGTCCATTGATCGTGTAGTCCGAGATTGAGAGCGCCACGGACAGCTGCTTCAGGGCCTTGGGGGAAACCTAGCGGACCTAGGCGGTAGTTGAACGTGACATAGATGACAGGCGTCCCCTGTAATGAATTCATCGACCGCGAGAGACAGACTAGGGCGTGGGTGTACATACACGATGGATCGAGCGGTCAACTAGCGCAGACCCGTTCGACGCAGATGATGACCCACCTGCCCGACCATGATGGGTATTAAAAAGGAAGCAAAGACACGAGATGAGTACTCATGAACCCTCCGCCATATATCCATAGCATGACGGGTAAGGAGGAATTCTGAGTCAGGCCTGCAGGCCGGAAGACGTTGAGGGTGAGGCAATCCTCTGATATGCGCGACTGTGTCCACTTGAGAAAATATACATCAGATGCACTCGCGACAGAAAGAGATGACAGAAAGACACACAGGTTGAATACAGGGGAGTCCGGAAGTGGTTGCATTAAACGTCGAGAGGTTTCCCAAGTCGAACTTGGGGACAGGTAGTGCAAAGCGAAGGTGACCTATAGGAGACTCGGCAAAGGGAATCCCTAGAGAAAAGCAAAACCCATTAGAAGACATTAGACGTCGAAAGGAGAGACGGACCTCCAAAGAACTCTTGAGACGCGAAATTGCTGCCAACGACGACAGTTCCGGAGAGCTGAACCTGTACACCATGTACGTACTGCACGAGGAGGGACAAGAACAGTACGGGACAGACGCGAGTGCAGACCATATGGGCGAGGAAAGAGAACCCGGCGGCGAATCCGAGCAGAAGAGGGCGGGATGCATCACGTGTCCCGATCCCAGTGCGCGATCGACGACGCGTCTCTCGACGACGTCACGTCCGAACACAAGTACAAAAGCAATCAATCCACACCATGAGTACTACATACCCCCTCTTTATATGTCCATCATGCCTAAACGCTCACTTCGCAGCCCCTCTCCTTTTGCATCAAAGAAACCCCGTTCCGACGTAGAGATCGTCCATCGCAAAATCGCGACAGCAGACGCAGCCGCAAAGGTCGATGCGCATAGACCTCTGCCCCAGCTTCTAAACGCCCTAAGTAATGTCGTCAAGTCTCCTAAGAAAGGCGAGGCAGTTGTGTATTGGATGAGGATGGAAGATATGAGAAGTGAGTCGTTCAGACAACTTGCAATTTGGTGTGAGCACGCTGACACTTTCTGCAGTCGTCGATAATCGTGCGCTCGCGCAAGCCTCTTCGGCAGCTAAGGAGGATAACATACCTCTCCTTGCCCTCTTTATTCTTAGTCCACAGGACTACGCCGCTCACGACAGGAGTCCACGCAGGGTAGATTTTACCTTAAGGAATCTCTCTATTCTGCAGGTGAGACTACATGTTCCTAAAAAAACGACTCATTTCTGATTAACTTTCAGTCTTCCCTTGCGGGCCTGCACATTCCATTGCACACCGTGACCCACACTCCCCGCCGAATGCTACCATCTCGCGTTCTATCTCTCCTGAAATCGTGGAATGTCACTCGTCTGTTCGCAAACATCGAGTATGAAGTCGATGAGCTGCGTCGCGACATCAATGTTTGTGAGCTCGCGAAAGAGCAGGGTGTCCGTCCGACCTTTGTCCACGACAAACTTGTCGTAGAACCAGACACCCTTCAGACAAAGACCGGCAAGCCGTTCACTGTACGTTTCATCATCTGCGTTCATCCTATAGCTGTCCTAAATAATCCTCTCTAGGTTTACTCGCCGTTCCAGCGCCAATGGCTGCCTACCCTCAACGGCGACCTGCCACGATTTTTGGGTGAAGCCCCGGCCCCGAGCCCCAACTCTAAGGATATCCACGAGCATCCTAAATTCGCAGACCTGTTTAATACCCCTATTCCTCCATCAGTTGAAGGGTTTGAGTGCGCCGATCGAGACAAGATGTCAGAAGTCTGGCCCGCGGGCCATGATGCTGCTAAACAAGTGAGCATCGCCTACTATCTGTATGCATACACACTGACCCGTGCTCGCCGAGTAGATGCTTGACCTATTTCTCCATACCAAATCCAGCGAGTCGCATGTCGGTCTCTCAAACCCCCTTGAGAAAGCTACTTCTTCAGACAAGAAAAGCAGAGCGCTTGTGTACAAGGCGGAGAGGGACAGGGCAGACAGGAATACAACGAGCCGGTTGAGCCCGTACCTTTCCGCGGGCGTGATATCCGCACGAGAGCTCATCTGGGCGAGCATGACTCTCCTAGGCATCAAAACTGTGCGCGCTGATAGAGAGTCGGATGTCGGGATGTGGGTACAGGAGATTGGTGAGTGGGCTGTAGAGCACGAGGACGGATAGAGCCATTGATATGTGGCTTCTGACAGCCTGGCGCGACTTTTACACGCACGTTATGGTCGCATTTCCGCGGGTGTCCATGGGCCGGCCCTTCCAAGAGAAATACGCGGATGTCAAGTGGGAGACGAACGAGGAACATCTCAGGGCATGGCAGGAAGGCCGCACTGGCGTGCCAATTGTCGACGCCGCCTTGCGGCAGGCGAACACTATGGGTAAGATCGCCTGTCTTGTCCCTTGATGGCACCTTGCTGATCGTTTTTCTTTGATGCAGGGTGGATGCACAACCGCCCACGCATGATCGCGGCCATGTTCCTCACCAAGGACCTTATGATTGATTGGCGACTCGGCGAACGCGTGCGTAATTTTCCTGTGCTGCCCTCTGCTTGCCCTGCTCAGCCCTGCCGTTCCATTTCAGCATTTCATGCAACAATTTATTGATGGCGACCTTGCGTCCAACAATGGCGGGTGGCAGTGGAGCGCTAGCACAGGCACTGACCCGCAGCCATATTTCCGCATTTTCAATCCGTACCTGCAAAGCGAGAAGACAGACCCGTCAGGCGAGTACATCCGCGCGTTCGTGCCGGAGCTGCGGGACGTGAGGGGGAAGGATGTGCATCAGCCGTCAGCGAAATTGGCGGATAAGTTGGGGTATCCGAGGCCGATTGTAGATCATCATGAAAGTCGAGAGAGGGCGCTCAGAAGGTATAAGAACCCCGGGGAAGAGTAGAAACGTGGTTCTTGCTCTTGATTTGGCATGTCACACTATATTATTTTATGTACCATCGCGTCCAGCCTTACGTTGAAGGATATGCATATGCAATGTCCTCAAATTACCTTAATATCTCGCATCAGTTCACCATTGCAGCACAGGGGCATGCCTTTGATATCACAAGCACTTCTTCGCTTTGAAAAATCCAAATTCAAATGCGACACCGAAACAGCTTCGCGGATCGCGCTGTATGTCCAAGATGCTGGTGTCGCATATTTTAATTGGAGCCAGTATGCAAACAACAGAGCAAGGGAGGAAGACGCGACAAGGCGCGCACAGGATGAGCATAGAGAAAACCAACGAAGCCTAGAAACAAGGATTTTCGACTGGACAACTGAGTCTTAGCACCAGGATCTCCAGCATCAATGGATTGAGCATGAAGAAGGATCTTGGAGTGGGGGGAAGTGGAAGCAGGATTTTCAAGAAGAGCTCATGATCTGGAGGCTAGACAAATGGAGCAGACAAGACACTGAAAGGAGGAGAGGAGGGGACTAGGGGGAGCACAGTGTATTCGACAGCCAATAGCTCATAGGGTCTTGTGGAATATTATAGTCGCTGAATAGTAGATAATTTATCACAAAAGCGGGCAACGAAGCTGAAGTGAATTTATCTATCCATCATGTTTTCAACACTCATCACTGCAGTCACCTCTCGTCATCAGCAACCTCCTCTCTTAATTAGATTTAATTATTCAAAATACTAATCTAAGTTAATTAGAATATATTATCTGTAATCAACTTTATGACCAAATTTGTGATTAAGGGGACATTGTCTATATTATTACAGTCCCATTAAAATCTATAACCTAATTACAATTTTACATATCCCAAATCCAAATTATCCAAGTGCTACAATTCTATTTTTACTGTATTCTTTATTTTCTATTGGTTTACTATTTTGTTGTCTGGTGTCTAAATTCAAATATTGAAAGCCCTGATTTTTAGGGTATTTATTGACCCCTTTATATATAGAATAGATGGAAGATGAATGTGTAAGAAAATCAGAAATGTTGAGATTGCCTTATTCATATCAACATATTTAGGTTACCAGGTAAATAATTTAGACTTTGTGGCTTAGTGGTTTAGAGCATTAGTCCGGAGTGTGCAGGCATGAGGTTGTTGGTTCAATTTTAGTGATGGGCAAGTCTGTAATAAGGTGCAACTTTAGTTTGATTAGTAAGCTCTATGCATACTCTATGATTAGAGGTATAATAGTAGTAGAGAAGCCATAGGAGTGGGTTGGTTGATATTTTCCGAAAATCCATATAATAAATTAGCTTTAATTAGCTCTAATTAGATCTTATAATTTCAGGATTAGAGGGGGGGTAAGCTAAAAATCCTTAATGGTAATTAGTAGAAATATAGCTATATTTATGCTTAACTATGGTTAATTTGATATGGAGCTTTTCCCTGATGCATACAGCCAACCTTCAAGAGTGGTTGTAAATCCATTATGGTATTGGGGGTGTATTGCACATAGTGTGAAAGGTCCACTGATCAAGCTAGAATTCCCACCTGCAACCATGAGTAAGAAGGGCCAAAAATAAGGTAGAGGCTTGGGTGCAAAAGAGTATATTGCACAGGTTCTTGAAGGGCCTCTAAAGGATTTTTTCGACAGGATGGAGCAGTAGCAGATATGTCTCATGCTTGTTGTCGAAGATGGAGCACCAGCCCACACAAGCTGCCTCACAAAATCTGCTTGGTTAAAACTGGGCATCACACTTCTAATACATCCTTCATCTTTACCTGATCTTAACCCTATCGAGCTGTTATGGCTGCTGCTCAAAAACCATGTTGCTGATACCCCAGGTGCCAGTAATTCTCTCAAAAACCTATGGTTAGCAGCACAGCATACATGGGAAGAAATTACAGAGGAGGAGATTCAGAGACATACCGGGAAGATGCTAGAGAGGGTTGCACAAGTTCAGGCAGCAAAAGGCTGGCATACAAGATTCTAACTACTGTATTGTATAAAAGACATTCCTAGCTCTTCATAAAGACTATTAAATTGTCAATCTATTTACAATTGCTCTCAGGAGACAGTTAGAAACCAGGAGACATGTCATGTCACAGTCACCTGTTCAAATACTTTTCGCAGGCACAAGTACATGGATCTCTAACTGCATACTTCATCCATTAATTTTAAAGTGCTGCGTAGAGAGTATCCATCATCCTGTAGGGAATACCAAATTCTTAGGGACATAGCTTGTATGGCCCTGTTTACAATGTGATGCCCTTGAGCTCCCTTTTTCTCATGATTCAACGTTCAACCACACATCCTGTCAGAGATGTGCATAAAGCATTTTCCCCTTTGAATGACTATCAGGTGAAACTCCTGCTCACAGCGGACTGGCACGGACGGACCTAGTCCGGCGCGTGCCGATCTCATCACTCATCCAAAAAAAAAACTATTGTCCAAGGACATACGTGGTTTGTTTCGAGATTGTTGCAACCATGTCATCGTGCTTTAGAAGCTGCAGAAGCTCGTCCTCAGGTTTGTCAAATTCTTATGGTTGATAAAGACGATGTTGTCTTTGAAGCCCCGCAAATTTGGACGGCTCTTCGTTCGGTCGGCAGCTAGGGGGTCGGGGTACGTCAATTGTTGAACGAGCTCTGATATCTCGTGTCACATCCTGCGTTGTTGGCGGAGCATCTTGTGGGGATATCCAATCAGGACGAGACGCATGCATTCATTCACCATCTGCACCATGACGTTTTTTCTGATCAAATTGCGAGCTGCAGCCTCTCAATCAGTCCTACCATAGATCCCACATCTAACAAAATTCACTCACCAACGCCAAGTGGCCCCCGACCACAGGCCGTGCCCTGAATCCCTCCGCCGCACCAGTTGTTGCATCGTACCAGTCGCCAAACGGCGCACTGTTACCCCTCGCGGATGTCGCAGCGTAGGCGTGCACGCCGTCAATCAAGAGGTCGCGAGTCGTGTCGGACGAAGATGTGGAGAGAGCGGCAGCGGCGACCATCTGCCAGTCTGACTTGGTGTAAGTGTGTCGTGTGTCGAGTGGTACGCCAAAAGGTTCTGAATGCGGGCGTGTAAGTTGAAAACAAGGGAGAGGAGAAGAGAGGATGGGCCTTACTGGAGACTGTCTGGTACCATGCGGATTCTGTGGGGAGGGTGAGAAGAAGTTGGAAATGGGGTTGGCAGGAGATATTGAAACCTACGGATGTCATAGATAGATTGCGGGAAGAGATTCAATTTGAGGAGTTTATCTGCATAAAGGTTGTACGAGAGCCCCCAACTAGCCAGATATCGTTGAGGCGATGCAACACCTGGAAAGAATACAGCTCCATCACCTTGAGTCGTTTCCATACTGATTGACAGATGTGCGAATCATATAAATGAGAACGCTTCGAGCATTACATCGTGCACCGTGAACTCACGGATAGCGTCAGATGCTTGCCATCACTCGACAGCGCGAATTTTTGCCACTGCTCGACGTAACTCGCCGCAATCGACTAGAAGTCCCAGCCACGTGAACGATGAATGACGACGTAGTCAACAGAAATAAAATCAAAAGACTGAGGCGTCCGGCACGCACGCTGTAATTTTGGCTTTTCGTGTCGTCCCCGAGCAAACGCGCGATCTCTGCCATGGCGCGGATTCCGACGATGCCCTTGATGGCCAGGTTGGTCTGATTCGCGAGGCTCCCTGCGAAGTCATCTGTGCTGATTTGGTTCGCCGGAATCAACGCCTCCTGGATCAGGAACTGCGTCCATTGGTCTAGGAGGCTCGACTGATGAAAATGTGGCATGCATGTGCCTGTTCCGTGAGAAAGTGCGGGATTGGGGAAAGGGAAGCAGAGTGATGCGCACATATATAGTGATCAGGGACGTGTCGTTAGTCTTCTGAGTGTAGGACAAGGCCATAATGAGCATATTCCCGCTTTCTGTCGGTGACGGTTAGGGGAAGCAGGGAAGAGGCGAAGTCATTAATAGCAGTGAATTTACCTTCAAGCGGCATGGCCTCATCCTTTCCTGGACCGGATAAATACAATCAATCAGAAGCATAACCGAAAAGGCTCATTTTTAGGACCAGGCCCTACATACCGTCGTTGTGACCTAGGGCTTTGGGATAATTCGCACCTACAGAGGTAGCGTGTTTAGTCTCGGCTGCGCAAACGACCATCATCCGCAAGATTCACCCATATCATGGACACTCCACTTGTTCGGGTACTGCCCGGACGCCTGGTACTCGAACAGAGGGAGTAGGAGGTCCCTTCCCAGCGCCGGGCTGGCGTAGAGGAACGCTGGCCACGCAGGGAAGATGACGTCCACGGTGTTCACGTTCTGATTGTTTGTTTGAAGTTGAGCACATATGCCTGATAGGATCAGCTTGTTCGGCATCGGAATTGCTTACCCCGTCGCTCGATATCTCCTTCATAAACACGAGGACATCGTCGGTGTTCCACCGACCCTCGCTGTCCTTCGAAACGGTGATCTCTATGGCGCCGAAGACCTGTCGGACGGACAGCGCCACGATGGAAGCGTAGTTTGCCGAAATCGCAGACGCGTCGCTCTTAATTTGAGCATCGAATTGGTCTGCGCGAGAGAGCGCGCCAGCGTAGTCCCCGATGAATGAAGAAATCTGGATGCACCCGAATTACATTTAGGCGAATGTCATTTAGAGGAAGCAAGCTCGGGGAGAGACGACACGCAATATACTCACAGCATCCGCGACAGATGAGAACTGGCTCTGGAAGTACACGCTTCGATCTTGCAGAGCGCCGCCCGTGACTATATATTGAACAGCGGGGTCCCTTACGTGGCCTACAGTAAAGATCACCGGGTCTGTCGCGACGCTCACAGTTCCGAGGTTATGCGCAAAAGCAAAGACAGGCCAATTGTCAGAGATCGCGCGGAATTTGACGTCCTCTGTGTTGGCGAGAACGCCCGACTGGATGAACTGTCCGCGCACAACAGTATCCTGACCAGTTTGATAGGTTGTCCCGGAAGTCTGTAGGATGTATGCGTTCAATATCAAACTCTAGGTGCTCGTGAGAATGCAGGCGGACGCACCGATGGGGTTGAGTAGAACGCCGCGCCTTCTGCTCATCTGTCAATAGATGAGTTACAGCTGCTCAAGAACGCCTGCTCACGTTGAATGTGGTCAGAGACCTCTCCATATATGGTTTGGGACTCCAGCTGGACTTGATGCGTCAGAATGCCTCCGGTTGTCGTCGTTGACCAGTTCGCGACGAGACTATTATCACCGGACACCCATTCCGCGCTGATATCAGTGTAGGCTTGTACAGAATGTGAGCTGCCGTCGTTCGAGGCAACAGAGAGGGCCAAATACGAGAAGGGCAGCGACTGTTTCGCCAAATCATTTGGCTGTCGTATCGTGAGATTCAGTGAACAGATGTTTCTCGGTGAGAAGCATTTACCTCTACAGGACTCAGGAAGGTGACGGTCAAGTCGACCGGTCCAGCAGTCATGACGAAAATACTTTGCGTAGCGGTGAACTAAGAAGAAGCTGAGCGCTAAATCATGAAAATTGGAGAATAATCACTCACGGTCAGACTTTTCTGAACAGCTTTGCTCGCACCAGACACGACAGGCGCTCCGAGAAAATTGTACGCAGTACCGTCAACTTTCACATAGCCCGCCCATCCCATGATCTAGATATCAAGGGGAGTGGCGAATTGAGACATGCCTAGATCGATGGAACCACGTATCTCACGTTGCCTGTCCAGAATGCGGGCCAAGCGCCATTCAAAGCAGTCCCGGCTCCTTGAGGGAGCCATACTGACAAGTACGGCGTTCGTACGGCAAGGGGGACTGATGGCGGGTTGAACGGGGTCGCGGTCCAAGTTACATCTGCATATGCCGAGCCCGCCAAAATCGCGAGGCTAGCGACCACGGTGAAGGCTATCATCATGATATGCGCGAAAGCGACAGGGAGAGGATATTGGTCGAGTGTACTCGTTGCCTTCTGTCTCTTTTTATATGCACTTGGATATCGGAAAGGACCTAGAAGTCGCATGGTCCCAATTGGCCGTTATGAGTTTCCTGATAGATTGGATGCACAGCTCTGGAGCGGAAAGAAGTACGCCTCACCCTAGTAGCACAACGGATATTACTCGCGAAATGACGAGCGTGATCTGGAGGTGCTAATGTGGAGCACAGTAGCCAGAATAGGCGTGATGTGAGCCCCATTGATACCTATGATTCGACGTGCATGATCTCGAAGACCTGAAAGTGTCTCTCGTGATGACAAGATACTCTGAAAAGTTCCCAGGAGAACTATAGGCCATGTGTGCACAACGTTCACGAGTTCTATACTCTCGTGTGCTAAATCGATGCATTACGGCTCGTACTTACATGGTGACGATGTTTGGTCATAAAGCGCTGATTACCTGACAACGATGTTTCCCTGAATCAGCAAGGGAAGAGCTGATTGATGGCTGTGGTCGGATAGGAAACGAGACATGGAAAGCGCAAGTCAGTCTCCTCAAGTGCGTCACACTCAATACACCATGCGAAATAGAAAAAGCAACGCAGAACAAAACAAAAACCCACAGATACATTGCCATACGATAGAAGATGAGGCTTAAAGTCTTGAAGAAGACAAGCAAAAAAAACAACGCTCACCTGGACAGTATAACGCACTTCTTTGAACGAGCTGCTTGTCTCATGAGGCCAACAAGCGTCGGAATGACCGCCCACAGACTACAAGCCTTGTGAAGAACAAGAACAACGTGCATGATTCATAGGGCCTTGAGCGCGTGGGGGCGTGTTTAATATATTGTATTTGATAGGGAGTCACGGTGCGACATCACAGCATCGACAGAACGAGCTTGAATTAACAGAGTCAACATGGCAAAGGGTCAAGAGAGCTGGCGGAGGCTGGCGGAGAGTGGCCAAATGTAACCACACGACAATTACATACGCTGTGAGTCCCTGTAGGCGTTCCGGTCCAACCGGCGCCTACCCGAGACTACCCGAGCTAGTCCCAAAACGGATGAAGGGAATGTGTAAACTTGGCAACTTACGTCGTGTCCTGGCCTCCTCAGGTCCCACAACACAGCGTAATAGCCCCCAACGATATAAGTAACCGCGTAGCTCTCATCATGGAACATCCCCCAGCATCCCCTCCCGCTCCCTCTCCTTCCACCGCGTCGTTTCTCGAAGGTTGCCTCTGTCCTCATCCTCATCCGCACCCGCGCGAACACTAGAGCACAGATGGCGTACATTTCTCAGAACATCCCGCTCTCGCTATTTCCCACCGCACCTGCCGCCCCAAATGCCTTCTGCCTCTTCGGACAGAACCCCAGGGACGCTTACGGGACTTACGAGGAGCTCAGGAGCGTCCTGCGGCCGTCGAACGGCCAGCAGACGCAGCACCGCCGTGCGAGCGTTGGCTCCACCGTGACTGAAGGGATCAGGAAGCTCTTCTGCGGAGCATAGAGCACATCCGTCCACGTCGCGACCGCGACCGCGAATGCACACATCCACGTCATCCATCCCACATTCTTCGCGACGATGTCAACTCCGTGTATATCCCCAGTCCTAGCGCCCATGCACTCTCTACCATGTCATGCCGTACTCAAGACCCAGCCCTGCGCATCGACACTCCATGTCCAGTCAAGTCATAGGCGTACTCGCCCTTATGCACCCTCCTCTCGTTTAGCATCAGCATCTCTTATTCGCACCCGTTCCGCGCAGAGGACGTCGAGCCGCGTCATCCAGCCTCCATCTCCCCTCCATCTCCACCGTGAGCGTGCGAATCTCTTCGGACTCGTGTCGCACCATATTGCTTTGCCTATATCGTTTCACGTGGATCAAAAAGAGTCCATCTGTGGTCAGAGGAGGGGGGTAGAAGGAAACCGGGGACAATGTCCAGATGGACCCTTGTAGCATATCATCTCTTAAATTGTGACATCGTTATAATCGAGTACCCGCGACGTCAGTCCTCGTCAGTTCAGCTTGAATCATGCATGCGACAGGCTCCAGCTGGCTTCACCGATCGTCGTGCGAGGGATGTTACCGCGTGGATCTCCTACAGAAGCGAGCGCCGACTGTCACCCCCTCTCACCTGAACAGAAGGGCCGGTCGTTCTGTTGACGGAATCGTCGACGCCTGCATTGAGCTTAATGCGGCCACAAAGCCTGAGAAGCACGCAGGACAACGCGAGCGGAAGGGAAGGCACGTGAATGCAACGACATCACAGAGAACAACAGCACACGCCAATGGTCGTGATCAGGATCAGAGTCACAGGCCCAGGCCCTTCCTCAGCGAATCCACCAGCGCCCACTCGTCTGTGTCCCCGTGCACGTCGAACATGTTCACGCCGAGCAGCCCGTGTGTGCGCACCATCTCTGCCTTCATCTGGAGACTGCGCGCGTCGTCGTACGAGATGACCTGCCCCGCGCTCTCGCTCCTCAGCCACGGCGTGTTCGAGCACGCGTCCCACGCACGTACGAACCCACCACACGCGTCGTAATCCCCTGGCTCTCCAGTTGCATCCGGAGCTTGCTCTCGCGCGTGTTCCTGTCTCGTTGCGTTCGCCGTTGATGATGACGACGACGGCACCGAGGCCGACGGGCACAGCGCGCCCTGCACGACGAGGTCCCTGAACTGCACCTGGCCCTCGTCCTCAGACTTGACATGCACGGCGTCCTGCGGCGCGCTCGTGCCAGTGCCGTTGTTGGTGCTGTCGGTGTCGTTGGCGGGCTGCTGCCGCGTGCGCAGCTGCGTCGCGGTCGACTTCGACACATAGCCGTAGGAGGGAACGCCGAGCACAAGCTTCTCCGCGGGGAACCCTGCGGCAGTCCACGTACGGATGGCCATGTCTGCGTTCGAGTTGGGCTGCGTCGAGTTTTGGCAGGCATCGCTCAGCGGCGCATTGGGCCCAGGATTGGAAGACGCTGAGAAATATTCGATTCGATGAGCAGAGGCGTGTTGCACGAGAGCAACATAAAAGCGGGATCAGAATGCCAAAGAAACATGTTACTCCAACGCACCTTGCCAGACGTCGTAGTTCATCATCAAGATCCAATCCAGCGCCTGCACGAACTCCGTCACGTTCGCCATCGGGCTGCCCTGCGCGCTCGCGAACGGCTGGGTCTGTGTCGCGGCGGTGATGCGCGCGCCTTGAGGCAGCGTCGTGCGCAAGAGCTGCAGGAACGCGAGGAAGTTATCGGAGTCGTCCGGACTGACGCGATTGCCTGGCGCGCCCTCCTGCCCGGGATACTCCCAGTCGATGTCGATCCCGTCGAGGTTGAACTGGTTGTACGCAGAGAGAATGTTGTTCACAAACGTTTGCCGATTGGTGTCGCTCGATACAGCAGGCGAGAACCACCTGTGCGGGTCGGGCAATACGTCGATCAGGAACAAGAACATGCCACGCGCAAGGCGACGACTTACTTGCTCCCCGTCCATCCACCGACGCTCAGTTTCACTTTCTTGCCCTTCGCGTGAGCCACAGATACCAAGCGTGCGAGGAGAGACTGCGCTTGGTCCGACCCGTCCCAGCTGAGGCCAAACTTCTCGCCTGGTACCGCGAACGCAAAGTCGATCCAGTCAAAGCGCCCAAAGTCGATTTTCTCTGGAGGGAACGTGTCCGCCACCCACGAGGGATAATATGCCATAACGAGCGGGACCTGAGCAGGCGGAGGCTGGGTGTCGCCATCCGATGGCGCGCCGGACGTGTCGTTGGGCGCCGAGTTCGAGGAGGGGGAGGGGGAGGGGGCGACAGCTGGAGGTGCAGGGGCGTCCTGGGCAGAATTGGGGCGCGTTGGAAGGGTGCTGTTCAGGGACGGTATTAAATCCGCGGGATTGTTTGGAGGTAAGAAATAGATTTGCACGCCATCTGTCGATGTCGGCGGAGCACCCTCGATGGCGAACGGCGTGCGACCGCCTCCTTGTACGGTCGCGGTGGCCAAAACGGCCTGGGTCTCGACCACGGCACGGACGTGTGTCTGTGTCAATGGAGGATCCCGATTGTGTGCCTTGTCAGGGCTGGAGAAAATGACGACCGGAAAGCAGAGCACGGGGGATACGAAGGGAGATAGAGACCATAGAGAAAGCATGATCAATAAAGTAAAGACAGGAACACCGCCAGGATGTGTAGAATTCAATGAGGTTTGGGACTGGCCCGATGCAAAAGAGAGGATAGAACGGCGCTCGCACATACCTAGGTATTGCGTTTTAGACCAGCAGAGACAAATTTCGGTTCGGGCTGGACCATGAAGCATGTCTGACACGACTGGTCGCGGTCAAGTTTCGCGCTACAACCCAGACGGATATTACAGCACATGCCAGATAGTGGACCGGTGAAACGCAACCACGGACGAACAGGCAGGACAAGTTTGCGCATCAGCGGCGTTTGATGGACGCGTTAAGTCAGACAGCGAGCGAGGATCTCCTAGATCTCGGCTAGCCGCGTTGGATGCATAATTAGAGCGAAATTCCCTGCGGAATATTTCAAAGTCATTAATATGCAGTCCAGAGGAGGACAAGAGGCTCTGTGCCAATGCCGAGCATGGAATGTATGGTATTGATGACAGTTAGTGTGTAAGCGGTGGAGGAGAGATCGTCAGAACAGTGGGGCACTGTGATCTATGTGGATCGTCTGTTACAAGCGAGGAGCGATTTACTGCCGAGTTAGACTAGCAAGTTGATGGGCGGAGGGGAGGGGTCGAGGAGAAGGGAAGAGGAGAGGGATGACATGGACAGAGGGAGTGCGCACGAATCGCACGGGAAAGTTCGGAAAGGTCAATGTATGGGGGATGAATGGACAAATAGGTGGGCCAGCCCTCCACGATGATCACGTCGAGCCGTCGCAAATGCGGGCCGGGGGGGAACGTCCTCCAGCAATTCTGATTCACGTCCGTGATGCCCATTGTCCTCTGTCCAAATGTATCAGAGCCTCCCTCGAATCCGCCTGAGAAGGCGGAGGCAGGTCGAGAAGATGATCCCATGCGGCACGTCAGAGCCCGGCTCGGCGGCCATCGTCCACCACAGCTCGCGAGCCGTGCTTCTCTGGACGATGAACGGCCAGTTACAACATCACCATGGTCAAATGACAAGCACAATGGCTAGCCACTTGCACACAGTCACGGTCGGTGCTACGTTGGGCGCTGCTTCGTAGCAACGCCGCACAAACACGGCGGGCAGGAGGTGTGCCGTGTGCGTGGGTCCGAATTGCGGAAACCAGTCAGAGGCAGACGTGCAGGGAAGGTGGATGCCGAGGCTGAGGCGGATATGAGATGGGGGGAGCGCCCACCGAAGCGCTGGCGCACACGGAGTCAGCAAGTGGGAGGGCAGGGCGGACAGCCACCGAGACTTCCTGCCTTTATTCAGAAATGGAAATATTTGCAATTCGCGCGACGCTGCCCCGTTCGCGTCTCGTCCAGCCACTGGTTCGCACACGCCTTGTTTTCGCATTCGGTCCACCTATAAGATGCCTCCCCTCCACCCTCCATTCATCTCCCATTCCCGCTCATCCACTCCCAGAGCAAATGTCCTCTTCCTCAACCCGATCCCTCTCCCCACCTCCTAGGATGCCTTCTCCTCAACCCCTTCACACCCCTCTCCCTTCTCCACACCTCATTCAACGCCAACGTTCTCGCCAGCGCCTCATCTCCGCACCCCAATCCCCACCCATCCCCCCTACCCTCATCGGCTCCCCACTTCTCAAAAAGACCGTCGCCTATCCGCGCCAGCGGGTCCTTTCATCCCAGCTCAAGGCCGATATATGGCTTGACGGTGATGACTTTGGAACCAGAAAGGAGAAATCCCACTCACCCCCACTCACCGGCTCACCTAGCCGCGAGCGCCAGCCTGGCCGCGGTTTCCACCGTCGCGTCGCGTCGATCTCGATCTCCCCTCGTGCCCGCGCGCGTTCACCACCTCCGAGCCCACCCCGCTCCGGCCCTCCACCGCCCGTGCCTCCTATCCCTGCCTTCTACCTGAGCGCGGGTGACAGGAAACCCATACTCCAGCCGAGAGACACGAATCTCCATCCCGTCGTGCCCATCTACATCCCTGACCTCCGATCCCTCTCCTCGGAGTCCGACGCGTCATCACGCGCGCGTTTAGGCGTGACGTGTAAATCCAACGACGCGATGACCTGCATCAAATTCTTTTCGATTCACAATGGGGGTCGGACCACATCGGCGTAGAGCGCCCAAGGCGTGCTCTTCCGAGCTGCGAGAAAGATCATGCGCGGTACCAAGTGCCCGCACCTCCTGGGATGGGTCCGCTCATTGATGCGTCGCAGTTCGACCCTATCTTTCATCAATTTCGTTCGCTCTCTCATACTTTACTGCTACCACCATCGTTCTTTATTCTACTGTCCTTCTTATTTGACCGCATGGTTCGCCCAGCGTATACGCTCGTTTCCGGTTCTCTCGCGTCCCCACTTATCTTACCATTGTACAACTAGAGTCATCCATCCTGCTTTCCGCGCTCAGCGCTCACGACTCCCTCGCATGTCGCAGTGTTTTTTTTTACCTTACGCTGTACTCGGTATAATCGTCGAAACTGCCGTGTTGTAGATCGCTCTCCCAGCTACCAGCTATTCCCCCGATGGACTTCCGCGGTACACAGATATTGTTTGCAACGCGTAATCGAGCGCTTTCATATCCACCTCAGCTGTTGTTTGATCCCAGACGCGTTGGACAAATTTTTCGTCCCGGAAGAACCTGAGCCATACACGTCGGAATCGCGATTATAACCCTGGCAGACCCTGGCGCCGCGCTGATGTTCCCAACTAAGTACCCCATCTCGCGTCGAATCGGAGTCATTTTGAAGTCATTTTGAACTACGGGCATTTCGGGTCCGCGACGGTGATTCCCTCCTCCGTCATGCCAGCGAGACACTTGAGACGACTTGCTTCAGATACACGCCGTGCCATTTCTGGCCGCGGCAAGCTGTTCAGTGTCCGGACGTTCACACACCCCAGGGGGACCGGCGACGATGTCCCTCACACGACACGCGGCGTATTTTTGGCGCCCTGCCAGCGCAACCCGCTGACTTGACTGGTAGCACGCATCCCAACGCCGACACGGATCAGCGCCCAAAGGACGCGGCTCGTGCGCTCCTGCGCGCGCACCGAAATGGCGACGGGCCTCGGGGCGGGTAAGAAGCGGGAGTATCTGAGCTCCTAGATCTGACTATGTAGACGCAGATAGTTAGCTCGTGGATACATGGAGCACGCCAAGCGGAACACGACTGTTGCGAATGGGCGCCCGTTGGCGCGGGCGCGCGGCGTCTCTATAACTTAGTGCGGAGATGGCGGGCGAGGTGCGGGTGTGCCCATGGAGAGCGATACATGAGTGCGCAAGTGTTGCACACTGACTGTGTACTTACTGCGGGTGGCGTGCCAATCTGGCAGGGCTGTCACCAGAGGGCATGGTATGTTCGAAAAAGAAGGCAAGTGAATGGCGTGTATGCGTCATTGTCGACGTCGGGGCGCCACTGACAACTAACAAAACACGATGCCTCCGAGGCACATGGCAGAAATGTTTCGACGGAAGGCACGGTACCTGTATGGACAGGACGACGTCGACGGGCCCGAACATGAAGATAGGTGGAGTCGATCTGCTATGACTTCAAGGTGGATTGGGGCGAACATGTCATTGTATCGGTATGTAATGCTTAAAGAGGTGAGCTACTAATCCGGCTCCGCTCAGGCTCAGAGCGATACTTTTAAAAAGATAAATGCCTCGTGACATGATTCGGAGAGATGAACGGTAGATTGAGTGACGAGATACCAGTACCAAGGTGGGGGCTAAATAAACTGTGATACAGACGACATTACACGTAGAGGGAAGACGCACGAAAGATGGCGGTATGATATACAGTTTGCACAACAGAGCGACAACAAGGAGGTATAAATACAGACTGAATGTATCGCAACGTGCGGAGGCAGATCGCGTCGAATAAAACCAAAAACGAAACGAAAAATGATGTCAGCTAGCGCTACAACAAGACGCGACTGCCCGAGAGAGAGGTTCGTACCGGATACACTAGGAGGAGAGCCATTGCAACGAGTCCGTCCGTCTATCGTCACCCGTCGCCGTAGCGAGCACTACCCAACTCAACCTCAAGCCAAGAAAAACCACCGTTTCAAAGTCCCATTCTCTCCGCCAACGTCCGATCGCCGCTATCATGGCGCCCGCCGCCACCGCCGCCACCTCCGCCGGTCCTCCCACCCTTCCGGCCGCCGCCGCCCTGCCCTCCGTTCCGTCGCGAAGTGCGTTCACGATCGCGGTCCCGATTGCGATCCCTGCCTCGGTCCTTCTCCCGGTCACGGTCGCGGCCACGGTCCCGCTCGCGATCGCGGGGGGCGGGGGGCGGCGGCAGTGGCGGCGTACGTGGACGCGTGCGCTGGTCGTCGTCCACCTCCATTTTCACACCGGACGCCTTGCGGTGATCCGGCGGCAGGACCGGCGAGCGCTCTGGCGACGCGGTGCTGTGTCCGCGGGTCTGCGCCGAGCCCTGCCTTTGCGTCTGCTGCGTCTGGATGCGCGGGAGCGCTGCGGTTGAGTTTGCGGGGGAGATCTGGGGTTCGGAGAGGCGCGGCTTCTTGTGCGCGCGCGGGCCTGTCGGGAGCGGTTTGGCGTTCCCGTTGCTCGTGGACTGTGGATGTGCCGGGACGGGCGCGGGCGCGGCAGAGTGGAAGTTTTGGCGCGTGGGGAGGTGGGGGTGCGCATTGGTGTTGTTGTGGTGCCGCCCGGTCGACTGGATGGCATCGTAAGACTTGTCTAGTTCGTCCCTGCGCAAAGACGGGTGAGATGTGAAAGGAGAGCATGTCCCGAGACCCTTACGATAACGACGTGATGACTAGGTGCGATTCTGCGTGCGCGCGCGCGCAGAGTGTATGAGTATGTATGCCCCGATATGGAAGAGCCGAGCGGACGCGTCTGACATACCTCGCAACGCCATCTCGAGCCTGTCGACTGCCCGTCGCAGTCCGCGGACCTCTTCTTTCAGCCGCCCCGTCTCGCCACTTTTCAGCAGCTCGTACAGCTCGTCGTTCTCCTCCTGTAAGAGCTTCGCGCGCTGCGTGAGCGCAGTTGTCACCGTGCTAGAGCGAGACCCCGCGTGTGCGTCGTCCGCGATTGTGTTGATGTGTGGGAGCAGCAAGGAGACCAATGCCGGAGGCAGAGAGACGGGATCAGTCTTGGACGGTCCTGGCTGTGTGGACAGGTACTGGCGCAGGTGGGCTACCTCATCCTAGGAAAGAAGTAGCGCTGAGCGTGGAAAGGGAGGCCTCGAACGCGATACTCACGTTCAGTTCAGCAAGTTGCACATCCCGCCGCCTGAGTAGCTCTTCGAGCTCCAGCTCTCGCGCCGATGGGAGGTCCATAGCGAACGTGTAGGACTGGCTCGGGTGCGCAGAGGGGATGGATGACGGTCCGCAACAACACCGCGCAACTCCCCCCTGCGAGCCTCATCGGATGCCGTAAGCAGGCGCTACTGAGCCGTGTTCAATTTCGGTCACCGTTGACAGCTTCGTTTCCAGACTCTCAAAGGTTGTTCCTCGAGCGCTTCGTACTTTGAAAATCGGTTGAGCCTGCGATGATTCACACATATTGATAAGGTGGAAGGTTTATATATTGCACTGCTGAGTGGCAAAGATATGAAACCTGATTCTCCTCAATGACCTGGCGTCCTCAAGCCCTCAAACCAGAAACCCCGCTTAATGGCCTCGCCGTCTGATGGTCCATCTGATGGCATGAATGGATGTCGCGAAGTAAGAGCGGAACCCAACCGCTTGTGCAAGAATCACGACGTAGTGGGTCGTGGTCGCGAAACCGCATTCGACATTGGCGTATAAAGCAACACAAACTAGAGGTATGGCTTCAGGGCCGGGAAGAAGATAGCGACTTCGAATCGTGTACGAGACTCGCTGGGGGACCTCGACAGGATTGATATAATGAATCTATAGTCCGCTGAACATATTCTTCAGGCCAGACTTTATCGAGCTCCCGCTGGTAGTCCTCTGCCGCTCAGGCGACTGTCTGCTAGATGAGTGCATGGCAAGACGCAGGTCTTCGTACATCGCGTGATTATCGCGTGGAGACTGTCCGAGGAGAGAGAGTTGGCCGGATGCGGCAGGAGTAACGGGGAAGGCGGTGTGGGAGGTAGCGAGGGTGTAAGACATTGTGGTATGTGAGAATGATGGTGTTCGAGAGGATGAGAGTGAGTTAAATGATCTGAGAGTGCTTGTTGGATAGCTTGATGCTGATGCTCAGGCCTCCCAGAACAGAGGCGGTAGTGATGTCACTCTTATATGACATGCCATAGGGCATGCGAACTTGCGACGAGGGGCATTTGAAGGCGACGGACAACGCCAGGAATCAGGGCAAACTTACCTGTTTTGGCAAACGAGACACCGAGAAGCCTTCATGGACCCACAAGGAAACGACGTGCCAACACCGTTTCCGCAGGGTCGCCGAGGGTGTGTGGTGGTGGTGGTGCCGAAACGGAGTGGGGGCAATGGCGCGGTGTTTGTCCCTGCTTTGTCTCTTGACATGGTGCCCAAACATGAACAAACGTCCGTGTTCCCATAAATTTTCGAAATCATCCTCCACCAAGTCCGAGTGTTAGCGATGGGATCTTCTCTAGTATATCGGTGAGTTTCAGCTCTCACCTTCCTTTATCTCTTTTCGCTTCCCTGCAGCGGTGATGACCATATTATTCACACTATACGAACGTTGGTGTTTTAACCTTCGTGGTGACGTTTTCTACAACGGTAACTGAGTTGCTTTCCTTACATCTTCTTTGCATCCCAATCTCTCTCAGTGTACTGACAACGCAATCTTGCCCATAGGATCTTGCGGGCCCATCAGCTCCGTATTCTCAGGTTTCTTTCCGTGAGGTTGTGATGCCGATGTTTCTATACAGCTGTCCACGACATGTACTTGGATCTTATTTAAAATACACCACGTTAGCGTACAATCTACTGAACTCGATAAGCATACTTCCGTCGAAGGCTCCATGTAAGACGGGCTATAACATGGATGACTGGTCTTCTTCCCCACTAAACGCATCAGGTGGTATCTGGCCTTGAGCTTGGGTAAGAGCACCTTTCAAAATATAAAGGAAGGGTGCCGATTTGACTGGAGGTGGGGTAGTCTGGTATCCGATGAGAAGTGTGCAGCGGGGACAGCGGAAGCGATATTGACGCTCATGTCCTCCGTGAGATCTTCGGTGAATGATGCGTTTCAGCCGCGGTTGGTGCCATTCGTGTCAATTGAGGCAATCAACTGGGGCTCACCTTTCCACAAGAACAGGATCACCGGGCTTAGCATTCAGCTTGAAAATACGCGCCTTTCCATCGTCAGAGTCTTGAGATCGTATTATGATAGCTTCGTCCGTTTTTCGTTGGGGAAGAGAAGCCAGGGTTTTGTCTATAACAAGCTAGTAAAATTAGGAAATGTGCTGACTTGAAGTCTCGGAATGCGCTGGAATGCGTTGCCCACTCACTACGAACTCCCCGCATATGCAATCTACGTATGGGCTTAGAACTCTGGATGATGGCGCGTGATAACGGAGGGTAGCTCACAGTAGACGCGAAGAGCGGCAGCGGATGATGCGGTCGGTTGAGCTAACAAGTTGGTGTGAGCCTATGGAAACGAGAAGAGGGGGGATTTGACTGACCGTCTGTAGAAGACGAGACCGCAGAGCGTGAGATGACTTTTGGCATGGTGATCAGACGTCAAGCAGTGGAGACAGTTTCTCCCCGATTTAATGAGACAGTCAGGCGGGTCGGAGCAGTGCGTATGGTGATCGGAAGCAGAATATTGGACAACGGGCAAATGTCGACTCAAACGGAGGTAAAAATGCAAAATTAATTATTCGCCAGTTTCGTAAGAACGCTCACGTGGACCTGTGTGGCGCTCTGGTCTGCCTCTTATTATCTTTAGCACAGCTTGTTCTCTTTCAACTTCCCTTCCCTCACTTTCATGGCAGAAAAAGATGCGACCGCACGACTGCGCAGAGCCGTTCAAGGCGCGTTTTCTGCACCCCCACATTGTCGCTCTATACTGATATATACCATCCAGAGAACAACCTCTTCCTCGTCAAGAGACTCATCCAGCGCACAGACATGCGTAATCCCGACACGGCGCCAAAGCGGTACACATCACTGGCGTGGGCAGCTGTTATGGGACATGAAGAAACGTTCGAATATCTGTTGAACGCGGGGCATGACGACGACGAACTTAGTCGGGTGCGTACTTATTACCCCTGTTCTGCTGCATGTTTTCAATGGGGCAAAATCAAAACAGGACTCTGAGAACAACACAATCCTTATTCTTCTGGCCGATTTGAAGCCACCAATAATAAGCCGATATGGTACCACCGATCCTGATTTTATGGGTGCAGCTCTGAGGATGGCAAGACTCTACTATGATCGGTACAACTTTATCCTCGATTGGTCAAACTTGCAAGGGAAGACAGCACTCCACGTCGCCTCGCTAAAGGGAAACGAGGAACTTGTTCGGGTAAGCATACCTAACATCCCATCATGATCTATTCTCAGGCCGGGCTGACAACCGCCCAGATGCTATGCGACTTGGGTGCAGATGTTGATCTGGCGGACGATCAGGGCAATACCCCCCTCCACTAGTACGTGTGAATCTTGATGGTATCCTACCGCCACTTGCTCAAATCATGTACCTGGTTGACAGTGCAAGCTCTTGGGGCCACATGCCGGTATGATAATTCGCGTGCTCGAGTCTCAATCGACGTCCTTATCTTGTCGTAGATTGTGCAGCTGCTCATAGAGCGTGGCTGTCAATTCGCCGCACGCAACAACGAAGGGTTCACTCCATCAGACTATGCATACTCGTACGTTCCATCTTTGACGTCTGATCCATCCGTCTGACCCTGCAACCCTGATCTAGGTTTAGCACGCGTGATACTTTGCAAGATACAGCGCGGGCACAGTATGAACTTAATAAGAAGGCTAGACGCGTCTTTGCGCAAGCTGCGGCAAGGGGGACCGAGTGGGGTGGGTTGCAGCAACTTCCGCCCGCGAAGGCCTTGGAAATAGGTCGGGCGATGCGAATGCGGAGCGGATCTGGAGCCAGTCGCACAACAAGTACCTCAGACAGTGGGGATCTCGATAGCAGTAGCCTACCTTCCGGTCAGTCTTACAATGGCCAACATTCTGCTTCCCTACATTCGCAAACCTCAGCCCCCTCATCGTCATCATCCGCATTTCACCAAGGACATCCTGGCCACGGTACATACTCTGCAAGCAGCATCAGCACCTTTTCAGTCGCAGGACATTCACCTCTACCTTCCCACTCCACGACATCCCTTGGCGTAAATCCAAATCCGGCATCCGCACTGTCGCCAATTGCAACGCGCATGCGCGAACAGGACGCAAATGCCATGGAAAAGTACATGCGTCGAAACCGAAGCGGGAGCGCGTCTACAGACGTCAAGTCCCAATCTTCGAACCCATCCTCGGCAGGGCCATCTGCTAACGGTGATGATATCTCATCGTTACCTCCTGCTGGAACCGTGTCATCACGACGTCGATTGCGGACCTCAATGTCTGCTTCCCAGCTCCGAACCAATCCAAAACCTCCGTTCATCGTCACAACAAACGCGTCGCCCGACGTATTTCGAAGTCGAGCGGGCACGAATCCGAATATTCTGCGCAAGAGCCCGCCCGCGTCATTATCCCCGCCATCTGATCGTACTGCTTTCCCTCCCTCCCCGAACCGTCCCTTACCTATACGTGTCAGCCCGCACCCCGCAACGAGAGAAACTGGGAGCCATGAGATCTATACTGGTCCTTCCAGTGCTTATGCCCAATTTCCTGAGCCTCCCAAGGGATCAGAGAACGGAAGCGCTAGTAGCTCGGCGACCACGAATGGTATGCCGACGCCTACGCGCCGGCTACCGTTTCATCTACTGTCGAAACCACTTCCGAGCATCGACCTTACCCACGGAAACTCTGCACATCGGCGTGGAGGGTCTATACCATCAATGCGGTAGACATAGACACGGACGACTCGATAGATGATGGATCTTGCATGTACACCGGGTTTGTATCATCATTTGTGTACTCGGAGGATTTCATATTCTTGCTTTGCTGCTGTTGTGTCGCACATTTTTATCGTTTACAATCAATTGTATTTATTCCGATCGTGTTGTTCTTGCTACGGAATGTACCCCCTTCTTTTCTGAGCTGTGTGCCAAGTTGGACTATCACGGAGGAACTCCTGTTCGGAGAAAGCCGATTACGACATCGCCCCGCATACCGAAGCTGCAGCGTCTGGCTTGGGTGCGGAGGTCGTTCCCGGACGCGTCTTGCTATATATACTGCTCGCCTGCTGCCTGCTGCTTGTCTCCGCCTTTTCCCCTGCTCATCCCATCTAATCGTCTGGTTCAATGGCCTTTCCCACGAATGTAGACGCTGATCCAGATCCGACAACACAGATTCCATGGCCGGGCGCACGAAAGCGAAGCGATGACCGGCTGGATCGCAGAACCAGCTCGACGCGGCGCACAGACAGTGGTCACGATCGGCCCACGTATCCAGAGACTGACTCAACGTCGACTGCCGTTGAGGATGAGCCTACGAAGCGTCGGATGTCGACAATGGATTTATTTAACATCAGTATCTCCATGGCAGGAGCGCAGATCGCCTGGTCTGTCGAACTAGGGTGAGTCATAGCTTATATCTTTTATTCTCAGCAGACTAATCATTTGTGTCAGGTATGGAACACCGTTCCTTTTGTCACTGGGCCTGTCCGAGCAGTTGACGAGCCTTGTGTGGTTGGCGGGGCCAATTTCGGGATTAATTGCCCAGCCAGTGATAGGTATGTTCTCCAGACCATGCCTATATTTTCACGGAACATGGACCATCATCCTACCAGGTGCCATCTCTGATTCGTCGACTTCCAAGTACCGTCGAAGATATTGGATTACTCTCTCGACTGTCGTACTGTCGGTGTCGATGCTCGTCTTGGCTTATTGCCAGGCCATCGCAGCTGTTTTCGTGGACATATTCCACGGCGGTGCGGGAGATTGGGACCCTCAACGTAACGCTCAAGTGAGGCACCCTTTCAGCAGATTCGACATCTGACTTATAATTGCAGGTGTCCAACACAGCAATTGTATTAGCTGTAGTCTCGTTTTATCTTCTGGATTTTGCTCTGAACGCCTTGCAAGCATCACTTCGCAACCTCCTTCTCGATATAACCCCTTCTTATCAACTCAATGCCGGTAATGCATGGCACGGCAGGATGACCCATGCCGGGAATATTGTTGGGTTTGGGTTTGGTACATCTGATAGGTTTACTGCGTGAAGCGCCGCGCTCATCATGTATGTTTCACCAGGTTTCCTTCCCCTTGCAAGAATGCCTATCCTCCGCTTGCTTGGTGGCGACCAGTTCCGCAAATTCTGCGTTGTCGCTTTGGTGATTCTAGTTGCAACTGTGTGGGTCACTTGCTACACGCAAGAGGAGAAGGAGCGCCCGGCGGCTGAGAAGACGAAAGGGTGAGTAACATGCTTAATATACTTACGGATCTAGACGCACAATATCTGATGCCGCGGTGTAGGAAATTCGGGGATGTAATGAACAATATTTACAACGCTATTGTCAATCTCCCCGGACCCATTCGACGCGTTTGTTACGTGCAAGTATTTGCATTCATGGGATGGCAAGCAATATTCATCTTCTCTTTTTGTATCTCGGTCTGATACCCAAACAACGACAGGTTTCCGTTTCTGTTTTATTCGTAAGTTTCCGCCTTCACGGTTTAACTTAGATTCTCACTCTTCCCAGGACTACATACGTAGGCCAAGTCATGGCATACGAGCAGCAGACTGAGCCAGATAAAGATGTCGCGACTCGGACCGGAGAGTTCGCCATGCTCATTTATAGTATCGGTACGTCGTTGTACAGGTTAGCTGTCACAGATACCCATAGGCATTTGTGAAGTGGCCGTTTCTGCGGGCACCATACTCCCTCATCTAGCTCGTCGCGACGCGCGCTTGCTTGCTGACGCTGAAGACGTTGACGATAACGCAGAAATGTCACGCCTTCGACAGACTGTGCGCGCGTGGCAATTGGAAGCGGCAAGGAAGGGGAAGCCTCTGCGGCTTCCAATCATGCCTTTCCTACTGCGCAACATTTGGACTGGCGCCCTACTGCTCTTCTCGTTCATCACCTTTTCGACTTTCTTCATCACCCGCGTCTGGCAGGTAAGGACCATCTGAAGGGATTGATATTCAAAAATAACATCTAATTATGCAGGCAATCGTCGCCATCAGTTTTGTGGGCATTTGTTGGGCGGTGGCGTGCTGGGTTCCTTTCGCCATCATCATGGAGGTGAGTCTCTGTAAAGACGGTGCCGTGTCAGGTCCCTGAGCCCTTTCTTAGTTCCTCAAAGAGTTGGACGAAGCAGCCAGCGCACCGACTCCAACGAACCTTGATACACAACCCCGTCCAGAGAGGCGTCCTTCGCACACGCGCGTTGTCTCGACTCCAACCGTGCGCAACCTTCAGCAGACGGAGCGCCAACCCTTGCTTCGTCGGCGCTCTTTCGATGATCATAACGGCAATGCGGTGGACGACGCGACCACCCCTATAGCAGGCGGAACCATTCTAGGCATTCACAATCTAGCCATCGTATTCCCGCAATTCATCGTAAGCTGACAACCGACCTTCCCTCCTCCATTTGGTTGTTGACGGGACATCAAACCTAGGTTGCGCTCGTGTCCAGCGCTATCTTCCAAGCAGTCGATGCTGATATTAACGACGGTACCGACAGCGGTACCACTTATTTGGGAAAGAACGGAGTTGCATGGGTTCTGCGGTTTGGTGGTCTGTGCACGCTTGTACGTGCCCCATGTCCAACGAGTCCGTGTATACAGAACTTGACGTCCTCTCATAGTTCGGTGCCGTGATGTGTCGCATGGTCCCTCCAACGAAGACCGAGAAAGAGATGAGGCGCCGGCTTGGAGAGATGAGAGAAATGAGGAGGGAGACTGCCGCGTGATGAGCACAGTATCCAAATTGGATTGGAGTTCCTCTGTCGAGATACTTTTGCTCTACGTTGTTGTACAACATTTTTCTACTTCTTTGTTTTGGGTCCACGTCTCGTCTAATGCTGTAAGGCTACATGTTGTCCTAACTTGCTATGATGCACATAGCATAATCCCAGTCGCCGTGTTGGTTGGTCGAGATATTCCGGCATGCGATGGGCATAACGACAGGCCCTTCATTCGAATCGAACAAGGTGTCGTATACTTTTATGACTATCCGAATGGGAATATGAGGTGACGCCGCTGAAAGAGAATGCATGTAACCCACATGATGTCAATGGTTTTCTATGAAAGATGCGAATAGATAGGGCATTGTTCAGGACGGGAAACAGGGATTCGGCCGCTTTGAGCTGGCGACTCAGATATTCTACGTCGTTGTCCCCCTTGAAACAGACGATAGCCGATGCAGCCTTCGCATGATCCAAGCCCGATACCTCCCAATGAATTGAAGCTTCTCCGCTTGACAGGTCGCCTGGGGTGAATTTAGATTTGAATTTGGATACCTCAACAGTTTGGAGCGCCCTACCCTGATTGAGTGATGGCTTCTCAGAAACGACGCCGACGTCCCCGTCCTCCTCGACAACCGTTGTGCGTCCGGTATGGTAGAGGACTTGCTTTTCTATCAGCGCCTCTTTTGGGAGATCTTTAACAACGACGAAGAGCGTTGGAGTATGATCCTGTACTATGTCACGAATGATCACCCTCCCTTTAGAAGAGAGTCACGTACGTTCCCAAGAGCCTTTTTGACAAGCGGGACATCGTGGTCGTTTATGAACCAGTATAAGATGTTCTGAGCGTGGCCGTCCCAACCTCCACCGCTAGTGTTTTGCAGGGCTTTGACGACGCGATCAACATGCTGCGAAGACAGCGCAGTTTCGTAACCTATTGATGGTGGGGATGGAGTTGATAGAGAGCTTGGGATCAATCCGATCTGGCCTGAAATGAAGACTCGTTCATCGACCTGGTCAGATGTGTGATCAGTAGATTGACGTCCAATGTTGTGGGAGACCATGTACCATAACCGCTTGAGAATAAGGTCCGATGTTGGCCGGTGCCCAGTAGCTTAGCCCTTGTACATGGAGTGCTTGACGGTCGAATATTGAACTTTCTGCATAGGCAACGCAGTCTAGTTTGAGTCGTAAATGGGAGGGGAGGTCGACCGCTACGCAAGCGCGTGCTGGAGGGCTCGAACCAAAAAATGTGGCGTAGACAGCGTTGATTGGAGCAAAAAGGTCCATGGATGAGATGAACAAGTTGATGTTTGTTAGATGGGAGAGATTTAGGGAATGTTCTTTCAGGCGATCTGACGAAATGGTGAGCGGAATATGGTAAGGCTGAGCTGTCCTGTGTCTTACCTTGCACAGTTTGAAAGCATTCCCGGACCTCGTCTTCTAGGGATAGATCGGCATTATCTCCTGTTGTATGGATATCGGAGAGGGAAATCCAGTTGCCGGTGCGTTTGGTTTTAGGGCCTATGCGTGTTAGACTCGGAGCCTCACATGTTTGACGTTTTGGAGAGAGTTTGATAGGCTCTGTTCCATTGTCAAGAGAGGCCGTCACGGCGTGAAACACATGCGAATGCTCCTTATCGAGAACATCTGGGACGGCCACATTGAAAGTTTGAGCGACAGCTTTCGGATCTAGACGAGCATCCTTGATTCGCAAGAAAGCAACCGTAGCGAAATCATTGTCCGAGTGAATGACGGTCTCCGTGTCTAACCTAGACACGAGAAAACAGTCACAATTTCCGATGATCGGGTGTCAACACCTGGACTTACAATGTGATGCGCTTCTTGAAGAGCGGGCAATCCAGAGTCAGCGTTTCGTATTCGCCACCTTCACCGCATATATGTGACCCGTACATGTCGTTCTGTGGATAGGCTGTCAGACGGAAGCATCGACGTCAATTGATGGGCGCACGAGCTTCGTCAACAGAGGCTGCATTTGGGCCAGATTTTGCCCCAGATGCCGAGTCGTCAACCCGATCCCAGCGACCTTGATGAGGATCGCTTCCATGCCCGCTTCGATCATCTCGGAAAGCAGTTCCGCCTGGTCTCTCTGCCACAGATAACACAACGGCGTCAACGACAAACGTCGGCATCTGAGCGCCAATATGGGGTCAAGAATGTATATCGACAGGAGGCGATCGCACTCACACATGCTCGACGCGGACTCTCTGATAGCTGGAGAGAATCGCGCCGACGGAGACACCTTGAACGTCGGGGTGTTTGAACTGAAATGCGTTGCGTGTTCAATGATCAAGAAAATGATAATTTATTGGCGAATTCAGCATTACTTTGACAGCGGATAGCAAAGCATACAGGTCCTCCGTTTCATCCCCCACCGTCCCCGCAAAGCCGTCGGCACTCCGACCACCGTATTCCGATCCTTGCTCGACTGCCGTTCCAGAGATCACTCGGCGGTATAGCGGAACTTCCAATGCGCGCGCGACGAACTCTATGGCATCCTGACCTACAGTTTGGTAGAGATACGAGTCAAGTTCCTCTGAGCGAAGGCGAAGCGTCAAATCAGATCACAAGCCTAGAGATTGCCGTCGGACCTTTGCCATGCTCGGGACCCAGAGACGCAGCGGCAACGAGGTCGTGGCCGTTGCGTGAGCAGTGCAGGAGGTTGTAGCAACTGTCTTTACCGCCGCTGAGTAGAGCAACGTACTTCATCGGAAGAGCGAAAGAAAGAGAGCGGGAGGACTCCGTGAACCATGTGATCATTGCCAGTCCGTCCGGACTGGCCGGGGTCTGCACTCATTTCCAGCGTTTTGACTCGTACCTGTTGTTTGCACACAGGCAGTTCTCCCTCTAGACAATGCCGACCGTTTCTGTAGATAAAGAAGACCTGTGGGAGAGACTCGAACAAAAATTCAGTGCGTGCAATGTCTCCTCGTATGGTCGATCGTGTCTATAACCGGGTCTGCAGCCAAGGAGGAGTTTGACAAGCTCTGCTTCGAGTTTGGTATCGAGCTCGATGAGGATGTGAGGGCTTGAGATCATTCTCCTGCCGGTCTCAACGTTTCTCATCGTGCTCGATCTCTGCAGACCACAGAAGAAGTAGAGGAAGCTATCAAGAAGGGCCTGCCCGCAGAGCGTCCAGTGAGTGAGCAGCGCAGTGGGTCATCACGCTCGTGGACTAACGGCGTGCTCAGCAACTCAAAATTGAGATACCCGCAAATAGGTGAGGAAGGGCGAGAGAAAGACTGAGCGTTGACTGACGCCGTTCTAGATACGATCTACTCTGCATAGAGGGCATCGCTCGCGCTCTTCGCGTTTTCCTCGGGAAGGGAGAGGCACCACAGTACAAGCTTGTCTACCCGCCTGGTGGTGAAGCCGATCTTCTCGAGGTCACCGTCTCGCCCGAGGTACGCCACGCTCCCACCCAGTCTCGCATTTCCTTACACTGCCCATGGACGACAGACGCAACAAGTCCGGCCCTTCTTCGCGTCTGCCATCCTCCGAAACGTCACCTTCACGCAACGATCCTACGACTCGTTCATCGACCTGCAAGACAAGCTCCACCAGAACATCTGCAGGAAGCGGTCGCTGGTCGCCATCGGCACACACGATCTGGACACGATCACCCGGCCGTTCACATACGAAGCGCGGCCCCCAAAAGACATCAAGTTCGTCCCGCTCAACAAGACCAAGGAATACACGGCCGAGGAGCTCATGACGGTGTACGAGGTGCGTCCGAGCGTCGTCGTGAGTGCGGTCCGACGTTCAACGTGCCTGTCAGTCCGACAAACACATCGGGAGGTACCTGCACATTATCCGCGACTCGCCGGTGTACCCCATCATCTATGACGCAGAGGGGCGGGTGTCGTCGTGGCCGCCCATCATCAACTCTGAGCACAGCAAGATCTCGCTGAACACCCGCAACGTCTACATCGACATCACGGCGACGGACCTGACCAAGCTGAACATCGTCGCCAACATCATCTCCACCATGTTCTCCGAATATTGCGCAGAGCCCTTCACGTGAGTCCGCCGTTGAACTCTCTCCCTGCTGAATTTACACCCGGAGCAGCATCGAGCCCGTCAAGGTCATCTACCCCGACGGGAGAGTGGTCATCACCCCCGACATCTCCTCCCGCCCGATGGAAGCCCACGCAACCTACGTCAACTCGTGCACCGGCCTCTCCCTATCGTCGAGCGAGGTCCAAGGCCTGCTAGAGCGCATGTCCCTGCCAACGCAGGTGTCGCCGACCGAGCCGGACACGCTGCTGGTCAAAGTGCCCGCGACGCGGCCGGACATCCTCCACGAGTGCGACATCATGGAGGACGCGGCGATCGCGTACGGCTACAACAACCTCCCGGACACGTTCCCCGCGACGAGCACGGTCGCGCAGCCCCTCGCCGTCAGCAAGCTGACCGACATCATCCGGCACGAGTGGGCTTTTGCCGGCTGGGTCGAAGTCCTCCCCCTCATCCTCGTACGTCCCGCTCCCACCCCTCGCATCCCCACCCCGCGCCCGCGCCCGCGCCCCCACCCCCGCGCACACACGCGCACGCACGCTCTGACCCCGCGGCCGCCCAGTGCTCCCACGAGGAAAACTTCGAGTGGCTGAACATCCCAGACGACAACGCGACGGCCGTCAAGATCGGGAACCCCAAGACGCTCGAGTTCCAGGTGGTGCGCACGTCGCTCCTGCCGGGCCTGCTCAAGACCGTGCGCGAGAACCGCTCGCACGCGCTCCCGCTGCGCATCTTCGAGGCCGCGGACGTCGTGTTCAAGGACGAGGCGCGCGAGCGCCAGGCCCGCAACGCGCGCCACGCCGCGGCCGTGTGGTGCAACAAGACGGCCGGGTTCGAGGTCGTGCACGGCCTCCTCGACCGCGCGATGGCGATGCTCGAGGTCCCGCGCATCACGAGCACGGACGCGCACGCGCCGACGGGGTACTACCTCAAGGAGAGGCCCGGTGAGTGCGCTGTGCCTTTCGAATGCGCGCGCGCGCTCACGCTCCCGCCTACCCCAGACCCGACCTTCTTCCCCGGGCGGGCGGCGACGATCTACTACCGCGCGCCGAGGGAGGACGGGGCGCCGCCGGCGGGCGCGCTGGGGAAGCTCCGGTCGCTGATCCACCACGCGGACCGCGAGATCGGGAAGCTGGGGATCCTGCACCCGAGCGTGCTCGAGAAGTTCGACATCGGGTACCCGTGCTCGGCGCTCGAGTTTTCGCTCGAGCCGTTCAAAAAGAAGATGTCCGCGATGTGGACGAACGACGAGTGAGGCGGCGGCGGCGCCGAGGGCGGGACTGACTGTGTCTGTATTTCGAGCTAGAAGAGTGTGAGAGTAATGAATGGCTGTTGTAGTACCCCGTCATGCGTGATGTTCTTCGCGTCCGACACTGATCACGCCAAGGTGATGGTTAGATAAATATTGCGCTGCGAGCATAAAAGAGATGGTACAGAAAAAGAAACTATACCGAGCAAAACGAGTGGCAGGCGAGCAATCATCGAGCACGAGAGGCAGTAAACAGAAGCAGAGAAAAAAGAGACAGAGAGAGACAGTGTGGAGAAAACGAGTCAATCGTCCATCGTGCACCTACCATCACCGGCCCTGGTATGTCTAAACGGGCGCGCCACTCCAAAAACAAAAGACAAGACGCTTCTACGAGGCCATCAACGTCACAGCATCCCCGCCGCGCGCATGTTCTCCATCAGCTGGTCCTCCTCCCTAAACGACTGCTCCAGCTCCCGCTGGCGCGCCGGATCGTGCGCAAAGCGCGCCAGCAGCTCCGCCCGCGCGCGCAGATCCGCCGCGCGGCCCTCCTCCGCCGTGCGCGACGCATACGCGTCGTCGTCATCGTCGCCCTCGCCCTCGCGATCGCGCCCGCCCCCACCGCCGGCGCCGGCGCCCTCGTCGTCGTCGCTTAGCCCGTCACCGAGGTGGCGCGGGAAGAGCCCCCCGCGGAGCAGCCCGCCCATGCCCGTGCGTGGCATCCCGAACGCGTGCTGGAGGCTCGCGGCGAGAGCGCGGTAGCGCGAGCGCGCGTCGCCCGGGGCAGAGGCGGGCGCGGCGGAGGCGGCGTCGTGCTGCGAGGCGAGGATGTTGCTTTCCCAGCGCTTGACGCGCCAGAAGCCGAGGATCGACGTGAGCAGGATGAACCAGCCTGTGTGGGGCGGGTCGTCAGTCGGTGGGCAAACGCGGCGGCGGAGGAGCCTCGCGGGCGGGACGCACCGATGGTCATGAGGAAGAACGAGAGCCAGTCGGTCGTGGCGTCGTTGACGAGGTTGATCTCGTCCATCGTCGCGGGCGGGATCGCGGTGGCGGGGTCCGGGAGGGACATGTTGAGGTTGCGGTAGTAGTCCTCTGCCTGGGCGGCGGTGTCGAAGGTCGGGCTCGGGTCGGGCGCGCCGGTGGCTGGGGGCTGCTGCATCTGACCGTTGCCGCCCATGCGCCAGCCCCAGGTAGCGTCGGCCTCTGCGGCGTCCTCGGCGCGGCTCCTGAGCGCAAAGCCATACTGGATGAGGGTGACGCCGAGGCCGGCGCGGGAGCCGAAGCGGGCGGCGTGGGTGGTGTGGAGGAGGTAGGTGAGGAGGAAGCCGACGAACTGGAAGGAGATGCTGACGAGCATGTTCCAGAGGAAAGAGAAGAGGGAGCCGGTGGGGAGGGCGTCGATGATCATCTCGCCAAAGGCGCCGGGGGAGGACGGGGCGTGTACGGTGGTCTCCCAGTAGGGCGGGACGCTGTCGGCCTGGGCGGAGGCGTAGGACGGGGGCACGTCCTTCTGGGCCTCTTCGGGCACGAGGAAGATCTCGTCGCCTGGGCGCGAGTCAATAGCGGCACGCCGGTGAGCGGGTTGAGGGTCAAAGGATCGACCAGACGACACGGCGGACGCTGCACGCACCTTCGCGAATCTGCATCGGACGGGAGGGCTTTGCGGTGACGTTGGCAAAGACGCCGTCGTTGTGCACGCCGCCGCCGACGACGCGGCCTGCTGCGGGCTGCTCGTAGTCGAGGCCCCAGCGGCGGACGTAGGGGGCGGGGAGGACGTTGGCTGCGGTGCGGAGAAGCCAGCTCCTGCGGGGTGCATAGGCGGCTGCGAGGTCGGCCGGGTGGGCGGAGGAGGTGGAGGGGACGAGGCCATTGGAGTTGCCGTAGTCGTTGGGGAGGGCGGAGGAGGACGGGGGCGGGGGGGAGCCGGGCGGGGGATAGCTCGCGTAGTCGAAGTTCTCAAAGTCGTACGCGGCGGGGGTGCTCGGGGTGTGTGCGTGGGCGAGTGAGTGATGGCGCGCAGGCGGGGGGGAGGAGGAGCGCGAGCGCGAGCGACTTAGGGGGTGGAGGGGCCGTGTCTCGGCGTGTGCGGTGGGCTCATGGTCGTCGTCGTCGTCGTCGTCGTCGTCGTCAAAGGCGGCGTCCATCTCTGCATTGGAGAGGGGATCTGTGTGGGAGGAGGGCAGCGGCGCATAGCGTGCAGACATCGTCGACGACCAAAAGGGAGCAAGCCACGGGCGCTGATCACAATCCCCCGCTTACACCCGCCACATCTCCTTTCCCGGCATCTCTCGGCATCGCCCCTCATTGGCTGCACGCACACACGACTCTTAGTCACGCGACGTTCTCCGTTCCTTGCACTCATGCGAGCTCTATTATTTCCCTTCTCTCGACACACGACCAGCCGCCATAGCGATAAGTTACAGACGATGCGACCCAGTGCCCAATAATGTAAGCGGACCCCCCTCACTGTGCGCCCTCTCGCCCTCGCTTCCCACCGGTGAGTGCATGCGTATCAAGTGCGTAGCTCAAATGCGGACATCTAGACCCAGACCGAGACATCTCCGAGCATGACAACGTGAATGCGAGAGCCGCGCCCCGCCGCGACCCCCCGTCGAGACGTGGGGCGCCTCCATTCCCTCCGGACCTGCCAGCACCGACCGACGCCTGGCCAGCCCTAGTACCCGATCTGCACCTGAAACAAACAAGACGAGCCAATGGGCGGTCAGCGCCTGCCCCGTCGCGAATCGCCAGTCTGGACGGGTTCTCACCTAGGTCAGCGCGTGTACAGGTCGGGGCAGTGCGCCTCCTGCACGAGGCGGTGGACGCGGTGGCAGCTCTCCATGCGCGCTTCCATCAGCTGCCCGAACAGCTCGAGCAGGCGCGTGCCCGTCTCGGGTGCCGTGGGCGCATGGGCCCCGCGGTGCGCACGGCGGCGGCGGGCGGCGGCGAGGCTATTGGGCATGCCCTCGAGCTTCAGCTTGAAGCTCTTCTTGCGCTGCATCCAGCGGGAGAGCGAGTGGGCTTTGCCGATGGGCTGCGGGGTGGACGGGTCTTGCTTGACCGCGTCGTCTGTGTCTGAGGAAGGGGGCGTGGGCCCCGAGGGGATCTGGGCGGGGGTGCCAGGGCTGTCTATGCCACGGGTGGAGAGGGCGAGCTCGAGGGCTGCGCGGGTGCGGTGAACCCAGAGGGACTCCTGCTGGTAGAATTGGACGAGGGAGTTGAGGAGGACGACGGAAGTGTGGGCGGCGACATCGGGGAGGGGGGACGAGGGAGGGGTGGGAAGGAGATGGATGTCATGCATTGGAGGGGAGATGATGGGCTTGATATCAGAGGAGAGAGGGCTGGAGGACATTGCGAGCGGACGTATGCGGAGAGTGAGGGGTGGGGCAAAAGTGGGGGGGAAGCAGTAAGAGATGGGAAGGGGGGAGGGGGTGTATTTAAGACAGGGGATGGGAGTCTCGACCTCTCGGTGAAGCAAAGCAGCGTTCTCTGTTCGATTCCGAGCGCGAGTGGCCCGGCAGCCAATGGGAGCGGGAGCTGGAGCGTCGAGACCATTGGCCCAGGTCTGCCCAATCACTCCCTTCCCCTGCCTAATCCGGTCATCCCCCAGCCAATCCCCTCTCTCCCTCCCTCCCTCCCTCCCTCCTCCACCCATGCTCCCCCTGCTGCTCTCCCTGACTCTCTCCCTTCCCCTTCTCGTCGTGGCCGACGATTCCCTTCGCCTGGTCCACCGCGTGTACATCCCCTCCCTCCCCGACAGCCCCTTTCACGACCGTGGCTCCCTCGCCCTCGCCCCCCAACCCGCATTCCACCCCGCCCCCGACCTCCATCATCGAGACCTCCTCGCCCTCCTCGACCCCACCCACCCCCTTCCTCTCGATGCCCTTTACCAGGTGGCCCTCGTCACCCCCGACCACCCTCGAGAACAGCCTTGGCACATCTCGTCCGTCAAAGCGGTGCGTTCCAGTCCTCTTCCAGACCCCGTATATTGCCCGTTCTGGATCCCTCCTCCCCACCCCTCCAATACCAATTCCTGACACGCATCCACATACCCTCCCTTCTCACGCCCGCGTCTGGCCCACCTGACCTCGCTCACGCAATTCCCTCACTAGTGCCATCTCCGGGCCAGCACCGCAGAGTCCATAGTCCTGCATCTCGCCTCGGACTCGCCCTCCGATGCCTCCCCGTACGCCCTCGACTACTTCCTCCACCCCGTCCCCCACGACGGCGCGTGTCCTCCCGGCTCACCGTCTGCCCCGGTAACGCTCCCTCCGCTCAACACGACCGTCACCGTGTCTGCTCCCAGACAACCGCCCTTGTAAGCAAGCGGCAGCCGAATCCGTTTCAGTTCTCTCGATCGTTGACCCAGAACGCCCTTGTCTCCCCACCTCCCCACGCCTCCCCCCAGACCGGAGCTGCGCGCACCGCCGCAGCTCACGCCACAGGGCGAGCCTGCGCGCCCAGTCCAGGAAAAGAACTTTCTCCAAAAATACTGGATCTACATCGCGCTCGCGCTCGGTGCGATGAGTGAGCGAATTTCGCGTCGCTCTAGACTTTCGATATTCAAACTGACTGCGTTCTCGCCCCCACGCAGTGCTGGCGCCCAGCCCGCCCGAAGAGGGCGGTGCGGCACAAGGATAGAGACGAGCACGGACAAGGCCGGTGATGAGGATGGGGATCTATGGGGATGGGCACGCACGGAATCGGGCGAGAGACAGGGATTGGCTCGCCAAGGCGTGGTCGCGTCGTTGTGATTTTGTCATGTTTTTAGCCGGGCGGGGGCGGGGTTCTGATTCGCGAATTGCAGGCCTTCGAGAGCAGTCTCGGCTGGCCTTCGCGCGCCAATGAGTGCGGCGTCGAGGTCGTGTGATGCGGGCATCGAGTCATCGTGGGGGGTTGTCATGCACGGGTCGTGTGAGGTCATGCGGCGGCATGGGACGCACAGGAGCGTTGTATGTAAGGAGCGACTCGCGAAGGCGCAGCGATTGGATCCGTGCGTGTTCCTGCGAGGCCTCGAATCGCGGGCCAGGATCAGGAGGAAGGTCGAGAAGCGCGCTCGGCCGTCCCAATCGTCCAATGGCTGCCCGCAGCTCCCACCCGCCGGGGAAACACGCGCGCCCATCGCTTCTCCGGCTCTTTTCCCACGGCCATCCACCTTGGGCGCGCCCCACCCAATCAGCGCGATCCCCACCGTCGTCCGCATCGGATCGCCCAACCCGACACGACGCGACGCGCCCAGATCGCCCACCCACGCACGGCGTACGTACGCGATGCCGCTCGCCATCCGCCCCGCGACCCCCGCCGACGCCCCCGCCCTCTCCCGCATCTGCCTCCTCACCGCAGACGCCGGCGCTGACGCAGCGCCCCTCCACGCCCACCCCGCCCTCCCCGGCCTCGTCTGGGCCCTCCCCTACGTCTGTCTCCCCGAGCATACCTGGGGCTTCGTCCTCGTCGACCAGGAACAGGACCAGGGCCCCGCGCGCGGCCCAGACGAGCCCGACCGCAGTCACGCCGTCCTGGGCTACATCCTCGGCGCGACCGACACCCGCGCGCTCGAGGCACAGGCCGAGGCAGAGTGGTGGCCCGCCCTGCGCGAGAAATATCCCCTCCCGGCCGACACCCCCCCTCCAGCGGAGGACCCGAGCCCGCCCCCTCTTTCACCCGCCTACGACCCCGTCAACCCCGGCCCCGGCCCCGCGCGCACGCCCGCCGACGCGCACTACGTCGCGCTGCTGCACAGCGGGTGGGCCCCCGCCCCCGCCGCGTGCGTGCGCCTCGGCCCCGCACACATGCACATCGACCTCCTCCCCGCCGCGCAGCGCCAGGGCTGGGGCCGCCGCCTCGTCGCCGCCGCCGTGCGCCACCTGCGCGCGGACGTACACGCGGTGTGGCTCGGCATGGACCCGCGCAATGCGGGTGCGCGCGCGTTTTATGAGCGCTTGGGGTTTCGCGCGGTCGAGGGCGCGCCGGGGAATTATTTGGGGCTTAGGTTTGACGAGTGGGAGGGGTGAGCGGCGCGCCGCGGCGGCGTTGGCGCTTGCCTTCGTATTTCCGTAGTGCACGATGATGCGACGGCGGCCGTTCAGTACTTCTCTCTCTCTCTCTCGTTAAATTCAGTCCATCGTTTCCGGACTTTGAGGTCACGGAAATTATCAGCCTCGGACAAGTCTACAGGCCGATCTCGTGCGCGCACATGAACGCTGCCGCGCCCCGCACGGACTACTGCCTGCTAGTCTCCGTTGCTGACCCTATCCTAAAAGACATTCGTTCTGTGTATACACTATAGGTCCTGCCTGCTCCTGCCTGCGTCTGCCACAGGAACGCACTCGTCTCTTCCGCGGACCTCGGCCGACCGATCCACGCCATTCCCCAGCCAACAAACACCGCCGAGATCCCCGCGCCTCCCGTGTCTGGACTCTCACCTCAGTCCTCAAAGTCCCCAAGGCCTGATGCACGATACAATAGGTACAGCAACCCAGATGCAATGCGCCGCGCGCGGTCATTGGCTCCCCTTGTTGCCCGCAGCCCACGCGGTGCCATCGAACGCTATTGAGTTAAGTTTGCACGACGACGACGCTGCGCGGTCGAGCCCCCCGCAGAGGGACCCACCGAGGGACCTGGGCGCGCGAGGCTCGCGAACTGCTCGCGAGCGGGCCCTCCTAGGCCATCCGAGTCTGGAGCCCGTCTCGACGTGATGCCATCACCTGCGCCATCACCTGCGCCATCTGCATCAGCGCCCAGCGACTGCATCAAGTCTGCATCGGTGCGCTGCCCAATCGCGAGCGTGCGAGGGCGTGCGCCGATCCGGACAGGACGATCACGAGTGCAGATGATGACTATCGCGTGCGTGTACCTGCGTGCACTCCCCCGCAGGCGTGCTTTCCATGCAGCGTAGTGTGCGTGCGAGCGGCAGCCTCGATGGACTAGATGGACCCAGGCGTCTGGGATCAGATGATTTGCTTGGGTTCGCTTTGTCTGCGTGCCGACCATCGTGGATCATGGGCTTGCCAACAATCACACGGCGCTGAAGCGCTGATATCGCGCACATCACAGTAACTGACTCGCGAGGGCAATCCATCACGATACAGCATAAGTACCCAAGCTCAAGGGCGCCCGGATGCCCAATTAACTGCTCGAGCTCGATCAGGTTCTTTGGCTCCTGGGTGATCCCGGACAGGCTTCCCAGTATCCAAGCTGTTGAATAGACGCAGTGCTACAGTATGCATCGTTGGTGCCTTCTCGAGGGCCATCGCTCCCGCGAGCGCTGCTGTGCCGCCCGGCTGCGCGTCGCATGCGGATTCGGCACGGGTCGCATACGCACTGCTCGTCGAGCGGACGAGGCAAGGGTCGAGACTTGAGGAAGGCGGAGGGAGCGGCACGGGTCGCTCATCAGCGTGCGTCAGCCGGCCGCGCGAGCCAATGAACGCGCGGCGTTGGTGATTGGTCGCTGTGCGCCCGTCCCGTGCCCCCTGATGAATCATCATCACTCGACCTTTCCATGCATGTATTGAGGTTCCCACTGTCGAGCCTGCGACGTCCAGCGAACGCGAACGCATCGCAGTTCCCGTCGTTCGCCAGTGCAATTCATAACATAACGTAGTTTATTACTAGGCACAGCGTCGCGTTATTGGCTCATGAGTGCCTCAGGCCTTCCAAGCCAAGAACTCTTTTTTAGTTTCTCCCGCCGAAAATAGCAGCTCCGTCCAGTCACGACTCGACCCAGCTCGATCCCACTAGCCTCGCCCCGCCTCGCCTCGCCGCGGTGGTCGCCTGAACAACTACGCCCGGGGGAGCGCGCTGCGAAAGAATAATACACCCAGCCTATCGGCGCTTTTACAACACATTCTAAACTACACGTCACGTCGCAGCGCCGTCCCGTCCGAGTCCGACGCGTCTCACGCACACTCGCGCGCACACTCGCGCGCCCTCAATCACCGCCCGCGCCGGAGTCGATCCCCCGCGCGCGCAGGTCGCATCAGAACCTGACCGCCGCGGACTTTTCGACGCTGTCGATGGGGACCTTGTGGCCGACCAGCGTCCGAATGTTGTTGATCCCGTATCTGCCACACGATTCAGTTGGAAAGATGTGGTGTGTGGGGGGAAAGGCGGGGCGGACGCACCTGATCATGGTTGGCCGCTCGAGGCTGATGCCCCAGCCGTGGACGTGGACGTCCTTCGGGAAGCCCATCGGCGCCAGCATCTCTGGGCGGAACATGCCGCTGTTGCCGACTTCGACCCATTTGTTGAGGAGCGGGTGGAAGGCGAAGATCTCCAGCGAGGGCTATGTGGGGCGACCATTTAGGTTGTGTGCGGTGAGTAGGAGGGGAGGCGGGGTGGAGGGTCGAAGCGGAGACGAGACACACCTCCGTGTACGGGTTGTAAGCGGGCTTGAACCTGAGGTTCTCGATGCCCATCTTCTTGAAGAAGACACGCATGAAGCCTTCGGTACGGTGCAGATTCAGCAACCACGCCAGAATCTGTTTGGGATGGAAAGCGGTGAGCTTACCGATCAGATCCGCAAGCGTGAGCCCACGGTCCGCGACGACGCCCTCCACCTGATGGAACTCGGCGAGATGCGTCGCATCCATCGTCTCGTTCCGGAACACCCTGTCGATGCTGAACAGTTTCGCGGGACGGAAGCCGTCGTCCTCGATGCCCTCCTTGCGCTCGACGCGCCCGGACGTGCCGCCCCAATCAAACTCGTCGTCCGATGCAGCCTCGCCTCGACACCGCGCGGCGAGCTTGTACAGCATGTGCGCCGACGAGGCGGTCGTGTGCGTGCGCAGGAGAAGCTTGTGCGACTCGGCGGCATTCCACGGCGCGCGGTAGCCCGTTGAGCCGTGCCCGCCCTGCGTGTGCACGGTAGAGACGCGCTCGTAATAATCTTTCGGTGGCGGGAGGGAAGTCGACGGGTCGGAAAGGTAGAAGGTATCTTGGACTTCACGCGCGGGGTGCTGTTGTGGGACAAACAGGGCGTCGAAGCACCAAAAGCCGGATTCAACGAAGGAGGACGAGGGCATTTCTGCGAAGCTGGCAGTGGGATCAAAAGTCAGATGAGAGCATGGGAAGGGGGAGTCAAGTACACATGACTGACCCCATTTCAAGGAAGATATTGCGGAACTCTTCTCGCACTTTGAGTAGAGGATGAAGAGCGCCGCCATTCGTGGGCATACCCTCGGCTTCGAAGTTGTATTTTTTGAAGACGGATGTCTTCCATTTACCGCTGGATCGTGATGTCAGATGATCGTGGACAATTTCGATGTAGTCGATACTAACGATGTCAACATGTCTGCGGTGAGATCCGTTTCGGGCTTTGCGGTTGATGTACTGAAGTTCGGACCTTTATGAACAGTGAACCATTGACTCTTCCTGAATGGGGAAAGGGCGAGATGGTTCGCGGTCACGCACGGTGTGAGGAGGAGAGGGGCATGTACGTACTTCTGAATGATCAGTTTGCGCTTCCGCAGCTCAGCAAGAGCCTTTTCGCCCGAGGAAAGAGTCCCCGTCGAGTTGACCTCCCGCAATTCTAGTTGTGTTGTGTCGTCTATTGTTGATTTCTTGTGCGATCGTTCACAAATGCAGAAAAGATGTAGACTTTGATCGGACATACGATCTTCACCAAACCATCGGCCTCCTTCGCGATCCACCCGTTCTTGAAGGCGCGGCCTTGACCAACCTTTGCAGTCTCGTCGCCGACGATTTTCTTGAGTTCTGCGGGAGTGATGGGCTTGCCCGCGCCTTTTGCGGGCAGAGCATTCCAGACTCGCGCTTCATGAGATCCCTCAAGCGAGATCTGAGCCCCCTCGGATGTCAAAACGTGTGTAAGAACCTCGTGTGTTTCATATTTGATCATCTGCACAGATGATCAACAGAGAATCGTGGCGAATATTAGAATCCGTATGGGTACCTCTCTGCTGTCGAGAGAATTGAGCGCGCCCAGGATGGCTATTTGAGCATCGCTGGAGGATGCCTGGGAAGAGGAGCCGGGAATGACGATGGTGCGGGTGTCTTTGATTGTACCCGAATCGTTGAGGATGTTGAGGATGAGCTGCTGGAGATCTTCTGCCATTGTCGGGGAGCGCTTGCAGTTATGTAGATCGAGTCAAATCTGCGCATCCGGGGGGCCGTGTCACCGAGGGTGACGAGGCCGAAACTGGAGGGGGCGGTGGCCGGGGAACGGAGAGAGCTCGGGCCGTCGGAGGAGAGGCTTATGTCACGGAGCATGAGCATCACGGACGATGCCGAGGCTGAGCAAGCTGCCGCGGCCGGTGTTGATTCCGTCGAGCTAAAACGGAGACCAACGCGTTCACTCGCCTTTCCGCCAGTTGTTCTCCCAAATACCCCCTATCCTCGACGGTGCGCTTAATAAGATGGCCACCCTCGTCCCTCCTGCTCCTAATCGCCATCGCGCCTCATCCACAAACCTCAGACCCGCTCTTACCATCTCTACCCTCGGCGCCCGCCAAAAAACCTGTTCATTATTCGACCCTGTTCCCTGTACTCCTCCCGTGGGCTCTGAGATGGCCAAGGTGTCGTCTCCTTTGCCATCACCCTCCAGATTATCCGTAGCTGTCGCGCGATGCATGGAGCTCCTTCACGTGGACGCCGACCACACATACTCCACTCCCTCCTCTCCGAGGTCATCGAACGACGATTCCATCCTTCCCCTTGCTGCTTCTCAGAATACCTCGGTGGATGGCTATGTTCAGGAGAAGCTTTCATATTCCAAACCTCCGCCTTCTCGCACGTGGTTACAGGGCTCACCCTCGGTAAGTTGGTGCTCGTGTTCTTCCGCACGCGACCACTCACATACACCCCCAAGGTACACGCCCCCATATTGTTTGTAATCACATCCTTCCCTGTATCAGCTGCTATCGTCGTTCTCGCTTTTTGGTCGCTGCCGTTCTCCGTTTCGTGGCCACGAACACTGGCCGACTGCTCACAGCTGGGCCGCGAGCTCCATGGCTACGCACAGAGCGATATCGGTCATTTGGCCCACGTTGTCGCCGTCATCTCAGTCATCACAATCTGGATGCACGCCTGGTCAATTCCCGGCAGCGTCCTCTGGGTTAGTCCTCGTGACGACAGATGCACTTTGTGATCGAGCTTTGCTGACTGTTTCTTTTCTCACAGAACGTCCTCGCAGGCGCCCTTTTCTCACCGACTCTGGCAACGCTCCTCCTTGCTATACTGACCACCGTGGGGTCTGTTTTCGCTTCCCTGCTTTCGACACCTCTTGCTCCATTCTTCATGCACTACTTCCCCCGTCCACTTGCTCTGGTCCGAAGCGCTCTGGAGAGCGAGCCCGAAATATCCACAGGATCAAAGTCAAAGTCACCTGCGTGGGTTCGACTGACTATCCTTCGGCTTGTCGGCATTGTTCCGTGGTCAGGCATCAACATCGCGTCCGGTGTGTGTGGCGTCGGACTTATGGATTGCCTATTGGGGACCTTCATCGGGTCTTTGCCGTGGACCGCCGTTACGTGTCAGGTATGTGTCACTACCCCATCTTCGTAAGTTTACGCTGAAGCTGATTCCGGCACCTGTCAGATTGGAGATATCCTGCAAACCGTAGCGTCGACGCCATCGCCAAATCCGGAAACCATCTCGTCCATCCTCGCATCCCCGGCTGTCATTTTCAAGCTTGTGTTTCTTTCATTCCTCTCTCTGGCGCCAATCCTGGGCCGGGACTATCTTCGTTCGTTGATTTCCCAAGCCGACATTCAAGCATCGAGCTCAGACGGCCTGACCGGTGAGCGCATCTCGCGCTGGACATGGGTCAAAGAATGGCGGCCCATGGTCCGTATACCCTCCCGCTCCCGATCACGGGATCAGCTCCAGAAAGAGTTGGAAAAAGAGGTCTCGGAGAAGCAGCAATTGCAAGCACGCCCTTGAATCTCATCAAGGCCGTCTATCGTCGGCATGATATATCAGCGTTTCGCCCTTCAGACCCATTTTAACCTATTTATTTCTGCTTTCTATCTGCCTTCCTCCCGTTCGTTCAATGTCCTTTCAGGGATCTGCACACACGCATCGCTAGATTTAACCACTTCAATTACCCCCTCACGGTACTACATCATTCTTGCTCACCAGCATACTGCAATACTTATGTTCATACATCACTTGACGCACCTTAATGACTGACCCCTAGCCTTCATGACAGCAATCGTTCCAGTACAATACTACTGACCTCAGTGACACCTCACGCCCTCTAATGAATCGTACTTCTCTTTCTTGATTCATCAGACTGGTCCTGATTTTTTAGGTGTTTCCCTCCCCTCCTTTGTTGTATTTTCGGGTGTCGAGCTATCAATGTTGAGGGATCCACATCTGCACGCGGTGCGATGACAATCGCTGGTCTGAAATTTGAAAAGAGTGACTGAACAGCAGTGAAACTGGTGGCTTAGTCTACAGATGAAACGTGATTGGTTCTCGACCACCAGCACGTCTTTCAGTCGTATCTCTCAAAAATCTTTCAGCGACACTTGGCAACCGGAGTCACCTTGGTAGACACCTCAATATAGGTGTCCCACAAGCGGGGTCAAATCCCAGATGGACTGATGCTTCCTAGAAAATCCCAAACGCGCTGGACCCTCGGATTCTAGGAGGCACTCACTTGGTAGTAGAAGCGGCTGCAACCTGCTCATCAGGTGCTATGAGGTGTCTATGGCTCTAACTACTACTGATATTCTCATTAATGGAGCATTGACAGGGCATCACTATGGTCGCTTCACGGCTTGAAACAGCCCTTACAGCGGCACAGGATTCGAAACTCTGTCGATTTAGATCCTGATCGACACCTGTGTACCTCCCATCACTTTCTGGTTTTTCGATATTTTTTTATGACAACGATAGCGTCGTGCAGTTTCTTTTCGAGCCAACAAAGGCGTTCCCTGTTGCGCAGCATCCAGTATGTTCTCAGCCACGCGTGCGGCGTCGCTGAGACGCTCCTCATCCACGCCTCAACCTCGAGCACTCCTCGAGCTCAAAGCATCTACGGATGCTATGACACGAGCGTGCATATCTGCCTGGCTCTCGACCCGTCGATCTAAAACGACTCCTGCGCCCCTTGTGTCAACAGGCCGGTTTCCTGTGGCTTCATCCCGCCACTTCCAGCGATTGTCCACTGCGCCACGCCGTTTGTCTCGCTTCTCGGGCCCGCTTGGACGCCGCGTGCCCTGTACTTATACCTCACCCTTCTTTCTCTGTATTTTTCTCTTTTTGCTGCGGCTTTCCCTGCGCCACCGCCGTCCACCACCGTCCCTACTGACATCCCTTGTGTTCATCTTGTGTATCATGTCTGAAAGTATCGAATCCTTAAGGCGCAATCCGAGTTGGCGCAAACCTGTGCCGCGCTTCATCCCCTCTCCGCCCCTATCTCCACCTGCTCAGGACTGCGGGCCACCTAAGGTATGCATATTTGCGTTAACCCATCAGCGCTTCGGCAATGACTCAGAAATCTGCGATTTCGCTTGATAGCTGCCGGATGATTGGAAGGAACAACTGAATCGTGCACTCAAAGCTCCCCTTGTGCCACCAAGGACCGGGGAAACCGAGACTATTTCCTACACATTCATGAGAAAGCAGGCTCTTTCGATCTACACAGTAAGAGCGCCCATCGTTGTAGTGGCAGTGAAGCATGAAAATGATCTATATCTCCCTGAAGAATGGCGCTAGTACGTCTACTCAAGGATCTTCACCTTCGACAACGCTCTGCTCCGACTCATATGGAGAGGTGAGGGGTCCAAATTTGGTTTCTACGGCTTCGCAAAGGCCGTCTCGAAAACCGTCCAGGAGACCATCGTTGAAGGGGCTCGTATGTGCCAGTTCTACTTCGGCTCTGACAGGACCTTCTCACAGACACAATTTTCCAGGAACCTCGCCCGCCCACGCCGCCTAAGGGCTTTCGGAGGGACGATGCTTTAGGCCGACGTCCTAGCAGCTCGTTCAGAAAGGTCAGTCCCTTCTCACGAGATGAAAAATATTTAATTGACATGCCGTTTCATTCCAGGCTCATCCAGACCCGAAGGATCCTTTACCATCCGACAGAGTCCCGAGCCGTCCGCTTCCAACCCTTTTAAACCCGTCATCCTCATCAGCAATGAGTCGACCCATCGGATTGTCTTTGATATCGGAACAGATCGACTCGTATTCGACGACGGCAACGTGGTACCCCATGGGGGAGGTTCGGAGAGAAGACTCGCGGGATAGAAGGAAGGCAGGCGACGAAGGTGTGGGACAATCATCGATGTTCACACTTTCTGGGCCTGCGTTGGCCCGACTGCGACCGAAGAAGCGTAGATCGTGCTTCGCCGTTGTGCGGGATTGGGTGGTGAGAGCGGGAAGGGGAATCGCGTCCTGGTTTTGATGTCGTTCCCAAAACCCCGAAGTCGGGGAGCTTTGATTGGTTAATCGCTCTACTTGTATTAATGTTTTCGCCGCTATCCTTGTTGTATTGTTCACATATCGTAGCTTGCTGCAACGCGCACCATCACTATAATATAGCTATCTTACTCGTACACACGACCTTCTTCATCCGATGTCTTGACCAATCGCAGGGGGTCGATGACGGTGTTGGCACGTGACAATATACCCCCGTTCCGACGTCGAGGAGGTGCTGATTTGCCTATACGTCCACTTCCAGTTCTGCTCCTTACCTGCCTGCTCGCCATTCAAGCCAGTGGCAGACAACTACCTCATACATTCTCCACATTATTCCCATCGGCTATCGACAGGCTATCGATAGCCCGTTCAGGCCATATCTACCTTTCAATATCATCCAACCACTACGAAGAGCAATAGTTGATCGGTGGTCGACCAATAAGCAGTCATATGAGTGGCCACCAGGGCCCATCTGGGCGCGATATCAAAGATGATGCACAGTCAGGCGCACAAGCCACCCCATCTATACCACGACTTCGGTCTGACCCTTCCTTATATCATGCCCAACCTCGTACCCTCGCCGACTTCCGCGAACTAGAAGGCCGAGAGAATCGAAAAACGCGCCTGCGCGAACTGTGGCAGAAATTACCCACCTTGGACCAACATCCCGTCGACGCGGACGATATTTCAGCACCGACGACAGTGAAAAGCAACGCGTCTCTGACCCCAGAGAGCGCTCAGAGGATGCGCACTATGTATGAGCGGGAGCTTCTGGGCAGCTGTGGGGGCCGAATGGACTGGCCAGAGTTCAAGAAGTACGCACTCGAGAAAGAAGTCGGTATGTCATCTCTCTGATATGTTGGCACTTGCTCAGACAGCCGCTTCGATGCAGAGTTATGGCGCATATTCCACGATGAGCTCGACTTGGATGGCAACGGCCACCTCGACATTGACGAGCTGACCGTAGCTCTCCGGAAAGCAGGTATGTTTTAACATACCCTTATCGTGAGCTTTAGGTCGTTTATCATCATTGTACAGGGATTGAATTGTCACCATCAACTTCATCCGACTTCGTGACATACTTAACTGCTTCCAACGATTCACATGATATCAATTTCTCGGAGTTCCGCGACTTCCTCCTGTTATTGCCTCGGAAAGTGTCGACTGCCGAGATCTATCAGTTCTACGAAGTTAGAAAGTTCTTAGGCGACGATGGCCGAGGGGCAGCGAGAGTTACTATGGAAGGTGAAACGGGTTGGACTCGTGAATGATGACGGCGACTGATTCGTCGATTCGCAGGGGATGTGAGTTTAAGTGCTGAGGATAAACCCCCAGATCATACAATCCACTCCCCTCATGAATCTTCACCACGCCCTTCAAACCATAATGACGACGAAGATGAAGAAGCTTATGGGCATGACTTGGGCGACGAAGAGGAGGATCATCACGAGTGGTTGGCTGGCAGTACTGCTCTCAGGTTCCTGCTTGCGGGAGGTATTGCTGGTGCAGGTACGATTCGCGGGCCAGTCATCGCTATCACACTCATTCAGACTCTTTTTAGTATCACGCACATGCACCGCTCCTTTCGACCGTCTCAAAATATTCCTGATAACAAGACCACCAGAGCTCGGCGGTTCGTCTTTAACCCAAGAGGGCGGGACAAAGGCCATCGCCACGGCGGTTACTCGAATATATGCGGAAGGCGGAATCCGCGCGTTCTGGATAGGTAACGGTCTGTCTGTTGCTAAAATATTCCCCGAGTCCGCCATCAAGTTCATGTCATACGAGACTTCAGTCAGTGTCAATCTATTCCTCTCCTGGCAACTCCTGAGCGTCTTTCATCAGAAACGCATGTTTGCGAAGTATGTTGACCATGTCGAAGATCCACGAGACATAAGCGGCGTGAGCCGATTTTTGTCGGGTGGGATGGGTGGGATTACCAGCCAACTCAGTGCGTGTCCCGCTCCCGTGGATTCGGTTTCAAGTGTGTCTAAGTAATGACTTAGGTATTTATCCTATCGAAACATTGAAAGTAAGCATTTCACATTGTTGTCTCGCAAAGCAACTGTTCTTAAACCACTTCAATAGACCCAGATGATGAGCAGCACAGCAGACCGAAATCGAACCTTGTTTTCTGCCGCAAAGCGCCTTTGGACCCTGGGGGGCGTTCGAGCATACTACAGAGGACTTACGGTATGGTTTCATTGCAAGAGCGCTTGGATTGACCGTTCCACCTCATGGTTTTGCTTATAGATCGGGCTGATTGGTGTTTTCCCGTATGTAATTGTTGGCTTGGCTTGAATGTTCTTTGTGTTGACCATATGTGTCCTCAGATATTCAGCGATCGATATGAGTACGTTTGAAGCCCTGAAGCTGGCGTACCTTCGATCAACGGGGAAAGAGGAACCCGGTGTTCTCGCTCTGCTCGCCTTCGGCAGCGTGTCGGGAAGTGTGGGCGCGACAAGCGTGTATCCCATGAACTTGGTTCGGACACGACTGCAGGCCGCCGGATCACCCGGCCATCCACAGCTCTACACTGGGTTCCGCGACGTTATATCCAAAACGTACGAGCGCGACGGCTGGCGTGGGTTTTATCGTGGGTTGTTACCCACTTTGGCCAAAGTGCGTCTATGGCTTGAGGCCCGTCTTGCTGCTGACATGATATGTAGGTCGTTCCCGCTGTATCAATATCTTATGTGGTATATGAACATACCAAGCGAAGGCACGTTCGAAAACGCATCTGTAGATATCGCCGTTCTGACACACTCTTACTTCCAGACTCGGCGTATAGATGATACCATACCAATATATCATATCTCTTGTCAGTGGTAATATCCTAGACTGTTCTCTTTCAATCTGCAGTGCACTGGACGATGTATTTATTATCATGTCAATCCATCTTCGTTCCTTCATTGGCAGAAACCTATTGGCAGAAACCTCAGTGAGATCTCTTCAGTCTGATGATCGATGTCATGCTTACTGTATCTCATCGCGAACTCCGCCGACCGGCTAGATTTTATGCCGTTGCAACCGCGTGTAAACCTAGACCGCTTTCCTGAAAACTCTGCTGAGGATTTTTGGAGCGGGACAAACAACAGTGACCATTGCCATTTACTGTACAACAAAAAGCAGGCCCCAGTGAAACAGCGATGAAGCTGTTATCATGCCTGTGAGAGCTGCTCAGTCCCGGATCGATGAACAGAAGAGCTGAAACCTACAAATGGGTGCTTGGTGGTAAGTTGATACCATCATGCGTTGCTTGTCCTGGCGCTCCAAAATAAAATCGAACAAAGATCCTGAGCAGATTATTTGAGAAGATAAGGCCTAAGGTTTCACAAAGTAGCCGTGATGAATTCATGGAGTTTTTCACTCATCTTCCTCCAAAACTGCGCCTGAATACGCCATCCCAGCTCCAATGCGCTTCATTCGCAGAATTCGATAACAGAAATGGCTAATATATCTCGGCCTCAACTCGATTCGGAAGAAAGGAGTGTGCATATGGATGGTATGACATCATGACACCAACGCTGCAGCGCATTGCACAGGATGGCGGTGAATCAAGCACCTCACCCCTGTATCCATACAAAGTATCCAAAGATAGCAGGGTCTACTCGTATGTGCGTCGGCGGGCGTGCCAGGGTGTGCCGTGTACAGTTACTGATGTTTGTGGGTCTCATTCAGGACGGCAGAACACTGATGGTATCCTGGATTCCATCGTTGTTCCCGACGAACGTGAATGGTGCGGTACACGCCGGTGCACAGCGCATGACAATTTCTCACTATTCCTGCATTCATCGCATTTCGGGGTTGAACAGCTCCCTGAGTCCCTGAGATATGACGCTGGGAAGATGATGATACATGTCCCGCGCACCGTGCAGGGTTATCAGATCTTGTTCTATTCTTAGGATCGTGATCAGGAGGTATGGTGACCCCGGATCTGTCTAGCACCTATATAAACCTATTCAGAATCCCCTATCTCGCATCTCCTCATCCCCTATTTCCCACTACCCCTTTACTACTTTCACATTAACATCATGGGTTGGTTCGATGACTCCTCCGACGAAGCTCAGGCCTACGACCAGGTGAGGTCCTACGGGTCCACACCTCGATTTGTTACTCATCCACACCGTATCTAGGCTACCAACGCCCCCCACAAGGCTGAGCTCTCCCACGAGCTGATTGCCGCTGCTGCCTCTTATGAGGCTGCTAAGGCCTATGAGAAGCATGTCGAGGCTAACGGCAAGCCCGACAGCCACGCCAAGGCCAAGGAGATTCTGTCAGTTAAATCATTTTCTGAGCTTAACATCATGCTCATCGCGAATGCAATATAGTGCTGGTTTGACCGGTGCTTTCATCGACCGTCTCGTCGAGACCAAGGGAGTATGTAGCCATTGATTCCTTTCAATTCGCCACGACGATCTCATACCCGCTTGTATCTAACAGCTGGATTTCGTTGACAAGGAGAAGGCTAAGCACGATGGTAAGCTCATCTGACACCATTAGATCTTTTCGATCTGATCCTCATTATTTTGATAGCCAAGAAGCGGGCTGAGGGCGCTCTTTCCGACAGCGGTGATTATTAGGCTACGCAACTTGTTGTATACGTCCCAGAAGCTAGCAGAAACCAAATATAAATGTATAAGCACTCTTCGAATGTATCTCTCTGAGAGCACTCAGTAACACCCAGTTCCATGTCAAGACACTTTCAAGTTTTGTGTTTCGTGCGATGATGCGATGATGATTGATCTCAAACGACATGCAAAGCTCATCCAGCTTGATTGCATCTGGTCGTGCAATGAGAAACATCGAAGCTCGCGCTTCACGATATTGAGCATAAGAATTAATATCACGCTTGTATACATCGATTGATAGTTATGTTATCCGAATAACTTACTCCTGTAGTGTCCGTAGATGATGAGCTGTATAAATGCGACTCCACTCATTTGTGTCCTCAAAAACATCTCTGGATTATTGTGCCTTGAAGAACCACTTCTTTAGGCTTGTCTGGCCTACCGCTTCTACAGTCTTCTTCACCTCATCCCTCTCCACCATGCATCGATAACGCACGAACTCCCTGCCCGTGTGGTCGCTTATCGTAGCCTGAGGCACAAATACTTTTGTCGTGATCAAATGCTCGAATGCCTGACGATGAGAGAACACATCAATGAAGAGACATAAGGGTAGGAGGGTCACTTACAGCCATGAGTACTCCTCGACTGCTTTTCACCATCCCGATACCCCCGCCGTCGACTTGAACGGGAGCAGACAAGGAATTTCGAAGCTGTATGCGGAAGGTTTCGTACAGCATCTCAAACGTGGCAGAGTCGTGTCCTGCAGTCCGTGCATGTGTCGCAGCAATGAGCAAACATATCGAAGGATAAGACAGTGCTGCAATAAGCCAGAGATGGCGATCAGTAACGTCCATGTGTGAAGACAGTGATATATAATTACAAGAAAGAGAAGGAAAGGAATGAGGAACGCGCTGCGTGGCGATAGCAGATTGTAATCGAGAAGGTTTCGGGAAGGGATTCAAAGGCGTTAGCTCTAAAATCTGATTGGTCTGAAATTCATGTCAATTATATGTACGACGAAAATAGAGCATGTGTACGAACCAGAATTCGACACAACAGCCGAACGTCTCGCATTACGCCAAAGGTTTCGGACAGCGACTCTTTCACGGTACGGTCTTCTAGGAACTGCTCGACGGCCGTATTCCATAGATTCGCCCATTCGTTGTCCACGTTTTCCACGGGGGGACAGAGGACGTTCCGTACAATATCATTCCAGTCTTGCAATGTCGTGGGGCCCGCGGTTCTGATCATACGACCAGAGAACCGACTTTTCACCCGCTTCTCGAGTAGAGTGATAGTGTCCACGCGGGGAGTGACGCCGATTACGGCAATTCCGGTGCCCCCAGCACCAGCGCGACAGCTCTGAGCGGTATCCAGGAGGCAGTACAGAAGGGCTTGCCGCCCATGCTGGGCGAAGAGGTCAAATGCATCCAAGATGATGATTGTAGGCCGCCCGAGGGTGGGAAGAGCCGATATCAGCGTGGGGAGATGGGAAGGAGGAGGTAATGGAATGGGTTCGCTACGCTCTATAAATGGGTTCTCATCGTCGGCCATGTCGACCTCGACCTCGGCGTCGATAGCCTTTCCACTCTGCAGAGCTAGTTGACGAGCGATCTCGCGCATAGCTAGCCGATCATTATGTTGCACATAGCCGGACAGTCGTATGACAATGGGATTGCCGGGCAATGAGGATATTGCTTCGTCCACAATCTGAAAGAAGATATCAGGCAACCAACTCAGCGACATGTGCCCTGGTCACCTACCTGACTCTTTCCACTTCCGCGAGGGCCAATCACAAGGCAGCTGTTTCCCTCTCCTCGATCAGTAGTGCCTACTAGTAATGCTTTGAGTTGTTCGAGGGCTGTACAGTTAGCGGGTCGTTCGTCATCAGCCCCTTCGGTGCTTCTCGAGCCTGAAGGGTTTTTTAATGCCAAAAGGATTGCGCGCTTTTGAGCGTTCAAGCATGGACAGAGATGTGCAGGTAGCGTTCGAGGCACGCGTGAAGGTGACGCCTGAGGTGTACGAGCTGGGTTCCTTTTCGATGGGGTAGTCGGATTGATCGAAGAAGCTCTCTCAGGGATTGGAGCACGAAATAGTATCCGCGGATTCGCGTCGTGACCTTCACTTGTCCTCGAGACAAGAGCGTTTCTAGGAGAGATTGGAGGAGATTTGATTCGTGAGAGATGCCTTGCCACCCCGCGCGGTGTGACAATTTCGACGGAATGTAGGACCAATCTGGGGGCATTACGTCTAGTTGGCGGAGGTGTAGATGGCGGGTGAGGATGCTTCTTGCGTGGAGACAAGAGCAACTCATCCTCGCTGCTTTCCCCTGATCCTTCGACTTGTTCCCTTGGTAAACGCGACGGACCTGCTATCTGCTCGTCCACAACTTTCGAAGAAGGTTGAAGGGCCGTAGAGGGTTCTAAGGCGCGATTGGGAAATTTGTAGGATAGAGTATGACGTGGAGAGATCTTACCCTCTAAACCCTTAGACTGTTCATGTTCCTCCGTGTCTGAGTGTGATTCATCAGGTTCCAAAGGAATGATATCTGGTTTCAGCTTCTTCGAGGGTTTGGAGTTCTGAGACGCAAGAGTGGCGGCTTTGCGGGGTCGGCCTCGGCGCACGGGTACGAGAGACTGAGTCGCGTATTCATTTGATCTTACCTCGTGAGGCTCAGGTGCTACAGTGTTGACCATCACAGGCTTGGAGCTCTGAGGTACAGAAGAGGCAGCTTTGCGAGGTCGCCCGCGACGCGTCGGGGCCTGGACCACTTTATCGTTCGACTCATGTTCGTCCTCATGCTGTGAGTGTTCTTGAGCCTTCGATCGTATTATTCGGGTGGGACGAGCGGGTTTAGTCTTTGGGACTCCTTCGGAGGTAGACGGTTTTCTGGGTCGGCCACGACGCACAGGCACCACGTCTGGAGTCTCGTCAGGATGGCTAGATTCGTCTTTCTGAGATATTTCGCCAGTGATGTTGTTGGATTCAGCTTTTCGCGCTCCAGCTCTCCGGCGCTTCACTGCTGGTTCCGATACTTCTAGAATGGGAGAGGCAGGACCACGGGCTCGAGTGCGACGGGGCGCTGGAAGTTCTGTAGACGACGCGAGATCAGCTGAACGTGTTCGAAATCTAGTGAGGGGTCGCTCGGATTCAGTCGCTTCGAGAGGTGCTTTGCGCTTTGGAGGCATGTTTGTCGGGCGAGAGTCAGGAGGGAGAAGATTTCGAGGACATGGGCCAGAACGCAGTGGCAGACTCAATGACAAGACGCGTCAGTCACGTGTTATCCGAGAACGCGTTCAGATATTGGTCTGTGACGGCAACAGAACAAGCGCCTGTTTTGTCTGCCCGAGCCGGGACCATGTAACATGGGCATCTCAGGGTACGCGACGAACATGGTATCTGACGACAAAAACCTGACCACCTGTTCATCCATAGATTGGCCCGATGGATCAATGCACCAACGACTGGCCTTGATCTTATGACTGAAAACATCTTGCGAAACCATAACGTTGGTCTACCTCTTCCGAACTTGAGCTTTCCATCGTTGAATAAAAACTTTCAAAAGGGCCAATTTCGCGGCAAATGGCAACTGGGCGTACGCACGTACCGCTCGACACTCAATGAACACAAAGCCAACGCGCCCTCGGAACGTACAATGTGTGCCCTGACCATGAGCGAGAACGTCTTTGTTCTCATCGATGATCCACATGCTCCGACGCCTGCAGATTTGGCCCTGGAATCTTCTGTGATTCCCACAAATCCTCCTCACTATCGCAACACTTTCCTCACTCTCAGCCCTCCAGGCGCTTTGGAGCAACTCCTGACGCTTCTTCATGCTCGGTGGATCCCGACAAGACAAGCCGCTTCTGGCGTTGCTCAGCAGAGACAAGCATCTGGTCAACAACTTTCTATTGAAGGTCACATCTTTGCCATCGGAAATGATTGGATTGTCCGTGCAGGGCACGTTATCCTGGCAGGCGGCACTGTGAAGGGCATGCTCTTGGAGGTATGGCGAGATACCACAATATATACATGTTTTAATCTTCTCAAAATAGGCCGAGTATCTCCCGGTTCCCGCCATGAGATCCCGCTCATCCGGCGACCCATCCGAACCCGCCCAAACTGTTGAACTCATCTCAAACCTTCTCCTCTCAGTCCTGCCGAATATCAGCGAAGCGAAAATAGTTGCTGTCACTATCAGCGATGCCCAATGGCAGGACGTCCTTTGGGATAGAGAGGCAGAAGAGAACGCAGCTCGTGAGGCAGAGAAGGAACCAAAACCCACAGACGACATATATGCCGTTGGGGATGACGACGTTTCCACTCATAGGAAAGGCGATTGGGTTGGAGTTGATAGGGACCGTAGGTCAGCCTACCTGATCATCGGCGCGCTGAAATCAGAAGGCCTTATATAACACCCGCATACGTTTTGATGCTGAGCTTTACTGGTTGCAATGAGCGAACGCAATCCTGGTTGCAAAATAATCGGGGAAGTGATACATCGTATCTAGTACAGAACACTTCTTCACGACTATGTGGGTACTTAGAACGATAAAGTGATACCGTTCCTCCTCGAGCCAAACATGTAGCTAACCGTCTGGCTGATGAACAAGCCTACCGTAATACCGATGACGACGTTGATCATGGCACTGCCGATGTCGATACCATTGTCGGCCGTCATGCCTCCCGCCTGCGAGAGACCAGACTGGATAAAGGCGGTGAGCGTTGAACACGACCATGGACAATCATCACTTACTGGCACTAAGAACAATATACCAGGAACCACAGAAGTAAACGCGGTGCCGCCCATTTTACGCGAGTAGATATTGCCTAGCATGCCGACCGTGAACGCGCCCACAGCAGATACGACTTCGGACCGATTGAAGATGTAATGATCAGCGGCTTTGTTCGTGACGTAGGAGACGCAAGCGATGATGACCATAACAGGAAACTCTTTGGTCCGGTACGGCTGTAAGTTCGCGAGCGAGAGACAGATCCCGAACAGTGGGACAGTCAAGAACTGTGTCCACCACGGTAACGGCTGAAGGTACCAAGGAAACTGAGGGTGACGGTAGCAACCTTTGATGATGTTTTCTGGTATGAAATATGGCACAGTGACGTTTGAAAAAGTAAATGTCGTCAAAGAAGCAAACCGCTCCGCCATGCTGTTGTCGGGGACGAAAGAACCACTATAAATGACAGTGCGTTGGAGAGCGGAGCCAAAAGACGCCAGTTTTCCTCTTTGGAGGGGATCGACCACGAGGTAGAGATCGGAGCCGAGCTGCAGACCAAAGCCAAGAAAGAGTGTGTAAACAAGCGCGTAGACCATTCGGACAGATCCACAGATCATAGTTCGAGATGCTATTTCGAGAGAACTGCACACTGTAGAGGAAAATCAGAGTCTGCTCGGAAACGGCTATGAAGAGTCACATACAGACGAGATACCCAGGGAGAATTGTGACGATGCTGGCGGACGAGATCGCGGTATAACAAAAGAGCTCTTTGCCAATGCTACTCAATCCCCGAGTGGTGAAGGAGATGAGAATCGTCACCGTGATACTAAAACGTTGAAGCTTCAGATGAGACAAGACAGCGAGGAAGAATGTACTTACTCGAAGACGCTAGCATATAACGAGCTATTAGACACTACCACAAGCTGTAGGGTACACAATAAGGCGGCTGCAATGGCTGCGATCCACATATCGATGAACGATCCGCCGAATGAGAGTGGGCATATCAACGCTGCGAGAATGAAGGCCAGGGTGCATCGCTGGAACGTTGAGTAGATTGGTGGCGAGTCGACGAGTTCTGTGAGCAGATCCGAGGCTTTTTTGGCGCTGATCTCGTCGTGAACCACTCGACGATAGATGTAATGGACCTTACGCAGATTTCCGAGAGCGAGGCGACCACCACACCTCACAAAATGCGTCTCGGACGTTTGTGTCCCCGCGTCGCCAAATGTGCTGACCATGAGGTTCGGTAAAAGAACGAACTCGGCTTTGACGCCGAGGACTCGGCAGGCAGCGTGGAGCTGCGACTCTATGCGATGCGATGGTGCGCCGAAGAACATTAAAGCACGACCAAGCTTGATGATGAATTGCTGACGATTGAGAAAGGCTTATTGACTTTGGTTAGAAACACACATCACAGAGTGCAATGCGCGCGAGGAACGTACAGGTCACATGTTTTTGAATCGTGATCCTCTTGATCTCCTTCCGGCGGGTCTTGTAGTCAAGCCCATGCATGCCAATCTGCCTCTTGCAGATATCCTCGAGATCCTCAGGATCGCCTCGGCGAGATTTTCGAACACCAGTGATCAGTGGATCATCCATGTCCAGACCTTCTGATTCGTTAGATATAGACGAGTCCACCCTTTGCATGCTCGGAAGGACCGTAGACGATCCCGATGGCATACTGGACAGTGCATCATCCGAGCGATCGTGTTTGCTGCGCTGAAGGGTATGCGACGCACGGTAGTGATCGAGAAGATTGAATGAAGCTGGGAAGCGACGAGATTGGGGCTGCGTCTCGGATCCCATGTCGACAGAAAAGTCATTGCTCCATGCCCGCGAGCGAGACTTTTCATCATCCTCAAAAGTGGAGTCCCGTCGGCTGCCTGGGCTATCAACGAATCCGTAAGACTGACGGCGTCCATGTCCGGCGTTGCGCGATCTCATGGCATGGGCAGGGGGAGTGGAGATCTGGGAGTGAGAGAACCTGTCCACAAAAGGCCCGTGGGGATGCGGGGAGTAGAGGGTGTCTTCATCGGAGGGCCGGCGGGGAGTACTTGGGCCAGTGTTGAAAATCGGCTGGTGGGCGGAAGAGGAGTTCATATTCGGGGTGGACTCGAACTCGAATGGGCGACGTATAGACCAGGCAGAAGCGGAATGAAAGGGACTTGCAGCGGCTGCCGGGGGCATTGATGGAGCTTGCCTTTGGACAGAGGATGGCGTATCGGGATTTTGAGTGAGAGGAGTAGAGACGGGTGAGTCTCTCAGAAATCCGGTGGAAGTGCGACGATGCACCATCGAGGGACGCTGGGGATTCGACATGGTAGACAGAGAATATGCGATCAAGTGTTTTCTTGAGACGTTCGAAAGGGTTGCTTCGAGAAAGAGGAGTTAAGTAGTCGATGAACAGATGATGTCAATTTCAGACCAGACCAGTCACATCCTCCATCCATGGTTTCAGGCTTCAGTGTATGAGATGCTCGCATCAGTCCACCAGACAAGTCAGCTTTTGACGCAAGCGATGAGATCATCCTAGCACGATGTTAGGTTTTATACCGAACCTTCCAATGGTCATTGAGCAGCATTGAGCTACACCTACGTAAAAAAAAAAAGTGAACGGTGTCATCAGCTTCTTAACCTTGCTGTACGACAGGCTCACCAGTTTCCTTATTCTGACTTATACACAGAACGACTGTCTTCTGTGTAAGGTCAGCTACGGAGACTGATTCTGACTCTGATACACGAAGCCGGTCCCGGCTTCTTCCATCGTGTGCATGCTAGCCGACGCCATATCCACGAGCAGAGCAGGGCAGATCCTCGAAGCAGGACTGCTGTCAAAGTAAATGCATCGATAACTAGGACCTCGAGGCCGCCATGTAGTCGGATCCAGGAGAAAGCGAGCTTGAGCAGAGTGTTACATCAATAAAAGGGTTACAGCCTAGTATGTACAGCATGCCGCTTGGGCATCCGCGGATGCAAAACAGGTCAGCTCTCGCGGGTGAGTAAACGGAAGCGGGAAAGTGCAGAACGCTGGGTGGGTGCAAGCACGAGGTGGTACTGTAGAGGAAGTGATACGAACAGAACAAAAGACGGAGGGAGGACCATGACATGGTTCCTGGACTGCGCCGGGCTGCAGGGCGTTCGAAGGACATCGCCTCAGGCGCTCAAAGCGCCTGAAGCCCCTCAATAACCTGTCATGGACGCTTGTCAGCTTCTCACCCCTCCTTGCCCCTCATCTTGACATGGATGATGCAAATCACAGCCCAACAGACCTTGCCCCGCCCCCACCTGCCTACGACCAGCGCGAGTTGGATCAGAAGGTCTCACAGGCCCTCGAGCAATCTCTCTCCTCAACAGACATGACACACACCATCGGCGAAGACGGCTGGCCCATCTATGATGCCTCCGCATTCGAAGTCGTCGCATCGAGCTATGAGCGGTCGACCACAGGTTCATCATCGCGGTTGCAGGAGACCGACCAGAGTTCGTGGACAAAGCGGGCCTTCCCAAGCGACTCAAAGGTCCCAAGCGCCGGCACACAGCCTCTTCGTATACGAAGACGAAAGAATCGACCGTCCAAGACCTCGCAGGACGTTATATCGCACGCAATGTCTGAAGAGAGCGCACGACCGAGCTCTCGAAGTTCTCAGCATAGCGCGGTGAATCCCGAATATTCGAGAGACAGCCCCCCTCCTCCATTCACTCCTACAGGTCCCTCTTTAGATGGTCCACCCTTTGAGGAGGTTGTCCGTTTGTCATGGAATGGACCAGACTCCCGACCTGCCTCTCCGCTGTCTACCATTGCCCATGATCACTCCCCTCGACGCGACCTCCGGGAATTTTCTCCGGAGCCCACGAGAACCCATCATCAATCACCCACACTTCTGCCCCGTAATGGGAACCGCCGAGCGAATCCTCGCCCCATCACCACTGACTATACGGCATCGCATGCAAGACATCACTCAGCCTTGTCGTCTCGTCTAGACTTCAATCCCCTGTCGGCTTATAGTAAACATCAGCTTGACCACACGGATGCACCGGCTTCCGATCCTTCACGCCAAGCTATGGCTTTCTACAAGTATGTGCGTCTTACCTGAAAGATCGATGCAGTGCTCACTATGCTTCTAGTCAAGCTGTCGCCTCCCACCTAACGGGCTCGGCGCCGGTATCGAGTCGTTCAGACTATATTCCCTCGTACGTCGTCATCCCATTTAATCACTTGCCATGACCTGACTGTTTCATAGACCAAACAAATCTCAGCTTTTCCGAGCACCTCGAGGCGCCTCACCTATGCCGCCCGGAGCTTCGGCTGGAGATGACGACATGACGTCGAGTATGCGAACCCAACGCCTACCTCGGCCAGCAACTGCGTCTAGCTCGAACTTATCGCCATATCCTCGTTCGATGCCATCACCGCCAGGAGCGAATGGGCCCTTGTCTACGTTCGATAGACAATCGCAGTACTCTACAGAGACACGGAGCGCCAATAGCGGAACGCCATGGGCGTTCAGCGAGGCGCAGATGATCAGGGATCTATATCAGGCTCGGTGACCTCGATCCTCGAAGCCTTGTGTTTGATTATGTATGTTTTGTTTTGACCCGGTTCTTTTCCACTGTATTGGCACTGCGTTGCGTCTGATCACTTTTAGCTGCTGAAGATGATGGAAACCTGTAGCTTTGCTCTGTTCTATAGCGTATCATACCAGTCTATGTTGCGTCTCGAAATCTAAAGTTAATTATACAGATCTCCTAGCTAGTGCACATACTATAGTCCTCGGAAGAAGTCATTCTTGTCCTGATATGGTAAGTCTCAGATATGTGTGCACGTGACGCGGGCGTTTCCATGGGCTGGTATAACGCTCAGCTTTAGCCGTAGAGCACTCTGTGTTACTTCACAATGGCAACCTCCAACCGCCCCTCGCTGTCTCGTTCTGCGTCCAGGCAAGATATGCAGGCAAGGTCGCACTCCAATCACGCAGAGAAGCCTGCGGACTATGTCTATTTCGACAGGACCACGGCTGGCTTTTCCGACGATGCGGTACCGCGAGCCAAAGCGGCCCAGCTCAAGCTCGAGCACTTTTACAAGGTCGCTGTCGATGCTGCGATAGAACGGAATAACAGGTCCGCGAATTCCCGCACATCGAGGTCCGGCGCTCACTGATGTGGCCCAGACGTGTTGAGCTCGAGCGCCGGCTGCAGGCAGACTCTCTTATGCCGGACGAACGGAAACAGCGGCAGCTGCTTCAGCACGGCAAAAAGGAGTCTACATTCCTGCGTCTTCGCAGGACGAAGCTTGGCTTGGACGACTTCAGGACAGTGAAGGTCATCGGAAAGGGCGCGTTCGGAGAGGTAAGTACCCTGTACTTGGCAAGCACAGGGGCTCACACTCTCGGCCCCATGCACGATAGGTCCGACTGGTCCAGAAGACCGACACAGGGAAGATCTATGCAATGAAGACGTTGAAAAAGGAGGAGATGTTGAAGAAGGATCAGGCATGCTCATTCACACATCACTCGTCGTGGTTCCCCTAATTCTCTCTGTAATAGCTTGCTCACGTCCGTGCGGAGCGTGACGTCCTGGCGGAGTCAAACTCGGCGTGGGTAGTCCAGCTGTACTACTCCTTTCAAGACCCCGCATACCTGTACCTCATCATGGAATTCCTTCCCGGTGGCGACCTCATGACCATGCTCATAAAGTACGACACATTCTCGGAGGACGTGACCCGGTTTTACATGGCAGAATGCGTGCTTGCCATCGAGGCGGTGCACAGTCTTGGCTTCATTCATCGGTGAGTTCAGATCACGGCACGTTTGCCTGTCCTGCTTATACGTACAACAGAGATATCAAGCCCGACAACATCCTGATCGACAAGGACGGCCACATCAAACTGTCCGACTTTGGCCTGTCGACCGGGTTTCACAAGAATCACGACTCGAACTATTACCAAAAATTGCTCGATCAGGCCAACGGCGCCACCTCTCCGACTTCGCAAGCGCAAGCCGCTAGAAACAGCGTCATGGTCAACGCGATCAATCTAACGATGACAAGCAAGGATCAAATTGCCACTTGGAAAGCCAACCGGCGGAAATTGGTCTGTTCGTTCCTCGTGCGATGTTCACGGGCGCCTCATGCTTTCTTTCGCAGGCGTACTCTACCGTCGGAACGCCGGATTACATCGCGCCGGAGATCTTTCTGCAGCAGGGCTATGGCAACGAGTGCGACTACTGGTCGCTGGGGGCTATCATGTTTGAGTGTCTCGTCGGATACCCTCCATTCTGTTCGGAGACCACGCACGAGACGTACCAAAAGATCATCAACTGGGAATACCACCTGGTCATCCCAGACGATGTCCACGTCAGTGAGGAGGCCGAGGATCTCGTCAGAAGGTGCGGCTCCTTCCTCTGCCTCGTCCTTTTTTGCCCCTCTCTGACCCACTCGTGCAGACTCATCACATCAGCCGACCGACGCCTGAGCGTGGAGCACATCAAGAAACACCCCTTCTTCTACGGCGTAGACTGGGAGGCCATCCGGCTGATCGACGCCCCCTTCGTCCCCCGACTTCGCTCCATCACGGACACGTCGTACTTCCCGACCGACGAGCTCGAGCAGGCCCCAGAGGAGCCCGCGGGGCCCGACAACAGCGGCGCCAACAAGGATCTGGCTTTCTTGGGGTACGTCGCCGCCGCTCTCCGCGCCCCGCGATCACGACTGACTGACGGCCGCCGCACAGGTACACGTTCAAGCGGTTTACCATCTCATCACCCGCTTTCTAATCTCTAGGCGTTCGGAAACGGCTCCGGCAGCTGGCCTGCGAAACTTAATCTGCGTGATACTCATCATATCGTGCAATGGATACTACTCACAATACCTGCTCCGGCGACGCCGGTGTCGCATAGACGCACTTACACAAGGCATGCACGACGTTACCCCTCATTTTTTTTCAACTGCCTTTGCAGTCGGTCTTTCCTATATCTAATACACAAGCGAGATCTGCGAAGCATGAGTACTAGTCAGTCAGTCGCTGGCCGTTATTGTAGAGTACAAACTGTAAATTTAAAATACACAGAAGGCGTCGACAGTCGTGTATCGTCGCCGTGAAGCACATCACCGGGTGCCGCGCGGTCGCAGCTGGGGTCGCATCTGCAGGGGTGCAACAGGCTCGGCGGTCAGTACCTCGATTCGCGCGCGCGCAGAAAACGAGCGGTGGGAGCCACGCACCATCTCTAGAAAGATCGGGAGCAGATCGGGCACCCGTTGCAGGTCGGGCGGCTTCAGCGCGTCGGCCTGCTGTCGCTTCTGCTTCTGCTTCCGCGTGCGCGCCGACGCCGACGCCGACGGCGTGCTGTGGCCCGAGTACCGCCGCGACCTCCGGTCTTCGCGCCGGGGCGTCGGCATCGGCGTCGGTAGGGGGTTCAACGATGGCGACGGTGACGGCGGCGGCCCCCGAGCCGAATATGGACCGGGGCCGGAGCGCTCGTGGTGCGAGTGCGCGCTGGACGCGCTCGGGAGTGCGGGCGCTGCCGCGGCGCCCGGGCTGGGCGGTAGCGGCTTGGAGCGCGCGGAGAGCGGGATGTGCTTCGGGAGCGGCGGGACGGGCGGCGGGGGGAGCTCGGCGCTGCGCCGCGCGGCGTCGCCGAACGTCATGGAGCGGGATTTGCGCAGGGGGAGAGAGAGCAGGCGCGGGCGCGAGCCTTTGCGGGGGAGTGGCTGCGCTTGGGGTGGTGGCTGCTGCTGTTGTTGTGGCCGCTGTCGGCCTGCGGACTGTGGGGTGTGAGGCGCGTGGGGTGTCGTCCGCGAACGCGCGAGCGCCTTTGCACGCGCGGCGCCCTCCGACCCAGACCAGTCCTCCTCACTGCTCCCGTCCTCGTCCTCATCCTCGTCCTCCTCCTCGTCCTCCTCATCCGTCTCGTACTCCGTGCTCCCCTCCCCGCTCTCGTCCGTGTCCTCCGCCGCCGCGTCCTCCGCGTCCCCGCGCATCAGCTCGCCATAGCTCAAGTCCCGCAGGACGCCCTGCATGAGCGCCTGCGCCGCCTCGTCCTCTACGCCCGCGCCGCCGCCGCCCTCCGCGCCGCCCGCGAAGCGCCGCCGGATCTTGCTCTCGTACGCGATCTTGAGCTTGTAGTGGTACAGCGCTACGGCGTCCACCTCCGCCAGCACGGCGGCGCGCTCGGGGCCGGTGTGCGGGAGTAGAAACTCGAGGCTGACGGGCGCGCCGAGGCCCTCGCGGATAACGGCGAGGAAGAGCTCGATCCAGCGCATGAGGTCATTGAACAAGCTCTCGCCCTTGGAGTGCACCTTGTGCACGAAGTGGTAAAAGGACTGCTCGTGCCGCTGGATGAGGTCGATGAACGTCTGGACCGTCTGCTGCGGGTCGGTCTGGCTCACTGTGAGGTAAAAAGAAAGCGTCGGAGCGCGTAAGGCGGTGACCTGAGGTAAAAAGAACACGGCAACGTACGCTCTTCTGCGGATTCGACGGTGCGGATGAGATCGTTGATGAAGTTCTGCAGGTCGCCGAGCGAGTCGGCGATGCTCGCGGCTCGATATACCTGCGCCAAAGGGGCATAGAAGATCGTGATGATGTCTTTCAACAGCTCCGCCGTTACGCCCTGTGATGCAGGACCGGATGGTCAGGCGACCCCAACAGCTGGGGAAGCGCACGGCGAAGACTGACCTCGAATATGAGGGCGATGAGCTGCTCCTTCTCGCGCAGCCGCGCGTAGAGCTTGGCGAGGATGCTCAGATCCTCGAAGAGCCACGCGTCCTCGTTCGGGGGGCCGTCGTCGTCGTCCGAGTCATCGAGCGAGTCGCGGTAGCGCATGTATTCTACGTGGGCGCGGTGGCCCCTGACGATGCGGTGCATCTGTGCGCGTGACAGGGCGGGATCCTCGCTGGCGCGGAGGACGGCGGCGAGGACGTGGACGTTGTCGTGCGCTGATCGGCGAGGGAGCGCGGATCGCACGTCCCAATCGAGACGGACATGGATCAAGCGGAAAATGCAAAACGTCAACGTCAGCGACCGGGGGCGGGCGAACCGACGGCGGCGGCGTACCGGCGTCGGCCTTGTACACGTCCTGGATCTCCCGCGGCGCATACACGTACTGCCGGACCTTCTCGCTGATCATCCCGTCCTCCACCTTGTCCTTCACCGCCTCGATGTCTTCCTCCAGCGCCTTGACCTCTTCGTTCAGCGAGCTCGTGAACATCCTGCCGTGGCCAGTCATCAGCATCCTAGCCACACCCCGCACCGTGCCACCACTCACCGCTGTAGCAGGCTGCGTCCCCCAAAGGGCTGAGCCAGGAACAGATCGAGCACGCCTGAACGCACGTCAATAAAAGTCACATTACTTCTCGGTGTACGGAACGCTCACTCCGTATCATCCCGACGGGGTTGCTGATCCTGAGCGCCGTCTTTAGCATAAAGTACGGCATCAATCCATGTATGCGCTTGAGCCCCGCCAGCGTCTCCGACGCGTCGTCGGCCGCGACAAAATGTTGGAACACCGTCGACGCTAGTCTGCGCCACACGGGTGAGCGCCCGCAGAGTCCACCCGGCAAAAGGCTGAGGAGACTCACGAGATGCGCGCCCACTCGAGCACGGCTTGGAAGTCAGGCGGGAGCTCGCGAACGTTTTCCGTCGTCTTGATGATCGCGAACATCTGCGTCAGCCCATCTGTCCGACATCGTCACCCGAGGCCCTGCACCACGACGAAACTCGCCGCTCACCTTTTCCCATGATGTCGCCCTTCACGCCCTTGACACTCTCCCTGAGCTTGTCCACCCGGCCCGCCACAGCGCTCGCGAAGCGCGCACGCCCGTCCTCCCTCACGCGGTCCGCCTCCTCGCGCCTCGCCGCGTCCGCGAGCTCCTCGTGGCTGAGCATCGTCGGTCCAGACGTCAAGAACGAGTGTAGCACGGGGGACGACGCAAATGCGGGCGTCGAGAGCAGCGCGTGCAGGTACGCGCGCAGCGTCAGACGGTTCTTCTCGCGCGCGAGCCGCGCGTGGGCAGACGAGGACGAGGAACTCGCGCCCCCGATGGTTGTGGTCGCGCTCTGTGGCGTGCCAGGAGAGGGCGGGGGCGAGTCGGTGCTCGCGGCGGAGAGAAGAGTCGAGGAGGGGCTGAGAGGCCAGCCGCTGGACCCGCCCGTGCTACTGCTGCTGCTGGGGACGTTGACGAACGCACGGTCCTTGGCCGGCGGCGCGCGCACGGTCTCTTCCGGGTGGGCTTTACGGAGCTATGGGGGCGCATCGATCGTGAATGTCCGGGGATCGGGTGATAGACGGCGCGAAAGACGCACCTCGTCCGCGAGCGTCCGAAAGTCGCCGTACCGCCGCGAGACGTACACGTCGTGAGCTCGCGAGCGACGGGTGCGGATGATGAACTCCTGTGGGGGTGTGAGTCGACGGGGATCGAAAGCAGTGTGGCTGGAGGCAAGTATATGCGAGCGCACCTCGTGTACGCGGCTGCGTACCCGGCCCTTCTCAACGACGGTGCGAACGCAGACGATGTTCACGTCGAACACGTCCTGCATGCGGGCGAGGCGCGCACGGCGGCGACGAGCGAGGAGCTCGAGACGGTCGAGGTCAGCCTGGGCGAGACGGACGACCTCCTCGCGCTCGGCGATCTTGGTGGCGTAATTGATGAAGAGCGCGAGGCTGCGCTCGAGCTTGGCCATGATCTTCTTCTGGCTATTGTCTTCGGCGCTGCTGGAACCGGACGCAGAGTCGGGGCCATCGCCGAGTATGGAGGACGGGGAGGAGAGGTTGCGTGCGAGGACGGAGGCGACGAAGGGCTGGACCTTGTCGGGGAAGAAGTCGCGGGGGGCGGCGGCGAGGAAGGGGAAGGTGAGGACGAACTGGCGGAAGATGTAGCGGAGGAAGGGGAGGTCGAGGGCGGGTGCGCCTTGGGGGGGTGGGGAGAAGGGTGGGCCGAGGTAGGAGAGCGTGGAGAGATTCGGGAGAGCGGAGGCGGGGGAGGAGGTGATGGCGGCGAGCTCGTGGGAGAACTGGAGCTGGATCAGGGTCTTCTTGAGGTAGTGGGCGCGCACGGGGGTCAGCGTCGTGTCGGGCTCCTCCTGTGGCCGTGGCTGCTGCCGAGAGGAGGATGGAGGGCTGGGATCTTGTGTGGGCGAGGCGAGGCGGGGCTCGGGGCTGCTGGAGAGGATGGGGTAGGATATGGGGTCGACGAGGTCGACGATGACGGTGGGGGTCGTGGCCTGTGTGGCGAGGGCATCGAGAGTGTGCATGGGAGAGGCGAGCGTGCGTACGTCGAGCGGGAGCGGGGGACGCTAGAGAAATAGGAGCAGCAGCGCGAGGAACTGCAAGCAACGACGTAATGCGACCCGAAAGCGGTCAGGCACGCTCTCCGATTCAGATCAATTGCTAACCTAAACACAAGACAAGACCAAGAGCTTCCACTACAGCTAGACATACACAGGATATGCGCAAACACACAGAGCGGTCAAAAAATACAGAACATATCACGCGGCAGATCACTCCTCTCTCTCGTCAAGGCACTCCGATGAAGCGTCCCTCTACTGCACCGGCGCCTGCTGCTGCGGTTATGGGACATAGACTCTCGCGCCCTGAAATGTCCGTCCATTTTCGTCGAGCAGTCTTTTGAGGCGGCCCGCGACGCCCCGCACGCCCTCGCGCGAGTCGTGCAGATCTCTCCAGCTGCCGGCGACGGTCCAGCACTCGGAGCAGGCCTTGGAGGCGGCGTTGACCGTGTCGAGCTCGAGCTCGCCGCGGGCGTGGAGGGCTTCGAGGACGCTGACAAGGCGGCTGAAACCAGTGATCCATGTGGAGATGCCGTTGGCGGAGTTCATGGTGGCGTCGGTGACGAGGTAGGAGGAGGCGAGCTCGAGGCAGTGGCAGAGGACGCGCTGGTCGACGGCGGCGGACTGGTGGGTCATGTCGCCAAGGACGCCGGTGACGAAGGCGGCGTAGTTGGTCGGGGGGCGCATGGATGTCTCTGCAGACTGATGGATGGGACGGGGAGAGAGGCGAGGGGCGTGAGTCGGCGCGGGCGAGGCGGGGGGGTGCGTGGGCGTGGGCGGACGCGTACCTCTGGGTCTGGGTCCATCACGTCGGGGTGACCATGTATGAGCTCTGGAGGGAGTGCGGGAGAGCGGTGCTGGAACGCGTGTGTGAACAGGCGAGCGATGAATGGACAAGGAACGGCTGACCTAGAGACTCGGCAGAGGGGGAGGGCGGGGAGGTGCATGCATGCAGGGACGGAAAGGAGCCTTTATGGGACGGAGGCGTGTTCCGCCCAAAACACCGGGATGGACGGTTCGGGGGATGGGAGGCATGGGATGAGTCTGCGATCGCGTTGCCCGCTGGCGAGGCGGCGCGCGCCATCGACCGTCAGCCCCCTTCGCGGCCGATCGCGTGCCTCGCCGCGCAGCCGAACAGAACCGTCCCCGTCCCCAGCCACCCAGCCACCCAGCCACTCCGCTCTGCTGCTCCCTGCTGCGCTCTGCACTCTGCCCTCCCGCCACCATGGCCTCCGCCCTTCTTCTGTCCCCTCTCAACAACGTCCTCGCCTTCCTCACACCCCCACCTCCTCCCGTACAGGACGCGGCCTACGACGGCTTCGAGCTCACGTGGCGCTTCTTCGTCTTTCGTCCCGCACGCACGTCTGCCGTCCCTCGCTCTCCTGCCGTCGCCTCGCTCACCTCCCCTCTTTCGTCCCTCAGTCTTCAAAAACGAGGCGTTGCTCCTCGCAGGCGTGCTCTTTTACGTCCTCTGCTTCTACCTTGGAAAGCGCCACAACGCAAACAGGGCAAACGCCTGGTCAGTTTCTCCCCGTCACGCCCTCTCTGCCCAATCAAGCACTCACCCCACCCCTTGGCTCCCTCCAGGATCGACGCTCACGCTCCTCTCTACGCCCAGCAGTTCTCCCGCCCCACAAACGCGGGCCTCACCGCCGATGGCTACTCTGACTTTTTCTCTTTCTCCACCGGCCGTCGCGCCGTCGCGGTCCTCCACACCGTCTTCACCCTCCGGCCCCGCCACGACATCTTCCAGCTGGCCTATCAGCTCGCCTACCGCAACGTCTATGACCTCCAGTACAACCCCGCCGACGACGTTCAGCTCGACTTCAAGCTCCACCCCGGCGTCAACGTCCCTGACTTTGTATGGGCGCTTGTCAACAAGAACGAGCTCAAGTCCATCAAGGACGCCCGCTGGGACTTGGTCAGCGCGTCTTTCCTTCCCTCCCGCGCGTCCGTATGCTCATCAGCGCGTGCACAGACGTTCACCAGGACCACCGACAACCCGGCCGTGCCCAACTCGCTGACCATCATGAGCGGTCCGCCCTTTCGTTCTAAATACGGACCCTGCTCTCGTGCTCACGTCGGAGGGTCTAGAATTCGCCGACGTCACCGATGGAGTCCTCAAAGTCGCCGGCCCCGTCATTGCCGCGCTGAACGACCCGCAAGTTCTTCCTTACTTCCGCTCGCTTTCCGTATGTTCCCCTCCTCCTCCTCCCCCCCTTTCATTTCGTTTCCCACACGAGGCACCCCTTGTGACCGGATCTTTTCCATCGAACTTTCAGATCACCGACCAGCCTCGCGAGCGCCCGGATATTGCGGAGACCTCGCGCGAAAAACACATCATCCTCACCCTCGCTTCACCGCCCGCGAGCGCCGCCGCGCGTACGCTCCCGCTCGTCACCGCCGTCTTTGCGTTGGTTGACGCCCTCGACCGCGTCACGCTACGCCCCGAGACCAAGGCGAAGCTTCGGAAGGTTCGCGAGGACTTTGCGCGCGCCCAGAAGGAGTCTGCAGAGAAGGAGCGCCGTGAGGAGGTGAGTCGTGCTTGCGTGCCTTGGCAACGACACGAACGCGGGCTGCATTCGATGGGGACTGCGCGGACGAGAGCAAGGGCCCATCTCTTATCCAATCTGCTGCCGTCTTCTCATCTCACTGGAATCTTCTTCTTGTTTCCCCGCATTTCTGTCACCCTTCCTTCATCTCCTTCAACTCATCTCCAACTCACATTTTCATTTCCCAGGCCCTGGACGCCAAGCAGGCGGCGAAGAAGAAGGCGGAAGAGGACCGGATCGCGAAACTAAGTGCGACCGAACAGCAGAAGGTGCGTGCGCGTCCCCCACAACACTGCCTCCCCTCCCCCTTTCCGTCCTCCTGTCAATCTGGCCCTATCGACCCCATCGAGCCCCCTGCCCTTTCCCCACACCCACCGTGCCATCCGATCTCCACGCGATGTGCGCCGCGCATCGAGGTCACGCTGGCGCACTGATGAAATGTCCCGACCGACCGACCGACTGACTGGTGTTCTCGTTCTTCTTTCGATATGTCCTTCTTCGTCCGTGCCTCGACGCCCTGCGGTCCCGCGTGCCTGTGTTCCGTCCGTCGCGCTGCCCCACCCGCATCGTCCTCGACCCCCGCATCGTCCTCGGACCTCCCGCCTCGCGCGGCCTGGGGCCACGCGCTGACAGATCTTGGAGCGCGATCGCAAGCGCAGCATGCGCAAGACGCAGTCCAAGGTCCAGGCGCGGAAATAAGCTGTCAGTGCTCTCGATCGCGCGCGCGCACGGTGGCCACGCGCATCTGCGTTGCGCGATCTCGAGCCCGAGGAAGCACCGGGGACCAAGCCGTGCTGCACGAGGGAGATCGTTAATTATGGGGGGAACGCGCGATATATTGGAGCATATATATCAGTATCGGCGGCGCGGTGCTGCCAGGATAAGAGCGGGTTTTTTTATTTGATTTTGCGGTGAAAAGGATTGCGGGGCCGCGGGGATGGAATTGTGGACGTCGGAGAGCTTCGGGGAGTCGAAATGGCGCGCACGTGTCCGGGCTATCGAGCTTGATCTATGTGTCGTGCTGTATCGTAGTTGATCTGTGGGGTGTTGTGCGCAGGGGGTTCTCGTTTTATAGCACTCGTGATGCGCGGGGATGCACGCACTCAATTAAAGGCGTGAGCTCGTACGAGAGAAGGAACCAGCGTACTCGAACCTTCGCGCGGACGGCGTGTGCGAGTCATTTCGATACATTGGGCCCGTCGCAGCTTGATATATATAACATCAGACTAGGATAAACACGTTGAGGTTATAGCAAGGCGTGTTGCCAAGCGCAAATCCGTGTGGGAAATCGGTGCTCCCCGTCTGTACTATACGAGTACAGGGAAAGGCGTCCAGCTGCGTCCACACCCCGGCCCTGCCATCGACGCAAACATTGTCGCCGCAGTCGCTGACTCGATGCCTCTGTCGGGCCATGGATTGATTAGTGATCACTTGGCATCGCGTCGTCGGAGCCTTGGTGGTCTAATCTCACATGACGTACAAGGCTCAAGCGGGTCAACGCTGGTTCAACTTGAAAAGTTTAAACATAGCGAAGGGCGAAATTCAAATAACTTACGAGAGACCTAACCCCGCATAGCACGAAGCACACCTGACCGTCGCCGAGCCTTGCCTCGGCGAGGCAGACGCACTGCGCGCCGATCAATTGAGCACTCCTCGAGACACCCTCGCCACCACTCAACATGAATCCTCCCCGATATCAGGAAATCATCTAGCTCGGCAAAAAAACAAGTGCCCAAACGTTCAAGAATTGCTTATCTCAAGTGCTCTTAACGTGTTCAAATTCTAGATATATAGAAAACCTTATCTGAGCTTACGATACCGCCTGATGCACGATGACGCGTATCCGACCGCGGAATGGAACACGACCTGCATCTCGGCGACAGCTATATAGGCGCGCTATCCCGTTTGCTGGGGCGCTTTGAAAGCCTCGAGGGATGACTCACGAGCAGCGCCCCTTCTTCGACGCTCGAGGCCGCCACGGCGCACCGCCGCGCTGGCCTCCTGGGGAAGGCCGTGCAGAGTGCGCTTGTGCGTCTGCAGATCCCGGAGGCGGAGGCAGATCGATGTGCAGCCTGCGACGACGACGATGGGCGCCGCCTCCGAGATTTCGCGATAAAGGCCGAGCGAGGCTCTGGCCTCGTGTGATCGCTCTTCTGGGTTTAACGTGCATCGGCCGTACTTTCCCCACACGCTGGTGGATCGCAGCAATCGATCTCGTGTGTGCAACGCTTTTCGTCACAGATAATTACTATCGTTGCACCGGAGTTGCAAACGGGATGGGAGGTTCAAAATCGAGCTCCTCGCAGCATTTTTTGACGGCACCTTTCAAAAAAATTCATAGTTGTTCATGTAAGTACTCCTCAAGTAGTGTAGTTTTTTTAAGAACAGAAATTGGGTGCAGCAGTGAGGAAGCAATGGATAATGGTTTTCAGGACAGTGTTCTCTAAAAGATGCTCAAGATCTCTCAGATCCTTGAGCTCAATTGCCAAAAGAAAAAATCTGGAAGATGAACAGGTACTACCGAAAACATATAGACAAATTTATTTGACTTTGAAGACTCCAATGCTCTTCACCAAATTGTTTTTGACGGGCAGTGTCCGATGGCAGGCAGAGTGACAGGGAGCCTCGGGCCGCGTGATGCTTGGTCATCTTTTTGAAACGCCGCTTCGCAAGTCGCCCCGCAACCTGAGTTCAAATTTGAATGTGACGATGTGACCCCGTCGTCGGAAAGATTTGCAACTCCCTAGATTTGCTCGTTTTCAGACACCCCTTCTCAATCATATCACAACAATTCTTTCAGTTCATTCAAAAATATGAAAAAATGACAGAACATATTCCAAGAAGCTTTCGCAGGTATGATAAAAATTTAGAGTGAAAGGAAGGTTAAATGAAGATGCTACAAAGGAATCGTTTTTTTTTTTGCAACTCCGGTGCACTGATAGTACCAGGATATCGCAGATCGAAATGAGTGGACGCGACCCAATGTGTCGTGTCGGTAGCTTTCCACCGTTCCATCCGCACGGTCCTGTGGCAAGTGTGTGAAGCCACGCTGTCAGCAGCTCTTGATAGATCGATGATGAGCGACGGATGGACGAGGCTGAAGGCCTGGCAGCCTAACGTCCCAACGTCCCAAGAGGCAACGATACGCACTTGACCAAATTATGAGATCGCACCGCCGCTTCACCCGCGTCGATGAGCCGTCGATGAGATCTAGATATATCCGCTCCCTCGCTCGGAGTCACTAGTAATTAAACTAAAGCCAGCTCGGAGGACGACGCCGATGCCATGTAGAGTAAGCGCAGGAATGAAAGGAAGTATACGGGCCAGCCTGGGAGGGTCGGGTCGGGTCAGGCGGTCAGGCGGTCGGGCGGTCGGGCGATCAGGCGGTCGGGCGGTCGGGCGGTCAGTCGTTCTCGTCCGATTCATTGGCCCCGGCAGCTTCGACCAATGGCGTGGGGGAGGCTGCGGCGTCGATGTTATCTCGCGCTCGCGTTTCCTTCTTCGCGTCCGCGTCCACGTCCATCTCCTGGGGCGATGCGGGCCCAATTTCCGAAGCGTTCCCACTCCCACTGGTCCCGGGCACAGGCGTATCGCTCCACTCGGCCGCACCCACGTCCGCAGCCTGCGTGCCCTCCATCTCCTTTGCCTTCTTCGCCTTGCCGCCCCAACGCAGCCCCCAGCTCTCGAAAAACTTCAGCAACCACGCCGGCCCCATCGGCTGGCTCTCCAACACCCCCTCCCCCTCCTCCTCCAACACGTCCTCCTCCTCCAGGCCCCGCTCCTCCTCTGCCTCCTCCTCCGTCCGCCCTAGCGCGTCCACCATCCGCGCCCGCCCGTCGAGCGTCCACTGCAGCCTGTCAAACCTCCCCCCCGCGCCGGACCTGACGCCCGACCCCGCTCCCCCCGCCGCATCTGCGCCCGACCCGGCACGCGCCACGACCCGGCGCCCAGTGCCGAACACGCGCTCGCGCAGCGCGAAGACCTGCGCGCGCTGCGGCGCGACGCTGTCCCAGAGCGCCTGCGGCCGGAAATGACCCGTCTCGTACGCGCGCGCGCGCGTGTCCTGCAGCATCGCGTCTGCGGCGAGCCGCGCCTCTGCGATGTCGGCTATGAGCTTCGTGCGCGCGTCGACGGCGGCGAGCAGGTGCTGGTGCACCTGGTAGTCCTCGCGCAGTTGCGCGGTTGTCTTGGAGAGCATGCGCGTAAGGACCTGGAACCGGGAGGGGCACGTGAGTGGGGACGAGGGGCAAATGAGCGGAAGAAAGTAGCACAGACATGTAATGTCGCGACGACGCCTTCGAGATGCCGTTCGCGCCGTCGCATGATGAGCAACTGTCCGCACAGATCGACGTCTATCTTCATCCTTTCCAGGGGCAGGATCCGGCCGGCCGCTACCCCCGACGCGTGGTCAAAGCTACGACGCCTAAGAACGCACGGCCACCCATGAGTACACAATGTTCTCACAGCCAAGTCGAACCGCACCTGACGAGCATAGGGCCCTCCTCCAAGTCCCGCCTCCGTATGCTCATGATTGACATGTCATCCTTGGCGGCTCCTTCGCCGACGACACCCCTCAGCGATATATTCTGTGGCTCGTCGGCGCCATCGACGCCCGCCCCGCTTCCTCTGCGCGATTGCGAGGCAGGGTCCGTGAGACCTCGCGCACTGACGGGGTCGGACCAGCTGGTGACCCTATTCTGGTACGACGGGCGCACAGGGCGCTTGAGGTTAAACTCGGACAGGCGGCGATCGTACTCGGAAAGGTGATGCGGGTACGGCTGGCTCTGCGGCAGCAGCGCAGGGTCGGGGAGCAGCGCCCTGCTGCTGAGGAAATAGTGTGTCTGCGCTGTTGCATGGCGAAGGGGTCAGAAAGGCTGATGGGGCATGCAGGACGAATGGGGAGACGTGGGAACGGTGCCAACTTACAGGCGGGCGAGACCTGGCCGCTGCTGAGGATCTCCTCGTCCTCGCCTGCTTCCCTGCAGGGGGCGGCGATGTGAGCCGTCAGACGAGAAAAGGGGACGCAGAGACCGCGCACCGTGAGACGATGACCTGCGGCAGGGAAGGCGAGCGATCGTGCAGACGCGCGGCGTCGAGGGCGTGCCCAGGCCTAGCGGTGCCGGCCCCAGACGCGCTCCCGCTGCCGATCCGGGCGGAAAAATCGACGCTCTGCTTCTTCGATCTGTTGAGGCTGTCAATGCCCGATCGGGAGTGAGTGGGCGGCCGCATCGAGGATGGCAGACAAGGGGGCGCTCACCCGCTCGTCCACGACTCGATCTTGCGCTGCACCCTCCGCCCGTTCCTCCACCGCTTCGCTTCCCCCTCGTCCTCTGTCGACTTGCCGTCCGTCCCCTCGTTCCTCACCTCGTCCTTGTCCCTCTCCCGCTCCCGCTCCCAACCCCGCTCCCCGTCGCTCCCGACCTTCTCCCGCCGCTTCTCCACCAACTGCACCAACCGACCCGTCCACAAATACCGCAAGCTCGCCGCGCCCTCCTTCCCGCCCGCCGCCACCACGAGCCGCACAAACGCACTCAGGTCCGACGTCGCCTCCGCCGTGTGCGCATGCGAGTTGGCGTGCCCGCCCCCCATAGCCCCCGCAGCCCCGCCGCCGTCGCCGCCACCGCCGCCTCCTCCTCCCCCGCTGCTCGCGCTGGTGCGCAGGTCCGTCGTGAGGTCGTCGAGCTTGTTCAGGAGCACGCGGTGCGGCTTGTACACCTCGGACTGCCGGTATTTGCCGTACGCGCGGTCGATCAAGCGCACGGCCTCGTACGTGAAGTAGGGCGGCGACGGCGGCGGAGGGAACGAGGAGAACAGCCGCGAGGTGTGCAGCGAGTACAGCACCTGGACGAACGCGTGCGGCTCGAGGAACGGGTCCTTCGGCACGATCTGCGTTTATTTTAAAAAGAGTGTTTCAGGGCGCGGCCGTGGTGCAGGAGAGACTGTGTTACCTGACCGAACCCGAGCACATACAGCTTGCTCCGCATGCTCGTGACCAGGCTCAGCAACGCAGAAACGATCATCGGATCCGCGACGCGCTCCGTCGGCTATAACAAGAGCACGAGGCCGTCCCCCAAGGCCATACCAGTGTCAGAATAATATAAAGAGCAGCCGCGAGCCCACCCACGCTTACCTCGACACCCAACCACGGCTCCCCGATCTCCGCGACCCAGCGCTGGATCCCGTCGACCGTCGCGTCGCACAACAAGCCGTTCCGCTCCTCGGGCGCGGGGTCGAACATTCCAAAGATGGCGAGCCCCGCTTGGAGGAGCATGACGAGCTCGAGCGTCGTGCGGCCGAACGATTCCGGGGCGCGCGCGCGATCTGGCACGTGGTACATGGTGAGGAAGCGATCCTTGGTCGTATCGCTGTGCCCCGTCGGCCGTGAGTCTGATTGCCAAGGGCGCGGGGGTAAGACTCACCTGGGTTCCTCGAGCGTGAGCGCGCTGCGTCCGGAGCAGCCCATGCGAAGGAGGTTGATGTTCGCGTAGAGATGCTCGCGGGCCTCGAGGAAGAACCCGCTCGGGATATGGACGATCGTAAAGTCTGACCGGAAGTTGGCGAGCGAGGTGACCATCAGTGTGCCATGCTCCGTCTTGGGGAGGTTCACATTGTGTACAAGGCCGAGGAAACATCGGGCGTAAGAGATACGTGCTCGAACGGGGAATGCGACGCGGCGCGTACCTCCTTTGGGCGCGCGCCTGCCTGGCGAAGATCGCGTATGGCACGGTCCCACTCGGCCTGAGCTTCTTGTGGCGAGAGGGCGGGGGCCGGAGCTAGCGCGGTGACCGTAATCTACAGTAACAAACAAGCATGAGACCAGAGGTGCAGAAAGGCAGAGCGCAAATACCACACTTTATGCAGAGGATCGCCCGTGTACACCGCGAGGGTGATGACCGAGCGCGCGCGTTCCGTGACCCTGCACCCGGCGCGGCACGCCGCGTCAACACCTCGTCTGCAGCACGCGAGCGGAGGACGGAACGCGACGGGCACTCACCACTTCTCGACCGCGTAGATCTGGTACCCCTCGAGCTCCAGCAGGTCCTGCACGACGTCGAACCTGCAGCGCCTGCCGAGCCAGTCCTTGCCCGCGTCGCGCGGGGGCGGCGGGGGCAGGGTAGGGGCTGGGGGGAGCGGGGTGTTGACGGAGGCGGAGCGCGCGCGCATGAGCTTCGTGGCGGCTGTGGGGCGCGGGCGGGGGGACTTGGGCGAGAGGGGGGAGGGGCCGACGGGGCTGTTGGAGGCGGAGGACGGGGCGGGGCGCGGGGGGCGAACGGTGGGCATGAGGAGCTTGCGGGCGGGGGACGCGAAGAAGGACGGGTTTGGGCTTGGGCTCGGGCTCGGGTTCGGGTTCGGGATGGAGAGCAGCGGGGTGGAGGGGACGGAGTAGCGTGCGAGGGCGCCGCTCGGGCCAGCGCCGGGGCCTGCGTTGGAGGCGGGGGAGGAGAGCAGGAAGGGCGTGCTCGGGGGCGAGAGGGCAGACATGGAGAGAAACGAGTTGGAGCGCGACTTGTTGCCCGGGTAGGCCATCTGCGAGGGGGCGGTGCGCTCGCTGCGGGGCTCGGTGCTGGTGCGTGCGCGCTGGCCCGAGCGTCGACGCGCGCAGTGAGGTCACAGGGCTCCCTCGCCGGCATCACGCGGCACCGTCCCATTTCGCACTCCGCGAACAGCACATCGTCGTTGCGGACATCACTCCCTTGTCGCTCCCTCGCACAGGGCCCCAGGCTTCTCTTGACCGGGTCTCTTCGTGCCTCGAGGGCCGAGTCGTCATCGAAGAGTGCCTATTCGCCTCGCTCCTCGCCCCAGGCCCAGCCCCGAACACGGCCCACGGCCGCTCGTCGTGCGGAGCCCGTGACCGCCATAAATGAACAGCTTCGTCGCTCCAAGACGCTGATGCCTCACGCGGCGGCATCGCCGTGACTACCACCCAGAGCTTCGTGAAATTCACATCGAACAGCGAGAGGATAACGAACACATGTGAACGGCGTGACGATCGGGCCGTTGCCGCATCTCGCTATCGAATGGCAATGAGTTCGACTTTGGGGGAAAGAGAGCCTGCGCCCTCCTTCCCAAGAGACTCGCACTTGAGCTCGTTCGACGGCGAGAGACGCAGGCATCGGCCGCTCGTGGGACGCGTGCCGTTCCTTTTTCTCATTCATCTTGCTTTACACGCCTTTCGATATTAAAAGTGGACGAGATGACGACCTCTGTTGTAACCTAGCAGACACCGGAGCCGTCACCAGGACGCTGTCCTTGCAGGCGGCGAACAACTCTAACGCCGCCCATAGCACACACAGTACAGCAACACGACCCTGCAAGACCGTGCCCTCCGCCTCCCTCTTTGCCTTCCACGATGACCAAGTCGCATAATCCCACGATAGTCCTCTATAGTACATACTTACAGTACACCACCATCGCGCCTCGGAGCGCAACATGTCACGCAAGCGTCATCGAACCACCCCCGCAGGCGCCAACGACCGTCCTGCCACAGCCTGCCACCCACTGACCAACCCAACGAAGGCCGGAAACGTGCATTGACACTCCGCGAGCTTCGATCCCACTGTCGCCGTCCACGCCTGCGACAGGCCTGCGAAGGTAAACCGCTGCCACCGCCGCCGACCGTCGGTACGATCCACGGCCCGAAGGGCAATGCACTCCTCTCGAAGCGAGCCTCGCCGTGCCCACGCCCCGTCACGCTCGGGCACGCATCGAGCACGGCCACCACGACCACAACCACGACGACGACCACGACGACGCCAACGCCAACGCCAACGCCAACGACGAGTGTCGGCGGTCGCCAACGACACAGCGCCGAGCCGACTCATTTCCCTCAGATCGAGACAACGAATCGGTCGGCCGCTCGCAGCTATTAGACGGTTGCTACAGCGCACCGGGGCGGCCGACGATCGGGACGTCGTGCACGCAGAGAGCCTCGATCGGCACACCCCTGCCTGTCGTCCGCGTCCGCGTCCGTCTGCGTCTGCGTCTGCGTCTGCGCCTGCCACACGAAAAAAAACACGGCCATCCGTCCGTCCGGCGTCGGATCGCCAGCGCCGCGACCGACGCGGGAGGTTTTCACGCACCGCAATTGGGCAAGTAACGCTGTGCGCGCGCTCGAGGACGAGGACAGTACAGCACGAGGATGCGCGATCCCGAGCGATCCGTCGACCCTCGAAGGTCCGCCGCGCGATCTCGATGGCATCACTCGCGCTTCTGCTTCCGTTCAGGGTGGTTCTACGGGTGGCGTCTGGCTCGAATAAATGTAAGCAGCACCGCGGTGCGGGCTCTCGCGCTCCCCGAGCGGCGGAGGGCCCAGCTCGGGCGTGCCGCTCGGCGCCGGGGCGTGAGGGTTGTTCCTCGGGAGAGCCGAGCTGGGTGAGCCCGTGGAAAGGGGCTCGAGTGGGCAGCAAGCAAGCGACCACAGGTGACCACGCTGCTCGGGAGGCCCATCGCGCAGCGTGCCCTAGCGTGCCACGGTGGGCCGGACCTGGCCCCGGCGTTGGGCCGCCGAGGAGATGAAGGGCCCACGCGGCGTCGATTCGCGCCGGGCTTGACGATCCGACGCTCGACGTCGGTGGAGCGCGCTTGGAACGCCCCTGTGCGACTCGATTTTCGTTGCGGGGGTTTTTTTATTGCGAATTCGGATTCGGGGTTGGGGGCCGACGGCGTCGGGCGCGGGCGCGTGCGTGTCAATCTCTGGACGACGATGCCGACGGTGACGACGGCGAGGGCGGCGTGGGCGACGTGAGCTAAGGTGACTTGACTGCACTTGACTTGGCGGGAGCGCCGCACGCGGCTGCATGTGGACGGGGCCGTGAGATGTCAGACTATTAGAACGGTGATCTGCGAGCATGCCAACGCTATGAGCATAATGTGATATTTTATTAGCGAAGAAGTGAGGGGTGCTGCTAGGCTACGAAGGGAGAGCGCGGCGGATCGGAGAACGTCGAACGTCGAGGCGAGCAGGGAAGTCGCAAAGGTGGAATTCTGTGTTGATTCCGCGGGGGCGATGGGGGATCCGTCGAGCGTGGGGTGGGTTTGGCGGGCTTGAGTGTGGAAGGAAGAGAAAGCTTGAGGAACGGGCGGATTGATGTAACGTCTTGGAGGGAGTGGCAGGACGAGTGCCTATTGGAGATATTAGGCTTCCGATGGGCATATTGCGTGACTGGAGGGACGGCAGTGCCGAGGATTAATGGGAATGAAGGAAAGATGCGGGCGCGATGGGGAGGACGGGCGCTTGAGGGCCGTGGGAGGTTCTGCTGGATTGGAGTGAAAGCAAAATGGAGAAGAGGCAGGTGAGATCCGGGATTGGAAGAGGCTAATGAGGAGGGAGATCAGGTGAGATCTTGGAGGGGTGGGGTGGGGAGGGGGGGGGGGCAAACAAGGCCAAATGCGATAAGATGAAAGGGGGCGAATCGGGTGCGGTGGGGAAGTATCACGGAGGAACGAGCGGTGAGCTCAGTCTGGCGTTAGGTCTGCCCGAGCAGAGGCGAGCAAGGTCGGTCTTGTGTTCGATGCACACACGCGGCGACGACGTGAGCTGGATGGCGCACCGCACGGCAGAGCGCTGGGAGTCGAGCGACGATGGAGGGCGGGGGGAGGAGACGAGGGGAGGGGGGAGCGAGTCGGTGCCGGAAAAGGAGAACGGCGATCGTGGGCGGAGCGCGTGGGGGAATCGGGGATCGAGGGGCGATGGAGCGGATGAGCTGGACGGAGGTGTGGACACGGCGTCGCGCGCAGTGGACACCGGACGACGTTGGGCAGATGGGGATCGCGGGGAGAGCGAGCGCGGGCAGCGGGGCGCAAGAGGGCGCGAGGCCTGCTCTCGGTCGCGGGGCCGGGGGCAGGAGGGCAGCGGACGATCACCGAGCACCAGCGTCGCCCGATCGGACACTCGCTCGATGCTGGGCCTCTCCCTCCCCCCTCCCAGTACTACTCCCCCTCCCAGTACTACTCCCCCTCCCAGTACTACTCCCCCTCCCAGCACTACTACTCCCCCTCCTCCTCCTCCTCCTCTCCCTCCCCTCCCTCTCCGAACACCCTCGCCCTCGCCACCGCCCCCGCCCATGCACACCAGGCTCGTCCCCCTCCTCCGCTGTCCCGCCTCCTCCCCGCCCCACGTCCTCACCGCACCCGTCACCCTCCTCTGCGGCCACACCGTCTGTGCCCACCACCTCCCCGGCCACAACGCCATCCTCCACCCTGCCTCTTCCCCGAATCACATGCCTGGCTCCCTCCCTCACTCCTCCGACCCCACCTCCTCGCCCGCTCCCCCAAACTCGCTGTGCCCTGTCCCTACTTGCACCGCCCTCCAGGCAGCCCATCTCCCCCCGACCATCCACCCCGCCTCAAACGTCGTCTTCTACCCTGCCACCGCACCCTCGTCCACAGATCCCCTCGCAGATGCCTTTGCCCGCGTCTCACATGCAAAGACAGACGTGACCGTCAGCAAGCTCTTGCTCCTCGTCCTCAACGCTCTCCGCCAACGCCATTGGCCGATCGAGTCCGCGTCAGCGCACACCGCTGACTCTGACGAGCACACCGACGACGATGCCGACGACGACATGGTTCCACCCCCCGCCCTCCCTTTCGCCGGCCCACATCCTTCACCAGGCCCGTCTCGATCGACGCCTTCCCTCCGCGCCCCCGGCCTCCGCTCACACACTCCCACCCTAATCCCCTCCTCTTCGCTCAGTCCCCCCGCGCTCTCACCCGGGACACATCCTACAGCACCCCCCGCCAACGAGCCCTCCGTTAGTCCCAACGCTCGCCCCCGCAAGCGCCGCCGCCGGCAGATCCCACACTTGCCGGGGCCTAACGCCGGCGCGGGCCCCAGCACCGTAGGTCGTCCATTAGACTTGCGCTCGCGCGACCACAACCACAACCACGACGACGACGACCCCACGCGCTTTGAAAAGGAGCTGCTCGCAGAGCTCACATGCGAGATCTGCTTCACGCTGCTCTACCAGCCCGTCACCACGCCTTGCCAACATGTGCGTGCCCTCCCTCTCCGCCGCGCTTCCCTTATGCTCACCCCCCCTTCCCCGTTTCTCCTTTCCCCGCCCTCATTAAACACGCGCCTACGCACATAATACATACACCCACACTCCGCCTGTCACCGCCACTAACCTTGTCGTTATCGCGTCCGTGACGTCCATGACACATCAGACATTCTGCGCGAAATGTCTACAGCGCTCATTGGACCACAATAATCAGTGCCCCCTCTGCAGACAGGACCTCACCGGTTTCGCCTACTTCCAGGACCACCCTTATAATCAGACAATATATTCTATCAGTTGCGTGCCCCGTCTCTCGGACCCTTTCAGTCGCTTCGCGCAGCTCGACTGACGTTTCTTCCCCCCTGTAATTTGTATTCCTCTCATATCAATCTTGTTTTGCCGGTCGTTCGCGCTTGGCTCTGACGTTTCATGCCGGTGGGTTCGCCACGGGCAGTTTTGAAGGAATTCCCAGAGACGTACACGGAACGCGGGAGGTTGGTCGAGGAGGAGGAACGCGACGCGCGCCTCGATACGCCCATTTTCATCGGGCAGCTCTCCTTCCCCGGCATGCCTACCGTGCTGCACTTCTTCGAACCTCGGCAAGTGTCCCCTCCCCTCTGCCCTTGTTCCTCTAGAAGCATCCATCATGTGCTAGGATCGTCGTGCTCGTGCTGACTTTTCCACGCTAGCTACCGTCTGATGCTTCGTCGATGCCTCGAGTCGCCGACGCCGCGCTTCGGGATGATCATGCCTCCCCGTGCCGGGGTAGGAAGCGCAGGCGCGGCCGGGAACGACTTTGGCACCATGCTCGAGATCAGGAGCGTCAGGATGCTCCCGGACGGGCGAAGCGTGATCGAGACCTGGGGTTCGCACCGGTTCAGGGTCATGGAGCGCGGCACGCTCGACGGGTACATGGTCGGCAGGATCGAGCGGTAGGTAGATCTCATTCGAGTCGTGAGCTCGAGCCGGGCCGTGCGCGAGGTCGCCCGGCTCGGTCGTGTCCGGCGGTTTTGACATAACTGACGGTTCGCGCGCGGGGTCGAACAGGATAGACGACTTTCCGGAGGAGCTCGAGGACACGGACGAGAGCTTGACCGCGGCGCTGCATCCCTCTCAACCGATGCCCTCGATCGTCGCCTCGCCCGTCAGCACCTCAGCGCCCCAAGCCACGTCCTCGCGCGCATCTTCCCCCTTTCCGTCGACCTCTGCGCCCGCACTCGCCGCCGCCGCCGCCGCCTCCACCGCCGCGAGCCGCGTGCCGTTACCCGCGCGCCCGCGGCCGCCGCCGCTCGTGCCGAGCAACGAAACGCTGATGATGTTCTGCCGGAGCTTCGTCGAGCAGCTCCAGCGCGGCGCGGCGCCGTGGGTCGTGCAGCGGCTGAACCACACGTACGGGCCGATGCCGGCGGACCCGCGCAGCTTCTGCTTCTGGATGGCGCTGGTGAGTGCGGCCCCGCGTTCTCCCCCCTGCGCTCTGTGTCGCCCGCGCTCGGGACGCACCGATGCATCGCACCCGCTCAGCTCGGGAGTGTTGTTTCTTTCGCTGATTGTCTTTGCTCGCCGTGTCGGGGGCTGTTTTTTTTTCGGGTCGCGGTCGGCAGGTGCTCCCGATCAACGAGGTCGAGAAGTCGAAACTGCTGCCGATCAAGTCGCCGCGCCTGCGCCTGCGCCTGGTCGTGTACTGGATCGAGCAGCTCAAGAGCAACTGGTGCGCGGCCGCCCTTGTGCTTCCCCTCTTTACGCGGTGGCTGACGGCGTGTTTCGCTGCGCTGCGCTGCGTGCGTGTGGGCGTCTTGACACACAGGTGGTTCACGAGCGGGTGCGTCATCTCTTGAGCGGCGCGAGGCGCTGGAGGGCGGAGGGCGACGGCGGAGGGCGGCGGAGGGCGATGTGGGCCGCTTTGGGTGGGCGTTGCAGGATGTGCCGGCGGAATTTTAGACGCGTGAGCGAGATCCGCGCGGAAGGGGGCTTGGGGGGGAGCGGTGGTAATATCTATCTATTTTTGCTCGTCTAGTATGTGATCCGCCGCACGTCTGTAAGCTACTTACCTGCATCTGCCCAGAAGTATTAGACGCTTCTCGTTTTGTCTTCTCTCCGCCTCTATCTCCTTCTCCTTCCCCTTCTCCTCTGTCGTATCCTCCGTCTGCCCTTCGCTTCCCCGTTTCCCTCTCGTCGTGTAGTTTTGTATATCAGTGGCAGAAGCGGCGGCGGCAGTAGCGGGCGGGCGGCCTACGCATCTCTATCTATGTTACGTGCCTGATCTTTTCGTCCCACCTAATAATCACGCCCGTATTCAATGCTCAATATCCAATCGGCGCCCTGCCCTCGCGACACGCACACCCTCGTAGTCGCAGTATGTCAGTCACCACGTCCACGTCCACGTCCGCGCTTCCATACCACGTCCAGCCATGCGCCCCATCTACATGTACAGCACATGTACGCAATCTTACATAGCAAGTTGGAGCAGCCGGCCCGTTCTCGTTCTCTAGCTAGTGTGACAGCGGGTCTGCACGTCTGCCGCAGCCTGTGCCATGTAAGTAAGTCACTGCACCAAGCACTAAGCATTTACAGCACAGCACAGCACAGCACAGCACAGTACGTGTTCGATCACTGCACGAGCAGTGACTTACCGCGTGCGGCCGCTGGGCCTCGCGGGGGCCAAGCTGGGCCAAGCCGAGCCGAGCCGAACCGTTCCTGGCAGCACTTACCAGCCAAGCTCACTTTTCTCGGTCCGTTGACTCTGTTCGCGTCACGACTCGCGCAAGGATATCTTGGCTTACAGTATCTTGACTTGCCGCTTCATTAATTCATTGGCAAGCGGGACGTGCGTGCCAGGGGCCGGTTTGGGGTCCTGCATGAGGATCTGCGCGCGTGTTCGTGTCCGTGTCGTTGTGAGTGGTCGTCGATCGGGGTTCTTTGCCTCGGTGGCTGTTTTTTTTTCTTTCTTTTTTTCACTCTGTGGAGCGGTGTGGGTCGTTGGACGGGGGGGCTCTGACGACGCGCGGGCGCGTGGCAGCGCCACGGCGATCGCGCCACTTTCGAGTCTTGAGTCTCGCTTCACTACACTTCACGCCGGGGCGCGCAGCGACGCGACGCGTGAGCCTCACATCGCGCGAAATGCCCACGATTGAGGGGGGGGAAGGGGCAAGAGCAAAAAGAGATACATTTTGTTTCATTGCGGACACGGTCGACACGTTCGACGATCGACGACGACGACGGGGGGAAAGCACTGGTACACTTGCGATGATTTCTAAATAAGAAAGGGAGGGGGGGGGGTGGAATGAAAGGGAGTAGGTGGGGGGATGAGAGGCCAATATCGGCGGTGTCAGGGGGCATTTCGTACGCTCCGGGGTACGGCTACAGCGGCGCCAAGCGGCGACGACGACTACAACTACTTATGACGACGACGGGCGGGAGACCTGTCTGCTGCCTTACAAAACTTCGCGCTTGCATCGTCCGTTTGCGCGCATCGCGGGGCCGGATCAGAGGAAGGCGAGGTTCGTGACGGGCCACGAGCTGCGAGAGAAGAGCAAAAAAACAAAGGAGATATGCCGTCGGATGTTTTTTGATGATGAAAAAGAAACAGCAAACGCAGAGACGGTGAGAAAAAGAAGCGGCGCGAGGCGCGAGAGGGGTCAAGCGGTCAGTTCACGGGCGAGAGCGGAGCAGAACGGGGCGCGGCACTGACTATCCCTCGGTCGCCCGCTTGAAGCCGTATTTGCCGATGAACGGCTCGAGCTCTTTCGGGCCCCGCGAGCCATACGGGTACGGGACGGGCTTGGGGCGGGGGCCGCTCTGGCCATCGATCCAGTGCAAGATGGGCGTGAAAATCTGTGTACGGGGACGCAGGACGCGTGTTAGGAGAAATTTGGAAAAATCGAAACAATTAGCAGGGATGCGCGGACCTTCCACGCGACGTCGAGCTCGTCGTCGCGCACAAAGTTGGAGTGGTCGCCCTTGAGCGCGTCGAGAATGAGCGCCTCGTACGCCTCGGGGATCTTCGACTCGGAGAAGCGGCGCTTGTAGGTGAGGTCCATCTCCGTCGGCAGCGCGCGCGTGTACAGCCCGGGCGTCTTCGTGTTGAGCTTCAGGTAGACGGCCTCGGACGGCTGGATGCGCAGCACGAGCTCGTTGCGCGAGATGTCCTTGAAGATACCTTGGGTGACGTCCTTGAACTGGATGCGCACCTCGACCTTGGCCTCGTTCAAGGCTGAGGCGGCAGCGCGTGCGACGGTTAAGAGGATGAGAAAATCCAGATCGATAAGCTGGGAACGCACCCTTGCCGGCCTTGAGAATAAAAGGCACACCCTCCCACCTGGGGTTGTTAATCCAGAGAGTTGTCGCGGCGTATGTGGGACAGACGGAGTTGTGTGGGACCGTGTCGTCATCGAGATAGCCGGGTTTGCCGTTCGCGGCGACGTACTGACCGAGCAGCGTGTCGCTACGCTCGATAGGCGGAATGGCGCGGAGGACTTTCACCTGGCAGAGATGAACATCGCCGCGCGGAGGGATAAGGTGCATTGTACCTTTTCATCCCGGATATCCTCGGCCGCGAAGGAGACTGGTCGCTCCATCGTCAGGATGCTCAGCACCTGGAGAAGATCTGACAGCACAGGTTAGATGCCGCGAGTGCGATGGGGTGACGGCGACGCACGGTTTTGTAGGATATCACGAATGATGCCGAACTCGTCAAAGTATCCACCCCGACCCTCCGTGCCAAACGGCTCCTTGAAGGTGATCTGGACGTTGCTGATCGAGTTCTTGTCCCAGGCAGCATTCAAGGCGATGTTGGCGAAGCGGAGGACGAGGATGTTCTTGACCATCTCCTTTCCGAGATAGTGGTCGATTCGGAAGGTCTCGTCCTCGGTCCAGTGCTGCTTGAGCGCGGTGAGAAGCTCGCGGGAGGACTGGAGGTCCTTGCCGAAGGGCTTCTCTACGATGATGCGATTGACTCCATGCTGGCTGTAGCAGCTGGCCTTGAGGTTAGCAGCGACAGGGATGAAGACGGAGGGGGGGAGAGCGAGATAGAAGACGCGATTGCGGTCCTTGGACTGATAAGAAGACTCGATCTGCTGGAGGTGTTTCTCGAGGTTTTGGAAGGAAGGGGCGTCCTCGTAACCGCCCGAGACGTAGCTGCTGAGCTTCTTGAACTCGCCGATCTTTGCGGAGATGGTCTCGTCGTTGTTGGGGTTCTTGATGTAGGAGGTAGAGCGTTTGTGGAACTCGGCCTCGTCCATCTTTGTGCGCGCATAGCCGACGATGTGCACGTCGCGCGGGAGGAAGCCATCGCGATAGAGACCGAAGAGAGCGGGGAATGTCTGGAGGGGCGCATCGGTATGCGTTGGGCGAGAGCAGCGAGCCGGGCGCTTACCTTCTTCTTTGCGAGATCGCCAGAGGCGCCGAGCACTGCGAGCGGGTTAGTTCCAGGACCGCACGCGGGGATCGAACGGGGCGTCACCGATGATGAGGGTGTCGTCCTTGAGTTCCTGGCTGTGGCTTTCCATCGAGGGGATCGTTCCAGAGGCTGAGGAGGACATGGTGAGTGTGGAAGGTGTGGTAGGGGTGACGACGCTGGGAACGGACGAGAAAGGAAAGGCTCGGTACTCACGTCGAAGTATAAATGGATGTGCTGGATGGATGTGGATGCCTGCGAGCGACAGGGATTGGTGAGCACCGCTACCGCTTTGGAGGCCGCTGGAGGTCTCGCGCATCCGTCATACTCACCCAATTCACCGGTCCGCACGTGCGAATCTCGGTCCGGGCCCACCCTCCTCCGTGTCCGACCCGCTCCCTGACACACACACGTCCTCTCATGGATCTCCCTCCCTCACCAGACAGTGTCATAGACGCTCTCCGTGATCTCACCGACCCCGCGTCCCAGCTCAAAGACACCTCCACCGTGCACGCCCGCGCCGGCGCTCTCTTCGCCCGCCTCAAGGCCCTCAACCGCGCCGCAAATGTCGCCACAAAGGCCCACAAGCAGGCCACCGCCGACGCGCGGCACCACATGGACCAGACGCACCTAGAGCTCCAGAACCTCCTCTACGAGAAGAGGCATCTCGAGCGCGAAATTGACAAGTGCCGCCAGTTCGCGTACGTCGCGTCCCCTTCCCGCCGCGCTCGCCGCTCACCTCTACACCAGGTCCATATATCAGGACATACCCATGTACACGGTCGACCAATTCGTCGAGCTGGCCCCTCCAGAGGCGCACGCCGAGGACGTCATGTCCAACCAACACCAGCTCATGCTCAACAGGCTCAGCTTCGAGCTGGTCGAGCGACAGAGGCAAGTGGGTTCCATAGCACGCACGAGGCCTTGTGAAATCTAAACAGCAACCACGTCATAGGTTGGACCAAAGGGTGAAGGAGCTCACTCAGCAAAAGGAAGAGCTTCTCAGAGACAGCAAATCGAAGCTCGTCACAATGGAGAGCGTAAAAGTACAGATAGATACCCTCGTCAAGGTCAGTCATCTATTGCTACTTGATATCAGCCGACCCGCGTGCCTCAACGTGTCATTGTTCCAGACCGCATCCGAAATTCGAAAAAAGGTCGACGAGCTTGTGCCATCAACAGTATCACCCGTGGGCACGCCTTTACAGACCTGAAACATGACATCCTTGCTCTCGCATCCACCGCAATCACCGCTCGCATCTTGTGTATCATTATTATCTCAGAGGACCGTGTATCAATCCACCTTTTTTTGTTGCGCGCAGAATCGCTTAGTCCATATAGTTATTATCGTGCAAAGCCTACAAGAAACCAGACATAAGAGTACAAAAGAACAGACATAAGGGTACAAAGAACAGAAGGGTGGATATATCTGACGAGCAGTAAACCGAAAGAGACGCGATAGATCAGAGACGCTGTACAATGACTTCCAAGGATGTCCGAGGGAACAGGCATGGGGCAAAGAGGACGAAAAGAATCACCGGGGTATCGGCAATCCGCGAGGGTCGAATCTACTAAATAATGAGTAGGATGGCAGGTGAGGAGCATATCAGGCGTGCAGACGGAACAGGACAATGCAAGAACCAAAGACAGAGCAAACCGACGAGAGAGAGTGAGAGAGGATTCCAGGCGCCACACACTCATTAGGCCTCGTCACCACTGATGCTCCCGATCTCGGACATCTCTTCATCGGTTTCTTCCTCCTCACCTGGCGCAGCATGGTCGGCCGCCTCCTTGGTCGCAAATCGCTGGACATACTCTGTACATCGGTGAGTAAGCGATCGGGCACACAGCCGAGGGCACGCGACACTCACCCTTGACCTTCGCATCATACTCCTTCGGGTGTCGCATGAGCAGTGCAGCGGCCTCGCCGTTCAACGGATCATTGGGGTTTGGGTACCGCAGGAGCTGAGGGAGGAATACTTCAAATATGTTGATCATTTCTGATACGCATATCAGTACACGGCCTCGTTCGAGTGCGATGATCCATACCGAACATAGGTGACCATGTCTGATTAATGACGTCCAGACACACGGAACCACTCCTGGTATCGCGTAAGCCATGAAACGGGTGCCACGACGGAGATGAACTGGGCTTACAGTTCATCGATATTGGGGTGGAAGATCTTGTTCATAAATCCGATGCTGGGCGACTTGTATGGATACTGATCCGGGAGCTCTACGTGGATCTTCCAGACACCGCCTGCGAACGGAGCTAATGACACGCACGCGCACGCAATCAGTGAAGAACTGTATCGAAGCGGAAATGAGACAATATGAAAGACAGAGACATACTCTCCGTAGGGCCGTGGAAGCGGACGTAGAACTCCTGCATGCTATCGTTCACCAAGTTGACTTCATAGTCCGACATCAACCTGAACGCCGAGACATCAAAGAACACGAAAACATCAAGTCAACCTGGTAGCTCCGATGCGTTCGCAGTAGAGAGCACAGAACGGGACCCGTACGCACATCTTCATAACATCCGTTTCGATGCGGCGTTTAGGAGTCGTGTTGTGGAGACGGTCGGAATGGGCATTAGTCCACGGGCGTGCGGTTTCAAAAGAGAAAGACTCATCATGGTATTAGCTTGTGCGCAGGTGGTTGTGCGGGGCCAAATGAGTCTTGAATGGGGGATGGCAAAGGAGGTGAAGGAGAGATAGGCAGTGAGAGCTGTACGACAGTGCCTGCTCGACTCGAATACCGCTCGAATCTGGGGTCCATGGCCTGGACTCCGAAAATCCCGTGCCGATCCAGATTTCTCGAGTTTATCTTATTTTCTACGTAAACAGGCCTCGGTATTTAACTAGGCGCTGATATCTCTTATCCAAAATCCATGATAAGTTACTGATGCTAATTTAGAGGATATGTGCCAAGTCGAGCGGCGGCACCCCACTTGGCAAATGAACACCCTCATATCGATCACGCCGGCCACCGAAAACAGGAAAAGCACAAGTTCTTCTCGACACTTCATTTTAGCGCGCGCTCCAGGAATACACGAGGCTACACGCTGGCATCCTTTGCTCGGCGATAACATCATCTGCTAGAGGTATGATTTGCTCGCCTGCTCGCATCGTGGCCGTTGCGTGCATCCTCGACATGTGTATCAACGCTACGCAGAATAAAATAACTCCCAATTCCAGGAGTTGGAGGCCTTGGTGCTGATACCGGCTCAGCATCCACGCCCGATTCGCGCCATCCGCTTGTCTATACCCCGGTTTCTATCGACATCGTGTCATGGAGCGAAGAGCGCCCTCAAAAGTAGGACCACTCCTCCACGACGCAGTACACATCATCTGGCGAACACGGCCACGGCCTGCGCCTTCCGGTCATTCCAGACGGCCGACGGGCACCTCCTCGCACTGGAGTCGTGGCAGCGGGCGCAGGAAGGCGCACCTCATCCGTGATGCCTACGCTACCCTGCTGATTGATCGCGCGCCAGGCTACCAGGACCGCTAGAGCGAAATCGGTCTCAGAACGGCTTTCCAAAGCCCGCGCGCACACACACGTATCTCACGTATTTTGTGCGAGGGGGTGTGCGCGCGGAAAACGGGAGATGAAGACGTAAAAGGCGACGCACCGAACCAGAATAGGCCCAGTGCACCTATCAGGATCATCTCTTCCTGCGACTCGGTGAGCACATTGCCGCTTCTTCTGTGGTGGAGCACGACGCTGAGGAGCGATTATCAGTCGATCGTACGAACGTGCGACAGAGAAGAGGCACGCACAAGACCAGTAAGCATGAGATGGCCAACATGGCTACTGAGGTCTGCGACAACGTCAATGCATCTGCGCGACCGATAGCTCAGCGTCCAAAAAATGGTCTTATAGCGGTGCGAGATGCATACGGAGAGTATGTGGGATGGCCTGTAGGACGGCATGCCCGGCGATTATTGCAGCGATCGCTACAGAATCGATAATAAGCTAAGCCTTGGGATTGTGACGAAGATCAAGGTCACCTGCTGCGATGGAACGACCTAGGTGTTCTTTGAATAACGGCATATCAGCGGGGATGTGGAAAGGGGAAGTCAGTCGTGAATCGTCTCAAGAGTTGTAAAGGTCGAAAGGTCGGTCGCAGTTGCTGGTCACATTCTCCCAGCCTCGCGCTTTATCAAGTGCTATTTGAACACAGACTGCACAACATGAGGACTACATGTGTTGGACCAATGACCGGCGACCGATAAATATATCCGTCTAGACGTAACTCGTCCACATACATGGTGGAACGTGAATCATCAGTATGTACACTTGAAGCAAGGTTGCACGTATCCAAAAGGTGCATTCGCACATAGGTTAGTCATGAGAACCGTCCTTTTTTCCGCTCTCAACGTAGGCCAGTAGCATAGCCCTTGGACTTAGATGCTCTGCACTATGCCTGGATATTGAGTAACCGTGGCAGGTTGACCATTGACGCCCGGTTGAATGACTACGGAGTGGCCAGGCCGCTGCTGAATCGCATTTCCACCGGCATAGATCATGCCTGGCACACCTGCACCACTCATAGGATATCCTCCGTACATTTGGGGGTAGGAAGAGTAAGGAACGCCAGGATAGCCAGGGGCTTGTCCGAACCACGGTAGGAGATCCGTTGATTCCTGCCAGATGTAAGGGTACCCCATCACTTGAGATCTGTTCGCCAGTGCGATGATAAAGATCAGGGAGAAGGCCACTGTCAAGCGGCTCAGAAGAATTGTCGATATTCAAATGATATAAGGAACGTACGGCAAATGAAGATCGCCCACGAAAAGGCCTCCACGACCTTCGACTCGTAACAATAAGCACGCGCTGAAACTGATATAAAAAAAACATTATCAACGATCAAACAGGTGATTCGTGTAGAACGGACTGACCCTGTCCATTCTTTGTCGGTGTCATCTGATTACCCATCGAAAAGCACTCCACTGCACCGATCGTGTCACTTCACGGCCGTCAGCCTCGACATACTCAGTATGGATAACAGCGACCTACGAGGACCATGCACCCATAGCTATATAGAAGGTCAGCGAGAGGGGTCACATGAAAGTCGCTTGAATACTCACTTAGCCATAGGACAGCCGTGATGAACAAGAAAACCGCCTCAAACCGCGGTTGCGATCTTATTAGTCTGTCAAGCGATCGTCGGCACATTGAGTTAGACGTGTGATCAGGAGAAGGAAGCCCACAATACGATGATTATGAATATGGTCCAGGCCGGGACCACTAGGGAGAAGATCGTGAAGTCGTCTATGGGCGGAACCAAATTTTGAGTCCGTGTAGCGCAAGCGGACCCAGGGCGACGGAACTAACGATGTAGGTTCGGAAGGAAGATGCTGGCAAAATATGCCGAGATCCCAAGCACTGTGCCAGTCAAGACGAGGACGAAGGCTTATTCGCAGCAATTTAGCCGACTTTATCGCGTGGATCTATGTCAAGGGACCTCACCGTAGGCCGACAATCGAATGTTCGTGAAAAGATATGTCATGGTGGAGTTCACGTTCTAGAATCGGGCTCTGGCTTCGTTTCAAAAGTCGTAGGGAGGTCGTGAGGTGTTGGTCGATGTCGGGTCTGTAACTGCCTGCAGCGCAGCAAACCTGTTTGCGATGCAAGCACGCTAATTATATGGTACGCTCTCGAAACACTTCACGTGACGATGTGGAGCAAAGGTCAACTCATGTTGTTGTCGGTTATTGCAATATGATGTCTAGATCCTGTCCAGAAATCTGATCTCTGATAAGCCCATATTTCCGGATAGCAAAGACCGTATGTGTAAGTACTCATAAAATAACACTGCTCTAACCAAGACTTCAAGATTCAATACTTATGCGTAATCGTACACATCCCCTACAGTGTCCCCTGCACCTGACAGGGATAAAGATAGTACATCGATCATCTCCGAGGAGAAGCATCCCTGCGGTAATAATCGTATTTATTCCGGTCAGATGTATACCGTGCCTGTTCGGGCCTCATCGTCGAAACATGGTAGGTCTGATTCTGTCGGGAAGCATGCGCTACAGGCGCAGGTTTCTCGCTCCGATGCGGTCTCGGAGGAGACGGCGCGGCAGGTTTCGATCTGGAGGCGGACCTGCCTGTCCGAGCAGTGGCAGGGAGAGGGAGTTGTTGCGCCCTCGATTGCTTCGCAGCCTTGCCGAACCAATTGTAAGTCGTGACAGGTGTCAGCCAGACGTGTCTGTTCCCGAGCAGATACTGCCTGAGAGCTAAGCCGAAGAGGAGAAGCAAGAAGCCCCATACTGTAAAGTTGTTAAGAATGACAGCCGAGACATATTGCAAGCCACGCTCACCGAGAGCAACGTTGAAAAGCGAGAATGCTTCCAAGACTCGGTACTGTGCTTGGTAGGTATCCGTCGAAACTGTAGCAAATACGGACCAATGAGCCAATTTCCTGAGGACAGCGGAGTGGCACTCACATCCTTCCACGCTAATGGGATCTGTATCCGTTTCGGATGCGAAACATTCGACGCTCGCATTCTCGGAATCCGAAGAGGCCAAGAATGCCCCAAGAGCTGTCAAGGATTGAGTGGTGCGAACGAGACCCTGAAGTACGGAACATACCAAGCCAAAATGTTCCCGCAAGACCCAGACAAGCTAGCTCAATTCTAGTGGATACGGGATTCATGTTCTTCCTGAAACTAAGCGCCGAACTGGAAGCTGATGTGAGGTTGACTACGGATGGATGAAAGCAAAAAGCTTACATGGCAAGCATGATGGCAAGACTGGCACTCGAGACGAAGATCGCGAATGGGACAAAACGTGCTGAGGACCGATGAGGCTCGAACAAGCGAGTTACGCGACGGAAGACTCACTGAGATCGGAAGAGCTCAAGATGCTTTGAAAATGCACCGCGATGGCGAGGCAGATGATGCTCCATAAGATTACAATGGCTAGAAATCAATCAGTACCCACATCCATGGCAGTGGCATATCACTCACAATATACACAAGCACGAATAACGTTGAATACAGATGGCATGCCAGATGATAATCTGGAAAACAAAGTGCGCCTGACAGGTTGGGGTGGTGTACGATGGCCGCGAGTCTGACCCTGAGACTGCATGATAAAGGGCGAAGAGGAAAGCTAGTTCGTGTGGAGGGGCGTGAAGAACGTGTGGTAGTACGCAGCTGTACGCAGCTGTAAGTTGAAAGGGTGGCGGCGAGGGAGGCAGACGCAACCCTCGTGGAGGGAACAGAGGCGTGTATTTAAAGCATGGAAAACTTCAGGGAACAGCTCCGGTCCGTTTATGGCTTTGGCACAAGAACGGGGCATCTTCCACGGGCCTCAAGGCGATCGCAATACCACCTCGAGGCTTTGGCTTTGACTTCGCATAGGCACGCGCCACAACACCGGTCTCGTGGACAATGGAAAGAGGCCACCACGGCCTGAACTGTGCTAGCAGTGGCAGACAAGGAACTGTGGCGAGGAGCATAGAGGATCCGAGTAACAATGGAAGACATACTTTGCTTGGAAACTTTAGGCAGAATAGCTCAAATCAATTCAGCGCTCAGTTTGCTGACAAGTATATCAGAGTGTTGACGCAGATTGACACCCGATGCCGGCATTATGCCGAACAGTGAGAAACCGATTATTATAAATCAAGCGCTCTCCGGAGTTATCAGCCATTACTATATTTTACTGTTTCCCCACATGCAAGAAAAAAAGGCCAGTCAATTTTCAGTCCATTCTCTGTTAAAAGTCCTTCGAGAATTGTTGCTGGGCATAACTGATAAAATGGCAAGTATGTAGTACACAGTTTGTTATTTGACTCCTGTAGACGATGTCGTTATCTACAAAAGACCGCTCGAAGATTATGAACTGTGCGTCTGCAGACTAAGCGCCGGATACGTAAGAGTATGACACAGGAAAGAATATCGGATGGCTATTATAACATGAATGAGGCTGATGGTGATACACATGTGGGGGACGGCGACGGAGACACAACTGGACAAACGGTGGCGTTGAGACGAAGGGCAGAGCACGACGGGAAATAATGATAATGAGACAAAGTGGCTGCGCCGCTTAGTTGCTCCGAATGGGTCTCGATGCTGAATGTCTGATATCAGAGATGTTATGCTCGGGAGCAGAGGAACGGTGGAGAGAGAGGAGGGTGGCACTGTTGTCATTGGTATCCAGCACATTTCTGACGGAGTTCTCAGTGATGTGACAGATCTGTGCAGGACAATCAGTTTGTTGCCACTGCATCATAATCATTGTACTCACTCTGCTGTACCCTCCAGGCTCAAGAGTACTCCTTGCGCGAGAGATGATATTGTGGATGGCATCGTATGAATATCTTCTCCTGTTTAAAGGTCAACATCATTTCGCCCACTCGCAACACGTTGGAGCTGGGGTAACTTACAGGACGCTCTCCAACTCCTTTCTTGATCCTGGCACAATGAATAAGTCTGCACCTGACAGGTATCGGCTGAAGGCCTGGTAAGAAGCACATCCCGCAATAACGTTCTCATTCAACGACGCCTGGTCGATATCCCATGAACAGTAATTTTCTCTGTGCCGCCAATTTCAGATGGAAAGACGGCAGTGTCAGCGGGAGCCACTTACGTTACGTGGTAGTGGGCAAGAGCTTCGGGGGTATGAGGGGCCAAGAAACGGTCCATGCTATTAGACAGTTGGAGGGGCGGTAAAAGGATGGTGGGAGTGCAGATGTGTGGTGAAGATTGACGGGTGGATGCGCGCGGGCAAGTGATTTATACAGGCGGGAAAGTTTACTTTCCAGTGAAGTGACGGCAGATACAGATGTGATGAAGACCAAGCTTCTTCAATGCAGCTGACTAGCAGAGGCGATGATGATAAGTGCGACGAACGTGGATGTGCCGAGTAGAGTTGGTGGCAGTCCTTATAAGTTGGTGTCCCGCACGTTTGTCCGAGCCCTCGTACGAGATCTTCGATGACTCACTCGTCGAATTTGTCGGCTTGTGCCGTCTTAGCGGTCTTAGCATTTCTTGGTGGTATGCTTATCTAATTTGGCGATCTTCTTTTTGGCTGATAAGAGGTTGAAGGTAAGATGGGGATGGCGCCAGCGCTCCAATCAGATTGCGTCTCAGCCCCAGAAAATAAATATGTAACTCCAACAATGACGGTCGCCCTCGGTCGCCCCCAAGCCCTGGAAGATATCCAATCAGCTTCTGGTCTCGTAGACTAAGAAGAGCGGCGTTAGTGAAACCAAGGGAATCCAGATTAAGAGCTCTCCTCGTAGTGTAGAGCTTACCGCTTACCACATATGCCTTTGCAACGAACGTGCGTGGCATCCGTTGAGGACCCGCCTGGTGATATGCTCAACGCGAACAATTTTGGCCTTCACCGTCCTTTCATTAGTGTTTCTGGCTCGCCTTGAATGCTGCCTCCATGATCTGCTTGCACTCTCTGTTCATTCTGTCTCTTTGCGTCTGTGCAGCATGGTCGGCACCATCGCAGGTTCCCATGGAGGTTCCAAGCCGTGAGTAGATCTCCATTTCGCCTTCTTGGCGGCCTATCTTCGCTGGCTAAATGTAGTCGGGAAGGGGTTGAACGAAAGCTTCATGGCCGGTTTTTGCACATCACCGACATGCACCCAGACCCCCACTATCGTCCGGGTGCCTCACAATCGTCCGCGTGTCATAGCAAGAAACCAAAAAAGGAGGAGGAACGTTCGGGCTATTATGGGACACCATACAGGTAGCTATATGCACGTCATGAGATCATCACATTCCGTGGGTTTACCCACACGTACCACTCCCAGCGATTGCGATTCGCCCTTTCGGCTAACAAACCTCACGCTCGACTTCTTGGAGAAGAACTGGGCATCGGACATCGATTTCATTTTATGTACGTGATACCGATCCCCACATCCAAAGCCTAAGGCAAGTGGTCTATGAACTGATTGCGCATATTTAGGGACCGGAGACAACGCACGGTCAGTTTTACATCTCCGTTTGTGCGATGAACGTGCTCATTCTCAAAGCAGACATGATAATGATCGCAAGCTGCCGCGGACGCTCAACGAGATCTATGACCTGAACAGAGCAGTAGCCAGCAGGATGGAAACTGCATTTCTGAGCAAGGGAATCCCAGTCGTTCCGAGTCTCGGTATGTGATCATACGGCAGATCGCTGCAGATCGTTAGTTCGCGGCGCTTATATGCATTGTATGTTAAGGAAACAACGACGTCTGGCGTGAGTGCTTACATTCTAAATGATCCCAGTTTACTAACCTTCCCATCCCCAATCCGTACAGCACATGTAAATCTGTTTTGTTTCGTCAGTCCATCAATTTGACTAACGTCTGTTGGCGAAGAACATTCTGAGCGCAGGTGGGCGCCTTCCCTTGCCTGCTCGACCCTGCGTATCATGATGCGCTCTTTCCAGGCCCCAACAACATCATCAGCCAATTTTCTTCGTGCGTTCAAGCTATCCATCTGGTTTGCCATTGATCTGATTCTATCCTCCCAGGCTATGGAAAGCCTTCGTCCCATTCTCATCCTACCAGGTGTTTCAGCGGGGGGCATACTACTCTGTGGAAGTGATTCCAAATGCAGTGGCGGCGATCAGTTTGAATACAATGTATTTTTATGATTCCAACAAGGGTCAGTGGCATCGCAGTCCAATCATGGTTTCAATTTATGATGCGCTCTGGATCCACAGCTGTGGGCGGCTGTGAATACAGCGAACGTGGCGATCCTGGAAATTTACAGTTCGATTGGCTGGAGGTACAGCTTCAATTATTCAGAGAGCGAAGGATGCAGGTTTGTAGTCCTCTTCGTGCAGAAGAAATCTGCGGACTCATCGTGCATGATACAGGTCTGGATATCGGGCCATGTTCCCCCGTCGCCTGGAAATTACTTTCCTGAATGCGTACGTATGAACGATTAGCTATTCGTCTCCATCTGACCACCGGGTATGCAGTATGTGCGATATGTCGAACTATCGCTGCGGTTTCAAGACACAATTCTGGGTCATATATTTGGGGTAGGTCCTTGATTGGATTTGGTACCTCGAAACACTGAATGGAACGAGGGGATATAGCACATGAATAACGATCACGTAAGCGCATGTTGACCACCTGTTTCGCATGCTTGATGGGGATATCCAGTTTTTCTTCGTGGAAGCGGATGATTTGCAGTTCCCTCCCGAGGCTGGGGCTGATGCCAATGGAACGGAAGCAATTGGTGGCCAGCTTGAGCCTTCTGCGCACGCGGAGCTCTACGAGACGTTGCTGAAGGACTTCAGCGAGCTGCCGCGAACGGCAAAGAAGGTCGACCTGGACAATTACGCAGTGATCAATGTGTCGCCGTCGGTGGTACCTAATCCTTACCTCCCTTCGTTCCGAATCTACTCGTACAATGTGTCGAACGCTGAAACAGCCACGTGGGGTGAGGTGGAGCTGAAGAAGACCAGGACCGAAAGGGGGGCGAAAAGAAAACACGGGCACCACCATGGAGGTGGGAACCGAGAGGCGCTTTGCAAGAAAGCAGGGTATCGGGACTCTTGGCGATGCAAATTGAGAGAGCCATGGAATTCAGACCCAGACTCGCCTAGTCGACGAAACACCTTGTGGACGCCACTGGGTTACGCACAGGTACGTGGGGTGTTGGATCTACAAACGTGTTTGAGGGCGGGCTTGACGAGTCGAGATAATCAGTATTACCTCGGGGAGGAAGAGATCGTGAACAAGACGAGGAAGCCGAAGTTCAAGCTGGAGTACCTGACGTATCGGGAGGACGCGCTGCATCCGGCGAGGGAGAGGGACGAAGGGCGGTTCGACTACCCCGTGCCGGTGCGCCACCTGCCTCGGTCGCTGCGGGCGGGGGGGAAGGAGGGCAGGTCGAAGTACGCGCCGTATCGGATGAGGGACCTGACGATAGGGACGTGGATCGGACTTGGACAGAGGCTGGGGAGCGGTGGCGGGAGCGGGGGTGGGACGAAGCTGAGAAAGCGGTTTAGAGAGTACATGTACATGGGCAGGGTGCCTTAGGGAGAGGACGAATGAATGGCCGATGGAGCTGCGTGGACACGGGGAGAGGGGGCCCGTGCGGCCCCGGTGAGCGGCGCGGTGTGTGAGGTATAAGCCCCTCCATCGGAGGAATGGGCGTCGACATCAGCAGCCCCCAGAACGGCATCCGTCTCGAGAAGCGATCCCGTGTTGCCTTGACCACGCCCCGGCCGAGATCCAGACAGACCGCCCACATCTCCTCCACCATCCTCCCACAGAGGCCCTCGTTGTTCGCTTTCCACCGCCGTCCTCGCCAGTACATTCCCGCCGGTGCGGCGAGGCTTTACTTATACTATCACTACTATCTCCCCTTCCTGTTCCTTTTTCCTTCTTCCGTCCGCTCACGGCCATCATCCATCTTTTTTTCGTTCACCGCGTCTTTGACAAATCTGATCCATTCCTCCTTGCTCTTATTCACGTTCCTTCCTCTCCCTCTGCTCTCTTCTCCTCGTCGATCGGCTGGCCCGCACTAGACCACACTGTCCTTGACACACACAGTCTTGTCTCATCCCGTCCCAACTCACCCTACGCAAACATCCTAATCGCCTTTCATCCCCTCCCCCCCCTCCCCTTCCATGGCTGCAGTCAACCTCCACACCATGGCCAACCTCCCCATGGACTACATGCCCATGCACCCCCACTCTCGCTCCAATTCCGTCTCCTCCTCGTCCCCCAGTTCTCGCCCACAGTCTTCCCAGGGTGGCGGTTTGCGCGCGTCAGCAATGGGGGGCCCGCTATCTGCCGAGGACCTCTATCGGGCCTCTTACCAGCTCGGTCGTCCCACCTCCATCGTCAACGATCACGCTCGCACGTCCTCTCACTCCTCAGCTTACTCCCTCCCCTCCACTGACCTCATCTCTCCCGCTGACTCTCCTCCAAACCACAACATCTCAAATCCAGCCCTGAAAGCTCACATCCGTTCCTCGCACATCCGTGCCCGCGCGGCCGCCTCCCCCTACCCACGGGATGCCGAGAGCGTTCATTCGTCTTCGAGCGAGACAGAGGACATCTCCCTTTTCCTCGCTGCAAACTCTCCTGCAGACTACCAGCACATGTTCACCGGCGCTCACTCCATCCTTCCCACTCAAGAGTCAGTCCACGCTACAGGCGCATTTGGCCGTATGACGCTCAGTCCAGATCATACCCTCGAAAAGCTCGCCGCCAACGTCCGTGCGGCGACGACGACCAGCGCATCAGACAGGGCGAAACAGATATTTGTCCAGGCGTGGTACGTTTTCCCCCTCCCTTGCCTCCCTTTTTGCCACGTCCAGTTTTCAAACGTGTATCAATCAGGTTGACCGCCAACTATGCACCATACCCTGACGGGAATGTTCCGCGACAGGGCTTGTATTTCTCATACAGGAAGGTTTGCGATCAGTATGGCATTCCTCACATCAACACTGCCACGCTAGGCAAAGCCATCAGGCTCTGTTTTCCCACGATCAAAACAAGACGTCTCGGCGTGAGAGGCAACAGCAAATATCATTGTGAGCAACATCTGCTGCGTTCCGCCCACTCCGTTCCTGGCGCTGATTGGTCTTCAAATAGATTGCGGTATAAGGCCGGCAACATCAGCGGAGGCCGAGTGGCTGCAAGATTATATTCGCAAATCCAATAACACTGCCGCACAGCAGTCCGTCAACGCCGCTCGACTCGCCAGCGAGCAGGCCGAGGCTGCGAATCGGGGCGAGGACGGCTCAGGTGAAGATGATGAGGAGGACTCGGAGGGCGCAAGCTCCGGAAACGTTTCAAAGCGCAACTCGCTCACGCTCAACAACGGAGTGAAGAGCCCGGCATTGTTCGCAGAGGACCTAGCGGACAAGACCCCTACCGCTGCGACGCTTCTCGCACATGCGCAAGCTGCTCCGAGGACCGGTCCCGCAGCATACAATACCCACGCGCCCATTCGCCGTCACCCGGGCCAAGAAGGCACGCTCGCCGCTCAGTCTCCCTCTGCATCGAACGGAGCACCAGGGTCATATATCACCTCTCAGCAGCCGACGTCCGTGCGCCATCTTCCACATTTCCCGTCCATCGATGAGGCGATTGGTTCGAATCCATCAGCCTCGTCTCACAGCATGGCCGCGCGCGATGTTTGGGGGTGGTTTTTGGACCATCTTGATGCACTGCTGGAGAGCGTGAAGTATCTGCGATTCGATCAATTCGAGATGCACGTTCGGTCATTCTGGACAAGCCTCAGTGGTAACCATCGTGAGATCGTCCATGCCCCTGCCATCGCGGGCTTGATGGCGAAGGGCGATGCGATTGTGTACGATGTACGTTTTTTCGTACTTCTGAATCCGCCGGAATCCCCGTTCTGACGGTCATCAATTATGTCTTAGGAAATTTTGGAAGTGCTTCGATCGCAGCTGCTTTCTTCGATCCCTGCAGCCTCTCTCGCGAGTTTACGCCAGTTGGCCGATAAAATGGAGAAGATTCTCCTGTTTTCCCTCGAGAATTATGGCACTACGTTCGTGGAGCCAAAGGTTGAGCTAGGCGCGCGCTTTGGTCATCTTGTTTGTGAGTGATCACTTGCGCATCCTCCGCGAGAGCGTTCTCATTGTTCTCCGGCAGTGCGGTTCTTGGACATATACCAAGTCACCCAGGCGCTCAACACCGTCCTGACGAACCAGAAGCAGCTTGCCGAGATGCGTCGATCATGGGAGAAGATTGATTTCGAGTCCGTTCGCAACCAGTCGGCGCTTGTATGCAACTGCCGGCATGAGGATCTAGTGCAGCTATTGGAGGTGGAATTTCGGTCGCTGATGGATAGCTTGTCGAAGAGCGCCGAGCCCGTCCGGGACGTCATGGCTTGGGCAGATAAATGCTGCGAGAGGCTAATGGGGGGATCGACAGGAGCGGACGATCGAAGCACTCTGAGTTCCCGAAGTGTTTTGATCCGCTGGGGGTACGTGACCAGTCAGGTCATGAGGGACTTGGTGCGTCAGCCTGCGTGTGCGGAGGCTTATGGGATTAATCTTTATCTATCACCAGACCATCCGCAGCGACCCTACATTTGGTGCTTTCCAAATCCTCAAGTTGTTCTTGGAGTGCGTCCATACTTCTTTGACGAGCTGACGGCCATGCTGATGCTGCCCTCGCAGCGATTGGATTGCTCTCAATGTCCTTCGAAATGTCGCACTTTCAACTACTTCGGTAGCGGCATCTGTCGAACCGGTCATGCAACAACAATTCTTCACCTTGGAGCCGATGGTGGGTCAGGAAGCGTTTGGCTCCCATCTTGATGCAAGGCCCTCCCATGTTCTGAGTCATACCCCGACGACATCGAGTATGCTTGCTGCCCTTCAACACGATTCGTACCCCTCAGGGCCCCTGGACCCTACATCGACCGCTTACCACACGGATACATACGGACTCCCCTCTTACATGGATACCTCTGCACCTCATGATGACCCTTTGTCTGCGGTGCACCAAAGCGGCCTCGCCTTTCCGGATTACGTGTCGGGTCCTGGAAGCTCCTTCGACGTGACGGCCTTCACCCCCCAGGATCTCGGCATGCCCCCGTCAGCGCCTTCAACTAATGAATCGGAGCATGAGGCAGAGGGAGTGAAATCCGAAGCCTGAAGTGCGTTTCTTCGAGCAAGGACAAGCTTTTTTCCCCTCTCCTTTATCATGGGCACTTTATCTTTTGGACTTACCGTATAATCAGTGCGTGTGCTACGCATTAGTCTTTTACTACTACCCTTCGGTTGTTTCTCGCGAGCATCTATCGCCTATTTATATATCCCTTCGTCCGTAGTCCTGTATCGAATTCGCCTTCACCGCTGTCATTTATCTGCGTATCCCAAATGTAAGACATTGTTTTCGTCGAGTAGCACTTACGATGTCCGGACAGTAAATTTTGTACTTCCTGAGTATATGTTGTTAGCAAGAGGAATGGATTGTTGACTTTGAGCGCTCATTTGTGGACGACGATGGTACTATATGCCGAAGATGGTGATTCCGAGAGATTTATGCGATAATTATGAACAAGCTATCCAAGATCCCCTCCTCCTTCGATCGGTCACTATGCTTCCACTCCCACTTGCTCCTGCACTTCTTCGAGCTTCTCGACAACGTCTTCGCCGGCGACCGCGGCCTCTGGCAGATCTTGCGCCTTCGGTGTGGAAGTAGGTTCAGATGGAGCTTCTCCTGCGCCGTTGGGTGGCGAGACTTCAGCAGGAGATTCTGGTACGCTCTTGGATTCGGCCTTCCTGTTGGCGCCAGTGAGGCGTCTGATGTCGGCCTCTGCCTTGGCGATGGCCTCGGCAGTGACGCGCGCTTGGTTGGCCTCGAACCATGCTTTCTTGGTCTTGAGATCCTCCACGACACGAGGAAGGTCCGCTGACGAGGCTGGTGGCGGGATTGAGAGAGTGAGGAGAGCCGAGAGCGTCGGGAGGGGGATGTTGAGGCTGGTGCTGGATACATTGGGAGCAGCCTCAGAGGGTGTCGTGCTCCCGCTGACTTTGGCTCCATTCTTCTTACCCCTCTTGCCCTTGCCGCCCACGAAATACGCATCGTCCTCGTCGCCCTTTTTCTTGCGAACAAGCAGGCCGTCCTCGGGTCCGGTCTCCACCTTCCGAATGTCCAGTTTCGGCTCATCGACTGGGGTGGCCCTCGAGATGGACGTGGTTGGGGCGGTGGTGGACTTTCCAGAGAAGTAATCAATGAGCGTTTGGCAATCCTCGATCTGTAACTGGAACGCAGGCTGAGAAGCCTCGTCGCGCAGGCGCTCCGCGAGCTCTTTCTTTTTCTGTTCCTCTTCTGCCGCACGTTGTGCACGCGCACGCTCCGCACGCCTCGCCCTGTCCTCGTTGACTTTTGCCCAGTACCGATCATTGGCTTCTCGGAATCGCTGAGCTGAATCGCGCTTCTGATTGTACAATGTGTCAAGCTCTGTTTGGAGCGCAGTCCGCTCGTCGAAGAGCTTGTTGCGGCTTGCATAGACTTGGTCGCTCTCCTTCTTCAGCTCGTCCAGTTCGGCTTTGATTGTGTCGTACCTCTCGGAAACGGCCTTTGACTCTGGGTCGTCGAGCTGCTGCCGGAGTTCGTCGGCGCGTGCTCGGTCGGCCTCGATGGCGTCGGCGTCGGCCTGGAATGATTCTACATTCTTACGAGCTCGCTTGGCTTGATTGATCTCTTGCACTGCCCTCTTCTCTTCAGCCAGCGTCAAGTTGCCTGAGTCGACCTGCTTCCCCAGGTTGCTGCGGCACACATTATGAACACACGCAAGAAGAGAAACATAGATGCGCAGCGACACACTTGATGTAAGCCTCCACCTCTGCCACTGTTTTGAATTGTGTCTTGCCCTTGGCGGCCTGAAGGTCCTTGACCTGCAACAGAGCGTGATGAACAGACCGCGGGCCTTGAGAACGACTTAAGGGACGCACCTTTTTTTGAATGCCATCCTGGAGAGCCTTGAGCTGGTCCAGGACTTTACCTCGCGAAGCTTTGCTATTGGATTGTTGGCCACGGAGGCTGTCCAGCTCAGTACGAAGTGTGTTCCGCCTGTCGTTCCCTGGCCCAGACTTGGAAACTAAAGATATTTTTTCCTTCACGGCAGCCTGACAAGCGTAAGCGATTGAGGGGACATGACATCCACGAATGTAATAAATCACTCACAAGTTTGACCTGGAGAGCGTCTATCTCTGTCTTGATGCGCTCCTGTTCCGCATCATAGGCATCCTTTTCAGGCTTGCCTGATCCAGAGGCGGGAGCGGCCGCAAGTTTGGACACGTCGCTGCTCGCAACGGTGACGGCAGCGCCGTTAACCCCTTTGGATTTCTTGGGGGCGTTGGTGGACGGTGCAGAATTGGCTTTGTAAGACATTCGTAAAACCAAAGGAGCGAGTGTGAGGAAGCAGTAAAGTTTATGGATGAAAGTCAAAGTAATTGAGGCGTAAGGACGTGGAATGTCCGCAGGGCGCTTGTGAACCTGTATGGTGCCGTGAGAATTATTGACCAGATCACAGGCCTGTTATTGCGGCAAGTCACAGCTGCAGTAATACGTCCATTTCGGCGAAGACCTCACTCGACTTGACTTCACATAAACGGTTGATGCAAAATCATGGGCAAGGAAAACGAAAGCCACATGAATGGTAGATCAGACTACAATCTTGTGGTCTAGTTTCTCCACTTCTCGACAGCATTCCTCGTACAGTTCCCGGTAATCGTCGTCCTTGCTCGTAACCTCCCCTTCCTTCCGTTTGCCGCTCTTTTTCTGGTTGGGGCAAATCATGACACAGCTGGTAGGCCGTTTTGTTGCACTCGCATTTCCGAGCTCCTCCTTCGAGGTCACGAAAACGTACGGAATTTGAGCCTCCTCGCTCAAAATCGGTAGGTGGGAGATGATGTCGATTGGTGTGATGTCTGCGGCTAGCACAAGAAGTCTGTGAAGGTCATTCTGAGTACAGCAGGATGAAAGGACTAGACGAAAGCGTACCCCCTCTCGCCCTTGCGAATTCCCTTCACCACTTCTTTGACACCTCTCTTAACTTCCCGTGCTTTTGATGCTGTAGAGCGGTTTGAACGCACAGCCTGTGAAACGAGCAAATAAATCTGACCTTTCTTAATCGCTTTGTGCAGCTTCTTGAGAAGTTTCTTTTGCGCTAGTGGATGCGCTATTGGGGATAGGTCTTCCAAAGGTATTGAAATCTGTTCCTTGTTCTTCTTCGTTTTTCTTTCATTCTGCGCCGAGTTTGTATAAGCATGGGTTGAGTTGCGAGTAACCGTGGAACGCACCTGGGCATCGACCATATCAACATCTTCAACCTCTGCTGTGGGCTCGGAAGCAACGTTCTTTATCTTTTCTGACTTGTCCTTAGCCATTTTTCGTAAAAATGAATGGTCTTTTGAGGCGTCGAGAAGGTCCAGTACTAGATGCTGGAATGTGTGTGACTATGAAGTTACAATCATGTCACTGTGACTTGACCGATCATCTGACTTGGGCTCGTTCGCGTCTATGTTTTAATATTACATGCCGTCGAAGCTACCCAACTTGTGAATGTGTGTTTGTAAAATACACATGAATTCATGTAGGTTGCTGATCTTCTTCATCACCATTCCCAAGAGGGACATTCCCAATACCTCTTAGCAAGTTTAGCCATACCCATGTAGCTCCGCGGCCTTCAACGTCATACCACCAGTTCAATGCGACGGTGATTTCGTCCGACTGTCGAACGTGATGCCACCATCCTGCGGGTAAGTATAATGTCTCACCCTCTTGCAGAGAAATGGTGATCGGATGCGCTGAAGCAGGCAGAGCACCCGGTCGTTCGGGGTGCGTGATAGACGACCAACGAACCATGGGTGTCGAAGAGGGAGAGGGCGTTAGAATTAGAGGTGAACCCTCCGAGGGACGAATATAAGTAGCATGGGGATACAGACGTTCTAAAATTCAAGGTCAGTATCAACGGGGGTTGTCATCCAGAATCAAGGTGTTACCAACCTCGCAAACACCATCCTTCAGTAGGTGGAAGAAGAAGAAAAGTCTTACAGCCTCTGACAACGTGATAAATGTTTTCGTACGGGTCTATCGAAAATAAGCTAGCATTCAGATACGGAGTGATAACATAAATACCATTGTGGATACTGGTAATGCTCTTGCTATTGCCAATCCATAGATTCACCGCATCCGGATGTCTATCTGTTTGGAGTAAGAGCAAATGAAACTTAAAACCGACGAGAAGCTGACCGAAGGCTTGACTGCACCAATCTAGCTCACAGGGAACATCTGCACGCAAAGACTCGAATTCTGTCGGCGAGTCTTGCATGTCTGGATGGAAAAAGGTACTTGAATATAAGTTTCCGTTCTGAGACTGCAAATAACAGGCTTCTGTCGCTTCATGTCAAGGAAAATAAGCTAGTTAATATACTTCTAATAGTCAGATCCGAGACTTACCATTCGTTGATTCCAGCTCGCACAAAAATGAGCTCATAGTCCTCTGTTCTATATAAGGTTCAACGAAATATAAAGATCCATCAGGGCCCAGAGTGACTGCATCTGCATATCTTGTAGATAGGTTGCAAAATCAGATTCACAGAGAGAATCTCTAGATAGAGACATGACAGACCCGTTTGGAGTTACTGCGACAGTGAACGATTTGTCTCCCATGTGTTCCAGGAGATATCGGTTGGACCACTGTTTGTCACCAGATAAATTGCATCCTTTGCGATCATCGACATCGTAGCGCACGTCAAGAAGCTGGAACCATAGCTTTACCTCTGATCACGACAGGTCTAGATATATGCCACAGTCTCGAAAACTCCAAGGCTGATGGAGGTGCTTCTAAGATATCATGATGAACACCGTTCATGCCTGGTCTTGCGGTCAACAAAGGTCATGCGGTAAGACTAGATGTGCGTATTGCAAAAGAGTATTACCATGGTATTCATCTGAAATCCACTCTAGGATGGTTTGTGACCTTTGCAAGGGCGCAGTCATCGTTGCACGAGTCTAAGGAACGCAGTGGACTTGTCAAAATAAAGGCCGTGGAATATTATTGGCAAATAACCTACTTATACGAAAGAGGTTAAAATAGCTCACGAATCACGAGGAACATGTTTGGTTGACGCGACGCGTCGCGTACTCTCACCTACTCTACCGTTCATCAAGATCATCACAGGCTATGGCAGAGATAAAGAAGAGGAACAAAATTGGAAAGGCTAAGAACTCCTCTGTGCGTTATGCTCAGACTTCTACTCTATCAGGTTCAGGCTGATCACACACTTGAATTCTTGGCCGCTGGCAACTTGCAGAGCGTCACAGGAGGACAAACTCTTTTGACACACTTCATGTCACAGAACAAGCTTGATGAAGTAGAGAAGATCCTTCCCCCTTCAGTAGAGTCCCCTAAAAGCTTGGCGCCCCAATCCTTCGTTGAACACTCAGACCCCGCTATCGTCGCGGAGGCTCTTCCGTCAGGAGCATCGAGTCCTTCATCGAGTCCGTTAACCTCACTTCCTGCATCTAGCAATTCAACATCTCATTGTTCATCTCCCACTCCCATGAAGTTCGAAATACGTGCGTACTTCATCATGAGTTTGTTGTATGCCTTAGTTTGTTGACTCGTGAAAGACAGAAGAGCAGCCTAAGAAGTTATTTCCCATGTTCGAGCCACATTCCACGTCTCAACATTCACGATCCAACGTGGCGGCAGACACGCCCCAGACAAAAATTGATGAAGGCACCCTTGTGCGCCGAAACCCAAAGCGTAAACGCACCGCCGCACTGCCCATCGAGTCTACTGTCGTATCTTATAAGATTCGCCTTCCACCATCATCTACCCCTGCCCTATCAACCCCGTCTGTCTCCTCCTCTGTCATCGACTTATCAAGCGATGAGGAGGAACCCTCTATCATCACCATCGAAGATTCACCAGTTCTCCCACGACGTCACTACACTTCAAAATCCGCCAATCCGCTCCCCAACCTTCACCGAACTGACACGCCTTCTCTCAAACACAGACGACCGCCTTACCATGAGGATAATCTATTTCAAAGTGTATTCCCTGATCGTCTGTTTCAGCATGTCCAGGGCTCGCAAACGCTGTATACGGCTCGTTCAATGCCGTTGCGCCATCGTGACAAAGGCAAAGGATGTGTAGGCGCGCATCTTACCGAATCCTCATCATTGCAATTTCTTGGTATAGATCCACATACTCGGTCGGAACCTTTCGCCACAAACGATGGCCCTTTGGCCACCAGAGACAGCGATCAAGAGCGGAAAATCATCCCGGACCATCACCGTGACGCGTACCCAGCCATTTCGCGTTTATTCGATCCCCCGTCGTACGATCAATCGCCAGCTTCGAGACATACAGACCCCGCGCAGCTTTACTGGAATGAGAAATGGCGACCGCGGCAGGCGATAGAAGTTCTAGGAAATGAGCGGAACGCCTGCTATCTGCGAGATTGGATGAATGCGTTACGACTTCATTTTGACGAGCATGCAGATCAGCCCTCAGGCTCGCAGAGAAGAAGCCAAAGTAGCCAGAAGTCAAAAGTAGGGTCTCAGCCAACCTTTCACCGTAAGCGCAAGGTTGCAAGACGTCCTCTGATCTTGCGAGAGGTAAATCGTTCCAAGAAACGGCAACGCCGCGGCGAATTAGACTGGATCGTGGATGATGATGCATCGGAGGATGAGTTACTGATCGACGATGACTATCTGGATTCTCTGTCCCTTGGGAACGATGAGGAATCACTTCTTCCTACACAAACTAATGACGGCTGGTCAATTCACTCGAAACCGTTCACGTTCGGAAGCAAGATTCACAACACTCTGCTGCTTTCAGGCCCGTCGGGAAGTGGGAAGACCGCGGCAATCTATGCTTGTGCGGAAGAATTAGGTTGGGAGGTCTTTGAAGTATATCCAGGAGTCGGCAAGCGTGGGTCTGCTAGCTTGGAAAATCTGATTGGTGATGTTGGAAAGAATCACCTGGTTCAACAGCCGCGTTTTCGGCTCGAGGAGGATAAAGCTTCGGCACCCATTGATCCACTCCCCTCAACATCAGCTATTCGAGACTTCTTTACATCACATTCAGATGGAGCTGCGAAACCTCCTCTTAGACGCTTGCGGCGGAAGACATCGCAAGATGATGTTGTTCCGGTGGATGTTAGATGGAGGCTTACGGACGATGAAGAACTGCCTTCAATAATCACTGATACCCCGACAATACAGGTACCTCAGACGAATGAGTCATTTCGCCAGTCTATTGTTTTGTTCGAAGAGGTAGATGTACTCTTCAAAGACGATGTCGGTTTCTGGCCCGCTGTCATCAAGTTCATCAAGGATTGTAAACGGCCAGTGGTTATGACTTGTAACGGTGGGTGTCCGTTTAGTATCCCTCAAGGGTGTTTCATCTGATGAGCACCTAGAAACATCATCGATTCCAATGGAGGATCTCCCTTTGCAGGACATCTTACACTTCACACCTCCTCCTGCCCCTGTAGTTATGTCTTACCTCCGGAGTGTTTGTCTCAAGGAAAGAAGTCATGTCGACTGCGAAGATCATCTGGAGCGTCTAGCAGCATCTAGTGGAAGGTGCCCCTCAGGTCACCGCGACTTGCTCGTAAAACACCCGGAGGACAAAGTATCTGAGGCCAGTATGACTTTTCCACTTGATCTGCGGCAAACGATCAACCAATGCCAGTTCATGACAATAAACCCATTCCTCCTATCCAGCAGGATACTAAAGCCAGGCATCGAAGAATCCCGAGGCACCGCACTGCCCCGTCTGTCCGACAATTTGAGCGGAGCAACCGACGAGATGAACTCGCACGAGTCCCTGGATGACGTACTTTCACTGCAGCGGGTAACGAATTCTCTGTCGTTGCTAGATGCAAACTTTTCATTGCCGGAACGGCACGGCGCGGAGGTCTCAGAGGATGTTCTCAATGGTCAGGTCGGGTTTCTCACACTGGAACCTGTCTCGGATAAGGACCTGCCGGTAAACCCGGAGTCGTACATTCGAGAGAGTGAGATGGTCGAGGCATTCATTCGAAGTGCTAGGGGATTCGTCAAGGACGACTATACTTTTCTGATGGATGAGGTGTCTTCCCAGCCGACTAATGAGCGCTATCGAAGTCAGATGCGCAATGCCCTGGGAGGAAGGGTGCCAAAAGCTGTCTCCGTTTTGCTTGAATCTATAGTTCATCTGGACTACGAGCCATGGATCAGGTACATGGTGGAGGCGGAGGAAGAGGACATGAAGACCACGAGCAGCCAGAGGGGTAGGTCTACGAGAAACAGTCAGAGGGGGCATTTTTTCACGAACATGGACACGGAAAAGAAAGACATATTGGCCCAAACGAGGTTAGATGTATGTGGATGGGACACCACCTTGTAGACACAGACATACGAAGCGCATTTGTAACTCGGTGAACGAGAAGCTGCAATTTGACCTGATTTGAATCGTGGGCCCCACGTGCTCCGATGTGTTTGGCCACGTTGTGCGTATGTCCGTTTTCTGCTCCCGGTAAGAGCCAGTCGAGGCATACTGCTGCTTGCAATCCGACATGGTCGACAAAGACGAGGACTCAGCCTTTTCATCATACGCACAGAATGGCGACCTCTCATTGAACAACCACGAGAACAACGTGCCCTCCGACATCAAGGTATCGTCCTCACCCAGTAACATCCGTAGCCCTTCCGTCCCACCTCTTGCTCCACTCGAATATCTCCAGAGTCAACGAAGGGGCTCCATCACAGACCCCTCGTTGCACGCGAGCCCCGGACATTTCTCCAGACCAAGTAATCTCACCGCTGGCCCTTCTCCCACACCCTCTGACCTCCTCTCTGCTCCCCACCACTCTCCTCCAAAACGCGCTCTTCCTAATTCTCGACCAACGTCCCCTTCTCGGATGGTAGAGGGTTCTAGTATGGACACAGATCAGCCGTACGATCGCACCCACAATTCACTATCTTCGTCCGATGGCATTGATAGCACTCGCGCTGCAAACCCTTCCTCTCGAAGAGCCTCATTCGACACAGGGAGCACGTCCCAGATAACAGAGCACAATCCCCCCCAAGGTGATTCATACTATACAATTCCACTTTGTATTTTCAAACTATTATCTTACATACATCTTCAAATTTTCAATAGCAGACCATTCGAGTATTGATTCTAAACCGAGATCTGCGCATACGCAGGCTCACGCGTCTGCAGGCCAACAGGGGCATATTGACAGTGAGCGGTACCATTCCTCTGCCAAATGAACAGAGACTGCATTTCACCGCAGGTGTCGTGCCTTCGGTTATTAGTCAAGGCCCTCATGCGCAAACGCGTGGTCCTGGGTCGCCATCCTCACTACCTCATGGCACGAAACGCAAACTCTCGCATGATAGAGGCGTGTTGGCAGCCGCAGGTGAGGACATCGATCCTCAACTTGTTGGCCCAGGCGTTCCGAGTACCGTACATTTGGATATGGAAGGTCCTATTCCCAAGCGACGGGGATCGTTGGCGGAGACGCAGCGAATCACCGGGCTTAGCGTCTACGATCGACGACATTCTCTCGACACTCGTATTGCTCAAGGAAGTCCACAATGGTGGGGTAGCGAGAGACGCGATTCGACGTCATCCATGTTCTCTAGCCCATCCATGGGATATGGATCGCCGGCGTTCTCCGCTGATTCGCCGCATGGTCGAACGCCTGCTACCGTCGCATGGCATCCCACCCAGGCTTCTGACCAGCCCTCCGCCATGCAGAATGAGGCAGACACGTCTGGAACAGGACGACAGTTTGATCCTTCATCCATGCTGCCAATAACGATGGTCCATCCCCTTGCATTTAACACAGACCGTCGAATGTCCGTGCCTACGAATCTCCCATCCAACATGCCTCCTGCCAACTCCACCACCGCTCGGGTCCTCCGGTCAAGGTCACGTCCCCCCTCGCGTACCAGTCAGTTGCGCGGTGCGGAATCCGGCGCTGCTAGTTCCAGTAATGCTGCGCTACAGAACGTGGAAGACACAGATTCAGCGGAACATGTATCGGGTTCATCCTCCATTCAGAATCTTCAACCTCCCTCGGGCAGCACACCTTACTCCCGTTCTCCCGAGCTGCGTGTTTCGCACAAACTTGCTGAGCGCAAGAGAAGAAAAGAGATGAGGGATTTATTTGACGAATTGCGAGACCAGCTACCTGCGGATAGGGGTATGAAGGCAAGCAAGTGGGAAATTCTCAGCAAAGGTCGGATGTTCTGTTTCCAAAGTGTCACTTCATGCCTAACTCCTTGTATCTTGTCGACAGCCATCGACTTTGTCGTGCATTTGAAGCAGAGTCACCAAGAGATGGCACGTGATATTGAAATGCTTCGACACGAGTTAGAGAGCATTCGTCAAGGCATACCATCATTTGGGCCTGGCGGTCCTCATCCTGTCATGTACAGCCAAGGCCCACATGTCGTCCCGGGACACTACCCTCTCCCGAGTGGTCCCGCCATACCTCCCCACCAACCATCGCCAGGACCGACACACCAACCACCCCCTCCCCATCAGCAAACACTTCAGCAAACACTCTCACGGCCGGCATCGTCCCAGAATGTGTTCCCTCCTGGAGGGGGTTCCGTTGGGGTGCCACCGCAAAATGGGAACGCCGCCGTTACGTCAAACGAGAAGACGGAGGCTCCTTCGATGTAATTACTTTTGGCATATTTACCATGTGATCTGTGGGATAACATAGGGCTGGCTCCTCTGGGTTGTCAATTTGGCGGGTGCTTACTCTGTACATACTTGGCACTCTTGCCGGCTCCATATTTTATGGTGCAGCATCGGACGTTGGATGTCGAGACGCGGACCTTAACTAGCGATGTGGGCTTCTTGATGATCACACCCTAGACAATCACAGACTGAGTGATACACGAATGTCTTGGTTTCTAAAAGACTTTGCCACCGCGAACAAGTCATCATCGGGTATCTTCGAACCTCTGACCGGGTCAGGCTTCTACGTTTGGCCCACCACGGACTTTGTAGCGGCGTTCGAAAACGCTCTTCCTCCTCCAGTCGACATGGCTCGATCCTTGTCCCGCCTTTGCGATGAGCTTCAATGAGCTTGCCAGAAACGCTTCCGTGAACAACAATCAACACCCGTTCTCTCTGACGTTCCATCAAAATGACTTCAGTCGAACTCATAGAGTGCCAAGTCGCCAACGAGGCACTGGAAACCACTTCTTCGACAGAGCTAGTCACTCGAAGTCCAATGGCGGTCGCTTCATGCACCAAATTGACGTCTCGGACTCAGTGGGGTCAAATATCATGCCACTTCGCCCAGAAAGAGTGCAAGAAAGTCTACGGGAGCTTCAAGCGACTGAACATGTACCGCGTGTATCTCTTTTCTCAAGCCATTCCCTCCGCGACGGTGTCCAAACCCTCAAGCAGAATGAGGGCAGGCCCATCTCACCTCCTACATCGTACAAGCCAGAACCGTTGTCCTCATCACTAAATTCGAATTCCTCAAGTACGCTATGAGCTTAATGAGATCGTATGACCGTCATCTAATGCATTCATAGATATCATTAGCAGACATTCGCACCACGATTTGAACAACTCGCAGATTCGTTCAGAGAGACTTTCGTTGGCAGGTCAAAAATACAGTCATTTTTTCCTACACAGCTTGATCGCTAAATCTCACCCTGCTGGTGTATAGAGCCCGAAGAGACCCGCTCGTCGTTCACGACTTCGCCATCTGCCAAGGAGGTTTTCTCCACGTCGCCCTCGAAGCTTGATGTCAGCGGCAGCAATCAAATGGTCAGGGGTATCTCTATGTCTACCTTCAAGGAAGACTCGATGGAGAACGACATTTCTGCTGTCGTGTTGAAAGGCTTCGCAGATCTCAAATATGCCAAGCATGAGAATGAAGAACAGGTTTGACAATACATGCTCCAATTTGTTCATTCATTGACCTGTATTCAGCGTCGAGAGATCGCTTATCTTCGCTCACAGCTCAATGTTGTGAAGAACGAGAAGGGAGAAGTAATGCAGCGCTTGAACGGTGTCAAGGACGCAGCTCGGAAAGCCATAGCGTCCAATTCCAAGAGGTGAGTCACAAAGTATGTGCGCATAAATGCGATGGCATTAATCATATCTCAGTCTTGAAGAAATGCGAACGACGCTCCAAGCGCTAAAGCAACAGTCCGAATTGGCATTTGCCTTCGCTGTACAAGCGCGTTCGTCTTTGCCCGATGTAGTTGATATGCGATGCATCATTGAAAACAGTGCCAAAAGTGCGTAACCTTCTACATCTTCTCTCGGACTAGACACTCATCCTTCTTTAGAATATGATCTGCTATTCGACGGCGATGGCAACATGACCCGAGCAGCGGAGGTGAAACAGATCATTACCGAACTGCAAATGGAATGTACAAAGAGTCGGTGTCTCAATTATCTATCGTTAGCTGAATTTAACTCGTAGATTTCTCCATGCAGCGAGACAGGCGAATGATCTCCTGCACGACAAACTGACCGAGCTAGCTTCACAGCTTATTGAAGCTAAGGATCGCATACAAGCTGTCGAGAAGCTTCATGCAGACAGCAATGAATCTTTGAAGCAGTCCAGTGAGTTGAAAACTTCGATTAGTTGGCCTTTGATGATGGAAGGCACACCACTCCCAACAGATATAACAATTCTTGAGCAAGGAAAGGCATTGGGTCAGACGCAGAAAGAATTATCTGATACACTACGAAGTTGTGCCGACCTGAATGCCACAACAGTTATGTTGAGAGAAGAGTGCGTGGCTCTTATCTATCGTCTCTCCTAATGGGAGGTTTAATTCATATCCAGAGCGGCAAAGCTGAACAGATATGTGCATGACAAGGACGAAGCTATCAATCTAGCTAGGAGCCTGGAAAAGAAGTATGTCGGCTCGTGTCCCTGATTCTGAATACTTACCAATGCCACCTAAAGGAATGCACAGCTTCACTCGATTGTCGAAGATAAGGACGGCAGATTGCGCGCGCTTTCCTCGATAAAAGATGAGTAAGTCTTAGGTCGTGTCTCTGAGATAAGACCAGAGTTGATGATTATCTCACAGGCTCATTACATCTGTCGCCACGTCGAACGAACAAAGAATGGAGTGTGACAACTTGAAAAAGACACTGAGTGAACATGTCCAAACTATCGAACGTCTCAAACTCAGGTATGTGTCATGGTCTGATTTGCATGCGTTGACCGATATTTATCTACAATAGATGTGGGGGATTGCAGACTGAGCACGACGTGGTTATCAAATCCATCAGCAATATTCAGGAAGAGCTCAAGCAATGCACAGAACGTGAAAAATCGGCTTTGGCGCTAAACCAGAAGCTTGCGGAAGATAAACTTATCTGTGAGGAGCGTGTCAAGATGTTCCAAGGTCAGGCTGCACATGCTTCGCAGGAAGCGAACGGACACAAAGAAAGGCATGCCTCATCAAATCTATCTTTCTGATCTGGACAATGACCGCCGTTATTAGGCTGCAACAAATGGAAATACGACTCAAGGTTCTCCAAGAACGCTTCGTAGATCAAGCCACCACTTTGAAGCTCGCAAAAGAAGCAAACAGCGACGCTCAGGTATCCCATCCATCTTCTTCGTTAGCTCAACGACCGTTTCACGACTGCTTTCAGGAGAAACATTTCTTGGTTGAGAAGAACTGTACCGTAAGATTTTTGTTTCAAATCTCGACTGGTGGCATCTTCTAACAGATTCCAGAGCGCCCTCGAACAGTCCAACAAGACTCAACGTGAGATCGCCATCATTGGCGAACGAAACAACTTTTTACAAAAGATGCTCCACGATGCCGAGCAAGAAACGAAACGTTTTCAAGAATTGCTCACCAATGTCAAGGCAGAATATGAAGGGCGCATGGAGGCGGTTCGAGAGAAAGCTCTTTCTGATGTTCAGAACGCCAAAGAGATGGCTTTTCAGGCGGAGCAACGTCTCACTCAAGCTCATACGGACGCAGACAACGCTCGTTCTCGCATTGTTTCAATCTCTCGTGAACTGGATGTACTGAAGGCGCAGTCCCAGGATGCTTTACAAATCTCTTCCATAAAGCAGAGCGATATCGATGCTCTCAATCTACAAATTGGAGTTCTGAAGGCCGAGAGGGCTTTACTTACCGAACGTGCTGACACAATCGTGATTCGATACAAAGCTGACGACCTAGTGAGTTTTCATTTGAAACTTTAGATCCATTTCTCAGCGTATCCTAGTCGAATGAGGAGAGGATGCTTGTGGAAACTTTGTTCAAGGAATACGAGTCTCTTCAAGAGGACACAATTTTAGAAAAGCAAAACGAGCTTAGAAGGGTAAGTGGTATATATTATCATGATGTAGCCATCTGATAATGTGTTTGGATAGAGCGTGAACAAAGTCATGGAATTGGAATCGAAAATCGTGTATCTAGAGAAGAGTTTGGCACGACATCTAAATATCGAGGTAGTCCATGTCCATGACTTAATGCTTGCAAGATTTCTGACGATGTACTCAGAAGCTTGAACCCAGCATGCCAGGGGACAAATCGATTTCAGCATCAGAAAAGTCTATCCTCCCATTAGAGAACTTCATGTCGTCGAGTTCGGGTGTAGAGAATTTTAGAGCACCTGACAGTGACTCGGGGCCGGTAAGTTTGCAACTTTTGATGTTTTTGGATGCCTTGTGTTGATGTAGTATGCAGTCTCAACACGATGGCGCATCAGCAGACGATATCCCAGCCAATGCGCATCAGAGTCTCACAGAGTCTGGTGCTCTTCGTCATCCAGCAACCAATTTTTCTACTCCAAACCGATCAACAAGGGAGCAAGTTGACACAGAACAGTCTGTGCAACACAAACGCTTGAAGAAGTCTGAACGAACGTTCGCTAGCCTCAATAGCGAATCTTCCATCCTCTCCGAGCCAGAAGATGAACCACCTGTTCGCAGAATAGGAAAACGCGGTCCGAACCCACATCCGGAAGACACAGCCGATACCGAAAGGCCTAGCAGACGCTTGGTCTGAATTTCGACCCAAGTATAAGGGTGCTGAACTGACTACATCATCAGAAAACTGCTTCCCTCCTCACTGGGGCTCAACAGGGCGATTCTTCGGGGAAGGTAAGTTGTATATCATCAATGATCAAATTCAATGTTTTCTTTCCTGGTACAGACTACTACTGCGCCAATCACAAAAGCAAAACCCCGCAAACGCAAGTGAGGTGTTCGACCGGCCTGTATCAAGATCGTTTGTTTCTTGCCAGACCCCCCTCCTGTCCGGTTCTGCGCTACGCTCTCACGGGGCTTGTTTCTCCATGATCGACTTGGTGCTCATCTGGTCTTATGCTATTCTCGCTGGCTCGGCTGCTCTGCTCTCTCTTGTGGCGAAGTTTCAAATTTGTGGAGATCAACATGTACTTCTTAGTAATCGTCGATTCGTCGTGCAATGAATATTGTAACACAGAGACCGTCACAAAATGATACCACCCTCCTCTTCATCCAAAGAAGGTGTAATGTAGTGTGGTGGTGGTGGTGGTGGTGGTGGTGGTGGTGGTGGTGGTGGTGGTGGTGGTGGTGGTGGTGGTGGTGGTGGTAATGGCTCTGCGGCTGTGCGATCGACTGGAGGTTGAGGATGAACGTCGTAATGACCTCCTGAACGAATGACACCCTTCTCCACCAAAGCCATCTGGAGAATTGTGATTCGCTCCATTTGGGAGCCACTGCGGTGAAATAATTTTTTCATTCAGCATCTCGTCGAAAGACAAGGCCAGGTATAGATCGCGAAGTCGAAGTTGTTTGTCACAACCTAACTGCGTGTCGAAATCGAAATGGCGCTCACATTACAGTGTCATTTTCCTGTATGGCCTCGAGAAAATCCGGATCAGGCTGATCTGATTCTTGTATATGTTGCCGGAGTTGATTCTGTGTCTCCTGAAGATGCTGCAATGAGTTTTGAAGACGTGCAATCTCTGCGAGGGCCGCGTCATCTGATCCATACTACATAAAGAGAGCTAGGAACTAGCTGAACCTTCACTTAGAGTAGAGGGATCCAATCGAGTGGCCTCTGAAAGAGTGAAAGGTTGTGTGAAACGAGGTTTGTATTCCATCGGAGATGCTGGTTGGTTGACTCAACTGGCCCGAGTGACGTCCCGAAGACTTCACTGCAACAACCCGATTGGGCCACCAGAATGTAAATAGACGTCATGGACAACAAGGACGCCCTCACAGGCCTCACAGCTCCTCACAGGCCTCATAGGCCTCACGGCCCGCATTCAGGACCATCTTCTTATTTTCAGTCCCTATCAAGCGCAAGTGCGCACTATAGCATATAAATTTGGTTTTTGACCATCTTATACAAACGCAAGGAAGGACTTGATCACAAGACACAGGAATCAGCTGATAACCAAAGTATGGGGAGGCGTGGGAAAGTCATGACAGGGAGCATTCATGTGAGCATTCAAAGTCATCGCCATCACCAAGTTTCACGCTGCTCTGCATCCATCTCATTCACCTACTAGCATGCAAACCTATAATTTCCTGCCATGCAATCAGTAGAATTTTCCAATGATTTTTGCGTACACACACTCTCTCCAGAGGAAGGGTTTAATACCGAGTATGTTGATGAAACGTTCGTGATTGTCTCTTTGAATACTGCTCAGTGGTGTAACACATTGACCGTCCTCTATACTACAGTCATATGCAAGCTTTCGCAGACGCGCTTAACTCGGACGATAATGCGTTAATACCTGATCAACCTCCATCTCCATATCTAAGCTCTCGTCCGGATACTCCGGTTCATCATCGGGGAAGTACTCGAATACGAAAGGTCTCTGCGCTCTCTGATTTCGCACCTGTCAATGTAAAAGTCAAAAGGTCAGTTCATACGAGGGACAAATATAGATCAGTGTGGCTTACGCGGTTTCAGGCGGAGGAAGGGGCATGGGGGTCATGAGAAGCGGCAGGAGTGGTTATTCCTACTTGTTCGATGGCCTCTGTTGGTACGTTCAGATGCCTCGAGATGAAATGATTAACTTGATAAGACCATGCACAGTTCTTCATCTTCCTCTTCATAATGTGCGAGTTCGGGCTCTATGTCATTATTCGTCAGTTGGTCAATGCGAAGGAGTGGTTATTGGCATGTGAGTGCTGTATCTGTAACTGCGTTACTCGAACTTCACAGACTATAGGGCGTGGCCGGAAGGGGCAGCTGAGGAAGAGGCTGAGAGCAGCTACTACATATCAGGTACCGATATTCTTCCTATACATGTTTACAATTTTGACCACTTTGGTTGTAGGAATGGAAGGATGCAGCTGAAGTCTTAGACGGGTATCTCGATTTCAATGAATGGAAACGGGTTGATGAGGATCCATACTACGATTGGAGGCTTGTGCGGAAGGTTGGTGGCAGACGTCAGTTTTATTCGAGCAATGTTACCAAGAGTCTTTTCTGTATATCAAGGTCAAGCGCTCTCTGAAGACATTGAGGGAGAGAAACGATGCGAGAGGGGTGCTGGGAGTACTAGAAACATGCATGCGTAGTAACTTTGCGGGGGTCGAGTCAGCAAGGTCAGTTCTATCGTGATCACAAATCCAACATGTTCTCAGATTGAAATTCGAACAGGTTATACAGTGAAGTAAGCTTCCTATTCTACTTCCGCGATCTTCCTTGTGACACCGTCAGGGTAGACGTTCTATGGTACGAAGGACCTCTTAGAATGTAAGTTGGATCTAAGCTGGCATAATGATCTCAACTGATATCCTATGGAGCCTACATCCTGGAACAGGAGAAGGCTCTGGGATATATCCGGGAGACACACCTGTTGTCAACTGATGAGAAGAGACGGTTTTTCAAGAGTGCAAATACAAATCTAGGCTTGACGGCGCTCTGTCTCTCCGGCGGCGCTACTTTCGGATATTGTCAGTGTTTATATCTCCACAACAACATATCACTGTCTCAGCGCGTAACTTGCAGACCACTTTGGTGTTGCGAAGGCGTTCTTGGATGCAGAGCTCTTGCCACGGGTCATCGCAGGCACATCGGCAGGAGGGCTCGTGGCGGCTCTTATCTGTACACGGACCGACATCGAGTTGAGTAGGCTTTTGGTACCGGAGTTGGCGAATAAAATCTCCGCATGCGAAGACCCATTCCAGATATGGTTCAAGCGCTTCTGGGTTACAGGCGCCAGGTTCGATAGTCTGGCATGGGCAAAGAAGGTAGGAATGACAGTCTTGTTCGTCGTGATATGCTGAAAGAATATTCTCATTATGCTTCTAGGCTTGCTGGTTTACTCGTGGTTCGATGACTTTTCGGGAAGCATACGTGAGGACTGGCCGCGTGTTGAATATTTCCGTCATCCCTGCGGACCGTCACTCGTAAGTATCGATTATTAATGTCACTATAAATATCTGAGAATCCATCATTTCAAAGACCTACCAAGCTGCTGAATTATTTTACAGCTCCAGACACTATCATTTGGAGTGCCCTGTTAGCTTCCGCAGCTGTTCCCGGCATTATAAATCCGGTAGTACTGATGCAAAAACTCAAGGACGGTCGGATTGTTCCCTGGAACTGGGGTAGCAAATTCAAGGACGGGTCGCTCAGGTGAGTAAGTTGACTGATGTTTGGAATCTCGTCTGAACACAATGCATGCAGGGTTGATATCCCCGTTCAGTCTTTGAATCTATATTTCAATGGTAAGCCGTCACCATGGGGCGATGCATCTATCATTTTCTGATGGCATGTCTAGTCACCCATCCGGTGGTCTCCCAGTCAAATCCGCACGTTCACTTGTTCTTTTTTGCGCCGCGTGGTTCTGCAGGGAAGCCCGTTGCCCATAGGAAGGGCAAAGGTACGAAAATTCACCATATCTACAGAGAAACTTTCTTGATTTGTGGACCAGGCTGGAGAGGCAACTTTTTGTTGTCTGCTGCAGAACAATGGCTGAAACTGGAACTCACGAAGAACTTCAAGGTTAGTCTCAGCAGGGACTGTCTGTCAAAACCATGCAACTGACAATTTCTATGCAGCTGATTCGCGACCTTGAACTACTTCCTCAACTACTGGGACAAGATTGGTCGAGTGTATTTTTGCAACGGTTTGATGGAACAGTAACGTGAGTTTTACATCCCATCTAGTTCCGTAAATCTCATGATCATTATAAATACATTTTCAGGATTTGGCCTAGGACGCGCTTCATGGTAAGGATGAGCTTTTTGTGAAATGTTCTGCATATCAAATGCTGGATACTACAGGATTGGATCAGGATACTCAGTGATCCGGACCCTCAGGAGCTCGCTAGAATGCTACATGTGGGGCAGATAGTTACTTGGCCAAAAGTTCGTGCCAGTATCGTCGCCAATATTAAATCCTCTCACGATCGTTAATGCACAGCTACATATGATCGAGAATAGGTTACGGTTGGAGCGGCAAATCTTTCTAGGGCGACAAGCTACTCGCAAAGTCCAACAGACCAAACATAAGGACTCGTCCTTGTCGAATGACCAATCCCTTCCGACGTTGATCAATCCTAATCCCACACTTCAGCATGCACACCTATACGATCTCGAAAATCCTTTGTCCGATATTGACACAGAAGATGCCCAACGACTCTTCACGCGAAGCTATGTGTCGTCAACTTCCAATACAGCTGTGACGAATAGCGACGCCCCCGGTCACCAACTACGTTCTTCAGTAACGCATCGGAAATGGGCTGCTGATGCTCATGCGCTAGAAAAGTCGACGACCTCAGAACAACGCGCACCTGAAGCGGAGACTTCAACCGGAAGGTCACGGCACTCAGGCTTACCGCGTTCTGGATCGTTTTTGGAAAGGCTGCGCACGCAGTCTTTTCCTGGACTGCCTTCCCCTTTTGCCACTCTACGCCGAAACAACAGTCGCACATCTGGAAAAGAACCGAGCCAAGAGGTTGATCCAGCGTGGAGTAGCGACAGCTCTTCGGGAGATGATCTATCCCTTGAGGAACAACGACGCATGCTTCCTTCGTCCAGGGTGAATCTGGCGAATCTTTTTGATAAGCTGTACCCTGAAGATGAAGATGATGATGGAATTGGGGATAATTTATAGATTTCATCACATTATGGACGGCTCACCTCTACTATAAGCTGGAGTCTGTACTTTTATAATCACCCTGAGTATCATGGCATAGGAAACCAAGTTTCGTGTGAGGCTAAGCTCGGCGCCGTTGGTCCTGGAAATCTGCATAATATATGTAGTACGCACTCTACTTATTCTCTTGTACAATATATGCGGCTACATGCAGTCTACTTGGCCCCCCCGAGGGCAGCGACGATGGCAATTCTGCTTCAATTTTCGGCGTGGTATGCGGAAATCTAGTGACTCTTTTGGAGGTCACGCACTCGCACATGGCTGGCAAGCTGGTAAGTGGGCGTGTTCTGAAGAATCCGGCGAGTGACACACGTTAGCCCTCCTTAGCCACATACAAATACACTCGCCGTGCTCCAGCTGAGCAGCACTCTCGCAGACGAGCATATTCACCTTGCAAGGTTTCGTCACCATCAACGTGATGTCAAGTTCGACTTCTTTTGAAGGGTCTCAAACACCTCCGCAAAGCCCTCTCCAAACTCCCCCTCGCAGCGCCACCGCTGCAGCTGATCGTGAAGCACGGCTCGCCGCTCTTCAGCGTCGTCTAGATGAGCAGGCAGCCGAGGCAGCCGCGACTGTGGGAAGCCCCGATCAGCCCGCGTTCATACCTTTTGACGCAAACCATGAGAAGCGTCAAGAGTTTCGACGGCTTATCGACCCTGGAATTATGAGGCCGAATGCCAGAGAAGTTGCGCTGACGTCTTTGCGTGTAATGTCAACGTCCCCGATCCATGAAAGTGTGCAACAGCTTACGTCCCTCTTCAGACACTGTCTACGATAGCTGAAAACATTCTGCGCGAACCCCTTAACCCAAAGTTCCGTCAATTCAAGCCAACGAATAGCATGATAAAGCGGAACCTTGTGGATCCGAAGGGTGCTCTGGAATATGCTGTCGCCGTGAGTGATACATATCCTTGAGAGCATCCTCGTCGACCGCTAAATTGTCCATCATCTTAGCTGGGATTTCGTCCAGAAGTCAGTCTATTCTTTTCTCATTTCCTTCCGCTCACTCAAACATGGACGTAGATTCGGAATTTCCAGCCATCCTACGTATTCAGCGACAAGTTCCTTCCGGATCTGCGCATTGGTGCTGACATCGTCAAGGAAGTCATTCGTAATGAATCTGAGAAGCAAGAACGAGAGGAAACAAGCAAGCGGTTAGCAAAGGCTGCAGAAGAAGCCCGCGTAGAAAAGGCGAGTCACATCGAACGTTTGTATGATTGTTGCTTGACTTATTCGTTTATCAGGTGAAAAAGGCATTCATGGATGATCGCAAGTCTAAGTCGCTCCGTGACCAGATACAGAGTTCTGGACGAGCACCACCGTCTTGATTATTGGCATCTTGCATGCAATTGGACAGATCTCACATAATTTCTGTATTTCTATGTTGTTTACTCTCGATTCCAAGGCTCTTTGGAAAGCAGGCATTCTCGATCATCATCTCGCGCAGTCTTAGTATAGACATTCCAACGGATGTGAATTATGAAGAGGATATATTACATGAAGGGGTACTTTGTTCGGTCTAGTTTTGACACAGGTCGAGTTGTTCCACTGGCATTGGCAGGTACTGGCGGCCGTGGCGGGAGCGGAAATTCTGCCAATGTGTTCATAGTGATCCGTGTTGGTGGATCTTCGACAACTGTGAAGGGCGAAAATCAGTCAAATAAAAATAATGGTAAAAACATCCTTACCAGGCGGAGTATCGAACATCCTCGCTTTCTCTAGAACAAGACTATCTCTTCTCCTTGCGGACCGTGTCGATCTCTGTGTATCTGACCCTTCCTGGATCGGCTGCGTGGCCAGTGACCGGGATCGATACAACACTGTAGATGCCGAGGGATTCTCTTCAACCGGTGAAAGGGTTATGGAAGGAGGTAATATGGCTGAAGACATTCTGCGCAGTTGCGAAGACGGCAATCCGATGAGTCGAGGCATTGGCCCTAGAATGTCTACCGAAGGAGATGGAGTATTGGGAAGAGGGCGCAAAGGTGGAGTGGGTGGGGGAAGAGAGGTGGGGATCGGTTTCTTGGGCGGAAGAGGGGCCAATTGAATGTCATATGGAATGTCCACGGATGTGTTAGGCATTACAACTCTTTGGCTGGAGAGCGGCAGACGTGAACGGCTCTTCACAGAGTCGGTTGCATTTTCCTGGTCGATCTGTGATGAGGTGCCTCGGTGTGGCTCGAGAGATGCTTCAGCCTTCAGGACAGTACTGTGAGCGTCTTGCTGAGGAGGAGTTGTATATGAGGCGGACGGAGGAGAGGCTTCTTTAAAAGCTTCATCGTGTAATTCGGAATGACTTCCAGACCGTTTACGCCTGGATGGACCAGATATCTCCTGATGAATTCCGACATGAGTGCGAATCCGCTGTGTGCCTCCCAAAATAGACGATGCAATGGCTGGTGCAGCAACGAAGGGCCACAGTTCGAAGTGAGGATACACTGGAGAGTCTGTAGGAATGCACATCAGCGTCACTGCACAATTCTTGTCGCACGGAATACGAACAAATCCTGAGCGCAGGGTAATGGGCGGGTAATTTCACAGAGATCACGTCGTGCTGATCTTCCAGATTACTTCCCCATCCTGACCGATATATATCGAAATAAGGGTATACCGAGGGATCTACAAAAAAAAAATCAAAAAGAGACAGGAGGGTAGTGTGATGTACACCCACATATATCAAAGCACGGGTAACTCGGCGTCAACGTGGTAATGATCGGCAGCTCCATTATACTCAAGTCTGTAACTTCTCCAGGATAGATTTCAAAGTACGGGTAGGTAGCCGGATCTAGGCTGACGGTGAGACGAGTTAAACTTTACAATGAAGGAGAGCAATGTACATAATTTGAGTATGGGGTATCTTGCATCGAGAGCGATGTTGACGCCATAATCAGGGCTCTGCACTTCAGCTTCTGGTGAGGGATAGATGTTGAAGTGCGGGTAGACAGCGGGATCTAATATCATTGCGACGTCAACCATTTTTGTGTACACTCTCATTGAAGATAACGGACATATATTGAGCATCGGGTATTGAGCATCTAGACGGTTTGAGATAGACTTGCTGCTCTCGTAGTCTGTTCGAGACGGGGTAGCTGGATACAAGTCAAACACAGGGTAGGCAGGAGGATCTAACGGGAAATATTTCAATGAATTCAATAGAAACATACACCGTCCAAGGCTCACATAGGTCAAATGAAGAATAAGTCACGGGTAAGCGAACAGGCAGACCTTGGACAATCCCTGAAGACCTCGGCACTGGTTGTCTGTGTGAACTAGGCGTTGGCTGCGAAGTAATGATCTCCTTTGCCGAGGGCATGACTTGAGCAACAGCTGGGTATATATCTAGTGCAGGATACATCACCGGATCTAATGCTCAGTCAGCTTAGCTCGTGTGTAAGACGAGACGCACATACAGATAACAAGCGCCGGGTAAAGAGAAGGTAAGTGTACGGGTTGGATCCGATGATACATTGTATCGTCGAAGCGCTGGCCCTCCGGATCTGTGCAGGAAGTTTGTAAAACAGTACGAGAGATCGAAAGCCGATTGCGTACAGATATCGAGGTTCGGATAGTGTCCGCGAATAGTGGTGTGCTGGGCGGTGGTGGTGATCTCGACAGGTCGGATAACTGTAGGATAGATACTCATGTATGGATACACAGCGGGATCTTATTTAGATGATCAGTATCGGAATTTTTTGCGGCGAGAAGGGAAAGACCGCCCACAGATATCGAGTGAAGGGTAAACAGCGGGCAGGTGTACCGACATAGAGAGGTCGAAGACAACCTCTACACCACAAACATGACCGGGATATATCTCAAAGTTCGGATATGCGGTGCGATCTGCATTGTTTATGTGAATGAGACAAAGAATGTAGATAGGACGATGGAGACGAACAAACGTCGATGGCAGGATACATTGCGGGCAAGCGTACTGTCATAGGCTCTATGATATCCGCCGAGCAGACATGACCAGGGTAGATCTCGAAGTTGGGGTACGCGGTTGGATCTATAGAAATATTAGTTGGTGGTCCTAGACCGTTAGAAAGGTCCTACTTACAGATGTTGAGCGTGGGATAAGCGGTCGACAGCTGGACTGAGTGCCTATTCTCAGCAGGGACCTCAGTGAATGCCAGACGAGCTACTAGACAGATTAGAATCTTCGGCGAATATGACAAGAGCTATATCTTCACCATTCTTAGGCACATGCGCGGTGAAGGGTTGCTGCTCAATCTCCATGACGGCTCGAAGGTCAGAGACCTCTGGCGACTGGATTATAATGGAAGAAGGGACGTCTCGCAAGACGGGTTCCTGTGACGTTTCAGTGTACGGCCAGACGTGCTGCCATGTAGGATCTTGGTCAGGCCTAAAGTAAGGAAACATGAATTCGAAAGAGTTCGGCACACGCATCGTAGCCGAATCAAAGGCTCTCTGCCCTGCATCCGGCGTTCGGATGTGATTAGGGACGAACGGCGAGGGGGGGTAAGAAAGCGGAGGGCCCCACGATGTAGCAGTTGACGGGGTAGCAGGGCGACTCCAACCACCACGTTCACCAAGATCGAGGGACGGCGCTTGGGAAACTCTATCAAGAGATGCAGGAGATGCAGGCCATGAAGATGGACCCCACGACGTCGCAGTGACTGGTGTCGTAGATCGACTGAGTGTCATTCTATGCGCAAGATCTACAGAAGGAGGGCGAGAAACGCTCAGGGGGGATGCGGGATATTCGAGGGGAGCACCCCAACTTGTCGCAGTTGAGGGTGTGGGCGGCGCATCATCTAGCATCCTAAGACCGATGTCAGGAGAGGGGTATCGAGACGCATAAGACACGAGGGAGACGAGGTCATCGTCGGGGCCGAAAGAAGTTGCCGTCGAAGGGCTCAGCAGAACAGATCCTTCCAACCGGCGATCAAGATGTACGGATGGAACACGGTCCCAAGACAATGGTGATTCGAGGTTATCATAATCTGTAGGCCCAGGAGAGGATACCGACCATGTGAAATCATCTAAGTTGAGGGCTTCTTCGCCCTCCTCGACGGGCAAAGGAGAATCCTTCAGGACGATGTCATTTGGCATGTGAACAGGGTCAAGGCTGATCTGACCCGTAGCACCCAATGGTGTCGGTGCGACGGATGAGCTCGCACGCCAGGTCTTGACACGCGACTCTAAATCTTTGGTAGCGGTCTTAGGTTCTTCTTCCTGCATGATAGGCGCCAAAGGACGCGGCGTCTCTATAAAATCATCATTTCTTGCCGTCTGATTGGCCTGATTAGAAGCAGGGGAAGCCGCATCAAACCGATCTAATAGGGAAAGCTTCCTCGGGACGTGACGACTGGGCATTTGGTTCCTCGAAGGAGGCATGAAAACGGACTCCGACTGCTCCTCAGTCAGCTGATCCTCTTGAAACGTAGTTTTGCTGTCTCCTCTCCAATGAGACGTCGATGGTGCTGCAGAGACCGGAAAATCCATCGCATATCTCCGAGAAGAAGCTACCCATGCATCGTACCAACGGGCCTTATGGAAGTCGATGTCGAACTCGACACGACCACAGACCGGCAATTGCTGAAGCTGGAGGCTTGGAGACCGCGCATCAAAGAGATGGCCCCAAAGGATAGGCCAAGTCTCGTCAGAGATGCGAGGCGATGCAGCAAGTCCGTTTTCAGCCATGTGCAGGTAGAGGCATAGACCGGTCGTACTGGGAAAATTGAATTCACGGGCGATCACTGTGAGCTGGCCGTACATCTTCCGCAAAATGCGAGATAAGGTACTATATTATATACATCCAAGAAGAAACATACCGTCGGAAAGAGGGGCATCAAGGTCCCTTGAGGCAAGCGATCAGGAGGACCAGAGGCCAAAGTATGGCCGAGGTTGCCATGAGCTTTGGACAAGGAAGGAGGAGGGACTACGACGATTAACCACTTCGTTTGTCCGGAGCTGCTACGTTCACGGTTATCACGAAGGCCAGTGTTGCGATAGGAAAGCGTAGACACTCGACGCATTCGACTGACGTGAGCGTCATGCGCCAGGTTAGTCTGTAGAGACAAGGGATCAGCCTCCGTAGTCGCAGGAGGAACGATTCCCTGTGGATGAGTGAAGCCTGTAAACTCTGGTTCTGTGTCAGGAGGAGTGGGCAATTGAGAAGGGCGAGGGAAGTCGTAGGGAGATGGTTTGTGGAACGGAGAGGAGGTGAGGTGAGACATGATGCAGGTCTAGAGAGATAGAGACTGTTCGTGAAAGAATGGATGCAAGGAGATGCTGTCTAGCAGCAGAGCGATACGTGGGGACTGCGAGTCCTTGGAAAGCCAGGGACAGAGGCAAAGGTGTGGGAGAACGACTGACAAACCGTACGGTAGGGCTGTCATAGGACGTGGTGCTGTGAGTTGACCGCTTGGAACAAATGATAGATCATCAAGACTGACATGAACAGGATCGCCTGGGAAACCGAGATGCAACAGAGTAGAAAGGCCTGCCTTCTGAATGTTCTCAAAGGAAGTGTGCAGGGACGAACGTCCGTTTCTTTTACCAACGACGCCAACGACGCCAACGACGACTCGGAAGCGGCAGCAAATGTCGAGGGCTGGCCGGGGCTGCAGTGGCTGGGACTCGGCTGGGCTATGGCAACGACGTCGGGGTTAGGGTTAGGGGCGAGCCAGCCGGGCGGGTCTGAAGTATAGGCACGCGGAAAGGAGAGACCCCGTAAGTACGCGCCGGCTGCACGCGGACATGTAACTCGATGTTCTTTGGAGACAGTGGCTCCACGGCCATCGACGCCGACGAAGCCTTCACCAGCACCATAACCATCAGGCTGCATTGAGCCTGCCTCTCCTTTCATTTCTTCTCGTCACTCTCTCTTCATGTTTTCTTTATTACTTCTCCCTTTGTTGGCCGCCCCATGTCTCGCAGCCTCTGCATCAGACTGGCAAAAGCGCACAATCTACCAAGTCAGCCATCAAAACTTCACCGCTCCCATATTCTGACATCTCTCTTAGGTGATGACCGATAGGTTTGCTACATCTGATGGCTCAGGCCCAACGTGCAACACCGACGACAAAAAGTACTGCGGCGGTACTTGGAAGGGTATAACGAACCACCTCGATTACATACAGAACATGGGATTCGACGCCATTTGGATCTCTCCAATTGTCGCCAATGTTCAGGGCACCACTGCGTACGGCGAAGCTTTCCATGGCTATTGGCCCGTGGATATCTTTGACATAAATAGCCACTACGGCACCGCCGATGATCTCAAGTCGCTCTCGTCTGCCCTCCACAAACGTAGCATGTATCTTATGCTCGACGTCGTTGTGAACCATCTTGTCAGCAACTCTAACCCACCCCAGTTCACGAACGACTTCAAGCCGTTCAACGCCCAGTCCGATTTCCACCCGGAGTGCTTCATAACCGATTACAACAATCAGACCAATGTCGAGCAATGCTGGCTGGGGGATGAGAAACTGGTCCTCGCAGACGTTGATACGGAAGACTCGACGATTGTCACGACGTTGAATGGTTGGATCAAAGATTTGGTCGGTAACTATTCCGCGGACGGTATTCGGATCGACACCGTCAAACACGTTCGTAAGGACTTTTGGCCCGACTTCGCCTCCTCGGCAGGCGTGTTTACCATCGGCGAGGTCCTGTCTAATGAGACATCCTACACCAAGGACTATACCCGTACGTCTTACAATTTATTCGCCTCCCCCTTCTCAAACGTTCCTACTGCTCATTCTTGTACAGAGGTCCTCGATTCCGTCCTCGATTACCCTACGTGGTATCCCCTTGTCGCCGGTTTCCAGACGACAAACGGCGATCTCACTAAGCTCGCGAACAGCGTCCAACTGACTCAGTCTGCATACAAGAACGGCGCGTTCGGGTCCGGCTCTTTCCTTGATAATCACGACCAGCCTCGATTCGCTGGCTTGGTTGCCAACGCGGACTCCGCGCTTATCAAGAATGCGATGGCCTTCCCTTTCATACATGACGGTATTCCGATCGTGTATCAAGGTAAGTCGTGGATCTTCTATTTTCACTTTCGGATACCGCCGTCAATATGGGCCTTACTGATACTGATGCGCTGCTGACAGGGCAGGAACAAGGCTATACTGGCGGAGCGGATCCTGCGAACCGCGAAGCGTGAGTGATCATATTTTTTCGCCGATACGTTACAATAAAAAACTAATTTCTATTTCTCTCTTCCTATGCAGGCTCTGGCTTTCTGGATACGTAGAGGATAAGGACTACGTCAACCATATCAAGGCCCTTAGCGCTGCCCGCAAAGCGGCGGCGTCTACCAACGATAAGTTCTACTCCACCAAGGTACAATCGCTCCTCTTCCTACCTCTTCCCGCACCCAACCTTCTTTGTTCTCGCCTTAGATGACCTTTCCGACAAACACGACTACATCCCTCGCCATTAGCAAGTCACCTATGCTTGCCCTCCTCACCAACGTCGGCTCCAAAGCAGCCACGACGTCCTGGTCAGTTTCGGACACCGGATATGCAGGAAACACGGAACTCGTGGACGTGTTGAGCTGTGCCACAGTCACGACGGACAGCAGCGGCAAGGTCACGGCCAGCTCTCAAAATGGCCAGCCCATGGTGAGTATTGATGTTGGTTACTCGGATGTAAATTAGTAGGCAATGCTGACTGGATGCCATCTATCGCTCTTAGGTGTTCATTCCGAAGAGTGCGCTCAGCAAGAGCGCGGGCGTCTGCTCTAGTGTAGCCACTGGTGCCGCATCTCTTGGCCGAGGCGTGTCATACTCGCTCGTTGCTGGCATTGCGCTTTCATGGGCGTTTCTGTTCTAATCCATTCTCTTCGACGCTTCCAAATTAGCATCCAGACTAGAAGAAGTACTCCCAAATCTTCCCCATCTCCTGATGATCACACAACACACACATCACTAGAGCAAAGCGATAGAATGCATCACGGAGACATTCCCAGGCTAGCATACTTTCTACATATTTTTTCTTAATCCTTCATCGATGTTGCGGATATTGACTCCTGGGAGCATTAATATAACATTCGGACACACTATCTGCTACGAGTTATACATTCACGGACCCTTACACTCTCATTCACGTATAGAATCGAGCTATTCGTTTTGTCAGTTTACAGAACAAAACCCGCAGGTCCGCCTCGCCCAGGCAAATGCGTCACTAATCACATGATAGGGTGAGGTGCGCGTGCTCTTCGAGCCTTCTCAAGCTGTGGCTGACATCGAGGAGCTGCACTTTCATATCCATGGACCAGAAATTTGCGAAATTCGATGCCCTCAACCAGAAGGACAAAGGCGCTGCCTATCTTTCGCTCCTGTCCGATGTATTTACCACGTCAAATGGCCCTCAACTCATTCAGGATATACATATACTCGTCGACCATGTCGTGAATCAGGACAATGCCGGTTTCATTGTCGGGAGACAAGTCCTGTCCGAGCTTGTGAAGATTCTGAATGAGGGCGGCGTCTCTACTTTAAATCTAGATCTGCGAAAGCAGATCGTAGAGGATATCCTGGCCACGGTCCAACCGCGCTTGACGAGCTACGAGGAACAAGTGAGTGCTCAATCGTAACGCCACACACCCAGACTTGAACTCGAAGATGATGCCATAGGTTAATCTCCTCAGATTCCACCTCGCCGACATTCTTGAGCATGAGGAAGATTGGTCTGAAGCCGCGCGTGTTCTGATGGGAATCACCCTCGAGGCGAGTCAGCGGTAAGTGTCTCGCATATCCCATTTCCCTTGAGTTTCAATCTCCATCGCAGTACGACAGATGAAGATAAGCTGCGCGTCTACATACGTATCGTTCGGCTTCTGCTCGAGGAAGAAGACTCCGTTCAGGCCGACAGTTACTACAATCGTGCCGCTTCTCTCATTCATTCTACAAGCGACAAGGTCACCTTGCTTGCTTTCAAACTCTGTCAAGCGAGGATCAGCGACTATGGCAGAAAGTTTCTTGAAGCCGCCGGACGTTATCACGAACTCAGCTTTGTAGGTGAGATCGATGAGGACGAACGGAGCCATATGTTGCAAGTATCTATTCCTCGGCACTGATTGCGAATTGCTCTGACCACGTCTTCAGATCTGCAGCTGTCACATGCGCCGTCCTCGCACCAGCAGGACCAAATCGCTCCCGCATACTTGCATCCCTATATCGCGATGAGAGAACGGCCGAACTTCCCACCTTCAACATCCTCTCCAAAATGTTCCTCGACCATATCCTCCGCCCAGCAGAGGTAAAGGAGTTCGAGAAGATCCTCAAACCCCATCAACTCGCCAAAATTGCCCTTTCCACCAATGATCGGCTTGCTTCAGCTATCCAGGGAGATGATGAGCTTTCTGGTGATAACGTCAGCGCCCGCACTGGTCCAGCTACAGTCCTTGATCGCGCTGTCATGGAGCATAACGTGCTCGCCAGCTCCAAAATTTATAATAACATAACTTTCCGGGGGTTGGGTGCGCTATTAGACTTGACTCCTGGTGCAGCTGAGACGATGGCGCGGAAGATGATCGAGCAGGGTCGGCTGAAAGGACATATCGACCAAGTGGAGAAGCTGATCTGGTTTGAAGCGGCCAAGGAGGAAGATGATGCGCAAGGTAAGGCTGGCGGGTTAGGAGACGTGAATCAGGACACGGAGGACACGGGCGCACTCTTCACGAAGCGATGGGACCTGCAGATCCGTCTGACAGCAGCCAGTGTGAGTGCAGGTACATTCGTGATGCTCGTCGACTTATAGATCATCGTAACAGGTCGAGACTATGGTACAACACTTATCAGAGAAGGGCTTAGTAGGACTAGCGCTCACGACGAACGCGTGATCGTATAATTGTCAACAGTAGGTCTACCTCCCATTGTATTCCACTATTGTAATCCGTAGTCAACTGGACCAGTGAATGAGAAGTGATAGAGGCTACTCGCATCAATTTACTCGGGTTGGACAGGTGCCAAGATTTCATGGACAATCAACATGTCCACGAACATGGAAACCGTGTTCATATCACAGATGCGACTCCCACATCCGCCAACCGCTATTACACGGACCGATGGCAACGTCGACGTGTGTGTGATATGGCAGATATACTGGTTCCACGAGCGTACAGCATCCAGTAAGATCTCCGATGATAGTCGTACAGTACAGCTGAGTCTCCCGGCCTAGTTTTAGAACAGCGATGAAGGTGCTACTCAGTCATAGTGCGCGAGAGCCCAACCGTGCCATCGTGTCCTCGCTGTTTTCTTGCTCTTCGACCGAGTCGGATTGGGTCACCTGCGAAGGATAATTGAATGGTATCCCTTGACATTTCAAGTAGACACGCACCACGCGTAGAACAGATTTCTTTGATGACTCTTGTAGTTCTCCGGAAATGATGAGCTCGTCTAGGATCTGTTGATACCCGCAGTAAGCATACACTAATGAACCGACGATTGAGTAAGGGATATCACATACAGCATAGGCTTTCTGGAAGTTGAAGATCCTAAGGGCAGTCAGCCAACATAGCGCAGAGGCAGGGTTCGACTACACGACTCACAAATCCAGCTCACACACCTTGTCCGGAATATCAGTATCCGATATAAGTGAGGAGGACAGCTCACTTACGTTCCCAAAGTATCGATCCAGGACTTCAACATAACGGTGTATAATCTCGAGCGTAATGAGCTCATTATCCATTTGCCCAATACCGCACACGAAGAACAGTGAGGCGTATCGGCGGTAGACGACCTTCGTGTCTACACCCCGTTAGCAGAATGACGCACGGGTCTCCAACCATGGACGCACCCTTGTACTCCAGGAAGTTGCACATGCGAGTCCTCCGTGCAAGAACGAGCTGCGTTACATCTTTGACAATCTTTGCCTTCGCTTTTGGCTGCATCGTCGTGAACCATTTTGCAAGGCGTACTTTGCCTACGGGTGAGCCAAGGCGGAGTGAGACACACGGTGCGCCCGACAGTACGATTAGCAGCAAACCTTGGCGAGAAACAAGCAGGATATAGTTGATCATAACGGCGTGTCGAAGGAGATGCGGCGGGTGTATTGGGGTCGTGTCCAAGTCATGCAAGTGTGAGGATCGAGGTGCCAATGCGTAATGGCAAGCAGTGCCCGATAGTGCCCGATGGATCGTCTTAGAATGGCGAAGATTTCAGATCATCCTTCATTTTTTTGAGAAATCTTATGGGGCTAGACTATCTCGTCAAGATGCAGTCGGTAAATAATGGATATCAGACGTATTCGTACACCCGATTAATTCTCCAACCAACCCACGCTCCGAAACCTGCTACAGGGGACGTAAACAAACAAGAACACAAGGCCGACACGCAAAACAAGCAAAAAGCACCACCATACCACGCTCACAATCCGACTTTGTCCCATACATGTATCGTACACAAAGATTCTAGAACGGAGCATTGACTATACCGGAGTGGCTACGTGAGCTCCTCCTTTCGGGTGCAAGGGATGTGCGAGTGGGACGCTTCAAGCTTTTCTTATTTACTGACAGGACGTCGTTCTGGAGCGCAACGATCTGAAACACGCCCGTGTAAGCCTTGATTGAGACGAAGGCACAGATGTCGAACGCACGATATCCTTGTCATTGCCAAATCTGAAGTTGTCTTGCACGACAAGATCCTCATATCTGCGGAGATTATGATAGCGTGAGCGCACTGATGATTGAGCACGAAAAGATATACTCACTTCTTGATTTCATACTTGTCCATTTGGCCTTTTTTGACTTTAGCGAAGTCCCATGCAATGACATATTGACCGGTGGACGTCACAATGGAATTCTCATCCTGATCTTGACCCACATTGAATCTAAAGGGGCGATTTAAATCAGGTGCAGCAAAAATCCCTTCGTACTTACCTAGCAGGAGAGAACGAGATGTTATGGTTCATATAAGCAACATGCTCAGCCCGTAACTGCAGGCGCCTGGGCTGAGGCTTTGCGTCAGCGGGGAAGCTCCTATCGAAACCTAAGCTCCCTGCGTATTTTCCTTGCCCAATGAGTGTGTCGATCAACAACAAATAGGTCTTTGTAGTCGCGACAATCCATCTGCCATCTGCGGTCACATCGACGCCGATGATGGGGTCACCCAGAGGATGCAGCGCCGTCTTCGCATTCTTGCCAATTGAGTCAAACAACCGAATATCACCCTTCTCACTCGCCACCGCCAGCTTCCCAGAGGCAGTGGTGGTGACACCGGAGAACTTGTTTTTCGAGACGTACTGCTTGAACTGGCTGTCCACCATCTTGTTACCCGAGATTCGAGGATCTATACGGAAAAGAGCATTGTGTGAGGCACCGATGAGAGTTTGCTCTGGCGTCGTCTGGGCAAACTTGTTCTCAGGTGCTATGTGATTAACCTGGACGTCATCGTGAACTTTCCATTCCTCCACGATCTTGCCGCGCTCTATGTCCAAATTGTACAGAGAGTTGTGGTTGCGAGGATTCATGATGACCATCTTGGAATCTTGGTCATGTAACATGACCTGACAGGACGGACTCAGTAAATCAGTCGGTAGCCAAAGATCGTGATCTTACATTCTTGGGAGAAAATTCTTTGCCCTTCATGTCCGCAACTTTGCTGATTGTGGCATAATACTTCACGTTGTCGTTCGTATGACGGAAGACACCAATGTTGTTACCACGGACGACGTAGGATCGATCACCCTTGTAGCCAACCGTCAGCTGAGAGTTTCGTCCTTCTAATGTAGCTGGCATGTGGTCTTCGTCCTCCGATGCATGTTCCTCCTCTTCACTGTCACTCTTCTCTGTTCGATGGTGAGTACATTGACTCGCATGGATATTGCGACCGGCGCACCTTCTAGCTCTTCCAAAACGGCCTCTTCTTCATCTTCTTCGGCTACAGCATCACTCATCTCCACATCTTCCACATTCGCGCTCAGCACGTAAGCACGTTCATCGCTCTGCAAAGCACTTCAGCCAAAGTTCCTGATAAATCTGATCTATCATACCTTGGCTTTTTCCCATGCCGTTTGATGCAAGCTCTCCCAAAGCCTCTTTGTGAATTCGAGCTGGAATTCTTCAAAAGCGTCGTGGGAACTGAACCGGAGGCACCAGCTGCTCTGCGTTCCACTCTCGCTCATATGGTTCCAAGTCAGCGACCAAGTGGGAGGCGACCAACGCTGCATCATGTCTGACGATATTCGGTGAACCAACACCTGCCCTGCCTCGTCTGACGCAGTCAGCCAATAGTCGAATTTCCCGCTAGCACGTTTCACAATCTTCGCGTGTACATCGCCTTGTCGAACAAAGTACTGGTTTCCGTGATCCCAATAAAATAGTTCAGCGGGTTGATCGGCTACATCCGTGAACGATGTATCAGGGTCAGGTGAGGCTTGGGTAGACGTGGGGCTAGCAATTGTTTCAGGAGCCTTTGAGGTAGAAGTGGTGGATAGCGACTCCAGATCGCGAGTGAGAGACTGTTCATCCTTGGAAGACGTTTTTTTCTTGCTCGAGCCCTTACGTTTGGCCTTAGGCGAGGGTGGCCTGCAAACGAGACAAACTTAGTACGAAAGACTCGATGAGAAGAGGTACCAAAACGGACTGCCAGATGAATTGGGCCAGATCCGTATCTTGAGTTGCATCGGCGCTCATCCTATACTTTCTCTCATACATGGCACGATACATGCACGTCTCAAAGAACGCGCGCGTAGGTCCATTTGTCCCAGAGGCCACGAACTCATAAAACTCGTCGACGTCCCCTTGAAGGTCTCTCCAGACGAATGTTGGCTCTCCCTCAGTCTCTCCGGTACGGAACTCTAGCTCCTCGCTTATGAGGAACACGCGTTCTTCATCGGCTAGCAGCAGAGGTTAGGAGTCTCGCGGCCTCGCAGCCACACATACACGACTCACTTTCGTCCTCGTCTTCCAGAAGTTCTTGGTCTCCATCCTCGTAGACTCGAGTCACAACTAGCTGGAAGTTGTGTTCAAACGAAGGCACTCGACGAATGGTAGCCATCGCATCATTATAACTAGATTGAGGGGTGAGGTGATGAGACCGCAGATGCAATGTGCCATAGACATACATACATGCATTCTCGAGATGACCGGATATTGCCAGGTCGAAGAAGAAATAGTTGACCAGTGGATATTTTCACGACTTCCGCCGCGTTAGGGTCATCTATGATACACATAAATCAAATGCGCCCCAGCATTGCTGCAGACCCACTTACGCCAAACCTTTCCAATCACTGCGTGGGTGAGAAATTCAAAAAATTCGATTAATCACAAAATTTTTGATTGAGGTGGAGGTCTTACAGCTACGAAAGATGTTCATGGTAGTTGAAAGAGGTAGCAAACCAAGGAGACTCCTCAAAGACGGCGCGGTGTGATGGAAATGACGCGTGACATCACGGCTGCATCACGTCTGCACGTGCCTCTTGACAGAAACTTTCGGAGGCTTCCGAGGCTGCTATTCCGCGCCCACAACGTCAATCAATCAGAATGGCTTCACCGCGCTCGAGCAACCGTCCAGAATCGCCGACAGGCGAGTATGCATCCTGCTCGCTGCGAATAAGTTGGTATCTGAGGGCCTGTTGTTGACTCTTCGATTTGTCATATGCGCTGCAGGCTCTACCTTGAGCAGCGCCAGCCTTAGTGCGGAACATACGCCTCTTGGCAGCGAAAGCCCCCTTTCGGCCTCTCTACGTCACCGCCAACCAGTTCCTGTGCGGATAACAGGAGAGGTACGAACTTTGCCTCGCCATCGTTACTATATCCGACTTGATTCCGCCACAGTATACCACGGATTCGATAATGAATTCGCCAACTCCGACTTTCCCTGCGTTTACCACGAACTCGACTTTTGGAGAGCGCTTGGTTGGCCGGACCGCTGGCCCATCACGCTTGTCGGCACCCACTCATAAACTTACTATCCGCGCAGACCCCACGATGGTCACATGCTTTGACCCTGCAGACAAGGAGCTCTATAATTTGTGGGTGCCCCGCTCCTGAATCGTCTGTACGCAGTACTACGCACGGTATGGATACTTTGGCAGGCGTTTCAAGAAGAGAGCGTGGCAGTGTCTTTGAGCTACCCTATTGAGTCGGTGAAATCCCCCGCATCGGGAACTTTGATCGGTGCCGGGTGCAGATGCTGCGCCACGAATCGCATTTTTACTGATCATTCCCATGAGACAGAATGTAGCGCCAGCTGATAAGTTCATTGGTCTCATATTTTTGCTCATCGAGAGTTTTCGAATATGGCTAACTTTCAAGCTTTTGAAGCTTGACGGATGGTCACATTTCAGTGCTGTAGCATCGCATCAATTACCTTCCAAGTCGATGTCTTCGTTTTCCGACACGAATACGACGCATTGGGTTTTTCGATGACGGTAAGTAGGCACGTCCCAGCGGGTACAAGCATATTAATCAGCATACCTCACTCGGCTATCCCGGAGTGGTATGATCGTCTTATAAGGCGTGGAGTCTGCAACAATGTTTCGACCACGTTCCGTCTTTCGGTGTTCTCTCAACGCATACCTTAGCCTCCATGGTCCCTCCCATCGCTCGAAAGGTCCATGCAGCGATAATATTTAGCGTATTTTCCATCATCCTGACGGCAACGCCTGCACTGGGCAAAGGTTCTTCGGTGCCTTGCCCCGCAGACCCATTTGCAGATCCTGCCCATGATCCGTGCAACGGTCTTCGCGGCATTGCGTCGAACACGCTCACTGCCGTAGCATTCAGTCTGTCCTTTTTTTCTCTTTCTACTATGCGCTTGAAGTTTAACGTGGGTCCTACTTTTGGCCGATAGCTTTGATCATGGTCTCTGCGCTCGTGCAAAGCCTGAGCATGCTCAAATGGGGAGCGTGGTGGATGCTTTGCCTGGTCATCGGCGAATACAGTACGTATCCTCTCTCGCCTCGGAACATCGTCGGTGGGGGGATCACAAGACTGATTTTTTACCTAGCTTTCGCGTTGGGTATCGGTATGCGATTTGGACTGCACTCCCATCCCGACTCTAAAGGCATCTACATCGCGGAATATCTCTTCGTCGTGTTGTCCGTGCGTAATTTCCCAGCTAGTCCAAGAAAATCTATTCATAGTGTTCGTTCAGCCGTGTGCTTTCATTGCTGCGGATTACATCTTGCTCGGGCGGCTAGCGAGGTTCCTGCGCTGTGAGAAACATCTATTAGTCCCAGCGCACCGTATCACCGCGATATTCCTATCATCCGACGTCACGACGTTCTTGATCCAGGTAAGCTCCACGGCGTCTACCCGTGTCCGCTACGACTGATCGCATCGTTCACAGGCCGCAGGCGGTGGAGTGTCGATAGGTTCCACCACAGCTCAGGGTGCCCAGACCGGATCAAACGTGCGTTTTCCTGTTCATACGTCCTTCGTTGACCGTTGATTTTTCAGTCGGCACCGTTGGCAGATTTTCCTCGCCGGGCTTGCCATCCAGCTGCTGTCATTCCTGATCTTTACATGCACGCTCCTTGTCTTCCTATACAGAGTACATAAACACGAACAACAGACCTGGACGATACATCGAGGACAGCATTGGTACACTGATTGGAGAAGCCTAGCCGTTGCCCTCCTTGTCAGCTGCGTCGGCATCTTGGTGAGGCGATGCGCCCAGCGTATGATATCAGAAGAAGTTGCATCTCTGACACCGCCTCACAGATCCGCTCTGTCTACCGCACGATCGAGCTATCGCAGGGTTTCGAAGGGCCCATCGCCACGAACGAGGGCTTCTTCTATGGGCTCGACACACTCCCGCTGTTCGTCGCTGTCGTCGTGTACTGCCCGTTCTGGCCAGGCCGATTCATTCCTCCGTCACCCAGTTTCTCGATAAGCAATATGGAAGCCGCGCCAGAGAAGTCGATGGCGTCGCAAGAGAGCGATGGGCGTGCCTAGATGGATCTGTTATTTTATAGCAGGAGGAGTATGTATTGATGTGCACGGTATGCGGCACGTAGACTTTGGACAGCCATTCGATGATCATAAAATTATTTCATTGCTGCTTACAGTGACCGTGAAATAGTGCGGCCAGTCCTGTACCACGTTAGTATGAGCGATTCTATCGGCACCCGAAGCGCTGAAGGTTTTCATGGGTAGTCGACAGACAGAGACATCAGAATCAAGGGTCTGGGAAGTCGATGATTTTGGAAGCCTGCATTGCTGCATTGCAAATAGTGTGTGGCGGGAACTGCGCTGTCTGCCCCAGCTGCAAATCCCTGAGAAGGACGGAGAAGAATGCGGGAATTAAGCGTCGGTCAATTTCGATAGAACGGCGCGCAACCACACACACCGAATATCGAATTAATGTGTTAAGATCATAGACCACCCAAAAAGGCAGCCAAGCCAGTGGTTCCCGCACCCCCTGCCTTCTCCTTTGCTTGTCTTTCTTTATTTTTGGCCAACATTTCCTGCAAGCCAGCCTTCTTTTTTGGGCGAGACTTTTTTGATGCGCGAGGCTGTGAGCTGAGGGGCGTGGGTGTGGGCGCGGGGGAGGGAGATTGGGGTTGAGGGACGGTCATAGATGACGAGGCTCTGGAGCGGCCGTTCGGCGGATCTCCAGGTTGAAGGGGATCGTGTTTGGGGGGGTGAGGCATGGCGGGGGGATCGATGGCTCTGATGGAGACCTTGGGCTCTGAGACGTGCCCTCGAACACGGGCGAACAAAGATGCGTTTCCGGCCGAAATGGGGACACGAGTTAGATGGCCACAAGAGTGACAGATGTGTTGAATGGAACGCGCGAGGGCGTTGGTCTTGAGTCGCGATCGAGGGTGTTTCATGCGGGTCATGCGAACGGTTCCCGCACCGTCGAGGAGGAAGCGGCCGCACTTGGGGCAATTTGAGGGGGATAGAGGGGGGTGATCCGGGTGGAGCAGACGCACTCTGGCCGCATGGCAGGCTGCAATGGACGGAGAGGCGGACTGGAGTGTGAACGGGAGCGCGAGCTGGAACTCGGTCGTGGCAGCGAGTTCCGGCGAGGCCATGCCTGGCGAGGATGACGTGACGCGTTGGCCGAAGAAGGCAAGGCTTGTTGCGTTTGTTGTTCACGAGCCGGGCCACTATTGTTCTGTGTGCCCGGCCATGGCCTTCATAAACCACCGCCAGACCCCGCTGTCCCTCCCATCTCAGCCGCCGCAATCGTTCCAAGCGACCCACACGCTTTTGCAGCATGCTCGCCACGCAGCGCTCCCACTCCTCTCGCCATGCCCCCATCTCTTATCCCCTCTCTCCGCAGAACTCTCCCCCACAGGGCCTTGATTCGCACTCCCCCATGTCCGCAAAGACCACCACTCGCCATCCGCGCAGACCATCTCTCTCCAGCCCCATGTCCTGGCTAAGCCGCAACTCGTCCTCGGCCTCGCAGCATGCACCGTACACACCTGCTGCGAAGCCTGTCCGCATATCCGAGCCCAAGCTCTCCAAGACCGTCGACAGTCTCGCTCATATTCGTAACCGCTCACTGGGTACCGGCGCGGTCGTCGTGCGGACACCACAAGAGGCTTTGGCTGGCTCCGGCGTCACCGTAGACGTCGCGTCGGATCCAGAACTGCAGGAGCAGGACTCGGAGGATAGCGATATTCCTGAAGAAGAAGAGGAGGAGGCTGAATCCAACGTTGTGCACCTCAACTCGCCTCCCTCGAGCCCGTCGTTGCCCCCTCTCCCGATATCGAAGAGTTCCCCGACACTCCCGCTGAGGGAATCCCCCACTCAACCAGCAAAACCGAGCCGTCCACCGCCGCCCGCTCCCGCTTCGACGGACTCCTCACCGCGCTCTTCCCTCAAGCACAGATCCCCATCCCCAATCCCTTCGTTCTTCCCTGGCGTCCCGCCTCTTCCCGCCCATCTTGCCCTTCCGCCGCCACCGCCGCCACCGCCATTCGATTGTATACTCCTCTCCTCAGTTCCCACCAACGCCATCGACATGTCAAAGATGATCGTCACGTTGGAGACTTGCACCGCAACCCACCGCACGACCCTGACGACTCTCACGTCCCGCCCGTCGCATCTGGCGAACTACCTCAAGTCGCTCTTCAGATCGTACCGCGACTCTGCGGCCTCGCTGCAGTCGCAAACCAGCGAATACGCCAGCTCGCCAGACACAGCATTCAATTCAATTTTCCATCAGCATCTGGCCTCATCTGGACTGCTGCCGCAATCCGCGACCAACGTCCACCTGTTCCTCGATCGCCCCAGCGCTCCGTACGTCATTCTGTTTCCATAGCCGATGTGTGCCTCACTCTGACCTTTTCCGCTCTCACAGATACGATCACATCTTGACGTACCTCCGCTCTCCTCCCGCCACGATCGACCACGTCCCCGCTCTCCCCCACGCCGTCCAGCTGCACACAATCACCACCCCGCGTATCGAGGCGCTCGTCGCCCTCCGGGACGAGGCGCGGTACCTCGGCCTGGACGACCTCCACAAGCTCTGCGTCGACGAGCTGCGCACCCGCCCGGCGACGCGCATTCGCGGCGGGTCCATCCGCAGCACGCACACCGTGCGCGACCAGCTCTCGCCGCGCAGCTCCCACGAAAGCGCGCGCGACACCGGCAGCCCGTCGCGCAGCGGCGGCGGCGGCGGCGCGATCGACGCTCGGCGGACGAGCCCGAGCGACCTCGCCGCGGCGCTGCACCATCGCCTCGCAGGTCGAGAGCAGGGCGGCGAGTTGAAGAGGGAAGGCTCCGTCGCACATTCTGCGCGCTCGCGTCCGGTCGGCAATTGGGTGTAGTCGGCCTGTTCTGCACAGTATATTGGTTCTTGTTTTTTTTTTTGCCGAGTCTTGATAGTCTTCGGCATGTTGTGTCATCCTCTTCGATCCTTCTCATTGGTCTGCCTCGTTTGCGTTGATCCCCCGCTCTTTTGTATCGCTATTATAGTTCCTTATGGTTGTATCTAGTGTCGCTCCTTCCATGTCGGCGCTGTAGCCTACCGATTCACAAATATATTCGCTCCCTAGAACAGAGGGCGTGTGTTCGTATACTCATTTGTACTGCAGACGCTGAGATACTCACTCTGGACAAAGATTTTACCAAACCTTGACGCGGGCACAACGCAAGTCTCATGACCCAGATGATTTGGAAAAGGAGAACGTCAAAGTTATTTTACGAACGAAATACCTACAGTTTACAAGTACAGCCTCGTTTTCGTCCAGCACATGCCAACGAGGCAAAGAGAACACAAAACAGACAAACGGAAGGAGCACCTGACAACAGCGTGTTCGATAAGAATCCCAGACATGTCGTGAAAGGAAAGAAAGAGAAAGCGGAGGGATGAAGAGAGACACAAGCGGGCGACACATTTGAGCGTGCATGGTGGCGAAACTAAAAGTACAGATAATACCGAATCCCAAAGTCGTTGGAGACGAGGTGAAGACAAAGGTGCCATCACTGCTTCTGCGCCTTCTCTTGAGAGTAGGGGTTCACGCTGTAGACCTTGATCACAGGCGGACTCTTCGTCAGGTCCGCCGTGACAATCACCTGAGATGCACGATAAGCGAAGGGTCGATTTTAGCTAAATAAGAGCAGAACTCACGGGGACGGTCATGAGCTCCCTGATTTCTTGGATCTTGTGGCCGGAGGTCGTTGTCTTCAAGCCCTCAAACTCTGGCATAACCTTCGCCATGGACAACAAGCGTTGCTTGGACGTCTCGTTCTTGACGTCAATGTCCTTGTCATCGCGGCCCAACACGATCTCATCATCGCCATCATCTTCATCGAAGAGAGCTTTCTCGTCGTGAAGTGAGCGCGAGGCTACCTCCATCTTCACGGCGTGCTGTTCAGCGTTTTGCTTGACCTTCTTGAGATGCTCATCGTCGCTGTTTTCCGCAAGCCAATTGATGACGTCGCGATCGGACCAATAAATCTGGAGTGTGTGTGCGTGCTCGTCATAGACGTGATTCTGCGCTATTCATGAGTGATTGTAAGCTCAACTTGAAAAAACAAACTCACGTCGATGGGCATCTGGTCAACATGGACCCTCTTTTCGATGCCAAATTCGGGGACGAGGACATCGAAAGCGGCGTCGAGAACAGCGACTACCTTAGCTTGGCGCACGACAGGCCCATATCGAGAAGTCAAATCCGAGATCAACACGCATAGATGAAGGTGCGCAGACTGCTCTTGGGCGAGCTGAGCAGAGTCCCGTTTGCTGAAAACGAGATCAGGGACGTCAAAAATTGGGTACGTCTATTGGCTCACATATTGCATTGCTGAGTGACCTTGGCAACAGCATCTCGGTCCATGGCGAATTTGCTTTCAGCTGGGAAATATCAGACACGGCAGAATATGAGACGTGACCTGCTACGAACCGGTGCCTTGTAGAACATGTTCAAGCTGACGGTGGACTAAGACATCCGCATAGCGACGAATGGGAGACGTAAAATGAGTGTACAATGGCACGTTCAAGGCGTAGTGATGATATTTCGCAATATCAAGCATGCCGGCACAGAAGTACCTCGCCCGGTGAGTGGCCTTGAAGACCAGCAACTCCAAAAGTTTGCGAGCGGTAGGATCCTCGATAGCATTGAAGGAACGCATGATGGCACCTGATGAAGACGTGTCGAGATTGTATCCCAAACGTTGAGCCCGTTCCGCCAACATGTTCTGAACGACTGATGAGCCAAGGATTGATGAGACTTGTTGGCGAAGTAACTCACAAGGCGGCGTTCTATGGGAACATCATGGCGGCGAAGGAGCGCCTGCTCAGGGAGATTGACGGCGATCTGCTGAGCGACAGTCACGTTGGTGAGAAGCATGAACTACGAGTGCAAGGTCAACACCAAGATAACATTGAACATAGACCAGCATACCTCCTCAACCAGCTGGTTGGATTCATGACGCTCATAACCCGAACAGTCAACTGGAATGCCAGACTCATCCAAAGTGAAAGACAGGCGAAGAGATTCGTGGCTAAGGGCACCATTCTGGAAGCGACGAGTGCGCAACTCGCTTGCCAAGTCCCACAGAATCTTGATATCGTGCTCGATAGCTGAGGCATTATGTTCCGGGCTGACTGGTACGTCTGACAAGAGTTTGCCGTCGATGACATTCTGAGCATTAGAATACGAAAGCTTCGCAGCCGATCTAGCAAATATGTTCAGTCGTCAAAGATAGAAAAGCCGAACAGGTACAACTCACTTGACAATTGTCTTGCCAAACCATTTCTTGACGACTCGAGCATCCTTGGTCATCGTCAGGATGACAGAGAACGCCAAACGTTCATGTCCAGGTTTCAGGCTGCACAGCTCCTCGCTGAGCGCAGGTGGCAGCATGGAGACAACACGCTGGACAAGGTAAACGCTTGTGGCGCGTTTGCGAGCATCACGGTCCAAGGCCGTGTTGGGTTTGACGAAGTACGATACGTCGGCAATATGGATACCGATGTCATAAGTCCCGTCGTCGTTCGACTTGACAGAAAGAGCGTCATCCAGATCCTTAGCCGTGTCGGGATCGATCGTGAAGATACGCTCATTTCGAAGATCCTTACGAATCTCGAACTCCCTTTCAGGGATCCTGGACGATCAATCAATAACGAAAATTGAGCTATAAGCGAGTGACGTACGACCAGGGAATTGGTGGCAAACACTTGAGGACGCTCTCTGTAAAGTCCTCCGTTGGGAAATTGCAATCTTTCAGTAAAGCACTCGTCTCCACTTCGATATCGCCGATAGGTCCAAGCTCCTCGACCAAGGTCCCAAAGGGATGCAACGAGCTGATAGGCTGTGTTTCCACTCGTTAGATAAAACGTCAAAGGCTCGGAAAATACCACGTACGTGACGCTTGATGCAAGCAACAAATAGCTTGTTGATGTATGAGTCAGAATTTTGAACGAAGTCAGGAGGCGCTTGTTCGGTAGGAATGGCAATAAGCGGGACACGCTTATCGGTAGGCTTGAACCAAACGATCTTGGGGCGGTCAATGGGGCGCCTGGGTTCATCACCACGATCACCCTCGCGTTCGCGACGTTCAGCTTCCTGTTTCTCCTTCGTGGCAGCGGAGGACGGACGCAAGAGACCCAAGGTGCCGGAGAACAACTGGCCGGGCATTCGCTCGACAACGGCCACAACGTGACCAGCAAACTGCGGCTTAACTTCGTCGGTAACTCTAAAGGCAAATGGTCAGAAGAAGTATGCGATCGAAGAAGCGTGTGACATACTCTTCGTCTTCGAAAAGCATAAGGCCTTGGCCTTCGACTTCGACGTCATCCTTCTTCTTGTCATTCTTGCGTCCAGCAGTGCTCTTCATCTCATACGCTGCGTTCTCCTCCTTTTTCCTCTTCTTCTCCTCTTTTTCCTTCTTCGTACCCCACACCTCATCAACGTCAAGTAGTTCCACGGCAACAATGTCGCCCTCGAGGGCACGATTACGGTCCTTTGACCCACATATATAGATGTCAGCATCCAAAACCTCCGTAGAGACATAGGCGTCTGAGCGGTTGCGCTTGTTCACGCGCAAGATACCAACGACTAGTTTACCAGTAGCAAGGAGCGGTGGTAGAGATGCCTGAGGAAGGTAAGGAGCGAAAAGCGACTTGCGTTGGGGCTGATTTGATTGCTGTTGCAATTGAGACTGGAACTGCTGCTGCTGTTGCTGAAGAAGGTTGATACCCCCAAGTCCCAGGCCCATCATATTCGCGGCCATCATGTTGGGTAGCATATTGGGAAAGCTGAAAGATGGGATCTTCTGATGATGTCCTCCTGCGGCTGCACGGAACTGCTGAAGGCTTTGCAATTGAGCTTGAGCCTGGGCAAGGTCTGCGGTGAAAGCATTGTTTTGTTGGATGCCACCGACGCCACCATCTGGAAATCGAAAAAGGCATTAGCAAGATCTCGTAGCCAGCATCCACCAGACTCACTCAGGCGCCAGCTGGAATCCGCCCTGGACGCTTGTCGGGAATGTCCGCCAAATGCAGCAGGAGGAGCAAAGCCATCATCGAATCCATCCTGTCCAAGGGCGTTACTGTAACTGATAGATCCAAGAGCCTGTTGGGCTCCTCCTTTGTTCAGAACGTTGACGCTGTGCCTTCTACCGTGGCCACGAGGGACGCCCTGCGGCTGTCCGTCTATTCCCAAACTGATATTGCCCAAGCCTAGCTGGCTCATCAGACCCTGTTGACTTCCCAGGCCGCTCAATCCGCCAGCACCCATACTCATGGGAACGGTGCTATGAACTCGGCGATGTGCGGCTGCCCGATTGGGAGCGAGACCCGCCGTTTGGAAGGAGAGAACTTGGTTGGAAGCCAGCTGTTGCTGGTACAGAGCCTGTTGATGACGCTGAAGCGCCTCAATTTCGTTCTGTATAGCAATCTGATGAAAGTTGATTTTCAGTTCCGTATTGGTGTCAAGGCGGATGAACGACCATACCTGTTCGGCCATGATCCCCCTAATTTCTCCCGTGCTTTCGCTCCTCCTATGAGCGTGTTCTTGCTCAGTATAACCTGGAAGGGTTTGCTGTTGCGGAAATTGGAATCCGATGTCTTCTTCGCTGATAGGAGGGCCCATGGCCGAGTTCGTGCTGGGACGACGACGGGCACCAAACATGAATCCGGGCGCCAGCTGAGGACGACCAGAAGGACCAACAATATCGGACTGTTCCTGTTGGGCAGCGAGAGCGGCAAAACGGGGCGCTGTGAAGTTTTGAGACTGCGAACGAGGGTGATGCCCTTGAGTGCTGTACAAGTTTTCGTGAATCTCCCCTTCTTCGTACGACGCATTCCCATTCCCGTAACCTTCCTCGATATCCTCCATCATGGGAACCAAGTGAGGCGAGAAATTGTTAAAGTTGCCAGACAGAGCCGAAGTACCCAGGGAAGCAGCCTTGCGATGTCTCGGTGGAGGCTCGTTCGCATTGGGAGGGGGGAATCCGGAAGCACCGGGTGTGAAGATGGGAGCATTGGCCGGGAGAGTAGACGTGGTGGTCTGCGGGAGAGGCATGGAGCTAGAGCTAGTCATGGTACCACCGCTCAATGGAAAGGTCTGATTGGGAGGCGACGTTGTCTTCAAATCTGCGATGACTCGTTGAAGAGAGGACAGAGCATCGCTGGCGTCCGCACCTGGGATAGGAGCGGGAGGGGTGGATTGCTTGCCAGCAGATTGTTCCTTCCCGTTATTGCCTCCCTGACGATTACCTTGTGAAACAGAGGAAGGTCCCTTGCGGTGGGCAGGCCTCGCACCGCCGCTCCCTCTGCCTCGGCTATCATTCCTTTTGCCCTCGCTGCCTTTCTTGCCTGTGTCTGATCCTGATTCGGGGGCGGCAGAATTAGAGGGCTTCTTGCCACCAGCCCCAGACGAAGGTCTAGGGGTTCCCTGTGGAGGAGGCCCACTGCCGCTCGATGACTTAGACACCGATGGGTTGCGGCGAGGGCCACGGTTGTTGCCCTGTTGCGCTGAACCGTTGGACGTGGCTTTCTTGGCGTCTTTCTTGGGCTGATTTTGCTGAGGTTGTTGCGTTATCTCGTCGGTCATTTCGTTCGTAAAACAGCGTTCGACGGGCTGTTGGTTAAGACGTTATGAATTGTTTTTGATTTTTTTGATTTCCTGAAACGAATCCGATGACTACGACGGGTTGACGGTCAGGATGAGGAGACAGATTGAGAGACAGAACACACCTGGAAGTGAGAGATGTGTGTGGTTTTATGGAAAGGCTTTGCCCTGTAGGGCGAGTGGGGGAATTATGGAGTGGTTGCCTTGGATAGGCGTGAAAGAACTTTGCTTATCGTTGTCAAGAGCGAAGAGAGGGATTGCGCTCGTCATATACTCAGTTACTGTTCATTTCATCTTCCGATGGCTGTACTTTCTCACGCTCCCCCACTTTCGTGGAACCCCATCGCAGCACGTAATCGCTGCGGCCTGCCGCTTGCGCTTGCGATTTGCCTCCGTTTCATCCCGTCATCGATTGCTCCCAGCTTTATTCAAGAGGTAAAGTACTGTCTACACACGAATCCACTGCTCTTCATTGCTTGCCGAGCTTGTCTATGATGGCGGCAGTATACTCCTGGGTGGACGCCTTGCCTCCTAAGTCTCCGGTGATGAATTTGCCCTCTGCGATGGTCTGACAGTAGCAAACGATCAGAGAAATGGCACATACAAAGCCAGCTGGTACAACTCACGGTCAATGCAGCCTTTTCAATTTGATCGGCGTGCGAGTTCAAGTTCATGTGTCTATGGAGAAAAGGTGATTCGGTCGTCTAGCCATTGATACATTGTGGCGCATACCTCAGCATCATCAAAGACGACAAAAGAAGAGCGGTTGGGTTAGCCAATCCCTTGCCTGGCAGGCCAGGGTCAGTATTCTCCGGTCCATCAAACGTAAGTCAGCACGACGCACCTGCGATGTCCGGTGCTGAGCCATGGACAGCTTCGAAGATGGAAGCATCCTTTGAAACGTGTCAAATTGATATCTCCCGAGGTATGTAAACGATCTGAGCCACTTACACGTCCAATGTTACCAGAGGGTGTGAGGCCAAGGCCTCCAATAAGACCAGCGCACATGTCGGACAAGATGTCACCATACAAGTTGGGCATCACCATGACTCGGTCAGCGTAGGGTTTGGGATTTTGCGTGATCTGATATGTATGTCAGCGGAACGCGCACGCGAGGCATGCTGCAGCCAAGCGGACCTGCAAGCAGACACGATCGAGGAGGTCCTCATCGTAGGTGATACCGGGAAAGTCCTTTGCGACTTGACGGCAAGCCGAAAGGAACATTCCATCCGACATTTTCCTAGAGTATCACCGTCGTAGCGTTCATGAGTCATAGACGAGAATCATGACCTGCAGATACTTACATGATGTTGGCCTTATGCACCGCGGTCACTCGCTTGCGGCCACTGGCCTCGGCGTAGTGGAATGCGTAACGGGCAACACGCTCGGAAGCGTCCCAGGTAATGAGTTTGATCGACTGGACGACTCCATCGACGACCTATGCAAAGATTATCAGTGAGATGAGACAAGAAATCGACTAAGCTTACTTCGTGCTCAATGCCTGAATACTCTCCCTCAGTGTTTTCACGGATCAAAACTGTGTTGACATCATCGTAGGGAGTCTTGAATCCCTGGATAGAGACGCAAGGCCGCACATTGGCGAACAGGTTGAACGTGCGGCGGAGAGTCAGATTGAGTGATACGTGTCCCTTTCCGACTGTTATGGTGTTAGTCGTGCCGGACACACGAATCAACTAGAATAGCTAACTTGGAGTCGCCAATGGCCCTGTGTGTGACTCAGTGATGCGACATGTCGATCAGAGCTCGTGCGAACGCACCTTTCAGTGCGACAGTATTTTTACGAACAGACTGAATCGCCACATCAGGGATGACAGTCTTGCCTCCCTTCAACACTGGAGTCACACTAACTTCCTCCCATTGAATGGGGACCTAAGAAGAGACTCAATCAACTATCATGGAGCCAAAACAACACGCATGACATACATTGGCAGCTTTGTAGATTGCCTTGACGGATTCACTAATTTCCGGTCCAATACCTGAGCAATGTGTCAACAATGTCTAGCATTCACAGACAGTTGACTCCGATCCTACCATCTCCAGGAATTAAAGTCACGGTATATTTTCCCTTTGAAAGAAATCTAAGCGGCCGTGTAGTGTTTTGAACAGTCCTGTACTCACGTTACTTTCCTTTTGTCCTGCAAAAGCTGCTGTAGGTGCAGAAGCATACCGTCTGAAAGGCTACTCGCCGACTCAGCAACTGAAGCAAGACACCAGCGACTTATTATGCTACCTGAGAGTGAGAGACCGCACGATGCGCGACGCCAGCGAAGGACCGAGAGGCCAACATAATGAGATGAGAGAGGAGGAACTAGGAGGGAGTGCCAACAATTTGCAGACTTCACTGAATGGCTGCTGTCCCGGGATTGGACGATTTATTCTCACGCGATCGGTCAACTGGCCGTGTTTTGCCGACCGGCTGTTCGAACAATTTCGTCATCAGGATGAGACGATATCCTTGGCTTCAGCCACTCTCTGCTCCCAACTATGCTTAGGCTGCGCAATAAGTTAACTGACTCGAAAAGAGCTTACAAAAATAGTTATTCGGGTTCTGGTATAACGCATTTGATAGGTATTACAACCACGATAATGAAATCATCTCGACAAAAACACGTAGAATGAGTCCATGACATTAATACACGACAGCTAAAGGCTAAGACCTAAGGGCAGTTGAACCTATCCGCTGAGTAAACCATTCAGCTGTTCTCGGTATTTCTCCATCTCTCTCTCTGCCTCCTCCTCTTCCAGTTGGTCTTGTAATGACTGGACAGGCAGTGAGATGTGAATAGCCACCCATTCGGTTGTCTTCAGACTTACTGGAAGTCCAGTTTCCACAGAGCCAACTTGGCCAAGCTTGCCATTGGTCAAATCAAACAGTACTTTGTCGACTTCAGCATCAGCCTCCTCTTCAATTTCGTCATCCTCGTCGACCTCGAATGTATCGGCCAGCATTTCGTCCAATATGCCTGCCTATGCGGGGTTAGCATCACATTCCGTGAAATGAATTAGACAAACGTACCTTCGTCATTTCCATGCTCATGTCCCGCATTGTTTGACTGATCTGGGGTAGCTTGATCAGATTATTCGAGAGCTTCATGATCTCGGTGGATTTCTGAAGGGATCCTGTGACTTTGGACATCGCTTCATAGAGAACTTTAGCATTCAACACTTGACAAAGTACTGAGACAATGCGTACCCAATTGTTGCGTCAGTTGTGTCCCAATAGAGCTGAGCCTTGCCTTGCTAACCGATAATCGGTCTTTTTGCTTGTTGCTCCTCACGATCTCGCGAGCCAATATGCGCGCTGATTTGACATCTCCCTTCTTCGCAAGTTGCTTCACAGTGCTTCGTGCTTTGTTCGTTTCGAGATCGAGCTGGGTATAAGTTAGCCACCAACTCAGCGTCGATGTGACAGAAGCCGGACCTGCCTCATCTCTCTATCCAAGGTTCTGGATTCTTGCCGAAGTTTAGATTGCCAACCACGGACTTTCTCTTCTGGTGTTGGGCCATACAGAAAGCGATTGATAGACTGCATCAGGGATTACGAGGGTAGTGGAAGTGGCGGTCGTGGTCGCGAATGGTGAGGATGGCTCAGGACCCCAGTGTATATCCTAAGGGACAACCGATACAGAACCGTCGACTTTAGATCTCTCCAGGTTTGATTATTTGGACCCAATCTGAGGGAAAGCCTGGCTAGAAAGCCTTTTTGGTCTTAATTTCGCATAAATTTATGATCGAACCCAAAGTCAGTAGGAGTCTTGAAAGTCTTGTGCAAGCTCCTAGGCTACAAGCGCCAGCCAAAATTTGGATTACTGCTGTTCTCAAAAAGGTTGGCACTATGTAGTGCCAACCTTTCTGAAAACAGCAGTAACTTGGAGAATATTGAGCGACTGATGACTTCGCAACCTCCTGGATTACCCAGCATTACCTCAAACAGCTCATACCAGTGTGTTTCATCGTCATTGTCAATGACATTCTCGAGCAAAATCGAGTATTATCTGATGACGCAACTAGGCATGCAAGTGCAATCAGACAAGAGGCTATACCGATGTTTAGCAGTCTGAGAATCCTCTAATTATCAAATAACGATCATACAGATACAGTGGGCAGATATTACAACAACATGACCATAGCGTGGTCGGTCGAGAAGCAGACCGGTGACATTATGATAACGATAACATCCTATCATCCTATGGACCTGTTTGAGAAGGTCCACCTCGAATCTCGTTCACCAACGTCTCCCAATAACTCCAGTCTAAGCCATCCAGACTAGGCATAGAAGGATTGGGTTCATTTCCCACAACTGGTGAAGTAGATCCGAACCACCCTGAAAGGTTAGCACTTCCGAAGCCTCCCCATGGCAAACCTGCGAGCCCTGCCGAGCCATCTACACTGGGATCGCTGTTGACAGCGCCACTGCTGAAGCCCAACCAGTGATCGAGGAGGGATTGTGCTGTAGATAATTCATCGTCTGCGTTAGGGCTACCTGACTTGGAGGTATTTTGACCGTCGCTTTGATCAGTTTGCTGCTGAACTCGTTGTAGTGCAGGGGTCGGCAAGACGTTGTTTGTGAGAGGTGAAGCGGTTTCGGCGGAAGCCTGTCGTATAGTCGGCATGGCTAAACTGAGGGGAGAATGGATTTTCGGGGGCGACAAAGCAAATGAGTACGGTGTTCTTGAGGAAGGCCGCTGAATCCCAAGTAGGAGCTGGGCATCCGTCGCAGGCCCAGAGGACGATGGCGTGGAGCTGTTATCTGGTGGTGCAGAGCCGTGAACAGATCCCTCCTGTACTTGCGAAGCTTTGATCTTCAAGAACTCGATGATTTTCAACTCTCGTCGAGTAGTCTCGTCCATTTCCCTGACACCATCATGATCGCGAAGAAACGAGTCCATGATAGCATGCATCGTTTCCGCTAGATGCCCATTAGGCTCCAATACGAGATAGATGCCACTGATCATGGCGCTTTGGAATTCTCTGTAGGCGCTGTGGAGAGAATCCCGCGTGCCCTGAGGTATCTTCTCCTGGAAGGTATTTCGTATTTCGTAATCTTTCTCTGCAGATTCGAAGCATGCCTGTCGGGATCGAAGGTATCGATCAGAGCTGAGCCTCCTGAGCAGATATGGACGATGGAGACTGATGCGAACGAACAAAACCTCCGTGATGAGTAAGAACCGGTGAGCAGGGACGTAGGATAGACTGTCGTCGAGCGATGTATCAGGCTTCAAAGCAAAATGCGGAGGAAGGGAGCGAATAAATTTCATCAATTCATCATCCAAGCCTAGAACGTCGGAGTAATGGCTGTGCTGTCGAACCTGTTGAAAATGATGTACGATCTTGCCGATAATGGAGGCAAGTATGTGGCGCAAGATGACAAAAGTCATGCGAGTAGGAGTATGGAGAGGAGGGGGGTTGCGAATCTCAGCGAGTGTGATCTCGTCCTCCACATTCGAAGGAGGCTGTGTCGAGGTGTATGCATCTTGGATGGCATTTGGTCTGCCCAACACAAGAGCATACGATCGATCAGCGTGATACAAGTAGGCCCTAAATGTCCAGGGTTCAAGAATGACTGCGAAGTGCCTCGTTCCTAGTACTTACCAGACTCGACGACGATATTCTACTTGAGCAGGATCCATTCCCTAGAATTGCGGTTGGAAAGGAACTTGAAATGCAACGAGTGAGATTTACCTTGCTCACCATGCTAGCACCATCTCGATGCAGACCGAGCGCCTGAGCTGTCCGAACGGCGGCACCCAACTGACTCCAACATTCGGTTATTCGGCGGTCAAATGTGAGAAAACGAGCACTCTGATCACCAAATTGTATTCAATGTCACGCCACCAACACCATTTAGAGGAAGTGACCGTACCAAAAGTCGAGTAAGAACCATGTCCAAACAATCAGGTTGAATGGCAGCTGCAATCAAGACCGAACGTCGAGCTACCACCACCTGGTAAGTCGAGAAGTATAGTATGATCTGAATCACTCACATGACCAATAATATCGAAGAGATGTCAGTCTTCTCGTCCTGGCGTCTCCCGCGACATGTTCGGGTGCTAGCCTGACAGCGATTGCGAGAATAACAAATAAGAGTGGGAGGAAGCGGACGTCATTAGGATGGGCCGCAGTGCCGTTGCTACATATAGATGCGTATGATTGGCGAAAATCTCGTTCAGAAATGGGGTAACGAGTCCAATTTCTGCAAATGAATTTATCAGGTTGATGCTCTCGGTACTCAGCGATCAGATTAGACTTACACTGCACTGAAATAATAATCAACAAGTACATCCGAAAAGCGCTGTGGAGGTAGCTCTTGCACGAGTTCGGTGATTTTGTGTGGAGGAACGCCACAGTCTTGTATTAGTGTCTTGAGGTTATCGGCGGCAGTCGGTTCTGAGTCCTGTCGCACTGAGTCGATGATCGAATTTTCAGCCACATGGGTCTTTGTATCATCACAGATACCGTTATTTGAACGGTAGGAGGGGCCGGTGATGCATCCGTTGAGTCCTCCTAAGCTGTTTACTCGTGCTCGGCTGTCAGAACCTGGGACAACACTTTGCAGCTAAATTGTCGTTTAATTCAAGAGAATGGTATGAATATATGAGAACGCGTACTTGTTCCAGTACGGAAGCAGGGGCGACGCTGCCAGACGCACTGTTCCCATACCACTTTCCACTCTGAAAGGTCCCTCCACTAGGATCTTGATCACCCGAAGAAGAATGAGGACCTTCTTCTGGACTGGGCGAGATGGATCGCTGGTGGTCTCCACCGTAGCCGTCGAGGGGCGATAGGCCTTGTAAACCGGATGCATACTGAGGCATTGCAATTTCTATGATGTGTTCTAGGCGTGCTAAACGCAGATGAACATCTTGATCCGGCTTTCCTGGGGTGTATGCTTTGCATAGCTCTGGCACTTTGCGAGCTACACACTGAAGCATGTTGAGAATCAGTCGATGTGCTGCATTTAAAAACGAGAGCGCGCACATGCGAACAGGGGACTTGACGGTCACACTGTGAACGCGGAAGTATGTGATTAACTCTCTTCAAACCTATGCCCAAGCTGCGCACCTTCTGTTTCCGACGATGACACTCGCCACATGAATAACTGAACCGTACTCATGAGCCACTTGTAGTCAGCTTGCGAAGGACTTTACACACCTGACTCGTGTCCGCGGTTTCTTAGATCCCCCACTATTTGAGTCCTCGTCGTCGAGTATCTTCCTTTTCATAGAAGATTGACTGGCTTCATCAAGAGGCGAAGCGTGATTCGCGACTTTGACCATGAAGCGGGATTGAAGACGCGTAGAACACCGCGACGTATAAGAAAGGAAGGAATGCTATGAGATCGAAGGTACAGTGGACCTCAGTGGACTCTAAAATGAAGACTTTCTGACTCGTCAATTAAACGCTTATGTAATATAATATATGGATCTTATCACCTCTTATTATTACATTGCAATAGGTAACCTAGTTCACGAGTCCCGAAGTCACTGCGACTGTGTACGTGAGTACTAAGTGCCGCTGCTGTAACCTATCTTCCGTCTTTATTTTCAAACCGAATGGAATCAGGGCCGTCATGGAAAAAACCCCAATTGTTATTAGAACGACCTTATAAAGATGACGACGGTTTACCTCTACCCGTCGTTTTAGATATTTTGCCTGATGGTGAACACATATGGGAACCGTGCGTCTACCTGCTGAGTATATCTATCACATATCGTTGTCTTACTGTTGACAGAGTTGAGAGCCCAGGAGCAAAAATCGGAGAAGACCTCAGGCGTATTTTCCAGGAGAGAGGATTGGATTTTTTCGAGCAGCGTGAAGAACAGAGAACCGCCAAACCATTCGTGGCCCACGACGATGTGTCCGAGAACACTTCCAACCATCGAGGTGAGAGACTTGACCTACTGGACGTTAAACCCATGTCTCCAGAGGAGTTGTACAAAATGCGCATGGACATATTGCCACAGCTGCAGTAAGTTCTACTCATTTACACAGAAATATACAAAATCCATCATTGCATTAGTATTGCCCTGGGTGAAATGACACTTGCGAGAGACGTGCTTTCTCTCCTCCTTTCATCTGCTGGGCCGGCTGGATCATCACCTATCTCTGCGCTGCCACAAGATATCTTGACATCATCCTCCGTCTCTGCAACCGCCGCGATCCCATCAGTACAGTCTTTCAACGCGCAACTTGTTATTGAGGGCAAAGATGGAGCATTGCGAAAAGCTGCACAATTGCTCAAGTCTGCTGCAGATAGCGTTGAGCGTGGGAGGCTGTCAGGGGAGCGATATTGGATGGACTCTTTGAAAGTCAGGCGGCGAAATTGGGGGCTGATACCTGCCCCCCTCCCCTTTGGTGCTCCGGCGAAAAGGGGCTTCGATCGGACGACCAAGGATTTCTTAATATCGTTTGGGTTGGAAGAATGTGCGTAGTCTCGATTTTTTTTGTTTACGACCCCATGACCGGTCAACAGCATTGCCTGCCTTCCGCCGCAGGGCATTAGGGCAGTTGGCCTCATATGACACGAGCGCGGGGCCGATCACATTTTCCCAGAGACAGCGTACAATCCTTCGCGTCTCTTTGACCACCGTTGATCACTCAGGAACTAGATTCACCTCATACAATCACATCCGGTTGGAGAAAGACGTCTCTCTAGACGCAATTTTGAGAGAAGCACAACGTGAAATCGTTGAGCAAGAGATCTTCTCGATTCTCATTAAAGACGCCGGGAACTTGCCGACCGCTTCTGCCAGGGTCTCCGAGCGGCTTATTGTCCTTGAAACCGCACAAAATGTTGAACTTCGATTTGAACTGGTATGTATCTTCGACGCTCACTACACCGACGTCGTCTTGATCGTCATTTGATTTAGGTAGAAAAAGATCTAGTGGATATATCTCCGCAAGTCAGCGCGAACCCTAGTGATGAAGCAAGATGCGATTTCATTTATTCCTCGCTGCATCTTCTCCTTCTCCGCCTCCACGCATATAATAAAAGGCGGCGATTGAGTGGCGCATCTGTACGCATGCCCACCTTGATATACATGGTCCCAGCTCCCCCTGTGCTGCAGCCCATCATCGATTTACTCCAATATCAAGTGTTCTGTGAGCGGATACACGGAGAAATGAGCCAAATAGTACAAGCTCTTCAAAATGCGGGTGTCACAACAAGGTTCCACTTCGATGCGGTGAGCGAGAACGGGGATGAATTAGTGCGACTAGTCAGTGAGGATGGGCCTGGACATGTCGGGGGTGAAGCCATCATTCGGATAGATAACAGGTGAGTCTATTCACCGTGAACTCGGAATTCCCGCAAGCCTCATTCTCTTTATTGCAGTCGGACACTGCGCTTTACTTTCCATTCTCCGTCCACGCTCACTGCGCATCTCTCCCAAGCCACTCTCCCCATCTCTTCTATTCCTCAACTTACACAGCTCCTCAGAGACGAAACGGAGCAGTGTCTCCTCTCACGTATATGCCAGGTTGGAGCGCAACTCTCTGAATGCACGAATGGTACTTGGTTTGTGGATCTCCTCATGGGCCGAAGTGTGGGGAAATGGGAGGGATATGTATTGTAAGCCTTTCAGATATCTTCAAGTCCGAATATTTGGGAATTCATGATCCGAATATTGGTCAGGAATTTTCGAACGTCGTACGGAATGGATTCAGCTATCCAATGCATCGCTTCGCGCTTTCATCGTAGCGATGGTCATCCAAAATCGCACTCTGATCATTTTGATACCAGCCAGCCGACCCCTTTGTTCTCTTGGGTTGAAGAAATCATTCAAGGAGCTCTGTCGGAACGGTGAGGAGGGTACGCTGTTGCAACAACCTGCTTTTGAATCTCGAGATCCGAATATTCACCGCTTCATCATGTATCGTACGCAAAAGAATGGCAGTATATGTAACATATAACATGATTTTGGGACATGTCATGGACGAAAAATGGTGCCTGTGAAAGAGGGCTCATACATCACCGCAGAGAAGATACCAAACATCTAATCTTCATCCTCATCCTCCACGATCGCATCTCCACCAGCCTTGAAGGCCTCAATTCTTGTCTGAATGTTGGCTCTGCGCTGCTCGAGTGTGAGGCGGGGTGTCTTGAACTTGAGGCTCTCTGCCTTCCAGTCCTGAGACTTTTCTGTCGGCTTGAAGGTGGGATCTTCACGGATAGCAGCGTAAGCATTGGTATAGATTTCTTCCATGTCCTCGGAGCCAACACCATCGGCAAGGTAAGTTGAAAATTGCTTCTTGAACCTGGATCATGTAGCTTGATTAGACGGGATTCATACTCATAGCAACACGCGTACCGTTCATCGTCTTCCTCCTCCAGACTCTCCATATACTCAGCAACATGACCGCCGAAAATGTACTTCTTCAGAACCTCCTCGTCAATCTCTTTGCTCTCTGGATCGTATCCGGGGAAGCGCTTCTCGTTGTGGGGAATATGAATACCACCGTCACTGGCACCCTTGAGGGCACCGAAGACACGAGAGCCAGTAGAAGTGCGCTTGAGACCGACATCAAGGTAGCACTTGAACGGTCTCGGAGCGTCTTCATCATCCAGAGCCTCAATCAAGGAAATCGTGCCGTCAGGCTCGGTCACACCCTCATATTTGTCCGCAAGTCCAAGCTTGGTCAAGGCACGACGAGCGACGAGGAGACCAGTTGCATACGCTACATGAATGATATTGAATGTAATCATGGAATATGATCACATATGGACTCACCTGCGGTCCAGTTGGTGAGACCATGGTTGATGCCGTAACGTGGGAGCTCTTTTGAGCGAGCAGCTGCGAGGATGAAGTCACCCTGCAGACGGGCGTATACGATTTGGGCGATGATGTCCTTGTTTGTGAAGCGGACGACAAGGCGGTACTTTGGTGCATTGCTGTCATAGCGTCAGATGCTGTGCATAGACTTGAGCAAGAGCTATTGTGTACTCACTACTTGTTCTTAGCTTGGGTGACAAGCCTTTTGCGAGCGTAGTCTAAGCCCGAGTATCAACATGGTATCTTGTGATCGTAAGAAGGTTCTCACAATCGGTTTTGCCTTCTCTGCGACGGCGGTACTTGACCTGGAAGCGAGAGAAGTACGCATCGGACTTGATTTTCTTGACGAACGGCATCTAGGCAGACCAGTCAGCCCAGAGTGAACAACAAGAAACTGTGTGCATCTGAACGCAACACAGCCAATCCATCTTTGAAACGTTGATTTAATGCCTCGAGAGGCAAATAATAGAATGGACCGGCAGCATCGCTGCCAAATGTTAAAATAAGTAAGGTATAACTGACCTTGAGGAAGGCGGGGGAGGTAGTAGACGGATGACTGGGACTGGGCGAGGTGGCGGCGATGGCTAGATTACATCAGCAGAAGGCTCTCACTCGGCGTGGCACTGCGTAGGCTGACTTCATTCTCACTCACTCCCTTCCTCTGATCGACCATTCTGCGTCTTTGATACTTTGTTGGGCTTATGGATCCCTACTCCTCTCAGAACTATTATCAGCATTACCAGCAGGGCATGCCGTCGACTTCTTCCGATGTCAATCCCTATCACCAACCCTATCAAGGGCCCATGTATACTAACCCTGCTGCATCATCTTCTCATAGCGCTCCCGTTCCAGCTAACGCATATGAGTACGACGTTGGAATTCTTGCACAGCAGAGTGTGTATGTTCCCGGGGCTATGATCGACAAGAGAGGTGGTGCAGGTGGCAAGCTAGCGAAAGGCGGCAAGAGGGTGACAGTTTTGCGTAAAGGTGGAGGAAAGGTTTGGGAAGATCAGACGCTGTTGGAGTGGAGCCCTTGTGAGTTGTTCTGCTTCTCAATATCTTCAGCAGCATCGCCTAATATCTCCTTAGCATGGTTCCGCCTCTTTGTCGGCGATCTCAGCAATGATGTTTCTGATGATGTGCTGGCCAACGCCTTCAATAAGTATACATCTTTTCAGAAAGCTCGTGTCATAAGGGATAGACTTAGTCAAAAGGTTCGTCGATTACCTACATGTCTCAATGGCGTTGGCGCTGACTATGGCTCCAGGCAAAGTATGGCTTCGTAGCTTTTTCTGACCCAGAAGATTTTCTTAAGGCCTGGAAGGAAATGGACGGTGCGCGAATTAAGATATCATGCCAAAATTTTCTGCTCAACCTCTTCCTAGGTAAATATGTTGGCAATCGCCCGATCAAACTAAAGAAGGCAGAGCAGACTTCCGTGCGTCCTGTGGAAATAGGACATAGAAAGGCGAGGCAGCTAGAAAAAGATCTGAAGATGAACAGGAAAAAGCCCTATTAAATACCTGATTCGATGACTTTCCAGCCGCGTTCCAACTCACTATGCGCGATGTTTGTAAAACTATGTACACTGTGCTTCTCTTTGATTGAACATTAGATCAATGTTAGATTCAACATTGTGAGCTATTTGTGGTCGTAGCGTGTTCATCCATGTCTTACAGTCGCCTACAAAATGGCGGGCCATTCGACCAACACACTCTTACATAGGGATTTGAGCTTCTCCTTGGTATTTCCGTCATACCAAGGTCATCAGGCTGATGTGATCTGACGGATGATTCACGTGATTCGAGATCAGAGCGCCAACTCAGACCACTTGTCAGACCAAGTCCCATTCAGCATCAGAATTTTGCAACATTCTCAGCTTTAACCAAGATTCTGCCAGTTGCTCTTTCAAGTCAGCTTAGTGCTGCGTGAAGTCCTGTCGGCCCAGCGTCATTCTTCGTTCTCACCTTAGTTTCAGGCATGGATATCGACAAACTCTTCAAGGCATGTTTCTCGTGATAACACTGGGTCTCGGAAATGTAACAGTTTGCTTAACTTTAGGTACCTAAATTGCCTACTGGTGGAAATAAGAGACGGATGCCCGATGCGCCCACTCCAGAGATGCTCAAGAAGATGAAGTTTGATCAGCTGTCTCCAAACAGGTCATCTTCCAACGCTGCGCACAATGTCTCGTCTCCCGCCCGACCTACTCGCAACCCAAGGGCTACGACAGTCGAAGACGAAAAGGAGCAAGATGCTGGAATGGATGATCGTGATTTTGCTCCTGGCGGTGATGCGGATTATTTCGCAGAAGAGGATGAGGATGGACGATTCTTCGGGGGAGGCTTGACCACTGAGCAAAAGGAGATTCTGAATATCTTTGACAGCATTGGGACGGAGGGTGTAGACGATGTGCGTGGTCCTATACTTAGTGTGTTCAATCTCATCAATCTCATCATCTCCTACCGTCAGACGGAGGCTCTGTCCATTACGGGAGTCCGCAAGCTACTCTTGCGTTTTGAGAGAGCTTCAAATAAAAACCAGGACCAAAGGTCCAAGTACCCTGATGATCCCACAAAGTACTACTACTCCTCATTCTATGAACATATCAATCTAATATCAGCACCTTTAGATTCATCGACTCAGAGGCTGATTTAGACAGCGTCATCAAGTCTTTGCTTCCTCTCGCCCAGGTGCCAAGACTTGCGTATCCGGAACTTATACGCTCTGGTCAAGTCGCCACCATTGTGGGCCTTTTGAGTCACGAAAACACCGATATCGCTCTGGATATCATAGAACTCATCCACGAATTGACAGACGAAGATGTGGGAAATGAGGGTGAGACTGACGAGGAGGATGGGGAAGGCCAGGAGGCCGTTTTGAAGACACTAATTGACGCCTTGGTAAGTAAAACTCATCATATCATCTATGCCTACGACCCAATCCTTTCTGATAGTTAGATCATTCGATATTAGAACTGCTCGTTGACAACATGTCCCGTTTCAACGAAACAGAAGAAGCAGACCGACAAGGGATTTATCATGTCTTAGGTATGTCGCTTAACATACGAAACAAGGCTATCTTGAATTTGATCTCGTTCAGGCATATTTGAGAACATAGTCGGATCGAATCCACAAATGGTCGAACAGTTGGTATCGAAGACTGATCTGTTATCATGGCTTCTCAACCGTGTACAATCTAAAGCGCACGATGATAATCGTGGCTATGCAGCCGAGTTCCTGTCGATTCTTTTGCAAAGCAGTCGCTCTAACAGATTAGAGCTGAGCAGGAAAGATGGTATCGAAGGTCTTCTGAAGGTTGCTTCGGTACGTCTTCATCATCTCGAGACTGCTGTCTCTGCTCAAGTTTTCAATACAGCAATATCGACGTCGTGACCCTGTCGATGCCGACGAGACCGAGTTCATGGAGAATATCTTCGACTCAATCTGTTCTGCACTCGGCGAACCTGAAAACAAAGGTCTATTCCTCAAGAGTGAAGGAATTGACCTTCTTGTCCTGATGATGAAGTATGTAGAGTTATGGATTGATGCTCAACTCTTAGTCTTGACCCCTGGTTCATCGCCTAAGGGAAAAAATGCAATCTCGATCACGCGCTATCAAGACTCTGGACCATGCTATGTCAGGTCAAGCAGGCACAGAAAGCTGTGAGGTATTCGTAGAGGCATTAGGGTTGAAGCACCTTTTCTCAGTGTTCATGGGTAGGGTAAGAAGCTCATCCGGTCTTCACTGCCTATATTGTCATGCAACTTTCATTTACAGGCACCCAAAAAGCAAAAGGCAAACTCGCCGCCTGCGTCGGAGGATACCACTCACACATTAGGCATCGTATCTTCCCTATTTTCTAATCTCCCATCCGAATCATCTGCGCGGATCCGTCTTCTCGCGAAGTTCGTCGAGAACAATTACGAGAAGACCGACAAGCTACTCGATATCCGAGAGAGTGCACAAACACGATTGAAGGCAGTCGACAAAGAAATCGATGAGGAAAAGCAAGTCCTTATCGCAGAAGAGGGCATTGACAACAACGATGAAATATGGTACCTCCGACGATTGGAGACTGGATTGTACACATTGCAAACGGTGGACTATATCCTTGCCTGGATTATCATGGAGGATGACGGTGTACGAGTTCTTTGTTTCGCCCTCGTGTTTGTCTCACTAATTCCTTTGTAGATTCGGGCACATATAAAACAAATGATGGACCGCCGCAGTCGCACATTTAAAGACATCGCTTCAACATTACGGGTCTACCATGAAAATGTTAGCGAAGACGATGTCGATAGTGAAACATCCGACAGCGTACATTCGCAAAGGGAGATTCTACAGCATCTGATTACCTTCCTTGAGGATTCATAGCATTACCCCTACTGTACATATATAATCATGATAGTCCTATCATACTTTTTGTGAATGCAGCAGGCATAGTTCAGAGCTGTATAATTATGCCACAGACAACGCTGTAGAAGCAAAAAGCATGTCTAATGCGCCCTTTGCTTTGACGAGCTCCTTTTGGAATTGAATCTCTGCAGCGATTTTTCTCTGTAAGCGGAGGAACAATGAATCGATGAGGGGGGATTGGCCCAAAATTGGCGTATACATATCTGAAGAATAGAGTATTAGAGCATATAAATGCGGAACAGCACTTGATAGACACTTGCCCACGACAACCCCTGCCATATCGCAGACCATTTCTCCAAACCGTGGGTCGGCCACATGTTTCAATAGTAGTCGAAGAATAGGCTCGAGTAGAACGTCATCGCGACCCGCAAGAGCACTCCGCAAACCATCTCGGTGGATTAGTTCTTGAATGAGAGCGAACGTTGTCGTCGGAGGGACTTGCTATAAACACAAATATGAATGGTGTAAAACTCAGAAGAAAAACATGGCACACCTTTCGCAGTACAGAGTCTAAGGCCGCGGTGTATTTGAACGCCTTCAGCAATCTGTCATACTCCCTCAACCTCTTCTTTCTCTTGCTTTCCACTTTAAATTCATCGACGTCTCGTACCGGTTTGGATTTCGTTTTGTCCTTCGAACGAAGCCGGCCAAGGTTAGAGATGGAAGTTCCTAGGAAAGAATCAAAAGACCCTGCGCGAAGAGAGGCTGCAGAATATGGTAGATCGGAGATGGCAGCCTCCGAGGCTTTTGGCTCACGTCTGCGGACTGACAAGGTGCCGTCGGACATGCCAACCGCAATATGCGTCTCATCCGGCTAAAGAAAAGAGTTTGAACTTTTCTTGTCTGGATAGGCTTTAGAGTCACGTACAGAGATATCGAGGCATAGTACGGGCGCTGGATACCGCATTGTGTGGACAACGTTAAAGTTGCCCACATCGTAAACTTTCACCATATGATCCAGACCCCCTGTAAGTAATCTGGACGCATTGGAATTAAAGGCAAGTGAGGTGACTGTCTTTTGATGGTTTGAAAGTGCGCGTATGCATCTGCCGCCCGCAACCAGATCCCATACGCGTAAGATAGAGCCAGCTGCAGACAGAGCAATCGTCCCGGAAGGGAACATGATCACTTGTTCTACAGCTACAGCTCCACAGTTTCCATCTGCAGAGCTGGCACCCATCGACAGTTCGCATTCTCCTGTTCGTGAGTCGAACAACCGGACCGTTCCGTCGTAAGAGCCGGTTAGAATGAGGTAGGGATCGGTCGAAGACACATGGCCTGAGCGGACGTAGTCTGTGTGTGCCTCGAAAGTGGTGATGGTTGATTGTGAGGGAACGTCCCATAGCCTGACCGTCGTGTCGTCGGAGCAGGACAAGACCTGTGTTTGGTTTAGAGGAGAAAATTTGGTTACATGGACGGGCTGCTTGTGACCGTCAAGGGTGCGAAGAATTGCCCTGGAGTTGACGTCAAAAATCTACATCTCATAAGAGATATGTCAAAGAAAGAAGAGGAAAGCACATACCTGAATCAGTCCACTATCATCTCCAGCGACAAGTAGCTTGCCGTCAGCACGTATACATCCACTGCGCGCGACGTCCTTGAACCGTGAGATGGTCTTGGTGATCTTCTGCGTTCTTGGTGCATATATTTGCACGCGTGTCGCTGCTGTGACCGCATACCGGTGCGGTTTGGAAGAGGCAAAATGCACAGAGGTGACCGGAGCATATTCCTTGACGAATACAGGGTGCTTGAATTGTCGCCAGTATCGTGATTCTGCACTATGCTTTTGAGGCGCCGGACGCGCACGTTTTTGAACAACGACGGGCTGATAGTCCATCGCTGCGTCGTGTAGGCGAGCTCGCTGTCGGTGTCGACCTCGAAGGCAGGAACACTGCAGGAACCTTTGCCTTCGATCACGTGCATTCGGCGATTGGCGAGATCAGTGTCAGAGATCATCCTCCTGTTTTTCTCGTCTGAAACTCCTATCCTAACGCGTTGTACATCCCCCCCCTCCCTTTCTACCCCTTCTATATATCCTTCAAAATGTTGTTGTACTCTGACTTTCTGACCGACGATGAGATGTTCTCCGATGCCTTCCCCATGTAAGCTCCTTTTTACCTGATCACTAGAGAAACTGATATATAGAAATACAGAAAACTTATCGACGGTATCGTGTTCGAGGTCGATTGCCAGTTGATCACCATCAAAGCTGGAGCCGACGTTGATATTGGTGGGTTATGCGCTAACTACATCGTCTCCGCCACTTAAAAAAGATGAAGGCGCCAACCCCTCTGCTGAGGATCAGGAGGATGCGCTCGAGGAGGGCGCTACCCAAGTCAACAACGTTGTCCACTCTTTCCGGCTGCAGTCGACCTCCTTCGATAAAAAGTCGTTCCTTACTTATCTCAAGGTATCCAGAATTCATCCATCTCACACTGTAGAAATCCTGACCCGCCGGATCGCAGGGGTACATGAAGGCCGTCAAGGGCAAATTGGCTGAGACGAATCCTGATCGTGTCGAGGCTTTCGAGAAGGGTGCCCAGGCCTTCGCTAAAAAGCTCGTCGCCAATTTTAAGGATTATGAATTCGTGAGCATCTTATCTGGCCGTTCGAGAATTGTCCTCACCTCCACTTACCGTAATCAGTACACCGGCGAAAGCATGAACCCTGATGGCATGGTTGCTCTCCTCAACTACCGTGAGGACGGCGTTACCCGTAAGTCTGTAATATATTGCATAGACATCTGATGCTAACGTCAACGTCCCTAGCTTACTTCACGTTCTGGAAAGATGGTCTCAAGGAAGTTAAGCTCTGAGAAAATAATCGTGTTGATCTCTTTGTATTACTCTTCTATGGTCGTGTCTGGTTAGGGGGTCATATAGGATTTCTAGCATCACGCAGGATTAAATTCCCAGTTGTATGGATCCATTCACGACGACGTGCGTTCAACGTTCGAGAATTCCATGGAAATTGTCCGAGATCCAATACACGAATGCTACGACTACCTGATACCTAACCCAAACCAATCCAGGTCACAATTCGTCGTGATGCTGGTCGACAAGAACAGGGGGTGCCGACTGGTTATGCACAGGAACGCTTGCATCCAGAGAATTCTTGGCGTTCTCCTCGACGAAGGCGACAAGACTCTCCAAAGAACGGTCACCTTCATAATCCAAAAATTCACGAGAACCGGCAGGTTTGAACTTGAGAGTTGGGAAACCAGCAACACGGAATGGAACCGAAGGGGGGAGATCGTTCTCCGTAGCCTCCATCTTGGCACTGAGAGGAGATGAGTCTCGGTCAAAATGAGGCGAAAGTGTAGTAACCCACATAACAACACGGTCCTTCAGAGTGCTGTATTTTTCGCCGAGGCTGTCCCAAGTGGGCTTCAAGCGCTTGCAGTGCCCGCACCTATAAACGATTTGTAAGTGAGATTTGGTGCTATCAAATATTCATAGCTTACCATGATGCATAGAATTCAACGAAAACATCCTTCTCATCATCGAATACTATTTGCTCGAACTCCTTGCCGACAAGGTTGTAGACCGGCTCGTCCTGGCTTTCAGGAACGGGCTGGCTCTTCAATTGAGGCTCCAACTTGCCGGCATTGAAAAGATCAGTCCACTCCTTGATATTCTCTGCTGTGAAGTCTTTGCTCTGATCGAGGGGATATTTGAGCTGTTTGGTCAGATCCTGAACGACAAAGCTAGGCCACTTCGCCTCAGGGAGGTTGAGCGCCTTTGCGTGATCGCCGAACTTGATGGCATCGATCCAGACAAAATTGATATGTCCACGGTTCTCCGCGGCGATAGGCTTCACGGTCTCGATGATCTCGTCTTTCCTTGAGTCCGTGGGATCGAGGAAGACATAGGCAAGGGGTTTGCCACTCTGGGCGTAAACCATGTAGTTCTCTGCGTTGACTTCGTCAATGGTGGGAACGGAAAGATCCTTGATCCAGCCTTCTAGTTCTTCGACGTTTGCGGAAGAGATGGGATAAGGGTATGTCGTCTGAGGCTCGTCGAAACTACGGTAGAGAACAATGGCGGGCGGTGTCACACCAGCAGCCTTCGCAGCCTCTGCATCAGTAGAGATACCGAAAAGATAATCATCTCTATGCTTTTCTGCAGTTGCGCTGAACTCAGGTCCGGGGGCCTCCGCAGAAGAAGAAAGGAATGCGAGGGCAACGACCTTGTCTGCTTTCTTGAACTCTTCGAAATTCGCAACCGTTACTGCAGACACTGCGGGCAAGGATTGTCTTGAAACGACGTTTCAAGTCAGCTGCAATCCAATCGACACAAGGTCAGAACCGTACTTGATCATGTAGCTGATTATCCCATCCGCTTTTCTGGGCCCAGTGTAGTCGGTCGGAGTACCGTTGCGGAAGACCTTGAGGGTGCTGAGGAATGATCGGGTTAGAATCCACACCACACAATTTGGGGCAGTAATGAAATAAGACACCGACGGATAACCTTGAATGCCATGCTCCTGGCAAAGGTCTGCCTCATCGACGCAGTTCACTTTGGCGATCTTGATGCTCTTCTCCTTGAGAGCGGTGGCAGCTTCCTCATAGTGAGGCGCGAGTGCCTTGCAGTGGCCACACCTGTCTAGCAAGTTGAGAACCCGGGCGTGCAAACCTCAAGCAAGTACGAACCAGGGTGCAAAGAACTCGACGAGCATGATAGATTCGTGGTTGACCACGGACTGGAAGTTAGACGGAGTCAAATCAATGACGTCCGACGCGCCCTCGGCGACGGCGAGGGACGCAAGAAAGAGTGACGACGCCGACGAAAGAATGGACGAGAGACGCATGGTCGTCCAAGTTGAGGGGGGTAGAATGACGAAAACCTTTGGCTACGTGGGGGGCTACAGCTTGTTTATAAAGCGGCCTCCTGATGCTTTGAACTGACGTGTCAGTGTCACCACGGAGGCGCTCATCGGAGTTCTTTTCGGTGTTAATTCTCCATAATACAGGTCTCCGGGGTCTTTCATGCCCGAGGCGTGCCCGACCCTCTCAACAAGGCAACCACGGGCGGCTCGCTCATAGTCGAAACTCATTACAAGCATGTCAGCATGCATGAGATGCATGGTCTCCCATTAAGCTCCCAACAGAGAGATATTCTTATAGAATACTCCTACGTGTCCTTTCCAAATCCATCTGCAGCTCGACAACTGCTGTCAAGCACGAGATCAGTCATCTGGGGGGCCCAGATTACAATTGTCCGAGGTCGAAGTTACTCCCTGTCTGACGGCCGTCCCCGTACTGCCTTACAGTCATCTGGAAAGGCCGTGGTGGAGGGAAGTCGGTCGGAAAAAGATGAGAACCAGCGTTAGGCGGAGGTGACGGGACTGAACGAACCCATAAGTATCACAATCCTCTATATGGTGATCAGGGACTTACTCTTCCGAGATGTTTTCGCGGTCCCATTCAATGCGGGCATCGATGACATAGGCCTACTTGGTGGTAAGGTAGGCGCAGCACCAGTCGACGATGTTCTATTTTGAACAACAGACGTTGGAGGCGAGGCGAGGCTATGTCGCATTGGAGAGACTGAGGACGGGTTGAGTGGTTCTGCTTCAGGCACCACTCTCGGCTTCACCGGAGGAGGGGTGGGAGCTAAAGGCGGGGATGGTGCGCTGTTCATGGCAGGAAGCTTTCGAGTTGGAGGATCTGGAACTGCCCGAAATGGCGGTGTGAGTGCGGATGAGATGGGGCGAACGGGCGGTAGTGGGGCGGACGATGTTGGCCGTGCAGGAGGTGGAGGTGGAACAGCTGGTGTTGATCGAGCGGGAGGTGCGGGTGCGGCAGAAGTAGGTCGACCAGGCGGTGCGGGTGCGGATCGAGGGGGAGGAGGGGGCGGGGGCGCTCTTCCGGGAAGAGTGGGAGGCCTACGATTTGGTAGCGCAGGTGCGTGTGAGGTAGGACGCGGCGGAGGAACTGGCCTTGAAGGAGAAGAAGGTAATGATGACGGCGACGATGGTGACGAAGTTCGGTGAGGAACTGCAGGGGCAGGACGTGACTGCGGTGATGCAGCACGCCGTGGTGGAATCGGTCTTCTTGGAGGAAGCGGGGCGCTGGATCCATTGACTGAAGGTGCAGGAGGTGGTACAGGAGGTGGTGGTGCACGTGCTGGAAGACTGGGCGCGCTTGGAATAGGCGGAGCAGGCGCCGAGGGTCTCTTGGGCGTCGGTCTATTCGGAGTCGGCGGTGACGAGGCGGGAGGTGTAGGAGAGGGCGTAGATGGCTTCGGAGAGGGAACGGTACGCCCCGGAATGGGAGGCGGCTTGCCCAGGACCGGTGGCTTTCCTGCGTTGCGCCATGAGTACATCGAGAGGAAGTGGAAAATAAGACATACGCACCTAGACTGGCCTTATCGGTAGCCTTCAGCTTCGGCATGCCTCCTGCAAAAAGCCCGCCCAGTTGAGGCGGCCCCCCACTGCCCACAACTGACGGAGGGGCGGGACCCCCTGCATCGCCCACACGCGCCGCACCTCCACCTTTCGGCGCGTCGATCAACGGTCCACTGCGGTCGCGAGTTTGTGCTTTCTTGAGAGCTTTTCCAGCCTGAATTTGTTTCAAGAGCTCGCTAGATGCCATAGTAAAGAAGGAAGAGCGGTGTGGTGGAAGGGAAAGCGATTACTGCCTAGATAAGCACTTATCTATCAGAGTTATTTAATTTCACAGAACTGGGTTACATAGAACAGCTTCAAGGACCCACCAATATGATCAATGTTAGAAAAATAAATTGTACAAAATTATTCGAAGGACAATTGCCGAGTAAATTATCTAGGACAAATAAATAAAACAGGCAGACACATACTCGACCGCTGCGAAAACGACGTCAATTCTATGAGTAACAATTATTACAATTGGGTACAGTAGTGAGCACAACGGATCATGAAAGTCATATGCAAGGCCACGTCATCTCCCCAATGCATGAAACCAGAGCGCCAGCCAATAAAGTTGGCAATCACAATGGGCGTGGGAGAGGCCTGGGACCCTTAACTGAACCGATCCCATCAGACTTGAATCTATTAGGATGTGATGGAGACGAAGAGGGCTCTTCCACGTAGCGGAGAGGCGGTGGCGGTGGAAACAATGGTTCACCAGGCGAGATCTGCGTCAGAATTGATCTGCGCCCAAATGTAGGGGTCCGAGGCACATGTGGATGATTGCTCGCTTCATAAATGTCCGGGAGGCGATCTGGCATATCTGGAATGGTGGTCCACGATTGGTGGCGGAAGGAACGAGACGGTGAGGACACCATGGACCGGCGGGAATAGAGACTAGGTGTTCGCGCTGAAGGAGCACCACGTCCCTTCGTCCGATCCTTCCGTGATGCTAGCCGTATGATATCGGAACCAAAGATAGTTGACCCTGGACTCCGCGCAGATAGCAATGTGTTTCCAGGGTGAATAGAGGCGGTGTCAGCAACGGATGGGCTGGGACTAAGGGACAACGATTCCACGTTCACAGTTATTTTCGGCCTACTGCGAATGGGAAGGCCTTCGGGCTGTGGATAAGTCTCCCAACTTTCTGCAAATTGTGCTTGAAAGGGCATGATCCTCTGCTGTATGTTACTGGGTGACGCCTGTGATGCAGACGGGAAAGAACTTCCAAGGCCATTCTCTGTGTTCGAAAGAGGGAAATGCAATTTCTCCGGTGTACGAACATCAGGCTGATCAACATGATCTGCGCTTTCCGAATAAACATGTGAGCTAGTGCTGATTCCAGACGTCGGTCTCCAGGATCGACTCTCATTGCTGTCGTTTTGAATGGAAGACGAAAAGTTATGAAAGGAGGCGAAGGGCCATGGAGCAGCTGTTGTATTGGCGGCAGATGGAATTGTGGGACGCATGTCAAGAAACGAGCGAGCTGCTGGTATTTCCATATGAACAACAGGTAATGGAGTATTCTTCCGCGCATTGAAAGCAGCTGAAAGCAGGCTATAAGGAGGAAAACTACGAGGAAGTGGATTCGGATGACTTACCGAGTACAAGAATGGCACCGATGCTGAAGGGAATATATTGAGCGAGAGTATTAGTCTTCGTAGAGTCCGGGACAATAGTTAAGATATCGAGAAGAAGTAGACTCCCTGCCTGAACGAGGTGGACGTCTTCAAGAGCCGTAAATGCAAGATGGCGAGGTGCGGACAACAGAATAAATCGGACAATCAAGTAGACCTCGAGGATGATGGTGATGAGCGACATGAGTAATGAGGTGGGCAGGTAGCTGCAATGCTTGTCAGGACGGAGATCACTTAAACGACACGAAGATAGACACACGGTTTTCTGAAACACACAAATATGGACGATGGTGCTACACGGCTGAGTATTGCAATATGAGGACGCCCAAACAGTCTGAGTGCATTATATCACTCACTAGACCAGTCCAATGCCAGCAGCAATATCCCCAAATATGAGAGCTACAAAAAAAAAAACAAGCACGGAATCAGAAACCTGACCTTGATAACGCAGGTGGACTGGTGGAGCTCACCAAAAACGATCGCCAGGCATGCTAAAATCAACCAAAACTCCCATCGCAGGACATGACGACGCTTCAATTCGAAGCCAAGGAGGAGAAGCCCTATAATTCGAGCCCCTTGTGATGCGATATCTCCAAAAGCTATGACAAATGCTTCAGAGTCTTGAGTTAGGTGAATGAATCATTAAGTCATACGTAGAAGGTACCTACCGCACGACGTCTGAGAAGTTTGACCGGGTCCAAAACTCAGGAGAGAGAAGAACTGCGACAGACTCGCTATTCCAAAAGAAACCGATAGAAGGAAAGTTAGCGTGGCAGACTCCTCTCGTCGGAGCCGTTCAATGCTGCCAGCATTGCGAGTGTACCACGGGTCGTGTTTACGATCGGCAAGGTACTCCGTGCGCTCTCGCCCAGCTTCTATGGCCGTGACCGGCCGCCCACCAGGGTGCGCGTGCGCAAATAGCCCCTTGCACCTTCGCACTTGTATCCTCATGAAAGCCGAATCTTGAACATAATGCAGACTGCTGAAAAAAGCCCAGCCTAGAAAGAAGGTAGATATTGACCGGCTTCTCCTGAAGGTGAGCTGCCCATCTCAATGTGGCAATTGTACGTGTACTTACAAATCAGGATGGTCGAGAAGTTCGCGAATAGTAGAATCCAAGTCTTGTACATCTGTTGAAGGGAGCAAAATAGACTGCACCATATCTGCTGGGCGCCTGGCACCAGACAGATTGAGGCTGGAGGTAGTGGTTTTCGAGTGAGCTGGCACGGAAAAGAAGGGGTGGAGCCTCGGAATGGTCCCCAGATGTGAGACCTGCTCGAGAATCTTGCAGGGAATTAAGCGGAGGGGTTATTAATATCCGCCTTGGAAGCTAGCGCTTTGTAGACCCGCCCGCGTCCGGAGAAAGAACTTGAAACCAGAAAAAGCCACCAAGGAGTGAGCCTCTGAGGGTATATTGCAGCATTTTTGGATCGTTATATAGATGATCATGCATCGCGACAAGGGACGAAAAGCTGTAACATCATTATCCATCAACGGAATTATTCTGCCCGTGGCGGCAAATTGTGGTTGATCACAGCCTTCAAGCGCTAACATGGTCGAAGTAGTACAGATCCGAATGCGGACAGCGCTGGACAGCGTCGATGTTTCTGGTACGGTTTGCAGCAAGAGTGGAACGCCTCGCACGTACGTAATGGCCATAGATGAGCCTTCCAGGGTCCGTCATAATTTAAGTTACTTATAGCAGAACAGGAGTTGCCAGTAACATTTGACACTGATCCATCTGTCGTATGCGGTTGCTATCATGAACTTATAGCTTTACACTCAAAGCAAAGAATGGAACTACAAATCCCATGATGCTTCACATACACACAGAACATCTCAGAGACGGTGGCCACCCCGAATAAAGCCTTCCGTCTGTCTGAAGCTATTGATCTGCACCTCGCTCTCTAACATCATCTGTAAAATGGCTTGAGCTCGGGACAGTAGTTCACGAAACCGTGGCGCACCTCCTCTGCCATGTTGTAAATGTCTGACTTAGGCCTGTTGTACATCATGGAATTGGCGAACATTAGATACACGTCCCTCTGGAACTCCGCGGAGTTTGAGATGGCTCCATCTTTAATTCTTGTTTTGATCGTCTTCAGATCCATTGGGCGCTTAACAATCTCGTGGTAATCTGGAGCCTCAGAGTTTTTAATTGGGTTGTGAAATATGTTGCCGTTTCGATGTTGGGAGATTTGCGAATGGAGCATAATGATGACACTTTGGAATTTTTTGACTGCCTGCGTTGTTTCGTGATTGGGTGCACGAGTAAGCCGCCTACGCGAAGGACCTGCGTTCATCGCTGTGCACTGGGTCAGGAAGGCAACAAGCCCAAGTATGAAGATACTGACTTCCATCGTCATCCTCGGCGACCTGTGAATCCTCTCTCGCTTTCTTCTTTTCTCGCTGTGACTCGATGGAGTCAACCTCGGAAGCCTTGCGTTTACCTGTAACGACATCAGGCTAGCGGAGTGTGTGATGGCAGAGCGACTGACTGTCTCGAGGAATCTGGTCGGCTTTATCGGCTTCGTCTGAGGGCAGCTCTGGCGTCCGAGCTTCCGTTTCAACAAATGCCTGTATTAGGCCAACGCCAGGACTGACCCTCGCAGTCTCCGTCTCGATATCCCGTTCATGCTCTAGGGAAGGGACATTCTCTGCTTCTGGACAGATGCGATTTGAATATTAGCAGCTGAACGTCGCAGAGCAAGAAACGCCGACCGTAATGACTGCCCGTCTCCAGGCTCGGGTCGGGGTCATCTGCCTTAGTCTCGACCGAGAGAGCGCCCCCTTGCTGGGATGTATCAAGTGGCGAGGTAGCAATCTCCGGGATTGGCGAGTCTAGTGTATGATCCTCGTCTGTCGTAGGTTCAACCATTGTTGCGTCTTCGATGGGTTGAACATTGGCAGAAATCTCTGGTTGTCCTCGCGCCTCTGAAGTTTCACGAAGGTCGCCTACTTCTTGAACCAGATTTGGTTCGATTGGTTCGATTATTTGCATATCGGCCTGCTTCGTATCATCTGCCTCAAGCAATGGTTCTTCGTGCTGCCAGACATGTTCGTCGAGCTTTCAAGAATGAAGTCAGATAGAAATGTAATTCATACCTGCACTAGAGGGCTTGGAGGACTGACTTCCTGCGAAGTTGTTGCATCCTCGCCAACGAATTGATTACTTTCTAGTTGCTGCAATGGAACGAACGTTTATTGAGCGAACACAACGAACACAGTGTGATATGAAGACTGACTTCTGTTTCGTTGGACAGCGGCTCGTCGGGTCCACTTGCGTTCAAACCTAGATCAGTTTTAATTCTGTCATCCCATGTCCCAGACCTAATGGCGTCAATTTCTGCGACAACTGTCCTGGAGATCGGTGAATCTCACTATACCGAGCTATGATTGTTCTTGCTTACTTGAATCTCACCTCCTCTGCAGCGATCAATTCACGGATTTCGAGTAGGCGTGCTTCATACATGTGCCGTGCTAGCTTCAAATTGGAAGTACCTGATGAAATCTGAGAGTGGTAGAAGAACGCTGCAAGAAAGATGCTTACCCCGTCGTGCCATGAGGTCAACGTCAGAACTTTAATAGCCACTTCAACGAAGATCGACATGTTGGGCATGCAAGGCATGCTCACCTCTCTAAGCCTGCATCATCCATCAAATGAAGATATATTTCCTGACATGACTTAGACAACAACAGAAAATATTGAGCTGCATGTAGCACAACCAAAGTAAGCGAACAAGCTAACTTCAGGCGTGAAGAAATTCTTTGGGCGAGACAATAAAGGGTGATCGGAGAGGATTTGAGAGACGCCAGGCCATGCGCCTGATCCAAGTTCGTAAACGGCCTGAGCAAAAATTAAGCGTTCAAGCTTGTTGAGATCGAGCGGGTCGAAGGGAATGGCTCGAGGAGTGGAGGCCATGTGCGTCACGCTATTAGGTGACCGACGCAGAGTGACTTTGATGCCGATGGCGGTGCAACCACCGGCCGAGACCGAACGCTTTAAGTGCGTCACCCCATGCGGTTGCTTGTTTGCTCTCGCCTCTCACCATGATCCTCTCCACTATCGCCCCCCTGTTGCTGCTTCCTTATGTCGCCGCTGGCGGCGTACACAAGCTCAAGCTTAAGAAGCTACCGCCAGTGTCCAGCAATCCCGCTTTAGAGAGTGCATACCTCGCAGAGAAGTATGGCGCACAATCTCCAGCACAGATGCCCCTTGCGGGCTCAGGTGGTGCAGGACGTCGCATTCGCCTCGCGCGCCCCGGGGAGAACGAAGAGGACTTGTATTGGACTCAAAGAGAGCAAGTCCTGAATGGCGGACATGGCGTTCCTCTCACTAGTAAGTCGTGTTGTTGGCGCTTGCTAGACGCCCCTAAGGACGATTTTAGATTTCATGAATGCCCAGTATTACACTGAGATCGATATCGGGACTCCGGCTCAAACAGTTAGTGCTTGAACTTGATGGAAAGAAGCCTTTGACTGACCCCTGTAATAGTTCAAGGTCATACTGGACACCGGGTAAGATGCTCCCGTCAACTGATAGTTACATGACTGACCGCGGGTCCAGTTCGAGTAACCTCTGGGTGCCAAGCACGCAGTGCACATCAATCGCTTGCTTCCTTCACACCAAATATGACTCTTCGTCGTCGTCGTCATACAAGGCCAACGGTTCTGCATTTTCAATCCAGTATGGCTCCGGTTCCATGGAAGGCTTTGTCTCCCACGACCACCTGAAATTCGGTGACTTGCTGATTAAGGAGCAAGCCTTTGCGGAAGCTACCAAAGAGCCCGGTCTTGCCTTCGCCTTCGGCAAGTAAGTGAGATTTTCTGTTAGACTTTGGATATTTTCGTCTAATAGCTATTAGGTTCGATGGTATATTGGGTCTAGGATACGATACCATCTCAGTCAACCACATCACTCCTCCGTTTTATGAGATGGTCAACCAGGGCTTAATCGACGAGCCCGTGTTCTCCTTCCGCTTGGGCTCTTCAGAGGAAGATGGCGGCGAGGCCGTGTTCGGTGGTATCGATACAAGCGCCTACACTGGCAAGATTGACTACGTACCCGTTCGCCGCAAGGCCTACTGGGAGGTAGAGTTAGAGAAGGTTTCTTTTGGCGACGACCAACTCGAGCTGGAGAATACCGGTGCTGCCATTGATACTGGTACGTGATATTTCAAATGTTTTCCTTTCTTGAAATAACGAATATGTGATTAGGCACTTCTCTCATCGCTCTTCCTACCGACGTTGCGGAAATGCTTAACACGCAAATCGGTGCCAAGAAGTCTTGGAATGGCCAATACACGGTTGACTGTTCCAAGGTCCCCGCCCTGCCTGACCTCTCTTTCTACTTCAACGGCAAGGCGTACCCGTTGAAGGGCACTGATTACATTCTCGAAGTACAAGGAACGTGCATTTCCGCATTCACTGGCCTCGATATCAATCTGCCCGGAGGTGCACTGTGGATCATCGGTATATACATTTCGCTATGTTCAGTCAATTCACAAAGGAACTGATCTCCGTATTTCGTCCTAGGTGATGTCTTCCTTCGCCGCTACTTCACTGTCTATGATCTCGGAAGAGATGCTGTCGGTTTCGCAACAGCTGCATGATTCTCATGAACCCTTTATGATGTTGACATCGTGGCGCCAGTCTCCCTGTACTAAGTACCCTGTCTCAGGATCCTGGGTACTAGATGGATACGATACCGTTGTACAATATAACGCCTCTTGCCTCATAATGTTCACCAGTCTTCATCACAATGTTCTTTTCCGTTAACAATTATAAGATTGCCACGATCTAATCCCAAGACAGGAGTAGTCGAGATTTACCCTGCATAACATAAGCGATCATTTTACTCCACATCTCAACGTTTCAACCTGACCAGTCCCCGACCAGCCTCGCCAATCTATCCAGGCTCTCGACGCTGAAAAACTAACTCCACAACAACGACTCTTCATTGATGTACTGCATCTTTGTGTTTTGAGGATATTACTGTTAGCTCTTCACTCGTCGCGATGTTTGTTCAGATCATCATACTCATCTGATGGCCTTGAACTGCTGTCAGACTCCGGCATCTGAGTAGGAGTGCCTACCACCTATCTCGCTCGACGATGTCCCTCGTATCCGAAATGAGTTCATCTCGCAGTGATCCTCCGATCAGCGATGACAAATATTGGAAAACTTGGACGAGACATCCTAGCACTGTACTCGGGAGAGCATCGACGGCTCGATCAGCGCGTTGGAAGCGAGACATTCTATCTCATCTATCTGAATTAGAATTGGACATTGCGAATGTCCTTGGAGACGACACATACGGGCATACTGGGTGAGTTTCGTGGTCCTATGAGGAAACGGTGGAATGACTGTGCCTGTGTTGTCTGATATAATTGTCCTCAGATGTGTGAATGCATTGAGTTGGGCGAAAGATGGACAGCTGCTTTTGAGTGGTGGCGATGATACAACGTATGTGTTTCTGGTGGATAGGCTTCTTGTTACAATGCTAATACCTATGTACAGCGTTCGTCTATGGCGAATAGACCAGGGCGAGACCGCTCAGCAATACCCTTTCGTCTGCCAAGGCACTGTGCAAACTGGACACACGGGGAATATCTTCAATGCTCAGATGTTACCCTCTTCTAACCGAATGTAAATCAGCTTCTCTTGATACATGGTATAACTTGATGTATCATATATGCCGTGGTTAGAGCGACAGTCGCCGGAGACAAACAAGTACGCGTGTTCGACGTCACCGACACCATTTCACAGCCTGCAAACCCCCTGGAGGCCGATCGGGGTACTCAGGCTTCACATCTTCGAGTGCTGCGATGTCATGCAGGTCGCACCAAACGGATTGTGACAGAACATAGTTCAGATCTGTTTCTTACTGTCGGGGAGGTATAGTTGACGATACGCATCGAAATTTTCTTTGCTCAAAACAATGTACAGGATGGTACAGTGCGCCAGCACGACCTGCGAGTCCATCACGTTTGTCGATCGGGACGGTGTCCACCTCCTCTAGTCAAAGTCCCCCATGAATTATCGACGCTTGCCCTGTCGCCATTGACGCCGTATGAATTCGTGGTTGCGGGTGACTCACCCTATGTTCGTGAAATCTTGTTTTCCCTTGGCCATTAGTTCACCTTTATTTCCAGGGCTATCTCTTTGACCGTCGACAGACGGGCAGATTCATTCAAGAAGAGTGGGGAATACTTCCTACTGGGGATGATGTAACAACCTGTGTTCGACGCTTTGGTAGAAAGTCCATGGGACCCGGCGAGCGGAAAGGCCATGAGCATGTTACGGGCGCTCGTATGTCAACGAGGAACGGTCACGAGGTCTTGTTCATCTATTGTCTGTGTTTATAGCCCTACTGACATCGAAGCAGGTTCTTCTGTGTAAGTGTTATTTTGCATCAACAAAAACTCGCTTTACCTATTCTTTTTCAAGCTTATAGCGCCGATGCGGTGTACCTCTATTCGACTCGGGACGATGTTGTCGATTCTTCAGGATCTTCGACCCCACCCGCCGTTGTAGCTCCTAATACCAAACACAAAGTTCAGGTGGCCAACCAACCTTCCGAGGATCTTATGGAAGGGATCGAGTCCGAGTGGTCTGCCAGCGATGCAGATGTGGTTGATTCCGACCCAGAAATCCAAGGGAACTCATCTTCCGGTGATCAGACAGACATCTTTGAAGATATCGAAGAATCCATAAATGACGGGATCCCGGTATTGCATGGAACCCTCCCTGTAATCTACCCTCGGATGTGCTTCGCGGGAGCATGTAATGTGCAAACTGTCAAAGATGGTGCTTATATTTTACCTTGACGTCAATGTTCGATAGCTCACTTTATGCCCTAGTGAACTTCTTTGGTCCTTCAGACGAGTTCGTCGTCTCAGGATCGGATGATGGTAATTTCTTCGTATGGAGAAAGACCACAGGCGCATTGCACGGGGTGTACGAAGGCGATGGAAGTGTCGTCAATGTTATTGAAAGCCACCCGCATCTTCCTTTGGTCGCTGTTAGTGGCATCGACACGACAGTGAAGGTGATAGTCTGGCCTTCACTTTCCACTCATGTATTGACGTAGCCTCTTGTCCTCAGCTGTTCGCACCTGTGCAACACTCGAGTAAATTCTCGAGAATGAGTGACGCTGAGAGCATCGTGTCTCGAAACCTGGAAGCCGCTTCCCGGGAGGAGAACGAATACTCAGCATTGTTCAACCATTATCGGTTGATGCTTGGGGAACTCGGGCGCCATTATGGCGAAGAAGGGCAGCCCGGGTGTACGTTCCAGTGATATTTCGTTTTGGGCTTCGGGTCGTTTATCGTATAGTGTACTGTTGGACTTTTGTATTTACATTAACCCCACCGCTATGGACTAGTGATGTTTTTCGAGAGCGAGCGTGAGTACTAATTTGGCAAACCGCTCAAAGCTTGAATTAGGTCAGAACTTGACCACGACTGAGGTCACTGTTGTTGCTTTCAGGGAATGCTTAGTCTCTGCCTTGTCTTTCTTGTGATGTCTTTCTTGTGATCGATACATCGCTACCAAACGTTTTGCATATGCTTGAGGGAGGAATTTGCGGAGAATGTAGGGAGAGTTGAATTTGGTACATGTCGGGCAGGGACAGTCACGTCAGACGCTCGCAGGCTTTGGGACGGACGCCTACCACAAAGTTTCAAAGATCATCAACATCAACAGTGTGTCTCTCCTTGCATCTCCTCTGCTTGCACAGCTCGTAACAGCGCACATCACGAACGTTGTGCTGCATCTCTGAAGAAATCCTTCTTCCTCGTTATGTAAGTTTTGTTCGGTATCACCGCCTCGAGCGTTCATAACTGCGTGGACCCTCCTACTGAGCGTCTTGTTCATGCGTCAACTTGGCGCCCTTTATATTTTGTTCGTCAGTTGCCCTCGCTCTCAAGCAACCCCTTGCAAGTTCTCAGGGTAGTCAACCCTCATCTGGTCACAAGACTTTGCTTGGCCGCTGTCCGTTTCGGTTGACCAGTCTCCAGCACGAAAACGTCGTTCTGATCGCCTCTCTCCTATATTCGTGCCACACAAGACAAGCCACAAGGCGCACATGCAAACACCTTACGCACGGTCAAGAGGACATAGAGGGTCGAGCGTTGACGACGACGAAGGGTCTTTGCCGCTCTTAGTATCACGGGTGGACGAGCAGCATGCGGAGCCGTTCACGCATCCACATCCATTTTCTCATCCGAAAGAGTCTTATAGGCCGTCACCCCGAGTCCCTGCATTTGACGCAAGAGGAGAAGGCTCGTCGTCTTGGAGCCGTCGGGAAAGTGACGATTGGCACCCTGCAGATGTTGTTCCCTCACGCGAACCGTACGACAACGACTTGTACCGTCACGGGGCTCGAGATAATTTTGAATTCTCTGACTCAAGAAACAACGGTGGGTGGAAACGTGGCGCTGGCGACGTTCGCTATGCTTCTTCTGGCAGAGAGTGGACTGAGCGTCATGACGATTTTGCATCCACGCCCTTTCATGACCCCAACAACTGGGTACCTTCCACGACTCGTCACGAGGATCAGATGTCCAGTCGTGGACAGTGGTCTGGTAGCCGAGTTGACTCGGGCGAGCGTGAGGGTCAGGGATGGCAAAGAGACGAACAGAGAGACGGTAGAGGGCAGATATGGAGGGGCGACTCATGGGAGCCACCACGGCAGGACAATCGACGTTCCAACCATTGGAAGCGACGAAACTCGCAAGACGATCACTCACAGCGCGGCGGAGATGACCGTGCATGGCAGCCTTCCGCTTCGTGGCAGTCGTCGTCCTCTCGAGTCAGCAATCAAGGCCAACGGGCCAACACCAGTCGTCGCAATCAGTATCAAAATCGAAACAGTAAGGGTAGCAGGAAGGGTCGACAAAATAATCCACAGCAACCTCAGCAGCAGCAACAAAAGCGAGATTGGAGGCACGATGATGGGCAGTTGAATAAGTGAGTTTCATGTCACGATCGTATCAATATCATGGAAATGACTGTATGACTTCTAGCTGGACGAGACGAGATCTGAATGGGAGAAATGCTCGTTCCCCTGCGAAACAACGCCCTCTTCATCGCTCAGTATCACGGTCACGATCGCCAGCCGACTCGTATCATTCCCGCCGTTCCTCGCGAGGGCGGTCAATGTCTCGTTCTCGATCACCCTCCAATCATCGGCGGAGAGATTCTAGTACCACGGAGGCTCGAAGCCGCAGTCCTATTCACAAACAACCTCATCGAAAGCGGTATTCTCCGTCGCCCGCTTCGTCGCAACGCAGTCACGTCAGTCGGGGTCGTAGTCATGGTCGAGCTCGAAGTCTTTCGGATATGTCGACTTCGAGCGGCGGTAGTAGTAGGAGCCGAAGCATGAGCATGAGCCCTCCGCCTAAGGCGAAGGCCGTTCACCGTCTTCCGGTCACAAAACCAGCTTCCGATATCAAGTCTACCAACAACAAAACTAACACGAATCGAAATCAAGCTAAGTTAATTCCGCTTGACAATGGCTGGCCCAAGAGAGACAAGGGTCATGCAAATGGTTATTCTACCGACGTACGTTCACATATTCATGAGTCGGACATATGTTCTCGTCTCACTCAAAAATATAGCATCCCACCTCTTCCGAGGCTTCACATGACTTTCCGACTTCCGACTTTTCTATGCCCCCTCCCGCTCTCCCCGCCGCGGCCACAGCTACACGCACTGTACCGGTCATCCGACCGTTGTCTCCCGAGATTGTAAAGCCTTCATTGGTTTCCCCACTGAGAATAGCTGGCTTCAGACCAATAGGCCAAGCGAGTTCCGCTGTGAAGCGTTTCTTCCCGGGAGACGATGACGACGCTGAAATGAAGGAAATTCAACTCTTGTCCAGCCAACCATCTCGTAACCGCCCAATCCATGCACCACCCATACCTCGGCCGACCGAAGGCTTATGGAAAGAGGGCTTTGACGCACCTCAAGAATCGCGGGCGCCCGTGCCACTACATATAGTGAAATCTCCACATTCGTCATCAACTGCCAATTCTCCGAACCTGGGCAGTCTCCCGACCACGGTTTCTTCGCCACCCTCCCATTTGGTACATCCATCTAACTCTGAGGAGCTCCGACGTAGAAGAGATGTCAGGCACGTGGAAGAACCGAGCAGACCTTCGACAACGTCGACGCCTCATGCAAGTGAAGCTGATCGCACGGAAGGCTCCAGGCCTCATACGCCGAAGGGATCTCGGGATGAGCTGTACACCATCGTCAGTCAGGTCGGAGAAGGGACGTTTGGCAAGGTCTACAAGGCTCGGAATGCAACCACTGGTCTCCATGTTGCCTTGAAGCGGATACGCATGGAAACGGAGCGCGATGGTTTCCCTGTGACTGCGATGCGAGAGATCAAACTCCTCCAGTCCCTCCGTCATGATAACGTGGTACGCTTGTACGAAATGATGGCTTCCAACGGTAAGGTTCATCTTAAGTGTATCCCGCATTCTGTTCACGGTGTGAATCAGGATCTGTCTACATGGTGTTTGAGTATATGGATCACGACCTCACGGGGATCCTCTCACAGACTCAGTTTCTTTTTACCGATGCTCATCTAAAATCTCTCTGTCGACAAATGCTCGCGGGTCTTGCATATCTTCATCGCAAGGGGGTAATCCACCGAGACATCAAAGGTTCCAATATCTTGGTAAACAGCCGTGGCGAATTGAAGCTCGCAGATTTTGGTCTGGCGAGGTTCTATCAGAAACGTCGGCGAAGCGACTACACGAACAGGGTAATCACTTTGTGGTATCGGCCGCCGGAGTTGCTTTTTGGGACGACAGTGTACGGGCCAGAGGTAGATATGTGGAGTGCAGGGTGAATATCTTCCTACTATCTGAATCATTTGTTCTGACTTCTAACCCCTCACGTAGATGCATCATGCTGGAGCTTTTCACCAAGAAGCCTGTGTTTCAAGGCGGCGACGAGGTTCATCAGTTGGAGGTCATTTTCAAGATCCTTGGCACACCTACACCCGAACATTGGCCAGGTGTATCGAATTTGCCGTGGTATGAGCTTGTAAAGCCCAAGACCGCGATCCCGAACCACTTCAAGGAGCTGTTCTGCAAGTAAGTATCGCTCGTCGTCACAGTAACCGTAACTCACCAGCCCTTCAGGTGGTTGTCGCCAGCAGGATTGCATCTTGCGGAGCAATTATTGGCATACGACCCGGAAAAACGAGTCACTGCTGCCCAGGCCCTCGAAGCGCCGTATTTCAAGGACGAGGATCCACCTCCAGCTATGCCGATTGGGTAAGTTCTGGGCCTCATCGTGAGTATTCAAATCCGTTGATGTAGACATATTCGCTTGCAGATTGTCGTCCTTGGAAGGTGAATGGCATGAGCTAGAGACAAAGCTTGAAAGGGCTAAGAAGCGGCGAAAGACCGAAACTGGCATTTTGTAGCGTCCCATTGTTATTTATTTGACGGAAGACTACAGCCGGAACAATGGCTTCTGACCTTGACGCGAGCCCATCCAATCAATTCCAAGTTTAACACTCACATTTCACATGGTCGCAAATTCTGGCTGTATCATATATTGCAGAAGAACGACAACAAGAAAGACAAGGATGCTATACAGATAGTATAGTAGAGTACACCAATTTCCCTCAAAACTATCCCCATAACCGAATATATGCGCTTCACTAAATCCGAAATGCTTCCTTCGCAGGAGGAGCTCTCACGTTATCTAACGCTGGCCTGAAGGATCCGACAGCCATCGTGATAGATCTCGAGCTCGATGTGCCAGTGGCAGGCGTCGCTGCGCTGAGCGGCGGTTGCCTGACCTTGTTGTATACGAACCATTTGACGAGATCGAGCGTCGCAATCGAGTCCTCAATCGAGGAATGGCCAGCCGTCCCACCGCCTGTCTGAATCGTACGGCCGAGATGTTCTTTCGTGCTGCGGAAAAATAGTCAACGTTAGTGGACTGTAGTCTCTTGCGGAAAAAGCGGAGAATGATGCACAGATCACGGAGAGCTTTGCGGAATGGAAATCCCCGCGGATGTTCAAACAAAATGGCGGTGTCAACGCAGCGATGGTGCATGATACGCAACGTGCGCAGGTCGTTCTCGAGCCCGTGCCCAAGGAGGATGGTATCTTGGCTCAAGAACTCATCAAGGGAACACCGTATTTCGCGGAGGGAACGCCGCGCTTTGGCCGCGTATTGAGTCGCCGTGATGCCGGAGAAGCGAGTGTTGAAGTCGCTATATGTGTTGAGTTGGACGCTGTTTCAGCGACTCGCAAGGTAGGTGGGATGGCGACGCACACCACTTCCACACCGTCATCCATCTTCACGAGCTCGTCAAATATCTCCTGCCCGCGCGCGTCGACGATCGACACGCGCGCGACGCGGAAACCACCCGTGGTGTAGATCATCTCGCAATCTAGAGCCACCACATCTCTCTCCTTCTTCTTGCCTTCGAAGGAGGAGGGTTTCAGGGAAGAAAATGGATGCCGCGCGTGTAGAGACGCCAGGTCGGACTCGTAGAAAACATGAGGCCCCTGCGTGCATCCTCCGCCCTCAGTCGTAGGTCGATGGCAACAGGTATACATTCTCATTCTTTCACCTACAACAAGGAAAGCAGAGTTAACAATTAAAAAACTGTACAAATGCTATGGGGGAAGAGGTGCAATCAGACCGACCGTTGATGTTGCGGGTCACCGCCTTTCCCCAGTGATAAGTGCATTCGTCAGCACTCGCCTTCCCTTCAGCCAGGGGTTGAACGACATATGCCACGGCACAGCGTTCGCATTTCACTCTCGAACCTTCCGCACTGGGACTCTGGCCGCCTGGGCCCCATGGTTCAGGTATCTCAGCAAGAAAGCCCCATTTTTGCAATTGGTCACGGCTGAGAATGAGAGGCATGAGGTGCGCAGAAGTAAGGTTGAGAGAAGTGAGTGCGTGGGCCTCAGCAGTGCGCGCTGCAATATCATTCGTAGTGCCTATAGAGGGATGGGAGATATTTGTCGGTGGGGGACGCGATTTAATAGAGGCGATGGACGTGATAACGGCCTAGAGAATGCAAGTATGCAATAACAGAGGAGGAGGGGCAGTGTGTCATTGAGCGGGAACAGGATCAGAATAAGGTAGATCATACATTACGGTATGTCGACTTGCTTGCGCGATTGTATATTTCTTCTTCTTGTCGCAAGGCATGTTCGGAGGCCAGAGAGGGCTCCTGGGGCAGCACAGCATCATACAGGACGACGAAATGGTCGTATAGGGACTTGAGCATCGTCTGAAAGCAGGTCAGAATGAAGTTCATAATTACTGGGAGTGATGGGCAGGGGGTAAGATTAGAGAGGACAAGAACCAGGCAGGCCAAAAACACGTTGTGCACGTTAAAGACATGAGGATTAGCTTAGCTCACCTGGCGCGTCGCGACTGGAATCTTGGACTGTGCTGCATTGACTCTGAGCACAGGCACGCCTGTCTGTAATTCAAACTAGCTGAGTGGTCACGCGTCAGCAGATAGACAGATCAAAGCAGGCTGACGGGTGTACGCGACGCGGTGGGGAGAGCGAGCGGTTTCTGCGTGGTCCCAACCTTCTGAAGCTTCCGTTGTGGATGTAGAGAAGATGCAGCATTCGCAGATGACAGCGCATGGGTGGGAGACGAGGCAGCAGGGCGCTTGGCTGGGACGCTGGAACGCGATGCAAGGGCAGAGGATGAGGCGACAGGCTGTGGGGTGTCATACGGAATAGAAACGGGATTCTCAACGACGCCTGACTTGTGGGAGAACAGACAGTTTTTTCTCCTGCATTGCGATTTATTTGGACAAGGGAGAGAATGGAAGAGGCCGAGAGGTGAGAACATCGACGGGCACCGGAGACGACGGCGTCGACGACCTGCACGTCCACAATGATTCACGTCCATGGCTGCACGTGATGCCTATCGCGCTGGACCTCCTTTCGGGGTTAGCGCTGAAGCGCTGACAGCTCACAGTTGCCTTCGGAGGAGCCCTCATCTCTTTGCTGGCAGAGCCCCGCGCGTTCGAGGCGAAGAAAAAACATGTGAGTCTTCACGCCGACAGACATCACTTACATTTCTCATAGACCGCCTTCCAGGGCACCGAACGGAAATGGAAAAGCATATCTTCGGCGCAAGACGGGTGTGGATTTGTTACCCCAGTCAAGAGGCCTTTGGGATGATTTCAAGACTTCCAGATGGGTCGTCGTACCCTGTGCGTGTTCATATGATTTGATTTTCTGCTCCATTGTCATGACCCACAACAGCATCGTCCCTGCGCATGCTCCTCCTACCGGTCATACTCCATCTAAACTGGGTGCTATTTACCCCCTTGATGACCTCCAAACCACCTCCAAGTCCTTTTGCGCCTCTCCTCTTTATCTCACACCCTATACCTTCCCCCCCCGGTAATCCCGATGATCACCGCTATCGGAAAGGCTGGCTCGATCTCGCATTTCTTGCCTACCATATCGTCTTTTTCTCCTTCATTCGTCAGGTCATCACTATCAAACTCTGCCGTTCAGTTGCTCGCCGCTTTGGTATACGCACGGAAGGAAAGCTGGCACGATTCGGAGAGCAGGGGTATGCTATGATATATTTTGCATTTTTCGGCGCTTGGGGTCTGCGTATCATGTCCCAGCTCCCAACCTGGTGGTACAGAACTGACAATTTTTGGATCGGTGATCGTCTTCCTCCGTTACACAGTAATTTCATGCTCATGATACCCGTTCCAGACTACCCCCACTGGGACATGAAACCTGAATTGAAGCGCTATTATCTTATGCAGGCAGCCTATTGGTGCCAACAGCTCATCGTGCTGGTGCTCAAACTGGAGAAACCAAGAAATGACTACAAAGAGCTCGTCGCACATCATTTTGTCACTCTTTGGCTTGTTGGGTATGAACAGAATGCCCTCTTCAACCCTCGCACAAATTGACCTCGTCGCCTGTGCAGGTGGAGCTACTTAGTCAACCTGACGCTCATTGGAAACGCTGTCTACATGTCCATGGATATTCCTGACACGTTCCTCGCATTCTCTAAGCTTCTGAATTACATGGGCTTCGACATACCGAAAACTGTCTCGTTCATTGTGTTCCTCGGCGTTTGGACGTATGTGGCACTTTCATCTGCATGACTTCTGCTAATTAACCGGCATGTTTGATAGTTACTTCCGACACTATCTCAACATTGTTATGCTTTGGTCAGTGTGGACCGAGTTCGACCTTATCCCGTACGTCTGCTTTGATGTGTGATTATACTTTCCTTGCATGACGATGGTATTCCGCGTCTTGTCTTGCAGTGAATCAGCCAAGGTCTTCCGTCCTTTGGATGGCGTATGGTTGGCTCCGTGGTTCAAACTGCAAATCTTCATCCCCATCTTCCTGCTCCAATGCCTTAACTTATTCTGGTACTACCTCATCCTTCGCATTCTTTTCCGGTACAGATTCCCGCCTCGCTTCCTGGTCAACCGAATGTTGACGTCTTTTTCTTAAAATACAGTACCGTGTTTTATAACCAAACAACGGATGTACGATCCGACGATGAAGACGACGGCGAAGATGACGACGACACGAAAGACGACTGAAACTCCCTCACTACTGGGCTAGGGTCGCGGTGTTACTCAGTCGTTCACTTCGACGGATCGCGGATGATATGCTCAAATCTACGTTAATAGTCGACGATAGACGCATTTATACCCTAGCCGCCATGTCTTTACAACTAGAACAAGAAGAAAGCCACTGGTACGAGGTCAAATTTCAGTATTTTCGAAGCGCAATAGGTGGTCTAGGTTTTACAGCGAACAAATGATACATGGCATCGATACAGTATAGGGGAAAAGACAAACTACAACAAATTTTCGAGGACAGATACTCCGGTTTCGACTACACTGTCTGTGATCTGATCATCTAAGCGTGGACGCCATTGGAACCGTTGACGGCTCCACCATTCATGCTATGCCCATTGATGCTCTCGACGGCCTTCCCGTCAGCGGATATCTCGACGCTAATCGACTTGCCATCTACTTTCCCATTCTGAGTATTGTTGCTGCCGCCTAGTTGGAAGTTCATCAACGAAGGATCGTCGTCTTCGTCATCGTCCTCATCCCAGTCGCTCGCGTCACTATCCTCCTCTAGTTTAGAAAACTGGACTCGGGGGCCGCGACCCACGGCGGTATGGTTCGGCCAGCGCTGCTCGCGCTGCACGTCGAGCTGGTCGCCAGAGGCCATCGCTTCTAGCGCGAGGTGGGTGTACTGATCGCGAGGTAAACCGGAACCGGGTCAGTGATCCACACGAGGAGCGGAGGAGCGGGCGATGCATACGCGGGCGTCGTTTCCGGCGTTGTGCAGGTACTCGGTCTTGACTTGAAGGTGCCTACACATCTGCTCCAATGATCGCTTCTGCGCGCCGCCGTTGCCTTCGAGAGCCGCAAAGAGTTCCGCGGTGTCCACCGTGAATATTTCTGGCGTCCCGCTCTTCGCTGAGGCAGCGCACGATTCGGGGAGAATGGGCGATGTGCTGTTAATGGGCGCCGAGAGTTCCCCAAGATATCTGTACGAGAAAGATTCAGTTCCAGGCGCGCAGAAACCGAGCAGAGGATCGCCTACTTGAGATCTTGACTGGTGTCGTGGAAAACGAGAAAGAGGGGCCCGGGCGACGCGATGGAAGTGATTAAGCTGTGGATACGACGCTTGAATTCTTTCTTCTTCACGATCTCACTTTTCCCGAAATTATAGTGCTGAGCACGATACGTGAGTGACGCGCCGCCACAATCGAATGGTGACACAAACTCACGTCAGGGTTCGAGGGCACATAAATGTTCCTGAGGTCTCTGTGCTCCTCCACTCTGAGGTGTACGTACTCCTCTTGCGGCTCACCGTCAACCCAGCGCACGAAACTCCAACCCACCTCGGTCAAGGCCGTGTGATCCTTGTCCCAGGCCTCGAAGTCGATCGCACACCACACGCCTGTCTTTTCAGCCCACAATGAGCGTACACGCTCGAACTTCAGGCGACGGGCCTTCAGAGAGTTACCGGCGCCCTTGAGCTGCTTGTTAAATTTCTGAATGCGCTATATATGAAGTATATAGTGTCAGCATGTTGCGCGACTGATGTAAACTCTGCGCGGGCGATCTCACCTTGATCTCATTGCGCAGATGAAAGGGATCTTTGTATAAAGATGGATTGTGGGACTGAAGTTGCGCGGAGGAGAGCATACAAGCCGAGTATGGGAGAGGGATAGGCTCCTTGGTTAATCCGGTGGCGTGGAGCCAATACCGCACGTACTCGACCTGCGCGGAAGTGAAGAGCAAGCGGTTCTCGCCGTTAGGCAGTATACCTGCATGAGAAATCGCATGCGTAGATCACAATGTTATAGCTTAATTCAACGATATTTGTGACAAAGGACTCACCCATAGTCAGATCGATGCCATCCTTGCCCTCCTTCCGCAGAGGGTGATCAGGGTGCACTAACGCCTCGTGAGATAGGATGGCCTTCAGTACGACTGAGTCCTCTGGATTGGGCAAGACCTTGTGCCTGCGGACTCTCAGTCCCTTTGTACTTAGACTGGCCGAAGGATTTAGATCGAGCGTACCATTCAAACCAGATATCCGTGTATCTGTAGAAGCCGTGTACGATTTCTTCAGGCATGTGTGCTGATCAGTTTGGTGGTCGAAGATGGGCGGGGAAAGAGGAAGAGCTGAGGCTGGGTATGCGCGCAGCCTCTTTATATGCCGACACTCACAATAGAATCCGGGAAGAACAAGGCCCAATTTAATGACGACGCGTTCGACGCGTGCTCGGAGCGTGGGAAAGATCTCACATGTGACTTGCAGACAGGTCGTGTCTTTGGCCGCCTGGCCGAGGGGCGAGCGCCTGCAAATCTGAGTCTCTACTCAAGTTCAGCACGACGTGTTTCAATATTGATACCTCATGTCTGGAAATTTCAACAATTCTGTCGATGCGTGGCCAAGCTTGAATAATAGGGGGTATGACCGTCCACGAAGCTATGGCACGTACCGCGACGTGCATTGATGAGACGCCTCATGCTATGTCTTCCCTCATCCTTGTAGATCCGATAAATGCAGATGACCAGGCTTCGTATTGCCTCGTGGGCTCCAAATATGTATGGATTATATAGATTCATTGTAGAAGAATACAGCTGAAGTGAAGATGAGCGGTGAGAGCCGGAGGAGTCCTGGTCAACTCACAAGACTCACACCTTGTGGCATGCCCTTCCCAAATAGGTAATTATGTTGGAAACGCGCTCTGCTGGAGCGACACCCCCTCTTCCTCCCTCCTCGCGCTCCCCCCCGCCAATCTTCCTCTTTTCCTTCATTTTAAATCGCTTTTTCACGCGTTTCGTTCTGTCCTTACGCCCTACACGTCCGCCAATAAATGGCCCAGACCGTGCAAAAGAAGCAAAAACGCAAGGCGACCGTCGAGGCGTCGCCCGAGGACTCGAGCCCGCCCCCAAAGCGCCCGAGACCGAGCACCGCGCGCAAGAGCACGGGCGGGCGCCCGCCAAAGCCACCCGCTGCGCGGGGCGACAGGGACGACGACCGCGTCGCAGGGCCGTCGCGTCGTGAGTCGTGTTTTCCGATGCGCCCCTCCCCCGCTCTTTCCGTGTCGCGCGATGATCTGAACCGGACGGTCGTCGCGGCCGCCACGCCGCCACAGGACAGTCTGGGGGCGCGCAGCCTGCCGCCGAGCACCAGAAGAGGCGGTACAGGCCGGGCACGGTCGCGCTCAGGGAGATCAGGAAGTACCAGAAGAGCACGGACTTCCTCATCCGCAAGCTGCCGTTCGCGCGGGTGGTGCGTTCGCTTGCTTCGCCCCCGTTCGCGCTTCTCCCAGGCTGACGACGCGACCTCCCGCCCCGGTGCAGGTGCGCGAGATCGCGCTGGACATGATGACGGACACGCAGGTGTATAGCGATCGCGGGCTCATGTGGCAGAGTTCGGCTCTGCAGGCTCTCCAAGAGGCCACGGAAGCGTATCTAGTCCACCTATTCGAAGACGCGTGCGTTCTCCCCTCGTCTCCCACCCCGCTCTGCAACCGACGTCTTCCCCCGACAGAAATCTATGTGCCATACACGCGAAACGTGTGACCATTATGCCCCGAGACATCCAACTCGCGCGTCGGATACGAGGTCCCTGGGGCGGCATGGCGTGACGAACACTCTTCAGATGGTCATGAATTTGATGTGTAACATCGTATCCTTATCGTTTCATCTCCTCTGCTCGATTTTTGTTTTGTTATATTGCGACACCCTACCCTCCACTTACGCCGCCGACACCCACCTCCCACTCACCCGTTTTGAACGCTTCGGTGCTGTGTTCAATGCAACGACCCTCTGCATCCGCATAATGCCATTCTTTCGGCGAATCATCGAAAAATGACGGTATGTTGGATGAGCGAATCAAATCAAGAAGGGATCAGCGCACAACAACGGACAGACACTCTAATTGTCTCTTTGTGGATGCTGCATGAGGAGGTAGGGAGGTCAAGGAAAGTGCGTAGGTAGGAAGCGACGAGACGGATGAGCACGTAGAAACGTAGGATGAACGAGATGTTTAAAAAAAGCTTGAGTGGGTACTTGTGGCACATGATATCTCGGTCCATGATGGTGGATGCGAAAGATATAAAGAAAATTCAAAGGATACTAGGGATTGGGGGTACTGTAGGGTCAAGATTGTTCGGGGATGCGAAGAGTCGTGTTGAGGATCGAGTGGGCTATAGAATCAGAGGACAGGGTGCGGTAGCTACTGACAACCAGTCCGTTCGGGCAAATTAAAAAGAGTGGCATTACAAGGAGATCACCTACGCTGACAGAAGGGGGAAGATGTCCGAAGCACTGCGCGAATCAGTTGATAGCCGTCGAGCGGCGATATGAAGATGGTCTGTTCTGGGAGAAATATGAAGGGGTGGTGGGTCCCAACAACAGCGACTGCTGCCGTGGGGGAGGCGGCCTCCCCAGTGACGAGCCGCTCCCTTCTGACGGCGGACCCCCGTGAGAACCTGAAGAGTCTCTCCTGCGGTAGTCGTCGCTGCTGGAATGGCGATGGTGCCCGTGCTGCGGTGCGGAGAGGTGGGGGCTGGGTTGATGGATGCGATCCGAGCTGTGGCTGTTAGGTAGGCTTCCGCGGGCGGGAGAGGGCGAGTTGGAGGAACGCGGGCGCTGTCCGTGCTGCTGACGCATGAAGGGGGCCGCGGGAGGGAGCAACGGCATGTCCATGACGTACTGCGGCATGACAGGGATCATGGGCATGGAGGGATACGTGGGCAGTGGCGGCACAGGCGGGATACCCCAAACGTAGGGGTACATGGGGATGCGGTCCGAGCGTTGCGAAGACTCTGACGCCATGGATGCTCGTCGGCTATTCCGACCTTCGCGCAGCCGAACATCCTCTGACGAAGACTGGTTCGAGTACATGGAAGGGGCGCGCGGGGAAGGACTCGCGGTGTGCGAGCGGCTGGCGCTGTCCGACCTTGGTATTGAGGAGGATCCGGCGTGCGACCTGGCCGGGTTAAGGTAGACGGCGTGCTGATCAGACTGGCGGCGGTCATCGTAGGTCGGTCGGGCATACGTTGCTCGGCCTCGGCGCTCCATCTCTCGCGAAGAGGAGGACGGGATGCTGTGCTGGCTCTCCCGTCGGCTGCGCGCAGCGGCGAGTTCGTCCGCATACAGCTTCTTTTTCCTCTCCTCCTCGGCAGCGCGCCTCTCTCGTTCGATCGCACTCTTCTCCTGCTCCCATTGTTGCCGTTCCTTTTCCCAATGTCTGCGCTCTGCTTCGTGCTTGAGCCTCTCCTCCTCCAGGGCGCGTCGGTCTCTTTCGACCTTGAGGAAGCGAGCCTTCTCTTCGCGCTTTTTCTTGACACGAAGAACGTAACCGATGGGGAGCTGGTCGTCTTTGTTGTCCTCGGCGAAATGTACGCCCCGCTTCGGGGCAGGCACGGCTGCGGAAGCAAGGGCCTGTGATATGGAAGGAGATAGCGCGGGACCGTTCGTTGGGGACGGCAGCGGCGGATCGATCGAGTCGCTCTCGTTGCGCAATGGAGATGGAAGCGCTTTGTACTTGAGGGGAGGGGCGCGCTGGGTGACAGGCGGGGAAGCTTCGCCCGGAAAGTCAACATGCAGGCCAAACGCGGACGGCGTATAAAGGGGACTCACCCGACAGCTGGGATGAGCTGCTGGACGCTGACGACGGCGGCTCCCACGCAGCCACATCGTCCGAAGGCCTCTCCAGCTCATCACCCGTCGGGCCTGCCAGCAATTCCAGCCCTTCCGATACGTCCAGGGCCCAAACGCCGAACCCCGACCCTTTGACGCGGGTCCACCCAATCGCACCGCTGTCCTCCCCGACGGCCCAGACCACCGTGCGCTCTTCGAAGTAGGGTCTCTGTATCCAACGCTTCAGCCCACGACTGTGCGGTGCGACATGCTTGACGTCTGGGAACGCCCCTTCGTCGGGCAAGGGCAACGTCCGCCTGACCGCTGCCGTAGCAGGCCGTGAGCCAAACACCGCCAAAGAACGCCGTTCGGAAGGCGAAAGCTCGTCGCGAACGATCTTCCGAAGCAATCGCTGCTTGTGCATCGTGGACTCGATGCTGTCTCGAAACAACAACGATCGTGAGGAGTTGGCCGATCGTGGGAAGAGCGCCGTCCCAGGCCGGTAGAACAGTGGAAACGGTGAGAACGCGGGGGCCAGGTGGTTCGCGGTCAGCGACTGGGCGAATTCAACCGGAGGGAGCGTGCGCGCTATGGGCTTGGAGGACGGGAGGCGCTCTTCGTCAGACTCGGACGACTCGGAAGTGTCGTCTTCAGACTCGTCGTCGTGCGTGACGGCTTGTGGCTTGGGCGGGGGCCGCGCAATGGAGTCGTCGGGCATGTTCGACCGCCCAAGAGGCTGAGAAGGGCTCGATCGCTGCGTGGCAGGAGGTTTCTTGCTGACTGTCCAAGGCGTCCAGGGTTTTTGATGGACGGCAGGGTTCATTGGGCTGGCATGGTCGTCGTCGGGAGTGCGCAGGGAGGCGGACCCGCTCGAGGAAGAGGAGGAGGACTGGGCCTGATCGAGCTTGGGGATGGAAGGCTGGGTGGCGACAGAGATGTGAGAGCGAGAGCGGAAGAGGCGAGACGACTTTGCGGTGTGCGAAGGGGGCGGCTGGGTCTTCGCGGGCTTGTCCTTGTCAGAGCGCCTGCTGTTGAAGATGGATGCGATGCGACGCATGGCGATGGCGGTGGTTGAAGAGAGCAACGAGAAGAAGGAGGGGACGAGGGCTGAGCGAAAATCAGTCGTGCATGGTCTAAATGGAGCAGCGGCGCATTGGGCTGAACTGAAATCCGCCTGAGGGTGATGGGACGGGGCAGCGCAAAGTTCAAAACAAACGAGCGACGACATCCATCCGTGATCCCCGTCAGCTCCCCTTAGTCATCGCCGTCGCGTCCACGCGTCTGCATTCGTCCCGTCTCATCCCGGCCCACCACCGCACCACCCGCCTCTCGTACCTCTCGGTCACCCCGTATATGTACTCCCCGCTCACCCCCGTCCACCTCGCAGCACGCTCCACCACCGCCTCGTACTCCTCCGGCACCGATCCCAGCACGTCCCCAGAGCTATAGATAGCATACCCTTCCCCAGGCTCACCCACGCCCTCGCCGCCTTCTGCTGGCACAGCCGCCTGCAACGCGCGCTCTGCTCTCGTGCCCCGGCTATCCCCACTCGACTCCCTCCCTCGCATTGGGCCCTCCAGCGCAAAGTAGCTCTCGATGACCGTGCCTTCCGAACCTAATCATGTCCGCGACGCTATCAGCCATCGCACTTCATTTGCACGGAACGACGGCGACAGCCCCGTCCGTACCTTGCGTCTGCTTCCGTGGCCCGATCAGCGCTTTCTCGCAGAAATCCAGATACCCGTCCAGCATCGATTCGCTGAGATCCGCGGTGCGCCTACAATCCACGTCCAAGAAGCAAGACTTCAGAAAGGATGCAATGCGGCGATCGGGGGCCCCTTCTCGAGCGAGCGCTTACATATTCGTGCGCGCCCCGAAAACGCTGGCCTCGCTCTTCGCGTCTTCGTCGTCCAGTCGCTTGATCAACGCTAGGTATTCGTCCATTCGAGGCAGCGCGCACGCAGGATCCCCTGGATCTCTCGCGACCCTGCCAAACGCACGTTCTTTCAGCTCCGAGCGTCCCGCCCCGTTGTCCTGCACTCTCACCTCGCCTTTCCGTCCAGCCCGTACACCATCTTCAGCACGATGATCACAGAAGCCGCAAACGCGACTTCGGGCGGGACGGTGTCGTATTTGTGGCTCTCTGGGTCGTGTTGCTGCATCCGGAGAAGGCTCGGCGCGAGCGAATGATGTAACGTGAGCGGCAGGTTCGCCACATGGGCGATCGCCTTGGTGAGGCCGTACAGCACGGCTGAAGGACATGAGGCCGCGACGCAGTCAGTGCAGGGCATCTCCCGCGCGAAGGCCTTCCGTTCGTTCACGTACGGGTGCCGCCCAGCGCGCGCACGACGCGCCAGAGCAGGGGCGCGGCGTTCAGCTCAGGCGTCTGGATTCTGTACGAAGCGCGCATCCGCTTCGCCAGGCGAGCTGAGAGGGCCTGTAAGAGCAGGGGCGTGGGGGCGTGCTGCGGTCCCGATTAGTCGCCTCTTCGCGCGAGCAGGCCGTGGATGCGCGGGGGAAGGCTGCTCACCGGGGGGGAAAGCCGTTGCATCGTGTGTTTCGTGAGATGGCGCGTCATCTCAGGAGGAAGATGGCCGAGGGTGTCCAAGTAAGGCAAATCGTACATTTCGACCAGCCTGGACATTGCTCTTCGACGTGCACAGGATGGTAATGTATCTACTTTTGAAACATACCTGATGAGATCCATGTACATGATCGGGAGCCGTAATGTCCAACACGCGATGACCAGCACGGCTATGGTACTGGCGGGCCCGTCAGCGTTGCTGCTGGCTCCTTGAAACTTGCTCTTCCGCGATCGGCTGTCCGGCTCTGGGCGCGGTTTCGTGCCGTCCGCATTCTCGTCGTCAGAGGAGCCGCTTGACTCGGACATTGCACGCAGGAGTTCGGCTAGTTCGCCGTCGAGCGGCCCTTGCATGGTTTCCTCCTCATTTTCGCCGGAAGACGAGGAGCTGTCGGAGTCGCCGTCGGACGGCGAGTCGCCCTCACTTTTGTTTTTTTCGCCTATCTCTTCGGATGGCTTTTGGTCAGTCACGGGTTGACTGTGAGAGTGCTTCCCTACGATGTCTTGCTCGTGAAGCCAGGGCTCGGGCGGGGGCGGTGCGGGAAGGAAGCTCAGATGCAGCGTCCAAACGTCTCTGCACACGACCTGAAGTCATACCGATCACGACGGCGTTATTCAAGAGAAGTGGACCACAGCGCACCTCGAACTCGGGCGGGAGATCCCACAGCCGCATGAGCACGGCGACCTGCTTGCGCAAGAGCAGCTGCAGGCACTGAAAGTAGTGGTACTTCGCGCGGGCGCCATGGTACACTGATCCTACCGTAAGCCTCATCCGGTCTCGCAACCGCCCCCGCCTCGAGAACGAGAGACAGGGGCACAGACGCGGGAGAACACGAACATTTAGGATCGGCTTTGCTCGTCTGCTCGCGCTTCTTGCGCCCGGACTTGAGCGTCCGCTTGTGCATCGTGTGGGGGCCGAACTCCCTGCCCTCCGTGACCTCGCTCCTGTAGTTCTGCACAAGCAAGCGGAGAGCGTCGGTTCATATTCAGAGTCTCGGGCACCGCGCGTGGCTGCAGCCGTACCTGGAGGACGTGCCCCTCGCTGCAGATCACCAGGCCGCTCGCGGGCTCCTTGTGCCATTGTCTGGACCCGCAGACGGGGCATCGTCGACGGGGCGCCATGTCCGTATGGTGGTAGCTGTGGCAATGTCGGGGGTGGAGGCGTGTCAGCGCGGAGAGGATCGAAAAAGGCAGTGCTTCCCCCGGCTCGGACCTGCGTCGCGTGGGGATTTCAAGTTCCGACCGCGCGTGCGCTCCGTTGGCACTGCTCGCAGGCACCGTCATCGACCAGCGAACCTCTGTCTTTTCTCTCCCCGCGTGTCTGCACGACACCAGACGACACCCCGCATAGCGCGTCCGTGTCTCCATGAAGCTCTTTTTCGTCCTGGCCTTGCTGGCCGTGCTGGCAACGACCGTTCACGCGTAAGTTGGCTCGTTCGTCATGGCCCGCCGTCGTGCGCTACGGTTAAGCTGACTTTATGATCCCACCAGATGGACAAAAGTGAGCTCCTTAGCAGGGTGGAGAGGATCGTGACTCTGACCACCGTGTGTCGCGCGAAGGAGGACCACGAAATCTTCGACCTCGTATCCAGCCTCGAAGCCGCCGAAGGTGCGCCCCGCGCTGGCACCCTACTGTCTCCGCTCCACCCGTTCATGTATTTTGTGTGTTCGTTCTTGGTTGGTTGATGTAGGCAAGGGCACGACGTTCTACTCTTGGCTCGACGTCTCGCCCACCGCGACCACCCCCGAAATCGCGCGCGCGTACCGCAAAAAGAGCATCCAGCTGCAGTCCGTACCTCCCTCCTTTCCCCCTCCCTCCCCGTCGATATCTCTCTGCAGCCAAGCACTGATCCGCTAACTCTCTGTGCAGCCCCGATAAAAACCCAGGCGTCAAGGGCATCCACGACCGCTTCGCGCGACTCGGCGTCGTCTCGACTATCTTGAGAAACGAGGAGGGACGCAAACGGTCCGTCTTTCAGCCTTGTATTTATACCCGGGCGGGGATGTTCACCCATCGATCGACTCACGTCACGCAGATATGACTTCTTCTATAAAAACGGCGTCCCACGTTGGCGCGGCACTGGGTATTACTATTCGCGCTTCCGCCCAGGTCTTGGAGTGCGTTCTTCATCTTGACGTTTTGTTCAAAAAGACAGAGCGGTTGTTGACAGACGTTGTGCAGACGGTGTTCGTCTTCCTCGTCACGGTGACCTCGGCGTTTCACTATATCGCTCTGCGCCTCAACTACGCGCGCGACGTGGCCCGTGTCGAATTTATCATTCGCGAGGCAAAGACGGCTGCATGGGGTCAGAAGTTGTCTCCTATCGAAGGACGCAGAAAGGTCCGTTCACGGCGCTTTCATTTGATTTCATTCGGACTCGGTTCGCTAAACGTTGCATTTTACTGCACTCATCAGGTAAAAGTCAACCTGGGCGGCGGAGCCCGCTACGATGACGAGGGCAATGTCATTCCGGGCAGAATGATCGATATGGTCGTCGAAGGCAATGGCGATGTATTTATGGTGCGTCTGCTATCTACTCGTCGAACGCACCTTGTCCCTCATCTGTTCTTCTGTCGCAGTATGAGTCGGACGGCAGTCTTCACCCGGTCGGCGCACACATGGCCACGCCAGCGTCCGTCCGATCGACATGGTTCATCGCGCTGATGACCTCGCAATTCGCCAAAGTCTACGGTCGCGTCACCGGCCAGAATACCGCGCATGTGCAAGATGAAGACGCAGAGACGGAAGACGGCGTGTCGGCGACGGGAACAGACTCGGATTTGCCTGAGCTGGAGTATCCGGAGCAAGCGAACGGAAAGGGAAAGGGAAGTAGCAGTGCAGCCGTTGCGGCGAGCGGGAAGGAGGCGGCGGTGAAGGCAGGGGGTAAGAGGCGCAAGGCGGTGAAGCGGCGGTGAAATGGAATGTGCTGGCTTCAGTTGTCTCCCCGTTAGACTAAATATATATCAGAGGAGCCCGGTTTTAATCTGCCCTCTGACAGGGAGCCCGACGGGAGTTGAGGTGGGCAGACGGGTAGATGTCGGAAATTGACTACTTGAAACGTGTTGATTCCGCAGTGTGCTATAGAAAGTGATGTAGAAGCAGAGCGGCCGGGTCTTGGAGATCGCTAATGGTCACGGAACGCAGTCAGAGAATGTAATGCGATGAATTTACAAGAGACATGGCATCTGTCTATAAATGCGGCGCTGATGGCTCGCGACGTGCCGAAAGCAAATGCTCTCAGTGTGCTGGGCAGATGATGCATGTTTACGCGTTCAGGAGGACAGGATTGGGCGGGCGCAGCTGATTTGACGTGAAGGCTCGATCAGATGACCAGGGACCCAGGCCGTGATGGGAGCCAGTTTGGAGCGCAGTGGAAGGACTGGGCTGTTCAGGCTCGGGACGTGGACGGAGCTGGGTTGTCGGCCGAGACTCGATATGTTTCGGAGGGGGTGCGAAGGGGACGTCAATGGCAGATTGCATGATGCGTGTGTGTGCGCGTGCGGGGGTAGGCGGTCGCAGACATCGGCAGGAAGATAGATCGGCGGCCAAGGCGGCGAGCAGGCCTGCGCGGAGAGCGCAGAGGACGGCGAGGAGAGACGGACGGGCATGGACCATGCAAGGGGCGGATAGCAGCGGAGCGGAGCGATCTGGCAGACGGGATGGGGTATAAATTGGAGAATTGGAGAGATAACGGCTTATCGGGCCAATGATAGGGGAGTGCCTTGGCAAATAGCCGTACACATTGACTCGAAAATCGATTATTATAAGCTTAGCGACGGGCTCTGACCCGATCTCATCCTCTCTCTCCTCTCCAATGGCTTTCCAATACCGTCCAGACCTCCTTGCTCCCTACCTCGCTCTCCCCCAGGGCGAGAAGGTTCAGGCAGAGTGTACGTCTCCCTCTCGCTCTCCCCACGAGTCTACAGGTCCTCACGTTCGCTACAGATGTCTGGATTGATGGCGATGGCGGTCTCCGTTCAAAGACGACCGTGCGTTTATTTTCTTCATCTGCTCGTTCGGGCTCCCCATCTCTCCCGTCGTCTCCAGACTGTCCCCAAAAAAGTCACGGACATCGGCCAGCTCCGCATCTGGGACTTTGACGGTTCCTCCACCAACCAAGCCCCGGGCAACGATTCCGACGTCTACCTCCGCCCCGCCGCCATCTTCAAAGATCCATTCCGCGGCGGCGACAACATCCTCGTCCTCGCTGAGACTTACAACAACGACGGCACCCCCAACATGACCAACTACCGTCACCACGCCAAGAAGGTCATGGACCTCGCCAAGGACTCCGTCCCTTGGTTCGGTCTCGAGCAGGAGTACACCCTCTTCGATGTCGATGGCACTCCCTACGGTTGGCCTAAGGGCGGTTTCCCTGGTCCCCAGGGTCCTTACTACTGCGGTGCCGGTACGTTCACAGCGCTCATCACTTCAGTCCGGCTGGCTATACCTGTCTCCCTCTAACGCAGGAACCGGCAAGGTTTTCGCCCGTGACCTCATCGAGGCCCACTACCGCGCCTGCCTTTACGCCGGTGTCAACATCAGCGGCATCAACGCCGAGGTTATGCCTTCCCAGTGGGAGTTCCAGGTCGGCCCCTGCGAGGGCATCTCCATGGGCGACCACCTCTGGATGGCGCGCTATCTCCTCACCCGTGTCGCCGAGCAATGGGGTGTCAAGGTCTCCCTGCACCCGAAGCCCCTTCAGGGCGAGTGGAATGGCGCGGGCTGCCACACCAACTTCTCGACCAAGGAGATGCGCGAGCCCGGCGGCATCAAGCACATCGACTCTGCCATCGAGAAGCTCTCGAAGCGCCACGACGAGCACATCGCCGTGTACGGAGAGGACAACGAGCTCCGTCTCACCGGCCGTCACGAGACGGGTCACATCAGCTCGTTCTCGTCTGGCGTCGCCAACCGTGGTGCGTCGATCCGTGTGCCAAGACATGTCGCCGCGCAGGGCTACGGGTACTTGGAGGATAGGCGTCCCGCATCCAACATCGGTATGTCCATTTACGTCTTTGCACTGGTGACGCTCGGAGCTCAGATTGGTATGCGTAGACCCTTACCGCGTGACGAGCATCATCGTGGAGACCACTGTCCTTGACAAGTAGACGCGGGCGTAGAGGAATGTATGGGTTTAGATTGTAGGCGTTCACGATAAGCGATAATACGGAGAAGTCTTTCCTTCCTTTTTGTACTTGACTTGGGGGGTCGCAAGTAGCACCAGTCCCTACTGGAACGCTGGCTTCTTTTTCAGATTCAGACCCGAGCGCTTGTCTTGGCTGAGCGCGGTGTGTTCTTTTGTCGCCGGCTTCTCGTGAGAAGCGAGCGTGATCGAGGGAAGCCTGCGTCGTTGGCAGGCGTGTGTCTGCGCGTGTCTACTTTCGTATGCGTTCTTCTTGGCGTGCACGTATGGCTTTGAATGTCACGTTGTGTCTTGGCTTCGACACTTGGAAGTGGACAATTGTCTGCAGGACGAGCGATGTGGCGAGGAATCCGCGGACTTGGCAACGCCGTTGGTTGAAGCGCAGGACATGCAAGGACAAGAGACTTGCGTGTTACAGCTTGGCGAGCGAGTGGAGGAATAGGTAGCATTTTTGGACACGCCTGTCAACCCGCGAGCGGCCTACCACCTCACATCGTTGAATCCCAAGCGTATGCACTTCGCCATTTGCCGTCGACAGCTCAAGAGGCATGCTCAGTGCTACGCTGCTTCTACGCAGCAATTATGATGAGAGATGGGCACACCGTGGTCTCTAAAATGTCAGGACATGGCGGCATGCGACGACACCGATGGCGTAAAGGTTCATCACGCATGGCATAATACATTGTGTCGGTCTAGTAGGAGTCAACGGCGACGCTCGACGGGCGTGTATATGGACGCTCTCAACGGAGAAGCAATGAACACAAAGGAATGGGAGGGTCGGTCGGATTCGCGACGGCTAGAAGATGGCCCGAATTGCGTGTGCCTTTTGCCAGCGACAACACAACGGGCATAGTGGGCTGCGACGACCCCTCCACTACCGGTCCAGAGACCCCGCCGATGGTCCAGGAGATTGGCTGCTTGGAGGGCGTGAAGTGGAACATGGGGAGCAGGGCCGCGAGGATCACCTCTGAAAGTGGATTTGAAGCGTTAGTGTTTCTCTCACAGTCTGTGTGATTGACTGACTGATTTCCAGCTGAGAAAACTTGAAACCGCTGCAGCGTTCGCTGGTTGTCAGCTCGAGTCGAGATGATGCGGGATTCAGCGCTGCTTACATGCATGAACGACCTACGCCCAGGAATGTCATTCTGTCGGGATCAGGATCGTCAGTCATGATGACTTATGCTCGAAAAATAGATTGCATGCGTATTGGCGTAGACTCCCGGAATACGAGACTCCTTGACAATGGGAGGCAGTGGCGCGAGCCATCTATCGGGCTTCCACTCCATCACATCCGGGCCCCAGATGCCTGGATCTCTGTTGACGGAGAGAATGCTGATGATGATGCCCGTGTTGCTGGGGACGAGGACCTCCGACATCTTCTTCCCGTCGACCCCGATAATCGGTGTCCCGAGCTGCAACATCGTATCCTTGCGACAGCTGGGTGAGATTCTCAGTATATTCCTGTGTGACCCTTGCATCCTCGACCATATGCACTCACGTTCGGCTGACAGTCACAGCCGGAGGGTGCCTGCGAAATGAGATAAATCGGAATATACTCCATGCACGGTATCACAGACATACAGCCTCAGGGTTTCCCTTACTACTGCTTCGAGGTACGGGAGCGCGTTGATATCGTCGAAGTTCAGGTTACCATTGGCCGTAGCCTCGGACAGTTCCGCACGAAGCTTGTCCTGAGCTGATTGGTCTTCGATGAGTATTTAAAGAATTCGAGAGAGGGCAGAGGATTTTGTATCCATAGCCGCAAATATCAAGGTACTAGTGGAAATTCAGCAAGGGTTATAACATCGAGGCAGCACGGACACTCACCTCATTTGTGCTACCAGCTCGGACTCGGGAAGGCGGTCCTCTTCCGCGGCGTCCAGATTTGCTTTCACTTCAAGATCTGTCAGGTTATGTCCCTCGATAAAGCAACAAATACGTACTCAGAACGCTGGTGATATCCTTCCCTTCTCCCACCTGCTGCAAGACGGCCTCATCGCCCATCTCCATAGCCTTTTTCTTACTCTCGAATACGTCGCGAGAAGTATGATCCATGACATCCACGATGCCGACAAGTTATTGCCATGTTTTCCATGGGAGATATCGGGCGGCGAGCCTTCGGAAAGCGGTGTTTCCGACCTTGACCACATACGGCAGGAACTGTCATGTGAGGAGATGCAATTGTCGGTCTGTCGAGAATCGCGTTATTAAACGCACAGGGCAACGTGGAGGCTGCTTACAGGAGGGTCTTCGTAGCATTAGCGTATGCATTGTTGGCGTTGACGTTCATGGTGTCGAACGAGTACCCGAGCCCGCCTTGACCTATAATCTCGAGAGCAGCGCGCGTCATCCAATCCATGATGTCGACCTCGGCCTTTCCATTACCGTCCCCGACCTTTCCTGACAGGATGTCCCGAAGCTACAGAAGAGAGAAAACGATACGATGACGAGCTTGTAGGTGATCCTTAAAATCGAAGCGCTCACTTGGTGGGCTATCCGATCGAATATCGGGGTCATGTAGCGCATGTGGCTGCTAGAAAATACAGGGTTCAGGAGTTTCCTCTGTCGCTTGTGGTGGTCCCTTGTCGTTGAAGAGATACATCGAAACACTGTTTTCGGATATCGTCGCATCGAACTACTCACCTAGAGTCGACGCCAGACCTTGACCAAATATGAGCTTATTCGTCCTTGAGAGGCACAGTCAATCACTTGTGTAGTCCCCCCTTGCAGATAGAAAAAAGCGCCTTACTCGATCAATTCTGACGGTTCTTCGAAAGCAGCTGAGTCTTTGAAGAGGATCTGATAGAGCGACCGAGTATCGCTGACGTAGAGGAAGGAGTCCTGTAAAGAGTATAAGCCCAAAAAAAATGTCCTGGTGCACAAGTACTCACGCCGAGGATCCCGCTGAGTTTCACAATTCTGCCATAGTCGGCCGCAATATCGGCATGGAATTTCCAGCCGTGGTGATCATGAACTTGGCTCATATTACCTGGAGACTGTTCAAAATCGCGAAACCCGTGCAACGCAAATGATAACACTGACCCGACCAGAGAGACTTGCTGGGAGGTCCGGGAATATTGCGGAGCGGGGTCTGCTTGACCCAGCGAGTGACCACCTTCCATATCAACGATATCCCGCAGGCAACAAGTAGGCTAACAGCTATTTCCACAGCAAGCATAATGATCGCTGTGAGGATTTGAGCAATCGAGACACTGGTACTTTATAGTACAAAGAACGTCGTCGGCCAGCTCTCGTGGGGCTCCAGAGGCTTCATGGGAAAGAATCCTATTACGCTCGCCAGTTCGGGCACGACGAGCCCCTCGTCGAAGCTGAGAACGTGGGCAAGCGACCCAAATTATTGTCATGTTGTCGATGCTCTTTATACTCGGTGCCTCCTCCACAGGCCGAAACTCCATGATGTGACAATATGGAGTCATGGCACGTGCAAATCCCTGTTGAAGAACTATATTTTCACACAGGCCGAAACTCCATGATGTCACAACACGCTGTTAGCTGCGGTGCAAAGTCCGTCGAAGGACGACAGTGCTCACTTGGATAGTTGATATCGCCGTAGTCGGCGATAGAATACAGTGACAACGGGCGACAAACAAAGCGCAGGCTTAGCGCCGACAATCCGCTCCTCAGGGCTTGAACGCGGCATCGTGAACTGCAATTTGACCATTGGTAATTCAACGTACTCTGAAATGCGACTCGCAGTCTTCTTGATATTCTATGCCGAAATCCGGATAGACAGGCAGAACATTAGATGTCGATTGCCTCACGGCAGTCTTACGGCTCACTGATTGGTGTCCGGAGCTGACAGGGCCTTTTCCAAGCGGTCGTTCGCATCGCGGCGGCTACTGGCACACACTCGTATCAATAGCCAGGGGGTCAATTGGTAAGAACCTGCTCACCGACTTCACATCGAGGTCATGACAGCACGACAAGACAAGGCGGGACCGCATGTGGTCGGGCGTGTGTTAGAGAATGGGGACTCGATGAGTGGTGGTATACCTAATGTGTATCATGAAATTTGCAACTTACCGGTATTTTAGGCGAGAATGATCGAAGGCGGAGCATTTACGAAGAGACAACACGGTCGCATCTCGGCCTTCGACGAATTAGCTGACAACATACAGGAACTTGTCCCTTCTCCCATCTATCGCTGCAGGTCTTTCTTTTGCCTCTAGTCAACCAGTAGCCGGGTAGTGAACAAGTCTCAAAGATCTCACTTTCAACGTCTAGTATTTCAGCGTTTGGGGTCGAGCCTCACTGAAGACTAATAAGTGTTTCCCGGGAAAGCCCGAAGGGACGGCATACAAGCTCAGCCAGACTCAGCGATGCTGCTTCCTTGACTGACCGGCGGAATTTAGCGGCCAATAAGGCCGAGACTGCCGTGAAATATTGAAGGTACAAGCATTTGATACAAGACGATGAAATGAATCCATGGCCAATTCTTCGACCATGTTGCGTGTGCAACCAGTTACTCACCAATCCCCTCTTTCGCCGATGTTAAAACGAGAGGCATAGTTGGCTGGGACGATCCCTCTACCAATGGCCCAGAGACACCTCCCATAGACCAAGAGATGCGCGTCTTGGATGGAGCGAAGCGGAAGGCGGGTAGCAGAGCCGCCAGTACTATTTCTGAAAGCGAGCACAAAGTTTTGAGTAAGCATTCACCAGAACTAGTCCCCTCTCAGTCATTGTAAAAGACTGACTTATTTCCAACAGAGAAAACCTAAAGCCACTGCAGCATTCACCGACAGTCAGCACAGGTATAGTGAGGGTGAGATTCGAGGCTGCTTACATGCATGAATGATCTCCACCAAGGAATGTCATACTGTTGGGATCAGAATCGTGAGTCATGATGTCATTAGGGCTTGAAAAATAGATGGCATACGTGTTGGCGTAGACTCCCGGAATACGAGACTCCTTGACATTGGGAGGCAGTGGCGCGAGCCATCTCTCGGGCTTCCACTCCATCACATCCGGGCCCCAGATGCCTGGATCTCGATTAACGGAGAGGATGCTGATGATGATGCCTGTGTTGTTCGGGACGAAGATTTCCGAAATCTTTTGTCCGTCGACCCCGATAGTCGGTGTCCCAAGCTGCAACATCGTGTCTTTGCGACAGCTGCAAGAAGCGCTCAGTGAATACTCTTGCATCCTCGACCCAGTGCACTTACGTTCGGTTGGAAATCGCAAGTGGAGGATATCTACAAAATGATATAAATCAGGATATCCTCGATGAACTGTGAAAACACACACAGCCTGAGAGTTTCCCGTACCACAGCTTCGAGATATGGGAGCACGTTTAGGTCATCGAAATCTAGGCTACCATCGGTCGTAGCCTTGGACAATTCTGCACGAAGTTTGTCTTGAGCTGACGGGTTCTCGGCGAGTATGTGAAGAATTCGAGAGAGGGCCGAAGATGTGCTATCCGAAGCTGCAAATATCAAAGTGCTATTGAAATATCAGTAGGCGATAAAACATCATGGCAGGATGAAATTTTACTTCATTTGAGATAGCAATTCGGACTCAGGAAGACGATCTTCCTCCATGGCATGAACACGTACGAAGAACACTCAAAATATCCTTCCCTTCTCCAACCTGCTTCAAGACGGCCTCATCGCCCATCTCCAGAGCCCTTTTCTTACTATCGAACACATGTCGAGAAGTGTAATCCATGATCTTCACAATCCCGACGAGATTTTGCCATTCTTTCCATGGAACATATTTCGCCGCAAATTTTCGGAAGGCGGCATTTCCGATCTTGACCAACCAAGGCAGGAACTGTCCTGTGATCATCATCTTAGGGGACGCAATCGTCGGTCTGTTGAGAATCGCGTGAGTAATCGCACAGGGCGACGTAGACGCTGCTCACAGGAGGTGCTTCGTTGCGTTGGCATACACATTTTTGGCGTTGACGTTCATACTGTCAAATGAGTATCCAAGCCCTCCTTGACCGATGATTTCGAGCGCAGCACGGGACATCCAATCCATCATGTCGACTTCGGCCCTTCCCTTTTCGTTCTCGATCTTGACTATTAAGACGTCCCGAAGCTGGCAATATAATGATGAGGCTTCATTTGACCATCAAGATGTAAGTTTTCACTTGGTGAGCTATCCGATCAAATATGGGAAACATGTGGTGCAAGTGTCTGGTAGAAAACGCGGGGGTCAGGTGTTTCCTCTGTCGCTTGTGGTCTTCCCCTGTTAAAGAAGCACATTGACACCGTTTTCGGGATATCTTATGTCGAATTACTCACCTAGAGCCGATGCTATACCCGGCCCAAATATGAGCTTATTCATCCTGGAAACCGCATTCATCACCTATTGAGTTCACCTACAGATAAAAGAAAATCCCTTACTCGATCAGCATTGAAGGTTCTTCGAATACATCAGGGTCTTTGATGAGTATCTGATAGAGCGCACGAGTATCGCTGACGTAGAGGAAGGTGTCCTGTGATAAAGTTGAGCATGGCCGACAACAGTTCGTCTGTCCTTGTACGCACGCCCAGAATGCCGTTGATTTTCACTACTCTGCCAAATTTGGCCGCAATATTGGCGTGAAATTTCCAGCCATGAGGATCGTGGACTTCGCTCATGTTTCCTGAACGCCGTTCCGTGAGTCGCAAAGGTCGCACATCACAGAAACATGCAGACTGACCCGACCAGAGAGACTTGCTCGGAGGGCCAGGAATATTCCGGAGGGACGCTTGCTTCATCCTGCGAGTGACCAACTTCCACATCAAGGCCATCCCGCAAGCCGCAAGAAGGTACGCAGTAGATTGCACAGTGATCATAGTAATTGCGATAAGCACTTGAAGAAGGAGAGTTCAACGAAAAGCTACAGGATGTTACGATTTGAGCACCAGAGACACCGATTATTTATATCTCGCGCGGAGTCAGTTAATCAGCCATTCACATTGCGGAACCTTTCCTGTTATGTTCGGTGAGTCATTAGTCGACTCAATACTCAGGCCGTCACAAGACGAGCCATCACGGGACGAGTCAACCTCGGGCCCGAGACAAGGTAAGGCTGCGTGCCGGCGGGCATGTGTTGGAGGTCGAGTCTCGATGAGTGAAGGTATGCCCGAAGTGCATCATGAAACTCATGACTCACCAATGCCACATGACAAAGGGATCCGGAGGCAGAGTGCCTACGAAACGACAATAGATGATGCACGGTCGCATTTCGACATCCAAAGATAGGAGTGACATCTGTCAGAGGTAGGAGAAACCTTCAATTAGGCGCCAGACGACGATAATTGAAACCAACCAGACGGGTGATTTTTCTGATCTGTGATGTGTGCATCATATGCCAGCGACTAACATGCTGATTGAAAAGCATCATGAGTACCGAGCGAGAGATTTACTACCTTGCAATTGATCCGTACTTCGGAAAAGGAAAAAAAAACCTGCTGTAAGGCTTCGGCTTCTGCCGCCGCTATTCATACATGCGTGTTGTTTCACAACGACCTCACCACGAACACATCTGGATCTGGCCTTCTCTTCAAAAACGTCCCATTGAACACAACCGACACTATATGCTACAGAATGACCTCAACGCCAACTACCACAAGGCCGGCAAGCACGACATACCTGTCTGGTCCATTACTGGGACGAGGTGGAACCCTTAATGGGACGCACGTGGCAGCGTCGACTGGAAATTCGACTGAGCCCCCTTGGCCGACAGCGTGAATGACAGGCTGCCGCCGTGCGCGATGCTGATCCGCAGGTCGACAGGCGGTACGGTCGCCAAAAGTCAGAGTGAACTGACGCATCGACGCATCGCCTACCTAGTATGAGCACAGTATCGTATCAGAAAAGAAACAGAAAGGAAATGATACCTGTATCTGCGGCCCGGGATGAAGATCTCTGACAATTTCTTCATGTCGACCCCAATTTTAGGCGTTCCGGAGGTAACGATACATGTCTTCAAACACTGCAGCGTCTTTATGTAGGTGATCGTTAACTCTATCCAGTCAAGAGTATTGAAGTTTGCGTGCAGCTGATAAAATGGATTTGGAGGATGCCTATATTGTTGCTATGCTCAGGAAGCAAGCTTGCGGTGTTCCGTGTCGCATTAGATGCCAAATAATTATGAATTGCGGGACTGGGTTTCTCCGATATAGATTACACGCATGTATGCACTCAGGGAACGGGTGGACCAGGGAATCCTTGGAGAGGAGGACGACGATGGGAAATGACCGAGACAAACTTCACAGACGAGGTTTTGCCAGCAAGGTCTAGCAGGGTGTTACCGAGTAAGTTTAAACTCAGCGACGGTCGAGCATAACCAGAACATAACGAGATCTCACAACACTAGACGATTCCACCGATAGGATCTAACAAATTTGTCGTGATACATTCTCTTGGTTCGGCTGCGTGCAAACAAGTCTTCGAAGAGTACAACCACAAGTAATGATACAAATAAACGAGACGGTAGGGCAGATACATGGCCAGCTCCTCAGCTATATTGCGTGTGCAACGGGTCACACACCGTTTTTGCCTTTCACCAACGTCAGCACGAGGGGCATGGTTGGCTGTGACGATCCCTCTACTACGGGCCCAGAGACCCCTCCCATGGTCCAGGAAATGTGCTTCTTGGATGGTGCAAACTGAAAAGCGGGCAGCAGAGCCGCAAGTATCACCTCTAAAAGTGAACGCAGAGCTTATCGTTAGCGTTCACCTCACGATCAGTGGAATAGACTGACTCATTTCCAACTGAGAAAACTTGAATCCGCTGTGTCATCCTCCGACGGTCAATTTTTACCATAGCAAGGGTGGAAATTAAGGCTGCTTACATGCATGCACGGCCTCCACCCAGGAACGTTAACCTGTTTTGATGAGAATTGTGAGTCACAATGCCTTATGCTTGAGAGCCCTAGAAGCAGATGACATACGTATTGGCATAGACTCCGGGAATGTGAGCATCCGTTACACTGGAAGGCAGTGGCGCAAGCCATCTCTCGGGCTTCCACTCCATCACATCGGGGCCCCAGATGCCTGGGTCTCTATTGACAGAGAGAATGCTGATGATAATGCTCGTGTTGTTGGGGACAAATATTTCCGACATTTTTTTCCCGTCGACCCCTATGATTGGTGTCCCGAGCTGCAGCATTGTGTCCTTACGACAGCTGCATAAAACTTTCAACATATTTCTCTTGCATGCTCGACTCAATGAACTTACGTTCGGTTGACAGAGACAGCTGGAGGATGTCTGTGAAATGATATAAATCAGGATATCCTCGATGAACTGTGAAAACACACACAGCCTGAGGGTTTCCCGTACTACGGCTTCGAGGTACGGGAGCGCGTTGAGGCTATCGTAGTTCAGATCACCATTGGCTGTAGCCTCGGTCAATTCCGCGCGCAGCTTGTCTTGAACTGATGGGTTCTCGGTGAGCAGTTGAAGAATCCGAGAGAGGGCGGAGGATGTGGTATCCATAGCTGCAAATATCAAAGTGCTATTGAGATATCAGCAGAAGCTATAATATATAGAAGGGCAAATATTCACTTCATTTGAGCTACCAGTTCGGACTCGGGAAGACGATCCTCCTCCGCGACATCCATGTTTGCTTTCACTGGTGTAGCGAATTCAGGATCCGTCAGGCCATGTCTCTCGATAAAAGCGGCAGGTACGTACGAAGAATACTCGTGAGATCCTTCCCTTCTCCAACTTGCTTCAAGACGGCCTCATCACCCATCTCCAGAGCCCTTTTCTTACTATCGAACACATGTCGAGAAGTGCGATCCATGACGTCCACAATCCCGACGAGATTTTGCCATTCTTTCCATGGAATATATTTCGCTGCAAATTTTCGGAAGGCGGCATTTCCAACCTTGACTGCCCACGGCAGGAACTGTCCTGCAATCATCATCTTAGGGGACGTAACCGTCGGTCTGTCAAGAACGCATTAATAAACGCACAGAGCGATGTAGACGCTACTCACAGGAGGTTCTTCGTTGCGTTGGCATACACATTTTTGGCGTTGACGTCCATACTGTCAAATGAGTACCCAAGCCCTCCTTGGCCAATGATCTCAAGAGCGGCACGAGTCATCCAATCCATCATGTCGATTTCGGCCCTTCCCTTTTCGTTCTCAACCTGTTCGGTTAGGACGGCTCGAAGCTATTGAAAAAGGGGTATACAACAACACGACGATGAGGCTTCATTTGACAATCGAGATGTAAGCGCTTACTTGGTGGGCTATCCGATCAAATATGGGAGTCATGTAGCGCATGTGGCTGCTAGAAAACACGGGGGTCAGGAGTTTCCTCTGTCGCTTATGATCTTCCCCTGTGAGAGATACATTGACATCATTTTGTTAGGGATATCTTGCGTCAAAATACCCACCCAGAGCCGACACCAAACCCGGACCAAAGACGAGCTTATTCATCCTAAAAAACACGTTATTCGCCTATTGAGTCCACCTGCAGATGGGAAAATATCCCGCACTCTATTACTTCCGATGGTTCTTCGAATGTATATTGATCTTTGATGAGTATCTGATAGAGCGCCCGGGTATCACTGACGTAGAGGAAGGCGTCCTGTGACAAAGTTGAGCATGACCAACAGAAATTCTTCCATCTTCGTACTCACTCCAAGGATACCATTGAGCTTTACGATTCTCCCATATTTGGCCGCGATGTCGGCATGGAATTTCCAACCGCGAAGATCAAAAACTTCACCCATATTTCCTGGACATCGTTCTAGGTCGCGAGCATCGTACGACAGACATGACAAGACTGACCTGACCAGAGAGACTTGCTGGGAGGACCAGGAATATTCCGGAGGGGCGCCTGCTTCACCCAGCGAACGACCAACTTCCATACCAAGGCTGTCCCGCACGCCGCAAAAAGGCCAGCGGCGAATTGCACAGCGAGCATAGTCATTGGAGAGAAGAGTAAAGGAAGGGCAGATTGCTACAAGGGACAACCAGTCTATGAAAGGTTACGATACGAGCAATACAGACACTGAACCTTTATACCTCGCGTGGGGTCGATTGATCAAGCTCTTGTGGGGCTCAAGATGTTTCATGGGAACGGATCCTATTCCCCTCGCCCATTCAGGCAGCATGAGCCACTCGCCGAAGACGAGAACGTGTACAAGCGCCCTGAAAATGTCGACATCCCGTCGAGGCTCACACTCTATGTGCTTCTCCACAGCCCGAAACTCCATGATGAGGCAATATCGTGTTTGTCCGCGCACGCAGAATCCCATCGAAGGACGATGTTGCCAGTGCGATAGATGGTATCGCCGCACTCGGCGATACCAGGAAGCGTCCATTGACATCGCGCTAGCGCCGCCAACAAGCTCCGCGAAACCACGAATGCGACACAATCGTCTAGACAACTGAGCTCGGGTAAGTGAACGCACTCCGGGGTGCGAATTACGGCCTTCTGGACGTCATGTGCCGACATTTAAAGGAGCAGGTGATGCTTTGAGGAAGGAAGATGAGTGGATATCGTTTGTCCAAGCCATTGTTCGTCGAAGCAGACGAGCTCCTATTAAGAATTACAAGCCTTTCGAGGGAGCCAATCACACCGCGAGACCTCACCGTCACACACTTGTATAATTAGCCTAGGGTTTGACTGTTCAGTGATTCGCTAATCCACTGAGGTCATCTCAGGAGGAGTCAACTCCGTGCTCGAGACAAGGTGGGGCTGCGTGCAGTCGGGCATAGGTTGGAGATTGGCTTCGATGAGTGGAGGTATGCCCGATGTGCGTCATGAAACTCGCGACTGACCAATGTCACAGGCCAGAGGCATCCAAAGCGGAGCGCTCTACGAAAAAACAACAGTCGCATCTTGGCAGTGGCGACATCTGTCAGAGGTATGGAATTTTTCAATCGGCTGATTATCAGGAAGGTATTTTTAGATTATTTGCGCCTAAGCATTCCCTAAAGCTGAATATGTCAATGTAGCGGACACCATGTGACAAAGTTAGAACCGAATGAGGTATGTTTTTTTTTCGCACCCTGTGATACCTGCATTGTGCGCGCAGCAACGACTAGAGACTCACTGCCTGGCGAATATTATATATGTTGCACTTGATCTGCACTCCGAATAAGAAAACCTGTTGTTACAATCCGGCTTCTTCCACCGCTATTTACACATGCGTGTTATTCCACAACGACCTCACCACAAACTCGTCTGGATCCGGCTCGCTCTTCGACACCGCCCCATTGTACACAAACGACACTGTCCGTCACAGGAACGACCTCAGCGCCAACAACCACAAGACCGGCCGGCAAGCAAGACGCACCTGTCCTGTCCATTCCCGGGACAAGGTAGAACCCGTTCGACGGGACGCCCGTAACGGCGTCGACGAAGTACCCGACCGAACCCGCCGGGTGATCTAGCCACGTCCACGGCGCGACGCCCCCCTTGGCCGACAGCGTGAACGTCAGACCGCCGCCGTGCGTGACGCTGATCTGCGGATCGACGAGCGGTGCGGTCGCCAAAGACGCAGGCGTGAACTAACACACCACATATGAGCGAAGGAAACATAGCAAGAGCGAGGCCCGAGAGGAGACGCGTACAAACTGCTCGCTCGTGACCGTCCCGCCGTCCACCTCCGCCGTCACGTTCAGCAACAGCCACACCTCAGACGCGCCCTTACCCTTCGGCAAGATGCTCTCCAGCCCCTGCCCCCGAAACAGCACCGAGTTGTTCAAGCTCGGCACCACAAACGCCTTGCGCGCCGTCTCCAGCGCGTTGCCCTCCCAATCGAACCACGTCCACTGCGCAGCGCCCCGCACCGCCTCCCACCGGTCCGACGTGACGACGATCTCCAAGCTCGCGTTCGTTGGCGTCCAGAACGCGTTGATCACGACGGGCTGATACACGCTGCTCAGCGTGTACTGCAGCACCTTCCACCGGCCCGAGTACTCGATGCTGCTCCAGCTCGCGCCTTGCCAGATGTCGTTCAGCTGCCACACGAGCGCGCCGAGGTTGTTCTCGCCCTGTCCCGCCCCGCGCCGGTACCACGCGATCTGCGAGCCCATCGTCATCGCCTGGAAGATTTGCGTGCTCCAGCACCACTGGGCGAACGTCTGGTTCGAGTCGGACGTGCCGGGCGTCGGTAGCCAGAGCTCGACGGCGGTCGTCATCTGCGCTTGCCCCTGCGCAGCGTTCGGATTCGGGAACGCCAGGCTTCCGGCGGGCGGGTGATGATCGCGCGAGGCGACCACAGTCGAGTTGAAGGAAAAGTCATCCGGGGACGTGAGGACCTCCTCCCAGCTGTAAAACGACGGCTGAGAATGGAAGCTAGGGCGGTGTCAATGCCAGTCAGTCGTCGAATCACTTTTCGTCGGAAAGATTTACCCGAATTCGTTGACAAACCTAAAAATACATCCGTCATCATAATGCTCATCAGATACAGCACCGGAACGACGCACCGAGAAACAGGGAACGTGCTGTAATTGAAAGCTTGCGAACCGTCATAGTTGTATCGTTCTACCGAACATACACCAGCCCTTGTGAGCGAACCCATGTTGCATTGTACATCGGACCACGTACCGCTGTTCCCGTAGATCTCGCCCGGCGTCCCGTTCGCGAATCTCAGAATCAAGGGGTCGATACTTAGCACCCCGTGTGTCGTCGAACAATCCGTGTACGGAACCTGGTCCACGTCAGAAAATTGCGTACAGGAAGAGTTATGTGCATTCCGCCGACCACGAAACTCACTGAATTGGTCTCGTCGTACGCCGTATCGTGTAGAATATCCTGGAACAGAGTGACATACTGCCCAAGGTCGAATCTCCTCATTAATAAACCAACCAACACGCACGCAATTCCCACTCACCTCATCCAGATAGTGCTTCGCGTCTGCCACCCCACTCACATTCACCCCCTGCACGATGCCCTCGATCTCGTTCCCGCCCGCCCACTGCACATTGCTCGCGTGCCGGTTCACCCTGCGCACGTTCTGACGCACCTCGACGTCCACCGAGTCAAGCAGCCAGTCGTCAAGCGCATACAGCGCGTCGGAGAATATAAACTCGGACCACGCGAGGATCCCGAGCGCGTCGCACGTCGCGTAGAACGAGTACGTGTCCGTCACATGCGGCGGATAGGCCAGCGTCGTCCCCACCGACGTGCTCGACGGCTGGTACACCCCGCCGCCCCACACGCGCAGCTGTGCACCCGGTCCGTCGAGTCAGCGGCGAACCCAAATCCGACCGCATCCAGAACTGCGGCGCACCATGTTCTGCCCGCTCCGGACCGCGCTCTCCAGCACCCACGCGACCTGCGCGTCCGTGATGCGCGCGTAAAACGGGTCGAACGGGATGATGTTCGTCCCCAGCGCGTAGAACGCCTTGCCGTTCACCTCAAAATGCCACTGGTCCCCTGGCGTGATGCCGCGTGCGGCGACTTCCGCGTCGGGGTACCGCGTCTGCGCGAGCCGGATCGTTCGGAACCCCACGGGCGTCGTGAGCGTGATCGAGCCAGCGCCTGAGCGTGACGTGCTGTTGTCAAAGGGGCGAGACTCGGAGAGGTGGAGATCGAGCGTGAGCGTGAGGTTGTAGAGCTTCGGCGTGCCGAGGTTGTGTGGATACCAGCGCTCGGGGACGTTGTCGTGGATCGTCCAGTCGGCGGTGCTGAGCCAGGTGGGCACGCTCACCACACTATGAGACCCTGCGGAACTCGCTCGAATGGGCGGCAGAGCGATCGGGTGCGACGTCAGGCCGAGTTCAGCGATGGACAGCGTGAGCGAGGGCGACAGCGCGTCGACGACGGAGTGCACCGCAAGCGACACGTTCACGACCCACGGCGCGGTCTCGTCGGGCGGGTCGCCTGTTGCTGCGACGTATCCTTGCTTGAAGATGTCGATCGAGGACTCGGAGATCAGGATCGGCGAGCTCGACGAAGACGTTCGCGAGGCATCTGTGTCTGACGCTTTGGGGTCGCTCGGATCTGACAGAGTGATGAAGTACGCAGGTTTGTGAATGCCCGAGGGGACAAATGCGGGTCCCTGCCATGGGCGACACGTTCGATGATCAAAGATAGCTTGAGCACAGGGAAAGAAATACGGACCCAGTCCCACCCAAAGTCTGACTGGATTTTTCGGATCCACATGCGCACGCCAGGATACTCGAACTACGTAACACATGAGCCCCTCTGAGCGACGCAAATCATGCGAGAACAACGCGCACATCACCGGTCACCGGGAAATGCTCCGCATCCGGCCTGGCGGTGACGTTGAGACCATACCACCAAGCGGATTCGAAGGCGACGGTGAGGTTCGTGTTTTTGCGTTGGGGACTCGCGAGGATATCGGACACGTCGAAGACGTACTGCTGGAACTGGTTGCTGACCCACGCGACGGGCTGGCCGGCGAGGGTCTTGGCAGCGCATATATTAAGGCCTCAGTGCTGGGACGTGCAAGCATGGCTGCGTACGATGTTCGCAATGGTATCGATTCCGTAGAAGACAAGAAGGGTCTTTTGCGCGTTCTTAAACGCGTTTGAGCGGACGAAAGAGGAAACGTCTGCGGTGTACGTCCAGTTGTCGTTTGTGATCCACCTTTGAGTGAAGTCTGGAGAGTAGAGCCGACGGTCGGCGCGTATGCCGCAGAACGGCAGAGTATATGCGCACCATTGAGCTCCAGCAAGGGCTCGGTGATGACTCCGGCCTTCATGAGGTCGAGATGCACTTGGGAGGGAAGCGAGCCCGGTACGACGACCGAGCCGTTCTGATTGCTGAGCGACCAAGAGAGATCGGAGAGGCTGAAAACGTCGGCAAAGGCGCGACCGTGGAGACATGCGAGGGCAGAGAGCAGGAGTCCCAAGCGTCGGAGTCGACCCATGGCGATGCGAGAGAAACGAAGGAGGACGCGTGGGCCATCGCGCACGACGGGTACTTAAGCTGGGTGTCGCGGCAGGTGACCGCGCACGATGGGCAGGAAGTCGCGGAGAAACACGTACAGCCCCGAGAAGAGGGCCGCGTGATGTCAGCGCTCGCTCTCCCTGCGACGACGATGGACGGCCAGCCGCTCTCGCTCCAGGCCTTCCTCCAGCTCCTCACGGCCAGCAACCTCCCCATCACACGCGCGATGGCCGTCGCCGCAAAGATGTCAGCTGATGTCCGTTCCCCGTGCACCGTGCATGCACTCACCCCCGCCCACAGATACAAACAGCACAACACCCCCGCCCGCCTCGGCCGACTCACCAACCTCGAGCTCGCAAACCTCGGCATCGCCGACAAGGACGATCGCAAGCTCGTCCTCGCCGCCATCGCCAAGGCCGGGTACCGCGCGCAAGCCGTCCACGATTCCAAGCTCGCGGAGGGCAAGAAGCGCAAGGCCGCCGGCCCAAGTACGGGGGCAGCCGCCGAGGAGGAACGCGATGCGAGCATGCAGGCAGGGCCGTCCAAGGTGCGTCTGGCGCGCGACCGATATCTCTCCTCGGGGCCTCACACACCCGCCGCGCCCCCGCCCAAATCTCCCCCGCCGCGGCCCAAAAAGCGCCGCAAACGTGCACCCGCCGCCGATCTCTCCACGAACGAGTTCCTCCCCGAGCGCTCCGCAGAGGACGCCACCGAGCTGAGCACCCTCGACTTCGACGAGCTCCTCGACGAAGCCGCCCTCGCCACCAAGTCCACCGTCGTCAACCGCGCCCCGATCATGATGGCGTGGGCCTTCATCGTCGCCGAGCGCCTCGGCTTCCAGCGCGCAGAAGCCCTCAGCATCGGTGCGTCCCCCACTCCCACTCCCACTCCCACTCCACTCCCACTTCCTTCCCCAACCCATCGCCCATATCCACCCGCTCACCACGCCCCCAGCCTCCGTCTACACAGAAATGAACGCCATCTCCAAAGGCGTCGCCCTCAACATATTCCCCACCACCCAGCCCTACACCCTCGCCGCCGCCGACGCCTCCCCGCACGGCGCCCAGCCCTACGTCACCCTCCTCTCCCGCCGCGTCCCCCTCCTCCAAACCGCCGCGGGCACCTGGCGCGCCCTCGCCCTCTCCCCCTCCGCGCACGCGGGCCCCGCCCCGCCCGGCGCCGCGCACGCCTACATCGCCCGCGCGCTCAAGCACACCGCCCCCGCGGTGCTCGGCGCGCTGCGCCTCCTCGCCGCGAGCTACGCGGACGCGGACGCCCTCAACCGCGACGGGTGGGCGCTCTACGCCGCCTTTCGGCCCGCGGTCGACGGCTGGGGCCAGCGCGGGGAGGTGCGGTGCGCGACGATCTTGGGCCTCAGGAAGCAGAGCGGGCGCGCCCCGGGGCCAGGGTCGGGGTCAGGCGACGCGGTGCTGAGGGAGGGCTTGGTCGAGTTTGAAGAGAGTCGAGAAGCCTCCGAGAAGCCTGGTCCAGGCGCGGACATTCCGCAGGCAGCAGAGGCGAGCGGGGTCAAAGCCGAACCTGACCCCGCGCTCTCGGACGACGACGCGCTGTTCGACGACACATTCACCGCCGAAGATCTCAGCCACCTACCATGATAGCGCATGCTTGTGCTCTTTCCCAACGGCGCGATGGCTCCACATTAGTGTATAGCGCTGTAAGAGATGACAAGAAGACGACGACGGCGGGCGGCGCAGCCGTGCGCCGTTCGGGCCATTATTCCCTGTACGATAACACGACACTATCTATTCCAGCCACGTCCGCAGTTCCACAGAGTCCCACTCCACCTGCCCCCGACCTGGCTTTTTTTAGACGAGGCTCTTGATGACGGCCGCGGTGAACTCGGACGTGGTCGCGGAGCCTGCAAGACATCACGGGAACGGTCACGACGGACGGCCAACGGGGAGAGACGCGACGGGGACGTACCACCCATATCGGCAGTGCGGACCTTGCCGGCGTTGATGACGTCGAACGTCGCGCGCCCGATGTTGTTCGCGATGTGGTCGAGGCTGGGGACGACGAAGGGGTCAGATGTGGAGCGAGCGAGGAGCAGAGGCACGTTACCCGAGATGCCTGAGCATCATCGTGGCGGAGAGGATCATGGCGGCGGGGTTGGCGCGGTTGGTGCCCATGATGTCTTTCGCGACGTGACGACAGCCAGGCTCGAACAGCGCGTATTCCTACACAAAAAGCGTCAGAGAGGTCGACGAGTCCATGAGAAGCGCGAGGCTCACACGACCGACGTTGCACCCAGGGACGATGCCGGGTCCGCCGACGAGGGCGGCGCCAATGTTCGACACGATGGCGCCGTACAAGTTGGGCATGACCATGACGTCGAACTGGGTCGGGCGTGCGACGAGCTGCATGGACGTGTTGTCCACGATCATGTCGTTGAACTCGATGCCCGAGGAGCGGTACTCCTCCGCGACGCGGCGGAAGGTGTTGAGGAAGAGACCGTCGCCGAGCTTCATGATGTTCGCCTTGTGCACGCAGGTGACTTTCTGCACGTGGTGTGAGGGCTCGGTTAGCGGAGCGTGGGTGGTGGGCGCGCGGACCTTACCTTGCGGTTGTTCTTGAGGGCAAAGTCGAAGGCGAAGCGCGAGATGCGCTCGGCCTTTGCGCGGGTGGAGACCTTCAAGCTCTCGACGACGCCCGGGTAGCTCTGGTGCTCGAGGCCGGAGTACTCGCCTTCGGTGTTCTCGCGGATGATGGCAAAGTCGACGCCGGAATGGCGGGTGGGGAAGCCGGGGAGGGACTTGCAGAGGACGACGGAGGCGTAGATGTCGAGCTGCTGGCGCATGGCGACGTTCCAAGAGATGTGGCCGGACTGGGAAATGGGGGTGAAGAGGATGCCTGCACGGAAGGGGCGGGTGAGGTCATGCGAGAAGCGACGGGCGGAAGAACGCGGAAGAGGGAGAGGGAGGGCGCACCCTTGAGGCCGACTTTGTTGCGCTTCAAGCTCTCCATGGCCTGCTTGAAGAGGTCTTCGCCGGAAGAAGACATGCCCGAGACGTCGTACTGGTCCCACTCGATGGGGGCGTTGACATACTCGAAGATTTCCTTGACGGAGTCTGTGATTTCAGCACCGACACCGTCACCGGGGATGAGGGTGACCTGGAGAGAACAAACGGTCAGAACGGAGGCCTGAGGAAGAGAGCGCGCGACGCACGGTGTGCACGCCGCCGTATTTTGTGGGAGGCTAGGACGGGAGGTGAGTGGGTGCGGCGAAAGAGGCTCGAGTGGACGCACTCGCTCTGCGACCCTTGGGAAGGCAGCCGAGAGGGTTGTGGCTGTGCGCTGCGGGAGGTGAGCTGGGACGGAGTCTGGAGAAGGGAGCGACGTACGGCCTGGGCGAGGGCGGGGCGGGAGGCGGCGGCGAGGGCGTTGCGCAACATGGCGGGTGAGGAAATGAAGAAGAAATCCAGCAGACCAAACGCTCTTCGCCCCGGAACAGATCGGCCGTCCCGGGCCAGCGAGCACGGGATCGCCCGCCCGATTCCATCTGCGTCACGCGATGCTGACCCCCGCGGCTCTCGTCATCAGCGCGCTCGGACTCGAGTCCATTCCGTCGACTGACGAGCTCGACCAGTCGCTCGTTTGGGCTCTGGCTGGCGAGATGCTCGGCCCTCGCCGTTCTTTATCAACCAGTCGACCACCACGCGACCTCCCCGCCACCATGCCCCCTCAGCTCCCCCACAAGGACTCGACGCCCTCCTGCGTCTCCGACGTTCCCCACACGACCCCCGCTCGCGACCTCTCCTTCTACGCCGCGTTACTCTTCGTCGTCCTCCCCGTGTGGTCCGTACCACCCCTGTCCTGGATCTATGTGCTCTGTACCCTCCACACAGGCTCCCTCTGGACGCTCTCCGGTGTCCAAATGGCATGGTTCGCGTGCGCGCTGGCCGAGGTGGGCATCAGGCCTTGTTCGACTCGCGACCGATCAACCTGACCTCGCTTTCATACGCCAGGTCTTCTTCTCCCTATACCACTTCAATCTCGCCCGTTTCGTGACCGGCCCCTGCCCAATCCCCGCCGGCGACCCCGCAGAGCTCCAAGCCGCCTTTCGCCGCGTCACAAAGGCCGGTCTCTCTTCTCTCTCAGATGACGCCTTCGACGAAGAGACGCTGGACGTCAGTCGCCCGGGCAGCCCCGCCGAGGTCGTCGAACAGCTCGATCGCGACGACCCCCGCGCGGTCGACTTCCGCAACTCTCTCCGAACCTGGTCCGTCCCCTCTCTCGATCGCGCGCGCGTACCGTCTCGCTCACCGCGCCTCGCTTCTCCGCAGGTTCCACAAGGTCCCGTGGTCGCACATCCGCAAGCAGGAAATGTACCAATGGCTCTACTGGTCCATCTTCAACACCCACCTGCCCCCGCTCCCCACGCTCTCGCCCGCCCGCCGCGCCGTCCTCGAAGACGTCCTCTCCCTCGTCGAGAAGCGCTCGGGCACCGCCATCCCCCCCGGCACCAACCCCACCGCGCGCCCGATCCTGCTCACCCTCGACCCCGTCCGCGTCGCCTGGCGCCCGCTCGCTTGGTACGTTCTCGTCGCGCTCGGCAACCGCGCCCTCCGCGCCTGGTTCGTCCGCCGCCGCGGCATGCGCCACGGCGTGAAGGACGGGATCGAGTATCTGCTCTACGTCCCCGACGGGTACGCGTTCGAGACGGGCGCCGCGCCCGTCGTGTTCGTGCACGGGCTCGGACTCGGGCTCGTCCAGTACCAGATGATCCTGTCGCGCCTCTTGTACGAGCTGCGCGACCGCCCGCTCCTCGTCCCGCTGCAACCGCACGTAAGCCAGCAGATCTTTCACCGCGACTTTCTCGCCCCGAAAGGCCGCCAGGAGACCGCCGCGGCGCTGCGCGCGCTGCTGGTCGAGCTCGGGTGGGCGCCGGCGGACGGCGGGGCGGCGGGCGGGCGCGGTGCCAAGGCGCGCGAGGGCAGGATCACGCTGATGAGCCACTCGAACGGGTCGTTCGTGCACGCGTGGCTGCTCAAGGCGCACCCGGAGCTCTTCCGCCGCTCGTGCTTCGTCGACCCCGTCACGTTCTGCTCCTGGGAAGGCGGTGCGCGCGCGCGTTCCCTCTCGCCGCCTGTCCCGCGCTGACCCTGCCCGCCCTCCCCCCTTCCAGACGTATGCTACAACTTCATCCACCGGCCCTGCTCCACCGTACGTCCGCGCGCTCCTCTCCCCGCCCTTCTCGCTTCTACGCGCTGACGCACCCGCACGACGCAGGGCCTGCACCTCCTCATGCGCTACTTCGTCAGCACCGAGCTCGGCGTCGCGAACGTCCTCCAGCGGCGCTTCGACTGGGCGTCCAACTCGCTCTGGTACGAGGAGATCCCGCACGCGCGCGACCCGCGCCGCACGCGCTTCTTCCTCGGCGGCAGCGACGCCATCCTCGCCGCGCCGCGTGTCCGGCGGTACCTCGCGGCGCACGGCGTGCGCGACGGGCTGTGGTACGACCCCGCGGGCCACCATGGGCAGGCGCTGTTCCCTGACAGCGCGGGGTACAGGGAGCTCATCGGCTGGCTCACGGAGGCGGAGTCCGCGCCGATGCGAGCGCGGTGAGGCGCGCGGCACGAGAGTTTATTCTGCAGTATCTATCATAGAAGACGGTCGTCGCACCACATAGACGTCGCCTCCCCCATCCCCATCCTCTGGAACCAGAGATCTCCCGCGCACTGTATCTTATGGCTTAACCTACCTAGATCCTGGTCCGACCACGGTCCCGAGCGCCTGTCCTCGTCTCGTCTCGTCTCGACCTCGTCGTGTTTTCTCCGTTGTCATCGTCGTTTTATCTGGATACCACATACGCACGCAGTAGTCGTTCGCACGTCATTTTCCAACGTCGGCCGTGTAGCGCTGTTCCGTAGCGTACCGAGGGCGCTCGACAGAACCAGCGTGATTTTCTTCTGAAGGTAACTTACATATGGGCCGTGAACATAGCGAGCCAAGCTGCCCGTCAAGGCTTTACAGTAATACAAGCTCGGTGATACCGTGTCATACAATGCCTTCCATCGCTGCCCGCGTCCCAACATATACGCGAGCGCGCATACACGTGGCTCACTTCGCGGCCGGAGCGAGGGCGAACAGGTCGATGCCGCGCGAAGCGAAGAGCTCGAGGACGTGCTCCCGATATATCCCTCTCAGCCTCGCGTCGTCGCCCGCGCCGTCCTTCGGCGCGTAGAACGCACGCAAGCCCGCCTCGAACCATTGTATCGTCTCGAGCGGGACGGCTGTCCCAGCCCAACCCAATCAAATCAAACCAGATGAGACGCCCGGCCCGACCGGCCCGCAACGCGTCGGCGCGTCAGTCTCGAATCTCGATGCTGCGAACGACGCGCGGAGACTGACCGGGAAAGTCGCTCCCCCACACGACGCGCGCGCCGACGCCCCACGCCTCCGCGGCGGCGAGCGGGCCCGGGCCGGCGCTGAGCGCGGTGTCCCACCAGCACGCGCGGCGGAGCTCGCGCAGGATGTGCGTCTCGTCGAGGGCGGCGCCCATGTAGCGCGCGAGCCCCGCGAGGCGCGGCGCGAGGGCGAGGGCGGTGCCGCCCATGTGGGCGAGGACGAAGGCGAGGCGGGGGAAGCGGGTTGTTTTCCCGGCGACGACGAGGTGGGCGATGGCTTTGAATGTCTCGTTGGGGACCTGTGGAGGGTGGAGGGGGCGGAGGTCGGAGGCGCGGACGGGGAGGCGGGCGGGCGGTGGTGGGTACGTTACCTCTGTGATGGGGATGCCTAGCAGGTCGCTCGGGAAGGGCGTGGAGGAGGGCGTCTGGGCGCCGTGGAGGAAGACGACGGCGTCGCGCCTGTCCAGCTCTTCCCAGATCGGATCGAAGACGTCGTCGCCGAGGTATTCTGGCGCGCGGAGTCAGTGACTGCGGCGGAGTTGAAAGATTGCGATCGACGGACTGGCGTCGTTCGCTTCGCCGTAGACGGAGGAGACGGCGATGCCGACTGCGCCGAGGTCGTCCAGCGCGTACGCGATCAGGTCCAGCGCAGCTGCATGCGCGTGCACGCATTCAGCAGACTCGCGGACATAGCGCCTGCCCAACGCACCCTTGGTGTCCCGCAAATCGCCGGCACACCCCCAGAACGCGAACCTGCCCGGATGCTGGACGCAAGCGGCGCGCATCTGGTCGTTGAGCGCGCGCACGTCGTCGGGGAAGTGGCCGGTGGGGACGGAGAGAACGGCGAGCTCGACGCCGAGGGCGTCCATGGCGCGGAGGCTGAGGGCGGGTGACCAGGGGAGGTGTGCGGGGGGCGTGCGGAAGCCGACGGCGCGGGAGAGGGCGGCCTTGGGGAGGGCGGCGGGGAAGATGTGGTGGTGGACGTCGATGGCAGACATGAGGACGCGACCGAAAAAGGAGAATGCGCTTCCAATTGAGTGCTACGGACAGCGGTGTCTACGCTCTGCGGTACTCGCTGCACTCGGCCGAATCCCAGCTCACGAACGCCCCCGACAGTCCCGGGTGCGCGCCCAACGCCAACGCAGCGATCACGTGGCCCGCGTCCTCCGGCCTCACCAGCCTGCCCTCCGCGTGCTCGCGCACGAAGCTCTCGTGGTCCGCCGCCCGCATGTGTGCGCCCCCCTGCTCGCGCAGCGTCGCTTGCATCTGTCGAGCTTCGTCAGCACCCGCCGTGAGCACACCGCCGGCGACCTCACCTCGGTGTCCACTTTCCCCGGGCGCACGGCCACAGACACGATGTCGGGCTCTTCCTGAGCGAGCGTCCTGTCGGTGCCCCGAGTACTGCGATTACCAAGGACACTCGGCGAGCAGGCAGGCATGGGGTACGCGCCTGCACAGACTGTTCATCGCGGCCTTGCTCGCGTTGTAAGGCCCCCAGCCGGGCACCCCGCCCGCCGCAGCGCCAGAGCTCACAAAGACGACCTTGCCCCCAAAGCGGCTCGCGCGCAGGGCCGGGAGCGCCGCCTTGAGTGCGGTCACGAGCGAGAAAAAGTTCACGTCAAAGTGGGATTTCCACGCGTCCAGCGTGCTCGACGGCGCGTCGACGCGGCCGAGCGGGTGCAGCGTGCCCGCATTCAGCACGAGTCCGTCGATGCTGCCGTGCGTCTTTTGAACATCTGATATGGCCTTGGCGAACGCGGGCTCGTCGGCGCTGCGGGGGGGATCGGGACGTTGAGCAAACGCGTGCGGACGCGCGAGGGATCACGGGATACGGACACGCTGCATTCGACGAGCTTGAGAGAGTCGGCGTGGGCATCGGAGAGCTGCGTGAGCTCGGGCGTGCGCGTGCGGGAGACGGCGACGACGGTGGCGTTGAGTTGCTTGAGGAGGGCAGAGGTGACGGCGAGACCGAGGCCTCTGGGTGAGATCGCGGTCAGCGAGCGGCCGGGCACTCGAGACGGGAGACGGGAAACCTCGATGCGCCGGTGACGACGACGACGGGGCGGAGGAGAGTGGGCGTGGGCGCCATGGGCGGTGGCGAGCAAGCGAAAGAGGCTGGGGAGGAGTCGTATTTACGGGTGTTTACGCCCCCAAAAAAGTCGACCCGCCGCCAATTACGCCCGACCACATCACTCCGGCCTCTCCCTCCCTCTTCTCTCCCTCTCCCTCTCCCTCCCCCTCCTCCCCGTCCTTTCCTCTCTTCAAAAACACACAAGATGGCCGCCAGAGCCGCCTTCTCCCGCCTCGCACCCGCCCTCACACACGCACGCGCAGGGCCCTCGCTCGCGGCACGCCGAACAGCTTTCCGCGCGTATGCGACAGAGTCCGAGCAGCATTCCGTCAGTCCTCGTTTCCGCTGGCCTCCTCTCTCCCTTTCACTCCTCATTTTCTCCCCAGATGACCGTGCGTGATGCGCTCAACGTGGCCATGGAGGAGGAGATGATCCGTGACGACAACGTCTTCATCCTCGGCGAGGAAGTCGCGCGCTACAACGGTGCATACAAGGTCCGTTTCCGCCACCTCATCTCCTTCCTCTCTTCGGATCCTCATACGATTCCTGCCAGGTCACGAAAGGCCTTCTGGACAAGTTTGGCGAGAAGCGAGTCGTCGACACACCCATCACCGAGATGGGCTTCGCCGGTCTCGCCGTCGGCGCCGCCCTCTCAGGTCTCCGACCCATGTCCGTCCGTCCGCGCCCCATCCCGCCCTCTCTCCCTTTGTTCACCCTCCTTCTCCCTCAGATGCGAGTTTATGACCTTCAACTTCGCGATGCAGGCCATCGACCAGATCGTCAACTCCGCCGGCAAGACATATTACATGTCCGGCGGCAACGTTCCCTGCCCAGTCGTCTTCCGCGGTCCCAACGGCGCTGCTGCCGGTGTCGGCGCACAGCACTCCCAGGACTACGCTTCATGGTACGGGCAGATCCCTGGTCTCAAGGTCGTCAGCCCGTGGAGTGCGGAGGATTGCAAGGGCTTGCTCAAGGTACCGCCCGCCCTCTTCCTTCCGTGACAAACACTCTCGTTGACGCGCGCTTGTGGTCGTTCTCAAGTCCGCCATCCGCGACCCTAACCCGGTCGTCTTCCTCGAGAACGAGATGATGTACGGTATCACCTTCCCCATGTCGGCCGAGGCCATGTCCGACAACTTCCTGCTCCCCATCGGCAAGGCCAAGGTCGAGCGCGAGGGCAGCGACATCACCATCGTCGCGCACAGCAAGATGGTCACTCACAGTCTCGAGGCCGCCGACATCCTCGCCAAGGAGGGCATCAAGGCCGAGGTCATCAACCTCCGCAGCATCCGCCCACTAGACATCGACACGATCAAGGCTTCGGTCAAGAAGACGAACCGGTGCGTGATAGTGGGATCGTGCGACGTCCGATCGTGTACTGAGCAGCTTCTAGCCTTGTGACCGTCGAGGGCGGCTTCCCCGCATTCGGCGTCGGTTCCGAAATCTGCGCCCAGATCATCGAGAGCGAGGCCTTTGACTACTTGGACGCGCCTGTTGAGCGCATCACCGGTGCTGACGTCCCCACGCCTGTGAGTCCTTCCTGGCTTGTATCTATTCTACGCGATTGAGCGCATCCCGGTTTTCAGTACGCCGCCAACCTCGAGGCGCTCGCCTTCCCCGACACCCCTCTCATTGTCAAGGTGGCCAAGCGCGCACTTTACAGGACGAACTGAGGCGCTGGATCGTGATTCTCGTTACATTACTCGGGCATACATGTTGTCGTTGCTAGTGCTATAGATTTGTTTCCTGCTGGATGTGGACACTGCGCCCGACGATTTTTGTACATGCGGTCCTCTTAGCTTCTTCTATCAACGATACAAGCATTCGATGCTTCCCCCTCGTACATTCGACCAATTTTGTGCCGCCTAGGCAGAAGCCATGGCGCGCAAGCGGATGCGCACCGCGTTGGCGTGGGCTTGTAGGCCCTCGCAGTCGGCGAGCGTTGCGACCACGGGCCCGAGGTTCTGCAGGCCCGCGGACGTCAGCTCCTGCGACGTGATGTGCTTTTGGAACGAGAGCGTGTTGACGCCGCTGAACTGGCGCGCGTACCCGTTCGTCGGGAGGGTGTGGTTCGTGCCCGACGCGTAGTCGCCACAGCTGACGAAGAAAGACAAAAACAAAACAGACGGTGAGCACGCGAGGGGAGGAGAACGATGGGGAAGACGCGGCGCGCACCTCTCGGGGGAGTACGGCCCGACGAACACGCTCCCCGCGTTCTCCACGAGCGGGACCTGCCCGGCCGCGTCCTCGAGGTGCAGGATGAGGTGCTCAGGCGCGTACGCGTTGGAGAACGCGAGCGCGTCAGCGACGGTGTCCGCCTGCACGATGATGCTCTTCGCGACGGACTCGCGCACGATCGCGACGCGCGCGAGCGCGCGCGCCTGTGCGTCCACCTCGGCCTCGATCGCGGCGAGCGTCGCGCGCGCGAGGCGCACGCCGACGAGCACGACCTGCGAGTCGACGCCGTGCTCGGCCTGGGAGAGCAGGTCTGCGGCGACGAACGCGGGGTCGCACGTGTGGTCCGCGATCACCTGCGGCGCGTCAGCGACGTGTATGTGCGTGCGTGCGTGCGTGCGTCCAAGGACGCGGGCGGACGGGGACTCACCAAGACTTCGGAGGGCCCCGCGGGCATGTCGATCGAGACGAGCGCGTCCGTGTCGTTCTGGACGAGCAGCTTCGCCGCGGTGACCCACTGGTTCCCGGGGCCGAAGATCTTGTCGACCTTGGGCACGGTCTCGGTGCCGTACGCGAGCGCCGCGACGGCCTGCGCGCCGCCGGCCTTGAGGACCGCGGACGCACCGACGAGGTGCGCGACGTACATGACCTCGGGGGAGATGCTGCCGTCCGCGCGGGGCGGCGTCGCGAGCACGATCTCCTTGCAGCCCGCGACCTGTGCGGGGATGCCGAGCATGAGCGCGGTCGAGGGCAGCACGGCGGTGCCGCCGGGCACGTACAGCCCGACGCGCGCGATCGGGCGCGCGAAGCGCGAGCAGACGACGCCGGGCATGGTCTCGACGACGAGCGTGCTGTCCTGCGCCTGGGCGGCGTGGAACTTGTGGATGTTTGCGTACGCGACGTCGATCGCCGCGCGCACGGGCTCGGGGAGCCGCATGCTCTCCGGCGCGAAGGGCGGGAAGGCGACGGTCGAGGCGAGCTGCGCCCTGTCGAACTTGGCGGTGAGCTCGAGCAGGGCGGCGTCCCCGCGCGCCCGCACGCTGTCGACAATAGGCTTCACTTTGGCGATCATCTCGTCGAACTTGAGCACGGGGCGTCGGAGGAGCTGCGCGCGTTCCGCGACGGTGACGGTGGCGAGATCGTAGGTGCGCATGCGGATGGGGGCGTTGGGATCGATGGGCGCCTTAGGAGGAGCAGGGGGTGGGGGAGGCGTCCACTGTGGCTTCGCGTTTCCGGGCCTGCGTGTGATCTTGCGAGCCTTCGCATCGAGAGAGGCCTCGATGTCGGCGATGGTGACGCCCGCTGCGGCACACCGGGCCAAAGCGAAGTAGAGCAGGTCCGCTGCCTCAAAGGCGACCTCCTCCTTCGTCTCCGCTCGGCAGAGCTCGTCCGCCTCTTCCATGATCTTGGATCGCAGGAGCTGGGGATCGTCGAACAGCCTGCGCGTGTACGAGCCCTCGGGGGCGGATAAAAGGCGGGACCGCAGAGTCGCCTCGAGTGCGGGGAGCCCGGTGACCTCGCCAAAGCAGGACGTTCGCTTCAGGTGGCAGAATCCGGCACCGTGCTGAATGACACTGAACTCCAGGCAATCGGAGTCGCAGTCGAGGCGGATGCTGACGATGTCCTGGGTGGCCCCCGAGGTTTCCCCTTTCCGCCACAGTCCGTGCTTGCGTGAGTGATACACCCCCTTCCCCGTGAGGATGCTTTCTTTCACGGATTGCGAGGAGGAGTACACGAGGCCGAGCGAGCGACCGCCCTGCAGGTGGGAAGAGACGACTGTGGGGAACAAGCCATCTGGGCGATCGGACACCAAGGGTGCGAGGTAGGCGTCGGCGACGTTGATCTGGGAAGCAGACGAGGCGGAAAGTGTGAGCTGCGACGCGGGCACCACCAGGGTCGCGCCGACGCCAAGCAGACCCCTGATCGTCGAGGGCAGCGGCGGGCTGGATCCGGCGAAAAAGACAAAGATAGAGGACTCGGCGAAAAACCGGGAGACAGACGAGATGAGGTCGAGCTCCAACGTGGGCGACTTCAAGAACACACCCGAGACGCCGCTCCGCACCCGGTCCGACACGGCGCTCGCGTTCGCGACGTCGAGCAGGAGCAGCAGACGGTCGCGCGGAACGAGCCCGATGAGTTCTGGGGCCCATGCGAGAGGCACGATGACCTTGTCCGCGCCTTCGTCGAGCCAGGCGATGGCATCGTCTGGGCTGGAAGAATGACTGTTATCTGCGAGTATATATCGGGCAGACCGAATTGGCGCAGAGGCGACGTCGTCTGCGGTCGATGCGGCGGGGAGAACGACAGGGCCGACGCGAGCCAAGGCAGCCTCGAGGTCGTCGTTGCGGCGGTCGAGCAGAGGCAAGAACGCCATGGAGGATGGGGTCAAAGAGAATTGCTGAGCATTCGATCGCTCGCCTGAGGGCCTGCACTCGATTCGAGCGCAGGGTTGTTTGTTTTGGCCAAACAGCCAGCTCTCTCCGTTGACCGCGTTTGTCTCATCGCCCTCTCGGACGACGACGTTCTCATTCAACCGTGTTTGCGACACCGCTGTACTAGAGCAATACAGTAGCGCAGGTCGCTTTCACACCCATGGCAAACAGTTCCGAACGGCATGTCCGACTTCCCACAGACTGTACAAGTGATGCCAAGTTAGAACCTCGCCGAGCAGAGAGAACGACAAAGCTCAAGCCCGGCGTCTTGTGCTAAGTAATTGGCGAAGGATCCACACCTCAGTTATGGCCCTTGCTCTTGTTCTCTTTGCTGCTTGCCACTTTGTCGCGGCCCAAGCGGCTGGTGGCGGGTGGCGGCTTGTCCATAGGTCCAATCCCTTTTGTGCCGAAACTGGTCACGTACAATGTGTGGACAATTGGTGCGTGATTGACCCGAACCACACTTCGCCTTGCTCGTATATAAGGCCAGTTGGAAACCCCTTTGCTCTCCCCACCCAGCTCTCAAGCTTCTTCCAAACACGCCCTACACGCCCACGCCCACGCTCACACGGTCTTTCTCCCACCGACTGTCTCCTCCCCCATCATCTAGATCACAATGCCCCCACGCCCAGCGCTCGGTTACAATGCAAGAGGCGGCCCCCCTCGTCGAGATGCCACACCCTTAAGGGGTGGCGCACCTTCCAGAGGTACTGGCATCGCCGATCATGTCAAAGCCATTGGCGTCAAACGACCAAGCTTTGGCAATTCTGGTCAGCGGACTCTGGTGCACACCAATCATTTCAAAACCACCATCCCGGAAGGAAAAATTCATCATTACGATGGTCTGTCCCTTTCTTTTTCTCTGTGCTTCCACGGTCGGCACCTAACGATCATATCCCGTCCCATCCCCATCAATGGACCATAGTCGGTCAGTGCTATCCTTGCCTTCTGCCACAGCAAGCCAGACTCACTTGTTCATATAGTCATCCTCCCGTCCGACAAGGTTCTCCCAGCTGCTATGAACTTCGAACTCCTCAGGAAGCTCCAAACTGAGCTTCACCCCGAGATCTTCACTCCGCGTGGCGTGTATGATGGCCGCAAGAGCTTCTTCTCGGCTGGCAAACTTTCCTTCGGAGAGGCCGCACGGGTACGTTCATCATCGGCGGCGGCACTATCAAAATTCTGACCTATGCCTCTAGTTCGACGTCATGCTGGCCAAGCCTTTACCAACCGGGGCGGCGCCGAAACGCAGGGGCCCCACGGTCTATACGATCCAATTCACCCACGTCGCAGAGATCAATCCTGAGTCCGTGACATCCCAACCCTTTCCTGTCGTGCTTTTCTGACTTGCTGCAGAGTGCTAGCACGCTTCATCCAAGGCACCCAATCCCCCGACAACGCGGTGCTGACGGCAATCACGGTATGGTATCTCCTCATCGTCTCGCAATAGAGCATTCTCAACGAGCTCTGCCGCATAGGCCCTCAACGTCGCTGTACGAATGGAACCAAACCTCAAATTTCCGTTCAACGTCCGGTCGTTCTTTACGCCGAGCGAGACGGCGGATATTGGTTCCGGTATCGTCCTCTGGAGAGGCTATTTCCAATCCGTTCGACCAGCGTTAAAGTCCATGCTCATCAACATTGACATATCAACGGCGGCGATGTATAAATCTGGTTCTCTCCTCAAACTTTGTCTCGAGTTCTTTGGAAAGTCGCAGCCTTCCGCATTAAGCACCAAAGCAGGTCTCCCAGAACGCGAGCGTCAACGCCTGCAACGTTTTGTTGCTGGTCTCAAGATCCAGTATGGCACGGATTCGAAGCTCCGTATTGTCAAGAAGCTCACTATCAACGGGGCTGCCGATGAATATTTCGTGGATAACACAGGGGAGAAGGTTTCGGTGGCTGATCACTTCAAGATCCTAATGAACCACCCACTAGAATTCCCTCACATGATATGTGTCGACGTGGGTTCATTTCTGACTCACCATGTGAATCATCATTGACATCCATGCGACAGACGGGCAAGGCAATCATTCCAATCGAAATTTGTCAAGTGCCCGCGGGTCAGATCCTTCGCAAGCAGTTGCCCTCGAATAAGACAAGTGACGTGATCAAGTTCGCGACGAAGAGGCCTGAGGACCGCCTGAACAGCATCAAGTTAGGGTTAGCCGTGAGTGCCTGTCTCATGCTATGGGATTGCGCACTGATTGCAAAAATGTACTCAGGTGTTGTCCTACGCGTCATCGGAATACGTCCGTCAATTCGGCATGAAAGTCGATTCCGAGCCCATGAAGATCAATGCTCGCGTGCTGCCACCTCCGACTCTCAAGTACGGCCAAAAGAGCAAGGAACAGACCATTGTAGGTGAATCCGGGATTGTCTTCGCGTGCTTCAGTAATCCATCCTCCACAGGTCCCGAAAAATGGTTCTTGGAACATGTGCGTAATCACGAGCTGCTTGTGAAAAATTTCCTGACAGATGCATGACTGTAGGATCGACAAGCACGTCTATGTTCCCTGCGCTCCTATCAAACACTGGTGCATGATCTCCTTTGACGCTCAACGTAATTTCAAACAAAGTGATGCCCCTTCGGTGGTTGAGGCACTCGTACATGCCTGCAAATCTGTTGGTAAGAACCAGGCAATCTGACAACTTACAGAATTTTCTTGACGGGTTGATCATTGCGGTGATTTCAGGTATTGCTATCAACCCACAACCCATCATCGTTAAAATAGCAGTCGGCCAAAATACCATTGCCAGCGTAAGCGCTTTTTGAATCATCCCTTTCGGTTTGTCTAACCTCGCTATACGCATATAGGAAATGCAGAGCTTGGGCATGGAGTGCAACGCCCGGGCGGGCGCTTTTCCGACTCTAATCGTAGTCATTCTCCCTGAGGGCGGTAATGATATATACAGTGAAGTTAAGCAGTACGTATGTTCGATCTGATTTTCTCATTCCCGAGCTAACATCGATGTCATTTGCTAGTTTCGGAGATGTGGCTGTGAGTATTACGAATCCACAATCTTATATGCTTTGATTGACGCGCATTTGCAGCGTGGCGTAGTTACTCAGTGCATGAAGAGAAATAGATGCATGAGTGGCAACCCACAATACTTCTCGAACGTCGTTCTCAAGTAAGCCATATGTTCATTCACATCATGTCTTTGGCTCATTTCCTTCTCAGGTTGAATGTCAAGATGGGAGGCATCAACACCATTCCGGATCCTAGATCCGTTTCGGTTATCAGTGATCCAGGCAATCCGACGATCGTTATGGGTATGTTGTATCAGCTGTCAAAATTGTGGGATGATGTCTGAGAGACCTCGTTCAAGGTGCGGACGTTGTTCATCCAGCCCCTGGTACAGAAGGCCGTCCTTCCTTTAGCGCTCTCGTCGCCAATGTTGATAGTGACAACGCGAAATACATTGCAACCATGAACGTTCAAACGTCAAGGAAGGAAATCATCGAAGATCTAGAAAAGATGGCTACGGTATTTCTTCCAGATTTTGCCTTGCTATTTGTTACTCATTCCATGGTTTGATATAGCACGTGCTTCAGTCGTACATGCGCTACAGGGATAAAGTTGAGAAGAAGGCCATTGTTGCACCCAAGCGGATCATCTTCTATCGAGGTATGTCTTTTCACTCTATCGTCGAGTGCACACGTAACAGCCGGTTCCCAGATGGTGTCAGTGAAGGGCAATTCCAAACTGTCTTGGACGAAGGTACGTCTATTTCGGTGGACCGCCGTTATCGCCTGTGTACTGACGACCTGTTGCGGCAGAGCTCCCGCTTATAAAGAGTTGGTGTCTCGGACCGATCCTGATAGCTTTCCTGTACTGACCCTTGCTTTGTAGAGGCTTGCGCGGCGCTCAATATTAAACCAAAGATAACGATGGTCATAGTCGGGAAAAGGCACCATGTCCGCTTCTTCCCTACAGGACCAGCGGACAAGAGCGGTAATTGTCCGGCAGGTCTCGTCGTCGACAGTGACGTCGTGAACCCCGTCGAGTTCGACTTTTATCTGCAGAGTCATGCCGGTCTTCTTGGGACCAGTCGTCCGTCTCACTATAACGTCTTATATGACGAGAACCATTTCACGTTTGTGACCTTTTCCCGTCGACGCTGACAATCGTTGACCCTTCTCCTTACAGAGCTGATGGCCTGCAAGCCCTCTCCTTCGCGCTATGTCATGTATATGCGCGTTCGACACGCTCGGTGTCTATTCCCGCGCCCGTCTACTGTATGTGTCCGATCGCTACCTTTTTGTGTATCCTCCTAAACAAATGGCTTAGATGCGGACATTGTCTGCGCGCGGGCGAAGCATCACTACAACCCAGAGGAACGTTTGGATCTCTTGTATTCGGACAACCCTATGACCACGGACGAACAACAGGCGACACTTGCCAAATTTAAGCAGGCATTCCGTCCATTGAGCAAGACTATATCTACATTGATGTATTTCTGCTGATCGTGCAGCTGCGTTGATAACGATGATGGTATTCCCTAATTTATGAAGTGCTTGTACTCGAGTGTATTCATCGTTTGTTCTAGCAGTGCCCTTGCTGTTTCCTGTATCGTTGTTTATTGTTTGCCCTTACTTGTTACCGTGTATCACCGCAGTGTCTCTGATGTAGAATATACTTTGCTCAACAGTTTCCGATAAAGCATACGTCTGGCCTTGAGCTTGACCGCCGGGTGCAAGGGCGCAATAAGGTGTGAAAGCGGAGTAGTCACGGAGTAACCTCGGACTAACTCGTCTCTGGTGTTTGTCGTTCACCTGATACCGACCCTCCACCATTTAAAGGATGGCTCTCACCTGCCCTCACACGAACACTTTTTGTTCTTCCCAGACGCGTTCTCGCCCTTCAATTTTGCGGCTGATTTGTAGATCATCATCAAGTCTCAATGAACAGCACTCTTCGCATCTTGAACGAGGGCTGGTCGTATACCCAGGTTGGGGGTGGTCTAGGGACACAAGACGGAGAGTGGCTGTCTGCAACTGAGTTTCCTACTACTGTGCACGTCGAACTTATCAGATTGAAGAAGATACCAGACCCTGTTTGTCTAAATTTTCTTTCGATTTACAGTCAACGGGCTGATAGGTGATCGCGGCCACCAGTTCATCGGGCTCAACGAATGGGATGTCCAATGTGAGCCTACGTCCAAGTTTTTCACAAGTTTGAGCGGTTGATCCACAAATTCAGGGGTCGGCGAGGCTGAATGGGCATTCAAGACCACATTCACTGTGTCAGAGCGAGAGCTCACTTCTCCCAGCCTTGACCTGGTTTTCGATGGTCTCGACACCTTCGCCGCAATAGACCTTGTGAATAATTCCCATTCTCATGAGATATCTACTCAGACTAATTAAAGTCATACACGTCAGAATGGCCGGAAGCTCCTCGAGTGCGTGATTGTCTTCTTTAATCTGGATCCAGGATTGTATCCTGACTTGGACATAGCACGCAAAATCAATTTGTGTCCTACAGAACGTCTGTGAAGGAGTTCCTCAAGCCCGGAGCCAATGAGCTTGTCATCACCTTCGAGAGCGCTTTTCTCAAGGTGCTCCACTTGCTGTTTGATCTATTATGACGGACTCGAGCATTGACACCAAAAATAGGGTAGGGAACTTGAGAAGCAGCACGGGAAACTCAACCTTTGGAACGGGGATTCTAGCCGTCTTCATGTACGCAAGGCTCAGTACAAGTGAGTGTATTGCTGCATATCAGATATAACTCGCTCACACCTCGAATCAGCTATGGCTGGGACTGGGGTGCGTATTCACTTGATCTCCACAACTGGCTGCTCACAGCTGGCGTAGGTCCTGTATTGATGACAGCGGGTCCTTGGCGTCACATCTACCTACATGCGTACCAATCTCGAATTATTGACTTGTGGGCTTCGTCTTCAGTGGGCTCGGATCTCGATGCGGATCTTGATGTCAGCATCTCAGTTGCCACGGATGTAGCGAGCCTGGCCGAAGTCATTCTCAAAAGCCCATCAGGCTCTGTAGTCGTCGGGCAGAAACAGATCAAGTTAGGAACTTCCCCCGTGAGGGCTCGGTTTCATTTCGCCAAGGGAGAAGTGGACCTGTGGTATCCTATAGGTTATGGCGAACACCCCATCTACCAAGTTCAAGTCAACATTACAGATGAGGTCCGTGTCAATGGTGAACCTACTGCCTCTTGTAACTGATTTCTTCGCAGGAGGGCAACCTCCTCGACTCCAAAGCAGAGAACATAGGCTTCCGTCGCGCCCTTGTGGTGGAGGATAAACTCGATGACCAGGAAGGCCTTACTTTTCTATTTGAAGTCAACAATATTCGAATCTTCTGTGGAGGTATGCTTCAATATACAGACTTCCTCCTGGATGGGTGCTGATCGACTCTTGATCGTAGGATCTAATTGGATACCTGCGGATTCGTTTTTGACAACGTCCGTATATCTTGTTCTCCTTTATAACCCTGCTCCTGATTTAGAGAACATTTAGAATGACTCCAGAGCGCTACCGCGCCTGGTTACAATTGCTTGTTGATGGTAATCAGAATATGATTCGTATCTGGGGTGGAGGTATTTATGAAGCCGATGTTTTCTATGAAATCTGTGATGGTATGTATTCTCCTGGAAATTGACTTCATCGCACTGACATGCGCTACGTAGAACTAGGCATCCTCGTGTGGCAAGATTTCGCATTTGGGTGCGGGCAAGTAAGCTGCGTGTCCATACGGTAGCAGGAGAGATTCTTACAATCTTATCAGTACCCAGCCTATGACTCTTTCCTTGACAATATCACTGTTGAGGCAGAGCAAAACGTGAAGAGATTGAGGCACCATCCGTCGATCGTCATCTTTGGTCAGTAATCATACTTCCTGTTCACACGCATGTCTGCTGAACATGATCCCTTCTCCGATTAGCTGGAAACAATGAAGGTCAGACTTTTCCGCCCATTCAAAGCTTGGTGTTCCTTACATGAGCCCAGATTACCAGGTCGCTGAGTCCTTGAAGCTTGAATTGGACTACAGCGACGAAAAATCAGACTTCCGCAAGACCAACTTCCCGGCGCGCCATATTTATGAGCGCGTCTTGCCTAGCATCGTCGAGACTTTCTCCGATATTCATTACCATCGGAGCTCCCCTTACAGTGGTCAGGGAAAGCTCACAACAGATAAGCAATACGGCGACTTGCATCAATGGAATGTATGGCACGGGTCTCAGGAACCATGGCATAATTGGGATATTCTGGCGGGGAGGTTTGTCTCTGAATTCGGAATGTAGGTCCCATAAATTTCGCCGCACAATGTGGTATCGATTCATACAATGCACAGGGAGGCTTATCCCGATATTCGCACCGTTGATTATTGGCTTGATGGTGACAAGTCTGAGCGTTTCCCACAATCCAGGTATGCCCTGTATGCTTCAATTGATTGAGTACCCACTCCATGATTTCTCTATCTAGGACAACCGTCAATCATAACAAAGCAGACGGTTTCGAACGTCGAATCGAACTCTACTTGATGGAGAATTTCAAACATGCCTTCGACATGGAAAGGTAGGTTCATTGTGCAACTTGACGCATCCATACTTACTGCGGGGTCAAAGCTATGTGTATTACACGCAAATCATGCAGGCGGAGACGCTCTCTGCCGCATACCGACTTTGGAGGAGGAATTGGCGTGGCAAGGGGAAGGAACATACCGCGGGGGCCCTTGTGTGGCAGGTGAGTCTGATAGCCAGACACTGTAGTTCAAGTTTATGTATGCTTCCAGATCAACGACTGTTGGCCAGTAACATCTTGGGCCATCGTTGACTATTTCCTTCGCCCAAAGCCAGCATTCTTCACCATTGCCAGAGAACTCCGTCCTTACACTGTAGGTATGACGAGGAAAGAGATCAAGCATTTCGCGGATGATCGCACCGCCGCCTTTTTCACCATCACTTCCGTGCTCGAGATCTGGGGCACGAACAGCACCCTACAGGAGAAAAAGGTCACTCTGGCAGTCACGTCTTCCGACCTGGAAGATCCCCATTGGAGCGACCGATGGGATAAGGAAGTCGTTCTTGCGCCGAACTCGAGCACTGAGCTCTGGAAGGGAAACGTGCCTGGCGAGCCAGTGCGCACTAAATCCAGCGAGGCACGCAAGACGATCATCGTGAGTGCAAGGTTGGTCGACGAAAGCGGAACGGTGTTGAGCCGGTATTCAAATTGGTAAGTGTTCTCAGAACTGTCTTTCGCCCGTTCAAAATAGCGAATGCTAAGGCTCATTGGGCGTGATGCTCCCAGGCCTGAGCCATACAAATATATCCACTTCCCTCCCCGAAAGAATTTAGGTTTTAAGATCACGCCGCTTGCTGATGGGGAGTCCCTCGAGCTATCGACAGAGACGCCAATGAAGGGGATCGTGTTGGATGTTGAAGGAGAGGCTATCAGGTGGGGCGACCAAGCGATTGATCTTGTTCCCGGCGACGTTCAAGTCATCAAGGCAGTGGGACTCAAGGGCAGAGAGGTCAAAGTCAGGTTCCTTGGAGATGGCACTGCGTAGGTTATTGCTGCTCTGGACGGGGAGATATCATATGAAATGTAAGTTAGCGCGATGTTGTATGCGAAAGATATGCGAGAGCGTGGAATCTCATTGCGAGCACAGACGCCCGCTTGCAATTCGCCGATACTAGTACCTCTCAATGGCCGCGTTTTGTTGCATGCCGCTTGGACTATTGCCCTCATCAGACGGTAGATAGGAGCATGCATCAGAATGATATTATAACCACTAGGGGGGCGTACTACAGCAGCTTTTATCTGCTGGGGGAGTAGAGGTTGGAAGGTGATAGAAGTACAAGCTTTACACAAGAAAAGCATCGAAAACATGCAACAGAATTGTTCTAGGTAGAAGGCCGATCCCATAGGTCCGTGGGGAGAAAAACTAATAAATCATTAAAAGAGAACCCAACAATAGACTGACTGGGTCGACGGGGAGGATGCGAGATAATTGCCATATTCAAAAACATCGCGAAAGTTCCCTGAAGAGGCTTCAGACGCCGCACATATGCAACGGGACATGTGTGGGGAGAGCAGGATTATTGGGAGGTGAAGACATGTTTTTATCACATGATGAAACACCGGTTCGCTGGTGGGTCGGCCTGCTTGTGGGGAGTATTGCGCTCGATCTCGCCCAGACACAACTCAAAAACCTTGCCTGCCAACAAGATAAGGATTTGATGATAGTAAAATGGGGTGGCGACGAGTTTCTTACCAACGTTGACATTATTTTTCGCACTGGTTTCTATCCATGCCGCATGAACCGACTTGGCGAGATCTTCTCCCTCGCTGATGGCCACCTGTCTATTCAATCTATGAATACGAGAGGTTCAAGGAGAGGGGTAGGGGTAACGCAAGTGATCGATACAGCGACACAAGGCGCCAGAAAGCACAAGCTTACCTCTGTTGCAGGTCTGTTTTTGCGCCCACTATGACACACGGAATTTCCTTCATCCCGCAAAAGTCGACAATTTTGTCATATATCACCTGGATCATGTCGAAAGAAGTTCTTGATGTAACAGAGTAGACGAGAACGAAGCCGTGGATGCCGATCGCGTGTTTGTGGTTCAATATTGAATACTCGTCCTGGGTGGCCAGAATGAGGAATGAACGCAGAAGAGAGCTCAGGACTCACTTGACCGGCGGTGTCGATGATATCACACTCATACTCGTCTCCTTTATGATTTATAGTCTTGGTGAAGTTGCTCTCGATAGTGGGGTAATATGATTCAACGAAGTGGTTTTCGATGAATTGCACCACGAGCGAAGATTTTCCTGGAAAGCTCGATGTGAGTACCGGGGTGCGTGACGCTGAGGAGCCGGACACACCGACGGAGCGGGAGCCGAGAACCGCAATCTTTCTCTTCTTGAGGATGTCGCCAGCAGGCATCGTGATATGAAGGAGATGAAGGGGAGGGAGGGGATGGCGGAAAGAAAGGGGGTGACTAGACGTAGGTGGCGGTTTTAAGGTAAGTAATGGCTTATGGGGAGATCGGAAATGAAGGGTTTTGAGTTCAAAAAGGGTTGAGCCCGTTGGACCAACAGACGCCAGTCGCTCGTGTATTATCCGCCCCGTTTCTCCGCCTTCGGAATTAGAAAGCGAGAGCGCATCAGTGGATGCTCATTCTACGAAATAGTATAGTGAAGTCAGCGAGCGCAGAATCAACAGCGAGCGAGCCACCAAGGCAACTCTAGCCGTCGCCAATATCGACCGTCGTCTCCTTGTCTTAGCCACCCGGCCCGGTCCCCGGACTGCCCGGCCGTGCGCTCCATCTCAAAGCTTCCACAGGCCTCCACCTGCCTCCAACCCCTTCACCTGCAGTACCTCCACAGACTGTGCTGACGTCCTTATGTACGTATAGGACGACCTCATGCACATACCCAACTCCCCTGCGATTGGGTCTTGTGATGCGGATACAGGACCGTATTCCATGGGAACCTCTAGAAAGCAAGGGTAATAATGCTCCCCCCTGCTACCCCTCACTAATAAAAGACATGGAAAATGTAACCTTTGACCAGTCTTTGATCCTAATGCAATCGGGTGTCCTCATGACCATCCTACACCCGGCGTCTCTTCATCAAGAGGCGTATCGTCGTTTGTTCAGCGCCTGATCGCAATGCTCGAGTGTGATCGATCGTCCAGGCCAGAGCACGAAATAACATGTCTGGCCATGTCGAAATCAGCTGGAAGAGTTGCATTGGATGACTCAAAGTGTCTGAGCATGATTTACAATGGTCTTTACGTGTGTAAGTCTCTTCCATATTCTCCAACATTCAAATGTTACGTTCAACGTTCAACGCTAGCCCAGTCAGATCCTATCCGGATGTCTCACGTGAGAAACTGGCATATGTAGCAGATGGAGAAACATATCGTACCGTATATCAGATGATCTAGCTGTCAAGATCTGTGCGAGACACAGTGTCTAGACCATTGGGCTGGAGAAACGGAGAAGGTCAATCCAGATTTTTTTAAATGTATTGAGTGGGAACCTAAGTCCTCGAGGACAGAACAGATCGATGGTCCGTGCCGAGAAAGAAATACTTGACCTTCTTCATTCCCACCTCGGGAATGTAAGGCAATAATAAACCGAGAAGGAGCCATAAAAAGCGAGATAGACGCCTGATAAACATGGAACAATTGGCTTCCGTGTTCTAGATGCATCTCATGAGAGAGATCCAACAGAGGCGCAACGGTCCAGGTGTGCCTATCGGCGTCCATCATTTGCCGGCTCCTCCCATGTGGGCATCGGCGTAATAAAGAGTTGGAGACACCGCCGGTTCTCAATGAGTAAGGACAGAGGGAGGTCTGAGTTGAGTCAAGAACGGCCTGCGACTCTTTCGTAGCACTCTAGGTGTGGAATTCACTGTGGGTGTCTGATTGGTCCGAGAAAGGTCCGTGTGAATGGGTTTGTCGAAAAAAAAGACAGTCTAGCTTCTTCGCGTTGTTCGAAGCCCACGAAAACCTATGGCGACTCGAAACTTCTGCAAGAGAGGACCCATATCATGATTACACTAGTCTCCCAAAGGCAGTAACGTATGCGATCCTCCTTCAACCTCCGACGTGGTCTCCGATTACACAGGAAGGAACGCGTGAACTTACATCATAACTCACCTCTCGGAATCATCAAACTTGGTGAGCTATGAAGGGGAGCCGAGCCTGGGTAGCTCCGCTCGCTCCCGGGTAAGCAGTAGTCGAGGTATATCATGGCACCTGAGGTCCTGGCTTAGTTCATTCAGGGAGAAAGTGGTGGAAGGCAACAGCCAGGAAAAGTCCAGCGTCAAACGTCGACTCGCCGGAAGTGGACTCCTGAGAACTCGCGTGAACGGTCATGTGATGTTGGGTTTGGCACGCGTTGGAGGTTTCACTGGTCTTTTCCTCCTCACACTCTTCACCGACGTGTTTTATTAGACAGCTTGCACCTCTCCACCCGCCGTCGACATCGAATACCTTCTGTTATATTCCATCATGTCTGCAATGCCCATCGAGACTCCCGCGTCTACTCCTGGTTCTACGCCCATTCAGCCTCTTCATAATCCCAAACACGCTGCCCATGTTGCTGTTCCGCAAGCACCGCTGGGAAACGCTACCAATGGACTGATGAATCAAGCCGGAATGGGGGCAAAAGCGCTACTAGCAAAGAGGATGGCGAAGACGCAGTGAGTTCATTGAGCCATACCGCTCGAGAGTGTATTATTCATTGTGCAACTGGCAGAAATCCTACATATACTTCCCCCACAGACAATCTCATGACTCCGTGCACCCAGAAGATCAGCGCTGCAAAGAAGAAGCATTTTACCAAGTATGCAACTCCATTCTGTTCTCCGAACCGTCCTGACATCCGAAATCTCTCACTGCCCAGAGGGCCCAAGCCCATGCATAACCTGTTTCCTCAGAAGGAGTCTTCGTCATCAGACGGAAACGTTTCTGATGAATCTACGTCGCCTGTGGTTGAATCACTAGACAATAAGATGAACCCAGACGACAACCCGTTCTAAAGGATACTCATCATGTCGGGATGTCGACCAGCGTGGCGGGCCTCGCTGAGACCGTGAAGTACGATTAGAAAGAGGCTATTATGATTTATCGGTTTGTTCTCGCTGTTTTGCTCTAGTATTCACGTCGCGCATGTCTTCTGTACTATGTCTTCTCCACCCAGTTCCTTGAACTTCATGTTCGAAGAACCGTCCAGGACTAGTGAATTGTTCCCACGCTTGCTAGAGAACGCGTATTCAGCATCGAATGATCACTCCTTCAAACCGGTCTTCATCGACATGGAACCCGAAGACTTGCCATGGTTGTCTGCCGGTCAAGGAATGATGAACATGGGCATGAGTACCAATTCATCCCTCAACTACCAGCAGCTGACGAGGGATCTGCTAACCGTCATGCAACCCCGAGGTAACAATGGTCGCCTGACAAGTCAGTGAGTGCATTCAGGGCACGCTCACCCACTGCGAATCTAGTTACACAGCGTCTTCAAGGCAGATTCGCGAACTTGTAGAGAGTCTGCCAAAGCTTTCCGAAGAGGAAATGGACATTCTAGGGCAGCATGGTGCGTAGACTCTCTGGGCGTGTAGATCAGCAGCAGGACATCGTGACACTTATCGTCACCTACGCATGTGTCCAGAATCGTCGTGCCCGATATGTATGAACACGTTCCTCGCTTCTCTAGCTGAAGAAGAGCTCGCTCTCGTCATGGACTCGCCGGCTCATCCCGTCGAGGACTTGGGGGTGACGCGTCTGTCCAAAACATGCGGGCATTTCTTCTGTCGGAAAGAGTTGAGTATCAATGACCCCATCGATCTGCTTCACCCTCATCGCATCATCCCGTGCCGTGCGCACGCCTGCAACGGTCAGAGACGCTGACCATGGGTTTCCTCCACTCAGCATCCTGACTTGGATACGTGATGGCGTAAGTCAGCTCCCACAGTCGTCCATACATACAGCCCTGATAACGATACTTATCGATATAAATAGCACCCTTCCTGTCCCCTCTGCCGCACACCCTTCATCAAACTGACGGAGCGCGATGCGTCTGTCCTTGCTACATCCGCGGATAGAGATAGCAACAATGATGAGCCGAGATTCGACGATGACGCACCAGACGACGATGACGCATATGACCAGGCCATGGAACGCATTGTCGCCGCCTATCGCGAAGAACGAAGACGTCTCCGTGCTGGCCCCGCATTTTTCTGGCCCACCCAGCCAGAGGGTCAGGAAGGTGCTACGGGAGATCACGAGCATGACGATAGGCATGAGTTTGCAGGGATGTATTCATGAACAGATGTTTGGATTGAACATTGGAACCAGTAACTTCTGCGACTAGCAAGACATCAAGGCATCAAGACAGAGAAGTAAATCATTATGCAGTAACCCTTTCCCCTACAAGGGGTGGGTATTCATGTGTATCAATGGTATAGATGATGCCGTCACGTAAAGTTATATCGTTACCTAAAACGTCCTCTGGATCGGGAACAATGCAGGGAAGGAAAAGTTAAATCTGTAAGTCATAGCGCGTGGAGTAAGAACGTCCGGTTAAGATCTTCGGCAGCAGCGGAATAAGTTGCGCTTGAAGAAGTAGAAAAGGCACTGCAATGAATGACAAATATTAGATCGTTGGAACGAGATCGAAGGCAAGCGATGACGTACCCCAGCGAACCGGACGACGGAGAGAGCGAAGGTGGAATAAAGGATGACAGCGAAGTAGATATTTTGCTTGGTACGCAGCTCTTGCTCATCTGTCGTTGTGTCTGTGTCGTCCGTAAGACCATTGATGTTCTCAATGGCTACGGCCAGCGCCGCGTTCGAGAGCATCCAGAATGCGACCAAGCGCGTACGGAAAGTCTTGTTTTGATCGTCCATTGTTGGCTTTTCAACCTCATCCTTAACCTCAAGTTTCGACACCGCACGCGTGACAGTCTCTTTGAAGATGGCGTCGAGATCTTCCTGAACACGCTCCGTATCTTCTATTACCTGCGCATCGGCATCCTTTGCTTTGGAAGACGAAACCGACGGCAACGCTTCAGCCTTATCGCTCCCCTTGGTGCCCCATGACACGTCGTGCAAGTTGCAGAACGCATAGACATTGAGGACGTTGGTGAAGCTAGGAGCCAGGCACAAGTATTGGAAGAAACTTGAGAACATGTGCCACGGGTCACGCTACAACATTGTCAGTTTTTTATAGTGGGGTTGGAGTTATGAGGCAGACGCGGCGCTTACATAGAGGAACGATGCAAAGAGGTAGATACCAAATGTCGACACCATGGCGGCGATCAAAGCACCGACTGGCGGGGTGAAAAATGTCTCGATTACTTGGGCCGTTGTCTTATTCTTCAACTCGCTCGGTATATTCTGAGAAGAAGAAAGATATCATGAACTGGACTGCAGGAGATAGATTTGCACCACATACGATGAATGCCTTGATGGTTAAAGCCCACGAACATACTAAGAGATACACTGATAAAAGGGCATAAACGCTGAGTAAAAAAAGAGTGAGGGATTCGTCTCGGAACATGTATCGCACACATACTATAGAGTGATAGTATACGCCATCTTTTCTCCTTTTGGTCGATTACCCAGTGCTAACACGAACTGATCATAAAGTCGGCATTGCTCCACGCAAAAAGAGTGACGATCGTACCTGTAGGGCCAGGAAAGCAAGATATAGCCATTTGAATGCCAGGTTTACCCAATGAGTGATCTCTAGACCGGTCTAGATGTAGAGTGTCAGCGTGTGTCGAACGCAGGGACTCCCTTCGACTCACGCTGTTGTTGCCACCGAAAATAACGATACCTTGTGATGGCAAGAGCTCGATGATGATGCTGAACGTAAGCCAGATATTTGCCAGAGCAAACCATGAGAAAATGAGCGAAAAGATGTTATACTGGATGAGGAAAGTCAGATTCAAAGCACCTCATCAACGTCAGGAGAGACACGCACAAGAGCCTGTACATGGAAGAAGAACATCCGAATGATGCCATGGCCTGACTTGTAGAATCGGAAGAAATGAACGAGAGCGTACTAAAGTCGCCCGAGGGTGAGGTCAAGATCGACAGTCGATATGTGATAGACTACTTACAACAGAGGCGGCGAAGGAACCGTTCAGCCATCGACGACGCTGACCAATCAGCTCAGCAGCACTTTCGGGCACATCGGTCTCAGCTTTCGAGGGCTTGACATATGTCAAGGTCCATCTAGCCCCGGCCTTAGCGACAAGCTCGAAACAGAGGATACGATCCTCAGCCAAGAACATGTTCTTGGTGAAGATGTTCATGCCATAGATACCCTTAGAGCCAAGACGGTCCGCCAGCGAGTGATCGCCGTGGAAGTACTGCTCGAGAGGACGACCAAGGATAGCACGGAATCGGTAGGCAGAGAAGGCACCAGGCAATACCGAGACATAGCCAAAACTACTCTCGAGAGGCTTGTCTGTATGGATTATACCTATCAGCATATATCATACAAGAAAGAAGGCGTTGCCCACCCAATATGTTTGACATCTTGTACTCAAAATTCTGAGCAGCGACTAATGGGTTCAGGAGCTTCTTGCCCTTGTCGATCATGGCATAGATTTCACCACAGCAGCCACCAAGATTGACGTCGTTGTAGAAGGCCTCCCATAGGTAGTAGATAGACTTGTGTCCTGGTTTTGTTCCAGCGTCAATCAAGACGCAGATTTCCGGCTGTAGAGAGGGTCAAATATAGATACAAATGCGCGACTGAGTAAGCATTACCTGTAACATCTTGCCAATGGCATTGAAGAGCCACCTGTGAGAATTGATCTTTTTCTGGTTCTTCGCCTTCAAGACGAAGATGATTTGAACGGGAACCAAGTTGTTAGGATCATCACCATGTGGGATAACTAATTGTGGAGAAGCATCCACTGAGATTTGGGTGGTGTACTATAGAGATATCAGAACGCTCCCTAATCAATTCATATAGACAAAACAAGGAACTGACCTCAAAGATGTGAGCGACGGTATCCTTGCCATCAACCTGTTTCTTCATGACACCGTCCTGATAAACACCGACAGTTGCGAGAAGGTCCAAGACAGTTTTGTCCATTGCCTCCAAACCATCAACAATAAGGGCAACGGTGATTCTCTGCCAGCCAGGAACACCTTCCTCTGCGCTGCGCCGCCAGTACTTGGACTGCTTGGTCTTGCAGATGTCACGGATATTCAACATGACACCGTGCAAGGTGCGCGCGTAGAGTGTCTTGTCCTCGTTGTACGAGGTGATGGCAATGAGGAGCTCGGTCTCCCGATTATACATCTTCGTGCGCAAGGACCAGCCGGTAGCCTCCGAAAACTCGTCGGGGTCACAGGTAGCTGCACTGTAGCGCATATGACTGCGGAATTTGTGACTAACGTCAGCCGCGACTACGGACAGCACGCAGTGCAAGAACGCACGAGAACTCTGTCGTCTTGACGCCAGCTGTCCATTTGGCCTCGATGGCGCTGTAGACCGGGGTGGGCACAGGGTACTCGGTGATGAAATTGCCCTTCGTCAACTTGACCTTCTTGGTGACACCACGTTTAATGGTTTGGCGACGACGCCAGGCGCTGTCTACACCGTTCGAAACGGAGGAGACGCTGGACATCGGTCTAGCGTAGGGATCTCCATAGGCTGCTGGGTCAATGGGCCTAACAGCAGACGGAAATTGTGAGATTGAAGCTCTTCTCGACGTGAAGGAGTGCATAATGGTTGGGAGTGCACAATCACAGACTGATGCATAAATGTAGGCATGAAGCGAAGACGGACTCACCCAGGAGGATAGAAGCCACCAGAAAACCCTTCCCCAGAAGTCAATGGAAGCTTTTCGACGAGATCCTCGTCTGAATAGTTGACTCCTCGACCACCAAAGTCTTGTGCGAGAGAAACTTGGCTGTCGTATGGTTGGGGCTCAGCATCTTGGAATTGTAGCTGTCGCGGCCTGTCCGCGAACGGGTCGCCGTAGTGTGCGCCTTCGTGTGAGACAGAGGGAAGGGGAGGGCGATCCGCCATGGGAAGTCAGTCGCTGTCGTGAAAGATGGTGAGGAAGACGCAGGCGACGACGGCGAGGATGGTAATGGTACAACGATGAGCGGTCGGGGATTAGAAGAAGGGCGTTGGGCGGTAAGGCCAGGTTTTGTTGGCAGGCAACGAGGCAGTGACCCAACGGCTAAGCGCGTCGTCCCACCGGCCGGCCTCCGCATCTCACCGCAGTCCACAGCCTTCCGTTCGCCGGCCGCTCATCCCTCTACGACAGAGCCATTACTATCCCATTCATCCTTCCCAGGGCCTATATTTCCCGGTCTACCCTGAAAACATACCCATACCCATGCATTCGAGTACACTTGACCACCTCTGCTTCAACAGCAGCTGCATGTGGCTGTGTCTCCTTCATTTGTGCACATCAGCGCCGGGTTGATCTTTGCCATGCAAGCGTCTGCCGTAGCATTTTACTATCAAAAGATAGGGCTGTCTAGAATGCAATGATCGTGACCGCTCGATAATTCAATGTAATTGGCACAACACCGTGAGGTCACATCGTAGTATAATCTAGTAAGTATAATCTGGATGGCGAATTGCAAAATCTAAATAATTAAGGAGCTTAATTTGGAATCTCGTGGATGTCCTGTGGCGCAACGCGCGGCATTGACTTTGAAATCCAAGTCCTGTTCAAAGCTTCGATGTCCGCCAATACAGCCGGTCCAAATGCTGTTGCAGCGCAGGGACAGCAACCTGTGCAGGATGAGTCTCCTTTCCGCAAAGTGTTTGGGATCATCCAGGTGAGTGAGCCTTCTATGGCGGATTTTCGGGTCTGAATGGTCCACTTTTGACCTACAGCAAATTGTCATCATCTATGCTGTGACGCAAGCTGGTAAACATCCACCTTTTGTGTTCTCTTTACGCATGCTCAGCCGTACGTTCATCTAGCAAGTAGGTTTTTTGGTTCTAAGGCACCTCAGACGACACCGCCGCCCGCTGTCTCTCCTGGCGCTGCCCACGAACCAGGCCAAATCAATCCGTTTCACCTGCCTCCCGTGCAGGCCTATTCAGCATGGCCATTGGGCATCCCCCTCTCCGTACACGTCCACCTTTCAACTGATCCTACAGGCAACATCTTTGCCAAGTCGGAAGAGAACGCTAAACTGCCCCATTTCGTATGGGAAAATATCACGTTTGGGGATTGGAACGAAGCACGGACAATAGAGTACAACGTCGATTTGCCTGAGGTGAGTAATTCCGACGCGGACATTTTACAACATCCTGCGACTCACCTTGAACCTAGTCTGTACAACACAATGGTTCGCTGTGGGCAGATATCTTCGTGGTCAGGGATAGTGCGGATCTGGACCCTTTCAAACCAAATTTCAATCCGAACACCGTGCATCATGCCAGGAAACGTATGATTGACCTTTCATGCATTCAATCTCATGCATCTCAACATTGATTCTACCAGTGCTAACGCGGTATCTGCCCAGGCCAAGGGTCCGCAAAGAAAGGCTTCTACTGAAGGGAGAGGAGCTCGAGGAAGATGCTGACGATGTCGTGCGTATACCGTATCCGTACGCTTTCTGGCCTGTTTATTAAGGATGAAATAGGTTGAGGAGACTGTGATAACTTCATTCTGGCACCAGGTATGTCACAATGAAAACTTTCAACACATCTTGACTAATCTTTCTCCATAGAATTTAACCCTAGCACTGGTGTCGGATACGCCCGTGTTGCAGTACGCACAACTGCCCCCACCAGTTGCGGCTCGTAAGTTGTTCTTTGAAGGCATCATATTACTCTTTGTCACGCAAAAATCCTCAGACGTTCAACTCGTGCCCGGCCAACGCGATGAAACTGGCACGAAGGGCTACTACAAGCCTATTATTTTCCCCAACGAGTTCTGGAATTTCCGCTCGCAATACGTTGAGATCAACACGACCACGCCTACTCTCCCTATTCAATTCGTGTTCCAGCCAATGTCGTATTTCAAGTTCCAGTTATTCTCATCAATGACGGTTGGGTTTGAAGAGGCCGCCAAACAACAAGGCGGCAGCTCCGGAGCTGAGCTTGACGAGCTCAAGCGCATGCTTATCGAGACGAATCCGTGGTTTCTGGGGTTGACTGGTCTGGTCAGCATACTGCATGTATTGTGTGTTTAATCTCATCACGGTATGGGGTAATCGGTATGCTGACCATGCTCTCGTGTTAGGTTTGAGATGTTGGCATTCAAATCCGATGTCTCTCATTGGAGACACAAGAACGAGTTGACGGGAGTATCTGTTCGGTAATTCTATTCAATTCGATTGTCTCGCTTGATTTTCACACCACCGGATCTCACTAGGTCAATTGTCACCAATGTTTTTGTTCAATTAGTTGTCTTGTTGTACTTGATCGACAACAATACTGACACGAGCTGGATGATTCTCATGGGATCTGGCATGGGGTTGCTCATCGAGGCTTGGAAGGTAACCGACTTTGACTTCTGCCCATCAAACCATGTTGATCTTGACCTTTGGATGCGCTTAGATCACTAAGGCTGTGGACATCAGCATTACATCCACACCTGCCGGCTCGACCTTGCCTTGGCAGATTGAAATCAAAGGTATATCTAGTCATCAGACATACCGCTCTTCCTCCGCGGTCACCGCTCACATTTCATTCCTGGCAGACAAGCATGTGCTCAGCGAAGATGAGAAGAAAACACAAGAGTACGTTTGTCTTGCTTCTTCCGGCGTTAACTCTGTGCTAACTAGACATCAGATACGACAAGCTCGCATTCCGCTATGTTTCATATGTTGCCATTCCGTGTCTCGCCATTTATACTGTGTACTCGCTACTATACGAGAGTCATAGAGGGTGGTATAGCTTCGTCATCTCGACGCTAACGTCTTTCGTTTACATGTTCGGCTTCGTAAGTTTTAGAGCATGTCGCCTAGTGTCGAAAATTTTCTAATCCTTTCCCAGGCACAATTAATCCCACAACTAATCATCAACTACAAACTCAAGGTGAGTTGTTTGCGATTACTCGGTGCTTATGGTCTCACTTCTGTCTCCTTTTATCTAGAGCGTGGCTCACATGCCTATGAAAGCCATGATTTACAAGTCGCTATCTACCGTAATTGATGACCTCTTCGCGTACGTAGTCAGCCTTTTCATGCAATTTTAATCTCACGATCAAGCACTTGCAGCTTCATCATCAAGATGCCCATCCTTCACCGTCTTGCATGTTTCAGGGACGACGTTGTCTTCCTCATCTTCCTCTACCAGGTAAGCGCGTTGTATGATCTCTTCATGTACGAACGATGGTAACGTTGTGCAGCGCTGGATATATCGGGTTGATCCCAAGCGAGTGAACGAATATGGCCAGGTCATGGCTTCTGATGCAGACACGGCAATCGAGAAGAAAGTCAGAGAGTCGAAGAAGGACAAGTGACCGCTTAGATAGGATGTTGTAGGCACTCGTGATTGATTCACAGCTATGACAATTGTCGGAGCGGAGCTGTTATCATCAGTTGGAGCTATGGATGCATAATCCGTGGAATCCTGCCTGAATAAAAGGAATGTTGACTCGGTTTGTGGACGTTTGTGACTCTCCACCCGTCATTTGTTACCAAATCGGGCAGCTGACTCCTACTCAATTTCTGTTGCACCTTGGCCCATTCTGAGCATTCTACCAACGTCGTCGAAAGACCCACCGACCTCTTCTGCTTGATCTACAGGATAACATCCCTTCAAGACTTGTGCTTGTCTGCTCAAAGGCCGCCATGGCCGAATATGCTTGTAAATGCCTCAATGTACGGATGCGCGCACAACCCGCGCAAGGTAGCCCCCCTGAAGTCGACGTGAACGAGTTTCAGCCAATATATGCTGGCGACTCTGGAGTCAATATTGTGAGTAGCGAAAAAACCAGCGATGAAGTTTTTATATGTTCATTTCGCCGCTAGGTTCATAACCAACTGGCTTTGAGAAGTCGAACCCACGCGAAGCCGGAGCCACAGTCTAAAGAGCCCATGCTTCGTCGATATATGTCTCTGACGTGCTTAATCTGTGATATGCTCGTCTATCGTGTTGTCCAACTATTTCCGCCAGACGTGGAAAGCACGGATGGTCCTGTTCTCCCAACAGAAGACTGGGTAGAGCAAGAAACGCTGAAGAGTTCAACGGGTTGGTTCGAAATTTCCAAAGCGTGCCTTGTGAGTAGCTCTATTTTCAGTCCCTATCCTTCCATTCTATACCATCAATTTCTATCTCGAACGTTGTGATGTCCAACAGGCGGGCAGCTATCGTAGTTAGGTGCTAGAAAAAAATTTCAGTGGCATCCACAACTCCTTTCTGGATTTCGCTGATCTATATGATACTCACCATCAGTCTGTCTTAGACTTTAGGAGATATCATCAAAGCCGAAGCTTCCGACTCGTACTCTCCCATCTTCCGGGTCGTTCTTCCTTTCGAACTCACATTACCGTCTGCCACTCCGATCTTCGTCCAGGTATCCTCCGTCACATCTCCCTCTCTTCCTACAGCCCGTACATCGTTACCACCGCTACCTCCACTCCTCTCTCCTGCGCCGTTCACGCCGTCCCATGTTGTCTTTAGACACCTCGCATCGTTAGCTTCGGAGAGGTCAAACCAGATTCGGCAGTCAGCCGAAGAGCATCTAACCTCGGTGATTAACGCGAAGGTAATAGAGATCGAGGCAGAAGAGGGCATGCTTCGGAGCCAGGTGCAGGCGCTTTGGGTCCGCTTTAGAAGCAAAGTTTCTCAGTTGGAAGAAGAGAGAAAAGAAAAATTTAGGCTTCGATCTACGCAGACCAACAACGCTAGCTGGTCGCGTGGGAGTGCAACATCGGACTCGACTCAGGCCACACCCATTTCCGTTCAAGATTTCGTGGTATCTGGACCGCCACTTAGAGCCCTATCCTCCTCATCTGGCGGTCGTGCACCATCGGCTCTCTCGGCATCTTTGGCTGGTTTTTCATTTCATCACCCCAGAGCGGAACAGAGTGACGGTAGCTCATCTCTGTCGTCATCATCATCGAGGACTTTGGCTGAACGCTCCCTTCGTCGAGTCCCATCACCTTCACGAAGCCCAAGGCTTATGCAGAGCCGTCGAAGCAACAGCCTAGATCATAATGGCGGGGAAAGTCGTAGCTATGGGCCCTTCAGGCGTAATTTAAATGAAGACAAGGACATTGCCACGAGCTTCAAATACGTCACAGATATAGAAAGCGAGATGGCACGAGTTGTCGCAACTCGCCACGAACGAAATGGGATGGCGTCGGGCCCAACCCCTCCGGAAAAGGCCCCACCATCGCATGTTGATCAACACCGCCCGATCGCTTCACAGACGGTACTGAGTCCGAAAGCTGAGAATACCACGGACGCCGCCCAAGGGTCGAGCAAATCCAGGGGCAAGCGAAAAGTAACGTTCGACATCAAACCCGATGTTCCCAACATTGAGGATGCAAGGGTAACGAATGAGCCAGTCGATCGAATCGATGAAGGTGAGCAGTTTTCTCAAACATAGATTCAAATCACTGAGTGCTGATTTTTTCATTTAAAAAATAGCTGTTATCTTTCAGCTCGAAGATGAAGTCGACGATCCGTCAGCTTCTCGGTCGCAGGCCTTGGTTCTTCCTTTCATCGAACCTCCGCACGTGCCTAAGCGACACACACCTAGACGAAGCATCAGTGGTTCAGGGCTCCCACAGTCTCTCTCTCTCCTCCGACCGTCCTCATTGCCTCCGCCGTCAAATCTTCGCGCATTGCCACAGCCTGGTGCACCGGCGTCACCGAATCGCGGTTCCCCAGAACCCCATTCGGCTTTTACATCTAGTGGACTGCCATCCATTGAGCAGCCACTCAGTCCTCGTGAAGCAGAACTTTCACGCTTAGTGGCTGCTGGGACCCCAAGCCACAGAAGTGCTTGGAAACGAGACAGCAAGGCTTGGCAGCTGTTCGTCAATAAAGTCACACCCAATGCCGACGACGATGATGACAATCGATCTCTCAACGGAGTGCCTGCATCTCAATCAAATGGTGTGCTATACGATCAAGAAGGTTTGCCCACATGTATACAGGTCTGATTCCGATGCTAAATGTTGTTTCATCTCCAGATGAAGACTGGAGCCAATCTATCGCTAAATCGTTGCCTGTCTTTATTGGCCTCAACGGTCGTGGTTCTGACAGTAACAAAGCCTCGTCAATCCAATCCAAAACTGAAGTCAATGGAACGTCATCGCGCACGGTGGAAGCCAGCAATGGCTCGTCTGCCGCAATACGGAGAGCATCATATGCGGAGCGCGATCGTGGCCGCTCCATGGATCCTGGTGCTCTTGATTTTGAAGCAGCGGATGACGATGACGAATCTGACGCAGATAATATGGATAATATGACTCAAGTTGGGAACAGAGGACGGAGACAAGCACTGAAAATTTTACAAGCACGCAGCGAGTTGCCCGCGGAGGGCATGTGGAGAAGTTTAGCGACGTGAAGAACTAATACTTGCTTATTTTATTCGGTCTCACTTCGTTCAGTGAACTAGTCAATGACGACTAGGGTGTTGTACGATTGTCATTTTGTCATCTGTTGCTGTATTCGCTTGTTCCCTGGATCAGACTAATCTACCCTTGGTTACTTGATAATGAAGATTATTTTGGACGAAATAGACTCCTTATTTGTACGAGTATGCTTGCAAGAAAACAGACAGTGGTAAAACTCAACAGTGTGATTCGCGGAAAGTACCCCAAATGCATGATTGCGAGGATGACTCGGCGTCATATATCAAATAGCATCATCGGGTAAGTGGAGAGTGAGATAGAGTGAGAGCAAGAAGGGGGCCTAATCAACATGCGACTCAGGATCAGTCGAAGAATTAGAACCCGCAGCATCGCGCTCCTCTGCTCGCCTGACGGTGTCCTCAACCTTGGAGCCGTCGCCTTGTACAGAAACATCGTCTTCTACAGCGGCCTGTCCGAGGCCTTCTCGGACACAGCGACCGCACGAGCAAGCGAAGCGCCAGCCACGAGCGAGCTCCATACGACGGCGCCGTCTAGCCTGGGCAATGTCCTCGTCCTCGCGTTGGGTGACGTCGACGTAGGCAACAGTGACCTCATCACCCTCCTTCAGATCACGATTTGCAACGATATGCAACTCTGCAGTGCCACTGCTGAACGACGGGCGAGTGGTTGGCTCGCACGAGTGCGCGATCTGTACCGACAGTGAGTCTTGAATCTGGGAAGAAAGAATCTCATACCACTCACATAGGCAGAAACGGGATACAAGCCACGGCCAATTTGTCGCTGGGTCCCATACGGCGTTCTGGTCTTCTCGACATCCTCGGGCCTCACCTTTGGGTCAGGCTGGCGACAAGCCATCAGCAAATATCTACGGATGATTACAACAACCTGCCTTATCATCACGACCACCGGAATATGCTATACCGTAAGCGTTATACAGCATCTTGCCCTTGAGCGTCGCATGCCTTTCGTCCGTGATAAACTGCTCCAATCCGGGTAAAATGGTCTGGAAAAGCTTCGCAAGCAACTTAGTCTCATCAGAGGCGACCTCAGCTTCAAGGTAACGAAGTCTCTCCATATGATCGTAGAGCGAGTATTCTGAATCATTCGAGGTGCTAGCTTCAGCCTCTTTGGGGACCATCTTCGCAATTTCGTCTCCGACCTGGCGCGCAATGAACCGAGCGACGAGCAGAGGAGAAGAATACTCCGATCCCTTAATATAGCCAACGAAGGCTTCTTGAGATTGACGTCGTTCCGCCAGGACTTCCAGAGTCTGACCTTGAATCAGTTCCGGAGGGAGAGATGGATCTGAACCGAAGAGAAGATTATGCGACTGGACTTTGGAGTTGACCTGGCACTCCTTCGAGCAGTATGCCGACTCAAGCAAGTCCTTTTCAGGTCGGATGGCCAAACCCTTGTTGATGTGACGAAGGCAGTGGGAACAATATTCCCCCTTTCCTTCCAGATCCGCATCCAAGACCGTGACCAGAGGTTGTTCCTAATGTTCGAAATATTCAAGAAGTCATTCGAACAGAAGAGAGGAGAAGTAGACCTTGTATATAATATCGCCAGCCCTAAAGTCCTTGTTTACTACAAGAATTCTCTTGCTCACAATTGCGCCATTGCCATCAGGCACTTGGACGAATTTCGTCATGACGTGCATTGACTTTGGAGGGAAGTGGTCATAATAGCCTACCCGTCGATGACAGCCAAGAAATTCTCAGCCTGTGACAAAGAAGAACAGTTGGCGACTTGAGGCTCACCTGCGATACGATTTTTCACCTGACATGGGACGTACATTGAGAAATCAAAATGTGTATTAGAATGCAGTATTCCGATAGGGAATATATGGAGAGAATGAGATGACAACAGATATAACAAACAAATCCACGGGTCCGTTCGGGCATCACGTTGTTGGTGTGTGCCTCCCAGGGTCGGTCACTTTGTCCCATTCCTGAGACGACGCTTCCGACGGTGGGCCACGCCTCGAAGGACTCATCCCATCCTCTGACGCACTTTGGCTTTGCTCGTCCTCGTTTTCGGCAAACGGAGAAGGGGAACTCACGTCGAGATTAGTCATTGCCACGACGAGCTTCAAGAAAATTTTCAGCGAACGGAGGCAAGCAGAGGTGAAGTGACATGAAGCGCTACCTTGAAGACCGGTTCAGGCATCGTTTTCTCGTAGATGACAATGAGTTCGACTGGGGAGGGATACACACGCAGTGCACGGTAAAAACACATGGCCGCTGGCAGGTAGTATTCGGGACCTACAGAAACTTCAACACGTATGTCCCAGTAAATTGTGTACGACACGCACCTTGCAGACACATCTGCTCGCCCAGATTCACTTGATTCATGAAGAAAGCTTCCTTCTCCTCAGGCGCCGAAGGCAAGGCCTCCTTCTGAATCTTCTCCAGAACAGCTTGAATGTCCGCTTCCTCGATGGAGCCACCAACAGGTTTTGATAAATCGGCAGACTGCGCTACCGTCTTACTGATCTTCTTCTTCTCCTTGCCTGGGTAGTTTATAAGGACATGATTTAGTGAATGTGACGAAATGGCAAAGAATAGGCACGAACGAAGTTTCTTGCGGAAAGCCGCGTCATTCCTCCGCTTGTAGTCGAAGTAAGCTGCGTAGGCGAGAATGCCTGCCGCAGAGACGGCGGCGACGGTGAGAACAGTTGATGTCCTGTTCATGACGGACGAAGTCTGTGAAGAAATTCAAAGTGGCCGGAGCGTAAGGTGTTGTGACCACGTGCATCTTGTACGTACAGGTACGTACGCACTGTGGTAGGACCCTCAACAATCCCACCAGAGGTATGCTGCGACTCTGAAAATTTCCGGTGGTATTGAGGCCCGTTTTTGGACCATAGGTCTATGGCATTTCCTGGTATTTTTGCCCATTTAAGTAAGGTATGATATGGTTCCAGTAGTCAGAATCTGGTTCAAAAATATATATCCATATCTGGTATAGTATATGAATTCTTGTCAATTATGTAACATACTACAGGCCTCAAAGTGTCAACTTTCAAGCCCAGTGAGAATCCCCCCATGGCTGATAGGATGAGGTAGGACAAGATTGGAGCTTCCTATCTTGTCCTACTTTGTTCTATGGTATAATAGAATCTGGACTTATACTATTAATCCATATGAGCATATATTATATCATCCAAAATTTTGGATGCTTCTATATCCTCTAATTAGACCCAGTGTGAGCTTCAGATATCTTAGTATTTTAATAAAATCAGATCAAATATTTTTATTTTTATTTGTACTACTACCAAAATATATGAGAAAAAAAGGTCAGTCATATGAGAAAACTAAGTACCTGGACAAGCAGCATTGAAAAAGCAAGGCCACTATCTAGTACACCTACGATTCCATTGTTGCACTCTAAAAAAACAATAATGAGTGTGGTTGTGTCATTTGGTAGGTTCATCAGCATTATAGACATAAGCTACCAGCATGGCAGTAAAGAGGAAAGAGAAATGGGATATTGAGTGCTAATATCTAGAAAAACCTCTTCTCTTAATTAGATCTAATTACTCAAAATACTAATCTGAGCTAATTAGAATATATTATCTATAATCAACTTTATAATCAAATCTATAAGTAAAGATAATATTGTCTATACTACTACAGTCTCATTGGAATATACAACCTAGTTACAATTTTACATATCCCAAATCCAAATCATGTAAGTGCCACAATCTTATTTCTACTATATTCTTTTCTATTAGTTTACTATATTATTGTCTAGTGCCTAAATTCAAATGTTAAAAGCCCTGATTTTTAGGGTATTTATTGACCCCTTTGATTGTAGAATAGATAAAAGATGAATGTATAAGAAAATTAGAAATATTGAGATTGCCTTATTTATATCAATATATTTAGGTTATTAGATAAATAACTTAGATCTTGTGGCTTAGTAGTTTGGAGCAGTGGTCTGAGGTATGCAGGTGTTAAGCTGCTAGGCTTATCATGTGAACCTGATGCACTTAAGAGGGGTTCCCTAGGCTAATTATAATGGCCCAATAAATAAAGACTATGGCATTAATGAGCATTCTATAAGGTATTCACATAAATTAGCTTGACATATGCTTGGCTTCAGTTATCTGTGTGCTTCCTGGCCATTACCACAACAATAGAACCAGGTCCACCATTATACTCTGTTACTCAGGCTTGCTATCAAGATATAATCCACTCAAAACCTTGATAGTAGACTTAGCCTTACAAACCAGCTGCTTTTCAACTAGCTATGCTGCCATAGATTTAATGGCTGGATGAGCATTTTTTTATTTCAAGATATAGAGTGGATATAGAGTATATAACTTGGCCAAGCAAGGTTTTAGTTGACTGCTAGGGCTTTAGAGCTAGCATTTGAGGATTTGGGCTGGGGTATAAGTATTCTGGCCATAAAGAAACTTGCTGACCAGTGACTGATGATCCTTTTATCATGAGACCCTTTCATTCAGATTGTTAGTCTGATACTAGAAGCAGTATCACAAAAAGGTGCCAAAAGGCTAGTTTTCTTGTTGAATTGTTGCAAAAATACTTGTTAGCTTTGTACTCTACCACATCAACGCCCCGTTGAACCCTTTGCTTTCTTTCACCACTCCCCTCCTCTGCAGGGGGAGGTCAAGTTCTTTCGGTGTCGCGGTGAGGAATGGTTTCTCCCCTAGATACGATCGGGGTTTCCTGTTTTTCCGGATGTACCTAGTGTTCGTTTGATTGCTGTTCTAGATGATACCTTCTGGTGTTGGCACAATACACAGATGTTGGTCACAGTTATAGGCAACGATGAGAATATCTTGAGCTATTTAGCAAATTTCTGAAGTGGTGCCGGACCACTAACAAAGACAATACTCCGTAAATGTTGAGAATAATGAGGAGAGGCTTGAGAACTTTGTGATTCAAGTTGCTGAGGTGCTACACAGATTGAAGGCGAGCTACTAGTTCGTCTAGTATCCCTACAAGTCTTGCAGCTTATCTCCAACTGATATCACTCAAAGAACTTATTGACTGGCACTGACTGACTGAGTAAAAGTAAGAGGGAGAGATGGTCTCTGCCTGAAGCAGGACAATCAGCCTCCTTATATACTATTTCAAGTGGGAATCTCCTTCCTAGTATATACAGGCTGAGTAGAGTCATTGTGAGTCACAAAGAATGCTGTAGAAATAAAAAGAATTAGGAGGAAAGCAGAGGAACAGAAAGGAAAGTAAAAGAAAGGCTCAGAATGTGGTAGAATATTCCTTCAGCTTCCTTCAGAACTGCTCAGAACCTTCCCCTCCTTTCAGCTTGGAATGCCCTAGACCTTGCCCCTTTCCTAAACATTCTCCATCCTTCCACTAAAGCTCCCTTCTATTCTACCAGATTCCACTGCTTTCTTTCCATTCCTTATTGTCTTGCCATGGTCTAGCCCTTTCTGAAATAGACCCTAGGCTCTGGAATCTGTCCCAAAAGCGAATTATAAGTATGAAAAGGGATAGGAAATCAAGTTTAAGTGGTAAAATACTCGAAAAATATGTAGAAAATCGGAATTAAATGTCCTGTCCCTTCCAGGTTGTTTCTCTTTTCTTTCTTCTAGTCAGATATTCTGCCCTCCATTCTACCATCACTATTTGATGCCTAACAATGTGTGAGTGCGACATCGGCACGTGAGGCCGCTATACAAGATGATTATCAAGGCTATGTTTGTGAGAGGGGATGGTGCTGGGGCAAGGATGGTGGTGGGGGTTCTTCAGGATGTCACACAGGAGACCAGAGATCGATCTATGAGGGGAGGGCTGCAGGTGACATGCGGCATATCGTACTCGGTGCCTCGATGAGAGGACCAAATATTTGGATCACAGCTTCTAAGATGGTGACAGACAAGAAGATGACACTCTAGGGGCACTGGAAGATGCAGATAGATGAGAGTTATGTGTTAAAAGGATGCTTGCTAAAACATGAGAAGGAGTGGAATTTTGGCTGTAATTAGAGCCTGATATCAGTGACAAGGAGTAGGCTGTCTATTGGGGAATGTTTGTATGCTGTAGAGATGTCATGGGAGCTGATAGCACGGTCGGAATCGTGAATTCCATGGCTGAGGACGAGGACGAGCATAGTGGTGCATTGCTCAAAGCATCGAAAAAGCCGTGGGAATAAATCGGCCGTGGGAATGTTCCGACCACCGAGCAAGGGGGCGCGACCTGGCGCGACTGAATGCAGACTGTATATAGGAGAGACCCACCCAATCGATTCGTCATCGACTATTTATCAGTCTGCTGAGGAGACTACGGCATTGCCGCTACCAACCTCTGGCCCTGTTACTGCTCAACTCAACGTTTGGTTGAGCAAATTTAACAAATTTCGATTTGGGGCCACTGGAGTATGTGCGCTTGGCTGTTCCAATGATGGTCCGGTAGCTTATGGTCTCCACCTATGAATTAGGAATTCAGCAAGATCGTCAGGATGCCGCCAGCTCCGAAACCACCGGTGGGTGGCGATATCGAAAAGAGGAAGGAGTACAAGTATCAGCAAGAGATTTCTCAAATGGTCTGTGCATGCCACTAGATCCTTCTCTACTGCGCTCCCTATCGATGTCTGTGTAGATGTTTGTCTTCGGCGAGATCCAGGATCCATTGACAGAGACCGTCAATCTCGTCGAAGATATCATCCGTAGCCAACTTGTCGAATTAGTATGCAAACGTCGTTTCTTCGTCTCAGGCTCGCTCAAGCCGTTTTTTAAGATTGTACAGGCACGGGTGCAGGCTAACCGCCGTGGTGCCCGCTATCTTTCGGCTGAAGATTTGATCTTCCTCATTAGGCACGACAGAGCCAAGGTGAACAGATTGCGCACTTATTTATCTTGGAAGGACGTCCGAAAGCACGCCAAAGACAGCAATGCAGACGGTGGTGGCGGTGTCGAGGTTGAAACCTTGGAGGATGGAGCTGATGGTAAGTGGCAACTTCTCAATCCATCCAGGGTAGATATATATGTTAATACCACAGACAAGCTCACTGCGAAAGCGCAGAAGATCACCATCAAACTACCTTGGGAGATTACAACCATTTACTCTGAGGTTCTAAGACAAAGTGGTCTTCAGGAAGATGATGAAGAAGACGAGGATGATCTGGAAGCCCAAGAGGCATCTCTCGAGCGACTCAAGGTAAGTGTCTATGACTGACCCCTCACAGATACCAACATTCTTTCGCGTTACACCAGGAAGCCGACGATGTTACGAAACAAATGACTCGTGAAGAGTATCAACACTATTCTGATTGCCGGCAGGCATCATTCTCGTATCGCAAAGGTAACCGATATTTCTCATGAAAGCCCTCCCGCATATATTTTGACCTTTGATCCTTTGCAAGCCAAACGTTTTCGAGAATTTCTCAATCTTCCACCCCACCTTGATCTCAAAGCAAACGACGACACGGTCGACATCGTCGGTTTTCTTGCTTTCGAGATGGTTCGGTCCCTCACGGTGGCTTCTTTGGAGGTGAAGAAATCGCTAGAGGAGTCCTATCTGCGTGAGGATCATACAGCTTCACCTGTCCTTGGTAAGCGCAAGATGGGGGTGGGCTTAGATTCTAGCAGCAAACGACGACGGGAGGAATCTCCAGACGAAGACTCTGACACCCCATTACCCGCCTCTTCGTTGTTCATGCAGCCGCCTGAAGCACGTACTGCCCTCAGGCCAGAACACATCCAAGACGCATTCGGGAGAATGCAAGGCGATTGGTCCCAGAGCCGTTCTGCAGGTATGCGGAACTGGAGAGGTGGTTTGATACGGACCAGTGTCAGTCTCATTTAGCTTCCAATCCTCCCTCGTGTCGGTGTTTGCTTCCATGCGGATTTCTATGTTGTATTGTTGTAATAATATAGTGTACATCAGTGTTTTACGCCTTCAGATAATTTGAGTACAACACTCCAAGAGAAAATGCAACGCAGACAATTAGAACAACAATGAGGCTGCAACGTCCAAGTTTCCTCCCGCGGCATCGAGAGTACTGATGGCCACTTCCCTGGTGGCCCCAAGGCTAATCAGGGTAGCAATGGCCTCTTCCGAATGGCGTGAGCTGTTCGTACGTGATAGATCTCTGTTTGAAGTCGCGACAGATGCAGGGGCCGAACCGAGCGCGCTCCCGGCTCCCGGGAAAGGCTGCGGAGACCGACTTCCTGACGTCGAAGGGCCTGGCACTGGGCTAGCAGGGCGAGGCTCTGGCACACCAGCATCCATCATCCGTGCCTTGTCGGGAAGCTCATGCTCTGCGAGGAACCGGACTTCCCGACCTTGAATGCGCAGGACGTTCTTTTCAAGGTCTATACATGCTTGATGTGCTTTCAACATGTCTAGACCAAGGAGAAGGTCGACGTCACGTCCCTGCAAACGCGGAGCGATTAAGACATATTGGAACCTTACGAGATTCTCACGCACCTCCATAATCGTAAACGAACAAGGAAGGAACACGTCTGCTAACTTCAGTTGAGCACTGTGCACCCTGCCTAATATCCGAGCAGTCCCGACCCCACGTGCGATGCCTGAGAAGCGCTTATCGACCAAACGCATGATTCTGAGAGGTATGAGCCACTGCGCACGACGAGACACAAGACAATGCCGATACTCACCCACATGCTTCCGCGCATTCCGGACTCACTTCGATGAGGTTCAGTATCTGCAAATACCCGTTTCAAAAGTGAGAGACTGACTAATGGTTTGTTGAGCTCCACTGTCCACAAACGCCTTCACTGGCTTCGAATTGACCTCAACCGGGATGCTGAACGAATTATTGAGCAAGCGTGAGGCAGAACCTAAGCGAATACTCACTAGAGCATAGTCACCCTCCCAAAACTCTCGGGCGAATACTCTAAAGCGTGCTCCAAGTTTTCCATCACAGCCTGTTGCCGGATGGCCTCCTCAATTCTTCGCTGCCCATCAATATCATACGGATCGGCATTGAGTCTCTGTATCTCGCGGTCGGCCTGCATTTGTCGAGTATTTGTTTGGCTGAGCAGCTCTGCAAAGCGAGCGGGATTCGATTGTGCCGCGTGAGCTAGCTCAGGCTGCGTCTATGGGAGGTTGATATAGGCATTTAGGGAGGCAGTGATACGAGTACGACAGTTACTCACATCGCGTAATTGTCCCATTAGTGCGGGATCGCCCAGCAACTGTAACCGCATCATCTCAGAATCTTGAGCCGCTGGTCTAGATGGATATGAGTGTCTGAGCCATTGTTATACGAAGGCCCACATACTGTCCCGCGATGTTAACCTTCCGGCGGAGTAAGAGTACAGCGTTGTCCCCAACACCAAGCTCGCGCATAGTGGCTTTTGGATTCGAGAGCTCTCTGCCCTCAAATGATATACTTTGCTCATGTGCTGGTATATTGGACTGTTGCGGCCCATTTGTTCGTTGTATCGTTACGCTTGTCACTACAGTCTGTGAGGTGACCACTCACCTCAGCCTCCAACAAAGCCATCACGTTCTCTAGCTCCATATTGGGGTCGATTTCCACGACAAACGACTGCCCGAAGTCGTTTACAAATGTAAGTTCCATAATTGAGATGATGGGACAAGCCGAGGATATGAGGGTTCAGTGAGGTTCAGTGTGAGGAAACCTTGAAGCCTCCGGCGAATCTCTGTGACCCAGATCAGATCCACTTTGCCGATGGAGGTGATCGAACCTACAATTATTTAAAGCGCTTGCCAGGCGCTCGCAGGCGCTTGCGTATACTTCAGAAACAGAGAGAATATACTGGAAGTTTCCGCACACGGCTCCTTGTAACTTAAGCCCCAAGTCAATGTATCAAGGCCTCAAGTTCAAGATCTAAAAATACTAGAATGATTTGTAACATTCACAAATATCGTACACTCCCTATATCACGACGAGACTGTCTTCCGGTCTTACATGAACAAAAAGAAATATATAAGTAGGCTGTAGGTATATAGAAACGGCGCCGCAGGCTAAATTTTCCAACAAGAACGATTATATGATCCGGATGATTGTCAAGACTGGTGTGACCCAGCGGGGCCCAAAAACAAAACACCAGATTGCCAACGGATGACGCCGACTCTGCGGAAGCGTGACCATCCGATCAGGTCATGTTCCTACAACGCGACTGATTCACTGGGGTCCACTCCTTCCAGATAGATAACTGCGACCATAATGAGACCTATGTTGAGGATTAGATGTTGGCCAAGTTGAGTAGAGAAAACAGCACAGATTTCACGTACAGTCGAGAGTTTCCCCCGCGTATGTTGGACATGAAGGCACTTTCCATAGCAGAACCCGAGGCTGACAGGCTTGCGTCTGTGAAGGCGCGCATTGATCAACTAGAAATCACGACACAAGTGTGGACCTACTACGCACCACTGAGGTCGCTGAAACTGGAGGCTGAAGATCCATGATTGCTCCCCTTCTCGCTAGTTTTATGTTTATTTGCTAGCAAAGTGTGCCGGATATGGGATGGGCCCTTGCCTGTCGGAGATAGAGAAGTGGAGTTTGTCGACTTTTCTGAAGGCGAGAAATGTCTGTTCACCAAAGAGTGTGGCTCCGACGGAGGGGAAGGCATAGAAGGTATAGAGCCATGTGCGGAACTTGCGCTAGAGATGCTCTGACTGCGATCTGATCTTCCCATCTGGTTCCTATCCAGGCCATCTAGTTTCGGGAGAAAAGGTGTGCCCATGCGTCCGCGATCAGATTCCTTGTCCTTGCGCTTTAAGTTAGGCGAGCTAACGAGCCCCAATGATTCGTCATTAATCATCTGCTCCAGCGCTTTCAGCTTCTTGTCCAATTCTTCCTGCTCTCCTAGCTGTCGTTCTGCTTCCTCAGCCTTCTCGGCTGCCTCATCAGAGTCCGAACCAGAGGAAAGCGGAGAGGCGGGTCTGAGTGCACTGAAGTCTCTTCTATGGCCCTGCAGTGTGAGGATGGACGATGAGGATGTCTTATTGGCGCGGGCCGGAGAATTGCTGGTCAGTGAATTGAGGCGCGCGCGAACGCCAAGAGGGGTGGTAAGACGGACGGAGGAGGAGAGCTTGGAGATATTAGGTATTCGCCCAGATTCTCGGCGGATGTTACTAGGCTTATCAACTGGAGACAGTATATCGTCGCCGGATTTAGGTGATACATGCGTGGTAGAAGGGCTCAACGCCCCTGTTATATCCTGCAGTCCGCGAAGGTCTTGTTCGTATCGGGTCTGTGCTCTATAGAGCAGGTATGGCAATGGCACATTAAGACGAGTAGCTAGAGATTTCCCTGATACGCGTACACGTCATCAGTGCCAGACAACGTTGACATATGAAGGCATACAGTCAGGAATTCCACTGTCCATCGCGCGGGATCTCGCGATTACATCCCACAGATAGTTCTCCTTCTCAGCATTCCAGTCGACCTATACAAAGGATGTTAGCAGATGTACTAGGTCGAAAGTAGAACCAACTCACGGGCGGCGGGCCATCTGATGATACCTCAGGACGGTTGCTTGGTATGCGGACAATAACTCTGACAATGGGAGCTTGCATTAGACGAACGTGGGAATCGCACGGATGATCGGGCAGCTCACATGGAAGCTATATTGGGATAAACCGGCGGCAGTTGAGATAGACAGACTTTATTTTTCAGCGGCGGGACGAAGAGTACTGTAGGTTTACAACTTGAAGGTGGACTAAACAACGAAGCTGCTAGTCGAGACAATACAAAAAAAAAAAAACGCAAGGCAACATCCCATGGGCATCTCTAGAACCTTCGAGACGTAGGGATGATCTGCATTACATGTATCTGCAATGCTGCATCATCCAGACGGGACATAAAGGGGTCGTGGGGGACCTAATCTGCAATATTGCCTATTGTTGTTTAGATTAAATGAGCATTAAGTTCCTAGAGAAATACCGCCTGCATTGTACGAAAGGGTCAACAGAGATAATAGTCCAAGTGAAGCTGCTGCTATGAGATATAACAACGTATACTGATACATCACTGATGATTGGGCAATATGGGGTCGTTTTCCGTGAAATACTGCCACAGATCCTGACCAAATACGGCTTGAGTGTTGTAGTCTTGTAGTAAGTATTCGAAGCCATCGAATCCTTGAAAGATCTCCTGTGTTTGCTGAAAATCGGAAAGCGAGACTCCAGCAGATTCGACCGCAGTGACAGTCGAGGGAAGTGGATTTGATATAGACGCAGGTACCGCATCGCCGGGGGCGGTTCTGGCAGCTGCTGTGGTCTCCATACTGGGGGCGTCAACGCCAAGTTTCTTCTCCCAGGCTTCTAAAAAGCTCGCAACCATATGAGCGCACTTCAGGGCCTCGTGATCAGGGGATAATGACACCTGTGTCAGGAGATCGATGATGCGAGAAAGAAGGTTGTCACTGAATCCCGGCAAGTAACGGACTCCTCGGATCTGTAACATGAAAATCTTCATTACGACGATATATGCTGCGGCTGAGGAAATCATGCTGAAAACTGAGTCGGGTACTGTCGCTAGCATCGTCTTCTCCGGGACAGCGAGAACAGCTGTCAGCAGAGACTCTGCCGACAACATAGCATCGCGCGCGCTGGTAAGAACGAAGTTCGAACCCTGTTTTCGGAGGTCTGGAGGGTAATTGCTATTCTGATTGATGATAAGAGCTCCGTGAGCTTGGTGAAGTGTGTGTGTGAGGAACAGTAGTCGACAGAAATAATAATAGACAACCATGATGTGGAATTGGAAATTTTCGCGGTCTGAGATGACTGGATGAAGATTAGTATACTTAATACTCAATAACAAGATAACCAAGACCTGACATACCAGGCAGTGGTTTGAAAATCCTGTGGAGACCGTCGAAGCGAAAAACGATCTCTGCTATATCTTCATAGTATCGTTCTGCTTCGTCCACTTTTGACATCTTGAGGCGAAGGCCGTGTTCCGTGACCTCAAAGAGCCGCTTCAATAGAGCGAGTCGGGATTTCCGAGAGGTGTGGACAGTTGAACAGGGAAAGGGCCCCTTGGTCATTGGCATTTGCTCTGGTAACTTTGAGGAAGCAGCACGATCTGTTCCAAGACAGACGCTTTGGAAAAGATCAACATCAATGACAATGCCAAATACTGAATCAAGCGCACATAGACTCTACGATATGTAATGAATACCACTTGATGCCAAAGGGAATAAGCAAGGATCAACCATCGAGATACCGAACTTACGATGAGTGCCTTCTCTCTCAAAGCATCGACTGTAGCCATATCGGTGGTTGATATGTCTTCTCCGCTTCTTTTGCGAGAAGCGATGTTGAAAACCTCGACGGCCGCTTGATCCAATCTCAAGGAATTACACATATTGACTGCAGCAGCAGCAATAAGGCGGTTGTCGTGAACCTTGGCCGGGATTGGTGAAGAACCTTGCAATGGTGACCATAGTGATAAGATCATGAAAGCAAGGATGGTTGAAAGCGACGGTGAGGGATCAAACACATGACGCATCATGGCAGCCTCGGATAATTTATTCAAGCTGGGGGACACTATAGACCGTGTCAAAGGTTCCATATGTCTACAGGCTATCGTGCAGCGAACGATATCCAGGAATTCGTCTTCGTGAGTGCTTTCCCAGGGCAGATTAAGCCATGGAGCGTAATGCGTATCAAAGCTGACAATCATTTAATAGAGGCAAAGCAGTCATAAAAAAGCACTTACAGAGTGAGAAGATAGCGCTTTTGCTCTGACGAGAGGATTTTGTCGAATGGTAGATGACTGCCCGAATGTGCCGTTTGCTGGTCAGCAAAGCCCCCAGATGGCCTGGAAAGCGGCGTCAAGGCCACATCGATCCAGTCGGTTAGACCAGGAAGCCTCACGTAGCTCCATGGCGTATTAGACTCCACCTGATCAGTAGCAGTACCAGCTGAGCCAGACGGAACAACCTCTTTGGGAGGCATCGCAGACAAAACGGATTCTGCTAGCTTCTGAGTTTCGGTGAGAGTAGAAAGCGATGCGCTACCGGGACGTGAGGCATGGCCAGTAAGGTTGGATTCGAATGAACACGGAATCCCAAGAACCTCGCATCGGTGGCATCGGATGGAAGAGCTGCTGAGCACCTCACATCTTGTTTTGTGTTTTCTGCAAGACGAACATGCCTGACTGCTCTTGGTTCGTTTAGAGGTCGAGGATTTGGCTGGAGTCTGTGATGACCCCTCGCGTGATCGTTTCATAGCAAGGGAAAGTGCTAGAGTAATTCGAGGACAAGGAACCTCCAGCAAATTCGAGTACAGTCAGGTTCACAAAGATGATTCAGAGTCAAGACGGCGTTTGGTCCCGTTATGAGCAACATCGGGGTCGGCGAATGGAGGGGCATTTCGAATTTGTCATCTTCCTTAATCAATCCCACGACAGCCTTTCCCAACTCCAAGTCAACGCTCATCTGCAATTCTGGCTTGATACGACATGTCCAGATCAAGAAACCCTTCTCCGTCATCTGGAAGCTCAGAGAACTTCCACAGTGTGGATGACTTCACCGCTGAGCTATCACTTGATCCTGATCACGAATTAATCGTCTCAGAAATCGGTGGTGCGGACGTGTCTATTCGGTATGCTAAAGTCCATCTGGTAATCATTCCTCACGCGTAGTGCTGCAGTCGATTTATGGTGATAATGCTATACGACCATGGCGTTCGTCTCCAGAAGACCATGCGCGTAGCCAGAGCAAGACGCGCTATGAGGTGAATTTGAGGTGAGCAATCAATAATTTATCAATGAATTGTGAGACCATAAAAACAGGCTTCCATCCCCTCATGAAGATGTTCCGCTCCGCATCTTGATTTCTCTCCCTCCTTCGTATCCGGCCACCTCTCCACCGCAGCTACAGCTGCTCTCTCGATACATCGGGGCCTTCGGCGTTGATTCTGAGCTATTTGGATCTATCCTCAGGACTTTCATATCCAAGAGTGGAGTGGAATGGACTCCAGATACAGTGTGTGTATTCGATGGTTTGGAGAGCGTCGTGGAGCGTTGTACCACGTGGTACGAAGACCATCTCAATGTCCAGGAGGTTGGTGAACTGTTGCGAGCGGACGCGAAGGAACATTCAACCGGCAAAGATCAACAAAAGCAGCCAACGTTGAATGAGCCCACGTCTCAGCGTGAGCTCGGGTTTTACAATGCTATTGCTACACTTCCAGAGGGAGTCGAAATCACCGAAGCTGAAGCTATCGTGGACCGCAGGAGTGTCTTTGTCGGACGAGCATGCCAGATCACAGATCCTTCACAAGTCGGTATTTCCGTCTAGGTATCGATGTACTTGTATTGAAGAGTATCAGGTTCCTTTGATTCTTGCCTACCTCATGTCTGATAGGCGCATAGCGAAGGCCGCTCATCCGATCATCAATGCCTGGCGCTGTCAGGTTGGCAGTGTACTGCACCAAGGTACAAGTTCTTTGACTTCTATTGTCTAGTTGTATTCAATGCTATATAGACAATGACGACGATAGAGAATCGGCAGCGGGCGGGCGCCTCGCTCATTTACTTCAAATCCTGGTATGTCGAGATATCATGTCTTCCAACTGCAACTGATGTACGTTCACAGGACGTTAGCAATGTTTTAATCGTCGTGACTCGCTACTATGGAGGGATTTTACTGGGGCCGGATCGATTCAAACATATCAATCAGGCTGCACGGGATGCATTGGAGTTGGGTGGATTTTTGAACGGCCCAGATCCAAAAAGATCCAAGGGCTCAAAGCGAGAAAGGAATCGAACTTGACATCTCAAAGACTTGGAACCTAGGGATGTCTGAGGAGTGTCTGAGGTTACTGGTGATTGAAAACTGAATGAAATGCTAAGATACGCACACTGCTGGAATTTGGGACTCGTTGGTATGGTAGTAACAGCCGGTACATGTACTAGATCTATAGAGGCTCTGGTGCAGAGCAAGCGGGGAGCGGTGGAAAACGCAAGATAATGGTGTGTGTTTTTTCACGATAGGCTCGTCTGATAAACAAAGATCGGCCGACAAACCCGATCCGAATATGGGTCGAGTGACGCACGATCGTTCCTGTCAAGTAAAGCCCAAGACCAAAAGCTCGCACAGCAGTTTGGGATGCGGCCGCTCTCTGCTCCTCGACTTTTCACCGTATCTTTAAGAATACACAGGGGCTCGTCTGTCCTCAAACCAACACCTTCACATCTCAGAATGGCGAGCACCTCTGCGGTAAGATTTGCGTTCGATATGTCGGTCTCACAGGAGCTAACGATTTTCTCTAGTTTGGGTTGAAAGACTCGTCTCTGGTCAAGACCCAGGGATTTATCAACGGTCAGTGGATTGACGCTAAGAGCGGGGAGAAAATAACGGTCACGAGTGGGTCTCCAACATGCTTTCTGTGTCAATGCCCTCTGATCACATCTGACTCATAGATCCTGCCACGGAGGAGAAGCTAGGGACCATTCCGGAGATGGGTGTTGAAGAAACAAAGGAGGCAATCAATGCTGCAGCTGAAGCATTCAAGACTTGGTCAAAAACAACTGCTAAGGTGAGTTCCTATTGCTAGTGTTGTTTCGTCATCCGTGCGAGCTTGTATGCATTCAGCATCGACACGATATCCTCGTCAAGTACTTCAATCTTATGCAAGAGCATGCAGAAGACCTATCAAGGATCATCGTGGTTACATTTATTTTTTTCGCGTGATTGCCTTCTAATGATCATCAGACACTCGAAAATGGGAAAACCCTCACTGAGGCGAAGGTGAGTGTAATAAACCTGATTTACTTTTCAAGCTTACTCGCTGCTCAGGGGGAAAACACATATAGTTCCTCATTCATTGAGTGGTTTGGTTCGTCACACGCGCGTCTTAAATCCGTCTTCTCACGAGTCATCATTAGCTGAGGAGGCTGTTCGGACATACGGAGGCAAGTCTCAGCTGTCCGAATCAGAAGGCGTCGAATTAATAGACCTCATACAGAACAAATCCCATCGGCCTTCCCCGGTGTCCGTAATGTCGTCATCAAGCAGCCAATAGGTGTGTCATTCGATGCCTGACTATCCTGACTATTGAAATAGGGAAATGACTGTTCTATTTCTTCATGCAGGTGTCGTGTTCGTATAGTCCCCTTTGACACGCCTTCGGACTCCCTGAACTGCTTTTTTGTTAGATCGATTCTCACCCCTTGGAACTTCCCTTCCGCCATGATTACCCGCAAGCTGGGGGCTGCTTTGGCTGCCGGATGCACGGCTGTGATCAAACCCCCTCCAGAGACACCCTTCTCCGCTCTTGCACTCATTGAGGTTTGTCCTCACGTTGGGCTTTGGACGAATACTGTGTTTATCAGTTCAATATCCAGCTTGCTAAACGCGCAGGTGTACCTGACGGCGTCGTCAATGTTGTCACAACGCAGAAGAACGTCAGCGAAGTTGCCAGAGAAATGTGTGAGAACAAGATCGTCAAAAAGGTTTCGTTCACAGGGTCGACCGCTGTTGCAAAGCTCCTATATGGAATGGCCTCGTCCACGCTTAAAAAGTAATTCCTCAGGGACATATCCCATTCACATGTCTAATGTCTTGTTTAGGGTATCCCTCGAAGCTGGTGGCAATGCGCCGTTTATTGTTTTCAATGACGCCGACATTGACCAAGCGGTTGAAGGTGTGGTTGGATGTTCATGCTTATCTTTTCCTTCGTTGACAGCCTTGGCGTAGGGGCTATCCTCTGCAAATTCCGTGGCAGTGGCCAGACTTGTGTTTGCGCGAACCGTATCTATGTCCAATCATCAGTCTATCCTGAATTTGCATCTCGCCTTGCTCAACGGGTTGCCGCGTTCAAGGTCGGTAACGGCCTTCATGAGAAAACGTATGATCCTTTATTGTTTCGCCTGTCGCTTCCTGCTAATGGTTGATGCAGCACACATGGTCCTTTGATCCACAAACGCGCAGTGGAAAAGGTGAAGAGCCATATTGACGACGCAGTGTCAAAGGGTGCACAAGTTTTGATTGGCGGCAGCCGCCTAGAGGGAGTTGGCTCATTCTTTGCTCCAACCGTCCTGTCCGACGTACCCGCGGATGCATTGATCAACCAGGAGGAAACCTTCGGTCCTGTGGCTGCCCTCACCAAGTTTGAAACCGAAGAAGAGGTCGTCAAGCTTGCCAACGATACTGATGTGGGTTTGGCGGGGTACTTTTACTCCAGAGACGTTGGGAGAGTATGGAGGGTCGCTGAAGCCCTTGAAGTCGGTATGGTTGGCACAAACACTGGGTTCATCTCGCAAGCCGTTATTCCTTTTGGGGGTGTCAAGGAGAGTGGGCTTGGTAAGAAGATCACTCCAGTACAGCACTGAATAACATTAACGATGCTTTCATAGGACGTGAGGGGAGCCACGGTATCGAAGAGTATATGAACACCAAACTCATCGCATTTGGAGGCTTATGAGATGAAGTCTTGCGAAAGAATGTACGCCATACATCTGTATCCATAGTCTTGCTTCCAAACAAAATACGCATTCTTTGAACGGCAAGGAATATCGACATGGAATCACATAGTTGCTGACTGGTTTACAGCTTTGCTGCAACAGCAGCGTTGCCTTCCTCTACCACGGGGTTGATCAGAGATCCGATGCCAGCGCCCATGTAGAGCTTCATCTCGTCTCCATTTTTGAGATAGACAGGGGGCTTCTTGACGAAACCAACTCCTTTGGGCGTGCCGGTCATAATGATGGTCCCCGGCTCAAGCGTAGTGCCTTGAGACAGGAAGGATACAGTTTGACGAACATTGAAGATCTGATCACTAAGACGGTAAAGATATGCTCTGGGTTACGGCCCATCCTGATGTCTCAGGTTCAATCGAATACTCACGCAGTCGTACCGTCTTGCAAGGTTTGTCCGTTGACGACTGTCTTCAGTGTTATGTTCTGGGGATCTGGGATAGCTGCTGCAGAAACCAAGCAGGGTCCAATGGGTGATGTGTTATCTGGGCCGTGCGTATGATGAGTGAGCGAATGGACACATGCTTGTCGGCTGGTTCACCAAAGCTCTTGGAAAATCCCCACTGCGAGACATTCATCTGATGGAACCTGAATGAAACCTACGAAATCCGTTCATCATAGTTTCGGAGTAGTTGTCTCATCAGCACGAAAAAGGCTACCCACATCGTTTCCAGCTGTGTATCCCAAGACATAATCAAGCGCATCGGTCTCTGAGACATTCTTCGCAGGCTTTCCAATCACGACTGTCAACTCGACTTCGTAGTCGGGAAGATTTCTATCGACTGGCTGTGCGACTTTGGGGATCACAACTGGAGCATTGGGCCCGATGACTGCGGTCGCAGGTTTATAGAAAAGAACAGGTGCGCTGCAACCGTACGCAAGCATGAGCCTGCGAGGCGAGCAGCATCAAACATGGTTGGGCGCACTTTGGCTTCGCCAATTGCGCCTCGGCCTGTCGAAGTAACAGAGCTGTGAGATGGAATAGCTCTCAACTGTGATAAGAGTGGTACACAGAACGAACAGCGTGATCGGCGTAATTGAGTCCCAGGCAACGAACAATCTTGATTTGCTCCCTAGACAAAGGCGCGAGCAGTTCCTTGACGGTGAGGACATTACGCGACACTTGTGAATCTGGATTGAGAGCAGAGCCAATGATCTCGTAGGCCTGGACCGTTTTGCGCTGACTAATTGCCAAGCCGACTGAAAGCGATTTCAGGTTAAGCCAGTTAGAACTGCTCCGCTGATTCCAAGGTCTACTGTGAACACTTCACCGTCAAGCGCGGCCTCGACGGGCTGACCGATATGAACTTGAGACGTCTCGGCCGCGACAAACCGGATGAGGCGCGTCCAATGCTGTAGTAAATGCTGATATGTAGGCTGATAGCTTCCAAAGAGACAGGCGTTACCGTTTTAATGGGTGACATGGCTTTAATTGCAGTCTGGAGTTCGAGGGTAAAGACTCCTCGTGAAGTGAGTGCGATAGCTGCACTTATGGAAGGTCAAAAGGGACCAGTTCCTGGGAATTCGCAGGACTCTGCGGGGAGCCGCGGTGAGGCTCGATGAGGCCGCCGGTATCAGACAGATCAGGATGCGTGTGCGCAGGCTCCACACACGTGATGAGGCGCGTTCATGTTTACTTCGATCAAAGCACGTTATATACGTCAAGACAGGCGCCCCCACCTTCCTTCAACACAGCCTTGTGTTTTCAACGTGCCCCGGCTTCCTTGATAACAACCACCACGTCTGCCATGGACGATTTTATTTTTGCGATGCCCGAGGCATTGCAGGACAGACTTGACGCGGTTAGTCTCCCTCCTACCTCTCAGGTCACACTCCACTCACACTCCGTCGACAGTTGGTATCTGCGCGTTCTCCCGTAGCCCAGCGAACGCAGGCTTTGACAGACTTGGACCAGCTAGTGGCCCGCATATTTACCGCTCCAAAGAGCACTGAGATCCTCCAGATCTTCTGTTCTCTACAAGATACATTCGAATGCAATGGTGAGCCGATCTTGACCTGATAGCGGCCTCCGGTTGACAGCTTGAACCAGTCTCATCCAGGTTGCTGTCCTGGATCTCGGGAGTGACACCCCGCTTCGAAGGCCTCATCGCGAGAGGACGTGAGCATCTCGAGCCCATCTTATCTTCTGTTTCTGATCTGCCTCCTTTAGCTGACAGGGAGGCCGAAGTGTCTACGCTATCCTCCCATTTGACCCAATGCTTGACGATTATCCAGGGCGTAGCCCTGACACACCACGCGAGCAAAGTCTTCCTTGGACGGAAGTATCCCCTCGAAGTTTGTGAATCTCACTCTCGCTCGGAAGCAAAGCATCTGATGGTAATAATAGGTCCTCCTCGATCTGCTACTCGTTTCTCGTCATCTCTCATCAGTATCTACCGATCCTGCGACCAAGTCCGGCTCATCTGGATCTTCTACATCATCACATACCACTACATCCACACCGGCGCCGACGTCGATTCCACTGGCATCTGCGATTTTGGACACTTTGTTATGCATCCTCGTTGACTGTTCTCCTGCCCTCAGGACGTTCGAGGAGTCAAACGGAGTACAGGTTGTGGTTAAAATCTTGAAACGAGTGAACACGCCTCGAGAAGTGAGGTAAGTGATAACATCATGGACTGGGGCATGCTGTCATTCATATTCATTGTTCCTATTCAGGATGAAGTGCCTCGAATTCTTGTATTTCTATCTCATGGATGAAACCTCTCCATCTATGATGGAATCTGTGACCAGGGCGGACCAGAATGGCCCAGTCACACCATTGTCCCCATCTCCCTTTATCTCGGATGGGAAGCCCAAGAGCAGGACTCATGGATCTTCACTCCGGGACACATCGTCTAGTTCGGATGACTCATTCACATCTAACTCATCACACTCATCGTCGTTATCAATGTCTTCGACATCGTCCGTTTCTTCATCCACTACCGTGCCGCCATCTAGTCCCCCTTTTAACCCGACAAAGTCTCCACCTCAATCACCGGCGAGCTCAGCTATCGAGCCAAATTCAAAGCTACACTCTCTGAGAAGGGATGTAGACGCCCCCGTTACTCCGAAGAAGGCTCCCATGGCCAGACTCGGTAAAGGACATGCGCGAATGAGCAGCATGCCTTTGTCAGGTTCCAAACTGAAGAGATCCTCCGATCTGGAGGATGAGGACCGTGACAGCGCCGTTCCGGTCACTCCCAGCTCCACGCGTAAAGCCGAGGAAGTTTCCTGCCACACCAAGCACGAAGATCAAAAAATCAGGACAGCAGAAGAGAAGAAAAAGCTTCTCGGAAATATGCTTGGGAATGTCGACGCCCTTGTGGAAGGTGTCAGAAAAGCTGGAATATGGGGCCTGGGATAGGCGTCAGCTCGTTGGGGTCATATGAACCAGGATATACTTACTCGGACTTCAGACGCGGTGTTGTCACTTCGTAGACGCACGTTACTCGCCTCTGGACACGGCATCTCGGGAGCACTCTCTATTTATGCTTCCGTCGTCCTTCTCCGTGCTCTCCGTTGTCAATGGAAGCTGCATGACATGAGACGAACTATGCTTAGTGTTCTCCAGGATGTGCAATTTAATTGCAACACAGTAGTAGATGGAACTTACGTGGCCTGGCATTAGAGGCATTTCAGGTACCAGGGTGATAAGCAACAACCTGGTCATTGTGCAAACAAGGCCAGAGCACACTAGATGGATTTCCTGGGCGCTGAGCGCTACGCACTCAACGCTCTGATGGCTTCACAATTACTCAACAACGACCCTGCCAGCCACGTTAACAAGCGTCTAGTGATTACGGGTGTGGGTTGCATGTCATAAATCAACGTGAGTTTATAGTGCAGAGAAGACAGCAAAGAATAAAATCAGCAAGAGCAAGGCGATGGGGAAAGGGATAAAGCAGAGTATTCAATATAAAACTCATGCCCCATAGAACCGCCATGCGAAGTAGGCAACGAGGCCAGCGAGAGGAATGAAATATGCAACACTACAAACGTGTTAGAAAGGCTGACCGACAGGCAGACAGAATACATACTTGGAAGATGATTGTACTGCACTGTTCACCGCTCCAGAAGACCCATTTGATCTCACGTTTGGCAACTAGAAGACGAAGACGTAAGCCCATGTGTATACCACGGTACCTCGGGGATTGCGACATACAGAGCCCTTTTCTAACTCGCCAACAAGCATACCTGGCAACATTGCCCGAGCCTCGTCGGAGTGGCCGACATCCTCGAACGCCTCAGTTCCATCCTTGCCTGTATAACGATAAGGCGTCAAACGGTGCGCTGACGAAATAGTGATGGACACGTACCAGACTCAGACAGTATCACCTCGTCGCCTCCTGGATGCTAATCGCCATAATGCCCTTAGGACGTGACATCTTCCAACCATGAATGAACAATGCATACCTCATCAAGGAAATTCGTAGCATCGTACACTATGCAGGTGGTCAGACAAAACTGAACGTTCTGATTGGTTGCTGCTTACCCTTCCCGTCAATGAGAACCCACATGCTCGCCTTGGTGGTGTGCTGGCGCAGCTCATCGAGGGTGACTATCTTGGCCGACATTGCAACAGAAATGACGCGTCACAGGGAGAAAAGGAGGGGAGAGAGGTGGTAAGAACAAGATAGCGAAGCGCGCTAACAAGTGGTAGGATCATTTATATGTGCGCTCGGGGTTTTGCGGGAGAATATTTCCCACATCGTTCGCCGGTCAATGCGTCCCTTTCTTCATCCTCCGACAATCGCGTTTGACCCTCATTCTGGTCCGTATCAGTTCATCCCTCACGTAAATTTCTGTCAACGGACATAAACCACTTTCGATTCCGAAATCACAAGGAGACTCAAGTTCCCTGCAACTCTAACGGGCTTTCCTAAGGCTATCTGAAGTCTGGATAAAGGGCGCCTTTACCCTCCGTGAATGGCTTCAATGCAGACAAATCATCGGCGCGAAATTTGCATGATGGGCCAGGCAATTTCCGATCATACCGCGCAATTGAATGCAAGCCCTGCAAAAGTCATACCAGGCTTCAATCTTCAAGCTTTATCGAGACATGAGGCGCGTATTTGTGCGTGATAGCATTGACCCGAAGGGCCATGCTACAGTTGTGCCCTCAAAGATATGCTGCCAAGATTCACGAGGTCAACATGCTGCTAGCAACATGCAGGGACAAGGACTGCGATGATGTAATTGAAAAGTATAGTTGCACTGCTTGATTGGCCTGCTGGCAAAAGTGATTGACATTTGATGATTGATAGTCACGGGCGCCACAGAAATCAACAAGTCAGCAAAGAAGTGCAATGGCTCGCAGCGGAAATTGAGATGAGGTCGAGGTCAACCTGTTGTCGTACAGCCTGCGTTGTTCAACTAACGCATATTGCTGTGCAACGACTCACCAGATCCCTTGCACTCCATTAGATCTTAGACCTGTGTGCATCGACACGAACACGTTTTGACTTACGATGTCGAGATGCGAGCGTACTGCTGTGTATCTAGAACGAAATCAAACAGATGTAGAATTGAAACAGCATCGAGTACAGGATATCTATCAAACGGCCTATAAAACCAGCTACTTACGAATGCAGTCACATTTAATGTGCAAGAATGTATACACGGTTTAGTACTCGATTGACCACAGAACAGACGGACAGTCAAGTGTGGACCACGCACAGTAGAATCTCTCTCCCACATCGCTAGTAAGGAGACGAAGGCACAGAAAGCCATGTCCCTAGGCATAGTGAGTGGTACGAACAGCCCCCAAAGCGCAGAGCTCGGCACATAGAAAGAAGCAAAGGTATTGAATATTGACTGGGTTTTGATGTGCCCGAAGGCAAAGTACATCGTGGCAGAGAAGAGAAAAAGCGAGTTGATGTGGACGCGATTAGAGCTCCGCGTGAAACACGGTGGCTGCTGTGCCACGCGATGACCACGACTAACGAGAGGCGCATGCCTAAGCCTGGCTCAGTCGTTGTCCAGTGTCAGTGACGTGCGCGCGTCCCACTGCCCTTCATCCTCCCGACACTCGCTCAATAATGGGAAAGGACTATGATTCCTCCGACATTCTTGGAAGTTCTGTCCCTCTGGGCCCCGGGAGAGCAGCCACAGCCACAATTTTTTCGTCTTCCTTTAACCTGAGTGTTCTGGGAGCGATCGGTCTGGTTGTCTTTCTCGCGCTTCGCAATAGTCGTGTCTTTCTTTTGCGTTGGAAGGAACGACACTACAGACTGTGAGCAAGCTTTTTTTGCCATACTGTCCCATCTGACAGATCGTTTCATCAGCTCGATGCGTAGACGGTATGGTATACCCGACCACGATCAGCGTCCTTTTAACATCGCGTATGCTGCTGCTCGGTTAGCTCAGGAAGGCGCCAGCACGTCAAGGAGCGGGACAGCACCATTAGCTTCTCCACCTATGCCAGAAATCTCAACATCCGAAGTTCGACACATCCGGCATCGGGCAAATGGTACGACTCAGGGGTTTTCTCGAACTTCTCAACTGATGAGTGGAACAGGATTGAGTGAAACAGCAGAATCGTTTCAACTCCCACCGAATTTCTCTACGCACTCGACTACTGCGCATAATCTTAAGTGCGTATCAGGATTGGAAACATTCTCATCACTCGCCATTGCGCCTGACTCACTTTGACGTCGAACAGGTCTGGGTTCCTGGACTCATTGGACTTGAAACTTGATCCTTCGGTTTCTCACATACTCAGCAAAGGACAAGTGGAATCGACCGAGAGCAGACAATCTATACGGCAGAGTACGAGGTAAGCTATAGTGGCATCGTGTGATTATCAACTGCTAACAGAGGTGCTAGCGGCGCTGTTGCACCCAAAGATCATCATTTGCTCGGGGAAACCCTCATTGATTTCCCCAAAGCTGCAGAGCAATCTTCCCGCAGGCCAAAGCGCGGTGCTGATTACGGAGAGGGTGACTCCGTGCTGCTCGACAATTCGCGCGGAGAGAAACGTCAGCGGAAAGTCTCTGCACAACATCAAGTGAAAGTTGTCGAACAGGTCGAAGTCGTTGATATGGATGTTGATGACATCTCAGATGCCAGACCGATCCGTGGAGGGAGGAAACGCGGTCGGGCGGAGGCAGGCTCTACGTTCGGCGGTGATGAGTCGGTGTCTGATGATGAAAATGAGGAGCGGTTACAACGTCATAGGAAGCGGCGGCAAAGAAAGTCGGGCGTCTCACATCGTGGTCAGAAACGTGGTCGCGATTTTGATCAATCTGATGGTGAAAGTGAGGATCATCATCGCACTGCTGGGAAGGCCGCTCGTCGACGGCAGAATGAGTCCACGGCATCCGACGGTGATGTTTCTATGAATGGCTCTCTATTTTCGAAGGATCCTCTTTGCAGAGGCCGGCGCATTGGCGAAGAATGGGAGGCTCACGGAGCGCATTTCAAGGTTGGCCCTTCTGGTCAGAGGTTGAGAAAGGTATTGGTCAAGACCGGTCGTCCAAAGTTCCCTATGGTAAAGTTTTTCCCGGCTCAGTTGTTGAATGCGTTCTGACCCTTGTGCAGCCTGTAGATTCTCAACATCCTGATCGCGCCGTGAACATCTTGGCTATTGTTGAGAAATGGTATACAGAAGATGAATACAAAGCTGCCAAGGAACGTCGCGAGCTAGCATGGCAGGATTCATCCAACTACTCAACAGAGCCCGGAACTCCACTAGACGTACGTGCAATTTTTTTCGTGACATCAACGATTTTTACGTTCAGCAACAGGCTTCCCAATCCAAAGACGGGAAGGAAATCTTATGGTCAGCTACAGGGGCAAGTTCCGCACGGAAGAGCTTCGTGCGCAACACGTCGTCCTTAAATGTGCCTGCTCTGCAGCCGCCTTCGCCACTCAAGGTCGTCCGGCGTATAACTCCGGCATATACCGCCACCGCTGCAAAGCCATTAGAGGGAGGTCCTAAGTCACGCACGTCAAAGCCTTTGTCAAGATGGGAGAGGCAGGACATGGAGGCCGAGGCCATGTCTCGCCTCAGACGGCGTATGGAAGAGGAGGAAGCGAAGAAAAGCCCTGTTTCAACGCCGCCTATCATCTCAGACCAGACGACCAAGCCTTCTGTCTCGATAAGATTGCAATTTGATCTTGGAAAGCCCAGCGATAATCCATCAGCCCCAGCATCTAAAGTTTCGCCGACATCGACATCTCAGCAGACCGGAGACAAGGCAGATGCATCAACTGTTATCAAGCCAGCAGTCCCAGCGGCGTCGACTTCGTTCGCCGGAAATGCATTCAAAGCTCCTGCACCTGTTGCCAGTGCCTTCTCGATACCTACTCCTGTACAGCCGACCTCTACCCCTGCGCCCTCCACGAGTGCACCAGCACCAACAACTTCCAGTTCTAGTGCGCCCAATCTCTTCGGCAACAAAAGTGCCACATTCCCCACGAATACATCTCCACCCACCGCACCGCCTAGTGCGACGAATCCTGCGCCTATCACACAAAACAAAACTTCATTTACATTTGCTCCCCCTTCCGGTTCCTCCGCTAATCCTTTCCTTTTCGGAACTACGCCAAATCCACAATCACAGCCTTCGCAACCGCAGCCTACAGCCGTTCAGCAGACGTCCGAGCCACCCAAGCCTATACCTAATACATTTCATGGCACCAAGCCGGGAGGGTTTGGGATTTTCACCTCACAGCCATCGTCTGCCATGCCCCCTCCAGCCACGAAGCCCTTCGAGTCTGTTCAACCTGCGTCAGCCTACCCTCCGCCAATTATCGCATCTTCATCATTCTCTGCAATACCTGCAGTGACTCTTGCGAACAGTGAAGGATCAGCACCAAAGCCGAAATTTAAATTCGGGTACATACCCCCGAACCAGTCGTCCTCGCTAGCGGGTGCCCTCGCACCGGAGCCGAAGAACAATGTGCAGTCTGCGTTCGGCAGTACCGCAGGCTCATCCAATCTATTTTCGACGTCATCATCTAGCTCTACTAACGCTGCCACTCCGGTGTCGGCGTTCGGCAACACCGCAGTACCAAAGCCTTCTGAACCACCACAATCCCACAACCTGTTTGGCAACCAGAACTCGTCGACGCGTGCTGAGAAGCAGCCGGAACCTCCCAAACCCCCTTTCCCACTCCCGACTCCGGTAGCAAAGAGCTCACAGTCCCCTTCAGAGGCCCCCAAACCTGTCCCCATCTTTCACTTTGCGCCGCCCGCTAGCGCATCCCAGCCTTCAAACCCATTCGCCCCGAAATCGAGTGCCTCGGCGTCAGGATCAACGGAGACTCCTCCGTTTGGCGCACCAAACGCATTTCAGCCTTCAAACCCATTCGCTCCGAAATCGGGTGCCTCGGCGTCAGGATCGAACCCTTCTCCGTTCGGCGCACCGAATGGTGGCTTGACGTTTGCTACAGCAAACCCCACAGCTGGGAATTCCCCACAGGCCCAAAAGAATACGTTCAATTTCGGAAACCTGGGCTCCGCGCCCGTGCAGTCCAATGTCGCAGGCCAAGCCCCTTCCTCGTCACCATTCGGCGCCCCCAATGCACAGCCGAGTGCTTTCGGGTTCAATGGTTCGACGCCAAATACGGGTTCGTTCACGTTCGGATCATCTAGTGACAAGACCGGTCCCAAGGCTTCATAAGCGGTAGATTTCCGTAGATGGAAAGTACATATGAATGATGTATGCTTAGTGCCAGTGGTGGACTGTCTCAGGTTGTATTATGACGCTATGTATCTCGGTGGTCTGCTTTCCGTGCATTGTTGATCTTCCATCTGAAATGAGGATGCTGTTGAGCGGGGGAGGGGCCCCACACCCTCGCTACGATCGCTACGGCGCCTAGCGGTCGGATGGAGAGGACACAAACACGTGATCGTCTGTGAAAGTCGCGACACGCCGTGCTGTACGTATCAACGTGAAGACGATCTTGGGCAGTTTCAATGTTACCTGCTTGTCGGCACGCCAGTAGTCAACAGTCGCTCTCTTTATAATGGTACTGAACTGACAGCCCCAGTCTCGGACGCATGCATAATTCTGTCCTTCTAACCCCATTCATCTTACTCACCATCGGATATCCCAACCTATTTGACCCCCGTCGCACATCCACACAATTTAATCATGATGTCCAGCGATATCTCTGCTACCCCGCGCCCCCGCCCACCTGCCAAAGCTCGTCGCACCTCGTCGGCGCAGTACAAAGCCTCCCCTCCCCCACCCTACTCGACTTTCACTTTTCCATCTGCCCTTTCAGATGGCGGCCTCTCTGAAGGCGCTTCCACCATGCTCAGTTCTCCCATCTCCCCCACAACGCAGCTCACCCGCTCACCCCTAATCGATAACGTGTTCAATGACGTCAACTCGGCAGCGCCGGAGGATTGCGTGAATGAACGATCCATCGACGAGCTTTCTGACCTCCTTGTCAAGGCAGACGGGATGATCAGACACCGTGAGCGAGGTATGTGTGCATCTCTCGCCTCGTGGAAATTTTCTTGACCGATGGACAGAATTGAGTATAACATCCGAGCTATGCAAGAATTTGTTTAATGGTAATATCTCTCTCAAAATGAAACACGAGGCTCTGCTCGCCCGTCTCCCTCCCGGAACTTCTCTGACCCCCACCACGACTCCATCGTCTTCCGTTGCACCAACACCACACTATTATACAAGCAGTCTCCCTCGAGCTATACCTGCACCTCGTCGCCATACACGTCGCATCTCCGTCTCGCCCTCTGATATTGCCCTCTTATCAGACCAGAACGCAGAACTCCTCTCCAAAATCGAGAAGCTCGAAGCAGAGTCTACTCATGCGGATCAGGCTGGCAAGCGGCAACTGGGCAAGCTGGAGAAGGAGATCCAAGTCCTTAGGGACGAACTAGAGGCGGCTCGTGTCCACAGTCAAGAACTCGAGGAACAGGCAAAGCTAGGTGCCAAAGCAGAAAAGGGGAGCGACGAGGCAGCGAAAAAGCGGCAGGAGAGGGAAGAGAGAGCAAAGGTGTTGAGGGGAAAGTCCGAAGTGGACAAGGATAATATGGAAGACCTTGTGCGCGACTTTGCTCCCCCAGGTGGCTTGGCTATTTTAAAAACCCGACCATCCTCTGTTTGCGATGCGCCGCCTCCGCTAGCTGTCTCCATTCTCAGCGCGGAGCGTTCTGCTCCGTCTTCAATCTCTTCGATCCTCTCGTCCTCTCTCTCTCAATCGCCAGCATCCCCGACCTCGGCTCCCCCTGAATACGCACTCATCTCTCAGTTGCTACAGAAAATTCGCGAATTGGAGCAAACCAACCAGAAAATCAGCGAACAGCAGGCGGCGACAGCAGTAAAATTACGCGAAGCTCAAGCAGACGCAGAGACCATTGGCAAAATTTATGCTTGCCTAGGCGAAGAGACGGATGTAGAGTTGGAGGTCGTGGAGGATGATGAAGCATTTCTTGCTTCTCCCCAATCGGGGCTCTCAGATTCTACAGTTCGGTTCAAAAGTCTTCGACGCTCAATCGACAGGGATCTCAATAAGCTCATCATAGACGGAGGACTCGACAATGTGTCCGACGAGTTCGTGCACAGCACACTCCAGAATGGTGCCGCTCTGAAAAGCATTCCCACCCACAAACTCCGCCGAAGCGTTGTTGGACTGTTCGATCGTACTTCACCAAGGCCTGAGTTTGTGGCTCAATCGAGCACAGCGTCATCAACGTCGCCTCCTTTGTTGCGTCCCGAATCTTTCCCCACATGGTCGGCAACTAACAGCGTTGCTTCCTCGCCCGTCCTTTCCTCTCTCGATCTGCTTACACCTGACTTTGCTTCTGGTCCTCGTCGACATCCGACACTGGGTAGCGAGCTTGGCAGTGAGTACGGCGAAGATGTGGCCGCTCAAGCCGACAATCATCACTTACGCTCAAGCAGTCTCTACGATCTCACTCGCTATACGCCGGAGCCATCTCCGTCGCCCTCACCGGTGGATGAGCCTTTGGATCTTTGGGAAGATGACACGCCTCTATCATCTGCCGGACACAAAACAGTGGGCAGATCCTCTCCCTTGCATGCTACATCTGGACGGTCGACACCTTCCCCGTCTGACCCACCCAAGACCTTGAGGAGACCCGCCTCTATCAGGAACCAGCTTCTCTCGCAGACCGTTCGTGCGCGCACCCATCGTTGGGTGGATCGCCGGTTTCGGGAAACCCTCGAGTCCTTCAGACAGGAGGAAGAGGCGGCAGGCGGCGACGAAACGAGATCCATTTCAGGTGCTTCCACCGTCACGAGAGTCTTCGACGTAGTCGACGCCGTCATGGAGAAGTTTGTTGGCGCCGTCTCTGCGGAGTCTGACATCGACGGAAAAACGAGCCCTTGGGAAATCTCGGCGGGTAAACCTCAGTCTAGCTCGCTGTACGCGTCGAAGGGGAAGACGCAAGGGTTCGCATCCTTGATGTTGCAACTCTGGCTGTGGCTGCAGTTTTCCATCATCGTGCTAGTGTTTTTATGGGCGATGGCGAAGAAAGGGCCTAGGAGTGTGCTGGAGGAGGCGGAGCGCAAGAGAGCCGCGTCGAGACATTGATGTGGATTGTATTTCTTTGGTTTATCTTTTCCCAGCATCTGTACGACATCTCATGGCTGCACATGTGACTTTACGATGTAATTTACGAGGAATATATTGAATCACATACGACCTTGATGCCCACCACACTTGCTCAAACTCATATGATGAAGTACAGGAGAAAAGGGGCAGGGGGTGGGAGTACTGGGAATACCCCTGTGTGTTCGGCAGACACTATACGTACAGAATTGCAACTTTGGCTGTTCTCAGAGTTAAGAAAAAAATGGATGAGAAAAGTGGGATTTGAATCCACGCCTTGATCAGATCCCCAGTCTGACGCCTTAGACCTCTCGGCCATCTCGCCTTGAAATTTTTGACCTCATGCATCGACGATACAGGATGAACACTTTGCTGGAGGCACGGCAAGTTGATCGGGTACTGATTATATAAGCAAATTGCCAATTTGGGTCGATTGCCTACGTAACCGCCACTTGTAGGGATTCCACACTCGAACCTTGCCCGCGGTGCTGGGGTCGATATCACCATTGTCTTGGCTTGAGGTAGTGATAAAAATTTGGCTACATTCTGTATCTTTTTGATAAACCTCTCAATCATACAGAGTGATTTTTTTCAAATATTTTCGCTCAAATCGAGAGAGCTTGGGAAATCATCGAAGTCGATGATGCGGGATGACATCACTGCACACCGCAGGACTCTTATGCTGGGAGGTTGCTCCTGAGGATGCAAACTCAACCAATCGTACTTTCACCCAGACAAACAAGCGACGCGATATCATGACGGTATTCATTCAAAGCAGTCGCAACCCCACGGTGATCCAACCCTTTGTTGCAGATCCCCGACAACAGACAGCTACAAGATTATCAAGGCGCGATAGCAGTCGGCGGCGCAAAGGGGTTCTTTGGAGGCCTCGCTGTCGCTCTCCCCGCTATGTATTACGCCAACAAGCGGTATCCGTACTATCGCTCCTTACCGCCGTCGATCAAAGCCCTCGGCGTAGTCACTTTCGTCGTGCCTTCGTTCGTTATCTCTGCCGAGCGGGCTGGACGCTTGTTCCAGAGACAACAATGGTAAGCCGACACCAAAGGGAAGTGAGTGGGATATTTAGACCATGATTCCTTTGACAGGACACCGCGTCAAGAGGCTAGAGCCGAGTCCGAATGGGACAACCTGTCACTTGGGCAAAAAGTTGTGGACTTCACAGCCAGGCATCAGTATAGCGTCATTGCAGGGTGCTGGGCTTTGGGTATCACGGGCGCGTTTGCGACCATCATGCGAGACCCGTAAGCCTGCATACCCTCATCGATCCAAAACCAATTGTGAACGGGTTGTCTTCTTTCAGCCTTCAAAGCCTGTCGCAGAAGGTAAGAAAAGACCATGGCTTCTCCCGATCAAGATTGTGAGACGCTCCTTAATTTCGAAACAGGTCGTGCAAGCTCGCATGTGGTCCCAAGGGTTTACCATCGGCATCACCATCGCTGCCGCTGCGGTTACTCGCAACAGGCAAAATCGACGCGACGTGGACGAAGCTGCCCGCCCGGTACGTGGTTTGAACTTTGAATTCATGTCGGCCTTAACCAGTGAGAAACCTTATCAGGTCATCTTGGATCATTCATGGCAGAATTCTATCAATGTAAGGGCTGACGAAAGGAGGAAGGCACCGCAGTAAAGCCGAGGATTGAAAGTGGCGCTGGAGAGCTGAAACGCTGATTCGTGTACGCTGTAATGCATGGTTTGTAAGAGAGCAGGAAAGATCGGCAGTGTGTCAGAAGATCTGACGAGTGGGACCGCCGTAGATCCGGGTTCACCGATCATGGTGAAAGGCAATAAGCGATTCTGCTAGCACTTGCCTTTAGCTCGTCGTCGGCGAGGAGGGAGCGCACGGGGATGTTTTACTGCCTATTACCAAAGTTTAGCGTCAGCGCTCAGAAATTGGACTGATCTGTGGAACGACTTTTTTCGGGTGAAGCAGTCCGGAGATGCAGACGAAGCGGCGAGGCATCCGTCTGCCTCCGATCGACGACGCCCGAATCAGACCACCTGTTGGCGTGGTCATCGGGATTTGTGAGATATGTGACGAACGCATCTCAGAAAAAGCGGACATGCAACTGAGAAAGAGAGGGCATCGATGGAGATGGGTATGGAATGGTGTCGAGACACAAGCACAGGCGTGGGAAGAGGCTCGCAGACAGCGTTGCGCGCGAATTCAGACCGCCGGCCGACTTACTTTCGCTCGCATCTCCCGCTGACTCACCTTCCCATGGCCGTCAGGTTTGTATAAATCACCTTGTTCCCTTATCCATCTGCGCCCTTCCGTTCTTGTGTGTTTTTCGCTCACCATGACCATGCTCCGTTGGCATAGGACGGCGTCCGCCATGATCTCGCTCCTAGGAGCTTTCACCTACCTCGCATTTGCCATTCAGCTCTTTGCCTTGTGGCGTTCCGTAAAGTGGGATTCGGAGAGTGAGTGGGAGGGGTCGGCCGACTCGTGGACAACAAATGGGGTCAAGTTGGTCGGTGGACTTTCGGTCGCCTATTTTGTTTCTGGAGCAGTGGCCAGTGCCGTTGGTTTCATCGGGATTGTCAAGGTACGCAGGTCACGGTAGGACCCGACCCCTGTCTGCATCCTCACCTTGTTTATCTGTCTGCGTACAGAGCATCCCGCCATACATTCGCTTTTACCGCGACTACGCCGTCGCCGATTTTGCCTTTTGTGCACTCACGACGCTCTCTGTTACGTATGCGTCATTCCGTTATTATTCTTTCCGCACAGACATATGCGAAGAGTTGTCGAGACACGCGGACCTCATGCGGGACTTGGCGGAAAGCGGTCTCAGTCTGGAGAACTGTGAACAGTGGTTCGAGAGGGCCGTCGTCGCCTTTGTCGCCGTCATGACGATCATCATCGTCATTCGAGTCAGTCCCGTCGCTGTACATGCTATCTACCTTGCGTCTGACTCCAGGATGTGTGTCTTTTTGCAGATACATCTTGTGATCGCGGTGTCGAAATACTACTCGCAAGTTTCAAGACTGCACAGCGGGCTTCCCGTATTCACATCCATCGGAGGTTACAAGGATGACAGCTCTATGCATCGTATCTACCTTCTTCCTAGCCCGACATCTCCGACAGCATCCTCATGTCCGCCGGGTAGTACGCCCGCGCCGACCGCAGTCGTGTATGCTCCAGTGCCCCTGCGCGACCTTTCTGAGCGGGATGCACGGGAACTGAACGCCAGAGAAGCGTGGATACACGCAGCTTCCCATCAACCAACGCGTCAGCACCGTCGCTCACACTCGCGGTCACATCGGCATGGGTCTTGGTCTGGACGGATCGGGCTTGCGTCTCGTCCCAACGAGGGGCTGCTCCCGTCTGGGCCCGAGAAATGCAAGGATTGATTCTTCTCGGTATTACTTGTCGCTCGATTCCCTGCGGTCTCTCCTAACTTGGTTCGCTCGCATGTCTATCTCGTTACATATTTGGGATCCCTCCTTGTCCGTTCCATAGTGTTGTATTTTGACTGCTAGACCGTATCCATCCGGATGTTATTATATGATTCGTTTACGATCCAGAGCTACCCGACACAGCTTTAAATCAGGCTGCACTAGAATCGCGATATGGTAATTCAACTCAGAGTCTGGAACGGTGTCGAGCGTGCTTTCACCCGCCAACGGGTGCGGCCTGGATGCCAGACCGATATCATTTCAGCGTCTGAAAAAGTAGATCTCACGCATCTTCCCTCCTTCCTCTATCTGCATCCTCTTCTGCATTCATGGCCAAAACACACGCCCGTTCGCCTTCCCCGGCCCCCAATCATTCCTCTCTAAAACGCCCAAAATTGGCGAAGACGACCTCCGATCCGTCTGAGGACTTCACACCCTACTTCGCATCTCACTTGTTCGACCACGATAATGTCCACAGGCTCAATGCTGCCTACAGAGAGAGCGAACCTTACAAGTATGCTGTTGTGGACAAGCTATTTCAAGACAACCTTCTACACAAAGTAAAAAGTGAGTGCTTGCACCAGCTGCACTTCACAGAAAAAGAGACCGATATATACAAGGTGCGCAAAACCACCCGCACGCTTCCTTCTTTTGTGCACAGATTAATTATGGAAGAACACGTTTCCTCCTAGGTCAATCAAACTGGAGATCTCGCGTCTCTGTCCTACCTAGATGAATCCCAGCTCGCCCTCCTCCCTAACATCCTAAAACTCCGAGATGCCCTCTATTCCCCCACGTTCCGTTCCTTCATCCGCACCGTCACGGGATGTGGTCCCCTCTCCGGCACCAAACAAGACATGTCAGTCAATTCTTACAGAAAAGGCTGTCACCTCTTGAATCATGACGACGTGATCGGTTCTCGTCGAGTGTCTTATATCCTCTACATTCCTTTGCCACCATCAGAAGAATGGAAAAAAGAGTGGGGAGGTGCATTAGAGCTCTATCCTGTTCGAGAAGGCCCAGATGGTATACTGGAGCCCGAGCCGATTCCGACGAAAAGCATCCCACCGAGCTGGAACCAGTTCATATTTTTTGAGGTTCAGCCAGGCCGTAGCTTCCACTCTGTCGAAGAAGTTGTGGTCGATGAGGGCGAGGATGGTAGACAGCGGTTGAGTGTTAGCGGGTGGTTTCATGCTGCTCAGCTAGGCGAAGAGGGTCACGAGCCCGAGGAGGCTAGCGACTTAAAAAGCTCCCGGGAGCAGCTGGTGAGCGGGTTGGCGTTCTATTTCGTCAACAGGGTTCACAGCTCTTGCTTGCGTGCAGACCTCGACGTCCACCTCATTCAAGACGTACGCAGAAGAGCCCCCGTTCCCCGGGGTCCCACTCAGTCAAGACGACATCTCATTTTTATCTGAGTTCCTAAACCCGGTCTACCTAGAGCCGCGAACCATGAAATCCCTTGCTAAACGGTTCGTCGAAGAATCTTCTGTCGAGCTGCACGATTTTCTGTGTACACCCCTCGCCGACAAATTGCGCACGGGACTCCGCGAGATCGACGTCCACGACGGGCTGAGTGAGGCCCGCCCGATAGCGATCCCGCCACACAGCGCAGGGACTGGCAACGGCTGGACGATCAAAGGTCCTCCTCACAAGTGGCGATATTGTGTGCTTGAGCCGCGCAAAGACAACGTCTCTTTAGGTGCTCCTGCAGGTCTTGTCGCACAGACGCCTGGTCGCATCTTGCGTGCGTTCCAAGACGAGCTGTTCGCTTCGCCCGCCTTCCGTGCGTGGCTCGTCGTCGTCTCGCGCTTGATACCCATGCGTCACGCTGTCGAGGCGCGCAGGTTCTGTCCAGGTCTGGGGTACACGCTCGCGACCAGTGAGGAAAACGAGGCGCGGCTTGATGTGGTGCTCGGGTTGACGCCGCAAGTGGGAGAAGTAGGCGGCGAGAGCGTGAAGGGGAAAGACAAGGCTGACGAGCCACGCGGCTGGCAATCGGGCGAGTGGGGAGGATGGGAGGTCAGTTTTTCTTTCTTTGCCTTGTTCAGGCGGATCAATGTTGACTTGTTGATGCGTTGTCATCAGTGCTATATGGCTCCTCATGGCGAGGAAGATGACCCGGCCGTGTACCGCTCCGGCCCCAGTCGTAGCAAAGCTTCTGCCAACGGGCTTAAAGAGGAAAATGGCGCAAACGGGAAGGATGTGACCGGAGTCGCTCATACCTCCCCGCATAATGGTCATATAGTCTCCAATAATACCACAAAAAAGAGTAGTCCTGGTGATGCTGATGACGCCATGGATGAAGACGATGACAGCGAAGGCGACAGTGACGGTAAAGACGAGGGTGAAGGTGAAGGTGAAGATGAAGGTGAAGATGAAGGTGAAGGTGAAGGTGAAGGTGATGATGACGATGATGACGAAGAGGAAGAGGACGGTACCTTGCTCACAGTTCAGCCTGGATTCAACAGTTTGCTGCTCGTCCTTCGAGACGAAGGCGTGATGCGGTTTGTCAAGTACGTCTCTGCGTCTGCTGAGGGCTCGCGTTGGGATGTTTGTGGAGAATACGAAGTCGGCATGGTGGAAGAGGATGACGAGTAAATTTGTAGCGCACATATACATACATACTCCAGCATAATAGTCGCGCTCCCTGAAACACGCGCTATTGCGCGTCCTCAGGCCTCCGTAATTGGTGCATAACTCAAGACTGATGATGATATGCATAGAATGCGAAGGACGTAACTGTAGGCACTATGAATCAAAAGTAATCTTTGTTCCGAGACTAGGGACAATGGCTGCCTGCTCTCTTTTTGCTAACGCCAGAGCAGCGCCAGGCGTAGGCCGTGGGCGCTTCCCACCGCCTCCCCTAGGTCTGCCAGACCCTGAGTCGCGACCTTCGCGACCCTCTTTTCTTGGAGCAACCTCTTGTGCTTCAGAATGAGCGTTGGACGGCTCGCTATCGACTCTCTGCCGTTTCCTGGGGTCTAAGCGATTTGCTTCATGTAGGCGCTTGATCCTGGCCCCCGCAGCACCGGGGCCACCACCACGACGAACAGCGTCTGCTGATGCATATTCGACGACTAGTTTTCGACCGTTCAAGTAATGGTTTTGGGGGTTGACGAGAGCAGCAGTGGCATGTTCTATGCTCGTGAAGTCGACGAACGCAAAGCTAACGAAACATTCATGTCAGACATCGCAACGCAGAAGATTGAGTGTTAAAAACTTACCCTTTACACAGTCCACTGTCCTCAAACGTCCCCATACGAATTTTTCGTATCCATACGTCCTCTTTCTCCTCTTTCTCCTTCTTCCCCTCCTTCTCCTCTTCATCTTTTACTTCCGGCTCCTTCTTGGGCTTGAGTTGTCTATGTGCTGTGAGGAGGTCGCGTATCGACGCTTCGGTGGTTTCAAAGCCGAGATTTCCCAAGAACAGAGTGGGAGCTGGGGGTTGTTTTTGTGCGCTGAGGATTTTTTGGGCCGTTTTCGACATTCCCTTGCCCGAAAGGGGTACGGTGCCGCCATTTGCTGCGTCTCTCGCATTAGCTGCAGGTGCAGGACGACCCGTGAAGTCACCACCTGATGCCGCCATGGGCGTTAGCAGAGAGACAACTTGAGAACGGTACGCTCACCGTCTTTGATGAGGAGTCTTCGACCATCAAGCGGATTTTCAGACATGGCGATGGCGGCCACTTTGGCCTCAGGAGTAGCAAAATCAACATAAGCAAATCTAGGAAAGTTTATAGAAGTTTCCATCGTAAATTCACTAGACGCGGAGAATGAACGAACCCGCGATTCTCTTTGCGATCTGGACCATTAGAATTATTGTCTCCAGCTTTTGTGGGCATATGCACGCGTGTTATTTCTGCATCCCCGAAGAACCGTCTCAAAGCTTCCGCGGTTGTTTTAAACGACAGGTTGCCGACCCATACAGAGTTCTGCCGTTTTGGTTGCGTCGCACTGGCCGCTTTTGTACTTTTTTTCTTGTCCCCCTCTGGAGCTTCTGTGTCCTTTGTTTTCAGCTTTCTTTTTTCCTTCCGTTTGGCGGCATGGGAAAGAACCGGTTCGTTTGATTGCTCGGGTTCGGAGTCACTCGAATCACTATCATTGGAGGAATCGGAATCAGAGATAGCTGAAGATCGGCGCTTTTTGGAAACAGGTTCAGGAGTTGGGGAGTGCGAGGATGATGCGCTTGAGGACGACGCGCTTGAGGACGATGAAGATGCCATTGGGAAGGAAGAGTGCCAGTCGATCTTCCCACGCACCCTCCGTGCCAACAGGATGGTCAACCCGACACACTCGCAATGCTAGCATAGTAGGACGTCGTGTGAGTCCGCCATGCTTTTCCATCCACAGACACCCTCCGAAGTCTCATTCACATAGGTACACATCTAGGCAGGAAACACCATCATGTGCTGATCCGAAAGGCCTGCGCAACCTCGAAGTGTACCTTCGATATTTCAGATATTTCCCTGCATAAGTGGACCCTTGGAATCACGGCTAACCTCATCTAGGTGCCATCTACGGGTTGTTCTGCGACGGCATTCCATCTTTCACGTCATGAGTAAATGTTGAAACCAGGCGGGTGCTATATGCCGGCTTTGCATGGCCTTCGCCTCCCCGTCGACAAATGAAACGCATCCTCCGCGCATACCCAAAAATCTTCGGAACCTGAGTACTATCTTCGTTGACCTTTTTATGTTGAGGTTGATGACTTGTATGCGGCTCTCCGTCTCTTGCTCACCTGTCTATGACCGAACTTGATGTCAGTTGACTTCCTTGTGGCCTGATATCCTGACCGGCATCCCCTTGCTCAATGCTTCGCATCTATTCATATAAGGCGACTTGTCTTCCCCCACTATGATTGGATCGGCAGCAACTCAGGGTCCCCGGCATGACGTTATAATAAACAATTCTCTTCAACACTCGGGACGACTTCATCTCGGAAAACCTTCCTCGCTGATCCTTCTGCTTATCGGATAAGATTGGCTTCTGCATATCATCAGGTGGTATTTCTATCTCCCATCCAGTTATCAGATTACGAGAAACCTAGACGCATCCACAGGTCATGTATCCCTGAAGTGGGAAGAAATTCTCTCTGTTAGTTGCGCTGCCTGACAGCAGATAAGGTCTAGTATACATACGTCCTCTCGGTGTGAGAGTGGCCAAGAGAGGAGGTTCGCGATATACTTAAGGAATTTCTGGTCAGTGCACGAAAGGATCATCACCTATCTTCTGTCGTGATGTCTACCTCAGCTTCAGCGGCTGCAGCGTCAGAAAGCGCTCACCTCCACGCTATCAAACACCGTGGCGAATTTGTATGTGTCCTTTGGGTCTCAGCGTTCCTCTGATCTGACCACAGTATTGGTAGGAATATCCGAAACAAGTTTGGTATCTCGTGCTCAGTGCCCTTGCCCTTGCAACCCTTGTCAATGTGATCAGTATTCTATGGTCGTGGCTTCGCGTACGAGCCCATCACCATCAAGATCAAAATCAAGCGACCAGAAAATTCTCTATTATAAGGCTCCCCGCGGCGGTACTGACGTCGTCGCGCATCTTTGCCTTTCGTTATCATCTTCCTTTGGGTACAACGTTTTCCATGTCCTTGTTTGAGATTTTTATCACTCTCGCATATCTGGCTGCTCTTCTCACCTGGGAGTTTGTACACAGTGTGTCATGGATCATTTCCACTAGACAGATCCATCTGATCACCCACGACCTTTGAATACAGCAAATAACCTGGACCCTGACTTTTGGTCCAACAAGGCTGCACACCTCGCAGCTATCCAAGTACCCTTACTTCCTGCTTTATCTTCGAAAAACAACGTGATAGGCTGTCCGTGTTCCATTTATTGAGGAATATTCCGGCTAACTCGCTTTCAGGGCTCACTGGAGTCAGTCATGAAAAGGTCATTCGATTTTCATGATATACACACCCTTACTAACCGTACGTTTGCTTAGCTCAATGTTCTCCACCGCAGCGTTGCACGGTGTATCCTAGTCTTGATCTGGATTCATCTTTGGGGAAGGTATGTTATTATGGTCCGCTCGATCGATTTCTATCATCTGACATCTATTCAAACAAGGCATCGCATCGGGTCAGCACCAACTACCAGGGATAGATCTATTAACTCGCTCTCTGACCTCGTTACAGATTTACTGGTGCAGATGATCTCTCTGTATTCCATTGGGAGCGGCTCGGGCTTGCTGCAGGCACCATATATACCCTCACCATCATCCTCACCTTGCGGCCAATTCGATTGCTGTCTCACGAGGTCTTTTACTTCACGCATATCATATTAGTATTGTAAGTTTTTCCCTTCCATCCGCATCTCACTTTCTCAATGTGAGGACTATAGCGCTTTCGTACTGCTAGCATACTTCCACACTTTGACGCCTGGGTATGTCGCATTAGTCAAATTTCTGTCTTCTGCTCATGCAACCCGCAAATTTCAGATTTAGCTACTATATCTGGCCAACGTGGGTCGTGTGGGGCTTCGAGCGTCTTTTCCGCCTCGCTCGGTACCTCACCCTTAACGTCTTCCCCCGCCCCTCGCACTCCAAAGCGCGACTCTCGCTCATCAGCAGCGACTCCCTCCGTCTAACGCTCATCCGGCGGATTCCCCTCGGGTGGATGCCAGGCCAACATGTCTTCCTCGCGTTCCCGACCGTCTCGAACGTGCCCCTCGAGTCCCACCCGTTCACGATCGCGAACATACCGAAGGAGGGTAGGGGCGAACAGGAGCTTGTGTTCATCATCCGCGGGAGAGAGGGGCTGACGAAGAGGCTGGTGGAGCGGGCAGCGGAGAAGGACGGGGTCAAGATCCCTGTGTTTCTGGACGGGCCGTACGGTAACCCCACAAATCTGCGGCCATATACGACGTGTGTCTTCATTGCTGGTAAAGACCCCCCCCCCTCGCGTATTCATTTTGTCGATGTGCTGATAGCTTGGTGATACAGGCGGAAGCGGGGTCTCGTATACTTTGCCTCTTTTACTCGATCTAGTCAAGTTAGCATCACTGTGCATACCATCGAGCGTCTGATAACATCTTACTATTTTAGACGGGTGCGGGATGGAACAGCGCTAGCGAAGAGGATTCTGTTCGTCTGGGCCATCCGTGACGAAGGTCAGCGATTTTCTAATACATACTACATCACGCGCTTGAACTTACATATTGCTATCTCAGAGTACCTGGAGTGGGTCGCTGGATTGCTCGCGGACGTCATATCCACGGTCCCTCCTAGCCTCTCCATCGACATCGACCTATACGTGACCGGCACTAGCACACAGGCAAAAGCGGCAAGCGATCTGCCCCTCCAAGAACAAGCGACTACCACGCACACCACGCGCGAGCCGTCGGGGTCAGGAGAGAAGACTCCAGAGAGCGCTGAAGTCGGCGGGCTTCCATCGCCTCGAAAGGGTAGACCCAACGTGGCGCAGCTCGTGCATGGCGAGATAAACACAGCAAAAGGGCCGACATCAGTTGATGGTGAGCAGGCAGAGTCGACTGTTCGAAGGTGCCCTGCACTGCCTGACATGACATACCAGTTTCTGGACCTCCGTCGTTGATCAAAGCCGTGCGCGATTCGCTGACCTCGCCCATATCTGCAACGCGGAGCGTGATGAACGGGGGTCCCACTGTACACTTCCACGCTGAAAACTTCACGCTGTGAGGTTTTCTTCGTCTCGCCGATGCGCAGTCCTTTAGTAGGGAGTATGGGACCGTACCCTGACAAAGGAGTCATGCATGTAACAAGTAGAGCAATGTGTCTCCTTTCCATGTCGTCGTAGCGTGAGTATGCTGATAGTTCGTGACAATTTCCAATCCAATTGAGAGTTGACATAGTCCATACCACATTCCCGTTCCGACAAAACCAGACTGGGAAGAAATGTGTTCACCTACGACATGATTGATGCATTGACCCGTTTGAGGTCAAGCATGTGCAGAATCAGCAAATTGACTCTGGAGGCTGAGATGGGATATGGCGCAGCTCGTACTCATACATAGCCTCTATACCGTACCCGCCTCGTCATGTTAATTAACGGGGGGTGTGTTCCAGCGGCTTCGCCTGATTTTCTAATGTGAGCTTGTAGATCGCACCCATCGATTAAAACCAGGTCAAAGCGCACTTTTCGGCGCCGAAGTTGGGAGTATGAAGGGAGCTCTATTGGTATTCAGTTCGAGTGAGTTGGGATGTCTGCGTCGCTGGGTCCTGCAAGGGTCCGTATCAGCTCGATTAATCACTTGTGGAATACAGTAGGATATCATCTACGAATACAGATATGCGCGACAAGCGCGAGAGAAAATCACGACCGAGTGATGCCCAAACAAAATGATGCTGCACGCAATTATATCTGTGCGCTGATATACTAGCATTCGCAAAGGACGGCAAGCGACGGAACGTCTGTCTATGCAAAAGCCACGATCTAGAGCGCGTTCGCCGGGAGTTGACCAATCCTCCTCTGCTCCTTTTCTTTAGCCTCGGCCTCAAGCTGGAAGAAGGCGCCGTTAGGGTGAGGATGATCGAGAGTTGAAGCGGACAGAACGCCACTTACGACATCTTTCCATGAGTGGTCGACTACGCCCCGGTGCTCAGCAGCTTCTTGGCGCTGCTGGTGCGTGAGGATACCAGCACCGACCAAGACGCCGATTGTGAGGCCCTGGGCCCACATACGGGCTTGTACAACTTTCTGTGAAGTCGACTGGTGCCTGTGATAAAGATTTCATGAGTAATACATACACCGAAGTTAGAACGCGAGACGCCCGTACCTGTCCCGCATGACGATGGTGCCAGCGATGGCCATGCTGACGGCCCAGCTACCGAGGATGACCGAGTACTGGTTTTGTTTCGCCCACTGCAGGACCTTCTGTCCCGGGGTGAGCTTTTGCCACTGAGACTGCTCTTGTCTCTTGGCGTTCTCTATCACACGCTTCGTCGCGCCCGTCCTATACAACACGTTAGACATATGAAAACCTGTAGCATGGTAGCCACGCCGTGCTCACCAGTAGCGCTCTTCATCAAACTCGAGACCACGGCGTTCGGTCTGAATGGCATAGGTAGGGCCGACGACGAGGACGATGCCGAGAGCCTTGAGCGACGGGGGGAGGGCGCGGTAGGCGGGGAAGCGGCGGTGGGCGAGATAGGACAGGGGTAATGAGATGGCAAGGCCGCCGAGAATGCCCTCGACGGCTCCGCGAAGAGAGGCGGCCTGCAGAGCGTCGAGCTCTTCCTGGGAAACGTTAACCTTCATGTTGAGGGGCGGGGCGGGGGCGGGGGCGGTGTATGCGGTTGTGAAACAAAACTGATCTGTGAGATGTAGATACTTATAAAGAGGGATGCGGGACAACGAGGATGACAGAGGAGGGGAGCTGTGTCGTGCTGTGTCCTGGCTGTGCCGTGCTCCTCCTCGCATTGGCGCACTCTCCCGTACCGGGACGCATCGGGGGATACGCCGGGGCACACCGGAGTGCTATCACGTGGATGCCGACACCCACGCGACGCCCAGGAGGTCTGGCCACTCGCCCGACCCCCTCCGTCTCCGGCGCCTTGAAGATGCTCGGCACCCTCAACCCCTCCCCGACCATCGACCTGGGGGCCCCCCGCCGCGCTACCGCCCCGGCCCAGAGAAATCTCATATCCCACTCTGCCAAAAACTCCATCGACAACGCAGCTGCTCCAAGTGCAGTCCAGCGCGCTGCCGTCGCATTCGAGTATGCCTCCTTGCGATACCAAGCGCACTGTCCCCTCGGGATGTACATCATCCCGTCACTCGAAAACCTATCCATCTGGGATGGCGTTTTGTTCGTTCACCAAGGTATGCACCCTGTCCGTTGCGATACATCCCGAACAGCCCTCGAGCCTCGTCGCACAACCAGGCTACTACACGGACTCGATACTCAAGTTACGCCTGACCTTCCCGCCTGAGTACCCCGAGCGCGCGCCGACCGTGCACTTCATCACGGACATATTCCATCCCCTCGTTTCTCAGCAAGACGGCGCGTTCAACCTGGGCGCAAAGTTCCGTCCGTGGAGGTCAGTGCCCGGCCCGCGCTCGCGAGTGTAGTCCGCGGGCTCACGAGTATGCTTATGTATCGAGGCCCCGGGAAAACCACGTCTATGATATCCTGCATTATGTCAAGGCCTCGTTCAAGAAGCACGCGCTCGACCAATTCAAGGAGACTGACTGCTTCAACAAAGAAGCCTTCAGGTCCGTACCGTCCGTTCCTTCCCCTGTCCAGTCTGCATGACTGATCGAGTCTCCTCGCAGATTGTAAGCGCTTGCACATAGACTACCATTCCCGCGCACCAGGCAGTCTGATTCCGCATCTCATCTAGATATCACGATTCCACATCGTCGTTCGCCGCTCTCGCGACGCAGTCGTCGATGCTATCCCAGACTGCCTCGGCCCTCTTCGACAGCGACCATCCGACGATGGCGGCGAAAGGCCCCGCCCACGGTTTGCCCTTCCGCGAGCTACGACCAGAGCAGTCGCACGCTCTGCGATTAAAGATGGGTCTCCAGGAGTGGGACGACGAGGTCGAATGAAGTCTGCTCGCGAAGAGACCTCGTCTGTTACGAATGCACGACACTAATGCGTATGACATGTCTTTAATCGTTTACCTGTTTACCACGAGTGTAATATATACCGTGTATGTCTAGATCATGAAGAGGGTATCGGATCTAATAGATGTCCGTAAATGAAACATTTGGGTTCTGTCCGCAAAGGTGATAAGATGTCGATGAGATGTCAAAAAAGGTTTGTCTCGAGTAACGCTGAGCGCTGATCAAGGATAGTCTTTGCTGCTGTCGTTCGCCATCGGCGTCGTGAGCGCTTCGATAGTCACCGCGTCGTCCATGGCGTCCTCGTCCTAAAAAAAGGTGACATTCACCAAAGTGAGCTAGACCACCCCGCACGCAATCAAAGAAGATTCCTAGACTGACCCCTATCTGTCTACCAAAGTGCTTGGACAATTTCGAAATCACCACGCTGTACGGCAAGTGCTGCGTGAGTTTCCTAAGGGAGACGAGACGCAGCGGGTGAGCACAGGGTCGAGCGATGTCTGAGCGGATGCAGGCTCACCGTCGTGGTTGCACGTTGAGCGAATGCCGCGCGTCGAGCGCTGAGTCGAGCACATTCGACGAGTGCGCGCCCTCGCTGAGCGAAAGCTTGATCGAGTACTCCTTGTCGGACTTGCCGCGCCCGTGATTCCGTTCGTAAAGCTCGAACCTGCGAGGAAATCATACAATCAATCTCAGAAGAATTGCGAGAAGAGTTTGTAAAGCGCACGTTATGTGGGACTGGCATCGCAGCAGAGAAAATCAGCGCCCTCGTCTGTGACAGGGTTGAATGACCGGCAGCGTACCGCGTAATCCAGTTCCGGTATCCTTCGATTGGCGATTGGCAGTCCCGAGAGAAGGACTAGGTTGACCAAGGTGTGGATGTGGCTTTCCTTGGTGAAATAGCACGTCAGGGAGCTTCCGCCATTGTTCCGCGCGTTCTCGAGATCCTCGACGACCTTTCGAAGAAGTGGCAAGGACGTGAGCACGCCTATTTCCTCCCTTGAGCAGACGCGGCAAGGAAATCAGATGGGTTGAAATGGGTGGCGACATGCGCAGGCTTACTTCTCGTCGGGGTCGATCCCGTACTCCTGAGGGGCGACGAGATCGAAGAGTGCCTTTGCACGGCCATAGAGCTCATGTAATTTGCGGTCCTGTTGCTGGTGTTGCTCCTTGGTACCGCTCTCGTCGAAAATGGCGAACAGGAACGCACGGTGATGGAGCGCGCAGTATTTGATGGTGTCGTACAATTCGGAGACCTTGCATCCACATGTGTAAGTCAAAGTAGGATGATGAGAGACCATATGTGAGGCTCACCCGGGACGGGTCGAACTTCTCTTGTTTAACATCACAGAAGTCCTCGAATAACTTCTCCCACCGTTCGCGGAAGAGCCAAGGTTCGTCGTCACAACACCTTGATACTATTTTGAGCGGGGATTTCAAGAACGACCGACGGGGAACGTACCATCGCTCTTGGATTTTTTCGACATCTAGAGTCTCGAAATTTTTGCGCATGATGTCCCGGAAAGAGCTGAGGAGTTCTATAACTTCCTGGAATTTCGACAATCCAATCTCAGGAATGACCCTTATTCTTCAGAAGGACCAGTACTAACTTTGACTACTTCCACGGGCTCCTTCTTCATGCTCTTGGGCCACGTCAGCTCCGGTCGTTTCTCCGGCTCGCCTGGCCGTAACAAAATCTTGAGACGTTTCTTGACGTCGTCCATGAGGTCTTTGGCAGCGTTAGAGTCATCTAGCAGGTCTTTGCGAACAATAAGCTTGAGTGGCTCTCTGGGCGGTGTAGCCGGCTTTGACCCGTGCGCATGGTTGCCATCGAGAGAAGAGCGCGATGAGAGATTGCTGGACGTCGAGCTGGCCGAATACAAAGGCTGTTGATTGTCCAGCAGGGCAGAAGCAAATATTTCCGCGGACGCAATGACACGCCGTTCAGAGGACGTAAAAATCTGGGTAGAAATCAATTAGTCAACGCGAGCGCTGCAGCGCTGAATCTCCAATACAACGGACCTTGACGTTGCTTAGCGCCTCCTTGTCTACGTGATAAACCATAAGGCCGACGCACGTTCGTCAAAAAACACGCGAAAACATACTCATTATAGAAATATCTTTCTTCATATTTTCTCCCAGGTCTCGGGATTGATACCGAGCTGAATGTGTGAACTCGCCGCCCCACTTAAATACGAGGGTCAGCTTCGTCAGCTTGCGTTCTTGCCCCGCCTGTTTCTTCGAGTAGACTGGCTTCAGCTGCGCTTTCGTTCCGGGGAGCTCGATCTTGCTGAACAGTGCATTGCTGAGGAGGGCCAGCTTCGCGAGATCCTCCCCATCCGCTCCAAGACCCTTGGCCTCGTTGACGGCGACGGCAACGCGGTTGAGCTGCTCTTTCTCACGGAGTATAATTTCTTCCTTCTCCCCGTTGAGTAATTTCACGAACGGCTGTGTCCATGTCTCGTGGATAGGAAAGTTGAATTTAAGTTTTTGCTTAGGTGTTCGGTCAGCATGCCGAAAGACTGTTACGTTCGCTTTCAGCAGCCAGGTCGAAGACTCCTGGGGCGGCATCTCCGTCGCAATCAAGGGCCGGTCTGGGGATGAATGTACGCGAAGACATAGTGCCGCAAGGATTTCTGAGGCTTTATCTGTGAAGCGACGAACCCGTGAGGATGGTCTTGAGGGCTGCATCATGCTGGGAGAGCGGTGGCGTACCGTAATAGGAGTCGTTGCCCTTCACGAAACTCCAGCCGTTTACATCGATCACCTGACTCCGTGTGCCATTATCACAACGGAGCATGTCAAAGCCGCATACTCTCTGGCCGAAACCTTCGCATATCTTAGCCGCCCATGACTTCTCTTCGTCATTCAGTCGCGTGATAAACCTGTTCCCGGTCAGAATGCTAGTGAAAAAAATGATAGTGAGAGAAAGTCACCGAATTTCTTTTCCTTCGGTATTTCGTCTCACGAGACCGTCGACCACGGGCGACTTGCGGGTCTCAGCATGAGTGTATTCCCGGCCGACAGTGTAAACTTTGATGTCCTCTGAGTTATCAACGTCGATGAATTCTTCGTAGATGTAGGAACCATCTGTTCTTGGCTGATTCAATGTGGGGTCCATTTCACTGCTTTTGTTACCAACCTTAATTGATGCACAGCTGTCAGGGCGATGTCTGAATGGTGATAGACTATGACGCACTTTTCTGAACAGGCGCCGACCACCTCCACCTCGGAAATAGATGTAGACATTATGGTCTTCACCACTCACGGGTTTCTCGACGAAGGGTTTTTCCATGACCTTACCGTCGATGATAATGGCGTCGCCATCGTCGCGCAAAGTAACTTCGGGTGTGACTAGAAATCCACCCAAAACGATTCCGAGCTTCTTCTTCATGTGCACCTTGAGCTCCTCGTCTACCTTCGGACCTCCATCTCTAGATACTTCCAAACGTTTCGGGGTGGGCACTTTGAGGGCATCGAGCACGTTCCCGACAAGGCGGCGGTCCCACAGGAGGGCCTGTGGTACAAGCTCGTTGACGCAAAGTGGGTTTCGCAGTCTAACATAGGAAATAGCTTTGTCTAGTGGAAAGTCAGTCGAAAAGAACGATATCAGAACATCACATCTGGGCCAGTTCTCAACGTCTGATTCATACGTCTCTAAGCATGCTTTTCGAACATGGTGGCGGTGATTCGCACCTTCGTCGAGTATGACCTTATCGCCAAACACTTTGACTTCTATGCCACCCCGCAATCGCTCGACTAGCCTCGTCAAAATTTCTCTCATGGGCTTCGATCGAGCTTTGACGTCCATCGCACATATTCCCAAGATTATAGGGGGCTTAGTCGCATCGGGAAGATATAGAAGGTCCGAGTGAGAGCCGGTGGGGGAAGGAGTAGAGGATCGCGTTGTAATTCTAGAGCTCGAACGAGGTGAATGCTTCTCCGGAGTATGAATGAGAGAAAACCGAGATGGCCTATCCCAGTGCATAGTCTAGATGCCGTATGTTTTTCCTGTTGCGGTCGTTTCAATTCGTGAAGGTACTTAGCGGCGGCGAGCGTGAACCGTCGAAACAAGAAAAGCCGGCCTCATAAGTCTCGTGATCGATGAATGAGAGGCCCCCGACTATTCCTGAAATCAGACGTGACAAGAGGTGACAGAGGTCTGCGCGCGAATTTGCCTCTGAGTCAGGGACATGAGGCATTTGTGCTCGAGCTGATGTCATCCAAAGTGAGGCATTTTTTGAACCGTGACGGTTGCTGTATAAATTACTGACGGATCCTTCTCCTTGGATCGCCCGACTTCTGCCCGCATACCCTATTACAGAATACGTGCCGCTCACTCTTCCCTATAAATACCAATGCCACGTCGCAAATTCCACGACTCCTTCATGGCGCCAGTCAACCAGGGCGGCCTCGTAACCACCATCTTTATCTCCAACCTCCATTGTAGCAGGTGCGATGAGAACCTATGTCTTTGAGATTTATCAGCACTCACCTGTGCGCGTGGTAGTTGTGTCCATACCATTGACGAAACACTCAAAGCGCTCTCGCCACCCCCGACAGACATATGCGTCTCAATCGTCTCGCAGTCGATCACAGTCAACCATTCGAAAGATTTGTCTCCGGAAGCTATCAAGAGCGCCATCGAGGATGCAGGCTTTGATATTGCTACCACTCCCATCGCGGGTCCATCGAGCCAGCCCGACGAGTTTCTCAGCGCAGCCTCATTCTTGACCGGTAAGAGGAGGAGACATGTTGATCAGTGCTCGATGTGCCAGCAGCAGGTTGGTGGACGGGCTATTATCGGCGAGGAGGCAACTCTCGCGGATCATCTCACCCCCAATGAGAAACTCGAACGCAACTCCGGCGGCGATTCACGTACTCGTGTCGCAACCAAGGGTCAATATCAGCTCACGCTGTCTGTTGGGGGAATGACTTGTACCTCTTGCACTGGCACCATTACAAACGCGCTTTCCGAGCTTCCGGGTGTCTCGGACATTGTCGTATCCCTTCTCGGTAACTCAGCGACCGCGGTACTGGACCGGCAAGATCTCGCGGGAAAGGTGGTGGAGACCGTGGAGGACATTGGGTACGAGGCCGACATCATCAGCGTCGAGGAAATTCGCGTGAAGGCGCAACCGAAAGACAATGCTCCTTACCAGCTTTCGCTCTCTATTGGTGGTATGACTTGCGCTTCTTGTTCGTCGACCCTTACTCGCCTCGTTTCGGAAATTCAAGATGTTTCGGATGTTGCCATCAATCTCCTCGGGAGTTCGGGGTCTGCCATCATTCAACACAAGAAACTGGCAGACAAGATCATAGAGGTCATAGAAGACGCTGGCTATGAAGCAACTGTGATGAGTCTGCTGCCAGTCAATATTTTTTCCGAAGGCGCAGAATATGGCGCATTTCGGACCATCTCGCTTCAAGTCGAGGGAATGTTCTGCGAGTAAGTTGTGAATGTTCCATCCGAGTATAATTACGGCTCACCTTGATCGAATTGCAGGCACTGCCCAGAGAAGATCATGGCTGCCCTCGGGCGATTCGGCTCGGCCATCACGATTGACAAACCTTTGACTGATCACCTAGATCCTATACTGCGTCTGACATATCTACCGTTGCCACCATCATTCACTGTCCGTACCATCGTTGACGCCATCGCGTCCATCAAGTCATCTCCTTTCAATGTATCGATTTACAAACCTCCGTCGCTCGAAGATCGCGCGCGCAGTATGCAGCAGCAAGAACAGCGTCATCTGCTGTTCCAACTGGGGTTTTCAGTGATTATGGCTATACCGACGTTCATCATTGGGATCGTATACATGAGTCTCGTTCCGAAGAGCGACCACAGGCGGATGTTTCTCATGGAACCCATGTGGGCTGGGAACGCGTCTAGAATCGAGTGGGCGCTGTTCTTCCTAGCCACACCTGTCATGTTCTACAGTGCGGGCACGTTTCACCGGAGGAGCCTGAAAGAGATCAGAGCGCTGTGGAGGAGAGGTAGCCGGACGCCCATCTGGAAGCGGTTTGTGCGCTTCGGCAGTATGAATCTTTTGGCAAGTCACGTTACTTTCAGACATGTGTCCAACCATCACTGATTCTTGTCTTGACTTTCATCGGTGATCAGGTATCTTCTGGTGTCTCCGTTGCATATTTTTCTTCCATTGCGTTGCTAGCCTTAGCTGCATCGGCTCCGCCATCAAACGATGGCAATGGCGATACTACCACGTACTTCGACTCAGTCGTGTTGCTCACCATGTTTTTGTTGATTGGTGAGAAGTTTCCCACGTATATAAATTCACAGGTCATTGACACAAATATTTCTAGGACGATATTTGGAGGCTTACAGTAAGGGCCGCACTGCTGATGCCATCACGAGTTTAGGCAACCTCCGACCTGTCGAGGCGCACCTCCTCGTCCCATACTCGGAGTCTGACTCACCAAAAGCTTTCCGCGACGCTAACGAAGACATCGAGAAGGGTGATCCTGTATCTGAGACAGACTCATACCTTGCGAAGCCTGGATTTAGGGTGCAGAAAATTGGGGTCGACCTTTTGGAAGTTGGCGACGTTGTCCGCGTACAGAACGGATCTACCCCACCCGCAGATGGGGTGATCGTTTCCGGTGAAAGCACTTTCAATGAAAGTTCATTGACAGGAGAGTCCAGGCCAGTCAAGAAAACGCTGGGTGATCAAGTGTTCCTCGGAACCATCAACAATGCCCAGGTCGTAGATGTACGGATAGACGCCATTGGAGGCGAGACTATGTGAGCTATCTTCGGTTCCAAAATCTGACGTCTACCACGATGTTGAATTTGGTTTCATCTCCCAGGTTGAGCCACGTCGTTCGTGTCGTGCGAGATGGCCAGACTAAGCGTGCTCCGATCGAGAGACTTGCAGACATCTTGACTGGCTATTTTGTTCCGATGGTTACCCTGTTGGCAATCTCCACTTGGATCATCTGGTTGAGTCTTGGGTTGAGTGGGGTTCTTCCTCGAGATTATCTGGACAAAGACATAGGAGGATGGCGTAAGTCTTTTTTTGTCACAAACCTGATCAAATGAGCTTCCATTAACTCTTCTCGATAGCTGTGTGGTCTCTAGAGTTTGCGATCGCGGTATTCGTCGTGGCGTGCCCCTGCGGCATAGGCCTGGCGGCGCCCACCGCCCTGCTTGTAGGATCAGGCCTGGCAGCCAAGTTTGGTATCTTGGCTCGTGGTGGCGGCGAGGCATTCCAGGAGGCTGCTCAGCTCGACGCTATCGTTTTTGACAAGACGGGCACGCTCACCCAAGGAGGCGAGCCTCGCGTGACCAATGCCGAGGTCATGCCCGATGAAGTTTCCTTCCCGAGGGACGTTATTCTTGGGATTGCAGCCGAGGTAGAATCCACAAGCACACATCCGCTTGCAATAGCCATACAACAGTACTGTGACCAGAATGGAGCGGCACACGCCTCCGGAGATGCCTTCCAGGAAACCCCAGGACGTGGCCTACAGGCGCATTTCGAATTCCGGAAGTGTACTGCCGTCATTGGGAACGAGAAGTGGATGGAGGAGCACGGAGTCACCCTCCGAGAGGAGACAGCGGTCCGCCTCGAGACTTGGAAGTCAGAAGGCAAGAGCGTCGCCCTCTTAGCCCTCCGGAACGACCGTGTAGATACGGCATTGGATCTACCGCAGTTTATCCTCGCTGCGGTCTTTGCCATTTCAGACGCCCTTCGTCCGAATGCTGGGGCTGTCATTGCCCAATTGCAAGCGCAAGGTCTCGCGACTTGGATGATATCCGGAGATAACCCGACGACTGCAAAGGCTGTCGCGAAGCTGGTGGGCATTCCGGAAGCGAATGTGATAGCAGGCGTCCTTCCGCATGAGAAGGTACTAGTACAAATCAAGTATAGTGAGATCGAACTCGTGCTTACCTTCCTTCCCCGCAGGCGCAAAGAATTCAATGGCTTCAACAGAATGGCGTGAAGAAACAAGCGTCTAGATGGTTCGCAAAGTTCAAGAAGAGGTTGAATGAACGATGCGTAGTCGCCATGGTTGGAGACGGAATCAACGACGCTCCGGTCAGTGTATCTGTGGTTCAGCCGTGAAAAGGTTTTCTGACCAAACATAGGCCCTTGCCTCAGCGGACGTTGCTATTGCTATCGGGTCTGGAAGTGAGTGCCAGGGGTTAGCCGACTTTTGCGCTCAACTGACGTCGTATTTGTTTCCAGGCGATGTTGCTTTATCCAGCGCCTCTTTCATCCTTGTGTCTTCAGATCTTTCCAGTATCCTCACGCTCGTAGACCTGTCACGTACAGTTTTTAGACGGGTCAAATTCAACTTCGTAAGCACTTATATTTTTGTCATCTTGAAGAGGAATTCACCATCCCCACGCCAGTTGTGGGCCTGCCTGTATAACATGGCGGCTCTGCCGATTGCTGCTGGTGTTATATACCCCGCCGGACATGCTAGATTGGATCCAGTGTGGGGCTCGCTCGCTATGGCTTTGTCGTAAGCCAAGTTTCTCACCTAAACTAAGCCAGTCAGTTGGCTGAACTTCCAACAGATCTGTCTCTGTTGTGTGCAGTTCTCTCGCGTTGCGATTGTACAAACCACCCAAGGCGTAGACAACATTGGTCACGTTCCTTCGTATCGATAGGACGCACAATCACAATTCTATCAGACACTAGACGAATCTTCAGCTATCATTGATTTGTTACGCTTTCTTGTGTTGATGTATTTCACGAACTTACAATGGATAAGGATATGCTCACGATCTCTGTGATATTGGTTGTTCTTTCCTGGACTTGTAAAAGTCCGAAAAGGACAGTCTGATACCGAGGAAGCGACAATCAAGGTCCGCGTGGCTTTGCAAGCCATGGACGATCCCCTGCACCTTCTCCGAAAATGAGCTGCCATATTCCCTGACTTGCTGTAGAATGCGACGCAGTTCGTCAGAAGACTCTCCCGTGTGATGCCTTTTGCTTCCTGTATAAACGCCCTGCACGTATACGTCAGTGCGTAAACTGCATATTCAAGTCAGCGTATGAGGAAAACTCACTCGTTTGGCGTCGTGTTCACTGTCTCTCCGCGCCGACTCTGTGAGACAATAATTGTAGAAAATATCCTGTTCGGAATGAAGAAAAACACTATTTTCGAATCATATTGACTGCTTACCGTTGCGTCACGGAACTGTAAGATGGTTGTAAACGTATCGCGAACCTGAGCGAGTAAAACTTCCTATATAGTGAAAGTCAACATCATGAGATCTCACATTTAAGAAGTACGCTTACCTCTCTACCAGCTTTCGGACTCAGTAACAAGATCTTTTTCACCATCTTGTCAAGGTATGACCGATGCGCCTCGATCAATGCATCCAAATCGCCTTCTTTGTCGTGAATGAAGTCCACCAAACCCTTCCATGAAATCTCGATGACTTCCAATTGACAGTACGACTCCATCTCCCTAATGAAGTGGATCATCTCGGCCATAAAGATCCTGATTCGATGCCATTCCTGTTCCAGTTCTATGACACGATAAGTGTGTATATAGAGGGGATAGAACAGGTATAACCCACCGGGTATGTGAATGAATGTCTTCGTCCCGATCGCAAATCTCATCCAACCTTTCGTCAATGTACTCTCGATGCGTTTCATCTTCCAAAGGTGATTGAACAGTTTCAGATATTTGACCATAGTGTCCGGATGCAGTACGGTATCAAGCGGAGGGTCTACTTTGTACTCCAGTGTGAAGACATCCCATCCTATCTCCCCGTGAGTATACTCCAACATACGAGCATCGAGACGGCGGAGAACATCTGGGGGATCGTTCTGAGCATTAGATGAACGAATGGCAGTCTCCAAAGTAGCGGTCAGATTATGCCGGTACAAAGTATTCGCTGGTCGCGAGAGATTGGGTCTTAAGCGAGATACATTATTAGCAAGTAGCACTATACCGAGGAAACATACCCTAGAGCGTCCATTAGTTGATCGGCGAAGTCCCCGTGGCCAAGGAACAGGTAGTTCTTCAATGCTCGAAGATGGTCCAACAGCCGGAATTTCTCGAAGAATATGTCGAAAAGGCGTTGGCTAGCAATACGATATGCAGCGTCAATAGAACGTTCCAACCCGGAGATATCACTGTATTGCAATGCTTCGTCGTATGAGCAGAAGCAGTGAGGCGAGTAGCTTTCGAAAAACTCACTACCGCTCGAGTTACCCAATTTCTCCCGCGTGGCCACCCAATCGATGTCGTGGCAGCTGTACCGGATGAAATTCAAGCTTTTTCCAGTGGAGAAGATCTGTTCATCAGTAATTGAGTTAAGCACAAGTATCTCCCTACTATTGAGCCTACCTTCCTACCAAACCCCTCTCCAACGAAGGCAGGCAGCATCTCCTTGCGGAATTGATGCTTAGCTTCCCATAGTCGTAGGCCGCTTTCCCTCTCTCCAGAGATGTCTTCGTTATCACCACCCAATCCGCCAAAGCCACCATCACCGGAAAGCTGACCGAACCCATCTGATAGTGCAGATGGATATACGTACTGTAGATGGGCCAGTTCTGGGTCTACAGTCACGAAGAACTCTGAGTACGGATCATACAGTTCACCAGAAAACAGCCATTTTTGTAATGTGCTGAAGAAAGGTTTGGAAACCTATTGAAGAAATGATGATTAACTCCTAGTGCTTAATGGGATAATCGGTTACACACCTCCTCCAAAAGTTGATCAGTAAAATGTCGAACAAACGGATCTCCGTTTTCTGTGTAACTGTGAATCAGGTTCACGAGAGCGCCGCCATGTGTATCTGTAACAGCAAGGTCAGATCAGGACGTATTAATGTCAATCCAATCGCTCACCTCGTGCTGCTTCAACACACACACTCATCATACGCATTCTCAGCCGCCAGTCATTAACCCATACGTCTAGGCGCTTTAAAGTCAGACCGCTCTCTTCTGCACGGGCATTTGGTTCGTCGGCGCCCTTCGTTCTCGAAATCCTGTCGTTTGGGTCCGACACCTTCAACGACGTCGCCATTTGAGATTCAAGAACGGCGATAAGGCGGTAATATTCCGTCAGCTGTGAATGAAGGTGATGACAGAGACTCTGTTCTATCATTCCAACGCCTGGTTTTCCCTCGCGATCTCGCACGAAGCCATCCACCAGTGTATACAGATGCCCGACCTCGGACAGCCTGTGTATGAGGCCTTTGGTGGGCGCAGATATAATATATCGCTGAATAGAAACATTGAGGGTCATGATATAGATATCGGTAAGAATACTTACAGGTTCATCGACAAAAATAAGTTTCATTTTCGTTGCATCATTATTCTCAGAGAACCGGATGTATTTGCCTGAAATCCCCTGCAAGAGGTAGAGGGTATCGCGTAAAAGAAGTTCTTCTGCGATATGGGGTCTGCCTGACCATGGAGTGTGTAAGCTGGATCTCTATATTCTGTGTGAAGGAACGCACCAGTCTTGGCTCTGTGCTCTCGCAATAGTTCCGCTTTCGACTTCCCCTTCGGTATCCGAGGACTGAGAGGTATCTCTGCAGGCGTTGGTGAAGGAGTCACGCGCGAGGGTGGTGGTGGGGCAAGAGAAGGTAAGAACGATGATTTGATTGTCGATGTTTGGGAGGATGACGAGAGGGTATGAAGGAAGAGTAGAGAAGCATGTTTTCGATTCAGAACTGGCTGTTTCCGCGCCTTAGATCTGCCATGAGCACGAGCGTTATTCGACGTACCTGTTCAAGAAGACGGGCCAGGAGATTTGTGAACTGCAATGAGGATACACCGTCAGGGTGGGTCTGAAGGACTATACATGAAATGGTCAGTGGTCGATAGTGAGGCCAAGAAAGGAATGACAGACGATTGCGCTTTATGAGCTCTGCGAGATGACCAATATCTGACTCTCTAGATTGACCAATGTGACTAGAATTGGAGAGTAGGTCAATAATCGAGTCAAGTCTCCATCAGGCTAGTGGCCAATCTGCGGTGCATCGTAGGCAACGCACCTGTTCAAGATATCCTCACAGTGGGAAACCAATTCTCTCGCCAACGAATCATTCTGCCTCGCTTGGGGAACCAAAGACCAAACAAGGGTTTCGATGGAAGGGGTGGTTGGAGGCATATTGCTTCTGCGAGTCAAGCGCTCATGGATATCAGTGGTGGTGAGCAGCACAGTATATAGCCTCGACTTGACGCGTCGACGCGTCCAAATGAATTGTTCCCACGCCTGCGTTGCGTCATGGTGGCCGGGGTTCACCGACCCTATTGATTTTGCATTCCGAGGAAATGTAGGCGTCGGGCCAATGTCAATTCCGGAACACTATCACTTTCGCTAAGCAGTCACAATTATTGAAGGAGGTATGTTGCCTAACTCTGACTTCGAATTCAATCAGAGTGATGTTTTCGGTGATTGAGGCTGATTGGGGCTTTGACAGGAAGGTATCTCCGGCCGGCTCGTCAAGAAATATAGTTCCGCGGACAATTGGAGCTTCCCACAGATGTGATTCCTGTTTCGTTGAGGTCATGAGTGCAACGCCGGTGGTCAGTGGATTGACATAGCCGGAAAGAACCGATGTTAGCTACTTTGGCATTGCGATTGCCGTTCGAATGCCTCAAAAGGGGCTCGGTAGCACATCATGTGAAGCCTATCCGCCAGCCCTCTTCCTCCGGCAGTCTGCCACTACTCAAGTACTCGCAATCCGCCTTGAGCACATGTCCTGGATCCCAAAGCGCACTTTACACGAAGGTGATGGTCAGAGTGTTGCCAGACGAGTCTCCTATTGACTCCCTACACCGTCACACAGCGGAGGCCATTCTCTGTGGGCCGGGTCAGTTGCACGAGCTCGAGACACGCCTAGTCGATGGCCGGATACAGCGAGTATATAAAAACCTCTGGCCTTCTCTCCGTGACTTTTGGCTTTGGGTCGCCCAAGAATACAAGCACAAGACCTATGTTGTCTTCGAGAAGGACAGGATCAGTTACGGGGCGGCCTTCGAACGCTCAGTTAAAGCGGCATCTGTATTTCGTCATGTATATGGCGTAAAGAAGGGTGATCGAGTTGTTATATGTTCGCGCAACATACCAGACTATCTCGTCGCACTCTGGGCATGTCAGTTGATCGGTGCCGTCTCGGTCTTTGTGAACGCGTATGTTCGTGCATCTTTTATCTCCTATCCGTTCTGATAATCGTCGCAGTTGGCTTCCGGCAGAGCCAACGAAGCATTGTTTCGTTAGCACTCGCTGCAAGCTGGTCATCCTGGACTCACCGCGAGCTGACTTGGTCGAGAGCTTCGCGGGAGAGATTGCAAGAGAGGCAGGGACATCTGGATTCCTTGTCTGGCAGCATTGGGAAGGGAAGGGCAAATGGAATGGCATGCAGATATGGTCCAATGTCTTGGATTCCTATCAAGGAGAACTGAAAAGCGTGTTGGATGATCCCGGTCTTCTGCCAGAGGATCCCGCCACTATATCTTTCACTTCTGGGACGTGAGTGACCTTCATCAAGAATCTGACATGCAGTCTCAATATTTCATAGCACTGGGTTGCCCAAGGGGGTCTTGAGCACGCACCGAATGTTCCTGACAAATGTCTTGAACGTTCTTGCGGGTCCCTTTCGTGCAATCCTCCGTCGTGGAGGATCCCTTCCTCAATTTCCGTTGCCTGACGGACCACAGAAGGGAATACTAGTATCAGTACCCTTATTTCACGTTACAGGTCTCACAAGTTTAGCGGTATGCCCGTCTCATTCATTACTTTACGCTTTATGGCGATCTCAAAAATTCCTTTAGCTTTTAGGGACCATGACAGGCATGAAAGTCGTGTTCATGCGAAAATGGGATGCTGAAGAAGGTATGTAGTCTTGGAGCAACATCCCACATCCAATATTCATTTTCTGTAGGCGCCAGGTACATATATAGCACAATGCTTACAGACAGAAATTAAGCGTTCCCATCACCTAGGTTAATCCGCGACGAACATGTCACCATTGCGGGAGGGTAATTGTATCTTATTGCGCATCTTCTGACCTTTGCTTATTGCTTCCATGTCAAAGTGTCCCCTCCATGGTGGCCGATCTGAGTGAAACTTCTGCCGCTGGCCAACCTCTCGAGTCGCTGTTGTTCGGTGGAGCTTCTGCGCCTGATTGGCTTGCCAAGCAATCTCGCAAGGCCTTTCCTACTGCCACAATGTTGGTCCTTTTCTCACAATTCCACTTGATTCGGGTCTGAAAATCCATGTTAACAGGACTCAAGGGTACGGTCTCACGGAAACTAACAGTGTTGCCGTCGGTTTCGCTGCAGAAGATTATCACATGCGGCCCACGAGCGCGTATGCTGTTTCAACTACCTAAGAGTCGAGCTGAAACTCAACATGCGATAGGGGGCTTGCAATGCCTGTCAACGACGTTTTGATTGTAAAGGACGACAAAGTTCTTCCTCCTGGAGAGCTTGGGGAGGTCTGGTTGTAAGTGTTTGGCCTCCTGACTGGTATAGTTGCTCAGTCTTGCCTTAGACGTGGTCCAAATATCATGAAGGAATACTATGGCGATCCTCGTAAGGGAATCTTAACACTGAATGAGGGTATTAATGACGATCGCTGTTGATAGGGGCAACCTCTTTGGCCATCACCAAGGATGGTTGGCTGCGGTCTGGTGACATCGGCTTCCTCGATCACGAGGGATTTTTGTACATCAGAGATCGAAGTGAGTCTTCTGGAAATCTCCTGGACAATGCACTCATACATTTCACAGTCAAAGATCTTATCATTCGGGGAGGAGAGAATATTGTAAGACATCCTCTTAACCAGACTCTCACGCAGTCCTCTTACCTTTCTCAGGACTCTGTCTCCGTTGAGAATGCTGTATCTGCAGACGATCGGCTGTTGGAAGTGGCTGCAGTAGGTGTACCAGATCCGCGTTTGGGTGAACTAGTTTCCGTCATAGCTTCCGTCAAGCCAGCGTATCAGGGCAAAGTTCTGGAACAAGAGGTCATAGAAATCGCCAGTCAGAGGTGGGCTCTCCCTTTGTGCTTAATGTCGATCATGTGACGAGCTGATTGTGGCAATCACAAAACAGACTTCCTCATTTTGCTGTCCCCGTCATGATTTTCTTGCAAACTGAACGTCTCCGTGAGTCCTTTGATGTGTTCATCAGCATGTGTCGTCTCACGCACTACATAGCTCGCAACCCATCGGGTAAAATTCTCAAACGCGACCTGCGCGAACTTGCTAAGGAGGAGTGGTTGAAAAGAAATGGTAGGGCCCTAGACAGCAAGGCTAAATTATGATTTCATGGATTTTGACCTCCCTATGAGTCGTACCGTTGCTTGTATATTGTCTGTTACCTCTTGAATTGTAATTTTTGGAGTTGTCGGTACACACTGATTGAACGTACTGGTCGCAAGTGACTTCATACCGTTCAGAAGGGCGGCGGCGGCGGCGGGCCACTGGGCTGGAAGGCCCAAATTGGAAAGCAGTAGCGACGCGCTCCAGAGTCCGAGAGCTTTTGGATGTCATTTGCCAATTTGTGCTCTACATCCTGTCTTTGCAGGCCACAACTTCGTTTGTTCGCCAGTTCTTTTTCTGTTCTGCTGAGGCGTCCTCGCGACGCTCTAACTCTTCGAACTTACGACATTTCACGACTTGAAACGACATGGATCGGTCAAATCCCGTACCGTCGAGCTCTACTGGCGGTTCCAGTAAGCCCGGTTCTTCAGGACCCTTTGCTTACCAGACACGCCTCCTCGAAGGCATTTCCTCTCGCTCTAATTCGATCTCAAGATCTGGTTCAGCCTCCAAAATGAGTCCCCTTGCGACAGGCAGCGTTGCTCCATCCACACCCACTGTCACCCGACGATGGACTCCTACACATCGTGTTGGAAGCAGCTTGGATGCTGTGCGGGGGAAATTCGAGGAACGCATCCAAGCAGAAATTGGAACAGATGCTCCGGACGAGTCGATGGGTCGATCTGAGATGAGCCCAGGGAAGAGTACGACGCCTCAATCGTCTCTCTATAATCATACCATTAGGAACCAATCTACCCACCAGCTTCCTTCAGATCGTTCGCGGTCACAAGCTTCAGAGGTGAATAGGACGCCGACTTACCTCAAGCGTCGTACTCTGCCGGCTCCTATCATAGCCTCTCCGCTATCGCCCAATACCACTGGCGTTTCTGTCGAGAATCCTGATATCTCATCCTCTCCTTTCACGACCACAACGCTGAACCGTATCCGACTGCCCACTTCCACACCACTGGAATCATCATCTATACAAGCTGTTAAGCAGCTCAGCGCTTATGCTATTCCTTCCTCGACAGATATCGAACAACGGCTGTCCACTCGCACGCGTCGTGCTAATACATTGGATACCATTCTTCCAAATACCAGTGGATCATCCACATCCTCTGATTTATCATCTATATCGTCTCACAGTAGCCATACTTCAATAGGCACAGCCGCCACCTTCCAGCGTCGACCTACTTCTCTATATGGTCAGCCATCGACTCCTTCACTTAACAGGCTTCGTAGTAGCTCTGCTTACGGTGTTCGAGATGCCAGTCCATCACAAGTACGACCGCTGTCGCCAGACAAGCTTGCAGCATTCAATCCGCCTTCGCCTTCATCCGCCATGTCTCCCAAGCCTTACCGAAGTTCATATATGTCTAGTAAGAAGGCATCGACATATGGCGACAATCTCATTGTTGGTCGCAAATTGGGACGCCATCTACCTCGAATAGCCAGCGGGGACGCCGATGAAGATTGGGTAGAACCGGAAAGTTCGGACAAGATGGAAGAAGATAGGCGGGATCGACATTCAACGAGAGCACAGCGTATCTTGAAACGGGAAGGAGAACTATCGACACCTGAACGCCCGCAGGCTCAGGAGTTGATTATACCTGGAGTGACAAACGCCGACGAGGTTGCAGGCATACCTGGTAGATTGCGGCTATCACGAGATCGAGCGCCAAGCAATCCCGACTCCCCTCTTCCGTCTGCCCGACTTGGAAGAGGCTCGTGGGCGGATGTACAGAGGCATCTTTTGCAAGCTTATGAGTATCTTTGCCATGTTGGGGAGGCGCAGCAATGGATAGAAGGCTGTCTCGGCGAAGAACTCGGGTTCGGTGTCGTAGAGATGGAGGAAGGTCTGAGAAACGGCGTTGTGCTGGCGAAATTAGTGAGAGTATACCAGGGAGATGGGGTCGTGCGCAGGATCTACGAGGTAGGCGTGCCATAAGAAGGATGCCTGCATTGAAGAAGACTCATTCGCGACACAGGCCCCCAAGCTTGATTTTCGACATTCCGATAATATCAACTATTTCTCTGAATTCGTCAGGCAAGTCGGCCTTCCCGAGGTCAGTCGACTACTCGACTCTTCGGCACCTGAATCTGACGGATGTCTTACAGAGCTTCATTTTTGAACTAACTGATCTTTATGAGAAAAAGAACTTTCCCAAGGTCATATACTGCATTCATGCTCTAAGGTATCTCATCCATCTTGACATCAAAATCATGTTTATGATGTTCATCTTTACACACAGTCATCTACTTGCTCGTCGTGGTATGGCGGAAAGGATTGGCAACTTGCTCGGTCGATTACAATTCTCGGATGATCAACTTCGAAAGACGCAGAAAGGCCTCAAGGACGCCGGTGTCCCTATGCCAAATTTCGGTAACGTTGGCAAGGAGCTTGCCAAGGAGATCAATGAAGAGCCCGAAGTCGAAATCGAGACAGAAGACGAACGTAATTGATGCTCTGATCCTCCTTAGAATGATCCAAATTGATATTCATTCGTTCAGGTCGCGACCGTTTGTTGCTTGAGAACGAATCGTCAATTACCGCAACTCAGTCTCTGGCCCGCGCATTCCTGATTCGAAAAACGCATGCGACTCAACGTGCGCGCTTGCAATTAGCCGAGCGATATGTACCACAGCTCCAAGCTCAGTGTCGAGGCGTTCTTTCTCGTCGGATTGTTCAAGATCGTCGACAAGATCGAATGGATCTCGCACCTTGGACTGTCGCCTTACAAGCGACCGCTCGACGTGTTCTAGCCAGGCAGCATCTATTCGCTCGATTGCAACAAATCTTATCTCATTCCTACATCTTCGTTCAAGTTCAGGCTCAGACCCGAGGTTATTTAGTGCGCCATCGCATCGCAAAACTGAAATCTGCTGTCAGAACTAGCAGCATTTCAGTACTCAAGCTACAATCCTTAGCCCGTGCAAAGATCGTTCGGCAGCAGCAAAAGAAGCTGATGAGGGTCTTTGCATCTGATGATGTCACGACTGGGATTGTTGGATTTCAGGCAACTGCTCGAGGAGTTCTCTTGAGACGCTCCATCGCCAAACGGCTCAATGAGCTGGATCGGTTGGAGGTCGCCATCATCTCTTTGCAAGCTCACGTTCAAGGAGTCCTTGTGCGCCGACGAGTTCACGCGCAGCTGTCCAAATTGGAGGATGTTTCACAGACCGTCATTCGAATCCAAGCAGCTGTTCGGACATTTCTGGCCCGAAAGCGTCTTTTGACGCTCATACGAGGTCTTCGCAAAGCTACCCCGATTGTGGTACACCTGCAGGCTCGTGCTAGGGCTAATCTTGCTCGACAACAGCATATCTCGGTCAATAAGACGCTGTCGAAGATTGAGATCGTCTCTTCCGTCGGAGGGTTTCAGGCACTGGCTCGGGCGGCGCTGGCTCGTAATCGTCATCGTGAACAGAACAAACAGCTCGAGTTTGCTGCGCCAGACATCGTCGGGTTTCAGGCCGTTGCTCGGGGAGCCTTGGTTCGGTTGGAATATCGTGCCTGGCGTAATCATCTATGGAACAATCAAGGCGTGGCAATATTTCTCCAAGCGTTGTTGCGCGGTAATTTGTGTCGCCGGAAATTCCGTGCAAAAATGCAATACTATCGATCCCACCTCGACAAGGTTGTCAAGATCCAGTCGCTCTTCCGAGCCAAGGAGACGCGCGAGCAGTACCGCCAACTCACTCTGGGCACAAATGTGACCGTTGGCACGATCAAGAACTTTGTACATCTACTCGACGATTCCGAGACTGATTTCCAGGAAGAGGTTGACCTTGAGCGAATGCGGAAACTGGTAGTCGAGAGAATTCGGGAAAATCAGGCCCTCGAGAGCGACGTGAACGACTTGGACATGAAGATTGCCCTTGTTGTTCAAAATGTCAAGAGTTTTGAGGAGCTCATAAAAGCTCGAAGACGGTATGGTGCTGATAGCGCTGCAGCACATGCAGCAAGGGCATCTGTTCTCGCCGCGCATGGTGATCCTTTCGCTGGCCCGAATACGCTCGATCATGCTGCAAAACGGAAACTTGAGTTGTATCAGCAGCTGTTCTACCTTCTGCAGAGCAAAGGTGAATATCTTGGCAAGCTATTCGTGAAGGTGTCTTTGGACGGGGTGCCAGAGAAGAGTCGTCGAATGCTGGAAAGAGTCGTGTTAACGCTCTTCGGCTACGGACAAGATCGTCGAGAGGACTATCTTTTGCTCAAACTCTTCCAGGTACGTCTCACTATCTGGCTTATTCAGCGTCAAACTCACAAACGCTGTGCAGTTCGCAATCAACGAGGAGATTGCTAACGCAAAATCCATCGAGGACATTGTTCACAATCACCCCATGTACATCAACATAGCCGTGCATTATATACGTCCTAAACAGACAACACATGTCCGAGAATCTCTGCAGAATATCATTCGTGAGCTCATTGATGCCGAGGAGCTGGACTTGGAAGTTGACCCTACTCGGGTAAGCAATATGTTTTCTTTCTTTGAGTCGTGGATTGATATCTGACGAATACTCCTTCCAGATCTACAAGTCAAAGATAGATCTTGAGGAAATGCGGTCTGGCATTGCTTCCACCAAGATCAAGGATGTCACGTTCAGAGAGGCATTGGACGACCCAATCATAAGGCCGGAATATATCCGGCGTAAGTTATGGCGAAGTCTACCGTCTCTTACTTCACTCACTCCATCCTTTTCTAGATCTGCAAGTCCTCCAGTGGTGGACAGAAGCTTTCCTTGTCGCTGTAACCCAGTCAATTAAGAAGATGCCCTACGGTATACGTTTCCTGGCTCGCGAAATGCTGCATGCTCTCCAAGTACGTGTATTCTTATGCTGTAACAGCACTCGGTCAACTAAGTCATATTGTGTTCAGAGTAAATTTCCTAAAGCTACCGAGGACACTTGTGCAACATGTATTGGCCGGCTCGTATATTATCGATACATCAACCCGGCGATCATGTGAGAAACTTAGTTGCGTATATATGCAAAACCTCATCATATCGCCTCTGTTCTGCAGTGCGCCAGAAACTTTTGGTATTGTGACAAGTACTGTCGACATTAGCTCTCGCAAGAATCTGGACCAGATCTCGAAAGTTCTCACCCAGGTCACCACAGGGGTGGAGTTCGGTGATGACAATCCGAGCTATATCCCCATCAATGATTTTGTGCAGAAAGCCATCAAGCAGGTTACTCAATGGCTTTTGGAAGGTACGCCTGATGCCCCATCTTCTTTTGGAAGAGCTCGCTGTAATGTGCAAAACAGTGGCCGATGTTCCGGATGCGGAAACACAATATCATGCACACGAATTTCTTGATGTCACGGTTCAGCCGAAGCCCATTTACATATCTCCGAATGAGGTTTACGCTATGCATACACTGCTCGCACAGCATATCGACTTCTTGGTATATGTTTTACAATGATCGATGTATACAAGCTATTCACCAGAGCTCTCATATAGGCTCCAGGTCGGGATGACACTCTCAGAGTGATTATCCATGAGCTCGATGGAGTGCCACACATTGGTGATGATGAGCTGAAGGACGCAAGAGATCAGGCTATCACGCTTGACCTCACTAATCGCTTTGCTCATGTCAATGGTAAGTGTTGTTTTCATACAGATCCGTATGCTCAACAATAACATATGCATCTCAGATCCTCGAGCTGAAGAGAAAACACTTTGGATCCAGGCGAAGCGTGCTGTGCTTGCCATTCTTCGTGTACAGCCTGGCAAAGATCTGGTCGAGTCCTTGATGCAGCCTGTCACGGACGAACACGAGTTGATATGGGAGGAAGTGTTAGAGACTGAAATGGCAGCCGATCACCAGCTCAAGCATCCGAGGCGTATGCCTTCAACTGTGGCTCAAGAATCTGGTTATCGCTTGGAAGATATTCGATCGTACGATGTCTTTCCGTTCAACTCTACACATGCTGACTGTGTCACAGTCTATCTTTTCGTGAAGTCAAGGCACACGCCATATTCTTCCTTCTCGAATTAGAGAAACAAGGGAAGATCACAAGAGAGGATGGGTATCAGGGCATCCTCAATGCCATCGCAAACGATGTCCGTAGCAAGCATCGCATGCGGTTACAACGCCAGAAAGAGATCGATAGCATGAAAGAAGCCCTACTCAATTTAAGCCAGCGGAAGAAAGAGTTCGAGGAGCAGATCAACAGTTACAATAACTACGTTGAGACTGCTATGGCCACAATGCAACGCGGGAAAGGGTACGGCTTTATTGTTCTATACCTACTTGTTTCTAATTGTGTGTGTTGCAGGAAGAAACGTTTCGTCATGCCCTTCACAAAACAGTACTTTCATTTACGAGACCTACAAAGATCTGGGAAGTCTCCTCAATTCGGGTCTTTCAAGTATAGTGCTCAAGTCCTATACGACAAAGGCGTATTGCTGTCCATTGACCAATTCTCTCCTCGCCAATTCGATAAGATTGACCTTGTGCTATCTTCGAATCAAGTGGGGATTTTCACAATCGAAGTGTTCAACCACACGCTCGGCATCACTAACCGTGTCGCATCGGCCGACATTCGCATGGAGGATCTTTTACAAGCTCAGTTCCAGGACAGAGCATCTCTTTCCCTATTTAATGGCCTCGCAAAGTTCAACCTCAATCTATTGCTGTATCAGATCAATAAGAAGTATGTGCTTTGAATTTGATCTGAATCCAGTGCTGACCTGTTTCATTCATAGGTTCTATGTATGATTACTTTTTGCAAGTTATTAATTTTGTCTTCGTTCTGTGCTCGTCGTACGACATGTCATGTTCGTCTTCTCTGTCGTCATCCTCTAGTCACACAATTCTCTGGCTGTGCTGTGCTGTGCTCTAAACTATGTGCTTTTAACTGCTCAGCGGATCAACTTTTCTTTTCCGCGTTCTATATATCTGCATCATTCCGCTCGCTGCTGTATCCTTTCTTTGTTGGTGAGCCTTGAAACATCTAATAAAGCTATCTTTGTTGAAGCTATTCTCATCTTTATATCAGAATTTTAACCATCATTGCTCAGGGATTCTGGGTGCGTTAAGATAGAATTGCAATGAATGTTTGAGCATTGCTCAGCATTAGCAAGTTCATAAAGTGAAGCGAAAGTTAGGGTGACGGTCGCCGATAGGTGCACGGGTCTTGCCTAGGTCCCACAGTTCTTGATACTGTGTGATGTTGTTTTGACGCCGTCCATCGGCACGCGCTTTATTTTCGTACATGCAGTAGGTGCTGAGAGGCACAGGTTGAGAACAAATTTCGGAGGTCTCATCAATCAAAATGCTCACACGTTGATTGCGACCAATACCCACGCCATGGAGACGAAAGCTAGTGTAATTGAATGCCCTCGTATGTATTTTGGGGCTTGATCTGTTGAGAACAGGTGAGAAACCGAAGTTTCATTGGATGATGAAACTGGAGATGTATATTTACCCTGAGTGTAGACGAACGTGGAAACAAACCCTCTTGAATTTTCAACCCATCAGCGCACAGCTCAATATTCACCAGAATTGACCCACGACATACCCAGCGTTCGCCACCCCGAGTTGAAGAGCCACTGCAGTCGCCTTCTTATAATGGCCGCTGGTATTGTTCGGAATGATGGATAAAATGCAAGGCGCGCAAGGGTAGCTAGAGAATGATGATCTTTATGGAATGCAGTACTGAGCTTATGAATGAATTACGCACAGTCCAGTCGCGATGAGAAAGACGGCAGCATATCGAACCTCGTTGGACTTCGCAGTAATGATGATAATGTATCCTGTCTGATGTCGGTAATGATGATTGACAACAAATGAATCGTGAATTACCAATGATACTGAGGGGAAGGCATATGAGAATCATCGGTCCTCGCATCTTGAACCTGTCCGCTGCGAAAGCGACAACAACTGGGAGGGTTATGAGCGTCTGCGATGTTTCGTCACCCGTGGACATACTTGTGAGAACCGTCGCAGGCACATATGGAGGGACTGTAAAAACACTACAGTTCAGCACATCGCGCGCCTTGGTCCTCACCCCAAACTACCTGTGTGGAGTTGGGCTTGTCCCCCTTCAAATCCAAGTTCGGCGACAATAGTGGGCCTTGAATCATGTCAAAAACGTGGCAAAAAAAAAGATGATTTACTCACAAAAATAAAGAATAAGAGTACAGGCTCACGATCAGGCCCATATACCCTATTCCGGTTAACCATGCCTGGATATCTGTCAAACCTGGAGCGTACACTCAACATATAATGCTCTCGCCCTCAAAATAAAGGCGCTCGCCTCGGAAAACCTCTCTCCATTCGAACTGTTCTTCTTCCTGGTGTACGATAGCTGTCTCGTTGTCAGGGTTTGTCGCGTCATGAGTCTCTACCATCAGGTCCGCGGCATCCTTTTCAGAGCCAATAATCCTTGTCGAGGGCTCTGACAGGGGCGTGCTGTTTGCCGTACGATCCGCGGTCCAGAAACGCTGCACTGTAAATGAAGACCTTGAGCTTCCTGATACTAGCACAGCAGAAAGAAACAGCACGCACGAGCGAACTGTTTCTCCTCTTTGGTCAAGAACTTCGCACTCGATATACTTGCCGGGAGTATCATAGCCGCAAGAACACCCAATAGGCAGGTTGCTATACCTTCAAGGATAAAGATCCATCGCCAGCCGGCCAAATTTCCAACGCCATCCATTTTAATGATAGCTGTGGCCAGAAGACCTGTTTATACTGCGTCAAGCTCAACAGCTTTTGCGGTGCCATTTAAGTCCGTACCTCCGAAAGCACCAGATAAAGACGCTAGGCAATAGCAGTTTTCGGTAAGTATGCTTTTGGCTTACGATCCCTTTCAAAGGTTTACCGGATGCATAGAACACGCCAACCCTGTCAAAACAGACTTGAATTCCCTGATACAAATCAATTACTCATAGAACATACCGCAACTGAAGTTCATGACGCTTGTATATTGTGCTGAGATATAATATCTAAACCAGCTGTAAGAGGTCAATCCGAGAGAAAAAAAAATGAGACGCTCACAATCCCAGGAAGAATACCGCCTTCACATGCGCCGAGGACAAAGCGTACGGCAACTAGCCCAGCAAAATTTTCCACCAGTCCCGACAGCGTCGTCACGACCCCCCATAGAAAGACCAGAAACGGAAGCCAGCGGTTTGCCTTGATCTTTTTGAGAACCCAATTCGAAGCTTGGTAGTCAAGTTTAATGGGGCTGGTCCTCGAGAATAGAAACAACAGGTGATTGTATGCAGGCTACAGACTTACGAAGCTCGATGAGAATATAGCTATCCTGTGCGTCAGTGGATTTATCTCGCGACTTATGGTTCAAGTGAGTACGTACGGGATATAAAACACTAGGTAGAGGCGAGCACGGTCACAAAGAAAAGTTCACTGATATCAGAAAGGTGTGTCTCACCGGCGAGCGCAGTGTTGAACTGATTGCCGTGAAGGCGAGTGTCCTTCTCCAGCCCAGCAATTCTGGTGGAAAAAATCAGGCAACCGTTGCGAGCTTGAACGAGTCAACTACCTAGCATTGCCAACGTTGGTCCGATCAATAAAGTTAGCTAGCCACAACTACACGGCGATGATTAAGCGTTGAATGTTGTTGTTATTTATTTTTCAGGAGCAGCTTACCAGTGCGAGGGGCGGAAGGATATATAGATCCAATTTCTTCAGGATGCTCTTGGTCAAGGCGCGCGTTTCAACAGACGAAAGCTCTGACGACATCGGCATGGATCAAAAATGGATGTGGGCGTGCGGAGACGCGCGCGGACATATCATGATCTCATAATTTATATGCGGGGTAAACAGGAGCTGAGACTCTCCATTTGTCCCTCTGGATCGTTTTCTGATCCAGATTGCGCCGTGAGCGAATGCGGAGATCGTGCCGTGTGATCGAGAGTGTGGGCATGCATCCAGAAGGTGGCCATGGACGGGGGTCACACCCCATTGGTGGCGTTTCTGGCGAGGCGTATTTTGTCAGCTGGCACTGAAGCAGTGTCTGGTGATGCCCTCGGCAAAGGGGACACACAACATGAGCGTTTAGACCTGGCTTTGCCCCAATTCTGCAACTCCCTTACGCCGTCATGCACAGCTCAGGGTCACTTCGGGTGTCTCTGCAGGCTCTGAATCAGCTCGAGCTAATAACATGGGTAAGAATGGACCTGCTATTTCCTGTGTAGCGCACAGGTCTACACAGGTGCAAGTTTAGAGCAGAGGCGCGCAAAATCAGGGCAGCCTGAATCGCATCCGAACGCCCATTCTGTTGGGACGCCTGATAAGGTGAGGATATGGGAAAACAAGTCTCTGCCGGCTGAGGTTGGGTCAAGATCCACATGAAACGGGAGTCGCGACTCATAAGAATAGGCAAGACCGTGGCTGATTGTTGTATTTCATCGGCGGCGGCGTCGAGACTTGCCATAGGCACCATCGCGGTGTTAGATAACGGGCAAGGTAGTACTCATGAGTGCTGCCGGTCACGGTCCACAAATAGGCCATGAGGCCTGGTTTGGGAGGAGCGGAGGTATGTGCGAGAATAAGCCATCCTAATATGTCACCGGGCGTCTTTGTTGCTATAGATAGGCCCGGATGTCGCTTCCGTCTGCGTGCATACACTCATCTCTATTTTGAGCCTGCCAGTACATACCGCCGTGGCAGAAGAAAATAATTCACATCCAAGGAGTGTGTGGGAGCTGCTGGGAATGGGTGAGAACAACACGCCACATCGGATGACAGACAAGTAGCGCGTCGGCTGCGCCCAGGGTTTTTCTGTAAAGGTCCTTCTCTATTAGGCCATTCCACAAGATTTTACAGAAAACTCTAGGCCCTGCTAGTAACACAATAAAGTACAGATTCAGGAGACTATGCAACCGACAGAAAGATAAGCTACAGACCGAGTAGAAATTATAGAGTGAAAGAAAAATATCCTGACTACGAGTCCCACAATCAAAGTAAAGTAGCAACGAGGAATACAAGCCAATCAAGAGAAATCAAGCCACAGGGGAGTGGGGCTACTCTTGGCCTCTTAGCTCTAATCAAAGATTCCTCTTTGACTCGAATTGGGCGGACAAGGTAGCGACCTGCTGATTCAACTTTGTGGTCGATATCACTCCGACAGGCCGCGCCGGCTTCACCCAGCCGTCGGGTAGTTTCTCCTGTCCATACCATTCACTGACATACTCCGTCGGGACTCGACCCTCCTCATCGCCGAGGACCTGACATGTCAGCGCAATCTCGCCCCGGGCAATGACATTGTGGACATTGCTGAGGGGCTGGGAAAGGGCAGCGTCGCGGGCGGCTCGTTCACGGACAAATTCCTCGAACGTGACATGACGGCCGTCGGTCGAGAGACCGAGGAGGTGATCGAGGAGCTGCTTGTCGGGGGTGGAGGGTGCGTAGAGATAGCCCGGAGCGGCGTCGGCATGCGCGAGGGAACCGTTGTGCTCGATTTTGTTGTGCTTTGCAAGGTCCTCGAGATCGAGCTTCCAGCCGTCGCCGCACACGACCACGCCTACAAGGCTGAGGATAGACGCGAGGGGTAGCGATATGTTGTACACCTCGCGCAGGGCGCTAACGAGCTCGACGACCGAGAGCTTGCGGCCATCGTGGGAGCTAGAAACGCTCAATGAGCAGATGACGGTAAGGTGTGATGGGTGGACATACAGGTACGAATGATTCGCGAGGGCATTCAGCGCGGGGCAAGGGGAGCGGCTATCGCTTTCCTCGGCTGGGACAAACGCATGAGAAACGTCGGAAGGGATGGACGGAGGCATTATGTAGGAAGGTGGGGGCCGTGAGGATGGGGTGGGCTGGTGTGTGGGGCAATTGGTGACCGGCAAGCAGTCGTTGGAGGATATATATACACGGGCTGCGCGGGCACTCTGACCGAGGCGGGGGTGCAATGAGGCTGGGTGCGTGCAACGGTGCAAAAGATCACCCAACTCGGCATGGTAGATGCCTGTATATTATATTAGAGGAGGGCAGGGTCTGATCGAACCTAGCTTTGGAATGATTGGACCGGGGCGGGATTTTCATGCACCGGAATGCTTGCTCGTGGCTGCTGCTCGAGTCGTCCATGTCATGTCCGAATCGACGCTTGATCACTTCGCCTCCGAATATCGTTACGTAATTGATCTCCCATAACGAGTGCACGGAATCGGCGACCAAGCATTCGCAGCCTCTCGTTCCATCCCATCCCAATGTCTGCCCCACCTTTCGTTCCATCAATTCCCCCACCCCTTCCTCCAGTATGGACCGAACACGTCGGTAAGTCTGACTCGTCTAGCGGGGCGCACCGGCGTGCCACGGTGTTCACAGCCTCAATTCAGGTCCGAACGGCACCGTGTACTATCACAATGCCCAGACAAAAGAGTCAACATACATCAGACCGTTACCAACTTTTCCTATCGCTCAGCAAGCACCGCCCCTCCCTCCGAAAAAGAAAGAAAAGCCTGCGGTCAAGACGCCCGTACCCGGCACTGATTGGCTCCGGGTCACGACAAATCAGGGCAATATCTTCTACACTCATAAGATCAAAAAGGAGAGTCTTTGGACCGTCCCTGAAGAAATTCAGGACGCTGTCAAGGCGCTTGAGGCAAAGGAGCAGGAAGACAAGCTTCAACAGGAAAGGGGGAAGCTCGAGGAAAGTGCGAGGAGGGTGCAGCTGGAGAGGGAGCAAGAGATCGCCAGGGTCAAGGCGGAAGTCGAGGGCGCAGTCAAGCGAAAAGCTGAACTTGATGTTCCCGTTGACGAGGTCGTCGTCTCGAAGAAAGCTAGGGTGGACGACGACGACGACGAAGCTGACGACGATGATGATGACGACAGCGAGGAAGAGGAGTGGCAAAAGGAGGCTGCTGCACAGTTGGCTGCAGAAGCGGAGGAGGAAAAGAAGCTACGAGAAGAAGAGGAGAAACGAGCCAGAGAAGAGGAGGAAGAGGCAAAGAGTAGGGAGAGTAAGCTCCAGCTCAATATGCCAGAGCGAGTTGATCTGTCCGTCGAAGAGGGCAAAGCACTATTCAAGGTCTATTTTATCATTCATTCAATGGCTACACGGGTATTTGATCCGACGTTTTTGTTCTTTCAGACGTTGCTTCGAGAGAAGGATGTCAATCCTCTTCACCCGTGGGACACTTCTCTACCTCTCTTCATCTCGGATCCTCGTTATGTTCTCCTCCCATCCGTTGCCGCACGTCGCGAAGCATTTGATGAATATTGTCGTGACCGCGCGCGCGAATTGCGGCGATCCCAGGTCAAGAGGGAGAAGGAAGATCCTAAGCAAGAGTTCGAGCGTCTCTTGAACGAGGAAGTAACAAGTACACGGACGAGCTGGACCGACTTCCGCAGGAAATGGAAGAAAGATAGGCGCTTTTATGGGTGGGGGAGGGATGATAGAGAAAGGGAGAAACGTTTTAGGGAGTTCCTCAAGACCCTTGGTGAAAGTACGTGCCGGCTGCTTCTGTCTTTCCGGTCAGCGCTGAACTTTCTCTTCAGAGAAGAGGGCTGCCGCTCAGAAGGCCGAAGCTGACTTCTTTACTTTGCTCAGAGAGAGTGGCGCCGTGAAAGAGGGCACAGTATGGAAAGATGTCGGTAGACCATACCGTCAGCTCGATTCTTCTCCTGCATAGCTCTGATTTCCTGTCTCAATCCAGGTGAAACGACATATTACAAGCGACCCTCGGTACGATGCCGTAGGCTCATCTTCGTTACGTGAAGAGCTCTTCAATACTTTCCTCAAAGCTCATTCGCTCGGCGCAACGCCGCCAGACGCCACACAACAAGATTCTGATGGAGGTGCCCTCGACGGCAATGTTCCTGACAAAGGACGACAGCGCCAAGAACGCATGGAACGCGCTGTCAAAGAACGCGAAGAAAAGATCAAGGCGGAGAGAGGTCGTGTTGAAGCAAGCATCCACCAGTCGCGCATGGGTCTCACTAAAGAGGAGGGCGAACTGGAGTTCAGGTGCGCCGAAATTCTGGCTTGGCTGTTATTCAGGTACTTCGCAGCGCTCATTCGATGACGGCTTGGATATTTGCAGGACACTTTTGACAGACGCGATCCGTGATCCACAGGTACGGCTCTTCTTGATCTGCGAGCTGTTCTGACACCAACTTTTTACAGGCAACGTGGGACGCGGCCCTCCCTCAGTTGAGAACAGATCCACGATTCAATTATTCGCCACTCCCCGTCAATCACCAACTACACCTCTTTCATACACACGTCGGCCAACTCCGTGCAAAGCACCTCAGTAATTTACACGCGCTATTCGAATCGCATGCGCCGTTGCTCTCGATGAGCTTCTCTGCTCTTCCGCTGCCACAATTACTTTCTTCAATGCCTGTCACGAAGCTTGGCTTTGACATCAGTGGGCTGGAGGAAGAGTTCGATAAGTGGCAGAGACAGCGGACACATGACGCTCGGATGGCATTCGACGAGATGTTGCATGAGAATTCGTTCGTGGAATTTTGGGGCAGGTTGGGTAAAATTGGCGGAGAAGGTGTTGAAGGAGGAGTCAAAAGAGACGATATGGGCCTCGAAGACGAAGGGGAGGCTGGAGGCGGCAACGTTGATATGAAGACATTGGCGAAGAACGTGGACATTGGCGATGTCGAGAAGGTCTTGAAGGCAAGGGACAATCGGCTTCACTTACTAGCGCTGGCTGATGGTCTTGTATAGAACGACAAGCGCTACATCAATTTCGAACATGTTCCAGAGCAAAGAGAGCGCTGGCTTCGGGTACGTCCCATTCTCCCAGGCAGATGCAATGTTGATTGTCCTTGGTGGTAGGAATATCTCTCTCAACTCTCCGCTCCAAAACTGTCAGTTCATCTGGCGGACTCGAGCGTATGATGAGCCCCTGTTGTTTTTGCACTATCCGTCATTGGTTGTAGGTTTCGTGGTGAAACGTTCTCTTGCTGCGACCCATCTTTTCGTGAGCTTGCTGCATCGAGTAACACTTAACTAAGTTTTGTCAAATCTATTGGCTATTTCAATATCTGCTATCTCGATGTTTGTTTTATTTCGTTTTACGCTCCTCAGATTCACCTTGAATTGTTTCCTGGATCTAAGAATTGTCGACTGATCACTCTGGCCCAATGCATGTTGTCTGGGTTTGGGGCACTTGACCGTCATATGACTTTGACGATCACGGGGCTCGTACGCGTGAGAACCGTCGCGGTAATGACACGTCAGCGCGCCTTCGGTGCCTTCTGCGCAGACGTGTATAAAGTCCTCTACGTTTCCCTCCGTTCCTCACATTGCCTCTTGCTTGTATCCGATTGACCGAAGTGTCTTGCTGCTGCAAGGATGCGGTTCCTGCGCCCGTTCTTGTTAGGCCTTACTGTATTGTCCTCGCACGCGTTTGCGCAGGAGTTACCTGCAGATGTGCCTCAGGAAAAGCACCTCTATGAGGTAAGCTGTGTTAGCACTGAAGCGTACAAGGTCCCAGGACTGAGGGTGTGTGGATCATGTAGAGCGATGTCGCTCGCCTGCGCAAGATCGTCATCAACAGGTACGTCGCTGTCGAGGCTATAGTCAGCTTTTATTGACACAAGTCACTCGCAACAGTCTTTACTCCCATCGGTTCGTTAGAATCTTTTTAGCTCCCGGAGCCATTCTCAAAGTCCCTGCAGAGATGTGTTCCTCCGTGAACTAATCTCCAACGCCAACGATGCTCTGGAGAAGCTTCGTCTGACGTCGTTAACCAACAAGGAGGTTTGGGATGGCACCAGTCCTCTCAACATCACCATCAAAGTGGTGAAAGATGAAGAAGGCTCTGGTGGAAGGCTAATTATCTCTGGTCAGTATACACATTCTCTCCGTTGGATACATCTCATCTCTCTTTCCCCAGACACCGGCATTGGAATGACTCCCGAGGAGCTGACGAAGAACCTCGTATGTCAGGCTCATGTCACACGCGTTTCCGGAATCTGACATAGGATATGCGCGACTCTTCTTGTGATCAGGGAACCTTGGCAAAGTCAGGTACATCTGAGTTTTTGGCAAGGGCAGAGGATGGCCAGGACACTACAGGCGGCGGCAACCTCATCGGAGCTTTCGGTGTCGGCTTCTACAGCAGGTCTGTCTGATATTTGGCTTCAGCCTCAGTCTCGGTATGTGCAAAGATCTCATTCGAACAGTTTCTTGGTAGCGGACAAGGTCTATGTCGCGTCCGTCGCGCCAAAGTCAGAGAACAACCCAGAGCCGGCTCAATACGTCTTCGCATCGTCATCCGATGACAGCGACTTCACAGTATATCCTGATCCCCGTGGGAAGACGATGGATCGCGGAACGGAGATCACGCTTGTCTTGAAACCGGATGCGCTCGAATATCTTGAGAACAGGAATATCATCACCCTAGTGTGCGTAACAATTTTGCTAACCTCTACATGTACGCGCTCAATAGTATTTTTTTTTGTAGGCACAAGCACTCGTCTTTTTCCACGACGTTCCCGATCTACATCTACAGCCAGGAAGAGAAGCAGGTCCCAGTTGAAGAGACAGAGCCAGAGGCTCCTACGCCCTCGCCTGAGACTGATAGCGACGATGAGGATGAGGCGGTGATTGAAGAAGTCGTTGAGGAGAAAGAAAAGGAGCCTAAAACGAAGACGGTACTGGTGGACGAATGGACCCATTTGAATGCGCAACCCCCTCTTTGGGTTAGGTAAGAATGGTCTCTCTATCTACATTCAATTTGTTTGACCGTTCGGGCTAGGGATCCCAAAGAGATTGAGGATATCGAGTATGAGCTCTTCTATCAAGCGACTTTCAAAGACTTCAATAAGCCTCTTGCCTGGCATCACTTCTCGGGCGACTCAGGATCGGGTGTCTCATTCCGCGCTATCGTCTACCTTCCTAGCAAGCTGTGCGTATTCAATCAGCATCTCAAGCAGACTTTGATTCGATTCTAAATGATCGCCTTTTTACAGGGACGACTCATACTGGCAACAGCCTCTCTTGAGCTCTAGCAAGGATATCCGCTTGATGGTCAAGCGCGTATTCATTACATCTGATCTCGGAGAGGATGGACTGCCTAAATGGGCTAGCTGGGTGAAGGTGGTAGTTGATGGTGCGGTCTCCCATCTTCTATGAAGGGTGCAGCGGCTGATCCTCTCTCTTAGCCGAGGACCTCCCTTTGAACGTATCCCGGGAAACTCTTCAAAACACTGCTTTCCTGAGGCAGATCAAGCAAATCATTGTTAGACGCCTGCTGCAAATCTTCACGCGCATCGCCGACGAGGATCCTGAGAAGTTCGCAGAGGTTCAAAAGGTCTACGGCAACGTCCTTAAGCTGGGCTCCGTTGAGGATCTCAAGAATCGCGACAAGTTGATTCCTTTGACTCGGTTCGCGACCAACCAGCGTAACAGCACGTCTTTAGACGAAGTATGTGCCCCTCTTCGCCTCAATGGCAACACTTGTTCACCATTGACTCCTCACAGTATCTGGAGAACAAGAAGGAAGGACAGAAACAGGTTTGCCAACAACTTGTTTGTGATGATGATAGTCAACTGAAAGTCTCCTGCGTAGATTTTCTATGTCTCTGACATGGGCAAGTCTGTCTCGTCCCTTATGAAGAGCGTGTTTGTCGAGAAACTGCACGCTCGTGGGTACGAGGTCTTATTGTTGACGGACCCCCTTGATGAGGTCCTCTTCCAAAATGTCCGGAAGTGGAAGTAAGTCATGTATGGCACTATCACCGGTCCTAGAGTAACTCATTGTATCGCGATCTAGGGGAGTTCCGTTCCAAGACGTCGCAAAGTCGGGGTTGAAATTCGGCGATGAAGGTAAGCAATATTCGTTGTGAGTGCCAGTATGACGCTCTTCAACTTTGATACGTAGACCTTGACCCTGAAGAAGAAAAGGCCAACCAATTGGCATTGAAGGAAAAATTCAAGCCTTTGTTGAAGTGGTTGAAGGACCAAGCAGGAGACATTGTCCGTGACGGTAGGTTGATAAGAGATTTCCTTGAAGCACTAGGGCTTACGCGTGCTTGGGGAAGTCGTTGTTTCCAACAGACTGGTCTCGAGTCCCTGTGCCATCGTTGCGGACGTTGGCGGTTATACCGCTAACGTTCAGAGGATGATGAGTGGGTGACTTGTTCTGATTGTAGAGTTATTTCTAAGAGTCTTTCCCCCCCCTTTGTTGCAGGTGCATCTAACAACCGGCAGAGCCAGTCCCCTTTGCATGACTTTGCAAAGCGTCAAAAGGTCCTTGAGATCAACCCACGCTCTCCCCTGATCGAGGGTCTCCTGCGCCGTGTGGAGCGACTTCCTTCCGATGAGGAAGAACGAGATATTGAATCAGAGGACGAGCTGAGGGAGGTGTCCGCCATTCTTATTGATGGCGCCCTTGTCCGATCCGGGTTTGAGGTCGCGGATTCTGATGAGTGCGTTACCATCTTCTTCCTTTGTGGTGAAAACGTCTGACCACAAGCAATCCGTGCTTGAAACAGCTTCCTTGTGCGCGTCGATCGCGTTTTACGTCGCTCCTTGGGTGTTTCTGAGACTGCACCTACGGACACGAACGTCAAGCCCGCACCACCCGTCGACCCGGTATTGCTGGATGAGAGCGAGTACGAGCCGAAGCCAGAGATCCCAGAGATGCCCGATCTGCCGGAGGACGACGGCCCGGCGCGCGTGATCGTTCCAGACCGCCTGAAGGACCAGATTCAGATCGAGATGGAGGAGATCGACGAGTTAGGAAATGTCGTGGTGCATGACGAGTTGTAGCGGGGAGCAGTAGTGGAGCAGTGATGAGTGCTTGCGTGTAGAGTGGACGCGAGGGGGGGCGGATGTAAGGTATAATTATTTCATGGGTATTTCAACGCAATGGATCGGATCTTCTTGGACAACAGAATGGACTGCTTTAACTTCCGTTGCTCCTCACTTACCCGCAAAAACTCATGCGAATCATTCGAAGGTGTGTCAGCTTAACTTACATTTCTATTTATCTTCGAGGATCCGGGATACAATGTACCCTACATCACTCTGTATCGACAGGATTCCATGAGATCGCACCAGCCTTGCCACGATCAAGGGAGTTCAACTTTGCCAGGTCTTCTTCGCTGATCTCGAAATCATACAAGTCGGCATTGGACCGCACGCGCTCAGGTTTCGCTGACTTGGGCAGAGGGACAAATCTGAAATGCGGCGGTAAGTTAGTCGGAAGATTGACGGACGCACAATGCTGAGTCAGATCTTACCCTCGCTGGAGCGACCAGCGCACAAGAATCTGCGCGGGGTCTTTGTTGTACTAAGGGTGATAGCGTCAACGTTTGTAGCTGTCAGTCTTTTTATGTGACGTTCCGGACATTACCTTTTTGCACAGGGCCTGCAATACAGGGTCGCCGAAGCTGCCTCTGACGAGAGGGCAGTATGCTTCCACAAGGATCCCGCTCTTGTTGCAGTAATCCACTATCTCCTTTTGTTGGCAGAACGGGTGAAGCTGCGGGGCACGCGGCAGCGACGTCAGGAGATCAGTGAAGGGTGGGTCAGTGGTCAGCAAAGGCGACGTCAGACGTAAGCTAATGCACACGAACCTCCACCTGATTGACAGACGGCAAGTCAAGTCCGGCTTCGCGGATTTCATCGATGTGCTTCGGGCCACTGAAAAGAATGTCGTTCAGTAATTTTCTCAGCTAAAAAGTTGCGGTGAAGGGATTGTGCTCACTAATTGGAGACGCCAACGCCCCTGAGCTTTCCGGCTTTCTTCGCATCTAAGAGTGCCTTCCACGTTTCGACGCGGTTCTCCTTGCCACCGATCGGGCTGTGGATCAAGTAGAGATCAATGTAATCTGCTCGACGCCGCTCCGTCAGCGCGCGATCATATGGAGGCTTGGACATCGTATTCAATTGAGCTGTGACACACCGAATCCAAAATTCTTCAAGGAGTCGTCGATTTGTGACAAAGCGCCTTGGTATCCTCCTTCGAGCTGGTAGATCTTGGAGGCTGGGGGGCTGCGTGAGTACCAGCTAGCTATCCAAGGCAGGGGTAGGAAGATGCGGACTTATAAAAATATCTTCGCGCGGTACACCACTCTCCCTAACGGCCTCCCCCACTTGCTTCTCATTCCTGTACATCCTCGCCGAGTCGATATGCCTGGTGTCGAGAGTGAGAAGTCGTCGCCATGAACGGAGGGTTCCCGGCGTACCTGTAGCCATGTGCGAGGGCGGCCAAGCACGCAGGCTTGCAGTTGTCGTTGCGGAATACTCCCAGGCCGAGGATCGGTATGGCGAAGTCTGTTGTGGGTGTGAGAGCTCAGGGTGTCTGAAATCGCTGAGTCGAAGAGCGAAGGCAGATACAACGCTTACTCGTGAATGGAACGGCCACGGTAGATTTGAGAGTGAGGGCCATGTCGAGAACAGCTAGGGGTGTGAGGAGTGAGAGAGAGGATGAGTAGCTAATTTGGCTGTACTTATATATACCCTGTTCATGACCAACGTGGGTCGGGGAGTGTGAGTCGGATGTGGGTCTGCTTGGGAGTGCGGGTTTATCTTATCAGATAGGATCTGTGCTATCACGTGAACAGTCCATCGGGAGCTTGTGCGGTCGACGGCAGTCAGCTAGTATATAACATCAAGCACACACAACCCGTCCCCTCTCTCGTCTCGAGGAGCTCAATGTCGAAGGCCGCATTCTCGCGCTTGCAACTTGCAGCAGCCCTCATCGGTGTGTATCATGCATCATCTCTTACTCTCAATGGCCCCGTCGGACTCATCTCCACTCAGAATATGACAACGACTCCCCAGACCCCGGTACTACCTTTCGCTCTGCTCATGACAGCGCCATATTCGCGCATCTGCGCAGGCTACCGCGTCCCGCTCCTGCTCCTCGAAAGAGCGCCGACTATCTCGGAGTGAGCATGCCTAGCGAGGGCAGTCAGGGCGGCCGAGAGTCGGCTTTGAGTCATGGACGCGCGAGGAGCTCAATCGACGCGCTCAGGAATCCGTTCGCTGCAGACGGCGCCGCGAGCGAGGACCTAGATGAGGAAGCGAAAGCGATGGAAGTCGATCTCGCTTCGTGGGGACTCGACTCGTTCATGCCCAAAGAAAAGGCGGTAAAGAAAAAGAAGGAAAAGGAGCAGCTCAAGGACCTCCCAAATCCCCATCCCAGCGTTCAGCAAGGCGCTTCTCGTACCTCCCGTGCGCTCAGTATGAGCGCCGCTGACAGCTTAGGGCTCGGTGGTGCCTTTCTGGACTCGGCGCCCACTCCAGGCACCGAACAGCGCCGACGTTCTCTTGGATCCGCTCTCGACATGGCCGATGAAATGCACCCACCCAGACCGCCTTTCCGGCAGCGTCCGTCTTCCTCTCATGGCCCTATTGAAGCTATCCCTATTACTCCTCCCCTTCACGCTGTGCCCTTCCCAGCCTCCTCCGTCCGTTCCATATCACCCATGCCAGATAGTGGTACTCTGCACGATCCCAATTCTGAGGCACACAAGCGCACACATTCTTCGATGAGCTGGAATTCTCGCGGTCTACTCAACGATGAGCCAGAAGAGAACCCGTTCTCGCTCAGACCGCCGTCTCCCAGCCAGGCTTCCCGATTCGACCCAAAGGCAGCGCGTGGGCGTACAACGTCCATCGGAACTGTGGGCTCTCGAAACTTGCTCGCTGAAGACAATCCGTTCGCTCTTCGACCGCCGTCACCCTCTCGCACATCTCGGTTCGACCCTAAAGCGGCCGCTCACGCACGCACACTGTCCAATGTGACAATGGGCTCGCGGATGCTTCTTGATAACGACGCAGCCTCGGTCATGAGTGGACAGCCTCTGCAGCACGCTAAGAATAGGCCATATTCCACTCTCGAATTAATGAGGCCGAAGGTTCTCGTCATGCCGAGCCCTCTGCAAGGTGCCGTAGCGCCCCAACCTCCCAAGGTGAGGGAGGGCTTCCAACTCTCGACCGATGGCACCCCTCTACCTCCTGGCGCCCGCTCTTCTCGCCCGATGTCAACAGCGCTTCTTTCTGGCATACATCCCCCCACCTCAGCTGTGCCGATCGCTTCAAATTCATTCACGCCCAACCCCCGCGCGGACCTATCCCTCTCGCAGCTCACTTTCCGCAACTCGCTCATGGTCGGAGGGCAGCGGGACGTTGCATACTCGGACATAGACGCGCGCTTGCGCCGTGCAACAGAGGAAGGCGAACAGATCATCGAAGAAATTCCCGAAGAACCTGCGCGGCCGGTCACCGTCGTCGTCGACGAGCCAGAGGTGCACGGGCGGCCCGTTGGTAAGCTGTACGGGAAGAGCCTCATCGACGATCTGGAAACGCGCAAGGCAAACATGCGCAGCAAACAACGGCAAGGGCTCATTTTTTCGTTCCCGTTCTCATGTTAAATGATGTTCTTCTAGCGTTTTCACGGGCGATGATCGACCGTCAATGATGGCGCGAGGACAGATTCGTCGACAAAGTACCCTCATCGATCCCGCTTCCTTGCAGCGGCCTCTATCGCGTGATCTCACCGCGCTGACCCCGCATGGCACGAGGCCTCCTCTTGGGAGGCGGCACTCTACCGGTCCCAAGCCGCTTCTCAGCTTCGACGAAAGTGCGGCGCAGGGTGGAACCCATCTCAGTGCGTCTCCTGGAATGTTGCAGACGCGTTCCGTTTTTGGTGTGGATACCCTCTGGGAGCGCGAGATGGCCAGGCTCAAGGAGATGGAGGCAGAGGAGGCCCAAGAACGGCTTCGCGCGGAACAGGTAGAGGCCGCAGCTGCTGGTAAGCGCGACAAGAAGAAAGGGAAGAAGGGGAAAGAAAAGGCAAAACCTCAGGACGAGTCACTCCCGCCTCCCGCACTAGACGCTGATCGACCTAGAGTCTCCGCAGAGCCCCCGGTGCTGCCCACCATCCCCAAAGGCATCACTCGAGGCCCTCCACCGCCCGTCGATGGCGATGACACTGAAAGTGAGAGCGACGATAGTGATGCAGCCCCAGCTGCGAAGCGACCGTCAGGAGAGGGCTGGTTTGCGGGGTCCTCCGATGACGAGAAAGGCAAGGGCGGCCCTGTGCGTACTGTCGGCATCGGCCCGCGGTACCCCAACCGAGGACGAGGGCAAGCACAGGGAGCCAGCTCAGACAGCGAAGAAGACCTGCCACTGGCCGCCACAGTCGATCGTGCGATTCAGCGAGCTACTCGTCTCATATCCTCAGCCCCCGTCGCTGATGAGTCCGACGAGGAGAAGCCGCTGTCGACTTTGCTAGAGAAGACGAAGCTGAACCTTCCTCCAGTCGACTTTGACAATATCCTCTCGCCTTTGGGGTCGGGCTCCGCCAAGGGCAAGCAGCCGGCGGCTCGGGCCACTGCTGCGGATGACGAAGACGAAGACGAACAGCCGCTCGGGCTGCGCGCGTCCAGGATTGCGCCTATGGCACCTCACACCGGTGCAGACGAGGACGAAGATGACGTGCCGCTCGGGCTGCGCCCGGAGCAGCAGCGGAGGACGCAGTACCACATGATGCTTCAGCAACAGCAGCAGCAGCAGCAGCAGCAGATGATGCTCCAGCAGATGCACACCGGTATGATGTTCTCCAACCCATCGCTCATGGGCTCTGGCTTCTTTGGTCCGCCCATGGTGCAGCCGATGATGATGCCGGCCATGCCGGCTCCCCTAGTTCCCAGCCCTCCGCCCTTGCAGGATAACGTGAAATTCGGGCGAGTGGATAAGTGGAGACATGATGTTGCTGTTGAGGGCCAGCCATGATCCTTGTATATTATCGATTCGTACCTGCATACCCCTTCCCTTCCTTGGTCCATCCGTCTACTCTCGTTCTTGGTCACGTTAATTCGCATCGGACGATCACATTATAATACTCTCCTCCTCAGGTAGCATGGTCAACGGCAGCTAGTTCTGTTCTAGTATACTTGCATTGTGAAAGCAAATATAGCAGTATAGGCATCGATTCTTGCGAGAATACGAGTAAGAAGACGACACAACCTTGAACTGACGAATCTCTCGTTTGCTTTTGACTCACTTCCACTGTGACTCTGAACTATATCCTCTCTCGGAGGCCGCTTCATTCACCAGGTGGGAACTCGATGAAAGCTACGATGGATGTGGATTTCATATGGCCAACAACAATCGTTCATCCAGGGCAACAGTCAAGATGCATCTGACGAACCGGAGTTCTTCGTCTTGTTACGCAGCGGCCAGCCTCGTTTGTCCAACATTATCGCACAGTAGAAGCAAATACAGCGGCATAGATACGAATGTCCGCGAGAGATCTATGCGAGAGGAAATAAGCAATGGGAGGGATAAGATGGGGAAGGTGATTCAATGCATGCAGGTATCAGTGAGGAAGAGGTGAAAACGACAACATGGCGGAGAGGCAATCAGCTGGCACAAGATGAGAGAACTGGAAAAGAGGGGGGAGGGGGATTGTGGGTATGGGTTAGAAGTAATAAGAGTCAAGCGGGAGAGCGAGCGAGCAAGTAACTGATAATCACACACACACACAAACACACACACAGAATCACACAGACTGATCGTAAAACGGTACACCGAGACAGTTCAATCAGACGTCATGGAGGGTGGAGGGATTTGCGATCCATAGCCTCCGCTTGGGCACTGTGACGATGGACACGTCTCGCCGATCCATCTCCTCCTCGATGCGGCGCTGTTCATCTTCTTCAGAGCCAGGATCGTCCTCGGCGGATGGTCCAGGGCCACCGTGTGAATTCGAGTAGTAGTCGTCCTCGTGGGCTGCCCGGAAAGGCGGCTGCTGCAAGTACGGTCCGCGTGAATCAGTTGGAAAGGGGTACTGGTCAGTCCCCGCCATGGACAGCGGGCGGGAGGGGCTGGGCGTCGTGGTCGCTATAGGCATCTGTCCTTCGCCTCGCACACGAATCAGTAGCACAGTGAGCGTGGAATTCCGTGGTCTGCCTGTCCAGGCAAGCCAAACAAGCAGAGCATAACAGGCGATTGTCCAAGCCAGGAACACGGCAAAGGTAGCCTTGGGAGCACGGTCCCAGAGAGCAAATAGAGACAGGATGCACAGTGCTAGTATAAGGGCGTGAAAAAGCGTGTGTAGTACGACCTCGGCCATCGGAGGTATGGTAGCGTGTGGCGGGGGTACTGATGGAGTTCCTGCCATCAGTGCTTGCGTGCTGAGCATATCCGTGGGGACGGGCGTCTGCGGCACCGTACGATTATTAATCTGATGCAGCGCATAGTCCAGCTCTCCCTAATTCACAAAGACGGGCATAACACGCCGATTACGTGTCTGTGGCGGAGAGACAGAGGGAAGCGTACTCACTACTGCGTTGACGCTGCGCCTGCGGTCGAGCCAGCTGAGATCACCTAGGCTCCGCGGAGCGACCGGTATGCGGTGCTGGTGTGAAAAGTCAGACAATGTAAGCGTGCCCGTCGTGCTGTGGTGGCGGGTGCGCTGGGGGCGATTGACGACTTCAAACGCGCGCTGGGGACCCTCCGATGCTTCCGATTCCGTTGCGCTCTCTGTCGACGTGCGCGCCTCCCTGCCGCGTATACCGGGGAACAGGCCCGGCCCGCCCCACGAATGGAACCGCCGCCGCTGAGGGCTGACCTCAGGCTGGGGAGATGCCGCGGCAGAGCGCCCGATGGACTGTTGTCCGGGGGTGCCGGGCGTTCTGTACGAGTTGAGCTTCTCAGCGGTATCGGTTGAATTGGCGCGTGACCGTCCGCGCGCCAACTTGCCTTCCTCTCCTTTCGCTGGTGCCCCAGAGAGACTTCGCCATCCGACGAACAACAGCGCAAGGACAGGGACCAACCCGTAAAGGGCAATAAACAGTACGAGGCCGGCTTTGCCATGAGCGGTCTTGAGGACGCCGTCAGAGAGGGCACGTTTTGAGAGACCACTGTTGGATTTGGTCGACGTCATCGAAGTGAAGGAGAAAGCCAGGCCCGCGATACCAATGCCAAAGGCGGCTAGCGCAACCAGTGCAGAGCTATATACCAGACCGATCGGACTGTGCGAGGCCTGTGAGGAGAACACCGAAGGTAAGGATAGTCGGTAGAGGATGACGGCAGGAAGAAGTAAAACGACGGAGAGCGGGGCAAGTAGCTTGTGCGAGAGGGATGTATCATACTGAACTAGAGACGGTGTCAGCGGCGATGTCCCAGAGGGAGAAGTCGGGGACGTCGTGCCAGAGGGCTTGGCAGAAGAAGTTCCGCTAGTAGTTGTAGGAGTCTGAGTGAGAGCGGCAACGCAGCTGGACATATACTGCACGGTCACGCCAGCGCCATTGGCGTTGATACCGGTCTGCAATTTTCCATCGCTGAAACCCGACCATTTCTGGCCCGACGATGTGACCGAGCCGTTGTAAGCCCGCAAGAGCCAGAGCTCATTCTGGTAAGTTCCAGAGGCATCACGACCACCAAACACAAGAGTGTCAGAATAGCTATTGCGAGATGAACCGACAAGACCGATTGAAAAAGAAAAGGCAGCAGCACCCTCTCGCGGCGATGGGTACGTGACTGTACCATCTGTGCCTGGGTCCCCAGCGGGTAATATTCGGGCCCACGAGCCCCCATTCATATCCAAGACATCCTGTTCAGTCAATTTAACGTAAGCGCTTCAAGGTTGAGCAAGTAAATAAACGCGACCGACCACTTCGCCCTTTTGAAGGCCTCCGTTATCATTCCACTTGGAAGAATCGAACAGTCCGAGAACAACAAAGACTTGAGACCCAAAATTTGACAAGGCTCTGTTCTCGTTCGGGGCTACGGCCGGGCCTACGCGGGGTGCGATACATGTGGCTGGGGTGATGGATGACCCTTTGGGAATATTTAGTACATACGAACTCTGCTGAGCACACGATGCTGAAACGTTAGTCGTCTGAGTGCATCCGCCGACTGCGATGACCTGCTGGGAGATGACAGCACCTCCCACACCGGACATCGCAGGCAATGAAGTATCTATCGGCTGTTGCACCCAAGTAGCATCAAGCGCGTTGCGCAAGTTAGACGATAGGGTCCCCGTGAGCTCGAGCTTCCAAGTGTCCGAGATCGCCACAGGGCCAGAGCTATCGACACCACCTGCAAGAAAGAAGGTGTTGTTTGGAATAGGTGTGGATGTGTTGAAGCCAACACGAAGATCGATTCCACCGGCTGCACCCCAGCGGGCAGGTCCTCCTGCGGGAACGTTGACTTTCGCCCAAAACTGATTATTGTAGTCATATTCCTAGATGATTATGAGTCGGGTGAGGATGTTCGGTGCTAGCTCAAAAGCGACTTACCCAAACGTCGGAGAGAGGGCCACTCGATCCTCGTCCTCCAATGACAACGTGACCGTTGCGGCTGGTTGTGTCTGTAAGTTTGAGCACGGGTGTGAACACTTATAGTCACGCACTAGCTGGCAGCCGAGTCAAGGCCACCGATGGCAGCACTTCTGGGATCCGGAGAACCTTCGAATCCAGAGGGAGGATTGGGCGTTGCCCAGGTGAGAGTGTTCAGATTGAGACTACGAGGAGAACAGTAAGAGGGTTGTAGCGTATGCTTGTACTCAGAGAGTGATGACACACAGGTGCGTTCCGTCCTGAGGCACGCCTGTCTGGGACTCCCCACCAAAGATTAGAAGGTTCCTGCTTGTATCGTCATAGCCGATGGAGACATCCTTGAGCGGTGGAGGTGATGACCCCTGGAGCTGTGGTGTGAGGTTGATCCACTGGAGTGGAGGGACGGGAGTGCTTGTAGAAATAGACTGCGCGTTTGCGGTGAGAGGCGGCAGGGTTAGACATGAGCTGAAGACGGCGGCGAGAAGAAGATCATGATGTGATCGAAGCTGAGGCATCGTTGTCGTAGAGTCATGCAGAGTAGTCGAGAGGAGAGAGGCCGAGGAGAGAGGCCGTGCTCGCTGTGAGCGACAGGATGCGTGGGCGGACCCACGGCTCAGCCCTGGCGGGAACGAACAACGAACCCGGCCTCACGCCATCCGGCCGCCCCGCCACACCGCCTAGCGCTTCAAGTTCAACGTTCAACACCTATCCCGCCCCCGTCCGCCGTCTGCTTTCACACTCTGCCAGGCCACCGCACAGGCTGCCCAGCTTCCTGTCTGGCTCAGTTTAAATCTCGCATCTTCTGTCCCTGCCGATCATGATTAAGACGCTACCCTGTTCAACTCCAACTCCAAGCATGATGCTCCATCGCCGCTCATGACGGCCGCATCGTTCCTCTCTAGCACTCTGTCGGAGGGGTCCGCCATCGGTTAGATACGACCCTGTTCTGCGGTAATCTTATAAAGAACATTTGTCTGCTCCTCTTGTAGTTTTACTATATGAATCCTCCGTTCTGTGTAAGCCCTCTCTAAATTAAATAGTCTCCCACTACTCATTATGGTCTCTCACTATCCACGATTGGAAAAATATCCGCGTGAGAGACTCCTCCAGTTTCTCGCAGGCCCCAACCCAGACATCTCCAAGGCGAACGCTCTTGCCGATATCCTTGCCTACCCCACATCAAAGCGGCTCTTCAAGAACCTCTCAGAGCTTAGGCATGATGGGGTCCCTAAACGGCCCCAAAATATTGCTCTTATTTTCCACGCTGTTACAGGAGAATTATGGACCGAGAACGCAAAGAAGGGGAAGCCCCCATCGCTCAATAAATCGAGCGGGAGATTTGGATACAATTCTCAGACATGATGAAAGTGGAACATGTTCGCCTTTTCCCCCATTACAAGTATCGTTCCAGGCGCCGACCGAAACCAGAAATAGGGGCATTGCCGCAGGTGTATAGGGAGTGTTCTTATGAATGCAAGGACTGCGTCAGTTGACCTGTGCGTTGTTTGCAGTCGACCGCCGTAGACTTTCCTATCAGGACACATCTTGGACCTGTGCATAGATCGAGTGAAGCCTCGAGGAAGAAGCACGAGCAGCCTCAACAACATCCCTACAAGCGCCCCAAACTACAAGGAGCATCAGCGAATTTGGAAAGCCTTGACCCTCCCTCGTTCCCAGTCGCTGAGAAGATCTCTCCGGTAGCCTCGGGAAGTACCCAACTGGCCTTTCCACCTGTAGCCATGAACCCAGAGAATGTATTTTCTCCGCCGATGCCTCCCGCATACCCTCCACCCAGGCCGCATGCATATTCTCCACACCTTTCCAACGATGCCGCATTAGATCACCTTCCCTCAGACGCGTTTTCCTTTTCGCCTACAGACGGTCTATCTACACGTATCTACCCTCCGTCCTCTCTCTTTGACTCTTCGTTTGACATGAGGGCTTATCCATCTGACGTGCCATCAAATGACTCATATGCGCATCCTACGATCCCCCCAGAATCCTTTTCCTATCCCTCGCAACCACAGCCGACACCGACCATTCTGCCAGGGCAGCCGATGCCAGCGTACGCTGCCTGGGGATTCCCCTCTCAAGAAAAATTCGATGATTGGCGGAGACAATCGGTGTCTCACTATCCACGATAGCTATCCAGGTTATATGGCACATCTAACGGACGAAACACACGCTCTATTGCCCAATGGGTTTACTCCTTGATTTGATCGTTCATATTCCCAATAGTGCATAAATGGATACGATCTTATGCGATCCTACGGTCCTAGGGCGCAGATAATTCCGCCGGATTACCGCGAGCATCTGAGAGTCGTGAACTTGGATCGGAGTGCTGGGATCGCACTGAAAGCTGTAGTATGATCTCTGTCCGAGTGTTTTTACCCGAGCATATGTAATTTCGACGAGCTTCCATTTTGATCTCGATACTTACTTATACAATAAACTATGGTTTCTGTGTCGCCTGTGTACGATGGGTCAAAAGATCTTTCTGTTTTTTCTCACTCTCGGGTTGTACCTCGTCGCCGCGGAGCAGGGACACGGTGATTGCGCGATCTCACCAGTCCTGGATCTCGGCGTCTTTGGTTATACGCGTGTGACTACGGCAAGCGAGTGGCGAGCGCTCCTTTCTCACTGACCATGAGCTCCGATTTACCGCCCAAACGCGTCTTCACGAGTCAAGTGCACTCTTCCAGATCTTCTTCTTTCACGGCATCTTCAACGAGCCTGTGAGTACCATCATGCATGGTAGCGAACATCTGATAGAGGCAGATCCCTTTCTGTTTCCAACCACGCGCGCTGGCACTGGCACCGCTACGCCAGCATCTCAGATGACTTGACCACACGACTGCAGAACGTGGGATCGCGTGTTCGAAAGAGTGAGCTGTCTTTCTCGTTTGTGAACAACAAAAAACGCGCTTTCGACGCGCTTGATGCGTGTTGTTCTGAACTGGCTACGACAGGCGTGACAGAGGGCTATATTACCGATCGCTCCGACTCCGCTCAGTCGTCAGGCAGGGCATTCAATAGGACAACCTCACAACCTCACACCTCTTTCAGCGGCTATCCTATCTTCCAATCGTCTTTCGACACCCTACGGGCTGTGTACGCTCACCCAAATATCACGGGAATACCAGATGGTCCGTCCGTCCTTAAACGCCCAAGGGGAGGCGCAATGATAGACGAAGAAGTGTCTGGGGAGCTCGATGATGATCAGGAAATGGAGAAGGGTGCTGTGCGGAGTGATAGCGAGTTGAAGGCTGCTATGACATCCGAGAACACCGCGGTACTGCGACCCATGAAACCGCTCCGACGCACAGCTAGGCCGTTCAGGCAAACCCAATCTCTCCCTGCTGCCGCCTTTGGCTCCTCGCTTGTTTCTGGTAATCAGAAGGGCGCGGGCTTCTTTACCAAAGGCTCTTGTCATGAGGAAGAAGACGATTGGAGCGCCGCGAATTTTCCAGACTCACAGGGACAGAGTTGTAAATGACTCAGAGAAACGCCCCTTTATCATTCCATCGAACAGAAGCCGAAAAATCGGCAACCGTATAGCAACGTCCATCCTATCTGATACAAGCGACATGGACAGTCTCCGCTTTGCATTTGCTTGTTCAAGATTGTCCCGTTCATTTAATTTGGGTGGGTGGCACTCGTTTTTTTCCGTATCGACCTGAATTGGTGTGGTTGCCTACAGTCCATGTTGTCTTTGTTGTGTCTGTTATTCAAATAAACAATTGTCGGATCTCCATACTTTCGCTCCGTTATGACAATATGTCAAAGTGCATGATTGTCTCAATCGCTTAGCACTAGCGAGCCTCGAAACTTCATCAATAGACCGTAATGCTACTCATCACGAGTAACGAGCTTCTGCATCAGCGGTGATGGGATGCTCAGCAGGTGCCTCTTCTACCCCAAAGATATCCCACAGCTATCCGAACGTCGCGACGTCTTTCCCATCTGTCAACAGGAAACCGGTGCCGAGCCGGTAGGCGACTGGTCCCTGGACGCTGTTTATCACGCGTTCATACGTAATTTTGTAAACAAGGCTGGTCGGGGCCCCCTTAACACATCCTGGTTGTAGGCGTCTATGTTATCGCAAAACCCGATTTTGTTTAGCGTACCTCCTGTCCTCGCTGGTGCCACCCTTCGGGTTAAATCTCACCACAGCCCTCTTCTTTCGGCATGTATTGTTCTTCGCTTACGATTTCACCCCCCGCCAAAAGAATAGGAAACCAGCGTGGCGGTCCACAAAGTTCTTTCGGTAAACGAGTCACGCCTTGCAGGCGCCACTTCAGCTCCAGATATCTCACTCCCGTCCCTTCATAAAAAGCCTGACATGCCCTCTTCCTTCCCAACATCTTTTCCCCCTTGAATTGCCCCCCTTCGCTAACATCTGTTCCCCCTTCGCCATGTCCTTACATCTAGAACGCGAATTGCTTCACCTCAACTCTCCCTCCCCTATCTCTAACCTTCTATCTGAGGCTGTCGACAGCGACAGGTCAGCTAACGTGTGAGTCCACTTTCCTCAATGCTGTTGTGCCCGCCTCATGGGATGGGCCGGCTTTGTCGTTCTGCCTTATGAGAACGTGGGACTACTTTGTTCTTCCCGTTACGGTAGTCACCGTCGCCGCTCGCTAACTTTGTCGAATTAGACTCCGCTATCGTCATGTCGGCGATGGATCCCGTCGCCCGACTGTGTCTCTGCCTCCGATCGCGTCTTTGTTCCTGAATGACCGTCAAGAAGCGCAGTATTCTGATGCACACCAGACCCCGAAAACTTTCCCTTCGTCGAACTTCACTTTCCGTGTCAGTCACACTCGGGCTGGGGTACGAGAAAATGCGCTTCAACGGACATTGCAAGCAGTTGGCCTCCAGTCAGTCTTACCATAGTGTCTTTTCATTGAAGAGACTGATTCGGCGTGGGCCACAGCAAACTATCGACGACGAACACCGTCGCGTCCTACAGTCGCGATACCTGTGCACCTGCCTACCCTGCAATCCACTCTGGTGACAAAGGAAGGAGCTTCAGCTGCGCTGAAAGGTGGGCAACAGCCTTGTGCTCTTTGGCGTAACTCATATCTTTGTCAAAGTCCTTGCACGAGGGATTGCTGCCGCAGCGGCATGCAACTGCCTCGTGCTGATCTGTTCAACCCACCCGCAGCTCCTAGAGAACACTCCGTCGCCATGAACTCTTACATGGCGCCGAGCTACTTTCCGTATTCGTATCCCAGTCACCGGGTTCCATATGCATACGATACACGCGACCAATTGCAGATCGACGCAAGGCGCAACACTTTGGGCGGTAGCACGTAAGTCACATTTGCGGCACCCCACTCTCCTTTGCGACTCACCGATGAGTTTTATAGCGTAAGGTCGAGCGACACATATTGGAGCATGCCCGTCACCAAATACTGGCCGAGTGAGCCGACAAGGAGGCCCTCGAATGATTTTCTGTAAGTTCCATCATTAGCAGAGATCATAGTTATTATTAATGCAATAAGCGATTGTGACAGCGCGGACACGTGTAGTGATAGTAGCGTCTATGGCAATGATCATCTCCGTCAGGCAATGGATGCCTCTGCGTCAGTGACTTCGCCATCGTCATCGCCTTCTTTAATTCTAATAAACTTCTTGGCAGCTCTCCAAGGTCGGAGCGTCCTGCCCAGCCTTCAGTCATCAAGGTGCACTCGGAGTCAAAGTCGGCCAAAAGACAACCAAGTCGGGTCGCGAAGACCGCAGCAAAAGACAAAAATGCTTGCATTGTCTCTAAGAAGAGGAAGAGCGTCGACTGTGAAGACGAGGAAGATGAACTCAGCGATGAGGACTGTCAGCGTAATTATTACAAAAATGGCGTCAAGCTGGAGGTCATTAAGCTTCCCGTCGACTACGACACGGAAGAATGGCTGAAGTCCATCGCGACGTCCGACAGCGATAAGGGCCCATGGGGTTGCACGTGGAATACCAGGCAGAATGGTCGGCGCATGACATGCGCGTATGCCTCAAAGAGGCATCTGGTCAAGCGTCACATCGAGGCCACTCACCTCCACATCAAGTAAGCATTTTCTAGCCTCAACTTTGTCTCCGTCCACGCTGATCAGATATGTGTAGGCGCTTCATGTGTACTTGGTGTGGGAAGACCTTCACGCAGCGCAGTAACGCTGTTGGTTGTCATCTCAATACTCAGTGCGTATATGTTCCTTCGTAGTGCCTTCATTTACCAACTCCCTGCATCCCTCATCAGCACGGGCGAGCACCCACATAAATGCAACTTTGTTGGCTGTGCCGAGCGGTTCAAGGATCCATCTAAGAAGCATAAGCACATGCAGAAGGTCCACAATTATATGCCGAGTGAAGGCAAGAAGAGGTTCAAGGCTGGTACCTGCTCCCCAGCTCTCTAGGATCATGAGTCTCTCCCTCTCTAGTCGGCGTCGGGATCTACTCCTTCTTCAAGGTCTAGGTCTTCCAAGCATTAATGCAGTCCTTTCCATTCTATATTTGTTGAATTTTTGAACGTTTGGCTATTGTCCTATTTCTAGTGTTTCATTGTCACTCTATATGCTGTTTCTGTTGTCTTCTGTTGTCGAACTCTTCCAGCCCCTCAAAAACAACACAGGATCAGATTATCGCATAGTCCAGGCCAGAAACACATAATTTGGGTACAGAAACACCCGGATCGTAATATGATGAGCAAAGACAGCAGTTCGACAACAGAAGACAACAGAAACAGCATATAGAGTGACAATGAAACACTAGAAATAGGACAATAGCCAAACGTTCAAAAATTCAACAAATATAGAATGGAAAGGACTGCATTAATGCTCGGAAGACCTAGACCTTGAAGAAGGAGTAGATCCCGACGCCGACTAGAGAGGGAGAGACTCATGGGTACAGAAACACCCGGATCGTAATATGATGAGCAAAGACAGCAATATGAGTTTCAAAAAAGCAACCAGGTCTGCGCCGAAAACAGTTGGTTAACCGTTGCATTCCGAGGGGCCATGCGGCAATGTGGCCTACCTGACAGGCACCACAAAAACGAGGATACATATGGACACATAACGTTTCGCGCGTCAATTTGAGAGCAATTTACAAATGCGAGCAGCTTCGGGTAGCTTCGCACAGCGCCCAGAGTACCTCCATTTGTCTGGAGGCAAAGGTCTCAATACTCGATGCATCGGGCAGTGGTCTCTAAGGAAATTCCTGGCGCTCGGGAAGATGTCCGAGGGTTGGACCCCGGACACAGGCGAAGCTTCACGACTGCTTCATGGTCTTCGTTGGATTCATCCGCAAAACACTCGATCAGGACCTGACTACTGGCGAAGTGGGAAAGAGTGGGAAGGGCATATATATGTACAGACAATTGAGAGTCATAGTTCCAAACGCGCGGTATCCAATATATAACTGGACTGCTCACCAAGCTATGGGACATTGGCCTGGTGCCGCGTAGGGATCCTCGATTACCGCCGATCCCAGTTACCCCGTAAGTCGTCCTGCGCCTGCAAAGCTGCAAGGTAGACCGTAAGCTGCGCTGGCGGGCTCTACAGATCTACTGTAGCACCCTGCCAACGAAAGCCATGAGGTGCCAGGTCGCATGGTCTCGATCGCCAGATTAACACTCCGACAACTCCCAGCTCGACGTATTTTTTTTCCACGGACCCATCGTTTGTAAAACAGATGTAACTCCTCATGGCCTCATGATTCAATCAACATATTTGGAAGTCGGTTACCGCCCAGGTTTCTCTCAGCGCCTTCCGATATCTCATCGACCATCATAGATCCTCGTGCGCCATATCATGATCTCCTCGTGGAGGGCTGTTAAGGCTTCCGCTAGCAAAGCGAACGATTCCTGTTGCAGGACGCCACTGGTTTTTGGGCCTGCCTGATCGCCGTATCCATCGGGCAATCGTCTCGATAACAAAGCACAACACAGGCACGCTGAAGCTTAGCGTCTCGAGACCGACATACCTGGCCAGTGATGTTCAGGATGGCTAGGATCAATGATGCAGATCGGTAACAATGTCATCGGTAGACCTGGGATTCTTCTTGTGTTTTATCCCAAGACAATCTCCTCGGCGACCTGCCCAAAACAATCAATGACTCGAATAGGCAACTAATAAGGCGCCTCACCTGGCACATCCTGTTTGTCAGGTTTCAGAAGTCGTGAGATACTGTATTATACGCACATAAAAGGAGAGCCTTCTGCGCCGCGGGAACTTTAAGCTCAAAGTTTGCTCCCGGCGGCGGGAGGGACTAGTACCCCGATAAGCTATCGAGTCTTTTAAGCCACGGGAACTGTATGAAGGCCCTTTCAACTGGGCTTCCGTGTCCGTGAAGTCAGTTCTTCGGCTTTGTCCTGAAAATAGATCCCCCAAGAATAGATCCTCCAGCAGTGCCACTTTTAGCATATCGGGGAACCTCGGGGAAAGTTGTACCAAGTATGAGTTAGCCGCCTCATGTCAACATAGAGGGAGACGTGTCCCCTTTAAGCTATTCAGGATCTGATGAGTGAATATTCGCGTTTACGCAACGTATCAGATCTCTGACTGACCTCCCAGATGAGCGTGAAGGTTCAACGTCCAACTATGAAAACGTTGTTGTGGGGCGGCGTCGGCACGTGACGGCGAAAGCAACGTAGTGGGAGCCTGGGTAGAAATTACGTATGCGATCGAAGGAATGACGCAAGGCAGCTTGTGGCGTCGGTGGTGAGATGTGTGATCATGTTCTTCAGCTTGATCCATGTTCATCAACGCTTTCCTACTGACAGCGTGCGCACTGCCGACCTTTGGGACAGCCTTCTCGGTCCCTTTGGTCGTACAGAGACCATGGGAGTCTGATCGCGTTGCAGACGACATCAAGGTCCCCGTGGTCTTGGGTGTCATGTCCCGTTGCCCCGACGCTCTGCTCTGTGAATCCGTCTTCGACCAAGTCCTCAAAAAGACTTCCAATAAGGTCGATTTCTCGCTGACATACATCGCCCAGTACGGTGATCATTGCTTGCCAGAGCTTTCTATATTGATGTGAACTTTAGTGCTAATTCTACAGAGCCAAACTTTGGTATAACATGTATGCATGGACCTGACGAGTGCGCAGGCAATATTCAGCAGCTTTGCGTCACAAAGTATCATCCCTTGCAGACATGGTGGGAGTTCGTCATGTGCCAGCACTACCAGACCCGCGAGAATATCGGCCGACCTGACGTTGCCCTCAAATGTGCGCGGGCAGCTCAGATTAATTGGGACACAAGTGGTCCGGGCCAGTGTGCAGGTCTAGATGCGAGTGGTAAAGCAGATGAAGGTATTCAGCTCTTAAAGGAGAGTATCGCTGCGACACAGGCTCTGGATATAAGGTATGTCACCTCAGATGTGGATGACATTATGGCGTTGACCTGCTTCACAGCAAAAGCTGCACCGTTGTCATCAACGGTGAACAGGTGTGCATTCACGACGGAACCTGGAAGAAATGCGAGGTATGTCGATGTCAAGATTCCAGCTATTCAACCTGATGAACCGCCTTTGTAGAACGGTCATACTCCTCGCGATTTCATTCGTCAGATTGACGAAGAATATGCAAGACTGAACAATTTCTCACTTCACCTAGAAGATGACGAGAGTCTCTAGGTCCTTCCATCACCTTACGATACATGACACGGCGGATCCATCTCCATTGTTAGCCCCCGAGGATGAGTTCATATATGATAACGACAAGATTTAGTCCTATCAGTGGTACTGCAATATGTTGGCTTTGTGATCAGCATGCTTCAAACCGTCTGATTTCGAGCGTGTGCACTTACTGCGCATGAGCGTTCGAACTGCACCAATGAGATTGATTATGCGCGCTTTCACGCCAACATCCTGCCCTCCACCGAAACCCCCTGTTTGGTCGTAAGGTTGCTGAAAGCCAGCATTCACATTCTGCGGTGGTGCCGAGGACCAGCCAACTAGAGATATGTCGTGCCAGTCGTCAGTATGTCTGCCAAAGGTCCTGAACCCTTGCGACACGTACTCCTTGCAAGAAATCGGTCCTCGCTCAGTACGGCCATGGCATTGATGAGAAGGAGGGCGATGTACAGTATACTGCCGAGGGTCAACATGTTGAGGTAGCCGCAAGGGCGCGTAAGGAGGACAGTCGCGTGTGTATTCGTGGTCTTCAGGAATGACAGAGCTCCTCCAAGACCGTTTGGGAAGGTGGGGATTGAGACTCCGATCCAAGCTCTTCTTCAAGCGGCCATCATGCAAGCTATAGGCCGCAGTCTACGGAATGGTATGTAGCGCACTGACTCAGACTCATTCGACGTTCACGCTCATCATTGTATCTAACACGTGTGGAAAGCTGGGCCGCTGACTCGTCCTTTGCATCCTATCGCCTCGAGTTCCCGTGGCGTCAACTTCGATGGCCGTCGGCAGTGCGTATGATGTCCTATTTTCCACCCGCTCTTTGCGCTGGAAGGGTTTAAATCTTTGTCTATTTTCTAGTGCTTCTATGAATCCGCTCGACTGGTTTCGAAGGCAGATTAATCCCACTGTGCGAGACAGAAAGTCCAATGCAGACATAGAGGTTGCGAAACGAAAGCAGGCAGAGGAGGGTACATTGAGCGTCTTCGACTCGAGTGCAGCAGCAACGGAAGATAAGAAGCCAGCTGCTGCGAAAGACACGTCGATGGTTGTGAAGACGCGTAGTGATCACGTACGTCGCCAGCTCGCCGCGTTGACTCAACTGTTCACTGACGTTGGGTGCTCCAGCACAAATACTCGACGGCGAACTTCAAAATCTCTCACAGAAAGCTTAATAAGATTGGCCGGCAGATCTCTGGCAAGCCAATTGACTCTGCCATCTTGCAGATGACGTTCAGCGAGAAGCGTGCCAGCAAACGCATTCGGAACATGCTCGTGGTCGCTAAGTCTCACGCAGCTATGAAGGGCATGGACGAGAAAAAGCTCATAGTTTGTGCGTATTCGCGTTTTTGGCACCCCACGTCGTCGTTTCTAATTGTACCTCCCAGCGGAGTCTTGGGTCACGAAAGGCCCCAGATCACACAAACGGCTTGAGCCTCGAGGACGTGGGAAGCATGGAATTCGAGTGCATCCTGATTCTCGTATGAGCGTGATTCTGAAGGAGGGTAAGACACGGGAGCAGCTATTGGCAGAGGATCGTGCGAGAAAGTTGAAGAGGATCGTGTCGGCTGGTCTTGTTAGAGAGGATGTACCCCTGCGAAACCCCGCGTCAATGTGGACTTGGTAGTCCACGCTTATTTCTACATCTCACTGTCCTCATTTACATGAGAACATTGACTTGAATTTTGGACGGGTTGCAAGTGGTCTCGCAGGTGGTCTTGGTCGCGTCAGTGGGCTGCGCAAGTCGCGTTCTATAAATAGCATCTGACACGTCTACGCTTATCCCAAGTATTACCGTTCCTTATAGCCCCTTCACCTCTGCGCATAGCAGCGCAGCTAAAACATCATGACCGTGCGCTGGCGTTGTCTACCTCTCGTTCTCCTTGGTCTCCTCCCCCAATCCTTCGTCTCTGCCGCCCACTCTTTCGAAAATGTCGCCATCGTACGCACCGTAGAGCTCGGGGGCTCCCTGGTCCACGTCACGACCACCTATGCGATCAAGGCACTCGAAAATGGGTCGCAGAAATACACCATTACGCTAGGGGAAGATGAATGGGACAAATCGAGCTGGTTGGAAGCGAAGATTAAGGGTCAGAACACGCCGTTGAATGTGGAGGCGCTTCAGCTTGGTCCGACAGAGTGCGTAGCATGTCAATTCATTGCTTACATTTTCCCATCTCTTACTGTCTTGTCTGGTGTGCAGTGGTGTGTACTCCTACACGGTTGAGCTGCCCAAGCCTTTGAATGTGAACGGGACAACAAATCTTGTCATTGAGACGGTGCAGACACACGCGACCTACCCTTGGCCGCAGCAGGCGTCTCAGAAAGACGACCAAGCTCTGAAGTACGAGACAGACCTATTCATCCTTAGCCCTTACAAGACTGCCACCCAGAGAGCTAAAGTCCGGTATGTGAGCGTGCCCATGGGTCTTACCATGTCTGACATGGTTTCCGCAGCGCTCCAGCACCCCGCATTATCTCATTCTCGACTCCCGAGGGTGTTGACCAATTCGCCACTGACAGTGTTGCAACGAAGTCTGGAGCAACGGTTACTTATGGACCGTTCACACATATCCCGGAATCCGCAAATCTCGAGTTCATCAAGTCACACCAGAAACGTTTGACTGTGCACTATTACTACGAGTACCCGGTCTTGGAAATCACCAAGCTCGAGCGTGCTGCTGAAATCAGCCATTGGGGAGCTAACCTGAATATCAACAACGACATTCAACTCCACAATGCGGGACCTGCGTTCGTGCTACAACCTCAGTATCTAGCTGAAATTATACTAATACATAGAAAATCAGGCTGAAGAACCAATTCTCTCGTCTCGAGCACCAGAGTCAATCATTCTTCGGAAAAATCTCTGCCCACATCCTTCCCTCACTGACGGTCCACCTTCCCCCTGGTATCCACTCTGCCTACTACTACGACCTCAACGGCAATGTCTCCACCTCGCGCCTCCGGCCCGCCCCTTCCGTTCCCAAGGCTTCGCAAGCCAATCAGTACAGCGTAATGGAGCTCCGTCCCAGATACCCCCTCATGGGTGGATGGAATTTTACCTTTACTCTAGGGTGGGATTCACCGCTTCGTGATTCCGCAGGCTATGATAGCCAGACGGGGAAGTATATTGTCGGAGTCCCTGTGCATACCTTCATACCTGGCGCCGTCGTCAATCAGGCCGAGGTCAAGATCATCTTCCCTGAAGGGGCGACGTGAGTTGTTTCGATCAGCGAACCCTTTGATCTGTTCTAAGTGTACAATGATGAACAATAGTGATATCGAGGTCTTCCCTCCCTTCGCTGCGTTGACACAAAATATCTCAACTCACGTCACGTACCTGGACACCGTCGGGCGGCCCGCGGTCACCTTCACATACGAAAACCTCACGGACAAGCACACGGGCATTATTTTCGTATGTTCCCTTCCCTATTCGTTATTTTCAATCACCAACGGCTCTCGTGCAGGCATCATACAAGGTACCGTTCTCGGCTCACTTAAAGAAGCCAAAGGCTGTAGCTACCGCATTCCTGGGACTGTTCGCCTTCGCGTTGGCCGCTCGTCGGGTCGACCTCCGTCTCACCAAGACGGTATAATATGTAACCGTATTTATTGTTCGAGACATGCGCGGAATGGAAGTTCATTCGAACTTGATACAATGATTGATATATGCAAGGTGTTCATCTTCTCTTCCTCCATCAAAGCCCTCTTGTTGTAGTTGAGTAGTGAGATCAGGGCTACGAAGCATGCTGCTCGTGTAGTCCCAGATGGCCAAAGCTATGCAGCGTCACGATCTTACAATCGTCGGGTGTGGGGGCCCTGTCCGACAGATTATTCAACGACGACTCACAAGCTCTGAGCAAAGCGGTGACATACGGCTGCAGGAACAGGTAAAGGTTCCAGATCCCTCTCTTATTCAGACAAGAATAATACAATCCCTGGTTGTTCCGCTGGCCGTGGTCGAACTGTAAGAGCGTCCCCTGCCATCTCCACACTGTGTCTGACAAGCCAGCACGTTTATTATCGAGAGTGATCTTATACGGCATCGGGTCTTCGTCCGAGGCGGTAGTGTTGAGCACGTTGACGGTCAAGATGGAGGAATCGTTTGTGTACAAGAAGAGCTGATTGCGATTGACGAAGAACATGGGTGGGTCAGGCGTATGAGTGACCGTCGCATTGCCAGAATGTCCTACCGAAACGATCAGCTACAGACTGCGTAGATGAAAAGGGCGCCCACCTCGAGGCGCAGACGTGGACAGGTAATAGGGATGTCCGTATGGGAGACCCATTGCCTCGATGGCAGCTGCGCCGGGGACGAGGGAGCCAATGGATGCCCGGGAATTGAATCCTTCCCAGGTCGGGATCGCGACAACGGCTGCCGCGAAAGTGAGAACCAAGAGCACAAGGATGTGAGTGATCATTCTGTGGGCAACGACGAACGACCCCTAGACGCGCTGCAGCGCCGGGCTATATAGCGTGATGGAGCGTTGATCACGGGGAAACTGCATCAGGCTCCCGAGCGACGTGGAACCTGGAGAGCATGGATGCTTCGACGAAATTCTTCGTTCGGACTTGTCTTGAGGGCGTTCGATGCACGTGGTCGTATACGAGGGCTGGGGGCAACGTCGTCCATTCGGCGGGGAGATGGGGAAACAGAGGAAATGCTTCGGATCTGCTGGTCCACTCGGCAACGGCCGAGGACTTCACTCTTGCCTTGACCTTGTCCCTGCGACTTGAATCATGCTCCATCTTCGGCGTGCAGCGTCGTCTCGCCCACACCTTGATTTATTTGACTCCCTTCTCCCGTCGTCGTCTACGCGCTTCAAATACATCCTCTCCAAACGTGGCATCGCCCACGTACCTGCGAGGTCAAAAAACACCGCATCCCCACGCGAACCTCCTCCGCGAACCGGCGCGTCTGCGACCAATGCCTCTAAACGTTCTCCTCGAGTCAGACCGGGTGCCCGATCGACCACGCCCGATGCGACCCATTACCTCCTGACCCCTTATGAGCTCTCTTCACGCATCCTCAAACTGCACGCTGCTCGTAAATTAGACGAGGCAGTCGAACTGCTGCAGAATTCGCCTCTGGATGCCCAAAACATAAAGACGTGGAATACGCTGCTCTCCGGGTGCATGAAAGATGCTCGCTACAAGCTGGCCTGGTCTCTGTTCGTGGATGTGAGCTCACCTCACCCCGCGCCCGTCTCTCGCCACTCACACCGAGACTCGTCCTCGACCACACAGTTAAAACGACGAGGGTTTGTGCCCAACGTGCGCACATACTGCACGATGTTCACAGGTTACGAACGGATCACAGATTGGACACAATACTCGAAGCAACTGGACAACATACATTCCCTCTACGAACAATACAAACGCCTTGCCGTACAGCTGAGTGTAGAGCAGAAGATGCACGAGGACCTCTACACTGACTATGTACCGGCATCTTATATCAGCATCCTCGGCAGGGCGGGCCATTTCCAGAAGGCCTTCGACGTCTTTCACGAACTGGAATCCGATAACTCAGTCCCCCTCATCCCGACTCAGTCTGTTTTCAATAGGTTAACTGGGATCATTTGCATGCGCGCTCTCGAGCACCACAAGGACTCCCAGGGTTCTATCCTTGAACGCGACATCTCTGACATGAAGTATGTTTGGCGGCGCCTGGCCAAGCGCGCGGAACCCAAGAACAACGAGATCATCCACAGCCGAGCTATCGACAACATCATCAGAGTGCTTTCCTTGGGCAAACCCTCCGACCACGAGCTCGCTCTCTCCATCGTACATGATTACCTCGGATACGGCGCTCCAGACGAACCCATGCTCAGCCCGAAGGTCTTCTTGAACAACCCGCACCCTCTGAGGGCCATCCTCGCTTTGTGCACTGCAACCGGGAGGCATGACCTGTGTCTCACCATCATCAGTCAAGTGACAAAAAACCCTCGACAGGCGTTCCTGGTCAGCGGCACCGTTATTGAAGAGGTTTTCAAGTCCCACATCGCGCTCGCGGAGACGGGGTCCACGATACAGGCGCCGATGGTCGTCGAATTGCTGCAATGGTGTGCAAAGCACGATCTCCAGGAGCTCGGGCGCTCCCGGGGTAAGGCGTACGAGGTCTGTTGGAAGTGCCACGACTGGGACTCGGCGAAAAGGGTATTCAGGGTGCTCACCGGCCACTCGCTCGACTTCCTCGCGGCGGACGCGCAGTCGTGGAAAGCGAGCAAATCCTCGGGGAAAGATGTCCAGATTCCGGCGCTCGAATGGGCCGGCTTGCTCCGCACTGCTTTGTCTACTCACGACAAGGAGAGCATACGGCAGTCCCTGCGGATGCTGGACCGATACGGTGGCGATATCGTTGCTTTCAGAGAACCCGGAGGAAGAGCAGCTGCATCACTGGTCGTCAAGGCTGTGGCTTCCGCATTACGAGGGGGCGACGTCCCCGATGAGCTTCGAGAGCGATGGGCAGAGATGGGCAGACGCGCAGCGCACCGTCTGAAGGAGATGGGCCCTGGCGAGTTGGATGATGCAGCTCTGGGGCCACAGACTCACCAAGACACTACATGACACACAACGCCCAATCTATGTGTTTTTGGAGGTTGCGCGAGATTCAAATTCGATGCTGAGACAACAATTCTGAGCGGCAAAAGTATCGGAGTCCAGGGTATAAGAGAACATAGGATTGAGTAAAACATACACCCACCGAGGCATGGAAAGCAAGCTATCGTAGGGTCCAAAAGAATGAGAAAAAATTAACAACGATGACCCCGTCCGGTAAAAAGTCCGACGATCCTTCCACAGCTCAAGATATGTAAGTAGTGTGCGATGATACTGATACTGAAGCGTCCCCATAAGCAATTCAGGCGACAGAATTCGGCCTGTCTATCTGCTTTCCCTTCCCGCCGTGGAATGCCGGTGATGGCGGTACAAATGTATCTTCCGTCAGTGCCATCGAGACTGGTTGATAGACGTGCAGTGAAGGGTCCTGCTCATAGGAGCTAGGACCGCCAATCATCGGCTCCATGGGCAACGGGGTGGTCCGCCCCTTGTTCTTCCTGCTCCTGATCCCTCCTCCCCGCCGCCTGCGGCACAAGAACACGACGCCGAGGACAACCAAGACGAGTAGGACCAGGGCATTGAGCGCCATGATAGCGAGCATAGCGGGGAAGTAGACGGAGACCTTCTTCAAGGTGTCCGTAATATCGTCCGAAAGAGAGACCGTCGTCGAAGCAGCGGCGGTCCCGCCCTGGGCATTGTACGTGATATTGGTGCGTGCAGTGCTACCGCGGGCCGACGCGAAATCAGCCGAGGCCTCGTTCGGGTCCACAAGAGAGAGCAGCTTGATGTAAGGGTTGCCCATCTTGCCGTTTGAATCGAAGTCGCCGAAGTCGTAAACGGAATAGACAGATCGGAGGACGTTGTCGCCGATGATCCAGTCACTGATGTGCATGCACGAGCGAGGATCGTAAGCGAGTACCAGTTGAATAGGTAGAGAGAATCGTACAAGTTGCCTGCTCCGATACTGGATATATCTTGGGGTACAAAAGAGCCGACACAGTATTTTGTGGTTGACAAACTGATAGGTGAAACATCAAGAGGGTGAATTGGATACACTTGGCCACTTGTAGACAACGCATCAGTACGGTTGCACAGTTCAAGCAAAGCAGCTAATTACTTGAACTGCAAAGCCATATCAATCTCGGCATCACATGGAAGGGTCCATTGGCCAAGACTTGAATCATACTTGGCTCCAGTGATACCGCCATAGATAGCCTCGCAGATCTCTGTGGGAGCGTAACTGAAAATTTTCGGGGCGGCAGCAATGAGGAGTGGGCAGATATGAGTAAAATAGAACATACGTGTATGATGTACCGCTGTCAACGAGGACAACAGCTCTGTTGGATGGTGCATTCGCGACGGTGGTCGTTACAGAGATAGTGTTGGTCCCCACGAATACTGCATCAAGAAGAACAGTCCAACGAGTGGGAGAATTTACCGGAAACGTGGGGATCGCCGTGGTTTTGTTGACGGCGGCGTATTCAGGTTCAACTTCTCCGATCAAGAAGGTACCTTCAATGTCGTCGGTGGGATCCGATGAGCGCTGGAGTGAGAACGCGATAAAGTTTGGCTCTGTAGGGTTGTCGTTGAAGAGGTTGTATAGAAGGCTGCGGCCGGATGATGCCCCGGTTCTATTGACAAGCGCGTCGACAGTAGAAAGAGATGTGAAGCCTAGTCCCAGGATGCCGCTCGTGCCGTATGAGAGGGCAGGGTTCACAGCGGAGGATACGTCCAAATAGGCCTGTTGTGGTACGTTTATACTACAACGTGGATGGTGGTCAGAGCGGAATCGACCAAAGACGCGATACAGCCGCACCCAGCGAATTTAGCCGCTGCATAAGAGACATGGCCGTATGCCCAACCAATGCCATACTGCCAACAAATCAGTGGCGAGATTGGTGCCGTTAGAAACTAGGCTCACAGTGAGATTATAAGTTGTTGACTGCGAGACATCTCAGCGATGAATGTGACATGGAAGAGATGACAACCTACTGTCTGGCTGGAGTTGGGAAGCGGGGAGCTGGAGCCTTTGATCCACAAGTCGGAAGAGCCTGTGTCGAGCTGGACACGGTAGTCTGATGCCAGAATTAGGTCTAAAGACTGATGGGAAGCAAAACAACGCACCATTGCCTCCCAGCGTGATCTAGCCGATGACGTGAACAAGGGTCAGAAGGATGGAGCGTGCGCGCTCACATTAGCGATATAGATCATGTCATTGACGGTACTAGAGTAAGACACTTTAACGAGAATTCAACGCGCATGCTTGGTATGAGAACGTACCTGAGATCTGAATCATTTGAATCACTGGAGCTGGTTGACGCGGCGAGGACATGGCTGTTTGCGAGGGCATTGGCAGGGTGGGAGATTGCGAGGCCGCCGCTGCCGCTTCTGCGTTGGATGGGAACTTGTCTCGTCTTCTTGATTGGGATTTTGACAGCGAGCGCGGCGGAGGTGCCCAAGATCACCGCCAGCGTCAGTGAGCGGAACTGCATGCCGAAAGAGAGAAGAGACAGTGCAGAAGTTGGAACTAAGGAAGGGAGGGGCGAAGGAGGGGGAGAGAAAGGAGAGAGAAGAAGGCGAGCCCGACGCAGGACGGAAGATGCCTCTGCCCGTCTCGAAAGGTCTGATGCTGCTCTTCAGTCCGCAGCGTTCGCGTTCCAGACTGCCGCACCCGTGGGAACAATCTCGTGCGCGATCGCTGAGCCCGTCGGCATCCTCCCCCAGCCGTCGAGCACACCGTGCGCAGACCGCAGGGCACAGCGACAGCGACCACCATCCCAAAGGTCAGCAGGAATGAGAAAAGAAGTCGTGTCGCCGTTCTCCGCTCGCTCGCGTATTTTCGGTCATGAATCTCCGCCACGAAGGGGTCCGCCTCACTCGAAGACAACATGAGGAACCCCCGTTCCAGTCTGTTGAGGCGTTGAGGCGCTTTCCCGGGCTGTCTGTCCTGGCATTCAATGTACGAGTACACTGGATTGCATTTAAGTACCGCCACCTCATAAAACGTCCGACGGTGTCTGTGACGGCGTTGACATAGGTTGACATGGAATTTCTGTTTCAGGAAGCGTGAGAATATTACCCCGGATTCCTGTCCGGGCCAGGATCGCTCATGGGACCCGGGGCTCCGCCCTGTATGTCTCGTATAAATACCCCAGGAACACGCCTTCTCATGTTCAGCGTCCTCTTTCCCAACAGTGACTACCAGCCATGCCTCCCCCCGCGTCTCGCAATGCCATTCTACGCCTGATGAACATATCTCAACACACTGCGTGTCCTTGTCACGGCTGTCGAGCCGCTGGTCATGCTCATCAGGCCATCAACCAGATGAGGAGATTGGCGACCCCAGTCAATGCGGTCGAGAAAGAATATGCGTTCGAGGTTTGTCTTCCGTACACCCGCTCCCTCGTTGCACCCTCACCGCAAGACACGTAGCTGGCTGCTTCTAATCTTCGATTTGGAGACGGTGTCACCAGGGAAGTCGGCATGGATCTCAAGAACATGAAAGCGACAAAGGTTAGACATCTAGCCGTGTTCTTTGAGTGACTCGCGTGCTTGAACAGGAAGGTTAGGTCGGAGTGTTCACCGACCCTAATGTTGCAAAATTGTTACCTATGAAAATGGTGCGTCGATGCATTACTGTAGATCTGCCCACAATGATTCGAATGCACATTCCAGGCTCTGGAGTCGCTTGAGTCGCAAACTGACTTGCCCTTTGAAGTCTACGACAGAGTTGTAGCAGAGCCCACGGAGGACAGCTGGCGAGACGCGATTGCATGGGCCAGGCAACATAACTTCAGTCATTTCTTGGCGTATGTTTCCGACACAGCATCCATCATTCATTATCATCCTGACTTGATTTCTCTTTGCTAGGGTGGGAGGAGGAAGCGTGATCGACACAGCCAAGGCAGCAAATCTGTAAGGTAGTCTCGCAGGGTTACCTTGAGATGATTCTGACCTGCACACCCCTCCTAGGTTCACTGTCTATGGGGAATCGGATCTTTTCGACTTCATCAACGCCCCTGTTGGGAAAGGCCAACCCATTGCGAGGCCTCTTCGCCCACTTATTGCCAGTATGCTTTGCCGACCCCAAAATGCTCCATCTACATCTATTAACACTGTCATTCAGTTCCAACGACTGCTGGTACCGGCTCCGAAACAACTGGGACTGCCATCGTCGATATCACTTCCAAATCTTTCAAGACCGGTATTGCAAGTCGTGCGATGAAGCCTGCACTAGGCATTGTGGACACTTACAACACTGAGACATGTCCAACGGCTGTACATATCAGTTCCGGACTGGATGTGTTATTCCACAGTTTGGAAAGCTATACTGCCATTCCGTAAGTTTCTTCTCTGGTTCTCATTTGATTTCTTCGGGACTAATGTTCGTCTGTGTGCTCCAGGTACACTGAGCGCACACCACGTCCGTCGAACCCGATTCTCCGGCCGGCGTACCAGGGAAGCAATCCTGTAGCGGACATATTCTCTTTCTGGGCACTGCAGCAGACAGTTCAGCATCTACCTCGAGTTGCGAAGAACAGGGATGATACTGAGTCGAGGAGACAGCTGCTGTACGTTTTCGTCATAGTAGTTTGCCGATTGCACATTCATACTTCTTTCTAGGCTCGCAGCGTCCTTTGCGGGCATCGGCTTCGGTAATGCAGGCGTCCATCTGTGTCATGGAATGAGTTACCCTGTGCGTTTACGCGATCCACCCAGTTTCTTGACAATATCTAAGTTTGATATCTTGCCAGATATCTGGATTGAACAAGAAAGGTCCCAAGTACAAGCACGCTGGTTACAATGTTGACCACCCAATCATTCCTCACGGTGTCAGGTAACGAATAAAATGTTTTTAGATTGTCGTTTACTGAATCTCCCCATAGCGTTGCAATCACCGGCCCAGCAGTCTTCCAATTCACGGCTCCCTCTTCGCCTGATCGTCATCGTCAAGCTCTCGCCGTTTTCAAGAACACCACGCCCATGGACTCTTCAATCACGGCCATTCCAGACAGCGAGATCGGTGCTCACCTGTACGAGGCCATCGCTGCCTTCCTCGATGGTCTCGGTGTGCCACGCGGTCTAAAAGCCTTGGGGTACACCAGAGCAGATGTGCCGCAGTTGGTGGAGGGCACACTTCCGCAGAGGCGAGTACTGGATCTGGCACCTGGGATCGGGGATATCGTAGGCGAGGACGGAAGGGAGCATCTGACCAAGATGTTGGAGAGTTCATTGGAATATTAGGATTGGACCCCATGGCAATGGTTTTTTTTGCATGACCAGATCTGTATACAGTATTGTACACGTACTACGGAAGGAATCTATACAACGGGTTTCTGGGTTTTTTCATTCTGATGCCCTTACTTGCAAATCCTGTCTGCGGACGCGAGATAGATGTGTCAATTTCAAATGCGGCCTGGAACTGACCATGCTGTCATCCACTCCTCGAAGCCGCTTTCGACCGTGTATCGATCTTCATGACGGTCAAGTCAAGCAGATTGTTGGAGGCACGCTCTCGGAGAGCGATCCTACGACGCTCAAAACGAATTTTGTTGCTACGTGCGTCAACACTTCCAGAATAATGCCTGCAACTGATCGAGTCATGTCGCTTGAACCTTCTTCACAGCGACTCTCCTGGAGATTTCGCGAGGCTGTATCGCGACCACGGCCTCGAAGGCGGACATCTCATAAAACTTGGGCCCAGAAACGACGATGCAGCTCAGGAGGCGCTAAGGGCGTGGCCAGGTTCGTTCTTGAGGCTTTCGCGCTACAACTTCAAACAAACTATGACAAACGTTAGGTGGGCTGCAAGTCGGCGGAGGGATAGACGACAAGAACGCTTTGAAGTGGATTGACCTCGGAGCTAGCAAGGTAATCCCCTCTATGAACTGCCGATGCTCACAGACAAACTGAAGCGGTCAGTAGGTCATAGTGACTTCCTACCTCTTTCGGGACTTGTGCTTCTCCCTTGAACGATTGCAGTTGTTATGTTCTATCGTCGGGAAAGATAGACTAGTCGTCGATGTCAGGTGAGCGAGGGAAATCAATGCGCGACAACTGCTGACCAAAATGGTACATCTAGTTGTCGCCGACGGGGCGATAAATGGTTCGTAGCTATGAATAAATGGCAAGATGTTACGAGCATGGAGGTTTGTAAAGGTACTCGTATCTTCATACATAGGAACCGCACACATTGATGTACCGTCCACGCAGAAACCCTAGACCTACTGGCAGAGTTTTGCAGGTCAGAAACATCTTCATTTGTCCGTAACATGGCTAGATTGATTTCCTCGATGCAGTGAGTTCCTCATCCATGCCGCTGACGTTGAGGGCCTTTGCCAAGGTATCGACGAAGCCCTCGTGACTAGTAAGCCCACTTTGATTGTAAGTCTACGATCCTTTCCAATACACATGCAGAGCTAGGCGAATGGGTGAATATACCCACAACATACGCCGGCGGAGCAAAAGGTACGTGATCCGCCGCCCACTTCGACGAACCCTAAACGTAGGACCAAGATATTTCTGATTTGGACCTCGTTCAACGACTGTCTGGCGGCAAAGTCGACCTGACATACGGGAGGTGCGGTTCTTCTCTGGCTGGCTGTATTGACAAATGCTGAAGTATCATTCCTCGTCAGTGCACTGGACATCTTTGGAGGAAAGTTGGTGAATTTCGAGGAACTTGTTCAAAGAAACAAAGCTGGGGGTACATAATACGAAATGCAGAGGCATGTAGCCTCGATGCGGGTGTATCTATAGCTCATTGTCATTACTGTATACCGTAGTCAGTTTCCAAGATTTATTGAATGTGTGCTATGGTTTGGGACAAGAGGGATTGCTATCACTAGCGCGGGAAAATGTGACATAATAACTATCCAGTTGCTTCCCACACACTTTTGGGATATACTAACGCCACCCGCGCCCATCGTCGACGACATTCCCCTCAAGGTGAGTAATGCTGCCATTATTTTGAACCATCCCACCATGTATCCAGATCGTGCTCACGCTGTGGGCTTGGGGCGCGAATCTGGGCGGGGTCTGCACGTAACCCAAACCCATGACTGACTTCGGATATCTCATTTAGAAATCATCAACATGCCCGGCAAAGTCAAGGCGTACGAACTCCAGTCGAAGTACGGACAGAACGGTCTCCAGATGCAGGATCTGCGCTGATCATACGCTGCCGATAGGTCCAAGAATGACTTGACAAAACAGCTCTCGGAGCTGAAGACCGAGCTCCTCACTCTGCGTGTGCAGAAGATCGCTGGCGGCTCCGCGTCGAAGTTGACTAAGATGTGCGTAGCTTTTTTATGGAATCTTTGCAGCTCTATTGACCTTGGTACTCTAGCAACACCGTTCGCAAGTCGATCGCTCGTGTCCTGACAGTCACGAACCACAAACAGCGTCAGAACCTCCGTGACTTCTACAAGAACAAAAAGTACCTTCCCCTCGACCTCCGACCGAAGCGCACTCGTGCCATCAGGCGGCGGTTGACTCCTGTATGCGATGTCTGTTCTGTGCCTTGTACATTTCCTCATTCCTAAATTTGAACAGCACGAGAAGTCCCTCAAGACGCTCAAGCAGCGCAAGAAGGACATCCACTTCCCTCAGAGGAAGTTCGCCGTCAAGGCATGAGCCAGTCGTGACGGTTCAGAGGGAGTGGGACGAGTCTGCCTGGAGTGTTTTTTTTTCGCTGTGCTTTTCTGTATGACTTAGGCTTTGGTCAACTCAACATGCCGCGCTATGCCATGCCTTCGAAGCTTGTGTGCTCATCAAGATGTGGATTTTCGACGCTAGACATCATTATTCCTGGTGGTGACTGTATTTGTGAATTCGCACTCACTAAGAATACCGTGCTTCACATGCGCATCGTCATCGCTTCCGGCATTCGCGAACTCCTGTCTACTCTCCTGTCTATTCCTGTATGCGGTCAAGGCCCCTAGATACAAAGTACTACTCATTTAGTAGAATGAACTCTGTTCATTTCCAGCGTTTGCCTGCAGCGTACCACCACCAGACAGCTCCATGCTAATGTCCGTGATGCTTGTATCAACACTGAAATCTCGGCTTCGTTTGTCATCAGAATTATGCCCTGTCGGGTTGTCCTCTCTCGCGGCCTTATCGACTGAACTGACTCATACGACAAGATATCTGAGTCGTCTCAGGCCTTCAAAGAGGGGCCTTTTTGGAACCCACCATGCCCTTCCAAATTGCAGCAAACTGCACCGATATTATAACATGGCGCCATCCCTTCCCGGACACGAGCTCGCACAGAGGCCGACCACGAGGGAGGATTGGACCCGCTCTGACTTGTATCATAATTCTTTCTTGATCTCCTGGGACGAGGCCTTGGAATTTGCTCTAAAGAACAGTGACGAGAAGGGCTTGCCGCAGATCGCCGTCAGTGCTGCACAAGGGAAGTTTCTCTATCTGCTCGCCAAATCTCTCGGGGCCAATCGCATCCTGGAAGTCGGAACTCTCGGGGGGTAAGCTTTGCGCCGCGTTTCAAACCCTTTACGAGATCTCTAATCTGGAACAGGTACTCGACAATATGGCTTGCTCGGGCACTTCCTGCCGATGGCAACATCATCACCTGCGAGTTAGACAAGAAACATGCAGACGTCCGTCGCTTCTGGTTTTCCATTTATATGCGAATTGACTGGTGCCATAGACCGCACAGGAAAACCTCACCCACGCGGGGCTAGAATCAAAAGTTAATGTACTCGTAGGCCCTGCAGCAGAGTCACTCCGGAATCTCCATCCGGACCAGCCTTTCGACTGTGTGTTCATCGATGCAGACAAGCCGGGAAACAAGACCTATTATATCGAGGCCAAGCGGTTGGTCAGGAAGGGAGGCGTCATCGTAAGCTGTTTTGCCTCTTATGCCGAGGCCTAAACGTCGATCTTATCTTCAATTTTTTACAGATTGTGGACAATGTCGTTCGCAATGGGCTTGTAAGCGATCCGTCGCATACAGACGCTTCCTGCGAGGGAGTTAGAGAACTTCTCACGTACATGAAGGATGACAAGGAGGTAGAAGCAACAACTATGGCTACGGTGGGTGAGAAAGGCTATGATGGCTTCTTATACGCTATCAAATTGTAGATTCGCTCGATTTGACCCATGCACATGTATATCTATCTGTTTGATAAACGAACATTTTGGAACCTTCACAAGGACTATAGAGAAGCGCCCGACAGGCAAAATGAAAACTAGGATTTTCTCCAATGAGATTACAAATAGAATTCCGAGGCATTGCGCGAAGAGCGAATGTGGTACATGATGCATGATGATGTATGATATCACCCATCCGCGGTATCGTGCATGCAATAGAACAGAAAGTAAAGTAGCGGATCAATACGAGAACAGCGTGATATTGGTACGTTGAGCGATGCTCAGGTACCAATCGTCAAGGGGCGGGAGGTCCTCGTCGTCCTCGTAGAACTTACGTTCGACCCGTGGCTCAGGATCGGGAGGTTGGGGAGGTTTCAAACGCACAACTTCTTCGCCTGAGTCATAGCTCTCCAATATGCCACCAGTCTGTGCGAACTCATCCGATACCGGAAGAAGAGCGTGATAGTCTGGATACCCCGTCTGATCAAGGTCACGATCGTGCTCGTGAAATGAAAGGTTAAGAGCACAGTTAGAGAGTCGAACATCGATAGTGTTCTGCTCGGCATAGAGTGAGCAACTGTCTCCGAAATCGTGCAACACATCCTCTCCTGCACAAGCGAGCGTGAGCGGTGTTATAGGAATGGGTGTCTCTGCCCTTGAGATGGACTCTCTGTCCTCTTCAAGCTCTGGTTCTTCAAAAATAATATCAAGTGAAGACTTGGCGGGTGTCTCGTTGGTCATGACCCCTTCCACAGTCCCTTGACTCGAGTCAGGCAACAGGCCAGGACCATAGTGCCACGGTGGTACAGTCAACCAGTTGCCACCCTCAGAATCCTGCTGTAGAGTTGTGTTGGCCCATGCGATCCAAGGATTCGCAGGAGGTTCGTCGATGATAACAATGTGAGGCACAGTGCAAGGTGTGAGCGATTCGAGCACAGTGACCCCGCGGAACCGGCGCACATCTGTAAGAAATGGATCTGCTGGATCTGACCAGATGAGAGGTTTGTGTCTAAGTAAAGAGATGAGGGTACTGCTGGGATTAGTGGTAAATGTACGAGCACGGTGTGCTGCGGAATAAGCCTTCGAAGGATTGTTAGGTACGTCATGGAAAGAAGGAAAATACGAAGGCTTACTGATGATTTGTAGCAATGTCTGTACAGTGTTACTGTGAGCTTTTCCTTGCGCTTATCTAGATATGTCCAGTTTGCCTGGTAAGGTATACGTGAGTGGGGCACGATACTTGCGAGTCGAAGCAACCTTACAGAGTGGCCGAAGCATGTAGGTGGAGATACAGGACGCATGCTGGAACTATCTCCTGTTGTATTCGTAGGTAGGAGCGATTCGATATCTTGTGTAGGCGTCGTGCATTGCAATGGGTGTATGCTTGCCACTCCAAGGGAGACTTGTGGCACCACAAGATACTCAGTCCATTGTGGCGTAATCGTGTTATGAAACCAAGCATGATAGTCAGCCCATTGAGAGTCGTGGGGTGGTGGGGTAATGACGATGTATGGTGCAGCAGCAGGATTCGGAGGGTCGATAACGATGTTGCACCGATCACAACTCAATAAGCGCAGATGTTCCTAGACAGAAAGTGATACATCAGTTGATAGGAAGGTATCGAAGCTCGCAAACTGAGTTACGTTGTCAGAAGGCATGTCTTCTCTTTCACGTACTCCAGTATTCGAATTCTATTTTAACGTCAGAATGATTCGAGGTGGATGAATCTCATGCGACATACCGTGCTGAGCATCTGCATTGCGAGTGATTGTAGAGTTCACTGTTAGCAGATAGTTCACAGTCGTGAGAGTTGCGTCCCGCTCACAGCGCAATCCCATTCGTGGCTTAGTTGCTCCGGACAAGTTCCGTCTGCCTCACGATCTACACGACCCTCGTCCCATAAGCATCCGCAGCGTCCTAAAAGAGTATGTGTGGATGAGTGGCCCTCCAAATATATTGTAGCGCCGTCTGTCTGTGCATTTGACATGCACAAGAACTGGAAGAGCAAGGTCAGAGCTGCCACCAAATATCTTCAGTGAAGAAATCAACGCACTGCACGAGGAATGCAAGCCTTGTCGTCATCGCTGAGGCCACCTTCGACCTCAACGAGCGGTGGCGATGTGTCGCCGTGTTCAACCTGGAGATTGGAATTGGAGGAACAAGTTTCGATGGTGCTGGTTGAAGCGACGGCAGCAGAGCACACGTTCTCCCACGGCTCGGAACGCGATTTGCTTCCGAATGATCTCAAAGAGATAGTGAAAGATGGATAAATGTTGAGACTTCCAACGGTAGACATCCTGGACTAAGGATGATGATAGACTATATGATGGGAGTGGTGTCTTGTGAGGAAGCTGCGAGCGTTATTAGTAGAGGTGTCCCCGCTGCGCAGTGCGAAAACGCCGCAATTGAAGAGCGGAGACGAATAGTTCGACTTATGGATTGAGAGACACTAGGGCGGGGAGATATATAGAAATCGCACTGCAGAGGCCACAACGCGTTGTCAAAGGTTAGGAAGGAAGGTGGCATGCAAGTTTCACAACTTTAATGCGGAGTGTCCAAGGCTATGACAGCTACAATATAGATTGTGGCTTGACAGGGTGGCTGTTGTTCCAGGTTATGCATACGAATTGACATGCGATTATATCAAGCGACTATATCGACAGTGATCCTCGGCCTGGATTTCCAATTGACACAGTAGAGAAAACAAGGATCGGTGCAGGTAGATACGTCAGTAGCGGGAAGGTCTCGCTTCCTCCAGTGACGTCGCGCTGCCACGACTGATGTTATCTCGGCATGCATCAATCTCGTTTATCTGTATTCTCTGTTTGTCCGAAGCCCTTCATGGCGTAATCGGCACCTGAGAGCTGTGCACATTGAGATTAAGTTGACTGACGCAAGGCAGAAAAGATTTCCCAACTCACCCATTGTGCGAAATCCCTCACAAAACTTGGGAAGAGTTTCATATATGGTGTGAAATGGACGTAGAAAGGTAGGCAAATGGTTTGGGAATGTTGATCATCGAGAGCAGCAATCACGGCCTTGGCGACTGTGATAGGAGGAATAGACGGTACGAAAAACCTGTACAACCAATTTGTAGGCAAGCGGACGCTGGAAAAAAGCGGTGTTAAGACGTGGCCAGGCAGAACCAGCGTCGTTCGAACTTGAGGAGCGTTGTACCTATCAAACGCATATTGCCTCAGGCACTGATATGAAGCTGTACTTGACAGGGAGCGTACCGCTTGTCAAGCTCATAACGAAGGGATTCGTGGAGGGAGATGACTGCAGCCTTTGAAGCATTGTAGTCGGCTATCACGCAGGGCGCATACATACATCAGTATGTCTACTAGTACTTGGTCGTGAGATGCGGTACACTGACTCATCTGGGCGATACCGATTAATCCAGTCACCGAAGCAACTGTGATCTTTACTCATTGCTCAGCTTGGGACCAGATGTTATATACTAGAAAAACTTACGACATGACCAGCGCGTTGCTTGATCATTTCCGGCAGGAAAGCCTTTAGAACCCAGAAATGGGCTAAAGTATTAACGTCGAAAGTTCTGCCCAGATCACATCAGGTAAATCGGCAGCCTCACAAGAGAAAGCTATATACCGTTTGACATCTTCGGGAGTCAGGTCCAACAAAAGTTTGCCTTGAACTACGCCAGCATTGTTGATGATTATGGTAGGATGACCAAGCTGTAGAGGTCACGATTAGACCCGTCTGGACTCGAGTGTAGACTCTAGATCATTACCTCTTCAACAATCCTCTTCTGGACCGCCTCCACTTCCTCCCATTTTGACACGTCACACTTGTAGTAGACAATGTTGTCTTCAGCAGACACCAGTCAGACCATCATTCAAGGGACTGATGGAATATTCCATACAGTTTTCGGTGACGATAGGGTTGACGTCCAGTACGACCACAGTAACATTTCGTACAGCCAGCGTATTGGCAATGAGTTCCCCAATACCAGATGCACCTACAACAGAGAACATGAATAAAGGGAGTTCACTGATAGAGAGACGGGAGAATGTACCGCCAGTGATGACCACGATCTGTTCACCCCAATCCAGAGGGACTGGCGCAAACAACAGTTTGCCCTGATTCCGATACAATAAAGAATACCATTTCACAAGCCCTAAAGTGCTCGCAGTGAGATGATGCAACGAGACGAATCCTCAGTAACACGTACAGAAGAGGGAAAGTAAGACCCAATAGATGAAGGGTCCTATAACTTGAGGATCCTGGATCCTACCTCCTTGGAAGATGTAAAATATGGGTATAAAGAAGACAAAGAATGGACCTAATGGCCGCACGATGTCAGAGGCTGCCTTTGGAATGTATGCGCGAATTACTGACTGAACGCTGTGTGCGACAACACTTTCACTACCAAATCGATATCAAGAGCATCAAACACTAGTCCTGCATCCCCGGACTGCTGACTGTTGACCTCCATGATCTGTGTCTTCAAGTCCTCTCTGAAAGCAAGTAGAAACTGTCGAAGGTCCAGCCGTTCGAAGGATTGGAAGTGGAGGTGAGGGAGTCTGAAACACTTCTGAAACGCAGTCTATGACATTGACAGACGACTACAATGATGATCAAAGTCAAATGACGTGATATCCGCAAGAGGAAATTGTGTGGAAATATCTCGGGAGTAGTGTTGGCTCTCTGAATCGCGACGAGCGTGTGGGCAATCACTTGTTTATCCTTTTCATGCCACGTATACCTCTTTGAAGATGCCACCATCGCAGCGAAGAAAGCAGCCAATTGCATCTCCTACCCCTCAGTCAAAACGCAAGGCCGGTGCAGGCTCGCGGTCTTCAACACCTTCCTCCACAGAACCAATTCCAAGTCAAGCTGCACCGCAAGGTGGCAGTCCTGCTGTGCACATTCTTCTCATATTCCCATTATTCACAATCATCGCCGCCTTGTCATTGACAACCTGGCTGTATGGACGTGCTCTTGAACCGTTGTATGGCAGTGTCCCAACGAACTTGCATCTCGACAAAGTCATTTGGGCAGCCAGCATCCTCGGTACACTTGGGCCAGCTCCTCCATTATGGACCTCAGTAGCAATGATGGGTACTTTGTTTTGTTCTCTTCCAAACTTGGCCTATTGGGTGCCTCTATGGACGGCCAGATGGCACGATCCTGTGTTCGGACCTGTGGCAACACACTTGCTTGTGTTGTTCCCCATCGCGTACTCAGGTATCGCTATTGTGAAGAGTCTAGTAGTGAGTGTTTACTCGCTTCTGAAGAATATATTCAATATCTTGCCCTACTTCTCTCTTTGATTTCGTGGCAACCTGAATACCGATTGGAGATGTCAGATTTTGAGAGCATTTCCGATCACTTTGTTCATGCTTGAGTATGCCGAGGACCTATATTCATTCTTATTGCTCCCAGTCGTATCTCGAAAGCCAATCAAATGAGAATACTATGCTGCGCTTCACCATCTTGCCTGCGTGCGCCACAAGCATCCTTGGGTTCCGTTCTCTTTGGAACGAACTCCCAATTCTCTCGTCGGGCGTTTACGCTGACAACCATATTGTGAGCCATACCTCAAACAAATGCAGACAGATATTCTTGTAGAAAAATCTTAAATTGTGTTCCGTAGCTGCTAGCATTGGGTGGTTTTGTTCTCGGAACGTGGGTCGTTCACACTCTCCTCCGGGTCAGCATCGGCAAAGAGAACACAACCTCATCATCAAGATTCTTCTCGTGGCAAGTTTTACTTCCCGGGATCCTCCTCCCCATCCTCCCCATCCTTCTCCCTTATCTTCAACCACCAATCCTTCCTCATCCGCTCTCTCAGCCTTTTCTCCATCCCAAACTCCCTCTGCGCATCCTTTCCTCCATTCCCTCCGTCACTGGCATGGTTGTTGTTGGGGAGATGTTACCGCCTCCAGATTGGCAACCTGGTATGCCGGAAGAATTCCCTCATTCTTTCCGCTACCTCCGTGCATCCCACTCTCTCTTGGGAGGCGTCTGGCTAGGTGCGAAGGTCCACAGCAGATCCGCCGTCAGAATCCCTTTGTTGGACCAACAGGGAAACGAGTTAGGCGATTCTATTTACAGCACGTTCGTTTTGCAGGAAGCTCTCAGATTGGTTGATAGGGAGAGCAAGGACAGCGAAGGGCACAATCAGAACGCCTTGATCATGTAACAGGTTCTATCATTTAAAGCTGACATGGTTGACTGATGGATGTATTTATTTAGTGGCCTTGGCGCAGGCATTGCAGCGACAGCGCTTTCCCGTCACAATATAGCAACTACAGTCGTGGAGATCGACCCTGCGGTCTATAATGCGTCTCGTCAATATTTTGGATTACCTGATTTCGGCCCTGATAGAGTCTTCCTGGAGGACGCTCGAAGCTTTGTCAGGCGGAGAAGGCAACGTCTGGAGCTAGACGGCGCACAAGATGAAAAGTTCGATTTTGTTGTCCACGATTGTTTCTCCGGAGGAGGCGTCCCTGCCCATATTTTTACAATACAGTTCTGGGAGGACCTGAAGATGATCATGCATGTCGACGGAGTGGTCGCCGTAGTGAGTACCTGATTTCGTAGGCAGAGCGAGTACTAAACATTCGTTCCAGAACTTTGCCGGCAAATTGAGTTCAGACCCTTCCAAGGCCATTCTCACGACGCTGCAACACAGCTTCGAGCACTGTCGCGCTTTCCATGATGCAGAGCCGATGTCCAGAGAAGAATTACTTTCAGGATTCATCAACCTGGCATGTACTTCGGCCCTGAATTGTATTTCAACTCTGCTAAGATCTCAAATGCTTGATAGGTATTCTTCTGCTCGCCTTCCAGCAAGCCCCTCACATTCCGCACTCCTCGAGAAAACGATTACCTGAGCTCCCACCTCCGCGCACACGTTTTTGGAAGCCTGCCTGAACGCGAGGTGGACCTGCAGCTTATCAACCAAAATATCCACGCAGATGACATCGACAAATGGATATTGCGAGACCAGAATAATCAACTTCAGAAATGGCAGGCGGAGGGCGCGTTGGAACATTGGCAAAGTGAGCATACAGTCATATATATTCACTATAGTCTTGCGTGCTCATCAAACCCGCTAGTCATGAGGCAGATACTCCCAGCTCCTGTCTGGGAGACTTTCTAGACGATGGCCTTGATCAGACAGCTTCAAAGTTGACTGTCGGATTGCTCTACGTTTTTGTTACTCTTACTCTGTTTGCATACCACGTGCGCGTAGTTATATGAGAATGGCAGAAAAAGGCGGAACAGGCTTTGCAGTAATGTAATCGCGCGCGCGTGATCAGTCTCAGCAGCGTGTTGAATGGATCTGTCCTCGTTCACCACCGGCTGCAAACTCCAAGCTACAAGGTGACGCACTCAAAGATAAATCGATAACAGTCGGAGCTAGAAGACATCCAAGCGGGACGGTTGTACTTCGGCTTTTGTCTTGAGTCCTCATGTCCACCGACTACTCACGCTACTCCTCCCCTCTATCTTCCTCGCCCGGCCGACCATCTAACCTGTCACGCCCGCATTGGCCGTGGTCGGCTTACAGTCATCGCTCCTCTCAATCCTCTGTCTCTGTCCACTCCACGGGAACTATTTCTGCTAGCGCTCAGCCTCAAGGCTCGTGGGATCCTAGACCTTCTTCTTCGACACCTGTTGCTAGTCCTGGTACCGCATTGTGGCCGGCACCCGGCTCAGCTGCTAGGGCTTCATCAAGTAGTGTGCCCATGATGTCCATGAATCAAGATGAAACATCCAGGCATTGGTCGTTCACTGTACGTTGTTGACTCATATGCATATGCGCCGCTGTCAACTACTCGTAACAGGCTTTTGAATGGGTTGTGAGAGATGTGAGGAAGCTGAGAGACTTTGTGGAACGCGGACCGCCTCAGGCGAAGGACGCAGAAGGGAGTAACGAGAATGCTGAAACGGAACTTCGCGACAGCTTCGAGATTTTGAATGAGTCGCCCATGCTTGGAGATGGCAAGTTCAAGCTCGAGATAGGTGCGTTCATGCCTCACGACTGTGCGAGTTTTGTTGACATTCTGTGCGCAGCACGCACGCCACTCTCGACAGATAGCATCCCTGGTGCAGCGATAACCCCAACATTATCGCTCTACGTGACATGCTTGATGCTCGACTATGCAAATGCAGAGTATGAATTATCTGCTTCCATCCTAGCCGCCATCAAATGTCAAGATGATCGTGTTGGTGAGCGACGAGCTCGTGCGAACTGGATATGGGAGAACTGGCAAAATGAGTGGGCATTCAGGCAAGAGAATGAAGTTTGGGGTGAGGTATCTGCCATGTTGTCCTCCGTGTACCGTTGACATGGAGAATTGTATCCGCAGAATACCCTTTGCCCTCTCTGACGACGCTTCTAGAAAATCCTAGAATAGATCAGACCGACTCATTTGTGATTTGCATTCAGATCCACACTCCTGTTGGCCCGTTTTTCCCTCAACACCCTTCCGCCTATTACGTTCCCCGTGACCTTCTTGATGGGTTGGAATCGTCTCTGGACAATTCGAGTAAGTGTTCATACTTCGAGGCTAATATCTGATTTCATACATAATCGTCTTCTCACTGCTAGATACTGGTGATGTCCAATTTGTATGTTTGGAGCGCATGCCACAAGATCTGCGACAAGCGCATAGCAGTGTGTCCCCATCTCCGTCGGCACACAGCCTTCGCTCGTCCGCGTCTTCCTCTTATTCTCCCTTTCAATCTCACTCAACTGTCCGGAAACGCATCATCTATGCGCACTCCGACATCATAACTCGCCGCTCTGATTACTTCTCTACCATGCTATCTTCGTCTTTCTCTGAGAATATGGCAACAAGTGAACGAAAGATATATGTTATCACTGTAGAAGAGGCCGACTTTGTCACAATCTACTGGCTACTCAAGTGGGTTTATGCAGATTGGGTTCTGTTTACAGAGAACGACGACCCAAGAGCTGCTGTAGATGGAGTTGGCGCCGGTTGGAGTGCAAGATGGTTGAATGCGCGCAATGTGATCGGAGAATGGGACTGGAAAACGTTCAGTAAGACCGGTTCTGCTGACGAGCTCAGTGTCAGCGGTAGGGATGAAGTCAGGAGCGCAGCCAGTGGAGAAAGTGCAAGGTCAGTCGGTGAGGGCCGGGAGCCAATAGATGATAAGGGCAAACAGACCCTCCGGGTCAACGTCTCATCTTCCAGCTCATCAATGCGATCGACTCCTCAGCGACCTGCGCCCTCTGGAAAGACTCCTCAAAGCTCGCCATCTGCGTCACGTTCTGGCAACTCAATTTCTCGTCGCGGAGGGGCACCGATCCCCATCGCCATTCCCAATCAATCTTCGTCCAGTCGCTCGAAAACTGCACCTCTCCCAATCCCGGTTAGTGCTCCGCACTATCCACTCTCTCCTCGCAATCAACGACAACATGTCCACACATCGGGAGTGCCATCGATCCCTGATCCTCATGCCCATCCGACTCCAGCTCCCCCTCCCGCTTCCGCTTTGTCCATGTATCAGATTGCCCATCGGTATGGTATGCCTGGCCTGGCCTCATTGGCATTGGAACATATAATGTCTACTATCACACCGCAAACGAGCTTTGCATTGCTGTTGGCGACTTCTGTATGGGAGGAGCTCCATTCTCTAATCGAGGTTCGTCCTAGGTCCCCTTGACCTCAAGAAGAGGCTAAATATACTACCAGGATTATGTCGTTGAGAAATGGGAGGAAGTATCCGTATCGGGAGAATTCGAGAGATGCTGCGAGGAGGTCGCTTCTGGAGAGTAAGTCTATCTATTCATGATTAGCTCCCTCATCTCTGATCTTTTTCAGATGGGGCCCCGACGGTGGCAAGACTCTGATGACTCTGTTCAGACGATTGCGCTCGCCAACCGCCTTTCCTTACTCTCGCAATTGATTAGCAAAATGAAAGCGTACAGACAGCGCCATGGACTACTCTCTATATGTATTCTCTAGCTTTCGTCATGATGTTTCTAGCTGTTTGTAGACAATATTCTTGTAATACCAACTCTTCCTGTCCTTCCAGGCTGCAAAGTCGCGGAGTCATAATCACGGCGTCGTGCCGGACCGGCACCTACCGACGCCTGTTATCTATGGTCAGGTACATAGGAGTGTGCAGCACACGGCCGCACACGGTCAGAAATCAAAATCTGTCTATTTCTTCCTTCGCCACCTTCGTACCGTTAGATGCAGTACTTGAGAGTGTTCAACGTCCCCCGTGTCGCGACCCGCTTCACGTCATGCAAGGCTTCGAAGCGGGGGCTCGCAACAGTCGCTTCGGTGGGGAACGCAAAGGATTCTCTCATTCGACATCTGTTCAATTAGTCTCACTTATAATCTAGGACGACTCGTTCAAAATCCCTCTCATTGACTTTAGCAAGTATCGCCAGGCAGGGTCCCTTTCCGAAAAGCGCAACGTTGCAGATGAAATCGTCAAGGGATTCACGGAAGTTGGCTTCATCTACTTGCAGGGACACGGGATACCGAACGCAACTATCAAAAACGCATTCTCGAAGGTGCTTGATCCAAAAGATTATATGTCTTGCTCAGGCTCACCCTGATGGTACAGAGTGAGGACTTTTTTCGACTCCCCACAGACGCGAAGGTGCGTTCGCATCCAATCTTCGTAATCGTCTTGATGTCGTTACACTATGCATAATCTGCAGTCACAACTCGCATGGGAGGACCCTCGCTCGAACCGCGGATATGTCTGCGTCGGCCGTGAGCGCACCACCCAATCTGCGGACCCTGCTGAAATTGCAAAGCTCCGCGCGACCGCGCCGGACTCTAAGGAGTCTATGGAAATTGGACGCGACTGGGATACGACGTGGAAGAATCGATGGCCCCAAGAAAGTGCTGTTCCAGGATTCAAGCAAACAATGCTCGAATTTTTCCAGGTAACGCACCGCGCGGACCACATGCAGCGCTTCTAGTACTGATGTGTTTTGCGTGCCTAGACTTGCCATGAGCTCCACGTCTTCGTGATGCGCTCGATAGCGCTCGGTCTAGACCTCGAGGAGGCATATTTCGACAACAAGATAGACCAACAGTACCACAACCTGCGTTTACTCTCATATCCTCCCATCAAGACCTCTCTGCTGCAAAAAGAGGGCCAGGCTCGTGCGGGCGCTCACTCTGGTGTGTTCTGGTAAATTTGGAGTGCTGGTATCTGGGCGTCTCATGTTCTTGCAGATTACGGATCTTTGACGTTATTATTCCAAGACTCGGTCGGCGGCCTGGAAGTCCAGAACCCGCATACCAAGCTCTTCCAGGCTGCCACCCCAATTGTACGCCTCCTGAAATCTTCACGCAATATATGATCCTTACAGTCCTCTAGGAAGGTGCGATTGTGATCAACGCCGGAGATCTTCTCGCGCGATGGAGCAACGATGTCCTTCGCTCCACTCTCCACCGCGTCGTCGCACCTCCAGCCAAGAAAATTAGCGACACTGAGTCGGTTACACCCGCTCGCCAATCCATTGCTTTCTTCTGCAACCCGAACGGGGACTCACAGATTGAATGCTTGCCCAACTGCTACGGTGTTGGGAGGGAGAAGAAGTACCCGACTGTGCGTACTGAGGACTATATCGTAGGCCGCCTGTCAGCGACATACAGCTGAACGGCCACGTCGAGCTTTTTTTCCGGGATCTTGCGAGGGCCTTTTGCAGACTTATCACATATATCGTTGTATCTGCTTGCATTTCACAAGAAAAGCTTGCTTCTCATAGCGACTGGCTTGTCAATCAATGTGTTTTTGTGTATTTTTGAGATGAGCCCATGTTCGAAGGACTCGTTGAAGGCCAAGTACGACGCGTCCTTTACCGCGCGGGATATAAATACTTGAATTATTTTTATTAAAAAAAGAGTACAACGCGTCCGTGACCACTGTTGACACGTGTTCAGGAGCGTGATCAGACGCGTCTTGTTTACCAGGCGCGTTGTACGTGTTTACTTTCCACTTCCACCGCCGCCTCGAAGTTCGTGGCAGAAACACATCCTTCGCTGGGGATTTCTCCTTCTTTCTCATAATGAATGATCTTGCAGACGATGACTCTATCACGCTCTCGCTTTCCAACCTTCCTCGTCTTACCCTCAAAGACATAGAGAACGCTGACGACTGCTGTCCAATCTGTCTCATCCCATATCGCACCATACTTGAGCAACTTGTGGAAGACGAAGAGAACAACTGCGTGACAAAGATTGAGGGTTGCGGTCACGTTTTCTGCATCCAAGAGTGAGTGTTGACCTATTTGTGGTAAATACCACCAGTGCTTCAACGCATAACGTACTTGTATTGTCAGCTTGTCTGAATGGATACGTGGGCGAGTACGTGTCTCGACTCCAATGAAGACTCAGAAGTCGCAGGCAGCTCTGACCCGTTGCCCTGAATCATAGCACGGGACGTGCCCGACGTGCAGACATCCCTTTCTTCCTGACCTCCAGCCTATAGATTCGGACGACGAGAGCTCCGATGGTGGTGAGTATGTGCCAACCGAGTACGACGCAGACACGGACTATGGCTCGGACGCGGATGAAGGGCTGTCCGACAATGACGCCTTCGACGTCGAGACTATGGACGTGGACGTCCAAGCTGCAGAGTGCGACGAGACATGGAACGATGGGGATTCAGTTCATGATGGTGATGTTGAGGGTATGCGTGGTCAGTGTGGGCAGTCGAGCGACATTGAATGGTGGGACGAAGCTGATGAGGCAGAGGGATGGGGGCTCACGGACGGAGAAAGCATGAGCGCGAGCGAGGGGGAGGTCATGCCCAGCGACCGTTTGTCAGGTTCGCTTTCCTCCTAATCATGCCCCTCTCTTCGAGAATTCTCAACAAAATTACAGAGGCGGAGGCAGGGGCGGAGGCAGGGGCGGAGGCGGAAATCCAAGTCAGACTCAATTCCGAAGGAGAATACGCGATTGAAGACGGAAGTGCAACTAAACGGTAGGAGGTGTGGTACGGTTCACGGAGTCCTCTTAAGTGTTTGTACTTTCTTTATTTTACCCCCACATTTGTATTGCATATCATGGTTATTGTGATTTTTGTCTATTCAATCAGGATTTCTAGTGAGGTATACAGAGTGAGCTTCCAAGTACACCTCGATCTAGATGGTAAGTATAACTTGTTTATCGTGTAATACCGGTCTAGGGTCCGGGCGAAGGCTGAGCCAATGCCAATGCCGCTATCTTACCTTCCCTCTCTTCAAGCCACACGCCTACTGACTTGCCACTCCACCTGACCCCCCTCCCGCCCCCTTTAAGGGTCTTGAATTGCTTCTTCAGCTCGTCTCCAATTTCTTTCACCCTCTTGTCCTCGCTCCCGATAAGCATCACTACCGTCGTCGAAGCGGACGTCTGTGACGACGGGGAGGACGTGAGGAGAAGCGCGTAGTGGTGCGACGCAGAGCCTGTGGCGGGAGGTAGATGTGCAACAAACGCAGACGCGATGGACTGCAGAAACGAGAGCGCGGATGAAGCATCGTCGGTTCGCCCGACATACTTCGTCCACTCGACGTCACCGTGGCGATTTCTCTGCCATTCTAGCATCTCATCAGCCAGGTGTCTACCAAGCGCGTCGCCAAGCTCGCGCTCGACGTCCTCAACTCGCTTCTCCCGCTTCTTGCTCTCGTCTAGAACGAGCGCGACGCGGTCCGGAGTTTCCACCGCGCCACACGAGAGCAGACTCGACGTGCGTGCCAATAGGAGCTGCGTTGTTCCAATGTAATGGAGTAGACGCGGGCCGGAGAGGAAATAATGCCTTGCGGGTCCCGAGGACGACGATGCGGGTGCGGGGAAGAGGAACAGTTGGAGCGACGAGAGCGTAGGGAGGTGTGTGCCGCAGCACGGGTTTCTGTCGACCCCATCAATCACAACGACGCGGTGTACACCCCCCGTGTAGTCCTTTGGGAGACCACGACCGAGCTCGCGCGCTGATCCCGTGCCGGTGTCAGCTTCCCCGGAATCGATGCCCTGTTGGCCAGCCCGGAGTTCCTCTACCTCTATGTGCACGCGCCGGCCCTCAAAAACGAAACGGTTGGCCGTATCCTGGACGAGCGCAGTCTCGTCGGCGGTTAGAGGGCGAGGTAGATCGACGTACGAAGGGGATGGATAGGTGGTGAGAGACCATGCCAGGGTAGGGAGCGACAGCCGAGTTTCGATGACAGCGGAGAGTAAGTGCTGAGCAGTATGCATGCTCATCTGACGGGAGATGTGAGTCGGCATGACGGTACTCTAGGTTTTGAAGCGACTGACGTGGTCGAGGCGTCTCTTGAAGCCTTCATCTCCCAAAGTCAATTCTACCTTACGTCCAACCTCAAGATGCGCAGGAACATCGTCGACGCCCTCCTTCACCTTGACGTAGTGAACCGCGATGCCGCCGTGTCTTTTGACAAACGCCACGTCCCAGATGTCGCCGTTCTCAGCTGTCAGAAGCCCAACGTCATGTGGCTGTCCCCCTCCTTCCGGGAACAAGACAGTATCATGCGTGATCACTTGCAGAAACGGTTCTGACAGTGGAGGCGGCGCAGATGCTTTGGCCTGCTTCGTGTGGCCCTTCTTCCTTGAGGGTGGAGGCGTGGGTTTGACAAAGGTGGTAGATATGATAGTGGTGCTGAGACTGCGAAGGAGAGGGTTGCCTGGAGAAGATGGTGAGACTCACAGTGAGGGCAATGGATGCGAAGCTGGAAAGGCTACAGACGTTGGCAGGCGAGTAGACCTACGGGGATCGTCACTGTGGGATCGGAGGGTATCTGAAGGGTGGGTGAAATGATCCGGTGGTAGTCTGGAGGGATTGTTGGATGTAGAACGAGGGCTGCTGCGGCCATCTTCAAGGCTTGAATGTCAGTACTTCAGTGCTCACCGCAAGGGAGACTTGTGCAGTGCGTCGTTTCCAACAACAGAACGAGTGGAAATGCGTGTCGGCTCCCAGCTGGTTATCTCCGATCTGTCTTCTAGATGTGGACATCCATACACACAGCGAACCCATGTGTTCTACATTCTTCACCCCAAGCCGACGAGTGCCGCGCTATCCCGCCAAATCTCATATGTGAATATCGATATCGGACACAGAGGCCGAATATATGCCGACCAGCAAGTACTCCTTGATATCTGTTCCAGACAAATTTTGCAGTCAAATAATACCAGCGATGTGGAAGTGATGTGGACCACTTGTGGACCAGTGCAGTACCAGTGCTTGATTCCGCCTAATAGATCTGAGAGATCGTTTTTAATTTGTCGCAACGACTGAATTTTGAGATCGAGCGCATTGAGCAAGCTTGTGCAAGGTCCGGAATTCTCGCTTCATTTCAACCTTCGACCACCTCTGTCTGTTTTCCGAAGTAGATAACTCAAGCCTCGAGTTCCAAGCCTCGAATGCATGCTCAACTTTCACTGACTGTCTCCAAAGTTGCTCTGGCCGGTGGCGAGGGCTCTGACAGAGATAAGTATGTTCCGCCCATGGCGACCTATGGCGACCTCTTCAAACCTTTTACCCAGCCAATCCCTCTTCATCAAGATGCTATTTTCACACTCGGTCCGAGCGCCGTCCCCAGTCTTCCCCGCACAAGTACCCCGCCCCCCTGGCAGTTCCTGGCTTCTCCATCCGGGGTACCTCGGGGAAACCTCTGCCTCTGATCAAGGTATATAAAGCTGGGTATCCTCTTTGGACGTGAAGCTGAAGCACCCTCGTCGCGGTCTTCCCAGTAGACATCTGCGTCGTTGTCCGGCTTCATATCTGCTACTCCTTGCTCTCCGCTGCTCGATCGGGACCAACGCAACGTGGCCTCTCATCTTGAACGAACGTAATGCCTAAGTCGACGGAATCCATGGCCAAGCCATCTGGAGTAGACGAGGAACGGAGGGAGCAGGCACCGCTTCCCCTGGATGCGGACGCTGAGTTCGGGGGAACCGAGGCGAGGAAAAAACTCGAGAAGAAGTTGCTGAGGAAGCTCGATTTACGAATGTCTATCTTGATTGTCATCTACATCTTGAATTATGTGCGCGCTCCCTTTACCCTTGCATGCTGCAATTATCGCTGACGTATCTGTCTTCAGATTGACAGAAATAATGCCTCGTTCGTGATTCCTCCTCGATCCCTCCTGTTATCTTGACCTTTTCTTGACAGTGCTGCACGTCTGCGGGGTTTCGAGACCGATCTCAAATTGAAGGGCGAAGAATTTAATACCCTCTTGAGTATCCTCTACGTTGGCTATATTCTTATGCAGATCCCATCGTACGTTCAGTTCATCATACACCCGAACACTTGAAATTCTCACCCATCTGCTTCAAGTAATATGTTTCTGAACTACATTGGGAGGCCATCATTATACCTACCTATTTGCATGATGATCTGGGGCACAATATCGATCCTCACTGGTAAGCGCATTATCACTGGGCATACTATCTATACTCATGGTATTGAATAAACAACTAGGCATCACTACCAGTTTCACTGGTGCCCTGCTCACTCGCTTCTTCCTTGGCTTCGTTGAAGCGGCGTTTTTCCCTGGCTCCCTCTTTCTGCTTTCGAAGTGGTACAAGCGGTCAGAGCTCGGACTCCGCACCGCGCTGCTATCTTGCGGTAGCTTGATCAGCAACGCATTCGGCACTCTCATCGCCTCTGGTATTCTCAATGGTATGGAGGGCAAGCTCGGCAGAGCTGCCTGGAGGTTTGTTCATCTGTTCCATATGTTCTATGCGTCTGGTGACATTTTGCCGTGGTAATTCCTCATGTCTAGGTGGCTCTTCTACATCGAAGGTTCACTCACCGTCCTCGTCGCTATCATCGCGATCTTTGTTCTACCCGACTTCCCCGACTCTTCACACTTTCTTTCGGAGCAAGAAACCCGCCTTGCCATTTTGCGCATGGAGGAAGACGTTGGTGTGGTAGATGCCGAGGGTTCGGGGAAAAAGCCTCAAACGGCCGGACTCGTTCTCGCACTGACGGACTGGAAGGTATATTGGCTCGCGATTGCTCTGACGAGCATGGTCATCTCGATCTCGTTCAACGCCTTTTTCCCGACGTTGACCGCAACGCTCGGATACGACTCCACGATCACACTGCTGCTGTGCGCCCCGCCGTGGGCGTTTGCGACGATCGTCGCATTCGCGGTGAACCGGTGAGCATGGGTTACAGTCTAATTATTTATGACGTCGTGAATGTCAGATATGCTGACGGTTGACTCGCTTCGCAGACACTCGGACAAAGTTGGTGAACGGTTCTTCCATATTGCCGTCCCACTCTTCGTTGGTATCATCGGCTTCATCATCGCCGTGTCCACGATGAACACTGCGGCCCGCTACATCTCTCTGTGCGTCCCCTCTCGCAAATCTCATTCTCACTGCTGCGGATCTCCAGCTGCCGGCATGCACCCTGCCTGAAGCATGTATGCTTACGCCACGCTCCCCCCAGATTCCTCATGGCCCAGTCATACGCGGGCTTCATCTGCTTCCTCGCATGGGTGTCGAACACCATCGCGCGGCCGCATGCGAAGCGGGCCGTCGCACTCGCATTCATCAACGCGTTCTCGCAGCTAGGCAACATCGCGGGCTCGTACGTGTGGCCCAAGATGTGGGGGCCGACCTACGCGCACTCGTACGCAATCTGCATCTCGACGAACGGGCTCTGCATCGTGATGTGCTTCGTGTTTCGCCAGGCGCTCGCGCGCAAGAACGCCGCACTCGCCCAGGCGGAGGAGGCGGAGGGCAGGAAAAAAGGGTTCCGGTATCTGCTGTGATCGTGCAATTGGGAATTGCTGGCTGTGTCAGTGCACGGTTCTAGTGATCGGCGGATCTTGTTTGCGTTCACCTGCAGAGGACGTGGCAAGAGTGGTGCGATTGTTTATGTCGCAAATCGTGCAGTCGAGGATGGAGAGAATAACAAGTCTGTACAGCAGGATAAACGAGTGCAAATGTAAGATCGCTTGCTTCGCCGAGTGTAGGGCAACCATCATGATGCGTACACTAATAAACTGGGAATTTGAAGTATGCCGTCACGTAGATCACATGAAAAAACCAGATCGACAACAGTCATAGACGCTTTCTGTTGGTTCCCCATAGTGCTGTGCTTTAGTTATGGCGATCCTACAGGAGTGAGACCAGCGATGTCACGACAGGTTTCGACTGGCCGGCCTGAACTCTCAAATGAAGTTGTCGGAGTAGATCAGATGGGTACGTAAGGTGTGCCAAGACATGATCGAGCGCCTGGGCGGCGGAACCGATGCTTCTTGCCGCGTTTGCGGCACTTTCTGAGTTCTAGTGAATTCACCGATGCATCCCCACACTCCACGAGCTCGTCATGAAGCGGCCGACGCAATGCTGGTGCAAGACCAGGTTTCCTCGAGTGCTTGGTATACCTCTGGAACATGCTTTTGTGGAGGGCGAGCACTGGGGACGCCAGCTCTAGTGTTGCCTGAATGATATGACTCGTGATTGGGACCTGAAATTTTTCAGCAGAGACACGGGCAGCGTCAGGGCATAGCGCGCATAGCTTAATCTGGATCTTTGCAGTCGCCTTTCCAAGTCGCGAGTGGTTGGAAGGTGGAAGGAAGAACGGTTCGCACGGTCGGGGGGAGGCGAGCAGCGGGAGGCCACGGGTCGGAATGACGACGCGGTAACGATGATGGGGATTCGAGTCATGCGGAGAACACAGGCGCGTTTGAACACTGTTTGAACTGGATCGGATCGTTTCAAGCGAGTTGAGGCTCCACAAACGGCGGGCTGGACGGACAAATGTGCGCGGGTGTATTTGTCTGCGAGGGGAACTAGTAGCGCGGCGGGGGATGGAGGACGGGCTGTCTGAGTTCCGGGGAAGATGCCCGGCTCGGCATGCCTCGTTCGCGTGGCTTTGGACGAGCAATGCGGTCGCCCATCACGGACATGACTGCCCGGTACAGACACAACTTAAAAACACCATGTTGACACATCCTCGGCCGTGTTATCTTTTCCTCCTCATCCTCATCCTCCTCCCCCTCCCCCTCCTCCTTCATCCCCCTCCCGTCCCGTCCGGCACTCAGTGTCCCTTTCAGTCAGTATGAAATATTCTCGGGCCTCGGCTCTCTTCCTCTCCTTTTCTTCTTTCTCAGCTGTATACGCACACCACGGTCGCTCCCTCGACGCACACTCCCATCAATCTCGCGCAGTTCTTCCTGACTCCTGGGCACACGACACAGACCACCCTATTCACGCTCTATTCCGCCGTGACATTCCCAACGATGGAGCAACTTACCCCGATGTAGGCTCTGCCAGTGAGTAGCCCTTTGGGTTTTCATCGCCATTGACTCTCAGAACACTCACACTCCGCGGTGAACGTGTAGCTTGGTCCGCCGCTTACCCTGAGGGCACTCCCGACTCTAGCAAGATGCCCCAGGCGTGGAAGGATGCCCTCAACGCTGCCGTCCAGGCTGGCAAGATCCCTGACATTCCCCCTACTACCGTCCCTGCTGGTCAGAACCCAGTCTATGCGAACAACCTCGATCCCATGAGTCCCCAGGTCTGTTCTTCAACCTACAAGTGCAGGATCTCCACCGACGTTTGGGATGCACCCGACGGTGTCGTTGGAATTAGCTTCGACGACGGCCCGCTTCCCGTGAGTTTTAAATTCCGTATTTGACGGGCTGGGCTTCGGCTTCGCGCTTGACACCGCGATTTCGAATTCTTTTTTTTTTTGTTGCTAATCAAGCGTATTCCTTCGCTGCTTTTTTCATAGCCGTCAGATGGCCTCTTCGATTTCCTTAAACAAAACGACGTCCACGCCACCCACTTCTTTATCGGTGTCAATATCCTTGACAACTGGAGACAGTTCCTCCGCGCCATCTACGACATTGAGGATGATATTGCCGTGCACACATGGACGCACCCCTACATGACTTCCTTGTCCAACGAGGATGTCGTCGCGCAGTTGGCCTGGACGATGCAGATCATCCACGACTCGACCGGTGGCCGCGTCCCGCGCTTCTGGCGCCCCCCCTACGGCGACAGCGACACCCGCGTGTCTGCCATTGCCAAGGAGGTGCTGGGTATGACCACTGTCATCTGGAACCAGGAGTGCGTAGTTTTCCCTTGTTCAGCCGTGCCGGTCTCATTAGATGTCGCGTAAATAGCTCTGAGGATTGGAGCATGGAGACCGGCGGCACTACCCTGCAGAAGATCCACGATCAGATGACCGGGTGGTACGGAGGTAGGCGCTCAATTCTGCACTGTTGCCGCCTGTTTATGATTGATTCGCTTGTACAGGCGCCAAGACTCCGGGCCTCGTCATCCTCGAGCACGAACTCACCAACGACACCGTCAAGGCATTCATTGACGGCTTCTGGATGGCCAAGTCGAACAACTGGCAGATTGAGTCTATCGCACGCATGGATGGCACCAACCACCCCTACCAAAATGCGGATGGCCCTGTGGGTGCCGTGACCGGGTCGAGCGTCGTCGCTGCCGATAATGTCCAGAACAACAACGCGGCGAGCGGCTCCTCGGCTGCCCCTTCGTCTTCTGCCAGCGCCAACGCCAGCTCCACTCCGTCGAGTACCGCCTCCAGCTCATCGAAGTCGGCCTCGAGCAGTTCCAAGCCGTCGACATCATCGGCCACGACGAACAGCACCAGCAACTCTACGACCGGGAGCAGTGACCAGACGCACGTGAGCCCGGCGGCGGCGACTGGCCCGTCTATCGCGCTTGCGTTTTCGACTATCCTGTTCAGCCTTGTCTTGACGGCGTGGTAGACCGTGCATAGTCGTCTTCTAGATCGCTCGCGCGATCTAGGGTTGGTTATGTGTTCCATATTGTGTAACCAATGGCACGACGCGACAAGGTTTTGACGAGGCGTAATGGTATAACACGTATAATTTTTTCACTGTATCTGTTCGACATTTTTGGAACCGTGGCGCACACTCGATCGAACAACTATATCCCCACGTTTCCTAGCATTCCACTCGCATACCTTGTTTTGACCCGACCGCCCCACCCGACGCGCTCGTTTGTTTATCTATTTATTTATTAGTTTCGAGGGTCTCTTTTATTCGTGGGTAAAAGTTGAACGCTGCTGTCTGGCCTGTCCCTCCGCGACGGGCATGGTGGTGATTGGGTCCGTTTTGTTTCGTTTATCGGACATAACATGTGCCGTTCTACGCGTTCACTACCTAGCAGCCTAGCAGCCTACCACTTATGAAATGCGCTCGCGACGGCCATCGCTCATCAATGGCATCACTATTCATCATGTCCCTGTTTAGGGCGCTCTAAGAGCCGTGCGGAGAGCGCATGTCGAATGATATCGAGGACATGATCGGTGAGTTCCACTGCGCGGGCGATAGCGCGTCGAAGACTTGCTTCCCTGAACGCAAACCCAATCTGCTTTAGGACATGCCAGCGTCACCTCTTCCCTCGTGACCAGTTCTGGTAAGTATTGCTCCAAGTACAAACATATGCGGGATGTGTTCATGACCGCGAGTCCGAGACACGATCGGACATATGGCTACGGCGCTGGAGTGGGGACGTCGAGATGACTCTTAGATGCAGAAGGCGAGCTAACGTCGAATAGGAATTAATAGGTGGGTGACGAGCTCCCCGAGTCGCCCTCGCGATCGTAAAGATGGCTGATCCACATGTTCTGGCTTAGTAGACTCACGGTCCCGGCGAGCGCTTTCGAGACGCGGGATGCTGAAACACTGCCTCGAGGGGGCGCTCGTCGTTGGGGGCCGACATGCCGTGGTGCGAGATGCCGCTGTGCCAGCGCTATTGACGTTTGCATGCACGTTTGCAACTCAATGGTGTCAGTGTCTGCCACACTGATGCCCCCTGAGTTTTCGGAGGCCAGCCTCCCCCCGCGTCTTCCGTTCCAACGGAAAAGTCCTGGCACTAACCCCCAATGGCCTCAGCTCAGGTTGACGTACGGAGAACGGTGATCGCCTCACTGGATTGGGCGGGATGGCCCGTGCGCGGGAGCGACGCGAAGAGTGGAAGGTTACTGACGCGGTTCTGTGGACGGCGCAGGGAAGTGGGAAATGGGGAAGCGGAGACGCGATCAGGTGCGTTTCCTTGCTCTGAACGGCGCAGACGCCCGCCCCTCAATGCCCCCAATCAAACGGCGTTGCGAGACCGCTGAACACATATCGGCACCTGCTCCCTTTTATCCGAGCGTGCTTTTGTCACATATATATTCCCTGCCCATCTTATGCCTTTCTTCCCCCTCTCCCCCGCGCTAATTCTCCCTTTCGACGCGCGCCATGTTCGGCAGCGCCCTCCTCGTCCTGCCCCTCCTCTCCCTCGCCTCCGCCTCCGCCGTTAACCATCGTGCACCCGAGGCCAAACAGGAGCACGATATCGGATGCTCGGACGCGTCGCGCACCCTCCCTGGCACTTGGTACCAGCCCCTCGACCACTTTGCCCATTCCCTCTTCCGGCGTCAAACGACCAACGCGACCAACTCGACCAGTCCTGCAGGTTTCCCGCCAGTCGGCTCTCCAAGTAAGCCGCCCTCTCTCCACCTGCGATCACCACCGTAATACCTACATGTTTTCTAGCATGGACAGCGGCCTATCCATCAGACACGCCCGACTCCACCAAGATGCCCCAGGCATGGAAGGATGCCCTCAACGCGGCTGTCCAGGCTGGCAAGATCCCGAACATCCCTCTCGGGCATCAGACGAGCTCCGGTTCTAACCCCACCTACGGAAGCCTTGATCCCAACGGCCCCGAGGTCTGCTCTGGGACTTATCAATGTCGTATACCCGGTCAGATTTGGGATGCCCCAGCTGGCACGCTTGGTCTGTCCTTCGATGATGGTCCTCTACCTGTCAGTTCCTTGATCCTTCAAAACGAATCCCTGCTAACCACAATCCAATCTATAGCCATCAGATCGGTTGTACGCCTTTTTGAAACAGAACAATCTGCATGCAACCCATTTTTTCATCGGGGAGAACATCCTCCAGTACTGGAAGGAGTTCCTGCTCGCGTTCGAGACCAATCAAGATGACATCGCCGTGCACACGTATACCCACCCATATATGACCACGCTCTCGAACGAGGACGTTGTTGCCCAGCTTGGCTGGACGATGCAGATCATCTACGACTCGACGGGCGGCCGCCTCGCAGGGTATTGGCGCCCCCCATATGGCGACACCGACACTCGCGTCACCGCTATTGCGAAAGAGGTGTTCGGACTTACCACCGTTGTCTGGAACCAGGAGTGAGCATTCTCCGGCCATGTGCTCACATTTGTGTGGTCTGATAGTGGTTTCAGCACCGAAGATTGGAGCATCGGTGAGGCACACGGGACGACTCCGGCGGCAATCCAGAAAAACTTCCAGACATGGCTCGCCGGTATGGCTCAGCTTCACCCCCTGAATTTGAAACCTCCGAACTCAATGTTTCCTGCCTCACCTCAGGTCCCAAGAGTCCCGGCTTGATCATCCTTGAGCACGAGCTCATGAACAGCACGGTGCAGGCGTTCATGGACGGTTTCCCGCTCATGACGCAAAACAACTGGTCGATCGTCTCCGTTGCGCAGCTCAATAACAGCAACGCCTACCAGAACTCAAAGAACTCGACCAACCCCGTCCTCTCTGCGGTCCTCACCGCTGGAGGGGGCAACCGTGCTGGCCTTCCGACCGCGCCCCCAACTTCCAGCGTGTTGCCTAGTACGAGCTCCGCGGCGCAGGTGTCAGCATTGACATCGGCGTCGAGCACGCAGAGCCTAAGTGGTGCGCAAAGGAACGCCGCGCGTGAAATGAGGTCCCCGATGCAGGCTATGTTCGCCGTCATCGCGGGTCTTTGCGTTAGCCTCTTCGTGCGCCTGTAGCCGGCGCAAGATGGACGCCCATTGACACTGTCCCTCTGTTCGATGCACACGGACTGTCCTTATCGCTATCGATCTCTGCGCTGTTTCGCCCTCACTCTCTCCCGTCCTTACCCTCGTCTCTCCCCCTGTTGTTAACATATGCTACGACCGTGACGCTTCGTGATTTATTCGCACTTTCGCTCACTGCTTGCTCGCGAACTTATGCTACTTTTGCTTATACCTTTGGACCTTATGGCACTTCCGTCCCCAATTTCGCCAGGACCCATCGATCACCAATGTCTTCCGTTCTTTGCTTTTTCTGCTGCTCCTCCTGTTGTCGTTGTTTTGACATTGTGACGCATCCCCCTGGACTTTTCTTCTCGAAGTTGCGGTTTCCAAAATCAATCGTAATACCCTTTGGACTTTGCGGTCTACCAGTATCTCACAGATGGAGCATCTCAAACGTGTGGACCGAATAGAAGAGGTTCGAAGTATTTTGAAGAGCGGTCAGCGATGCGGGGTTCCGGAGTATCAGCAGGTTCTTCTATTCAACGTTTACTCCGAACCATCTATGTTGAGTTTTTTTTAGAACTCTCGTCAGCTCTCGTCCAAGGCGGCGGCAAGAAGGGCCTTCTTGTAGCCACTTCTGCACATATAGCCTTGTATGGGGGTGTATTAGCCCGACATGCCCATGAATAGCGACTGACGTCACGATGGCACCCGTTTCACTGGAGCCGTCGAAGCCTCTCGAGCAAAGTTCACGCCTGATGGTGCGCATCACGTACGGATTGTCGGCATTCAAACCTTCCTCGAGCTCCGGGCCTTCTCTCCTATCCGCAATCAGAGAACACCACGTACTGCCATCATTCGCTGTAGTGCATCATGTGTGTGAGCATTTATGTCGCGTAAAAACACAGCGCGGTCGCGCGCGTACCCGCGGTGGGGTGAGCCATCGTGAAGTAGAAGTAGGAGATCGTGAGAACGTAAGGACCACATACACCAGCAAGAGGAACACACACAAAAAAACAAGTGCAACAACGAACGTTCGAATATAGGTCAAAGAGACAGGTGCGAGGGGGTCGGGACTGATGAAGTGCGAACGGATATACGGGGATGGATGGAAGGGCGGAGGCGGGCGTAGGGGGAGGGGGGTATTAGGTGCGGGAAGGGATAGTGTCAATCATAGTCCAAGAATGATCATCGAGCCAGTGAGGCCAATGAGGGTGAAGTGGGTCAGATGACAGGGGGAGGTGAAGCACCCTGTCTGGGTATGCTCGGAGAGCGTGTATAGGGAAGGGCGGCAGAAGGCAGGGTCGGGCGTAGCTCCAGCATGAGCTCAACTGTTACAGATCGGCAACAAGTATTTCTAACATAGATCGCGTCCGTACATGGCCGAAGCCATTGGAGGACTCGTCACCTCCATATTGCAAGGCACTCCAAGACCGGATATTACGGGGACGCGCAGATGCGTGAGATCACAGTAGACTGGGCCACTTGATCTTCAGGCCCTCGAGCCAGCGCATGTAGAGCAGCTCGGCGATGGGTGACCGTTTTGTCGGCGAGCTCGGCTCCGCCTTGTCTGCAGCGTCCGCTTCCGACGGCCCGGCCACCTCCTCGAGCGTCTCGGTAACGATGAGGCCCTTGCTCGTCATCTCGCTCTTGCGTGTGACACGCCTGTGCGGGAAGAGTTCGCGCGAGGTCTGTATATGCTGTCGCACGCCTTGATTTCTGCTTGGGCTTGTGAGAATGAGGTGAAGCGCGATAGGTGAATGACGTACTCGTTGAGGCCCGCAAGGATGTCGAGGATGACGCTGTATGCCAGCTCTGGGTTGACCTCTCTCAGCTCCTCGAACCCACGCGAGAGCATGCTCAGGGATTCGATTTCCCGTGCATCCATGTCATCAGTGATAGCCTTTGATATCGAAGGTCAGCGAACGACGCCAACAACAGATCGGGGACACGGGATACCTTCTGCAGTGTGGGCAGCACGACGTCATCCACGATCGACCTGCCTGCCTTGGCCGCCTCGCTCGCAGCGCGCTTGTGCAGCGACTTGTCCTTCACCGGCGAGTTCGGCGCCGATCCATCGACGCTGCTCTCCTTTCGGATGCTCCCCACATAGTCCGCAGATAGCCGGAGCGACCCCGCCGTGTCGACTTTCTTCACCGGCCGAATCGTGTCCACTCCTGTCCCAATGTCCGCTTCCCGCACCACTGTCCCACCCACCGAGTTCCGCGCTGCATACGATGCGCGCCGGGGCGTCCGCACATAGGCCGGCGGCGCGCCGAGCGGGTCGGATTGAGGAGGGGTCGCGGGGGTCGCGACCACCGCCTCCTCTGACGAGGTGTCGGCCTCGAGCGCGGGCATGTCGAGCGCGGGGGCCGCTGACGCTGTCCGTATTGCGATCGTCGAGTGCGCAGCGCCCGCATTCATCCCGATTCCAACTCCATTCGTCATGTCGCTGCCTTTCGCCGCAGCGCTGGTGTCAAGTGAGTCCCTGTCCTCCATTCCATCATATGCGGATCCCTCATCGGCGTCATCCTCGGGGACCATTCCTGGCGGCATGAGGTCCTTTGCCATCCCTCGAATCGTACCCATCGCCGCGGTCGACCGGATCGTCTCGAAATTCCAATCGCTCCGCAGCGTTCCGTCCCAAGAGGCTACACTGTTTCGCATTGACTGTTGGTACATCTGAGGCGCGCGGTGCGGCGACTGCGTGCGGTAATCTTGGTACCGCTCGGTCAACTCGGTGAGGTAGGACGTCTTGCGCGCACTTCGGATAAACCGATGCTGGAGAAGTTCCTTCGCCGTAGGCCGCTGCGTGGGTGTCCCACGACTCAATAACAAACGAAAGCAAGGGTGGAAGTGCTACTCACGCTATTTGGGTCCTTCGTGAGGCATTGCGCGACAAAATCTTTGAAGGCGAGTGAGAATGGGCCTTCTAACACCGGAGGCTTTGCTTTCGGGATCAGAAATAGCACCCGCATGGGATGGTATTCCGCCAGTGGAGGCTCGCCCTTCGCCATCTCGATCGCCGTGATGCCCAGACTCCACATATCCGCCTTTGCATCGTACCCCGCTTGCCGGATGACCTCCGGAGCCATCCAAAAGGGTGTCCCGACAAACGTATGTCTCAGTGTGCTCGTCAATTGTGCGGCCACACCAAAGTCGGCGAGCTTCACTTTGCCCGAGGCAGAGAGGAGGACGTTCGCAGCTTTGATGTCGCGATGAATTGTGCCTTCACCGTGAAGGTAGTCGAGACCTAGGAGCAGTTCACGGCAGATGACAGCAATATGTGCCTCGGAAAATACGCCGGGTTTGAGAAGGTCGAGACAAGAGCCACCTGCAAGATACTCCATGACGATCCAGAGCTTGTAGGCGACGACGAACGAGCCATAGTACCGTGTCACGAATTCCGACTCATGCTGCGCAAGGTTGGCAATCTCCTGCTGGATCTCAATAATATCGTCGTCCGAATCTTCCAGATCTGCAGACGACAACGATGCAACATGTCCAGAAAGAATGGAGAAGAACAGGCGAGGTAGGGCGTACCGATCTGCTTTATGGCGACAATCTGCTTGGTATCGTTGTGCATGGCCTTGTAGACCGTGCCAAAGCTCCCGGTGCCAAGCTTTTCTAGCAGTGTATACTGGCTGGCCGGGTTGCTGCTGGGTATCGGATATGGCTCCCTTGGTCGCGACTTGACATCGGGAGAAGGGGGCGTCGAGCTTGACGATTTGGGCTGTGAGGACAATGATGAGCCGATGAGACTCGGTTTTCTGAGACGCGAGCTGGGCATGGTGGTGAAGGGAGGATATGTGGGAGCAACGGGTGGGAACGGGGAGGAGTATCGTGAGAGGCCCGAGCAGGCGTTTGCAGCGTGCGCTGCAGTCTCAAGAAGAACGGGCTTGGTGATAGCGTGCGCACGTGGGGATCCATGCGTCATCCATGATTTGGTGCACAACTCGAGGCATCAAGGAAATACGATTGCCGTGCCAGAGTCGTGCTCCGCGGGACCAGGACAGGAAATAGGGGTCACGAGCAAAAAACACTCACCATAACTGGTCGTTAATAGAAAGCGTAAGGTCGTAAAGTCCGCAGAACTGTCAAGGCCTATTTGGCCTGAAGAGGGCCGTCGAATGACGCGCTGACGCCGTGCAGGGATGACGGAGCGCTCTGAGAGAGACTACGCGGACGGCTTATATGGTCCCGAAACGGCAACGACCCGGAAGAAGCGCTGGGTGGGAACGGCGGAGGCAAAAGGTACGAAGAGCAGAACGAGTCGGTCAACGCAGGGCAACAGGACTGGGTCAGTGAGCTTTGAAGAAAAAAAGCAGGGCGGGCGACTGTCGAGTCGGGGCGATGCCTGGCGATCTCTGGCGATGCGCTAACGTCGGTCGGCATATTCTGCGCTAGTGGCTTGACGACAAGGGCGCAACTTCGGTCCTAACAGCGTGCCATTCGGCCCACTCCGGTCCCCGACCGGACGCGACTCCACCTCCTCAGCTCTGTCTGATTTTTGAACTACATTTCGATGGACTTGCAAATCAATAAGTACATGGAGGATCCATTGCGTAGCAAAACTAACATATCCTCAGCATATCGGTAGGTCAAGACGGAAAAGGCAACTTTCTAGGCAAGAACGGAAACGGCGGTGAACCTATGCATGCCTTCACCTCCCAAAGAGGAGATCCATGTACACCCAGACATACTAGATAGGAAGTCTGATCTCGGCGTTTGAGTTGATCCTAGTGGGAGTGTTTTGTTCGTGCAGCATTGAAGCTTCGACCTTGAATGATGGCCGACCCGCTGCGATCTTCAGAGCTTCAGCCGCGCCAACGAAAATACGTCTCGCCTGGGAGAAGGATCCAGCTATTCGGCCAGCCTAATGCGATGGGGATATCATTGTCTGGATATGATGGCTTCGGAGGAGTACTTGATGCAATGGGCCGCTACTTTCTCAACGTGCCATTAGCGGGTTTAATTTTAGTAGCGAGAATGAGAGAATACAGGGTCCCAAGGCTGAGGAACTATCCATCTCATCTACACCAGTGGCTCCCGTCTCGAACGCCGAACTCCCTGAAAGTGTACGGTATCCGCTACGGATGTAGCCAAGCACCGGAAAGGTTAATAAATTCTTGACTGGAATGAATCAAAGGCTACATGATTTATGACACCTTAGATTTGGAAGCTAGGTCAAATGCCCTAGGTAAAGCTTTGAGTCAAGGCAATACCTGTGAGATCCTTACCTCATTTCAGCCAGCTTCAACATGGACCACGGACATACGTCAATGTCAAAAATCATACATAGATCTATGCCAAGATGACGAATGTCTGATCGGGTGAGTGGTATGCGTACAAATGCGATGAGTGACGGAGGAGCTAGTCAGAGGAAGAGACCAGATATGCGTGGGCCAAATTGAGGATAAGTAAGTGGTCAGGAAAGGGGTACGTCGTCGTGATGTCCATTTCCAAGTGATGGCGATCTGAATCTCAACAGGGAACCTAAGTGGGACGCAGAGAGCGCGGCTCAACGACTGGCCGTGACCGATTTTGCGCGAGTAGGACGTGAGTCAGATCGTGTGCCCATCGAGCCGGTGCCAGCACCTGAGTGGGGAGCTGGTAAGTGAACCGAGCGCGTGTGAGCGGCCCGCAAGGAAGTTCGAGTGGCAATGAGACGAGAAGAGAGGATCGCACTAGGCGTCTTTAGTTTCGCGGTAGGACCTCCTACCGCACCTCTTTTCGTGTTTCCTCCAATAGGCCTTGAATTTGATCGTGTAGCCCCGTTCGAGGCCATCTTCCCATTGAGGCGACTGGCTGCGTAGCTCGGAGCACGAACGGCACCGACGGCCTTGATACCAGGTGCAGCATCCAGAACTTTTCGCCTCTTGGACGCAGAAGCGGATAACTGGCTCTCGCCCTCTTCGTCCATTCCTTCCTCTCCCTCCGCACCGCTCGCCTCTACTGAGGTCGGTCCCTCCCAGTTCGCCCGTAAGGAAGACGATTTCGATACCACCGGCCGGAGCCGTGTCACCGTTGACGATCGTCTCCTTCCGACCTTATTGGGTGAGAGCTGGCTCATGGCACGGATCCGGCTCTTTGCAGCCACCGTTGAGTGCGGCCATGGCCTCTTCTTCCCTATTCCGCTCGAAGAATCCGTTGTGTCCGACGTCGACGTCGACGTCGCGCTTGATCCTGAGTTCGATCCAGTGCGCAATGTCGATGCATGTCCGACCGTAGTTAATGCCGCCGTCGATTCTTCGCTCGCCATGCTCGCTTCAGTGCTGCTTGCGACAGTAGCCACCGTCGCAATTGACATGTTTGACGGGGCTCGCAACATCGGATACGTGTAAGTCGTCTGACGAGGTGGCGGTGTCCTCAAGGTTACGTCGAAATCGTCCTCCTCGTCGATGTATTCGTCGTCATCATCATCTTCCTCTTCTGATGCAGCATATTCAACCTGGTTGCCTTCCTCTTGAACCCCTGACATAACGACGTCGTCGCTCAAGCCACCGACGGAGCTGGGGTTCACTGGCTCACGAGGTTGCAAGAGCGACCTAGAAAAATGCGGCTCGACACCACTCGCTGAGGCCGCTGAGTCTGGAAGCCCTGGATCGTCGTCGTGCATGTTCATGTCGTGTTCAAGGATGGGTGCGTAGTTGCTCGACGCGTGCCGAGGTTCTGGCATTGCCAATCTCGAGTTCGTGGGGAGGGGCGTGGGTGGATACGCGGATGGGAATGCAGGGTAGGCGCGCCAGTCGTCTGCCGCAGTCGCCTCGCCAGAGGAAGTCGGAACGTGTGCCACTGACGCAGGCAGAGGGTCGCTAGGTGCGCTCGCCTCGTCGTCGTCATGTGCAGAGCTCGAGGGATACCAGATCTGATGTTCAGAGGCCACTTGTCGTGGTGCATAGATTTTGGAACCTTGGTCTGATGGCCTCCTGATCGCATTAGGTGCCAGACCGTTGGGGGGATATCCTTCAGAGGCAGATCGACGAAACTCCGACTGAGGTGCGCGCCGCGCATGGGACGACTCCTTACCATTCACATATATGGAGCTGCCCACGACCGAACGAGAGTCAGCATCAGAGTCGATCTCCGTGTATGTCGTCTCCGGACTGTCAGAGGTCGGGCCGCGATACCACGAGATGATAGGATAGAGGGGGATGGAAACGACCAGCAACACGAAGTCTCCGATGTTGTGGATGAGGTCCAAGATAGAATCCAGAGTAGCGACATATGGCTTGATCAGAGGACGGATGACGTGTAGATAAATAGGCTCGGCACCCTACGGAGAATTAGTGACTGCGAACATTGTAGGATCAAGAAGAGCTCAACTCACTCGAGCGCGAGACAATATGAGAAATATCAAAATAACAGACTTAATCTCGTCGTAAAAAGGAATGAATATGCTGATGATGCCTTCTATTACGGCTTCGTACGCTGCCAGACAGCACTACAGAACATACGTTCAGTCACTCATGAGTCGGACAAGCGAGACATGCTGCCCACTTACCCAAACGATCCAAACTGCCATGCAACCTTTCATGTCGCGCTTCCTCTGCGTCAAGGCGCGGACGGTCGGGTGCCCTGTCCGAGAAGACGGTGTAGGTAATTTGAGCGTCTTATATGTTTGGTAAAGGTTCTGAAAGACGAGGTAGGATCGCAGAGCGAGGGTAATTAGACCCATGACGGGGCTGAGAGGAGTGGTGTGGCCGTGTGTTCAAAGTCGTCTATGAAAGGCAACAGACCGAAATACAACAGAAGCCTCGTGGAAACGCGTCTGCACAACTTCGCGTTCGGTGGACCCCTCACGTGCTCGATTAGGTAACGCGCGCTTCCTGTCTCTTGTTCTCAACGTCCATCTCCTCGTCTCCCAGATGCCTAAGATTCGGACAACAAGAACGAAAAAGCCGCCAGAAGGCTTCGAGGATATCGAGGGGGTGAGCCCTTTTATGTACATTGCGGCTGACTGGCGCTGAGGGTCTCTACAGGTCCTCGATGACTACGCAAAGAAGATGCGTGATGCCGAGAACGAGTCGCATGAAGGCAAGCGCAAGACTGAATCTCTCTGGCCCATAATGCGCATATCGCATACCCGCTCACGGTACATATACGAGCTGTATTACAAGCGCGAGGCCGTCAGCAAGGAGCTATATGATTGGTTGCTGAAGGAGGGGTACGCTGACGCCAAGTGAATATCACATCCCTGACCAACGCGCTCTCGTTCAGTTTCTCACTTTTGTCCTTAGCCTGATTGCCAAGTGGAAGAAGACCGGCTACGAGAAATTGTGCTGTTTGCGTTGCATTCAAACCCGAGTGCGTTTGTTACCTTCTTGGTCGGGCTTTCACTGACAGTCAAAACTAGGATATGAATTACCAAGGCTCTACTTGCGTCTGCCGTGTGCCTAAAGCCCAAGTTCGGGCGGGTACTATTGTTGAATGCGTGCATTGTGGTGCGTCCGCATATTTATCACTTTCTTTTGCGAACTTACCCCTTCCAGGCTGCCGCGGCTGCAGCTCTGACTCGTGAGTGGCGACGAAGGCTCAGATGGCAATGAGCCTGGGTAAGAGAGGTGTGTTCAACGCCGTCAACCGAAGATTGAGATTGTCTAGCCACTTTGAACGATGCTGTCATGGTTCCTTGCAGGGTATTCCCGAAGCTGTCATGGATGTACTCTAGTGTAGACTGCCATAAACGGATTCGATGCTTCTCTGTCCTCCCGCTCCTTCAGCCATCCATGCTCTCGTACTTACCTATCTTTGCATGGCTTCGTTGGCGTCCGTGTCCTCAAACAAACGCCATAGGTCTACATAAGAATCAGTAGAACTAGCAGTTTGAACTGAGGGCCCTTGGCCCGATCCAGGCACAGGCTACGCCACTCAGCGGTACCCTGAGTCTCTATCAGCCTCCTGTCTTAGGCTTACTCCCAGCCGACCCCACTCCCGCGTGCGGCGCTCAGGGTTGTCATTACCATCCCAGACCCTTGTCTTTGTTGTCTCCCAACTTGAACAAACCTTCGATACCCTCGCATTATCATGGGGGAATTTTCGAATGCGGTTTACGAGGTATCTCGTCAGCTGTTCAAGAGGAACGCTACAGAACAGGTACGCCTACCTCTACGCCGATCGCAGACTTGATTCCCACCATGCTTGCAGGCGGGAGTCTTTGCAGGTTTGAATCCCGCATCGTTCAACTCTAACGACCCTTTCCCGCTATGGGTCATTCAGACCAGTGAGTGACCCCCTTGAGTTTCAAGTTCTCGAGCACTGAGAGGTTGTGATTCAGTTATCATTATTGGCATGACGCAGTTCCTATCTCTTTTCCTTTCACGCATGCGACAGCCTCGGGTTATTGCTGAAGTTATTGGAGGCGTTATCCTTGGACCCACTGTCATGGGCAGGATTCCAAACTTCACGCAGTCGATATTCCCGAAGGACTCGTTGCCCATGCTCAACCTGACTGCCACCATTGGCCTGGTATTCTTTCTTTTCCTAGTGGGCATGGAAGTGGATATCCGCATCGTAAGACGGAATGCCAGGGCATCGGCTGCTATCTCCATTGCAGGCTTGGTCGTCCCCCTTGGGCTAGGCGCTGCGGTGGCTATTCCCATTTACAGGGAATTCGTAGACCCCAGTGTTAATTATGGCTACTTCATCCTTTTTGTCGCTGTCGCTATCGGCATCACCGCGTTCCCAGTCCTATGTCGTATCCTCACAGAGGTGAAGCTCCTTGACACCACTGTCGGTGTTGTTGTGCTCTCGGCCGGCGTAGGCAACGATGTGATTGGGTGGATTCTCTTGGCACTTACGGTCGCTCTGGTCAACGCATCTACAGGCTTAACTGCTCTGTACGTTCTGCTCACCGGAGTCGGCTTTGTCCTGTTCTTGCTTTTGCCTGTTCGATGGGCATACGTGGCTTTGGCAAGGTGGACCGGAAGCTTGGAGGCTGGACAACCGAGTGCTATGATGATGACTCTCACACTTGTGATTGTCCTGGCTTCAGCATTTTTTACAGACATTATCGGCATCCATGCTATATTTGGTGCGTCATGTCTGCGATAACAGAAACAAGATTAACCAGTGGTCATTAGGAGGGTTTCTGGCAGGCCTCATCATTCCGAAGGAGAACGAATTTGACATCGCGCTCGTTGAGAAACTTGAAGACCTCGTTGGGCTCCTGTTCCTCCCTCAGGTGCACCCTCACCTGTATAACATGCTCTACAACACAGCGACTTATCTCCTCATTCCAGTACTTTGCTCTCTCCGGCCTGCGCACCGATTTTGGAACCTTGGACACCGGCCTCACTTGGGGGTACACGATATTAATATGTGTTGTCGCGTTCTTCTCCAAATTCCTCTCCTGCGGCTTGACTGCGAAGGCATTCGGTTTCAATCCTCGCGAGTCAGGAGCCATCGGTATACTGATGAGTTGTAAGGGGTATGCACTCTGCTTCAATGAAACCGCACGCACATACTCATTTCCTTTCTAGCTTGGTAGAACTCATTGTTCTCAACGTCGGGCTGCAAGCCGGTGTTCTCAACACTCGCGTCTTCTCTATGTTCGTCTTGCACGCATTGGTGCTCACCTTCCTAACGACTCCCCTTACCCTCTGGGTTTACCCCGCACGAGTCCGTGTCCGCGTCGGAACTGTCTCTGAGAAGCAAGGGCCAGGCGCAAGGACGGGAGAGGATGGCGATGGCATTGCAAGGACCTCCGAGGGCTCTCTCAAGACCAGTTTTGCCGTTGTCCTCGACAGAATCGAGCAACTCCCGGCAATCATGACGATCACGCAGCTCCTCCAACGTCCTGCGCCATGTGGGGCTCCACCTCCCATGTCTGATGTCTCACACACTACCACGAAGTCATCTGCAGGCGACAACGTCAATCTACCAGTCTTGACCTCAGCGGCTGCACCGCATTCTCAGCCCACCGCCATTCATGCTCTCCGACTCATCGAATTGTCAGAACGAACGTCGGCGATGCTCAGATCACAAGCAGCGGACTCGCTTATCCAAAGCGATCCCGTCCTATCTGTTTACCGAACCTTTGGCCGCTTGAACCGCTTCTCGGTGTCGACCTCTCTTTCTGTTGTCCCATCTGAAGAGTTTTCTGCGAACGTGACGGAGCATGCGCTGGAGAATAAATCGCAGATGGTGATCATTCCATGGAGCTCCTCTACCGTGGCGGTGGCCGACGAATCTATCGCAAGCTCCAGTTCCTCGACTCCTTACAATCCATTCGATGGTCTGTTCAGCAAAAGTTCGGGAAACTTGAGGCTGGAGCACACGTCTTCTGTCGTGTATTCACAGTTCGTTCGGAGGGTCTTCGCCAACAGCCCTGTCGATGTAGGAGTCTTCATCGACCGGGGACTCTCCTTGAGTGGTTCACAATCTCATATCTTCCTTCCCTTCTTTGGAGGTCCCGATGACCGCCTCGCCCTGTCCTTCGTCATTCAATTATGCAACAATGATTCCGTGACTGCCTCGATTGTGCGAATCAAAAAGACGGATCTGGACGCCGATTCGATCACCTCTGAAATTGCGATGAAGTCGCCAGTGACTTTCCCAGGCATCACGAGCTCAAATGTACGTGCCTTCGGCAGAACTATCCTTTTTTCTCGAATGCTGACGACGTACTCGCAGACGCTGACCTTCCCCGACACGGTCTACGGCCAACGTGACACTCAAACGCGTCTTCAGTCCGAGACGGCGGATAACATCCTGTGGTCGCAGTTCACGTCCTCGGGCACTAGCCATTCCCAGGACGTCGCATCCGCCCTGACGCGCATCACGTTCACCGAAGAATCGACGTCGAAGCCCCTGCACCGCACGATCGAGATGGCTGCACAGCTCGCTCAGTTGCCAAGGTCGTTGTTCATCGTCGCCGGCCGGTCGAGACGCATGGCCGTAGACTCTCACCAGGCGGAGCTTCGTCAGCTCATAGCGGAGAAGGGGATCAGCGTTGGATCTGAGGCGCCTAAAACTCTGGGAGACGTAGCCGCTGCATATGTCGCGACTGGGGTCAATGCCAGCCTAGTCGTGTTGCAAGCCTGTGCCTGATACGATGCGATGTTCGATTGCTTCATCCTTTTACGATCTCACGGAAAACACTATTTTTATCTTCTCCTGTACCGATATTCTTCATCCTGTGTCTCGCGTCTGCGAAGGCATAACCTCTGTACTATCAAAGTCACCGAGTACTTTATATATCCAAATGGCAATCTCAGTCTTGTTTACGAATTTCGGATCTCAGAATCCGGCGCTCGTGTATGACTAAGCAATGGCTGCCGACACTTTCAACCTGAAGGAGGTTTGGAGCCTTGCTGGTTCGACCTCGTCGTCAACATGATAGCGGCAGAAGCAAGGCTACGTACGCTTGTTGACCTTGTGTCTAACTTCGTGAAGGCTCCGCCCATCGACTTGTACCCGCAAAAGGCAAGTCTCTAGTATGCCGTGTCCTTGTAGGTCCTTGTTCTACGCTGCTCCGCTGCCGAGTATAAAGATGTGAATACCGAGTCACACCGTTTCTACATCCCGCGTTTCAACGTAAATAGTGAGTCGATCCACTTCCTTCCCCCTTCGTCGCGAGCGCGCGCTCGCTTCTCAAGCAGCATCGACCTGCGATGTCCTTCCGCCGGTGCTGACTCTTGTCGATCGGGTTTTTCGATCCATAGCGCGGGTTCTATTTCCTTTTCATGATATCTACGAGCGCGACCAGACAGAAACCGATTTGCAAGAGGTGCGGTGAGAGAACTTTGGGGCACAAGCGCCAGGGCGGGCGCTTGGTGTGCCCGGGCGGGCTCGACCCGCCCCCGACGACCCGCCCGCGCAAGCGCCGCCGCGGCCTGTACGAGGACGAGGACTCTGATACCGACGACCCCCTCCTCCTCAAGCCTCTTTCGTCCGGCGAGGCGCAGCCCCCCGCGTCCCGGAAGCGCCGCGTTAGCTACCAATACGATCGCGACTACTACGGCGACCAGGAAGAGCATGATGGACGTGACGCGCCCGTGCTCTCGGCGCGTGCGCGCGAGATCGTGGCTCAGAATCACTGCGTGGGCCAACTTACGCGCGTCGGGGTGCGTTTTACCTCGGAGCCCGCTCCCAACCTGAGATTCCTGGCGCCGGCCTTCGTCCCCGGCCCTTCCATCGAGGCCGCCCAGGACGAGGGAATGCCGACCGAGAGCAGCGGGGCAGGTCTGTACCGCATAAACGACGGGCTCAGTGTCGCTGGGGACGAGCAAGAGGACGACGAGGACGACGAAACTCGCACACAGATGGGCGCAGACGACCGCATTGACGAACTCGGTGCCGCCGGATATGAGCAGGAGGACGAGGAGGACGACGGGACTCGGACCCAGTCGGGCGCAAACGACCACAGTGACGATTGGCGCACGCAGGGCTCGCCTCGCACCGCGTCTCAGACCTTACAGGCCGGCTCTAGCTCGCGGGCTGGCTCGTTTACGGAGCGCTGGGTGTTGGCCCTTGGAAAAGGCAAGCGCAATGCGAGGTCTGCACCCAAGTCGGACCACACCGCGACCCCCTCCCGGCCTCCGTCCCGGATATCTGCGCTGAACTACGCGCCGTCCGGCCACGAGAAGCGGGAGCATCTGGATCTCAGCGCCCTTCCGCAGGATACCGCCCCGCGTGATATTAGGGAGTGGGCCGCCAGCGTCCCCGCCCACCCCAGCGCGCACCACGGACCCCACTCGCACGCAGACGCCGACGACGCGGCGTCGCAATTCGAGTTCGGGATGCCCGCCACCGCCCCCTTCCCTCCCCCCATCGTCGCCTTAGCCGGGCCGAACATCATCCCCCTCGCGCCCTCACGCCCCGCCTCGCCCACCCTTTCTTCCGCCTCCACCACCGACCGCTCCTCCACCACCGAAGACTCCGTCCGCTCCCTGGACGAGCCGCTCACGCCCGCGATGGCCGCCGCCCAGGCGCCCATCCACTACCTCGAGCGCATCCTCCGCGCCGCATCGATTCCCATCGCGTGCATCTGCTGGGTCCCGACCGCGAGCGCCGCGCGCGCGAGCCTCGACATCGCGCGCGCGGGGCTCTTCGTGTCGCTCGCGTACGACACGCACGACGGCGTGTGGATCGTCGTCGCGGACACGAGCCGCAAGCTCGGGTGGGTCCTCGCGCACAGCGCCGTGCTCGTGCGCTCCTCGTTCGTCGCGCACATCGGGGACCTCCCCTGGGGCGCGCCGCCCGCCGCGATCGAGGCCGCGATCGAGGCCGCATTCCATGCGGAGGTCCCCGCGCACCCCGTGCAGCTCATGGGCGGCCAGCTGGGCGGCATCGTCGTATGGTGCAACGCGCAGAATCTACTCATTGCGTGAACCGGACGTGGGCTTCCCCGTGTCTTCGTGAAAGGTAAAGTATGGTAGTCTTTCGCATGTCTCTGCTCTCGGTTTCCCCCTCTGTGCGCGGTTTCCCTTCCCGCGGTCTCTCACTCTCTCACTTTCTCACTCTCTCGCTCTCTGTCTTGTCCTATGCATCTATGTAACCCCGAACCTCTTAAACAGTATGCCCTATGCAGTACTCTGATTATTTTTCTTGTGCAATGCCAATTTCGTTCTGGCGACCCTCTTCTACACGCCGCCCTTCGGGTGGACGTCCGCAAGGCGCTCGCAGCAGCACATTTCTCATAATCGCCGACCAAACCCCATCGAAGAACAAGAGCGGAAAACGGAACCAAAAACGGAAGAAGAAGCGCGAGGGGAACAGAAAATACAACGTCGCGCGCGTTGTGACGCCAGGAAAACTAAGGATCGGCGAGGACGCGCGACAGACGGGCTTATGTACTACCAGCGTGTCGTGACAGGTCGTTACAGTTCATGCGGGGGTATAGATCAGCGACGGCGGGAGAGTTAAATATGGCTGCAACTCGGAAATAGCGGAGATAAAGCCGGGAGGGGGAGACTGTGTAAGAACGACGGTGGGTGGGGATGTGAATGTATGCATGCATGCAAGCAAGCATGTGCGGCGAAGTCGTCAGTTGTATCAGGTAATCAGCACAGAAGAAGAAGAAGAAAACGGATGAATGAAGGGTGCATGTAGCTAGCTAGCTAGGTGCGTGGATAGATAGATAAAGATAGCGAGACGTCAGGGACCTGAAGCATCAGACAGCCCAGTCCTCCATCCCGCCCGCGAGCCCCGCCCTCCCGCTCCAGCTCCTCGCCATGCGCGCCTCGACGCGCTCCTCGGGCCTGCCGCCGCTCATGCTCATGCCGGTCCCGCTCCGCGTCCCAGCCGCGCCCAACAGCCACCCGACCCACCACCCGCCCTCGCCGCCCTCGCTGGTGTCGCCATCCGCGCCCTTCCGCTTCGCGGTGTCGCTGCCCTTGCCCTTGCCCTTGCCCTTGGCGTGGAACCCGCGCCCAGAGCCGGCGCCGCCCCGCGCGCCCGCGTACGACTCGGGCAGCTCTGCAAACGAGATGCGTTTTGGGGTCGACGCGCCGCTCGCAGACGCGGACGTCGCGGCAGAGGGGCCGGCGGGGGCGGTGGGCGAGAGCGGGGTGCGCGGGGTGCTGCCCTTGAGCGCAGAGGCGCGCGGGGGCGAGGGCGCGCGGGTGGAGGCCGAGTGGGAGGCCTTGGTGAAGAGGCGCGAGATGCTGGCCGTCGCGGTGGACGTGCTGGCGACGGCGATAGGGGCAGGGGTGCGTGGGAGGAAGGCGGGGGCGCGTTTCTTCGGGGGAGGGGGCTCGGGGGCTGCGCGGGCCTTGCCCTTGGGGTCCGCGGACGGGGGCTGTTCGTCGAGGATCCTGCGGAGGGCCTGGAGGGACAGGACGGGGTTCGGGTGCGGGTCGGAGGAGTTGCCGGACGAGGCGGAGAGCTCCTCGAGGGGCGGCGTCATCGGGCGGGGGAAGTGGGCGTGGGTCGGCGGCGAGGCGGAGCGTTTCGGCGTGGGGGAACGCGAGTGGGTGGTCGCGCGGCGGCGGCGCTCGGGCGAGAGGTGCGGCGAGCGGAGGTCGGCCGATGCGGTACGCTGTGTGCTGACGGACCGCGAGCGCGACGAGGATCCTGCGGAGGATCGCCGGGACAGGAAGGACGAGAGCATCGTGTACGCCGGCGTCGACGGCTCGGATCCCCGGTCGGTGAGCGTGGGTGCGGACGCCGACGCCGGAAAGTGGGCCGGGGAAGGCAAGTCGGAGGTCGAAGAGGAGAGACGATCGTGCGGGTGGGCCGAGGCCGAGGCGCGCAGGCCGAGGGTCGAGGGCAGCTGGATCACGTCGGGATCCGCGCCCGACTCGATGTACTGCGTCAGCGCCCGCGGTGCCCGAGCGACGAGCCGACTGCGATCCCACTGCGACAGACGCAGCTGCGACTCGTCGATGGCCATGTCTGGCCCATGCAGGTCCGTCGACGACCGGTAGGCGGGGTGGCGCAGCCGCACGCGGGGCCCCGCCGTCGGCAGGCTCCTGCTCACCACGTCCTCGTCACCCCCGTCGCCGCCCTCGCCCACGAGGCCGTCGACGCCCCTGCTGATCTCGTGCAGGTCGTCTATCCAGTGCTCGCGGTGCATGCCGCTGTTGCGCATGCGCCGCGACAGGCCGCGCGCGCGCGCCTCGAGCGACCGATCGGCCGCGTCGTCGGACGAGAGGAGCGCGGAGAGGCTCGTCTGCGTCGACATGGACGACTGCAGGAGCGTGTTGGACATCTCGAGCGCGTGCACGCTGCGTTCGAGGAGCGAGTCGAGGTACAGGTCCGAGGTGGAGGCCTCGGGCGCGCGCCGGCGGGGCGTGTAGTGCTGCCGCGTGCGCGAGCGGATCGGCGAGGCGGAGGGGAGGCGGGGGGCGATGGAGTCGTCGGACTCGGCGTCCGCTTCGTCTGCGCTCTCGGGGTAGTCTGGGGGACGGTCGGATGGGAGATCGTCGGAGAGGGGGAGGGCGAGAGAGGGGCGCTGCCAGGGGGTGGAGGAGTACTCAGGAAGGGTGGCGGTCGTGTCTGAGGAGAGGCGGACGACGGAGAAGCGCTTGCGGTGTGTGCGACGAGGCGGGGAGAGGGACGGGCGGTCCATGGCCACTCAGAACGGAGGGTAAAGAGGGCCGTCTGTTGACTCAACAGACGGCACCGGTGCGGAGGAGGCAAGAGGCGCCTGCGAAGTTTGCGAGACCATTGCACACGCGTCATCGGCGTGACCTGCTCAGTTGCCAACATTCCACGCGCTCGCTCTTCAAAATGAAAGCACAAGAGGCGCCCGGGGGCAAAGGCATGTTACAAAATAAGCAGTAGTACAAGTTCTTCGCTAACTAAGGTATATCTAACAAATCGCAGCGAGGGACGATCAAAGCTCTATCTGTGCGTGTGACAACGATAACGACCCCCCACTTCATGCCTCCGCTCGGACCGCTGTGGGCGTGCTCAGGTCTTCAGCGACGTCGAACGATCCCGCAACCGACTCTAGCTTCCGCTTCGCCATCAGCGACAGCGCGTACTGCACCGCACCGTAGTACGACGGCGCCATCCACAGGAACGACCGTGGGTACTGCGATCCCACCCGGTCATAGTCGCCTGCATTGTGCGTTTCCTCGGTCAACACAGGCCTCGTACTCATGGGATCACACACGTACCGTCCAGCTCCGTCCGCATGTTCAACCATGTCTTGGTGGTATCTGTCAAGATCGCGTTGACGCCCCACCGTGCCGCCTACCCACGCCTCTCGGTTAGAACACCGCTCGAGATCCGTGGCGAGACGGCGCTCACCTCCATCATCTGAGCGGGCTCGTTGACCGTCCACACCATGAGATGCTTCCCAGACTGCTTGCATTCCCTCCGGAACCTGTCTTTCGTGTCAACACCACCCCCTTATTAGACGACAGCCGGCGGGCGCTCACCGTTCACCATCCAGGGTCGAGAGCGACGGGAACCACATCGAAAAGGCATCGCAGTGCTCCCAGAAGTATTTACGTGCGATGTCCGTGCTGCCGCCGATGTATGAGCGCCGGCAGTACGGCATGTGCTTCTTCGCGTGGACAATGAAGCGCGGGTGCCAGAGCCCGAGGATGATGCGCGGGGCGAGCAGCGTTTCCCACTCGGGGTGCGCCGCGATGGCCTTGTGCATGAGCGCGAACAGCCGTGGCGGGTCGTTGTACACCTTGACGTCGACGTTGAACTTGACGTGCCGGTTCTCGGGCTGTCGCGGGCGTGCGGGGCGGGACGCGTGAGCGCGCGGGGGCACGGCGGGAGGGCGAGACGTACCTTCATGAGGAGCGCCACTGTCTCTGCGAACGTCGGGATCGACTGCCTGGGTTCCTTGGTCGTCCGCACGTGCTCCATGCCATCCTGACCGTACCAGGTCTTCTCTCTGATCAAACCTTCCGACCCGGGACGTTCGTGCGCGCGTGCGCGTCAGCGAAGTCTGGCGAACGCCGGTGGACAACGCGGAAACCTACCTTTCGAGTTCGTGGTGCGTTCGAGACCTGGGAAGAGCCGGTCGGAAGAGTGCCGTCAGGGCCGGGCGGAACAAGGGAGAGACGGGGAGGCGGGAGAGACTTACTCGGGTCGTGGAACATGACGACGACATCGTCGAGGGAGACGTGGACGTCTGCTAGCTACGGTTACGGGCTACAAACGACGCCAGCACAGTGTGAAATACCGCTCTCGATGCCCTCGGCGCCATCCCGGATGGCCGCGTCAAAGCTGGCGAGCGTGTTTTCGGGGTACGCTGCGGAGGCCTGATAGCGAGGTGAGCGTTGACGTGGCCCGCGATAGGAGGTGGAGTCGTTTGAAGTGCGATGAGCGCGACGTTCAGGCACGGGAGAGGTAAGCTACTCACGCCGCGGTGGCCCCAGCACTCTAGAGGGCAGATAGGGCTCAGTGACGCGTCGAGTCGGCGTGGAGATAGCAAAGGGACGCACCTGGCAAGGCACGAACCATGGAGTTAGACATTGCAAAGAAAGACGAGGTGGGGAATGGACGTGGACGTGGACGGAGGAGGTGGGAGAGAGAAGGAGGTGGGGCCAAGGTAGCAAGGGCGAGAACGCGGGCGACACCAGCTTTTATAGCGGTGTGCATCAGGGACTGGGTAGAACGTCGGTCCCCGGTGGCGGGGAGATTTTGAGTGGGACGCGGTTACGTACAACAAACGTGTCGTCCCCCGAAGCGAACGTGATCCCGCGTTCGTTGCTCCCGTCCCTCCACCCGGCTGGCTCCACCAGCTCTCCAATCATCGCGCACACATGAACATCCGCTTTCGACTCGCGTCCCATCCAGCGTCATCGTTTCTGATATCAGTCCTCTGCTCCCAGGCAGAGAGCACAGTATCACCTGCCGGCACCGCTCACCCCAGAAAGAAGGTGCAGTCCCACAAAACGTTGCGATTCAGCGCCCCTTCCGTACTCGCGAATCTCCCGGCTTCCCGAGCCCTCAAATGGAGAAATTAGATCAAATGTCCCTATGCGCCTCCTAGCTGCTATTACCGCTGCTACTGCTGCTGCTCCTCTATCGTCCCTTTGGTATCTCGCAGCATGCCGCACCCGATAATCAACTCCTTCTCTATCGCGCACCGGGCCGCCCCACCAGCACCATCCCCTCGTCCTCCTCCGTCTCCGTCCCGTTCTCGCTTCCCTCCCGACGCCGCAGCTCCTCCTCTACCTCCGTCTGCTGCGGCTCATGCACCGCCGCACCGAGCGGAGCCGCGGCCTCGTCTTCTCGGTAAACAGGTGAGTCCGCCCTGCTGGGTTCGACCGGTGCCTCGACAGCGGAATTCTCGCGCTGCTTCTCCCGTGCGGGGGGCGAATCTGAAGCTGGGGCTGGGCCCGCAGGCGATCGTGGGGGGCGAGCGGTCGAGGGGTCTGATATTTCACGTAACGCCGCGACCATCTGATCGTGCACGCGCACCGCGAGGTCAGCGACGTCCGCGACGGTAAGCCCGGTCGTGGGCACGGGGGGTAGCACTAGCGATGTAAAATGAAAAAGAGAATTCCGCGCCAGACATCAGTCAAACAGCGCGCGCGGATGAAAAACGAGCATGAAACGTCGGAGCGTCGGTTCGGCTCATGGCGAGTCGAGACGCGAAGGGGTGAAGAAGGGAAGTGCCTGGAACTTGCGCGCGTGCACGAGGACACGATCGCAAGAGGGTCTGCCTCGCACCTTTAATTTTGAGCGTCCCGCTCTCAAAGACGCCCTTGCGGTACAGCCGCCAGTAGTTCTCGCAGATCACGGGGACGATGGGCACGCCGGCCTGGACGGCGAGGTGGAACGCACCCTTCTTGAACGGGAGCATGTCGTGGTGCTCGCGCATCGAGCGTGTGCCCTCGGGGAAGAGCCAGAGCGACGTCGCGCGCTCGCGCATCGCTTCGCCTGCAGCGGCGAGCGAGCGGATCGCCTTGGCGTTGTTCCCGCGGTCGACGAAGACGGCGCCGGAGAAGGTCATGAATTGGCCGAGGAGCGGCATCCACTGGAGCTCCTTCTTGGCCATGATGGAGGCGCGCATGGGGAAGATCCTGATCCAATATAGCAACGACCCGAAAATTGAGTTATACAGCTGGCGCGGGCGACACGAAAGGTTAGATTAAGATCGACGTACCGCCCGAGATAGAGAATGTCGAGCATGCTCTGGTGGTTGCCCACGAAGACTGCAGGCCGCGTCTCGAGATGCTCAGCCCCCTCGACGCTGATCTTGATGCCCATTACCCGGCTCGCGATGGCGTAAAATGTGCGCGCCACGACGTAGTTGACATCGTAGCGCCGCCCCGCGAGGCTCATGGCGACGGACGCGATCGCACCCCACGCAGAGACGAGGCCGAGGGTGGAAATATAGAGGCTGAGACGGACATAGTACCGCGCGACAGGTGATGAGGCAGAGAGTCTGTGCAGCAGGTAGGCGGGGAGGCCCAGATATGCTATAGGGCGGATTAAAAGGGCCAGGACGGACATGTATGCGATACAAGCGGCAGCGTGGGGGACAGGCAAGGGGGGTGGGCGGGGCAGGAGGGCTTGGGGCGGCCTCGCTGCAGCGACTGTGCGCATGCCGCACTCGTCCGTAGCTCCGTGTGTCGGCCTGGCCCGCTTCGGTCCGGCAACCCAGGCCCGCCCGGCGATGGCATCCTCGCACCCACTGCTTTCTCCGGTCCCACAGCAGGCTCTCCCCAACTGCCCGCCTTCCATGGGTTCGTTCAAGAGAATATTGCGCCTAGCCGCGCCATTTGAAGCTCCCTCACACAATCTCCCATTCATCTTGAGCTTCCGTTTTGCAATCGTTCATCGAGATTCGTCTCAACCGGTCTGCCAGTGGATTCTTCGAAGCAGCCTTCTGGGTCTGGCCTGTCATGTCTCTTGCTTTCCTTTCCCGCAACAAAGAGCTGAGAACGTGGGCTGCGACGCTCTCAACAGCTCAACTTGCCGCCTTTGTCGCCCCATGTTGAACAAGGTTCATGACTCGTCGCGGTCTCAGAGCGCTCTCCTGCATGATGATCAAAGATGGTGCTCTAATCGCTTCCTTCAGCGGCACAATTCAATGCGTCTTCGGCTCAGGCAGCAACGTTCATGATACCTCTTCCACGTACGACTGTCTGCAGATTTCCGTATCTGACGCTCGTCGATGCCGATGAACGTTCGCCGTTCGGCACCTTGCACTGCTTTTGATCGGTGTGAGATACCCTCTCCTCTTATAGCTGTATACAAAACGATAGGCCAGTCGTGGACGATGTAGACAGATAATGCAATCTCCATGTTCTCAACTGGCATTTTGGGCAACCACGAAGCCCTGATAGTGGTCGCACATGCACTGGATCCTAATGCATGCTCGTTTCATTTGCACATTGCCCATTGGTGCATGTATCTGTACACAGCAGAGAATGACAAAAGAGAAACCCTCACAAAGAGGACATAGGGAGGAAAAAATTAGGGATACCAGGAGAAGTCGAGCAGCAGATGTTTTGCAGTCCACCCACGAAAGATGAACCGCGAACCACGCATGCAACCCTGGTACGAGCGCATCAACGACAGCAGACTGCTGGCCTCCCCTCATACAAACAGCCCCCACCTGAGAAGAGTGTGACCAGCAACTTCGACTCACTCCGATCCCTTTGACCGACGATCCAGTTTCCACCTGTGTGCCCGTGCGACGAACTTGGCAGACGTCACTCAATTGCTCTGGACTATGCAGGGCTCGGCTGGTATCGCAAGCTTGTTCTCCGACAAATTCATGCCCTATTGACAATCTCTCGAGATCATCATCATTGCACCTGCACCCGTCTGCGGTCTACAGGTAGGTGACAAGCAAGCATGTTTCGGTCAGTGTGCTATGCAATACCCAGTCCGAGTCATTTCACAAAGCCCGCGGCAGCAGTACGGCTTTTAATACCGGGAAACGTAGACATCGATGTCCACGCACAAACCACTCACTGGGGAGTGAGGGATTCGTTATCGGGGGAGGTGGTCAACATGACCTGCATCTCGCACCCGGGGCAGTAGATCGCAGGGAGTCACTCGGAGCTGTGAAAAGCCATCGAGCAGATCATTGTGCTCGGCCATCGAGACGACGGGAATGTGATAGGGAGGCGCATACAGATGCGAAAGATCGTGTATTTGCGCTCGTACGAATGCGCGCTCGAGGCTCTGGCCCCTCCCGTCCAGAGGAGATCTTCGGGGCGCTGAACGAGCCTAGAGAGGATAAACGAGTGTCTGCTCGACCGGACATGCTTGCGAAAGAAGATGGTAACATCTTGTACGGGACAAGCAGCGCGGTCTCTGGCATGTTGGTTGGGAGGAGAACCAGAAGCGCGCACCTTGGAACTCTTATAGGTGCTCGGCGCCGTGCCATCAGAGGCCTCGCCGACGGGCGCTGCACTATGTAGAGCCAGGCTCGACCGGCAATTCAAGATTCCATTAAATCCAGCTGCAAGAAATGATGATATGCAGTGTGTTCTGGCAGCGGCTCGACAAAGCTTGACACGCAATACTTTTTCGTCGTGTAAGGGGTTGGAGAGCAGTCTCGGAGCGAGGCCGGGGCCGTCTGGCCACGCCGGCGTCCCCCGGGTCCCCCGATTTGAAGGTGGTTTCAAAAATTGCTTCTGAACCAAGGCTGGATGAGCGCAACAATCAACGATCCATTTCTCCTCTCCGCCTACGACCTCTCCAAACGCTTCACACATGCGGGCGACTCGTCTAGACACAGAAGCGGTGTCTCGAACGTCTACGTGACGCACCACCAGCCCGTCGGGAGCAAGGAAGGATATGCTACTGTCGCATCTCACGGAGACGGTGTACACCTTCTGGATGTGAGTTGCTTTAGTGCTTCATGTTCTGTCAGATTGTTATAACGCTATCTGTCATAGGTCTCAAATTTACACCTCGCGAGCTCGCGGACACTCGGGCCTTCAACTAGCTTTTATTGCCCGGCGGTTTCCCGGACAGTCTCTGAAGACGGCGCACAAATACGGAGGACATACGCTGTGATTGACTCGTCACCGGATGTGATCCCGGAAGAGAGCGGCAGGACAGTATGGATGTGGAGGGACGACGAGGCCGGCGAGTCCAGTGCGAGGTCAAGAAACAAAAAGTCATTCGTGGTGCGTTTGCGCCAGTCGCCGGAGTACCCTTTGTGTTTTGAAAATTTATCCTTTGAAGGCTCCCCAAAAAATACACCGGATATATGCGCCGTCCGATACGCCGTCTCTATCACTTTTGGTGTCCCCAAGTGGAGACGTGACAGTAGCAGATGGCGATCTCAATATCCATACCTCTCAAGCGTATTCTGACAGCAGCGCTTCCGTGCGCAAGAGTTTCGTCTTCTCGCAACCGTCGTGCTCTTTTCTCTCTGGTGGACCGTCCTCGCGGTGCGCTGTCGTTTTGTTCTTGATCATCGGAGAACGCCTCCAGCTACATGTTTTGACGGCGGGCGAGGATGGACTTGAGATCGTTTTTGATGATGCCATTCCACTCCAAGACCATGTGAGATTGTTTCTTACGCTATCGTTTTGTGTGAACAACTCACCGATCCATATTCATAGGATATTGCAGACATCTCCTGCAGTCCCTCGGGGTATATAAGTATCCTCAGTACGTCCATTCTTCTGAACATCGCAACCCGTGCTTACTGCTTTCTTTCTCAAGGTCGTGCTGGGACTTGGACTTCTTTCCAATTCCAGCGCACTGGCCCGAGTTCGAGTGTCAGACAGCTTCCCTCACCCTTACACCTCACTCAATTTTCCTTCATTGCCTCCCCACCCTCTGAACGCACATCCGACGAGATCTCCCTCCTCTCCCTCACCTCATCACACGTGCTGCTTGCAGCAATATCCGCGAAGTCCCCAGAACTCGTCTTGCTTTTATGGGATATACAATACTCTGTCCTCCTCACCTCGCATACGCTCCCTATCCCTTCCACCTTGTCCCATCCCAAGGAAGGCATCCGAATTGAGCTCATACCCGCCTCTTCAACCCAAGCCCTCCTTGTGCTGTCTCCTAAGCTTCCCAAAGCTTCGTCAAGTTCGCGTTCGAGCGTTTTGGTTGTACCCTTCACGTGTCCCTCCACATCCACAATTGCAAATGCGATGGGACGCGCTGGCAGTGGAAAGAAATGGCTAGCCACGACTGCCGAAAGCCCCGACAAAGCGCTAGGCTTAGATTCGTCCCGCAGGGATCTCCTCAAGACGATGCGCACGGCGGTTGAGCAGGGCCGGCCAGAGGCCGCTGACACTGCGTTCTTTGCCTGGGTCGAGCGAGAGAAAACTGCTCTTGTGAAAGCCGCGAAGCGTCCCGCGCATCCAAATGCCGTACGCTCTCTTTCGCGTTCTCGAGCACATCCAAATATTTGCTAAATCCGGGCCCAGGTCGATGTGAGCTCTGATAGCAGTCCCGAGTTTGGACATGAATTTGTTCGCCAGCTATTGGATGTCTCCATTCAACCCTCGAAAGGAGCTGATGCTTCGTATTCGCCGAAAGTGACCCACTACTTGCTGCAGAGGCGTGTAGTGTCTGCGAAAATGATCGACGGAGGCCTGCTCTCTGTTTTCCAATCACGCAAGGACGAGGTTAGTGCCCTTCTCTTCTGGTATCAAGGCTGATGCTGATCTACATCTCTTTAATCGCGAAAGCAATCAATACTTCTAGCTCTCCAACATGTGATTGACCTCTCGGAAAATGACATCCTCGCTTTGCTGCATACGGCCATCACATCCCATCGGCAGCAGCAAAAGTCAGATCCAGATGCTATGCAAGTTGACACCCCGCCATCGAACGCCCTAGGGGTTCATACTGTCCTATCGTCATGTGTAAATTACCCGACATCCCTCGCAGCGCTTCGCGTGTCGATCCGACAGCACCTGCGGGACGCGGAGGACGTTACTTGTGTGCTAGAGGTTCTAGATGGGTGGCTCGAGACTTGGTGCACCCAAAGTATCAGTCTGCTACCTAACGCGACCGATAAAACCCCGCGAGGAATTCCGACTCCCAGTAAAAACGTTACTAAGGAGGTATGTCTGCCTTCCATGGATAAGGTACGCACCTATGTCAGATAGCAGAAAATGTGATTTGACCAAAATTTACAGGTCCTCGCGTTTCTTCGCGCCGTCCTTGATTCATCTTTCCTCGCCTTGCTGCAGTATACGCCTTCCCACCGACTTCTCCAACGCCTTTCGGCGCGTTTGGACCCTGAACTCGCGTTCAACGACGAGGTCGAACAGTTGCGTGGTCCGCTGGAGCCTTTCGCTAAAGCGCAGGCGAAGGCCCTTGCAGAGGGGGTGCAGGGTGCGAGGAAGGATACGCAGGTCGATTGGCGGAGACGCAAGAAGCTGCAGCATGAGCAGACGGCGTTGGCTGTCGGGTTATATCAAGTGGAGGAGCTGGTTATTTAATGTTGATTGTATGCTGTTTGAAGGAGTGGCCATTCGACGCTCTTCTTACATCTGTGGCTGAGCGTGTAGACTTGCTTTGGACGCGCTCGGTTCTCGGCAGGCACGTCCGAGATCCGTCGGACGTCGCCTCAAATGACGCACTGACGACCCGTCTTGACCATGACTCTATGATCAGTGGCTGTCAAATTCAGATCTTGTAAAAGAAACCTTTCAGGCTTTGCGATTCATATCGCTTGTAAATAGGTAGGGTATGTCTAAAGCCCGAGTGGCCGTGCTTACAGGTCAGTGAATTCGTTTCTGCTGCATACTGACGTCGTTGCTCAGGAACTAGACGCAGTCAGTGATACGGCATCGAAAGACGCAAGTGCGGACAAGTCTGGTCCAACTATCAAAGACTTGCTCCTTGAACAGGGTTATCCAGTAAATTATCTGGAGATCGTGCCGGACGAGGTGAACGCTATTCAGCAACTGGTACAGACCTGGTGCGCGTCCGGCGATGTCGACTGGATCATCACCACTGGTGGAACAGGGTTCGGAGTGCGAGATGCTACACCTGAGGTATGCCCTGTCGCTATTTTTGTGATGACGCAGGTTGAGACCATTGCTTGATCGCCAGGCGATAGCGCCTCTCATCGAGCGCCATGCATCTGGCCTTGTCCATCTCCTACTGGGCGCATCTCTCAAGCACACGCCTCTGGCTGCCTTGTCTCGGCCAGTCGCCGGAACTATCAAAGACACGCTTATAGTGACGCTGCCTGGAAGCGTCAAAGCGGTCAAGGAGAACATCGAGGCCCTGCTCACGGCCGGGGTAGTGGACCATGCTATCGAGCTGATCAAAGGAGGATCTGGACAGGTTACTCATTCTGCGTTGGCTGCGTCCTCGAGTTCTGAAGGAAAGGCTCTGGGCGCGCATGCACACGCACACTCGCATGCTCATCATCACCACCACCATGGTCCCCACGGGCACGAACACGAACACCCAAGGCCAAGGACCACCCTATCGCAAGATCCTTCACTCCCTGGTACATTTCATGCGCGTCGCCTCATTTCTTTTGCTCAACAGAGCCTCTCTTTAGCCACTGCGCGGCATCGGATCTCGCCATATCGACTCTTTTCTTATGACGAGGCGATGACCACCATTCTGAAGGAGATTCGACCTTTGAAAACTTCTCGCAAGCTAGTGAGCCCTATTCATATGTGAAAACAAAACCATGTTGACACCATATCATACCATAGGTCAACGCGGCCTTGAGGGGGCATATTTTAGCTGAAGATGTCTATGCACCGCATGACGTCCCTAACACATTCACAACAAGCGTTGATGGATATGCTGTCAGATGTGAGCACCCCCTCGATGCGGCAGCTTGTGTGTGCGTGTGGTAAAGCTATTCCAATATAGCAACGGATCCTCCTGGCAAATACAGGGTCGTGACATCGGCCTCACACAATATATCAGAGGCCTTGCCAGAATCCACAATTTACCGCATCAACACTGGTGGCCCCTTACCCGCTGGCACAGACTCCGTTGTCATGGTTGAGGACACTCGTCTCGTGTCGTCTATTACTGACGCAGAAGGGAACGCTGTTGAAGAAAAAGAAGTAGAAATATTGGTTTCCGGAATTGTTGGTGAAAACATCCGTAACCCCGGATCGGACGTCAAGAAGGGCGAGCTTGTCTTGCAAAAGGGTGATGTCATCCACAACGCTGGAGGAGAAATCGGCACGTTGGCCTTTGTTGGTCGACGAGAGGTGTGTGCCAGAACATCCCGTGCCTTGACCGAGTGATACGATTGACAATTAGGTCGAAGTGTTCCGCAAACCTGTGGTTGCCATTCTGAGCACTGGCAACGAGATCGTGGACATTCATCGTCCTGTATCATTATCAGGGAACGATTGGGGTGGTATATGGGACACCAATAGGCCATCTTTACAAGCTGCCCTTGAAGGATTAGGATACGCAGTTGTGGACCTCGGTATTGTTTCGGATACGTTGAGTATCCTGATTTATCTCGCAAAGCGTGCTTTGAACTAAATTAACCCATTAGGGTCGAGGCTCATGTCGAAGCTATCAAGCAAGGCTTGAAACGTGGTGATATCCTGTTGACTACTGGTGGGACGTCGATGGGTGCAAGTGACCTGTTCAAGCCCGTTATCGAGAGGCGGTTCAACGGGACCATCCATTTCGGTCGCGTCGCAATCAAGCCGGGGAAGCCAACGACGTTTGCAACCATTCCAGCTCCGGAGTCAGATGCCGGCCGCAAGCCCATGTTCGCGCTTCCAGGGAATCCTGCGTCTGCTTTGGTTACATTCCACATATTTGTCGTGCCGGCTCTGAGGAAGCTGGCTGGCCATCGCTCTTGCCAATTTCCACGCATGCGAGTCAAGGTGAGCAAGATCGCGTTCAGTATAGACCCCGCTTACAGCCTTCGGACGAAATAGTTGAATGACGCCATGAGGCTGGATTCCCGCGTTGAATTCCACCGCGTCATAGTCCGCGTTGGACAGGAGGGGCCGAGGGCATACAGCACTGGAGGACAGCGATCAAGTCGAGTCGCCAGTTTGAGTGGGGCAAATGGGCTGGTGATGCTGCCGCAGAAAGTCGAAGGGGGTCCTGATCGGATTGAATCTGGTGCTGAAGCCGACGCATACATCATTGGGGAGCTTCAGATGGAATGACATGCATTGAACTACATTTCTGCACTTCCGTCGAATTGCAAAACTTCAGAGCCACATATTGGCAACCTCGGTGAGAAGGGACTAACAAGGACTGACCTACACTCATCAACAAACAGTATTATATAGGGAGATAGCAGGTATAAGGGAAGTAAAAAAAAGAGATACCAATACAGTGGGCAGTCCAAGATTGCTTCGCTATCGTTTGTGTTTAGATTCCTGGAGTGAAGTTTAGTTAGGCGATTGAATCTCAAGCAAGGGACACCCGCCAATGTCAAAACTTCAGATTCCAGTTGTTTGAGCTCTTCTTCAAGTCGCTGACGCTGCTTGACCAGTAACTGTAATCGTCGACTCTCTAATTTATTTGAAGCTGCTCCTGTTCCAAGCTGGGACGCTGGCCGTGACTGAGCAGCTTCGACCTACGCAGTTGAATGCCGAGAAGACGCGGCTAGAGTCAAATGGCGAGTACCTTGGCGTGAAGGAGGCCCTCCTTCTTCAGCAGCCCCTTGAGTCCTTTCTCAGCTCGAGTGATCAACTCGTTGATCTGAGGTTCAATCTCGTCCCGAAGATCAGTCTTGTACTTGCGAACCGTGCTCTCGTCTATGAGCAAAAATACCTTCAAAACAAGTGAGTTGCTTAGAAATTCTGTGTGGTATGGAAACCGATCTGCGTACTCGTTGGTTCTCGAGGATCGTGGTCATTCGGGGCAGATCAAAAGTGCCGTTCCGCAAGAGTTGTTGAGCTTCATACGCCTAAGCACAGTCAGCCATAGCACACAATTTCCAGTCCTGTGGGCATGCACCTCGTCGCAACAATCCTCCATAGCAAGCACGCATTCGCGCAGGTTTGGACTGAACACAGTGTGAGTGTCGCTCCGATACAGATCAGAGCTTCCGGCGAAGATAGAATCTCTTGGTCCAATCCGAGGATGAACGGAGAGTCGCGATTGTCGATGGTTTTGAGACATGATACTGAGCTAATGATATTGCCGCGGTGGACAACTGCTCACGCTTCAATACGAGTCAGCCACAGGCGCGTCTGTGGTGCGGTCGGCGTTAAAATTCAAACTCCGTCAGTGCCTATAAAATCTTCAATCCTCGCCTCCTCCCGTTCTCCGCAGTGTCCGCTCAACCCTCTGAAGCGTCAAGCCTCTGGCCGCAGATACCTATCTGGTGACGTATATTTCTGGTTGACGGAGCGAGGCGCCTCTCGGGGTGCTCACGAGACCGATTGGAGATCCCTTCAGTTCGCCCTCACCATCATCTTGTGCGGTTGAGTCTGCCGCGAGGTATTGATTCGCCGTGTGAGGTGGAGGGCTGATGCTGGGGAGCTGCTTGACATCATATTCCTGTACCTGCCGTATTCCTTTCTTCGGAAGGGTTGCTACTATGTGGCCTTGACGGCGTGGTGAAACCATGATGAATACATATTTCTCAGAATTTTACATCACTTGTATGTCCTGATGTAAAATGCAATTCATCGCGATATTCATACTCTCCGTGTGTCCGTTTTCCTTGTGCTTCAGATTAGATGAAGGAAGAGTGTCTCCTGACGCCATCTCCAAAACGAGGGCAAGGTTCACAAGTGCTGTGGGTGTAAATTACAGGATGGACACACCTCCTAAATAATAAAAATATTCATACCCTTACCGTGCGCGCATCCTATCGTGCACTTTTAGGGTCATCCTCATCGCTGTCTCCGACATCAAAGATCGGCTGGGCCTCCTCCGTCTCCCTCCCCTTTCCCTTTCCCGTTCTCGCTCGAAAGGCGTTTTCCTCGTCGACGCCACCGCCCTCGTCTCGCGAAGGCCCGCTCTGCGTTAGCGGAATGTTCTCCTCCTCGTTGACGGAGAGTGACAACCCCTGCAGGCGACGGCGGCGAACGCGACACCAGAAGAACGTCACGAGCGCGATGCCGATGAGGACGAGGATGACTGCGGCAGAGCCAGCGTTGTAATAAGCTACGACGCGACAGACACATGGGTCAAGAAATATCTCGAAAGAGCTATGTGCGAAAGGACACACCTTCCCACATCGCCTTGTCCTGTTCGGGTGTTTTGCTGGAAGGCACACTCGATGCGGATGGCAACGCGTCGTCAAACGCGGGCTTGCTGTCGGCGCCGACGCTGCTTGGGATGCGAGCGGAACCGTCGGTAATCGCGGAGAAGTTGACGCCCATGAAACGCAGGATCATGTCGTGCGACACATGTGGAACGTCGAAGCCGACCATGTGCGAGGCGTCGAACACCTACAAAAGAATAAATGGATAGGAACCGGCGACCAAGGCGAGGAACGCACCTTGGTATAAGTCAAATTGCGTGAGGAGACCCACGTTCCTGCTGGCTTGCCATCAACAGTCCACGTCTGCGTCTCCACTTTCTGTAAAAAGAAAGAGAAGGTTGAGGAAGAGGTCAATTGCAGTATCAAAAATTTGACGGACCCCCAAACCAGTCTCCCCGTTCCATGTCATCGCCTGGATCATGTTCTCCAGTCCCATATAGTTGCATATGAAATCCTGATCGCCGGCAAAGATCAAAATCGGGATCTTCTCGAGCACTCGAGGGATGACGGTGATCGACGAAGGCGAGCTGTGCAGACGGAGCTCTCTGTGAATGCGGCTTTGGCACTCCTTCCAGGACTCAGATTTTGCCTGCGCGTGAAGCGCTGCGACGACATCTGGACGCTGAGGGATGCGCGCGGATGTTGAGCACAAGGCAAATTGCATGGGAGAGAGCCAAGGGACGTACTTGGAGATACGTCGTGATATTCGCGAGGTCTGGTGGCCAGTTCATCCCACATGCGGGCTGCTCATCGTCCAGACGCACATCGTATATGTTCATACACACGTCTCGTCCTTTGATGCTAGATATCAGTTCCTTATCAGCACGGGCAACACGATCAGGGAATACCCTGCTCACTTTCGGTTGCGGATTTCACTGACAGCGCCCATCACCGATTCGCATGCAGACACGTTGATAGGTTCACCTTCGACTGTTTTGAGCGCCTCATTACACTCATCGACAGCCTTCTTAGCCTTGTCGTATTGCTGCGAAGACGGCGTCGATGAAGTGAGGTCAGAGGCTGACAAACACTCAAAATCGACGCACCTCAGAGTTCGGTTGCACGATGCCGTGCTTGACCGCGTAATCTAAGTAGGAGGGATATTGTCGCCGCGCGTCGATCCATCCGTTGCCTATTGCTGCGCCGCGTATTGGCACGTTGAGGTCCGACTTGAGAAGCGCTTCCGCTGCAAAAATAGATTATTACGATGCTTGCGCAGCTAGAATGATGGTTACGACACTCACAAAAGTAAGGAATGTACTGTCCAGCGAAACTTTCGCCCCCGATGTAAGTCTGGGAAATGCGTAGTTGAGGGAATCACAGGACACAGAGCGTAGACCCAAGAAGACGACATACGTCCATGCGCTTGTACTCGGGGAAAACGAGGTAGAAGTTACGCAGGAATTCGAGGAACTGCGAGGTGACCTGAAAGGAAAGCGGAATTAAGAATAGGGAAAGAGGTGAATTCTGACAGACGCGCCTCGTCAAGTTCGTGCAGGTATCTATTTGTGCTGGTATATGAGAAGCCTGTACCGGCAGGCTGATCGACTAGAAGGGACGCGTGAGACGGGGGTTCACGAGTCAAGATGTGGAGACGGACTGTAAACCATGGTGGTATACTCCTCCCAGCCGCCCTCGATGGTTTTGAGGCCTCCATGACCATCTATTCGCCAGGGGCCAACTTCCATCATGAGACCATCAAACGACGAGCATCCTGGCCCTCCCTGTGCGCACGCTGTGAGTGAGCTGAATGGTCCGCGTCTAGAATAGCAGGCGTACATTAAACCAGAACAATATACGCTCCCGATCCGCGGTTCGGCGCGCCTTGACGAGTACAAAGTAGAGGTGTGAGGTGACGGCTGTAGCTGGGAGATGAGCGGCATTCGGGTCTGCGGGAAGGTGACCTGCGAATATGTGCAGAGGGTGCACGTTGTTCTGGTGCAAGTCTGGCAAGCTCGGAACATAGAACGAAGCTGCCGATGGAACTGTAAGGTTATAGAGTGATCATCAGGCGTGCCGGCACCGAGATTGTGGAGAGAGGAGCGTACTGTCTGTCGGAGCTGCATAGGCGAACGGTGCACCAGGCAAGAATGCCAAGAGCACCTGCCTGAAACGAGGCCAGAGCATTCGTTACGCGAACAGACGAAGGGGCGCACGAAGAGAACGCGAGGGGGAGACGGCGCTACCAACTGGAGGAGAGAGCCAGGGCTCTGTGCGACGTGTCACTGTCGGGATCAAAGCACTTGGCCCACTCGACTGGATCTGATGCTGCGGTGCTGCCTTGGCCGACTCTCTGGGAGCACCGACACACGGTGACCGAGGTCATTCCTTCCCCACCCACGGGGTGTCCGGGGTATACGTCTCTTTCGATCCGAGTCTCCTGGACGTGATTCGATGGTCTTTGCGCCAAAAGATCATAGTAGAGACTGCAGCTTTCACCCGAGCTCGCCGTCGCGAACGTCTGACTCCTCCTCGAGAGCAGCGTCTTGTTGTGTGCCCTTAGCTTTCCTTATCTTTGCGATTGCCGCATGCGACTATCTGCTCTCAGGCACAGACAGCTGACGTGTTCCCGACATCCGTCGAGCATCTCTTTCCCTCCCCCTTCGCCAGCATCATGAGACTCTCTGCGCTCTTGCTTGCTGTGGGATGTGCAGCACCCCTTGGTGCCAGTGCACAATATTTCTCTCAAGGCTGGAAGCCGGGCCAGGCCGCACCCGCACCATCTTCCACCCCACACGCCTTCGATCCGAGCACCGCTCCCGCTGCCGCCGCACCCCCACAGAAAGCAAAAGCAGATTACGGACTGAGCTCAATACTCACAGATTTTGTATCCTCTGGCCCAATTGCGTCGCTGCTCGATCGCGCAGGGATCAATGTCACCGAACGGCTTTCGGCCGCACAGCAAGATATTTGGGACGAGCGGATACCGCTCATCACGGACGAAAACTACAAGGAGATCATCGTGAACGAGGTCTTTGAGACAGAGCAAGAGGAGAAGGACAGGGTGTGGTTCCTCATCATGTGCGCTCTTTCGCCTTGTCTCCCTCTCGCTCGCGCGCTGACGCCTATGTGTTGCGTCGAATTTGTTTGAACAGCTCTGTGACCACAGCGCAGCCCCAAGGAGTCTCGAAATACGCCGACGAGCAGTTCGATGCCGCTTTCAACCTGACGCAGATTGAGAATGACTTGCCCAACGTGCGGTGGGGACGCATCGACTACATCAACGTCACGACCATCACGACCAAGTGGAATGTATGGCAGTGCGTGCCTTAGTCCTCCTTCAGTCTACAAGGCTCGCGGTCTGACTTTTTCTGCAGAGCACCAATGCTCGTTGTCCTCAAAGACCGAGGCCAAACTCTCCGCTTCTGGCGCGCGACGCAACTGCGCCTGAAGCCCGACTCGCTCCGTGAATTCCTTCGCACCGAACACTTCGAACGCACAGCCCCATGGAAGTCCAACTTTGGCCCTGGTGGCAGCAGGTAAACCTTCTACTTCGTCACGCTCACACCTTTGATGCTCATCATTTCCAAACGCGTCCAGAGAATTCGTTCTTGACTACTTGGCAATCGCCATGGCTGTGATGTACGACTACACGCGCAGGCTTCCCCGCTGGGCTCTCTACATGTTCACAGGCGCGTTTGGAAGTCTTGTGATCGGCTTTGTGCACCGAGGTGACACAAAGAAGCTGGCGGCGAAAGAGAAGGCAGAAGCGCAGAAGCAGCAGGAGACGGCGAATAACGCTACTAGTATTGCGCCACCACCGTCTGCGGTGAGTACAAGCGTGAGTCCAGCTTCCGGCACACCGAAAAAGACTAGCGCGAAGGGGAAGAAGGGGAAAAAGACGACTTGAACGATGAAGCACATCGTGGGTTGACGGATTTATGACGCATACCGGGCATATTGTATGTATTAAATTTTCACCTGACTACATTCCGAGACATGTTGTAGCCTTTTCCCGGTATTTAACACTCTATTTTTGGGCTTTCACCGCTGCCTGCAAGCGTGGAATGTTTCGACGCATGGCCTATCTGAAATGTGTAGCATGAGTAGCGATGATTGAAAGCGTGTGTGAAAATATGCTGGTGGGTCTATGATACAGGTGAGGATGTGCAATGTCGAGTCTACTCTTTATAAGGATATTCGAATTTCGGCTGGTCCTTGCGCCTCCAGAGCTTTCGCCTTCAATAGATTAATGTGAGTCAATGGGAGTGGTCCAAACGCAATGGCTACAACGACGCACTTCTTCTTGGTGGGGAGATGCTCCGCAAACACCTCTACGCAATGCTGGGATTTAAATTCACGAATGAATCGTGGGTCCCACAACTCGCTGGCGACGCCTAAGTCTTTGCAACACCGCATCAGCGCATTGCTTTTGCACGCCTCGGTAGCTGTGGGAATGCCCGAAGGATCAAAGTACTCCTGTTCTCCTCTCGCGATCGCGACCAACCTGGACAGCAATGAAGAGTTCGAAACGGTGCTGCTGACACGTGCTGCACGATACTCACCTTCCGAGGCATACCAGCGCGTACTCCCTGCTGACTACTTTGGGCCCGACGTTTGTTTCACTACGCGGTGCGAGACCCCATCCTCCTGGGCCAAACGCCTTGTTCAGTACCCTGCGGTACTTGATCTCAGGGAGATAGATCAGCCCATCTAGACCGCTCGTTTGTGAGATGCGTTGACGTGACATGGAGGAAAAACAAACCAGGCTTCATCTCGACGTCCATAGGATCCACGGGAGCCATCAACACCTCTGACACCTCTTTGGAGAACGGTTGCGTCGACAGGCCGAAGTAGCTGCGTGACCAGTCGGTGGGCGCGCCGCTTTCCGAAGAAAGAGGTGGGGGCATCGAGCTGGCGCCGTCGAGGACAGCAGATGAAGGAACGCTTTCGGGGGGGATGTCGACAAGAGCTTGCTGTGCGGCATTGACATCAGCTTCAACCTCGCTCGCAGTGTAATTCACGGTATCAGGGTTGCCCTGCACGCTCGCGTTTGTGCTCGCGGGCGTCGAAGGAGGTGCATTCCGAAACGCGGCAGAACGGTTGGGTGTGTAAGAGCGGCCACCGACGGCAACGTATGTGCGGCTGGTCAGGAGAGATATCCTGTGAGAGATTCGAATGGAGTGGAGTTGCCTGGAGAGAGTCCGTGCGGCCATTGCGGACGTCGATGCTGTGTGTGACGAAGACGGCCTTCCGAATTTGGGTCGTCGCGCCACATTTTGCCACAGACGCGCCTCGGCGTTCGCCGGGCGGGCTCAACACAGCGAACGTCGCTGCAGCTTGTTCACCAATTTCCTCTCCTGACCGCCGCTGTCGTCGGTAGCCGTGGACGGGCTTGACCTCTATAGATCAACAACGTTCACACCCAATATAGGCACGCTCGACCGTGCTGCGGAATATCTCTATCAATAAGGTACGGACGCAACCGCAACGCGCTGAACCGGTACGACGGAAATGCTTCCGTGTCAGAAATTCCCACTGGTCTCAATTCAACTCATCGGTGAGACAAGCGCCCGACAAGTTGGACTTGGCAACCTTAGAGTGCACAGCCTCGTTTTCATTGAATCAATATGCCATTAAGAAGGAAAGGACAGAGGGATGATCATGCTCGAGGTCGGGACTTCGGCAGAGTGAATCCGTAGCTCACCCGTTTAGCTGATTCGACATCCCTATCTGACCCGCCTTTTGAAAGATGCCCTCAGTCCATCTCTATCATCAGTTGGCCATGTCTGGCCGCGGCGTGGTTCGCGAAGCAGATACTGGTGGATTCTGCAGTGGGAAGATCGAAACGAATCCGTTCGAGAGATAAGCGAGTTCAATTTCCCAATTATACTTTCACCAGCGAAAAGTCAAATTCTTCTAATCGTTTTCATCTGTCCTATCTCCCGATACGCCAGGAAGCGCTAGATAACTTGGCCACCAAGGGGTCCGACCATGGAGCGCCCGTAGCCTTTCGAAATTTCGCACTGGTGCTCGTGATCATGTCGCATCGTATTTTTTCCCCAGACAGACACTGCTGAACTTCAACCCCTCCCACTTGTGTCCTCGGCCCACCAACAGCTGCTCCAAGGATGTCCAAAGAGGAGAAGCAGGACGCTAGCGTCGAGTCCGCGCCCGTTCATAATGATCTCACTGCTGAGCAATTAGGACAGAGGCATGCTGACAATGCACTGCTAGCTGAGCTGGGGTATAAAAGCGAGTTCAAGAGGGAGTTTTCGGTGCGGGCATTTCCTTCTTCTCTTCCTGCTCCTCACAAATATGCTCGACGGCAAACTGCTAGCTCATAGAAACTATCGCGTTTGCGTTCTCTATCATGGGCATCGTCGCGTCCGTCTCGTCGACCCTGTCATTTCCTCTCGTATCAGGTAAGTCTTCTCCAGTTCTATAACCCGATCAGGGCTGAGTCGTACGAGGCGGACATGTCGGGATGGTGTTTGGGTGGCTCATACCGTGCTTCCCTGTCCTGTGCATCGCCGCAAGCATGGCCGAATTAACTTCTGCAATGCCGTGGGTGCTATTGTCCGCCGTAAAAAATCATGACAGCTCACGCCATATATCAAAAGAACAAGCGCAGGCCTGTATTATTACTCAGCAAAACTTGCACCGCCTAAGTATGCCCCATTGGCCAGCTGGATCACCGGCTGGGCGAATATCACTGGTCAAGTTTCGCTTGTCTGTTCGATTGATTTTACCTGGTAAGCGCCCAGTGCCTTCAGTGTTCTCAAGCTCTGATTGCGGAAAACGTCCGACCGCTCTATGGTCATTAGCGCTGAGATGATCACTACCGCGATTGCGGTCGGGACTGATGGGAGGGTCGTTCTCGGCTCAGGAGCGACGTTCGGCATCCTGCTTGCCATATTGTTCTCCCATGGCATTGTGTGCTCCGCTGCGACGAGTGTTCTCGCGAAGCTCAACCTCTTTTACGTCGTAATCAACGGTGACTTCCAGAATATATACAAGTCGATCGTATATTAATTGCACGTATATTCAGTGGGAACGAGCATCGCGGCGATCATTGCTCTGCTAGTCGGTGCAGGGGACGACAGGGTTTCCACCAGAGATGCGTTCACCCTTTTCGAAAACAACACCGGTTGGGCAAATGGTAAATCTTGTTTACTGTTGCCGATGTCTGTGTTCTAATTGAGACAGATGGCTGGGCTTTTCTTCTTGCGTTCACGGCTCCAATGTGGACGTTGACGGGCTGTAAGTTCTTCTCGATGTTTAGTCAGCTGAAGGCTCTCAAGATTCTTCTATTCGACAGATGACTCCGCCGCTCACGTATCTGAGGAGGTAGCTGGGGCGTCACGCGCGGCGCCGATAGCTATCATGGTTGGCGTCGTGGCGACTCAGTCATTGGGATGGCTCCTCTTCATCGCCGCATCGTTTGCAACGAAGTCTGTGACGGATCTTCTCAACTCTGACCTTCCCTTGCCCATGGGGCAGCTGTTCTTGGATACATTGGGAAAGAGAGGCATGTTGACCATTTGGAGTTTTATCATCGTTGTACAGGTGCTTTCTCCCTTGATCATGTGCCGCACGCGCAACTGAAACGGAAAGCAAGTATGTCACCGGAGCTGCGCAGGGCGTAGATGCGTCCCGCGTTGTTTTCGCGTTCGCTAGAGACAACGCGCTCCCTGGCTCGCGTTGGTGGAAAGAGATGAACAGCAGAACCCAAACACCTGTCAACGCTGTCTGGCTCGTCATGATCCTTTCTGGAATCCTCGGGGTGCTTGGGTTTTCTGAAGCCGCACTGTCGTCTCTTGCAGGGTGTGTACACCTATTTTATGCGCAATCTCGTCTGCTGACTAGATTATTTAGGGCCGCCGTAATCGGACTGTATACATCTTATGTGACGCCTATCTTCCTACGCATAACCTCCGGTCGAACCAAGCTTGTCTTGGGCCCTTTCAACCTTGGAAAATGGTACACGCTGTCCGGGTCTATCGCTGTCGCATGGGTTGCATTCATCGTAGTTCTCTTGCTCTTCCCTACGGCACAAAAAACAACGGCAGCCGGCATGAGTGAGTCCCTTCGCTATTTAGTGTTATAATTTACTGAAACGTGTGGACGCGCAGATTACTCTGTCGTACTCATTATGGCTGTTTTCTTGTTTGCAGCAGGGTCATGGGTCCTTTCGGCCCGCAAATGGTTCACGGGTCCTGTCTCAAACCTTAGCAAGACGGCTTCTCGTGAGGAGGAAAAGGTAGCGTCAACAAAAATAAATTAGGAAATTTTGTGTGTTAGTTTGACTTATTTACATATTTCTATCTCTCGACCTTCATGGGATGAAAGTCAGCATGTGGGCGGTTTCCGTATCGTCTGATTTGATTAGTCACATACTCTGGTGATATAGATTTATTACAGCCTCAGGGACGAGCTTCTCCAGGAAATGCTTTCGCTTTTTTGATGACTCCATCCCACCGTCCATCCTCCATCCACTGGATAGTCTTGTCCTCCCTTAGCGTCAAGATCTCTTTGACACCCCTACTTGATTTACCTTCCGTTTCCAGCTTCTGTAACTCTGCAGCTATGATCCTCAGCCACGCCTTGGCAACTTCGACCTGCGAGCTTTGGAGCACGGGCACACGGAACGCCCACAGCACCCTATCGGTGGCATGTGTGACAAACCCTGTGAATGAGAACCGGGGTCGCAAACGGAGCGGGCATTTTCCCGCGTGCAATCAGCACTCAAAAATGGACTGAGGGGTTGCGCTCACCTTTCGGTCGTATCTGCTCCGGTGTCCACCTGATTTCATATCGTAGAACTGGGTATCCAGCGCTCAGGAGGTCTCGATGCAGTAGCCTCACGGGTAGGTGCACTTGTCCGTCGCTCAGGATATCCCCAAACTGCCTGGCGAATGCTTGAGCGCCAGCGTTGTCTGGAAGGTCTTTGTAGAGTTTGACCATATTCTCGGTCAGGTCCTGTGAGTAGTATCGGTTCAGGTTTGTGACGATATCGCTCTTCTCCTCAATAGGGTGGGCGATGGAATATAGGTACCACTCTTCGGATAAATCGCCGATGACGACGCTGCGTACACCGTGAACGAGGAGACCCCGCGCGAGCCCTCCCGAGCGCTGCCATGTCATGGGATCTGGGGAGCTCGACATCCACTTCCCGTCCAGGCATCCGCGGAATGTACCTAAGAGTCCCAATTTTTCCGTTTCTATGACTTTGGTGATAGATCGGAAAGAGACTTTGGAGGGATCTTGTATGGTGGCAAGAACGTCTGGGGAGGTAGGATCGAGATCCAGAGCGCGACAAATTGCTTCAAATTGCGACCGTAGCTCCTGAGGTGTTTTCGGATTTGACCTAAGACATTGAGAGAAATGAGCCGTGTGTATCTCCTCGAACGAAAAGAGAAACCCGACACTATGGCATTCGACTGCAAGACGGCCGAATGGAAGGGTGCATTTTCGTCCTGTGGAAGCCGGGATGCATGATGCAATATTTGATGGACGGAATGTGCACCTGATAGATGCAATTTATTCAGCTAAGCAGAGCCCTCGCAATCATTCGCGGTGGATATGAACCTGCAGAGAGTCCTGTGACTTGTATATTGTTTGCATCTCCTGAACGGAAAGTTATTTCCTCCAGCCTTTGAGCAAGGCAGCATGTTCACCTCCGAAGGAGTTGATATTCTCCTTTACCCACTGCAGCGCCAGCCATTGATCCTTGAACCCGAAATTGCCTTCAATTTTGGGTTCATCGCATGCTAGGAAACCAAACGCCGAAAGTCTATAGCCAATGTTGACCCAAACCTCTGAACGTTCTGCAGCGATGAATTGAGCCTGCGAACTTAAACCATGTGGAGAGCCAAATTGGAGGAAGCTATAGTATCAGAGACATAATCAAATCCGGATACTTTCGTCAGTCGTCGCGATCTGATAACTGACCCTCCATGAATGTAGATCCTGACCGGGAATTGGGTACTTGATGGATATGATGGCGGCACGACGATATTGAGAAAGAGACTGTATTACACCTTAGCCTCTGAGGTGCTCAGTCAGGTTGTGGGCAAAATTTACGGATTCTCAGAAGCTTCTCCGAAGCCGACCTTATCTTCGAATGGGGTACCTGATGAATAAAAGCAGAGACTTTGTTAGGACAAATCACTGGAGAACATCCTGATTCTCGACTTACCAGCCGCTTGCCCGTCATTCGTCGGTTGAGCCGCATCTGCGGTACAGAGAGTGAACACGCCAGTTAGCATTTTACAGTCTAGACTTACAGACGCTCTCCTGGATATATTCCTTTCGGTCGTACCGGAACTCGGACGGAAGAGGGACAGGGTCTTCGAACCTTCGTGGAGGCAGAGCATATGGCAATTCTAGAAATGGCCGCTATTGGCATAAGCTTTCTTGGCTTACATGTTGAAGGTCTCCAAAGATGAACGCACCTAAGAAGACGGCTGCGCCGTTCGTGGCTCGCCGGCCAGTCACCTGCCCATAGCGCGTATCAACATGGACTCTCTCCAATGATTCGGCGAGTTCTTTGCTCAAATGTGCGTTAGACATGATCGTGAGGGATCAAGCAGGCATATCTGAAGATAGCCCGCCTATATACTCTCAAAGACCTAACCTGACTGTAGGGTTCCAACGTTCTTTGCGGCCCGGAGTCGAGGGGCGAGGGAATCCGTGCAAAGGTGAACACCACTGCGGCGCATGATGATACTGATAGAATGGTATGTGAATGCAGGAGTAGTCATGAGGTCATGAGGTCCAGACTTAAAGCCGCTGTTCGCCAGTAAGGTCACAAGGATGGACGTGGCACACTGAAGCACGACGAAAAACATAACACAGTTTGGCATTACCAAGACCCAGAGAAACTCACACAAGTTTTATAACGTCTTAACTCAAGCCGTGAATCCTCGAGGCATTGCTGCTCCTTCCCTAGGCTTCACACGGCTTCTAAACTCGTTCGCCATTTCTATCATAGGCACCCATGACACACCATCGTGCGCATTCACCCATTCAATGAAGCGTTCCTAGACGACGATAAGCTTCGAAAGTTCTTTCAGAGCGTGGTCAAACTTCTCACCAGCATGAGAAGCACATGGGGGCGACTGAGATATCAATGCAGATTAGTTTTAATGTGATATGATTGATACGGGATTCAATGCTTACCCACTAACATCAGGATGGATGGTGATAGGAAAGATAAAACTTTCCTCCTCTCTGCACCAAGTTTTGAGATCTCGAGTATTGTTAGACAAAGTAGCTCTGTCTCACCTGTAGAGATATTCGAACGTGTCCTTCCAAAGTTGTTCGACGTCTCTCGCATTGACCTTTTTGCTGCGTAAGACTTCCAAGATCCAAGGCTGAAACTAGAGTAACTCACCCAGCCATGGGAGTTCGAGCTTGCTTTGATGAACCTTTTCAGAGCGTCATCAGCATGCAAAAAAGCAAAGTCTTTTAATGACCTACATCATCGGTGGCAGGTCGTCTAGATACCTGTGTATAGAGCACGACATTCCTTGTTCATAAATCAAGATGTCTGAGTTTGGGCGGTTCGTACCAGTTTGCGGGTATTTCAACTATCCCAGTCTCCTTGCCTTTCTGAAGCGGCTTCATCCATGTATGAGCCTTTGCAGTATAGTCGATCTTGGTCCAGGTGTCCTGGTCACGAAGATAATATGCCTGAGAGCTGAGGAATCCGTGTATGAGAATGATACCGCGGATGTGCATGATTTACGCACTCGTGAGCCATATTTGAATGATCTTACATCAAGCCTCAGAAAGGATAAAGTTATGTGTCAGGAAAAGTGCGCACCATATTCAAGCCCCTTGTTTAAGAGTAACTCTGTACCTTCTTTACTCGTTTCCCACCAAGGTGCAACACTTCCTTTCGGTGGAACACCATTGTTGAAAACCGTGAGGAGATTATATGTATGATCGAGAATGTCTTTCTGTTGTTCGAAAGTCATCGAAACAGGGTTCTACACGTGTAATACCACATTGAGTGATGATAGAAAACCAAGTAAGGCAAAGGAACGCACTTCGTGAGAGTATCCATGAAGGCCACTGTGTCAGTAGTGAGCAGCGAAATTTCACAAATACATGTATGGTGTTACATTTCATGTCCTGCGTCTCTGACGGCAGCCATCTGCTCGGGGAACGTTTCTAGGCTGTGGCCTGTCCAGTCAAAAGCCAAGGGTTTCACAACGGCTTCGTGTCGCCTTAACTTGAACTCACCCGGAATAAACCACGTCGTTTTCAGCTTGTACTTGGCGAAAAGCTTCAAGAGGCGCGGCACGCCCACTTCGCCTGCAAACATACCCTTCAAAGCAAGATGGATCATTCGTCCATGCCATCATAGCGAGGAAGAAGAATCGCACCCTAGAGATATCTAGAGGCGAATCTTCACCTCCGTAGGATCCCAGCCTATGATTTCATCGTTGGGAATTACGGCGGGGATTCCAGGAGAAGACCTACCAGCCTGCCACTGCATCAACATCCACACCAAAACCGATAAGCACTTTCCGAGGCATTTGGCGTTGGACCAATGGTCTTACGGTGCGCAGGCAAGCGGGCGGAAGATGGATACGATACCTTTATATATAACGATTACCTGCTCGTGATGGGTTCCGTCGTTCACCCGTTTCCCAGCCACCGATAGGATGAAAGCCTGCCATACATGGGGCTAAGCTGGACCAAGTGACTGAACAGGACGATAAAGGACCCCGGCATACCTCAGCAGAGGTCCGATCCTGATTTTGGCGGGCGGTTACGGCATTTCCGTCCGCATAAATGAAGTAAATCCGTCAGCTCTGTAGGGGTATGCCCGGGTCCTGACGATAAACGGCACGTTCGTACTCCGACAAACGCGCTTGTGGCAACGACCCGTCTTCGACTCGCCCGGCGAAATTCACGACGATGAAGCGATCAGAGTCAACTCCAAACAGTTTTCCCAGGCCGTTATCTAGTGCGTCCTCCGTCGGACGGCCCTTGTCGAGCGCGTCATCCATCCGGCCCTCATCCAGAGCTTCGCTAAGACCTCCATCCACCACACCGAATCATACGCCGTCCGCACCGTATAATCTCAGACCTTCATCGAGTGCCTCTATCGGTCGTCCAGTCTCTCGTATATCCCAAAGACCATACTCTCGACTGTCTCAAAGGCCGCCGACGAGACAGTCTCCTCGTTTGGCATCTCTTAGCCAAGCTCTCGTGACACAGACGACAGGGCTTTCGCCTGAAACTGAGGAGGCCAGCTTCCGGACAGCCGTCGACTATGTATCCAAAAGCTTGGACCCTGGGTTAAAGGCTGCTCCGAGCACAGATTTGAAGGCTATCGACGGGCATATCAGAGGGTAGCTCTCCAGTCACATGTCTCAAGAGTCTCATATTCATATGTTGCAGTTTCTCTCGGAAAGCCCGCATAAACAACCAGGACTCATGGGCAACTGCTCTTGAAACCACATATACTCACTTGAAGGATCAGGTAGAAGGGAACAAAGATTTCGATCAGGAAATACCAGTGAGCAAGTTGGACTATCTGAAGCGGAGATTTCAAACGAACTGGCCGTTTAGCTTTCTCGACTGCCCGATCACCTCCAATTTCTGGTAACCTTCTCGCGTCATAATGAACTGACTTGGAAGGCTCATCATTCAAGTTAGATTCTTCTATCCCTTCCGCCGACACAACTTACTATCAACCATGCAAACAACTTGCTCGAAAGCGCAAGAAACCCTCCAGACCCTCCCCCGACTCTGAGTTGGAAAGACATATTGGCCGAGGAGCCGTTTGAAGGCCAGCACTGGGAGGGTGTCTATGGTTTACCTGCTGGTAGTACAGTCGAGGGTTGGGAAATCAGAAGCCCTGGAAGTACACCACCGCTCTCTCCCATTCCCTCTGACGACCTTAGAGACCTCAATCGATCTCTATCATCCTTGAATTCACCGCTTAGTGACGAGACGGATACTTCTCCCTTGTTGTTGCCTCAACAAATAGGACCAGTGCCAGATCTCACTGATCTGTATGCGCATCGAAGAGATGTAGCAAAATTGCAGTCAAGACAGTATTGGAGGAGCGAGTGGCAAACCGATGCCTCTCCTACGGACCCCTTCAACTTAGGGGATGCTTCCACTCTAGGTACGTCAACCTTATCATAATATAGCAACTTTAAAATACATTTGGCTCCTTCAGGCCCGTCGCTCAGCCGCGTTCTAGGTGAAGACCAAAATTTGAACCTTGATAACTTCATTAAGGAGGTGATGACTTTGTTTTGTTTCGTTCGTTGGGACTAGTCTCACGAAATACTACAGAAATACATCCATGAACATGATGCGGTCCGTGAGATCTTGATGGCATTACAGGGTCGCAAGAACCTACTCTTGAAATGGTCGTACTACGATCATTCCACTTTCGCATTTGAGGCAAGTACCTTGGTATGGTGATCTCGGTTGTTTTTTAAGATATTTTGCAGCTCATACCAGACGCCCCTCGTCTGATCCACCTAACGCTGACGGCACAGGCATCGATACTCGCGTCCTTTGCTCAAACAGCGACCATCCTCGAGCATCTCCGGAAATTTACAGCTTGCATATTAGATCAGTCATCTCGTGCGCCCGACGTATCTAACAACTCCTCTCACTTAGCCCGCTACAATCGCCGCATCACACGGACGATCGAAGCCTGCTCAGATGCTGTCTCCTCACAGTTACGACGTTTCGACCGGTGGTGCGCAGCCAAGGAAGAAGAAATATGCCTTGCTCGATCAGGTTTTGGTCCATCTCTGATTGTCAGCTTGCTCAGCCTAGAGAAGGCTATCAAGGATGCATTCTCCCAGACATTCAGCATCCTTCTTGAAGTACTGAGGATAGTCATGCGCCGAGCTTCACGATCTCAGGATACGGACGCAGAAGTATGGATGTTGGCAGAGCTTCCGTCTCGCATGCCCCCTTCTGTTGTCACAACACTTTTGTTGGATAGCTTGCTAGAATCTGCGCAAGAACATATGTCTATGGGTGACCATGTCACGTCTGATGCGTTGATGAATGTTTTTGTCGAGACAGCGGCACCGATATGGTCGCTGGTAGGACAGTGGTTGAAGAACGGGATGCCAATACAGGACCCGGTGGATCGACATAGCCTGTACAACCATTCTGCTCTCGACGACGAATTTTTCGTCGAAGATAATGAACTGCCGATACTAGATCCTGACTTCTGGACGGAGGGGTATGCTTTGCGAGACGGCTCTGCTGAAGGGGAAACGGGCATGAAGGCTTTGCCTACCTTCCTCACGCATATAGCCCCCTACATCCTGAGTGCTGGAAAAGCGATTGGCCTTCTTCGTGCTTTAGAAATGCCGATAACACCGGGAGAGGACGACAGCCGACTCTGGATGTCGCGGTGGCCTCCATTTGATGCCATTGTCGAAACCCATTCCCAACACGAATCGTTGACGTTGTCGATTGATGACCTCACTCGACTCGTTTACGATGAGCTCTTGCCTCGATGTCGGATGGCACAAGCTCGATTGGCCCATGTCATAATCGAAGACGGAGAACTTTGGCCTCACCTCACTGCATTGGAGGGATTGTATCTTATGAGGAGGATAGATGTCATTTCTCTTGTCTCAGATGTCTTGTTCAATAAAGTGCGTGTCCGTTTGTGCTCTTTTCAGCATGACTGGGAACTCTGGTCATAGATGGATAGCCACCAAACTTGGACCGACTTTCACTTCCTCAACAGTGCCTTCCGGGACATTACAGACATGAGCAAGGAGAAGTGGATCGATTCATCCCTTGTTCGCCTATCATATCGAGGTGGACGCGACAAAACCGGAGATAGAACAGTCAAATCTATCGACGGTTTATTATTAGAATACGCCGCCCCGTTCCCCTTGACATACGTCTTCAACCCACATGGATTCCAGGTGTACAATGCGATATTCGTCTTCTTGTTGCAGATTCGTCGTGCCAAAACCACACTTGAACGCATCCTCGTGCGAGGTGCTGTGGTCACGCAGTCCCGCGGAGCGAGTGAATTGAAGCCATTCCACGCTATGAGAAGTAAGCTCTCGTGGTTCATCAAGTGAGTCTTCACGGTTGGTCATATTCTTACAACTAATGTCGGTACCAAGCACTTTCCTGGACTTCATAATGACACACGTAGGAGCATTCTCCGGCGGCTTTTCACCGAGTTGACGCTATGCGCCTCATAGGTATTGCACTCTCAGCTACTGTCCTTTCATGCCTTACTGAGGCAGGCAAAGTCCCTGGATGACATCATCCAACTACACGACGAACAGTTGCGTTACACATGCTCCTATGCTGAAATCATGCACTAACACTAGACCGTTACAAAAGCATTGACAAATTGGAAGGGCGATGTTTTCTTCAGCCACAGGTCCGTGCGACGCACTCATCCTATATACTTGCCTGATCTAGTATTGACAGACGTCTGCTTTACACCGAGCTTTTTTGTCTATCCTAGACATGAGTCTTCATTTTACCGACTGCTTTATAGCCTTCGCTGGAGACGCCACATATGATGTCTCGCGGCAGTCCATCGCCTCTATACAGCCCCATCGGAGTCGTCGCCAGAAACGACAGCGAAAGAATACCATCGGCTTCTTTCAAACTCTCAGCCAACCTCCAGATTTCTCGGGTGACTCGGATACCGATGAGGAAGACCCACTTGGAGAATATAGCCATGAACCATCTTTCTCTATGACGACATCCTCGATATCCTTCGTAGAGGAGGACCCGTTTACACAGATCAACAAGATGTCATCCGAACTAGATGGACTTATACGTTTTATCCGAAGAAGTGTAGAAAGCCTAGCTGGCGGTGCGTCGGAGGCAGCCTCGATTTTTGGGATATTTGCCTTCGCACTCGAGGACTGGGACAGGTAACTGAGCTGTGTACCCAAACTGACAGAGGACCTCGTCCTGCGATGGGTACGCAGACAAATACAGAGTATCCTAACGCCGATGTGTACAGTCGCACCCAAAACTTCGAAGAAACACTTATACGGACAGTACATATTCCATCTGTATGCTGTACTATCTGATCGCTGGTCAATACGCGGATGGCACTCTTCCAAATATGTATAGTGCTTACCGCTCACTCATATCCTGTGTAATTCGGTGTGTATGTAGTTTCATAGAATCAGTATAGTACCAAAGTCGTCGCTCAACCATCACAGACGTCAAAGCCGAATCATGTCTCACACTGTCCAGAAAATGAAAGCGTATGGGCGAGTCACTGATAATATCGCAAGGCAGCCAGCTTTTGCACGACCTTCATATTTTACACCCGGTAAACTGTGTGTATAAGGCCATGTTCTTCCCAATCTTGGTTTCCAAGCTATGTTTCATGTTAATCTAATCGTAAGGTGCATGATACAGAGGTTATAGCTAATCTTAAGTACTAACAAATACATTGTGCTCCACAATGAAAGGATGTTACTCGGTGTATCGTTCGGGGTGCCCAGCCACCCATGTACTCGTGCGCTAGGAGATACCGGCAGGATCACACCAAGCCGCGAGTATCTTGCATATCCACTCGTCTGTTAATGCCGCCAAGTAGAATTTTGGTAATCATATCGGCTGTTATAGGGCCTCCTATGTATGGAGTGCAGTCAACAATATCCTGGGACATATGGTGAGGATACATTTGCTGATATCGATAAGGTGCATAAAACTACGTACCCGCACTTTATGAGTCTTGTGCAAGTTATCGTCAAGCTTTTGCAAAAAATCTGTGGCAGATGGTTCGGAACCTATCTGGAGGAACTGAAGACCGATCTACAGGTGGAATTGGATTGCTGATTACTGGGTGATTTATGACCACATACCTGTGTGAGCGAAAACCGCCCCTCATCAAGTCGTTTCGCAAGTGCCGTGATTGGCCCTTCGACGTCGTCAGCTGGAAACAACCCTGTATCAGCGGTCATTTATAGTTAATAAAAGCCGGATCGTACTTGGCTGGCCATCTGTGATTATCACGTAGTTCACAGGCTTGCACGTTTGCATCACTTGCATCATGCCACCCTCCTTGTTAGCCCGTTCTATCTTCTCCATGTATATGGAAGTCAGAAGCTCCAATTTGCGTCCTAAATTTGTTCCACCTCGCGGCTTGACTCTCGAAAATAGCTGTGCCACCTGTGCGGAAGACTTGTGAGGGAAAAGCGAAGATTAAAACGACGAAGACCAATTCTAGGACAATAAGGTGCTGACCTTGAGACCTATACCCGAATCCATATCGTTTATGAAATGAACATTGATACCGTCTACGTCGTAATTGGTGGCAATAGTTGCCAACTCCTGGAGAGCGTTCGAGGCCTGTTATTGTCGGATGAGTTTAGCTTTTTGAGAGGTGGCAGAATGCATACCTCCATCCACCGATGTCCGCTCATGGAGCCTGAATCGTCAACGATAATCACTGTGTCGTACTGCATCAGGGTCTGAAGAGCATCGTCAAAGCTCTCCTGCCTGAGTGGCGCGTGGAGGTATTCTAGATTAGGAGCACGCCAGCTAGTAGTGTAGGGACGAGGTTGCTGGCTTTCAGTATATGAAGGCGGCACTGATCGCGACTCGACGAATGGTGGCCGAAGTTCAGCTTTCTCTTTGGCTGTCAGCTCATTCGCATTCCCCGCCACCACGTCTCTACCTCTTGTAGACGATGATGAAGGTCTATGAGGGCGGCCCGAGCGGCCTGAAGTAGCTCTGGACCTAGAAGCAGAGTTGCCCATGGAGGTTTAGATATAGTGGGGGCGATTGAGGAGTGGTGGAAGAGGACCACGGCTGCAGCTGTTTTATATAGTCATTCGCTTTGATCAGATAGATATATTGGAAGTTGAAGGGCCAAGACAGTCCTACAGTTGATTCTGTGAGTCGTGACATGTCATCCAAGCGCGTTCAATGTATTTGGAAGTTGTGGCGGTACGCCAGCCCACGCCACACCGCTGGCACAGGTTGCTGACCGCTGAGCATATACGCAGAAGATAATCGTTCTACCGTAGAATTTTCAAGTGGAAGAGCACTGTATTGCAGACACAGCACCCACAGAGGGCTAATACAATGCAAAGGGGGTCTGTCTCTCCACAAGACGAGGAAAGGCATTCATGTTCGACAATACGACCATTTGCTTTTCGTGCGAGATGTAGCCCTTCATGTAACCTTTGTAAATCATGTTCGCCACGAGACACTCGGCCTCCTCTGGGGACGCCTCCATACCAGAGATATTCAGGGCAGAATGGAACAAAGCCACAGGTATCCGGTTGCTTTTTTGCGATGCTACCCACCTGCCAGGGCGCGCAAAGACGGCCCAAAAAGAAATGAGACAATGCCACAAGATTGAGGGAAGATTACGAACACTCGTCTAAACAGCCCTCGAATGCACAGCTCTCTTCCTTTCTCCAAGGTGAGCCATAGATTCAGGTCCACCAAGCGACGCTCCCATTTGTCCAGAGCGGTATCGAATGATTTGATAGCACCCCGCCGAATAGCTTCAATGAATGGGGTGTACAGCTCATCAAGCACAGGAAACTTATCCAGGAGCTCTCGGGAGGGTAGGTGGCCGCGCAGAATGCGCAGAGGAATGAGGTATGTCAGTATACGTCTTTCATAATACCCTACCATCAGTATCTGTACGTCTGAGAAGTTGGCGCACGTACTCTCGGTTGTTGCGCGCGTCAACATGGCAGTTGTAAAAAGCAAGAGTCAGCTCCTCTTCAGACTACGAGGGCAGTGAGGAGTAAGACATGTCGATAGTATTGTAGTGGGCGTACTTTGGTGTAGTCTTCGTTCAAGAAACTTAGCATGCCCAAATAATACCTGTACGTAACCTTACAGCTGTTCAGCGTCGGCACTTCTCATGGTGGCAGCAGTCATACTTGGTGGGCTTTTGGAAACTGTGATAGTGGCGGTATGTCAGGGTTTGCCTCGATGGCGCGAAGGATGTTCTTGGACAAGGATATTCGTCGGATCTACACACCAACAGCTGTTGGGATGGGGGCGCCTGGTTATGGATGTGTCACTCACTCGGAAGTAGCTCTTCATGATGAGTCCTACGACATAATATACACCCCATTTCCTAGACATCGCATGCGATGATGTCCTGTAGATTGTTCAATGATTCAGCATGTAGAAAGGGCAGATACGACAGACCTATCTGTTATACAACTTGAAAACGCCTTGGAAATGATCCGCGCTGCCTCCTCCATACACTCACTCTTCACATTGTCATCACGAGCTTGTACATCGGCCTACGATATTGAATGAGCTTATGAGCGGAAGATTTTGAGCCTTTAAACTGACATCAAACGCCAGGTCCCGTAAGTCTCGAAGGATAGCGAATAGAGCCGGTAATGTCCAACCGCTGTTGGTTGCGAAGAATCGCAGGAACAAGCTAAGGAGCAACATTGGTGCATCATGCAGCCTCAGCCCTTGATCATGGAGCCAACGTATGATCCACACACTTCACAAGCTGTGTATGTTCCTTGAACGCCTCTGCGTAACGTTTCTTGGCTACATGTGTGGTGACCAGAACATACTCTATGGCAATTTCATCCCATGGGTTTTCTATTACGCCCTCATGTCGGGACATCGATTGCCGCTGACTAGATAGTCAACAATCATGCAGCCGATAAAAGTTAGAACACACGACGTACAGTTGGGTTGCGGAACTCCTTCACGAGATCCTTCCCATGAGGGTTAGTCGGCCTCAGCATGTATGCCAGATCCAGTCCATTCTCGTCGCGTAACGCATTCGCAATTTGAGAGAGAAACTGAGCGAATGTGATAGGCATGGCTCTGAGGCTTCTGCCAGACTGTTGACTACGGCGCGTTAGGAACAAGAGCACGATGCAGAGCCCGGAGCCGTGGGAAACAGGAGGGTAAGAGATTAGATCAATGACGTTTACTTGATCACCATACACCCACTTCAACAACAAAACCATGGACATTTCAACAGATCGACCCGACACCTTCTTATCCGCAACCATCATCTAACCGCTTGCAAAGATGGCTCTTCAACCTTCCCTTCGCCCCCTCGTCGTCGCTGGGAGATATGACGCCCCCCACACTCTTGACATCTTCCGTACGAACTCATCGCATCGCACGCAGACCATTATCTGATCATTATATCTCTAGTCGATTATGTGTGCCCATTCAGGTGAATTTGATAGCACCGGGTGAAAAGAGTTATCTGACCGTGCATACAGCGCGAAGTTGTCTTTGGCCATCGACAGTGTCTTGAAGCCACTTCTCGATGCTGGCGGCAAGTACGATGGCAAGGTGAAAGTCATCATCAGGCCTCAGGTGCAGCCTTGGCACGCTTCATCCACATTCACCCACGAGGCTGGTCTTGCGGTATGATTTTTTTTTTGAGAATGAGTCACCATCACGTCCTAATGAATATATTTTCAGATTGCTCGCGTCGCCCCAGAGAACTTCTGGCAGTTCAGCTTGTTGGTAAGCTACAACGGTCATCGCAACACCTTCTTTAACTCACTGCCCCTGTTCGGATGTCACAGCTCTTTAAGCAACAGGAAGATTACTTCGATATACCTACGTCCACACTGACTCCCCTTCAAATCCGAGAGAAGCTCGCTGCTCTTGCTGCCCAAGTCATTCCCGCAAGCAAAGTTGGAGAGTTCAACGACTTGCTCAGACTCAAAAGCTCCCCCAACGGTGGTGTGGCCGTCACAGACGATCTGAAATACACAAGTATGTTTTTTTTTGCTCGTGGGGCCGGTAATTGATTGACCGGTGGCCGGATAATGTAGTCAAATTCTCCCGGCAGAACGGCGTCCACGGATCACCTACCGTGCTCTGGGATGGTCTTGTTGCCAATGAGATCTCGAGCTCGTGGGGAGAGAAAGAGTGGTCGGAGTTCTTGGCGCAGAAGATCGCCGTCTGATGACGCAATTGACACAATGGAAATAGAGAATATCGTCGAATTGTATTCACATGGCAGTTGAATTCAAAAAAAGCGTGAACGCTTGATACTGAGCATATCTGAGCACGTGCCAAAAGTAAAATTAGTTTGGTGCCAGCATTTTCTTTAAATTCGCCCTGACGGCTTGAGCGTCAGCCCTTCCCCTACTCGACTTCATCACCCACCCCACGAGCTTATTAAGGACCTGGAGATTGCCACGACGAACAGCATCGGCCTCAGCGGGCAAGGCTATGACAGCTTCAGAGCACATCTTTTCCAGAAGATCTTCGCCTTCGCTCAGTGCAATGAGAGAAAGCTCTTGTGCTATCTCCACTGGCATCTTGTCCGACCTGTGGTCAAGCATGTGTCGTAGGAGGGTCTTGCCAGATGTTCCTTACAAACCACGGGTCAGCGCGGCCGAAACAGTCGAATGATGAACGTTCTCTCCTGAGAACATTGCCCACCAGTAATCATACCACTTTGTAATAAATCAATCAAGTTTCCCATGCACTCCACGGAGACCGGGTTCTCCTTGAACGTTTCTCGACGAAGGGCTAACTGGCCGAGAAGCTCGTGTGTCATCCTATCGAAACCGGCGTAAAGCTTAAAGGAAGGGATGACGCTTGACAGCAACCAGGTAGCGTACCAGTTGACTACGGTTTTTGGATCCCGGTTCTTGGAAAGCGTGTCAAAGTAGGCGACGGCACCCTGACCGAGAGCGCCGTCAAACCCAACTTCGCGCCCCGAATCTACGGCCATGAGGACATCGACGTCTCGTTGACTTAGGCCCTGAGCCTGCAATCGGGACCGAACCTCATCTGGAAGCTCGGGCATATTAGCACGTATGCCGTCTACAAAGCTCTGGGATCGTTTGAGTGGCAAAACACAGAACGAGCACAGAACACTCACATGTTCTAGAAGGAGCGGTGGGAGGTTGGGGTCCGGCATGTAACGATAGTCTGGTGCATCTTCTTTTCCACGTAGACGATACGTTTCGCCGGTGTCCTCATTGAATCCACGGGTTTCCTGAGAGACAGGCTGACCACTCTCTATCAGAGAGATCTGCCGTAGGACTTCAGACCCTAGATGGCTTTGAGCTTTGTTCAGTCATCGGATCCAACAAAACATACCTATGGCCACCATGGTGAACTTGACGCTGTTTAAGTTCTTGATTTCACATCTTGTTCCTGGTTTCTCTCCTGGACGATTGACAGAGACATTGACGTCGCAACGAAGTGATCCCTGAAGAATGTGTCGAGCTCACAGCAATATTATCGGAGCGTCTGCGTTACCTGTTCCATGTTACCATCGCTAGATCCGACGGACCTAAGCAGAGCCTGCAATGTCCTTACATACTCTCCCGCTTCTTCTGGCGATCTGTTTGCAGACGACGAATGGCAAAAAGAATGGGGTGATATCAGAACTGGCCGTGGCAAACATCAAGCTGTGCGACTAGCCTCATGTCAGGATTTGAGACGATCTCCATGAGCCCTGTACCAGCTCTGTTAAGATCAATTGCGGAGAGACGTCTTCGTGAATCAAACGATGATTTCCCCGTGTCCTGATAGATATAGTTATAATTAGCGACGAGAAATTTCATAGAAACAAGATGATTACCTGTTCGAGTTGTATCTGCTCAATACCAACTACAGCACCTGTTTCAGGAAGTTTCAGGTAACCTCCTTTAGCGAGAGGCTCTGTCGATTAAACATGTATTTCACTCCGCATTCTCGAAACAATCGCAACACGTAGCCTTACCGTAACGCTGTGTGATTTGGTACCCGGCTGGAAGATCCGCATAGAAGTAGTGTTTTCGGTCGAAAGAAGATCGTCTCTGTATATCAGATTTGAGAGCAATGGCAGTCCTCAGAGCAAGCTCTACGCATTTCCTATTCAAGTGCTAACAAATACATCAGCAACGTCTACAGAACGGTCTTGAGATCATTACTGGTAGCGTCCCGGGAAAAGCAGCGTCGTACGGGGATACATGGATATTAGCAGGAGCCCCTGGATCCGAATTTGGCGAATCTATTGGGAGAATCAGCATAATATGTTCCGCATCGAAAGGTGGAACATGGACCTTACTTACGAGAGAACAGCTTTTTGCGTGACTTGATCTGTGCATGGACCTCTATCCCTACAATGACCTCCCATCCTGGCCATCTCGCATCAGCGCTGTGCCTTCTCGAACAATGAAACCATCTAGGACCGTAGACTTTTTGAAGAGACAGACATGACACTGCCTGGCGGGGAAGCATGAGTTTCGTTTCAATTATGTACCTGCCTATTTCGGAATCCAGATGGTCATTACATCATCGGTCCACACAGGTTCGGCCCAACTGACCTTCATTGTCACATTAATAGCGCTGAGGCACAGCCATTATGATACAAAGAACTAACGTCGACATCCAGTGCATGCGATCCCAAAGCTTCCACGCAGACTTACACCCTCTATCTCGATACCGCTCGTTTCACGACTCTCCTTGGAGGCGATGTTCACAGCACAATTTGATGACCCATCTCCACCATATACACGGCCCGCCATGCTGAGTTTATCGTATGGATGCATATCTCAAATAAAATATTGCAGGCATTGATCACGGGCGTAGAAATGAGACGCGACGATTACCCACTTTGCCTCGACATTATTCTTCCAATTCTGGTTCTAGGCAAGCGCCATCTACTAGCATCTACTTTTCTATGGAGGGGGATTGATCATTGTTAAATAGTACATCGAGTGTCACACCTCATGATGTGGAAAAGGTGGTGCATACGTACACCCTGACAGCTGGATCAGCCAACTTGCAACTCAGTATAGCGTCAGTCCGAGATTTTATCTCACCTTCGAGTTGGACCCCAGTCCCTCATCATCATCCGTGCTGACACAGGATAGAGCCTATCCCTCTCAATCGTGGTCAATATCTTCTATTCCTGATTCTGAGGACAGGGTCTGTGGAAAGGCCTATCTGCAACCCCGTCTCTATCAGACTTCAGATGGATCCGCACAATGTCCACTTTGCAGTTTTGTGAGTTATACACGGCCTCGGAGATCATATCCCTCACGAGGCTCAACTAGCATGTTCCCTACGAAGTCGAGTTTGCCCGAAGGATGCCTCTACTCCTTACGTGTTTGGCTCCACGCGAATGATGTTGATCATCGACTTTTCTCGGAGGACAGTCTCTGGGTCGGGAGAGATCCGGACTTCTATTCCATCAAAGATGCCATGTTCGCACGGCTTCGCAACACTACTCCAGACTCACAGATGTATAGGATCGTCCTTGGGCGAGAACTTATTGATCTAATAATCAGGTAACTTCCAGTTCTTTTTTGATTTATGGTTTTCTGAGGGTAGTTCACAGGTGGCAGCCAGTCGCGTGCAAGGTTTATTCTTTGAGTCTCGAGTATGATGCCAACGGTGTCGGCCGTGTGCTATTCAACGATTGCATCGTCCGTCTTGATTGTTCACCAACAGAAGTGCAATTCACTATCTAGTAAGCTTGTCTCCCCACCCTACATAGCATTACAATCTCACGATTCCGACAACAACCGATCATAATTGTAGCATGATGCCTATAAGTTCTAACCCACCAGGAGCTTCCCATCGAATCAGGGTCTGGCTGCGTTCACCAGTTCCTCCGGCATATCCATCGGGCCCCGCTTCCTCCAGCGCATCTAACAATGCCATATGTCAGCGTATCTGGGCCACAGACAATTTCAAGATTGGCCACATGCTTGATTTCTCGAAGCTAGGTTCGAAGCTGATTATGGGCATTCCCAGCCCGGGAGGACCTCAAATCAAAACGAGCGTTAGCGAGAAATCGCTATACAGAAAGGACACCTTGAAATATCAAGAAGAGCAGGGATATCAGGATTCTACTCGAGAGAAAAAAATAGACCGTGTAGACACTGTCTAGTTCCATATGAACACCCGAATTCTTTCGTTCGTTCGTCTTTTGACATTATAAAACATTTCCGCTCATGTCGTACTGTGGCTTCCTTGGCGAGTATCAGAACATATTTTCAGGACTCTGCATAAATAACAATACAGGGTGGATGTCTCGCAGACAAACAATACAGAAAAAAGGTAGAAGAAATCTACGTTATTGTTGCTTTAGCATAGAAGGAAGAACACGAAAAAACTACCATCCACAACATCCGTACGCGCCGTTATAGAGTTGATAAAGGACCAGAACCTTCGCTTGCTCCGAAAACGACGGTCCCTGTGAAATGAAGCGTTCATGAATAATCAAAGATAGACGCGACATAAAAGGTGAGCGGCCATATAGTCGATCAATTATGGTCAGAGGAATTGCGGAAGACGGGCAGCCTAGCGGAAGAAGCGGTTGAAGGAGCTGGCAGGACAGAGATGGTCTTGATTATCGTCCACCAGTAGCCACGGCGACATTTTCTCCGAACGGAAGGTGAGGTGATTTGACATCTGCTACACTCTTGATGTTGGTCGTAGTGTACGCATTCATTGGAGTGGGAGCCACAGGAGTCAGAGCTATCAATGGAGTGAAACTAGAGTTCGGGGTGCTGATTGCGTTCGATATCGTGTTTGTCAGCGGTTGATCTGATAAAGACGCGTTATACGATGACCTGACAGCCATCATCTAAGAGGCAGCAAGGTAAAGCAGTCACGATAGATGGAGAACGCACCGTGGTTTCTTGCTGGCAGGCAGGTCAAGTGATATGTTGTTGGTTTGATCGGCAGCCTTCAAGCGTCGAGGCATAGGATATAAGAAAATCGTAGTATCTTGATTGGCGTCACAGAGCGAACCCACCTTGGTAGGTTTGGTCCGTTTCTTGACGGCCGGTTTCGGTTGCCGTTCACCGGCATCGAAGACATAATCGGGGAGAGCAGAGCTAAGGAAAAGTTAAGCAAGAAATTTCCGGTACCACGTGCAAAAACGAAACCTCTTAATATGTCGAACAACGATCCCCATCGTGCTTTCATCGTATTTGTCCCAGGCTTTCACCATCTTCGTGAATTCAGTAGTGGGCCATGATATGTCGAGCTTGCGTGGGCCAACGGAACCAGCTTGAGATGATGTAGGTGACAAAGTGAATTAGGCACATGGAACATTTTACGGACTGCTGAAAGACGCACGTTGTCTGGCTTCAATAGCCAGGCCGATATAGAAGGTGGTCGTGTATACAGGGCTTACATCCTTGCCCTCGAGATCATCTTTCTTACGCTTGGAAAAGGTATCCCCTACTTCACCCTGAGCAACAAGTCGTACTTCTTGTTGCGATAGACAGTACGACACATGTTCAAACCCTTTGACGAAGGGATGTGCTAGGAGCAAAGTCTCAACGAATTCAAGCTTCATGACCAGCTGACGTAACCGAGACTCAACCGTGCCAGACCTGAAAAGAGAAGAAATGACTTCGTGGAAGAGTAACGAGAGACCTAACCACCGACCATTTGATCTGGAGATTTGGGTCCCCTGTCGAGGCGATGATTTGGAGATAGTAGCGGTACTTGTGGAAGAAGTCGTGTTTGGCGAAGAGTTCAGACCAGTTCGCAGTTCCCACAATGACCTTGTCGACAATGTCGGCACCTTTGACGATGTCGATGGCTAGGTTCCTTACATATCAATGTCAATACTCACCTTTCTTGAATTCTTCAGTCATGATCATCTGCGTTGAAGCAGTAACGTTGTGAGTAGCACACATAGCAGGATACGCAGGCGTGATAATCGGCATTCGATGGGACCGATCTCCTGGGTATAGCTAGGAGCAAGGATGAGCTCCATGGCGCGGAAAATGATGTTGACTCGCACCTTCGGATTCCATACCCGAACTTGCAACGGGCCTTCCTCTATTTGTTTGAGTAAAACGGGCTGCGGCCATGACCTGAGCGCGAGATATAGTCGCTCAGAAGATGCAGATAGAGAGTTGAGAACACAAACAGACCATTGGTACATTATGATGAAGAATCGGCTGACGATAGCGCCAGCAATAGCTTTTGGATAAAGCTGACATATTCGAGCAACTAACATCGCCCATGCGACTCCACCCAGAAATCCATTAACATTGGACAATATTGCTCTCCCTAAATGCCACTGAATTCATTGTCCAGCAAACAAAAGCAAAAGAAACTGACGTTGAGCCCAAAGCCTGATACATCGCAAGGAGTCTCGGAAAACTTGAACATTTGGGACGAGACGGAGAATCTCATCAGTGACACGAGACCCTGGAAGATATTGTCAGAGACAGGTCGAGAAGTTGATGAACATTGCACGCACCTCCCAAACTCCGGATGCACCTATCATCCAAATTTCGGAGTAGATTATTGTCCTGAAGATTCAAATCTTCAGGTATTGATGACAATGCTAAACGGGCCATGAGAAAATCAATCGGTATGCCCTCGATCTTCGACTTGACGATGGGTACATATGCCTCTGGGACACCCTGAGATGGAAAATTGAGCTTCGACGCCTCAAAAGTCGGTGAGCAGTCACTCTACGCACAGATACCTCAGTCACGCCCTCGGTCTCTCTCAACATCACTTCAAATACTTCAAAAAAGTCCTCTCGGGACACGTGTTTCGGAACAACACATAGAGTATCAATATCGGAGCCGGGTCCATGCACACCCAAACGATACGATCCAAAAGTGAAGATCTTGCCTCCGGCCGCATTGGCAGCAGCCTCAGAGAGGCCTCGGGATATTGAGACACGGCGTACGAAGCTCTTTACGAGAGCGGCTACACGACCGAGTACTATTTCCCTAGTGGCAAGTGAATCAGTTTTATTTTCTTTGAATGATAGAGCAGATGCAAGTCGTCGAGGATCGCTCAATACATGTGCCCATGGCGTGCAGATGATACTCAGAAGGATGATTGCTCAATGACCATGCGACGTGCAGCGGGATGAAACGGATGGCATGGCAAAACAAAACTCTCAGACGATATGCAATAGTCGAACCGCCGACGTACCTTGTTCGTGCCTCTGCCTCACCCTCAAACGTGTTCTGTCTCCGCAGTTCTTCCATGAGGGTGAGAGTGACCTCCTTTTCTCTGGCATTGGAGTCGGTGGTGGATATTGGAGGTGTGACACCGAGGTAACTGCAGAAAACGGATTCGCAAGAGAAATTACTGCGAGAAATCTATTTCACTAACCTCGTTCCGTCTTCCATGACTTAATATATGGCGTATGTGCAGTAGACAAGGTGTGAATAGTGGTAAGAGCGTTGGCCCTTTCAACCAGCTGAGGGATTGAAGCTGGAGCCCAGCTCACGTGTGTATTACAAGTGATGTATGCGACCAAATAGAGGCAAAGAATGGAGATGGCATCATGTCAGACTGCGGACCGAGGCTTGCACAGATTAACAACTTATGCAGAGTCAGCACATAATTTATCACTATGCTGTAGGCGGCCAACAATAAGGTGCCCGAGATAAAGTATAAACAGCGCTGGATGAACTATCCATCCATGACCACAATGAGTCGTGGCAAGTCGTAAGATACGAGATGCAATAAATATCGTCTTTCAGAACGCGAAGAAAGGGTGGCCGATGGGAAACGTCCATGGGGACAATTACGATCAAACGGATGGCTGATGATAATCCATGCGTGGGGGAATACAGTCAAAGAGAGGTAGTAGTGGGATATAGGATGTGATCTAGGCGGGTTCATGTGAGTTCAGCAAAATCAAGATGAAGGGCATTATGGCACGATCAGCAGGTTTGCAACCAAGTCGTCAATAGCCCGCCCCCCCCTGCACATACCCTGCCCTTCCATTAGCAGCTCGTAACGCCTGCTTCCGAAGAGCCCATCTCCGAATGTAATAAGTAAGGGCAGCAATGGCCAAAACAGCAAGGATGATGCCAATCGCCAGCCCAGCCTTAGCGCCTCCTGAAAGACCATTGCTCGATGTTGCGGTGGAGGACGAAGGGGAGGGCGATGATGGGTTACCGCCATATGGCCAGTAATCGCCTCCGTCAGGAGGTAGGATGCAGGTGAGTCCATTGCCATCAGGGATGTCCTGGAAGTTATTCTGGATTGTGGACGACGTCACATTCACTGGATCAATGACGAATGGCGCAGGTATTGGTGTCACATCGGTTGTGCTGCAGTTTGGGCCGCGAGATCCTATGAAAGATGTGTTTCCGACCAGGGTGTTGTTCTCGACGGTAAAATTGGTAGCCGATGTAATCGCCATTCCGTAACCGAATGCACCAGTTAGGATATTGTCTCGAACGATTCCCGAGGAGCTACGATTGGCCCCGAATTCGTCACCGAACCAAGTATGGGGACCTATTGCAATACCAATCCTGTACAACACCATCAGCAGAGCGACAGCGATGAACGTAGGGGTTACAAACTTAATGATAACATCGTCAATGTTTTCGCCTTTTGATTGTTCGTCGGAATCAGAATCTGTAGCCAACCCGCCTATGATTGTATTGTTCTGCACGACGACGCCAGAATAGTCTCCACCAAACGGCAGCACATCGACCATGTTTATGCCTCCAAGGAGTGTGTTCTGTGAAATTGTCAGCGTGACAAAAAAAAATACTCCGGCATGACTCACGTTCAGTATCCATATGGTATTGTTCTCGACCAATGTTCCGGGAGATCCAAAAAGAACAATCCCTCCATCGGTAGGGTTCTTGATCATGTTATTACGAACAATAGCAGAGCGGCAGCTGACGCTAATGCCGTCTGCCCATTCTTGAAATACATCAGAACCACAAGGACCGATGTCATTATTTTGAACAATAACATTGTTGCAATTGAGGCTGCCCTCGGCAATGTGAAGGCATGACCAGCTTCTGGGGTCGAAAGAGTGGACGTATTCGATCAGTTGGCCAGAATTGGCGCCACCCATCTCGATGTTGGCCCCCCCATTCGTGGGCGAAGCGCCGCCACGAGTGCCGTTTATCTGATGATATATGTCAGGACAAAGGCGTTCAGTCTCACTGAAGTCTGTAAATGTCACCTGGATGTTTCGCAATTTAACACCATTACAATTTGGACAGGTCCCATCTACGGCAGTGGTATGCCCCGAGCCATTGAACACCGGTCCGTTGACAACAAGGATCGCTCTTTCTTCTCCTGATGGATATCCGACCGTGCTGATTTCTTGATTAGGTGCAGCGAAATAGATGGGTGATTGGATGAGGTATTGAGTATTTTGACACAACGATAAAACAAAGCCATCGCCAGACGAATTGAGCGCAATGTTCATTCGGTCAGTGAGGGTGTTGGCTGGATCAGGGGATACACAGTCTGCGCCATCCCGACGCAAGAGATTGGAAGAGCTGCGGAGTGTGGGGATTCAAGGAATCGAACGTAGTTGGTACAATGAAAAAGTACAGGAAAAGAATGCGCGACTCACCTATGATACAATGGTCCTCTCTCTCGCAGGCGTTTATTGTGGTCCGTCGCCGCAAGCGTCAAGTCATGCGCATATGATAGAGCAACAACGTTCGCAAGCATGACCAGAGTAATACCCAAGGCAAGGCGATGAATGAATGTCGGCAGCATAGTGATCAAACTGCTGCAAGAGAGAGCGTTAAGCCTGCAGGCCGGCCTAGCAGATCGAAGGGGTTGGCCGGGTGCGGCGTGTGCATCGGGTTGACAAGATATGACGGACTTGCCAGGGCGGAGCTACCAACTTGCCCTTACTAGGTCCGCCTTATTATTGCTTTCCATCCTCCTTCCATCCTCTTTCGCCCCTCCATTCTTTTCTGTGGCTCAACAACAAAGCCGTCTTCGATGGTCAACACTGCCGCGTTCCAGCACATCTTGACTTTTCTGCTGTGAGATAGTACAGGCATGAGTCTCGATCAATGCAGGTAAAAATAACTCACATCTCCCTGTCAGCTTGTCACCGGGCTGACTGGCCCGCCGCAAACTCCAACAACACTCTATCCGCGAGAAATGCAGAATTCACCTCCAGCATATCCTTGACCAATCTCAACACTGTCTCCACTTGCTCTTAGGGTTCCTCAGGCGACATTTTCGCTACATTCCATGCTATGTTCATGAGGACATGATCGGTGCGGCGCTTGTCCACTGCCCGCGGCCCCCTGCCAATTCAGAGAAAGCGCTGCGACTCGGCATTCCATGTGTATCTGCAGACATCCTGAGACGGACGGCGGTTGTGCGCTCAGTTCGACGGGCGTTGGCGACCTATTTGCGCTCTGGTTCACCACTCACTTGCCACGCGTGCAGCAGAGGCTCCGCGGAAAACGAGGTCTTATAGATGAGGTGATTTATCTCCTTACGTGACATAACATGGTTTATTGTATGCATTTTGCTCATAGCTGCGAAGAACATTTCTCTAGGAAGTTTGAAAGACGGTCATATATTGCATCTCTCCCCAATATATGCTTTCCAAACTTGACATGTACTCATGAAGCATCATTAGCTTGTGTTGCTCCAGGAGGGGATGCCTTTCTGCTCGGAGCTTTGTCACGGCAGACTCGAAGCGTAGAAGCGCTAAAGATTCACTTTTGTCCTAGGACGAAACTGAAAGGGATTCCCTTTTCTCTCAACTTGGCCCGGAGCTAAGTCAGCTTGTAGAGTCATTATATGTAGTGCGTCAATGTCTCATTTTCAAGCTCGGTCGACTACGGCAATATGATTAGTTCGACATAATGCGTATTCTTCGTGTTGATTTCCTCCACATGCATCGAGGCCCAGATCACGGCAAAGTTTTTCTGTATCTGCCTCTAGGCCTGGAAATCGCATGGGCTTCCCCTCACCAAACCAACTTCCTTGCGTTCGGCAGTGATTCCATATGCTCGGCATGAACCGTGATAATGCAGGCACCGCGATTGCATACCCAGAATCACCTATCATCATTCAATACGAGGTATGTGTTTAATTGCCGGCGCCTCGCTAACAGTATTCAGGGTCGTTATCGCCGCCGAGGGGCTCCGCTCACTCCACAGACTCTAAGTTCAGGCCCAATGCATCCGTGGAAACCTGGCCAACTGATTGGGATACTGCGAAAGAATCTGGATCTAGAAGAATACATCTCGTCCTCTCTGGCATGTCCTCCTGACCTATATCGTAATCTTTCCAGTAGCCTAATATTGCAAGTTAGTTCTCCCATCTGCATTCTTGTCAGGAACAAATAAAGGTGGTTTCTTTGCTTTTGGTTGATCTTCTGAAATCCGACCCGCCTTCACGGTTCTACCACACTTCTCAACTTTGAGATCTCGAGTTGAAACTTGCGTGAGGTTCTCTGCAATGTGCCTTTATGGAGTTTCCCTTTCTCATGGCTCGCAGACGGCCGTATGACTAGACCGGAGCCTTGCGATACCAGATCATTAGGAGTATTGGTGAAACCGGAAACAACGGGAAGTGATAAGGGAGCATGGTCTTCATGAACCTTGAATCTGTTGTCGACTATGTCATGGCAATCATCTCATGGGCCAACCATGGTTTGACCGTTAGTACGAGGCAAATGCTGGACGACGATATACTTGTTGCAGAGGTAGAGGTCACGGCCTAAATCACCATAGTCTCCATGGCTAACCTTACAAAGAAGACACTCATTCTGTGTATGAAATATCGCCAAGGTTTTGTATTTGTTCAATCCTATTGTTATCTTGGTCTCGATAGGTATCCGTCATCTCGCCTACTTTCTGATTTGTGCTCCGCTTCATGCCGAGCTGTCCGAAACCCGTAACCTCTAGGTGGTGAACGTGAGCGTGAAGCAGACCGACGAGGTGATCGTGAATGAGAATGACTACGATCACGCCGGGAAAAACGGTCTTCTTTCGAAAAACGACCGGGTGACGCACTCAAATCCCGCCTTGGAGAGAGGCTTCGTCGACGATGGTCGTCATCCCTTTGATCTCTCCCACGATTATCCAGCGAAGCTAGCAAAGCTTCTACTCCTTTCAGACCGTCCGACTTTCCTGCTTGCTTCCGCGCCTTCTTCTCCTTCTTGCGTTCCTTCCTCGCTCGACGCTCTTCAGGAGTTTCATCCTTGTGTTTGGACTTGGACTTCTTTCTCTTCTTTTTCCTCGACGTGTGTTCCTCCTTCCACTTCTGAAGTAGATAGTCTCGCATAGGGTCATCAGGGTCAATATCCGGTTCGGATGAAGCAGACGACTCGCTTCCTGCATCGACTATAGCATAGACGTATCGGCATGGCCTACGCGCGCGAAGGAGTATGTTAGACGCACCATTCATTAAGCCCGGCTTTGCATTAAGGGCTTGCTCCTCAGCTTCGATCCATTCCCCATCTTCGCCCTTAGTTTTTGGCTGCTTGTAATTCTTGACATGATCGACCCTTAGCGTCCTATCCAGCACTGTGGCACCATTCAGGTTATCGACGGCTAAGACAGTCGATCGTTGGTCTTCATACATCAAGAAACCAAAGCCCTTGGTCTTCCCGGTCTCTTTATCACGAGGCAAGTTGACGTCCATCACTTCTCCGTATCTAAGTCGAGACACGCGGTGTTATGCAAAGAGAACAAAAGACATGGGCTCAGCGACTTACTGAGAAAAGATGGTGATTACATCGCCTTCTGTGAGATCGAAATGAAGACCTCCAACGAAGATGTACGCAGAGTCTGATGATGCATGAGCGGATGCTTGTGCATGGGAGAATGACGAACGTACCCTTATACTCATCGTGCCATGACGCGCCGCTTGTTCCTAGCTCCAATTCAATTTGATTGATTTTGTTGATCTCACGCACAACGCTATGGGGTCGGAGGTCAAGAGCTTGTTGTGCAAGGGGCCATTAAGGACGTACTTCATGATGGGGGTAAACTTGTGGTGGCGGCCCAGAGAGGGTAGGATGGTGAATTCACACGCCACCCCACATAGCAGGCCAACTTTTTTTCCTGCTCACTTCCACCTGTACAATGGCCTCGTTTTCCCTCCCTCCCATCAATAGCAATCCAGATGGCAGCTGGGGCCCGTCATCCTCGAATTTGCCTAAAAATTATAAATTCAAAGATATTCCTTATGCCCCATATTCAAAATCCGACAAACTAGGCCGTTTTGCGGACTGGAACGACTTCTCGGGAGACAATCGCCAGGCCAATGCTGGAATTTCGGCTCCAAATGCTCGGCAAGGGGGACGTGGTCGTCGTGACGGTGCTCAGGCGTTTGGAAGTGGAGCACAGAGTGCGTTTGCTTTCCAGGTCGAAGACGAATCCAGCTTCTCTCTAGTCGACAACAAGACTAGCGCGCCTCGCAGGGGCGGGGGTTTCGCAAGAGGCAGAGGTGCCGCTCGCGGGGGTGCCTGGAATGCTCGTGCACCTCAGAGGCCCTCCCGTGGCGGATTCAATGCAGGACGTGGTGGTGGCGGCCAGAGAGGTGGAAGAAGGAACTGGAGGGATTGGGACAAGGTATGCATCACACTGCTTGTCATTCTCGACGATTTTATTGAGCTGTCCATATGTAGAACAATCGTACTCGCGAGTCATCGGTTGCCATTGATCCGAGCTGGCACATGTTAGAGGAGATCGAATTCCACCGTCTCTCGAAGCTGAGGCTTGAAGTCGATGAGCCGGAAGATATGTTAGTTGACCCCTTTGTACGTTCATCATTGACACATCTCCTGAGCTGGGTTGCACTTTCAGCGAGTCGTACGGACGTCTATTCCCCTACAACAAGGCCTACGATCGCATTTCGACCAAAACGGAGCGTCCTCTTCAGCCTGTGGACCGTATCAAATACAACACCACTACTTCAGATGACCCCGTCATCCAGCAAGTAAGATCTGCCGCAATGTCTCCTCGCCTGATGAACTAATTACACTTGTGCCAGCTTGCTGCGAAGGGCACCGCTACTGTCTACGCAACGGATGCAATCATCAGCGTTCTCATGTGCGCACCTCGATCGGTCAATCCATGGGACATCGTCATCCTCAGAGAAGGGGACAAGATCTTCTTTGACAAGCGTGACGGCGGATCCTTCGATACCGTGACCGTCAACGAGAACGCCGCTGATCCTCCTCAAGATCCTACCGCGCCCAATCCAAACAACCCCAACGAGAAAGTTGCGGAGGTTGCGTCCATCAATACCGCGACTTCGTTGTCGCTCGAAGCGACGTATATCAATCAAAACTTTGGCTTCCAGTCCGTGTCAGAAGCGCCGCCGCCTCCTCCGATCGACTTTGAGAAGCCGAATCCCTTTTATGGGCCTGATGAGACTGAGCCACTCGCGTCTTGCGGTTACCGTTACCGTGTTTATGATCTCGGTATCACGGAGGATGAAGACATCAAGATATGCATCCGTACCGAAGTCGATGCGTATATGCCAGGCAGTGGTAATCCACTCGAGGGCCGTAGTCTCACCACTATCCGCGCACTCAATGAATTCGACCCTCGTGCTGTTGGAGCAGGGGGTGCGCCTGATTGGCGCCTGAAGCTCGATTCGCAGCGTGGTGCTGTCGTCGCGACTGAAATGAAGAACAACAGCTGCAAGCTGGCCAAGTGGACGGTGCAGAGTATCCTTGCTGGTGCTGAACACATGAAGATTGGGTACGCTGTCTTCTATCTCATCTCCATGTCCCATCTTTATTGGATGTGATCAATGCAGATACGTCTCTCGGGCGAATCCACGCGACAACACCCGGCACGTCATTCTGAGCACTGCTTCGATGCGTCCGACGGACTTTGCTGCCCAGCTCAACGTGTCTCTCGCCAACGGATGGGGCATCGTGCGGACTGTCACCGATCTTTGCATGAAAATGCCAGAGGGTAAATATGTACTGGTCAAGGACCCAAACAAGGTACGTCGCACATTCCGACGATTGTTTGTACGCCGGGGTGGACATGGTGGCTCTAGGAGTCTGCTTTCCCACCCAACGCTTCTTGGTGATGGTGATATACTAACTTTTTGCAATTTTAACAGCCTGTCATCCGATTGTATACCGTCCCAATGTCGGCCTTCACTGCCGAAGAAGAGGAGGAGGAAGTAGGCTCTGATGGCGAAGAGCCTGAGGCTTAGTGCATGTGACCCTCTAGCCTTCCTGTCGTTTGAAGTGTAGCTGAGAACGAAAACGAAAAGCTTCGTGATGTGAACACTATGGACTGTGATGGGGCTTCTGCATAGTCATCAAGAACATTGCCACGGGCACCGTTCCTTATCATTGAGAACTCAATAAGGTCTCGACGGCCCCCTCGGTGTTCGTACTGTGAAAGATACGATCAAGGATGTTTTTGACAAAGTTGGAACAAGATAAATACCTTCGCTGCAAGACACCCACTACAACCTCTCTTTGGACATCGGGAAACATGCTGGTCAATTGCGTAATCTCGGCCTCGGTAGGAACCCTGAGACCAGCGGACGGACGCTGCGCCCTTCCCGTCAATTCATTGACCCATTCTCTCATAACGGAAGTGCCTGGTGCCCCTGCGGTTCCTTCGACCGTCGACCCTGAGGGTCGGGCAGTAGTGACAACTTCTTCGGCATCGGACGACGCTTGTGTGGCGATTCGATCGTCAGGAAACGCACGGTTCGTCCGGCGAGGGGCGGGCATCGAGCCGACGAGGGGGAGCAAGAAACGTGACGACACTCTCACGAACCAAGGCGGCAGCCGATATGTCTTCAAACTGGCCATATCGGAGCGATAGAGCGCTCCTGTGAGTAAGCCGATAGCGGCTACGGCGGTGGAGGACAATGGCTGGCTGATCGCGAGCTGCAGCGTTTCAGGTCAGCGCGGTCAGATGGAGAAGTGGAGTTGACGGGCACCTGAAACGCTAGAATGTACACGAAGACTTTGTTGGTCACCGTCACCCCAAACACACGAAATCTGTACTCAGACGGCACCAATCTTGAGTATTGGTATAGGAGATTGAAGGCAAATGCCGTAGGCCCAGAGGGGATGCGGTTGAACCTGAGTCGGTTGAAGGCAAGGAGAAACACAAATTCCAGTATCGTTGACACCAAGGTCGAAATTACGGCATAAGACTGCAAGGGGTCAAATCCAAAGGTACCGCTGAGTCTCAGGCGACGAACTCACTGCAAATTTGATGGTACCAAATTGTCGCTCGATGGTCACGCCGACATTATAGAGGATGAGCTCCCATATGAAGAGCTCACTGGAGTTAGAATAGGCCAGGTGATGCGCGAAGAGACGCCAGTACTGAGTAGAAAGGTTTGGAAGGCACCCATATGGCGGAATGGTGGGAAAGACGCCTCACCTGGTGATGTCGAGACAAATGTGGGACAAGCTAAAACCAAACCGGAGGTTCCGAAGCGTCAGGGGAGGAATCGTAGAAGATAGTGCGGGGACATACACACCTGCAGGTGAAAATAGTGCTTCACGTCAAACACTGCCGCGACGATGGACGTTGCAGCACACGCCATCATGAAACCTGTAAACACAGAACAAATGTGAAGCCGTCGTGAAACTTCGGACACTGGGGATGATGACGCGTCCACTGACCCTTGGTGGCAGGAGCATGCTGGAAAGACATTGCTCTACCTCAATTTGTTTGCCACAGACGTGTGCAGAACACGGTCGACGTGTCTTTTGAACTCAAGCAGTGAGTATTCGTAGGTGGCTGGGTGCATTGGCACTCGAGAGCCTGTGGTAGAAGTTCGCGTGCACCTGCACTGAGGAATGCCGCGTGGCAATGAGTCATCCTTCACGGAGTTTAAATATCTCAGGCAGATAACGCCCACATCCAGTCCGCATCCCTCAATGAAACGAAGGATAATCCTCGATCGCAGACGCTCATAGGCGGTCAATAGATCCTATCGAGCTCTGAGATCGAACATTAAAATTGCGCGTGACAGGCCCAAGCATATACAATGACGCCTCTGAGTTACTAGCCCTCGACCAATTAACTCTTTAAAGCCGCGTGGAGGTCGATCAATGCATCGCCAGAGCATCATGAGAGATCATGAGACCCTGCATGGAGCCACATATCAGCGAGAAATCTGGCGCGGAAAAGATGTTTCACAAACACGTGGCGCGCGCGGAGCACCGCTCTTTGCAAGATCATCAGTTGGGCATATATCATGTCTAGCCTGTGGAGGATCAAGTCGTCGATTAAGGAACTAATGAACGGACTAACAATGCACATTGCTGTGCAGGAATATCATTTCGAGGGAAATTACCTTGGCGTCGCCACCGCGTGCTTTCTTGCGATCTTCACAACACTCCCTACGATTGGCTCAACTTCCATAGGCCGGCCAGCTTCTAGGTCCACCAACATAGATGGTTTGAAGCGGCTCGGTGAAGTCCTTCGTTCATCGCTATACTGTTCCAAGCAGTCTGCGATCACCTGGTCTACTTTGTTCTCGGGGAGTTTGGACGCAGTGACGCCGGTGCTCCGGGCGACCGAAACGACCTATATGTGGATATCAGTGTCGTCTCGAGGAACCAAAGGGCTACCAAACAAAAACGGGACCTCTTCCATGATTCCCTTGACGGTCGGAAGCGTGACAGGGAGGAGCTGGCTACACAAGAGATCGGCTACAGGGCTCCGTGAAACAGTACACAGAGTTGAAAAGGTTGCATTCCTAGGTAACAGGACGTCTCGGGGGTAAGTTGAACCACGCCATAGACTCGCCTGAGAAGAGCTCACCAGAGAATCTTCTGCCAGCGGGCAGCGTTGATATCATCTGTCACCTCGCTACCTGCTCCCCCAGCGACGAGGAGCTCGTGGAATAGCCGCAGCGATTGGACACCCTCGTCTTCCGCCGTCTGCCCGTCTTCTGACGAGGCGACAAGGCCGGGATGAAGCCCAGAAGTCAACTTGTCCTAGAATCAAATTTGGTGATAAGCCGCACGGAAAACCGGCTGCGCCGCGACTGGTTTTTTCACGAACGGGACCGGACTGCACGACTGAGCGCCCCCCGCCGACCGTGGTGGCGTCGATCCACGCGCAGGACGAGATGATCGCCGCGTCTGGCCTGGCCGCCTGCAAATCCGCGTGTATCCCGATCCCATTCTGGATGAGCACAAAGCAGTCTGTCGAGTGCAACAACGGCGCGATGAGCTTCGGCGTGGGGTTGACATCCGGCAGGGCCCTTGAACGGAAAAAAAAAGAAATTAGGCAAAGCCATTGACAAATCGACAAAATATGAGAGAAAAAAACTGCGTGTTGCGGTCGCGCTCGCAGACGGCGACAAGGGATCAGTCAGCGCGTTTGAAATGGACGACTCACTTGAACGCGCAGATTACAAAGTCGTATCGTCTGTCGGCCGCTTCTTCCGGAGTGGGGACGGCTGAATGCAGTCGACGTCAGCGCAGAGGGCGGCACAATTCCAATCCGTAGCTCGGACGGCGAGCTACAGGGGAAATACGTGGTAGTCAGCGGCCAAGGGACCCACCTCTGTGAGGCTTCCAAGCAGCGACGCGACCGAGGCCGTCAGACACGACATCCACGCCGTTCTCTGTGGGAATATTTGGATTCAGTCAAGGCGCGCAGATTTAATAGATGTCTCATTTGACAGATGTGACAGACGATGCTGAAAGCGGACAACAAGGACGCGCATGGACAGAGTCGGGCACGTACCGATGAGGGTCCCGAGGTTGGAGCTTCATGTGCGCCGGAGTTCCAAGTCGGGGCGGCGGGAGAAGTCCCAGGACAGGAACCAGATGATGCACGGATGGAGCAGGGACGCCGGTGAGGCTCCATTCCACGAACGCTCTTCGATGTAGCTGGATGTCACGTACCGACAAACTGCGGTCACTTGCGCGCGGCCTGATTTTTCGAGCGCGAGCGCGTAATATGTCCCAATCGCTGGAAATTTCCTTAAACGCTGCGGTCCAATTCGGCGAGCATGTGGATTTTTTTGACTGTACCTCCGAGGCCGACTACGCAAATTTGAAGCATGTCAACTGGCTGCGGCAGGCCGTTGCACATCGGTGGACGCTGGACACATGCTTATCGAGATAGTGTGCACGTGATACCGGCGGGTGACCGTGGCGCGACTCCAACGGGAGCATCTGCATGACTTGGCACTGGAATCTACTTCCGTGTCTTAGACTGTCTCAGATCGGAACATCCTGGTTTTGAATTAGATTGTATACATCGGTGGACAACAAGGATCGGTATCGGCAGCGTTCAAGCTCAAGCACAAGACTCGCTCTGTCGCCGCAACCGAACTTACCACACAACTCAAATGGCCGTTTCTTCTGCGGTCTTCCCGAGCCTGGACGCTCACAAGTCCGACGTTTCCGTAATCTCACGACATGCGACGGCCATGGAGGTATGCGAGCTGGTGTACGGAAACGCGGGACTCACGCCCTGGGACACCATCGAGCGATTCTACGAGTCCAGCGCCGGTACGCACGTCCCCTTTCCCTGCTAGCGCGCAGTTTCCATGGCTCACCCCCTGGCCTCGGTGGACCTGGCACGGCGCGTGCGACTCCAGTGTGAGCTCCATACATACATATGAGCATCGCCTCGCCGCGACTATTGTTCAATATTGACCCCCTTGTCCTGACTCCAAAGTTACGAAAACCCGTTTATCACCGCCACCTCACGTGGCACGATCGGGGACATTCATTCGCTCTCCCGCCAGCTTTCCAAAGTCGACGTCCCGAGGCCGCTCGCGCTCGTCCGCAGCCTCCTTGGTGCACGGAGTCAAGGCAGGGACGGCGCGGAAGCGTTGTTTCAGGTGGTGCGCATGTGGACGGAAATAGGTGAGGTGTGTGAGAGCGAGAGCTTTGGTGAGTCACTTGTCGCTCGCTGTCGACCTATCCTGGCCGCGCTTGTTGCTTCCTCGCTGTCCGGCCGCGGTGCATGGGGTGTACTTAGTCCTTGATCACCCCGCAGACGGACATCGACGGTGCATCGTAGAGCACACCCTCAATATACTGATCTTGCCCGGGCTCCACTCGGATTCTCCGCCAACGCACACGCGCCTGAGTTCTCTCACGTCCGAGGCACCGCCGTCGAGCCCCAGCCAGCCGTTGCATATGTCCATATCGAGCGGTGTGCACGGGCCGCTGGCCCCATCGCAGCCGACGCAAGGGATGGGGCTAGCCGTGCCGAGTCCGCTGCACTTGCAGCTGCACGTGCTCACGCGGCTGTCGTTCAACGAGCAGGGACTGATCACGCACCACCGAGACTTCTGGGACGTGCGGGACGTGGTGGGGTTGTTTCCGGGGGGGATGCTGTCGCAGTGGATTGGGACGCGGGTGGCGGCCAAGGGCCTCTCGATTGCGGCGCGGCTCGGAGGGTGGTTGTTTGGAGGTGCCGCATCGAGAAAGGAAGGCCGGACCCCGGGGGAAGAGGCGAGTCGATAGCACGGGCGCGAGGTGGGCGAGCTCTTGGTAAGAAAAGGAACGCCTCGGAGATGGACCCCTTACGCGGAAGTGTTTCGAGTACTTAGGAGGGAAGCCTGATACACCGCCTCGCCCAGTGTGGCTCCGCGACCAGAACGGTCTCTCTTGGTTTGGCTTTTCAGTCGCCCGTCGCCCAACATTGACGCAGTGGCAGGACCCTCGACCCAGGTGCACGCGATGGTGTGGATATATGTATGCGCAGCGCAGTATGTATGGCATCGCCCCTTCCTTGCGTTATCACGACATAGTCGACGAGCCACGCATTAGCACCGATCGAGATCAGTTCGCCTGGCCGCTTCGCATCGCTGGGGCTGGCGCGGCTGTACGGCACCCTACTTTGCTGCCATTCGTGCCCTCTCATTTGCGCGCACGCATCGATGATCGAGAACAGGGTCCGCGCGAGGGTTTGCGCGTTCGTGTAGACACAGAAGCCGATGGACGCCATGTCTAACTCTGTTGAGGAAAGGAAGGGAGGGAAGGTTGATGGACTGAATGGCAGGACGTACATACACGGATGCACACGGCAGACCTACGTAGGTCTGTGCGAGCCCGTCCCAGTCGCACCAGGGGGACGGTGCGCACGCACGCATCGACGAAGTCGAATCCCTGTCCCTCGGGCGCTTCGTCGCGAGCGATGGCTGTGGCCAGGCAACGCTCACGTCCCATGGGAAGCCCCGCCGCCCGACAAGGCAACTCCGGCCTCTTGTTGGTTCTCCACGAACCCCCGAGCGCACCCCCCGAGCGCCCACACCGCTCTCCAATCACGCTTCCTGCTCTACCGACACGGTCCCAGGATCCCATTGCTGCTGCTCCTGCCAGACTTCACTTGCGTCCCCGCGTTATTAGCTGCTTGCACGCCATATGGCATCGGGGCCCGGGTGCCTGAGCTTTCCAGACTTAGACCCACAGTTGTGATAGAGCTTCCGCGCGCAACGCGTCGACGTCACCCACGCGCGCACACTTATCGGCGAATACGTACTGCACCAGGCCCCAATCTTAGCGCCCGCGCCCGCGCGCGTCCCTGCGTCGCCCCAGGCGCACTAAGCGGTCTCGCAGCGCGCATACAGCTGGGCACCGCTCGCCTGCGCTTCTTCTATCCCTCCCCGGGCGCGCGACTGCGACGGCGGCTCCTGCGGAGCACATAGCGAGCCCAAGCCCAAGCCCAGCCCTGCCGCCGTGTTTGTCTTTGTCTCTGCGCGACCCACGCGGACCTGCGAGCGCCCGTGCGACGTATGCGAAAAAGACGTCCGATCGTGTGAAGGGGGAGGAAGGGCCTCTCCGACCGAAGAGAGCTCGTGTCGGACCCACCCTGGGATGCAGGTGCACCGCTCGCGGTCGGAAGCCCCGCAGCTCCGCGCAGATCCCCCGCCCGACCCCAGCCCGCCGCGCTCGTCGCAGCAGCAGCAGCAGCAGCAATACAACGCGCCCACTTATCGCCGCACCACGGCCACCCGATCGAGGCCCCCGCCCACTCACCTGCACCCCGATGCGGTGCGCGGGCGTCCGTCAGCCTCGCATGCCAAGCACGAGCGCGAGCACTGGCGCTGACGCTAGCACTGGCACTGACGCACTGGCACTGGCATTGGCGCCCGCCGCCGGCAGACACACGCGCGCGCGCAGCGATCTGGCAGAGCCCCGCGCTCGAAAGGGGCCGCGCGCGCAGAGACAGACGATCCACGCCAGCGCGATCCAGGACGGACGGTCGGACAGCTTCGGACAGGCGGGACAGGCTCGGGACAGGCGGGACGCGGACAGCTCGATCAAATCGCGCGCGGCGGGGGCTGGCGGGGATGGTGGGGGGTGACAAGTGACGCCGCCGGATGCGGCGGACGGCCGCGATGATCATGGCCGTGGCAGGCATAATTGCCCGCGCGGCCTTATTTCCCCCGGACGAGCCGTGCCGCTTGGGAAAAGGCTCCGCATGCGGCGTAAAAGTAGCGTAGCAGTAGCACCGCGACGCGACGCGATCTGGCTGCAATCATCATCATCATCATCATCATCATCATAGAGTGCTGCTGTACTGTACGCGGCGCTCGCGGCCTCAGTCGACGACGCGCGGCGCATCGTGTCATGGCGCAACGGGGTCTTATTCGCGTGCGGTACCCCCGGCGCCTACGAAGACTGCGCCGAAGGAGCCCCTGTCGCCTCTCGCCTCTCGCCCTTGGCCCTTCGCCCCCTTTTGTCGAATCGAATCGAATCGACGAGTCCGAGTCCGAGCCCGAGTCAGGTCGGGCCACGCCGGGCCTAGCTCGGGGATCTGGAGGCAGGGATCAGCGATCCCGAGTCAGTCGCTGCTGTACGCTGCTAGTCGGGTCATGCGGCCATTACGCACGTCCCGGCGGTCGTGTCCGCCCGGCGCGAAGATCTCGCGGACGCGCGCGCGCGGGCGCTCTGCAAGGCGTGCACTTCGCCGGACGGATGCAAATGCGGGCAAATGAAGCGGCCGTTTGGCCAGCTATTCGCCGGGGGGCTGCAGCATCGACGGCGCACAAACTCGGATCTTAGGCGTCGGACGGTATGTGTGCGTGTGCGTGTGCGTGTGCATTCGATGCGTCGGCGAGGAATTCAATCACTGGCGTTTGTAATTCTACATTACATGAGCTAAGTAACAACGACAGGTGAGGGACCACGGGCGTGGTGGGGCGTATAGACGAGGGCGTCCAAAAGAGCAAAAGGAAAACAAGCAGCGGGAACGTCGAAGGTGGCAAGAAATAAAATAAACCAAAGTCGAATCACACGATGGGCGAGCACAGACATGGGAATGCAGAGGGGGAGAGAGAGACGGGAGAGAGAGAGAAAGTGATACAAATGCCATGGGAGTTACACGATGAGGAACCGAAACGCCGCTTCGAGCCTAGGCGGAACGGCGTTCCAAAAGCCATGCGAGGGGGGAGAGAAAATAAAGGAGGCGGAGGGGTGAGATAGACATTTTGGGACTAATAAATAAATAAAAAGACGAGCGGCAGGGGATATCAATAAAACGACCATCCAGCTTATACGCAAGAAAAAACGCGTCGAGAATGCACAAAAAAAAAGCAGGCGGCGGGGCTTCAGGCCTTGACGGCCTTCCCGTCCGCGAAGGGGACGCTCTGCCATCCTGTGATGTCAGACATCGACTGCGAGCCCAACGGGTCGACGGGGAGCGACGATCGCCGTTGCACGTCCCCCCCATCCACGGAAGCTGGTGAACCATAGTCAGGGGAGGTAGCGGACTTGCGCGGGGAATTCCGGCCAGACTGGAAAGAAGCAATGTCCGATAGCGGAGCGTTCGGGAGACGGATACCGCCGTCCCGAGGCCCGAGTGGAGGAGACTGCGAGGTGCGCCGTTCCAAGGGCAAGGAGAAGCTGGTGGTCGCTGGCGAGTTGTAAGAGGATGGGGGGGCTGAGCCAGACGAGGAGTAGACGGAGACTGTGCGTAAGGATGAGGTATGAGCGCTCGTTCTCGTCACAAGTATGACATAAAACTTACCAGAGTCGTCCCAATCGCTGCTGGAGTGCACAGAGGACGTCGAAGACACCGAAGCTCTCCGCGACATCACCATGTCACCGTCGGGCTCCTTCTTGACCAAGGACGCGGCCTTGGCAGCGGGGGAACCCGCAACACCCTTGGCCTGCTTCCGCGACTTGTTGCCCGTGCGCAGCTCGTCGAAGCGAAGCGGACGCGGCCGCAAGTGCGTGCGCTCGTAGAGACCGCACTTGTTGCAGACGATTTTGCCCGGGTTGAGGGTCGAGCGGCGCCAGCTAGGAGGCTCCGTCTGCGAGCAGTTGAAGCACCGACGGCGGAGGTACTGGGTCTCTTTCGAGGCAGCGTCGTCTGTGTGTTGGACGGGAAGACCGGTGTGAGGGGAGAGGTAGGAGATGGGGTGCATGGAGCCCGAGGAAGGGGGGCGGTAGAGGCAAGTTTGGGACGGGACGATGACGGGAGCGGTCTCCTCCATTTTGATATGGTGGTCCATTCTGTCGAACTCGTGGTAGGAGGAAGCGGGGGACGAGGAGAGGGAGTTGGAGAGGTCTATGCGGTTGGAGAGGTCGGGACCGAGGGAGATGAGCTGGGGAGAGTGGGACATGATGGGTAGAGGCTCGCCGTAGAGGGTATCGGTGCGGGACGCGAAGGGGCCGAGCATGGGCTCGCTGTCGTGGGTAATAAAGTGGGGGGAGGGGTATTGGACCGAGTCCTCACGGTCCTGCCTGACGTAGGGATAGGTGGCGCGGCGGATGGAGGACTGGTCGTGGTGGTGGTGGAACGCGTCGACGCGTTGGGAGGAGTGCCAGTCTGCGGGGAGGAGGGACTGCTGCTGCTGCTGGGGGAGGAAGGAGTCCTGCTGGAGAGCGTGTTCGGAGGCGAGGTCGTGATCATAGAGTTCCTGGAGGAGGGACCCGCGGGAGGCATTAAAGGGGATGGACTGGTTGTGGACGGTCTGCCAGATGGAGACGTTCTCGGGAGCGACGGTGTGGTCGTCGGAGACGGAGTCGAATATGTTGTGGACGGGCTCCATCTCGAGCTTGAAGTGGTGGTGCTCTGGGGCAGCGAAGGCGGCGAGGGAGTCTGCACGGGGGGAGGGGGTGCGGGGGGTGGATGCGTCGGAGTAGGGGGTGTACGCGTCGAAGTGGAAGTCCATTGGGGGATGCGGGGGAGGGTTCTGTGCGGGGACGGTGGGGAAGGGATTAAATAGCAATGGGCATGAAGGTGCGTCGACGACGGAGGCGGACGACGGAGCACGGACTGGACGAGGAGGATGCGGAGGGAAGCGAGGCGGAGGGACGTCTGGAATGGGAGGAAGCAGCCATCGTTTTGAAGCAGAACCTCAGGGTCCTTCGCATAAACCTGTGCACCGGTCCCCCCCTTCGGGCCTAGCGTCCCACGCTTGTTGCAATCCCCGCCCACCTGGCTCCACCCGCCCCTCGGCGCCCTGTCGTCCACCACCCGTCACCGTCACGCCCGTCACGTCCCCGTCCCACCAAGCAGTGCCCATCTCAGCTCGCCGGACTTTGCCTTACCAACCCCGACAGGCCCCCTTTCTCATGGGAATCGAACCACGAGGAACAGCCCGCCCCCTCGGCCACCTCAGCTCGCGTCTCACCTTCAATCGGCACCTGCGCGAGACGACGACGACGAGCACACTCCGTCCTCTCCCTGTCCTCCACACCGCGCCACGCCACGCCACGCCACGCCCCCGCTCCTCCTCCCCGTCCTGGTAGCCGTCACACAATCCCTCGACCAACCCCGTCTCCATCTCCATCCCCCCCCCCCCTCGCGACTCCATCCCCGTCACCCTTCGGCGCTCGTTTTCGCTATCCACCTACCCCGCTCGCCACCATTTGCGATCTCCAGAAGCCCCGCCCGTCCGCTAGCCGTCCTATTGTTCTCGCTGCTTCCCTTCACGTGCCCCCCCTTCTAACTCAAATCTCGCCTACTTGCGTCCCTGGTCGCGTAGTCGCTTTTAATTACCTTACGCTCCCCAATTCGTCTTCACAATACCGTAAAATAAAAATATCATAAAATAAAACTCAGCGCCGTATTGCACATCCAGACCCGCACCCCAGCTCCCCAAAGTCTTCCCTCGCGTCCCTTTTGTTCATTCGAATCGAAGCCCATTCCAAGCCATACGTATGCGGCCGAGTGGCGCGCACGCACGCACGCCAGCGCGGCGAATGAGCGACATGACCAGGCACCGGTCTACGCCGCTGCACCCGGCTCGCGATTATCAACCCTCGTCGAAATGGAAGCCCGAGTGCATACATCCATACGCGCCCACCGCCCACCGCCCACTACCGCCCACCGCCCGCACGCGCGGCTTCTAAGCAGCATCGCAGCGTCCTACTAGGCGCCGCCCCGACCAGCCGCCGAGCCAGCCGCGGTCCCCCTTCCCCCTCGGTCCCCCTCCTCCGGTTTAGCCTCCTCCTGCACGCGCAGGCTCGCCTGGAATGCTCCACGTCCACGATGCCGCATGCCCCGCGCTGCGCCCCACGCCCCACGCCCGAGGCCTACACCTTGGGCGCCAACTTTAAATATGCAACGACGCTATACGCCGCGCACCCACCCACCGTCTGTTGAATCACGCCGGAAATAGCTCGGGTGCGTCTGTTGACTCCTGTTCCTGTGAGAACAAGCCACGAAGGAAAGAAGCGAGGAAGACGGCTAGAGCAACGATGGTTCCGGTGGCTACAACAAGCAGTCCGGTGAGTGCTTATCACAGTCCACGACCACAAGCCTCGTACTCCCTGCGGCACAGCAACTTCGATCGCCTTCCATGCATCCGAGCCGTCGTACTCCACCGCACTCGATTCATATATCTCGCATCTGCATCCTCCACGCGTCCCGCGCGAAGCATCGTCGATCCCCAGACTGGGCACGCAGCCGCCCGCCACGCACGAGCTCCAGTATCGCTGATGGGCCTGGGCGTGTGCAGACGCCCTCGGCCGGGAGAACGACGGCGATGCACGAAACCCTGTCTGGTTCGCGGGTTCTCGAGCGCTCGCTAGATACTGGACGTCAGCCAGACGGTGGAACTGGGGCCCCTCCAAGCGGCAGAAACACAAGCGAGACCAGGTTCCATGGGCGTCTGGCGCCCAATCTTAGTGGCCCACTGCCAGCCGACACCCCCATAGCGAGCACAGCGTACACACAGACTCCGGCGCTTGGCGAGCGCCCGGCTAGCTAGATTAACGCCGAGACACTCGAGATCCGACGACGCGATGCCAGACGCCCCCCGAAGCGAGCGCAACTGTCCAGCGGTGCCAGAATCATCTCGGAGCAAAAGCGAGAAGGGATTCGGGAAGCCATGTGAGGAAGGAGGGTGGAGACAGTGGAGATGGACTGAGTTTTGGCCCACAGCAGGCGGTGCACTGCACTCGGGCGCTGCGGACGCTGTCACGATCCTGTGTCTGTCCTTGTCAATAGACATCGCCGTCAGCGGCGTGCGGCAGTAACCGCTCACGTTTGACGGGGTGGCCGGTCGCCTTGGAGGATCCTGCCTGGGGAACGCGCAGCGCTCGTGCACGGGCAGATGCACTCCGATCCGACTTTGAGAGCGCTATCGATTCCTGGAATTTCTGTCCGCGTCGGACGCTTCCAGCCACGTTTGCACCTGTCCAGTGAATTTGCAGTGGTCGCAGTAAGCACTCCCGGTCAGACGACCTGCGCCCATTCTGCGTTCCCGCTGCTAGCTCCACCACAACGCAGGTGCGCGACTGGTAGCCATGGCCCGATCCGTGTCGGACCCCCGTCCGGATTGAGCAAGAGCAGGCAAGAGTGCCTCATCGCGCGCGCCAAGTCGTCGATTGCTCCGACGCGAGTGAGCATGCTAATGGGAGTCTGTGCGGCGATCGACACGTCGCTATCTTCAGCGTGAAAACGGGAGATGCTCCAGAAGACGACGGGTGAAGGCGGGACACGCGGGGGGCGGACACGTCGATATCGCGGGCTGCAGGTACCGCGGCGCGGCGCGGATCCGGAAGACCTATCTGAACGGGCCGCCCCACTGCCGCTTCCAGTCGACCGGTACGCGATCTAGTCAACACGTAGCGCCACACGACGCGCTAAGGGCACTCTGTTCAGCGAGCTAGTACGCCGCGGGCATTGAACAGCTCGTCAGGAGACGGCGACGACGACGACGACGATGACATGAATCGCTGTACAGTCAAGAGCCGGGGATCTCTGCCAAATAGCTCATACGACGGGTACAAATGTGTTATCGCATGACACGACGTGAACAAAGCACAAATATGAGATTGCAGAAAAGAAGAAAAGGAAAAAAGGAAACGGAATTTTCGACGGAGGGGGATCGAGATCGCCATCGGCGCTTTATCTTGGCGACAGGGATCGGGATTTGGTCCTCGCTCGGGTCGGCAGATTCGTTGCCAGAGGGCCTGACGCGACAGCGGGTGGGCGGGGTGCCACAACGTCTCGCACGTGGGGCTGAAAAGAAATCGGCGTGACGCGGCGTGACGTACCTGTCTGTAGACCTGCCTGAAAATCCAGAGCGTGCGGGGCACTCAATCGTGGAGCCTCTCATCGAGAGCCTGGGTAGGCGGCAGTTGTATGAAAGGTGTCGGGAATTGTCTGGCACCGCCGGCACCACCACGACGACGACGAGCACGGGCGCGACAGATCGACAGGCAGCTGAGCGATTCGAGGCAATCGCAGCGACGAACGTGGTAGGAGCAGAACGTCGGGGTGCGAATGTGGTTCGGCAGCGCCACAGCGGACTCCGAAGATTGTCCGCGCGCCGAGCCGGGATCCGCTTGTCGACGGTCGTCCGGGCTTCAAGGGAAATACTCGGGTGTCCGCCAATTTGTCAAGCTGAAATGCAGCGTCGACGAACCGAAAGACCGAAAGCTGCCCATTAGTCCGTATGCAATGTTTACGCCGAGGGCTGCGTGCTTGTATTCTCGAGCGTCGAAAGCGCCCCACCAGTGCCCCACCGGAGACTCATCTCCTGGCGGCCGCCCCCTCCATTACATTCGCGCCGCCGGGATGTCCAATGCGGCACAACGGGTATACCGGGCACAGCGCATGCTTTCGCGTCTGGGGCAACAGGCTCCGAGGACCTCCATGCTATAGAGTAAGTTACAGACTCTGCTGTGACGCGGATCGCGCACCACGTCCCAAGCGCCCTAGGGGGCTGTAAGAGTGCCCTGTGGGGCGCCCGGACCACCAGGAGCCAGGGACCGCCAGCTAGCGGGAGATGCGCTAGACAAGTTCCAGCAAACTCAATCCTTACGTTTCAGGGTGTCCTATCTGCGAGGCCCCCACCTCCCTGCGAGTTGCCGGAAATCGCACACTTTGCCTAACTGCAGCGCACGAGCGCTGAAGCTGCGCTCATACAGTGCAATCTGTGTGGAGATATACTTATCTTCGAATGGGAGCCCCGAGGGTCGCGATGGCTCCGTGATTGGCCACCCCTTCTTCCCACTTACGCTACCATGCCGCGACCGGTTTCTGTTATGACGCGGTCAGTATCGCTATGCAATGAAACGCTCCCTCCGTGGATTTCCACAGATTTCCTCTCAACCCGAAGATCGAGGTGATGACTCTGTTATCTAGTAAGACGCACCAACCTATCGCGCTTTGACTAGTCTCTGACCTCACGATTTTCAATGCCTTTATACATCTGGAGCTTCATGCTGCTTCTCGTCCCTCGCGAAGGCTCAATCGAGTGTTAGTAGCCTCGTTCTGGATGCGAGAACCTGTGGTGAGGCTGCACCTCATATAGCCTTGCATGGCGCATGCAGTCTGAAGCTGTGGGCGCTCTCACGCCAATAGAACGATAAACGTGCCCATATGCCAAAGTCGCAAGGTGAACGAGTCCCGCCATGTGATGCCGACGTCCGTTGCATTTTCATCAAACGGTGAATCACGGCATACGTATGCACACGGCCACCTAAAGCTTCCATTGCGAAACAACAAGTCCGTCTTGCCGCGCTCGAGAGCCTGGCTTCGGGTCCCATCTCTCAAGACTTCTCTCTAAATGAGCCGGACCCGGGCTCGCAACGCCCCTTTGTGATGTAGGCCTGAACACCCAGGAGCACCGCCGGGCCACGATAGAAGGCATGGAAGTCGAGGCTAGAGTCACCTTGGCTTTGCAAGCCTCGGAGCCTGGGATCTCGGACGCGCGCGTGCCCGCAGATGGCGATCTCCATGGCCACACCACACCGACACTGACACACTGACGCACACAAGCGCACATAACCCAGTCTTCCCATCTTTCCGTGGCTAGTGATCTCAGGACGCAGTGCGTTTGATCCGTCGTGCCGATGTCCTCTCGTCCAATGTCGGCGCGGCGGAGTTGCGCCGTCGGCCTTCAGATGGCATCAAGAGCTGTCAAAGGTGCCTACACTGGTTTCAAAGTGCCGCTTCGCGTTCATTTACTCGTTTAATTTTGCGCTCCGTTCCGTCTCGATTGCGACGTACGTTGATGTCCATCGCTGAGTGGGAATGCGACGCCAGCATTCGCTGACAGGGCTCCATCGCCATCATCGGCATGCGTGCGCCGTCCATCCCTTCTCCGCCTTCTTTTTGGTGGCGCTGAAATACGACATCTCCAATTCGGTTACTTAGATCCTGCTTCCACAGAACGAATTCAAGAGACCGCGATCCAGTCCGATCGGTCGATGCATACCAGAACGTGAACGCAGGACTGCCCAGGATTGGTCCTGGCATTACTTATTTGCTTGTATACAATCTGCTTGCAGTGCGAGTCGGATCGAAGCACTGGAGGCAGGGACCAAGTGGAGGGACCAGGAAGGACCTTGAGGGACCTTGAGGGACCGCTTGTTGATTTTCCCTCATTCATCGATCATCCCCTTCGTGCGGGCTTATTGCTTTCACTGCTCAGCGATAATGTGAGAGTGCGTGTATTATAGTGCTGCTCATAAGTGCATCAAAGTTGCCATCACGATCTTCAGCCAATGCGGTCGAACAGCCTCCGAACGTGCCAGCCTAGACTCGAGGACCCGTTCTGGCCACATACATATCAAGGTGGCCTTGTGAATCTTTACTGATGCTCTCCAACGTTGGAGCGATATAAAAACCCCAAATAATCGTGCTATTTTCTGGACGGAAGGCGACAAATTACGCGGGAGAACCGCATTCCCAAAGTACGTGTGTACGTACGCAAGCCGTACGCAATCGCACAAGAGTCCAATCGCATGGTAGAATATGGACCAGTGCCTCTCCTGGAAAGTCCGATACTACCGTGGAGGTACCGCGTTGGTCGCACGTCCAGGGGCTTTGCACACGGCAGGAAGAGGACAGCGGTATCCGCTGACGGGTAAGCGTTCGACTAAGTTTGGGCGCCGCGCTTTGGGCAGGAGCAGACATCGCGGAGGCCCTCACTTTAAATGACGTCTTCGGGCATCTGGACAGAGAAAGAATGTAGAAGGGACAGGCGAGGGAAAACGGGATGACATCGAGCACTTGACGGGAGCACGAAGGCAGACGCGCACGAAGGGCCGCTGTGAGAGTGTGAGAATGGGACACCTAGATCTTCGTAGGCAGGACGCAGATTCAGTGGACAAGGGACAGATCTGGGCTACAGACAGCTGTCAAACGGCTTGGGAACGTCCTGGGAGCACATACATCCTTACGAGAGACTGCAGCTGGCGACGACGGCAGCCCGTGAGATCGAGCGCGCGACGGTCAGCAGACCGTGGCCAGACGCTGCGTCCAGTTCCAGCCGTCGACCCTTCGCCCGGCAGCGGTTCCTCTCACGTCATTGGCACGCGCTTGACAGTGTCGTGCCGTGTCTGAAGCCGGCGCATATGTCCACGGATGTCCATGCGCGAACGTCGGCGGCAACAACGAGGTAATTCAAACTCGAAAACTCGAATTGCACCTGCGAAGGACGAGTATTTTCAGACATGGCCGAACGGTCGGTGCATTGAAACACTCGCCGCCCCGGACGCAGCCGTGGAGGACACGTAGTCAGAGGTCACCAGAGGTGACCGGGCAAGGGATAGCGGGTTCCTTCGAGGGGACGCTCGCTCACCTGCAGCTTTGGGACTGGTAGAGATGGAGGTATGTCCAAGTATGTGCTGCGCGGCTCGCACCCAAGAGAGCCAAATGCCTTCCGATCGGACAAGGTGGTGACGACCATGTGGAAGGTCCGAACAAGGTGCACAAACATTGACGTGGGGAAACGCAGGAATGGGCGCAGACGCACCTCATCGTAGGTTGCATCTGCGCCGGCGAGCGTTGATGACGAGGGCGGTGCATGTGAATACAGCCCCTGTATGCGGGATGGATACGGAAATGAAAGAACCTGAACAGACGGTCCGAGAAAGAGCAGGGCGGATAGCTATATGTAAATGTTGGTTCTGGCAAGAGTCGAGAAGGGGCAAGAAAGCGCTGGTGCAGGACACGATTGGGGTTGGATGCGATGCTCTATCGCAGGATGGGCGAGATGGGCGGGGAGGGTGAGGGCTGAGCAGAGAGCAGGGAGCAGGGAGCAGGCAGTTGCTGTGGCGCAGAACTGAGGTGCGCGGCGGGGACCCGTGCCATCGTGTCGACAACTCCCTTCTCAGGCCCAGCCTGCGAGTGGCCCGCCGCCTCGCAATCATGCATCCCTCCTCGCCTCCCTCTCTCACTGGCTTCATGGTCATAGTCCCCACTCTTCTTATTTCCCTCTCTCTTCTCAGGCCTGTCCTCGCAAACCCCATCCTTGCTCCATTTGACGACTGTTTTATTGGCAACGCCACTCAGAAACTCAATGTATCCTCTGTCTACGCCCAGATAACCACAACTGAGTCGCTTGGAAATCATTTGAACCTCACGGTCTTTGGGGAGTCGGCTCAGGAGATCGTAGGGTACCAGAACGGCAGTAGTGACTTGTGTATGGCAGTCCATTCCTGTCTAACATCGTTTACTAAACCTGTAATTAGCAACTCTATTCTCCTCGACGGAGACGCTAACATTCAATGTCTGGAACCACAACTCTTACTTTTGCACCACTTTGCGCCCGCCGTCACCATTACCGTCGCCGGACCAACTCACCAATACTTCCTGTCCCATTCCAGCCGGTCCCTTCGCATTTTCTGCTGCCATCCCGCTCGGTCGAAGTCGCGAGCTAGCCACTCTCCAGACGCGCTTCAGAGCAGTCGATCCATTCACAAATGAAATTCTCTGTGTCGACATCGCTACCACGCCTCTCGATCCGGGCGCTATAGGGTCTGTCTACGGCCGTGCTGCGATCATTTTCTGGTTCACCGTGGCCCTCGCTATCGCATATTGGGTCATCGTCGGCATCGCGAGGATCAGTACGGCTTGGGGCAGGCGGGCGGGTTGGTCAGGAAGAGGATTCTTGGCAGGGCTGGAGAATGCTGGCTTTGTTGTTGCCAGCGCCATCAGCGGAGAGGGCCTGGCGAAGTCTCCCGCCTTGATCAGATACGGTGAGTGTCGAAAGTTCTTGATATCTTCGCTGTATCATCGAATACGCATCTCTCCAGCGACTCCCTCCATGCGTGATATCTTTTTCCACACTCAATGGTGTGCGGCGTTAGCTATGATCGCCGTTCAGTGGCCAAATTTCATCTGTAAGCCCCTGTTGTCCCGCCTCGTGTCGACTTCGAAGTCTTAAATGGGTATATCCAGACCCCTTGCTTTCACAAACGGCATGGGCAGCCTTATCGTACAGTAAGGATTCGATGCCATCTATAGAGTCTCACTAACCCTTCGCCAGATATCACTTTGACCCAAGATGATTCCCAGCATCATTGGAATCCGGTCTCCGCGCCTTCGTTTCAGCCACCATCTGACTTCGTAGATCAAGTCAATGATCAGACGTCCCCTTTGTTCATCGACACTACCGTCCCGAACATTTTGTTTACACTGCCTAGCGATGCAAAGCCTGGTCTGTCCTCTTTTGCTTATGCGGTAGGCCTTCGCCCGCAAGACCTGTTTGGGGTTTGCATGATCTTATTTTTGGCCATCATTGGAGGCACTATCTTCCTGAGTTTGTTTGTTTGGGCAATTGACAGCCTTGCTGCCCTGCTGCACAGGACGTTCAATCGGGACCGCCAAGGTGCTCCATTTGGTGCGCGAAGTCCTCGATACTCTTCGGCGAGCAAGGACATGTTGGACAACATTGGTTCGTCACAAGGCGTCGAGGAAGACCGATCTCTCAATTCACATTTTCTGCTCCGCGCAACATCCCGCTTTCCAACCTCCTCCAGGAAATATTGGTGGAGGTTGCGTCCCGATTTCAGCTCGTTTCATTTTAGCATCCTCCATGGAAATCTGGTCCGCGTCCTGATGCTATTCCACCTGCCTGTCACGATATTTTCGTGCTATCAGATGGTCCTAGGACGCTCGACTGCGTCTTTGGCGTCCATCGTTCTGGCAGCGGTATCATTTGCGGCCTTTTCGGTCCTGATACCGTTCCTCCTTATCTTGCGGCTCTCCATGACGCCCACCAGCAAGCTTTACGATGAAACATGGACCCTTCTGTCTCTCGGGCCCCTGTACAATCATTATCGGCACGGCTCGCAGCTCTTCGCGTGTTTGTTCTTTGCGACCAGTCTGGCGTTCGGTGTCACCATTGGATGCGGGCAAAAAAGCGGGACCGCACAAGCGATCATCATCCTGGTCGTCGAAGTGATATCTGCCCTGGTCACTAGTGTCTGGCTGCCTTGGGGTCACGGAGCAAGCATGGGTCTCATCAGTTTTCTGTTTTGCGTCGCTCGGATTGTCATTGCGGTGCTGCTGGTCATTTTGACGCCAACTGTCAGTGTCTCGTGATCCCTATACCCGCACAAACGCTGACCGTCGAATTGTGACAGGTTTCGATTGGGAACGAAGCCGGCCAATGGGTCGCATATGTCATCCTGACCATCCTCGCCTTGGTTTATCTGGCGTTCGTCCTGATGCTCCTGTGCAAGTTGATCGAGGCACTTGTGCGCATATTCGGCGGCGTTGGGTTCGACCGAAGTCGACATGCTGTTGACGCTGGCCTCCTCGGCGCCTGCAGCCTCGCTGGATGCTGTGGCTCTCGCAAGCACCGCACTCATCGTCATCGCTACAAGTCGTCCGATCTGCCGCAGAGCGTGTCGCAGGCAACGTTTGCCAACTCGGGAACTCGTAAAGACGCCACCCCCACTCCTTCAGGACCACCGTCCGTACTACGCCCGGAGCACGCTCTCCGGCCATACCGGGAGGAGAGCGACGACGAAAACGGATACATCATGGGCGCGTGGCAACCCTTCCCTCGTCCAGGCTACAGCGCAGTCAACGACCAGGTCTCAACTCCTCCACTGGAGCCCCCAAAGTCTGGATTTTCACGTGTCGGAGGCGGACGCGCGCATTACGATTCGCCGTATGCCATCGCCTCTGGATCGACCCAGACGTTCCCGTCGGTCGAACGCAACTCGACCCCACAACGTAACTCTGTGGACTCGACGCAGTTCACGCCCCTGAAGAACACCGCGGAAAGGTCCTTCAGCACGCTCCCCCCAGGCGCCATGGCCCCCCACGTTCGGAAGAAGTCGCAGTCTGCCGTCATCGAAAACACCCCCGTCCTTGCCGGCACGTCATCCTCGCGGGCTCAGGACGTCGACAGACCTGCGCGCCGCCAATCCATTCACCCCGAAGTCGTTAGTCCCCTCACGGACGACGATGTTTCCGAATACACGCAGCCGAAGAAGAAGCACTGGTTCCAGCGGCGCAAGCCGCGGCGTCACAGTGATGGAGATAGCACGCGGCCGTCCAGAGAGGGTATCGCGCCTGCCCCAGAAGGCGGAGGCACCTCGTTCGTGGTCGTTCGGAACCGCCGAGTATCGCAGCCCATGGCTTCTAGCTCTCGGATTGCGGCCGACGCTAGCGAGATGGAGTCCGGGGCGGGTGCGTCCGAGCCGGCGGGGCCGCAGAAGTCTTTTGTAGTGATTAGAGGAAAGGACACTCAAGGTGCATGATGTTTCTCGCCGGGTACTCATCTTTTACTATCAGTTACTTCATATACACGCTTTCGTTTCGTTGTGGATCGGAACTATCTTCTCGTTCATGTCGGTATGTCCTGGTTCTCCGCTTCGCCATTGAGCTAGAAGCTCTTCCTCTTTTCTCTCGTGACATCGCTTTCGTCTTCCCCCCCCTGGCTTCTGCCTTTTTTTTCTGAATGAACACGGACGCTCGCGAACACTGTTATCCCCAACGCTCTGCACAAGTAAACCGATAGTAGCACATTTGTATTCATACAACTAATCTATGTCACCGTCAGTTAGTCCTCAGTTCGTGTCCCGGTCCATGCCCGATGGTCCACCGACCCAAAAAATCCGCCAGTCGTCGCCTCCCCTGTCCTGCCACCCGTAAACCCCCTCTTCCGCATGCATCCGCGCCATGAGCTCCTCCGTGTCCAAGCTGTCGAACGACGCCGTGGACGCCGCGCTGCGCGTGGAGTAAGAGCGGCTCAGCGGCGCGTCGTACGGCCGGTGCCAGTGCCCGCCGCCGCACAGGAAGCCCGTGTCGCCGCCGAACGCGGTCTGGCAGCGCACGGGCTCCTCCGCGCGGCCCTTCTGCTTCGCGTCGGCGAGGAACGCGAGCGAGACCTCCTGCGCCTCCAGCCCGTCCTCGCCGAACGCGACGAGCTGCAGGTACGGCCGTGCGCCGGGGGCGCGCGCGCGCACGACGCGCGGGGCGACGTGCGTCGGGTGCGACTGCCACGTGAGCACGAGCAGCGGCGGCTGCGCGGCGACGTGCGCGGGGAGCGGGGACGGGACGATGTGCGACTGCTTGCCGCGCGTGAGGATGTACACCGTCTGGGAGAGCTCGCGGCGGCCCACGGCGAGGGGGAGGTCGCACTTGGCGGGCGGCGCCCAGAGGCCCTTGCTCTCCTTCGTGAACCCGAATCCGTCGTACGACGCGCGCGAGCGGCGGTTCGAGAGCGAGCCGGACGCGGCGACGGGCGAGAGCGTGTCGCGCGAGAAGTGGCCGTCGTCGTGGAGGTCGACCTCGCCGACGGCAGAGTCCGCGAGGCGGATGAGGCCGGCCTTTTTGTCGAAGACGACGAAGAGAGAGAGGTGGTTGCCGTGCACGACGTTCTTGACCATCATGGAGGCGTGGCGCTGCTGCTGCGACTGGTGCGCCGACGTCAGCCGGACCTGGCTGCCGAAGTTGGACGATGACGACGAGCGCCGCGAGGACGTGGCGTCCGACGGGCTTCGCGACATGGTGTCTTGTACGTTCTGTTGCACAAATGTGATACTTCGCGGGAGGCTCGGCGTGTAGAAATCCTGTGCGCCGACGATCAGCACGTCGCGCGCGCGCGTGCACGATTGTTCCACTGACCTTGACAAACCGGAACGCCCGCTGGCCCTTCGGCGACTCGTACAGCAGGATATTGGACTTTGTGGACACCGCCAGCAGCGCAGCACCCCGGAAATGCTGGCTGTCGCGCCAGAGATCGTACGACAAGACGGATGTGTTCTGGAGCCGAGAGCCCGCTGAAGCGAGAGGCACGAAGTCTGTCGCCCAACGTAAAGGAAGGTCTTGGACGTCCTCCCAGGAATCGCTCGAGCCGTTGCGTTCTGGAGGTAAAGGAAGCTTTTTGTCGGCGTTGTAGGCGGACGTAGAACTGCTAGCAGAAGGCATCATGTTGTGGTAGGAGGTGCCCGGTTCCGGGTGCTGTTGCGGATCGATCATGAGAGACTTGAGGCCCTTGGCGAGGCTAGCACGCGACTTGTGCTGCTTTGCAGGCGTCTGTTGGGGATGCCAGTTCGAGGGCCGCCGCAGGTCCACGGTACGAGCACCCTGTGCACCCTGTTGCAGAAGCGCAGAAGGGAGCGGAAAGTTTACGAATATGTGCTCGGGTCAGGGAAGAACGCGACAGACCTTCTCTGACATGGCCCATTTGGCGAGACTGATCAGGCTGGAAAGGTTGTACATTCGAAGCGTCCGAGGGGGTTCTTGGTCCTTGGGACTGTCGACCTCGGGTCCAACTAGGGCTAGGACGACGCCCTGCGGGGTGCCTTCTCCCGTGTCCTCGACCTCGAGCAAGGACATCTGGTATACGCTATAGTAGTGGCACGCGGATCAGGACGTGTTCCCCGTGTGCAAAGATGTTGGATTCGCTCACCCCTCTCCTTCCCATATGAGATAAGCCTGTGCCTCGCCAGGCCCCTTCTGCTGGAGTCCGTAATCGGTCCACTCTCGTGGAAACATGTCGAGCACGGAGAGTCCCCTGTCGTGTCCGATCAGTAGTAGCTTGTCGCCGAGCAGCGGGAGGAGGGCGCGTATCGGCGCGGGTGTGTGCGAGAGGAAGCGAGAGCCGAATTGGTTGAGGCTGAGGTGGGTCGGGGCGAGGGATTCGGCTACGAGCGGCTGGGCGTCGTCCGAGAGGTATTCATCGGGATATAGCGGAGGACTTGGCAGTGGCTCGAACGCGGTGTGGAGGGTGAGAGGGGGATGAGACGCGGAGGGCGCAGAGGTCGGTGGCTCGTTGAGAAAGATGGGAGGCGGCGGCTGGGCGGCGGGAGGTGGATCTGACTGGCAGCATGGAGGGAAGGAAGATGAGCAAGGGCGGACGGCAAGGATGAGAGGAACGGTCAGGACTCACGCCGTCGCCCCATCCGCGCCGCTCTCTGCGGCGGAATTCGTCCGGAGTGACATCCGCGTACCTCTCGGCGGCTCTGTACAGAAAACAATCAGACCCGCTCCGGGCAAGGGGGCGAGGGCACCTGGACGGACCTCTTCTCTATCCAGCCCCTCCAGCGGCCGAATCTGCAGAACAGGCCCCAGGTCAGTCTCGGAACAGCGGTGGCATGGAGCTGTGATCACGACCTTGAGTTTGGGCCGTGCTTCTCTGCGAGGTCGTCGTACGTCGGCAGGGCGTCGCCGCCGTCCGCATCTTGTTCTGGATGGTCGGACATGGGGATGGGGATGGATGGTGGTGGTGTGTACGGGAGAGGAAGGCGTTTAGCCCGCGGCGGAGGCTGTCAAGGTCAAAGCCCCTGCACGTCCACACCGCCAACGGTCTCACGCTTCCGCCTCAATATCAAATATATAACCGTTAACAATTCACAAACAACACCGTCAGTCCATTTCTATCCAATCATACACTACAATAACAACGCAATCGCAGCCGTGGCGCACTCAACGCCGCGGGCCACACCGCCTGCGGCCTCACGAGAACGCCAGCCCCGTAAACGTCGCCACGGCACCGACCACGGCGCCTCCCGCGACGGCGTTGATGGCCCTCATCCCTCCACCCTGCTGCTTCACGTCCTTCCCGAGCGTCGCGAACAGCTTTTCCACCACCTCGTCGTCTTTCGCGATGATCATCAGGCCGTCGACCTCGTCTGACCCCCTCGGCTCGACGACCCGCGTATGGAAGCCTAGCTTCGCCGCGGAACGCGCGATGGCGGCCACGTCGGCCATGGGCACCTGGTACACCATCACCGGCGGCGCCTTTGAGATGTCCGCGAGGCCATCGAGGAACGCGTTGCGCTCGTCCATGCTCATTGAGCGGATGAGGGTGCGAGAGCCGCTCTCGCTAGGAACGGCACTGGGGACGGGAAGGGCGTCGTGCTCGACGACGTCGGGTTTCGTCGCGCCCGCCGGAAAACAAGGATCCGTCGGGCTAGGCGACGAGTCGGTGGGGATCATGCTAGGCGTCGGCGTCTTCAACGTCCCAGGCATCAGCCTCTGCGCGGCCTTCCTGCGCTGGGCTTTCGTAGGGGACGCGACGTGCTCCCGCCACTTTTGAAGACCGTCCTCACCGGCTGGATCCTCCGTGTCTGTGAGATCGTCCATGATGCCCGGCTGGAGGAGCCTGCTGACGATCGCGCTTGAGTTCGTGGAGAGGGAAGCGAGGCCGCGACCCACGGGCCTCATAGGGAGTCGGCTTGGCCCCGGGGTCGCTGCGGCCCAGGCATCTCGAGGCTCGTCTATGTTGAGCATGGTGCCGAGGGCCTGAGAGAGCTCAGGGCCCGGGCTGAGGGTGGCGGACGTCTCTGTTGGGGTCTCTGAATCGACGAAGGGACAGCCCTGGCGAGGATGGCCCGCTCGTGGGCGACGGCATTTCGTGCAGCGAGGGACTCTGCGGGGACTGTTTCTGGGGGACGCGGTTGAACGCGGTTTAGCGGTCACGGGGGAGGTGAGGGCCGAGGAACGGAGGGCCGGAGGCATGTGAGACGATGTGGAGAGGCGCAGCGGGGACGGTGGAGGCGATGGCTAGCGTTGAACGGTTGAGGACGGAGAGGAGGAAAAGGCTGGGGGCCTGAGGACCACAGCGAGCGAGCCAAAGCTGCCTTTGAGCAGTTGACTCTGTTACTGTATATCGGTCACGTGGACATTGCCTTCCTCAGCTCCCAGCGCTTTTAATTCCACTCGCCGTCCGAACAATGCCAAAGGGCTCCCAACTCACACAGCTCAAGTCTGCCCTCTCCCAGGCAGGCCTCACGAAACAGCAGCAGCAGCAGTCTGGAAAGAAACGCAAGCGCGCCCAGTCGGAGGAAAAGGACAGGGAAAAGCGCGCCGCCAAGCTCCAGGATATCCAGCAAAAATTCAACCCGTTCGACGTCAAGGTCACCAAGCTCAAGCACGACGTCGGCGGGCGCAAGCTCAAGGGCGTCGTCGGAAAGCCTGCGCAGAGCAAGCAGGCTGGCATCGACCAGGTCCGTCCGTCCCGCTCTCTCTGCAGCGCGCGGTCGACTGACGCCGTGCCCGCGCGCAGCGCAAAAAAACTCTGCTCAAGGAGTTTGAGGAGAAAGATAGGGTCGGCGGGATCGTGGACAGGCGGTTTGGAGAGAATGATCCGACGATGACACCCGAGGAGCGCATGCTCGAGCGCTTCACGCGCGAGAGGCAGCGCACGTCCAGGGGCGTCGCGTTCAATCTCGAGGACGAGGGCGAGCTCACCCATTACGGGCAGAGCCTCTCCAAGCTCGATGATTTTGACAACGTGGGGCTCAACCTCGACGACGAAGAAGAGGATGAAAGAGGTGCGTTTTTTCAGTTGCGCCGCGATCGTTCCCTTGCTGTATTCATGTCGCCGTTTAGGTCACATTGACAGTGAGACGGTGAAGAGAGTGCATTTCGGTGGGTTCGATGATGAGGAGGAGGGAGGCGACGACGAAGACGAGGCAAGGGCTCATCGCTCGTTCCGGTGAAACGCCCGCTCACGACTCTCCTTGCAGCCCGCGCGCAAGAAATCAAAAGCCGAGGTCATGGCGGAGGTCATGGCCAAAAGCAAAGAACACAAAGTACGTGCACCGCGTCTCTGTCAGGACTAGCTACCGATCGCGCACGCACGCTAGCTCCAACGCCAAATGGACCGAGAAAAGGACGACAACATCCGCCACGAGCTCGATCTAGAGCTCGATTCCATCCGGTCCCTCCTCGCCGCGCCCGATCCCTTGTCGGCGTCCCTCGCGAAAGCGGACGCTGGGCCTCTCGCCGTGCCCAAGACGGACGCCGACCGAGCGTACGACCAGTTCGTGCGCGAGTTCGCGTTCGACAAGCGCGCGCGGCCGAAGGACCGGACTAAGACAGAGGAGGAGCTGGCTCTGGAGGAGAAGGAGGCGCTGGAGAAGGCGGAGCGGAAGCGCATCCGGCGGATGAATGGGGAGGAGGAGGGGAGCGACGAGGAGGGCCCGAGTCTCGGGAAGCGGAAAAGGAAGGGAGGCGGGAAGTCTGCGGACGATTTGGAGGACGATTTCTATGATGAGGATAAAGATTGGGGTGCATTGGGGGCTGGTTTAGAGGGCGTGAATGAGGGCGGTGAGGACCAGGATGAGGACGAGGAGGATGAGGACGAGGATGAGGAGGAAGAAGGCGAAGGCGAGGACGAAGACGAAGACTCAGAGACCGGAGGTGATGGCGAGGATAGTGAAGAAGACGTGGAGGAGGCAGAAGGGTCTGAAAAGACGGCGGACGACTTTGTATCGTCGAAAAAACGTCCCGCACCGAGAGTGAAGGTAAAGGAGCTCCCGTTCACTTTTCCTTGTCCGGCCACGCACGAAGAGCTTCTCAACGTCGTTGAGGGCTTCGAGGACAAGGACATCCCCACCATCGTTCAGCGCATACGGACATTGCACCATCCAAGCCTTGGCGAAGACAACAAGTTCAAGCTTCAGGTATGTCTCTTCTACCCAGCCGGCATCGCAGGGCTCACAGATTGGCTCGTAGGCATTGGCAGGCGTTCTCATTGACTACATCCTCTACATCACGGCGCCGCCGGCCCCTCGCTTTACCCTCCTTACTTCTCTCCTCCCCCATCTCTTCGCGCTCACAAAATCATACCCTATACAATCGGCAGAGTACTTCCTTGCGAAGCTCTCTCTGATGCAGAAAAATCTCAAACGAGGACTCTCTCGCGGAGCAACCGAACCCGACGCGAGGACGTGGCCGGGTATTCCAGAGCTGGCCTTGCTCCGTATCATAGGGTCTGTGTGGTCGGCCAGCGACATGAATCACCACGTCGTGTCGCCCGCCCGACTGCTCATGGGCTCGTATCTCGGACTCTGCCGCGTCCGATCGTTACAGGACATCGCGAGCGGCCTCTTTCTGTGCACGCTGTTCTTACAGTACGAAGAGCTGTCGAAGCGGTTTGTCCCGGAGGCGCTCAACTTCACTGTGAACGCCGTGCTGCACCTCGCCCCGCACGGGTTCAAAGACGTAGCAAAGCTGCCCGGGTCGTTTCCCTCTCCGGACTTCGGGTCGCAGCGCTGTAAATCTCTGTCTATAGACGCCAAACAAGCAAAGAAGCTGTCGATCGGCTCGCCTGATCTGTCGAAGATCCTTGGGGAGCAGAGGCAGGACGAGCAGACCAAGGTGAACCTGTTGGGCCTCTCGATCGAGCTTCTGAGTCGGTTTGCGGACATGTACAAGGGCCTGGACGCGTTCATCGAGTTGTATCAGCCGGTCCTCAGTGTCCTAGAGGGCGTCAAGCGAGATAAACTCTCTGATGAACTTCAGGTATGCCCTACTGGAACCATGACACGTCATTTTTTTTCTCTGACTGTTCTTTTTCTTTCGGGCAGACACGTTTATCGACAATCACAGACGCTCTGACCCGGCTCCTCAAATTCTCGCGCCAGGCCCGTCGCCCACTGCTCCTGCAAGCCCACAAGCGCATCCCGATCCCATCGTACATTCCAAAATTCGAATCGTCGTCATCCTCATACCTGCGCGCGCAGGACCCGGACCACGAGCGGAACGAGGCGTCGAAGCTGCGGAAGCAGTACAAGGAGGAGCGCAAGGGCGCGATCCGCGAGCTGCGCAAGGACGCGCGGTTCCTCGCGGGCGTGGAGCAGAAGAAGCAGCAGGAGAAGGATAAGGCATATTCGTTGCGCATGAAGCACGTGTTTGGGTCCATCGAGGGCGAGCGGGCGGAGGAGAAGGCGCTGGAGAGGGAGAAGGCGCGGGACAAGAGGCGGGCTGGGAAGAAAAAGTGAGGGGTTTGGTGTTCAGCGCGTGGTACCTATCGTTGTCCAGGTTTTTGGTTGAATTATGCACTCCTGGATGGCGGCGAATTTGGTTTTCATGTTTTGGGTATGTTATGAGCCTGTTGTTTGTACTTGTGGACGCGACGCGACGCGTTCCTCGTAATAATCTCTGCGGGCTCAAGCACGTACTTTGACCGCGTTCGCGCAATGATATAACTGACATATTCACCTCATTCTCTCTTGTAATTTGAACCGCATGCCTGCAATGAACTTTCCGTCTTCCACGCCTTTTCCCATCCAAACATTCCAGTCGACGGGCGACGGGCCGTCTCCTCGTGCACTCCTCAATTTTCTCCGGAACCTCATCTCTGAGAACCTCCATGACGGCCGTGTGGAGCAAATACCGAACGAGAAGCACACATGGGTGACGGTCATCGCGGGTCTCTCGGACTATCTCCTATCGTCCTTTCCGTCGTCGCGCGAGGGCGCTTGGGCCGTCTTGCACGAGAAGATCACGTTAGTGGACACGACGCTCGAGGTCATCCACCGCGTCCTGTCCAAAGTCGATGGCGTGTGGTCGAGCTCTGGAGAGACGGCGGAGAAGGCGGTTTTCAGGCTGATCGGGATTTGTGGTGTGTTGGACACCCGGGACGACGCGGATATGCAGGAGGAGGGCGTGCTGTCCCCGCGACAGCTGAGGGAACGGACATTCGCGGGTACTCTGGAGCTGATCAGGTACCTCGGGAATGTCGATCACGTCACGCGAGGAGCGGAGAGTCGGTCATGGGAGACGGCGAGGGAGATCATAACGGAGTGCATCAAGACCAGCGAGGGTGGGCTTGATCTATGTTATACTGCTGCGCGTCTCATGTTTGCGTATCATAGAGCTACTCAATGCCGCGGCGACCTTGACATTTCCGACATATGTGTCGCTTTCCCGCACGCCGCGCATCGCGTCGGGCCTTGAGTCGGAGGACCGCACGCAGGAGGTGCGTGGTCCGACTGTGCATGATGGATGATAACTCAGGGTTTTTACAGGACGCTACCAACAAAACGTGCACAATCTGTCTCGAGAAGCCGTCCCACGTCTCGAGCGTCCTATGTCTTCTCTTGAATATCGTCGTCCATGCGCTCTCGCCTCCGGTGCCCTCGCACGCGTTCCTTGCGGACCTGGTACCACGGACGACGGCGCTCATACGATCGCTCTTCAACGCGTTGTATTTCGGTCAGATGCCACTGCCCTCGGCAAAGAGGGCCCAATACATGAGCAGTGTCCTTTCCTCTGCGAACCTGCTTCGGCCTGTGTGCGACTTTACGAGTTTTGAGGACACGTTTGGAGACATGGCATCGCGCCTGCTTCTGTGGAGGCTGGGGGAGACCTCGCAGGACTGTCAGCAGGCCGTCGATGACGTCCTCCTCACAGTCTTCAAATCCCCGCTTTCCGTACCGTTCGTGAAGTCTAATGCTCTTGCAGTTTTGAAGTCATTGTCGTCTGGTGGAGTTTCAAATGACGACAGTCTCGTACGTGCTATGATCACGATTGCGATATAGTTTACTTATTTCGATGTTTTCCTCTAGATCGTGGCTACCGCATACTTGTCTTATCTCCTGAAGCCACTCGACGTCACGACTCTCGACCTCATCAGGGCCACCATACCGGACAATGCACAGCCAGACTCTGTCATCGCCTTTCTTCAAGACGTCGACAGCGAACTTGTTGCGCGCCAACCACCGGACAATGATGCTATGGATGTTGACGAGCAGCCACAACCGTTTATATCATGGCAGGATACAATACGAGCAATTGCACAGACCGTCATACCACTGGATGATTTTCAGCCAGAGGCTCCCATCTCGGACTTCAAGTTTGCAAAGCAGATACTGGAGTATCTGAAAACGCAGCTCACAGGGTAAATTTCGTTATGTGTTCGTGTCTTTAGCTAGTTGACCTGAGCTAATACAAACAGACCTCGCAGGGGTCTTTCGCTCGAGGAGAGGGTTGCGGTCACGAAAGGATTGGTCCAGTTGCCATGTTTGCTGGTTCATCGAGGGACGGGCTCTTGTCCGTGCTCTCGCCCGCCCAAGAAAACGATGAACATCTTACCAGCTTACTCGATCATGGTTAAAGCATTGCTAGACGACACACACCAGCCTATCTCGTCCTCTGTGCGTAAGGCTGCGTATGACACCATCGCCTGTGCTTTGGCACATCAATGCGTAGAGCATGGCGACGGCGACATGGATGACATTGCTCAAATGCTGTGTCAGAGCATGTCAGACCAGAATAGAAGTGTCAGGCTGAGTGCGGGGTGAGTGTCACCTGTCTGCTGGTGACGTTCGCCGCTCATTCAGGAGGCAGACGAGCGCTAGTAGAATTTGTTCGTTTTTATCACGCGATTGGCAAGACAACATGGACCAAGGTCGAACGGATTTTCGATACGTTCTATCGGCTCATGGATAGCCCGAAGGATCCCGTGAAAGAGACTGTTCTCATCGCAGTTGGGAGCGTTGGCAAGTACGCGTCTGACACCGCTTATGATACCACCGGCTCAATTGTCCACAGAGTGACAGATAACAGCATCTTAGGAGTGGCCATCAGCTGTTTGATCGCACAGCTCGGGCGGCCCAGTCCTATCGTGAAAGGACTCGCCTATATGCAGGTAAATTCAACACATAAGTTTATGGTAGTTCGCACTGATATACCTCACGTTCCATAGCTACTCCGTTTGTCCAAAACGCATAACAAATCAACCTATGGACTCGTTTCGCCATACCTTGACGAAGTCGCCCCATTTCTGGTGTCTCGGTGGCATTCTCAACCTGGTCTTCTCCTGGAGTGCTGCCGTCTCTTCGCAATCGGTCCTCTTGATTTTATCAACTCTACTTTGCCGCGAACGCTTCCTCAGCTCTTCGGCGCCTGCGAGCAAAAAGTTCTGGAGAAGATTTCTAAGGACCTTGGCACGAAACAATCCTTGCTCTTCATGGGGAACTCGCCTGCGATTCTCGCCCACGTGTTTCTCCTTCAGGGACCAGGACAGACGAACAAGGCGCTTACTTTCATAATAAAGATCGTGACTGAAGCTGCCGACGACGGTACTATCGACATACGAAGCGTGGTGCGGAGTTGCCTCGTGTCTCTGCTGGCTAAACTTGTTAATGTACTGGGCAGCGAGGATCCTGGAAAAGCGCAAGCGGTGAGTTGCTTTCTGATTGATGTTGCTAATGTCACTGAGGTGCCCGAGGAAGGCCATGTCGGCATTGAGTAAAGTGCAAAAGTGTGTCTCGGTGCCTGCTAATGGACCACGACCGAGTTTCAAGCAAGATCTTGGAGAGTTCCTCAAGACACATATGCTTGGGATTCTCAGCAACATGAACGATATGTTACAGGACATACCGGGCAAGGCGACTGTTGAGGCCAAACAGCAAATCTTGCGTAGTCTAGGTGCCCTTGTTTCCAACATCGGACCCTCTATCACCAGCGTAGCACCTCAGGTGATTGTGTCCTCGTTCAGATTTGACGACATCCTAATGTTGAACGCCTTGCATAGATCATGGCCACCCTGCGAATGAAGCTAGTTGTTCCTGAATTGGCCGACGTCGTTCTCGACAGCTGGTACACTTTCTTGACCACGTTAAACCCTTCGGACCTTGGCACTCACGTCGGACCAACGAGTGCCTCACTCATCTCGGCCTGGTCGACACTGTCCTCGCACGGACGCAGCGTTGCTCACCGGTGCCTTCGCCTTTTGTTGTTCGACCTTGTAGACCAGCTCGGAAATAACCTAGATGAATTTGCCGACCCAGTGGAGTTTGTCGCTCTGGCGGATATCCATGCGAGACTGTGGACCCTGCGCAACAATTGGACAGAGGAGAACAAGCTGAGAAAGATCCTCGATCGTGTCTCGAACGACAACGTCACGGTTGCAATCCGAGCGCTCAATGAGTTGAAACTATTGATGGTTGAGCACCGAGACTTCTTCCAAAATCTGGCTACGGGTGATAACTTCAATCCCCTTGTGGGCCATGTCCTGCGCGTGCTCTTTGCGGCATCTTGTCGAGACAGCGATGGTGCGGATGCTCTGCGCCTTCTCGCCTTTTCGTGTATCGGAGCGCTGGGAGCTATTGATCCCGACAGATTCGACTTCGTTGTGAGCGACTCGACGATGATTGTCAAGGCAAACTTCACGGACGAGATCGAATCGATGACATTTGTTCTACACCTCATTGTTGATGTCCTTGTCGGCGCATTTCGGTCCGCCAACGACATCAACCACCAAAGTCACCTTGCATACGCCATACAAGAATTGCTCAGATTCTGTGAATTCTCTCCGGACCTCGTTGCGGCTAAATCCACGACTTCTATTCCTCTGAAGATTCGCTCGAGATGGGATCTCCTACCAAGACACGTATTGGAAACAGTGACCCCCTTGCTCGAAGCACGATTCCACGTCAATGACAGGCCTTTGCCTCCTTGGAACCTCCCTATCTACCCAACCCAATCCACCTATCGCGAGTGGCTTCAGTTATGGACCACCTATCTGATCGCGCACGCTTCTGGAACTACAGCGCAGTCCATCTTCAAAGTATTCCGTGCCGCAGTACGAAACAAGGACGTCGGGGTCGCTCATCATCTGCTTCCTCACCTCGTGCTGAACGCTCTCGTCTCAGGAGACGAAGTTCAAACAGATAACATCCGCATCGAGTTGTTGGCAGTTCTGGAGGACCAGGTCAATTTGGAAAGCACATCTACGCCTGACAAGAAACTACTGAGTGCCCAGGTACATTTTCATTCTTCGCACCGGACTCCTTATTCACCCAATTTTCAGGCCGTTTTTATGCTCATGGATCATCTGAACAAATGGGTAAGAGTCGTTCGCCAAGATCTCGCCGCGCGCAAAAAGGAAAAGGGTAGGCAAAGCCGAACGAGCCAAGCCAGCAATGTGGCCAAGGAACAGCTCTTGCGCGTCGATTCTGTTCTATCGAGCATAGATCAAGACTTGATGGCCAAAGCGGCTTTCCAGTGCAAGGCGTATGCACGTTCGTTGATGAGCTTCGAGCGCTACATCAATCTGCTGCGTGAACGTCAGGCTCCTACGCAGGACGTGCAGCAGTGCTACGAACGTTTGCACGAGATCTACGCTAACATCGACGAGCCAGATGGCATGGAGGGCGTGTCTACACTCATCTTGTCTCCATCGCTCGAGCACCAGATTCGACAACACGAGAGCACCGGGCGCTGGACGTCGGCCCAAAGCTGCTGGGAGCTTCGGCTCCAGCAGCTGCCGGACAGCTTGGAGAACCATGTGGGTCTCCTACGGTGCTTGCGAAATTTAGGACATTACGGTGAGGCTAATCCCCGATTCTCGAGATGAACGAATCTGAGTGTTCTCTGGCCAGACACCTTGCGCACGCACGTCAAAGGAGTGCTCACCCGAAATCCAGACTGGCAGTCCTCGCTCGCTGGATTCCAAGTCGAAAGCGCGTGGATGATCGGGGATTGGGACGAGGTCAAGACTCTGGTAGACAAGACGGATGCGCAAGGCTCCTCCACGGTCATGGCGCGTCTTCTCCTGGCCCTACAGGAAGACGATTCGGCCACGATTGAACAGGCCCACTCCCAAGCGCTCATGGTTTTGGGAAACCCGATCACAGCCTCGGGGGCAAGGGAGTACCGCCACGCGTACGACGCGGTGCTCAACTTGCACCTCCTGCACGAGGTGGATATGGTCCACAATTTTGTGCGCAGTCTGCCCCTCAGCGGCGCACATTCGGCACGCCAGCGACACCACATCCTCAGCGCGCTGTCGCGAAACCTCGTCGCCAGATTGGAGCTAACGCTCCCCACGTTCCGCATCCGCGAGCCGATCCTGAGCATGCGGAGGACGGCGTTCGCGCTGAAGTACGTTCACAACATGTGCCTTCACCGTCTGCGTCGACTGATCCACCCCTAGCGCGAGGAGATACAAGCCCCTCTCGGATGAAATCGGTCGGTCTTGGCTCACCAGTGCAAAGTTTGCTCGCAAGGCGGGACATTGGCAGACGGCGTATAGCGCGATGCTGCAAGCTCGACAATGCCATACACCGTTTTCTTTCATCCAGGGCGCCAAACTGATCAAAGACACCGGGGAACCGCTGCGCGCGCTTCACGAACTGGACAACTCGATACATCTCTCTGGGCTCGGAGAGAACGCAGAGGCAGGCGTGATCGACCTCACAGGTGATTTGGAAGAAGTCAGGCAGATGAAAGCAAAGGTGAATGCTCGTCAATACTAGGACTTTTGCCATGTTCCTGACATATCCAAAGGCCAAACTCGTCCGAGCACGTTGGATGAACGAGTCGGAACGCTTCGAGATGTCCGACGTTTTGAAGTCATACGAGGCAGCCATCGAATTGTGGCCAAAGTGAGCGCCCCGTCCTTCTCTTGTAATCTCTTTCTGACGCAGACAAGGTGGGAGAGCGTCATATTTTATTACGGGAAGTTCCAAGATGACTGTTTCAAAGGTCTTTCCGAGAACGACCAGAAAAGCCGGTGTGTGGCCTCGGGTCTCGTCCGTTCCCCAAGTCGCTGATATCTTGGTCCAAGGGGCATCCGCACGAACCTTGCGACGATCCGCGCCTTCACCAAGGCCATGAAGTACGGCTCCAAGTTCATCTACCAGACAATGCCGAGGCTGCTCACCATCTGGCTCGATCTGGGCGAAGATCGCACGCTTTCGAAGCACGAGATCTACAAGAAGATCAACGTAGAGGTCTCGCGAGCGTTGAAGGTCATCCCGGTCTACAAGGCAAGCTGTGGAACAGAAAAAAACGTCCCGCGCTTCGTGTTCTGATGCTCGGTCTTGCAGTGGTACACCGCCTTCCCTCAGATCGTCTCTCGCGTCGGGCACACCAATGTCGAAGTCTACGACATCCTGGCGAAGCTGATCCTGATGGTCCTCCGAGAGTTCCCCCACCAGGCCATCTGGCTCTTCCTGGCCGTGATCAAATCGACAAAGGCCATCCGGGAGAGCCGAGGACGAGAGATCCTCGACCAGCTCAAGGTAAGCGTGCACCCCGTCCCTTCCACCCGCGCAGTCACGATACCGTCCGTAGACCCTCCCCAGCCCGTCGTCCCCCGACCTGCCCGTGCTGATCAACGAATGCATGGCGATGGCGAACGAGCTCCTGGCCATGTGCGACCACCGCTTCAAAGAAGACAAGGTCACGTTCAGCATGAAGAAAGAATTCCCGCGGCTCGCAAAGCTGGTGCCCTGCAGGCTGATCATCCCGCTGCAGGAGTCGCTCATAGCCAGCCTCCCGCCGGTGTCGTCCATGGCGGACTCAGACTACCACCCGTTCCCGTCAGACCTGCCGACGTTTCACAGTACGTGCATGTTCCCGCGAACGAGCGGAGGCGCTCACTCTCCGTCCGTCCGTCATCACGCAGGGTTCCTCGACGAGATCGACGTGATGCGGTCGCTCGCAAAGCCACGCAAGATCTCGATCGTCTCGCAAGGCGGCCAGGTGTTCCAGTTCCTAGGAAAGCCGAAGGACGACCTGCGCAAGGACGCGCGGCTCATGGACTTTGACGCGATCATCAACAAGCTCCTCAAGACCAATTCCGAGTCGCGCAGACGCCAGCTCCGTAAGGACCCCCCCCCCTTCCCTTCCGCGCCGCGCTGTGTCGCTCACGGAGTGGGGACCGCAGACATCCGGACGTACGGCGTGATCACACTGAACGAGGAGTGCGGGTTCATACAGTGGGTGCCGGACACGATGCCCGTGCGGCCGGTGCTCGCGAAGATCTACGAGGCGCGCAACATCAAAAACTGGGTGAGCACCTAGCAGCCCGCAGGGCGTGTTTCCCCGACCGCGAGCTCACTTGTCCGCGCGCACAGAGCCCCGAGATGAACGCGATCTTCCACAAGATCAAGGAGGCCACGGACAAGGACGCCGCGCAGATCTTCGTGCAGGATATCCTCCGCCAGTGAGTCTCGACTCTCGCGTCTTTCGCACGCGGACACGTTGCTGACCACGCCGTCGCCCGCGCAGCTTCCCGCCCGTGTTCCACGAGTGGTTCATCGAGACGTTCCCGGAGCCGTCGGCGTGGCTCGCGAGCCGGCTGATGTATAGCAGGACGGCGGCCGTCATGTCCATGGTCGGGTGGATCCTCGGGTGCGTGCCTTTCGTCCTCTCCGCCCGCCCGCGCGGGGGCCCGCTGACGCAGAACGAAACGCCCGGGCCAGCCTCGGCGACAGACACTGCGAGAACATCCTGCTGGACTGCAACAACGGCGCGGTCGTGCACGTCGACTTCAACTGCCTGTTCGAGAAGGTGACGCGCTCCTTGCCTAGGCTCCCCCGCGCGCGCTGATGTTTGTGCGTTTGTGCAGGGCAAGACGCTCGAGACGCCCGAGCGCGTGCCGTTCCGGCTCACGCAGAACATCGTGGACGGGCTGGGCGTCACCGGGGTCGAAGGTGCGCGCCGCGCCGCACACTGATCGCACGAGAACGCGCCTCTTACTAACGCGCCGCGTCGCGCCCGCAGGCGTGTTCCGCATCGCGTGCGAGAACGTGCTGCAGCTCCTGCGGGACAACAAGGACACGCTGATGAGCGTGCTCGACGCGTTCATCCACGACCCGCTGGTCGAGTGGGAAGACGAGAAGCGCAAGATGGTGCGTCCGCCTCTCTCTCCCCGCTCTACAGTTCGACGGTGCTAACAACGCCCCCGCGCGCGCAGGAGCGCGAGGCGAGCCGGCGGAGCGTGAACACGGTCAAGGCGTCCGTCGACCTGCGCATGCTCGCGAAGAACGCGCTCTTGCCGATCGAGAAGAAGCTCAAGGGGATCTACACGACGAGCCGCGAGCGCGCGGAGCGCGAGATCTCGACGAGCAACCTTGTGCAGATGCTCATCCAGGAGGCGGCCGACGACGCGAACCTGGTGAGTCCAGGCTCCCGGGCTGTAGCGGACGCGACTGACGCGCGCGTTGCAGGCCAAGATGTACCCCGGCTGGGCGCCGTGGCACTGAGAGAGAGAGAGAGAGACTGCTGGCGGACTCGAACCCTGTGTTATTGTATTTGCTACGACGACGTGTAACCATACTGTACATCTGTGCGATCTACCCCGTTCGAAACTCAGGCCTCGCTAAGCTCGCGCTTCAGGCGCTCCAGCTCTGCCTCCTTCTCAAGGAGCCGCACGCGCCAGCGTTCGTGCTCCGCGACGACCTCCTTGCGCGCCGCCTCGAGGCGGTCGATCTCCTCCGCCTCCATGACGGCCGTGAACTCGGGGGTGGCGCCCTTTGCGGGCTCGTAGAGCGCGGGGAGGACGCCGTTGAAGGGCGCGGGGCGGGTCTTGGCTTTCGGGAGCGCGGTCGGGGGGTGCGCGAGGAGGATGTTGAGGAAGGACTGGAAGGGGTCGAAGAAGAGCAGCTCGTCGTACTGCCAGGAGTGCACGGGCCCGTGTAGGAGCGCGAGGTCGGGGTGCGGGGCCGCGTCGGGCTCGGGCGCAGCCGCGCCGGGGGCAGTGGAGGCGGTGGGGGCAGTGGGGGCGGCGGACGGCCAAGGGTGGAGCTTGAGGTGGTGGTAGAGCATGATGGGCTTCTCGCCCGAGTCGGGGAGGAAGTGGATGCGGATCTGGACTTCGAACTCGCCCCAGCTGCGCGGGCGGTCAGCGCGGGCGAGCGGGGAGGGAGGGGGACGCGCACCCCGTCTCGGAGACCTCGAAGGGCGGCTTGTCTATGTCTGTGCCTGCGGTGAACACGCGCGCGGAGGAGGAGGGGGAGGGGAGGGCGGGGAGGGAGAGGGAGAGGGGACTCACTGCGGGTGGGGTTGGCGTAGGTGTCATGGAGCTTGAAGGTGACGCGCTTGACGAAGTAGCTGATGTCGTCAGCGCCGCCGACGATGGGGGAGTCGGGGAGGGATGCGGCGCTGCGAACGGCGACGGTCCAGCGGTGGGTGTGGTCCGGGGACGGGAGCTGCTCGCGGTCTTTCTGGGTGAGGACGACGGCGGTGTTGCCGTAGATGATGGGGCGGTGGATGGTGATGCCCTGGGGTGGGTGCGGGTGAGTCGTCGGCGATGGCGACAACGGCGAGGGGACAGGGACGGACCTTTGCGCGGACGCGGTCGTTGGCCATGCAGGCTGCTGCAGCCAGAATGCACCCGACCCGCCTCGACGCTCTCTCACTCCGCCGTTCAAACTCCGCTCACCGTGCATCTCTCCCGCCTTCACCGCCACCACCACCACCACCACCACCATCCCCCTCGCACACACAACCATGATCGACGGCCTCGTCTACAGTCCGCCTCTCTCCCCTGTTCTATTTGCGCATGTCCCCTGACCTCCCCATCCCAGAGAAAAACCACGTTATCGAGAAGCAGAGATTGTACCAGGTGCGTCCCCGCCGCTCCTCCCCGTGTACCCGCTGCCCGCGCTCATCAACCCGCACCCGCGCCCGCCCCAGGCTTCCCACCAGCCCATCTGGTACCGCCCCCCCAGATCGCGTCTCTACATGGGTGCGTGCGCCGTCCCTTGCCCGCGCTCGCGGCTGATGGCTGACGGGCCCCGCGCACAGGTCTCTACAAGACCGGATTCACCGCCGGCATGCTCGGCATCGTCTTTGGCGCGTACACGCTGATCAAGGTGCGTCCGTCCCCTCGCGGTGCCCGCGTGCTGCAGCATCGTTGACGTTGGCCTCTCGGGGCGCCGCGGCTGGTCAGGGGAAGAGCGGGTGAGCGGGGCTGCCGCGTCTCATGTTGCTGCAATACAACGCTTGCTTTTGAGTGAAAGAGGCCCACGAATCAATCCTTAGTTTTGAAAAAAAAATGGCGGACATGCAGTCCTGTGCAAGTGGTGTGTCTGCGTACTATTGTCGGAACGTTTGCGTGCGTGCGAACTGGCAAGGGCCGGACCGGGAGCTCTGGCTTACATACGTTCGCGGTTCCGCGCGCGTCTTGGCCATCCAACCCATCCTCACTCCGCCATGGAAGGCTCACCCTACATCAACCGGAGAACGGCGACCAAGTCCTACCGCCCAAAGAGCTACGTGAGCACCGCCCGCGCCCCCCTCCCGCCCGACCGGTGATGGTGATGACAGTGAATCGACCATGATAATAAAAAAAATGAACCGCGGATGCACGCGCAGGTGATGTCGCCCGGGCTCATGCGCGCGCGCGAGCCGTACAAGTGGAGGAACGCGGCGACGGGGGTCGTGATGGCGGGGTTCGCGGCGGGGGCGTGGGCGTACTCGATGAACGCGGTGAAGCAGGACACGTTTGAGGACGTGGACGAGGAGGCGCGCGCGCTGGCGGGGTCGGGGGCGAAGAGCCTGGAGGACGAGGAGCGCGAGCGCAGAGCGGCTTCTGCCGCCGCCGTTGCGCCGCCGGAACTTTCACTGGCCGCGCCTGCGCCCGCGCCTGCGCCCGCGTCTGCGCCGGCTGCGACGGCGTCGAGTGCGGCAGCGGCGGCGCCTACGGCTGCGGCGGTCGGGATATTGCCGGGGTTGCTGGACGGGGCATTCCCGCGGCTGCTGGACCCACGGCGGAAGACGCTTGTGTGGGGTGCGCCGCCTGTGGAGAGGGTGGGGAGGCTGAGGGATGCGTAGGGTAGTGTACACCACGGCTGTGAGGGAGGGACGATGGAATACAGCTGATGACGTGAGCACCGCGGAAATTGTCTGAGTCTCTCAACCCAAAGGCCTCCAATTGTTCGCTCTCGCCTGCACAACATCAACGCGCTTGTCTCGCCGTAGTACACACTCCCCTCGACCGCGCACGCTCCTCGTTGTCGCCGCCGTCGAGCATGGCGTCCGCGTCGCAGTCCATGTCTGCCCTCGCGAACACCGAACCGGGTGCGTGCGTCGTTGGCAGCGGATGCGTGCAGACCGTCGGTGCTCATTGCCCTTGCCCCCGCCCGCCCCCAGCCACCACAGAGCCGCTCTACCAGGTCAAGCTCCTCTCCGCCTTGCGCTCCGGTGCAGTCCCGCCCCTCCCTCCCGCTCGTCCCCGTCGCTGATGCCCTCACCCCCGCTGCCCCAGGCGACCCCGCCCTCATCCACCCCTTTCTCGCAGAGTTTGGCACCGCACGCCGACTCTCCCAGGACACCAACACAGACGTCGCCGCCGCCGCCCTCCATCTCGCCCTCCGATGCGCATCCAGTCCGTCCCTGCCCCCCGTCCTCCTCTTATCGGCGTAGCTGCTGACCCTTCCCCCAGCCGACACCGTCTCGCTGCTCCTCTCCCACCGCTCGATTTCCCCAAACGCGGTCCACCCCGCTGGCTCGGGCACCACCGCCCTCCACCTCGCCGCCTCCCTCGGCCGCGCGGACGTCGTCAACCTCCTCTTGGACCAGGAGGGCATCGACGACACCCTCCGCGATCGCGACGGCCGCACTTGCAAGGACGTCGCCCGCGGAAAGGACGTCCTGCGCGCCATCAACGGTACGCACCCCCCGATCGCGCTCCGCTCCTCGCTCACACACCCTCTCCCCTCGCAGACTCCAGGTCGTTCCTGACCGCCTCCTACCGCTCGCTCCTCCGCACCTACATCCTCTCCCCTCCCACCGCGGCGCCCCCGCCCCCGCTCCTCGCCCTGCTCTCCTCCCCGCGCGTCCGCCTGCTCGATCTCTCGTACCTAGATGACGCATCGGGCGCCACGCTGCTCCACGAGGCCGCCAGGCGGAAAGACCTCAGCCTCATCGAGCTCGCGGTCCGGGGCGGCGCAGACATCTTCGTCCGCGATCGCCGTGGCCGCCCGCTCCACGACGTCGTCGGCAAGGACGACAAGGTCAGGGCCTTCCTGCGCCAGTGTGAGTTCCGTCTCGCCCCCCCGCGTCCTCGCCCCGTCGTGCTCACTCCCGCTCCCAACCCCCCAAGTCACGAACCTCGACAGGACGCTGATCGAGGCGTCCCCGCCGACCGAGCCCCCCGTCCTCAAGGGCTACCTCAACAAGTACACCAACGTCGCCCGCGGCTACAACACCCGCTGGTTCGTCCTCGAGCGCGGCGTCCTGTCCTGTACGTGCCCTTCCTCCGCTCCGCTCCGCCGCCGGCAAGAACCGCGCGCTGACCGCCGCGGGCAAACAAAGACTACCGCCACCAGGAGGACGAGACGGTGGCCAGCCGCGGGTCCATCTCGATGAAGGCCGCCGTGCTGCGCGTCGCGCCCGGCGGCGAGGCGCTGCGCTTCGAGGTGCAGTCGACGCCGTCAAGGGGCCACACGAGCGTGCAGCGGTGGTACCTCAAGGCGAACCACCCCGTCGAGGCCGCGCGCTGGACGCACGCGCTCGCGCGCGCGATCGAGAAGCACAGGCAGGGCGCGCACGAGCAGGCCGGCGAGAGCGACGCGCTGTCGCGCGCGTCGGTGCGCGGGAGCATCAGCTCGACGATGTCGTCGCTCGTGAAGCGGAAGAAGGGCCGCGGCGAGGCGGACTCGGTCGCGAGCTCCGGCGCGAACTCGGACGACGAGGAGAGCGCGCGCGGCGGCGGCGGCGGCGGCGGTGTCGGTGCGAGCCCGAATCGGCGCGGGTCGGGGTATTTGGGAGTGGGCGAGCCCGACGCGAACGACGCTTCGTCGGGGAATGCGAGCTCGGAGCAGGGGGGCGATGAGCACCCCCCGCACGAGGACGTGTTTGATCTGCAGGGCAACTCGGCCGCGGCGCAGCTCGAGCTCACGGCGCAGCTGCTCGCGAACATGGCGTCCGCGTCGAGCGGCGCCGCGCGGGCGACGGAGCTGCAGAGCGCGTTGCGCGAGTCGCTGTCGAGCGTGCAGGGGATGGTGAACGAGTACGTGCTGATGGCGAAGGAGCGCGACGAGTGGTGGCGCGGGCGCGTCGCGCGGGAGCGGGAGCGGCAGACGGTGTGGGAGGAGAGCCTCGCGAGCGTCGTCAAGGAGGGGGAGGAGCTGGAGCGGGAGCTGCGCACGCAGGCGCGGCGCCGCAGCCGGCTGGAGCCCAGCGCGGCGACGGCGGGCGAGGCGGGGGGCACGGTCAAGCGGCGCCCGTCGGTGCTCCTGACGCTCTCGCCGCCGCTGCGGCCGGCGCCGGAGGAGGACGTGCGGACGCCGACCGCGGTGCCGCCGACGGTGACCGTGGCGCGGCGGCAGGCGTCTGGCGGGTCGATCATCGCGCGGGCGGTGCCGGCGCCGCTGTCGCCACCCGTGTCCGTGGGGGGCAGGGCGTCGCCGTGGCTGGGGGGCGTCGGGGGCCCGGAGAGCGCGGGCCTGGACGCGGACGGCGACACGGACGAGGAGGACGAGTTCTTCGACGCGATCGAGAGCAACGCGCTGCCGAACCTGGTGATCAACGAGTCGCTCGCGAGCGGGCACGTCGAGGGCGAGCTGCCGTCGATCGTGGAGCGCGCGGCGTACGTCGGGTACGAGAACCTGCGGCAGACGCTCGGGCTCAACGACGACCAGCGGCCGCCGACGAGCCTGTGGAGCGTGCTGAAGCACAGCATCGGCAAGGACCTGACCAAGATCAGCTTCCCGGTGTTCTTCAACGAGCCGACGAGCATGCTGCAGCGGATGGTGAGCACGTGCGCTTCCCTCACTGTGTCTGCGTGGGTGGTCTCATCCCTGTCCTGTCCCAGGCGGAGGACATGGAGTTCTCCGAGTGTCGTGAGTGGCCCCCGCTCTGTGTGTGCGTGTTGTGTGCGTTCCGCGTGCTCACGGTCCGTGCGCGTGCGCCGATGTGCCGCCGCAGTGGACGCCGCGTCTGCCGAGGGCGATCCGCATCGACGGCTCGCGTTCGTGGCGGCCTTTGCCATGTCCAACTACTCGTCGACGATCGGGCGCATCGCGAAGCCGTTCAATCCGATGCTGGTGGGTGGCCCCTCCCTTCCCCCTTCGCGTGCGATTCCCTGACGGCGCGTGCATTGCCTCCCAGAGCGAGACGTTCGAATACGTGCGCCTCGACAAGCAGTACCGCTACGTCTCGGAGCAAGTGAGCCACCACCCTCCTATCTCGGCATGCTATGCCGAGTCCCCAAGATGGCGTTATTACGGCGAGGTGCGTCGTGCGTTCCCACCGATAGCGGGCGCCGTGTGCTGACCGCGCATCCGATCGCCCCCCCGCCAGGTCGACGCCCAGAACAAGTTCACCGGCAAGTCCTTCGAGATTCGCCCCACCGGCGTCGCCCACGTCGACCTCCTCATCCCCGCCGCCCGCGGCCCCGCCTACCCCGTCTACGAGGGGCGCATCGCCCAGGGCAGCGTCGTCGAGCACTACAGCTGGAAGAAGGTCACCACGAACGTGTCCGGCTTCATCCTCGGCTCGCCCACCATCGACCACTACGGCGACATGACCGTGCGTGCCCGCGTCCTCTCCGCTCTTGTGTGTGTGCGCCCCCCGCTGACCCGCTCGTGCCACCGTCGCGCCCGCAGGTCACGAACCACCGCACGGGCGACCAGTGCGTGCTCACGTTCAAGCCGCGCGGGTGGCGCGGCAAGGACGCGTACGAGATCTCGGGCTACGTCGCCGACGCGGCCGGCACCGTCACGTACGAGATCGCAGGCCGGTGGAACTCCCAGCTCGTCGCGCGCGCGGTCGGCGCGGGCGCGGGCGCGAACTCCGGCTCCAACTCCGGCTCCGGCTCCGGCTCCGGCGCGGGCGCGCTCAACCCCGACGTCGCGGTGCGCGGGCCGGGCTCGGCGTCGCCGACGCCCGAGTACGTCCTGCTGTGGCGCAACTCTGAAAAGCCGCGCGCGCCGTTCAACCTGACGCCGTTCGCGATCACGCTGAACGACTGCCCCGCGGGGACGCTCGCGCCGTTCGTGTGCCCGACGGACTGCCGGCTGCGCCCGGACCAGCGCGTGTTCGAGCAGGCGCGGTACGAGCTCGCGAACGCGCTCAAGACGCGCCAGGAGGAGCACCAGCGTGCGATGCGCCGCGCGCGCGAGGAGGGCCGCGCCCCGCCGCACCGCCCGCGGTGGTTCCGCGCGGAGACGGACGGGGACACGGGCGAGCGCGTGTGGGCGCCGGCGAGGACCGCCGACGGCGCGCTCGAGTATTGGGTCGAGCGGGAGCGCGTGTTCGCGTCGGGCGGGAAGGAGCCGTGGACGGGGGTCGACAAGATCTTTATCGACGACGCGGTCTGACGCGGGGCGGTGGGCGTACATATACATACTGCTGATATTTCCGGACGATCGACGGGCGCACGGGCGTTTGAACACGTATATATATATACATACATACACGTACATCCAGCACATATATCTATCCATCCAGCCCATGAGAGAGCGTACAAGCAAGCAAGCAAGCAACAACAACCATACATCCAGACAGATACAGACGAGAGAGAGATTCACGATACGTTGCCGGCGCGCGAGCCTGCACGCTGGAGGAGGATGCGCGGCGGCACTTCGCGTCGCACATCCTGCCCCAGGCTGAAGGCCCGCGCACCTCGGGGGTGCGGACGCCACGTCCCGTTCAGGCGTCCATCGGGAGGTCCTGTCGGATCAATGCAGAACCCGCATGCGTCAGCGCGGCTCGACGCAACCGCGACGGGCGGCGTGACGCGCACACGCACCGTGTAGCCGATCTTGGAGAGGCCCTGCTTCGCGGCCTCGTTCTTGGCCGCCTTCTTCGTGTTGCCGCGGCCGGTGCCCCAGCACTCCCTGTCGACGAGCGCGCGGGCGACCCAGACGGGGGTCGCCTTGGTGCCCTGGTCCTTGCTGTCGGAGAAGGACCACTCGATGGTGCGGTTGTCCTGTTGGAGGCGCTGGTTGAAGAGCCCGAGGTGCCCGATCGTCGCGCTCGTGAGCGAGGGGGAGGGGGAGGGCGGCGGGGAGACGGGCAGCGCGGGGTTCGAGAGGCGGCGCGGGGCGGGTGGGGGGCCCGCGGGGGCGCCGCTGGTGGCGCTGGCGGGGGGGAGGCCGTGTTGGCTGCGCACGATGCGGTAGGCCTCGTGCACGTAGGGGCGCAGGAGCGCGCGGAGCCAGTCTTGGACGGCGACGAGGCCCTGGTCCTGGTAGAGCCCGCCGATGTAGGACTGTGCGCGCGCGCGCGCGTCGCGGGCAGGGGTCAGTGGGGCCACGGTTGCGGTGAGTGAGAAACTACCTCGAAGACGTCGGCTGGGGAAAAGAGCTGTCGTGAGTGGACTGCAGAGAGAGAAGAAGGGGCGGGGGCAGGGGCAGGGGCGCACCTTGTACGTTGACGGACGCCCTCAGAGTGATGGACTGCGCGCGGTGCAGGCGGAGCTGCTCAGGCAGGCGGTACTTTACGGATCTGTTGCACACAAAAAGTCAACATGCGGCGGTGCACGACGGTCCGACGGGGGGTATTTTTTTCGGTGCCTACATGACGGCCAGGGTGCTGTTGCCGACGACAAGGGCCCTCATTTTCTACGGGAGAGAAGGTCAGCATCGCGCTCTGGCGGACAGGGCGCACCGCGCGTACCGTGGACGGGCCGACGCGGAGGTATGGGTATAGGTGGTAGAGGAGCTCCGTAACGACGAGGCCGAGCACCTGGTCGCCCAAGTGCTCCAAGCTAGCGATCGGGGGGTGAGCCGCAAGGACACTGCGGGTGGACGGCAGGATCGGGGGACGTACACCTCGTTGTCGGGGCTGGGGTCCTCCGGGGTATCTTCGAATATGTGGGTGGGGCGGGCGGCGTAGCTGCGATGGGTGAAGATGCGCTTGCGGATGTCTTCTGAGCGGATCTGGGGCAGGGGCGGGAGGGGCTTGGGGCCGAAATCGGGGCTGGGATCGGAGGGTGAGCGGGGTCGGGGTGAGTGGGAAGCAGGGGAGGACCGGGGACGCACGAGAAGACAGACATGGGGGCTGTGTTATCGTGGAGGTACGAGGCGAGGCGAGGGGTCGCGAGGGGAGGGGGGAGGGAGGGGAAGCGAGATGGCCTGGGGCCGTGTGCGCGTGTGGAAGATATAGGACGAGGGCATGAGGTGAGCCTGACGCTCGCAATAAGCCGCGCGAACTGCACCGGCGCCCACAATCAATGATCACTATACGTTCCTTCCCCTAGTCCACAACACCTTCCCGATCCGGTCTGCTTACCTTGTCGCGCATCGAGCCCCGCCCTCAGCTACGCGTTCCGCGAACGCGTATCGCGACCCCGGCGGACGGGAGCAAATGCGCGCGGCGGGCCTCGGTACTGCCTCGGTGGTGGAGGGAGGAGGGCAAAGGTGGGAGAACGAGGTTTGCGGCCATCGCAGACCCAGACCGCGTTACGGCACTTGATTATCGCAGCCTTGGATGTCTTCCATAACCGGCCACGGCATCTGCTCCCGTTTTCGCTGCTCTCCCGCCGCCCTCCTCTATATCCCTCGAACACTCCCATCGTCTATATACCCAAACTCGGTGCCCTGCGCGCCAGCTCACAGACGATCATCCCCGCCTTTCGTCGCTTTTCTCAAGAGCACGCCGGCCTCCGACCTTGCTGATCCGGAACGCAAACTCTAATGAAACATTCCCCCGAGCTTGACCCGCTTGCGAGCTGCATTGTATTCACTTGAGGCTTGTCTGGGGGAATCGTCAAGGACTTCTCGCATACCGTCTGGGACGCACAGCCGTGGGACCCGTCCAGCTCAAAGGGTCTAATACACTGCTCGATCCTCATCGATACGCGGTGCGCCCTCTCGACGTTGTATCTAGGCGCCAGTCTTCAGACCCCGTGGCCACACGGTATACGTCCACTGAACCAAGCTGCGCGTGCACGATCCTTCGGAGACGTCGTCTCCCTCGCCCAGTGCGCCTCCGACATCCTGCGCGCCTCGATGGGCGATCCGACCCTCAGCTTCATCGCCGAGACCGCAGGGGGGCGGGCGGCGCTGCGGGAGGGGCTTTTGCAGATGCGAGAGCGCGTTGCCACCCATCGGGCGTGCATACACCTGGCGTAGTCTTTGCACGCCGTCTGTCCTGGATGGGCCACGCAGGACGCAACCGCAAGAGCCTTATCACAAGAGCTCGCCTGGAGCGGCGCGGCCCGGCCGTCGCTCGAGGTAGCGCATCACCGCGTCCGTGCAGCGCGCCCCCCGCCGGCCGTCGATCGCCCGTTGCGTGTCACCCAAGGCGCCGGCGATTTGTGCGCGATGCCTTGGCCTAGCATGCCGCAGGGCGAATGACACGTGCGCACCGAATGTTGTAAACTTATATATAACGGTTCGCGGCTCGGTTTGCTACGCCCCGATGATGTTGTTCGCTTCCCGCACTGGTCATTTAATGTATATGCATGTCTGATGTCCGGGGCCTCGCTGAACGGGGCCCGCCACGAGTATCGCCGTCGCATCATCATTCCTCGAGATGGCGGGGACAGCGGTGCTTGTCATCGGATGCGCCGAGTTCAGGGGACGCAGAACAAAAGACAGATCGCAGGCCGTTGGGCGCCGGACTGTCTACGTATGATGGTACATACTCGTATGATACGTGCGCGGCCGGGGACACAGCATCCCAACGCGGTCACGCCTTTGTCTCTCGACTGCTAGCGCCGTCCGACGCCGTGGTGGACCCCTGCGATGACGACACGGGGGTCGCGTGAGCCCCGATACGGTCCAGCGACGCACAGCACGCAGACGACGGGGGACCCACCTGCTCCTGCTCCTTGAGCGCCTTGGCCTTCACCGCGAAATAGTCCACGTGCAGCCCGCACTCCGTCTTCTCCTCCTTGCCCGCCCAGCGCCCCGCGCGCTCCCCCGCGTCCCCCGCGCCGCTCGGCGCCGTGCTGTGCCAGTCGCCGACGCTGCGGTACCCGCGGTCGAGCAGCGCGTTGCGCGGCACGCCGTGCGTGCGCACGTACCAGTCCACGAGCGGGAACGGCCACGCGAAGAGCGGGTTCAGCTTCAGGAGCCCCGTCGCGTCCACCTCGAGCGGCTGCAGCGTCGCGCGCGCGCCGCCCTGCGAGGCCCGCCGCCCGGTGATGACGGACTGCACGCCGAGGGCGTCGTACGCGCGGCGTGCGGGCTCGACCTGGGTGCGACGGCGGTCTTCGCGTGAGTGCGCGTACGCGGCCAGAGCGGGGGCGGCACGCACCTTGACCACGAAATCGTACCTCTCCTCGTCCGTCTCCCACAAGCGCTCGCCGAACTTCGCCTCGAACTCGGCGACGGTCGCGCACCCCTCGGGGGTGTACACCGCGACGGGGACGCCGTAGCGCGTCTTCACCTCCTCGACGAGCGCGTACGTCTCTGGGAAGTGGTAGAGCGTGTCGAGGAAGATGAGCGGGGGCGGGGCGGGGGTGAGCTTGGCGAGCATGTCGATCGCGACGAGGCCCGTGAGGCCGAACGCGGTCGTCTGGTGCAGCCCCGGGAGGTGGTCGAGCGCCCAGCGGAGGATCTCCTCGGGCGTGAGCGGGCGCAGGTGGGCGTTGATCGCGGCGAGGTCGGTCTCGGAGAGCGGGAGCGCGAGGGGCGTGGGCAGGTCGGGGGCGGACATGGTGGCTGGCTGCAGGGAGAGCGAGCGGGGTGTGTGGGGGGGTATTAGTTATGTGGACGTGGATGTGCGGGACATTTGTGTTTTATCGGGGGCACAGACGCGATGATTGCGCACGGATGGTACAACGCCACCGTGATCGAAAAAAGACCGGATGTGTCATGCAAAGCTGACCGAACTCGTTACAACAACACCCCCGAGGGTATCTAATTACACAGATCTACTAGCCGCAATCCATGTACGACCCGACCCAAAAATCAAAAGTCTTTCCACTCGTCCCAATCGTCCCCCTTCTTCGCCGCAGCAGGCGTCGGCTTCGACGCCGGGGCTGAAGAGTACGCCTGCGTCGCGCTGGAAGACCCCCGGGACGACGAATACTCCCCGAAGAAATCGTCCTCGTCCGCGTCCTGGTACAGCGCCGAGCTCTCCTCCTCGTGCTGGCTCGCGAGCCCGTACCCGCTCCGCGCCGGATCGCTCCCCCCGAGGCGCCCCCGCACCCCGCCGACGACGCCGCCCACCTGCCCCGCGACGTCCACCCCAAACTGGCTCTTGCTCCACTGGTTCGCAGAGCGCCCGACGTCGCCCGCGCGCCGTCCCGCCTCGGACACGTACCCGCGCACGCCCGCCTGGAACGTCGGGTCCGTCACGCGCTCGACGCCCGGCTGGATGATGTTCTCGCTCACCGCGCGCGACGCGCCCACCACCGCGGACGAGAACAGCGACCAGCCCTTGCCGAGCGCCGCGAGCGGGTTCTCCTGGATCTCCGCGAGCGACGGCGCCGCGCGCGACGAGAGCCCGTAGGCGGGGTGTTGCGCGTCGGGCGCGGGCGACGGCGTGCTGCCGAAACCCTGGTACCGCCCGCCCTGCGACGGCGGGAGGTGCTCCGGCCGCGACGCGTTGACGGACCCGAGCGACGAAAAGTAGGACTCGTTCGCGGATTTCTGGTCCATGCTGAGCGAGGCGGGGTTCGGGGACGTCGGGGCGGAGGAGAAGGAGGCGGGCGAGGGCGAGCCCGCGCGCAGGCTGTTAGTGCGGTTGGAGGTGCGCGATTTGCGGAGGCCTTGCGCGGACGAGGGCCGTCCGGGCGAGCCGACGCCACTGCCCGGAGAGGCGTAGCCCTCGGGAGGGGCTGATGGGGACCAAGGTTGGTCCCGCAAGGTTGCGTCGAGCTGAGAGGCACGCTCTAAGCATTGAGTCGGGCCGTTCGTGGACAGATCGGAACCTTATCTACCTTTTCGCGGTACTGCGTGGCGGCCCAGCAGTGATAGCGGTCGTATGAGCTCATATCTGCCTTGTAACCGCCCTGCTCGGCGGGGCTGTAGGACTCCATGAAGTCGAGGAAGGGCCCGTTCCCACCCAGCTAAATATATACGACGACGAGAGACGTAATTGAGGGCGACATGGCCGGAGCCGGCGGGTGCGCACGCACCTTCATCCGTCTGATCTGCTCGTCTTGCCATGTGTCCATGGACACAGAGCGCACGAAACTGGAGGAGGCAGCGCAAGTCGGCGGAGCGGCACCCAGAGGCGGGAGCGGGTGTGTGTGTGTGTGCTGACCTTATGTGCACGCCAAAGCCCCTGTGCGCGCCCGCGCACTGGAGGCACAGAAAAACGGCGAAGCTGGGGGGGAGAAGCGGGGCAAGGTCACAGGGGAAGCTGGGCGGTGTCTAGACTGGCCTGACCTGAGTGAGGCCCATTGGGGGTTGGGGTTGCCGCAGTCGATGCAGATTTTGTTCTTGAGATCCTCGCGCTTGATGAGGTCCTGGAGGGTGCGCCTGTGTGCGGCCTGATCTGCCATTGTCGAAGAGGCGAGGGAAGAAATGAGTCCGGGTACAGTGCGTGGTGTGCTGGCGCGGCGGCTGCCCTGGCCAAGTGTGGGAAAGTATTTCCTTGCCGGGACAGGCCGTGGACGTCATGGCGCGCTGGAGGGGTCAGAGCGGGCGAACGACAAGGCGCGGGTGTGTGCATGGAACAAAGAGTGGACGTGGTGGCCGTTTGCAGGGCTGTTGTTTCCCGACGACGAGCTCGGCGATGGGAGCAAAGGAGCGAGGCGTGGAGGAGGACCCGAGGGAGCGGGAAGCCTTACCGTCGACTTGGGCCCGAAGTCTCAGGCTGTGGCAATAGGCGGCCATTGCTTGCATTACGACCTCATCGTCGTCGTCGTCGTCGTCGTCGTCGCCGTCGCCGTCGCCACCGTCGAGCCCCTCGCCGTTGCGGCCGTCGTCGAGCCCTGTGGACTGCTGCGGTCCTCGACGAAGAGCAGAGATTAGATCGCGCTGCAGCAGATAACTCTCGCGGGCTTTGAATCGCGCCCTCGCTCAACGCCCTCGTTCCACCACCGCCTCGCTTGCCTTGCGTCGCCTCGACATTCGCAGGTCTACACGGCCATCCCTCGACGTCGCCGACGTTCTACTTGTGCGCGCAACAGCACCTTCTGTCGTCGTCGACTGCCCGACGCGTCGCAGGCCTTGCCCTTGTCCTGGGTCCGTCCAATCTACACGCCGGCTACCGTTCAGTACCGTGCTCTTTCCTCCTCGTCCGTCCCGTCGTGAGAAGCTTTCCGGCCATCCCGCTTCAGAAGTTCTCCCAGCCCCTTCATAACCCCAACCCCCCTCCTACCTCCCCGCTCCCACCCTTCCAGCACCGACCCCTCACCGTCCAGACGACATCCCCGCTTGCCCCCCACACAACACTCTAGCCATGATTCAAATGACAGACGCTCGTCGTAGAAGCACCGCCGTCACGCTTCATAGACAGACCGTGACCCTCGACTCGGACGGTCCACCAGCTTGGGGCACCTGGTTCAACAGAAAGTCAGCCCGAGATTCACCTTGTCCTTCACCGGCCGTGCGCTCACCCGCGGCAATGCAGATTCTACTCTCTGGAGATGGTCCAGCAGCCCATCAGAGCCCGAATGTGCGGCTTCGGCGACAAGGTGCGTGTCCTCCTGCTCCACCCCCGTCAGATGTGGATAGCGGGCCTGATGCCCTCCCTTGCAGGATCGACGTCCACTAGCGCCAGCTGCAGTAGCGAGAATGGTCGTCAGGAACGAAGATAACAGTCCGGTAGACGAAGAGTCAGTGATTGGCTCCCTAAGGCTTCCATGTGATCTCTGATGGATTCCGTCCACCCAGCGATGTGGATTGTTCCTTCTTTCTGGTCACGGCAGACCTGTGGTCTTCGGACGGAAAACATGAAATGAACCTAGTCCTCCACCCCACGTCTTCAGACCGCTATATTACAACACATGCCCCTAAAAGGCGACGAACGAACGCGCCCTCGACTTCGATCCATCCACCAGGTGATCACGCAAACCCGACCCCTTCGACGTCATCACCCATCACCCCAAAGTTTACCTCGAGACCCACAGTCGAGGCACAGGTAGGATCCATTCTGACCGCAGTCTTCCATCGAGCGCTGACCGGGCCACCCAGCACACCGCATTCCCTCCGTTGATCGTGCCTCTGATCCCAGGATATAGCTCACAAGGCTATCCACTCCCGACACCGCCGCCGCCGCCTCCACCGCCGCTCGTGCAAGATTCCACCGGCTTCCATTCGTCATTGTCCGCGTACTCTTCCGCGTCTGACGCCTCCAGCTGGGCCTACGGCCTCCAAGGACCGTCTTCATCGTCCTCCTATTCGCTCCCGTCCCTATCCCGCTCTTTGTCTTCCTCTCTGGTCACGGGCGTGGGCACGGGAAGCTCGTCAGGGCCGGGCACGACCGGCTCTTGGCAAACCGATGCTGACGTCGATAATCCCTATCGTACGTGGAGTGCGGACCCGCAGTATGGTACGCTCGATCCTCTGGGTCCTGCCCCCATGCCCGCGTCGGCCAGCGGTTCCGGCGTGGAATCTGCACTGCGGCAAACGGCGTCCGGGCAGTACCCGAACATCGAGACACGCACCAACACAAGCTGGAACCAGGTATCCACATCTCATACGACGGAGGCGTACATAGTCACGCCGGCCGCCGCCGAGCCACCGTCGTCGGCCAGCCTGATCGCAGGACCGCACAACCCGCCTTACGACCAGTCCATGTATGCATCCGCGTCCTACTCCCAGCGCACGCCCCGCAGCTCGCACTCCTCCTCTTCACACGCCCAGCCTCCCCCAGCTCCCTCTTCGACGATACCCCCGCTTCCGCGTCATACATATACCCGCACGCTCGTCGGCCTGTTGGCTGCGAACGCGTGCCGCCTCCTCGACGAGCACCGCAAGCCGGGAATCTTCTTCCTCTTCCAGGACCTGTCCATTCGCACCGAAGGTGAGCCCGCGCCGCACATATACTAATCTTTCGCTGCGGGTCCATCAGCCCGCGCGGTGCCGCAGGGCGGACACGAAATGACTCTGAACTAATACGCCAATCCCTCTGCTTGCGCAGGAACTTTCCGGCTGCGGCTGCGTCTCATGAACATCGGCGCGTGAGCACAACAGTTCTTTGGGCGCAGAGATACGCCTGACCCTGTCTCGACGATACTGACGAATCGCTTCTCGCCGCGCCGTGTGGTTCCGCGTTTGCTGCAGCCCGTTCGAGACTGGCTCGACCGGTTCACCGCGCGTGCACACCAACGTGTCGCCCGTGCTCGCTCAGACGTTCACGGCGCCGTTCGTCGTGTACTCTGCCAAGCGCTTCCCCGGCGTCCCCGGTGAGTCGAGCTCCCCGCGCCCAGTCGCTCTCCGTCTGTCACTTGAGCCGCACATCCCTGGCCCGCGGCGCGGCGCATCGGCGGTGGACCATCGATGATCCCACCCCCTGTGTGCGCACTCGAGGCGCCGCAGCCGAGCCGAGCCTCCGTGTCTTAATAGTGCTGGCTGCTCACTCCCCTGTCACCGCCGCAGGCACCACAGCACTATCGATCGCATTCGGAAATCAAGGCCAGAAACTGCCTCTGGTAAGTGCGGAATTCTGACGCCCCCTCCCCCTCCCTGGCCTGGCCTTCCTCCCACTTCCGCCTCGGCCGGGGGTCTCGGCGGATTCGAGTGGAGCGCTCAGATCACTGACGCCCCGCTTGGCTTCGCTAGCGGAATCGCCACGGCTCGAGCAAGAACGGTCGCCGGAGGCGACGAGGCGACTCTTCCGACGACGATTCTGACGACGGGACGTGAGGTGCGCGCGAGCGCGCGCCGCAGGACCCGTCTGCTTTTTTTTTCTTCCTTTTTTTTGTGTACGATATCATTCGCTCGCGTACTGTCTGTTGCTGTTGCTGTCGCCGTTCGCCCTTCCCGTTCGCTTTTCACGTGTCCTGTACATACAAGCCTCTGAGCACCCTCTTTCATATTAGATGGGGGTTCATCCGTCCGCCGACCCGCTCTCGTTCTCGTTCTCGGATTCGATTACACACACACTTGTGAATTAAAATACTATTAGCCGCGCGATTGTATGCTCGCCACCCCCGGTTGCTTCGAGTAGATCATATTGTCGATCTCCGCCTGCGCACTCTCCTGCGTCCTAAAGTCCCGCACCGCCCGCAGCGTCTCGGGGCACGTCTCCTGTATCATCTCTATGAGCGCATCCGCCTTGGCCGACTGGTCCTCGTCCCACTCCTCGTCCCACGACGCGGGCGCGTCGTCCGGCAGGATAGGCTGGATCAGCCGGCCCGACTCGAGGTGGTCGAGCACCATCGACAGCAGGAGCATCGTCACGCGGTGCGGGCGCCACGCCTGCCACGACGGCGAAATCTGGTGGAGGATGTGGAGCGGGTGCGCAAAGTCCCGGCCGCGGCCGCGGAGGAGCTGCGCGTGCGGCGTCGCGAGGCGCGCGGCGGCGGCGCGGCGCTCCGCGGCGAACGTGCGGTCCGCGCGCGCGGGCACGATCTCGTCCGGGCCGTCCGCCCCGGCGAACATCTCGTCGTCGAACAGGAGCGGCGTCTCGGGCGCGCGCTCGCGGTCCGCGGTGGTGTGCTGCAGCTGTTGGCGGTACGGGAGGATGATGCGCTCGACGATGCCAAAGGCGCGCAGGGGCTCGCCGGCGCGGACGAGGACGGCGACGAGGTGGTTCCAGTTGTGCGAGTCGAAGGTGAAGTGCATCGTCTTCAGCTTCTGCCACACGTCCGCGACTTCGTGGTGGAACCCCGAGGCGGAGAGCACGTCCATGTAGATCGAGAGCGGGACGCAGAGGATGCTCGCCTGGCGCTGGAGGTCCTCGCGCGGGGGCTCCGCGTTCGCGCCCGAGAAGAGGCCCTTCACCTTTGAGTAGCGCATGCCGAGCCCCACGATTTGCCCCCACACCTTGCGCGCCGAGTCGGCGTCCCGCACCTTGCGATACGAGTTGAGCAGCAGCGTCAGCATGCTCAGCGTCGGCTCTCCGCCCTGGTCGATCATGTCTTGAAACAAGGCCTCCACCTGCTCCGGACTCGATCTCCGCGCGTGGGACGACATCAGGGGCCCGTAGATGTGTTCCATTCCGGATAGCCGCGTGTTCGAGCTCACGAGCCACGCCCGGTCGTTGGGATCCGAATCCATGAGGGACCGCAAGAAGTCCTGTGCCAGCTGGAGGTTCTCCTCCGTTCCCTCATTGCTGTATCCTCGCAGGATGGCGCCGAACGTGACAGAGGTGGGCTGGATGCCCCGCACGAGCATGTCGTCGTACACTTCCTTCGCCTTTGCCTTGTGTCCGAGGCGCAGATAGCCGGCCATGATCACGGTGAGCGCGTAGGCGTTCGTCTGGAACCCCGTCTCCCAGTCTTTCGCGAGTTTCTCCAGCTCCTGGAAGATGGTGGCCGCGACGTCCATGAGACCAGAATCGCAGGCAGACTGGATGAGCAGGGTGAACGTGTGGATCGACGGGCGCGTGCCCGCGTTCTCGATCTTGCGAAAAATGCGGGAGACCGTCTCGAAGGGAGTGCCGATGAGGACGTACGCCTTGAGCAGGATGTTGAAGACGTCCATGCGCGGGCGGATCTGCCGCGTCTTCGACGAGGTCATGTAGTCGAAGGCCCTGATGACCCCCCGCCAGGACCCGACCTCTGCGTGGGCGTTCATGAGCGCGGCGATCATCTGTCGGTCCGGAACGACGCCCTCTCGAATGGCCTGCTTGTAGATCGCCTCTGCGGCCACGGCATCCCTCCGCTCCGCCAGCAACGTGATGACGGTCGTGTAGGTGATCTCGTTGGGCGCGAAGCCCGCTTCGAACATCTGTTGGAGGACCGTGCCGATCTCGTCGACCTCGCCGCGCATGGCAAAGCTGTTGAGGATGACCTCGTAGACGTACCGATCGGGACGGATGCCCGCCTTGACCATCTCCTCGAGCCAGGTGTTGATGCCGTCAAAGTCGCGACGCTGGGCGTGAGCCATAATGACGGAGGTGTAGTGGTGGACGCGTGCACGTCTCCGAGCTTCTCCTCGACCGCGCGCCTCGGCAAGTTCTTCGTAGAATAACTGGATGACCCTCGCCGTATCGCCGTGGAGAGCGTGCACATGCAGGCGCAAGGAGATGCTCGAGACCCCGACAGCGTTCCGCTCCTTGAGGATCCCAAAGTAATGCTCCGCACGGTCAACGTCGCCTTGATGGGCGAATAGGTGGAGGCCGCTCATGATGTATTCCCTGGGCTCAGCGCCGGGCTCTACAAAGGTAGACAAGGTCGAATAGAGACGATTTGCGAGCTCAAAGACTCTGTTACGAACAAGGGAAAGAACGAGCTCCAGTTGCAGCGTCAGGTTGGGCCGCAGTCCCTGTTGATGCAACTCTTCGAGCACAGCGAAAGCGTCCTCCGGACATCGTCTGACGATCAGGAAGGTTATGAGAAGCTCCCCCGCCCGTAGCCGTTCTGCCCTGTCGCCCTTGTCTCTCCGTGCAGCGACGACAGCCGCGGGAAACTCAATGTCGTCCAGGATCGAAAATGCAGTGTCGGAGAGCGACTTGAGCGCGTCGTTGACCGCCTTGCCGTAGTATCTGTACTGCGGATCGAAGATGCGCCCGCCGAGAGCTGTCCATTTTTGGCAGATGACCTCGAGAACCTTGACGGGACCCTGGGTGCGATGGATGGCCAAGAGAAGGCTCTCGTACGCCCTGCACTCGATGGCCGGGTCCTCCCCATCTCGAAGCAACTCCATTCTCGTCACACCAGAGAGCGCGGCGGGAATGTCACCCGCGAGGGCCTTGCAGCGGACCCAGAGACACTGCCTCGAAAAGGCCTCTAGCGACACTGGCTCGATGAGGGATTCTACCTCTGACAGCAGAGGCATGAGGAGCGTCGCCCACTGATTGAGCGCGTCGAGACTCCCGTCTGACGTGTAAAGGGCTTCGGCGCCTGTAGCCATGCGGTCGACGAAGGGAATGACAATTTCCGGCTTCGTGGCCAACACGCTATTGCGATCTCGGACGAGGTTGTAGGATTCCCAGGCGTCCTGCACTTCTATGGGTTTGTCTTGGTATGGACGGCCCCGGGTGAAGCGGTCGAGCAGCTCGACGGGATTTGGCGCGTCCTGGGGTCGTCGTGCGGCGCCGGCGTTGGTGGAGAAATGGTGTCGGGCCTGAGTTCGGTGAGGTGCTCTGGAAGGGAGGGTGCCGGGAGACGCGGCGAGGAGGGATGGAAGGGCGCGCAGGTTGCGACACGGGTGGGGAGAGGCTTTCGCGTGGGGGAAGACATGGCTTCCGCCTGGAATGGGATCGTTGGGACGCCTCGGTCGAGCGGGAGGAATTGTGGACGCACATTTTTTTGTAAAGAGCCATTGGGAATAGAGCAGCCAGTCTGTGTCTGGCAACGCCTTCTCCTTGCCCTTGATGCGTTTGAGACGCGTGGCGATGTCTGTCTGCAACGCGTGCATTGTGGTGCGTGTCTGAGCCTGAAGCAGCGAGGGCCTTGCGAGTGCGACCGGGTTGGAGAGGAGGGAGTTGAGAGTGAGCAGGAAAGGCTCGACCATCACCATCCAACGAGCGAACACCACACGAGGGCCGACGCTGACGACTGCGACGAACGGGGGAGGGGGTGAGCCGGACGAGTGAGCACTTGGGCGGGGGCCGTTGAGCAAGGGCCAAAGACGAACCTGAGGCACTGACCGGACTGCTGTAAATTGTCCACTCTGCGGCGCTCACGCAAACTCGACGCAAGACTGAGCGCGTCCTCGGCTAGCCCCGGCAGAGCATCCCGGCCGGCCTCGGCCCACCGTCGCCGGCCCCAGGCCGCGCAGACATCGGGAGCACAGCAGGGCGGTCCCCCATTCTCCGGTCATTACTTACAGCACTCCTACGTGCGTTTAGGCGTTTGTTCCACAAATCGGGCACCTTCATTTGACGCGCAGAACAATGGAAGAACCCCCCCGCATTCCCCCTGCCCACGAGATCCTTGTCGCATCATGCAATGGGAACCCGGAAGACATCGCGGCGCTGCGAACGCAATGCTACGACGTCCGCATAGCTGTCTTCGTCCACGAACAGGGCTTCCCGCTCGACCTCGAAATTGACGAGTGCGTATCCTGAGCAACTATTTCCGCGGCGGTCCTTGGGGGCCCCCTCATTGCCAATCCCCGTCGGCAGAATCGACGACACCGCGACTCATTTTTTGTTGCGTCTCGTGCCCTCCCTGCAACCGATCGGGACCATACGCGCGTTCAAGCCCAAGCACGCCACCTATTACAAGCTCGGCCGTCTCGCCGTCCACAAGGACCACCGCCAGCACAAGTTCGGTCGGGATCTCGTGCTCGCGCTCCACCAGTGGGTCAGAGCCGATGCCAGAGCCCATGGATCACAGGGGCACGTCGACATCGTCTGCCATTCGCAGATCCCAGTCAAGGGCTTCTACGCCAGGTGAGTTCCATTCCTTCTCACGCACACACGACTCTCGCAGATGCCCAATTCGCATTTCTATTGTCGTCCAGATTCGGTTATGCCCCTGAGGTGAGCCTACTTCCCCTGCGATCCCACATCCGTCATTTTTTCCCTGCCGAACGAATCACAGGGAGCAGAGTTTGACGAAGACGGCGCTCCACATCAGAAGTTGGTCGCCCGTTTGCCCCTATCCGATTAACGCATATGTGACATGCAATTGTTCAAATTCTATGCATAAAAGAACCATGTTGTAGGAAGAGCGCAGTGTTCTAGCGATACAGCCATAGATGATGGTAGGTATACAGATATCGTCCGAAAAACGTCGCGTCATGTACAGTCGTGCGTGAAAAGATAAGCACTGGAACGTTGAATCACTAGAAGTAGCTGGCACCCGGCTGAACCTTAATAACAAGAAGGTCGAAATATGTGTATCATAAAGTGGAGGGGGTATCGTGCATCGTAAGATGATAACGAGGAAAGAGAAAGGAACAGAGAGGAGGCACTCATCGACAAGCACATATAGAAGCCACAAGGAAGCATAACAACAAGAAATCATGAACGACGACGGTCGGCAACGTCGTCGACGAGAGAACCCTCGCTCTCGCTCTCCGAGCTGAAGACCTCCGCCTTCACAGATCGCAGTGAATTCAGCGGGATGGTCGCAGTCTGGAAAGGATTGCCCGGCAAGACGCTGAAGCTGATGCTCGTTCCGTATCCTACCGTGCCGTCTTCGTACATCTTCCGAGCCGCTTCGTACTCCAACTTCTCTTGCTCGGCCTGTGCGAGAAAGGGCTGCGATGGCCCGTGTCAGACAACGCCTCGATCTGAAAGTGAAATCGAAGGCGGCTGACCTTGCGCTCATCATCTGTCATCGAGCGCCATTTCCCGGCAGCTAGGACACTCTGCTTCGTCGTTTCCGTCTCATCACCGAATACGTCCTTGACGAGCTCGGGATCCGATCGTATCCTCTGAAGGAACATGAAGTACGCGCTCAGGGGCTTCTTCGGCGCGTTTGGATCCTTGATGTTGCCCTTCCGCGATTTCCCGGCCTTGCGCTGCGCTGCGCGGAACGTGTTCTCGCGCTTGATGTCGTCTGGAGTCAGGGAGGTCATGTACGCAGAGTACTCACGCTCCCGGATCTCCTTCATGGCCTGGGAACGCCGCTTGTAAGGCTGTGCGCCACCGAGTCATCGATATCAATCACTCGACTGCGCATGGGCGAAGGGAACACGTACCTCTTTCTCAGCATTGCTCAGTTGCGCGTATTCGACGCCCGCCTCCTTGGCGGCCTGTGCGACATTCAGTTTCCTCGTATTGGTAGCTTGGTGTCTCTGGATCCAATCGGTGAAGTACAGCTGCCACGCGGAGGGTGCCAATTTGGGAGGCTTGAGATGAGATTTCTGAGGAGCTGCAGGATGAGAAATTAAAAGTCAGCCCATTGTTCGGTGCTGAAACGGGGCGGCGAGCACTTACGCGTGTCGACCGACCGCGGTCGATCGTGGTCGGAGGGCTCGGGCGAGAGGTCCACCTTTCTCTTCCTGCGCACGGTGGCGTTCGGATCGTCGTCCAGGTCCGCCGACTCGGCACGACGACTGTAGGTGCGCGCCAGGCTGGGAGCCCGCGATTGGATGCCCGAGGGGGCACTGGAAGACTGGAAGACGTGCGCCAGAGGGTTGGGGTTCCTTCGGGTTCGTTGCCGCTGGGTCGCGTAGGCGTCTTCGAATAGGGGCGGGTGGGGCGGGTGGAGCAGGGAAGGCGGTGGGGACGCGACGGGGCGAGAGGCAGCGCCCGTGTTCCAGAGCTGGGACGCCCACGACGGCTGTGAAATCTGCGGAGGGGCGATGGACATGACGGGAGGGTCTGAGAGGGCGCCGTCCATGGATCGTGACAGCGGGTGTAGAGCGGGATGGTCCATGGGGGGCGAGAATGCCTCCGCTTTGGCCAGGTACATCGGGCTATCTTGGTAGGAGACGAATGAGGAGGCGACCTGCGCGCTACCCTCGATCGACATGGACGGGATGGTGATAGGAGCGGACGTGGATGCCAAAGAAGCAAAGTCGTCGTCGACTAGCCAGTTGGAGATATAACGACTGGGATCGTCATACTCTGACAGGGCGGACGGCATGTCAGCAAAGCCGGCGAACGTACCGGGGCTGAAGGAGGGATCGAACTCGAGCTGGCTGCAGGGGGAGGCGGGGGAGGCGGAGAAGCTGGGAGCGGTGGCGGGGGACTGGAAGCCGGACATGGCGTCCCAGGAGTAGAGGGAGCTGCTGCTGTTGTTGTTGATGATGTTGCCGTTCTGACAGTGGGCGTCGTCGATATCTAACGGACCGAAAATCATGTGATCCGAGTCGAAGGTGGGGGAGGTGCGGGAGAAGGGATCGTCGTCGAAAAGGACGAGGGGGGACGCGTCCCTCATGGAGGCGTCGTTGTTGTCGGGGAGGGAGAGGGGGGAGGGGGCGGAGGGGAAGCGAGGACGACGCTGGAGGGGGAGCATCGGGGGGAGGGGAGCGGGCGGGGGGAAGGGGAGACGCGCCTGGAGAGGCTTATATGGGAGTCGGTGATGGACAGGGCGGTGGTGGTTCAGCGGGGGGACGAGGAGGTGGTCGCTGGGGGTCCTGGCGGTGAATTTAAGAAGGAGAGCGTTGAGCGGCCTTCGAAAGGATTCCATTGCTGTACCTCGAGTGACTCGGGGTGAATCAGCGGCTGCAGAGTTCGCGAGTTTCGAAGCCGAGAGTGTCCTGCAGCGGGGCGCATAGGTGCACAGCAGCAGAGCCAGCAGGTTCTCGAGTGCCAAATCCGGATCGTTCGTCCGCGAAGCTATTTTAGACGGGGGCGCGCCAGTCCGCCGCCATCAACCGAACCGCTCCCCGGCTCGCCCGGCCCTGCACCCTCCCCCCTCCGCATCCGGCAGTTGCGTCCCCGCCCTCGGGATCCTATTGTGCATCGCCACCCGACTGGTAAGAACGCCGACATCAGCCGCGCTCGAAGGCCCCCGGCGGAATCCCCTCCAGCCTTTCATGACGCAGGACCAACTCAATGGAAGCACACGCGCGCGCACACACACACACAACACACCCTCGTAAATATTCCCCGTATTAATCAAATTTCACATCGCGACTCGCTACCGATCCCTCGACCTCCTTGTCCATCAAAGGACGACGACATACTCCGTCCCCTGGTATCGGCCATCGTTGTAAACGCTCTTTCCCGCCTGCATCCCCCCCACCCCGCACATTTCCGTGTCCCACGCGAAAAAAGAACCCCCGCAGCCGTCCCTATCAGTCAGTCGTCGTGTCCCTCATCCGAGAGACGGCGTGATATCATACCTCCCAGCCCTTCACGTCCTTCATGATCTCCTTCTCTCGCCCGAGCGCCGCCTGTTGCCGCCGGTACGCGTCGCGGTCCCCCTCGGCCAGCAGCAAGGGAATAAGATGAATCCGCGACCACGTCTGTTCCCGCTGGAGCTCTCTGCAACCACCGCCGTCTCAATCAGTCTTCCTTCCTTTTTCTGCCGAGGGCCACCTGCGCGGCGCCTCGACGATAAGAAACGAGGCAAGCGGCAGCGCGCGGCCGGATCCTGAGACCACGTTCCCCGTTGGGCGGGTGGTATCACTTGACACGTTCCACGTCCCGCTGACCCACAGAGTCGCGTCCTCAGCGTGGAGTCGGATGGACGCACCTCTTCTCGATGTTGCCCCTTCCAAGCCGATAGAAGCCATACAGGCAGACAGCCGTTACGCCGCCGAGAATGGCCAGACCACTCGGTCCGCGGAATGGAAGGTTCCGTTTATACTTGAGCGATTCAAACCCCCCCGGAGGGGGCATATCCCTAAGGGCACATAACACCGTCAGCTCGATGAGGAGAAAATGACGAATGATCACACACTGTCTGTAAGGCGTCGACACTGCAAAACAGTCAGCGTCAGCGCTGCGCAGCATACACACGCGAAGATAGCATCGTGCATCTCGGCACTGCTCGACTCACTCGCTGTCTATTATGCGGACGGTGGAGGTTACTGGCAGCAACAGTGCACACGTCTGAACGAGTCGTCGGAGCACCCCGGTGCCGGCCCTACAGCGCATCGAGTCACGTGATTCTTTGATGTTTTTCGTCGGTGGCAAATGACACCATCCGCGCTCGCCGCCATCGTATGTCGCACACTGCGGCGCCCAATTGAGACACATATCGGACTCCGAGTCATCCTCGACGGGTCGCTCATCATTCTTGTACGGTATCCTTGGATGAGATCTCATTCCCAAATGCACGGAAACGACGTTGCGTTTCTGATATTGATGCAGCACGGAAGAGAGATATTGCAATTTTCTGGATTGAGATCCTTGGATTCCACGGCGCGCAAATTTCGCGAATGCCTGGGGACCGCTGGAGATAACACAAACGACGGCCGCCCTGAGAGTGACGTTGTTGTCCCGGGCGGGCTTGACTTGTAAAAAGCATGGAGCACGTATCCAGGCCAAAAGCGGAATGCGATCATTCTCGCGGGCGTTGAGTGGCAGAAACGTGGAATAGTGCAATAATTAGATATCCCGCCTTCGTTCACACCCTTCCGTCCCTCTCCTTCTTTCGAACCACCATGTCCCGTCAGCCCTCCCCTGGTCCCTCCCATCCCTCCTCCCATCCCCCCTTCCACCCCACACAGCCCTCTGCCAGACAGAGACCCAAACCTTATGCTACCGGCATCGCCGCTGGCGCAGAAGATGCCAAATACAAGACAAAGTACAGGGAGCTCAAGAAAAAGGTCAAAGAAATAGAGGCAGTCAGTCTACCCCCACCCCCACCCCTTTCCCCTGTCGTGACGTATGTCCTTACCCCGCATCAAGGACAACGACAAATTGCTGTTCAAAATGCTTCAGGCGAAGCGCAATATATCACGCATGAAGATTGAAAGAGCGTGAGTGTCCGTCATGCTCTCTGACTCGATCCACCCTCATCTCGTGCCAGCGTCTTGTATGAACGCCTGTCAGGGCATCCATCACCTCAGAGCGCGTTCGAACGTCAAGGTGCTGTAATGCATGATGCCCAACTTCACCCCTCAGCTTCACATGTGACCCGCGGACATCGTTCCCCCCGAGAAGTTCTCGAGACACAACTGATTCCCGTCGATCCTAACAACCATGCTGCCGTTGAGTATTACAGAAATGCCGGGATACCGATTCGCATCATACAGGGTCCTGAAGGCCAACCCGTTCATGTCGCGGAAACTGTAGTCGGCCCTGCTCAAATGTCAAGGCACTCTTCCGGACATACTCCGTCGCGCGATGCTCGACAAAACAACGTCCACGCGCCATCGGCATCCTCGTCTGTGCAACACCTGGAACCACCTCACCATAGAGGACAACAGCGATCGGTGTCCCATCACAACTCGCACTCTCATTCCCCATCTGCATCTTCCCACTCGCGCTCGAGATCTCGGGGCAACCACGCTTCGCAAGTCTCTCATGCAGCCATACCTGCGTATCCACAGCAGGCTCCCCTGGAAACATTTCCTCCTAGTCATCATGACTCGCAGCCGTCTGCGCCTTCTTCGGACAGGGGAAGGTCTAGTCGGGACGAAGCACATGAGCTTGCAACTCCTCACAGCTACGCGCATGTCCAATCGCCGCCGATGGCTCCGGGTCAAATCTCGCCAACCGCCAAAGGAAGCTCTCGCATCCACAATCATCAGCGCATGGGTCCCGGAACAAACATCAACAATATCGGTCAGCCGGAACGCGAGCGTGATCGCGACGTTCGTGACAGGGAACGCGAAATCGAATGGGAGCAAGAGAGATCGCAAAGGACCAGGGAGATGGAGGGTGTCAGCGGACCAGGCTCGGTCGCACCTTCACGCGTCCCCTCTCCACCCTTCGGAGCGCGATATCGGCCTGCCGGAGACGCATATGCGGAGGAGCGTGATCGTCCTTCACGTATGTACGAACCTCGTGGGCCTCATGATAGCGCAGTTCAACGCGGCGCATCACGTTCTGCAACACCTAGATCCCGCTCCGGGTCTATCGTGCCCCGCGGCTCCGTCGAGGATCCCTCCCGCCCAAGCTCGCGCTCGCAATATTATCCACGCGAGTACGAACAGAGGCCTCGGCCGTCGGTTTCGCATCTCGTTCACCCGCCCGACGTGGACACGGACATGGCTGCGGAAGATGCCCGACACAGTCGGCCGGATTCCAGCGGGAGAATATCAGACGTGTACACAAATTCGGGTTCGAGGAAGCGCTCGAGAAGTGACGTGGAAGGAGACCTAGAGATGGATGACGGGTCTCCGCGGCGCCCAGAAGCCACGGCCGGGGCCGGGGCTGAGTGAGGATGCTGAACTTTCGTTGGTTCGTACTTAGCTCTTTGGACTCGTCTTGCACAGGCCTTGATGTACAACGCGGGGGGCAGGGCGATTGTGGTGATTTCTTGTCAGCATCTTGAACGCGTGTATGTGTACATGTTTTCTGCATCTTTAGTCAAGCCGTGGTGTCATTCGCTGTGGAGCTATCTTCGTCGGATTGCTACGGCTGCAGTGTGGTCTGATGATCACGCCCCCATATAGTTTTGCAACGATGTGCGCAACGAGGCTCGATGATGCGCAAATCGATCTACTATATCAACGGGGGATGTCCGAAGGCCCAGGTACCAGCACTTGATGCGATCCGTTTGGCTGGCGTCCAAGGACTGGTAGGCACGTACTAAAAGCTCAGAAGCGGCTTCCGCATATCGTTGGACTCCGCGCATCCCTTCGTCCGTGGACGCTCGGACCTCCAGCTTCGCCAGTCGCCATGGATTTGGAGTTTTTTTACGCGTCTCTGTCATTTGCGAGGCGATCCTGCACGGTACGGGATCGTCGCCGATCTCGCATGTTGCGTTTCAACATTTGGACTGATGGCCGCTGGGATCGACATTGCGTGCTTACACCGTCCGGGTTTCGAGCCGCCGCGTATTCGTCGATGCGGGCAGGCCGCTTGGCTGTGAGGTGCTCGCACGGGAATCGCTGCTGAGGGCGATGCGGCCTGCGCGCGCGGACGTTCGAGGTGAAACTCCTCCGTCCGTACGTGGATCGTCACGCATATCATCTCTGCCATCCACATGCATGTCTGGCGAGTGGCCCTTTCCAACGGCGAGGCAGGTTCATTCTATAATCTGCAGATTTACACGTCGTTGGAGCTCGACGTCTAATGAGATGACCTGTCAGATTCCATCGTTCTGTGCCAGGCGTGTGTACGGTCACGGCTACTAGTCTCCGTGGCAGACCTTGCGCAGAAGACGGTCGGTCTGGTCTGGGGCATTGCCTTCCCGTTGGACGTATCACCTGTGACCACCAGCAAGAGGCTCATTATGGGATGTATGTATGTGTCTGCGGAATTGTGTGATCCGCTCCTGCTCCCAGTCTCACCTGTATCGGAGCACAGCAGTCGAGTCCTCCCAACATACGAAGACGGTTCATCAGACTCCTGATGCTGCGTCTCCCTGGAGATAATCCTCGACGGCTCCACTCGGGCTATCAATGTCTGGGTCCATGTAATTAACTCTTTGCTTTGTTCGTATTCATTAATGCGTGTATGTCAGAGGCGGTGTGATCAAGTGATCAAGACAGCTGCTCCCAGTTCACGATGGCGACAACGAAACGGTGTCATCATGAGCGTCCGTATGGAATTGGGATTTCCTCCCTTGCTTTAGATTACTGACGTGCTTCGCAAGTGGACACATGTGTCCGATGAAACTTCCGTATTGTTTGTTGATCTCTACTCCACGAGAACCTGCTCATCGTCGACATGACATAACAACTAACGGTTGGCCAATCGAGCTTTGCCGCAAATTCAATTCGTGTGCACACTTTGAGGCATCTCGTGTCTGTCAGTAAGGAATTTACGTGACCGTCATCATCGTCTTCCTCGCCCTCGGGGTGACGTCGAGAGACAGAACCGGCGATATCTCCCGTGACAGCACACTGAACTCCCCGTTGCGTACATATACGTCCCAGTCATGCTATGTATACTGTCACCTTGCGGCGCGACCTAGGCTCCGTCATCTACGTCAAGTGGGAAATCCAGGGTGACCATAGAGGGGGCAGGCAGAGTGCTTAACTGGATTGACTTCCACGGCAGTGGATCTGACCTATGACGCACGTACCCTCCTAGGCATCAAGAAGCCTTGACATACTCTGTTCTTTTCATCTCGACGGCTCTGTCCCATAGGAGCCATGGACTAAATGAAAGTTTCGTGACGTCTTCGAGCAGATAATTTGACCATGGGCTGAAGGGAGGCCTATCTCCGCATGGGGAAGATCGCTATCTTTGTTTGTCAAGGATCGAACAAATGCGGTGCTCTCCAGTATATTAAGAACAGACCGTGCATCCAGCCATTCTGAGGATGGTCTATGTCCGCCCTCTGACCAAGTCCGTGTTGCGTCTCATGCGATCAAGGCCGGGTCGAGCATCCGATATGAGAATCTTCTCCGATGGGCATATTGGCACAGCGAGCGAGCGAGCGATCGCAGTCGTGACACTCGATGTCGAACTTGTCAGCGAACTGTAGCGCTCTGTAACGGACACTCTGGATCGCATATTGACGCCATCACAAGCACGATCGACGGCGAAACATATGATGAATGGAAGCGACTCCGGCGCAAGAGGTACCCTGGGCGCCCGGCGAGAATGCAGAGCATGTGCCCTAATCAAGCCCGTGATGCTTGCCAGGAGGTAGGCTCGGTGGAGAGTGCGGGTAGGGAGTGGGCCAGGAGGGATACCCATCTCACAAACAAAGGACGCGTGTCAATGCCTCTCCACATGCAGGAATCTGTCATCGGCGACACCCGGGAGCTTATGGATAACACTCGCACCGGAGGTCAAAACAGGTCAAACGATCGTTCGAACGCCTCGTCTGGGCTTTCGAGACCACCACCTCTTACATCGATCTAGGAGGCGGGACGCGCAAGGGGTTCCACCGCCGTGGGTCCCTGGGCTCTCCTAGAGGTCGAGGTTTAGTTCGAACCCTTTGGGATTAGCAGCTGGGGCTTGTGGCGTTCGGAGTACAGATAACTCTGACCAGGTACCTTGAAAGACGAAGACCGAGCCCCTGATAGGGGCTTGATAACGCCTTGGTCAGAAGGAGGGACGGCAAGAAGACCCGTATTAGATAGGCTACAAACCTAAAACAACCCGGGAGGACGAACCACGACACCTGCCAAATCGGGAGCACAGCTTTGTTCTCAGCTCTTAACCGCTTGCTCGGAAGCAGATTTTGACGTTGAAACATACGCAGAGCGTTCACGGCTGAGGGTCAGGACTATCCTGCGGCGTTTGCTCCAAGACCAGTGGAAACATAGCCGCAAATTTGGAAATTTATCACAAATGGCAAGTTAGATTGCGCATAGTGCTCGAAAGGTAGGACACGTCAGCGTGCATATGATAATCTGCCATGTACTGCGTACAGGCTCTCACCGTTTGCGCCGCCGCCCAATTCTATGCCGTACCCTATGAACTGCGGAAAGCGGTCCTTCCAAAACAAGAGTCGAAGTTGATGGACCTTCTTAGACTGCTATGAATACAGAAGCAATCGGTGTGAAAGTGTGCTCCACAGTGAAAAGTCGTATAGCCTTTGCAGTGGGAGTCTACGTGAATCATGACACGACGGCAAGCACAAAAGGGACTCCGCGGATGTGTCATGCTTCAGTGGATGCAAGAAGGCCTGTAGTCCACTCATACATACCCAGAAATACTGCACCGCCTGCAGAGATCCACATTGTTCGTGGAACAGCTCCTGCAAACAGTGCCCGGAGACCTTCAGCGGCGTATAGCTGTCGAATTCGTGTCAAAGGAGAGGGATACGACGGGTGGGATGGATCCTAATGACAGACTGTCAGTACAATAACAAGCTAAGCGCCGTGTGCTTGAGTGATCTGGCGCTTACTCGAAGATCGAGCATTACTCGAGTTTTGAGAACATCAAGTGGAGTAGTCAAAGCCGCCGCAATGCCGCCTGCTGCGCTCCCACAGAGCGCAGCCTCATATGCATGTAGGGATGCAGGCTTATCGTAGAGTAAGCGAGAAAGACGACTCTTGAACAGCTCATACAGCGGAAATTGCAGAGACGTAAATGGAATCTAGTAGTCAAAAGTCATTACCTGATGGATGGGCTTTGAAATCATTTGAACGCTGTGACGACTCCTACCTCGCGCATCACGGTAATACCGAAGCCTCTATAGAAACCTTTTAAACCCTCCGTTCTCCATAATAGTCTAGCGGCGGCAAGCGAGGAGTCGGCAAGAGCACCATATGTCGAAGTTTGTGATCGTGTCTTGATGACTTCCGTTGGAACGCGGATCAGGCAGGCCGTCTGCGGTGGCCGAGAGACGATGAGTAATTCGCATGTGAAGGAGACGTGATTTGCATCGCAGACATAGGGACGCACAATTTCACCCACAGATGCAGAAATCATATGGTTCACAGGAGCCAGGTGCTCTGGGATAGGAAGTGTGCGCTTCAGGGTATCATAGGTGCAAAAGAATGCGGCAGCTGGACGCGAAGGCCGTATGAGCCGTGTCAGCAGAGTAGCCGCTCGAGGAAGTGCGACACGCCATCGAAGCTATATCTCACCGCCAGGAGCACTTCCTACAATCACACTACCCACGCCTCTGTATATTCCATTGAATCCACCAGCTTTTACAAATCCCTGAGCAGACTGCAGGCGAGTCTTGACAGAGTCTATAGGGTAGAATAGAAGATCCACAGATGTACCTGCAAGGCCTCCAGCCTATCAGATACACGATGTGAGAGATGACGTTCTTATTTGCTACGAAGATGGTGAAGACACTGCTCACAATGAGAGACTGGGTAAAAGTCGGTGATGTTTGACTCATATTCTTGATACCAAGATTGGAAGGCGTAAGCAAGCGAAGGTGTTCTCGACAGTTGCTACGTACCTGCAAGGACTCTACCGAGACCTGCTCCTACTCCGTATTCCGCTAGAGTCGTCCGTCGAGGAAACTTGAAGCGCGCAGCCTGACGCAGACGCGGAATCACGAGTCGGTCACCTGATCGCATTTTCGTCATCTTCAGTGAGCTCCTTGGCCGACGGGCAGCGCACAAGCCTCGTTCACTCTGTAAAATCAAAATCGTTAAAGCTCACCTATCATCCGGTCGGATAGGATTCGACCAACCCATGTCTCTCGTGCGCGTGATCATTCATTCAGGTTGAAAGGAAACCATGCTAGCTCATTTCTCCGAATATCTCTTCTTCTATTTATTACTGATGCCTAATACAGGTAACCCACGATCCCAATCTCAGGTTGTCTGAGGGCCTTTCAGTCAGGCAAAAGGTGTAAGGCTTCGTTCTTCACAAGTTGCCTTTATACGCATGGCAGCTTCACCGATATTTGCGGCCGCAGGCAAGCTCAGTTTGTTCCTACTTGCTTATGGTCCAGTGTCCCTAGCCAGGCATGCTTACTATTTTTACATACATCTTTAAGGAAGGATACTTATCTCCTGCCCAACCTCTCCGGCTTGTCGAAGAGGCCGATCATCAACTTTCGAACTCGAACATCCCCTTGACCTGTCACTCCCCACTCAGTCTATCCCGAACATGAGCTGTGACCTGGATTACAATTCTAAATCAGATACTGACTCTCAATTTGAGCATCCCCGAATGCCGACTATCCTTGGCAAGGGGATTTCCTTTCCTGCCGTCATTTTCGAGCCAAGCTCGTACAATCTGTCAATATGACTTCACACTACGAGATCAGGATGTATCATCACAGAGCGCATGGAGCCTACCATAAGTGCAACTTTCTGAATCGAGTATCTCTGATACAACCTCCCTTACAGGACCCGGTCTTTGGAGACCTCATCATGGCCCCTCTATGTCCCTCGGCCGAACCCTTCATCGTGCGTTCGGGTTTCAATGAATGCCGCAAGATTTTCCGACCATAGCAAGGCAGACCGAGGCCGAGCACCCCTCCTTCCTTCGTGCTGTCAAGATTGGGCCTGCGACAACAATTTCAAAATTACATCCAGCATAACACTTGCTTAGCGCGAGGAATTGCGTGGTATCATCCTCAGGCATCCCATCCTATATCCCGTCTGTCCGCGTCAACGGCGGAATCTTGTAACCGAACGTTTGCCACAAAGCCCGCGGTGTACAAATATCTGATGGTCTGATGGAATGCAATCGAACGCAGCCTAGTCACTGCACCGCCCACCGTAGTCTAGAGACCGTGATTTCTGTACGCGTTTATCGACGTTTTTCCGAGCGAGGCATTCGAATATTGTCTGTTTCTTCTAGTCTGCGTCGGTACAGTCTTTGACCGTAGATAGCCTCTTGTTCTATGCTGCACCTGGGGAATGAACAGAACGACTTGTCAAACCGGTTCTTGAGGGTCGCATAGGGGCTTGATCTGATGCACGTTGGAGATACGCCGAAGAACCCGAGGAACACATAGTAAGAATGCTGGGACGGTCCGCGCCGGGTCAAGAAGTCCTCAGAGAGACCCCTCGAGCGGAGCCTGGCCAAACGACTACACTTTCCGTATTAGGGTCTGCTGAGTCCTCGAGTAGAGGCGGCGACTTGGATCTGCCCCACATCCGAATATATTTTGTGGGTCGCCATTCACTTCCGCAACCTAAATAAGTGGAACGACGCACTTATGGTTCCTCGCTGCGTTGAGATCCCCGAATGAGTGTATGATCTCATCCATATCGAGTCCAACCCTATTGCGATCGTGTTTCCAGATCGTCATTTTTGATTTTGTCAAGGATCAAATCGCGAACATAATGAGGGCCTCATGAAATATTCTGACCGACTACACTTCCGAATTCAAAAGGTTCAATATGCAACCTTAATGTACCCAGGCTGGCCTTTGCAAATCGATGGTTCATCGCTATAGGCCTTTTCTCCGACCCACCCAGGTAGAGTCAGGTAGGCACCTGTAGGCACTCAGTAAAATTCACAGATATGAAATGCGTAAGGGAGTCGATTTCAAGTAAAGGAAGACTTGAGGGGATGACGGGATGACGTCGTCGAAGGATTTACACTTTACGTGGAAGCGCAGCGCGCAAGGCCATCAACTTTTTTGCTACTCCGAAAGTTCTTTGCCAACAGTGGGTCGATGGTTGTCCAGTGAAGCGCTCTTGAATCAGTGAGAAGAGACAAGACGTCATACCCAGATTTGCTTTACTACTTTGATGTTCTTCGGGAACATCCTTCGGCGCTTTGTCTCCCCTTAACCATGAAACACAGAAGTAGTGGCGGAAGTCAGGTTGTGTGTTTTCTAGTGGGGCTGACCTTCGGGTTTCCTTGACTATGAAACGCAGAAGGGTTACTTCAGGATGCTTACTTCGACGAAGAAAAATAAGAAGCGTAATCGTTTGACAGTTCGAAGACGCAGATCATTCCCTCCGAACTATTCCGACCAGTGCTTCTGCATTCTCGAAGGGGTGGCAAGAGGGTGAAGAGAATAGAATTGGCTGAGCGTGTATGAAAGCTGCATTGCTCAAAAGAGTAACAAAGCTTAGCCACCTGCTAATTCAGGATGATGCATGAACGCATCATCGGTAGACATGGTCGGCTTTATTGTTGTTGTAAGCGCGGTTTTTTTCAGCGGTCTAGATTAGACGTACCATATAGGTTGGCCGCAATTTCAGCTTCCGCCCTGTCGCCATTCGCAAGCAGCTTCTCCTTGTTGTAGAGAAGTTCTTCGCGCGTCTCGGTAGAAAATTCCTGGTTTTGAGCTAGAAAACCGCAAGCACTGTGATCAGACCACCTCAACAGTACGTTCGAACACAACGGGAAGCCTACTTTCAACGATAGCATCAACCGGGCACGCTTCCTGGCAGAATCCACAGTAGATGCACTTGGTCATGTCGATATCTAGATATGTGTTCGCTGAGCCTTGAACAGAAGGGGAAACCCCGATTTACAGACCGTATTTCGTGGTTCGTCTTGAACCATCCAACCGGGTTTCACTCTCAATAGTGATGGCCTGTGCGGGACAGATCGCTTCGCAGAGCTTGCATGCTGTTGATGATTGTATGAAAAATTGTGTGTACGGCAGAGGCCAAATACTCACCAATGCAGCGCTCCTCGCCGCTTGGATACCTTCGCAATGCGTGCTCACCACGGAAGCGGGGGGAAAGCGGGCCCTTCTCGTACGGGTACATGATGGTGTATGGTGGTCTGAAGAATTGCTCAAGGACCAGCCACATGCCTAGTCAGAATACATGATGAACTACGCGTAGGTAGTTAGATGGTGGAAGGCCGACGAACCCCTTACGATCTCTGTGAAGAAGAACAAGTGTGCAGCCTTGTCCAAAGCGCCCGGTCCACCTTTGTACGGGTTCACATCGAGACCTGAGGATACTCCCGATTTAAGTGACGGAGATTTGATGGGCCCACTGGACAGGTGGTCATGGTGGTGAGCAGGCTCAGCGTGTTGAAGGCGAGGTGTGGTTGAGAGGAGACGAAAAGCAACGAGAGAAAGGGGGGTGGTAGAAGGAAGGCGAGAGGCAGAGAATCGGGCTGAAAGCCCTAGAGCGGTGCGGGCGCGAACAAGAGACATGGCGGTCGACGAGGACGATGGCGAAGCACTCTTTGTGACGAAAGCTACTGACGTGACGCCTCCAGCCAATCACATCGTTACCATATCCCAGATCTCCCGGCCGGGCCGACCCGACAGCTCGCAATTCCATCTTCGCCATGTCTTCAGTTAAAAAGTCAAAGGCACCCGCACCACAGCTGAGCGATCAAGGTACTCAGTATTACGCCCAACTTGTCTTTTTCTCTCATTGACCCCTCAGAGGTCCAACAAACCTACTCTCGAGTCCAGAATGAGCTCCAAGGCATAGCTGCCAAGATAGGCGAGCTCGAGCAGGAGGCTGAAGAACATGTGTGGGTTTCAGGCGTTTAAATCTTCAAGCATTGTGACTGATACGACAGGCTTTTCAGGCTGGTCTTATCCACACTGAATGAAGCTCTTTCTGAAGAGCCTGATCGGAAGTGTTTCCGCCTCATAGGTGGCGTCCTGGTAGAACGGACTGTAAAGGACGTTGTTCCTGCGCTCCAGACGAATCGGGATGGGGTACGTGCCTCTTTTGTATGTTCCTATACTGAATGACATCGCTCAGATTGCCGATGATCAGATCCGCAAAGTTATAGCCAGTTTGGCAGAGCAGTACAAGTCGAAAGAAGAGGACTTCGACAGATTCAAGCAAGAGTACAATATTCGACCTGTTGCGAAGGTCTAATTTTTCATGCACATTGCACACTGAATGTTTCGCTGTCTTCCATGTATTAACACGGGGGCCTTGGTGAGAGCTCGTGAGCAGACTTTTGATCTTTCGTATCCGACCATCGAACGGTATGAGCATATCTCAGTACACGACCACATCTGTCAGACGCGTTGAGATCATAGTTTCAATATGATGTAGGCCTGTCGAGCAAAACAAAAAAACCAGGCTGCATAGAAGTTCGTGATGAGGAATACATAAGCAAGGCCCGGCAGCATCCTAGCAAGTCGAATCAGCACGATCCACTGTCCTGCTATAGCGCCAACCCCTGAGTCACTGTTGGTCCCCTCCATCATCCAACTTGTATTCAATCACCCTACCTCTCTCGACAGTACAAAAGAAATGGCCCTGACACTGGAATCACTCCCCGTTGAGCTCATAACAGCAATAATGGAAGAACTAGACGTGGAGTCGCTGGTGATGGTATCCTATCTTTCACACCGTCTTCACACTATAGCCTCCGACCCTTCATTGAACCCATGGAGAGTCCCAATCATTCGGAATCTTACCTCTGGAACATACGAGGAATGCATGAAACATCTGAGTGTCCGATCGACTGTACCTAGGCAAAATTGGATAGAAATTCTCAGCATTGCCCGTCCTGCCTTCTTGTTGTTCGAAGCGACACTACCCAACTTAAAAGAGGATGTTTGGAAAGAGTGCTTCAAACGGAGGTATGTGTCCAGCTAAAGTTGTGTCTTGCTCCTCATCGTTCGCGTGGAGGTTTCTTCCTGGCTGGCAGAAATGGAAGAGAGATTCGAGTTGGAGAGAAGTGTATAAAAGGCGAGTTTACTCTTAACATGCTTTCTGGGATCACCTAGCTTACAATTCAATCGAAACAGGGCTCTGATTAGGGTTTGGCATCGTAGCCAGACTACTTGTACCACTGACGAGGCTTGGACGACGTGAGCTTCTTTTCGACAGATATCGTTGCATATCTCATCTGGTATTGGGGTAGTTATATTGTTTTGAATCGCAATGGATCTGCGAACGAACTGGCAGTTTCTTCACGAAATTTCAATCCTCTTACTGTGTTTCATGACATGAAGTAAGTGACTTTTCATCTGCTCGAGGTAATGCTCAACCACCCTTTTTAGACTACAGTGTAACCTTGCTCATCTTCAAACACACGTTAGAGTGCGGTTTTAGCTCTCTAAGCAAATGCTTTAGACCTGACAATCTCCTTAGCTTGTCGTCCAACTTGCGGACGTACGAATTATTGCCTTGGGTGTCCTCAATCGCCCTCGAGGAACCTTCACTGTCAACCACAATGCTCGACTATTCCTGCATCCTCCGGGTATAGAGATCACGGAGCCGGTCGACGACGAAACCAGGGATGATTCGCCAGGCAGACGTTTATCAATTAGTAGCCATGCTGGCACCATACACAGCGTGTCGAGTGATCCGGCCTCACCCAGTACCCAGTGCCTATCCTTCTGTTCCGTGCATTCCTCTGAATTTTGTTTTGCCCAGCATCGCCAGTGTTCCATGGCCAGCCGAGGCATGAACGCCTAACTCACCCGATGCCCTCGCCGTCACACGCAAACTATCCTCTACACACTCCCAGCGGCGAAGATAAACGCTGGATCGGATCGGGAGCCCTCGAGGAAGGCGGCCAACTCTGGGTTGGGCCTCTAATGTTAGTCTACTACCACTCCGGACTTGGAGCTTTCTCAACCGTATCCTTCTTCAGGCTGACAGCGCAAATAACCGGTCCCCAGACGAACACACATTGGGCTGACGGACCTCAATTTCAAGATCTGGACTTGGTCCTTGGTTCTGGGCGTAGTCAATATTCATCCTTTACCTGGGCCGACCTCGCAGCGGTCGCTCCTTGGATGGATGAGCGAATCACAAAGAAGATTGATGGTCCCGGGCTAGGGAATCAATAATTCCGAGCATCTTCTCCACTCGCTCATCTGGTTCTCTTAGCCACGCGATACATCTGTAACCCTTCGACCCGACAGCCTAGGGGTGGGATGCTTTTTTCTTTCTTATCTCTATTATGCGCAATGACGAGGCATCTTTCGGGGTTCACTCCGTTGCTATTGCCTGATGAGCACAGGTTCCAGAGTAGCATCCGATCGGCTGCTGCTGCTGGACACAAAAGAGTTATGGGACATCTTGAACCACTTCTTTACCCCTAGCTTTCTGATGAAGAAAAGAAGCAGCCTCAACGCGCCAATCAAAGATAACTTAAGACGCACATACTATCATGCATCATGTACTAAGCTGCCCACGCGAACCGCCGCCAGCGAAAGCATACTCACTCCTTTACTCTTGCGCCTGATAACAAGCAACAGTCAATTAAATTGGAAATTCTTCAAGGACGGGGCCGGGCCGAATACTGGACTCTACCTTGTGATCAACTGTTTTATTCTCAAGGTAAGAATCCTCTACGGGGCATGCGAAATGTCTCACTTTCATTATCGCAGACCCAGACTCTGGCTTTTCAACGTCGAGAACCTTGTTCATTCTGTATAGCTCGCTGCATGTCAATTGTTTGGCGCCCGTCGTTGCATCAAGATGAGCCAATCGAATCACACTCCGCCTACCACTCGCAAGACAATAAAGATTACCTGACGCCGAGAGTTGCGTCCGGCCCTCGATCTCCATATAAGTGCTTCAGTAACACCAAACTGCCCCCACATCTCTCCTCCTCTTTTTAAGTGTCGTTTCTGGATTTAAGCGACTTTAATTCTGTGACGACCACGGCAGTGCAGCGCATTGTCAAGTTCTAATTTAAGAGCCTCAGTTTCATTACGTCCCCCACACGATCTACGCGCACACTATGTCTGTGAGTCGTTGAGCGTGTTTACCCGCAATATGATAGCTGACTGCTCCGTTCAGCATTGTTGTTCCATTTGCCAAAGGTCTTTCACGCGCAAGGGTGACAGAAACCGTCATGAAATCATTCATGTAAATAAGAAGTAAGTCTTGACGAAGTTACCCATATGCCTGCTGTAGCTGTTTTCAGGCCATTCCAATGTGAATACTGTTCCAAGACATTCGCGCAGAGGTCGGCTCTCAACACGCACCTTAATACCCAGTGAGTGCCACCTTTTCCCTTCTGTTGCAGAGACCCCATTCAATATCCACACTAACCATTGCCACAGCACTAGAAACAGGCCCCACGTATGCAAGATCAGTGGTTGCAAAGCTTCTTTCGGTGATCCTTCGTCTTGTGCGCGTCATCGTAAGGAGAGGCACAACACAACCCCACCGTTCGTATGTCCGGTGGCTGATTGCAAGACGAAGTATTAGGTCTGCTCTTCACAAGCTTAGCGCCGATCTGACTGGGTCTTATCAGGATCAAGCGGAAGTCTACTTTCAAGAAGCACCTTGAGAAAAAGCATGATTACGATACGAGCGCTATGTTCCCCTGCTCGAGTCGTGTGATTGTACAGCAAGTAGTGCTGGAAGACTCGTCGTTGCTCACTATTGATGGCGAGGAGCCTTCAAACCCTGCTGAACCTACATTGCTCTTGAATATACGTGCGTCATGCCTCTCGCCCCTTAGTTGTCGTTCGAAAGCTGACCTTGTGGCGTGTACACCGATAGCTCTACCGGGGCCATCAAGCACCCTACTCTATGAGTACGATACCCCGCCTCATGAGATCATCTTCTCATCCGAGTATAATTTTGGCCTCAATTTCGCCGAAGTAAAGCAGTCATTGCCCTTTTTCTCGCCCCCCTACTTATCAGCATCGCCTGCCTCCTCCTCATCGTGGTCGTCGTCGTCACCATCGCCATGGTCGACACCGGAACCTGTGACGCCACCCGAGCTTCTGTCTTCCCTTGAGCACGGGATGCCCATGCAGCATATGCCACTTTTAGACGAGCTCTGGCCAGGATTTGGCGGTCAGTTGTGGCCTGAGATCTGAACCATATCTATAGCTAGTAGTTTCACGGATTTACTCGGTTAGCTCGCTGGACGAGTCAGATTGGACATGACTGTATTTTCCTCTCTTCATGACACTTCTGTATAATAGTTATGTAGTATGCTGAGTGTTCGTTCGCACTGATGGCGGAAGTACGATATTCAGTTGACGATCCCTTGATCGGCTGCCGTGGCAGTGAGTGCTCTAGCCTCTCGGTAGAATTTCTGTGGAAGATTGCCTGGTAAGCGGGGTGGGCCACTGATGGACTGTCAAGGATTCTGTGTAACGTCAAGCGGGTGGCCAAGCGTGAGAACAATTACATAAGGGCTGTCGCGGGGGTCCGAGGACGACGCGCCGTTGAGTGCAAACTGCTTCAGGTCGATTCACTTAGTCCACTCCCCGCTCGACCTTTGCCCGCCCCTCCTGCTCGTCCGCAATCTCATCTCTCCCATTCATCCCGCAACCCTTCTTCGGGTGCACGGGAAAGGCATACGCCGTGCTTTCTCTTCTACTTCCACCCATCTCAAAATGCTCGCTTCGCCACTCTACCCCACCCCCATCTCCTCTCAGCAGCCGTCGGAGGAGGCAACTCAATACCGACCTGCTGAGAACATAGAAGCATTCAACAAACTCCTTGCCCCACGTGTAGAATTTATTGAAGGCTCGTCCTCTGGTACACTGGCGTTCGCAGAGGGGAGGTACGAGCCCATCAATGGCTCTCCGAAGCCTCGGGGGCGTGAGGTATGTCTGAGATGTTCTTTTCATGCTTATACCTGCCTCACACTTGTCAGCAGGAACAAGAGTCGCCAGAGGCCGCGTCGCAAACGCGTGCCAAATCCCCGAAGCCCAATGGCAACTCCCTTCCCCTCTTCACCGTGCCTCTCGACACATCCTGGCCAAGGGGTGCAAGCATTGGTGCTGGACTTAACAACACGGGGAACACATGCTTTCTGAACAGCGCTCTCCAATGTCTTCTTCATACGCCGCCCCTTCTGCACGCCTTGATCGCTCACAAAAAAGAACACTGTTTGTCCCAGCTCATTTTCTCTCGTTCTCTGTCTCATGAGATATTTTAGGCCGTGTCAAAGGCTTCTGCATGATATGTGCTCTGCGCTACGTTATGACAGAAGCACATACCGGCAAGAAGCGTTCATTTACTCCATTTTCTGTGACGAGCAGACTCCAAAGTACATCCCCTTTTTAGATTGACACAAAAATCAACCCACTTACCCCTTCTGATAGCCATCGCGCAACATATGCGTCGTGGTAGACAAGAGGATTCTCATGAATTCCTTCGTTATGCGATAGATGCCCTCCAAAAGTCTTGTTTGGCAGGTTATCCTTCGTAAGTACTGGACATCGATTATTTGCGTACTCAATTCTCACATGAGCACAGGAAAATTGACCCCAAGCAGGCAGAGACGACCTGGGTGCATAATATTTTTGGTGGGAAACTACGATCTCGGGTAACTTGCCGCGACTGTGCATACAACAGCGATACCTTTGACAGCATGCTGGACCTCAGTGTTGACATCTACGGCCTTGGATCTCTACGGGATGCTTTGCGTAAATTTGTGGCAGTGGACTATCTCAAAGGCTCAGACAAGTACAAATGCGAAAAGTGCGTTATGTATAGCATCTACTTTGGACTAATACTCAGGTCTTTCCCTAGGTGTAAGCGGCACGTGGTCGCTGAAAAGCATTTCACTATACACGAAGCGCCTGTCGCGCTCACTGTTCACCTCAAGCGTTTCTCGCCCCTCGGTCGAAAGATTGGACATGCTATCCGATACGATGAACGCATTTCCCTCGCTCCATTCATGAGCGACGGCCAGTTCGGGCCTTCGTATTCTCTATACGGGGTCATCTCCCACGCCGGAGGAGGGCCTAACTCGGGTCATTATTTTGCACACGTCAAGGCCGCCAACGGGCAGTGGTATGAGATGAACGACGATTCGGTGACGAGACACGGCGGCGCACCGACGAGTCTGAAGAATGCATATATCTTATTTTACTTGCAGGACAAGGGTCAAGCGCTGGAAGCTGCGGTTATGAGAGAGACTCCTCGGATCAACGCGATACGGAACGGACTTGTGGCAGGCATGCGGAAGAGAAAGATTGTGGAGAGTGAGGATGAGGATGAGGATGAGGCCAAAGGCAAGAAGAAACAGACACATCCCTTCATCGGCCCCGTTCGGCCAACGTCCCCCATCATCCGAGACCCACAGGCGGAGGCTTTGAAGCGGAAAATAGATGCTGCTGGCAGAACGGAGCCAGCGAGCAAGAAATCATCCAGTTTAGTCAGACCATCGACCGCGCTCCAAAATCTTGTCCAATATGATGATACCGACGAAGCCGACGGCAAGCAAGATGACGATGTTGTTGGGGACGACGACAAAGAGGATTTGGGCGAGAGAGTATCAGATTTGAGGGACGAACAGAAGGAGGTGGCAGTTTCGTCGACACAGGGCGCCACTCAATCATCTCCGCCTGCTCCGCCTAACTCTTCGCCTTTGTCATCGTCGTCAGCCTCAATTCCTCCAGAGAGTTTCTACGGACAGCCTACAACCAATGAGAAGAAGCGAAAGTCCCATCATCTAGATGAGGGTGCTGACACGCCACGTTCTGCGCCAAGGACATCACTGTCTGGACGGCCTGCTGGTGTTAATCCATGGGCTGTTTTCGGTAGCAAGATTAAGCACCCCACAAAGCTGTACGGTCGAAAGAAGAGAATGATAATGTAGATCCTACATTCTATCTATTGGTTTGCGGCCATGTTTTCATCCATTGCACTTCTAAATGCTTCGATACAAGAGTGTTTTGTTATTCGTTGTCGAGTTTATTAGATTTCAACGTTGAACATTACTTCATGCAGACATGAGTAAGGTTGCAATTACAGCTTTGCTTTCGCGCTTTTACTCTCCTCCCACCACACAACGGTCACAGTGACGTCATCTCGCCATCTCCTCGAATGCGGTGCAGGAATACTCAGCAACTGCCTCAAACGTTGCTCGTCTCCACCCCCGAATGCGTTCCGAATTAGATGCGCGCTGACGTTGTTGTCGACGAATGCCCAGGAACCTTCGTCTGCCTTTCGGCGCTTATCTTTGCCTTCGACGGCTGGCGATCCAGCTGTAGTTGGAACTATAGATGACAGGGAAGATTTCGAGACTGTGCCCTTGAGGCCTGATAGATAGCCGCCGACGAGCGCAACGACTTCTTCCGAAGAGAGTTGGTCCCAGAGACCGTCAGTCGCAAGGACAAGGAACCGCGTGGTTGATTGCGGCTTTTGCGATGAGGTGGCGTAGGGAATGGAGAGCTTGCGGTGTGTAATGACGGGCTTTGCAGTGACGTACGGAGGCGTCTTCAGTGTCGGTGGAGCTGGGCGCATGACCTTCCCGTTACCAACCATGAAGGCTTTGTTCAGGCTGACAAGAAACGAGAAACATTGATGAGCGGATATAAAGCGGACTGCATGACGCCTACATCTCCTGAGTTTCCCGAGACCATTTGTATCTTGCATCGCCGAAAGCCCGCGTTGGCTCTAATCCGCCCAGTACGCGACCTCGCCTGATGACATCTTGGGCTTCATCGACGGGATGCTCCGATTGCACTCTGTGGAAGTATGCACATGCACGACATTTGAGTGGCTAGTTGACGACGAAAAGGCGAGGGGGACTGACCGCTTGATCTCGTTGGGGTTGCGGCCAGTTTGGTCTTCGCTCAGAACTTCGACTCGCCATTTTCCCTGGCCGTCTTCTGTCTCTTCCCAAATACCAGCGACAGCTCGACTGTCGCCGGTGCATGCCACGTAGAGATCGCGGTGTGAGGTATCCAGCAATGCTAAGATCGCACAACTTCCTGCGGTGCCATGACATTCAACAGGTGAAAGGAGCGTACAACTAAGTTATTGGTCCTTACCTGACATGGCCGGAAGCATCGTAGCCATACCCAGTGGGTGTTGGCTGAGATCGGGAATATCCCGCTTCTCGAGAGCAGTTCGGTCGGTGTTATCCACTAAGACATGAAGGGGGGCGTTGACTATCTGGGTATCGAGATTGAGAAAGGCCCGCTCGATTGCCTGTGCAACGAATTTCGGATCTGCGTCTAGAGGTATTGTGGGACCAGATTTCGAGAAGAGAGTTTTCACGCTGTCAAGCATGCTCGATTTGGAGATTGGGGCTTTGCCGTTAGCGATTAGAGTCGACAGCTCCAGCGCAACGGCTGGGATGAGGACGTTGGAAAGCAGCTGAGAGGTGTGCCACCCGCCATGGCCGTCCATCACAGCGAAGAACAAGAGTTGCCCTGCAGGCGAAAGAGATGTATGTTCCTTCGCGATCACCGAATGAGAATTCGCATCCTCTATAGGATCATTTGAGGACAGGTGGGCCGTTGTGTGTTTCCAGACCAAGCCTTGCGCAGCGGGTTTCGTTTCAAGGCTCGCGTGTTGGTTGATGCGCTGGTCAATGTCGCTCATAGACTGGAGCGGAAAAGTCTTGGTGACCATGAGAGCTTTCCCGTCCGGACCTGTCTCTTTGATAGATACGTCGAAAGTCTGAGGTTTAGACCTGGAAGAGTATCTGTTGTATAGATATGCCGGCGTCGCGACGCCAATTGCTATGAGAGCAGCGGGTTTCCAAGCACGTCGAAGCATTCCAGACATCAATGTGTGGAACAGCTCGACGCTGTGGCTTTTAATAGTAGCCCAGGACGTGCTGAAGGACGTCAATAGTTGAAGGCAGACAGTAGATTTCAGTTCGAAGTAGTATATATCTCACCAATATGTACAGGGGGGACGGCGAATTTTCGGCGCTTATTTGTAGGCAGCGAAAGTCCCAGCAAAGCCGAGAAGCAGGAGCTGAAAATGAAGTGTTAAACTGCTTCTGTGTTGCAGGACGTGTCAGTGGGTAGGCGCGGGACGCTGATGACGCTCGACGCGTCCACGGCAGTGTCACATGAGAGACGCGTGTTTATGTACGTTGCCGCAACAGCCCTTTGTTGACTCTCACGGCAAACAATCCCATCCACTTCAGCCCGGTCTCCAATCTCGTTGGGACTCTGTGTACTGTCCGACCAGCGTCTCACAAGCAGCCCAGATCTTCAAGGCAGTAACAAAAGCAATCCTCCCGAGAGTTGCATGGCAGAACGCGAGCCTGCGAGGCACAATGTCATAGCCCCACTAAGCGCTGGACCGTCTTCCGCGTCAAACTCAACCAGCGATTCTCGTCCTGATCAACATGTTCTTGTAAGTCGAAAATCAACCCGATGCGTCGCCCGTCTCTTCCTGAGAAATAATTTCATGTCCTGTTCATATCGCAAGCTCTCAACCTCTCCGCAACTGCCTGCGCTTCCTCTGACGCCTCTTCAGCGAGAAGATGGCATGTTTGTCTCTACGCCACCGAGTGCCACACAACAACCTCCAAACTCTCTTGCGCAACACAATATCAAAATCCGAGACTTCGCATATGAGAGTGTATTGCCCCCAATCCCCTCAATCCCTCGATTTCGTCCTCTACAAGCAGGGCCAAGGCCCTTGAAGCGTCACAAACGATCTCATGAGCCGGATACGGATGATGATCCCTTTCTGGGAGGAGAGGCTCGTCCTTATACATCGTTTGAACTAGTTGGTATCGGAGGCATACCAGGAGACAGACAGACAAACCCACAGAAGGCAAGGAATCTGGAACACAAACTTACTGAACCAATCGTAAACCCAGAACAACCTCAAAATACATTAGCACGCGCCACAGCATACATCGATCTATCGCGTCATATTAGTATCAGTCCATCCGGAGGAGTATCAAATCCAAGCACGCCCCCTACTTACAGGCGAAGCGCTGTTCCTTTCAATCTCTCGCCTATTCCTGGGCTGCTTTACCAGGGACAATCCGAAGTCATAGGATCTCACGACGACTCCACATCTTCCCAACCTCTTCTTGTCGGCGATTCCCAAGAAAGTGAGACTCTGGTTGACACCCCCCTTGCCACCCCAAATGGGTCGCTGCATTTTCCGAGCACAGACAGGATCATGGTGGCAACATCACAATCGCAAACAGACTCGCAGCTCTTCCAAGAGGACGTCACTTACTCCCAACTCGGCCTTTCCCTGCCATTTTCGCAGCCTGACTTCTCGCAGACGGACTCGCCGGAGGTCGTCCATAGTGCGGCCTCTCATACGAATGGTCATCTGTCGTCGCCTTCTCGGAAATCCCGCTCAAACACCCCCTTATCCTCTTCCCCCAGTCCCTGTAAAAACGCGGCGACACTTGTTCTTGGCGCCATACCCGTTGTTAACCCCTCTTCGCCGAGCCAATCGACTTCTGCTCCTTACGATAATGCAACATCGCCCGCCCGCTATTTTCTTCGCAATCGCCCAGCGCCTTCTCACCAGGGTCCCCTCAGCTCCAAGTCATCTCAATCTAGCTCCTCAGCTTCGAATGCAAAACCAACGCGTAATAGCATTCCTAGCCATCGCCGACCCGCTTCTGTGTCGCGCCAATCGGCTCACTCAAGAAGTCCTAAGAATTTGACCAAGGATTCGCTGCGAGCCAAACCTATCAAGAAAAACGCAGCTCTCAAAACGGCGGAAGTCACTCGTAAAGCCTGACGCTTCCGCCTTCTTCCCGCTTACCGCCATGGTCACTTTGGTCTCTAATTTCGTGCTGCCTCGAAGTTGCACTTGCCCTTCGGCCATGTAACCAATTATTCCAGTGCGAATCTTAATCTCATTGCTTCCATCATCTGTCCTCACGAGTCGCTTTCACATCAGATATTTATGCGTGCTTGCTGGCCCACTGTATTCCTACCATTCTCATAAGCTAATGACGGACTAGGAATTGGGGAAGGATTAGCTATGGTGTCCCCAGATGTGTCCGCTAGCTGTTACATTTTATGTTTACAGCTGTTCAACTGCAGCTTAGAGTCCCTTTACTTGAAGCGAAACGATGGGTTTACCTATCCTTAGGTTGCCGCCTTGCTAACCGACACACTCATGGCCCAAACGCTGTCATCAGATCCACGAGCAATATAGCGCATATCAGTGTGTGCTCTGATCGCATATGTCCTGCTAAGAGGGTGGGACTGAGTTACTGAGAGAAGCCATGTAAGGTTACAAAGTGTACTGGTTACACAGTCCACAGGCAGAAGGCACGAACTGACGACCTCAACGTGAACACTGCCTCCATATCAGGCCTTCATCCACCCCCTCTGCACGCCAAAAAGTAGAACATCTTCGGCCGCATTTGGTCCTGAGTACACAAGCACCTTGGTCGGCGCGTGCGTTTTCCTTCGTCCCTTTTTCGCGGCTGTCGGCTTCTTCGCCGAGTCAACTGCTTGAGAGAGAAGAGCCTCTACCTCGATGAGACAGTCGTAGCATTCGCGCTCAGTGTACGTCACAGAGCTGGCTGTTGGAGCGGCATTTTTACGCGACGTCGGCGGTGGGCGAAGCCGTTTCGACTCAAGGAGCTTGGTAGCGAGATAGTGCAGCCACTTCGGAAGCAAGATCGAAGTCAGCGGCCAAACCCGAAGTGCCAGAGCGCCCGATCCTACCATGACATTCGTGAGAGGTTGGAATTTCTGCCAATCATCGCCGTTGTGATTGCGCATATAGCGATACACATCGAACTGATAGTCGCCTATCGGATGAGTGTAAGAGCATTTCAGTTCTCATGAACGAGAAAACTTGCCTTCGCCCTCAAATATCTCCTCGTCAAATGGTGTCCAATGAACAGTTTGATTGCTTTGGGAACTAGTGGAATCCATACGAGAGAGACCCAGGTCTATAACAGTGGCTCGAACACCATGAGCCGGGTGATCCATAGAAAGTTTGGTTTTCGTTGTAGTCCGACGTGCGGGAGCGGAAAATGGAACATTGTTTACTAGGATCTGTCCCCAGTGAAGATCTCGATGCTATTTGAGGCCGAGAATCAATGTTTATCAGGCATGCGGAGAAAAAATAATTGACGTACCTCAAAGGACACAAGCTCTTCCGCTTGCGCGAGGGTGCGGGTAACTTGCCAGAAAAGACTGCATGCTTGACGCCAACCATTTTTTGATGGTGTTGAAAAGGTATATGCTTCAAGATCTGGTCCACCGTTTGGTAGAACGATGATAGCATATACTTGGGACAGCGTGAATACGTCTGGTCAAAAAGAGACCCTCAGAAGGTAAAGATCGAGAGTTGTCGAGGAACCAAACCTGGTCGGATGCTCTCTGATCCTTTCTTATCATTGTATTCGTCCCATAAGTTGAGCAATAACGACGGATACTTCCCTCGCACGACGTAGGTTCTCAAAAGCTCTACAAACCCGTCGCATATCTCGCCCATAGCCCTCGTCACGATCATCTCTTTGATAACATCCTTCGCGTCACTTGGAGCCGGGCTTTCCACATCTGAATCTGCGCCCTCACTAGGCTGGGTGTCCTCGTCACGGATGGGAATGATCTTCAAAACAACATCTCCAATGCCGAACACTTCAGAATATGAAGCTTCACCGATCTTTTGAAATGCTACGTCCCGGCGAGACAATGTACCCTCGTGCCATGCGCCCACAATGGAATCATGCGGGAAGCTCTCAATGAATGCTGAGAACTCGTGAGGAGTAGTCTGGCTGCATTCGGAAAGCAGGGGGACGAGGTATTCTGGTATCAAGACAGAGGATTCATCGGCAGCCAGATCAGCGTCGAGACTGAGCTCAGCAATCTCTCTCTCAAGATCAAAGTCGGCTGTCAAGGAGGGTGAGGGCGGCGAAGGTGGTCGGGGGAATACATTTCGGCCACGTCGAATTGGCGTAAGCTGACGAGGTTTCGAACGCGTGGGTGGAGGTATGGAAGGGTTGACTGTATTTCTATAATCGTCAAGCCGTATTGACGCAGATGGAGTTTCCCGTGCCTCAACGTCCTGGGCTTTTGGAGGTTGGTTTTGTGCAAGTGGGAGGGGTCTGTGGCTCTGCCGCGCACTAGGATTGGTAGATGGGATGGAAATGACGTCGAGAGATCTCAATCGAGTATCTGTATCTACTTTGAAGAGAGCAGGAGCCTTCGCCGGCTTGGCAGGCGACCGAGAGTGAGCTTTCTTCCGATCTGTGAGTTCTTCATAGTCAGACGAATCTGAAGATATGACGATAGGCTTAGCACGCCTGCTCTTGCGCTTCGGTTTTGGAACTGCTAGAGAGACGTCGTCGCTATCAGAGAGTATTATCACATCTTCCTCAAGTGTGGGCTTTCTTGGAATAGGATATTTGATCGGAAGATTAATGGTGGCAGGGTTTACTTGAACATCCGTATGGGAAATCCTGCGCTCCTGGCTAACTCTCCGTCCATCATCGTCCAAAATAATGATGTCCACACTAACAACGGGAGAATAGGACTGCTTCAGCGGCGTACCCTTCGACCCTAGTACTCTCGTCTTTTTCCGGGTGGCCGCAGACTTGGGCACATTAGGGGAATTCACGCTGAGAGGCTGACGTGATGAAGGTGGTCTGGATAACGGCGATTGCTGAGTTTTTTTCGTGGGTGAGCGGACGTGTTTTGCTTTGGCTTTGGGAGATGACGGGAGAGAAGATACTCTGATCTTTCTCCGTGCACGACGTGCAGGTGTCAGAGGCCTGTCAGGAGAATTATTGAGCTTGGTCAATGGCGTTACAGGTAGGTCTCCTCCGCTAGACATATTTAAATTCTCGTCGCGGAGTTTATCGTGTCGTTCGGATACGCTGACGATTCGATGGCCTCTGCGTCCATAGGAGAAGACTTGTTTCGTTCGGGTCCCAAGCATAACGAGAATCGGAATGACAAGGAAAAAGGTAATGAGAGCTGCAGGGAGATGGGTATAAGTGGAGAATAAATTAACAGTGATCCAATTGTGATGCAGCTTGAGCGTTTGAAGGGCGGGGAGCAGGGATGAGAACGAAAGCGTTTCACGAAGTCCAACACGCGTCTACATCACATGACCGTGACGAGGAGACACCGGACACCTCTCTCGCCAACTAACCTCAATTAACGTCCCCACGTTCCTGTCGCAGCATATCTCCGGATCGTCATGGCTCTTCCTCCGCCTCTGCGCACCTCAGTAACTCCTCCAGAGCTTGAGCTCATAGCCTCCGAGCAGCTGGTCGAAATCGTACCACTCATTGCCATGGAGCGCACTGCATTCATCTCGGTAGGCTATCATTTGACACATGCTAGACATCCCTTACATATGGGCTGTGGCAATGATCAGGGAGCCTATGGGCCTCTTCGACCACCATCAAAATGCAAGATACCTATCTGGATGGCAACAAACCTTAAATTAAAAAAGAAATGTCACATTGTTCCGCCTGAATGGCTGGATGTCGGTAAGTATGCCGCAAGGAGCGCAATGGACAGCTTTGATCCCGCTTACAGGCAGGAATGAAAAGACTTTTTGCAGGCTCGTCTAGCGGAGGAAACTACACAGCCAGAATTCAGCAAACTTCCATTCCGCTTCGCCGAAGTGGCAAAGATCCTACTTGATATGTGAGGCCCTGCTCTTCTCGCTCGCTCGCCCTCTGCGATCAGCTTCGTCTACGTGCTCACAAGTTGCAATGGAACACAGCGCGCAAGATGATATTCCGAATTCCGACAAGATTCTAGTACTCCTCAAAGATATTCGAGAAGCCCGACAGGCCAAGAGCCGAGATGGTCTGCGCAATATCGATCACAACGAACTGACCGTGCGTCCCCTCTCATGACGATCCGGCTTCTTTACCATCTCTTCCATCCTCTTCGTTGTTTCTTCCATCTTCCAATGAAACTGAGCCTTCTTCTCTGGAAGTTGCCGAACTTGTGTTCAATGGAAATCAACGAGATCCGACCGTTCTTCATACGCGCAATGAACGTTTTGACGCAGATCACACGAGACCCGGCCGGGGTTGATAACGGGCGACTCGACGGATTTTGACTGTGACTCTAAATCCTTCTGATAGCATGCTTTACACTATATTATCATTTATGCCCGTGTATTATGATAAACATATTTTCGATATCCTTCACCGAATACATTCTGTCTGGTCCGAACAGCTATGGCCTCGACGTGGATTGACAAATTCGCGGAGACTGTATTATACTTGGATCATCACACGCTAGGTTGTCCCTATTCTGACCTTGCCTCCAACAGCTTCATGAGTGCATCCAACTGAATTTTAACCTCGTGGATTTCTTTGGTTATGGTGGCCTCAGTCGACTGCCACAACGACAACCACCAAATCAGTGATATATCCTTCATATCTGTACAATGATTGTATGCTCACCTGCTGCGTATCTGGAAACGCCTTGATCAGCTCAGAGAAAGGTACCTTGCTGATTGCATATCCTTCATCCACGTCCCCTTCGTCGACTTCTGGGTCACGAATGGCAGGGCTGTCCTCCTCTTCGAAAGATCCGTTCATGAAATCGTTCATCCACTTGAACTTTGCGTTCCCCCGTGTCGATTCGTACAACGCGATTATCGAGAGGGGGATGAAAAACAGAACGGACATGACATATCGATTGAGCTATCGGTCATGTGAGCAAACGATAAGTCCTGTGTTGTAGAATAGAAGTAAAAATAATGTCATCACCGTGGCATATGCAGAAGAACTGAGGAATAATCTTTAGAAGGATCAGTCCCGCGCAGAACGTACGAAAAATGTTTGGTGCTTACTCAAAAGGCGCAATAAACGGGGTCTCAATGAGGTTGAAGGGCGCGGGATAAACAAACGAATCTGGCGTCCTGATTAACGAAACTGTTTTGCCGGCAAAGTAGGCCAGGAACTCTGCCTCTGCATCTTCAACCACCTGATATATTTATATCGTTAGGAAAGCGTCAACGACAATGAAAGAGTCACTTACATCTGAGTATGCGGAGGAGAACAGAGAAATCAGGACATTGAGCAAGACGATCGCTGTCACCACATTCCAGCTGAACATGATCAGCCATTGCACAGATGTAAATTTTATCCTAAACTCACAGATAAAAGAGCAGAAGCCCCGCAGGGCTACGAGATGGCCGGGATATCTGTCAGTCGAAAAGATCTCATTTTTGCCTTGTGTAAATGTCACCTGAAAGCAAAGCGCTCATAGTCGGGTGCCCTAGAATATATGGTCAAGATTTTGTGGCAAATTTTCAAGAGGACAGTCACATACTGCAGCAGTGACTGGACCATGACATTGACGACCTATTCGTTGAATATTAGGTGTCAGCGAATTGAGATCTCGTATCTCGTTAGTGGTCCTAGTTTACCGTCATGACAGATTCAGTCTGTCCATCGGCAGCATCGAGAGCGTAGAGGCCTTGCAGAAAGCCAACCCCTAGCACAGAAAGCAGCTACAATGACATATGAGTCGACATCTATTGACTGGTTGCAGAACGATGTACCGCGAAGAAAATGCCTGATTCACGGAGCATGCGAGCAATGCAAATTTGCATCGTGCCGATGTATCTAGATCATTTGAAGAGAGATCAAATCGATGAAAGGAGGTAAAGTCACTGCTCACGCACTTGTAGCCATCGAACACAGTTATAAGCTCTGTCGTAAAATCAGCCTCCCACCCTTGATAAAATCAGCGCATGCTTAACTCATCCTACAAGGCGAGAAAAATGTATGAGGTATTGACATTAAGTTTACAATGAACACCTACCAGATGAAAGGCGCCACATAACTAAGGACTTGGAAGCTTCGCACACGGAGAGTATCACCATGATTGGCTGTTGCCAGTCCAGTGATCCGAAGGACAAAGGCAGTTGTCAAGAGGCCATCGGTAACGAAAGAAACAAAGTTCCAGAAACTGAAAGCACGGAAAGTAGCAAAGTGAAGCAACTTATATATCTACATAAGAATCCAGGTGAGCCGACCTGATGTCAGACGCAGAGTGAAACTTACCTTATGCCCATCTGATCCGTGATGCAGTGTTAGTGTTTTGAAACTTGTAGTGTTTTAGAGTGACGACTGACCTTCTAATACAAAGGCTAAAGACATCGTGTATAAAATGATCTCCCATATGTCTAGGTGGCGGTGAAAAGGGTCAAATGGATCAAGCGGCTCCTGGACTGCATGGGATTACTTAAAATGTATTATTAAATGGGTAAGGAAGCGGCAAACCGGCTTGTGAGTAAACTGCGAGAAAGAAGAGCCACACGACCATACGCAGCCCATTTTGATACCTGAAAAGCATATATATTTAGGTTACTGAACGTGTTCCAATATTTCTCACCGTGGAACAGCCAGTCGGGATGGGTTGAGATGCCCCCAGAACGAATGTTCTGTGAGCTGATCAAAGGGAACATCTGAAAATCTGAAATTAATGTGTATCGTCTACGGCATTTGAGCGCTTACAATCAATATCACTGAACTTGTTATTCTTCTGGACCAAGTCTCCTCGCCATAGAGAATCTACAACTACATCAATGCTTTAGAGAGGGAGAGCGTACAATGATTCATCTTGGAGACAGACCATCCTGAGCCTCGCTGGATGACAAAAAAATAGTACTATGCAGTATGTTCAGTCCTTGCGAAGGTTATTCAAATATGGGGGAAATACCAATGAGAGTCGATGGCAATTTCCAGAGCGCTTGACATTTCTATGTCACCATCTGGCTGACGATGCTTGAACCGAGTCGACATGAGAGTTGTCAACTTCTCTCGGGGAGCTTGATGTACAACTTTGCGGGCAAGGGCCTCGCATGCAGCGGCTGAGAGTACGCTCTTAAATTGAGGATATTGTGAAAGACGAATGAATAGCGAGTTAGAATTACCTCGTCCACGGTTCTCGCCATAGTCTGCCGGATTTCGGTTCGCTTCAAGCATGAATTCATGACGGGCTCTGAGAAGACAATAAGGGAGCTTATGCAAAGTTAACAATTGGTAGGTGAAGGAACACTCAGAAAAATATTGATCAGCATTCAAATATGCTCACAGCTTCGACAAAATCTCCGGCAGCCGCAATGTACGCAGATATGACCTGAGGGGTGATGACCCTGCTTGTTGGATCGTTTATTGCGTCAGGAGAGACTTCGAGTGGTAGCAAGGTAAGAGTCAGTGACTTGAGGCGCTTTATGAGCCCTGTAGAGTCAAGGTCAGACAGGCATTATCTTGAGAGTTTCGTCGACTTACTGGCAAGGGTTCCTGGCGAGGGCAGTATAGATTTGATAGAAGTGGCCGACGCGCTTTCGTCAGCGACAAAGTTATTGGACATTGATGATGTCCTGAAGATGAAAGGAGGACGATACGAGGACGCTGAGGGGCGCTATGTGTACACAATGCAGCCTTTATTAACTTCAACGGTTAAGTCTGTGCAAATCGCAACAGTTCCGAAAACGGCAATACGTCATAGACCGCGTTATTTACCGCTGTTTATCAGCATCTTGTTACACACAGCCAATATGCCTGTGAGCAGTCTACGTCCCCAACGCACCCAGTCAGATCGCTGATCTCTCAAGACTGCAGGCATACCATTCTGCGTTGAATGAGGAACCTGATGTCCGACAAGTCGGCAATGTTTCTATCCTTCCGATCAACACAAGAATCCGTGGACCAGCACCTGTCACGGGTAGGATGCCTTGTCTCGTAGTCTATATCTAGTGGCACTTATGAAACACCATTCCATCTACAGTAAACTCAGCGCAGGGAGATATCATTGACGAAACGCTTGATCTCTTTCGTGCCAACTCTCTCTTCCGCAACTTTGAGATCAAGGGGCCGGCCGACCGCCTGCTCATCATCCTTATCCTCTTCATCTCAGATTGTCTCGCGAAGCTTGGAAGCTCGCGTACTACTCCTTCACAGCTCGAAGCGACGAAGACACTCAATACCCTTGCAGTGGACAGCTTCCCCATTCCTGGCGATGCTCATTTCCCATTGAATTCGCACTATGCTCCGCCAGGCAGCCGCCCTGATGCCGGTGAGTAGCATCCTGATTTCTCCTCGATTTTCATATTAAACAGAAGGATGTAGATTACCTGCGTCAATATTTGACGCAGGTACGCCAGGAGCTTGCTGCAAGGTTGGTCGAACGTCTCTATGCGGACGGCACCGGGAAGCCCAGCAAGTGGTGGATGTCCTTCCAGAAGAGACGTTTCATGAACAGAAGTTTGGGCTCGTAAATCGAATAATCGAACAGCAGTGTACAACAATCATAATACACCTTCCCATGCCTTCATTGTACAAGGCACCCCATCTATCTCCCCGAGATGAACTCACCTCTTTCGAGGCGAGTTGCCATTTTGGTTGCATGCAACAAGACAACGACCACATCTTTCACTTGTGATGCTTTCGTTCATTTGGATTTTTCCGCCCATACCCAATGGCGGGCATATCATCCTTCCGCCCCTTAGGTGTGCGTCCCTTCCCACTGGCGCCAGCACTGATGATATCAGGTATCCAATCAGGGTCCATCCAGTTTCCAACGTTGAGGTCACTGTTTCCCCCGTTCAACAATGCCCCATTCAATATCTTCTTTTCGTCCCGCAGACGCTTTGAGTCGGCCTGCTTTTTTGCCCTCATATATTCCGTCTGATCCTCACGCAAGATCAATCCCTCTCCGTTGCCCGTCTTGGCTGACCCAGGTTTTGGTTTTGGTATGGAATATATTGTTCCACGAGTTTTATATTGGAAGTTCTTCTTGAGGTGAACTTGCATGGTAGGTGCATCCGAAGATGCTTTCGGGGATGAGATAGTGACAGATGCTCGAAGGAGAGTGGGATTGCCACATGAGGGGCAAAACTTTTTCGACGAGTCTTTACATATTCTGTGACAACAGAACGCTACTCTCAGAAGTCACATACGGAAGAAGTCGATAGAGACTCACTTGAAGCAAGCATGACACCGTAGGACCCAAGTCTTCACCTTCTCGATTTTCTTTCCCTCAACACCTACTAGATCCAACGACATCTGTAGCAGCACGTTTTGCATAGCGAAATCGGCTGTCATGCAGCCAACAAGTATTTTCTCCTTTGCTTTACCCTTTCCTGATCCAGGGGGAGTAAGGCCCAGAGCGCGAGATTTGTGGACAGTAACATTGGAGGGCGTGATCCACTCCCCTTCGCCATCGTCGTCGTCCGAGGGGTCATCAAAGATGGGAGCGGGTGAGCTGGGTTGAGAAGAGAGGGGTGTGGAGGGTGATGAAATGGGGTGGTCGCTCGTGGAAGGTAGCAGATTGTCTGATGAAGCAGCGACATCACTGTTCTCATCGGTCGGATGCAGCTCAACATGGAGTGGTTCTCTTTCCTCCATATCCTCTTCCACGGCGGGATCGACACTTCCTACGTCAAGATCACTTCCCCCATTTGACGATCCCCGGCCGTCACCTCTTTGCGACGGATCAGTGAGGGAAATCCGCTCAATAGCTGTCGGCTCAATCTCCTGAACAGGAGGTTGGGTATTGTTGGGATCTCCAGAAGTTTCGCTCGCTAGCAGGTCTGCAGCAGTAGAGGCATCGAACGGGCTCAGCTGTTAACAATGTCTCATCGATAATAATAATACAGGGAACAAAATGGTGTATACCTTGTCTGCAAGGATCTGCTCATCCTGCCGTTTTCTCTCCTGGATATCGAGGGCATAAGTTAGAGCAAGGACAGCCAAATCGGCAGTCGAAAGAACGGAATAATCTCCGGTCTTCTTTGCGAACTGGATGACTGCTCGAACAATTCAACAACGAAGAGAATTTACAGGATGAACTTATGACACACCATGAGCCAAAGATGCAGCATCTGGAGACCTGATCTCTACTCGCACACCAGTGGACAAGCCTAGTCTTTCGAAATGCTCTCTTGCCCGTTTATCCTTTAATTCGTTCAAGACGTGTGGGACTGTCAGATATGTTTCGGCTAATCCTCGAAGGGGTGATAGCGAAAGCAGGGGCCCGGCATCCAATACGAGGTATTTGCAAGCTGGGTTCGATGAGGATGCCATTGGAGTGTATTGCTGCAGATTGTTGCACAAAGTCGATGCAATTTTGGGAAAAGATACAGTCCATGGACCGGTCCGACCGATTTGGCATGGACTTTCACTCCGGGCATCTGGCGGCAGTCCGTCGCTGCACCGTCACTATTAATACGCAGCTCGATATTTTTGAATCGTCTGAGGTGCACACAAAACCCAGACTAACATTGTAGTGATAGCAGTTGTGAGATAAATTCTATTGCTGTTTATGCAGCAAGACCGAAATATCCATCGGCCGTTTCCACCATCGGCCGAGGTTGTCAGCACTGACGGTATAACTGGCACAATGCAGCATGCGCATGAGTCCTTCCTATCCTCACACTATCGTCCTGCTTAGTTCTTCAAAATGTCGCCGAAATCGTGAGCAATGTACAAACCACCAACTTTGTTCACTTGATCCTGATCACATAAGTTGCATGCAATCAGGTTCCGAATTGTAGTGTTGCCGGGTGACGGCATCGGTATGCTTGACTGAAACGTCCTTCTGACCGAAGGCTGACCCTGATTGATACAGGCCCCGAGGTCACTGCTGAAGCCATCAAAGTCCTCGAAGCCGTATCGGCCGGCTTTCCAGACGTCGAGCTAAAACTTGAGACACATCTCTTCGGAGGATGCGCGATCGATGCGACAGGCGAACCTCTTCCTGAGACCACTTTGAAAGCTTGTAAAGAGGCAGATGCTATTCTCATGGGTGCGCTCATTAAATACTGGTTTCCCGAGTGTAGCTTATGACCTTGCTTTTGCATAGGTTCCATTGGCGGTCCCAAGTGGGGGGTGAACACCAAAGTCCGCCCCGAGCAGGGTCTCCTAGCCATTCGTAAAGCGCTAGGCCTGTATGCGAACATCCGTCCCGCCAATTTCGCTTCCGATTCCCTCATCGCAAACTCCCCTCTCAAAGAGTCGATCACGAAAGGTGTTGATCTCATCGTCGTTCGCGAGCTCATCGGTGGCGTGTATTTCGGCGAGCGAAAGGAACAGGGTGTCGCCCCCAATGAGGACGTCGCCTGGGACACCATGCCGTATAGCGTCGCGGAAGTTCAGCGCATCACGCGTGTGGCCGCTCAGATTGCTCTGGCCGCCAACCCTCCGCTTGCAATTCATTCTGTCGACAAGGCGAACGTGCTGGCGAGCTCGCGATTATGGAGGAAGGTCGTGACAGAGACGATCCAAACCGAGTACCCTCAGCTTCAGCTCGACCATCAACTGGTTGACTCTGCCGCTATGATGATTGTTGCGAGCCCGAGGAAGCTAAACGGCGTTATCCTCACAGAAAATCTATTTGGTGACATGTGAGTGCTATGTTCGCCTAGCCCACTTTGAAAAACCATACTGATGGAGTATCCAGTCTTTCAGACGAAGCGAGTGTGATTCCAGGATCCCTCGGCCTTCTTCCCTCTGCATCGCTCGCAGGCGCACCTTCCGTCCCATCCTCTACTTCCTTCAAGCCGACATCAGGACTTTACGAACCCATCCATGGCTCCGCCCCAGACATCGCCGGCAAGGGAATCGCGAATCCCATCGGAACCATCCTGAGCGCCGCGATGCTGCTTCGATACTCTTTAGGGCTCGAAGCGCCAGCTGCAATCATCGAGACCGCCGTTAGAAGAACGCTCGATGGGAAAGACGTTGGCGGTTTTGAACTGAGGACGGCAGACCTCGGAGGAAATGTTGGAACAAAAGAAATGGGAGAGAAGATTATCGAAGTTATCAAGTCTTTGTTATAAATGATGCAATGACCCTCCATTGAATTGTTGTACGACTGTATCTTACTCTCAGTAGACCAAATTCACAAGTTGCGTGGGGAGGATAGAAGCCGAGTGGCCACGCTGACTCTCAAAACATTGCCACACTTGGGCCACCTTGAGAAGAACCCTGTATAAATAGACAAGCAGATCAATTTTTAGAACATTCAAGGCACCCGGATATCTCAAAAGCTTGAGAACCACTGAAACAGCATGGGAAAGCCCAAGGGACATGTTCTTTCATCTCGCTGTGATCTTCTCGGTGCTGTGCGGCAGCATACTTGGGCAACTACACCCTACGAAGCCCGCACAATACCAACAGTTTCCCAAGCTCAGGGAGCGAGCACGGATCCAAGACGAATGGAGAGATGAAAGGATAGCAGGGATCCCAAGCCTGCTCCGAAAATATGACATCGATGCTTGGCTGGTAGGTCACGAACACACCGTTCTCTATCGATTCGGGCTGGGACGTGAACATATGATGATGGGCAGATGAGCCAAAGAGAGTACGCGGAGGACACGATCTGGTGGTCGATCAAGGACGCGACGACACATGCTCCTCATCGCCGCACGGTGGTGCTCTTCCACACCAACACCTCCACGCTCCGCGGACGGCCAAACCCGCTCACATGGGTTGACAACACAGGCCAAGTCTGGCCCGAGCTGCGCGCCATCTTGCAAGACTTCGATCCGCGGCGCATCGCCCTCAACACCGACCGAAACATCGCATTCGGAGGCGGTCTGCATGTCGGCGAGCTCGAAGTCCTCAAGGAAGAACTGGGCGAGGAATGGATGGCGAGGACAGTCAACGAGCCGATGCTCGGAATTGAGTTCGTGGCGAAACGAGTTCCGGGGCAAATCACCTACTACCGGCTGATGGTGGAGACCATCTGGGCGATGCTAGAGGAAGGCTTCAGTGAACGAACCATAGTCGTCAATGTTACGACCACAGTTGTATGTCATCACCGTCAACTGGACGCCAATGTCGGATCATTGATCGATATGGGCTCGCAATCCAGGACTTGGAATGGTGGTTCTTGGAAAAGATGCAAGCACAAAACGTCTCCTACTGGGCACACCCCCGCGTCTCCGTCCTCACCCCCGAATCATTCCCAGGCTGGGAGGGCACCGACGACGTCATTCAGGAAGGTGACCTCCTGCACATTGATTTTGGGATGACCGCGATGGGCATGAACACGGATACGCAGCACATGGCGTACGTCCTGCGCTCGAGCGCAGGCGAGACGGCGCCGCCGCCGGGCCTCAAGGCAGGGCTAAAGAAAAGCAATCGCATGATGGACATCGTGCTTCAGACGATGCGGTCCGGCCTGACGGGCAATGAAGTGTTGAGCATCTGTTTGGCGCAAATAAAGAAGGAAAGCATTGAAGGTCAGATCTATTCTCATCCCATAGGGGACTGGGGACACGCGCCCGGGGCGGTCATGGGTGAGCGATGCCTGCATAATGTCAATACGTCATGACTTGACACTCTCCAGGGTTCACAAACCTTCCAGCATACGTGCCCGTACTCGGCGAGCTGCCCATCCTTCCCGATACATACTACAGCATAGAGCTGTATGCCTACCATTTTGTCCCCGAGCGAAACGAGACGCTGCGCTTCCGACAGGAAGAGGACGTATACTGGGTCGATGAGGAGAGAGGTTGGGAGTTTGTCTACGGGCGACAGGAGAAATTTCACTTGATTGACAGTGCTCGGAGTGCCGCTCGAAGTTTTCCTGTGCTCGGCGTTCAGCACTGAACATAAATTTAGCTTATGGGCAGAGTTGTCGAAAAAGCCGCCCGTTATATGCTAGAAAATATGTAGCGTATGCGCCATTGAATCCACATTAAAACACAACAAACATGATATTCCTTTGCTCCAGAAACCAGTCCGAAATGTACGCGATCTGCATGTACTAAATACCAAAGATATCTTGTTGTATGATCAGCCCGCAGATATGAAAAAGAAATCAAGGCGAGGTTGCCCACACCTTAAAACATATTGGCAAGTTTGCTGGCCGCCTCCCTAGCATCCAATCTCGGCCGAGTCGGTACCCGCATCGACGCAGACATAAAAGTCGGCCGCGCCTGTCCTAGCGGGTCAAGCCCGTCCGAATGCGATGTCATTCCGTTCGACGTCGCGGGTCGCGGGACAAAATCCGCCAGCGGGGATGCCATGGCCCCAGGTCTGGAGAGCGGGTCGTCCGGCAAAGGCGGGCCCTGTGCTGAGGCCGACTGAGGGCCGGAGGGCGCGGACGGGGACGACATGGTGGGTTTGACAAACATGGACTTGGTTCCGTCCACGAAGCGACCGCCGAGCGGCGGTTCAGTGCTGCGTATAGGAGTGGGCGAGGGGGCAATACCCGAAGCTGTCGGGGGCGCCGCAAACGCTGGTCGCTGTAGCGGTGGCTGCTGCTGCTGCTGTTGGGGCTGTGATGAAACGAAGAATTTGGACGACCCGGCGCCGGGGGATTGTGGTGGAAGTGGGGTTGAGCTCAAGCTTGAGCGCCCCGAGAGGTAGGGCGACGCGACGCCGGAGGGCAGGCCGGTTGCCCCCGGCGAGAATGGGCTGGCGGTACGGGTACGGTCCGAGGTCGACGGGGCAGGGGCAGGGGCAGGGTCAATGCGGGGCTGCGGCTTGGCGCTATAGTCTTCCAGTGGAGGGACGATCAGCGGCCGGGGCACGCCATTCGGCTTAGGTGGCGCTTTCGCGTTGGCATTGTTGATGTCGGGTCGGAGCGACTCCAGCTCGCGCAAGAGCTGGCGCTCGTACATAATAGCAGATCGTGTATGCTCGATCAGCGCCGTTGTAATGTCGTCAGTCACCAACTGTTTGTGCATTTGCAGAGAGCGGTGTAGGTTTTGGGAGATGCCCTCTGCACGCCGGGCAAGGATTTGCTCATATTTATTCGCCTTGACGTGACAGCAGGCATTCAGTGTTATGATTCTTTAATTTGTTTTAATAAATTGAACGCACCTCTTCCATGTCTTCCAACGCCTCATCGACCTTCTCCGGCCGAATATTGGCACTCGCCTTTAGTCGTTCAATGTGCCGCCGCTTCGATATCGCCGACTTGACAGCAGATTGATACTCCTCCAAGACAGCCGTCCGCTGTTGGAGTGTTTCTTTGGCTGATCGAGCGTTGAGACCCTGATAGCCGAGGGAGTCGCTCAGAATGACGCATTCACTGATAGCCTGCGCCTGGTCGAGGTCAGCGAGGCTGTGCCATGTTCGGCCAAGCTTGCGCATCGCGCTCCCAATGGGCGGATGTGTCTCCGTCGTCGCGATATTGACCAGCTTGTTGCCCATTTCGGCGTGGGCGAGAGCCAAAGCTGTCGCGTGCATAAGAATAAGTTCGGTCCCGAATAACGATGCGCAGGCGGACAGCCAAGAGGGCAAAAAAAGGCCACTGACTTTTTCGCGACTTGGACACCTTGTCGAGCGCCTTGGCCGCGTCAAAAAACTGGCCCTCCAGCCTCGTCAGCTCGAACCGGGCGCGCTGTAGCTCCTCGTCCTCGTCGGGGACGTGACGCCGGATGAGCCCAAATCCGGACGACGTCTTTCGCCTCGGGCGCGGTGTCGGCTGGTAGCCGAAGTCGCTTTCGATGAATGAGCGCAATTCCTCATCGTGGAGTAGTATGGGGTCGTTGCAGACACGCGACAGCCAGCGCTGGAGCATGATGCGAACAAGCCGGTCGTCCTCCTCGTCTGTCGGTGCGGAGGTCTGGGCGAGGGGGAGGGCGGGAACAATGGTCTGGGGGTTGTTGTGTATGATCGTGTCGTAGAACTGCTGGAATTCGAGGTATGAGCGCGAGACGTTGCGATAAGTGGTGCCCGTGAAGTTGGAGAGGTTCGTCTTTGGGGAGAACGTGGCGGTCAGAGATGCTAACGCCAAAACGACGGCGTCGCTCGCGCGAGAACGGGAGCGGGCGTGTAGTACTCGCCTGTGCATCGAGCTTGACGAGGATATCCCGCCTGTTCCTGTCGAGCCCCGTGATCCTGACCTTGAGGTAAGGTTCAGGCTTCTCGTAGCTCACGCCGTTGGAGCTGACGTTCTGGCGGGGGGATATGAGGCCAGGCTCGGGCTGCCCGTATATTTGTGGTTCCTTGCCATAGAGGCCCGAGGTGGTCAGTTTGTCCGGTGTTCGAGGGAGCGGGGAGGGTGCGCGACGCAGATTGGGGACGGGGGAGTTGGGCGGGTGCGGGGTGGTCGGCCATGGGGGGGTGACTGCGCCGTCGCCTCTGTCGTCGGCGAAGCCAGAGACGAGAGGATCGTACATCATTGTTGAGGCTGAGGAGGACGGCGAGGACGATGTGGACGAAAAGGAGAAGGTTCGCGTCACGCCGGCGAGGCTCCGCGTGCGAAACAAGGCAACACATCCCCGTTGACTAAAACCCGAAATGCAATAAATAATGGAATAAATCGTCTAAGTTAGCTTAATAGTAGTAATGCACAAGCACCCGCAGAATACATCCAAGGACAGTCAAAACACAAGGGCGCGCCATCGTCAGCACGTCCTCTCTGGGAACAGCGGCAGCATGTGTCCCATCCGCAACACTTTCGTCCGCAGGTACTTTTCCAAGTCCTCCCCGTGAACAGCATCTCCGCCCACCATCGTCGCCCCCGCCGTCCTTTCCCCTCCGTCTAACACGCTGTCGACACCGGCCACGTGCGGTGATGACGACTCCTGCTGCTGTCCTTTCTGCCAACTCCGCGGGACCATTGGCACGCGATCTACCACCCTGAGCCCTTCCTTTTCAAGTGCTCGGACTTTGTCTGGGTTGTTCGTCAACAATCTCACCCCCTCCCCTGTCTCCGACCCCAACCCGAGGTCACGCAGGATCGCAATTGCGATCTCGTACCCTCGTTCGTCGGCCTTGTGCCCAAGAAGTAGGTTGGCCGTCACGGTGTCGTGCCCGAGATCTTGCAGATTGTATGCGCGGATTTTCGACAACAGGCCAATCCCACGGCCTTCCTGACGCATGTACACGACAACGCCACGCCCCGGTATGTGTTGAGGGTGCCCGGACGTACTAGACGAATGCAAGGGGATCGGCTGCGACATGAGTCGAATCGCTTCGTCGAGCTGCTCACCGCAGTCACAGCGCATGCTGCCTATAGTCTCTCCCGTAAAGCACTCGGAGTGGATCCGGATGAGAGGGGGTGGAATGGCATCATTAGGACGAGGAGGCGAATGAGATGTGGGCGAAGAGACTACACGTGAGTGGGGAGACAGTCTTCCAACGTAGGCGCCGCGGGTAAGCCTGTCCATGTCTGTCTCGGACTGGCTCCAGACCGCGTCGAGAGTGCGACTTCGGATGGGAGGAGCGGATAAGGGAAACTTGGCGTCCGAAAGTTGCGCCGGATCGACGACAATTGCGAGATGTTCTTTGGTATCCTGATTATTATGGTAGAGGTGAAGGAACGCGAGCCCGTGGGGAGTGGGTATACGAGTGCGAGCCATGCACGTCACCTGGACTTCCTCCGACAGGCGGAAGACTGGCGGAGAAGGGAGGGACGGAAGGGCAATAGACTGTGAAGGTGCACGGTCTCGTTTCGGGCCGACAAGGGGTATGTTTTCGGCAGACTGTGATGGCTGACCTGCGAGAGCGTTCTCCTTGTCCCCAGACCTGAGACGCAGATGGCGCGGCGCCTGCCTGCTGACATACTTGAAACGCGGCGCCTGGTGGGCGACGCCCGCAGGCTCTCCCTTCCACTTGGTCCAGTCCCAGGAGCCCTCTGCTTTGGGAAGCATGACGCCTGGAAAGAAGTCGTGGTGGTAGTGATTCCGGGTGACATTGGGACCAGAGGCTGCAGTGGCAGCGAGTAGGAGAGGGTCAAGCTCTGCGTCTCGTCGCCTGAAACCTGCCTTTACGTCGGGAAGCTCAAGGCCGGTGAGTGCATCGAGGAGAGCGAGGTCAGAGTCGATCTGGAGACCGTTGTCAGTGCGCGTGAGGAAAGTCGTGTGGGCCATGGGGGGACGAGAGGAATGAAGGGAGGGTGTAGGATGCGGAATGGGAAAGACAGCTTTTATTGCGAGCTCATGTGCGTTCCGGCATGGATGGGATCTGTCTCGGCCGAGATTATGTACGTCGCCCATCACATCAGCGTGACTCAGCACGTTCCCATCATCCTCCTGACCAATTTCCAGCGTCTTCCAGTGTCCTGCTACTACGCAGGGCCTCCCTTGCCCACGAACGCGGTCCGGCGCTCGTCCTCGATCCCCTCTGTCCTCTCGTCGTTGATGGAATGCACGCCGAGGCACTGAATCATTTCATGTCTTCACGCTTGCCTTTCGGGTCTCCTCCCCGCCTTTGAATCCAGCCGGGTCTCGGTCTCAGCCCCTTTCGACGGACGTTGGGCCAGTCTGCCCGTCCACTTGTCCAAGCCAGATGGTATTCTCTCTCTCCCTCCTCCACTTGTTCCCTATCTCTGCACCGTAATACTGCCCACTGCGGCGTTAGAATCATCTTCACCGTTCGAGCATTTCCAATTCCCGGCCTTCAATTCCGTCGACTCACCATGCCGTTTTTTCTTACAGCTCATCTCTGTTGGCCTTATGCGCCTCTGTGTTGTACTCTCTTTACTACTCCTCGCCCATGCTAGGTGTGTCTTGTGTCACGCATAACGCCTGCCGCTACCATGCATTCTGACTCACTGCCAATGGCAGTCATGGTGCCTCGCATCGCTCAAGCGAACGTCGGCCTCAGCCCTCCGCCTCACATCATAACGTCTCAGCGAAGGCCGTCAAAACGAATAGCACCGCGAATCATGCCCACCGCGCTCACCACGTCCACCGCGTCCACCGCGTCCCCGATCATTACTTCCCCAACCGCAGCCCATCCGGCTCCAAACCCCGCATATTCATCTACTCCAGCCGCGTCGCAACCTCTCAGTCCCAGCAGGACCGCCTGCAATATCACCGCCCCATATACGGCCACGGCTCTGCGCGCCGACACATAAGCCCTATCGTCATCGCCTTCGCCGTCCTGGGAGGCATCTTTGGGCTCTTCGTGGTCGTCGGTCTCGTGCATTGTTTGCTTGACTACAGCCGCGCGCCGCACCGGCACACGGTCATGCCCCCCGATTTTCGCGAGCGGCTCCTACGCGAGATGGCGGAGAACGCAGAGAACGCGGAGCGCGACCGGCTCGCGCCAACACCTACCCCTCCCCCGCCATACGAGCGTCCGCCGTCGTATCAGCCGTCATCACCAAACATAGACGATCCGCTCGTCGCTTCGCCTCTCCCTCATCCTCTCCAGCCTGCTCCTGCGCCTCATACGATGGCACAGCAGGCATAGAGAGCATTCTCACTCCTCCTCTTATCGGTTAGGCATACTAGTCCAGACGCGGTATTCTAAAACTGTCGTGAGGACTCTGGACTTGTTCTGGGACTTTGGTCACTGTGGTCATTTGATATCTATGTTATATATAGCACACTCTTTTGTAAGTTATTGTAGCGGACGGCGGGATGTAGACCTATCTTGATATCGCCACGCAGTGGTACAGACATCTTGACGAGCGACTCACCGCCCATGCAGGAGCACTGCAGGAACCCTCCGGTCGACCTCGAGTCTTGAGAGCCTGTTATATAATCAAGACATGAAACTCACCATCAAGTACCGAGTTCCGCTTTCCGAGCCTCTGACAGCTCGAGAACGGACGTGAAGATTTTCTCAGGAATGTAGGAAAGGGCTTTCCTTCTTCCCTCTCTTCCCGCCGAGCTGTGTAGCTGTAACTTACGACGTTCATATGCATCTGACCGTAACCTCCACACAGTCTCCAGCCTGCCAATCAACATCATCTGACTTGTCTTCTCTTTTCCGGGTGCTGTTCGTATCGACAGAGCTTTGCTCCAGACGTGACTGAACTTACAGTGGCATCAGATGGGTCGCGGTTTCTTCCCCGCAGAGTCCAATGGGCTGCAAATATGTGTTCGCAGGTTTGACTCAGCCGCTGTCGCATGCAGTTATCACCGCGTCGCCCTTCTTCCTGCTCGCGTTTTCAATAACGAAGTTGCACTGCTGATCGTGCATGTGTAGACGGCTGCAATGCGAGTTGCACCCAGCGGTGTATAAAAGCCTGTAGAGCCAGGGGTTTGGGGATACAAGCCAAGTCGTTTTTCCTTCTATCGCCCTCCCCCTCGTTCAAGAGCTGTCGAGTGCCGGTCCACTCTCTTATTCTTCCTTCGTCGACTTTTGCTACAAGTCTTTCGATTTCGGTTAGAACATCTTATTGTTTCCCTGTCGTCTCTCTAGACCTAATCACTGATCCTTTTCTTCGCGAAGGCCGGTCCTCTCATTCAACCTAGTGCTACATAGCAGTCTTCCTTGCTCAGTTCTTCACACTCGAATATGTTGTTCAACGCTCTCTTCGCTTCCGTCGCGCTCGTCGCGTCGCTCGCCGGCCAAGTCCGCGCGCACGGTACTATCACCGCCGTCACAGGTGCCAACGGCGTTCAAGCTGCTGGGTTTGTCAGATTTCTCCCTCAGCAGCTTCGATTCACTCATCCTCCCTCTATTTAGCTTTGGTATCATAGCGAGCACGCCCCGCAATGGAGCGTCGCCCAAGCCATTTGAGCAGGACACGTCCGTCATCCGCGATGCCGAGATCGCGTCCGGAAAGACGGGCGTCTGCGGGCGGACAGCTGCCGGCGGCAACAACGACGTCGTGCAACAGCTCGCTAGTACGTCTACTGTCTCTGCAACCCGTGATTAGCACCTGTGCTCAATTTTCGTTGTCGCACTGTGTACAGCTGCCTCGCAAGCCGGTCTCCCGACGACGGCTGCAGACGGGAGTATCTCGATGACGCTCCATCAGGTCAACCAGGACGGCGCAGGGTAAGCGTTCTTCATGCACACGTTCGCGTGCCTCTGTGATTCCTTAGTCTCAACCGACATGGTGTTTTTCCACAGGCCATATAGCTGTGACGTCTCGGGCGACGGCGGCAACACTTTCACGGCCGCCACTGTGACCAAGAACGTCCCGGGTTTCGCGAGTCTCAGCCTCGCAAAGGCACAAGACTTCCCGCTCGAAGTCCAAATGCCCGCGTATGTCGTCGATCCGTTATAACCTCCGTCTTTTTGTCGGATCTCATGTGTTCCTGTTTCGCCGATTGCTCCTTTAGCACGACGGCTTGCACAGGAGGACCGAACGGAGACGCATGCATCCTTCGCTGCAGGAACAAGGCTCTTGCGGGTCCCTTCGGGTCTTGTGTGGCCGTCGCTAATGGTGCTGCTGCCGGTACTACGGCCGCTGCGGCTAATACGACTAGCACTGCTGCAGCTGCACCCGCAGCAGCAGCAGCAGCTGGGGGAGCCGCTGCATCCGCCGCCCCCGCGGCTGAGGCAGGAGCCGCAGATGCAAACAACGCTAAGGCAGGTGGCGCGGCGGGTCTCCTCGGCAAGCTCCTTGGGAAGAACAAGAAGCGCGTGATTCACTCGCGCATTGCTGGGAAGCGCGCTGGGTACTGGATCGACGAGTAGACGATTTCATGTGCATGTTCTGACGATGGACAGTGACGGACTTGTACGGACGTGCATGGTATACTAGGGACTTGGATCGTAACTCTTTCAGGCTATGTGGTTCTCTGAATCTATATGATACAGTTGGTCCCGCCTCTCTTCCTGCGTCCGATTGAGCCGAAGTTGTGATGGGCTCAACACTGATCTACGCGAAGAGTGCTGATCGTGGATTCTCGACGAGCCGTCTGTCTTGTGGAAGCACTGATAAAGGTCGGAGCCAAACTGCTCCTTCTCTCGTCGCCAATGGTGGATGACCAAACGCTCGACTGTGGTAGAGCGTCCGGAGCGATGGGAAGCTGCAGATCACCAGGATTAGTGGTGAACAAAGCGAACAGGACTCGGACGCACGTCGTTGCCGATCGTGGATGGCTGATTCCACGTCCAATCACTGAGAGAAGTACGACCCAAGTCGTGTGATTTCATCCTTTCACGGAGCTTCGGGCGAGAGTTGAGTGTTCGGAGCATACCCAGGATGTAAAATTTCCCGGTCAGGAGAATGAATGGCAAGGAAAGGCGTCGCTCCACCGGCTTCGAGTGGACGCGACCAAGTCAGCGGTCGCAAGCAAGTATCGAAGGTGACAAGAGCACTGACCGCTTTACAGTGATACAGGATGACGGAGATGATCATCAATATTGACGGGATCGCTGCCGATTCCCAGGTTATGCCTATGATGTGCTTCAAGGCTTTATCCAGGTAACCAAGCCCCGTTTTCGACTTCCAGAGATACACCATCACTGTGAGGGTTTCATCAAGGAAAGCCTCTCAGAAGAAAAATCGGGACGTACGGATCGACGTCACGGACAAGTCCAGCACTAGGGAAAGTCAATAAGCAACTCAATCATGTATATAAGCAGAGCTACCAAGCGACGCGAAGATCCAGACATTGAAGGCAAGCACAGTCTGAGGGTCAAGGATGGAAGTTTTTCCGAAGCAATGGAAATCCTATATGAACTCACATCAAAGAAAAGATCGCTCATCAGGGGCTGTAGGAAGCGAGTCAATTTTAATTTCAACAGCCTGAGAGCTGAAAATAACGATACGTGCATTGTTGGATTTTGGAAAAGTGCTCCTCGTACCCCTAGCAATGGCGATGGACTAGATTCCCATCACGGTATGAGAGCGCTCTCACGCATCTCCAGGGTGAAGACTCACCAGATATAAGATCGCCACGAAGGCTGTTGCAGCTATGGATGCTAACCCGACGAGGACCCATCTGTTTTTCGACGTGGCCTGGGAGCACTGGATTAGAGCTCGTGTTATAGTCGAAAGTATTTGAAGGCACCTTCCAGCATCTTCGAACAAGAAATGTTTCGGAGATGGTGCAGATTAGTCCGTTCAAGAGTATGTCGCAGAAGTAGAGTGGGCTCTTTGACTAGAATACTGGTCAGGTGGGTTTTACACGTGTGGAAGGAGTTCACTAACCCAATGAAGGTGCTCTACGAGAGCGTGCCAAAGTTTGTAAATCGTAAGGCCTGTTTGTAGACTTTACAAGATGTCTAGGCGTCAGGATATGATGATTCTGGGTCGTTTACCTTGCTAAGATGAGCAACACCGCTACGAAGGCTTTCATGCGACCGGTGTCATCCAAGGGTATCTCCCAGTACCTGCACACCTGGGCGAAGATCACGCCTTGGCAGGTGCATTGCATAATTCCCTCGAAAAGGATGGCTCCGAGCGAAACTGTTTCGATGTCCACAGCTTCGATTTTTTCCATAACTGTGATGACGCTCGCGTTGAGGTGGATTTATTGTGGAGGTTAGATATAGAACCACAATTTACCCCTGCTATTGCGAAGAGGACCGGGCAGGGTCTCAAACTGAGACTGAGACACGATGTGATAGGCAAGATAGCGATAGTCACGGGCCAAGGCCGGTTGAATAACGAACGCGATCCTCGGGTTATAGAAGGCTGATCGACAGCCCGCGGGCTAACAGAGAGATTCGAGAGAAGTACACTTCCATTGATATCCTTGATTTGGAGCATTCCATAACAAGTGTCGAGTGGCGGATTCGCTGAACATCCAAAGACAAAGTCAGAGGTTGCAGAAGAATCGCGAACGTTGCTGCCCTTGGGGGTACTGGTTGCGTTCGATACTAGTGTCAGACTGCCAGCAGCCTCAAATCCCGAGACCGTAAAGGACGCACCTGCAATGCTGCAATAGACATCCCCAAATGAATTGTTCACGACTGTGTCCAATAATGCCTCTGGTCGCGACCCATCGCATACTCGAAAGCCAATTGACAGTGTAATGTGCATATTGGGAATGAAAAATAGATTAAGTCCAAAATATGCGGCGACATGGTGTCAGGAAGCAATTAATGTGCCCAACATGGATACAAATATCGAGCAGCACTGGGCAGGTCGCGGTGATCACTGATAAGCAGAGCAATACGAGAAGGAGCTGTAGCACACTTGAACTGATTTGCTAGCATAGAGTGGTCCCAGCCTTTTGGGGTCTGACAAGATTTCTCCGATTGTTTACGAAGTGAATCAGTGGCACCAGCCGAGCCACCTTTCAATTCTGTTCGTATTAAAGTGTGCATTGTGTATTATTGTCAGAGATTGACAGTGTTGTGAAAGAAGACACAACTCACATTAGTCCTATCTTCATCATCGTCAAGTGTCATGTCAATGACATCTACAACTGAACGTGGTACTGATGGCTCATTTTGAATCGATATTGATTACATTCGGTGTTGATAGACAATTGTATCAGCTAAAAGGTCACGAAGCCATAGTGCACTTTCCTCGATATGCTTACCCGTGGGCCTTGGTCGATGGCACGCACTGCTCGCTAGCTGGCGCCTTCTGGATGCACCGGGTGGAGTACCGAGGCGAATTGGTTGTTGAAATGACCACTGATTTGGCAGAGGTAAGTTTCTAGCTGGCCCAGTTTCTCTTTGCAGAGGAAAAGGTTGAGACCGCAAGGCCTCATTGTCCTTGCGTAGCTGTGCATTTTCTGCCTCCAAATGTGCAATTTTCGCCTGCAACTCGCCAAGCCGCTGGAGGGATTCTGCCTCGTCTTCTGCGAACGCCAACGAGACAAACCTTGCGACTTCATCCTCAGAACTCTCTTCGTCGATGACCATAATTCGTCTACAATAGTCATAACCTTGATCAGCATCGAGTACCCACAGAAGAGCGAACCTACGAAATGGATGAATTCCCAGCTCCATCTCTGGTCGCTTCGTTGGAATTTGTGGGCTCCATAGGGGAGTGAACAGAGAAGAAGGCTAGAGACAGCTAGGAGAGATGGATTGCCAGTGAAAAGAAGACGCCGTGTAATACGTGGCGCTCAATTTGGTAATTCGAGTGCTTCGATTGACGGCGCTACCTCGAGGGTGTCAACGAGGAGCAGTTGAAGAGCTTAAGGTTTTTGCCTTTTCGATCATTCCTCTGGCCATTTTCAACTGAAGGCCACTTTGCCTCAGCGCGCTGTCGCTGTTACATCGGCCGGCATACAAGGGGGCAATAACTTGACAGAGGACACTTACGAGGAGGAATCTGGGTATGTAATGCTGATCTCGTCTTGGATTCTACAGGTACAAGAATTCCCGACCACTGTTACTATTCATATCCAAGAGCAAACAGCGCGGGCTCTCAGAATAGAATGATATCAGCCACAAAGGATACAGTCGATGAAACGCTGACTATGAAGAGTTAAGAGGTACACTAGCCTGCCTGGGTGGCAAGAACGATTTCCTGAAATATTATACAATCATCTATGATCAACTGAACGACAACTTTGTCCGAGAGAGCACGCACCTATTGAGAACTAGACCCTTCAGGGCTCTTATTTCTCGTCTCACCTCATCTTCCTCGGGACTGAGCGTGACTCCGAAGCCAGACACACGAGGCAAGGCAGGAGGTGATAGCGAGTATGTCTTCGTGGTTAGATATCCAGTAAAATCGATCAAGCTCTGAAGGGTGTGCTGATAGCGATTTGATGTACTTGTAGGAAGAGCAGAAGCAAGGGAAGCATTAAGCGAGTCAAGGGGGTCGACGGACGCAGGGTCAAGAACCGGCGCTTGGGGCTGGTATGACCAGCGAGCCGGGTTTGACGAGGAATCCTCCACATCGTGGAAGAGTGGATGCTTCAAAAGAGTTTCACATGCCTGGTGCTACAAACCGAGTGAGTTCGAGTGTGGTAGACAAATGGCTTGTTACTCTTGCACACACCTGACAAGATGAGTCAGACTCAAACCAAGGGAACTTGGTGGTGATCGCGACGGACAGTTCCTCCCAGCTTGGATGCAGATCTTGTTTCGCAAAGTCTGCCAAAGCGCATCTCAGGAGCGTAAATACGGGAATGTCTCGCCTGTCGTCGCCAGCAGAGACAAGATCATCGAGACCACCGCATTGCTTGTACCTCGGCTCTTCTCTATCTAGCGCCAGTTGGGGCAAGACTTCGAACGATTGTTTTTGTTCGTTTTTGAAGTGACTGATTGAGGTTGTCAACTTAGACAATAGATCTTTCTGGTGTACAATGATTGAGTGTCGAGCCAGAGACGATTTTGTGAGTCGAGGAAGTAGGAAGCGCTGAATGCATACATTCAGTTACTAGAAATCTGAAAGAGATTTAAAACGCACGTAATAAACGAGAAGCAGCACGGTGGATCCTCCAGCTACCCATGTAAGTATTCTGAACAGACCAGCAAGTAGGTTCGGAAGGTTAGAAGGCGGTGGTAGAGGATACGTCCGTGGCGGTACGAGAGGCACTTGGGATGGCTGTCCGAAACATAGCAGCGCATTGATTGGGCCAAGCATAGAAAACACATACCAGCTCCTGCAAAAGTGTGATTATCTCTGTCTCAGATAGCCCCTTGTCTACCAAAAATCTACGTTTGGCGGACACATCTTCGTGCCGAACCTGAGGTGATGCCAAGAAAACCCTAGCCCTTTCCAGAAGATCTGAACGTTCAGAGACGTCGGAATGTTGAGGTCCAGCTTGCTGATGTGTGTGAGGCGGCGAGGGTGGTAATTTGGATGAGCTGGCGACTGACGTCGCACCTTTATCTTGATCGTCCATGGTGGTCGGGAACGAGTCAACAGGAGTTGACAGTGACGAGCTTCGACTTGGTGGTATGTGAATCACATGTACAATCGGCCCGGTGAAGTTGGGACCCTCGCTGAATCAAAAAGAGTTGCAAGTAGTTTGCAAGTACATCTGAGTAGATACGGATATCCGGAGACCACGTCGAAGGTTGAAAGAGAATGATCAACGTTGCTGCCTTGGGGAGACTACGTCTGAAGCTTCACATATGTCTAATCGTCTTATGACCCAGCATGCTCGCTTTGTATAATCAACATATCACTACTAGAGTGTGCACTATCCTACGCTGCCACGGTCCCACATTCGATGCTATCCGATTATTCGAAACTGATAGTTACTTTTAAGTCAACGAACAATTAGAACTTAAACGTGGGATGAGAATAAGAAAGCTGAATGAGCTGGTATCCGGCATTCGGCATAGAGCATCACAAACATGCTGTGCCTTGATTTCATTCTTTATTATCTAGCCGGAAGATCAATTCATAAGAGATTTCAGACTTCACCAGACGCAGGTTGGAGAGCTTACAAAAACTGGGGCACATTCTGGTCATTGTATCTGCCTAGCGTCAGCCTTCAATTCCAACCAATCTGCGTCCCCAATTTGGGTGCTAGCACTCGTCTTTGTGGAAAGGGTGGGACGCGAGATACTTTCGTGGCCCGTTGTCTTCGGGAGGATATCGGTCTCAGGCGCGATGAATTGTGGCTTGCTAAGAACATCGGACGTAAAGCCTGAAACGTCCCATACGGTGTTTTGCATGCTGACGAGTACGACGATGATCGTCGGATATATACCCTGGATATATTACTAAGTCTGAGAATTTTCGGGCTTGGAGAAATAGAGATGGAAACATACGGCGATATGACTGCTTACAGAGAGAAAAAGATCGGCGGACGCACCGGCGTCTACCGCGCGAACACCAGAAATAGGCACAGTCCCGCAAACAATGAGAGCTATCTGGGGAGATTCCAGTTACAGAGGCAGACCATGCATTGAGGATCAACTCACCCATACAAAGCAGTAAAGTATTCCAGACTCGACGAGGATGGCCAAGATTTTTTGGATGCTTGTCTTGCGATTTTTTCCGATGATATTCTGTCTGATGAATCGGCGATATGTCCTGTTACGACAAGTGTGAGGACCAGGATCGTGTTCGAAATTTTACAATATACCATGTTTTATAGCCAATCAATGATGTGGCAACTATGTTTGTTGCCAGTTCAAATGCCCAAGATGCTAGTTGGCTGTAGCCGGTCATGATCCCCATTCTGTGAGTTGGCACGGATATTGATATGATTTGGAAGACGCCAAACAGAACAGAAGCAACTATGATCAAAGATAAGTTGAAGGTCACTTCGGTATTATCATGAAATTTTGGACGAGATTTCGGACCTACAGAACACGTCCAGAGTACTATCGGGACAGTCATAACTTTCGGGCTGTTGCGCCATAATACCCAAGCCCTCCAGACAACGATAGCGTCTCCGATCAGATACTATCAGCTCCATGAGCTCCCTTGCCCAGCCACAGATGAAGATGGTAAGAAGACTCACGTTGACAAGCGCCAGATAAGGCAGTGAAATGTTCATACCGAAGACCGATTGATTTACCATGGCGTACTTGCTTTCGAGTGGCTGATCAGGATCCACGAGAAGTTCATTCTCAATCAACTTAATAATGACGGTAAAGCCCAATGCCCAACTGGCAGTCGATGAGGCAAACATGACGAGGGTTGCTAGTAGCATTGCCAAGTTTGCTCTTGAGTTAAACCCCCTCTGGCTTTGGGAAGCCGAGTCAGCGAAGGAGAACAGTCTGATAGCAGATATAAGGCGTGCCAAATGATGTATGTCGAAAAGGTTATGAGAACCATGAAGATGCCTATAAGGGTGTGATCAAACATACTGTCTGTGATGCAAAAGTTGTGACGAACCTTCTAACAGCGTTTGGCATACGAGCTGTATCGTATTATCCCTGAAAACAGTACCAAGGTGCTGGAGGACCTTCGGTTCAACACTGATAGCCATTCTACTAAATAGAGAATTAGACCGGCAGGAGAGACTAGTGTACAGAGCGAGCAGGGGCCAGAGCGGAGGTATAGTGTCTTCTCTTCGTGTCGGACCTTATGTATGATGATGGTGTCATATCCACTTTGACTATATTCTGCGAGTCCCTGATTGTGGCAGCAAGAAAGTGACGTGAGTATAGACGATCCGATGCTCCGCTCGAATAGCATTCGCCTGACGAGGTTGGAGAGCGCCAAAAACATAGGCTAATTCAACTGGATTTAGCCATATCAATGGATAATCAGACACACGGTGCAAGTTAGCGCACAGTCGAACATAGCCACGAACCACGGTTAGACTATGAAGTGAAGTATGGCTGAAAGGCTTCACTATGACATGGTGGAATCTACTATAAATATCAACACTTTTGCTATATGGGATTGACAGAGTGACAGGGCATACAATGATGGACAAGTGCACTGCGATGGAACCAGGATGTTATGCACAGGAACAAAGAATTGTCGCCTCCATGCAGCAGTTTCAAATCCTTGTGGCATGTAGTGATTGTAGAAGCACCTCCAGAACCCAAGCAAGAGCATTATCGGACAGCGTCGCGCGTAAAATACCACGGTAGTTATAATGCATCACATAAAAATGGAAGGCAGGCACAAGCACGGATCTCCTCGGAGCGCGATAACCAGAAGCAAAGTCGAAGCGCTGGAGAGCAATTCGGGATACATGAGCGCTATCATCACGAGCAGACTCCCACGGCGAGACACTGTCATCGCTCTACAGGTACACCCCTGCAGCATCCCTGAGGCGCCTGAGGGGTCTCACCCATCTATAGGATGTGTGAGACCTGGAATTGCTGGTAAATGAAGGTACTCACATTGGCGTCCAGATCCCGGAGCGCGCGACTATATTGACTTCAGCACAATGATGAAGTGATCTATCAATCCCCTGAGCTGCTCTAGCTCAATAGCGAGGCACTTGGCTGCCAACAATTTGCAATCTCCGTTTTGTGCGATTTGATCGTTCGCACAAACAGCTATCACTGTACTGTACTGGAGAGGATGTGACTCACAAGCGAGCTTTCCGCCCCCGACGTCAGAATTGAAGATGATGAGGGCTTATTCAGTAAGTGTTCACGAGTTTCGTCGGAGGTGAAGCAGCGCGCCAGGGGAGTAACCACTGTAAACCTATCTCTCAGCAAAATTAGACAAGCTGTAGAGTGCCTAGGAGAGGAGCTAGATTCAGTTGCTTGATTTTCCCTTCGACTCGAGGCTGCGAGCGGTAATCTATTCGAAGAGGTACAGTCAATGCTACATTCACTTTGCCCAACCCTCCAGAACATCGCCCACCGCAAACTATACTCTGTCAAAACCTCAGTCCATACTAGCCCCAAGACTTTCAGGATGCATAGGCGCAGTCACTCGCATACCCGTTGAAGCAGAAGTTGCACGACAGCTGTGCAGGAGTATTCTGCTCATTATCATAGTCGTCGAGGATGGTAGTGACTTCAAGGACTTTCCTTTCTGAGCCCGCACACTGCCCAATCACATTCGAAACGAATTTTAAATCACGATCCCCTCAACTTCAAAACCTGCTCAACTGCATGAGAATAATGCCCCACGGGCCGCAAAATCATACACGATAGATTCTTTGAACGCCCCTGCTCAGTGCTCGGTGTCAAATCAGGAATAAACAAAACTCCCCACCCAGAAAAAAAAAAGATCTCAAACAAAGCATCGACAGAGCAGCTGGAAACACTAAGACAATGAAGAAAGTGCGCCTACTACTATGAATAAAGAGACAAGAGGTGGAGACACTGCCGCATGTATGTACTGTGACGTGGACAAATCACCGCAAGATGCGTAAGTAATGAGGAGGATAGCATACGGTCCGAGATAAAGACGAGAGGTGTCCGAATGAGCTACATAGAGAAATTGCAGTATTCAATACTGCGTAGTGCCAGCACGGACGCCCGGCTCCACTCCTCCAAGTTCTGAGCGCCTCCCGTACGATGAGTCTTATCTGAAACTTGAGCGCTGCTGGAACAGCACTCAGGCTAGGGCAAGGACAGTACGAAAGCACAATTGAAGTGGGCGCCAGGAAATAGAAGGACGAAGCGCCCCGAATGGAATGTGAAAGATGCGATGGAAGAATGGGGAATCGCAATGAACGTCAGCGAGTGATAAACGTAAAAACAAGTGTCCGTCAGATGCCAACGGAAGATAGACATAAAATTTGGAAAGACGGCGGGAGGGGAGGAGCAGCGTGCAGACACCACACTTGGAATCGTCATGGTCGACACAACAGGCCAGAGTCCGAGGAATATGTGAGTGTGAAGGGATGGCGTAGGATGTGCAAGATATAGGCCAGGTGGTCGATACCCGGGTCTAATCGCAAGTATGGCGCGCAGTGCAGGATGCACATAGCAAGGACGTAGCGATACATGATACGGAGCGTGAGCGGATGGTGAGAGAAGCGGATGATGCTGTATGATGGGGTGGGATGGTGAGGAGTAAGACGTAGCACAGCGAAAGATGTATATATAAGTTACGGGCGGGGTATAGGTTTCTCGAGTTCAGTAGTGTTAGGATCAGGGTCAGGACGAGAAGAAGCAGCCTAGCAGAGGATCAGCATTGGCCAAGGAAGCTGTTCTTTGGAAATGGTTGGCCATAATCATCTCTCCATGTTGTGAGATTTGGGTTCGTGTATGCTTCGATATACCTATTGAATACATCAGCATCCATGTGGGTGCACAATTTCTGAGCGGGGTACGCACTGATTGATATATGACTGCGTCGGGAATTCTGCTGGATCGCACCCAATATTGCGCGCATCCTTGCGTTGGTACACGCGAACATAGTCGATGTACATCGTCGCAGGGAACACGAGATGCGCGAGGTCGACTGTTCCAAAGTTGGTCGACATGCCCAAATTCGCGATCAGATACTACATAGCGTCATGCAGAACGACTATGAGTATTTTAACTCGCACTCAACATCACACGACATACCAAAGGTTCCTGGGGCACTGGCCTGTCTGATATCTCGACAAGGCTGTCTGCCGCCATGCCCGCTACGTTGAGCGTCCACGACGTCTTGTTGTCCGACACCCATGTAACATACGCATCATCGAACCCACCCTTATACTGCATGACCAACAGGGATCAGTCAGGGTTTCATGTACCCGAGGTCTTGATCCAGACGCACCTCGAACCCATACACAGAGTAACATGGCGCCGCTGAATTCTCGTAACACAACTGATCGGTCGATGTCACGACCGATGTCGCCTGCTGCGTCACACCGCCCGTATACGAGTTCTGCGCTGAGATAGAGGCGTTGACTATGACCTCATTGGCGGTCGTGTTAAACCATTCGTATGCGTGATTGAACGGCTGCAGCAGCGCTCTCAGTCAGTGGACCCGAAACCTACATCACGACCGTACGCGCTCACCGCCCACTGCGCGCTCTGCGACACCTGCCCGACGAGAGGCTTGCCTGTGATTTGTGCCTCGAATACGTCAATTTCTGGTGCGGATCGCCCCACGTAAGTACCGTCACTGTGCTTCGGGCCAGGATGGCTCTCGCCGTCGCAAGTGCAACGTGAAAGTCGCTGACCCGGAAGATATGACAGTACACCACCATTGCCTTTATCGCCATTGACCGTAGCAGCCTTCGGTACGCCATTGACCGTTTGATTTGACACTGTTCCGACATCACATGCATCGTACGTATACGGCCACTTAACCACCGCCACGACTCAAGTAAGAAGAGGTTAAATGCAAACGATGTATCTGATAGACGCACCATGCCTTCCAGGGAAGCGCCATACCCAGCACGCCCTAAGTTTCCCATTGTCCATACCGCCGGCCAAAGGCCGACAATATTGTCCGACCCAGGGAGCATCACCGAAGTTTCTATATAACCGCCCGTGAAGCAAAATTTGTTCCTGAGGTGCAAACAATCCATTGTCAGGTCAATCTCATCAACTAGCTGCCGCTGTGTCCCACCATGTAGACAGCATGCCTTGCTCCGAAGTCAGATAAGCAAAACTCAAGTTACGAGGAAGACAGAGACTTACCGCCTTGGTAATTGAGATCATGAGTCTCCTTTTGCGAGAGTGTGATCGTCAAGGCGCCATTCTTGGTTGTGACAGCCGCAGGGTCATACCACTCGATATTATTCGTTGCCTATACATTCCCTTGGTCAATGCCTCTGCACATCTATTGCACGGACACGGACACGCACCCAGTAATGCAAGTCAACCGCCTCCCAGTACGGATCGTCGCCGGGATAGAATGACCGCCCTTCCTGCTCAAACTCATCTGAAAACACGAGCTCGAGCTCCTCACCATCGTGAAAAGACGTCTTTGTGTATACCTCATGGGGCGTATCGACGTCAATGAGGCCCCAATTGCCGGGTATCACTGGGACCTGACCAGTGCCATTGGTACCGCCGATATTGAACGCGCCAAGATTCGAGAGCTCCCTCCGGTAGTAGTATGAAAGGGCGGGGTATCCTGCGCTGTGAAGCGAAGAGGGAGCGAGATGAAACGAATAGGGGTCGGAGATACTGCGGCAAAACTCACAACAACATCAGGATGCCGAGGCACATAAGGACGAGACAGCCCATGTTGGCAAGGCCTCGCCATGAAAGCAGGTGCCCATCACGATATACCGAACGAGCGTTTTGACCCTCGTCGGGATTATGAAGGTCGTCGTCTGGCTCGCTGAATTCTGGAGAGATGTTTGAACCCCAGCTGCGCGGGTCGGTGGCGAGAGAGAACTGAGAGGGCGGTGATGAGTGACGTGGAGCATACCGCGGGAGGGAGACTGCCAAGCGCACCTTCTCCTCCAACGCAAAGTAACGCGAGCTCGCTCTTGAGGGGTAGGGGGTATCCGACTGGACGTGGTGAAGTGAAATGAGCGATCCGACACGCGAAAGGGAAAGGCGGCGGGTTACAATGATGCTGACCGTGCTCTCTGCACGCTTCACGGACATGAGAAAAGTGTTTGCGGCGGCGAGGCTTGAGGTGGAGGACGGGGAAGAGAGGGCATCGTGTCTTGGATGAACGAAGTTGGTGCCCGACATGAGGGAGGGGGAAGGGAGGGGTTTGAAAAAGAGTGGAAGTGAAGGAGTGGAAGGAGAATAAAAATAACGGGGGCATAGCGATGGCTCTGCGGGTCAACGGGTTGGTTCCTCTCTGACGCAATCACGCCGCCGAGCCATTTCGATGCAAATTGCCGGCGTGCGTACCGCAGCCTTTCTCCCGCGACCCACTGCTGCCTGCTCCCGTCGCCTTTGGTCCCGCGAGCGCACATTTCCTGGATTATTTCTCTCAGCAAACACCGTCTGTATTCTGAGCTGGAAAGGTCGAGGCAGGTCCGCAGTGATCTCCATCGAGATCCAGGGTGCGCTAACTTCAAACTCCGCGGCCTCCCATTTTTGAGGGATGTCGTTGCCACGCGCAACCACTCCGCGTATAATTAATCCGCTCGACCAACAGCAGGGGAGCACCCGGAGCACTCGCCGCTCTGCCGTTTGACTGCCATCTGGCACATATTCAGAGATCTACAAACGCACGACGTACTGCACGATATTCTTGATTTCATCTGAACCTGTCATCTCGCTCGCATTGGACGTATTCATTTGTCCGCAAATCAGGAAGCACCGCTGCTCGTCTTGCCATCAAACTATGTCATCCCTTTCCCGTCGCTCGACTGACGTTTCTGTTCTCAGGACAGTCCGCGCGCTTCTCGAGTTTTCACTGTGACCTGGCAATCGCACGTCCGGCATCCGTTGCGAGAGCGCAACTCCGCGCAGCTGTTGATCGTAGTTCTCGTTTCGCTCCCATCATCACCGCTTTTGGAATGCCAACAACCCTAGACTATGTGGAACACGTATCAAGTTGCCCCGCACGCCGTGTGACCGTGTACAACTGCAATGCTCACCCGGAATCGTTCGAAATATAAATCGCCTAGCAAGTACTTCGATCTCCCACATCGTCAAGTAAATTTGAAATTTTGATCCCCTCTTGTCTTTCTGATATTCACTGTCGTTCAGCTTCTTCAAAGCCATCAAACCAATTTTACCCCTTCGCACAGCTTCCCACATCTCGAAATTGTCATCTTTTTGTTCCGAAGGGGCGCACGGGCGATGCAGCTTTCGACCATTACTGTTTCATGCCGTCTGAAGCCCACGCTTGGCCCAGCTAGCGTCTTTGTATGGGCATCGAAGCGCTTAAAATGAACGGAACCCTATAGCCCTTCTTCGTATCGGCTCCGAGTAGTCAGTGCCTAAAGTGATTCGTGAGTGCAAGCAGCGGGCACGTCCAAACAGTCACACCTCTCTTCGCCCTCTCCTCCAAAAAGGCATATAATGTACGCTTTCGTCTTTCAGGCGGAACACCCACACTCACGATGTCCTCTTCCCATCTAATCGCACCGATGACTACCGTGTCCGTCTCCACGTTCTTTATGTTCCTTGGTGGCCGGTCATCGCATCCGCATCAAGCAACTCAAGCGTAGGGTAACTGGACTGTATCCGTCTACCCGTTCTTGCGCTCGGGCTACTTCGTTTGGACCTCGTATTCTCTACTTTGTCTGAATACGTCCGCTCGCTCAGTTCGAAACTTGGACTACTTTCTTTGAACCTCATGTCCCAGGCATGGAAGCCCACGCAGAGATATTGGAAGCCCACGACAAAGTGCGCAGTGCGCAGTACGCAGACACATAACTTACCCCGCATCGTTATTGCATTGACTCCTGCTATATGGTCGGCCCTTGAAGCGAAGTAGGTGTATCTATGCACAGTTATGCACTCACTTTTTCGCGCGCGGGCTCGGCGACTAACGGCAGCCAACGACCCTGTGACGCTCAGAACTTTGTTATTCAGAATCCTATGATCACGCATCTACAAACAAGGGGCACGACGATCTTCGATTTCTTCTTGGTCCGTTGTTCTCAATCAGCCCATACTCGTAGAGGTCTGGCCTCCCCGGCCTGTGAGCAAAGGCCGCCGTGACATACGTATAGGCAACTTTATTTCGAAACTGGAACATCCAGAAAGTTCTACAAGATGTGTAACCTGGTCCTGAAATCTTTACAAGTGCCGATCGCCATATGTACACTGCTGTAAAAAGGTGACTACATCCATGGTCATCCATAGGAATGTACTATACGAATACTAGATATTGAGGGATCTCCAACGATCGGACTGAACATACTTATTCGTGAAACAAGATCCCTGTAGACATCTGAAGAGATCCAGATCCTTCCAAATCATCTATCCGGCAACTATACAAACCTATCACGATACACGCAGTCGACCCCGCCAACGGCAGCCCAGATCCTAAAAGCGGCAGAGGCACAATTTCTGAATAGTTTCACATATGCCGTACCAATCTTGAGACCGACACGTCCGCTCAACATCCGACACGGCCTCGGCCTGCTCTCGCTGCGTGGCCTCGATTCGTCGGCAGCACCCGACCCCCTGACCCCCTGCCACCGACCGACGCACGGCTCATTGTTGCAGGCGCAACAGACCCGCGATGCACACCAAGTCCTACCGCTGCTGCATTCGAGCTTAACGCATCTGCGCCGCCGTCGTCAGCATGCATCGACTGACCCGCAGGCTCCGTCGGCGAGCGCACATGCGTCTTCGATAGCCTGAGCGCCGGCGCGGTGGACCCGCTCGCACTCCCGCCTGCACCTGCGTCAGAGGGCAAGAGCATGTGCAACAGTTTCAACTGCTGCTCGTCGAGCGCACGAGCGCGCGCCTCGGCTGCCTCAGCCGTGGCCAGTGCTTCCGCCTCCATACGGTGCTGCGTCTTTGCATATTCGATTGCAAGCACGAGTGCATCTCGCGTCCCAGGTGATGCCTTAGGCACGAAGGATGGCACGCGCATCCGCGGGGGTAACGCACGGATTCCTGTGTCTTTGCTTGCATGTTGCTCTGGGGCGGACTGGCGGACTGGCGGCGACGGAAGCACTGGCTTCGCGAAACTCCGTGAGACCGGTGCAGGCTCTACAGATGGTGCGGCGGCGTAAAAGTATAAGGTTGGTCTGACCTTGTGCTTGAGGGGCGCAATGGAGCTGAGGGGTGAAGGCGACGGAGATAACATTGAAGTGAGTGTGGGGGACTCTCTTGCGATGGCCACTGTGGGGCTTGAGGTCGGTGTGAACTTCATAGCCTCGGGGTTAAAGTGGAAGACCGTCTTTCCCGAGTCGGGCGTGTTGGATTGAGAGCTGGGGGGTGTGATATCCTCAATAAGGTCAGGTAGCGCTACGAATCCCGACGTCTCCACTGGCGGGACATGTGCCAGGCTGGTCGGCTGAGCGGATTCGGCTACGGGGCGCGGCGGCTCGGACGCCGGGGATTTGGGAGTCTCGAGTCTGGATGCCTCCTCAAGAACAACGGATAAGGGGATGAGAGACTCCACAGTCTCTCTCTTGCGCTCCAGTGCAGGTTCCTGCTTCGACTGAGCAGACTGCACCAGCAGAGACTGGTCCAGGCAAGTAGTATGAGCCAGAGGGTCGGGGGCTACTGCTTTAACGGAACCACCCGAAGAGCGTTCCCTCGCCCGTCGACGAATATACTCCGTCGTGGTACGGCGGGTGGAGTCCATAGCCTTGATAGAAACCACCGTCTTCTCTTCAACCCCGGGTTCAGATAGGTCCTTTACCTCGGCGACGGCGATTACAGGCGACACGGCAGTGGTGCCGAGATCCGCAGTCTCCATTCGCTTGCGGTCTTCATCTGACTGAGGTGCGCCCTGCTCAACTACCACCGCTGGTGAAACGGGTGGAGCAGTCTCGTCAGTCAGGTCCTCAGTCGGCCCCGACACTTCGGCGTGGACTTGAGCGTGTTTGTATTGTTCGGTGGTGCAAGCTTCGGCGATGGACGGAACCTGAACGGAGACCCGTACCTCCTTAACCTGTACATTGAGGCCCACGGACGTAGTTCCAGATTTGGGTACTTGGCTCGTAACTCTGGCCGCAGCCTCGGCCACGATACGGGTCCCTTGAGGGCCACGCCCATCCCTGTTTTGGCTCCGCGGTCTGGTCTGACCAGGCGCACGACCGGTTCGTCGCGAGGCGCTCCTTCCGGCCTCCTTTGTCTCCTGAATAGCTTTCTGTACAAGGGCAAGCGCAGAAGATGTGGTGTTAGGAGGCGTTGAGGACAGATCGAGTCTAGTAGTCTCGCGGCCGCGAGCACCGATGCCGTCAGAGACATTGCGTGGATCGCTTCCGTGAACGGCGCTCCCTGGTGCGGGATTATTCTCGACGTTGATTCGGGCCTGATTAGCAGACCTTGCCATCCTCGGGGGAATGTGTTCAAGTCTCGGGTCACGAAGTCGGCCACCGATAGCCAGTCTGGACGCGTTCCTCCCCTGCGACGCCTTCATAGGTTTGGTGGAGTATTCCCGGCGCACGTTCGCTGAAGCTTTCAGTATGGGTACGGGGTCGGGAGCAAGCGCCCAGTTCGGCTTGTCCGCTGTGTGCTTGGGCTGGTCGCACGCGCTGAAATGAGGCTGGGCTGACGGCTGCGAGACTTCAGGCGCTACACTGCTGGCTAGAGGTAAGGAAAGGATATTGGAGGCAAGTTCTGGGAACTGTGCAGCGAGCTAGACGAGTCCATAGCGTCAAAAAAGATACATTTTGATAAATTATACGCGGCTTACGTTGGTAGCGTCGGCGTACGTCTTGGGAAGAACCTTAATGGGAAGGACGCGTTGAATATCTTTGAGGGGCTTATCGAGCTTGAACATATCAGCGAGCATGTCGAGAGAGGGCTATGAGCAACCTACCGCCACATGCGAGGGTTCCGCGTTGTCATCATGAGCTCCACCCTAGTCGAACGGACGGTCAGCTCGGCGATCAATACATGATATCCAGCAGCGGGCACGTACCTCATCTGACTTCGGGTGAGATTTGACCATTGCGACAGGCTCGCTCGCCTGTTCAAATCCTGTCAGTTATGGATGTGGCGGTATTGGAATGCAACTCACATCATCCTCAGGTTTCTGTTCTTCGACGGTGTTTGGCAGAGCGCCCGGCAGAGCGGGGAGAGCATCGCCCTCCGAGGGACATTGAGTAGACTCCGCGTTTCCCATGTTGGAATGCTGTTTATGAAGAATGTGTAGTGAAACGACTGTGTGCAACCAGGTAAAGGGAGTGTAGGGTAGCGAGCGTTGTTTGAGTTGGGGTGGGACTTGGACAGCGAGGGATGCGCTGCAGGGTGGACATCGAGGGCGACTATAATGCATCCGGGCTCACGCACGAGGCATATCCTGGATCCAAAAGCAGCGAACGCACTTACCATATGCAGCAGTTGCGTTTCCTCTTTCAGCTGTCGACGTTGGGACCGCTGGGTGTGGAGTCGGAACCGACGATCAGGCTACGCTCGCGCGGGCCACTTGCCTTTTCTTACCCAGAAAATCCTGCATTCAGCTGCTCACAGGTGAGATCGTGGAGCCAGACGCGACAGCGGTGCCGAGCCTTGGACGTTTCTGAGTCACGATCGAAACATATGCCAAAATCCTTCACAAGAGTACAATCTGGGGGAAGACAGAATAGGAAACGAGGAACAGCAAAATCTTTATGTTTTACACATATACATCATGCCTTGAGTGCCCCGGTAATGTTGTCGATAGCTTCCTTCAACCGCCCGGCTTCATACTTCGCGAGTGTGGCGTTCTTCTCGATGGTGATAGACTCCGTCAAAGCAGGGAGCGTCGTCGCGCCATAGCCTGTGGAACAACAAGGATTAAAATGCCATGACTAATGGGATCGGAAGAATAGAATGATGGAATATTACGCACCCAGCCACTTGCCAGGAGCGACACCGAGATGTCTGTACCACTCCCGATCCTTGATCCCATCTTCATGAATGAACCCACGTTCGAATGACGCCAGCTTCTGATTGATTTTCTGGATGTGTTTCACCGCGCGCAGGAATCTCCGGCTTGGGGCCTTGTGGTGTGGGGGCCAGTGTGGCTTTGGCAACTCAGGAAGGTGGGGAATATGAGGCAGGTGCGGGAGGCGGGGATGTTCTGCGTCGACGTCTACTTCCGCATCAAAAATCTTGAGCTCAGCCTGCTCTTCTTCTAGCTTCCTCTCTCCCTCCTGCTTCTCTTTAATCCATGCCGGCAGCCGCCCAATGCGAGGCTTCACAGGCTTGCGGAAGCTACCCTTGCGGCTGATCTCTGCATTGGTCGCGTGCATTGGAGGTGCGAGCTCGGTATTCGCCTCTTCGCCGTGCTTGCCAAAGATATTCTTCAGCCTGTGACACGCGTGGCCGATGGCGCGATGAATTCCCTTCTTGAACCCGCCTTTCTTCTGTGAGTGCCGCAGAAGATGCCTCAGAAGCAGCTCAGCCTTGCGCTTCTCGTGGTCGTGCTTGATGCTGGCGTGCTGGAGGGCTTTGATGGAGGCACGGAGGGGCGCAAGTTCAGTCGAGACAGCGTACGTGGTTGCCAATTCCTCAACCCTAGTAGAATTATCAATGATGACCAAGAGATGAGCGCAACGGCACACACTTATCGAGATATGCCTCTAGTTCGAACGCATAATGTGTTGTGTTGATTGGGAGAACGATGGAGTCGGCCAAACGGAGAGTCAGAAGGCCAAAGTGCTTTGCGGCAGCAATCTAATCAAAGACTAGTCAGTAAGTGATGCATCAGATGATAGTGCTAAACCTACATGTTTCGTGAATCCCGGGTCACCATACAGCTCTTGCCATCTCTCTGAATCAAATACAGAGTGGTAATGATAGACCGGGTCCGAAAGCGTAGAGCCGAAGCCGTGGTCCATACTTGCCACCTGCGCCATGACAAGGTCATTCAAAACGTTGATATCATCCGCGTCAGGGTACTCACACCGATGCGCTGTAAAAATACCGTGTAGTCGCTACCGGAGCCCAGAGCACCAACCCCGATGCTGTCAACGGCCTTGGCAGCCTCCTCCGCCATAGCCATTACCTGCAGGTCGACGTTTTCGCCATGTAGCGGTCCTCTATCATTTCTCGCGTCCCAAAGTGTACGCCCCGGGTCGGTCGGGTGCGGAATCTTCTCGGCCGTATCGCGCACGACATGGGCCAACGATGGGGAGGCGCGCGCACTGTAGCGAGAGCCAGAAACTGCTACATCTGTGGGAGAAATGAGCAAGGCACCAAATAGCGAAGAAAAAGGTCAGAAATGGCGTACCGACGTTGAGGTATGCGACGACGTATTTGTCAATGAAATCGGCAAAATCTTCGCCCCATTCGGTGCTGCCAATGAGGCCGTACTGGAGATACGGAGGGTCAGAATGGTGTTTTCGAAAAAGGCGCATATAATCAGTTACCTCTTCAGCATCCCAACTTGCGATGACGATCGTGCGCAGCGGTTTCCATCCGCTCTTCAGCAGGACGCCGAGCCCACGGATGACTTCGTTGATGGAAGCCGTGCCCGAAGTAGGATCGGTTGCACCCATAACCTAGTGATCTATCTGTTACATATACATCTATTCGTTCAAAAATGAGCCTACCCATGCTGTAGCGCATCATCAGTCACCTGCAAGCCGAAGGATGTTTTTACTGAGCACTTACCATCGCGATGGTTTCCAATCACAACGACTTCATCCTTGATGTGCCCAGGGAGCACACCCATGGTATTCCAGATAGGCGTCACCTTGTCATCGACTGCGCAGGAACACAGATGTTGATGAGCATGGCCTCGATCGCAGAGACTGGAGGCACTCACCATTGTTCACGAGCCGAATCGTCCTGCCCTCCTTTCCGTCCTCGATCTCCTCGAGCAGCACCTTGGCATTCGCCCACGAAATTGGCAAGCTGGGGATAGACGGAATATTTGTCCCGCTGGTGCGGGTACTATTCTCGTAGGCCGGGTAGCCCGGCGTCGTCGGGTCGCCTGGATATATGGAGAGGAACTGCACCGAGCCGCGCTGCACGGAGGTCGGGCTGCGCGCAGGACCATAAGGATATCTATCTCGAGGGTATGAGCACGCGAGCTGCGCAGGAGAAGGAGAATAGGAGGTTTACGGTTTGTATCCGTTATCCACAGTGACGGTGCCGTCGTCGCGAGGGTCGGAATAGATGAGAATGCCGGCTGCGCCTAGTTCTTGAGCACCTTTGACCTAGTGGAAAAATACATGACAAACTATCGTGACAGGCACAGATAAGTCGTAAACGCACTTTGAGACCACGGAAAAGACCTCCATAGCGAACAATGACGATGGAACCCGTAAAGTTGACGCCTGAGCACGCGATGTCCTTGAATTATTCGGCATCCCCCTCGAACCGTAGCTCAGACATACCTTTATTGACAAGGTCTTCGAAGTCCTCCTTGCGGCCGTAGTTAGCGTTGATGAGTTTACCCTGGACATCCCCACCTCTGCTCAGGCCGTGCCAAGTCGTTACGGCATCCGCGTACGCCCAAGCGTCCGGATCCGTCTCATCCGAGACCTCCTCAAGGTCCGCAGCCCACGCAACCTCGCCAGTGTCGCCGAGGATTTCTACGCTATGGTTGAGGGGTGTGTTCATAACGGGGTAGTATATGTCGATCCACGCGCTCGGCTCTGAGAGGTCAGGGATGGAAAGCGTCGCGTTGCGCGACTCGGGAGAGCCGGCAGAGAAAACGGGCTGGACGTCGGGCTTGGGGATGCCGAGCTCGCGCTGGAGGAGGGAAAGAAAGTCCTCTGCAGTTGCGAGGTCGCCCGACGAGCCTGCAAGATGGGGCTTTGTTGCATACTGGCGGGAGGCGGCAATCGCGCTGGCCGAGTTTGGCACGGTCCTGGGACAATCCCACGCAGAGTGAGCCTCAGACCAACATATGTGATACAGACCGACGTACAAGAAGAGGCTCTCCGCCCACTGTCTAGTATAGGGCACGCGAGTCTGGAACGCGCTCGTAACACCCTCCGATGCTTCTTGGAGCTCAGCAAGAGTGGTGAAGAAGGAGCCGTAAGAGAGCAAAGATAACCAACGGTGGAGGAATACCCAGAGGAGAATGAGGACAACACCAGGCTTGACGAGTTTGAGGTAGCGGGAGCGAGGTTTGGGTGGGTGTAGGTTGAGAGGAGCAGGGAGCAGTGCGCCGTCGTGGCCAGGCTTCTCCGACGGAGGAGTGAGCTCGCCCATGGTGGTGGGAAGACGGCGAGAGGTGCGGAGGATATTAGCCGAATATCAGGTCGGATAACTGAAGCAGCGCTTGTTCCAGCCGGATATGTGTGCCTTATCTACACGCGGCTGGACATAGCTGGACATAATGCGTCGATGTGCATTGATGGACGACCGATATACGCATGACGTCACACCCGTCTTTTGGCATTTGGCCTTTGCAAGTCAAGGCTCTGGCCGTTTGCGGACGAGGTCGGTCCTCCTCCACCCGCCCATCGTCTGCGTCTTGTTCGCCGCTCACCTTTACATGTCGGCCCAGGAATTCGACTCGAAATCAGTCTTACAGCTCGACTCGTGGCTCGAGCCGTTTCTGCCTGCTATCGACCACAGGTACCAGACATTCAAGAAATGGCGGGATGCCATCCACCTCCACGAGGGTGGCTACGACGCGTTCACAAAGGGCTACCACAAACTCGGCCTCGTTCCCAACGACGCAGGCGAGGTTGTCTATAGGGAGTGGGCCCCCAACGCGATCGAGGCATATTTGATTGGAGACTTCAGTCAGTCCCCTTCATCCAAAAAGCCGTCCAATACCTCAACTGACAGATGTCGCTCGATGCCAGATGATTGGAACAGGACCTCACACCCGTTGAAAAAGAACGAGTTTGGTGTCTGGGAGATCACCATCCCCCCCAAGTCACCCGGAGTATGCGCGATCCCCCACGATTCAAAGATCAAGGTGTGCTGGTTTGTTTCCGTTCTGACCACCTTACTCAAACTCTCCCAAAGATTTCCATGATCCTCCCATCTCGCGAGCGCATCGAGCGTCTCCCTGCTTGGATCAAACGCGTCACTCAAGATCTTGCCGTCTCCCCCGTGTACGACGCTCGCTTTTGGAACCCGCCTGCGGAGGAGAAATATGTCTTCAAGAACAAAGCCCCCCCTCAACCTCAGAGCGTCAGGATTTACGAGGCTCACGTCGGCATCTCTTCCGCCGAACCGAGGGTCGCCACCTACAAGGAGTTTACTCAGAATGTCCTGCCGAGAATTCACTCTCTGGGATACAACACCATTCAGCTCATGGCGGTCATGGAACATGCCTACTATGCCTGTGAGTGTTCCGAACCAGTCACTCAAACCCAAACCTCATTGAGTCTGCATCAACAGCGTTTGGGTACCAAGTCACCAGCCTGTTCGCAGCGAGCTCTCGCTTCGGAACTCCGGAAGAGCTGAAAGAACTCATTGACGTCGCGCACGGCATGGGCATCACCGTCTTGCTCGACATCGTCCACTCCCACGCATGCAAGAACGTGCTCGATGGGTTGAATCTCTTCGACGGCACGGACCACCTCTACTTTCACGAGGGTAGCAAGGGCAGGCACGAGCTGTGGGACAGCCGTCTCTTCAACTACGGGTCACACGAGGTGCTCCGGTTCCTGCTCAGCAACCTTCGTTTCTGGGTCGAGGAGTACAAATTCGATGGCTTCCGCTTCGACGGTGTCACTAGCATGATGTATCTGCACCACGGCATCGGCACGGGGTTCTCTGGAGGCTATCATGAATATTTCGGGCCAGGTGTCGACGAGGAGGCCGTCGTCTATCTTATGCTGGTAAAGACTTGTGGTGTTCTTTCTTCAGTTGCCCGCAGCCGCTGACATTTCCCGTTCGGCCAGGCTAACGATGCCATGCACTCTCTCTTCCCCTCGATCATCACCATCGCCGAAGATGTGTCGGGCATGCCGCTGCTCTGTATCCCCGTCTCGAAGGGTGGTATCGGCTTCGACTATCGCCTCTCGATGGCGGTGCCGGACATGTGGATCAAGCTGCTGAAGCATAAGTCTGACGGCGAGTGGGAGATGGGCAACATCGTGCATACACTCGTAAACAGGCGCCACCTCGAGAAGAGCGTCGCATATGCGGAGAGCCACGACCAGGCGCTCGTGGGTGACAAGACGCTGGCGTTCTGGCTGATGGATAAGGAGATGTGTATGTTCGCAAGGTCGCAATGAGTTGGGTTGATGCTGATGCTCAGGGCAGATACGAACATGTCGGATTTGAGCGAGATGACGCCGGTCATTGCACGCGGGTTGGCTCTGCATAAGATGATTCGGTGAGCGAAATTGTTTGTGCTCGATACATGAGGTTGATGCGGTGCGCTTCAGGCTCCTCGTTCACTCTCTCGGTGGCGAGGGATATTTGAACTTTGAGGGTAACGAGTTCGGCCACCCCGAGGTTGGCATCTTTTTTCCCCTGCCATGTGCATAAATAACACAGCGATTGATCTAGTGGCTCGACTTTCCGCGTGAGGGGAACGGTAATTCCTTCCACTACGCGCGGCGCCAGTGGAACGTGGTCGACGAACCGCTCCTCCGATACAGATACCTAAACGCGTTCGACGCCGCGATGAATCACCTCGAGGCGCGCTACGGCTGGCTCGCTGCGCCGCAGGCATACGTCTCGCTCAAGCACGAGGGGGACAAGGTCATCGTGTTCGAGCGCGCCGGTCTGCTCTTTGTGTTTAACTTCCACCCAACGGAGTCGTTCACGGACTATCGCGTTGGTGTCGAGGAGCCTGGGGAGTACAGCGTCGCCCTCACGAGCGACGAGAAGAAGTTCGGCGGGTTTGAGAATGTGGACCTTGGCTCGAAGTATTTCACGACGCCGATGGAATGGAACGGGCGGAAGAATTGGATGCAGGTGAGTTTGCTCGCGTCGGTTGTGTCTCACGGTGTTCACAGGATGCTGATGTCGACGACCATGGACGTTGCAGGTTTACATCCCGAGCAGGACCTGCCTGGTTCTGGCAAAGAATTGATTGAAGCTGTGTCGTTATGCCTTATATTGTGGACATTAGTTATGGAGCGATACCTGGTTGTACGGTTGAGGCTGTCTTCGATGATGTCAGTTTGAAATAGATGTCAGGTCGGGGGGGAATAAGTATAGAATCCATGCGGCAAAAGCGGAAGAAAAAAACAGAGGGAAACCTAAAAGTACAACAGTCATGCACACGCTTTCAACCAAGCTTTTGTCGCTTGTTCCCGGCGCGTGTTGTTGACGTCCCAGAGGTGTCCACGGAGGATATCGACAAGGAGCGTCTTTGAGACTGCAAAGACCACAAAAACGTCAACGACTGAAGGCGGTCACGGTGGAATACGGGCCTGAATGCTCACCTGCTTTCTGCTCCTCCCGCTCCTCCCGCTTCTAGTACTGACCACGCTCTGCGCCCTGGTCCCACCCTCCTGTCCACGACTCTGCGACCGACTGCCCAGCTCCTCGTCCACATCCATAGGCGTCTGAGCGCCAGACCCGCCGCCATCGCCGCCGACACCACCGTCGCTCGCGCTCGCACGCATGTCCAGCCTTGCGCGCGCGACCCTGATCTCCTGCTCGACGCGATCGACGATCTTCTTTGTCTCGACGAGCGCCGTCGCGGCCTCGATCAGCATCTCGTACTGCGCGAGCGTGTCTCGCGTCGGCATGATCACCCCCCGGCTGATCGGCACACCGAGCTCGGTCACGACCTGGTTCACTTTCGAGCTCACCGCGGGCTTGGGGTACGCGATTTTTTGAGAGCGCAGCGTCGCGGCAGCATGCGAGGCCTTTGTGGCCGGTGTGAGCGGAGGAGGGTCGATGCGCTGTATGCAATGGAGAGCGTCTACACCGAGCAAAATCGAAGTTGGCGTCCATGGCGGAGATGGGTGTGTTGGGGACGTACCATATGCGATCGACTTTGCCGACTGCGCCCTGCGGGGTGCTGGTTGTGCCACGGCCGCAGTGGGCGTGGCGGGACTCTCCGCCTCCGCGACGCCGGCCTTCTTTTTCTTCCGCGGATCGGTGATAGCCGCATGGCTGTCGTCCTCGACGTTCAAGTCGGCAAGTCCAGACTCGACACCAAGTAGGGTGCGGAGTAATTCATCGCGCTCTTTTTTGAAGGCGCGCTCGGTCTGCTCGAGTCGCTTGAGCTCGATGTACATGGCCTCCTCCTCGGCGATCTGTTCGGGCGTCCGGTTCTCGAGGCTTGCGAGATACTCTTTCCGGGTGACCTCGCGATCTAGGTGGATGAATTTGGCAGTGAGCCATGCGTCGGCGAGAATAAAACGAGCGACGGTCACCCTTGTCGAATTGGAAGCTAGACAGGAGCTGGGCTCTGCTGGCTTCGTCGCCTGGCCATGGTCTACTTCGTATTAGCTTACGACACACACCGAAGTATCTATCTTTTATGTCCTTGCGTGACGCACAGTCAGTACGCGCTGTGGGCATCTTTGGGGAAACACACCTCCATCGACCGCGGAAATTCGTATCGGTCCGCGATTATATGAAACCTCAAGTCGTACTCCCGAACAAGGTCGAAGAGATAGTCAGTCTCTTCCTTTGACCAATCTGGATCTGAAGCGTGTGTATTGAGTACATCGGACAGACTGGATGTGGCGGGGACAAACCTTCCAGATGTCGTTCGTATTCATCCTGAGAGTAGATGTACCAATTATTTTGGACGTTGTATTTTGCGAAGGCATATTCTACGACGAAAATCGATGACGAGATCAATAATTGGCCGAAAACATGAAACACACCAGCTTCTGGGTCAGAGTTTGCTTTAACCCAATGCTTTAATTGTAATCCATCACCTCGAGCTCCGTTCTTGAAGGGCCTCAATTCCCTACAACGACCGAGTGGATCAGAACAAAATTCCAAAGCAAGCTTCGGAAGCGCACCATTTGACTTTGCCACCACCTCCGAGATTTGGTTTCTGCTTCAATCGAGGCTTCGAGAGCTGTGCGGCAAGAGTCGAGGGGGTGGGCCCTATGAGCGAATACAGCTCGCGCGAGATGCCCTCCGGTTTCTTGGATGTAGTCTTCTTCTGAGACTGGGATTGTCCTGCATGGGAGGAGGCTGGAAGTTGCAGGATACTTCGAACGTCGGCTGCCGATGCTCCAGCCATCTCAACGAGCAGTGAGGGTCAGAGGAAGAGTAAATTTGGGGTTAGGGTTTGCGCCCTTCGTAGGCACAATACAACTTCATCGTCCTTCGTCCCAGCATGTCTCGCTTCCTCTCCCTCTCGCGGCCGTTGAACCGCCTTGCCATCGCACATAGAACACGGAATCTTCACTTCTCTCCGCTCTCGAGGAACAATGGTCGTTCCGGCGGCGGCCTCACCAACATACTTGCCGGGGAAGTCCCACCTCCTGTCCAAGTCAAGTCTGTTTCCTCCGCCGGGATTCACCTTCAGGATGGGCTTTTGCTTTCGTCCTCGTGTATTTTCCTGGAGGGGAAGGTCTTTCTGTGGGATGTCCCACCGACCCTCTGGCAGGGCTGGAGCAAGGAGAGATTCGAGCTGTTCGAGCTTGTGGTACCAAAGCCTGGTGGGTGAAAGTACAGGCCTTACATGCTTTGACTGAATGGTGTACCTCATTTTCATATAGAAATCCTCTTGCTGGGAACGGGAGAGACCGTGTCTCCGCCTCCTGCGCTCTTGAGACAGTATCTTGGCTCACTCGGAATACAGATCGAAGTTATGAACACTGTGGGTCCTTCCACCAGTCTAAACGCGCACCAGGGTTGAATGTCCGGGAACAGTGGAACGCTTGTACCACATATAACCTCCTCGCTGAAGAAGGCCGACGTGTTGCTGCTGCATTACTTCCCTTCACACCCCGACCATGGAAGGGATAATATCACCAGTAGCTGCAACACAGTCGATGATGGATCGAAGGCACGACAATCGAAGCATTGATATTATAGTACAGTGAATTACAACAGCTCAACTACGTGTCGTTGGTTCATTCTGGCAGTGCCTTTCGCTTGCCTTTCCCTTTGGGATCCACCACCCCCATCTCCATATCCTCTCCAAGCGGAGGAGCTTTATACGGAATTTCATCTTCGATGTCATCCACCGATGGGATCGACACCTCCAGTGGCGTTAGATATCCTGTCGGAATAGGTTTCAATAAATAGAAGTAGCCAGGACAGCGCCGGCGAGTAGAGAATGTGAGCGTCAGTCAGTGCGTTCGAAAGTGGGAACATGGGCTAAGCCCAATGAAAGACTTGCCATTCGCGTCTTTGAACCGTAAGAAGACGGAGTCCCAATTCATCACTACATCCTTCAATATTTGATGGTCCTCTAGTACTTCGTACTGTACAGGGCGTCCGCGCTCTTTCACCTCGCGGGCCACCGCGAAGTCATCGATTGAAGATGGAATGGGAACTTGTGCACCCTGAGTGACTTCTGCAGTTAAAGCAGATAGTATAGGGGCTTTGAGAGCATAGATGGAGGTGGTGGCGGGAGTGGCGATGAAGATGATGAGTTTATGAGTTTTAACGCGCAATTGGAAGGTTTTGGGTGGAGCGCGAGGAGGCTAGGCCAGAAGTCCAAGTTGAGAGCCTTCGCGTAAGTCATTGAATGAATTCTCACCATAGTCGTCGACGAGATCAAGGTAGAGATGCAAGCAGAAGCTGAAAGGAGCCTAATGATTGAACGCGACGCGACGCGGTGGTGTGACGCGTCATGCAGTACCTGGGGTCCTCTGCGCTTCAAGCGTTGCCGGACCTATAGGATCCTCCGAATACCGCTAGCGGCTGCTTCCGTCACACTTGCTCGTCAACTGGAACGATGAGCACTTTCCACGACGCATCGTCCTCGTCCCAACCTTTCAAGGACCCCACACCTCTTCCCTCCTCGGTGCCCAAGGTCGATGAACTTGGCACGACGAGCGGGCCGCTGAAGAGCGCTGCGTTCTTCATCGGGGCATATTGTAAGGATTACAATGGTGCGTGACGTTCAGTTAAGTTCTAGTCAAGTATATTTGTCTCCTAGTGTAGGGAGGAGTTCGCTGATTTATCATGACTTCTTGTTTTTTCTTCATAGAGGACTTCATGCTCTGCAAGGCGGAGAACAGGGATCCTGGTCATTGTTTGAAGGAGGGCCGCAAAGTGACACGGTGTGCGACAGACCTGTGCGTGTAACCATCATCCATTCCGTTCTATTTACCCTGACCAGCAGAAACACACACTTGAATAAACTATCAGCATCAATAAGATGCGTGACAACTGCCTGCAGCAGTTTGACGAGCACTGGAACTGCTTGGAGCTTAATAACCAGGTATGTAATTTTGATCTTTCAAATGCACGTTTCTCATCACTGGCCCTTTGATGCATTATATGGACGCCTGTTCACGTTGATTCTGCCTAGGATTATAAATACTGTCGCAAGCCGGAGCGTACACTCAACCAGTGCATGTTTGAAAAACTTGTGCGTCTCGTCACTCCTCAAAAAACAATGCTTTTCTCCTTTCGGTTCTAACGCGCTGTATCTTGTCCACCATATAGGGCCTTATGAAGAGCATTCCAGGTACGCCCACGGGCCAAACCCCGATACATGAAGTAGAGAAGCCTTTCTACGGACGCATGCAGAAATGAGCAATAGACATCGCTGGTCTCAGCGCTGGAGTTTTCCTTGATCTTCTGTGAACAGTCAATATCTGTCTCTCAAAGGCCTGAATTATTGTGCTCCCTCAATCAGCTCTAGTTAGACGCCCTTTAGAGCTAGCGAAGCCGACAGACGTTGAGCGCACTTCTAGTTATTTGTTTTCGCGCATGCAACCAAGTGATTGTGAGTGTGCAATGCGCGTATATCGTCCAAGAAGGACTTGAGAATCTATGGAGTCATCTATGTTAATCAAAGAAGCTACAGCCAAAATTCAATATTTCCTGGTCCTTGCGGACAGCGCTCGTGACCGCCGACGCGTTGAGTCTATGATACGCGTCAAACTGTTTGCTCCTCATGACGATACGGCCATCTCGAAACTTTCGTTATGCGTGCACCTCGCGGGTCTTTGCAACATCACAGACGCGCTCACTGAGCTCCCATCACAGTATATACGTCTCAAACTCGGTTAACCCTTGCTTCAACCTGACATTGGAAGACTGGTTCGTCCCTGCTCTCTTATCACACGGATGGTAGAGAGACATGAGAGGTCCTTAACGACGTTTCCTCCAGGCTGTTCAAACATAAATCACATAAGGAACCTTTGCTGCTGCTCTATCGCGACGACCCGTGCGTTGTCATCGGTCGGAATCAGAATCCATGGAAAGAAGTCAACTTCCCTGCCTTGCAGCGTGCGGACATCCCGTTCATTCGGAGACGAAGCGGTGGGGGGACCGTATATCACGTATGCTCCTTTTCCACGATTCTATCGGTGTAGATAGTGACACTCACCTGCTTTGTGCAGGACTCTGGAAACACAAACTTTTCAATACATCTTCCCCGCTCCCAGTTCGACCGCAACTCGACTGGCCAGGTTGTTTTGCGGGCCGTGCGCGCACTCGGAATCGATGCACGCCTCAATGACCGGAATGATCTCTGCGTAGGACCGTATAAGATTAGTGACTTCTATTACACATCTTCCTATGTGCCCACATATCCGCCATAAGTGCCAACATGATTGCCTCTACGTCTCAGGCTCTGCATACAAAATCGTCAAGGACCGCGCATATCATCACGGTACTATGCTCATTTCGTCACAACTCAACACCCTCGGCGATGTCTTACACTCTACAAAGGTAGATATGTTTCCGGGGACGATTTCGCTTGTTGTTCACATTGCTTTTAATAAGACTTCAATGGCCACAAAGGGGGTGGCTTCTGTCCGCTCGCCTGTACGAAATTTAAACGAATTCCGTCCGGACATTTCACACGAAGACTTCGTGGACGCACTAACACGAGCATTTCGTGAGCACTACGGTGTGGATAAACCGGTGTGTATCATGACCGTGTCATATGTATCTCGATTCTCACTCGAATGTAAACACCGTAGGTCTATACAGTCCAGGGTGATACCAATGACATGAACGTGGACGAGATTCGTTCGGGGATGGCAGAGCTTCTAGTGAGCGTCGTCCACGTATCGGTGTGCGGAACACTTTCTGACAGGTCCATGTAGAGCTGGGATTGGGCGTTTGGCCAAACACCAGAATTCACGTACTCGATACGTGGCCAATTTGCGTGGGGGAATGTGGTGCGTCGGTCCTGTACGCACCGGTACAGATTAATAGCTTATCAGGGAGGTTCACAGGCAGCTGAAATTCGCTCGAAGCATGGAGTTATTCTGTCTTGCACGTTGACACCGGATGATACAACGCTGAGCAAGAACCTGGACAAACTCGGCGTGGTGCTCGAAGGTCAGAAATATGGGAGTGTCTGTTCTGACCTGCTGGGCTCCGCAGAACAGCGACTAAGAGACGTTGCAGTGTGGCTGGAGCGGGAAATGAGGAGCTAGCGTGTACATAGATCTCGTTGAGAACTATCTTGGTTTGGTGGTGAATGGTCTAGAGGATGTTCGAGTGGAAAACAAGAAAACAAGATTATATGCGGGTGCTGTCTATTGCGCTTTCTGAGTGTACCATACGCTACTTGTTTCGAACCCTTCTGGCGCAACTGTATCAGACTACACCACATAGCATGTCAACGCCGTCTACGCCAGGATGTGCTTGCTAACTCACCTTCTGCCCTCGCACATGCCCTGTCAACCGCTTGTCCCTCTCCATCATCATTTCTTCCCAAGAATCGATGTGATATCGGGGGGCCTATCATTCGCATACAAGAATGAGTGCAAAATTTAGACGCGCCTGGTGAGGTGTTCGTGAGGATCCAGGATAGACCCACCTTGCCCAGGTTCTGTGCACGCTTAGAGACGTTCAGCAATGTTCCGGCGGCGCCAAACATGGTGGTGAGAAGGCCTAGGCGAGAGGAAAGGATCAGTGCATTAGGTGACTATCACAACAGTACACAGTTACCGAAAGGAATGAGAGCTTCCCATGGAACAGGCATGGTTATGGTGATACAGACGATTTGGAAAGACAGCAGTGTGTTCGAGAGGTCGATTACATAATACCGGTTGTCCACAGGTTGTTTTGATGGAGCACGGTGAGCGAATAATCCAGGAAAATGACTAGATGTTACAGCAACTATAGTATATCATAGATATATAGATATCGTGTGATCGAGAGCTATTGTATATTTAAGATGAGAATCAAAAGAGCATAAAACAAGACCTAAATCTACCAAGATCGTAAATAGTATTGTCGAAAATCCAACGCCGATAGATCTTTACCTCGAACTACCATCTCCCAGCCCTATATTCAGGTGAGAATGTACATATGATCACAAATATAGATCATTCTCATAACGGGATAGCGACCTCATCGTCGATTTCACCCTCGGCGTCCATGTCGAGTGAATCGTCTAGTTGCTCCGCCTCCATTGGCTCCGTGATACTCGTTTGGGTTGAGTTATCCATCGGCACAAGTGATAGAACTTGCCTACTTTCGTCTTCGTCAGCCATCATAACATCACTTTCAGCTGCTGGGAGATGCGATGGCAGGTGATCCGGTGAGTGAACTGGAGGCGGTGAATGACTTAAAGGTGGCAGGCGGACTACAGGGGGGTGAGATTGATCCTGCGACTCAGGCTCAGGCTCAAGCACAGGCTCAGGTCCCGGCGACTGCGCTGGCTCAGAGACCTCTAGGGGTTTGAATTGAATGACGGATAATTCGTCCATAGTGACAGGTGGGTTGCCCTCATTCGCGATGATCGTTGAGGGGGTAAGTAATATCGAAGTTGGTGAACTATCGCGTTCATGTTGAGTACGAGACGCTATATCTGAAGGTGGTGCCGCCGCTCTAGCATAGGGAATTTCCGGTGGTGATGTGGGTGTAGCCACATCCTGGCCCCTTTCTTTCCTGATCCACGAAGGCGTAGGTGGAGGTGTGTGCATCCGCTGTGTGTGCTCCACCACATTCAGAGTACTGGGAAGTGGGACTCGATCAGAAGATGCCGACGTCACCGACCGTAGAGCGATGGTAGACTTGATCTCATGTGCCTCCATGAGAGATTCGGCAGCTGCTCGTCCTCGAGTTCTGACACCCTGACTCGCTAGGTTATTCCGTGCACGCGACAACGTGCTGGAGGCCCTCAACCGTTCCGAGCCTGCGCTGTTCTCCCTCGCCTTCTCTTTCCCCTTTCCCTTTCCCTTTTCAGGGCCTCTGGTCTTCTCCTTAGAACTCGAAGCGGCAGCTTGATCAGCGAGTATATCCAATGCAGACCGCGTCCTGCTGATACTTTCATCTGTCCGTCCATGATCTGTGTCTGTGTGGCCAACTTCAGTGAGAGCTAGGCGGGAGAGTGATGCTGCTGTAGACGATCCCGCTAATCGTCTGCGTTTAGGTGGCACCGGGCTGGCCGCCTCTGCTGCACGACGCGATGAGGCCTTGTGGGAGGGCGGTGGTATTTCGTCATCCACAATATCATCTTCCTCGATCATGGATATAGACCGAGCTGCGGTGATCAATGAATCCAAAGGCGTGTGCGGGTTGTTCCGGGTTGCACGATCCGACTGTCTCTGTCTGGAGGCTTGCGGAGTCTGCGTTGCGGGAGTTCCAGGGGCTACCGGGAGTGACATGGGATGTGCCGAGCTGAAACCAGCACTTGAGCTAGGGCCATTGGTTGTTGCTCCGGCTCCTACTGGTTTCTTCGGTGTCTTGGGCATGGCAGTGGATGCGTCGTTTTCCCTCCCTTCCCGCTCACGGTCTATGCCAGAGGAGAATCCAGACAGGTAAGAAGCGCGCTCTCTGCCAATCCTACGCATGGCAAGTAGCAAGTGTTCAGATCGTGCGTTAGCAAGTGCAGTACCACCTTTCTTGTGAGTTCGAGGCCGTCTATGTTTTGAACTGTCATTGAAGACGTCTGTGTCGCGGCGCCGATAGTAATCGCCTCGTGGGGGTTTAGGTTTGGACACCGCAGCAGATCGCTCGGTCGCTCCATCAGCTTCTTCATCGGTGGCAGCGTGGTCAGGAAGAACAGCAGGAGGTGGTTGGGTATGCTTTCGCCGCCGAGAAGACTTGACATGGATATCGTTTTTAGACGATGGTCCAGCATTGTGGGAATAGGGATATGGGAAGCTATGAGTTAGCGCATAGGGCTGCATAAGGAGGATAGGTCGTAGTTGTGCTATTTCGCCTTCAAGGGACTGAAGTCTTGCGTGATATTCTGAAATCTGATATTTACGACCTGAGCAATGGAATGCAGATTCAATTACTTGGAAGACTTACTTTCTGGCGGAGGGCCTTATTATCAGCGTCAAGAGTTAGTACTTGACGTTCCAGTTCCTGTAGGATTGTAAGCGAGAAGAACAAAAGCAAGAAAAAATGAGTATACCTCTTCCCTATATGTTGATTCTCCGCCCCTACTTCTCCGTGCAATGAGAGCTTCGGCCTCTCGGCTGAAGTTGTCTCTCTCTGCCTCCCATCGTATACGTTCGTCTGCAAACTCCTTCGTAAGATATTCACGCTGTATATTGAGATCAAATATTGTATCTGCCTGCTCGTGCAGTTGGGTAGGATCGGGTATGTGATAGGAGGTCAAACGGAGGACCTGTGTGGCGAAAAGAGGGGTTAAAGATTGTAGATGATAGTACTGTGTGACCGGTACTCGCCATATCTGCTAGCTCTCGTTCGACAGGTGACATATTTGACTTGGCCATACTATGAGGGTGAATCTCTGTGAGGCGTTTCTTAATTATTTCGATCTGAGCAAGGTCAAGCGGCTCGGGAGATGTGCTCGCAGGGGGTGCGAGGGGGTCATCATCGTTAGGTTGTGGGGGACTAGGAGACATAGTGTGTATAATATCAGACAAGGCCAAGGCCAGGCCGTCTTGTGCCATGAGCCGGGTAGGGCGACGAGGAGAGGAGTCCTCTACGCGTGCGTCTGCCAGAAAGAAATGCCAATGGCGCACAAACAACACCAACGCGTTGCGTGCCAGCAGATCACGTGCGAGATAAAAGTTCCCACACTCGCCTCGTGCTTCATGAACGCGTTCTCGGCTCAGCGTCATCTCTCCGTCCAACTCATCACCGCACCAGCTTTCTCTGCCCTCGGGCTTGCGCGTTGTAATATTCCCGTGTTGTGCCATAATGGCAGTATCGACTCCCTTTCAATGCCTCACCCTCTCTCTCCTCATCCTCCCTCCACTTTTTCTAGCAACTTACTTCCTCGCGCAATTCCCGCACGCGCCGGAGGTCTCCTTCATACACCCATCTCTTGCCAGCCTCCCCCGATCGTCTAAGACATGGGAAATATACTCTGAGGATTTCTACGACGGCGGCGCGTACATCAAACTACCTTTCGGCACCGTATGTTGTCCACCCTCTACCTCAGTGAGTCGATTCACAAAATATGCTGGTGGTACGATTTCGTGTGTAGGTCCGCTATTGGTTGATAGGTCCTGAGAATGGCAAGAAGGTATGTAACCATGTGCAGAGACATGATCTCAGCTCCCACACATTACTTCCCTGTTCTGATATCACTGAAGATTGTTCTAATACACGGACTATCTGTTCCTGCTATGATTTGGAGGGACGTGGCGCCAGCGCTCGCGTCCAACGGCTTCCGCGTCCTTCTGTATGGTTCGCAAATCATCATATACATATGTTTAGCTCTCTAACTTTAGCGGCATAAAGACTTGTACGGACGTGGCTATTCAGATGCCCCTCAGATGACATACGATGCGCCCCTCTACGCCACGCAATTAGCTCTCCTCATGCAGCACATCAAGTGGGAAAAGACGCTCGTTGCGGGAGTATCAATGGTCAGTTCCCATATCTGACATATCGAAGGAGCAACCGACCCACACGTTTTCGTGGCTAATATTAGGGTGGCGGTATAGCCGCGGCATTTAACTCTTACTTTCCCCACCTAGTTGATGGCAAGATTGCCTTGATTGCTTCCGCTGGGCTCATAGAGGTATGGTCCTACAGCCCATATTTCGTACATTCCGACCCATGCTTCCGACGTAGTCAAGTGACATGTCTCGGACATCAAAATTCATGTCTTCCCCTCTTGTTCAAACAGTCACCTCAAGCTCTCCCTTCCGTGTGAGTACTTCACTTCTACGCTATCTGTATAAGGGTCGCAAGAGCCGCTGATATGCGGGCGCTCGATCAGTTTTATCTTCAGCGCCTAGCAAACTCATCGTACGCGGACCCAATATATGAGGTACGTTTTCTTCAGCAGTAGATAATCATTTCGTGAATATTTACTGCTTAATTCTCCGCCGATCATGCTGATGGATCCCAAAGGTCGTTCGCCTTCAATCAGCGCATCTACCCGGATACAATGCTGCCCTTGCCTCTTCCTTGAGAGATGGTCCCATCCGCGGTCTATCCTCTGCTTTCAAAGAGATGGGTGCATCAAACCATGACGTACTCCTTATTTGGGTATGGTTGTCCTATATTCCTTACTACTCTGATTGACGAGTATTACCTTCGCACTCGCTTAGGGAACTGCAGACAACACAGTCCCATATAAATATGCTGCTCAAATGCAATCCCTCGTACCACAATCCGAGCTGATCACTATCCAAGGTGGGGGACATGATCTCACGGTATCTCACTCAGAGACAATCAGTGTCGCCCTGGTACGCTTCTTTCAACAAAATAAAAAATAATCCATCTCCTCCAAGCTCCCGAGGATACCATATGGCGTGGATCCTTCGTGTACACACACCCTAAAGACTTTCCCGCCTCGTCACACAACATCATTCATTTCCCTTCGCTCTCTTCGAACTTTGCATGTTACAATCCACTCAAGTTGTAATCTCAACCCTTTCTGCATCACTATCAAGCCGTCTCCTTGTAAATCCATGCCCCCATTCCCATCTGCATACCCGTTCACTCACCAGTCTCGACTGCATGTTACCTTTCCACTGTCATCTGACCTTTTGTCGTGTCACCTCTGCCATCTATAGTACCCAAATTACGTTACGCTGTTCCATTTGCTATCTGTGTTCGTCGCCTTCCGGACCCATACCCCGGACCCATACCACAGACTTATTAATGTTGTCCCATCACTTTTGCTCGTTTTTGGGCGTATGGATACCTTTTCTTCAGAAGATCAGTTCTTTCTGTCCGGTAGAAGTGAGGTTATACTTCGGCAAGAATCCTGCAGGCACTTAACACGACGGCTATCCACGTCGACCAGTGTCAAGAGGTCATGGCATATTCGTACACTAACATTTCTACAGTACATATCTGAACTCCCTATTCTGTCTATCTGTCAGATCCAAGAATTCCTTTACAATCCGCCATCAGCGTCGACAACAAGTAGAAATCGAGAGAACAGCTGACCTTCAGAACCTTGACTTCCACTCGAGACCCGTCTTCCATTACTTTCTCAACGTACACATCCTCATAAGTATCATCGTGGGGCTCGTTATCCCGACGCTTGTTTTCGCGTGAGAGTAGAAGACGAATTGAATACATCAGCAACATGCAAGCCAGATAGCAGACGCCGATTATGATCCACGGAACGCGATTTCTACATCAAGCAAATTAATACCTTCAACGAGAGGTGGCGAGCTGGTAGCCTGGGCTCACCTGGGCTTGTACCTTGCCTGCCACATGAAAGGGCCGGCGGAGTTGCCGATGCAATAAGCAGAGAGCATGATGGCGTTGGTCGTGATCTTCTTAGTATGGCCGGAAGTTGTTTGACCGACCCAGGCAAGCGCCAACACAAATCCAGTCGTCCCAACACCTGTGATATGCACGGCGAGCTCTTAGGCATCAGATCCAGTGAAGGCAACGACCACGTACCAGTGAGCCATACACTAAAAAGTAGTCCAACCTTGTGACTCCATGGCAAGAGGCTCACCAAAAGACAGCCCATGATATTCGGGATGAAGTATATAATCCCGACCCAGGCTCGGCTGTTAGGCATACGAGAGGCAATTTTGACGCCGGTGAAGATCGTGAGGATCTCGACCACTCCACCCACGCATCCCAACAACGTCGTTTGTAGGTTTGAAAACCCGAACTCGGTAATAATGATGGCGGTCTGGTTAGTCAGAGAGTTTGGGACGTTGTCCAGTGCAGCGAAGAGTGCAAAGAGCCATGTCTTTGGATCCATGAAAGCTTCATACATCCTGAGATTGGTCAAGCGCATGATTAACCTTGTGAGCTAAATGGGGTCACCGGACGTACTGCTCCTTCTTGAAATGTTTATTCTCGACACCTGTTTGATTCTCCTTGATGCGCAAGACGGCCTTAGCGCGCTCTTCAGAAGTCAAAAACCATGCATTCGTTGGCGAATCAGGGAAGAAGAAAAAGAAGCATGCAGAAGTGATGAGGGTTAAGGCTCCGGTGATGATCATGAGCCTGTTCATATTCTTAGAATAGGCTGCTGAAGCGAGACGTGGGTATGAGGCATACCATTGCCATGGCTCAAAACCACTGGTGTGAATATGAAGTGATCCAAAACTGAGGAACCCGGAGATGATCTGAGCGGTCCCATTCATGAGGACTTTTCGGATCATTATTAAAATTGTTGACATCATAGACTCGTAGACGTATCAAGAAAGACGTACACCAGTATCCAACTCGGACTGTTTGTTCGTTGCGAGTATAGAACATGGAGCTGACGATCATAAAACCGGCCGTAATGGATCCCTCGCACGCGCCAAGGATCAGACGGACAATGAATAGCCCGGCAAAGTTCTTGCAGGCAGCGTGAGAGCAGAGGGCGACACCCCAAATGAAGATGTTGCAGCTGTGTGAGGTAATGCTCAATCAACGAAGACCTTGAACAGACCCGGTCCAAATACCTCATCCACTTGCCCACAGGGAACCGTTGGAGGGCCAGATTCTGAGGATACTCGAAAACCAGGTAGCTCAGGTAGAAAATGGTTCCCAACCAATTGTACCTATATTAGGAAAAAATGTTTCCAACCTCAGGAAGTTGTTCAAAGTCCGTCCTTATCGCCAACACATACTGGTTTGTTGTCAAATGGGTTGCCGTGCTGGATTTCGAGACCACAGAACGCGTCAGTGGAGGACCAACACAAGACCAAGTGGAACATACCGAATGCCCAGAATAGCAGAATTACCCAAGGTTGTTTTGTCCATGAACTGGATCCAGTAAAGAACTAGTAGGAGCGATATGTTAGTTGTCGAGGACAAATGTGAGGAAGCAAACGTGACCGCACGTACCACACATTAAAGGCAAGATATGCATGTCGATCTTTCGCCTTATGGACGGCGGTGATGAGAATATACTACTCGTAAGAGTACTAGCAAGCTCGCACACCGGATTCGCTCCCCTTCTGTGGCATCCAGCTGGACAGAGTCGCCCCCGGCGAGCAGAGCGGCGCCGGTATCGATCTCCTTCAAGAAAACAGCGACACCATGGTCTTGCTTCTCGTCTTTCTCGTTGCTGAAGGAGTCCATGATGTGGGGGACCAGCGAAGGAGATAGAGGGAGGCGACTGACATCCAATGTGATCCGGTGACGTTTATGAAATCTCACATTCAACAAGTTATCAGTTGAGAAGCAGAAGCTCCAAGGCACACATCCACCTCGAATAGGTCAATCAAATATGGAAATATCACTCCGCTCCGGTGAAAGGGAAGATAAGGCGATTTACGGAAGCCCGTTGTCGCATCTCATCGGTCAATGGAAGATGTAAGATGGTCGTTGTGAACGAAGCGACGTCGACTTGTTTCATGACACGTTGGAAATGCTTGTCAAAGCGTATCAAAGCGAGCGAGCTGTCGAAGGGACAAACAAAATGTCAGAAGGCATGCCAGCTCGCGTTACCCGCAGGTCACCACATCTATTGTAAGTAGGACCCCGTGAACCACGGCGTGGGCGTAGTCGATCGGCCACGGAACAGATCTCAGATCAACAGAGTCGGAAAATCGTCTCAGATTTTGCAACACCTGAGGCGAGCTTAGGCGACGGCCAATCGAAGCAGTATCAAAGCCAATCGAGCCTTGGGAGGCCTTGGGTGACCCTAGATGACTTTTCCACAGGCACTCGTTATAATTTGTTATCGCTCCCCCATTATTTCGTCACACTGTTTGACCGCACCTTATCATCTACCCTTCAAGTCTTAGCCTGTCTTAGCATGGTCCTACAATGCATAACATCAGAGCAGCGAACACACTGCAATTAATTTGAAGACCGAACTAGTCACTACTGGCAAAAACTTGAGCTCAGACGGACGGCATAAACCGATGGAGACACCCCATCATTCGCAGATACGAGGCTGGAGAGGCGGACGCCCCTTTGCCTCTGGGCCCTACGAATTGCTTCAGATTGTCCGACGCACAACCGGCCCTGTAACTTTCCAAATATTTGACCAGGGCGACGGTCTTCATTCCGCTCAATCGGCCGATTTCTTCGATCAGACCTCTTTCATTCTTGTCGAAATGCCCAGACGCAGACAAGTGCTCGTATATGCCGAGGAATGTCTGTGCACGACCATTGGATGTCAAGAGATGAGGGTGAACGAAGTATCGGTACGGCCTCGACAGGAACGCGATGCGAGCGTCGGTCACGGCGAGCTGCGTGGATGGGTTTGAGAGATCGAGGCCGATTCGTGGTGATTTGAAAATGTGAACACCATCGGTTGAAAAATTCGGGCCCTCGCATTCCATATTTTTGAAGTAAATCAATGCCTGCTGGACTGCAGTGGGACTGCTAGAGGGAGACAAGGGAAAGGCAGAGATGTTGCCACACCACTTCGTCTGCACTAATTCAGCTATGTTTGATGATTGGGTTCTCTGTAAGAGCTCGTCCACCAGTAGCGACGGGCCGGAGATTACACGCGAATCCGATGACCTCCTTATCGAGCGGAGGAGCACTCCACCTCGAATATCTTTAGATGAGTTGCTAGATGATTGTGCCGCCTTATCGAAAAATCGAGACGTTAGCGGAGGGCCTAGAGGTATCTGTGAACCTAGAGTGAGATCGAGGCCTTTTCGTGTGCCTCCTCTATAACCGCCTGCAGCAGAATGACTGGCAGTATCAGGTCGTGATGAAGAGACGAATGCAGCACGACGAGGTGCTCGGTGAAAGTACCTGCAGACGCATACATTGAACCATGAAACCTTCTGCCAAACAAAAGGGAAATCATAACACATACCACTGGCCAGGTACCCGTTGCTCCTCGTTCCCGTGAGTAAATGCATCCTCATGAGACCCTGCCTTGAACAAGTAGAACTCTATTTCCAAGATCTCATACTCTTCAGCTACAGCGGAACGGGCGTCGATATTGTCTTTCGAGCTCGAACTGGAAATAGGCGAATCTGACATTTGCACGACGAGTCGGACCCGGGACAACAAGTATGATGCAATGTCGTCAAAGCGCGCTGAGATTTCAGCCAGCGACTCCAGAGAGGGTGCCGAGAAGTCCAGGAGGGTATAGAGGTCTGCGTCTCGCGAAAGCGCAATGTGCTGGGCCGTACCTTTGAAGAGTGAACATGAGCGTTCGGTGCGAAGACCCAACTACGAGTCAGTTTCGAGGATTTTTGGACTCTGTATGGCCTATCAAGGCGTACGAACCTTTAACTTCCTCACGTTTTTTCTTCTTCACCATCTCATCTCTGAACCCGGCACGTTCGCCTTCATTTGCATCACTCCGAGGTCTCTTGGGCATCACTAGAATTGGTGTAGGGGCTTGTAGGGGCACCGTGACCGTCCCTACCGTGGCGCCGCGCCAATAAAGTTGGCGTACCGTCCTCCGTAAACGAGGTGGGCGATTACATAGTCAGCGCGGCACAGGAGTCAGAGATGGATGTGGGATGTGGAATAGCCATCTATGCAGAGGCAGAATTTAGTCTGCATTTGGATCCCTTCTTTCAACTGACCACTTGGAAGCTTCCAAATCAGCCTTTCAGTTGCTTCCAGTTATACAGACATACTGGCTGCACGTGTATTTTTATTTTATTTTATTGATAACAAAACGCTACGCATGAGTGTCATGAATTATAGATGATGGGGGTACGAGGTGCTATTACTCCCCTGGCGACTTACCGTTTTCTGCGTATCTCTTTGCTTTCAATTGTCTGTACCGTTGAATGACGTTCTCCCTCTCCCTCTCCATCATGGCCCGTTGCGCCATCGACAGTACACCCGCACCCTTCCCTAGTCCATCGCCTACTTTGGAAGCACCGCGGGGCAACGTCTTCAGCTCAGGTGGGGCCATCGCAATGTCATTCAGACGTCGCGGTGCGGATGTGGAAAGCTTGGTGAACTCGGTCGCCTTCCCTGCGTGTTTGTTCGACGGCGCAGGGGCGGCGCCGGTCTCCTCGTCCGCAAGCTCTTTGCCTTTCCGTTTTTTGTCGTTGGTCGTTGGATGCGGTTCGGGAGATTGCGCGCGATGCGACGATTTGGACGATTTGGACTGTTCTTTCTCCGTTTTTCGCATTTGGCGCTCCATGGCAGAGGATGCCTGCATGGCCGAGCGAACAAGAGGCCTCATGTCATCTTCGACCCGTCTGGAAAGATTGCTTCAGTACAGTCGGGGCCTTTTTGCAAGGACAGGCATGAAGATGCAGAGTGTAAAAGGGGAATAATGACTGACCGGTTGAAGTGTGCCAGTGACTCTCCTGGTTTGATTGAAATCCTTTTCTTCTCCGAGCCTAGTCCTTGAGCTGTATCCTCCCCGCCATTGGACTTTCTCCGTTTCTTAGTCGGGCCAACATCTTCGCTGCTCGCGGCAGCTCTCTTCTTCTCCTTGAAGTCCCCTCGTATTTGTGCTGCATTGAGTATCCGAGAAACTGATTTTGGGATGCCCTCGGTAGACACGCTCCCAGAAGGTGCCAGGTCTTGGCCTCTAGCAGATAATCAGAACAGAGAAAAAAAGCGTGAAGATCATTGTGCCGTGTACTTCTTGTCCGCCTCTCGCTCTCGGATCGAGCGTTTCGCGCGTTTGTGAGGCATGGTGGTTTTTGCTAAAAAGGCACGATGATTGAGCTGGTCAGTTACGTATACATCCTCACGCAAACTGAGTTCGTGTGAAGTTCCGCGTGACTGCGTATAATGCTTGCTGGGACGTGCATGCCTCTCCTGCTGCCTCATTGCGGGCGGGATAAAAGCAATCTCAGCTACGACTCCGTACCCTTGCGCTCTGAGAAGCATGTCTGTTCTTGTCTTCAAGGACCCTACACCTTCTGAGACGAATCCGCCGCCATCGATCACAACGTCTACCGCTATTATCCATAGTATATACGACCCGAGCTCCATCCCTCCGAAGCCGAGTGAGGGCAATTGGACGCGATTCGTTTGTATCAGCGACACACATCAGCATGTATTCCCAGTGCCTGACGGTGATGTGCTGTTGCATAGCGGTGACCTCACTGGAACTGGGACGCTCAGAGGGTTCAAGATCACGATGGATTGGCTATATGGGTTGACCCATCCGCTGAAAATGTAGGCATCTGTACGGGGGGCTGTTTTTTTAGCGTGCTCATAGTACTCTACACAGCATCATTGCAGGTAACCACGACCTTACTCTGCACGAACCGTGGTATGAAACTAGTTTCTACAGATGGCATCAGAGCAAAGAGGTTCGACTGCTATCAACCTTACACGTTGCGCAATACTTATCACATAAGCTCCAGAATACGACCGCTATTCGAGATCTTGTGAGTGGGGAGGCTGCACGAAGGGCTGGGGTCGTCTATCTCGAAGGCGAGACATATGATTTTCAAACCCATGATGACGGGCGGATTTGGACCGTTTACGGTTCTCCAGTTCGTACTCGAAAATCACGTTCAGATGTGATGTTCCTGATCAACCTTGAGCAGTGGTCTCCAGATTTCTTCAACTGGGCATTCAATTACGATCGGGGTCAAGATGCAGATGGTGATCATATCTGAGCTTTTTGCTTTGCCCTCTTCTGAAATCCTCCAATCATGCTAGAGTTGGTTGCGAAGTTTCCAAAGACGGACATCTTGTAAGAATTTTTTCTTTTCAAGGTTATCGGTGTCTGATACATTTTTACTTCCAGGTTGACCCATGGCCCTCCACATGAGATCCTTGACAAAGTCTCCGATGGCCTTAGTGTTGGATGCGAATCGCTTCGCGCGCGCCTCCCAGAACTGAGGCCTCGGCTCCATGTCTTTGGCCACATACACGAAGACCACGGTGTTCAGGTTGGCGAATGGGCCTCGGCTTCTGATCTCGAAAGTTCGACATCAGGACAGACTACAGACTTGGATGGAGGTACCGAACGCACCGTATTTGTGAACGCGGCCAATTGGCCTGCAGGAAGACGGATACAGACCGGCGAACGGATACCATTTGCAGGCCGAGGTTTCCAGCCCGTGATCGTTGACTTGCGCGATGATCCATGATTTCTTGCCCTGCGATTCGTTCTGTGCTCTTATTTTTCCATTGTCGTAGGAACTTTGCCTTGTACGGTGTCATCGACGCGTCTGTGATGTCATAAGATCCCGATGAGGTTAGAGAACGTGCACCTTGTTCTTTTAGGGCAACCAGGCGCTCTCTTCTCCCACTCGTCGTTCCATAGACTGCCATGTTGTTGCCACTCTCCCAACTCTGTCGCCGCTCCTACCGGTCGTTCCGCTTGGCTCGCGCCCCAATCAGCTTTGGATCACATGCGCATCTTTACCCACGAGAAACTCGGCCCGTCTCATCCACATTCGCCGTCTACAACAACGCCTCGAATGGGTCGCAATCTGGGCGTGATAAGCCGATCGAGCACACCACCGATACCTATACGAAAGACGAGTTTATACCTTCTTCGGACTCGTCCGTACATCAAGTCGACAGCAACTCGGATGCCGTGCAGCGCCCTTTCGAAGCGGTTTCAGGGAAATGGAGTCGCGCGGGAACGCAGACAGAGGAGTACAGGCATGTCGACCACGAAGAACCGTATGATGCGCCGGCGGAGGACGGCGAGAAGGTGAAGGGAGAGAGGCTGCGGTATGGTGGGAAGGAACAATACGGCCGGGAGAAGGCGCCTGAGACGAGTCAGCCCGACGACGGTCCGCAGGGAAAGGCCGCGGGTGGGCGCAAACCGGAAGGCAGAACATGAAAGTCGAACGAATTGGCCATGGGCCAGCGGTAAGGGTGACGATTTGTGCCCAGTCTGTTTAGGCTTATACCCAGATACAATTCCGTTACTCACGGTCGTCAGGACATGGAAAGGGGGAGCGAGGAGCGACTGTACGAGTACGAAGTGGGGAACTTCAAGGGCGGGCCTGATGTATTTTTTTTGCTGCCGTTCACCGTTTGTAAAATACGCGACACAATGGGTATAAAGGCGCCACAGGAATATCCTCTGGATGTGTGCATGAGTACCATATTCCACTAATATGCCTCGCGGCACAAGGGATCGAGTCACGTGAGGACGATCTGCACCTGCGATTTCGACTTAAATTGTGCGCCTCGCCCCCTCGATCTCCGCCATGTCCGCAGAAGCTACCCAAGAACCACCGCCCGTCAAGCAGCCGACGCCTGCTCTCCAAGTGCTCTACTGCGGCGGTCAGATCTCCGCTCCACCGCCTTTGCATCCGCTGACCCGCCGTCCGGCTGGATGCAGTGTGCACCTTCCCCCCAGAATACTGCGAATTCGGGTCGAGCCTCACCAGGTGCAAGGAGTGGCTCAACGAGAGTCACCCAGATCTGTACCCAAAGTACTACTCGGATGGTGCGTTCCTTCGATGTTCGTGGTCTTCCGTTGCCTGCCCTTTGGTGCCGTGGGATTCATCTCATGACCGTTCGTTTGCTTCAGAGGCTCTTCAAGCTAAGGTCGGGACGCTGAGCCTCGAGGCTCAGACCAAGCTCGAGAAGGAAACCGCAAAGAAAGAGGCCAAGGCGGAGGCCAAGGCCGACGCGGAGAAGAAGAAGAAACTGGTGCGATCTCTCACGCCGATCGCCTCCTGCGCTCGCTGATCGACGCGAATCTCCCAGGCATCTCAAGTGCGCTCATCTGCTCATCATGTGCTCTTATCGCTGATTTTATTTGGGCTGGCTACGACAGGTGGTGATTAAACGCATCGAACGGAACAAGCGCAAGTTCGTCACGTCGATCAACGGGCTGGAGGCATTCGGTACGCTTCTCCGAATCGTTTGTCGCATTCGACAGTCGTTCACTATTCCGCAGGCATTGATCTCAAGAAAGCGGCCAAGCTCTTCGCGCAGCGCTTCGCGACTGGCGCATCGGTCACGAAGAATGCAGCCGGAACGGATGAAATCGTGGTGCAGGGCGATGTCTCTCAAGAGATATTCGATATGATCGATGAAGCCAACGAGGAGAGCAGTGGCGGAGGGAAGGGCGGGAAGAAGGGTCTGGATGTTTTGAAGGGTGTAGTGATAGAGAATGTGGATATTGTTGAGGAGAAGAAGAAAAAGAGTAACGAGTAGTCTTTTAAAAGAATCATCGTGTGGCAGGTGTAACAACACCGTAGCTTGTAATCAATAGGTCTGACGAACGAACGAACGAACGAACAAACGTGTGCTTTGACTTGATGGTCAATCCGACTTGAGCGTTCTGCGTTGGAAGGATCACGATGGCACGGATAATGACAAAAGAATGTTATTCGGCATGAGAGGCTGATGATACATTGATACTACTTCGGTGTGGACATGCTCTAGTCAGTACGGTACTATTCGTGCAATTATAACCAGGGTACGGCGTTGATATAGATAAATAAGATATAATTAACCAAAAGATCTAGAGCAAACAGATCTAGAGCACGGGTTTCCAGAGCAAAGGTCCGACTATAGTGTCAAGTGTGTGGGGTGATAATTTCCGCCTGCCAGTGAATGCCGACGTTGACCAAGGAGTTGACGACGTTGACCAAGAAGGTGCCGACGTTGGCCAAGAAGGTGCCGATGTTGACCAAGAAGTTGTGGATGTTGACCAGATCCAAGATGCTGAAGATTCTGCGACTAGATTCCATGACGCAAGACTTCGATATCTTCAGTGAGATCGGCTTGCCAGCCGTTGTCCGTCACGTTGATGAACGACACCAGAAAGGTCTCGCCCAGAGGCGGGCGGCTTTCCGGGGTCGTAATTGTCGTCTCTACGTAGCGAGAAAAGCATCTCGCGAACTCATGCGCTAGCTGCGCACGAGTGATCCTTTTGGCATTCGGGATGGGATATTCCTTCGCCTGGAACCCAGGCCACTGTCGGCAAGTTAGTCAAGGTAAGGCTGGATGTCTCGAAGCTATCACATACACTTATAATGAATTGAGCCGTCGTCTCTTTCGTCTTGAATGCTAGTGACGCGCCGTCCAGCAGCGCGCCGGAAAACGCCAGTGATCCCGCCAACAGTTCTTGTAGGGGGACCTCCTCCGCCCACGAGTACAAAATGCAGTCGGGGTCCTTCTTCAGCCTGCCACGAGAGCCTTCAGCGACACGCATCGGGAGTCTGACCCGACTGGATCTAAGGTGCTCCGGGGAATTAATCCTCGACGGGGTGCACGAAAGGCTCGAAGTCGAGGAGGAGGAGGAGGATGTGTGATACATGGACTAACTGTACAGATGAAAATTAAAGAAGAGTTGTAGTTGTAACAGAGCAGACAATCCGTGAACCCTTTTTATAAGCCCCATAGCGCCTCATAAAACGGGAGAAACTCAGCGATAGTATTTGTGGACAGTCAAAGCGAGCCACATTGTAAGGCTGGAATAAGTCACGCAGTGGCATGTCACTTGCCAAAGCGGCCAAAAGGATCGCTCCGCGTGTCTTCCGGTGGTGCATTCCTTCTTGCCTGCTTCAATATACTGCACCCAGGTGCACCGGGAGACATAGGGTCGATGCAAGCTTGTAGCTCGACGCCAGTCGGTGAGAAGCGTCCAGAGGAGCGTCCAAGGGAATAATATTTTGAGAATTTGACGAGGAGAAGCACCATATGCGGACCGGATGATCGGACAGAGGAACCTGTGCATGCAATCGGCGGGTGGCCAAGTATGACCACCGTACCGTCCAAGGGCCGCCACATTCATATGGCATGACGTGGATGTTGTGACCGAGCCACGGATCGGTAGTTAAATCCTGAACGCATTAAAGGGATAAAAGGATATACCCGGGCGGGTGATCGTGATACACCTGTTGGATCTCGTTGTTGAACCACACAAAGCGCCACGGTGGCCACCCTCGCGACCACCACCCGGGAAGGCCATAATTTGTGGCTTGGTGTCAGATGGCGCACCGGCACCCCAGCGGGCACCCGTAGATGCTGACCGATGTGACCCAAGTAATCGCATGATCCATTGTGAGGTGGACAATAGGGAGGTATAAATCTGAGACAGAAGATGGCGGCACAGAGGTGACAGAGACAGACACGGAGGCAGAGGCTGCGAGATGATTTGTAAGCAGTCTCACACGGAGCCATTATTTCGGATAAGCCTTAACGTGGGTTAACTAAGCCGACTAAGTTTTTGGGAACGTGTTGTATGGGCCTTACAGCATATAAATGGAATAACTCAGACAGCACAGAACGCTACAGAGCGGCAATCGCGAAGGCAATCATCATATATATATACGGTGGACGCTCACTCTCCGAACCCGACAGAGCCAGAATCAACCAACGTGCAGTCGACGATGGGAGCGGTCACGCTTGATGGTCGGTGGGACAGAGACATTGTTCGACATCGTCGTCGAAAGAGGCGACAGCAGGTGGCCGACAGATGCAATGGGAGGCGTTTCCTCACTTATGAACAGAAGGCAGATGCCTGTTCTCTTCGATCATCACAATTATCCTAGAGAGTGTGTTGAAAGACTGGGGCACAACATCAAGGAGAATTCGGGAGCAGTGGCCTAATGATTCGCCACCTCATTGCACGTCCATAGCAAGCCTGTTCTATTTCTCAATCATATCCAGCACTACATGTTCTAACGAGGGGATACATCATGGCTTGAATGCATTCCAGGCATCGTTCAGACTCCCGAACACTCCGTTCGCGACCATTCGCTGCTCCAGCGTAGTATTTTTCACGTTTAACTGATGAACACAAGATATCAGACGCAATATATGACGTACGGCCGACAAACCCACCTTATCAGGATGTAGCTTCGCGATTGCTTTGGTATACCTGATCTTCACCTGATTTGGGGTCACCAATTCCGCCATGCCGACCTTTTGCCATCCCAGCTCCGGCCAGAGCACAGTGTCCAAGCTCGCAATCAGCGCGCGCAGATTCGTCTCCTTGCCCTGCTTCCACGTTGCTAGTCGCGCATCGATGGAATCCTTCAGCTCGTAACGCGCGTCATCTTCGGCCTCTGCGGCCTTGTTCGCCTGTTGCAGTCGGTTGAGCGCGGCAGAGGGAGGCGTGGGACGCTTTTGCGGTGGTCGCCGAGGCACTTTCGCTAGCGAGGGAGATGGACGGGCATTTGTGCCAGAGTCGTCGCCGGGATCAGATATCAGCATCTTGCGACACCTTGCGGCGCCGCTCACCGCCTCGCTTCTCAACCTGCCCGCAAAATCTACGCTGGCGATCGCTTCCCAGTCCTTCCGCGCGAGGTCCCACTTCTCTCTCCCTTCATATGCCTCCGCACGTCGTTTCCATGCCTTGACGAGTGCATCCGCAAGATCAACAGTGGCACCCTCATCCTCCTTCGTCAGCTTTGCCTCTCGAGATGGGTGGTAGGATGGCCCGATGACGCTGATCACCGTTGTACAGTCCTCGATCGCTCCAGACGTGTTCCCTGTTTTCAACCGGGTCAAGGCACGGTTATTGAGGAGTGGGATGAGGAGGATGTGGGAGTCCGGTAGTTGAGAGATGGCAGAGGAGTACGCGGACTCGGCTTCTGCGAATTGTCCGAGCTTAAACGACTCCGTCCCTGTGACCTTGTATTTTGCGGAGGCTGCTATGGCCGAAGGTGTCGCTGAAATAGTTTGTCGCTGAACCAAGCGGATTGGAGAGGGTGTACGGGGTGGCGCAGACTTGTATGCAGGAGGGGAGGGAGCAGCAGCTGGGGGCTTTCCTCTCCGAAAGGGTGATATATATGCCTTGGGGGCATCGTCACTGAGGAGATCCTCCGTGTTGACGTGGGGTTGTGGTCTGCCCTGCGCTGTTGGACGTTGCTTTGAAGGCCTCGAAGGAGGGCTTTCAACATTGTCATCGTATATAGATTCCGTTCTAGATCCCGACCCTCGTCGTCGCCCAGATTCTTCCACGTCTAATGAATCCTGCATCCATTTGGGACGCCCGTCCGATGTGGGACGGTTCGCGCTACCTGCACGAGCTGCCGCGGCCCGTTCCTCATATGCCTTCTGAACCTTCTCTTTGCTTTGATTCCAGAGAGCGTTGGCGCGATTGAACATGGTCAGCCCAATCTCGCTAGCCTGCGCAATGAGCTTGTCAGCATGTTGTTGATAATTTGCTTCGGGTGGCTCCTGAGAGGGCCGTGTGCGGGCGGAAGGTCTGCGAGGCATTTCTGGGCGAGAGCTTTCGTGAGGCGTCGAATCCTGATTGTCTGCATCGCCGTACCGGTCAGCCGGCCGCTCCCGTCGCCTAGGACGGACTTCAGGTGGTTCTGCGGAGTCGTCGGTGGCCCCCGCACCGTTGGAGAGCAACGTTTCAAGGGCGGCTTGTACATCAAGGCCTGTGTCGGTGGCCGCTAATGCTACACGTGCTTGCTGGGGCGAAAACCCCATCTCCACGATCTGACCAATTACATGAGGAGGAGGTGACGAGGCTCCGGTGCGGTGCCCGTTACGCTGCGGCAATGGCGCCTGAGGACAATGAGCACTATTATGTAAGGATGTGAAGGGGCACATACAAGAGGAGGTTGGCTCTTGACCACAGAGTCGGCAGGTTTCGCTAATTGTCCAAGAATATCGTCGTCATCAGACGAATCGTCTTCTATAACCCCGTCCTCTCGATTGCCAAAATCAAAGTCTCCTAACGGAGTAGTTCGCGATGGACGGGGGTCAGGAGAGTGCCGTGAGGGGGCGAGAACGCCGTGTGACTGTGAAGAGGACTCAAAGTTGTCAAGATCCCACAATGATCGTGGCAAAGCTGTAGGGGATGTTGTCTTGACAGCGGGTGGCGAAGAGAAGCCTGCAAGGCCCCAGTCATCGTCTACAACGGGAGACGGTGCAGGCTGTGTCAATCCTTTGTTCGGTACCACCGCTCCGAATAACCAATCGTCATCTGGTGGTGAAGTGACCGAGGATTGAGGCGGTGAGAGACTCAGCGTAGAACCCTGAGCCAGCGAGTCTAGACCGTCCCAAGCGGCTGCCTGTAGCCTCGATTCTTGCTGTTGTCTCAGCAAAGCCGCGCTCCTCTCCCTTTCCGCACGCGACGCCCGTTCGGCCATGCTCAGGTTGACATGACCGGAAGTCCCCGTGAATGTGCCCGACAATAGCTCGCTAAAGGCATCCCCCTCTGTGCCCTTGGAGGTGCCTGGGTTCGGTGTGGTCCTTTGATTCGACAACGAGGCAGCTGACGGCGTGACGGGTCGCGGACTGGCGGACGCGGTGCCGGAAGATGCCAGTAAGGAAAATGCATCATACGTTGGACGTCGATTCGACGCCCCATTGTGAGGAGCGGTCGCCGAGCCCAACCTTTGAGGAGGCTGGGGCGGCTTTGTCGAGACGGATGAATTCCAAAGGTCCGCAAACGAGTCCGACATAGCACCTCGATGGTGTGACTCCCGGAGTGTGTGATAACGAATCACAAATGCCTAGTGGTAGAAATGGAGCGCGGAGCCGCTGTCCAGCGCACGAGAGGCCTTGAAGATGGAGGATGATAGAGTCTGACGGCGGATGTCGTCGTATCGACGGCCAGTTGAGGTGATGCTGCTGGACTGGAAGGTCGTCAGATCTCAGATCCCGCATATAACCCTAACCCGCGTTCATCCGTCGTGCCCGCCGCCCGACTGCCGCCCGCCGGCTGCGAGTCCTCGTTCGCGTCTGTGCAAACGTCGACCCCCATTCTTCGGTCTACATCTACCCAAATCGGGTGCGCACGTTTCTCTCCCGGTCTGGGTGAGCTGAACGGCACTCATTTTACTCCCACGGCAGATCGTGTTCACGTAGACTGGGTGGCTACCCTTGGCGGAAGACCCCCCTCCCCCCCACTCTCCCCCCTCTCCCACCCTCGATATTTTCCCCAAGGACCCTTTTTATGAAGACAAACATATACATGGATTACTAGAATCTCAATTCAGGATCGTAGCTCGAGCACGTACGATCACGTAGAGCGTGTCAGGCTCTGCCGTGGAGTGGAAAGGAGGGGAGGGCCACAATTTTCGCCTATCCGCTTCTCACGATTTCAGATACGAGGCCGACAAAGATGCCGTGGTCCCCCCCTATTTCGTCATCATTCCGTTTGAATCCTTGACCAGCTACCTGACTGGCACTGGGTACCCCTGAGCGAGCTTGACTGGCGATGGCTTGACCACGAGCTGATCTTCAGACCATCAAGTCTTCGACAAGGATATAGTTAGGCGATGTGGACACCTTGTATTGCTCGTCTTATCTGGCCGACTGCCTGCTTCACACACCGTCCGCCGTCATGCCGTGCTCCAGGCTTTGGACTTGCCCTCTTGGCACTAGACCGCGAACAAGCACCAGACATCCAACAGCAAACATCCGGCAATGTCGCCAACCCGTTCAGAACAATGAATCGAACGCCGAACCCGCGAGGTACTATCTGGTCCATGTCGGCGGGAGATTCAGGGATGACGTCTGTGAGCTTCTACGGTATCTACACCATCTGTATGTATGTAGGTCCAGGCACGCTCGCGATCTTGACCATCCCAGGTTTGGACCACCGAACAGCTCAACAAACACTCGTTTGAACTGCAGTCACCACCGATCAATTTTACGACCTCTGCCGCCGTTCATAAGCGCATGCAAAGCGGCGGCTTGCGGTAACAAGCAAGCCGCTTCGCCTCAAAAGGCTGCCGTTCAACGTTCACCATAGATATATTATATCTGCGGCTTCTTCAAGGTGGCCGAGGGCCTCGATGCGGTCATCCATATTAAGCACCTACAAGTAGTACGTCATTTCTCGACCTCGGAGACAATCCGGAAGTACCTGAACATGCGGACAGGTCGACCAGCTTCGACCAGATGCTGCCCTTCGATTCGACCAGATGCTGCCCTTCGATACAACCGTGGTCAACGAATGCCCTCAAAACCTGGTGTACGCCGTCCGTGTGTCTGGAATGTAGTGGATCTGTGTTGTCGTGCTGCGGTCTTCGTTTCTCCCGAGGCATAAGTCCTTCCGGACGCTCCAGGATTGTCATCGCCCATGTGGATGTAGAGCCATGCCCGGTTCATGGGCAGGGAGATTGGCGAGGTCCAATCGAGCGGGTAGCTGTTCTCGCGACCTGTTCGGAGACGAATCAACTCTGAGAGCAACTCGCGCGTTGCGCGTGGCGAAGCGTAGTCAACGCGTTGAGGAGAAGTTCCATATCCATATACAGTTGACACGAAGATTGAGCGGGCGAATGTGTTTCCGATGCACAGAGAGAGCAATGTTTGGATGCTAGCTCGGTTCTTTGTCCCATACGTCGCATCACGAGCAAGGACAGCTGATGGTACATTACCAGATCGGACGCGTTGCTGATCCATGGACCAACAGCAGTTGGAAAGATGAGGCAGAGATGAGACCGATTGTCTGAGAAAGGCACTGAGGGACTGACACGTGCGGGAGAGGTGGCCTCGACGGCGCTAGTCACTCAAATCTTTTGACGGTGTGAACAGCGTAAACACACTTTCTGTCCTGCCTTGTCTTCTCAACCGGCTTGTGCCCACCCCAGTGCCGTCGCACCCTCGACCGTCCTTTATATATACCCTGTCGAACGGGGCAACCTCTTCACTCTTCCCCCCACCGTCGTACAGCTATCGGTACAACCTCTTCTCCCTGTGGCCAACATGCTCAACGCTTCCTGCAGCATCGACGTCGTCCTCGACCATGAGCTGTACATCGGCGAGTGCGTGGTGTGGTCTCTGCTCGTAATGGCGACCGTCGACTGATCCTTGACGCATCATCGTGCCCTAGTTTATCGTCGGCACTCTCTCTGGACGTCCACCCAGAGCTCGGCATCACACATCTCGTGTCGGTCTGCCCGGAATACGCCTCTCGCGGCCCAAATCACTTGAGCATACCCGTGCAAGATTCAGAGTACGAGGATCTCCTTCTCCACCTACCCAAGGCATGTCGGTTTATTCAGGCTGCTCTGGATCAAGGCGGAAAAGTCCTCGTGCACTGTGTCATGGGCATCTCTAGGAGCGCCACCGTCATCTCCGCGTACCGTAAGTGGCGCATCTTCAATCCTTCGTTATTTTTTGCCCTCATGAAATGCTCGGGAAAAGTCATGATGTCGCGCGGCATGTCAGTTCCACAAGCTGTCTCGTTCGTGAAGAAGCGTACGTTCATCTTGCCACGCGGTGTTCCACAAGGCTTTGTTGACCACGTCTATTGCCTAGGACGACCCCAAGTGCAGCCCAATTATGGATTCATCAAGCAACTTCACGCCTTCTCTGCATGCGCTTACAAACCGTCACGAACAAATCCCACCTACCGCGCTTGGAAAAGGCGGCATCGGCAGGACGTTAACTGTTTTATCAACAGCATGAGCGATACCATTGCTATCATACCCGACAAATTATACCTCAGCAGGTACCGCACCTTTTTGCAGCGTTCAGTCATTGTACTCATGAGGCGTTTCTTGAATCACAGCGAGTTTCCCACTGACCCCGAGCAGGCCGCTTGCATCGTCGCATATCTAGGCTTAGCTCACCTTCTCACAATCTCTCCCGCACACCAGCCTCCCTCCTCACTCGGCATCAAAAGGCGCCCAGTCAATGTTTCTAGCAAGGAGGGACTGCTGCTCGCTTTGCCTGAGACCTGCAGCTACATACACACCGCATTGGAGGGCGGAGAGCCCGTGCTTGTTCACTGTCAGCTCGAGTCCAGCGCGGCCGTCGTCGTCTGTGCTTATCGTACGTGGCCAGTCTCGACAGTAGTCTTGTGCTGACGACCCTTCACCACGTCGCACCAGTAATGTGGAGCCGACGCATCCCTTGCGGTCAAGCGTACAAGATCCTGCAAGATGGTAACCCACCAATGTACCTCCCCACCCTTTTTGGCTGACCTTCACGATGCGAATCGATAGCACTCCCACTATTCAACAGAACTGCTAATTTTTCCAAATACCTCGAGATTTTCGCAGCCTGCAACTACTCTCCCAAGATTGAGCATCCTCCAGTTCAAGCGTGGCTCGCAGAAGAGCAACGCGGTGAATCAGCAGTGGCAAGGTCCACCTCGGTCTCGGCTGCCGTTGCTTCTACGGCAGCCGCTATGAGCCGTCTCGTCATAAGTCCCAGTCAGAACATGGAGAAAGCATCTCTTAGGGCTGTCGGGACGAGGACGAGGACCCAGATCGGGATTATGGGACAGAGTTGATTTTTCGTCCGTAGTATTTTTTTATCGTGTATACTTTGCTTTCTATATGCTTTCGGACCCATAGTCGTAGCAAGTCTAGTTAATCGCTGTCATCTAGTGTCGTCCATATTTTTCTCAAGGAACCTGATTCAGAGTCTTGGATGAAATGAGTCTTGGATGAGATGAGTCTTGGATGAGATGAGTCTTGGATGAAATGCAAGGAATTGTTAGTACCCTTGACCCAGTCCGTTCTGAGTGCTCACAGCACTCCACAACCCAAGACAGTATTAATCTACGCCTGTTTGTGAATAATTTGCACAGCATGTATCTCATCGTCCACAGTCTCGTCTAGCTGCTCCTGCTCCTGCTCTTGCTCCTGCGGTAATATCAAATTCAATGTCGCAGCCACAAGTCCCGACATCAAGACTGCCGTCGCAAAAGAGTCAGAATCACTGATACTGGCGTTTGTCTGTGAACGCGGGGACGTACATGGCGTGCTTAAAATGATCGTGATCGAGTCCAACAGGCCCTGCAAGCCCTTGTTCGCGCTGACCCCGTCGAACAGGTGTGTGAAGATATCGGGCACGAGAAGGTCACCGATGCCAAATGATAGCGCAGCAGCGAGGACAAAGCGGTCCCGACGGGTGTACCGGTTGTATGCAAGAACGCGCAGTCCCGAGGTGGCGACGGAAGCGAAGAGGAAGGTGGTCACGCCGCCCAGGACGGGATTCGGAACTGGAGTGAGGCGTAAAGTCAGCGGGAGAGCGGAGGTTTCTACAGGAAAATGGGGCCATACTAGCTAAAAATACGCCAGATATCTTGCCTATGATTCCGAATAGAATGAGGAAGAAACAGCACCATCGTCCGGCATTGCGGTTCGCGCAGCGCGTGATAGCGATGACGCCGTTATTCTAACGACAGTCTGACTTGGTTTTCAGAGGAGCGTGCGGCGGCGGAGAAACACACCTGGGCGAAAATAGACAGTGGGGTCACCGTAAAGAGTGCAGACATGAAACCGCCAATCCCATCACTCTAATTGACAGTGTTTAGGTCAAGCATTCAATCGTATATTGTAGAGAAAGACACTCACCAAAACACCGCCCTGAATTCTGGACTCAAATTCTTCACCCTCTACTTCTACCCTTGATACTTCAGCTGAAGCTGTGATGTCGCCTATGGCTTCCATCGCTAAAGAGACTTGTGGGGGTAAAGGTCAGATGCCGTTCAGGATATCGCTTACAAGAGAGATATCTTACTGTAGACCGCTAACATTGGTAATATGGCAGGAGGATAGACGCGGATCTTGAAGGTATGTACCCTGTTAAAGATTTAGATCGTTCGTTTGATGAGAGCATCACGAGCCACGTACCACAGGAAAGTAATGCTAGGCGCAGACTTGATGGTGCTGCTGTCAATATAGCCTGCGCCTCCAGCGACGATGCATCCCACAGCTAGCCCAATGATGATCGAGATGTTCTTAAGGAACGGTGAGCCGAAGAGCTCTGTCAGCAATATTGTGATGAAGGAGAGAAAGCCTAGTCCAATGAACTCGGGGGAAGCCCATCTGTTAGAGATCGAAAGAATTTTGTATGAAATCCCGTATCACTCTGACGCAGAACAGCAGGAAGCTCACGGAAGAGGTCTCGGGGCGAAGATAGTAGGGCAGAGCTGAAAAATCCCGCTAGTGGGTCTGCTCATGCAATTATTAGATCCTCCTCCCCAGTTCGGAATTCCAGAACTGCCGATGAGAGACGCGCCAATCATCAAGATGACCGTCCCTACATTGCGTTGAGGATTGAGCATATGCGCACAAATCAGGTACATGAGCCCTCACCGGTGACCATAGGTGGGAATATGCGCTGCAAGATGCGTGGGGGAATAAAGGACATAAAGATCTCCAGGAAGGACGCAATGATTGAAGTTCCTGTGTATATATGTCAAATTAGGACATATGACGAGCTGGGACTACAGTAATGATCCTGGTCGGGTCAGAACTTACCAAGAACCTTGCCATAGGCCTCGGGACATGCTGCTCTAGAGGTCGTCCCGTCCACAGCAGTGATTGTCTGGCACGTCCCGTCTGCATACATGGCATCAAAGATCTGAGGTAGGTAACAACCCGTCCGTTAACAGGATCAAAACACGAAGTATTTGTGTAAAGAGAATACCGCATTGGCCGTGCTGAGTGTTGCAAAGCTGGTCCCAACAACCGAGATTAACCCCGTGCCAAGGTAAAACCGCCCGAATAGTCTAATCCTGGACATTTGCACCAGGCTCAAAATTCCTGCGCTCCGCTCGATGATCAGCTATTGCCAGCGCCGAAATCTATTCAAATGAGCGCGCACCACAGCCAATCAACGAAGCAGAGATCATATATGCAGATGTGCCTGCGTCCAAATTCAACGCGCTCGCGAAAATGATGGGGGGAGTAATGAGTCCGGCCAGCATCGCGAGCGCGTGCTGCAGACCGCTCGTGATGGCAAGGAATAGCGGAAGGTCTGCATCCAGTTGGTAGAAGGGGGGCAGCTTGGAGCGCTGTGTCTTTCCTCGCAGAGAGAATGGCAAGGTGGGCGTGCAGAGCCATGCATAGTCGTAGTCCCCAAACCAACCATGCCGGGTGGTGACCTTGCGCGTCATGCGCGAGACGCGTTGCCGAACGCCAGTGCGGTTGCTTTGATCCCCATGAGACAGGGAAGGCGATACCGTGGGACGAGGCTGCTCCTTCGTCGTGAGAGAGGAGAGGGACATGGGTCACGATTGCTCGACGACGTGAGCGCGGTGCAATTTATTTGAGCGCACTCCCTGTGCGGACCTGACTCGCAGGCGCCTGCGATAAGGGGAACATTGGTCCTCAGCCAGACAGGCCGAGATGCTCACAAGAATGGGAGGAATATTATTGTCGCCCTGTCCTAGCGACACCGACTGATAAGCCTTATCGTCAGTCACCTGACTCATCCAGCAGCCAAAGATCATATATATAATGCAGGATCGTACACATTACAACAGTTAAATCGACACCAGAAAGACTACACGATACACAGTATGCTCAGGATGTGGACAAAGAAGACCCCTCCGTATCCACAGACGGGTGAACCATATAGTACACACGGACATCACCTTCCTGCTCACCACTCTCTTCCAAAGACGGCAGCGAATTTTGCACATCACCCATGATTTGAATCAAATAGTTGTCCTGCAGAACAATAAATAACATGCTTAGACAGGGAAGGACGTCGGCCCTTACCTTCACAAGCTTCTTCAGGACCTTCGTGATCAGCTCTTTCTCGTACTCGAGCTCCTCGATGTCGCGGATGTTATCTTCCTGTTGTTCCAGGTACCAGTCAATCAACTCGTCCCGATCCACACCCTTCCCAGTTTCCCGCTCCACTTCACTGAGATGGAGCACGAGAAGAGTTTGGAGATTGATGTATTTGTCATGCGTGATCACCATTCTTCGCTTGGGTACCAACGGCATTTTGGGCATCTCGTCATCGGCCATGCTCTGTGAATGTGGGATGGAGCCGCCGCCCAGATTCTCAGAGTCAGTAGTACTACTCTCGTTGATAGCGGTCGATACATATTCTTCCGAGGGGTCTGTGGTTTCGACGGCCGACATTTCGACGTCCTGACTGTCCTCGTCGGCGTGTGGTTGCGCAGCACCTTCACGCTCGCCTTGCAGTTCTTCTTCATCGAAGTCGATATCATCCTGTTCAACGTGGATGATGGACTGTTTGAGGAGGCTGTAAGCCTCGCGGACAAAGACGGGGGTAATCTATTTTGCATCAGCGCTTGTCGACTTGCAGAGGACCCAGATCCACTGACCTCTGAAGTGCAGTTGGCCCGAGCGATGGCCTCACTCAGTCGGATCATGCTCTCTAATTGACGGACCGTAATGCGATACGAGTTCCTGCCTGCCCCCGACGCGTCGTCTTGACGGAGAATTCGATACTTCTCCACCAGGACGTCTGCGGCTTCAGGCGTGAGCTAACACGAAAATCAGTAAACTGCACGGGCAGTCAATTCGAAAACCAACCTTAGGGTTGAACGTTCTGGCGTAGCGGATGTACCTCTGGAGTGCCTCTGTGCTGAACTCCGGATTGATAGCTTCGTCCTGGAATCGGTGGACGTTAACGATATGCTTCGCGATATTCAAATCTGTCTTCTCGTCGCATTCGTCAAGCACGACAAAGAACAAGTCGAAACGACTCATGATCGGAGCTGTCATCGCGACATTTGACCTTAGAGTCTTTTTCCTGTCATATCTGCCCCCGATAGGATTTGCGGCTGCGAGAATGGATGTTCGCGCATTGAGTGTAGCGTGGATCCCAGCCTTAGCAATCGAGATTGTCTGCTGTTCCATGGCCTCGTGGATGGCCACTTGGTCCGAGATGTCCATTTTGTCGAACTCGTCGATCGCGCAGATGCCGTTGTCTGCGAGCATCAGAGCCCCGGCCTCGATGGTAAAATCGCCAGTCTCTTCGTCCTTGACTACAGCCGCTGTGAGACCAGCCGCTGACGAGGCTTTGCCCGAAGTATACACTGCTCGAGGGAGGAAAGAACAGATGTACCTGATGATACAAGTCAGAATTCCGAGGCTAGCTCCAACGTACTGCGGACTTACTTCAAGAATTGAGACTTCGAGGTAGAGGGATCGCCGACTATACAGATATTGATATCGCCTCGAAGGTGCATGCCTTCTGGTGTCTGTTTATGAACACCTCCCATGAGCTGAAGAAGCAAGCCCTTCTTCACGATCTCGTGCCCGTAGACCGTCGGTGCTATACTCTCCACTAGCCGGGAGTATATATGATCTGACTCTATCATACGCCTGAGTTCCTCGAACTCGGGTTCCGTCAAGGAGCGCGCAAATGCCTGCCCATCATCTTCGGCTTCGTCGCCTTCACCTCGGATATTTGTCGAGCCCTGACAAATGCTTTTGAGGACGAGAGCACAAAACGAGACGTGGGGTGCTCACTCGTCCATCAGCGTCATGAACCATGCAGGCCAAGAATGCGGTCTTATATTGCAAATCTCTGACCCCCAAACTCTTCAACCCAGTGACCCCACTGCCACCCACAGCATTCGCAGCACCGTTCATACCCTTGTTCGCCTCCCGCACAAGTTCTGCTTTGTTCCCTCCTACTAGCCCCAATTGGTTGACGTCAGGGACCACAATAAATGTACCCGTAAAGACGCATTTATCTCCAGCTTTCGCGCGTTCGACAAGCTCGGAACGAAGGATGACGTCAAGTGAGCGAGGCATGGAACCTGTTGGAATCTCCGACGGGTTTTCTTGGATGCGAACTTTTTGCCAGTCCGTGAATTTCGATGTGTCGATTTGGAGCTGCCAAGCGCTGCGATTGTTGCACGTCGGGTTTGGACAGAGACTGGGCTGTGAACATGCGGGGCTTCGTCGGTGTCGTGTGGAATAGAACCCGCCACAGAAGGACTGCGCACCTCTGTGTATTTGAACTGCTGTTCGATCTCGTTTACGAGACCTCCACAGACCTCGCAAATGAAGCTACCGAAGAGCAATTCAGGCCGGACTTCACTCGTTCTAGTCACCGTACCGCTAATGCTCATCAACGTCCCGATTTTGTCCGTCCGGAGGTCCCTAATCGCAGACACGAGCGGAAGGTGATAGAAAGCAATGTTAAATTCCCGAGATTGGAGATTGACTGAATCAGTGGCCGCAGCCGTCGGGTTGATCTTCAAGTACTCCGGCTCATATTCTGCTACAAGGTTTTGGAGCGCGCGACGGAGGTATGGCAGGAAACGGTAGTATTGCATTTGAATAGCATCCGCAAGGACGTCATCCTTCTGGAGAAGGTGGCTATAGTCGACGTAGAGTGTAGTCAACTCGTATTCGCGCATAGTGTGGATTTGCTCGATGTATATGAGCTCGCCATCAGCTGTGCCGGGAAGATCGCCTTCAGAGCCTGGTGTCCCGGCGAGAGTCACCTCTTCAGTGAAGCTATCGAAATTTAGAGTTACATTGAACAGCCGGACGCGATGGAGGACTGTGCACTGACGTTTTCAAGAACGTCTCGAAAGCCTCTGCGACACTCTCCCCGACCGCATCCTTGACGATAGGTACGTCGCGATTGATTTGTTGCATCCTTTGTTTGCGCCTCCTTCTACCCGGATGTGCGTCATCTTCTCTAGCTTCTTGAGCTTCATCGTTGTCAAAAGCCAAGACGTCGGGCGCCCGTCTCGGTGTGGATCGTCTGGTGGGCGTTAGAGAAGGAAGGGGTGCGCTGCTTGGAGGCAATGAGGATTGAGCATGTAGCGGGGAAGAGAGAAGATCTGAATTCATGCTGGTATCGAGATAGAGCAAGAAAAGGACGCGGTTGAACAGCCGAGACGCGTCTTTTCGGAGAAGCCGCGACAGGCCACGACGCGACAAGACCTGCCCTTCATCTCAGTGACAACAGTAACACACGTGAATGTCACGATGGATCAATCGGGACGAGTCCCAGGGAGAACACAAACAATTATTTATGATTACGGCTGAACACCTAAGTAAGTTAATCATAAGGATATAGCGGTTGCGAGGATAGCGCGAAAGCAAGAATTATTAGGTCGCCAAAGTTGGAAGAATTAGAGACGGGAGCGCAATTAAACCATGAGTAGGGTAAGAATCAACGTAGAGGGATGAGTCACAGCAAAACGAAGACGGTTCGAGGATATGCATGAGCAACTTCAAGAAATCAATCGTTTCGGCGAGTGTTGAAGATCAGCTGGCAGTCCATGGAAGCTGGAAATATGACCTGGATGCGCCCATAGTGATGAGAAGAGTAAGCCACTCGTTTTCGAAATGAGATGATCAGATACGCACAAAACTGTCTCTCATTTCCATGCTTTTTTCTGTCGTTTCTGCGGGAGCCACGATATTGAAATTCCTCACGATAGCTGACACCACCACCCGGAGGATGATCAGTGCGAGGTTTTGTCCGCCACATACACGTGCGCCTACTCCAAAAGGCATCATGTGCTGAGCCATTTTCGTCAATTCTTCCATGTTTTTACCATCGTCGAGCCACCTTTCCGGAAGAAATGCGTCGGGGAAAGGGAACACGGAAGCATCGCGATGCATTGACCAGCCCTGTGTAGCAACAATAGTCCCCGGAGGCAGCGCAAACCCCATGAGGTCGAATGCGTCCGAGAACATGCCGTTTTTGGAGGTGGAATCCGGCACGACCCGTTCCAGTAGACTTGGAGCAGCACCATAGACACGGAGACCTAAGGAACCATGTAAGAATGAGCGGGACGGGATGGCTATCAAGGCTTGCCTTCCTTGATGAAAGCGTTGAGAAACGGAAGTTGCTGCAGAGTGGCTATGTCCGGAATAGACCTGCAATCTGGCATGGCATGATCAAGTTCGATCTGTAGTTTCTCGACTAGGTCGACACGACGACTGAGCTCCCAGCACAGATATGAAAGTGTCGTAGAAGTCGTATCACATCCGGCAATCCTGTACAGTTGTCAATCAATATTCTAGGATTATCAACAGAGATAAAACCGACAGGTGTCCCATGTGTTCAGAGATGACATCTTGGTCAGACATCAACTCGTCTGAAGCGCCGACACGATGTTGAACCAGGCGTTGCAGCATCGTGGTTCTCTCCGACTCGAACATCTTCTCCGCGTTCATTTGGCAACGGGTTTCGTATACTCGGGCACTGACAAACTAGGATAAAATTGCGGTTTTATGTACCAACGAAGAGGCGACGAATGACGAACAAAAATACTCACCTCAGCCATGATCTTGTCAGAATCACAAAGTTGGCGCCAACGGCGGTTAGGAATACGACAGACCAAATTCCAGGCCCAAGTAGGGACGGCGCTACGCTGCGAAGGGTCATAACTAAATCAGATGAGCACATACGGATTGAAGGAAGAGCTACAAGTATGCCGCGTTTCGGGAAGTCGCCGATGGCCATAGCAAGAGTGTCTTGCTTTGCAATGTGCCATTTGTTGAGCGCCCCAACTCGGTAGCCGAATGAAGATGCCGAAAGGATGTCCACCATAAGTTGCCGGAACAAGACAAGACTATCCAAAGCCATGGAGCCAGAGAATCTGTGGAGGATCTGAGGAACATCAGTCGTTTTATTAAACTAGATGTTGTTCACGAGACATACATCTATGAGCTCGAACGTGTACTGATGTATTTCGGGTTGGAAAGATGCGAGATTTGCAGGACTATAGTGAGGCGCATAGCCTCTTTTACGGGCAACGTGAGGTGAGTGAGGTAGTGTGGTCATCCTAATTTATGAGATTGATTAGAACTTAGCATATATGCGCAGGATTCGCACTTACGCATGATCGTTATTATTCCTGCGACAAGGAACTCAGCATTTACAGTCACAGGAAAGGAACTCGGGAGTCTCACGTTAATAGGCTCTTGTAGTACGTGCTTTTGTCAAATTTGTGGACGGCGTAAACACTTCTTGTAGTCGGAAGATCATTGAAGACGATCTTGTTAGGGCCAACGCGAACGACAGGGCCGTATTTGTCAAAAAGGTCGTCTATAACCTTGCATTGTTGTAGGCGAAGTACGTGTGTGGTGAGCCAGAAGTCTGAGACCGCCGCATACCAAGGACCAGGGATAGCGCTCAAAGGAGAAAAGACAAGCCGATAGACGGCGTTGAAGACGAGATAGAGAATGATGGTGGAGAAAAGGATGACGCCGAGGTGATCGTAGACAGTGGAGAGGGGAAGGAGAATCGCAGAGGCCATTTTGAAGGTGGCAACAAGGAACTCGCGGCGGGCGGAAGAGGGGGTGCACGGGAGAGAGAAGAGAAGAAGGGAGCCCTATGAGGACGATGGGCAAAGCAGGAGCCTTTATATGCGAGAGCGTTTATGGCTACCGAAATATTTACGTCGACACAATGCAGACGTCCTGAGGGCTTCTTCACGTCATGATTGTCCTAAACAGACAAGAAGGATCACTCCGAGGCCGCATCTAGATCAAGATGAGAACCGCGTTGTATCCGGAGAGTGGAGTGCCGTCGCAGATCCTCCCCACTTTCGTGACAAGTACCTGGCGGCCTGATATGAAGCCGACAAATCTCACTTGGAGTGCGACCCGGTGATGATGAAGGGTTGTCGGTGCAACATTGTGCGGTGACACACACTAAAGACCGACAATAAGCGCACATAGCAAATAAAGGGTATTCAGGAGGAAGGTACATGGGAACAAACCTTCATGTAAGAGTGGTGCCCACGTACCAATGAAGGTGAAAACGTGGATTGTGACATAGAATGGAGCAGATTCGAGAAATAGATGCCTCGATGTTTCCGACCTACTCTAGGCTCTGATATGCCACACACTACCAGTCGCAAAAGCCCGATCTGTCAGTGACGAGGTATCGATATCGCCACATTTCGGTTCTCTCGGCGGACACGCGTCTTGGGCCCTTGCTAAGGACTTGCCCAGCACAGCCGGCTAGATTGCGGGGATTGCTTCCGTTTCGAAGAACAACTGGGCATGCTTTCCGACATATCCTCGTCATTTCTAAGCATAACGATGTAATTTGGCACGTCTGAGCCTGTCTAAGCCGGATCTATCGCCGACCCGGTGTAGGATTGAACAGAAGTTAACCAACCGATCCCTTAGAGGCCATTCCCCATGCCGACAGAAGATGCAGATGTGCTGCAAAGAATGTTAACGAGGGGCATGAATTTCCATACTTGCGATGCGAATCACCTGAACCACGTATCTGTATTTCGAGTTCCCCTGCTTGTCGGAACCGCTTTTGGACCCCACACCTGTCAGGAAACACATCCTCATGGTAGCACCCGCATCATATACACGCATTTAACTATGCCTCATGACATCGCATTCCACTTCCACGCCTGCCAAAATAATGGCAACCACACAGGCAGCATGGTTGCCAGGTGTCTGAGGTCAGCCAACAGTAAACGGAACAAGAAGCGCTTCCATACGTGAACGGAAGAGGCGGCATAATAAACGAGGTATTCGTCGAGGATTCAGCCAGCTGATACAACAACATCCTAGTAGATATCAATCTGGAACAGATGGACTTAATGCGAAGACTATTGGCGACATGATATGTGTTGTCTTAGAGCGGTATAATACGCCTCGTGAGAGCAGGGACACGACAATTTCAGTCTGCAGGCTGGAGGACGGCTGGAGATACAAAGGTTTGCGAAATTCAGCCCAATTGCCTTTCATGAACACGATGTTCTCACGCTGGAGCGCTGAAGTTCGCTGAAGTGTCACCGTTCTGCTTCCCAGCCATTTTAAATAATTCAATGCCCGTGGTGGGTTCTATTACTGGGACCGTCGGATATTGTCTCCCATACTCTTTGGCATATCTAGGTCAAGGTCTATCGGTGACAATCTTATACGACTGTTACGTTCACGGTCACTCCGCACATATTTTCTATCACTCTTCTCTTCGTCACTTCCCCTCCAAACTTGCACCCCGCAAACCCGCAGGGCCCTCAAATATAGCCTAAAAAAGATAGGTCAAACGCATCACAAATTTGCTGGAACATCGGACCAGAGCCCGCCATACTTTGACTACAAGACCCAATCTCACGGAGAAGCCTCACGTCACTTGTCCGGAGCCGATTCGTCCGTGGATTCCAAGCTGATGGCGGTAGTTAGAAAGAGAAAACAAGTAGAAAACCTGAAGAAATGGAGTCTAGTTCCTGATCAAGTCAACGAAGTAAAAGACCGCGATACTCGCAACCCTGCGTGGTATGCGGACAGCCAAGCACAAAAGGGTGGGAGACGTGAAACTCGGGGGCTCAACGAATACAATCCGATTTGAGTCTCTCAGAAACAGACCCTTGAAGTCGAGCACAGGCGCTAATCTGACCTATCATCAACATCGCGGGCCGCATGTCTTATTCTTCTAAACCACCGATGGTATACTATTTCTATCAGAGCAATTCGGTAAAGGAAGGGACTTACAAGGAAAAGCCAGAGTCTGTTGGAACGCGCTGCTCATCCATATGGAGGGCCAGGAGATCTAGAAGAGCATGCATCCTTGCCGTCTATCGCTGACCCCGCGACGTCTTTCCCTATGGCAAACAAACTGCGACTGATCAAATGAAGCCCTGATTTGCGGCGTTAGCTTTCGATTGCGATTGCAGAATGTTCCCATACGACACACGCCGTGAGTGGATGCTAGTGAGTAGATGCCTGCCGCGTAGCATTATTAGCTCATCGGACGGGTCATAAATCACGATTTATTGAGCTGAAAGCTGGCACTTAGCGGGATACTCGGTCATGTCTCTCTTCGAATGAGGGTAAGCTATTAATCATCAGGCTTGATTACAGACCTTCAAGCTCAATACTAAGTCTGGCCATGTGAAGGGGACCTACATGAGATATAGCTCTCTGTGAATAGACTTTGATTGATCGGATAACAAAGCAGGGAATTAACTTGTGATGACCTCTATTCCACCTTCAGTTACTAGAACCATATGCTCTTTTTGTGCACTCCTTGCACAGTTCTTGTAATCAAGCAGAAGCGATCAAAACGAGGATGCAAGTAGCGAAGTCGGTGCTTACCTCCGTAGAGGCCGTCCAGCCGTCGGGAAATATCCAGCCACGAGGGTTTGAGCCTTGTATCAGACACGGCTACAATTTTACAAAAAAACAGATAAATTAGAAGAACGGTATCTGGTGTATGGCAAACGCACTTCGATTGTAAAGCAATGACCAGGAAGCATGGTTCCAGGCTCGTCGTTTCCTAGGTTCACGTGAACCTACGTGAGCGCTGGCTAGACCGCTTCACACGCCGGGTGATCGCTCACGATGATGCAATATCCACGGAGGTCGATGGAAGACCTCCCCAATCCCATGGCCCATGAATTGGCTTGAGACAGAATACCCTCTAGATTTCGCCAAGTTATATATAGCGCTTCCGATGCCTTTAAAAGGTCGTCCTGGACCACATGCGGCAATGCCTGCGTCAAGAGCTTCGTTCGTTGTGCTCACTAGATTCCTCCCAGGTTCATCCTAGGTTTGTTTAGGGCAACGTATGACATTCAGGGTAGAATCAGACCTACAACGTCTCCGACCAAAAATGTCCTCGACGTATCGCCGTGATACCCATCCAGATATACAGTGATATCAATGTTGATAATATCCCCATCTTCAAGAGGTCGACTATTTACACCAGTGAAATATCAGTTGCAATAATTTGCAGACGCAACCACAAACATACTCATTCGGGATGCCATGGACAAGGACATTGTTGATGCTTGTACAGCAAGACTTGGGAAACCCAGAGTAGAGAAGCGGGGATGGGTAGGCAGAGTGCGATATAATAAAGTCGTGGACACTCGCATCAATGGAGTCAGTGCTCACGCCAACCTGTTCAACGAACGTCAGACATTGTCTAGTGAATGTATCGTGATCAATATACACCTCACTTTGACCAACGATTCCGCATAGTCCAGCACAAGTTTGGCTAGACGTGCAGCCTTTCTCAGACGGAGCTCATCTCCTCCACCCAATGGAATACGCCCATGACCGGAGTAGGGATCACCGTTGAAAGGTCGCTCATGCTCTCCAGGTTTCCTTTCCAGAGGAGAAAGAGACTGCACATACGGAGGAAGTGGAATGTGTGGAGGTACGACACGAGGCGCGATGTGTGATACGCCAAAGACGAAGGGCTCAGGGGGAAGTATAACAGAGTAAGATCCAAAGTTTTCGGGCTCTGAAAACGGTAGAGATTGATGCGTTGAACGACGCCGAGCGTTACCACCAATATACAGTCCAGTCGAAGGGCACATCCTATCATGTGGGTTCCCTAGCAAACGACGATTGATCATCATGTGGCGCAAGCTGGAAAAAGGGAGGTCCCTAGTACGTCCCATCGAAGAATGATCTTGGTCGAATGCGAGCGAACGGATGTCTGGTGCGTGCCCGAGCTGGTCACGGTGTTGACGACGAAGCCTCGCTGTCTAACGAACAGGAAAGTGGGAAACCATCGCGGGGCCTGATTCAGTCGCATCGAACCGCTTAATAAGTATCAGCGGCGTGGAAAGAGATGCCAAAGTTACAACTGATACTGGTACGTTACTAGCAAAAGTGAAAGCTTAGTCTCAACGCATTTGCGATCAATACATGTCATTGCTACAGGCGGTATAGGTACAGATGTGAAGAATAATGAAGACCATAAAGTGTCCATGAATATTGTATGTCATGCAGTCGCATTTTCAGCCCTTCTTTCATCGCATTTCCATCGGAGGCACCCACTCAGGTACATTCCCCCATTCAAACCTAGCAGCCTGGAAAGCCTCTTTGGCCTTCTGGGGTAGCAGGGACATATAGTCTGGCGGAAGCAGAGCATCGTACTTGTCCAATCCCGGCTTATAGGTCGACCTTGCGTTCGCAAAGTCCGGTGTACCACTCACGACCTTTGGTGCGGAAGCTGGTACGGAGCCAAAGCCACCGCCGGGGTCAAAAGCGGATTGAGACTGAGTAGAAGGGGTGCCGAATGTAGAGATTGGAGTTGGCTGCATTGGTTGACCAAAGGCTGTTGTGGGTTGACTAAAAGCTGAGGTTGGCTGCTGAGCGGGTTGACCAAATGCCGAGGGCTGTGGAACAGGCTGGCCAAATGCCGAGACGGGCCGTTGAGCGGAGTCGCCGAATGCAGATGTGGGGTGCTGGGCTGCCTGACCAAAGACCGATGTTGTTACGGAGTTGTTGGATTGTCCAAACACAGAACTGCTGGGTTGGGTCGAGGATCCGTTACCCCCGAAGGCTGATGGAACGAATGTGGCACCCCTCGTGTTATTGTTGTTACCATTGGCAACGGCTGCGAACGCAGACGGTTTGTCACCGGCAAACGCTGCAAATCCGCTGCCGCCAAGGGCGGATACAGGTTGCCCGAGCGCTGATGTCGGCTGAATAGGCTGACCGAAAGCTGAAGTAGGCTGTTGTGAGGGGTGTCCGAAAGCTGAAGTAGGTTGTTGTGAGGGCTGGCCAAACGCAAGGACGGGTTGTGCCGCTGTCTGGCCGAACGCGGAGACAGGCGGTTGTGGAGGCCGTCCGAGTGCGGATGTAGGTTGCGTTACTTGGCCAAAGCCTGTCTGTCCGAAGGTGGACTGGCCTGGCGCAGGCGCAGACGTAGGCGTGTTTGTGGAGGCGAATGCCAAGACAGGTTTGCTGTTTCCCAAAGCCCCGAATGCCGATGGTTTACCAAAGGCTGAACCGCCTCCACCGAACGCACCCCCTGTCTTGAACGCTGAACCTAGGCCTCCAGACTGATCTCGATTAATGGGACTTTGCCTCGAAGCCGTATCATAGGCCTCCTCGATATTGTTGCGGACATTCATGAAAATTCTTTCAGCGTTAGCAGTTTTGTCCTGCTCATACTTTGTCTGAGAGTCACTCAGTACTTGCGGGTGGATTGAAACGACGCGTAACCTCACATATTCATCAAGTGTACCACCGATCTTCGCCAAGACAGCTTTCATGCGCAATTCCTCGAATGACTCGTCTAGTGGAGGCAATAGATTGGGTTCGTGTTTGGCAGGTCCATATGATGATAGCGGCCAAAATGGTTTATCAACTTTTGGATCGAAGTCTTTCGACATAGTTTCCACGCTACGAGTGTTTAAGATCAGAGAATGACACGAGACAACACAAAAGGTGTCCACCTAAATAGAAGAGACTTCCCAGCTCCAGTAGCACTCCACTGTCCACCTAGATATGTGTGTCACTGTTGATATTCGTCATCTGAGCTAGGCGCAGTGTTTACCTGTGGTGGCCTGCCGGTTAGGACCAGTGTCCTTGGGGTGCTCGTTCCTACAGTTGTTCCCAAACCTACAATTCCCACGCATAAAGAAGCTACAGATAGCCTAACAGACAGGATCTGAGGTCGTAAAAGAGAGATATATGTCCATATTTCGAGGGACGCACCATTGTCAGATGACGAAGATGAGCACGATGGAATCGTTTGTGGAAAGGGCTACGACTCTAAGAACAGAGCATGCATCGTGGGAAATATATCCCATTTAAGGATGATGTGCTACCCGGCCCCTGCATACTGGGCTGGAGCTTTCGAATCTGTAAACACCTGTCTCGAAATCCACATGAACCATCTTTTAGAGCCTGTTCGGACTAAATTACGCTCTTCGCAGATCCTCACTTCCTTGCCTCAAGTAATTTCAGAGCTTGTACAGAATTCTTTGGATGCCAGAGCCAACCAGATTGAAGTCGGGGTAGACTGCGAAGAATGGGAATGCTGGGTAAAAGATAACGGCGCAGGGATCAGCAAGGATGGCTTGTTGACGTTAAGCAAGCGCCTTGAAGCAGGGAGGTACAGTAAGTTTATTTTCGAAAGCTCATTGTGACAATATCAGAGGTGCCCCGTCTACCCAGACACTTCCAAGGCGTATGCTCCCAATGATCATGTCATGGATAGAAATTTTGGGTTTCGAGGCGAAGGTACGATCTTTCGACTCCCCAGCGAAAAAATCACTGACTTTGCTCTCTTATAGCGTTGGCGTCCGCCGCAGACATATCTTGTGTGGAAATATCCACCCGAACTCCAACATCGAAAGAGAGCTGGACCGTCATTCTCAAGGTGAATCTGCAACCAATCATCGTTTGCAATGACTCACGGCGCTCAATACAGAGCGAACAATGTCTTTATGATGGCCCGTCTGTTCGCTGGCGAAGAGAGACTGCAGGAACGACAGTGTGCCTCCGTGACATCTTCTACAATGTAGCTTCCTATCCACTCCTCTCTCTCGCCCGCATTCCACATTAACAATGTCGTCCTTAGCTTCCTATCCGTCGTTCCACACATTCGTCCTCCTCTAAGACGTTATCGATCATCCGCAAAGATATAGAGCTGCTCGCACTGGTGTTTCCTGAAGTATGTTTCTCTCTCGACGACATACACAGCGCTAGACAGGGACGGCTTGGGGAGGGACGAATTGCCACCATACCCAAGGTACGTACACCATGATCCAAGCTTTGCATATTCACCCGTGAAATCTACATAGACCTCTTCAACGCTGTCATCTTTTCGCCATATATTTGGCAAAGCTCTTGCTACAGTACGCTCATATCTCACATCATCAGATTGTTTGCTCAATAGGTTAGCAATAGCATGTCGATGAAATTGATGTCACGGCCGGTGAAATATCGATTCGGGGCTTCATTAGTCTAGATGGTGCATTATCCAAGGTATGAAGTAAGCATCAATCCATCGTGCCGCCCCTCTTATTTGATGTCACGAATTCGACTCTCAGACCCACCAGTATCTCTGTGCGTCCTCAATCGTTTCTTATAAATGATCGCCCTAATGTCTACGAAGAAGACGTGAATCGGCACCCTCTTACGCCATGTCATTTGCATCGTAAAATAGATGACGAGTTTGCAAACAGTTCTTTTGCAAAGCATGTACGCTTTCCTATTATTCGCTTACGGCAATGGGCAAATAGTCTTTTTAGGCATTTGATGAATCAGGCAAGACTAGTTTGCCTTTATCTGGTAAGGACTCTCACTGTGCAAACTGTAGTGACCGGCTGACGAATACATTCAGCCGCACGACGCACTCTCAGGAAATGGGATAAGAAGCCCGTATATGTCCTGGACCTTACAATTCCTAGAGGAGACGTAGATAATCTGTTAGAGCCAGCCAAAGCAACTATGCAGTTTCGGGTCTGTCCATCAACTATCCTTCGGCAGTCTGAAGTGTTAATCAAGCAGATATCTAGAACGGGGATATTGTGATCAACTTCGTCGCTTCCGTCATACAATCATATCTCGTACGCAACGCTTTCATGTCCCAGAATTCTTTTGGTGTTGTTAGTACATCTCCTGCTCCAGGTCCTGCGAAAAGACGCAGAGTCAATTTCCCGACATCACTCGAGACAGAGAATACACCATCTACTACCTCTTGGGCCCGTAAACACCACAGTGTTCATGGCAAACCTATTGTGAGCTACCGACTAGCATTTGCACCTTTGACTATGAGGTGCAAAGGTTCGTTTAAAATATCTAATAATTGTCTCGTTCCTTAGACCGACAGTTTATCTGGAAATACCGTTGACCAGATCAACTGGACAGACCAGATTACTGGGGTGACCTATAACATCGATCCACGGACGGGAAACTCGTATGTCCGTGGAAAGTCGAGTGACGGGGCCGGTAATCCTGAGCGACCCGGCTCATACAATAGGAGAATGCTAGTTGATACGCGATGGCTGAAGGGCAAAGACCAAGGAAGCCGGATCGGCGACAAAGATACTCCACGATGGGTTTTGAACGCTCTGCAGGTAGCGCACTATTTCCTTGCTTATAATGATCTATTGATTGCTAAGAGTTTGCTTGATTTGGTAGATTAATGACACATTTACTCCCACTGAACCCCACATACCAGTTGTTTCTCCGAACCTCCCACCCACGTTAAACACGGAGGGCAACACTTTCGTCTCGCTTGCCAGGCAGTCGAAAGATCTAGAGGAATCCCAGTCGAAACGGAGTCGGTTCTTTGACAGCTGCCTTCAACCCCGCATTATAAGGCGCTTTCGGAGAGATGATTTATTACGTACAAAAGTCATTGGCCAACTTGACAAGAAATTCATAGTGTGCACTATCGATACTCCCCGCAACAGCGCCATGTCTGGGACCAGCAATCAAACCGAGGCCGACATTTCTTTGATACTCGTTGATCAGCATGCTGCCTCTGAACGCGTTCGCGTTGAACGGCTCCTCAAAGAACTTTGTCTGGGTTTCCTCGGTACTGATGCTACTGGGGTTCGATGTGTAGAGCTGGCTCCCCCAAAGCCTGTCCTTTTGACAAAAACAGAAGCTCAAATGCTGCAAGCAACGCCTAGCATCAGGGAAACCTTACGACGATGGGGTTTCTCTTTCGCCGATGCCCCACAACACGAAGTTGAAGAGGCTGTATATCAACAAGTTTGGGTCAAGTGTGTGCCAGAGGTTGTTAGCGAGAAGGTATCTTATTCTTATGAATATGAGGGAAAAAATAAGCTTGCTTTACTGATTCATCCTTCAAGCTCATGACATCCGATGAGATGCAGAGGTTGCTAAAGGGATATTTGGCTTCCTGTGAAGCGGACGGTGTCGCTTCCGAGCCAATCGAAGGCGATTGCGAAGAGAACGTAGACGAATTCTTGTGGCATAAGGCGCTTCGCTCGTGCCCACGTGAGCTGCTTGATCTAGTCAACTCTAGAGCATGTCGAGGTGAGAACGCATACGTGTCAAGATGATTGATCTTGGTTTAATGTACTTGCATCATAGGTGCCGTTATGTTCAACGATTCGCTCACTTTAGAGCAATGTGAGCGACTAATTGAACAGCTAGCAGAAACTGTCTACCCATTTCAGTGTGCTCATGGAAGGTAAATTGGACTCCGTAAAGTGATTTGTCAATAACTGAGTAGCACTTGCGTAGACCATCGTTAACACCTCTTTCCACTACATCAACCCGAAGCGAGACTGTGCGACGGGGTGCACGCACTGACTGGGAATCATTTCCTCATGGTCCTTGATGAGGAAGTGAATCGACAGAACAAGAAGAAGGCGGTGTATGCGCATGCCGTGATTTCAATTCCTTTGTGAATTACATGTGCATGGGCCGGTCGAAGCCAGTAATTTCCAAGGCCATCGATCTATCGATGCGCAGAATGTGAAGGGTACAACGATCATAGGCGCTCTCGAGTCACGGGTGGTGTTGTGTTGATGTATGACGCATCCGGCACCGATGACATCATAATCCCAGTTTCCTCTTTATACCCCTTTGCGCCAACTCAGCCTGTCACCAGCTCACAACTACCATCGTCACTTCACATCATCCAGCCCGCTATAATTCACCGTACATTCATACTTTGATACCAAGTCGCAACGAACGTCATGGGTAAATCGCTCACCAAAGTTGTGTATAAGCCCGACAACAACTCTACCGAGGTCTTCTTGATCATCGTAAACCCTGTGGAGGTGAGTCTCGATCGATCGCCATCGGGGTGTTCTTCAGTGTTGAATCCGTTTTCGCGATTCAGTTCAAGAAGTGGAAGGAGGGTGGTAAGCATTTTCCTGTGCTTCAGGCTCCATTCTACTTTCTCTAATATATGCTGGTTGTCTAGACACGTGAATAGCTTCACACGTTCAGATGTACCATAATTGACATGTTGATCGTTGTAGCACCATCCCATTAGTCGAGGTCGTCGATTGTGAGTGTGCTGGATATACACGCTTGACACGCACTCAATATTGTCCTGCAGCGTTTGAGGTTCTACATTCCAGCCAAGGCGCGCAAGGACTCCTTGGCCGACCGTCGAAACAAGAGCTCGATAACACCTTTGGCACACATGTCGACACTGAAGTCGTTACGCACATCCTGCGAAATGGCAAGGAGGAGGCAGGAGAAGGGCTATCAGGAAAGTGGGGAAGCAAGAATGATACGCACGGGAGTGCTTTTCTTGACAGCAGGGGTGGAAACAGCACGAGTGGCCTCTGAATTACTACATTAGCCGCGTTGATGCTTGACCTAACCTCAGATTCAGATTCGGTGCTTTGAAGAAGTTGTAGCTGCAATTGTATCCATTAAATCCCTTGATCTCGGGCCAACAGGGCGCTGCGCTTCCACGTTATACATATCATCAACGCAGAAACTCATGGAGCCATTACCTGAGCGCTTGAGCGTCTGCCAAATTGTTCCTATTTCCCATCACGTTGATCACACCATTTCGGAATTTCTTTTCTGTAATTATCTACACTGCTGGGCCGCCCATGGTCTCCACTGTAGGTTGTATTGAGAAGATCAAAATGAAATATCGACCTGGCCATGACCCAGGTACCTCAGAGAGGTTTTATGATCTCAGTCGTAGATTACAGATGATGAATGACACAAGACTAGAAAATACTTGTAAACAGTATTCACTATTCATGTTCAATGACTCTGCCTCCAAGCTTCAGGCTTCCGGGCCACGAGAGCGTGAAGCAGTGGCCGAGTTTCTTCCAGTTATATGCAGTCAAAATGACAAAATGCGTCACCTGAGCGATTCGAACACTCGCGGGCAAAGCCCAACCGCTAATACTGCTCAATAGCAGGCGATCCCGTTAACCACTCCGGCAAAGTGACCCGGCAGAGTTCTCCTCTATGTATACTCTAGCCTGCTACATACGCGGGACATTTCTTTCGAGACTCGGGTTTGGTCCGAACTCGATTGTACTTTGGCGATGCCTTACATTTGGCTCGACTGCGACCCGGTAAATCCATCAATCGTAATCCACAACACATGGATGTTAACATCCTCCGTAGGGCCATGATGATGCCGCTGCGATTCTGCTAGCTATTCACTGTCCAAACGTACAACTTCTTGGTGTCTCCACGGTATCGATGTGCATTCGCATTCATGCGACTCCCCCTTTGTGACAAGTTGTTTCCTCAATAATAGGTGCACGGTAATACAGATGCAGAGTACACTGCGGTCAACGCAGCTCGCTGCTTGTATGCCTTTTCTGCCGAGACGTCCGTGAAGGTCTTCCCGGGTGCTTCAAAGCCTCTTCTTCGCCCTGCCAGACACGATGCGGAGATTCATGGTATAGACGGGTTAGGTGGGGTGAAGGGGTTTCCTCATACAGACCAAGAGGAAGTCCAAGCGCGACTATCCAAAGGCGAACCTAAATACAAAGCTATAGATGCAATCGCAAGGGCCATCCGAGACACATGGAATGGCGGCGCAGGTTCCAAAGTCTCAATCGTAGCAACTGGGCCTTTGACGAATATCGCCCTTTTTGTGAGCATATATCCAGAACTTTTGGATGGCGTGGAACAGGTTGTGTTCATGGGAGGGGGTGTCGGTGTCGGTAATCGCTCCGCTGTCGCAGGTACGTGACTATGGACTGAATCTGCTCCATGCTGCACTGCTGATGGCCTTTACGACAGAATTCAATATTTTGTGTGATCGTGAGCAGCTCTACACACTGTACTACCAACTCAGTTCAATTCACATACTTCTTCAGCGGAAGCGGCTCAGATCGTTCTTAATACCCCAGTGTCCAAGACGATGATACCTCTCAACATTACACATCAAGCCATAGTCACGAACTCCATTCATACCCGGTTACTGTCTCCCAGCGCCGTGTCTGGTACCGAAGGTCGTGTCGAGGCATCCAGTAACCTGAGACACAGTCTTTCAACCCTCATCTTGTTCTTCAAGGAAACGTACAGATCTACTTTTGGATTCGAAGACGGTCCACCTCTCCACGATGCCCTTACTATTGCATACATATCGAGGCCGCAACTATTCACCTGCAAGAGGTACAGAACCGACGTAGAACTGACTGGTCTGCATACCACTGGGCAGACCATCGTTGACATCTGGGATTATAGAGCGTCTGACGATTCTTGGGGCACGACAGGGAAAAATTGCAACGTCGCGGAAGGGCTCGATGTGGGCACTTTTTTTTTACCATCGAGTGATTGTCCTGATTTGTTTGGTCAGGTTGCTGCGTTTTTCGAGATGTTTTTGGAGTGCGTCACTCGATGTGATAGGGTGTCTCCCCTCAATGAAAGCAATTGACCGTGCATCTCGATGCAGGTAGTATCATAAGTGTATATAACGCAGGGATATATTGAGTAAATTAGGTAGGCATGTATCGAGCATGGAGTATCCGTATTCCAATCCAACAATTTGCTCTATGGCCTACCGCCGTCGAAAAATATTTTGTTGACGGGGCGATGCGGCCTTGCCCTGCGCTTGCCATCGCGCATGCTGCGAATGGCCTGGTCCACTTCGCCCCGTCCAACAGAATGTAGGCCTCCCGTACGACCCTGAGAAGCTGGAAAATAATCCGTTTGCTCTTTGCTTCCCTTGATCGTCTGAGGGAATGTATAAGGCATCGGGAATGGTGGAATAGGTGAATAAAGCCTTACCAGCTCTTCTGGCTCCTGTTGGTTTACTACGATGCTAGGCGATGATACCATGATCTTCGTCTCGGCATCGTGCACCTCCAATGCAGCTTTCTGTAGGCACACCGTCAGTGTAAGCTCGACGTTATATATTGAGTGATCAATCACCTGCAAGGACGACGAGAAAGATAATATGAGGGCAAAGAGATCCTCTGGCTTAGGTGTTTCAGGGGAATCCGGGGCTTCGCCGTAGTAGGCAAGCAAAGACCGGAGATCGATGTCTAGTGCAGATCCCATCTTCTTCATGGCATCTATACTTTGCGTGTTTTCACCTACAAAAGGCTAAACCAGCGGTAGGTATCGCAAAAAATCATTGTCAAAACATTTAGAGCTCACCCGCATCACTTGAACAAAATGGTCATTTGTCAGGCGTAGCAGTTCCACATTTTTGACCTCTTCATTGACTTGGTTGAGACCGTTGGTAAGTGCCAATATCGACGCAACGATACTTTGAACTGAGACTGTGGAATCAAGTCAACATCAAGATCACTTATCAATATCGTGTATGGAATGTCACCTCGTGCAGCGGCTTCTAGATGCGGCATCTCTTCAATGAAGTTTATCATCATGGAGTCGGTTCGAAGGAGTAAACGAGCAAGGTAATGCAGCAGAGTGGGACAATCGGATCCTTTGACCGTTTTCGTTTCCCGCATCTACACAAAATCAGTGGCAGAATCATCAGCAGAGTGCTTAAGTTACCTTCAAGAGAGCATCCAGCTTAAAGCCTCGCGCACCACCGCGGAAACTCGAACTATTGAGGGCATTACCGATAGCGAGGACAGCCTGAAGAAACTACAAGTGAGAGGAATATACACAGGTAAAAAAAGACTGACTTGAAGAACACCTTTGAACCTGATTGACGACCGCACTTCACGGGATGCACTGCGAAGAATGTTCAGTTCCGGTCTGATTTCTTCGATCTCCAACTCCAGACGTCGCCGGAAGATCATGCACTCTAGACGCTCTGATAGTCGAGGGATAGTCATAATCTACGGGAGAGTATGAAACGTAAGTTCAGATGGAGGGGGACCGCTTATGTACCTGGTGAAAGTATTGGTCGGCCTTCGCAAGTTTCCCGATATCATCACATCCCCTAAGCCTAATGATTTCTTCGGATGTCGGAAGTTGTTTGCTGATGGCTTTCAAGTCGTCAATTGATAACTTCGCATCATCAACGTCCAGTAACGCCTTCCGAATCTCTGGAAGCCCCATCTTGATTCTGGAAAGCATGATGGCTATGGCAAGATGAGAGATCATAGCAAGAAGATAAGTTGGGAGCTCACCAACGTGATTTGCACGAGTGATGTCCAGAAGCGTTGTTATTGACTGTTTCCCCGCCTTATGGTCTGATACAGGAATTAGCGTCGAGCTCATGTTGTCCATAGCAAAAGTATTTTCTAGATCATCCATGTGAAAAGTAGGTACGGAAGAAAGCTCATTCCACACGCTAGATGTAAGATTGATAGACTCTAGCTTGTTCCAGAAGAAAGGTTTGAGGCGCTTTGGAACAACTGCTTTAGATTTAGGCGTTCGGAACGCGCTAGGTGGTGGAGGCGGCGGAGGCGGCGGAGGTGCAGGAGATCGTGGAGCACCCGAATCCCCAAAAGGAGAAGACGGCAATGGCGGCGGCGGTGGCGGAGGAGGAGGAGGGGGAGGAGGACCTGCCGTATGTACCTGAGAGATATAGGGAAGGTTGTTAGTGGCCGCCCGCATCCCTGGCGGCGGCGGCGGCGGCGGCGGTGGTGGTGGCGGTGGCGGTGGCGAAGCAGCGGTAGAGGCAAGTGGTGGTGGTAGTGGCGGCGGTGGCGGTGGCGGTGGCGATGATGATGACGACGATGGTCGCGTATCAGAGGCAATAGCATTCACAGTCTGAGGCAGGACGAGTGAACCAGCAGCTCCGGTCGGCTTTGGAGGTGGAGGTGGAGGTAGAGTTGGAGGACGAGTCGGAGGGGGCGGTGCCGGAGGAGCAACTGAAGATTTAAAATCCCCCTCTGTGATGAAACGAGGTTTGGCAGCCAACTGGACCTTGAGTTCAGCGTTTTCCTTCAACAAAGTTGACATTTCTTCATCTCTCTGGGTGAGGCTTTCGATTGCCCGAGCAGCCATTTGTTGCGCATCCACATCTGCGTCTAAGTCTCGCCCCTCTTGTTTCGATCTGAATCGAGAATAGACCGACTCCAGTGCACGTTTGAGATACAATCCCTCTTTGTCTTTCGCGATTGACGAGCTTTCGAGTTCGCTGACCTGGAGATATTTAAAATGAATATTATGAGCATGTCTAAGAATGCTGACCTTGATCTTGTACTGTGCAATTTCGTCCATCAGATTATTCCACTTTGCCTTTTCACGATCTCGTTTGATACGCTCATCCTGTTAATGCGTTGAGGGATGAACTTTGTGGGGGTTTTGTCAATGGATGCTCACCTGCTCCCTTCCCTCGCTTGGATTCTGTGCTTTGAGCTTGTCCAGCTCCGACTGCAATTGTAGAACTTGCTTTTCCTTCTGAACAAGCCGCTGAACGAGGCCTTGAAAATTCTGATTGGTGTTGATAAGGTCAGAGTCCGAGCCATGCTTGGACAGGAACTGACCTCTTGTGCGTGGGGAGAAGAGACGCTCGGAGGAGATGACTTCAATGTATTGAGTTCAGCAGTCCGCTGATGAAGCTCATCGCGAAGGATGGCACGCTGTAGAATCGATGAATTAGTACTTCTGAGCAATTGCCAGCTAGCAGTGGTGTGTCAGAGTAGTCCATCAACGTACACACTCTAGCAACAAAGAATAAGAGAACATATGAGGAACTCACCTCTCTGGTTAACTCTTCGATTTCGTGGTGCAGATTCTCCAATATTTGTTCAAAAACGACGCCAGAATCTGGCCTTGTAGCGTCCTTTTCATCGAAGGTTTGGCCGGTGATGTGCTGTATAGATACGGCGAAGTCCTTCAGGAGAAGCTGCCAGCTTTCGTCACTGAGACATATGAAATCAGATTTGGTTCAAACAGAGAAGAATGTGCCATACAAGCCTTGAACATAAATCATTTGTTTCACAAAAGCGGCTGAAACCGTTATCAACTTTGTCTTAAGTTGGCTGGCATCTGAATGTAAGCAATGCACACGGAAGCTAGACGCGAGCACCTACACATCCATCTCTCTTTTCAAAATGACTGCATAATCCTTTAAAATACCGACGATCTTTGAGTGGATATCAACATGTTGCTTAGAGAGAGAGACCAATTCTTCAACAGCAGCCTCTGAATCGGAGATTGATCGTTCATGTCCGTGTTCCATGAGGCTTACGGCTCTTTCTCGCATGTCTTCCTCGTCTTCAAATTTCTCTTCTGTGTAGACATCGAGTTGCGTTACCATCATATCTGGTGGCTTAATGTATCGAAGTGTCTGCACGTGAAACGTGAGCAATTGCCTGACACTGAGTTCCTTCTTAGCACTTACAACGATCACTTCATTGAGGCCGCGCCGTCCAAATTCCTCTCGAAGAAAGATACGTTCTTCGAGAGATTCAGGACAGTTTGTGAGAGCGTTGACAAGTACCATTGAAGCAGTACGAGCTTCCCATGCACCGTTGTCTTCGGTACGGCGGTCGAAGGCTAAGTCACTTCCGCTGCTGTCGGTATCTGTCAATGACAACCGCAAGGAAGATATGAGATCTTCAAATCGGAAGGCCTCATCGAAGGCGATTCTATAATCCGACATAGCCGCAAGGACCGCTTTGTGACCGTCCGGCAGAGAAAGAACGCATATCGCAGCGAGAAGGTCAGAGACTAGGGAGCGAAGCTTGAAGGAAGAATGATGAAGGGAATAGGCAATATGTGTCACAATAGTGGGCGAAGACAGCACTTGCTCAAACCCCGCCTGGAGAAGCAATTCAAATTGAATTTCCCTCAGATAGAAATGTGTCCATACCTCTGTATTGAGAAGTACTCTCAAACATTTGATCAACTCGAGCAAAACTGACTCTTCAACGTCGCTCAATACCTTTCTCTTGCCGCCTTTAGAAACGAGTCTGGCCAGCACACTCCCCAATACCTGGAGCCCGGTCTCTTCTTCTACGAACTCGTTGGTCCACGCCAAATTAGCCGTGGACAAATGAATGCGCAAGGAAATCAAGTGCTTCACTAGCTTGGTATCCATCGCCCTGCCCAACCGGATGACATCTACGTACCACTTGGGGGTCTGGTCTTCTTTCAGCGACATTGATCCCTTATCCCCACCTGCCGACCTGAACCAACTGGACCAAAGACCGCCAGTGGTCTGCGGTTGAAGTGGCTGCGCTTCCTCTACTGTCTTGTGAGCCTGAGCGATTCGCGTAAGCATACTGGTAGCACCAGATGGACCGTAGGTAGCAGAGAACGATGGCTGCTGTATCGCCGATGTCCGCGCTTTCGAGAGGGACGCCATACGAGATAACCGATGTTGCTCGAGTAGATATCTCTTTCGGTCTGACGGTAAATGTTGCATCGCGTCTCGCTGAGGCCCCTTCAGACCCAGATCGTTCTATAATTGCTTGAGTGACTAAGAACGAAACAATCGTGTATTCTTCACATACCAGCATCTCCTCGAAGTCTTGAGTGTCGAGGTCTTCATCGCCGATGACATCATCTCTTCGACTAGAGCCAGTTCCGGCATTCGACGTACGTCGAACGAGGGTAGGCTCACTCACACTCGGAGTCATCACAGCGGCCGCCTTCGTAGGTGATGTAGGTGTGGCAGGACGAACCCAACCCTCGAAAATACTGGAGAACCGACTGGGAGATAAAGAGCTTCTCCAGTCCGACTGACCACTTCCAACTGGCTGAGGTGATGAAACGTCTTTCTTCTTGGCTGTTCCCTCGTCTTCGTCCTCGGAGGAAAAGGGATCTTGAACTTTTTTCAAAGTTGATACTGAAGGTTCACGAGTTACCGAAGACAAAGATCGGGATTTGGAACGACGATACCACTCGTCGGGAACGACGTAACGGAATGTCCTCTTCGCGTTCGCAGTGAAAAGACTGGGGATGTTTGGTGTGTCCAGAACCACGGAAATCACGGAACTTCCAGACAATCTCGACGATTCTGATGGTAGAGATCAATATGAGACTGGCTTACACACTGATACGTGTAGAAAAAATCTCACTTTCTGTATCGCCCTCGTTCCAGACCTCTTCCAGAGCGTACTCTAGTGTACCTCCGCCAGGGACAGGAAGCGACTTTGTGAGTCCAAGCTCCTCAGCCACAGCATTGATCGTATCTTGCACTGTACTAAACCTTGACACGAAGGATTTGAAGTGAAAGCCGTCGTGTATCTCCGGTACACGGAGGAAGGTCACGGTCAAGGATAGAGCTGGGTGAAAGGACACGAGTCGGAGGGAGGGAGAATGGAGGTGCAATGTCAACGCGAAAGTCGAGAACTGGCGTTCAGAGGATGGATCTGAAGGTGCGTCGTTCATTAAAAGCGCAACCGGTGTCGATGGGGGCGCTATACCTGTGAAAGGTTGGGGACCAGTGAAGGGAATGTAAATGATGACTTGATCTTACCGTCGCCCAAAGATTCTAGCTCTTCCTCTTCCCATCGACGACCATGCTTCTCTGTTCGAATTCTCTGAATCCCCCACCCATGGGGGTGAAGATCCCCAAGGACGTCCGTTGTCACCTCATCAAGGGCAATGAGACGCTCAATCACGTCCTGGATGGTGCTATCAGAGTTGACGGACGCAAAGTGAAGGGACCCAGAAGGGAGGACAGTGGGTACAATCAAAGGATCGTTTGCCATACTACGATTGTGTGTGCATGCACGCGGCGAGACTAAGCATGAAAGGCCGCATGAAATCAATCCTCACCTATGAATGGAGCTTATTCGAGGTTCTTACTCTGCAGTTGACTGCTGACAAACGCTTCTTGCACCTGCACCATCACCTTCCCGATTCGGACACTGCTAGCTCATCGCCTGTCCTGAGTCTCTCCCCTCCTCACTCTTCCCTATCGTGGGTACTACACTCCTTTATCACTCTTTGACATCCCTAGGGGCTGGCTTTCCTATTGACCTTCCATATTTTTAGGGAGAGTCACTTGGGGGTGGGATTGTGGTTGCATCCTCTTGTGGGACCCTGCCCTCCCCCTCTCAGACCAAAAAGTCATTAAACTACTTGGATGGTGATGAGTGCATGGGTGGTTAAGCACCCTGAATGATTGTGCATCTTCCCAATGGTGCCTGTGGCACCTTATATTCCACCTAGGGTGCTATGTGTGCCCTTGTCCCCCTTGCTAGTATGGTGAGTGTCTGCCCCTCATAACCACCTTCCTACTATCCACATTCATGCAAAACCAATGCCTGGGTGGAGTGTACTGTGTCATCAAAGGTGCTAGGGAGTTGTAACAGGCTAGGTGACAAGTGCATGGGTGGTAAAGGCACTCTGAATAATTGTGCCACCCACAACACTACTGTAAAACCTATATCTGGTGGGGCTCATGCACTAACACCTGGCCCATAATTGGGAGTGGCATATGCTGAAGGAATTAGGTGTGGGGTTCAGCAGATACTGCATCCTGATCATGAGTAACTTGACTGCTTTCTCTAATTGCCTGCTTTAGCTAGGCTGATAATCTGGGCCATAACTGAGCCCTTAACTTGCTATGGAGTATATGGGGCTACACTCTTTTGTATTTTCTGCTACCACTGGTGTTACACTATGTGGGATATAAATGCATTGATTTAAATTAAATAAATAAATAAAATACTGCTGACAAACACTAATTGTCTTCTAAGGTTCCACGAGGCACGACTGGAACCCTAGAATTAGGTCTATGGTTGATGAGGGTTCCGCTGCCTGCTCCCACGCAGTGCCAGCAGCAACTCTCATCCTTTCCCCCTCGTCAAGCTGCCCAAGCAGCTAAACTCATTCCTTTGCATTTGTTTAACACCATAGCACAAACCACATCCTTTCCACTCGAGCCTATCTGACAAATCATGCCCCCTCGTATCCTTGTTGATCCCAATGCTCTCATCTGTCCCGATTACGCTTTAGACATATATGCTGGGGCCCGCGAATTAATCGCGCCCGGAGCAGAAGTCGCGGAGGCGGCGCAACGCTTAGCCAACATTTGGACAGCCGGGAACAACGTCGACAGGGGACTTTGGAACCATCAGGTAGAAGCAGATGCCATCGCGGCAGCTGACGCCGAAGCGCTCCTTCAAGCACAGGCCGAGCAGCGACGCCTCGAAGCCGAGCAGCAGGCGGAGGAAGAGCATCGTGAAAGCGAGAAAAAGAAGCCTAAGGCACCAGATTTCGACGAGGAAGCATCCATCCCGAACCACCCAGTCCTCCGGCCGCACCCCTTCGCAGTCAACAAACTGCGCCTCTTCGAGTATGTAGAACTTTGGTATTTCACTCGAGATGGTTGCCTAGATGCTACCAACCACCTACGCACCATCAACGACGACGCCTTTGGCCTCATTAGATCCGAGGATGGCCTCGCCTTGAGGTCCCTTGCAGCCACGCGCCCGTCCAAGAAAGCCATCCCCGATGACGATCTCTCTTGGTATCAAATGTCCACCGCCAAGTCGACATACATTGCGGAGATCGAGCGTTTAAACTGGCCGTTGAAGCACCGCCAAGCCATACAGGAGTTTTTCTACGCCCTAGACATGCATCCTTACAGGAATGCGCACGAGTACGGGGACACCATCCTCTTGCGTTACCAAGCCTCCTCGCGCCGCCTCTGGCACGAGCAACTCAAGATCCCAGGAGGGTCTTTTAACTTGCGACACATCAACGAAACCTTGTTGGACCGCATCGCCACGACCTACTTAAACGAACTGAAGTTTGCATCCGCCCAAAGGTCAGTCTTGAACCTCCTCCCCCCCCCCTTTCCGTCTCCAAGCACCCCGCATTTCTCTTACCCTCCGTCCCTAACCCTGCACCACCCATTCTCCTGCGTCCCCCGCTGCCTCGGTTTCCCTCCCCCCCCCCCTTACCGCGCTGCGTCCTGCGTTCCTCTCTCCCCCCCCCCCTGCGTTTTGCCCCTGCACCCCTCGCCGCGCGCCCTTTCCTCTCCTCTGCCCTCCACGTCACACCCCGTCCCGCGTGTCTACTCCCCGCTGCACTCTTGGCAGGTCAAATGATGGACCCCCCTACCCTCGCGATTTCAGAACGCAGAACTCCACGGGCTCATACCGCCGCAGACGCTCCCCCTCTCCCTCCTCATATAACACGCAGAGAAAGCGTTCCAACTCCCCGCATCGTGGCATTCCCCCTCGCCCGGCCTTGGGCTACCCGCCCCGACCGGATCGGCGGTCTGGCCTATCTAGCGCGCCTTTTCCGCGCAGCGCAAACGCCTCCGGCCCAGTCGTTTGCGCAGTCTGCCTCGGCCGGCGAGAGCACCAAGTTTCAAAATGCAACGCCACCGTTTTCTGGAATGGTGCCTCCACGCGGTGTCGCCGGAGCCCGCGGGGCAAGATCCTCAACCCTCATGGTTTCGAGATCTGTCTCGATTGGCAGCGCGAGCGTAGCTGTGCCTCCAACTCCCATCCCGAGAAGCATGAATGCTCCGGATGTGGCCGCCCCGATCACGGTGCCTCTTTCTGCCCTCTCGCAGAGAAGATCTAAACCTTTGACCCCGTATCAGGCCAGAAACTGGCTCCACGCTCTTCGCGACGCCGGTCTCCTGTCAAAATATCCTACTATATATCCAAGTCTCGCCCACGGTTTCCACATTGGTATCCCTCCCCTCCTACGTACTAATATCCCTCCTAATAGTCCTACCATTACTGCGATGACCCTTGAGTTTCAGAAGATACTTGATCATGAGTTTGCGAGTGGCCGCTATCTCGGTCCGTTTACTCGTTCTGGAGTCGAAAGCCTTCTGGGCCCTTTCCAAACATCTCCACTATCCTTAATTCCGAAACCTCATAAACCTTCCGTCTTTCGTCTGATACAAAATTTTTCGTTCCCATACACCTCCTCACCCATCCACACATCTATTAATTCGTACATATGCTCTGACGATTATCCCTGCACATGGGGCACTTTTCCCATTTTCGCTTTCTTAGTTTCGAATCTCCCTCCGGGTTCTCAGGCCGCGGTTCGCGACGTCTCTGAAGCATACCGTACCCTTCCACTTCATCCCTCGCAGTGGCCGGGCACAGTAGTCCGCCTTTCCGAAGGGGATGCCTTTGCTGTCGATACACAGGGTGCTTTTGGCACCGGCTCTACCCCGGGATGCTACGGTAACCTTGAGGACGGTGCAGTCGACATCATGCGCCATCGAGGTCTTGGCCCAATTTCAAAATGGGTTGATGACCACGTGTTCTTCCGCCTACTGCGCGAGCACCTCTCCCAGTATAATAAAAAACGAGAGGTCTGGCGCTGCCAGATCCACTCAGCGGGTGGCCCCCAGCAAGCCGGAGGCCGCATCTGGTATGAAGGCCCTGCGCTACCAAACGACCAGCCAGCTGAGTTTGACGACGACATGGCCTTTCCTGTGCAGGATCTCTCCGCATGGAGCCCCCGCACTCCCGAGGACCAAGCCTACACCTGCAACATCTCTGACATCGATCGCATTTCAAGTTACCTTGGCATTCCATGGCAAGTAGAAAAGGACATTCCCTTCAGCCACGAATTCCCGTTCACAGGGTTCATATGGAACCTCGAAACGAAGCGCGTCTCAATTCCCGCCTCCAAAAAAGAGAAGTATCTCGCAGCGATTGCGCAGTGGCAGGGCTCCCGCTCTCACACCCTTCTAGACGTGCAGAAACTGCACGGGAAGCTACAGCATGCCTCCCTAATCGTGCCGTCTGGACGAGCTTACCTAACAAATTTAGAGGCTATGCTAAGCGTTTTCCGTGACACCCCTTTCAAACCCCGCACACCTCCCCGTGACACCCCCAACGACATTGCGTGGTGGGCTCAAACACTCTCCCGCAACGACGTCTCACGCGCTGTCCCCGGAATTGAGCCTATCCTCGATGTCGGGGCCTTCTCTGACGCCAGCTCAGCCATTGGCATTGGCATCATCATCGGTGACCGCTGGCGCGCGTGGACTCTCACCCCGGGCTAGAACCAGGAAGGACGCGACATTGGTTGGGCCGAAGCGCTCGGTTTTGAGCTACTTGTCCGCGCGCTCCTTTCCCTTTCCCCTGACTCTCCCTCGGCGCATCATCTCAGAGTCTACGGAGACAACCAAGGCATTATTGATGCCTGGGCAAGTGGCCGCAGCCGCAATCGGCAAACAAACCTTATCTTTCGCAGAATCCACCACCTCCTCAAACCTCATGAGGTTTTCGTCCATCCCAGATATATCCCCAGCAAGGACAACCCAGCAGATGGTCCCTCCCGGGGTATCTACCCTCCGCAACGCTTTCTCCTCCCTCCCGTCCTCATTCCGGACGAAGCCCGACCATTCCTGGTCGACGTCGTCCCTCTCCGTCCCCACGCTGGCAGCCAATTGTCCGCCCACAGTGATGCCTGCCCCTCTTACTGTTGCTAGTCGCTTATTTCTCCCCTCCTCGTCCACTGTTCTCCTCTCCCCGTCCATTATCCCCTTACCTACGAGCGTTACCGCGCGCCACACCAACCTCACGACTCCACTCCTCCCTGCACAAACGCGACCCTCTCGTTTCCACGCTCAACTGCCTGATGCCCACAGCAATCCGGTCCCAGCCATTAAACCCTACCCCATGCACCTCACTCCTGCCGTCTCTCCTTTGCGTCCCCACTGTAGTGCGGTTGACCGTCTCATTCAGTGGCGCCCAGAGAACACTGCCCCGCACTCCAGCACCACGCTTTCCCCAGCTGATGAAGACCGCATAAAAGACATCATGGGCCGTGGCTGGGAACGTTCTACCCTGAGTACATATGCTGCAGGCCTCCTCGCATTCCACGTCGCTTGTGACAATAAGGGTTTCCGTGAGGCTGAGCGCGCACCTGCCTCCACGGACGTCATATTATACTTCATCTCTGTGCTCACAGGTGCAGTCGCTGTGCGATCCCTTTCCTTTTTCTTCTCACTAACTCTCTTATCATCGGGCGGCAGGCACTTATGCTGCTGGCACCATAAAAAACTATCTAGCTGGCATCAGGGCCTGGCACATTATTCACCGCATGCCATGGACCCTCGAGGATGATCAAATTGAGGTCATGATCCGGTCTGCCAAAACCATGGCCCCTGTGGCTTCCAAACGTAGACAGCGAGAGCCATACACCCCCAGCATCCTTATCGCTATCAAAAAGGAACTGGCCTTGTCCGATCCCCTTGACGCGGCTGTGTGGGCTTGCGCAACTTCGCTTTTCTATGGCGCCGCACGGGTAGGAGAACTGACCATCCCAAAGCTTGGAGCCTTTGACCCAGAACTCCACCTCCAGCGATCCAGCATCACCTACAAAGCTAGCCGCAATGGTGACGAGGTTACGGAGCTTTTCATTCCCCACACAAAGACAAACAAGGCTGGCGAAGCAATCTACTGGGCCCAACAGAACGACGAGTCCGACCCGCACGCCGCTCTTTCTAACCATTTGTTCATAAATAACCCTCGCCCAGGCGAGCATCTTTTTACCCATACAGTTGCCGGGTCGCGCCGCCCCCTCACTAGAAAGATATTCCTCTCCCGCATCTCTGCTGCTTCCACCGCCGCCAAGCAAAAGCCACTTCACGGACACAGCTTCCGTATTGGAGGCACCTTAGAGTATTTGTTGCGGGGTGTACCCTTTGACACCATGCGGGCCAAAGGCCGCTGGGCCAGCTCTGCTTTCCTTGTCTACCTGCGAGACCACTCAGAGGTCATGGCGCCCTACATGCAAGCCAACCCTGAGGTGCACAGCAGCCTTTTCCACCTCACTGTTCGGCCCGAACTAGCACGCACCCCCCTTTGAGCAGGTTCGTCGTTGCCTTCCTACCATAGTGGGAATCCAGGCCAGCCTAGACGCGTCGCCAACTCCTACCGATTGGGTATCGCGGCTGACCTCTTTCTTGCCCCGTTTTCTGTTTAGACGTTCTTTCTGCTGCACATCGGAAAGCCTCACGGGCTTTCGCCCACCCCTGTCTCTTCGGCATACATTTTGCTCAGACCATCTCTTGTTCCCGCGCTGTCTCGCTGCTTTTAGTCATCATATTCTGCTTACACATACATACTCTTCTCGCAATGTCAGTTGTTTGATCTGCCTTCACTTGCGCGTGCATCAAACAACCTCCCCCCCCTATTCGCAAGGATCACCGAAACCATAGATTGTCTTCTAAGGTTCCACGAGGCACGACTGGAACCCTAGAATTAGGTCTATGGTTGATGAGGGTTCCGCTGCCTGCTCCCACGCAGTGCCAGCAGCAACTCTCATCCTTTCCCCCTCGTCAAGCTGCCCAAGCAGCTAAACTCATTCCTTTGCATTTACCCTCCCTCCACTCCCTAAAGAAATCAGGCAGCAATCCTAGTGCTTTAAACCCATTCATACATGCCACATAATCATAACGTAAAATTACTTGCTTCCCTATAAAAAAATAAGCGCCTCCCTCTGCATATCAACCTCACCGTTCCATGCAATTTTTTCTTTATCCCATACCTTGCCCTATCTTCCCCTTTTACCAACCCATGTCTTCCTCTATGCAACTCCACCTTCCTCCTGATGCACGGATTGTTGCTGGATCCCTTGATGACCCATCGCACCTCATAATTTTTCATGGCACTGAAGTCGCCGCTGAAACGCCTTTGCCATTAGATTGCCCTTTCCCCCCCCCATCTCCATCCCTTTCTTCTCAGCACCCGTCTGCATCTCCACTCAGGAAGACATCCCTCATTCCCATCCATGCACGATTGGCTGCACAGGCTGGCTCTCCAATTGACCCTTCAATCTGGAATGTCACATGTCGCCCTAGTGAGCGCATCTGCCTGGGCATCCCAGTCACCCTTATAAGCACCCGTGTTGGTACACCCTTCTCTGGAACTCCCCGACGCATCAGGACCATAGAGCACGACTGGATAGAGTTTTGGTTGGAAGGGACTGACAACGAGTGCACCGCTCTCTTATGTACTCCGAGGGCATGGGCAGTTGTGCCCTGGCACATCACTCTGCTCCACCTTGTCCTCAACCCCTGGTTATCTAACACCACCCCCCCCCTACCGAGCCACCGGCTCCTCGCACCAAATGTCACATGGGAGCACTGCTCCCATATCCGCCCCCTCATTGGTCACCGTCACCGTCGTTGCTTACCAGGCGAAGTTGCAGTGGAACAAGTCAGCAGGCTTCCCACCTCGCCTAGCTTCCTCACTTTATAAGCATCGGCTTATTGCCCACCTCTATCTTATTTTCTCCGCACCAGATACTCCCACATGCTACCAATTGCATTTTGCCCATGTCGTTCCTTTCTATACCTACCATCATTTTTCTCTGACCTAAAACCCACCCACCCTCCTTGTCTTTCTCCCTTCGCACGCGTTCGGATGCTCAGCTGAGAAGCAACGTCTCGGGAACGCGCCTACCCACTGATAGGACAGGCGCTCCGCGATGGTCCCACCCTCCCATCGCGGCTGACCTCTTTCTTGCCCCGTTTTCTGTTTAGACGTTCTTTCTGCTGCACATCGGAAAGCCTCACGGGCTTTCGCCCACCCCTGTCTCTTCGGCATACATTTTGCTCAGACCATCTCTTGTTCCCGCGCTGTCTCGCTGCTTTTAGTCATCATATTCTGCTTACACATACATACTCTTCTCGCAATGTCAGTTGTTTGATCTGCCTTCACTTGCGCGTGCATCAAACAACCTCCCCCCCCTATTCGCAAGGATCACCGAAACCATAGATATTGGTTCTAGATGCACATTGCCCTGATTTATTGCAGATTTTAGGTAAGCAAGCTCAAGTTAAGTGTTGTCTTAGTTCAAACAGCTACAGCAATGATGTGATCCTTACAGAGACAAGACACTACAGATAGCTATAAATAAACAGGACCAAACACAAGTCAATCTTCCTCTTCCTCCATCTCCTCTTCAAATTCCACCAATTCATCTGGTGCAGCAGGCACAGACCACGGCTGTTCCGCCTCCATTGCCTCTCTCAGATTGTATCTTGGGTTGTAATTCATGACAGCGAGCCTTGCGTCCGAGTCCCATCTTAAGCCGCTGTCGAAGAACCGTCGCTTTCTTCTCTCCGAATTCTGTTCGTAGTAGCCGAAGTGATCTAGCGTAGGGACTGTGTACCACTCGTTAGATACAATACTCATCCGTTTTCGCTGTCCTGCGCGAAGTGGTCGCTGTCTTTGCGAAGACAAAACTTCGTCGGAGTCGTACCGGTACGAGTCAACATCATCCGAGTCGTCAGTAAGAGAGTCGACTGTTTCTGGTTCCTGTAGGTTGTACACAAACCGGGAATGCTCTATGCAAGAGCCAGTAAGATCGTGCGTTAGATGCAAGACGGGTGAACATACGTGCTAAGCGATCATCAAGCTCGTCTCTTGAGCCTAGTTGACCGTCTCTGAATAATCCAAGATGCTGGCCCACGCTCTCTCTAGGAACGTCGTGCATAGCGACAGAAGGGACCGGTTGCAACTCGTGTAATTGCTTCAGGGCAATTTCCCTTGAGCCCAAGACGTCAATATCCAGTAAAAGACAGTCGAGGAAACCGAGCTCACTTCACTTTTTCCAACGAGCCGTCCTTGATATTTAGATCCTCCATATTACTCTCCGCAACTTCTAGCCTATACCTTGGCCCAAACCACTCGAAGAACTCATTCCACGGCAGGCTCAGATTGATATCTTTTTCAATTCCTAGAGCGCATGCGGTCTCGTACGCCCATGTACGTGACGCATTCTTGACTGTATAGCCGCCGCCGCCAAGAAGTATCATGGGAATATTCAAGTTACGAATGAACTGGACACAGTGAGCATGGCCCTTCATGGTCACGTTGAAACAGCCGAGCTTGTCGCCCGACAGCGAGTCCGACCCACATTGAAGAACTATAGCAGCGGGCCTAAAGGTGTCAACAATTCCTGACACGACCTTTCACTAGAATGAGTGTGATGCTCGCCTTTGAGGGGGTGATATTATCACTTGCCGGTTCGAATATGCTCCGGAATGAGTCGTCTGTCAACCCATCCTTCAACGGAACGTTCACCGCATACCCCTTGCCCTTGCCCCTCCCCTTGTCTTCTTGTGTACCTGTGCCAGGAAAGTATTCACCAAACTTGTGAAAGCTGCACGTCATGACGCGATCAGTCGTATAAAACGCCTCCTCCACGCCATCGCCATGATGGCAGTCAATGTCGACATAAAGCACGCGTGGGAAGGTGCGTAGGAGTTCGAGGATGCCGAGTACTATGTCATTGATGTAACAGAACCCAGAGGCTTCACGCTTTTTGGCGTGATGTAGCCCTCCAGCCCAGTTGATGGCGATGTCGGCCGCCCCAGAGGTGATGCGTTTTGCGGCAGCTAGTATTCTTGAGCTAAACTTCGAAGCGCGCATGACCAATGAGGACGTACCTATGGTACCACCAGCTGAGATCGAGCAGAACTCGAAGATGCCTTCGAATGCTGGATTATCGTCCCCGACCAAGACTGCCTAATTGGCATTAGGGAATATACTGAACAAGGGAGAAAGTAACAACATACACCTTGTCCCGTGGTACGTCAATTCTTCTGCCGTATCGGGAGTTACTTTATTCAAGAAATGTACATATTCGTCTGTGTGAAACGCAGCCATGGCTTCAGGAGTTGCGCGACGTGCTCTCTGTTGAACAACGTCACGAAAGTAATATTGAAAGCTCAAGACAACCTTACTAGAACTTCCATCTTCGGTAACATATCATACACAGTTACCAATTCATGGGTGATTCGCATGCGAAGCGGTTTCATTGGATGGCCTTGACCATACGAGTATGATCCGATGTCCGCTGGAGGATTACACGTTAGAGTTCATCTTGAATGTGTAAGCGCCACATACGATCATAATAGTAGGAAACGCGTCGTCGAGACATTGCGATGTCGGCAGTGAGGAAGCTTGAAGCTTGTTGCGATCGGAACTACGCAGGGTCGAACGTTGGACGAGCGGAGTTACAATGATTTATACTACATCTTCCGTATTTGAGTCAAACCCTGCCGGGTATAGCCCTATTCGGGCAGATAGATTGAGTAAACTTAGTTTTAGTCCGTTAGAAAGTCACATTTTCATCTCCGAAGGCATACGTGGGAACCAATCATGCGATGCTTTGAACGTCATAACTGCGACCTGCCCTTGCAGAAATCCAGCAATATATCGCACTCTTGTCATGCCTTCTACCATGACTGCGAAAGCACCGGACAGCTATACTTTCACCGTCGGAAAGCTAGGTGTGTAAATATTCTACTCTTACATCCCTGTTTGTCTGAAACGTGTTGTTTATAGATGCGGGCATGGCTGTACGCACTTCTGAACAATCCTGCCGCCCTCTCATAACAGAATATATGTTTAGATACTTCTTGGAGAGCGTGCACATCTTATCGAGTTTCCTTCCTTACTTCTTCCTCCAGGCGCAACCGCCGGTTCGATAGTGAACATATCAGTGACACAGAATGTTCTGGAGGAGCAGAAGCGTGACGATGAATTTTGGCAATTGCAGAACGATATTCTCGAGACATTTGGACATAACACGCCCAAAGCTCCTGAAATCAAGGTGCGTATCAGCCAAATCTTTACCGTATCGAAACTATCAACGGATCCGGGTTGTTTGCTTGCCATTACAGCTTCGAAATGTGACGCAAACCTCCGTAACTCTAGAGTGGCCCCCACTCGACCTTGCCACAGCTCATCTACGCTCGCTTGATATCTACAGAAATGGTGACAGGCTCGCGCCTATCCCTTCTCCCATGCAGAACACGTCGACAAAGCTTTCCGGTCTAGCTCTCGATAACGATTATACCTTCCGCCTTGTCCTTCGCACATCTGCCGGAACATATCAGTCGAATGTCGTCCATGTACGCACACATACCATGACCGACACTTCCGGTATCTCTGTTTGCTTTGGGAATGTTCAGGACCCCGTGTTGCTAGAAAATGCGAAGTTAGCTTTGCAGGATATGGGCGCGAAGTGGAGCGACAAAATCCAAATTGACACAACCCACTTTGTTTGCACTACTCCTGCTGCGACACCTTCAGGCGCTCAAGCTACTGGTAGTGTCAGTAGTGCACCTGGGGTAGAGTACCAGAGAGCGCTGCAATTGAGTATACCCGTAGTGCAGCCACATTGGATCTTAGCATGCCACACGGAAAAGAAGTAGGTTGCGATGAAAGTTTTATTCGTGTCTGATGTCCCAATACTATCAACAGGATGATTCCTATTGCCTCATACTACCTCGGCACCACTCCATCTGCACCCATCAATTCTGCGCCCTTTACACGACATCAATCTATGTCGCAGGCTTCGCTTCCCCATAGCGCGTCTTCGAATAAGGCTGCTAACCGCGCCTCGATGCCTGCACCAGCGCGCACACCAACCGACCCCTCTCCTTCTATGCGGGCGTCCGGTATGAGTATTGAATCTTCGGCACGCGCCACTCCCCATGGTTTCGAACCCACACCCGAAGAGCAAGGCGGATCAGAGGAAGAAGATTCGAGCTCACCAACGAAGAAGAACCGAGGCCCCCCACGAATGAGACACGGTACAATGGACAGGGCATTTAAATTCCCACCTGGACCACCACCTCCGGTCCCTGAAATCAAGCCTGAACACTTGCAGAATACCAGGGATGAGGCAATGCACCTGTCAGCAGGAGGAAGCCAAGAAACCGAGGCGCCTCTGGATGTGAAGGGGCCTGCTGACTACGAAGGGTCAGAAGAAGCCGGACTTACAGCTGTTCGTACCGTCGCTCCGTCGAGCGTGGAAGTGCCGTCGCTACCTCCCGTCGAGCGAGAAAAGGGTGCTAGTCAGCAGGATGAAGGTGACGAAGACCTCGGGGAGACGGAGGAAATATCGCTAAATTGATCTGGTTCGATGATACTGTACGCACTTTTCTGTCTCTTGTTCATTGTCAGTTCTTTGAGGTTCACACGCACTTTGCGACGCTGCCTTCTTTTTATCCTGTCCAATATATTTTACCGCGAACGATCCACGAAGGACTCAGATGTCTTACAGTTCATTATTTTGTGATGGCTATTGACAATTCCAGTCAAGTTGTCGAAAACCCGCACTCGAGGAATGAGCGGGAAAACATCGGATATACTGACTGCACGTGCAGCACTCGTGCAGCCCCTGAACGATCGGGTTACTGACCGACTGCCGATTCTCCAACTCATTCGAGTATAAATGCCCAGCTCATTCACCTATCAAGATGTTTCTATCGTGGACTCTTCCCTCCTCTACCTCGTCTCAAGCCAGTTCAACACTTTTGCCCTGCTAAAGAAATCTCTACACTTGTCTGAATATCGTTATGCCTCCATCTGACTTTGCAACAGCAAACATCGACGATATCGTCGCGCAGCTTACAACGGAAGAAGCCATTCAACTTATTGCAGGCGTTGGCTTTTGGCATACGTATGCAGTCCCGCGCTTGGGTATTCCCTCGATTAAGGTAAGCATGCGAGAACTTTGACCAACTTACTTTCTCTACGATGCATCGAACGTCGATCCGCATATACTTTTGCATAGGTCAGCGATGGTCCGAATGGTAAGACTATCTGACGATACAAATTCAAGATATAACTTAATAACTCGCTCAGGCATCCGGGGGAATCATTTTTTCATGGGCACTCCCGCGAAATGCCTTCCAGTCAGTTGGCTATATTCGAGTGTCTGTACATGCATAACCTACCCTGTTACAGTCAGCCACGGCTCTTGGCGCTACCTGGGATGTCAGACTCATCGAGCAAGTAGGCTTGAAATTGCTCGCTAGAGAAGCAAAGCTCAGAGCGGCATCCATTGCTTTAGCACCTACATGTAATATACAACGGGTATGTCACTATGCAGTGTCTTACGAGACTTGCGTTGATAGCAATGTATAGAACCCGCTAGGAGGCCGCGTATGTATTTTTACAGAATATCTGACTACTTTCACTCATGGAGATCAGAGCTTCGAAAGCTTCTCAGAAGATCCGTACCTCTCTGGCATGATTGCTGCAGCTTATGTCAAAGGTATCCAGAGTGGTGGGATTGGTGTTGCTATAAAGCACTTTGTGTAGGCCCTCTCTCTTGAGTTTTCGATTCATCCCTCTCAATGTCTGTTTCATAGTGCAAACGACAAGGAAAATGATCGCATGGGATATGACAGCGTTCTAAGCGAGCGAGCTTTACGAGAAATTTACTTGATGCCTTTCATGCTAGTTCAGAAGCTCTCGAAGCCTTGGTCCGTGATGACAGCGTGAGTGCAAAGCTTGCTCCATAATATCATTTCATTTCAACAAGCCTCCAGCTACAATCGCGTGAACGGCACACATGCGTCAGAAAATATCCACTTGTTACGAGATGTGCTTCGAAAGGAGTGGGGCTTCGAAGGCCTGACCATGAGCGACTGGTAAGCACTGCTCCGACGGACTGCAAACATGCAGCTGATGCATACATCTCCCCCTCCTCTTCTAGGTTCGGTATGTACAGCGTTGATCACGGCATCAATGCCGGACTTGATCTTGAGATGCCTGGGACCAATAAATGGCGTACACTCGAGCTGGTGAGCAGGTCCATCGCAGCTAGGAAGGTTACTGTCAGGACCATCAAAGAACGAGCCAGAAAAGTTCTTGAGCTTGTACAAAGGTGTGCGAAGGAGGCTCCCGAGGTTGATTCTTCTCTTTCTATTACCCAAAAACAGCTCACTGAGTTGCTTCAGGTTCTCGACGGTGATGGTCAAGAATACACTCGCGAGAGTGAAGACGACAAAATCCTTATGCGGAAAGTAGCAGCTGAATCTATCGTTCTCTTGAGGAACGAAAACCGAGTCCTTCCCTTGAAGCCGGCTGGCTTGAAAAAGATCGCCATTGTCGGAGCAAATGCGAAGGCCTTCGTACTGTCTGGTGGAGGCTCTGCAGCTTTGAAGCCCTCTTATTTTGTTTCGCCTTACGATGGCATTGTCAATGCGCTTCCGAAAAGCATCGAGGTCACGTACAGCGAGGGTGCTAGAGGTACAGCCGCGTGCTCACCGAAAAATTCACTTATTGGCGTTGATAAGTTTTGAATCCCAATTAGCCTTCAAGACTATGCCGTCTCTCGACTTTGACCTTTTCACAGAGGGCGGTGAAAGGGGATGGATTGGCACTTGGCACAAGCACGAGCATGATGAAAGTATGACTCCTATGGACGAGCCGTTTGTGACTCGTCTGATCGACGAAACAAGGATTTTTGTCAGTCTCTCGGCACCACAAGGAATTACTCGAAGATGGACCTTAAGACTTCGTGGCCAGCTACTTCCTCGACCTTACGACACTGATTTTGAGTTCGGCTTGTCTGTGGCAGGTCGTGCCAAGGTACTTCCTACGTGTTTCTTCTATTGACAACTTGTCCTAATGATGATTCTCCTGTAGCTATTTGTTGATGGGCAACTTGTTATTGATAACTGGACGCGTCAACGCCGTGGCGATGCCTTCTTTGGATCAGGTTCTGCCGAAGAGAAGGGTATTGTGCATCTAAAAGCGAACGAAGGTCATTCTGTATATGTTGAGTTCTGCAACGTCCGTGGGCCGGCCGATGGAGACGAGGATGAAACGGTCATGGATGCAAACCCTGGGGTACGGTTGGGAGGCGCTGAGGTCCGAGACCCAGACACACAGATGGAGGAGGCTGTGCGACTGGCCTCAGAAGCAGACGTCGTCATTGCTGTGGTTGGACTCAACGCGGACTGGGAGACCGAAGGGTATGACAGGACAACGTTGTCTTTGCCAGGACGGACGGATGAGCTTATCCAGAAAGTGTCCCAGGCAAATACCAAAACAATAGTTGTTACTGAGTCTGTACGTCTCATCGTCCCGCTGCCGCCCTTTCATATTCATATTCGTCTGCAGGGATCATCAATAACCATGCCCTGGGCGCAATCGGTCGCTGCCATTGTCCATTCATGGTACCTTGGCAATGCGACTGGTGACGCCATTGCTGATATCTTATTCGGAACGGTCAATCCTTCTGGAAAGCTCTCACTCACGTTCCCTAAACGCGAGGCAGACCTACCCTCATTTGGGCACTTTAATTCTGAAGATGGCAAGGTCCATTATGCTGAGGATCTCTTCGTTGTGAGTACGATTTTGTAATTGGTATAGACATACAATGCTTACCATGTTATTATAGGGTTATAAACATTACGTGCATCGCAGCATTACGCCCGAGTTCGCCTTCGGGTGAGGACATATCCGACATTCTCTCCATTCCCGTCTACAATATTGAACATCATATTTCGCAGGCATGGACTTTCGTACACCACATTTGCGTGTTCTGATCTGCATTTGTCCCACGTCACCGCTCTGAAAGACGATATCAACGCAGTTGCATCCGTGACTGTTACGAACACTGGTACTGTTGCAGGCTCCGAAGTCGTGCAACTCTACACAACCTTGCTGACGGCCTCAGGTCTCACGCATCCCCCTCTGGTGCTCAAGGCTTTTGCAAAAGTGACCTTGGAGCCTCACCAGAGCAAAGTGGTGGTGCTTCCTTTGGACAAGTATGCGGTGTCGTATTGGAACGAAAGGCTTGAAAGGTGGATAGTTGAGAAGGGCGAGTACAAGGTTCAAGTAGGCACCAGCAGTGAAAACTTGCCGCTGGCGGGGAGGTTGATCATCGAGAAGACGATAGAGTGGAACGGTCTGTGATCACGAAGAACGATACGATGTGTGTGTTGTGTACATCGTGATTGTATTGCATTGACTTAGTAATTATGTTAGGATGAAGGTTAATCTGGCCCATCGTCATTCTGCAGAATAAAATGTTCTGTCCCGTACAACGTTGCTGTTGCTGCCGTAGCAGCTGACAGTAATATTGAAAGTCGACTTCTTGGTAATCGTTGGGATCGATTCAAACCGCGAGTGAACTGCTCGATAATGAGATAGCTCAAGGTCCAAGCTAGCGATAACAGTAGATAATTCAGCACGGCTCGAGTACTACGTTGAGGTACGTACATGTTGCGATTCCACTCCCGTTTCGTGAGTCTCCGGTGGAAAGAATATATCCTGCACCTGCGAATATGGCTCCGAAACCACAACGTAAAACGAACGGTGGTGTGTATGTGTGCGCTCGCAGTTTCGGAGGGAAGCCTGCTGAGACAAAGACTAGACCGTTGAAGATGCATCATTAGGTCCATGAGACAGATCCGATAGTGAGATACGCACAGATAGATGCAAGAGCAAACGCAGGGATGCTTTACGGACAGCGCGTCGTTACATAGATGTTGGTCAGAGATGCAACTAATGAGATGATGCTGACTGACGAGGATTGAGATATTCGCGAATCCGGCACGGACGACGCTGGCGACGACCTGGTTCCTGAGGACATGTTGTGCATGTTGTACCGAAAGCAAGACAATTTATCGGAGTATGAACCTCAAAACGCCATAAGCAGAACGATGCCTCTGTACGTCACCGGCGCCAACGCTGTATCCATACTGCAGAATTGGCTGCAACGACTTCTCTCTTAATTATACCATCCAAATAATGCCGGGCGAGTCCACGGACGTGACTGATGCATTGGACGAGAAGCCTAGGGAAGTGGTTATCTATGACAGCCCCGAAGGCTCCGTGCACTCCGGGATTGGTGAACTAGAGGTCAAGCCAGTTGTGGCAGGTGAGAGCCATAACAACAAACGTGATTCATCTGGCGCTGCAAGTACAGAGGTTCAACAAGACGAGAACGAAGTAGAGGATGAAGAAAACGAGGACAGTCGGGAACAGGACGAGAATGGAGACGAAGACGGAGACGAGGACGAGGAAACTTACGAGAGCGACGATGAAAACGAAGACGAAGAAGATGATGAAGACGAAGAGCCGGCATTGAAGTATGAGCGTCTCGGAGGTGCTTTCCAAGATTTGTTCAAAAAAGATTCCGCATCTGCTCTGGCTATCTCATGTAAACTGCTGGTAACTTTACCACCATACTTTCAGTTGCCCCATCTACTGAGAATTTGCCTCAGGCAATCGGAACGCACACAGGGATTGTGCATGTTCTGGATCTAGATGGTAAACGGGTGAAGTCATTCAAGCCCCATACGGCATCTATCATCGACATATGTTTTGATGCCACGGCAGACTTCGTTGGTACTGCTTCGATCGACGGTATGTGCGTTGATGTATTCTATATGCGTTGTCTATCTGATTCAACCTTCACTAGGACAGGTGGTCATTTATTCGCTAAACACCCCAGAGTCATACGTGTTTGATATGAAGCGTCCAATGCGCACGTTAGCGCTTGAGCCCGGCTTTGCGAAAAAAGGGTCCCGTGCGTTCGTTTGCGGGGGGATGGCTGGAAACCTGATCATGCATGAGAAAGGTTGGCTAGGCCACAAGGAGACGACCCTCCATAGCGGCGAAGGTCCTATCTGGCAAGTACGATGGAGAAATCGCCTCATTGCTTGGGCAAACGATGTTGTGAGTTGGGCCTTCTGACATTGTTATTGAAGCTCTCTGAATCCATCATCTGAAGGGTGTCAAAATATATGACGTGTCATCGCAGACCCGCATCACATTCATTGACAGACAGCCTGATGGTCCTCGACCGGACCTCTTCAAATGCACTTTGAATTGGCAAGATGACTCGACCCTGCTCATTGCTTGGGCAGATGTCATCAAGGTGGCTCGCATTCGAGCTCGCCCTAGAACCACCACTTCTTCAACGTCAGCGAACATGCCACCATTATTGGTGGAGATTACCGCGGTGTTCCAGCTGGATTGTATGATATCGGGAATAGTACCTCATCCCACTCGAATATCGTCTTGCAATGCCCACTCTCACCATCGTACCCCCAGCGTCGCGTCAGCGTCCACTTCCTCTGTACCAACCTCTCTACTCGCTCTGGCATACATACCTCCAGACACATCTTTCTTGAACGAGGCCACTGATGATCGAAAGCAACAGGCGCGGAAATCTGCAGAGCGACCTGAGCTCAGGATCGTGTCCCGAGGCGGTGAGGAGCTGGCAGCAGATGCTTTGACAGTGGCAGATTTTCGATCTTGGAGCTGTAATGACTATGTCATTGCTGAGGTCGATCCAGAGGAGGTCGGCGAGACTAGAGCTTATGTAGTCCTTAGCCCACGCGATGCTATCATCGTCCGGCCAAGAGACAGGAAAGATCACGTCGCGTGGTTGGTCGAGCGAAGGCGGTATGAGGAAGCTCTAGAGGAGATCGAGTCAATGGAGGCCGCAGACGGTGAGGGAGGGGTCGATGCAGCCGAAATCGGGCAACGCTATATTGAGCATCTTGTCGGTGAAGGTATATTGGTTACCTTTCCAGAGCTAAGGTGAGTGTAGTGACTGACATCTTTCTGACGTAGGCGAGTTTGTCAAAGCCGCCAAGCTCTGCCCCAAAGTATGTGGACAAGATCTGAAACGCTGGGAGGATTGGATATTCGCCTTCGCTCAGAAACAGGAGCTGCAGGTACGTCGCTGAACCTTCTTAATCGCAGTTGAGGGGTCAACGTCACTTGCAAAGGCCATCATCCCCTACGTTCCGACCGAGTCACCCAAACTGGGACATCTAGTGTATGAAATGATACTCGCGTATTTTCTAGCAAATGATCGACAGGTCGGTTATCACATACACACTGCTTACCTTGTACAGTCAACGATAACATTGCGTTGAAGGCTCTTCAACAAACGATCAATGAGTGGCCGAAGGACATCTACGATATCTCCGCAGTGATCGTCGCAATCCAGTCTGAACTGGATAGGTCATCGCCTTCGTCATCCTCGTCCTCGTTATCGAGGGTGACACCTGATACCACCGTTCTAATGGAATGCCTGGCAACACTGTCGGTCGCTCAGCTAATCGCTGCACCGCATTGTCTGACTGTGTTTACCTTAGATACACTGCCAATCGCCAACCTGGCAAAGCGCTTCCCTATTTCCTTCGACTGCGGCGTCCAAACGTATTTGATCTCATCCGAGAACACAATCTTTTCACATCTGTGCAAAATCAAGCTCTACTTCTTGTCGAATTTGACCATGAATTGATGGAAAAACGAAAGAAGGATGGTATAGAAGTCGATGATGAGTACGGTGCCGCCATTACGCTTCTTGTAGATCACACGCACGCGATACCAGTAGGTCGAACACCACAAAGATGTCATACCAGGCAATACTGATTGCTGTTCAAAGGCCGCACGGGTAGTACAACAGCTGCAGAGCAGACCTCGTTATCTGTTCTTGTATCTAAACGCATTATTTGCGAAGGACCCTCAATTGGCATCGGATTTTGCTGACACACAAGTACGTATCGCTCTTGTCGTCTTTATCCAATTCATAATTTTGCTTCAGGTCATGGTTATGGCCGAGTATGCAACATCCCGCCTCATCGACTTCCTCCGTGCAAGTAATTACTATAATTTAGAGAAAGTGTGTTCATATTTCACAAACACTAGCCTTCTTCCAATAACTTTGCCACCAGGCTTATCATATCTGCATGGACCGAGACTTGGTACCAGAAATGGTTTTTCTTCTCGGCCGTATGGGTAACAATAAGAAAGCCCTCAACTTAATTATCGAACGTCTAGGAGATGTCAATCGTGTAAGTTTACCCCAATTTCTGTCGCGTCTCACCTGCATTTTGCCTGTTTTTCCAGGCCATCGATTTTGCCAAGGAACAAAATGATGATGACCTTTGGGAAGATTTGCTCAGATACTCGGAAACCAGACCACGTTAGTTTTAACCAAATAGTCTTTACGACTCATACATTCCTAACTCGTACGTCGTCTTTTGACAGCCTTCATCCGTGGTCTCCTGGAGAATGTTGGTGCCGAAATCGACCCTATCCGTCTCATTCGCAGGATCAGAAACGGCCTCGAAATTCCAGGTCTCAAGGCTGCACTCATCAAGATCTTGCAGGATTTCAATCTACAAATATCGTTATTAGACGGGTGTCGGACCATCTTACACGGGGACAGCTCCGATCTGGTCAAGCGATTGCATAAAGACCAAACTAGCGGTTTTTTCTTCACGAGTAGGTCACTATATCATGCCGACTGGTTTTGTGCCTAATAATGTTGATATAGACAAGACGCCGTGTCTAATTTGCACTCTTCCACTTCGTCAAACACCACAGTCATTAGTTTTGCTCTTCTTGTGTCGGCATGTCGTACATGCTCGCTGTGTGAGTGGAGGCGAAAATTTGCCGAGACAACCAGACCTGGCCTTCGCGAGTGTAACTATGGGCGGAGCTGCCAGGGGAGTCAGCGGAAAGATTGCATAGTAAGTGGTTTAGCTTTCGTCACCGTTATATGCTGCAACGCCAAGTTCCTCGCCAGTACTGCAATGGTTCGTGCTCGACTCCGGCCGAGTTGCCCGGTATGTCATGAGAAGGGAGAAGGAAAGCGGACATAGCTCAACCTATTGACCTGTTTCGCACTTTTCGAGCAAGTTTGATACCCGCTTCCCCTATTCCCTTACAGTACTCACGTTGGAATCTACGTTTCCATGCTACATCACTCTTATGTGTAGATACCACTGCCCTCCGAGCACTCAATCATCTTTCTGCACCATTTAACATAGTAAATCCACTCTGAGCGCAATGATGGAGTATATGTGGACTGACGGCTTTCAATATTGTGGAATCCCTTTTTCCCCACTCTCCCTTGATGATGCCCTCCCTCTTCTGCCCTCACATGTCAGCGCAGCAGCTTGCAGCACTAGCAAGGACCATTTGAATATTCTTCAGAAACCACAGAACCTCATATTGCATAGGATGGAGTCACAGAAGAAGAGGACGTGTTCATGTCAAGGTGTGATGAGAGAAAGAAGATGGAAGAACCGGAAGAACAGACCCAGTCAGAAAAGACCATGACACTGACTTTATCACAGTTGTTGAACAACGTAGCCATTTTGGCAGAGCCTATCGAGGAGCTAGTTGCTATCATCTATGCGCGACGGAGTCTTGGGATTGATTCTGTACGTGTAAATTAAACAGGGAGGTGGGAGAAAAAGCTCGTATACCCATGTCTGCATCTACTACTTTGCGTTGCTTTCATGTTCGGACATCCATCATTAGTATCATATCGCACAATTTAGATGAAAACTCGAAAGCATGATCTAAAACTCGAAGTACAGGGTGAGAAAACAGGATACAGCGGGGGGGGGGGGGGGGGGGGGGGGGGGTCAAACATGGTACTTGCGGCCCTACTTTCCTTTTCGTATCCTGCCCTTTTTGTTCTTTGTCGAGCCTTCTCCAGAAGACTTCGGTTTGTCTCCGAACAGCTTCTGTTGCAGCTTCTCAAACTCATTGTCGTCTATGTCTGGAGGGTGGACAGCAGCGCCCCGTCTCCTCTTCTTCGGAGACTCTGCGACATCTTCTACTTCCTCTAAGCCAGCTTTCCGTTTACCTTTGCCCTTCCCCCTCGGCGGAAGCTCCGCGTACTTGGCAGCGAGATTGTCGATGAAGCTGTCCGTATTTTTCTTCTTTTTCAAGATGAGCGCCTGCAGCGCAGAATGGTCCTCCTCATCCTCCTCATCTTCATCTTCTTTCTTCTCTTTCCCCGTTCCCTTCGCTTTTCCTTTGCGTGTACCAGGTTTCCCGCTCCCGTAAAACTCGTCCCATAATCCCAGTTCACGGGCCATTTCCTCTGCCTCCTCTGCCTCCTTATCAGCTTGCTTCTTTCGGATGACTTTCCTTTTCTCGTCTTTAGTGCTCGATTCCCAAGCGGACTTGGTGGGTAGCACCCCTTCTGTGATAAGGCTCGATATCAAGATGACAAATCGAGGTTCATCCTCGTGCCTTGAATGAGGAATATGGTTCATGATTTCGTCAATGGAACCATCTGTGTTAAGGTATGCTTTCTTGAGGTCCTCCGTTTCTTCAGTAGAACCTGTGAAGAAGGTATAGTCAGGTTGCATATATCGTTGAGAGATTATATCCATACCCTGATACTCTTTCTTCATTTGATCAAGTTTCTCCCTCGTGACCCTGTCGAACAGCTCCTCGAAGTATGCCTCCCATCCGTCCTCTCCCGGACCCAGGTCGAATCCCTCATCAGTCTTGCCAGTCCGGTCATACCGATTCCGCTTCTTTTCATCACTCAACACAGCATATGCAAAGCCTATCTGTTGGAACTTGAGTGACGCGTCTGCCTTGGCAGATTCGCCTTTGGTGGCATGTTTGTCGGGATGATATATGAGAGCGAGTTTCCTGTACGCTCTCTTAATCTCTTCAGATGACGCAGATTCCGAGAGTGTGAGAGTCGCGTAGAGGTCTACGGAATCGCTGCCAAAGAAGAGAGCGGCAGGGTCTCGTTGGTCGTCCATGGCGGTCTTGGGAAACGACGCGTTGGACGCGTAGCGTGACATAGCGCGTTGATGTGACAATCGCGTAATCATGTTTATCAGTAGTCCCCCACTTTCGTTCCGAACCTCTCTGCAACATTGCGGGGTCGATATCCGTCAGCGACTCAGCGGTGCCATCTGATCGCAAGTAGACTTGCCTCAGTCGGGAGGATGAGGCGGCTATATTTAGGCGTCGTCTCCAGCCGCTTGGGACAAGTTTCGTGAAGTTCTCAATGTTTGTATTCCCGCCGGTTTTGTACGGGTAAAGGCGGAGTTGCCGTTGCTAGAATCTCTGACCCGTCGGAGGGAGTGTAGGGGTCCGAGGGCCGGAAGAAACCGGAGTCGAGCGTGTGATCACCACAGAGCCGCACGTGAACTGCATTTCGGGCGCGAATGGGCGCGTCTTCTGCGCCGACCCGGGACCTGTGTCCAACATCGGGTGGTGAGCACTCCGAAAACATCTACGCCTCGGAGCATGGAGGCATTCGTACTCGGATTGACTGTTTCACGTCCTCCGAGCCGTCACGACTACCCCGATAATTCCTTCTGTATCTTCGTATAAAAGGGCTGCTGCTTTGCTTTTGAATCCATCATTCCCAGCTCTCTCTCAGGCTTGCCCAAAACTCAAACACCCCCTCTTCTAACTTCACACCAGTATCATGAAGGTCATTTATTCTCGCAAATCATGTTGTTGTGCTCTTCTGACCTTGCCTTTAGGTCCTCGCTATCCTGTACAACGGTTACAAGGCTGCTGAAGAGGAGCCACGCCTCCTTGGTACTGTCGAGAACCAGGTAAATCTGAATCTGCCATCGTACGAGTAACGTCTGACACAGAAGCAAGCTTGGAATCCGTGAATACCTCGAATCTCTGGGTCACGAATACATTGTGAGTTACTTCATTCCCTTCGGCTGTCATTTTCCTCATGTCTCGCTCGACAGGTCAGCAGCTCGAAAGAGGGCCCCGATAGCGACTTCCAGAAACACATCGTCGATGTATGTCTATTCCCTCCATTTAGCGTCTGGCATCTCAGCTCACTGCTGACCTAGGCCGACGTATTAATTACGACTCCCTTCCACCCAGGGTATTTGACTCGGGAGCTCATGGAAAAGGTATATCAATACTCTAGTATCCCTGAGCAAAATTTCATATAACTCGCAAAGGCCAAGAACTTGAAGATCTGTGTCACAGCTGGTGTGGGCTCCGACCACATAGACCTGAATGCCGCTGTCGAGCGCAAGATCCAAGTCCTAGAGGTAGGATACGCTCGCAGTGTATCTGCAGGCCAATACTAAAGAAATTGTCTGTCAGGTTTCTGGCTCCAATGTAGTGTCCGTTGCCGAACAGGTCCTTATGTCCATTCTTCTCCTCGTCCGCAATTTTGTCCCTGCACATGAAATGATCGAGCGCGGCGACTGGCAAGTCTCCGACATCGCTCGTAACGCATATGACCTCGAGGGTAAAGTCGTGGGTACCCTTGGTGCCGGTCGCATCGGCTACCGCGTCCTTCAACGTCTGGTCCCTTTCAACTGCAAGGAGCTGATCTACTTCGACTACAACCCTCTTCCTGCTGGTATGCTCATCTTTTCCGAACCAATTGGCATGTATGCTTATGATCCTCTAGAGGCGGAAAAGGCGGTGAACGCCCGCCGGGTTCAGGATATGAAGGTGTGTCTTGTGATTCAATCTTATGATCGACTTTTGACGATAATCGTCGTCGTCGCAAGGAATTTGTCTCGCAATGCGACATTGTTACCATCAACGCCCCCCTTCACGAGGGGACGCTTGGACTTATCGACAAAGAGCTTCTTCAACACTTCAAAAAGGTGTGTCGCATCCCATCATCTCCCGCGCTATGCCGTTAACAAAATCTCAGGGCGCGTGGCTCGTTAACACCGCTCGTGGAGCCATCTGCAACGCTGACGATGTAGCCGAGGCGATCAGGACCGGCCAACTCAACGGCTACGCCGGAGATGTGTGGAATGTACAACCTGCGCCCAAGGACCACCCATGGCGTACCGTGAAGAACCCCCTTGGCGGGGGCAACGGCATGACGCCTCATTATTCTGGCACCACACTCGACGCGCAGGCCAGGTATGCCCAGGGCACGAAGATGATTTTGCAGAACTTCTTCGAGGGGAAGCCGCAGGAACCTGGAAATGTGATCGTTGGGATCGGTAAGCTGCCCCTCCGGTTCCTTCTTTGCGCTTATTTCTGATCTTCACTCGCCGGATGATTGATAGGCAAATACGAGTCCAAGGCTTGTGAGTATTCCATTGGGCCGTATATCACAGGTGGAACCGAAGTTGATACGAATCTCTATAGATGGCCAGCGCTGATCGTATTGGTAGTCATTGTAAACATCCCCCTCCCTCATCTTGTAATACTTAACGACTGTATAGTCTGCAAATCATGTCACGTCGTTGTGGAATTCAATTCGTCTATCGCCTTTGCATGTTACCGAAGAATCCTGATTAGTAACATCGTCAGCTCGCCCTCCGATTATGCCTACTCATACGCGATCATCCAGGTCTTTGTTTCATATGCGAGTTTCTGGTATTTTCAAAAATCGTATTGACAGCTGGTAAGATTTCAAAATCCTATCGAGCAAAATATGTGCTAGTTAAATTACACGGACGTATGGCCATCGCATAGGGGAATAACAGGTTGGATTGTAGACGCACGGGAACGAAGAGCTAGCAATTGATTGAAGCCTATGCGCACCTGCGCGTTCAAACAAAAGGCTGTAGCTCAGGCCGGGAGGACAAGTACTATTAAGACAAGTATAACTGGTCAGTAAACAAATGTCCAACCCTACTAGCGTATAATATCACGGTCATCAAGGCCACTCTTAACCACGCATACTGAGAAGCATGTACCATACTGAAAACGTCAACACCGCCTACAACGGACTATAGAATGACTTCAGTATCGATCATGTGTTGTGGTATCAGCATTTCCCGGGAATCACGCCGCTCGCGAACTCAGCTTTCTCCCGAGTAATCCACTGGTGTATCGATCTAGACTATCACACGTTCGTGGGCCGGAGACACAAACCTCCCAACTTTGAAGAATCAAAAGTCAAAGGTGACGAGGAGCTAACATATCTAAGTCATACTTGGACGTCACGTTATCAGGAATGATAGGTCAGTGAGATGCTTGCCGACGAGCACTATTGTACAGGAACCACTTTAGGTTCAGCTGGCGCCTGCGGCTCTCCACCATCGTACAAGACCATCTTCGCCTCCGCTCACGAACGCTCCCGCTGAATTATTGGAGGATGGTCGCGGCCTCCATGACACGCTCCATACCTCACCTGTGTCTTGAACGACCGAGACAGCAGCGCGGGCAGACAGGTCCCATACCCTTATAGTTTTATCAGCGGAACTATGGTGAGCACATCAACAAGGTTTCTCCAGCGAAAATTGGTTCAGTAGCGTGGTCACGTACCCAGATAGAGCCAATCGCCCATCTGGTGATATGTCCGTACTGAGCACCCAAGATGAATGCCCAGACAGAGAAGCTACCGCGCCCGACCCAGGCTTCCCTGACGATGACGACGAACGAATGTCATGTAGGACCAGCCGTTTATCTTCTGACGCTGATAGTAGGAACTGCAAGATAATCGACACTTCGTAAAATGCCTGTCATCAAGATGTTGTATACATGATCAGATACCTGCGAATCCGGTGACCATGCTAGGGAGCGAACGGCCATAGCGTGCGACGTGTAGGTTGCTATAAGTGCACTGGATTGGATGTCATACACGTACATCTGGCCTGATTCCGTGGCCAGTGCTATGCGAGAGCCATCTGGACTCTGCGTAAAGAAAGATTATCGTGTTCGAGTGTTGTAAGATTTAGCACACATTGCAGCATACATGCAGACTGCGAGATGGATAGATGCACGTACATATCGACAATGCATCCCAAATTTGTTGCGCCCACTAGATAAGGTGGATAGCCGCTGGCCAAAGGAATCCAACTGGGCAGAATGAATAGTGATGTTGCCAGAACCCCCGGTAGATGCATAGGATCCACCTTTCGGGTCCAAGGACACGGACCATGCTATATCAGAGAAGAATGAAAAGGACAAAATGATGTCAGGAACTCTGCAATTCCACTGTATCTGGAGTCGTGCACTGAAGCTGAGGTAGAGAAGAGGCAGTACTATCTACGAAGGTTGGAAATGAGCTATCAGACACGTACTGACCAGTTTCTGTCGTCTCGGTTCCGCCGCGCGCGTAGCCTTCGTGTTGTCCCACGACTTCCCCGCTCTCCAAATCCCAAAGACACGTCGAACCGTCGATTGTGTTGTAGAGTGCATGTTTACCACTTGGAGAGACAGACAAGGAAACAAGGCCGAGGGTATGCGTTGGGGGGATCCGGAGGACCTGACCTGAGTCGGAGTCCCATTGTTTGAGGGAGCCGTCAGCAGAGACAGAGACGACGGAGTCATTCGCCGTCCAAGCAATGTCCCAGACAGCATCACTGTGTGCTTCATCGACTGTCAAATAGAGAACGCAGTCAATAGATGTATTCTCGTACGTTCTTGAGATTCAAGTGCGTTCAGGAATGCCAAACTCTGGCGTCCGTCGTGAGCAGACAAAGTGAGAATACTCCTGAATTGCTACTGACCATTGTAACATACACTTTGGATGCCGAGTAGGTTCGCACGCAGACTCGATCCATGCTTCGTTCATGGTGCGGCATCTTCCGGCGGAGCTCAAACATAGCGTATAACCCCGTACGAAACCTTAATTTTCCCTCACATCAACGAGAGCGGACGAAGACATCACCTGTAGCCTTTAATATCTGTCATTATTAACAAAAGTGAGTATATGAGCCTTCCCTCACGTTGGTGTTGGGACACTAATCTTCGACATCATTTGCAGGATGTCTGACGCTGGAGATGAAATCAAGGTCGAACCTGAGGTCGAGGCTGAGGCTGAGGTCTCTGAGGCTCCCAAGGGAAAACTCTCTGTTGAGGATGCGCTTCAGGTGCGTATTTACTCACACACCAACGTTAGATCATTCTGATGAAGCAGTTCCGATGATCAGCAAGTTCTGAAGACGTCTCTCGTCCACGACGGCCTTGCCCGTGGCCTGCGCGAGTGCGCGAAGGCCCTGGATAGACGCCAGGCCCATCTTTGCGTGCTTGTTGAGACATGCACTGAGGCCGAGTATATCAAACTCATCGAGGCCCTCTGCGCGACGCACAAGATCCCGTTGATCAAGGTCGGAGATGCCAAGGTTCTCGGAACCTGGGCAGGTCTCTGCAAAATCGACCGAGAAGGTAACCCTCGCAAGGTTGTCGGCTGCTCGTGTGTTGTTGTCAAAGAGTACGGCGCCGAGACGGAGGGTCGTCACGTCCTCGAGGACTACTTCAAGAGCCGCTAAAGTGAGCAGTGGTCTCTCATATTGTCCTCATTCTTGTTGTCTCGCATACGATGACAAACAGACTCCCTCGTCGGAGATCTACATCTTTGAGGATAACTGTCTATCCGGAATCATTAAATAGTGTCTGACATCTTTCGACGTTTCCCTATGACTTCCTATCCGAATGATTTGCTAATGCCCACTTTTATCTTGCAGCTGTTTGGCTTCAGACTCGATGCTGGCAGTTCGTACGGTTTTCATCGTTAATTACAGCCAATAAAACGCAACCTTGATTCCTTCCGTCCTGTTTTGCAGGAGCCCGTCCTCGCGAGAATATATGAATACGTGCTGGCCTCAACAGAAGACAATCGTTCTGTCGTGGTGTCTGTCATTAAATCCCCTGATCTTTTGCATCATGGAAATGGCCGGTTGCTTGAGCATCTTATGTCAATCCGTACAATGCAACTTGAACCTTTGAACTTGTTCTCTTGAAACTGCAAACTCGGTGGGATTGTCTAATCAGGAAGCTAGCCTGTCAGGAATGCTGAAGCGTACGGAACGGCCCACATGTGTGAATTTGACGGTAAAACGAAGATCTTCTGCGTAGGGGCAGCAACGGAGACTGTGAATCTGGCCAGATCTGGGCCTCAGCTCCGCTGCGAGCTGATTTGGTCACCGGACGACAAATTGGAGAGGTTTCCGGGGGTCTTCGCTCACTAAAGTCTACCCCAGACAGTTCACAGTGCGTACCCCACAGTGTTTTCTACTACGTCGACACGCAGCATCTCTCTGACGCCGAGAACTGATAGCTATATGCGCCGTTGATATCAACAGCCATGGATCCTCTTCTGGGTGCTCCCCCCGCTCCTAAACGTACGCCATCGTATCTTCAGTTTGCACCTCGGCGCACCATGGCGTCTTTCGAGAACCTGGTCGTGCTCGCCAACTATGAAGAGACTCTCAGGGAAGCCAAAAAGATGGTATGGAGAGATCGAGGGGAACCTGCGGTCGATGTGCAAGATTTATGGGAATGCGTTGAGCATGGAACAAGAGGCGGGCTGAGTGTGTTTGGATATGGTATGTATGATTGATGGTATACTGACTCACGGGACGCATACAGGGGCGGGTACTTTAGCATTTGCCATTCGGTCGGGCGTTAACCTTGCTCTCCTCATGGCAAGGCTAAATCGGGTACCGAAGTACGTTTCCACTCACCAAGTCCGAACTTCTGCTGATTCCACAGAATTACAGGAAACTCCGTATCTCCTTAATACAGCATGCTATCCTTGGTTCCGACTCGTTCCGTTTTGCTGCCATGCTTGGTGATGAATGTTCTATTTTTGGTATATCATGGGACTCATTGCCACCCCTTTTCCAGGATGCTTCGTTACTTTGTATCGTGCCCTGTTGAACGCATTTCCCATTCTATTCCCCCGCCATGTACCTCTCCGGATTCGTATTCGCCAGCTCTTTTCATTTGCATTTTCATCGCCCGAAGACTCGGCTGTTGTCGATTCCCTTTCCCCCGACCTTGAACTACCTCGTTCCAGGACCGGCTCTTCGCGAACAGCAAGGTTGTCAACTACAGCCCAGGCGCACCAAGTCTGGGTGCGCAAGCGTACCAGCAGATGGCACTCTGCTATTGCCGGCGCCATCGCCGGCGGGCTTGCTATTATGTTTGAGAAGAAGTCACGCAGAACTGTCATAGCCCAGCAACTCTTTGTCCGGTATGTAATGTATCCGTAGGAGTACGAGCCACCGAACACTCTTCCAACCGATTGACACCTTTCAGGGGACTTCAGGGATCGTACAACGCAAGCTCACAAAGATATGGTTTTAAGTTGCCTTATGGAGATGTACTCGTCTTCTCTTTAGCGTGCGCTGCCTCCACCTCTTACTTTGTTTGGATGACATACCAACCACTATTCTCAGATGTGGACAGATATTGTATGGGTTTTTGCTGCGACCGGATACCTTGCCACGATCTTATGTGACATGGTATGGAACCAGCAGCTTCATTTACCGCTTCGATTAATCTTCTGTGATATGCGGTAGGATTAACACGGCAGGCAAGATTCCGGTCGCAGCCGTTCGAATTAACCGAGATTTGGTCCGTGACGGCAGTTTCAATGCTGTAGATATGGAACGTATTCTGCAGGAGGAGGTGAGGTCTATACGCCCCCAGCCTCTTGTCGAGCTCACGCTCTCATCGTCGCTCATTCTGCAGAAACTTACCTCCGGGAACCGCGCTGAACTTGTTCTGCGACATGCTTTGACCATTGGAGCTCCCCCGGATTTCGGACATCGTTACGGCCCTTGTGCAGCTGTTCACCCCACGCTCGACTCTTGTCGCCAAGTCCCTTTGGACCGCTTTATTTCTGTTTTTAGATGGATGCTTCCTATCTATGGTGCATTACACTTCATTCCGATGATGTTATTCAAGCGGAAGGGTTTCATTCAAGAACCCCTGAAAATGTTATTGCGCGCGGGCTGGGGGACAACAAGAAGCGCAGCATTCCTGGGCACTTTCGTAGTAATATACCAATGTGAGTTTGAGGCCTTGCAGAATATAAAGTCGTTGATGCACATCTTCATCTTCATAGCATACTTCTGCTTCAAGCACTACATGTACGAAATCCTGCTCGCTTTGCGGCAGTCTCCTTCGTCCATCGTCAAGCCCCCCATGTGGTTGATCAAATTCCTGATCTCCAAGCCGTCTTTCTGGATGGGTGGGCTTCTTTCTGGCTTGTCATTGTTTGTCGAGGCAAGGAGGCGGCGTGGTGAGTTGGCCATGTACGTGTTGCCTAAAGGGCTGGAGAGCGTTTGGGTAATGGCGAGAGGAAAGGGGTTGGTCTTTCGCACCGGAGACTTTGGCGAAGCATTGGTTTGTCTTGATCATTTTTAGTTCAATTCATCCGGAGCTGACGGTGCTTTAGTTGACTGCCACCGGTATGGGGATGGTCATGGTAAGTTAAAAACCCTTTCAAGGAAATGATTCTGATCGATGTCTTATTGGCCGACAGAGCATATATCAGGTACGACCCACACTAACTGCACTTCTCGGGCACTCATATCGATTCCCCATACAGAATGATCCAGAACATTTGTCTGGTCTCGTCAGACGCATACTATATCAGTTCATCGGGCCCAACTGAAGGCATGATCGTGCCGTCTGTCACATCACGCTACACGAGTTATATCAGGTGTACCGTGTCCCGAACAGCGGCATATACTATGACCACCCCTGAGGCCTGAAGCCGGTCCATTCATGGGAGAATTTGTTCGGAGAATTGTTTGGAGAATAGGAGGAGCTAGACTCTACGATATTAGTCGCTGTCATCTCGAAATCTTAGTACAGAGTTGAATAATACCGGAACATGTCGTATGTCCTTAGCCCGCTAGCATGTTATCCAAGCAGCGCTTTGACGATGTAGTTCTTTGATTCATCGTTCAGAGCTTATAGTAGTGCATGTTTGATCAGGATCGTTATGGACCGGTGTTTATGTCCTCTCTACTACTATAGAGAACGAGTCCGGGAGCTTTTTCTCCATAAGCGCAAGAACTGGGGAGCGCGAAGATGTGACCCGCTGTCCAAATTCCGAGGCTTCCTGGGCTTGGTTTACCAAGTGTCCTGCATTAGAAATTTCGGGCTCTTTCTGAGTATTTTTGGGACCCTCAGCTTGTGTCATGTGGGAATTTTGCATATCGAGAGTGACGAGCGTCCCATCTCTGGCCTTCCTATTACATATCACATAGGAAAGACTAGGGAAACCCCAAAGAACCACGCACTTACGGCTTGAAACATACTTCCAAGCTCTTGCCATCGGATGCAATCCTGGGTCCCATAACTCCTTGCAATTACACCGAATTCACATCCATAGTTTCATATGAGCATTTTCGCTGATCACGATCCTCCATCGTTTCTAGATGAACCTTGGCTGCGACAACTATCAGATTCAGACGAGCTCTCAGAAACCGACTCATTATTTGATGAAATTCCTGATAATTCAGCCTGTCATCCCGAAATTCCATCAACTACCTGCTCGGGTACGAGCGTGCTATGCTCTACCTGTGTTGTGGGTCGACGCAAGCCTCCTCCCATTCCTGGTTTCTACCTCGATCCTTCGGTTGTTATACCCCCAAAGCGGGCTGAGCAGCTATTCCTCAGCTGCATGGACACATACTTTCGGAATGGGGACGTGAATCAAGTGATGCTGTTCGGAAGGGCGAGGGAACGAGCCAGCAGTGATATCCAGAAATCCCAACTCGGTGACATGCCCTTTCACCCACAGGTCAATTCCGGCCTGCCGGCATTCCTCTGTGCCCTGCTATCGGATCTAGAGGCGTTACTCAGACCCTCTCTCCCCCCACACACCCATCGTCTCCTTTTCCCTCCTCTGTCGGAGCCGGCCCGGGCGCGGCAAGCAATTGTGAACTTGTACAGGCCCGGTGAGGGTATATCTCCCCATGTCGACTTACTCGGGCGCTTTGGGGATGGAATCATAGGCGTCAGCCTCGGTAGTGGTTGCGTCATGTCCTTCCGCAAGGAGCTAAATGAAATGCAGAACTCCTCTCACGAGAGAACGGAGCAAGAGCTCGAGGAACGCGGGTTTATACGGGATGGCGATGGTGTACGGTGGGACTTGTACCTGCCGGAAAGGAGCATTCTTGTTCTTTCTGACGAAGCTCGGTACGAATGGACTCATGGCATCGAAGGGCGCGGGTCGGACATGGTTGTTGCTGATGATGGGAAGAATGGGACACAATGCATAGAACGGGATTCTAGAATCAGCGTCACGTTTAGATGGCTATTACCGGGAGCTGAGATTGTGGGAGATGATCCATGACGCAGATGTAGGGACGTTGACTGACGCAGATGTAGGTGCGTTGACTGGAACAGAAGGTAAGGGTGATGGACGAATTCGAGAAAGTCATAGCGGATTGGATCATATCTAACAACGTACGGGCAATGTACTGTAACTCTACACACACCCTTATGCTTGGACTTCTTCCTATCAAAACAACCCTATCGCGCAGCTCGGGAGCTGATGAATCACTATGCTTGGCCACCACGAAGGGCAAGGACGAGATGTAAGACAGCTCCTGCCGTGATGTTGAAATCTTTGGCAGTCTTATCGTCGGGCCTATGCAAGACGATGTCTCAGCAATGAAAAATCGAGTAAGGAGACCGACGTTTACATTTGCCTCCCTCCGAAGATCAAACGCTGCTGAGGCGGTGGCACACCCGACTGCTCCTCGACTTTCTCCTTGATTCGAGTGATCTGATACGCGTCTTTCTCTACGAGAATCTTTTCGAAAATATACGCCAGCTGCTCACCTTATCATCAGGATCGATGTCAAGTTCGATCTAGAAGTATTCGAGATCATAATACATTAGCGGGAGACGACGGCAAATATGCGCTACCGCACCTCTTTCCCTGTTAGCGTCTGGAGAGTAATTAGGTTCGAATTAGACCGTGTGTCAAATCTGGCCCACCTTTACTTTGATCAACATGGTTTTTGTTGGTATGGGGGAAGGCCAGTGAACCGTACAAGGAGACAATTCGTCTGAGCACGTGAGGACGTGGTAGTAGTGGCACGTGGTAATCCCAGGCTGATGGTGCGTAATGTTACCCACTCTTACCCCTTCATCAAGGACCATCCCTTTACTTCTTCTATCAAATGTCGGTTCTGATGCACAGCAACGCTCGATGACAGCCTAGGTCAAATGATAACATGTAGAAAAGGTAGAACCATAATCTACTATAATAGCTCAATGTCTCGCTTCGTTTGGGCACTAGGATTCGAGCCGGGAGCTTTCCCCTTTTTAGATGCAAAGTAGCCCACCTGCCATCTCATCCCATCTGCTGTCTTGTGTGCCAATCTTCCATAGCATTTCTACGCAGAATATCTGCGATGCCGCTCGTCACCTTCTGGTCTGGTCTGTCATGACAAGTCGACAAGCCAACAAGGTCAGCTTGCATGGATTGGAACTCATCAATCGCGTTTCACGTTGAAAGCTTCCGATAGCTTCCGATCTCAGTTACGCGAGGCGACAGGAGGCTACGCAACCGTTATCTGGCAACTTCGCGGTCTTTGAACATGTTGTGAATATCAGGTGAGTATACAGAGTTTCCTGCAGAAATTTCCGAAAGTCGTTTCTGACGATGGTGTATTGGTCTTCAGTCTAGTGAGGCTGTCTGATAGTTTTGCAGAATATACCAGAATATATCTGTACTTATGCGACGCGGTCTGACGCGATCCCGTTCGAGATGAGCTGAGAACAGAGCAACTGGATGTATATTTCGAATTATACTGAATCAAACTTGTCTACTCTATCTTGATTCAACGTCAAGTTCCACATAATCTCATGCAACTAGTAAGCGCATCATGATCGAAGATTAGCCTTTTCATTTATAGACCGCTTGACTCGAGAACGACGGTCTAGCTATACGCGGTCATCTTCACGTGAAAAACCTCGCTATAGCGCGGAGACTGTGTAGCCGGCCTCCTTTCCCTTCGAGCAACGTAAATGGCCGGTGAATTCACTATCTGGGGTGAGACGCCCTCAGACGCCCCTTGACACCTTCTCTTCGATCCCACCTCAGGGCCGACCGGTGAAATCCGCATTGTTCTGTGAATGCCGTCCAATACGCCCTTCAGACTTTGCCCTTGTGATGCACAACCCGTGGACGTTTGTGTGCGCTAACTACCATTCAAGCTATATTGAATACGATAAGGCGCTGATACGATGTAGAAGTACGCTTTGCAGCGTCCCGATATGCGCAGTGAACCTCCATTAGAAGAAGATGTATCTCTGTATCACCCCAGATCACCCCTGAAATCGTGCCAGCCCCATGATCTACGGACATCACATAAAATCATGGTGCTCTGAAATCCGAGAATGGAAGCCTTCGCGGATCATGCGTTCGACTCGTGAAAGTAGAAACGGTGGACTTAACCTCCAATCATTTCGTAACACACGGTCGCTGCTTACACTCTTCCTATAGCCCCACCATCACTTATAAAAGGTATGCTTGATGAAGGTTATACTTCTATCTCCCGCCATGGGCAAGGACGCAGCATGGATCTACAGCCTCCCCAAGTCAGCTCACATAGATCCCACTCAGATCCAAGGAAACCTCTCTCCGGAACAGAAACAACTTCAAGCCAACATCTTCACTTTCTTCATTGATGGTGCGGGCGCGGCAGCTTCAGGCTATGGCGCTAGTCTGGGTAAACGGGTTAATTATGTTTCCATGAATATTGAGAAGGTCGAAGGGCGAGGGTTCCAAGCGGAGGGCGTCTGTGAAGTCACTGTTACAGAAGGTAAGGATTATTCAATTCCAGTCGAGACTTCAGTACCGATGACCTGTCGCAGACATGGTCAACGTCTTCAAGGTGCTTCATGGCGGATGCTCGGCCTATCTGATAGACCTGTAAGTCCCCTCTGTCATTGACCGGCTTTCATCGCTCACTTCACACAACGACTCAGTTGTTCGTCCGCTCCCTTGATCAGCCTCGGCATCTACGAGGGAAATGATATGTCCGGCGTCTCGCAGTCGATGAACATCATTTATCACAGCTCCGCAAAATTGTACGCCACGAGCTCCTTAGTTCACTAGTACATAGTAGAGAGCTGAACTCATCTTGTCTTTCCCAGAGGCTCGGAGCTGCGTATCATCTCTAACAGTATCAGCAATCAGGGTAAGATTAGGGCTGCACGCTGTGAGGTGAGTCTTTTCAGGTGTTTCAAGATATACGTGAGCTGATGAGCGAACACCGTCACAGATACGGGACAAGAAGACAGGTACCTTGCTTGTCTCCGCTATCCATACTAAAGTGGGGGGCGGAGAGAGAGCTGCAAGGCCTTCCCAATCAAAATTGTAGCACAGTACATATTTTTTCCTTTATTATGTCGTTCCTTTGGTATCCTGGTACATGGTTTGTATTACTAGAACTTCGATTCATCTATTAGGACACTCCGGACATTCTCTTGACACGGATATGCACATCTATATCACATTTTCAGACATCAGATATTCTCTCATCTTGTTCAGAGCGCGGTAACGATGTGAGATCTTGTTCTTCTCTAATGGATCCATCTCGGCATATCTGTACGTATATATTTTAAGTGTGAGATATGTAGGTGGTCAAAGATGACTCACGTCTGGCTAGTATTCTCAGCCTGGAATATTGAATCCCATCCAAAATTTCCCGTGCCACGGGCGGGGACTATCGTGCCGTCCGTCCGGCCTTCGAAAAGTATAGGTTCCGCTTCAGGTCCGGACGAGTACGCAAAGGTGCACAGCGCCCAGGCCTCTTTTGTAGAGAATCCTACGAGCATGTTATTAAGACCTGTGAACGAAGTTAAATGAGAACAATGCCATAGTCAGATGAGTCGAGACCTACTCGCCTTCATGACCGACTTCTCTAAGAAAGAATTTAATATATGGGCCCGGTAGGCCGTTCATGGCCTTGAAACAAAGCGCCGTATCTTCGACGATACATGGTCCATTAACCTTTGTAACATCAATATGATTGACGAATCAGGAGGGGTCGTGAGCGCGCTGAAAGACGCACCAGTCGAGCGGCTGCCCTGCACTTTTCTTTCGCGATCTCCTGCGTTGTACCCTGGATTTCCGGAACTGAGATATACATGCATTGGAAACACAAAGATCCATGTGGCAGTCAGAATAGACTCACGATCATAATCTTTTGGCTCAATCTCGAGGAGATGTCCTTGAGAATCAAGCAGGATGGCTTGCACTTCCTTTAGCTTATTGGCATTCCCCGTCACAAAGGAGAGCTTCGCTCCATTGTTCAAAGACATGATAACACGGGACAGTGTGGTCTCAATAAAGGGGGAATTTAGGGCTAAGTGCTAGCACTGGATACGATGTAAGTCAGTTGAGCGTTGAACTCGAGTCAATGGGATACAGATATTGAGGTTAAGGTTTATCGAATGCGAGAGCACACCCTACTAGCACACCATAAGCACACAAGATTACATATATGCATCAGGTACAGCTTCTGAGGGAGGCTTGAAGTACATTTAAAACGAAAAGGAGGAGAGTGCTCCGATTGCAAATTACAGCCGTCATCGAGCATGCGGTCCTACTGCAAATGGCGGTTGATGACCACTCATTCAAGAGCATTCATGAACACTGCGCAAGTGCGAAGGACAGCTCTCTGGGTGTTGCTTAGTTTCGTCATGGCACTATGAATGTATGGTGTCAAATAGCTGAGAGTTGGTAATTTGGAGGGAGAACGGTTCAAAAGTCGAAAGCACTGCTCAACCCTCCGACATGGCTAAACAGCACAATTAGGATTGTACGGCGGATTGACAACGCGAAATATGACACGCGTGTAGCTGTGGTATACTCGCAGATTTGAGGAATCATACCAAGCCTGTCAGTCTTGAAAAGTCTCCACCCTGACAGTGTCGGCAGTAGAATCTTGAGATGTTGGAGAGCAGGAGATCAAGAATTTAGAGGATACGGTAGGCGCGTCGTCTCGAAAAAAACCCGAAGTGTTGTTAATGCATTGCACCGAGATTGTGTGCCCATCGATCGACAGAATGGACATTCGCCAATAACTACCTGTTGTCGTTTAGTAATAGAATCTTCAGTAGCATGGGTGAGAGATGTGAATACAGTCTAAGAAAATACAGAGTTGTGCTCACCCATAATAAAACTGATGTACGAACGATGCCAGCTGGAAAGTCCCTGCGATCAGTTGCTTACCGCAGCTTGCCGTCTCCGCCTTCAGGATGCACACTGATTTGTACCTATGCACGTCGATATGATGCAAATTCGCGTCTCAGAGCAGGAGGAATATCTATAGTATGATGCAGACGGCAGTAGACAAGGAAGGATAACACTGCGCGCAGCGCTTGAGGTTTTCCTGAAAGATATTATGTAACGTTCCCTAGAAAGGTTTAGAGTTTCCCTATCTGTGACAAATGATGATATAGGGTACATTTTTGTCCTTTTCTATAGTTTTTCCTCAGGATCTCTATGAAAAATAAGCTGATCGTCCTACCCGGGCCTGATCGGACCGGCAAAATATAGTTGGCCTCGACCAGCCTCAACCTCCACATGGACATCCATATCTGACGTGCAATGAACCTTCGTACCTCCTCCGCATGGCGGAACTGCTCAAGGAAACGGCTATGCCTTTCAAAACCCCAACGTCAAAATCTTCACGCCTGCTTGTCTCTCGTATCGGGAGATAGAGCTATCGAAGGTAGCATATCAGAAGCGCGGGCATTATGACAAGTCAGAAGACCACTTCCTGCTCTGATAAGTGTTTGTTCTGGTGACGCTCTAGCGCTTAGTGGCCTTGTCTTTGCCACTATTGTCGCACTCCTTACTCCCAGAGACCCTTGCGCTCATGACGGGATCGGAGCCGTTTGTTGCAGAAGACTCCAAGGACGATGGCATTCAAGTCTCCTCCGAGATTTCTGTCACCGCACCATTTAGCAACGACGAACCCATCGTGACACGGAAAGAGTTGTGGAGCTATTATCGTGCGTGTAGTCCTCGTGGTGCATGCCAATACTTGTCTTATAGATCATGTACCAGTGTACTACAACGGTGACAATGTATGTCCTCGACAATAATGACGACGTCTATCTGATATTTGAGAACGTCATCCTTGAATGCAGGGTGTTGGCCCTCTTGGTCTGTTATCTTCTCGTGATTTCTCGGACCGACAATTGAATAAAAGCTTGTCTCAAGGATACTCCATGACGCTCTTCCAGTCTCTCGCTACGTCTGCGGGATTTGATCCAACCCGTGGGCCAGGCTCTTCTTGCACAGATGCGGGCGCATCAGGCCAATGCGTGCTTCCTTGGGCAGGCGGGACGAAAGCCGTCAGTTCCATCGTGCTCATCGCGAATGGTGTCAGTTTCGCTGTAAGGATAAATATCCCTGCTCGACGGGATATGGTATTGACCGAATCTTTAGGTCATGACGATGATATTCACGACTATCGGCTCGGCCGCGGACTATGGTAATTTTGGGCGCTGGCTGCTCCTAGTCATCACTGTCATCTGCTGGGGTGCCCAATTCGCTAGCATGAGTTTAACTTGTGCGGGATAGTCGCTCATTTGGACAGATGCTCCACTGACGATGCATGTTCTCTGTCTGGTTGATAGCGCCCGATCGATGGGGGGTGGCAATGGCACTCTTCATGATTGGATTCGTCTCGTATGGCGCCACACTCGTCTTTTACGCTGCTGTCTTCCCGCGGCTCGCGCGGAACACTCCTCATTCACGTGCACTCAAAGAATCGCTCGACGCGGGGGACATCTCTCCCGAAGTCTACGAACAGGAGGAGAGCCTAGAGAAGAACAGGATCAGCAATATCAGCACCGTGAGCCGTCTTTTGATATAGTGTGGAGGGTGTAGTCATCGACGCATCGTAGGCTCATAGTAATATTGGCTACATAGCCACTCTGGCTTTGAACCTGTCCCTGCTCCTGCCACTCAAAGACAAACCCTTGGTCAATAACTACACTATCGTCTTGTAGACACCTTTCTACTCTCATATTTTCTTGTGCTGAGCTCGTTTCATTTTTGAACAGGACAACCGGGTACTGGGTCCTGACCGGTATATGGTGGTGTACGTCCCAACAGTGTAAAATGATCCCGGTAAAGGCTAACCGGTATGTGCTAGTCATATTCCAGCAACCTCGTCCAGGTCCTTCGCTGCCAAGGGGAGAATCATTCATCACTGTGGGCTGGAAACAAGTAATAAACTACAAAATCGTATATATGAATTGAGTACTGACTCCAAACACTGTGCCTATACAGATATGGATCGCGTTGAAACAGTACAAGAAACTTCCGTACACGTTCACGTACCTCTTTGCATTCTTTCTCCTTGCAGACGTACGTTTTTCAATGCCTTACGGGGCCCCATCCTCTTTCTATTTATCTGAGAGTCGCGCGAACGACTAGGGCCTGAACACGACCGGCACACTCATCTCGATCTGCCAGAACGACAAGTTCAACTTCTCGTTTTTACAAAATACGTATCTTGGTCTAGCGCAGGCGATCACATCCACTGCCAGGTACTCTCGTCAGCGGCGAATACGTTCGATACGTGACTGATCTTCGTAATCAGCACGTTCGGATTTTGGTATATTCAGAAATACTGGAAGATTAGTACGAAGAAAATGGTGTGTCCCGCTGACCTGCATTGATTTGACGCACTGACATAGGCACGCTTTCATTGCATGGCATCTAGTTCGTCGTGACCAATGTCGTCACCATTTTCATTCCTCTCTGGGGTATGATCGGCATTTGGACGACGAAGTTTGGGTAAGGCCTGTTTTTTATTTGGTTTCTTTTCGCGCTGAAACGGCGTGTACAGCTTTCATAATGTTTGGGAGTTTTGGTGGGTCCCGACGGCAGGCTTCCGGTCTTCGATTGACTGTGCGCATCAGGGCATACAACGTCGTTTTTGGGATTTTCCAAGCACCCTACTACGCCTTTTCCCAAACTATGATGGCCGAGCTGACACCCCCAGGATTCGATAACATGGTTGGTAGCCTATCCTTACACCCTCCCAAACAAAAAACCACATCCAGAGCGCTCTCATGCTCACATCTGCTGACCCGCACAGTTTTTTGGCCTCTTCGGCCTCTCGAATCGCGCGTCGTCGATGATCGGGCCGAACGTGATACAAGCGATCATCGACCACACGGGCGACAACTGGCAGGGGTTCCCGTTCCTATTCGCGCTCTGCGCCGCGGCGAGCATCGTCATCTGGTTCGGCGTTGATGTCGAGCGTGGGCGACGGGCGGCCGTGCGATGGGCACAGGAGCAAAGGGCGGCAAATGCGCATAGTGTGTGGGTCGAGTGATGGTGGCGTCGACGGATAACTTAGGTGAGTGTTGTGGGCGCTCGTGTGTCCGTGTCTCCGGATTTATGCGTGATACGCGAGCAGTACGCGAGCCCATTTGACTTTTTGTTCACTTCCTTGAGGATCTCGACCTCCGCACTCCGGTGTTCTAGTGACTCACACGAGTACATAATGACTATTTCATTTTACACGTACACTCGCCGATCGCTTTCTTCGCGCGGGTTCTTGGAATTCGAACTTCGAGGCTCGCCTAAAAGTAAGCTTTAAATAACATAAGAACGGCAAGTAAAGTGGAGAATACACGCGTTGCATGGACAGGGCGATCAACAAAGTCAAGGAGCAGATACGGACCATGTTGTATGATATCACGGGTGCTCTGGGGGAAACGACAGGTATCACGGCATGGCCAGCGTCGGAGAAGAGGTCGCAAGAGGAGGGGCGTTGCTAGCTGGGTTTCAGAATCGTCTAAGCGGGGTCGTAAATATGGTCTAGCAATACAGTGGAAATGGGAATTCGGAGAGGCGGAGAATAGGGTGGAATGTATGCGCGACGGTTAGGGTGGGGTCGATTAACCGCTCGCTCATCGTCACAGTCGTGGACGTCATTTAGGCCACGCCCGTACTGGCGGCAATCTTTCGTCTCTTCCGCGTCACCTTGCTTTCCTTCGAGTTCTGTTTGCTATCAACGGCCCTCTGCTTCTCCGTCTCCGTCTTTTCTCCGTCTCCAATCATACGCTCATCCTCCGTCTCCGGTATCACTTCCTCCTTTCCGCCGCGCGCCTTTGCCTTTGCCCCGCGCGAGGCGACGACGACTTTTGGCGGCGCTTTGCGCTTCTTTTGGGCGGCAGCACCACCTTCTTCGGGTCCCTCCATCTCCACATCGGGCTCTGGCTCAGCCTTCTTCCCCTTGGTTTTCTTTTTCCCTTTCTCGTGCTCTGGGGCCGGGGCGGAATCGGTGGCGTCCTCGGGTTTGCGTTTGCGGGGGCGCGCACGGGGCTTAGGAGGTGTATCGGCCACAGCGGGGCTCCCGCCGTCTCCTCCACCGGCCTCAACGTCCTCACCGCCGCTCTCCTGCGCCTTCCCTTTCACCTTCGTGCGTGATTTCGTTCCCGCGTTCGCATTCGCATTCGCAGTTGCCTTGCCCTTCGCCTGTGGAGTATTTGATTTCTCAGCCTTGGTCGCCTTGGGGCTGTGGAGCTCCTGCACGCCTTGTGCGATCTCGTCGACTCCGCTGTCAGGTTCGCCCTCGCTCTCCTCGTCTCGTTCGTCTTCTTCGTCACGTTCGACGGGTGCCGGGCGCGCGCGCTTTGCACGGGTGGGTCGGGGGTTCGCGGTGCGGATCCCATGGCAGTTCATGCGGTAGCATGACGGGAGTTTGTCGTTGGTCGGCGTCGAGTCGGCACGGAAGCGCGCGCGCTTAGCGTCGGTCTGTGAGATAGTCACGATAAGATCAGTGGACGCTCTGTGAAAGATCGAGAGGGGAATCGAGCAAGCGCGGGACATACAGTGTGCTTCCCCTCGTAGCACCACCCGTCCGGCGGGCCCTGATCGCCATCGCCCTCGACGGTCTTCCCGCAGCATCCCCAGAGGGTCTCGTATACGGGGCCTTCGGCGGCACCGACCTTGCGAGAGCGGCCGACGCGCTCTACTTCGGCACTCTCGTCGTCATGGGGGACGAGGCAGGAACGGTCGGTGTTCTCGACGTCGGTGAAATCTTTATGGCAGCGGACGCAATGGCGCATGGGAGGCGGGGTTAGGGTAGCGAAGAATGCGCCGAGGGCGGCGAGGGTCGGTTCGGGGGCAGTGGAAAGTTGGGCGAGGGTGTACGCATGGAGAGTTTTTGGGGGCACGGTAGTGAGAAGCGCGTGAAGGGCAGTCGGGTCGAGGGAGTCTGCGGGGGGCTCGGGACGGGAGGGCTCGGAGGGCGGAGGGCGGTCTGGGGAGGAGGGCGCTGGGGGCACTTGGCCGGACGCGCTCTCAGACGGGGACGGCGTGCGGAGCTGTCGTGCGGGGCTGCCGGAGTCGCCGGGGTCGGCACTAGCTGCCGGAGGGGGGGATTGTTTTTTTGACCAGAAGCCGAAGACCATGGCGGGTGGCGGGATCGTGGAGATCGTCGAGCAGGCTGACCGGCTACTTATAACAGGTTATCGACGCCAGGCCGCAAACGTTCCCCCCAGGCGCGGTCCCCCCGCCTCCCTCGTGGCATGTCACATCGCTACACGTCACGCGGGGTCTATTGTCTGCACCGAGAGTCGGGTTAGGGTCCGACGCGGCGACCTGCCTTGTCTTTTCTTGTTCTTTGGAACGACGCTGAGGCCGCGCAGCTTGGGCTGGCCTACTTAAGCGTGCGCCTCGCGCTGCCCTTGCCAATCGCCTTCTCATCTACCTTCTCCCATGCCTTCCCCTCAGCATCCCACAGCCGCGAACACAGACGCGCCTTTCCTGCGCTTCCCTCCCTTCCCGTCCGCCCCGGATGGCAAGACCATCGTCCCCTTCAAGGACTTCAAGCCACTCGGCATACGCCGTCGCACGGGCGAGGATGTCAATGACGACACCGTCGAGCGCGATGGCCTCGGTGTCCCCACCGTCGCGCTGACCGTCAAGCACTCCACAGATGGCCTGTCGAAGCAACCTCTACCCAAGAACGCCTCTGACCCCACTCAGCCCCCCAAACGCAAGACCTGGTGGGAACAGTGGGAAGAGCTGGAGGACACCAGGCGTCATTACTACAATCCGTTCGTCTCCCTCTCCGTCTTCCTTCCCGCTCGAGAGTGCAAAGCCCGATACGCGTTGCAGGAACGCTACTCGCGTCGATCGCCTCTATGATGCCGCCAACGATTTCAGGAATGGCCGTGAGTGGCCACACGCCGCCAGTGGCTTGGCAAACTTGTGGGATCAGGTGTGTTCCACCATCGCCGCCTTCCCCATCCGCTAGCGCTCATGTCCACATAAGTTCCGTCTCTATATCGGTTTACTCCACCAAGCCGTTAAAACCCGCAAGAAGCGGGGGGACGCAGATGAGGGCGACGATGATGATGATGACGAGGACGAGGATCGAAAGGCTGCCAAGGGTACCCCCATCACCGTCACCCAGGCGCCACCGCCTCCCGAGCGCGACGAAGGCCCTCCGCGAAAGCGCAAACGTCTCTATCGCGCGATCGGGAGCGCGTACGACGAGCTTGATGCGGATGATAATCTATCATTCGAAGAGAAACTCGCCAACAGCCTAGACGAAAAGGACCGCAAGATGGAACGCTTCCTCAACAACCCTGAACAAAGCATGAAAGTCTTTTTCTCGTCCTTTTTCCGTCAGCGGGGTCTCATCTGGTGCGCGCAGCTCTGTCTTGATGTGCTTCCTGTAAGACTGACGCAATGAGTCGCAGGTCTGAGCCGCGCTGCACTGCATTCCCTCATCTCGTGCACTTTTTTATTCGCTTCTTGATTCGATGCCGTGTGTTTCCCGAACCCGAGTACATGGAGGCCCTCAAGGCTGCCCTCGCCGTCGTGGGGCGCGCGCGCAGCGAGCTCCCTGCGACGTTCGTGATCACGCGCATACTTTACGACGACAGCTTCAACAACGCGCTCGAGAAGCTCTGGGCGCCGCCACCCACGCCCTGGATGTTTGGCGACTGGACCCCAAACGTCGAGCTTCCAGAGGACCTCCCGCCTGAATTCCGCGAAGCGACTATCATCGACACATCGACCCTTCCGCCACCCCCGGCCGACGATGAAGACGGCGCAAGTGGATGGGGCGACAGCGCTCAAGGGCAGTGGGGTCCTCCCAAGGATGCTACCACCACCTGGACTGAGCCTGAACCCACGACCGATTGGACGGGCATGGATGGCGTCTTGCCGCCTGTTCACGAAGGAGTATTTGCGCATCTCGGGCCGAGCGCTTTGCCGCTCACGCATACGCCGGGCGTCGTCGAGCACTCGACGCGCCGCATTGTATCGATCCACAAGCCTGGGTCCGTGCGGTCGTCGGGCCCACCTACATCGGCGGCAGCGGCGGTGGAGGAAGAGTTAGGACGACGTTACGGGCGCGTGGTGCTCGCCCCGTGGCCGGGGTGGGACAAGACGACGTTTCCCGACATCGAGAAACCCGTGATCATGCCCGAGAGTCACGGCCGGGTCATCGACGAGGCAGGCGACGTGTCGGTTTGGGGCGAAGAGGACGAGGGGGTGAGCAATTGGGACAAGAGGCGGCCGCATGACCCGTTCAAGGATAACATCACGCTGCTGGTGGAGCCACATCGCTTGGAGCCGCTCATCCTGCACATGGGCATCGGCGCGAAATGGGTTGAGCTCGCGCGGATCGAAGAACACGAGGAGCCTGCGCCTGCGCCTGTGCCGGAGGCTGAAGAAGACACGAAAAAGAAGGGGAAGAATAAGAACAAGGCCCACAGACCGAGATACTGGTTCATGAAAGATTTCGTTCTGATGGTGACCTCGTTCCACACTGACAAGATAGAAGATTGATAAATCGCAGGTTTTGTTTTTGCTGTTGTAACTGATGGACGCATTCTTGCTACCATTTTTGTAGCCTGTCTCATGAAAAAAGTTTGTATTAGTAGAAGATGAATGTGTACGGATAGCAGTGTCGAGATGCTCTCACACGCGCACGGCAGAGGAGTATAATAGATTACTAGTGATTAGCAAGGATACAATTGAGTCCGGGTTCCAAAAAGTACAGAATCTTTTGTGATCATGCTGCACCAGGCTCGATCTCACCAAGGAGCATTGTACCGTCTTTGCTCGCAGTGAGGACTGAGGTCGATACGTCATTGGGGGCCAGCAAAGTAGGGCAGCAAGAACATGCTCACTGATGGGTTCTCTGGGGTGGAAATCGACGGCTGTGACTGTGCCCTTGTGGCCGGGCAGCTGTTCGACGACATCAGATGCGCGCACCGCAACTAAACGCTCGCACCACGTACCTTGTACAGCACCTTTCCGCTCTCAACGTCCCAGATGGTGACCGTCCGATCTGCGCCACCGAGGGCGACCCTCCGTCCGCCGTCTTCCCTGCTCCACGCGCCCTTGAGCAGCGTGTTCTCGAACCCAGCAGGTGCCCCGCCGAGCACGCGGTGGATGCGATTCGGGGACGGCGAAAACGGACGGACGTCGTGGATGAGAGTCTGCGAGGAAAAACAGGACGAGAGAAGGTATGCGCCGTCTGGAGAGAGTGAGAGGCCCGTGGGCGTGTCGGCGTGGCCGATGAGGGTGGAGAGCTGGGTCTGTTTACGGAGGTCGAGGACCTAGATAAGAATGCGCGTCGACTGGTCAGCGGCCGGGGCGGTGGGACAGGCGGAAGACACGCACATGGATCTCGTTGTCCAGCGCTCCCGCGTATATCGTCGAGCCATCTGCGCTCCACGCCACGCTCGTTACCGGGCACCCGATCTCGAATACACTGACGGGCTCCTTGCTGCCCTCGTCTCCGCCCTCCCACACGCGCACTGTCCCGTCGTCTGAAGCGGTGGCGACGAGCTCAACGCCTGCGCCGCCTGCGACGGTGCGGTCGAGCGCGTTGATGATCTCGCGGTGCGCACGCAGACGGCGCACGCGCGTGCCCGTCGCGAGATCCGTGTACGCGAGTGTGTGGTCCGCGGAGACGGTGTAGAGGAGGGGGTGCATCAGGGACCACTGCAGATCCATGATGGGGGCCTTGTGCGTCGTCGTAAGGAGGCCATAATTGGTGTTGGGCGAGTACGTCCGCCAGAGGGCTAGTGTGAAAGCAGATATGAGCAGTCGCGCATGAGGGTAAACCGTAAAAGAGAGAAGGCTGGACGTACAGATGGAGCGGTCTGTCGAGCAGGCGGCAATATTTTGGCCACTAGGGTCGAAACGACAGCTCAAGATTTCGGCCTGAGGTCACACAGCGCGTCGTCGGCTTCAATGATTAACTCCAAGGATAAAAGAAAACACCACGCACGGAATGTGCACCGGAAAGGCTGACGATGGGGGCCTCGAGACTGCTAGTCCGCGTTACCGAACGGATGAGACCCTGCTGCCGCTCATTGTTCGACGAGGAGATGATGAGCTGCTGGCTGGTCTCTGCCTCAGAAGACCGTGCCCTTTTGACGATGACGCCGTCTTGTTGCTCTGCTCCGCGTTTCGACATGGGGAAGAGATGCAGACGTTCGACTCGCCAAAGATGGAATTCGAGGGGGCGGATTGATATTGCTGTGATTCTATTGCTGAGGTGACTAGTTATTTCATGGCCGCCTGGCGAAATGGCATCGCGTCTGACTACGATACTACGCACTCGAAATCAGGAGATTGCAGGTTCGACCCCTGCGGTGGTCACAACAATTCATGATCGTCGATCAGTCATTTTTTTCTCACTTGGACAAGCTGCGCGCGGACGGGCAGAGCCTTCCAGGATTTTGCACAGAATATGCAGCTTTGTTGATTGCTGCTCATTCCTTCCCTCTACGAGGCTGGTCGACGCGTGAGATCACGTGCTTCATTGCGTCTCCTGTTGTCCGTTCTCCTTGTGTTGGCTCAATAATACACTGCCAGTCGGTCACCGGTCTCGTAACATCACTCTGCAGAGGCATAGAAATACATCACCCTCATAGACTGACCGTGGTCATGTCTCTTCTCCTCGAGACCTCCCTCGGAGACATCGTCATCGACCTGGAGGTTGACTCGTGCCCCAAAACGTGCGAGAACTTTCTCAAGTTGTGCAAAGTGTATTACTACAACCTCAATGCGTTCTTCAATGGTAGGCGCCGTTCGACATGCTCCTTTCGCCCCGTGCTCATGTGCTGCAAACTACCGTGACTAGTTTCGAAGGACTTTCTGGCCCAAGCAGGCGACCCTACTGCAACAGGCACGGGGGGAGAATCCATCTGGTCCTTCATCGCATCCCAGAATGGCTCTGCTACGGATGTGCCGCGCTACTTCGAGCCGGAGATCGTTCCCGGCTTGAAGCACACAGAACGAGGTACGGTTTCCATGGCCGTCGCTCCGTCCGTGGAAGGGCAGCCCAGAGGGGGCTGTGGGAGTCAATTCTTCGTCACCCTTGCCGATGGAATCGAGTACCTCGATGGGAAACATGCCGTGTTCGGACATGTCGTGGAAGGATTTGATACCCTCGAGAAGCTGAACGACATTTTTGTGGATCAAGAGGGGAGGCCGTTCAAGGATGTTCGAATTCGCCATGTAGTCGTACTTGGTGAGTGGAATATGACTGGTCTCGGAAACGAAATCTAAGCATCACTTCTATAGATGACCCGTTTCCGGATCCTGCTGGACTGGTCGTTCCCGAATCGGTACCTACTCGTCCTCCGGACAACTCCACTCGCATCGCAGAGGATGAGGATCCTCTCGAAGAGCTCCCCGAAGAAGAGGCCGAGCAGCAAAGACGAAAGAAAGAAGCCGAAGCGGCGGCGCTGACCCTCGAGATGGTGGGAGACCTGCCCTTCGCCAACGTCCGCCCCCCAGAAAACGTCCTCTTCGTGTGCAAACTGAACCCGGTGACGCGGGATGAGGACCTGGAGCTGATATTCTCCCGGTTCGGGACTATCATGAGCTGTCAGGTCATCCGGGACAAAAAAACCGGTGACTCGTTGCAGTACGCATTCATCGAGTTCGACAAGCGGGAAGAGGCCGAACAGGTGCGCGTTTATTATCGGAGCATTTCCGAAATCATTTTCTCCAAGCTCCTGCCGCACGTACAACGATTCATCGTTTCGCTGTACCCAATGGGGTTTGTTGCAATACATGATTGCACGCTTTTTTTTTTTTTTCATGTGCTGAGCCTGGGTTCCTAACAAACACTTAGGGCTACTTCAAAATGCAAAATGTACTAGTGGATGACAGGCGCATATGGGTTGATTTGTACGTTCCATCACTTGATTCAGAGTATCGTGATACTGATAATCCTTTTTACCGCATAGCTCACAATCTGTCGCCCGCCTCAATACTTCCTGGTCGAACAATCCTACCATGGGACAACGCGGCGGACGTGGAGGAAGAGGACGTGGTGATGGGGTCCGCGGTGGATTCGGCGGTCGAGAAGATCTCGAGGCCACACGACGATACAGAGATGGCCGTGACCACAGCAGCCGTCAATACGGGATGGTGTTTGATGTCCCAAGTGATAGAGGACATAGCAAGCGCCACAGGGACAGCGACAGCAGAAAGCGCTCGCGCTCACGGTCTCCACACGCGCGATCCAACGATAGAGACACACGGGAGCGCCGTCGGAGCCACAGCAGAGACAGAGATCGAGCGCCGCGGCGGCGTGCAGGCAGCAGAGAGCGCGTTGATATGGACCGGCACAGGCGCCGCTAATCGACGCGGACATGGACGAGACGAGTGAGTTAAAAGGGAAAAGGGTATCTAGTATGTACATGTCTGCTATCGTGCTTTCAAGGGAATGTCTGAATATAGATGTCCACAATCGTTCATCTTCCTCCAACGGACTAGCCTGACACGGACTGTGTGAAACTGCCTGGGCGGCCTCAGGCCAGTTGCTGCCCCTGTTTCCACGCTCCAATTCCCACCAGGCGGTCCACCTGTGCCCACTGATCCAGATCAGAATGAAACGTACAAGTATTACAGGCTGACCCTGGCCCTGCTCTCCGCAAAATTCAGCCATCGCTACAATGACCACAATGTCATCCTCACCTTCCGAATTTCAACTCAACGGCTTCGCCTCAGACATCGTGTTGCGCACAAGCGACGATGTACCAATAGACTTCCCGGTCCACAAATGTTTCCTGGCGGCAGCCTCACCATTTTTCAATGCCATGTTCACTCTCCCCCAATCTCCATCCTCATGCGCCTCCTCCACCCAACCACCCACAGTCAGTGTCTCTGAGGACTCCAATGTTGTCGGCATGCTCCTACGCTTTATCTACCCTCTTCCCGATCCAACGCCGCACAACCTAGACGAGCTCGTGAGCCTCCTATGCGCCGCATCGAAGTACGACATGACCGGTGTTATGGAACGTTTGCGCACCTACCTCGCCTCGCCCGAATATCTCGCCGAGTCCCCGCTACGCGTGTTCGCCATCGCCACGCGGTTCGACTTCGAGCCGGAGGCCAAGATCGCGTCGTCGCATACGCTGGGCATCGACGTGCTGGACAGCCCTCTCTCGGAGGATCTGAAGCAGATCACCGCGTACTCATATCATCGCCTCTTCACCCTCCATCGGCGTCGGGCGGAGGCCGCCCAGCACGTTCTGCAGTCCGAGAGCGCGCTAGGGGTCAAGTGCATGCAATGCAATGGGTCTGGGGCACACTTTGGGACGCCCCGATGGTTGACGCACTTCCGAGCAAAGGCAGAGGAGGAATTGAAGGCGAGGCCCACGACGGAGGTCATCTTCTCGTTGAAGTTTTTGATGGAGGTCGCGCAGGCGACGGGGTGCCAGAGGTGTGCGGCGAGCATCCTGGAGTCGCACATATATCTGGAGAATCTGAGAGGTAAGATCGACGCGTTGCCCGCGACGATTTGAGCGCAGTGTGCGGTCGTGATCATCATTTTGGTTGATGGTTTCAATCCGTCTTTGTCTTTCGCACACTCGCATCATCATGTTTTGATTAACAATGCATTATGACACATATATATGATGTGGTCATCAGAACGATGTATGTATTCTGCGAATCCATGAAAACAATTATAAGTTATTGCGATGCACAGCAGGAGTACAACAGTCACAAAGTAGGACGATGAATACAGTAATTGTTGATGAGGTATAGAGTGGACTTGAATAGTACTACAGGGTCCGTTGAAAAACTCAGCGCATGAAAGAGGACTTGGGAAACAGGATCTGATGATGCGCCTATCATGCGTACATGCGGCCGAGGGCGCCAGCCTTGCGCACGCTGATGGTGAGCAGTGTCCCGCTGTCATTGAACGTGGCGCGAAGGGAAGTCATGTCGACTGTCCGCAGAGGAAAGGCAAGGTGCCATTCGTAATGGCCTAGAAATACAAGTTCAACATTGTACTCGTTTATTGAGCGCGATGGGAGACTTACAGTCTTGCTCGAGGTGCCACGCGTCTGCGACGATGTCTATCCTGCCGCCCTTCTTCACGGCGATGGTAACCATCTCTGGAGAAAACGGGGTGCCACCAGGGCGGGGGAGGGAAATTTCGACGAGATGGGATGTGTCTGTTGTGACGAATTTAGGGGCCGGCAGGGAGGACGGCGGGGGCGCACGACGCGAGCGTGCGGTGACGGACTCGGACTTTGTGCGCGTCGGGGGAGAGGGGGTGGAAGGGGTGGAAGGGCGAGCGGCTCTGCTCCTAATGGAGTCGGCCCTGCTCCGAGACTGGTTGGGGAGCGGAGAGGGAGAGGAGAGAGTGCGCATTGCGTGGAGCGAGGGACGGGCATGGAGTGGAGTAAGGGGTGACGGGCGCGAGGGCGAGGGCGAGGGCGAGGAGCCTGTGCTGGAGATGAGACAGGGCTCCATGGTGGGGTTCTGGTACGGCGAAGTGTTGCGCCTGACGAGCGTCACCCGAGGAGGCCGACGGAAGGAGGCAGAGGCGGCAGACTTGGCCATCGCCGCTGACGATGGCAAGAGGACGTTGAGCATTGCGAGCAGTGGATTGTTGTGGTTTGGAGATAGTTGTGTGCTGTGCACTGGGGCGCTCATCGGCGCTCCTGGGGGCTTTTAAATGGTGCAGGCGCGGGATGTCTCGGGTAGAAAAGGCTGATCACGGGTGGGCCGATGGCCGAGAACGCAAGTCTCGCACGGTCGATAGGAGTCGTTGCGGTCGTGCTCGGACGGTCGGCGGGTGCGACGGCGGACGTTCAGGTTGGCGACGCTGGCGACGCTGGCTGTGTGAGTAGAGGAGTGTTTTCCAGCTCCGGCCGTCGTGGACAGCTCTCCAGAGTCTCTCATCTGCTCCCATCTTATCTTATCTGATGCCTGAGCGTCGGATCCCTGGTCCGACCGCTTGACTCCTCTTCGCCTACCAACTCACAGCCATGTCGTCCGCCCAGCTTGCCTCCTTCAAAGTCCCTGCCATCGAGAATGAGCCCATGGTGCGCATACATACACTCCACTGGCCAGGGGAGGCCGCCATCTGACGCGATTCAACAGCTCACTTATGCTCCTGGCTCCGCCGAACGCAAAGCTCTGCAGGCTGCCATCGTCGAGATGGAGCAACAGCTGCCTTTCGAGGTTCCGTGCGTGATCAACGGAAAGCCCGTATGTTTTTTCTTTTTTTTTTCCTTGTCACCTTATAATATCTCATCTATGGTCCCTCCAGGTCAAGACCGGCAAGCTCGCCAAGCAGCCGATCCCCGCCGATCATGCAAAGCACCTTTGCGCATACCACGAAGCCGACGAGGCCACAGTGACCAGCGCGATAGATGGCGCCTTGGCCGCAAAATCCGAATGGGAGAGCATGCCGTGGAACGACAGAGCCGCGATCTTCCTCAAGGCCGCCGACCTCATCAGCAAAAAGTACAGGTACAAATTAATCGCTGCCACCATCCTCGGCCAGGGAAAGAACGCCTGGCAAGCAGAAATCGACGCCGCCGCAGAGGTTCGTGGGCTAGCATTTTCGATACTACACTGTCTCTAATTTTTTTTTTCGGGTGAAGCTCTCGGACTTCTTCCGCTTTGGTGTGAAGTACGTTGAGGAACTCTACTCGCAACAGCCGCCAAAAAACGCGTCGGGATCTTGGAAGTAAGCCCTCTCGTATCATAGACCTAGCATGTGTCTCACACAGATACCAATAGCCGGGTCGAGTATCGTGCGCTCGAGGGCTTTATTTTGGCCGTTTCGCCCTTCAACTTCACCGCTATCGGTGGTAATTTGTCTGGAGGTAACACCGCCGTCTCGATCACCCTACCTTTCGAGACTAACAAATTCTGTAGCCCCTGCTCTCGTCGGCAACGTGGTCGTCTGGAAACCATCCCCCGCCGCAACTTACTCCAACTATATCATTCACCAGATCCTGATTGAAGCCGGTATCCCTCCCGGTGTCATTCAATTCGTCCCAGGCCCCCCAGCAGAGGTGGTCGCACAGGCGATCAACCACCCTAGCTTCGCTGGGCTTCATTTCACCGGCAGCACGTTCATCTTCAAGAAATTGTGGAAGGACATCGCCTCCAACCTTGACAAGTACAAGGGCTACCCCCGTATTGTCGGCGAGACCGGTATGTAACGCTTCACACCTTTCCGGTCTCGACCTCACCGCTTCGCGCAGGCGGAAAGAACTTCCATCTCATCCACTCCTCTGCCGAGATCAAGAACGCTGTCTTGCAGACAGTTCGGGGTGCCTTCGAGTACCAAGGTGATCTTTGTGTGTGTTCAATTTGGAACAGCTCTGATCGAGGACATCTTCAGGTCAGAAATGCTCTGCCCTCTCTCGCCTCTACGTCGCATCTTCTGTCTGGAAAGGCGGGTTCAAGGATCTTCTCCTGTCCGAGATCGCGAAGATCAAGGTCGGTGCGCCGCAAGATTTTGGCAACTTCATGGGCCCTGTCATGTAAGCCACACTCTGCCGCTTGCTATTCACAATGCCGATGTCAGTCTTGTATAGTGGCCGACCTGCGTTCGACAAGATTACCGGGTACATCAAGAAGGCCAAGGAGGCTGGTGGTGAGATCCTCATCGGCGGGTCAGGTATGTATCTACACGCTTTTCAAATCCGTTAAAACTGTTGATAGCTCATTGTTCTCCCAGCCGATGACTCGAAGGGGTACTTTGTCCAGCCCACTGTCATCCTCACCAAGGATCCTCAGTCGATCACCATGAAGGAGGAGATTTTCGGCCCTGTCATCACGGTAATCAAATCATGTTTTTCTCCCTCTTGGAGTCACCCTGACTTTTTCCAATAAAGGTTTATGTATATGAGGATGCTGACTTTGAGAAGACTCTCGAGCTCATTGACACGACGTCCGAGTACGCGTTGACCGGTGCGATGTACGTTCGCCATCATATACATGTACACGCATCACCCGGACGCTCACGAACAACACCCCCAGCTTCGCCGCCGACCGCAGAGCGCTCGTCCTCGCCACGAACAAGCTCCGCAACGCCGCCGGCAACGTGTACTACAACGAGAAGTGCACGGGTGCCGTCGTCGGGCAGCAGCCCTTCGGTGGTGCGCGCGCGAGCGGTACGAACGACAAGGCGGGCAGCATCAGCATTTTCTACAGGTTCGTGAGCGCGAGAAGCATCAAGGAGAACTTTGTACCCCTCGAGGATTTCAGCTACCCGTCTAACTTGGTCTGAACACAAGAGGACGGGCTGGGGATTTGAGCGTAGAAAGAAGGGAATTGATCCATCACAAATGTAGCCAGCGTCTTGTATTGAGAACGACTTTGTAGCCAATGCAGAATAAGAGCGGTCGCGTCTTGGATTTACAGGCGGGCCGGCTGTCCGGCAAGTGTGTCACACCAAGCCTGAACCCAACGTCCATGCACTTGTGCCGACGATCCTACACCATCCGTATTTCGCATCCTATCCAATCTAGCTCTCTCATCTCTGTTCCATGTCGGCTACTCTCTATCAATACAGTATGCCAAGACTCTCCAGATCACCGCGCAAGCTCCAAACTATTCGCCGATGCCGCGCACGAGGAGGCTGAGGACAAACCGCCACCCAAACTTCCTATCAAGACGGATGAATTCGAGAACTGGACCGGGGAAGAGTCGATGCACGATGCGGTCCTGCGCATGCTCGTGGACAAGCACAAGCCTCTCCGGATGGGGACGATTCGGACTGCTGAGGAGAAGCTGAGACAGGCTCCGCCTCAGATATCGAACGCTCTTTCTGCTCCCTTGAGTGATGACAATGTTAGCCCTTCTGCCATCTCGTCTGACTCGAAAGTACACGACGCAGGTCAGGTAGGCCGTACAAATGAGCCCCTCTTGCCGTCGATAGAGGGTCACAGACCATGGCACACCACTTTCAAAGCCCCTTCGCACGCGACGTCCTCAGTTCGATATGGTCACATCGCATCCTCGAAGCCATCCTCCCAGATATCTCACCTCCCCGATGAAAAAGCTCGTAAGAAGGAAAAGGAACTCAAAAAGCGGTCGCTGAACGCTCAACGGCTTGGAAGCGCCAGGGAGAGCACCCTGGATTATCAACTGGGAATCAAGGGATCGCAAGGCATGGCGAGGCCCAACCCCGCCAGCGTGAAGGGCTGGGCTAGCTTGGTGGAAGAGCGAATCGAAGTTCGTTACTCGTTTTCTGTGCTCGCTTCCGGTATCTCTTACGCGGCACCGCAGAGAGCTCGCCTGCAGGGCGCCTTTAAAGCGATCAAGGGAAGGGGGCAGCCCATCCAGCGAAGGTCTGACGAGTGGAACCCTTTTGTCGGAAGGGAGGAGTACCTCTTGAATCGGATCGTGCAGCGTCAGGGTGCCGCGCCTCCATGGGTAGAGATTCAAGGAGGTGCGCCTGCCATCTCCGTCGCCGATCTGAAACTGCTGCAGGATCGGCGGTAGAGCTGACGGTCATCTTACCGATATAGAACTCGAACGTGCCGTCACCTCGTTCCGAGGTGTTCTCCGCGACTCGTGGACCCGTCGTGCCATCCGCACGTTGACAATGTCGCAGCCTGCTGGGCTCTTACCCCCGCTGACGCTATCGTACGTGCGAGCACTGCGTGACGCAGAGTGGGAAGAACGGGAACGCGCTTATCACGACACCGCTGTGGAGGAGCTAAACTCGTTGGTGCGAAAGTACAACGCGCTGGCACCTTATGCTGTGCGCCGTCCGTATCATGTGCTTCAGGTAGAGCTGGAGAAGGCATATCGGGAGTGTGGTGAGGAGATCCTGCAGGGCATCGCGCAGCGACTGCAGGATCAGGCGAGGACTGGTGGGAGTGGTACATGGGTTAGGGACGAGCAGGAGGGTCAGAGTCGTGGGGGCGCAAGTGTCATTGGACAGGATACGAAGGCCGTTTTGAGGGTTCGCGACGTGATCCGGGGATGGTTCCGTTGGCGAAGATGATATCGAGGAGAGTTGTGCGAGGTAAATGATGCGATCGTGCCAGATGGGTGTCGCCTAGTACACTAATAATCAGCGACTACTGACAATATCACTCTCGCATCGATAGTTTACACATAATGTGCCGATCCCTGGCGTGTGTCATGTTTTGTTTCTCCTCAGAATCTAGGAATATTCTGCAAGATGTGGAGCCCTGTACACTCGGAATGATTGGCAGGATCATGGCGGCCTCCTCGGACTTGCTGTCCACTTGGCAGAGTTCTTGACAAGCCCCGAGATCAGACTACAACACGCTTAATATCCACGAGGCTAGCATGTGCAGATGGGCGCAAGTAGGTACCTGTAAGCACTGAGCGGTGGTGTTGAGCTGTCGCTAGCCTCCAGCGGTCGAGCGACCCACTTCACAGTCACCTACGTCTTTTATCTGCTTGCAAGCTATCGGAATAATCTACTAAAGGAAGGCGTGTGCCCAACTATCGACACAACATTTACCAAAGACGGCTGCGGTCCGGGAAAATCAGGGAACAATGAGCTCTGCCTCGTGTCCGCCTCGCGCCTCGCGCTTAGAACGTAAAATGCGCCTGAGAACCCCCCATCTAATCTATATAAACCGCCTTTCGTGCGTCCTCCCCTTCCCACTCACCGTTCCCTGATATCTCTAGCAAATCCCTCGCCTTTACCGGCCCCGACCAACTCGCCCACTCTCGAGCCCCTCGCCTCACCCCGCTTCATCCTACCATGTCCTCCGAAGAAATCCTCGTGAGAAACATGTCTCGGCCTCGGCCGCAATGTCCCGCACGACTGATTTGCTTCCGTCTCGTTGTAGCCCGGCGACATCGTTGCCGTCCAGCACGGTGCCTACGGACGGAAAGAAGGCCTCGTCATCGGTTCCCACGTCGACTATGCAGTCAGTCTCTTGTATTGTCGAGGACGATAGTAAATAGTCTAATTTCTCGTGCGCTGTACCCAGGGTCGACAAATAGTCGAAGTACAATTCGAACCCGGCGAGGTGTACAACGCATGGTATACTCAAATTCCCTTACACCATCTGTGTCGTCGCTGAACCGATGACGTGTCGTAGGTACCCCACCGTCACTCGCGTCAAGCGCACCGTCTACACTCGCCCCAAACAACGCACTATCGAGCGTCACATCTACTGGTGACCTACCCTCCACGATCGCGGTGACCCCATTGCGCAGCGTGGGCTTTGGATTTTATTACCGTCGATCTGATCATATCACGCCTATACGCCCTGTACAGCTCGTGCGTTACACTATCGTCGCTCCATGGCGGGTGACTGTGCTCCATTCTTCATGTTTGTGTGTAGCTCGTTGCGGAGGAGGGCAGAGTAGATGTCAAACCAGCGCCCTGAGTGTACACGTAGATGGCATGGGGTTATTGTCTGTACTTATACGCCTCTGGGGACTCCGGCTGCCAGGACTTCTTTATTATTACCTGCTTGCAGAATGGAACCGCTCTCTTTCGTATCGGAACGAGTCTTGTGTTGGACACCGGGTCAAGAACGAAGAGGCTAGTTGGATCAAGCAGTTGACGTTCAAGGGTTGTCGCTTGCCAGACAGCTGTGGTATGTCCAAGTGTCCGCAAAGGTGCGAACATCTTGACCATTACAGCCTTGCGGTCTCGTACAGACAGGACAAACGTACGAGGAGAGATGCGAGGCAAAGCTGTGATTGCGATGTACACGATCTATCAAATACAATCCACGTAGGATGGGTCGAATAGCATGAAAGCAATAATGTATACTATGCCCGAAGACCAACGGTCCTGGCAGGAGATATCTGCCTAGTGCGGATAGATTGTGGAGACTGGATGCGATGTTGAGGAGGTGGACGTCGCGCGGGAGAAGGTGATGGTAGGTGGATTGGTGGCTCTGATAGGGAAGGTGGGGAAGCGAGGTCAGGGCTCAGAGATGCATCAGGCTGCAGTGCAGGGATGATCTCGATCTCAGGTGTCTTTGTTAACGGGACTTTGCCTTCAACACCATCAACTTGTAATGATGAATCTCGCGTCCGAGCGCGCGGGATAGAGTCAGATGAAGTTCCAGGCGAGCTGGAGGACTCCCTAGTTGACACCCCAGAAGACCGACTCCGCCCAGCTTCGACACTCCTTATTACCCTCGCTCCGAACGTCCTCTCTGTAGTCGCGGTATTCGGAGCCTCACAAGGCATCGCAGTATCGCCCGAGGCCAGAGTCACCATGGAAGTCGTCGACCCATTAGCCTTCGGCTTTACGGTGTCTTCTGACCCTTTGGGGGAGCCTAATGGATAAATATGTGGACGCGGCTGGACGACCCGCTCATAATAAAGCATAAACGTGGCCGACCCCTCCTGCAGAACGGACTCAATACCACATTCGGATACCGAATCGTCACTGATCCTCAGCCAGCCTCGCCCGGGTCGTGCAGATGCAAGAATTTGCTCGTCGTCTTCGTCACTTTCGCGCACGGGCCCGTACTTCGTACATGTTTCGCAGTCACACTGAAGATAATGGGGCATCTTGGGAGGATTGAAGCGAGAGGCGCCAGCGGAAAGCGGTCGGGGTTTGCGTCGGTAACAGACATAGTGTCCGAAGGAGTGTTGACCGTAGTGGCAGACAAGAGCGGAGAGGCGATAGATGACTCGCTGAGTTGAGAACATGGATGGTATGGGTGTCGAGGACCGAGGAATTGGTGGAGGTGGGGAGGATATGGGGACAGATGGGGATGTAGAAAGTTTCCCGGAGGTCGTATATGGGGTTAGGTCTAGTAACTCGGGGAAATCAACACGGCAAGTGTTTTTTGTCGCGTAGTTTCCATAGTGCATTGAACGGTTGAGATGAAGAGCAAGAACAGGAGGTGGCTGGCAGAAAAATCAATACAACCGTGATTTACCGTGAGGCTGAATATTATCTCACCCGGGCAATCATCGCCTGCTTCGTCGATGCTTTGCTGTACACTCTCTCCATCTTTACACCTTTGATATCGTCTTCAATCCGCTCTTCTTCCAAAGCAGCTTTCACGTTAGCCTCCAGCTTTCTGGCCTCTCGGGCCCTTTTCTTCTTCGAGCTAGATGCATTCTCGTCTGCCTTAGCTGCTTCAGTCAACCTCTCGGCATCCTGCCGCAGTCGATAAAGTGTCGCAAGCATCGAGCACTTCCTGCAGATACAGTCCATCAAAAGTTCTAGTCGCGTGTAATCTGCAAGGCAGTCCTCGATGTTGCAGGTTGTCTGTGCATGTATTTATATATGTGACCTTTTCGGTGACGATAAGAGGTGACACGCACGGCCATACGAGGTAAATTCAGTTGCCAGCTATCAAAAGCAAAGTGCATCACGGCCTCTGTGTACCCGCATTCTACACAGCTGCGTCTGTTGGCAGTCAAGCCGTCGAATACGTTTTTGCCCAACTCGCGAGCGGTGACTGGTAGATTTTGGGACAAGCCGCCGAGACCTCGGTCACGTAGGCCTTCATTGTCCACTGCGGATGTTTCCTTCTTGATGCATTCGGATACAAGCTGAAATAATTCTTGCGCATCCTGATGCTCGCGAGATGAGAATAGTGGGCTTTTCTTTCCTGGTTCGTGGTTAGATAATGCATCTATCATACGTATCGGACGAATGGGTGAAGAATAGGATTTTGGGGTATTGAGGGCTGCGTGATATATGTGAGCGACGTTCTCGAAGTGCAGGGAGAGAAGGCGCGCTGACTGTGTAGCAATTCTTGCAAGGCGTCGATTACGGGCGTTGGGACGTCAAGAGCTTCAGCTTTATCATGAATAGCGTTTATACGCGGCTGAAGGTAAGATAGCGATGCTAAAGCCTGTAGTCAATGTCTTCAATAAAGGCAAATAGTTGCTCATCGCTGTGAACGGACCTGCATGGTCGAATTCATGAAGCAGTATGTGCCAGAAACATTGACAAGTCCTGGATAGTAATCATATGAGCCGTCCTCGCTGGATTCTAGTGTTTTCTCTGCTTTTGAAGTTAAGGACAGATGTCTGTCAATCGACATTGAGAAGTACCTGGCTTTGCGTCTCCGTTTGCGAGCAACTGATCGGCACGCGTCCGAAGAGGTTTCTTCTTCTTGAGCCTCTCTGGCTGGGACCGCGGGGGCGAGTGACTGTTCCCCCAGTTCCAGGGTAGTGCCGCACTTAGTGAGCTGAGCATGAAGAGCACGGATGAAGCCAACGGATCAAAGTGTTTAACCAAGGATAGGACAAAGATGGGAATGAGTACGACGGCGAGCAGAGGAGCGACCTGCTGGAGCAAAGAGTTGGAGAGCAGCTCTGAGAGGAATGAGCGAGCGAGGGACATCGGTCAGAGGCGGGTCTGCGGATGAAGCATCTCAGTGGTGGGGATGACGAAGGTTCGGTAATGAGGTCAGCATCCCACTGCACTCCCCGGCGTTGCGCCTCGCTGTCCTCGCACTTCCTCGCACCCGCATCACACCAGGTCGCATAACCCTTCAACGACCGCATACAGTGTCCTCCGTATACCAAGTACTTCAAGCACTTTAGATTCATCGAGCCTGGGAGTAGACCTGACTTTCCGGCCTGCCCTAACCTCATCACGTGGGTCTCTCGTGGTGACAGTCGCGTCGCGCCTCGACGCGTCTTGTTATTTGCCGCCGGTCCTCGTGTTGCTGCTCCATCCAACGACTTGCTTCTTCCCACATTGCACACATCCCAGAAAACGGTATCTGTACACCTGCCACTTGCGGCGCCACTTTATCAATGGCCACCGCTGCGTTGCTCTCGCGTCATTCGTCCAACCCTCTCGAGGTGCCGTCCTCGGATGCACGCAATCGAGCGTACCTGAGTACTTATACCGCTGCAAAAGCCAGGGCAGGTATCGAAGAAGACTCTGATTTTCAATCTGGGACAGGGATGGAGTACCAGTCCCACTTAGCCCAGCTCTTTCCAAACTACGCAGCCTCGGTGACCCCGCGGCCACCAGCCCAGACAAACAGACAAACCTTCGTCGATTTGGACGAGGATATGAGCAGCAACGAGGAGGAGATGGAAGTTGCCGATGCCGATCAAGAGCGCCCCAGTGGCGCCCAAGATGATGATAGCAGCATGGAAGAAGACGAAGAAGAAGAAGACGACGAAGACGACGACGACGAGTTCGATGAAGAGATGACCATCTACCTCAAGTCAAACGTCGAGCAGGAGGAAATTCGGGAAGAGATTGCTGATTTGGAAAGAAACGTTCCGTCACTCCTTCCAGATTACCGAATTGTGGATCGACTGGGCACAGGCACGTTTTCTTCTGTCTACAAAGCCCTCGATGTCGGCTACCACACCAAGTGGGATAACACTGCTTGGCATGGTCATCACCCCTCCACCTCTTCCGCTCATTATCAGTCCGCTATCCGACCATCTGGCAGTAAAGTATTTGTTGCCATCAAAAGGATCTATGTCACAAGCAATCCTGAACGGATCAGAAATGAGATCATGATCATGGAAGACTGTCGAGGATGTAGACACGTCTCACAATTAATAACAGCCTTTCGAGAAGAGGATCAGATTGTCGCTATCATGCCATACCACCGCAATGGAGACTTTCGAGTGAGTCCTTCCTTTCCGCATGACTGTATGCGCTGACATGAGACCAGGAAATGTATCGACTTTTATCTCTCGAAGGCGTGAAGACATATTTCCGATGCATGTTTAGAGCCTTGCGCGACATACATGCGCGAGGTATCATTCACCGAGATGTCAAGCCTGCCAACTTCCTCTTTGACCCATATACGGGTACAGGCACCTTGTGTGATTTTGGCCTTGCATGTGTGAGCGCCTAGTTAATTACTCACATGCGTGTCAATTTCACTGTCGTCCAGCGCTTGGAACGAGGACCCAATGCGGGTGCTTGCCTCCATACTCCGTACCAGAGAGGTCACCCGCATGGTCGAATACGAAAGCATGATGAATACGACACCACTCACATAAAGAAAATGCAAAAAGACGCGCGCGCAAAATGCCACCGACCTTCAGACCGTGTCGGGTACCTAGACAACGATCCACGGTGAGCAGGCGGTGCTTATTGTGCAATCTTCACGATACTCATGGGGCAGTGACGTTCCTGCATTGTAGACCTCACTCAAAAGCCAATCGAGCGGGAACAAGGGGATTCCGGGCCCCCGAAGTTCTACTCAAATGTGGTGACCAGACTGGGGGTAGGCGCACATATCATGTTTTTTCAGAAAACATCCTCAATCTGTGTCTGATGTAGCCATCGACGTGTGGTCTGCCGGGATGATTCTTCTTTTCTTTTTGATAAAGAAATTCCCTCTGTTCCAGTCAGGAGATGATGTAGAAGCTCTTGTGGAGATCGCGAGTATCATCGGAAAGCGGAGAATGGAGAAGATTGCTACGCTACACAGTCTGCCTTGTCTTTTTTCGCTTTCGTAGGTACATTATCTGACCCTCGTTATTCATCTTATGCTTCCAGGTCGAACGTTTGCCACCAACATCCCTTCCATCACGCCAGACGGAATTACATGGCGTGAATTCATCGAACGCCAAAATCCGTCATTAAAGGTCCCTTGTCGACCGGACCCTCGCTTCTATCCCCATAACTCGCCTTCTTCACAACGCCATGCACATAGCTCACACCCACCACCTCCATCCTCTTCATCCTCTTACTGTACTTCTCCGACATCGTCCCAACATACACCCTCCTCGCCTCCCCCTCCCGCCGAATCCTATACCGATGACATAGAGATGGCTCTGGATCTCGTCGAGAAGGTTATGAACCCCGATTCTACAAAGCGTATCACGCCCCGTCAAGCCCTATACCACCCATTTCTCCACAATCCCGATGAGGCAGATGACGACTTTTTTCCGCATCCCTTTGGTGAGGGCGTATGCGGCAAGTATCATTTCGTTGATGAAGTGACGGAAGAGTATTGCGTGCATGTGACTGTAAAAGGTAAAGACGGGACGAGTGAGACAAAGGTGAAGCGCGCAGTTGCCGGTGAGGGTATTGCTATAGGAAGGCATCCTTGTGAGTTCCATAAGGACGATGTCAGGTTTTCGGGATCTCTTTGACTGCGTTATTTCAACACCCGCATTCAGTACTGTACACCCACATGTCTCTCAATACCATACCCATTGATATTTCAATTACACGTATCTATGTCCTAGTTTCTGAGCGCTTGCGAAGTACTGAGCAGATGATGGTCAAAACGGAACAATCGAAACCCAAAAAGACGACCATCGAAGGACTCGAACCCGCAGCCAAGCGCCAAACAATGGTAGCCTTCATCCTCCCATTTGTTTTCATCCTATGCAGACCCGACATGCCAAGAATCTGCAACCAGCATATGCACGACTTCTCGCGAACAAAAACTGTAGCATCCCAAAAACAATGACCACCGCAGGACTCGAACCTGCAACCTTTTGGTTACATAAGGCAATCGAAGCCAAACGCGCTACCATTGCGCCAGGTAGCCATGATATGTATGCAAAGATAATGTAATGTATCTAAATGTACATTCAGTCATGGCTCTTGGAGATCTTGGCCTGGCGGTTGATTTCCATCCCTCTCGTTGACACAAACCGTTAGCGCCCCATCATGCATCATACCTCACCGAAGTCTACAGGTAAGAACGTTATATGACCTTCAACCTTCGATATGTCCCCACTGCGATACATATCCGGACGACTAGGGCGCCTGAGATTTCGGGACGGTTCCTATATATAAACTACCTCAGTAATCTCTATGTCTTTTCTCTAACCCACCTGAGGTCCTTTCAAACCCACCTCGGCTCCGGGTCGAGTCAGGGCTTATTGGGATACCGATATTCTAACTTCTGTCAGGCATCTACAGCGCAATACGTCAGGTCCATACCCATCTTCTGGTTCTAAGACTGCTCCTCACATATACTTAGCTGACGACCCTCAGCTCTGCAAAGTTAGCCGACGTTAACAGAATACTGCTTCAAATGATCCAACCATCTGCCGACAGGTTACCGCAATGTCGACCACCGCTGTATACACCCACGGGCATCACGAGTCTGTCTTGCGCTCCCACTCCTGGCGCACCGCAACCAACTCGGCCGGGTATCTTCTCTCATCTCTCCAACCACACATGCACATTCTGGATGTAGGCTGCGGTCCCGGAACCATAACCATCGATTTCGCCACGTTGGTTCCCCAGGGACAAGTCACCGGCCTGGAACCGACTCCAGGCATTCTAGAGCAGGCCCGTGCCAATGCATCCCAGCGAGGCGTGGACAATGTTCGCTTTGTCGTCGGCAGCGCATACGCGCTCGACTTTCCGGATGCCACCTTCGACATCGTGCACGCCCATCAACTGCTGCAGCATTTGGGTGATCCCATCCAAGCCCTTCGTGAGATGCGTCGCGTCACCAAGCCGGGCGGCTTTGTCGCAGTGCGCGAGGCAGATTTCTCAGCCATGACATGGTATCCCGAAGTGGAAGGGCTGAACGAATGGCGGGAGCTTTACTTCAAAGTTGCCCGCGCTAATGGCGGCGAGCCCAATGCCGGTCGACGGCTTGTTGCGTGGGCGCTCCAAGCAGGTTTCGACAGAGCCAGCATCACGACGACCGCTGGAACTTGGTGCTACAGCACTCCCGAAGAGCGCGCCTGGTGGAGTGGGATGTGGGCGGACCGCACTGCTCAGTCGGCCTTTGCAATGGGGGCAATAGACCATGGTTTTGCCGACAAAAATGAGCTTGCTCGCTTCGTGCAAATCTGGAGGGAGTGGGGTACCAAAGACGATGGTTGGTTTGCTCTCCTTCACGGAGAGATCATCTGTCACGTCGTTTAGCTAATGTTCGAATCTCATCTCGTCAAATATTCAATACTCAAAGAAGATGTACTTTTAAATCATTAGGTAGTCGTACATATCGTGTACGCGATCTAGTCTCTGTTGTTGGAGGTTGTTGGAGGCCTCACGAGAGATAGTGGTTATCTATATCGATTCCTGTGCATATGAGCCAATGTTTAGCGCCAAGTAGTGGCGACATCTTGACTTTAACCATTTCAGTACCGTACTTGTTCAGCATTCTATCAAATTTCTCTCACCCTTTCGCTGGAATCACCATGGCTTTGAATTGGACGATGCTGAAGGAGGACAGGACCCCTATCCCTCTGCCTGGTGAAACGACTATCATGACGATCCATACGGGAGCAGAGGTAGCGTTAACGATTCCAGACGCGCCTCCAAGCGCTGGAGCCACATCTGGAGGGTCAGGCGGTACGAAGAAGCTCGAGGCAGTAGGGAGGTTGTGGTTAACTGATCAGAGAGTGCGTTGATTCCTATCCTCACTGATTTGTGTGCGATGCAGCTGCTCAATCAGACTCTGCGCTGAATAGTTGATATTCGTAGTCCCCTCAGCCCACCCATCATCCTTTGAATCTCTGTCTATTCCCTTGCACTCCCTGATCTCAACTAAGTTCCAACAACCTATGCTCGGTGCGAACTATCTATCTTTGGAAATCAAGCCTTCACCAGAAGGAGGCTTAAGAGATGGCACGAAGGCCGACATTCGGCTAAGAGACCAAGGCCTATTCCAGTTTGTGAGCATGTTGGAAAAGACGCGGGAGCGTGTAATCTATATGCGCAGACAAGCGTTGGAAGACGAGGAGAACCTTCGTGTGTTATCTGCGCTAGCTTCCCACCGTTCACAAACTGACTGAAGGTGTACAGCGGCATATGCTTCCCCTGCGGAGCCGGCCTCGTCTTCGCAGATCGCGGGAACGCCAGTCGATGCTCCTCCAGGCTACATCGCTTGAGGCGGCGACCTGATAGCATTCGATCATTTCGATATGCAAACCAGGAATGTGTTCTGTTATTAAACTACAGCTGTATTCGAACTTTGTGCAAAGCTATGTGTTGTACCATGTTCACAGGAAGTTGTACTTACTATCAATGAGAAACCAGGTGTATACTCCTCAAGTACGTGACCCTCTCGCAGTCTGTTCCCATCGGTCTTCTATTATGACACCGTCATACTCTTGTGCAGCTTATCCTGTATTATCAACACTGGATAAGAAGGAAGTGGCCTCTGTTGGCCACGGAAGTGGTCATCGGATATCCGGGAACGCAATCATTGCCTGCGACTTTGGAGGACTGATGCGGGATGGATCGCTTGAAACGGTCCAAACTGGTGGGCGTATCGTCTTATGTTTATGGGACTATCCTCTATCGAGATCAGCAACGTATAACTCGACTATCTCAATACCGGAGCCGTGATCGACTCTTTACTGCTATTAGTGGGTATTTAGACGTATTCTCGAAGTGCCCAGCATGCTTGGGTGTGGGGAGTCGGGTTGCCATTGGCCACAAGTATGTAACATAGCGACAATTGTGTCACAGTGTCATGGAGTATCAAGTAGACAGGGCTAACATAAATTCAGGCACTACTGCGTCGGCTCATAAGCTCTCATAAGTAAGTACATGTGCCCACTTCATCCGCCTGGCAGCGGGTGACTTCTTTCTATCGCAACCGCTCCGATCCCCTTCAGCCTCCCTGCAGCCCCGAGGGGCCCACTCGCTCTCTTCATAATTGGTCTCTTCACGGCAGGCGACGAGGATCTTCAGGGCTCAGGGCTCTCTATTTCGTGCTAATCTGGATAAGTCCAGAGAGTATATATCATTGATGTGAGATAGTTATAGGCTTTGATCCTTTTCAATCATGATATGTACTAATGGTGCTTTTTCTACAGGACCTCCCTGATCTGCAATGCAAGTAGCCGCTGCGAGACCATCCATGCTCTCGGAGTGACTAGCCTTCCCGAGGTATTTGCCTACGACCTACGGGTAGTCCGGTTCGTGTTTAGAGCAAATGTGGCACTGCATCTTACTGATTTCTCTCTCTCTCTCTATGTGTGTGCGTGTGCAGTTCCATCGCATGGGCTGGCTATACACTCCTTCTCTATGATTATATTCTTACTCTTAGAGACGAGGCAATGTATATTTGGCCGACACGCTGGTCCATCGTCAAGAGCATCTACATGCTCAATCGATACGGAAACCTTATTGGGCTTGCCATCCTCTGCGCGCACATCAACGGATTCTTATATCTCAATACCAAATCCGTATGAGCTCTCAATCCTCCTGAAGGGGCAACTTAACAATCTCTCATGGTACAGTTTTGTGCTCGCGCTACGATGGGAACAGGCATATTGATGTATGTATCCCTCACATCAATACACGGTGAGTATCATATCCAGGATGTGAGACCTCAATTCTTACCCAAAGACACCTTCGGTCATTGTCACTGCAGTGCTCATTCTCTTACGTGCCTGGGCAGTGTGGGCACGCGCACAGAATATATTAATGACTCTCATCTGCATGTTTGTTTTGTATTTTGTGGCGAGCAGTTCGCTCTTGATATGGGAGATGCTACAATTGACTGGTAAGCCCAGCCTCTCTCACCCGCAGACCATTGCGTCTCTATAGCTGTATCTGTCTGTCTGGTGAAGCTCATGACTGTCTTTGACTAGATGAGGCTTTTCCCTTGGCTGACGTGACTCACACTTGTATCGCCTTTGTCTCCCGTACGTGAAATTTTTGTGAACCTTTGATTGATCGTTGACGCGATGGTTCTAGCGTCTTCAGTAAGTCGCTTCTTACATTACGGGTTCAAGTCCCATTCGTTGATCAATTCCAGTGGGTGTTGTGGCTCCCTGGGTGAACACTCTTGCCATACATTCACCCCGTCTACACTTTGCTAACCAGCGACGAACGCAGCCTGGCGCTTGAGTGTTCAATGTTGACCGTCACGATGTGGAAGTTGCCACAGTTCAGACAAGGCATTCATATAATGTCACCGCTAGCAAGAACGCTGTATCGAGACGGTACTTGAATCCTTTGTCGATCGAGAGACGCATAGTCGCTGATTTATTGACTCTCGCAGGGGTGATATATTTTATTGTAAGTGTACAGCCTTATCATATATGAAGTCGTTCAAATACTTTGTCCAGTGTGCTCTATTTTGTAACTTATTTGTTACGATTATCTGGCGAGTCCCACTTCCTGTTCTGTGTCGCTTCTCACTTATGATCATGCAACACTTTCTCTAGGGCGCAGGATAGACAGGTGATTGATCAATTGTACCATCTCTGACTGCTGGGTACCGATCATCTCGTTGTAGACCCCCCTGATCATGCTCTGGAATGTGTTCGGCATCGCGATCATCAACGTTGCTGGCCAAAGGCTCGTACTCGACCTGCGCAGGGTGCACCAACATGAATTGTCCTCCACGGATATCCACGAGATCGTGAACTTCGGGGTGATTGATCTGGATTTAACGAGTCGACCCGATCTGTCGGAGACGACAACACCTGAGGTGCGGGCATCTCAGTGCAATGTCCGATCGTCAAGATGGGCATTCGGACGTCGAGAGGCGGGGATTTCTGGTACGATAGAGATGCACCCGATTGCGGGAAGGGGCAGAGGCAGAGGCAGAAATGCGGACGATGTATCATTTAGTATAGGGACTAGAGGGGAGGTGGATCGATGAGAGGCGTTTATGGTCATGACCGTTCTCGACGTGTTTCGGTAGACATGAGGATGGCCGATACCCTTCGATATAGCCCACTGACGTTTTTGCGCTCAAGAGACAGGATTCTGTGAGATATCACGCGTTTTATTTGCTCATCGTCCTTCTCCCCGCTCACAAGTGCACAGCACATTCAGAACGGATACATCGCACGCCCGGTCAAATCATACCTAATAAGCCTCAAAAAGACGCGATCTCGACAAACGTTTCCAGATCGCCGTAACACCCGAACCTCAATCAAGGTAACTAATACATCGACTGCCTCACGTATACACCAAGTTCAATAAGGCCTGAATCTCCTCGACGATTTGAGTTTTTCGACTTTCGCCTTGTCCTCCTCCCATTTCCGCTTGAGCTCCATAAGATCTGCAGATACATCCAATTTAGTGATAGGCCCATTGATTTTTTAATAGATAGCTCGACTGACCGTTGCGCTTCTTTTCGTGCAGTTGAAAAGCGTAAAAGCCTGTCTTCTCCTTCTCCCCTTTCTTCCTGTTTCTCTTCGCTCCTGATGCACTCGCCCCTCTGCGGTCTGCAACAAATTTTTTATTCGCAACACTGACACCACCTCCTACCGTCTGCCCATATGCCCCACCCCTCGTGACAAGTGTGAACCCGTCGTCGTCCACGATCGCTTCGCCCTTTTTATACTTCGATTCGGACGCCCGCTTTTTCGCTAATTCGAAGTCGTGTAGCTCAATGGACGTGTCGGCGTGAGCACGAACAGCATCGAGTGGCGGACGGAGTGCATCGTACAATGCGGTGTAGTGTGCGAGCCCGAGTGGCGACTCTGTCGCGTTTGGCCATGAAAGTGACTGTGGTACGGCTTGATTTTGATGTTTGGAGGATTTGGGAAGCGAAAGCGCGCGTGCTAGGGAGGAAGGGTCGAGGAAGACGATGTGCGCCGTGCGCCCGGTTTTTCGGAGAGCACGAAGGGGTGGAAAAGGAAGAGGTGCGACCTTGGGTATTGGGGGATCGTCCTTGACTACCTTCTGTTTTTTGCTTGGATGGATGTCCTGCGACCCGTCTGACTCCATATCCCAGTCTTCCCCCGCCCCGCCTTCTTCCTCGCTGCCTTCTTGTTCGTCTTGCCATAGCATAGACCCAGAGTCTGAATTAAAGATGACTTGCTCAATAGTTCCACATGACTTGAAGAGGAGTACGAGCTCGCGCTCAGTCACATCAGGAGGCAGGTTCACGACAAAGAGTGTCCGTCCATCCGGCAATACCTTGCCCTTGCCTTTCGAGCTTTTGAGGGGACCAGTGTGCGGTCGAACATAAAGGATATGATGGGATGAATTTGAGTAAGCGACTGGGAGAACCGTGAAGCCAGATACTGTCTGGGGTAGAACTGCGAGCATCTAAGTCCTGCTCTATTATGACCTGAAGAAACGGGAGCCCGACTTAGGATAAACAGAGCACGTTCTCGGTGTCCACGTGACGCGTGCTCGTCCTGAGCAACATCAACTCTGACAATCGAGCGACGATGCGCATGGCGGAGACATGTCATTCAGTTATCTGGTATATGTACCCTCCATCACCATCACCATCACCATCCAGAACATCAAAAACGAGAGCGGGAAAGAAAATGCCATTGCAAAACGAGGCGAAGTAAAAGCTAGAGGCGAGAAACAATCATGACAAACTGAGGTTGACATTGACAAACGTTTTACTGGAGACAGAAAATTCAAGACAGCAGACAGGATTAGTAACATCATCGCAGATGCACGACGCTAACGAACGAAATAAACAAACTCTGAACAGAGGAACATATATGTCTGATAGACTGGAAGGATAGGAATGTGGCGCATGAGGGAAAGCCAGTGTGGAAACATAGAGCCCTCATGGAGTGAACGAAGACGCGGAAAAAATAAATGAAGAATCTGACCAAGAAAGGTCCAAATGCGACCGACCAACTTCAACGTGCGGAACGGCATGCGACGACGACAGAATACGAGGCGACAGAGAAGAGACGCGGAACAAAACGTAGAGATGCGAGAGTCGAAATGTAAGGCGGAGTGTGTGATCAAATCAAACGAGACCAAACGATTGACTTTACTGTGATATGTTATTCAAAGCAAGCAAAACTTCAAAGCGAGAGAGAAGTAGTAAGAGGACGTGAAATTTTTGCGAGACCACGACCTGGGCAGTGCGCTATCGGCTGACCCTGCGTACGCCTCGAAACAGTGCCAGCGGCTCACGCTGAATCCTGAGTCCGCTCGGCTATTTTCCAAGCCGATCCGTTATTGTGGTCGAGATCCAAGCTGGCTAATGTGCCGTTAAGGTCGTGAATCGTGTCATGATCATGAACGTCGAAGTAGTCGTTGCGCTCACGGCTGGGGGGAGATGCCTGGCGAAGAGAGGACGAGGGCGGACGAGATATCGCAGTGGTAGCAGAGGGGCGACCCGCGGAGAAAGATGAGCCTGAGTGCTCGAGGAATGACCCGAACCTTTGAGACGTGCTGGCAGGTCGGCCGGCGTGAGATGAGGTTGGTGTGATCGGCGGCGTCTTCCCGCCGCCATTCATACTATTTATGTCCTGAGTCTGAATGGGCGCCGAGCCAAAACCTGTGAAACCCCTGAACGAATGAGACATCATGTCAGACTTGAGTGAGCCCCCAGTATCGCGGCTCCTATTATCCTCGAGGAAATTATTAGCCTCGGGAGAGAACGGGGAGAACGAGTTCGACAAGTTCTGGGGGTTTGAACGACCGTCATTCTGTCCACCATTGGCGTTGGGGTTGACGGCGAATGAATTTGTGGGGAAGATGTCAAAGTTCGGCGGAAGTCCACTCTCGTTCTCCCGTAAGAGCATCTTGCGAAGGGTCTCTTCGTTGGTCTGACGCGAGTCGTTCGAATTCGGGGGATGCATCCCGGCTGCATCGCTTCCGCCAGAATTGTTGGAGAGGAAGCCGGTTAAGCCAAATTTCTGCAATAGCTGGATGGCTTGCTCTGCAGTCAGCGGCTGGCTTCTCTCAGGCTGAGGTTGAGTTTGTAAATGAGCCTGTAGAGCAGCTGCCTGGGCGGCCTGCGCTGCTGCCTGCGCTGCTTTGTCTGTTCCATAGGATGTGAACAACTTGAGGTGGGAGATAAATGGAATCCTCTTACATTGACTCCTTCCCCAGCTGAGTCTGATTCTACTCCCGCCAATGGGGAATCCTTGCATCTTTTCAATCGCTCTCTCCGCATCCGCCTTGCGCACGAATTGCACGAAACCACAATGCTTTCCGACTGGGACCTTCACCTGTTGGCATACGTCGAGGTAAGCCCATGCTCGGAAAACAGAGGATGTACACGAACGTAATGGATGTCGCCGAAAGGCGCGAAGAACGTCCTCAGTGTCTCCTCCGAGATCAAAGGAGACAATCCGCCCACAAAAACTGTGGTATTGTAGGGATCCGTAGACGTAAGCTGCTCGCCGTTGGGGCCGATGAGGTTGCCGAGGATCGCTCGCGCTTGGGCCTGGTGTTTCCACGACTCTTCCGTCATATTGTACCTGGGAGGAGTGTTCTGCTCTTGCGGCGGACCAGCAAAGGGAGCTGTGATGGATAGCACAGAGTTTGGACCCATCTTCATGCCGACATTGGCGTATTGAGCTAGGTGGGAAAGCATGTTAGTTTGAAGGTGCACCATGTCATCAGAGGCTGAGGCTAGCGTGGATCCTGAGCCGCTCGATGTGGGACCGGAGCTTAACGATGGCGCCGAAAGTGACGACCCGGAGCTAGAGGATGACACCCCGGAGCTATTGAGCGAGTTTGTGGAGCCGTTCGAGGGTGGCTTGGTGCTAGCAATCGGCGAAGAAACACTTTTGGTCTGGGGGACTTGCATAGGAAGCGCAAGGGTGACAGACTGATACTTGTCGTCGACCCCATTGACACCAGTCGCCACGGGCGGGAGCTGAACTTGAGGTAAGTCGAGAGATGGCGGCGGTTTATACTTCGCGGTAGCAGGAGAGATGCGCACTGTATCATAGGATGAAATTAGAGATAAACAACGCGCATATATGTCACTCTTACTTGGACGTGAGAGACAGTAAAGGCCATGCATCTCGATCAGCGCACGCTGCTGATCAGCCTCATCGGTGAAGCTGGCACAACTCATAGTGAACACGTGTTCTGATAAAGGATTGAAAGGGGTGAGCGCACCGAACAAACCCGTAACCCCGTGAAACGCCGGTAACGGGATCCAACATGATCTTTGCGCTCTTGCAACTCAGGAAAGGGCGAATGAACTTGGGCTCGCGGTCGTTACGAAGACCTAGAACGGGGTTGCGAAAGACAGCGACGAGGTCCGAGTTTGATGCCTCCGGGGCCAAGTCGCCAACGAAGATGCTGTACTCCTTGGGATACTGTTGCTGTTGCTGAGCTGCCACACCTGGTGGAGATAATGACGGCGGGATGGGAGTTGACGAGGCCCAGTTGAGAAGAAAGGGTTTGGTGGAGTTGGGCATAGTGATGGGGTTGTTAGGGTTGCTGTTGTTGATCTGTGCTAGAACGGAAGCCGCGTGTGTGGGGGTTGGGAAAGTGAGGAAACAATAGCCTGGGTTGTTGGCTTGCTGGCCTGTGATAGGATCCGGGGCAGGATGAGGGACCTTGACGTTGACGGGATCCCAGCCCATGAGGCCGCAGACTTGTTTCGCGTACTCTTCGTCCATCCAAGGTTCTAATTCGCCCCACCAGAGTGTCGAGCGCGACGACGGGGATGTAGGGGAGAGAGGATTAGAGGGGAGGGGGGCGTGGGTGAACGTAGTTTGGCTGGGTGTTGAAATCGAACCGCGAGAGATGAAGGTATCCCTGTCTTTGTACGCGGAGGGGAGGGAGGGGAGGGCTCTACCAGACACAGGGTACGCGCCGTTGTCAATGGTGATTCCGGCGGGATTGCCGCTGGCGAGCTGGAGGGAAGGAGATGTGGAGGGATGGTGGGGGGGAAGAGAATGGATTGTGTGGCTCAGAAGGGGCGCCGCCGACGCAAGTCTGTTTGTGTTTGGTGCGGACGGCCAACTGTCAGTCGAGGGCATGGCGAAGTCCCGTTCTTGGAAACCCATCGACCGAGGCATTGTCGAATGCGGCGGGGCAAAAGCATGCACCCCAAAGGAGCCATAGCTCGTGGCAGATGACAGCCCACGGTCGGACGATCCGTAGCCGGCAAGCGAGCCCGAATGGCTGTGAAAGTGCCTGTGATCGTCGTCGAGATTAGGTCGAGCAGCACTGACGCCGGGCGGATAGTCGAACTCTTGCATGTCTGCGCGTGACATGTCTCAAAATGATGGCAGAGATGGCACTGTGGCACGGTATAGACACTGCGAGGCCGAGAGGAGCAGATCGATAGCTTGGATAAGCTCGAGACGATTTTCTCGGTTGCAAACGACAGGAACGTGTGGCCGAAAAGAGGGATGATAGACGACGGACGGCGATTGGAAGGAAGGAGAGAAGAAGAAGAAGAAACCGGTGCCAGCAGAAATGGTCAGAAAACGATACGTGAACGACGAGTCAGCGGGGGGCCGCACAGCGAATCGGACAAGCGAGAAGGCTTCGACAGAAGCAGTAAAAGCGGGCAGCAAATTGGTTCAGTGACAGATGTTTTAGATAGGAGAGCTGAGCTAAGACAAGGCCAGCGGTTGACCGTAGGACAAGGCGGACGTTGTGGGCACAAGGACAGCTGTCGACAACGAACTGCTGGTGGGGCGAGAGTTGAGCTCTGCGGAGTGCAGAAAATATAGGAGGGCGGAGTTATATGGTTCACCAACGGTTAACCCTTACTCAACTCTGCGGGTGGTTCCAAGAAGAGGCCAGTTTCGTACCATGAGGCTATCAGTCCGCAAGGGACACCAATTGCGAGATCGCTGGCCCTTTCCTTCGATCCATACAATTTATCAGCGGTCCGAGCGGTCGTCCGATCACAGTCTAGTCCTGATCCATATTTCTTTTCTTTTTGCTGAGGAATTCGCGCCTACCGGTATCTCCGTGCTCACCGTCGTCGTTCTTTGTCCAAGACGTTGTGTGCCAACAATTTCAAACCCCTTCGCGTCACACTGTGGTGCTTCTGTATGTGCTTGTGGGTCCCCGTGGCTGTACAGCTTCGGCCGCGCCAACCGCCTGTTTGCGAGCTGGCGGCTAAGGCGTCTATACCATCCCTTTCCAGTGCACTCTACAGAGTCTATGTTTCTGGAGTATCCTGTTTGTTCGACGAAGTCGATGTCCTGCTGCTACGCTTCTGCAACCCTCGAGTGATACTTGACAAGGATTTATTATGACGTCGCGCATCATGGGTGCGCGTGGGTCGAGTATCACAAGGTCGGGATGACGGCCCAAAATGTAGCAACAATACATTGTCTGTCTATTATCCGCCTAAAATGGCAAAAATGGCAAAAATGGCAGGTAATTGTTTATCTGCTCAATATTCATGCTCACGGCGCCGCATTCCCCAGTGCCTGAATTTCGAACCTCTATACCAGGCTATACCAGGCTATGTTTACGACCCCACGCGTCATACGATCTTATTCATCCAACAGGTGTACATATATAATAATATATTTTCACAATATTTCAGAGCGTGGCCCCTACAGTATTCATCTCGCTAGCCTATTTCTCACGAACGTCCAAGGTTATATGCTAGCAGCGCTGCAACGACTCGTACAAGCTCTAGTACACCGGCCAATGAGCTTGGAATTTCCCGAAATGCTGCGACGGAGTTGCGACGGCGGCCACCACACCTTATATCATGCAGGGCCCTGTACAAATTATTTTGTTCATCATTACAGACGGAGTGAGACCAAAGATCGGAGATGCTTCAAGCTGGCATTTGTTGTAGAAACTTGGAATTTCCACCGACACGGAAAATATCGTAGGTTTTCAAGTCACGCCTGTGCAAGTACTGTTTGATCTGGTAGATGCCTGGTCCTCACGGTTCCGTCCGCGGTCGGCAATCCCCACTCATTGAAGGAAGATCTGGCCACAGCTTCCAATGCTGACCTAAGCATCCTGTTGCATCCGCGGACGCGCCTCTTTGTCCAGCACATATTTCTGCAACGCGAGCGACAGCGACGACTTGTGCTCCCGCCCTCCTTCCACTTTGGTGTCACTGGCCTTGCCGATTTCTGTGCGGCGTCCTCTCAGATATCTTGATATTCCTCATTGTTCCATCTTCTGTTCTTCCGTTCATACGACCACTCGGGACAGGCCCGTCACGTCCACATACCAACATTTGACTTGACTAGCGTAGCATATCCGTAGTGTTCCAAGCCATCTGTTCGCAATATGCCTGCACGGCGTCCGTCCGCCTCAGCTGGTCATGTATCATCCAACGCTCCCTCCAATTCCTATCGGACTCACCGGAGCAACGACTCCCATCACGCTTTCTCGAGTGTATCCTCGCAGACTCAGACTGCGCCCTACTCAGCTTCGAATGCCCCCGGAACGCTCAACCAGCAGAGGATCATCCAAGCGCTAGTCCATAGATTGAAGGACAAGGTATGCAGCCTTAGATCTTTCAGATTCTCGCCTTCCTATATAACCAACCATCCCTCCCTCGTGCTCACACATGCACCGTAGCTTCCGACGTTCTCTGGTCAAGATCTCACAGTCATCGAGAGCGATAGTGCGGTTGAGGAGACCATTAACTGCCTCGTGGAGCTGTCCCGAGATTCGCTAGATATCATAGCTTACGCGCTGACTGGTTTATCAGAAGAAATGGCAAAGGTATGTACTCCCTGCCGTGTCCGAGTGCATCGAGCGCTACCTTATATGACTCTGTACTACAGCATCCGGACGAGAAGGTCGCCAGAACGATCCCGGTACTTCAATCCCAACTATTTCTCCTCAAGGTTCTCGCCATAGCAATGGCTTCGCGCTGGCACCGCTTTGCAGACGAAGCTCGGACTGCGTCACACTCTGCTAAGTTGAAGGCGCCTTCTGGCCTCTCTCTACCGGATCTCCCTACGGCATCTTCTGTCGGAGCCAGCTCGAACATGAAGAACAGCCGGCAGACGTCAAGTGACCACTTATCTACGTCTCCTGGTTTGACAGAGCCTCCGCCTTTGGACGACAATTGTGCGAAGTACATTCTGAGCACCATGGTCCTGTTTCTGCGCCAAACAGCTCCGCCAGAAGGTCGCCTCATGTCGTCCGCTAATCTTGGCTTTGGAGCGACCTTTCACGACTTCGAATCCATTGAAGTCGAAGATGCCCCTTCGCAACCTCCTGAGTTCTTTGATGCCGACTTGCCTTCAGGAGAAGCAGTTCGCAAACATACCCGATTTCCTAAACACAGCACGTCTTCGAACTCAGTTGATTCTGGGAGCCCTAGCGTGACTTCGTCTATGCCCATCCCACAGCTGAACGTGAAGTTTGAGAAAACGCACAAAGTCTTGGCGAAATCTCATTTCTCGCTGAACTCACTGATCTTGAAGTTTGCTGGCCGCATCATCTATCATCTTTCAGCGTCAAACTGGACGGTAGTCATGCAACGGATCCGCAACAAGATTCATTCCTTAGCCGGGTCGCACGAGGAGAACCCAGATATCATCGACCTGAACCTGATGAAGCATAGTGGATTGGACAGGCAACGGCTGGTTCAAATTCTGCAAGGTATGTCATCAAATCAATCGCTCTCTAGGACACCTCGTAAACTGATTTTGCATCTCAGAATTGTCATCTCTCCTTGTGAACATGAGGCGTGAAGCGAGAACAGCAATTGCCATTCCGCTACGGTCTGCGGTCTGGAATTGGATTGATCTATTCCCTGGGGAGTACAATGAGGCTCTCCGCTCATATCGCAGACTAGAGGGTGCTCCCGAACGTGTCTTTGACCTGCTTTGGGACCCCACAGAGTCTGCTGCAGCGCGCGCCCTTTGGCCGACTCTCGCTGTACTTTCCTGCATCTCTACTGAACGCACGCGAACCGACTATCAGTCTTCCTTGAAAGCCACAGGGACAAACAAGAGCAACTTACAGAAAGTGCGGCCCGTGTTGTGACTTACCCCTCGATATATAGCTGATCTTCACTTTATCATAGTTCGTGGATCTGTTGAACAAGAACATGCATTCTTCGTCGAAGCTAAGGGATGTATCGATTCTTTGTGCGTTAGATTATTGCAGGGGAGCTGCCCGTGTTAAGCCCGATGGAGACCTTCCGATACGATCTATTGCTTTTGACCTTGCGCATGATATTAGAGTAAGCTCTTGTTCCACTGTAGGAAAGAGTTTTGACATGATTGCTTTGCAGAGCGCCCTTCTACAATATCATGACCACAAGCCTTTCTGGGAGGCACCGGAAGAGATCGACGTAAGCATGTTTGCTGATGCATTAGTTCTCTTGTATCGGTTCTCGCCCTTGGAGGAGGCGCACCAACTTTTCAAGACATGTCTGGAGCCAGAACGATCTGATGCCGTCAAGTTATGCGTGATCAAAGCCTGCGTAACACTGAGCGTGGAGGTATATTCTTTGTATCGTATAAAGTATCAAATTAATATTCAAAAATTGCGTCTCAGTCCCGCCAACTTCCCTGGCAAGTTCCGATAGATTCACTATACGCGGATATATCCAAGCGCACTCGTAACATTTTCAAGGCCAGTTTGCTGCCGGCATATCTACGTGCTTGTCTGATCTTAATAATATCCAGTATGGTGGCGTGCGTCGCAATGAGGTGGACGAGGCTGGCAACTTGAAACGGACATCCTTCAGGCCGAAGGCAAAGCGATTCACAGCGGAGACAGTGTCAGACCGGGAATTGCTGCTTATCGGCGTCCTACATCTATGGAGATGCAATTTGGGATGGAGCTTCACAGGAATCACCCACGACGAAGCTATCGCCTGGATTCCTGCGGCATTGAAGGTGTGGGAGGAGCAACCAGATCCAAGCGTCCAGTATTCCATTGCACTCGCTCTCATGCAAGTCAGCGCTCAAATCGACAGTCTGAGGCCTTCGGATGACTTCCACAAAAACGTACTACAGTGGAAGCTATTGTTCACGTCTGTACATTTTTTTCGCATCCGTTCTTTATAACTGATTTCTTTCAAGGCCCGCAGCAATGCGAATCATAGCAATCGCCCTTTTGAACTCGCGTATGGACCTGGAGAAGCAAAGATTATGGGCCGAAATTTCACATGAGATTCTCCTGTCATACATTCAGGAGGCACATGTAAGTACTTCTCCGCAGAGATACGGTGGAAATATTAATGTTATGGCCTCCTTGGATCCAGAATGACAGCATCCAGAAGGCAGTGCAACTATCTGAAACTAGGCTGCCTGCACTTGCATTATTGGAACTCGCAAGCGCCGTGTCGCTCACGTCTGCGGACACTGGCGTATCTCGTCTTGCTGCTCATAATTTGAGGGTCATTGCTATTGCAGAGCGACGTCCGGATGTACCCAGCAGCGCTAAGGGTGATGATGAAAGGGTGAAGCGCTTCACAATCTACGACCAGATCGGCGACCCAAAGACAATTATCACAGGTAGTTGTTCTCCCATGTGGCTTTGCACCTGTGTCTGAACTGTTCAATAGGGCGTGTCGCCTGGCAGAAGCGCATTCGACGGTTGTTTCGAATGCTTGCGGCTCCTCACCCTTCTTATGTTGCTATCTGGGAGGAATGCTACTACCGATGGTGCGCTCTGACCGAGCTGGTCATTCGAGCCCCACTTGATCCTATCACGCGCGAGGGCTTCGAAGATGGGTATACTCCTACTGGCGACAAGTCTTTGTCCAATGAGGTATATGGTCATCCTGGATATATTAGACGAGGCTAATAATTTCCGCAGGAGCAACAATTTCAATGGCAGAATCTCACTCTGTTCCTAGCGGCGTGTGGATCTGCTTGCTTAGTAGAAACTCACGAGCCTGACGCGCTTCAGAAAATCATATCTCCCAGTCTACTTCCAGATTCGATGAGGGTGCTCAAAGATCCACGGGATCTAGTCGGCACATTTGTCGTATACCTTATCGACCTTCTTCTATCCGATTCGGTAATGGCCAGAGAGATATCCAAAGAGGCCCTTGGGTCAGAATTAAGTCCTCGACTGTATGCCAAGCTGTTCAAGCATCTAGACGAGTACGTGCTAATCTCAATACTCTCATGTTTTTTTGAGTTCAATATATGATCAAGGGTCATCCAAGATATCACTCAAGGCACTAATCTAGAGTGGTCAGAGCATTTCCAAATCTTTCTCGATCAAGTATATTAAGTTGCTCGTTCGCTCACCCATCAATCTTGCTAATGCCACCTCTCGGTAGTTCATCGCAGTCCTCAAGTTGTTAGTAGAGAAGGCCCAGGCTCATGACGATGTCCTGGCCGTTGATATGACCTCGACGTTGTATGCGTTGGCCGGGTTCCTCAACCAGTTCAACAACATTTCTTCTTATCGGCTCAGGATCAAGTTCTGCACGCTCTGTCACAGCGTGTACTCGCGAACAGAGCTAGCTTTACGAAAAGATACTCCTTCACGCCAGCATATTTTAGCCATTGTACTAGAGTGGATGCAAGAACCATCTATTGTTCGTGTCGTCTCCAGCTGTCGTCTGCCCCTGGGCACTGATACATCTTGATGCGCAGATGGTCGACCCAGAGCTGATACGTTTGCAACCCGAGTTGAATCTGGCAAGCCTTCGAGCGGTTGTTCATTTCCTCGATCGCCTTCAACTGCGTACTCCGGAACAACTTCGCGCACCTGAACAAACGCGTCCACCTGATGGCACAGACAGTGAAGATCAAAGTCACGTCGTTTCTCGCCTGTTCATACGTTACTTCGGCCTCATCTTGAGAATGCTCGAGATTGGTCGCACGGAGGTGTGTTGATCTGCCCTTCAGACCTTTGTGCCTTCCTCATCCTCTGATAGTCAGCGGACGATGGGCTTTCCGAAGTATCTTCGTTCTCGCAGGTTAGTTTTTAAAATTATATGGCTCGTCGTGCTATGTGGGCTTAAAAACACTTTGACAGCGAATGCGTGCCTCCCAAAGAGATTCCGAAATTCGTGACCTGGTCATTGAAGGCCTCTCACGTTTGATCAGTGCCAATACGGAGACTGGTGTCAAGCACAGCTTGGCATTGGCCTACGACGATGATATCGGCAAGAGAGCTATATTCACACACGTCTTCGCTCGAGTCATGGGACAAGGAGCCAAGTTCGAAACACAGGAGAATTCTGCAATGTTAGGAGCCAAGAGCCAGCTGTGCGAGGTATGTTCAATCAACACAATGCACTCTCTTCTTTATTAACAATCCGATGAAGTTGGTTAAAGGACCAGATGTAAGTGGACTGTCCTCAGTTTTCTGGAATGGTACGCTCACAAAATAACTCAGCTGGGTCTTGTATTGGCCATATGCGAGACTTGTCCACCATCTGAGCTTGATATCATCATACCTGTTTTGTTGAATATTTTCGACACTCGCGAGTCGCTCATGAACCTCATCAAGGCTTTGTTGGACCGTGAAATTGCACGCACAGGTTAGTCTGTCGTCAGAGATTATCAACGATGGTTCACTCATGCGGATATTTGGAATAGAGAACGAGTCATCCTTATTCCGCGGCAACTCTACTTGCACGCGTCTTCTGTCCGCCTTCGCCAAGGTACATGGGTACACATATCTTCGCAGTCTCATTATTCCACTCGTTAAATTGATGACGGACACGCCGCCTGGCCGAGGATACGAGCTTGATCCTTCTAAAGTCGGTGAGCAAGAGGCGAAGCAAAACCAGCAGAACGTGGAGCTCGTCGCATCATCATTTTTGGAAATCATATCGTTATCCGTACCCGCTCTTCCTTCGTAAGTGCAACTATAAGGCTAGTTTCCCTAATTGAAGCTTATCGATGTTTAGAATGTTTCGCGAGCTCTGCGCCCATATTGGAAAAGCGGTGTAGGCATCTTTGACTTTTTGCAAACTCCATGATTTTGACTTTCAACCAGTAACGCGGTTTGGCCGGAAGCTAAATTTGCTGCTCTAGGAGCGTTCATTTTCCTGCGGTTCGTCGTTTCTCTGAATAATACATTTGATGCGATTATTTAGAGCCTTACAGCTTCATCTCGCCTGCTGTGGTTCAACCTGAACATGTTGATGTCGAGCTTCCCAAAGACGATATTGTCATTCGTCGGGGACTCATGGTCATTGCTAAAATCATCCAGAACCTTGCGAACAATATCTTCTTCGGCAAAGAAGCCTATATGGTTGTTTTGAATCCATTCTTACAACAAAATATCGTCAATGTCACTAAATTTCTGAGTGAACTCAATGTGAGTCCTAGCTCTTAGCCTATGCGTCGTTCTTTCTAAATCAGGCATACAGAAATATACTCCAGCATCTGCTGAAGAGGAGAATGATGAGTGGACAGGTATGACGTACGACGACACCGACACTGTTGTCTTGCACCGCTTCTTCCAAACACATGCGGACGTAGTCGGTAAAACCCTGCTTGGCACATCGCCTCAACTATCGGTAGAGGGTGACGCTTCTGCCATCAGCGGTAAACGTCGCTGGGAAATAACTTGTGACACCCTGGTGTCGATGGGCCAGGCCTCCGATATACCTCATTTGTCAACCTTACCCAGCTCTCAACATCAGGAGTATCTCGACCTCATGAACCATTACACTTATCGTAACGTCGCTGCCGTAAAAGATATATTTGTTGAAACCTTTACAGAAAGGGTACGCCTGTTATTCATCTCCATGTGTAGGATCATGCCGATGTATCATCACAGGAGGAATCGGCCGTTTTTGTCTTCTTCGTATCCAAGATAGACGTAGAAACGCTGGACATAGAGTTGCTGCTCTACCACGTCTTCAAGGTCAGAGCAAAATTCCATGATCCATTCATATCTGATTATTATATGTCTCAGACGTTGACTCTACCTGCCTACGAGGATCGCACCTTCGATATCATATTCGATTGGACGTCTTACTCTACAGCATCTCAAGTTCCAGTGCAGTGGCTGAAATACTGCATTGAGATGATTCCATCGGATATCCGTCAACGATTCATGATGGCTTATATCTTGAACCCCAACAATGCTACGCATAAGTATCTTCGCCGTCTTCACAACATCACTGCCGGTGCGGAGCCATCTACGTGTCTACATATTCTTCTGTCAACTAACAATACAATAATAGGAATGAATGTATCAAGTAGCGTCAAGGCGTGTTCATCCATCGCGGAGTTGAGACATTTCGTGCCACCAACATGTGTGGCCCCTCTTGTCTATGCCAGTACGTGCATCATATATTTATTGAAAGCAGGAGTTTTCACCTCGTCATATACACAGCGGGTCTGGAGCAGGAGGAATGCGAGCAATTCCAATATGTGACAATGAGACAAGCTCACATCAGAATGTCCGTAACCTTGGAAGTTGGACTGACTCATCTGCGAATAACATCGGTAAAGCCCATTTTGGCCGCACATGAAGTTTAATTTGAGAGGATACCCTCAGGACAAAACACAAGCCATCTCCCCATCTCTGTCTTGCAAATTGACAGAGATCATATCATTGGCGGATATCAGCGATGTTTATAGTGTGGCAACGGGACACGACCCTTTCGAATTCATCATCCGAAAGACTCGACAAACGGCGACGTTATACTTCTCTTCACCTCGAAGAGAGCAGATTGTGAAGGTTTGTTCTGTCGCTGGCTTAGCTAAATCCTTCTTTAATATATGTTTTCCGCAGTCTGTTCGTGCTGCTAAAGGTCGCATGAGGACCAGTGCTTTCCCTGGCACGGAACGGTTCTCGCGGCTATCCAACGTCAGTGCAGCGTTACTTCACATCGGAATGATGAATATGGGTGTCGACGACGACGAGCTACGTGGCGCTTCCTACGAGCTGCTCTCCTCAGTCCTTGCGTCCTTCAACCTTGACAGCAATCCACTTATCACCTTACGAGGTCCGTATTCTTCCGATAGGCAATCACTTTACTAACATGGCAAACTATTCCAACATGGCACCTGAAGGTATCTGGGTAGCTGGTTCTGCATTACCTTTCCTCATATCACTGAGCGAACGGATCGCGACCTTGGTTCCCCATTTGACATTGGATTTCATTTCCGAAGTTTCGACAACGTTGGACAAAGCTAGTCGGTCTCAACGGCTGCATTGTTTATCTTATATGTCTCCATGGTTGAAGAACTTGGCGAAGTTCATCGATCCGACAAGCCCAACCTACGATCACTCCGGTGCCAAGACGAGGGACTGTATCCGACTTCTGATTGATCTCACTATTGCTGATCCGCAAGTAAGAATCTCACCATGCTTCGCTAACCTGGCACTAAAAAGACACAGACGTTGACGGTGGCGCAAAAATCCATTTGGGCGGAGATAGCAAAGCTTGATCCGACTTTCATATCTGTGGTCGTGGATGAGCTCATGCGCGCCGCAATTGACGGCGGCGTAGGCTCTCAGCGATGTGAAACTATTGCTCTGGCCATGATGCCTCTCTCTTCGATCAATGTGCGAGGCCAGATCCTATCTAAAATGCGCAAAGTGAGCATTGCCACCAGATGTTTTCTTTGACCTGTGCTGACATGTAGTCCAAGGCGTTAGGCAAGACATCCGCGAAACCAACCAAGACGCTCGCAGAGAACTCACATTGGAGCGAGATCGCAGCCTTGATTCGCCTGCTCTTTGTCGTTGCCCAACAGTCAAAACAACCGGCTCTCAGTCAGTTCTATGTTCCGGAAGTCATTCATATGATCACGCTCATTGCTGCGACTGGCGAGCCTGTGGTCCGTTCTACCATCTGGGGAATTGTTGTTGAGCTATTACAGTCTCAGTGGATTGCTCGTGCATCAGACGCGGTCGCAGGCCCAGAGATCCGACATCTTCTCGACGAAGCTAGCACGCCAAATATACTTCGATTATTTGGGCTCATCAGAGCGACTCGAACGAGCGAATTGACCGTCTGGGACCCTAAGGGCGACAAAGCAATTCTCGACAACCAAGAGGGCCTGACACGCTTCCTTATCCAGGTCATGGAAGTGACTTCAGGGACGAAGGGTAAGTTAGTAGTCTTGGCTTAAGTTTTTCCGAGGTTGATCGTCACCTAGGTTTGCTGAATGTGTGGCGTGCTCGGTGGATGAGTTTGGTTACATCTACAGCTTTCCAAGTTTCACCGGCCATCCAAACGCGAGCCTTCATCGTCATGGGTGCTTTGGCTACGACGGATGTCGACGACGACTTTTTCTACCAGATGCTGGTGGCATTCAAAACAGGCCTCATGCAAGCCAGGGAGGGTGAGACTACATCAGTAGTTAGCATGCTCAGGTGCATCAGCAACGTCGTCCCCGGCTTGGTGGAAAACTCTCGATATCTCCGTCAAATTTTTTGGCTTGCCGTTGCCCTCCTACAGTCAAGCCATACTGCATTCTTCGAAGAGGCATGCCATTTACTCCGAGTCACAACTGAGGCCTTATTTTCGCAAGGTCTGCTACGGGAGCGAGGCGTCTCTGCTTCCATCTTGGATTATCGATCGCCCTTGGAAGAGATAGCCTGCCAATTGGATCAGTTATTAGGGATATCTTTCGATAGCAATTTCTCATTCTCACTGGCCGCCATGATTTTCAAAGGTGTGCGCCTGCCTTTCTTGAAAGACGCCGCCGTCGATGCTTTGCGATGCATGTTACGGATCAGCACTCGAGCTACAGAGGAGGCAGAAGTTACGAACGAAGGACCCGGCGCAGCTATCAATCCAGATGCCCTCGGATACTTTATGGCTCTGCTTCCATCATCAACCACCCCAAGCACATATCGACAGCTTCTGATGGATAGTAACGCCGACGCATATTGGCTTCTCGAGGAGGGTATCGAACACCCGGAAGATCAACGAGTGCCTCGTATTCCTGCTGGAATCCTGGGCGTTATGGATAACACTACTGCCCTGCTTGTCGTCTCGTCGATCGCATATATGCTCACAGAAGCCAGTGGTGGGGAGATGGAGATGCTTTTCAGTCTGCTATCAGACCTTGCTGTATCTTATCCAGAGGCCGTCACCCTAGTGTGAGTCATTTCATTCTGACTGCCCCGACTTCGGATCCTGACCTCGTTTTTCATAGTTATGACGGCATAGAAAACAAGATCAAAGAGACTTTCTCCAGCTCCTCGAACCCCGCACTCCTGAAAGCCTCAGCTAACATCTTCCACGTGGTGATGCAAGATCCTAGTCGAAACAGTCTCCGTGGCTCTGCATCTACTCTCAGTACCGTTGACGAAAGCACACCTCAAGCGAGCAACAAAAATCATTTGTACGCATTGGAGGAATTGGGCATGAATGGATTAGCCAATACCTTCACCTTCCTACCTCAAAGCAAGCCACAGGCTGCTTCCAAGATTATCCAATGGATTTCGGATCTAGTTGGAAGGATTATAGAATAAGACTGGTAGAAATATGGCTCTGCGTGGTTGGTGTTTGGTCTGAAGATACGTGTAATATGGTCAAGTTTGTTCCTCCATCAATGTTCCTCATCGTCGTTCTATCCATCTACTTGTTTTCTTATGTCTCCGCGATATCCCTACTGCTGTCTGTTCATTTACATATAGGAAGTACTCGTACTGATATAACATTATTCCTGGTACCTTCCGTGCGGAGGCTCGCATTGAAAAATGCCCGTGCCGTCGGAAAGCGACGAGTTGGAGCCTATTGGAGCTCTTCAACGAGACTCCCACTTTCCAGCGCGATATACGCTACACGTGACTTACAGCTGTTACTGGCTCCAAGCCAAGTTGGTATTGGCCTAGACTGAACGCTAAGTAACTTCCTCCTGACCGACTTCTACTCATAACTCCTTGATACATCTGGTATTCATGCAGCATGTGCAGGACCAGCCTGTAGATGCTTATCACCCCTTCAGTCCTGAATCGCCGTTAACAAGCAGTCTATTCGCTGCTACCAGTGCCATCGATGATTTGACCCGCTCCTTGGCTGATTTCTCTCGGGTCTCCACACCAGAGCCGCACACTGTCCTCACATGTTGCTGTGCCAGAGAAGATTGTGAGTATACAAAGGCCTGGCTCGTTGTAAAGTCGAAGTTGGAAAATCGTCTCATTCTGGCCGCAGGTGCGTCTCCTGTTTACTCAGTATTGACACATGACGAATCGAATCCCATTTCGCAGAGGTCGGACAAGCATTACTCCAGAGACACGAAGCTTACATCCGCAGGGTCCAGGTATAAACTATGCTCCTCCTTTGGACTTGCATTCTTACCAGTAAGAATTCAGTCAGAGGATCAAGAGCTTCAGCCCCCCACCACCGATGTTTTAGCAGATTCGCGCGAGATTGATCCTAGTTCTCAGCAAGAGCTGGAGGCGCGGGTAGGAGAACTTGTGAAAGAGAATGCAGTACTTGAGAAAGTCAGTCCTGCCCTTCTCACTTCCTACGATGAAATATATAATGTCAGCATTTCAATTGTAGCGTTTTCATCAAGCCTTGATTAACAACGAAGTCGCGGAATCAACTAACAAACTGATGTCACAGGAGCTGCAAGAAGCTCGAGTGATCGTCGGTCGGCTTTCTACGGAGCACGCGCGTTTCGTTGGTTGGGACACTCGCGTTCGCAATCTTACCCAGGAAAAAGATGATCTACAGCAAGAGAGAGATAACGAATCGTCAAGAGCTAGGATAGCGGAAGCCCGCCTTGTAGCCATGAACGAGAAGTGCTGTTGGTTGCTTTGTTTTTCCACTATGATCTCATACATTAACCAAACTGCACACTGAAGCTAAATTACGCTCACAAGTTCACAAGCTTCAAGAAGACCTTGAACGACAATATCTTCATCGTTCGGAATTGTCAGAGGAGATCCTGCAGGATACCCGTGTGCGCATAGAACAAATTCAGCATGCCGTATGTTTGCTTTATCATCTTATCATCATCACAACTGAAAAAGGTATATAGCATTCTGGTCGGGTGTCCCTTACAGAAGATGACGAAGTCACGAAAATCCTGCAGTCATTGGTCGCCGATAACGAAGCTCTACAGAAGAGCAACGTTGAGCTTCAGACCTTATTGGCAGACTCACGAGAGAGCATTCAAGCGCTTCAGCAAGAGGCTGAAGAACAACGAGCGTTCATGAAACAGCCTTCAAGTAGAGGTAAGCTAGCGCCCTTATCTTCTGTAGTTGGCTGCGCTCAAATAGCCTCGTCCAGCAGAGCCGCCGTCCCTGAGGCACCGTTATACTCATAGCAATTCATCCCTTCTGGGACGTGATCAGCTTCAGCCGCCCTCTCCTGTATCCTATCATGGTACCGCATCTGGCTCGGCGTCCCCGCTCTCTTTCAGTTATTCTATTCGCGGAAAGCATCCAATAAAGCGACCAGCTAGTGCGGAGCCTCGGTTTCATCGTGGCCTTGTAAGCAGCATCCGTAGTCCATGACTCAGAAAGCATCGTAAGCCTGACTGTCATCTAGGAGCCCCTTAGTCCGGATACGAGCCGTGGACCCGCGTCTCCCAACGAGGCTCTACCTCCCCTCGACATCAATATCGACGACAGAGAAGGTGGCATGGCACGATTATCTCCCGAGAAGCCGAGAGCACAGAAGCCTTTATTACTCCTAACACGATCAAGAGGTGTTCAGACGGCCCCCTGGATTGGAATGCTATCACCTCTTCCTTCAAACTTTGGCGAACATCCTTCATTCTCTACTTCTTCCCACGACGCCCACTCAGACTCATCGTCAATGGCCGACAACCCATCGACCTTGAGCATTTTATTGGATCGCATTGCACAGCTGTTCAATCGGATCGCTCAGGCAGATGCTCTGACGTTAACAATTCGGTTGAAGAGACAACATCTTCTAGGTGCTGACGTGAGCCATCTTTCGCGGACGACAGTTGAGGCCATCCTTTCCGATGTGACGAATCTCCGTACTCAGTATCGCTCGTTCCTAGAGGATGATAAGGCTGTCTCTTCGTGTACACGCAAGGACCTTCGCGCGCTATTCAAGTTGTTCCGGGACGTGTTTCAGGAGCTGGGCACAATACGTGTCACCCTCAATGATATTATACTCGACCCGTCCTTGGCCCCGAGAATCCGAGAAATAGCCATGAATCCCACGAAGGCAGAGACTGCCGAAACTGGGCACGATGTTCCACTCTCTTTGGCTCCTGGCTGGATGGCCCCTCTGACAAAGTTGTTTCGGGCTCCTGCGGACAAGGACAAGGAAAAGAGGTCATTCACTCCTCTGGTCCGCACTGGGAGCAAAGGTGCGACAAAGCGAACGCCTCGTCTCGTCCCAAAGATAGCACCAGCGACTTCTGCATCCACGACTACTGTCAATGTCGAGTTCTCCGGCACTGGAGTCGGAAGAGCCATTACGAGCACTGGTACATTTACTCCAGGTCCAGGGCAAGACACGGACTCTCATCAAGCTTCTATTCGACTTTCAAATTCTAATCGCAATGTCTCGCAAAGTGTAATGGGGATTTTTGCTGGCGCACCTCGTCCAGACTCATCCGCTGATCCTTGGATTGTCGTTCCGAAAGCTGGCACCAAGTTTCGACCAAAGACGCCTTCTGCACTATCGGGCAAAGTCGACAATGATTATATGTCAACCTCTCAAGCGAGAACCATACGTGGTTTGTCGCGACGAGTTGATGCGATCATCGACAACAAGTCCACAATGCAGGAAGGCGCTTCCGCTGATCCTACGTTGCTCGAGAGAACGCTTCGACGAAGGGGACTTTCTGATTCGTCGATCCATACCAGTTTTCTTACCGACGGCGAGGTCACTGGGCGTCCAGTCAGTGGGCAGAGCGATGCGGAACATCAGATTGAGCGGGATCCTCAAACTGTTTTGCAGGCCTTCAGTCGGAAAGGGAACGACCTTCGCATCGCTGCAAGTGCTGTTGCGGGGCCACCCATTTCTTCTCATCTTTCCGAATCCTCTTCTGCTGGCAGGAGTGGGTTGATACCACATGATATACCCCCTCGAGCGTTGCCATCGCGAATGGCCAGCATGATACCAGACCTGTCTACCTGGGGAACCGTCGGATATGGGATACACGCACTTGACGAAGAGGCCCTTTACGCTGGGACATCGAGGCAAGAGCCACTGCGTCGTCCTTGGCATAGGGAAATTTGATCATATCTTCAAGGGTTCATACACTTTGGTTGGGGGCACTAGCTGGCTGATTTGTATATACCAGATATGTATTGGGAGAGAGAACGTATACACAACATAATCTCAAATTTGATGTAATGATTTATTGGTAGAGATGGTATCTCCGTCCCCTTGCTTCAGAACATTGTTACTTGTCCGAATTCTTATTCATCATGAGGAGGAACTGCGGTGACAGTCATGCAGGGCATTACAGGTTTCAAACCTTGTGCGGTATTTTTTCATTGGCTCGTACTCGCAGAAATTTGAGATAGGCTATCGCGAGTAGCCTCCTCGATACTTCGGCCCTCGACTCTCCCGCCTTCGATGATCTCTATCATCTCTACGGTGCTTGTCTTCATCGCGGTGACTGCGACTATATGGTCTGTCTCGATCTTTCTGATCTCTGTCATCCCTTCGACTGTCACTCCTCCTTCGATACGCCCCACGAATATGTAGCTCATCCGTCTCTTCCTGTATACGGTCCAAAAGGCTCGGCCGCCGATGAGACCCTTGCCTTTTATCTCCCTTATCACGTCGATCACTGTGAGTGCTGTCAGTGTACTGCTCAGTTGGCTGTCGAGGGCGGGGAGTGTCCTCGAAGTTCGTGTGCCTCCCACTACCGTGTAGGGACGACCCGAAGCTGATTTTCTTAGGCGTGTGTCCGTTTTGATTGCGTTGATTGGTCGGCTGATGACCTCGGTTCCTCGTGTTTTGAGCATTGCCAAACCAGTCGTCGGGATCGTCTTCCATCTCCTGCACCTCTCTAGCTTGTTGTTCCATCCGAGCTCGATCTTTCTTCCTGCCTTGCTTCCCGACATTGACAGGTGCATCGAAACCCCAACCATCTGGCAACGTCTCTCCTTCTTCCCAGTCTCGGGGACCGCGACGAAAAGAAGCTGATTGTTTTGAGGCGGTACTGGAGTCTAGGAATGGCCCTGTCATGGTGTTGTAAAGACTGAATGCTGATGATTCGACAGGAATGTCAAGGGAATGCGACATGTTTTCACAATCGTCTCCCATGTGGCCATCGGAGCCACAGTTATAGCACCATATGTCTGTGGCGATATATCCTTCGCCGCCTTTGCCAAGGCTTAGCGTCCGCTTTTCCTCGCGTAGTTGCAGGATGACTTGACGCTCGTTATCATCGACATAATCGTATAGCCTCCATAATGTTGGGCATTCCTAATTCAATTTGGTTCGGATTGTCAAGTTCAGGACTTATGTATACAGGGAGACTACAAACATTGGTACGGTGCCTTCCAGAGCCGCATCTGTCACAGCCATCATGGGAACTCATTCCCGTGGCATGAGATGTATAGCGATTTGGACAGTCCTATAAATTTGGTTCAACGTAGTGCAAAGAGGGATATATCCCTGCACAAACCTTGCTGATGTGCCCCTTCATACCACAAGAGAAGCAAGTCTTGCTGACAGGACAACTACGCGTTGGATGCTCATCTCGTACGCCGCAAGTCAAACACTGTGAGAGAAATTCAATCTCCTTTGTATTAAGCTGAGAGGGCAGAATGATATACACATACGATCAAAAGAGTGCATTCGTATGTCCGATGCTCATTTTCTGCTCCGCATTTCTTGCAAAGAAACCTTGTCTGCTTTGCATCTTCTATAGATGTATTGAAGTAACGCTGTGTACTAGCTGCCTGTATGACGGTGAGTGCCTGAAAATGCATGCCCATTGGTTACACTCACAGCTCGGTCGTCATAATCGAGATATTCTATGTACGACTCCGATTCCGAGTCTGATTCTGGCGGGCGGATGATCTCCACCAGTGTCCCGTCATCCCCCTCTGTCAGAGATACATGTACTGGAAGTAGAAGTGCGGACGGTTCCTTCGATGTCGGGTTCGCCGAGGATTCAGACTTGGTGATCAATGGTCCAGAGGAGGAATTTGCTTGCTTTTGGAGCACATACTTCGAGGGCACCTGCGCGGGGGAGGTATCCACGAAGAAGAGTGGTACATCATCTTGGGAAGGGTCTGCATCCTGTGGGAGTTCATCCGACTTGCCTGCACCGCGGCCACGCCTGCGTTCCTTCCGAGAGCCTTCGCCACCTTTCCTGAATCCTCCATCTCGCCGCTTGCTCTCCTTGGATAGATCCTCAGAAATATCTACGACAACGTCCTCCTTGGATCTCTTCCTCTTCTTCCGTCTGCTATGACTTTTCCTTTCCCCTTCCTCTGCCTCGCTTAGGCTAGACTCTGGCACTCCTCCGTCTTCACGAGGCAGATCGGGCTCGGCAAGTTTAGAACTCGAGCTAGTCAGATCGATTATTTCATCATCTTGCGAATATACCATACTTTTCCGGACACGTATATCAGCAAAAGAGGGAGGTCCAAGGTTGTGCACGGTGAAGCGGGTGTAGTTCAATGTTGCGGAGCTGTGTGTTCATTGAACTTCATTCAAGTTCGCAAGAGTTCGCAGCGTTCTGGTTCGAACTCCGCTCTGCGTTCACATTCTCAAATTGTACGGTGATCACTCGTCCAAGGAAACAGTTCCTTGAATACGTACCGACGGCGTTGAGTTGTGTAAGAATAACAACGAAAAACACAGTGAGTGAACATTTCTCAGTTGGAAACATTAGTATTGATCATAGGCACAACGCATATGCAGACTCAAGCGAGAAACCCTCGTACCCACACACGTCATGATGCATAATGCATGATCCGTTAGACAGAAGTAGGTGAACGACACAAAGATGAATAGAATCACATCTTACAGATTCTTCTGGATGTTCGTGTTCTTCGGCTTCCCAAAGTAATAAGTCTGGCGGCCTATGCCCAAGAACCAAGCAATTCTGTCAAAACCCCCGACGGCTCAGCGCCCAACAAGATATAACATGGAGTCCCCACAACCATACCTGAACATCAGAAGCACCACCACAAAGCTGATATTTCCATGTGTCGTAGCATTCCATGTGTAAGGGGTATATCTTACGGCGGAGGGAAGGCCGATGACAGTTGCAGCGATGCTGAAGATGATGATAGTCAGAAAAACCTAAGGGAAATAGGAGATGAGCAGATAGGCACTGTGTGGCCTGGATGCGGCAACCTAGGGTGTCAGCTTGTGAAGATTGAACATGGGTGTGTGGACGTCTCACATCTGCGATGGCCATGGCGAGAAGGCTGGCTCCGAGAATTCTCTCCTGTGCCGTTGGATTTCCGGGCAATGTGTCTCGCACCGCTCTGAAGACGAGTGAGGAGAGTAATCCTAGAAGTAGATAACCTGAAGCCAAGTGTTCAGCTCTGTGCACTGACATTATGATTGGGGAAACATCGATCAATACGAACAGTTACCGAGCTGCCAGACAAGCATGGCGGTTCGTGATTCTAAGATTTTCGGAAAAGGGTCGGATGAAGGAATGAGTTGGTGATGAAACCAAGCTGCTCCGGGGTAAAACCAAGTTAAAAAGGCTGGAGTGATGGTAGACGCTTAAAACATAAACAAGAAGATCACTGCTTGTTAGAGTTGCCGATAGTGTCGAGGATGCCTTAAACTACCTGGCTCCAGGTAAAGAAATAATATCTTGTATAATCCCGGCAGAGCAGGGAAGTTTCCCATCGTACGAGACGTAGCCTGAACGACTGTATTCTGTCGCAAGACATTGTAAATCAGCAATACTGAAGAGGCCTCTGCATACCTCAGAGCTATAATCCAGTTCAAGTGAACTGCTGAAAATCAGCGAACGACCGGCTCAGTCTTCGCAGCGTGGAGACCAAGTGAGGCCCGGATAGATGAGGCGACAGGAGGCGACACTCACGTGACCAATACGTGACCGTGTCTACACCTTCAACTTGCCTTCTCCGATTCCCTCAAACAGCTTCCAATTCAAACGATGGACAGATCTCTAACTATATCCGTAGACAAGCTGACTTATCGGCATAATCCTACAGCCGAAGCCTCTCTTTTAGATATTTCTATCCACCTGCCTAAGGGTTCTCGGACGATCCTGATAGGTGCTAACGGAGGTCAGTCGGCGGTTGGATGCGGTCATATCCTGGTTTTTTGCTCGTTCCCCTGAACTTCGCTGCATACAGCCGGAAAGTCTACACTTTTGCAGATATTAGCAGGAAAACGGCTGGTGACTGCAGAAGGTGCAAAAATCTTTGTCGAAGGACGAGATGTGTTCCGTGACTCTCCTCCTGGAGTCATTTTCTTAGGAACGGAGTGGTGAGTTTAGATACAATCTCTGCTTCTTATTCACTCAGCAGATGTTACTTGCCATTTTCAGGGCGATGAACCCTGTTGTGAGAGGGGACATCGTGGTATCCCATTTCCTCGATTCAGTTGGCGGGTACCGTCATAAAGAGAGAAGAGACCGCTTGCTAGACATCCTAGATGTTGATTTAGACTGGCATATGCACGCCATCTCTGACGGAGAACGGCGACGGGTGCAGTTATGCATGGGACTGATGATGCCTTGGGACGTGTTATTACTTGATGAAGTAAGTTATACGTATGTCGTTCCACGCTGAACCACAATCATACTTTCACAGGTTACTGTTGATCTTGATGTTCAAGTTCGCGATGACTTGTTGAGCTTCCTGAAAGCAGACAGCGAGTCACGAGGAGCAACAATCCTTTGTATGTCGTTCTATGATTATGCACAGCGATGTGATCTCATCTTGTGTTCTGTAGATGCAACGCACATCTTCGATGGACTCAACGAGTTTCCCACCCATATCGCCCACATGCGCCTTGGCTCGTTCGTGACAAACCCCACACCATGGCCTTCAGCAGGGACGAATCCGACGGTACCCGGCGGTCCTTCTCTGTATAGCGTAGCTCTTCAGTGGCTACGAGGGGATCGTGAATATCGACGTGAGCTGGAGCGGAACGGCAGAAAGGCAAGAGGGTCAATAAAAGACCAGGTAAATTTTTTTGCGTTCGCCATACTCACTATCTTTGACTCTAATCATCTTCGAAGAGCGTACCCTCTGACTCGGAAACGTTCTACAAGAAGTATGATTCCTTCTATCGATCTGGTCTGTTGCTCACAAGCGCCGTGCACGGTCTGACAGATACGACTACGGTCACTGATCCATCGGACTGAGCTCAACCTCGGACACGTATGTAGCGATAGAGTAGAGTACTTGACATGTATTTTTGTTGTTTCAACACAAGGAATAGACAGGGTATTGGATCAGCCACTGCGGCTGAAACGGGGCAGTGACTGGCAGTGACCGCCTGGCAGTGAGCGAAAGTGGGCGCTGAGCGCTGGTCAGCCACTCGCGCAGTTCGAAGCCTGGACCCCTCAACCGCTTACCTCCACCATCTCCTTGTCTACTAGCAGCCGTCTAAGCCCCTTCGTTGTCCTCGTTCGTCGCTTTTCTCCCCGACGTTGCTGGGCATCGCAGGGCCGTCTTTGTCCTTCCAGCTCTCCGTAAAATCCACGCTCTTTTCTTTTCAACATGCATCTGGACTATTTGTTGTATCCGCGGCAGACGTCTGATGGCTGTGTTTCGTGCCCCACCCCTGCTCCGTGCAACTGTGCTGCGAACGAACAGTGCTTCCAGATAAGCAGGTTTGTCTTCCTTCTCGCTTTCCCGTCTGCAGCTCTCTCACGTCGGCCTGCAGGAGCTGTACGACCTGCAGCTCCAACAACTGCGTCCCGATCGACACCTCAGGATCGGGCTCTGGAGGCGGGGTCAGTAAAGGCGCCGTAGCTGGAGCAGTGATTGGGTCCCTGCTGTTTCTGTGTATCGCTGTTGCAGTATTCTGGTGGTGGAGGCGTCGAAATCTCGTTCCTAAGCAAGCGGAAGCTCCCACCGCGAAGGATGTTCCGGCGCCTGCAGAGACGGTGCTCAATCGTCCAGACCCCATCGAGAAAACCTTTCCCTCTCCAACCGCACCACGGGAGGAAGCTGGCACGGTCAGGGTGTACTCAACCACCTCGAACTCCATCATCGATCTCGATCCCGAGTCTCGTGGGGCTTCGCGCACAGCTGCAACGGCTTCCCCTTACCATTCCACGCGCGATTCTGTCCAATCAAATCCGTTTGGAGATGCACACTCAATTCAAACCACGTCTACGGGCACTCACTCCACAAATGTTATCCCCATCGCTCTCGTCCCTCCTAGATCCGTGGGTTCAACATCTCCTCAATCTCCTTACGGTCTCCAGCAACAGCAGCAACAGGTGGCAGCGCCCATGCGCCCGGACCGTTCTCCGAACATGGAGCTTAATATGGATCACTTGAACATTTCAAGCGATAACTTCACCACAGGAGAGCCGTCAGTTCGCTCCGGAGTTTCAGCTGTCTCCTCCAGGCAATCCTATATGTCTGGTGCTAGTTACGCCAGTGACGTGCTCACAGAAGCTCCGACTATTGTCACGCAGAGCCAGCGTCAGGTCTTTGGAATCGTCAAGGCAGAGGTCGTACAAGCACCAGGATCCTCCCCTGTATCCCCCGACAGTCTCAAGGCATCTTCTATAGCCTCGCGTCCACCCGTCCGGTCACCTCTCGCAGCCACATCTTTCGGCCCACAGGATGTCCTGCGCGAGTCAGAAGAAGAACTATCCGTTCCAACCAATGGTGACCCCTTCGGCGACGAGCACTCTCCTGTTCGAGGTGATTTCCGCAGTTCTGCGGCCACATTTGGCACAACATCCGACGCAGGATCCGCATGGACACCTGGTGTTCCCAGTCACCCATGGTCGACTGGTGATCACAATTCGCGACCTATCAGCATCAGCACTCAAGCAGGGAGTATCATTGGTGCTGACATCAGAGATGCGACACGCGTTCATCTTGGTTTCGTTCAACCAATGTCCGCCTCATTCGTTCCACCTACACCGGTCAGCAGCTCTGGTATCAGCGGCGCCCGCAGTCTCTACAGAATGACAAGCGGCAGACTGGTCACTCCCCCGTCGACAGACGGACGGATGGAGCCTCTTCAAAGGCAGCAAGAACGTGCCTATGTTGGTTTACAAGCGAACACTGTCGATCGGTCTTCCATGTCGACGATGGCATCAGGAACATCAACCCGTGCCGACTCAATTCTAGAGTCGTTTACATTCGTCCCACCATCGCCCATTTCGAATCGTCCTTTGCGTACGCCGCCCCGCTCCCCTCTGGGACAAAACGCTTTCAACGATAGCCAACCCAGCGGCTCAGCACCGGTTCGCGATGGGGTGGACAACCGAGCAGACTCTCCGTTAGTGCCTCCTAACCGTCGGCAGTTGGGACTATCTACTGGATCCCAGATGTCAGCCATGTCCACTGGCCTCGGTTCATTCCCGTTCCAAATTGATTCTGGTAACAACCTACAAGATGAGGCACCGAGAATGAGTAGCGAAGCTTCTCCGTCCGTTGCCGGGAGACAGCGTGCTAGTCTCGATACCCTTGCTTTGACTAGCGACCTCTCCTCTTACCCCTTAGGATTCGACAGGCACTCGGAAGAGGGTTTCCCGTTCTCCACAAAGGGTTGAAGTCCACATACATCAGTCACGATCTTGCTATGACCGATGCAATGTATCCCAAATAGACTCTTCTTTACTGTGGTTTCCATTCGCTCTCTGCTTCGTCCTCGACCGGACGCGAGGCCTCTCTGTACTGCCGTAGTTTGTATCTTTTGACGTCCTCCCACCTCCACAACACCTTTTTGTCCGTTGACCGGGTTCTGTAGAATGGATTGACGAACGCTCCCTTCGTCTCTTTCGCGTCGGACCCCAGGCGTCTTATTCGTCTCTTTTTATTTTCCCCTCCCCGGTATCAGTTCCTTGTCTCTCTGGTTATCATTCTTCTTGACAGAGCGGTTGTGCTGCGAGAGTATCGTGCTTTTGGTTTTATGATTTAAATTAGTATTTATTGCGGTCGCAATGCAATCGGGCATTTGTTGGCCTAATACTATTCAAAAAATGCAAACCGGCCCGTTGCTCATGATTGCGGACATGACGGCGATGGGAAATGAGTGTAAAAGATGGCGTATGGCTGAAGCAACCTGTGTGTCGACTGTGACTCGATGAGATGTTGGCGATTGATGATCAGCCGTTCGACCGATAAACTGCGGTTCCTTCATACCATGTCTGTCTCCGCCCACGTCTTGAGGTGTGAGCCTTCCAGCATTTCCTTCTCTGCCGACGACGAACTACCGAACTTCGATGATGAAGTCACACGGGCTTCGTTGACGGCCGCAGCCCATCAAATCAAGTCCGCTCAGGCTATAGGTTTCCCAACGGAAACCGTCTACGGCCTGGGGGCCCTTGCTCTCGATGCAAGCGCAGCAGCTCGCATCTTCTCTACCAAAGGTCGGCCTGCAGACAATCCCCTCATCGTCCATGTCTCGTCGCAACGCATGCTTCGGAGCCTCCTTCCGCCGACGTACGCTCCATCTCGGTCGTATGAGGTCCTCATGAAGCGTTTTTGGCCCGGCGCACTAACCCTCCTGTTCCCATCCGACCCCTCCACTGTACCACAAATCGTCACCGCCAATCATCCCACCGTCGCGATACGAATGCCCTCCCATCCTGTGGCCCGAGCGCTCATCGCTCTTGTTGATGCACCGATCGCCGCACCCAGCGCCAACTCTTCTGGCAAGCCGAGTCCGACGCGCGCCGAGCATGTTTTCAAGGACTTGGGTAGCAAGCTATCACTCATCTTAGACGGGGGATCATGCACAGTAGGCCTAGAGAGTACTGTGGTAGATGGGCTGAACGAGGATGGCAATATCCGTGTGCTGAGACCTGGAGGTGTCACCGTGGAGGATATCGAGGGAGCATTGAGGGAGGAGATCGGTGAGGGCAGCAAGGTTCCAAGAGTTTTGGTGCACAAGAGGGACTTCCAGGATGCTGCTATGGAGGCAACACCAACGACACCTGGGATGAAATACCGTCATTATTCACCATCGGTCCCCGTCACTCTCCTTTATACCTCTACCTCTCCTCCCCCTGGCACGGCGTCCACTACGCTTAGCGACCTCTTTGCATCTCTCAAGACAACGCATGCTCAACGGCCCGTGAAAGTTGGGTTATTGGTGCCATCGGACTCGAGAATTCTCTTGCAAACAGACGAAGTATCCGGTTTAGAGTTTACAGTCTTCTACCTTGGTGCGGTATCAGACCCTGCTGTAACAGCGCACCGTCTGTTCGATGGTCTTCTCACATTAGAAGAGAGAGGGTCTGACATTATTCTTGTCGAAGCAATCTTAGAGGAGAAGGAGGGCCTGGCCGTGATGAACCGAGTTAAAAAGGCAGCAAGCGAGTCTCAATGGATCAATTTCTGAGCCGGACTATTCTGCCGATGTATCGATACTATATTCCGTATTCTGTGAGCCTTAGCTAAACATATACACATTTCGTAACTAATGTAGAGAGATACTTATAGATCCATATTACCACTGTTGCATCGCGCAGCCTATCAACGCGTCCGATTTTATGAGTGAACGTGTGTGCGAGGGCAGTAGATCTTTAATCTCACTCCTGATCTATCTCAGTACCTAGTTGGGATATAAACTTGGATTTCCTTGCACAATACTGATTGGGCGTGCTGGTGAGCTAAGTGTAATGGCTCCGCATACACCGTTATCCTGAGGTGAGTGGTCAAATTCTTGCCAGGTCGACATGAAAACCTGTATCCAATTCTTTGTCCGTAGACTTTCCACCTCGTGTCTGTTAAAAGACACAGCCCCGATCGAGCCTCGAGGCCATCTCATCATCTGACTTCGCTAACCATTGCCCTGTTCACCACAATAAACATTGTCGCTGTGAAGATATCCAAGCAAGTCCAATCATACGCGGTCAGAAACTTCGGGGCTTCCGTCTTCCAGTCATCTGGACTTGTTGACTTCGTGCCACAGTGTCAAATTACATGGGCACATGGCCCTCGCATGGTTCCTTTCACTTCAAAGACAGGTTAGCGGACCTTGGAAGTCGTGATTCTATCTTATCCAGACAAAGCAGTATCAGTCCGCTGGTTGGCGGGAACGACCAGGGCTAGTCCATGCACTCAAGGCGCCCATGAGGTCGGATGCATGTCCGGCGCACCATTCGTTGTCCTGTTCTTCTGATCTTTTTGCTTTCTCTTCTTGGTGAAATTCTGCTTCCCTAATGTCTATCGTCGGGAGCGGACTTGTCGATCGGAGTAGGCTGCGACGACGTATCCTGGTCCTTTCCATCGTGTCGCGGACCTCGAGTGTGGACGGCCTCCAAAAATGCATAAAAGGGTGCGCTGGAGGCTTCTTAGGTCCATCCCTCTCCCTCTTCCTCGAAGCATCTCATCTGGCTTCCGCCACTTTGCTACCCATCGCAAATGGGCTTCAACGGAAGTGCGTATACTGTGAAGTCAATCGATAATGTCCCCTAATATGTCATTGCTGTACCCCCTCAAGATTCCTTTTCTTCTCATAATAGTCCTTCCCTGTCGATGCTTTCGAACGCATCTCCTCCATCAAACTTGGAGTGGACAACGCTCAATACTTGGTCGTTTCCTTTGTCCTCTCAGAATCTCGAACAATCGTCTTCTGAACCTTCGGCACTTACACCCAATAACCCCAGCCTGTCGACAGGCCTCCCAATCTCGAATGATGATATAAAGTCTTCCATGACATATCCGTCAACCATCTCTGCAGTGCAGAACTCACCTCATCAGCAACGCGTTACATCTTTCCTTCATCAATCTCATGCTCCGCCCGCAATTTCTCGCGCCCATTCTGGAAAGGGCTCCAATTCTTTTATGTTGTTTCGATCCGACTTCATCAAAACCGGCCGTGTTCCCAAGGCTGTGGAATGTCGCCAGCAGAACATCAGCAAGATTGCAGGCGAATGCTGGAGGCTGATGTCCGATGAGGAGAAACAAAAGTGGCGCCAGAAGGCGGCAGATGCGGCTCTTGAACATAGTTCGAAGCACCCAAGTCACAAGTCCGAGCGGTCGTCTAGGAGTAAATGCAGGCAGAGAACACAGGTTCGTGAGGATCCCCAGGAGGCGCAAGTGAAGGATCGCATCCGGGAGATACGCGAGAAGTATTGCGGTGCACTTGGACCCGCACCCCCTCCTTTTCGAAGACGGAGGGCGAAGTCTAGTGGAAGGTTCTCCCAGGATCGTTCAGCGTGGGGGACGACGAGCTTGCCTGCGTCTCGTGCAGTAACTCCGTCGACTGTGACGTGCTCTCCCTTCGACTCTCCTCTTCTTCCTCCATCAGAGTTGGAGAGGATGTCTCGACCGGAGAGCCGTACGAGCTCCGCAATTTCTCAAGCATCTCATCGAAGCACGCCTGCTAACGACTCCCCATCTCCCTTTGTGCGCGATCTCTATCTGCATCGCCGTTGGCACCCGGTTGATGCTGATGCTGTACGTTTATCTTATCTCTATCTTCGTGATGTCATGTGCTTACGTGACATATTACACATCGTCGTCGTCGTCGTTTGCAAACGGTGCTATCGTTATTAAGGTTGAGGACAAGACAACCGTACTCGCATTTGGACATGTCACAACCCCCGTCAGGATGGAACAAATTTCTCCCATGATCCCCTTTGCAGGAGATGATATCAGCCTCATTCCCAGAGTTGAAGATTCTGCTCCGATGCTTGTATCCGGGACGGATGTCATGATGCCTAAGGACAGCGGTAGCCAAGGCTCTCCCGACCAAGCCTGGTTGGCGCAATTCGATGTTTTCGACACATCCATTCTGGATCAGTCTGAAAGTCTACCACAGATCACTCTTTCTGAATACGCGGAGGGTCCATCGAATCCGCAAATTCCGTACATGAACTCTTTCCTCTCGGATCCATTATTCCTGCCTTCGTTCTTTGAGCAGACTTACAGCACTTCGACTCGCACCCCCTCCGAGTTGGAGGGTGCATTGCACGAGCATCACCCTGCTTCTGGCTCAAAGACCCGGCCGCACCACAATGCGTCGACATCGTACTCGTCAAGCAGGAGCGCTCAGGCCAGCCGCCTGCATTGACGCGAAGTATCTCTCGTTTACATTACTATTTGTCTAATTTTGAAGTTGTATTTTTAGCCACTGATGAAGCCCTCTGTAGCAAATTCTCTCACCTATCCGCCCTATCGGGTCGCCGTCACTGTCTTTACTTCACGATCCAGCTGTTTTCGATATATCACGATTATTGTGTTACCGTGTATTACTAGTACCTGACCTTCCGCTTATATTCCTCGAGAAATTATTGGTTATTGTTTTATATTTACTTACGGATTCTGATCGAGTAGACTGTACACCATGTCCAGCGTCTCTCAGAAATCCTACTCACACGCGATTATCTCGCGCTGAGACATTATTGTTACCGCGACGGATTGGCATCCTCCAATTTGGCTGGACCTTGGCATTTCACCGCTAAAGTCTGGTCAAAAGAGTATGATTTGAACCCAAAGTGTCCACATTGATCTAGAATCCGTCCCAGATCACCCACATTACTGATCAGGATATTTATTGGTCCGATTCGCTCATATCGGGGATCGGATGTTGGAAAGAGCGATTCTTGTCTGCATCAGGCTCGAGCAATGCCAGGAGTACTGTGCACATCTAGTGGTATGTCAGATTTGAGAGTTAGACAGCACGCGATGCAGCAGTAAGTAGCAGAGAAAGCGGAGAAGCCGTGAGAAACCGCCATCCAATGTGTTTCAATTTCGCCCTCTTCCTCTTACATTATGTAGGTATTCTGGCTATTTTCTGTCCACATTAGGATCGGACGTCAGGATATAGCAGGCAAGACTTTTCTGTGGTAAATTTGACTTTGCTCGCTCTTCCATTTCCCCCAATTGCCCTAGGTCTGGAATTAGGTCATTATATTGACTTGCAGTCACCATGTCTGGGCCCAAACGGAAGGAATTGTCGACTGACGAACTGATGCGGAGACAAGAAGAGCCACTTCGAAAGCGGCGCAAGCAGATATCCAAGGAACTCGATACCCGGAGTGAAGATGAGGGGGGTACGAGCACAGATGACATGGAGGGCTCCGATGCTGTAGAAGCTGATTCCGCTCTGGAGGAGAAGGATAGGGAGCAGGACGACCGAGTGGATGGACAGGGAGATCTGAAGAACGCGTCCACATTCTGGGACACCACCGACGAACCCGGTTCTTCGCGCATGAAAGCGAAGCCAAAAAGTCTTGCCAGAGATCTGACTCCATCCAAAACCAATGCCCCCAAGTTCTCCACGTTCTCCTCGCTCGATATTTCCACGACACTTATCGCTACGCTCGCGAAAATGTCCATTCGCGCGCCGACAGAGGTTCAGACCGCCTGCGTTCCACCTCTACTTGCAGGCGAGTTCACGTTGGCCTGCGGTCGTGATGTGCGGTGCATATGACTGATGCTGTTTCCATCCAAGGTAGGGACTGTATAGGAAATGCGAAGACAGGGTCCGGTAAAACCATGGCTTTCGCACTGCCAATATTGCAGAAACTGTCTGTTGACCCGTATGGGATCTTTGCGCTCGTATTGACCCCTACCCGGTATGTCGCTCTGGAATCTGCGACTTCATCTGTTGACTCTGTCTGTGCAGCGAGTTGGCTTTCCAGATATCGGAACAATTTGCGGTGTTGGGCGCGCCTCTCAATGTCCGGACCGCCGTTGTCGTAGGCGGCATGGACATGATGGCGCAAGCCCTTGAGCTCGGAAACCGTCCACATGTGGTTGTGGCGACCCCCGGACGCATCGTCGATCATCTACGAAGCGGCAGCGGCGAGTGGGATCTGTCGAGGGTCAAATTCCTGGTCCGCCAGTCCTGTCATATGCTGTCTCGGTGGCTTGCTGATAATGAGACAGGTGCTAGACGAGGCCGATCGACTGTTGACGTCTACGTTCTCGGCGGACATGGCGCATATCTTTAGCGTCCTTCCTAAAGACAGGCAGACGGCTTTGTTCACGGCTACCTGGACCCCTTCTATAGAAACTATCGCCGATGCCCCGCCTCGGCCTGGTAAACAAAAGCCATTCGTGCACAGAATGGTAGCTTCGTACGCGTGATCTAACCTTGCGGCGAATCGTTTCTAACGCATGCGAACACAGGACAGAGACCGTAGAGTCTCTCAAGCAGTACTATATCCTCGTTCCCTCACACGTCCGAGAATCATATCTATATCATCTCCTTTGCAACCCTCCCGAGTCGACCCTTCATCTCCGCCGGGCGGCACCGGAGCCCTCCAAGACATCTCGGAAGCCCAGATCGAAACCGAAGGGTGCTCAGAAAAAGGCACAGGTCGAGGATGAGCCGGCACAGCCTCCGCCGACGATGATATTCTGCGCCCGCCCTCGGACCGCGGCCTACTTGACTTACCTGTTGAAAACCCTATCCATCCGGAGCACGGCCCTGCATTCGCGTCTGACCCAGCGTGAGAGGTTGAACTCGCTGCAGCTGTTCCGTTCATCCGTCGTTCCTGTGCTCGTTTGCACGGACGTGGGTGCGCGAGGATTGGATATCGAAGACGTCGCGTTGGTGGTGAATTGGGACCTCACCGATGAGCCAGAGGAGTACACGCATCGGGTGGGACGAACGGCGCGGGCCGGGCGTGGAGGTGTGGCGATCAGTTTTGTGTCGGAACGGGACGAGGGACGGGTGCTCAAGATCGAGGATCGCATAAGTGAGCGGCTTCCATTTCATCTCACGAGACCTTCGCTGAGTCATTTGAAATGGCGTCAGAGACGCGGCTCAGCGAAATGGAGCTGCCCGAGGATAAGGTGTTGGAGCATCTAAACAGAGTGTCGACTGCGAGGCGACTGGCAAACATGGTGAGTGGGGCGGGGCGCGCTGGGTGACTTTGGCTGACCGTCACGTCACCGTTTGTAGGAGCTGCACGACTCCAACTTTGGACAACGAGAGCAGATACATCAGGCGAAGAATAGGGCGCGGCTGCAAGGGCAGGGTGGCGACGGACTGGCGCCGCCGAGTCTGTAGGGTTAACTCTACGTGTGGTGTATGCACCCGTACTCCTGTCTTGCACTATTTTTGAGCGACGAACCGAGAGGCCAGATGCGGAAGCAAGTGTCTGGGGCGTGACCGGGACGGTGACGGTGACGTCCTCTTTCTGGAAGCGGACGGTGGGCGACTGTTTAAAGTACAGATGGGATTCAACGGAGCCTCCACTCGCTCGCCCTCTCGTTCGACCATGAGCCCCGTTGCCTCGCCCGAGATGTCCGCCCGTCTCAGCCTAGGCCTCTCCCCCCTCCAGACCCCCCAGGTCCCGACCCCTCCGGTGCGCTCGCCGTTCGTCCCGGCCGTCCCCCCTCAGCTCACCTTTTCCCCCAGGCTTCACAGACAGGCTCCCCCGGCGAAGACGAGGAGAACGGCACCCTGGTGTCCGTCTCCACCACCTTCTTTCCAGGCGCCGCTCTCGACCCAGGCGCTCTCGCCGACCTCGTCGTTCTCTCCTCCGACTCTGTCTTCTTCTATGTCAGCTCCCACAGGCTCCTCCGAGCCTCAGAAAACGCTTTCAATTTCTTGCTCCCGGTGCCCCCAAAGAAAGAAGGAGAGGCGCCTGGCCACATTCTTTCTCTTCACGAACACTCCGCCGTCATAAATGTTCTCCTGCATGCGATCTACAACATGCCCGTGGGCCATTACTCTCCCGCGACAGAGACCATGATCGCAGCCGTGCACGCCATGGCCACGTACGGAATTCCTGCCAAGACCCATGTAGCACCATCCACCCCTCTATTTAACGCACTTCTTGCCAACGCCTCGTCGTCCCCCGTCGAAATATACGCCCTTGCAGCTTCGTGTGACCTTTACGACCTCGCGATGTCCATATCCCCACATCTTCTCTCATTCCCCCTTTCCTCTCTGACAGACGATATAGTGAAGAAAGTGGGGCCCGTATACCTCAAGCGCCTGTTCTTCCTGCATCTCGGCCGTGTCGACGCTCTCAAACGCCTCCTGCTCCCTCCTCCACATCCGCATGCTCCAACGTCATCTTGTGATTCTACAGATCAAAAGAAGCTCACACGGGCTTGGGCGTTGGCCTCGGCGTATCTGGCGTGGGATGCTCGACCGGGTACGTTGGCTTTCAGTTTCGATGATCAGGCAGGCGTTTTCCTTACTTTGGCTTACATTTACGTCATAATAGATCTGTCCACAGCGTCTATCGAAGCTGCACTCGCCCCGCTGGCCGTCCACCTGTCATGCGACCTATGCAAAATCTCACTTCGGGAAAGGATCAACAACCTTCTCGTCCAGTGGTCCGTCGTCAAGGTAGGCAGATTCCGTTTGGCGATATCAGCATTCAGATTGGGCTCACTATTCCAAAGAGGACTATCTAAATTTTCTTCATCGGTACGTCTGTCAGATTCAGTTCGTAGGAAGAAGACCTGTCACTTACGTTGGCAACTCTCCAGCTCAAGACCCGGTTCAATCTCTGTCGGTTCAAAAATAACACACGCATGAACCATGTTCGCCACCCACGCACGGATCTTCCCTCGCTTTCGCTTTCGACGCGCCTACTGTATTCACGCTCTTCATACTCTCTCCACTCTGTCCAACTTATTTGCATCCGTCATAGTCTTAAATGCCTCTCGAATGGACATCGCTCGCATACACGTATCATTGTCCCATTCACATTACCCCCTCCCCCACCCCCCTCCTGCCCCCCCCTCCCCCTTCATTTACCATTATTCCTATCCCCCATCAAGTCACATCCCTAGCCTGATCATAAACGATGCCCTGTATACTCTTTGACTTGTTAGCTGTAAATTAAATACCCTCTACGATCTCAGGATGCACACGAATTGTAGGTTTGATTCCGAAATATAAACACGCTTCCGAGCGGTTCTCTTGATCAAGGAACCGGCCACCTCACCTAGTTCCGTAAAGTCATCGAAGTTGGTGACGTCTCCCACGAAGATACGGCATTGAGGTTTTTGCAAATTGGATTGAAGGAACGGTGATACAGATACAACAGAGAGGATTTAGCGTCGGAGAGATGTAAGGGCGGGCGGGTATACAAGTTGGGCGGCAGCAGCAGAGGCCGCGAGAAATGCGGATATCCAGGTTTGTTCTATCACCGGCTTCTTTCCTCGGCAAGAATCGCTTCGTTAAGCTCATCTAGCGGTGCAAGTTCTTTCTTGTCTACGAGATCGAACTGTAAGGCAGGTTAGGAATTAGTCCGCTTTTCGGAGGGCGTGCGATGCCATGTACCTCGTGTATGAAAAGGAAGAAATGTCTATAGCTTGTGTTCAGATGGGCTGGACGATACGAAGCTAGTCAGATTCGAGAGAGAATCGAGCGAGAGATGGACGAGACCTTCGATGCCCAAGGCGCATATCTGATCAAAGTGATTGCTGTATATGTGCGCGTAGACCCGGAAGAGACGGCGGACGACGGTGCGGACGGTGTCTCTGAAGTTCTTGGGAAACGGAACGCCTGGCGATAGAAACGTCAGCGGTCATGCGGGGGAGTCGATTGAGAGAGGGAAAGAACCAATTTTGTTGGGGAATATATTCTCGTCATCGAGCATGGCTTGGGCCCAATTCATCAGAGCATCCACATATTCTGGAGCAGGGAGCTTGGTCGGCCGTTTGTACTTCACGCCGTCTTCCCAGAGATACTCGTATCTGACGAGATGGTGTTAGAGAAACAAAGCGAACGCACGTATTCTGACGATGTAGGTACCGTGGACCGGCGGACATGATGGGGCACTGCCGTTGATGGGGATTAATTATGCACGATATTTGTGTCCCGTCGAACTTACTTCTTGAGCAGTGCAGAATTCGGTGACGGTACCATACAGCATATTCAGATGATTGAAAAAGTCAACCGCTGTAACATAGTCGTTCGTGTGCATCCGTGAACGCTGCTGTACATCAGCATCTCGAGCCAAGCGCACCATGAACAGCAAGCCATTCGTTCAGATCCTCTCCTTCGGGTAACTTGACAGCTAATCGCAAGTTACCAGATCCCTACGAGAAACGGGCTTCGGTACAGGTCGGGAGATTTATGCTTGCTATGAGGCAGACTGACCAGAGTGGCTTCAGCATACTTCCTGAGCTGATATTGCTTGGTGCCTTCGGGGACGTCCCTGCGGGGCTTGAATGTTCGTGTTTTGCCTCTGCGGGGGCAATCGAATGCGATTCAAAGATAGTCATCGAAAGGTCCCACTCACAGACCAAAGAACGAGGACATGATGGAAAGTGCGAGGAGATGATCAGAGATGCCGCACCGAAACGAGTCGGACACCCACCAGAGGAACATGCCCGTCATCTCACGTGATGTAAATGCACAGACAGCTGAGTTTCTTACGCTGAGCTTTCCCTCCAAACGACATGGACGTGGACGTGGACGCGCCTGCAGAAACACCACCTTCTCCCAATGTGACCCAACACGCGCCTGAGTATGCTCTCCCAACAACATATTTCTACTCGGTCGAGTATCCAGGCTATGTCCGCCCTACTTCCGTACCCCGCGCCATTCACACAATGGGCGGGCAGTCGAGCCTGAACGCAGCCTTTAGACGAAATGCCTCAAAGAACGACGGCCTCCTTGAGCTCAACATGAGGCCAGAAAATCCTTTCGCGCATCCCATTCCAGGTGACGTCATTCCCACGAACAATATCTTGCTGAAAGTGGTGAAGCGGAAACGACGGAGGCTCAATCCCGAGACTGGAGAAAATGAGCTGGTTGGAGAATACACGGCAGAGCCTGTCGGGGTGATTCAGAAGACAGCCAGATTTCGCAGTGAGTGGAACGTATTGCTATTGGGCTCCACATACCACATTCTTTGATCAGGTATGGCGGACTATCAGTTCCAACCGGACATGAATGATCCTGTTACGAAACTACGCATGGCTATGAGTAACATGGACGGTAAGCCCGGAGATTCTATTCATCCCAAGACTATAGATTTTTACAAGCTCGGGTCAGTCGATGCCATTCGCCAATATACTATACCGGAGGAGAGAGAAGATTATGTTGTTGCAAAGGACCCGACGGCCATGGAAATCGACCCTGAATTGACAGGCGGAGCACCGCAAGCTACCAAGAGCAACCTTCGTCTATTCCCACCCCCGCTGTTCAGCCGCCAAAGTATCCCGCAGAACTATAGGTACAGTAGCGCGTTCACTTTGTGGTCCTTCTATCTTGACAATACGCGACAGCTTCAAAAGCAATCCCATGTCGGTAGTCACCACCATCATCGACGAAGAGACCGGCGATGAGAAAAAGCGACTCATCAACAAGATGCGCTGGAAAGGGTTTGGCCCTGCCTCCATAATGTTTTCAGAGAAAGAAGTGCGTCGGTTTCACGAATGTTTTGAAAATATCTGCAACATCGCGGTACAGGTACCAACGAAGCCGCCACCAAATTGTGAGGAGCTCCGTGACCAGTTCGATCAAGGCCTTCTCAAAGACCTTGAAAAGGTGAGTTGAATTTCCTCTCCGCCCACGTTGGCTGCTTGAATGTCTGTCCGTAGCTTTTCAAAGAAAGGCCAATATGGACTCGCGCAGCGCTTTTGAATCAGTTCACTCCTGCCCAAGCTCGAGAGATTCACAAGTGTGTAATATTCCTGCCCAGGGAATCTACTGCGATATTGAAATGTGTGCAGCTCGAAGGTACTGTTGCCTTTGTCGTGTTACGTTTTTCAGGACGGTCCTTGGCGGGACACTCTCGTACGCTTTGGGTACGAACCTCGGGAAGATAAGGGAGCAAGATTGTTGGTTTCTTTCTGGCACTCTCTTTTTGATCACTCAAGAGGCTTTTGACGACTTGCAGGTTTCAACGTTTGTACTTTCGAAATCTCAATCATGCTATAGCTCGACCCTCTGTTGTCACACGGCGGCAAGAGAGTCGATATTCGATCACCTCGTATAACCGTGTTAATAGAGTGCAGGATGAGCGAAGGTTTGTGTCGTGTCCTTCTCTAAAAAAGTACTGGTCATTAAGTTGTTGACCTGTCTACTAGAACACATATTTTCGACGGTGTAACAGTAACCACAGAGACAGCCGCGTTTCAGTTATGTGACATAGAAGATGCTTTGCTCAAAGACATGATCGAAGACGAAGAGGTAGTCCGGGACACGTGCAATGTACACATTTTGTCCGTCGTAGGTATCGCACGGCTGACTCTGCATACCTCTAGGAGCGAGACGGGTGGTATACGACGCACCAACTCGAGCGCATCAAAGCTGTTTTGCGCCTCAAATTTTTCTCGCTGCTGGAAGGTCATGTCGTCACTGACGAAGAATGCAAAAAGGTGCTCGCTACACCAGAGGGATTGCACACGGTAAAACGTACCGTCGGCGCTAGCAGACTGAGGCCAGGTAAACATAATATGGCAAAGGGCGCTTTACCTGCGGATCATGCAGCGGTAAGTCGTGCCCTCTTATTTCTTTCGAACGGCTCACAACAAATTGGAACGTTGTAGGCGATCAGACTGTCGCAGGCCATCGCACGTGCCAGCCAAGACAAGAATGCGAAGCCTCAGCAGGATCAAGGATAGTCTGTATCACCGTATGCGTTTTGTTATGAAAGTGTAGCGTCGTACTGTTGTATGAGTTCGGAAGCGCCTCGTGATATGATGTTTTTGAATGCGTTTCTTTTGCGTAGTGACCTAGGCATATAACATAGGCATGGGAGACTGCGATACACAACACATCGATCTGGACCTCTCCTATACTGGCTGGCGGGCTCCTCCGTCTGACAAGGCGGAAATCATGATGCGGCTGCTGCTGCTTTGGCTTCTACTCGCGCTTTGCGCTGTCATATTGATGAGCATCCTTTACTAAACGAGAAGTACGAGTGGACTCACAGAGCCGTTAAGAGCGAACCGAGAATTCCGGCGGAACTTGGGGTCAAGATCTCAGTATCAAACCTCTCAAATGCCTGAAGTCTGATTTACCTTAGCGTCGACCTGTAGCACAAATGGGTCGATGTCATTCCCCTCGCACGATCCGCGCAGAAATGCAAAGAGGACGTACACCCTTCAACGACCGTGTCCGGCCAGCCACAGGCTTCCTGATACCATTACGGTGAGCCTTTTTGTTCTGGTTGTGATTGGTATGGCTGATGCATCCGTCAGCACCTCGTCTGTGTCGGGCAGAGTGGGAGAGCGTACTTCTTGGATTTGGCCATTTGGACTTGTCGGCGACTTGGGCTTGCTGTGCGATGGCTAGCAGCCTTACGGTGTGGTTGACTTGGATCGTGGGAGCGGTGGCTGAAGAACTGTGCAGTTATTTCCCGAGGGTCCCTCGGCAACTGCCGATCACTCGTTCTTATTCTCCAACGCTTCAAAGCCTTTCACAGCGCATTCTCGATGTCTCTGTGTCAGGAATTTAGTGCTTTCATGTTCCTGCAGTATTGCCCATAGCAATATGTGAGGTGTTGGCGCGGATGATGATGACTTTCTATTCCCTTATCTTGCGTACGATTTGTCCTCGAAGTAACACCGCATCATGAGTATCACGGTGCACATGCCCTCCCTTTATACGAGGCCTTCATAGACCCATGTCGATCGTCGACGACTCAAAGTCCGAGAGACATCCCTTGCTCGGCCGTGGAGGCATGAGCCGATTTGGAGCGTGGGTAAATCGGAGGCGGACTCCGACATTGAATCGGCCGATGGCGCTAGCCAGTCATACTCCATTCGTTTCTTAAAACTCGCATCGGTACGCTCGACTGGCACACGACTTTCATTCCGTTCTGCTCGTTCTCCACACTTAAACACTACCACATCAACGAGTCATGCCCGCAACGGTCTCAAAACCACGCACCCTGTACGATAAGATCTGGGACGACCATGTCATGTTCGTATGCCCTTCAGCCGTGAGACGACGTCATGCTCAGACATTGCTGCTTCCACAGAGACGTGCAGGAAGATGGATTGGCTCTGATCTACATTGACCGGTGAGCATTGACGTGGCATGCCAACTGCTCGGATCGTTGAGATTACGCCCAGACACCTCGTGCACGAAGTTACGAGCCCACAAGCATTCGAAGGACTGTGCGTACTTTCCCAAAAACATCTTTGAAACGACGTCAAGCTCAATGCGTGTCATCATTCCAGGCGAGTTGCCAAGCGTCCCGTCCGCCGTCCTGATTGCACACTGGCAACCGTGGACCATAACATTCCGTATGTCGCCTTGACCCTATCCTTGCCTCGTGCCCTGAGTCTCTTATTCTTCACATCTAGCACGGCATCGCGAAAGAATTTTTCATCAGTCCCATCCTTCATCGCCGAACCCGACTCACGCGCACAATGTATGGCGTTGGAGGAGAACGTCAAAGAGTTTGGCGTAACATACTTTGGCATGACAGATAGACGTCAAGGTATGCAATTGCCATGGAAATGTCAATAGTTTCTGATTGTTTGCTGTATTCAAGGCATCGTGCACATCATCGGCCCAGAGCAAGGGTTCACGGTATGTGGCGGGCAATTGAAGCCTCGACGTTACTGACTCTCAAAAAAGCTCCCCGGTATCACCTGTGTATGCGGTGATTCCCACACGTCCAGTGCGCTCGTTCTATTTTGGCAGCGACGATCGATGCTTATCGATGCTCATAGCCCACGGCGCGTTCGGTTCTCTGGCGTTCGGCATTGGGACGTCCGAGGTCGAGCACGTCCTCGCGACACAGACCTTACTGCAGAAGAAGGCTAAGAACATGCGCATCACAGTTGACGGTGATCTCCTCGAAGGTGTCACATCCAAGGATGTCATCCTCCACATTATTGGTGTCATTGGCACAGCAGGCGGGACTGGGTCTGTCATTGAGTACGCGGGCTCGGTCTTCCGTGGGTTCAGCATGGAAGCGCGGATGAGCGTCTGCAATATGTCGATCGAGGCTGGTGCTCGTGCAGGCATGGTCGCTCCTGATGAAGTCACCTTTGACTACCTCCGGAATCGACCGTTGGCGCCGAAAGGCGAGGCTTGGGATCGCGCCGTCGCGTATTGGAAGTCCTTGAAGTCCGACGAGGGTGCCCAGTTCGACATCGAGGTCAAGATTCGTGCCGCGGACATCATTCCTACAGTTACCTGGGGTACCTCTCCTCAGGACGTTGCCCCCATCACTGGCAGCGTTCCTGATCCCGCCACGTTTTCGGACCCCGTCAAACGCAGCTCCATTGAGCGCTCGTTGAAGTACATGGGCTTGACACCAAAGACCCGCATGGAAGACATCACGATTGACAAAGTGTTCATTGGATCTTGCACGAACAGTCGCATCGAGGACCTTCGCTCAGCGGCCAGAATAGTTCTTGCTGCTGGTCCTGATGCCAGGGTTGCCCCCAATGTGCAGGCGATGATCGTGCCCGGGTCCGGTATCATCAAGCAGCACGCGGAGGCGGAGGGCTTGGACGTGATCTTCAAGCGCGCTGGCTTTGACTGGCGCGAGGCAGGCTGCTCTATGTGTCTGGGCATGAACCCGGATCAACTGTCGCCCGGCGAACGTTGTGCTAGCACCAGCAACCGCAACTTCGAGGGCCGTCAGGGTGCGGGTGGCCGTACACACCTTGTCAGCCCCGCCATGGCAGCTGCCGCGGCGATGACGGGGAGGCTCACCGATGTCCGCAAGTTCTTTGGTAAAGACGTTGTCTCCAGTGACAAGCTAAAGTCGATCACCGCGTTCGAGTTCCTCTCTGACCCTGTCCTGCCGTCCCCCACGCCGGAGACGCCCGTCGTATCCGAGTTGACCAAGGATCTGCCCCCAGCCGAAGCGCCGTCGAGTGTGCAGAAATTCACGATCGTCAAGGGAATCGCTGCGCCCCTGCATATCGAGAACGTTGACACCGACATGATCATCCCGAAACAGTTCTTGAAGACTCTGAAGCGGACTGGCCTCGCGAGCGCGCTGTTTTACACGCTGCGAAAAGACCCCAGCACGGGGAAGGACACCGACTTTGTGCTGAACAAGGCGCCATACGACAATGCGAAGATCCTCGTGTGCACCGGAAAGAACTTTGGCTGCGGCAGCTCGCGCGAGCACGCACCCTGGAGTCTGTGAGTTGATTCGTGCTGCGTAGGCTCTAATTTGTCATGATGCTCATACGCTGGACGTTTTACAGGAATGATTTCGGTATCCGTTGCATCATCGCGCCGAGTTTTGCGGACATCTTCCGGAACAACACGATGCAGAATGGAATGCTGCCGGTTGCGCTGTCGGAGGCCGAGTGCCGCACGCTTGCGGAGGATGCGGAGGCGGGGCTGGAGCTGGAGGTGGACTTGGACAGGCAGGAGGTGCGACGGGCGAACGGGAAGGCGCCCATCGGTTTCACGACGGATCCGTTCCGGCGACACTGCCTGTTGAATGGGCTGGACGACATTGCGCTGACGTTGCAGAAGGTGGGGTCGATCGAGCGGTTCGAGGAGCGGCGGAGCGAGGTGTGGCCGTGGCTGGACGGATTTGGGTACAAGGGCAAGAAGATTCCGGTAGCACCTGCTCGGGGGAGCAAAAAGATGGAGTGGTGAGGTGGGGAGGGGATTCGATGGGGATGGTGGGGTGTGTACCAGTAGTGTACTGCATGGCATAACTTGCGAGAGCATGCTGCGAGAGAGGGAGAGGAGGCGCACAGCACGTGGTGACAGGAGGGCCGTGTTGAGATAGGCCACTAGCAACGAACAGACCGCGCTCGCCGTTGGCCCCTCCCGTCGATGTCCCCCACGGCGTTCCCCTCTTTATATATTAACTTATTCCCCTCGCTGTGAGAGCCCCCTCCCCCCGCCCAAATGGCCGCGGTCGGTGCCAACGATCATGTGCGCACGGGGTCGAGCGGCGAGATGAAGGATGGAACAGGTATGGACGCGCCTGTCGCCTTGTTCCCATCAGCGATCTCTCATCCAGCGGGCGGCCCAGCACCGACCCCCCGTCCAAATGCAGTCCGCCCAGACCCCGACTTCCCCCTCTCTTATTATCAGTCAGAGCTCGCGGGCAAGGCGTATGTCCCGGACGTCCGCGCACCTTCGTTCGCACCCCTTGCGTCCCTAGAGCGGACAACAAGCACAACCTCTTCCTCTTCCGCGTACTCCTCCCACTCCTCTTCGCCCCAGAATAGCGAGCTCACCCCAGACACATCGCCGTCCGATCGCGGGAAGCAGCCGCTGCGCGAGCTCGAGCTCAACGTCGACGCGGGGGAGCAGCACAGACGGAGGCCGAGCAACCAGTCGGAAGGCGCAGCAGACAATCGACGCATCGCCGTCGTCCAACTTGACACACCGTCCACGCCGTCGCTTAACAGCAGTCCGTCGGGCCCACCCGGGACTCCCGGTGCGGCCGTCGACACGTTGTTCGAACGTCGCGGCTTGCACTCTCGCTTCCCCGCTCTCGCCCTCGTCGCGCCCTCCGACGCGCCCTTCCTCTCCGCCCCACACCTCTCCCCTCCCTCCTCTGCCCCCGTCGTCGGCACCGCAAGAGCACCAGATAGCGCGCACTCGGGCCTGCGGAGCAGCCCCGCGACAGGCCATCACCGCTCCACCTCAGAGGCTGTGCCCGGACGAGGTAAGGACGGCGTCCACAAAAAAACCTCGTCTCGCGACATCGGCATTGTTGGGACGCGCCGCGCCCCTGGTTTCGCAGGCGCGCCTCCAATGTATCACGATCCTGTACAAGGCCTGAAACCCCCCATATTCCAAACGCCCCAGTCTCGCTCTCCGTCCCCGCACATCTCTCTCGACTCCCCCGTCGACGGCCTTCCGTCGAGCATGCTTCCCTATCCCCACCCCGCCGACGGGCTCTCTTCCTCTTCTGCGCAGATGCCGACCATCGGCGAGAGGGCCATCCCTGGCTTGTCCACCGTGGCCACCAGCGCGTCCCGCCCCAATTCATCCAGCTCCGGACAATTTCGCCACGAAGTCTCCGGTGACCCGGACAAGTCCAGGGCATCGTCCTCCTTGTTATCCCCCTCCACCCACCGACCGTCGTCCTATCTGTATTACCAGCCGGGAGTGCATTCGACCGCAGGCCCACTGCCCCCGCCTCCGAGGGCCATGTTCCAAATCGACGTAAAGGTCCCTCCACCCCCGCGACCGCCCCGCTTGCGATCGCCGTCTCCGACGCGTTCACGAAACGTTTTGAACGAGGCCGCGGCCTCGTCTGTCTCTGTCATCTTGGCCTCTAAATCGTCTGTGGCTTCACTGAAGCACCTCGACTCGGCCAAGACAGCCGAGTCGTCACGGCTTCCTGTCGGAGACGTGACGAACACGCCAGGGTGAGTTGGTCATCTCGCCTACTCTTTGCAATCCTCGTTTGATGACACCACGTGTGTTCAGTGCGAACGGTGCAGTCGAGGACGTATTCAATCGATCATCTAACCATGTCCGCGAAGGTGCTTTCGCCCCCTCCCGATTCGTCCTGCACCCCGGGCCTCCGTCATTGCAGGCGTCTCCAAAACCTTCTCCAAAGTCATCCACGACGTCCTTGTTGGGCGTGGTGCAGTCCGCGACCGACTCTCTTCGTCTAGTCAGCAGCACGCCTGAGATCGTCGAGTCCCCTCCATCCGCCGTTGACGACCCGCGTGGCGCGGATGCCGTCTTCGGAAGACGGCTGGGGTCTGAAATCGAGCGGTTCGATAGCTGGGTCAACCTCCACCCATTGCCTTCCGACAGTACGCGCGCGTCTTCTGATTCGTCGAGCGGCCGACCGTCTTCCGAAGCGGAGTCTCTATCACCTCGGCCATCAAGCCTGCCTAAATCTCCCAAGGGGAAGAAGGAAGGTTCGGCGAATCCCTTGCGGGGCACACTGACCAACTTGAAGCGCTTCTCGTCGCTACCCCGCACGCCCTCCGTCATCTCGAGCCGGCTGTCGAACGGCAGTCGATCCTCCCGAACGCCTTCGCCCGCGCGACCTCCCCCGCAGCCCAGGATACGTTCGAACTGGCCCGCGTCGATGTCGTGTGCGGACGTGCTGGTGAAGCGCAGCTCGCTGGAGCGGGCTGTTGCTTATGCTTACAAGATCAACGACCTGTCGATGTACGACTGTGGCCTGGGCGAGTGGATCCAGGCCACGAAGCAGAAAGGTAAGCCGCCGAGTCAGCGTCGTCGTCGGCATCATTCCCAGAGCCTCACGCGCGCGCACCAGCCAACCCGCGAACCGCGAGTCGCATCACGTCGCCGGGCGCAGCGGGGCCGACTGCGAGACCGATGTCTGTCCAGCCCCGCCACATCTCCAACGGGTCCATCTCGTCAGAAGCGACGTTCCCGCTCCGCCCAGACGCATACACGGCCACCGACCTCTCGCCACGCCCGTCGGACACGGTGCCCTCCCCGAGCGGACCTCCGCCGGCACTGCCCTACCCGGCGCTGGCGCAGGCGAGCAGCCACCGCCTTTCTGTGACGTCACCGAGGATGCGCACGCATCCGCTTCCGGGCAGCAAGTCGACCGGCGGCTTCTTCTCCTCCATCGGGCGCAACTACAGCCTCAAGAAGGAGAAGACCCTCGCCCAGACCAGGCCAAACCCCAACCCCAACCCGAACCCCAACCCCCGACCGATCGTCATCGTCGACACGCCCTCCCTCCCGGGCGGCCCTCGCGCGCCCCCCGGCCGCATGCACCGCTCCCAGACCCTCACCCTCTCCGCCGCCGTCTCGGACGCCCCCCCGGCCTCCGCCCTCAACCGCCGCCGGAGCAACACCATCCGCCGGCCCTCCTTCCTCAACCGCGCCGGCACTGCGTCCGAGTCCGACCACGTCGACCCGGAATTTGCGCGCCAGGTCGACAAACTCGCCGACCTGCTGCCCCAGGCGGACCGCGATGTTCTCGCCGGCTATCTCCGTCGAGCGGGGCAGGACATCCTCGCCATCGGACAGTACCTGGAGGACGAGAAGAACGGGACTTTGCGGCGTGACTGACTCCCCGCGCACCACGTTCGACCCTGTCGTTGCTTTCCCTAGACCCCTTTTGCATTGCTTTTTTTTTTTTTTTGCACGCCCGGACGATCCCGCTCATTCTCACTCAAATATGCTTGCACCTGTCTGTACTGTACTGTCTTTGCATCTGTCTTGCACGCTGTGTACGCCTAACGCTGCACGTAATATGTTTACTACACGAACGCTCTTTTTATTGCTCAAGTTGGCTTCACCAGAGAGCACGAGCGACATGATGGAGCACGATAACGATTACGCGTACAGAGATATAAAAAAACATGCTGAGATGATGACCTTCACTACCTAGGGATGTTAACACCTGCTGGTTTGAACCCACGTCTCTTGCCCGACGATGCTGGAGGTAATGACGATCAGAGCTCATGAATGGCCATGCATAGCCGAGACCTTTACCTTGCTGAGTTGGGTAACTCGTGCGGCCGGCGTTGGTCCATTGCCCCTCTCGAGGATTCATTCGCATCTGCGTTCGATTTCCACCGCCGCCAAGGAGATGCTCCACCTCCTGTACACTGTCCGACCGCTCAGATATGGTTCCGGTGCGCAACGGACGATCGCCTTGAACAAACTGCTGACGGCGCTGTCCGCCACGTTCTTGGAATTGCTGAGGTTGGTGCCAGAGCTGCTGGAATGCTCCACTGGTTCGGTTGATGATCGGAGTCCTCTGGATCTGGATTATAGTGATAATTAAAACGGGATACCGAACTCGAGGTGAAAGTACTGACCCCGTTGGCCTCCATTCCCCCCACGACAGCGCTAAGATCAACGTTGGCCATTGCGCCGTTGTGCACGAATGGACCTCCAGGGCGCGATTCTCGGTTGTCACCCTCGACTGATCCTCGGTCCATAAGAGGATTCAGAACCCCTCCGAGATTCATACCAGAGTTGTTCCCAACAGTGTTGGGCGCCAGTAGTGCTTTTCTTTTGATTTTGTCATATTGTGCCTACCGCGACCGTAAGCTGAGCAGGGCTGCTCTGTCATGACGATCGCAAATTTACCTTTAGTTTCTGATATTCCTTGTCTCTTTCCCTGGTAGCGTCTTGGAGCTCCCTAGTCTTCCGCCGTTCTAGTTCGAGGTCATGCTCGAGTTCTGCATTGATTTTAGTTTTACAAGGGTGCAGAATGATAATTTCAACCCCAGCGAACCTGAAATTTTGCTGCCCAACAGATTTATTTCTCCATTCGCTGACCGCACAACGCACATCAGATCAACCCGTGAAGACGAGATATGAACTCACCTTCTCTCACAACATTGTCGATCTGCTTTTGTAGCTGGGCATTCTTGTCGTTGATGTTGCGGAGCACTGCTTGTTGAAAGGAGCTGGTGAGTGCTATCAGGCTGAGAGCATTCATTGTCCATGAACGACGTAATCACTTCTCTTGATATATCTGGTATTGCCAGAACGATATGGCCCTGCGAACCAGCTGAGATGGATAGTGATTCCAGCATAAGAGAGCCAAACCGGCTGCATATCTCGAGAACTGTCGCGGGATTCAATCCTGAGAGAACCGACTATGTCCCAAATGAGCAACGAAGTAGCGGAAGGGCGCATATACTCACAGTTTTGTAGTCATTTGACGGATGCAATGAGCATACCTGTGACCCGCAGAAAGTCAAAGGCATGTTGGCAACATCAATCATGATACAAACTGACCACAACATCGTCACTAAGCAAAATGTCAACGATAGAGCGACTCCACAACAACAAGTGAGATCCTGCACTTACGGTTCGGTCAAAGACGTCTCGCACGCTAATGGCTCATGTAAATGTTAGTAGAGGTAATCGAGAACGGTGCTTGCCGGGGCAGAGTCTTGCGGCACTGAAGAGCTCATTGGCACAGTCAACTAGTACAGGACAATGTTCAAAGTTAGGCCCCTACTGGGCCTTAGAAATATTGAGCACACCACAGAATATATGTGAACCTTGAAAGCAGAAAGAATGAGCTTGGTACGGCAATGAGATAGCGATGACATTACAGGTCGTCTAATACACTCCACCCATTACAGAGTTGGCGTCCAAAACCCCATGCGTATATTCAGAGATGTGCTCACAACCACGGCTTTATCGATCAACGCCCTTCGACAAGTGAGACGATTGCATTTGAGGTCATTATCCATCTCGACGCACGTTGTGGGCGATGGAAGGGAAGTTACCTTGTACAAAGCTGGACAAATTTTGGAGTCGTGGACGCGTCCGATCACGTGGACCATGGAACTGCAAAAAAAAAAATCGTATAGCAGCAGACGATAGTAGGAGACAAACGATGGTCGATCAGTAGGTAAACAGTCCGAGGAGCGAACAAGCGAACGTGGGCAAGTAGACTATATAGTACAAGTCCTTGACAGCTAATAACAACAGCTTTATAAGATGATCAAATGTGGAGATAATTATGAATGAGGCTGAGTAGCAGCCTACCGTATATCAAGTAAATGGTTCAATATTCAGATGCCCAGAGATAAGATAAAATTGTTCATGGTTTCCATACGGATGTCCGAGCAGGAGAAGTTTGAAGGGATGATGGTGACCTTCCTAATGGCCGAGAGGGCGTGGTAGGGCGCAGGCCAGCCTCAGCAGCGACGTCTGCACGTCTGATGAACTGCAAAGGAGTCAATGGCGAGGAATTCACCGAGGAGGTCGACTTCATAGACTGGGGGCTTCTTCCGTTCGCCGATGACAAGGTAAATAACGATATCCCTGTTGGTTCTGGAGTGCGCGGTGCTTGTGGTGGCGTCGTGATGATCTCTGGTGCTTCTAATAGAGTGTTAGAGCTGAACCACTTCTCCTCTCTAGATCCTAGTTGCGGTGGTGACTCGTGCATGGGCAAGAGATGAAACAAATCAGAAAAATGCGTCCTGATGAATCTTTCGGAGATATTAGCAAGGGCGTAAGGCGCGAAAAATGAATGACAAGACGTACTTTGATAACTCCACCCACCCACCTCCCACTCGCACCATGACCGTCTGGGACCGCAGGATACGACAGAAACACAACTTCGCATCTTCTCCACCAATCCAGTATTTACCGCTCTGGTCGCGCCAACCGTCTTCTGCGACTTGGATATTGATGTCCACCGGCAAGCTGTTAACAATGTCTCCCACTGCAACATCTAGTTTGTTCTTGGGGTTCGCTACGTATGGTATCTTCCGAGTCTGTAGAGCCTTGCTTTGTACCATTGGACTTCTTGGTAAGTTTGGGAATGACAGCCTAGGCGCACGACTCCACGTGGAGTGAGTTTGTGAATTGGTAGATCGGGGAGCGAAGGAGCGAGAAGTGGAAGAGGCATCCGACAAGGCAGGTGAAGCCATGCGCGAAGATTGGCCAGTTTGCGCGCGCGGACGTGTTGTGATCATGGATTTACGAGGAGGCTGTGGCTTGGCAGGAGGCAATGGTTTAGTGGGCGGCGAAGTCAGACTGCCAGTGCGCTGACGTGAAGCAAAAGTCGATTGGAATAATCGAGAATTTGATGTCGCGGGGGAGAATGATTCAGAGACAGAGCGATTTGTGGATGCAACGGACATTCTGCTTGAGGCTCTAGATTGACTTGTCTCTGTAGTAGATACGACCCGTCGTGTGGTTGGAGGGGGTCGGGTGGGTGTAGGGGCTGTGAGACGTGGTCGACCACGAAGGGGAGCAGGAGATCCCATAGACAAAGTGGAGAAATGATTAGTCTTCTTCTGGGGAGCTGGACGATAACCACCGATGGACGCCCTGCTATTTCGCCCATTACTCATGATGCTGCTCGGTCGGGATTTCCTACCATCGAGCATGTCGGAGGCCATAGATTCGAGCTCATTCCAAGTCTGCATGATCCGCTTCTGCTCTGATGACGCCCTTACATCGTCAGCGATTCCAGAGAACTGTCGGCTCGTATCATCAATCAGATCACGAGAATAAGATATCCGCGAGCCCAACTGCTCTTCGGGTGGAAGAGAAGTTTGGGATGCATGCGCTGAGGCAAGAGGGCCGACTGGAGGAGCAGGATAACTGTCGATGTGTTCGAGGAGATCGCTTAGGCACGCGTCACAGTCTTGCACAGCTTGAGCAAATAGTGAAAGCTTTTGTATCCGCTGTAGCATTGGTTTCGAATCGTTGACTTCACTCCTGAGGGATCGCAGTTCAAGATCGACAGACTGAGCAGAAACGCTAGCGGGTAGGGTCGCCATTTCGGAAATTACTGCGAATAGACCAGAAGAAAGCGTCGCGTATTGAGCTGGCGAAGGAAGAGCATCTGCAGAAGCTGAAGGCCTAGCAGCCCCATTTATGTTCAAGGAGCGGAGACGTTTCCGAAGTGCATGTATCCGCTTCTGCAACTCAGCAGACTCTTGGTCAAGTTCATCGACCACAGACAATTGCGCAACTCGCAGACCAAAGATCTCTGTGGTTGGCATCAGTCATAAGGTCAACACGAATCGAATCAGACTCACCTGCTACAGGAGTCTCTGTCAAAAGTTTTGGTTGCTCTCGCGCTTCCGCCTGAAGCTGTACAGCGGCCAGCCTGTCAACTTCGCGCCTGGCATCAGCTTTCGCCCGCTCCGACTTCTCTAGTTGCTCAGCTTCCACCCTCTCATGCTCCAATCTGGCTTGCTCCTCTGCTTTTCGACGTTCAAATTCAAGCCTCGCCTCTTCTTCTGCCTCCAACCGCTCTTTCTCAATTCTGGCCAGCTCCTCCACCTCTAGTCTTTCACGTTCCAGCCGCTCCTCCACCTCCACTCTCTCTCTTTCCAAAGCCGCCCGTTCCTCCGCTAGCCTCTCTTCTTCCATTCTCCTGGCTTGTTCTTCCGCCTCCAACCGTTCGCGTTCCAATCTAGCAGCCTCCTCCTTTTGGAGACGCTCCTGCTCTTCTCGCAACCGTTGCTCTGCAGATATTCGCTCGTGCTCTATCCTCTGACGTTCTGATATTCGAGACTTCAACGATGCCACATCCTGTAGCCACGAGCTATACTTAAGTTCTGCATCGCCAAGGCTCTGATTCCGAGCTGAATACAGAGCGGTGAAAGATGCGTCCTGGTTGTCGGCCATACTCTTCATTTCGTGAAGTGTTATACGGATGTCAGAGAATGCTCGAGTCATCTCAGACTCGTGACGAGTTGAGAATTGTTCTGTCTCTGTCATCAAGGACTCCAATTGTCCTAACATATTAGATGACTCGGCAGATGACGCAAGTGAATTTTGAAGAGGAGTAAGGCCTTCAAACGCCTGGCGTATAGAGTCGAGGAGAGAAGCCAACTGAATATCAACATCTCTGGCTTTTTGAGCCAAACGCAGAAATTTGACCCTTCTTTCCATAGACAACACGTCGTTCATCAGACTCAACGCGAAGGCGTTAGAGTCGGTGCGAACGGCATCGTCCACCGTCGAGAGGTCAAAGGGCAATTCAATGGACGATGAGTGATTGAACGACTCTAGAGACAAGTCTCCACCAGACGAGAAGCGTCTCTTCACTGGGTGAAGACCCTGAGCGGAGGAGAAGCCTGTGGAGACGAAGAGCACGCGAGTGGGAAGATCATCTACGAATGCTTGAACAGAGCCCGCGAGTTCGACGACTTCGGACTCAAGAGTCGCAGGTGCCTCAGGAAGTACATCGTCCGAAGTTGTTGCATTTAGAACGCTGTTAGAAGCTGCCTCCAATCTTTCCTTGATGTCCTCTAAGCGAACTTGTAGGGCCTGCATCTGATCTGAAACGTCAGCCATGATAGAGGCCTGGCTATAGATGCTCTCCCCCAATCGGATCATCTGTTTGACTTGGTCCAAGACGATAGATAGCCCGTCACAGCGTTGAGCCATATAATTTTGTAGGTCGGGTTGCAGGGAAGGGGAGAATGAGTGAAAAGCTGAGATGACCTGCTGAGTTAGCCTGGATTCTAGATGTTGCAAACGGTCCGTGAATTGCAGTGGGGAAGGTGCAGCAGGCAAGGGTGGCATCGGACTTTCAGGAGTTAGGAGAGCAGCATTCGAAGACAATGTTCGTGATCGCCATCGACGCTGTTCCATTGCCTCGCCTACATCATTTCGAACGATGTCCAGTTCCCGAAGTATTGAGGTGGCTGGGATCCAAACTTTTCTGATCTCTCGTAGGAGGTTGACATTGGCGACAACACCGTCGCGAGCCACGCGCGCATTCTGTTTCCTGGATGCCAGTCGTTCGATGATGGATATAGAGTTAGCTTTGAACGTGGGATCCATGTGGAACTGGTCAGCTGAAAGCAAAGCAGTTTGAGCCTTCGGTAAAACCGTTTCGGCGTGTCGGTCTGCTTGCTCCAATTCATGAAGGATAGAGGGTAGTAGCGCCAAGTATGCATTGTGTCGTGTCAGGTCAAGACAAGCATCCGAACTCAAGTCAACAGGACTACCATCGCCATCAGGATTGGGGACGCCATGCTGGAGTTGAAAGACAATCGACTCGTATAGTGACCCTAGATCACTGGCCGACGAGCAAAGGACTTCGACTTGCCCTACAGCTTCGAAGAATGCATGATATTCCTGAGCACCCTTCTCGACTTGTTCGGCTAACGCAGTAGCAGCAGACAAATCTGACGAAAGTTGTTGCGAGATCTCTTCATTCGTGATAGTTTGATCAGGAAAGAGATGATGAGTTGGTCGAGGGAAGATGCTCGCAGGCGATGCTGGATTTTCTCTTGCACTAAGCCTTTTCATAATGGCACCTGCTCGAGAGGTATAGGCGGTATCCTGGCGTGCTGATGGGTGACTCAGCTTCGCGGTCTCAATCTCTTCAAACAGAGTTTGAGCGGCAGCTTGATCTTTTGCCGTTTCGACAAACAACTCATCAGCCCTGTGAACTTCATCAGCACACAGGAGCATGGGCCACATAGAGAGGATGACAGCACTTTCTCCATTGCGTGACTACGCTCATAACAAACTTTCCTACGTTTTCCATCTCATTGATCCCTTGGTCTTCCAACTTGTCCTGCTCGTCGAGCAGCTCGTCCGGGACGGGCTTCCGACTGTGGTCTATGAGCCTATCCAAAGCCTTTCCTGCTGCAGAGATTTTGCCGTGACGAAGAGCTGATATCCGACTGGCAAACGTAGCTGCATCTCTAGACAAGGCTTCCGCTATTTTGAACCGAGCGGCACGAGAGAAACCGGGAGATGATGTAACTGAAGCGTCCGAGGTAGTGGACATAATAGAACCTCGGCGCGAAGAAGCTTCTTCCTGTAGGTTCGTGATGTCATACACTGCTGATGACCATCTAGCCCGGGTGGCGAGGAAGGCTTTCAAGTCGACGAGGATACTTCGTCGGTCTGCCCAAGCAGCTCGACGTTGTTCCTCCCAAGTAAGTCGGACACCGAGGAGGTCTAAATTTTCGGACCTGCCTCGAAGTAGATGCAGGAGCTTGTCAAATTCGTAGATGGTTGTCAAGGTCAGCTCGATGAGGTCCGTATCCTCCGGGGAGAGATTGCGCTGGGCTGTAGCTGCGATGATAGAGTGGATTCAAGACAGGAGTGACAGGGTTGTAGCCGCTGGCACTCACCCTTCGTGAATTGCTTGAACTTTTTGAGTTCCCCAGAATCAAAAGCCTCCGTCTCCTTCTCTATTTTGTCGTGTTCAACGAGCCATTCGTTGAGCTCCTCACGAGTGGGCAATCCTGGGACGACATCAGCCGATATGCGTACGGCATCAAGACCAGCGAACAATTCTATTGGCGGCATGTTTCCTAGGAACTATGATTGCAGTTTGTTACAATCAGTTTGAAGGGGTATGTGTGAAGTACGGAAACCTCACTTTGATTTTGTCCACTATCCATTCCTTCCTCTCACTGAATGCCTGAAGTTCGATGACCTCGTGTGACTCGAGTTCGCCGTGTTCGGCATGCCCTTGCAGATGTTCCGAGCCTTGTCTAATCGAGCCATGTGGTATTTTGGACTTGATGATAGATTCGAGAGAGCTGTAATCCATTCCGTCGAGCGTACCAGCCGGCTCGGCGTCTATGGGGAGTATGGTTTTCGTCTCTGAGTCGCCCATAGTCCTGAAAGTATTGGTGCAAGACGCTCGAACGAGGGGTTCGAGGGTTGAGAATATTTAAGCAAGAACGGGGGGCATATCCGCTGGCGGAGAGATGGTCGTGACAGAAGGCAGAAGGGGCGCTGGTACAACGAGGTCTCCCAACTCGAGACTCACGCGTCAATCGAGACATCCCTGCTGACTCAGCCCCACCATGGCCATTCCTGCGGTCTCACAGGCGAACTTCTCTGGTGTACACAAATGTTCGATGCTAGCGGTTACAATAAAAATACACGAGGCCGTTCCATCAGTCTACTTCCGTTCCTGCAAGCATTCATCCCTTCAAGCTTGCCTTCGCCTTAGAACTTGGTAATGAGACATCGCTGAGCGTGTCAGGATTCAGAATATTTGCTTGCCTGTGCATGATGCGTGTCAGAGACTGGATTCTCCAATCTTTCAAATCGCAAGGCAAGGTGGCGAAGCCGTTCAATTCCCCGGGTATCCCCCTTATCCACGAAGCCTCGTTGCATGTCAGTCTCTTGCATGAACGCCGCGACATCAGCAAGCGAAGGTCCAAGCTCTCGCAATGGAAGAAGCTGCGATCTTCGGATACAGGAATCCAGTTCTCAGATCAGTTTCACATAGATGTAATGGCTACACACCGGATGCGCTCGTTGGAGGCGGCAAGCTCGTGCACACTAACTTCCAGCTCTGCTGTCTTTGCCGTGTGAGATGATTTCAGTCTATGAACATCCGCATGCAACCTCCCAGCACCGCGCCGCGTGTCCTGAAGCATGTCCTGAAGCTTGGTATGCTCCGCCTTCCTAACAGATAGCTCCAGAAGTGTTATTTCGAGCTCTTTCTGCAGAGCATGCGTTGTAGCCGCTATGCCATCTAGCTTCCGATGCAAACCCGCCAATTGCCTTCTCAGGGCGAAGAAAGGGATCAATGTGACGGGGAGCGCTAGTGCAGTGAAGATGACCAAGCGAGTCTCTAGAGGAAGCGATGCAGAAGAAGCGCTGTATGGATTATATCTGGTGTTGTTGGGTTTGGTCTGAGAATGGTCAGTACTACCTGAGGGCTCCATGGATCCACGGAGAGTTGAAGGGGGCTAATCTGGAACAACACAGGCCGCGTTGAGCCAAGTCAGTATCACATGACCACGGACTATTGCGAACAAGTTCATAGCCAGGATTCTCAGGGAATACTAGGAGGGCACTATACGCTATGATCGTGCAATGTACATAGATGATGTTTCATTATTCATCTTTTGGTGGTTTACCGCCTTTGGTCAGACTCATGATCTCCTCCATAGCATCCTAATGCGGTGATTGAGAAGGCGAAACGGACAGCCAGGTCTGCACGCACCTGTGAGTTCATATCAATGCCAGCCTTCTTTAACTCTACCATCACACTTTTCACCCCCTTTATAAACTTCCGATTTGTCGCCAGTCGGAACATCTGCATGTTAGATGGTGGAGTTGTCGACATGATATCAATGCCTAGCCGTCATCCATACGTCAACACGAAGCACATGAATACATAGTCAGGTAATAGGCACCTTGTTCTTTCACTAGATTTGCAAGGTCAGAAAGGGCCTTCAGTGCTTCTGGTTTGTCCGCAAGCTTCTTGAAGAGTTCTGTGTGCTTTATGTTGTTCAGGAAGTCGGATGGTAGCTCTGCAGCCTGCCGTCGAGGCGTTGCAGACAAAAAACGGATCGGCACAGCAGACACTGGCTGCCGAAGCCTCCTTGTAGATGCAGCACGGAACGCAACACGCAGAGAATGTGACCCAAACATATTGATGAGAGGCTGATTCTAAGACTCAGAAGGTGGACTCCAGAAAGTAAGCGTGGGAACCGGTGCGCCTGTGAGGCGCGTCGCGTCGCGTCGTTTGACCTCCTCTCCACATGCACGACTACAACACTCGCACTGTGAATCCTACGACACGGATATGGATGACGACTACTATTCCATAGAATCCATTCTTGCAGAGAACCAGGTATGGACGAAGGCTTTCCTCGTCTCGACCTATGCTCACGTGGCTTTAGAAAGTTCAGTGTACTTTCAAAGTGGACATCCCGGACATGGGGCATCTTGATGGTGGCAAGGAACGGGATGTAAGTTGCACGTCTCTGGATACAACGATTGTACCATCATGAATATAAGAACTCATTCTGTTCGGTCGTAACAGATTAAGGCACAGAGCAAGATTCAACTTCCACTGTGGATGGCTTATATCCTCATCTATTCGTGAGTCCACGGAAAAGGCATAACCTTCCCATAGCACGTTCATACCTTTATTCAGTGACTACGCGGATTTTACAATCCCTGCGCCATTCAGCTCGCGCGTTCGGAATGCCCTCAACGCTGAAGCGAAGAGTGTGCGTCTGTCAGGGCTTGTAGGTGCAGGGGGGTTGTGGTATGGATTCGGGAAGATCGTCATGAAGTTGTGAGTCAAACTCGGCCATTTATTGGTGATATGAACTCCCAAGACATCTGAACTTCGGGATAGACTGGACGATGCATCAGCAAGCGAGATGTCAAGTGTGCTTACGAAGGTCAGAAGATCTGTATCCTACTCATGATGAAAATCCTGACCCGTACTAGACGTTTCGAAGTCGCCTTCTAGAAGTGATAGACCAGGCGCAACACTTTGCTGCATTGGGGCCCGCAGGTGGTGGACAGTCAGCCGATGTTGCGCAGACATTTAGAGAAGGGTTGGATGGCACCGAACGAGAATGTGAGTGCCTCGATAAGTCCATTCGCCCTGTCGTCATTGAAAAACATGATTGTTGCAGTGTTTTCGCTCGCGCAGGAAAGTACCAAGCGGACAAAACGATGGTATGAGTCAACCGATCGAGGAAGACGATGAATGAAGATGATGTTGCGGAATGCGGAAGGTATATATTTTGTGACCGTCGACCTCGCAGCCGCGTCAAGTCCGAGTCGCATCTCTATGACTATGACGCTTTCCTATCCTCCAGAGGAGGATTTGTGATGAGAGAAGCACTTTGTAGTTCGTATAAAAACCTATCATGCGTTACGACTTAGTCCACTTGATCGTGTAGAACCCAGTGTTGATTTACGCACCATTTAATGCTGACCCACAGTCCAATTTCTATTGAGATTAATACCAGAAGATGGATGTTTCCTGAAGTGATAACCGCCAAGGAAATGAGGATGAGGAGCAGGGACCCAAGCACGACGTCAAGAATAAGGAGAAAGGTTGGATTCAGAGATGATCCTGGAGTCAAGATGTTTGATATGAATGTGTCATTTTGCGGCGTATCAGGGCTAGACATGACCGGAGATCACAGATGAGGGTAGCTCGATGGCCAGGACCGTTAGTTTATGATAGTCTCCTGTGCTGACTTGAGTCAATTCGGAGCCAACGTTGTCAACACCGTGGAATTCAAAGTCATCCTAATCAGGACCCCAGGCCGAACTTCGCGCGATTGGTTTATCATACAGTAATCAACACGCCTTGCGAACGAACAGTAGCTACTTCCACAAAATAAACATATATTCCAATTACAGGGTTTTTGGAAAGTGTTGCTACACCTAATGTGTACATAGACAGCATAGCATCCGCAGCCTTTCGCCCGGTCGCAAACGCGACACCTACAACGCCAGACAACGTCCCGACACTAGGTTACTTCCAAGCGAACAAAGTGCCGTGGCGATCGTTTGATCCTCGCGCCCGGGAATCTCGTTGTTTCCATCTCCATGTAATCTCAGGAGCGCTATCGAGGGGATGAGTCCTACACAGAGACAATTTGTGTGTGAAAGGCGATTCTCCAGCCACGCTATTCAAGTGATCTGCATAGGACATTTTTCAATTAAGATAATCGAGTGAAAGGTGAACTCAAGATAAAACCTGATTCAAAAGTGCCCACCCACTCGAAATATTGCTGGACAACGGTGGTCACCGGCTCTCGCCGATACGACCTATTGGCTTCCTCATGCGCTTCATCGCCGGCTATCGCGGATATCATAGGACGTTTCAATATTGGGAGCTTCAGCTGATCCAGACGAGAGTCCATGAGAACGACAGCAACAGGAGTCCTGCGCGCATACGTTGAGCTATTCGGAATATGAAACTAGCCGCAAATCTTGGTACTCAGGTGTATGGGCTGACAAGGACACCGACAAGGCCATTGTGTGCGCGACCAAGGACATATAAGACGCGAGAGTATTGCTTGACCGTCGCCGTTGGTGAGAGTTCCAGGCATGTAGATATTGGAACGTACGGTTTCGAAGAGTATTCATCAAGAAAGTAAGCGGAGAGCTCATGAAGCACAATCAAAGATGGTGACAGTGGAAGGATAGTCCTTGGAGGAAGAGAGGGATCATCCGAAGCTTCAGACACCTTGAATGTGGATAGCAGGAAGGCAAGGTGCATAGGCGAAGGCGGGTAGCTGTAAGGAGAATTTACTCAAAACGTCAAAGACCATCTAGAAAACAGGGCACGAACAACATGCTGACATTTGACAAAGGTTGCACCACGGCGCCATATCCACCGCACTCATTCAGCCAGTCGTCATTGAATTCCCGAAGAGCAATTGATACTTTCTCACGAGACGGCGAGAGGACAATCCCCTGGTTATTTGGTTTATCTACGACATGGGTCAGGCATAGATGAACGAGAGCCGATGGATGATAAGGGCCTTTGATGGCCAACGTCGTGAAAGCTGGAAGAGTAGGACTTGGAAGAGGAAACAGGCTGGTCATGATAGCGCTGATTGACCTCTGCTTCACGCGCCACATTTCATAGACGCTGCGGCTACAGCCCAGATCCCAATCGTAACACTAATTATGATCTTTGCATTTTAAACATGATCCGGGAAACCGTGAAGTATATTCTGCGGACAGCATGTCTAGAAATACTTGGTGAAATCATACTCGCCGCTGTTCCCCGTCACTGCCTTCTTCGAAGGCTCGTTTGCGGGAGTTTTTTTGGTTGGTCTAAGTACAGCGTTTGATTTTGGCTTTGGCTTCTTGGAAGCACTCAATTTTGGTGACTTCAACGCAGATTTGAGAGTCGGCTGAGTCAATGGTGGAGGGGATGCTGCTTTTGAGGCCGCAGTATCCTTGAGGAAAGATGACTTGCCTGACCGTGAAGGGGCAGAGAAGGCGACTTTTTTCGATGGGCGAAGCGTAGTGGCGGCAAAGGCGCGTTTCCGTTTGCCGACAGGAGGAGCAAGTGCTTCAGCTTCTTCGGCATTTTCCTCATCCTCGTCCTCGTCCTCTTCTTCTTCTTCCTCATCCACTTCGGATATGGCGTCTGCCGTGTCCGCATCCCCGGCCTCGTCGTCCTCACCATCACTTTCGTCTAAACCGAGCCAAGGAGCCTCCAGCTCTACGACACGACTATCCACAACACCAGAAACTAGTCGTACTAGCCCGTGCGCCTTGCGCAGCTCCTTGCGGGTCTTCAGTTGTGACAAAATCGATTCATCCTTGGCATAGACGTCATCAAATGACTCAAGAGGAGTGGCACCAGAGACAGTATTGGGTGGGATGGCATAGCGCGGGAGCTTGCCAGTAGCCCAATCTCGGAGGACAATACGTGATGCGCCGGTCAGATCGAGGGCACCACCCTAGACAGCGGGCAATAGTGTCAGACACATCGGGAAAACGCGGGGCTGTACACAAAATCTACCTTCTTGACAAAACCATTTGCCCGTGCAACGCCAGACAAAAATGCATTCGTGTCTCCTTTGGTAAATGCTGAGAGGTTGTAAAAGACCATCAGGTCTTCCGTTTCCGCACGGGACACAATTTGCTTTACTGATGTTTAAGCTTAGCACAGCATCTGACACATGAAATTCGAAATGAATGTACTTGCTGGCGCCGGATCCTTCATACGATCAAGCCGACCCCTGCTCCTTAGTAGAATATCTTGTGCGCGAGCGCGCTCTGAGTCTTCAGAGCCATGTTCCGACGCATGCTGCCAGGAGAGGCCGGGAGTATCGATGAATTTGATGACCTTGCCGCCCAATTCTATTGACGTCTCCTGAGCAAAAGGGGTGGTGGTTGGTGCTTGTCGTGAAGTTGTCGATGGATACATAGGGAAAACAGAGTGTTTTATAAGGGAGTTAATGAACGCGCTCTTGCCTGTCTGAGATAAAGCAAGGCGTCAAGCGACAAAGTAAACAGGCAAGTTTTACATTAGAAACTCACATTTGTCGCCCCGACGACAGCAACCTCAAACGGGTCAGATCCAGTTTCGTTTTGCGACCACTTCTCTAGAAGAGCAAGGGTGGCTTCAACGCCCCACCCATCACTCGCAGGCTCTTTACCCTTGCCCTTTCTAGGAATGGTGACATCTAGAGCATTTGGAAGAAATGAGGAAGCCGCGCGGAAAAGCAGAGTGGGGTGATTTTGTCGTAGGTGCTTCGTCCATGAGGAGACAGGTTCCAATGCACATGTATCTAAGAATAAAAGCTTGGTTGGACACACGAGACCAAATTCAAATGTAACCACAACATACCGATCTTGGTCAACACCAGAAGTAACTTCCGGCCATTCTTGCTGGTCACGTATTCCTCCAGTTGCGCGCTCCTACACGCCATTGGATCGCGCGCATCGAGAACCTCAATCACTACATCCACCCGGTCAATCACGGATTTCAGATTTGGCAAGTCCGGGTTGATCAAAGTGGGAACATCGTCTTCATCCTGAGGAGGCGGAACGGCGGTAGGTTTCCCTTTCTCTTTGGTATGCATCCGCCCCTTTGCACCGAGGCTGGCAATACCATCGAATCCTGCTTGTGAACCTTCGTCCCCCGACCCCTCCTCCCCAGATTCAGGTTCCTCCTGTGCATGCTTTTTGACGACATTGGAATGCGTCTTCAGTGCCTTCTTCTCCTCCTTCCGACGCTCCTTCGCCTCCGCAGCCTGGATTGAGAGTCAAACGGGTTTCTACAAATTTCAGTACATGGAATCTCACCAGTCTACGTCCTTCAGCGATTTCGGCTAAGATCTGATCCTTGTAAGGGAAATTGTTGGGAATACCTGGATCTTTGGGAGTTTCTAGAGCGTACAATCGTACAATCAGCACTTTTATAATTTCCTCAGGTAGACCTGTACGCACTTGACTTCCATTGAGGACTTTTCTTTGCCGCCTTCTTTGCCTTCTTTTTGCTCTCAGCGACCTTATGCTTGAGCTTGGAGCGTTGGTTCGTCGACCCGCGTTTACTTGTCTCTTAAGAACGTGTCATTCGGGGTGAGAACAGTACACTGATTTAAAAACTTACTTTTTCTGATACGAGGCATTGGGAGTAAGGCAAGGAAGGCGAACGCGTTCTATTATTCAAGAGTCGGTGATATCAGTCACGTGTAAGGAAAACCCAGCAAATCTCTTTTTGGACTCGGGCTGTCGCACGCCTCTTCACAATATTCTTCTTCGTTCGTCACTTCAGTGCTTCAGTGCTTCAGTGTTAGTAGCCACGACAATGCGACTCAGAGAATGTTTGGCGTTCACTTGATCAATCACCCGTTTGCTCCTGAGACCCAGCGAAAAGTCGATATTGCGAAATCGAACGAGAACGAGCGAGATCGGACAAGTTGATGTAGTTAGAAAAGTCTCACTTTGATCGAACGTGAACGACTTTGAACGACTCTCATCACACGTAGCCGATGCTAGCCGATGCCTAAATTTGGCGTTGTGAGGTCGGCAAAAGATATAATAAGAAAGGCATGAGTTAGGATCGAACCCACAACCATCAGCACTGTTAAGAGCAAGGAACTTGAGGTGGAAAGGTAGACCGCTGCGCTAGGAGGGCTATGCTAATCAAAACAATAACCAATATATGACCACATTTTATCAACTTTAGTTCCTCGAACTTTTCCTTAGAAACTCAGAATACTGTACTTGTTAGTCACCTCTCACACATTGGATGTGGGCCATGTTGAGTATAAGGATGAACCTGTAACTAGTAGATAGCATGACCCACATCCAATGTGTGAGAAGTGACTAACAAGTACAGTATTCTGAGTTTCTAAGGAAAAGTTCGAGGAACTAAAGTTGATAAAATGTGGTCATATATTGGTTATTGTTTTGATTAGCATAGCCCTCCTAGCGCAGCGGTCTACCTTTCCACCTCAAGTTCCTTGCTCTTAACAGTGCTGATGGTTGTGGGTTCGATCCTAACTCATGCCTTTCTTATTATATCTTTTGCCGACCTCACAACGCCAAATTTAGGCATCGGCTAGCATCGGCTACGTGTGATGAGAGTCGTTCAAAGTCGTTCACGTTCGATCAAAGTGAGACTTTTCTAACTACATCAACTTGTCCGATCTCGCTCGTTCTCGTTCAATTTCGCAATATCGACTTTTCACTGGGCCTGAGACCTGACATGTCAAGGTTGAAAGTGTTTTAGTTGCGCCGCAGAAACAACAAAAAACAGTCATATTTCATAACGTAAATACATTCATTTGAGTGACATATGAGCGGCGGGATTACTACATAGATCAGCGTCCGCGCAAAGTCCACATCTCTAACGACCAATCAGGACAAGCACCGCACCTGCGCCCAAAACACGAGGGGTAAGTGTGGCAAAGGATCGCCAGAACTTGACAACCCAAAAGCACAGCAGCTCTAGAGAACAAGCACAGTCATCCAGATTAAGCGAACAAAGGCGCGGATCTTGCAATTAGACGCCAGCCACCACCGTCTTGCTGCGCGGGCCCGCAGTGGAGTCATCCTGGCAGCAGCATGCTGTGAGGGACATCAACATCCTAGTCACGGCGAACTCGCACACTTTCGCGCCTAGAAAGGCAGTCGCACACAGTCTTCATAGGCCTGGAACCCCAATTGGAAGACACTGAGGCCGATACCCACATTGAGTAGTGGAACTAGGATCTTGCACTTGCAACAAATCAAGAACCGTAGGAGGAGTACAGGAAACAGGCGCATATCGAAGGAAACTTGAAAACTTGTCTGTTTGTGCTATCGTATGGAGTCCGGGTCTGCAGGAGAAACACAAACAAGGCACTTGACAGCGACTTGTGCTTGAACATGCTTTGACACTCTTCATCGCTTGAAACTTTGACGCCCGCCAGCGACTTCACCTAGGCCCGCCCTAATTATCTGAAAACCAACCTAGATGGCGGCGCAAGCACGTCCCTTCACCAACGACCGCTGTCGCCTCCACCATTGACTGGAGCCGGATGGTCGTAGTCGCGTCCGCCGCGAGCAGGGCTGCTGCCACGAGGAGGACTTCTGGAATAACTCCTTCGTCGACGGTACTCGGGGGAGTAGCGGCCACCTCGGGAAGGGGGAGGGCTTCGGCGGTCTCGCCAGTCCCTGTTATCGCGGCCATACGGGTCCCGTTCCCTGTCGCGGTCGTTGCCACCGCCACGTCGGTGTGAGTCACGGTCGCGGTCAGGTCGGTCTCGGAGAGAATCGCGACCCGAGTCACGGCCATAATAAGAATCGCGACCGGTAGAACGGCGATGACCCATATACTCTCCAGGAGTCGGCGCATGAGGTCTATCGGTGACCGAGTAGTCAACGCGGATGCGGCGTCCATTGAGGTCCTGGGGTGGTGAATTAGTCGGATAGTACATATTACGATCATCACAACTTACAACACCGTTCAACTCTTGGATGCATCGTCCAGCATCTTCAACTGTGCTCATTTTGATGAAACCAAAGCCTCTGGAGCGGTCAGACTGCTGGGATAATGAGCCAAGGGATCTCCAAAGTTTGAGGTTGTCTCACCCTTTGATCATAGACTATAGTAACCTTCTCAACGCGACCAAACCTGCTGAATTCATCGTCCAGATCACGTTCAGTCGTACGGATGCTAAGACCAAAGACCCCGAGAACGGCGGAGGGATTGGGAGCCTATTATGTTATTAGAGCGCTGGCTTAAAAAAAAGAGGCAGAGCATACAATGGGAGCATGAGACGGTCTCCTGGGAGCAGGAGATGGCCTTCGGAAAGCAGGAGGAGGGCTACGAAACCCACCGCTGCGGGCTGGGCTGCGGGAACGAGAGCGACCTCTGGCAGGCGGAGCTGGGGCGTCAGCGCCTGTTGTTGCGACGGCAGGCGGAGGAGCGTTGTAGGCGTCAGAGTAAGGGTCAACGGGGGGAGCAGGTTCGTTATACTGGATATGAGAGTCCATGTTAGTGCAGTTACGATGAAAAGAGCAACGGCGACGACGAGGGAGGCACCAAAGGGGGTACACGCACCATGGTCGTGGTCGAGGGCGAAGTTTGTTCAAGTTTGTGGCGATGCGGCCTAAAATTGAAAGCCCGCGATGTCAAACTCAAAGGTAAGCAACTGCACAGTTCTTCAGCCTCAGCGCACAGCACCAACAACTGCAAACAGACTTTCGGCAAGACCAAGATGGTGAGCCCGTCGTCGTCGCCGGTGTCGAAATTTATATCTAATATTCGTCTACTATCCAGGGTATCGACATCGCCAAGCACCATGTCAGGAAGGGCAACCGTACGGCCCCCGTGAGCGAGGATCCTTATCTCCTCTTGCTCGTGAAGGTATGTTTCTGCTGCTAAGTCTTCCTCCGAGAATTATCACTAAGGACCTATCCAGCTTTACCGCTTCCTCGCCCGCCGCACGGACTCCAAGTTCAACAAGGTCTCCGATTACTACAATATCTCTGCGCTGCAATGTTAACCATTCTCATCAGGCGATCCTCCACCGCCTTTTCCTTTCCAAGATCAACCGACCCCCACTCTCTCTCTCTCGCATCTCCAAGGAGACTGCGAACGTCGAGGACCGCTCATCAAAAATCATCGTCCAGGTCGGCACCGTTACCGATGACGTTCGTCTGCAGGAGGTCCCCAAACTCTCCATCGCCGCTCTCCGGTTCACCCAGGCCGCTAAGGAACGGATCCTTAAGGCTGGCGGTGAGGTCCTTACCTTGGACCAGCTCGCTCTACGAGCACCAACAGGCTCCAACACTGTCCTCTTGAGGGGTAAGAGGAATACGCGTGAGGCTGTCAAGCACTTCGGCATGGGACCCCACAAGAACAAGAAACCATACACCCTGTCCAAGGGTCGCAAGGTGCGTGACATATTCTTAAATCACGCGCAAGTTTGGTCTCATTACCTCTATTCTAGTTCGAACGCGCTCGTGGTCGCCGAAAGTCTCGTGGCTTCAAGGTCTAGACGACCTACAAAACCGACGTCGAGTCGGTACATGGGCATGTGGGGCCGAGAGGTTGCTGTATGCGATATGGGCCTTGTCTTTCTCCGCGTTATATACTATCATGAGCTCAAGCAATCTGTATGCATTACGATCACTCGGACGCCCATCTCGCGGTATCATCTTATTCGCGTTGTTATCGTCGATGAAGATGACAAGAGCGACACAGAACCTCTTTGATTGTATCCAATGACAAGCGAATGTGACGAGATTGCCACTCCTCTCCTAGTCCGCACTCTAAATCAGTCTAAACGCTTTTCCAGCTCTCGAACGGCCGGATCTATAGGAGGCACGAAGGGAGGTGAGAGGTAGTCCACCGTGTCCGACGATGAGAACGTGAGTGAGGATGTTCGTTGTGCTCGCTTGACCTGAATACCCTTCAGCCACCTTCCTCCGCCGGCATAGAAGAATACCAGGCAAGATCCAACCATACAGTGCCCGTACCACCATAGACGAGTCCAGGCTTGAGTGGATTCCTGAACGTGGAGGAGCATGAAAGGTATCGTGGCATAATTGACTAATAGAATGCACACTGCAATGCCAGAGAGGTCATAAAGTCGTTTGATAGTGGTTGGCCGATCTTCTGGGAGTGCCTTCTTCGTCGGAGCGCCGTTAGGTATAGAGGTATGCTGCCGAGTTTGAGCGGGAACGGCGAGGACGAGAGGACGAATATTTGCACGGCAGAGCCGTCCAGCCGTTGTGATGAACCCTCCGAGAAGGAAGGTCATGTAATAACCACCCGCGACGCCGTGCTATCAGGGTATTATGAGTTCTGCTCTTAGACCGAGACCGAAAACACTCGAGTTAGATGGACCGTCACTCACCCAGAATGCGCTCGTGGCGAACGTGATCATGCTGCTCCTGAAACCGGGCTTCTTGCCCTTCGGCGTGACCCTCTTGTATACGCACTCGCGCAACCATACATTGGTCTTCATGTTCCATGAATCCAGGAGGATTTTGAAGTTTGGTGGGAACTCGATCAACCCAATCTTGACGTTGGCTGCACCTTCCCAGAGTGACTTGCCCGATGGGCTATAGCCAGTGAAGCCCAGGCCCGTGAGGATACTCGCACCCTCAGTAAGAGTCCATACACCGTAGTACTTCGTTCGCTCAATGAATCCGCAGAATTGGATGTAGAAGATCCTAATTTCGATGAACAAAAAAGGTGAGATGGAGAGAAGATGTCTGATTTACCTATATAATATGTTCTGCTTGAGGAACCAGTCCGTGATGGCGATGCCGTAGTTGAACGAGGAAGAGAAAGTCGTGTACAGCCCTAGGAAGATTAGACCAAATAGAGCCTTCCTATACGCGACACGTTTACGGCCACGAGGAATCGCTCTTCTGCTTTTGCTACGTGCGTCCGTCGTCTTGTCTTCATACGCTCTGAACAACGTTTCGTTGACCAAAGACGTGTAAGCGGCGTACTCGAGATAAGGACCGACAAGGACTCCGGGGAAATAGAACCTGGAATAAATCATGAGCTTCGTGCCCCGGCGTTCGGAATATGGGTGGGGCCCTACGCGTATCCCAGAAACTCTAGCAATGAAGGGAACTGAGCCACCCTCATTTGCAGCTGCCATTTGTCTAAATCCTGGCAAAGGCCGTAAGTCAACGAGGCAGAACATGAGTGTCGCAGCGTTACGTACCTCCGCGCGTCGCCGTCCGTCCCACACATTCCATGCGAAGGTCGTCAACTTCATGACGAGGACCATTTGAGGACCCGTGATTTCGAAAGTCTCATAGCCGGTGGCAGACATTGCTCGAAGGACATGACTAGATAATGAATAAGAGCGATGAACCTGCCTCGGATGAATCAAAGACGCACTTTACTGTCAAATGCCCCATTAATCCCCTGGCAGTCACCAGTGAATTAGCATCATCATGAGGATATAACGAGCAGATGGGATAACTTCAGACTCACGTAAACACAATCCAAGGCATAAGATGACCTTTCACTCTTGCAGCCACGAAGTATGTAGCCAAGACATCACCCAGCAGCTGGAGGAACGCAGACTTGAGATTCAAGACCGGAATAAAATAGAACACGGCAATTGATAGATTGAATAGATGTTTGAGTGCAGGCCGTGACGAGGGTATGCGAATGAAAACACTTCCGAGGGGGTATGAGACCAAAAGACAAGTGATCAGCTGTAAACGATGTATGGCGTGTTAACTGAGGTGGCTCGGCGGCTGCATGGTATTCTTGACTTACCTTGACTTGGTCTGCGGACGCGCCTACCGAGGCTGCCAGTGGGTCGAAAAGGAAATCCATTGGGGAGTCGCGAGCTACGGCATGGGACCGTTGTTGGGGTGCAAGTACAAAAGCATCTGTCACTGCCGCCCACCGGCAATGGCCGGCTGCAATCACAAATCCGAAGGTCAAATGGGTGATCTCAAAAGTTCACAACCTTCATGATGCACAGGGAACACCATCGTCATTTGATGTTAAATAATACTGGTATCTTTGATACATGTTCAAAGACCAAAAAGGTCCACGAGAGACCGATAAATATTCAGAGCGAGAGATATATAACAAAACGTGAAATCGTGATGAGGGGACTCTTCCAACTAAACTTGCGCGACTCCATGGGAGGGTGACGAATAGTTGACCTGCATGGGGACATAATTGGGCGTCGTAGAAGTAGTGGGTTGCGGCGTTGGCGGAGCGTAGTGTTGTTCCATGGGGGTACCGTCGATAGGGCCTTTCGGGGCCGGGTGAGCAAGGAAAGAGGCATCTCGGACGGTCGTTGTCCACGAGTTGTTTCCTCGGCTCTGACCGATGAAGGCGAATACAATGAGGGTTCCGGTATAACCCATCACTGTCATGCGTGTTAACAACATGGATGGACCGAAGCAGAGTCAACCTTACGGATGAGCCACGTCAAGAATGAAAACGCTTCAATGGCTTTGAACTCGCCGCATACGAGTGAAGCAGTCGCTGTGACGACTCATCAGTTTATGTACCTCCATAAAGCGGGAATGCATACGATTGACGAAGCTGCAATCGGATCCAATGAACACCAAGCTGTCGGTGTATGCGGCATAAGCACCTGTGGATAGCCACAGAACCCACAGAATGCCTTCAGGGACAAATACGGGTCAGGTCCAGCACAGTAGAGTATGCTGCCATATGAAAACATACTGAGCCAGACAGCTTCTACTACGACCCGCGAGGTGAACGCTCCTCGTCGGTAAGCATCGATCACGACCCTGTATAGTTTGTCAGTTCATTGAAACGGGATTCGTCCGTCAAACGAAACTGACATAGGGATGAGAGTGACGAAGGTAAGGACGGCTGTCGCCACGCCCAGGGCGCTGAAATTCCAGTAAAGGCCAGCATTGGATTCCGTGATGGAAACCAAATCAGCAGCCAGGCCGAGGACAATCGTGGCGAACACGATTGAAATGACTGAACACTCGATATGAGAAACAATAGGTGCGTGAAAACAAGTCACGGCCTACCAAGCACAACAAGGCGCGCTGTGGAAAAAAGGCCCATGGCGAAGACGTGAAGAATTGGGGGGAGGTGGAAGAGGGTCGTCTGCGGCCGTCATCTTATGAGGACTGGCTTTAAGTGAGCTTGACAGACGAAGGAACGTGTTGGACCTGAGTCTAACATGAGATGCGATTTCAATAGGCCAAGGAACAAATAAATGGCTAGGCCACGCACGTGATGCCGCATCCCAATCCGGGAAAATGCAACTCAACTCAACGAACAACCAGGTCGATCGATCGCTCCCGTCCCTCGACAGTCCTCGACCTCCCTCGATGTTCGATTATGAAACCCTGAACCCGATGTTTTGCTACCGACTCGCATTGTCGCCTGCTCGCGCCTTTGCCTACTAGTAGAGTGCAGGGGTCAACTCTCGTTCTGCGAGTCAGTTTAATTTACCTGTTAATTCGGGAGGGCACTTGTCTTAGCCGCCGTCAAGGTTACCTGGCTTTAGCGATGTCAAAAAGTTGATGGGACTGTCATGAGCGCCTTAGAGCTGGACTCGCTGCTTATCAGCTTACAGCTACCCATTGGCGATCGTGTAGTATAGTTCCGCGCTGTATAAACGTCGACAATGAGTATACGACCAGGGTGAGAACAGTCGTCGACAATCTCTGTGACCGTAGCCTCACCAACGAACAAGCGAACAAGGTCAGTAGATTGATTGATTGATTGCTATCACGTCGGAGAACAGAAGAACAAGTCGAGTTAAATGAATTGACTCGTGGCTTGGTACTTACGAATGAACAAGGCACCAACGTCGGACAATGATAGACAGAGGACGTGATTGAGCGGGCGGGACAGCCTTACACTGCCTATCAAACAAGATCAGTGCAATGCAGGAACATTGGGCTTCAGGACATCAGAGAGGCGGTTGCTCACGTCGACGTTGAGCTACAAAGCCACGGTAAGTGCCAGGTTGAAGAAAACCACAATGCATTACATCATGGCAGAAACGGTATTTACAAACCAACCACCCGATGCGTACAGAAAAGACCAAAAAGAATAAATAGGACGAACCGCGGCATCATCGTAGGGCCTGAACAGACACTGGCTACGTACGAGGCAATCCGAGGTGACCAAAAGGCGCGCGTGTGTCATTTCCTAACGTATCACGATACAACTGGCTCTGTGACAACGAATTCACGCTTGCCATCCGGCACCGACAGACCCAACAACTTCCAATCGAACCAGCTGGCAAAAAGGGACGCAGTCGAAACTGGAGTCTGCTCCGCGTCTGTGTGGAAGGAGACGTCGTTCATGGTATTGAACTCGAGGTGTGGGTTGTGCGTTGCGAGGCGGTGGGTGAGCAGATGGCATGCCAGTATGAAGAACAATAACAGGAGGATGAGAGTCGTGCGAGCCTTGAGCTGCTTGGGGGCCGTAAACGATGTCACGCGTTCGCGAAGAGAGGCTTTAGGAGGTGCCAAGAAGGCGATAGAGAAGTCGCCAGAAGAGGACGGTGAGGACGGGGTCACGATGATGGCCGGGAGGGGCGACTTCTCACTGACGTCGGAGAGTGAAAGGTCTGGTGGTACAAGACAGGGATCAATCAGTGGCGGACCAATGGTCGCTTTGGGCCCTGGCTACTCACCAAGGGGCTTCGGAATCAGGATAAAATCCCTGTGCTGTGGCAGACGGTGACGACGGGGAGCTGCATCATGATTGAACACGCTCAGGACGGGACAGTAGACAGGCTGGCAGTATGTAGTCACTCACAATGAGGAGCCATTGATGTGATCGTGTGCGATGGTACTATGAAGGTGAAGTCTAGGTATGGTATGATACTGTCTCGCTTTTGGCTGCTTGAGGTTGAACGGCAGACGGGAGACGCGGGGGATCGAAAGAGTGTTGTATAAAGAATGTGGTGGTGAGGCGCGAGGCTCGACTAGAAATGCAAGAGCAGCCGCAGACACTGAAGTGCGACGCAGGGGAGAAGAGAGACGAAGGAGGTGGTTTTGAATAGAGAGCGGCGACGAGCCTAGACCACGGTGCGGCGGCTTCTGCTTAGCTCAGCAGCGAAAGAGGGGCGCATTTCCCGGTTAGGAAGGTGCGTGCGCACGATGGCTCTCACCGAATCTTCTTCCTTCTCAGGCAGCGATCGCCCGCTCCGGTCGACGCAGCTGCCCTGTGAGGCCTATGTCCTTGCCCTCGCAGCCCTCCCAGACACCTACGCCGCAGCCGCGTCCGCCCCTTCAAGCCAGATACACATCTTTGACAAAGCGTCGCTGCGTGATGTCCTGACCCTGAGCGGCCACGACGGAGGAATCACCCATCTTCGTGCCGTCGACTCCGTCGCTGGGACCAATCGCCGCGTCCTCGTCTCTTCTGGAAGAGATGCATCTGTCAAAGTCTGGGACGATCGCACGCGCTCCCCTCCCCTCCAGAGTGAGTCCGCTCCCCAAGCATGCCTCCCGGTCGCGTTTTGACAGCTGAGAAGACGCTCTGATCCTTTCCCAGTGAGACCCGCGGGAACGCCCTCCGCACTGCTTTCTTGTGATGTGTCGCAAGATGGCATGCTGGTCGCTGCCGGCACGCTCCTGCAAAATGACGACGCCCTGATCCACTACTGGTCCGTAATCGGTCGATGGCAACTACCGGTTCCGTGCTCACCTGCCTTCTCCTCAGGGACCCGCGGAACCCTGCTGCCCCTTTGCGCTCTCATTCGTCGACGCACTCTGACGACATCACCGCCGTGCACTTCTTGCGCCCGTCGTGGCGCTCTCCTTCGCCCGATCACAGAATCATCCTGTCTTGCTCCTCAGATGGCCTGGTCAGCACCTCCAATGCCGACGAAGATGATGAGGACGAGGCTGTTATGCATGTCGCCAACTGGGGATGTAGTATCTCCCAAGCTGGCTGGATCACGCAGAATAATTCACCTCCTCGTGTTTGGGCGAGTAGTGACATGGAGACTTTCAGCACATGGTCTGATGAGGTTTGTGGTGACCAACGTGCATCCAGATTTTGACCGCTCTGACGTGATTTCGCTGCAGCTCCAAATCGCACACGACCTCGATATCCGTGTTCCATCCGTCCATAGTCAACAGCGAACGTGGGTGACGGACTATCTCGTCGGCTGTCATATGTCGAGCGAGAGCGGACTGGGCGTCTTTGTCGGTTCCAACGAGTAAATCCTCCAAGATGATGCCTTACGACAGTGGCTGACATTATCCATCAGAGGAGACATCGCACTCCTAAGAAACGCAGACTATGCCGACGGGGCCGCGCCATGGTCTTTAGAGCGTATATGGGCAAATGGACACACTGGCGTCGTGCGATCGATGCTTTGGGACGAACAAGTTAGTCACCCAATATCTGCGTTTGCCTTCCGGCACTGACTTCTCGAACCCTAGCATAACGTCCTCGTGACTGGCGGAGAGGATTCCAGAATACGCACATGGTCATGCCCCCCGCTGCCTAGAGAGCACGATGGATCGATGGATGCAGAGTCGACTAGCACTTCTTCTCGCAAGAGGGACTTTGATGAAGACATAGAAATGGGCTCTCCAACGAATGCGAGTCCCTGTCCCCGCTGTCCAGTACGACTCATCGCTAACGCTCAGTTGATCAACAGGCATCAAAAAAAGCTCGGCGTCAGCCACACTGAGTACAGTTCTCTGGAGAATGCCGTTCAAAAGTAGAACCAAAAGAGTCGCATCGTACCGGTCATCTGTAGGGAAGATGTCCGGCTATATGTACGCGTGCACCGCATCTTATATCGTTAGAATTTGCCAGGTTGAGACGATGTATGCGTGATCGTTATTTATATTCACGGAGTGGTCTCAAGTTGAGCATGGAAGTCGGATGGATTAACCATGGATCAATAGAACACGACGACTCCTTGTGGACAGTCCAGCCAGCTTACTTGCCAATACAAAAGTCTCGGAACACGACGTCCAAGATGTCCTCCACGTCGATCAGACCTGAGATTTTACCCACCGCTTGCGCAGCATAGCGTAGCTCTTCGGCGCCTAGAACTATATCCTCGGCGGCTTCAGAGATCGATACGGTTAAGCCCGTACGCATGTCAAAGAAGGCACGACTCACATGCTTCCAGGAAAGCATCCAGGAAGAGAAGGGCAGATTCTAGATGTGTGCGGTGGCGGGCGTGCGTTATCAGCGGTGCGTTGAGGGTGCCCTGATCCTCTAGGAGGTTATAGCTATAGGGGAAAAGGGGATCAGAAGCCGTGTGCGCTTTCGAGAAGTGGCTGGCTCGTACCGTGTCTGCAGCGCTGTCGCGAAGCCCTGTAGAAAGTCCGTCGTACCTTCACCATTGGCCAGACTTGCTGTCCATTGAGGTGTATCAGGGAAAGTCTCCCGGATGACAGTTTCGACTGCTTTCAATGTGGACGGTGGCACGAGATCCGACTTGTTAAGTAGGATGTATGCGCTCTTTTCGAGGAGCGATGTGATGTGGGCGGAGATCGTAGGACCAGATGGAGAGTCTTGTATGATGTCGGGGAGCGAGAGAACGAGTAATGACACGTCTGCCTGTCGGACACTGATGAAGGGGGCGACGCTTTTGGTAAACATCACAAGCATATTCTGGTCGACTCACGCGTCTTCCGCCCTGCGGACTCCGATGGCCTCCACGACGTCTTCCGTTTTCCGCAGCCCGGCGGTATCAGCCACGATGACAAGGAGCCCTCCGATGTCGAGCTCGAGCTCGAGGACATCGCGCGTGGTGCCGGGAATATGGGTCACGATTGCCGCCTCACGCTGTGCTATTCTATCGTTGTGGATGCCATGTAAAGATGCTATCAAAAAGGGGCTGCGCACCGAAGAAATTCAGGAGGCTGCTTTTTCCTGCGTTGGGAGGCCCGAATATCGCCAAACGGACACCGGAGCGCACGATCTCCCCACGGCGATTGTCCGACAGGATGGCCTTGATCCTGCCGCGCAGGCGTTCCGCTCTGGTTCTAGCTGAATGCGGACGCGATGAGCGCGCATGTCGCGGATTCATGTCGCGCAACAGGGAAACGGCGCAGACCTTGCTCGAAGACGCCCTCTTCGATCTCTTCGCCCTCCCCGAAATCGATCAGCGCCTCGACCAGAGCGAGGCACTTGATGATTTCCTGTCTCAATTCTTCAAATCGGACCCTCGCGGTTCCCTACATGTCCGCGCGTCGAACAAGAAAAAAGGAAACAGGTGTTTTGTATTGAAATTCTGGACGTTCAGACAAAGAACGGCGTTCCTACCTACCCCCACCGCTCTCAGCGCTGCCTTGCGCTGGCCGTCGGTCTCGGCATCAATAAGGTCCTTCAAACCCTCGACCTGCGTCAGGTCGAGTCGCCCGCCTTCGAAGGCGCGGCGCGTGAACTCGCCCGGTTCAGCGAGGCGACAGAAGGGCAAGCGGGAGATGGCGGAAAGGACGGCGGATATGATAGCGCGCCCGGAGTGGATGTGTAGTTCAACGACGTCTTCTGTTGTAAATGAGCGTGGCCCTGGAGCGGAAGAACGGTTTGATGCCTGACTCTGTTCAGAGAGACAATGTGATGCAAATACCTTTGAAGAATACCACAAGACCGTCGTCGAGCACTTCCTCGGTCAGAGGATCGACCAATCGGCACCTTTCCATCTTCCATGGCACGGGTACCCTCCTTTTCTTTCCCTCCTTTGTACCGCTTAGGGTTCTCACCATTTGTGCCCACACTTCCATGGCATCTGGACCTGAGATTCTGACCACAGCCACGCCAGCTTTGCCAGGCGGTGTCGAGAGCGCGTAGATCGTCCTGCGCTGGGCGTCTGATAAGACCAGTTCCTCTGAGTTCATGTCCGAAGAACGATTATGTGTGGAAGACACAGCATATGTCCGCGAGTTATATCTTGGAGTGCGGTGCAAGCTGAGCGCTCGTGGCCGCATCTTTCGACGCGTTTCGGGAGTCTCCAAGGTCCTAGAAGCAAGCAATGAGAACATCCTCCTTCTATACGGCAGACCATAGCTGTATGACCGGGCGCAGGATGCGCGTGTGATGGAGAGCATGTTGAACCCTCGCAGGCGCTGACGATGAAGTCAGGGCTAGTCAGGGGAATAGAAGCACTCGCCGTTTCCCACGATGGCATATACTATCTTGCTCCATCCCCTCTGCACCATCCTTGCTCACGTCCCCATTCCCTCGTCTTTCTGCTCAGCTGACATCCACATTGTTCTCAACTCGTAAATCTCAGCGCTGACACCATGGGTCAATCACGTCCGTATCATCGCCATTTATTTCCTTTCGTCTTGGCACTTACGCTGACTCGGCGTGTCCCGATGGATAGCGTCTCAGTTTATGGAGGACATGGAAAAACGGTCCAACTGTGCGTCTTGCGCGGATCCCCTCAAAATGCTTACCCGCGATTACAGAGCTTGATGTGGCTCACCTGTTCTCGTCCAGTCAATGCTAACGAGTTGGAACGACTCAAGAAGCGGTTCATGAAGCTCGATGCGTGCGTACGCGTCTCGTCCGTTCCGCCGACGCCTTGTATCTCATTTTATGCGTTCACGCATGGTCCGACGATGCATACACAAATACGCCAACTTTGCCACCCGGACGCAGTGACGGTTCCGGATCGATCGACCGCGACGAGTTCTTGCAGATTCCGCAGATCGCAAACAACCCGCTCGCATCGCGAATGATAGCCATCTTCGACGAGGAGTGCGTCTCCTCATAAGTGCGACTGTTCTTTCAGTTCTGACTCAATTGTCTGCGTGATCCGTCTGCCGTCGCAGTGGCGGTGGCACTGTTGATTTCCAGGAGTTCGTCGGGGGCTTGAGCGCGTTCAGCAGTCGAGGAGGCCGAGAAGAGAAACTTCGATGTCAGTGCGAACCTCTTCTCACGGCCGCCTCACCCGTAAGCCTATTTATTCACACCGTCCATTCTAGTTGCGTTCAAGGTCTATGACATGGACCGGGACAATTTCATCTCCAATGGGGAGTTGTTTTTGGTCCTGAAAATGATGGTCGGGAACAATCTCAAGGTACGCACGCCGCCGATGCAGTGGCCCATACCACGCAGCGAGGCATTGATCGATCGACCCGTACGCAGGACGCACAACTGCAAGAGATCGTCGACAAGACAATAATGGAGGCCGACAAGGACGGTGACGGCAAGCTCAGCTTTGAGGAGTTCACACAGATGGTCTCCAACACGGTGCGCGCCTCTTCTCCCCATCCTCGCCGATCAATGATTGATCGCGACCCCCGCTCGATGTTACAGGACATCGTGAAGCAGATGACGCTCGAGGATCTCTTCTGATGTATCTCCTCCTTCTCTATACCTTGGGTCACCGCTTTCCTTGTTCTGCATCTCCCTCTTACACCCGTCCGCTCGCCCGCTCGCCGTCATACCCCGCATTCCATTCCTACGTTCTGCCACGGTCTTAATCGATGCACGCATATGAAGAAATGTAATACCGAACACTGTACCAGCTGCGCTATCACGATTCACGACTTTTGCATTCTTGGCTTCGGGACCGCCCCAAGCCTGGGCCACCTTGTTCCCGTGTAGACTGCATCGCTGCCGAATCCGCCGACAGGTACCCGTGGACACTGGTCGGAGCTTGATCACGACAAGGCGCCCATCAGAAACACTGCGAAACCATTCACGCATCATTCACACAACGCCCAATCAAATACAGGGGTGTTTCTATTCTCTCTCTCAATTACAAACAACAACGATGCAGTGGAGTACAAGGAAGTAATACGGGGACAATGTAGTGTCAAAACAAATGCGAGGCGATCAGATGTATGTACGGTCGACGGAATGCAGGCGTCAAAAAAAACATATCACGGGTGGGACGGGAAGCTGGCTAACCACTGATGAATGGAGCGGTGTGGAATCGATCAACTCGAGTTCGTTCCATCGCTAAGCATGAACGAGGCTACTGCGGGCATAAAGATAACGGGCCAGTGTCATGATAGGGTTAACGCATGCGGAGGCGAGTCTGAGGGGAAAGGGCGAGGGGCTCCTAGAAAAATCGGGCCTGAGCGCCGGCGGAGTGCAAGATGCGTGCGGTGGCGTCGATAGTGTGCGTGGGGTAGTGGTAGCCGATAATAGTCACAGGGACGAGGTGCGGAAGCCGGGTATGGTGAATCACGGTGACGGAGGCGAGAGAAGAAACTTAGGGATCAGGGGTTTCTATCTGTCGAACATACCGGGCGCGCCTGCTAGGAGGGATCTCGTGTCTACCTCCATGCCCATGGCATGAATGGGTTGCGACTGAGAAGCCGCTTTGAGGAAGGGGGAGTTGTGCGAGGGCCTGGCGGCCTGTGCAAAAAAGGATGTGGAGGGGGTGTGGTGCTGGGAAGCCTGCACGACTGCGACATAAAACGGATCGGTGTTGGTGAAGAGCGACTGGTCGTAGAGTGCGGGGGAGGATGCATATGTGGGGGAGGGAAATGCATGCGCCACGGAGGGCGAACGATGCCTGAATGAAGGGTTGGGAGACAGAGGCTGTGCGTAGACCCGCTGGGACATGGCCGAGGAGGACTGTCCGAGGATATCCTCGACCATGCGCTCGTCCTCGACGTCTTCCAGATCTGTCTCCCGGATGTCATCGGCCATTCGGGACGGGGTGATGCTCACGACGCTGCTGCTGCGTCGGCGGCTGCCGCTGTCCCAATAGAAGCTGGAGGTCGGGGTGCGGGCGGTCGGGGTGTTGCAAGGTTGTGGCTGGCCTGCCCTGCGAGGGATTTGTTGTGACGGTGAGGAATGGGAATGTGCGAAGAGGCTCTGTGCGAGCTGGGCCTGAGGATGGAGAAGAAGATAAATTAGAGGCTAATTTGGCAGGGGCGGGAGAGGGAAGGACGAACCTGAAGGGCGGCGAGATCGATTGCTTCCTGGCCGATGTGGCTGGCGTTGAAAGAGTTGACGAGGTCGTCGACGGCGAAGCTCATTTGTGCGGGGAGTGGCGGGGCAGACGGGGCTATGTGGAGGGGGCGAGGAACGGTGCAGCAAGCTTTATAGCTCGACCGAATGCGGACGACCCCTGGCCCGCCTGAGCTCGGCATGTGTCGGCCCGGCTTTCTCCCCCGCATCTCCTGCCAGCCTCAGCCTCGACGTCACCGAGCTCACTCCGTGTCCAGGCGTGTCTCTCGTCTCCATCCAGGCCAGCCGCGACGGCCGCGAGCAACCCTCCCCAGTCCTCGCTCGCCGAACCGTCGCCCCTTTCGGTCCTTTCCATGCGTTCCCACCCGTCTTCTCTTCCTCGTCCCCCTCTAGCACCGTGCTCGTCCGTGCCGTTGGATCGTCGCTCCCACCCACCTTATCTATATACTACGCATCCTTCCACCACCACGCGTCCCGCCTCACCCAGGGCCCACGCCAGGCCGAACGGATGCACCGTGCTTCCAGGCTCCGGATGGCCACTCTCGCTCGAGCGAAACTCCACAGTCCGTGTACGGACCCGATGTGCCATCCATCATCGTCGTAGACGCCTCTCGGGCGTCATAACGTGGTCCCCGGCGCTGGCCGTTTCCCCACACTCGATCTCTCCGGGTCTTGGTCTTCTTCGCTTCGTGTGTTCTTTCACTGGTCCCGTCGTCTTGTCACGCCATTCCGCCGTTTCCATTCCTCATGATTTTGCGTGCTATCGTCCCTTTGTCCTCCAGCATCGAGAGCCCGTCGCAGACATGCTCCCTGCACCGAATAAATAACACATGATTCTTCGAGCACAGATAATGAATTGGTCCAAATCTCCCAGATCTGAGATGTCGGCAGCGCACAAAGTCATGTGATGCGTGCCTGCCATATCCGTCTACGCGGGTTTCCTCTTCTAGCCTCTTCTCTAAACATCCCACACGCGATGAATGCGACACTTCTGAGTATGCCCACCTTCGCCGCCGTCGCAGAACCCACCGTCTGATCACCGCATGGACGTCCTGTAGATCCGTTTAACATCACATACCCGACCGCTGTCCAGACTTCTCTCCCCGCACAGGCCTGCCTCGCGCGGTTCGACCCTTCAGGAAGATATATAGCAGCAGGGCGCAGCACAGGGATGGCAGTAGTATGGGACCTGGAGACGCGTGCAATCGTGAGATGGCTTGAGGGACACGTCAAGGGCATCACCAACATCGAGTGCGTGCTTTTCGCCTGAGTGAGTCGTCGCGTCCGTGTTCACCTGCGAACCTGACGCTGGAACCCTGCACAGCTGGTCGCGGAACTCGAGGTTCGTGCTGACGAGCTCGTTTGACTGGAACGTTATCATCTGGGACCTGGCAGCGGACATGGATCCTCCGCAACGACACGCCACGATCCGCTTCGATGCTCCAGTGAGCTCTGCACACTTTCATCCACGCAACTGGTTCGTGCCATGTCACCACCCACCATCTCATGGTTGTGATCCGCTGACTCTGGATCAGTCAAATCGTACTGGTCCTGTTGACCACAGGTGACGCGTACCTTGTCGACCTGAGAGAGAAACACAGAGGCCGTGTCGAGCTTTACGAAGTACAGGACGAAAGCGACGAGGAAGCGCAGATCGCGGCTTCGAGGTAAATGAGATAATTTAGACGTGTGTTTTGAGTGTTGAACTCAATGCACACCCTCTCTCTAGGTCTGCTATGACCGTGGCTCGTTTTGACCCTTCAGGTAAACACATATTCATTGGCACCTCCGTCGGCTCCATTCTGGTATTCAATACACGGACAAAATCAGTGCGCGTTCATTCATGCATGTCTTATGTGTATCAAACGAGCTGAATGGTCGCCCCAGATGGTCGCCCGGCACAAAATCGCGGGCGCTGGCATCATGCGGGGGCTCGACTTTGCAAAATCAGGCCGGTAAAGTAACCCCTCTCGCTCGAGTTCGCGACTGACTTGACTCATCACGGGCACAAATCCTCACGTAGGCGCCTCGTCACAAACTCGTCCGACCGGACGTTGCGGCAGTTCAACCTGCCGGCGTACTTGCCCCCGAACGCGGACCGAGAATACATCGAGCAGGATCTCGAACCCTCGCATCGCTTCAACGATCCCATCAGTCGCACGTCCTGGCACGGCATGTCCTTCAGCCCTGATGGAGAATGGCTTGCAGGAGGTGAGTCTCAGTAAGAGGCCCTCTCGCTGACGGATCGGCGCTCCGTGACCCGCGCAAAGACCAGGATTGCTGAGCATCGTCGCTGGTCTAGGCGCCGACGACCCTGCGACGCACAAAATTTACATATGGGACATCTCGAATGACGGACAGTTTGCGAGCGCGCTCGATGGTGGCCGGGAGCCGCTGGTGCACGTTCACGTGAGGGAATCCTTTAGCTCCGTGTAGTAGGCGCGAATGGCTGATGTTTCGCGCGCGCCAGTGGCATCCGTCGAAACCGGCGATCGCGTCGACAACCAAGCAAGGGAACATTTTGATCTGGCACTGTCCTACGCCGGAGCGATGGGGAGCCTTCGCGGGCGGATTTGAAGAGGTCGACGAGAACGTCGAATACGAAGAACGCGAGGACGAATTTGATATCGTCCGTATTTCCCGCTTCGTTCAATAAATGTGGCTACGTGACTGACATCGAACAGGAGGACGAGAGCGAAATCGCGCTACGGAAGATGAAGGAAGAGGATCAGGAGGTGGATATTTTGACCGGCGTTGATGTCGTGGTTGCGGATCATTCACGGATGAATGGTGATGACGGGGAGGACGCTGCTTGGGCGGACGAAGAGGCGGACGAGGACACCGGCGGGTGGAGGATGAAGGTCGTGATGGAGGACGAGATGGATATGTTGTAGCTGTACATGCTGTTTCCGTGCTGCAATCGGTGTGTCTGAGCCGTGGGCGACGGTGACGCGTGCAGGCGAGGTTTGACGCGTGAAGGCGAGGTTGTTTACGCTTGTTGCAGCACGCGTCTGCGGCTGTTCCTCACAGGCCCGAGCTCTCCACCGGCCAACGCGACAAGCCGCCCTACGCGCAACGCTCAACTCTCGACACACAGCAGCCAGCCACCGCGCTGCTCACACACAACAATGGCGCCGACGGACGGTCAGACGATATTCAAGGTACGGCCACCCGTTTGTCCTCGCCTCCCCTCTCTCATGGCCTCTTTCCCACTCAGGCCACGTACAGCGGGATCCCCGTGTACGAGATGTGCGTCTTCCCTTCGCCCGCGTGTGGCGAGATACGCTGATTCAGGTGTTCGAACGCGCCCAGGATGTGCAAGGGCGTCGCGGTGATGCGACGGCGGGCCGACTCTTGGCTCAACGCGACACAGATCCTCAAGGTGGCCGGCTTCGATAAGCCCCAGCGCACGAGGGTCCTCGAGCGCGAGGTGCAGAAGGGTGAGCACGAGAAGGTGCAGGGCGGGTACGGGAAATACCAAGGCGAGTCTCTCCGCAGTTGTCTCTCCCCCCGTCTCTCGTGCCCTGACACCTCTCCCCGCTCGCATTGGCCCTGTCGCATCTAGGCACTTGGATCCCTCTAGAGAGAGGACTGCTGCTCGCCAAGCAGTACAACTGCGACCATGCGCTCCGCCCTCTCATCGAGTTCCAACCCGCCGCGAAGAGCCCCCCTCTAGCTCCGAAACACCTGGTGGCCGCGGGCTCCGGCCGGCCTGCGCGTCGCACGGGTGCGGACGCGCCCTCAGTGGGCACCTATACTCGTGGAGGGCGCAAGCCCGTTCCCGAGGTTGAAGAAGACTCTGTAATAGATCATGCGTCCATCCGTGGGTCCGAAGACGGGTCCATGACGCCTTCGCCGTCGGAGGTCTCGTCGAGCTCGCGCACCCCCTCCCCCATCTTGAGCAGTCCTGAGCCGCCTCTCTTTGGATTCAACGGTATTGATGGTGGCCACAACTCGCCGTCGCCTCCTGGTCGAAAACGCAAGCGGCGCGGCCAGGATCTCGATGACGGTTCTGACGCGGAGCCCTCCACGAGAGTGAACGGGATGGGCGCCGCAAAATCTTACGGAGACCAGATACTGGAATATTTTATCTCTGACTCTAATCAACTCCCGGACATACTCATCAATCCGCCGGCTGACATGGACCCGAACATGGCCATTGACGACGACGGACACACCGCGCTTCATTGGGCCTGCGCCATGGGTCGCATTCGCATCGTCAAGTTCCTTCTCTCGGCCGGCGCGGACATCTTCAAAGTGAACAAATCCGGACAGACGGCGCTCATGCGGAGCGTCATGTTCGCGAACAACTATGACGTGCGAAAGTTTCCCGAGCTTTATGAGCTTCTTCACCGATCGACGCTTAACATCGACAACTATAACCGAACGGTTTTTCATCACATCGTGGACGTAGCGATGTCAAAGGGCAAGACGCACGCCGCGCGGTATTATATGGAGACCGTTCTCAACCGCCTGTCGGACTATCCACGAGAGCTGGCAGATATCATCAACTTTCAGGACGAGGACGGCGAGAGCGCGCTCACGATGGCGGCGCGGTGTCGGAGCAAGCGACTCGTCAAGATCCTGATCGACCACGGCGCAGACCCCAAGGTCACCAACCGGGACGGCAAAAGCACAGAAGACTACATCTTAGAGGACGAGCGCTTCCGCTCATCGCCCGTGCTCCCCTCTCGTGCCGCGTCCATGTCGTTCCGGAATGCGCAAGCAGCCTATCCGCCGCCACAGGTGCCGCCGACATACTCCTTCGCGCCGGCGAACGGCGACAAACCGCCGCTCCATTACTCTGTGGCTGGCCAGAAGGCCAGCACGCGTTGCGTTACTGACATGGCCACAATGCTGGACACCCTTGCTGCGGCGTTCGACAAGGAGCTCCGCGACAAGGAGCGGGACATGAACCAGGCCCATGCGCTGCTCAGCAACATCCAGACGGAGATCCTAGAGAGCCAGCGGGCGGTCACACAGCTCAAGGATCAGGCGCAAGGGCTCTCAGAATCAAAACAGATGCTGCACGATCTGGAAGAGGACCTGACTCTCAAGATGGGCAAGCGATACCGCCTAGGATGGGAAAAGTGGGTCAAGGACGAGGAGGAGCGAGAAAAGGCCATTCGAAAGGCGGCGAACGGGGAGCTCGCGATCATTCCCGGGGTCCCTATTTATCCTGAGGAGGAGGATGCCGCTGAGGATGAGAGCATGGAGGTTGCAGAAGGTCGCGGAGTCAAGCGGAAAGAACCAACTCAAGAAGAGGTGTCGGACCTACTCGAGCTACACTCGCAAATTCCGACCGACCCCGAAGGGCTGCGACAGGCGTGCGAGGCGCTGAGAGAGGACCTGGGGAGGCACAAAAAGCGGAGAAAAGACGTGTTCGACGAGTACGTCGCGTTTCAGGCGGAGGCGGGAACAAGTGGCAAGATGAACGAGTACAGGAGGCTGATTGCTGCTGGGTGCGGGGGGATCCCGCCGTCGGAGGTGGACGGGGTGTTGACCATGCTACTGGAGGTGGGTGCTTTTGCTTGAAGCACGGGAAAGCCCTGGCTCATCTCTGCGTGCGGTCTCTGTGCAGTCATTAGAATCCGAAGAGCCCAGCGCTTCGTCTGTTGGTTGGAGTAGTGCAACGCAGCCTCCGAAACCTGTCCCTGCGGGATAACTTCCTTTGACTTGGTTGGGTCGACCGTACTTTACACGTGGTGCTTTTGTCTTGATGTCGTCGTAGCTTTTCCTGTCTCTTCGTCCGTGTACTGCAACGTATTTATCGAGCAAGTTAAGATAACTGTACAACTCGTGTAACTCCCGCCCCATTGTTCGCGGAGGTCATCTTGATTAGGTCATCGTCGTAAAACAAGTTGCTGGCTTTAGCCGTCACGACGTCCTCAGCACAAGTCGTCCTCGGATCTGTTCGAAATGTCTTGGTCCACTCGACAAGTCCGGACTGCTACAACAGCCCTCCCATGGACGAAGGATTTCCGCCATCTGCAGTCCTTCCCGCGACACTGGCTGAAGCGGTTCAGCTTTGCGGACCAGAACATCAAGGCGGCGAGGGTCAAGGACCGCATAAAATACTGGAACATCGTACCAGGCGACCAGGTCCGCGTGCGCGGTGACGAGAGCGAGAGAATTTTAGAGGTGTCGAGGATCAACAAGCTCACGAACCGCGTATACCTGAAGGGAATGGGCGAGACGGTGCGTGCCTCTGCTTCACGTCCCTTGGGTTCTAGCGACCAGGTGCTCATGCTCAGCCGCTTGCCTCTGGCTAGTCATCGAGCCGGACTGGTGTCAAGAACGTGCACTACTCAAGGTGCCAGCTGTTCATCGGGAATCACGAATTCCCGCCCAAGGGGAATGCGAAGGAGCCGCGTGTTGTCCCGTGCGTTCTCTTAACTTTTATTCGCCATGCTCCCGCGCCGACAGATGTACCAGGGTGTTTGCGACGCGTCTGGGCACCTCGCAGCCCCACTGGCTGCCCACGCACCATCGCTATGAGTGGGACCGCTTCGCGGCCGCCACGACCCCGCGACTTCCGGCGCAGACCCACCAGACGGACAGAGTGCGAATCCCGTGGCCCAAGGTGGAGGAGCCCGTCCGAGCCCAACGTCAGTCACGCGTTCTCTCAACCTCTGATCATTCCCTCGGTGCTGATTTATTCTAGCTACGCGATACGACACGACCGCCGAGGCGGTCACGGCCATCACATACAAGCCGTTTGCCCTCCCCTCCACCCTCAAGGCGCCCGTCCCAGAACTGGCATACGAAAAAGGCTACATCCAATCGCTTTTCAACCCGCAGGCACGCTCGTTCGACGCCTCCGCGCCTGTCGAGGTGCACCTGCACAAGGAGCTCTCGAACCCGCACGGCAGGGCGAAGAAGCAGGCACGCTGGCAGGCAAGACGTGCGTGGCGACAGACGCTGCTGTCGGATTATGTCCGTGCGGAAATGAAGGAGCTCAAGGGCCGCACGCGGGCAGAGGCGCGGGCGGAGGGGACGTGGAAGTGGAGCCAGAGGCTGGTGGACGAGCGGGCGGACGAGAGGAGGCGCCGGTGGAAGAGCCGGGGTGCGCAGACGCGGATGGAGAGGCGGAAGGTGCGGAAGGAGAGGAAGGCGGTCAAGGAGGGCGAGAGGCTGAAGAGGCTGGTCCTGCACGAGGCGCCGAACCAGGTCATCCCTCAGCCGCAGCAGTGACCTTCAGCGGTCCATATGTAGTAGTCGTAGACGTCGTAGACACTCGCGGCCGAGTGCGAGCACGTACTCTCCGTCGTTCACTTTTAGGATTGAATCGCATTCGCTCCTCACTCGTTTCCGAGTCACTTGCTCGAGCTGCACTTTGGAGCTTCGCATTCGGAACTCATCCGCCGACGGCCATCGCTTGCGCCTCGAGTCGGAGACGATGCACGCCCGTCGTCGCTCTACGTCTCTTCCTCCAAATGATGCGCCATATCAGCCAATACCCCAGGAGGTGTACTCCCCAGACTTCGCCCATGCTATACCGTCCACGGTCCTGGAAACAGAGCTAGACGTCGAAGAGGCCGAGGGCGCCGTTCTCTCCGATCCCATCCTGCCGCACCCAGTGGACAACCAGGTAAGATGGATCCACTTCGTGCTAGGGTGCGCTGTTCTGCTGCCATGGAACGGTATGGCTCTCGCCGTTGAGCCGATCTCGAAGCTGCTGACTTCCCTTGTAATGCACGCGCGGCAGTGATGATCACGGCGACGCCGTACTTCTTGTCGCGACTGGAGGGCTCCCCGATGCGGAGGGCCTTCAGCTCCTATCTCTCCACCTCCTTTACATTCGCCAACTTTTTCTTCCTCGCGCACGCAACTGCGACTTCGAAGAAGGTGCGCATCCCTTCAAACCCCATTCCCGACATCGATACATTCTTCCCATGACAGGCGTCTTCCTCGAAACAAGTCCAATGGGCGACCCTCACCCTCGCCATCCTCACACTCCTCCTCACCCTAAGCACATACGTGACGCTGCCCCCTTCCCTCTTCTTCCCCTTCGTGATCGTCAACGCAATCGCGCAGGCGGGCGCAGGATCCTACCTGCAGACCTCCGTCGTCGCCATCGCGTCGCTCTTCGGCCCAGCAACGATGCAGGCCGTCATGTCCGGCCAAGCCGCCGTCGCGATCGTCGTGTCCTCAGTGCAGGTCATCAGCGCGAGCGCCTCGTTGCGCACGTCCTCCGCGCCCGCAGCCGCGATCGCGGGCAACGGAGACACGGAGGCGCGCTCCGCGTTCATCTTCTTCGCGCTCTCGACGATGTTCCTCGTCGCCACCGCAGGCGCGAACGTGTGGCTGACGCGCATGCCGGCGTTCAGGGCCATCGTCGCGCCCGCCGCGGGCGACGAGCCGCACTACGCGCGCGCACGCAGCCTGTCGGTCGACCAGTCTGAGCGGCGTCCGCTCGTTTCCGACGCTGCCGATCTGAGCGCCTCTGGCGTGCACGAGCACGCACACGTCGGCGACAAGAAGAGCAGGATCTTGCGGATCGCGAAGAAGAACGTGCTGTACGAGCTCGCGGTCGCCTATGTATTTGTGATCACCCTGGTAAGCTCTCCGAGGGTCTATGTTATCTCAATGCGTTGCTGATCGTTACGAACGCGACTTCAGTCGGTCTTTCCGCCTCTGACGATATCCGTGCAGCCGACGAACCCGAACACGTCGCCGCTGATTTTCAGCTCCATCCACTTTCTCGTCTTCAGCTGCGGCGATTTTCTGGGGCGCCACCTCTGCTCCTACCCGCGCCTGCTCATCTGGTCCGCGAAGCGGCTCGGCACGCTGTCGCTCCTCCGCACGCTTTTCATCCCCCTCTTTCTGGCGTGCAACATCCAGCGGGACCCCGGTATGCCTGCGGGCGCATCCACGCCACTCATAGGCTCCGATGTGCTGTTCATGTTGATTCTGCTCGTGTTTGGGGTGTCGAACGGGTACGTGTCGAGCTTGTGCATGATGTCCGCGGGCTCGCTGGAGCACAATCGTCGGCTTGAGGGACGGAAGGAGGACGTGGACATCGCGGCGACGGTGGCGAGCTTTTGTTTGGTGGGAGGCCTCGTCTTGGGCAGCGTGATGAGCTTTGGGGTTCGGGCGGCGGTGTGCGGATGCAATCCGTTTACAGCGTGACGGTCAGGCGATTATAATGAAATGCTCTCGAGATTGTAGGACGACTTGTGCTGGACTGACGCATATTCTATTCAATGATAATGCTATTGTCTCTCGGAAAGAATCGTGACAGGTACCCTTCCTGCATCCACTGCGATAAGTAGTACACGTGATACACGTTCGTAGATGAGTGAAATACCACTGCGGGACATGTCGCGTCAATAAATTCGCAGATTTGCGGCGAGGGCAGGCGTGGAGGATGCGAAGCAGCGGGAGTGGATTGGAGTCCCGGAGATAGGAGTCATGCGGGCGGTCATGGTATCGGGTTCCGAGGCGCGCCGGGCAACCTCGGAGCGAGCTCCTGCATCTGCTTGGTCTGTCGCCGCTTCCGATGCTCAGCGAGTCGCATGGCGAAGAAATCGCGGTGCAGGCTGTATCGCTCGTGCGAGGGGGTGGTCGCTGCCGTGGGGGTGGGAGCCGAGGGCGTCGAGGGCGATGGAGTATTAGCTGAATCTTTCGTCTGGGACTTGTCCTTGCCTGTGCCCTCGTCCTTGACAGCATCCTTGTCCTTCTTCTGCTCTGCTTTCTCCTTCTTCAGACGCTGCTTTTCCTCCCATTCCTCCTTCACCTTGGCAATTTCCTCTGCGCTCAGCCCGATCTTCTTCACGGCGCTCGCGCCGATGCCGTCCCGGCTCTCGCCAAGCTGCGTCGCGAACCCCGGGTCGGAGAGGTGCGTCGTGCAGACGTAGATAAAGTCGATGGTGCTGGCGGTGGCGAGGACGGTGGTGGTGGGCTTGTAGCAGACAAAGCAGGCTTTGGGTGTCGCTGTTGCCTGGGTACGGACGTCGGCGGGATGGCGATGCAGGGGGAGGGGAGGGAAGGCTCACGCGCTTGTAGTAGACGTTGGTGAACGACATGGCGGGCGACGGGCGTCGGGTGTGTTCGCGAGCGGGGGTGCGATGGGAGAACTGTTCTGGAGAGCGAGGGGGGCGACGGGGTCACGAGGAGCGGGACGAGCCGCGAAGGCCCACTATCGCACTGCCAACACAAGGGCGGGATCGGAGGTCAGCCGGGATCCTCGATCGGTTTTATCGCAGCCCTCCCTTCCCATTCCACCTCCTCCCTCCTCCCTCCTCACTCCCACTCCCACTCCCTTCCACGCCATGTCCGACACCGCTGGAAAACCCATCACCTGCAAGGCCGCTGTTTGCTGGGCCGCCGGAGAGCCCTTGAAGCTCGAGACCGTCGAGGTCGCGCCCCCAAAGGCTCACGAAGTCCGCATCCACATCCTTCACACGGGTAGGTCCACACGCGTTGATCATAGAGACGCAAAACCCCGCTGACGTCGCATCTTCTAGGCATCTGCCATACAGACGAGTACACTCGCAGCGGCAAAGATCCCGAGGCAGGTATCTTCTTCCGTCCACGGATCTAAATGTCCTGACATCATATCCCACAGGGTCTCTTCCCCGTCATTCTGGGCCATGAAGGCGGTGGGGTCGTGAGTGCTTTCAAACCCTCTCCGAGCCCTCGCATCCGTCGTACTGATCGTCTTCGATAAGGTCGAGTCGGTCGGCGAGGGCGTCACCAACGTCAAGCCTGTAATTGTCTCTTACTCACCCCATGATGTCATTATCTCATCTATGGCCCTAACCCCAGGGCGACCATGTTATTCCCCTCTACACCGCAGGTAGTTGCATCTTTCTTTTTGTGTCGTGCATAGCTCACGAACCACTTTTTCAGAATGCAGGGAGTGCAAATTCTGCAAGAGTGGCAAAACGAACTTGTGCGGTTCAGGTAGGCTCGCTACCTGCCATATACCTTCGCTGTGCTGAACCTACTCTGCAGTCCGCGCGACCCAGGGACAGGGGCTCATGCCCGACAAAAGCTCCCGCTTCACCGTCAATGGACAGGCAATCCACCACTTTGTCCGTCCAATTCTACTCGGTCGTCCGGCTACCTGTTCGCCTGACTTACACATGGACTCTTCTTAGATGGGCACTTCTACCTTCTCACAGTATACCGTCGTGGCCGACGTGTCCGTCGTCGCAGTGAACCCCGAAGCCCCACTTGAAAAAGTCTGCCTGCTTGGTTGCGGTATCACTACCGCCTGGGGCGCTGTCACTAAGTTGCCCGGGATCAGTGAGTCGCCGTAGAAACATGCCCTCAGGTTGAACCCGTTCTGACGCCGTCCCCGTCTTGCTCAGAGGACTCCAATGTCGCCGTCTTCGGCTGTGGTGCGATCGGTCTTGGCGTCATTGCGACGTCTGCCCTCGTCGGTGCGTCGCGCATCATCGCCGTCGACACCAACCCCGGCAAAGAGTCGTGGGCGCGCAAGTTTGGTGCCACGGAATTCGTCAACCCGGCGAAGCTCCCAGAGGGCACACGCATCCAGGATCATCTCGTTGAGATCACCGATGGCGGCCTGGACTTCACATTCGACGCTACCGGAAACGTGCGTCCCTTCTCTTCTCTCGAGGCCCTCCGTGTACCAATTTCAATGATCGTTCTTCTCCGTCATGCTATCAGGTTCATGTCATGCGCGCTGCGCTTGAAGCATGCCATAAGGGCTGGGGTGTCAGCACCGTCATTGGTGTCGCTGCTGCAGGCCAGGAAATCTCGACTCGTCCGTAAGTGCTTTCAGCATCAAGCTCCCGTTATCCTGTCCTCATGGGAATGCAGGTTCCAGCTGGTAACAGGTCGTACTTGGCGTGGAAGCGCCTTTGGTGGCGTTAAAGGCCGCACTGAACTTCCTGGTCTCGTCGAGGGTGAGTGCTTTCCATTCATCTCCGTGCGTTTAACGCTGTCCTCACTGCTCGTCACATGTATCCAGACTACCTCAAGGGTGCAGTGAAGATTGACGAGTACGTCACGCACCATAGGACGCTCGCGGAAATTAACAAGGGCTTCGACGATATGCATGTATGTCCTCATGTCCACTCTCCGATTGCACGGGTGTTGAGTTGCTCTCTCTGCAGGCTGGTGACTGTATCCGTTGCGTTGTCGATATGTCTTGAGGAAGCACGGCCAAGGAAGAAGTATGTGCGGGATACAAACAAATGTAGCATGAAAGGCGTAGTGAATTTGGCCGGTGGCCTGCAGACGATCTGTATGATTAGCATGCATAGGATGTATTCAGGAATGGAACGTTCGATTGCTCCGGATTTGAAGATGATATCTGGAAGTACAAGCCTTCCAGTAGCAGCTCCCTTGGGCATAGCTGACTCCTGCTTTGCTTAATGTGAAAAATAATGGAGCTTGAATATCCACAAAGAAATAAAATCCCGATATATATCCAAGAAAGTACGGTTGACGATTCTCTATACGCCCTGATCAACCATGATTCTTGGCGTCTTGTGCCCAGCCACGGCCCGCCACAACACCCTGAGTGCGAGCGCGACCTCGCCCCTCCGGACCCCCGATTTCCTCCAAAGCGACCTGATCACGGCCAGCACACAGAGGATGAACGACAAGTCCAAAAACAGCCGGCGCACGACGATTAGAGTCGGCGAGCGGTGCTCGTGGTCCGCCAGGAACGACACGAGCTGCTGGCTGCGCGCAACGACGCGCACGAGGGCCTTGAGCACGTACGACCACAGCCCCATCTCGTCGAAGTTCCAGCTCGACCCGCCGAGCGCGCGCGGGCTCCCGCGCCCAATCCCGCGCGCCCCGGGCCACGTTGGCGAAGCGCTCGCGGCGCCCGGAGAGCGCGCGGCGTATCCGCCCCACGCGTCATTTGGGTGCGATTCGAGGGTCTCGATGCGCTCCGTCAGCGCCGCGAGGTGGGCCTGCACGCTCTCGACGGCGCGCTCGAGCGCGATGCGGGAGGCGGGGCGGACGGGGAAGCTGTGCTGCCGCGCCACAAGGGGCGTGGTGGTAGCGCGGTATGTCGTGGGCTGGTTCGAGTGCGCGTGGTGGGGGTGTTGCTGCGGAGATGTGCGTTCGCGCGAATATTGGTCGCCGTAGGAAGTCGTCGTCTGTGGACGGTATAACGAGGGGACGGAGGGCGTTGAGGGGCCCGCGAAGGCGGATGGGGTTTCGAAGCCTGGATGGGGTTGGGTGGCGGGAACGGGTATCGTAGGAGGCGTCATCATCATAGAGCCAGCCATAGGCGTGCGGTATCGATGGGAGGAAAGGGATGATTGCGGGCGGTTCACTTGGCTGTGGTGATCGTGTGTGGGAGGTGCAGGGGCGCCGTCGCGAGCTTCGTCATCAGATGTTTCTTCATCAGAGGTCGTTTCAGCAGGGTAGGGCTGGCGTTGGAAGGCTTGTGGATTTGTCGTGTTGTTCAGCAGGTGTGTCGGCAGGGGTCCAGAGCGGTAAATCGAGACTAATGGTCGCTGTTCTGGCTCCCCGGAGCCTGAAGAATCGGAACCACGGGACAATGACCCTGTACCGGTCAGAGTCAGCGCTAACGCATCTGTGAAGAGATGGGATGCAGGCTTACTGCTCATCATGATGTTGGACGGGTCCCCCTCATATGACTCGAGCTCCCGCACAAGATCGCGTGCTACAGTCTTGTCCGAGTACTTGCGCAGAACCTGCGAGAGACGAACGTAAGAAAGATACGCGTTACGGCATCGTTGCGTTGATTCAGCAAACCTTGAGCAAGGCATCTACATACAGCCATTTCGCCTCGTATGGGTCCAAGTCCTTGTGCTTCGCCCAAGCATCCCTGCTCGTCAAGGGAACATGTGACATCAGTCAGCTCCCCGGCAACGAAAAAGTAGGCGTAGGACAAAAGGAGGCGTCTGACACCTACCACTTCGCTTTGCCCAGCATGTCCCATATGCCTGGACGAGGCGCCTTGACGTTCCCCACAGTGGCTATTGTAACGCCGAGCAAACATGCACAGAGGTCAAGGACTGCCAAATGGGAACATGCTTCAAGCCTAAAAAGCACCTTGCTTGTAAAGACTGCGGTGTGTTATTGTATATCTCAGTCCAGAAACGTCAGAGTAAACCGGGATAAATTCGCGCACCTGTACATCATCAGTTTCTCCTCATAATCCGTCTGAATAGGTCCCGTCTTCGGCAAGCTCTGAATGATTTCCACAGCCCGATCGAACTGGGCATCTATCAGCTCGTGCGCGTCCATGGCTTAATGGAGGAGTAATTGGGAAGAGGAGTGGGTGCTCTGTGGATGTAACAGGGCTACACCTGGATGACGAGCGGTTGCAGAATTCAGGAAGGTATAAATGATTGTTAGGAGGGTGTAGTTGCACGTGCCTGCCGGATTCGGGAGTGGGCGACAATCCGTACGTAGGCGGGTTCCGTCCAGATCAGTCCAAACCGGTGCAGCAAGGTGCGGCTGCTCATTTGCCAAAACGTCGAATAGGGTCAGTTTATCTGAAAGCCCTTTCGAACTTAGAGCTTAGATATCAGTGATATTTTTCAGGCCGGTGATGTTCACTGGTAGCAGGCGTACAGAGGTCGAGTCAATGACTACCTAGGCGCCGAAGTATATAGATGTTAGCCCAACTTATGGTCTATTGGAGTGCCGATCACCAACGTCGCGAGAATGCACCAAAGCTCTGCTAGAGTTCCCGTGGGTATAGTATTGGCTGTAGCCCTGCTAAAGTCGGGTCAGTGTCCCTCAGGCGCCCAGGCGCGTTTGTTTCTGACACGGACATCTTATTTGGATTTCCTCTGGGCACTGTTCGGATTCTCGAAGAATAAGGCCATGGAGGTCAAACACGCGTCCCGGCTTCACAAGCCGCATAGCAAATATCATCATGACTCCTCCTTCGTTCCTTCGTACGCCATGACTAGAGGGTCCCTGATATTCCGCTACTGCTGTTGCATTGACGCGATGGTTGAGCGCACAATGGCGTTTCAGGACGGATGGTCCGGCATTCCTTTCTACCGGGTTCACGCCAGCGAGTTTCCTGCACGGCAGCAGACTCAAAATAAGGGGCCGACGTACTACAAGATCCAACTGGGCGTTGAGTGCTGTGGCCTAAGATGATCCGTGTTGATGCCTTCGATAGGTACTAGTATAGAGTCAGTTGCCGTCAGTTGCCTGTCAAGTCGATAGCAAGTATACCATCGTTGTGTTGGATAGCCTGTTGAACAAGTGATATGACTGCTCTGGCGGTGATGGTTGCAGCCAAACCTGTTGTATTCGTCCTTGCTGCCGCCCACCCACTTCACTTCAAGCAGAGGCTACCTCTAGTCAAGGCGGGCGTGCCCTTACAGCCGTACGAGAATAGACGGAGAATGGAGTCCGGCCATGTTGGGGTATAAGGCTTGACTAGATACGCGTCCTCACACCAAGTGGTCTACGACCCGTCTCCGTCCGATGCCATTGCTATCCGTGAGGAACATGGCGAAATCTGTTGTGGGAAGAGAATTCACGGTGGTGTATGTGAGGTTCCCTGCATCCACGAATACTTCAAAGCTCCCCGTATTCGTTCCTCCCGTTTACTGACTGCCTTGCCTATCGCGACGATGATTTGTGTCAGTAAAGGGGACAAAAGGCAGGTGCGAACAAACGAAGAGGTGACCGAACAGTTGCGACTCACCTCGCCATATCAGCTTCCCCCATGCTTTGCCGTGCGAGCCCTCTTGCTTGAGTGAAGCCCTCGTCACCTGCCAATAGCTGCCAGCAATTCCCTTTGGCCCCCACCGTGTCTGATGAACTTTCTGGCCCACCCCGTCATTCGGATACCGTGAGAGCACCTGGAAAAGGTTCCCTGGCCGTGATGAAAGACTGGACGGAAGCTTAGACGGGAGCAGGCGCTGGAGGGCCTTTGAAATGGCGGCTGTTTGCGACATGGGGTTGTTGCGGGTTGTTGGAGGACAACCTGCAGAGAAATCGAAATTGGCGTGTTCAAACTCCGACACCTCTTCGACGCGGTCATGCAGGCAGCACGCTCCACTCTGCGACGAAGCAGCATCCCTCTCCGACGCTGTCCTCGTCGTGCCATTTCATCGGCGACTGCTGTAGAGACAGATGACTGCGCCATTCCCGTGCGGCCAACGTGGTCGGTCCACGAACTATTGTCTTCTTATGCCAAACCTACTATCTCTCCTGCCACCCTTGCTCATCTTCACCGCCTCTCGGCTCTAACACCCCCGGATGAAGGGTCCCAAGAGCACCGGACGTTGACGACGGAATTGGAGGAGCTGATCAAGCTGGTCGAGGCTGTGAGGACTGCAAATCTCGGCGGTTCTAATACTCCAAAGGACGAGACTGGCATCCCTGACGGACGCATTTGGCCGGAAAACATAGGTATCGATATTCAGAGCCGGCAGGAACTTCAGAAGGAATTTGGTGATGGGCGTCGACTCTTAGCACATGCTACAAGGACGGAGCGTGGCCTATACTTGGTGGAGAATGACAGAAGCAACATGAAGTGAGGGTGCATTTGTTCCAATCATATTTCAACGCGATTGAAACTCGTACCAGACCATGATAGTTTGCAGATGCATAGCATAGATCATGGACATTGGCGCGCCTTAATACTACACTACTCTTACGGTGAACGTTGGCAGGCATACTCCCATATACTCCCTCATTCCGAATCGCATTTGTCTGTGCGGCAATGTCCGGCGGCAATAAGTCCGATGCACGTTGAGACCACTTGCCGAGCATCACGTTGGCGACGGTATTTTTTTGTGTAGTAAGGTCTCTTCTCCGTATTTGCTCGCAGATAACGACGCCCTAGGGTGCTTCACGTGTATGTTCCAGGTGATGAGCTGCCCTTGACCAGGACGCGTTTAGAACAGTGCCAAGACCATCGCGGGGCTACATCTGGCTACATGATAAGAGACTCTTCCATCTGCTCTTCGTTGATCTTGCTCCGTTGAGCATGCGGGCTCCGATTGATGAACATCTGGAGAGCTTGATTGTGAACACTCGTCGAGTGCCAGCAACCATGCGCCCTCATGCGCCTCGCTTGTCTTAGCCCAGTTTGGTCGGATCCATGCTTGAACAAGTTCTTCCGAGCTACTCATCGTGTGCTCCAGTGGTCCGGTTGATTTTAACACTTCTGGGTGGAGCATGCGCTGCCCCTTGGCTCGGACGCCGTCAACCTTGTATAAAAGCCCTCCCAACGCAACCAGAATCTTCAGCAAGCTCTACCCAGCTCCTGCTGAACCTTCACTGACTTCACTCGGACTTATCATTTAATCATGCTCTTCTCCAGTGCTGTTGCTTTCCTCCTGGGCTCTACCTTTGCCCTGGCAGGTCCACTCGCGTCGAACAAGACCATCACCCGTTGCGGTACCTTCATCAGCGACGAGGCTCTCATTGCCGCTGAGGCCCACTTCGCCAAGCACAAAGTTGTGTCCTCCCTTTCCGCCAATGCTGCCTCCTTCAGCATTCCCGTGTACTTCCACGTCGTCAGCGAGGACAGCACCGCCAGCGGTGGTAACATCCCGTGAGTATCCTTTACCTCCACTTTCGTTGTCCGTTTATTGACCGAAACGTCCTTGCAGTGACTCCCAGATCACCAGCCAGATCTCTACTTTGAACTCGGATTACTCCGGCAGCGGTCTTACATTCTCTCTCGCTGCCACGACCCGCACGGTCAACTCCGATTGGTTCAACAACGCCGGTCCCGACTCCTCGCAGCAGGATGCCATGAAGAAGGCTCTTCGCAAGGGTGGCGCGACCGCGCTCAACCTGTACTCGGTTGGGTACGTGATCGACATATGTTCTCCTCGACAAGCAACTTGACGTGTCGTGTTTTAGTTTCACCTCAGGTACCGGTGAAGGTCTCCTCGGATACTCTACCTTCCCCTCCGACTACTCCAGCGCCCCCACCGACGACGGTGTTGTTTTCCTCTTCTCCTCTGTCCCCGGCGGCAGCACCACCAACTACAACGAGGGCAAGGTTAGCATTGCAGCTTTTCCAACTTCTAGGGCTCGGCTGACGGTATCCCTTCGCTAGACTGTTACCCACGAGGTCGGTCACTGGGTTGGTCTCTACCACACTTTCCAGGGCGGTTGCTCCGGCTCTGGTGACAGCGTCAGCGACACCCCCGCTGAGGCTTCCGCCGCCTCTGGATGCCCCACCGGCCGTGACACATGCTCCAGCAGCGGTGTCGACCCCATCCACAACTACATGGACTACTCCTACGACAGCTGCATGAACCAGTTCACTGCTGGTACGTTGATCTGCGACCAGTCATGGGAAACAGCAAACTCATCTCTGGTCCATTTTTCACAGGCCAAATCACCCGTCTCCAGGGCCAGATCTCCACCTACCGTGGCATCAGCGTCTAAAAGTCGAGCTTCAGACTCAGCGTTCAGTACTCCGTGCCGTGCTCATGTAGTATTAGTCCATCTATTAGAGTCGGACAGCCACATTTCACGAACATCTGTACTCATGTAGGCTATGTATCGAATTCAACTGGATTCTAGGGCAAAAACAAGCAAATGCTTTGAGAGTGCTCCGTGCTGTGACAAGGCAAGTTTTGCTTCTTTGGCATATATTCATATGTCGAAACTAGAGCAAGACATCAACCTCATCGCTCAAGGGATCAAGCAAGCGCTTTGGCTAAGGACAAGAAAACAATTGCAGTAAAATTACAGATGATATATATAATGATCACTAAACAAGTCAAACAATAAGCGCTTTGTGGCCACCGGTGGAACCAAAACCTCCCTCGCCACGGGCTGTTGCATCCAGGTCCTACACGAGGATCAGCTGCATGCAGCGTGCTAATCAAGCGAGAGTGGGACTTACCTCAACTTCAAGGACGTCTGGCGTAATGATTCGCTCGAGAACGAGTTGAGCCACGCGGTCTCCTTCTTCGACTATTTGGAAGCGGCAAGAGCATGTGAACACGGGTGAGTCTGATCAGAGCGTGAGGGGCAAGACAGACCTGTGAAGTCTTGATCGGAGAGGTTGAAAAGAAGGACGAAGACGATGCCGCGGTAATCTGCGTCTATGACACCTGCACCGGTGTCAATCATGAATTTGGATGCTAGAAAAGCTGTAAGACAGAGCTGAAGTGGTTTCTGTGGTAAGATCGCGCACCTAATCCGCTACGAGGTGCGACGCGTCCGTAGGTTCCCGCGGGTACAGCGATGGAGAGTTGCGTGTCGACAAGAGCCTTGCCACGCGCTGGTATAATTTTCTTCTCGGCACTGCATAATGAAAACGCGTCAATAGGGACAGGAGAGAAGCATAGCCCTGACGCGCACCTGTACAAGTCATAGCCAGCAGCGAGGGCAGACCCACGCGTTGGCAACTTTGCCTTGGCCGACAGGCGCTTTATGAGTAGGTTCGAGGTAGAAGGAGTGTCAACGTCTTCAGCGTCGACAGAATATCTACGTCTTTTTATGGTTGGAGTGTTGGTCATTGCTGGCTTTGTTGAAGGAAGTCAACGGATCCGGGCGAGGTTTATATCGAGACGCGTTGACGCGTCAACTCCGCTCGGAAGTTTCCGCTTTCATCAGTTACAGCGATCGAGTCAGGACGCCCACGGCATCATTTCTCTTGATTTTATTGTCGTGACATCAGACCTTTCTCTGTTGTTGGCCATCATGAGCAAGCATCCTTCGTCATCTGGAGGGCAGCTTTCCTTAGACCTCTTCCTCGTCTCAAAGACGCGTAATGTGAAGGAAAACGTCGCGCCCTCGGCATCGTCCAAGAGGAAGAGACTACCGAAGGATGATGACGACCATGGCGACCCTCCTTTCAAGAAAGACAAAGAGCAGAAGAAAGTCCAGATTCCTCGTGGGGAGAAACGTGGTGCTCGTAAGCCACTCGCTTTGGCCTCAGACATGGACAAAGCATATTCACCTTCATATAAAGGGTCGACCCCTCTCCTACATTCCAGGACAGTAGGAGGCTTGCAGACCCCATTATCCTACGGGGACACTCCGATGGCGAGATCGAAAAACAAGTCTACCACCAAAGTGGTTCGCACTGTCCAAGTACTCCACACTGTGTCACTTAGATTCTATCATACTGACCTAGTCATAGCCTGCGCCATTTCCGTTGCCGTCGCCGCCACAGATCACGGCTCCAGAACTTGCACATATAAGGCGCGAGTTCTTGGCATCCGAAGAGGCTCGGTTCAACGTCGCGTCCACCAGTAAAGCAGGAACACTTCATACCCCGTCTCTACCAAGACGTAAACGGCTGCGCAGAAACTCAAGTCCGACATCTCCAGTGGAGCGTGGATTGACCTTTAGTCGCCAGCATCGCGCACTCTTCACGCCAGAATCCCAACACGTCGTTCCGTCCTCTCAGCCATCGCTAGACGGTCGAGGCGACGGTACTTCTGAGGACCCTTTCACTGATTCACGAGCGCGTCCGTCTTCACGCCCCTTTGACTTCGATATGCTCCCTTCTCCTTCAATACCATCGTCGACATATGAGTCTAGTGTACCTCGGACTAGTCTTTTCAAGGTTCCACTTTCTCCCTTGCGACTTGATCTAGGTCAAGGTGTCCGGGGATGGAGCACTACAGATGAACAGAAGAATGATAATGCCGAATCACCTGTTCGCTGGAATGAGGAAACGATACCATCCTCTCAGAGCCAGTATCCAGTAATGGGATCGTCGCCCGTACGTCCCACAAAGCCGCCTGCGTTGAGGACTCCGCAACATCACAGCAACGACATTGTGCTCACATCCCAGAGCCAAGAGAAAGAATTGGTCCTACCTAAGGAGGGCAATCACTTCGTCCCTTCTCACTGGCAAGCGCAGAATATCAATGCGGAACAGAGGTACGCGTATACATAGGCTTCGTGTGCTTGTCATAACACTTTGATAACAGCGGACATAGTTCTTCGTTAAGCTCTCCGTTGTCGCCTTTGTCACTTTCCGGTGACTTCCAGCCGTTCCGTCCTCCGATCAAGCCTCCGCCTCAGTTGATCGGACAGCCCTCACGGGTTACAAGCGCGGGCGTTTCACAGCCTGACTTGCAACTTCAACACTGCAGCTATGATAGCTCGCAGACCGAGCCGGATTCTCAAGCCATATCATACTATTATCCGTCCCAGGCTCATTCTCCCGTCTTACAGCCCCATACCCCGCTCCAAGCCATTTCCTTCAATGGAGTTCCTATTCAACATCGGTTGGGTACATATGGCAGGAAGGATCAGTCTACACATTCTGTTGGACATATGGGGAGCCGAAAAGCAACAGAGAAAGACACTGCACCCGTTTCTGACGAAGAGGGCGCAGACATTGGCCCTACGCGCTCTTCTGCGAAATCGCCATCTGACACCGCGAATCCGCAACTCGACCCGGTCACTTCTCCAGTTCAGGGCCAGCCACATCTCCATATGTCTGTACGCGATGACCTCTCGAACTCTCGAACTACCAGCCCTTCACGCCCCGCTGCCTTCCAGATCCCCAGGAAAATGGTGAACAAGATGGTTGACATAATTGAAAGGCTTGACGCGATGAACTCTCAAGAGCTCGACGGGAGTTTGGCCTTGAGCGATGTATCTTCCGGTGGCTCAATGCTTGAATTCGAATCCCTTCCTTCCGTCTGGGGCGACCTCATCAACGACTCAAGCTCGGATCTCAGTGACGTTGATCACACTACGCGCGACGGCTAAGGTAATTTTTCTTCATGTATCTTGCTTCAGGTTCTTGGACTGTTTTCAGCTGTTATTTTTTCTTGCATTCGCTCACACGCATGGCTTTCGGTCTCTTCGCACATCCGTCACTGCTCTCTAGTCGCAAACATCATGTAGCATAGCATATCACGGCGTCTAGTTATGTTGGATTCGTACGCATATATGAGTATTTTTCGGTCTCTATTTGGAATCGAGCTCGAACGCCTAGTGATTGATGTTGGCCGTGCTGCCTCCAACCGTACGTATATCCTCCTGCGCCTTTTCTACTTGCTCGATTACTGCCTTCACGTCTTGAGGTTCCTCGGGGTGTCCCAATGCGTTGGGTGGCACGACAGGTGTTAGCAGCTTCCCATCGTCCATGACTTTGTCGCCGAAGGCTTCGCCAAGCTCCTCCAGCGTGAGATGTGCCGTCTCGGGGTATACGAAATACACGAAAACGCCTGAGATGGCACAGAAACCGAGGAGGAGGAAGTAGTACCCTCCGTGAATGGCTGAGAAGAGAGGCGGGGTGATGAAGGCGATGATAAAGTTGAAGATCCAGTTGGAAATTGTCGACAACGCCATACCCTTTGCGCGTGCACGAAGAGGGAAGATCTCTGCACCGAGCAACCAAGGCGTTGGACCCCAACTGCCATATGATGAGCACGTGCCCAACGTTCCGGAAGTAAGGTCGAGACTTACGTTGCGCCAAAGAAAAACAGGTAGATACACACAGCGGTGAAAATGCCGTTGGCGGCTGGCATCCTTACAGGACCTTCGGGAAGACTGTCAGAGTAAAACTGCAGCCCGCCGATGGCTGCAAGTGACGCCACCAAAGCTGCGCTTCCGAAAAGCAAGAAGAACCTCCTGCCCCACTTGTCAATATAGAACATAGTTGGAACAGTCCCCGCACAATAGATGAGCGCGCACGCGCCAGAATAGAGTAGTGCTTTAGAGACGGTGAAGCCGGCGCGTGTCAGGTTTGTGGGTAGAAAGTACAAGATTGCGTTGATCCCGTTGAGCTGGGCAAACATCTGACAGGTGATGCCGACGACGCTGCGGCGCGTGTACTGTTTGAAGAGCTGCGCCCAAGACGCCTGACCAAACGTGTCTTCGTAGGCGATCGCCGCGACGATCTCGGCGTAGCTTTTTTGGATTTCAGGTTCCATGGGGTCGCCGTGTCCCGTGAGATCGGCGAGCGCACATAGCCCTTCCTCCTTGAATCCGTTCTTGATGAGCCAACGAGGTGTCTCGGGGAGGACAAAGGTCCACAAAATAAGGATGAATGCCATGACAGCTTGAATGATGTAGGGCCCACGCCACGCGATCTCGCTAGGCATAGCAAAGAAGAACCCGTAGCCGACCCACGCAGAGAGCACATAGCCACCGTTGAGGCAAAGATATTCGATGGACACGAAGACACCCCGAGCATGGCCAGGCGCAATCTCACATTGCAAGACGGGCACAGTCATAGAGAGCATACCGACGGCGACGCCCTGGATGCACCGACCTACAATAAGCGTTGCAAGGTTTGGAGCAAACATCTGGATGAAGGAAGCAAAAAAATAAATGACGGCGCCTATGCGAACAGACATGCGTCGGCCAAGGATGTCGCAGACGTATGCCGCACCCATCGCGGATATAGCAGCGGTGATATTCAGACAAGCGACCGTGATGGCTGTGATGTTCAGGCCTGGTTCAGTCGAGCGAAAGGTTACGAAGGTGACGTCGCTCACCCAACACGGTTGGATTCACGCCACTGTGACCAGCTTGTATTTGATCCAACGTAACTACCTTCTTAAACATCCTCTTGATGAAGGCGGGCTGAACCTGGTTGGCCGCAATTACACCTTGGCTGTACCCAAACATAGCATCACCGAGAGATGCTAGCGCAGACGACGCGGCGAGGAGCGGCCTGCCAACCATCCATCGAGGATAGCGGACTGTATATGTGGTAGGTTTCAGATGATCCATGCCAACTGAAAGTGAAGAACGGTGGTATCGGAGGGAGGACGAGGACCGAACAAGTGGTGCAACGTCGATTCTGTTAGGAGAGCATTACGAGGTGGACCAGGCCAGAAATCCGGCCAGCCAGCCATCCGCGATGAGTACATTGAGGTTTCGCGGACTGGACGTGAACGCGATTCAGTCTTAGAGTAGAAAGGAGCAGAACGGAGGAGCCAGGCTCGATCGACAACTCGTACTTCTGTGACCCACAAAGATTAGTATCAAGACTATGATCATTCGAATACATATGTGAACAGGCGGATATTGTACACACGCCTTATCTCCTCTGAATACTGCGGAGATGACCGTCGTGACTGGGCAGAAATACATATCCGCCCATTCCGTGTAAGGAATCGATAGCTAACTGCGAGTGATACCACTCGTGATGCATTCGGATCTGTTCTGGCCGCTTCATTCCGCCGCAGTGCTGTTGAACCAACGGGTAATGTGAAAATCTGATGTGCGAAGTGAGTGAGTTCAGCAAACGGGAGTAAACGGGATATGATACGAGAGGCGACGTTGGTGAGGAAGGACAGCGACCGGGCGGGGGACTCGGAGAGAAGCGGAGGACCGGAGACGGAGGTCGAGCCAACGCTGTGGGTCTGAGCGCTGGCGGCACAACCCGACACTTATCTTATCTCGGTCAATTTATAGACCCTCGGAGAGCACGTCCGAGTCTACAATTCGCCCTCCTCCTCTCGACCCCTCACTCAAAATGCCTGGCCGCCTCCAATACAAGGTCTGTCGCCGTCAAACATGTCTCTGAACGTCTACTGAAGTTTATGCATCAGTCTGCTATCGTTACCGGTGCTGGATCGTACGCCCATCGCATCTCAGTCCCGAACGATGCAAACCTGACTCGATTGCATGTGCAGCGGCATCGGCCTCGAAACAAGCATTCTCTTCGCACAAGAGGGTGCGAATGTGCTGCTCGTCGATATCAACCTCGAAGCAGCAGAAAAAGCGGCTGCCCTCATCGCTCAGAAGTCTCCGAACGTCAAGGCGATCGCCGCCAAAGCAGATGTCGGCAAGGAGGCGGATATCAAGGCAGCTGTAGACAAGGCAGTGAAGGAATTCGGCCGATTGGACGTGATAGTGCGCGATTTTTATTGCGGGCACGATATCTAAGGCTAACCTATAGACCTTCCTTACCTCTTAGTTCAATAATGCCGGTGAGGACAAATGACCTTCCATCTCGCCCCACTTACAGATCCCAGGCGTCTTTCAGGAATAATGCATCCGGCAGACGACAACGCTCTCAACACAGAAGAACGCATCTGGGATTTGACCATGCAGATCAATGTTAAGGGTGTCTGGTGGGGCTGCAAGTACGCTATTCTGGCCATGCGCGAAAACCCTACGGATGCGTCCAAGGGCTTGCATGTCGGCGGAAGCATCATCAACACTGCCAGCTTTGTCGCATCGATGGGCGCTGCTACTCCCCAGCTTGCATGTAGGTGGTTCGCATCCGCATGACCGACTCGCTCCAAACTAATGATCGTAAACTGTAAACAGACACATCATCGAAGGTCAGTCTCTTGCAAGGGTTCTGTGAATTAATCTGAACGTGCGCTTTGACAGGGCGCTGTGCTTGCGATGACGCGCGAGCTCGCTATGATCCACGCTCGTGAGGGCATCCGCGTGAACAGTGTTAGCCCGTAAGCCGCACTCGAATACATCGCACATCCTCTGATGCTAATATTTGCATCTCCGACAGCGGTCCTTTGAAGACTCGTCAGTACTTTTGATTTCCAACTCACAATCCAACTAAATGTCATGCACGTAGCCCTCCTCATGGACTTCCTTGACACACCTGAGAAGCGCGACCGCCGTCTGACCCATCTACCAATGGGTCGTTTCGGCGAAGCAGTCGAAGTCGCCAAAGCAACTTTATTCTGTGCGTCTTTCGCGCGTTGCATATCTGATCACAGAACTTACCGATCCTCCCTCACGGGCAGTGGCTACGGACGAAAGCAGCTACATGACGGTATGAGTCTTGATACAGCCAGCATCCTTTTGACTCACATTATATGATTTCCAGGGCATCGATGTCAAGGTGGACGGCGGTTTGACATCAGCATATGTGACTGCCCTTGGGGAGCCCGTCCTCCCTCCTCCCTCTAGCCTCGTTTAAGACACTGGGGATTGAGCTGGGTCATATGAAGGAGTATAATTAATTGAAGTTCTCATATCCTGTTGTAGTACACAAAATCTTAGAAATTAGCATCTTGCATCGCACACAAGAGTGAGGCATTGATGTTGGAGTCACATAAGTTACTTTGTACGACTAAGGCTACTCTCGGACAAGGCAAGAATTTTTATTGATCATGATCAAGTCTTCCACAGACAGTCGAGGCATATGAAAACATTGTAGATGATCAAGCCTTCCACTCCGTAAGCAAAGCACAAATGCAGTACACAGTCACCGCATAGCAGGTAGCAAGAAAGGTCCGTTGTACTCACATCAATGTAATCTCAGACAAGGAACTGACACGCAAATGAAGCACCGGCGAAGGACGAGGAGTAGTAATCGGTGGACTGAATTATAAGGCCTTAGCCCTTTTCTTGTCGCCCTCGATCTTCCTGATCCTTGCGAGTTCTTTCCCGACATCATTGGTGAGCTGCTTGTGCAGCTCGGGCCTGTAGCCCAGCATGAAAAGGACTTCTAGGTGGACAAAGAACGGAGCCAAAACCACAGCTGCGTTTGACGAAGGAGAATACGGGTACGATGAGATGAGGTCAATATTAGGTGTAAGGGAAAACAGACCTCCGATGAGGTTGTCCAGAAGGGCAGGAGCGCGCTTCTCTGCGAAACCATGACCGACAAACTGTGCGATCCAGGAGACGGCGTGCAGCAAGGCCGCGATCGTGATATTGTCAGCCTTCTTTGAGAAGGAAATCGCGGTCAACAGAGATACGATCATCTGCGGAGTGTACAAGAACTATGGAGCATCTTTGTTAGCGCTGACTAACGCAAGATGACGAGAGCGCTTACTGCGGCGACGGGATCGAGGACAAAGTAGTACGCAAGGTAGATGGCGGCGTGGACGGCGGCGACGTTGAAGTCGAAAAGCAGGTAGTCGTTGAACTTATGGGCGACGGCAGGGAAAAAGTCTGGGACAGGGAGAGTGCTGCTGAGTACTTGGAACGACCTAGAGATTCGGACATAAAGCTTTGGTCGGGAGATGGACGTTATGCACGTACCATAGGAGAAGGGGAACACAGATGATATGAATGTTCACATTGGTGGGGTTCGAGTGGTACGCTCCGTAGAAGGTCAACTGTATGGAAGAGAGCGTTGAGCTCCGGCGCGGTTTCTCTTTGATCAAAGGAGATTAAATACTCGCTTGTTTTCGGACATCAAACAAGCTAGAAATGGGCATGATGTCGACCAAGAGATGTCGTAGAGAGGTACAAAGAGGTAAACTTTATAATGCTTGTCTGCTGGCGACGGTAGTGGGGGAACCGGTTAAGTATGATGGAGGAGAGGGGGAAAGATCATTGCAGAATCATATGCAGGCTCAGCGCCGGTCACTTAAGGAGCTGTGCGTGATGTCCAGTGCTGGCTAGAGTCGCCTCGCCGTCTCTCACCGTCACTCGCCTATGTTGCTGGTGTATCCTGTGTTCCAAAAAAGTAATCTATCCACCGAAGACACAATGTACTTCCCCAGATGCCGGCAAGACAATCAAGCCTCTGGAGAACAACGAAGACGAGGGGCTGATTTCACGTCATGCATCACGTGGCCACATCCACGTAGACCGGAGTTGTAGGTGGTTCACCGCGCTGCTCATACCTCCATGGTCCGTTCAACAATAATCGTCCGGGCTTCAGATGCTCTTCCCCTCGCTGCCAGTGTAGACGATGAGCAGGTATGTTCTTTGTTCCCCGTTGCGTGTCCGCGTATGCTCACGCCCCTACTACAGACTGAGAACGCACTCCAAGAGCACAAACAACAGGCCAAGCTCATCTTCCGCCGAATAACGCCCAATTCAGAACCTCGACTCTCAATAGAGAGCGGGGCTTACTCTCTTCAGTGCGCAGCCTTCACTCGTGCGCGTTCAAGCGGGAGCTGAGTGATTCGTTGCTGTTGCGCGCCTCTCAGCTACCTCATCGCGGACAATGTCGTGTATCTGACCATAGCGGAGAAGTCATATCCCCGAAAACTCGCGTTCTCGTACTTGGACGAACTTTCCAAAGAGTTTGCAACATCATACGGTCCGAAGGTCGAAACCGTGCGGAGACCCTACGCATTTGTGGGCTTCGGTGAGTCGCGCCGCCTCATACGTTCCGAACACTATAATTGAGTGCCCTGGTGATACAGATACTTTCATGTCCAAGACGGCTCGTCTTTACAGTGATACACGGACGGCCAGTGCAGCAGCAGGCGGCTCGAGTCTTGACCATATAAATGACGACCTACAAGACGTGACAAGAATCATGACGAAGAACATGGAGGAGCTGTTGTGGAGAGGCGATTCACTAGACCGTGTGTTTTTCATGATGATGTCGGTCTGTCGGTCACTTACATGTATTTGTCGACAGGAATGTCACATTTGTCGAACTCACTTCGATCAGAGTCAGAAAAATACCGCAAGGCGGCGCGGAACATCAACTTCCAAGCTATGTTGCGTCAGTATGCTCCTCTGGCCGGCGTCGTCTTTCTCATCATCATCCTGCTCTGGTGGAGGTTTTCGTGAATGTCTGGAGCAGGGCTTCTTTGACCGGTGGGCGTCAGTACTTATAGCGCTTTCAGTACATAGACTGGATACGCGACTGCAGTTGTCAGTGTGCACTTTGTCCATTACGTTCTTATTCACCTTCTCTGTAAAAGTGTGGGGTCTGAGACTCACGTGAGTGCAAGGATCTTATCGGGGGGCAGGCATTGTTTTTCAATAGGTGCCTGCAGGGTACATAAGTAGCGAAGCAGAAGACGTTATCATCAGAACGATCTGCTTATGGTCCATCGCTACACGAGGCAGCTCCATCGTTCCATCGCTGCTGTAAACCCTTGATCTCCATCCACGACGAGCACACACTCTCCATCCGTTCTCTCCTCCTACCATGGCCATGTACGGTTCTAATGCCGCCCCCTACCCCAGCCCACACGCGAGTCCTATGATGCAGCAGCCGCAACTGCAGCCCTACAGCCCGCCGAGCGGTCAGATCCAGCCGGGGCAGATAACCTATACGACGACGTCGACGCCTGATGGCAGGATCACTTACCATCCGTTCAAGTTTGTCGTCAATGACTTTTGCTTCCGTGAGCATAGCGCTAACAGGCCGTGTATGGATCGATCAGAGCTGTGCCTGCCAGGTATGTGCTGCTCGGATTCATCGATTGACAGCCATTTCAACCCTGCGGTCTCTTGCTTCATTCATTGTTTCTTAGTTATCAAACCGCGAACGGGGTAGTCAGCGGTATCCAATGGATCCCTGCGGAAGCAACCAGTGTATTGCCTGCCGGAGCTCAGCCAGCTAGTGCCGTATATCATGCCCATTTCTCTCCGTTTGCTCTCTTGGCTGAACTGCGATCTAGGATTTTGCTGCATCATGGAACCGACCTGGTTCTGGAGACAAAGCCATGAGAGAATGGTATGCCCTTGATTTATCCATTTACCTGTTCTGCCTCGTGCAGGCCTGCCCTTCAAGCTCTGACGTCATATGTGCAATCAGGCAGAAGGATGAAGAGAGGCGTCGCAGGCGCGAAGAGAAGGAAGCCGCGAAACGCGTTGCCCAGTGGGAAAAAGACCGCCGCGACCGTGACGGAGACCGTCATGCCCGTGAAAAGGACGCTCGTAGTGGACGCAGACTCAGCAACTATTCCACTGTCTCAGGACCGGGCAGTGGGCCGTACATGCCGTATGGTGCAGTCCATCCATCGGCTGTGGCTGATCTAGAAACCCGCTTTGAAGGCGTCGATATTGGTCGAAGGGATTACGACAATCAACGTGAAAGCAAGCACAGGCGAAAGAGCGGTGTGTACGCTGATGGGTACGCGGCAGGTGCCCCGGGTCACCCCGTATCCTCTGGGTACACTCCTGGTGGATTCCCAGCTGCAAATCGTGCCTCCTCTCCCTACGCTCCTCCAGGTGCCTTTCCTCCTCCGTCCCCCAGTAGGCCGGCCGCAGAACTCGGAGGATACGCCGGAAATCCCGTGTACCCTGGATATCCGTCGTCTCCAGGACGCGTTGGTGGAGATGCATACCAGTCCTCAGCTGCCCCGTACCAACGTGCGGCTTCGCCCTATCAGCGTGCAGCGTCGCCGTACCAGCGAGCAGCTTCTCCGTACCAGAGAGCAGCTTCTCCATTCCATGCTCCCCCTGCACCGGTCCCAAATGCGTACCATGATCGCTCTAGAGCTCCGTCTCCAATGCCCACCCCTGCTGGCCCCTACGGAGCACCCCGCTCGCGGGCACCTTCCCCGATCCCTGGCGCTGTGGGTCCTTATGGAGCACCTCGCTCTAGAGCTCCTTCACCGAACCCTTACGGTGGGCGCTCAAGGGCTCCGTCGCCTATACCAGGTGCATCTCCCGCATTCCCTCAGCCCACCGTTGGAAGCCGTGCTCCTCCCTCTCCTCGCCCGTCACCTCGTGTGGGCGGCGGCGGCCTACCGTCTTATGCGCAAGAACAGCCGCTTCTGACGCCCCCCGATGGTTTCTCTCGCCCGCCAAACTTGGCGCAGTCGTACACCTGGTTCGATATCATGAAGATCCAGGACATGGATCTGTTCTTCGAAACGATGCCTCGTATGCCTTTGGTACTTGTCCCTCACGATGTCTATCATGAGGATTGGATCAGGTTCATGCAGGTTTGTTTCGCATGCATGGCTTGTGTAATTGTCAGCTGCTGATCGAGTGCGACTCAGGATCTCACCCTCGCCTGGGCCGGAAAGCTGCCTACTGTTGACCCTACCCGTCACTCACAGAGACGGTCTGCCATGACCGCCGAACTCATTGACCTTTGGAACACCTCGTTCTTCCAGCAACGCGGGGTCGAAGTGGTGCTCTTCAAGGGTCGCGAACGCCGTTCTGGTCCGGCCATAGGGACCATCGAATCTCGCCTCCCCACTTTCGACGACAGCGACTCCATCTCTTCCTCCTCCTCGTCGAGTGATGACTCTGACCTCTCGGGCGACGACAAGTACGGCAGGGCCGGGCCCTATGGTCCCTATGCCCGCCCCACTGATCCGTACTCGGCGGAGCTCAGAGAAGCACAGCGAAGGACGCGCGAGAAGAAATCGGAAAAGAAGCGAAGGGAGAAGGAGAAGAAGGCAAGGAGGAAGGCTCGCGAGAGGGAGAAGACTTACTCCCTCTACCTCACCTGCGTCAACCAACGAGACGGCGCACTTGGTGTGCAGTTCTAAACGTGTGGCCAACGACCACACTGTTAACGAAGGATCGCCGGCGATCTTTGACAAGTTTTGAAAGGCTATCTTTTTTCTTTCTGTCCTCAATTCTACTCGTGATTTTGGACTGCCCTTTCTTTGTTACCCGCCTGTGAACGTTGTAAACTTTGTTTGTACCAAACATTCCAAGCAAAGAAAGGTGGATGTATGTATGTACTATGAACCGAATCTTTGAGTCCTCATCATATGTTGCTGTTCGATTTTCTTTGAGATGGCGACGTGGGCTCTGCCATTAATACAGTACGCAGGAGGGATTGAAAAGTTAGCTACCGAGGCACGCAGACGCACAGTGTCCGATACTGCTACTAGTATACATCTGTCATAGAGTAAGACCATTATGGAACAATATAAATTAGTACCATCCACCGCGACCACGACCTCGGGGGGCATTATTTGAACCGCCCCTGTTGTGTCCGCCGTATCCTCCCCGATACCCGTTTGATTGGGGTGACTGCTGGTCGCCATATCCGCCATATCCTCCGGTATATGCAGCACCTCCAGCATTTCCACCCCCCCGAGGACCGTTATATGCGGGAGCAGCGTGTCCTCCTCTACCAGGAGATGGCCCACTGGGGGAGTATCCCCTTGCATGTGACTGGGGACCACCGTACCCGCCACGCGACGGCCTTCCTCCACGGCCACCGGAGTAACCACCGGCATTGTAAGACGATGACGGAGGAGGCTGTCTGTTGTAACCACCATAATTGTTTTGCGGTGGCGGATATTGTGGCTGCCAAGACGAGTTCGCAGAATCTTGTTGGTACGACTGAGGCGGTCGGTTATAACCTCCCTGATTTTGCATACGGCCGTTGTTGTGGGACATTGACCCATAGAATGTCTGGCCGGCGAATGTTGAGGCATGCCCTCCGAAATCTCTCCCTCCGCGTCCTTGTCCACGCCGACGGGTGTTTTCAAGGTCGTCAGCCGTAAGCGCACGAGGTGGTCGTCGCACGCCAGGGAGCAATACCGAGCGGTGGGGAGTCAACTGCTTGGGGAAGAAGTATAGTACAGAGAGTGTGCGGTCGTTGCGTATGTCAGGCAAGCCTTGCGAAGATAGTGGGCTATAATATGTCGATCCAGGAATACAGTCGGGGTTCGGAAGAACACTACCACTCATACCCTTGCTCGCCTTGACATCGAGTGGTACAGGCTACATGAAATGAGTCAGAGTTGGACAGACAGATGATGTTAAAAGCCAACCTGTTGATGCTTCCTCTTTCCGTATAGTGCCTCTAAGAAAGGATAGAGAGGATGTTCTTCGGCTATGAAGAGCACCGTGTTACCCCATGTGTTACGGTGAATCTCGGCCTCACTGAGTTCTGAATAGTGTGGTGTCATTGATTCCAATAGGCGCTTTTCATCGATGAAAGGGAGAAGAGCGACCCCTTGCCAAGCCATCCGCTTGCCGTTCATATCGATGTCAAATGTAGGAGGATAAAAGTCGAGAATCGGCGAATCTTCCCCGATCATGAGGTGATGGAACACTGTAGGGATATGCTTACGACTTTGAAAAAATGTAGCATGAACAAACGAAGGACGTAGAGCAGACAAAATCGAGATGTTCGTACCTCGCGGCTGGAAACACGGACATCAGCTGCTCAAAAGGTTTAAATGGCTGTCCCTCCGCAAACTCGACGTTCATCTTGTCAATCTCTTCGAAGTCTGCGGCGAAAGGTGCGAAATGGAAAGGATAATACCATTGCCAGGATGGAGTCTGCAGCTTGATTAGCAACTTTTTTGTAAACGATCGAAACATGACATACTCCTTGATAATAGTATCGCAATACCCATGCGAGACCTTCAACATACGATGTAGTGATCCTAATATATGCGTCGATGCTTAGATACTGGTTCAGCAGATAACACTTTTGACGTACCGCTTCTTGAACTCGGCGTCGGTTGGCTCGACCCCAAACTTCTGACGATAATAGCGTTCTCTGTATCCTGACTCCCATAGTCTGCATGACAGGTAACCAAATATGATATGAATACAATATGAACCAGAGGCATGATGCATACATACCGCACCGTGTCTTCCTGTTCGACTGTGCCGTCGGGATTGACTTTCAAGGCAAGCGGTTTCGCAGGAGCATCTTCATCCTCTTCTTCTTCGCCTATACTATCTTCCGCCAAGTCTTCCTCAGCCTCTTCAAACGATCGCTTCACCCCTGCTACTTCTGTACGTTTATCAATCTCCATCGCACTAGCTCCATTCCCGTTCCGAGATTCAGTGTCTGATTGTCTAGTTTGTATTGACTGTGCAGAATCAGATTTTCCAGTCGATGGGGCATCGCCGTTAAAATTCCCTGAACCCAGTCCTGGGACCTCCATGTCGGAAGTGTCGTTGGTCGATGGTACAACAGCAACAGGCTCAACAACTGGAGTAGGCGTAGGCACGACAACAGGAGGCTTAGGAGGAAGAGCATGTCTTTTCACAGGCATCAGGCTGGCCATCTCAGCCTTAAGCATCTCAGCAGCACTCAAGTTCGCCATCCGTATAGCGGCGCGGTTTGCCACAACGTCGCGGTTGGATCCAGCCAGAGCTTGCGCGGCCGTGCGCTCACTTGAGATCGCTTGTTCCGTCTTGGGGCCGCCGAGTCCGATGGAGTCTGCCTTTGCGGCGAAGTTGTTGGCGACAGGGGCAGACCGCGGATTAGATGTGAGCTGTATGCTGGGAGATGGGCCTGAAGATCCATTCATATCCACTTTGCGTCGTTTGGCGTTCTGATTTTGACGTTCCTCACCTATTATAGTGTGTCAGCGTGCAGTTGCATGTTTCGGCAGCGCGGGTAGTGTCTACCTTCACGACGTCTGCGGAAGATATCGTCTTCTCGTTGTGCGAGACCCTCAAGAATTACTTGAGCCCGAGACAGCATGAGCTGGCCGTGGTTTGTCATATACCCTCCCATTCTCGGCAGCTCATTTTTCCAAATCTTGAGCAAAGTGTCGATTGCACCCTCTCGAATCTCGAGAGATGGAAGGTGCGGCAGAAAATCGTTTCCGACGAAGAAGATGAGGAGAACCCAGTCATCTATAGCCATCTCGAGATTGAAAGGGAACGGGGCTTGTGGAACATTAAGCTCAACTTCGAGATACTCGCGCAGGACAGAGACATCGAGAAAAATGAATGGTTTCTTCTCCTGCGGGGGCTTCTGTATTTCTGCTTTGACTCCAGTACATTGAGCGGCATAGTGTCCTTCTTGCCCGCACATCCGGCATGCAGTGGAACTACCTGACTGGGCAAAGACGTCCTCTCGAAGAACCTTAAAGTGAGGTTCATGAGTAGCCAATGCCAGCATAATGAGATCCGCATCCTATAGAGGGAGTTCATTGGAGGTATGTATAAAGGAAGAGAAGGTCCTCACGAGTCCGTAGATGACGTGCTGTGTGTTGGGATCATGCCCTGGATTGGACCTCTGACGTCTAACATAATCCATGATCTTATGCTCGCCCTCACCCGGAACGCTTGCGTCTGAAATGATCACTTCAAGCTGATGGAGATATTCAGTGCATACACTTCAGCATTTTTTGGCTATACGTACCTGCTTCCAACCGGGATCAGTGTTCGCCTTTTGCACGACCCAGTACCGTAGCGATGACGTCAATAGGTCCATGAAGGGAGTACCAGGCGTGATGGCATTTGAATCCCAGGCTTTCTTATTCCTTTCCTCTTCGCTTACGGTCTTGCCCATAGCTATGACAAAGTTGATATCGTAAATGAGTAATCAAACAGTGGCTCGTCGTACCTTCCCACAAAGCGAGAGACTCTCGGCGCGCCTCCTCCTTCTCTTTGGCCTCTTGAGCAGAACGGAATCGTCTAGAGCGCTGCTGATTCATCTTTGCACGCGGAGCGACACCATCTGACGTGCTGTGAGATGCCTGCTTCATAGCATCCCGAAGAGGGGACTTACCAATTGCCATGACCAAAAGCTTTCGAGGTCTAATCATGTTGACGACTCTTTCGGTATATTTGAATACCTCCAACATCATTTCCTCCTCTGTTTCCGGGGCGGGCTATTGGCAAAATGTAAGCGAGGAGAACAGGAGTGGCTGAATACGACAGACCTTGCCTTCCGGGTGTGTGCAGGGATGAACCTGGGCGGTCAAGTCAGTGGCAGACAGACAAAGAGTCGAGTGGATACACACAATAGCATTCATGTCCAGGTACAAATTGTCAAATTCCACGTTGTTGGGGTTGGGCAGTGCGATGTTGACAGGAATGATGATCTCGTCACCGTCTCCGCCTTCGACCTTTGTCTCGTCCTCCTCGACGACTGGAGTGACTGAACGACAAGACGTAAGCACTTAAAAGCATATAATACCACATGGATGCTCACCAATTTTAGGGTACTTTTTACTGAGCCATCGAAAAAGCGCCGGAACACCCTGCAGAAACATTCAGAGCCAGAAGTTGCTTCAGAAGAATGGACAGACACACCATGTCTGCTTTGGGGTCTAGAGAGCCGGATGGCTGCTGTTAAATACAAGTGCAGACGAGGGAGAGAAACAAAACGGGGCTAAGACAACACGAAGCAAATCGTCGTCGTCGAATGAGCGGTACAAACACGGACTGTCGCGGTTGCAGATAGAGGGAAAGAGTCGCTGACGTAACCCCCATCCGAAAATGGAAAGTGTCTTCGATGATGTCGATTTCTGACTCGAGTCGAGATCTGTGCACACTCAAAGGCTTCTTCGTCTGCGACTTCATTCACATCTGTTCATCACCTGGAATTTCGTGAAATCACTATATCCCGTGGCCTCACGCCATGCCTGCAGCCCCTAGCTCCTCAAAACCTCCGAGCACACCAGTATCTACGCACACGAATGGCGTCGGCGAGCCCTCCAGTGCGGGGCAAGCACCCAAACCACAAAAGCAGATGACGAAAGCCGAGCGCAGAGAGCTTCAGGAACAACAGCGCGCTGCTAAAGCTGCAGCTAAAGCGTCCGGAGTACCACAGGCCTCGCAAGGCGCGAGTGCGAGTGCGAAGGGGACCGGTAACAAGCAGGCTCAGCCGTCGACACCCACTTCATCAGGGCAGAAGAAGGGTGCGCGAGGGGAAGCCCCTGCGCCGAGTCTGGTGCAGGCTAGAGGAGGTGCCTTAGTTGTTGCCGCAGCGAAGGGCACAAAGGACGCGAAGGCAGGGGTAAATGCGGCGGAGGGCGCGGTGGGACGGTCGCGCGGCTTGCGAATATTCTCGCATTTCGCGCTGCAAAAGACCGCGAGTCATGTCATCAAGGGTGATATCCATCCAGCCATAGTGCGTCTCGGTCTCAAGTTCTCAGAATTCAAGATCTGTGGGGCGAACGCCCGATGTATTGCGACGCTTTCAGCTTTCAAACAGGTGCGTTCTCCGCATCGCGCATCTATGTGAAACTTTCCTTAGCTTGAGATGCTGTCGAGGCGTGTAGGTTATACAGGACTACATCACACCACCGAATACCACGCTCTCAAGACATCTTATGACCCATTTGTCTGCCCAGATCAGCCATCTGGTGTCGGCGAGACCTATGTCAGTCACTATGGGGAACGCCATCCGAGAGTTGAAGTTGGAAATCAGCGGTTCAGACATTGATCTTCCTCAACAAGATGTGAGCCTGCTCGTCGCGTAGTCCTAGTTCATCTAACTTGCATATCCTAGGCAAAAGATGCGCTTTGCGTCAAAATCGATAACTATATCCGGGATCGGATTATCATCGCAGACCAGGTCATTCAAGAGACTGCGATGAAGAAAATACATGACGGCGATGTTATTTTGACATACGCAAGGTGATCTATCAAGACTTCAGAATCCGAGATTTTCCTAACTCGTTTGATAGGTCATCTGTGGTAGAGAAGGTTCTGCTTCAAGCATGGGCCGAAGGCACCCAATTCTCCGTGGTCGTAGTCGACTCACGACCTATGCTAGAAGGTCGGAGCTCACCGTCTTTGCCAGGATTACGCTTCACTTATGCTTACCCGTATAACGTTTGAATTACAGGCAAACGACTTCTCTCCGTGCTTGCCGCAGCCAACATACCTTGTACCTACCTTCTCCTTCCCGCGCTCAACGCTATCATCACGGAAGTGTCGACGGTCTTCGTCGGTGCGCATTCACTCCACTCAAATGGCGCTGTATTTTCTCGGGCGGGGACTGCGCTCGTCGCGATGCAGGCAAAGCGGCACTCTGTACCCGTTATTGTCTGTTGTGAGACGTATAAGTTTTCAGAAGGCGTGCAGCTCGACAGTTTTACCAAGAATGAACTAGGTAAATTGAGTCTCTACCCCTTTATTGCAAGTGCCCTGTTGACCACTGAACTGCAGCTCCCGTCGGAGATCTATTCTCATCATTCCCACTTGCCCGTCCACGGGACTCGCTGCTACTCCAAAACCGACCGAACCTAGAGATCCTCAATCCCCTCTATGACCTCACTCCACCGTCGAGCATCACCGCTGTCGTCACGGAAGTCGGCGTTATCCCTCCAGACTCGATCAGCTCCATCCCTCTAGCTTTGGGGCGACTCACAATTTGAGTCAGCCTTTCAAACAATGCCTCACCTTGCACCATATCATACTGTACCAGGGTTTTTTGTTGCCAAGAAGTCCACGAGCCGCGACTGTATAACTTATTGCTGTCGCAATTCAAATGTTGTTCAAACAGGTCAATACTGGGATGTTATATGAGTAATTGAATATACAATATATCCTGGCGAGGTATCCTCGTGCGGGAAAGCTTCTAGTCGACTTCCTCGGTGTCGGTCCTTTTGCTTCCGACTAATCGCCGTTCTATCCACTCAAAAGCGCGATCGGTTGCTTGCTCTACAGGATGATCGAAAAGGTACGGCAGCGCAGGCACGATAGCGAGCCCGGTGAGTGTCGGGCCCCAGGAACGCAGTCGGGGCGATTTTGCCCGGTCGAACGCTTTCTTGGCCTGCTTCACGGCGGTGTGGATCGTCAACGCCGGGAGCGCCCTGTGATGCGGATCGCAAGATCAAGCATGGGTGAAGGCAAGTCGACACGGGGGAACATACATGGACGCTATCGACTGAAAGGCGGCACGCTTGACGGCGATCATGCCCACGCGAGTGGGTTCAGAGAAGTTGGCGGCCTCGAGGGGGGTGGGACCTCGCCTATGGGCCTTGTAGGATTCGTAGCTGACATCACTGCAAAAGCAGGTGTTGAGTGCGGGGCGTCGGGCAGGGCTCGGGAAACCGACCCTATAAGATATAACCACGAGACACCGTAGGCGGCAGTCACCAATCGCGGAGAAACAACAGGACGGAATGCCTCGCCAATATCACTGGTCTGATGACCTCGAGGTGAGAGACGGGGTCAGACGGAGAGATTGGGACGTGCATATGCTAGGTATCGGTGTCCGGCACGAAGGACCGTGCGGAGACGGGCGCCATAGGCCATGTAGCGCAGATCGCTGTCTGTGGTGTCGGCATCCTTGTCTGCGAGGTCGTTGATCGTGGTCGTCGCGACTTTGGACATGGTAGGGGAGGTGTGGAGTGGGAGGTGTCGCGGGCGTCGCAGGCGTGGGAAAGGCGGGAGAGGCCCGGGGACAGCCGAGAGCGAGACTGGAGGGTGTTTGCGAGTGTTGCGAGCCCGTCGGTGCTCCCCAGAGACCAGAGTACCACTCACACACACCAGCACCCTCCCATTCACCTTCCTCCCGCGACCTCCCATGGACACTCGCACCGCCTCGCCCCCAGACGCACACACCGTCTCCACCGTTATCGGCGACCCCCAATTCGACCACGACTCCGTGCCAGACAAGATCAGCGCGTACTACAGCCTCGTATTCCCTAACTTCACATACTACCTCCAGACTCTCAATGTCACCATCGGCCGCCGCTGCATCCCCACCTCCACCGCATCGTCCTCTGAACAGGTCCAGGTCGATGTAGACCTCGGCCCCTTGAAGAGCGTGTCACGGCTCCACGCAAAGATAGAGTACGAGGAGGAGGAGGAGCGCTTCATGCTTCTCGTTCTTGGCCGGAACGGCGCCTGGGTCGACGGCATGTGGTCTGGCAAGGGGAGCAAGGTCCCTCTGAGCGAGCGGTACGCCCTTTAGACTCTCCTCCCGGCCTTCGCCATTCATTCCCTGTCAGGTCCCAGATTCAGATAGCCTCACGGACCTTCCATTTCGTCCTGCCGCCCCCGCCCGCACCAGAGGACTCCCCTTCGCCCAGCTCGCAATCCTCCGTTAACAGACCGCGTTCACCGTCTGTCGATATTACGTCCATCTCCCCGCCTTCCTCGCTTCAATCCAACTCTCCTCCTGCTCCCATATCTCCCACGCACAAAGCCCCTCCGCTCCCTGATCCTCCACAGCTACCCAACACAAATGTCATTGGAAAAGTGAAGCAGCCGAAGAAACGCAAGGCTTCGGACGTGGATGCACAACCACGACCCAAGCCAGAAGTCATGCCACCAAAGCCACAGTTCACGTACGCGCAACTATGCTATCGTGCAATCAAAGCCCTCGATGGTAAGGCGACGCTGCAGGACATTATCTCGTGGATGATGGAGAATTACGACTGGTACAGATACAATGAGAAGACAGGATGGGAGGTGCGTATCCGCGCCACATTGACCTCTATCTCAGGAGGTTCATCTTCTATATCCAGAAATCAGTGCGACATAACCTCTCATCAAATCGTGCGTTCCGGAAGATGGAGCGGTCGGCGGGCGAGCGAGGCAAGGGTTTCTATTGGACAGTGGCGGAGGATTGTGAGCAGATGTTTGAGGAGCAGGAAACCAAGTTGTCTGCTGCTGCTTCAGGATCTGCAGTCAATCATCCGAAGCAGAGTGGCAAGAAACCGAAAGGTGGTGCGTCGCTGTCAGAGCCGCCGTTGAAACGCAGTGTCCGTGGGGAGGCAAAAGGCGCTCCCTTGCCTCCACCACTAACCTCGACCCCACTCGCGTTCAAGAGTGTGACCCCTGCCAGCGCACCTTCAGCGTCGACGCCGGCCGCATCCGCACCCGTAATCAAGTCAGAACCGTCCCCTGCGCCGCCCATCCCCCCACCGCCACAACCACATACCGGCCCCGATGCTCCCGGAAATTCTACTCACGCGGCGTCGCCTCCACCACCACCACTGGCGGCAGCGGCAGCCTCTCCCAACATATCATCCTCCATTCCCCCCTCCGGCATCCCGCCAATCCCGGCATCGGTCATCATACCTATCATAGTGGGCCCTGTTCCAGCATCGCACCCTGCGGCCTCAGCGCCGGTGCCATCCACTTCCAATGGATCCGGGATATCCCACCTCGCAACCCCGCCCATCGTCTTGCACGAGAACCAGCTTATATTGAACCCGGCGATATTCTCGCATCTAACGCCGGAACAGCTTCGGGAAATCGAGGCGCTAGGCGCTCAGAAGGCGCTCGAGGTGCTTCACGGGCATATAGTCAGGTTCTTGAAGGAGCGGATCAAGACCGAGGCCGCCCGGGGCAGGGGCCGAGGTAGGGGCAAGCGCGCACTAGGAGGGGTCGGGAGAGGCGGAAAGGACGGCGGCGCTGGAGCACAAGGCCGGGAGGAGAAGAAGGAGAAGGTGCCAACCTCTGGTTTATTCACGACGGAGCCGCTGCGCATGCGCAAGGCGCAGCAGCCAGCTGCCTCGGTGCAGACAGCGCCGCCGATGTCGAGCCTCTCTCAGCCCACGGACATCCGACCGCCTTCGCCGATTTTGGTCGTCGACGACGACCCGCCGGAAGGTCCTGTGCCGAAGCGGCGCCGGCTAGACACACTTGCTGCATCAGGGATAGGCAGCGCCTCTGCTGTCGCCTGACATCCGTCACCGCCGCCTTGTCTGTCGTCTTGGGGTTTTTCTTTTGTGGAATTTTTTTATCGGCTTTCGCGCTCTCACATCTACTCTATGCTTCAGTCATTATTTTTCCCGTAGTAGTAGTAGTAGTAGTCTCACTCGCCCACGGGCATGCATCGGGCGGGTCGTCCATACATACATACGTACATACATACGCCGCGTGTGGGTTTTGAGATGTCGTCTGATTGATGACTTTTTACGAGCTGATTAGTGAACATCCTCACTCGATGTGCATGCATTTTATTCTGTGATGCGACTCGCTTTCTGTATGGCACGGCTTCGACTCAGCGAGTATTCCAGGGTGGGTGCAGCACTGGTGTATATTTCTCCGTAAGAGTCCAGGTCGAACTGCCCATAAGGCATGCATTGTCACCTGCGCACACCATTCTATGCCCACAAAGATAAGGGATCATTGTATTGTAGGTACGGACATCCAGCAACCTGGCAAAGCCTGTCGTAGGGGAGCGGTGAGTTCTGTGCAGAGCCTGTAATCTGGAACGACACGATGACCGCGCGCGGCGTCACGATCGTAGGTGGGGACATACGGAGCATGGCAGCACAATTGGCAGCGACGACGACGACGATCACGCAACGTCCGGAAGCAGTCAGAAGCTTGACGGAGGATCCCCGTCGCATGGATGTCGATCCGCGTGTGTTCGGCAGACACGCACGGGTGAGGCGGGCGCCCCCATCACACAAACGTGCTCCCGTTGCGGCCAGCGTGCATCAAGTCGTGGACAAGGGGGTTGCGCCGCGCGTCCGTCCGTGAACGTGATTGCCTACATGCAGGGCCGGGTTTAGTGGCCTTAGAATCTCCATCCAGACCCGGATGAACGTGCGAAAACGGCGCACTTAGGGACGTAGATCGGCAGACACGATTCGCAGCGCTTTAGGTTATTAGAGAACCACGTCGGAATCGGCCCGCCAGAGCGTGGATCGCTGCGAACTCTCAGCCCTTCTGGGCACAGGGACGATACCGAGACCCAAGATCTCTAGAGACCTGCGCCACAGGGCATTTGTATATCGCAGAGGCAAACTTTGAATCGACGGGTCTGATAGAAACGGCGGGTGTGTACGGGGATACTCAACATAGGCATGGGCGTACAACTCGCACCGTGCCGCCCTCCGAGGAAGACGAGGGCGCAGACACATCAGGGCTTGTCTTTTGGATGCATACGCAGGCGGGGTTTAGCGCGCCTGTGAGTGCCGGAAGGCCGCTCCAGGATCCGAGACATCAGCTGCAGGTTCCTACCGTGCAGCCTAGGTGCGTGGCCACTGACGGCGCAACAAGTCACGAAGCAGACCTCGCGATATGTCAATTCCCCGCGGTGTGGGGAACTCTGCTGGTGAACCGTCGTGTTTGTTCGCACCGATGGCTGCTTCAGGATCGCTCTGCGAAGCGAAGCCTTGCTCCCTGTAAACTTTGTCCAGTAAAGGGAGGGCATGCGGCACGGGGCTGCTTCTTTCGCGGGGGCGGAGAGAAAGGCGGGGGATGTTCATGTGAATGATTTTGGCCTGGCTAGCAGACGGGAAAAGAAGCAGATATGGAAACATCCGACGACACGCTACTTACCGAGCGATGGAGTTCTCCTATGTCTAGGATAAAATAGAGATGGCTCTTTGCGTTGCTCCACTGCGGGAGATGCGCTAAAAGAGTACGTGTTAAACCGTGGAGGAGCGGCAACGGAGGAATGACCTGGAAGAGGAAGCCTTATAGAATGGGATTAAATCGCAAGGAGTAATTTCATCGTCATTAAAACTTTCTGCAAGTAACGAAGGAGAAGTAGGTGATGTACCATGTTTGTCAGTAGCAAGTCTACGAGCGCGCTAGTGTCTGTGATACTCGGGAAGTAATCCACACCTCATGGGGTATGGGTGAGAAAGACGGGTGCATGCCGGAGAAAATAATGGGTCAAAGGACACAAGGCAAGAAAGAGCATGACGGACCTCGGCGGTCGATCCGAAAAGGCGCGGGAGCCCAGCGACCGACCCTCACCTGCCTGGATAGAGCATCGAGCGGACACGTCAACGCGATGGTCACAATATGACCCAGCACCTATGAATGAGGCACATGACACAGACGGATATGAACGAACGGTTTCTCGTTGGACCAGTCGTGTGCAGAGATGCAGACACGTTGGCCGCGCTGAGCCGGTCATAGGAAAAGTGACGCCTGGTGACGCAGTAACGGGACACGGAGCTTACGTATAGATGTCTGTGTGACCAGATGTGAACCCTGAAAGTGTGTCATGTTATGACGGGGCGAGACAGGAATGGTTGTATGTCGAGAAGTTTCATTTCAGAGGACTGACGCACAGGTACTCGGGGGGAACATCGCGGGAAAAGGCTGGAGAAGGAGCTCTGTAGATACGCAGCCAAGAGTGGCGAACATTGGCGTTGAATGAGTAGCAGAAGATAGACTGAGGAAGTGTGAGATCTTGAGAAGCAGCAGATAAGGATGGCAGGACGATAGTTCGGAGGCTGCCGCGGCAGAAACGTTGCGATAGGCAGATATGCAAGATATGACAACTGAAAGAGATGGCGGGCGCTCACGCTAAATATGCGCACCCCAAATCTTTGTTGGAATGATCGCTGCGATGGGCGGGGCCTGAGAGCGATTTGCGAGAGGGAACCAATATAGCAATGCAGGGGCAAAGGAAGGGCGTGCATACTTTGATTCGCCGTGGTTGACTTGATACATGTATGTGTGGCGTGCGGGTGCAGGCGAATGCATCGACCACTGAAAATGGACGAACTTGCGACAGACTTGGATGACGATGATGATGGTGGACACACGTGCGAGCCCGATTTGTCCATGTTACGGAATGGCGACAAAGGTGATTTGGACGGAGACTGCTCGCAGAAATCGGGTCCGGTGCGTCCATTGCGACTGTGGGGAGTTTGACATGGTGCACGAGGGCGGAGAGAGAGACAAGAGGAGGGGCTGGTGGTAATAATTAGACATGATTTGAGTGGCAATCTGCGGCAATACGGGGGGAATGCTTGGGGAATGGGCCAGACCCCGAGTGAGTCACCGGGCGGGGTGGCGCGGGTCTTGCCAGGCCAGAAGAACGTTTTTGCTCGTGCCAGATATCGTCACTTGCTGCCTTGACCGTCAGTTTCCCGCATCTCTCTCTCCTCCTCCTCCCTCCTCCCTCCGTCCTACGTCCCGACCACGTATATATCCTCCTCATCGCCCTCGCTTCTGCACACACCCGCTGCGCTACCATTCGTGCCACTTCGTGCTCCGGAATCGTGTTCCCACTCCAAATCCACCGTATGGGGCCGACCCTCGATGTCCGGCATCTCCAACCACATCTCTATACATACCCTCCCTCGCCTCCGAACTCTACCAATGTGACTGCGCCCCCTTCCCCTCGCTTCCGCGCTCTCCAGCCTTCCGACCACGGATTGTCTGATAAGCCCACGGCTCCCTCTGCCGTCCCTCGACGTACATCCTCGAACGCACTCGAATCCGCTTCCTCTTCCAGGAGCTTCTCCATTGACTCCGAGCCTTCTTTTGCAGAATCCAGGAACAACCAATCTTCCGTTCAAATCTCACGGAAACATCTCCCTCGCAGACCCGCGCCGAGAGCCTTGACTTTACCTTCGTCCTCCACTTCAGAACGCTTTCCGGGTGCATCTCCCCCGAAGACAGCCAGACTCTTATCACGGCGCTCGTCCAGATGTTCTACCGATTCCTCGTCCTCCTCTTCGTCTTCTCATTCTCCCACCCGCAACCGCACTCCCCCCCACTCCTCTGCCGGCATTGGTAGGAAGGTTGCTGATTCTCTGCAGCTGTTCAAGGAGTCGGCGTCTTCGCCGCCTTCGGAGGAGTTTGACCCTCTTCAGATCACAAGGGTGGGCTCTCCGTCGCGACGCAGGACAGGTTCATACCATGCAGACGACGTCGGCGAGGCGCGTTTTGAGTTTGTGAAACGTTCCGATTGGACAGAGCGCGAGGCAGCGGCTATCAGACGCGAGCGAAGTGCGACCGCTCTTGACAGGGTTTATACTAAGGAGAGCATGGGCAGTGTCACTGGGCGCGATGGACGCGACGTGGAGGTTCACCGGAAGAAGGACAGATCAGCATCCGTGCGAGACACTGTTATGGGCGACCTGGCTCAGTGGCGAAAAGATGTTATCAGCAAACAAGACAATCGAGGGCGTCCACGCGAGAGGCCACAGTGGACAGACGAGTCTTGCGTTCACATCGAATCCCCTTCTCGCAGCGCGGACTCATTAGTGGATGTTTCTTCCCACCATGACCTACAGGCGACTGGTCCTTTCATCACCAAGCGTACCCGTCAGTATCCGCCTTCCCCGTCTCCATCTCGTTCACCCGATGGTCGCATCCTTCCTCTCCCATTACACTCCGTCCAGCTGGACACGTCCCACCTAGTCGAAACTCCAGCCATCCTTTCCTTCCCACATCTTCTGTCTGAAGGGTTCCCTGCGAGCCATTCTCGATCCCCCACCCCCATCAGAACGCCTACGTCCGAGCCAGTGCCAGACTACCAGTTATGGTCCACGGACGATGAATCTACATGGGATACGACGTCTATCACCACCAACTCAACCACCTCCGCATCCTCTCCTCTTCCTCTCTCCCCGTCGCTGCCGGTTGACCAGACCGATCTAGCTGTAAGGTGGTCCGCAGACGACGACGATGAGAGAAAGTACGCTGGCTACTCCCCCAACGGCGAGAAGGATCTAGGAGAGGACGAAACGGATCATCTCTTTTTCTCAGGTTTCAACCCGTCCCAAGATAGCTTGCCACATATTCCTCTTCGACCGTTCCGCAATCAAGTGGGTGGGCATAACTCAATCTACAAGTTCACAAAGCGTGCAGTATGCAAGGTTCGCATTCAGCAAATGGCCTTCTGATGATGTATTTGATTCGCTGATTGCTCAATTTAGCCGCTCGTATCTCGCGAGAATCTTTTCTACGAGATCGTAGAGCGAGAAGCACCGCCTCTTCTGGACTTCATTCCCCGTTACCTCGGTGTCATGCTTGTCAGCTATCGTCGCGCTCCGAAGAGCAACGAAACCTCCACCAAACCCTCGGAACATCATTCGGCTCGTCCCCCTCTTCACAAAGCCGCCACCGACTCCGTCACGCCGTCCCCTTCCAATCCGCACAATGTTTCGCCACCTCCGGGCGATGGCGACACGGAGGTTGAGGACGAGTTTCCCGAAGTAGTCTTGGATCGCAACCGACACATCATCCCAGAATGGATGCTCCGCTCATCGCGTCACCGCGCTATGTCACAGTCATGCACGATCGGCTCCGCGATGCCCCGCCATCTCAAGCGGAACTCGCTCACTGGCGCTGCGTCTAGCCCGGATCTCGGATCGCCACGCCAATCGTTAGGCATCAAGTCGGGATCGAACTCGAGTCACAGCCCGAGTCCTCTTTCGCATAGCCAGGGTCTTGTGCCTAGCGACTCGCCAACGACTCCAGCCAACTCGCCCAACGTGCCACCCAAGGCGCTTGGCACCCAGTTCCAGACTCATCTCGTGTCGAGCAGTCAAGCGGGCTTGAGCAGCAGCGCGGACACTGACGATGCATATACGCGTCCGAATTTCAGGCCCTTCAACTCGGAGCAGTCCTATCCACAGTCGCCTCACTCCACTCTCGCTACGAATGGTTGGTTTGGGGGTCTAGGGTCAACGACCGTGAACACGAAGTTGAAAGATCACGTCTTCAGCACCATCATGCGGCGTTTCAGGCGGCGGCAGGGTTCACGGTGGAGTGGTGGAGTGCGGACGGAAGACGAGGGTGAGGTCGCTGACGGGGAGGGCGAGGGCGATGGGATCCTCGGCGATCGTTGCCGTCGACGCACCAAGAAGCTGAGTCAGGTGGAAAGGCTGAAGGAGGAGGCGGCATTTGCGGCGCAACCACTGAGACGTGTACAGAGCGAGGAAAATATAGCTAGCGCGGCGAAGCTGCGTGCGATGGCGAAGATGGAGGCACGCAGGCGGTCTATGGAGAGGCGCAGTGTGAACGATATTTTCGAGTTCGACGAGGAGAGGACGCGGGAGAAGCAGACCACCCCTACCGAAGAGGACGGGGCTCAGCTTTCTCGGCGCAGCCGTTCTCACTCACTCAAGGGACTTCACATGCCCGTTCCATTTAATAGCCCTGACGTCGCACCGGTCCATATCCCCCATTCAAATGGACATGACGTCGATGAGACATTCACTCGCCAGAACCACTTCATCTTAATGGAGGACTTGACGGGTCGCTTGAAGCACTCATGCGTGCTGGATCTCAAGATGGGGACGCGCCAGTACGGAATGGACGCCACATCCTCGAAGAAGAAGAGTCAACGAAAGAAGTGCGACAAGACAACGAGCAGGCGACTCGGCGTCAGGATATGTGGGATGCAGGTGAGTCATTCGTTTTCGCAGTCGGCTGTTCAGATGTCCCCTTTCGTTCAGTGCCGTGCCAACCCCGTTGCTGCTTGCTGTGTCCCTTTGGCCCGTATGGGTTGTGGTTCCCGTCTCTGTGGATTATCGCCCATTCTGACGTGCCTGTTCATTACAAGATTTGGAACCACAAAACGCAGTCCTACGTGATGCAAGACAAGTATCGGGGCCGAGAGGTCAAGCCAGAAGAGTTTCCCTCGGTTCTGGCATCGTTCCTGCACGACGGCGAACGACTGCTTGCTCACCAGATCCCCGTCATCCTCGCAAAGTTGTACGCCCTTGCGCGCATCATCTATCGTATGAAAGGCTTCCGGTTCTACGGCTGCAGCCTCCTCCTCATCTATGACGGCGACCGTGAAGTACAGGACGTACTCAAGTCTGCCGTCCTCGAACGTCCATCTTCTCGTAGCAAGCGCGGCGAGTCGCTCGAGCGTCAGAGCAGAAGCCGGCGCACTGCCTCTGTGCACAGTCCCCATCGCCCCGCACTTCGTCGCTCGCACAGTGAAGACGTCCTCGTCGGGCCACTTGACCAACGCTGCAGTCGCAAGCGCAAGCGCGGCGAGGTAAACATTCGCATTGTTGATTTCGCACACATGACGACTGGGCGCGACTGGCTCCCATATCCGGCCGACCTGGACTGTCGCCCGGTTGGAGAGGTGACGAGCGGGACTGGCTACAAAGCGGAGGTGGATCCCGAGACAGGACTCATCTATGCGCGGTTCCCGCCACATTACCCGGAAGAGCCAGATCGCGGCTTTTTGTTCGGGCTGAAGAACCTGGCTGAGACACTGGAGAAGATCTGGAACGACGAACGTATTCGGCGAATCAAGATTTCGCGCGACGATCCTGAGGCGGTGAAAGACCAGCTGCCGCCCTTGTCGGTTCAAGGCAAGGCGATTTTCGAAAGGATTTTCGGCCCCGAGGAAGATGACCAGGGTATGCTGTCGACGTGAGCGTCTGGCTCCGTCTGGCTCCGTTTATCTGTACACACATTTCTACCCCTTTTCCGATGTAAATTTTTGTCTGCTCCCCTCGTAAATTGCTCCCCGTACATCCGCATATACATTCTCCCACATCGTATCGTATCGTATTGATTCTCGGCTTCCTCTCCGCACTTCTCTGGTCTGTGCTGTAGCCTCCTTGATATCCAGCCCCTCATACTCCCTCTAATGGTGTTTCTCGTAGGTCCTTGTCCGTTTGTTCGTACTAGTATGAGCATCCACGGTCATGTAGTCTTTGTGTATTTACGAAATAACTACTGTACATTCTTTTTTTGTCCCAGGCTTCATAGATTTGCATGCCGTTGAGAATGTAGATTCCGCTAGACTGCTGATGCATATATAGAATTTTGTTGCATTCATTAAGGAGGGTCTTTGTGTTCCGTGTTGCGTTCACAGGGAGTGAACCTTCAGGCAATGACGGTGGAAGGAGCCCATTGATACTTCATACAGCTGAAGTTACGAGTCATTGACCACCATTACAACATGCATCCTCGGAAATGGGATCTAGGTCACTTCAACGCCGGAAGCGAGCCAAGGGTTAGATCGAGGACCACCAGTCTACAGGAATTGTTCGAGAACATCTACATCTATTCCTCCTGAATATATTTGTGGCGAATGTCCTTCCACTGCTTCTGTGCACGAAGAAAGCACGACGGTCAGACTGGCATCGATATGATGACAGGTGAGCACGTACCCCACGGTTCCAGGAGTCCCAGAATGAGCTGATTCCGACGTCAAAGCCGATACCAAAGGCGAAAGCGCCAGCGAAGATAGACGTCACGTAGACGCCTGAACGGAGAGGAGCAAAAATGAGTAACAATTCGAGGGCGGTGGAACTTGAGAGGCTCACTGTTTCGCTTGACGAGAGTGTTATAAAACGTATTGGCGAGCTGAGGGATGCCTGCTTAGTGTCGACAGAGAGAATGCAAAGTTGACGAGGGATCATACCGCCATGTTTTGTATGATGATGACCGTCTGGACTGAGATTATGTTCTACTATGCAAGCGCGTCAGACTGCAGCCGCTTGCTCCGCTCTTCTCCGAACTGCCTCATTTGGCAAGCGACACGCTCTTGGTACAAGTCACTCCTCGATAAATCGACATGGCACTACAAGTCCTGCGAGCCTCTTCACTATCCACCCTCAGACAGACGCGTCTTGCATTCTCGACATCTACATGGCGCGCAGAACAGGCCTTGCAGCCTGCAATTTCCTCTACCACGCCGCAGTCTGAGGCTTCTTCAAGTAGCCAGGACGGCCCACCGGAAGCACCTCCAGGATTATATTCGCCCTTCAGGCCTACATCTATTGCGGCCAAATTATCCGACCCTCAATTCCAACTCCATGTCAAATGCACGCATAACAACACAATCATCACACTTACATCCCCAGAAAATCGTCCGGTTCAAAGAGGCATCTGGTCGGGTGGGCTATGCGGGTTTAAGGGTGTCAATCGTTCGGGGTACGAGGCGGCGTACCAATGTGCGGTGAGGGCCTTTAAGAGGACAGAGGAGCTCATGCTCGAGAATCCGGTTATGAAGTTAGAGTTGTGCATGAAGGGATTCGGGCAAGGGAGAGACGCGGTCTCAAAAGCACTTATGACCAGTGAGGGGGAGAAAGTGCGGAAGGTGGTGAATCGCATCACGGACAAGTCGCCTATCAAGATAGGTGGAACGAGAGCAAAGAAGGCGAGGCGTTTATAGTCGTTCGTGAGTGCTTTTCGAGCAGTTCTCTTACATTTTGCTGACCATCGCCGTCAAGGTCTTCTTGTTACGTTGGTTCGCGTGTAGATATTACTGTCGCTAATACCGTTGCTGCTTTACTCTCTCTGGGCTTCCTTTCTTAAGGATGTTAGGCAGCGTGCTAGGTCTGGCACAACTCTATGCACCGATGCAACGCAAGGTTAGCCATAAAGAACCATGAAGTTTGAAGCTGCAGACTGATGATTCTCTCCTCATCCGACAATTTGTTCATTATGAGTTTCTATCATACGTGCTGCAACGAAAGCCCTTTCTTATATTATGATCTGTGCATGTCTCGCTCTGTGATGTCGATTTCTTTCAGATGCATACAATCACAAGTTCTAGAAATGCTGTAGGTGATTTACAGTGATCTACACCAAGGAGGTCCATGGACTGTTCAAGCTAGACTTCTCTCGGCTCGGTCTCGAGACTCTGTGGTCCCGCTCGCTGACGACACCACTCGGCAGCACTCGGCACACACCGTAGGGCTTAGTGCCGCCATGGCACCTCATCACCTTCCGTCTCATCTCTCTGTCTTCACCCTTATTCACTCCCTCTTCGTATCCTGTATCGACCTTCAGCACAGCGTGGTACCCGACATCCACTCCTGCCTTCATCCTGCTTACAATGGCCGCTGCAGCTTCTGTTGCACAAGGCGCGGCTAGCACGCTGTTGCCGCCTGCTCGAGATATCCCGTCGACCTTCACCGCCAGCCTCAAGAGTTGGTGAGTCTCGTTAGGCATACACTCTTCTAATTCATCTCTGAATGGTCCCCTTATAGGTGGGCTGCTGGAGAGAAGGAGAGTGCTGCTAGTGAGGAACGTCTGCTGAGGTAAGTGTCTCTAATTTACGACCTCTGTCAGTTCGACTGTAAATCTAACATGAACTGAGGCGCCTACCATTCTTCCGTTCTACTTCCACCCCCTCTCTATCCGAAGACGACACATCTGTCATTGCGCGCAGTTCTAAGGTGCCGCTATCAGCTAGCAAGCAGTTCCTCAACACAGTTTCCTTCACTCCTACTACGCCTTCTCCTGATGCACCGCCTCCCGCTGTACTCCTTCATGGCTACGGTGCAGGCCTTGGCTTCTACTTCCTCAACTTCCCCACTCTCGCACAGTGGGTCGGCTCCCGAGGATCATCAGCTTATGCCCTCGACTGGCTAGGCATGGGCCGTTCCGCGCGTGTTCCATTTCGCATCAAAGCAAAGCGTGAAGACATCGCTGGTCGTGTACGCGAGGCGGAGTCGTTCTTCGTTGACTCTCTCGAGCAATGGCGTGAGCAGATGGGGCTGGAGAAGATGACCCTTGTAGGGCACTCGCTGGGCGCCTATTTTAGCGTGGTTTACGCGCTGAAATATCCTTCACGGGTGAATAAGCTCGTGCTGCTTTCTCCGGCAGGAGTACCTCGCGACCCGAATAATACCATGCCATCAAGAGAGGTCACCGATGGACAATCGATAGGTTCCGAAGGGCCCGAGGTGGCTACCACTGGTCGCGTTGATGCACTCAAGCATGAGCAAGCCGAGCAGAAGCGGAATCAGAGCAGATCGAGCAAGCTTTTCACGTATTTGTGGGAGGAAGGGTGGAGTCCGTTCCAAGTAGTCCGTTCCACTTTGTTCTGGGGACCCATGCTAGTCGGGAAGGTTGGTCTCGATTGTGTTGTCTTTGCTCCTTGGCATATTGACAATTTCCCTTGCAGTACTCTTCCCGTAGATTCTCCTCTCTCAGCGAGGAGGAAACACGCGATATGCATGATTATATCACGAATATCACTCTAGCTAAGGGTTCCGGAGAATACTGTATATGTGAGAATATCCACCATACCTCAGCGCCCGGGTATCTAATACCGTTCATTACAGCACATATCCTCGCGCCAGGAGCGCACGCCCGTATGCCGCTCGTTGACCGCATCGCAGCGCTGAAGGTTCCAGTTACCTTTGTTTGTGAGTGTCTACCTTTACCTCACTACAGTCTCGGCTCAACTTGAAGCAGATGGCGAGCATGATTGGATGGATCCCGCCGGTGGTGTGAAGTCTATAGATAACCTCCGTGCCGCGGGCAATGCTGAAGGCCGGATGTATGTGATTCCTCGCGCTGGTCACCACGGTGAGTCGATCTTTATACCTTGATCAATACAAGAGGATGCTGATCTTCAACCTGTCAGTATACCTGGACAATGCTAAGGCTGTGAACAAGCTGCTTTTGAAAGAGCTGGATCATAAAGGACATTGAGATGATGTTCGGATTTTGTCTCATCAGATTGATAGAGATGTTCCTTTTCGTATTTTTGTACTTACCTATGTAGATCAGTACTCTGCATCATAATTTCTATATTTCTCAGCAGCTCGATGGCAGGTGCAGAGTTTGTGATCTGGCTGTTGGGTATTCATACTGATGATATACTTTGAATGCTCGCAAGCGTGTCACTGGTAAAGTGACGAAACCCTTCAAACCAGCCTAACACTTTTTGATACTAATCATAACAGTACTTCGCGATTGAATCAGGCTTTGCGAAGGTTTTGAGACATGGCAGTAGCGGTGTGTGCGGGGCTGTACGGCCCGGATGTCCACGGCGTGCTCACCATGCGGCGCGCACTTCAGTAAATTTGTTCCTTTGTTCTGCTTTCTCAATTACTCGTTCCTATCCACGGATTACCGAGTCGCAATGGCGAAGAGCAAGAATAAGAAAGCCAAGACCACAGTATATGATGAACCGGACGATGGAAAATACATTGTCATAATGAACCCCTTCGGGATGAGGGCGGGCGCGCGAAATGACAAAGATCTGCAGATACTTTCTGGTTGGCTGGGCGAAATCTTTGGTCGCCGTATCAGTGTATCTGCTGTATACACCATGTCAACCGTATGTGCATTCCACACAACTGACCTATCGATGTCCTGCTGAAGCCGTCCGTGTGCGCACTGCGCGTTCCGTAGAAGGATTACATTATTGTCCAGCTCCCCATGGATTTAGATGTTTTACCTATAGTAGGCTGTCACAAGTGGACCGAGTTCCTGACGAAGTGGGATAATAGCGACAGTCCTGAGTCTTTAATCTTCCAGTACAACTACAGGAAGAAAGGAGATCCTGCTGATAGTGCGTGTCCCTCAGGACAGGGCGGCATGCGCTCACATAGGTACAGATAATTGGGTCATACGGACCTCAAGGGATGTATCACCGCCTGACGGCATTTTCGTCAAGCCGTATCCATCTCCAAGCTGGGCGGCAGTACCGCCGCAACTTAGCAACTACAATATGGTACTTCCCCTTCCTCCGCATCTCAAGCGCCCATCTACTCCGCCAGCAGAGGTGGCTCCCAAGCTTGAGAATGAGCCTCAAGTCAAACCAGAAGTGAAAGCTGAGGTGGTCGATGGTGCGGGTTTGCAGGTGTAACACCGATTCACCAAGGATCTGACTGTCATCTAGTAAAGCCATTTGGGCCGAAGTTGGACCCATATGAAGCAGGTAATTTGTTACATGGGAGCATAGAAAGTATCCGGCATGGACGCCTTCTGACATTCATCTGTGTATAGAAGATTTAGCATTGCAGTCTCTCCAAGCGGTAAAGAGCGAGCCGATGGACAGTGAGTATCAAGTGTGAACCTCATGTAAAGTGTTAGCCGATCTTGGAGTAGATATCATGACAGAACCTTCTTATCATGATTATGCGCAAGATAACAAGAGCGGTGAGCGCTTGTCAAGTTGTTCACTTGTCTACATCTTATCAATATCCAGGGCAACCCTCTCTGGAACTACAGGAGGCATTTGCTCGGTATCAAGCGACTGAAAGTCAAGTATTTTCCGGTATGTTTGTGATCATGCTGAGAACTTGGCTTTATACGAGTTTACAATCATCGCGCTAGCACATTCTATCAAGTCGGAGCCCTCCGATCCACAGCATCAGAGGTTAGCAAGGTCTGAAGGTGAAGGATCCACTATTGTTCCAGATCCAGAAAAGGAACGAGTGAAGCTAGAGCGGGGATTGCCGCACCGTATGTCAAAATTTGCAGTCACTTACACTTCATTATTTTGACCTTCATGTCTGTCTAGACGCTAATATCAAGATGGAGTCGAACGGTAAGGACTCGAGTAAACACACCTTCCAGTATTCTGACCTGGTCTACAGAACAGTCTGAACCTTCACAAAGATTACGTGAAGCTTTTGCTCGATATCAAGCCGCACAAACCCAAGTATCTTCCGGTGCGCGCTATGGTTGCGCTCTTACTGACTAAGAGCATGGAGTGACTTGTGTCTATCGTAGTGGATCACTCTGTCAAGTCAGAGCCATTGGACCCTCGTCAATATCAGAGTGGGTCACAGTCATTCGGGCGTCACCCTGAAAATGCTTTGAATAGGTCTGAAGGTGAGCTTTCCATGGTCACAATTTGGATGGACTAGATCAACCGATTCGCGCAAAATGTTTGAGTGCGGTGTTCAAGCTGACTCACCGACATGTTCCGCAGAGTATTCATCACAGTCAGAAAATAGTCAGTACAGCAATGGTAAGCTCGACCGCTCACTTTCATCGACTCTCAGATCATCTATCTCTCTGGTGGACCCATAACGTGAGGATTCTGAAGCATTGGATTTTCGCCTCCCAGTCATAGCCGGAAAAATAGCATACGAAGTCACTCGCGATCCGAGACAAAGGACAAGTACGTTTTGATATCTGTTCTCATCGATTTTGAGTCCCTCAGCCATGAGCCACTTGATAGGACCTTCTCATACCCTCCCTAAAAGGCCCTTTCCAACCTCTGAGGATCGTAATCACGGTAAGATTCTCTTTTTTTAACCTTCGCGAATTCGGCGAGTCCATAATCTGAGCATATTCCCCGGCCTTCGACGCTTTTAGAGCTGCCGAAGAAAGCCAAGACTGAAGGTGATTCTTGAAATAGGATCTCACCCGCTTGTTCAACACCCACTCATCTCGAGGCCACTGATACCGTGTATAGAATATGATTAAAAGTGTAGTTTATGACTGTATTTTGTGATCCTTGTACACGAGATGGGATACAAGTTCAAAGCATTACTATTGTGGCCTCCTACAAAGAATTAATTTGGTAGATTTGCAAGCTCTAATAAGTGACGGGGCAACCATACAAACTCTACTACCGGAGTCGACATGTATCCATTATGTGCTGCAAGTCCGTGGAGCACCCAGAAGACAATAAGTTTCACGAAGGAGACCAAAACAAAGAGAGACACGAAACTCAGGACAAGCTGAGATCTGAAAAATTGGCTAAGCGACATTGGTGTGAGGGTGGAACACGGAACGCCCTAGTAAAAGGCGAGGGCGTTGTCTGTTTGCACCACCCTCTGCCGCTGTAATGTACTGTGGGAATCAGCGCCGGACGCACCGAGTTTTGTATTTTGCTCCGATGGCGGGTGTTGCCTCAGGCGCGACCAAGCACCTGCGCACCTAGTAGGTCAGTTGGCATCGGTCAACCCACTGCCTCAGCTCTATGTCGGAAGACAAGCTTAGGACTCTTGCTTCTACTTCAATATACTTCCTCGTCGCTGCGTCAAAAATATGCACTCCAATAAGCTCGCTGGACCTTCTCACCAGTATCATATCCCACGGAACACCTGCTGGGCTGTTGGATGCATTAACGCCTGCACCTTGCTTTCGTTTGACTGACTTGTCACGATTTGAGCTTATCCTTGATTCATTCGCATGGCAATGGGACAGGGGACAGATGACCGTGAGTCACGACGACGACGGGCTCACAGTCATGGACATCCAACTCGGTTCAGGGAGCAATGACGCGCTTTCAGGACTTAACAGTGGCGGAAGGAAGCGTAAAAGGGTCAAAGATGAGGATGCGGATTCTGCTGCTGGTAGCGGAGACGATGCCGAGGATGTTTACGAGGTCAAGAAGCCTATCTCTGCACTAGGGGGCCTCAGTAAACAGTTTAAAGAGGTCTATTCCATCTTGCAGAAGAGTACAGCCAAGGGGCGCCTCCTCGCCGAACAGGTATGTCTCTTACGGATCAGTATCCCTGTGTTTATCACAATGTGTATACAGTTCCGATCCGTAAACGCATCCTTTGAACCGATTTGTGCACATATCACCAAAGACGACTGTGTCAAATCGCGCGCAGCGGGTTCTAACCCACTGCCGGGTATCTGCGATCGCGTTCATTTCCGCCCACTCCTTCGCCCACACACCGATACTGCCCTTGGACACTGCTCTTACTTGAACACATGTTATTCTGAGCCTACATACGCGCAGTCGCCGTCTATCCCCCCACTACCCTCCGCGCAGAACCAATTCAATGCCCAGTGGCCCAAGCCTCAACTGCCATCGGGCTTGGGCGCTGGTGGGAGAGGCAAAGAGAAAGCTCCGTGCAGATACTTGCATTATGAAGTCGACTTCGACCCCGGTGACGCAGGTCAAGAAGAGAGGAGGGAATATAGAAGGTCGAAAAAGTCCTGCAGATTGGAGATCGGGCAGGGACCTATGGGCAAAGAGATGTCGGTGGTAAACACCAATTTTTTTCCACCCCCAGAGGGTAATAACTCATCTTACTTGAATATACAGCTTCCTCCACAGTGGGTCAATTGTGATTTGCGCAGATTTGATTACTCTGTGCTGGGTAAATTCCACGTCATCATGGCGGACCCACCATGGGACATTCACATGAGCGTACGTTGCATCATATATCTAAATATGTCCTTCCATAAACATCGCGTGCCCAGTTGCCGTACGGAACTATGACCGACGATGAGATGCGCGCAATGCCCATTCCCATGCTCCAAGACGAAGGATTACTATTCCTCTGGGTAACGGGGCGTGCGATGGAGGTAGGCCGCGAATGCCTCCGTGTATGGGGTTACACGCGGATAGATGAAGTCGTCTGGGTGAAGACCAATCAAGTATTGCTCTCCCCCTCACCGTCTCTGCGAAGACTAACCGCTCATCTCCACAGCTGCAACGTGTCATCCGCACTGGACGTACTGGCCATTGGCTCAATCACACCAAGGAACATATGCTTGTCGGCATCAAGACACACGTCGATGCCGAAGGCAACCTCAAATTTCCCTCGTGGGCAAACCGCGGGCTCGACACGGATACCATCGTGTCCGAGGTGCGCGAGACAAGTCGCAAGCCGGACGAAGCATATGGGCTCATCGAGCGGATGTGCCCTGGCGGTCGCAAGATCGAGATTTTTGGTCGGAAACACAACGTACGGCCGGGGTATGTGCATCCCGCATCCTGTTCGCCCTTTGCTGCATTGACTTGATCCCGCATAGCTGGCTGACGCTTGGTAATCAATTGGGAGGCGATCAGATATTCGAAGAGGATCTGGCCGCTAGGATTAAAGCAAGGTGAGCTGTGCGGCTCGAGCCGCTTAGTTGTGGTTATTGATAGTCTATATTACAAGGTATCCGGAGCGAATCATCAACGCCCCTACAGGGCCTACGGGCGTGAACCACCCACAGCACTGAACGTTACAGTTGAATAACAATGCGGAAAGGACTTTGTAAATATAATTCTTGGGTTTTGGGTTTTGGGGGCTGCTTTCTCTGTATAGGTACTCGCTGCATGTGAATATCAACACGTCTGATGCAATTCTTGACCTCGTTGAGGAGCGTAGTGCATCCATGTATCGCACAAAGATTTGCGCAACAAAGGAGTTGTATCTGACCCCTGTTCGTTTTCACTGGACAACACTTTCACAGCCGCACGGCTTGTTCAACCTACCAACTTGTGAGTTCTCAAGTAACAAATGCGGTAGAGCTATTTGGGTGGATTCGGGAACACTACAATCTGAGTTTCTCCTCATATCCTCAAAATGATGAAGTATTATTCACAACGTTCACGTACATTCGAAGCCCGAAACGGATTTGGCTCTCAGTGAACAACATATGGGGTTGGGGGGCATTATACTTAATCTGTGCGAGAAGTTAAAGACGGCGATGTATCAAGGATTGGGCTCGGAGAATATTACGAGGATGGTGTCCATCAGTTGTCCACGAAGTCTTCAACTTCCGCGCTCCATCCAAGCGTCTCTGGCGTGATCCCGATCCTCCTCAACATGAGGCCGATTGTTTCTTCTTCCTTCTCCTTTTCTTCCACAACTTCGCCCGATCCCGCTCCACCGTCTTGAAGAATCTCTTCGGCCGTGTTGACCTTACCACTCTCCTTCTCGTCCCAGCCCCACCCCCATTCCCCAGTTTTTTGCTTGTCGACACCTACATCTTCCTGGGAAAAGTCTCGGACGACTCCCCAAAGTTCATAGGCTGCTTCTCTTCCGACCTCAGTCCACTTCCACGTTAACTCTTTAAGCTTCTCTTCATCGCCATCCCGCTTAATCTTCACTGCGCGTCTGAGGGTCGTGACTTGGCGTTCGAGGGACTGGATCTTTGCAGTCGGCAGGATGATGGTGCGCGGTTGCGGATTGCTCGATCCTCCAAAGGGAGACTTGAACTGTGACGCGGCTCGAGAGGCGAGCGCTAGCTTGGTCATAGTGCGGTTGACATTGGCAGGGCTCCTGGAACCAGACTCAGACTTATGAGGGGGCGATCCTGTATTTATGCCATGTCCTGACGAGAGAGCTTTGTCGTGCTCAGATGTAATTGTGCCGTTCCAGGGAACAACCTTGGCCATCAGAGGTGATCGGAAGGGAGTGACGAGTTTTCGACGTGAAACTTGCTGCGATGCTAGAGTTGGACGCTTGGGGACGGCTACGGGCAGGCTACGAGGAGGTGATGATTGTATATCGTCTCTTCTCTAATTGACATGCAGACATTGAATACATCGAAAGAGAATATGCGAATAGCCTACCAGACGCTTGTTTGATCCGTTTTTGTGCTCTGGGGGTGGCGAAGACATCGTTCGCTGCAATAGACGTTACGAGAAAGTTAGAGAGGCTTGCCCTTCCAACGTACCTTTTCTACATTAGCTTTCCTGTTCCTATTCATAGTCGGAGATGATCGAAAAGGCAAGCCGCTCTCTGATTCACCATCAAGAGAACGGTCCCTGGCGCTCGGCATCATGCGCAAGGAGCTGACAGGTGAATGAGAAGCTGGACTTAACGATGGATGCACTCCGTAGTAAAGATCAGCCGACGAGAGCACTGGAGAAGAGCCAGATGGGACGATAGTTGTGCCACAGTTTAGATCTCCTGGCGAGAGTACTCGATTGGGAGACGAGATGAGCGAGGATCCAGGACAGCCAGAGCCATAAGGGTCACCAGAAGGTGATAATCCAGAGTTGAGTCCAACGCTCGAAACAACTGTGATATCTTCTACACGATGCGCAAGATTGCTGAGGAATCCATTTCCCGATTTGACGGCGGAAGACACGGGAGATACAGGATTTAATATCAAGGTCAGTGATTTATGAGAAGGCAGGACAGAAGTATAAGAGCCAGAATCGGAGACGCCAGGCTTGGGAGACAACAGAGATTCAGCAGTAAAAGGCATTTCCTTTTTCGAGTGAGGGTCGTTCATTGGCGAGATTAGCGGGTTGGTTCCAGAAGATGTTAAATTCTCAACGGTCGCAGGACGAGACGGAACCAGAGCATGCAGAGACGATAGATGAACTGGATCCCTATGGGCAAAAGAAATCTGACCGCTCCTGTCTCGGGTGGAAGGTTCACCTGTTTCCTGAAACCATATGAACAATTAACATCGAGACCTCGGCTTGTCCAAGTGATGGGGAGGTGGCATATCTACCAAAGGATCATCACAATCTGAATAACCCCAATGATTTGAATTCTCTTGTGAAATGGGCGCAGAAGGGTTGACGTCGCGAGCCGGACTAGAGCTCATGAAAGGAACAGAGGACGGGGCAGGCGAGGAAGATGACGGGAGATGTTCCTCAGTGCTGATATCTGGCGAGTTCGAACGTAGTGGGCTTTTATCCTAATTTAGAGAAGCGATCAGATACCCTATGACAGGAGTTAGGTGGCGAATACTTTTTGTGGAGTATCCTGCGTAAGACGAACGAAGGCAAGTTCAGCAAAGGCAAGCTCGGAGTCCTCCGCCAGTAAAGTTTGGGGCATCACAACGAGATGACTCGTACCGCAACCGATGGAGAGGAGACAATATCCTCGACAATCTTCAAGACATCAGAGTCGCCTTTAGATGAGTGTTCTAGTGACCCCATGATGTCCGTGTATTTGTTGACCGTGGCTTCATGGGGTAGGCCACCTATTGAGCAAGCGGTGTCGCTTACATCTTGGTTCAATGATCGTTTGGGAGAGCGTGTTGTCGCAGACTTCTTATGATTGGTGAATGGATGAGAACGTCAACACGCATATATGCACATTTGTCTCCATGCACTGAGATCTCACTCAAACATCAGACTCACCACATCAGTGCTTTCAGGCCCTATATCCTGCATTACATCAAATCTCGACTACAGGGAGATTTGAAAGGTCACGAGCAGTGACACAGGCTGCCAATTGTCCTCACCTCTGCAGATAACACCAACCAAGGCCCAATTCTGGAAGATTCTTCGGATGGCGACATCGGAGGATAGATCTGTCAAGACAGGATTCATGGATTGAGATCCTACAAATCGTAAAACAACATACGATTGGCAGGTAAGACATGTTGCATATAGTCTGAGTTAGCGGGGTCCTTAATTGGATGCCGGTGGTATATATGCCATATTTACTTGTTGTTGACGTGTTGTTTGTCTCCCTTTCCCCCTGACACCTCACACGAACCTGGAGTTTTTATTATTCGGTGTAGCAGCCGAAATTCGATATATGCTTTATGGTCGTCGTCAAATCAACGTCAATGATCTGACGATCTGACTTGCAGGTGTGTTCCTTAAATGAAGTGTTTAGACAGGTTTAGACCCCACGCAGCCAGACGCGGCCAGACGCTCACCGCGGCCAGACTATGTGCTACTACACGGAACGGCTCTCTTCTGTGTAAGGTCAGCTACAGAGACTAGTGCGCTACATGCTTTCAACGCATGACATGCAAACAAGTCACCCGCATTATTTGCATGTCCCGTTTAACGCTCAACCTCAAACGACCTTCCTGCTATGTACCTCCCACACTTCTATTAGCATAACGAACGACGAATCTATCTCTATGTGTCCAAGATGGCTCCCACCCCACTGCCTGAGAAAATGAAACTGCAACTTCTATGTTTGCTATATAGGATGCTATAACGGTCCACGGAGGCGATGGTGGTAATCTCCCTTCCCGTGCGATTATAACCACACATTTCTCCGACTTCCGAATGTAGGGATACTTCTCGTGCGGCAAAGCATATTAAAGACTCATAATCTCTGGTTGACCTTGCTAGGAAGTTTACTCTTGCTGAAAATGCGCCTCCTCTTCGCGGTTGTCGTCTCAACTTTATCCTTGATTGCTTCTGCGTCCCCCGTGTTCCGCGTGGGCATCACAGTACCCCTCACACGGCATGTGCGCTTTGCGAATGGTAATGGTGTATCAAATATGACGCTGTTGCATAGCCACCTCGCAGCAGTACAGGGAAAACTTCGAAGAGGCTTCGAGGCGTTTAAGCAGAATACGGGCACTCAGCATCCTAGCGACAATGGTCATCTTCATAAGCGGGCTACGGGTGCCGACAAGCTTACTGATAATGAAGGCGCACTTTGGCAAGGTGGTATCTCCGTCGGTAATCCTGCCAAAGATTTTACTGGTAGGCGTCTCACACTCAACAACATCTGACTAGAAGCTGATCATTGCGTATAGTTGACTTTGATACAGGTATTTTCGTAGTATTTTGTGCAATCTGCGTTGATGTCAATCGGTGGTGACATAGGCAGCAGTGACCTCTTCCTACCAGGGACTGATTGTACTGTGAATTGTGAAGGACATACTCTATATGACCCTGATGCAAGTTCGGAGTCCTCCGATACCGATACGCCATTCAGCCTCGCATTCGGCGATGAGTCGACTGTTCAAGGGACTGTTTTTAGGGATACTGGAACAATAGCTGGCTTAACAGTACGATCATGTGCTCCTGCCACTTGCATCGAACTCCCTAAAGTTGCCTACAGGCGAACAAACAAGCAATTAATGATGCCAACCGATTCTCTGCTGGGTTTGCCATCGATGAGCTTCCTCCAGACGGGCTCTTGGGGATGGCGTTCCCTCAAATATCTGTCTTTGGTGAGAACCCCTTCTTCCAAACCTTGGTCGCGCAAGGAACGGTTACTGCGCCCGAATTCGCATTCAAATTGGCTACCTCGGGCTCGGAGCTCTTTTCGGGTGGAGTCAATGACAATCTTTTCACAGGCAGTTTTACCGAACTACCTGTTACGACAGCGGTATGCTCGTTCCCCTGCTAATTAGATAGGCGTCATGTAAACAACACTTACACTCCTTAGGGCTTCTGGGAGGTCGATCTAGACTCGGTCAATGCGAACGGAGACACTGCTGTGACCGGCTTGTCCGCTATTATCGACACCGGCACCACTCTGATAGTTGGGGATGCCGATACCGTTGCACAATTTTATGCCTCTGTTCCGGGTGCATAGGATGCTACGAATGCTGCAGGCCCCGGTTTTTTTACCTGTGAGTTTTGTGTCCTTCAAAGCTATTATGGTCCACTTACTTTGGCCTAGCCCCATGCGCTTCTGTTCCCAATGTTAGTTTGACTTTTGGTGGCACTGACTTTCCTATGTCTGCGGATACCTTCAACTTAGGTCCACTGTCTGCCCGCTCGTCGCAATGCGTTGGCGGCATTGCTGCCGCTGACCTTGGGCGTAGGCTCCTAAATTCCTATTTTTAATTGCTCCGAGCTCATTCAATACATAGCTTTTTGGGTTGTCGGAGACATTTTCCTCCAGAATGTTTATACGTGTAAGTTCTGCAGCAAAGTGATATAGTTGTGCTTACTCACTTGACTACTACAGCGTTTGACGTTGGGAACACAAGGGTTGCGTTCGCAACATTAAGCTGAACGATTCTCCCCAGGGCGCTCCTTGCGAACTCTAAGAACACTGTATTCCCAATGTAGTTGTATGCAGATATCAACGTCGAAACCCACCGTCGAAAGTCGGTAACAGATATCATCCCGATAAATATTGTCAAGGAAGAGCCGGCCATATGGTCTGAGCCAACTAAGACTTGTACAGCTCGCAACTCCTCATATGATGACTCCTCTATTTAATATCACCGGCGTCCACTCTGCACCTTGCCAACTCTGGAATCTCCGCGCTCACTCCGTTTTCGGAGTTTTTCCTGTCTCTTACTTAGGTTCTCTGGTGGGTCCTGTGTTTCTTCGGCACCAGACGAGGACGGTCTTCCCAACAGCACAGGAGATATGAAGGAGTACCACAATTTGTAGAAAACATAGACCGGTATCTGAAATGAGAGTGAGACAATAATTCACGGATGGCTGCGATGAGATGATGTTCGTACCGCTGTGAATAGCCACCATACCCACTCTCCGAATATTGCGCTCCCTATTTGTGTAGCCCCTACGAGGTGTCAGCCAGTAACTCAGAACTGATGGTAGCGGGCTCACATGCAACGTAGAGGACGTCGAACATCCATTCTGTCACGCCGGGCTGGTTCAAATCCTCTCCCGAAGAAATCAATTGTCCAGTGTTATCACGTTTCGGAGTTCCCATTTTTACCAATCGGTGGTAGATGAACTGAGAGACAATGAACGAGAACGTGAAGAAGAATGCGACTTTCTTCGTCGTGTGGGTCTTGAGCAGCCATCGCACGACAAGTGGTAGAAGGTGACTCAGGAGTTGCCCATAGAATAGATTTTGAATGACTGTTTCATTCTGGGAGGCTGAAGAATGATATTGGGTCAATAACAATTACGAATCGAAAGGCGGAGAAACGATGTACAGACCTGTCTTCTTGGCAGAGGCGTTAGCCATGACCAGCAGGATGATCAAGAGAACGTGATAACAAGTGTAAACACACGCGTCGCGCTCGATCTTACACCCAATTTAAATAAGCGTGTCAAGTGCGCTTGAGCATACACATCATCGCTCAACCTGCGATCAACCGTTTAGTTCGAAGGCATCATCAGAGGTCAGATGAGCCCTCCAACAATACTGCCTGTGGGGTCAATCAAAGAGCTCGCTCAAACCGCGGCGCAGTCCAACAAAGAACATCAGTATGCACTCAAAGTCTATACCGAACGATTGCAGGCTGAGCTCGACTCGGTTGATAAATTGTTGGTACGCATCCCGTTAGTCGCCGTCTGTGAGCAGCCCATTCATCTAAATTACAGTCGGTGGCGGAATGTGTGGAAGACGAGGGCAATGGTGGCTCCAAAGGGTCTATCCTCATCCCTGGATCCAAAAGACCTACCGGACTTTTATCAAGCGTAGATTTTACCGCAGAGGTAGGAAGCTTCCAATCACATAAGAGTTTCACAAATATAACATTTATCACAGGATTCCCCTTTCAGGGCCCATAGTGAACGACGCAACCGATTCATTGAACTCACCGAGATGCATCCTAGTTCGTGGCTATGTGTACTAGTAAAGCCAATTCTGATTTTCTTTTACTAGTGAAATCCAAGGAGTTGGAAAGCCTAGCAGAAGCTGTTCGCACCGAAAATTATCGCATATACGCTTACGAATCACAGAGACGGTAAGTCAATACTATGTTTTTCCGTAAATTGATTGTGTGACACTAACGTCCTCTGTGATACAGAGGTCTTCAACCATTCTTTGGTGCGCATGAACAGCCTAAAAATCTCGAGATCAATAAAGATGGCCTCGAGTGGGAGCGAATTGCAGAAAAAGTAGATTCGTGTCTCCAGCGACCAGTTTATCGTTGTTCTCAATCGTCTTTCTAGGTCAACAGCGATTCAACTTCCGCTATCACCCGCACTTCGATGGAATGTGAGGTTCGTTGGTTAGGGGACCGTCATCCGGAATTCAACCATACGACCTGGATGGGCGAAGAGATTGCCAAAGCTCGGGCACTTGTAACTGATGTTCCGGAAGGCCAGGTGGACTGGTACGAAATTGCCAAGAAACTCGGGGTATACTTTCATATCATCGCGCCGGTCTCCCCGCTCACTGTGATTGCAGACGAATCGAACGCCTCTGGATTGCATGCGCCATACGATTCCCCGTGCCACCCAAAGTTGGACAGCAGATAATGACCACAAGTTAATTCAATCTGTGGAAAGATATGGCACAGAAAACTGGCATTTGGGTATGGCCTTCCACATATAACCAGTTTTCGATGACTGAAATGTGCTCTTAGTTGCTAGAAATGTTTCTGAAAACGCTCAACCTGTTCAATGCCAACATCGATATCTGCGTACTCTGGATCCATTGCTGAAGAAAGGCAATTGGACGCCAGAGGAAGATCAGAAATTGCGCCAGGCAGTTGCCTTCTATGGACACGCCTGGATCGAGGTTGCATCAGTCATTCCTGGAAGGAACAACGAACAATGTCGTGACCGATATTCGGAGAGATTGAACCCGAAGAACGCGAGGGGCAAATGGACCGAGGAGGAGGACGAAAAGCTACTCTCTGCTGTCGCGGAGTTGGGTGATTCGACATGGAAAGCGATCAGTGATAAGGTCGGGACTGGCCGTACAGACAATATGGTACTGTGCATTTTGTTCAAGATATTCTCGTGCTCACCCCATAGTCAGTGCCGTCACAGATATCAACTATTGAAAAAACGACCAAGCGTGATACATTCTCAATTGCCCGCCGAAGATGGCATCGTTGCACCTGAGACCGCTTCTACGGCCAAGAAGGCCAGACGCACACGCGCAAAAAAGGTAACCACGACGACGATGACGACGACGACGACAGAACCGACCGCGGCAGCAGCATCAGCGACAGATAATCCTGAAGCGGGGCCTTCGACGTCTGTTCCCTCGGGAGAGCTCGTTACGTCAAAACCAAAACCACGTCCTCGCATAAGGAAGAAAATGCCCAATGAGAAGACTGCAGGAACGTACACTATGGTCACAAGAATGGCAGGAACGTTTGGCACTGCAGTCCCAAGAGCGGCAGGAACACATGGTACTACAATCCCAACAACGGCAACAACGGACAATGTTGCCAACTCGGCAAGCGAGGACCAAAACGGCAGCGGAGGCGGAGCCGCCGCGTTTGACACACCTCCAAGGGATTGGTTGGACAGACACGGTGTTACTTTTACAGTTGCACCCCAACGGCCTGCTCCTTTAACTGATTGCATGGCCTTTGAATTTGAAGCAGAATCATCCCCCGACAACATGTCATCTGTGCCCACTTCTCCATCTGCCATGATCGCGCGGCTTGGAATCACGTCCCCTACAGATTTCATTGACACTGCATCTGAAGTGCATGCAATGCCTACCTCAACTGCAGCAGTCGAAAGCGTGCCTTCCACGACGGCAGCTGGTCTGACAAGCATGCTTCACCTGCCGATCGAGGCTTCTCAATCTGCCGTCCCTAATGTTATACCTGCGTTCCACTCCACGTCTACCGCATTGAATGCCGCACCCACCCATTGGTCCATAGTCTCTACTCTTGGACTTACGGCATCCACCATTGAACTTGCCGCTTCTGCATCGGTATCTCCCTCTTCGACATGTATTAGGGCCGAAGTTGATGCATCAGCACACGACCCCATTTTTGGTACTGTTACCGATGCTCATGACGAGGCTCTTCCATCACCCTCAGCTTCCGCCCCAGAAAGGGGAACGGAAAGGACTGCTCCAGGCGTGGCCGAGCCTGGGATCATCGGCAATACCCCACCAGTAATAATCAGCAAATCGCGGAAACGTTCTAAACCATTTGAAGACGGAAGTACATCTTCCGCAGCAAAGAAGAAAAGATCGTCTCATCGAGCAAAGGTGCGACAGGTCAATCATGAGGATGTCGAGAGCGAAGGTGAGCGTGCCAATCGAGATGAGACAGCTGAGATTAACAGCACTTCAGATAACGGTGCTGGCAAAAGTGTCGAGACATTTGATGGAGAGCCTGGGGCCAATGCTCCAACCGAGGTGGGAAGAAATGATAACTCTCCTCGACCCCGTCGCTCCCGCAGGCAGGCCAGAGCCGCAACGATGCCAACCCGACGTTCCACTCGAAATAAAGGGCGGGACAATACCTCTCAGGTAGTAGGGGAGGTTGATCCGCTTGTACAGCCGTCAGATCTGTCAGAATTGTCTACGTCGGGTGGCGAGTGAGTAGGCATTTTCGGTTTCACAGACGTAGGGTGACCGGTTCTGCTGTACTTCACCAGCGCCAGCCTGCTTCAGAGAGAACAGGAATTGCCAGGGAAACAGTGAAGCGACTTGTGAGCTGCTTCAACGCTGCGCATATCTTGTTGGCCGCGCTACTATATGAACATTGACCTGTGCTTTCTCCAAGATCGCGCAAATCTTATGAATACGACCTCACGGAACTGCTATTCGTTTCGATTGTCGTCTGGAGCGAACGCTGAAGTGGATAGTAAAGCAGGCATGAAACAATTACTCTCATGAGCGTCCCTGACATTGATGGGGCTGATACAGTAAGTATGGGTTGCGAGAATAATCGTACAAATGATACCGCGTGCCGGTCCCATGATTACCGTGGACTCAATTTCCACCGTTTTCTCGGTTGCCCCGATGCCTCCCAATTGACGATGGCACCGAGGAGCTCTCCGTCATCTGGCCCTGACGTGTCCTCAGTGGCCAGCAGTAGATTTTTGAGAGATTCTTGTACGAGGCTCGCATTCTTGAGCTTCTTTTCAAGAGATGGTAGGGCTTGTTTCTTAGGTGGAGAGGGCTTCGTGGGATGTAAATCATGGAAGACATGTAGATCATTCGATATACTTACTGGTGTTCGGAGATATGTATGCTTCGGTGGAAGTGCTGGGTAGAAGTGGGGGATTGTGCGAAGTGTAGAAGGTACAACAGGTGTAGCGCCCTCGTCGTCTGAAGACAAAAGCTCGGATGGAGGCCGCTCTGGTGAAGCGGGTAGTAGGATTAACGATTCGAAATGCCCTAAGTCCACTGCATTTCGGATTCACGTATCAACAAAATAGAATGGATGAAGATGTAGAACGAAACACTTACATTTCTCCAATTCTTTCGGGGTGTCTTTGACACTTTGTAAGTCCTTGGGCTCTATTCCATACTCATCGCATGCAAGAAGCAAGTCTTTGGCAATAGGAGAGGCCCTGTTGGCCAAATTAGCATACTCATGCGCCCTGCGGTGGAGCTCTTCAATGACTGTCAAAAAATATCCACGAACAGATGAGGGAAAGCAATGCATGAGATGCCCTGTGAACGTACATGCGACGACTTCTAGTTCCAATAACTTCATCGCTGCGGGCTCCGCGACATCGAAACCTTCAGCCTTCAACTCGACACTCATGAGCCTGTGTAATGCCCTGGATGCCACATCGGAAGTCACGTTTGACTGGGCGAGTGGTGTGAGTAGCATGGGCTCAGGGGACGGCGATTTCTTTGGTAGGTTGAAAAGTGCGGGGTAAGAGGTTGCGGACGTCGATAGTGGGGTATAAGTTGCGGAGGGGTAATGCGACTGCGATGGATAGTGAGCATATGACGCTTGAAAGGTCCCATAGGCCTGCCCATAGGGTTGACTTTGAGGATACGAGGTCATCGTGGTCGGGGTCAGAGCTGGTGTAGATGGCAAATTGGATTCTCATCTGTATCTCAGATAGCTGGTTCCGCCACTTGATTCCCTCTCTCACCCACATAGCACTCTTCAACAGCCGTTTGGGCCCAAGATATCGCAAGCGCTTTCCGATTGGTCTTAATATATTATTTAAACTATGACTGTCGATGATATACACCCTACTGCCGAGGCGATTCAAGCCCTCCCAGAGCGTCCCAACGCCCCCCTGCGAACAGAGACATTTCGCAATTCACGTCCAGATATCGTTGGTCCAGATACACCGGAACCTCCATTCCCTATACACTTATCTGGCGCCGTGCAGCGCGGATTTGGGCGGGGAGGGAAGGATCTTGGATGTCCCACAGGTGTGTAACGTTCAAGCATCGTATATGTTCCATCTAACTCAAGAAAACTAGCAAATCTTCCTGACGATTCAATCACACCAATGAGTCACGTCTGTGAGACAGGGATATACTATGGGTATGCTCAAGTTCTGCGACCGAAGGATGGACATAGCTTTCCCGACGACGATGCGAAAGTGCATCCGATGGTAATGAGCTTGGGGTGGAATCCATTTTACAAGAATGAACGGTTGACAGCGGTAAATCTCATCCGATCCTTGCTCAAAGGATCATACTGATATTGTCTCTCACCCTTCGAACTTCGTAGGAAATCCATCTTCTCCATGATTACAAGTCCGATTTTTACGGGAACGAGATGCGGGCACTCGTTCTTGGTTACATCCGACCCGAACTAGACTATACCTCTAGAGGTCAGTGCAATGCAGTCGCTCCCATCCATGTGTCTGATTGTTGGTTTTGCAGAAGCGCTCATTAACGACATAGAGATTGATAAGAGCGTAGCTTTGAGATCCCTTGCGCGGCCAGCGTACGCGAAATTATCCTCGGACCCTCATTTCCACCCGTCTAAACTTTAGACTACACCTTGGCGTAACCGTGATCTAGAACAAGTAGAACAGTGTAGGACATGGCCATTTGTTTGCTTTTGGTGTTTTTTGTAGGATTATATGACGTCTGTGTTTCAACATGCCGTTACAGACAGCTACTTTTCTCCTTTGTGAACATTTCACAAGTCGGAAACGGACCTCCAACCTGTCGATTGTGCCCTGTGGTGTCATTCTCGTCCACCGACAATGAGCTTCAACATTGCGCAATGTATCATGTGATTGCAGGGCTCAATCCGAATTCCCCGCCCAGACACCTGCCGTTGTCATCCAATTGACGTAGTAAACGTTCTTTCACCAACAATTGCACAGATATATTCATACGCAGATGATTAAAAGCAAAAGTCCAGCCGACAACGGATATAATGATGATAAAAATGTAACTAGCCCACCGCGAGGGTCGAACTCGCAGCCTTCAGATACCCGCCTGTAAGAGTCTGACGCTCTATCCGATTGAGCTAGGCGGGCATTCAATGATGTGAGGCAATGTATAATCTGAAGGTGTAAAAACCTTCGTTAGTGTTTCAATCTCCGTTTATATGGTCCTCGCCGATCCCTTCAACCAGCTCCTTCACTTACACCTTGACAAAAACATTCGAGAGCCATGTATAACGGCATTGGTCTCACAACACCGCGTGGAAGGTAAGAGTTCTCCTCATACGGCGCTATTGCCTGTTAATTCGATATTGGGCAGCGGGACGAACGGTTATGTTGTCCGCAACCTCTCTGCTCTCCGCTCTCGCGACACGGCTGCCGACCGTGCGGGAGCATGGGATGTTGCTCCACCAAAGCATCGAGAGCCAGATGAAGCCATTCTGGAGCACGAGAGGAAGCGAAAAGTAGAGGTGAAATGCCTGGAGCTGCAGCTTGAGCTCGAGGACAAAGAGTACGTCTCTTTCTGAATTTGCATCCAGAACTCCAGTTTATCTGACCCCGCCTCAAGAGTCGAGGAAGACGAGATTGAACGACAAGTTTCAGCGCTTCGAGAGCAGCTACTTCGTACGCTGGCTGCCGTGCCCGGCTCTGGGAAGGGACTCAGGGCATCTGACACACATGGCCTTGCAGCGGCTAAAAAAGTCGAGCTCAATAAAATGGCCGCTGCCCTTGGCACCCGCCGGGACTATAGTGAAGGCGATGCATTCGACCGGGAGAAACAGGAAGAGGCACGGATCAAGAGGCTCGCAGAGAGAGAAGAGAGAGAGCAGCGGAAACTGGAAGAGCGAAAGAAGCTCGCAGAGCAGAAGGAAAAATGGGAGGAGGAAAAGAAGGAACGAGAGAGATTGAGGCGACGAGAGGAGGATAGGAGGCGACGAGAGAGGGAGGAGATGGTTAAGAGTCGTGATGATGATTTGGACGCTGGGCGCCGCAAGATGCCACCCCCACCGCCCCCTACGTTTAATCGAGATAGACCCAGGGACTATCGCGAGCGACGCAGCAGAAGCCCTGCTCGGCGCGGTCCGCCGCCTCGCGATGTCGACGAGGGGCATCGTCGACGCCCTGTGTCTCGTTCACCCTCGCCACCACGTCGACGCCGCCGCTTCGAGTCGCGCTCGCCTCCACGTGTGAGACAACGCGATTCGCGCTCGCGCTCGCGCTCACCTCCCGTCCGCCGCCGCCCGTCTGTTTCACCACCTCGCCGCGGCCGCACCCTTTCACGCTCGCGCTCGCCCCCATCACCACCGCGCTCACCACGCTCTCGCGACGACCGTCGCCCATCTCTCACACCTCCGCCGCGACGAGGAAGATCGCTTTCCCACTCACCTCCAAGGCGCCCACGATCGCCCTTGTCGCCTCGCCGCCTGTCGAGGGATGCGCACAGCGATGCTGGTAGAAGGCGCCCAAGGGATGATTCTCCTCGCGATGATTCAATGTCACGGTCAAGGTCGCGTTCGCGTTCGCGGTCACCGCCCTCGAAACGGAGAAGGTCAGCCTCCACTAACTCCTCGATGAGTGTCAGCACGAGCTCAGAGAGGAGCCGGAGCCGTGGTTAAAATCGAGGCAGCCAGACGATGGTCAAAAAATGCGCTCTCCCTGAATGGATATAGGCTGTCTCACTCCCCCTGCTCAAACAAGCATACACATTCTCAGTCTCATTAGCTCTCGAATTCCCACTAATGTACATATGTATCTTGGATGCTGCTCTGTTGACATTATGCTTCCTTTTGCTAACCAGTCCGACTAGAAGCGTACCGATGCAGCTCGATGCAGTCGTTATCTTATCTTATCTGCTACGGCGCTAAGCAAACTTCAACATCGCATCCTTCGTTCCGCGTTCATCACAAAAAAAAAACAGGCAGTGTGCGCTTCTTGATTCGGCGCGCTCGGGGCCACCTCTAATTCGCACCTTTGGACACTAACGCCTGTTTGCTGTCTGTCTCGCCGAGTGCTTTTACCCTCATCTCGAGACCTCAAGGCAACCGAGTCACTTTACTCTTGCAAGGCCTTTCAATATCACTGGTACTAACATCTCTTATTTTACAAAAGCTCCCCAGCTTCGAGCATAGATTGTGAACCATGCTGCGCATCTCTACACATGCTGCTCACCTTCCGCGGAGTCAGTTGACTCTGCTGCGGTACGCATCCTCTGCCTCGCGCTCCGAGGTATGCCTGTCTGGCAGTATTCGTTCGTCAGATTCAAGGAAACTGATCCTGTATATCCAGTCATCGCCCAAACCTGCCGCTTCCCTCCCTACCAAGCCGACTACGATATACAGCAACGTCACGCATCCCGTTCCTAACCCATCGCCGGCAGCGCGTACGCAGCACCTGCTCGAGCTCGCAGACAAGTATGTCTTGCCCGTTTACGCGCGGCCGCCTATCGTGCTCGAGAAGGGGAAGGGGAGCTGGGTGTGGGATTTAGAAGGGAGGAAGTATCTAGATTTCGCTGCTGGTATCGCGGTCAACGCGTTGGGACACGCGGATGATGGCGTGGCGGAGGTGCGTTTAACCTCCTGGCTAGCCCACTTCCCTCTGCCCCGGGGCCACTGTTAATAAACAGGTACTAAAGCATTTGTTTTCACATAGACTCTGTATAAACAGGCTGGCAAGCTCTTGCATGCGTCGAACGTTTACCACAACGAGCATGCCGCCCCTCTCGCTGAACTCCTCATCACCTTGACCCAGCGGGAAGGTGGTCTCGGTTATCCGACCGGCTCTACCTCACCTACCATCGCCGATGGCGCCAAGGTTTTCTTTGCAAACACCGGAACAGAGGCGAACGAAGGTGCGCTGAAGGTCGCGCGGAAGGTCGGAAAGGCGCGCGGCGGAAATGATAAGTTCGAGATTGTGTGTTTCGAGCAATCATTCCACGGGCGCTCGCTCGGCGCTCTATCTATCACTGCGAATCGCAAGTACCAGGACCCGTTCGCGCCTCTGTTACCAGGCGTGCGTGTGGGGAAGCTGAACGTCCGCGAGGGCCTGGAAGACCTTATTGGGGAGAAAACGTGCGCAGTCGTCCTAGAGCCGATTCAAGGCGAGGGTGGTGTCAATGCGGCGCAAGTAGATTGGGTCAGGGAAGTGGTGAGGCGCGCGCGAGAGGTAGGCGCTGTGGTGATTTTCGACGAGATTCAGGTATGTTCCATATTTCCTATCGCCGTCGGCGGTGGTTGCATCGTAACCTCCGAGGTACGAGGGTGTGGGGGTGGCTGTTCTCCCGGAGTCGTACCACATGTGCAGATGATGACTGAACGAAGGTCTGGGGAAGATGCACGCATGACGGCATGCGAGGCACAGAAGTCTCTCTCCCTCTTTCTCGCATGCATCGAGACTTGCTCGGGGGGCTGCGAAGACGTGCTACGTGTTCGTGTCTTACGCTCGAGGGGGTGGATGAACTGTGGATGAACGGAGATGATGAGCGCTGGCTGACCGGCCAATGATGGCGGCTGCATTACTGATGGAAACTGTCCGTGCAGTGCGGCCTGTACAGGACAGGTACGCTTTGGGCGCATTCTCCGTGGCCAATTGAATGTCACCCGGATATTGTCACGATGGCAAAGCCGCTGGCCAACGGGTACCCCATCGGAGCGGTGCTGATGAAGGATGCAGTAGCAGAGGTTATGACAGCTGGTGAGTATGTTCACACAAGACGCTCAAAAGCGGTGTGCTGATGCCGCTCTGGCGGTCCACAGGGACGCACGGAACGACATTCGGGGGCTCGCCACTGGCTTGCGCGCTGGGACACCATGTCCTGAGCCGACTGAGCTCGCGGGCGTTCGTGTCACACCTGATGGAAACATCGGGATATCTGGTCGGGCGCCTAGGCCTGCTGTCGGAATGGTTCCCGGAAAAGGTTGGGCCGGTTCGGGGCCGAGGCTTGATTGTTGGATTGGAATTGAAGCGGGAGGGCGACCCAGGACGACTGGTGGAGCTCGCACGGGAGCGAGGGGTGCTGTTGCTGACTGCGGGGAAGGACTGTGTGAGGCTGGTGCCGAGTTTGACCGTGAGCAGGGACGAGGTGGGGATTGCGATGGACGTGATGGAGAGCTGTCTCGCGCTGATGTGAAACTCGCTGTATCACGTGCCCCAGTAGCGACCAATGGGACAGCGATCATTTTCTGAATTTGTTTGTGCGCGTGTCCATTTATAACCCGCGACTCTCCCGTCCTCTTGCTCTCCCTCGCCCCGTCCCATTTTATTCAATGGACAAGCTCTCCTCCCTCGCAAGGTTCAAGGCGTCCTGCCCCTACCTCGGTCGCACAAAGTCCTCCACCCTCCGCACGCTATGCACCTCGTCGTCCCCGCGTTTCCCCACCCTCTCCAAGCTCACTGAGAAGGCCACCCAGTGCCCCGTCATGGGCCCCGCCCTCGCCATGCGCTCCGGCCAGATGGTCGCTGGCTACGCGAGCGTCGCCGGCAACGTCGACGTCAACAAGATACACAAGGACAAGGGCGTCCGCATCGACTCGGACAACATTGCAATGTGTCCCCATGCCAGCAAGGCTCTCGCCGCCGCAAAGATGGCTCAAGAACTCACCGCCGCCAAGAACCGCACCGACGCGCTCAAGGCCGACAAGGCTGCTAGCCAGCCGTCGACCTCCAGGGCCGCTAGTCCTGCTCCCGCTGGCTGTCCCTTCCATACCGCCCAAGCTACCCAGGCGCCGTCTACGGAGGCTAAGCCCGCTCCCGTGCATTCCGGAGCGTTCAACTATGAGCGCTTCTACGACGCGGAACTCCAGAAGAAGCACGAGGACAAGTCCTATCGTTACTTCAACAACATAAACAGGCTTGCTGCCAAGTTTCCCGTCGCCCATACCGCTGACCCCAAGTCCGAGGTCGAGGTGTGGTGTGCAAACGATTACTTGGGCATGGGTAACAACCCAATCGTGCTCGAGACCATGCAGTGCGTGTTTTGATCACTTTGATATATGTCACCACCGCATTGATAACAATAAATCACAGCCGTACGCTTGACAAATATGGTCATGGCGCTGGAGGGACCCGCAACATTGCCGGAAATGCTTCCTGGCATTTGAACCTCGAGAAGGAAATTGCCGCTCTCCATCGCAAGCCGGCGGCTCTAGTGTTCTCGTCCTGCTACGTTGCCAACGATGCGACGCTCGCCACTCTCGGCTCCAAATTGCCGGGCTGCGTCTACTTCTCCGACTCGTCCAATCATGCGTCCATGATTCAGGGCATTCGCCACTCGGGCGCGAAGAAAGTTATATGGAAGCACAACGACTTGCAAGACCTAGAGGCGAAATTGAAGGAGTGGCCGCAGGACACACCGAAGATCATCGCTTTCGAAAGTGTGTACTCTATGTGCGGTAGTGTCGGCCCCATCAAGGAAATTTGCGACTTGGCTGAAAAATACGGTGCTATTACGTTCTTGGACGAGGTCGGTCGAACTCTTTCCTAGCCCCGCGTTCTCTGAGAAATTGACCGTCTGATCCCTCAGGTTCATGCCGTTGGTTTATATGGACCCCGTGGTGCTGGTGTTGCCGAGCATATTGACTATGACGCCCACAAAGCTGCTGGCCAATCTCCGGACCCTATTCCTGGCACCGTCATGGATCGCATCGATATTATCACCGGTGCGGATCGTTTTCCTGCGGTCGTTGTCGTCGTATCTGATTTATTTGTCCATTAGGTACACTTGGCAAGGCATTTGGCGCCGTTGGCGGTTATATTGCTGGTTCTGCGCGCTTCGTCGACATGATCAGGTCTTACGCCCCCGGTTTCATCTTCACAACGTCCCTTCCCCCCGTCACGATCGCAGGCGCCCACGCGTCTATCGTCTATCAAAAGGAATTTAACGGTGACCGGCAGCTCATGCAATGGAACGTCCGTGAGGTCAAGAAACGGTTTGCTGAGCGCGGTATCCCTGTCGTCCCTGGTCCTAGTCATATCGTACCCGTTCTCATTGGTGATGCTGGCCAAGCCAAGGAAGCGTCAGACTATCTCTTGCAGCGTCACAACATCTACGTCCAGGCGATCAACTTCCCTACCGTCGCGCGTGGTGAGGAGCGTCTCAGGTTCACAATTACTCCAGGTCATACTCTCGAGCAGCTCGAGCACGTCGTGGAAGCGGTCAACGACACGTTCTCGGTTCTGGGTATCAAGCGTGAAGCGGACTGGACTGCTATTGGTGGACGCTGCGGTGTTGGCATGGAGGCGAAGGAGACAGTGGTGCCGGTCTGGAACAACGAGCAGCTCGGCTTGACAGGTCCGGACGCTGCGACGCCGAAAACGAGACGCCAAGGAGAGCCGAAGCAGGTGAGCATGCGCGCGGTGCGCATCGCGAGGAGCAAGTTCGATCATCTTTTGGGTTCTCTCGAGCCGCAGCCGGCTTCTGTGAGTCTCGGAGCCATGAGTGGATTGAAGATGAGGACGGGCGCGGGCGCTGTGAGGCGGTCTGAGAACACTATCCCCGCCGCTAGACCGGTCGCCGCGACTGCTTAAAGACTTATTGTTCTCACCACTTGACGTCGTTATTCAGTGCTTTTGGTTTTTGACATCCGGCGTTGCTGTTTTATCCCGTGGTGCAGAGTTTGAAGCCTTTTGTTTCTATTGTTACGCCGTGAATCGTGTTGTCTGCGCTGGCGACATTGAAATACATGTTGTTATAGTGGGTTCTGCCTGTGCAAGTGTGCTACTCGTGAGCTATGTCTCCACAGCCGGAGCCATGACAGACATGATGAAATGTAAGGTTGTAACTCTGTCGAGTGAACCTCTAATTCGGAGGTCATGCCCGCCGGTGACTAGCCAGAGGAAGTACTGATGCCAATGGAGGGCAAGCGCGCGCTGTGTACAGTGCGCAAAGTATGGACCTAGCTCACAAGGACGCCCAAAGCGACAAGCACTGCCCGTGCCCTGGCCCGCGCGCTAGGGGACGTGGTGGCAACACTTGTACCATCAGTTTCACGCTTGCTTGACGCCTCTGCGGCGACCAGATTTTGTGCATCAGTAGCATCAATCGGGGGCGAAACAGCGGTGCCCTTAGGTTCAGCGCTCAAAGGTAGGGAAAGATGGTTTTGGCAGTTCTTGATGAGATTCTTCATTAAACAAGATTGGGCGGATTGAGTCGGGATCAAGCAACAGCGAGGAATGATTGATGTCGCTTACTTCACGCACGGCACCCTGTACGTTCACGAGGTAGCGGGTCACTAAACCGACGTATTGATCAGGGATCTGCATGCATGAGAGTATCAGTACACTTCAATGGTGAGAGGAAAGAGGTCACGGACGGTAGTTTCAGACCACATGTTGCGGAGGAGCCAATTCTGACGGGCTTTGTTGAATTTCCAGCTCTCAGGATCGACGAATTGGATGAATGCATAAGACAGAGCTGGAGCAAAGATTTTCGGAAAAGGAATGAAAATCCACCCAACGATGAGCAGAAGAAATACACACCTTTGCGGGCTTGGTCGGAAAGCGACTCGTCCTCCTCTGGATCAGGGAGGTCTGTAGGCTCGCCCTTGCGCCGCTTTTTACTTGACTTTTTCACGGACGTTTCTGTACCGTACTCGGCGTCTTGAGAGACAGCCAAACGTGTCTTCTTTTTCTTCCCCTCCCGTGGATCGTCTTCGCCGCCGTCCTTCTCGTTTCTCGGTCTCTTCTTTTTTTCCCGTTTCTCCTTCTTTTCCTTCCCAATAGCCACAGCGTGGTCCGTGTCAGTCAAGATAGTGTTGTCCTTGCCTACCTTCGTCTTCTTCTCCTTCGGTTTCTTCGCTTTGTCGGACTTCCGCTCACCTTCTGGTAATACAGCATCTTCAGAAACAGGATCCTCCTTGTCGCGCTTTTTCCTCTGTCTTTTCGCGCTGTCGGACCCTTCACCGCGATCACTGCCCTGCTTTTCCTTGCTATGACCCTCCTGCACCGTGCCTTCACCGTCCACCCCCTCACTCATTTGACTAACGATGAGTTCCATGTCGGCGCCGTGTTTCTTCTTGTGTTTCTTCGCCTTTTTCGTCTGCATCTCCTCGTCTACACCCACCCCTGGTGTTGCCGCTTCATCGTCTGATCCTTCCTTCCTCTCCTTTGATTTCTTCTTTCGTTTCTCCTTGGTTTCTGGCCTTGCATCGTGCTCACTCGTGTCTTCTTGCGCTTTTCTCTTCTTGGATGGCGATGCGATATTAAGCTCAGAAGGTGGATTTTCTAGAGTGGAGGAGAGACTTTTTGACCCCATGTTTGGCGCAAGAAAGTGCTGATTGGCTCTCCCAGAGGTTCGATCCACCAGGGTTTCCTTTTTGGGAACCATAACCGTTCGACTGTGCGGTCGGCACGTGCGGTCGGCATCTCTGCATTCAGGAGCCGCCAGATTTGAGATTAGGAAAAACATGAGTCGAGGACATGAAGCGTAGCCTTCATATGTACATTATCCAGCTCTGATATCTAGTTTTACGGAAAGATCGTCTGTTCTTCCACAATATACTAACAATGTCCGAATCCGGCCGTGGTAGTGGTTCGGGATGAATTTGATCTATTCGGTTCACTTGGTCTCCCGCCTTGGCTCCGGGAGTCTCACTCTGTCTCTCCTTCTTTCGTCATGGGCCTCTCTGTTTCTTCCTTATTTACCTCTTTCGCGTCTTTGCTTCGATGGAGTAAAGATCAAGATGTCCGTATACTGATGTTGGGTCTGGATTCCGCTGGTAAAGTGAGTGCTGCGATGCAAAGATGCTGTGTGGGGTAAGTGGCTGAATCATCATATCGCAGACGACGATTCTGTACCGGCTACAGGTGGGCAATGCTGCGATTTCCTCTTGAGCGGCGCTTTCATGATTATTGTCGGATAGATAGGCGAAGTCGTCTCTACAATACCCAGTCAGTCCTAGTGCTTTGGGATACGTCATTGGTGTGGCTCAAACAGTGTGTTCCCAGCGATCGGTTTTAACGTAGAAACGGTCGAAGTAAGTCTTTATCATACACTGTAACACGAACTTTCTGAACCTTGAATAACAACGTACTTGTCAGTACAAAAACATCAAATTTCAAGTATGGGATCTGGGGGGACAATCAAGTATTCGGTGGGTAACACACACTACATGAAAACTGTACCATTCAATTGTTTTTCGTCAGGCCATATTGGAGATGTTACTTCCCGAATACATCTGCCATCATCTACGTCATTGACTCTTCCGATCATGACCGTCTACAGACATCACGCAGTGAGCTCCTGACAATGCTATCAGAAGAAGAGCTGGCAGGGGTACCTCTGCTCGTCTTCTGTAACAAGCAGGATGTGGACGGCGCTTTGAAGCCAGAGGAGGTCAGTGAAAAGCTAGGCCTAGCTGGCGGAGAGAAGGGTCGGGACTGGAGTGTGCGGGGCAGTTGTGCGGTAAAGGGAGAAGGTTTAGAGGAAGGTCTAGACTGGTGCGTTTGACTCTCACTCCCAAAGGAGGCATTCGGCTGACAGATTTGTACCCTGGAGGCTGGTGAATGCAATACAGAAAAAGTGATGGTATAGTCCGACATACTGTTCTTCTTGCGATTGCTATTTTCATCACATACCAGCACGATCCTATGTTATATGGACACTGTAATGCATAATGTCCGCATATATTCTTTTTACCGGACAAGCAGCTCAGCGAACACAACAGAATGGTATGGCATGCAAGATTCAAAGATGAATATAGCTACAGTGGTATGTATGTATAATAGGTGGCAAATTAGGGCATGCTCTGCCGCAGAAATCTTTTAACCTCGTCTAGGCATTCGACGGCTGTCCCCCATCCACCGCCCAGGCCCAATCCCACTTGGCATTATCTGCATTTGCCTCGCACATTCGCGCGATGTCTCTGTCGTCTCTCCAAATCCTGACGGTTCCATCGTCCGCACAGGTAGCAACCATCCCTTCAGCCCAATCCACTGCTCCAACCTCTCCCGTTTGACCTTTGATCTCTACTCCCTGGGAGGGTATTGAACGCGATCCAGATAATATAGGACGTGTCCTTCCAGCGCAAGACACATCAAAAAGGAAGGCAGAACCAGTCCGACTGGCACTGCCGCTCAATAGCCATCGACCATTGGGTGAAAGCGCGAGGCGAACATAGAACGAATTCGTTTGCATGCTTGAATGTGCGAATGAATTCATCTCAGTGGATGGCAGGGCAAGCAAAGCGGAGGCTATATAGGTATGGATTCTGGAGTCTGTGCCCAGTCCGAACAACAAGCCCGCGGATGGTCCTGCACCAGCTACAAGTGATGCGATGCCTCGGGGTCGACGAGAGCCGTCCACCGTAGTAGGGTCGAAGGAAGATACATGCGTCGGCTGAATCATTCGCAACGCAGACTTGCCTTTATGCGGGGACGTTGGAAGTCGGATATCCCAATGGCGGAGGATACTGATGCGCTGTCAGCTCAAAGCTTGTCGCACCGAGGGAAGTTACATACCCGTCGAAAGAGCTGCTGCTGGTCAGCCCGAACGGATCCCCGTCAAGATACAACACACTCGTCACGCTCTTCATAGTTGGCGTCGTCGCTCTTCTAGCTTTGACTACGTGTCCTCCAGCGCACGGGATTCGCAGCACTGGCGTCAGTACATCGATGCCACTTTCGCTACTTCTTTGACCTTGGGCCCTCATATCCCACAGACAAATAACTCCATCGCGTCCACCAGTGCTCAGCATGTTTGGATTGACTGGGTCCCAAGCGACTGTTTTGACTGTGCTCGTGTGATTTCGCAGGATGTGCAGTGTTTTGGACGTGGCCAAATCAGTGACACGCGTGGACTGATCACCAGAAACTGTAGCGAGTAGTTCGTCGCTGTGTGACCATTGGACATCGAAGACGCCGTTTTGGTGGATATCAAGAACTGTCCGCTGTAGTTCTGCGAGGACGTTGTTAACTTGCGTCTGCCTATGATCAACTTCATTGCACTAACCGTAATCCCAGTCAGTTCGCTTTGAGGTATTCAATATATGGACTGCGCCTTGTTCGGTGGCAACAGCCAGAAGTGGTATTCCACCCTTTTTAGCCGCTAGTCATATCAGACAAGTAAGAAATGAAAATGCGTGCTTACGGCCAGAGAAAATATACTTACTATGACTATATGAGCACGCGTACGGGGGAGTCAAGAACGTGTTTGAATGCAGAGATTGACATTTGAAAACGTCCGCCTTGTGCGAAGAGACGAAGGACTGTAAGATGGAATGCGTGGGTACTGACCGGCAGAGTAGGCCCTGCGTTCTCGTTCATCATTCGCTATGTATGGTCTCGAATATGCTCACGAGGTAGTTGACGGAAGACAGCTCTAGGCCGTGACATGGCGTTCATGCTCATCATCCCATGAACTGTCATTCTTCGCTGGCGAGGTTGAGGGTCAACTGCAACATCCAACATCTCCACATCAGAATAGCGCTCCTCATAGCTTTCATCGGCTTCCACTTCATTCACTCCAGAGAGCCTTGATCGTTTAATGACTCGTCCATCCGTCGGAGCATCCGCTATTGGTCGTTTTGCCTTCGTATGTTCTGAGGGTGAGAAGAATGAGGAGACGGTGGTCTGATGGGTTTGACGGTCATTTGTTCGATTAATAAGAGCAGATCGAGCTTGCGAAGGAGTAGGCGGCGCGAGCATATTCGCAGCCAAAAGAATGGCAGAAATGTGGTGTAAACGCGTTGACACTCGAAAGTAATCAACAGCGCGCCCACGCACGTGACCGTGAATCGGTATTTCGAGTTTATGCCCGATCATATGGTGGACTTTTTCGGACTTATTTCGCTCTCTTACCCCTTCTACACAAAACGACCATTTTCTGCGTTAAGGTCAGACTCAACCTTACAAATCTTTTCAGTCACAACCAAATGGCCTTCGCACTGAGGGCGCCTTTCCGCTCAATGGCCACTGTTGCGCGACAGTCGCTTAAAATTGGTTTGGTACCAGCAGATGGAATTGGCAGGGAGGTTATCCCTGTATGTTCAATTCGTTGCAGTTCACACATCATTTAGCACCTGACCACATGCGTACAGGCAGCAAAGCAGGCTCTTGAAGCTCTGGGATCAGATATTCCAAAGCTCGAGTTTCACGATTTGTTGGCGGGATTTGAGCTCTTCACCAGAACTGGGGAGGCCTTACCCAAAGACACTGTGCAGTACGTGACTAACATCGTCGAACGTGTGGTATAATGGCCTGATTGACTGCATGACTCGTATGTATCAGAATTCTGAAGGAGGACTGCGATGCTGCTCTATTTGGTGCCGTCAGGTATGCACAGTGTGCCGTAAGTCGGATATACCTACTCAACTCTGTTTGTCTAGCTCTCCCTCCCGCAAGGTATCTGGTTATACATCTCCTATCGTTGCTCTGCGTAAGAAGCTGGATTTATATGCTAATATTCGGCCAGTTGCAGCGGTGCGTCACATGTTACTCCACTACAATCTCTCTCACTCATCATTTAGGTCAATGTCAATCCCGAGGAAAAATCCAAAGTTGACATGGTCGTCGTTCGTGAAAATACAGAGTGCTTGGTTCGTGCGGGCATCTCCTCCATTATATCCTGTATGCTCATACATAGCCAACTTGTGCAGTATGTGAAGCAGGAAAATATTATCGACACTGAACATGGTCGCGAAGCTCGTGCAACACGTTTGATCACCGAGCGTGCATCTAGGCGCATAGGCAAGATGGCATTTGAGACCGCACTCAGTCGGCCACGAAAGGTCAGTTCCAACTACGAGTACACTTACCCACCCTGTTCGTATCTAGCTACTCACGAGCACTAGCAAGTGACCATCATCCATAAGTCCAATGTCCTGTCCGTCACGGATGGTCTCTTCAGGGAGACTGTCCGTGCCGTGCCTGCTCTGCCGGAAGTTGCTGGTCGTTATGACAGTGTCACGATTGCAGAACAGATTGTAGACAGTGCTGTCTACAGGTGCGTTCCTCCGTGTATGTCGTCATTGCGCGTGTAGGTTTACGAACCTACTATCCAGGTTGTTTCGTGAGCCCGAGTGAGTATGAATGGAACCATCCCTTGAAATATGATGCTCATTGCCATCACCACAGAATCTACGATGTTCTAGTCGCTCCAAACTTGTACGGCGACATCCTATCGTACGTTGAGTTCTATGTTGCATGCTTCTATCTGATGATTCGAATCGTTGCGTAGAGACGCAGCTGCGGCACTAGTAGGTTCGTTGGGCCTTGTGCCATCTATTAATGCAGGTGATAGTTTTGTCATGGGGGAACCGTGAGTGGCAATTTGCGCACAGGCTCAGAGTGCCGTTCTTCTTGTTGAATCCTCTAATTGATTGCCTGATGGGTTTCTAGTGTTCACGGCTCAGCTCCTGACATCGAGGGCAAGGGGATCGCAAATCCTCTGGCAGCGATCCGCTCAGCAGCTCTGATGTTGCGTCACCTGGGATATAATATTGGTGCTGATCGCATCGAGAATGCTGTTAACCAGGTGATACGGGAGGGCCAGGTCTTAACACCAGATCTAGGGGGCAAGAGCAGCACGGACGAAGTTGTTCAAGCTGTCCTGAAGAGGATCTGATCACTCAAGATGGATCTGGTCAGATAAGGGGTAGCTGTAGGTTCACGTATATACATGCCGAGCGTTTACAATGCTGGCGCTAAGCGCCTGAGCGCCGAGCCTGCACTCCGAATGAGAGTTTCCCACGGTGCGACTGATGCGTTGCCCAACTTGCGGTAATGATGCCGCGACCACCCACACTCTCTGCACGTCCCGGCGACTCTCTCAGATATCTTAAGACTTCTTCGTGTCATAGTCGCCTTCTCCAACTAGCCATTATCATACTTTACAGCATTCTTGTTTACTTCTCCTCATCATGCCCGTCCCATCATCCGCTGATGCTGATGCCCCTCGCACCAACACCGTAAAGTCGAATACGACCAAGACACCTCGCAATTCCAAGGAGAAGCCTCCCTCATCTCAATTTCCGGCGCTGCCCTCTTCAACTATACAAGCTCAGCAAGACCCCTCTACGCCATCACCCTCCCAACTAATCGCTCAGCAGTCTCAACATTCTCAGCCACAACCACAAACGAAGAAGGTCGCTCGTCGTTCAAGCAAGCCCATTATCGATTGGTTCCAACGGAAGTTGGCTGGTACTGTGCGGCCTCGTCGAGCATCTGATAGCGTTCGTGGACGGAACTCGAATGGTTCCAATATATCGAATCGGGAGAAGAGGAGACCTACGCTACCGGACGGCTTTAGGGATCTTAGCAGGGTTCAATCGACCCCCTTACACCCAGGAGAGAGCGGTGACAAGGATATTAGACGGAACGGCCATAGTCAGGCCCTTGCGAAGCCTGCGCCGATTTCTTTGAATGGAGATGAGCCGGAGAGTCTTGCAGATGCGGAGACGCATGGCGACATTTCAACCTATCGTTCATCGCTCGCTCGAGACTCTATGTGGTCCCCAGCCAGCAATCTCGAAGCAGACGAGGACGCTTCTGTCAGGCCCCTGCCCCCCAGCTCCCCTCCTTCACCCTCACCGTCTCGATCGTCATCGTCCTACCTTTCAGATCCTCGCACGTTCAAAAGCATAGCCGCGAGCACAAAGCCCACCACTTTGCTCAGCGTAGACCTCACGAATGGTATGGCTCACATTGCTCAAGCACCATCACCTGCGGGAGCCTCTCCAGCACAGAGAATACCCGCTCATATACGATCTTCTTCGGCAGGAGGCTCCAATGGTGGCGGATCCATCACCTTCTCAGCTTTACCTCCCTCTCCGTCTTCTTCTGTTCAAAACTCCCTCAACATTATGGCCCAGACTGCAGGCTATCCGAACCATCCATTGCAAGCCCCTCAGCACACAACACATCACCCTCGAAACAATCCTCATCCTTCTTCTCCTCCCCCTGACAACGCTTCAATGCTCACGCTGGCATCTTCTGCATTCGCATTTCCTGGTGCCCGAATAGGAGTTGTCGGTGGTACTACGGATACCGTGTCTGTGTCTCATCTCTCCCACTTTGGAGGGAGCCGATTCGTCACAGAGGACCGTTCAAGCCATTTTGTGCTCGGTGACGACCTTGATGCCGAAGGTGAGGCAGATGCGAGTGTCCGCGCTTTAAGGCCGAGAAGCTCAAGAAGGGGAAGCTGGGAGAGCGAGGCGAGTGGGTGGAGCGCCAGAATGGGCAATGGGAGCGTCGTTGGAATGGGCCCGAGTACGCCGTCTATGCTGAGAGACAGGAGTCTGTGGTCTGCGAGTCTCAGAACCGGTGGAAATTTTCCCGGTTATGAAGAGGGCGACCAATCCGAGCAGGATTCGGATGAGGAGGAGGGCGACGATCACGATCATGCTACACGCAAGCATGAGGCGGATGACGACAGTGGCGGAGGTAATGTTGTCCATGCCGACTCGCAAAGAGAGACGGACGCCTCGACCGCTGGCTCTGGATCGACTCCGCATGAGCGTTTCGGCGAGAGAGCATCGCCTTCCTCATCTCAAGCGCAAAGTTCGTCGAACCCCGTCAGTTCATCTGCGGAAGCTGTCTCTCGTCCTGTCATACGGGTGTCGATGGACTCGCCGCGCATCCAGATCGGTGACACGACAACATCGGCCTAGCATTCATCTTAGATCTCACAAGGAAGTTGATTGCGAGGCGCGACAGCACTTCTTTTATGACATAAGACTGTCTTTGACGTATCATTTCATCGTCTCAGTGAGTTCAGCAGGCCTTGTTGCTCACAACCTCAGCTTACCCTTTCATTTGTTCGAACAGTGTTTGTAATTTATGCTATCGTTTCTTGCGGACGAGGAATCTGCTTTCCTTCATTCAATCATTCAATGCACGCCGGTATAACTCTCCTTGAATACGACTTGTTTAACGATACCCCGTCATCTACTGTAAGCTATTCCATGCCCAGGCAATTGAGTCCACCCTTCTAGTCCCTTCGGGACTTCTGCATTACTTAGTTTTATTCACAGATCCCTACATCTGTAGTTTGATCGATCTTCTCGTCAGTAGCCTACTCATCGACGTTTCGAAGTAGGTATCGCCTGTTGGCCCCATAATCGTGATTGCATTCTTGGCGAACAGTCGATCAGCGTTCAAGCCAGACGCCTCTCATCGTGCTGTGGCACACACGTGAAGGTTCGCATCCACCATAATTGGACAATGGCTTGCTGCTGCTGCCACACAACGTTGTGCAACATCTCGCTCAACCGTCAAGGACGGGTTCTCACGCCCTTTGAGCTAATTTCGGATGCGATCATGTGTCTCGAGATCACGATTCTACGGACCGAAACCAGTCATGTTACTCCAGAACTTCTTGACACTGGCGGTCACGATGATCGAGAGTATAAAAGGCTGGGCTCTAGGGTTGCTCGACCGCAGCTTCGGCATGGTATCGCCCGCAAGCATGAAGGTGATGAGGGCGACAATTCTGGGAATCTTTGGAGGAGTTTCCTCGGTGATTGCGCAGGGTTGTCCAGATTATACGATATATGCTCAAGTGCGTATTGTATCTATACAAATGCACGACCACCGAAGCTGTTGATCTCATTTAGACGCCGCATGGAGTTATATCTTCAGGTCCTTTGTCTTTGCCGTATATGAGGCCTGCACTGGAATGCCGCACGTTCAACAGTTCTGCAGTCGAAGTGAGTAGGTCAGGTCGGACGATAGATCACTCACTTCAACGGGTCTCACAAACAGAGAGTGATTGATGACATGAAGTCACGTTTTAAAGACCCTGACATTGCTCGTTTGTTCGAGAATACCTTCCCCAACACCCTTGGTATGTTTATCTAGTAATGAGGGTACAGACAACCATGCCAGAATTGACTTGGTGCAGACACCACGATCAGGTACTTCAACTCTGTGCGTTGCGTCCATGTCCTTTTTCGAATGTATCTTTATTTCCTTACTTTATAGACCGAAAATTTGGCTTTCATCATCACCGGTGTAAGCTGCCATCGTTGTTTTGTGTACTGCGTCATATAAATATTCATGTTGATCTATAGGATATAACGTACCACATTTCTTGGATGACCTCCCGTGTCATAGCTAAACAAATTACTATTCCAGGGCACAGTGGCTTCGAGACACAGCTAACCAGGTATGCCAGCGCATTCCTCATGATTCGTGCTCATCATTGATGCAAACCTTATCTAGCTTGTCGTGTATCGGTCTCTTTTGTCCACTGATCCGGAATTGGCTTTACTCGTCAAAGCCGTCATTAACAATGAGGCGCGATACATATTCCAATACCCATATTGCGGCGCGTTCCAGCCTCCACCAGAAAGCGGTTTAAGTCCTTCTCACAATGATTGGGCTGATGGTGTCACTGTGAACCCGTGCGTATATCGGATCATCTTGCTATCTGTTATACAAGTGAAGTGTGACACTTATGCGTTTCTCAATCACAGACCGGTGGACAATCAGACTGTGTTCGAGTGCAAGGTATGGTCAGACTCACATATTTCCTCTTTTTTCTTTCTTGATCAGATTTATTAGTACGAAATTGATTCATTGTGCGGTTTCATCAAACTCTCAAGGTCATACTACCAAGCGACCAACGACTCTTCCTTCATGAATCAAAACTGTGAGACCTCAGTTTTGGTGACTAGATACCGATATAACAATAATTCGGACAGGGGCTTGGGCTATTGATCAGATATTCCGCGTCATTTGGGAGCAATCGCAAAGCTCCTTTGATGACGACTTTAATTTTGTCTCGTATTATAATTGGACAGGCGGCAATGGAGCGCTCTCTCCTGCTGTCAACAACGACGGCAATGGTGAACCGAAGGCGTACAATGGGCTGGTAGGAACGCATCATAGACCATCAGACGACCTAAGCACATATGGTATATTCCTGACAATTGTCTCGAAGCTTTGTTTTAATCATATCTCTCAGCGTTCTTGACGCCCGCGAACGCGATGCTCAGCGTCGAGCTTGGACATTTAGCGAGCATGCTAGATCAAGTTCAACAGCTCAAGAATGTCAGCAAACTTGCAAAGAAATACAGTTCGACAATTAAGAAAGCGATTTGGAATCACACAGTCAGGCGTGATCCTCTTGATCTGTTCGACGTGTATTCACGATACATTGATTAGGTTGTCGATGGTATTTTCGCGTACGAGACCAACGGTTTGTGTCTATGATTCAACGATTTGAATCCCCTCTAATTCTTCTTAGGGTTTGGCGGAAGATATGTGATGGATGACGCTAATGTTCCAGTAAGTCACAAGTCCCCTTCAAAGCTCTTTTCTATGTATTTCAGTCCGACTCCCACAGTCATTGCTTTCCTTGCCATACCTTGGGTTCCTCGATAAAAGCGATCCGACATACGTGACCACTAGGAAGCTGCTGTTGTCTCGGCGCAATCCATATTATGCGGCCGGGAAGAGCTTCCAGGGCATCGGGTATGTCTCTCTTTTACAAACCCCTCCGGTGAAAAATCGAATCTGATTGATGAACTGCGAAACAGGGGACCTCACGTCGATGCTTGGCATCCCTGGTTGATGTCTCAAATATCTGCCATCTTCGGCACAGACGATGACGAGGAAATCCATCAATCTCTCTACCTGATCGCTAACGTGAATACCACCGTCATTAAAAGCGTGTGTCGTGTATTCTACTCACACCATTTTCAGAACACGGCTGGTCTGGGGCTCATCCATGAATCGCAAAACATATACAATAACTCGGATTATACTCGTCCCTGGTTTGCTTGGGCTAACAGCTATTTCGCGGAAATGATTCTCGATCTAGCAGAACGTAAACCTCACCTAATATTCACTGATTCTCGGAGCAACTTGTCTGGATGATTCATGTACAAACAATTGTCTGGAGTTCGCTTTTTAGTGGATTAGGAGAACATAAAACATGCTCGCTTTGATCAGCCTTAACCCTACCGGTCTAACCTGACTTCACGTGACGAATTCTCCGTTTGGATGTGTTGTTGGTGACTGGAGGTGACAGTTGACACAACCAAGAGGTGAGTTGTGGGTACTCGACGAGATCCCTATGCTGCTGGTCTGAAGCCATCACTGAAACCTCCATCCTTGCCCGATTAACTGTCTAATTCATGTCCTCTGACTCGCGTGAAATCGGAACCCTCATTGCTGTCATCCTTAAAGCTGTAAGCGGCACCGTCCTTTGTACTGCGCGCAATCGTTCACTAGCAGGCATTGTCAGCGAAATCTACCTAACAAGAGACACATCGGAAAGCAGGATCCATACTGCTCTATCGAACTAAACGGGGAGAAACGTAGGACCAAGGCCATCAAGCGAGGTGGCCAGCATCCGGAGTGGGACGAAGAGATTCGGTTCACGCTCTATGAAGATGTTGAGGATGAACTAGCGCGCACTACCACTGGGGACGGCTCTCCTCCTCCCCCTCCTCCAAAGAATGGCCGGCCTTCAAAGAGGATCAAGGGCGCAAAGAATATGGCCATTGCATGCTTCGCTGATGATCCGAGGGAGCCTGATCTCATTGGTGAGGCTATAGTAGATCTGACAGAGGTTTTGACCAAGGGAGAGACCGATGGTACGTACATTCATTTGTGCACATTATCCTTCCTGAAATCGCCAGCGTAGAATGGTTCACTCTCACCAACAAAGACAAGTACTGCGGCGAAGTGTACCTTGAGTTAACATTTTGGTCTAACGTACGCGTCACCCAACTTCTGTAGACCTTGATCTACAAGTCTGAACTCATATGCATAGGAGCGTCCTCCGGAGAAGAAGGTCACGCCAAAGCCAAGTAAGATACTCAAACAATATGGCGGACCTGGGTCATTCGCTCCATCTGGCGATGCATCTAGACAATCTAGGCCGTCGCGCGCAACTTCGTTATCTGGCAGCTTTGCGTCCGAGGACTCTCAGTGGGATTCGCTGCCGTCCTCTTTGAGACCATCCTCATCCCATGTACAAGTAGATCTGTATGTGCCACCTTATGAGCACACTGTCAGGGGGCGATCACCACGCATATCTTCAGTCGACCAAATCACAAGCGATTTTGGTGAGCTAGGAGTGTCAGAGCCGAGGGGAAGGAGGGAGACCTATCCTGTGAGTGCTTTATTACTTTTGATTGCTTGTTCACTTATGTCTGGCTCAACAGCAGAATCAAAGTGGTTTTCCTGCAAGGCCTGCTACTTCGGCAGGTTACTCTCTCCCTTCTTCGACATCTTCCCGTAATTTCCCAGAGGCAGACAACTCCTGGCCCGACAGAGCTCTGCACTCATATGATCAATCCATACCGCCCGGACAGCAATACAGCGCTGACTCAGTTTCGACAAGTTACACATATCGCCCACAGTCAAGTTATCAAGCACCATATGAGCCTGGCCCTCAAATGTCTACCTTCTCTTATCCATCACAACAACATCGTGGTCCGCGTTATAGTGTACCTACGGCATCATCAGGGTTCATGCCCGTGCCCTCTACCTCTGAGCCGTTGTCTCTCACGTTGCCGTCACATATGTCTGACCCATCCGGCCTGGCACCAACGCGGGGTCGTACCCCAGTACCCCCATCCGGATATGTCCACCCTCCGGTACTCTCGAATTATACATCGACTCCGTCCATCCAAGTGCCGTTGCCGGCGCAGACGCCGGTACCACCCGTGTACCCGCCGTCCTTGACACCTGTTCCATCTTCTGGTTCATTCTACCAATCTCAGCCTAACGTGTCCCCACAGCCCTCTTACACACAGTTTCCCGGTTACGCAGCTCCTCCGCCGGCCGCCCCGCCTCCTGGGCAACACGCACCTCCACCCCCATCATCGCAGTCTAATCTCTCCATACAAACGCATTCGCATTCGGCGCCTCCGCAATCTTACAGAGACTACAGTCCCTCAACTCCTCCACAACCCGAACATAACGTGCCTCCTGTTCCTGGAGCTTCTCAGCTTCCTTCTGGGTCAAGGCCGTTGCCTCAGCAACCACAAGGTTACGGCCAGCCTTCCCTTCCGCCCAGCCTTCCCTCACAAGGTTACGGACAACTTTCCGGCCCATCTATGACTCAATATGGACAGTCTGCGCTTCAACAAGCTTCCTCAAATTACGGACAGCACCACCCTGCTATCCAACAACACGCCCCTCTACCTACTCCACCTGGTCCCCCAGGCCCTTTACGCCCGAGTTCCTATAGCCCTCCCAAGCATGGGAACAGCACCATGCCTTCTCAACCCTATACCCATATTCCGCCTCCGCCTCCACTACCCCCTCAGCCTTTGCAACTGATATCCGTCCCGAGCTCACGCCAATCATATCTGCCACCAGCCTCACCTAGTTCTTCAGCACTCTCTCCTTCATCGTCTACTCCTTCAACACAGGGTCACTTACGTGCAACATCGGGTCGCCATAGTCTTCCTTTGCCACAACCACCATCAGGCGTACCTCAACAACAGCCGATCTACCAACCCATTCCCCCTCCACCCTTGTTGGTTTCGAACTCGCACATCCAATATCAAACTCCGCGCCCTCCAGTGCAGCAAAGCCACGGGTTCTACCCTGGCCCTCCCCCCAGACCTCCAGCGCAGATAACGGGACCTATAGGACGCTCGCAATGGCTGCCATCTGGTGAGATGCGTACGTATGAGCAGCAGGGCGGGTATTGAGTCTCGCATATGTGGGTATAAGTGCTTTTTAGCTGTAAATAGAAAATTTGGGAGATTTCTCAGACGTGACGATGTTCTTCTCATCCTGTCGTTCCGCTCTGGTCTTGTCATTGATATTCGCGGACTTCGTTTTCATCGAATTCACAGATTCTTGCATACTTGCTCTGCCTCACGCATTCGTCAAGCAAGACATATTTGTAGACACAAACACGTATATATTTATTGGTCAAACCCATGGCTAATGATGCAATGGTTAGGGCAGAAGAATAGGCGCAGAAGAGAGCATACCAGTCTACTTTGGGTGTCCTGCTTGGGCCTCTCTCTCAGCCTTCCATTTCGAAATCTCGGTTTCTGTAGCAACCATACCGCGACGCGCCAGATCGATTCGAGCTTCACGGCGGAGATGGGTTTCCTCTAAGCGTTGCTTGTGTTCATGCGACAGCAGTGCTTCGTCGGCAGCTGTGACAAGGCCGTAGATCGTGACTGGAGTTGGTGTACAGGCGAGCAGTATATTGTGAACATCCACTCTGCAGTACCAGATGCATTCTTGGACTTACTGCATGATACCAGAAAGCCCTTAAATGCGAGGGTCTGGCGTCTATTTGAGAACAGAATGGCATCAACAACCAATGTGCATTATGCAACAATGTTTGAGGAGTATCTGGCGTACCGGAAGAAAGGCCAAGAGTGATGGGTTATTGTCGCGAGACCAAGACCAAAAGCACCATACTGTGCAGCCCCCTAAACTAGCTGAGCACAATAATTCTGAGGCCCGTCAATGCTGAGACATACCACCATACCCGCTCTAACCTGGAGCCGATAAGCCTGATCAACCTCTTCACGCCTGCGAGCGCGTTGTGCATGCGCTGACGACATCCTATACTGATGTCAAGATACTATCAAACACGATGCACCGTATAAATAAGTTTCGAGAATGCTCACCCCTGTTCAATGAAGCCTTGAAGATAGACGTGAACAAGCGTTAACGGACGGAACCGGCTGTCGAACGAAGACCCCATGACACATCGAGCTTGTTAGCTGTGCTGTTCATCACAGCCACGCCGTATTTTTGGAAGGACTTTTTCAATATACCAAGAATTCACGAAGACGCTTGTGGTAAGTTATTCTATACGGAGCATCAAGACGAAAGGCAAGTCGTCGGATGCAACCCAAGAATGAGGTTATGGTTAACAGCCTGCGCTATACATGCCACCGAACACTCATATCCTATGAATGTGCCATGCATGGATGGATGTTGTATCTAAATATCTGAACAGCCACCTGTGAAACACATCCATAATCCGTTAGCTCGAGCCGCAGCGGCCAGCCTGCAATGTGCGATCCTTCAATGTTACGCAAGCAGCATCGCACGTCAAGGTACTTCAAGCAGGACAGAAGTGGCATGTTATGTGCATGGTAGAGAGTTTGAGACTTCCGTGGTGCTGACGACCCGCTCCAAGATCAGATCCCACAGATGGGGAGAGCCATTCGCTCCACCGGTCCTCAACTTGTGTTGCGGCGGGGCAGGACGCCGCTTTGCACCATAGAGGCGTGTTTGATCGGCAGTTGGGAGTCAGGACGCGGTGGCCAGGAAAGAGTCCGCAAACACAGCTGGGCACACACGGCATCAACACCGCTTCGCAACCTCACCTGAGTAGAGTACGTTAGAAACTGTTGGAATCGGCTGTGAAACAATTGCGCCGTCATCTAGCGTCATCTGATGTTTGAATTTGAAGAACGACACGGTAGTTGCCGGTCAGGCTTTGCCACCAACGCATATTTGCCTCAGCAATCCAGAGAATTCAAGCTGATCGCCCTTCAGCTTCAACCCGCCTCTAACTCACTAGCAGTCTCCTATGCATGGATACTCTGATATTCCTCGAACGTGCCTCTCTTAAACGTGGTTCCTCACATGCTGACTTACAAGAAAGCTACGCGAGGAAAATCAAGTTGGAGTATGGCTCTCCAGACCCTGCTCCATCTCAAAAGCCCCCATCGCGTGGTATCCTTCATGTAGTTTTACCGGAAGAATGCATCGGCCTTCATCAGCAAAGCCCTGAATATCGAACAATTGCGAACGCTGCCATTCAGAGATCTATAGAGGAGCTAGCGAGCCAGGGCAGGAGAGTCGATTTGGAGCATGGAGTCAACATGCGGTGAGTGTGCATGATACGCTGCATCATCACTTTTTGTCACAGATACAACCTCCTAGCTCAGACCCAATTCAAATCAAGTGGTACGCTCAATACCATAAAAACGCTCATTGTTCGTTCTACTGACTCTACCTGATAGGATATCGGATCACTCCATCAAGGACAATTTTCTCGGGTTTGAAGAGAAGGGTAAATTTGAGATGGGGGTTGAATGCCCAAACTTTGCCCGAAAAACAGTCTCAAGATCGACATCCTTCTCACTCGTGCGCAACTCTAAATCGGAGCCAGATTCGGACATACTTGGTCTAGGTCTATATTACGGAACTGTGGACAGAGGCAGCCTTGTGCCTCGCAGCGATGCTGACGAAGTCGACGAGCTTGCTGCTGGTACGAAGAAGTGCTATATTTGTGACGCTAGATTGCCAACTCCAAGTTACAGATGACGCATCATCTTCGCTCGTCCACAACCCTGACTCAGAGCAAGATATTGATATACCTGGTTTGGGTCTATACTATGGAACTGCGGACAGAGGCAGCCTTGCGCCTCGTAGCGATGCTGACGAAGTCGACGAGCTTGCTGATGGTATGAAGTAGTGCTATATCTGCGACGTTAAAATGCTAACTCCAAGTTACAGATGGCACACCCTCTTCACTCGTTCGCAACCCTATTTTAGAGCGAGATATCGATATACCTGGTCTGGGTCTAGGCTCCGGTACCATAAATCGAGGCAGCATCATGTCTCGCAACGACCCATTTACACTCATAGCTCAGCTTGCTGATGGTATGAAGGAGTGTCGTAACTGTGTTGTCAGAACACTAATTTGGCTCCATAGATAATGAGCTCACAAGCACTCCTGCAAAGAAACGAGCAGTGAATGACATCGACATCCAAGCTTCGAACGTCGGTTTAGCCATTCACGATTCTGATAGTGAACTGGGCGTACGCGCTACATTCACTGAGGAGCATGAAATATACACACCATCCCCGTTTAGGACGGCTCAAGCACTCATCGCTGAAAGCAACGATGACTTATATTCATCTATAAACGAAGGATTTGAAAATCTCCACCAAGAACACAATTTGGACAACTCCCCAGCCGAAGAGTCGGATAGTTCAGTGGACGAATCTGGGTCTGGCGGTTGGGAAGATTTTGCCCAGCACGAACTGCAGGTTGTTTCGCAGGGAACCGCTAGTCGCCCAACATCGAATAGATCATCAACCGACATTTCGTCAGCCTTTTCTCGTTCCAACAGGGTAAACTCACATTCTTTTTTATCAACCAGCACCAAGAAAACAAAACACATAGCGAAACCTGGAAGTCAGGCGGAAAAGCCCTCACTAATCCCAACTGTCCCTTCCAAGGATCTCCAGGTTATACCAATACCTAGAGGAAGTTATGCTCGCGCTAGACGCGTTATCGTTCCTTCAAACTCCTCCGCACCCCTCATGACGGTGAACCTTCGTTCAGAACTGCAATTTATCCATCGACCGACCCCGACAAACCCTCACTAGTGCGTCCAGTTGTGTTGCGACTGCGGATAGCAAGTGAGCTAAGCGCATCCTTTGGTAGCCATAGAATTTCTAAATATTCCTTGCCTGCTGATTCTGAGGACAATGACGGCCGTAATGTGCAAGATGTGACCATCATTGCGAACACTGCAATTATTGGATACGGATTCAATGGGGACAATCATAGACCTTCCCAGATATCTCTGATCCCTCCCATAAGACCGGTATGTTTATATCGACGCTAAGGAAGGGACACGGCTGACGCGCCACCAGGACAGGCACCCCCGACGAGTTGAACTACCTGACCAGGCTCATAGCATGGTACAGGAGACGGTCACTGGCATTGCTAAAAGAAATCGAGGCATCAGTGCTTTGGCTGCAATTTCCGGCGATGACTCAGAGTTCATGTTTGCGTCAGGTGGATATGATGGATTCGTGTTCCTTTGGACCATCCGCTCTCAAGGCGCCAAATATTACACGCGACGTATCCACAAGCTAGAGCAGTTCGAGCAGTCTAGCAGCGTAATCGCGCTGGCTTATCGCTCGGCGGATAACAGTCTCCTGTCTGCAGCTGGCCGGAAGCTGTCGACGTCCAAACACATGTCCACTTACAGGTATACCTCCACAATGATGTCAAACAACGTGCGTCAGATTCACGCCTCGCTCGAAGATCCAAACCTGGTGATCCTCGAAGTTAGTTTCCACAATGACCTCCATTCGACTGCAGCATGCTGATACGTCCGCGTTCCATAACTGCCAGGTTGAGCACATCCATCGCCAAATCCAGATATTCGATCTTCGCCAACACGGTTTCGATCGAGAGCCTTGCATGAGTTTCGGCCATAGGTGTGATATCAAGAGTAACGGCGCTCTCGACAACCGGTATTACCGTGGGAGTAGCTACCTTTGCTATTTCGCACGAGGTTACCAGGATGGAACAGTGAAGCTCTGGGACTTTCGAAACGCTGAAGTAAGTACTTCTCCCGTGGACCCCGCTATCTAGATCCACATTGTCTTTCAGAGGCCTGTTTTGAAACTTTCATGCGAAGTGCAGGACCCAAAGCCTGTCACACACGCTGCTTTCGCTGGATCGGACGTTGTAGCCTACAGTGCGAATAGACTGACTTTGTTTAGCGCGTTCAGTAAAAGTGCATAATGCGCGTTTCTTTCATGTCTCCTTATACAAGCCGCTACGTAGTCCAATACCGCCAATGGAGTTGTCAAAAGAGACCATTGCAATCGTTACCGGAGACAAGAGGCGAGTGCGCATCAGATTCGGTTCAGGAGTGAGAGCATGCGTTATAGCCTGGTTGCCTTCAGCTGCTCTTCGTCCAGCCTCCCAGCTCGATGGCGAAAGCAACCGCAAGCTTGGAGAATTGTAGCATATGCAAGAAACTGAACTCGTCGGAGATATCGATACGACTGTCAGGCAAGATTAGCGGACAACTTAGTATGAAAGACATTTCTTACTCGTTAGTTGAGTGGATGTTCTGATTTGAGGATCTGCGCGTCAAAATCTGTTACTGACAACTTGATGCACAGTCGACATACCTTGTTCGAGTTCTCGAAACTGCTTTCTGTAAGCGAGATGATGAGTGTGTGAATGGACGAAGACGATATCAGACTAGCCTATAGTGAATGAACTTGGGTATCCAGCCTTGCCCCACGATGCGCTGCGGAAAGTTTGAATAAAAGCACAGTCGGATCAAGTGATGCAGACACATACTGATCACTGCACGCATATCCGCACTTGGTCTCAACGTAAGGGATGTCTAAATACGCGTCGACAAGTTGTTTGTTGAATTCCGTCAATCTGTGTGGAATTCAGGATTCAGCAGTGCTCTCAAAATCACAATTCGCCTGACTGACCCGGCGTCCACGTAATCGGTAATGATCCCCACTTCCTCCCGCGTTCCTCGCTTGACCCATGCTGTCATGTCAAACTAATTGGTATCGATGAGCACGAGAATGAGGACCGGCGGCAGCGTGGCAGGCACCTGACTCATTGCAAGGACGTTCGCTGAACGTTCCTCGTAAGCTTTGGCTACCGCCTGTGATCCGAGTAGGCCGCCCTCCTGGATTGGAAGAGTTGTAAGTATATCAAAAAGCTTTGAATGGCAATGTACGACCTCTGCAGAGTACCAATGAAATTCGACGTGTTGTACGGGACGGAAGTCCGAAGCAATTAAAGCACGATAAGATTCCAGGATCGTAACTGTACCCGACCCGTCGTCGTCGGCTCCTACCGAAATGAATCCAAAAGTTATATCACAAACGCAATTGCTAAATGTGACTTCTTACCTGGCGCTGGTAAGAAAGGCCACATGTTGGTGCTGCAGCAGATAAGTATCAATACGGAGTAGATTGCATGTTGTCAGAAGCTCACCTATCTTGATGGGCACTTATGATCACAACACCATCGTCCGTCGGAGAAGATCCGTTGATTCGGACAATCTAACGGAAGATCAATGCTAGACTGGTTCGGACAATGAGGCTGCTTACGATCGAGTTCTGACCCCAAGGATGGACATGTTCCGACTGCTTGATATTCTTCTGAAGTCCCTTAGAAGCATATGTTGCAGTGATCTGCAAAGGGGATTTGGTCATAAGAAATTCAATCATATGGAAAGGAGAGAAAAACCTCAGATATCTTGGAATATAGCCACTGCTGACTTTGACGTCCAGTCTGTAACCCAAGGTACACAACTTTTGAGAAATCAAATTTGCTCTCCAAGGTCGTTCACTTACGTCACTGCGGTAATCTGGCTACTTGATCAGCAAGCGCAAAAGGCAGAAGGTCATAAAGCACATACATCTCGTGCGGAAGCTACTCAGCTTCTCCAAATTCTCCTTGGGACCTTCGGTCGAGAGTGTCCGGAGGACGCCTTTGACCTGTTCAGTGGCGTTGGGAGTTGGGTATGCTAAGGTTCAAAGTATCGATTGAGTGGATATGCTGAGCCATTACTGACCGCTCCTAAAGCTGGACAGACATACATAGCGTCTTCTCCCGGAAATGAGCAGAGTACCCTAACTCGCGCGCTTCAGTACTAGTGTTGTAACGCATGATAAGTCACATGAGTCATGATTAGATGAAACTACAATTACATGTCGAAGAACTTGATGCCTTGCGCTTTGGCGTGAATCTGGCGGGTTGTGAGTGGATCGTGTAATTCGGGGGTAAGAGACCCCTCGGCTAGATACAAAGTGGAAAGTCACCTTCTCTAATTCAGTCATCCAGACGGGTGACTGACCCTCCATCTGGACTAATCTAAGGCTGTTCAAATCCAAGTCGAACCCATCGGCGAAGGAATCAAGATTGAGCACTTCGTTAACAATCAATGGGGACTGAGAAGGAAGAGCAACAACAGCGCATGCAAGGACGACAAAACCGAACAAGGACTTCATGGTGATGGACGAGCAAAGAGTAAGTTGACAAGTGGTGACGTCTCGCACAGTGTGTATCCAGACGTTACCCGTTTTGGACACGGCCAGAAGGGCGAAAGGACCAACAATCACCACGTGAGAAATGCGTCAAAAGTTTACACGTCCAGTTTGCTCGTCACCCGAATCATTGACTCACGGTTTTTATCCTATACAATATGTCCAGGGCTGCTAATGCGAAAGCACAGGTTGTGGTGTGTACTTTGAATTGCTCACAACTGTCATCATTCTTATTTGCTCCAGCGCATCTTGATCTCCGCAGGCAAAGCCGCTCCGACACCACCAGTCGGCCCCGCGCTCGGTGCTCGCGGTGTCAAGTCGATGGACTTCTGTAAGGAGTTCAATGCTCGAACGGCACACCTTGAGCCTGGAATCCCTACCCCGACCCTCATAACCATACAGCCAGACCGTTCGTTCACATTTATCACGAAGACACCTCCGACTTCGTATTTCCTCAAGAAAGCGGCCGGTATTGAGAAAGGTACTGGCCGCCCCGGCCACGAGATCGTTGGCACCATCAGTCTCAAACACGTGTATGAGATTGCGAAGATCAAGGCTACTGATGAGCATCTCAAACACTTGAGGCTCGAGGCTATCGCGAGCACAATCATTTCATCGGCGCGGACTTTGGGGGTGCAAGTTGTACCGTAACGCCCGTTGGGCTTACATCTATTGTTGCATCCACGGTGTGCGTTTCCTCATTCATGCACATGTTCAGCTGCTGATCCCTTCGATCTTCTCAGCAGGTGCCCTGCCCTGACACGCTCCGAAACCCCATCTGTGTTAGACCATGCTGTACATACACTCGTGATATTAGCGGCGCTGGGAGTCGTTGAGGGCGCTATTGGTGCAGAGACTCCAATCCTGGTGAGTGATCCGCGGGGGCGCAAGAAGTCGAGGGGAGCTGCAGAGTGCATTGTGTATACGAGTACGGTAAGATGAGTAAGCGTCGCGGAACGGCCAAGGAGATGCCAAACATATCAAAAGATGGATGATCGATTTAAGTTGGGCGAAATAAAATTAAGCTCTATCACTCATGAGAGACAGGCAGGCCAGGAGAGACTAGACGTTGTATCTTCCCATTCAATGCTGTGGTCGCCCAAAGTTCATGGCCGACATTGCTCATTCCGGATGGGACAGTATTGTGTTCCTCAGTCATTCATTAGTCAAGGCAGGTATGTGCCATGTCGAGTTTACAGCGGTCGAACAAGCAGAACTTTCTTATCTCCATCGCCTTGTACTGCGTAAGGTATTTCCGACACGCTGTAGACACGCACAATCCAGCGGAGACGCAAACCGGGGGGATGTTTTGACAGTGTCCAAAGTGTCGATTCCAACTTGCCATATTCAGTTTCTTCCTCACCGCGTGGAGGCTGGTCAATAACGATTTGAAGGCGCTCTTGTTTCTCAACTGAACGACCCCCGGATTTCCCCGTCCTTTTTCTGTGGTAAAACTCGCATTTTTTTCGAGATCTCTCTCGTTCCCTTCCTGGAGATTTCTCCGTCTTCTCCCCTTCTTCCATGGTACGTTTCGCACATCTCCTGCGACCCGAGCGCTTACCCTATCCCTCGTGTTGTTGCCGATCAAGCTGGCCTCGGCCTGAACACGGATTTGGAGCCCTGCCCCGCTGAACAAGGCTCGAGCAGAGATCATGAAGTCCACCTTCTCATGTCGACACGTTTGCGGCCTTGTATTCAGTTCTATCTGTCACTGCGTCCACGTTCCCGATCGTACAGTTCACCATCAGTCGAAAACAAGAAATCGTCGCCTCCGGCCTGATATAAAGGAAGACGTGCTTCGGCGTGTTCTGCCAGCTTTCGAAGCAGCCGTAGTCTCCCCACCTGCACAATTCCTCCCCCAACCATCATGTCCACAACCACGAACGACGTACTTTCCTGGACATCTCAAGACCCCCGTGAGAGCCAACTCTTCAACTCTTGGGGAGTAGTCTATCGCTTCCACGTGAGGTATCCTGCATAACGAGCCCACGATCACACCTGACACTGTGTTGCACTAGACGGAAGCCAACGCTCAAGGCCAGAGTGTCACGACAGTGTGGCGTGCCATTCGACCCAATAAAGAAGATCGTGTAGCCAAGCTCGAATGGGCACCCAATGGTGGCCTAGGACGTGCTGTCATCGGAAAGGTGCAGAAATATCATCTCTGTCATCGAAGAATTTTGATGTACGGTTCAAGTAGCATATTGTGCCAATGGCGGATCTCGTCCGTCGCGACCCTCGCATCTCAGTGCGTAGTTGGTTTCAAATCCGTGTCTTCCCTCCTGACCTTCTGTGTCTAGAACTGCAGGGTATTCAATGGCCCTGACGGCTTTCAGTATCGCTGGCGGCCAAGCCAGACCAGCCAAGATATCGTCGTAAGTCATACGCCGTGCACCCCTTCCCGGCTTCTCTGACCATTCCACTACCTCAGTTACAAGATCCCAACAGCAACATTATAGCATTTGTTCGCCCCACCTCCCCTGTACGCTATCCCGGAATTGGAGATGTCCATGCCGAGCTGCACTTTGTTCGCGCGGCCGGTGCTGGTGTCGTGGTATGCCATACGGTTGTTTATAGGATGCTCGATGAGATGCTCATTGAAATCGCAGATGCACCCTCCGCTCATGGACACCGTCACAGTGACGGCCATGCTTTACCGTTTCGCTTCGGCGTTCAATCTGTGATATGTATTAGCGGGAAAACGGACTTTCTATTGTACGATTGAAGGCAGACTGAATCGAAAATGTAAAGCATCCCTGTATGATCGTTCGGCGTAACCTCGTTATCATGTGTTGTTTTATGTACGTATTTGCCCGTTGTACAACATGTAGTGTCACGCGGTCCCTATCGAGGGACAGCCTATGAAATGTGGCCAATACATGTTCACCAAATGTGCATGTTGGCGCAAGTGGCAGGCACTTGGAAGGCTTCCGTAAATGAAACAGGCGCCGTCAGACTTCAGAGTCAGAGAATTCTTCTCCACGTGTGATAGATGCAATCCCGAAAGCTTCTGGAAAACGACACAGACACGCTGCGATTCGAAGCAAAGTATCTTCGCAACGACAAGTACGGTACGACATGATCATACGATAGGTCACAATTTGGCAGTCGCCGGGTATTTCTTCGGTTGCAAAACATCAAGAAGGGTATCAACGGTGCGGATGACCCATTCCGTGCCTTCGTCCCCGGAGAGCCATTTATCTTCCTCGTTTAGACCTTGCACGGTACGGGCCTTCAGAAGGCCAAAAACGTGGCTTGTGAGCTGGGGTCCGACTCCCCCTTCCGTGCGCAGACAAGCGACGCCAACAACGGAACCAAGAGTCCGGCTGAGGTTACCTTGCTCATTCTCCCCAGGCAGGGGTGCCAGGACGGAGCCGTACGACTGGATTATAAACGCTAAAACAGAGCGTCCCCTCAGCATCGGGCTCGGGGCTCAGAGTCATGATCGGAGGCAAAACAAAGTTTCCGTTACAGTGAAGGAGACGATGCGGCGGACGCACAGATGAAGTCTGGGTGGTATGAACCCAATTTGTCGTAAAGCTTCACCTCGTGCGGAGCGTAAATCGAGTTCCACAGCGCCTGTCCCCTCGAAAGAACAGCCTTGATGTTCTCGGGAGTGGATGTCCTTAAAGCCCCGGCCAATCCGTCAGCATTGTAATTCACGGACAAAATGCGAGCGCAGATCGTTTTGAGAGATGTTCGCTCATGTCGATGTATCACATACCTATGTGATTCAGTCCTCAGGATTCCCTTCACATCCTCTTCGGCGACTTCCATGAGTCCCGAGAGGGCAAGAATCGTCTAGAATGCGGTGTTTCGCCGAGGTCCGTCAACTGCACGCAAGTGAATACTGAAGCCACGTACTCGAGGAACACCGACAAAGATCGTACTCTTCAATGCCGATTCTCGCATGATGGCAGCTTTCATCACTGCCTCGGGGAGACTTCGTCGAGAACCAGCATCGTTATAGTCCTTTCTGGTCGTGAACTTGTACAGGTGGCCAATTGAAGAAGGTACGTTCGCTGTCAAGAGTGTACATGTCTATCGTCGATATCCACCAGTGCCAGCGCCAAGTCCAATGAGATACTGCGATTAGGCATTTGTCGAACAGATGCTTACAGACAACACTAGCCATCCATTCTCAACTTTTCTTTGTTGAGCATCATTAAACGTGCTGGTCAAAACAGCATGCAGCTTAGGTATAGGAGGGCTGGGCAATGATTGTGTGCTTCGAGATGAGAGTAGCTGCTTGACGACGGGCGGCAGATGCTTCACCATGTTCGGGACGATAAATGAGATTGGCCAAGCCGTGTAAGTGAAATATCCTCTAGGTGTCGTCAGCATGACCTGCATTCACCAACAACTCGCACAAACAAACACTAAGGTAGTGTGTGACAGCGGACGCCAGCACTCAGTACCGTACATCACAAATTCACAACGACGTGTTAATACTAAAGGATGAGTTCAAGACGAGATAGGAACATTCCCTGAACGGGAGACCCGCACAACAGGCCTACAGGGGGGTATATGGTAATAGGTGTTATCGAGCGAACGGGTCACGGAGGGGACATAAAGGCACTTCAAGGGTTGATAAAAAGGAAGCCGAGGTCGGTCGGGGACCCGCTGGAAGTCATGAGTCTGTCCAGATCGTTCACACCCTGCATATCACCCATCACGCCTGCAAAAACAATCAGGATGAAACGAAGCGTCCCAAAAATTTGGGTCAACTTACCGAAGGGGAAGTAAGCGAGAACATAGTCGGTAGAGTCCATCCAACTGTTGACAGTGGACATGAAGCTGAAGATATCATCCTTGGAGCACTGAGCACCGCCGTTGAAATTCTGATAGCAGGTCTTAGTAATGACCGTATTGATTGTGGATGATACATACCTGGCAAGCATATTCGGTAACCATGACAGGCTTATTGAAGCCGTTGTGCCACTTCTCGACGTAAGCAATGAAATCCGTCGCTTTAACATCGTACCAGTGAAGAGCAACGAAATCAAACTAAACAAATGAAGAGAATGGGCAATGTCTGCATTTAAAATTGACACGAATGCTTACTTCGCAGCCACCGTTACAGGCCGAAACAAAGTTTTGGACCCAAGTGAAGCCGTTAGGGTTCGAGGACGTGGCAGGCGATCCAAGCTGATAGCCCTGAGACCTCAACGGCGCCAAGTATTGCTTCCAGAGCTCAGCACCACGGTCAGGGGTCATGTTAGATTGGCCGGACTCGTTGGGTCTAGACAGCATGTTTATTAGGCTTACAGATAAACAGGCAGGAGCGGCACTTACTCGTTGAACCCCAGGGCGATGTTCGCGTAGCCTTTCACAACTTTCTTGGAGAAATCCTCAAGTTGGTTCTCGCCCCAAAGCATGGGTATGCAGTTGAAGCCAAGGGACCAACAGTTGTCGGGGAGCTCTGGACTCCAAGTGTAGAGGCTACGGCGCCAAGTTATGGTGAATTGGTCGGCAAATACGTAGCTGGAGATTGAACTTACTAGTTAACCTTAGAGGTCTTGAAGTTCTTCAAGTACGACTGGTTGCCGTTCGGCCAAGCAAGACCGCCCTTCCCGCTTCCGTTGTTGCCGCTGGAGCTGCTGCTGGAAGCGGCACTGGTAGTTGCGACAGCATGAGAAGCAGAGCTGGTAGTGTGAGGCTTTGCGGTGGTCGTGGCGGCGGCCTTCGTGGTGGATGCGGCGGCCTTCGTGGTGGATGCGGCGGCCTTCGTGGTCGTGACAGCGGCCTGGGAAGTGGTTTCGGGAGCAGGTGCGGTGGTAGAAGCCTCTGCAGAGCTAGCTGACCTAGGCTTGCAGCGCTTAGAAGATGTGTCGCGCTTTCTCTTGGCTATGCTGTCATGACCACGGATAGGCGAGCGGCCGACGTTGTGATGACCAGACCCAGCGAGAGCGTTCACTGGGGAGGCGGTGAAGGAGCAGGCGAGAATGGCGAGGGTGGAGATGGTAAGGAGGTTCAAAAATTTGAGTGCTGCCATGACTGACGAAGGAAAACCGGAGTTAATTCGTTAGTCGGATGTGCGCTAAGAAGAGGCAATGAATGGGGAGGAGCAAAAGAGTGTCAGAGGCCGATAGCCCAGGTGTTGTGCGGGAGGGAGAGAAAAGGCGACAGCGTTGCTGCTCCGATCGTCAATTCTTATATCCTTCCTTAGGTAAGCATGCCAAGAAACGCACCGTCACCCGCACGGACCTGGCTGGCCATCGCTCTTTTGCAGCGATACGGTCATCATGTATCGAATGGCTTTGGTGTGCCCCGGGAGGTGTAAATGTACAGCTTCGCAGCAACATCGAAGAGGGATTCGGCGGCATATGTGCCTGTGACCAACTCTGGAACCGACGCTTCTGAAGACAGGCCAGCACATCTAATTGCGACTTCCAGGAAAGTCGTGAACAGCCGGCCTCAGGCCCTGTTACTATATCATGCATACTATACAGTCTGCTGTCTGATTCTTGTCGCTTGTCATGACAACAAGACAGGCATATTGCGGTAATGAACACGGGCAAACAGCCTGGCCGCAGGAGGGCTGTCAACGCGTGTAGCGGAGTTTCGTTTGGGTATCAAACAGGACGCGAATCGCCACTTCTCTCTTTCTCTTAACCTTCAAGTTTGACACGAAGAAACCGGTTCATCAAGTTCATCCGCTGTTCATTCAAAAGCAAAATCTACCATCTCCACGCTCGAAATGTCTGACGCCCCTGCCGCCCCCGTCACCGAAAACGGCGTGCCTCCGGTTGCGCAGGATCAGGTTGAAGAGGCCCCTGGCTTCAAGGTCAGTGATCACTGCGCTACGACATGTCACGCGTCCTCTAACTCTTTTTGCAGGTCTTCGCCGGCAACCTTGCGTACTCTACCACGGATGAAGGGCTGAAGGCGTTCTTTGCGCCAGTCGAGAGCGACATGTACGTCTCGCTTAGCAGCGTTCGCTGGCATGCCACACATTTGCCATGAGCATCTGACCTTACGTATTTTCCCTCGTTCCCTCTTAGCATCTCCGCTCAGGTCATCATGCGAGGGAATAGGTCAGCGGGCTACGGCTTCGTTGCACTCACCAGCGCAGAGGCCGCGCAGAAGGCGGTAGAGGCTCTCGACAAGCAAGAGCTCGATGGTCGCCCGATCATCGTCGAAGTTGCCAAACCGGCCGAAGAGAAAGATAAAGAAAGAAAGGAAAAGAAGCCTCGCGCCCGACGCCCTGGCAGGCGCGGGGCCAAGGCTGTCACTGGTGAGGTCACTGAGGCTGAAGCCAACGGGGAGACCAATGAGGCCGAAGCTGGCAAGGCAGACGACGCAACTGCCACTGGCGATGCCGATAAACCTAAGAAAAAAAAGAAAAAGACCACTGTAAGTCGCTCAATGTATCACCATATCATCATCTGACGCATGTATTCTTCTCATCCTCTTCCAGAAGAAGCCCAGGAGCTCTGCCGAGGGTGAGGCGACCGACGCCGCGGCGACAGAGGGTGAAGCTAAACCGCCTCGCAAGAAGAGGGTCCCTCGTCCTCCTCGCCCTGCTGGGGAGCAGCCCGTTGGCGATCTATCCAAGACGGTGCTCTTCGTTGCGAACCTGGGATTCAACATCGATGATGCTGGCCTTGCCGCCTTGTTCACTGACGTTGGCATCAAGGTCAACAGTGCTCGCATTGTCCGTCGCCGCTGGGGAAAACCGAGAAAGTCAAAGGGTTACGGTTTTGTTGATGTCGGTGACGAAGAGGAGCAGACCAAAGCCATCGCTGCTCTCGAGGGCAAGGAAGTTGGCGGAAGACAGATTGCTGTCAAGATTGCGGTAGATGCCCAGACCAACGAGGAGAAGGAGGAGGGCAGTGCTGACCCGGTCATCGAATCTGCTGCCGAGCAGGCCGACGAGGAGGCTACCCCCGAGGCGACCATTGTCGCCTCGTAATTATTAGCCCATTCATAACAATAACCACTGTTCCGTCACAATTTATGATGCCCACTCGCAGATACACCTTTTCGTCTTTTCATACGGACGATGTTTCACTTCTTCGCTCTGATGTGATCGTCGTTCAGTTGCGGTAGCACGTATTGTAAATTTGTATGTTTTCGTTCGTGCTCTGATGCCTTCATTTTCTGCCTGGTATCAAGTTGTGTAGATCTTTCCGCAACAAAGATGCTTCTGCTTTCTCCCGGTCTTCGTCTTTCTCTTGGGTTCCTGAGCACTTATAGTCATTGAACTGCTCAGTCCAGCACGCAAGCCACTGAGTTAATCTGACCAGTGTGCATTCTGCAGAGGGATTATGTACGCATGATCTGTACTCTGTCCTCCGCGTCATGGAGGACGAAGATGATTATCTCTCTGACAAATTTCTGGCCGAAGCTCCTCCTACTCAACAGCCGAAGACCTATGCGGATAGGAGACGGCAAGCTCTCGCACACTCGCGCTCAAAGAATGATCAGAATAGGACCAAGAGCCGGAGACAGCGTGAGCTACAGTCACGAGAGGAGGGTCTCAGCAAGAGCTTGTTCGAGAAGGCAGCTGAGGAAGAGGCCTTGCGCGGTGGGGCAGCTAACAAAGCTTTAGCAATGATGATGAAAATGGGATTCAAGCCGGGGCAGTCATTGGGCAGGGTAGACGACGCAACGGGTGGCACTTCAGAACCATCAGATTTGGGGATACCAATGGCAGCATCAGACAGAGAATCTTCATCAAAAGTCAACGATTCAAGTCCTCAAAAAAATGCTCTCCAACAAAGGATTGAGCCTCTGCCGGTAAACGAGTGGGCAGGTATGGACATTATATCCATGCGAAACGTCAATTATGTACTGAAAGCCCTTCATAGGCAGGAAGGGTATCGGGCTGGGCAAACGTGCAGCCTCGCCAAGTGATATCGAACGACAAGCGAAAGCGGCTAAACTTGAGGATACAAATACTGATTCCTTTAGAGAGCGCGCACGCCACGAGTTTGAGCAACGACAGGCTGAAAGCCAATTGCTCCTCGCACAAAATACGTGCGTCGACCTTGACGAGAAGGCGGGCAAGCAGGTGAGCAACGGTATCCGTCGTCTTGCATTCATTTGCAATTTCTGATCCGCGCCTCTTGTATCTGGTTCCGTGAAGTTCAACGTGCTTTGGTTGAATCCCACCAACCCCGAGTCATTTCCAGAAGAGCTGTTAGAAGCCTTGGAGGGCGCATCCTTTACGATAACCAACCACCAGGATGGTCTCGAGATACAAGAGTGCTTGAAATCCCAAATGCGTGCAGATGCCTTGCAGCCGCTCATGCCTGATCTCAACGACGAAGTCGCGAAGCAGAAGGCCGAAAGGAGGGAGATTCAATTCTCGACGGAATCAGTGGATGAAGCAGCAGCCTTTCTGCACTTGAGTGTACGCCCAATGCATATTTTCGAGAGTCTTTGCTTATATGCGGTGAGACAGTCGAAGGCAAGGTTGGAGCGAGTTTTAGACTACCTCCGCAGTAGTTATTCCTATTGCTTCTGGTGTGGAGCACGATACGAGGATATAGAGGAGATGAGGCAGCAGTGCCCAGGTGCAGACGAAGATGCACACGACTAATATGTATTTGTGGTGGAACCACCCACGCATTTGTATCGTATATTGTATACCGCCCAAAGAAACCCGATAATGGCCAAAGATCGCTGGTGATACATGAAGACAAAAGCAAAACAATGCGTGGTGTGACACGCAATAAGGAACGAATAGGGTGGGTTCAATGAGACAGAACAAAGATCGACCAGCAATGACTGTAAGGTGAGCGCCGATTCAGGGGTAAATGATGTCCATCGAGTAGGTCAAGGAGCGTGTGTACAATATAAGATCAGGTGCAATCTACACCATAAATGTCCACAATTGAGTCCTGGTTTGAAAGGAAAGTTATTTCACAAAGACTTTCGGATCTCATGAGGTGATGTCGAGATTCTGATGCCATGATGACGGCGAGAGTCGTTGTAACCTTCAACCTCCATTGACTGGCCAGGTGGCTGGACCACGGTCTCTGCTGAGGGAGAAGGGAGTAAAAATGATGGCAAAAGGGAAGGAAGGGCGGGAATCGCGACTGGTGATAGAGGTTCCAATGTGTCATGTACGGAAGGAGGGAAAGTCGGCACGGTTGGAGACACAGAGGGACTGTGTGGGGATTTGCGACGAACGAAAGTGGAGATGGGGGTGATGGCGGGTAGGTCGGATTCTGTGGCCCAAGATTTCTGAGATCTATGGCCAGATCGCGACGCACTGCCAGATCGAGAGCCTCGTACTGAACGAGGGGACCCTGCCGACGAGCGCAGTGGCGAAGTCGAGAAAGCCTGTTACGATACGCGGTTACCACATCGACTCATGATCAGATATCTAGGATACGCACTCGCTTCGGCATGTCGGCGTCTGCTTCAGAGTATATGGACGGCATGCTCATTTTTCTAGGAACCTGGAATAGCAACACACATTAGCGAGATTAACATGTGCAATATGAGGGAGTGAAGCGCTCACATGTACAGCCAAGTATGGAGTATATCTCCCTTGCCCACGTCGTGGAACGTTGAACGCATCGACATCAACGCTACTATGGCGGCTGTGGCGAGAGGGTACGAGAAGGTAGTTGCCCGTCTGGGTGTGCTGCGACCATGGAGAACCCAACTCATCGTCATGAGTAGAGGAGCAAGACGTCGCATTTGATGAAGAACGGGGTCGGCTAAACGCAGAGGAGCGCTGAGAGAAGGATGTCTCCTCTTCAAGTCCAAGGGATGCCATGAGCTCGACGAAAGATGGAAGAGAGGGCATCACGGTACGACAGCGTCAGGCTGAGGGGAGCTGTGATTAGACAACTTGGGTGGACCATGGGATTGCAGGACAGGCACGGTATATAAAAGTTGTGAGTTGGTAGGCAGACCCTAGATACGACACGGTTACAGGGCGTGGCTGTGGCGGAGAGATAATTGTCGTCAAGCGTACAAGTTGCTATTTGGTGCCCGGCTCAGTTCGGCGCTCCCCCTTGTCCATCAGCGACCCCTCCGTCGTATCCAAGGCGATCCCACTTGAATATCCATAGACGACCATTATCATTTCCAGCTTAGCCTTCCTTCGCCTGAGAACTACACCCATCGTACCACAACCTACCACAAAGGGCGCTTGTACGCAAACAACGGCTTCTTGACAACGACTTACCGCACGATCCTCTAGAATGCCATCATCATTTCATGGTATCCTTCTGACCACCAGACCGGACACTATCGACTTGACGTCTCAATTGATGAGCCTCTCGAGTTGCACGCCTCAGGACACGCAGCATACGTTGGGCTTGACATCCTAGAACGGTATCAACTGATATATCTCTATGAAAAGGGCTGCCATGGGCATCCCCTTAAAGGCTGATTAATACATTTCTCGGAGAATGATGGAGTGAACGACAAACATGGTCGACCCATCGATCAACATCAGTCAGGCTTCTTATATGTCCCGAGAGCACTGTGTGAGATGATACGTGGACTCCGCGAGTTTTATGTTCTGACCATATTGTGTAGGAAGGTCTTTTCAGTTGGATGGTTTCTCTCACATCAAGTTTCACAATGTCAATCTTGCACGGATGCGCAAAGAATCTAGATGCACAACTATTAGTGGAGGTGTCAGCCACAACCCGCCACAACGACAGACAACGACCAACTCGTATATGGCAACCAGATGTTACGTCACGTCACATCTTCGTCTTTTCTTTTCTCTGCCATGAATCAGCCCGGCACACAAAACACGAATGGGAATGGGACAGGGACCGGCTTCATGCCTGCTCCTAGACAGGAGATGGAGTACCTGTGTGCTGGTGCGTCTGATCTCCTTGACATTGTTGCTCGCTTACGGAGTTCGTAGACTGCGGCGCGAAGAACGAGATCAAGTCGAGAGAACCCATCCGGTGTAGAGAGTGCGGGCACCGAATCATGTACAAGAAAAGGACCAAGCGGAGTGCGTACCTATCTACTCCTTCTCGTATTCTTGGCATACTTTTTGTGTATCTTATATATTATATCTATCACAGTGGTACAGTTCGAAGCCCGATGACATCTTCTTACCCGTCCTCCGTACGTCTAACTACCATTGCCCTTGTCGCCTCATCCATATATGCAATAGGCATGTAACAACAATCCGATCTAGGATCGACCCCACGCGTCCTTCCACACGCAGCGTCTGCTCCGCTTGTCCCCACGTCGCCACTGTTCTGCCCCTTGAATCGACACACTGAGGGCGTACCATTATTTTTTTCTGTACAAATTCGTAGAGTATCATAGTGGGCATACCAATAGATCAGTGTTTTTCTCTGCTATCTTCCACTTGTATTCTGAACCGGAAGCCTTGAACCGTCGCGATCTGGGCGGATCTGTCAGTCACGCTCAAGAAGTGAAGAAGTCTGTGCTCACTTGCTGTTCGCATTCTTTGGCTTCCGCAGGTCCCGTATCGAAACCTATCATGTCTTGTCAGATCTCATGAAAGTGTCTCAGAGTCGATCGGCTACCGACCTCATCGATGCCAAAATAAATTCTGGCATTGGTGTTCGATGTCCACTCAATCTCTCCAGCGGTTTCCCATTTCATAGTGTTCAAATTTTTGCGATGGAACGTTGTCCCCCCGATTGGCATCCCTGTGTTGGGATGATAAAACTGCGTGATCATGAGAAGCACAGTCGCGGAGGGAGCAGCTGGGAGCAGCAAGTTGCACCTATAATGTGTACCTTATATAGTTCAACCTGCTCGGTAGACTCCTCAGATACTCGATACACATTGAAAGTCCGAAAATCAGAGTTGGTCTCCGGAGGAGGATACGCGAAACGCAGAACGATATCAGTAGCGGGCATGAGAGAATGGAGATGTCGTTGGCTGGTGCATGTTATATGTATCAAGGAATCAGTGCTGAACCCCGCGGCAGACGATGGATATCTCTTAGCTCCACCCGAGAACCGGGCCAGCCATGCACGAAACGCTCTGCGAGCTCAAGCATTTTTTCATGATATGATGATGTGAATCTCATCAGTCTATCTTTCCCTAATAATGAGTTCGGGAAGACCAAAGAAGACCGTCATAGTCTGTAGCCGCCAAGATGAGATGTGATTGCGTACCACGTCTCTAGGTACCCCAATAGCAAATGAGCACAACGAGTCCAGAAGGCTGACACGAGAAGGGAACTGATCATGCCGGCGGGTCTATACCCAGCTGTGCTTGGGCTCACATGTCCAGCTGCCGTGCCGCTCTCTATGATAGCATCAGAAAAGTTATGTCGAGGACCGACAGAAGTCAAGTGCTATTTAGGCAATAGAGACCCCAAAAATTCAGTAATCCGTTCTTATCGATTTCCACGTTTCAAGTCGCGAGACTCAAACACGTGGAACACGACGGTTCCCCATCCACAAACTGACTGGACTTTGGACGTAGAAAGTTGTAAGCCTAGGACTGTTTTACAGTCAAAAGGCACAGCGAACAACATTGCGAATGCTTCCGGGGCACCGTGCATCAAGGAGGTAGCAGTCCCGACTTGATCATCAAGAACGTCTTAGAAGACACGTCAAGGGCCAGGGGGAACCGACAGATCAGCCAGAGAGGCTAGTATGGACAGTCGTACGAAAAGGAGATGCCTAAATGAATAAAATGACCCACTGGGCAAACCTCCATCCAGTTGAGGCGTCCAATCGCCATTGGATCGCTCGGCCAGATGGAAGATGGTCGATAACGGTCAGATAGACACACGTAAGGTGAACTGCAACCTCAATCTCACATCTACTCACGGCTCTCCCGTGTGATTCGCAGAGTTTGATGAAGAATTCTAGCTTGAAAGGTGAGGTCACTGTTTTGGCCCACGTCAGCATCATCGCGGGAGCTGTGCGGGTACTGATAAAAATACGACAAGAGAGATCCCAGCGTCAAGAATGCAAGAATGCTAGGTTTCTACGAACGATTGTCGGTGGCGACGGCATGGCAAAGAGGCGTGGAGGGCAACGGAGGAGGACGCCCGACTCATGTTTATGGGTGTTTACTTCTGAACGTCAACGGCCCGAGAGCATCAGTGTTGAGGTGGATAGCGACCGCGTTGTTTTCAGACCAAGATTCCCTGTATCCCACTTCCTTCTGTAGCTCGTGATTGAAACATCGAACACTTGAAAAGATATGGAGGCATCTCAAGGCAAGAGCGGCCGAGATCGCAGCGTGTCGGGTGAAGTTGAGGTAATGCCGAGATAGTATTTATTGCTGACTTAGTTTGCTGACTGGGAACTGTTCATCAGGAATCTGAGTTTGGATCACCTCAGGAGAATGGGCGGGAGGAGTCGCAGGACCTGCCCAGTGGAAAGCCTGGCCGAAAGAAAAACCCAAAGTGTGCTATTCCTCCTAGGTGCTTACGCGCCGAGCCTGACATCGTGCCTCCTCATAGTTCACAAGCCGCTCGACGTGACCAAAACCGTATTGCACAACGTGAATTTCGCCTGCGCAAACAACAGCGCGTAAGCTCTACACAGTCACGCCCACTATGTCGCCTGTCCTGACTCGTTTTCGCAGATTCGCGATTTGGAGGCGAGGGTCGAGATCCTCTCGGGTGGCAAAGATGAGGCTGTCAGCGAGATGAGGAACATCCTCAAAGGTACGTTCCGCTTCTGCGTGGCAATTTCGGCATCTTGACTCAGGCTTTGACAGACTTGATGGCGGAAAACCAAGTGCTTCGCAACTTGCTTCGCAACCTCAGCGGGTTCATCGGCGATGGCGCCGGAGGCCTGTTGCCAAAGCTAGGCTGGACCTTACAAGATTTCGACCATTTCATCAACAAATCAGAGACGGATACAGCATGGGAGGGATACCAACAACGGAAGCAGACTTCCACACCGATGGCGGGTGGTGCTGGCCCTAGCACGCGCAAGCGAGGGTCCGAAGACGATTCGCTTTCCTCTGTCTCAAAAAAACCTCGTGGGCCTGGGGAGCGCGATGAGAGCGGTCGTTCTGATGGGTTCCCGGTTATCATGCCCCTCAACCCCGTCGGTTCCTCAAACAACCTCTACTCAAACACAGGCAGGTCACCTCACGAAAACAGCCTCTTCTCCGACCTCATGCGCGGCTCAAACGGTTCGACGATGTTTGTTGGTGGTCCCTCATCCCCTGCGTCGCCGGCGTATGCCGCATCTTCGTCCTCCCAAGTTCCAGCATCCGGCAACAATTATCAACCTCCGTACCTGGCTCCAGTGAACATGAACGTTGAGAACTCTATGCAGCCCTTGCCATTTGTGGGGAACGCCTCCGGCTCTGTGCAACAACCCAGGATGCAGCAGACCTTACCCCCAATGGACGAGAACGAGGGGCCCGACCCAAAGAACGAAGAAGCACAGAAATTGATATCGTAAGCATATTTTCGTCCGTACAAGAGTTTTTGCTGACCTGCAATAGATATCATCTGGACAACTACAAGAGAAACAGTGCCTATTGTCTTCCGGCCTCGCTTCGTCCAACTTTGGTACAGAGGTACGCCGTGTGTTACGAGGCCCTTGACTGCTATTTGAATCTTTCTCTTGTGTCCAGAACCGTGCCTCATGGTATGTCATAGCATCATAGCTCCTTGATACTATCTTGCTTGATGCTCATAATATCAAAAGAAAGCGTCATCGACCGCATTCCTCACCCGGAACTGCGTGATCGTTTGATCCTTCTTAGAGGTGAGTTCCGTGCTCTCTTTGAGAGTTCGAATTGACCTCGCGTTCGTAGGTCGTGTTAACCTTGTGGACTGCATGCACGATTATGCCATGTCGGTCACCATCCACGGGGACGACGTCTTGGCCCACAGCAACTGGGAGATCGGAGAGACGTGGCTCAGACGATACGGGTTCGTAGATCAATAAGTGTTCCAAGCAGCTCAGAATTAATGAACATCGCATTTGTCTTGCAGATTTCTTCTCGACCAGGGCACACTAAACATCTGCAACAGATGGAGGAGGGATCGCGGTCTCTCCGAGCTTAGACTGTCAGATCTGGCACCCGCAGACTCCCAGGCAATGTAACTGTTCGACGACGTTCGATACGAGTGATTGCTTCCAGGTGTAGCTCGGATCCATGGACCTTCTTCGCAGCCACATATTCCTTTCTTATCTTTAGGATTATAAGCTACTCCGTCTGGCGTGTGTCTAATGTACTGAACGATGTGTTGGTTATTTCACTGACTATCCCCTGAATAAAATTAAGCCTTTCTTCTTCTAGCGACGAGCGCGAAAGACACATACAATGAGAGAATGACCTGATGCCAGACAGGTTACCACGAAGCCTTGTGCACGCCGGGCAACTCTCCAGCGAGAGCTTTCTGTCGAAATTGTACCTGACGCGCACCGTCAGCTGTCAGGCTCCCGTGTGGACCAAGAGGGCGCACGAAACGCACCCTGCACAGTTTAAACTCGCTCATGACGCCCCTTCCCCTGCCCGACTCGGAGCAGCGGTTTTTGACGGTGGTCGGGCGCGTGTACCGCCCGAAGGTGTTCAGCTGGAGCTGCGCCTGGTAGCGCACCTGCGGCGGCAGGCTCTGGTTGCGCGCGACGAAGAGGTAGGCGCGCCGCACGATCTCGTTCTCGGAGACGCCCTGGCGCGCGCGCATGTCGCGCAAGATCCGGATGTTGGGCATGGCTTGTGAGAGTGTGCAGAGGGGCGGAGGAGGGGGCCGGTAAACAAGGACCAACAACGGCGCTCGCAGCAAACTCGTTGGAGCCGGGCCCGTCCGAACCGCTCACAACGCCCCGCCTCCTCGTCTACACCATTTAACTACCACGGAGGTTTTCTGCCTGGCGGATATGGCCTGCTCGGTTCGTCGTCCTCCCCCTTTTCAAAGCCAATGCACTGATCGTTCAGTATGGCACCCGCAACCAGTCATAGATGGCACTGTCCAGAACACTCCGCCTCACGCACCGCACACGGCGCACGCTCACATCTGCCCTTTTCGGCCTCACATTCTTCGCATCGATCCTCACCGTCTCCGCGTCCGACGTCCTACCCTGTCCCGCCCATTCTTCTCGCAACCGTTTCGCGGATGGTGGAGAGCCGGGAGACCACACATCACGAGGGGGGCGTAGCAGTCGCCCGGCGGTGGTAGAGAAGCGTCCCAGGAGATGGATAGAAGAAAAATCACCCCATTTGTCTAATCCATAACAATGCTTGGCTCGTTGGCTCGCGCAGTCATGATCCCAGAATGGTCAAGATTTAGTCGCTATTCGTATAGGATGAGGTATGAACAGGTAGGGTGGTATAAGTATACATCGTGCGTGGCGTCAATGACTGCCCCGATACTATAAATGTGTCTCTGTGCAATATATATGCAAGTATATCCAATCTACTCCGATCCACAGCTTCGCTTCGTCAGGCTTCTGAATCCCTTCTGTTCTGATCAGCCTGGTTCCGACGAAACTGTGCCTCCTGCTCTTCGTGAGTTCCCCTGGCGTCCCAGGCATCATCGTTCGTCAAGCCTATCAAAATCACGATTCTACGGATGGGACTCACGGTAGGGGATTCTCTTGGATTGGCAGGCACCATAAAAAGGCAATAACGTTACATGCCACTTGGCATATAAATACGACGCGCAGAGCGTCTGCATAAGAACTGATGGCGGCTCGCTTGAGCTCCGGCTCGAGAGTCTCGATGATATCCGTTGAATGGCTAGTTCGGATCAAGAAAATCAGTCGCGCCATGTAGACGTAGTGATGAGGATATGGCATACCGGATGCTCGATATGATCTGTTGACACAAGTCATGAGTTCGTGTGGATAGCGACAGTTTTCAATATCAGTGACACACCTCAGCGGCGCCGGGGCCTTGAATACGTTCTCTAAGTTTCTGTAGAAGGACGGCTTGGAGCACGGCACCACTTAAACTGACACCTAGGACCTGGCCGGTAGTGCGGAAAAGATACGTGACTGACGGGCCACGCGACAGGCGAGTCAGGGCAAATATAGGTCAATGGGCAATTCTCTTACTGCCAGTGGCCACGGCCACATCCCCTTTGGTGACGCCGGCGATCATGGCCTGCGAATTCACGATTAGCGATACGGCGAGCTGAAAATGCGCCGTAAATACTTACAATGAGCGTGCTAGTGATCAGGCTGGCCATTCCGAAACCTTGAGGAACGATATCCAACCACAAGTGCCAGGTGGCCGAGGCATCCCTCCATTGCACGACCAGAAGACTCGCCATGACCGTCATCAGGACGGAGACGAGAGTCAGCGTATACAACTTGCCGGTGCGACGCATGATCCTGAGATCAGCGATGAATTGAGATCGACTAGCATCTACTGAGCTCGCGAACTCACCAGCCGGCGAAGACACTGCCTGTCGAGAGTGCGACCTTCGCGGAACAAAAAGAAAATTGTGATCAGAGGGTCGCTGAGCGCTTATGCTGCTTGCGTTCTCACCGAGTGAGGAAGTAAATGTAAGCCTGTACCGCGCGGTCCGACCGTTACAACATCGTCGAATAGGATCAAATGGTTGAAGACGCACCTGCATTGGCAGATGAAGCTAGTCGGACAGCGGTAAAATACTGAGGGACGTGAGGACCCGCTCTCAACGGTCAGATGAGCGGAAATGCAAACACATACCAGTGGCACGTTATAGAGCTAGAGTAAGCTGCGTATCAGCTGATGTTATGGCGGCGAACGACGGGAGATGGTATACCATTGAGAAGGCGGACATGCTCGCAAATAGGTTTGCGAATGAAACGGCCAGAGGGGTGCGCTGTGTGATGAGTCGTAGAGGCATCACCGGATAGGGGGCCCATAGACTCTCCACGAGAACGAACAAGAAGCCAAAGACGGCGCTTGCGATGAAGAGACCACAGATAAGGGGATCCGACCACATCAGGTTCTCGCTTGACTTGAGGCTGAAACCAAGAAGCAGAGAGCCAACGGTGCCCACGAGTGTCACGGAACCAAAGAAATCCATCCGGCGTATCCTAGCATAGAGGCTCTGTTGTTTGACCTCTATTGGCATCTCAATCGATACTTTGAGCAGAACAAGGACGAAAGAGAACACGAGCACCGGAATCTAAGGGGACCGTCCGAATGAATTGGATGCTCAGGGAGGCCGTCGGCGGGCCAAAAAAAACTTACCTGAAAGAGAAAAGCGGACCGCCTGACAAGATATAAGCTTCGGCTGAGTTCAGGATCGCGCAGAGTTGACACACCATCCGAAGGTATCGTTCAACCATCCACCTAATGGACCGCCTATACCAGCACCAAGACCGAACAAGCTTGAGGCTTGGTCAGCGTCGAGGCGACCGATGACCGGTCACCCGCACTTACATATTTGCCAAACCCTGGTACAATCCACGCTGTTTTCTAATGAGAAAGGATGAATGGGGGATGGCGTGGTGAACGCTTGCTGAACTCACAGAGGAATGAGATCTGTCACGGCGACGCTGGACACTGACAAATTGTGAGCGGTCGGGAGCTAGTCTGTGGCATGAGGAGTGCTACCTGTCATGACACTGAGAAGGACGGATGTTCGGGTGAGCGATGGAGCGGGCGGAAGGAGTTTCGGCGCGTAACTCACCCACCTCCGCCCATGCCGGCTATTGCACGAGCCGCGATGAGAGCCTCCATGGAGGGCGCCAGACCACATAAGATTGTACCCAGGCCTTCAGAGACGCCAGACGGTCAATCATGGGCTCCGGAGAGGACGATGTACACGTACCGAACAATGTGAGGGCCAAGAGCATTGCTCCTCGACGACCGAGGATGTCCGACAGCCGTCCTGAGCGAATGTGAGTGCTTTGTGCACGCGGAGGCGATATGCACTCACCGTAGAGGGGCGTGAAACAGCACACGGACAAGAGGTAGGAGGTTCCGATGTAAGATGCCTGATTTGACTTTTGAAAGTGACTGCCGATGGGCGTCATGAGGGTTGCGACGATGGTTCCTGGGGTCATTGCGAGGATGCACGGTCAAGAGAGTGAGGGAGTGGGAGTGAAAGCGAGATACCATCGAGTGCACCGAGGAAGACCGCGCTCCACAGGCCGGCCAAGACCCAAGCGAGGTCTGCGCCCGACGGTTTTTTGGTGAGAGCGGGGTGCTGAACGGCACGGGTGGGTGTTGGTTGACCGTGGAGCAGAGGACGCGTCTCGGAAGAGGACCTGGAAGACATTGTGAGAGGGGACGCGCGCTGAGCAAGGGAGGGAGGTGCATGCGAAGGGACTGTGGGCAAGGCGTGCTTTGAGGACGGTCACATCTTTTCCTTCCCGATCCACCGCGTCATAATCCGTGTACACCGGTCCACACCTCGTCCCCTTCCTTCGCTCCCAGAGCTACTCGCCCTCTCCTTCAGGATCCTCTCCCCGGCCCACCCACGCGCCTTGCTCGCACTCCCCCCCACTCGACCCCCCCGCTCGCCCCCGTCCTGTCGCCCACTCTCCGGCCCCGGCGACATGTCTGTCGCCCCTCGCCGTCGTGCATGCCACGCCGCATTGCAGCAATCCGTCTGCTCACATTCACAGCCCATTAGCGACGCGCGCGCAGATCGTGGCTCGAGATGCGCACTTGCCCGATTTGCATCGTCGTTATGTCCCCCTGCTTGAAATACAACAACCCTGCCCTCTCCAGAATCCAGATCGCGTCTTCGTCCATTGTCCAACATCCTCCGTCCCTCCCCTGGCACTTCTCCGCCCTCCTTTGCCATACGCGGGCCCGAGAGTTCGTGCAGGTGTCCTGCAAGTTGGCGAATGATCCACCAGAAACACTGCTTCAATGACCGCGGACTCGCCAAACCCTTCGCTTGTCTTCATTGCCGTCTTCGAAAGGGTGCGACAATTTCATATTCCCGTCCAGCTCCTTTCTCAGACACTCGGGTCTCTTGACTCCCCGCAACAGCCTCCGACCCTGCCACCCGCCGTCCTGCGCTCCCTCTCCGGGGTTCCATCCGCCATTGCAAAATTAACCCTCTCGACAGACGACGCTTGCTCGGTTTAGCTCCATCCTACGTACCAAACTTAGGCTCTGTCTCGGCATCGTCCCCAATCGATGCTTCTGCCCATTGATGGTGCGAAAGTGGCTGAACTTTCGTAGCAAGCTGCCGCTCGACCGTCGCTATTCCAAGGCAGGGCTTTGCGCTTCGTTCGCAGGCCCACGCTAGAGATTTCCAGCATCTCGGTGGGTCGCAAGACCCCCCGCCCCCTTTGGTTAACATCCTCCACTCAAGCCGCGCACATGTCGTCACATCGCACAAGGGAACAGATCCGACTGGTCTCACCCCGTCCCATTCTAACTGCCTTCCGCATTAGATTCTCTTAATTTCAAAATCGAGGAGCGTGTGGCCACACGAGCGTTGGCCATCACTGGACCGATCTTCTCTCTGTCAATAGACGCATACGGCAGTCTTTCTTATCTGCAGCACGCGAGGTCGCGCGTGAGTCGACAATGTCAACTTACTTATTAGGATATGCCAGGCCGCTGGGTCCTTCCACATGTCTCCGCTCGGCGCTTCAGCAACCGCCTCGGGGCTGATCCCTGCACAAACCCAGCATCACATCTCCACATATTGCTCTCTGTCTCCAGCCTATCAGCGAGCATTGCAATTTCGGGCTACTGGGAAGCGCGAAGGTGAGGTGATCTTCCCCGACTTCTTCTTCGCACTCGTGAGATACACACGATAGCCAGGCTATGCCTAGAAGCATGACGTCGACGGCGTCTATACTGTCTCGTCACAAGGCTGCAGGATGCGCTGCCGCGTTCGATTGATATCTTCCTTCCATGAGAAGATGCACATGATCGTATCGATCTTCACGAGTTCGTTCACTGTGGGCACTTTCTCAAGATGCGCGTCCAGCTTGGTTCAAACGCTGTCGGCGTAACGACAGCTCCATCACAAACAAGGTACACACACCACACTCCTTGACATGCATGAACGTGCATTTTCATGCACCCTCTCCCCTCGGTCGGGTATCCGCTGTGATGAGTCGGGTCTCCATCTCGATACTCGATTGTCTCAAACTCTCTGAATGCCCGGAAGAGCAGACTAGTCGATGTCTTCTTTGGCGTGGTGGCCACTGGTAAGTGCCAGAAAGGTTCTGATTCTGACTTGAGCGCCTGATAGTCATGCCTAACTTACATACTTGTGCAATATGAATTTTTTTGGCTGAGCAATTCTGAGGGATATATGCGGGTTTTCCAGGAAACCGCCTTCTTGTACCAGACCTTCATCGCGAAGTGTGCTACTGTAAGGTGCACTGTCATACTCTGTCCTAGGTTCAAGGCCTTACTGTAACGAGAGAAAACCAGGCACTGAGTCGTAACTAGGAATTGCAAGCGGAAATTGCCGTCACAAGCTTAGTCAGAGAGAAGTAGGGTGGAAAGACAGACTGGGTAACTTGGCGAAGTCCAGCCCGCCCTCGAAAACCACACGGATATTCGCGCCTCTCCTTTCCACAGCGTCGACGTTTGTTTCATAGGCTCGACGTCCCTTTCTATCCAGGTTTCCTTTCTCTTTTGATACCCCTTTATCATAATGTCTGTGTCGACCACTCTCCAGAACGGAAGTGAGGTCACAACAATCCCCACATCCCCAGGTTCTCCCCGTGCACACACCACTGCGTCTACGCCCTCCAGCCCGTCTCAGCCGACATGGAAGTCCATCTTTCGAGTCGGGAACACGTCCTCAAGGAAATTGGTAGTCACTGGCGCCGGGAGCTCGCTGACGTTGGACACTGGTTTTGTCCCCACAACTGTGCCGTCCACCCCACACCAGTCGCTGACTCCGGGCTCGATGGATCAGCGGTTCTCGTATAACTCCTCGAACACCCAGTCGAGCGACTCTAACGACAGGTCGCAGCAGACGCCCATCACACCAGCGCATTCCTCGCATACGTCCACGGACGCGTCGCTCTCTTCCAAGCCACGACACGGAACCAAGCCAGAAAAGCAGAAGGACCTCGGACGCGCACACAGGCCGCCCCCGGCGAGCGCGTCGCACCAGAACTTCCCCAACGGTGTTGCATCGCCCAAGAGCCCGCGCATAGGTGGGCCACTTTCCCCACGAGCGATGGGCGCGTCGGCAAGTCGGTTCATCCGGCGTGTAGCGTCGGCACCCAATGCCAAGGGCCTCTTCAACATCGGCTCGCGCCCGCCAGCAGCGACGACGAAAAACGGCTTGCTCGCGCCAGTGGACATTCATGGGGTTCCCGAGGGAGGCGTGCCTTCTTCGCTGAGCACTTCGGATGGTGGGACCAACTCGATTGAGACCGTATCTTCGTCGTCTTCCCGAGGGCGCAATCCACGCTCGACGGGATTGCAGAAGCTGGGCCCGGGCGCCTCGATGCAGGGCCCAGGCAAGGTCGCGTTTCGGCGGACGTACTCGAGCAACTCGATTAAAGTGCGGTCGGTGAGTGACACATGCTATCATGCATCCCGGCTGTGCGCTGAACAGATTTCTGATCCGCTCGCCATACCGCAGGTCGAAGTGGGTCCTTCCAGCTTCCAAAAGATCAAGCTCCTAGGTCGAGGAGATGTCGGCAAGGTGTTCCTCGTACGCGAGAAAAAGTCCGGGAAATTGTTTGCGATGAAAGGTGTGTCCGCCCATGTCACCGAGGCCGAGATACGTGATTGATGACCGGTGCCCGACCCTCGCTGTGCCCAGTGCTGTCCAAGCAGGAAATGATTTTACGGAAAAAGATCAAGCGCGCCTTGACGGAGCAGGAAATTCTCGCGACCGCTAACCACCCGTTCATTGTTACGTTGCATCACTCATTCCAGTCTGATGAATACCTCTATTTTTGCATGGAATACTGCATGGGTGGCGAGTTCTTCAGGGCATTGCAGAATCGGCCAGGCAAATGCCTTCCGGAAGATGGTGCGAGATTCTACGCGGCAGAAGTTGTCGCGGCACTGGAATATTTGCATCTCATGGGCTTCATCTACCGCGATCTCAAACCGGAGAGTACGTGGTTGCCGTTGCTGCCGTCAGGACCGTTCCTCGACGATTATTCTGACGGACGATCGCTTCCTCAGATATTCTGTTGCATCATTCTGGACACATCATGTTATCTGACTTTGATTTAGCCAAGCAATCTGGCGTATCCGGAGGCAGACCTGCGACGATCCATCAATCTGAGCCCAATGGCGTGAGTGTCTCAAACGCATCATGGATCTTGCGCACAAACCAAGGTCATCGTGTCGCGTGCGACCCCCCTCCCAACAGATACCCTTGATTGATACCAAATCTTGCACGGCTGATTTCCGAACGAACTCTTTTGTTGGGACGGAAGGTACGGAACGCCTGATTGCTTTGTTCCACTCCTATGTCCTTGACGCTCGGTTTCTTTATGTCAGAATACATCGCCCCTGAGGTCATTCGCAATTCGGGCCACACGTCTGCCGTTGACTGGTGGACCCTTGGGATCCTTATTCACGAGATGATCGTACGTACACCCCTTCTAATCTGGGCTTGTAACAAAGGGGAGTGTGCTGATTCTGGACACGATAGTACGCCACCACACCATTCAAGGGTCGAGAACGCGACCAAACGTTCGAAAACATCCTGAAGCTGCCTGTGCACTTCCGGGACACGCCCAAAGTGTCACAGTAAGTCGCCGAGGGGCCGCTTGATCGATTTACGAGACAAAGGCTGACGTCAACTTGGATTTGCGTCCGCGTCCGCGCTACGTCAGGGCGGGAAAGGACATTATGACGCGACTGCTAGACAAAGAGGAGAACACCCGCCTGGGCAGCATGAGCGGTGCCAGCGAGGCGAAGCAACACAAGTGGTTCGCCAAGATCAACTGGGGCCTGTTGCGGCACACGGAGCCACCTGTGCGTATTTGTTGTCTCCCGCTCGGCTTTCCGACCGCCGCGCGCTCTGCCCGGCCCTCGATCGCGCGGGGACTGCGGTCGGGGGTCCCCGAATATTCATTTTCCGCGATGCGCTGACCCTCGTGCTTTTTTTTTCCCCTTTCGCGTTTCCGATGCAGATCGTCCCCTCGTCGTCGCACGCTGCCGATGCGGCCAACTTCCGCTCTCTCAAGGAGTCCAAGTCGCTGCACCTCGAGACACAACAATCGCACATCAAGGGCGCTGGGGGTCCGACCACGCCGGGCGTCGACGACGTGGCCGACGACGTGGACCTCTTTGGCGGGTTCTCGAGCATTACGCTCTACCACGACGGCGAGAGCTGATCGTGAAGATCGCGAGGGCGGCGCGGCCGCTCGACCGCGTGAAACGCGGCGGTGGTGACCGACGCCCCGACCGCGTCGGCGACGGCGACGGCGACGGCCGATGGCCTGACCTCTTTCTCTCTCCCTCCCTCTCGCTTGCTCGCGCCAAGGTCGGCGAGTGAGGTGTACCATGGACCGACCCGACACGCTCTTTTCTACCAGCCTTTTCAATCCTTCATCGCTGTCGCATTCTTTTTCAGCATCGTGCTCCTCTCGACCGGATATGTCTGCACTCGCCCTCACCCCTCTTCTCTCTCTCCCTGTCCTCTCTAACTGTGTGCTTTTTTTTTATCTTCACCGCCGCCAGCGATTTACGTTCCTCGGGGATGGTCCAAGGAGCTGCGGTGTATTTGGAATATGGGGACTTGCGTCCCTTTGCAGCCCTTTGCCTTTGATCTTGTCGTCATGATTTCCCACTGTACCATCTATGACTCGTCGCATTTCGAAATTTCCTTCGGTTTTACTTTATTGTTTCCGGTTCTGTCTGCACACGGCGCATCTTACATACCATTTCAGCATCTCTCACACGGATCTCCACTCGTGCTCACCATCATTATTTAGACGACTCCCAGTGCATATACATATTACATTCGTTCGTAAGTAGGCAGGCAGGCAGGTACGTACGTACATACGTACACGGCGATGCTCGAGAACGATTTGCGCGCGGACGCGGAGGGGGGGGGGAGGCGTCGCGCGAGTTGACCGAGTGGGAACGTGTGAGAACGGCAAGGAAGCGCGCGAGCATATGGCCGGTACAGGGACATTGTTTGTCGGATTCGTCAGTGAAGATGCACATGATAAGTGGCTGGGAAAGGCAAAGGGAGCGACTCGAGACGGGACGGGGGTATGTAAGTGGTAGAGCGTGGACCCGACGTATGCGGGAGGAGGGAGGGGAGGGGCCGGTGATCGGAGAAAGGCTGGAGGCGGGAGATGTGTCAGGACGACCGAAAAGGGCGATGTTCGTGTTTGGGCTTGTGGGTGGAGGACGGCGTGCTTGGGCTGGGAGAAGGCGATCGGGGAGGAGAGGACGAAAGGAAGGATGGGAGGGGGAAGGGGGGGGGGTGGTTCGCGAGGGACGGGTGGCTGTGGCTAGATGGCTAGAACGTGGGATCGAAGCGGTTGGGAGCGGTGCGAGCGAGAGCGGGGGGTTGGAAGGGAGGGGCTGGGGGCAGGTCCTGGCAGGTCTGGCGGCAGCCAAGGCAGGCTCGGGCTGGGTGCAGATCGCGATCTGGGCAGGCGTCGGAAAGAGGGCATGGCGCGGCCCGTTTTGGGACGGCGGAAAAAAAAGAAGAGCAGGCTCGGAGGGGGGAGGGAGATGAATTGACCGGTGAATTGCAAAAGGGGGAGCCCGGGACACGGCCCCGTTCGCGTGGACGGTCTCCACCCCGGAAAGCGTGGTTGGACGATCGAGCGGGACCAATGGAAACGGGGATGCCGGATTTGGGAGGGGGCGGGAGTAAAATGGGGGCTGGGCTGGGCAGGGTGGGTGCGTGGGTGCGTGGGTGCGTGGGTGCGTGGGAAGGGTCGAGGGGAAGGCTGGGGGTGCGTGACGGGAGGGAACGGAGGGAGGAGGGGCCCTGGGGGGTTTGATGGGGGGTGGCGGTGGGCCGCGAGGAGTGATGGAGGGGACGGAGGAGGGCTGGGGACGGTGGGAGAGAGAGAGGACTCGGGTTGACGTAAGGGGATGGATCTGATGAGAGACGGCGAGATTTGGGGGAGAGAAGAGAACGTTCGATCAGGCGTTTCTGGAATCGGCTGGCCGGGTATTTAGGATGGAGTGTGCGGCGGGTGAAACCTTGTTTGCAGGCGTCGGGGAGTTGCCGACGGTGGCCTCGGCGCCGAGGGCCAGACGGGCGGGTCGGTGTGGGCGTTCGGTCTGCCCACCGTTTCTCCACCGCCCGAGATATTATTTAGCCTCCGTGCCCGACTCGTACTTATACCGCGCCTTCCCTCCCGTCACCCCCACGGTCTTCTCGCCGCATACATTCCATCATTCCGTCCCTACGCCCCGCCCAGTTCGACCCCCCGATGGCCGACCACCACGACGTCTACCCTGCCTCCTACCGCCAGCAGCAGCAGCAGCAGCAGCAGCAGTCTCCCTACCACCGCGAGCAGCAGTACCACCAGCCCCCGCCCCAGACCCAGGTCTACCCCCCCGCCCTCCTGTCCCCCGCACACCCCTCCGCCTCCCCCCACTCGTCCCCCGACCCCTCCACCCCCCACTCCCCCCCCAAGAACGACCCCACCCCGCAGCAGTCCGTCCCGACAAAGTCAGAGACGAAGCCCCAGGCCACCTTTCTCACAAAACTATACGCGTCAGTCTCTTCCCTCCCCCTCCCCGTCTCTCTCGCTCACAGCTCCCCAGCCTCCTCGAGCGCCAGGAAAACCACCACATGATCCGCTGGGATCCCGCCGGCGAGCACATCATCGTCGAGCGGCCAGAGCAGCTCGCCCTCCACGTCCTCCCCAGCATCTACCGTCAATCGAGATTCGCAAGCTTCTCTCGGCAACTCAACGTCAGCTTCCCTTGCTTCCATCCCTCCTGCTCGATGCTCATCCCCCGCACTCCTCCAGATCTACGGCTTCATGCGCAAGGTCAATCTCCGCAACGTCGACCCCGCCATCGACGACCCCGACGCGTCCACGTGGTGTACGCTCTCTCCCGTCCCTTGCCACTCACTCACTCACTCACTCACCTCTTTCTCTCCCCCCCTCTCCCCCCTCAGCACATCCCACCTTGAACCGCTCCTCCCCGTCAGAGGTCGTCGCCAACTTCAAGCGTCGCGTCCCCCCTCGCCTCCCAAAGCCCAGAAAACGCGCCGACATGGAGCAGCACTCCATCCCCCCGCCTCGATCTGCCAACGGCATGGGCGTCCCTCTCACCGTGCCCAACAGTATGGGCTTGGCCTCCCCCAAGGGCGGTCGCTCGCGCGGTCTCTCCGCCCCCGGCGCGTATCCCCCGCTCAACCAGGGCAACCCTTGGAGCCCATACTCCCGCAGCGCCCTCCCTCCTCTCACCGTGCCTTCAGAGCCTCCGATGTCCTCGCACAACATCTATAACCATTCCCCCCACTCCCTCCACCCGATCTCCCCGGGCGAGGATGGCTCGTCCGCCGGCTTCACCGGCATACCGTACAACTCCACCTCGTCTCAGTACTCGTACAACGCCGAGCCTCCCAACTGGCAGTTCTCCCCCGTCAGCAGCGGCAGCTCCTCTGGCCACTCGGGAAGCCTCTCGTCTCTCCTCAACCCCAGCAGCAGCGGATATCCTCCCGTCCGTCCGACCGTCAACACCTCGTACGCCTCGTCTCTGTCGTCCATGCAGCACAGCGCCTCGTCGATGTCGCCAGACAGCCGCCCCGCCACGGGCTACTCCGTCTCGTCAATCTCTTCCATGCCGTACGACGACAACGCGAACCACGGTTACTCGCACGACTACTCTCGTTCCGGCTCGGGCCACCCACGCCCTCTGACCCCGACGTCCTCCCGTCCGCCCTCGTCCAAGTCGAACTACCCGAACGGCTCACTCAGCATCCGTCGCCAGAGACGACACAGCCAGGCGGTCAACCCGTATCCATCTCCTTACGACATGGAGGAGCGGCCCTCGAGCTCACCTCAACCCCCCGGCGGCGACGACCACGCGATGCATCGGTCGCGCAGCATGATCCAGTTGCCCACCGTCGATCCCTATAGCAACTTTGCGCCTTCGCAGACGGGCGACTTTGCCTACGCGGCGCCGGCGGGCAGCGTTGGGACTCCGGTAGAGATGGACGGAGGATGGAACAGCCGGTCAGTGCGACCCTCGACATCTGCGAGCTCGTTGTCAGCCGCGTCTCAAACGTCGTCCTCGCAGGCGCACACCCCGCCGGTGACGGACGGCTTTGGAGAGACGGACATTCACCGCTGTGAGTAGTGCTTTCGCGCTCGTCCCTGCCCGTCCCTGCCCCGCCCTCAACGCGCTGCTGCTTTTTTTTTTCAAACTCTCCGATCGCTCCTTCTTTGATTGTCCGCTTTGTTCTCTCTCTTGCACGCACGGCACCGCCAGTACGACTTAACTGACGCCAGTCTTGCCAACCCAGTCTCGCCCGACTTTGGCTACGTCCAGATGAACCAACATCTCACCCAGTACGCGGCGAAGGCCGGAGAAGTGCAGTGAAGGAGGGCCGGGTGGGGCTCGCAGAAACATCATAAAAATCACGCCTTCGGTTCGGTCTCACGCTCTCGCTTGTTTGTCTGATAGGACGCTTTTCCTTTCGTTGTCGCCCTCTTTACTCTTTATTCACATGTACGTATCTCTCCTCTGTCCGCGGCTGCGCGGTCGCTCGTGTGCCGCGGCATCGCGCAAGTGTCCCCCTTTGGGTTTCCTCCGTCCCAGCGCTGTCCCTCTTTTCTTTCTCTCCCTCCCATTTATGTGTTCCTTTCTTTTTTTTTTTTTCAATCACTATTTTGCTCTGTTTTGTTTGTCTCTGTTTCTTTTGGTCATTGCCCCCGTGTCTAGCGATCGTCGTCGAGTCTTCTTTTTTTCCCTCGCAGTCTTCTCGATTCCCCGCCGTGCCTCTCCACATACATTTAGATATCCCGTGCTGTGTTGCTATACCTGACCTCGTCGTCGAACCACGTGTAACGTATCTGTTTATTTCATCGGACGCGTTGTCCTTCGTCTCGTCTCGTTGTCCAGGTGTGCTGCGCGCGCTGCCGCAAATGGTGTCGTGTCGTGCGCAGATTACGATTGAGATCGTCATCGCCAAAGGGGGCGCATGACGCTCACGCGTGAGCAAATGATCGTCCACGGAGCATGGAAAGGGCCTAGTGCGCCGAGGGGCTGCGACTGTGCGTGGGAGCTGCGGTCCGTGCTTGGACGGGACTGGCTGGCTGTCTGGCTGTCTGGTGGCCTGGGTGGTCCCTTGTCGTAGACAATTTCTGATCAGACGACGGGGACGAGGAGGACGGCCACCGGACGACCACGAAGGAAGGAGATCGCTGATAGCGCGCGGGCCGGGCTGTGGGGCCCCCCCTTCACTCACGAGGAGTTTCTGTATAGATTGCGGCCGACTTGCTGTGAGTTTAGCGTGCTTGGACTTATCGGCTATGGTAACGTTACGTGGAGCGGAGACAGATATCGTGAATAGATAGTCGATGCCCTGGAACACCGAGGGAGGCGAGTTGTGGCGCTCACCTCCCTCTCCTGCGCAGAGGTCCGGTGCTTCGATGCTGATCATCACGCCTGCCAGACGCCCAGAGAACGCTCCATTCAAGCTGGGCGGTGGCCGGGGGCGCGGGCAGATCGGGTGAGTGCCGGGAGGAACCGGGGCTTGCTGGCCAGGCTCGGTCGGTGGAGGGCCGTCGCGCGCACATTCACACGCAGACACACACGCCGCTATTTACACTCGCAAGGCGACGGCTTGGCCGTGACGGGAAACCGGGCGTGACGATCGCGTCGACGACGGCGCGGCGTTTACCGCGACGGATATCGCAGCCTGACGTGCAAGTGTGCAAGCGTGATGTACGAGCTCTGCGCGATCATCATCGTCATGGGGCCATCTCTCGAGAGCATTCCGCGTGCGTACCGGGCTGCTGCCGTACGGTGATTACTGTATGAAGTCGCGCGCTTGGGCGCAAGTGTGAACTGGTCATGTAGGGCTCGCAGCGACCGAGCGGGCACGGGCACGGACACGGGCACGAGCTGCACGAGCCGTGGCTGGGGGGCCCGGTGGTGCGGCGGGGCGGGCGTCGGGTGGACAGAACAGAAAGGACCTTCTTCTGATCGGGAAAAGTGACAGGTGTGCTCAGACAGACCGCAATCGAAATCGGAATCGAAATCGGAATCGAGCGGCGCACATCGTCTGGCAGCCAGCCGTCCGCTTGACACGTCGGTCGCCCCCCCGTCACCGGTCACCCCAGCTCGCGTTCCCTCCCTGGTCTCGCCAGGTGCATAGCTGGCCCCCCTGTTGCCTCCGCAGCCACGCGCAGGCCAGGGCTCCTGCGGTCCCCGCGCGGTCCACGTCCAACGCGATTTCCTTTTCCTTCCTCCCCCCCCCTCGGTTCGCCAAAGCGGCCCGCCCCATGTCTCGCTGCGCAGTTTATCCAACAGGCAGTCAACTTGCAAGCGGCTAGCTGCGCGCACCGCGAACCTCGGCGCGAGCGGGCTCCCCCGTGGCTCTGCGCTAGCCCCGGTAGGGTGGGAGCATCGCATGGCGCGCGCGGTCTGCGGGTGCCGCATATGGCAGGTCGAGCTCGACGGTGCGGGTGGCGTGGCGGTAAGGGGGAGGGGGTTGGGTCGGTGGGTGTCGCGGCCCTGGGGGCTTGATCGCATCCCTCGGCCAGCTCCGTCGACCCCTCTCCAAAGTTCACGCCCGCGCAGTTTGCCTGCGCGGACGCTTTACGGGCCTGCCGCCGTGCACCCTCTGCGCACGGCCCCGGAGCGGCGTGCGCTTTGGCGTGGATCCACGGACCTGCGTGCACCATGCGGTGGACCCTGCGCGAGCTCGGGGGCCCCGCACCCGCGACACGAATACATGCATGCATACTTACACCCTGCCGGAACTTGTGTGTGCACGCAGGACCCTTGCACGGCGGCTGTGCTGCTTCTGCTGCTGCTGTTGCTGCTGCTGCCACCCCGTTCGCCGGGGGCGTCCAGCCCAGCGGTGGGCGTTGGTGCATGGAAGAGTTTACGTGGGCTGTCCGATGCGTCCAGGAATGAATGCACGATGGCAGGCCACTGCCAACTGTTGCGTCGCGTTGCGGATGGGCATCGGCTCGTCCCGGGCTGGAGTCACAGGCCACGACGCGGCGCGAGGCTCGACGTGCCCGCACGCTGCCCCCGAGCCCCGAGCGCGCTCAGCCTCGACTCGGTCCGAAGCCAAAGCGGGTCGCTGGCGTGACTTTTGTTGCGTTCTATGCCCGTTCATTATGCTCTGCGCTCCGCCGCTGTCATCTGCAATTGCCCGCGCGACGGGGCGTCCCAATGCGACGACCCAGTTGCCCATCGGGGACGCCACGACCTGACGTACTAGAGCGTGCAAAGTCCCTTTTAGAAACCCACAAATGAATTCGCGTCGCAGGGCGTCTACCAGGGTTTATGTAAATAGAGCTGTTCGCGATGGCGTCCCTTTCTTCATTCAAGCAGGCTGTGAAAGCATCACAATCCATGCTCCATCTGCATCACATCAGCACAAACACGGACGTAGACGACAACTAGTTATCAGCGCACGACTCCGTAAGGGTCTTATCGCCCACTCGGCTTCCAGCTCGCGCGGGAACCCTCCTTTCCCCTTTGTGTCTTTTGCATGCACGTATGAGGCATGGTGTGTGTATGTACATCGCGATCACCACAATGTCCGCAAGCAAGTCCGCAAGTCGCGCAACAATGAACGAATATCGATCGGTCCCAGCAATGTAAACAGGACACGATGCTCGAGTTGTATATAAAGAAATGAGAAAAAAAAGAAGCAAGCAGAAGCAAGCGAAAAGGCAGTTAATAGAGTCCAATCTCCGCCTCTTCTCGGCCCCCCCACTCCCGCCCTGTGCCAGTGTCGGTGCGCGACGTGCTCCATAACGTTGACCCTCCAGTGGCGGACACGGTCGACGGCGTCGCCGCGCGGAATGGTGTTTCTGACATGTGTCCGTGCAAAGAGAGCGAGTCGACGTCACGAGGCAAAAAGGCACGCGCCTCCTCGTCCGTGTGTGCCGGTAGCGTTTCGTCCTCCAGCTCCTCGTCGACCGCGCGGCGTGCCACATAAGACAGGTAGATGAAGATGCCGACGCAAAGAACGATTCCGCCGATGGTCGAGTAGTGCGCGAGCGCGCTCTCGTCCTGCTCCGCGGCCTCTGGACGCGGCTTGACGTGATACGCCGCGAAGGAGTGGATAGAGTTCCCAAGTGCGGTGTGGATGATGACCTTGAAGAGGGAAAGCGCGGTGCACACCGCGTATGTCCGCAGCGTGAGCGTCGGGGAAGCAGCGAGAAGGCAGTTCATGACGTTGTATGGGTACGGAGCCAGCCGGATCAAGAAGAGCAGCTTCGGGCGCTTCTCGATGGCGCGAACGACGCGCTTCACGGATACGGCGCATGAAAGCCAGCGGGAGATCGTCTCATGGAAGAGGTAACGCGAGAGTATGAATACGACGAGGGCGCCTGCGAGGGCCGCCGAATATGAGATGAGAGCACCAGTCCAAGGTCCGAAGGTATAGCCTGATAGGATAATAAGAGTAGAATACAAAGGAAGAGGAGCTATTCGCGGCATGACATCGGTCAATACCAGTCATCACAGGACAAAGACACGGCGGAAGCACGTACGAAACGTAGTCAGGAAGATGAGGAAGAAGAGGACGGCATATCCGAAGCGCTCGTCGGCCTTAAGCCAGCTGGACAGATCATCCAAACCTGTGACGGAGGGCAGAAAAGGTGAAACGATGGTTCATTTTTCGTTCTTGACATAAACAAGACGGGCGATTGCGAGACACATACCCTTGAAAACTTCCTCTTTCCACACCGCAATGGTCAACAAGAAGCCAAGACTAGTCAACAAGTATACGATTAAGGGCAGCCAAGGTTTTAATAATGCATAGAGTCGGTATCTTCGGTGATGGGCATAGTCGGAATGAAGGGATTGTCGAGGAACGGCAAGCATGGCGGTCGAGGGAGCGCGTGAGTATGAAGATGACCGGCGAGACGACGACTCGAAAGCAGAGCTAGGACGCGGACACGGCGTCGAGCGTCGGTCGGGGGGCGCGATGTAGCCTTCACGCTTCGACCGAGAGAATGTGTCTAGCGGCGTTTCCTCATGCCGGCCTTTCTCGTTCACTGTGCTCTCGAAATGCAGATACCGGAATGGGGACTGTGATTGCTGGTGAAATGTGGGTGACGTTGAGACCGGCCGCGCAGGAGCCGATTCTGTCAGGAGGCGCAGAGGACCTCCTCCGCTACTCTGATGACGATGCGGATGCGGACGGGAATCAGTCGGAGTATTCGAGGTGCTCGCAGACATATCGAAACGCTATAAGATATAGATGTTGAGAGTCAACGAGAAGCCTCCCAATTGTGATAAGGGGATTACCTGGTTGGAAGGGGGTTTGCAGGCGCTAGAGCACGTAGACAGGTATCTTGATCTTAGATGCGCGGTTTACGGGAAAGCGACGATATGTTGGAGCATAAAAGATGAGCGAGGTTAAAGCGAGCGGTGGGAACAGGTGGTATAATGGGCTATTATTATTATAGGGAAGGTGCCAGCACTATTAGGGTGAATGCAAGCGATCTTTGCAAGGAGTGCACCCCGTCGTCGTTCAAAATCCCTCCCCCTGTGACTACCACCACATTCCCACGCCTCTGTACCCGACATCAATCCCCGCTTCCCTGCTTCGGCTTATCCAATGGTCAGTTGCAGGGAAACGCAATTAAAGTCGTCCCTGCACAAAGACGATTCAAGGCCTACGCAAACATGGAATATGTTAGAATCTACGCCCAGACTACACGGAGATATTTTCTCTCATGCTTAGTTCACGGAATCAATTCCAAGCTTGGAGGTGTGAGTACGTGTCTTCAGCGTCAGTTTCATATGGCTCCAAGGGCAAACAACCCCTGCTCCATGTATTACCATGCGTCATGGGGTGCTCGTGAAATTGAAATCGTAAGTTGCGCTCCAGGACTCAAGTGCTCAGCAGGAGGAGGCAGAAGAAACATGAGATGATCGATGATTTGAACGGACCGAGATCGCGATGCCAGATTTTGTTGGACAAATAAATAAATAAATATTAAATAAATGCAACTAGATGTCAGTGAGGTCAGCGACCGGTCGGATGTCACACGCACGTCTCTCTCTTGCTGCCCCACGTTCAGCAGGATGTCTGCTCTTCGTTTGTGCAGAAATCTCCCTCGTTACACGACCTCGACAGCATCGGCATCGCGATGTAGACACTTTGCCACTACGCAGCGCCTGCGCCAGGCGCAGGAACAGCAGCGCAGTCCACACGCTCAATTCTACTCAGATCTCGTGCCGGGGATGATCCCAATCGCCCTGCTCGGTTCGGCGGTATACATGGTGCGCAATCTTTTCATCCCTCTTGAACCGTACCCTACCTCGGACCATCAGAAGCCAATTACATTCAGTGCAGGCTCTGCAACTGCTCCAGTCACGCCTGTCACATGAAAAGCACCTTGACGAGGCGCGCTCACGCATCAATGAACTGGAGGCCGAAATCGATGCATTGCTTGAGCAGCAGCAAGCACGAACCTCTGGCGTTTTGGGCACCGCCACGCCAGTCAGTGCAGACCCTGCATCCGGCGCCCCGAAACCCAGAGGATGGTTCGGTCAATTCTAGTAGATGCGGACCGGTGTATAAGTATGTAACCGCAGAATTCTCTTCGCCACATTTTCATGGTGAACAAAGAAGTTTTGACAGTACGCTTCGCGGCAACTTCGACTCATCTTCTCTCATCTTGCGATCATTTTGTTGCAAATCTCCTGACGTCCGGAGATCCTTCCATATAAATTGATCGAGATCAGCTCACGGCTTGAAACTATATACCCGTAAGAATCATATTAGAATGGAAGTCAAACCCTATATTTGAAGACCGGATGATGCGAGACAGTAAACAGAATCACTCAGAAGGTTAGATTCTTTACAAGGACGTTCCTGTGGCGATCGTAGAGTTTGGCCGAGCTGTTGTGAACAGATGTCAGAAGGGTTCTCAAATCGTTCAGAATTCGCCGAGTACCTGAGTACGGCCGAAGCGAGGCCAGTAAAAGTCTTCACTGTGTCCTTCCCGCGTTTTAATTTGAAGACGTCGTATGCTGTTCGCCGGAGTGATCGATCAGTGCCGCATATCGAAAAGCAACTGTGGGTGACCCGACTCACAGACAAACATCAAGTCCATTATCAGCTTTATTCGATTCATCTGGAGCCAGTGATCCTGACGCTGCAATCGCTGCAGTTCTGTCTCATCAATCTTCGTGTTGCGTGGGGTCGATTTGGCCGTCGCGCCAGTCATGGAATCGGCAAACAGACGTGATTCCACTGTCTCGCAAGTTGAGTCACCGGGTTGAAATGGAAGGACCGGTCTCTTTACCTTCACGCTGCGAGTTGAGAATGATGCTGCGTTCAACACCATTCTCTACAAGGTTCACAAGGGTGCTGGCAAACCAACAACAGTCGGCTATGCGTCCGGCTCGATCGCCAGTACGCTTGCCGAGAAGGCCAAGTTTTGAGAACGTTGCGATATCATCCGCAAACGCATTCACCAGCTCAAGTAGCACGGGTGGTGGTGCATGGAGAAACGTATGCAGCAGGGGCCTGGGTGTCGACTCCTTCATATTGGAAGGCCTATCTGGAGGGTATATAGGAGCAGCAGAATGCTCGGCCATGATAGATGTCAGTGGAGAGAGCCAGTTGAACAGAATGAGGCATTTCCTGCTCTGCGCTTCAATACGACTAGACGGAGAATGACGAATAGAATGGAAACCTTGTAAGAGAAAGACCTGATACAGTCGACTCCAAGCGTTTGACTAGCCCGGCCCCCCAATCGGTTCTTCTTCGTGATGAGCGCCTCAAAAGGGAATAGTGAAAGAGTAAGTAGACGCGCAAAGAATATTGCATCAGTTTCTAGACAATTCATCATTAATACACAGCAGGACATTGTAAGACGCTACGCAAGAAATGGGAATGTGCTCACGAATGCCTTGTCCCTGCCGTTGCTTGTCTTCAACATCTCGCGCCATATCTCCTCCTTCCGTACGCGAGCTTTGGCATTCACCTTAGCAGTATCCTCATCATCATCTATTTCCTGTTCGAGGTCTGTAGGCCTTTCCTCCATCTCTTCATGACTGGTGTATACTTCCGGCGTATAAACACTGGCATTTGGCGAGATGATGGATGTTCGAGGGGTACGTGGGGGATGCGCAGAGTGTGGGTTCATCTGGAAGCCACTGTTTCCCATTCCCTCGAATGATGTAGGATAATATGAGCCATCGAGAGGCGAGGAAGATGATGAAGCATGGCTAGGCAAAGAATTGGGAAAGGAAACAGAAGACATGACCAGACTCGTACGTTCTATAGGGTATGCTGCAAGAGGCCGTGGAAAATGAAGACCGACAAAAGTTGTCGCTAAAGCGTCAAAGATACGTCGAACACCGAACAGGAGAAGCGCGATGAGCTGACACGTGGTGACCACTGACGCTGACGCGCACGGCAAACAGCAACCAAATAGACGCCCCCGCCTCCTCTCCACGGCGTTCTGAGTCTCAGGAATCTCAGGTCTCGGGCTACATAAATCCAGGCCATACACAGCCAACGACGATGGCTTCTGCGACTCTTCCTGGGATGCGCTCACCTATGACGCCTCGCTCAAATGCACCTTCTCCACGTCCTAAATTTGACTCCGATTTATTGAAAGCCTATGTCAAGAAGTTGCTCTCGACGACTCTTCAGGGTGCTTCTTGGCCAGAGGCGCGAGATCGAGACCGAGTACGGGCTTGGATGAAGGAAATTGGTGAACGAGTAAAGGAACGGATGATAGGTACGTATTCATCGCCCTGCATGCTCTATGTTGACGACCAAGCTATGAAACCAGAAATTGAGCCCCGAGGCTTGTGAGTCTTCCTCTCCCAAAATAACACATGATCAGGCTAGTGCTGATATTTGACCCCAGTAAATATATCGTCCTAACACAGATCAACGAGAACTTGGGGCAAGGCGGACGGTGAGGCGGGGTCACGTGAGATCCTCTTGCTAACCTGCTGAAATGATTTGACCTCGCAGAGCAGACATGATATGTCATTGGGAGGATTCGGACACCGTTGTGCAAGAAGTACTCGTAAATGTAAGAAGACTGATCATTCAGCCGAGATCGTTGCCTGACGAGACGTACCATAACCTAGGACTCTCTTATCTGCATCTGTATCGCATTCGCCGTGCGGACTGTATGACATGTTTGTTGTCGCCATCGGCCACCCGTGACACCCCTTTCTCGTACAGTATAGCCCAGTATAACCTTAGGGATACCCGTCTTTCTCACATCTTAATACCAATTTCATTCCGGATCTACTCGCTCTTCAGACGTTCCGTAGGTCCAGACCCTATTCTTCCAGGACTGGCGCTACCAGAAGGGATGGCCGCTTTGGCACTTCTCATCTTCCATCGGCGGTTCTCCTCTGCAATGGTACATTCCGAGATCGCTGCCTTCCCTCGCCTTCGTGAGTTTGTCCTTCGCGGTTTTCTGCCGCCGGGTTGTACTATTATTCAACTGGGCCCGCGCGCATCTTCATACATTCAGTCTAACTTTGTACTATGCCACACAAGAACTCGCTATAAACAGCACCATGGAGCCTTATACCTATCTTGGCCCAATCGGCGAACCGCGGTGCATGTGGCCCTGTGCTACAAAGATCTTATTCAGTGAAAGTGGTGCATGTCGTCGGAGAGACCGTGATGGCGGAGGGCTAATATGAGGTGGGTCAAGCATGGTTGTGGTAACCGTAACGTAACGTGTGTTCCCTCCCTTGGTTATCGAAGTCCGCATCAGAAAACCCTCATTTGGTACAATGCCCCATCAACTACCCTTCCATACGTGGGACTGGCGCAGGGGCTTACAACTAACATACATAAGATCTATCCTTCCATGCAGTGCATCATTACGATAACGTACGCATGAAGATCCCAGGATTGGTCGGTGAAGAACAATGGCCTGGACTGCGAGCAATGTGATCTCGGATCTATGCCTATCCCCAAGCATGGAAGTGAAACGACAAAGCACTGTTATTAGTATGTGAAATTGCAGCTCTAGACGCAGGAATGCAAGTATGATGGTTATGTTGCTCGGACCCGAACACTTGTTCACAGGACGTGCTTCTGTTCACGGAAGTGGTGGAGTTCGCATTCGCTTGCTCGAAAATCAGTCTGATGGGCAGCACCGCAAGAAACAAGACAGAGCGTGAATCCCAAGTAGAGAGGCTGATGGACTTGGTGTAAGTTTCTTCTCGGAGAGGGGTGTTGATGTGATTGCGGGCCGTCCGTATCCCGCCTTGAGAATTCACAAAGAAGTCATGCACACCCACTGGTACTGATCAGACAAATTGATTTGAACGACCAGGCGCTTCATCAGCGCGTTCCTACTTCGGTGTTCTAATGTGCCAGAGGACCCTGTACACTCTGAATCCCGCTCGATTGAAAGAACATTGCTCAAATCTGGAAGGAGGCTTCGCCCTTGTGGCGTTTTTTTGTTGTCGGCGGAGCAAAATTTACGGCATCCATGGACCATATCGTAACCTGGTGAGAGGTTTGAGCTCATCTGAAGTTCTGCCGAGTGTCCTGTAAGTACGCGAGACTATTGGCAACTCTCAGTCTTCATATCAATCGACAAAGAGAAAAAAATGCTGATAGCGAATATTTGGATATGAGAAACAACTTACCTTTTCACTGATAACTAGCAGCGAACCTTTTCTTCTTAAGCTTTCAATGATGTCGTAGTAGCCTAGTCAGAACTCAGCCGAGAGGGGTCGGCTCATATGAGGTTGTTCTGCAAAAATATCGGGTGCTCTCCAAAGCAGAGTCCAAGGCAAAAAGAGAGCGTATATATATCAAATAGCAATACTTACATGGCCTAGCGGTACGCTGAGGCTATAGCGGGATCAGGTCATTCCGCAGCTTCCCACGAGAACCAGGCCTCCATGGTCATATGCTGCATAGGACGTAAGTTGTTGCGACGTATGTCAACTGGACGAGGAAACAAGACACCGCGGGCACCCTGCTTGGGGCAATAGAGCAAGCGAAACCCGTCCGCGGGAAAGATCAAAGATAATCAACGGATACCTAGTCCACCACCTAGGGTCTCACCACTCGGGGACCTACCGCTCCATGTATCTGGCGTGAGGGATCTGTTCTCTTCTTGACTATCGAACTTTGGACTGTGCCTTCGAAAAATTTGCCCAGTGCTAAGAAAGACCTGGCGAAAGAATACAAAAGAACATGCTGTATTATTCTTCTGCCTTCCTTTCAATGGGCCGCCGGTTAGTGCAGGCTTTGAGGGCAATATAGGCTGTCAGACGAGGTCAAAGCCCCCAGTCTTCTTTAAATTCGTATGGGCGCGGTGGCCGTCTTGCATGCTGGAAACAGTTCCATACCACCGTGGTGTACCTGTTGACAATATGCATGTGAGTAATCTTAAAAACGGGTTTTACTTTTCTGTTGTAAACGCGGGAACCCACGGGGAAGTACGTACGCGCGTGGGATCGCGAGTGAGCTCGATATGGTGGCATGATCCAATCTAGTAGAGTACTTGGTCCCACAAGGTGGTGCGGACCGACGATGCCACGACAATTTCACACCAGTTTCTTTTGAATCCGGCGCGTCTGGCGACAGCCAGAGGAGATCAGAAGGTTTCCGGAAAGCATACGACAAGACAGGAAGATTTCGGCAGCCTACGGGGGAGTTGCTCACCATCAGTCTTAGAAGCAATTCGGTCATACCGAAGCGTCTCAGGATATTGTTACCCTCTTTGAAGGATAGCTTCGTGGGAGGACAGGCAGGTTAGGAAGCATAGAACTTTGAAATGCGAAGATTCACTCAAAGATCCCCGAGAGTTGCGCAGTACCTCGTAGCTTCGATGCTAGACATCTGATTATCCATGTCATATACAGTCATAGCGATGCCGTCAGAGAGGACCTGGGGAGAGTCTGAAAACAGACCGGGACAGATACTCTTTGCACTACGGAGACCGTTGTGGGCATGCGCAAAAGGTCTCAGAGGCTATTTCAGACGTCTCCGCTATGGTCCTAGAGTAGACCGAAAAAAGAGCGAGCGAGGTTCGGAAAATTACAGACCAATGACATACCGCTGGAGAATACCGAAGACCAAAAAAGAATCAGCGACGTCCTGGAGCAAATGGAAGACAAGAAGGGATATTACTCACGGTTCTTCGTATACACCACCAGGGACAGGGCCACTGCCTGCCTGGACCCAGCGGGACATGTAGAGCCAGTGAGCAGACCTGAACAATGAAATTACATACCTGATCAGTGACAGATGTACTGGGGACGCCGCTTCACTTAGAGAGGCTACAGCAAGCGGCAACGTTCAGTTTTCGGACTCAATTACGCTATTGGGTTTTACGGACAGCCTGAAATGACTGCATGCGCAGTGAAAAGCTTCGTATAGACAGGCTGTATCACCTGTGAGATCTTCGCGCTGGTGTGTCGGCCCGCGACATGTATTCTGTACTAAACCTCTTCGCTGTTCAACGACAGGTTCTGAGTCATGTGATTTCTTTATGCTGTTGGTGACTGTTCCGCTTTCACCTGACTAAATCATCTCCAACTGATAAGTGTCGACTGTTGAACTCAATTATATTCGACCAGGTGAACGAATGCTTACTTTGGCGTTAACATTAATCATTTCACCATACCAATCGATATTGTGGCTTCTGATACCTAGGTATGTGGTTGATTGTTCAAGCATATAGATATCTTCAGCTCGAAATTCGACAATAAATCATCACAAGGCCTCATGCGGAATCGCCGTTCCTTGCCTTGAACCGTTCTGTGGAAACTGAGACTGTGTCAGCATTTACGCTCTGCTCGAGTTTCTACGGGAATGGAATCACGTCATGCTACCTCCCGAGCGTGTACTCCGTCAGAAACAAGATGTCGCCTTTAGAATATGGGTCCGAGGTGCGTCTGCTATCAAACACCACCGATTTGAGTGGTGCCGTTCTCTTGAATGTTCCGGTGACTTGACGCATTCGGATCGGATGCAACGCGTATCGTATACACTATCCACCACCATAACGGATGTTCCGCCGTCTGGTCCTTGCAGTCACTCGCTATGTTCGTGGATGCGTGGTATATGCGAGTTAACTTTTACACAGTATCGGTAAATCTTCACGAAAACTGTTTGAAATTTCTCCAGACAGGCCTCGAGCTAACCATGGAGACTCGGCCATCGGGCTACTTTTCTGGCATGTGACGCCGCAGGTGCAGTTGTCTTCATTTTTGAAGCTGGAGGGCTTACCAACTGTATTGCTCATCGTCCCGTACCCGACGCCGAAATATTGAAATTATGACTTCGCTCAAAAACATCGCGCACAGCACCATCGTGCACCAAATTCTCTTGTAATGACAGGCGCTAACGATCACATCTCTGAGTCGCAATTTTTTTCGCTCCCACCAGATATTCGGAGGCTCCGTGATGTGGTTGCAGAACAGGGATGGGACGAAGCCTGGTATGTCCTTTTAGGAATCACAGTCTCATCGAACTCATCTTATCTCAGGAAGCAAAATCTGACACCATGGGAGGACCCTGATGTCTACGATGTGCAACCGGCCTTGCGAGAACTGATTGATTCATCTCGTCTGCAGCTTCCCACTACAGGAAAGGCCCTAGTGCCCGGATGCGGAAGAGTTCGTATCGATTCACGTATGCTCACTAATGTGCTGATGTACATCTTTCCAGGGCTATGATGTGATACACATTGCATCAAGCCTCGGGCTTGAAACATTGGGAACTGATATCTCATCTCAAGCTATCCAAGCGGCGAAAGAGTGAGAGTTGACGTTGAATCATCGCCGTACTGCTCCCTCTGATGCAAGTCTCCCACCTCGCCAGGCGTCTGGCATCTGTTCCTGGTGCTACAGCTTCTGGAAAAGTTTTCTTTCAGGAAGCTGACTTCTTCAGTATGGCTTTACCTGAAAACGAGCGCTTTGATCTTGTATATGACTATACGTACGTAAACCTCTTGCATTTAGGGTCTCTCATTGAGAAGGAACGACCTATTGTAGATTTTTTGTGGCTATTCCGCCCTCGAGGCGCAGCGAATGGGGTCGACAAATGACCGCGTTGACGAAGCCTGGCGCCTACCTGATTACCCTTGCATTTCCTCTTGGTCTGGATCCTAACGGAGGGGGTCCACCGTTCTTCATGACACCCGAACATTACCACGAAGCACTCGCTGGATGGACGAAGATCCTAGATGAGGTGCCGATAGGGAGTAGCCCAACTCACAAGAACAAAGAGAGGATCATTGTATGGAGGAAATTTGACACATGAGTAGCGCACCGCTTGTGATAGAAGCCATACTGAAGCCATATAGTGAATGCATGCATGTTTCTTTGAATATCGACGCAGAGCCTTCCTCGAAGATAGCAGTTGAGTCGCGGTCCACATATGTACTAGCCAACATAGATGGAAGTAGATGGAGGTCGTTGGGTCGAAAGACATTCGGGTCCACTGGTTTTGACCGAGTTATTCACATGTAGGTCAAGCCTGGACGTCCGTCCACTCGGTGTTAATGGATCATGACGAGTGCTCCGAGCACGCATCCAAGACACTGGAATGTAACAATCGGCCGGTCAGGTCGGCTTGTACTGGGCCTTCAAGACGTCACGGCCACCTATCTTTGTCGATATAGCGGCTGCGGCGATCGCTCGTCATCTTTGACAAACATGCCGTCTCAGACACTTGAGAAGCACATTGACCCGGGCCAGCACGTTGTGCTCTGTGCAAGATCTTTTAGGAGGGTTGGAATTGAATTTTTGGTGCAACCCTCATACCTGAGAAGTATCCTAGAAGTATCGCTTATATCTTGTACAATACTCAAGATTTTGACAATGCGCCATGATTATGCTCGGGGCGGAGTCGCTTGGGCTGTGTTCAATTACGGGGGCGTTGCTGTTATGCACCCATAGAATCTAGCTACATCTCTTTAAAGGCAAAAGATTGCTCAAATCTGAAGACTGTGCGATTTTCTGTATTTTTTTCCCAATTTTCTGCGACTCGTTAGAGGTTCGCCACCTCATAACTTACGACGAATCGCCGGTCACGTGGCTGCAACTTGTTCAGCGGATTGAGAACTTGGTCCTCCACATGGGCGAATGCCATCTGGCCCAAAATACTCATAACGCGACATGTCCAGACGCGTTCTCCGAACTCTGGAACGCACACATATTCTCTTCTCCCTCCCCCGTAGTGTCACACGATGCTCTACATCAAAAATACGGACAATCAGCACTTCCCTCTCTATTCACGATCTCGTCAATATGCCAGCGATGGAGTCAAGTCCACGGCAAAAACTGCTGGATATCAAAATGCGGGACCTGCTGGACAGTCTGGACAGCAGCGTTGTAGATCACCGAATAGCCTGGGGACGTTATATCGACGTCTTGAATTTCCTTGGCTTGGAACAACTCCCTTTAGAAATCCACCAGCGCGTCCTTCGAGGGTGTGTCCCCACCGTCACAATGATGCGGTCGTCCAGCGCTAAGCAACTGCGTACACGATACTATCCGAGCGAGCCACACGAGTACGAATCGCGTTTCCAGTCTGTCATTCGCAATATCCGGTCGGCTGGAGAGATTCCGACCGTGGATGACTTCAACTTCATACTGGAGCACTTTGCGGCGGTGGGGCATTATTTGGGGTCGCGTTGGGTTATCAAGGAGATGGCTTTCCTCAATGTCGAACCTCGAACAAAGACGTACGGTCTGTGTTTACAGGCTTTGGCACATCGCTTGCGGCTCCCGTGCGCAGAGGAATTGCGACCACGGCTGTTGGAAGATGTGACTGCAACCTGCAGGGAGTTCATCAACGATATGTGGGCCAATAATAAGCCATTCACTTCAGTCAACATGGACCTGGCTATACGAATCCTACGAGAAGTGTCCGACGACGAAGGCTTTGACCGATTGCTCAAACTCGGCTACGGCATAGATCTTTCCTTCCCCGACGGAATGCCTGCGGAACTCACAGATCGAGAGATAGCAACTGCTGTGTCACAAGGAGCTAAACCCACTAGGCCATCCCTTCAACCTCTTTCGACCGCAGCACTTAATACCATCGTCGACACCTTAGGACGTTCAGGTCGAATATCTAAAATGGTGCTTGCGTTCGAAGTCTTGACCCAACCACTTCCTCAGACATCGACGCCGCCTTCCTCTTTCGAGGATGAAGAGGACGACAATTTCCCCCAATCATCTTCCTTCCTCCCACAATACCGGTTCCCCCATGCCAAACCTAACATCACGACGTATAACATGCTTGTTAGACATGCAGCTAAGGCGGGACACGCAGTCTTTGCGCGACACTACGTACTGCAAGCGCTAGAACAGGATCGAATCGAAGACAGGCGTGTGCGTGGAGACGTTCTGCGTCTTCCTCTAGATTCAATAGTCGCGCCTAGTCTAGCCGTTAATAGGGGCACTCTCCTTCCAATCTTTGGCGAGGCGAATCGAGACAAGAACATCGAGCTTATGCGGTTCACGCACAAAGCAATTGAACGCATTCTGCGGCGGAAAAATGCGGATATCCTGTATTACGAAGAGTGGAAGGTTACAAGACTGGGCGAGGAGTCTGATGGTATCGAAGCAGAATTCGTCTCTGAGACCCAAGAGGAAGGGATCGGCATAGACGATTCTGTCGATTCTGTTGATTCTGTCGCTCCACTCTCATTTTTTACTCCGTCTACCTTAACCGACTCCGCCCCATCACCTACACTATCATTGCCTGATGTCGATTCGGACACACCGGCTATCTCACCACCGCCAGCTCCGAAGGTCTTCAATGTTAACCTTCACCTCGATATCCTATATCGTGACAGAGCCGAACTCGAGGAACTTTTGAACCGCGTTAACGATGTTCTGAGTCGTACGCTTCAGCGCGTTAAAGAGCGGCTAGGGAGACGGGTGTGGGGAGCGAAGGACATCTATCTTGCGACCCAAGGTCGGTCGCAGGTATCGCGAGAGCACTGGAGGAAGATTGTTAGGTATAAGGATGTAATACGACCACAACGCTCATCTACAACCGCACGGTCTGGAGCACGGACGTCGTCGTCTCGTCAGCAATGGCACTCGCCATCGCCATCATAGCCTGTGTATGGTCCGTACTCTAGTAGCATTGATCGTTTTACTGTATCGACTTCTCATAAATCGTACTGTTCAGGCTCCGAATACAGCCGTGGTAGTGCTCTTCAACGCTCCTTGCATATATATTATGTGCGTCGTGCCAACCCCATACTTTGCGAGTTTGTGCTGATCGTTCATATCGCCCGGCTCAGAATCTTTTGAGACGCGGGATGGCCGATGAACCTGTAGCCAGTCACAAGCGTTGAACATTACTCGGAGGTTATCTGTCAGAAAATGCAGTAACGAGGAGCGCAAAGTGATAATGCTACAGAGTGATATTATCCGTCTAGGTATGATCCCTGAAGTCCAGCATAGCAAAGAAGCAATAAAAGCACACAGCGAAGGACATTCGAAAGACGAAGAGTTCATGCTTCTTGTTCGTTCAATTCTCGAGCCTCTTTCGCTCGACACTGCTGCTATCAATCACTCTTTCCATCGCGTTGAGCCATACCTCGACGGACGTGCCCAAATTGTGGTTTCCAGTAACAGGACCATTTTTGCTCGCCGTGCCGTTTGTGGAGGGTTTGATTGTGGATAATACGGACGTAGGTGCTGGGACGAATCCGAGTCCAATATAGCGCGCCTGCGCGAGTACAGGAAGACGACGCAAAGAGCGTCCAGACATTCCTTGATCCTGCGGAGAAAGTGAGTACATATGACTGGACACATGTAATTGCGTGGATGTACTCTGCATTTTTGCGCGAGTGAAAACAGGCACAACGCTACATGCTTCGCCCGCTCCCGTGGCGTTTGTTCTGAGGGTGCCGCGGGTATCGTCGCTCCGCCGGATGTCCATTGGGAGGTCGGGACAGTGCGAGCATATAGTTTAGCTTCCTTAACTTCTGGGATGTCCTTTCAGTAACAGAAGATCAGCGGTGTCCACAATTCATACGAGGCGGAAAATGCATTGGATGCTCACAACCGGGGTGACAATGCCTTTGACGATGAGCTCAAGGAGGCATGTGCGCAAAATTGCATAGATCGCTTCGCGTGCAGGAAGGTCGACATATTGGACGATGTCTGCGCGATCCACAAAGGCTGAGTCTAGTAATAGTCAGATATATGCACTCCGGGGGGGTTGGGGTTTTTTACCTATGGCTTTGGGGAGGTTGCTTGTAGATACCACGAGGACATTCTTCTTGTGACGGAGTTTGTCCAGCTGTGTTAGCAGCGCATTTACCACCTGGGATATGGTGCATCAGCTGAACAGAGTCAGATAGGCCGATGAGTGCTCCACTGACTCGAAGAGCGTCAGATGGCTCTGTGCCTGCCATAGCGCCGGCGCGCGCAGCTGTCAAGGACTCGACCTCGTCTATAACACATGATGAGTGTCTTCCACTACCAACAGGCGAGTTGAAATACCAATAAGTACGACCACGAAAGTGTCCTCGTCATCCACGAGGTCCATCACACTGCTGAACAGACGTTGGACGAGCTTTCCAGACTCAGAGAACCACCGGGAAAACAGCGAATGGGAATTGATCTCGAGAAGGCGTGCATGAGAGTATCTTGTGTCATGGATAAAGAGGTAAGTAGTGCGAATATGACATCCAGAGAGGAGCGAGTTACGTACCGCTGCGACAATCGAATGGAAAGCTTCTGCGCGAGTGCGCGGCACAAAGATGTCTTGCCTGTTCCTGGAGGGCCGTGGAGGAGCACGACACGATTCCATGAGACGATATTGACTGAACTTGGGTCAGACAACCATGGATCGATTGCAGATGAAGTGGCTTACAATCGACGTTTGCATCGCTGAAGAGGACAGTCGCATATATGTAATCCAACAGGTTTAGTTTCGTGTCATCCTCGAAGATGAGGCTTTCCCAGAGGCCATCCCACATCCTACTCGGCAGCTCACACACGCTTGCCGCCATGACTTCCTCGCCCTCGCCACCCCCCGAGCTTGAAAACTCCTCAGACGCATCAGCCTCCGTTGGTTGATAGACATGGATCTGCAGTGCTGCTCGTTCAACGGGTATGGATGACGTTGGGCAGGGCGATTCGCACGCGACAATTCGCTCCACGCAGGATGAGAGGACTGGCATGTCTTGCCAGCCATCCAGCGTAGACGGGAGTGCAATGGCTTCGAAAGACGAGGTGATATATTCGTGCACTGAATTTCTAACAGTCTCGAAGCGGGTGAAAGCGGTTGGTGAAAGACGGACTTCGACTGCAATGGTGGATATGATTAAAGCAATATCGGGGCGAAATTAAATGAACACAACAAACCATGAACGGGCCATGTTAGCGAGTTAGAAACGGAGGCAGAGGGTTTTTCTGCCATTTGAGGTTTCGATTGGTGGCCTTGATAGTTTCGGGTGAAGAACAAGTCGAGCTTCAAGACAGTTCAAGACGCGTGTTTTCAAATCGAATAGCCAGCCAAACAACGCGTCAACAAATCGACACACGTGCTATCTTTTACCTTTGTCTCTCCTCATCATGGCCGACTCCAATGATCAAGCCTGTGTCGATTGTGCTCCTTCTAGGGATCTCTTTTCACAAATACAGGATAATACAGCCACGAAGATCTACGACCCAATAGACCCGACTACTTTCGTACCGCCGACGCCTGGCTCCCCGCCCAGCGTCGCCATTGAATACTGTGACCGAGTGAGTCTTTACAAGTATGAATTCAGCTGTCGCTGATTGTGAATGGCAGTGTCGGTGGTAGGTAACAATGTCATTTCAAAAGCAGCGTAGATCTGAGCATCACCTTAGGCTTCACAGGGCGACATGGGTATCAACTGAGCTATTCCTGACATTTCCTGCGCCCGCCCTAAAAGGCGTGACGATAATTCCTCTCAATTCCGAGGAGACATCTGGTCGTTTTCGTGTATGGTTGACTTTGGATCAGGAGCCGACCCCTATTCTGGTATGGGACCGCAAGGTGGAGGGGAAGTTCCCTGAACTGAAAGAGCTGGTAAGCCCACCAGCTTGTCGAAGCACGCATGTACATTTTCGATACATCCCGCGCACTCAGAAACAGCGTATTCGAGACCATATCCAGCCAGGGAAGTCGCTGGGGCACTCGGACAAGAAGTGACGGACAGGTACAACAGAAGGGCTTCATGAGAGCTCGAGTGGTGTGTGTCCGTTTATTTCGCCCGATCCTGTATTACCATTGTATTGTAATGTCACAATGAGCGAATGAAACGAGATGAGAGGCGTCCTCGCTCTATCTGATCCGTTCTAAAAACTTTGGGTGGGGTTTGTTGCAACGCGTCATGCAGAAGGAAATGTTGAAACAATCGCAGCGGTTACTCAGCCAACGCGCCGGAACGTTGTGGCCGAGTGTGTCTGCGAAATTGGAAACGCCAACTTCTAAGTTGAACCCGTACTGTGCTCATGTTCCGCTTCTCCTCCGGCTAATCCTCGAAATACCACTCTTGTATCATCAACATGGATGACTCAAATATCGCGAAACTCATACAGCAAGCCAAAGCCAATGGTAATCAGACAACCTCGCAAATCTCGCGTCATGATCTCATTCTTTCGACCTGGTGTAGATGTCGACGTCAAGGTCGACGCCGTGTCCAAGATGCAGGCCGAATTCGAGGCTGGAATAGAGGTCAGTCTACCGTCTGCTTGAAACGCGTGTCCGTCGAATGTTGTCTGACCACCTCCGTCAACCTCATTCGCTTGCAGATCACGGAACCGGACGTTCTCATCCAGACCCTCAAGGTGTGCCTGCGCACATCTAACAATCATCTATCGAGTGCAACGCTCTCAGCCCTTCCTGCGTTCCTCCCTCTTGTGCTCTCATACGTTACCTCCGCTCCTGCCGTCAGGCCCTCCACCTCCGTCTCCACTTCATCAACTAGTTCGAACGTCGATGCACCCACCCTTCGTCAGGTGCTCAGTGCATTCCTTCCTACCGGAGGCATCATTGATCGCCTTGGTGAAGCGCGTGAACGTCCTCGAGAAAAGGCTAGGGAAAGTCTTGTCCTCATCGGTGGCTTTGCGTTTCGTTTGGGAGGGGGAACGTCGTCTATGGCCCGATCTAGAAGCGGCAAGGAGACGGAGACACCTCTGCAGATGTTTGAACGCTTTTTGAAGGATGGGGGCTTGGGAAGCAAGGTTTGGAGGGTACGCGAACAAGTAAGTTAAATTGTTTTTGCAACCGTCTTCAGAACGTCATCTCCACATCTTACTACTCATGCTATTCCAATTCACGCAATTCTAGGCCATCCTCACTCTTGTCCACATCCGTCGTACACATCATCTTTTTCCTATTCGGCCCTACCTCTCTCTCCTCGTTGAAGCCTTAGAGGACAGCGATGCAAACGTACGGGATACTGCACGAGCCTCCATTGTCGAGCTCTTCACCGGCCCAGGCGTCACAGATGCAGCGCGCGCAGACCTCAAGAAGGAGATGACAAAGAAAGGCGTGCGCAAGGGCATTGTTGATGGGGTGCTCGCAAAGGTGATCGGCGGAGCGAGCACGCCCGGAAGCGAAGGCTCTGAGAATGGTGATTCAGGCTCTGGTGCTTCCAAGAAAGACTATGTGCCGCCGAGCTTGATGTTAAAAGGACGGAGGCCAACAACGGGTTCCGAGGGTGCGCCAGGGCCGAGTGGGATGTCCCGTACAGTGAGTCAAGGGAGTGTGAATCAGTTGGCGAGGCCTGCAAGTCGGGCCGCTGTCCCATCACCGCCGCCAGGTAGTGATACAGCTACTGACGTGCAGCCTGTATATGTAAGTGCCTCGATCACACGTTCCACCGAGTATCAATGACAGTATCATTCTAGGTCGCATCGAGTCGGGACCTAGAAAATGAACTCAACGGAATGTTTGGAGCATTCGAGGTGCATTGAAATGTTGAGGTGACGTGGGTCCAATCGTATGCTGATATTTACAACAGGGAAAAGAAACAGAGCATAATTGGGCCGCTCGCGATCGAGCTATCGCGCGAATACGTGGTATGCTGAAGGGTGATGTGCATCTTCGATACACAGAAACTTTTCTCGCGCATCTCAAGCAGATAGTTGATGCGTCTTTCAAAACAGTAAGCTGCTTCATCTGTGTTTCACCTATTTCGTTGTGTCTTACTTCATTATTTCTACAGCTAGCGAGTTTGCGAACTATCGTCGCGACGAGTACCTGTTCATTTTACTCAGAGCTTGGATTAGCACTGGGCCCAGCTCTCGACCCTATGTGCGAGCAGATCCTCCTCAACCTCCTTCGAATGGCTGGCTTCACAAAAAAGATCGCGGCGCAGGCCTCTCAAGCTTCTGTGTCTACGATCATTCAAACGACCTCTGGACAGCCCCGCACTTTCATTGCGGCCTTTTCAAATACCCTCCAAGACAAGATGACCCAGGCACGTGCCTATGCTGTCGAACACCTCAAGCTTTATATCGAAACGCACGCTGAGCGCACAAAGCATACCATCGAGTCGACGGGCGCTATCGAGACGCTAGATAAAAGCGTCAGAAAGGCGTTGCTCGATGCTAACGTAGGCGTACGTCAAAATGCGCGCGCGCTGTTCTGGGCTTTCGAAGGTGTGTGGAAAGAAAGGGGTCGTACCATCCTCGAAGCGCAGGACGCACTCAGTCGAAAGCAGCTTGAGAAGGCATGTCCAGATCCACAGGCGCTTTCGAACGTGCCTCCGTCAGCAGCTGCTCCAAAGAAAAGCAGCGTTGCGGCGGCGATTGCGGCGAGTCGCGCAAAAGCGAAAGCCATTGCCAATGCGCCACCATCGCTGCGGCATCAAGCAACATCAACAGCGCGCACCATTTCTCCTCCGAAGCGGTCTATCTCGCCCTCTATGTCGTCGGGAGGAGGTTTCGAAGGCCAGGCGGCGTCGCCACTGTTGCCACCGCTCCAAACAGCGCCTCGATCCCGAATTTTGTCAAATCCAGGTCCAAGGTCAATTCCTGGTGGTCGGGCAGTGTCGCATTCGCGAACTCCTTCTGGCGGGTCTGTCCCGTCCAGTTCTACAGCGGCCCGCCGCCGACCGTCGTCGCCGCTGGTGCCCTCTGTACCGTCCCCTCCTCGGGGATCTGTGTTGAGACAAGCCATGTATACTGCGTTGCCGGCTTCTCCTCCGTACACTACAGTGACTCCGCCCTCACCAGCACCTTCTCGCAATCTGACTGCCGCCCATCAAGCAATGCAAAGCAGGACATCGTTGATGTCCAGGCCGTCCGCTGCCATGCCCTCTTTTGATGGGTCTGAAGAGCCATCTCTCCTCATGGCTGTTGCGATCCCACTTCCAGACGACAGCGACTCGGACATGGATATGGACATAGACGAGCCGAACTTAATGTCTTTTTCGAGTCCATACGAGAAATACCCGCCCCGCGCGCCTTCAACGAACTCTCCCACGAACTCGTTCTCACCGCGTTCGAGTGGCTTCAGACCAGAACTGTCCACATCCTCACCACCCACGGGTGCGCATCAGCCAATCATCGAGGACGCGATGCGTGCCCGCGCGGAACAAGCAGAGAGCGCGGCAGAGAGGCTGCTCGAGTTAGTCGAGCCGGAAGATGAGACACTCCAGCAACCGGCAATGCACTCTTCGCTCCTTCTCAGTTCTAACGCTGCGACTCCTAAGGTGAAGGCCCAGTCGGTAGTTCCCCCGCGCCCATTGACCTCGACCGTTCGTCCACCGGTCACCCCTGTGGCCAAGAGATCTGCTATCTGGAAGCAGGCGGCGGCGTTCCAGGATAGTCCAGCGTATAACGGGGCGGCTTCTCTCATGACAGATGTGTTAAAGCCCGTGCAGCCAAATAATGATAGCGCATGGTGGAGGAAGCGGATGGCCTGTGAGTCTCAGTGATTATATCTGCCGCTTCGATGGTGCTAACCAATCTCATGCAGTGATCAATCAGCGGCAGAGGGTGCGTGCGAGAGACCCTGCCAAACAAGTCAATGAGCTGCAGAGTTATATTCTTGCTCTCGATCAAGGCACTGCGGACCCTACCGTGCTCCAGAATATCGCATTGTTCTGCATCTCTCATCCCGCTGCAGACCTCGCTTCACCGATAAGCTCGAGTCTTTCCATGTCCCCCAGCCCATCGCTCTTCCTGTCCACGCTGAATCCTGTGACTTCTTCGAACCCCAGTCTGTGGACCGATAATAAGAATTTTGACCGGCTATTTGCAGCGCTGAAACAATTCCTTGATCCAGATCGGGTAGGCGTTCAACGCGAGTTCTGGGTACGCGTGTTGATTAGATTTCTTTCAGACCGAGCAGCAATTGGAATACGGTTTGATCGTTCTGTGGGAGATACTAGAACATCAGCCACTGCACATAGAAGGGCGAGAAGCGGATGTTTTTGCCATCCTTCTGCGAGTGAGATACTCCAACAAGCAACAGGTACGCCCACCTCGCCCCGCAGCACCCTGATCAGCTTGGTCTCATCTATTTCTGGCGCAGATCATGGAGTCTGCGAATACGATCCGGGACGCTATCACAGGCCGCTTAGACCCGGTTTATGGTTTGACTACCCTGCATGCGAGCCTTCTCGTATTTCAGCTGGAAGACCCGCCGGCATCGTCGTCGGCCGAAACGAAAGCGAGCACATATGCGTACGGACTGATCGCGCTCGGAAAGTTCATATTACGTCTCCCGGCCGAAATCCTCGAAGAAGAGCTTCCTCGCCTCAAGAGCCTCCTCATCTCCGTGCGTCTTCTTTCCCGCTTTACCTTCATTCCTCTTTACCTCTGTCCGAAATCACTCCCGTCCACGGCTGACCGGCTGACCGTCGTCACCGCACATGCACACAGGCCCTCAACGACACGCGTTCGCTCGTCGTGCGCGAGTCGGCGGCAGCAGCGATCATCGCAGCGCAGCTGGTGCTCCGCGACGAGACGCACCTCTTCGCGCTGCTCGACGGTCTCGCGGACGAGAAGAAGAATCTGCTGACGTACCTCTTTGACAAGCACGGCGCGCGCGGCGCGCCGGGTGCCGCGCCCTCCAGCATCGATCGTCTCGAGCGCGAGATGCGCAGGCTCGACGGGCGCACGAGCACGCCGCCTCGCTCGGTCGCGACAGGCGCATGATGCGCGACGGGCGATCCGGCGCGTCGAGTCGATCTCGGACCTCCTCACTCTCTTTGACGGCCTCTGCGTGCCAGTCCACTATCCTTGTTCATTTTTCATGTTCGTTCGTCTCCCATTGCTGACTCGCGTCGTTTCATCATCGACGAATATCCAAGCCTCGCCGGCGAGAGGCACCCTGAAGTTGTGCCCTTCCCTCTCTTATCCATAGATACCTACAGTCACTGAGTCGTGTTCGCTCTTGACCCATATAATGCAATGCACTCCGACATTTCCGACCCCCCGTTTCGTAATAGAGTAAACAGATGCTTGACGATGTGTGGGCCCTGATAATTTTCACAACACGCCCCACACACGAATTGGTCGTAAGATGAAACGTCGAGCAACTCTGTATATATATTGCGCGGAGCACAGAATTGACACGTCCGTTCCATCGGGCAACACTCTCATTGTATTGCCGCAACTGACCGACATAGATCCGCTACGTACATCTATTATCGGTATCTCGAGAGGGGTGGGGCAACACATTCGACTGGATCTCGAGGGCTTGTAGAGGTGCCATCCGACACTACCGGAGTCCACGCATATTTTGCATACGGGTCCAAGGTCAGAACCGACGCAGGCGCAGGCGCAGGAAGTATGCCATGCCGGCAAGCAGTCCGCCTACATGCCCTGCCGAGTCGACGCCAGGCCTCTGCAGCAACCAAGTCGATTTTGGGACCCATCGACATAAAAGAAAGGAAAAAAAGGAAGATCAGATGCTGAACAAGACACGAAAAGAGACTCGGGCGCACGCTCTCATTGTATGCACTGTAGCCGTCGAACAGGAAGAGGCCGGCGACGACGGCCCACGCGGGGCACGGTATCACGTAGAACACGAGAAAGGTCGCAGTGGGCCTGACGCATGCATAGAAGGCGATGATGGCGGAGATCGCACCTGAGAATGAGCGAATAAGGACGTGCGCGTCAATAGGGGGAAGATGTATGAAAATGAAGTGTGAGCTGACCACTTGCGCCGAGGGCGGGGATGTTGTGCCCACGGCGAGCATGCCAGTATGCGCTAGCGGTGCTTGCCAAAATTCCGCCTGCGAGAAGTATGGGTGATCAGCAGAATAGGGAAAAGAGAGGCACATCAGGAAGCGCACCACCCAGATATAACGCAAGAAAGCGCGCGTTTCCGAGCATCCGGAGGACTGTCGGTGCCATGAAGTAGTAAGTCAGGCCATTGAAGAGGATGTGATTGAAGTCCTTGTGCGAGAAGCACGACGTCAAGATCGTCCATCTGCGCAAGAGCGTAAGTGGCGGGTTTGGGACAGAAGGAGCGCGAAAAGAGGGGTATACTCACGGCCTGCCCTCGGTGATGGACCGCATGCTGACGGTGAAGTTGTCAAACATCCAGACGGTGAGTTTGTGATTGCCTTCAAAGGCCTACGCGTTGGGATGTTGAGTTCAGACGCGTCTGCATCTATTTAATCAAGAGATACGCACGCTCTTTATGGAACCATAACACCATCCGGAAAAGACTGCGATGTTGAGGGCCATGATGCCGGAGAAGACGTACACACCGGGCCAACGGTCGAGCCATTGCGTGAACCTGCGCCACGGACCTCCAGAATGTGGAGGGCGGAAGGAGTTGGGTATCTGACGGTGAGTTGCAGCGAGGACTGTGCATCGGCTGAAGCGCGCGATGCCAGGCTGGAAGAGACGGGCAAGTGGTGTGGGAGGCCGAGCGCGGAGGAGCGTCTGCGCTAGGCGAGAACTGTAACGGGCATTGCACGCGATGGTGGCGAGGTTCGAGCTCGCTGTGCACGACGAAGAGAAAGAGAGAACGCGAGCGGATGGGGGACGGAGGACGGTGTGCAGGCGGGGGAGCAGCATCATCGACGGTCGGAAGCTGCAAACGGCCGCTTATGTAATGTGCGCGGCTCGTTCTGCTGTGTGCCGGGCTTGCGATTGCAGACGGCCGTCGAGTGGACGCCATGTCCCACCATCTCTTCCTGCTCTCTCCCTCCGACACTCCCTTGTACAGTCTCACACACTTCTCCGCGAAGCCGGCCCAGGTCGCCCCGTCCCCTCTGTCGGCAAATCTCCCTTCCTGGTCCACCTCCGCGTTCGCGGGCACTCTGACCGCTCTCTCCGGCGCGTCCAGTGTCGCGCAGCCTTCTGCGCAGGGCGGCGGGGCGCGCATGGGCGGAGGGCAGGACCGTCATGTCATTCAGATGATTGCGAACGCGAGCTTGGACGTGATCGAAGAGGTCGTGCGGCGAAATACCGGCATGTCAGTATTCCAGCGTGTCTCAAGCGTCTCGCGATGCGAGCTTGCGCCTCTTTGCCCGCTCGTAGGTACCTCAAGGCGGTCGACAAGTTCAACGAGTGGACCGTGTCTGCCTTTGTTACCCCAGGCAGTAAGTGTGTCCCGCGCGCACGGCCCCATCTGCCGCTGAACCCGGGGTAGATATGAAGTTCGTGCTGCTGCACGAGGCGAAGAACGATGAGGGGATCCGGGCGTTCTTTATGGATGTGTGGGAGCTGTACGTGAAGGTATGCAGGCCCCCAGCTCGCGCGTCGCACGCAGAAATAAAAGAGTGCGCTGGGACAGACGATGGCGAATCCGTTCCACACGGCGCACACGGCGATCCGGAGCGGGGTGTTCGATGCACGTGTCAGGGCGAGCGCGAAAAAGTATCTGTGACGGGTGACGGAGTGGTGGCGGAGACTGGTGACGGTAACGGTGTCAGGGGGACTGGGGGCGTGGCGATGGGGGGCTGACGGAGCGGTGCGGTGGCTGGGTCGCTTTGCCTTTCTGACTGCTCTCGCTCTCGCTCTCTCTCTCTCTCTCTCTCCGGCCTCTTTCTTTTCCTTTGTCTCTCTGTCTGTCTTCCTTCCCCATCTTATCGTCCGAGTCTATATCACAATACAAAAATCATCTTTTTCGCCCCCACGGCATTCTAATATCCGGCTATCGCTTCTCTTCCTCTCTCTCTCGCTCCCCTTCGTCCCAGCGCATCCCATCTTCCGCCACTGGATCATTGTCATTGTCATTGTCTGCAAGAGACTCCTCGAAAGTGCCCCCTTTCCGCGTATTATTCCTCGCAACGTGAGCCCATCCCACCCCTCCCCCCACAGCCCCGGACGCACGCTCAACGCCGCGATCTTTGCGCCGTAGCTGTATTCACAATTGACCCCATCATCCCTTTTCTAACTTTCGCCACTCTCACCGCCTAATCCTTCTCCCTCGTCACAGCTCCCTCTTGTCCACCCACAGCTTCATCTTCCCAATGGCCGCCGCTCCTGCCCCCAACCCCCGTGCCTCCCTCCTCGCTGGCCTCCGCACTGGCGGTGTCCGCTCTACCTCTGGTCCCATGGGCAACGTTCCCCACACCGCCGCCGTTGGATCCTCATTCAGCGTCCCCCGCTACCCCTCTTCCACCTTTCACAACTCTCATTTCCCCCCCGAAGAGGAGGACGATGAACTGGCAGACATGGTATCGCAGAACATGTACATCAATTCTGCATCCCACATGCAGCATATCCCCATGACCGCTGCGGTAGATGGGTCCCACGACAGGTTCGCCCATCAGCAGTCCGCTCGCCACAGGGGCATGGTCTCCGGCGGAGTCTCCAATAATTCGAACAACGATGTCCAGAGGCAAGCCCAGGCACAGGCTCTCCAGATGCAGATGCTCCAGGTCGAGATGCTCAGACTGCATGTACGTGGATCCTCTCGGCAGTGCACCCTATTCGCTGATGGATCGGCTTCTTTTCTAGGCCATCCAAGCACAGAAGCTCCAGTCCGAGTACGTCGCCCAGGCTCAACAATATCATCTGCAGCTGGAAAGGCAACGGCAGCAGCTGGGCCTCCCCTATCCGAACGGGCCCAGCCCCAGCTACAATCCCCCTGCCACTGCCGGTGCTTACACCACTTCCTTCGACTTGCGTTCCATGGGGATGAACGCCCCGATGCGCCGCCCCAGTCAGGCTGAGCAACTCAGAGCTCAGCTGGGGGTTCATGGCGAGGATCAGGTGCCCATGACCGCTGCTCTCGGCGGTAAGTTTGGCAGCCGTGCCTTGTACCCGGGAATGCCCGAGGACGACTCCTCCACACTCGAGCCAAAAGCGTCTTTCCAGAATCCGCCTGCAACGCCCAACCATACCACGGTCATCAGTGGCGGCACCTCCCTTGGCACCGCGGCTAATACCAACACCAATGGGAATGCGAACGTGGTCCCGTCCAAGTCGGACACCGCTGTGTCGTGGAGACGCGGCGGACACAACAACTCTGTCTTGAGCGGCAACCGGTCCATCTCTCTTGCTGCGCCTAACGTCAAGATCACCCCGCCTCCCACCGAGCGCAATTCTTCACCTCCCGGCCTTGGTGCGAGCACCAGCCCCGTCCGCAGCCGCCCCCAGCCGCTCCGCTTCTCCGCAGCGGTCTCTCGCCCGCTGCCTGCTGTGGCAGTTGATGATGGCACAGATGGTGAGGACAACTCATCGGTCACGTCTTCCAAGTCTGGCTCTTCGCCCACGACGCCGCATTCGTCCTCGTCCGGAGACGTGCCGCTCTCGCCGCGCGAAGAAGCGGCCAAGAAACTTTACGAGGGATTGGGTCTGGGACGCGCGCCGCCCGCCACAGCAGCGCTCCCGCAGCGCGTGTTGAGCCTTGCTGTGCGGCAGCCCCGTGGGCCGCCGTCGGGCGCCGACGAACTAGGCCCACGCAACTTTGCGTCTCGTATTCGTAGGAAGGCAATTGGCGGGCTTGGTGCCCTCATGGGCGCACGCGAGCGGAGGGATGTCGTAGAGGCGTACTGAGCGCGTCGCGAAGTCGCCCCTGCGCTGGTCCTCCGTGATTAATGCGAGACAGGGCGAGTGATGACGATGACGAGTTTTTTTCTCCACTATTTTTTTCCCTATCCTCATCCAATGTGCATTTTCTTGCCACTTCGCCTTCGTTCTTTATTTATTTTTACTTGCATCCCCCGGGGTGATGGCAGAGGTGGCGTGCTGCTTTGGATAGACGATGCGTTCAAATGGTTCGGGCTTCGCGTCGTATCCTGTCGCACATCCCTCCCCTTTTTCAACTCTGGCTCTGCCTCCCTTCACATGTCCTACACATACTGGTTCTCCATGATCCACCTCTCGTCGGTCTTCGAGCTGCACTCGCATTTCTTCTTGTCACGTTCTTCTTCACGAATACCTTTACGCGCACGCTCACCAGTCCGGCTGCGGGCCTCTCTCTTTTCGTGCGCGTGTCGTGTCCCGACGTCCTGGCCTCGGCGTCCTCTTTGCTTTTTTCCCTTCAGGTCGCTCGCAGCGTCCGTCCTCTCCTACTCTCTCTTTATTCCTAGTATGCGGAAAGCGGCCCTACGTCCCATCTTCAATTCTTGCTATTGAACAACGGACTTTGACTGGAGTTGGATACATTGAAGAGTATGAGTTCAGACGGACATTGCCATGCCTCCCTTTCGTTACCCCCCTCCCTCACCCTTTGCTAGACCACGTTCCGTGATTACTGGTCGTGTACAGTACCTACCTGCGATATAGGCGTGCGCCCCTCTCTGTCGAATGCAAATGGCACTCTCACATTGAATCGCATGCCTGCAGCCTAAGATACGAACAAGAAAGCAAACTGTCTGATGGTCATCAATACAACATGCATATTACTTTGCCGTACACCACATGAACAACAATGGACGCGAACGCCCAGCACTTTGGCACGCGAATCGCGCGGATCATTTACACCTCTGGCCAACGATGGCACGACCATGCTCCTGCGAGCATAAGTGTCAGATAGTCCTGTCCTCGGATGCAGGATCGAGCTTGCTCACCTGCCACTCTTCCTTGCTGATCCAGAGCTGGTGGAACGTTCCCAAGCTCGCGAGGATGCTCCCGCCGAGCCACCCACCATACCGGCGCTCCGTCGGGTTGCCCGGCGCGTGTATTTTCACCACCTGTTGCGTCTAATAAGATCAGCATAGACAGATCCAGAAGGGGGAAAGAAGGGATGGAAGCGGACGCGACACGCACGTGTTGGTGGTAGTGGCGCGAGAGCTCGTTGTTGAGGCGCTCGGCGAAGCCCGCGAAGAGGCTCCCGCCGCCGCAGAGGACGACGTTGGCCATGAGCAGCTGGCGGATCTCGGCGTCGCAGGCGGCGAGGGACTGGGTGATGAGCCCGGGCATCGGGCGGGGGAGGTGCTGGTTCGATGCCTGTGAAGAGGGGGGGTGTCAGACGCGGGCGCGCGCGGATGGCGGCGGGGGGATGGGAATGCTAACGACAAGCTGGGGCGTGTGCGTGAAGAAGAGCTCGCCGACGGAGAACCGCTCGGCGCTGAAGTACGTGTTGAAGCCCGTCGGGAATTCGTATTGCCGCGCGGGGCGCGCGGACGCGGCTCTGGAGGGGTCAAGCGCGGGGGTGGTGAGCGATGCCGCACGGGGTGCGGTGAGCGCAGACGCACTGGTCGTTCCATCCTTGGTCGAGCACGCCGGCGACGCTCTGTACCCATTCTTCGACTTCGCGCGACTCGTAGTACAGCCGCAGGGTGTCTGTCGTTTTGGACATGCGGTCGTCGCGGCGCGTGAAGCGGGGGATCACGCCGGGCTCGACGGGCTGGCGAGGGCGTCAGCGGGCGTCGGCGCGAGTGCATGTTCTGCGCGGACGTACCATTTTAGAAGCGATGAGTTGGTGGGAGAGGAGCTCGATTGGGGGGTGGTTGTGGCTCTGCGTCGTGAGCGTGTGCCGCGCGTGGGCGTGGACGAGCTGGGGGAGGGCGGAGTGGACGAGGCCTAGGCGGGGGCGGGGGCAGGACACGGGTCTGACGCGGGTTCATGCGCACCGCCTGTCTGGACGACGCACCTTTTCGGAGGACGAAGCCGTCCACGACGGGCGTGACGCTCGCCGTCGACTGGCCCACATCGATCACGAGCGCAGAGCCCTTCCCCGCCGCGAACCTACACGCCGGAGGCCAGTGAGCGCTCGGAGACGGAAACGGGGAGATCAGGGGCGCGGGGCGCGCGGACGCACGCGTTGAGGACGCCCGTGTTCGCGATGTAGAACGCGGGCACTTCGAACTGCTCGAACATGATCTCTGCCATGCGCTCGCGGTTGGCGGCCGTGTTCCAGGCGGGCTCGGTGACGAGGACGGGGTGCTCGCGCGGGTCGACGCGCATGACCTCTCTGAAGACGTGGTCGAGGAGGGGATGGATGGGCGCGAAGTCGTTGACTTGAGGCGAGCGCGTGGTTCAACTAGCTAACATCAACATGAAAAAGCGTGTACGCACTCATGCCATCCTTGATGGGGTTGCCTATGTGCATGCCTTCGCGCCATATTGAAGGGCCGTGCTGGCCGATGTACATCTTGTTTTCGACCGGCGCTGGCTCCTGGGGCTCGCCCGTGTCGGACATGACGACGTCGGAGCCAGAGTTTTGAGGTATAAAGCCATATGATGTGGGGATGATGGCCTTTGGCGTGTCGTCTCCCGCATAACCCGCCCTCAGCGTAGAAGAGCCAATATCGACCACAAGAGCGGAAACTTCGTCTGAACGCAAGGGATCAACATGCAGTGAGCCACGCATTTCTGAAGGAACGAATACGCGACCAATAACGCACCGCCTCCATATTGAACCATGGCCGCGGAGAGAGGTTCACCGTACAAGTGGAAAGGACTTGGAAGTCGATCAACTGCAGCGACTGGCTTTGCCCGATGCGATCTGAAGCATCGTGAGAAACCCGTGCGTAAATTTGGCTCACTCGGCTTTCTCTGCTGCCTCATATTCTCTCCATCTTTTCTGCCTCCTGGACATTTCCTCACTATGGCTGCGGGAAACAGGATAGTGAACGTAAAAAAGCGCAAACAGACGCTTGTCGAAGAGCCGTCCCATGAAGAGGTCGAGGCGCATCCGGAGGTCAACCTCGAAATGTTGAGCGAAGACGAAGATGGCCAGGGTGAAGCATCAGGCTCAGACGATGGCGAGGTCGACGAGTTTCCAGAGATCGACGCGAACTCGGACAGTGAGGAAGACAGCGAAGGGGGGGATGACGAGGGAGATGGGGAAGATGAGGAAGAAGACGAGGAGGAGGACGAGGAGGACGAAGAGACGGACGACGACTTGCACATATTCCCAAAAGCCAAGACCATCACCTCAGATATAACCGGCCAACCCAAAAAAGTCTACCCAGAGATCGAGCCCGACTACGACTCGGATTCGTCGACAGAAGACGTATGTCCACCCCCATTTCACTATCGCAGGACTGAAATGCACACCGTGTCACTCACTTACGAAGGCGCCGAATCGCGTCGGAAACATACCAATGCACTGGTACGACGATCTACCTCATGTGGGCTATAGTATTGATGGGAAGAAAGTGCTCAAACCCGCACGAGGAGATGAACTCGACAAGTTCCTGCAGACGGTGGAGGACCCTTCCGCATGGTGCGTAGAACCATCACGCTGCAGAATTTACGCGATAGTGACTCTAATGCTACAGGACGTCGGCATTCGACAACAACCTCCAACTGGACAAGCCTCTCACTGCCGAAGAGCTTGACATCATTCGTCGTCTGCAGGCGCATGAGAACCCAGACGCTCAGTACGATCCCTACGAACCCACCATCGAGTGGTTTACAGGAAAAGGCAAAGAAGAGATCATGCCTCTCTCTGCTGCCCCAGAGCCCAAACGGAGATGGGTCCCAAGTAAATGGGAAAAACAAAAGGTCAGGAACCCCTTTGAACCTATACATCGGTCCGCGTAATTGACCGTTCCAAAAGGTGATGAAAATCGTCCGCGCCATCCGACAAGGTCGTATCATCCCTTCCAAAGCCTCCGCTGCCAAACCGCAATTCTACGCCATCTGGAACGAAGAGCCATCTACCACCGCACCACCGCTTCCCGCGCCCAAACCGCGCCTTCCGACCAACGCCGAGTCGTATAACCCCCCAGAGGAGTACCTCCCCACAGAAGAAGAGCGCAAGGAATGGGAGGCGACCGAAAAAGAAGACCGCGAGCGGGATTTCCTACCGCACAAGTACGGCGCGTTGCGACTTGTGCCTGCATACGACCAGTTCGTGCAGGAGCGGTTCAACCGTCAGCTCGATCTGTACCTCGCGCCGCGCATCCAGCGCGTGAAGCTCAACATCGACCCGAACACTCTTATTCCGAAGCTTCCGAGCCCGAGCAGCCTACGACCGTTCCCGAATTACAAGGCGCTCAGCTTCACGCACACGAAGGGCCGGGTGCGGTGTGTGAGCGTGAGCCCGGACGGCGCGTGGGTGGTCAGCGCGGACGAGGAGGGCGTGGTCAGCCTGTGGGAAGTGATGGTGGGGCGGGAGGTGAAGCGGTGGACGATGGGGGATAAGGTGGGCGCGGTGGAATGGTGTCCGAGAACGGACGTCAGCTTCTTCATCGTCGCGACGCAAGTGTCAAACTTTATTCTCTATCACGGTCTTCGCGACTCACAATCAGCTTCGCAGGGACGAGAAGCTGCATTTCATTATCCCGCCCAACGTTCCGCCGGCCGTGTTGACGGCGACCCACAACGCGCTCGCTCCCGCGACCCTGCCCCCTCCACCCCCGAACCCGTCGCCTGTCAAGTGGTCCAACCCCCCATCTGCCATCGCCGTTTCCTCCGACGCACCCATCTTGTCTATTGGCCTACCTCAGTCGTCGGGGCTCCCAAAAGGCATCGTATGGCACAGAAAAGGCGACTACTTCGCTACCGTGTGTACGTGGACATTTCAATCTCGATCGCCGTATCCAAGGCCTGACAGCGTACATGCGCTCATTCCTAGCGAGCGGGGAAGGCCAGGGTGGCGTGTGGATCCACCAGGTGTCACGACGACATTCGCAGGCGCCGTTCAAGAAGGTCAAGGGCACGGTGCAGCTCGTCCTCTTCCATCCGACGAAGCCGCAGTTCTTCGTGGCCGTACGTACCACAATATTTCTTAGCCGCGAGGGTCGGCGTCGACTGACGAGGTGGCGGATATAGACTCAGCGATACGTCAGAGTATATAATTTAGCCGAGCAGAAGCTGCTCAAGACCTTGATCCCTGGCATACGATGGATATCGTCGATGGATGTTCATCCGTCCGGCGACCACATCATCGTCGGAGGGTACGACCGTAAATTGTGCTGGTTCGACCTGGAGCTCAGCGACAAGCCATATAAAATCATGAGGTGCGTCTGTTTCTCGACACCATCGCAGCATAATTTTTTTTGACGCACCCGCGCCCGGCAGATACCACTCGCGCGCGATCCGATCCCTACACTTTCACCCAACATATCCGCTATTCGCATCGTCGTCGGACGACGGCTCGATCCAGATATTCCACGCGCGGGTGTTCCACGATCTGATGACGGACCCATTGATCGTGCCACTCAAAATTTTACGTGGGCACACGGTGCGCGACGGGCTGGGGGTGCTGCAGGTCAGATGGGTGCCGAAACAGCCATGGTTGGTCAGTGCGGGTGCAGACAGCAGGGTCTCGGTCTGGTGTAGTTAGTATGTCGGCGTCATGAACGGGAGCCGCCCAATGCGCAGCTGCGGCGTTCGCTGGTTTGGGTCCACACAAGAAAGCGCATGTCTTTTTTGGTTACATTCATTCCAGGCGAACGCGCCCGACAGTTTGATATGCACGTCCAACGGCCGTATCGAAGCTTGAAGCTTTGCATAGAAGCTGGATTGATCTGACAGGCCAGCGTCAAAGGGGTTGGAATATTCCAAGGCGAATCTGGGCCGAATGAGGAGAGATGGGATGGTGTGGGGGACGTCGGGAGTGTTAGCGTCGGACGACACGGCTGCATGGGGCCGATGCGGATCGAGCACCCCAATGCGAATTTATCTCCGCGACTGCCCGATTTGTGCCCATCGGTGGTGACTCGCGTGGGGAATTTCACACGTTTGGCGTTTACGCGTTTACGTCTTGGCTCGAGGCGCGTCTCAGCCAGAAATAACCACCATTTCAACGCCGCCTGACGACCGAGGTCGGGATTCAAGAGATCCATGGCCCTTTGAAGCTGGCTGCGGTGAGCCATTCCAGTCGGGGGATTTCATTATTCTGATGGCACGAATAGGGGGATGTACAATAAGGCCATAATCGAGTGCGCGACATATTCGAGAATCCGCCGCTCTGACGGGCAAGCACCGATGGGGCTTGCGCGCCCCGTCAGGATCAAGGAGGCGCATCGGCCAGCGCTCCCGATGCCCGTTTCACGCAGCAAAATTTCTTTGCAAGGAAAAGAGAAAACGTTCCGTGGCAGAGGCGGTTCTGTGGAGGATGTGGGAGCGTGCCTAGAATGCAAGCGGACGCAAATCGAGAAGCAAAGAGCCGAGGGGTCCGAGCACTACGCCTCGAGGCCTTTGCCGCGTCGTTATGACCCATTCCGTAAACATTCCCCCAGCGAGCCGCCGCGGTCGGCTCGACGGCGTCATCATCTCTTTATAACATGTCTTTTCCGCTCGGCTCTCACGTTTCCCTCCTACTTATCAATATCCACCGATAGTTCCAGCTCTCGGCTTGGATCCCTCCTCGCGACGACGCATCTAGTTGTATTGGGTACCTCCGTTTCTTAGCAGTGCTTGCTTCGACATGGTGGACTGGACGGGCACGCCAGAACTCGCGCTCGATGCAGGTTCGTCCATCACCTTCGCTTCCGCTGCGCCCTTCGCCGCGCTAATCTCCCCACGCTTCCTTTGCGCCCACAGAAGTCTACATGAAGGTCAATGTCTCGTTCTTTGGTTTGTATCTATGGGAGCTCTTCCAGACCTGCGATTTCGAGTGGTCCCTCGTCACCCGTCGCCGCAAATTCCAGTGGCCTCTAGTCAGTCCCTATCCTTACTCTGCCCCACGCTCTATCGTCTCATCGACACGTCTTGATTATAGAGTGCGTGGCTCTATTCTTGGAAATTTCGACTGTAGACCCGACAGCCCTGGGCCTGACCGCTCGCTTCCAGTTTTCTTCTTCCTATGTCGCTATTGCCTGCTGTGGTCCTTGATCGGGGTGTAGGTATCTAGCACTGTCCTCTCGTCGACTTGCTCACGCTTGGTCATTAGCATAGTATCGTTCTCAGTCAGGACATCGGTATGTTGCCCCTGATGTTAGTTCAAAATATGTCGCGGCTGAGCGCTTTGCATATCAGATTAATTGCTCAGTGAGTCGTCGACGCGCAAACCCTCACTCCGACGAGATAGGCTAAATTTTAGCGCCTTTCCAGGCTTTGTACACCTTCAATTCGGTATGCGATGTTCCCCTGATGTTCGCTCAGGGTCGCTCACCTGTCGCAGGTCGTTGGGCATCTCGCCATTATCGGAGCGTCGACGACTTTGATGATCAGAACGTATGCCCTCCGGCTTCCCGCTACTCAATTCTACCTAATCGGCACCCACAGATGGAATTTGTGGCAGCGTAAATGGGCCGTTGTCATTCCTCTCAGTGTGTTGGCCGTCGTTCACTGGGCCTTGCTCTGGCGCGGCATGTTCCTTTTCACCGCCACTTGGGAGCCAGCGTCTGCCACCTGTGTCGTGACCGCTGCAGATGCCCGATTTCTACAAGTGACATTCTTTTACAGTCAGTGGCCATAACTTCACTCGACACGCAGACAGCCTGATGCATCTTGCACTGTCCACAGCGATGGGCTTTGACTTTATTCTTCTCTGCGTGGGAGGCTTCAAGATGTTTTGGGACTCGAACGATCGTGCTCTCAACACCTGGAACCTCTTGTTCAAAGACGGCCTTGTTTTCTTCGTGGTCGCGTTTGCAGCCAACATCCTGCCCGCGGTGAGTGCTACAAATTCAAAGCGTCGTGATAGGAGCTGACGCCCATGCAAGGTCTTCAACATTCTGAATCTGAATCGTAAGTTCCCATGACAATTCAATCTTCCCGCAAGGAGCTGACCTTCGCGTTTCCAGCAATTATGAACGTGTGCGTACAATGCGGCCCCGAGGTGAACATCTGATATATTGATATGTCTTCTCCATTGTCATTAGCATCTCGGCAGTGAGTCATTTGCGCGCTTTTCTGGTAGGGCCGAGCTTGTTCTGATCCCACTTCTCCTTAAAGGTACCCGCTGGAACCCTCTCGTAAGACCACTTTCCTAGCGTCTTCTCCTTGGAATTGTGGCTGACCCCACGGCGTCTGGTCGGCAACAGGGCGGTCGCCGCATGCCGCACCGTCATTCAGCTACAGGATCCTAATGACAGCGACGCCTATACACACCAGGCTGCGGTCATCGGTGGAATGAACCCTCTCTCCAGCCGACACGGTCAACACCAGTCGGTATTCACCCCCGAGGTACGCGTCAAGACCGAACAGATCGTGATGGACGACTTTGGGTGCGTTTCCTTTGTCGTGTCCTTTCATCGCGCGCTGACGAGATGTTTGATCAGCACATCGGCTCCAGGAGGCCCCTACGAGAGCCGTCGATCCCTCGAGTCCGGCAAGAGCTCGCATCTTGATCCAATGAAGGGCAGAGCTCTTTAAGATCGGGTCCTTTCGACCCAAACGCAAATAAAACGAGAGAGAATGAGTGTTACTTGGTTGACATTTTTTAAGTTTTGATTCTTCACCTCCTCTCCTGCGGGCTCTCCCGCATGGCGCTCGCCCTCGATTATGATATTGATACCATTGCTGTACATCCGTTTTCACATTCTTTTTCCCCGACACTACTTAATAGTAGCTTACTGGCTTGCCAAAATGTAGGTTTCTAGCCAAGGCCGTAGCAATGGCATTCGCGGACCTAGTGTCCTTTTTCGAATGTTCCTCGACTGTGCCATCGAAATCAGATACTTGCTGCGCAGGCAGCCAATGCGCGAGGATTCAGAGCAAGCAAGAGTCGATATGAGAATAAGATACAGGACAAAAACACAGAACATCTGCCCCCCCCCCCCTCTACGCTCCCTCATCTCCTCCGGGAGGGCCGTCCAGACTTCCGCCGTGCGGCGACGGTGCCCTGCCGGGTCATGCCCCTCGCCTTGGGTCGCGCTTCCAAGCCTTTGGACGCCCTCCACTGCTCGCGGCGGGAATTCCGGGGCCCGTGCGTCGATATCCGCTTCGACTCCGATGTCGAGGACGGCGCAGCATCTCCGTCTATGTCCATATTTTCTTTTTTTCGCAGGGAGCAAGAGATTGTGAGAGGACCAAGAAGAAAAGGAGAAAGCAAAAGCACATGTCAGATGGGGGATGGGAAAGGGGCGGGGGAAGAGAGCGTGGGTGCACGAACCTGCGGCCATCGTCGCTCCGGCTGCTTCCTGATCTTCTGGAAAAAGAGGGGCGTGGTCAATGACGGCTGTTACTGGACGCTGCGAAACGACGATGACGGAGCGCGCACGCGCGCGGGTCGGCCGTCTCGTGCACGGGCGCGGAGAACGCAGCGATGCCGTAGGCTTCGTCGGCCGCGGCGGCGGGGTCGAAGCCGGCGCCGAAGCGCGCGGCCAGCGACGCCGGCGAGACGTCCGCGGGGTCGAGCAGCCCGAAAGACGCGAACCAGGACCAACCTGGCATTACCATGTCCTCTGCAGCGCCTGGCGGCGACGGCGGCGGCGGCGCCTCCCCGTCGGCCGCGGGGTCTTCTGCGTCTGCGGTGTCGAGGGGTACGGCGGCGAGGCCGCAGAGCTTTGCGCTGAGGCGCTGGAGGCGCGCGGCTTCGAGGGCGTGGTAGACGCCCTCGGTGCGTTTTTTGGAGCGGTAGGCGCGCTTGACTTTCGAGCGGGTTGATTTTGCCATTGTTTGTGCGGCGTGGGAGGGCGAGCGCGGAGGATGATTTTGTGAGGAGAGGAGAACTGGAGTGGCGGTGGCGGTGGTGATGGTTGAGTGTGTGTAGCTGTAGCTGTGTGGAGGGGCTGTTTTGGAGGAAATTAGTTGGGCACGGGCATCGTGCGGGGTTTGAAAAGGGGGCGCGCGCCACCGCAAGGATGCAGTTCCTCAAGACACTTGGCTAGTCCTGGACCCCTGCAGGCTGCAAGGGCAAGACTGTATTCGAGTCACTCGCAATGCGTGATATTTGCGATCCATAAACACTGCATCAGGGCTCCTCGGCCAATTAAAAAAAAATCATCCTGAGCTCAGACTCGATTCGATAGGAACGTATGACACGCCATGACACGGCGCATTCCACAGTTTTAAGTTACAGCTAGACCAACAGGCTTGCCTCGCGCGTAAAGACCCAAGGAAGGCATTGAAATGCTCTGAGAGTTGCGCCCTGGATCCAATTCCATGAACGGCTACTTGAGACGGACTGTGACGGTCCAAGCAGCCGTCGTCGCTTCCCAGCGTCAAGAGCCCGTTGACACGCAGCACAACTCGCTCATGCGCCCTGGCAGGACAGCACGAGGCCTGAGAGAAGAGGCCCCAATCGTCGCCGATCGCCAGCTATCGACCGGGCATCTCCACGAAACTCACGCTCAGCCCGTGCAGGACGACCAGCCGACGACGGCTTTCATTTCGGAAGGCCTGGCACCAAGTACAGGCGGTGCGCGAAGACAAGCATGCTCAAATCAAACCGATCAGCGTCGAATCTCAGCTCGAAGCCCTGAGTGCACACACACACAAAGACGGGACAGGCACGACGACGACGCGCCTGCGAGCCGTGCGGAGGGCGAGACGGATCGAATACAGCGGCACAGGACAACAACAGTGTATATTGAGAGCATACTCCATCGAACCACACGAACATGACGAGCCCCGGCGTCGACCGTGCAGAAGGAGAGAGCCACCGACGGCGGAGAACACCCCGACGGCCGGGATCCTGATCGTTTTTGGGCGTCAGGGCAGGCGTGGGACCACGCTGCCGAAATACGAGACGGCGACGATCTACTCCGCCGGGGCTTCCCTGTGCAGACGGACACGCGCGTAAGCGCGCTGGGAGACACGAAGCAGGGCCATCGCTGGAAAGAGAAAAGAAAAGAAAAAAGACTTATTATGTAGAGCACGTTGTTACACCTGGGATTCGTGAGCAATCAGTGGGATCCATCGCATGGCGAGACGGCGGATCGCGCTCACCGAATGAACACCTCTCCCAGAGTGCCCGTCGACTGGCCGTCCTGGAACTCCTCCGTGTTCGCAAGCTGCGGTGCGGGCGGTCAGCGCGCTGCGACGAGGGCGAGGGCGAGAGCGGAGCGCGCGCGAGACACACCTGAAGATTCATGAAGCCGTCCGTGCTGACCAAAAAGCCCTTGTACTCTAGCCCCCACTTGAGCCTGACGAACACAGGCTTGCCGGTGAGCTCCTGCATGAACGGCTTGGGGTTGACCGGGGCGACCTAACGAGCGTCGAACGGTGAAGCCCGGGTCAAAGGAGCCCAGAGTGGAAGGGAGAAGCGAAAAAAAGACATACGGCGGACATGGTGGATGGATGGAGGAAGAGATCAAGACGATGGGGGCACGTGCGCGCGGGCTTGTGAGGCGGAAAATGGGATATAAGCGCGATCATCTTGGAGGCGCCGCTTCCCAAATCCGCCTTGCCACTCGACGCCCCCACCCCCTTTCGACCCAAGCACACGACTCCACCATGTCCGATCGCGAGGGCCACTCGGGCGCCCCCACAGACGAGGACCTCTCGCTCCCAAAGGCGACCGTCGCAAAGATGATCACCGGTGCGCTGCGGGCCTCTCCTTCCTCTGCGCCAGCCTTGCTGATCCGCGTCCATCCCAACCACGTCCGCGTTCTCGTTCTCGTTCTCGCGCACCCCCCGCTCCCCGCAGAGCTGCTGCCCGACGACGTGACGTGCGCAAAGGAAACGCGAGACTTGGTGATCGAGTGCTGTGTAGGTGAAGCGCCTCCCCTCCTCCGCTGCGCGCGCGTCGCCCCACCGCGCCGCCAGCCTGCGTCCTGACCCTCTTTTTATTCCATCCTCGCCCGCTGCTCTCTCAACGCGCCCCCGCAGAATTCATCCACCTGATCTCGTCCGAAGCGAACGAGATATGCGAGCAAGAGTCCAAGAAGACGATCGCGCCCGAACACATCATCGGTGCCTTGCGGGTGCGTGCGCGCCCTCTCGTCCCTGCTCACCCGGCGCTGCTCGCTCAACCGGCCTCGCCGCCTCGTTCCAGCGCCTCGGCTTCGAGACGTTCACCAGCGAAGTGGAGAGCGTCTTGAAAGACCACAAACAGCAGCAGAAGGTCCGTCCCGCCCCCGCTTTGCCGCGCAACGCCGGCTGACGCCAGATACAGGACCGCGAAAAGAAAGTTTCTAAATTCGTAGAGTCCGGGCTCACAGAGGCCGAGCTGCTCGCAAAACAAGAGGAGCTCTTCGCGCAGAGCCGCGCCCGCTTCCAGTCCCAACAGCAGCCCTCGTGATCACCGCTCTCCGTGTCCCCCCCTCTCTCTCGAAACACACGAGCTTTGAACCGTGTCCTGATGACGCCGGCGGTGCTGCACGACCTGGCGCGTAGACGCGCTCCTCCGCCCCGCCCGCTACTACTGTACACACGTCGCCTCACGATGTATCCTTATCCACGCACTCACGTACCAGCAGTCACGTTGTAATTGTCTTAATTATTTGGCTATCCTAAGCGTGCGCGCGCGCGTGCCGCGCTTCGAGGGCGTCGAGGCGCCGTCGCGGGCTGTCGCCGTTCCACTCTTCCGTCGTGCCGTCGGCGGCGACGTGAAGGCGGGGCAGCCCCTGCTGCTCGATGGTAAAAGACGCCGACACGGCGCCGTAGAACGTTGCTACAGGCGGGCGTCGTCAGCGTTTGTGAGTTGGGAGCGACAAAGGCTCACATTTGAACACGTCCCCGCCCGTGAGCGCCATGCCGGCGGCCAACCCTCCAAGAAAGCTGTTCCCAGCACCTGCGAGCGCGATGAGGCCCGCGCGCACCGCCGCCGCGTGAAAGGAAAGAAAACGCACCGGTGACGTCGACGACTTTGGCGGGGGCGTCCGCCGGGGCCCAGTAGGCGTCGACCCACTCGCCGCGGCGCTGGCGCGACGCGACGTACGCGCCGAGGGCGCCGCTGCGCACGATGACCCAGCCGCTGCGCCCCGGCCCGACGCCGAGCGCGAGGAGGCGCGCGGCGGCGTCCTCGATGGCGGGTTTGGTGGCCGGGAGCGGCATGGACAGGAGCGCGAGGGCCTCTTCTGCGTTCGGGCTGCGGGCGGGGGTCGTTTAGCGTGCGGGGGAGCCTGAGGCGGGAGGCGGGGAGAGGGGCGTGCCTGAGGATCGCGATGGACGGGAGGACGGCGACGAGGGCTGGGAGCTCTTCGGGGACGCATCTGTCCTGTGCGCGCGCGGCGCGTCAGCTGGGGGGTACGGGGTGGGGTGGGGTAGAGCGGGGTGGGGACGTACGGGGATGGGCTCGTAGATCGTGGTGGGGGCCCACGGGCGCAGCTGCTCGACGTCGGCCATGATCGCGCGGGCGCGCGACGGGGAGCAGATGAAGTGCAGGTACTGCGGGCGCGCGAGCGGCGTGTCGGCGAGGTCGCGCGGGGTGATGCGGATGCGGGGTGTGAGGTACTCGAAGCTGGGTGCGGGGGTCAGCGTAAGGGGCGGCGGCGGCGGCGGCGGCGGCGGCGGGGACGCACCCGCGGTGGTCGCCCTTGTACTCGTTGAGCGCGCGCGTGGTGGGGCGGTCTGGGTGGTCGCGGTAGAGCCACATGGGCTCGCCGTAGGCGTTGAGAGAGTCGAGGATATGCGCCGGAAAGTCGGCGCCCTTGTCGACGATCATGCCGAGCGCGGCGGGCGGGAGCCTGTGTGCGGCGATCAGCGCAGATCAGCGGCGGGGGAGGCGGCGAGGGGCAGTCGGGACGCACCAGAGGCGGGCGCCGAGGACGGCGTAGGTGCCGCCGCCGCCGATCTGCGAGGGAGGTGAGCGTGTGAGGCGGGGGAGGCGGGGGCGGGGCGGGGGGCACGTCCCTGGGGAGCGAGGGTGCGCGCGGTGGGCGTGCCCGCGTCGTCGAGGGATGCGAACTCGTCGATGATGAACATGCCGAGGGTGGCGAACACGCGCGGGGCGGGCGCGGCGGGCATGGCGGCGGGAGGAGATGAAAAGAGGAAGAGGGCCGCCTGCACTCGACCCGACTCGCCGACGATGGAGATCTGGATCGTGACCGATGCCGCCTCGCTCGACCCGCGCCTCTACGACGCCGGCCTCGCTCTCCTCGACCCCGCCTCCGCCGACCGCGTGCGCAGGTTCTACCACCGCGCAGACGCCTGCCGTGAGCCCTCCCGCCCCCGCGCCCCCGCGTCCCCGCGTCCCTGACCCCCTCCCTCCCCAGGCTGTCTCCTCGGCCGCCTCCTCCCGCGCCTCCTCCTCGCCTCCGCCCGCGCCGTCCCACCCGCCAACATCGCCATCGCCCACACCCCCGCCGGCAAACCCTACTACGCAAGTCCCCGCACCCGCTCCTCCACCGCCCCGATTGCCCCTGACCCGCCGTGCGCGCTGACGACAGACCACCCCGGGCCTCGACCCCCCGCTCGCATTCAACGTCTCGCACGACGGCGCCGCCGTCGCCATGGCGTTCGCGCCCGACCCGCGCCCGATCCCCGCCGATCTGGGCGCGCGCGCGGATTCGGACGCGGTGCGCGCGGGGCTCGTCGGCGTGGACGTCATGCGCGTCGCGGTCCCGCACCGCACGACCTTCCGCGAGCTCGTCCGCGGCGTCGGCGACACGGTGCGTCGCCCCGCCGCCCCGCCGCCTCCCTCCCTCCTTCCTTCCTTCCTTCCTACACCACACGTGCGCTGACCGCCGCGCGCCAGCTAACCCCGCGCGAGCGCGCCCAGCTCGCCCCACCAACGCCCGAGCGCACCGCGCGGCGCCGCTTCTTCTGGATGTGGACGCTCAAGGAGGCCTTCGCCAAGGCGCGCGGCGCGGGCCTCGCGTTCGAGCTCCGCAGGATCGAGTGCGACGTCCGCGCGGTGCGCTCGGGCGTCCCGCGCGAGGAAACGGGCGCGGCGGTGCGAGTGACGGTGGACGGCGCGCCGCCGCGCGGGTGGGCGTTCGTGCTGTTCGAGTTTGACGCGCCGCACGCGGGCGCGGGCGCAGGCGCAGATGCAGGCGCAGATGTAGATGTAGGCGCAGGCGGGGACGCGGACGCGGACGCGGGGCAGGCGCGGTACCAGGGCGTCGCGGCGCGCTTCGTGGGGGGCGACGCGCCGCCTACGTTCGTCGTGCGGCGCGTGGGGGGCTCGCGTCTGGACGCGCGCGCGGACGGTGCGGACGGTGCAGGCGCGGAGGTGGTGTACCGCGACGAGGCGGACGCGTTGGTAGAGCGCGCGGTGCGCGTGCTCGGCGGTGGCGGCGGCGGCGGGGACGGCGGCGGGGACGGCGGGGCGGGCGCCGCGCCACCCTAGTAGCGACCGGAGATTCTCTTATTGTTGTTATTCTGATGTCGTTTGCGAGCGAAAGTGCGAGCGCGCGAGCGTGCGACGGGGTACGATAGATTATGCAGGGCTGGAATTAGGCGGGCGGCGGGCGGCAGGCGGCGAGCGGCGGGCGCGTGGGTACTGTAAACGAGGCGGTGGCGACGATAAATACACGCGTAGGTAAGAAGATAGGCAGGCAGGTGGGCATGTAGTAGGTAGTAGAGGTATGCAGGCAGGCATGCAGGGAAGACAGGGGAATAAAGTTAGGTCTAAGACGAGGCGAGAACGAGAACGAGAACGCAGTCGAGAAGTCCCATCGCATCCAATTCAATCCGATCCGATCCAATCCAATCATACACGGCGGAGCCTATAGCTCCCAAAGCCAATCAGCCGATCCACCCCCATCCGATGCGATGAGACGCGATGAGGGGTGAGAGCATAGCATACAGACACAGACACACAACAGGGACGGAGAACGAACGTTAACGGGGGCGGAGAAACGGGGAGCGGGGAACGGGGAAACGGGACGCGGGCTGCGAGAAGGCGGAGCGGAGCGGGAGAACGCAGGGGGGGAGGCAACGTGCACCGCGGCCGGGCTCAGTACGGGTAGAACGCGAACTCGGACTCGTACCAGTCCTCGCCCTCGGGCGCGTCCTCCCGCGTGTCGGGAGACGAGAACGCGAGGAGCGCGAGCGCGGGCTCGGGCTCGGGTTCTGGGGGGCCGGTGGTGGGGACGAGCGGGGCGGACTGCCAGACGCGGGGGGCGTGTTTGTCGGGGTCGAGGGTGGCGGCGGCGGCGGCGGAGCCCCAGTGCATGCCGTCGAGCTCAAAGTCATTGAGCGCGGGCATGAGGGCGAGGGCGCGTGCGACGTGCTCGTAGAAGGTCTGCGGAAATGGAGCGGGGGAGAACGTGAGCGGAAGCGGAGATAGCGTGAAACGCGGGCGGCGAGACGCACGGTGTCGGGGGCTTTTAGGAGCGCGGGGGCCGTGGGGGCGCCCGTGCCGGGGTTGGTGGTGGTGGTGGTGGTGGTGGGTGGGGCGAGGCGGAGGCAGGCGAGGTCGGGGAGGGCGCGGGCGATGGCGTGGAGGAGGGGGACGAGCGGGGGGGCGGCGGTGGCTGCTGTGGCGGTGGCGGAGAGGACGGCGAGAGGCCCGGCGGCGGTGGCGAGCCAGGCGCAGTCGTCGGGGGTGAGGTCGCCGTCGTGGATGTGGAGGGTGTGGAGGGGGCGGGTGGGGACGAGAAGGCGGGCGATGTGGACGGGGCCGGAGAAGGAGGCGAGGATGGGGAGGGTGCTAGGCGGGAGAGATGGCAGCGAGAGCGTGGCGGGTGCGGGCGCGGGCGCGGGCGCGGGCACGGGTGCGGGTGCGGGTGCGAGCAACGGGGGTGGGGTGGGGGGTGGGAGAGGGTCGGAGTCGAGCTGGAGGTGCTCGAGCGCGGGGGTGCGGGCGAGGAAGTGTGCGGTGTGGAGGTCGAGGGGGAAGGAGGCGGCAAAGTGGCTGAGACGGGGATAGAGCGGGGCGGAGGCGAGGACCCAGGTGACATCGGGGTCGATGTGGAGGTCGAGGTCGGTGAGCTGTGTCATGGCAGCGAGGGCGCTTGCGAGGGCGCGGTAGAAAGGGGGGAAGAGGACGGAGGACGAGGGGAGGACGAGGGAGAAGGTGCGGACGAAGCGGGCGAGGTGCGGGCGTGCTGCGAGGACGGGGACGAGGACGAGGTTGTGTGCGAGGGGGGAGAGGGCGAGGTTGCGGTAGAGGAGGCGGCGGGCGACGGGGTAGAGGGGGGACGCGGTGCGTGCGAGGGCGACGAGGGCGGGGGTGTCGAGGTTCTGTGCCACTGCGTCGATGAGCTCTGTGGGCAGGGCGGGCAGGGACATGGTGGGCTGCGAGGGTGGCTGGCGGAGGGGGTTGGCTGCGGGGGTTGGCCATGTACTCTATAAGTGCAGGGCTCTGCTGACTCAGCAGCCGTGCTCTCACTCTGTCTCACTCTCCCGATGCGCGTCCGTCTGCTGAGGGTGCACGCCCGCGCCGTCCACACACGCGCCGTATGCGGTGCGTCCCCGCGCCCCGGCCCCCGCGCTCGCTGACGCTGTCCCCAGCCCCGTTCCCCCCGCGCTCCCACTCCTGTGGCGCGCTGTCCCCGGCACACGTCGGCGAACGCGTCGTCCTCGCAGGCTGGCTCCTCCCAGAACGGTCCCGCTCCTCTCCTCCCCGCCCCCGCCCGCGCTCACCCACCCTCTGCCCAGAAAACTCTCCGCCGCCCTGTCCTTCTTCCCCCTCAAGGACTCCTTCGGCACAACACAGCTCGTCGTCTCCCGCCCGCCCGGCGACACCGCCCTCGCCGCCCTCTCTGACGTCCCCGTAGAGTCCGCCGTCCTCGTCCAGGGCGAGGTCCATCTCCGCCCACAAAAACAGCGTCGTCCCGTCGGTCGTTTTCACGCGTATCCCATTGCATCCTCACGCCCACGTACACGCAGGAACCGGCAGGTGACATAGAAGTCCTCGTCGACGACTTCACCCTCCTCAACCCCGCAGCCCGCGACCTGCCCTTTGTTCCCTCCGACACCCACAACCTTGTCCGTTTTGCAATCTCTGCGCACACGCCCCCTTCTCACCTCTTTCATCTCCCCCCCCCCCTCCCCCCCTCCCTTAGCCGAACGAAGATCTCCGCGCCCAGCACCGCTACCTCGACCTCCGCCGCTCCGCCCTCACCGCTAACATACACAAGCGCAGCCGCGTCGCACACCTCGTCCGCACCGTCCTCCACGATCACGGTGCGCCACGTCCCCCTTCCGTCATCGCTCACGTTCACCTTCACGGCATCCCATCCTCCTCACGCGACCCCCCGATCGCTCGCTGACGCAACTCATCCCGTCCTTCTCTCGCTTCCCTCGCCTAGCCTTCCAAGAGGTCGAGACCCCCATCCTCCTCAAGTCCACCCCCGAGGGCGCACGCGAGTTCCTCGTCCCCACACGTCACACCGCTTCCCCCTCCGAATCCTCCTCCGCGGTCCAGCAGCCCCTCTTCTACGCCCTCCCCCAGTCCCCGCAGCAGCCAAAGCAGCTCCTCATCTGCTCCGGCGCCGTCGACCGCTACTACCAGCTCGCCCGCTGCTTCCGCGACGAGGACGGCCGCCGCGACCGCCAGCCCGAATTCACCCAGGTCGACCTCGAGATGGCCTTTGTCCCCTGGGGCCCCCGCCCACACGAGCTCGCCCGCGGCTGGCGCATCGGCGGCGGCGACGTCCGCGACGTCGTCGAGGCCCTCGTCACCCGCATCTGGGCCGACGTCGAGCACGTCCAGCTCCAGGACGGCTTCAGAGTCGTCCGCTATGCAGACGCCATGGCCAGGGTGAGTCCGTCTCGCGCCAGCCTGTCTGTGTTGCTCACTCCCTCGCTCGTTCGTGCTCGTCAGTATGGCTCCGACAAGCCCGACACCCGCTTCGGCCTCGAGGTCCGTCGGTCGCTTCGCTTGCTCCCTCGCTTCTCCGACTGACGCGCCCAGATCATCGACGCCCGCGCGCTCCTCCCGCCCAGCGCCCGCGCGGCCCTCGGCGCCTCGCGCGGCACGCTCGACTGCCTCGTCGTTCGCTCCGGGTCCGCATCGGACGCCGCCTTTGCACGCGCCGCGCGCGAGTGCGCCCTCGAGCCCTCCGTCGTCAGCCCCTTACTCCCTTCCTCCTCAACGAGTCGTCCGACTGACTGACGCGGATCGCGTTCGCAGGAGCGCGTAGAGGTGACGCAGGCGAACGCAGACGCGCTCGCGTGGCTGCGCTCGAGCCGCACCGTGCGCGAGCTCACCACCGCGGGCGAGGACCCGGACGCGCGCGCAAACGATCTTGACGGCGCGGACGACGGCGAGGGCCTGGACGTCTCGCCCGGCGACGTCGTGTATCTCGCGACGCGCCGGGACCCGCCAGAGGTGAGTCTAGCCGCCTCCGGTCCCGTCTGCTCTGTGTGCTGACGCCGCGCCCGCGCGCGCTCGCTCAGGGAGGATCGACGGCGCTCGGGCGACAGCGCCTGCGCCTCGCCGACCTAGCGCAGTCGCGCGGTGCGTCCCTCGCGCGCGTCCTTTCCCATCGTTTCCTCTTCCTCATTTCTTCTTGATCGTGGGCGTGTGACGTTCCCGCAGGCGAGTACGCGCCGCCCGCGGCGCCCCACTTTCTGTGGGTGACGGAGTTCCCGCTGTTCACGCGCGCGGACGAGGACAAGGAGGCGCTCGCGCGCGGGCGGTGGAGCAGCTCGCATCACCCGTTCACGGCGCCGATGTGGGAGGACGTGCGCGCGCTGTACGAGGGCCGCGTCGACGAGGTGCGTCCCTTTCTCTCTCTCACACACACACATTGGGCTGAGGCGGGACGCGACGCGCGCAGGTCCGCGGGCAGCACTACGACCTGGTGCTCGACGGCGTCGAGATCGGCGGCGGCTCGGTGCGCGTGCACGACGCGGCGATGCAGGAGCACATCTTCAAGCACGTCCTCCAGGTGCGTGCGCACACGCGTCTCTCTTCCCCTCGCGGATTGATGTGAATTTTCGGGGCCGGTGTGTAGCTCGACGAGCGCGAGAGGGCCTCGTTCGATCACTTGCTGCATGCGCTCAAGTGCGGCGCGCCGCCGCACGGGGGCATCGCGCTCGGTACGTCGTTCTCGTTCTCGTTCTCGTTCTCGTTCTCGTTCTCGCCCCCTGCCTCTTTTTTCTTTTTTCTTTCTGTGTGCTTTGCGTTGGTTTGCGCCCGAGAGACGCGCGCGCCTGCCCTTCCCCACACCTTCCCTGCCACGTCCCTTCGCCTTCTCCTTCGCTGCTTCCCTTCCTAGCCCTAGCCCTTCCCTTCGCTTGGCCTGTCTCCCCTTGGCCAGTCTTCTTAGGCTTGTCTTCTCAGGCTTCGTCATTCGGCCCCGCTTCTTCTCGCGCCCCGAGTCTCGATCTTCTCGCTGATCTCTTTCGTCTCTCATCTCTCGTTTCATTTTTTTTTGCGTTTCGACATCGGAATCGGAATGGAATCGGTAATGGAATCGGAATCGGAATCGACTTCATTTCCGCGCTGCGCTGCCCCTGTCCTGTCGTCCGCCCTCGTCGCCGACCGCGTTCTCGTCCGTGCGTGTACGTCCGTGTCCGTGGGGACGTGGGGGCGTCTGGTCACCTGCACACCGCACACCACGGGCGCTCGCTTGGCGCTGACGTCGGCTCTGCGCGACACGACACGACACGACACGACACGACGCGACCGGGTCTCGAACGGGCGCTGACATCCCCATCCCCATCGCCATTCCCATCGACGTCCATCACCGCGGCGCCGATCCCAACCCACACCCACCCGCGCACCCACACGACCCCCCGTGCGACCCGTCCGTCTCGCCCGTCACGCGCCGCGACGTTGACGCCGCACCACGCCCGCGCGCGCGCAGGGTTCGACCGGCTGATGGCCGTGCTCTGCAAGACGGCGTCGATCCGCGACGTGATCGCGTTCCCCAAGTCGGGCGCGGGCGCAGACGCGCTGTTCAGGAGCCCGGCGCCCGTCGCCGCGGACGTGCTCGCGCAGTACGGCATCACGCCCGCGCCCACGCCCGCGGCGCGGCGACGGTGACGGTGACGTAGCGCGGACGTCTGCGCGTGTCGTGTGCGAGGATGCGCGCTGCGATGCCGATCGACGGGCGGCGGTCAGGTGCGTCGTGCGGTCATCGCTCGCTGAGCTGGGCCTCGGGCGGTTTGTTTATGTACTCACTTACGCGCTCGGTCGCTTGGTTGCCTGCGCGCAGGACGTAATGCGGACGTGCGGACGTGCAAGTGGGTGGGTCAGTCGAGGTCAGCGGGTCAGCGGGTCAGCGGGTCAGTCATCGGGGGCGGGGGCGCGGGCGGGGGCAGTGCGGGGGCAGGGTTGGGGCTCTTGGTCGCCGGCCGGGTATCTACGATGACGGGTTTGGGCTGGGTCCGGTCTCTTGATCACAGTCGACGCCTTCTGCGTGCTTCGCGCGGTGACGTGCGGATGCGTGCACGGCCGCGCGGGAAGCGAACAAGCGAATAAAATAAAACACCTCTCTTCATCATCGTCGAATGTAGCGGCGGGGCGGGGCGGGGCTGGGCGGGCGGGTGGAACGTACATGCGCGCGTAAGGGCGCGTCGAGCGCGGATAAGAATGACACAGACGTGGTAGACCGGCGACGAATGATGAAAAAGTAAGTGCAACAGGGAACGTAAACGAGGGAGAAATAACGTCCGATTCGAGGTTCTGGGGGGAGGGCGTGGGCAGCTATCGTATGGACATTACGGGGGCGGGCATATACACAGACGAGACGCGGGTGCGAAGGCACAGGCACGGGCACGGATACGGAAACGAGAACGAACACGAAAACGAAGGCGAAAACGAAAACGAAAGCAGAAACGAAGGCGCGCGGGCGCGTGGCGAGGCGTGGCCAGGCCAGGCAGGCTCTCTCCGCGCGCGATCGCCCGTCGACGTCGAGGGGACAGCGCCCTCCCGCGCCAAGGAGCCCGATCGCGACCGAGATGAAAGGCAAGGCGACAGGACAGGCGACAGGGCGGGCGAGGCCGGCCGATCCAAGCAGAGGTCATGACGCAGACGCTGCCGCCGCCGACACCGCCGGCACCGCCGTGATCGTCGCCGTCTCGTCCGACTGCGGGCTGCGCCCCCGCCCGCGTTCGCGCTCGACGTCGGGCGCGGGGTCCGGATCGGGCGGCACCGTCGGCGCGAAGAACGTCGAGCTGCGCGGGGTGGTCTCCTCGCTCCCGGGGCGCGACGCGTAGCTCGCGAACGGGAACGCCGCCCAGCTGCTGATCCGCGCGTCGCGCGCCGCGTCTGGCGCGGGCGGCGCGTTGAGGCCGGACGACGAGAGCGAGGAGGAGGGGGTGCCCGTGCTGGTGCTGGCCCCGCTGTTGGTGCCGATGCCGTTGCCGTTGCCGTTGCCGTTGCGACTGCCGCTGCCGTTGGTGCCGCCGTTCGTGGCGGGCGCGATGGCGAGCGTGCGGTTCCGCGCCTCGTCGATCACGGCGAGGACGCTGCGCAGCTTCGACTCGGTGCGCCGGCTGTTTGGGGGCGACGCAGGCCGGTGCACGCGGTGGGACGGGGAGGACGAGCGGGGCGACGCGGACGCGGTCGGGGAGGTCGAAGTCGAGGGCGAGGGCGAGGTCGCGTCGGCCCATTCGGTCGACGTGTCGGTGTAGAGCGCGGCGGGGGGCGGGCCCCACGCGGTCGTGCCGGTAGCGAAGATGTCGCTGGCCTCTGTCTGTGGGGTCGAGCTGAGCGGGCTCGGCGAGGGGGAGGCCGCGGCCATGATGGAGAGGGGCGGGAGGATGCTGAAGATCTGGTCTTCGGACGGCTGTTGGCCGTACGAGTCGAAAGGGTCCGGGACAGATTGCAGCATGGGTTCGATAACGGGGTCGGAGCTAGAGCGAGCGAGCGAACGGACGGGAGAGCGTACGGACGCGGAGTGTGAGAAAGAGGGTGGTGTGACTCGGGAAAGATGGATGCGGGAAGGGTGCGTACGCTTTCGCAGTGAATCGATCAAATACGTCCATTGTCGAGCGAACGACGACGCATATCTTTGGGTTCCCTGTTAATCTGCGAGATACGACACTTGATCGGTCGCGGAGATGCACTTGCCTTTCCTTGCACGACGTCCCAGACCTCCTCTTCGTGTTCCAGAATCTCCTCGTAATGCCGTGCCTTGAGCTCGTCGAGCTCATCCACCTGCCTTTGCAGGACGATCAAGGCCTGTCGGAAGCTCTGTAGATCTGGGCCCCTGTCATCAGAAAAGAACGCGAGAGATGGATCTGTAGTGGGCACCCACTTCGCTCCTTGCGATTCATGTTCCGCTTCTCGGTATCGCGGATGATATTGCTCTTCTCTCTGAGCGCCCTCTCGTACGAGGCAGACCGCTCCTATATTAGAAGCTGGATCGAAGGCTCAGCTGAGTTTGAGACAGAGAAGGTACGCACGTGTACGATGGTGCGGTACGTCTCGAGGTGTTGTCGCAGGGGTTTCTCGAAGCTCTTGTCGAGGGTTTCGGACTGGGACGATACGGTCGGAATCCGAGGAACATGCAGCGCAAGTGTGACGTACCAAGACATGCCAGTGGTTTCCTATCATGTGGTGAAGCCCAGACGCGGCCTGTAGCCTCGTTCCCTGCTCATAAGTGGGGCCCTTCATGCTAAGAGAGAGAGGGAGAGAGGTGCCGAGTGAGCGCGGAGAGAGATAAGGCCGTGATCGTCGACAGTACAATCTCGCACCTCGCGCAAACCTCCATGGCGTCCGCGAACATGGCCGTGACTCTGGACATGTTGAGCAAGGCGGATCGGTAGTTCGCGCAGGAGTTGAGGAGCTGTGATCAACGCGGAAGGATGAGCGAGGGCTGGAGGTTGGCCGGAGCGCAATCGTGTGCAAAGCAGCGGGGGCCGAGGGCTCACGTTGTCGTAGGCCTGCATGCTGGCCTTGAGATCTGCGCGGGTGACGATCTTTGCAGGGCCGTTCTCGCCAAAGTTCATGGCGGAGGCGTTGGTGACCTCGGAGAAGGTGGGCGAGGGAGGGCCGTCATGTTGTCTGTTGATATTCGTGGATATTGCAAGCGATCGGAGCGAGCGTGCTTTGTGCATGAGGGGGCCAGGCTGGATGGGACGAAATGTCGGCACTGGGATGGGAGAGGCAGGAGGAGACAGGGCTCGGTGTTTGTTGGTCACCCCGTCCAAGGCGCGACTGCGCGGCTTGTCGTCATCTCTCACACATTCGTTGCAAAAACTTAGCCTTCCTCTGGTCTCTACCGCAAACTTGACAACCCTACAGTCGCACTGGGGCCGCTCAGGCGTTGAAGTGCAGTCCATACTGATAGTTCTATCACACTGAATCTCGATATATGTAACCTCAAGCCTCGTGCGGACACACTGCACCTCTTCGGTGCATGATCGATGCACAGCAACTGCAGAGCATCCAGGGTGTGTTCTAGGTTTCCGCAAACATCAAAGCGCGAGTGTGACGCGATGCGTACGGGCTGCCTTCACATCACGTAGATCCTATAATGTGGCTGGGCGAGAAAGACTAGACGGTTTAAGCAGAATAACAGGTATATCGTGCCCTACAAAGTACGCTGAGAGTGTAGAGGTGACGAGAAAGCCCAGGGAATCTCCCTCGCTGCAAATGTTTGCAAGCCGACGAAAAGTCCAATTGACTTTGCGTTCTGACGTTGCCTGATCTGATGCGGGTTTGAGGACTTACACGCACGCAACCGGACGATATGCAATCACATATACAGCAGGTTGACGAGATCCATGTTTGTGTGTCGAGCATGTAGTGGAATGTGATAGAGATGTAAAAACGTCTGCTTTAGACCTGGTTTATATATCTACCGGACAACACCTAGGGAGGTCAGACAATTCACGAAAAGCACGCAAGGCAAATTGGCTACACACCACACATGAAATCTAACTGCGCGCAATACCCCCCGATATCGCTGACATCTTTTCGGGCGAGTCCCTCAAGTAGAACAGCTTCGCCTTCTTCGCCTTCTGGTCCCTCTTCGCCGCGCCGCTGCCCACCCTCTTCATCACCTGTATGCTCTTCAGATGCGGCGAGTTGACAAAGAACTGCATCTCCACGCCCGTGCGCTGCACGACGTTGCGCAGGACGAACGACGTGTCCGCGCCGCGCCGGCGCACGGAGATGAGCACGCCGGAGAACGACGTCGGTGCGTGCGCGAGTGTCACGGCGAGGACGCTGCCTGGTTGAATGCGGTCGGGGTGTCGCCGCGAGAAGAGGGTGTTCATGATTTTTTGTTTCTCGGGTGTGGGGAGCGTCTGCTGAAGGTACGCCATGAGCCCCTTGCCTTTGAGAAGAGCGGGCCTCGGTGCTTCCGCGGGAGGTGGGGGGATTATGGCGACTTTAGAGAACGGGTAGGGAGAGACCTTGGTCGACATTGAGCGCCATGAGTCTCGCAGACATCTTAGAGACATGTTGGCCGTGGAAGCAACCTTCAATTGACGATCTCGCTATTCATGGTAGCGGCAAATGCCGACTATCACGACGGCACTCTTGCAAAAGTTTACTGTAATAGTACAATGCGTCGATTCGCCCTAAGGATTCTTGAGGTCCAAACTCATTGAATAAGCACATTTATCCAATGACGTACGACACAGAGTAGAGACATAGTTTATGCAACGAACGCAAACAGAGAGAGAACAGAAGGGGAACTGTACAAGTATCAGAAAAGAGAGCTGTGACGCATAACCTCGCTTCACGTCCTCAAAAGTACACAACAGCAAGATGCTAGCGTGGTTGCTCGAAGTCCATATTTTGCAGATCAGAATCCGCGCCCTCGACCCCTAGAAGACGCACATATACGTGAGTGAGGGATACTGTGTCCACAACTAAAAAAAAAAACCCACCTCCCACGAGCACGGTAGGGGCTGTACCCAAACCCACCCCGAAACCCTCCTCTATAACCGCCTCTATAGCCTCCGCCTCCGCCTCCCCGTCCTCGTCCCCGGTTGAATCCTGGAACATTTGTTCGCTTCGCGGTGACCTGAGCAGTCGGTGCCATGAGTGCTGAGAGAATCATAGTGAAAGAGTTCAGTCACACACCTTGATCAGTCGACCACGGAACAATGAGTTGTCCATCGCCAAAGCAGCATCGATGAATTCAGACTCGGCGAATTCGACATATGCGTATCTATTCAAACAATTCAAGTCAGGAGATTCTGTTGAAAACCTTTATCAAACGCACCCTTTAGGATGGCCAGTGAACTTGTCACAAAGGATTGTTACTCGGTTGATGGTACCGCAAGCTTGGAAATGTCCCTGTATCTCTTCTGGCGTGGCGCCGTAATCCACCTAGACACACGCGGTATATGATTGGGATAAACGAAGCAGGTAAGTACAACCGGGGCAAAAGAGCTTACATTCCCAACGAATACACTCCGACCATCGGAAATCGACTTGTCGTCTTCCGCATCCATTGGCACGCCCGCCTCACTCCCATCATGCACCGACCCGCCGTTCGCGTTTTCTGCAGCCGCCTGCAGTTCACGTAGCTTCTGTGCCTCGCGTTCCATTTCTTCTACGCGCTGCTTCATCAAGAGGATCTCCTACAACGTAAAGACCAGAACCAAGGTAGCAATTAGCCTCTGCGCATCGCGCGAAGATATTTCTATGCAGAAGAGGAGCTGCGCGCAACGTACCTTCGACTCGGCCTCCTCGCTGTCATCGATTGTGGGGTCTGGAACATGGGTCTCAGATGGACTTGTTGAGGCGACGTCGGCCATTTTGTGCGGAAGGGTGTAGGTCCTTGTGTGGGCCGGCGAGTGGGTGTGATTTGGGAAAGTTTCAGTGCGTCACGGTCTCAGACACGTCAAACCACGTGCCGTCACATTCTACAAGCGCTGCTGGTGGGCGCTTGTCCCACCGCGTCTCCAGTTCGCGACTTGCAGCACTCATGCGTAGAATCAGAAAAACTGACATTCCTAGCCAAGACTGCTATTCCTATCAATTAAGACTCCGGATATACATTTGAGAGCGTAAGGCCCACTACAATGTCGCCCCCGATGATTAAACCCTCCCTTGGTACCACAGCAAGTCATATGAGATCGCACTTACTCACTAAAAATGGGGTGCGTCCCGCGTGCCGTCATCGTCGACCCGCACCGCCCGCACTAGCGCTCGAGGACGAGTCAAGATATGAGCCAAGGCGGAATGTACACATCTAAAACACAATTACCGAATAAGCTTGAAAAGACTAAGGCGCTATTATCCTGTCATTTAGGCCTCAGTAAGATCACCTGGCCATGTGCTGAACGCTGACAGCATCAGGTCATCGCTGGGGTGGGCCTCATATGGACATGGATGGCTCAAGTCGCCGGTCCGCGTCGAGCCTGACCGAGAGTTCATGTCTCCGTTGGTGGTTTCGGAATACACGCTGCAGACAACACGAAGACACTCGGGGGCAGCGCCGGCTCGCGAGCAGTGGGAAAGAGAAAAGCATGGAGGGAAGAAGTCCGACGACATATTATGTGTCAGGAACCTGCGTCACGTGTGCACACTCCAGGGGACGAGGATGGCCTGAAGCGCTGGGAGGACAAGTGACAAGTCGGCCCTCACTCCGGTTTGACGCTTTCCACCACACTCCATGGGCCACTCAGACCCTTCCAACCCTCCCGCCATGACGAATCCCGCAAAGAAGAAACGAATCGACGACCAAGCCGTTCAACCCGATCCTGTCCAACGTCCGATCCAACTCCAGAGAAGAAGAGTCTGGCGTGCCTGTGAATCTTGTCGGTACGTCCCAGGTTCATCTATGTCTGTCCGTCTTTATGAATATCCACGTTTGGTACCCCACATTCGATTTCGATCCTCCACAGTCGTAAGAAGATCAAGTGCGACGGTAACGAGCCTACCTGCTCTCAGTGTGCGACCGCTGGATTTCAATGTACCTGGCTCCAAACGAAAGACAGAGCTGCACTCAGCAGACAGTACGACCTCTTGTCCTCTAATCTCGTAAAGTCGTCTTGACCGGGGCTCCTTCTAGCTATGTGCAAGAGCTGGAGGCGCGTCTCCTTCACATGGAGTCCCTTTTCACTCAGATTGCACCCGTACTCGGACAATTGAGCCAGAACGGCGACGGCGCATCTCTACCGCATGATATATCTGATCCAAACAGTGCTCCATCAGCTGCATCTATTATCCAGTCTCTAGTTGACAAGGATAAAGCCGCACAATCGACCTCCGTTGATAACCACTCCACTCCTGACTCGAGCGTCTCCGCTAAAATCGAGGATGATGTCTCTGATTCCCTCGGTCAACTCACCCTCGACGAGCATGGACACTTACGATGGATAGGTGGCTCGTCCACCATGTCCCTCATACAGTCCTTCAGAAACGCTACATCATCCCCTCACTTCCGCGTGTCTCCCATGTCCGAGGATCCCAACGCGCCTGGTACGAGCGCCAACAGGCTCTATTTCCCTGCATCTGTCTTTTTCGGCAAGGTGCGCGCTCTCCCAGAACCTGAAGAAGTTGAATATCCAGAGCGTGACCTGGCGGACAAGCTGGTAAGTTCGAGAACGCTCGCTGGTTGTGAATTCAGGATTGAAATTTTTGTGGGCGCCAGGTTGAAGCATATTTTTCAAGATTTCATTTTCTCTTACCGGTCATAGACAAGCCTACATTCATTCGTCAATATAAGTACCTTATGGACCGCACTGATGACATGCAACTGGCGCGTAGCGAAACGGCCTTCATTGCTCTGGTCTTCGCCGTATTTGCATGTGCTGCCCAACTCGTGGATGATCCTCGCCTCAAAGGCGAGAAAGAAGACGATGGAGGGATGGGTATGGTATATTACGAAAGGTAATACACATCCTGCGTTACCTCTAGCTTCGCGATTGACCTCAACTCTGACATACAGAGCCCTCATCCTCCACTACATCAGCCATGCATCCATTCAAGTGGCACATGTTCAATGCTTCATTTTGATGTCTTCGTTCTTGTGCTCGGTTAATTGTTTGCCGCAAGCCTGGATTCTAATAGGCCAAGCTGTGCGTGCAGCTCAGGACTTGGGTCTTCACGTAAGTATGGTGTCAGATGCGATCACTTTATAAGCCTCTGATATTTTGCATATACAGCGTTCACCTCGCCGTCTTAACCTTCCGCCTATTGAAAGCGAGACCCGCCGGAAGATATGGTGGGGAGTTTACACATTGGATCGTATGCTCGCTCTCGCGCTAGGTCGTCCACTAGGTATTGAAGACGTCGATTGTGACGTCGAACTTCCTGTCGCTGTCGACGACGAGAGTCTGTGTTCGTTCTTCAACGGCGACGAAATGTCGTCTGACTCCCCTTCACTTATGTCTGGCTTTCTCGCACTCCAATCACTCTACGTTATCGCTGGACGAGTCATGCGACAAGTTTACGGCGTGGACAACTCTAAGGATTTCCTGGAGCCGGAAAGGCGCGCACAGTTGCAGCGCGATGTCGAAGAACTCGATAAGGAGCTGACGAAATGGTTGGACGACCTTCCCCCTGTTTTCAAGTCAAGTCCGGTCAACGAGAGCCAAGTTTCCATGAGCGCAGTGCTCTGTAGCCATTACTACTCTGTCTTGACCGCTTTGCATCGCAATCTCCTTCCCGTCAAGCGAGATCAACCCATCAATCCACGCTCCACCGCGAAGGCTGTATCTTCAGCTCGCGCCTGCATCCGCCTTGCTCCTTTCATTAAGAATGTTGTCCCTCCTTCACATCACCTCGCCTTTTTCATTCAGCATCTCTTCAGCTCTGCAGTCATCATTTTACTCTATGCGATGCATGTAGCCGACTGGAAGGCTGCAGGCACTGCCATGGAGGAAGCGCAGAGTTGCTTACCCGCGTTGGAATCCTGGGAAGGACTTTGGCCTGGGGCACGAAAGTGCAAGGAGCTGCTGACAGAACTTACAGAGACAGCCCGCGAAGCGATCCGATCTGCTCACAATGGTACTTACGGGCCTGTGTCAAATTCCTCGAACTCTCGAATCGCGCCAGTGCCTTCCCCTTTCGAGCGGAAGGCACGAAGGAGCTCGTTTACGAACCCCTCGAGTCGTGTCATGAAGAATCAGCAGAAGCTCAGGAGAAATCTGTCACCTGATTCTACCAACCGCCCATCGCGGCCATCTCACGCGTCTTCAGTTCTTCACTACGATTGTGAGTCATTTTGATATCTGAATCAACGCTGTTTCTGACCTTTCGCTCCTCTTCGTCTTTGTGGGCATAGCGCAGCGCGCGCGTTCAACATCACGCAAACGGGGTCACGGCGAGAGCGAAGACACTGATGTCAAGGCGGGACCATCACACCCGTATCGCCTTTCCTTCCCACCAGGGTTTGATCCGCGTTCAAATCAGAGCTCACATAGCTCGCCCACATCAGCCAAAGGCTACCCATCTCCGCCGATGCCATTAGCTGATCCCCCTATCGAAATGAGTCCGCAGATGATGCCTACGCCCTCATTCGGATCTCTCAACCCACCTGTGTCACCTCTGAACGGCGGTCCTTCAGCACCGTACGGATTTGACTTCGCTCCGCCCCAGAATCCGTTCAGCCACACAATCGGCGATCTTTGGAGTAGACCCGAACGGGAGAAGAACGACCTTGGAATGTTCGAGCCCAGTCAACTGGAAAATGCATTCAAATTTTCAACACTTGATGCTCGGCCGTCGACCGTTGACCCGTCGTTCCTAGCGTACGACAGTACGTCGCAGTTGGGCATAGGCTTCCCAGGGCTTCCTTCAATGACGCCCTCGACTACATTTCCTCCACCGGGTCTACCTTTCCGAGGTCTTGACTATATTCGAAACATAGAAGCAGAAGGGTATCACACTGGCGGTGCGGAGCAGGATCTATGGGGGCAAGGGTTCGATGCAGGCGCTTTCACGGCCGCCCCTGACATCCCCTTCAGCTTGGGAGGAGTCGACCTCTTCAACGACCAGCGTGATGGACAGCCGTGATCGCAACGAGCGTGAGGCTTTGTATGACTTAGACTTTTCGATCTCTGCGATTTGGGTTTGATTCCGGTTTTTTGGTTGCTTTTTCTCAGCACAGCCGTTTTATGTAGGAAGAAGAGTGTACGATACTACGTTATGCTAAGGACTTGTCACTTTTAGTGTACTACGTTATTTACCATGTCAATGTTATGCCCTTTACGCAATATTTGGTTAGCCACGGGGCTAAAGCAAGTCTGCTCTGGGGGTGTCTGGCTTTGTCTGGTACCCCTGTAACCGGTCGGCTTCTCGGGTATCAACCGCCCCGACCCACGATCATATAATGCGGGGTAACTTCTCGACCTTGTCATAATCCTTACCACTATGGCCAACCATCCTGTAGTTGAACTCACCTCCGAAGCATCATGGGCGATGGTGAAATACACAACTCTTTCCTGAGACTTGATATATATCTGACAATACCAGGTGGAAGACAAATTCTCGCCTTTTGCGAAGGATACCCTTGCCAAACTCATCTCCTTCATTGAGGTAGGGCCCTCGGCTCCCTGGCTCTGTCCATGCTCATCGTTCATCTAGGAGGACGTGGTCCCCGCGACAAGGGTAGCACATGCTCAATTGCCAGATGATTCTCTGCAGCGGTGGAAGACCGTCATACCTGTTATTGAGGATCTGAAGATCAAGGCACGGAAACTGGGGCTCTGGAACCTTTTCCTGAGCAAGTCGCTTTATCCTGGACTCGGTGTGCTCACTAATCTCGAGGTATGGACTACCGCGATTGTTTCAACAAAAGTCCGTGTAAGACTAACCAGCAACTTGATAGTACGCTGTCATGGCTGAAATCCTCGGTCGTGCTGGGCACATGGGCTCAGAAGCCGTGAATTGTTCAGCACCGGACACCGGCAATATGGGTGCGCCTTCATATCGAATGTTAGACCATTTAAGCGCTCTGAACTCAACACTCTAGAGGTCCTCGCTCGCTACGGTAACGAGGAGCAGAAGAAGAAATGGCTCGTACCTCTGTTGAACGGAGAGATTCGTTCCGCCTTCTCTATGACCGAACGCTTCGGTAAGTGAGCGACGCTATCAACTGGGAATTGTATGTTGATGGTGCCACCAGTCGCATCCTCCGATGCAACAAACATCCAAACATCCATCAGGCAGGAGGGCAACGACATTGTCATAAATGGCCATAAATGGTCCGTATGTCTCGAGGTATCAGCAAGCTCTGATATGTAGACTCACAATACATTGAACACAGGTATATCAGTGGCGCGGGCGACCCTAGAACTAAACTCCATCTCGTCATGGGCAAGAGCGATCCCAACAACCAAAGTAAATATAACCAACAGAGTGTCGTGATTGTTCCTGCAGACGCTCCTGGAGTCAAGGTTGTTCGTGCTATGAAGGTTTTCGGGTATGATGATGCTCCGGAAGGGCATTGCGAAGTCATTTATGACAATGTCCGCGTTCCTTTGGGCAATCTTGTACTTGGCTGGGGTAAAGGATTTGAGGTGAAGTTTTTAATCTTCTGCGGCCTACTTGCCTTCTTACACTAGATAGATCATCCAAGGAAGACTGGGGTGAGTCGCCTTAATTGACACTCGGAGGCATTGTTCGTTGACGTCGTGCAAGGCCTGGGCGGATTCATCACTGCATGCGTTCGATTGGCGCTGCTCAATATGCCTTGGATACCATGCTCAAGCGAGTAACCGACCCTTCAAGGAAGACATTTGGAAAATTCCTCTACGAGCACGGTCTGTCCAACGGTTTACGACTAGAAGACAAATTCTTACCCTTCGTGTCACCGTACCAGGAACTGTCATATCCGATCTTGCGAAGTCTCGTGCGGAGATTGAAGGTGCTCGCTTGCTTGTGTTGAGCGCAGCTTTGCAGGCGAGTACAGCGTCTGGTCGGTTCATCCTCGATTCTGACAGCCTTGCAGATCGACAAGTACAAGCCAAAGGGCGCGCTCAAGGAGATCGGTATCGCCAAGGTAAGTTGTTTGTACGCTTCTTCAACAGCTGCTGATAAGGTATTGCAGTTTGTCGTGCCGTCCATGGCACTGCAGGTCGTCGATCGCGCCATCCAATCATTTGGCGCTGAGGGTGTAAGCCAAGACACCGAGCTTGCTGCTCTCTGGGCAGGTTTGCGTACACTACGCCTTGCAGATGTAAGCTCATCACTCTTCCTTGTTATTCTTAAATTATTGACAGTAAGCATCGTCGCAGGGTCCTGATGCGGTAGGTTTATTTTTGATTGTTCTGTCAAATCCTGACTGAGACCACTCACTCTCACAGGTCCATATACAGCAAGTCGGGCAGAGGGAGTTGAAGCGGGCACCAAAATTGACCGAGAAGGCTGCTCAATACAAGAAAAAGGAGGCAGAGTTGTTTGCAAAGTATAACATCAAAGCTCGACTCTAGGGGCTTCATCGTAATCAGACAATGTACTCAGCCATCTTCTGTACTCCTCGGATATAGCCAGTCGTGCTCTCGTTGATTCTGCAGATTCAGTGATGTACGCTGTTCGTCAAACATAAGTTAGTAGTCTCATTCCAAGGCCGCTCACCTGCAAGCGTCTTGCGAAACTACCGACCTCGGGTATTCCCGACGGGATTTGACTTCTCCTTGCACGTTTGCACCGTCACACTCGCTCCCAACCTACGTTCTGAGAACAAAATGTCGAGTTCAACCGTGCGCAACATTGTCCGACGGAGCCCTCTCTTGAAACGACACGTCTCGTCAAAACCCACTCCATCACCTCCAGAATTCTCTCTTCCTCCTTCCAAACTACGAGCGCTCATATCACTCTATCACCGATCGGGACAATTCATAACTGCTGAGGGTCTGGACGATGCCATCGACAGGGCATTCACCGTGAAGGACCAAAGATATATTCACAATTCACCGTTTGGCCTTGGAGATCTGAAGTCTGAAGTTACGCGGCGACGGTCTGCTCCGAAATTTGGCAGGGTGGTAGATGCTTTCGTGTCGAAGGAAGGCATGTATGAGGAGAGAGAGAGACGGGTCGCAGCCGTATTTGAGGCGCTATATGGGACACAGGAGGGAAGGAAGCCTGGGCTGGAAATCTTGCAGGAGAGGTGGGGCCTGGTCGATCAGGCGCTTTCAGACGCAGCGTCAGAGGGAAAGAGACAATCATAGGTGCGTGTCGACGTATTCCACTAAATCATACCTTTAACGATGTTTCTTTTTGCAGGAGCCCTCGTTGTTTGATCTTACCATATCTCTTATTTTGCTGTGTTATGCAGGCTGTATCTCGGTCCATCCGCTACTGTGGACGCCTCCATATGTTCTGTCAATGTGAGTGAAGCAATTGGGCCCGTTCAGTGTAAGTTCTCTTCATCTGGTCCGTTACTGGACAACATTACAGGAGGGATTGTACGTGTACATCCCAATGCACGAGACAGTTTTACACGATAAGCCCACTGGTTGAATTATCTTAGACTGGGCTGGGTCGGTACCAGGTATGAGCAGGCTTGCACTTGAGTTTGTGACAGTTTGACCCAAACATCAACGGAGAGCTCAGCACGCACAATGTCAGCTGCATCATCAGAGCACGGTGGACGGGATTGTTCGGCATGGACCCATCTCAATTGATATATACCTACTCTTCCGATACCAGCACTTAGTGATCGCTCCAGCGCTCCAGCGTCGAGGAGCGTCTATTAAGCCGTTTCGCACCACGATCAACACTGAGATATTTCTTCTCTGTAGGTCACTGTAAGGGGTTTACTGAGTCGTGGGACCCATCGCTGGCATGTATTGACAGTCGATGAGCTCTTCGTGACACAGAGGATAGAAAAAAGATCAGGACTATGAATTCCACCGACTTCCAAGGAAACGTAGGAATCGCGAAAGGCGAAGGACGTTGGAAGAATTTATGCATCCTTGTCATTCTTTGGAGTGATAGGCATATTGAATCCAACCCGGTGCGCCGTGGCCTCTATCCGTTCTTCTGCTGTTAGGTCAAATAATGGATTGTACCGGTCCAGCAGCGTCTGTGAGTAGTGTCAGTGACTTGGCTTCTCGTGAAACTCTTCGATTGCGCACCTTGTGTATTCTCTGCGCCCGCATGAAGGTGAGCGCATTTGTGGCATCATAATGAAATGATTGAGCCTCTTCGCCACTCGGGCGCTGGTCGAACATTCGCCGGAAGTTCAAGGAAATGGTCCGATTGCGTAGGGATCGTGGCGAAATAGACTGAATGACGACATTCAATGTGTGTTCTGTGTGGAAGAAAGGCCACTCACAGCCTTGGCGACTTCCCTGAGGAGCTGTCGATAGGTTTGGATAGTCTGCTCAGCCATATGTCCGAGTCTATAACAGAGCGTGAACTTCGGTGAACTCAGTCAAGGGATCCGTGGGCACACGTGCCCTTCCGGCCGATGCCGACCGTTGTGGACAGCTATGGACGTGAATTCCGTCCCATCGATATGCGGACTCAGCGCTTTTACGCAACCCATGCGGAGTCGCTTTGATTCGTGCCAGCCACAAGCAGCCACACTGCTTCGTCCATTTCGCTTAGCCATTCTCTATCAGGCATCCTGGCAAAGGCCACCGCTATGCCACGACCGCCAAAGCGACTTCATCTGTGGCATATAAGAAACCGGGATTGCAAGAGGGCTTCCGCTCACCCCATCCTTCGACTCTCTATCTCTTTCTCCCATAACTTTCTCTCGCAATCCTGTGCGCTCTCTCATCAACAGTCACAAAATGACTCGGTTCAGGGTGCCCCAATCCTCTTCGGACGTGTTGAACGTGAACAATCCTGATGCCGGGACCAGTGCTGTTCGTTCAGAAGTGCGCAGGCCTCAGCCTCGGCGGATCAACCGGCCACGTGTTTCTCGGAAGGTGAGTCTTGCGTGGCTTTCCTATATAACGCTCTGACCTGGATTTTATCAGGCTTTCGCGAAGTTGCCAAATGCTGATCCCGTCGTCAAGACAGACGGTGGCCGCGTACGCTCCAAGTCGACCACGAAGGCTCGCAAGCGAGCTGAGGCAGCCGAGCATGCAGCGCAGAAGAAGGAGGCGGCAAGACAAGAGCAGGCCGAAAGGAGGAAAAGGTGGAAATACGTATTCGTCGGTAACGTTCGTGCTTTTGCTTTCATCGGTCAGGACCAAGGGACTGAGCGGTTTTACAGTTGAGCTCCAACATCACCGTCGCTGACCTCTCCGAGCTGTTCGCGCCCTGTGGTACCATCAAGGACATCACAATCAGATGTAGCCAGGGATCGGTTGTGAGCTCCCGCGGAGAGAAAGGTCGTTACTATGCTTCAATCATTTTCGAGAGAGCCGCATCTGCAGTAGGTGCTTTGAAGCTCGACAAACATGAGTACCGTGGCGCCACGATCACTGTGCGTGTGACACCGCCGTTTGAAGCTCCCCAATTAATAGTGATCGACTTTTGTGTTTATAGGTGTCTCCGATAGCCTTTGACCTTCCCGAGGCACAAGCGATTCAAACCGCGCAGTCTATCACAGGAAATGAGAAACCAAACATGGTCACTAGGTTGAAGAGGTAAGTTTCTTTCCCAAGCGTGGACATGAACGATGTCGCTGACGGCTCACGCTTCAAGGGCTCTGTTTCGCCAGGCGACATTGTTATCTTTAGATGATCCCGACGCGAATCCGCAGAACCACATTATGGGATTCTCATTCGCAAACACTGTGGCATGAAGTGCATGACAGAGTTTGTGGGCTTTCTGTGTAGACTACGTAAAGGATTGCTATGTTCTGTGTGTTGTGGATGCGTTGTATATGGAGATTACGCCCGTATGCTATGTCAGTGATCGGTGCGTTGGCGCCGCGGTTACATCAGGCGGGGAGATCAAAAGGCAGCCACGGCTTACGAGACGGTCCAGACGACTGACCGCAAGCCGTTTGTCTCTTGCTCGATCCCTGCACATGGGATCTGCCTAGCTCACATTCTTTTGCATCTCGAGGTCAGCCTCTTTCTCCTCTCCCAGCCTGCACAGACACGCTGTGGTCGACACACCGCTGACCCAACGCCAACTCAACGTGCCCTGCTCCAGATTAGCCACCGTTGTCATACTGCTTGCATCACATCCTCCGCATCCAAAGCTGTCATGGCCAAAAGCGCCACCCTGAATCCCGCATCCATGCCTTTCTTTCCCGGTGGACAGCGGGCCAGCGAGGACGATGGAGGTCCTGGCTCGGGATTCATGACGCACGCGGCTGCCCGAGAGCAGGATCAGTCGTCATCTCCCTTCACCTTTTCCTCGTCCCCTTCCCTCTATCGTGGCATCAGGCTGTCCCCACCTATTGCGGAGGGGCACGATGCTGCCCATGATGCTGGAGTCCGCTTCCAACAGTCACCGCCCGGCCCCGAATGGCTCCGTTCATCGCCCGCTCCCCGATCCGTTGACAGCGACAAACAGATCACAGCGTTCGAATCTCGCGCGGGCAGAGATTTGGCTAACTTCGATACTTTCGCCACCGTGGACGATCACGGCGCTTCTGGCACCACTTCGTCTGAGAACGGCGCCCTCGCCAACTCCATCCTCCATCGTCAAGGCGTAGCAACACCGTCAATCTCCTTGCACAGCAATTCACGGTCTCCTCTCGGTAACAACAACGTCGTGGTGACCTCGTCATCTCCTGTGTCTTCTTTGGATTCTGGTAGCCATTTCGCTTCTAGCATGGAACTTCGTCCTTCTAGCTTCGAGGCACAGCTGCGTGCTTCACCCATCATCAACGACATTCTGGATCGCCTCGTTCGTTGCGAATTCTCCACTCGCGAAATTCATCGCGACCTCGGTGATGTTCATCGGAAGGTTGACGTTCTACTCGAGCGTTCTTTCGGCCAGACCTCCCAGCCTGAGTTTAAGGATCCCTTTGCCCCGTCTACTCCATCTCAGGGTCTTAGCATCAGCGCCCCGCGGCCATCTGTATCAGGCCTCGCGCCAAATCAAACATCGGATGATATCACACAGATTTCTCAGCGGTTGAGCACGTTGACGACATCCGTTGGTCAGCTCCTCGCACTCCAAACCCAGCAGCATATCCAGAACACGACTCCTGGACTTGGGAACAATCTTGTTAACATCGGTACTCAGCCGATCGACATAGCACCAAATCAGTTGCTGTCTCCTCCGTTGTCAGTATCTGGAGGCATCCTGGGTCATAGTCTTCCTCATCGACCTGATCTCAGAGGGTCTTCTCGCACTCCGAATCCGCCGATGCGTACATGGTCAGCAGGAAGCCTCGACCTTCCTGTGCGGCCACCCGATGTAAGCGTCTCCCCTGTGCGTCCAGACATATTACGCGATAAACGTCGTTCGGTGTCTGGCATGATGCGTCGCGATTCGGCCAATGTGCGTCGTTTCTATTTTGAGCGATGCACCTCACCAAACTTTTGCACAGGTGGATATGCTTCAAGGGGGTCTCTCACGGGACACAGCCGGCCCGACACTTTCGAAATGGGATCAACTTCCTCTGGCACCTGAGCTCCTGCGTTCATTGAACAAGTTTGGGTGAGCGTCGGCTCTTTCTATAGCTTCCGTCGTTCTAAACCACTACCAGCGTTGGTCCTCCAAATAAGATACAGCAACGAGCTCTCCCCTTCCTACTTCGTGGATCAGATATCATTGCCCAGGCGCCTCCCACACAGGAGCGTATCGCTGCTTATGTGATTCCCGCCATCCATGTTGCCCTTGTGAACACCATCGGGCGGGCTCCGCATCGAGGGCCTCTGGTTGTAATGATATCAACGACAGTCGACCAGGCCACTCAAGCACAGCGTATGATTCGTGATTTGGGGGGACCTGTCGGTATTCGATCTGCGCTAGGAGTCGGTTCACCGAACAATGATATCAGCCAAGAACTACGCTTGCTCCAGCAAAACATGCCTCACATCATCTGTGGTACACCGCAGAAGCTGCATGCCCTTTTCACCGCACAAGGCGGACTCGTCGGATCCCAAGTCCGTTTCCTTGTACTAGATGAGGTCGACCAACTCATCGCCCGGAACCTCCATGATTTCATCTTTAATATTGTCAAATTACTTCCGTCGCCTCGTCGCCTTTCGGGCTCTGGGGGTTCGACCGGAAATCTCACGTCTCCGTCGCAGACCTCTCTATCAACTTCGCTTGACTCTAACGGTTCATCTCCCGCAGTTCGGAGACTATCCAGTATCGGTTCGCTGCCCAATATTACAGACAGCGCGAATAATCTTAATCAATCAATCGAACGCCAAACCGCACTTTTTTCGAACACCGTTCCTCAAGATGTTCTCAACTTGGCGACTGCGATCCAACTGAGGGAGCCAGTTCGTGTTCTTGTGCGTCGTGATGGCAATGTCACTCATGCCGACACGAGCCAAGGCGCTAGAGGCCTCAGGCAATTCTATCTGTATCTTGCCTTCACTGCTGGTGGCCGTTCGGAATCGATACCATCTACTTCTGGTGGCGGCCTCGGTATCATTGGCTCAGGCCGCGGGGGGGCCTCTACTGCCGAGACAGTGCAAGCGCGCGAGTGGAAACTAGACGCACTCGGCGATCTATTTGAGGACATTGATGTGCCTCAGGCTATCGTGCATGTGGGCGGCGTGGCGGCGTTAGATGCCGTCGTCTATAAGCTAGCAAGTCGGGGCCTGGACCCCGTTCCACTTGTACGTCCAGTTTCGCGTTTTGTCTTGTGTTTCAATGACTGTTCGTGGTATTGACGACTGGCTCGGCAACTATAGCATAGCGACATGAATGCTGGATCCAGGATGGCAGCTTTGAATAAATTTCGTGTCTCGCAAGGGTTTGCACGACCTCTCATGGCCAAGGTCCTTGTCGTCTACGACGTACAATTGAAGGGTCCTGAGGTTACCCATATTCCACTCGTCATCAACTACGGTGAGTAAACACTTCGATATGCTCCGTGTCTCGCTGACCAGCTTTTCAAAGATCTTCCCAAGGCTGTCGAAGAATATGCTCACCGGTACATTCACATTTCATAGTCATCATTTCCCTCATTGACCCTTCGCGCAGCGTTGCACCCGCTATCGCACCCAGCCATTCTCGTGGTGGAGTCATCGTCAACTTTGTGACAGCCACAGGCGGTGACGTTGAAATGCTACGCTCCATAGAGTGCTTTTACAAGTAAGTTTGTCCGTCCTACAGTCCGATTTTTCCCATTTACTGACTAGATCGTACAGAATCAAATGCGTATGCGCTTGTCCTATCATTCATCGAAATAGCGGCGCTGACGCATGTCTTTACCTCTAGCCTGAAGTACCGATGAGCCTCCGCGACATTGTTTAAATTGCCCTCGACGTTCTTGTATCCCTACATCTACCTCTCTTGCTTGCTTGCTATCTCGTTCCCATTTCTCCGCTTAAGCTGTTATATCAAGTCGCTATACGCGTTGTTCTATACCCCTTCCATGCACCCATACTATCCGAAAACTGTCTCCTTACCGGTCCATTGCTGCCTCTCTTTTCACACACTGTATAATCTCTGGCTCTGCTCTCTGTCTGTTGCTTTGCTACTGAATCACCACTTTAATTGATTCCGAACTGGATAGCCCATATTCTCAATGTACCATCTTCACTGCAACTCGCGAAGTGCTTTCGTTGTGTCTCCTTATTTATGCTCCAGGCCAATTGATGGATGTGGTCCGTGTGCGCTTGCCTAGGTTCGAACAATAACTTTAGTATGCTGTCAATGTTATTTGGAACAGTGGTTACATACTCCGTTTTGATGCTCAGGACATGTTTCCAGTCAGGAGGTGAGGACGATGAATATATGAGTATATCTCCTGTCTCGAGGCCAATCGCCAAAATTTGCCTGCGACGCGCAAGATGAACTGCCTATTCACAGAAAGATTGTCACGACCTACTTGTCTTGGTTTGTTGTAAATGCGACTGCCGTAGCTGCCTCTGGTAATTTCAACGTTGCAACTGCCGTCCATTGGTCTTCGCTCTGATCTTTGGGGCACCAGATCTTGACCTGTTTTCCGTTTTAAGTAGCACAAAGGGCCATCCAATGCAAAAAAAACGGACCGTCTTATCTCGCGATGCTGTAGCAAACAGGTTACCTTCAAGGGCCCAGGCACAGTCCCAGACAATCCGCAGATGTGATCTGTCCGCTGCAATGGGAATATAACCGTCTGGTACCAAGGCTTGAATACATCGCAGTCGACACGATGCCACACGGTATGAGCTCACCTCCTTCTGCTTGAAGACGGAAAAGCCGCCATGTACGGTCTCGCGAGACAGTGAGGACATGACGGTCGTCTGGACTGAAAGCAATGCGCGTGACAGTCAGACCATGGCCAGCCAGCGGTTCACCGATGGGCCGGAACTTCTCGGTATCGTAAATACGGACGACGGCGTGTTTCGGTGTTGTTGCTTTGCATGCCGTGGCAATGAGCTTGTGTGAAGACGATACACTGATAGTGACAGACTAGATGGGCGTCGGCTTTGTGTATGGTTGGTGAGGAGGACAAACTGCAGTGCACACCTCGTAACCGTGCCCGAACACTTTCTCGGTCTCAGGCCACAACGTCATGGCTGCTAACTCCCCCTCGAAGGGACGTCGAGTCACCTCCGCGCTATTTGCGGTCGGAAGCTGCGCATTAGCTAGATACAGTGTATGAAATGAAACGACAATCTAATCAATGATGTATCCACTTACCATCGGTAATGGCTTTATTTGACAACCCGAGCGGCGGTACGCTGGCGGTGACTGGTCTTCCCTCCTATTCTCGGCCAAAATTAGCGGATTCAAATCAGGAAGGAGGATGGGCTGATTTTTGTGTACCTCACTGACACCCGAATCAGCTACGCCAAGATTCTTCACGGAACGAACAAAAGTCCCTGGAGCTTCGAACACACGCGCAACCTTCTCATCTGCAACGCTCACAAAACGCATCGGATCAATAAATCCCACACCAACAAGATCATATCCGTGCACTTGTGGACGGCTGAGTTCGTGCCATGAACAAAGGTGTGTGCTATCACGACTTCCTGTTAGAAGAGCAGCATGAATCCGAGTCGTTTGATCCAGCCTACTCTGAAGAGTCAGCCTATTGTATCAGAAACCAGAAGTAAAGGGACGAACCCCACGGAGATGAGATATTCTCCTCCTGGGCTCCATGCAATTCCTCGCACAGGGCCCGCGTGTCCAGATATTGCACCAGTCTCCGTCCATGTTTCTGTGCTATCCCCATCGGAGGCCTCGCAATGCCAACGTCTCCATCCTCCTGCCCAACCCCAAGCAAGTATATCCCGTCCGCTGCATGCCCACAGGCCGCCAACGAAACCACCAAGGCGCTGTCCCCCAACATCGCCAAAGCGTTGCCGGTTGACCCAGATGGCTGACGAAGCATCTGGGTGAGCTGTGACGATTGGGGAAGGGGACCAGATTATAACGGAAGAATCCGATGAAGTGGAAAGCAACGTCAATTGTGATTCTTGTGAAGAGGGCGTCATATTTTGCAGTACCCGCCAGGTGAGAGCAGTAATGCCCGCTTCGTGGCCAACGAGTAGAGCATCGAATGTGATAGAAAATTGCTGTCGGCTATATGCAAGAGGCATAAGATACTGCTGATTCATGACCTAGAGCATCTACATACCTTCCATCGTCGCCTTTCACGGTTAGGACATGCTTCTTCAACGAAATTTGCCTGCCACCATCCCCTGCGTCTGAAAGCTCACCCAACGATGCCTCAAATGCATCGAGAAGCTCGTCGCTTAGAGCATCTGTGGCACTATCAGCGTTCGAGCTGAATTTTGTGACAGGATCGATGTTCCATAGGCGGATTGTCGCATCTTGGGAGCCTGAGGCGAGGATGAGCGGATCGGTGGTAGTGAGGGGTGATCGGAATGACAGGCTACGGATCCAGTCCTCATGCCCCGATAGCGTTGCGGAATATACGAACTGGGAAGCAATGGTGGGCATCCATCAGCACAATATGTTTGATGAACTCACCTTTTCTTCAGAGCGAAGGTATATGTATATGTTTTTGTCTGTACCTGAAATCGCAAGTACAAGAGCTATTGATTGTAGATAGTGATGAGCTATAAAAGTCTATACGACGTACATGCGCTTACCTTTGCTTTGCGGTAGATTTGCAAGCTCGAGAGACAGGGGGTAACGTCCATTCAGCGCGATGGACTCTACTTCCTGCAGTTCATCTATGATAGCAGGTCAGAAACCTGGGAATCTCCTCTCTTTCTGTGAGGCTCGGTCGGCCATACCTTTTGTGCTGAAATCCCATACCTTCACTGTTGAGTCCGATGCCCCAGTGACTAGATACCCTGCCTGGAGATTTGTGCAAAGAGCGGACACCGCCTTGAGATGAGCTTGCACACTCAAAACCGATATCCACTATATCGACACAGATCGGGGTCGGAGAGCATGAAAAAGATCATAGTATTTCAGTATGTTTGAAAGTATGTACATGAGCAGCGACCATGCCTTGCCATCACTATTCAACTTCCATATGCGCACCAAGCCCGTGTCATCTGCACTTGCGAGATGTGCGTCATCGATAAATTCCACGCAGGTGACAAGACCAGAGTGACCGACTAGCGTCTCGAGCACACCATGGTCACTTGGATCCTACAACAATATTCAACCGTGAGTGGTCCAGAATAACAAGTAGAGACACACCTCTAGATCCCAGAGTGCGACGAATTTACCAGAACCATAAGCCACGAGAGAAGATGATGAGGACGACGCGGCGTGATTAAAACGATTTATGGAGGCCGAGATATACTCGATCGAGGCATTCACGGACATTCCAGACAGATGTGATGTTACAAAGAGCTAAAAATTTGAAGAATATAGCCAGGAGGTTATCCAGTCAGATGATTTAGGGTCGTGGAAAGTTGTGTTTAGTGCTGTTCAGCGTTCAAACGTTCGCTAGCGGTAACGGCACGGCTGTTCAGAGAAAATCGGGCGCGAATGATCAAAAGTACCACGTGATGACCACTAATGGCCATGTGATCGCATCTGTTGTCGGCAAAGGTCGCGTTCTGATCTCGCTTTGACTAGGTCCGCGCCATGACTATCCTTGGAGTGGGAGTTGATGTCCTTCAGTTGTCCAGAATCACATCACTGATGAGCCGTCGGACTCCCGAACGCATGGCCCTCCGCATCCTCAATTCACACGAGCTCAGGCTTTGGAGTGCACTCCCACCTGACGGTGCACAAAGGATGCGCTATATTGCTGTCAGGTTCGAATCATGACCTAAGTTCTCCTTTGGTAGCTTCTTATGGGAACATGTGGGCGTTGCAGATGGGCAATCAAGGAGGCGGCATACAAGGCGATCTACCATGTGGTCAAGCCGACATGGAAAGAACTCTCGTATAGGACGATTGAGGGACAGGGATCCAAACCCTTTCTCATATACGAACCTTTAGATATAACAGAAGCGGTCAAGTTAGGGCAACTGCATGCGTCAGTGAGTCACGACGGGGACTATGTTTTTGCGACGGTAATTGCAGAAGCAAGGGAAGATGCACTTTCGTATGTAAGCAGATATCTCAACCTTCGACCATTGCACGAGCGTGCCAGGTTGACACTGTCTTAGTGATATCTTGTTCATTCCTAGTGATACAATGTACAAATTCCCTGCAGGACTCATGACTGGTCCTGCTTCTCGAATACCGCGGCTTCAGTTTCAGGATTCGGCCACCACGGTGTAACGTGCCAACTCTCCCCTTCACCTGCTTCTGCTGACTCTCCCTTTGTGCCAGCGACCTCAAATTTTATGTCTCCCTTCATCAACCCTTGCACATGTTCTAACCGCAGAAGTGCCAAACCAACACCTTTCGCAGTACTTAGCAATTTGCCTGACCCACGTGGTCGTACTAAACGTCCTTCGGGAGGCGGGTGTGTGAGAGATGCGCGGATGTCGACTCCAGGACTGAAATCTTGATTATTGGATGCTAGTGATGGAATTCTGTGAAGTAAAAGGTGGTGATGAGGCTGAGAGTGACAAGTATGTAGATGCCTTTCTAAAACTTACGGAGGAGGATGGATAATAACAGGAAATATGCGTTTACGAATGACGCCCGTGTGGTATGTGCGGACAGTCAACTCTTGGCCAACATAGCAGCCTTTCCGGAAGTCCACTGAGATAGCTCATTGGTCTAGTTCTTGACTGGGAATATAGATGAAGACATACATCCACTCATGATGTCTAAATTTGAGTCCATTGGAAAGGCGTGCATCGGAGGAATATCCGACGATCCTTCCGGTACACCGTGAATGATTCGATGGAAGCTGTATTCCTCAGCAGACACTTCGTCGTGTGTCCCTGCCTCCTGCGCTACTCTCATGAGCGCCCATCATTTCGAGTAGCAGATTATTCGCTGAAGACAAGACGCGGCACTCACGTCGATCATCCTTCCTCACTAACCTCCGCAAACCCATCCCAGGAGCTCTTCTATCCCTGATCAGCTCGTTTTCACTTCCCCAAGGCCAACTAGCTTGGTCCCATATTGGCTCAATCACCCCACTCCGCGCCAAATCCCACTTCAATGGCCGGTCTTGATGAGGAGTTCCTTCACCGTGCCATGCAGCCCAAATGTCATGCTCTTGTGTGACATCGCGCACGCGGACTTTCGAGCGTAAGACGTGGCGTTTGAGGTATGCAAGAAGATCCGGAGCGCCAACAGAGGCGGCGAGGGAATCGTATTCAAGTACATATGCAGATTGGTGTTTTGGGTCGTAAGTTGTGTAGACGAAGACATCATAGAGCACTCTGCCCTATGTTTATGTTATATTGTCCGATATAGCCGCAGATACATAACTCTATGTCTTACCTGGGCATGTAGAAAGGAAGAAAAAAAAGGTGCTCGAGGAGCATTGCCGACGGTAGTCGAGAGCAATCCGTTCAAGAATTCGGGTGCTTGAGCACCAGATATGGATATAAGGGACCTTTGTGGGATTCGAGCCACAGATGGCATCCTCTTGATGAGCGCCGCGACAGAAGTGGGCGTCGGCATTGTTTAAGTCGATGAGCAATGGGTAAGATTGAGCTTAGAAGGTGGTGCACATCCGCTTCCGTTGCGTAGACTCACGTGGGCGCGAACTTCAACTTACACCATGTCCAACTATTGCGACCCCCTTCTTACTGCGCTCAAAGACTGCCTCCTTCACTCTGATTGCGTCCTAAAGCAAGGATATCTTCCTTCGCAGTGCCTCAAGGAACACTTCGACGATCTTCCTGAGCAATGCAAATCACTTCGTCAAGCTACGTTTGAGTGTAAGCGTGGTATGGTGCGTCATCCTAGTGATGCCCATGGTCAAGCGGTGTGTCTGATCACTTTTGGAACGTGCTCTACCGTCAGCTGGACATGAGGAAGCGATTTAGAGGGAACAATGCAGGCGCGGTTGCGGCTAAGATTAAGGAGCAGAGTACATCGAGTGCCGATTCCGTGTCAAGCGTACCTACAACATAAGACTGCATTCTAATACACCCTCCTCGCCTCTCCTAATAACGCATCTGTTTCATCCTTCTCATCGTCGGTCTCGGGCAGTTGTTGTCAAGAAGGGAATCGTATTACGAAGCCGCTCGGCATCACGGGCCATACGGGCATCCTCGCGTCTATCTCTGTTCATCTGCTTCTTGTTCGCTATCCATTTTCTACTTAAGGGAGATTCAACAGGTTAATGTTCCGCGCTCCTTTTTCGACCTCCCGCCCTCTCACCAGATTGACTGCCCTGACCCGCACTCTATCCATGTCCTCCAACTCTCTCAAACTTTACACTGCATCAACACCCAATGGGCGTAAAGTCTCTATCTTCCTTGAAGAGTTGAAGGCTGCATACGGTATCGAATACGAGTGCGCTCAGTTTTCGACTTTTTCTTCATACACCTCTAAGCTATCCCTATGTTGCAGTGTCCAGAGAATCGATATGAGCAAGGTTGAGCAAAAAGAACCCTGGTTCATCAAGATCAACCCGAACGGCCGAATCCCTGCGATCGTGGACCGCACACGGGGGGGACCTGATGGCTTTCCTGTGTTTGAAAGTGCCGCTATCCTGCTATACCTTGCGCAACACAAGGACACGGAACACCGTTTCTGGTTTAAGCCGGACGAACAACCTGAAGATTACAGTGAAATGTTGCAGTGGATTTTCTTCGCTGTGAGTGGTTTTCTTCCTAGGCATATATGGGTTCGTTTGTGTGCAGGTGAATGTGGTGATACTAACGTTGGCTTCATGTATGATCAGCATGGAGGGATTGGGCCAATGCAGGGCCAAGGTAGGCAGCGTGCTCTGACTAACTTTTCAAATATAGTGTACTGACACGTGGGGGTCTAGCCGGTCATTTCATACGCCTGTCTGAAGACATACCGTACGGTAAAAAACGTGAGGCTCCTTCCTTTTTTCATCTTCATGCCTTCAGTCATCGCTTATCCACGGAACAGGATACACGGACGAGACGAAACGTCTGTATGGTGTCCTTGAGATTCGTCTGAAGGATCGCGATTACCTTGCCGGGCCTGGACGCGGTGTCTACAGCCTCGCTGACATAAATTCGTATCCGTGGTTTGTTCTCAGCTTCTAGTTCCTCATCCTTAATTAGTAATGGTTGTCTTTACCATAGGGTTGCGATGCACAATTATGTCAATATCTCCTTAGACGAGTGGCCAGCGGTAAAAGTGAGTGCCATTATGTTTTTTCTTGAGGAAAATTCACTGATATGCCGGGGCTTCGTAAAGGCATGGGTCGAGCGGATGGCTGAAAAACCTGCTGTGAAGTCTGGGTGGCAGATTCCTGCGTGAGATCGTCCGACGACCTTCTGTGAATCAAATACCACTATGAGTGTTATAATTCAATGACATGTTCCCTGGATGCTTTCTATGCTCACACGATCTAAGCACTGCTTATAGTCGCGAGAATTTTAATGAGTCGCTTGCATTATGACTGTCAGCATGGAGTATTCGACGGTATTCGGCTGCTTTCTGATTTCTCACCCATGTCCTCGCTCGGATGACTGAAAACGCGATTAGCAATTACTTGGGAGATGATCGATGATTGGTAAGGCACGTTGAATGCTGACGCCATCCATGTCATGGATTTGGATCGTCGTTAAATATGGCTCTGTCTGTTGCAGTATTGCTGCCCTCAACATCCTCAATACCTTCTAGTGCCCGCCCCTTCCACACTGCTCGTCATCAATGTCATCAAAGAATGCGATAACTCTCTATTCTTTAGGCACGCCTAATGGTCACAAAGTCTCAACTTATCTGGAGGAGCTGAGGGCAGCGTATGGCCTGGATTATGAGTAAGTTTGTATTGCCGTTTGCCCTACTTGTTTGCTTCAATGTTTCCATTATGTCGACTGATGCGTCCCGTAGCGTCTACAAAATTGACTTCGGCAAGACGGAACAGAAAGAGCCTTGGTTTATCGAGATCAACCCGAACGGGCGCATCCCTGCAATCGTCGACCGCTCACGTGGAGGGCCTGATGGCTTCTCTGTATTTGAGAGCGCGGCAATCCTGCTGTACTTAGCGCAACACTATGATAAGGAGCACCGTTTCTGGTTCAAGCCGGAAGAGCAGCCGGACGACTACAGCGAGATGCTGCAGTGGATTTTTTTCGCGGTTAGTACTCTAACCTACACGGTAGATGAGTATTAGAGCGATCGATGACCTGGTCTCCTTGGATTTAGCACGGAGGAGTTGGTCCGATGCAAGGACAAGGTATTCATCTATTTTTCGATTATTTCATGCTCAAGTTGATAGCTTATTCGCGCTAGCTAATCATTTCGTGAAATTTGCTCCTGAGGATATTCCATACGGCAAGAAGCGTGAGTTTGTCTTCATCATTCTCGTGCTCGCGTGCCCGTGCTGATAATCCCCGCCCGTTAGGCTATGTCGATGAGACAAAGCGCTTATACAACGTTCTTGAAATACGCCTGAAGGACCGCGACTATCTTGCGGGCCCAGGGCGTGGGATGTACAGTCTTGCTGATATCAACGTCTACCCTTGGCAAGTATTCTTTTGAAATTGGTTCGCTTGTGTACCTTATGCTGATCGATTTCGATGAATCCCGACAGGGTTGCTATTCGCCACTTCGTTGATATTTCTGTGGACGAATGGCCTAATTTGAAGGTGAGAAGATGTCTGAGTCTCAGAGTCAAGACGCGTGCTTATTATTTTTCTGCCGCTAGTCATGGGTCGAGCGCATGGCGGAGAAACCTGCAGTTAAAGCTGGATCTCAGGTTCCGGCGTAGGCGCGTTGCTTGGGAAAGAATATGTAGAGCATATCCTGGAGTGATGATGGATTGTAATTTAACGAGCCACCGAGAATTCAATCTTATCTGATAATATCGTGAGAACTTTGTGCCTATGCCAGTCGTTGGATCAGCAACACTGAACCGCCTTCAACCTCTTCGACAATGAGTCACTAGTCACTGCGAGTTTCCTTTAGAATGCCTTGAACGATTCTCGCGAATTAACCTTTAATCCATGATACTACGTCAGCTCCCCCGCCTTTGCCGCCGGATAGCAACGGACTCTCATCACTCTCCTTCGACTGCAATATCCGTCGTTACCCCGGCACCTCACAGAGATGCACACACCAACCATCCTAATATATCTGACCCTCCATCGCCAGCCTCGTTATCTATATCTGCCTCTCTTCATCCTTTGGATCCGACAATACCACACTCTGCGTCATCTCCTCCCAACCTTCTAGTTCCGCCAGAGCCTCCACTGGTTCATAGCGGGAACGGGCTGACATCAGCATACCATAGTCCACCATTCGATACTCATCGCTTCTTCGCTGCGCTTGAACAAACTTTTCCGACGCCCACTGCGCGTAGTCTCATGCGTGCTACCCGTGCCCTCCTCGTCGACCGCATAGGGCGCGTCAAGCGCGAAGGGCTCATGCATCAGGACTTGGATAATGTATGGCACTCATTCTGTCAAATATCTGAATAATCTTACAGACTAGACCTCCTCTTTTCGCCTCGGGCGCTCATAGCAAGCTTACCTATTTCGTGCGGCGTTATCAGAGATGCGCACTGAGATGACAATGCGCACTCGGAGCGAGTCTGCTACGATAAGCACTCAATGTGCTGCCTTGAGACGGGAGGCAGATGCGCTAGATGCCAAGATGAAGGAAGACCTCACGACTCTCAAGCATGAGTGCGTCTCTGTCTATGCATCAAAATTTCAATCTTCGTACAGCTTGCTTTCACAGAATTCAGATGGATGTGGACAGCCGAAAGAATGAAGCCAGGAACGAGAGCAAGCGGCAAGACATTGCCATTGAGGTGAGTTATCTTGTGATCTCGATTCAAAGGACCACAATCCGAACATGTTCTTGCGCTCGACATCAGGAAGTCCTCAATAAATCGCTTGTCACGCTTTACGATCTACGGTCTGACATGGAAGAAGTCAAGTGGGATAACATGCGCAAGTCTGTCGGTGAGCTGTTCTATTCCTTTCTATCTATGTTGCGGTCGTTTATGAATAACTCTTGTATAGCTGCACTTTCTGCGTTTCTCGTCGTGATCGTGTTGTCCATGGAACTACGTCCGAGGCCAAAGCCTGCACCCCCACCGATGCAGAGCGTACCGCATGTCGTACCGCAGCCACATTTTGAAGGCCTCGACAAGATGGACTCGATCACCTAGTTCGTCAACCATGTGCTTCGTTGTCGACTGTGGGCAGCATGTGGAACGTTCAACGAAGGTGGGTTGGACTTGAAGGAAGCGTGCCACATTGTTGTACAAAGTAGAACTTTACACTACAGAAGACTGTCTGGATGTAATGTCGGGGGCATAGATATTGTACAGAAGCCACCCCACCGTCATTCCTCTCATCCCCCAGTCCCCCCTCATCGCCACATATACGCGTACAGCCCGTCTACCAAACCCAATATTATTCGTGCATATTTACAAGATGTCATTTCATTTCGAGCTTCTCGAGCTGGTCTGCGATTGCATCGGCATTAACGGGGTCAGTGGCGTCCGTAGATAGTAGATCTATCGATTTGCCCTTGGCTTTGGAAGTCACCGAGGTGCCTGGTGTAGCAGTTTGGGTTGGAGGTGTCTGTTCGCTCGTGGAATGATCCGCTGTGCCAACTTTCACGGCACCTCCGTCCTCCCCCTCGTCACTATCCCAGCTTTCCCGCACCACTTCCTCTCGCTTTTCCTTCCTCTTCTCCTTACGCTTCTCGTTCTTCTTCGCGCTCTTCGTCGTTAATTTCGAGGCGTCCCTTTGAGGCGTTGAAGGGGGTGGAGTCCATCCTATGATGTGCCCGATTGGCAGCGCGCGCGAGTCCAAGGCTTGTTGGCGGGTCCCCCGAAATCGCTGGACGTCTTCTTGGGGGGTGTAGCCCGGACGAATGCGGATCTGTTTGCGCACACTAGCAACGCGTAGGGATGCGTGGTCAGATTCACCGCATGCGGGAGGCAAGAGGCGGAATCGGAATCGGGGCCTTAGAAGATGTGGGGTGTAGGGCGCGGCGAGGCGCAACTTACGTTCCATCGGGGCGTCGCGATTCGGGGATGACACGCTCGAGGGTGCGTGGGTCAACGGCAATGCCTGCCGTCGATTGCTTGGGGTGAAGCGGTGGTTTCGACATGCAATGGTTGAAGATGCGAGAGATTGAAGGCGATCGGGGTGATCTCGAGAGGGAATAGGTCGGAGTTGAACCTAACCTGCCAGTTTCTTTACTGGGAGACCTGTCTTGAACCTCACCTTGAAACAGTTACGGCTGTGTTTATTAAACCCACCATCAACTCCCATTTGGAAGATACATATCAGCCATGCGGTACGCTGTCCTTGTAACGGGTCCTGCTGGTGCAGGAAAATCGACTTTCTGCGGTGCAATGATGACCCATATCGCCACTTCGAAGCGCACTGCACATCTAGTCAACCTCGACCCTGCCGCTGCACCGGAGAGCTTCGAGTATGCACCATCTATAGACATCAAGGACCTCGTTTCGCTCGAGGACGTAATGGGAGAGCTGGGATATGGACCGAATGGTGGTCTGGTGTATTGTTTTGAGTGAGTGAGTGCATTCGGGACCTTCGTGTGGCGTAGTGGAGGAAGAAATGTCCCTGATAATGGTGCTGGGGGTTCCCAGGTATCTATTGGAGAACATGGACTGGTTTGAAGAGGAATTGGGTGAATACGACGATGACTACCTGATCATTGACTGTCCCGGTGTGTTCTCCTTTTGCACATCTCTAGTTGGGCTTCAATATCTCATAGGATACACCGCCATCCAGGCCAGATTGAGCTATACACTCACCATCCATTCCTTCCCACCCTCGTTAAAAACTTGAGTCGCCTTGGTATGCGCACATGCGCCGTGTACCTTCTTGAATCGCAATTCATGGAAGACAAGTATAAATTCTTTAGGTATGCCTTCCCCCTGCTCTTGATGAGGTTTGGAAGAGATTGATGACTATGCCTCTCATCAGTGGTGTCTTGTCTGCTATGTCCGCCATGGTGAACCTTGAAGTACCTTGGATCAACATCATGTCGAAAATGGACCTCGTCACTGGTAGCTCCGAGGATCCTGCTGGTGGACGCAACGGCATCCGAACGCGACGTAATATTGCACAGTATGTTGACTGACCTGTTTATCTTTTGCCTTTCTTGCTCCTTCAATGAATGGCTTAGTTTTCACCGCTTTAATGTGTGCCTTCCGCCTCACTAATTCAAAGCCTCAACGCCTTGTTTACCGATTGTTAATTCACTGCTTCGTCTCTGCTACAGATATCTCGATCCGGATCCTCTACTTCTCGCCGCGCCCCGGGGACGTGAAGATGCAAGGGGTCTAGAGAATCCCAAATTCCATGCACTGAATCAAGCACTTGTGCAGCTGGTAAGTTCGCTCGTTTCCTTAGTCATCCGATTCATCGTCTCTCCGTCTGTTCTATGATGATCATCAGAATATGGTAGTCGCTTGAGTGACCCTTCAGCCCTACCTATTGCGCATTTCTCTTTCTTGCCTTTTCGATATCATTTCCATGATGTTCACGACTTCACGCGTGTCATATAGATTGAAGATCACCCGCTTGTCTCATTCTTGCCACTCGATCTGACAAGCCCGGACTCGATCGAACTTGTACTCAGCAGTATCGACTATAGCATGCAGTACGGCGAGGACGAAGAACCTAAAGAGGTGGGTACCTTTGCACTGCTCATCATATGAAAATATCCCGACGGAATGCTGATGTTTTAATAATCTTTCGCTCTGCGGTTCATCCGTTGTCGACCTGCCAATTTCTCTCGCATATCATAGCCACATGATTTGGATGCGGGCGATTTTCCGGATGAACCTTAGGAATGGTAGCGGTGTTTTTCTTTGACCCGCCATGCAGCTATCAACTGGGGAGGCTATTGCGAAGGCAATGTCTTTAGCCTTGGCGCGCCTGTGATGCGTGAACTGTCAATATGGGAAAAAAGATGTACACCCTAGGCATAGTGGTAAGATCCCGTGTAGCCTTATCGCTTGTAACCACGTATCAAGAATTAGTGGTGCTGTATCGCTGATGCTCAATTTTATACATCAGGACTGTGCTTGAAATGGCCATGCTCGTGTATCTCGGGGCCTATGAACGCATGAGCGCTACTGAGAAGGCACGCAGTGGCGTAGATGCTGTTCCCCTGTGCATCCGATGAGTATGAGCCTCTCACAGGCCCAGTCAGTCTTGGTCAGTCATATTATGCTGAATTTTGAATATACAAGCAACCTCTCCGCGCCAGAACGGGGCACGGATCCACCGTCTTGCTCTCGGTTTCGGGACCTCACACTTAGTCATGTCGCAAAAGTATTCAATGCGAGTCACTAATCACAGCTACGCTCAATGCGTACTGGGATTCACCAGGAGTCATCATGGTATGTGCGTTTCAAATCAAAGCTGGCCCTCGACTAGGTAACCTTCTCCTCGGACGAGTGACGCTCAGCGCTCAGGGGTACTCGGGTTCGACGTTTAACGTTCAACCCCGGTGCTGGTTCCCTCTGTAAGCACCTTGATACTCTTCTGTCCCTTCTCGTCCACGCGAATATGATGTAATTAAACCAGGAGGCTGTTTTTTGAATCGGTGTCGTCCGCTCACAGAGCTTCGTTGTATTACGAGTTCTCTTCTGTCGATCGGTTTCGTTGACAGGTTGGCATCTATCATTAGACCCTAATGCATGTTGGTCCGAGCTTGTTGCACATCGCTCATCGGCGTTAGTCGATGATTACAGACCGATACAGTGTGCGTCTGCAACTGAATCACAGAAGGGAAGTGGGAAACCCAAGGTGGTCACAGTGCGGCGGGAATAGTTGGGCGCTGTTACTATCTTTATAGGTCATGTAGATAAGAGCGGACGGGAGCAATATCTCCTGCTTCCGTCAAATTTCTCAGGATCCTCACTCGCCTGGACCGCCCTCAGCGATTAGGGAGGATCTATTCGCTTACCAGCAGGGGATTGGCGTGTCCTCATCGCAATGGCATTACTTCCCGAGTACTCGACGTCCTGCCTTTGATGATCGTGTTGCATCAAGTCTTTTGCCCTGCCGTCATCATCCTCGACTACAGATTCCCCGGTTTTGAACAGGCTGGATCGTACCTCTCGACCGTATCTGTTCGGCGGACAAAACGAAGCAGAGTGCAGGAACAGTCCCACACCACACACTATGACCATTTGGCACGTTGTATCTTCAACTAAGGAGCCCGTTAACGATGACAGCATCCGCCGTCGGGTCATTTGTATTTCTTCGCTCTGACATAGTACGCCTCAACTCTCCGATTCGAAGATTGAATATATATATTCTTCTGTACCCTCTAATATCTTTACTGATTGCTCAAGTGCTCACGCACGACACATTACAATGGACGTCGGTATCGAGGAGATATATGTGTATCTTGCGTTAACCACAAGGAGAGCGCAGGTAGAAAACTGCAGCGGGAAGCGAGCATCTTCTTTCCAGCCTCATGCGCTTCCAAATAGGGGCGTGAAAACTTGAGTGCCTGAGAAGGCCTCCTGAGAATGCGATGACTAGAAGCAACGATCACACCTTTTTGAATGACGTCTATCGCGCCCTGTTTCTTCTTTCCTCCTGAGTAGCCAGGAGCGCCATGATGCCCTGAAAAATTCGATTTTATCTATGAGATGCCAACAAGTGAGGGCATAAGATGATGCGGTCAACGCCGCAAGTCGGGCAAGCATGCTCCGTCTTGAAGCTTCATTGAATCCGGGTTGAAAGTGAGAGTTGAGAGTCCATCAAAAATACTAGTCGGTCTGAACTCTCGCCCACATGATGTGGGGAAGCATGCTAATGTAGACCTAAGAAGGGGACCATGCGCCGATCTTGAATGAAACAGTAACCTTGTCCTCAGCACGTGTCCACCTCGTGCTCATCACCTCTTTCGTCATCGACCCAGCGCAACACGCATCCTTGACCTGGACACCAACCGAGTGGTGGAACCGCAGTCTGCTCTGGTATGCAAGGTTTCAGCTGAGCCGGTATGATTTGATCCCCGCGCTCCGTTTTCGCCAGAGTCTACCAGCCCTCTTCGATGGTGTGTCGAGCCTATCAACCGGTATGTCAATGTATCCCTTCTGAACGAACGGGACTGGCGCGTCCGCAGCCCCAAGCACTGTTGGAGAAGATTGATTTGTAAAGATTGATACGCGCTGTGGTACTCGCATTGAATTAGTTAGCGCGCAGTAGAGGGCCTGTGATAAACGGCACGGATCACAGGTTGGCTGTGGATGTCGGATTGGGCAGGAGTGGCATGTTGCGGGAGAGTATATATATGCGTGTGGAATTGAGTGCATCAAAGAGGCCGTGTGATTGGCGCATAGTTGAGTATGAGTTTGAGGTATATTCGCGCGCGCATATAATTTGAGTGATGTGTATCGATGAAACGCAGAGTAAGTCGAGCGCAGAAATGACGTCTGAAGGCAATGCGATATCGGATCCTAAGACGCCGTGAGTCGAGGGGATAGCTGGCCGCGAGGCATGGGATCGTAGAGTCGAGGAGCAAATCTCGAGAGGTTATGGAACGGTAGTAGACGTTGCAGCCTGTGCTGAAGACAAACCAGAGCTAGAGGTCACAAGAAAGATAAAAATGACGAGGGGTGATCCACCTCCAGATCAAGAACCAAGCTCAGCACGGAGATTCATCGAACTCGGTGGGGCAGTGAACACCAGTGCTGACATATGGCGGGTCGTGCGGAGGTCGCCGCTGCGTGCTGTTGCTCCCTGTTGCTCCAGCGACGTGAATGAGGTAATACACAAACTGAAATTCACCGGCACCGACCGAGACACACAAAGCCCACAACAAAGCAGTACAATTGGAACAAAGCGAGGCTACGATTCCTGGACATGCGTCCTCGGACAAGATCAGGACCAGTTTAGACAAATGGCGGGGGCAGTGCATTTGTAGCTCTTTTGGGGGATCTGTGTAACACGAGGTAAGGCGGGAGGGGCGGGTGGGGCTTACTGACGACACAGGAATGGACACAGCCTCGAGCCTCATCAGGGGTGGTCTACAGCTGGACGTTGATTTTGAGGGTGGTGGTGCACATGTGCGGAATAGGCGCAGATGGCAAGTAAGTCGACTCCTCAGATACATGATAGGGAACTGACGCGCCCATAGCAGAATGGAAGGGACTGATGCCTGTGAGAGAGGACAGAGAGCAGGCTCCCTGTATAATCAGTGGGGTAGATTGGAAGGTGGCCTTGTGGAGGCGGTGGAGGAAAAGGTATGTGGAGAAAGTAAGCAAACTCGGTGACGGGTCATAACTGGTCACCGGCCAGGATGAAATTTGGTGAGCCAAGCAGCTGGCTGGTCGAGATCTTAGACATGACGCAGCCTATAAAGACAACCGGCTTTCATGGCCCCCCTCCATTCTACCCGACTCTGCACACCACACCATGTCATACTACGTCCAAAGCACCCCTCGTCATCGCTCTCATTCCCTTTCCGCCTACCCCTCCCCCATGCCCACCTATAGCACCTCTCCATATGGCCACAATACTACTGGCCAATATTATCATCCTCCAACCCCCGGGGGGTACGCTGCATATGGCGGCGGCACCCCTCAACGCTACAACTCTGTCGGTGGCAGTTATCGGGGAGCGTCCTATGCTGTCCCAAGCACAACTCACCACATACCCACTTCCCATACTCGTTCTGCCCACGGGCCCGCGTACTACGTAGCTCCATCCACCCACCATCATAGTACACATCGTGGCAGACACCACAGCCATCGCCGCTCACAGAGCACGTCTTCACACAGACGTCACGCTACTCCTGTCTATGTGAGTCCTCCAAGGATGAATATTCCATCGGACCAGTAAAACTCATCGCTATTTCATACAGGCTGACAGTGGCCGGCATCACAACTACCACCATTCATCTTCCAAGCATTATCGCCCCCACATCTCCCTCGCGGACCGAATTCGTAACTTTTTTGGCATCGGCCATCACAGTAACCACCGCTCCCATTCTCGTACGCGTTTTACCGATGCTCGCACAGGGCGAGAGGTCGACACGCGCGGCAGACCTATCATCGCGTACTAGACGGCTGTCTGGACCGTGATTGTATTGATTACTCGATATCTATGTCGTGGAAGAAGATCAAATTTTGCGCTCGCGTATGCACGCGACGAGGTGTAGCGTCAGACAGAAATTTCTGTCACCCTTTCCATCCTCCATTCGTTCAGCAAAACTTCATGTAGCCCCGGACCACTCTTGCTGACCCATTCGCGATGTCTCCCTGTCAACCCCTATCCCACTCCATTCACGTCTTCTTGGCATCCTCTTACCCCATTCAACAACTTCGATTCCCATCCGTCGCGGCTCTGGACCCGACGAATCCGCGCGGCCGACGAAGAGGGGCTACGGAAAAGGCAGTTGATACGTCTTGGTTCCGTTTACGAGAGACGAAGTTTAATCTCCAGCGACATGTCGCCATCAGTGGTTCACGCTATTTTTTACGCCACCGCGTGTGGCATGTTGCGTGCCTTTAAGATCTACCCACGAACCACATTTTACCGTCGGCTGATATGTCCACTGCAGATGGTTGTCGATTATCTTAATTATCTATCATACGATACGACTGCAGACTCTGTATTTTTAGTTAGCCAGACTGCTGATTAACATTGTTGTCAGCCATGTGTTCAGTTTTTAATTGAGTTATTCCATCGACTTGATAATTATTTAATGCGCATTTGTCTTCGTATTCTGAAGTTGGGATATCATGCATCTTTGGGCTTGCACATGGATGCTGTCTCGCATCTTTCGATTCCAGTTTGGTGCAGTTCATATCCGCAGACACACGATGGTTACATTTCAGCCGACAATCCGCGGGAACACCGTTGGCCTCAGCCAACCGTATGAAGGCCTGGAGTTGCAACGGCATGCAGGGGGCGCTAGGTAGTTCCATCTCGGCGACGCGACACCTTGAGAAACAAAACCGTGCATCCGCGCTACGCGGGGCTTGTTCGAGTTTGAGTATAAGGCTTCCTTGATCCTAGCGCAGTGCAAGTTATACTTAGCATGCAGATAGAGTTCTCTTACGTACAGACATCTCCGTTGTCTTCATTTTGTGGTCCCCGCTGGGCAGCTGGCAACCTCAAGCGGCTCGCGGCGAAGATATCTCTGAATATCCAGTGAAAGATGCCCATCCGATAGGGCTTGGCCTAGATTGTCCTCATAGATGATCGAGTCGCAGCTTTGTTCTTCCGTCATCACGAACGTGTGGATAAAATTCAAGATTCTGCCGCGAAGACAGATACGCACCTACTTTTCCGATGAATCCCAGTTCTTTCTAAGTTCTAGCACAAAATGCACGAAAATGAATAGCAGGCATCAACAAAGTACCAATCCCGAATTCATTACAAGAGGCACAAAGTCACAACCTGGGGAACAAGATGCATGCAGCGTAACGAATCAAAAAAATAGAGTACCCACCACATATTTGCGGAGAAAAAGCGCGCCCAATCGATGAACACGCGATGGAAGACAAGACAAGTGCACGAAAAGGACACGGGATGATCGATGAGCGCTGAGCCATGAGAGAATTCTGACTATCGTCGCCGAGATCACAGTCTCTGGGGTAACCAATGGTCTTTCAAGTTCCTCACGACGTCTTCCTCCGCGAAATGGATGCTTTGATGCTTTGGACCCGGTCGTTGTGTCGATGGACCAGCGCTTTCCCCAGAGAATCCCAAGAGAAGTGCGCGGCCTTGAGAAAGCCATGGCTGAGTCAGTGCCTCTACTTCATCCGCGTCCGAGACATAATCAACGCCATCCAAAAGGGACTGTGATTCGTTACGCGTTTCTCCAGTCAAAAATTCCGCTGGAAGACTTTGATCAAGAAACGGCTGCGCAATATCGCCGTAATTACCGTACATGGAATAGTCCCGAGAGTCATCCAAGATTTCCTGGTCTTCGGAGGTATCGAAACCCGAATCCAAGACTGCCTGATCATGCATGTAATCTTTATGGCTCTCCACTGCATCAAAGCCAAACAAAGCGTTCGCCCAGTAAGAGCCCTCTTCGTACATTCTGTAGTCGTCGCTGCCGCCAAAGTTCAAGTCCAAGTTACCCAGTGCGTCCGGCTCTTCAACATCGCCCAGATGATGCATCAACGGCAGATGCAGAAGATCTTCCAGAGACTGTTGTCTGAGATCATCATGAGCTTCTGAACAAAAGTCAGTCTCCAGGGAAAGTTGAAGATCATCGCGAGGTACGGCTTCCTGGTAAAATCCGTCTCTATTCCAAGGTGAATATAAGCCTGATGTGCTACGAATCATATCGGGATGAATGTCATCTGCTTCAAGTTCTTGGAGTGCCCGTTCCAGAGAATGGGGAGACGAACAGGTCTTTGGTTGACGGGCTCTGAGAGATGTCGATGAACATGAGTGCGGCTGGAATTTTGTCACAGTTGTGTTCAATAACGTGACAGGAATGACCGACGCGGCTTCATGAAGAGAATGAACATCTGTGCTGGAGTCGTTGTCGTTGTCATCGCCAGGTATAGGGGAACATTCAGGGATCGAGTCAATTTGGAGAGCAGAAGGGGGAGGGTCTGGTGCAGTGGTCGTAAAATACTTGGATAAGGAGTGAGAAGACCTTGCGAGTGTGTGTAGAGCAACTTGTGAGGCAGACTCCGAAGGACCAAGAGACGAATCAAGTTGCCTATCACCTTCACGGACGGATCCTGTTTGGCTTCGAGGCCGCGTGATAGATCCCGTTGAACGGCTCCGACAAGACAAAGCTCTGGACGGGTTCCTTGGATTTTGGTTGGACTTAGCCATTGCAAGACCGTCGGCAAGCCCTTGTGTCGTCCGCCGTCGACGAGGAAAATCCGTGACATGGGTTCCGTTATTGCTGGTTCTGCAAGATATCGAGCCGCCAGACTCGGAAGGCAGGCCCCGACCTTCAATCTCTATATCCCAGACCTCGGAACATGGAGTGCTGCGCATCACTGGTTTTGTCTTGGAATTCATTAGTCGGTCATCGAATGTAGTATTGTCTTCTGAGCCCAAACGGTCCAGTGATGCCTGCCTGTGAACAGGCTTTTTCTTACCTCCATCGTGTCGCAATTTTGCTCTACCTTTGGGAGCCGGTGTAGATGGAAGACATCCTGCTTCAGACGAACGAGAGCTATAACTAGAAGGAAGCCGTGACGGATGCTTGCACTTTTGAACAACAGGTTTTGTGGCGCCGGTGTGATTCAAAAATCGGCTTTCTGAAAAGGTGTTCTTGAGTTCTTTACGAGAGAGGCTTTCATGAGTGCTGCAAATTATCTCTCATATGAAATATATTACCTTTAGGAGAAATTTTGCGGATAACAACACCGATTCTAAGAGAGGCTTTCCCCTTATTAAATACTCCAGGACCAGCACCCGGTGCCATCTAGAGCAGATTCAGTTCTCAAGCTCGAAAACCAAGATGAGCGGTGGCACGCACCGTCAGCCGGTTTTTACCCACATTCGTTGCCGAAAAGCCATGCATGAGAGCAAGGCCGGCGGGTATCTTCGGCGGGTTTTCCTTTTTTCGAGCGCCCTTCCTTGCGTCCGCGTTCTCTCTCGACTGAATTCCTTCCTCGTCTGGGATCGAAGAACAGTAGGATGCTGGCGATGCGATGATAATTCGTTTTGACCGTTTCCGTTTCCTTCTCTGTGCCAATCCTTGAGAGATCGTAGGTTCAATGATGTTATCGTTGAAGGTGCAAGCAACGTACTCATAGCTCGATCCTCATCAGATTCATCATTTGCAAAGCGCTTCTTGGAGGATCGGTTTAGAGGTAATGATTTGGGCTTGGATATACCCCTCGCTGTGCTCCTCTCGAGTTTCGGGGGATTCTTTGTCCTCAGGGCAACATCCAATTGTGTAGCGTTCGATAAAGGCGATTCGAGTGGAAGTTTGAAAGCCGGTTCTTTCATCTCTCGCGACGACTTGATTCTATGAGCGAGTTTCGTTGTGAGAATGTCCGAAACACCTTGCCCTCGGGGGTCATCATTGATGTTATCGACAGCCGCGGTCCGAGGCTTTAGGATAGGTGTTTCGAATCCAGATTCGCGAATGAGAGGATCAGGACGTCGGTCTTGCTTACATGCGCCGGCGCTCCAGGAGTTCAGCACAGCACGGCCTTCGTCAGCATGAGCTCTAGAAAAACGTGCCAAAGATGATATATACGAGTGGACCACATCTTCCCTTCTAGACTTTGAAGATCCCAAGAGCTGAAGCGTTGATGAGGTCAACCTGTGATCGTCCTGCATTAGAACAACATACAAGATCCTGTTTTTTTATCATTCAATTCAGGCAACGAACGAGACAGGGAAGAGGTTGGTCTTACACTGTGTCTGCCTACTGTTGGATGCAAATCAGAGGGCAACTTGTTGAACTCAGAGTGAACAGCGCGGCAATATGGCTTATAAATCAGAGACGTCATCGTTTTCACCCCTCTGCTGGTTCCCACATTGTGTGACCTCAGGTTTTTGGGTGCAATCGAAAGTTCTCAGTAGCACTCGACAAATCATGCCGATCTTGACAACAGATGGATCAACCTCACCGAGAGAACGAGCATCTACTTGATTGTGTCTTATTCGAGGAACCCGGGTTATAGGCAAGTCGGCGACAAGTCACCAGAGGTGACTCTAGGATTCCCTTGAAGCTAACTACGAATCGACAATCAAACTTTCCAATTCCCCACAATAGTGGGTCTTCATTCATGCCATGAGTGGCGTGCTGCTCAGGCAGTGTAAACGAAGTACATGTTCCTGTTTGTCGTATATCAGTGATGAGCGCCGAGCGTTATATAAGTAACACTCACTGCCTATCGGTGAAATCCATGAAAGCATGACGCTCCCGCTCTTTCTGGACTTCCGCATCAGACCAACCATGACGAAGTATCTCGTCTTCCAACGCCTTGCGCTTCTTCGAGTTCAGATGAACATTTATGAAACGTAGCAAAAAGCAAACGCCGAGCTGAACTGTAAGGAGCACCATGATGGCAATTTTTCCTGGAATGTATGCTGGCGCATCTTTAGGAAGAAATATTTCTGTTCCTATGATGTTGCCCAGGCTGAATGTGAACATTGTTAACGCGTTGATGGTCACCTATTGCATATCGACATCCAGCGCACGGCAGTAAAGGCAAACGCGTATAACGAACCTTCTTGGTATGACCGCTCGTGTTACTCGCATTGTAGGCGTAGACAGTAGACAAAGCGCTTCCAAATGTGCTGATTAGATATGTACCTATTGATATTTCTGCATCAGGTCACGAAGTCCTAAAGCGAAATATACCTACCAAACAACAAAGCACCCTTCTTTCCGGAGTCATTGAGGCCAATGAGCATAGCTACAAGTAGTGTCGCGTGAGAAAATGGCATCGTTTGATCGTCAAGGTATACTAACCAGCTCCTGCGATTGTGGGTACTAAGGCGAATACAATGGGAAGCATCCGTTCATTCTATGAGGAGCGAATCTCGTCAACCCTCTGGCCTTGCACGAAGTGAGCAGGCATGCAACCTTCTTGTCTGAGTACCAGGCACAGAGAAGAGTCGTCACCGCTGCAATTGCACCGCCGGGCGTGCCCAATATCAAGGTCTGCTTAGAGCTATAAAAAAAATTGATCAGACATCATTAGATTCTCGTCTCGCCTAAGTTCCATCCATGAATTGATACGTACGTGTATCCGAAGCTCCTAATGATTTGATTACTGACTGAGAGGATACCAACGTTAGGTTGTAAACATGAGGATTGGCGAACGAATCAACACACAATTGCTGAGGCCGCCATTCGGGATGCTAGCTGTGTTGGCTGATAAGAGAGTATGACCCGGAAACAAATGACAAGCCACTCACTCAACATGGTCGTCAGCACAATCAACCATGTGCGAACATCCAGCAGTGTCTCTTTCACTTGTTCCAATTTGAATGTCTTGTTTTCTGTACCTCCTTGGTCGTCACGCACACGTTCCAGAGCGGCAATTCTCTCTTCCCGCGTCAGATTCTGCGCATGCACCGGAGAGTCAGGCATCCAGAGGAGCACACATATGCCAACGCCAATTGCGAGGCCGCCGAGGACGATGTATATAATTTTCCAAGGAGCGAGGCGATGCCCATCATAAAACGATATTCCCTAGATATAGTTCAATCTCGCTATTCGGTTCTCATGCGAGATGGACACCCACATATGCGACGAAGCCGCCGAATATGCTCGTCAGCCCATTCTAGAATCTGTCCATCAGAGGTTACATTCAACAAGCCAACGGTTGCATATACCATGACATAAAACCAGGAGATGCGAGTCGCCTGAGAATACAACTCAATCCTATCCACTACGGATCGAAGCTCAGTTATAGCACACCTGTTCATCTTTCTTGTAGAACATCGAGATGATCAGGATGAGAATAGGTGCAACACACGACTCGAACATCCCTTGATGAGATGCATGGTCACAGCGTGTAAGACAAGGTAATATTTCCGAGAAGCTTACCGAGAAGGAAGCGAAGAGCAAAGAAGGCACCGAAACTCGACGTTGTTGCGTGTAGCATCAATACGATCCCCCAGAGAACAATGTTGACGCCTGATATGGATGAGTTCGGAACTCGGAGCCGTACCCACGATAAAGACACACCGAGGTACTTGGCTAGTCGTAGTTTCTGAGATATATATACGGTAGGAAACTCCCATACAAGAAACCCTATAAAGAATGTGAGCTTTGGGTGTGAAGTGACTAATCTTCACGCGCCTAGATAAAATGCCATCGATACAAGGTTGTAGTCCTGCAGAGTACATCAGTACCAACAAGGCCCGGAAAAGGTGCCAGCAGAATTGACCTGTCCTCCAATTGGAAACTCCATGATACTAAGATTTGAATCAGACGGGATTTAATTGTCTGTCAATGTGAATACCCACCTCGCATAATTCAACGAAGTCTTGTCACTAGTGCTCTCAGTACACAGCATCCCGACCTTGAGAAGTGCAATCTCTCACAGGAATTGGGTAAAGTACACTGCGGCACATAACGGAGGGATCCACCGATCCTTGTCGCACCATAACATCAATCGAGCGCTCGAGCGACGAAGATCCAACTCATGCGGAATCAAACATACCAGCTTTCCCCGTAACTGTAAATTGTACTCCTCGCTGAATTGGGCTTCTCTCTCTTTCCCAACAAGCCTGAGTGCCTCATCCCCATCGGTAACGGATACAACAGATTTAGAGGCATTCTTAACGACTTCCGTCGAGGCAGAATGCTTCTCTAAAGATACGAAAGGCTGCATGAATATGAGCTGTGGAAGTACGAAGGAGACAAAGAAGATTTCCTCGCCTATGATAAGGAAACTCCCCTTAAGACGCTCTCCTGCATCTATCACTTTTAAGGACATTGCATCCGAAGAGCGTCTAAGAAGTGGGTCACATATTGCGTGTGAGATCCAAGACTCAAGTTGTCCCGGTCCAGATAAGAGATCAATGAAAGTCACCAGATAACGCCTGAATATGCCGCAAAATTCCCGTTCCACGTTACCCATTCAACGAGACGAAATATGGAATAATCTGAACTTGTCTGTCTGAAGCTAACGCCTGAAACTGGTGGCCGTAGGAATCTTGCTTAAAAGTTGACACAACATGACATAGCTTTCGGGGCTTTCATGCTCAGCAAACTGATGAATGATCCAAATGACCAGGTAAATCTATAAGAAAATGAAGGACGAACGACCATATATAAATACATGCATGATGGCTACTCTGACTCTCTACTTATAGTTTCTGGACAATGATGGCTGATGCCGCACCACCCTATCATATAAAGTCAGTATATGTAAGAAGGCTTCATTAACAAGACTTACGCCATTGCAGACGGCCGCAGCTCCATACTCTCCGGATTTCAGGGCGTGGACGAGAGAGACAACGATACGAGAGCCAGAGTTACCGATGGCATGACCGAGAGCAACAGCGCCACTAGAGGACAATGAAATCAGCTGGTTCAGTAGACAGTCTGTGAACGAAAACACACCCGTTGACATTAATCTTCGAAGGATCAATGCCCAACACCTGCTCGGCTACTCGGATAACAACCGAAAACGCTTCGTTGATCTCCCAGGCAGCAATGTCATTGACAGTCAAGTTCGCTCTCTTCAGAGCAATAGGAAGAGCATGGGTGGGAGCCTCAGGGAAGTCGATAGGGTCGACACCGGCATCAGCAAATGCTGGGAAGAAGTTAGCCATCACTCCTAGCGAAGAACTGAACCGTGCCCACAGATGACCTTGGCCAAAGGCTTGACACCCAACTCCTTCGCTCTATCAGCCGACATAAGGATCAGAGCCGAGGCACCATCGTTCAAGTTCGAAGAGTTGGCAGCAGTAATGCTACCGCCCTTTTTGAAACTTGGCGACAAGGTCGGGATCTTCTCGAAGATGACCCGCTTGTACTCTTCGTCCTCCTTCACGATTGTGTCACCCTTCCTGCCCTTGATGGTCACAGGAGCGACCTCGGCATCGAAAGCCCCCGACTTCCAAGCACGATCCGCTCGCTTGTACGACTCGATCGCGTGGGCATCTTGAGCCTCACGACTGACGCCGTATTTCGCCGCGGTAGCCTCGCCACAGTTCCCCATGGCGAAGTTGTTGTAAACATCCCAAAGACCATCATTCTCAAGAGCGTCCTTGGTCTCGAACTTGCCAAAAGTAGGGTTTTGGCGGGGAATCAGAAAGCTGGGAAAAGATAGGTCAGACTTAAACCTTCGTCACGACACGTAAGAACTCACGGAGCATTACTCATACTCTCCATCCCACCGGCGACCACAACGCTCTTATAACCAGTCGAGATAGTCTGGGCAGCGAGCATAATTGACTTCATGCCGCTGGCGCAGACCTTGTTGACGGTTGTAGCATCGGAAGTAGTCTTCATACCAGCAGCGAGAGCAACCTGGCGAGCAGGGGACTGGCCAACACCAGCCTGAACGACATTGCCAAAGTAGATCTCCTCGACGACAGCAGGGTCGACCTTGGACTGCTCGAAAGCATGCTTGAGAGCGATCGTGCCGAGTTGGGGAGCAGTGAGTGATTTGAGTGCGCCGTTGAACGAGCCGACGGGCGTCCGGGATGCAGCGACGATGACAACTTCAGGCGTGGAGGAAGACTGATGGACGTGTGGTGGTTAAATCAGAGCACCGGGATCCACTGAACTGTTAAAAACGAACCATTAGGCGAATGAGGTTTGGAAGACGGCGGAGGTGATGGGAGGAACGAGAGGATAGTGCGAGGCGAGAGGCAAGCATCCTGAATTATGTCTTATATATATCGTGCGCCAGCGGCGGGAATGCGACCACCCCGGAAATGGACCAATCTGATGAAAGGATATGCGAGCGTTCCACTGCGATCGTACGACTGACACAGAGCCGATTATTCAGGAAACAGTCTTCAACCTGGCGTCACTTTGAATGTTTCGAATTCGTCGGGTAGCCGAACGACGAGCGAGTCTTATATACTCCTCGCATCCATGATCCGGTGCCCCAGTGACCATTCTCATGTGAAAAGTATTATTCCGGGAAACCCAACGTCAATTCACTGTACGCAGAACTACAGGAAGGGAGAAAATCGCTCATGGGTTCAAGTCAACGACATTACCAAGGAGCATGAACCAGATCTCCATATATCGGATCAACCCTGCGTCTCCTGCCCACCGTGTAGTCCCCTCCTCGGGCATCGCCTCGGCCATGACTTCAGATGTCAGCTCGGCAAGAGCCGCCGGCGTTTCGCACGGGTGGATATACCAAGACGGCGTTCCAAGTGTGGGGTGATCGCCTTGAGACAACAGCGGAAATGGAGAGCTGGTACTGCTGAGCGCGAATGCTGTGACGTCTGTCTCTGAAAAGGCATGTCGACGAAACAAGGCAGTTTTCATAATCTGCGCTAACTCAAGAGGAGATCCTTCTGGATTTCGCTGAGAGATGATTCGACAAGCAATAAATGTAGCTACACACTTGAATTATGGGCAGTGAAGTAGAAAACTGGAACTTGGAAAGTCGGAGAGAAGACCACGCTTTGGGTCGAGATGACAGCTTCGGTGGCAGAAAATGAGGACGTGGCTTCATCATCATTAGACGCCACGGAGGCATCATCCACAAGCTCCTCATTCAGGCTGTGGTCCAGAAGCTGTTCTCTCATAGAAGAAATAACGGAGCGAGAAAGAAAGCCAAAACCATTCACTGTCTGTGATGGGCGTCAAGACCGAGATAAGCGGAAATGGGCACTTCAACGCACAGCATGTTCTGACCATTCCCAACCTCTATAATGGGCATCAGCTAAACCAGACCCATGAGAATTATATTTCAGCAGGAAAGCTTTGCATGCTTCCTGAAACTGAGGTCGAGTGAGCGTCGAGGATGGAAGCATCAATTGGGAGTGGCGTGGAAAAATAGCTCATAGTTGTCAAAATAAGGTTTACAAGCCACTCAAGCTTACTGCACGTTGTCGTTGACCGCTGGAAGGCCAAACGCTCCCGTCGTCAGCAATATCAAAACAAAGCCCGTCCAAGTGCCGGCTTCGCGGTCTATCATTCACCGCATAACACTCTTTGGCGAATCATGGCTGTAGGGAAGGTGCGTACCTTCCCCAAAAGCTTCGGCTGGGATGTCATATTGAAATCGTGTGTCTACAGAACAAGCGCTTGTCTAAGGGCAAGAAGGGTATCAAGAAAAAGGTTGTTGACCCTTTCTCTCGCAAGGGTTAGACATATATCTCGCTCGGTCTTAACACGTTGTCTCACGAGGATATTGTGTTAGAATGGTACGACATCAAGGCGCCATCTATCTTTGAGGTCAAGAACGTGGGCAAGACCCTCGTCAACCGCTCTTCAGGCTTGAGTGAGTAGCGTCATGACACTCAGTCTCATTACGATGCTGATTTATACTTGCAGAGAACGCTAGCGATTCGCTCAAGGGGCGTATTGTGGAGTTCTCTTTGGGTGACCTGAACAAGGATGAGGAGCAATCCTTCCGCAAGGTCAAGCTCCGAATCGATGAGGTTCAGGGTCGGAATTGCTTGACCAACTTCCACGGCATGTCCTTCACCTCCGACAAACTTCGATCCCTGGTCCGCAAATGGCAAACTCTTATCGAAGCACATGTCGATGTGAAGACTACCGACGGTTATCTCCTCCGCCTTTTCGCCATTGGTTTCACCAAGCGCCGTCAGTCGCAAGTAAGGAAGACGACTTACGCACAGACGAGTCAGGTGCGGGAAATCCGGAAGAAGATGTTTGAGATCATGACCCGGGAGGCGACGAGCTGTGACCTGAAGGAGCTGGTTCAAAAGTTTGTACCGGAGGCGATTGGGCGGGAGATCGAGAAGGCAGCGCGGAGCATCTATCCCCTTCAGAATGTCTACGTTCACAAGGCGAAGATTTTGAAAGCGCCCAAGTTCGATGTCTCAAAACTGCTCGAGCTCCACGGCGAGTCAACAGATGTAAGTACTACCGTTCCTGAAACATTTATTTAGTTGCTGATCCCCTCAAAGGAGACGGGTACGCGGGTTGTGAAGGACTTCAAAGAGCCAGAGGTCTTGGAGTCTGTTTAAAAGCTTTGTTTTTCTATTCACGTCTGTATCGTCATGCTTTCTTCTCCTATACTGCGCGGGTATCAATCTATGAGCATCATGATATTCTAAGCCGCAAAATAAATTTGTGTCCATGAGCGACCACCGCCCATTTTCTTTTACGTGGTCAGGTGATGTATAAGTTATCCGCCGCATTGATCAATAAAATCATCATCGTACTGCTGAGGTGTATCTTGTGCAAGACCATGGCAGACGTCGCGTACCTGAAGAGCCTACTCAAGGAGCATCCCGATTTCCCCCAGAAGGTGCTGGACTTCTTCTAGTCAGTGTCGCCATGCGCTGAACTCTCTGCATAGGGGGTAAATTTTCTCGACCTCTTTCCCTTGTTAAGGAATCCAACAGCCTTCGAGACGCTCATAACACGTTTCGTCTACCACCTCACATCCGAAACGCTATTCAAGGCACCTTCTAAGAAAATTGATGTCGTCGTTGGCCTTGACGCGCGAGGATTCCTGCTCGGGCCCATCATCGCAATGAGGCTCGGTGCTGCATTTGTGCCTGTTCGGAAGAGAGGCAAGCTACCCGGCCAATGCATACAGGCATCATACGAAAAAGAATATGGAGTGGTGAGTGACAATTCTCTCGCCTTGGCAGGACTGTTCATACATGGACGGGACGTATTGGCCTTTCTTGTAGGATGTGTTCGAAATGCAAGCAGACGCAATCGAAGCTGGCCAGACAGTTGTTATCGTAGATGATCTCATGGCCACAGGCACGTTCCATCCGAATCAATGCTGTCTTAATGCCTGACGTATACATATCAATCTCCGTATGCAGGTGGTTCTGCGAAAGCTGCCGGGGAACTAGTTGCGAAGTTGGGCGGAAAGACCCTGGAGTATCTTTTCGTGATTGAGCTGACGTTCCTTAAAGGCGGAGACAAGCTTGACGCACCTACTTACTCAGTCGTCAAAGCAGATGACTGAACATTCTTCATCTTACATGTTTAGATCTCATCTTGTACAAGCTTGTACGGATACATTTTTATTGGTCGGTTTAGACATCTATATTCATACCAATAATCTTGTATTTAATAATGGATGTCCGTTGAGATACAGAACGCGATCTGGCGGAGCCCCCTTCGCTTGATGTTCCTCGTGCGCATCATTCCACTCAGGTGGTCGACCAGTATCCACCCCCGACTCGACACTCACTACGACACGCCCGAGGCCTTGGCTATCCACCAAATCCATCATGATAGATACCTTGCGCCCGTCCGATTTACGCAGGACCACCATGACCATATCGTCCAAAGAGGATCCAACGGCTTCTAAATCTTTTTCATCCGCTGATGGATTAATGCCGATCTCATTGTCTGTAAGAACAACGACTCCCAACGCGCCGGCAGCATGAGCTATCTTTAACTTCTCCAGGAAAGTGCATTTTCCGCGGTGGACGAGGATGGCTTCGTCGCTGTAGGAGCGCTCATATGGTAGGCATCCAAGGGGGTTGTTCGAGTCGTGGACTAGATTAGTTCCTTCGCCATGGCCAAATTTTAACGGCTTGGAGTTTAATGATGGAGGTTTCGATGGATTTGCGCCGAACATGGCCGTATGCCCCATAACATCCACGCTAGTTGCGACTTCATTTATGCCAGGTTGGACCTGGAACATCGGATCCACGAAGTCGACGAAGAAGCGAAGCCGTACGTCAGGATAATGTGACTCCCCTGCATCAGGCTTGTTGCTCTTTGCGACCGGTTTCAGAGCGAGAGCTGTGTCGTTAATATAGACAATCTGCCCGCTATGAATTGTGTGTAAACCAACTGCGAAGGAAGCACTCAACACGCGGCAGGACTTGAGGGCAAGTAAAAAACGCTCACGCTTGGAAACATCGTATCCTCTACCATCAAGTCGACTGACGATCCGAGTTCGCAGACCAGAAATGTTATGCACGATGAAGCCGTCGGAAACAGAAGCGATCTTCTCTTTGCCAGGACTAGGGTCCTCTACAGTCAATTTACCATCGGCAGACAAGATGAAGTCATACGACTGATATGACGGTGGACAATTAGGTGGTGCCGACAGCTTCAGCAAAGCACGATGAAAACTCACGAACAAATCTACCTGAGGTACTTCGCACCACCCATTTGGGTGCCAAGAGTCTTTATCCTGATCCGATGGTGGCATTCCGATGAGATAGCTAGTATAGTCAACATCGGAGCGCGAATAAATCCCAAGAGTTAACCCCGGTAACCCCTCCTTCCCAATAGAGACAGGTTGATATGCAGGGCATTGATGACTTTCATTCCGACGAAGTTTTCTGACGGCAGACGACATAGGCTTGAGGTGTTCTTGCCCCAGCAGCAAAATATGTCCCTCTGTGGTGAACACATAATTCGAATCATCCGTATGGAGGGGATTGGACTCGTCGAACAATAGATAGAGATACTATGTATGGCTCAGCATCGATCAAAAGTAGGATCAGAAGGTAAAAATACCTTGAGCGTTTCTGATAGGACAAATGATTCCATGCGGTCATCCCGCTGATTATCTCTCAGGTCACGGATGCCTGTAAGGCCACATTCGACCTTCGCTCGAATGGTGATATCGTAGAGTATCCGCTCTCCGATATCAAGATACAATGGGTCATGAGTTGCCTGGAATGGCTTCAGAAACCGAAGATAAAGCAACGAAAGACACTCCCTTACACGATATAGATACCATGTAGATTCCACAAACTCTTCAAATGCAGCTTGCATTAGCTATGGAGTATGTACAAGGAAAAAGGAATGGGGCCGACCTGGTCGTAGTGGAAACTGGAACGAGGTTGCGGTCTTATAATTCATGTCCCATACTTCGGGAAGTCCCGAGTGCTTTCTCCACAGCTGCCAATCTGCGCCAGCTTCAATAGAGGAGATGGCACTCTTGTAACAAAGACTCACAAATCATATGCGATTTGATGGCATTATCGACATCCCCAGCAAGTACTTGAAGGCCGGGCCAGAAAGCAGAAAGGGAGTCCACAGTGGAATACGCAACGTCGCCCGTCTGGATATTAACACGCCGATACTAAACAAGGGTTCAAATACGATGCGGGAGGAGTGGATTTTGTCACGTACCCATAGTCCATCTGCGGACCTCGCATACCTCATGATAGCAGCATACGAATCATTCCATACGTCTAAAAATTCGTGATCACCTAGTCATCTCGGTCAAGTTCATATTGTCATAATAGTTGAACCTTGAACCACCCTACCACTGAGAATATACCATTTTAAGGCGTACTCAAAAAAAGAATCGATGCCTGCTCCGATTCCGCTCACTTCCGGGTATAACCAAGTCTAGAGAACCAAAAATTAGCAAAACTCGAAGAAAATGTCACGATGAACTTCACGAACTCCACTCCAGATATTGATCGTGTTCCCGACAAGTCCTATATCCGATTTTCGGTTCCAAATAGCGAAGAAAGCTTTACGCGCCGCCTTTTCAAACCTGTCGTCGCCGGTAAGCCGGCTAAGCGTAGCAAATTCAAGTATCAAGGATCCTCCACCAGCTGAGCCTGTTGGCGCATAAATTTCAGAATACAGATTTAGTGACCAGTCTAAGCAAAACAAACCAACAACTCTCTATGCTTTCACCTCTGGGTACGCCGTGTCGAAGATTCGTCTAAATCGTGTTCATGAATGCTAGATTTCAGAAGTACACAACAGGACACACCCTTGCATATGGAATTCCCGTGGGCGTCGAAAATGCTGACAAGAACCTCTCCCCAAGATCGTGCGCCATGGATAGCAATTCGCCATGATACCAAGGTAAGTAGAACGGCTGATCTCGCCGACTTGCAAATATGTGTGCTGACAGCAGCCCACCCAACACACGGATGTTGGTTTCGAATAATTGCGGTTTAGTGTTGACGTCAAAAGAAACCCAATCCATGGTCTTCCGAACTGCGTCTTCGAAGCCACGGCGATCGTTCAGGACGACAAGTGTATCCAACGAGTCTATTAGAGTGAGTGAAAAATTGCCTGCCACATCATTGAATGCGATGTTGTCTCTTTATAGGTCGACGCTGTTAGTCGATCGCAATTGATTGTGGATGTAACTCACGGACTATCCCAATCGGGTCCCCTTCCTGTACATGACAGAGGAGACAACTACCCGGAGACATGAGGCAGGGAGCAACAGCTGTGAATATATAATGACTGCTACCTCATCCAACGGCCAAGCTGTGTCAATGAAGGGTTAGAAAGAAATGAAAGAGAGCAGGTAAAGGTGCTTGCCGAATCGCATGTAGCTGTTATAGCCATGATACCAAAGATCGCGGACCTTATTCCTGGTCATGTTTACACTGAGCGCAAAGATGAGTTAGCAACGATAGACATACCGCGTGTCCAACTTTCTGCTTGTAGTCCATTGGGCTCGTACGAGACCCGGTGTACTGGCATGACCCCATCTATATGCTTCCAGGGCGACAAAGAGGACAGCCAGAAATATTTCCGGCCATCGTAGTAGCCAATTCATCCAGCGTGACCGAACTCGACGTTGTGGGATGGGAAAGGGGGATTTCGAGACCGCCAAACCAGACCCCGCAAAGGACAAACGACGTGGCGGTTTACCAAAACGGGAGTGATCTGACAAACTGAATCTCGCAACCCGTGATTCCAAACAGCTCTTACACGCACAAGTAACCCAGCGCCAGGCGCCTCATACAGGCGCAATTCCCGTCATGAGCACAGTATCCGATGTTTCTAGTAAGCTGGGTGAGTACATGCTCAAAGGCTGGGTGAGGACGTCACTTCCTTTATACATGGTCTTATGCTTACTAGTCACTATGCAAATTTCCAGGTTTTGACCGACAAATCATGTCCTACGCCCGGATGCCGTGTCCCTTTGATGCGCTCACCCAATGGACAAAACCCAGTCACTTGGTTCTGTGCGAACTGCGAAGGGAGTTCAGCTGGTGAGTACCCAAAAGTGCTCTCTTTTCGCCGCACTGAACATGGATATCGTGCAAGCACACCAATCTACTCAGTCTACAGCTTCGACCACCGATTCTGTCAGACATGGACAGTCATCGCCTAGCATCTTATCCAGCACCCATTATTCACGCCCCTCGACTCCCCCAACTGAAGTGTCCAGCACTTTGAGCTCACCCACGTTTGCTCTTCCTGCCGAAACTGCGGAGATCATTCATCGACGGCAACAATCTGACCTTGCTTCGGCCGAAATCGGAAAACGTCTGCTGAAGGGATGGGCCATGTTAGCAGATGAATGTCCAACGACTACCTGTTATGGGATACCGTTGGTTCGGCCGCCGAAAGTTGGTGGAGAGAAGGATCCAAGGAAGGTGTGTTAGACGAATTCTATTCAACCTTTTCATCATGACTGAAAGCCACATTTGAAAGGAATGCGTTGTGTGTGGGAATATATATGTAGACGAGAAGGACTCTCAAGGTTTTGATAGACTCATACCAATTGAGCTTGGCACTCGTCAGCAGTCACTACGTCCCGGGTTCGGTACAGACCCTTTGAGGAGCTCCTCGCAAGATAAAGGTAAATCTGTTGCTCGTGATGAAACGCCAGTGGTACGTCTCACTCGCCCCTATCCTTTCTCCTTCTGTAACTTTCAAGAATAGGCAACTTCTTCTTCCTTACCTCACCTTCCACCACCTTTGTCGAGATCACGCAAGGTACGCAGTTCTATCTTTGAGAAACCTCCATATTCCTTACGCTTGTCTACTCGTGTAGGCTCCTCATCCGTTAACCTTATCACAGACCAAAATAGCGCTAAATGTTTCCCCAGCCGACGCGATGGTGCGTTCTTGCGTATGATCTGTCTATCGCAGTCTTACATGTTTCTCACATAGCCTCAACATATGTCATCGCTCACGCAAACTGTCCTTGATGCATCTGTTCAATCCTTAGAGTCCAGCCTAATGGCGCTATCACAGCGATTATCGTCGCTCGCAGATCAAACGATCATCGACCCGTCATCAATTGCTCAGACAGCTGACGCCATGAGCAAGATCGCACAGGCGCTGTCTTCGCTCAAACAACTGCAATGAACAAGTGGATTAGTAGTCGCCATATTTCTAATTAACTAACAATGCTGTGTCTCGAGATCAGGCGTTCTTGGTATCACTGGTTGGTACATGTCTAATGAGGCGAAATTCTATTTTTTTTTTTGTCCTTTGTTTGTTTAGGATGCAATGACTGCTTGCAACATCTGAAATGCTTTAACACGGGTCCAGCACACCATCAGTTGTTGGTCTAATTCGCTGTCTATGGAGACAAACATAGATCAACAAGACTGAAATACGGCATACACAGAAAACCTTATCGAGGTTAGAGTTCATAGCGCAACTTAGTATATATAAAAAGCCCCAAGGGTGTGCAGTAAGACACTAGTAAGATGCTCTGTTCATTGAGCTTATCTACTTATAGCCCACCCAGCGACATTATGTCCTGTGACATTGCAGCATGGCTTCCGCATGGTGTCGCCTACATGTATCCATAGGTCTCTGCTATATGAGTCTTGCCTGGACCACGAAGAGCCTACTTTGTCAACGAACACCCTGCACCCCATGCCCCACTTCAACGTCTTTAGATCGCGCAGGATAGAGAACTCTGGTATAACAGAGGATTCCAATTCTTTCAATGATGGCCAGATGCCGCGACCTCCGGAACGTAGGCAGCATCCCCCTTCTGGCTTTCGTTCAATTCTTACAAGAAATCGTAGAGCAAGACCTCAGGTAGGAACTCATCTTCGGTATTGAGGCTTCTAAGTCACTCACCATCTTGACCAGACAAATGCTCATACGGACGACGAGGTGAGATCCTCAGATATGGATCGCGAGTTGCAACTGCGTTCATTGAAGCGAAAGATTCTAGGAATGGCAATTGTTAGATCGCCCTCCCAATATGCGTGCCACTGTCGAGGATTATTCGTCAGATGAGGAGCCAGCTCCGAGTGATGTGACGGATAGCTCCGTGCATTATATCTCAGAATCGTCTGCAGTCGACAGTCAAGTGCCACTGGTCGAACGAGAGGATGAGCCTATTTCCAGCCGCCTATACGAGCAATTCTCCAACTCTGCAACACCCCATGCATCCCATGTCACCCGCCTGGAATTGCAGGACCGCGATATCGAAGACCACCATCGGTCGAATGGGAGCCTACGTCCGTACATGGATGTTACTCCAATGATGCCTAGTCGATGGCAGCCTTTGGATATATCAGCAACCCAACAGGATGCGTATCACCACCCCAGTCATTCTACACATGCAAGTGCAGTCTTCATGATTTAGGTGACCCGTCTCTTATTTTTTGAACGATTCTACTCGCGAGTTTAGCCTCCAATATCTCACAGCCCCACACTCAGCAGCAGCTCAGCTAGCATAGTCTATACATTGGACGATGGTACTCGTGTACAGGTAACAGTTATTGAACGCATCTTGTGATGCATCTTGACAGGTGTATTAGGTTCCTACAGCGTCCTATCAAAGAGGGAGATCGTCCCATAGGCAGGCAACCCGTAAAGACAAGACATACTACATCATACCTCCTGGCATGAATGTTATATTTCGAGACAAGGATGGAAGTGAGATCACACGGTGAGCCGTTTCATAATTCATATCGAATTTCAGTGGTGCTGATGTCATCCGTACGTTGATTCTCAGCGTAGGAGATTTCACTGGCACCAGTACGCCTATGCGATACCAAGAAGCACCGATCATTCTTAGAGATGAAAGTGGCCGTATCATTTATCAGTATGTTACGAACTTGACTCTGATACGGGCTTCGTATACTTATCCACCTAAGGACCGGTATGTCTGATGATGGTAATTCCAGAGTTGCTGGTAATACACATAGTCGTGATGGACCAAGCGTGGTCCATCTTGGTCAGTTTGTGCCCAACGGGTGAGAGTCAACCTATGCTTCCTAGTCGAAGTCATCTGAGTGGTACTATAAAGGCTGTATGGACCACGTTCTCCGTCCCCAATCACGATTTCTTTAGGTTACCGAGGTCAGAAGCAATCTCCGTCAGTATACCTATCTCTGAGTCTTAGCATCTGCTCACCTATTTCATAATTCATTAGGGCGTACAACGATCACGATTTCCATCGTACTCAGCAGGTATATCGCTCTCCTAGCGTTCAAAGCGCACCGAGCATGGTCTACATGGGTCAAGATCGCACACCAAGGTCCGTCGGACTATCTAGACGCATGCTCTGCTCGTAACTTTAGCCTAGCAGGGCCTCAACTTCTGACCTTCGGTATCAAGCCAGTAATACTCGAAGTTACGACAGTCTGAGGGTACGTAAAATATACCCATAGATATGCATCTCGAGCTCCGCCTGCATATATCCCAAGTTTTTTATTTGGAGATTGTTGTGTAGAGCATGCAATCTGCTGCAAAGAAGTATATACACGGCTGCTGACGGACATCGTAAATTAGTTGCGTCGTACACATGAGACATTTGAAACAACCTTTGCATGGCACAAAAAGTCGAGTTAGATCATGTACAATGCTTGTCAACGAAGGCACCTTCAAGTGGTTGTGCGTGACCTCATTCCTCGTCCTCGTCCTCGCCCTCTACTAGAGTTATTGGAGGGACGACCACGAGAAGAGCGGCCCACAGCATTGACGGAATCAACCTCTTCTCTGCTCAACTTGAGCATACCCCCACTGAATTTACCAACCCCCATACGTAACCCCTTTTCCCGTTTTCTCGCTGACAACTCCGAAGGGTCTTCAAATAGCTTCTTGATTGTTGGATGATAGTTACCGATATTTTTGGCCTGAGAATCGTCATGATGAAAAAGTTTGGAGAGAGAGAGAGGGAGAGAGGCACAAACTTCTGATAATTGTTTATCTCGTCTTTGTGCTTGTTTATCTGCCATCCCGTCTCGAATATGTTTCGCAGCCCTGTTCCGCTCCTTTTCCCGTACAAGCTTCTCTCCTTTGCCAAGCCGTGCGCCCCCTGCTAATTCGACGATGCGCCCAGATAACGCTTTCTTACGCTGTGCAGCAGTGAGCTCAAGATCAGGATTTAACGATCCAGAAAGCAGCTTGGTATGGATTAGACGACGAAGCGCGGCGTCATTCTGAATATTTGAGCTGCGGTGGCACATCAACGAAACGCTATTCGACGGATTACAAGACAAGGAGCCAACGTACGTTTCTCCCTCATCACCATCGTCCGAATCTAGAGTGGCTTCGACAGGAGTTGAGTCGAGCCTTGATTTTGAGACTTTGGCAGCCTTTGGGATGCGTTATGAACGGTACTGAGAGTCGAAGAATATCGAATCACGTACCATGAAGGAGCTTCCATGAGCTTTGGTCGAGCGTAAAGTCGACGTTGATCCCAGTTTTGATTCAGAGAATATTACAACAGCAGGAGCGCGTGTGGATGTGGACTCCGAGGGGAAGGCATGATCTAGGCAACGGTCGAAGGTCAACAACACCCCAGCAAAAAAATTGATAATGAGTACCATTGCCATTCACTTTTCCTCCGAGGTCGGCATTATCACTTGCTGCGTCTCTTGCCGTCACTGTACCGAAACCCTGCCACTCATCTGACTTCTCCCAATCGAACCTGGACTCTTCAAGCTCACGTCTCTTCCGTTTCTTGCCACCACTTTGTGGCTGTGAGAAAGAGTTCAAGAATTCGCGGCCATGAGCTTCTAGGATATACAGTAAGTCGTCATTGCCCGACATGTTGAAAGATTTCTTGTCGATAATCCTCTCAGCTATCCGCCATTTGCTGTAACGGTCACTACACGTGCATCCCGTCACTCTGAGAGTCAGCGTACTTACCATATCCGGGCATGACTCCAAACTCCGCGGACCCATACTGGTGTTGCGCCAGCTCAATCGAAACCTTTCAGCCTTGAACGTTCTGAACGCTATACGACTCCTTCTCTTAGTCTAACATTATTTACCGCTTCATTCATGAGCAGAAAATCAAAAACCAAAACTAAAAACTCCTCTCCTCCGAGCTCAAAGTTCGAAGTTCCTGAAGAGGAGCAATGGCGACTAATCCGGGAAAGCGGTATATTGAAGAGGGCCTCTGGAACTCCATCTTTTGTAGAAACGAAATCAGATCAGATTATTCATGCTGAGGCGATTGAGGATGACGATGAAGAATGGCCTTTGGCTGAAGAAATCTTTGCGGCAACGACGATAGCCATTCCCATGTCCTTTTTGTTATTGCTCATGTACATGTGAGTGACAAACGTCGCCTTCTTCGAAAAGTTAAGCTGAAGACGAGCGAAGTTTGATACACTTCCAATATGGCCAACAACCACGTTATAGTGTCATATTAGAAAGGATGTTGAGTGGTGTACCTAGTATGCCGCGTCCTTGTTCCTATAACTCTGTCATTAGATACCGACGCTGCTTTCTCCCCTGTAGTTCTCTCAGTCTTCATCTTTTACAGTCAGTACAGCGTATGATGCAACATTATGCTCTGCTGATTGCAAACCTCTTGCTCAGCTAATCGCCACAAGCGGGATCAGCGCGCACAGTTCTTACTCTTCATCATTTCTGTAGTGGCTGGCGCGCGCATGATTCATCAAGTCAACTACGGCTCATGGCTGAACAACATGCAACAGGTGCGCATATCTTATCAAATACTTACTCATACCACTTAGAAATACTCTAGTGCCCCCCTTTGGGCACTCTGTGGGTTTACACAATAGTACAACTTGATCTTGGTCCTGCGGTGACGAGTTTGTTGGTTGTTGGAACATGGACTTGGTGGACAGGCATGAATTTAGTATTCTAGGGGATTTGAGATCGCAATATCTCGCTATCGTGACATGGCAATGGATCTATTGTGGGGAAATGTTATATGTATCCCATGCGGGACAACCTCCTCCAAATTGTACACCGCCGTCGTGAATATAACATCGGCGCAAGGCCAGAACACGACGGTAGATATAGTATATAATAGAGGGGCCGATCGTATGAAAGGTTGTGTGAATCTATGCTCGATGATACGCCACTACACGGGTTGGGACCTTTGACCCAGATGGCACCTGTTACGAGCAGTCAAGAAAAACAAAATATACTCTGACATTCGAAGTGCCAAGGGAAGGATGTGCAATCCATGCCAAAGAAGCTGGTCAATAAGGATGTAGATGTGCACAAACCCTGCATGAAAATTGAATCATGAGCGTACAACGACCTGTGAACCTTGTGCGCATAAAGAGGAGCTTCCCGCCTATATGCCTTCTCCAGTATCTAGTTCTTCAATCAAGATATTCACCTTGCTCTGGACATTTTGGAAGTGAGTAGAATAGTGAGTTTGAAGGTGGTCAACATACACGCCAAGACATCTGTCGACCTTCGAGAACTGCCCGTAGAACCCTGATTTGCCATCTTAGCCGTTTCGTAAGCTTCCGTCTAGCATTGTCTTGATGCTGGTCCAACAGACTGCAAAATGCCTTATACACACGATCATCCCGAGCGAAGTACCAAGTCTTTTTCATATGAATGGAAGACTTGATGAGCGTATCATAAGAGACGACAATGATACGAACCGGTATTGGACCATCCGAAGCTGCCTCCTGGGTGAGCGACCAAGCAGCCATCATTAACAAGTCGCTGGTAGAGTTTGCGATGCTATAACACGGGTGAGGAAGCCAAATAGGAGAAGAAGAAAAGAAACCTACTAATCTTCCAAGGTTGCGATGGCGTGGGCTTTGCCGAGCTCTTTTGTAGCGAAACTGCGAACAGCATTTTGAGCTGTCTGGACCGGCTGGCCTGACGTCCCAGCGCGGAGAGCTGTGCCAACGTTTGATATTTGTGCCAAAATCCACTTTTCACCCTCACTCATGACGAGTGTCTGTAAAAACGAGGCGATGAGGTCGCTCTGTGAACTCTGAAGACCGTAATCAATCGCTAGTTTTAGATTTGAACCTGTGACGCACGTCAGTATGGAGAGGCAGCGGTCATCGGCTGGATGGACACACGTATTGCCTTCAAAATCACCTTCGTACGCGGGAGGACCATTGCATCATCTTCAAGGTGGTTCACAAAGCGCGAAAAAGCTCCTGTTAAGATAATGGCGACATCTCTATGCGATTTACCGATTCTCATGGCGTGGAGAAGAGGCGTTACACCACCCGAGCGTCGAACAAGCAGCTGATGAGCAGTAAATAATACATCGAGCAGAGACGGGCAGTAGAGACTGACATGAAACGCATGGTCTCGGACCTCCATCAGGTAGACAATATCTTTGCGCTCTACTGCACGTAGGACTTCGTATGGCTAGTGGGTTTGAAGTGAATGAGATGGAGGCAGACATGTGAACGGAGAGAAAGAAAATGGACGCACCTGAGGATCCTTCCATGACGCGTGCGCCCTAACACCTTTGGAGCCCAATGCACTATGAAAGCTTGGACTCTCAACAACAGGTGACGGAGGTGCGCTTGATCTTGAGTCAGATATCAATGGAGTCAATAGGGCTTCTTGGATGGCGTCTGGACTCGGTGGTGTCGGACTCCTTCGCAACTGCTTGATGATCGCCCGCGGTGCTGCCTGGTCAGCCTCCCTCTGGAGGAAACCTTGACAGTTACATGGTTATCCTAAGGGTGTATGAGAGGGTAAGACATACTTGTGGAAGGTAAACTCAAGGGAAGGCAGGGACTAGATGTGACACGAGCTTTGACGTCCGAAGATGAAGAAGGCGATTGAATGTCATCCATATGTTGCAAAACTGGGAGAAGATTGTACATCATGGCCTTAAGTCACAAGCGATGAACGCTCAGAGAATGCAGTCATTCATCCAGTGCGGCAAATGAAGCAAGAATGAGTGGTATCGGTGGAGCGGAGCGGATGCGCAGCCCTCATTCAATCGAGGTGTGCACAGACCGGCGTGCGTACTTGACTGTTGGCCAGTGTTGGCCGTTCATGGGTTTTCGAGCCCCGCAGCTGAGGCACCAGTGCTGCTCAACAATCGATCAAGCTTCAAGCGAGCTTGGGCACAGCATAAACTAAGTAGTACTATCATAATCAATTGTCTTAGGCCTATAACTAACTGATTCCCAGTCATACATTTAGTGCATACCGATGTTGAAACTCTGGAAGGCGTGGGGCAAGAGCGACGTTGCCACTTCAGCATCCACACAGAGCAACGATCCCAATGGCAATACATTGATTAGGGCTAACGATGCGAATGATTCTTCAGCCCCTGCGGTTTCCCCAAGTAATGTCTCTGAATCCTCTGACCTCACTACAGTCCCTCTTCATCGCTCTAAACGGGATCAGTCTACTCGGCCCCTGGTCATCGACGAGCATGTCTCGACAAAACGGAAGAGAGTGGAACTCGAAGTTTCAGACTTAGCTCTTGATTCTATCGTGACCCGATTGCCTGAGATGGCTGAAGCTGATGCATCTACGAAGCCAGACATCGGCCCTTTTACCGTTGACTCACAGAGGCGTGTCTTGATCAGCGTTCAATCTCGCAACAGTAATCATTTCAATCTATCACTTCTTACCGCTTCTAAATGATGCTTTGCTTTTAGTGATTGCAGTTTTGAATGAGTTTCATGGTATACCCGCTATGTGCATTCCAACTGGTATCAGAATACTCACGTCGTTCTCTGAGCAGACTTTATATACTTCTCGGAAACGTTTTTGCGTCAGGCTGTGAGTGCTGATCGCAGTTTCTCTCAATCGCACTTTAAGAAGAGGATTGCACTGTTCGTGCCAGAGTATGTCTACTTTCAGTGCTATTAGCCATATCTCATGCAATGATTCTCAGAGACAACTTGCCAAGGCATCGTATCGAGATCCAAGCCCAATCTCTGTCGAAAAGTTCAGAGCTTTCGGTCGGAATTTTCACGCCGTCGGAAGATATCCAGTCCCAAAATCAATGGGCGACCCTTTTAGATTCGGATATTGTCGTTGTCCCTGCTATGGTATTCCGTCACTCATTTCTCGTCACCAACGAAAAACCTGATTGTTTTGAACACATAGAACCTTCTTGAGTCGATAATCACTGGTTGTATCTCCCTTTTGCAGATCCATGCCATCTTCATTTGCGATGCCCGTCCAGTCAAAGATAAAGAATTTCATCCTATTGTGCGCATGATGTCGGATTTCTACAGTGTACTGGACGAGCACTCCAGGCCCCGTATCCTCGCTTGTATTTCTGGGCAATTCTATTTCGACGCCACAATGATGAAGCTAGAAGAGACCTTGAAAGCTGTAGTATTTGGTGTCTCCGATGAAACCCGTGCCGACTTATTAGCCATTCCCGATCGTCCTCATGAAGCAGTTGTTTTCTTCGAACAGCCTTCTAAACACCCATACACACTTCTTTACAAGCAGCTGCGACAAATGGACAAGGAAGGAACTTCAATGTATCGTCATTTTTCCGCAGCGCGGCACGCCCTCGTCGAAGTAGGTTCTTGCGCTTCTGACTTGGTATGGCGCCGTGCGCTTGGCGACATCGACACAGCAAACATTTTAGCTCATGACGAAGACGAAGGAGCCGAAGACGAGGACACTCTCGATTCTGAAACCTCACAGGCCAGAGCTACTGCACAAATACGAAGCCTTCTGAGGAATTGGACGTTTGCGATGCCCAACCTGGACCCCTCATCAAGAGGCTTCAATGTTTCACCGAAGTTCTTGAAATTAGTGAACATTTTGAGAACATGTCAGCCATATGGGGACACCTTCCGAGGGATCGTGTTTGGTCTGTTATGAATTTTCGATGCCACAGTGTCTACTCTTAACTGACATCTCCCTAGTTCAGAAACGAGCAGTCGCTTTGGTGATGGTTGACCTTCTGCGCACGTTGGACATGGCGTATATTCGACCACATGCCCTCGTAGGGGGACCGACGGCAAATCTTCAAGCTCAAGTGAGTTCCTGACAATCTCATGAAAAAAACTAATATTCAGCGATATTGTCAGTCTGATATCATACATGGATTCGGCATGGGGACATACAATTTGCTCGTCGCCACTAAGTGTGCTGAAGACCTTGATCTGCCGAAGGCGTCTGTCGTCGTTCGGTGCGTCGGTCCCTTTCACTTGTCCATCATCTCGACTTACCTCTTGTAAGATATGATATTTTTGAGAGCCAGGTATCATATGCATATAGTCGTGCTCGGACACGTGGACGTGAAAGTCATCTCGTCCATATGTTGCAGAGAGGAAACGATACCCATCGACGCATCTTAAGACAAGTCACTCAATTTGACATGGCGCTCCAGGTATGGGCTGAAAGGGTCGCGAATAGTCCTCGTGGTGCTGTCCCTCCGAGGGTACTTCATGAGACTCATGACCCATACCTTTCCGAAAGCGAGGATGAGGACGGGGACGAGCCGGAAAGCTATATCAAGGATCCAACTACGAGTGGTCGTATCCGCCTCCAGGACGCTACTGGGATCATCTACCGCTTTGCATCAACTTTGAGCGACTGCGATGATGAGGCCGCTGGGACACCTTTATTCGAATTCGAGGATACGGTCCAAGAAACTAGCGGTCAACCGCAATTCATCTGTAGCGTGGGCCTCTCTTCGGAAATTCCTATTCCCCACATTCGTGGCCCCTCATGCGCCTCTATATCACAAGCCAGACGTGCTGCTTGCTTTCAAACGTGCCTGGCGTTGTTCGACAAAGGATTACTTGATTATCACTTCTTCCCGCAACCCCTTCATTCGGTGACTAGTCGGCGACGAGCTCCTGAAATTCTGGGTATCTTAGAAGATGATGTCGACGGGTTATCCGCTTTACCCCCGAAAGGTAGCTCCCAGAATAAATTAAACGGCACGCGCTCTTACCCACGGAAACAACCGGATTTCTGGTCAAATGGCATGCTACCGAGCTCCAAACTCAATCGCTTGTATCCTACCATCCTTACCACCGACCAATCTTTCAATTCTAGCGAAGTATATAGCCCAATGATTATTCTGACACGACTCCCCCTTCCCAGTCTATCAAGTTTCAAGCTCTTCGATTCGGGTGTTGCCACGGACGTACATCTTAGAAGAGGCGCTGCCTTCGAAATAGATGAAGAACGGCTATACGATCTCTATCGCTATACAATTCGGATATGCAGGGCCCTGCTCAACAAGCCATTTGTGTGCCCACTCGACCGTGTGCCGTATTTCTTCGCGCCTATCAAATCTTCATGGAATGATCTTCCGGATAGTAACAGGGCCCGATGGAATTTGTCTAGTGTTGTTAATGAAATCCCGTGGGACCTTGTTGCGCTCGCTGCTAGGGACTGGGTGGTACCGCTAAGGTCCGGATCTGTGCAGTCCATATCAGACGACATGCAGAATGCTATTATTCAGGATAGATGGGTGGAGTTCACAAGGAGGTATTATGCTATCCAGGTGCGACCTGATTTGACACCGCTCAGCAAACCGCCGGACAGTCAGGTATATTCCTTGTGCAGCTCATGATTCATGTTCTCATATTTCTCTTTCTTAGCGTGAGGAAGATTACGACAATCTAGTAGAGTACTGTAAAGAACACCGCAAGGGTTTCATCGGGCTTAACGACTACGGGCAGCCTTTGATTCAAGTCGATCGTGTTCCACCGGTGATGAACCGTTTAAATCCTATGATCAAGACCGTGAGTACACCGACAAAGCCACCTGCTAGATGTAAGTATCTCCTGGGTGGATGCATAGCGGGAACTTAATTATATTTCTAGACCTAATTCCCGAACTGTGCGCCAAATTCACAATCCCAGCAAGGTCAGTTTCATCTTGCGGCTGGTGAAACGTGGAATTGATCTGTATGCAATCCAGTACATTCCGGACCGCCCTTTTACTTCCATCGATCATGCGAAGGATCGATGACCTTCTACTGGTCAAGGAACTCAATGCGTCACTGTTTGACCATTCCATTTCTGAACATCAATTGCATGCCGCGATCTCTGCCCCTTCTGCAGGGCTTCAGTTCGATTATGAACGCCTCGAGCTTCTTGGTATGTAATCCTGCAATCTTTCGCCGAGTTTGTGGTAGTTATTCTTGTTCTTTTCTACGCGACATCAAGGGGATGCATACTTGAAATATCTATCGTCTATCTATCTATTTGTGACTAACCCCTCGCAACATGAGGGCGCGCTGCATTCTGCAAGACTGCGCATCATCAGCAACAAGGCATTGTTACTTAATGCTGATCGAGCAGGTTTACCTCCCTTCATTCAGGCAAAACCCTTTGTCTCCAAATTATGGCAGCCACCAAACTTCGAAGTCCTCCCACCCCCTCAGGTCCACGCGGACCCCCCCAGAGAAGAGGACAAGAGCCGAAAAGATATTGAAGACGGAGCGCCTCTGATAGTTGTCGAAAACTGCGATTCGATGGACCCACCTCGCGACGAATATGGTCCGCTAGGATCGATGCAAGTATCGGCGATAGCACCGGGATGCAACGAGACAATTAAACCGCGCGGTGAGAATGAAAGCGCCAGTAGTTTGGTACCGACAGAAGGGTCTGCGTGGGATGGTAGCACTTTGCCAGCGACCGTTCCGGGCTACCGCTCGAAGCGAAAAAGGCAGCAAGAGGAACAGAATATCCATTGGCTGGGCGATAAGGTGCTCGATCCCCTGCTTCGACCCCCCCAGATTTCCGCCGCTTACCGCAGAGTATGTCTAGGCCGTAGCAGACGTCGCCGAAGCTATCGTTGGGGCAGCCTATGTCACGGGTGGTCGCGAAGCCGCGTTGAAGGCGTCAAAGGCTCTCTGTATTGCGGTCCCCCGTGTCGATCGGTGGTCTGATTTCGGAAAGAAGGCACTCGCCCCACCTCCTGATGTAACAGCCAAATTGCGGCCAGGCTCCATACAGGCTGTGGAGAAAATTATCGGACACAAGTTCCAGCGCCCCCACATCCTTGCCCAAGCTTTGGTTTGCTTCAATTTTGTTCTTGTGACGACGCGATATGTATTCATTCATTTTACTCTATCGCATTAGACGCACGCATCCATACAAGGCTATGAAATGACTTGTTACGAGCGGTTAGAATTCATCGGAGATGCGATTCTCGACTTTCGTAAGTCTTGGAGGGACCAAAGACACCATTCCGCTACGTTACTGACTCTGCCTTAGTGGTCATCCGCCATATATTTGACCGAGATACGCAATTGTCTCCCGGTGCACTTACGTTATTGAAGGTTCATTCTTCCCCCCGAGCCACACGCTTGCTTTCACACCTGATCATCTTACTCGTCCAGGGTGCCATGGTGTCTAATTCAGCGCTTGCGGCTGTCTGCATCCAAGCCGGATTACACGAGCACCTCATCTTCGAGTCATTCACATTGGCAAACAACATCCAGTTCTATGCAGAAAATCTCAAGGCGAAGCAAGCCGAAGAATATCAGGCAGCCGTCAACGAAGACAGAATGCCCGGTCAGTACTGGCTGGAAGTCGAACCACCAAAGGTCTGTATTCGGATCATTGTTCTGCAAATTTATTTAACGGGTTCACTCTTCTTTGCGCAGGCACTGTCGGACGTCGTGGAATCAATCATTGGTGCCATCTACATTTCTGACAACTTTTCCCCGCGCGGGGTGGAGATATTCTTTGATAACGTTCTGAAGCCGTTTTACGACATGCACATCACACTAAAAACGCTCTCACATCATCCGACGAAGATCCTTTTCGAGCTCTTCCAAGCCCAAGGATGCCAGCTCTTCCAAATGGTGAAATCTAAGACCGTCGATCAACAATACACACGCTGTGACGGTAAGCGATGATCAGTTCGCTGGCTACTATCACCGCATCTGATGTGCCCTGTCCCTACAGTTGTGGTACACGATATTATTCTGGCTAGCGCTGATGATTCTACGTCGGCTTTGGCTGCGAAGCGGGCGTCATATAGAGCCTTGGACGCCTTGGAAGGCGACTCTGACTTCATGACGCGCACATGTGACTGTAGGGCTCTGAACCTGGCTAAAAAAGCGCAAAAGAAAGGCTTCAAAGAAGCGATGGCAGATTTCAGCGACGCAGAGGAGAACGACGAGGACGAGGACTTGATGGCCGTAGAGGGCGCTTTGGCTGAGGAAGCTAATGGAGAATCGGAGGAAGGAGAAGTCTAAAACGGATTGCACATCACTGCTCTGTTCTGTTTGTCCCCCGTATCTGTCCTTCATGATACTAGATATGCTATAGAAGAACGTGTGTCACATGTATGCGATTGATTTAGATGTGACCATCAGGAGCAGAAACCACTTCCACATGTATGTGTATTAGGGGAACCAGAAGCTCGGAGTAGATTGAGGGGCTATGCGCCTGATTTCCGACTGGAAAGAGATGTGCATCATCAGAACTGATTTCCGCAGATTGCGGTGCTTGAGCAACATACAGCTGGTAAAAGGACGCCAGGAATGGGACTGAGAAGCCCAGGGATAAGAAAACAGCGACCTTGACAGCGAACGCAGGTTTGTTGTCATGTTTGAAAGGGATGTGCTAGTTTGCGCGTTGATGAGCGCCAAGAATCCTGGACGGACCACATGGACACTTACTTTGTACTCTCCGTGGGCACCCCGCGATGGAGCAGTGAGGCGAGAGCGGAGGATTTGCTGACGCAGAGCTGGAGCACGGATGAGAATGGACATGGCGGTCGATGGTTAAGAACGTATAACGCGTGCAGCCGAGCAATCACGTTCGCTTCCGGGACCCGCCGGTGGCGAATAGTAGTGCCGCGTGAACTTCGTCCTAATAGTAACTTATTCTCTCGCGAATGATGAACTCAATGATGCAATTTTGAAACCTATGATGTGGAACATCAAACATCGTGAATTTCACTATGCGATATATGTATCGCTGAACCTGAAACAGTTCTGAACGATGGCGGTGATAACTTGACCCACAGTGAGATAATAAGGAAAATCCGATCGAATTGCGATACGACAGAATACAACTATGGCTTACAGTAACAGACAATCTGTTTACTGTTAGACAGCCCAAGGAAAAGTGCATGGCGCAAGAAACCGTAAACCAGACTGACAGTTGAATGGCGCAAAGCTGAGCCAATAAGAAACGATAACAAGATGAGGACGCCGATTACCCGAGACGAGGGATTTATAAAATAGGAGGCGGGGGGATCAACGGACAGTGGATACAAGAAAGGGGATGGACGGCGATAGCATTATTGAAAGCACTGAAATTTGGGGTCGAGCAAACAATCTTTGGGAGGGTTCGTGACTTGAGCATCCTAAGACGAGATCAACGGCCTGCAGGTGGTCAGTGTGGAATCTACTAACGGGTTTCAACATTGGCTTCTTCCAACATTCTCCCTCGTCTAAGACAACAGTCTTGCGGGTAGAAGATCTTCTTCTCATGACAGACTCTGGTCCTCGTCTGGTCTGAGAGCGGTCCGGGTTTGTCCAAAGCAGTTCAGTTATGCTGAGCTCGGGAGAGCCGCCGTACAGATAATTCCTCTGTAGAGGCGCAGAGACAGAAGACGCGCGAGTATGCTGATGGGCTGGCAAGTATTTTGACGGGGGCCCCGAGCTAACAGAAGAACGCCCGCTGAAGACGTCTGGGCCGAAAGTCGACCTCCGCGACCGCTGAGCGTAAGATTCACGAGACAAGACAGAGTCACTGCAGGAAGACTGGATGGAAAATGAATGAGCAGAACGAGTGTGGTAGTTGGGTGAAAAGGGAATGAAGTCGACCGTGGGCGAAGGTGGCTGGAGGGTGCTCTTGATGTTGATCGCGCCCTGCGCGTGTCGGCCGAGTTGGGTGGCCGTCAAGTCCGGGCGAGAGAGCTCCACAAGTGATTCGGAAGTGGTTGGGGCATAGCGAGAAGAGGTGAACACGAAAGAAAAAGGCGATTCGAGCGGGTCGGACGAGGGAGACGAGTTGTCGTCGGGTTGTGTGAGGGAGGGAGGAGTATTCATGACGCGATCTGCATTGTTGGTGCGCGTTGGCGGAGTGCACGGAGACTCCAGCTTCAGCTCTTTAGCTTCACTTCTCAGATAACACAGTTGGAGGCGAGTGGGAGAGCAGCAGTGTCGCGGGGAATCCCGCATGATCGGCGGATGTGGCGGTGCCGGTGCCCTTATCTAGATAATTTCGGTCGGCCAGCGGCGCCGACGAGGTATCTTATCTTATCGCGGGTTGCAGTATGCGGGCTCTCCGATCCCTGGGTGGGCATGGGACATCCAACAGGCTCAAGGCCGCAGGCGTTAAATTCGGGACACATCGCTGCTCCCACCGCCAGTCCTTTCCCTTCTCCAATATGGCCCTCGTCGCACAGATCACTGTCCCCCGCTCCAACACCACCATCTCCGTTCCAACGGGTCTGTTCATTAACAACGAGTTCGTTCCCTCCGAAGACCCTTCCAAATCAATCACGTCCGTCCTCTTTCAATCTATCGTCTTCCCATCTCCCCACCGATCTCTTTCTGATTCCCACAAAGCGTCGTCAACCCTGCCACCGAGGAGGTTCTTTGCTCCATTTCAGCTGGTATGTATGTTGGCTTGACTGCTCCCATCTGCTTCCTCACTTCTGCATCCGTTCGGTATAGCATCGGAAAAGGATGTTGATAGAGCCGTGAATGCCGCCCGAGAAGCCTTTCGTACCACCTGGGGAAAGAACGTCACTGGATTCGAGCGCGCGAGGCTCATCAACAAGCTTGCGGACCTCATCGAAAGAGATCAGCAAGTCCTCGCAGAATTGGAATGCATCAACAACGGAAAACCGGTCAAGATCGCCAGGTCCGTGACATGACATCGGCCTTAGCTCGCTTACCTCATGTTGACCTGGCCCCAGGGACTTTGATATAGGAGATAGCATTGGGTGCCTCCGCTACTATGCTGGCTGGGCTGACAAAATTGTTGGGCAGGTAAATCAGATGATGATGAACTACCCTCGGACCACATCTTTGACCTCCTCTGATCACCTGCAGAGCATCGAAATAGACCGCAAGACCAAATTTGCCATCACCCACCCAGAGCCTATCGGTGTGTGCGGCCAAATGTGAGCGTCTCCTGTATATCATGGTTCAAAGTTGCATTAACTTTGCCACAGAATTCCATGGAACTATCCCATACAGATGTGGTAAGTATTCTATCGCTCCACATTTGTGTTGAGACTCCGCTTGATGTGCCGTCTAGGGCATGGAAAGTTGCTCCCGCGTTAGCAGTCGGGTGCACAATAGTGATGAAGCCCTCGGAGATCACTCCACTGACAGCGCTTGTACGCACACTTCTCCGATGAATTCTTAAAAACTCATCGATAACTAACTTTGTTTGGCCAGAAACTCTCGGAACTGGTTAAGGAAGCTGGGTAAGCTCGAGCGCTCTTGAGACGAGTCGCATCGATATAATTTTCTAAATGGTAGATTCCCTCCGGGCGTAATTAATACCATTCCATCAATGGGTTCTGTGGGGGGCGCTGCCCTAGCCGCTCACATGGACGTCGACAAAGTTGCCTTCACCGGTTCTACAATCACCGGGCGTAGGATTATGGAAGCTGCGGCGAAAAGTAACTTGAAAAAGGTATTGCATACACCTATGTTATTACCTTAGGTTAAGTGATGTCATAATTGCAGGTGTCCCTCGAGCTAGGTGGGAAGTCCCCACAGCTAGTGTTCGAATCGGCGGACTTGGATCAAGGTGGGCTTGCTGAAGGATCCAGATGTTGTATGTTCTGATGCGATCGCCACGGTGGCGCTCTAGCGGCAAATTGGGCTGCACTAGGTATCTTATACAACACTGGTCAAGACTGCACAGCCGGATCAAGGCTATATGTTCAAGACACAATCTACGAGAAATTCCTTGCTCTTCTGGCGTCGAAAGCGCAGGAACTTGTAATTGGTGACGGGTTTGATGAGGCATCTGGCGGTGGTCCCGTGGTAAGTTTGTCTTTATGATACCTGATATCCCGAAATGCGCTGACCAAGGTTGTTCGGTGATCCCCAGGTCTCCAAGGCACAATATGACCGAGTGTGGGGCTACATCAATTCAGGTAAACAGGAGGGGGCCAGGATTGTTATCGGTGGAGAAAAGCGCGCTGGCGTTGGGTTCTATGTTGAACCCACAAGTGAGTCATGACTGGTTGTGTAACTTGAACCGAGCTGACTCATCGTACCGATAGTCTTTGCCGACATTCGGCCCGACATGAAAGTGGTGCGTTCAATCCCTCCATTTACTCGTACAACACTGACCTTAAACGGTGCCTCGGTCTCAGGTCAAAGAAGAAGTACGTTGGACGACGTCCTCCGCCCTGTGACAGGTCATTGAACGCATAGTTACGCTCTTGTAGATCTTTGGACCAGTTTTGGTCGTCGGCAAATTCCAGACGGAAGAGGAAGCCATTGCCCTGGCAAATGACACGACGTATGGTCTCGCGGCCGGCCTGCATTCCAGTGAGTTATGAAAACTCTCGTCACCTTGCTGCGCATTGACACATGTGGCTTCTTAGACGACGCCGCGCAATGCGCGCGCGTTTCCTCCGCTTTAGAGGCAGGCACGGTAGGCGCATCTTGGACTTTTCGGTCGACGTGAAACATAATTGACACATTGCCTTGTGCTAGATTTGGATCAACCAATACAATTTGCTTTACAACAATGTACCCTTCGGCGGTAAGAAGCAGAGTGGTATCGGTGCGTACCTTTGGACACATATGTGGTTTATAACTAACGGCGCGTCTATCACGAAGGCCGCGAGCTAGGGAGTCACGCCCTCGACGAATACATATCCACGAAAGCAGTGCATTGGAACTACGGAGAGAAACTCGCCTGGCCCTTATAATAGAAGTACGATCTGACGACATGGAGAGGAATCTAAATCATATGTAGCTGTAAGAAAACGTGTTGTTGTTGTTGTTGATGCTCGTGTATTCTGAAGCCCAAATGGTTGCACCTTTCGTTTACTTGATTTAGTTCGCCGTCCCGGTCTCTGTCTGGATCTATCCCTACGATCACCTCGTGGTATTGAGGCTCTGAAACTCGACGCAAAATCGACGTCCTCGCGGGGTCTTCGTGAACAGCATAGAAAAGTGACCGATTACTTCCTATGAAAAGATCCAATACACAGCCTCCAATCAGTCCCATCAAGGACGGCCGCATGTGCTCAAATCACTTCATGACAGAAAACCTTGATGCCAGGATAAACATCCGAAACCTATTATATTGAAGCGCCGGCATCGAAAGCTATCACATTCGCGTCGGAGAAGTACGTTGACTTCAGGAACTACCAAGAAGATACTATTATGGGCCTCTCTTTTAAATTAATAGAAGATGTCGTCAATAGCGGGCTACAGATACGCCTTGCTTGCACACCTAGATTTAAACCTGGTGATTGCCTCCGTAAGATCCCTAGATGCAAAGTCATTGTAGTGCAATAGGATTAAGACGAAAGCGTCTGACATTGTAATCGTTGTCTGGTGCGACGATTGCCGTAGAGGCTCCTGATGGCCACTCATCATATGCACTTCTTGACAGACTTCCTTCCAGCTCAGCTGTTATAACCCTGCATATCACGCATAGATTTACTTTCAAGAACGCATCGAGAGGACAGAGCGTACCAAGGGGAAGTATGAGTTGGTTGTGCTGATCCGTAGGATGCCGGCTGACAGGTTTGAGGGTAGTAAAGTGGGTAAGCTGGCTCAATCAGTGAAGATTGACCGTTGGTAAACAGTGCGGACGGGTTGTGGTGGGTAGGAGGCTCATAGTGGAAGTCATTGTGCGTCGGTGCTAGGTTATAGGATTGAGACGATGGTACACCACCGTACCAGTCGACCTGGAAGTGGGTACGTTCAACTCCAGTACTTGAGAAGAGGGGAGCAGGATAGACAGCCTCGGTCGCATAGCCAGGCAGCACGGACCCTTCACCAGTGATGAGGTCGTCGTTTCTGGGGAGCACGTATGATGAAGGGGTCTGGCCCTGCTGTTGAGAGAGAGAAGACCATCGTTCACCCAACGCATCTGCTTGCGGGATAGCCGTTGTCCTGTATGCCGAGTTACGAACAAATGTGCAGGTCAAATCCATCTTTTCACAACGTCGGCATCTCGACGGATTGCTGGATGACGCGCACTAGACTAGATATGAACATGCGTGCGTCTGGAGGGAGTGACAAACCCGACGCACCCTGACCTGACGCCGACGACATTCGGTGCAAGCAATCGCAGCTCGCTTTGGCCTTATGTTCGTATTCCCGGGCTCATCCCGACAGACTGTCCCATTTACTGCGGCAATATTACTGAATGGACATGCAGATTTCAGGGGGTGCGCACCTGATTGGATGGAGGTGTCCATTTCGTTGAAGGGGATCTGAGGCTGGAGGAAAGGGGCCACACAAGTACGGGTGACGATCGTTGGATCACTTGAGAGGGTATATATATAGTAGGAAGGCGATGAGGGGATGCATGGTGTTGATTAGAAAAAGTGCATCGCGCATCATTCAAGTCCCCCGAGACCTGTGCTTTGGTTCCATGAGCAAATCTCAACTGCGAGGTTGGGCGCTGACCTGACTTCTTCAAGCGCCAATAACGTGACGGCAGGCGTCGATTGGACGGTAACCCAAATGGGGACATTTGACTCGAGCACTACCAATTGAATCCTGAGGTCTACCTTCCACGCGCTCACGTCGTGCCCTGCGACTGTGGCCCATCTATGGAAAGTCGACCAACTGTGTTGGAAAGTCTGTTATGCGAATTGTTCTCTGGCCTATCGCACAGCAAATTCAGAGCTGTCCCTCATAACCTCCTCTAGGTTTCAGCAAGAGTGAATTCGGCTTTCTCCGGCTTTTAATATAAAACCGCGGTCTGACTGTCATAGTCAGGGCAACAATAGTTGGGATTAATTCCCCCTCTCCTGGTGAAAGTGACTGACCAGCTAGTTTGGTGCTTACATGCAGAACGTTGGTGCCTCATCCGTCTGCATTCCGTCGGGCTGTTCGCGGCGAAGATGTGATGCTCACTTCATCATTCCTCGACGATACTATATGCTTGCCCCAATATCGGATTTACAGCTAGGGATCCTCCTGTCTTGAAGCTTTGGCTTTGTAAAGTTTACGCTGATTACCTGTATAGGAAACTGACGGTACAAGATAAATTAGGCCATACCATACCACAGTTCAGGTTGAAACAACGATACCTGATGATCTGAATCCGTTACTAGGCGAGGTTTGCCGGTGGCGAAGCCGGAACATATGCTGAGATTTTTTCTTTCTGTTAGACTGCTTTGTGAACATGTAATGCATCGGATATGAGACGTTCCTTCCCATCTTCCCGCATCGCATCGATGCAGAAAGCGCAGTCTTACTTTCTTTGTGTACACAAGTGCAAGACCACTCTTGTGTTCATGGACGATAAATAGATCGTTGCACTGGAGACAAGGCTAGAATGGAACTGAGAGCACTTCCAAGTATTGTCTGATGCGAAAATACGGTGCTTAGCTTCGTTATTGGAGCTCATCAACATGGACAAAAGACGTATGACGCAAAACAATTCAACTAGGGGTGACACTTTTTTTTTGAGGAAACCATCAGCTTCATGACATTTCTAGCCAAGAGAAAACGCGACATACATATAAAGTACAAGGGCGCCCCTACAGGGCGAGATAATCACGTACTTCTTCCTCACTTAATTTCCGGAAAGTTGGCTTCGGGCGTCCTGTCTCTACTCCAACTTTTCCGGCTTCCAGTTCTACTGCTGTCGGTACGGTGACGACTCCGATCTCGATCGTCTTTTCCGTCATCTGCCCCTCGAACCCCTCTTTCAAAGTAAGGAGTGCCGTGTGGATTGCGTCTTCTAAGCTTATGTCATCGTTGTATCTGTGGATGCGGGATATTTGAAACAATCAGACAAGGTTGCAGCCAGCGCAAGACATGACACCGACCGTTTCTCCAAGAACGTCTTAGCATTCACCATGTTCTTGCCAATCGCACTGGCTTTCCAGGCCCAATAAGATCCGGAAGGATCTACTTGATATAGGGTCGGGCCGCTGCTGATATCCCATCCAGCTACCAACAAGGAGACACCGAAAGGCCGAACACCTCTATGCGACCGACGGAGACGTACGAGTTGGTCAGACGCCAGTTGACCCTGTGTGAAACGACGAACCCTGATTGTGTTGCCTGCTGCATCACAGTAGCGATCTCCTGCGTCAACACTCGCGTTGGTGGATATTCGCCATATATCTTCCAGTATGCCTGTGCGCTCTTGCGGGCCTTTGCAATAAGTACTCGGAAATCCGGACCCATTCCAGAGTACACAATGCCAACATTTGGACAGATGATGGCAACCTTCTCGATCATAGAGTCATCGATAAGGATAGAGGACGACTTCTTCTCCGTTGCAATTACGATTCCGTTGGACGCTATATCGATGTTCAAATGATCTACTCGGAACGCGACCTGAATATTTATTATAACACACCTTTGATGCCCAAACTAGTTGTCCCTTGCGATACCGCAGCCAATGCATGCTCGATCTGCACAAGCTTACCGCTCGGAGAGAAGACCGTGAGGGAGTAACTAGTTGGAAGTGGAACATAAGTCGTTTGCAATGCAAATGGATCTTACCATGACTTACCTGTATGCGCCGCCATCCGAGGTTGCCATGATATCCTTGATTGATGAATACTGGTGAAGAACAGTGTTATACAAGAAGTTGAGAGGTTTGCTATGATGAATGAGAATGTACGCGTAACAGATAACGAGACACTGGGACGCGCGTCGTCACGTGCTCCTTTACAGTAATGCTTCGATCGAGAACTCATCTAAACCACAAACATACTCAGGGATAATTCGAAACTTTTCACAGCCCATATAATCATCACTAGCTAACAGTCAATGACCAATGCTTAGATCGCAGAACAAGCTCAATATTTGTCAAGAATTGACCATTTGTTTCGAACTTCAACTCAACTCAACCGCCTCCCGACTCTGTACCGCTGCATTTCTCACAACTATCTCGATTGTTACAATGCATAACGAATGCCGAATTGATACCAATACATAGAGGCCCTGCGCCCTGATGCACCCCCAGCCTTAGGAATGAATCATATATATGATTGTTCACTGCATATTACGCATTGAGAGGGGCGGTCCTGAGGTAGGACTTTGAAACCAATTTCAGCCACTGTTATGACAACGACAGACGATATGTACATACCTTGTGGGTAGTAAAGTTTGGGAACAGCGTCTTCGCCTCCGCATTGCTGACCGAGGCATGGACGATAATATCTTCGCCTTTCTTCCAGTTGACGGGTGTAGCGATGCGATGCTTGTCAGTCAATTGAAGTGCTGTGGAGAGTCCGTCAACATTGTCCAAAAAAATTGATCAAACACCTACAATCGATGGCACTAGGACGGGATGTTAACATCAATGGTGTATGTGATCGAACTAACATAACCTTACCGGATGATCTCATCGAAATTGCGCCCAGTGGATGCAGGATACGAGAGAGTAAGGCGAATCTTCTTCTTTGAGTCGATGACGAAGACAGTGCGAATCTGTTACTGGATCAATCCGCATCCAGGGAGCGAAGCGGAGATACGATACATACAGTCAGAGGCAAGCCCTTCTTATCCACATTAGTCGCGTCTTGTTCATCCAACATGTCGTACAGTGTCGAGATCTTCCTATCCTCGTCGGCGATCTATCGCACGATACACAATTAGGATGATATTCAGCAGGACAAACATCCGCGACGCACGATGGGGAACTGAAGGTCAGTGGAGCCATATTGAGCGCCCCATTCGTTGATATCCTTTACCCATTTGTGATGTGATTCGAGACCATTGGCAGAAAGGCCAATGACCTTCACACCACGGGCTTCGAAATCAGGAGCACGACGGGCAACTTCCGCCAACTCGGTGGTGCAAACAGGTGTGAAATCGTCAGGGTGAGAGAACAAGACGGCCTGTTGAAACTTATATCAGATATTGATACTCTCAAGAGACCAATGCTTGACGCGCACCCAGGAGTCCCCAATCCAATCGTGGAACTTGATGGGACCAGTTGTCGTCTGAGCCTCAAAGTCCGGAGCGGTGCTTCCCAAACGCAAAGAGGGGGCCATGATTGAAGTGGTCGGGTTGAAGGGAGATAAGAGTTGGAATGGCTCGGACGTCTCTTCCTTTAAATGTTATGGAGGGCATGGCCGGATGCTAAGACGAGTCTGGGAGGCCGGATGGCGGATGGACGTTGCCTGGGCGGATCACTCGCTCATCGCGTCTTCAGTTCTCACAGATTCTCACGAGTCGTCATTCCTGATCGCATCGCGTGCTAGCGCTCACACTGAATATTGACACGTTGACGCTTTGCTACTTCGTTCAGCTGTGCATACTTATATTCCCAAAAAAAACAGGCCTCAGGACACACGTATACACATACACGCCGTTATGTAGTCACACAATTACGCTCGTATCCTGCTATCAATAGTAAGCCACAGCATGAAGGAGACTGTGAGGATGCTTGTCTTGTTGAGATTGTAAGATCTTATCGATGTCTTCGTCGATGTCGTTTGAAGCTTCGATCTATACTCGTCCCTGGTCAGCTCAAGAAACTGGTGTGGCGTGAGGATCGCATTACCGCTGCCGCCAAATCAATCATGGCCTTCCCAGCTATCAGGGCTTCTTCGTGATTATCCTTGATCTCGACATTCACAATGTGGACTACACGATTGAGGTCGCCTCCTCGAGACATCAAGTCTGTGCAAGGTTGTATGCTGTTTTGAATCAATGTTCAAGATTCGGAATCAGAGAAGGTCCTACCATCACAGACGGCATCGAAACATCGCTCTTCGCAGGTGATCACGATATCCGCAATTGCCCGACTTTCCTGCCACCGCTCAGGTGCTAGCTTTATTTTCCGATTACGATCCAACATCTGCAGCAGCCCATTAGCTGTGTATCTGGTAGATTTGTAAGACCGCGTAGGCAACATATGCGCATGGAGCCTCACAGTCGAGGGTCCTTCGAGTGCAGCTCTTCATAGATGTCATTGTATGGTGTGCCGAATGCGTATATATTGGGCTTGTCTACGGATGGGCCTGGGAGACGAACAGCAGATCCGGTTCCGAACGAGATTACACGATACCCTGCCTTGCTGCAACTCGGTCATAAGACATATCGAAAGCATGAACGCGAGGGACTGACGATAGTACGAAATGGCCTTCCATCGACCGATTCTACACAAGACATCTATTATAACTGGGTATCCCTCGGCTCCAATATGAACGCACCTGATTGCTTGCACAGACAACGCAAAACAACGGCCTCTGCTTATATGCCGGAGCTCCCAGAGAGTCTTCACTGCTTGACTTGGGGGGCGTAAATTGCTCTGGAGGAGGGGTAATCTGTCGAGAGGCTGAAGCAACTGCTTGCGCAAATGGCTGAGGTGGCGTCGGTGTTGAGTGCAGGGAAGGAGTGTGTACATTGGGTCTATGGTTTGATGAAGACGCAAAAGAATCGTAAGGCGCCGACGGCGGTTGGACATTTGGAAGAGGTTGCTGGAGGCGTAGGTCTTGCTGGCGCGCAAGGCGAGGATCGCGAGCTCTTCGAGGATCCATCGGATACTAGAGAAGCAAAGCAAGAGTTAAACACTTAACATATCATAGCTTATGAACGATGTAGCCTCAGCAGTATCTAGAACATTTGCTGGTCTTCCTCTCGACCCAGCTAACGGTTAGTCACTTGCAGGTCGATCGAGATTCCACTCTGAATCATCACAGGCGAAACTGAGGAAGTTTGGAGGGGTAGTTACCTTGATTTTTCGGAAAGAGGAAACTGGACTCTCCCTAAGTTACTTCGAGGAGTATAGCAGAGAGGCCTTGACCCCGTGACAACCTGTGACATAGTCAAAGTGTCCAGTAGTAAGTGTCCGTCAAGCTGACCGTGGGAACTCGTCTTCATCGACGTTGCTCCTTGGTAAGACATCGTTTCTCTATCACCCATAAACCTTCGCTGATTAACCTCATTCATCATGGATCCTGGTGGTAGCAATCTGGTTCTGTCGAAATAGTAAAGTAGTAACCGTGATAACCCTTGATATTCAACTCAATAGAGCGGGCAGGTAGGTAATCGATACTGTACCAGAGTTATCCATTTAATGAGCTTCAGGATGCCTCACGACAGATACCATCTCTCTTCGGAAGAAATCACTGCCGTTCATGATGATATCCGCCGTCATGAGCAAGTTGTCACGTCTATCGACGTGAAGTTAGAGACACTCGCGCGGGAAGCTAGCCTCCTGCGCGTAGACAAGATACGCCATTTAGAACTCATATCGAAATGCAGGGGCGTCCTCACACTAGCTCGCCTTGCCCCCGACGAAGTACTTGCCCAGATCTTTGAGAACTGTGTCGCAGAAAACTGGGCGCGAGCTCCTCTTGTTGTGTCTCAAGTCTGCGCCAAATGGAGGAGGGCAGCATTGAGCCCCAGGGTATGGGCTAAAGTCATTCTTACTAGCGATAGCTTGTATCCCATCGAAAGGACGCGTCTTTGGCTCTCCAAAGCACTACAATCGCCGCTGCACATTATAGTTGATATCGCCGTGTTAGACTCGCAACTGTTGACTGCTGTGGACCTTCTTCTGAACCAGCTTCAGCAATGGTACGAATTTACCCTTCACTCCCGGTTCATGCATCAAGCATGCGATATATTGGCAAGGTGTACTCGCAGTGCGCCAAATCTACGCTCAGTCAACATCTCTATTTCTGCGACTCCCTTGCCACCCGGTGAAAGCTCAGATGGAATGCCAAACCTCAAGTTTATTTTTCAAAATGCCCCCCAACTCAAATCCATTACCTGGACGAGCAACACGTTTCCCTCCTCTCTCCCTTCCCAGATTTCCGAGCTCACTATCACGCTCCTTCCATATCCATTCGGGCCTACGTCAGTCCTTTGGCTTCTCGAGGTGTTAGCAAACCTTCCTTCCTTGAAGAATCTCACTCTCACGATCCCTGTCACATTTTCCGAAGTGATCTTGTTCCCGCGTGAACAGACGCCCCCGTTTCTTTTATCACGCCTGGAATCCTTAACAGTCCAAAGCTACCCTGATTTCAACAACATCCTCCTCTATATCCAGACACCCAATCTTTCTCGTCTTCATCTTCGGTCCTCGGAGCCCCCTCTGAATCACCCACACGCAGCAACGGGCGCATCGTTGTGTCGATTCATTGAATCTATTTCTCCACCCTTAGAACTATTAGAGCTATACGATGTCGACCTTCCGCGGGGCGATTTTATCCGCTGCTTCTTAGGTCTACCCACTCTCCAAGAACTTCGCCTCCACGAAACAGAAATCTCTGATGACGTGTTTGCATTGATCGCAGAACTTGATGGTCCTTGCCCTCAACTCAGGCGACTCGACTTGCGATGGTGTGAACAGCTGTCCGGCAGTTGTCTGGTCAACCTGATATCGGCTCGAAATGTGGCCTGTGACATCGCTCATAGCAATCCTGCTTTGCGGCGAATAGAGGAGATCACTCTTGTCAATTGCGCTTTGGTGAAGGAGCGCGACGTTTTGGATCTTGCGAAGGCAACAGTTTGTAGCGTCATAGCGCGGAGCCCTGATGACTACTGTCGTAAGTAAGCCATGGTATCAACACGAATTTTATTCATTGGTGGTGTGTCTCAATGTCTAGGTTTTCGAGGGTGTTGCAACAACGGTCGCTATCGGCAGCGTCTCCGTTTGAGACACAAGAAAGACTTAGAATCAGCTGAAGGGGGTGGAATGAGACTCATCCTCGATTAAGACTATATCGTACGCTTGCTATCCTCAATGAATTAGAAAGTTTGTGAGCCTAAAAGGCGTGCCAGCAACAAAAAAACAAATTATCGGGTAGCTGTCTCCCACTTCTCCTGAATTCCTTCGACGTATCGATAGACAGGGTTGAGCGTTGAAGCGTTGAACGTTGAAGCTGAAGCTTTGAAGAAAGATCATCTATGTTATTCTACAAGATACCTCACGTGATGTGAACTTCGCGCGTTGTTTGTATTTGTAGCCTCGTACTCGAGCCAAGGTTGGGTTTTGAGTGGACGTTCATCTTGCTGGCCCGCCGAGAAATTCGTTCTCAAAGTAGGCTGATTGGATACCAGACAGATATCAAACTGTTAACAATGTCCCCTATTCCGCTCGTTCACTGCATGCTGCGCCTTTTTACTCTGTCTTTCCTCGCTCTTTACCCTGCACTCTCTACAGCTGCAACGGCTGGCCAGCCTGGGCCTCTCTCCCCCGCCGAACTCAGATACTCGAGATCTCACTCTCTTGGGGAGAACTACATCTTTGACAATCGCGATGGCTGGCAAAGCGTCAACATATCCGACATGCTGTATAAATACAGTACATCCACTGGCGAGGCAAGCCAGATTGAAGCAGAAGGTGGCAACTATGGATTTGACTCGATTTGGAAGAGATCAGGGAAGAACTACAGGAAAAATCCCGGAAAGAGGCCCGAGGAAAAATCCGGCGGGCTGGGAGGCATCGCGGACACCGTGAAGAACATGTTCAAAGGGCTAAAAGGCATCGGCAAGGCCCAAGATGTCACTATAACATGGTTTGTTGCTTCCACTCGTACCTTATACCCGATATCAAGTTAGCAGTCTTACCTGAAATTCTAGGTATACTGGCCATGATCTTGAGAATCCAAGCTGCTGGTCAGAATCACAGTGGGCGCCGACGGTCCGTACTTTCATAGTAATAGCTCAGGATGTTGAGATTTTACTTTTCTCCAGGATGCGTCCTTCGCGTGCGCACTGACGATGGATGGATGGCAGTCAAAGCCTCAATGCTTTAAATTCTTGGAGCGTGCGTGCCGGCTTTCTAGTTCTATAACTCACTATCAACGCGATTATACTGCGGATGAACTCTAGTTTGCAACACGCCGAAAAAATGCGTGTTCGTCCGTGTCGTCGATACATGCGCCGGGTGCGCCAAGGGTTCAAAACATGTCGACCTCACAAAGGCTGCATTCGGTCAATTGGCGGATTTCGACAAAGGCGTGTTAACGGTGCAGATGAGAATGGCCACCGAGCCTGAGAGCTGGTAAAAGTGACTGACTCGGAAATGCGCACCACGCTGATCATATGCGCCAGGATCGAGAAACTTTGGGGTCCTAAGGCCAAATAATGCACGCGCCACTCACTCACCAACAGACTATACAAGGTGGTTCTGCCTGGAGCAGCTGAATGTGACGATTTGATTTGTAGAACGCCTGTATCACTATGTAGATGATGAATCAGATGTTTACCCTTTTTCTCTTCTTACCATCTTCGATTCTAGCCCTGACTTTCTCCTCATCCATTAAGTCCCCCTCAAAGAACTGAGCCGTTCGCTGGGCATCACTTTGGCGCTTGATGTACTGCAAAGCAGCGAGATTGTACCCTATGCTCTGTTTTTGATGAAGTAGAGCTGCACGCAGGTGCCTCCGGAGGGGAATGAGTGTCGTGCGCATGCTTCGAGTGGCGACGATTTGATGGTGATGAGTCTTCAGAAGGAAAAACATGATTCTGGACACGAGTGGAATATTCCATTCCTATAAGAAAGTCAAAATTCTGCGAGTAGATTGAAGAACTGTCTCGGAAACTCACCCTTCGTGCCCAGATGTCTAGATAGACCATGAGCGACATAACTTTCCCGAATGGCAACACCAATAAGGCATCTTGCAAGGCTGTGTTTTGTGTCCCAGATACAACCTTCAGTACCCAAGCTTCCGGCTCTAGCTCATACGCCGCCAAAAGAGAATTTCTCTGCGGAGGCTGCACCTTCATCTGATCTTCCTCCGACAATCCTTCTTTCGCCTTCTCGTACTCAGCAATGACAACGCGTTCGGCATCGGCTAGATCAAGGGCTTCGCTGATGCGTTCGCCTGCCATGAGCGTTTCTGTCGTCTGTTTTGAAACGCCCGTCGCCTCATTTTGAGCGTGGGCTTGTCCCCCGCTATCAGGGTCACCACTGCCTATCGGATGATCTTCGCGATTCATCGTGTCCGCGATACCACTCTCATAGATTTGTTCAAGTTCGCGCTCGCGCTCCTCTTCCAAGAAGAGCTGACATACAGAAGGCATCCGATATGAGTAGAACGCGCTCTTAGACTAGGAACGACTTACGGGATCGTCGAGTTTCTCCCACACTCGTATGGACTTGTCGTGCGAGCCTGTCACAACAAAATTACCGAAGTTGCTCACAGCCAGTGCCCACACTTCTCCATGGTGACCCTCGAGTTTCTGTATGTTCTCGAACTAGAGACAGACCACATCTTAGCAAGTAGCGCTTGACGCATCTATCAATGAGATGAACCTTGTCCCCATCCCAGTATTTGACCATACTATCCTTGCCGACAGACCAAAAGTAGTGGCTTTTTTTTTCGAAGAGCACCTGCATCACGCTTTCTTCGTGGGCGAATATCGATTTGTGACAGTCACCGAAATCGAGGCCCCAAATCTTGACATTCTTGTCCGCGGAACATGTCACGATGAGTTTGGAATCACTAGAGATGTCCATGGACAGCACTGGTAACTAAATAATCATAGAAAACTTGTCAGGGGCCGAGTCGAGGGAGGACGAGCTGTAAAACTGGCCTTGTGTCCATACAATGAGAGAAAAAATTTAAGTGAATCTTGATGGAATACTTTTACGGTCGAGTCTAGCAAAGCAACAGCCAAAAGCTTTCCATTGGGGGTGTACCGGACAGAAAGCACATCATCAGTCATTTTCAATGTGCGCGTATGCACGAGAGAAATATTCCGTCCGGTATGCGACTGAACAACCAAATGAGAATGCATTGGCTGGCGAGTGAAGGAAATATTCACCTTGGTTCCATCGGCATCTCGCCATTCAAAGTCCCAAAACTTGATATCCTTATCCGCACTTCCAGTCACGAGAGCCTGCTCATCGAATCTGACGTGCATCGACCAAACGGTGCTGGAATGTGCTTTGATTGTCTCAATGAGAGACGACGAAGACAAGTCATATATCAGAATCTCCCCGACCTTGGTACCGACTGCGATCTACAAGAGGTCAGCATCAATCATGTCTTTGTAATCGAAGAACAGAGGCCTTACATGTCGATCACCAGGGAGGAATGTGCTGCAGATGGCATGGCCGCATTCCAATGTCCGAATACAAGAAGTAGTTTTCATGTTCCAAATCTTCAGAGAGCCTAACACACGCGGATGAGCTGGCTGGTGTTCGAAAATAGAAACCTTGAGGTTATACCATTCGACGCTGATGCTAGTAGCGCATCATCTGAGCTCAGTGACAGCGTGCGGATATCTGTCCTGTGACCTGGAACATCAAGGGAAAACAATCTGGCAGCTTCTGGAGGACCCTCTTTGGACTTTACGGGTTGAGGGATGTTGTGAACCTCAAGCGCATTGTTTGATAATGACAAGAATAACTATGAACGTTAGAAGGATAAGCTTTAGATAAGCTCATCACGAGTTGTTCGGGAACGCTTCTGACCTGAATGCCTCCTTTAGCGGTCGCACTTTCGTTCTCGAAAGCAAACGACCTGATTTTGCCGCTAGCTCTCACGACCAAGTAGGGGGTGAACAAATCCGCCATTTCTATAGTCTCGTCGGCAACTATTTCACCTTGGGCATCAGGTTGCTTTCCCTTCTCTCTTGTCTTCTCCTTTGCTCGCTTCCTTCGTCGTGCTTGCTTCTTGCGTACCTCATCCTCTGTACGGATACGAAAGATCTCGACAGAACGCTCGTGAGATTGGACAGCAAGATAAGGAAGGATGGGGTGGAAAAGGATCTGGGTGACACGATGTTGCGACGCAAGAGGTATGGTTGTGACTGCATGGATGGCCCTCAGAACCTACAGTAAACAAATGCGGATGGTATAAATTCATATGCGTTCTATACAGCTGGAAGATGCCTACTTCTCCTGACGACGTTTCTTTAAAGCCCCCTTGCAGCGCTTCGTGATCGATTCTCCATATCTTCATCTCACCTTCACTGCTTCCAGTAAAGACGAGATTCTGCTCCGGGTTGGTGTCTAGCGTCCACACTTCCGCGCGATGGGCTACAATGGTTTGGATACAGTGCTGAGTTGATAGATCCCAAAGCTTCACAAAAGTATCTTTAGAAGAAGTGATAATAAAACCGGCGTTGATGACTCTCGAAGTGGACGGCATGGTCGATTTTACGTTTGATATAAAGCGAATGGTAGTCACTTGGTCCCGATGACCGCGTAGCCTATATTACGCAGAAATGTCCCCTTGATGATGAGTCGGAGAGTTTTAAGATACAAGGCTCACCTAAAAAGGCCTGCTTCGCCTATCACATCCCAAAGAATGACATCTGTGTCTTGCGACCCCGAAGCTAGTCTAGCACCAGCTTGGTCGAAGGCGAGTGCCGTGATAGCCTTTTTGTGCCCATTAAACGTGGCAACGACCGAATGCGCGGACGCGCTCCACAGTCTGATGGAGCCATCGGAATATCCGACAGCAAAGATATCTTTTCGTGGAGAACGGGTGATGTAAGTGACCTCTGCTCTGTGACCGGTTTCGTGCCACATTGCGAGCTAAGATTCATTAGCAATGACCATGTGTGCAGCGACAAAACTCACCATCTGGCCTTTTTTCACGTCCCACACTAGAACATCTTCCAGAGCAGGGACGTAGGCGACCTTCCCATCGTACACGGAGTTGGAGCCAGGGCTGCAGACAAGACCGAACGCCTAGACGGTTGTCAGGATGCAGTAGATACCATGAATGACAGCAGATACCTGTGTCGGGCCGTGTCTCGAGTAGCTCTGCACCATCTTGATGTTGGTCGAACGTGCAACTTGATTTTCCGAGATCTATTTTGGACACATCGTTGAATTTCCCACGGCTGCTCCGAGTATAGCCAAGTATTCGCTCACGTCCGTCGAGCCTGTAGACATGATGCTCTATCCGTCCGCCCCAGAAGCCGCAACTAAATTTCTGAACTTCGTCAATGCGTCGCCTACTCCTTTTCATGCCATACATAATGCTATAGTGCGCTTGGAAACAGCGGGGTTTCATAAGGTACATCAGCCTGGGCTACTCTTGAAGTCACTTATCGATCTCCGCAAGGTTAGGTCAGAGAAGCGGATAATTGGGAGACTGAAATAAAGCCTGGTGGAAAATACTATTTTACGAGGTAGCACATATGTTTCGATCATCTGATATCCAGGTGCTCAATAGCATCATTTGACAGAAATCAATGCGCACTACTCGCCTTCACTATCCCACAAAAATGGCAAGCTGGTGCAGGAGTATCCATTGTTGCCACGCATGTTGACAGCCCCAATCTTCGTGTAAGCATTCAGTCATCTAGATCATCCCCAGTAGAGCTGTCTGACTAGTAGTGGTCAGGTGCGCCCCGTCTCAAAACGTACCGCATCTGGGTACCTTCAAGTCGGCGTTGAGACTTACGGAGGAGGCATTTGGCACTCTTGGTTTGATCGTGACCTTTCTTTAGCTGGTCGTGTCGTCGTTGCGGGCAAGAACGCTGGCTACACAACCAAACTCGTCAAAATCGAGGCCCCTCTTCTCCGCATTCCCACTCTTGCCATTCACTGTGAGTGTGCAACTACAGCCTCGTAGACCCAATTAAATCTCCAATTAGTGGACAGAACCGCCAACGACACCTTCAAGTTTAACCAGGAGACCGAATTTGTACCTGTGCTAGGTCTTTTGTCCTCCCAATTGAATGCGCCCAAAGGTCGCAAGAGCAACGATGCTACAAAAGAAGATGGAATGCTGGAGTCAACATCCAGTATTCAAGCCAATCACCACTCTGTGCTTTTGGATACAATCGCTGGAGAGCTGCAGATCCACCCCGCTGACATACATGACTTTGAGCTGTCTGTACAGTCACCTATAATCACGACGTTATCCTTCTAACTTCATCTTCTCTAGACAACTATACGATACTCAGCCTTCCGTTCTCGGAGGCTTGAACAACGAATTTATATTCAGTCCAAGATTAGACAACCTGGTCTCTTCGTGAGTCCCTCCACGCTTGCGTCTTTACCACGGTTCTGAACTCGTACAAGTTTCTGCGCTGTTGAAGCACTCTCCGGAGTGGTCTCTGGCAACTCCTTCCCTACCTTGGAAGGCAATGTCAACTGCATCGCGCTATTCAATCATGAAGAAATTGGTAGTGTTTCTAGTACTGGCGCTGAATCCTCACTCATCCCATCTCTGCTCGAGCGTCTGTCTCCGTCGCCCTCGCAGTTGGCTCAATCGATAGCCAAGTCTTTCCTCATCTCGGCTGATATGGGCCATGCCATCAATCCCAATTACCCCAACAAACACGAAGAAAATCACAAACCATATATGAACGGTGGCATCGTGATCAAGACAAATGCAAAGCAACGATATGCCAGTGATGCTATTGGAGCCTTCATCATCAAGAAGCTTGTCGAACAGAAGGGCGGGAGGGTACAAGAGTATGAAATCAGGAACGATATGTCAGTCTTCTTACTCTTCCTCTCTATGTTGTACATGTCATTCTTGACCTTTTACAGGGCATGCGGTTCAACCGTTGGCCCATTGCTGTCCAAGATTGGTGTGCGGACAGTTGATGTGGGCAATGCTATGCTGTCTATGCATTCAATCAGGGAAACCGCGGGTTCGCGAGACGTCCAACACGCGATCGACCTTTTCAGCTCGTTTTTCGAAGGGTTTGCTGCTCTCGACGCCAAATTGACTGTCGATTGACTCAGGACCAGAAGTCAACCGAGCCCATATAGTGGTGACAATTTGCAAACGCAACGGTTCAAGTTGACGAAGTTATAGCTATTGCAGCCAGACAGTACAAGAGGACAATAATACAGTAGCGTTGCAGTAACATAAGTACTTTTTGTGGCATGTTCTCCTGAGAAAATTGCGAGGAAGCTGAGAAAGAGGCTTGATAACTTTTCATCGTCGGACGCGTTTCTTCGTTCCTTCTCCAGGCTGATCCGACTGCGACTGTGAAGGCATGGTATATGGACCAGAGAGAACGCTCCGCTTCTTCGCCGTACGAGAATAATGTGAAAGCACCCATTCCCGCTCGGCCTCCGTCTGCTCGATGGTCCCTTGCCGAATTTCATACGCTGGGGAACAAAATTCAGTGATGTGCAGAGAACAAATTACAACAAATAGCGCACGTTTTAGTTCGAAGCGGGGACCTACCTCTGCTAGTTGAATTTGCTTCGGAGGTACCTTGAGGAAGACGTGGTGGCTAAAATATATATTTAGTGATACAAAAATAAAGTGGGGAAGGGTCAACACGCAACGTACCGGAAAGAGATGAAGTCATTCTCGGTCGAGAAAGTCATTACCCGCTTACTGTCTTCTTTTGGCACAGGAAAGAGAAATTTCAAGCAATCTCTTACTCTTTCCCCGAGCTTTGAACTAAAATTCTCGAAGATCAAGTGCGGGTACTGCTCAGAGACAGTAGATGACTTGTACGTCGCGATGTCGTGTCGTAAATTCACATTATGAAGTGTGAAATAGAGTGTTGGGCCATGGGGAAAATGAGAGACGATCATAGCATCTATGAGGGGTGGACGAATGATTAATTATGTGATCTTAGTCTGCTAGTCCTACAGAACGCACCTGGTGTACCTCGGTGTTCATGTAAAACAATTAGATCCGTAACATCGTTCGCCCGACATGCATCTGCCAACTCCTTCACGACATAGTTTCCTCGATTTATACGATGCGAATTCGGGAATACGAGGCGCATTTCCTGCAGTAATATCAGCGCCACATTCATCTGCGAGCAACGTGAAGCTATGTACCTTCGCGAACTGTAACAACTTCGAGCTTGGATCTCGAGAAGTGGTGATTACTATTTTTGGGTCCGATACACCAGCCCTTGAGTACTCGCTGTCAACATGTGTAGCCGGGTCTAAATACCACGAAGAACAAGTACATTCTTTCAGTCGGTCATGGCAATTAGCACTATTGCTGATGCTTACCTGTTTGAGCCTCGTCAAAGCCTAGATCATTTCCCAAGTTCTTGGCTTCCTTCCTGAGCTCGGTAGGAAGTTGCTTTCCATTCGCCAGGGCATCCTTTAGCTGCCTTTTGCGCTCGTATGTCTGCCGCTCCTGAGCCTCAAGAGATTTGGCGTAGACATATTGCCGACGTTCTCGAGCTTGTCTACGCAGCTTTTGAAGAAACCAGTATGAGTATAACATATAGAAACATGCACAGGGAGATTGTGACCATTTAGATTCTAAGAGTGCAGAACGTGAAGTGTTGGGCTTTGAAGGCCTTTGATGTGTGGCGCACTGGCACGGCTGCTCAAACTTCTTATTACGGTGGGGTTAGGGGTTACTGGCTACTACTCTCCCGACTCCCACATACATGTTAGTGGGTCTTCTTGAGCAGTAAGATATGAGAGTCGTATGGAATCGCGGCATTATGTACGAGTCTGTCATGAGATAGTATAGAATAAGTATTCAATAAATTTTAAGATCACCGTGAGCTGTGGGGAGCATAATAGTAATACGTAGGGTGGAAAAGTGGTTAGAAACTTAAAAATATTCGTCCAGTGTGCTAGGGCACGATCAGTACGATACTGCTTGGAGACGATAACATCACGCACAATATTCGAGAGCTGTGTCTCTCTGGGGTCGATGCTACATGCGCTTTGGAATAATCGGAGACCCGTTTCTCAAAGAAGTTGGTCTTTCCCTGAAGGGAAATCATTTCCATGAATTCGAATGGATTGGTGGAATTATAATGCTTGGAGTTTCCAAGAGAGACAAGCAGGCGATCAGCGACAAATTCTATGTATTGACGCATCAGGGCGGCATTCATTCCGATGAGTCCAACAGGAAGAGCATCTGTAACATCGATTATTGGATACTGAAGCTGAAGGAAATAACGGACGCACCGGTCAAGAAACCTTGCTCTATCTTGACAGCTTCGGTTATGATACTGAGAACTGTGTCAGAATGTGGCCGTCTCTGAAGATGACTGAACAAGAGACAGGCAAAATCTGTGTGCATCCCTTCGTCCCGACTAATCAGTTCGTTAGAAAAGGTTAAACCAGGCATGAGACCTCGTTTCTTCAGCCAGAAGATTGAAGCAAAAGATCCGGAGAAGAAGATCCCTTCTACCGCTGCGAACGCCACCAACCTCGTGGCAAACGTCGATCGTTGATCAGAGATCCACCTGAGGGCCCACTCGGTCTTCTGCTTGACGCATGGTATAGTCTCGATCGAATTGAAGAGGAAGTCACGCTGCTGAGAGTCAGAAATGTAGGTATCGATGAGGAGAGAGTATGTTTCCGAGTGAATGTTTTCCATCATGATCTGGAATCCATAAAAACAGCGGACTTCAGCGGCTTGTACTTCGCTCGAAAACCGCTCCACCAGATTCTCGTTGACAATACCGTCGGAAGCGGCAAAAAATGCCAGGACATATGATATGAAATGGCGTTCGTTATCATTCAGGTTATTGTTCCAGTCGAAGATATCTTTGGACATATCGATCTCTTCGGACGTCCAAAACGAAGCCTGGGCTTTCTTGTACATCTGCCAAATCTAAGAAAAACAGCGTCACGAATAAGTAAAGTGAGTCCAGAAATATATATTACAAACTTCGTTATATTGTATTGGGAATAAGACAAAGCGTCTTCCTGAAGGTATGAGCATTGGATCATCTGCGTCGAGCAGGAAAGGGGTCAATATGAAATAGAGGATTATCCTGCTTGACAAACCTTCCTGCAGACCGAATTCGTCCTGAGAACGGTATTCCATTGGCTGAGGGTGAATAATGTCCAGTTTCGGTCTCGAAGCCGAGTTTGAGTTTCTCAAAGACAAGTCGTCCACGTCCTACGTGTAAGTATAGAATGTTAGCGACCAAATTGTGAAGATTACGAATGAATGGAATATGTACTTTAGCAAGCGATGTCACATCATGTCGATCATTGTCAATCATCTTTTGAGACCTTCTCGAGGAATATTGGGTGGCTTGTGATGGCTCGTTCTATGTGGCTCGTTGTAACTCGTTCTATGTGGCTTGTTGTGACTCCAGAGGCTTGTGCCCTTGCTAAATTTACTCACTGTTGCCACATCGACAAATTAGGAAACATTATTGATGGACGCGTCAACAGGGCACAACAACGCGTGGCTCGATTTTGTTTAATTTGCAAACACGCGTAAAGGCTTCAACATCCTTTAAAAGGCGCCCAGCCCAACCTTCTCTCTTGCTTTTCCACTACCGGTCATCCTCCATCTTCATCAACTTCATCGACATCATCTATCTCGATGGCTTCTCTCATTCGTCCCACAACCCCTACCCGCATCCCTTCTCCTCAGCCTTCTCCCAGTAAGAAGGTGTGTTAACAACTGTTCGGTGGCTGTTCAATTTCGCTCATCTTCTTGCTAGGCGGCTGCTGCCCTGCAAGCATTCTCTCTGGAGTCACCAGTCAAGTCTTCGTTAGTACAGAAGCCTGTCCTTGATGATGCCCGTCGGTCACACTCCCCGGATTCCGTTGAAGACTCGGCCGAGACTGAGGACGTTGAAGAGTTCCGAAAGCGGTTTATTGGTGAGGTGGACCTTCCAGAAAGTGAGTTCTAAGTCTTGCTGCTATACACCTGACCTCAGCGTTTAACATTGGAACTAGACATGGAGCCCCTTCTCATCGAATCGAAACGTCGTTTTGTTCTTTTCCCCATTCAATATCATGAGGTCAGTGCACTGTGTACCTTACGCTCGGAGTTGACTTAGTCTTGACGGGGTTTGATGCGTCCTAGATCTGGCAAATGTACAAGAAAGCTGAAGCGTCTTTCTGGACCGCCGAAGAAATGGACCTGTCAAAAGATCTCCACGACTGGAATAACCGCCTTAACGACAATGAGCGTCACTTTGTCTCGCATGTCCTCGCGTTTTTTGCTGCCTCTGATGGTATCGTCAACGAGAACCTTGTTGAGCGCTTCTCGAACGAGGTTCAGGCGGCTGAGGCGCGTTGCTTCTACGGGTTCCAAATTATGATGGAAAATATCCACAGCGAGACCTACTCCCTTCTTATCGATACTTACATCAAGGACCCTAAGCAACGCGAGTACCTTTTTGATGCTGTTGAGACCATTCCCTGTGTCAAAAGGAAGGCGGACTGGGCACTACGCTGGATCTCCGATCGTCGCTCCACATTTGCTGAGCGATTAGTCGCCTTCGCCGCTGTGGAGGGCATTTTCTTCTCCGGTTCTTTCGCCTCAATCTTCTGGTTGAAGAAGCGTGGCCTCATGCCTGGACTCACCTTCTCCAACGAACTCATCAGTCGTGACGAGGGAATGCATACCGACTTCGCATGCTTGTTGTTCAGCCATCTCAAGAGGCGTCCGCATCCTGACACCGTCCTCCACATTGTCGCCGAGGCCGTTGTTATCGAGCAGGAGTTCTTGACAGGTGAGCACACGCTGATCGCTACTGTAGCATTTGATGCTAATTCATTGTTGTAGATGCCCTTCCTGTAGGGCTGATTGGCATGAATGCCAAGCTCATGTGCCAGTACATCGAGTTTGTTGCAGATCGTCTGCTCATTGCCCTCGGTGGCGAAAAGCACTACAACGCGACAAACCCCTTCGACTTTATGGACATGATCTCCTTGCAGGGGAAGACCAACTTCTTTGAGAAGCGGGTATCGGATTACTCGAAGGCCGGTGTCACGGCGACCTCTACTTCTGCGCCTTCAAACGACAAATCTTTGTGAGTGGGTTTTAATAGCCCAGTCGTACGATGCGCTGACACGTCTTTCCAGCACCGTGGATGAGGATTTCTAATATCAATATTGTTCACTGTATCGGACTGTCACATTTGATTCGTTATCTCTGCTCCTCCCTGTCTGCGTAGCACTCGTCCTTGCCATTGTTTCTTCTAGATCTGTCACTTAGCTATGATATGTACACTATCTCACCATTGGCATCGGAGTGCGCCACTATGTATTTTGCATCACTTTTACAATTTAGAACCAAATACTCTGTCCTATGGAAATACAGTGGAGGTGATCAAGGGAGACATTCATGCCAAGTACCTGACGATAGCGGAGACTTTGTTGTTTTAGTACCGTGATTGCGGATATATCAAGGTCAGTTTGAGAGGCCAGATCAGAGTTCGGACTCTGATCGGACGTCAAATCGTGACTTTGGACAGGTCTTATGTCCTGTACCTATTCCGTTCAACTAACGCAGATTGACTCTTGCATTTCACCCCAGTTATGCGTTTATTTCGAATATGTTTCCACAGGGTGCGACAATCGTGGAGTAATCATTCAACAAGCAATCCCGCCTTGAAATGGTCACAAACCATTCTCTTTTGGCTTCCGACTGGCATCGTCTTCACAAAATATGGATACACTATGAAGCTTGTCACAGGTCGTAGCATGCAGGTTCGTCAATGACAATTCGCTGGAAAATGTCCTGAGTCCATTTACTCAACACCGTTGTCAGGCAGCCCACGCTTAATCCAGATGAATCGCAGTGGAGGGACCTGGTTATATTCGACCGACTATCGGTTGGCACTTTACATCGCTATGAACGAGAGGATGTTGTGGCTCTTAGGTACGTGTATCAACCCAGCAGTTCACCCTGTTTATCCCCGCTTGCTCCTATTAGATCACCCTATGCGCTTGGACAGTTGCTGGTGAAAAGGATCATCGCGCTACCAGGTGACATCGTAAGTGATGTTACTGTCGCCTGACCTACCGCATTCAGTCGCTAAATCATACTGTTCAGGTGAAGACTCTCCCTCCATACCCCGATAAAGAGGTCGTCATTCCTCAAGGTCATGTCTGGGTAGAAGGTGATGAGTCATTTCATACAGAAGATAGCAATCATTTTGGACCTGTAATATCATCTATTGCGTTCTTTCGAGTAATTCATTGATCGCATCTGGTATTACTAGGTCCCATTGGCTTTGATTGACTCCAAGTTAGCGTTCATTATTTGGCCATGGGATCGTCGCGGTCCCCTTCGTCGACCATTAAGCACAGTCAATAAAAAAATTCAAGGACCTGCTTGGCGAGTTAAACAGGCAGAACTAGAGCGAGAACGTCGAAGGCGCGCGAGAGTAACAGTGCGGCGGGATGGATGCTGAATATACCATGCATCATATTCTGACAAAGTTTTCACAGATCCAGCGACTGAAGTAGATACACTATTACTACGCTGCATGAACCCACGAGCAACATAGCATTCATTAGTGCATATGTCTATGCAAACTGTTTATGCAGGCTGTTGGTGGTTATTCTTTGGCTTCTCGTCCTTGTGTACGTTCTGCTTCGGCTTGATACCCATAATTTCATCTGCCTCTAGAGAACCTGCACTGGGTAGATCTTGGCGAAGGGATACTGCGACCGGCGAGACATTTTCGCGGTGAGCAATGGCGAAGATGACGTCCATATCTGCACGATCTCATCAGCGAGGGAGAAACGAGTTTAGGGATTCATCCACCTTCAAGTGACCGGCCAGCCGTTTCCGGAAAGAAGAAATATACAACTGGGATGATGAACGCGTTCAATGACGCAAAAACTAGGACGCAGGATGGCATATCAACATAAAGATCTGTAGATCTGGGTGGTACTGACCGATGTATGTCCCCCAGTTTATGTTTTGGAAGGAAGGACCAGTCACCATCACTACCATGAAATTGAAGATCCAATTTGAGGCAGTAGAAAGTGCATTTGCAGGTGCCCGAATTCGGATTCCCACTATCTCAGCGGGCTATGAAAAAAAGATGAGCTCAAACACAAGTTTGACCCAGAGATTCAAGTGAAAACTCACATAAAGCCAAGTCATGCCCAGCCAGCCGATGGCGAAAAATGTGTTGAAAACGAAAAGTAGTGCCGTAGAAATGATCCGCGAGGCAGAATTGTCAATGCTTCCCAAGATAGCCAAGAGGACCATGGTAATGCATTGACCGAACGCCGTCGATAACATAAGCTTTCGCCTGCCGACTCGTTCAATCAATCCGATGGCGATGAGACTGGCAAAGAAGTATTCTGTTCCATTGCAGGCTGCAATGATGCGCGATTTAACGTCGTCAAGACCCAGGCGTTCAAACAACAATGTCTAGACGGCAACGAACAATCAATAGGTATTCCTGCTGGGGACAGACACGGATAGATGCTAACGGCGTAGTATGTGATCAAGTTGATGCCAGTGATTTGCTGGAAGCATTGAACAATAACACCAAGAGAAGCACGTCGAAAATTCTGGCTGAGACCACCCGTGAAAAGTTCGCTTAGATTAGCCTCACCATCGATATCTGATTGTCCTTCTATCAGGAGTGCATCACGGATGCCGTGGTATAGTTGCTGTACTTCATGATTGGTGAAGGGTTTGTTGTCTAAGGCAGCGATAACAGCGATGGCTTCCGCATCGTGCCCATGCTTGACAAGCCAGCGTGGAGATTCTGGCAGCTTGATGACGATGTGAGTTCGGGCAGTACTATACGAGAAGGTGATACTCACAAACATAATTGCTCCAATCATGATAAGAGCGAAGACGATTTGTAGAGCGATCGGCACCCTCCACTGTGCAGAAGAGCCATTCACCCAAAAACTACCCACATCTGTAAGTCATTGTATGACAAACTTCACGGAAAGGACAAGGTACGTACAGACCAAAATCTATCCACTATAGGCGAAAGCTCGAATCAGATGATGATTGGCGAGGTCGACTACTACTTACATATCTATCAATTGGTAGCGCTCGATCAATAGTAGAGGCACACTGAGAAGATGGGGAACGCACGAAAGCATGATACCAAAAGTAATCAAACTCCCTTCAATCATGATAAAACTTCCACGTTTCACTGCAGACGAACACTCTGCATGATATGCGGGCACGGTCGACGTCTACCAGATTAATTATCATGAATGTGGTCCGGCAGAATTCACACGATTGAGGACGTACATTGAGACCGTTGCCAAGGCCGGTGACAATCCGGGCAACGACCATCTGAGCATAGCTGAAAGATGTTGCTTGCAAGATAGCACCAATAATCATGATGATACCGCCGAGGACGATTGTCTTCCGCCTACCCAGACGGTCGCCGACCCATAGATTTGATAGGGCTCCTAACAAGCATCCGATTTCCTTTTGATCACGGTTTAATGATGACGATGTAGGAAGAATTAGGTGTCACATACGTAGATCGCTACAACAAAACTTTGAAGGGTAGCATGATTTGAATGCCCTCCAGAAGCAACAGTCTGAGGGAACACTTTCTCCCATTGAGATGCCGTCAGTAGCGCAGACATCACGCCCTGGTCATAACTAGTGCATTGCGTGAGCACCCTTCAAAGACCAGGCCGAAGTTCTGCTAGATCACATACCCAAATAAAGTGAAGCCTGTGCCGGCAACAAATGCAAGAGCAGCGGTCAATTTGCGGCCACGGAGGAGCGGTGCATGAGAGGCCACCTCTTGATCAAAGTCTGAAGGCGTTGTGACACGCCCGTCCTCGTATTTGCGATCCACATGGTCGGTATCAGGATTTTTGGTTTCAGAAGACATCGCGATAGAAGTGCGTGAACAGTGAATTCTTGATGTTCGAAGTCGAGTAGTCACTGCGTCGAAAAAGGATGACGCAAAGGAAAGCTTATCTGGTGCTCTGCACCTTATAACCGCTGGACTTGCGGGATACCGGAGCGATGGGGCTAGCGCTTGACTTTTCGACAGTACCAAGGAGATACCTATGTGGGAAGTGGAGTACCGACACCCTTCTGGGGTGGCGGCGGTAACGTTATACTGCCCCACACGACCCCACATGCCACCCCCGTTTTAGACCAGCCGATTGACGGCGTGGACGAATGCGCTGTCACTGAAGGCCACTCTCACCTTGCTAATAGCTTCTACAGCCGCTTTATAGCAACGCTGTCCGACACATGACCTAGTGACGTCTCTCCCTCCGGTGTCAGGAGATGGTATATCGCAAAACCTTGAACGGTTCAAAGTCTGCCCGACCTGTAACAGATCATTGAGATATATCAATCTGCCTCAAGTGGGCGATGCGAGGGCGAGTGCTCCACAAAAGGATCAGATTGACCAGACAAATTGCTACTAGCAGGCATGCCACAGTTACGAATAGCATTCACCGCCATTCACTGCCGAAATTGATTAATTGACAGAGTGCTGACCACAAACTTTAGCCTTCATTTCATTGCTTCGCCAATATAGCGAATATTTCGGTGAGCAATCAATGCTCAATCCTGTGCGAAAGCGGGCGGACACACGCCCAGTACCGTCGTAGTAGAAAGGTGGAAATCGGAGCTTGAAAGCTCTCGGAAGACTCGTCGTTTGATCAGTTTTCAGGTCGCCTGCCTCTACACGTTACTGTAACGCTTATTCGCATCCTATGGGGCCTGGGGGGTTACTACTGGTTTGTTATACTCCAGTCTGATATCACAAAGTTTTCCCAGACTCACAACAATATACATAGAGAATCTCACGATTCAGTAACGAATACAATAAGTCGCCGAAGATATAAACAATAACGCAGGGAATATGTCAATCCAATCACAACCAGGTGGTGAAGGCCTATCGAAACGTTCGCAGGTGACGCAGACAAGAAAGTGGCAACTGAGACGGTGGAGATAGCAAGGGAACCTCGAACAAAACAGACCAAACTCTTACACTGCATAACCGCCTCCCTCTCCATGCCCACCAGGCTGGTAACCATACCTCCCATTCTCTGGCGTAGGAATACGATGATCGTAAGGGTTCTGCTGGGCATACAAATTCGACGAGATTGTCCGAGGAGGAGGACCGCCAGATGTTGGACTAGGGTAATCCTGTGAGGCATCATCGTAAGCCAGCCCTGTAGGATCCGCGGGGTGCTGCGAGTATGGGTAAGGCTGCTGCTGCGAGGTGTAATGATCTCCTGCGTGATGATCTCCTGCGTTACCAGAATACACGTCGTACGGATCGTGCACCAGGCCCGCGCTATGTGGATTCTCAAGCACCGAGTCATGCTGATATGCATACGGTGCGGCGGTTACTGCAAGATGGGCCTGGCTACCGTATTCATCTTCGTATAGCGAGTCCTCGTGGACGTTAGGAGCAGACGCGTTGTAATATGCGTAAGCGTTGGGATCTTGACTGTTGGAGTATGGCTGATTATAGGCAGGCATGGGAGGATAGTCGATGGCACCCTTGTAGTCGGAGGCGTAGAATTGATCGGTCCCCGTCGCGTTAGTATAGACGCTAGGAGGCGGCCCACGAGTACGGATGGAAGAACGGTCATCCACATCGTCATCGAGGGATATGTTCGGGAGTGTCGGTTGAGGAAGTGGCTTATGGACTAATTCACCCTTCTTGTTCTTCAAATGAGAGTAGTCTCCTGCAGCCTCTTTCCTAGCAAGGGCTGCAGCTTTCGCCAGGCGTTGCTTGTTACGGCGCTTGATGATCTCGGCGATACGCTAGTGTCAAGATGGTCAGACATACACTACCGTACGAACATTGAAAAGAGTTACCTTATCAACCTTATGACAGACATACTCCTAGATATTACAAACCATATAATGTGTCAGCGTATGTATGTGCTAGGAGATTGATTAAGATACCTTCAAGTTCCCCTGTATGTAGCAAAGAAGGGGAATATAGCAGATGCCTGCGATGATGAGAAGTAACAAGGAGCCGGCAAATACAAGGGTGGTGAACAGGGTGGAGATGGTAAGGGCAGTCGTGATCAAGGTGTTGCCTGCAAAATACTTTCCGACGTCGTACCAAGCGCCGTCATCTCTCTTGGCAAGGTAAATGGCATAGAGAGTGAGAGCGTTGATAGCCTGACGGGGACCATCGGCGAGGAGCAATCTCTTCCAACCTGTACCCCAGAAATATAAGCAATGATGGCACGAAGCTGAAGCAAAGACTTACTTTTGAAAGTAAAGAAGACAAAGAACGCAAAGTCATCCTTCTTCTTGGTAGACTGGGAGATGTGATCGAAGAAACAGAAGTGATCATATGACCCTATAAACAACGTGAATTGCCTGTAAACTACAAAGAAAAGAGGAACGTACTGAGCGAATAATAGTGATTAGCCATGACATTGGTGAACGCGTATGATATGTCACGACTAGCGATGATTTTCTTTGCCTTACGAGCCTCATATGCAAGCTGCAAAAGGGAGCACGCATGACGTACGATTCGAGATAGGATGAAATAAACACAACGTACCAAGAGGAAAGAAAAGATGATACAACCAACGAATAACCACTTGCCGACGTTGAATGGAATAAAAACACATCCGTTGTCTTCCGTAGCAGGGCAGTTGTTAAAAATTTGGTTGGACCATGACGAGGTTGTCAACATGGTGATGGCAGTGAAGATATCGGAGATATAGACGAGGAATGATTTGAGAACGATGATGTAGAGCCAAAGGTATCTACAATGGCGTCAGATAAATCCCAGCAGTAAATGTTGTGATTTATGAATGCGAGAGAGATGAATTTCTAGAGCTGGCGAAAATCATGATTTCGAGCAAAGGCCACCGGTGATAGACAATTGGCTGTAGACAATCCGTGGCAACGGTCACGAATGTACCCCGAAGGCGAGACGTAGAACAATATTAGGTGTCAGAAGGGATTGAACACATACTTCATGCGCATCCCAAATCCATTGTCAGTGAACTCGCGGGTATCGACGAAGTCGAACTTTGACCATGTCAACCGGCCATCACAACACACAGCAGCAGTGAACAAGGCGCACTTTATGATCCTGAACGATCTCTCGTTTCCATGCGGGGCCTCCACACATCTTTCTTCAACAAGATGGGTCGACTATACGAATTGTTGTGCACCAAAAGAGCGGGATATGTCGTCTGTAGACGGTGTAGCGATTCCAGCGACTTGGCCTGCCAGTCGCATAGGAAATGGGAGCAGAGAGCGACGGTGGGCTAAAGAGAGTCGATAGTCAACGGAAGGGGGAGAACGAGAGGGAGAGGAGGGAAAGGTCTCTGCCTCTTTTGCTGCAGGCCGACGTTGGAGACAGTATCAAGGAGAGAGGGAAACGTTGAGAATCTGAGATGCGAACAACTACACTTTATTAATTTATTGTTGCTTGGTTCACTTCCTTTTTCGGACTCTGGATATTCTCGAAACCGCCCACCACCATCCTCAAGTCATTATATCGAACCTGCAACAATGACGACCGTACAGAAGATCAAGGTGAATTTTCGCTCTAGGAACTCTGACTGGTAAGGGATCTGATCGTTTGTTCATCGTCAGGAAGTCGAAGATGAGATGGTAGACACTCTACTCGTCTTTTGTCTTTGTGCTCATGCTCACCTTCATCGTCCAGGCTAAAAGTATGTTCTCGTCTCACACCATGCATCGTGGCGTCTATGAATATCCGGTATAGCCCAGAAAAACAAGGCGACGAGTTACCATCTAGGCCAACTCAAAGCTAAGCTTGCGAAACTTCGCCGGGAACTTATTACACCACAAGGAGGAGGAGGAGGAGGAGGAGGCGTAGGATTTGATGTCGCAAGAACCGGCATAGCATCAGTGGGATTTGTGGGATTCCCATCCGTAGGGAAAGTAAGAAACGCAGCCCCTCTCTAATATTCGCCCATTTGATCGCGCGCTAGTCAACCTTGATGTCAAAGCTCACTGGTACCCACTCGGAAGTGTCCGCAATAGACTTCACAACCCTTACGACTGTACCTGGGACGGTTAAGGTGCATGGTGCACCAATACAAATCCTTGATCTTCGCAAGTCCATTCCAAGTTACTACGCCGTCTGTTAATACTATACTAACGTGCGCATCACAGCTGGTATCATCGAGGGTGCGAATGATGGTCGAGGGAGAGGTCGACAAGGTATATATATTCTGCTCATCTTTTCTTCGATCATTAATTCAATCTATATCTTAGTCATTGCTGGTATGGACATTTCAGAACGGCTGTCTGTGTCGGAGCGACTCACATCTACTCTCTCTAGTTGCCCGCACATGCAATCTCATTTTCATCGTCCTGGACGTTCTCAAACCATTGGGAGATAAGAAAATCATAGAAGGTGAACTTGAAGGGTTTGGGATCCGTCTCAACAAAAAACCTCCAGCTATTCTCGTCCGACGAAAGGAAAAGGGAGGCATCGCCATCACGAACACTGTCCCATTAACGAGTATCGACCATGATGAGATCAAGGCCATACTCAGCGAATACAAAATCAACAATGCAGACATCGCCATCCGACAGCCGAACGCGACCGCGGACGACCTAGTAGACGTTATCGAGGGTAACAGGTAAGACCGATTCCATTGTAGTGGACGTGGATTAATACAGGAACGTCAGAGTCTATATTCCAGCCCTCTATGTAAGTGTGTTTCTACGTGTGTAACGCCTCTTCACTGATGCACTTGTCTTAGGTTTTGAACAAGGTTTGGCCGATCCGCAATCGAACTATTTCTTGTGATTTACTTCATAACTGCACAGATCGACGCCATCTCAATAGAAGAACTCGACCTCCTCTACAAGATTCCGAACAGTGTCCCGGTATCGTCTTCTGAGTGGCTAAACGTCGACGAGCTTATTGAAAGAATGTGGGAAGCCCTCGATCTCGTGCGCGTCTACACTAAGCCTCGAGGTCTGGCTCCGGACTACAACACGCCCGTGGTCCTAAGAAAAGGTAAAAGCTCGGTCGAGGACTTCTGCAGCTCCATTCATAAAGAAATCGCAAAACAAATGAAATAGTGAGTCGTATCCCGATCACAATGATTTGGGCATGACGACGCTGAAATTTTATAGTGCTGTTGTCTGGGGCTCCAGCGCAAAGCATTCAAGAGGACAAAAAGTCGGCTTGGACCACATATTAGAAGATGAAGACGGTAGGCGAACACGCTTACTTGCACCTTGTGACAATCTCACACATTCGATAGTCGTCCATATAGCCAAAAAGTAACTTTGTGGCAGACTGTATGTCTCTTGTTATTATGTTGCTACAGGATTCGAAACAAACTTTCCATTCACATGTGGCAGCTTTCAGGTAGATCATTTTTGGGTAAGATACAGTGCAGAAAGCCGGATATATGCCCAGACGAGGCCTATAGCGCAGTAGATACTTGTCACCATCAATGGTAGGAACTCTAGTGTCTTCCCCCCGTCCACGCCCTCATGCGATCCCGACGGTTTTCGCGTCGCAAGAGGAAACAGTAGAACAAACGTTTGCAAGATCGGGAAACCCGCCAGATATATCACCTCGAGAGTGTTGATGATCACCGCCGTCATTGATCGAGGAAATCTGATGTACTGTCAATGAAATGACACCAAAACCATGCAGGTCTCACTCACTCGTAGATGCGTCTGTGCAGAGGAATGAAGGTCGCGATGGCCCACAGAACCGAATACACGATCTCTAGAGCTTGCTCTAGATGATAACTAGAGTGAGGGCGTAATTTTGTGAGGCGAACCAAGAGCCTACCTGCAGGTGTGAAGATTAAGGGAAAGAGTGAAAATATACCAGCCACACTAGCAATGACAAACGTCCGGAAGAAATAATGGTTCTCTGTAGCTAGCAAACTTGAGAAGATTTGAATTGCGTCGTCTATAAAGTCGCAAAAGACGTATGCACCTTAATGGTACGAGAACCAGTAAAATGGCCTTCTCGTGCACATGCCAGCCAAACATGAACGACGTGTAGCCACAGAGCGTGAGTGCCGTCAGAAATGATTTGTACGTCGGTGTACGCCAAAGTTTGATCAGGAAAATCTGATGATCCAAAACTGAATCAGGCTGTAGATGTGCCCAAGAAGGCTGGACCGACTGATTGAAAAGCCACGGTAGTTATGAAGGTATGGATTGGTTTGACGTTGGGCAGTACAGCAAACACTGTGTCTCCGACTAAACCTCTTGATGTTGAGGCAATACCCGAAGTATTGACCGTTACATGATCTCCGAATCGAATTGCATCTGAAGAAAATATGTAAATGCAATATAATGGCCAAGTAAAAGAATGCATACACTGCAAGAGAACTCGGTCGGCTGCAGTTAATAAAGCCCACGCATTGGGCGCCCAGTATGCATGATTCAGGCCTCGAGTGAAAGGGAAGAGCCTAGACAATAGCTGCGGAAGCTGGCCCATGATCAAGAACGGGCCCAGAGAAGCAACGAAGACAAGTATAACTGTATTTGCGAGGGAAAGGAATCGTGTAGGGATGATTCGTCCTTGCTGTGACATACAAAATGTCCGCAACAAGTAGACAAAGTATGCGGGCTTTTTGGTGGTGAGATATTGTGGTATTTGATAAGATCTAGACACGTACTGCGAGGTACATATAGATGTGCTTGAAATTGAGGAGGACAGCAAAGAAGAAGCCACTTGTTAATTTATGGCCCTAGCAATCGACGTCTTTAATTCTTTGCCACAAAATGTTCACTCGAGACAAGGAAAGACTCACATCACGGGCCATGAGAATAGAAGCGAGTAAGATTCCGAACAAGAACCCATTGTATTGAAAGTGGATGTGATCTATAATGAGAAATCCTGGATGAAGGAATAATGATGCGGAGATGATACGTTGAGTGCTGGGGTCAATGGCACTGCGGACGAATCTGGACAGAAGATAGATGAGAACCACGATATGAAACGAGTAAAGTGTGTCGATACCTCAAAAGGACAACCCCCATCACCAATTCCGTCAAAATGACAGTCGTTCTTTGGTATACGATGACCGACCATGCGCTGTAACCAAGATTGTCTAGGTCCACTATGCGGGTATCGATAAAGGAGGCAGGTATGGAGAGTATCTTCTCGAAGTAGGCGAAGAACGGAGGGTAATCTAGCGCTGTTTGTGAATGAGATTGAGGAATCAGTCCTTGAAATTAGTAGAGGGGTTGAGCTCACTCCATTCTGAGGTTGTCTGAGGAGTCCATATGAGAATCAAGCACACAGAGTTTAGGCCAGAGACTCACGTCATAGTACCATTTTGAAAGCGGCAAGGAGTGTGTGATGGCCAGCCAATTTCGATGTACTTCAAAATCTGTGGACCTACTAGAGTTTTACAGTACCGAGAAGGTAAGCGACAATCATCAAGGACAAAAGGGAAACCGGAAAGACCCACTAGGCGGGGAACAACAAAAGCTTTAATGACGTTGAAAAGAGGAGTATATCCCATTCTGAGGGCAAGACGTCACTGGCCAACCAGCGGGAAGATGATTTGTCGCTGTGAGGGTCCGGTGTGAAGTGCTCGTCAGAAGGAGACTTGAGCTCTGGATGTAATGGTAAGGACACTCTCTGCATTGCAGAATCATGAGGATGGTAAGTTCACGAGGTTTCACGCACTCGAAGGCGCCAGAGTCAACGTGATCAACAGGCAACCCAATTTCACACGCGTACCACAGCGCTATTGCTACTTTCCGACCCGTCGCTTCGCGACTTTCACGCAATGTTTTTGTTGCTAACGGTGTGACACGCGTGACTCTCAGTAAAAACGGAAATTCAAGTGATAGTCGTGTAACGGTCAAATTTGACTATTTTCGGACAATTGTCCAATTTGGTGACTGAGATTCGGCACCAAGGAATTGCCAAGGATGACAAAGACCAATGGATCTCGCACATGACTTTTGAATGACTTTGCTAGTCAAAACTCAGTCACCAAATTGGACGACTGAGCGTGACTATTTGGCTTTAACAAACAACTTTCTGCCGGCAGCTGACATGCATACGACTGGAAACGTTCATGGCCCCCACCGCTTCAATTCCCCCGCAAGCACGCGCTCGCCAGTTGCGTGCGTGCCTCCTTTGCTCAATTGTCCAAACACCCCTCGACTTCCGGCGGAATGGGTGTCCGAATTGTGAAGAGCTTATGCAGGTGCGTCGCTAACAGTCCCACATCCGACTGACGAGTGCGACCCTCCCCACCATGGCACAGATGAAAGGCTCGCCGGATCGCATCCAGGTCTGCACGACAACGTACTACGATGGCATCATCGCCGTGATTGATCCCGAGACGAGCTGGGTAGCAAGATGGCAGCGAACATGTGCGTTCACGTTTTGCCTTTGCTTCGTGGCCACCAATTTTGACCGTTCTCCATAGCAAAATATGTACGAGGGATATACGCTGTACGTGTCAAAGGTCGGATACCTGAAGACGTGGAAGCGGAGTTGGAGAGCCGAGGAATCAAGTATCGTCCGCGCGACCAGACAGAACAGGATTGACTTGCTGGATATGTCAGACATGTCCTTCCTCTGTCTCTTTGCTTTTCTCTCAATCTTGATTTTCTCTCGATCTTGGCCTTCCTCGCACGCCTCCTTTCTGTAACACAAGATCCGATTTGGTATGTAAGAATGGTATTGTACGGTATTACAATCGTAGTACAGCTATCCAAGATATAACAAGGGGTCCCCTCGTGAGCACAAATGTCCGTCCATAGGGTATTATAGTAGAAGTGCGTTCTCTCCTCGAGTCAGTTATACAACACATCGGAAAGGTCTACAGGAGCGCTTCTAACACTTTGTCATACTGATGTGGTAAATGTGAACTATTCAACGATCGTTAGTGGACAGACCTCACAAGACAAAAACAAGACGTACCTGAGCATATCGCGAGCAAACACAATCTGAGAGAAGACCTTCTCAACATCTAGCACTTCAAATAGACGCAACCGGTCTTTAATGTGATTCGGCGGAGCGTAAGCCGCACTGTACTTCGCGTCTCCACCGGGAGGAACTGCATTTTCGAGATCCTCGTCACGAACAGCCCACAAGATACGCCCTGGCGGGTACATGTTCGCCATCGTCATATTCGCCTCGAGCGTCTTGCGAGTCGCCAGGAACTATCCCGAAGATTTGATGAACACAACCGCAATGCGGACATAGATAGTACTCACCCAAACTGGATCCTCTGCGCTTCCGAAACCCGTTTTCCACTTGAGCGCCCTTTTTGTGACAGCCGAGTAGCCCTCTTGACCGCCTCCTTTTCCGTTGACATGCGCGTTTGCATTGCATAGCCATACTGCGGCGCGATTCATGTCTCGTATCGAGCCAAGTGAGAGTCGTGATACTACATCGTGTGAGTAGACAAATGATGTGATGAGGTTGGCTGCAAGAGCACCGAGATGCGGGTCAGTGAGGCACCTTGATCAATTCATTAGTAAATAGCGGAAGGTCAAATTTCTACAAAGGAAACATACGGTGGCGCAAAACAATACACGGATACTCGCCTACCCACGGGAAGGCCACTCGATCGAACAGTCAAGCAGGTCTTTGGGTCCGCCCACATCTGAGATCGAGATGAAGATCAGCGCAAGGCATAATGCGAAGATGCTATCGATTACCAATCCTAAAAGTGCTGCAACACCAGACCCGAGACTGTGTCCACACATTACAAGCTCTGCATCGCAGATCAGTAAGCGGTAGACGCCTCGCTCCTTGAGCACGATAGGAAACCAAGAGCTTACCAAAACCCTTATTCTTCCGCAATGCATCACGTACGGCAACATGCACAGGCTTGCCCCTTTCCCCCATGGCCCTGGCCATCCGGAGCATGCCTCCATGCACATAATATGTCGGCGAACCGGTTGCGGCGAAGCTCGCAACTGACATGAACGAGGTTGTCCTCATCCTGCTCCACGTCGAGCGCGAGGTAGATTTCGGCATTTGCAAATCTACGGTAGGGAAGGGCAGGCCGCCAGGCATTCCTTCCCCTTCTTGCTCCCTTGCCGCAAGGTGCTCTTCCTCTGGTTCAAAGTCTGTCGTGCTAGCGGGTTCGAATTCCTCCGGTTCGCATGTCAAGTCCACGGCAATCTCATTTAGAGACATCGTCCCACGGAAAACGAGGACGATTTGCCGTCGGGAGTGATCCGTCAAGACCCAAAAGCGGGGCATGCGGTGTTCGTCGCCGACGACAGCTGTGAGGGGTCGAGAGTGTGACTCGCCTGGAGCAGTGGCAGAACCCATGAATATGTCGCGATCGTGTCGCCCAAGTAGAACATCCCACCAGGAATAAGTGACAGGCACTTTGACATTGGCTATTCCTAGCGCACCAGCCTTTGTCGGGCCAGCCGATATTTTCGCAGCTTCTGCTTCGGATGCGTCAATGGCCTGAGAGAGAGCAACCTCCTCCCCACTCGGAAATGCAGAGGGGGCTCCTTCAGGTACAGATGAGGATGAATGATCTGGATTTGGGGATACGCCGAAGAAAAGGAGAGAAGCGCCACCATACCCCGCGAGTACCATCTTGGACAAGCGCCGCAGAGTATGCTTGAGTTCTTTGTTAGGTGTTCGTAGGGGCTTCATCACCGGGGCCTTCGAACGTGCCTTCGACTTGGGCTTTGGCAGCTGTAGTGTGTCGACGTCGATCTCTGTGATATCCGCCGTGATGATCTGACCTTTATTCCCTGGAAAGACGACATCTGCGGTGATGCTGATACGCGATTCCGTTCGTTTGCGCGGCCTATCCGCGTCTGATTCGTCGTGGAAAGGCATCTCTCGGAGATGCTTCATCCATTTCTTCACCTGCCAGTCATGCGTGACGCCCTGTAGTGCACCCCAAGCAACTAGAGCTTTTGCAACCTCGGTCACGCTGTACCTCTCTTCTGGCAAGTGCTCCCCAAGCACCGGATCATTCCACTCCCGGCGTACAAGCGTGATGAAAGAGCCGAGCGAAAATGACGTCTCGTCACTGCCGGGAAAGATGACGGTAAGGGTGTTGATAGATCCGTATGCCGCGACGATGGATGCCGAAGTAAGACTCTCGCCTAGAATGATTGGAAGGAGCGCGAGCTGTTCCACAGCCGTGATGGCGGACGCGACCGCACTACCGAATGCGACGCTTGTCCCAAGTCTCCCACCAAAAGCAAAGTCGAGGGCCGAGCCAGTGATCCCAGCAGCAGAGCATGCAATGCCTCTGGTAATGCCAAACTGTAAGACGATGGCGTCGCGGTCATTCACAACGAATACATGTGAAATTCGGAAAGCAAGAGAAGAAAGGTGCTCACGCCGAGCCTGGTGCCCGCTTTAGCTGCGGCAAACCCAACAGAAGTAGCAGCAGAGGCAACGTCAACACCAAGACGACCGTACTTGTCCAGGAGGGTGTTCATGGTCGAGGGGAGAGATGCGCAGGATGCCCATCTGGTGGTGAGCGTTTTGTGGCCACCGACGCTCCCGTAACCTCGTTGATTACGTATGCCACTTATGATCCCGTTCCGGCCTTCTTACCGCTCGCTGCTAACTCACCGGGCAACACTTGCCAGAATGGAACCGATGGCCATTGCGTGCGTCGGCGGGTCCCTCTCTCTCATTTCCTTCTGACCTCACCCACCGCCAGAATGATATGTGACTTCTTCCACCCCAACGTCGGCGGTGTAGAGAACCACATATACATGCTTAGCGCCAACCTCATACGCAGAGGTCACAAGGCATGTGTCTGCTTTCCGTTCTTGTCTTTGACGGTGCTCATCTAATCTTCAGGTCGTTGTGATAACCCATAGTCATCCTCCGGACCGTGTGGGAATCCGCTGGCTGCTGCCATCTCTCAAAGTGTATTACATCCCCTTCCCCACCCTCGTCTCCTCTGCGACTCTTCCTAATTTCCTCACGTTTCTTCCTTATCTCCGCACAATCATCCTCCGGGAGCACATAACTCTCATCCACGGACATGCGAGCCTATCCTCGCTTGCTCACGAAGGCATCCTTCATGCTCACTTATTGGGCGCGCGCACCGTGTTCACAGATCATAGCTTGTTCGGCTTTGCTGATGCAGCCAGCATACTGACAAATAAGTTACTAGAGGCTATGATGAAGAACGTTGATGCCGCTATATGCGTTTCTCACACCGGGTAATACACCTTTATCTTTTGAATTGCAACTCATCTATAACTGTGCGCTCTTTCAAGACGAGAGAATACGGTGCTGAGAGCTAAAATTCCCAAGCAAGAGTGGAACAAAGTGTACGTTATACCTAATGCAATTGTCGCCAGCCAGTTCAAGCCTGCTGCCGAACGCCCGGTGTCCGAGACAAGTACGGAAAACAGCGATGATCCAATACACGTAGAGACTAACTCCAAACTAGTTACCATCGTCGTCGTTTCCCGCCTGGCATACCGAAAAGGCATTGATCTGCTCGTAGCAACCGCACCGCGCATTTGTGCCGCTTTCCCAAACGTTAGATTCCTGGTCGGTAAGCTGCATTTCCTCTCGTGATTTTTCCCAGCGTCATTGTCTTCGCTGTAGGTGGCGATGGCCCCAAGCTCATCGATCTCCTTCAAATGAGAGAAAAGCACATGCTCCAGGACCGGATTGAACTCCTTGGTTCAGTGCAGCATCGTGATGTTCGGAATGTGAGTACCTGTCAGAATCTCATCCATCCGTGAAACAGATGTTTGCTTGGCCAGGTTCTCATCCAGGGTTCCATTTTTCTCAATACATCCCTCACAGAGTCTTTCGGGATTGCCATCGTCGAGGCAGCTTGTGCAGGCCTGTACGTAGTTTCAACCAGGGTGGGCGGCGTCCCTGAAATATTACCAGATGACATGATTTCTTTTGCAAATCCTACTGAGGATGGTGCGGCTTACTGACACCTTCATCCCTATCCCTTTCTGACTGAATTCGCTCAGATGTCTTACGAGCTATGACCAAAGCCATTCGCATCGTGTCGAGAGGTGAACATGACCCACACCTTGCTCATGAACGCATCAAAGACTTCTATGATTGGACCCAAGTCGCCCAGCGCACCGAAATCGTATACGAGAGAGTCATGAGCTCGAAACCGTATGAACTTTGGGAGAGGATTGAGCGGTGCATATCACATTCCATTCTATGGCATTTCAATCTCCTCAGCATTGCTAATGATGAATCTGTATATTAGAACGCTCTCACTTGGACGCGTTGCCGGGCCAATATTCACCATCATACTCATCGTTGATTGTCTGTTCTTTATGTTTCTGGAATGGTTCATGCCTCGTGAAAACCTGGATTACGTGACCAAGCATTGGGATCAGCAACGCTTCTTCGAGGTATGCTTCTTCTTCCTCCGCCATGTCTGTCTCAAGCTCGTGCCGTTTTTTTTTTCGTCTTGCTGTTCTGACTTCCATTGATCGTAGTTGACACAACATTCACGGCCCCAACACTCCTCCGGAAGCTCACAGCCACCATCTGCAAATCTACAAGACGAAGTTAGCATGAGTTCTAGAGAAATAGCCTGAATGACTGGCTCTCACTCCCATTCGACTCGCAGTCAACCATACCCTGGGATTAAGATAACTTGGAAATCGACCGACATGTATGAGGTTGTAATCACGGATGCGCCTGCAAAATCCGCGGTGGGCGCCAAATTTGAAATAGCCTTGTCTCATTCGCACTCTCACCGATCCGTCACGCCGTTAATTTTCGGGCGATATGATGCTTCTTCCCAATCAGTGGCAACAGCTCACCACAACACACTACCATCTGGCAGGGGCCGCAGCTTTTGCACTCAGGGGCTGAGTGGGAACTGCTTGTCTAACTTCTTGGTTGCAATGCCTGCGCATCCGTTCCTCGACTCTTCCCTTCCTGTCATCGGGTTTCAATGATGGTCAGCAATGGTAGTGCCTCTGGAAATGTCCATATATACTCCTCTGGAGGGTAGTGCTCTTCCTCCCTCTTCGCTCAAATAGCTCACACCCACGACGCATGGCACCGGCTCCAGGGAGCACTGGTGCCGCCTCACTATCAATTGCCTCTACCTCTTCCACATTGGCCTCTGTCTCTACCTTTATCTCTGCTTCCGCCTCTTCTACTTCCTCTGCTTCTACTTGGTACAGTCAACTTGCATTCATTCTTCCGTTTCTATTTATCATCATCGGTATCTTCATTCTCATGATCAGCATCTTCCTAACTATCCTCTATCGCGCACGCCGTCGGAATCCTCCAGTCAAGCGTCTACTCCCCACAGCCCCACGAGCGTTGTTACTACAGAAGAAACTCTCGAAAGGCCGACCAGCACAGCGTCACAAGGGGAGAATGGACCCTTTCACCACGATTGCCGCTCTGTCCGCACAGTCTGCGTTACTTGCCTGTGCCCCGATCAAGTTTCCATGCAATCCGAGGAAAACGGAAAAGTCCCGTGGCTGGTCGCGCGCCATGTCGACGATGTCTATGGACTTCGTGTGCAGGGGCATGTCATGGAGCCGGTCGACCGCGGGCGTGTCGAATCATGGAAGTCGGTTTAGTGCCATGGGTTCAAATGCATCCAGATCTTCGATGTCCATCCAGGAAGTCGGTCAGCAGAGGGAGATTTTGGAAGTTGAGAGTCGAGAGCGACGTTCGAGTGAACCACTGCTGGACGAGGGTTCGTTCAGTCGTAGTGGGCTGGGATATACCCTTCGCTTGACGGACGGGCTGGATGACGACATGTCACGCGCGGGATGGTTGGATCTATTGATGAGGGACGAATTGGAGGACATTCCAGAGGAGGATGAGACGCCGAGCGACGATGGGCATGAGATGGAGTCAGACCTACCGGCGAGGCCTGACTCGGGAATAGAACGAAAGTCGTTGTCTCTCATCAGCTTTCCACTGCCGCCAGCGCACGAGTATATCACGCACACGCCCACGGGCGCGGGCCTGCGTCCATACAAGTCATTCAATTCGCTCGGCATCACGGAAGGGACGTCTCCCACACGATCACTTATGCAGAGGCAATCGCTGGACCTTTCGCCTCGACGTTCACGCTCAGAAGCAGTGCTTACCACGCCATCCCCGGTCGTGATCAAATCCCGGCCAGCAGTCGACTCGCAGGAGTTTGATCTAGCGGAAATGAGGGCCCGGAGAACGTTTTTCACGTTTGCACACACGTCATACACGTCGTTCTCGTCGTCCACGTTCTCGTCTATTGCTGACGATGAACTCAATAGAGATATATAGAGAACATGCCGCAGTTGGGGGTTCGACGCAGGATAGCGAAGAATGGTCCTAGGTCGTCTGGTCAGGTCCGGAAGCGTTGCCAGTCAATGCTTCGATTCTGTGGGCAATGCTCTCGGTGTCATGCCCGCGTCTTTTTCATTGATCAGTGCACGCGCCATGCAGGTATGGGAGCTGTGGGCCGAAGATGGGACGGGACGGCACGCATGGTTAGTCTCTACGACCATTGTTTGGGGAGGATAGTTTGTCTTTCTTTAATTTTAGCTCGCTCTTGGCATCATACATGGGTCGGTGTACACATTGTGTTTGATGTTGTACTGCCTGAAGTTGTTGTATGAGTACCCCAGTCGTGTTGTCGTAGACGAGCAGACATTTGTTTGTAAATGACTTCCACCCTTGCCTGATCCGTCCAAGAGCCACCGCGCGGAGTTACAGATCTATTCTGTGTGACGCGCCACCGCTGCCGCTGTCCTCAGCATTCAAAGTCGCTTGCAACGATGGCAGGCCGTGTTGTCCTCTTCGCCTCGCTCATCCCGTTCGCTTTCGCATTCTCCGACACGGTGCCCATCGTAGCGTGGTCGTCGCACCCGTGCGTGACTCCACAACGTCTGCATACAGTGCGCTAACCATGAGCCCAGGTCGAAATCCTTGGACGCATTTCCGTCCACCCACTCCACCCACTCGATCCCCATCTTGGAGAGCCTCCTCCTCAACGACGACGTCTGCGAATATGACGCAGTAGTCCTCGTCGACCAGCCTGGGGTGAGTCACACCTCTTCTCGCGGCCCGCTCGCGACCCAACCCCGCGCACGCACGCACGCACGCACGCACAGCTCCACGCCTCAGACCTGCGCGCCCTCTCGCCGTCCTCCCCTCTCACGACCCTCCTCTCACGCTCCCCCTCCTCCGTTCAACTCCCCTACATCTCGCGCACCGCCGGCTCCTCCGTCCACGACCTCGCCGACCGCATCTCGAGCCGCTGCGGCTCCCGCGTGCTCAGCTCCATGCCAGGCCAGGGCGGCGTCGCCGCAGTGCGTGGGGCCAAGCACGTCGTGTGCCTGTCGATGATGGACCTCCAGGGCACCGCCGGCCGACGCAAGGCCGTCGTGGCCGACCACGGTGCGTCTCGTGGCGCCCCCTCCTCCGTCTACTATTCACACCTCTCCAACTTATCCACGCCCCGACAGAGTCCAGCCTCGCTCACGAGCTCGACGCCATCGCGTCCGCGGCCCCGACGCACCTCGTCGTCTTCGCCGGCTCTTCCGCGCTCGCCCCGCGTGATCGCCGTCGGGCGGAGCCCGCGCTCGGCGCCCTGCAGCAGCCGGGTGACGTCGTGCCCCCCACGGGCGGCGTCCTCAAACGGTACCAGCTCCTGACGCCCGGCCTCATCACCTCCCTGCTGGTCGCCTTTTTCATCCTCCTCCCCGGCGTCTTCTTCGGCGTGTCCGCGCTCGCGAGCATCCAGTCGCCTCTCCGCGTCGAGGCGCCCAAGGGCTTCAGTGCCCAGGACAAGAAGACTCAGTGATCGGCGGTCTTCGGGAGCACACCGGTCGTGCCTCATGAGCAGGCAGTCGCGTGTTGTCAGAGAGCATACTCGCGTGGAGACGTGCACTGTCGCCGGGCGTAGTAACAAGACGGTTTACATTGCAGGGCTATTATATCGTCGGCGACAACAGAGATTATGGATACATGGCGACGAAACGGTCTGAGCTTGCGTCTACGTGCGGGCGTGAATGCGAACGTGAGTGAGAGAGGAGAGAAAATAGACAGTATACGCGTATATATATATGCGCTGTGCGGCGAATCCTAGCACCTAGAACCCAGACCTAAATGAACCATAAGAACAACGACATTCCAACGAGAGATGTAATGTGGCAAGACCGAGGCGTCTTGTTAGGAGGGAGGGAACAAAAAAGAGAGCATAGACGGGGCAACGGGCCCTCGGAAGAGAAAAATAATCGAGCAAACTAACAGAAAAAAATAGCGAGCGCAGAGTCAGGCGAGCATCGGCAGGTCGCACCTGCTGAGCGCCATGGCCATGACCTGCAGCGCCCCGAGATGGAACGGCAGGATCGGGTCCGCCTTGAGCCACCACCGCGCCTGTGCCAGGACGGCGAGGTCGTGGTAGTTGCGCGTGATGTCGTCGTGCGTCTCCGCGTCCGGGATGGCGAGCGACGAGCGCGCGGACTTGGCCGTGTGCAGCAGGTGCAGGTGCAGCATCGAGATGGACGTGTAGTCGGTGTGTGCGGGCGCGCGGACGAGCGTCGTGGAGCGCAGCGGCCGCATGGGGAGCGGCGCGGGGGACCGCGGGGGCGCGTCGGCGGGGTCGGGGATGTAGGGCACGCCCGCGCCGAGGTCGCATGCGGCGTGGCCGGGAGGCAGGAGGCAGGCGCCGGACGCGTGCGAGAGGAAGTACGTCGTGGCGGAGACGTCGTGGAAGAAGGTGCCGGCGGTGCTCTTGGACGAGCGGCTCGGCGACATCGGGCGCTTCGCCGCGCCCGCGGGAGCAATGAACGTCCAAGACGCGTCGGACTCGACGGCGAGGAGGCTGACGTGGACCATCGGGAGCTCCGCGCAGTCGGGCACGGCGCTCGCGAGGTGCTCCATCCACGCTGGGGGAGGCACGTCAGCCCCATACGCCACGAACACCATGACAAAACACAAAAAACACGCACCGTCCAGCTCCGCGGGGTCCATCGAGCCGAGCTTCGCAAACACGATCCGCCACTCGACGCTCGCCTTCTTCGCAAAGTTGAGCGCGAAGCGCCACAGCTGCTGCACGAGGTGGGCCTCGGGCGACGGCTCGCTCTGGGACAGCCACGCGCCGAGGTCGTGCGCCTCGCCGCGCTGGTCGAGGCACGCGGCGAAGATCCACCGCCCGCACGCAGAGACGCGGTAGCCGACGTGGAGGAGCATGTGTCGCTCGAGCACGTCGAGCGCGCGCGGGGAGAACTCGCGGATGAGGTGCGCCGTGCCGTGCGCGGGGCGCGCGAGCAGGACCGCGGGCTCCTGGAAGAAGTTGCGCACGCGCTCGCCGTGGTCGAAGAAGCGGCGGGACATCACGCGGTCGACGGGCCGCAGGATGCGCTCGTAGACGCACATGGCGAACGGCACCAGGAAGCCGCACTGCGACGCGGCGGGGTAGCGCACGCAGTGCACCAGGTGCGCGGGCAGGAACTGGAAGAGGATCTGCGCCTCGGAGTACCGTTTCTGCGCGCGCTTGACGGCGGAGAAGATCTGGCGGAGGACGGGGGAGGACAGCGAGAGGATCGACGCGGGCACGGCGATGTAGAACACGTAGTTCGCCGTGGACGCGGGCAGGCTGGCCACGAACGTCGCTGTAAAGGCGCGTCCGCCGCGTGAGCACCGGATCGTCGGCGAGACGCGACGTGAGCAACTCACTGAGGGTCCTGCGGAACGCGTCAAACTTGACCGGCACGATCCCGTCTCTGACGCACCCGGCGTTGCGTCCCGCCGTGTGCGAGCCCAAGTTCTTCGCCTGCGGAGCACAGATCAAATCAGAACGACGGCCGCCAGCCCCGCGCGCAGCTGACGGACGACTCACCACATACGACGTCGAGATGCACGCCAGCCACTGCTCGGCCCAGTCCTGCCTCTCCGGCCGGTCGTCCTCGAAAAACACAAACGCGACCACGTCCTTCTTCCCCGCGCGCGGGCCCAGCCCCAGTTTCTCCCAGAACTTGAGCGCCGTCGGCAGCACCTGGATGATCGCGTCCGCCTTGCCCACCGCGAGCATCGGCGGCTCGCACACCTGCAGCCGCGGCGGCGGCGGCGGCGGCGGCGGCGGCGCCCCTTCGCCGCCCGCGGGTGTGGGCGCGGGCGCGGGCGCGAACACGCTGCACAGGTCGAGCGGGCCCTCGACGCCCGCGACGCCGCCGAGCGCGCGCGCGATCCGCCGCACGTCCGCCTGCCACACCTCCGTGACGAGACGGCACCCGGCGAGGTACTCCTCCGCGTTCGCGCGCCACGCGTCGCCCCACACGCTGCTCTCCACGACCTCGCGCACGAGCACCTGCGCCGCCGCCTCGAGCGACTTGAGCCGGTCCGACGTCTGCCCCGCGAGCGCCGCGGGCGACACGGGCGTCGGGACCGATGTCGGCGCCGACGCGGCCGCGAGGCTCGGCGGGGAGGCCGCGGCGGATCCCGGTGCCCGCAGCGGCGCGCTCAGCGGGAGCAGCAGCGCGTGCTGGAACTGCGTGTGCAGCAGCGTCGGGCCCAGCGGCAGGTACGCCGGCGGCGGTGTCGCCGGGCGCGTCCCAGGTAGCATCGGCTCGTCCTCGCGCGCCCACGGCCCCTCCTCCCGCTCCCGCTCGTCGTCGTCGCCGTCTTCGTCTTCTTCCTCCTCCTGCTCGTCGGAATCCCCGTCCTCGTCGTCCGACCGGCCCCACAGCGCCACGTCCGCCGCCCGGTCCTGCACGACGTTGCTCTCCCACTCGTCGTCCCCGCGCACCCACGCGGCCGACATCCGAAACGCGGGCGCGCGCGCGCCCTGGTCGAAGCTCTTGCGCTTCACCCCGATCAGCTTCCGCACCATCCCGACGCTCGGGTCCGTCACCGCGTTGTAGTATCGCTTGCGCCAGCCGGGCTCCCCGGCGGCGGCAGTAGCAGTAGCAGTGGAAGCGGCAAAGGGCGGCTGCAGCGGCACAGGCAGCGGGCGCGTCCGGTCCTCCTCGTCCGGCGGGCTCGGCAGCGCAAACTTGCCCGCGGTATACTTCCCGTCCGCGATCCGGTGCGCGCGCGCGAACGGGATCGGGTCCCACGCGCTCGGCCCCGACCCCGTCTGCATCTCCGGCGCCAGCGCGACGTGCACCGCGGGCGTCGCGGGCCCCGCGTGCGACTCGGGCGTGCGCGTCGGCGACGGCGGCAGGAGCTCCGGCGGCACCGACGACTCGGTGCGAGGCTCGCGGGGCGCGAACCCGTCTCCGAACACGCCGCTCGCCGCCCATGTCGGGGACGCCGCGCCCGGCGGGCCCGGCCCGGACTCGCCGAAGAGCGGCGGCGGCGAGAGCCCGAGCGACACGGGGCCCGCGGACGGCGGCGGCCCCACGTCCATCGGGCGCGACGCGACGGCGGGGGCGCCGGCCTGCGGCTTTGCGTCCCAAAAGTCAAAGTCGGCCTCGGTGAAGATGTCGTCCATGCCGGCGTCGATGTCCATCCCGCCGTCCCACCCGCCGCCCGCGCCGCCCGCGACGGGATCCAAGCCGCCCATCGTGTCCACACCGACACCGACGCCGACGCCGAACGCGCCCCCGACGTCGCCGCGCACGCCGTACGGCATGCCCCCGACGCCGTCGAGCCCGATGTCCATAAAGTCGCCCGCGCCCTGCGCCCACACGGCGTCCGCGGGCGTCCACGCGTCCAGCTCGCCGAACACGCCCGGGTCGAACGTCGCCGGCTCGGGGTCAAGTTCGGGCGCGGGCTCGGGCGCGGGCGGAGGAGCGGACGCGGACGCGGGGGGTGGGGCTAGGGCTGGTGCCGGGGCAGGCGGCGCGGGCACAGGGGTGGGGGTGGGGGTGGTGCCGGCGAGCAGGGACGGCGCGCCCGTCGCGGTGACGTTGCCGGACTGCGGCGGCGAGGGGTAAAACGGCTGTGTTGATGCCGCGGGCACGGGCGTCGGCGCGAGCGGGGGCGGGGGCGCCGTGGGCGTGCCCGCCTGTGCGGGCGACGGGGCGCGCGCGCCGCCGCCGCCGTTCACGGTCTCACGCTCCCTGCGCAGGCGTTCGCGCTCCCTCTCGCGCTCGCGCTGGACGGCGTCGACGTACGCGGCGACCTCGTCCGCGACGGCGCGCACGCTGCGGCCGCCGCCGATGCTGAGGGTGCGGAACACGCGCAGGGCGTCCGCGGTCGGCGACGCGCGCGTGCGGCGGGCGATCGCGGGCGGGAGCAGGGGCTGCGTCGACGACGGCGCGGTATGTTGCTGTTGCTGTTGCTGCTGCTGCTGCTGCTGCTGTGGTAGTACTGGTAGTGGTAGTGATGACGTTGGTAGTGGTGCGCCTATGGCGGCGGATTGCGAAGGCTGGGGCGTCGAGCGCGCGGACCCCGCGCCGAAAGAGACGAGCGGGGGCGGGGGCGGGGGCGGTGGTGGGGACGGCTGCAGCTGGGCGGGGAGCTCTGGGAGCGGGTGGAGTGGTGGGCGGTGGGCGGCGCCGGTGATGGTGCTGGGGATGGAGGCGAGGGCGAGGGCGGCGGGCCAGATAAGCGGGAGGCCCTTGTCCTCGCCGCGCCCGTTCTGGACGGCGAGCCAGGCGATGATGTAGGTGGGTGGTGCGGAGGCGGAGGAGAACGATGGGGCAGGATGTGGATGCGGATCTACGCGCGAAGGATGGGGTGATGGGGGTGATGGAGGCGGCGGCGAGGTTCCGGCCCAGGGGCCACACCCCTTGCCTGCGAGGCTCTGGGAGAACTGGGAGGTGAGGGCAGCGGTGGGCCCCGCGTAGGTGGAGAGGTAGTAGGCGGGGGTGGCGTACGGGAGGAGGGTGATGGGGGTGCCTGGCGGGAGCGGGAGGGCGGCGGGGAGCGGGAGGAAGTGGGTGGGGCGGAAGACGGGCTGGACGAGGATACGGGCGGGGGAGAGGTGGAGGTGAAGGGCGCAGTGGATGAGGGGCCTAGAGGGGGCAAGGCGTGAGCGAACGAGCGAGCGAGCGCGAAGGAAAGCAGACGATGGGGACGGACCGGTTCTGGACGTGGTGCTCCCAGCCGAGGCCCCAGTCGCGGGGGCCGCCGTCTGGGATGATGAGGACGCCGTTCTGGAGCCTGGAGAGCCTGCGTGGGTCGTGGTCGTGGGTGTGGGGCGCGGCGGGGACGTGGACGCACATGTCGTCGATGAGGCGGTCGCGGACGGCGTCGAGAAAGTGTGCGTAGACGGCGCGGAGGGGCTCGCGCGGGAGGAGCGGGGCGGAGGGCGCTGCCGAGGGCGGCGGCGGTGGTGGGTGTGGAGGGCGCGGTGCGGCGGGATCAAGGCAGTTGGGGCACGGGGTGCGCTGGGCCGCGCAGGCGGGGGAGCATGGGTAGAGATCATCCGGGGTGAAGGACGCGGCCTCTGTGACTGTGGGAAAGGGAGGTCAGCGGCAGGCGGTGCGAGGAGCGGGGACGGACAGACGGGCGAGGGCGAGGAAGGGCGGGGCGCGGGCAAGGGCATCGAGGGGTGCACGTGCGCGGGCGGGGTCATCGTCCGAGGCGATGAGAAATGCGTAGAGGCGGGGGGTGTCGGGGCCGACGTGTACGGAGACGAGGACGGAGGCGAGGGGAGGGGTGGGAGTGCGGGGGAGGACGTGTCTGCGCGCGAGCTCGAGGAGGTCGGGTGCGGCGGCGAAGAGGGCGTAGTGGACGCGGGTGCGGCGGGGGAGGGGGAGGCGGGCAGCGAGGACGGGGGCGCGAGTGTGTATGTGCGGGGGCGCGTGTGCGAGTGCGGCGGCGGCGGCGGCGTCTGGGGACGGGGCGGGAGGCATTGGCGCAGGCACGGGCACGGGGCACGGGCACGCTGGGGATGGCGGAGGCGGACGAGCACGCACGGGAGATGCCGAGAACGAGGGCCCAGTCGCCTCGCCGCGTCCGTCACCGCCTCTCTCTCCTCCTCCCAATGCAGCCCTCGCCCCGCCCCCCCTCGTCCTCGTCCCGCCCCGCACTCACCCCCGCACCCGCCCCCGCACCCGCCTCCCGCCCTCTCCACACCGTCAACACCCAGACACACACAATCGACTCCGTCCACGGCCGCATCCTCTGCATCGCAGACATCCGCGGCCGCCTCTCCGCCCTCAACGACCTCGCCCGCGACGCAAACGCAAAGGCAATCATCCACACAGGCGACTTTGGCATATTCGGTCCGTCTCTCCCTCCCTCCTGCCCCTCTCCCCACCTCACCCCACCGCCCCACAGACGCATCCAGCATCGACCGCATCCATGACAGGACCCTCCGCCACCTCACCATGTACTCCCCCCTCATCCCCCACAACCAGCGCAACCACCTCCTCTCCGCGGACAACACCCCCGCAACCGTCCGCGCAGCCATGAGCATCTCCATGCTCTCCGAGTTCCCCCTCCTCCTCTCCGGCCAGATCAAGCTCGCCGTCCCCGTCTACACCGTCCTCGGCGCCTGCGAGGACGTCCTCCTCATCGAAAAGCTCCGCACCGCCGCCTACGCCATCGACAACCTCCACGTCATCGACGAGGCCACAACCCGTTGCCTCGACGTCGGCGGCGTAAAGCTCCGCCTCCTCGGCCTCGGCGGCGCCTTTGTCCCCCACAAGATGTTCGACAACGGCGACGGCGCCGCAACAATCGCAGGCGGCGGCGGCACAATCTGGACAACCGCTCTCCAGATCGGCGAGCTCGTCGACACCGCCCAGCGCGTCTACGACCCCTCCGAGACACGCCTCCTCGTCACGCACGCAAGCCCTGGCCGCGAGGGCCTCCTCGCCTCCCTCGCCCTCGTCCTCAAGGCCGACCTCACCATCTCCGCCGGCCTCCACTTCCGCTACGCCACCTCCTGGAACGAGTTCTCCGTCCAGGCAGACTTTGACGGCTTCCGCCACAAGCTCCGCGCGGGCAAGGAGGCCTTCGACAAGGTCTGGGACAGCGTCAAGTCCCAGGTGGACGCCGTCATCGACGACAACCAGCGCGTCCTCCTCGACAAGGCCCTCTCCGTCGTCGACCGCATCCCCCCGCCCATCGGCCACACAGGCCCCGGCGGCATGGTCGCAGGCGAGGAGCCCGCATGGAAGAACTGCTGGAACTGGAACCTCTGCGACGCCGCCTACGGCTCCCTCGTCCTCGACATCAAGGATGGCCGCGTCAGCGCCGAGCTCAAAAGCCAAGGTAAGCCCCACTCTCGCCCCTCCCTCGCACGCACGCACGCTCACCCCGCCCCGCCCCGACAGGCTTCAACTACGCCTACCGCCGCACCGCGACCCCCAACACCGTCGCCCCCACCCCCACCTCCACCGCCCAACCCCCCCTCCCGCAGCAGCAGCAGCAGCAGCCGCTCTCCAACCCGCCCACAAAAGGCCCTACTCCCGCACCCCCCGCCTTGGCGCCCTCCAGCCGCGACGCGCCCCCACACAGAGACACCGCACCCACCTCGACCTCTACGCCCGCGCCCGCGCCCGCACCCGCACCTGCGCCCGCGCCCGCACCCGCCGCCGCAAAGACGAACGGCGCCGTGAGCCCCGCAAGCCCCGCGCCGGGCTCCGGCCCCAGCCCCGCCTCGGACAAGGCAGAGAAGGAAAAAGCGAAGCGCAAGGACAAGAAGGACCGCAAGGACCGCGAAAAAGCCGAGCGCGAGGCGCGCGACAAGGACGGCCCCGCAGGCGCCGACGGCAAAGACGACCCCGCACCCAAGCCGCGCTCGGGCAACGCCTCCCCCGCGGGCTCCTCCGCTGGCGCCTCTGCGCCGCCCCACCCGCAGCCACGCGCGCTCGCGGTGCAGTCCCCGAAGCTCGGGTCCGAGGGCGGCGCCGACGCGGGGCTCACGAGCCCGCGCACGGACTCGACGGGCGCGCGCACGCCCACGGGCCGCAGGCAGGCGCGCCACCCCTGGACGCTGTTCGTGCGCCTGCCCGCGCCCGCGGGCGAGCACGAGCTGCGCGAGTTCTTCGCGGACGCCAAGGGCGGGGTGAGTCGCGCGCTCGCCGTTTTCTTACTGTGTTCGGGCGCTGACTGACTGATGGCTGGCGCGCGCGCAGATCACGCGCGTGACGTTCCCGGCGACGTACGCGGGGCGCCAGGGCAAGATCGCCTATGTCGAGTTTGGAGACGAGGACGCGATGAAGGCCGCCCTCGAGAAGCACGACGAGGTGCATTGCTCCCTCCCCACCTCCTCCCCGCGCGCGCTAACCATCCCCCCTCTCTCTCCGCGCAGAACCTCAACGGCGCCGCCCCGGAGGTCAAGATCGCAGACAAGGACCGCGAGCCGCACCACCCCTTCCGCGGGGGTCGCGGTGGCGGCGGGCGTGGTGGGCGCGGCGGGTTCGCGGCGAGGGGCTTTGCGGCGGCTGGGCTTACGCGCGGTGGGGGCCCACCGGGCGCTGGAGGTAGCGGTGGCGGAGGCGGGGGCCGGGCGAACGGGGAATCTGGGAGCGGCGGAGGAGGAGGCGGAGGCGGGGACGCGTGAGCGCACCGCGCCGTGGCTGCGTAGCATACTCGCACGAGCGTGATTTTTTGCCTCTCTCTGCCTTTCTTTTCTCTCTCTTTCCGTCTTTGATTGTCTTTCTTTGGTGGCGAGTCCATGTTCTCGTTCTCGTTCGTGTTTGCGTTCGCGTTCGTGTGTCCGGCGTCTGGTATATTCTCCTTCTCACGTCCTACTACGCGCGCGCCCCGTACGTCTTTTTAGTCCCGCATACATAAATCCCGTTCGCGTATGCGCGCTCCCTCCTGTCGCAGTCGCAGTCCCGTCCCGCGTACGCCGATCGGTCGCGACGACTACTTATCGCTAGTCCGTTGAGGCTGTTGGGCTCTTCCGCCCCTTTTTGTTTTTCCATGGTCATTCGTGCGCGCGCGCGGGGGGGTGGCGGCTAATATTATGCAATGATCCCCGTCGACGGCCAGCCGTCAGCCAGGTTGATGCGCGAGAGGCGCGAGTCGACGACGACGATGATGGTGTAGCAGTGTAGTGTACATACAGCTTGTCTAGAACTAAAAAGACACGCGGGGAAGAAATAGGAACATGCGGATGGAAAGAACGGATGAGACAGACGAGTGGACCGAACGAAATGGCCAAGAAAAGCGAACGAAACGCAAGGAACAGACGAGGACGACCTCCCAACTCACACACACCAAACATCGAACAAAGACGCCGCCAGGCGCAACGGCGAGCTCGCGACAGCGTACACACCCCCAGGGCCACAAGGCCGCACGCTACCCCCGCCAGTCCTCGAACCCGAACAGGTCGACCGAGAACGCCGCAAAGTCCTCCCGCGACGGGTACTTGTCCGCCAGCGCGCGCGGGAACCCGATCTCGATCGAGCTCGAGCGGCAGTGGCCCCCGCCCGGGCGCGTCCGCGCCGACGGGAGGATCACCTCGATGAACGGGATCGCCGCGCCCCCCGCTTTCGTCGTTGCTTTCGTCGCGGTCGGGCCTGTGGGCAGGCCCCACGGCGCCGCGCCCTCGCCCTCCCAGTCTGTGTCCGAGTCCGAGTCCGTTGTCGACGCTGCCGAGCTCGCGGAGGTCGTCTCGCGGAGATCCGCACGCTCCCCGCCGCGATGCCGCAGTGCCATCCGGCTCACTGCCGCCATCCGACTCGCCCTCGCCGCCGTTGACGACGATGACGATGACGACGACGACGACGACGCATCGTGAGCGGTGATGCGCGTGCCGCTCCCGGCGGCGCGTGCGAGGATTCGAGGGAGGTGGAGCGTGACCCTCACGGACGGCACCGCGCGCAGCTCGCTGCCACACATGTACGAGGAGAGGTACCACGTGCCGCGGACGCCGAGCATGAGAGGCGCGCTGGCGAGCCGCGCGCACGCCGCTGCCGGCTTCAGCGCGCGCGCGGCGCCGGCGGCGATCATGCTGGTCGGCGAGAGCGAGGTGGGCGTGCGGTGGTGGGCATCGCACAGGACGAGCGGGCGGAGCGAGGCGGTGCGCCGGTGCGCGATCGGCCTAGCCTCTGCTATATTCGTGCGCCTCAGCAACGGAAGCGCGCGACGGCTCAACTGGCACGCACCTCGCTGCGAGACGGCCGACCACGCCCTCGCGCACCTGCGCAGGTAGACAACGGCCCAATGCACCCGGGGCGGGAGCGCCGCGAGGAGGGTCTGCAGGTCCTGCTCCGGGGAGGACGCCTGCCGGCAGTGTTTCGCGGGAAGAGAGAGCGGGCGCAGCGCGCGCTGCTTCGGGCGGCGGACAAAAAACGCGATGGACCAGCTCAACGCGCAGCTGTACAAGAAGATGACCAGGCCGCAGACACCGCTCCACGCGGACGCGCGTCGCGGGCGGGGCGGGGCGGCGCTGGCAGGAGGGTGCGGCATGGTGATACACAAAGAGTGGATGGCGCACTGCAGGGTGTGTTCGGGCCCATATGGACGACGCTACGCGGTGCGGTTCGAGGCCGCCAGACTCGACTAAAATACCTCGGGCTAGATGCCAGGATCTGGAACTTTCTAATCGCCATAGCAAGCGGGCAGCGCCCCAGCGCCTGTCGCGCAGGAATGTTCGGGATGACGCCCCCTGCGGCAGACTGGATGACCGCTGCGGGAGAGAGAGGGCGTTGAGTTTTGAGCCTGCGGGGCGAAACAGACGTAGCGGCTGCGAAGAGACCTCCAGTCTGATCGGGTTCCGCTCGCCAGCCGCCCTGGCCCCTCGGTCATTCCATCGCAGGGCTTCAACGCGCTCCTTGACCGCCGTAGGCCGTTTCGTCAGAAGGAAGTAAGATAAGTAATCACTCAAACGTCTTGTCAACGGTGTATCCTTCGCTACCTTTCGCGCCGGTCTGACACTTTTTCGGAAGCCCGACGAAGTGTCTACTGATCGGTTCAATGAAATGGTGGAGGCGGATGGTCTGTGGTTATCCGTGAACGCAACATCTTAAAGACCCAATAGCAAGAATGTTCCAACGAATGGGTGGACTGAGGTGGTACAGTAGGAGAGCGTCCGCCGACGCACTTCGACATCGCGGAGTTACAGATGTAAGCCCGCCGGCAATGTCCTGACGCTTGGCCTCCAACAACACTGACCACCGGTGGACCAGCATAACCTCACCCCCTTCCAGAAAAAGTAGCTTCGGCCCTAGTGAGAACGACCTATGCCCACAATGCGGGAACAGAACACGGCGGCTCATGTGGGGTCGGGGAACCGACCCTTAGAGGACAGACACTCGCTAAACAAGGACTATCTGGCGCGTCCCACGCTCAATGCGCTCGACACGATGCTGTGATGACTGTGAGGAACCTATGTTCCGGGTCTCGACGAGATCTCTGTCTTGAGGACCCGATTCGCCTTCGATTTTGGTGCTGGCGCTACGATAGTGGCAGATGAGTCGCGCGGGAGCAACAACATTCGTGAGACTATTCACCATTCGAGTTTTCAGTGAGGTAGAAGCGTCGCAAAATCATGATCGCCTCTTCGCGGCAGCAGCCTGACGAGGCGCTGTAAGCAGGATGTCTGGGATGCGGCAAACTGACCGCGCCAAGTTAACGACTGAAGATGCGATATGGGAAGAGCCGTACCTGCCGTTGACGCCAAGGACACTTCCGCACCCACCAAATTTCTCATTTTCGCACCCATAGAATACCTCTTTGATACCCATCTGTCGCAAAGCAGAGGCGCACATCATGCACGGCTCAACCGTGACGTAGAGAGTAGTATTCGACAAGGGGTAGGTTGCTGGGCCAGGCGTGAGCTCGGGATCTAAAAGAATTGCATCGATAGCCTCAAGCTCGGCGTGTCTGGTTGCCTGGCATTGTCAATTCGGACCATAGATTTCAGGCGGGAGTAGCGCGACAGGGTTTACGTTTCGAAGTTCATTTGTACGGTTTCTGGCTCTGGCAATGACCATGCCGTCCCGCACAAAGATGCAGCCAACGGGAACTTCGCTTGCAGCGAGAGCTTCTCTAGCCTGACCATTGAGAAGGCTCAAAAACCAAAGAAGGACAAGTTGTGTGTCCAGAACTCACCATGTCCATCGCCTGCTCCATCCATTTCGTATGCTCGACGTCGCGGTCGACCTTGTCGTCTCCTGTCTGCATCATTCTTGGACGACCCCGGGCCCAGATCTAGAATCTCCAGTGAGCGGAAAGTTGTAGCAAGTTGGAGGAGAACAAGTAGAGGACGTGATACACCCGTGCTGGTTATGTCATCACTCGTCTAGGCTTCGCAAGGTTCGGCTCTCATTCGAAACGGCTTTGATCTGTTGGATGCGCCAGGAAATCTAAGGTATGTCGACAGGCTCTTATAATTTCTCTGCGGGCTCTTTATTCTCGGTGCTTTTGAATCCAGCTGATATATGGCATCTCAATTTCTACGATCATTGTCTCTCCTCCGTGTCCAGGCCGTTACACCGGCACACCGATTCGCCCCCGCACCACCTCGACGATGGTACGCTTCGGTGGGAACACGTCGACCCCGCGATGATAAAATCGAGTTCGATGTCGTCCGCTTGGTCGACCCTGAGACGCATAAGCCCGGAGATCCCCAGTCACTGCCGGACCTCGTCAAACTGTACAAAGCGGAGAAGAAATACTTCGTCGAGCTCGTTGCGTTGCCTTCGGAAATGACAGGCGGCTACCCGCTCGTGAAGCTCGTAGACAAGAAATTCAATACGGCACGGGAGAAAGTGGCGAAGCAGAAACAGCTCATCTCGCGCAAGCAGCAAGAGCAGAAGGAGATCCAGCTCACGTGGAGTGTCGCTCGCGGGGACTTGGAGCACAAGTTGCGGAAGGTGCGGGATGAGATTGTGAAGGGGCACCGTGTCGATCTTGCGTTCGCGCCAAAGAAGAAGCAACATCCTCCACCAATACACGAGCAGGAGGCGATGGTGAAGGAGTCGCTCGAGGTGCTTCAGGACGTGGCGAAGGAATGGTCACCGCGGCGTGCAGCGAAAGGTATGCTCTTCGTGTACCTCCAGCACAAGGATCGGCCACTCCCTCCAAAATCCGCGAAATTATTTGCCGGTGCGGCGGCACAGGCATCAGAGCCTTCCAATGCTTCGTCCTCTTCACTGCCGTCACCGAATTCATCCACATCTCGGTAGCGATACCATCGAATGCCTTGTCGTCATGATTTGTGTTTTATATGGGTGCTAAAGTCGGTCTCCAAAGTAATACAAGTATTATACTCTCATTTTTTCTCATCCATGCGCCAGCATGCTCGCCCCAGCAGCCTCGCTCACCGTGTATTCTTCACCGGCAAGCCCCTCACCTTGACGGTCTGTGTCGCATGGGACCTGAACTTAGGGCGCCGGGGAACAAGAGGGAAAGCGTATGGCCTTGAAAAGGTGCTGCGTTTGCCCTCCATGCGATCCTCCTCGGGCCGCAGCTCTGTAGAGATGCCCTGCAACCTTCCAATCAAGGCTTCCCGGAAACCCGCCGGAACAGAAAATCCGGCTTCGGACATGTCCACCGCGATTTGTTCGAGCATCGGTGTCCAGTACGGCGACAAAATATCTCTGCGGAGGTATCTCTCCCTAGCACGATGCAGGCGCTGGCGCCAGTGCGAGCGTGTCACATGGCGTCGGCGCACGAAAATGCTAGGCCGACGTCCGAAAAGGTCTAATAACGCATTGAAAAATCGTTCGTCGGGCTTGGGGAATTCGATGCCGCGAGGGGCCTCTCCCCGGGTCTTCTGCAGGCGCATCAAGGACTCGTACACCGACTGCGTACCTTCGCGCATGGAGTGGTATAGCAGAGCACCCACGTTTGGGCCGGTGATATTCCGCCGCATATCAGGCGTCTCGTCCATCACGCCGCTGCGTAGGAAGAACCGAGCCCAGCCGATGACATGCATCTTGTCTGTAGGCTTAGCCATCCACCCTGCGCTCAATTGCTCCCCTAGCTCTCGCCGTGATTTGGCACGCTTCATAGCAAGCCCCTTGCGCGCCTCGTTCCCGTAGCATTGCATCATCACCGTGTAAGCGTGCACAGGGAGCACCCAGGGCTTAGGTCGTTGGGTCTCTGGCATGGATTGATCGCAAGCATTGGCAGCATCCCAGGAAGCAGTCTCTGCTTCCTTGGCCAACATCCAGACACGTTCCGTGAGCCCAGTCTTTCCCGCCTTTCGAAGCGCGTTGAGTACCGATGTGAAGAAGTATGGTCCGTATGTGATAGCGCGCTGGACACATTTCTCGCGATTCATCGTTAGAAGAATCCGTCGATGTTCTGCTGTAGTTCTACCCCAGTCTGGATGGTCGACTGCGGCCAGCTCAGGAAGCATTTCGAAGAGGATGTCCACAACGGCTTCACACTGATCGTTGGAGATTAAGTGTGTGATGTAGCTCGTCAGAAGAGAAGGATCTATACGGAGCGGGTTTTTAGTGACTGGAACCTCGAGACTCTGTGACTGAATCTGCTTCACAAGGCCCGAGATTCTTGAATTCCAGGCAGGAGGATCAGAGCCCAAGGGCCTATCAACAAGTGCAGCGTCCTTTGTCGGATCCTTTGCGGCAGCCTCCACCTCTGCATCACTCGCAAGCGTCATCTTAATGGGCATGCTGTCTCGTACTCTCTGGAGCACCTGTTCAGCTAGATCATTGCGGCGAAGCAATGAGCTGGATCGCAAGAGGATGCCGTATGTTACCGAGTTTGGGGAAAGAGGTGGCTGCCGAAGATCTGTCATGTGCGTGATGACGCGCTGGGCGAGCTTCGGAGAATACCGGTGGCGCAGGGCATAATGGATGAGAGCGTTGTAGGACTCAACGTCCAGCGGACGCAGCCAAGTCTTTGTTTGATATGCGTCATGAGAACTGTAGGGGAACTGAGATGGTAGGTCTTGTGAGAGCCGCAGAAGCACTTTGTGGAAGTATCTATACGCATTTACTAGCCGCATTTCACCGTCCCGCTGTCTTGCCCATACTTTGAGATCGTTGGAAGGATACGAATAAAGCAATCTGAGCAGACGGGAAAGTCGACGTGTTGGCAACTGCTGTGTATCAAGAGCAGAGGCAAGGATGGCAAGACATTGAGAACATTCGGGAAACAGCGGATCGAGGGGCCCTTTTGCAATATTGGCCGACAAGAAATCCACGATTTGCGCAAAGGACTCATTGGGAGGATGCTCCGGTAAGAAAAGGTATCCACGACGTGGAAAGTATCCCCTGTCACGTGCGACAATGGCGACCATGGGCGTATGCGTATCTGCAACAGCCTGTTCAGTGAGCCGACTACAGGTCTGCCGTAGTTGAAAGTCCTTGATGAGGATGACCAGGAGAAGCGACGCAACAATGATTTCGCCCTGGACGATGCAAGCATTGATAACGATCTCGAACATTGCGCGTGTACGCTGGTATCGGTGCTTGCGCGCATCTCGAAGGAGACGAACGGCGTAGCGGGTAAGAGGATCGGCAGGCATGGCAGTGCGGATGTCCAGTACTTCTTTGCCTTCGGGTATGTATGTCCTTGGCTGGAAGTGTTCGATGCGATTGTAGCCCGTCCGATCCTCCCCTGCGACGATAGTGTGAGGATGAAGGGTGCCCAACAGAGATTCGAAGGTCTTTGCCCGGAACTCCATTCCATCGTCCATCATCTGCAGCGCGAGCTTTGCTGCGAGCTTGCGCTGGCCATTCCGGAGGAGCCCATGGACGAGAGAATGTGCCGCCAAGCGAGGAGAGACAGGGTGACCAAAGTCCACTGGCTCGAAACTCTCCATTGGCTTTTTGAACTTGTATTTGGGAAGGCGCGTTGTTTCAGGACGATGGTGGTGATAAGACCAGCGCATAGAGTGAAGGAGATGGAAAGCATCCCATGTATTTTCATGAGCCAGAGAGACACGAATTGCCGAGGCACCGGCACGAGAAAGTTGAGCGACGGAAAACTGTGTGGAGGGTATATCGGATGGTGTATGTAGCTGAGGAACCGTGCCAGCTGAGGAGGGTATGGATTCGTGTGAGGGCTGTCCGAGGGTTGGACTGGTGGCAAGACTCGAGAACAAGCTGTTGTAGGATATGTGAGTTGAGTTCACGAGAAACATGATGCACAGAACTTTGACCTGACGCGGTGGGAGTGAGATGTTATGAGCGCTCCAGTGGGCCGATGCCGTCGTTCAGACATGGACGCGACATTGTTGCGAGTGACCCTGCGGAACAGGAAATTGGCCGTCGTGGACCAATTGCATGGCATGTGTCTCGCATAACTAAGATATTTGTGAGCACTTAGGCCTCAAATGAACGATTCAAAGCTCACCAGGCGCGCCCCGTGAGGTTACCGGAGTTTGGGCAAAGTCACAAAGTCGCCCGACTTGCGAGAATCGTTACGCTGGAGGAGATGATGGTTGGAGGAAAGGAATGCGCTAGGAACTCATGCGTACGAGTGCCAGGCTTGCCTAGAGCGGCACGACAGACTGGTTCGAGTCTGGGTTCGGACCTGGAGACAAGCACACGTGACCTGCCTCTGCCTGGAGCAAGTTGAGCGGTTACTTCGTTGACAAGTTGTCTGTGGTATCGAACGTGTTCGACGAGCTTTGTACGCAATTTCACGTCTGTAAACATGAGCCACGAAGGACGACACGGTGGCCGTGGCAGGAGACATCGAGGTAAGAGCGCAATGCACCAACACTACGCTTTAAATGCCGAACACTACTTGAATCATTCCAGAAGACCTTGACCGGAGAGATTGGGAAACACCCGAAGAGCAGCTCAAGTCTGCCATTTTTAAGTTCGGAGAGGTGGTGAGCTGTCTTTCCTCAGCTTAACTCGTAAGAAGTTTGTGCGATGAACATTGCCCTAGGACGCTGTGCAGGAGGCGCCTCGACTGGCAGCACAGATCCGTAAATTCGAGCCTCCCAATGTGTCCGTGTATGCTGAAGCGATCAGAATAGGGTGAGTAACCTGTCCATTTGGTCACATTGCAGTTGAAGATATTCGTATACAGCGCGGTGGAACAACCCTATAAAATTCCACACTATGCAGCATTACTCCGAGACCTCTATGAGCCCTTACCGGCGCTGTCCACGGAAGAAGAAAACGGGTCTTCCAGCACCAATGATGTGTCACTTGGGAGACAGATTCTGGATGATTATTGGAAGGGATTCCAGGCGTATCTCGACAAGCATGCTTGGAGGGAGGTACGGTTTTGTGTGAGCATTGAAGTGTTGTATTCTTCGTCCCGTCCTCCACTCATGATTTGTTATTTGTTATCAGGTGCATTTCTTTGCACACCTCACTGTAGCTGGGGTTATCTCCCCCCAGTCTCTGTTGAGCCTCTTACAATCATTCACTGCCGTCCTCGATGAGTTTGGTGTCTCTCTCGGGCGAGCCAAAAAAGCAGCCTTCTGTGCTGCTGAGGGTTTGATGAGGGTATGCCATTTTTTCAATTGTTTGCTCCAGCTTGCTTAAAACATTGCGTCGCCAGGCAGGTCAAGTCTTGAAAGAGGTCTCCGCTGCCTCCGTCGTTGAAATGATTAGCAGCCTTCAGACCTATGAAGAGACAACCTTGACAGCCAAATCCCTTGTCCAACCGTTTGTCTATTTCCATTCTGAAGGCTCTTCTGTAGAGCATGCTGACGAGGTGAGTGCACTTGCTTGCTTCGCGGTTAAAAAAGAAGAGTCGATGAAGTCGGGTACCATCTAGTATCTGCATTGTGCAGTCAATGCCCTGAAAACTCTGGAGTCGTCCGATTTTTCCGAAACGTCTTCGATTTACCCTCAACCTTACGCAGACGCCGAGGCGCTTACTGCCAATCAATTTGACTTGCCTTCTGTTCTCGTCCCACCAGAGGTCATAGAGCTCGACGGACTAGCTACCGAGTCTGGCGAGGACGCCCTGGTGAAAAAAGAAGAATGGCCAGATTTTCTCGTTCGCTTATTCGACAACGATGTCAGTTGCTCTTCCTTTCAGTTGAACTAGCGCGCTGATACGTGCCAATGCCGTAGGTCACACCGGATCCGATGACACCGGCGGGATACGCTGTTCGCACAGACCTGATGGACATCGTTGATATCTTTGAAGTCAACCGAAAAGAATGTGCCAGACTGCTGATGGAATATCCAAAGTGGACCATTGCGGGAACCTTCAAACCAAAACCTACACACGATAATCCAGAACGTGTCCCGGTACCAGGGAAGGACTGGCAACTAGAGAGTTCTATCATCGAGGTTCGTGTGTTTTCAGACTTGGTGGAGCATACCGTGCGGGGCTTAATGACTATTTTGTCAGAGTATCCTTGGAATGCAGTTCGTCTTGCCCGAAGCGTCCCATAAAACAATCTATCACATCGCGTTGATTACGGAGCTCTGCAAGTTGTCGCCCCAGACGGTGGGACCTGCAGTAGGGAAATCTATCCGGAAGTTGTACAGCTATCTGGCAGACGGGTTGGATGTCGAAGTCGCCCGCCGGTTCGCCGAGTGGTTCTCTATTCACATGAGCAATTTTGGGTTCCAGTGGGTCTGGAAGGAATGGTGGGTTGGCTTGGTGCTGATCATCTTGGGACCGAATTGAAGACCTCGTTTCACAAATAGGGTCCCCGATATTTCTTTGACAGTACAACACCCCAAGCGTACGTTCATTCGCAAGGCATTGGCACTCGAGATCCGATTATCGTACTTCGACCGCATCTTGAAGACGCTACCGGAGCCTTTCCAGGATCCGTCAGCGTTGGCCATGCCAGATCAGGCGCCCGGCCCTGAGTACGATTACGATGACCCAGGTATGTCCAGACCCGCATCTCTCGCATGGCACCTCTGAACCCGCTCCCCAGCGACCCCCCACCACGACGCGGCCCAAAGCGTGCTCAACCAGCTCCGCGCGCGCGCAAAGCCCGAAGACGTGATGTCCAACCTCGAGTCCATCCGGAACGCGATCGCCGAGACGAGCGAGGGCGACGTGAACGTCGACTCGGTCGTGCGCTCCATCGCCGTGCAGTCCCTGCTGCACATCGGCGCGCGCTCCTTCTCGCACTTCCTCAACGCCATCGAGCGCTACATCCTCCTCCTCCGCAACCTCGCCGCGGGCGGGATCGCGGCGGGGTCGGGCGGGCTCGCGAGCGCGGAGGCCAAGGCGGACATCCTCACGATCGCCGCGACGTTCTGGCGGCGGAGCCACCAGATGGTCGGGATCGTGTTCGACAAGTTCATGCAGTACCAGATCGTGGACCCGACAGACATCGTCCGGTGGGCGTTCATGCACCAGCAGCGCGGGGACGGACTGGACTGGGACGTGCTCAAGGCCGCGATCGACAAGGCGAACGGGCGCGTGGTCGTCGCGCGGAAGCGCGTCGCGGCGCTGAGGAAGGAGGAAGACGACAGCAGGGCGCGCGCGAAGGCTGGCGACAGCACGGCGATGGAGGTCGACACCGAGGCGAAGCAGGGTTCGTCCGTCTCCATTTCTTCACGTCCTCTGGACAGAACGGCCCAGCTGACGTGCGTATGCCGTGCCGGTGCTAGACGAGACGCCGGCGGTGGACTCGCCGGCGCTGGTCACCGCGCTAAAGGCGTTTGCGTCGCTCACGCGCGAGCAAAAGTCGATGCTGTCGCAGGTGCTCGAGGGCTTCGTCGAGAGCCTGCACTCCCCCACCGCCGAGCGGCCGAACCCGTGCGCGAGCGAGGTCATCACGGAGAAGGCATGGCACAACCGCGCGAACTGGGGCGACGACCAGTGGAAGGCGTGGACGACGTGGGTGCTGTACAAGCATTTTTGCAGAACGGTGAGCGCATCCCCTTCTCGCACCTCGTCGCTCGCGAGTGTCTTTTTTTCTCACGCGCCGCGCGTCTCGACTCGGCAGTATTCGCCGTACCTCCGCAACTACTCCGTCAGCCTCTCCACCGTCGTGTTCGCCAAAATCGACGGCGCCACGGACGACGCGGCAGTCCTGATGAAAAACCTCTGGAACGTCGCCACCGGCCAGGAATGAATCTGACACGCATCTCGGTGTGGTCCACTTACTATCGATCCGTCCACCTTTCGGAAGTGCTTGCCCCGCCGTATACAGGATACACCCATCAATCAAGCTGCTCTCCGTACCTTCCATATATGTATGCGGTGATCTCCCAGAGTTTCTCGATCTCGCGTGTACGTTGGTCCTCGCAGCTGTCGATAAGTACGATCTCCTGCCCTGTTATTCGATACCGCATCACATGTTATTTCTATCGGTCTCCACGCACTCGCAAACGATGTAGAAAGAGGTCAGCAATGTCTGTTACAACATGAGTGTGTACAGTATCCAAGGTATCCGTCCAGCCCTAGTAAGTCAGTAGTAGATCACACGACGGGTATATCAAGCATCAAAATCTAGTCTTTCTTGTCCTTCCGTGGGCCGTTCCCTCCGCCCTTGCCCTCGCTCTTCCTAATACGTCCACCCATCGAGTACCCCACGGTCCCCAGGAACACCAACGCCGCACCGGACCACAGCATGCCCCAGGCGGTCCCGCCCGCGTTCTGGGCACCCTGCCGAAAGAGCGCGACGCTGAGCACGAGCGAGACCGCCTTGCGCACGACGAGCGTGAGGGTGACGGTGAGCGCCGCGACGCGCGTGGTGAGGCGGTTGACGCCCGCGACGCAGAACAGTTGGGTCACGGTGTTCAGGACGAGGGGCACGAGCAGGGCGGGGAGCGTGAGCGTGAGCGTGGGCGCGGACGGGGCCGCCGGGTCGCCGACGCCGAGGAGCGGGGAGAGGATGGGCGGGAGCGCGAGCGCGAGCGTGGGGCCGGAAAGGAGGGCGTCGAGCTGTGCCGCGATGTCGCGCCGGACGAAGAGGAACATGGGAAGGGAGAGGAAGTGGAGGTAGAACATGGACTCTTCCCACGTATCGGGGCGGTCGTCTTTCTCCTTCGGCTGCGGCTGGGCGGGATCGAGTTTGGTCGATGCGGCGGGAGGGGACGCGCTGGAGGTCGTGTTCCCGTAGTGCGAGTAGGTATTATCCTGGACGATCCCGAGGAAGCCGGAGAGGACGAGAGCGAGGGTGAGCAGCGCGATGCCGGTGACGTAGCGGTGCAGGGACGCGTCAGAGGCGAGGCTGGAGCCCTTGTGCGGATTCGACGCGGAGAACGTCGTGAGGACGACGCCGGACGTGACGAGGAGCACGGAGATCACTTGTGGGAGGGAATATCTGCCGCCGTGCGCGTTTGAGGACAAGAAGTAGGAAGGAAAGAGGATACGCACGTTCGTCCGGATATCATCCAGCCCATGAGGAGGCTGATGACCAGTCCGCCGCTGCGGAAGATGATGTGCACGGGCATGGGTATGTCGTAGGCAAAGGCGGCATTGTTGAGGAGCGAGATGGCGTAGAAGAGCGCGACTTGGAGGAGGTACGGGGTGAGTGGGATGCGTCGCTGCTTGAGCCACGGCAGAGGGAGGCCCATGGGCCCCCGGACGGAGGTGAGGAACTTGGGCAGGCCGTGGAGGGAGATGAGGAGGAACTGGGCGAAGGTGAGCAGCGCGGCGGAATTAGGAAATTCCGAGGTGACGCGCTCCAGCGTGATCGCGTTGCTGCAGCGGCAGGACCGTCGGTTCGAGACACACTGGACGGCCGATTCGCAACGCACCTGCAACATCCTCCGAAGACGAGGCCGAGGGTGGTCGCCCAGTCCGTCAGCAGCGCGAGCGAGAGACCGGCGAGGGCAGTGGACTTGTAGGCTGTGGAAACATCGCGCATGTCGCGGGGAGGGCTGCAAACGTCAGTGAGGGAGGGTGGAGAACGACATTGGATAGCATCGCGAACAGGGTGACGTGTCGATGTGCTCGCCGCTCGACTCGGGGACGCGCAAGGATGGCCGCGCCGGTAAGCGAGGGAGTCACATGACGGATCACGTCGTGGACGCGTCGGGCTTGCTCGCGGTGTTTGTCTCGACCAGCGAGGCTGAGACCGCCTGGCGGGCAGAGACGACGCGGCGCCGGTCTGGAGTGAAACTGGGCGTTATGTGCGCAGCAGCGGGTGGGGGTGCGGGTGGAGAGACCCCCCGTCCGACGACCACCGCGCACGCTGAGCCCCAGCCCCCGTCCCCGTCCAGCGCACTACTGACCGCGACCCGATTGAGCGAGCGAGTGTAACCCCCGACTGTCTGTTCTCGCCCCGCCGCCGGCCACAGCGCTCTTATAGCCCTCGCCGTCTGCCCTCCCCCTCGCCCCCTCCACCGCTGTCCCTCGACGGGCACTCGGTCACACCCACACAATAACCCCACACTCCCTCACCCCAATGCCCCCCGCCAACAGGCCCCACCCCGCCTCCCTCCTCCCCTCGAACGTTCACAACCCCCTCCTCGTTCATCTCCTCCGCCAGCCCGTCTCCTACGACATGGTCGCCTACGTCGCAAAGGCCACCACCCGCGCAATTCCCATAGAGGAAGACGCACCGAGCCCCACCTCCGCCGTGGCGAGCGCCCTCCCCACGCCCCCCCACACGCCCCACGGGACAAAGTTCCACGAGCAGGCCCCGCCCCCCTCTCCCCCCCTCATCTCGCTCGAGGACTTCATTGTTCACATAATCAAGTCCTCCAACGTCCAAGTCCCCACCCTCCTCACCACCCTCATCCTGCTCGACCGCCTCCAATCCCGCCTGCCCAAGATGGCAAAAGGTATGGACCCTTCCCGCCCGCCCCGCCCATCACATCACCACTGACACCACACTTTCACACAGGCATCCCCTGCACGCGGCATCGCGTCTTCCTCGCGACGCTCATCGTCGCAGCGAAGTACCTCAACGACTCGTCCCCGAAGAACAAACATTGGGCCGCCTACGCCCGCATCTTCGACATCGCAGAGATCAACCTCATGGAGAAACAGCTCCTCTTCCTCCTTGACTATGACCTCCGCTTCGACGAGGCCGAGGCGTGTGCCTTCTTCGCGCCGTTCATGGTCCAGTCCGCCCCCGTACCTGCGCCGCCGCCGATGCCGACGTCGACGTCCACGCGGACCGCCGCTGCCGCCGCACGCCAGGAGCGACAAAAGGCCGTCAGCAAGGTCGCACAGGCGGGCAAGGCTCGTGCGCAGCAGCAGATGCCGCCCACCCCGCCGCACGAAAAGGCATCTTCGAATGCTGCTCCTCCCGGTGCCCAGCCTCCGTCTCAGCCGCAATCCCAGCCGCATACCTCCGTCGCAGAGGGCCTCTCGGGCAAGGTGCACAGCCTCGCAAGGCGTCTCTCCTCGACGTATCTCGGTACCAACGCGTGCGAGAAGCCCGCCCAATCTCTGCCGCCTACGTTGAGCGCCATGAGCTCCTGCGCAAGCAGCAGCGCGAGCAGCAGTACCAGCAGCAGCACAAGCGGGAGCGGCACCGAGTCCGAACCCGAGGCAGAGACGGCCATAGAGACCGACGACGACGTCACCGAGCGCTCCCGACTCCTCGACGGGGTCGGCGAGCAACGTGAGCCGGATGCCACGCAGCGCTTCATCCTGCGCCCGCTCCCGCCGTCTATCGCGCGGCGGCGCTCGAGCGCGCGCAAGACATCCGACGCGACCATCACCGACGTGCGCGCCGCGCTCGGCGCCGCCGCGTCCGAGACCGCGCTTGCGGAGCACGCGGACACGGGGTCCCCGCTGGTCCCCACGGCGGCGAAGCGGCGGAGCCTCACGAAGCGGGCGAGTGTCGCGCACATGCAGGGCAGGATCGTGCCCAGCAGGACGCTGCCGAACCTCGCGGCGGGCGTGGGCACGGGCGCGGGCGGGTTCCTCAGCCGCATGTGGGGCGCCGCGACCAAGGCGTCTGCCGCGTCTTCTGCTGCTCCCTCGGCTACGGCTGGCGCTGCGATGGCCGCGCCCGCGGGTGGGGCGGGGAAGACGCCACTGGTGGATATCGTCGAGCCGGAGGCGGCGCATACGGCTCAGACGCAGGCACAGGCGCTGCATGCGACGGGGGCGTTCCATCTGCGGCGCCTTGCGCATTCGAGGTCAGCGATGTTCCGTAGTACGGCCGCTGGTCAGCCGGGCTATGGCGGAGAGGGGGAGCCGTAGGGCTCCTCTTTGTGCGGTCCTTCCGAAGGACGCCTCATGCACTCATGAATCCACGAGCGAACGAACGAGCGAACGAGCGAAATGAACGAATCCGAATTTACGAGCGCGCTGGGTCGTGGGCCGTTGTGCGATGCCCACCCTTTTCCCCTCCCCCCCCTTCCCTCGGGCACGCTGTATCACCCGTCTTTCCTTTCTTTCCCAAACCTTCCCCCTCTGTCCCAAAAATCCTCTGTCCGAGAGACACACTTCACAGCCCAACCGTCGAGCATGTCTGTACTACCTAACGCATCCTGTATCCGTCCCTCATCGTCGCTTTGTCGCATCACTATCACCCTCGCACTCCTCGCCGACTATCCCCAACTATCTGTTCTCAGCACTCCACCCCACTTGACCGCACTCCATCTCGTCCCACGCTACTCCAACCCCGCTTACCTAGCCTCTCTCTCTCCATACCCAACATTGTTGTATTTCCTCGTCGTTAGGGCTTCTCGTTTTGTGCAACACTATGTAGCGTCTCTTATCCGTATACTTTTCTATACTCATATACCACACACGCACCGGGCCCCGCAGAGGGCTGGCTATTTTGTAACCGGCAGCAGTTGGATCTTATGACGGCGATGCGTAATGAATCATATACCCCCAAGCGCGTCTATCTTAAGCTTTAGGTCTCGAGGCCCGAAAAGGGAACATGAATTGTACATTTCCAAGCGGGTACGTGAATACAATGTCCAGCGCAAAATCCATGAAAGCGAAAAACGCGAACGCGGGCCGGGCCAGGCCACAGGGCTACAGCATCTTGACGTACGACGCGGGGAAGAGGCCGCTCTTGCCGCCGACCATGCCCGTCCACCTGCGCATGCGCGATGCGCGTGGGGAGTGAGCAAGCACAAGGCAAGGACGCGGAACGGGTCGGAGGAGAGGAGAGGAGCGCACCAGTCGGGCGAAGTCTTGGCGTCGGTGACCAGCACGCGCTGGCCCGCGCGGATCTGCAGATCGTCGGCCTCCTGCACCAGACGAAACGCGCGCGCCGGAGCATGTCAGCGAACCCAGACACGACACGGAGAATGCGGAAACGCCGACGTTGCACCCACCTCGCTCTCGTAGTCGTACAGCGCCTCGGCCCAAGCGCCGTGTTGCTCTTCCTCCTGGGGCTCTGGTTCTGGTTCTGGTTCTGGCTCCGGCTCCGGCTCAGGGTCTGGGGTTGAAGGCGCGGCCGACACTACGCGCCTCGGCGGCGGGGCGAACCCGCTCTTTTTCGCAAAGGCGGCGGGGATGGGCGGCGCGACGGGGGGCGGGACCTTCGATTTGTTCGCGGTGCCGTTCTTGATGGAGAGGAACATCGCCTTGCCGGACGTCGTATCGACGTCGCCGAATTTCTGGCGAGCACGCGCGCGCGGGGAGGCGGGGGCGGCGTGAGTGTCTGAGGCGTGGCGGGGCGGGCGGAGAGCGGGGAGCGAAGAGCGGGACGTACGCGCATGCTGACGAGCTTTCCTGTTGAGTCGGCTCCGGGTCCTGTACTCGACTGGGGGCGGTTGTACGCTGCGACCGTGGGCGGCGGGGGCGTGGGCGAGGGCGGGCTCGGAGTGCTAGAGGTGCTGCTCATGGCTGACCCGCGGCGCGGCGGCATCGCTGGCGGTGGGGCGGCGGGGGTGGGAGCGGGGTCGTAAGGAGCGCTGCTGAACGCGCGGGACGCAGCTGCGACGCGGCCGCCGAGGGCACCGACGGCGGCATGCGACGGCGCTGAGAATTTGGATGCGATGGACGAGGTCGTGGACGAGGGGCTGCTGTTCGTGAACGCGCTGTGCACGGCCGAGGCGGCTGCTGCTGCTGCCGGCCCCGACGCTGGGGAGCTCAGCAGCGCAGGGCGCGAAGAGAAGTATCTGCGAGCGTGTCAGCTAGATCTGCCGCTGGACGTGACGGGGTGCGTTGTGGGAGATGCACGGTGGGCGAGATGCTGTATGAATGACTCAACTCGTCGAGGAGAGAGAAGAAGGCGTCTTTCTCGGTCGGTGGGAGGTTGGAGAACACCATCCGCGTTGTGGAGAGTCTCCAAGATGCTCTGCAGCTCCGATATCGAGATCTGCACTGGAAACTTCCGAGATCTCCTTGCGGACAGACATGTTGTCTAACCACCCGCATACGAGGACATTCGATTGACACATAAATAGTGGGAGCGTAAAGTACTAATAACAGGTGATATAAAAAATCCAGCGGACTCTAATACGTATATGACAGGACGGAGTTGTGGGCCGCAAAAAAAATACCCTTGCGTCATCGTCGTACCCTATATGGGCCTCGACAAGCTATGCTCGCCGTTTTGAACTTGCCTTGCTTCAAGTTAGCTTCCTGAGAAGATACTCGTACCTGCTTCTCTCCGTGCAGCCGTACGCTTGAGCAACCACGCAAGGTTTTCGTACACGACGAACGTGACACATGTACCAGGGAGCACCCTGACCAGATTGGTCCCCAGTCCGCGATAGAATCCTCGAACACCCTCGTGCGCCCATGTGTGCTGTATCGTTGATGTGATAGTACGATGGTGTGTTTGGGCGAGGAGCGAGTTGTTCTGTATCATGGTTGTGGAGAGCATCATCATGAGTGACGCACGCATGCATGTCGAGGAACGAGATACCTGTATACGCGAACGGATAACCTGATAAGGATACGTCATTGTCAACGCCGCCAGCTTCGACGCGCCAGACATGATGGTATAGGCGGTGTTCGACTATCAATGGAAAAAATTGAGAGGCTGTCCGACTTCGATTCCTCATGAATAAGGGCGTACCAGCTTGTCATCCTCCGCTGTGTACTCTTTCCCAGCCTTTTCGAACTGCCGCTTCTTTCGTTCGAAACCCCACCGCTTCATCTCCTCATATGTCATAAATTGCAGGGCACCATTTCCAACTCCAACGAGAGCAAGAATGGTGCCACGGTAAAGGCCGGTGACACCTTCTGTGCGGTAGATTGATCTAAATCCATCTGCGCCAATACGTATGAGTCCAAGCGCGGGGCGAATGGAGACAGGGCTTACCCCATAGACCGCGATATGCCGTAGGCGAATCAGCTCGTGTCGTGAACATGCGTACTTTCACCACCCATATCGGATTCGTGATTACGGCGGTTGCAGCGCCTGGGCAGCACGACACCGAAGATGCACATATGATGAGAAAATTGTCTCGAAGGAGCCAAGGAAGAACTGCGAACTCGCTTGTGCTGAGCAGAGGAGGTATTGGCCTGCTGACAGAGGCTTGTCGGGATCGTCAAGAAACGCCCGGCGTTTAAGCTGATTATAGCTTGACAGATGGGATCGATTATCGCGTTAGCGAAGGGTTCAAAATATCGGCCAACAGCGCAACGTACAAGAGGAAATACAGCCCCCAGCTACTCGCGTTTCCTGCGATATTCGGACCCACACCCCTGTACAGCCCTCTCCAGCCGTCTGACTGCTTGATCCCCTTCAACGAATGCCAGATATGTTTTCCTACCCCACCCTTCGGAGATTCTGTGGCAACTTGAAATTTAACTTTCAGTAGATCGAGGGGGTGCATGCAAAGCACGGCCACGACGCCTGCACCGAGGCCTGCAAAAGCGTGGTCCTAACATGACCGATCAGATAATCACGGCTTCCAGAAAGATGTAGATGATGAGACGTACGATTGCATGCGAAGGAAAGAAACTAGGCTGGGTGAAGGGTTGGGACATGCAAGGCCAATATCGCGACTACACTCCGAGACCGACTCTTTGGTGACTAACCTAGTCAATCACGTGAGTACTTTTTATACGGGAATTTAACTACTCGTTCCAAGCAAAATCGGGGCTGAAGCTGAAGCGCTGAAGTGTTGACAGCGAGTCCATCATCTACTCAAAACTATGTAGGTCGAGAGCGAGGAGCGGCAAATCAAACTCAGAGGACATAGGGGCTCCTTGGGACATTCTAAGCTGTCTCAATGTAAGTTAATACTGGCTGTGGCAACCAAACAGCTTTAGGCATCGCAGATCAGTCCAATAGTACTATAAGACGATTTTGTCGCCATATTTACTTGTGAACGCGTGAATCTTGACAATATGAGTTCACGGCCATGGGCAGTCGGCCCGCGCCAGGTATTAGCACGGCGTGAGGACATCGAAGTTGGTCTGGAATTATTTTTCGGATACTAAGTTCTTTTGTCCTCCGCATCGCTACTTTTGGCAAGCGTGTCACGGCCACTGGATGTAGAGCAACAACCTCATCCTCGCAGTGATATCTCCTTATTTAATTGATTGAGATCTTTCGACAACCACCTCTCTCGTGTTTTCTAAACACGCTGTTCGCGTCCCTGCTTATCGACTCCTTTTTGATTGGAGGCTTCTGGGCCTTCCACTGTCTTTACGTCCTTGAAACATTTGGCAGCTCCAGTGTGAGGATCGGATACCGCTGGACCACGCGGTTCAATTTCATTCCCATCGAACGCCATAATGGCTCACAGCATGATTTAATCTTTGACTGCAGAAATCAGACCCATGATCACTTTGAGACGCGCACCCATCCTACTAAAGCTGGTCTCGCCCGTTCACACACCACGCGTCTCTTCACAACTCGTCCGCACTCTATCAATAAGCTCTAGAATCATGGCACCCACACCCTGGACTCCCAATCGATACCCCGTTGCGCGCCGCTCGGACCATATCGACACGTACACAAGCGAAGCTAAGGGAGAAGTCAAGATTCACGATCCTTACGAATGGCTGCAGCACAACACGGACGAGACAGACAAATGGACAACTGCTCAGGAGAAATTCACCAGAGAATACCTGGATGCTAACCCAGACAGAGTGAAACTAGAGGAAGAAATTAGAAAGAGCACGGACTACGAGAGGGTGAGTTTTGCTACTGGGGACTCAGTGAATGTCGGTATCGAGTGACTGCCTCGACTATCAGTTCAGCGCTCCTACTCTGAAGAAGGACAACCGCTGGTACTGGTCATACAACAGCGGTTTGCAAGCCCAGTCAGGTACATCCTGTTCCGCTCTGTCGCATGCCTCGAATCATGACGCCTTGTGACCAGTATTCTACCGTTCAACGGACTCTACTCTCCCCTCTTTCCCCACTTCCACGGGGCAGGTTTCCAATCCAGGAGAAGTATTTTTCGATGTGAGTGTTTCAGAAAATCACCGCTTCGGGGCAATGATTTTACTACCGCCTATAGCCAAATGCACTCTCGGAGGACGGCACAGTTTCCCTCGCAAGCGCGGCGTTTTCCCGAGACGGCAAGTGGTTCGCATACGGCATATCTCGCTCGGTCCGTACCTGTATAAAAATTTGCTGATAGCAACAGTCTAACCTGTCCGTTTTGGCGCTTGTCCTTAGGGCAGCGACTTCAACACGGTTTACGTTCGTTCTACGGACCACCCCTTGACAGATATTAAGGCCGACAAACGGCTTTCAGACGAGATCCGTTTTGTCAAGTTCTCTGGCATTGTTTGGACGCACGACAGCAAAGGATTCTTCTACCAGGTATGCTGCACTGGTTTGAGCGTGTAGTCCACAAAGAGGCGCTTGGGCAACCATTTAAGAGGATCCTAATCGAGTTGACAGAGATTCCCTGATCGTGAGTCCCATGGCTCGGCGTCAGAGGATAAGGCAGGCACCGAGATTCAAGGCGACCGTGATGCGATGCTGTACTATCACCGAATCGGCACACAGCAGTGTATGTTTTCTTTTTCGAAACCTTCCATCGGCAACGTGGTTGATATTGGAGCCGTCACGGGTATACAGCGGAAGATACATTGGTTGTCAAAGATCCCGAACACCCTGAATGGATGTGGGGAGCGCGAGTCACCGAAGAGGACCCAAAGTGGCTGGTGCTCAACGTCAGCCGGGATACTTCACGGGTGAGACCATATGCCGACATCCTGATGATGATGGGATACTGATTCTGCGCCAGAAACAATTACTCTGGATCGCAGACATCGAGAAGGATGCGATAGGACCTAACCTCAATTGGATCAAACTTGTGGACGACTTCGAGGCCAACTACGACATGTAGGCTACATTCACCCTTTTTTGCTTCCTAGCAGATGCGAACATTTTTCTGTAGCATCGGGAACGATGGGAATAAGTTCTATCTTTATACGAACGCCGATGCTCCTCAATACAAGATAATCACCGTAGACTTGGACGACTACATCCAGGCATCGAAGAACGGTCCTGTGCACATCAAGACCATTGCCAAGGATTTAATACCAGAGGATAAGGACGCGCACTTGGAAGATGCAAGCATAGTCGGCAAAGACCGGCTTGTCACTGTTTATAAGCGTAATGTGTGCATCGCTGGTCTAGATTCATTGATTGCGGCTAGAACTTCATCATCACTTCTTTTTCAGGTGAAAGATGAAGTCTACATCCACTCTCTGAAAACAGGTAGACGCCTTCTGCGGCTTGCGGAAGACCACGTTGGTTCGATCGGAGTCAGCGGACGGCGCGATCAAAACTGGATCTTCCTGTCGCTTACTGGCTTCACGACGCCGGGTGTGGTTGCAAGGTATGATTTCTGCGATGAGAAAGAGACTGAGCATGGTACGTGGAAAGTCTGGCGAGAAACAATCGTCAAGGGGCTGGCAGGCGGCGGGGGGTTCATTGCTGAGCAAGTAAGTATATAATCCCTTGGGGATGTCTGAGATGGTACAGTCAATTGTTTTCGGCTGATCACTCATGGTCATAGATATGGTACGAGAGTAAGGACGGGACCAAAGTCCCCATGTTCGTCGTCCGGCACGAGAGCACCAAATTGGACGGCACTGCACCCGCTATTCAATATGGTACGTCAGCATTTGTGACGGCCCACTCCGGAGTTCCGCGCGTGTACATGAAACCTCATGCTCACCGTACGGCTTACAGGCTACGGAGGCTTTTCAATTTCTATCAGCCCCTTCTTCAGCCCCTCTATCCTCACTTTCCTGCGGGCATATGGGGCTATCCTAGCCGTGCCGAACATCCGCGGAGGCGGAGAGTTCGGCGAGGAGTGGCATCTGGGGGGAACCAGGGAACGTAAGGTACGTTGTTTTACTCTCACAGTCGAGTTTTTCAGATGCGATCGGAGTGCAGGTCAATTGCTTCGACGACTTCATTTCTGCTACGTAAGTGTCCTCCACGGCTGCTCGCTTTTCGTGACGGGTAGTGAATTGCCTCAATACTTCTAAGGGAATGGCTAGTCAAGAACAAGTATGCCGGAAAGGGCAAGGTAGCTATCAACGGAGGCTCAAACGGAGGTACGTCTCGGAATCTAGAATTATCAGATAAAATATCTTGCTCATCGGTCTTTTGCATAACCATAGGGTTACTTGTCGCAGCTTCTGTGAATCGCGCTCCTGAAGGAACTTTCGGAGCAGCGGTAGCGGAAGTTGGCGTTCTCGATCTCCTCAAGGCAGGTATTCTCCTTGACAGCCACATTAAGCTTACCCCTCTTTGCAGTTTGCGGACTTCACGATAGGTCGGGCGTGGACATCTGACTATGGAGATCCGCACGATCCGCACGACTTTGACTTCATCCACCCGATATCCCCGTTACACAACATCCCACAGGACAAAGTGCTACCACCTTTGGTTTTGCTGACCGCTGACCGTGGGTTCAACCATAATCTCATTTGTCTTTTCTGACAGATGCTTGTCATTTAGACGACGATCGCGTAGTGCCCTTACATTCCTTCAAGCATGCCGCCACTCTCCAGCACACCTTGGCGGGGAACGCGAACCCGCTCTTGATCCGCATCGAGAAAAAAGCTGGCCATGGGGCAGGGAAAGCCACGGAACAGAAGTGAGTTTTTCTTGTATATTGCTCCTTGGGGGTTTTTGGTTACACGATCTGTCCGATGTGCTGATACTTTGCGCGCAGGATCAAGGAGGCTGCCGACAAGTGGGGCTTCGTGGCCCAGTCGATTGGACTCAAGTGGAAATAAAGAGGGCTCATAGTTTCAGGTCTTACCAACGGACAGAGTAAACAGTTGTCTTACATCGCAATACTTTGCAAAAAAAAATCATCTTGTATTTCGCCGGTCATCACTGATCTTAATTGCCTTCACAAGAAGAGGTGATTTAAGGTAAAAGACCGTGGAAAGACTTCACCATTTCCTTAGTTTGGCGATGTCGTCATGATCGGGAGCCGGTCGTTACCCCTCCCCGTTTGTCCCAAGCTTGAAGATAGAACTCTTGAGAAAAAGAAGCGCCGGAGTGATCCAGCGAAGGGTGTCTACCGAAGGTAGAAGCAGCTGCTATTGAAGAAAGAAACGCGACGCGGACGACGGAAGGCTCGGAAATTGGAGGTCGGTGAGATACTTGCAAACAGTAGATAGACTTTGGTACTGATTTGCACTCGTGATCACGAGTTAGCAGCTTGTGGGACGCAATGCACAAATAGATTACACGAATGAAGATATATGTCAATTACAGCTTGGCTCTCTCGTTCGCTAGACTCTCGCGTACCCGAACAATGGCCTTCCCCCATGTTTTGCGCTTTTCTAAATCATCTAGGCCCTGTACGACAGTATCCAACGTGTATGTCTGCGAGTAGATGACGGGAAGAACGCGTCTCTGTGCCAATAAACTGTGGGACAGATCATGAGATTAATCGAATTGATTCACCCGGAAGCATAACATACCCGAGGAGAGCGTTCCACACTTCTGGTACGTGATTGGGATCTTTGGCTGTTTACGAGGATGTCAATTACAGAAAGGGGTGCAAAAACAATGAAACAACAAACTGATATACGAGCCCCAGTGCACGCCAATAAGGGAGACGTTCTTCAGCAATGCCAGGTTCATGGGAATCTGAGATAGAGTGTCAGTAGATGCAAATACTTTTGTAGTGCGGTCACTGACTTTTTCAATCTCTCCTCCCGCAAAGCCGATGATGAGGGCGCGCCCACTCCATGCGATACACTTCAAAGAATCTTGAAGAGGATCAATACTGTAGTGCACTAAGCAGAGCAAGACGAACATATTTACCCCTGATCATACCAACAGGGTCGTAGACGACATCAACTCCATGTCCACCTGTGATCTTCATGACCTCTTGCTGCCATCCCTTCTTCGTATAGTCGATAGCAAAGTCGGCTCCACCATAATCCCTAGTGACGGAAAGCTTCGCTGGCGACGCAGCGGCAATTACTTTTGCACCGAGAGCTGAAACACGATACACATGATTGTCATACTTTCTGATAGGTGGAGTCCAATGGACACTTACCTTTGGCGAGTTGTACCGCAGCGATTCCAACTCCACCAGCTGCCGCAGTCACCAGTACCCATTCACCTGTTCATTTCAGCTTGAGAGGCGGATTTCAGTATCAGCGGGCAGATCGTTAACTACCTGGCTTCAATTGCGCACGTCCAACGAGAGCCTCATAGCTAGTGGGCCATGTCACAAATAAGCCTGTATTACAAGTGGGTCATGATTCCACCTTTTCAGTTATGACATGCGTACCAGCGCCCTGATCAAAGGTGAGTGAATCTGGAAGAGGCAAAAGGTTCTTCCAAGACGCGGCGACACATTCTCCCAGCGCGCCTTGTGCACTGCCGAAGACGCGGTCTCCAGGCTTGAACGGGGAACCTGATGGGATTGGCGAGTCGCGTGCGATGATGCCTGAGAACTCGGATCCCAGCACAAAGGGAAATGGGGGCTTGTTCTGATATTTCCCCTGGGCCTGAAGAATCTATATGAAAGATACCACGATCAAAATGTCTACGCGTGTTCAACTGGAGTCGCGACACACATCGAAGAAGTTAAGGCCAGCACTGTATACATCGACGAGGACCGTATCCTTGCCTGTAACTGTTGGATTCGGCGCATCCAATGTTAGTTTAATGTCGGATGGGTGAGCATATTCGCGGACGACAAAGGCTTTCATGGTGGTGACTGGTGCAATGGTCGGCGTTGAAAGAGTCAAGCCCAGAATAAGTGTGGGGAAATACGTGATCGGTGTACTCGGTCATGAAACCATCCGGAAGCCGGCAGGCCCATACGCCGCGGAACCTAAATACGCGTTCCTACCCGCGGCAACTCGGCACTGTACGAGGTGCGTTTTACATAACGCCTCTAGAGCGGAGTTTCGGACAGTGCCGATACATTCTTTGGGTGCAGGAGGGAATCAACGCTCCCCACCGACATCGACGACAAGGCCGCAAGACAATGGTGAGCATCTGTTTTTTTTGCCCCAGTCATGTCCGTCACAAGTCGCCTGTCCCATGTGCACGCTTTTACGCAATCTTACGCGCATTGGAGGGATGGATGGCCAGCCTCGGGTTGGGATAACATTCCAGAGATCCTATGCTGATGACCGACGCATATCCCATCTAGGCCAAAGCCAAAGCAGCGCCTCCACCATCGAGCGGCGGCAAGTCCGCCAAGAAGAAGAAGTGGTCGAAGGGAAAGGTCAAGGACAAGGCGCAGCACGCCGTCATGATTGACAAGCCCACCTACGACCGTATCCTGAAGGAAGTCCCCACCTTCCGCCTCATCAGTCAGAGCATCCTCATCGAGCGGTTGAAGGTCAACGGGAGCCTTGCGCGCGTTGCTATCAGGCATTTGGAGAAGGAGGGCACGATCAAGCGGATCGTCCACCACCACGGGCAGCTCATCTACAGTACGTGTTTTCATCTGCGTATGAGCGTTTCATGCAATAATTATCGCTTTTCAGCCCGCTCGACAGCCAGCTCGGATTAGAGTTGTTAACTTGTTATTCCTTTACGCTTTTATGCTCGTATCAGCCCATGTATTCACATCCGCACTCCAAAATCATGCACTCAACGGCACCAACCCTGGCATCGCATTGATATATGTGTGTAGTTCGCATCGAATCGGCAACTTGCAAGAGCATGACCCGTTAGTGCCCATGTTCGACTTCGTAAGATCAAGCACTGCGATGCTTCTCCTCTTGATAGATACTATAGCGAAGTCAGCAATTCTTGAGGGGAAGATTTCACAGACCATGTAGAATGGCCATCGTCTGCGTAGGATCAGCAACGGAGATTAACCGATTGTAGCAAATTACAATTGAACTGACGTTTCGGAAAAAAGCAGCGAAGAGGTTATGTGGGGTAACAATGTTAGACCCCGCACTCCACGCGGTCCGTGGGGCCGGTACACGCTCGTACCCTTTTCTTGTCCTCCACTAAGTGCTCCACTGCACGCACCGGCGCACACGTAGCTTGGACGACGACATTGTACTGACCATCACCCAGCATGCCAGCACAAAGTTATTACATCGGCATCGACGTCGGGACAGGCTCTGCGCGCGCGGGTCTCGTCAAGGCGGACGGAACGATCGTTGCATCATCTACACAAGACACCATCACCTGGCGGGACCCGCAGGATCATCGCATCTTCGAGCAATCCACAACAGACATCTGGTCAGGTATCTGTACCGCCGTCCGTGCCGTCCTTAAAGAATCCAAAGTGTCCCCTGGGGACGTGAAAGGGCTCGGCTTCGACGCGACGTGCTCTCTCGCCGTGTCCGACCTCAAGGGGGAACCGGTGACGGTGACCAAGGGCGATAGACTTGGCCAGCCTGGCGAGCGGAATATCATCCTCTGGGCGGACCACCGCGCGGAGAAGGAAGCCAAGCTGATCAACAGCCAACACTCTATCGTCCTCGACTATGTCGGCGGCGTCATGAGTGTACGTCCCATCCCTCTCGGTCCAGGCGCTGCGCGCCGTGTCTGTGACCGACGGACCCGCTTTCGCAGCTCGAGATGGAGGTCCCGAAGATCCTCTGGCTCAGCAAGCACATGTCCCCGGAGCTGTTCGCCCGCTGCCAGTTCTTCGACCTGCCCGATTTTCTCACGTACCGCGCGACGGGGGCCAACACGCGCTCCAAGTGCTCCGTCACCTGCAAGTGCTCGTATGTCCCCGACAAGGGCTGGCAGACCGACTTCTTCGAGCGCATCGGCCTCGCGTCGGTCCCGCGCGAGGGCTTCCGACAGATGGGCGCGAACGACGGGGACGTCTTGACGGCGGGGGTTCCTGTGGGCAAGGGGCTCTCCAAGCAGGCAGCTGCGGAGCTGGGACTACTCGAGGGAACTCCTGTCGGGAGCGGTGTCATCGATGCGTATGAACTTCTATCTGATCTGCTCCGTGTGCGCTCGCTGATCTCGAGAAGCTACGCAGGGTGGCTCGGCACAATTGCGGCGCGGCACGAGGAGAATGGCAAACTCTCACCCTCTATGCCGTTCGAGGAGTCTGGCCATCGTCTCGCTGCGGTCGCCGGCACTAGTACATGTCACATCGTGCAGGTCAGTCTGCAATGCATCGGTGGGTCGCCAGTCAACTAAAATGCATGGTATCACAGAGCCGCGAGGGCGTTTTTGTACCGGGCGTATGGGGACCGTATAAGGTATGTCCCGAGTGCTGCCATCTGCCGCCGCCGACACGCAAGTCGCGCACAGGATCCTGTGTTCCCCGGGTGGTGGATGAACGAGGGCGGACAGTCATCGACCGGCCAGGTATGCCCACTCTTTACATACCGCTCCGTTCATCCCGATCGACATGTGTCCCGGATTTCTCTTTAGCTCATCGACTTTGTGATCACAACCCACCCCGCGTACGGCGAGCTCCAAGAGCGCGCGGCGGCGCAGCAGAAGAACATCCACCAGGGTAACACACCGTCGCCGCCCTCCCCTTTTTGCACGCTAACACCGAGCGGCTCCCTGCCTTCCAGTTCTCCGAGAGACCATGGACGAGATTCGCGACGCCGAAGGCGCCGAGTCCTGGACCGAAGCCCTAAAAGAAATGCACTTCTATCCTGACCTACACGGTACTTCCCCCTTCCCCTCTCCCCTCTCTCCTCCCTTCATTCACTCCCACTTCTCTCACTGCACCAGGCAACCGCTCGCCCATCGCCGACCCCCGCATGCGCGGTGCCCTCGTCGGCCTCACCCTCGACCGCTCCCTCCAAGACCTCGCGCGCAAGTATGCGCTCACGCTCGAGGCCATCGCGCTCCAGACGCGCCACATTCTCGACGCGCTCAACGGCGCCGGCCACGCCGTCTCCGCCATCTACATGTCCGGCTCCCAGGCGCAGAACGCCGCGCTCATGCGCCTCTTCGCCGACGCGTGCGCCGTCCCCGTCGCCCTCCCCGCCGCACACGCCGCCGCGGTCGTCCTCGGCGCAGCCGTGCTCGCTCGGTTCGCTGCAGAGCACCCGAAGCCGATGCCCCAAGACGAACACAACCGCAAGCTCTGGGCCATCATGGTTGAGATGACGCCTCCCGCAACCATCGTGCTGCCCCAGGCCGGCCCCAAGGAAAAGCGGCTGCTCCAAGCAAAATACAAGATTTTCAGGGAATCGATCGAGATACAGAAAAGGTGGCGACATGAGATGGACGAGGCAGCCAAGTAGATGGCGAGGACAAACAGCAAATAAGGGGTGAACATAGAGATCATAGCATACCATGGACTTCAAAATTTCTTGCGCGACTCTGTAGCAGAAAAATAAACTTCGAGGGCCCGCATTTTTTTGTCCTTCTGTATAACGGAACAACTCGCATTCATGTTCAAATCACATGAGATAGTGTGGGCATGAAGGCGGCATGGGCGTGATGCATATGCAAATTGCGTCTGTGCATACAACATTTTGTGCGAGGAGACAGCAAAGCGGAGAGGTAAAAAAAAAGGCAAGACGTGCAGGGAAGGGGGCATAAGGTAAGGTATGTGTAGCAAGTGAAGATCCCTCATGCCTCCTTGACCTTGACCGAACCACGCAGGAGACCAGTCTGTGGGCGGAAGATAACAATGAGCGATCTCAACAACGTCAAGTATGAAATTCTGAATCCACGTACCCGGCGGGCGGCAATGAGACCGACTTTCTGACCGGGAACGGCAGAGCGGGCGATCGTCGATGCCTTTCCGATATGCTGGTGGTTACCACCACCATGAGGATGGTCGACGGGGTTCATAGCCACACCACGAGTGCGAGGCCAGCTGCGAATCGAAGAAGAGATGCATGAGAAACAAAAACCATCGTTGTCAGTCGCGATACGCACTTGTAACGCTTGGCCTTGTATTTGTGGAACGCACGGCCGGCCTTGAGCAAAGGCTTGTCGATACGGCCACCACCGGCGACGATCCCGATGGTCGCGCGCGCACCACCAGCGACGGTCTTCTTCGCACCGCTGGGCAGACGAATGCGGGTCTTGTTCTCCTCGGGCGAGTGACCAATGACGGTCGCGTAGTTGCCCGACGTGCGCGCGAGCGCACCGCGGTCACCGACTTTCTCCTCGACGTTGCAGATGATGGTACCTTCTGGGCACGCCGAGACGGGGAGGACGTTGCCGACGGCGAGGGTTGCCTTCTTGCCGCAGTAGACAAATGCGCCAGTGTGCATGCCCTCGGTCGCGATGAAGGTCTCCTTGCGGAGCTTGTAGCGGTAGGGATCGCGGAAGACGACGCGGGCGAGAGGAGCACCGCTACCAGTCGTGAAAAGCGGGGAGAGGGGCGCGATGTCGGTACGGAGGTCAGAGGAGGAGGAGCGGGGATAGACACGCACCGGCCAGAGTCGTGGATGATCTCCTTCACGATGCCGCGCACGTACCCGTTGCGCTCAGCGAAGTCGAGCGCGCGGAGCTGGGCGGGGTTCTTGTTGAGATGGGTGTGCGCCTTGAACTGTGGGTGCGCCGCGCATGGCGTGTTATTCCGCGAGCCGCAGGACGGTGAATGCGTCGGGAGAAACGTACGATGGCGTGCGAGCGCCTTTGTGCCCTGATGACCCGACCCATGGTTTAATCTGCAACGCAAAGCCGTGAGCGATCCTCCGGGGGAAAGAACCGAGACGAGGCGCGGGCGAGAGAGGCGGTCGAGCAGGACGCAAAACGCGGATCGGTGCAGCCATGGTTCATCCCGTGCATCCATCGTCAAAATGCGTCGTTTTCTGCGCCGTTTTCGCACGAACGCGACGTCTGGCCCCAGGAGGGCGTTTGGGGAGGGCAGGGGCAACAGGACGGGGCGGCATACTCACTTTCTAGCGTATTGGCGTGAAGTTATCGTCCTCCCGTTTAGACTTCGCTATGGCACTGTTGCCGGTCTGAGCGCCGCCACAAATCCCGGCAAGACCCGGCCGCATCTCCCACGGCTACACCTCTGGACGGAAGCTAACAATTGATGATAATCGGGTTCTTTCTCGCGACGAACACGCACCCGTCCTTTTGATCGTATATATGTACCACCACCAACGTCCACGACGTTCTACAAATACTACACACACACGGCCCGTCGAGTATCGGGTTACAACGCAAGCACTGGGAGGAGACGGATCGGACACAAGCACAAAAGAAAACAAGAAAGTAGAAGAATGAATGAATGAATGAAAGGAAGAATGAAACCTCAACCGAAAGATATAATCGAGTTGCAAAAACCGGAAAAGAAGCGGGAGGGGGGATGGGGGTGGGAGAGCCATTTAGAACTCAAGAGACGATCGAAATCAACGGCGAGCCAGAAAACGCGGCCGCGCAGCCACTACCGACGCGTGCCGTATTTAGAAGGGAACACAATCAGCGAGAAAGAGAGAGAAAGGAGAAACAAAGCGGAGAGCGTATACGTATGTATATATATGTGTGCGAGGCGACCGCATATAGCCAGACACAGACAGACAGATGACATGCCACACCGAGGAAAGGAAAAAGAACTAGGAAGAAACCGACGGCGTTAGAGACCCACGACGACGGCGGCGACGGCGACGTGAGATGGCGCATTTTTAGGCCACACCCACGCGGAGAGCGAGGCGGAGCAAGGTAGAGACGAGGACAGGCGGAGAGGATCGCAGAGCAAGCAACGGAAAGCGAGGGAAAGAGCTGAGAGCAGATCGAGGGCGGAAACGAGGAAACAGAGGGGGAGCGGGTGGAGGGGTCACGACCAGTTGAAGATATCGTTGAAATCCATCCCTGCCGCGTCGACTGGCGACCCCTGCTGTTGCTGGGGTTGCTGACCACCCAAGTTCGGCGTCGACGTCGCCCCCACCCCACCATCGAACCCAACCACCGTCGGCGACCCGCCAATGCCGAACCCGAACCCTCCCACACCCGCACTCGACGGGCCCTGCCACCCCTGCCCCGCGCCCACCGATCCCGGCGACTGCCCCGCACCGTTGTTGCCACCACTGAACGACGTCCGGCTATGCGCGCTCCCAGGCGGCGACGCGCCGTACGACCCACCCGTCAACTGCGGGTTCACAAACCCTCCACCGCCGCCGCCTCCGCCGTTACTCCTCGCGCCCTGCGCAGCCTGCATCATCATCGCCCGATGATAATCCTGCTGCTGCTGCTGCCTCGGCATCACCGGCGACGGCGCGGAATCCGACGGCGACCGCGTCGACCGCGCGATGCCCGGTATCGTCCCCACCCCGCCCGACCCTACCAGCGACCCCGCCGGCGACGCCGTGTGCTGCTGGCGCTGCTGCTGGATCTGCTGGATCTGCTGCGGCAGCATCCCGGGATTCGGGCTGCCGTGGTTCTGTCCATGTCCGTGCCCGTGCCCACCGCCGCGCAGGAGCTGCTGCTGCTGCATGAGGTGAAGCTGCCGCTGCTGCTCGTTGCTGTTCATCTGCATCATCTGCTGCGGCGTGATCCCCGCGCTCGCGCCGCCCATCCCGCCCATCCCGCTGAACGAGAACCCGGCCTGGCCTTGCACTTGCAGCTGCGGCGATGGCGACGCCCGGTGGGGCATCGGCGATGCGCTCGAGCCCCCGCCGCCAAACTGCGCGGCGGCGGCGGCGGCGGCGGCGAGAGGCTGATTCGGCATGCCGAGGCCCATGCCGACGTTCATACCCATGCCGTCCCGTTGGCCCTGCTGCTGCATCTGTTGCTGCATCTGATGCTGCTGTTGCTGCTGTTGCTGCTGCGATTGCTGCTGCAATTGTTGTTGCTGTTGCTGTTGCTGCAGCAGTTGCGTGCGCTGCTGGTTCCGAGCGTGGACCACGCTCTGCACCATAGCCCAAACCAGCGACGCCGTCCCGTCAGCCCCCGAAACCAAAAAAAGCCCCATGAAACGCGACATCACTCACCTGCACTTGCTGCATCCGCGCCAGCCGGTGCTGCAGCGGCATGTCCATGAACCCCGGCACGTTCTGCACCATGTACTTCACAAACGCGTGCCCCGGCTCTTGCAGCATCTGCATGAAGTTCATCGCCGACGGCCCGAACGCCGACAGCGCCGCCGTGAACGCATTCTGGTCGGTCTGCCCGCCGCCCGCGCCGCCGCCGCCGCCTCCCATCGCCATCGTCATCCCCGCGCCAGACGAGCCCGGGGCGAACCCGCCACCGAGGCTCCCGTTCGCGGGCCCGCCGAGCCCATTGACGCCCGCCATCGCGCCCTGCATCCCCATTCCAATCAACCCCGCTTGCATCCCGCCCGGCGACATCTGCCTCTGCCCCTGCTGGACGTGCTGCGGCTGCTGCTGCTGCTGCTGGGCCTGTTGCTGGGCCTGTTGCTGTTGAGCCTGCTGTTGTTGCTGCATCTGCTGCTGCATTTGCGCCCTCCGGATCTGCATCTGCCGCGCCCTCGCCGCCATCTCCGCCTCCGTCGCCGAGCCCATTCCCACCCCGCCCATCATGTTCCCTCCACCGACGCCGACGCCAAACCCGCCCTGCGGCACCGCCGGCGACCCACGCACGGCGTTCATCGGGGGCGCCATCATCCCCACGCCGCCCGCGCCAACGCCCATCCCCATCCCCATCCCCATCCCCATCCCCATCCCCGTCCCCATCCCAGGGGGCTTGTGCTCGCCCGTATCCCGCCGTTTGTGCGCCTCGGGCCCCATCAACCCGCCCACCTCGTCCATCCGCGCACGCTTCACCCCCGGATGCCCCTGCTGTTGCTGTTGCTGCTGCTGTTGGAGAAGCTGCTGCTGCTGTTGGGCCTGAGCTTGCGCTTGCGCTTGAGCCTGTTGGGCCTGAGCGTGCACCTGCTGCTGCTGCTGCTGCTGCGCCATCATCATCATCGCCGCGTTCACGTTCGCGTTCGCGCCCGAGCCTTGTGCATGCGGGTGCGCGTGGGCCACCGGCATCGGCGTAGGCGTCGACGTTGAAGCGCGCATGGCGCTCGCGATCGGGATCGGCGTCGGGGTCGGCGCCTGCTGGCGCAGTGCCTGAGCCTGAGCTTGAGCTTGCGCGAGGTGCGCTTGGGCCTGGGACGACGCGGGACCTGCGCCGGAGCCAGGCGTCGGCGCGTGGCTCGAACCAGGAGCGGGCGTCGCCGTTGTCGAGCGCTGCTGGTTCTGCTGGTTCTGCTGGTTCTGCTGCTGCTGCTGCTGCTGCTGCAGTTGTTGATGTTGCTGCTGTTGTTGTTGGTGGAGCGCCTGCTGTTGCTGCTGGAGGAGGAGCGCCTGCTGAACGTTTTGTTGGTGCCCTTGCGCCTGAAGCTGCTGCTGCTGAAGTCCCAGACTCTGCTGTTGGTGATTGTGCTGCTGCTGATTATGCTGCTGCTGAAGATGCTGCTGCTGCTGCTGCTGCTGAAGTTGAAGCTGCTGCTGCTGCTGTTGTTGCTGTTGTTGCTGTTGCTGCTGCTGCATCTGCATCCGCGCATGGTCCTTGGCAAACAGCGCCGGCAGCTCCGCATACATCTGCTGCACGCGCTCCGTCGGATGCGGCGGCCCATGCGCGCGCTCAACCGCTAGCGTCAGCGGCGGCGGCGGTTGCAACATCGAGAGCGGCGGAGGCGGGATCTGTATGTCGGGAGTTGCGAAACATCGAGACGGCAAACAAGTCAGCGCCGCGGAAACGAGTCAGAGGGGTGCGGCGATGAGGGCGATCGAGGGAAGCAGGCTCACCGTCGTCTGTCGCCCGTCTGCGGCCGTCGCGAGCCAGGTGAGGTTCGCTTGTAGTCGGCTCGCGTACCTGCGGCGCCCGGGGCCAAAGGTCAACCATCGCGAACCAGAAAGAGGAAAGCGGCCGATGAGACACTCACTCCAAAAACCGCGCGTCTTTCGGCGAGATCGCGCGCGCCTGGAAGTCTATGCAGACCCTGCCACGACAAACCAACTTGTCAGTCCTCGAGTACCCACCCAGAACGACAACAAAGAAACGGGCGCGAAAAAAAAAACGACGAAGAGAAGAGAATGCAGATCGGCGACGCACTTGAGCAACTCGGCGTTGAGCTCCAATATGCGGAGGACCTTGTTCGCGCCCTGCGGCTGCGGCTGCGGCTGCTGTTGAGCATGTTGGCCCTGATGGTGGTTCTGGAAATGCGAGTGCTGCTGAATCTGCTGTTGCTGGAGCTGCTGAATCTGCTGCTGCTGCTGCAGACGCTGTTGATGTTGTTGCTGAAGGAGCTGCTGCTGCTGCTGCTGCTGCTGCTGAAGCAGAGGGTGCGGATGCTGCTGGTGCGAGTGGTGGTGTTGCAGATTGTGGTGATGGGGGTCCGCCGCACGGACGGCCGAGCCTGAGCCCGAGGCCGCAGCGTTCCCGTTCGCGACGACAGCAGACGACGACCGCCCGCGCGCCCCCAAAGACGAGGACGAGGACGATGCCTCCGCGTTCCCACCGGCACTACCACCGCTGTTCGCACTCGTGCTCGCGCGGGCCCGAAGCACGCGCGTGTTCGTCGTCTGCGACTGCGTTTGCTGCCCCCTCTGTGCACCGTTCGCCCTCCCGGCGGCCGCCTTGGCGCGCCTGAGGCCCTGCCTCCGCCTCGGGGCAGGACTGGAGGCCTCGTCGCCGTCCTCATAGTCGTCGTCACCCTCCTCGTCACCCTCGTCCTCGTCCTCGCCCTCGCCCTCGTCGGCAGCGTCGGGGTCAGCCCCGCCCTGGAGGTCATCGCGGGCCTCGTCGTCGTCGTCGGGGGCGGGGGAGAGCTCGCTCAGCGGGGACACGGGGTCCGCGTCGAGGGGCATGGACGTATCCTGGCTCGCGGTGGTGGGCGTCGGTGCGGGGGCTGCCTGTGCGGGCGCGCCTGGGTCGTTGGTGGGGGTGTAGTGGGCGCTGTCGACGTCGTCGGGCGGGGGCTGGGCGGTGTGGGGGTCTGGCGCCGCGGGGGTATCTGCGGGGGCGGGAGTCAGCGTGGGGGTGCTATGGGAGGCAGAGGGACCACACCTGTGGTGTCGGTGGTGTCCCGAGGGGGCAGCGGGCGGGCGCCCTCGGGGTCGTCCTCTTCCTCCTCCTCTTCCTGGGGCGCGCTGTCTTGAACGGAGAGCGTCGAGGCGGGGTCGACGGCGGAGGGGGTCGCGGGGGCGGCGGTGGCTATGGCCGTGGCTGTGGCAGGGCGAGGATGTGCGGAGTCAAAGTCGGGGTGGGCGGGGCTGCTGTCGGGTGCGGGAGTGAGGGACTCGTGGCTGAGGGGGGGCGAGGGGTGGACGGGGACGGGGACGGGGATGGGGGGGTCGGGGTCCGTGTTCACGGGGTTCGGGTCATTTTGATGGCGGGGCTGGGGGGCGGGGGACCAGGGGAAGGGGTCTGACTGCAAGTTCTGGCGGGGGTGGTGGAGGAGGGGCGACACGTTCGCGGTGTGGGGGCTGTGATCGAGGTGGATCATGGCGGGGCGGCTCTGGCGGGGCCGATGGGGAAGGAGATAGCCGCTGGTCGCTGGTCGCTGGTCGCTGGCTGGGGGGCGTGCGTCGTCGTCTGTCGGCTGTGGATAGGGGCGATGCCTTACGGAGCGTTCGGGGCTGCACAGAACCGCTCTGACCTCGACAGCACGCCGTGGGAGCGTCCCCTCCCCTCAGCCACCCAGCACGCCACATTAGGTAACACGCGTGCATCACTCTTAGCTACTATCGTGGTCCCGACGACGAATACAATTTACATCCACTCCGCCCTCCTGGCGTCTCCAGCCGCAAGTGCCCGCGCGTCCCCTCCCGCCCTCTCCCGCTCACAGCCGCGCGGTCTTCGGCATCTTCTTCAGCGCCTGCCGCACCCCGAGGTCCCCCAGCACGTCCTCCGCCCCGCCCAAGATCGCGTCGTACGGCGACGTCCGGTGGTACTGCACCGCGTCAGCCCATCCACCACAACGAGAAACACAATCTCACCCACGTTCTCGATCAGCCGCCCCATCCCCGTCTTCGTGATCCCCCGCCCCCCAAAGATCTGCGTCGCGTCCTCCGCGGTCGCCCGCCCCGTCCGCGTGATGAACCTGCCGTCTGCCCGTCAGCGACACCCGTGAGACTCGCCATGCAACGCAACGCAACGCACTGCTTCAGCAACCCGATCGGCCCCGCGAGCTTGTCGCTCTGCTCCTCGTACGACATCTGCACCCGCCCCCGCAGTCAGCAATCAGCCCCCGCCACACCGACACCGAAAGCGCCGCCACCCACGTTGTTCATCTGGTGCGTCACGTTCTCCAGCCAGTTCTGCCCCGCCTCGACCCGCGAGATCATCGCCGCCAGCTTCGCCCGTATCACTGGCTGCGCGTTCAGCGGCTTTCCGAACACCCGCCGCTGCTGCGCCCACCTGTCCAGTCCGCCACGCCGAGTCAGCACGCACGCACGCACGCACGCACGAAAACACCGCCCACTCACAGCAGGCACTCCTCCACGACCAGCCGCTGCATCCGCAGGCTCATGCTCACGATCATCCACCGCTCGTGGTTGAAGTTGCTCAGCATCACTTGCAGCCCCCCGCCCTCCCGCCCGAGCGTGTTCCCGACCGGCACCCGCACCCTGTCGAACGTCACGTACGCCGTCCCCGCCGTCGACGAGTACGCCGTCTTGATCGGCTTCGTCGACAGCGCACCCGGCGCGTCCCGCGGCACCAGGATCACCGTGAACCCCGTCTCGGTCTTGCACCCGACCGTAAAGTAGTCCGCGAACGTCCCGTTCGTGATCCACCTGCCCCGCCACGGCCATACACACAATGATGATGATAATAATAATAATAAAAATAACATTGATATATGTTCAGCGCTGAACCCGCAAAGAAAGAAAGAAAGAACCACAGCGACGCACTTCTTCGTCCCCGTGATCACCCACTCGTCCCCCTCCCGCCGCGCCTCCGTCTGCAGCCCGCCCACGTCGCTCCCCGCGAACGCCTCGCTGATCGCCAGGCAGATGAACTTGCGCCCCGCGAGCACGTCCGGCACGACCGCCGCCTGCACCGCCGGCGAGCCGAAGTTGAGCACCGGCGGCAGCCCAATGATCGTCCCCGCCACGAGCCCGTCCATGTACCCGCGCGTGCCGCACCGCGCGAGCTCAAAGTTGATGATCAGCTGCGGGCCCGCGACCGCGTGCGTGAGCGAGGGACCGCAGCGAGAGAGGCGCGCTCGGTGCTCACCTCGTGGAAATAGTCGAATTCTTCGGGCGTGACGACCCCGCCCATGAGCGTGCGCCCCTTCAGGTGCTTCCCGGGTCCCAACCGCATCGCCGTGATATTCATCTCCCTACACCAACCGCGCATCAGCCCGCAACCAAAACCAAAATCAGCAGCCTCCACGCGGCACGCACCCCATCTTATCCACCACCTCCTGCGCGATCCGCTGCCCGCCCTCCTCGCAGCGCTGCGCGTCGGGATACACGACCTCCATCACGAACGCGCGCACCGCCGCCTGGAAGCGCCGGTGCCCCGCGCTGTAGTACGGGCTGCTGTACCCGTCCGCGAGCCACGTCGGCTCCGCGTACGGCACGCGCGACACCTCGCCCGCCGCGAGCGCGCGCACGACCGGCGCCGCGCCCGCGAGCGAGCCGATTCGCAGCCGCGCGTACGCCGGGCGGCGCAGCACCTCTTGTCGGTGCAGCCCGAAGAACGCCTCCGTCGCGTCCTTGCCGGCTGCGCCGCGAGTCGCGAGTCGCGTATGCAAGCGAGCGAGCGAGCGCGTGCGTGCGGGGGCGGAGGGGTCAGCGAGAGGCCGGTGTGTGGTGCGCCACGGCGCGGGTGGGGCGTGACGTACCTACGGTCGAGGCGAGCAGGACGCCGACCCCTCCAGGGTGCAAGTTCGCGAATTTCGAGAGGTCGTACACCGTGGCGTCTATAACAACCCACTGCGCCGCTCGTCAGCGCACGCCCAGCCCAGCCATCCCTCCCGCAGACGTACCAGGTCGCCCTCCTTATTATGCTGCAACACACGCGAGTCCACCGTGAGCATGGCGATCCGCGGCCGGCGCACCCGAACGCACCTGCGCGACCTCCTCGGCCGTATACTCCTTCAGCTCTTTCGTGGCCATTGTCGTTTTTGGTTCGCGCGATAGTGGTACGGTTACGGCTGTGGTTGGTGAGTGGTGGTGTGGGGCTGCTGGCGGTCGCGACGCTGGAATATGGGGTGCGGGGTGGGACCGGCCATCATCATTACCCCGCTCCCGACTGGCTGAGCGCAGGACGCCGGTCCTGGTCCGGCGGCTATCACATGCTCGCACACAGGTCAGGGGCCACTGGGCGACCTCCGTGAGCAACGGGAGCACTGTTCCATGTATTATGTGAAAATATCTACAGATATCCAACGACACAACCCCAGCGTGAAAGCGCACATACACAATCCAAAAGCACGCCACGAACCAAGCACTCTCTACCTATGGGCGGGGCCAGGCAATAGATTCGTCATAAACACATCCTCATAAATACGAGCCAACCGTTAATCGTCCGCGCATAAGATATCATAGCTGAAATCGCGGTCAGACGGGCAAAAACTGAGATACTGTGCGCGCTCACCCTGAATAAGAATGAAAGCTGCAGATGGCGGTGAAGCAAACACGGTCAGTCGACGGACACCACGCGAACGATATCGCGCTACTCACATCTTCGGGGGTCAGCCGCCCCATCGCCTGTGATTCGATCATTAGCGATAAAGTGGTAAAGCGACACTTAAACTAGGCCTACCGAGTCGTCCGTTGAGAGCGTCGCATCCACCATGGCCGATTTCTTCTCCTGTAGCTAAAAAAAGGGAGTGTGTCGGTAAGCCCGATAGCTCGATATGTGGACGGCGGCAGCGCACCTGAACGATGCGACTCTCGATGCTATCTTCGATCACCAGCTTGATAGCTTGCACAGGTCGGTGTTGCCCGAGCCGATGAATGCGATCCATAGCCTCTGTTTCCGGGACTAAGTTCAGTCACGATACAACGGCTCGGTAAGCCTTCACTCACGGTATTCGACCTTGACAGACGGCAGGCATGTCAGCCGAGCACGCGCGAGCAAAATCGAAGCTGGGCTTACCGCAGGATTCCACCAGCTGTCCATGAGGTACACGCGCGACGCTTCTGTCAAGTTGAGCGCGACGCCCCCTGCTTTCAAGCTGACGAGGAACACGGTGACATGCACGTTGTTCACTGACAATGCCATGAGCGTCTGCCCGCCACACGGCTTCTCCGAAAAACACCTACTAAAATATTGGATCGTCGCGTCCCTCGCCTGGGGGCTCATAGTCCCCTCGAGGCGACACACCTGCAAGCAAGTACCCCCTTTAGTTTCCGCCCCGTGGCCGAGCCCCCCGCCGCGACAAAGAAAACACGCACCACAAACCCAGCCCGCTGCAGCCGGAACGCGATCAGATCCAAAAAGTTGACAAATTGGCTGAACACGATGCTCTTCGTCGTGGCATCCTGCCTCCGCAAATTACTCAATTCCTCCACGAGCGCCTCGATCTTGGACGACGAGCGCCAGGTGTCGATGTTGAGGCGCCCGAGGATGCCCTGCCTCGGGGCTGCGGACTGCGCGAGCTCGAGGGCCGGGGCCTCGAGGTCGATCGTCAGCGGGAGATGACACACCGGACATGCAGGCTGGAGAAGCGTCAGTCGATCTGTCAATCATGTGCGACTACAAAGGATCTTATGAGGCCCTTACCGTGACTTCCATGGCGGTGTTCAAGTACTGCTTCACGCACTCGCGGTCAAAGATGTGTCTGCACTTCGCTTGGATCGCGTCCTCCGCGACGTCGTTACAAATACGACATACGGCTGCCTCGCCGACGTCTTCCTCCGACACGAACGTGCCCGCGTTGTTCTTGCTCCGGATGACAAGATCCGGATGACAAGCCATCTGTCGCATGCGCGTCAGCAAACTGAAGATGTTCGAGTAATCTGCCACAGATCCGAAGTGAGCACACACACACAGCCGTGAAGGGCGCGGGACAAAAACTAACTGTTCAGGAGAGTTCCCGCATCGAGGTAGGTGCTGAACTGCCGCTTGGCATCCGAAAACAGGCTGAGATACAGCTCCTTCTCCTCGGGACTAAAGAAGTCGCGTCGCACAATGACCAGACGAGGCGGCAAGCCCAAATCGTCCGCGCGTTGGACCTTGGTGCGACGAAGCATGATCCGGTCAAGGAGGATCCGCAACTTCGCGAATGCTTCTTTGCCTGGACCGACCATGCCGTGTTTCTGAATGGGCGTCAAGATTTCGTTGTTCCAGAAACACGTGTGTTGCATGGGACTATGACCACAGTCTATAGATGACAGATGAGATTAGGTTCGAATGCCATCTGGTGTACCCACCATCGCAATGTCTCTTATCTGAGAACTTCCAATGTAACGATTTGCAGTCACATCTCTTACCTGTTATGACCTTGTTTCAGCGTCATTGATGATCAGGAGAAGAGAAAGCACGAACAGAAGTAGTAAGAGAAGGGGTCCCCTCCCAGAAACCTGACCAAGCTGTAAAGTTCGCCGACACGGTTCTGCAGCGGTGTTCCTGAAAGACACCACCTATACTTTGCCTTCAGCTCGAACGCAGCCTTGGCCGTGTTGGTTGCGCGCTCTTTGATGTTGTGTGCCTCATCCAGCTTGTTGAACAGATGTCAGCGATCGAAGAGGAATAAGGCACACCGACATCACTCACGATCACACGGTTCCATTCAATCGCATGAAGCGGAGAAATTTCCTTGATGATCTGCCCCTTTCGCTTGAAGCCGGAATGCTGCTTGCGGAAGCAGCTTTCGAGAACAGCGTATGTCGTAAGTACGACGTCGTACTTTATAAGCTGCTTCGTGTCCGATTCACGCCCTGAGCCGTGCCACACGAGCACCTTCATGCCGTCTGTGTGCGCAGCAATTTCGTTCCTCCATTGCATAATCGCAACCGTTGGTCTGAGATGACGTGAGGAAACATTGAAAACAAGTCGTGAAATCAAAACTTACGCGATGACAAGGCTTGGCTTTACAGAGTCGCCGACGAGTAGAGCTATGATCTGGATTGTTTTACCCATTCTAAGAACAATTTATTTTCGTCACTTCAGACCAATAGAATGAATACAAACACCTACCCCATCTCATCCTGTTAGGTAAAAGATCGTAAGAACGAGGCTGTCAGTGACAGCAGGTAGTGTACGTACTGCCAACATGCCCCCCGCATATGATCCGAATTCTTGTTTACGCATCCAATAGAGCGACTCTTGCTGAAATGGCAAGAGAGTTACCTTGAGGTTAGACGGCTGTTCGGCCTTCTTAGGCTGAACGACCTTCATCTTCGTTTTCAAGTCACCCCAAGCATTGCGCAACTCAGGGTGGTACATGTGCAGCGCAACCGTCGACTTTTCAGCCTACATGACAAGATCTGTTGAACTGTCGTATCGTACGTCGAATAAGAAAGATGCGCACATAAGTCAACCTGCGACCAAGTTTTTGGGACAACTCCCGCTCTGCCTGTTTCAGGCGCGTTCGCTCTTCGAGGGCTTTCTTTTTGAGCTTCTTCTCTTCGGCGGAGGTGACTTTCTTCCCCTTTGCCTGTGCTTTGCTCTTGCCTTTGCCTTTGCCTTTGCCCTTTCCTTTGCCCTTCGTAGGCGGGGCCTCGTCTTCGGAGCTCAATGCGGACGGTTCAACGTCCTCGTCGGAAGACACCTCTATGAAATCCCCGTCCTCGGTTGAGGCGGCGGCGAGAAGGCGCATGCCAGCGCCCGACGAGCCAGCGCCCAAAGTCAAGGCGCCATTGCGCACACTAATCGCGAGGCCTGCGCTCTGCAGGGACTCCTGAATAGCGGCGTCCATCATAACTTCTTCGATGCCGTCCGATTCATAGTCAAGAGCCCGCGTGAATGACTTGAGCGACTTGCGTGGTCTTTTCGAGCCGTAGTCATCGTCGTCATCGTCGTCTTCCATGTCTTCTATAGAGAAATCTTCGTCATCTTCAAACTCGGAACCACTGTCGTCCGATTTGTTGACCGAGGCGTTTTCATCGTATTCGAGTTCAGCCTCCGTCTCTGGAACGATTTCACCGTCAATAGAAGGAGTGGGGGCCTTCGCCTTTCCTTTACCCCTTGCCTTTGGAATGGATTTTACTGTCGGTTGCTGGGCCACCATGAGTAAGTATGAAATTGCAAAGCAAGTCCATCGATAGTGCGATGCGTACTTGGGTCTTGTTCGGCTTCGACGGCACTTCGACATAGGCGGACCGGGCGACAGCGCGCCTCTTCGAAGGCTGCGCGTTGGGTGGCTCATCCTCATGTTCACTCTCCATGGCCCGTTTTCTGGTGCCTCTGGCAGCAGCGACTCTGACGGGCCTTCCCGTTGCTCTTGGCTGAGGCAGCGAGTAGTCTTTCTCGTCTTCACCAAGGTTGCTGCTCGCAGGGGTAGCGTCAGTGGAAGTCTTGGTGCTGTTGAAGGTTGTCGATACGACAGTCGTCGGTGTCGCCGTCGCGGAGGCGGCGGGAGAGGCTGAGCGTGGACGCCGTCTTGTACGTGGGGCCATGACAGACGCGGTCGATTATGAGCTCGAGGAGAGCGCGAGTTAGAGTATATTGTCTGAAGCGGCTCGTCGTCGAGGTCGCAGACGACGGTCGGAGGGACTGGAACAAACAAATTGACGCGACGCGCCGCCGTGCCGAATGCGGCAGCGGCCGAGATCGCACGCCGGGGGTGCCACAATCGCGACATCGGGCGTTGCCACAGCTCGCCACTCTGGAGTTTGTTCGAACGGTGACATGATCTGACAGACGACGCGACTGGTCCTATTTTGGCACGGTAATTCCGACCGAGTCTGACTTATCAGCTGCTTGTCTTGTCTCTTGCGCTTTCCAATCCTCCGAAATATCAGAGGCTGGCTGTCCACACGTTTCTCCCATGTGATACGCACTAGCTTTGGCCCAGGGTCGTCCCTGTTGCGGCAATTCCGACTGCCTGTGAACTTCATCCTCACATCGCGAGAATCCTGGCCATATGACACCTCCACCTGTCCTCCATCCAACCGCACACATCCCGATCTTAGCGCTCGATTGTCGCCTTCACGTCAAGAAGAGCTCCACCGCCTTGAGGCCTGCCTCGCCCCGTACTATACTTACACACAAGGTTATTCAATTGCATAGCACACGCGTCTTCCATAGTGCGGCTCTTGTCGGTGCTTCCGCGGCAGCGCCCCTGGCGCGTCTCTCGATCGCTGTCGTGCGTCCCTAGATTTGCCTTTTGCATGTCTTGATGCAGCTTCTAAAAAGATTTAAATTCAATATGCCAGGATATGCCATACAGGTACATATATTGATTCAGATATGTAGGACAGAGAAATGTCACAGGTTCACGACACGAGACGAGCCGGGCTAATCTGCACTGACGCGCAAATCATGGAGGAAAGAAAGAGCCAGATGAGAAATAGAAGGCACGATGAATAGTGAGAACATCCTTCACCAACCGCCGTCGTCAAATCCTCCGTCAAATCCGCCACCGCCACCGCCGAAATCGTTGTTCTGGCCATCTTGATACCCTGGTTGACGAGATATTAGCGCTGTGAGAAAAAATCTGGCAAGGCAAGGGATTACCGTCTTGGTACGCCTCTTGCTCTTCGCGGTCCTCGTGGCTGTCGACGGCCTCCGCAATCAAACCGCCAGCGAGTAAACCCCCACCGCCTGAACAACATATTATCAGGAAGCAACGCTGATCTATCAGGAATACCACTGACCGATAAGAGCTGCCGTTCCCAGCCCGATACCGCCGCCTCTTCCTCGTGACGCCTGCTGCTGCACCGGCGGCTGAGGCTGTCCGCCATAATAGCCTGTGCAGGACAAGCCATGAGGCCAGGCGTCCCACTTCCAGTGGATGACTCACCTTGCTGTGGTGGAGATTGCCAGTTCCCCTGTTGACCGCTCCAGCTACCTTGAGTTGCAGGACCACCGTACCCCTGCTGTGGCCCCGACCACCCTTGCCCTTGCGCTGGATAGCCAGGCTGACCCCCGTACGGATACCCACTGCCCTGATAATTTCCGCCGCCCTGGTACCCACCAGAGCCGTTCCATCCGCCGCCTTGACCCTGTGGTGGCTGGTTCCACTGTTGTTGTTGCGGGTATCCGGCACCACCGCTCTGAAAATTGCGATCCGGAGGAGACTGGCTCGGGGGTGGTGCATAACTGGCTTGTGGAGGCGGCGCAGCGGGAGGACCGAGAGGATGCTCCCAAGACGATCGTGGCGGCGACGGGCGAGTATCTACGTAATACCTGATCGTGGACCACGATGTTAGAGACGGTCATTCCATGAACGATGCATCAATCAAGAACATACCATTGCCGATAACTGCAGATGAGATATAGTCGATTCATCAGACTGCAAAGCCACAACTCTCAATTCTTTCGAACGCACTGATCGTCATAGCGAGCAACCCATCCTGTAGGGAGTTCTCGTCTATCTGGGTTGACGGATGGAGGCCCTCCGTAAGGCGGAGGCTGAGACATGCTCAATCGATGAACAGGAGAGGGTGAACGCGACCAAGGCCAGATATGATGATCACTTATATATGCTTTTCCCGGAGCCTCCCCCGCCCAATCTACATAACCAGACAGGCCGACCCGGTCCCCCGGCCGACATGCCGATTGATCTGTGCTGTGCTGCCAGCGCGCTTCATGGTATAACAGCTTTCCCGCTGTTTAGCAGCGCTGGACACTCAAGACAGCGAGCGGCAGGACGTCAGGCAATTCAGGCGGGGACGAGAAGAACAGCGAGAAAGACAATGTCACTAAAGTAAGCTTACTTCCGTCAGCCGCAGATCGAGATTAGCAGGACTAGGCGAGGCACAATAAGGGTGATGAATACGATAACGAGAACTTCGGCACCAAGAGCTCCATCGACAGCTTCCTCCTTGCTTCAAGCCTTTGTCTTTTTATGCTTCTTCTCCTTCGGCGTCGCAACAGGCTTAGGCGCCGGGACTGGAGGCACCTTGGACTTCTTGGGTGATGGCTTGTCCTCTTCAGAGGTCTCAGAGCTCGAATCATCATCATCGCTCGCATCGTCCTCAGAGGTATCGGAACTCGGGACTATGGCTGCGGGCTGTCGAAGAAGTGTGTAAGTTCACGACGACACGGTAATCAAGATGGCCTACAATGATCGGCGAAGGGGTATCCGGGATGACAGCAGCAACAACGACGGGGCTCGTCACCGCGTCGCGGGCTTCATACACCTTCTTCTCAGCTTCATACCTGGCCTTGGCGGCTGCTTGCTTCTTTTCGTAGACCTGCAGGGGATGGCATCAGCGGGGCTCAAGCGAAGGCTTGCCACACTCACATCTCTCTGGGGTGGTGTCATCTCGGACCACTGTTTCGAGATGTGATTTAGCAGTTCGTGCTGGGTCATATTCGGGTGCTTGCTCTTGAGTTGAGAGCGAATCTCATTTTGGAAGAAGATGTAGGAAGAGGCGGGACGCTTGGGGGCATTAGGGTCCTTGGGCTTTTTCACCGAGCCACGTTTCTTCTTTTTGCTGTCTTCATCTGGATCCTGGGCCTCTGCTTTGCGCTTGCGTTCAGCCGGGGTCGCTGCAGCGGGGGAGGGAAGGGCAAAGAATTGTTTGGGGTCGGCAATGGCGGCGTTCAGCCCTGGAGGCATCATGTGAAGGGGCGCGGCACCGTTGAAGTTAACGTGGCCATGCGCAAGCATTTGGGAGAACTGGTCCGCAATAGCGGCACAGTTGCGCATAGTCTCAGCGACGGCGCCGAGGCTGCCGATGAGCTTGGCAAAAAGGGTGGAGAACGATGAGAACGCGACGAGGGCGGGATACGCGGCGACGAGGAAGACGACGACATACCTGAGTCTTCTGATACTCAAGGTGAGCGCCTTCGGGTACGTTGGACATTGTGGAGGAGGGGGCGCGACGCGACGCGAGGTATACTAGGAATGGGGATTGAGACCAGTTGTTGAGTTTGTAAGGTGGGCGTTGAGAGAAAACGCTAGGGACACTAGTAGGTTTGTTGATGCCCCTTATGTAGGGCTACTAAGGATTAGGTTCAAGCCACGTTACAGATCAATAGACTAGTCCAATTTATTATCTCACGTCATACGGCCTTGATGTGCGATGGGGCCGTTGCTTGACACAGCTGCGAATGGTGGTGCATTGGATCCATGGCATGCATCCAAACAAGATCGACCGAAAGGTCTCAAACCGATTTCAAGGCGTCGTGTGACTTGATCAACAAACGCACAAGGACACGGCTGTCGTGATCAGTGTTTGGCGAGGGCAGTTGGGGCGGAGATTGTGGCGGAGAGCGAAGCGGAGTGGGGCGGTCATAAGGTTGGATCGTGGAGGGGGCTGGACAACGCAGCGCCAGCTTTTGAAGGACGAATCGCCAGCCAAAGTGACCGCATAACGTGCATTCCGGTGGTGGCAGCGCTGTCCTATCTCACCGTGGCCTTTCTCCTCTCCCCGACTCGGATTGCACAAAAATAAGCCCGTGTAGTGTTACCATCATTGGCTAAGAGCGCGTGCGGAAAAAAGCAGACGACATATGGACATATATTCCAGTACTTCTCCGACTTGGTTGCAGCAGCAGCAACAGCAACAGGCCCAGCAGCAGCTCCAGTCATCCGACGCGCAATCTGCCCAGAGGCCCGCGTCTGCTGATTGGAAAGACAGCACGCTCGTCCCGAATGGCGGCGCTACATCCACGCCCGTCCAGGGAGGCATCGATTTGAGCGATTTCGGGTTGGGCGACTTATCGGGTGAGCCTCCATGCACCATCACTTGCCGCTCGAGTTTCCCTTCCCTCATCCTCCTCCATCAGTCCCGCAACCCTCCTCTTCGTCCCCCACGTCCTTCTATCCCTTTCCCCATAGCTACTTTCCCGTTCCTGGGCCCTACAATGCCATGGGATACGCCGCCGCCGCCGCCTGGCCGAACCAGCCAGGATCGGTCCCTTTATCTTCCTACTCCACACTGAACGGCGCGACCACTTCCACCATGGGATCTTCTCAGTCTACTCAGTCGTCGACTCCCCAGCAGACCATGATAGAGTGAGCGTCTCCCCTCATGTTTGGGGCCCAAATCCGCGACTCAATGTATGCTCTCTAGCCCTGCATTGACAACGATCAACACCTCCAACGCGACCTCCCAACCTTACGCGTCCTCGTCTAATATATCTCAATCCCAACCCTCTCCCCAACTTACCCAGCGTCCAGCACCGCAATACTCATACACACATATGCACCCATCCGCACTATCTTATGTTCATGCAGCGCAATTTTCAACCTCTCAGCAGCAATCTCAGCACCAGGGCACCCTCTCTCCCTTTGCCCTTCATTCGCCCTCCATGATGTCGGGAATTTCCCCGACGTCGTTCTACAGCAGCCCGGCGACGGTGACTGTTCCTGTGCAGAGTCGTAAGGAGCAATTTCTGTCGGCAATCAAACCATCTCTTTCACCAAAAAGCTTCTCTGGGGCTCGTGGAGTCCAACAGCTGGTAAATCAGATTGCGGAGTATGGAATAACACAAGTGGATGCGCAAACGCGATTGGATATTTTGACTAAAATCAGAGACAACGCAGGCAACCACTTCTTCCGAGCGTGGCTGGAGAATCCAACCGCAATGGAAATCGCTCGCGAGTGGTTGAAGGCGGGAGCCACCAATACGGACGATGATCAGTTGCAAGAGACCATCATGCCCTTGTTACACGTAAGTTTTCACATGCCCTCTTCCACCGTCAATGTTTTTTTGATCCGTTTTATCCTGTCACCGTGTGATGGTTTCGGTTCGGTCGATTGTTGCGCGGGTTCATCGCTTAGATAACAGATCGTTTGCCCTTCACATATGAATCTTTGGCAGCGTCCAAGGTAGGGAGGATCATACGGAAGTTGGGTAAAGATGCTTCGATCCCTGGTGAGTTTGACGTTCTGCACCTCCAGAAATCCTTCCCCACTATGAGAATCACCTACACGGCGAGCGTCATGAACGTGGCCCCTCGCGGGTGTCCTATCCTCGAATTGAAGTTTGTTCAGCTTGGAAATGAATTTTCTGTACCGTTCTGCGAAGACGTCATCGCAAATGTATCTAACTACAATGTCTGCCTACAATTGCGTTCTACAGCTGTCAAGGACATGGCATCAAACTTAGAACGTAAATGGCGCGAGAAATACGTGCCAGAGCATGAACGGGCGATGAACGTCGACGAAGATCCGCAGGGTGGGTCATGTCAGTCCGCTTCACCGCTAACATATCGATTGACCATGCCCGCATCCCCTCAGCGAGGAAGCGCAAAGCCGAACCACCTGCATCAAAGTTAGCGCAGCCGACGAAGAAGGCGGCTGTTTCATCGGCGTCATCTTCAAGACCAGTGGTGGTGAAGAAGGAGAGCAAAGCGGCGCCCCAGACCGTTAAGGACTCCAAGTCCGACTCATCGTTCTTCTCTGCGCCGAAGCCGAAGCCAAGGCTTCCTAGCTTCAAGAAGTCTCTAGCGCCTCCTCCATTGAAGAAAGAGCCAGATCCGAATATCGCGCAGCCATCCGCAGTGGATCCGTTCCAGGAGGCGCTCAAGGACATGGCCAAGGGACGCAAACCTTCGCCGGCGGCTGTGTCTTTTACTGCGAATCACAGTACCGCGACCGGGTCATCGACACAGACCCCAACGGGATTGACAAAGTCGGGCAAGAAGAAAAAGGTGGTGAAATGGGCCCCTGAGGGTCAGCTCGAGCTGGTGAAGCTCATCGAAAAAGCAATTTACGATGACGATCCCGTAGATGTCAGCTTCATTCACTTGCGCTCGATTTTTGGATTGTGCATTAATTACGTCTGGTTCCGGGTCGATACACAGGGTGTCCATTCTCTGCATAATGTGCGCGACCTCGACCGAGACGAAGGAGCCGCGCTGCACGCCCATTTGTTCGAAGAGTTAATTGACTGGTCCGAGCCCCAATGTAAGCTGTTTGAAATTCTAAAAGCCGGGCATGCGAAGCTCACAAAGGAACTTTCATACATCACAGCTATCCAGTTTTCGCCGAATTTAGACGTGCCCCCGCGAGGAGGAGAGAGTCAGGAAAAGACGACGCAGGAGCAGCGCGAGCTGACGGCGCTGGGCGCGATGTATTTGTCGCTGCAGCAGATACCTGAATCGCCAGCTGAACCAGCGACGCAGATACAGCCTGAACTGGTGGACGAGCACGTGCTCACCATGCTGGTGGGACCGGATGTTGATTCGCTCTTCTTCTCGACGCCTCGGGATCAGCCCGCAATGGGCGCATCAGTGTCGGACCTCGTCGACCAGCTCGCCAGCAACCCGTCGTCGACGCCTGGCATGACGAGCGCTAAGAGTGTTGTCGGCTTCGACCCGAACCTTATCGCTCAGGTGACCTCCATGGGAAATTTGCCCCCAGAGCAGCTGCAACATCTCGCGCAGCTTCTTGCACAGCAATCGGCCTTCTCCGGCGCCGCGCCGAGCGGCACGCAGGGCGACTACAGCGCCCCCGAAGGCGATCAAGACTGGGGCTCGGCGATGTCAACCAGCGACGGGTACGGTGGTGAATATGGGCTGTCAGCCGGAGACGAGCGACGGTGGGGCTCGGAGGGCGCTGGGCGCGGGGATCGGGGGCGTGGCGGTAGTGGCGGCGCGCGCGGCCGAGGCCGGGGCCGCCCGGACGGGCTTAGAGAGAGTAGAGCACGAATACCTTGCACCTTTTATGCACAAGGAAGGCGAGCATCCATCCATCCAGCCCGCATACCCGCATACCCAGCCCAGCCCCGAAGCTGATAAATCGCATTTGTTTGCGCACCACAGATGCAGATACGGCGATCAATGTGACTTCAGCCACGAGCCGCTCTCATACTGAGCGCAGCCTGGCGGCGCTGCTGCAGACGTCTGGCTCGGTCGCGTCACGGGCCTGACGCACGGCATTTTCTCCTGCATACGTACATACCTTTGTGCCCGGCGCGCGCATACCGCTTGCGGATGTGACGAATCGACGTATCTTATGATTGGCTATTGTTCCGGCATCTTGCTCTCTTGTCTTTTCACTTTCCTATCAGGGCGGCACGTTCGTGTTTGTGATCGCTGACGGTCCAAGTAGGCAGTTTCCCACAGACACACCCAAAACATCAAAACGCGGGGGGGGGGGGGGTCCAGACAGCCCTTGGACTGTTGATATTCGTCGGAGAATGGTCGGTGATGTACAGTACAGGTGTGAATAAATACGACGCCGATTAAACATATAACATCCTCTCCCCCCTCCGGCAGTGTTGTGGCAAGAAACAGTGCGTATATGTAAAATACAATATCTATGCAAAGCGAGAAGAGACCAGGATGGCGAACGACGACGAGAGCAGTAGACACGAGAAGGAGACAAACATATATGCAAAGGGGCGGGGGAGAATGGGGGTATGAGTTGTTTCTTCACCCTCCGCCCGCGGTCCGTCCGCGTTTTCGCGGCGGACGCTTGGCGGGAGGTGGCTGGTCCGAGGACGTCGCCGTCGTCGGCGACGCGGTATCTGTGTTGGCCGCTTTGCGCTTCAGCGACGTGTTGGACATCGAGGGTGTGGACGACGAGGCGGTGGGTGCGGGCGCAGCAGGAGGCGCGGTGGAGGTGCTGGGGCCCGCGACGGGCGTGGGTGGGTGGGCTTGCTGCGGCGTACCCTTTGGTTTGTCTGGCGATGGCGGTGGCGCAGATGAAGGCGGTGGCTGTTGAACCTGCTGTTGGGCCTGTGGATGAGCCTGCTGCTGCGCGTGATGTGCTTGGGAATGCTGATGCAGATGTTGTTGCGCCTGCTGGTGGACCTGCTGCTGTTGTTGATGAGCCTGCTGCTGCTGCTGTTGATGATGAGCCTGCTGCTGTTGCTGCTGTTGATGCACCGCCTGCTGCTGCTGCTGATGGGCCTGTTGCTGCAATTGCAGCGACGACGGGCCACTAGGATGGCCATCTAGCGGGCCAGGCATGCCCGAAGGCGTCGATCCATACACGGACTGGGACAGCGCTGACGTAGTGTGCGCGCCGTTGATCCCGTCCCCGTACTGGCTGGGAACGCCGATTGGCACAGTGCCGTAGACTGGGCCGTTCCCAGGGTTGTGCGAGTCGCGAATCTTCTGGGCGAACTGCTTCAGCGCGTCTGATGTCCCGCATCGATAGCGCCGACGGAGCGTGATTGATGTATCAGTGATGATGCGGGGGCGCAGAGGTGCTTATCAGCGTCATTGCGCACAGACGAGCCTTATCGTGATCGACGACTCACCCAATGGTCCAAGTGTGTTCTCCGTAGAGTATGTGATCAGGTCCGACATCTGCCCGACACTCTCCGCCAACTGCCATCCGCGAAGATCCACCCCATTTACGAACCCGATGCGATGCGATGCGAAATCGATTAACCGAGATGAAAACAATACAAAAAGACGGATCGACTCGTACCTCAAGACATCGCATCGTTGCTTGCGGGATGCCAAACGCGTTCACCGGCTCCGACGGGATCATCGCGCGCTCAAACAGGATCTTCGGCTCGTCCCACTTGTCCTCCTCCTTCAGTGCGCCGCTGCCCCCACCTCCACCCCCACCATTCATCGTCGGTGTCTGTGCGTTCCGTAGCCGTGGCGTCTTCGGTGGCTCGATGCGCTGACCTATGATCATGTCCAGCGAAATATGCTTCTCATACAAGTTCGAGTCGAATACTAAGCTGTTGATCTTCAGCGCGTAGCTCGGGTGCGTTGAAGACGCCTGGGCGGACGCGCCGTTGGCAAGGTGGTGCGGGATGACGAAAATGTGCGCGGTGAGAGGCCCACGGAGTGTCACGGTGTAACCGTTGGTGTATTTATACGACCAGACTGCTTGTATGCACTCCACGATCGCGTGGTTGTTTGATACGGGGCGTTCTCGCGCGCCGTCCAACGACAGCGTCATGGACTTCACGCCAGACTGGCTAGTGACGAGGAAGAATCGAGGCAGTATCGGCGTGCCTACCTCTGAACGCACAAATAAAAATTGATATGGAATTCGGGCCAGTTAGCTCGAGAAACGACGCACCGAACACTTTCGCCTCATTTTGCTGGTTGTCTTTCCACAACGTGAGTTTCATCGTCGCGGAGGGCAAGAAATACTCGTTCACGAGATCTTCCCAGTGTGTCAACTGCAGTTTTCTCGCATCTGAGTCCTACGTTCATCCGTTGAGCTATGGTAATATTGACGTTACAAGATAAAGAAAACGTACTTTTGAATGCTCAGCCAGCATACCGCTGAACTGTAACAGTCGCACGAGACCCTGGCCAACGCCTACAACGGGCGCCCTGAACAAAACGAAGAAGAAAAACTTTAATATGGTGTTCCATTGCGACATCTCGTCAGTTGAATCTAAACTCACGTTGGGACCGGCCTCATCTGAGCCTGGACCAGCTGCGGCACTCGCGCTCGCAACGCACTGCTCTCAGGCGGCGTCCCACCATTCTGGGGTGCAGGCCCCGATCCTGGTCCCGGTCGCATCATTGCCTGCATATGCACCGGCGCTTGTGCCCCCGGCATCTGCTGCTGTTGTTGGGACGGTCCCTGCGACTGAACCGACGGCGGGCGCTGAGGTTGCTGCTGCTGCTGCTGTTGCTGTTGTTGATGCTGTTGTTGTTGTTGCTGCTGGGGGTTGGGGGGGATGGCAAGCTGCGGATTGTGTTGCAGCTGTTGTGGCGGCGGCGCCCCGCCGATATTCGCAGGGCGGCCCTGCAGCAACATCGCGTTAGCGGGAAGCGAAGCGCTCGCGGGGAGGGGGGTGCGCGAAGGTCCCGCTTGCTGAGACGGCGGGCGGCCGGGAGGTGCGGGTTGGGGCTGTGACTGCGGACGGGAGGGGTGTGGGAGGTGGCCGTTCATCTGGTGCGGCGACATGTGGGAGCCGGGGTGCGGCTGGATGGACAGGGGCTGTTGCTGCAACGCGTGTTGTTGTTGTTGTTGCTGTTGCTGCTGCTGTTGCAGCTGCTGCAACTGCTGCTGCTGCTGCTGCTGTTGGTGTTGCTGCTGCTGCTGCTGTTGTTGTTGTTGCTGCTGCTGATGCTGATGCTGCTGTCGTTGGGGGGAAAGACCGAGTGGGCGCTGGTGTTGGGACGTGGGTGGTGGCGCGGCTCCGCCCTGTTGCTGTTGAGGCGGCGGCATGCCAAAAGACGCGCTGTACCCGTCGTCATTCTGATCCTGTGATGCCCGCATCGACGCGAATTGCTGCGCGGGCGTCATCTGGAAGTCGACGCGATTCGGGTTCACAGGGGCGCCCGCGGGCCCCCCACTGCCAGGAGCGGCGCCATTGCCCATCGCCTGAGTCATGTCGATGTGCTGGTGCTGATTCGGCGGGGTCGAGGATGGGCCAAACCCGAACTGGCCGGGCGCGCCGGGCATGCGATTGCCCGGATGCGGCATACCTGACGCGAAGGGCTGATTCGGGAAGTTCATGAACATCGCGTTCTCGGGGGGCGCGCGGTCGATCGCGCCCGCCATCGTCATGTTCCCCGCAGGGGCGTGCGCCTGCGAGTGCGCGCTGCGCGGGGAGGACGCGATGTGCGGCTGGGCGTGCGGATGTGGTCCAGCGAGGCCCATGGGATTTTGGAAGGAGTGCGGTGGAAGGGTGGGCTGCATCCCGCCCTGGTGCGGCTGACCGAGTGGGGACTGCTGCTGCGGTATCGCGCCCATCATGGGGGGCTGCCCGGAGGGGGCGCGCGCCATGCCCTGTGTCATGTTCTGAGGGATCCCGGGCATGCCTTGGGCGTGTCCCTGGCGCGGGAGACCCATTTGCGCGGCGGGAGACATGTGGCCAGCGATCTGCTGCTGATTGGGCTGTGGCGGGCGAAGGCTCATCGGGGGCTGCTGTTGGGCGGCTTGCCTGAGCTGGCCGGGCATGGCAGACTGGACGCTCATGCCGAGGCCACCCATGCCACCCATGCTCGGTGGGCCACCGTGCAGACCAACCATGGGGCCGCCAGGTTGACCCGTTGGCTGAGGCTGGGACGGGACGCGTCGAACAGGGACGCCAGAACCTGGCTGTTGCATCATGCCACCGGGAAAGCCGACGCCCTGGAGCTGAGCTGGACCGATCCCGTTGATGTGTGGGCCGGAGGGGCCGTTCGCCTGTGGGTTCATGCCTTGGGCATTCTGCTGGAGAAAGTGTTGGCGGCGGCGCTGTGTCTCTGCCTGCTGAAGCTGGAGCTGATAATTGCTGGTCGGGTTTCCAGACTGAAAGGCGATGTTAGGATTGATATTGGTGCCGTTTGGGAGAAGACCCATGTGTTGTGGCTGAGGTTGTGGCTGCTGAGCGGAGGGAGGTTGGAAAGGCGGCTGGGACATGTTGAGCATGTTCGGTGTGAGATGGGGCATTCCCTGGGGACGAATCATGTCTGGGCGGACATTCATTGGAGGCTGAAGGGAAGAGGGATGGAACTGGAAGGGAGGAGGATGGGCCAGGATGTGACGATGATGGAATTTTGGGCATGCAGTCGGGGATCCGACGAGGGCGACTGCAAAGAACGCGGACGAGGGCAGTGTGCGATGGCGACGACGATGGCGACGACGACGATGACGACGACGACGGGGGTGGGATGGAGCGGGTGTGAGTGGGAGGGAGAGACGAGGGGCGGTGCTGGGGCTGAGGCTGTCGAGAACGAGGCGGGCTCCAACGCTCTTCGATGGTCCACAAACTCACACGCCCTCCCAAGTTATTACCTAACAGTCCCGTCACACACGTCACACATCCCGCCGCCTCTCTCCCGTCCGCGTCTGCTCTCTCCCGCCCCATGGTTCGCCAGCTCAAGCACCACGAGCAGAAGCTCCTCAAGAAGGTCGACTTCCTCAACGTACGTCCCTTTTTTTTCGCTCCTTTTTACCCCAGTCCTCACCGAGTCCCTCAGTGGAAGCAAGATGCCAACGTCCGTGAAATTAAAGTCATGCGCAGGTACCACATCCAGGACCGGGAGGACTACCACAGGTCTGTCTACCCCCGCAACGCGCACACACGTCCGCTCGCTCACCCCGTCTGGCCCTAGATACAACAAGCTCTGCGGCTCGCTGAGGTCCCTGGCCCACCGCATCTCGCTGCTGCCCGCACAAGACCCGTTTCGGACGCGCATGGAGGGCCAGATCCTCTCCAAGCTCTTCGACATGGGCGTCCTCAACTCCCAGGCGAAGCTCAGCGACGTCGACAACAAGCTTACCGTCGCCGCCTTCTGTCGCCGCCGTCTCGCCGTCATCATGGTGATGGCCAAGATGGCCGAGACGGTCAGTGCGGTGCGCGATCATTTCCGCTTCTCCTTCCCAGTGCTTCTAGCTCACGCTCTCTCTCCGATTTTTTGCTGTGCATTTGTTCTTCCTATCTTGCCCTCCTTTTTTTTTTTTCTTTCTTGCTCACCTTCACAGGCCGTCAAGTTTGTCGAGCAAGGTCACGTCCGCGTCGGGCCAGACACGGTCACCGACCCTGCTTATCTCGTCACTCGGTACGTCAACCCCAGAACGCGTGAGCTTCTTCGCGTACTGATCCTGCTATCGATCGCTCGCTAGGCACATGGAGGACTTTGTGACGTGGGTCGACACATCGAAGCTCAAGCGGACGGTCATGACATACAATGACGAAGTGGGCCCTCTCTACTGCGCGACCTGTCGACATTGGCTGAACGAATATCTTTTTAGCTCGACGATTTCGATCTTCTGTGAGTCAAGTCGTGATAGGCCTCGTGTTGCGTTCAGGTGCTGTTCGGCGGGCCCAGGATCAGCGTATGTGTTGAATTGTGAAGATCTGCGCCGAGTGCACGACTGCACCCTTGACGCGCAGGCCTCGAAAAGTACTTTTATGACATGTTGTAGCCATAGCTGTAATACCGTATATTTCTCTGCAATGCCGGGGTATCTTGTTACTTCGCGATGCAGCGGGCGAGGTCGTCATGCACGTGCAAGCAGTTGTTTCCCCGAACTGGCAAGCGGTTGCTTGTTCTCCTCATCGCCACACTCGCCGTGTCCTCAGCCCGCCCAGCGGCACGACTGCCTTTCCCCCTTCCTCGACACCCTCCTTGCTTCCCGTCCCCGTCCTCGCTTTTCGTTTCATTCTCTCTCTCTCTTTCTCTCTATTGTGTGTTTCGTATAGATCATGGCCGAACACGGCGACGGGAACATCAAGGTCGTCGTCCGATGTCGCCCTCTCAACTCCCGCGGTTCGTCTTTTCCACATTCCGTTCTCCATGTATAAATCCCAACCTCCGTTCCATATCCCTGCCCCTTCCTCGTACCCCACCCCGCACACAATCCCGCCGCACGTCATGCATGCACCCATGATCGCACGGCGCAGAGCTCGCACGCGGCGCACGGCCCCTCATCCGCATGCAGGGCAACCAGACACTCCTTGATCCCCCTGAGGCCGGCTCGCAGCAGGAAAAGGCGTCCTCGGGCCGCGCGACGGAGCGCAAGACGATGGCATTCAGCTTCGACAAGAGCTACTGGTCCGCGGGCCCGCGCGACGAGCCCGGGTACTGCTCGCAGCAGACCCTGTTCGACGATCTCGGCAAGGAGCTGCTCGACCACGGCTTTGCGGGGTTCAATGCGTGTATTTTAGCTTGTGAGTGATTCGTTCGGCGATGTGAGCGCGGGCGTTAGTCGTGCGCTCGCGCGCACGTTCAGTAAATTGACTGGTCTTTTTTGGATGCGTAAAGATGGGCAAACTGGTACGCCTCGCAATGTGTTGGGATTTCAGTATGCGCTGACGCCGCTGACTGCTGCCAGGATCTGGAAAGTCTTACAGGTGCGTGGAATTACAAACTTCTCGTTCTCTATTCTCTGTGTACTCAAGCCCCCTACGATCTCGCGTGCCGTTCACAGTATGATGGGATGTCAGTCACTCAGTCACATGTCTCCGCATCGGATATAGGACATTGACCCACGGCGCGCATATCCAGACGGCCCTGACAAAGGCATCATCCCGCAGACATGCTCCGAGCTCTTCGTGCGCGTCGACGACAAGAAGGCGAAAGACCCGCTTTTGAGCTTCACTGTAGAGGTATCGTACATCGAGGTCAGACGGTCTCTCTTAACCTTCCCCATCAATTCTCCCTCTGCTGCGCTCCATCCCATCGCCACCTTCACCGTCATCTCCTGCTCACTACCTGGTTACCTATTGCACACCGCGCTTGTCGTGGCGCATACAGATATATAATGAGAAGGTGCGCGATCTGCTGAACCCGAAGAACACGGGGAACCTCCGTGTGCGCGAGCACCCGAGCCTTGGGCCATACGTCGAAGACCTGTCAAAGCTCGCAGTGAACAGTTACGAGGAGATGATGACGCTCATGGACGAGGGGAACAAAGCTAGAACGGTCGCGGCGACCAACATGAACGAAACGTACGAGCCTTTTCCCCTTTCGGTTCCCACAGACTCGCTCTCGCCCATCCAGTGCCCTCGAACACTGACTGCCCAGCTGGCTGGCTGTCCGACCAACTCGCTGACCCTGGATTGATACACCCAGCTCCTCGCGTTCTCACGCCGTCTTCACCCTCATTCTCACCATGAAGCGCCACGACGTCGACACTAACCTCGATACCGAGAAAGTGTCACGCATCAGGTACACGCGCGCCTCCCCTCTCCTTCTTTAATCTCGGCGCTCACGGCGACAGTGCAGCTTGGTCGATCTCGCCGGTTCGGAACGCGCCAATTCGACGGGCGCGACGGGCGCGCGACTCAAGGAGGGTGCAAACATCAACAAGTCGCTCACGACGCTCGGGAAAGTCATCGCCGCGCTGGCGATCGCGTCGAACAACGACGGGAAGAAGGGGAAGAAGAAGGGAGACGACTTCGTGCCGTACCGGGACTCGGTGCGCATATATCCCATCGTTCCCACATAAACGCTGCCATCTCACCCTCTCCTGCTCCTGCTCCCGCGTTGTATTTGATGTTCATCGTTCGCTCGCTTGGTCTTGGTAGGTGTTGACATGGCTGCTGAAAGATTCACTAGGAGGAAACTCGAAGACGGCCATGATCGCTGCAATCTCGCCGGCGGACTACGAGGAGACGCTGTCGACTCTGCGGTACGCCGACCAGGCGAAGAAGATTAAGAACAAGGCCGTCGTCAACGAGGACCCGAACGCGAAGCTGGTCCGCGAGCTGAAGGAGGAGCTGGAGATGCTCCGAGGTACGTCTTGCCTCCTCCCTATTTCTTCCCCTTGATCCCTTTCCTTCGATATGCCACGATCTGACTCTCACTTCCTCGCGCGCCTGCAGCGCGCGTCGCTGGCTCGACGAGCGAAGCGGTCTACGACCCTAAGATCCCGCCAGAGAAACAGAAGGTGACGTACCAGGCGAAGGACGGAACGATCAAGACGGTCACCAAGGCCGAGCTGCAGGAACAGCTCGAGACGAGCGAGAAGCTGATGCAGGGCCTGAACGAGACATGGGAGGAGAAGCTGCAGCGCACGCAGGAGGTGCAGAAGGAGCGCGAGAAGGCGCTCGAGGAGCTCGGTATCACCGTCGAGAAGAACAACGTCGGTGTGCACACGCCCAAAAAGGTGCGTTTTCGAGAACGTTTCGGCCGTTGGCGCTGCTTGTGTCGAGAGGGACCGATTGTCTGACGCCTGTCGCTGTAGATGCCGCATTTAGTGAACCTGGTATGTTTCGTCTCTTCTTTATAAAAGCTGTATGTGCATTGAACCAGATCTGTCGTGGGTAGAACGAAGGTATATCTCAAAACTACTCGACGCTCTCGAGGGCTCTTTTTCATCGTTTTTCTAGATCCCCTCATGAGCGAGTGCTTGATCTACCAGCTGAAGCCGGGGCGCACAGCCGTATGTGATTTCCTTCCATACACTCTGGGAGATGATCTTTGAGGACGGACTATTCCACGTAGGTCGGACGCATGGAAAGCGAAAAGCCGGTGCATATCCGCCTTAGTGGCGACAACATCCTAGAGGAGCACTGTTACTTCGAGAACACGGACGGGAAGGTGATGCTGCATTCGATAGGCGGCGGCGTCACGGTGCGTCTGACACAGATACCTCCTCAGTCCCGAGTCTAATCTTGTTCGCCCAGTTTCTAAATGGGAAACAAATAGCAGCTGGACAGGTATGGCCTTTCCCACTCACCGTGCGACGTGGCGTTCTGATCCCGGTATTCAGCCCTACAAACTGCGTTCCGGCTTCCGTATCATCATCGGTTTGTGGCGTATGTCCGACGTTTGTCCAACACTGACGTCGGCACCACGCTTCTAGGGGAGCACCATGTTTTCCGATTCAATAACCCCGAAGAGGTGCGCAAGCAGCGGGATCGGGCGACTATGAAGTCGAGTCTACAAACAAGCACGACAGCGTCCGACCTCGAGGGCCCTGGTGAGAACGGGACTCGGCCCCATTCGCCGACCGCGTCCTCTGCCGATATGGCCGACGTGGACTGGACGTTTGCAAAGCGCGAGGCGGCATTGGCGCGTCTGGGGCTCGACCCCGCACTCGACAGTCTTCCGGACGAGGACTTGAACAAGCTGTTTGAGAAAATCACCATCGTGAAGACGATGCGCGACCACAACTCGAAGCCGCGGCCTGAGAGCAGCTTGAGTCAGGCCGACGATATCTGGAGCGAGTCCGGCCGGCCGTTCTCGAGCGATGCTCTCACCGATGACACGAGCGTGGACGCGCTGCCGAGCCAGGGTAGCCCTGATGTCGACGGGTTGAAAGACGTGCAGAACCAGCTTGAGACGCAGAGGCAGGAGTTTGAGTCTCGGCTACAGGCGATCTCAGAGTCGACCGAGGCGGAGGACCTGAAGGAGGAGAAGGATCACATGCAGCACCAGCTGAAGCTCGTGCATATGCACATGAAACGGCTGTTGGATGCACGGGCGCGAGGTGAGGCAGACTCCGAAATGGAGGCATTCGAGCCGGTCATCTATTCGGCGAAGCAATTGCGCCTGATTCGGAACGTGCTGGACAAGTGGAGGGCTCACCGGTCCTTTTCCATGGCCGAAATTGTTTTGTCGAACGCTGTCCTGATGAAGGAGGCTAACGTGATCAGGTGAGATTGGTTCATTGATGGAGGTTGCCCCATGTTCATGATCTGCGCAGTAAGGAGCTCAAGAAGGACGTGTCATATAACTTCACAGTTGCATCGGGGGGATCTCTGGCAGCGCCGGCATCGTCCGTCAACACCATCGCAGGACTGGACGAGTTCGGGGATGTCGCCGACCCCGTTCTCGCATCTGCGACTCAGCCGTCGGTGGCCGTCAAGGTCCTGGACAAACGGCATAATGCCATCTACGTCTGGTCATTGGATCGTCTACATCAGCAGGTCCAGCGAATGCGTAACCTCACGACGTTCATCGACCGCCCTTCATACTCACAGCATTTCTCCTCCGAGGAGCCCTTCTACAATTCGCCTCCGCCAGAATATTCCTTCATTGGGAACGCTCTGATCTCCCTCGCACCTCTCTCGCGCCGCCTCTCGTCGACGTCGACGGTTCCTATATTCTGCCGTTACACTGCTGAAGCCATCGGGTCGTGTAGAGTGGACATTAAACTTGTTAACGTCGTCTTGCCTTCAAAACACAATGGTTCCTCATCCGCCTCCACTCGCTCTTCGTCACCCGTGCCAGGCACACTGCTCCCTGGCAGTAAAGTCAGCTTTTTCTTGACTGTCGACTCCGTCAAGGGCCTCTCGCCACATGATTTCTCTGCCATGCACCTCCAGGTCCGCCTGTCATCGTTTGTGGGATCGAGCCTGAAGTCCGAGGAGATCTTCCATTCCAATTCAGTCGATCTAAACTCGTCTTCTCCGTCCTCTCTCAAGTTCCGGCGCAGCTTTTCAATTGTAGTGACCTCTAAGGTTCTAACCTACATGAGACAGGAGTACGCGCCCGTCGAGTTCTTCGCCTCTTTACGCCCACAGTATCTGGAGCGAATGGAGCGGTGGGACGAGATGCGCGAACAGAAGGCGTACTTCCCCACGAGGTCTAACACTCCGGCGTCCGATACGAGATCCAGCAGTTCACAGCCTATGCGCCGTTCGGAAACGGACTTCGTTATGGAGCAGTCGCATGACGTGGTGGCATGGCTGCAGATTCGCGAGCTGGGACCTGATGGGCAATACGTTCCGGTCCCAGTCATCTCGCAAGGGAACCTAGACCCTGGCGCCTTCAACCTGCACCAAGGCCTGCAACGGCGCCTGGTTCTGACGCTTACATCTAATTCCGGCCGCCAACTTCCGTGGACGGAGATGGTTCGGATACGAGTAGGGAACGTCCGTCTTCTAGATACAAAGGGCCGACTACACGAGTCCTCGTCGAAGCCACTGGTGACTCTCCCGTTGCTGCAAGATCAGACCACCGAATTCAAGCCTGACGGCTCAGGCTTCTTATCTGCCGAGGCTCTGTGGGATTCTAGCGTACACGACTCGCTGTTGCTCAATCGAGTGACGCCGGCGTCTCAGCGCGTCCTATTGCAGGTCGCCTGGTCAATTGCCGTAGAAAGCTGCAGCGATCCTGTCCAATTTTCGATGGACATGGCTGTGATGATGCAGACACGAGACGCGCGCCCTCCGTCAAAAATCTATGCTATGCTAAGCTCTATGCGGATCTTGTCGAAGACCAGCAATGTGTTTCATGTCCGTCTTTCGCCTCCGTTGACTCGGTCGCCAAAAGACCTTTGGCGCTTAGACACGTCGGAGAAATACGTGCGAGGCGAGGAAGCGTTGGGCAGCTGGAAGCCGAGGGGACTATCGATTGTCGAAGATTATTCGAGGCTTGTGACTATGGAGCGCCGAGCGGCAGATGTTCAAGCCATCCGAGTGATTTTATCCAGTTCTGCTCACGGCGCCCAGATAACGCAATCCGGATCAGCTGCCATCTGGGGCTCAGAAGATCTGGTGCAGAAATCTTTGGACCTCTGGCAAAAACGGTTGGGACATCAAGGCGATGTTCGTTTCCATCTCTGTCTTGGGCATCTTCGTCCTGTATTGACTGTTGTTCTACAGATTGTACTGAGCCAAGAACCCGCTGACGCGAATGAACCGCATGGGCCGGCTTCGAGGGCTGCCAGTGACTCAATGGAACCTTTACAACTCGTCTCTAGCACCAAGCTCATGCCGCGGAGGTGAGCAATCTGAAACCATCTGTTTACAAGGAGAACTCATCAACCCGCACTCGCAGTGACGTTCCAACCAAAAAGGGACATCTCATGATTATGGTAGATGCAAATGAAGATATTTGGGAGAGGCGGTGGTTTGTTCTGCGAAGGTGCGTCACGGTGTCGGGGGAAAGCCGACCTTCTGACGCTCGTCCTCAATAGACCATATCTGCATATCTACATGCATTCAAACGAGCTGGAGGAAGTCAGTGTCATCAGCCTCGATGGTGTGAACGTGGAAAGTAATCAAGAGATGGAAGCACTCCTGGGGGTGAGCGGGCTCTCGCTCTCCTGCTATCTCCACAACTCACACGATGTCTGACAGAAACGATTTGCCTTCACCCTATTTACTTCGTCTAATTCGCACGCTCTCGCTGCGCCTAATCTGAAAGAAATGCAATCATGGACATCTAAGCTGGATCCTACGCGGTTGCCGTCTTGACACCACATTCCCTTCTCAGGTTTCTTCGTTGCTGTGGTCATATATACCGTACTTCTACTGGAGATATTGTCTATTTGACATGACATTTATACCCTCGTATTCACTCATTTATGTTGTTTAGATCTCATATTGCCTCATGTATGTCTGCAGACCAATCTAAGTACCAGTCATGACTTTACGACATATTATCATTCTTTTTCTTGGCACCTCGTCGACTACAGATTGAACTAAATAATATAGGCGAGCGTGATGATCTACATGTACAAGGCGTGGAGGGTGTAGACAGGGCGTATAAAAGGTCGTGAACCGTAAGTGTAAAGTAAACGTCAGCTCCGCAGCGAAAAGGATGGTGGAAACATTTTGCGTTCCAAAACGACCGAGTAGATCCTATATCTGCGAGTTAGTTTTGGGAGTGGAAGATGTCGCCGCATTTATTTTTTTGATATTGGCTGGGTTATGATCTCTAGCCTACGCCAGGGTGGAATGGCGTCTTCGGAGATGTGCTCCTGACCACCAAGCAGTACGCCGACACGCATTCCCGACAGAAGCTATCACAAGGCGTGAGAAATGAAGTCGTTGTATAGTTCGGATGCTCACATTGTGTGCCGCGTTGGAATGTTCGTACACGCCACCGAAAAAGGCGGAAGTCGCATCCTTTCCTATCATCGGTTTCAGGATGGAGCGCCCTCCAGGATGATCATCCAGGAAGTCGGTGACGTCGTGTATAAATCCGGACACGAGAGTGAGTGATTGTAATTTTGACTGCTCTTCGACTTGACGAAGGACTGGTCAATCTCCATATTTGAACACCGTGGCGATCGTGACTCACAACTTTCCCAGCTGATTATCGGCAGTTCGGTCGGATCCACAGGCTTTCGGAGTCCGTCTTGTTCCTTCTTCAGTCTTTTCAGTTCCATAGTCAACTTGCTCTTTCTGATTTCACCGTCCGGGAAAACTCGGAGGTGGGAGGCAAGACCCAAGTAAGAGCACACCGCGATGAACCATTTTGTCGGATCATACTGATACCACTTGATGGCATTTCGATAGTCCATCGGGAACTGGTGATGAAAATTGTGATACCCTTCCCCGAGAGTAACAAGAGCAGTGATAAAATGGTCCCTCGGGGACAGTTTGTCATCGAACGTCGTCTCCCCGAGCCAGTGCGCGATGGAATTGACACTAAAAACAGACTGTGATAGACGCATGATCGATGAGAAATCAGAGCCAAAATATGTGAACCACGAAAAGGGGAGCTGACATGATGCACGAAAGTTAATCTCAAGCAGCCCGCATAAAAGAAGCCTCCACGCCAATCGCTCCACAAGTAACCGGGGACGCATGTGGGGATAATTAGTCCGAAGAAGAACGCGATATAAAAATACCAGCGGTGTTGCCAAGTTACAACTCTGTTCCGCCTCAAGTCGCTTGTGTCTGCGGCGCCTGGTTTGACTCGAGGCCTGACCAGCATCCACCCGATATGAGTGTGCCAGAGGCCAAGATGTGCACCGTATGGGTCAAGGTCGGTATCGGTGTAACTGAGTGCAGCACGTCATCGTTCCCAGCAAAAGTCTCTAGTCATAACAAATACCAACCGGTGATGAGATCTGTGGCCCCGCGCCCACCATTGGATTGAGCCTTGAATGGCTGCTCCGCCCGCAATTGCGAGAAAATACTCCAGTGGCCGCGAAGCATTATACGATCGATGAGACCACAGGCGATGGTACCCTGCGAGAGGGATCTATAATTATCATTTCGATAAGAGGCTGGGAACTGACCAGCTGTGATTCCTGTGGACATGTTTGAACGACAAGATGACAGGTTCCAAGAAAGAACATACCAATCATATTGAACAGGTACAAGAATACACAAAACAGCAGGGTCCGGGAGTCTAACTTGGTCGTGCAAGAACCGTAGAAGGCAAGAAGAGGGATTAGAGTGACGACCGCAAGATTGAACCAGAGGATCTGTTTGATCCGGCGGCAAATTGCCTCAAACAGGATCTGGAGAAGCAGAAAGACATTCAGAGATCGGGCAGCCTGACGCAGGGAGAAGCAGACATGGCTCACCAACTGGGCTACTTCGCCTCGGAGGGACAACTGAGACCGCGGAGATAACTTTGGCAACTTGGGCTGCATCGTAGAGCGTCCAAGAGATCAAGGATAACGCGAACTTGTCGGAGGGAGAACGACGGAAGGGCAACACAAAGGGGGAGCAAGGACTCTGGTATAAATCACAAATACGCCTAACAGTTGCGAGAGCAGTCGAGGCTTGATTAGAGAGCTAGACCCGCATGCCGACGTCCATGACACACGTGCAGAAGCCTACCACCGGTTCCGAGGAGCGAAAGATAGCCAAGGATTGCACTGCGAATGAAGCATCCGTCGGCTCGTATCCGTGTATGCTCAGGGCGACTGTGTGGGTACAGACTGGCGGGAATTGGAGATAGGATGTTATGGAGCTTCTTTCTCCGGGAGTATTTACTTTGATGCAGTGCGGCTGTGGCCGTTACGCCACGGTGCTGGCCAGACATCAGTAGACTCTTCTGAAAAAATAAAAACCAGACACTATGAGCTCACGTTACCTGGTTTGCATTGCAGAATTATTTGAGCCTATCTGTTGACGGTATTCTACCCAGCCTTCCATAATGTTCTGTTGCTTCGAGGGGTAGTCAACCTCGTTTTAAGCGTTTCCAGAGCGGGCTGGCCGAGTCGCGAGCCTTTCTCGAGTACGAAAGAAGGGGGCAATCACGGAGGCACGTAATAACATCACAAACTCACAATCCAGGTCTCCGTCGGTGGATTTCAAGGTTTACGAGGCGGACGCTGCATGCTAGAAATGCCAAATGCTTGTGCTCGACAAGACAGGACGTGTCATGAGGCCAGTCTCGAGCAAGTTGCCGCTCTTGACAGCATTCGGGGTGACAAATTTCGACTCCGCGCCATGACCTTTGTTGGGGTATGTAAGTCACACGAGGCGGCTGTGTCATTGGACCCATAACAATATCGCCCTTGCATTTCGCGAAATCGATTCCACGCATGCATGGCGCCCATTTTCCGAAAACCGCGCCCATTTGCCATGCTCTTTTGACTTTCAAATATTCTGTGACCTCTGCCAAGTGAAAGCCTCCTGAAAGGATCGTTGGCCGAGTCTCGTCCTCAATGTGCCTATTACTCGTCACAACTGGGTTGAAATAACAGCCTTTGATTTCTCATGCGCCACGGAGGCGGGCTCAACTCATGGCGTTCACAGGAAGACGACTTCCGTTGCCTTAGCCAGACTGGCACCGCTGAGAATAACTCTCCCTTCTATTTTCAATTTCTTCTGAGTCCCATGGCGTCGGAGGGCGTCGAGCTGTCGAGCCTTTTTTGAACCGATCGCATAATTCGGGATCCCTATCAACTCTGGGCCTTAGGACAGTCTTCGGCTTGGGAGTATGATACTTGGCTTCCTATAAAACGACATCATGCACCGTACATGGATGACCATCCGACAACCACCCATCGATACCATCTCTTACTACGATGAGCACTTCTGCCCACTATACTTTGCCATCTGGTCCTCTGGAACGGTTCACGCCGCGTATTTCTACCGGATTCCCCAATCCTCGTTCATTGCTCATAGTGTTCGGTGAGCTGGTCATCGTTCTCGTTGATACGACGTTTACAGCATGACTCATCTGGTTCTCACAGCTCGGAATTCCATCCTCTCTGCTCTGCAAAACTCTATCACGATCGGATGTCTTGAAATCACTGACTCTCATCAAACTTACCGCTTTGGGCATTCTATGTCTGACGGGAGTGTAGCTGGCCTCAAAGTCATCAGTGACGACTTCTGGATTCAGATCCTAATGTGTGTTTCCCGTTATTGTCCATCTAGCTCGTTCTGAACGATCTACTCATATTCACAGCTCCGGAGACCTTGGTTGTGCGTCCCAGATCCTTGAAGCCACAAAACTTTACCTTCTTCCTGACTTTTGTCTCTAGTCAGCGAGGCCTACATGATTGGCGCTGTTGAAGTAAGCAGTCTCAAAGATGTGATGCACGTCAGTGATTTTTCATTTATGATTCCGAAGCCATTACGCAAGCTTTACTCATTTGCTTGTATAGTTATGGCTGCAGAACGAGTCAGGCATGGCCAATATCACATCACTTTATGCGCGCCTTTCATCGGCTCTATCCGGCCTTTCGAACGCGTTGTTTGGTCAAACCCGTGCTAACGCGCGGCTCAATGCCATGTCCAGTTATGATCAGTCCAATGAACTATTCAAGGTATGTCGATCTCTACGACTTCTTAGTGCGACACGCGACATTAATCATTCTTTATTCGGCTCCTGCTTGCTGGCAAATGTGAGAAGGCTTTCCTCAGCAAGGAAATGATGTACTCGTGTGCCTTGTGGAGTAACGAAGAAGAGGGGTTGCGAGGAGATCTGGTTCCAACATCCCGAGACACGAGTGGTGACTTAGAAGCGGCGCAGCTGCGGAAAATTCATCTTGTGCTTCGTAAAGCTCGCGTTCAGCCTGGGCATAGAGTCCTAGAATTTGGGTCTGGATGGGGTGCTATGGCGATAGAGGTGTGTGGTCTGTGTTCTATAATAATGCCTCCGTTGACACAGCGTCATCATTTCCGCCAGGCTGCGCGATCCTTTGGCTGTGAGGTGGATACTATCACCCTTTCCGTGGAGCAGAAGAAGCTGGCGGAGGAACGAATCCAGAAAGCGGGTCTCCAAGACCGTATACGAGTCCACCTCATGGATTACCGTGAGCTCCCTGCCGAATTTGAGAAGGCATTCGATGCTTTCGTGAGCATCGAAATGCTTGAGGTACGATAATCTTTTCTTCATGCTGCGACCTGTCCTTATGAACGTGTCCATAGCATGTAGGCTCTAAGGTACTTTTCGATCGACTCGATGAGCGGGCCGTTGACTGACGTCCTACAGTATTATACTACTTATTTCAAGATAGTGGACTGGGCACTGAAGCCGCGCAATGCGACCATCGTCATCAGCTCTTCGACTTTCCCAGAGTCTCGATATACAGGATATCAGTTACGTTCTATGGAGTCAGGCTGTCTGGCCCTGGCTGACTTCGATTTACAGAGCTGAAGATTTCATGAGAAAATACATGTGGCCGAATTCATGTCTTCCCTCAGCGACAGCCTTGATTACCGCTGCCCGCGATGGATCGCAAAGCAGGTTCACACTTGATAGCGTAGAGAACCATTCCGCTCGTACGTACTCTGCGCCCGCTCACCGCTCTGGTCTGAGAAATTGTTTCATGCAGACTATCCTCGCACCTTACGAGAATGGGATCTCCGTTTAGAAGCGAAGTTGACACCGGGCATGCTGGCCAAAGATTTCCCGAACCTACAAAAGGATTGCGTGGCGTACGAGACTTTCAAGAGAAAATGGAGGTACCTTTTCGCCTATGCGGGCGCCGGGTTTGCAGGAGGGTACATAACATGCCACATGATAACGTTCATACGCCAGGTGGGTCCGACGAATATCTCCCGCGTTCACAACGCTCAATCATTTTAGAACGATGCTCCTGACATGTGCGATTGACATCGAAGCTCGTAAGCGGAAGGCACACTGAAACCATCGTGGCGTCACGACTATCTATAAATGTGTACCTTGCTGGCCAAAAGAAAGAAGGTCTTGTTGTATATGTATAAGGATTCTTAGTTACAATAGAGTTAATTATATACCTGTCCAGAAACTCGTGTATCAAAGCACGGCTTTCGAAAACCTGAGAAATCGTGTGAACACTGATTATATTTGAGAACAACACAGGACAATAGAGAGCGATGCTGTGGGATAAAAGCCATTCAATCAAAGTGTATGAAGTCCTTGACCTCATAGTCTCGAATTTAAGACCGAAACTCAAACCGTCCTAGGAGTGCTTCTAGGAAGCTGTTTGAACAGAGTTGAGTGCTTGATACGCGTAGGAACTTGACAAGAGTAGTTTTCAAAGATTCGTATCTGGAGCGTTCGAGAAAAGATGAGCACCTATGGCATCTTCGGTCAGTCAGAGGGCGAGAAGAAGTGTTCTGAAGGAGTTATTCGCCGCTTCTACTGGTGTGAATCCTTGGAGCCATGTCGCGATAGTGGATGACTCTGCAAAGATGGGGATATGCCATCTTTGCTATCGACAGAACGGACCCCAGATGAGACACGCCTGAGTGAGGTGATATTGATCCGAAGACGTCTCGAGATCCCGGCACACCCGCTCCGTGCATTCGAATTCGACCGACGACGTCCATTCCATCAGATACGAAAATCGGCGGATCGAGAATGAGGACTGGAAGGCTAGAATCAGTTGGGGTCATCGTCGGGTGCTTCGAGAGACAAAAGACACTTCAGCGGCTCAGGGAACGGAAGGTTGCATAAATCAATGCACTCCTGAAGCCTGAGGCCTGATTGATCGAGGATTTGACCCACCGTCCAAAGGGCCATCATAGGCCAGCATCTGCCAGCATGCGTCTCAGTGACAACCACGAGGCTTGCGCCCTTACGCAGTAGAAACGTTCGAGACTGCTTAGACTATGTAGCGATCTATACTGTCCCCGAGTCTGCTCAATCGGGTGTGAGATTTTGCAAACGGTGCCATGAGCTTTTTATGGACGAATCGAAACGCGCCCTTGCGACGAGCCGCTCGACTTTGTGGTGCGGATAACATCGTTAAGGACCTCTAGGTTATTTAGCGATGAAGCCGGAGTCATCGAGGATTTACCTTTACGGCGAGTAGGTGATCTAGACTCCATATCCAATCCAAAACCAAGCCTGGATTCACGATGAGTCGGAGGAGTATTTCGTACGCGAGTGAGCTCGTGAGCACCTATGAGCACTCACAAATGTTCATCAATTTGAAAGGTATTGAATCACGCATAGATATCGATATGCACCAGGCCGTCTGTTCGAAATATTGATATAGATTTTATCGTGTCTTAAGCGAAGGGTGTGGAGATTGAACCTCGATCATAAGTTGCGGTGGAGATGGAGCGGGCCGGTGAGTTGGGCAATCCGATATGAGAGCGTTAGTGATATCCGTGAAGAAAAAACGCTCATAGACAGTCATAGACGGAGCGGTGAGCAGAACGGAATATCCCGTCAAATATCTCGTAAAGTAGGGTCATATGAATGGAAATTGAACAGTGTCATCAAAGAGAGGGTTCAATCTTGCGCAAGTCCTTATTAGCTACATATTGATAAAAGTAGGGGTAAGAGACGCACACTTAATAAAGACTCAAAGTCAGAGATAATGACTTGATCCTTCGAAGGCATGAGGCCTGGTATCATCACACGGCATGAATTCGGCGTGTGTTCCATCAGGAAACTATCACCTTGAAGCTCGAACACGGGGACCAGAATGTGAGAATGTGCCCAACGGCAACAAGCGCCGTATGATGAGTAAGCTCCACAAAAGATGACTTCAATGCAACGCCATGGACTAATGCAGATGCGCGGCGGGAAAGCTGTTCACCAATCGACCCATAGCAGATCGAGTTGAACGGGCCTTGCCGTAGATCAGGTCACAAGGTATATGCCAAAGCCCAAGACCTCATAAATTTATGAAGGTTTGAACGGAATTTGACGAACATAAGGATCTTGCAAAAGCCCGTCGCCGTCCTGGGAACCAGTGGGAGCCAAAAGTAGATACGGCATCCGAAATGAGACAAGGTACGAAGGGCACATGGCCCCACAGAGACGCGACTTTGTGGAGCGTTTTCCTGACGTTGCCGACGAAAATGATGACGATAATGATAAGCGTCTATATGTCGCTGTGCACGGGTCCCGTGCTCTTGGTAAGAGACACCTGTCGACTATGCGGTAGACGAGCTGTAATACAACCTGCCGGCAACATCGTTGACAACCCAGTCAAGGCCTTCTATTAGATTCTTTCCTGTAACAGCGCTGCATGGCCAGATTTTCCATTCGTGAGATTTGATCGACTGCAGTTCCAATGCCTGAAGAAAAGAGAAATCATCGTCTGGAAAGCGAGTGGCCAGGCATTACATACTTCCGTGATCTCATCATCTGTCATAGAGCCAAAGATGTCTTGTTTGTTCGCAAATATCAGAAGAGATGCACCTGCAAGCCTCTAAGGTATTCATGCCAACATTAAGAATCAAGCAAGGGAAGATGAAAATACTTACATCTTCGAGCAGTAGACTGTGAAGCTCTTCCTTACAGTCTTGGATACGCATTCTATCTCCAGAATCGACTACCCATGCAATGGCATCTGTTTGCTCGAAATAATTCCGCCAATATGGTCGAAGTGTGCGTTGACCGCCCACATCCCCTAAAAACATATGTTAGGGTTCCAGTATAGAAGTATTACGAGGGCGATACACACAGATGTTTAACGTATACCTTGAGGGGGGAGGCCACCCTTAAGCCTCTGTCAGTTCAGACACCTGATCACGCCTCACCTTCCATGGGTGAATGTCTTGATGTTGAAGCCCAGGGTTGGGCTTACGCTCATGATATCTTCACCATTGAGCTTCTTCAAGATTGTCGTCTTGCCTGCATTGTCAAGGCCACTATCAAGTTCTTCGTTAACAATCGTGAGAGGAGGAGCTGGCTCATAGGTTACAGGAAGAGGATGCGCATCTCCTTCTCCTTCTGGCGATTTTTCCGTATAATAGTGAGCAGGCCCATCAGAAGATTGAGCGAGGGGATGTTAATCCGTAACGTCTATACAGTCTAGGAGGACGACCGTCGGAGCAATCGCAATGGAGGAGGACCCCGGATCGCTGTACCGTCATTGCATAATGTGTCTTTACGGTTTTCGGGGCCTTCTGGACTTCATTTCTGTGTACTACAGTCAGGCTTCGCTCTCAATCGACACGACTGCCTACTTGTAATCCACCAAGAACAGGCATTCACCAGCCCATCTTTTTGACATTCAGATATGGCCCCAAAAAATAAAGGCAAGAAGGGAAAGAAACAGAACGCTGATGACGACTTCTGGTGTGTGAGCCTGTTCTACAGTCAAGTCTTTAGAGTTACTGAATGAGAGTCCCTAGGGATAAAGCGGGCGAATCAGTCCCTAGCATTGACCCTGATTCTGCTGATCGAGTAGGCGAAGGCCCAGAGGGCGAGTATCCGAATAAAAATGCTGCCAAGAGTGCCCTCTCGTCCTTTGCAGCCTTGGGTACAGTGGATGCTGAAGGCCAAAACGACGAGGAGGACTTCGGCGGGCTCATGGTTCGTCTCTAAATTTATTTCAGCTCCATTTGTAATCCCTTCGCAATAACGATCAACATATGGGGCTCAGTCAGCACTCAAGGCCGTCCGAGCAAAGAAAGACAAAAAGAAGAGCAAGAAAGGTGCAGAGGATGGCGCTGCAACCTCTGTATCATTTGCAGATGATCCTCCACCCGGAGAGGGGTCCGGCGGCGAAGGAACCGAAGACGCAGTGGTCGCTGGTGATGTGCAGGTGCGCTGGCGTTACAAGCTGTCTACGACGCTGATCCTAATCTGGGCTACTCTCTCTGCTCTCCAACCTCTCTGTCCTCCGGTTTCCGTCCTCCGCATCTGCTCTTCGCCTCCCGTTCCCGATCTCTGTCTCCGTTTCTTGTTTTACTTGCTATGGAGTTTCACCACTCCACTGTTGCTAAAGGAGATATCTCGGCTCCGAAGAAAGCCATCGAAATGACCCCAGATGATCTAGCAGACGAGGAATGGGGCGCTGCGACGGGCAAGAAAGGCAAAAAGGATAAAGGCAAGAAGACTAAAGCTCAAGGGCCGAAAGAGGAAAACTTTGGTGAGTGTTGAAGTGGCTATACGAATGTCAACTTATTTTCTCCCCATATCAGGCTCCGAAGAAGTGATCGTAGCCGAGGTAACAGAATCAAAGGAGCCCACTGCGCTTCATTCATCTCAGACGAAGGATGACGACGACGCAGTCGACGAGAACGGCCCGAAAATACTGTCGAAGAAGGAGAAGGAAAAGTTGAAGAAGGAGCGAGAGAAGGTCTGGTTTGAACGAGATCGCTTCACGAGATATACTTTTTATTCATGTTTCAAATCATTTAGGCGAAGAAAAAGGCGCAAGCGGCTGCGAAGAAAGTACAAGGAGCCCAAGAGCCTCCAGCAGAAGAGTCATTTCAACCTGGTGAATTTACACCCCATCCGGTTGAGAAGGAAGAGGATGGCGCTGAGGATGACGCTGGCGGCGGAGAGGGTGACTCGAAAAAAAAGAAGAAAAAGAAAAAGGCGAAGAAGGAAGAGGAGCCCGCACCCGTACCGGTCAAGAAAAAAGGGGGAGCAGGCATCAGCGCTTTGAGGGCGATCATGGAAGAGAAGAAACGGTTAGAGGAGGAGGCTAGATTGAGAGAAGAGGAGGATCGTAAGAGAATAGAGGAAGAGGATCGGCTGGCGGAAGAGGAAGCGAGGAAGAAAGAGGAAGAGAAGCAGCGAAAGAAAGAGAAGGAAAAGGTTTGTTTTCTCGTGATTTATCCTCTGAGCGATCCTCAACAGTTCACTAGGCGAAACGAGAGCTGGCCAAAAAAGAAGGTCGACTCTTGACGAAGAAACAGAAAGAAGAGCAACGCGCGGCAGAGATACGAAGGCAAGCTCTCATCGCTTCTGGTGTACAAATAGAAGGCCTGCAACAAACATCCACTCCCTCTAAACGTCCGCTTTATGGTAACCGTAAAAAAGCTCCTATTGGAAGGGGGCCACCTTCAGCACCGGAATCGGCTATTCAAACGCCGGAACCACCATCGCCGAAGGAGCTTGCGCCAGAGCCAAAAGAGGAAAAGAAGGTGGAGCCGACAGACGATCTCAAGAGTGATTGGGATGCATCCAGCGACGAAGAAAAAGGAAAGCCCTCCGACGTGAAGGAAACTTGGGATGAATCGAGTGATGAAGAGGATGCGTTGAAGCCTGCGACTGAGCCATCGAAACCTGCTGAGAAGGCGTCCAATGTGAAAGGTGCGGAAATAATGAGTTCTCGAACAGGAGTCAGCATTACTCAACACTCTACAGCAGCATCTGTTCAACCTGTGAAGAAGATCACACAACCAGCCCTACCGTCTCCAAAAGTTTCTGCGCAAGCCAAACCTAATATTGGCAAACCTACTCAGGATTCACAAGACTCTTCTGACTCTGATTCGGCTTCTGACTCTGATTCGTCTGAACAAGATTCGGAATCGGAATCGGAATCGGAATCAGACTCGGATGACGGAATGACAAAGGCCGAGAGGTTGGCTGCTCAACGCAAAGCGGAGGCGGTAGCTCGCAGGGCGAAGGCTCACGAAGCTGCCCTTGCAGCACGAAGCAAAGATGATCTGCGCAGTCCGATATGCTGTATCTTGGGCCACGTCGACACGGGTAAGACCAAGTTGTTGGACAAGGTTTGTCGTTTCTTCATAACCTTCGGACTTTTTCTAATTACTCGCCTGTAAAAGATTCGGCAGACGAACGTCCAAGAAGGCGAAGCAGGTGGTATCACACAGCAAATTGGTGCCACATATTTTCCACGGGAAGCTATCAGAACGAAGACTGCCGTGCTCAACAAGGTGAGCACGTTCGCAACAGATTTCATAGCCCGCTGACTTTCAAGATAGGGAAATGAGCAAGAGTACAAGGTCCCGGGTTTACTGGTTATAGATACCCCAGGTCACGAATCCTTCACAAACTTGCGCACTCGTGGCAGTTCCTTGTGCAATATTGCCATTCTAGTCGTCGATATCATGGTAATACCGTATCTGGCTGCTATTGGTCCGACGCTCATCCTCTGTGTAGCATGGTCTGGAACAACAAACCTTGGAATCCCTCCGCCTCCTCAGAGATCGCAAAACGCCGTTCATCGTAGCTTTGAACAAGGTATAGCACTCCGTTTTCCATTATCATTCTGTTTAATGTCGTCCTTCAAGATCGACCGTATATACGGATGGAACCCGACTCTAGATGGCGCACTACAAGAATCCCTTGCGAAGCAGACACGAACCGTGCAGCGTGAATTCGATGACCGTGTTCAAAAGACAATTCTGGCTTTCGCAGAACAAGGTCTCAATGCAGTCTTGTACTACGAGAACAAGAACTTCGCTCGAAACGTCTCCATCGTACCTACATCTGCGATCACAGGGGAGGGCGTGCCAGACATGATCATGTTGCTGGTGAATTTGACACAGCAGCGCATGAGCGATCGCTTGATGTACCTCTCCGAGTTGGAGTGTACCGTCCTTGAAGTCAAAGTCATCGAAGGTCTTGGGACAACTATCGATGTCGTCCTGTCCAATGGTATTCTTCGCGAAGGAGATAAGATCGTGGTTTGTGGTCTCAACGGACCTATCGTGACCCAAGTCCGCGCCCTATTAACCCCGCAACCTCTCAGGGAGTTACGAATAAAGGTAAGTCGCTCGTCAACGTCATCATGGGCTCGGATCCGTTTAATATATGCGCGTTAGTCGGTATATGTTCACCACAAAGAAGTCAAGGCTGCTTTGGGGGTGAAGATCGTAGCCCCAGATCTTGAGAAGGCAATCGCTGGTTCGAGGCTTCTAGTAGTAGGACCAGAAGACGACGAAGATGACATGCGGGAGGAGGTCATGTCAGATCTCACAACTCTTCTCAATTCCATCGACAAGTCAGGTCGTGGTGTTTGTGTACAGGCCAGCACACTCGGGTCTCTCGAGGCTTTGCTCGACTTTCTGAAATCAAGTAAAGTCCCGGTATCCGGTATCAACATTGGGCCTGTTCACAAGAAGGATGTCATGCGAGCGGGCACAATGTTGGAGAAAGCTCGCGAGCTAGCATGCATCCTCTGTTTCGATGTCACTGTTGATAAGGATGCAGAGCGCATGGCTGAGGAGATGGGTATCCGTTTGTTCAAAGGTGCGCGTCGCTTGATTGTTTGGGTGTATGTACTGATTACTGTCATAGCCGATATCATCTATCACCTATTCGACGCGTTCACTGCATACAATGCCGAGATACAGGAGGCCAAGCGGAGAGATGCCGCTCCCATAGCAGTTTGGCCTTGTCGCTTGAAGATCATTGCGTGCTTCTGTAAACGAGACCCGATCATCTTGGGCGTTGACATCTTGGACGGCACCTTGCGGATAGGAACGCCACTATGTGTGATCAAGATAGACCCAGTGACTGGAGCTAAGGAAATCATAGAATTGGGAAAGATGTAAGCCGTTTATTATCCAACATAACCGACCTGACAATGCCTTCGAAGCACATCTTTGGAGATCAATCACAAATCTATGGAAGTAAGGAGTGATTTATCATTGTTGTTGTAATGCCAATAACTCTTTCATTCCATTTCAGATCGTAAAGAAGTCGCAAGCTGGCGGCGGTGTCGCGGTCAAGATTGAGCATGCTGTCTATCAATCAGCCAAGATGTTTGGGCGGCATTTTGACGATAAAGACGAACTTTACAGTCGTGTAACGCGCCAGAGTATCGATGTTCTCAAAGTCTGTCATCTTTTTATTCCATCTCTTCCATTTATTCTCACCTTTTTTCAAGACTTCTTTCAAAGCTGACGTGACCACTGAAGAATGGCTCCTGATCAAGGCCTTGAAGCCAGTTCGTAATATTTGAACTAAGCTTGAAATGCGCGATCTCTAATGAATTCTAATCCAGCGACTGAACATTCAATGAGATCTCTTGCCTTCCTTGCATTGACTTCGGCCTTGAACGATCCCAATCTCTGGCTGGGACTCCTGACAGTATATTTGTATTGAACAAGCTATCTGCATCATGTTGTTTTTGTATGGAAGATCAACTCTCACTCATCGACCAGATTTCGTTTGTACGATACCGTTCTCCGCCTTCAATATCCATCTCCCGTCGGTGTGATGCGGTGCATGTATGAAAATCAATACGGTAGCGGTCGCCCTGTGATAGTCTTCACTCTCTCTTGCAGGCTGACTAGGCCGGTTTGAATTTTGGTTTCTCCATGGCGACATCTTATGGCGGATGCATGTAACATCTTAATTGAACGGTTATGCATGAAAGCCGGCGAAGAAACTGAGATTGAACGCTTCGAATTCAAAATCCTCAATCAGGCCAACGTGTAATTTTGAAAGAAAGGTATGGAAAAGATGCACATTCTTTTACAGCCGGCGGTATACTGCAGACATGTATGTGTTCTCCGGTCTCCTGTGTCCCACAATTATGCTGAAATCGGTTCGTCAGATATCCACCAGGAATGATCTTGTATATCACTATTTGATACGTTGAGAATACTTGTCGACTCTATGCACTATCTTTGCAAGTTTGATGACCGCGGCAAAAAATATCACGGATCGGACTCAACGCGATTTGCCTGACCAAATACTGCACGGAAAGGACCTGAAGGCCGACCGTTATCATAACGCGCGCAGGCGCATGTTTGTGATTTCTTTGCAAGGGCTAAATCATTGTAGCTATTGTAATTTCTTGTTGCTGGTCAGTACGGAACTATCACCTCTCTTCTTTGATTGATACCTTACTTTTATCCACTGCCTAGGACAAGTAATTGACTTGGATAAGAAACATTGATATGACGGCGATGTGGGCTATGTTGATGATCCATTTGTGTGAAGACACCCTCACTTTCATCCTTTTGCTTGAACTAGGCGATCTGGACAAGATGCCTTATCTCCATCCCGTACGATCTCAAAAATCCATCGTCGACAACAGCTCTTTAGAGCCGTCATGTGCGAGTCCCTTCGACTCTTTTTCTCTTCTGCCATGCGCCGACGATAGCTATCGAGGATGTTCCACGTCCCTACACACCAAAATGTTTCGCCCAGTCTAATGCCTGGAAACTAGTATGTGTGCGTGGATGATCATTGTACGTATCTCTGCGAATCCATTGATATTCCTCTCATTCTACAATATGAAATCAAGGACGAACATTGGATTAGCAATATGTCCAACTCGCCATAATGTCTGTAATCCAGAGGTTCGACGTGGTCATATCGCTTGCGCCTCAATTAATCAATCAATACCAAACCCGACAATTTCTATCTGAGCCATGAAACTACAGGGAACTCCCAGTTTAGCCGCTCCTTGCTCCTCCAGTCCGTGAATAGTGGTGCAGGATTCAGACGACAGGAATCTTCTTTTCGCGCTGCTTGTCCGTGATGATCAAACCAAGGCTTCACTCGATGTCCTTTGGGTTCAAACAATGGCGTTTCCAAGGTCGGCTTGTGAGCAAGGCGTGCGTATTTTGTGTTACTTGATGACAGCATCTTGCAGAATTTTGGCCTATCATGCGATCGCCGCTCGACTCTGGATCATTCTGCTACGAAGCCATTCCGACCGATGATCCAGTAATCATAGTACCCGCTTCATTCGGAGGTGCATCCATACGATCGTAGAAATCACCGAGTGCGAAAATGATCAACGACTAAACACGCAAACCGGCGTATGTCGCCCAATACCTGGTTCAGCAAAAGCGTGCTTGCAGGTGTTCAGCCCAGCGTGTTCGACGGAAATAGTCACGACTAGATCCAGACGTTCCAACACGCCCCCGTCTTGATGATTGACTTTCTCGCGTGGTGGCAGGCATCTTATCGGACCGATATGTTCTTCAATACGCCTGACACTTATAACAAGGCAGGTAACAGAGATATGAATTTTGACGTGCAAGACTGTTTTTTGTGATCAAACAGCATTATCGGACATCGGATTGATATTGAAAACTTTTGATCGTAGAAGTGCTCGAGTCATCCGCTTGTTCAAAGCCCCGATGCTACGCTAGCGGTGTTGTCAAGAAGAGCCAAATGACGGCTGCGGGAGCCACTGCCACGCATCATATAGAAACCAAAATATACCTATCACTTGGCTATCGAAATTCCCACGTTGTATATTGGAGATAGCTCGCTGACAGTAGTGCATATTCCAGTTTCCCAAAAAGTCCATCAAGCGACATTTGCAGAGGCTCATACACTTTGGGCAATCTTACAAAGAAGTATGCCCTTCACACTACTGCTGACCTGTGCAATAGACTCCCCGTTCATCCAGGTCATAATTCCTGCAACAACCGTACTCCATTTCCAGGTGATAATCATGTCAGAGTCGAGGGCTGAGGCAACCCTGTCAGGATCTGTCGAGCTTGCGCCGCAGGTAACTTTACGCGACCTGTCCATGTTTTCGGAATGCTCGGGATTGGCTCCACGCTTGCTGTTCTTTGGGTGCTCTTATCCAACTCGGAGGTCGAGACTCAAGACAAGGAAATCAGCGTCCTTGAGAATCTGGAGATAAAAAGTGATGTCGATCTTCCTTTCACGACGTACCTGTTGCTCTCCAATTCTGTCCGGTACTATTGGATTTCTTCCTCAGTTCTTTGGAGTTCCGAGTACGTTATTTGAAATGCCCACCGTCTTCAGCTGCGCAGAGCCTTTCCTCGGCGTCGAGTCCACATACAGCGCAAGCCTGCAGGCCGCATACAGATTAGTCCAGTGCCGCAGGGGCCATCCACCCGCTCGCGGAGTCCACCATGATGGCCATGTTCTGCACCGGATCCGGGTTGACGTCCATGCGGAGTTTCTTGAGAACGCAATGCAGGGGCAGGTCGGCCGCGATATCGAAAAAGAAGATGCGTTCTTAGGGTGTCAGTGCGGCATCCTCGAGACACCTGGTGACTCGCTCGATTGTGTACATGTTGAGGGGTGAGTGTCGAGAAACACGCGTGGCGCATCCTCTTGTTCATGGGTTTTTCTTTTCGAAGCCATACGAAGTATGGCCGCACAGATGTGCAGGAGGCATTCAAGAATGATGCCAAGGTTATAAGGGTGGATGGTTATGACTCAAAATTTTGGCGGGCCATGACTGGGCCATGGGAATATTTGGTCAAATCTTAAGTGGGAGGTACGCTATGCGTTTGCAATGACACTCTAGTGCCTTTTATATGTCTATTGTGTGTGTCCATGTTATGCATCATCAAAGCCTTGCAATCGTCTGGTCAACCAAGGATCGGGTATGGGTGCTCGGTTGGCTCTGCCGGTATCGACGGGCGCCGATGCCGATGTCGATACCTACGGTTCCTCGGCGTTGACACCGAGGTTAATGCTGGCGGTTTGAACATCTTGTCTGCAGGAGAAGTGCAGGAGATCGCATCGCTTGGCGGATTTGAGCTTTTCGGCCCGTACGTAACGTATAGCCGGAAGTAGCCGACCGGAGGTAGGTGCACCGGAAGTCGCGGAGAAGGAAAAAGCTCGAGTCGACAAGATTATCTGCCTAACGAGGGTCTTCTATTGGCACGTTGGCGCCGCTTGAGGTCAGCACTGGAGACTCGTTTGCCTCGCATGTTCCTCGCGACTGTCCGGTACATGACATATGCGAATACGCGGCGCCCAGACCTCACTGCGGTTGTCTGCCGTCTTCGTGCAACTGACTTGACAAGCAATCTGAGCCGAGATATTTAAGGACATCACTAGTTGGTGCTCCGACACCTTTCATCCAGAGCACACCATGACGACCCCGATACCCCAGCCGCCTGCAATTCCGTTTCTAGGAAACCTTACGAATATCGAGAAGGAAGTTCCCTTGCGATCTTTCGAACTGCTGGCAAAGCAGTATGGAGATATCTATCGATTGAACGTTCTCGGTGAGACCCACACCATCGATATTCTGGTTCTTGCCCGTCATAAGAGTTAATTCTATTTCAGGAAGAGAGATCGTGGTCGTGACCAGCTATAAGCTCGTTAACGAGGTTTCGGATGAAAAAAGGTTCCACAAATCTGTTTCCGCCCCCCTTCGTGAAGTGCGAAATCTAGTGGGAGATGGGTTATTCACTGTACGTATCATTTTGACACATCACAGCTTCCAAATTGACGACAGACGATAAGGCATTCCAAGGAGAGCCCAACTGGGCCATTGCTCGTACGCATTCATTAATCATATCCTTCAACAAACCTTTGTGATTCCTATTCTAGATCGCCTGCTTATGCCCGCATTTGGAGCGGCTTCCATTCGGGGCATGTACGACGATATGGTGGACATCGCATCGCAATTGTTGCTGAAATGGGAGAGGTCAGTCTTCTCTTGATAGAGAAGGTTGTGCATCTCATCTATCTTTGGCAGATTTGGTCCGAATCAATCAATTGACCCCGCGGAAGATTTCACGCGTTTAGCTTTGGATACCATCTGTCTCACTTCCATGTCGTATCGGTATGCTTACTATCATGCCGCCCTGACGTTGATCCTGATGTTCCTTGCAAGCCTGAACTCCTTTTACACAGCGAGTAGTATTCTTCGGCCCTTTGATATGACTCTTCTCATCGTTTCTACATCATTGGCCCTTGGCATATACAGGATGATGTTCCAAGCTTCGCAAAATCCATGTTCAGCTTCCTCAAGGAATCGAACATGCGTGCCAATCGCCCTTCGTTAATCCAGGCGATTATGTCGGGTACCAACGCAAAGTACCAAGAGGACATTAACGCTATGACAGGACTTGCGGACCAAAGTTGAACCATTTCGCTCCTTACGACAATAAATACTAAAATCGGCACGTCCGTAGTTGTGGCGGAGCGCAAGGCGAATCCGATAGACAAGAACGATCTGTTAAATAAAATGTTGCTGGGTAGGGATGCCAAAACGGGCGAAGGGCTGTCGGATAAAGCCATCACAAATAACGTGAGTCGAGTGCTGTCTGCTGTGCTGAAAAACTTGAAGCGACATCCCTTATTTAGTTGTTGACCTTCCTCATCGCTGGTGAGGCTCTTGGCATTCTTCCCATTCTCGTTATTTCTCTAATCATCTCTTCTAGGACACGAGACAACTTCAGGTCTGTTTGCTAAAGCTCAATCAAGAAAGGTTTACACTGAAAGCACGCTCAGGAACCCTCACGTTCATCTGCTACTACTTACTCAAAAACCCCGAATGTATGCGAAAGCTCCGCGAAGAGGTGGACGACGTGTTGGGCGATCAGCCCGTCCAACTGGGCGATCTCAGCAAACTGCCGTACCTCGTTGGTGAGCAGCTATTGCTTCCACACAATATTTCGTCACGCTGACGGCGGCGGGCGCCACTGTACCAATACATTGCCGTTATTGTCTTTGCAGCCGTTATGCGCGAGACATTGCGCCTTGTGCCTCCCGCAACGATCCGCACTATGACACCGAACGAAGATACGACACTGGGTGACGGAGCATATGCCGTCAAAGCTGGTGTCAGTATCGCTATCCACACCGCATGGGCGCAGAAGGACCCTGCGGTATGGGGAGACGACGGGGATGCATTCAGGCCTGAAAGGAACCTTGACGGAAAGTTTGAAGCACTTCCGGTCAGCACCCCTTCGGTCCGCTTTACCTACGAAGATCTCATACGTTTTCTTCACCAGCCAAATGCCTGGCAACCGTTCGGTTTCGGTATGCGCGCCTGCATCGTGGGTCTTTCTCTTTACACTTTTCAAGTCCAGTTCTGCAACACTGTGGGGCTGACTGATATTACCTTAGGGCCGTGCCTTTGCTTGGCAGGAGATTCTCATCCTCATGGCGAGCATCGTCCAGAAGTTCGATCTCGTCATGGATGACCCCTCCTATGATTTGCGACTGAAGCAAGCGCTCACCATCAAACCAGATGGGTTCTATATCCGCGCAATTCCCCGCGCTGGGAAACATGCCTTGGTCGCTCCACGCTCGTCTACTTTGTTGTCGCATGGGACCGCTGTTTCAAAGCCTGTGTCGGTCTCCAACAATGGCGCGCAGAAGCAGCCATTGTATGTGTTATATGGGTCAAATACGGGTACCGCAGAGTCATTCGCGCAAAGGATCGCCAGCGAAGCTCCTACGCATGGTATTTGGACATACTGTCGCTCATCTGTTAACCAACCTAACGTGCGAGTTCAGGTTTCAAGGCTACTTTGGGCACCCTTGACTCGGCCACTGAGCACATTCCTACGGATGGTCCCGTGATAATAGTGACTGCATCTTTTGAAGGTATATTTGAAATTGAACTTAGTCTACAGGTATATGTACTCATTCGTCATAGGGCAACCTGCGGACAATGCTGCTCACTTCGTGGAATGGCTAACAAGTACCAAAGGCAACGAGCTCGCTAACGTTAAGTTCGGCATCTTCGGCTGCGGCAACTCAGATTGGGTGCAGACATACCAGCGTATCCCGACGCTTGTCGACGACCTTTTCGAGAAGCATGGCGGACACCGCTTGATTGAGCGCGGCGTCGGTAATGCAGGCGCTGGTGACTTTTTCGAAGCCTTCGATGAATGGGAGGCTGGGTTATGGCCGATTTTGGCGAGCGAGTACCAAACAACGCAATCAAAATCTGTTGTAGGACTGCAGATCAAGACCATCGATGAGGGTACTGTCCGCGCCACGGCTCTGCGTCAGCCAGATGCTGCACTCGGCACTGTCGTTGAGAATAGATTGCTGACTTCTGCCACTGCTCCTGCTAAGCGGCATATAGGTAAATACAATTGCGCTCCCATAGTATTTTTCTGTTGACGACGACCCCTCTAGAATTCAAGTTGCCTAAGGGTGCAACGTACGGAGCGGGTGACTACTTGGCCATGTAAGTGGAAGATCCCTTTTCGAGCTTCAAATGATAATAAGTATATGTCATACAGCTTGCCAATCAATCCCATACGTGACGTTCGTCGTGCAATCGCTCGGTTTGGTCTTTCCGCAGAGCAGGAGGTCAGTGTTGTCTTCACCCGCATCGATGCGTGCTGACCTGCCCTGCCCAGATCATCATCACATCTGCAGGACCCACGCCTCTTCCAGTCGATAAGCCAACGAGCATCTTTACTATTCTCTCTGGATATGTCGAGCTCTCGCAGCCTGCTACCTCGCGTGACCTCCGTGTTCTCACTGAAGCCACAGAGTCGGAACCGACTTTAGCTAAGCTCAAGGAACTCACTTCCAGCTATCAAACCAAAGTGCTTGCGAAGCGGCTCAGCATCTTAGACATCCTGGAAGCTCATCCTGATATTGAGCTGCCCTTCAGCACCTTCTTGCACATCTTGCCGTCCATGCGCATTCGGCAGTACTCCATCTCCTCCTCTCCGCTTTGGCACCCAGACCGCGTGACGCTGACGATCAGCGTCCTCGACGCGCCTGCGATGTCTGGTCGGACGGAGCCGTTCTTAGGAGTCGCGTCGACGTATTTGGCAGATCTCAAGCCTGGAGACCGAGTACAATTGAGCGTGCGCGCGTCGGCTGCCGCGTTCCACCCTCCTGCAGACCCGACAGTCCCGATGGTTATGTTCTGCGCCGGCTCGGGCCTGGCTCCTATGCGCGGATTCATTCAAGAGCGAGCGGCCCAGAAGCAGTCTGGTCGCGATGTCGGCTCTATCTTGCTGTTTTTTGGGTGCCGAAACCCGAGCGATGATTACTTGTATTCTGACTCAGATCTCGCAGAGTGGGTGAAACTCGGCGTTGTGGATGTGCGTCCTGCGTTTTCGAGGGCGTCGGACCAGTCACTTGGCTGCAAGTACATCCAAGAGTGAGTTTCTGCGACATGTCTGATCTTTTTTAGCTGGTTGTTCATAATTTTTTCCAGCCGGATCTGGCATGATCGCGCAGATATCTCTGAAGCCTTCAAGAAGGACTCCAAGGTATGTGTAGGATATACGCCAGCCTCGCTCTCTGAACTGACTTTGTTGCAGTTCTTTACTTGTGGTTCTGGGAAAATCGCGGTCGCGGTCAAAGAAAAACTCATAGAGATCATCAAGGATGGAGGAAAGACAGCGCCGGAGGAAGCAGTGGAGACATTCGAGAGAATTTCCAAGGGTAGATATGCAACTGATATATTCGAGTAAACGCTCTTAGAGCGCGTGTCAGAGTTCAGATATTTTCTTGTACGAACCGATGTCATGCTTTGAACTACAATATACCTCTCGATCGCGTCGCGTCCAGATACATGATTCTCCTTTCCTTTCCCGTCACGTGTAGACGCGTCTACGTCTGTCTACGTCTGTCTTCTCGACACAATAGTCACAACACTCCGAAGCCTTTCACGCGGATCCACAATCTATATGGCCATTTTGGAGGAATCACCAGAATCCACGCCAAGCGATCAGCAATCTCTTCTCCAAACGCTTCGCATTCCTGCTGAATACGCCCGGTTCGAGGCTCTTGGGGACAACGAGATATATGACCGGCTAGATCAATGGAAAACGAATGCTCTGTCGGCGCTCTCTACTCTCCGCGAACAATTGAAGCTTAATAGTCATCTTGGTACGGAGCAGCAGGCTGACATCGCATTTCACGCTGCTTCATATATGGGAGAAGTTGGGGAATGGTCTACTGAGCAGATGCATGACATCTCAGTCGGTGAGTTCTCTCTCCCCTTTTAAAGATCAGTTGACCGGAGCTTTTGAAACTGCACAGATACTCTAGAACTTCTCGGAGAACCTGACATCCATGTGTTAGAGCGAACACTGAATCACCACATCAAATCCCTCTTTCGTGCAAACCCCCATCCTTCCCTGAATGCTAGTACAGGCCGTAAAATATCACGACAAGCTGGTGGCCCTATGGCTGCCCAGGATATATATGAAGATCAGCTATGGAAACGAAGTCCAGGAGTTGGAAATGCTTTATCATGGTGTGTGCAGCACATTCACGTATGTACCACTCCAAAATACAATTCTCTCCGCGGCGCCTAATCTCCCTTTATTGATGGTGATGAGGTAGACTGAAATGTATGAGCGACTTTGGGGTCTAGTCGTGCCGCCCATCATGATCCTGCTCGACGACTACGAGGTAAAATACAAGATCGAGGGTATTCATATCGTCGAAGCATTACTTGGAAACGCGCCCCCAGATCTTCTCAAACGCACAGGTATCTCTGACCTTCTGTTCTCTGTAAGTGCCGTTCTCTCGCTTTACAACAAAATCGCGACCTGACCTAGCACCAGTCTTTGCACCGCGCACTGACGTTCTTACATTCTCCTTATACTCCGACCCTTTTGCGCTCAGCAATACCCGCCGCCGTAAATCTTGTGCAACGTACTAATTCTGGACCTGCAGAACGTTTTTCTCGATTATGTTCGCTGCTTGGGGACGGCATCATAGGCAGCGTGTGGATGTACGGGTACCACGATCCAGGCGCTATTGAAGCAAGTGTAGAAGTCTTACCGATCATCATACGAGCACTAGACATCGGGTCGGTGAGATATCTCAAAGTGAGTGGCTTTCTCCCGCAAGCCCACTGAAGCGGCCGGAGAATCGCTGACTACAGGGTTCATAGGCGCTGATACCACAACTAATACACCCATTGTATCCGAACCCCGGCAAACCGCCCGAACTGTCCTTGCAAATGACGTCCCTCCGAGCATTGATATCTGTTATTCGAATATGTGCACCGAGGATGCACAGATGGAAAGGGACCATCCTAGAGGCGAGCGCCAAATGTTGGGTTGCAAACGCAGACTTAGGGCTTCATGGGAAAGGTATATCTATTCTGCGGAGAACATGCGTCTCAGACAACTCAATTGTTCACATTGTCACCACAGATGTCGTGGATTTGAACAAAACCCTTCGGAAAGTGTGTGCAGAGCTTGCGAGGGTATGTCCATCCGTTGTCAAAGTAAGTCAACTTCGCTCGTTACCGACCTTGAGGGCTGACACGATTCCTAGGACTATCAGACACTTATGACAATTGACCCACAAGCGTTCAAAGGCCTCGTCGCCGACCTCTAAAACCTCGCTTTACAGCTGCATTGCCTTTCCCATACATCCGCGGTCGCCTTATGAGCAATGACCGAGTCCTACTTTTGACCTTCAAGCCTTGTCTAGCATATGCTCAGATTGACGGCCTTTATGGAACGTGACCTCTAATTCTGATAATCGTATCTTGTCTGTACAAAAAGGCCGATATGCAGAAGATACGGTCCCACATGTTTGTAAGGTTTTGTTGTTACTATCAGGGGTAGTAGCATCGTTGTACGTTCTCTAACCATGAGGTGCATATATACGGCCAACCATGTGCAGTGTTACAATATACTGTAACCAAGACTTGATTCACATAGCCAGCGCTCAAGAGGGCGCTTTGTGTCAAATCTGACATTATTCGAAACTGTCACACTTGAGGTTTGTCAATACCAAGACCGTCTTGACCTGCCCTTAATTCATCTAGCATTGCTAAGTTAGGTCACGAACTTGTTGCGCCACTACGCCGTCGACTTACTCTCCTCAGTGATCACTCGGACAACTTTACTCCAGTTGAAATCTTTGCATTCAAGTTGTATTGTCCGGGAATAGATGGGAATAGATGGGTCAACGTCACCAAGTATTCGTTGTGGCACAAGTCATACCCAAAGGCACGCCTGCTGACTCTCACAGTCAAGGGTATCAATGTATAGTGGCGCTGCATCACCAATGGTGTTATGGGCGCCTGCCATTGCTTGCTACTCGTCGCTTTTTAACACTCTTGAGAGTTCCTGAAAATGCGGAGATCGTTCGTTGGGAGCTTAACGAAATTCGAGCCAATTGGGAGTCACTAGACGACAATGAGAATCTTTGTCCATATATCGCATCTTTACTCGTGTCGTGCTGGTCGGCATCTTTGGAGCCGCACAAAACCTATGCCACTGGGACGAGCTGTCATTTATTGTCACCTTTCATGGGTAGTGGGGATGGAGGTGAGACAGTGCATTCTATTGCCGGATATCAGGTTGCTCATCGTATTGTAGACAACAATGACGGGATCACTATCATCGACATTACAGATTGTCAATCTCCTGCTTACTGCTTTGTATCTGTGGGTTCCATGGAATCAAGGGTTCGCGTCCCTTCATGGAGGCCATTGACGGCTGAACGGTACTGTCGCGCGTACTATCCACGTCCTGATCCAGAAATTCTTGACCAGGATGATGAGGCTCGCCGTCTTGAGGAGAATGTTGTTTCTATCATTGCATCGCTTGATAATGAGACTGTGCTTGATTACAGCGTGCTCGTGGATACCTGGCCTACGGAATACAGGAAGAAAGTACTATCTGCTTCTCCCGCACATGAGGCACCCACACTCATTCCTAGCCTTATTGAGATGTCCATCGAGCCTTCCATCGCTTCCGTCATACAAGGCGGGGACACCTCATCAATGCGGAGCGTCATGGCGCAGCCTGACAAATGCCCGATTGTCAGGTCCAAACTCAAGGAGCTTTCCCCTTTCCCCGACGAGGCAATACCCTTATTACTCGACCTCCTCAGATTAGAGCTTGAACTGAATCCCAAGCTCCTCGATCTGACGTCTCTGTCTTTACACACAGCCCAAATTCTTCGACTTCTCACTTCGTTTGAGTCCATCGAAGATCTCAATCTGTCTCACAACTACTTGGTCGATATCGAGACCGTCGAACAGATCCTTTCCAAGCCTTTAAGACGTATTGTTCTTCTTGGCTGCTCATCTTTCGACGACGAAGACGTAGCTTCGCTTCTTTTTGAGAAACCCGAACTCTTCCAGTCCCTTGACGCGTTCATTCATCCGTATTTCTTTTCACCGCATCCGGATGCTCCGAACGTTTTTGCTATTGCTTCTATGAACATGGGCCGCACCCCGTATTGGGTCTCCGTCCCGTACATCAGTCCTTCCCGTGTCGTCCAAACCTTGATCGACATAATCACAGCACTCTTGGAAGACAATTTGATCCTGCGCCATAGTTTCGCGGTGGCAGCTGGTATCTCGGGCTGGCGCGGGGACGAAGAGTCTTGGGACAAACGGAGCGTTGTCACTGTCCCATCGGTTCGACATTGCCCCAAAGAAGGTTGGGCATTTTTCATTTCAGTCGACAAACTCGCCTCTACGATTTTTAACTCTGGGTGGGCTTTTGTCGATTTATCAGAGTCCGCGACAGCCAGTTCCAATCCGGACGTCTCAAGTATCGTTGAAGAGGACTCACAGCCTGTGGAGTCTACACAAGAATCAAAAAGCGCCCCTTCCTCCTCTGCTTACACTGTGTATGGCTTGCGAGAATTTCTGAAGCGATTTTCTATCGGGCGTGTTCCCGCCCCGGAGGATAATATTCAGCGCCTAGAACAGTTGATGATTGATGCAGATGAAGTATTTAAAACTCAACAGGCGGAAGCGTTGAGGCCAACACTGCCCCCACCGATGTTTGATATTCAACAGGCTCTTTTCCAACAACTGCAGGGGGTCTTTGAGCAGGCGCACAAGGATGGGATATTCAAACAGATGACGAGTGAGAATGTTGCTGGATTCATAAGAAAGGATGACCCTCGAGTCTCTCTCTTGTGATACTAGTCGGGTTTCTAATGTAGAAGATGTGCTACGAATATACTGTAAGTTAACTGTCATGCAGCAAAGATCGAAGAGCCCTTGATTTTTGAAATCATTTGGATCAACCTCTGAGAGATTGTTCAGCGAATGCGTTGAAATCATTGCAGCCTACGGGACCGCCAAGCATGTAGGCTCGGACACAGCCAGTCATTCCCAATTCCGCCGCTCCGCTCAGGCTCCGACAAGGTCTTCGTGGATTAGAGCCAGCTCGGCTTGCCCGGCCGTAACGACTTCGACGAAAGCGCGCCGTGGCATTTCAAAGCCCGCTTGGCCTATTCCGCTTGGTAAGCACGAGGCTATCGAGTATGGAGCCCGTTATCGAGATGGCGTTATTTGGCACTGTTTAGATCGACGCGTTGGTCACGATGCAAACGACGTTCAGCTCTTTGCCGACAACGTGTTCTCAGTCCTTTCGTGCACGTCCCCCATCCAATCCTCCTCTTCGTCGCCAGCAGCGCTGCCCATGGCTCCTAAATGCGAGCCATTGTGTCGATTTGGCGATAGGTACGCCGTGTCGATTTCATCCTAGGAACGACGTAATCAAACGGTCCTCACGTCTCCTTTGGGCGGCTCTTTAACACAGACTCTTCTTCACTACATTTCCCCACCCTCCACCAAAGGAGGATTCTTTAAATGAGGTTGCAATACCTCTAGCTGCACCCAAGATCCGCGGTACCTCTAGGAACGGCCTCGTAGCGTCCCCTGACGAAGATGCTAAATACTACTACTTCACCATCGACGATCAGCTCGTCTACATGTCATTCTTTCAGGATTGGGGACCTCTGAACATTGCTATGGTTTACAAAGCATGCATATACATCCACTCCCTGCTTGCGGTGCGTTATGTCTCTGGTTCGCTTCATTTTCCAGTTTCTCACGTGCAATATTCATTGCGAAGGATGAAGAGTTGTCATCTTACCGGCTGGTGCTTTACACGTCCGATAATCCTCAGAGGAAAGCAAATGCTGCCCTCCTTATTGCTCTCTTCTCTGTACGTCTCTCTATTATCTGCGCTATCCATAGGCATGAACCACGGATTTTCACATGTCGATTAGTTGATTGTGCAACAACGCGCGCCATGGGATGCCTTTCAACCAATAGCTGAACTGGAGTTCATGCCTTTTCGCGACGCTGGCCGCGGACGCTCAGACTTCAATCTCAATATCCAAGACTGTCTGTGGGGCATTTACAAGGCAATGCAGAACGGACTCTGTGACTTGAACGAGTTTGACGTCAATGACTACGAATTCTACGAAAAGGTTGAGAATGGGGACTGGAACTGGATAACTCCCAACTTCATCGCATTCGCATCTCCCGTTGATCCTGTTTGGCTAAAGGGCCACAAGGATAAGGAGCACAGCAAATTGGACGCGCCACCCTCTTCACCGATTCGGCAAGCTGCGTCGAAATCTTTGGCCCTTCAACGAAAGCTTCCTACCCCTTTCGTGAACTGCTTGGAATACTTCGAGCAGAAGAATATCAAGCTCGTCGTACGGCTTAATAATGAACTCTATGATCGCAATACCTTTATGGAGCGGGGCATCAACCATCTAGAACTCTATTTTGACGATGGAACTAATCCGACGGACGAGATCGTGAGGCGGTTTATTGATGTATCCGATGAAGTAGTTCAATCAGGCGGGGTGGTCGCTGTCCATGTAAGTGTGATGTGTGCTCCTTGTCTTCGCGCTGACGCAGAATTGTGTAGTGCAAAGCAGGTTTAGGTCGTACAGGTACATTGATTGGCGCCTATCTCATATGGAAATATGGATTCACAGCAAGCGAGGCCATTGCTTTCATGCGCATAGTCCGACCTGGTTGTGTTGTAGGTCCACAGCAGCAGTACATGTACTGCAAACAACTTGAATGGTCGAAGTGGGCCGCAGTCGATGAAATGCGCAAAACTCAAGTGTCTGCCGCCCTCGCGTCGGCCACAATTGTCGCACCTGCGACACCCCCAGCGGAAACCGATGAGAACATCCCAATGGATGCTGTGTCGACAAACGCGATCACGACCCCCTCAACTCCTTCACCCATCCTGCCACCTGTCACCCCAAGTAAGCACGTCGCTGCTGCCGCGGCCAAGGCCAAATCGATTGTTCCACCAGGTCAACCGCGCAAAACGCCAAACGCCAAACGCCTTGCCGTTGATTCCTCTGACGAAGAGGCAGACGATGCATTACCAGCCCTTGGAGCTGCACCCTCTATTCGTCAGAACTTACGCTCGCCTACAAAAGGGGTCGCGCATGTTACTGCCTCCGAGCAGCGTCCAGCGAGAGTGACGCGCTCAACAGCAGGAACACTTGCATCACGTAGACCAGGAACGGCCCTTAGCGCTATCTCTACGAAGGCGAATGTGAGTGGTCAAACGTCCAACAAGATCCCGCGTCTCGCGAATGGCAACACTGGCCGAAACGGGACATCGTCCAATGGCACCTCCATTACAAAGTTACCTCCAATAGCAGTTGCCGCACCCGTCCGTCGCTCACAACGTGCACCCTCCCCCACGCCATCACGGTTGCCTACTCTGGTGCCATCCAAGAGACCACATCACAACTCGGTGAGCTCGCTTGGAGCAATTGTCGGAGCTACGACACTCAAGGTAGCGCAGGCTACCACGGCGACGAATGAATGGATGAAGAATAACGCCAATGCAGTGGTGAAACCAGGAAACAAGAGTGAGCGCCCTGGCTTGAGGAGCGTTAGAAGGCGGAGAAGTAGTTTCAGCGCAGCAGATGTGGTTGCGTGACAGTCTTTTCACCCGAGTTTCTTGTCTTGTACCACTCCGCATATCTTCATTGATTGGCAAAATCTCACCCTCATTTTCTTGTATCTTCGCTTGGAACGGTTTCGGTTTCTTGATTAACTATTCGTTGTCGATATTGTTTTCACACATCTGCAGCACCTTCATCTCCCCTGTCCCAGTCAACCGCACCCAGAACCACACCCGACGTCCTTGATACCTTGCATGTTCCCGTCCCCAGTCCCATCACTCCCCTCCAGCATCGTTAATCCCTCTCTGTTTTATCCACGCAAGCACTGGATAGCCCCTGCACGCTGTATATGAACCTCCCCACGCTCTCTACGGTTCACGATTGTATCCGCGATACTTATGTTTTGAATTCGATTCTACTCATATATCTGCGCTCCGAATTTTGTATAAATATAAGCTATCCCTGCAATGTCCTCGGCTTCAGCCTCAGACCTTTTCGCCATTACATTTTTCGAAATCTAGTTGCACATTTTGAGATAACACATACTTCGAGAGAACATCAAGCACTCGATATGAGTGTCATAACACGGCGTCCTTCGCCGAGTACTTGTGTACACATTCGAAGAACCACTTGAGATCATCCGGATCAACTCCTGGTGTGATCCCATGCCCCAAGTTCGCAATCCATGCCTTGGGAGTATTAATGCCTTCCCCCTTGAATTCCTTGCACATCCGCTTCACCTCTCGCTCAATTGCCGCCCGACCCGCATATAACACATTGGGATCAAGATTGCCCTGGAGTGCGATGGGTGTAGCCTGTACGGCACGACGAGCATGCGAAGGCTCGACGCACCAATCGATGCCGAGGACGTCGTATCCAGCAGTAGCACACTCGGCAAGGGATAGGTTCGCGCCTTTGGCGAACAATGTGATGGGTACGGCGGCGACGTTGGCAGCTGTAAGGCGGGAGCGGAGAGACGTCGATATGTATTTGAGCGAGGGCAGGGAGAATATCGCGAAATCATGGGGAGAAAGCTCCCCGGCCCACGAGTCGAAAATTTGGAGGAGCTGACATTCACGATGCGTTAGTAACCGAAGAAGATGTGAGAAAGGGCTGAAAGAAATAAAGGACAAACCTGAGCGCCGGCCTTGACCTGGCCAAAAAGGTAGTCCACGCAAACTTCAGCAATACGCATAAGCAGCGCCTTCGACTCTTCTGGATACTTGAATAACCACGTCTTTGCTTTCTGGAAAGTCTTGCTCCCGCCTCCCTCTATCATGTACGCGAAGAGTGTCCACGGTGCACCACTGAACCCGATCAACGGAACATGGCCTTCGAGTGCCTTGCGGGTCTGTGTGATCGCAGTGAAAACGTAACCGAGTTCTTTGTTGACATCGACATTCTCGCGCAGCTTCACAACGTCCGCGGGCGTGTTCAGAGGATCGGGGAAGTGCGGGCCCGGGTTCATGAGCACTTCCATTCCCATAGCTTGCGGGATGACGAGGATGTCACTAAAGATGATTGCGGCATCTAGAAGACCGGCATATCGACGAATGGGTTGAAGGGTAATTTCGGTTGCGAGGTCTGGTGTACGGCAGATCTCAAAAAATTCATGCTGTGCGCGCACTGCACGGAATTCTGTAAATCAAAAAAGACCATCAAGGCATAAGAATAGAGGAATCCCATTGATGCAAAACACGTACCTGGAAGATATCGTCCTGCTTGTCGCATAACCCATACGGGTGCCCGCTCCGTCTCCTCGCCTGCAGAATAAAAGAGTCAGTCAGGGAACAACCATTTCCAATGACATGGGCAAGAACCTCTAGCAGCCCTCAACAGAAGATCGTTTTTCAAAGGAGGGAAGTCTGTGGTAGACATGATTTTGTGTAGTAACAAAGGTTGTTGCGATCGATTGGGATTGAAATAGAGACCAGCAGTCAGGCCTAGTAGAGCAGACGCTCCTGTGCTGAGCATATATTTCCAGCACTTCCCAAAACTTGGTCAAAAAATACCTGTATAGGACGCAGAGATTGAAGGAAGGGGACGTTCAACGCAAGCGTGTACGGACCCTGGAAGTCATTGATGGAATCTGAATGTAATCTAATCTGATACCAATAGTTTCCCAAGCTCGATCGCCCACTGCCTGCTGCTTGATTGCTCCTCGTGGCCTACAGCTCGCAGCATTCTCCCTCGATTGCCACCCGGTGAATTCGAGGACACGTTGTCCAATCATGTCTATCAAAAATCCTAATCAGCTTGTGAACGAGTGTGTAGCAGCCTCTTGGTGCCTTGTGATCCATTTTCCATGTCGACAAAGGTATTTGATGTGATAGGTTCAAGAAATCTGGCGAGTTCGACCGCCTCCGACGTGAGTTGTTGACCCACTTTCAGCAATCCGTGCGTATATAAACCGGTGATCATTTTCTCAGTGTTGCTCAATTGACTCTTTATTAGGATGGGATGGGGCCTTTCATGGCTCGTGTCGAGGATGTCGCCCAAAAACGCCTCGACTCTGATTCAAAGTTGCATTACATGTCTCCCGAGGTGGTTCACCGCGAGCTCTTGCAAGAGCTTGACAGGTAATGTCAACTGTCATTTTCAAAGCCTGCTGTGAACATGCATACCCTGGTAGATATCCCATCATTGAACGTGCCCTCGCAGAGCTGCAGATATTTTCAGATCCAGCCTTCGCAGCTGACATTCAACAATCGGTCCAAAGAATCTTGAAGCAAGATAGAGGCAAAGAAATAAACAGTCAGCCTTTCATGTCCTTTCTATTGACGCGATGACGGCATACCTTATCAGAGGAGGGTGAGAACAACACGGAGCAGAGGTCGAAGGACGAACAGGCAAGTTCCACTGGGAATGGGGCACAGACTCCCAGGAGCATCGCCGCTTCAGAATTATTTGTAGCACAGCCAATCGAGTCCCAGATTAGTGGCACGACTGCTGCGACCTTGGAACCCTCAATCAGCGTACCTAAGATCAACAGCGCGGTCGAACTCATGCCGGTGTCTCCCGAGCAATCTCCCGAAGAAATGGACACGACTGACTAGAGTTGGACATAGCACTCCATTTTGTATCAATATAGCGCTTTGTGTTTTGCGTTCCTTCAACGTTTAGCGAAGACTCGCGACGAGTCGACCCAGTTGGGAGAAAGTATACTTATTGCAACATAACACGGGTATACCCAAAAAGTATGAACAATTGCGGTCTATGGTAACGACTCTGATTCTAGCCGAGTCTTCCCACTAATCACCATACAACACAGTATGCACACGATCTCTATTCTGCTTTCTATCGTCAAAGACTCTGATGATCTTGCTTAGAGTCTATCGCTGACTACTCGAAGAGAGTCAAGTCCATCGTTGGGATGAGCACACTTGGCTTGAAACAGGATGAAACGCTTACCTCTAAGTCCTTTGTGGACCCGGCATCCCGATCCCTTGTGAACTCCCTCGTCGTATCAATTTGGATGGCGATATTGTTTGTCGGCTGAGTCATACAAGTTTGGACGGGCGATAACCAGAAAAATATTTAGGCATACCTTTTTCAAACCCGGCACATCGACCGTGCGCGGGATGCTCTGCAGTCCAGATAAAGACATGTCATCTGGGCTGACTTTCTGACGAATTGACTTTCGTGCATTGAGTGTCGCTAAAAGTGAGTTTGCGTAAACTACAAAGAATGTCAACTGGCTCAATCATATTAGAAAGTGTGGCGATTACGCACGACGGCCCAAGGCGAAAAAGAAACATATATAAATGAATGTATTAGGAAGAGCAGCAATCTGATGCATCCAGTTCGTCAGAGGCGCGCAACAGGCTCGAAGAGAAAGATGCAATTTACACTGGCCAACGAGCAGATGGCATCGATGCTTTGGAGAAAGAGATGATGGGTTGGCATTCAACATACGAGGAAGGCAGACCGTACCTTGTTAGCAAGCCAGTGTTCACTGTATACAATATCTATGATATATAACATTGGACATCGCAAATGAAACACAACGTGTGCCGCTCACCAACTTGTTGATGACACTGTCTGAGCTATTGCAAAAAATCATCATAATATCCGGGTCATCATATAGCCAAGTCGGTGTTGAGTTGACCATACCGTTTGAAACCTGTACGTGATAGATGCAACATTGAAACCAAAGACATTGCAATCACGACGTCACTCGCTGCTGTCGTAGCATTCACAGCCATAGAGAGCCCTTTGAGTGTATCGAGTTGCTCGTATGTCTTCATAGGCAATCTAATTCGAGTGATCAGCAAAAACTTGGCAAGTTCAAACGAGATTGATAATCACGATTTGCCGACATAAACTGCAATACAGATACAGGATCACGTCAGTTCAGCAGAACGCCAAGCAATGTTCGGGCGTACCAAGTGTGACACCTTTCCAGGAAAACATCGGGGTCAGTTACTACTCAGTTACTGGGGATGTACTAAGCGTGCCCACGTACAAAATTGCGCAAGGACTAGAGCAGCCACCAGGCCTGTAAGCATGATATTCTTGTGGCTCACTATAGTATTATGTCAACCAAAAAATAGGAGGTAATGGGGACAGATCTTACAGTTATATATTCGGATGGTGAAGAAGCTGGCTGCAGATTAAGCACTTAAGGAAATCCAGCGCTCAAGTAAGAACTTCACCATTGGACGACAAAAGCAGTAAAGCCATTGAACAGAACTTCAACCTGATCACGCAGATTGGAGTGATATAAAAGAGCAACCGATGAAAGCGTACCAAGAGGCTCCTGTGGTTGGCCATGAGTAAGTGTTGATTGTGGAGGTCAAAGTGTACATACCACACCAGCATACTTAGGTATTGAGGATCGGCATAGTGTGTAACCAGATACGTGTAGACTCCAAAGCCATATTATAATCCGCGGAATGAGCGAGGGATTGCACAATTCTCACCTGTATGCGATATAAGAACTTGGTGGACGGTGTCGCAAATCCATACAGATAGGACCTATCAATCATACCTTAGTGAATCGAAATGGAAGAATCAAGGGCGACTTACCAGGCCTTTGAGCCGCCAAGTATCACTCCCATACGTGTGATAGTAGTGCCATGTTTGTAAACAGGTGACTGTCGTGATCTTAATTTCCAATCCGATCGACTGAGAAAGTAAGGCTAGATACCTCCGTATAATCTGCACGCATGAAGAGTATTCAGCACAACGCCCGTGAGTTGATGATAGTCGCTTACACTGCCGCGACAACGACACCGATAAACGTGGCGCCCAGCCTACAAACCCTGAAGTTGGCACCCTAACTCAAGATGATCAGAGATTGAACAGACGGACGTAGCGTCAATGGATGGGACTGCTCCAGAGCTTGCCATTGATGGGTGAAAGGGGTGATATGAAGCAGCAGAATCAGCTGCGAGATATAATGTCTCCTCCTGCTCAACAATACACAGTCGACGTGCACGCAGTACTTATACTGGTCCCATGGTCGCCGTGGATGTAGCGCCCAAGTCTGAAATTGAACGTAGATACTTCTAAGAATTGAAAGACGCGTGCGCCTCCAAGGACGTAGGGCATCTCATCTTCCTGATGGTCATAACGAAGACTTCGCGAAGATGAGGGCGAAAATCTCAGGTAAGCATGCAGGCTGTCGCCGTCCTTCAGCCCAGAAGCTTAACATACGCTGCGTCATTGGCCAATGAGAGCATATCATCGGAGAATGAGTGGAAGTCACGACACACATACTTGATCCAATCAAAGGACGTATGTGAAGAACTGTATGAATTCTTCTGCTGAAGTTCTGGCAGGTCATGCGAATGACAATCGTCATGATTTCCAAAAGACGTTTCCGAAAGCGATATACGTGGCAATCTCCGCGGGAAAGACTGGTAGCGGCTACATCTGGTTCCAGCGTCCAGTGATATTCCACCAGTCTTATGAAGGTATCATCCCTGAGTATCCAACAGCTGCCCACAGACGCTCGGGCTTAAGACTTGAACGAATCATCGAGTGATCTTGCTCTCATTGGATAGATTGAAGCCATGATACCGCGTGGCGCCCTAGCAAAAGTTATCCATTGGCTCCATTGTAAAGGCACATTACAAAGACATAATTAAGAGTTGCATACCTAGAACTTTGTATAGTGGAATATATAGTCGGATTCATGGTATGAAGACGGTGTTTCAAGAAAGGCCCATCAGTATCTTCCCATGTCTTCACATTGCAGGAGCTACGGAGCAAGGATGAGGATTGACATGTATGTAAATATGTCATAAGTATATGTTGCCTGCCTTCGATTGGCCTCTGGAACGCCGAGGGTAGACCGGTGAAGGAGAAACTCTGACCTCCACGGAATTCCGAGCATCAAGCAGTTACGAACCATCGACTCCGAATCCGCATCTTGGCGAATAGGCAAACGGACTTTATGTAATTTGACCCTTACCCAAATGCAGCCGAATGCTTACGATTTAATATTCAGCGCAGACGTGATCATCAACATCTTACGATCACGGCAATCCGCCAAACGACGAGAAGCGTGAATGCACGGGGCACGTACATATGCGTGCAACAGGCAAGCAAGAGAGCAACGTGATATGGCCAAGCCCCAAAAATGGGCATTACCATCCAAACTTGTCATAAGTTTGCGTAATTGCTACTTTTTATTCAGAGGCCGAAACCCCATTTTCTGGGGGGCACTCAGGTTCATGATTGGTTGTTATCTGTCCTATTCCAGGCTCAGAAATGGTCTTAATGAGTTTTCTTGGCGGGATTACCCTCTTGAGACATATAAGGTAAGGCAGATCAAGTGATTTGAGTTTTACTTGTGGCCTGTTTCTTAACAACATCTATGGGCACAAATAATGACGGTGAGACTCGCATCTTCGCGTAGCATTACATGTCGCTCATGCTGTTATGTTCACATTCAGTCAACGACAGCCAAATTCATGACATTCTCGACGAAAAAGAGTATGCTTAGCAAAATGTGTCGGCGCTGGAATGTTTTGGGCGTATCCGGTAGATGCCGAGATCTCTGCTTGTTGTCCGCTCCCCTCTCTCCAGTCATACGCTGTCTGGATCTTAAATTCGACGCTCCGACTAAATCCTTTTTTCCAAAGCTTGGGCCTCTCGTTATGAATCTGCATTGCGTGCACCTCAGGGTTTTTCCCGGGATAAACCGTGGATAATCCCATGGATATAAATGAAGCTTTTGCTTGGGTTTATTTGTAGAAACTACCGAAAACAAAAACTCAAGGTTTATTCGATATTTTATTATGGGATAAAATATTGGATAAACCTTAAGCTTTTGTTTCAGTGGATAAACTGGAACAAAAACTTTATCTATATCCATGGTTTTATCCACGGTTTATCCCGGGAAAAACCTAGTCTACATCCAAATCACAAAAACTTGCGGGTAGTAGGCATTTCAGCTGGAATTTGATATCTTTTGAAGCTCAACTTGTTCACGTGCAAGGTAGCTCACGTGCTAGTCAAGAGAAAGCTCAAAATATCATTTATAGGCAGTCCTGATGTGCAATAACAGATTAAATATGTTTAGAAAGGTAGGGGGACCCGAAACAATAGTTAAATAAAAAAAATCGAGCACAACGTACGTTGTTTTTGGCGGGACTCGAACCAACAACCGGAGCAAAACAACGGCGTCTGCACCAACTCACCTATCGGACCAAACGAAAATATGCTCAGTAGGGACTATCTATGTAGTTGGTAAGCTTTACCCACCTATGAGTCAGGTTGGGTGACGCATGGCCCGCAAAGTTCATCATTTTAGAGAGGCTAAAGCCGAAATGCGGACTACCCGCAAGGATTCATCATTTGGAACCTTAACACAGAACGACTGTAATCTTCTGTGTTGGTCAGCCACGGAGACTAGGAAAAACCCTGTGGTGCACGCAGTGCTGGTTGAAAACAGGCTCATGTTGAGAGAACAGATGAATTACCACCAAAAATTACAATACAAGTGTATATGCTACTACTACGTTGCCCAAGGTCGTAGCCTCGGACCCAGAATGAAAACACGATAAAGATCAAAAAGAAAAAGATCGAGAACAGTTTTTGCGCAAAAGGAATATTGGTTACAGAGTGCCATCAGTTGTCATCCAACAAGCTGACTGAATTGATGACGGTGCGGGCTTTTTCGTTACGAGGGCTGATAGAACATTTGAATGGTTTGGGGTGACTAGGAGGGACAGTTCACCTCAACTCGGCGTAGTCTGCGAGAGAAGACATACCTGATAGTGCCACTGGTGTAGTCGTTGACAGGCTCGATGACCACACCGTTCTCAACCTTCTTTGTAATGTCGAACAGAGCCAATGCCATAGCACAGGAGATAAAGATGGACGCATCTGCTAGATTCAGGCCTAATCGCACAACGTTTAGCGATGGAGCGCAAACCCGCAGAAAGAATACACACCTGGACAGACGCTGCAGTATCAAAGAAATTTAGGTCAATACCGAAACTTAAAATCATATAAGCATATCATGCGTGCACGCACCGTCGACCAAACCCAAAGATGAGGGTCCTGGGATCCTGTTCCTGATTTCGACTCTTCGATGCAATGAATCTATCCGGGTTGAAAGTCATCGGGTCCTTGTAGTTTTGTTCATCATGTGTGAATTGCCTGAGGTTTAAGAACTTATCAACAGATGCTAAGAATGAAACGATAAATACGGTGCCCACCAAATATTTGGTATGACAATGGACCCGCTGGGGATTAGATACCCGTCATGTATATCGTTCTCCGTGAGACGGTGTGGGACACCTGGCAGAATTCAGCATCGACTCGGAACGGAATGGCTCTGAGCATGAAAAGAAGTAACCCACCCAGTGGTGTAACGGGATTCCAGCGCAGAACTTCCTGGACCAAGGCATCAACGTAAGGCAAACTGGCCCGGTCGCTGTAGGTAGGAATTCGATCTGTCCCCACGATCGAATCCAGCTCTTGTTGTGCTTGCTTCTGTGTATCGGGGTAGAGGGTCATAGCTAGGAAGAATGTGTAGATCGCGGATACCGTCTGGAGAAGACTGTTGTGTAGTTTTTCCATTTCCATTATCGATTATAGAACATACCGTGTCAGCACCACCTGTATGGCAGCGTGGGTGAGTACGTCTCTCACTGCACTTGGCATAATTCTTACCAGAATAAAGCGATGCGGCAGCCCATTTGAGATGCTTCTCTTGTGTAGGTGTTGGCTGTTGCTCCAAATAGCCCGATGTGAAGGAAGGTAAAGCAGTTCCTGCTGCCTGTAGAATGATGAGCCGCCGAAGTCGGTATTTGGCGTGTAATTCAATCTACCATTTGTTGCTTCACGAATTCATGGGGCATGTCGGCCATTCTTTTCAAATCGGCATTCCACTGTTTTGCGGTCTGCTTCCAACCGGCTCCCGGGAACCAATCGGGTACATGCCGTACTTTAAGGGCACGAATCAGTAAGACTATAACTGTCAGCTTGACATGGGTATGAAGGACCTACAAGCAGGAAGGACGTCCACCAAGAAAGCACCCGGCTCGGTCGAACGCGAAAACTGGTCTGTCGCAGTGTCTGCATTAGCGATGAAGGGGTCATTGTGCTCCTTAACATGATATCCATGCGAGATGTTGAGAATGATGGCACCGGCAGTTCTGCGAACAGAGCTGATTAATTCAAAAGGTTCGGCATTAGTGCGCTCGAAAAGGCAACGTGCTTTCGGATGTGGTCCTGCAGATCTTCCGGATTCTCAAGGATGCGACGCAAAAAACGATGTGTTTCCAGCTCCATAATGCCGTGGAAACGTTCGATATGCGTTCGAGTTCCCATGAGGCCATGGAGCATCTTCCGATACTCCCTGAAGCGATCTCCGTAGGGAGTCAGAGCCAAGGTCCATTTCCAACCAACGATCTCGCTGCCCATCATGAGGACAGGCCGGTCAGAATAGATCGCGCTCTTCTTGTCCAGCATTTCCATAGCGATCTGAACAGAATTGATGATGATGATTGGCTGTCCAAGGACCTTGACAGAGACGAGGCCGCCTAGTAATCATGTCAAGGTCAAACTAATAGCGACAAACCACAGCACGTACCCCATTGTTTACCCCATCGAGCAAATGTCTTCCATTCTTGAGACGACGGCATCTCTAATATATTCCCGATGATTGGCAGGCCTTTGGGCCCAGGTGGGAGAGGTGTTGAATAGCGAGAGGAAAGAATGCGCTTGAGGAGGTAGATCCCAAGTAAGGTAAAAGACAAGTCAAGGAAGGTGAAGGAGTTAGCCATGATGGAAGGATTGGAGGCAACAAAACAGTGCGATCACAACTTTTAAAGGCGACTGCAGCAATCAGGCGCCGGTTAGTCAGGTAGCCCACAGGGAATGGGATGTCACGATCAGAAGATTGGCACTTCGAACCCTTCAGAGTAGCACTTCAGGACAGGTGCATCCTGATGGATGCGTCCGAACCCTGTGCGCGAGAATTCCATGAGGGTGATCACGATCATATTGCGGTCGATTTTGCGAAGTATACATCGGCGAAACGGCCATATGCACGGAACGGACAACTTCTCTGTATAGAAGCCGCTCGTGGGATGTACTGGTACCTAAGTCTTACCCCCGTTGGTCTAGGAAGGTTTGAGATTCCTATTGGCTAGTATCGGCTTGCGTTATCTCGTTAGTTGGGCGTAACAGACGTACAATTAGCGAAGCGCCTCGAGGTAGGTTTCTGAAAGGTCTTGTGAATGCTACCCTTGGTTTTGCGACATCCTGCAGGAGGTATGGGCGCTGGATTGGCTCATTCGTGGAGGCTAAGCGATGCAACGTGGAGGATGGATAATGCAACTAGATTGATCACGGGAGAATTGGGAACTGGAAGTTCAGAAACGTGTGATGGTAGGAGTTTCGAGAGATCCGAATTCGCGGTCCTTCTCCGGAATTCAGGTTCAGCACGGAATGCTTTCCTGTGCTGGTCGAAAAAACCGCCGGGACAAATCGCTCTCGATGGCAACCAAGATGTCAAGGACAAATCGACTGATAGCTGGACGTTATGATTTTACGAAAAGCACTTACACCCGCGGCCCGAGGATTGTGACTTTCGTCTTCTTGGTGTGATGGAAACGGTACCGACATTCACTGTGCCTTCACAATGAAACTCGTCTCTTATGTGGTTAGTTTCTCTGATAGCGATTGATCCAACAGATCGTTGCTGCAGAACTGATTGTGTCAGACCCCCAAAACTGCGCAATGAGTAGCTAGAAGACGCACACCTGATGTACCAGCGCGCGTTCGAAAATCAGAAAGCCACTTTCGAGGCGCGCAAGATCCATAAGGGACTATGCTCTCCTACAATGACACGGCGACACGCGTTCCAGGTGAATTCTAGGACATTCATGGAGGGCGCTGTAAGAGATCAGCGTTGGATCGGACATCGGACGCGGTCGGGTCCAGGCCGCTCTAATGCCAATGTGAACCAAACAAACACCAGCCACCGAATTTGCGGAGGCTGCTGGATGGCCTTTCATTGCGCAAACACTTCACTCATGGCGGTGAGTAGGCGCTTTCACATCTCTACATTCCGTATATATTGAGTTGATCAACATCTAGTCGCGTTGTTCCTCCGTTTTGCGAGCAGTTTCTCGGTCAAGGTATGCTGAGTTGCCCATGGATTGCAACGTATTCCAGCTCACACCTATCCTAGGCGTCCAGCGCCTCTTAGATGGCTCGCAACGGCTGCTCCTGAGGTCTCATCGTCCACGGCACCCCCACCCCCATTGCCGACAGACCCCAAACTCAACCAACTCGTTGATAGTATCTCGGGGCTCACTCTCCTCCAGGCCGCGGATCTTGTCACTCTTCTCAAAGTCCGTATGGCACTCCATCATACCCTACGCGTATTCACATGTGTTATCCTTTCACAGACGCGTCTGAATATCCAGGAGATTGCCATGCCTGCTGCGGGTCCGACAGTAGCAGCCCCAGCGGCCGAAGCCGAAGCCGCCGTAGAAGTTCGCGTTTTCTTTGATCAAACCACCCGTCGTCTTACGTGTCTTCACTTTTTTTCAGGAGAAGCCCAAGGAAAAGACGATTTTCAACGTGAAGCTTGAGTCCTTCAACCCCGCGGCGAAGCCTAAGATCATCAAAGAGGTCAAAGCTCTGGTTCCCAACCTCACTCTGATTGAGGTACGTGTTATTGCTTACTTAACGAAATCTTGACTCTCGATTTTGGTTCTGTATCTTTAGGCTAAAAAGTTCGTCGAGTCTTTACCAAAAATCCTCAAGGAGTCGTTGCCGAAGGAGGATGCCGAGAAAGTCAAGAAGACCTTCGAGACTCTTGGCGGCGTTGTTGTTCTCGAGTGATCACCCTAGACCTCGTCTATCTTACGCACGCATACTGCCTCTCCACTTTTTTTCATGCCTCTAGCGTGACTTGAGCTGTTCGGATCGGTAATCTGCAAAATTAGATCATATTCCGTACAGGCAACTAGACGACGCCTACTGCACAAGAAACAGGAGGAAAACTAAAGGAAAACAGTGGGAACGAGTGGGGGAACGGACAGAGTTCACTGCAGCGTAATAAAATTAAGTACCAAGCCCGCCCTCAATCCTCCGACAAGTACCGATATTCAAATCGGAAATCGCTCTTCTTCCGCTGACACCAGCTACCTTCCCAATCAAAGTAAACATACACACCCTGTTCGTACTCATCCGTGATTGCCTGCGGCTCAGAATGTCTCTGGAACCATGTCAAATACTTCACATGGAATCGCCATGACTGACGCTTGAGCTCTTTGGCCGCAAGATACCTGGAAGAATCATGAATGAGCCAAGTTTGTGTGATGGGTTCATGTGGAGGAAGGGCTACGCACTGTTGATAGGTGCCGGGAAGGAAGTAGAACACATAGAAGAGTGTCTCGACGTCTAATTGCGAGAATAGACCCTGTGAGCTCAAAATGGGATTTGTCGCTTGTGGATAATACGACGGCGTTTGATAGGGGTTCCGCGGAACGTAGTACTTAGGCCTGAGGTGAAGTAAAGCCACTCAACGTCCATGTCTTCTCACGTATGCATAGCAACTCACTTCTCTGTGTCCTGTGGTTGCGGCATAGTGTTGTAACTACCCTCCAACAGTTTGTGCACCTGATCGAGGTTCGTCATTCGATGCGCGGCTGAGAGGCGAGCGAAGAGATGAAAAGATCAACATCCTGAGCTTGTGTATCACCAGCAACAACAAACCTTTCTGTTTTACGTTTTCAAATGACACGACTAAATCGGAGAGTGATCCTGGGAAGGCATTGGGCACATTTGACCTCTGCTGCAAGGACGGAGTCATGCTCTGGGTCGGTGCCGCTGATGGAGGTCGCTGTCCTGCCATCTGTGACTGCTGAGGATTGAGTATTGGTACGCTCTGCTGATGTTGCTGTTCTGTAACCTTCACACCAGGCGGGAACTGTGGTTGTTGCTGTTGCGGGACCGGGAGTGGCGACGAGCCACTAGATGAGGAATGCGGCAATTCTACTGCCAGGGTTGGTGCGGTTGCACCCACAGGGAATTGTTGCACTTGTTGTGGAAGCGGCGAAAGTTGTGGTGCAGGCTGTGTCGTGGGTTGAACACCATTCGTCTGTGATTGTGTCGGTGCTTGTTGCGCTTCGGATAATGCTTGCTGTAGGTCGTGTATGGATTTTACGTGAGAGGACTGAAGCGGAAATGACATGCGTATGCACTCACATTGACATGAGGCGACTGTGAACCGACTCGTGGCGAGGCTACAGCCAGAAAAAAAAAGATATGAAAACAAGATAATAAATGGTCAAGAGTCATCTCTTTACCGTCGCGTGAACGAGATGACGTCGTTCCTGATGCCTCCATACCCGACAAAGCTTCAGACAGTGCAGGTGAATCAGTGGAACCATCGAGTTGTTGTACAGATTCAGAAGTCGAGGAAAGCAAAGGGCTTGTCGTAGATGGGTGAGTCAAGCTTGGTGATGAGAGCACGGCATTGTATGTTTCCTGTGTAATTGTCACGTTCGATGGATTAGGTACTGGACTTTCAGTTGCGACCGACAACGGCTGTATCGATGGGGGATTTGCCACAGCTGCATTGTTTTGTGTGCTTGTTGAAGGTGTAACCGCTGCCGCCGCCGCCGCCGCGTATCGTATTGGCGGAAGTTGTGGAGCTGGTGGTCTCGGTTGTGTACTCGGTAATCCTGCCTTCAGAATGCTCGCCATGGGCTGCTGGGCAAAATTTGGATTTGGTGGTGGTTTTGGTGCTAAACAAACGTCGTTATCGACAATTTCTGATTCGACGCGAATGGCTTTGCAAATAACTGAGCTCACCTTCTGCCACTATTGAATGCTCTGACGGTGATGTTAAAAGACCTGACATACTTCCAGCTCACGAACGAACACAACTCACTGCGTAGTTGTAATGCAACACTTGCTTTCTTCATGATGGGACTACCGTCACGTTTACTACTTGACACGCTTTCTTCATCATGTTTCTTTGATGGTGTCCGAGGTGGGAGATCCGCTGTGATAAAACATAAAGCATAACTCAAAGCCGGCGTTATAAGTCCCAATGAAGTAATACGAACCTTCGCTGGCCTCGTCAGAGTCGTCACTATCCCGCTCGTCCGCGACCAAGCCGAATTTTTCTTCCTCTTCGTCCAAATTGAGCTCGTCGTACATGCCCTCGTCCTCGTCATAGTCATCGTTCTACTGCCCCCTAAGTGCTCCTTTGTATGTCTGATTAAAATGTAACATACCGCATTGGCCTCGACGAAATAGTCGATGTTGTCTTTCAACCCATTCACGCGTTCTGGCGTAAGGGAGCCATTATCGAGTAACCGCATCATAATCTCCAGCCGGCTGACATGCCACTTCCGCCGCTCGTTCAGATGCTCCAATTCCTCAAGTCTCTCCTGTGCGGTTGCCCCGACCTTGCCCTTCTTCCTTCCTCCCCCCTGTAGTGTTTCGATCTCTGCTTCTGCTCCCTCCACCTGCAAGAGAAGCTCTTCTACGCATGTCTGTAGCCACTGCGTCGCTTCAAGCTTCTCCTGGGCCTTCGGGTCGAGCTTGGCGGATTGTAAAAGGCCGCCCTTGGAGAACGCCTTGGTCTTCATCTCCTTTTCGCATGCCTTGAATTTCTCCATTTGCTGGACGCGAAACGAATGAGTTCTCGTGGTCGAAATGTAATGAAAGTACCGAGGAAAGGGAAGCATGCGAGGTTGTTTGGGCGAGACTCAGCGTGTCCAGATGATAACGTTGGGTTCCTGCTCCCCGTGGAAGAAGCCGCAATAAAACAGATAAATGAGTGCTCACCGTCTCGATCAACCTCCGGTTCTCAAGCAATGCTGTCTTGTCCTTGATGTCATTGCTCGCGACCCATGTCTTGATTTGATCTCGGAGTCGCTGTAGCTTCTTGATTTGAGTTTTCAGTTCCGTCTCCAGCTTCTCCTTTTGCGTCATGTTTGTCGACGCCTGCATCTTGTCGTATATCGACTCGAAAAGCTCGACGCCCTCCGAAACCTTCTTCAAGGTTCGGTCGATTTCCGCTGTACTCCCAGAAGAAGAATATCAGTATGGTTCTTGATTAATGCTTTGTATGAGCGGGTCTCGCTGCGCACTTTGTAGCTTTCTTGCAGCCATGATTATGGAGGTGGTACTGACGTTGGGCAAAGCGTCTCCGAGAATCAAAGTGCTTGATTATCTAATCTCATGCGTGAGTACCCCGGAGACCAAGCTGTATGGTATCTGGAGAAATTTCGGTTTTGTCGTCCTTGGTATAAGTAATCGAAAAAACACGGTTTGTGCACTATGAGCTCGGGTAGATCTTTGGAAGGCTCCCCAAGCATAACAAAAGATAGGGTGATCCCGCCATCTATTGGTGTACACATGACAAGCCTAGTTGCTGTGGCGAAGATAGTGGGGGAAAAGGCTAACAATATCAAGATTTACATGCGCTCGGTTTGATCAGACAATATTGAATAGACATCGTGCAGTGTCAGCGAGAACAATAAGGCAGCCCTAGTGTGAGGGCGTGGGAAAGCAAATGTGTTAGATTGGACTATAGCACATTGGACCCGGTTGTGGCTGGTTCTGTTCTTCCTTATCGACTGTTCTCCCCTCTTCCTTCCTCCGACTTCACCTTTTACGACTTTTACGGTTCATTGCCCCCACGTCGCTCGTTCTACCATCATGAAGGCCTTGAGAAAGTCTCTCAACGCAAGCAAGGAGACCCCTCATCATCAAATATCCACCCCTCTACCCTCCGTATCCAAGCCTCCCGCCGCCATTATTCCTCCGCAGAAAGTCATCCGAGCACTTGATTCCTATCGCTCCAGAGCGCCTCAACAGTTATCTTTTCAAAAAGGCGACTTCTTCTACGTTATTCGCCCGGTTGAAGATCAGGGCTCATGGTACGAAGCACATAACCCTATGACGGGGGCTCGAGGGCTGGTCCCGAAGGCCATGTTCGAGGAGTTTCGCAAAGGGGAAGCCGCGTGAGTCCTTTGCATTTCTACCTTCATTTCTCTCCCATGGCTTAAACTCGCGTGCATCGTCTTAGCACTTCACGGAATTCACAGGCGCTTAACTCTGCACCAATCAGTCCTCCTTTCATGGGACCCTCGAAGATTCAAGTCTACTATGCGGTGGTCATGCACGACTTTGTTGCGGAGCGCACGGACGAACTCGACGCCAAGGCTGGCGATCCCATCTCTGTCGTCGCGCAATCCAATCGCGAATGGTTCGTGGCCAAGCCTATCGGCCGTCTGGGAAAGCCAGGCCTTATACCAGTCTCATTTGTGCAAGTTCGCGATCCCACGAATAATCGGCCCATTGAGGATGTGGGCAAGTTGATAGACAGTGGCAGCCTTCCTCGCGTTGAGGAATGGAAGAAACAGATGCTCAACTACAAGGCTAACAGCATTACGCTAGGTATTCTAGACGATGTAGCATCACCCAACCCTGTCATGAACAGTCCATTCATGCCGGCGTCTGGTGCGACTCCGCCACCTGCCACCACCAAGCCTGACATCGCCATCCAAGAGCCATCGCCTCTTTCAGACCAGCAAGCCTCCACCGGTCTCTCGCAGGTTCCAGACGAGCTACCGGAGGGTCTCCTCCTTGACGCAGAAGTGGTCTCTTTCCACGCTGAATTGGACGAGTACTGGTACCGCGTACATGCGCTGTATCAGCCCTACAGCCCCATGGGATCCAACTCTCTTCCTCTTGCCAAGGAACTCGTTCTCTTCCGCGCCTATAACGACTTTTTTGAATACCAAACTTCGCTCCTCGAGGTGTTTCCCCGTGAAGGAGGCAAAGAACAGCTACATCCTAGGATTATTCCCTACATGCCTGGACCGCCGAATGAGCTCAACGACAAAGTTGCGGCAGATACGCGGGATGATCTAAGATTCTACTTGACATCGCTATCTCATTTGAATCGGACGACGGCTCGGTATATCCTCGAGCACTCCTTGACGCGCGCTTTTCTCGCTCTCAAGCCGGGAGATGTTGAAAATGATGTTGAACCTCAGTATGAGAAGATGGAGAAGGCAGGCTGGTATGAGCCGATGGAGGAGCCAGTGATTGTGGAACGCACTGATTTACAGCCTGATGATGATGTTCAAGTGAGTATGGGCAATTTGACGATAAACGGGGGGCGTCGTGTAGATAGCGATGGTTCCGAGTACGGTGACGAACCAGACGGTCACCTGTATGGACAAAACCCGACCAACGGAGCGCGTACGGGTCTCGATCAACGGCTTCGACAATCCAAAGGAGATCCGGGGTATACCGTATATGGCCACGAACGCAGTGGCTCCTCATCATCTGCTGCTCGCGGAACATCCCCAGACCCACATGCCCGTTTGCGCGGTCACGCGCCATCTCACTCGTACTCGAACAGTCTCTCTCCACTTGACACTGATCCACACCGCAACAGTACGCACTCTCGTTCGTCTACGTCTTCTTCATCTCGTTGGCCAGAGAATTCACACTCCTCTCACAACACTCAAGCTACATCGCCTACCTCTCAGTCGCATTCGTCGGTTCATGGCTCCTCCCGCTCACACTCGCTTGCCTCGCCAAACAACCCACATATTTCGGCGAACAACTCACAGACAGCATTCATCAAAATAAAGATCTTTGATCGCATCTCGAATGACTTGATTGCGATCCGTGTACACCCGCTTGTGACACATGAACAGCTCATGGACAAGGTACAAACACATCTTGGCGGGCAGGTTGGAAAACTATCATACCGCGACAGCGTCGGCGGGCGAAGCGATGGTTTTATCGCGCTGGAGCAAGATGATGATCTACGATCCTGGTTGGAGAGCACGGAGAAACATGTGTTGTACGCTGATTGAGCTCAGCGGTTACACCGAGATTGAGAGTGCGACAAGCTTGTCATTGCATCATGATGAAATCGTGTTTTCACGTACGTGTTGTGTTACCAGTATCTCGCCTTTGACTACGTTCAGACGCGGTGTTTTGAATATTTTCCTATTCTTTTTATTATCTTTCGTGTTCTGTTTTTCTGTCTTCCTCTCTCGCTACCATTTTCTTTCGGCCTTGCACTCTGGATTGTAGGCTAAGTTTATCTTCGTTCGTCTTCGCCTGTTCCGTATTTGACTTCGTTCTGTTCGTCCTACTTTATTGTTGCATTGTACGTTTTACACACAGGTTCCCACCCGCCGCGCCTTCTGATACGATTTCTAGCCGTGCTACGGACGTGTAATCTATGCAAACGTGTAATAGACTGTGTCTTCAGGATGAATTCCATGCTCAATTTGTGAACAGGTGTAAACGGGTTCGAACCAGTTGAAATGTTTTGTGTACCCGTCTGCCACGTGCAATATACCCACGTGTAGCGTTCGGAGATGCCAGAAATCTGTCAACTTCTAACCCAAACCGCACATTCGGTTTCCTCAGACACTATGCCTTCATTAGCACGCTACATTCGAGGTATTCGACAGGTTGGTATCAAAGAGTGGTGGCACCAAATGCAGTACATCGGTGATGTGAAGGCGGGAATATTCATGGGGAAGGACCAGTGCGTAGAGAACCACTTTTGTGAATCAATTGAGCGATTGAATGCCAAATGAACACATCACAGGTTTGGAAACCGTTATTTTGAGAACTTAAATGGAGAGCAAGAGGTACCAGGTGAGCGACCAATGGTTATTCCTTGCTATCACTTGCCTAAATGTGGTATCACAAGGCCGTCATCGTTGGGTCGACTTTGCCCAGGTGCGCTTACCCATTCTTCAGACGCCGCATGAAGCTGCTTGAAGGAATAACTAATGATTGAGACTGTCATCGAATACACGTAGCACGACAATAATGCGACGCAGGTTCCAGCCGAATGGCATGCCTGGCTCTCGCATATTCGGAAGGAGGTACCGCCGGAGGATAAAGTGATGCAAGCCGTGTCCCCACCTTGGAAAGCTGTAAGTCGCGACTGCAGAATACATAGGTATAGGCTCCTTGTTCACATCCGGTTCCATGTAGCCATGGATCGAGAATCTGACTGGAACAAGAGGTGCATATCGTTCCTACAACACCGCGAAGCCAAAGATCGAGACATGGGAGCCTAAGACCCTTCCTCGACACTAGTCATCCATACCTTCTACATGTGCTACCCCTCTCGCAATGCATTTGCTTTAGTACAATGTTTATAGGCATCTCAACGTATATGATCATTCTCGGCCACTAGCATATCTTCAACCACCATCTCTGCAATTGCCAAGCTCGCTGTGAGCCCGGGGCTTTCAATCCCCATCAAACTGATCATTGGGCTTCCGCTTCGTCTTCGAAAATTCGGCAAGAAGCTACGATCGTAATCCTTCCGCAACACGAAGTCTTGGAAGCCTCCGCCTGGAGGAACGAGTTTCGGTCTGATGCCAGCATAGTCCGCCTTCAATCCATCCAACTCAACTCCTGGTAGATAGCGTGATATGGCTTCGTGCATATCCTGGATCCTTGACTCATCAGGCGCTAGATATTGCATCCAAAAGTCTACATCAGACGTGTCCTTCGGGGGTGAAATCCACTCCAAATCCGGCCCAAAGCGCACTTTGCCCTGTAAATCCAAAGTGAGATGCGTTCCCAACGATTGAAATGCGTGAGCTCCTTTGTCGGCAGATGACGATGCTTCGGGGCAAGGGTAGATCAAGTGCGAAACGCATGAGATACCTGGACCGGTGTACGACGCGTAAGACCCCCGTGCATAGTACATTGGTATGCGCTTGCGCGCATCGAGCAGCGAGTTCAGTATCAATGGGCCAGAAAGCCCAGAGGCGTTTATCAACACGCGAGCGAATATTGCATATGTGTCAGAGTCTTCGGATAACCTCTCCGAAAAACGGGGAACGGCCTGCACGACCCAGCCAGGCACTCCATCTGGTCCCGTGTACGTCGGGTCAACGCGCACGACTCGACTCTGAAAGGACAAGGGTGATTCAAAATTAGCTGTTATATCTTTCTGGAGACTTTGCATGAAGGCGTGTGAGTCTATGATGCCTGTCTCGGGGCTCCAAAGTGCCGCAATGACATTTGGTGAAAGCTCTGGTTCGAGCTCACGCGCTTGGTCACCAGATAAAAGTTCTAGAGGCAGAACAGAATCGTGCTCTCCTTTTGATGTCCAGTGAGGCGGCGGTAGGAGGGATCGAGCATTGGATCTCAGATATTCGAGGTACGGAAGTTGATTAGGTTCGGTAGCAACGACCAGCTTGCCCGTTCGCTGGAAAGGAATATCGTGCTTTTCACAGTAGTCGTAGAGCAATTGACGTCCACGGAGACAAAGGCGTGATTTCAGCGAATTTGGAGGATAGTATAGCCCTGCGAAGCGGTCAGTATGTCCTGATTGATCATCTAGCGACATCATACCTGAATGAATGACCTCCGAGTTTCTCGAGCTGAAATTATGGTGGTTTGAGACACGAGTGGGAGAAGGCTCTCTGGGAAAATGATCACGAACCTAATCTCCACACCTGCTGAGGGATGTCTTTCGAGCAGACATGTGGTCTTGCCTGGAAATCGTTGGAGCAGCTGCCTTGCGATAGTTAGACCAACCACACCTGGAGCCCATAATGTGATTGGCGACATGATAGCTCGATATATACCCCGTCCCACTCACCACCACCTACGACAACGTGGTCAAATGACCATTCGGGCATCTGATGCAGCAGACTTAGAATTGCTACCTCCACTCATATGGTGATAATATACTTACCTTATACTTGAACCAGCCCTTGCTGTTCAAGGCAGCAGTGAGATTGCGCACCATGTTTGAGACTGCGTCGTAAGAGTAGCAGTGCTGGAACGTGCGCGTGATGTGAAGGCAGAGGCTTCCCGATCAATCTCTGTCGGCAGGTGAAAGCAGATGAAAGCCCGTGACTTTTATCTGGAGGAGATCCACCAGCTACAAACCGTCAACGTTTCAACTCTCTATCTCCAGACCTCTCACTTTTTCGGTACAGATAAAGCAACAAACATCTGAAATCATCTCGTTGTAAAACAGACTCAAACTTTCCATGGCCTCTGTCGTCACAACGGGGCCCTTCCCCGAAGCTCCCTCATTTGAGGGCAAACTGGCCGCATTCGACTCTATCCCTCTCTTCATGAAGTCTCTCCCAGAAGGAGACAGCGACAACGCTGCGATTTCCGCCCTTCAAGATCTAGCTTACGACGGCACTCCGGATGGTGGGTGAGCTTGGTCCATCATCCGTCTCACTTTGGACCCTGTTCACGAGCGACTACCAGAGATCGCGCAGAATTTCAAGGACCAAGGCAATGACTACTTCAAAGGCAGACGCTACCGCGAAGCCTTGGGTTTCTATACACAGGGGGTAGATGCTAAGCCCACCGATGTAGCATTACGAGAAGCGCTGCTATGCAATCGTGCGGCATGCAATCTGGAACTAAGTACGCCCACTGAAATCTATACATTTTCTTCTTACTGACACACAACCGTCCAGATAACTATGGGTCAGTTCTCCGCGATTGTTCGGCGGCCATCACAATCAACCCTAAGTCGGCCAAAGCATACTACCGCTCAGGTCTCGCATTGATGGCCTTGGAGAGGTTGGATGAAGCTTTAGATTGTTGCGACCGCTATTTAGAATTTGACAAAGACAACATGGGCGTCGTAGCGCTGCGCGGAAAGGCGAGCACGAAGAAGAAAGAGAAGGAAACAAAAGAAAGAGAGCGCCTAGAACGGATACGGAAAGAACAAGAAGAACAGAGGGCGTTGAAGGCGGCGTTCGCGGTGCGTGGTCAAATGTTAATGGGATAAAAGACGAACCTTTTAACATCCAGCTTCATAAAGGAGCGCAATATCATTGAGGTACCCAATCCTCAAGGCTCAGCCAACCCTTACGCTCCCCACTTCGATCCAGAAGCCCCGACCAAAACGTCTTTGATTATCCCTATCTTCTTCCTCTACCCACAACACGCCACCTCCGATGTAATCCAAGGATACATTGAAGACACACCCTTTTCCGCCCACCTAGCGGCGATGTTTCCCCCGCAAGCACCCGCTCCTGATTGGGACCGGAATGGGGAATATGTAGACGGCCAGCTGGTGATATATGCGATCACGAGGGCGAAGAGGCTATTGAAAGTGGGCAAAAATATGACACTGAGGTCAGTGTGTAGGGCGGCGAGAGCGAAGGATGGATCGCCCAAGGATGGACTGGAGTTGAAGGATGGGTGTCTAAGTTTCGTTGTGTTGGTGAAGGGGGAAGTGGAGGCCCATTGGGTGGAGGAGTTCAAAAGAAGTCGAGATTCATAACGTCAAGATTTTTGTGCGATGAGTCTACACTATCAGCCATAGAGGCGCGTACCAAGGATGGAAGAGGGCTGCTGAAGGGGATCATGCATCATGGCCGACCAAGTCGTCACCAGTCAGAGGCGCGGCATTGTTGTTTGAGGTAGAGAAAATATAACATAAAAACTAAAGATCGGGCAACATTCCTTAGGCAATGCCTCAGATGTGAAATGAAAGTGAACTGAAGGAGCTGGTGTGGGTGAGAGGGTGTGTGGAGGAGTGCAGGGTGCGGGTGGCGCCACATCAGACGTTGTCCTTATTTGGTACCCACAACTTTCATCTACGGCAAGTATCAACACCAAAAGACAGTGACGACGGAGACCAGCCCGGTGAGTAGAAATCTATCATTCAAATGCCTTTGGAGGGACCTATAGGGTCACTAGACGACGCCGGGGGCGAAATTTTGGAGAAAGAGTGCATAGATTGGGATGGATGCGCATTGAGAGGATTGGATGCTAACTCCATACTCGATCCGCTCATAGGGCCCATCTTCACATCATGTCAGTACAACACAAGATTCTGCGCACGGCGAACGCCCCTTCGACCGCACCCGATGAGACCGAGACCAGCGTCGCGCAGGCGTTGATTGACCTCGAAAACAACGTCCCGGAGCTCAAGGCTGAACTCCGGCCCCTTCAGATCTCTGCTGCCCGTGAAGTTGACGTTCGCGGCGGCAAGAAAGCCATCGTCGTCTTCGTCCCCGTGCCTCAGCTCAAGGCTTTCCACAAGGTCCAGCAGAGGTGCGTTTTCGTGTGGAATAGCGCACAAATGGCATGGGGCAGGTTGGACTGACACTAGATGGGCCGCATGCACAGGCTTACCCGCGAGCTGGAGAAGAAGTTCTCGGATCGTCACGTCGTATTTGTTGCCCAGCGCCGGATGCTGCGCAAGCCGACTCGCACCTCGCGCGTCAAGCAGAAGAGGCCTCGCAGCCGCACCCTCACCAATGTCCACGAGAAGATCCTCGAGGATCTTGTCTTCCCCACGGAGATTGTTGGAAAGCGGACCCGGGTTGCGGTCGACGGATCAAAATTGTTGAAAGTGTGCGTTTCACAGACTCCACTCCGTTTTGTTTTGTCTCTGCTAGCGCCGGATGCTGACGGGCTCCGACTGTACAGGTTCCTGGACTCAAAGGACTCCACATCCCTTGAGTACAAGCTCGATTCCTTTTCGTCTGTATACCGCCGTCTGACAGGGAAGGACGTCGTGTTTGAGTTCCCGGTGCAGCAGGCACAGGAGTAGAGGGGCATCTGTATTGTCCGCTTATGACATGTTTGTTCTTTACATCGCAATCATCAGAATTATGGACATGTCCAGAGCACCGCACGAGGCTATACAGCCGCAGTGTGTGGGGCTAAGTGCTGGGAGATGAGCTGAGGGGACTGTTTTTGCTCGGACCGCTGTTGCTTTGTGAGAGGAACAAACGAACGGGGCCGTTCCGTAGCTCCGAGCGCGCGATTGTGCGCGACTCGGTGACAAGGACGCGCACCCAAGTATAGGACGGCGCCCTCGGGTCGGAGGGGCACGTGAGGGCAGGCGCGTCCGGGGTCGCTCTGGTTGTGTGCTGTAGCAACTCCATCTCTCCCTCTCCCTCCTTTCCTCCTCCCTTCTCTTGCGCGCGCCCCCTCCCACCAGCTCGCCTCGGTGCGATGGCGGCATATCCACGCATGGACCCGTACAAAAGGTCCAGATATGAGCAGGGTATAGATGCCAAGATCGTGGTCATGGGTAACACAGGTCTGTCTCCTATCGCTTTCTCACCTTCCACTTCCCATAACGGCAACGCCGCTCGCCGCCACACCCGCCCGCTCACCTTCTCACCCGGCCTACAGGCGTTGGCAAGACGAGCTTACTGCAGCGCTACACCCAAAATAAGTTTGATCCCAGGAACACGACCTCGACGACCGGCGCATTTTTTGTTACGAAGAAGGTTTATGTCGATGGTATGAAGGTCAGGTTACAACTATGGGATACAGCAGGTCAGGAGAGGTTTCGGAGTATGGTATGTCTTCGGTTCTTCTTCTCCATGTCTCTGCCCTGTCTTCTGAACGATCGTTGGTAGGCACCTATGTATTATCGAGGCGCGAATGCGGCGCTTTTATTGTATGATATCACGAGCGCCGTTTCCTTCGAAGACGTGCGCGGATGGCTAGAGGGTGAGTGCGTCATTGCCGTCCGCTTTTCTAGGACGCTGATTTATAACTTTCTGCCATCTATTCGCTCTGTCGTCCACATCTGGTATCCACGCCTCCTTTGCCGTTTAGAACTGAAGAAAAACTGTTCAACCGATCTCATCATTTACATCGTCGGCTCCAAAGCGGACCTCCAACATTACAAACAAGTCTCCTCTGACCTCGCCCGTCTTTCTCTTCACCGTTGGTTCCCTCCACCGCGACCGCCAACGCCGCCGCCACCACCTCAACCATCAACTTTCTCGTATATTCGCCCGCGCTTTACCTCCTTTACTTCGATCCGTTCTGTCCCCCTCAGCAGCCCCGTAAAGCCATCACCGCCCGAATCAAACTCTTCGATGGAAGCTCCCCTGAATAGGAGCTCAGTTCTCAAACGCGCTTACACAGGCACTTCTTTCCCTGCAGCTCGCTCTACAGGCGCACTTGCTCTCAATCGGGCAAAGTCGACTAATGGGGCTTTGCAAACCTCACGCTTTGGCTCTCATAATGGCAGCCGGGCTTGGGCGGACGCCGGAGACCAAGACACCAATAGCTTGATTGAGGATTATTACGAAGACGAGGATGATGATCGTGAATGGGGTTTGGAACCAGGTATGGAGTTGTTCGAGGTTTCTGCCAAGGATGACCTAGGTGCGTGAGGAATGATTCTGTGACGTCGTCCAACTGACCATAATTTTGAGAACAGGTATCCAACAGCTGTTTGATTCCTTGATCGGCGCTATCATCCAGAAAAAGGATAGCATAGAGCAGGAGAATGAGATGAAGCGTAGGGACAGTGTATTTCTGACACCGGCAGTCAATCCGCCCACTTGGACTACGCAAGCCGAAGAAGAGGAGGCTCGGGAGAAAGCCGCTTCGCGTTCAGGAGCCTGGAGCTGCTGTCAGACATAGCCACTGTTGTATAATATTTTCCATTCTCCCCCATCGTATGTCTCGCATCGCCTTTCGACATATTGGTGACTGACCTCATGCTATTTTGACTTTGATCTCAAGCATCCGGTCACCACCTTCTTCCCCGCTACCTGTCACCTTGCTCTGTCCTCCCCGTGTCGCACGCTACTCTGCCTCGCCTTGCTTTACCTGCCCACGCACCAAGTCACGCTATCCCGTCGCTCAGCTCCATCTGTACCTGACCATATTCGTGACCATGTCTTATTCATCTCTGCCCCTTATACCTCTCCCTCTCCTTCGTTTTATCCCCTCATCCCTGCCTCCACGTTTACTTAGCGGCAGTGCTTCACTAACGTGATTTCCTACATCACCTACTCCACTCCCCCGTGTCCACCATACGCGTAATTTCGCCTAACCCCCTCGCTCCTTTCTCTTTCCGTCTCCATCCCTCCGTTTTCAGTCTCTCGTTTCGTTCTCTCTTCTCTCCCTCGTCTGGCGGGTTTCTCTTGACTTATCTGCGTATACCATATATTTTTGTTACTCTCGACAGGATATGTTCGCAAGGTGTTTGTCGGTCTCACTTTTCAGACTCACTGACATGGCAGAACGGTGGGATTGGATGCAGGTCTTGGCTTCCCACCACGACGCTTGAGTACTTAGTGTCTGTAGCTATGTACATGTTGTTTAAAGGCCTACATTTATTGCGGGTTGTACGTTCCAATTGCGTTTGGGATGCACGCGTGCGAGTTTGAATGGACGATATGGCATCTGGTCGCTATATCAAGGACTGTGGCACACATTGTACTTGTAACATATTCGCGAGCGAGGGACCGAAGACGGAGCAGCCGCTCGGCGGAGAAATCAAGACTCCGCGGCATGATGTTGAGTGAGTCGAGCGCTACGATCGCAGACGCGGTTTCTTCCCCATCGGCCGACTCTGCTCCTGCACCACATCCTCCATGGCCCTCGTACCCCCTCATCCCGCCGCAGAGGCCCCGGTCGGAGACGAGTCCGCCGTCTGCACCCCAGAGCACTGCTTCCACGCCTTCGATGCCCTCTACTGCGCCCTCACCGACAGCGCCCCGATACCGCCCAACTTTCCCGATGAGAAATAGTGCGCACGCCCTTCCCCCTTTCCCCCGTGGTCCGTGGTACCCCACACCGCTTTCTGACACCCGGTGCGCCGCATAGCCCCCTCTTCGTGACGTGGAACACCCGCTCCTCGCGCCCCGGCCGCGCGCCCAGACTGCGCGGCTGCATCGGCAACTTCGACCCCCTCCCGCTCCACGAGGGCCTCGCAGAGTACGCCCTCATCAGCGCGTTCCGCGACCACCGCTTCCGCAAGATTGAGCGCCGCGAGCTCGACAGCCTCGAATGCGGGTGCGTGCCCCCCGTCTTCTCCCCCGCCCGCTCACAGCACAGACGCCAGGCACGCCCGCCGCGCAGCGTGTCGCTGCTCACGGACTTTGAGGACGCGTCCTCCTACCTCGACTGGACGGTCGGCGTGCACGGCATCCGCATCGCCTTCTCCCACCCCTCGACCCTGCCCTCCTCCGACGCCCCCTCCCCGCTCTCCTCCTCCGCGTCCCTCCTGAGCAGCGCTGCGCACACGTCCGCCCGCCCCTCGCCCTCCTTCTCCGCGACGTACCTCCCCGAGGTCGCGCCAGAGCAGGGCTGGGACAAGATCGACGCCATCGATAGCGCGATCCAGAAGGCCGGGTGGCGCGGCCCCGTCACGGAGGACCTCCGCCGCCGCCTCCACGTGCGGAGGTACCAGAGCAGGAAGTGCACCGTCGGGTGGGACGAATACGTCGAGTGGCGCCGCCTTAACGGCGGCGAGATCTGAACCTCGCATACAGCATATTACCCAGTGAATTCACTAGAGGCCGTGTACACTAGACGGGGCGGTCGCGCGTCACGAGTGGGCCGCGACCGCCCTGAGCGTCGAAGTTTTCGCTCATTCTGTATTTGTCTGTACTATCACTTTACCTCGGATCGTGACATCGTGGCCGCCTCAACGCCGGCCGGCGCGAATGCTGAATATATCCCACAGCGTCCATGAATTCATTTTGCACCGTCTGATGTATTATTAAGTGTATCGCCGCCGTCGCCGTCGCCGCAACCCGCCCTATAGATATCCGCGCACAACTCCGTCAGGCGCGTGCCGCGTACCTTCCCGTACCTCCGCTCCATCCTCTCGATCACGGACACCATCTTCGCCGCGTCGTTCCCGCTGACCCTGCCACATCCCATGACGACCCACCACATCAAGTGCTCCTGCACCCGCACGCTCTCCGGGAGTTCGAGGAAGCTGTCGAACAGCTGGTCGAAGTTCTCCAGAGACCACGCGCCCGGGTCCAGCGTCGGATAGACCTGATATCTGGGTAGCCTCGCCAGCTGCGGGGAAACGGGCGTGGTGGGCAGGGGCGACCGCGCGTGGCGGGAGAACCCCAGGAAGATGGACCGGAACGCGGAGACCGTCGCGGTATACGGCTCGCGTGGCCGCCGCCCGTACCTGTTCGCGGCCGCCTCGAGGTTGGGTGTGCTCAGCATCTCAGAGAAGACGCGCAGACAGCGCACGAGGTCGCCGTGGTACGCGTACCCCTGCATGAGCGTGTGGTAGGTAATTTTGTCGGGCACGATCCTACTCGAGATGACGATCGACTCGCGCTGCTCGAGGTACTCGATCACCGCGTCGAGGCTCTCCTCCCTCTCCTCCCCGTACTCGTCCGCGAGTTCGTGCTCGAACTCAAGCTCGTCTTCGTCCGCGCCCTCAGATGGCTCGTCCGCGTCCTCCGTCTCGGGCACGACGCGGTGCCTCATCACGCGATAGATGCCCTCCGCGATGTCCATCCGCCCGTTGTACGCATACGCCCATATGCACGCGTTGAGCGCGACCACGTTGAGCTCGATGCCCTGCTGCCGCATCTTTAGTAGCGTCGCGCGCACGCCCGCGAGGTCGCGCTTGCGCGTGAAGTATCCGAGCATCGACGTGTGCGAGACGACGTTCGGGCGCAGGCCCGACTGCTCTAGCATCCCCGCCGCCTGCGCCATGAACTGCTGCGAGCCCGTGCGTGCGGCGATGTCGAGCAGCATCGAGTGCGTGACGATGTCCGGCTTGATGCGTCTCGCGCGCGGCCCCGTGCGGTCCTCGCGCGCCCCCTCTTCCTCTCTCGCTTCGAGCGCATCGTTGTCCACCGAGAAGAACATCGTCCCCGGCGCCTTCCCGTGAACCATGTCCCCGTATAGGCCTATGGCCGTCGTGAAGTTCTCCAGGCGCGTCCTGCGCCACCCCTGGCCCGCGAGGTTGATTAGCGCATTCCACTGCCACAACCTCACCTGCCCGCCCTCGCGGTGGAGCGCAGACGACACGGAGAGGAGGCGTAGGAACTGGATGCGGGTACGGGGCTCGGGCCCGGACGCGAGGAGGCGGCAGATGCGGCGTAGGTGGGGGACCGGGATCGAGGACAGTGCCTCGGGTATCTTGGGGTCATGAGGGAGAAGAGAGAAGACGTAGTACGCGTTCCATACCTCCTCCCTCGAGTGGGAGGTGGACATGGTGTGGAGGAGGCGCCAGCGCGCGGCAGGATGCCCGAACTCGGCGAGCCCGCCGTCTTCTTCCAAGTCCGGGTGGAGCTCGAGGTCGCGGACCGACGGGACACCCTCTGACACATCCTCGTCCTCGTCCTCGTCCTCTGCCTCCTCTCCAAAAAAAAGATCGTCTCGAATTTCTAAGACTTGTCCGTCGTGTCGAAACACTAGCTGCTCCGTTGGCAGCACGGTGTCGGTAAGGATGGGCCATGCGGAGAGGCGCAGCACCTCCAACGGAAACGCCGGGGGAGGAAAGTCGCGGTCGTCCGCGCCGATGTGGTGGCCAGAAACTGTCAAAGAGCCAGACGAAAGCGCGTTCTCGTCCTCCTCTAGCTTCTCTGCAGAGACGTGGTCTGCGTGCAGCCTTATCTGCTCGTCGACATCGAGTTGCCAGGGGGTAGATACGATCCAAGAAGAGAGGCGTTGGTGGACGAAGGCCATTCGACGCGTGCGTGCAAGGGGTGGAGAATTGCATCGGAGGGAGTGAATGAGGCCCAGAGAAAAGGCTCTGAGCATCAAGGGAGCAGGCAGTCATTCACTGTCTGCACAGGCTCAGATATATGGTGAGGACGTGGAGAGCACCAGACACGTACCCGAAGATCGACCAAGAGAGCGCATAGACTGGCAGCCGCAGTGAGCAATGCTTCAATGAACCGAAACGGTGCGCTCTCGTCACGCCTCCGCTGTTTGGCCAAATTTGCTACCCTGAGAATTCTCCACCCATGCACTCCAATTGGTCCTCGCACACAACGCCGCAGTGGCTCGCTCATCCGAATCTCTCGTCTACATTATTCACTCGTGTCCGTGCTCGGAGCAATACTATTGCATAACATGTGGAGGTAGAGCGACAACAACGACAAACATAGATGCCTAAGTAAGAGTGCGATACAAGACGAATCAATCCCGGGCCTTGAGCGTTCCCAAGAACGCGGCCTTTTCTTCGAACGTCTGGAAAGCTCCATGCTGTGGACAGACGTAGTGAGTATGCATAAATTGCGCGCCGAACAAGACCACTTACACCGAACTTCGACGACGTATCGATGAACTTCAGCTGGACCTTCTCGAGATCCCGGCGAGAAGTGTGCACCATGAGCGACTTGCGCAGGGTGATCACACGCTTCTTGGTACCGGGGATGGAGCCCTTGAGCATCAGGTAGTCGTTCTTGACGATACCGTAGTGGGGGAAGCCACCCATGGGCGTGATCGCCTTCTTGGTGATATCCGAGTCAGTCGACGCGTTGCCGTTATCCGTGCCGAGACCGATGCGGTAGATCTTTTTGTTGAGCTCCGTGCGGTGGTGGTAACCGTCTGCAATCGCACGGTCAGAAGTGTACTCGCAAATGATACCAGACGAGACTTACTTTGACCAGCACGGGCAACGGAGAACATGACCTTCGACGGATGCCATGCACCAATACAAGCGACCTTGCGAAGACCCTTGTGCGTCTTGCGAGGAAGCTTCTTGGTACCCCAACGGTGGGTGACACCCTCGAAACCATGACCCTTCGTGACGGCAATGACATCGATAACCTCGTCTTGCTCAAAGACGGACGAAACTTCGATGGGCTTCTCGAAGAGGCCCTGAGAGAACTCGACCTTGTCGGCGACAGAGCCACCGTTGACCTGGATCTCCATCAGGTGCGCCTTCTTCTGCGCGAGGCCGGTCTTGCGGATCTGAGTGTGTGCGAGGACACGGACGACAGTGCAGTACTTGCGAACGCGCTCGAGCTCGCGGGAGATGGACTTGCCGCCGTCCTCGGCGTGCTTCTTGGCGTAGCGAGTGAAGGCCTTCTTCTTGGAGCGGTACCAGTTCTTGTAGAACCGACGCTTCAGTTCATCAGAAAGATGCGAGGCCCAGACGGTCGTGAGGGTGCGGAGACCACGGGGAGTCTCGACGTAACCGACAACACCGACAACAATGAGAGGAGGGGTCTCAATGATGGTGACGGCCTCAACGACTTCACGCTTGTGCATCTCTGTAAAAATAGATAAATTTCAGCAAAAATATTACACTTAACCGATTTTTTGCTACGCACTGGATCCTGGACGGTCAAGGTCACGGACAACGTGGGTCATACCGGCCTTGTAACCCATGACAGCAGTCAAGTGCACAGGCTTCTTGGGGTCATCCTTTCCGCAAAACCGATGTCAAACATCGTACACAATATGACTTTCTCGCGTAATTCACACACCTTGGGGAAAGACTTGACCTTTCCGCGATGACGGGCGGCACGCTTCCGGGGGAGGAAGCCAAGGGAGCCATGGCGGGGCGCTTCGTACTAGACGATCGACGCCTCGCTTCAGTGGTTTCCTTTGGCAACACAAAATATGCTACAGACCTTACGGTGACTGAAGAAAAGCGCTATTAGTCGCCTCCAACGTTGCTGGAACAAACCCACAGCACTCACCTCATCTTGGGAAATCTTGAGGGGGTGGAGGAGGGGATTACGGAACAACGGTAGTATCAATGGCAGGTGTCTAGTGGCGGTGGCTGATGAACTGTACAGTTGCTTTGGTAAGACTTGCTTTTTTCGCACGCTCCTTGAACTGTGCCGCCACAATCCCTCCGGTTCCTTCACAGCCCCCTGCGGTCTGCTATAGCAATGCATAATCTGCTGCTTTGAATGGTTTGAGCGCTGGATTCTTGAGGCCTAGAAGCTTAGCGATTCATTCCGCTTTGGTATTTTAAAGACGTCGCTGGAAGCGGATCTTGGGAACCAATGATTTCCGTCCGTATCGTCCTCGCGTACGTGCCCCATGGTCGCAAGGATACAGCGGCCCCCTCTCGGTTTGGGCGCTATGTTCCTAGCATTTAGGTCAGCACAGCGCTTGTTCTATCTAGAGCGCCGTTCGCTTCACAGTCAAAACCCATCGTTCCGCCGAGCTTCCCTGTGTTTCTCGAGTCGCTGTTCCACCAACGTCAGCCTTCAGAAACCGTTCATTCACTCAGAACCCTTCGACATTCATCAGGTTTCCAACTTGATCAAAGATGGGACACTCTCTTCCCACAAGTTAACGCCGAGGCCAGGTGGTGTGTCTCATGCGCCTTGTGGCGTTCACTCATGTGCTGTGAATAGACCTGCTGTAATCTATATGATCCTGACTGCGATGGTAGTTCCTCGACGCCGTTACTGACAGAGTAGCGCGTCTGAAGCAGATCCACGCGCTCTTGCCCCCTGGAGCGGTATGCACGGAAGTAGCCTGTTGTAGCGTACTACGACGATGACATTATGATTCTGTGGCAGCGCGGGCAGCGCGGGCGTGAGGCTGGACGACTGGAATGAAGGCGAGAGAAGGAAGACGCGTCGATTACGCGTCAGGACGCGTCTGTGACTTGTGTGACTGTTGAGGAGGTGATGCTGGCGGTGAATGGAGCCGGACGGCGCGGTCTTGTGAACATCGAACGACACACATGGCCATCGCACAAGACTCTTCCTTCGCCCCAGACTCAACCGCAGACATGTCGTCCCCTCCCTTCCTCTCCCCCGCACCCTCCCCCGTCATCAAACGCGCTCGCGTCACCTACGGTCGTCGCAGGGATATCAACACCAACGCGTCCGACCCCGACCCCGCCCTTCCTTCACACTCGCTGCCTCAGCGCAGATCCATACCCGACCACGCAGACGAGATCGTGCCGGATTCAGATGAGTTCGACATCCCTGAAACATCTCTCATGGGCGACACCGCCGACGACGGCCTCGCCAGCGACGATTCTGACAACGACGACGCGTCAAATTTGGCCCCTGTCATGTTCTCTTGGAAACAGAGGCTGAAGGAGATAGACCAAGATTCGGACGACGAGGCTCTCGACGGCGGCGGCAGCAGCGGTGGAGCAAATGCCGGCAGGGCCGCGTCTCTCTGCGCCAACACGTCACTAAGCAGTACCCGCAATATCCAGGACAATGATCGCTCTTCACGAGGCAGCCCCGCCATGCGTGACTCGTCCCCGCTTCCTCAGATCAAGCCAGACGATCTCTTCGGTGGCTCCCTGCCTTCTCTCACCGGCTCATCCGTCGCCCCTGAAACCACCTCGTCACCCTCGCCACCGCCCACCGCGCGACTCAACCGACGCAAACGCGCCGTGATCGACGAGTCCGACGACGACCAAGCGTCGAGAGACCAGTCCTCCCCGACTTCACCCCCATTTCCCCACTCCATCGCCACACCCAAGCTCCGTTCCTCCCCCACGCCCCCCACATCGGAGAATGACATGTCTCCCGCTGTGCTGCACAAGAGGAAGGGCAAGGAACGCGCGCGCTCGGTCGTGCCCCTGCAGTTCGACGAGGAAATCACCGCGGCCTCGATTGGCGATCGAAAGCTCGCCAAGGCGAAGGGCCGGCCCACCACAGAGAAGCGCAAGGCGAAGGAACGGCCGAAGCGGCCAAAGGTACGTCGCGCACGCGTTCCTGCTTCATCTGCTCGCTCACGACGCGTGTATCATATCGCGTGCAGGCGCCGACGAAGAAAGAGGCGGCCGAGACGCTGAAAGAGCAGGCGCGCCAGATGTCCGACGTTCGCCTCTCCCTCGATCGCAGCGAAACGCGACGCTTGAAGCTAACCGATTTCATGGTGAAGTCAATGCAGTGAGTGTCGCGACGATGCCACCAACCAGTAGTACCCTATCACGATTGACCATCGCCCCAATAGCCCCGCCTTTCCTTTGCCACCAAGAAGATCCCCCTCGGTCTCTTCCGATCCCATCCAGCCTTTCTCTTCTCCCTCTGTGCCCTCAGAAAACCATCAGCCTTCGGGTCCTAGCCCCAGGAGTCCTTCCCCATTCAAGTCCAATGGGCTCCTCGCCGTCCGCGCGCCTCACGCGCCTGCTGCGCCTCTCCCAGATGCGACAGATAACTCCGGCTCCGACCAAGGCGAGTTGCCCTCGTTGGGCGACATCTTGAAGAAAGAAACGGAACACCGCGCGAGGGTCGAGCGCGCGAAAGAGCTTCAGGACTTCAAGCGCCGCATGCTCCAGGCGCAGCAAGCCTCGCGCGAGGAGGCCGCACATGCGGCCTACCGAGCAGGAAGTGGGCAAGCCGCGCTCGAGGACAGCGAGGACGACGATCTGGAGGTCGTGGACGACAATATCAAAGTGGCCGCGCGGGAGGAGGCGGCGGACAGGCTGAAGAGGGCCAAGCCGAGCGCGGGGATGCGACGGCAGCTAGAGCTGGCCATGGGCCACCAAAAGGCGTACAGCGCGCTGCACGCGCACTCACCCGAGAAGAAGAGCGCGAAGGGCCGGATGAGCTTACAGGCGCTGCAGGCGGCGGCGGCGCCGTCATTTAGCTTCGGGAACGCGCGCGACGACAAGGCGATGGGGAAGAAGGCTCTGAAGGTGGACAAGAGTGACCTGGTGAAGAAGCTGTTGGCGGACGCGGCGGCGCAAAGCCAGGAGGTGATCCGGAAGAAGGAGCAGGAGTGGGTGAAGAAGGGCGGTACGCTGAAAGAGGGAACTACGAGCGAAGTGCGGAAGCTAGACGAGTACGTGGAGAAGGCGGTCAAGGCTGCGCAACGACGAGAGGCGATGGAGGAGGGCCGGGAGGTGGACGAGGACGGGGACGGGGACGGGGACGAGGACGACGGGGAGTGGCAGCCGGTGGAGCGGGGGTCGGCGAGTCCCGAACCAGAAGACGACGATCGGGGCAGCGAAGAGCTGCAAGGCGACACGACCGGAGACGCCGACGACCCGGCGGACTTCACCCCCTCTCGTCCCCGCGCTGCCCGCCGCCCCGCGGCCCGCCCTCGCGCCATCCTTGACTCCGACGCCGACTCTGACGCCGAAAACACCGCCCCTGCCCGCCCACGTCCCGGCCGCCTGCCCTCCGACGCCTCCAGCTCCCTCGACACCCCGGGCCGCATCTTCTCCCCTTTCACCTCTCAGGTCCCCGTCGCCCTCGACCTGAAACACCGCGCGTCCCTCTCATCGTTCGATGGCCACACCGACGCGGAAGATGAGCTCGGCTGCGACACCGACAAGGAGAACGTCCGGGGACTCATGTTCGACCGCGGAGAGGACAAGGAGAACAAGGCGGTCGTGCGGCTCTCGCCCGGCGAGCGCGCTGCGATTGGAGTCGAGCCCGGGATGACATCCAGGCAGGGTTCTGGGTTGTTCGGGATCGCGGAGGGCATGCGCGATAGGCTGTCGATGAGCCCGTCGGGCGTCGAGCACGGAGAACCGCAAGATGAGAACGACGCGGATGGCAGGCGCGCGCCGCTAAAGGAGCTGGTGAGCCCTCGCGCGGGCGACGACGACGACGACGACAATCCGTTCGTAGACACGCCGTCGAAACAGCCGAAGACACAGCGCCTGCGTTCGCCGTTGCCCTCTTTACCTCCGCTGTTTGGCGGCATCGAGGACGCGCGCGGGGGCATGTCGCAGTTCTTCGACGATGAAGCCGACGCTGCTCCTGCGGCGGGACCAGTTGGGAGCATGGATTCCTCCCCACCGAGGCCCGCCGTGGCGTTGCAAGGTGCATTCTCGCAGATGTTTGGATCTGGCTCTGTCAAAGGGACGCCGAAAGGAATGAAATTTGGTGGGCTGGCCGACGCGTTCGACGAGACTCAGGCGCGTGATCCGTCCGACCGTCTTTCCTGTTTTGACTCATATTCTCGATCCGTGCAGGTAGAGGGCGGCTTCCAAAATCTCAGGAAAGACAACGACGACATTTCGTTGACGCTGGACACGAAACTCCAGCCCGCGCTCGAGCCGGACGCGACGCTCCTGCAAAAGGCAGATTTAATTTTCGAAAAAGAGCAAGAGTACCTGCTCCAGGCCGCTCAGCGCGCCCCTCCGAAGAAACCCCAACTCTATGTGACGGAAAATGGGTTCGTCTACTCTTCTTTCTCTGTGAAGACGCTCCCATGACGTCTCATCCGCATTGCTGACCCACACAGATTCCTCACCCAAACGCGCCCGGACGTTTCCACCCCGGAAGTCTACCGCCCCTCACCCTCCCAGCACCCGAACTTCTTCCGCACGCAGCCTTCCCCCGCGATCAGCCTGCTGAACTCATCCCGCCGGCTCCCCCTGGGCACGCTCGCATTCTCCGATGCGGGCGACACGCCTTTGCGCTCCCCCCTCCGCCGGCTTAAGCGCCGCCCCTCGCCGTCGCCCCTTGACCCAACCGACACCGGCCTCCGCGCGCTTGGTGGGTACCGCTCCCCGTCTCCGCCGTCTCCCTCTCCGGAGCGGGCGCGCCAGCGCACCGCGTTCGATGTGCTCCGTGCGGGAAAGCCGAAGCCGAAACTGGGGCGCTCTGAATTTATCGAGGGCGAGGCGGTCGAGTCGGACGAGGAGGACACGCTCGGGTTCGGCGGGGCGCGGCGGAAGCCTGGCGCGGATGACGAGGAGGACGAGGACGAGGAGGAGCGGGACAAGCTCGTCGAGGCGCTCATGGATGACAAGGCCATGAGCGAGGACACGCTCAAGCGGGACTTGGTGCTGGAGAAGTTCCAGTGAGTCCTCCCCTTCCTGCTTTGGTGTCTGTTGCTTGCGTTCGCGATCGGGAAGCGCGCGGCTGACATTGTGACGCAGGGAGCACCGCGACGAGGACGACGCGCGGATCGAGAAGCTGCACAAGGACGCGGTCGAGGGCAAGCTGCGCGCGAAGCGGCGTGACCGCGGCGTCGGGCTCGAGGACAGCGAGTCGGAGGACGAGGATGAGGGCGCGCGCATGGCGCGCCTGCGCATGAAGAAGCGCAAGATCGACGGGGACGATCTCGAGATACTCGGTGCGTACATTTCCCGCATGACAGGCGAATGCATGCCCCCGGCGCCGCGTACCGACGTGTGTGTGTGTTTTCTACAGCCCAGCAACCAGAGACGCGTCCGTTCTACGAGGCGTACCAGCAGCCGATGGTGGACGACAACGCCGAGTTCGAGCATCTCCTGCACGACGAGGCAATGGACGATGCGGAGGACGCTGAAGATGGTGGCATCGACGACGACGATGATCGTGCGCCGCGTGAGACGGTATCGACCACTTCGCTGATGGACGAGGTCCGCGAGGCCGCACGGAGCAAGCGCGTCAGTCATTTCCATGGTTTCTCCTCTCTCCTCTCTCCCGTCTTTGCTGATTATTGGTTTGGCTGCTGTGATTGTCGTTCCCTGCGCACAGCACGTCCCTACGCTCGACCCGCACGACGTGTCCTGGGTCGACCGGCAGCGGCCCTCGGCCGACGACGACGACTACGACGACCTGACGCGCAAAGTCAAGATCCGCGAGGTCTCCACGGCCTCCCGTCGTGGGCACCAAGCCACCAGCGCAGCAGCCATGGACGTCGACGTGCGTCTCTCTCTTCCCGTGTCCCCGGCCTCGTGCCCGATCCGCCGTTGCTCACCCGTCGTCTACAGACCCGCCGCCCCGTGCGGCGCGAGAGCGAGCGCGACATGGCGCGCCTCACGATGTGGGCGAAGGACGAGAGCTTCTCGCGGCAGGCGGGGGGCTCCGCATCCGGAGCCGGCGGGGCCGTCACTGGGCTCGGGCGCAAGCCCGCTGGCGCGCGGGGTGCCGGCGCTGGTGCCGGAGCGGGCGGCGTGGGGCGCGGGGCGGCTGGTCGGAGCGGGGAGAGCGGGAGCGGGGGCCCGGCGCGAGGCCCGGTGCGCAAGGCGGCGAGCGGGCTGTCGATGGTCGCGGATCGGCGGGGGCGGTTCGGTGGGTGACGTGGCGCGTGGCGCGCTCGTGCGTGGTTGTTGTCCCTGTCGTCGTCGTCGTCGTCGTCATCGTCGTGCTGGGGACTATGTGGGCGTCCGTTGCCCCTTGTCATTTGTGGTGTCGTGGAACTTGCGATTTGGGAAACCTTCTCACTTCTATCTATCCGCCCACTCGTCCGTGTTACGATTCCTGTCTCTCCCTATGTACATCCCATATACTGCCCCGTCTCAGACCCTCCGCCCTCCAGACTATATTCTCTTCGTTCTACGCTATCTCCGTGCCCTGTCGCTATGCACTCTACTCATACATACCTTGCTCTCCTCTCGCATACAGTACACACCTGATCGTGTATATGCTTTCCATTCAAATGTATCATATACACACGCATGTCCCTCGCGCGAACACGGTGTACTCCACTTATTCCTCACGAATGAATTAATGAATGATCACGACGTTTCTGGCCGCGTCGCGAACAGACGCCAGGACGCAGACGTTCGGCGCGTGGCATGAGGTTGTATACAATTTCATTCGAAGTGAAAGCGAAACGTCTCGCGATGTAAAACTTCTCGATCTCGTCTCTCTTCTCTTGCCTCCCTGAAACCCGCACAAAAAAAACAGACAGACAAACAGACAAACAAACAAGCAGGCTAACAAAAAGAATGGAAAACTCCACCCGCTCAGACTACTCGACCGACCCCGACCCCACGCCGTCATATGTAAAAAAAAGTAAGGACGAGAAAATCCATGCATGAGCAACAGTCGCAGAACGACCCAAGGCCGAGAGAAAATGAAAGATGCGAGGGCGAAAGGATTAGGACAGGCAGACAAAATCAAAGAAAAGACAAACGAAAGAAAAGGCAGGTGGGCAACATCAGGAATCAAGAACCGGGAGAGCCCAAGGGGCCAAAATCAACAAGAGGCAACGCGAAGCGGCGGTGAGTGCCCATCGGGCACTCGTCTCGTCGTCATGTAGTCGTGGTCATCGTCATCGCAGCAGTGGCAATGCACCGGATGGAAACAAACAACGGATGCAACAGGAAGGGGGATAAGAAGGGCAAAAAAAATAGTTGGAAGGGTATAAGAATAAATAAGTAAGGTCGAGAAAACAGCGTAGATGGGGCGACGCGCCGGATGGTAAATGTCGAGTAATAGGCTTTCGTGTGGGCGTAGCAGTGAAGTAGAAGTGAGCAGGTGTGCATGTGAAGGTGTTGGAAGATATGGGTTTGGGGATGGGAGACGAGGGCCCTGGGGTGGCCTTGCTTCTAAGAGGCCCTCGGGGGAATGTGTGGGTCGGTCGGGGAGGTGATAGCCTGGTTTGAGTTATATTTCTCGTGGACATTTTCAATAAAAGAATTCGTCGTGGGGCGTTGTCTCGTCGAGGCGGTATAAAACAGCGGGGGAGAAAGTCCAGAAGGCGGGGCAAGACGAAATGCAAGAGACGGGGAAGCATGCGCGGGCCGCGATCGCGGGCGCCAATCGCGACGTGGAACGTCCGGGACGAAAAGTGTCAACAATGCTGCTTTCCAAAGTTTTTGGGGAAGCGGGCCCACGCGAGGGGTCGTTGGCGGGTCTGGAAGTTGAGCGGCGGGAGGGCGTAGACCGTGCGCGGGAGCTGGGGTTGGAGCTGGCGCGGAGGTGGGCTTGGGGGTGGGCTTGAACGGCGTTTGCGGCCACTGTTCTGATTGAGCTGGTAGGAGAAGAGAGGGCAAAGAAGAAAGGGAGAGGAGTGGATATCAACATGTGGGCGCGCGAGGCGGAAGGAGGGAGGACGCGCACCTTGTGTCTGAGCATGATAAGCTTCGCCATACAGGCCGGTGGCCCGCTTTCTCGAAACGGATTTCCTGAGCACGAGCGTGATTCAGGTTAGAGAGACGAGAGGCGGAGGACGGCCAAGAAACAAAGACATACGAGCCGCGACGAGGGCGAGTCCGAGCTCGTGTGCATCCGAAGGTTCGTCGACGGCCATGAAAGAGAGCCATACTGCGGGTATGCGCAGGGAGAGGAGAACGAGGACGGCGACGAGGGTGGCGAGGAACATGACGAACATGGTCGAAGGGGCAAGCGTTTGGCGTCACACGAGGAAATAGGATTGTGGGGAGGGAGGAGAGAAATTATGGGAGGGAAGAGGTAGGAGAGAGGGGGCGTAGGGACGGCTGCGGGGGGTTGCGAGGCCCTGGTGCTCCCTAGCACGGTGTCGAGGCGAGGGACTGCGCGGAGAGGGAGCGTGAGGAGGGGAGAGAGGGGATGGGATGGGAGTGTGGCCTAGACGATGGACAAACCGACGCCGATGGTCTCTATACCCGATTCCACGCTGACAAACTCCCATCACCATATCACCGGCGCTGCTTCTCCCCAAACCCCTCGCCTCGACCAGCCTCGATTTCTCCTCTCTGTGCGTCCTCCCCAGGGAATCCTTTCTCAATCGTCTGATATCTCCTCTCCAACTTCGATGGTGTCCAAGACACCGCATAAGCTCGCAAATACCACGGCGTCCTGATTGTCCTTCGATGTTGCTGATCCACCCTCCCCAACGAGCAGACTAATCAGAAGGTCCCTTCGATCACCGCCCTAACCGACTTCTCAACGATTTCCGAACAGGCATCACACGGGTCTCTTTTCGTTTCTCCAGCTGCGACCACTCTATGTTATGTGCGACATCCAATTCAACATGGCACACATGAGTCATTGAGTCGAGATCAGTTTGAGAAGTCCTCTTCTATCCCTGCCCTCGTTGGAAGTCGGTCCGTACTTCCACCCGTTGGCCCCACCCGAACTCTTCGTAGGTTTTGCTCACAAAGGCATCAACGTTCGCATTCTCGATTGAGCTAAACAATTACACCTCGGCCCAACAGGATCTTTGATGATCTCATCTTCTCCTAGTCGAACCTGACTGGTGCTCAAAGACTTTTCAGCGCCTGATATCCTCTCATCGTACAATGCAGAGCGTCTCCCTGTCATTATCTACATGTTACATGCCACCGCCGTTGCAAAAGAAAGACCGGCGATGGCACCGAGAAAGAGCAGACGGAACACGAAAAGACGTTGAGGTCCATGTACAGGAACGACATTGTATGGCGTCAATTACAGATACAGCAACCTAGGGGCGAGGGTCCAAAAACCAGGAGTTGTTCTGGCACGGGCGTGCTCAGCATCAGGAACTTTATGTGCAGGCAATCGCGTCTTCGAAACGCCGTCACCTTTCAAGTTTGATTTCTTTCTACTTCAACACACGACTGAAGGCGTGGTCGAGGTGGCTCAAGTGGTCACTGGTCGCAGTATCAAGGAACTTACTCCAAGGACGTGGCGAAGGCGGCGGTCGTGGCCAACAAGGAACTGGCACGCTCCCATTCGGATAGCGTTGTATATGGATCGTGATGGCCACGGGCGCAAGGCATACACCGTTAAAAACGAAATAATGACGTGGTTTGACGGGATGCATTCATTTTGGTTGGGTCCAAAGGTGCTTCAATTCAAGCCTTTTCAACCCACGTTCTTGTTGAATGGACCTCAACCATAACGGGCAGAGTCTGGATCATTGTGTTGAAGCCGTTCGCATCCGTGGAAAACTTGTTAGAAAATCTGTTCATAACAACGCCGACACCGGTTCTCCACGTTTATGGGAAGGCGCCGTGCTAAACTTTGAGAGGAGAAGCGGAGTGAAAGCGCTGGACTTGGCGATGTCGTTCCCTAAGCCTACGGGATCTGAGATAACTTACCTCGAACTGGTTGAGCAGTGGTTGAGCCAGGATCGACCACCAACTACGCTGGAGCGTTGTTCACAGGCGCTCGTCAACGCACCGCACACTTTCGTACCCCGCTGTCTTCACGGCAATTCCATGTCGACCCGCTCATCGATATCGCTCAAAGGAATGCGAATAATACGAAAAATAGATACCGATTAATTCAATAAAGAAGGTAATACAGCGATGGACGCTCAGACTTTTGGCCTTCCCCGTACAGACAGAGAACAAAAAGAGCGGCGGCGACGACGGCGACGGCGATGACGATAACAACAGATTAGCGCCTACAACACTCCTCACCTCCTGCCCTCTCACGTATTCAATGACGCGTAGTAATCCCGATACGCCGCTTGCAGTAGCAGCACGAACGACTGGCCCTCGGGACTGTGCGCGCCGTTCACGCTCGGCGTGCTAAACAAGAGCGGGTCGACCGTGTTCTGGAGCCACCCATCCTCGTCGACGCTCTTGTCGATCAGCTCGAACGCGCGGTCCGCCGCGCTGATGTACGCTGAGACGCCCGAGACCATCGCGAGGCGGTACGTCGAGGCCGCAAGGAGCGCCGTCGAAGCCGTGTCTGCAAATGAATCTTCTTCGTCGATGTAGTTGTACAGCGTCCCGTTCTCTTTCTGTTTGATTGACGCGCCGCGTGTCAGATAAGCATTCCGCTTGGGGTAAGGCGGAGAGCAAAACACCCGTACCTGGTATTTCCATGCCCCGGTCAGGATCTCGCCGATCCAGATCGTCAAATTCAGTTGCTGGTCGTAGAACTGATCCTCCAAGTCGGACTTGCGGATTGTCTCCAGCACCCTCAGCATTCCTGCCGCTGCCCACGCGTTACCTGCCGGTTTTAGAATTTTCATCGGTCAGTCTCCCCAGCAGAGCCCATACAAAAATGAATAGAGAGGAAGACGCACCTGTGCCCCAGAGATGGTCGTCGGACGACGAACCGAGCTCGATGTGCCGCCACAGGCTCTTGTCGGCGTCGAACAGTACGTCGCGATAGAGACGGCACTGATCGTATGCGAGCTGCAACAACTTAGTGCCCTCGGCTCCGCCCTGCAACGCGCCGTAGTATGCGATGAACGGCGGCGCCATGTACACAAAGTCTGCCCTATCAACCCGAACGGACAAACGAGATCAGTCAGGCCCAAACATGTAGTCAGAATACACGAGGCCAAGGAGTCAGGCACGTATCATACCAGAGTTGGACTTCGCTCTCTCGCTGCGAGATCGCTCCCGCAGCCGAGCGAGGTGCGACGTTCAGAAGGAAGTCTAGCTGGTCCTTTGCGGCGTACGCAAAGCGCGTGTCGGACGTGTTTGTGCGCGTCCAGTTGGCGAGTAGGACCGCATTACCGATGCCTGTCACACGAAAGGAAGCGGAAAACGCGTCCACGATTGCAGTACGTCAGCCGATGTCTAGAGGGGTCTGGGCAGCGGGAGAGCAGGTCACATACTGGCAGGGTCACCGACGGCACCATCACCGTCGATCAAGGGTAGCGAGCCGGGGGTTTTGGTGTTCACCACTCTAGATGGGATGATCGGAAGAAGTCAGTCGTTGACATTGGCTTGTGCGGGAGAAGTGGGTGAGGACATGAAGGACATGAGGGCAGTCCGCAAGGTGGATGATAGACAGAAAAAATATGGAGGAAATGCGGCTATGATACGCACTGTTCTGCGATTGCGATCACGTCCTCCGCATTGTTGGTTTTATTCAGTTTCGAGGGCGGCGGGACGCGTCCACCGAAGACGCCCAGCGAAGGCCACTCCAATTCCGTCAGTGCTTCCACGGCGGCCCCAATTTCCCAGCTGCGTTAAATGAAAAGACAACATCAAACATCGATGACCGCATCAGTATTCATATCTGTTCACAGGCAAGGGGGAGATGCGGAAGATGGGCGTGGGATGAGTGGGATTAGAGCGCACCTCTTGTCGGAGATGTTCAGCATGTTCGCGCGCACGAGTGAGATCCGCTCGGTGCTCATGATGCTTGCCGTCGAACGCTTCACCACGCCTCTCGCGATGGTGGGTGCAGCCGCGACGTGTGAGGTGACCGCTGAAAGCGCCAGAGCGCTTAATGTCCAAGTGGAGAAGGAGCGCATCGCGTCGATATGATCGGCGTGAGGATCAAAGTCGAATAATGCGACAGCTGGAGCTCGGGCGACGTACGTGCACACGGGGCTGGAGAGGACATACGTCGCGATGGAGCGGGGGGTTATATACGATTCGCGGGCAAGGGGGCAGCGAATTTGCGTGCCCGGCATCGGCGTGACAAGCGTCGCACTGGTCGGTCTCTATTTCGGCAGCCAAGGAAGAATCTGGAAGAACCCCACATTGAATTTGACAGGAACGCTCAAGGTGCGCAACTCTGCAGGTCCGTGCGACGGGCCGCAGCCAGAGGAACAATGCTCCACTGCCGTAAATCTCGTCTTCGACGCCTGGGTGCCTCTGATGAGTCTCTGATGGCCTCCTCGTGCCCTCGGCGGATCGCAATACCCACCTGTGTGGTGTAATAACTCGCTAGCAATGCCTCTGATAGGCACCACCGCAGCACTGAAGAAAGTCTTGTATTTCCGATGCCGGACAGCTTGGTGAGGAGAATCCTCGTTCGGTCAGTCATCCGACCAGCGTCTATTACGAGCCTTCCTGAGTCCGAGGCTGTCCGAGGTTCATACTGGTCCACCTAGCCAATATTTTCGATGATAATTGAAGGGAAGAACGGTATATCATATTGAGGTGCTGCGATATGATGATCATATTGCGGAAGAGTTTTAGAGAAGTTTGGGCAGAGGTCGCTGACTAATCCATTGTCCGCACTAACTGTCGTGCTAGTATCAGAGCCTATCAGAGCATTCGACGCTGCCCGACGAACACCTCCGCGAGGACGAACTAAGACACAAATTGGGACCCAAGAGAGCTCTAGAGGTGTGTTGAACCTAGTAATTTGTCCACCTCCGATGCAATGACACCCTGATAGAGACTCTCACAGACCCTTCAAGTTCATTTGTCTTGTAGAAGAACTCAAGTGAACGGGTGGATGAAGTGTGGATGATCTGAACTGCACGTAAATGCAATTGCTCCGTGCATCGCCATCTTCTTGGAAGTCAGTGCTACCTGTGACTGAGAAATCCCCAATTTCCCTGTGAGCATTCAAAAACCAATGTAATGAAGTATGTCTCGTTGTCAAGTCAAGCGCTCGTATCGCTCGCAAGCTCTTACCAACATAATGCATGATGGCAAGGAATGTGTTCATGATTACAACGACCACGAGATCTCTGTCAAGGTATGATATATTTTCGTTAGACAATTGAATGCAGGCATACCGTGGTTCTCTTCTCGGCATGCCTTCGGATGATCCCTTGCATGTGTTGAATTTGAGAAAATAGGCGCATTGGAGCCTACTTCCCAAAACGAGGTTATAGGCTGTCCTCCGGGGCAGAGCAGACTCCGTCGAGGACAGGAGTTACAAGGGATGAAATTGAAGACTGGGGAGACCAGGCCAAGTGAGTACCAAGAACCTGCGGTCATGATGCATGATCCTCGCTTGAACCAGAGGGAACCCCCACAAGCTACGGCGGTCACCGAGCATTCTCGAATTTTAACAGAGGACAATGTCATGATAATCATTGCGATAGTGAACACGGACAAGACAGTCGTTCTGTTGCGAGAAATTTTGGTTGTTTCACAAGAGGGGGTTGTTGGGCGCTTACTATGATTGGTCCCACTGTTTGGCCATGTGGCTGATACGCCTCGAGCGTCGCACTTCAGACATCTGTTCTGCACAGTGCACTACACCAACCACACCCCTTGTTCTTTCCGTTCACACTCTGTCCATTCGTCTCAGTGTTGACGGTGGCACTGATATCCACTCCTGCTCTCTTCCTGCTAGCTTGAGAGCCTTTCAATTACCGGTCGTCTCAGAGGAAGCCCACAGTACACATCCTCACAGCGCCACCTAATGGATGGCCTCTCTAAGGCGCGTGCGTTCTTGTCGACATGGAGCAAGAGCGGGGAGGCAGAATGGTGTGTAACTTGCGCCTTGACTTTTGATGATTTCTAAATGTTCTCCAAGCCGCAAGTTTGTGGCGTCCCTCCACTCCAACTTTTCTAGCCCAACATCCGTCGATGTCCTGACTACGACCTATCACGCCTTGCTCTGTGCCGCTTTGACCACTTGGTCTCCAGAGCACCCCTTATCCTCGAGCGCTTTCGTGACATTCGTCCAATCAGTCTTGCACGAGCTACCGTCGTCATCGCAGGATGCCATGGTCTCCCCTTCGACTGCACAAGCGCTCGGGGAAGTGTTGATAGATATCATCTGGTCAATAGACTCACAACTGGAAGAAATATTGATGGATGCAAAATCTGCTGCGACAGTTGAGCAGATGGGAAACGCGAGCGACACGTCCCCTGTTATGAAGTCCAAAAAGACCGCTGAGAAAGACAAAGAAGTCCTGGTGGATGTTGTGAGACAGATGCTGGTACGTTTTGTATGTTCGTGGATCGAGTGGCACACTATTTATGGTGCCGTGTTCCCAGAACACTGGAATTCTGGACCCGGTTCTCTGTCGAGAGCGCTTGGACATGGTGCTTGTCTCAAATGTGGGCCTTGTCTCGGACAAAAGTGTCTTCGACAAGAAGGAGATCCGTATGAGGACCGCTCTTTTGTACGTAGTCGCGCCGGCGCTTGACTTGATCTTCCTTACGCTTCCTTTCTAGCTACAAGCAAAACAAGTTCAATCTGCTTCGAGAACAGTCGGAAGGCTTTTCAAAGCTCATCACCGAAATCACCAGCGCTCTTCCTCCCCCCCATTCTTCAACTACTGGCCTCCCGGGCGAATCTTGGCCGGCAATTGCTGAACACGCACGGCCTGTTTGGGAACGGGTTGTCAGTTTGATTGGGCATTTTGATCTGGATCCTAATAGAGCCCTGGATCTCATATTGGATCAATTCACAGTCCATCTGGCGACGCACTGGAGTTTTTTCTTGGTGCTCTTGAGCCTTTCGCCGTGGGGAGGTGAGAGCTCGATGCTCGATGATACTTCAGAGGACAACAAGGCAAGGATGAATGGGGATGTGCCAATCGATGGTGAGGCAGGAATGTATGATGGCAAAGATCTAGACGAGGTTCTAGCATTGGCAGAGGCTAACTCGAACCCGCCTCTCTCTTCTCCACCAAAATGCGGTAACAACCGAGTTTTGGCTCAGGTTCTGGGCTTCAAGTTCCGACATTATCAGGTGCGCGCCATCCTCACTATCCCATGGTCTATTTGAACCTAAGCGCATCCAGTCACCGGAGGTTACGGAGTCGACTCCTAGACACCTCTATTTGACGGCCGCTCTCCTTATCCGAGAAGGATTCATCTCGTTGGAAGATCTGTATTCGCATCTTACACCTACCGACGACGACATGGAAGGCAAAGAACGCCAGGCTTACCTTGCAACTGTGACTTCCCGCATCTCGGCCGCCAAGGTCAGTCAGCTTGCCATGGCTGCTCCCCTCGAGTCTGCCTCGCAGCCAAAAAGCCGACCCTCTGCGCCGCTGCCCGAGGCCAAGAAACCTACGGCTGCTCCTGAGCCGAAGGAACCGCCTCATCAGAAGCTTGGCTTGGTGACTGCTTTGTTCGCTGTAGGTGCGATCCGGCCCGCTATCGCGATTCTCACCAAGTTCCCGTGGATGGTCGATGCCCATCCTGAGATTGCGGACCTAGTCATACGGGTGATGAGACACTCTTTGTCCCCTCTCTACGAGTCTCTGCTGGTGACGAAGGATCGCAATCCTTCTGATATTCATCCTCGTGCCCGGTATAGCACCAGCGGTGTTGTTCAGGCTCCTAGCCGGAAGCCTGCCTTGACCCTATGGGCACCAACTCCACCCAGCACCAGTACGGTAGATTTCGTGTATTTTTTTCCCAGTTGGACCGATCGGGTGCCAGTATCTACAACTCTGGAGGATTTGGTTAACGTCATCGAACCGTTGATGGCGTTTGTTGGACTTCATGTTTCCAGAGATCCATTGTTCCTGACCAAATTTTTGAGGCTTGGGCGTCTTCACCTTCAAGCGACGGTACGTGTTCATGCACGATCTACTCAGAAACTCGAATTTATTGCCTCGGCAGATTGAAGTTGATTCTGAAACCAAAAGGCCTGTTGGTCAGCCTGACCCAGATCACCCGACGCGCCGATTCTGGTTCAAGATCCTCCGCTCATACCTCCTCCCAGCTCTTCCTCTCATCCGTGGCAATGCTGTTTGTACCGTTGAAATCTGGAACATCATCCGTCAATATGAAACAACAGCTCGGTGGCGACTTTATGGCGAATGGAAGACCAGGACCTATCAGTCGCACCCTGAACTCCGCGTGCGTGCCATCCAGGCGGATCGTGAGTCGAAGGGTATCTTGAGGCGCTTGTCACACAACACGATAGATACCCTTGCCGGCACTGTGGCGAAGCTTGCTCACAGCAATCCTTGTATATTCTTCGCGAATGCTGTGAATCAGATCATGGCATACGACAACTTGGCCGGAGTTGTGATTCAAGCTTTGAGATATGTGACAAATATGGGCTTTGACGTCCTAGTCTACATCATTTTGGATGCCTTGGCCAACCCAAACAAGGACAGAGTCAAGGATGACGGTGTCAATACATCTGACTGGCTGCAGAGTGCGTATCATCGGCCTCTTCATATCCTTCGCTATTCTCAGCTTTTGTATAGGTCTTGCTTCCTTCACTGGCATGCTTTTCCGCCGATACAGCGCTGATCTCACCCCTCTCCTCAAATACATCGTCCACCAATTGTACAATGGGCAGACGAGCGAGATTATCGTCCTGCGGGAGTTAATCTGGAAAATGGCCGGTATCGAACCTCTTCCTAGCCTCTCAGAATCGCAGATCGCGGCGATGGCTGGTGGACCCACTCTTCGCATTGAGGCTGTGGCATCGAAGACCCGCGGCGCACGTCTGGATCCAGGTGATGCAGTCTTGAAAGGACCGCAGAGGCTGGGTAAGGCCTTACTGGATTCCTCGCTCGCTCTGCCACTCCTTATCCAGGTGGCTCAGCAGCGGCAGTCAGCGGTGTTTCGAACTCAAGACGCTCATCTAAAGTCGCTTGCTAGTCTCTATGACACGGTGAGGTCGTTCGATCGCTATGAATGACGTGTTATTGACGGCGTTCTTCCCGAAGACCCACGGAGTGTTGTTGCAATACTTGGAATTGCTCACGTCGCCCGTCGTTATCTCCCCCCAGGACTACGCTAAGAAAGTCATTCCAAAACTTTCTGAGCTTGGTGAAACGTACGGGATTGGCGCACCTATATGCATGCAGATAATGCGCCCGATTTTGCATTCAGCCCTCTTGGTTCGTTTCTCGTCGTACTACTCCGCAGATTGGTAACGCTCAAACAACCCGAGCAGGCGGCTGCACTTGCTATGCAAGAACAAGAACAAATTGCTAGTCAGGAGGCTGAAAAACGTCTGAAGGCCGCTCTTGCTGCGAAGCGCGATCCCAGCACGGCAACCTCCCGTATCGCATCGCCCAGCATCGGCGAGTCGGGCATGGCTGTTGAGATACCTTCGGAGCTGAAGACTGAAAGCAAACCATCCGAAGATGTTGTCATGGATAATGGTACTGTTTCTACTTCTATGTCGTCGCCAAAGCCAGAGGTAAAGACTATATCTCTTTGACTTTTCAATGTTAGATTTATAGCGAATTTTCTTACAGAGCCCTTGGGTTCCCGAGATGAAGGAGCTATTCGACGATGTCAAAAAAATCGCTTCTCAAGATGCATACGATGTGATCGGGCAAGTTTCATCTCTGTTTTGGAGTAGTTGAAGTCTGGCTTACAGTGATTTCAGGCCAGGCTTCTATCTCACTTTCTGGCAGCTCTCTACGTATGATCTCGCGCCTCCTGGAGCCAGATACGACGAGGAGGGTGTCGCACTCCGCAGTCTCAGCCGTCAAGAAGATGGAAAATACAATACTGCAGATCGATCGTCGGACCGGACCAAGCGTCAGAGCGCACTCGCTCATCGTGCGCGTCGTGATCGCTATAACGCATTCGTCAACACTCTCGCGCAAGAGTACAAGGAACAAACCGCGCTTCGCATGTACACGATTAAACGACTTGCTAAGGAAAAGTCCCACTGGTTCGCTCATAGTACGCGCCAATGTTTATTTATGAATGAAATGTTCTCAACATGGTTAGCTCCAGGTACCAAAGCTATCACACTGTCTTCTGCGGTGATTGAGCACTGTATTCAACCTCGCTGCCTTTTATCCCCCATGGATGCCGATTACTGTGCTCAAATGATCAAATGCATTCATACATTGGGGACACCGGGTTTCAGTACATTGATGACTTACGATAGGGTGAGTATCCATTGGTATGTCCGTAATACCCAATTAACGTGCAAGCAGCTTCTTGGAGACCATGTCAAGGTAGTTGTGTTTTCTGCCAGTGAATATGAGGCGAGGAACTATGGTATGATGTAACGACAGATGAACATGGCCGTAGAGCTGACGACTACTCAGGCCGATTTTTGTTAGGCATCCTAACAGACCTCTACAAATGGTATCAAGATGAACAAGCGTATCTACAGGACAACCGTGTAAAGATCGGTGGAAAACCTGCTTGGCTGCCAGGGTTCCAACACCCATGGTCCAACAAAAGCACTATCGAGCCTTCGTCCGTCTTGCCTTGGCACAAGTTCCAGCAGATCGTCAAAAAATGGCACCGAAAACTGTTCAGGGTATGCTATTCTCTTTGATCTTTCTTCGCTTGTTGACACTGTTTCCATCAGTCATTCGCGGACAGCATCCAAACTGGAGAATTTATGCACGTTTACAACACCATCATCGTTTTGAAGGAAATACAGCCTGTCTTCCCATTGTCCACAGTTTCAGAGGTCATGGGTATGCACCTGAACCAGGTCATGGAGTCCTTCTTGAGTAAAGAGGGGCGTGGTGACTTGAAAATCCTAGGCAGAGCGTGAGTAAATTTTGTTGATGACACCGCGACTTTCAGCTTCAATATCGTCTATGGCCATAGATATCATGCAAGTCTCTTAAAACGGGAGGCTCAGTGGGCTCCGCCAAAAAGCGCCGTGAGCAAGGTAAGTCTATCGTCATTTCTTATCAAGCTTGGGCTGAGGCAGAAATAAATCCTAGCCAAACGCTTCTGCTCCCTCTCCCAGGACAAATGGTTCACCGTCTCCGATGTCCACTCCGGTGGCGGCTCCTTCAGCTGAGAAGCCTCGCGGCATCGTAGCGCCAACTCCATTAGCTCCCCGCGCCCAGCTCAATACAGTCAATGGAGCATCTTCACTCTCGTCCACTAAAATAGCTATGGATAGGTGAGGATTTCGCAGTGATCTCACCGTATGCATACTTATGCCCTTCGTATCAGCATTCCTAGGCCTGAGGTGGTCAAGCGAATCCGCACAGAACCCAGAGCAGGGACTCCCACGCAACCGTCCGCTAACGGCAAATCTCCCGATATCAAAGTACAACCGATGGACATTGACATAGCCCATGTTGAGAGCAATGATAAGGTACAAACGCCTGCTAACCCACAAGATTCATCCGCCGTTCCTACACGTCCTTATCGAAACCTCGCTAGCAAGATTTCAAGCCCTCTGCCCAACGCTCCTAGCCCTCGACCCGATGCTCCTAGCCCTCGACCCGATGCTCCTGTCTCTTCTGCGACACCTCAGAAACCCCCACCTTTAAAGGACTCTCATCATGCTGTCACACCCATGTCTGTGTCTACAAATGTCCCGATGACCAAACAACCACCTCAATCCCCGAGGAGCCACCGACCTCTTGATGAGAGATTTATTCGCCCAGAGGTCCCTCAAATGCTACCGCCATCCGCTCCCAGCCAAACTGTGTCTGCGCAAGAACTGCGCGAGACTGCAAAGCAGACTGTCGGAAGACGAGGACCGCTAGATGAGATGTTCGAAGACAAAGGACGAGCCCCTCCGAGCGAACCACGCCATCAGGCCAGTAGCTCTAGGGCGCCTTCGCCTGCACGTCGCAGATCTCAGTCCCCCCCTACGCGACCTGGCACACGGAATCCTAGTAATGAGAGCCGCACCAGCGCTGGCCGATCTCGCTCAGATCGGGGAGATGGTGAGCGTTCGGATGATAGACGAGGGGATCGCGACATCAGGCAGGAATCCCGGTCATCTGACCGTCGAGATGGGGCTCTTCACCAGAGCGAACGTAGAGAACGACTAACCTCACGGGATGCTGAGCGGGAGAGAGATCGCGACAAAGATCGTGGTCGAGATAGACATGGCGATCGGGAGCGCGAAAGAGAGCGTGATCGCGACAAAGTCAGAGAGCCACGAGAACGTGATCGAGACAGAGACAGAGACAGGGGCGAGCGCGAGCGCGACAAGGAAAGAGATCGAGAGAGAGGTGATCGTGACCGGGATCGTGACCGACACCGCAGGGATGAGAAGGACCGCGACCGGGAAAGTAGAAAAGACCGGGATGCCCTCGGTCGTGGGATCCCTCCCTCTGCCGTAGATGACCGCTCAATTCCCAATCGCCCTGATCCGTCAAGGCATCGTAGTGCGCAAACCGGAGATGAGGCGCTCGGTAAGCGAAGAAGGTCCGCAGAGGATGAGGTACGTGTATCCGCCATTATGCTCCTTTCGTGCTGCTCACGGAACTATTTGCCGTAGTCCGAAAGAGCCTCAAAGCGCAGCACTCGCGACAAAGGTCATCGCGACGAGCGCACGCGTCGCTCTTCTGAGAAGGACCACGACCGACCGCGTGAGTCTGACAGAAGAAGACGGGAGCGTGATGGACCTGAAGGCGAGAGTCGGTCTGCGCCTGGGGATAAAGTGGGTATATTCCTCACTCTCACTTGCGCAAATTATTTACTTATCCGCTCATAGCCAACGGAAAAGCGGGTTCCAGAAGGACCCGCATCCTCCATCAAACCATTACCCGCCTCAACGCCTTCTGCTCCGAGGGCTATGGCAGCTGGCGAGCCTCCTTGGTTGATTAAGCCTGAGGTCATGAGCGGACGTGATCGACCTATTCGAGAGCCCCCACTCTATCAAGCTCCGAATGGATCTTCTACCACTGTCACAGCTGTGGCCCCACCGTTACTGGAATCATCTTCGACGGCCAGCCTTCGCTCTCGCATCGGTGAGAGGGAAATGCCTCGCCTTCCCCAGGGGCCCATCTCGCATTATCTGGATGCTCCTCTTATACCTGATCGCAATCGACCAGATGACGATCGAGATGGTGCTAGGAAACGCACTTTGTCTGGTGAGCTTCTTGATTCTTATATGTAAAGAATATAAACTTAAGGTCCTGCGTAGACCGAGAAAAAGACACCATGGGAGACGTTGGTCTTAGTCTGGGTCAAGACGTTACACTGCAGCCGCCGAAAAGACCTCGCATCAATCGTACCCGATATGTCTCGGGTGGGTCTCATGCCATAGCGAAGAAATTGCTTCCTATAGATCCTCAGGCTGGAGACAAGAATCGGTCAAGCCGACAGGATTAGCATCTCTCATACTTGTTTGCATGTAGCTTACATTTACTTGCCTCTATTGTGTATATGTACCGTAACTGATGCATCTGCGCCAGTCCTGGAGTCATAAATCTGGTGCAATTTATTTGGACTTAAAAGAAAAGCAAGTCCAAACATCACGGCATGCCGAGTTGGGCAAGAGTCAGTAGAATGAACGGCGTGTCGCCCTGCATAAGACGCTATCGGCTCATTTGTACGGAAGTTCGGGCTTCGACGTGATCTTATGACCTCGTGATCAGCAGAGAGCACCGATTGAAGTCATTGTCTAGACAGGGGATGAAGCATGAATTCATGATGGTCGGAGGGAAGCTGCTGTAATGGTTGGCGACGTGACGGCTGGCGGATAGGGGCGTTGACACAAGCCGTAAGCAGGCTGGTTGTCTTCAACTGATACTGAGGTCACTGTGCAACACGTAGTAACATCAAAGTCGCGAAGTTGAAGTATGAATTCTTCTGAGTAGCAGTAAGCGGGGGCCAGTGGAATACGGCCGTTGATTTGGGACCTTTGCGAAGATCACAAGCTCACGAACGCGAGATTTTGTGACTCTGGTACACACTTGAGCTCAATGAGGCAATCAGCTCATCCATTTCACATTTATGAGGGTCTACGGTATCACCGCAACATGAGCCCCCACTTTCGTAGGAGGAAGAATCCTGCATGCTGTCGACAGGTACCACGAATCGTGGAATGAAGTACGAGTTGAATCGAAGGGTTGCGAGTTGTATCGCAGTTATATCGCAGGCCAGGCCGGTTTAGCGCCCCTTGATGAGCGTCAGGAACTCTTCACGCGTTTTCTGCTGGGTACGAAAACAGCCAAGCATACAGGACGTCACAGTGATGGAGCCGGGTTTCTGGACACCACGCATTGTCATGCATAAATGGCTACATGCATATGTGAGTGAGGCTATGCGCAGTAGAGGTTCCACGATACGCACGTTGCTTCCATAACGACAGCGACACCACGAGGCTTGATGGCCTCCTCAACGCAAACGGCGATCTGCTTTGTGAGTCGCTCTTGAACTTGCAGCCGACGGCTGAAGGTCTCTGCAATCCGCGCAAGCTTGGACAAGCCAAGAACGAGCTTATTGGGAATATAGGCTATAGCCACCTGGAGAAAAGCGTTTCATTTGAGGATGGGTTCGAAAGTGGCGAGAAGATATACCTTGCCTGTAAAGGGAACGAGGTGATGCTCGCACAAGCTCGAGATGTCAATGTCACGGACCAAGACCATCTCGTCATGATCTTCTGCGAAAACAGCGTCATTGATTACATCTGCCAAGGGACATTACCTTTCAGTGATGTGGGACGAAGACATTTCAAAACGGCTGCACCTGCCAGTCGCTCTTCATATCCTTTCGTCATCCACATCAAGGCCTGCGCATAACGATCCGGCGTCCGAAGCAGGCCCTCGCGGTCAGGATCCTCGCCAATGCACTCCAGGACGGTGCGCACAGCTGCAGTAAGTTTTTTTTCACGTGCGGCTTTCTCGGCAGGTGTGGCGTTGAGCCGAAAAAGCGTAGACTTCGCTGAATGCATGATATATGTCAAAATCTGCGCACTGACGAGAAATTTGACGACGTACCAGGCCATCCCAGCCCATTGATATCAGGTAAGGGGCTCGCTCTGTCCGGAGCATGGGTCGATGCAGGAGTGGAGAACCCCGATGCAGGGCGGAAGCCGTATCCTTCACGAACGAGCGATGAAGACGCGATTTTGCTCCGATTCAGAGACGAAGACGAAGGGATAAGTTGAGATTCTCTCGAGTCATGATCTTCGTCGTCTGGTGCACTGCTTGGAGTTTCTGCGAATTTGTCGAGCGAATGCTGGCCTTGAGGGGTGTCTGCTGCCGAATCAATCTGTAGTTGGCGCAAGCTATCAGATAGCAATGTTCCGTGGTTTTTATCGGAAGACATTAGTTGGCGGTGAAATGGGATTAAAGTCTGTTGAAAAAAAAAGATAAATAGTAGACAGAGTAGAAAGATTGGAGAAGATTGGAGAGCCCGGGGTCAGACGGGGTCCGAGTTGGCCAATGATTAACCGAGTCCTACAAAGGAAATCTGTAAGAGCAATCAAGTTCCACCGAGCGCATGTGCATGGCACCACGACTGAGCAAGCTTCTTTGGATCCATGCCACGGCGGGTTTTCGCCTTGAGCTGTCTCGACAGTTTCATCTCGGAATCATGAGAATTAGTTTGAGGCTTGGGGGGCTTTGGGAGAATTCGACATGGAAAACATGAAATTAGGCAAGATCATTAGATAACAGGGGTGTCCGGGGATGCCGGTTCAAGTCCGGCACTGGCAATGCGTCTCAAAACCCGAACAATGTTGTCGCCGTTTACGGCGATCTGAAGGAAAGAACAGAACAGAAACCTTCCTCAACGGTCGACTTCTACTATTCTTTTACTCCAGTTGTCTTTTCAGGCGCCATATTCCCAGCTCTTGCTTGCCATTTCCTGACTTACTAATTTATCCACTCTAGTATAAACTGTAGAAAGTTTATGGCTCACTGTCATGTCTGGTCTCAAATGACACCGTCCTGATCTCGATGGTACACCTCAGGATGTTTCCTAGTGCCGGATAAATGAAGCAGTTTCAGACCTCACATAGAAGGAAGGTACATACCGAGCACAACAGAAAAGTTCCCTGTCATGGTTTGCACAGCCTGCCCCGCAGGTATCCTTACCCCCAGTTTCGTATTTATACGTCAGTTGCATCCTGATCTTGCTCGTCTTCTCCTGTTTTCTGTGTCTCAGATGCCTTCCTCACTGCTCTCTCTTCGAAGCTTTCTTTCTGGCCGTTGTATACCTTCCACTAGCCAACTTCGTCACAGCAAACCAGCTCAGAAACCCCGTTCGGAGGAATCACTCAAATTCACTCCAGCTCAGACCGATTCTATTTACGATGCATGGCTTGCCTCTCGCGCTGATATTGTGGTCTCAGCTCCACACTTCAGCGCTGGGGCTAACCGCCCAGTAACCAAGGCAAACCTCAAACTTGCACATCGGATCGTCAAACTTTGTGCTCCAGAGATCTTAAAGTTATTCTGGAATCTCCATCCTTACCGGACTCTTATTATGGTATGCATCAGCTTCGTGCGAGGCATGTTGCCTATTTTCAAGGGCTACTCCCATGCCTTGATAATTAACGAGGTTAGTCATATAGCACTATCTCGGATCCCCCTCACTCATAAAGTTATATTTCAACAATCAGATCCAGTCTCTCATCACTTCGGGCCATTTTACATGGTCTCACTTACTTTGCCTGCTAGGCTCAGAATTTTTACGGGTTGTCTGTGAACGGCTATTGGATTCCTTCGCGTAAGGCAAATCTCGCTCGGTATTCTTGTGATAGCCGCCATCTTACACATTACCATGCTGCAGGGCGGATAACGAGCATCTCGTACAGAGCTCGGCACGTTTTCTTGTTGAATATCAGCAGATGGAACAACGCGTGCGCCTTGATGTGCCCACGTTGTCAGATCCGATGGTTCGCGATCTTCTGGCAGAGTCCGATATGTTCGTTTCATCATTCCAGGGCGTGGGCGGCTTTGGCTTGTTCTCTCCCATCGACTTCATCCGCATCCTCACTCTCCTATCCGAACTGGTATCGCACATCTTCATCCTCTCATCCCTAAAATACAACTCGCTCTCCGCGTTAACACTGGTTCTATCCGTTATCTCTTCTGCATACCCATTCCTTCAAACTTATTTTGCACCCCACCGATACGGATTCCAAATATCTGCCTATGAGGAGGACGATGCCCGTCATGCGGAAAAGCAGGAGCAGATGCGGCACCTGTCTATGAGTGAGTCGCATCGTCCCGAAGTGATGTTATTTGGGCTAGGCCCTTGGATCCTAGCCACTTGGGCCTCTGCGCGCAAGGCTGGTTTGGGCATGCATCAGCCTCGCCGGGCGCGATCATACTCCATCTCGTGGTTCATATCTCATCTCAACATCACGGAACTCATCATCGCACTACAAAACGTATGTGCTCTCCTTTTCCTTACCTTTGAAGGAAAGATCGGGTGCCGACCTTGCATTTTTTCGCCAGATACCATTTGTATTGATGCTTCAGACGTCCACCTCCCTCGGCTCCTTGGCTTTGTACCGCAGCTCCGTCCAATCTATAGTCTATGCCGTCAGTAACCTATTCATCACGATACAAATGACGCTCCAAGGTATTTTTTTGATGGGCGCATTCTGTGCCTCTATGGAGGTTGAACCTCACCTGCGACCCAAGAAGGGGAAGACGGTCCGGTACGAAACAAAAGGCCGAGGCATGAAAATAGAGGCACGGTAATGATCATGCCCGTTCCTCGCATTCTATGACCATCTCTGAATGAGACTCACTGTGCCCCTAGGAACTTGTCATATACCTACCCAGGCTGCACAGAGCCGGCCTTGCGAGACATAAACTTCACGCTCGAGGTTGGAGAGACCTTGGCACTTGTAGGATGTAATGGCTCAGGTGAGTACAATTCATGTTCTTACCTCAGCGATTTTTCTGACGGTCATCTTTCAAGGAAAATCAACACTAGGCAAGGTTTTATTACGCATAGTCGGGTTCGACTCGGGAGAGCTCCTCGTGAACGACGTCGATGTGCGCCGATATGATCCAACAGATCTTCATCGCGCTTCAAGTACCGTTTTCCAAGGATTCTCAAAATATAACGGCTCGTTCACTGAGAATGTCGGGATCGGATTTGTCGAAGACATCGCATCTCCGTCCGCACTCAAACACGCCATCAAACTCGCAGAAAGTGAACACATCGTAGACTCTCTCCCCCAAGGCATCCATACCCGTCTGGACGCGCTTGGTTATGACTCTGCAATCTACCCTCCGCTTGGGCAACACAAGGGGATGAATGCGGAAAGACCCACGTGGATGCCTCATGGACTGTCTGGCGGCGAGGTTAGCAATCATCCTACCATTCCAATCCCAGAAGTGGTTGTAATATGACTTTACTCGACCTCGTCCATGCGCCCACGTCTGTTTCGTGCACAAACAACGTCTATCTCGTACTGCCGATTTGTAACGGCAGTGGCAACGCATAGCACTCGCGCGCGCATTTATGCGCGCACACCGCCCTGAGGTTGACCTTCTATTGTTTGACGAGCCGGTGCGTGTAAACTCGCCTTACTCATAACCCTGCGGTGCTTATTAAGTCAATTGAAACCGCTAACCAAATGAACGGGTTTAACGTGACTGCCTAGACTTCGTCGCTAGACGCACACGCTCAGAACAAGATATTCGACACGATAAACTCGATCTCGCGATCAGCCAGCGGTGAGAAGACCAAGACGGTCGTCTTCGTCACCCACCGCCTTGCTACGGCACGTCGAGCGGACAAAATTGCCATGATGGATCATGGGGTATGTCCCACTATGTCAAGGCATTGCCAAATGACTCTGACATCTTCCCAACCATCGGCATCAGTCAATTACTGAGTTTGGGACTCATGAGGAGCTTCTAAAGCTTGGGGGTTCATATGCATCATTGTATTATGCTTCTGTCTGACTGGGCATGGCAGCTGGATCCACATGCGTTCCAAAACACAGTTCAAACTCACGGCCACATACGTACAATGGCGGCATTGTGACATCCGGACTGGCACTACTTTTAGTTAAGTATGTCGATAGAAAAGATACATCATTCTTACGATACAGTGAGGAATTGCTATCTTGGATACATAAAGTATGTACTTTCTTCAGATACGAATCGAGTGACCATTAAAGTCAAAAACACCATCTCGGAAAAGGGCATCAACAGCACTATCTGGCCCAGAATTGAGCATGTTCGGCATTGGCATGCCATACGTTCCGACCAATAGACCCGCATTCCTGACGCCTCGAATTAGAGAAGGGACCAATGCCTGGAGGGGAAACAGAGGTTGGTTTATCATTAAGCAGCAATAACAACCACACTTACTAATAGATCAGCATCCACAAATATTCCCAAAAGGTTGTTATCTTTGGCGAATTCAACGGCAGCACTCAGGCTGGATAGCCGTCGGTCGTTGGTATCTTTTGTGCTGAGGGCTGTGTCGCTAGGAGAACTGCGGTTGACCTCGCCGCATTGAGTCGCGAAGAAGACGGGGTCTGCCGAGATGAACGTCGATGTGAGCAATCAGTGCATGAGGAGATGAAGGGCTCGAGCGTACAGTTCGGTTGCTTCCAATTCACAGCCGCACAAGCATCTGGGAAGAAAGAAGTAAAAATGATCTTTCTACGGCTTGGATGCCCCTCTAGTAACGCGGAAACACGATAGACTGTCCGCAGAATCGATTCCACGCATGCATTCAACGGCAAGGTATGCCCAAACGAATATCGACCCCTGATCTTTGCAGATGGATAAGCCAATTCCAAACAAACGCCCATAGAGACCGGTAAAACCTTCAATCAAAAGCATAGCCCCTGAGTCAGTGGTGACAGGGAACGTTTTTCATGACGCCCACCTTCATAAGATTTTCTAAAGACAACATAGATGATGACACAAGTTTGTGCCACTCTAAGACTGATGAAGGGAGAGGTTCCGTGAACCGAAATCCCCTACCTATCCTCTCTGCCAACAACTCGAACTGTAATAGAGTAAGGTCGGCTACCCCAAGATCCAAGTTGTGTTCTGGCACTTGCCAGCCTGCAAACACAACTGGATGCAGGTCTCGTGTGATTTGAACTGTCACATATAGATAGCTGCCGGAGACCGAGGAGACGGTTATGGGTCGTAGATTGGATACATGTGACGAGCCCGTGGGTGATGCCTGTACAGATCCTATAGGCGGCGGTCGTGGAATACTCGAAGGAACATTTTTAGATTCGGGCGCCATGCTGAGCTGAGATAGTGACTTCCAGTAAGTTTCGACTGCGCCACCAATTTCCAAGGTTACACCCTCGAAAGGTGTAATGATATTAATTTCGAATGAAACCTGTAGTCTTCCCTGTTATTCATGGGATCACGAAGAAAAATGAACTCCTTACTTCTCCGATGACATGTAAACGATGATCTAGTATAGGCAACGTGAAGGCTTCGCTGTTATCGATTTTGTTGAATAGCGAGGGAAGTGCGATAGCTCGGCCGATAGTTTTGGTGCCGAAATTGGGGTTCAAAGAGAATTCTAGAGACAGCTGGCGTAGTGATTGTGCCTGGAAAGTTAGGACATGCATATCGTCCGAAAGAGGGAGTAGAATAGTTTGAGGCGCAGAAGTAGCATTTGGCGATGATGTCATGACGAGCTTGAAGAGAGGGGAAGAGAGTAAAGACATTTCCGAGGTGCCAGAGCCTATGAGTCGGGGATGAAGTCGGACAGCGGAGGAAACCTGGTTCGATGAATCAGAGGAGGGTGGATAGGCATTGCCGATAGTGACTTGAACCAAGCATTGTTTGTCCAGATAGTTGTGACCATAAACGCGATGAGGCATCATAGGAGGAGGAAGAGACAGAGAAGGAATCATGTCAATGTCTGACTCCAGAGCCCGTAAAGCACTAGATCCAGTAGAAATTACAGAGGGACTTCGTGCCGAAGAATCTCCAGCAGCGACCGAGCTGTCGCCCAACAAAAGAGTGAGACAGTCTTGATGGCCATACCAAGCAGCATAATGCATGGCAGAATTCCCTAATTCGTCGATGACATTCGTCCGGCTGCCAGCTGCCAGCAACACTTCAACGCACGTATTGTGTCCATACCGCGTGGCGTGAAATAGTGGCGTCCATTCATTGTATTTGTCTGGGACGTCCCATCCATCGTGGTGAACAAGAAGCTGACAGATTTCGGCATGTCCTTTTCGCGCAGCAAAATGTATGGGGTACTCGCCGTTGTTATTTGGCAGACTTCTAGCTCCATGCCTGAGAAGTAGCAAGACAACATCCATGTGGCCGGCCAGACTGGCCAAGGATAGCGGTATCAGCTCCCCATCAACAGAACTCAGTTGAGCTGACACCCCGCCCTCTTCAAGAAGCACCCGCACACAGTCAACATTCCCTTTCAGCGTAGCATAGACAATCGGTGTGTAGTTTTCCATGTCACGGATGTACGGCGACACCTTGACCTCCAGAAGGCGCCGACAAACGCCGGCATGACCATTCATAGCGGCATAATGGAAAGCTGAGCGTCCGTAGACATCAACCTTGTCGGGTTGTACTCCATTTTCCAAGCATAGGTTCACCAGACGTAATGCTCCAGAGATGGCAGCTTCATGAAGACAAGTCCGTCCATTGATGTCATCCACAAACTGATAGTCGAACGGCTGAACGGTATTCGAAAGAATCAGATTGGCCAGATCTGGAGGTGCATCAACGATAGCCCGCCACAAGATACGAGTGATGTTCATCTTGGCCTGTTGCTGCTGTCCAAGTGTGTCAGAATAGAGTAGGGCTTTCTTGATGGCAGTTTCGTCGCCACCAGCCACCGCTTTGCGCAGATCGCTCTCCAGGTCTCGGAACAGGCCCATGTGGGCATTTCCCTCGATGGTCAACTGGCGATTCAATATGAGGTCGTTGACGGCTTGACCATCGAGTGCAAAGCCGGACGAAACATCGGTGATGTCGACAAGACAAGCCGTGACTGTGTCAGAAAGTTCTGAAATGAGCTAAAAGGTACAAAGCATAAGTAGATAGTAAAGTTATAGGAGATATTGCGGACCTGTCTGTTGAAAACGGGTTGTACTTCAACCTGTCGGGCAAGATACAGTTCTTTGGTCGTAGACTTGGAACGTTTGTCCCATTTTTTGAGAATCTTCCGGAAGCCGGTAGCATTGATCTCGATAAAATGCTAGAAGAAGTTCGGTTTTGCATACTCAAATGTGAAATCAGGTTCGCTTCGTTTTACCTGCAGTTTTCCAAGATCTCGCTCGATGAGACGGAACCCTTCCTCAACTGCTTTCCATTCAACATAATTTTGCGTGGCATCGTCAACTCCGTCTGGAAGCACCCTCATCGCCGCCGCTCGCCGCTTAGAAAGGAGGGTCTCTAGTCGGAGCTTGAGCTCGGCTTCCTTTCGTAGATAAAATGCATTGATCTACACAAGCGTGTATCAGTGATGTGGAACCCATGTCCATGATGATTTCACGTACCTTCTCCAGTTCACGCTCTAACTTGAAGAAGAACGCAGCCTTATGCGCTTGAAAGTCAGGTCCACCTTCATCCTCCTTTCCGTAGGTTTGTAAGATCGAAGGCTCTACTTGTGCCTCAGGCGTTCTATCGATGCTATGGATGTCGAAAGGGGGTGCTTGAGCAACTGCATCTCCTGGACGTATCCCTAACGCAAGAGAGGCTGCCTCGGATGCCGGCCGTTTCGCAGCGAGCGAGGAGACAATCTTCTTCAGAAATTTGTAGTCCAGGTAATACTCGGACCATCCAGGGATGATCTCCGCCTGTAGCTGCTTGCCGAACTGGTATTTCGATGTGCCTTCAAAATATTGCACACTTTTGGAGATTTGGAGGCATACCTTCATGGCTCCTCAAAGAAGGACTCCTTTGATTCAAAGGACGGACCAAACGTCCTAAACAAATGAATGGCCAGACAGATTCGAACAAACCGACGGACAAGAGACAGTCGTGCTCCGAATTGAGCTTGAGTTGGAGCTGCTTTGTGGTAGTGCCATAACCCCAAATTGGTAATTGAGATTTTGCCGGCGGTGTGGCGGCCGCACGCACTGGTCTATATCAACATCATCTTGCCCTTCCTCCTGATTCTCGTGTTTGACAGCCGTAACACTGAAGGAGCCATCGATAACTATCCCTAACAGCTTCAACTTCTGGTTTGATGCCGAAGGATTGATTTCAGACGAACGTGCGTCCCAGGCTCCAGTCACGGTACATACACCCGCCTATTCCATGACCCGATCACCTGCGTTCGGGCTGCAACCTGAAAATCAGACCAGTGTCCACTCAAACCGTCTGTTCAGTGTGTTCTCAACTTAAATCAACTACTTGATCTGTATACGCATACTGAATCTATCATCATGGTGAAACCGGCCATTACGATGTATCATATGAGGACCTTTCGCAATTGCCATAACTGCGCGGGCAGCAGAGTTACGGGGCACTTCCCATGTTTCTCGACTTGATCGTAGGCACAGCGGTAGCAAAACACATAACCAGAGGGCAAGGCAGTCGCGTTCGCGATGGAACCTCGGCAAATCGGACACTGACCGTAGTTCGTTCTATCAAGAGGTATACCCTTCGGATGTGGAGGAAGGAGCCTTGGTGGAGGGATGGCCGGCCTAAGAGGGGATGTAGATAGTGCACGAGCAGGTGAAGAAGGTGAGTACCACCACTCGAGGAATTTGATGAAGAAAATGGCTGTCGGTAAAAGAAGTTTGAGGGAGTCGAGAAAGAGGCGTGGAGAGGTAAGCAATAGGCGCCTGATTAATGCCACAGCACCCTTCTTTCCAATCGATGGACTCGATTTTTGAGCTGCAATCGCTGCCATCCGCTTAAGCACGTGTTAGACGAGTCGTATTATGAACTGCACAAGATGGCTTACATAATCTTCGGCCCCTAGTCGTCTGAGATCGACACCCACCCATGAGAGCCATGGACGATAGAAGGGAGTCTGATCGAACAAATAAGCGATGTTGTAAACAAGCAGCCACGCTTCGTAGCTCATGTTCAGCCATGGGTATAGACATTTATACAATCTGCGCAGACGTCCCCCTATTGTCTAGTTTTCGGTCAAGGTCTCTTGTTAGCACACTGATGGTATAAACATTCTCCATACCTGAACCATGCGTTCTTGGGCGTTTCGAACACCGCCAACGTCAAGCATTTCAGAATCAATTCCTCCACCTAATGCTTCGAAATAATCCTGCGCCTTCGCTCGCAGGTAGGGTACACCGACCTGTGAAAAGGAGACAATTCAATCAGCGTGGTACAGGTGGTCATAGATCAGAAACATACCAGGAAAAGCAAAGAACGCCATATTTCAACTGTTCCCAGGCTCTCCTGTGGAGGAATTCCACTGACGGCTGCCTGGGCTCTATCTGTCTCGATGAAAGGCTTTCGTCTTCGTTTGAGGCCGTAGAAATTCTCAGAAAATGAGGCATCTGCAACCTTTATGGGGGAGGAGTTGCATATACAAAGACCAAGATACTTACTGTACTTTCTTAGATAATGTCTCTCGATGAAGAACATGATTGCTGCATAGAACTCTTCATGCCGATTGACAACTCTTAGCAGATATCTGGGATATCTTTGCGCAAATACCTGCAGTTGGTGAGTCCATACATGACTCAGTCGATAGCGGTATTATGTACTTACCGACAGGACGTATTTGAGCGCAGGCTGTAGCAAATCTCTTAGCTGTTCTTGCGCAATGAGCTCAAACACAGACGGTTTGAGAGGGTCTCCTCCTGTACCGTTGAAGAACTCCATGGTGAATCGACAGACTGAAAATGCAAGCCACCGTAGATAGTGGCTTTTCGATGTGGAAAGGTCGTAGTCGAAGAGCACAGAGCGGAGGCGATCGCTTGATATAGAGCTTTACTGGAAGTAGCTGTCTCGTAGAGGCTAGATCACGGGCTGGCTTTCTATGTTACGGTGCTGACCTGGCCTTCGTGCGAGACAGTGAACGACGAAAGAGTGACGTGAAAGCACGAAACCCCGGCTCGTATTAGTTTGCGTGGTTATCACGTGTTGACTGCATACAACGAGTGGTCTTTGGAGGCCCGGGACCGCGGAAAATCACTGAAGAATGCTACTGAGCTCTACTATGTCGCTGCCAGTTTCTTGACGCTGCGGAACCAGTTGATAGATTCAAGACCTCGAATCTCAAGGAGATCGTGAACCAACGTCCAATGGTTTTTCAGAGCGCCCTTCCCCACGCTATCGAATTACGACAAAGCGCGGAGAGAGAAGGGGTCAGAGCCAGCAGGAACCAACGCGGTCTTCCTTCACATAGTTCATGTCCTCGTACATCTCAGGCTATACTGGCGCTCGATCTCTTCGTACTCAACCGCAGATAGGGATGAGCTATCGAGAACAATACTATGAAGGTGCCAGCATCCCACCATTCGAAGTGTGCGTGTTACACTAGCCATTTTCTGTAGTCCTGCATATATATATCGCCTACTACTCCTTAATTGTCACCATTCTACTTACGCATCCTCCACGTTGCTGCTGGTCTACGCATGCGAGCATTGTATTGATATCACTGCGACACGTCGTGCCCTCTTGCAACAGCTTGCAACCCCTTCATCGACCTGCTTCTCTGTTCCCTCCATTTACATCGTCTGCTCAAACGTCACTGACTCACCATGTATCGTGGACGACATAGTCCTCTGGCTCCTACAGATGCCGAACTCGCGACAAGAGCCCTTGACGAAGAAGCCAGCTACCGGTTTCCTTCATTCACCGCAAACGATGCCGTCACACTTGGGTTGTCCCTCCGCAAACGGTTCCGAGGCTCTTCGCGGCACCAAAAACATGGGAAGGGCCTTGTCATATCCATCCAGACAATTGTCGGGCACACGCTTTTCTCCTGTACAGTTGGCGATCTTGGCACCAACGTTGGCGACATCAGTCTCGATAGTTGGGCATGCTTGGAGGGAATGATTGCTGTCGTTCGCCGAACGGGACATTCAAGCTTTTATGTGGAGAAGGGGATGGGGGCTGTAGGGAAAAACCCTAAACAGCTTGGCCTTCAAGGTGATCTCCGAGTCAACGGTGGTGGTAAGCACGTCCGTATCTAGATATCTGACGCAAGTTGAACGTTGAAGGTGTTACTAGCTTTCCCAATTTGGTTAGAGGTAATCCCATCTAACCATTGTGATGTTACCAAGTAATCGAACATACTTTTGAAGAATGCCCCTTGTTGCCCTATTGCGGTCGTAGCTTGCTATTCGGGCTCAAGCACAGACGACCATCATGTATGTTGGATCTATCTAATTGGAGTTTTTGGGTACTAAGGGCTAATGCGCAGCTGGTCGTGACCTCCTGTCGAGATTATCTACACAAAATGGAAGAGAAAGCGGCTCCACCACCACCTAGAAGTCCCCTCTCACCTACCATGCCCCACGACCACAGTAGTGTAAGCCCATAGATGCTTTCTTCACAGATACTGGTTCCAACCTGGACCGCTGAATTTCAATTCAAGGATTGGATCTCGAACTCTGCAGTAGGTAAATTATATCGTCCGTCACACTTTTCAGACGAGCCGGAGGAAACAAATTAGAATAATAACAACCGGATGACAGAGAATGGAGAGGGTCTGTAAATATAACAAATATACCCTCATGACTATAGGTAATAAAAGTATGTATTCAAGAGCTTTCTTCATTTTGTGAAGAGGGAGCTTTGAGGACTCGGATCATTTCTGTCGCAGTTTGCTGAGCAGTAGTCTCGTAAGTGTTGACAGAATGGCACGTACCGTGACGAAGAAAGATTTGGCGCTGGCCTTGAGGAGAAGAAGGGTCGGCAGACGAGTCAGGCTCACGCAGCTCGAAGTTCGCTTCCACGTAAACCTGGGAACCTTTCGCAAGGTGACGAAGGTACGCATTGGCACCAGGATTGAAAGACAGAATGTGATGCCATGTGGTTTTAGATTCTTCCCGAGCTATATCGTGAATATAATGATCAGAACAGTGGCTCGAATATTGATACTGAAGAGAGCGAACGAACTGCCGTCTGGGTTGGGAGGTGGAGGGGGGTAGTTGGTAGTTGCGACCGTGTAGCTAATCTAAGGTTCAGCGGAGGTTAGCTTCCCAATCTGAGTTTGACGTACCTCACATATTCCTTGTCGGTCTTTGTGGTGCGCACCTCAGGATCTTTGCCCAACCGGCCAATAAGAACCAGTTTTGAAAGGTCAGAGGAACGCGACGCAGAAGTTGTGAAAGCCTAAGAACAATCATAATAAGTACCCATGGTTCGTTCCATAAACTATACGCGTACACGTGTGCTCGCGCGAGATGCAGCAGTCGAACGAAGAGCAGCGAACATGGAGAAACAGAGGACGTGTCGAGCTCAGACTTGTTCAGCGCTGTGACGAAGACAGCTGTAACACAACGTGACTACTCACATACGTGCACGTGGGATGTTGGCTTCGCTCGACGTCAACGATTCGCTACCCACCTCGAGGCAGGTTCGACTATCCGTCGTAACACGATCACGATACTCTCTCTCGTAAAACGTTGGATATCTATTATGTCTCGTCACAGGTTTGTACGAAATCTTGATCTCGACGGTTCGTGGTTTCCATGATCGGCTTGAGATTTAATAATTAAACCTCATCTCAGACGAGCGCGACGATGGGGCCCTCTCAGATGGTGGCGGCGAGGACATACCTCCGGAAGAACAAGGTCTGACAGAGTTACGCATCGTTAATCTTGAAACAAGACATGCTGACCTGTAGCCGTAGCCCAAATGGAATCGGGTCTTGAGCACATTCGAGCAGTGCTAGGCTCCGAAGCTGAGTCTGGCCTCTCAGATTCTGTGATCAGGGAGACCCTATGGGATAGTTACTTTGACGTTGAGAAGAGTGTGGAATGGCTAATGGGTATATCTCGGCACTTCACAATACCCGGAAAGGACTGACGGCGTGTGTAGAAGAGCAAAGTCGACGGATTGTTGCAAAAGAGCGAAAAGGTGAGCATCGCTTTGATGCACGCACTCTTGAACTGTCTTGTTTTGGCTACTTTGGTCGTCATTGTTTGTGGCATTGTCTTGCGCTTTTCTTTCATTGCGGCGCAAGTCCCCTATTTCATATGCGGCGTCGTAAGGTGATTTCCTCCCCAGTTCCTACACCTCTCATGACTCCACTCCCTATGACCTTGCCTTCCGTCGAATTCGTCTATGTTGATTGCTTTCGCTCGGCTGTAACAGACCCGGCCACTCTGACCGATTTCGATGACGATGAAGACGCGTCGGAAGTTGCAGGCGCTCATCTTCATGCATCTCGTCTGGCACTTGAGGCACAGGTTTTCTCAAATCGACTAGCCTCTCTTCCCAAGATTGCGATCGCGCAACAAAATGAAGAGGATTTTCTTGAGCGCCCTGAGTCTGTTACCTCGAGTCTTGCAATACGGCGGCAACCCTTGTACGCCATCACTGAACGGACTGAAGTGACTGATGAGCCTGCGACCCCAACACAACTCTTGCAGCGAAGGTCTCTCCGATCATCTATGAGCAGTAATTCGACGTCGACTTACGGTCAGGTCATCGGCAAGTCTTTCTCCTGCAATCACGTAGTTGTTTTTTTCTGATTTACCCGGAAAGCAGAGTCTAGGCTAACAAGGCCTCGCACCATGTTAACAGATCCCAACGAAATACAGCCCTCTCCATCTCCATCCGCATTGCGTCAGCTTTCTATGTACGAATCTCCACCGTCGGTCGAAGCCTCATCCCCACGTTCTCCTGAGACGCCCCCTCTTATACCTCCAAGTAACCCTCTGCCGCCTCTCGAGCATATCTCCGATATCTCAGACATCCTTTCCAAGCCCAGCCGCCGATCCACATTCAAGAAAGCGATCCCTGTAGAAGTTTTTCGGCCTCCCCCCAAGAGTGCCCGTGCTGCATACGTCGTCGACAAGCCACTGCCTGACTTACCACCTCCTAGCGAACCTCGTCATTCTCAAGTTGAATCACTTGCCTTATCGACGAGCCGTAGACAGTCAAAAATCTCGGCATTGGCGACATCGAGAGCAGCGAGCTCGCGAGGGAGTACTTTTACCAAGAGCTCCAGGCTTAGCACTAGCAGTGTCGGAACGTCCTCTGTCTTGACGTACCCCGCTCTGCGACCTTCTTCAGAGTCAGAACTGTCCTTTATTGCTGAAGCGGAGGGCTCCACAACGTCGACGACTTCACACATCCGCCGAGCCATCCAGACCGCTTTGAACCAAGAGGTGGAGGATCGTATGAGCACACCGAATCTTGCAGAACCCAAAGTGGTGCAGAGCCCTCCATTGAAGCCTGCCTCCGACCTTGGCAGGGTCGGATTATCAAGAGCGTCTTCCACTAGCTCAAATTCGACTATCAAGCCCAACGCTGCTGTTGCAGAGGTTTCCCAGTCGCTGTCCAAGGAACGTGCTCCTTCTAAACTGGCTTTGTTGGCGCAGGCGAAGGCGAAACGGACAACATCTACCTCGAAAGCGAAACCCCGCTCGTCGTCTCCTGAGAGTCTCCTCAATACCACACGTACAGAGTATCTCACGCCAATAGCTAACGGACCCACTGCCACGACTGCCATCACGACTTCATACCAGACACTGAATCATCTCATCTCTCCAACTCGATCCGTTTTACCTCCCTCTTTTCCTCCCTCCGACTACAAGGGCGGGGTGATAACAACGACACATTCTGACGGGCACAGATCTGGGGCGAAACAATCCAAGCTGGCTATGAAAGCAAAGAAGTCGCATCACAAGCATGAACCGAACTCGATGAACGGCGACAAACTCGATCATCCTGCATCGATTCCGACAATCTTCTTGCCTGAAGCAAGCCGCTCCTGTGCGTCACCATCAGAGTTCGCTTCCTTGTTAGTCGATGAACAGTCTCTGATTTTCCTTGAAGTCAAAGAACACAGAAAGGAGATAAAAGGCAGGGTGGAGGATAAGGTTCGCGATGGCCCTCGAAGCCCCGGTCGAACCCGCTCGCATAGCCGCACCAACTCTTATAGCGCTACTTCAGACGCAAAGCCACGCAGCCACTCGAATAGAGAAAGTCCCTCTACTGTACTCGCCCACGACCAAGGCTCCTTCACGTTTGACGTCCCAAGTCCAGATGATATCGTACTCAATGCTCGTCGGGGAACCTCGCTCGGCGGCCGCTCTTCGCTTTCCACTGTCACTGCCTTCCCACCAGACACCCCCTCTTCATCTCGTGCTTCCGTTTCTATTACAAGGGCTACTTGACATTTTGCATGATGCTTGTGTTGTTGTGTTTCGATAGATGTACTGACTAGATTTGTTGTGACAATAATTATTCTAGCTGCCAAGGATCGAGAGAAGGCGCAGAAGCTGGCTGCACAAAAGAGGGTCGCTGAAGTTTCATCGACAGCTACCTCTCGCACGGCATCGCCTACGGGTACACCCCTCAAAGGGCCGAAGGGGTTGAAGAAGTCGAAGTCGGGTACATCGACGCCCTTGCGAGTTCCTACGAGATCGGTTGATCAAGGACAGTTTGACATTTCCGCATTGAATCTAGGTGAGAAAGACGAAGACTCGGTCTTTGAAGAGCCGCCGAAGACGTCTATCGCAAAGGAAAAGGTTCTCGAGGAGGCAAAGAAGTCCCTCGATGCGGAAGTGAAAGGTGGTCGCAGGGGTGTTTCTCTGGTGGTCATTGGTGTGTATACAGTGAATACAATGTATCATTTGCAGCAGAAGATAAGAGTATTGTTTAGGTCATGTCGATGCAGGAAAATCAACGCTCATGGGAAGGTTGCTCTATGAACTTGGTCGGGTTGACGAGAAACGCAAGGTCGCTAATGAACGAGCCAGCGACAAAATTGGCAAAGGTAGCTTCAGCTGGGCTTGGGAGCTTGATGGCACCTCTGAGGAACGAGAACGGTTAGGCCTCATTTTTGCCCGGTGACATCTGGTGCTGACTTGACGTTCAGTGGAGTTACAATGGATGTTGCACTGCAAGTCCTAGAGACGCCGCATAGAAACATCACCATCCTCGATGCTCCAGGACATAGAGACTTCATTCCGAACATGATTTCTGGAGCATCTCAGGCAGACTGCGCGCTCATCGTCGTAGACGCCTCAACTGGAGAGTTTGAGGCTGGGTTCGAGCGCGGGGGGCAGACTCGCGAGCACTTGGTACTCGTTAGAAGTCTTGGTGTGACCCAGGTGATCGTGGCCGTCAACAAACTCGACCAGGTTTGTCATGTTCAGCACTCAGATAATACGGCTCGTTGAATGGTGTGCGCAGGTCGATTGGTCGCAAGATCGTTATGATGACATATGTTCTCAATTAAAGGCGTTCCTCGTTCAGTCCGGCTTTCATCCCTCCAAAACGTATTACGTTCCTGTTGGCGCTATGGCTGGCGTTAATTTGACCAACCGCAAAGGGGCTGAGTCTGCGATTTTAACTCAATGGTACAGTGGACCAACTTTGGTTGACCTTCTTGGTAAGTTCATTGATTTGTTAGCCGGGATATTTCTAAATGAGCACTCTTCCAGATATTCTTCAACCTCCCATGCGGGATATCTCAAGCCCCCTGCGCTTTCCTATTTCCAATGTATTCAAGGGACAAGGCTCTGGCACAGGAGTTTCTGGTAGGATTTGTGGCGGTGTCGTCCAGGTCGGCGAGCGCCTTCGCATCTTACCTGGGGATGAAACGGGCATTGTGAAGGGCAAGTTTTATCAAATATTCTCTGTATAGACGACTGAGTTTGCCATGCTCAGCCATCGAGACTGAGACTGAGAACCTGCCGTGGGCGGCAGCTGGCATGAACGCGACTCTTTATTTGACGGCTGTAGATCCCGTCCACCTCAATATAGGCAGCGTGTTATGTCCTCCCACGAACTTGATTCCACTGGCGACCGTTTTCACCGCACGAATCATCGTTTTTGACATACAAGTCCCCATCCTTGCTGGAACATCTGTACGATCCTTCATCGGACAAGGTCATGCATATGGCTGACATTCACTCAGGTTGAACTTTTCCACCATTCGCACGACGTACCTGCTTCCATCTCGAAACTCAACTCAACACTCGATCGCGCGACTGGTATCCCGATTAAGAAGAATCCTCGGTAATACTTGACAGCTCTCCTTATAGATCATCACTAATCGTCTGTTTCTCTTGCCACAGTGTTCTGACGAAGGGAACATCTGCCGAGGTTCAAATAACTATCCGCCCAGGGTCGTTCTCAGGCCCTGCAACACGCGCGCTGCCCATCCCGCTTGAGCCTTTCTCGGCCAGCAAGGAGATGGGTCGCATCTTGATCAGACGTGGGGGAGAGACCATCGGGGCCGGTGGGTCATCTGAGCTTATATTGTTTGCGACCGTCGCTCACTAAATCCCCAGGGATTGTACTCGAGATTCTCGGCTGATCATAGGCCGCACCCGAAATACTTGGCCAGCCAACGATACAATGTCCAGCTGTAAAACACGCGTCAGCGTAGAAGGAATACATAAAGGAGCCTGCTGGGACTTAGGAAAGAAGTATAACATTGTATACTTAGCCAGAGGGAGAATGTGTTGCTGTGGGTAGAACTCAAATGATGTTTGATTGAAATCATTTCATATATGTAGACTGTACGAGCCGAATTGACCGAGTCGAGCTTCGATCCGCATGCCAACGGAGGGTACGATTGAAGGTACACATGTACACAGGTGCAGAGAACCGGAAACGTAACATCAAAAAGACATGGTGGAGTTAGAGGGCAGAGCGAGCGGGAGAGATGAGAGTACAGACGACAGGGGGGAGTACAACAGAAATAGGGACGATAACGAGAGAGCCAAGGGATCGCGAAATAAATGACCGAGAGCGTAACGAGATGATCGTAAAACGGAATGATGGACGATGATGGTGGGAGTGACGGGGGAACATAGAGATAACAAGTCGTGCGGGGCATCGCGTGCATCGCGTGTAGCGTTTTTCATAACAAAAAGACAAAGGAGATAAAGGGATACAAAGAGAAAAGAGACACAAATAAAAACGCCGCACCAGGGCCTCACCTTACTTGGGCACCTTCTCCTTCTCCTTGTCGCCCCCGAAGATGCCCTTGATCTTGCCAAAGATGCTACTGGTGCGCTTCCTGCGGAGGCTGGAGAACCGCGACGGGGTGCTGCCGGTGCTCTCCCCGCTCTCGCTGGGGAAGTTCGAGCGCTCCTTCTTCGACATGAGCGTGCCGTTGCGCTTGGGGGAGGTGGGCTTGATGCCGTTCGCGGCAGGCTGCGAGTCAGCAGGTTTGGGCTCGGCAGCGGCAGTGGTCGAGTCGGCTGCGGGAGTGCTCGTCGTGGGCTCTGCGGATTCAGGAGCAGGAGCAAGAGCAGGAGTGGGCTCCCCTGGCGTCGTCTCCGGGATGGTGGCGGGGGCGGGTGTGGGCTGTAAAGGTTCGCTATCCTGCGCAGTAGATGGTTTGGCTTCTGTGGAATTGGCAGGCGCAGACGTAGTCGCTCCTTGCGTGGACTCTGGGGCGGGCTCAGAAGCAAGCTCCTTGGGTAGCTGCTCCGTGGCCCCAGACTCAGGCACCAAATCCTCAGATGCCTCTTCGGTACCCACAGGATTGGCCGGAGCAGTCTCGGGAGCGGTGTGAGGTGCAGAGACAGCGGCAATGGCTTCTTCGGGCTTTGTCTCCTCCGCTGGTGCGGCCGTATTAATGCCCGCTGCCACTGGCTCGCCAACTCCCGCCTTATCTTCAACAGGTACGACCTCATTCACCTCCTCCCCTGCAGGCTGGGCCGCGAGCACCTCAGGCGCGGCGACTTTCTCCTCGCCTTTCGTCTCCTGGATGGCGCTCGTGGGAACGTCGACGGGCACGGCGGCGGCGGCAGTCTCGACGGCAGCGGTTGGCTCTGCTGAGATGACCTCTTTCGGAGCGACGTCCTCTGAAATAGGCTCGGCGGCGAGGACGAGTGGGGCCGTTTCAGCTGCGGGCTCTGTCGTGGGCTTGTTCACTTCGACAACGGGTGCTTCAGCGGCAGCAGTCGGCACGGCGGCGGATGTGTCCTCTATCGCGGTTGCAGGAGCGTCTGTGGCGGCAGTGGATTCAAGGGCATCTTGGGTGGATGCAGGGGCGCCAGTTAGCGATGCGGAGTCCGTGAGCGGGGCAGGGGTGTGGGTGGATGGGGTGACTTCGTGTTCCATTGCATGGGGTGGATTGACAGCAGTGCCTTGAAGCACATCGGTCTCGGGCGACGAGGACTGTGGAGGGAGGATGGGGACAATGTCCATGGCAACGATAGCTGCGCGCAAAGGTGGCTCTGGTTTGGGTGTCGACGCTGTCGGGATTGCCTGTGGAGATGGGAGTGGGAGAGCAAGAGACGGTGGGAGTGAGCCCCTATGGAGTGGGATCGACGGGGCCGGATGAAAGTGACGCACCTCCGCCTCTCTTGGCTGGAGCTCCTCTGAGACAGGAGCAACGTCGGCCACGGCCTCCTGAGTCCCCTGAATGGCTGAAGCAATAGCCCCCTTGACCTCGTCGACGACGCTAGTAGGCGGAACTTCGGTCGTGGGCGTCGGGGTCTCATAAGGTGCGTCGAACGTGCTTGCGAACTCGACGGCGGGGACGACGATGGCCTCATGCAGCTTTCCAACAAACTGCCCCACAGTGGCATTTATAGCACCAGCGACCGACTCATCCTCTCTCGCCTCCTCTCCGTCCCCTGAGATGGATTTCTCGATCACGGGGTGCTCAAGTTCGACCGCCGTAGTCTCCGAGCCAGACTCGGTATGTGATTCCTCGGTGGGGGAGTGCTCGTGCTCTGATGGCTCGTGCTGCTGCGGCTCAGGCTGTGGTTCAGGCTGCGGCTCGGCTGGCTTGGGGGGTGCGGTGTACACGTTGTTGATAAAGCCCGAGTGGTCGTACTCTGTGGGCTCCGCATCGTTCACCGTCCAGCGGCCATCGACGATGAACTTGTAGGTGAGCTTCTCCTGCCATGGTATGCGTACGGGGGCTTCGAAACCCGCGTTGGTGCGCCTGAGATAGACGGACGAGGACCACTGGAATGTGAGGTATGTGGGATTAGCTGCTGGTGCCGAGTGGCCGGACTCAGATGGGGGAGGTGTGGCAGATGAAGAGCGGAAGAAGGAGAACGAGGGGAGGCGGAAAGCAAGGCCGGTCGTTATCGACGGCATGGATGTAGAAGAGGCGAAAAAAACAGAAGGATAAAATGAACAAAGAAAAAGAACGGGGTTGGTTGTGTTATGGGACTGGCGAACTTGCCTGGTCGAAGGTGCCGGTTACGATGACTTGATGCGCGTCGGAGTGTGGCCTGTTTAAGTATGTGGTGAGGTGTGGATGCGGGTGGGGTTGGATAAGTAGCGTGGACACACCATCTGAGGATGACCTCGTGGAGATGGTGATTTGATCCGGACATGCTGGAGGAGGCTGCTGGGCTCGTGAAGAGGGCGCGCTGCGGTGTGGACCGGGATATGCGATGCGGCTTGCAGACCGTGCAAGGGCAAAACGTGTAAACGGTGCGCGGGTATCGAGCCGCGATAACACGGTACCTGCGATACGACGGACGTAAGAAATCAGATGAAAATCGCACGGAGATTTCGAGGGGTTGGAGAGAAGGATACCTACTTTTCGGGGGTGACGAGCGTCGAGGGGGACGCGTTGGACGACGAGGAAGAGCGCGATGAGCGCTGGCAGGCCGACCCCCATTCATCCTCGACGTGACGTAAACCCTTCGAGGCGGTCGGAACCAGTAGGCCGGCATTCGCAGGCGCCTTCGTCCTCGCAAGCTGTATTCGTTCCGATTCTGTCTACAGAATATACTGCTACCCAGTAATCGATCCCGCACACACATGTTCCAAGGCGCGCATCACGGCCAATCACAGCTCTCACATGAAATGAAGTGCACGACTCCCATCAACGCAGTACTAGCCCCCATAGTCGCATGCCCACAGCATCTTCCACCCTCTTCACAATTTTCGTCGCGAGCACACGCCGATCTTGCCTCCTATACACCACTCACCCATCCACCCCTTTCATCTCCGGACCCCCAAACTCCAACAGCGCGAACACAGGAATAGCATCCCGCGAAGCACCGTGATCCCAGCACCAATTTTAAGATAACCGCATCATCCCTCTAAATGGCTGTGGAGATCCGATGCGTCTACTGACCCTAGGAGAAGCCAGGAATCACCGCACTTGGACGTTAGCTTTGAGGATCGCCCGAGGCCTGCACCTCAAAGGAATGTTACTAACAATAACATTGGCAGGCACAATGGCTCAGCGCTCAGAGGCACAAGGAAATCAGATCGGTAAGGACGATTGTCTGCGCGAGGCGGGCATCATACGAGGATGATTCAGCATGCAGAGGTAGTATGTTCGCTCAGCTGCCTGCATTCTGTCTAGGGAAGGTGACGACGACGGATTAAAAAGCAGAACGAGATCGTCGAACAATAGGCGACCGATGACCATTGGGAGAATCGCTTGGCGAAGTCATCATAATAGAAAAAAAAGACGGAGACGGATGTATATGGTGGTCTCCTGGTTCCTGCAAGGTCGGTCAGCAAAATGGAAGCAATCACCATTCATATGGATTCGCAGGAGTCAGCCACCGAATGACAAGCATAGCCGCCGTGTACAACAGATACGTTGCCTGTCCTGGCATATTTCTGATAGCCATAGCTTCGCAGTGGCCACCGCGGTTGATAGGCTTCTGTAGCCGCCACCATACATCCCACATCAGTCTTCTAGCAAGTCCGCACAGCCTGGAACACGCACCGCCACGACCACCTATTCCGTGACTGCAAATAACCCCCGACGAAGCCAGCAAGGATACCTGGCTCAGCGCGCTAAACCTCGCTAAACGCCGTATGCATTGAGCGTTCGAGATTAGCACCATCCACAGACCAAAAGTCCACTGTGCCGCAACAGGAGTGAGAGAAAAATAACAGATCATTTCAGGCATTGCCCGTGTTTCGCCAAAACAATACGTGTTCGACAGCGAGTATTGGGCGGCATTTTGAAAGAAAAGACGCTTTCGGTGAGCCTTCGTCCATAAAATGAGACACCTCGGCCAGGTCGCTCAACAGTGGACAAAAAGTAGCTTTTCAGCGGTTCAGTCGGGGAAGTTGAGCTAACCACCGACACAGAGGGCCTGGCGGGCCTTGCTGCCTACCGAGATAATGCCTCTCAGGCTAGCCGTCTTTCAGCTCAGCGCTCAGCTCAAGTGCCGCCCGAAAATCACGAGCACGACACGTTATCAGACACGGAATGGCTTGGCTGACAAGAAACGATGCCTTTGAACGCGTGTGCGACGGCAGCGGTGCGTCCGTATGGAGAAGTCATTGTCGAAGGCGATGTGAAGTCGGCTGCGAGAAATGACGAGGCTCCGTGGCAGCAACGTCCACGGTCCGACGGAGGCGCTCGTACGCCTTTGTACTAGTAGTACGTACGCCCCTGCGCGCGGGCCCTTTTCCAATAGAATCAGAATCGCCGGTAGCCAGCGGAATTTTCCCACATTCATCCTCTGGCACCGACTGGCACCGAGCGCCTTCGAGCACCCGTGCGCAATGTGCACTGCAACTTCCGAGCCATATGCTGCGGCAGTCGACGTTCTTGCAGCCGTGACAGAACACACAGATACGAGGAGATACAGCTCCCCGCCGGGCGGCCGCGTAGCCGCGCGTTCCATTCGAAAGGCCTGACGCTCTATTTGTGACGGCGTCCGATTCAGTCGACCATGCTCAAAGCAGCTTAACGAATGAACGGAAAACAAATACTACTAGCTGCGTGTTATATACATTTCATCTCGTCTACATCTCTGCGACTCCGGGATTTCATTATCATGACAATACCAAGACATCCTCCGTTTCGGTCACAGGAAAGCGAACAACAGCAGACACCATAAAGAGACAATAAGTGAGTAGGTAGAACAAGGCCAAGCAAGTAAGTGTCCATGTGACGATGCGCGCCGGGCGACGCACGAGGCGAGGATCGCGAGCGCGCGGACGTCGAGAAGAAATACAACTCGGAGTTGACCGGAGTACACGCCCACGATATGTGCGAGCAATGGGGTGAAGCTCAATTTTCAGGCGCGATGAGGGTGCGGTGTATGCCAATGGGAACCGTAGGCACGCTGTGAGGGACAAAACTCGCCCCGTAGCGCGCGCCGTCGAGAAACTCGTGTGCTGTCTGAAAACGATCATACAGTGAAGTATCAGGGTGAGGGGGGGGGAGTTGCATGCCGCGCTCCCGAGGATGCGACACTCATGCGGAAGACGTCAGCACCTCGTCGATCAGCTCCCAGTCGATAATTCCATCCTCAGCATTTGCAACGCTCTGAGTATGGCGATCATCAGTCAGCGGGTCTTCGCCCGACCGCACAATGCGGCGCCGCGCGAACGGCGAGTCGCGCCCCACGGAAGCGATAGGGGTCGTGCCTTCGCTCGGAGGTCCGGGAGCCGAGGGGAGAAGTGGAAGTGGACGAATACGTGATACGGAGGGTCGGCGTGGTAGAGGGAGACTGTGCGAAGACGTAGCAGGGGCATACGTGGGTGTTTGTGTGGGAGTCGCGGACGAACCTGAAGACGACGAAGACGACGAGGATGAGGTCGCTGAGCGAATGGATGATAGAGAATGAGATGGTAGGTGGGACGAGATGCGAGATGATGGCAAAGCTGTTGCTAGTGGGTCATCTACTAGGGATGATGGGACGGAAAAGGACAATGGTAGTGGTAATGGGGGAAGTGGAGGTGGAGATGGGAGTCTGACAATTCGACGAGGAGAGTATGGCGGTGCTGGCGAGCTGGGCACGGTCGAGGCAGCCCCGCTGGTGGTATCAGGTGTGCGCGGTCGTGAAGTGTTTGGTGGCTGATCGCGAGCTTTCTGTGCCGGAGACTCAGGAAGACAAGGTGGTGTGGATGGATTTGACATGGGCGGTCGCGGCAGCGGGCGCGGTTTGTGGAAGTTGAGTATTGATGGTCTATAGCAACAGAATACGGGGTTCAAATGAGGTGTGAGGTCAGTAAGTTGGTGATATGATGGAGAAGTAGGATCAAGACGCACGATGGAGATGGGGGTAGCGATGATGAAGGACTTGACACGGATGACGGAGCCGCGGCAGAGAACACTGAAGAAGATGCAGACGACGATGTGGAGGAAGAGGATGAAGAGGAGGCGAAGGATGCCTCGGAGATCATCGAGGGTGTCAGCGTGCGAGTGCGAGTGCGCGCGGGGAGACCGAGCACGATGGGCTCGGAGCCCATGGACAGCGCGAAGGAATGCTTGAGGTCTGCGTTGGAGAACAATTTGGGTCCCGCAGTGGTGACAGGGAGTGTCAATGAGGGATGACGATAGCTCGGGGAGGGAGTCTCTTTCTCTTGATGAGGGCCGAAGGGTAAAAGTCGGGCAGTGGTATGGCGCTTCATTTGCGCTGAGACAAGACAGTCGAGAGCAAGGGGTGTTCGATGCAGATGTGCGCGACGAGTCGGGGCGGGAAGACACGAGCGTGGTGGTTGAGACGAGGAAGGAGGCGGGGGGAGGAGAAGAGACGACGGGGGATGATTTGATTGCAGAGTGCCTGGGATAAGTAGTTTCGAGAGGCCTGGCTGCCGGGACGGCTGGAGAGAGGGCAGGTGATAGGTTGGGCGTCTGAGGGGAGATACAGTCACGGTCGGTCACACACGGGCGAACAGGCTGATTGGGGGCACTGCGCCATCCCCTTCGGCTTTGATCGCTCGGGATCGCGCAGGATCAACGGCCGGGCGCGGGCCTGATCCCTCCCCGACAACACAACTGACTCGCACCGTGTGTGGCGAGCGCATGGTCTCCATCACATCCCCGCCCGGGAGGAATGGTGCCTGGCACCCGTATCGTGCTCGCCGTAAGTGCAGCAGAGTCCGGCTTAGTGGCCACTCGCAGTAAATCCCCAGTCGTTTGCAACGCTTCAGCGACAAAAACAGCCAGCCTTCGCGAGTTCCGGACCTTCCGATGCAGTAAATAGCACCATGAACTTGGGTGAGCAATCCACTTCAAGGAGGCTAGAACATGTACACTTATCGCCCAAACCGCAACTTCTTCCGTTTCGGGTCTCCTGAGCCTCAAGCTTGTGCGACCAACTAGCTCTAACTAGCGCTCGTGGACACGCGACTTTGCCCTGAATAGAGCCGGCGGCAAAAGTGTTCCATTGCATAACCCAAGCAGAAAGGTGCGCAGGAGGACGTGGAAGGACAGCAGAAGGACGTTGGACGGTGAGTGACGTCGGGCAATATACAAACCAGCAATTAGGGTCACTCGGATTCAAATCTGATCAGATCCAGCCAGTCCGATTTCTTCGTCTGAGTCACTCAACTTCAAGTTTACCATGGCCGACACTGTTGTCCTTCCCCCTGCGCTCCCTCTAACGGGCCCCATCCACTCACTCGCCGAAGAAGAAGTATTGGACGCGCTCGACCCACTTCGCCATCTTCGCGAAAGTGCAGCACCCGATGTGGGCGCTGACTCAGGATCCACTTTGCTTCCCGCACAGCCGCGTTCAGTCCTGGACGAGATCATCCAGCTCGCCTTCCCCCTCCCTCCTGACTCGAATGTAGAAGAGCATGTAGGAGGTCTCCAAAACTCAATCGCCATACAACTCGTGGTAGACGCCAGCCCCGGCTGCGGTGGTGTTGCGTGGCCCGCCGGCGAGGTCAGCGGCCTCCCATCGAGTCCACCACTCATCATCTATCCATCCATCTGATGAATTTATCTTTATCATAATTACCACCATTGCACTCTATATCAATGATGACATTATATCTCGACGTCAATATTTCTTCCACAATGCTCAACCACAACGCGTCGATCTTCAGGTGCTCGCGCGGTACATTGCCCGACGCGGCCTTGGCTCCCTCGCAGGCAGAAACGTGCTCGAGCTGGGGAGTGGTACTGGGCTTGTCGGTCTCGTCGCTGCTCACTTAGGCGCGCGTGTGTGGATAACCGATCAAGCGTGCGTCCCTGTATTATTAGCATCACTGCATCAGAGCATTTCAGCAACCGGTGCTTGCACCTTAGCGAGTGATCGCCCGACGCTGACCGCGATGCCCTTTTTGCTCCATGCAGGCCTCTGTACCCGATAATGGAACGCAACATCGCCTTCAATGACCTCGCGCGTTCTGTGACCCCTGCCGTGCTTGCATGGTCGGCTTTCCACTTCTCTTGCTGTGCAATCATCGGTGTCTGATGGCGAGGTCCCTTCTCGCACATGTTGCCCACATATTCGATGCATCGCAGGGGCGAACCCATACCATCATCCATACCACCTCCGAGCATTATTCTGGCAGCTGATTGCGTATACTTCGAGCCTGCATTCTCGCTCCTCGTACAGACCCTTGCGGATTTGACTCCAACGAGCGACGGTCCAGATCCAGAGATCCTATTCTGTTATAAGAAGCGAAGGAAGGTACGTTTAAGCCCTCTAGACGAAGAATGGAGGTCCTATTCCTGTCTTTTCCGAGTCTTACTATAACCACTTCATGTCCATCGCGGGTTCAGACACTGACTTTCTCTTCCCTTTTCGCAGGCAGATAAGCGATTTTTCGCACTGCTCAAGAAGAAGTTCACCTGGACGGACGTAATTATTGCCTCACTATTCGCGCACACTGCCCACGCCCGATCACCTCTGCACCGCCATCCGCTGGTCCGTCTGTCCGTCCGTTCTGACTGACGATGGTTCTTCCGGTCATGCAGATCGACGATGACCCCGAACACGCCCTGTACTCGAAAGAAGCCATTTCCCTATTGAGACTGCACCCAAAGCGGTAGCGCAGACTCACACACGACAATAGGCGCGCGCCTCCGAAGGCTGTCAGACCTGGCATTGCCGACGCTACCAAAGCTCCTAAGCTTAACTCAAAGAAGTGTCGAGCGTTTGCGGGGCACCGATGCAGTTTTATCGTGCGCTCATCTTAGAAGAAAACATAGAATTTTGGCGCGCGCGGGGCTCTAGTGCGACAGAGGAAGAGGGAGACTGGGGGGACTGGGGTGGGAGGTGATTCGAGAGGGGTCTCTCAGTTCCAGTGTCTGGTTTTCTACTTTTGGTGAATCTGGGTTTTCGATTCGAGTATCCCCTGGACCTATATGACAGCAAACAGTTCATGCCTGCGCCATGATCGTGGACAGGCGATTGTTGTCGATGGATTTATCAATCAAAGAGGCGCTGCTCTGCCCCGAAACGTCCAATCGGCAACTGTCGTGACTCGCGTCCCTCGTTACTTGCTCCAACCACGACGTGCTGTGGACATCTGTAAGAGCACCTCAATTCGTGACGAGCTCGCACGATTATGAGATGGCCTTGGCGCCCAAGAAGACGAGAGTACGGAGGAAAATCGTTTAAGCGCTGTACACGAGTTCCACAAATATCGCCGTGTTCGTGACGGGACAAAGATTCTGTGAGCGCCCAGTGGCAGGATGTCAGTGAAGCTCCACGGGGCTGTATCAAACTTAGTTGAGGACACATGCCCTTCGCGCTCGATGAGCTCAGCGCGAAGGAGACGCTGCGCCTATACGCAGTCGCGCTTGAATGTCCAGAAACTGGAAAGAAACAGCGCGCGCCAGGCAGGCACAATGGTTTCCCCACGGAGGAAGGGACCCCCTGCATGTGCATGTAAGGACCTTCCGAGCCTGCCCGCTCGGCGTGTGCCTGCGAAAGGCCCGCACGAGTCGCAGCGGCAGCATAAATAAGGCCAGAAAAGGCAGGAAGCCGCTGGAAGACGAGGATAAAGCGGGACTCGGTGTATAACAAGTACACCGGCCCCCTTCGCACGGTCCATTCAGGATCCCTGAGGCCTGCATCAGAGAATCCTGATCCTGAATGACATCGACGTGATGCAGCTACTTTTGGAAAGACGACTTGGGGCTTGGAGGCTGTAACTGCTTCAGCGAAAGGAGTGGGACGCGTTTGGGTGCGCTTGACTTCCATGATCATGAGAATCGACCGGAGCCAGCTGCGCATCCCCATGGTGCGAGAGCCAGTTCGGGGAACCTGCTTTGCCATCTCGTCCGCGGTGATCCAGACAAAGATGCAAGACGATGTCGCTACCGGGTGCTGTGATAGCGCATGGACGCGAGATCCTGTCCAACAGACCGTGAGACAGTTCGGATCTCTACTGACGAGGGACGGGGCATGCCGTAGCTGTCATACAGGGGTGGTGGACCAAAACCAAGGACTCTCCCGCGCCCATAGGTGCGTACAACATCCGAATGGATGTACTGATATAGGCCTGACGGACTGGCCGGGTTCACGCGTCTGCAGACCACCACGTCAGACGAAAGGGACAGTCAAGGGGCCAGTGCACGGACAAAGTTCCATTCAGAGCATGGACTGGAACTACCGCTCTGCATCATAGTGCCGAATGCGCAGGCAATCGGCAGGCAAGCGCACTCCGTAAATAGATATTTGAATGGGCTGGTACCAAGACCCCCCCCTTCCCTACGGCCCATCACCGTGAACCACCGACACAGATGCTCGTATCGCGCTTCTCGCGACGGTACAATGTAGAGAAAAGCAACCACTCGAGGCTTCAGGAAGCTGGACAGAGTACTTCGCGGCACCTCCCGAGTCCGCCCTCGTTGAGCTTGAGGCCACGGGGGACTGGGATTTGACGGCATCTCACCTGTCTGCTCGATCGAGCGGTGTCGTCCACTAGCGAATCCGCATCCTCCAGTCACAAGGGATCAAATTCTGACGCTGCCCTGCGAGAACCACGGCTTGTTGTGTGGGGATGGTCTAGGGCTGGCAGTAGTTATGGGCAATGCTAGGGCTATGTCAGTGGAGGCTCGATTGACAGGAAGCATGGATGGCAACTCGATGGGTAGCCGAGAGGGTCTCGTGCATGATCCGTCGTACTCATCTGACGGGCAAAGTTACTGCTACACTGGACACTGGCAAAGTCCGAATCATGGAACAATTCACACAGCGCGAGAAAGCGAAGCGGGACACACTCGAATCTGGACTCAGTGCCTATCCTCGCACGAGCATGCTTGTGCGAGAAGCGCGGCGATCTGCTTTCCGTCGCAGATTACGGGTTTGGGACGAGTCGGTGAGAGTGCGCCCCGACGGCCCTAGAGCTATGTCTGGGTAACACGCTAAGCGGCATTGGAAGAGCAGCAGGATAGGACATGGATCTTCATGAGCCCATAAGAGTCGACGGCCCGACGTCACTGTTTACTGGCCGACGTCGATGCGCAGTGATGCTGAGGTCCGCAGGTAAGGACGGGCCGGGCAAGATCACCACGGATCAAGACGTCCACAGATCGAATTTGCTATCGTGCTCGAGCAATGGCAGGTCGTGCTTGGTTGAGCGGAGCGGGGTCCTTAGAGCCTGCTATGCCAAATTACGGACGGTGACAACTCGACATCGACATGTTGCCAGTCTCTGAATCAAAGGCCTGGAAACTACACACGGACTTAGATAGAGATACCGCAGAGAATGTGAATGAGATTCCAAACTGTAAGCGAGGCACCCGCCGTTCTTACAAGAGAAGTACGACCAAAGTGAAACGGTTCTATGAAACATCGGCCAGCTGAGTGCCGAGTCAACGCCATCGGACCTCAACGCGCATGTTGCCGTCTGCGAATCAATTTATTGAAGAGTGTCGGAAGGCGTGTCCTCTGGAAACCCACCAACACCACCACCAACACCACCAGAGTCAGGCGAGCAACCGTCACGGACTGTCGCGCGATCATTTCGTGGACCGCAGAGTCACTCGGCGCTGTCGTGGCTGTCTGATCCTGATGCGCCGCAACAGTCAAAATCACTGCGCAAACCATGCGCGTAAACGCTTGGCGACAAAGGCGGACAGAAGCGTGTGACGGATCGGAACCGTGAAGTTGTAAGCACCTGTAAGATGAAGGAGCATACCTAGAGTCGTCGCATTCGGAACAATACGAAGCATCATTGACAAGGCTCTCATATTTATGGAATTAGGAAGCATAATCGACCTGTAAAGTGCGCACTGACAGCTCCACGCGGGGATATCAGGCCGCCTCGATTCCGAGTTTGAGATGTCGATTCCCAACTTTGCCTCCGTTTGGAGGTTCGATATCTTGCAATCAGATACGTTAATACGTATGCATCAGACTGCGGCTGAGATTGATCGGGACAGCGATGGAGTGTGTTGTGATTGATGCCACCGAGAACTCGATGAACATATTTAGGGGCACTTATGTATAATTGTTTGCGGTGCTGGCAGAGTCGGGTGCTGTATGGGAGTTGGGCGACCAGAGTTCCTTTTTGGTTGCAGGCCTTTCTCGGGATGAGGCAGGGGGTTTTTTCTGACGAGAAAATCAACGAGAATTCCATACCTTGATAGATCCGGTATCGCACCCATGAACGGAACCGACGAGCGTGAGCGAACGAGAAATGCAGGCGAGATAAAGAGGTACAGGAAGGTATGTAAATCACATGGGTGTGTATTACTGGGGTATTGTCTTTAACTGCAGGAAATATGTCAGCACTGTGTTTGGACAATCCAGCGCGGCGGGGATGCGCCAGAAGGGATTGCGGGAGTGCATTTGAACATGGTGGAAAGCACACCTGCAGTCCGTGTATCCCTTCGATCTCCTTTTTCAGGGCATCGTTCACCAGTCTATGCTGCTTCACGATCGACAACCCCTTGAACGCCTGACTCGCGATGGTGATAGCGTAGAATGAGCCGCACCCACCTATGCCCATGAGCGAATTGGATCACCCGACGCCGTCTTCATGTCAAACAGAAGAGCAACACGCACCCGAAACATCCTGCACAAGCAACTCGGAGGGCTTGAACCGCTCGGTGAGCTTATGGTAGATGACCTGCTCGCCCGAGTCTAGATTTGGTGGTGGCGAGGATGCGGCGGAATATGGGCGCGCTCGGTTACGGAGAAACGAAGGGGATATTCTGCGAGAAATATTGGAGAACATGATTGCTCGAGCAAGACGCGGTGGGTGAGGACGACGCTTGTGTTGGCCAGCGCGCGTGTCAAATGTGCATTGCGCGTCAGGACGTGCCGACAGTGCCGAGCCAGGCCTCCGACGCGCTGGCCAGTCCCGAGGCCTCGATTTCGGGGACTTTCTTATACGTATCCCCGCGAGGGCTCACTGGGCTCACTCAACACAACTTGAAGAGCCTGGGACGCGCAGGAAGAAATAATTGGGTGCGCGCGACCTATCTCCTTTCTCCAGGACCACAATGTTACTGGTCATGCTGGCCAAGGCTCTCACCGTCCCAAAGCTGCACTCGTCGCTTTCGGTGGGCAGCGCTGCTAGGGGGATTTCTGCTTCATGTCGCGGCCTGCACAATCAGGCGACGCCCGGCAGTCGTCTTCTCTCCCACCTCCCAAAATATCCTCTGTGGTCTGCGGCTCGATCTTCCAGGCGCGCGCCGACGCCCGCTCGTCTCCTGCAGACGCGCTCGTATGCGCTTTTCTCGAAACCTAGCCCTGTAACCTTCGAGCAGCAGCTCTCAACCATTCGCACACCTCGCTTCTTCTCATCCAACGGCGCCCCCGTCGCGGAACCGCTTCCCATCCTCTCCGCGCCGCCTGTCGCGCGCTGGCTTCTCCTATCCTCTACCCTCGTCTTCGCCGTCATTGTTGTGGGCGGAGTCACCCGCCTCACAGAGTCTGGTCTCAGCATCACGGAATGGCGTCCCATCACCGGAATTCTCCCTCCTCTATCGCAGGCCCAATGGGAAGCAGAGTTCGACAAGTACAAGGCAACACCGGAATTCAAGCTGTACGTTCTCTCGCGCTCTTCTCATTGTGTCTCACTGGAAAATGCTTTCTTCAATTTGATCGACGATCAGGTTGAACCACTCTATCTCCCTCTCGGAGTTCAAGTCCATATTCTACATGGAATGGGCGCACCGCGTTCTGGGCCGCATCATCGGCATCGCCTTCGTCGTCCCCCTCGCACACTTCGCCATCCGCCGCCGCCTGACAGCTTCTCTGCCCCTGCAGCTCACAGGTATGGCCTTCCTCCTCGGAGCACAAGGCGCGCTCGGTTGGTACATGGTCAAGTCCGGTCTCGAGGACTCTCTGATGGACACACCTGGCGCCGTGCCGCGCGTGTCGCAGTACCGCCTCGCAGCGCATTTGGGCACGGCGCTGGTGCTGTACGCGGGCATGTTCTGGACCGGCATCTCGATTCTGAAGGACTGGAAGTACGCGAAGACGGGCGCATGGGCGGGCCTGTCGGACGGAAGACAATGGGATAAGGTGCTGCAGAACCCGATTGTGAGGCGGTTCAAGACCCAGTCGAGTCTGCTACTCGGACTTGTCTTCTTGACCGCGCTGTCAGGTTCGCACCCGTTCGTTTTATGTGTAGAGTCTGGGCTGAGTGCATCCCGTCGTGAATAGGAGCGTTCGTGGCCGGCTTGGACGCAGGGCTGCTTTACAATGAGTTCCCACTCATGGGCGGACGTATCGCGCCCCCCTCTGATGAGCTCTTCAACCCCGCGTACGCGTCCCAGTCCGATGGCACAGGCCTCTGGCGCAACATCTTCGAGAACCCAACCACCGTCCAATTCAACCACCGCGTGCTCGTTCGTTTCTCTTCTCCCCTCCCTCCTCCTATCGTCCCTGACCTTCGCTTCCGTCTTCCCTCGCACATGCAGGCGATAACCACATACTTGGGCACCGGTGCGCTCTACCTCGTCTCCCGCCGCCCTGCCCTCCGCGCGGCCCTCCCGCCCCTCGCGCTCCGCTCCGCGACGATTGCCTTCGCTATGGCCAACGTCCAAGTCCTCCTAGGCATCTCCACGCTGCTCTACCTCGTGCCCGTTCCCCTCGCCGCCGCGCACCAGGCAGGCAGCGTCGCGCTGCTCACCACCATGATACATGTGCTCATTGCGCTTAGACGGCCGGGGATGGCGGCGAGGGTGTGGAGGCAGGCGAATGTCGCGAAGGCGGCTGCCAAGCCATAACAATGCCTGCGTTAACAAGTGGTCGGTCGATCGACGTCTGGGATGCGAGAGGTCCCGTATTGTAGTCATAGCTCACAACCACATCGCTGTCTGTATCATCCACCGCTCACTAATGCTAACATATTCCTCACCTGTGGAATTCCGAAAATCTGGTCTTTTGATGTTGGCATTGACACACAAACCCACGAACTGCTGACAGGAGCGTACACGAAGCGCCTCTCCGTCGTCATCGATGCTATTGAGCTACATTTCCTTTCCCATCGCAACATCTACAGCTCCATCTCCACGTCCTCGTCGCCCTCCGCCGGCGCCGCTGCCCCTTGCTCCAACTGCTGGAGTGCCGCACCAAGCGCCCCTTGCGTGGCCGACTGCGACGCGATGTAGCTGGTCACGAATTCGGAGTCGAGGATGCGGAACGGGCCTTCGGGCGAGACGCCCTTCTCTGTGGGCATCGGCGGGCCCACGACGCCGATAGAGCTGTTAAGGGCAGTGAGCTCTTTGTCTTGTTGAAGGGTTTCGCGGAGGGCGTTGAGTCCGTGCGTGATGAGTTGGTCCAATGAGCCTGTTCGATGCGATTTGAAACGTGCCGCGCGGGAAGAAGCAATATCAGTAACAGACCGTGTCGATGACGGAGGTGCGAAGGAACGGCAGGGGGTTAGGGTTGGGGGAAGGGGTGGGGACGCACAGGATGCGAAGGACTCGTAGTGCTTCTCGAGGTATGTTTTTGCGCTCTGGCTACGCGCGCCGATCGAGATGGCATAATACTCGAACGACGTGCCCGAAGGCGAAAATTCGAAGAGGTGTGGACCAGTGCTGTCCTGTCCGATGACGAGGAAGCCGACGCCGTATGGGCGGCGCCCGTATTCCTGCGTATTGACCTGTGCCTCTATTGGTTGTGGGATCATATACCGAGACAGCGCGGTCAATTGGGTGATCGGAGGAACAGAATGGCCGACGTACTGTCTGCGATGGCGGATACGAGGCGGTTGACGGGTGCTGGTCGGTTGAAAATCATTCTTGAAGCCATGGCTTGTTGGCGCATGAAGTTACTGCACAGATGGACGCGCGCGCACACGCGCATGAGCATCCCCTCCTCTCAAGAGAGAACGCAGACTCCCGGATGCCGAGTAGACCCACGCACCTCAATACTCGCGCATCGGACGTGAGCCCTGCGATCGCAATACCGACGTGATCGTCAATGCGGAACATCTTCTGCTGATACGACGCAAGCTCGCCCGTCGAGCGCTGCAGCACAGACACGATCCTTCAGCCCACGCTGCGATCGTGGATGCACGGCAGCTAAGCAGACCGGGCGGGAGATCGGGACATACCTTCAAAGCCAAGAGTACACAATGTGTCTTGGACCGTAGCCCGATGGCTGCAGACCCCTGCTTTACGGCCTCGAGCGCATACTCGACTTGGTGCAGACGGCCTTGTGGCGAGAAGACGGTGTTGTCGGAATCGTATGTGTTGCGGAACTGAAACGGCGTCAGTGATGGGCTACGGGTATATTCCTGTGGATGTATACTCACCATCGTTCCAAGGGGTGGTTGGAAGGTGGGATAAGTGGAATAAGGGATGTGCCCGAGGCCGCGCGTATAGCAGCGCTGCGAACTGACGCGTCGAGGCCAACGGCTTGCGATCCTAACATGCGCAAACTCCTTCGCCGCACGTGTTTGCAATCTCTAATCTCCATCATCTCCCTTTCTTTCCTTCCTTCTCCCTTTAGAGCAGCAGCAACTGCCATGTCAAAGTTCGAGATTTCTGTGGCCTCGTTCTATCGTTTCTTCGTCGAAATATAAACGCATATATTCCCAGCTTGGACTCTTTTTCCGAATCAGACACTATGACAATCGGGAGGGGAACGTAGAGTGGGTTTGGAGCTGTGTGCGTAGCTGATCCCATGCATGCTCAACACCAGCTCAGTGTCCAGTATAACTATGGGGACTATGATCCAGTACTCTGTATGTGCTTTGCGTCATATCAAGCGACTATCTCAACAACCTCCATTTGTGGTCCTCGGCAGCTGTAGGTGATCGTCCGTTTTCCGGCTTGCTATTGATTCCTAGAGGCCAGACATGATGTAATGTAATGGATCGGATTTGTGTTTCCTTGCGCAACTTCTGCCCCCCGTGATACTGATCGCCCCTATTCAGCAATTTTGCGCCTGCCAAGACACCCCTAAAAACACGAATTCAGTCACCAGTTGCCCTCAGAAAACGCATCGGGGATACCTCGAGCCGGATAGCAAACTTAGCACTGGGTCCCAGTACGTTCTAGTGTCCCTATTCCACAAACGGCGGAGACCCTTCTCGGACCACATGTCTCAATCTCAGTCCCTCAGCTGAGTTCGGTATCGTTCAGTTCTATCTCTGTCTCACCTCGAAATCTTCGCTCTCACGGCGGTATCTCTGGGTCTAGACCCCTTGTCTCGTCTGCTCGCAAACTGGACCGACGACTGCACGATCAGATACCGACGGCCCTCCCACGGTCGACAACGATATCCTGACGTATAACCTTCTCACTTGGCCGCCTCCATAGCATACAGCTCAGACTGCAACATCCACCTTCACCACACCCTGATTTCCCATCGAAACTTTTACTACGCATGTCACTTGCCACTACCCCTTACCCCTCTGAGCGCGAAAATCTTCCCCCCACAGTTCTTTACAATCTTTCCTCTGCCTCTCTGCCGCCCTCCGATATCACCGTCGCATCCAGGATGATGCTCTCACCGGCCTCCCTCGCGTCTTCGTGTCCTCCTACCCCCATCGGTGGCGTTCGCAGTGGGTCCCCGATAAAGGTCCGATACAGCGCTGGCTCGTTGAAGGTCCGATCCATGAGAGAGGACGCCATGCCCACACCCATCTCCCTATCCTTCCCCATCGCTCACAATGCGAGTTCCAAGACAAGCAGCCGGTCCAAACCATTCGAGTTCTGCGAGGAGGACGGGGAAGACGAGGAGGATGACATTCCGCCTCACACCAGGGCATTCCCACTCACCTTCCCCCGGTACGCCAACGCGCGGCGCTTCCCGTTGTCCGAGGACTCGCAGTCCCTCCTCCGACTGGCCACCGCCAACGTCGCCCGGCAGCGTCGCAGGCTCACTTCCATTCCGGACTGGGCCACCCTGTTCCGCGCTCAGCCTACCCACTCGCGCTTGCCTATCCCCTTCTCTACCTTCATACCGTTCCCCACCCGGATGTCGAGGCCTGTCCTGCCCCCGCTCCACATCCCGTCCTCCGGCTCCAAATTCTTCGAGACCGGACTGCCCCCGCAGGGCTGCGACACCGACGACACCGACGACACCGAGGGCGAGGGCAGCTCGAACTCGAGCACGCCCTCCGAGCCGCCCTCCGAACTGCTCTCCGAGCCCCCCTCGCCGCGCCCCTCCGCCTCGCTCCACGGCACGCTCACCACCCGCCTCTTCGCGCGCTACGCCGCTGCGCGCAAATCCATGCGCGCGCCGCACGCGACCTCCTTCCGCCGCTCGTCCTCCGCCTCGAGCGTGCGGTCCGCGCCGGCGGCACCGCGGCCCAAGGCGTCCTTCCTCCGGCGCATCGCGCCGCGCGGCCTCGCGCTGCGCACGCGGTCTCTGCCCGTGCGCGTGGACGTCGAGACGAGCACGCGCGTGGACGGGGGCGAGCGTGCGGGGGCAAGGGCGGGGGCGGGCGTGGGCCGGTCGGCGAGCGTGCGCCGCGCGGCGTCGGAGAAGCTGAGGGGTCTCTTCTAGGCGCCCGCGTGACGTCGGGGCTCGTCCTCGCCGCCGGTTTTTTCGTTGTTGTTGCTCATTCTGCACATGGACACGTGCGATCGGACAGACGGACAGGCGTTGTCGACGCGTCCGGTGCTCAGCTTTCGTATCCCGCTCTCGGACTGTTGATCGTACTGCACGGACTCGTAGCGACCCTACCACATCCTGAACTCTCTCGCCTCGGACCATCCCTTCCCTCGCCCTACATTATATTACGTCGCATACATACTTATCACATACCTATCTACCCCACCCGCGTTCCGCGTTGCGTCGGACTCGCGCCCCATGACTATAGTCGTTATGTACACCCTCCTACGGACTGCGATCCCTCCAGGACATCCGCACCGCACGTCTATGAACCACGAATTCGGACGATCTCCACGCGTCTGCGTCCGCGTCTGCGAGCAACCGAGCCGTGCGATACTATGCATATGTGTGCCATGCGCCAAAGATATATGTATGTGTGCGTATGTACATGCATTGTGAGTATATGAGTAAAGATAAGAGCACTCGGGAAAGATCTATGCGCGGACGATGGGGAAGGGAGCAAGGGGCTATCAGGAGGACGCATGATGAGGGGGAAGAGGACCGAGCGAGCGACCGATCCATCTACAACCGCCGAGCAAAAGCAGGTGAGAACCGCAAGGACTTTGTGAAGAAGCACAGAAGGGGAAGCGAAAACGCGAACCTAGATGACGAGGATATCGAAACGTCCAGCACGAACAACAACAACAGCGACAGCAGCAGCAGCAGCAGCAACGACAACAACAGCAGCAGCAGCAGCAGCAGCAGCAGCAACAACAACAACAGCAGCACAACCCCCCTCGTCACACGACACGCCCTCGCGCCGCCGATACGATTTTAGTAAAATCCCCAAGCAACCAAGCAAGGAAAAGACACGACAACCTCCCCCCGCCCTCTCCCTCTCCCTCGCGCGCGCGCACGCCATCAAACCTCGAACCTCGAACCTCGAACCTCAAACCTCGAACCTCGAACCGCGAACCTCGAACCTCGAACCTCGAACCGCGAACCGCGAACCTCAACCCTCACCCATCCAGCCCAAACCCGCGCATCGCAGCCTTCCGACTCATGCTCTTCCGCGCACGCATATCCGACACGAGCACCGCGCCCCCCGCATGCGCATGCGCAGGCGGCGCGAACCCGAGCCAGTTGTGCGTCCCGCCCGCCGCGGCCACCGCCCCCGCGCTCGTCGCGCCCATCCCGTCCGCCGGCGCCGCCGCCGCGTGCGGCTGGTGATGGTCTCCGCGCGCGTGTGTAGAGGACGACGAGGACGGCGACGGGGGCGCGTCAGCGAAGGACGCGGCGCGCGGCGAGCGTGGCGAGTGCTGCGAGTCGCCGTCCTCGTCCGCGCGCGCGAGCACGCCGCGCTCGCCGTCGCGGTCGTGCGCCCATGCGACGGGGAGCGCGGCCTCAAAGGCGACGATGCCGAGCTGGCGGCAGTAGTACTGCGTCGCGGCGTGGAACGCGGTCTTGCGCGCCTGGCGGAGGCCCCAGTCCTGCCACGTGCTGCGCGCACCGAGTCGGGTCAGCAAGCAAGCAAAGTCGCGCGCGGCGGCGGCGGCGGACGCACCCGTTGTGCCCGATGCCGATCGTGATCTCGAGGTGGCGCTGAAAGTCGATCTTCTGGAGCGTGACGGAGGTGGAGGGCATGAACCAGCGGTTCTCCTCGCGCGCGAGCCACTCGTTGAGGCACCGCTCGAGCGCGTCGAGCTTCGCGAGCGGCGTGCGCCACGCGACCTGCATCGTCAGGTTCTCGAACGTCTTGTCGCTCCGCCGCACGTTCGTGCTGCGCGCCGCGCGGGGGGTGTGGTGGTGAGCGGGGAGAGGCGAGGCGGCGAGACGGGATGAGGCGGGACGCGATGAGACGCGATGAGACGGGACGGGACGGGGTGAGGTGGGGAGGACGGGACGCACATGAATTTGTTGAACAGCTGGCTATTGAAATAATACGTCTCCGTCCCGTCCGAGCGCGCAAACACCGTCTGCGACCACGGCCACCATCAGCACCCCGTCCCAAAACGCATACACGGGGCACGACGCACCGCGAACAGGCCCATCTTCTTCACGACCAGATTCTCCTCTGCGCACGCACGCACGCACGCACGCACGGCGTCAGCGAGCACGCTCCACGCGCCAATAAGAGCGAGCAGACTCACCGTCGATGAAGCACCGATCGCCCGTGTCGAACGGACTGCACGCAAGTCAGTCAGCGCGCGCGACCCCAACCCGCGAAAAAGAAACGAGCACCCACTGCGTCACGAACAAAAACATGATCGCATCGAACGCATTGCTCGCCGCGTTCTTAAAGATAAAGCTCGCCGCGATCCCGATCGAATACACGCTCGTCAGGCTCTCGCCCACGCTCACGTCGAACACCGACAGCGACACGAAGAACAGCACCGCCGCGGCGAAGAACAGCAGGATCAGGTCCAGCGTGCGCAGCGCCGCGCCCACGTCGCGCATCGACCGGCTCAGGAACCGCCGCTCCTTGTACACCTTCAGCAGCGTCGTCTTGATCTCCGCCCGCGACAGGTCCCCGTTGTCGTCCGCGTCGAACACCCGGAACGCGCGCGCCGCGTCGGAGGGCGTCTTGTACGCCGGCTGCAGGTCCGACGGGAGCAGGTACCGCCGCCGCCGGTCCTTGAACGTCGTGTAGATCAGCCGCGCGAGGCGCTGGCGGCCGGGTGTCAGCACACACACACACACACGCACACACGCACGCAGAGAGCGGGAGCCGCGCGCGCAAGACGCACCTTGGCCTCGTGCGCGGACGTCACGTCCCACACCAGCCCGCCCGCGCCGCCCTCCTTCCCCTCGAGGTTCCGCGCGTCGTGCAGCACCGCGTTCTTGAGCACGCGCGCGGCCTGCGCCACGACCGCCGCGCCGCCGTCCTCCTCGCTCGACCGCCGCGCCGCGCCCGCCCCGTCCGGCATCGGCGTCGGCGGGTAGCGGTGGGGGTTCGCGGACACGTCGGCGTCGGCGTCGGCGTCGACGTCGTACCCGAACCCGGCAGACCCACGCTTCGCCTTTTTCCCCTTGCCCTTGCCCTTGTCCTTCGCCTTTCCCTTTCCCTTGCCCTTGCTCTTGCCTTTTCCCATGCCGTCCGCGCCCTCCTCCTCGTCCGCATCCCAATCGCTGTCCGTGTGCACGGCGCCCCCCAGCGCGCTCATGCCGCTAAGCGGCTCGGGCGTGCCCGCGCGCGGCGTGCTCGCCCTGCGCACGCCCCACTCGAACCCGCCCTTCTCGCCCGCGGGCGTGCCGAACCCGAACGAGGCAAAGACGGGCGTGCGGGTGCCCGAGGCGGTGTGCGCGTGCGCGTGCTTCGGGGTCTTGGGGCGGTAGTTGCGCAGGTGCTCGATGACCTGGAGCGACTCGCGCAGCGCGTCGATGCGCTCCTTGAACGCGGTGCGGTGGAAGGCGAAGGCTGGTGGGGGTCTATGAGAGGAGTGAGAGGCGAGACGATGAGGAAAGGTGCGTACCGATCGCGTGCGAGAGCATCTTTTGGGCGCACCAGACGAGGGTGAGGAAGAACAAAAACTCGACGACGTTGTCGAGCTGCCGTCGCACGTCAATGCCGGTCCATCGCGAAAGCGCGCGGCGAGGGGGGCACGCACCGTGTTTGTGTACTTTGCGCGACTCTGGGCCTCCTCGCCCGAGTCGTGGAGGTTGTATATGTGCTCAAAGAGGATGACCCAGCTGACCCATCCGCTCGCCGCGTAAAAGAGGGGTTTTACGGTGCCCTTGACGGAGTTGAAGAGCTCGATGCGGGTCTTGATGCTCTCGGAGACGTGGCCCCAGACGAGAGCGACGACGCCGCGGACGACTGCGGGGACGAGGTCGATGATGAGGGCGAGCCACCAGGAGACGAGGAGGTTGGCTGCGGCCCAGAAGAGCCAGGCCTGGAGGTTGTCGAGGACGTAGCGGCGGTGGTCGGTGGGGTGGGGCTTGTACCAGAAGAAGTGGACGAGGACGGGGCCGGCGACGAGGAGTGCGGCGAGAAAGGTGGAGCCGATGAGGGAGCCGAAGAGGAGGGTGACGACGCTGTGGGGGGGCGGGGCGGGTGAGGACGAGAGCGAGAGTGTGGGTGGAGGCGGGCTCACCGCTTGAAGCCCCAGGCGCGGGGGCGCTGTGCGATGCCCATCTGGTGCTCGAACTTTGCCTCCTCGTCGACGAGGTCCTCCTCGGCGCTCCAGTCGTACTCGTCGTCCTCGTCATACTCGTCGTCTGTGCCTGCGAGCGAGGCCTGGCGCGAATGGGAGAAGGGGGGGAAGGGCTGGGGCGAGGGCGCGGCGGAGTAGCCGGGGGCGAGGTCGTCCGTGTAGTGGACGGTGGGCTTGGGGGTCGCGGTGCCTGGGGCGAGGGGGAGGGCGGCGGACACGGGGCGGGGGGAATCGAGGACGACGGGGGGCTTTTCGGGGACGCGGCCGTGGTCGTGGTCGTGGTCGTGGTCGCGGTCGTTGTCCATGAGGTCGACGCGGGAGCGGTAGGGCGGGGTCTGGTGGAGGGCGAGCTGGGAGGTGCTTGCGACGGACTTGTAGGGGGGCGAGGGAAGCGGGGACGGGAGGTCGTCTGTGTCGAAGAGGCGGAGGTGTGCGGGGCCCAGCCGCGAGCGCGAGCGTTGATCGTGGCCCGCCATATCGAGCGAGCAGCCAGCTACAACCCCCGTGATATACCCTCCTCCTCCTCCTCATCCGAGGCACGCACCACCCCTTGGCAACTCCCATCCCGCTCTCCAAGCCTCTCCCTTGCCCGTCCCCGCCCCGTCCCCCTCTGCCGCCCTCTGCCGCCCTCCCCGCCGCCCAGCTCGGCTCTGCAGTCCCCAGCACCAGCGTCCGCTCGCCATTCTAGCCGTCGCCCCTCGCCGGGAGCGCAGCTGCGAAAAAAATAAAAATAAAAAAGGGAGGGAAGGATCGCTCCACCGCCCCAGATTTCAAATCGCGTCCTTCTTTCGCTTCCCGATATGGACGATGCGCGACGGCCATGACGTCACTCCCCACCCGCGCGTCGTCGTCACCCACACAGCCAGAGCCTGCACCCCTCCACCTCTACCACCGCCTCACCGCCGCCGCCGCGCCATGCCGCTCCTCGACGCCCTCACCGGCCACACAGACCCCGCCAAGAAGCTCGAGCACGCCCTCACAAAACAGGCAAAATCCGACGCCAACCACCTCTCCGCCGCCGCCAAGGCCCTCCAGTCCACCGAGAAGGCCCACGCCCGCGCCCAGAAGGTCCGTCGTCCCCCCTCGCTAGCAGCACCCCGCTAGCCGCGCGCAGCTGACCCGTAACACGCCTCTCCATCGGCTTTACCGCCATGCGACGCACGCGCAGACCGCCCGCAAGGCCGACTCGGCAGCCGAAAAAGCCGCCCGCGACGAGCACAGGTCCGCCGTCGCCCTCAACGACGCCGCACACGCCCACGACACCGCCCTCACACACGAAAAACAGGCCCAGCACGACGCCCAGGTCCGTCTCTCCACCCAATCTCCCGCCCCCCCCCTCGTCCCTCACCCCTTCGTCCCTCACCCCGCCCCGCCCCGCAGCTCAAACACGACCGCGAAGCCCACCTCGAGCGCGACATCGCACGCAAAAAAACAGACCTCGACGCCCTCGCGCACAAGAAATCCGCCGCCGACGTGCGCCCGCCTCCTCCCCCCCTCGCTCGCTCGCTCGCTTTTTTCCCCCTACTGACCCCGACGCGCGCGCGCGCTCACGCGAGCAGGCTGAGCGCGACGCGAGGCTCGCAGAGATGCACCGCGCCGGCGCACCCGACGTCCTGAATCCGAACGCGGACGCGAATCCGAACAACAACGACAGCGCGACGGTGCCCGCGGCGCAGCCGACTGCCCCCGCGCGCTCCAATGCCGCCGCCCCCGCCGCCGGCACCGTCCCGGGTGCCTACTGAGACGCGCACGCGCTCGAACGCATACATGCATCATTCGACGTTGCCTTGCCTTGCCTTTCTTGTCTCTTGCCCTTTCTCTCGTCTTTTTAATTCGCCCAGAGGACGTTGTATCGCGAGGACGGTGTATCTTCGCCCCAGAGGACGTTTTACCCAGCCCGCGTCATCCCAGGCTGTTGTAGCTTCCCATCGCGCGCGTGTCATACGTGGCCCGTCTGTATTGTAGTCTGTAGTCTGCAGTCTGTAGTCTGTGTGTATTCCGTATCCCGTATTCCGTATTCCGTAGTCCGTAGCATCACCCATCACCTTCCGTCCGCCCGACGACCCGAACCCGACACAGCGCACATCCACTCTGTCCACCCAGACGCAAACGCGCTCGATCCGCGCTCGCTCTGTTCTGGCTCTACCGTAGCCCTGGAGGGGTGGACGCGCCGGCAGAGCGATCGAGTAAAGAGTCAATCGAACGGCACAGAATCGAATCGAATCGAAGCGGATGAAGTGAGGCGGGATGGACTCGACTCGGGGGGGTGGGTGGTGGAGCGAACACGTGAGCGCTGAGCGCTGAGCGGGGGCAGGCGGCGCGGACGGCGCGGAGGACGCCGATTCCCGGCGAGAAGGCGGCGGTGGCGGCGGCGGCGGCGGGGACCCGCGACAGCCGTCTCGCGCTCGTGCTGTGGTGCCGTTCGTCCCCGCCGCGACGAACAACGGCGCGTGTCCGCCCCTCCGCCGCCTACGCCTACGCCGCCTACGCCCACGCCTGCGCCTGCGCCGCCTACGCCTACGCCCTCGTCCAGGCCGAGCAGACGCGGGGTGCGCGGCTGGAGGGGCCAAGTGCGGGCGGATGCTGGCGCGGACGCGGGCGCGGGCCGCGAGGCGACGGTCTGCCGTCTCCGTCCTGAACGAGCCTAGAATGCGCCGCCAGAAAGAACGCGGCGGGTCGACGCGCTGCGCGCGCGGGCCGGCGCGTCCGAGCGGCCGAGCGGGCGGGCCGGCGGGGGGCTCCGCGCGCAGAACGCGGAGCGTGGGGGGTGGGGTCTGGGAGGGTGACGCGGCGGAGGTGCGCGGCGGTCGCACGTCTCTTGCGTGGTGTTCGGCGATGGGTGCTCGTGCGTGGGGCGCGCCCCAGTTGCCTCGTCGCCGCGAGGCGAGTCGGAGATCGCGCACCGCGACGATGCGGGTCGATTCTGGGGCCTAGCGTGGCCATGGACGCGACACCCACGCGCACGCGTCCGAGCCGATGCGACGAGCAGGCACGGCGCACCGCGCACCGAGCACCGAGCACCGAGCACCGAGCACCGAGCAAACCCAGCAGAAGGATCTGCGCGTGGAGTCGCTGTCCCGGACGCAGAATACCAGCGCCCCAGGAACGCTCGAGCATGTGAATTAGCGACGCAGCGTGAATCCATGCGAAGGGCATCGGGGAGAGGCCAGCCGATCGAGCACCCTCGCGCACACGCCGTCGAGTCGCTCTGGGGCGAGTCGCGTGCGTGCGCGCGCGCACGGCGTCAATGGGCGTCTAGTCCGGGGCCCCACGCGCCGCGCGCTGGGTGACTTGACTGGCTGGCTGGCTGGCTGGCCTGGCTCGAGAGTTCGCTGCTGCTGCTGCGCGCGCGTCCAAGTATGCGCTGCAAATTCGGAGCGTCAGGAGCGGTCGAGGGCGGCTAGGTGTTTGGCGTGCGGATGATGACGAGAGTGGGTGGTAGTGAGCCTGGGCTCGAGATGGCGTACCACATGCACGCCCTGCCGCCCGCTGCCGTGGTGGATGCGCAGGAAACAGCTTCAGGACCGTGGCGAGTCGAAGGTGACTTCGAGGGAGTTGTGGGGTACGAACTCAGCGCCGTGGTCTTGTTGCGGTGGGCGACCGTGACTCAGGGCGGGATGGCTGTGAAGAGTGGAGCGCCCGGAAAGCCAAAACGAAAGGAGATAGAGATGCTGCCGTGTGTGCGATCAGACGGCGTATCTCGCTGACGATGGTCGGTCTTCGCGTTCAGTGCTAGGACTGCGAGCGCAGAGCGACCTATGTTGGCGCGGCGGCATGTGCATATAGCAAGACATCTAGAATATAGTCCGTTCAATGGGATCTTCTCGGCCGCTGTGTCAACAAAAACGGAGGGGAGGGAGGCGACGTGGGGAAAGGGTGATTTGAGGTACGACATGAAACTGTCACAACCCTCGTCACCTGATACGTCGCGCGGAATAAATCCGTTTGAGACAGGGGAGACTAGATCGAACCTTGCTCGGCCAGGATTCGAAGACTTCGACGGTGAACCGGTAGGAGTTTGTGTCAATACTGATGAGTTATGCGCTGCCAGCCCACTCAAATTTATCGGTCGTCGGTGGATCTTCGACGTGTGACACTCGTTTTGGAGGAGCTGGAGAGCTGGGAACGAGAGTAGCATCGAAAGCGAGGGTAACCAAAGTGCGCCGAATGAGTCCAAAAACAGGGTGACCGATGCACGGACAGGCAGACATTAAACTCTCACGAGGAGGTTGCGACCACATGGACGAAGTCAATTTAGTCAATCCGGACGACTGGAGGCCTTGGTGGGATACTTGACTATTCGAATACCGATTGGGGGACGACTCGAACGACCATTTAAACGACCTCACCCGACTTGGTGACGTCCAGGAGTTTTGAACGGCATTTTGAAAGGCCTAGCGACGCAGAGCGCCGCTGGTGAAAGAAGGGCCTAGCGAAAATACACGTTATGTAATGGCTTGTCCAATTCCCTTGTGACTGGAGTCGTGTCAGACGATGGCGGCGACTTGGTCTTCTCCCATGCTGGCCTGACGCGTCAGGGACTGGTCGCCGCGCGCGGAGCCAGTGGCTGTGCATCGAAAGGTAGGTCAGCCATATCGACGTTGCTGCGGGAGAGCCTGGGCGCTCTGTCGAACTCCGAAATTCACCGCCCTGTATGCAAGCCCGGATTTCTGAACGAGACGGATAGGACTTCGTCAACGGACGGTGCGTGATACCCTGGATGGATAGAGGGTCGGACAGGCGAACCGGAGAGACTCGGAGTCCATAGTGGTCGATCACGGTCGTGCAGGTTGTTAGTGTCATGATCAGCTGTTTAGACCTGCCATACGACGTTAGCCAGCCAGCGTGAAGAGTCGGAACATTGTGGGGAGGCTCACGGTCCGTGTGTTTACTCCTAGCTTCTGGCGATGCCGTCGGTGAATGTGATGTGTGCCTCCAACGTATATGCACGGACGCCAATTCGTGTGCTCCGAGAAAGAGCAGACCAGTGAGTTGTGACACGTCGTCGTTAGTCTCTGGTGGCTAGCGTTATGGATTTACCCGACGCACATGCCCCAAGGAGTCAAAAGTGGATGCCAACGGCGTTGTATGCTAGAGGGTGGTTAGCGCGATCATGACATTGGGTAGTCAAAGCGCCGCAGTACCATCGGGATTGAACGCACTACGACAGAAAGCCGATAGAGCAAGCGGTCAAGCGTTAGTGAGATGAGAGTCATCGATGGTTGAGGTGTCCTACATGAAATCAGGCGGGCATATCGGTGCCAGGATGAGTTCATGCCCAAAGGCCATGTTCGAAGCCAAATTAGGTGAGCATCGAGCGGCCTGGAGTCGATTTGAGGGCCAGAAAGGAGACTCCGTCGACCACTCCATTCCCATTGCGCCCTGTTTTGACGCCGGCCATTTGAAGCTATATCCGGTATATGAAGCTTTGCCGCTGCGTAGATGAGCGTGCGACCCACCAGAAAAGAAAACATGCTTAGACCGACCGCCCTGACGCAGGCCCTCAGACAGATGAGCTGTCACTAAGTTTGCAGGCCTGGACAGCTTGATCCACCCCACGAACTCATAGGAGTGGTGCCCATGCGGCTTTTGAGTCTCAGAGTAGGGCAACTGCTGAACTGAACGTCGGCGGCCGCAGGCGCTCGCGTCTAAAAGATGCGCTGAACAGAAGGCAATGCTTCACTCGCGAGGTGGGGCCTAATGTATACGGAACTGTCAAGACTCGTCTGCCAACGATCGTACATGACAGGCGCGTACCGTATGAACATCTGTCATTTGAAACGGGCAATGCGTGGTAGAGGCCTTGGACGAGATCCCCGTTCGGTTTGTGGAACGGCGTCAACTTCGAGCACCGGGCGGAACATGCACTGGGCGCACGTAAGACTAGTAGGGTCATAGGCCGACTCAACTATGGCAAGCCGTTGATCCTCCTTGGACTTTCATTGACGGATGGGAGTGGAGCCAATGATTCAGGAGAGCCATAGACTTCTGCTTGGAACGGCAAGGGCGCTGATGTCGATGAGGACGCGCGGATCGATGACAGCGTTGGCTTGGTATGAAGGCGAGGGAATGGAAAATATCGTCTGTCAAGTCACATCTGGAAAGGCATGTCATATCCCTGACTCCAAAGGCGACCGGAGCCCAGTGTACGAAGAGAATCAGAATAGCCAGATAACCTGAGGGGCTTGAGTACGTACTGGTCCGAGCAAGTAGATATGCGAGAGGGGGAGCCACGGTAGATCCGCGTACGCGTATGGAGAAATAGGCTTGTGGGTTGAGTACTTATTATTGGTCGAGGGGATGATGGGTCTGGAAGATGACTGCACGTTAGGACGGCCACCTAGGAAAAATGCGGAAGCCGGCAGCCCTGACCACGAGTTGTGATTGTTCGAAATTAGGTGTCGCCGGGCCAAAGGTGATAGGGAGGCGGTGATGACTAGTGAAAGAAAGGGCTACCAGAGGAATTTGCCGCGGTGGAATGGGACCTCGTGCCGATCTGTGACAGGACGGAGACCTTGGAAGGCGGTCGCTGTGCATTCTAAAGAATTTGATGTATAAAAAGAGCGGAGATGGTAGATGAATTAGAAAATCTGGAGGCGCACGGCTGAATGGGGCACAATTAGGCTTCTGACAAGATAGAAGCGTATGTGGTTTCGATAAGTAATTTTGGTCACGAAAGACTACTTATCGGCCGGTAGGTTGTGGCAACCAATAACGATGTCATCTGCATGCGCGCAACTGTGCGCATGGCCAGCAACACGAGACAGCCGAGCGCTGAGCGCTGAGCATACGAGAGCTGCGCGAGAGCTAATCGTATGCAGGCTCGTCCGTTCCAAGTTGAAGATTAAACTTGAAGTTGGCGACGAAAGCCGCCTTCTGTTGTCCGCCACGTGTCGCGGAGTTGAATTGTGACTGCCTATCCCGTCGTCCATCCACATCTATCGCAAAAACAGCAAAAAACCCTTTCGAAATTCTCCGCCGTGCGAAACGTCGCCCTCGGTCTGCCCTTTGACACGCCTCACGACGACAACGATTGCTCGCATCTGACATGAACAGGAATCCCTTTGCTCAGCCGTCTTACACCCCTCAGCAACCCCCTTTACCCCCTGGTCCACCTCCGCCCCAGCCCACGCAACCCGACTACTCTGCATACTGGGCGGCGGCTGCGGCAGCTCAACACCCGACGCAGCCTGCGTACTCCACACAATGGCCTGGTGTCGCCGCGGCCGCAGCGCCCACTGTTACGCCCGCCCGGCCAACCGCCGAACAGACAGCGCTCTACGCCAACTACGGCTATGGTGGCCAGCAAGGCTTTCAGTGGCAGGCCCAGCAGCATCAGCAACAACGTGCGCCTCAGCCTGCCTACCAACCACCGCCACCGCCACCACCTCAGTACAATCCATATCAACCGCAGGCTGCTGCAGGGTATGTCCAGCCATATATCCCGCAGGGCGCTCCTTCGGCTCCACCCCCGCCCCCAATTATGCAACAATATGGACCGCCTATGCCACAACAACCGCCTCATATGCCGCAACAGCAGCAGCAGCAGCCACAACAACAACAACGGCAGTACTATCCTCAAACACAAAGGCAGAACCAGGGCTATCGACAGAACAATCCACAGCATGGCATGCAACATACGCCTCCCAATCATCTTCCCCCGGCCAAGCGTCCGCGGCACGACGGACCTGGTGGATATCATGCCAGAGGCTCTCAACCACAGATACAAATTCCGCCTCCACAGCCTCAGTTTAACCCGCCTCCACAGCCCTCAGGTCCAATGCCCGGACAGATGATGCAACAGAGTCCAATGGGTGGTGGCGGATATGGCGGCCGCGGCGGAGGGCAAGGTGGATCGATGGGGAGAGGAGGAGGTCAAGGAAGTCAAGGGAGTAGAGGAGGAGGAAGGGGCAGGGGTACGCCCATGGGGAATAACAGAGGTGGCGCAGGGAGAGGGAGAGGTGGTAGCATCTACAACAGCGGTAGAGGAGGAAGCCAGAGTGGGGCTCCGCTCCGAAATCATGGTTCGCGAGGGAACTTTGGGGGAGGGAACAATCGCGATAGTCCCAACCGGCGAGGTGGGTCGTTTGTGAGCGGCGGTGGATCGGCCAGCGGCGGCCACCATCATCAGCAAGGCATGAATCCATCATACCGCGGACGCGGACAGGGCCATCCGCACACACACACCTATGGGCGTGGTGGTAGGCATGATAGTAGCAGTTCCGTGTTCTCTTCTCGCGATGGGGGCATGGTGTCGTCGAGCTTCGTAAGCAGCATGGGCAGCAGCAGTGGTAAGAAGGACGAGAATCGTCGCACGTTAACGGATTTCAAAATCGTAGGTCTCGAGATCCGCGACCTGTCTTGGAGCTGGGGTGTCACGCCGTCGTTGAAGGCCGAATCCATCGACGATGTCCCGAGTGCAGCGTCTTTGGGCACAGAGCAGGATTCATCTGCTCAGATCAAAGAAGAGACCATCGAGTCGTCTGTGGCTTCTGACATCTCTTCATCGCCCCTCAAGGGGGACATCATAGAGTCCGTCGCTGATAAGATCGAGGATGCTACTGTCACAGATGGTGTTCTTTCTGCTCCTACTGCGGTTGTTTCGTCCGAGCCCAAGCTGCTCACGGACATGCCAGCGCCAGGCGCCATTCCTCCGCCGCCCTCGCGTATCCGCATATACTTCCATACGCCCGTCACGTCTGACGATTCGCACCTTCACAGTGCAAGCGCGCTCACGTTCTCTGGTGTCAATGCACCTGGCGAGGCGCGCAAAGGCAAGCGCAAGAAGCTTGAGGACGACGATGGGGACCTCGAGGAAGGGCGCGCGCCTCCGCCGCCTCCTGGGGACCGTGCAATGAGCATCGATGGAATTGACATCGCAAGCGTAGCGGCTAGCGCCGAGACTGCGAGCGAGGGCGATTGGCTTATGGCGGCCATTGGTGAAGCCGAGGGCGAAGGGGAAGGGGAAAGTGACGCTGACCTCCACGTGAGCGAGATCGGTGCGCGTGTGGATGAGGCCGAGGGTCCGTATGAGCCAGAGACTGAAGAATATGGTAAGTCTTGCTCTGTCCTCATTTGTCTCAAACTGCTTGTGTGGACGAGCACGTCGTGTCATTATACCTCGCACCTGCGTTGCGGGTCCACATCGCTGACTTTTTGGTTTTCGTTGTGAAGGCAATCTTGAGGGCGAAGGTCATGATATGTCTTTGATGGAGGACTCTTCAGATTTCGTATATGACCAGAGCATGGGCGATATACACATCGCAGAGCCCTCTAAGAAGGACGATGCCCAGGGCCCTGCTGGACCAAATGATTCAAGGGGCGACTCAGAGTCCGTGGTCAATGGTGTTGATAGGAATGGGGTACTTCCTCACCCCGAACAGCAGGAAGATGCCCCACCTGTTGACATTGCTCTTGACGCTTCGGCCGCTCATGATGAAGAGCAGTCTGTGTCTTTTTCCTCTTCTGTTGCATCTGCGGCCTCTGCTTCTGATACTTCCACATCTTCCAATGCCTCTGTTGCTGCCCTTATTACCCCGTCTGCCGAGCCTACGTCTCCTCCGAGTGCTGAACAGCCTGCTGATCACCCTCATAGCACTGATCTGCAGGTGCCTAATGCACACGAACGAACCACCACGCCGTCCTTCACACCGCCTCTACCCGCAGGCGACCGGTCACCTACACAGGAGGCTTCATATAGCGAGCTGCGGAGTCCTTCGGGTTTCATCAATGACGATTCATTGTTCTGCGACGCGACACAAGTGGAGACGCAGCCTGATGATCCATCATTCTCCGAGACGAACACCCTTGTTTCCGGCGGCTCTATGGTATCTACATATGGAGAACTGAACCAACTACCCATGAAAGCCGAGACGATCACTGGTGTGCGAACGCCATCGGCCAACCGCTTGTCAATCTCATACGCTGCGGGCATGAAGAGACTTGTCATCAATGCCGAAATTGTGGACAAGCTGAAAGTCTTCAGAAGCGAAGGTCGCATCGAGGTCTTCGTGAACGTGGACAAGGATGAAGGGTCCGAACTGAAGGGTATTCTGGTGCGTGCACGCTTGCTCACTACAATGATGTATTCCATTTCTCATTTGGGCGCACCATCAGGTCGAGGCTCTATCCGAGTCCGCGAAGTCTTACGTGCCTCTCGAGGCGCTTTCATCACTGGCAGAAGTTGATCCCACCATTCCGCCCCTATCAAAAGTTGCCTTTCCCTCAAAATTGACGCTCCTTGTACATCTGAACACGGAGCGCCCGCTCTCCGAGCCTAAATGGGTGAAGACAGGTGACGTTCAAGAGTGGCTGAAGTCCGAATTCGGCCGAATGTTTTGGGTAGCGGGCGACGCCGCCGAAGGATGGGAAAAGAAGATTGAAGTTGTAGATCCAGCTGTAAGCTTCTATTGTTTGCAGCGTGACCTCTTCGTTGACGCTTCATTAGCCGCCCACGATATGGACAACGCTTGAGTGCTGGTCGGTTGACTCTTCAGCCGGACTTCTGACCGAACGGCAGCGTTTCCTTCGCACGCATATGGCTGAGACGGACAACATCCTGGAGATTCTTCTTCGCTTGGTGCGAGGTGAAAGGGCCACGCCATTCTCGCAATCCTCTCCCGCAATTTCCACTAGCATCTCGGGACCTCTGCTTTCTGCGCTTTCCGAAGGATCAGCTCATGGCTCGCAGCAAACTCACGTCTCCCTTGCCGTCTTGGCGATCTTCCGTATGGCGACAGAGTATGCTAAGAAGGCGATCGGCGAAGAAAAGGGCAAAACTGAGGTGGAGGAGCGCGTTGGAGAAATCATCCGGTGCGTGCCGAAGCACCTGCTCTATAAGAGCTTGGACGGCATCTTCAAAGAGTGGAAGGTTGAAAAGAAGGGGGGCAGATGAGCGAGACTCGTCGAAACTACAGTTCTTCCTCTTCCAGCCCGGTATTCATTTTTTTTTCTCATGATGCATATTCCTTGCTAGCTTCTACATCTTGTGATCAGTATTACTTTTTCCCCTGCCAGCCCGCGATGCGGAGCACCATCGGCCCGTAACTTGGCTGTGCATCACCGATAGGAGAATGTTGGAGAGTATGTTGCGCACAATAATCGAAAGATCAACGCGAACTTTTTGTGGCAACTGAATATGATCCTCCGTCAAGATCGTCCCACTTTGCTGCCTGGATGAAGCTGCGTCCGCGATCATTACGGCGTGCTCTCCGTCACAGTCGGACTTCTACATTGAAAAAAAGGAAAATTTGGTGAGACGTGCTTGCCATGCATTTGCCATGCACTTGCCGCGTGCCCTCGCAAGCCCTGCAGGCCAGAATTCTTTTTGGGCCGACTGTCGTTCACCTAATCGATCAGGGCACGTCGCTCGCGGCGTCTCTAGCCTAGCTAGGTATTATTATGAGAGAATACATCGCCGCGTACACAGGCGCTGTGATGCGTGATATCACCAGAAAATGTGCCCGTTCCAAGTGCTGATAGACTTTCCTGTCTTCTGTGCGTCTGTCGTCTTGGAGCTTGGATCGCGAAGTCACTTATCATAACTCGATGACATAGTCTGCATCCGTCAACAAAGTGACCGCCGACCTGCAGCCGACGGAACTATGTGCTGCCTTGCGCACTGCCTCGATTCTTCGAACGATGACCTGTATACCCGATCTTGCGGTCACTTAGCGATCGCACGGTGCACAGAGACCAGCGTAGAGGAACACGCCTCTACATGAGGCACACACTATCAAATAGTTTGTCAGATGCAGGGGCCTAGTGCAATGTACGAGCGGAGGTGCGGGCTGAAATGTCTCGTCATCAGGTTCGGATGGCAGCGTGGTTGGCTGTCCACAGCCTGAAATGTCTTCTACCGATATAGGATAGTCCAATGGGACGATTCGTGTGCTCAGGAATGAGGGTGCAATAGAGGTCCTCTTCCTCGTGTCTGTGAGATCGACTGGGTGACCCGAATGTCGTGCACAGGACGACCCATCATTGGCAACAAGTCGCGATGCTTCCTCGGGGTTCCTTGAGGGGCATATAATACCCGAACTAGACAAATGAGGCCTTGACGTGAGCGGACCAAAGCCGGATAGACAGACCCAAGGCTGGGCGCAGTCCACATAGTGTACTCCAAGGGCGCAAAGAGAGAGCCAATAACAAGAATTGAAGAAGCCTGCCGACCTCGAGAGAGAAGAAAGGGAGGTCGCACATCCCCAGCGCACAAGGGTACTTACGATCGCGAATGAACTCGGTACGTTTCAGGGTGCACATCAAAGACAAGGAAAGCATCTGCCATAGCGAACACTACGGTGCTCCAAGCTTCTAATGCCTGCAGCATCAGGACCGAAGCCTCACTCCTCAGGAGAGCCGAATTTCTGACAAGGTGGCTCAAAGGACGGTTTGGGTGCAGAGGGTGCTTCGATGAGCTTCGCGTCTGCTGAATTTGTTGCAGCCAATGAAATGGGATGCAGAGGGCGGGTGGTCTAGAGCGGGAGCAGGCTTATCTCTCGTTTCTCGTCCGTCGAGACTCCGTTAAATCAACATGCACGTCCAACGTGAGTACTTGGACACTGACACTTCGAGAGATTGCAGATCGCGGAATCCCGTGTCTCGTCGAAGCGACACGCGCGATTGGCGTGAGGGACCAAGAGATCTAAGTACAGCGTTTGGAGACAAAACGAGGTTCCAGAGGCGTATGGAGCCTCGTCGACATGCTTGTCATGGCTCTGTGGAATGGGGGCGGACCAGGACCAGGCTTGAGAAGTTGGCCAGGACGGAAGAGTACGGAACCGGTGAGAGCCGGATACACGGTTCTCCGAATGGGCTTTTTTGTGCTCGACGCAAAGGCATCTAAAGGCATACCATACTCGGGGTGGCCTAGTAGGAGGGTTTGGGGTGGCAGTCTGGCGCCTTTGAACCGCAAGGCGCTATGAAAGGCTTCACCGAACGTACTCACTTGCCATATTCGGTCCGATGCATGGACCGGCGGGCGGATGTATTTCCCTTGCAATTCGAAGCGGGTTGCCATGATGCAAAACTCTGAAACTAAATCATGGAGGCAAATCTCACGAGCCCTTGAGGCGATCTCGATGCTTAGGCCCTCTTAGACCCCGGCGCAGTCTCGAAACTGACGGCTCTGCCGCAAGGAAAATGTCATCTCACGGTTTCACAGTCAACATGTGCCCGAATCTTTCTGACGGATCTATTTGCCACCACCTCGTGGGCTCCCCCCCATGTCTTCACAGTCTGCGATCCCTCTTTTCCATGATCGGAATTTCAGCACCAAGACCTCGTTGCTCCAGCTCTAATATAAAAGCTCTTGCTCACAGCGCTATGTCGACCATATCCACCACCGCCAGCAACAGCGTCGTACGGTTGAATTCCTTTCTTCATCTCTGTCTCTCAGCTTTCGTCTACTCCTACACGCCCCTTCTAATATCCACTAATTGTTTCATCCTTCGTGAGCCTACATACTGCCCTTTCGTCCTCCTAGATATGCTGACTTTTCCCCCAGGACATGGATCAGATGTACTCATTCGACGCGATCCTCTTCCCCTCGGACGGCCGCGCCCCCCACGTCGTAGCGCTCATGACTAGCCCCGCTTCTTTCACGGATCCACACGCTTTGCAAATGACCCCCAATTCTCGCGTTCCACACCCTGAGGTTTACATGGACTACATCGCCGAAGGACTTGGGACCCGTGCTTGGAGCTGCCAGGTACGCCCTCGCTTTTCGGTCTAGCAACTGGCTTGTTGATCGTGTAAACGCGCTATAGCTTGTCGAAGCTCTCGACGGCATGAACAAGAAGTTTACCAACCCGTACATCATATTCTATCCCGTCGTCTCTCGCGACGGTATGCCATTCCCCGTGAATAAGGCTGTGCGGGAAATCCAAGGAAAGGCTTTCAGAGAGGACCTTGGATGGCGCGGAAACATTATTGTGGCCAAGTACCGCGACAGTCGTTTCATGGCGATGATGAACGCGTCTATGGCGGATTTCCCCATTCTGAAGAACTATCTGTCCACCCATGGCTCGCCGATTAGGGTAAGCGAGCCCTCCTCTCTTGGTCCAAGACCGGTCGCTTCATCTGCTGAGCCCACTACCAGCACTTTTGAAGGGCATCACGGCCAGGCGCCTAGAGGATCTCGTTGACTCTGCTTCGTTTGAGGACATTGACTGGTGCTCGCGTCCTATTTCTTTTTACTTCTATCTTTGATATTGCTCTGGTATGGCCCTCTCTCTTATCTCGATATGTTGCGGACCCTTTTTTATGTTGTGTATATCGACAAAAGTATGCCTGTTAATTTGACAACTGTATATATATCGTCACGGACTATCACATACAAGATAGCGATACACACTCTATGTTACAATTCGTCTCGAGTGCCCCCTTGTGAAGTCACCTCGGGCTTGAGTCTATGTGGATTCCCACCCTCTGCGATCGCGGCGGCCTTTGGGGCTTTCTTAGGGTCACAATGCTCTGGGATCGAGCTAGCAGGATCAATCGGAGGATGGCTGACCCGCCCGACTTTAAAGTATGTCTTGTGGTTCGCGAAGAACTGCTTCCAGTGATTGACGCTCTGAGATGAAAGCCGTCAGTGAGCCGGAGCGGCGATTTGAGCAGTTTCGCTGCCGTACCTTGAGTTCTTTCTCGCTCAGCCCGCGGAGGTCATGTGTCTGGTGTGCTTGGAAGCAGCCCGTTCCATAGGCGCGCGCGGCATCTTTACCAGCCCTGCAGTGCATCAGTGAGCAGTTAGCAATGAGGGATGAAAAAACGAGATCATAACGAAAAACATACATGATGTGGTAAGAACCACCCGGGCCGTACACACGGCGATTACTGGAGACGTCATAAACATCGCCGTCGATCTTGAATGGTAGCCAGCGCCCCCACGCAAGGCGGTTTAGCGATCGGGTTCCAATCTTATAGCGCGACGCTGAGAAGGATCACTCACGGCTAAATATATAGGCTTCTCAGCATCACTGCCGTCAAACTTTGCAAGGTAGCCTTCAGAAAAGAGGCGCTGGTTCGACTGCAAGGCAGCAGCAAGTCAACACAAGCGGTAGAAGCACATACGGCGAACAGTGTCGGCGCGTAGATCGTGAGAATTAGGCTTACTGGCCAATATGTCTTGAGATTCGTCCACTTGCCCTCATATCCCCAGAAGAAGTCCCCTGCGATGAATTTCCCGGCTAGCATGATGAAAAGCAGAGTGTAGACTAGTAACTTGAGCAGCTCGACGACGCCAACTTCGCGTTCCGCTGTAGGGTCAGGTTCCTCCCGGCCCACCTCCTCACCTCTCGCGATCTTCTCATCACGTTCCTTCTTCCGCACCAGCCACGCGTTGTGCAGCTGCTGTTGTTGATCCCGGTATTCCTTATAACTTACGACATATCACTAGAATGAGCAGCGCCTCGACACGACGCGAAGAGAAGGACTTACGCTAGAAAGGGCCGATTGGCACGTTTCGTCGAGACCATGCGGTCGGGGATGCTGGGATCCGCGACCTTGGGGGATTCATCTTTGAAGTTTGGATCCGGCTTGGCTTCCAAGTTGCTCAGCCACGACATGGGAGAGGGTGGTGGACGTGGACGTGGAGGGCGAACCCAGTGTCGTGTCGTGTGAGACAGTGTGATCGCTGAGCAGAGCGAGACAATCGACTCAGGCACGTGCGTCTGACTGCATGATACGCCGGGTGCCTTCCATCTAACTTGACCCTTTGAACTGGGCCCACTGTGCCTCTCAGTACACGCTCCTTTCTGCTTGCATCGAGCTACTTATGCGTCTGCGTTTCAGGTCCTTAGGTGAATTCCAGAATGTGACATTGTTTGAGCCGCGTCCGGGGTGTATTCAAACCACTTTTGATTCCGCCGAGGACTGCACTCTGCTGGGCGGCCTTTGACGAATGTAGGTCCTGCCCTGTCCTGCCCATCTAATCCATCATCTCTCCATTCCTCCGACGTACAACTATCTAACATTCCGTGGGTACGCCTGGGACGTCTGATCACAAGTGTTTACCATTGCTTGGATAGCGTCGACTATCACAGCGGGGTCCCAAACCCTGAACGGCTCTGCAGGTGCAGGCCGACATTGCGGCTGGTCAATCAATGGTGCTGCCCTTCGAGGTGAGCTTCCCCTCTACGAGATGCACCGCCTGTCCGTCCACCGCCGAAGAAGCCCCAATCGCTCTGGCAGACTCCCAGAGCCACCCTTCCATCCCATTGTCACGCTTCACCGGAGAATCTCAAGTCGCCTTCTCCCGCTCAATCCACATCCGGTGCCGCTATTCCGCGAACGCACGTCGGGTCAGCACCTTTCTATCACTGGATGTTTGCGACCGCGGTTCCACGGGCTTAGGTGAAGTGCGTTATGCCAACAATGGTGCAGTCGTCTGTGGTCACAACGCCGCGGTGATCCATTTCGCAGATCGAAGGAGGTCGAAGCGGCCAGAAGACCAGAACGAGTGGCACGATGGGTCTTTTGTCTTGCGCTCTATGCTTTGGGCAAAGCTTCGCTACTAACGACCACCTCAGATGGCTCAGAGCAATGTATTTACACCTCCGAGGGAAGACTATACAAGGCCACTTTATGTATTTATATTGAGACGGGTAGTCAAGGAAAGGTAGTATTAGTGCAATATATCACTCAGAAGAGGACATGTAGAGTATCATAAATGTACAGGTGGTATGACGAAGAAAGAGACAAACTAAGGCAGATGCATGTGGAAGGTGCAGATTGGAGGATATACGGACCCAGACCCATGTATATATAGATAAGGGGAAAAAAACTGTCTGGATAGAAACAGTGGTGTGAACACGAAAAGATCCCCTCAGCGCGCGCCGACGGTGTCGCAACGAACCCACATTAAAACAGAGGGAAGAGGCGGGGCATCGAGGTCCGATGCGGACAGAGGTGATTAATAAGATAGAGGAGCCAGCCAGTGAGTATGACAACCAAAAGGAAGATGCAGCAGAACATGCGAGATTTTGAGAGCGAGGAGGAACGTGAGCCATAAGAAAGCAGAGGTCAGAACATCGACGACGTGGCTATCCTCATGACTTTTCGTTCCACACAAGCTGTTCCCGCTGTGGATCCCTCGGCCGTGGCCGTGCCTCACTGGCTTGCTGCGAGACGGTCACATATGCACCACCTATCTCCTCTGCCTCGGGGTCAAGGCCTGGAGGAACTGCCGGCCCAGAGTTTGACATGTACTGAAGGTCGCTGTCTAGGAAATCGTAATCCTCGTTCTGGTTGCGCATGACTACAAACCTCGGAGTCTTTGTGAACTAGAAACATCGAAAGATGAGGGGATGAATCGTCAGAAGGGCGAGTGTGAAACACACCTTTGGCACTGAGTCTGTCGCCATTAAGCGGAAAACATGGGTCTGTATCCGTTCATAAAGACGGATCATAGTCTGCAATTGCGTGGCGTTAAAGGCGCTGAGCTGCTCTGGTTCGAGACGACCTTGGAACGGAGTGCCAGTGAGGCCGGCCATCACCTCGCTAAGGTACCCTGACAGCTCGTTGCGAAGACCATGATCGATGTTGAGCTCGCATTGACTTGACGGGGCGAGGTACGTCGTATAGATGAGGTATGCCTGGTTGATCAGAGCCTCGTGATGCTGCTCCATAGCCTGCTGCCCTGGCGTGTTGCTCTTCCCGGTGCCGGTCAGGGGTCGCTGCGTGGAGGAGGCAGACGACGTGATGTTAAACTTCCGCTTGAAATCCTCGACCTCGAGCCAGAACGACAGGTTCTCCTCGCAGAAATTGTCCCGCAGGAACTCGCGGAACAAAGAACGAAGTGGAGGTTGGTCAATGATAAACTTCAGCCGCTCCGTGTTGCTCTCCTTCCCGTGCCGCTTCTCGTGGTCGTGAGCGTTCAGCTTCTCCGCGAGCGAGATACGACGGTGAATCTTGGCGTCACTGGGCGCGTGGGGAACTTTGCTCTCCTTTCCTCCATCCGACGACGAACGTTCCTGAGGAACAAGATTGGCCGTCGAGCTGTTTGGCGAATCACGTTGCTGGCCACGGCTGTCCCAACGGGCTGTGCGGATACCTTCGTCTGTGATCTTATAGATGGCCTTCGCCGTGCAACGGAATTCACCCGTTTGCTGAAGGATGAAAAAAGGGGTCAACGTGGGCCGATGAGATAAAAAAGGGAATTGAGCAACGTACAGTGACCGGGGAGTTGCCGCCAGGTGCAGATCCGCGGACAGTGAAAATAATGGCGGAATCGTTGTTCTTCCTCTTGTCGGAGACCAACGTGATCAGGCCGAAGCGAACGAACTGTGCCGCCATCTCTGCGGCTTCTTCCCTTCCTACCACCGATGTGAAATCGCAGAGCCATTCGAGTGCAGCCAACGCCGGGAAGCAGTACTTCTGAACGACAGACTGGGTCCTGCCAGCAACCATCCCCCGATCCTGAACATCCATGAGCTGAATGCCCTTTGAGCGTTCGTGATACGCCTGGCTGACATCCAGAGGTTGCGCAGTCTGTGGAGGGTAATTCGCAGACCGGCCGACGAAGCGTCGGAATAGGGCGGTGATGACAGACTGTGAAACAATGATCTCGTCATCAACAGACCGTCGCTCGAGATGCAGAAGCTTCATGCAGATGGGTTGGGTCGCGAAGACGTGGGCAAGATGGTCGCCATTGATCCCATTCCGGCTGATGAATCGCTCGAGAACATGGAGACCCTTGGGCGTGAGAACGTACACGCCGCGTTCTTTGAACAGGTTGGAGGAGGGGTCGGCAGCATTTTCGATGAGACGGGCGTCCATGAAGTGTTGGCTCATCGCCTTTGCCATATCGCGGGTCATCGAAAAGGTGGTCGTGGTGGTCGTAGTAATCACTCTGGAGGGTTCCCTGGGGTCCGGCCCGCGATTGGACTGTGAAAACTTGAGGGATGCAAGATTGATAGCAGCCTCATCGCTGGCGGGGGGGGGGGGAGCGGTCAGCGTCCAAAGGGGAGGGGGGGCGGGCGCGAGAAGACGCACGTCGTAAATGAGTTGGGATATGAACGGAAGAATTGCTTGTGGGTTGTGAGCTGGAGGGAGACTACGAGGGTTGCGAAGAGATCCAGCGTGTCCTGTCAGAGAGGGTAAGACAAGGTACGCGGGATTCGACGAGAAAAGCAAGGCACCTTGAGGAAGGGACGACCGCGCTTTGTTGTCTTCATCATGTGGGACGAGGAGGCAGCGGGACTGGCATCCTGCGGAGAGGGCATTGGGAATGTGCTGTGGGGGAGGGAGAAGGGGTCAGGAGAGGACGGGTGCGGGGACGGGGAGTATAAGACGGAGGGAAGAAATTAGAGAGAAAGACGATGGGGAGAGGAGAGAAATGATGACAAGAGACAAGAGCCGTGGTAAGTAATTTCGTTGGCAACCGCCTCTCCCGCCCCTTTTATCCCTTCTTTCCCACGCAGTCACTGCCTCCCCAAACAGGAACCGCCGCCGTGCTTGCTTGGCCAAATCCCTGCTGCATGCCCCCGGCTCCTCTCTGCTTGCAATATCGAGGCCCGACACCACTCACTCACCAGCGTCCGCTCGCTCTCTCTCTCCTTCGCCGCGCTCTCAGTCCCCCTCCGCTTGATTGCGTCTGTCGCCAGGCTTGTGTATGTCAACTGCCATGCGGCCGCTCCGATCTTCCACTCCGCGTCGTCGAGCCGCATCCCGGCAGCTTACCGGTCAGCCCGCCGTGTGTGTGCGCATCTGTTTAGACACCGTCGCTTCCTGTCTCCTTGGTTCTCTGTTCCTTGAACTCTCCTGCGGTTCGTGGACCCGTACAACCTCAAGTCGTCCCTTCTCGTCCGCCTTGCGCTTGCCCGCAATCAAACTTGGCCTGACTCGCTCTGCGGCCTGACACTGGCCTGGCGCGGCGCCCGGCCTCGCTGCCAGGCCTCGATCCGATCGTGCACTGATTATCAGAGGATAATCCTGTTCCATCGAGGTATCTGGACTGTTCCGCACGCGAGATATCTATATTACTTCTTGCCTGCATCGTAATAGCAATGTCCTCGCTGCAGTATAAGTACTGGTGGTATGCAGTCTGTATCGTCACCGGGTCAGTGTACTCCATCGTTGACCTCCGTGGTCTCCTGGCGCTGGGATACATGACCGAGCCAACATACGTGTCTTATCTCATTCGGTAGAGAGATTGTCCATCTCCAGCTGCCGACGCAGCGGCCGAGAGGTGCCGGCCCCGGGCATATGAGCACTTACTCGATATAGCCAAACGCCTACCTGTTTTGATCTTTTCTGATCCTTTGAATTCCCTTACCGCCGTGGGCACAAACGCGTGTTTTCGAGACAGCGCTCGCGCGTCAGCTGAGTGATGACACTCTCGACGTTGTCGCAGCAACCCGGACTTTCGTTACACACCGATCGGCGCAGGTCGTATCGCTCTGAGACGTGTCGGAACATGGCTCTCATACTACCTAGGCCTTCGACGAGCCTAGGCCGTGTTCTCGCACCCATGCTGCTGTGTACAATAGACCTTCGAAACCCGTAAGCTCCCGTAAGGAACTCCATCCCGAGGTTCAAGCGCTCTGGGGCCTCGCGTCCTGGTGTTTTCTTTTTTCTTTTCTCTTTTTGCGTTCCCCGCATGTCGTATGCTGCCTAGTACGACTCATTGGCAAAGCGTTGAACGTTGTATGATTCAAACTCCAAGATGGACCTGTACACCGGATTCAAGGTTAGGGTCGCTTACATAGGGGAGGCTGTGGGAATTTTCTGGAAAGCGATCGAAGGAGAGAGAACGCGAAGGCCGAGTATACATACCCAGCTTATGCTCCTTCAACGCGTTCCTCATCCACAACCATCCTTATAATCATGTCGTCCGTAAGATTCATTTCATCGTCGTCCGTGCGACCTTCATCCGTACTGATCGCTCACGACGGCTGAGAGCAGGCCGATGCCCTGAAAGCCGAAGGCAACAAGGCTTTCGCTGCGAAGAACTACGACTCGGCCATCGACCTGTTCTCCAAGGCGATCGAGCTCGACCCCACAAACCACGTCCTCTGGTCGAACCGCAGTGCCGCCAAGGCGGGAAAGAAGCAGTATGAGGGAGCGTTGGAGGATGCGGAGCAGGTGCGTGCGATCGAGTGATCAGCGCGTCGTATTCGTACAGTGACGGCTCATCCGGCGTTCGCAGTGCGTCAGGGTGAACCCTACCTGGTCCAAGGGTCTCGCGAGAAAAGGCGCCGCTCTTCACGGATTGCGGCGCTATCCAGATGCGATCGAGGCATACGAGGCGGGCCTCAAGCTTGAGGACAGCCCGGCGCTCAGGAAGGGCCTGGAGGAAGTGAAGGCTGCGCAAGGTGTGTGTAGGTAATGGACGTGATCGTCATTGATTGCTCATCGTATTGCTAGCCTCTGATGAACAAGGCGATGGTGCTGAGGCGCTCGGCCTCGGCAAGATGTTCTCCGACCCCAACCTCATCGGCAAATTGGCCTCCAACCCGCGAACGCAGAAACACCTTGCAGACCCGAGCTTCATGCAGAAGGTATCCCATACCCTTCTCACCACTCTGTTTCATCCTTCCGAATCATATTGTTCTCAACATGCATGCAATAGATCCAATTGATACAACAAAATCCCCAACTCGCGAATTCTTTCCTTCAGAGTGACCCTCGCATGATCGATGTTCTCGGTGCTCTCATGGGCCTCGATATGCAAGGCTTCTCGCGCCCCGAAGGCTCTGACGATCTGCCTCAAGGGTTCTCCTCAACCTCTCCCCCTCCTGCCGCTGCCTCCTCGACATCAAAGCCTGCACCCTCTCAACCAACCCCTTCCACGTCGTCCGCCGCTCCAGATGTCGAGATGAAGGACCCAGAACCCGCAGAAGAAGACGAAGACGCGAAGGCGAAGAAGGAAGCTGAACAGCAGAAGCAGCTTGGTGGCGCCGCGTATAAAAAGCGCGACCTTGAGGCCGCAGAGCAACATTTCTCGAAAGCGTGGGAGGTGTGGCCCAAAGATATCACGTACCTCACGAATTTGGGCGGTGAGTCGCTATTCGTGCCGTTACCCTTGCACGGGAGAAATTGATTGGGTCTCGAAATCTTCAGCTGTCTACTTCGAGCGGGGAGACTACGACAAGGCTATCGAAACATGCGAGAAGGCTGTGGAGGAGGGTCGTTCTGTAAGTCCTGTGTTGATAACCAAATCGAAGCTCTAGCCAACTGACATACGACATACGTCTTGTCTAGCTGCGCGCCGATTATAAACTTGTCGCCAAGGCTTACGGTCGCATAGGTACTTCGTACAGCAAAAAGGGCGACTTGGCTACCGCGATCAAATTCTACGAAAAATCATTGACGGAGCATCGCACGCCGGACATCCTGGACAAGCTGCGCGCAGCACAGCGCAGTAAGGCGGAGACAGATCGTCTCGCATACATCGATCCTGCCAAAAGTGAGGAAGCGCGTGAGGAAGGGAATAAGCTGTTCAAGGCAGGTGACTTTGTTGGCGCCGTGAAGTGCTACTCGGAGAGCATCAAACGAGCACCGACCGACCCAAGAGGATACAACAACCGGGCGTTGGCATACACGAAATTGGCAGCGTTCCCTGAGGCGTTGAAAGATGTGGATGAAGCCATCAAGGTTGATCCAAAATTCGGTATGCCTTCTGTCAGACCGTCGCGACAGCTGGAATTGACGGTAATTGTTGGTCAACAGTCAAGGCGTACATTCGGAAATCAAGCGTGCTGTTCGGTATGCGCGACTACACCAAGGCGCTGGAGGTGATCCAAGAGGCTACGGAGCATGACGACGAGGCCAAACATACGACTGAGATCCAGCAGCAGATGATCAAGTGCCAAAATGCGATCATGCAGCAGCGGGCGGGTGAGACGGACGAGGAGGCGCTCCAGCGGGCGATGCGTGATCCCGAGATCGCGGTACGTTCGAACAAATCACAATTGATATCGCGCAGTCGCTCATTTCTTGCTTCGTGCGATCAGGGCATTATGAACGACCCAGTCATGCAGTCGATTCTCCAGCAAGCGCAAGGCAACCCAGGGGCACTACAGGACCACATGAAGAACCCGACAGTAAGGGAGAAAATCATGAAGCTCGTCAACGCTGGCATCATTAAAACGCGGTGAACGTGGGTGTTTTCGATACTTGTTTGATGCGGATATAGAGCATGTTGGGATGTCGGAAATGTTTTAACAAATTTGTACCATCATCCTCAGTATATTTCATCTTGCTGCTTGCTTGCTATCGAGGATAGGTGAATTGGACCGAGGTAATCCACATTCCGCGCTTGTCACTCGGAGTCCCGCCGAAGTCCCATAGTCCCAAACAGTTCCAAAGGCTGAGGGACCGGGAAAGCCACTCCTTCGAGTTTGCCCTGGTTGGTGCCGGTCTCCCCTGTCCTCCCCTGTCCTGCCCCTTTCCGTCCTGTCCACAGCCTCCGTGCAATTGACAGGAACCAAACGGAATTGACATCATCCCGCCTAGATCCTCCGATCTACTCCACCATTGTACAATGAGCACGCACCTCGAGGCACTGGATGCGAGCGTTTCAACAGCACAATGAATCCAGAAACTCCTGAGTTTCTGCGATTTTCGGAGATGGTTGCTTGGCTTTGCAATTACTCCACCCTGCTCCATCGTTGAATTCGTCTCCGGGGATGAAATTCACGGCAAGGAAAGGCAATGAAAGGGAGAACGTTGACGGTCAACGGCTGGACAGGGAGGTCATTCTGTAATTTCCACAGCGACCGCGACGGCCGTTGTCAGTATAAGCACCGCCATCGGTGTGTAGTCATTTTTGTCGCCGGCTGCCCATCTGCCTATCTAAGGGTTTCAACGCACGCCATTCGGTCGTATACTATGTGAGCGGTCAGCGAACGCCTGCCCACCTATTTTCAGGCAATCTCCGAGCTCGTCTTCCCGACGCCCGCTTTCCGGTCTCACCCCTCTCGATGCAGAGCGCGCCCCTTGTCCAGGGTCTGCAAACTGCGGTTTACTCTTACCGAGAAAAAAAAATCGATTGTGCCGAGCACGCAACAGTCATAAAAGGAGCCGGATATGCTTTGATAAATTCAGTTCTTGATACTCACACCGAGTACAGCTGCTCGCCCTGTCCATTAGTGTGTGATATTCGCAATTCAATGCACAAACGAGAGCCGTAAAATCCTTTGTGTTCACCAGGTCCAATCTTTCGTCCCATTAGCCTTGAATGCGCCGACGGCCGCTTCCGCATACTGCTGTCTCGCTTCTTCCTCACCGCCGTCCTTGACCTGCCTCCAGATCGCAACAGCCTGATGTACCTCTCTCAGGTTGCTGAGTCCCACAACCGTCGGCATCTTCCCTTCTCTGCTCCCAGTCCCACCCTCAGCCGACTTGATTGCCCAGCCGATCGACACAGAGGGCAATCCGCCCTCCCATTCCGCACACCTCTCGACCGCTTCTGCGGAAGCTGCACGCATATCTGACGAAGCAGGATGCCAAGCGGGAGGAGTTGCAGTGAGGAGTCCCATTGAGAGCGGAGATGCCGTGAGCACCTGCGATATCTTAGCGCGGCGGATGAAGGCAGGGAGGAAAGAGAGAAGGCTGTCGTTCTGTAGAGTCAAATGACTATAGGAGAGAATCGCATCGAGGGGACGATAGGGCGCAGTGTTCAGGACAAGGATGGCCAAGCGAAGCAGAGTCGGGAGCGGCAGACCTGACCGATGTCAATAATAACGATATAAGACGCGTGATTTAGAAGGTGAGGGGAAACGCACCTGTAATACCAATGCTCTTCACCACCCCTTCTTCTTGAAGTTTCCGCAACTCAGCGACAGCATCCAAAATCTTCTGATCGCCCTCACCCCACACTTTTGCTTCCTGCCCTTCATTTAAGCCATATGCTTCCGCCTCCGATCCAAGCGCGCCGAGATGTACGCCCTCTGTACGCAGGGCGACAGGGGTGGCGACGAACTCAATGTCATGTAGATACACTGTGTCAAGATAGGTGGTATGAAACCTGGCCAAACTGCGTTCGACGCTGCGCCTGATTGTCTTCGGAGAATAATCGAAATCGGACGAGCCATAGCGTCCACATTTTGTCATCTACCAGGCAGAAAATCAAATGAATCAGCTGAATCACAAATCTAGACGAGACGAAAGAACCAATTTGTAAGATTCGCGAGGAAACTCGGCCTCCAACCCCTTCAGTGCCGTTCCGAGAACGATCTCGGAGGATCCATAGTAGGGAGACGTATCAAATGACCGAATGCCATAACTTTCGGCTGCGATCAGACCGCTTGACATTATTCTTTGTTGTTGTGCTCACCGCAGCGCCAGACGCGTAGTACGAATTGGGATGTCGCTTGCTAGATAGGCCTCGTCGTTGTAAAAGTGCGACCACGCCGCTGCGCCGAAGACCAGTGATGAGACTCTCAAAGGGCCGATCTCTTCCTTGATTTGAAGGTACCAATGGGTCAGATAGGATGATGGTACGTGGATGTGCGCTCACCAGAGGCCGACCCTGTTTGGGCGCGTCATCTTCATCGTCTGAAATAGAATTCAAGGGTGGAAGATAGAAAACGGGTTCAGGAAGGTCAAGTGCAGAGCTCATGTTACGTGTAAGTTGAGGCAAATTGCAGGTCAGTTGTAATCGTGCGCTGATGGCTTCAAAGCTGTCATCGATCATGCAAACCCGGGCCGCTGCGATGTTTGGTCACAACGAAGTCACACCGACAAGGGAGGGGGAACAGGGATGAAATAGGCAACTGGACTCGGGAATTTACAGACAGGATGTACTGCGCGAACCACGAACTCCAGATGTGCTAGATTACTGAATGGAAGGTATGATGCGGATTAGAGTTTATCGCGACTCCAGCTGTAGGGGTGTGATTAGCATCATACGGGGACTCGAGGGGGTAGGAGAAAAGAACATACCTCTTCTCAAACTTCTGATTCACTGACAGCATCTTCAGGTTCTCGTTCTGGCCCACGGTATTCCAGGGCGTGGGGTTGTTCTTTGTCCAAACAACTGCACAGCACAAACGCATCATCAGGCAGCCAAACCCACACAGCCACGACCGCCACTTACCATTTGGCCCTCTGGCCAGGCGAGAGACGTACCATCCACCGCCAACAACGGCGAGACCCACAACAGACCAGCTATGTCACACGCGCTCAATCAATCCCACGGAAGTCAAGTGTGGTCATCTGAGCACTTGATACTTACATGGGGATGGCCTGACCCACGGTATTATGAGGACGCTTTCAACAGAAGAAAGATAATTACGGACCTCAACGGCAAACCAGTGCTTCATAAATGTCCTGCGCATCGACATGTTGCGAAAGTGTTATAGATAATTACTGCCTTCACCGCACGCAGACCCCTCTGGTATCTTGTTGACGAAATTCCCACGGTCCTCAGCTCCGGCCCGCCCCGAGGCCCGCGCTAGTCGTTCTCAACATCAGCATCCTACCTCTGCCTCAACGCGTAGCATCTAACAAATAACCATGGTAGGGTCGCAATCTATACGCCTTTGGATTAAAAGGCTCTGAAACTCTTGTACCCACAGAGCGATAACGCAGGTGCGCATGAAGCAGCTTGTTTCCTGTGCCGCCTGACTGAGCTCGACTCGTCGCGCAGAGTACAAAGAGGCGTTCGCGTTATTTGACAAGAAGGGCACTGGTGCAGTTCCGCGCGAGACTTTAGGCGACTTGCTCCGCGCGCTGGGACAGAATCCTACACAAGCGGAAGTGGCGGACATCGTGAATGCAGCGCCTCGGGACGGTACGATCTTGATCACTTTGTTGTGCATCTATATTGATTTACTGGAGGCTGTTTCGGGTGACCATCAGTGGACTATAGGACGTTTTTGACGATATTGAACCGGCCTGATGGATTCAAGCCTGCGGGAACGCCTGGTACGTGTACTGTATATCTTCATCCCGCGCTTGTAAGAGAGGGGCTGACGCGACGATGTGCGATCGATACGTGTTCGATAGAGGAATTCATTCGCGGATTTCAGGTGTTTGACAAGGAAGGGAACGGGTTCATTGGCGCGGGCGAACTGCGGTACGTGCTCACGCAGCTGGGAGAGAAGATGTCGGACGAAGAGGTCGACGAGTTGTTGAAGGGGGTGCAGATTGGCGCGTGCGTATCCATTTCTCACTAATTCTTATCTTTGTCTGCATTTCTTTCGTTGTTCTGGCCACTGATGGGCGCTTGCGCTTTCTCTATAGCGACGGGAACGTCAACTACGAGTCGTTCGTGCGTACCATCCTCAGCCAGTAGTCAGGTGTTGTGCCATATGCATGTCAACGTTTAGCTTTTACTTTCGTTCATATCCAGTGAATGTATTTATATCCAGCGTGTAACAGTGCCCAACGATACGAACCTCGAGCTTGATCGATGATCGTCTGTGCTAATGGTTTGCGATATATGTGCCCAATGAACTCGACGACAGTCTGACCTGCGATCGAAGTCAATCACCGCTGCTCCACCGCACGTCTGAGATCCAGCTGACGTCTTGGTGTCGATACGCGAGGAGCAGCTCAGAGCAGCGTTTGATACTGCAGTTGAATATAAAATTCCGGCAATGGCACCGTGGAAATAACAACAATGCAGTAACAAATGGAGATAACTGGCATAGAAAAATCATGCAATGGCTTAATAGTCAAATCGACTTCGCAACAGCTGCGAAAAAAGGGGTCCGCAAGTGTCCGTGCAGTATTTGAATCCAAAAATACATTACAAGCAACATGCAAATGCACGAAGTATCTGGTGTGATACGAGAGCATCAAGCTCTACGTATATGTGAACGCAAGAACCGATAGTCAACAAGAAATGGGATCACGAAGGGGGGTGGGGTTTATAATGTCAACAAGTGGGTAAGGAAGCGAAATAATAATACTAGTCCATATTCGCAAAAGAATCGAAAAGGGGCATTGAAGAGACATGAGGAGATAGTGTGTTGAATGGGATATGATTGCCCGTGGTATAGAGGGTATGCTGGATTGGATGGTGCCATGAATCAGAAACAAAGTTAGCAAGTACGTTGGAAAAAGACGTCCGTGATCACCAACTTGATCCAACAGCCCACTCTATCGGTACCCATGAACGATCTCATGATCCTGATCGAATTTTCCATTCATCTTCCATCCTCAGTCGCAATCTTTTCAGCTGCTGCTCCTTTGACACAAACCCTCGCTTTACATCGGGCTTTACCTGCATACCACTATTGAACAACATCTTTGGCGTCAACTGCTGGATTTGCTTTATTTCTTCTAGTCCGCTGGAAGACGCCGTACTGCTGGCACTCTCGCTTGAGGGTATCATACATATCGCGGCCCCATTGCTGTTCAATCGCGAAGCCCATTGAGACACGGGGTTAGGTAATAAGTTCGTGAAGAGTCGTGTCGCGAGTGCCGAAGTCGACCATGTACTGTCTTGTTTCAGTGGTGCGACAGCTTCGCAGGATCTAGGAGATTCGCACGAAACAACGTTGGCTGCATGAGACATTACAACAGAATGATTAGACATACTCAATGGAAATCTGTGCTGAGAGATCAGACCATTGGGGGGTTTCCCACTGTTCGTAGGGATCCTGGAGGCGGCGTGAATTTGGCGCTGTGGTTGAGGAACAAAAGTAGGAGGCGAAAGGACATTTTGTTTTGATACGAGCAGAGGGGAAGCAGAAGGCTGAGGTATAAAAGAGGGCCTAGCTCCGCCACGCTGGGAAGGAGGAGTGACGAAGGAGATTTGGTCGGATGTCGTAAAAACAGGAGCAGGCAACTTTGTGGGCATGTCAAAGCGTTTGAGAGACGTTGCACGAGGGATGGAAGAAGGAGACCGCTTCCCTTGCCTAGTGGGAGACTGACAAGAAGGTGTCTCGAGCTTAACGTGCTCACTGACAGGAGACGTGAACAATGACTGCGGCAAGGAAAACGAATCCTCGTCGCTGGACAGTTCATAGAATGGAACGGGCTTCCTGTGAGGAGGAGGAGAAGGAGTCTTAACATATTCTGTCGATGCCGGCGAATCAAATTGTGGGGGGATTGTGAAAGTGAACCTTATGCCACCATCGACCTCTTCGCCTAGTATTTCACTGTCTTCCTCGAGATAGCCTTCCTCTTCGGGTTCTTCCTCCTCCACTACGACATCCAATAAACCTTTCACTGGCTCCTCAACGACTTCAACCCCCACGTCAGCTGGGAGGACGAATGGTGGGAGCTCGTCATCGTCTGATGTATCGAACGAGAACCCCTTAGCAAATGGGCTCCGAGAGCCATAGTCACTAGGTGGAGAGTCGTCCAAGTCCTCTAAGCAGCCAAAGAAACGATCGACTTCTTCGAGCTGGCGAGCGAAAGGAGTGGGGGCTGTGCCCTTGGCTGGGAAAGACCAAGCCTTCGAGAGTGATGAATGACGGTCATGAGATGGAGATGAGGAATTTGAATGGTCGGGCGAGACAGAGCCGGATAGAGGAGCATCTGTTGGGATACCGAGCCGAGGGCGGCTGCTCGAACGGGTAAAGTCGTGGACGGAACCGAGGGAAGAGCCGCCGGGGGACGCGAAACTCATGTCAGAATCCTCTTCGTCTTCGTATCCAGCCAATCCGTCCTCCTCGTCGAAATAGACTTGACTGTCTTCATCCTCCTCTACCACTGCCTTCAACTCTACACCAGCCTTCCCGTAAATTCCGTCCACAGACTCAACATCAGTGAACGAGCTTTCAGAGTCGATAGAGCTGAGACCAAGGCCTCTGCGGCGGATAAAGGGTGCCTGCTGAGACGGTACCTCATATTTGGGCGGTGTAGGGGTGGCGAGTAACCCAGCACTCTCCAACTCCCTTTCGACTTCCTCTCTTCTCGATCTCTCCTGTGCCAACTCGGCCTTCAAACGAGTAACTTCCTCCTCCGCTTGCTTGCCCCTCTCGATATCCCCTTGCAACTTGGCGAATTCTACCCTTAAAGCGTCACGCTCCCCAAGCGCCTCGTCAGCCTTTGTCGCTTTCTCTTCTGCAAGCTTCGCGATCGCTCGCTTCTCGACTTCTACCAACCCGAGTCGCTCACGAGCAACCCAGGCTTCCCTCCTTTCCTGATCCACTCTCCGGGCTAATAAGGCTATCTGCTTGTCCATGTCCGCGACACGCGTTCTCCACCCATCGACATCCCTTTTCAGCTCGTCGCGCTCAGCTTTGAGATCTGTAATGAGTTGCAGCATCTCGTCACTGGGCTCCGATGTGCCAAAAAAAGAGCTTCGAGCAGATACATCGGATGCTGATGATAAAGGACGTGAGCGGGGTCGATTAGACAGGACGCGTTCCAGATCCGTGATGCGAGCCAACAGGGCCTGTTGGGATTTGTAGAGAAATTGGTGCTCGTTGCCAGAGAGTGGGCGAGGCACCCAATCGCTCTCGGAATCTGTCGATGCCCGGCGATCGGAAGTGGGCGTCAGGTCAGGAGTAGGAAGTCCGGCGACAATATGGGTATGAAGGGAAGGCTTGTATCCAATGCTGCTTCGTCTCTTGAGAGGCTCTGGTGCTTCGACGGATGACATTGATGAAAGGCTGTCGGTCCGAAAATTCAACGAAGAGCGACGAGAAAAAGTAGTGGAGGGCCCGGTGATAGGGGACGATGTCAAAGACTGACGCCTGGTGACGGTCGTAGAAATATTCGTGATGGTATTTTCGTTCATAGAGGATAAAGAATTCAGGCTAGGTGAAGATGAAAGAGTCAATGACTTTAATCCAGAAGGCTTCGGGCTTGGTGTGTAAGAGGGAGTAGGCAAGTCGCCGTTGACAGCAGATATCAAGGACTCTGGTGTGAGTGACAGAGGACGAAGACTGAGCCCCATAGGGCGGTGACGAGCAGGTGAAGGAGATGGCGTGGTTATCTCAAGCTGGGAAACAGCGGCGTTGTTGAGTGCCTTGATGGAAGCAGGAGTCGGAGGAAAGTACTGCTCCTCCTCTCGCTCCTCCTCTTCTTCCTCCTCTTCTATGAGGGTATGCAATTGGTCCTTGCTAGAAGAGGACACGAAGTGTTTACCAAAAGATTCGCGCTTGCCAGCGACTGCATTAAGGCCAGTGCCGAAGCCGCTCCCAAAGCCAGGAGGGAAAGACGGCTTGCTCGCTGGATTGACGACTCATTAGCATGATATAATCCGAATGTTGAGTGCACGCACGAAAATCAGCCATCCGCCTCTCAATTTCTGGGGTATTGAGTTCCGGAATCTCGACCTTGGAGAAGGGACGGAGGTCGGTCTTGCCTTCAAGAGCCCAAAGTGCGCGTCTCCTGACAGAATCCTTGTCCCCAAGGTTAATGTTTTCGTCACTATGGGAAGATGATAGTTCGGGGAGAGAAACGCCCATCATCTCCGCTGATTCTCTGCGAGTGGAAACTGATGATCTTCGACGATGATGCGAGTTTGGTCGCTTGTTGTTGATGGAACCCAATGATTGTGAAGAAATAGAAGAAGAAAGAGATGGCATATCGTTCATGGAATTGTGTGAAAGTGAAATAGAAAGCGAAGGGGAAGAAGAAACTGAAAAGTTCCGAGAGTGGGAACGTGAGTGAGATGGTCTCGTATGGGACGGGCCTGAATTTGACGACGGCAGCCCTCTACCGAGTCGGAATGATTCAAACTGTGAGGAAACCAGAGGAAGAGTTGTCAATGTCTGAGCACGAAGCACTTGATGGAGCCAACTCACCCTCTTCTTGTCGATGATCTCGTCATCTCTGATGCTCTCGGTGACCACTTGGGTACGGTCCATTTGTGATTGAGTTTTGTGTAAGTAAAGAATGGCGTGCGGCTGCAAAGAGCGCGTGTGGGACTAAGGAAGGGAAGAGGACCGTACAACGGTGGACACCTTTGCGGATGGACAAGATGATAGCGACAAGCAAGAGCTGTTTTCAACCTGGAACCACAATTACATACAAACACTTCGGCTCACGCCACATCCGGCTCTCCCCACCGCAAAACCTGGGGAAGTGCCCTGCAATTGCCGCCTCGATGCCTTTCGTGACTCGACCTGCCTCAAAAGCTTTTCGAGGGTCCTTTATGTTTGGTATTTATCTGGCCCATTCGATCCCCATCGCATAAAAACCGCTTGCGCACTGAAGGAACGCTCAAAAGGCATCGCGGCGTTCCTTATTTCACACTCGGAGCTCGGAATCAGCTGTTATCTGGAAACTGCGAAACAATAGAATTGTTGCTTCAGTTGCGCTCTGTCTCTTCTTACAGCCGACGTCTCCTTCGAGCTACTCGACAGCCTTACACTCATAAGACCTCCCCGCACCACCATGGCTCACCTAGTAAAACCTGTCCCTCATCAAACCGTATTTTTTGTTTGCGATATCCAATCACGGTTCAGTCAGGCATACCCTCTTATATCGCCTTACTCGTCTGATATCAACGTCTTGAAACCGTTCGTTGTGCGGATCAGGGAATGCCATTCACGGTTTCGAAGAAATGGTTTCCATGGCCAGCAAGATGCTGAAGTTCGCAACGGTCGGTACCATGACTCGATCAGTGTACATTGACAGCGTCTTAGTACGTTCCTCAGATACTCGAGGTCCCAGTCGTCTTCACAGAGCAGAACCCCAAAGGCATCTTCCATCCCACTATAAGCTAAGTAGGCCCTCTCACTTACGTTGTTTCCCACAAGCTCTCGGCTTCACGGTTCCAGAGCTGTCATCCGTGCCTCTGGGACAGCTTCACCTGGGTACAATAGACAAAACCCTGTTTTCCATGGCTACGCCCGAAGTCAAGTCCATCCTTGAAGCTCGAAGTATCAAGTCAATTGTCCTTTTCGGAATCGAAGTCCGTACTTATCCTTATCTTCACCACCGTCCGGACGCCCGTGTGTATCTATTCACCGGATCATATAGGCTCATGTTTGCGTGCTTCAATCAACACTCGACCTTCTCCAATTGGGATACGATGTCTACGTCCTTGCGGATGGCGTATCAAGCTGTAACAAAGAAGAGGTGCCTCTTGCACTCGCAAGGATGCGCCAGGCCGGTGCTCAAATTACCACGAGCGAGAGCTTACTTTTCCAACTGCAGCGTAAGTTTCAAAGACTATGTATCTTCGGCTTTCTCAGTACATCTATATTCAATATTCAGAAGATTCCTCAAACCCGACTTTCAAGGCATTTTCCTCGGCGATCAAAGCGGAAAAGGAGACTACACAGTCTGCAGTCCAAAAGCTCCTGACACTTCGCAGTGCACTCTAATGGAGAACGAGTTCCAATCGAATCGGACGAGAAGATCATAGAGAATTTCTGCTTATTGGATGTGAGATCAAGGACTTACATGTAGCCTAAGGAGAAGTAGCGTAGCACCTACGGATTCGCGAATTCGAAATGTTGAACACCAAGGACAGCGGTCTACCAAACTCTTCTCGAACAGAAAGCACTTTTAACTGGGCCTTGATGGAATGTCATTCAACGGTCGAGACTGGCTCTCGACAGCCTGGCACTCCTTGGCATAGATCCGCGGAGACCTCTGTCGCACAATGCCAGCAGGGAGCAGCAGGGACTGTGAAATTTAGATTCCGTGTATGTTTTTCCACGACTGTCCCGTTGTTTAGTAAACCGCTGTAAAGCAGTGGGCCCTGCTGAAGTTAGTGCCAGACTGATCCGAACGGCTGCATGCACTGCATGGGACAAGACAGATAGAAGCTCCTCAGGTTCAAACTAGTCTCAAAGAATACATGCTACTTTGCGCCACCTTCATACCTTCGTCGATGAGACGATGTGTAATATCAAAGTTTACCTCTACTCCAGCTGGAAAAACAGTTGTGTTCAGGCACCTTTACCAGCGAAGAGTCATTGATAGACATACCTCTTGTCGAATTTTTGATTGACTGTCATCATCTTGGGTGTCTCATCAGGCTTGATGTCATTCCACGGCGTGGGGTTAGCCTTTGACCAGACAACTGCACATGGAGCCTAAATGAGAAACTTTCGGTGGACTCTGAAAGCAAGGAAGTACCCACCATTGGGTCCTCTGGCAAGACGGGTCATGAACCACCCACCACCTACGAGGACGAAACCAACGACCGTCCAACTGAACCTTTGTCAATATCACTTGCTAGACATTATAGACAACTTCAAACACACATAGGAATAGCCTAGATGGTTGATTATTAAAGTTCATCGTGACAAACCGAGACACTAGAAGAATTCGCACCTCAACGGCAAACCAATTCTGCATGAACGACCTTCTGAGCTTGTGGGACATTGTGGAACAAGTGTGAGAGTACCACGGTCCAAATTCGTGTCTTACAAGCTGCGCGCTCCGCAATGTTCACAGGCCTAATGATTTCGTCATTGTGGTCTCATGTCTCTATGAATCCGTTATGTTCCGATGCACGAGTCTAGAATGCAACCCTGTGACGAAGGCCCTGCCTAGAATGAGCAGGACTGCTCTTTCTGGCCAGGCGTAAAAATAACGAATTGTGACAATATCGCTAGCCACAGCTGCGCATATTGGGCAAGTATATCGGATGGTGTATCAAAGGAGAGTGATACCCCACGATGTCAATATGGAAAGTGCACAAAAACAGAATGCTCACAAGATCATACCTAGACGGGGACATAGTGGAAGATCTGAGCGTTTTGACAACATCTCTTTTGTTCTACCGTATGATCATTCAAAAGGTGAAGGCAACAGTACTTCGTCTTCTTGACCGATTGGGAGAGAGGGAAGCATGTTCTTGAGGAAGCAGAAACTGTGATCCACGCCGATGCATGATGGTGAACAACGAGCGCGCATCGGTTCCTCAGTATTCTTAGACCAGGTAACCCTGACGTGGGGTTTATTCTTCTGTCTCCTGAACACTGTCCGAGCACTGTCCGAGCTCGTCGTCGTCATTCACGCATATCCTTACTCGTCGGGCCCCTTGTTGCGTCAACAGGGTACAGCAAGATGCAGTAACCTCAACATGACCTAATGGACGTGAAGATCGAAATTTGTGCTCACGACGTTTCACAAAATACACAGGTTTGGATTTGGGTAAGAATGGGGCTGGAGGATTCTAGAGAGCATGTAGACATCAAAAAATTTTGACAACGGTACGTTCAACCAAACCACCTAAGCGCTGCCCTCACCTAGATCAACATATCAGATACCATCCCGAGGAACATGATGGTTGTAGCCTGCTTATCATATACTCATGTATGGCAACCGTGAGTGATCTGCTATGAAAACGTAAGCAGAAGATTACATTTTGCATACAGGACCCCTGGAACGGTTCTCAGATACTCAATTATATATATCATCATCTAGTATCCGATACTCGAGGGCAGACTTGACGAGAGACAATCCAGGGGCAGCAAGCATCAAATTATAGATTAGATATTTGTTTATTGATCCTCAATTTCAAACCAATAAGCTAATACATTGGTCGAGGATGAGCTCAAAGATATGATCAACACCCGGTAGACATGTAGACTCGTACACGAGCTCGGCGATGTCGCGCGCAGACGCGAGCACAGTGATGCACTGGTCGACCATATGGTCCGGGCACGCAGAGAGGTAGAGCACGCTGTGGGCGGCGGTGCGGCAGCGGCGCCTGACACGGATGAGGGCGGAGAGGTCGTGCGGGGCGACGTGCATGTAGACGAGGCTGAGCAGGATGGGGAACATTTTGCGCATGTTGCGGAGGATTGAGGAGAGTGTGTGTGCAGGGGCGCATCCCCTGGATTGTCTCTCGTCAAGTCTGCCCTCGAGTATCGGATACTAGACGATGATATATATAATTGAGTATCTGAGAACCGTTCCAGGGGTCCTGTATGTAAAATGTGATCTTCTGCTTACGTTTTCATAGCAGATCACTCACGGTTGCCATACTCATGAGAGTGTGCCGCGCCACACCCTGTTCCCTTGTTCCGCACAAGCTCGGTCATAGCCTGTCTCTGACTTCTTTACCCATGTTTCCCATGCGGTCCGAAGTTTCAGCACATGGCTGAACATGCCTGTTTTGACGAGGATGTAATATGCCAGCCTTCAATATTTATCCATATATTCCTCTCTTCAAACTTGTTCAAGACATGTTGCACGAATAACACGACTTGATTGTAGCAGGCCATGCCGTTGACGTTATCATCTTCCTCCAGTGACGATTGATTCGGTCAAGGAAGGGAGACGTTGCAGTCGTAAGATGTCAATCTTTTGCGCAAGCGGCGCTTCATATGGAGTGGCTTCCGCGCAGAAGTTGATTATAGCTACTGCGAAGGTACGTCCCATTGAGGCTCGTGAAAACGGTTCTTAATCTCACAGATAGACATGCTCGGAAGTACGAGTGCCGTCCGCCATGTTCATGCCGAGACAGACCTTCGGGCTTCGTGACGCATGCCGAAACAGACGCAGGACAGTTATCACCGCTGCATCTAAAGTCCAGCCATACCACGCTGCCCTGCACTTGCTTCTTGATCTTGAGAAGTCTCGTTGTTCTGGTGAGCGCCATTGATCTACAAACCGATTCCAGGAACGGATATGCAGATAAGTCGGGTCCACCGGCGCCTTACCTGGAATAATCTGCGACGTAGGAAGACCGTTATAAAGGAAGAATGGGAGAAGGACCGCCTCCATCGCTTTGCGGTGATACCAGAACCCCTCTCTTTGGACAATACTGTTCCTCATGACAGACATGGAAAAAACCGTTACCCCTCCCGCTCCTACCTACCAAGGACAAATCCATATCGCCGATGTTCCCGCTCTCCCTCATACACCTGTAGACTCTTCGCGGTTATCTCCCTCCTACAGCTCAGCGTCCGTGCTTGAGAAAGGGAACGTTTGGGATGGTTACTTGGAAGATGATATTCCGGATAAAACGCAGGGACGGCTCATCCGAAATCTGCGCCATCAGATCTTCTCCCTCTACCGTCGTCTATTTGGGGTCATTTTCGTCACGAACATGGCTGTCTTCATCGCGACTCTTGTACGAGATGAAGCCAACCCTAGTCATTTAGCCCTTATTGTCGTGGCGAATCTCTTCTGCGCAATTTTGATGCGCCAGGATCATGTTATTAACACATTCTTCAATGTGTTCTGCGCCGTCCCATCTTCGTACGTGGGCTTCGTCCATCTCTGATGCGCCCAGCTAACTATTTATTCAAAAGATGGCCACTTGTGATCCGTCGCGTGTGCGCCAGAGTTTACTCCATCGGCGGATGTGCGTTTTCGAATCGATATGAAGGTGTCGTAATTAACAATCACCACAGTTCATTCGGGATGCGGCGTCTCTGGTGTCGTATGGTTCATTCTTTTCATCGTGCAAGCGACACGAGAGGTAGTGAACGGCGGTCCTGTAGGTCGCTCCTCTCCCTTGATTTGTTATTCTCCCTAACAACAAGCTTGATAGACATCCGTGGCTACCCTTATCATAAGTTACTTGATTCTTCTCCTCTTGCTGGGAATCGTCGCTCTTGCCTACCCGAGGCTACGAATTTTGTATCACAACTCCTTTGAAGCTACGCATCGTTTCCTAGGCTGGACGGCGGTTGCGCTGGTGTGGTGTCAGGTCGGCTATGGTCATCAGAGTTCCTCGTCAAATTAATATTAATAGCTCTCGACAGGTGATTCTGCTTACAAACGACCACCGCCCGGAGGGTCAGACTCTCGGAAAGGCGCTGATCAAAACTGCCCCATTTTGGATGGTTCTGGTTATGAGTATATCAATTATTCTCCCTTGGCTCAAGCTCCGGAAAGTAGCAGTCCGTTCAGAAGTACTCTCAAACCATGCAGTGAGACTATACTTTGACTATGGTGGGTCAGATAGCTGTCTCTATCATCGCCTACTGATGATGGCTTCAGTAACGCCCGTTCCTGGAAGCTTCACGCGTGTTTCCACGGACCCTCTGATGGAGTGGCACGGTTTCGCAACCATCGCCGAACCTGGGAAGAAGGGATACTCAATGGTTGTGTCTAAGGCAGGCGACTGGACGTCTAAGCAGATCGCGAACCCCCCAGAAAAGATCTGGATCCGTGGCGTTCCCACCTGCGGTGTGATGCGCATTGTACCCATCTTCCGACGTGTCATTCTTGTTGCGACCGGCAGCGGCATAGGGCCCATTGCGCCACATGTCTTTGCCCGACCAATTCCACTTCGCTTGATCTGGACGGCTCCAAATGTGCGTCAGACTTTTGGAGACAAACTCGTGGATTCGATTCTAGAGGCAGCACCAGATACCGTAATATTTGGTTCGTTATCGTCATTGCACCCTTCTGTTCGATCTGTTAACGTGTGTCTCCCTTCAGATACGCGTGTTCATGGGAAACCGGACATGGTCAAGTTGACCTACCGCCTTGTTCGTGAGTTCAATGCGGAGGCAGTTTGCATCATTTCGAATCAAGCCCTGACGAGAAAGGTGGTGTACGGTATGATGAGCAGAGGCATTCCTGCCTTCGGCGCTATATGGGACTCTTGATGCTGATGGCTTCTTCTCTTCATGATCTTTTACGGCCTCGCTGTGCACGGGATTTAGACGGTTGTGCCTCCAGGATATGCTTCCCCAGTTCTTGTGTAGATGTCTACACTATTTTTAATGCTCCGTTCATGTCGCAGGGCGATGGCGCCTTTATGTTTGTACCTATGGTGCTGTAGACGTAGCACGAGTGTTTCAAGAAGCCTGTTTGAAGACGTCTTTTGACAAACCGATTGTCTCTTGGCACCCATGCATTCCTTTCCCGAAATTCCGCTTATGATAGGTTCTTGAGTAAGACAGACACAATCTTCTCAATCTTATGACATTGAGCTTACAATAACGAAACTCGAAACTCAAAGATAGTGTGCAAAGACGGATGAATGCATCAGAGATACGGAGAATTAACAAGACACAAGGAGCCGTGGGGAAGCTTGAGTATACTAGCCGCCATAAGGGCTGGGACCGACGTCGGCTACTATCGATGGCCTGCTTGAGCGTTGTTGGGACCTGAAGGCAACCGGTTTGAATGGCATATTACTTGCAAAGCTAATACCAACCACGAGGCCTACGTCTTCCAGCTCTAATGTGTACCTGCAAGACAGCGTAGTGACAGGTAGTGACAGCGTGTAGTCTTTTGATCGCCTGTCCGATCGATGGTGCCAAGCGATCCTCAAGTCGGCCAATCAGGCGATCGTTCATGTGCGGTGCCGTTATCGACGTCATCAGAATTCGAGACGGCCTCCTTGAGTGGCGAAGCGCCGACGTTTAGCGATGCCCATGCCCACGACATAGTGAAATAGTGTGAGAATAGAATACGAGTGTGCCCGCTGTTGAGATATCAGGCCCAGGGCCTCCGTGTCACCTGTAGACATAGCCGATCAGAGTCAATTGATGAATGACTCTTCAGCATGTGTACTCGCCGTGCATCCTATATGCGTAGCTCGTCGGAGACCGCCAGGTCATTTTGAGGAAGGTTCTTATTGGAAACATCAGGAAGATATCGAGAAGATATCTCACGGGTGCTAGATTGAAGAGCCTTCTCTACCACAACATCGGCACTTGTGCTGGGAGCAGTGCATGTTGAATTCTTGATAGGAGATTTCGAGGTGAAGATAGAAAGGACAACATGATAAGGGGAGTGTCATCGCGGAATTCGCAGAGCGATGCAGGATTTGTAGAGAAAGGGGAGTTTCGTGCCGTTTCATGACACACGTCGTCCCGTTCCGCTGTCACTTTCGCCCTCGCCGTAACAAGGAATGACCAAGAGCTAGCTCATCCGGAGATGTGAAGAGTGTCAAAGGGGGTGTCAAAGGAGAGCTGTATGCCTCGACTGTTCAAATCACCTCGGAGTAGGAAGGCCATTACTATGGATCCGAAGAAAACGCTGTTCGTCGAGGTACATACATGTCTGGACAGATATGTATGGCATCGGCGGTGACCTGCAGGGAAGGGAGATTTATCATTGCGACTGCGAGACTCGAAGCCTGGATCAAGTCACGCAAACAGCATATCTGGTGTGCGAGCGTCGTGAGTGTGTGAGATATGTGAATGTGTGATGATCAATGGGGCCCTTCTTGAGGTACTCCATGAAACATAGGACAGTGATATGTCCTTATGTGTGAGGAAATAGCGACAGAGCGCATAAGGCGTGGTTGCGTTTTGATATATTCGGATTCTCCACCGAAACGCCTAACAAGCACAGCCTTGCGCTATTGTTAGGCACAGGCAACAACACATACTCTGATGTGCAGCAAGTACTCACTATAACATGCTATTGCGATACACACAGTATATGATAGAGCTTCAAGCGGCGCGCTCATTATTTCCTAAAGGCATATTTATTGAGTAAGGTTCAACTTTGACGACCGTTTCAGATTCCAGGACGAGAACCTCACCTTTCTGGAGCGATAGAGCATCTCTGGGCGCCCTCACAGACATGGTCTGCATAAAATTCAGCAGGTCGATGATCCGGAGATGTCGGTCGTCTACGTTGCTGCCTTTGGGAGACTGCATGATAGAAGTCTGCGCATCCTGTAGCGGCTTCTTAAGAAATGGGTCGGATTGTCAAGATGGCGTTGGGATTGTGAACATTGAATCTGGTTGCTGGAGGAGACAGGAGGAGACCGATGGGGCCGTGAGAAAATACATACGCTTCAATAAACCGAATGGCCGCTTCCTCGAGGACGCCACCAACACTTGCTTTCTGTCTCTCATATACGTTCGACCTTTACGAGGCCTCTCGCTAGTATCCGACAACCATTTAAAACCTGAAGTCATGTTTGGAACACTCATACACCTGGGGATCGACGCCCTCATCGTCAGCGCCTTCCTTGCAGGGGTAAAGCGTAACACTGGCTTGACGTGCGTGAACCTAGCATCCACGGTATCTCACTCTTGGGCATTGACCCATGCGAATCCGGAAATATTAGACCTGCTTTGGCGCAAGTTCCGAACAAAGATATCCGTCGTGAGTACTTGCTTTTCAAACATCATCGCGATGTATGGGTGAACGCGCGACAGAAATCCTGCGCACTTACTTGGAATTCGGTGAGTAATTGTCATTCACAAAGTCACTTGTCGCACTCATCATTGTTGCTAGGGGAATATCTCTTCGACTTCGCTGTGGTCGTATTTGGAGTACGCTCTATCACATCATTCATAGAATCAGCTAATTGACGCCATGCACATGCTTTTAGCGCTCCACATCGTTCGAGCGAAGGCACTGATGTTCTGATCCTGGATTTTGTAGTGTGCGTCACTTCCAACACGTCTAGTCAATACACAGACGTTGACTCCCAACCCGCAGTGTTGCATGTATATTATCGCCTTTGCCTCTCGTTTTAGTTCTTCTTGTACTGGGGTTACTCGCAATCGGACACGGATGCATAGTTATCACGCAACTCTGTCAGTGATCAGCTACACGGAAGCCATTCGTCCATCAACCTAAGAAGTTGTATACGAAGAAGTGTAGCACGATGGATCCGATGACAAAGTCTGCGAATGCTCTGTAAGCGCCACCAGACAATGGTGAGCTATGTGTCTCAAAGGCGATGCAACAGTACTGCACACCTTTCCGGAGACACGTCCTTGAAGAGGCCTCTGTTTTCGGAATTCACTTGAGACCGCAACGAAGCGGTCAGGACAAACTGACCAACCGTGCTGGCAAAGCTGTGCATACATTGTATTGATCAATGAACCGTAGACTGAGGCCAAGAGAGCTCATACCCAGCTAGAAACGCGTTGAAAGGGAAGCTGGAGACGAGCACGCAGTACACGAACTGCAGCACGCCCGAGAGAATCAGGAAGATTAGGAAAGAGTCGACAAACTTGAGTCTAGGGGAGGTGGTATCGACGTAAGCCTTCCATAGCGATTCGACTGCGGAGGAGGCGGCGGGTTTGGAAGGAGCGACTTTGGAGCTGGCCATTTCGCGTGTAGGGAGCACTGATTATTGACGTGTCTGGCGAGTCTGGACGGAGGCCAAGTGGCTGGACGCACCAAACAAACGAGCACGACGACCAAACAAGCCTGCCGCGTCTCCGCACCGTTCTTTACCAAAAAACTTGGAGGCTATCAGGTCCCCAGTGCCTGCGTGCTCGCTGCCAGCACCGTCGCATCCGTTCCGTATCAAAATGTCTTCCATCGGCCTTCGACTCGCCTCTGCTGCAAGCTCCTCAAGAGCGACTCGGCTGGCCCCTACAAGGCTGTCGCAGACGTGCAAGGCTTGGTCCACCTCGGCGAGAAAGATTCACACTCGGAAACCATTGCCGTATAACATAGAGGATGGGATGGGCGAATTCCTGACACCTCAGGGCTTGAAGATGGTGGCAGTCGACTACCAGCAGGGACTTCTCGATAGACTGAACGAGCAGGTAGAGGGTGCGTTGGCACGTTCGTCTCCTCTTGCACCCGTCTAAAATTCACGTCGCGCAGGCACCAACGAGGAGAACACAAGTGTGGCGCAAGTGATCATCAACACGTCGGCTGACGCGACGAAAACGCTAGCATTCAACTATGCCAGCCAAGCCCTGAACAACAGCTTCTTCCTGCACGGTCTGGTAGGTGCTCGTCATCTTTGTGTCCATGACCCTGCACTCAGCTTGTCTGCAGAAACCACCTCCATCGGACGCGCCAAACCACGAGGACAAGCTTGACTACCACCTGCTCAGCTTCCTCAAGCCTCAGTTCGGGTCCCTCGAGCAGCTCAAGTCGGTCGTCTCCTCCGCTGCACTCGGCATGATCTCTTCAGGATGGGTGTGGTATGTCATGGACAAGAGAGGAAACACTGGGGTCCTCGCAACGTTCGGCGCCGGGACCCTCTTGGTATCATCGCGAACGCAGATGTTTGACCCCAGCCGTCTCGACGCCGGCGGTGCATACCAGCTCGGCCGGCCGCCTCCTGCGAGCGACAGCGCCGGCCCCAAGATGAGCTCGAGCCCTTCGTCACCCCTCTCTGGTGTTCCTCCCACTTCGCCCACGTCTGGGGTCTCGCACCCAGTCGCCCCTCTGCATCCCTCTACTTCCGCCCGCGCGTTGCACACTTCCGTCTTCCGGGCGGCCGAGGCCGCGGCTCCTACATCCATCTGGAGCAACGCCCAGCGCATGACGGGCAACTCCGCGCTCATGAACGACTTGACAGACGTGCGCGAGACGAAGTTTGAGCAGCTCGGCGAGGTTCTGTACCCGCTATTCTGTGTGTCCGTTCAGGAGCATGCGTGGATCGGGTCTGGGTATGGCGTTTGGGGCAAGGAGGAGTACCTGAAACGGTTCTGGACTTGTTTGGACTGGAAGGTCGTGAGCGAAAGCTTTACGAAATTCTGCTCGGTCAAACCCAGGAAATAGGGTGTGGATCGGATCCAGGTGGTAGAGGGTGATGAGGTGCGGTTGGCACGCCGTCGTTCACTTTGCTTTACATTGCATTTTATTTGCTCTAATGGCCATAGCAGCTATTTCCCCCAACTCATCCAAATGTGTGGACCAGTTCCGTACGTCACCCGGAAAAGACAGCGAATATCATACAGCCTACTAGTCCGATGCGGCTAATGACCCTTCAATAGAGAGCCAAGCAAATGAATGACCAGCGACATGCAAGGTCTCTTGCGTGTAATTTCAAATCCCTGTGATACCTCATCCAAGAAATGACTCAAGAGTCAACAGCCCACTCCACTCTCCACTCGACGCTCCCTTGGCTCCGACCCCGCACGCCTTTATAAGGCTTGTAAAGTTCACCCGTGACTTTCAGCTGGTCGACCTTCAGCGCGGAGAACAGATGTGATGAAAGAGAGAACGAAGTCTGTATTGAGCGTGAGGGACGCGGACGAGCAGACCTGAGGGAAATAAAGGGATGGGCCACGGCGCTACCCAGGTTGTAAAGAGGATGCTCACGACGAGATAAATGTCCCCTGCAAGTTCCAACGGCCAGACGAGGAGGGAATGCTGGGTATCGCCCATCGCAAGACCTAAACGGATTAAATCGATGCATTCTCTTTGTGAGTGATGAAAAAGAAAGAATTTACTTGCGTTGCAGGCATGAATGTCCACTCTGCAGTGCTGCCGACGTCACAGTTTGCGGTTGTCGCACCTTCACCAAGGCATAGCTCCAGAACGAAGTCTTCAATCGTGTGTGTTGAGAGGCGGGATGTCACTGTCACATCGAACGACCCTGAGAACAAAGATTCGTCACTTTTTGAACACGGAGTGATACAATCCTACCTACCTCCCGTCTCCGTGACTCGCAGCACCGCCTTTACGTTGAAAGGCACCTGAACGTTCGCCTGATTCTGGACAACAGCGGTCAGGCCGGCGGGCGGTGGTGACGACAACTGAGATGAAGGAGAGAAGCTGTACTCCATGAGGGTAAAGTGTCCATCTGGAGGTACAAATGAAAGGACTTTGCTTTGAGCGAAGCGGGTGAGACTGGCCTACTTGTCAACAGCAAGTCAATATACAAGGGCGTAGGTCACGCACCGAACACAAGGGTGAAAGGAAGGGTCTGTTATCACTTTTGGATTGGTAAATGTGAGCGACAGGTCTGGCGTGCCTAGACATTACCGGTGAAAAAGTCGAAAATTCCCTGCAACACGATAGCCTACCTGACAGCTTGCAGTTCGTCTCAATCTTTCCGAGCACGCTGCTGGTGACGATTGCTCCACTCCTAGCAAGGGCTGCGATTCAATTGCGGGAGCTGCAGTCTTGGGCGACGTGCTCACTTGTTCATCACTGCCCTCAGGGTTTCTGCAATGTCGAAATAAATCTCATTGGTGTTATATTTAAGCCCAGCTTTTCTCCATGGTATTGGACTCGAGAAGGCGCCCATTGTATGGGCTCCGTGCATACCAGCGTTCGAAAGCCCGGATACACCAGCCACGGACAAGATCTTCTGAAGAAGCGAAGGAGGTAGGACAATGTCGCGCAGAGCATTGGGGGAGGTGGTGAGAGGATGGCCGCCGGAGTCGAGTGTCTCTTCGAGCAGCTGGTAGACTACATCGAAGTTGTCTTTGATAGTCGCGGCGCTGATGTTGCCGAGGTAATCCTGGAGGATCTCGATGAACGTCCGAAGGAAGGCGAAGGCGTAGAGCGGGTCGACTGGGGGCGGGAGAATGCGGGTCAGCTCCAGGCGGGGGCGGGGCCAGGCACGGGAGTTCACTCACTGTCACCACTGACGGGACACAAGAACGTGAGGCCGCCGTGGGGAAGGTGGCAGCACGCGCTGGGTGCGTCGAGTTCAAAGCTCGGAACATAGATGACCGGATCTACGTCCCGGGGTCGGCTGGCGCGGCCGAGTGCGCTGCTGAAGGCGTCGATGTGGATGAGCGGGTACGCTGGGGAGAAGGCGCGGAAGCCAGACTGGACGATGGGCTTGCCTGCGAGGTCGAGGATGATGAGCCCGTCGATAGCCATCGCGTCCGTGACCGTGGCGGGACCGCAGCGCCGTCGGACAACTCGGACTCACGGATCGCGGACTGCACGTGATGCGCGTCCTCGAGTGACGTATATATGCAGGAACTGCCGGATATGGCGCCTCGTCCATTGAAACCGCTGCCAAGTCCAATCCATCCTCCTCCATCTTCAATCCAGTCCACCACCATGCCCTCCATCTCTGCTCTCTCCCGCACACGGCCGGAGAACATCAAGCATATTTTGGACGACATCGAGGATCAATTTCACCTCGATGAGGCTGCCCTCAAGACCATAACCAGCCAGTACCTCTCTGATGTCAACCTCGGCTTGGGCGAGTACGGCCAAGCGATGGCGATGATGCGAGTTCTCTTCTCACTTCTTTGATTCATGAACGCATCTGACATTCTCTCCTCACAGTCCCACCTTTGTAACAGGTGTTCCCGATGGCACAGAAACTGGGTAACGCAATGCCCTCTCCGCCTCGTCGCGAATAGTATTCCTCATTGCTTGCATTTTATCTCCTCATTGATAGTACCTTTCTTGCTCTTGATCTCGGGGGAACCAATTTGTGTGTACTCACATTCATTTCCGCGGTTCTTGCTGACCTCCGCCTTTTCTCCGAAGGCGCGTCTGTCAAGTCGAGCTGCACGGGGACAAGACATTCTCTCTCCGCCAGCAAAAATACAGGGTCTCTGAAGCCCTCAAGACCGGGGAAGCGACTGTGCTCTTTGGTTTGTTCCTTTGCGATCTTCTACGGCTCCGCTGACCGGCTTCGACTTCCGCAATTAGACTATCTAGCCGACTCGGTCGACGCCTTCCTAACTTCTTCTCCCCCCGCCTCTCCGACAAATCCCCCTGTTCCTGGAGAGCTCTACGAAGACCCTCCCGCTCTTCCTCTTGGTCTCACCTTCTCGTTTCCTGTCGAACAGACCGCGTTGGATCAGGGGTATCTGCTAACCTGGACCAAAGGGTTCGCGGCAAAGAACGCGATTGGGAAGGACGTTGTAAAACTCTTGCAAGACGCGTTCGATAGGAAGCACCTTCACGTCCAATGCGTGGCTATTGTCAACGACGTGTGTTCGCCATGTTTGCTTTGCTGCATAAAGTTAACATATCTTGCCGTAGACCGTGGGCGCGCTCCTCTCTCGTGCATACACGGCTGGCGGCTGCACACTCGGCTGCATATTCGGCACTGGCACCAATGGCGCGTACGTTGAGAAAGTAGCAAACATCACCAAGTTGAAAAACAACCCTGTTGTCGCAAAGGGCGGTGTGATGATTGTCAACACTGAATGGGGGGCATTCAATAACACTGTAAGCATCTCTCTCATTCTTGATATTCCCGAAATTGGTGTTTCACATCAGTATCAGCGGACCACACTGCCCACCACCCCTTTTGACAACAAACTTGACCGCGAGTCAATAAACCCGCGATACCAAGCCTTCGAAAAATTCGTCTCGGGCATGTATTTGGGCGAAGTCACCCGCAATATCTTGCTCTCCCTCATCGACGCATCGCCGAAACCCATCCTCTTTGGCGGTATCGCAAGCAAGCTAATGAACACGCACTACGGGTTTGACACGGAGTTTATGAGTCTCGTCGAGGGCGCCTGGGAGAGCGAAATCCACCTCAACGGTAACTCCGCATCTGCCGGACCCGAACTTCCTGACTCTGAGAAGTCAACGACGAAGGACGTAAAGCCCATAGACGATGACGCGCTTCTGGACTTCAGCGTACCCCTCGTCGCAGCATCACTCAGCTCGCACACGCTGCACCGACTGCAGAGGGTCCGCACCGTGCTGGTGTCTAAACTCGGGTATGAGCCCGCGCAGGTGACGCTCAGAGACGCGGCCGTTGTGCATTGGGCGTGCGCGATTGTCGCCAGGCGCGCGGCGAGGATGAGCGGGTGCGTCGTCGCGGCCTCTGTGAAGCAGATGGGGTACGTTCCCGAGCCTGGGAGCGGTGTTCAAACCAAAGACGAAGGAAGGATATCCGTTGGTGTAGACGGAAGGTAATTCAGCGTCTTCGTGTCTTCAACTTCTGGTCACTGATCTGAATCATTTGCAGCCTGATTGAGCATTACCCGCGGTTCCAAGACCATCTGCGTGAATCTCTGCGCCTCTTGGTCGGCGAACAGGTCGAGCAACGTGTCGAAATTGGCATGGCGAAAGACGGAAGTGGTGTCGGCGGTGCGTATAATCACCTCGATCACTAGCCATGTTGACTGATCAAGAGTTATGGTTGCAACTTAGCTGCCCTGTGCGCGCTCGTAGCCACAAAGCTGAAGAAGTCGGGCAGCTCATGATCACTGAGCTGGCACGTGAAGAACCGAAACACACACAAGGAAGCCTGTAATTGTATTCTATCCTATCGCGCCGAGTCCCCATGTTCCACCACTGCCATCACCATCACCCAAATTCATCCAACTGTTTATCGCATAAATACGGCCTCCCTGTTGTCGCTCTAACTGTTGTTGTGTTCAAATGTGCCACTATATATTCTCCCTATTTCCCACCCCTTCCTTCGTGCCAGTATTACTACTCATTTTCCTAGGCTCCTCTGTTGAGATGTGGGCATGTTTCGATCTGGATATGACTGGCGTTGTTTTGCTCTCTTTTGCGGCACGATAGACGTGGACGGAATGTACTGTGCGAAAATTCATAGGAAATTTCGATATCATCAACGGATCGTCAATGTACTTCTCAGACCACCAGTGTCTTCGCATTAAGTGGGTCCAAATCTACTAGGACCTGATAGCAATCTACTGCAGGGCCCCTAACGACCGACTTTTCAATAGCTCAGCCTCGAGTGAAAGACGAGTCGCAACTGTTTCTTGTCTTAAATGCGAGACAGTGCAAATGATTTGCATGTGAAATGGACGTTGGGAATTTACCCTCAGGGCGCGCAAAGCAGCTAGAAAAGCGCCTCAAGCGCAGTGTTTTCTATTTCGATCACCACGCAAGTGCTAGACGGCCATCTAGGAGTGTTGACGACGCGAGGGCAATTACATGAGTGAAAGGTCGCCGAACTTCTCCTTGTACCCTGTGAACCGCAGGAACCCAGCCCCAAGGTGAAACCCGTTAGTAAACCAGAAAGCATGGGGAAGAGAAAGCGTCGTAAGACGCACCTGGAACAGTCCATTTGCCCTTCTTAACCATGGTCTCGACTGTCTCGAGGATGCGGGGGTGGGCCTGGCCAACCTCCTCGACCTAGCATGACAGATATATGGTCAGAAAATTAAGATTGAATAAAATGTGGGTGGTACGCACGGTGAGGTCCTCGAAAGGACGCGCCTCTTCGATGTTGGCGAGCGTCGCCTGGAGATCCTTCAGCTCGACGTCAATCTGCGCCTCGGTCTCCTTGGCCTTGGCAACCTACAAGAAGTCCACGAAATCAACACAATCAACCAAAAAATCATTCACACAAAAAGTCAAGGACGACAGTGTGCCGGGCAGAGAGCAGGCAGTCATAGAGGAGAAAAATACGCACCGCCTTGACCTCGAAGGTCTCGATCGCCTTCAAGTGCGCCGACACGTCGTATGTCACGGGCTTGAAGCTGGCGAGGGTCTTCTCTGCCTCGTCGACGATGGCCTTGTTCTTGAGGACGGAACGGTAGTGAGCGAAGTCAACGGTCGCGGGCTGCGAGGCGAGCTGCGCGGAGATGCGCTGAGCATCTGCATGCCGCTTGCGGAAGGCTTGCAGGCTCGCGACGGTCTCTGCGGGGTGAAGAGAAAGTCAGAACGGTACGAAGTCGGGGGCTAGCAGGGGAAGTTTGCCTTTGCCAAGACCGAGAGAGGAGTAAATGCGCGCATAATCCTATAGCAGGCAAAGTTTAGACCAGAGCGAGATGCGACACCAGTGCAAGGAGAGGGCGAGAATGCACAATGAGAAACACGTCAGGTGGTGGTAAATTGTGAAGGCACGTACGGCGGCGGTGGCGACTGCTTTGGATGCCATCGGGCTGCATGTTACAATGATTCTGAGTCCGTGACCATATCGGCAAGACTGCGAAAATGACCTACTGGTTGTGTGGATGGAAAGGGAGAGGGGAAGGTTGCTCACTGGCGAGGTCGGGCGGGTCGGCTCACGTATGTAAGGTCAACGTGCCGGACTTGGCCGAACATCCTCCAAGCGGCTCCGACCGTCTCAGCCTCTCTTCGTTCATCTTGTATCACACCTCTTTTCTTTCTACTTCTTTTACGAGCTCTTACGAGCCAAACTCGTATCAGATATCAAATGGAACCTTTGTAGAACGAGCAAAGAGCAACTTGATCAGGTTCCGCTGGCAACTGAACAACATCTCGACGGACATTGCGGATATATGCGCCACATCTATGGCAGATAGTCTGGACAAGCCCTCCTTATAATTAATCTGAACGACAGCCGCTGTTTCTTTAAATGACTATATGGGAACATGTTCTATCTAAACTAGGAGCGTCGACAAGTGCTATCTCTTGAGGCTTCGGCCCGATATACAAAATCGCAGGCCTGCCCGCTTCCGCGCCTCGAGCGTCTGTGCACATTTGTGACTCGCTTATCGCATTGACTTCAAAGTTCACAGCGGCGGGGACGATTCTACTGTGCATGGCTTCCACCTCTGCCAGATCCATGTGGCAGCTCTCTCCAGACGTCGCCGTCGTAGGGCTCGCGATGATCGTATATATTTTCCTGTTTTTGCAGCGGCGCTATCGCTCGAGTCTGAAACTCGCGGAGGCCCGTCTCGTGGAATCTGAGACGGGAGGGCGTGTTCTGGCGAGCACAACCACTGAAGAGCGTAAAGGTGAGCCTTGTCCGTTACTGGAGGAGAGTGGTCTGTGTAAATGATAAGCTTTATTGATGCAGCAGTGTGGAAGCCCGCGTCTTTCACCTATCCGGACATCGTTCCACTACCTAACGAATTAAGGGCTCTCGAACCGCGGCCGTACAGACCATTCAAGGCCGGTCCATATCAGTGAGTCTTCCTCTTCAGTCGTGAATTAAAAAGCACCAAGCAGCTGCCTGACTCACGACATTGTAGTATCACAATGGGTATTCGACCCATGGAATGGGACAATTGGATTGAGGTGCGTCCATTAAACCTCTTATGTATGGCTGTTCGTCGGTATATTCATCTCTGTGCAGCTGGATAACCAATTCCCGACCTTCCACCGCATCCGAGCAAATCGCATCGCGACGCGCGGTCATAAACTCATACGGGTCCTCCCTGACAGGCCTGGAGTCGTGAAAGGCGGCGCCGAAGCTGGTGCGCCATCTATTGTCTACAGACTTGTGTGATCACTGATCGACGGCTGGAACGCTTGGTTGTGTCGAATGCTGTCAGCGAGAGAACTCGTCTACGAGCTGGCTGAGTTTCTCTCCCGACGCTATCCTGCAGTGTATAGCGTGACGCGACACGTACCATCGTCCACACCAGTCATGGTCTCGTTTGAAGACGGGTGGAAGGGTGAAGGGAGGATCAGAGATGTCACGATCGCACCACTTGGTGTGAAATATGACTTGGATGTGGAGGATCCATTGAAGGTTGCAGCGCTGCTGTGAGCTAGATCTCCGGAATCTGTGAGTCAAAGGGACATGCTGACCGTACACTTGGTACAGGGTACAAGATGACTTGGCAGTGATGATTGAGGGCGAGGATGGATCGTACTATTTCCAAGCGGGTGCAATCATTGTGCCAGGTGCGTTCAATGCTCTAAGTTTGTTATTGAATGTGTTCAGCATTAACTGTTAAATACTTTGCTGACGGTTAGGTTCGTGGAGATTGGAAGACAAGATCGGTATGCCATTGGACGAGATACACTTTAGCGGACACGTTCCTTTCTGTCAGTCCTATCTCCATCATGACCGAGACGAATCCAGACTGACCCACTTCCCTTCGCCACGACATTTCACGTACGTTTCATGTACGGTGAACTCTGAACAGACAAGGAAAAGCTGCAGCTCTCTATGAACCGTTTCTTCCGTCGGCTTCCTCTGGAAGTGCCTGTTGTTCGAAATAACTGGCTGATTCAGGTGCTGGATCCTGCACTCCAGAAGGCAGACGGGGAAAGAGCGGACGCAGCGGACCCCGAGGAACTGGCATGGTCTGCCACAACTCACGGACCGGAGGACGCGTACTCTCACCCGCAGTCGTCGTATGCACTGTCGCTTTCCTCATCCGTGTCGCCACCCCCATTTCCTACGCCACCTCCTTCGCTTCCTTTGCCAGCGGAGTTGCCGCGAGCGCCGCCCCCGACGCCCGCAACGCTCCGCCTGCGCACTGAGCGGCAGACACTAAGACGGCTTCCGCACAGCGGCGCGATCGTGTTCACGATCCGAACGTATCTCGTTCCGATCGAGCAGCTCAGCAAGGAAAAGGGTGTGCCGGGGCGGCTGGCGGCCGCGATTAGGGGCGTCGGTGGTGAAATTCGTCGGTGAGTTTTCCTCTCGATTTACAAAGAAAGGGGGGAGAGTTTTCCTTTTGCATTCTTGTGCTCTTTTGCGATGTGGGTCGTTCCAGCGGGTCGGAGTGGACCCGCTGAGCGCTGGGGCGAAGAGAACAGCTAGCGAGCGAGGGGGCTTTGGGCCGCCATCTGTCCTCGTTGCCCTTCCTATGACCATATGTGCTTTGCGATCAAACGATCTGGCTGGCTTCTGGATGGTTTCCGCGGCCAGGATTGTATGTCGGACCGGGCGACCGCAGAGTCTGACATGGAAACGATCGCATGTTTCGCGTTGTGCGTCTCTTTTTCTGCATTTTTTCTTTTCTTTTCTCGATGCTCGATCGCTTGACGCGCGAAAGCGAGGTGCGGCGGGCTGCGGCGCCGAGAGATCGGAGCCGCGCTGACTTGACGCGCGCGAGGGTTTTACAATTCACCCACCACTCGGGGGGTTTTGCCTCGAGTGAGCGCGCAACATTTTTTATACATGGAACTGTCTGAGACTTGGGGCACGAGGGACTGGAACGGGGCGGGGAGAAGTGCCCCGATTGTCAGTGTGTCAGGGACCGGTCTGATGTTCGTGTGCTGATGTATCTATGTTTATGTGTGCATGCAGGCGGAAGCAGGTGGAGGAGTACGAAAACGTGCTGCTGGGATATCTGGACGCGTGTGATCGGGAAGAAGGGGGACGGTTGACGTGAGAGGGAGGAAGGGGGAATGTTTTCTAGACGTCGATGTGTAGGTGAATCTGGAGGGGGAGATCTGGTGTTCTGACATGTACGCGAACGGGAGGACGGAGGAGTGGCTGATAGAGTGGGGGCTAGGCACGGGCGCAGCTTGGCCGTGTTTGTGCGTGGAGCGTGACATGTGACGGGTGAGATTCGAAGTCCGCTGGAAGATATATACGGGCTACGTCAGAGTTCGTCATCGTTCTGGTACCCGTCGCTGCCCCTTGGTATGTCATTCTCTCCTTGGACGCTCCCACCGATGATGCTCACTCCTCTCCTCTCCTCCGCGCCCAGCCATGTCCACCCGCAGCCAGTCTCCGCTCTCCCCGCTCGACGACAACGACTCCGCCCACACAGACCGCCCCCAGCCCCGTCCGTCCCGCTCAAACTTCGACCTCGAGCCAAACCCCTTCGAGCAGTCCTTTGCACGCCCCCCGAACCACACCTCCAGCATCCGCTCCTCCCAGGCTGCCTCTCCCGTCCGCAAGGGCTCCGCGCACAGCGACACAAAACCCTCCATCGACGATCTCCAACATCCTCGCTCCCCGACCTCCAGCAGCCCTTCCCGTCGGCAGTCGGACCGCAGCGCCTCTCCCAAGACAGTCTTGCCCCCGCTCGCGTCCATCTCCTCCCCGACCGACCAATATTCATGGGGCTTCTCCCCCTCCTCCATCTCAAACTCTCTACGCGCCGGGCCTCTTTCTCCCGCCATGCTTGCAGGCCCCAGGCATGACAACGGCCCCAGCGATCAGCCCCCCATCGCCTTTGACCCCACGAGCTTCCGCTCGGGGCTCACTCCACGCACCGGCCTTACCCCCGGCACCGGCACCGGTCTCACTCCCCTCATGGGTGGTCCGGTCTCCTTCCCTCCGCCCTCCCCCAACACAGCCGCTTTCCTGCACATGATGAACAACAGCACGTCCGGCGGAGCTACCATCACACCAAACACCCTCAATGCCATCACCGGTGTGCTATCGTCTGCAGCTGCTGGGCAAGCCAACGGCGTCCATGGGCCTTCACCACATCCTCTCTCCATTTCTCATGTCCCTCCATCGAGTTACGATCGCAATATGAACGGATCACACTACACCAACGGGAACTCTGCCAACAACCATTCCCCGACCCAGGCGCAGCGCGACCAGCAGAGCTATGCCATGTCCACGGCCGCCGATGCTGCCAATTCAGCCGCTAACGGCCTCTTCCTCCTTTCTCAAGCTCATCAGGAGCTGACGAAGCGAGAAGAGGCCCAGCGTGCAGGCCAGAACGGTGTCTCCACTAACGGCGCTGCAAACGGTAAACGGGGCACCAAGCGCAAGTCCTATGACGTCAGTTCGCCCACCGATTCTTTGCCCCCTTCGAGCAAGCAGCCTTCTCAGAAGCGCAACCGCGCCGCGAGCACCAACGGTCGCAACGGGAGACGGGGCACGAGTCCTTCTATTAATGACGAAGACGACGAAGAGGAGGAGGAGGAAGACGTGATGGATATGCAGCCTACGAATGGTAAGAAGAATGGCAATAAAAAGCCAGAGACGGAGGAAGAAAAGCGCAAGAATTTCCTTGAGCGAAACCGGCAGGGTAGGTTCATGCGAAGTTGTCTCGGCCACATTCACGATACTCACCGTCTCAAAAAATCATCATAGCTGCGCTCAAATGTCGTCAACGGAAAAAGGCGTGGCTGTCGCAGCTTCAGGCCAAAGTTGAATTTTTGTCAACGGAGAACGAGCGACTTCAGTCTGCTCTCGTGACTTCAAGAGAAGAAATTGCACGTCTGACGGCAGCAGCAGCGGCGGCGGCCAACGGGATGCTCGCGCCTGTCGGCGTAGGGATTCCTCCTCCGCAACCCGTTAGCGTCAATGTCAGCCTACCACCTGGGACGGTGAAGGGCGTTAACGGTCGAGGGTACGGATATTAGGGCCATGCATGAACGCTCGTTTCCTCCGCCCGCCATTGGGCCCTCGTCTTTTTTCCCCTGCTTGTTTTGTCACTTGCTCGCACTTGCTATACAATCGGCCATCGAAAATATGATAGGCGTATCGTGAAGATCTCTCGCATCACCTCCACTCCTGCCATCATCATAACGCATCAGCCACCATCCTTCATCTAGCATCTTGTCATCGCCCCCGTCTTGATCCTAGCCATGGCGTTCAATGGCTATATATCTCCATGTGTCCACTCTTTCCTCTGCATATGCATGAGCTCACGGACTCCGTTTTTCCCCTCGTGGTCTACGAGTTTGTACTTTCTACCGCAACCAGACGCATTTAGTGCATTCCATCGCATGACTAAGTGTCGGTCATCTGTCTGCGAGGACTTCCGAAGTCCGGATGCGGAGCACACTCGAAATCCGGCGATCATCGTTCGAACCTCACTTCACCCTCTTGGAGTCTGCCACACCTCCGAATGGGAGATTGCGTCGTTCTTTCTGCCACAGATCATTGGTCACCAGGACGATTCCGCGTCCATCTCTCCGAGCCTCCGCTGAGTCAGCCGCCGAAATGCTGAGGTTGGAGATCGGGGCGGATGCGCTGTGTTCGTGGACGACGCGACGCAATGCAGACGAGATACTGGAGGGTTCTCGCGGCTCATCTGGCTGGCACGCGGCCGCGGAAGGCGGCAAGCGTTTGAATGCGGTGGACGAGTCGGGATTGGTGGATCCGTCACGTACCTATGACGCCAAAGTTGGATCAAAAAGGGGAAAGTGGGGCCCACAAATGTATTGGTACGGGATGCGGAAGTTTTGTCGGATCTCGCGGAGGTGATGAAAAAAACATCTTTTTTTTGGTGATTAGAGGTTCTTGGACGCTCGGTAATTAGGGTTTCGCATAGTGGTCGTTTTTCTTTTTCTCGGTCTCGGTCTCTTTCCACTTTGTCGGTTTCTGGATACGGAGTTGTACACCATGCACCCTCATGTATGTATGTGACAGCCAGGTGATATGCTCGTTATGCACATAGAGCTTGCTTCGACTGCGTTGAATGCATAGTGATGTGCGATGTCAGTGTTTATGGCGTGTATGCAGGGTTTTCAAAATTCGAGTCTCGAACGACGCTAGAACATAAATCCGACTGTGGCGCGCACACGAACATTCAGCAGATGGCAGGCTGCCATAGAAATCAATTGTACACTATCCCATCGAATACTCCGTCGAGCGCCAAGCGTTCAAGCATGTCTAGAAGTGCGGACCGACCGGTCACGGCAAAGTCTCAGCATGCGAGCAAAGTGCGACTCGGGCGGGCAAAGTCGCACCTCGTCAGATGACCGCGCACGCTCCTCACGAACAAACGCACGCTCAATTGGGGAACCGGGGTGCTTACGCAGGGCCATGCAGCGTGGCTCGACGGATCGGGCTGCACCCTGGCCCATCGGAAGCCCCGCCGAAGCGTCCGTCGTGTGTGTGTTTGTGCGCGAGCGCGTTTGAGGCGTCACGGTCGGGGCTCGGGCGCATTGCATCGTGCGTGGCCGGATCCTGTGTCCCCGAACAAAGAGGCGCGGACGGGGCTTCGTCGATGGCGAGGCCTCGAGGCGGCTTCTAGACGTGCGCAGAGGGCGGTCACGCACCGCGAGCGATCGCGGGGCCGGCGCCTGGCGTTCGCCGTGCGTGGCTGCCCACTCCGAGCCCGAGCCCGACTTGGTCGAGAGGAGGCTCTGCGAGCTTCGGAGGCCGGAAACGCACGTCCAGAGAACGTCCTCGGGGCGCTGACCGTTGGCAGGGAAGCCGATGCAGTCATGGAGGGTCGTAATTGGGCCTCCCAGGCCTGGCTTGCTTGGCTCGCGCAGCGCGGTTCGGACGTGACGTCTCGGAAGAAGCGCGCATGGCGGCCCATGGGCAGGTCGCGTGCCCCATGTCCGAAGGGCAGAGGAACATGCCTGCGATCGAGAGGCCCTTCCGTGCACTAGCCCCGCCAGAGTCGCTGAGAGATTGTGTCTGGGTATCGACGATAATCAACGCGACCGTGCTGGTATCGGTGACATCGACGTGCGAGATCATGCTGTCTAATATCAGCAGAGAATGATGGCAGGAAGGGAAGCAAGGCTACTCGGTGCCTCGGGCGCCGCTAATCGGCGCAGATTCGTGATGTACAGACGCGGCAATGCGTTGCATCCACGTCAAGAACGGGTCAGGGGGCGGAGCCGGCGTATGTGCTGGCTTCGCACGGGGTGGGCGCATACATGTAATGTGCAGCCGCAGAATCACGTCCATACATATCGATACATTACTCTGCCTCCGTCTTGCTCGCCCCCGGCCTTGGTTGGGAGCCCGAGGAAGCGACCGAGTGTTGAGAGGCACGGAGACGATGATCCGGAGGCAGAGGTGGTGAGAGCACAAATCGCTCAAACGGCAGGACAATTGACACACGCAGCTGGCGAGATGAACGGCGGAAGGAAATCGAGAGGCATGTGTCGGTAGAATGATCCGGAGAGAATATCGTGTGTTCGTTACGGGGGGCAAAGTCGTGTGCATGGCACGGAAGGTGGGCCGGAGTCATTAGAGGGAAGGGGGGATTATGGTGTGGGTGTGGAATGGCGTCAGAGCAAAGAAGCTCTGGAAGGGGAAGTTCTCAGGGCGGATCGACCGCTGAGCAAAACGGGCGAAGTCTCGAAGGTCATGCGGGGTATCTTGGAAGATCGTTGCAAGGACACGTTGCCCGTGGCCACGGAGCGCAGAATGGGCAAGCGCATGGAGAGCAACAACTAAATGGACAAGCGCGCACGTCAGAAAAGAGGGTCCCAATCAATTTCCTTGAATAACAAGATGGTGTGACAGCGGCGGTCGCATGTACGACATGCTACCGGACGATGCTTGGAGGCTACACTTGGGAATCGATTCCTCTGATGGGCTTCGCGAAGCATGGTAGAGTCGCTCATTTACTGTCCACACCCGTGGAGAAGGAGTCTTTGGAGCTCCGGTGCATCATCGGGACGCATTGCTTGGCATTCGGAGAACTGTGGCTTTCGACGTCAACTAAATCCACCCAAACCCTCGAAGAGGGATGTGCTATACCCAAGAGCAGAAGGCGGAGCAGCAGGTGGAGTGCGGATGAGATTGGGTAATGTTCAGAGGTGTATTGGAAGTCAACATGGGCATTGCTAACGTCGCCTTTGGAAGTACTAAGGCATGAGTCGTCTGAACATGAGTTCGGAAGACGGGAGCGGGGAGCGAAGAGAAGTTCTTCTAAGTGAAGACGAGAGGCACAGGTGCAGTGAATCTGGGGAAATAGGCAGTTGCTTGAACGAGAATTCGAAGTCGACATAGGCGATCGAGCAGAGCAAAGGCGTCATTAAAACTTGGAGTCCGGCCTAGGCGCCAATGCCAATGAGTCAAGGATGAGCGACTGCCATGCCGAAAATGGGTTATAGCTGTACAAGAGACCCATATACGCGACCGCCGAAAGCGTCGGGGGGACTAGAAGAGACAGCTTATGAGTGTGTGCCAACATGCTGCGAGCTTGATAACAAGTTAACTGTATGGGTCGAGTATCACTTGCGATAGTCTCCGTTCCAGAGAGTTTGGGAAACGACCGTTGACGTTCTGGAACAAAAGTGCCTAGCATGTCTTATGTCGTGCGCATGGATATAATCAAGGGTGCACTAGAAGCATGATACGAAAGGCTTTGGAAGGTGCTATGACAGTACGTGTGAGAGTGCTAAAAACACTGCACAACGTGCCTTCGGCGAATGAAGGATGAGCTTCGAAAAGATCGAGAACAGGAAAGGAGGCCTGAGGACGACCTGATATGGAATTCCTGGCGCGTGATGACCTACGCTGTGTATGAAAAAAACCTTGGCCTAGTGAGAGCGGCGACATGACTGTTCCCGAAATTTGAGCAGTCGCCAACAAAAAGCACACAGAGAGAGGGGGAATACGTACACATGATGTGAACAGGACACAGACATTCCACACTTCCCAGGCTCGTTCATCCATGTTCTACTATCTCGAAGGGTCAGGAGACCAAGACATGAGGGGGCAGGAATTTCGTATGAGCGCCGCGCAGGCCTAGGCAGAATCGATACAGTTGCGTGCATATCAAACAGGACTGTCATGTCGGAGATTGGCGACGGATATATTGACTCTTTGGGATGGGGAAACCGGTCTGTCAATGCTCAAAAAGAATGCTGTTTTGCACATAAAGGTCGCCATGGTGAGTGGAGGACGCTGAAGGGAGAGGTCGTAGGGGCAAGAGGTCAAGTGGCCAGGAAGGCCCAAAGAACCAAGCGGGAAGATTAAATGGATGTGACTGATTCTGCTGGGATGAAATCCTCGTTTCGAAGACGGGTCAGCTGTGCCTTGTGAGTGACGGCATGCGATCTCCATATCAGACGGGCCAAGAGTGTACATTCAAAGGGTTCCACTGGCAGATTAACAGGTATACGTCCTTTTGAACCTGTAAGTTGATTGAGGTAAGAACGGTTCAGGCCCGCTTTGGCGCGTAGAAAAATTCCTAGATAAGGATCACGAGTCGAAAGAGCTCGAAGGGAAGTTTGGCATTCGACGTCTTCCAAGCACGAATCAGACATGCCGCGGTGTTGGCAGCGCGGTCAATATCGGTCGATGCTCCGCTGACTTTTTTCCTGTCCCGCCAAATCATACACAGCAAAGGGTGTAAAATATACAAGCCTTGATCAAAGTCAAATCTCTAACAAGGAGATATATCAAAAGGGGAAAATTATTCGCACATTGATCAGACGCAAAATCGGATAGCAGATGCCGCCCCTTCGGACAATACGTGGGTTTAACATCCTCAGGACTGGGATGTTTCAACAATTTTGCGCAAACGATAGAGTAGATCCTACGCGAATATATAGTCGGTCGACCGAGCAGGGATATACATTCATGACAGCTCACGACTCGGTGAATCTTGCGGTAGAGACTCGGGTGGAAGATTTCTTGATAACGCCGTGCTTTCGGTTTGTTGGAAACTGGGCGGACAACATACGATACCAATTCACAGGCCTGGATTGACCACACAACGCCAGTCTTGATCGGCCTCTCTGAATACACCACTCGCCATCAACATATTCGCAAAGACAGCCGTCCTGCGACTAGGAGACTAGATCGTCCATTGAAGTGTACAGATAATGGTGGGAAATACTCATATGTCGTCATCTAGATGTCCATTTTGTTGGGGAGACTGAGTCAGTCGAGAGCGGGATCAGTTTCACAAACTGGTCGCGGATAAGATAGAGGGTCACATACCACAAATTGACCTCCACCATAGGGCAGTCGGAACAGAGATAGGCGACTCAGGATAGAAAGGGGCGCTTTCAAGCTTAGAGGGCAAAGTACCTCGATTGTAGACTCTGCTAGCAGCCTACAGGCTCACCCGGCGGTAAGTACTAATTTACTTGGTGCTCGATGCTTAGTAAGCAATGTTGTCATCTCTGCTTTGGTGGCACACTGGCTGCTGTCGCCCATGCACAACTCGCCTTGTTTCTCCTCCTTCCTCGCTTTTGCTTTTTTTCTATAGACGCTATAACCTCATATTCTATCATGTCCTCGGACTCAGAATCACGACCACCTTCGCCGTCTGCGAGATCAGACTCTCCTAACATATTGAGCCTAAACATGGGCTACTTCACGATACCGTTTGAACGCTTCGTGCGCGACGAAAGCGTTACAGATTGGAGCAGTGGATTCACGTTGCTAGGCGAGTCATTCATTCCCTTGCAATTCCTCTTCAGTTGATTGAACAAGATAGAATGCAGACACCATGGAGACATACTTTGACTCACGGATCGATCTCCTGCAACGTAACCTGTCCAAACGCACTGACAAGCTCAAGATGAAGGCTGAAACTGCTTTCAACGATTTGAAGGCGAAGTCAGCATCCCCAGAAGCGTTGACAGAGAATCTTGACAAGGAGCTGCAGAAATTGAAGCTGAAGGTACGTAGTGTCTACAATCCATCCTACATCCGCCTTACCATCCAACACCTCCGTCTTTGTAGCTTAATTCGCGTATGGCGTCTTTGGCAACTGCATGGAAGTCTACGCAGGTTGTGAGGACGCGTGAAAAGGTCTCGTTTTTCTTTGGCGTCATGTCGGTTCTCGTATCGGCTCTACTTTTCGGTCTAGCTCCCCAGTAAGCGTCCCGCTGTATCAATCTCTTTCGCGAGTTCATGTCATTTTTATATTATTCTATAGATGGGTTCATATCGCCTATACGTTGCAGGCGATGTTCCTACTGCCAATGCGTGTCTACAGCTACAAAAAGCGTGCATGGCACTATTTCCTCTTCGACCTCTGTTACTACGTGCTTATTCTCAACTTCCTCTACATATGGCTCTTCCCCCAAAGTGCATGGCTGTTTGTCGCGTGTTATTGTCTCTCGCATGGTTCGGTCGCAAGCGCGGTCATCACATGGCGGAACAGCCTGGTCTTCCACGATATTGACAAAGTCACGTCGTTGTTTGTCCATATATACTCGCCTTTTTCGTTTACTGTGATCAGGTATGTTGCGCGTGTTTGTTTGGTGTCGCATTGACTCATCGGATTCGACATTGTTAGACATTTCTACCCTAATGCGGAGGAGCGTTTCCCTGCGCTCAAAGAATTGCCATTTCTGCAGCCCTGGAGAGCACTGTTGTTGACCAGCCTTATCTGTAAGCTTACCTACACCGTGTTGTCACTTGAAGCTAATACCTTGCTCAGATCTGGTCTGGCAAATGTTGTACTGGAAGGTGTGCCTCGAATCCGTATTATCCTTATCATTAAATCTGACATGCGCATTTCAGCTTGTCTATGTCAATCGCCGCACCAAGATTGAGTCCGGCCAACGTACAACGTCGCTTTCCTTCATGCTCAACAACAAACGCGGTGCCATTGGCCGTGCTTTAGCTTCCGTGCCAGCCGCATATCGTGCTGAGGCATTCATGGCCGGGCAATTCGGTATGTTTATCCAAATTTGACTGTTCCTTCGGGCAATAATTGAATGATGCATGATGCGCATTGAACAGTCTACGCTGTCTTCACGTCTCTCGTACCGATTTTCGTATTATATGACAGCGCACTATGGAGTGGCGCGTTCCTCATACTGATATTCGCTGTGAGTGTGTGGAACGGTGGAGGGTTCTATATCGAAGTCTTTGGCCGCAAGTACGACCATTTCCCCTGCGTGTAAGATTCACAGACGCTGACAGCCGTCACTTGCTGGTAGATTTGAGCGCGAGCTCGAAGCTTTACGCAAGGAGCTCGCCGAAGCCAATTTACGATCAGGACGCTCAAGTCCAACGATGGTCCCCTCTGACATTTCCACTCCGGTATCACCGATAATTTCTGAGAAAACTCTTGCAGCCAGTCCCCCATTACTTGCTCAGATCACTGAGCCTTTGGCCAACGACGTCCCTCCGCTGGAAGACAAGAAGCACCAATAGTCGCTCTTGCGGTGTAAGATGTTCGTTTCGGGCAGGTACCTGGGATGTGTCGAGGTTGGTATTTTGACGAAGGTATTGATGCAGCGTTTCTATTACGACTCCCTTGACTGGGGTAGATATACGATATTATGTGAATGTGTCTTACGATGTACTTAATAACCTGCCCTTTCTATTCATTCCCCCGTATGCTCTCTTACCGCCACCTTCTCCCTCACGTCTGTAATTCTTTGGTAGAAGGGATGGACATTTCGCAGATGCGTTTTGGATCGCACGGCCCCGAGTTATCAACTCCCTTTTTGGCTTGTACAGTATCGTTCGTTCGGTGCAGCCTTTTGGATACTACTGCACAATGCGATGGTAGAACACAGGATGACATGACGAGATATGATTTTCTGTTCTTACTGAGAGCTTGACCTGACATCAAGCAGGAAACCGTCGAAGACGTTCAGGACACAACTTGAGCTTCGTTTTCAGCGACAACGGTAAGGTCTTCTGCAACGGAAACGGGAGCGTCAGAAAGTGCTCCCTGAGAATCGAAACCCTCCCATCGCCTCCCACTACATATCCAGCCCGCGAAGGGCGCGCTTGGACCGAGGAGCGCATGCTTTGCGTGTTGATAGTGAACGACGGATTGTTTGACGACATAGTAGGTCGATGACTCGCTGTCGATAAGGTGAGAAAATTCGACGTCCCCAGGAAATGTAGAGCGGTGCTCTCGAGAAAGTAAATATTGCCGAGATGAGATGCGAGTGAAGGGAGGGACGCACGGTGGTGATGGGAGGTTGAGTGCTTCGAGCGTCGATAGATAGACGGCATATAGAGAAATTTTCGACAATAGTGGTCTGCCGGCAAATAAGTATGTTTGTACTGCATTTGACAAGGAGGTATATACCTGAATTTCGCGTTGGAAATATGTTTTGGGGGAACACCTCGCCGAAGCCCATTGATGAGGACTTCATGAGGCTTGTCCGAGTCTGCAATCCAGCAGATAGCTATGATAGATCACGGACATTATGCTGTTAGTCCCAACAGAGCGCAACTAGATGAATGTGAACGTACAGTCGTTGGATGCTCTAGTGGTGAGACCAAGAGTAGTCTGTGAGTGTATGAAGGGTAGTGATGTAAAACATATGAACGGTTTCGCAAGTCTAAACCCACAGGGAAGAATCGCGCCTGTAAACAGGAGCCGGCGATGATACAGAGTAAATATCTTCATCTTTGTGTATTAAGATTTGCGGACTCACTGTCGAGCTGTTTTATTCGATCGTAAAATGCTCGCTCGCAATCCATCCGTACAGTCTCCCTCTTTTCTTCATCGACTTCGCCGATGATGATCCCACTTAGGTAGATAGGTCTAAAGATATTACTCGCGAGGCTACCCTGTATACCAAGGACAGACCAACGAGCGATTTTATCACTACATGACATGCTGAGCACCGTCGGTGCATCTGCGCGCCCTGGTTTGGTACGTAGTACCCCAAGTCGTGCATAGTCGTCGCGGCCACGAGAAGGGGTACCTGGAGGAAGGTCGGGCCAGGTGGATGAATCCTTTAAAGCAGCCATGGCTGGATCTTGAAGAGAAGCGAGGAGGCGCGTCGACGAGTCTCCGCCTGTTTATTTCGGCGATTCAAGGAAGCGGATGAAACAAATGAGACAGACATGCAAATCACAAGGTCGTAGACTTCTTACATGGCAGAGTAGAGACATAGACATAGAGATCGACATCTTCGCGGAGTTCGTACAGTCCATCTTTTCCTCTGGAGATCCACAACGAGACGTTCATAGAGTTGTTTCCGTCTCTCTGGGCTTCCTCTAGAAACCAACGCACGGCTCCGCGCCGGGCAAGGACTTCGGCGTGGCAATCATGGAGGGCATCTCCTTTTGGTGGGAGACGCGTGGCCGGTAGACATTTGCAACCTGTGCCCAATGAGATGACCTTGCAAGATTGTACAGTGCGCGATGAGAGGATAAAGGAAGCAAAGATTGTGAATTTTCCCGGTTGAGGGAAGGCAGCCAAAGACCTGTATTTTGAGAGAGCTTCGATGACTACATTATCGATTGCACCTGCCTGCACTGCTGTCGCACTACTAGAAGTCGAGGGTGTTGGCTGCATCAGTCCGTGGATGATATGGCAGAACGGGCAACGTCACGCGACGCTGTTTTCCCATCACATGGGGTCGCGTTCAGTGACGACATACTCATCTCTCTTGGTTTCTCCACCCACGGACGCTGTCTTGACGCGTATTATGACGAAACTGTGCGAGGCTCCAATAAGTGGATATAAGACGCTCGTATGCCCTGAGCGTTTGATCTCATCCTTGCTATACCACCCAATATCCTTACATCCCCCAATCATCCTCACAAAACTACCCTCTTCATAACATGCATTTCTTCGGAACGCACAACGATCACCGTGATAACCCCACTCGTTCTCGTCATCACGCCTTTGATGTGAAAGACAGTGACCGTGTCGCTGGCGGTTACAGAATGTCGCTACCTGGCTACCTGATTCTATCGACCCTCTGACAACTTCCTCTTTCTGGATCAGAGGCTGCCCTTTCGAACCCCCACACAACGAGAGAAGGCCGCAAGCATGCAAAGCATGAGCTTCACATGATGGTAAGCTGCCCTCATACCGCGGACGTCGATCAGTGTTTTATATTCACGTTCCTTTCCTCGCAGGGTCGTAGCTCCCACGTACCCCTCATGACAAAGATAAAAAGGGCTTTGGGCATACGCAGTACCCCCCGCAGAGACCGCTTGCAATCTCGCAGCCATGAACATTCCCATGCAAGGACCCATCGTCGCCGCGGCATCTTTTGAGTGTGAAGTCCCTTGTGTCGGAGGCTGTTGACATTTTGCCTGATTGCCCTGGAAATAAATCCCTTTTGATTTCATACCCTGTACCTAATTTGACGAACAATGCTTGCACTACCCTAATCCATCGATTGTTCACTACCCGTCTGTTGGATCGAACGTGCATGCGGTGAGGCGTTTGTGCTGTGTTTTTGCGGCCACATTCCTGCGCCGTCATCAACATCGTTGAATACTTCAGCTATCATACTGATTGTGAGAATCTACAAGTAAGTACACTAGAAACAGGTTTGTAAACGATAAGGACATAGAATACTTGCGAGATGGAGATGTTTGGCTACATGGCAACGATAGGAAACAGACAAACCGACGAAAGGGAATGCACCGAACTTATACATTAGGAAGACGCGAGATGAAAGGAGCCCCGTGTGCGCCAGGCAAATCAAATAGTCGACAGCACAGGTTGCCAGGTGCCAAACGCAGTCTCCTCGAGGCGGTGAATGAGGACACGGTCCCAAGGGATCTGAATAGCATTGGCCTGCAACGTGAAGTCTCAGCGGATGTGTATGAAAGTTGATGGATACATGAGCGACATACCGCAAGGAAGTGGACGACGGCTCGTGCGACACGACGTGAGAAGCTTTGGATGTTGACGTAGCCTCCATCATGCCCACTCACGGGGATCTCATACATGAGTGAGCGGTAGCCGTTCCACTGTACAGCACATAAGCAGATGACTCTAGAAACGCCGTCACCAGAGAGTACTTACCCGTATTTTGAGCATGAGCCGTCCCCGATGGTCTACTTTCATATCACGGAAGGTGTAGTCGTGGCTACCTGAAAGACGCATGTTGCTCATGATCTCATGGACAGACACCCCTGAACGAGAAGAGTTTTTGATCCTGAACTTAATAGGGACCCCGCCCGCGTGCCGGTAGCCGTCTAATTGCATGGGCGCAGGTGCGTACATCGACGACATCGACGAGCGCCGTCCGCGCTTGCTGTACTGCGACGGGAAGGGTGTCATGGCTGGTGCTGTGATCAAAGTAGGAGCTTGGCTGTATGCGCCAGTACTTCGCGTCCTGAGACGCTCGTCGGCAGGATAATAGGTGTCGGAAAGCGGAGAATCTCCATATGCTGCTGGAAGAAGGTAACAATGAACCGTTAATATCAAATTTATTTGCAAGGGGTGTAGAATATCAGTAATGCTCACGTGCAACAAATGGTTGATGCATCTGTCCGGGGGGAGGAAAGACTTGGTTAAATTGTTGTGGGAAGGGCTGCGACACCGGCGGAAATATGTCAAGCTTGGAAATTGATGTCGACAGAACATGGGCTTACCTCTTGGTATCCTCCGTCAATAAACTGGTCATTGAACCCACCACCAGGGTGGTACTGATCGTTGTACCCGAAGCCAAGCTGCCCAGCGGATGAGAAGGATTGGCGACGGGAAACGCTTGATGCTCTCGGCCAGTCACCGTAGAAAGCCATGATAGTGTGAGTGGCTAATGATCAAGCGATGTCAAGTTTATGGTAACGGATTGCGGCTGCGGGATGGCAATGTAGTCGCGATGGAGGGACAAAAGTACGAAGCGGACGAACAGGAGTACAGCCCTGGTATGATGTAGAGGTCCTTATATGAGTGCGTGAGGTTGTAAATCAGGGAGTCAGCAACGAGGTAAAGGAACTAACAGAAGCAGGAGCCTGACTGCCTCGAGGATAATGTCACAATGCAAGGTTCCAGGGGGTTGCTCCACTTTACTGCGTTGTCCTCTATGGGAAGCAGCTGTGATCAGCATCCCTGTGAGAAAGTACTGAAACACACACCTCGACGTGAAGAATCTGTCACTATACTGATAGAGCCACAAGAATGCAATGGTCGGCCTAAACTCGTGTATTAAATATGACGACATTTACCAGAATACTTGTAAGCCGCTCGCTCCGCGGGCAAATATTCGCCGTTGAAAAATAAAATCGGAAGACAGGAAAGAGAGGATTCACGGAATGTTTTCTTGTAGTTAGTGGCGTGTAAGAATACAATCGCACAAGCCCTCTTTGTTCGGAAATTTCAAGACCGGGAAGCTGGTCAGGTAACAAATTGGGCGGACTCGATAGTACCAGGATAGCCGCACAGCCAGGCTAGTCTCGGGCCCATAGTGGTTGAATAGGAGGTCCAGTATCTTTCAAAGATTCAGAAGGGTAGCGGCAGGCAACCACGAGGATTTTGGCGCTGGTGAAGCACCAATTGCAAATTCAATGAAGTTCGCCGCACGGTCACAAACCCTCTTCCCGTCGGTCCCAAACTACTAATCTCAACTCGCTGCACTGCGCAGGCTTCACGAGGCTCTGAACTTCGGACAGCTCGTTCCTTGAAAGTTGCAATGGAGTACTGGCAGTGAATGGTCTTGCTCTTGTCTCGCGCCCGACGAATTTGAGCTGTCAAGCAGCTCTGCACTAACTGTCAAGCCTCTAATTTCCTCCTATAACATATCTTACAGGGTCCACGCTCCCAGAAAGTATTCCTCATACTCCGTCTCTCTGCTCATATAAGAGCCCATGTCCACGAGATCACGTCAACTGACAGAGCATGCTATCAGTCGTTTCGCACTCAACTCGGTGCGTGTCGCACATTCTTATTTTACGCGTCTTCACTTGTTTAGCTATGCATTCCAAAATCCTAATTCAACGCCCTCGCCATTTATCTGGTTCTGCGCAACCCCTGAAAGGATCCAAAACATCCCAGGCCTCGCCACTTACGTCTATCTTCGTTATGGACACGCTCCAGCGGCTGAAATATCATCATGTCAGCTATCAGGTTTTTTCTATGCGGGGTCTGGGAGATGCCTTTTACTGGCAGTCTGCTAAACAATCCGTGATAATTGAAGTGAGGATCTCTTCATTAAATTGATGGGAATATTGCTCAATTCAGATAAACAATGACTGTGTCGCCATTCAGGAAGTCTACTCATTAAGCTTTTCTCGATCGAGGCAGATCTTATGGGCCGGCTCTCTTCAATGACGTTTTCAGTTGAGTGGTGTCTGAGGGTTTGGACGTATCTCTGCACCACGTTCCTGATGTTTGCATTGCATCTAACGGATATCCCGGGTATTGATTCGTCCTGACGCCAGACACCCTCCGAATGAGTGTTCAAACTCTAAAATCTCGTATTCAGATGCCTTCACCCGGTATCACCTATCAGGTCCATTGTCGTAGGTCAGCCCCTCTACGGAATTCACGAATTGCTCGCTGAACAAGTTCGTGTGTAATCCGTTGGCCTCTGCGCCAAGCTTGGTTTCATGTATGGCAAAACAAAATCTGCCTTCAATGCATACGTAGCAATCAGCGGGATCGTGTACGTATACTTCTCAGTAACTCGATTAAGAGAGGCTCTGGCTTTCTACTATTGATACTTCATACGGTAAGCAATGTGTTTATTTATTGACCATTTCACGACCATCTATGCGGAGTTTCTTGTGCGTCTGACTGCTTTTGTATCATCAAGATAGGATGGCTGCGATTCAAAGTTCGGACGTGCGTAATGCTTGCGCTACATGGAGACCCGGGTGACGCAGCTCACGGTGATGTGCTTCGTATCTAGTGCTTCTAATGCCTCACCTAGATAGCGAGGATGCGTCGTTGCGCATCTCTCAACCCCTCCTGACACCACAGCGACGTGCAGCCTCACGCTATCAAACCCGGCATTGTCTAGATCACTCGGCTTGATATGAGGGCATACGATTTTTGCGATTTGTCAGCGTCTTGGGCCTTATGCATCGTGCCCACCACCACCACGGCCCAGCCAGTTAGATGTTGTGTTCCTATCGTACCCTCTCGACCGGCAACTGACTAGTATCCACGACAAGTAAGAACCCTGGACGGTCCGAGCCATTTTCAATCCGTGAATCCGAATCCTTGAAGCGCACTCGGTTTCTGGCTTTCTGTAGTTAGGTCGTTTGAATTAAATATATGTATCTGCAGACTGGTGGCTCGATTACCATACGGACTAGCTGAGTTAGCTTCTGTATATTTCTCAAGCACTAGTGTTCGAAGTAATTCAAGTCACGATCGTCTATAAATAGTCTGATAGCAACTTGAGACATACCCACGATGAGCTTTACCAACACCGCAGTGTGTCCTCACTCCTTGTTATTCAATACTTCTCTGGATTGACGAATTGCTATGGAACGCCTAGGATCCCGCGGGCATACAAGCGCTTCTAGATACACTGCGGAAATCGCAGGCATGGGTGGATGCCATCAACTCGAATAGCACGCCTCAGGATCCTGCTCCTACCGATGTCCCTAACCTTCTGCCGACCGCGGTGTCTTCACAGCCTGAGAACGGCACCCAGGGCGCTTTGCCGCTCACACCTACACCTCCCACATCCGGCCCGTCTTCAGTGGCAGCACTGCTTTCTCAGTTGCAGTCATCTAGGGTCCTATCTGCGCTCACGACTGTTCCGCCGGTGCCACCTAGTCCCGTGGAGCGTGACTATATACCTCAAGGGCTTCAGAATAGCTCAGTTCAGCACCCTCCTACCAGTGTCGCATCTTCCGCACGAAACCATAGCACCAAACTTCTTTCTTTCCAACAGTCTCTTCCACATATAGCGAAGCTCTCGGAAGACCCCGATTTCGTGGATGCAATCACTTCGGTGAGAGTCCATGTTCAGGAAATTTTACACGCCGATGCCGTACTGAAGTTCTGGGATGGGTGGAGATGAAACGTGACCAGGAGACGCTGGAGAAGCAGTTGTGGGAGGAGAGGCAATCCATTAAGAAAAAGCACGAAGAGAAGGTAAAGGTGTTGAAGGTGAAGTACGTGTTCAGATCTTCCATTTTCTCTTATGACGACCCCTTCTATCTTTTAGGGCTCAGACGATAGGGGGCTTGACCAAACTGGAAGCCGATGTATGTTTTATTGTCCCTCGTCCCTTCCAGTGTCTCAATTCCTCAACGCCTCTAGACCATGTCTGCTAAGTTCCAGAAGGAGCTGGCAATGTTCGATCAGGAACGAGCTTTGCGGGCCTGGGAAGCACTCGTAACTAAACAACAAAATGCTTTAGAGGCTCTCAAGGTTCCGACCATGTTCAGCACTAGCAACCAGTCCGACATGGAAGTTAGTATTCTTTCTACCCGTTGACAGAGATTCCTCATCTCTCTTGTTCTCTTCAGAAACAGCTGAAAGTGATCGGAGTTCTTGAAGGGGTTATCAAGGACGACACATGAGAGGACATGTCTCGCCGGCGGGTGCTCAGACGGCTGAAGACGGAATAGTCTGGCATTCTTAGTCCGCATGTGGCAGCCACCGAGATGGATTCGAAATCCAGGACTGCATCAATTACAGATCCAGCTGGCCCTTGATAACATGCACATGCACCGACGTTTCCGTTGACTGCACCGGATCCTGATTCAGTGGCAAACGATTCGAAATTTTGGAGAAAAACTGCGCCTTTCTCGCTCTTTCTCGCCTTTGTAACCATCAATCAATAATAGAAGCACTAATCGAGATTTCCCAGATCTTATCGGTCAGCACTTTCTGCATACTTACTCGGTCATACTGCCTTTTTAGGAATTAGCTATCTCTTTGCCCCTTTATTTTATCTCATTCATGATGATAGATCTCGAATCTGAGATTTTATTTCCATTTCTGTCAACGCACTTCCTCCTCCTTCCATCTTCTTCCTTGCGAAATCGACCCCAGTGCACCCCAGTGTTCACGTTCTGCACTCCGCTGTACTCGATGGAAAGCGCGTGGTATTCCATTGTCTTTGGACTCTCTCTTTTGCGATGTTGCCCTCGGATCTGAGAAGGCAAATATTCGATGGTGCCTATCGGAGTTACTCTTTAGGGTTGGTCCAAACCCTGGACGAGGGGAGCCGGCGCACAAGAACAGCGAAGCTTGTACTTGCTCGTAGTTGGCGCTTACCGCGGCCGACTGAGGATCAGGAAGCCTTTTGCGCCACGGATGAAGAATGTGCGGGACCGCCCTTGCACTGATCAAGAAGCCGGCGGGTCTTCCAGTTTGTCTCGCCGCATCCTTCCTCCGTGGAAATCACAGGTGGAAACCTCGGGGCGACTGAATGGATCTTGTTGTTGTGGAGTCCGATCGAGTCCGATTAATTGAAGTATTTTGCCCCGGGCCAAGCCATTTGGAGTCGGTATCTCCTGTCTGGCTAAAATATGATCGTGCAGGTGCGAGAGCCACACGATCGTTCAAGCTTATTATTGCGCTGCGATTCATCCGGAAATGGATGTTTTTCTGTTCCCCCTCCCTTCTCCCCCCTCTCCTATTGCCTCGAGGGCATGCCTTACGTTGACCTCATCGCCGACGACGATTATTTTCTGCTATGGTACGCCACCAATACCCACTCCAACCATGTCGGCGGCTTCTGCCCGGACAAGCCCACCATCATCCTACTGCATCCCATGGCGTTCGACTCGAGATGGCTTCACAACATATTCGGCGACCCGCGGCTGAGCGATAACTACAATCTCATCGCGTTTGACGCGCGATACTCGGGGAGGTCACGAAGCCGGCCGAGTGGGAAACTGGACCACTGGGTTGAGGCGGCAGACCTGGCGTTCGCCTGCCAGGCGAGTAGCTCGCCGTTCGTCGCGAGGTTCGTTCTGGATTGACGCGTCGTTATCAGAGGCTCTATTTGCCCCCTGCTCACGTCTGGGCCGAAGAGTCCCTCGCGACCAACGTCGCGCTCCGGTTTGCTGCCCTGTGAGTGACCGTGCGTTATCTCTTCCGCCCGCTGCCAGTTAAGATATCTCCCCGAAGGTTTCCGGAAATGTGCCTGAGTCTTACATTGGTCACCGTCCCTCCTCCAACTGAGTAAGTGACTCGATACCATTCTGGCGAAATCATGCTCGGGCGGCTGACGCGGACGCCCCTGCAGGCTCAAATCTTATTTCACATCGTTCGACGAGATGGTCAAAATGTGGAGCTTCGCTGAAGATCTGGATTCGTTTGAACACGCGACGATGGAACTCCTGAACCTTACCGTTGGACCCGTGAGTCCCTGATCGCACTGTTCACCCGCACCTCGCACCCGAACGATTGGAACGTGTTCTAGGATATGGATATGGATCTCCTCGACGACGTGCGTCCTTGTTCTATAATCACGTCCCCATTGACAAAACCTGACGCGTGCGCAGATCATCGCGTACTGGACAGTAACATACCCCCCTTTCCGACGCTCTCGATTCATCAAGCTTGGCAATCTACTCATGAATGTCCGTGCATGGTACCTTTTCCCCTTGTAGTACGCCGTTCATGACATTTATACAGAGGACACCGCTCACACGGGAACAATTGGCTATGATCACGCAACCGGTGCTCGTTATTCATGTGTGTTGATATCGCGTGGGTGCTCTCCATTATTCACATCCTTCTTTCGTTATAGGGCGAGAAAAATGAAATGCACCCTGTGCACTACGCGGAGAATATGGTGAAAGACTTGGTCAACGCGGAAGGCGGAGCCTCTCTATACGTTGTGAAAGGTGAGCCTAGTGCGTTTCAACATCGTGCGTTGCCGCTGACCCCGGCGTCATGAAGGTTCCCATGGGTTTTTAAGTTTGGTTCCCAGCTGCGCTTCGATCATCAACCAGGTGTTCTATAAATTCTTGACGCGTCTACCCTATGCTCCCTCCCCCATCCGACCACCCTCGATACCCGTGGTAGAACGCATGACGGCCGCCCTGCAAAAACTGGCCGACTTGACCAACACCCCCGCGATCGCTGAGCGGAAACCGATGTCCTCGATGTCATTCTCTCTCGTGCCCCCCGATTCACAGAAGCTTCAGACGGATGCGCTCCAGCATTACCACAAGAGCCAAAACAAGGCCTTTTCGCCTCTGGGCCTCGACGGCCGTCCGACTCGCAAGTGAGCATACAAGCACTCTGATCCGCGGTGTAGGCCTTGACGAGCATGCTAGGTTCTCGGAGCGGAAAGAAGACCACTGGTTCCACAGCGACAAGGACGGGCTGTCGTATGCCGGTGCGTCGCTTACGTCGTGTTGAATCGCGCCGTCGCTGATCTGACGCGACCGACGATGCACAGGAGGCGCATCCGGCGCCAAGTCGAACCTGACTAGCGACGATAATAGGCTTTCGGTTGCCTCCAATCCGAGTCCCGGGATGAACTATCGCGGTAACACCGAACCCACGTCGGCGGAGATGATCCAGGACAGCCGGCTGCGTCGCGCGACGTTCCACCCGACGACGGTGGATAGGCTCGTGATCAAGGGATCGATGTCGAAGATGGTCGTGTCGGGTGTGCCGATGGCGAGGCTGCTCCGATGACGATCCCCGCTGGATCACCAGAGATCCTCGAACGTGTTCTGTTTCAGGAACTGCAGGATCCGCGGATGGACAGATACCAGCTGATCGCACACACCGGCGACCCTGATTCTTTCTTTTTCGTTATCTTTATCTTGTTCGGTCGCAGACGCTGGAGCGGCGGCTAGCGGCGGTGGCTGGCCATCTACAATATTCGAGCGCCAAGCGGTGCCGCACGACCAGGATGTGCTCGCCGTGGGGCCGGTGTCATTACGCATCTAGGGCTGACGAGGTGGACGGCGTCGGGATCCGTCGTCCGGAGTGCGGAGGGTTGTACGGACGGTGTCTCGGAGAGTGAACGATGTATGTGTGTGTGTATATGTATGGTAACGCACAGCGGGGATGTGTCTGACTCGCGGGTTCTGTGAACATGATCTGCAGGGCCAAGGATGCCGCGTCCGACGAGCACGGTGGAGGTGGAGAGCGAGTGTCGATCCAGGGAGGACGAGTGATAAGGGCGGGTGTACATAAGCAGGGAGAGGGAGCTTCGATCAGAGAGAAGGCAGAGGCGGAAGCAATCGAAGGGCGAGGGACCCATTCGCGGCGACGACGGTGGTCGCTCGCTCGTGGCGGACGAGGCTGCAGCCCACTGGGCCGTCGCTGCGCGTATTTAGTCGTCGCATAACGGCATTTACACATGCGACGGGGGGCTTCTCTTTCCTTTCCTTTCCTTTCCTTTTCCTCTCCGCTGAGCCTGCCACCCCGAGCCTCTCTCCCCCCGCCTTGCTCGTCCCTCTCCCCCGCTTCTCTGCCTTCCAGGCCACGCCCCGTTCCATGCTCTTGGCACCTGACCCATAGTCCTCCACTCCCAATGCCCTACGTCGACATATCCACGGGGACAGACTATGCTTCCCTCTGGTACATCACAAACTCCCCTACGGGCACCGTCGGCGGCTTCGACCCCGCCAAGCCCACCGTCATCATGCTCCACCCCATCTTCCTCGACTCAACCTGGCTCTACGCCCAGTTCGAAGACCCGCGCCTCGACAAGAGCTTCAACATCATCGCTTTCGACGCCCGATGCGCTGGCAGGACCATTTCCCGTCCAAACGGCAAGCATGACCACTGGACAGACGCCGCAGACATCGCGTTCGCGTGCCATGTGAGTGTCCCCTTTGTCCACTCCTGCCCCACGTCGCGTTGCCCGCGTCCCCTTACCCTGCCTGCCCCAGGCCCTGTGGCTGCCACCAGCCCACCTCTGGGCCAGCGAGTCGTTCGCGACCAATGCTGCCCTCCGCTTTGCCATCATGTATGTCCTACCTCTGCCCCGGCATCCGTTCCCGTCTTGACGCGTTCCAAGATTCCCCGAAATGTGTCTCAGCGTCACGTTGTTGACGGTCCCCACGCCCACCGAGTGCGTCTTTTGTCGTCCAGAAGGCCCTTTTTTAATTCAGAGCCGAGGCTCATCCGCTTATTATCTGCAGGCTTAAAGCTTATTTCCACCGATTTGATGAATCGCTTAGCTTGTGGAGTAACGCGGTAGACCTGGACTCGCTCGAACATTCCTTGATGGAGGTCATCACCTTCCTGCTCGGGCCGGTGAGTGGTGATTCGGTCGCGTGTTCGGCGGCGAGTGTTTCGAGCTCACCTCGTCTCCCGACGCCCAGGACATCCACGTGGATCTAATGGACGACGTGCGTCATTTGGCGTGCAGTTCTGCGCACCTTTGATTGAATGGCTCTGACGTCGCACAGCTCATCGCCTACCTGGAGATGAAGTATCCGCCCTTCAGGCGCTCCTTCATCGCAGAGATGGCCAATCTGATCATGAACGTATGGGATCCGCGCGTTCTTGGCTGTCACACTACCCTAACCCCATGTTCTGCGCGTTCATGCTACAGCGGACGGCATTGACCGCGAGAGAGCTCGCAGCCATCACCCAACCCGTCCTTCTCGTTCACGTGCGTATTTTCGGGTGTATGGTGACGGGCGTGCTGAACGATACCGGTGTCCGCGCATATAGGGCGACAGCAACGAGATCCATCCTCTCGAGTACGCCGAGCGCATGAAAGCTGAACTCGTCAATGCCCAAGATGGCGCGAAGCTCTACGTGATGAAAGGTTCGCACTCTCCTCCATCCTCACCTGCATATACGATGGTCTTATCTCATTCCACCCACAGGCGCGCAAGGCTACCTCAACGTCGTTCACAGCTGCGCATCTCTGGCCAACCAGGTCTTTTGGAAATTCATGAACCGACTCCCGCCTTCGCGGTCCGACCCCTACAGGCCCGAGCTGTGCCTCGTGGAGTACATGCGGCAGGCCCTCGAGCGGCTCGCCGCGTTCGCAGACGAGGCGGCAATAGCCACGCGGGACCCGCGCTCGCCCATGTCGTTCTCCCGCGTCACGAAGCCCGTCGAGGAATCCCAAATGGAAAACATATCGACCGTCGCCAAGGGTCAGCGGTTCGCGCTGTCCCCGCTCGGGGCGGACGGGAGGCCCATGCGCAAGTGCGTTTTCTAAACCAGAATGCTCATTCAAGATGCACATGTGCCCCGACTGACCGAGATCGTTTCTTGTCGCTCAGGTACACCGAACGCGTCCACGACCATTGGTTCCAGGGTGATCGGGACGGCATCTCCTACGCGTCGGGCACCAGGCTCGACCGCAAGTCGCACGAGCTCGAGACGCTCCCGATCGGCGCGCCGACGCTCGAGGGCACGAACCGCGAGCTCGTCACGCACGACGTCATCCACGAGAACGCGCTCCGCCGCCCCGCGTTCACGAGCCCCGCCATGACCTCCGCCGAGCGCCAGGTGATCAAGGGCAGCGTGAGCAAGGTCGCGGCGGTGACGAGCCTCCCGATCGGCAGGCTGTTCGGCTAGAGACGCGTGCGCATGCGCACGATGTGCCGGCGGTGCTCCGCGTGCTGCTGCACTGGGCGGGCGGGCGGGGCCGCCCCCGCCCGGCGATGCACATACACGCTCGTGTTGGAGGCGACCCACGCGCGTTGGGAGGCTCCCCTGCATATAGGGCTGCGCGGGCGCACAAAACCCTCGGGAGAGGGCGGTTTTTGTCGGACTCCCCATCGTTGGGACGGACGATTCGATACCGATTTAAGGCTGGTACCGCACATATAATGACGACTCGATGTATAATGGGATCTTTCTAGTCATTTTCCACACGTGCTTTGTATTTACTGGTTTATGCTTTCATTGGGGGCTCTCTTTATACTTACGTATCTTTCACACTGACGTCTGCTCTTCGGTCCGACGTGATGACGCGTGTAGTGCTGTGTAGTGTTGCCGTTGAGAGGGTGGCCCGTCAAGTTCGGATTAAAAGAGGGTCTATTCAGCGTAATGATAGCCGTGAAACAAGATGCCGGCACGGTGAGCCTAGGGAATGAGTGCACTATCCAAGATATAGGGTGTATGAGAAAGGAATGTAAGTTTGAACCCTACTGACGTTCAGCATGAACCCGACGAGACGGCAACGGCGCAGACCTGGTCGCCTTGCCTCTCAGTGCCTCTCAGAGGACGCTACGCGATCTACAGACTGCCCTCGGCCATCTTGGCCTTGTAGTACCTCACCATCTCCTCCAACCCCATGCGCACGGTCCAGCGGGGCTGCCAGTCCAAAGCCGCCTTGGCCCTGGACGTGTCTGGGCGACGCTTCTGGGGGTCGTCGGTGGGCATGGGCCCGTAGATGACCTGCGCGTGGCGGGTCGGCTTGATGCCGTCCTCGGCCTGGACCTTCTCGACGATGTCGCGCACGAGCTCTGCGAACTCGCCGATCGTGAACTCGTCGCCGTTGCCGATGTTGACGGGGCGCGTCTCGTCCGAGTTCATGAGCGCGATGAGCCCGTCGACGAGGTCGTGGATGTACTGGAAGGAGCGCGTCTGCTTGCCGTCGCCGTACACGGTCATGTCCTCGCCGCGGAGCGCTTGCACGATGAAGTTGGAGACGACGCGGCCATCGTAGGGGTTCACTGAGTGCGAATGTCAGTTGGCGCGGCGCGACGAATGGGCGGAGCCTTGGCGACGCTGTACGTACTTCTCGGGCCTAAACAAAGAAGCGGGCGTCAATTTTTCTGCACCAGTGCCAAGACGATTGGCGTACCGTAAGTGTTGAAGATACGGGCAACGCGAACGTCCACACCGTCCTGGCGGTGGAAGCCGTAAGTCAAAGTCTCTGCGACACGCTTCCCCTCATCGTAGCAAGCACGGGGGCCGATGGGGTTGACGTGTCCCCAGCTAATCTCCTGTTAACGTGCTGAACCACGTCGACGAAAAGTTCATGTTGCACTTACTAATCCTCATGCTGCGGGTGCACTTCGGGGTCACCATATACCTCTAGGTGACACGTTGTAAAAATAACTTCCAGTTGCCGATGACGCGGTAAAGAAGCACGCACCAGATGTACTTGTGATGAGGAAGCGAGCCTTCGTGCGCTTAGCAAGACCGAGCATGTTGAGAGTGCCCATGAAAGATGTCTTGATGGTCTTCACGGCATTGAACTGGTAATGGGGAGGAGAGGCGGGGCAAGCCAAGTGATAGATCTCTGGAGAAACCGAGAAAGATAGATGCGGACGCGGTGTTTCAAAATAGATACGAAGGACGTACGATCGCACTCAATCATGAAAGGCTCGACGACATCGTGGCGGACCAGCTCAAAGTTGGGATGGCCGACCCAGTGACTAAGACTGGTCTTGGAGCCCGTGAAGAAGTTGTCGAGGACAGTGACCTCATGGCCGAGCAACATGAGACGATCAACCAAATGAGAACCGACAAAGCCGGCCCCTCCGGTGACGAGGATACGTTTGCGGTTAGAGGGGGGGAGAAGCTTGACCGGAGGGAAGCGGGAAAGGGTGGTGTAGGAGATGGACTGCGAGTCAGGGTGGAAGATGGACTTGGACTGATACGCAGCATGCCCCTGAGTGAACCGTGCGTGCTGTTCCTCGGCCTTGGTGTCTATCTCGCCGGCATCGGGGTCGGACGCGGTGATGACATAGTGGGGGCGGAGGTACAGAGAGCGGACGACTTCCAGTGGGACCTCGCAGTCAAACCCGAAGCGTTGGAAACCGACCGAGGTGATCTCCTCGCCGTTCTTATCGACGGTATGGATCTGCGAGAAAAGCGTTTTGTCAGCGAACAGTCCGTTGCGTTGCTCTCGAGGAGATGCAACCATGAGCGAGCGGATAATCGGCCTCGGGAGGCGAGAAAGCGGGTTCGAGGAATGCTCACAGCTTCAACGTTGGTGGAGGTCATTTTGAACGGGGCGTCTAAGATGGGGGCAATGAATGAAGAGGGGCGCATTCTGTTTATATATTTCCGGAGGTTTGACAGTGTCAAGTTATTTTCAGATCTCCGACGCGCGATCCCACACGATCCCACGCCTATCCGCATCTCAATATCCAGCTTCCCCCTCTTCACCGCCCATGCCTCGCGCTCAAAAATCAACGGGGAAAACGCGCCACGATCCCCTCCACGTCCAGATCGGCGCCGACGAGGTTCAAGAAAAATATGGTCGTCTCTCGCGGCCAGGGAAACGCCGCAAATCGCGACCGAGTGGTCCTGATGATGAAGAGGAAAACGGCGAGGTCCGTTCGTTGTCTAGCATGCGGCCTCTGAGCCTTTACACACTACGATTTGTCTTATTCTAGGTGATCTTGGACCCCAAAACGTCCAAACGCATTTTCGAGCTCGCGCGTGACCAACAAGACGAGCTCGAAGTGCCCGACGACGAGGACGTGAATGAGAACGAATTTACCAGACCTCGCGCCGGAGATCCTGAAAGCTCAGACGAGGAGGAGGCTGACGAAGGTTATGAAGGTTTCCTGGATCTTGACCAGGAAGAGCACGAGCTTGTGTGTCCGATGTGCTTCCTCGTTCTCTCGTCCCCTCTTACCCCGTTCGCAGCAAATCGACGCAGGCGATAGTCACACACTTGATTCCCTCCTTCCCGCAAACTCCGGGGAGCGTAAAACCCTCGCCGACCTCATCTTTGCCAAACTCGACAATGCTAACTCCAATTCTGCCGTCATTAAACCAAGTGAAGGTGATTGACCCAGATCCATCGGTCCATCTTCCCATTCGACTTTTCCCGTCTGACTCTCTGCATTCTCTAGGAGCACAGACGCAAGCACCAAATCCTGCAGAAGGACTTGATCCAAAAGTTGTAGAAGTATACACCAAGTTCGACATATCCCCTTCTCAATATTCACGACAGTGTGCTGACTACCTCACCTGTATCTTTTATATTCCCCAAGAGCAGAGTCGGCCTCCTTCTTCGAAGCTACCGCTCAGGCCCGCTTCCGAAGCCGTTCAAAATTATCCCCACATTACCCGCCTGGGCGCGTATCCTCGCATTGACTCACCCGGAAAACTGGTCACCACAGGCATGCCACGCGGCCACGCGCATCTTTATCTCGAATATGAAAGCTGCCCAGGCCCGAGTGTTCCTTGAAGGTGTCGTCCTTGACGCTGTGCGCGAAAACATCAACGACCCCTCGTCGAAAAAGGACCACCGCAAACTCAATGTACATTACTACGATAGTCTGATCCGCGCGCTGTACAAGCCCATGGCGTTCTTCAAGGGGATATTGTTCCCAATGTTGGATGTACGTGGAGTCAATTCTAATCCCATACTGAGATCTCACATGCTGTGCTTCAGAACGGATGCACGTTGAAAGAGGCGGCCATCGTTGCGTCTGTCCTTACAAAAGTATCGGTGCCTGTAGACCATTCATCCGCCGCACTTATGCGGCTTGCAGGCATGGAGTACACAGGCAAGTGCCGTGGCTTCCTCCTACTCGCCTTTCTCACAGCAAATGCTCGTTCAGGACCGACCTCGCTTTTCATCCGAGTTCTGATCGATAAAAAATACGCACTGCCATACAAAGTGCTGGACGGACTCGTCTTCCACTTCATTCGCCTCTCTAATACCTACAAAGCGAAAGGGCGGGGCTCGGTAGAAGAGCTACCCGTTCTATGGCACCAGAGCCTGCTCGTGTTCTGCCAACGGTATGTCTGATTTCACCTCTTCGCGACGTGAGCACATGATAGACGAGTGATGGGCCCTGTCAGGTACGCAACGCACTTGACTCAGGATCAAAAAGACGCCCTCTTGGATGTCGCCCGTGCCCACCCCCACCCCCAGATTACCCCTGAGGTTCGCCGCGAACTTGTCAGTTCAGCAACTCGTGGGGATGCGGATGGGATGGATATGTCATAATAGATATAGCCATGTACTTGTACATGAATGGGTTACTCCATTATATTATTGCTTTTCCGGATCCATTTGCCTCGTAGGATGGCTCCTCTATTCCTTTCAGCCGCAATTTCATGGAAAATCCAACATCTACACTTTTTCTGACAACAACACAACGAACACGTAAGTGAGTGGCTGTCAGTTATACTTTCAAGCACCGTATCCTGTAGTCGGCTTGGTAGCGGAACAGAATGGACACAGCCCATACAAAAATATAGTTGCGCAATGGTGATGGTGACCCAGTAATGCACTCCGCGCAGTCAAGACTAAGCGTATTTTCAAATAAAAAGTCCGTACAAACCCTTCTCCAAAGAGCGTCGACCCTCGCCCAAACCTCAACGCCGTTTCTTCTTACTCTTCTCCTCCCCTTTCGGTGCAGACCGAATCGCACCCAACACGTCTCCTAAGTCATCCTTCTTGCCCTTGTCGATCTTCCTGTCCTTCTTGTGTTTCCGCTCCTTCTGGCTATCAACCTGCATGGCCGCGTCGTCTTTCGGTGCATCGCTAATCCCAAGATTATGCGCCAGCGAACCCTTCTTCACCTTTTTCCCCAATGCAGACTCAAACAAGGCATCGATCTCGTCACCAGGAAGTTCACGTTTGCGTTTCTTGGCTGGTGCAACCGTAGTCGAGGCCGTGTGTGGTTCAGAAGTGGCTGGAGGTACCGATGCGATCGCGTCTATTACTTTTGCTGAAGTTGTTTTCTTCGCGGCAGACGCGGACGACTGCATGCTGCGCCACTCGTCCGGCCGACGTTGAAGAAGATACAGGTTGAGGTTCCGAGCGAAAAATTTGCCGTAATACGAGGCGGAGAGCGTCATCTCGTGAGGGATGAGTGACCGCGCAATTTTTTCCTAAATAAGAATACACGGTAAAAATCGTGTACGGATGTATGGATGCTTCAAACCAAGAAGATCGGTAGGTCCATCGAAAAACAAGAAGCACGCACTTTGAGATAGGGGTCCGCCGAAGCCCAACAGCGGTCTCCGACGCGACTGCCTATCCGATCGTCGACAAGCTTTTCGTAGTGCCCGATGAAAGACAAGATGTATCTACGCTTAGTTTTAGATGGGACAGTAGGGGAGTCGAGAATAGCATCAAGGACGCGAGAGCTAGTAGGATGCTGTGCGAGAACGATGACATCTTCGATCGGAAGGGATTGCACACTGAAACCCGTTCAAGTTAATGAAAGAGAGCACAGGATGCAAGAGAGACTCTACCTTTTAAGGACAATTTGATTATGCGGGTCGGGAAGGCGAAGAAGGGATTGGAGCAGTACCGCGCCAGCGGTTTTCGGCTCGAGGGGATCGTCAGCTGTGTTTTTGCCTGAGCGAAAACGGGTCTTCGATGGTTCTGATTCTTTTGTATCTGCGGTTGCAGCTGACCGTGAGGATGCTGCCGCTAATGCATCTTGATATTCCTGGGATAGAAGATGGATACTTCAATGTATGTCTTGGAATTCAGAACCTACTTTTGCGGTCTGGAGACGTAGTACGCTTGGTACAAACAATTGCTGATCTTCATCGGTCTTGATATCAAATGCAGCGTATAGTGCCTGAGGTGAGGAGTGTTACAGACGAAGGCTAGTCGTTAACGAAACGACAAACCTCGCAAACGTCATTTTCTGCAGCTTGCAGAGCTGTTGCCCGATCTACAAGAGCACGCAGGACACCCGTTCTAGTGACTGTTTAAGCGAATTGATCAGAGCCTTGACCCCTCAGCAATTAGCGTCGTCAAAATCTATACCTCTTATTTTGCCCCAGGCACCTCCCAGCTCCTCGATGATACTCTTCAGCTGGTCAGCAGAAACTCTGTCTATAGATTTTGCAACGACAAAATTTGCAACAGGATGCACCGCTAGCCGTGACAATTTGTTCTCGAAATACACAGACCACATGATGTGGAACACGGCTTCTGGTGTTCGCGATACGATGGTTTCTAGCAAATGTGAAGAGGTTGGGTCGCGGAAAAGAGTAGAGAGAAAATCGGATGCTTCAGGCTGTGCTGTCGGGTCATTGTCTAACCAGCTCAACGTCAGACACGGTGTTCCACAGGTGAAATGAACAGGAATCCTACGATGCAGGGTTATAAGGCCTGACAAGACACAATCCATTAGTGAGTTTGGCTCGTTTGCCATGCCTTGGTCGGCTTCGACTTCCAACAACATCTACACAAGATCACGGTCAGCTCAAGTGTTAAATTGAGCCATAGGATCGAAAGACGACTAACCTGCAGCACCGGGCTAGCAACCTTATTCGCAGCTAACGATCTCACTTCGTTCTCTCCAAGTTCGGCGCGTACAGTTTCCACGAATCGCTTAGCTGCATGTCTGAATTGTTCTGGGCTATTCTTCGCCGACCCTGCTTTCTGTCGATTACGATCATCGCTGAAGACAGATTTCATGGGACCTTGTTTGGCTTTCCAAGCTGTACTTTTTTTGGACCGCACCGTGGACTGCATTTTGTTGGAGGCATCGGACGAGAATAATGCCGGACACAAAAGGACGAAAAGCGAACGAACGACGTGGGAGCCAAACGGATCCATGACAAGCGTAGAAAATGAAGGGATAAGTTCCTGACCAAAAGTTCAGCAGAGACATTGACTAGTGATATAATATGAGAACATACTTCACATAGATCTATGACCAGCTGTGTCAGAGTCCGCAGTTCGCCTTTGTCTGATGTCTCCTCGACTGAAGGCATGATATTCCGGCCCTATGATAATATCATCAATATTGAACGAGGAACACTAGACAGTTTAGCACACCTCACGAGAGACGGTGTCGGCAGCAACGTCCAGGAGGGTTTGCACCACATGTGAAGCGAACCGATGTTTCACCAGCTTCTCATAACTGTGTGGAATCATAAGAAAAAAGACGACGCTACCATATGGCAACCACTCACGAACCCGTCAAGCTATCCATGAACACTCGACGCACGAAATCGTCCATCGAATATGCCATGCGCTCGAGAACATTTGAGCAGTCAGGATCCGTCGCCAGCTCACGTTCCTTCCCAGTCATCTCTTGCAAAGAGGCGAGGAGGAACATTCGCCTGTCTGAAATTCAAGCACGTCGTACGCAGATTTCGACTAGATTTTTGTCCGAGACGTACTTTCATTGGGATCTACATCCTCGTCCCCATCGACTGCTTCCTCCGTGTTATCCTGCCAGTCACGCAGTTGCACATCGACCGTTCGAAAGTAAGCTTTGACGTCCGCGTCCACATAACCAAACGGTGCTTCGGGGTTGATTTCGGGCGCGTTTGATGAAGAGACAATCCAAGAGGGGCCGGCTTGCGGCTCTGACTCTTCTGCTTGGACGGGTTGTTCTTCTGCTGGGGCTGGAACCTCTGCGGCTGGCTTTTTATGTTTTCTACCTCGTTTCCTGAGTTCGCGAGGCATTTTATGGGAAGGTGAGCAAGGTTAGAGAATTTGAAGAGAACCTGGTCGCCGAAAGACCAGAAAAGGAAGCAAGATCTTCTGCCAGATCCGAGTCAACGATCGGCTCGCCCGCAAATCTCTCACTTCACCCAGCTTTACCCTCATCCTCCCATTACTGATTCTCAAACCTTTGTACAATACCATCTACCTATGTCGCCGAAGAACTGTTCGCTTTGTCAAAATGCCCGTGCGATTGTGAAAAGGCCGAAGACGGGCCAACAGATCTGCAAAGACTGCTTTTTCTACGTATTCGAGACCGAAGTGCACAACACCATCACTGAGGCGAAGCTATTCAAACATGGTGATAGGGTTGCAATTGGAGCTTCAGGAGGCAAAGGTATCCAATGATTTATTCAATCCCGCATCAAGACCTCATCGCAGTGTTCAGACTCCACGGTCCTCGCATATGTTATGAAGACGCTCAACGATCGATATAGTTATGGTCTGGAGTTATTCCTTCTCTCAATAGATGAGGGAATCACCGGTTATAGAGATGATTCACTAGAGGTAGGTTTCCACATGGCGTCGGCTGTCCATGCCCCTATCTCACGTCGGCTTCAGACTGTCAAGCGTAATCAACAGCAGTATGATATGCCTTTGAAGATCCTCTCGTACGACGAACTATATGGCTGGACTATGGACCGAATTGTATCAACCATTGGAAAGAAAAATAACTGTACTTTTTGCGGTGTATTTCGACGACAGGCGTTGGACCGTGGCGCATCGGCGCTGAATGTCGACCATATTGTGACCGGTCACAATGCGGACGATATCGCAGAGACCGTACTAATGAACAGTGAGCATACCTCTTCGTTTCACTTATAATAATGTACTGATCCATAATCAGTAATGAGGGGAGATATTGCTAGACTAGGACGGTGTACGTCGATATGTACACAGGGAGAGGACACGATCAGGCGATCCAAACCCTTTAAATATGCTTATGAGAAAGAGATCGTTATGTGAGTATCGGTGCTCAAATGATCTCACTACAGGAATCTTATTCAGTCCTCTAGGTACGCCTACTTCAAAAAGCTCGACTACTTCTCCACAGAATGCATATACTCGCCCGATGCATACCGCGGACACGCCCGCACATTTCTCAAAGACCTTGAGGCCGCACGACCTAGTTCCATCATCGATATCATTCATTCTGGAGAGGCATTCGAAGTGAAAGACGAAGTGAAAGCGACACAGAAAGCTCAACGTGCGTCATTGTCATCATGAAAACCCCGCTAATCTGACGGCAAGTTAACAGAAACATGCAAACGGTGTGGATATATGTCAAGCAATGATCTTTGCAAGGCATGCACGCTGCTTGAGGGTTTAGAGCGCGGTATGGCTAATGCCGCTATTGTATGTATCATTCGGCCTCAGAGTTCAAACATTGTCAAGTCTCATACCCTATTCCAATTCCTTTTAGACTGACCGCGCTCAGCGAAAGGCCAATAGCGAGAGCTCTGCGCCTGATAATCTACGCACAATCCCATTCTTCAAGATGCCGCATGGACCAGGCCCATCTGTTCCCGTCGAAGCCCCAGCATAGATCGCGGTACACCGCCAGCGTATGTTTGCTGTGTATTTAGCGTGTCCTTGAGGGTATATATTTATTATATATGTAGCAATATATCTAATACGGTCTGAACTTCATCTAAGAGATGGGTCGCCGGTACGCCATCGGGAAGTAGCTGTAGATGACTTCCTCGCTTTACTCCTGTTGACCTCTGCAGACTCAAATTTTGCTACTCAATCATCGAGAGCACTTTCAGTCAAGTTTCGCCCCTCCGCCGCGACAAATGACAGATACAACTTCTCACAACGATTCACCAACTTGACACCTTCGTCTTCGTACTCCTCCCACGCCGTGATCGGTTGCGCACCGACAAGGCTGGTGCCAAAACGATCCGTAATTGAATGCAGGCGCGCTGGTACGGGTTGCGTATGTCCATTCCCATGGCTATGTCCGATGGCTTTTCCATTTGTTGGGTTTGACTCGCGGTCGTGGGCAGACGTGGAAGGCTTTTTGGAAGAACTTGCGGAGAAGAAAACAGGGAGAAAGGCTAGCGATGCTAGCGCGACGTGTACTGCGGCAGATGCGCCGTTCCACGAAGTTATTGTGTGATGTGGCGAGCCGACAAATCGAGCCTGCAGAACCTAAGGGTCAATCGTCGAAGAGGCAGCTAAATTGGAGTGAACAACGCACGAGATAGAAAATTAGATGCTTCATTCGGTGGAAGAACGCGCCAAGTAGCACGGCATCAATAGCAGTATACACCACACCTGGATGCACAACGAAATGTCGCACTGAAGGGGGCGTTTGGCGGAGTGCCCGACGATTGAGTTCCGCGCCAATCAAGTCCATTTGATATTTTGAGCCCTCATACGAGTGCAATGATTTAGTGAGCTGCCAGTCTTCTGTATCATAGTGAACTGGGTTGGCTTCCAAAGACGACATCCAGAGTACACGGGCAGGCCCGTGCTGTGCGTCAGAGTACGCAGACAATGCTGGCTCCAATGCGCGACACTGTGACGAGATTGGTTGGAAGTGTTTGCGAAAGAGGAGATGCGTGTACCGACCAGAATATAATGGCCAAAGACGTTACATTGCCAGACCCAACCCAGGCCATCCTCGCTCATCATCCCACTTTGCTGTACGTTGTATCGCGGGTAGGTGACCGCGTCGAGGAAGTTGATCAGTATTTGTTTCACGAGGCCAAGCCATGATATATGCAAGAAGGGCGCAACGCCCGCATTGCAGATTATGTGTGAGACATATGGATACCTAGCAGATATCATGAGTATGAGTAACACAATCAATTGGGCAGTTAGACGTACGCTCGCGAGACTTTGTCTGCAAATTCGAACACACTATGCACGCTCGCTAAATCGAGTTGGCAGATGTCAATGGTCAGGTTTTGCTGGAACCTCTCGAGATGTTTTCTGTCCGCTCCCTTGCGCCCTGCAACGTCCGCTCTAAATTCCTCGTACAGCTTTACCCTCGCCGCCTCCGCCCTCTGCGTATTTCGACACGCCATGATGAGTGTCATTCCCTCACACGGGTAAAGTATCCCCACATCCTGCTGGTCGGCCACGCGGGAAAATAGAGGTTGCGCGTCGGGGGGATTTATTTGTGAGAGCTGCGCGAGGAGTCGCCTGCATGTCCCGAAGCCTATACCGCTGATAGCGTGGAGAGGTCAGAAGCTGTTGGTGTCTAATATCGCTTTTGCAGGAGAAGACGAACTTGTTGGCTCCTGTGACAATGATGATCGGCCGTGTAGACATTGTCCAGGTTCTGCTACTCGAGGAGAAAGGGGAGCGAGAGAGTTCTAACTTTGACGTGGGCAAGTCGGAATGGAACTCGTATATCAAGTCGAGCTCGTACGACAGAAACGCGATGCCTCGTGACTTCGGACCCCGGTCATCTGATTTTACGCGCCTGAATTACCGACGAGAATCTGAGATGTAGACACCTTGGCCAATGGTGCTCTTCTAGAAAATCCTAGTCAGACCTGTTACGGTTACAATTTCACTCAATGATCTTGACACGCGTCAACAACCCGTGGTATATTTCGGGAGGGTTTCGTAACATCACAAGCACGCACTGTTGTGACAACAGTCTCTACTACAATATACACAAGAAGCAAATTAGATAGCCAGTGTGAATGCCGAAGCTCGTCAAGAGTGTGATGTTTGGTATGCGGTAAGAAAACACGAAAGGAGTGAGTAGATGTCAGAAGTCCATGAGCCCGAAAGTAAGCGGGCAGCGAGATGAGTCGACACATCTGAGGTTGGGACTAACACAAACCGTATGTTCCACGATGAATGAAATAGATAGGAGTCATAAATGGTATAGAGTGTCTAGACACATCCTCAATCGCGCTTGATGGTCTAAATAAAGGCATTTAGCCCATTTAGTATTGAGATCTATTGGGTTGTGTTGAATGGTCACACCTTGTTGACTTTGCGAACCAGGATCTTCTTTTGGATGTAATGGATGACACGCTCAATATCCGCCCACATGAATATAGGGATCACCACGACCATTACTGGTATCGCAACCTCCCAGAAGCTGCATATTGAGGCATAAACAGCAGGAAGGCGAGAACTTTGAACGAACGACGTACAAGAGATCGCTGTGATCCTGGACACTCCACATGACATTGAAGTTCATCCCCTGCAAACCAATATCTTTCAGCGGAGACCAGACCACCAAAATAAAGATCCTACAAAGTACCCAGTCAGCAGCGTCAGCGGCAGGAAAATGATAGTGGCAAGAGTCAACCGTCGCCTGAACGGAGAAATAAGTCAATCCTAATCCCAAACAGTGATAACGAGACTCACATCACTTCATTTGTCTCATATGAGGCCATCTATTTAGCCTCATATTATATCAGGAAGAACGCAATTAGTCAAGAAAAATACATACGTTGAAGGTGTAATTGATGAGGTTCTCAGCCATGGCCGCGTACATATCCAAACTTGAAAGTATGTAGTCCATATGATCGTGTACATCCGCCTGCAAAGGATCAGTATCGCAACCTGGGGCTTATTAAATTGTTTTATAGAAAACTTACAAGGTAAATCTTGGACTTGTGACTCATGTATCCGATGATCTTCTGGTCCGGACCTTCCTTGGCTGGGTCAATGATTGCTGCGCAGCGATCGACATCATAACGTCGGAGGCCATAAAGCAGGGTCTTGATTGGACCCATCGTTCGCTTGTGTAAAATAAGATCTCCAGACAGGATATGCACTGGGATTGACAAGATCGGTGCAGTGAGTAGGAGGAAGTTGTCAGTACCACATATTGAAGATACTGACGGTCCTGGACAGTCCTAACTTTTGGCTTCAGAAGGATTTGCCGCTCAAGGGAGTTTATCCTTGCATGATATTCGTCGACGACTTCCAATGCAGAGTCGACAACTGGAACATGGATAAGTTAAGCATAACAAGATGTAGATAATTGTCGAACATACTCAGGTCAAGCAAACTCTCCACCAGCAACGAGGGATCTGCGGTCTTGCGTAGGGTTGTGTCCCGCTGGCGCAAGCGTGTGGCAATAGGTGCTGTGAAATTGAGATCAGGGTCTGGATGGAAAGATATGACCGTGCCTACAAGGGCGCATTCACATTAGCTGGTAGATCGGAATACCGAGGTTCCGAACTTCACGACATACCATCGCGAAACAAGAATACACACATGGGGGTTATGCGTACATGGACGCGCTGCCCCTTCTTGAGTTGGTCAAGTGTGATATCATTTGCAGCACGCTTACGCTTCGTGGACTGTAGACTAAGTCAGTATTTTCTAATACATTCAAGAGCAGAAGGCGGAAGGAGCAGGGTAATCTTACCAACAGCGTTGATGACTTTCCACCTGCCTCGGTGTCAAAGAAGCGGGATTTATCGCCCCACCCAAAGCGTCCTCTACTAGACCCTCCGGGTGCCTCAGCCCCAAAGTCTGCCAAACCGTCGCCATCGCCATAGCCGTCGCCGTTCGCATCAGCATCTTCATCCGCAATGCCAAGTTTCTCGTCGAGAGGTAGAGGGGACGACGAACGGGGAAGATTCGTGAACGTCCGCGAAGAGCTGACAGATGCTTGGCTGAATAACGCGCCTCTAAGGTGTTCAGTCGAGGTAGGACCGGAACCAAGAGTGTGACAGAGAACGCGAAGGAAGAGGTGCTTGCTGAAATAGTCAGCTTTGGAACGCGCGTGTCCACGTTGATGCAAAACATCTTCGAGGGCAAGCGGGTGCATGTCTACAGACCACCTGTCAAAAGCGTTGATGCTTGAAACAGGATGTCTGCTGCTCACCATATTTCAACGCAAGCGTACTGATCACGTCCCAGCTGATTCCTCCGACGTTAATCCACCGCACCTTGACCCACGGCTCTTTCTCACTCGCCTGCTGGTTTTGAAGGAGCCGCACGAACTCCCCGTTGGTCATCCTCCCAAAGCTCGCGCGCAAGGGAGAATAGTCGATGATGTCAATCAGACACTTCTGTCGGATGTGCCCATAGTTCAGGTATGCGCTCTGCCTGCGAGGATCGACACCGGGCTCCGCGCCAACGTTTCCACGCAACATCACGGTCGACGTGCGGTGCATTTGGATCACTTTGCGCACCGTCGCGCGAAAGCGATCGCCAGGAGAGCGATGGCTCGCATGGGCACGGGCGGCAGCATGGTAGCTTTTGGGACTTTTGACAGACTTGGGACTTTTGACGGAAGCAATCGAGGTGGGCTTGGCACGAGCGGACGAGTTCGGCTGGGCGGTGGGTGGAATGGACAAAACGAGGTCTGGTGGCTGCTGATTGACGCTGGGCGACACGGGCGACGATACTACATCCATTTCGTGCTCACGCTCGCGCTGGAGCTCGTCCTCGAGGTCGGGAGTGAGGGAGCGGCCGTCCGAATCGCTGAAGCTGTTCTCTCGAGGCATGCTGGGGTATCGTGTAAATGGATAGAAAAGAGAGAAAAGAGAGACGTGGGATGTGGCAAGTCTGAGATAAGAAGCGAAGGCGGTGAAGAAAGGTGTTGCGATGTACTTATATTTAGCATCTACAGTAAATATGGGGACCAGATCAACTCAGCCGCTCAACCGCTCAGCACCAGGCAATCTAGATCTGATCCGCCACCGGTTGTCATCCTGCAGGCACACACTCTTGCTCGACGCGCGTGTTGCTCATTGTATTTGGGCAAGCGCTAGAGAGATTGAATATCCCAAGGAAAACTAGTGAAACAGAAGTGACAGAACTACTCTGTCGACTTTTTCCGCTTTTTTGTCGACTCCCCGTCTGCAGCTGCCGCCTTCTCTGCTTTGCGGGCCTTTTTGCGAGCCTTGCGCTCTGCTTCTGTCTCGCCAGATTCCTGCGGAAAAAATGAATACAGGTGAAACCACATCCCGAGAGGATGAGCATACCTTTGAAGCTTCGACGGTTTCTCCAACCGACTCGCGCACCCTCCGCTTCCGCTTCTTCTCCTTGCTATCCTCATCCTCATCCACGTCCATCGCGTCCGCATGTACTTCCTCCTGCTCCTTCGCAGCTTTCTCAGCGTTCTTCTTCGCCTTCTTGGCCTCCTTCGCCCTCCGCTTCTCCTCCTTCGTATCCAACACAGCCTGCACAGCCAATTCCATAGGCTCCCGCTGCGTCGATACCAAATCCACAGCGTCCGCTGCTGTGTTATAGGTGCTCGTATTCCCTGTCATCTCAAACCGCAGCTGCTTCTTGCCATTCTCCCCGAATCTGCGCACCCCGGAAGCATCGCCGGCATATTCCAAGGCCCGAAGTCGTGATTCAAGTTTCGCACGATTCTCCAGACCTATTGAGGGCGCCATCGGCTCAGACTTGCCGTCTGCGTCCGTGAGGGCATCAACACGGACAGAGAGTGCTGTTTTGGTGGCAACCATGCGCGCCATCTACACCAATTCTCTTGTTTAAGAAGGCACTCTTTCATCCTGAAAATTCGGTACTCACTTTGCCCTTCAACTTTGGTGGTGCTTGGCCAACGAGCGAAGCCTGCATATCATGATGGGAACGCCGAAGGGACGAAAGACAAGCAGCGTTCACGTACGTGGTAAATGAGACCGTACTTTGGGGTATCATGTTTCGTCTTGAGAGCTCGGAACAATGCCTTCTCGGCTCCGAGAATCTGTATCGTGCTAGCTGGGTGTTTGGCGAGACTTAACAAGCTGCCGGCGTGACTGATCAAACGTGCGCCGACGAGTTCACCGACCAATGCGGTCAAATTGGGCGCGATGGCGATCATACGGTTCCGCAGGTACTCTGCTAGTTGGGTTCGGTACGTGGTGATTTCGATGACCTGGTCACACAGCGCATGAATATGCGTGATATCTGAATCGGAGATTTCTGTCCCCATGGAGATTTCGGCAGCAGCTTTGAGCGTTGCTTCGAGATCTTCAGGAAGAATGGCGGCGAAATCTGTCGAACTGGCGTTCGTACGGAAACCTGGCAAGAGCGAGATAAGCCGTCCAGCCCGGGGACAATTCAATTCAACAGACAAACCCATGAGTTTCACGACTTTCGCGTAGGCCATATTATCCGACAAAATCTTGGCCATCTCAGGGAAATGCCAGCCATACCACTCCTATAAACGCGTTGACGATTGACGATGTCCTCGAGGCATGGAAGCTGTCCATTACGTACCTTCACTCGCATGGCATAAATATTGATCTCCTTGTCGAGATCGTCGAGGAGTGCAATAGCCTGCACAACCATGGTATCAACCTTGTCTGGGGAGAACTTGAGCTTGAAGCTGCAATACGTCAGGGCGAGCGAGGCTGCAAAGATGATAGAATACATACCGAGATAATGAATGACTGAGACCCAAGCTCATGGTCGCGAGATCTTTGGGGTCCAATCCATCCAACAACGCAGTGATCTGGCTTCGAATCCCACGGAACAAATCAACGGAATCGGAATCGGCGACGACGTTGATTCCGAGCTTTTTGTTTATGGACCGAACTAATCACCGTTCGAAAACTATGGTAAGTCGTGCGGGCTGACCAGAGGGGAGAAAAAAATACAATGATGGCGAACAACGACTGACCAAGTTTCGGATCCACAACCATCAGAGACTCCTTCCCCTTCCCTTTCTCCACAATCTCATCGTTCAAAAACTTTTTGAGGCCCTTCCCGAGCTTTCCCTCCTGAAGAGCTGTGATTTCCTCAACCGCGGTAGCCGTTGATGTGAAGCGATGCAACGACTTTAGTTTAAGCCTGCATTCATATCGCGTTTAGTTCATCTTCACGGAGCACAAAAAACACCGTGCAAATGACGCGCCCTAGGTTCTGGAGAGGGAAGGTGTGTGTGTACTTACAGTTTATTCGCTTTTTCTGGTGTCTCGAACTCCCGGTACAAGTCCGGACTCGTAATTTTTGCAGCATCTGTGAGTTTGAATAGACAGAACCCCAACGCTGTCTCGTATAGAACCAACATACTAGCTTTAGAGGAGGGAGCTTGGGTTGGGTTTGACAGTCGTCGAAGGCTTTACTTGTTGCTGCAACTTTTTCAAGCATGCGTGGGAATCTCGAAGAGCCCCGGACCAAGGTCTCGGACCGAGGATGGACCGGTACCATGTGGACTCATAATTATTGACTGATGGCTTTCGGTGAGGACTTGTTCAGCTTTGCATGACACTGAATGACATTGTTTCCCTCCCGACTCTCCGAAGCTCTCCGAGCTAATAGCTTGAGAGCCACGTATTTGCCTTGAATTTGACTGATCACGGCCCCGGGATTTCTGGCCGGGATGACTTACTATATTTACGGGGCAAAGACTGCCGTGCTCTCCGCAGCTGGCGTCAGACCTCCTTCGTCTAACGGGTATCCTGTGCGCTCCAACTGGCCCGCGCTTTATAATATAAGGCAGGTTCACGAGCTTGCCGCGCACGAACACTTACGCCTCCCTCCGACCCCTTTCCTCCGCCTCCTTTACGACACCACTCCCCCCTCTTATATCTGACCTCCAGGTTGAGGCCCGAGGAGTGTCTCGCGTTCATGACCAACTCACATTCTGATTACATCCCTCTCTTCAACGGGAACCCGGCAGCGTATTCAAAGGGTCGGCAGCGTTGGTTCTGGGGTTTATGCACAGGGTTGGGATTTCTGGCGCTCATAAACATCGCCGTCCTTGCCAAATTCTTTCTCTCGTCAAAGAGCGTTGCAACACCTCTCGATGACTACCAAATACTGTAAGCGATACACAATTTTTCTTCCCTCCTCTCCTAAAGCGCGCAAAACCACTAGCAAACCAAAATTCACAACTGGTCGACAAGATCGCATATCAACCAACCCTACTGATCCCTCCACCCGCGCAGTGGTTTCATCTCTCTATACGGATTCATTCGCCTACCCCGTGGCAACGCTCGGCCATTCCATCAGCGCCTCCAACGTAACCGCCCGCCGAATTCTGATGTACATCCCTTCTCAAGTTTCAGAACACGCGCTTTGCATCGTCCGCTCTGCCGGCTGGGAGCTCCATCCAGTAGCGCGAATCGCGCCTCCGCACGAAGGACATGGCGTCGGGTCGCGCTTTGAGGACCAGTACACGAAGTTGAACCTGTGGGGCCTCGATCGGCTTGGAATCGAGTCCGCCGTGTACCTCGACGCGGACACGCTCGTGCGGAAACCGTTTGACGAGCTTTTCGACCTTCCGTTCGAGTTTGCGGCGGTGCCGGACGTGTTTCCAGACGACAAGGATGGCGGGTTCAAGCTAGGGTTTAACGCGGGCGTTCTCGTGTTGCGCCCCAACAACGACACGCTGGTGAACATGATCGCCACACTGGAGCATGCACGGTATCTCCCCGGCGAGGCGGAGCAGGCGTTCTTGAACTTGTACTACGGCGGAGAGGCCCTGCGATTGCCCTACGTCTATAACTCGAACTTGGCGATCAAGCTGCGAAGCACGGAGCTATGGAAGGCAATGATGGATGATATCCGCGTCGTTCACTACACCACCGTGAAGCCCTTCGACTTTTTGGGGAAAGAGGTGCCAAGCTTAGAGCGGGCGAAGGAGCTTTTAGAGAGTCGGAAGGCAGAAAGAGGCGGGATTTTCAGGGAGGAACTCGGGTGGTGGGAGGAGACATGGAAGAAGACTCTCCGGGAACCCGAGCTGCAGAAGTGTCTCGAGCAGCGGTCATGACAGGGGACATTCGCCGATCACTGACATCATTCATCTACAATTCACTTGAGGGCATACGGGTCGTATGTTGTACTTTCGCAGGTTACCACCATGTCTGTTACATTAGCCAGATAAGTACACCCTAGCTTCATATTGCGTGCATACTGATGTGCACTGTACACCTCCTTTAATTTATGCGCTCAGTTCCCACGACTCATCATGATAGATCATCGAGCCTTGGTATGTAACAGCTAGATCTCGTCGAAGTCCATCGTTTTGAGGCCGAAGCTTTGAAAGAAGGTAGCCAATCAGAGCATCTAATCCGAGAATGGACAGTGCTCAACGTATCGGAGAGCGGTCGGTACACTGCCAAATTAATCCAGCACCGACGCATTTCGCTGAGCACAGGGTTTTCCCGTCGAGGTCCATCGTTTTGAACATCGCTTCAGGCTGTACGAGTACGCTGGTTTTAGTGATATGAGCGCCGGCGCCAGTGATCTACACATCAGACCTTGCGACGCGTGTGGCGGGCGCATATTTATAAATGATGCACTCGCCGCGAAGTTCCCACCGGACCGCGTCGGTTTTCAACAGTTCCCAACTGTGCTGGTTAACTCCAAACATGCTGAAGCTTGGTGTAGTATTGGCGCTCCTTTCTTGTCATGTCGCCTCGAACGCGCTCGGACAATTGCCTATCTCGCGGTCTCCGGAATCGCCTGGTCTGTTCACGAACGTCGTGCCAGACGGGCTGTGCGAAGAGCACGCAGAGGACGTTCCGTACACAGGATGGTCCAACGTCCCCGCGACGATGAACCTTTCATCCATTGATTCGACACTGGATTATACTTCACTTGAGCACCCCGCGTTTTCTGGCTACAGCGTCCGCATCAAAAAGACGGAGTTCTGCGATCACACTGTCAAGTGAGCCAGTTTGATGCAATCGCTTTGATGCGCTCCTGCCTGAAGACGCGACGTCTGCGTCTGTCCCAGCGTCTACACCGGATACTTGGACGTCGATCAAGGAGCGAAGCATCTCTTCTTCTATTTCTTCGAGAGCCGACGCGATCCTGCCCAAGGTAAGAACGCAAACTGCCAAATGCATTCCAACTCAATGACTCGAGGCTGTTGTACGTCACACTAGATGATGTGATGATGTGGATCAATGGAGGTCAGATATCTGCGACCCTTCATCCTATCTGCTGACTTGGAGATCGTTGATGCATTTGCATCAGGTCCCGGTTGCTCTTCGTCCATGGGACTTCTCATGGAGCTTGGTCAGTTGGTCCATGGATGGCGAATACTTTACGCTCCTCTAACACCGGGCGATAGGCCCATGCAGTGTCGATATGAAGAACGTCTCCTCGAATGGGACGATCTGGAACCCTCATTCATGGAATAACGAAGCCAACATATTCTTTCTTGACCAACCGTAAGTTCATTTCATCCGTCGGAAACTCAACGACGATGTGTTCAACCGCCCCAAAAACGGCCAGCGTTGGTGTGGGCTTCTCGTACGCCGACCACGGCGAGACGGTCGAGACGACCGAGGACGCGGCACGGAACGTCCATGCGTTCATCGCCATCTTCTTCGAAACGTTCGACCAGTTCAAAGGGAGGCCTCTGCATCTTGCAGGCGAGTCGTACGGGGTGCGGGATAGGTGCTCAGTAGCTGCTCAAGCGGAGACCGTTGACGGTGCTCTTATAGGGACGGTACCTGCCCGTCTTCGCAGGCGAAATTTGGGACCGAAATCGGTTCGCAGAGGAAGAGGGCCGTCCCGCCATCAACCTCCAGAGTGTCCTCATCGGGAACGGCATCACGGACATCTCGACGTAAGCGCTCGGTTCTTCGCACCGTCTCTGCTTCTTGACCGCCATCCCCGGGACCGTATCAGACTGTATCCTGGCCGGTATGAAATTGAGTGTGGGACGGCTGCTTTGGACGTCCCGTTCCAGTTCATCTCGAGCTGCGTGAGGATGAAAAAAGCCGTGAGCAGCGTCGCTTATCCTGAGGCTGATAGGTTGAATAGTGGGTCTGGCTTGACGGTGTTGTCTTCGGGCATCGATAGCTTCCGCGATGCGAGAAAGCCATGGATGACTATTGCGTGCAGTCATTCGACGAGATGAACTGTCGCGCTGCGGTGAACTTCTGCAATGATCAGCTGAGTGTAGACTACTGGAGCAGCGGTAAGCGCTCCCGACCTTCTTCGTTCCGTTGATCGAACCAGTAGCCTTCTCAGGAAGAAACGTGTACGACATCTCGAAGGTCATTTTAATACGTGCTATGTGACCCTGTTGGCCCTGCACTCATGCCGCTGCCAGATGTGCTTGGGCGACGACCTGTGCTACCTTGAGAATACCGCCATCACCGAGTACCTCGACCAGCCTTCTGTCCGAGAGGCCTTGGGCGTGGAGATCCCGTACGGGTTCGCTCCCTGTTCGAGGGCCGTCGGCCGCGAATTCGACTTGCACATGGACAAATACGCAGTCCCGACGCAGTACTACGTAGCGAACCTGCTCGAGCGCGGCGTCCGCGTCCTCATCTACGCGGGGACATACGATTGGCAGTGCAACTGGGTCGCAAACCGGTTGTGGGTGGACAAGCTGGAGTGGGCCGGGCAGGACGGGTACCGCCGCGCGGCCTGGCGCGACTGGACGGTCGACGGCGCCAAGGCGGGCGAGACGAAGGCGTGGGGCAACCTCACGTTCGCGACGGTGAGAGGGGCGGGACATATGATGAGTATCTGCTTCTGTGGTTGTTATATATACGCGAACTGACGTCCCGTCTGACGGTGTTCACGTCCCGCACGATAAGCCGGCGGAGGCATTTGCGATGGTTTCAAGATGGGTGGCACATCAGAGTCTCTGAGGGGCAGCGGATAAGAAGGTTCATCACATTTTGTTCATTTATTGGAAGGGCCATCAATCAAAGAGATACAGGTGTCGGGTGTGTTTTACGGAGGATCATGTTTGAGGATCAACGATGATAGGTTGATGGCGCGAGCAATGCAATGTAACAGAGCGCGCTAAACGTATGATATGCTCAATGTTCACAAAGCCATGGGATGCAAGCATGACACATGAGAAACTTGATCATAAAACACATGGTGCGCCAAGGTGGAAGACGCTGCGCGGAGCAGAGAAAGCCCACGCAAGCGCAGGTGATGGTGGGGGTGATGGTGGGTGACGTAGAGATAAGATGAGTGTAGGGAATCGCTACTAGAGGAGTCGCGAAGGCGAGGTGCCCGAGAAACCAGAGGAGAGGGACCGAGGGAAGGGAACAGGAGTCGGAGTCGGTGGGGGGAACGAACGTACGATGGACGATGCCATGGAGACCTGTCCCGGCAAGACCGAATTCACTCTGTCCACCAACGCAGGTGGCCCTGCCCCGATTGGTCCATACACCGTCCATCATATAAAGCATGTCATTCGTCCCTGGAACTCATCCTCACCCTTCGCTCTTCTCTCCCTCCTCTTGTTCAGTGAGTCTTCAGTCCCTTCTGCCCCGTCCTCTCTCACCCCAGCAACCTCCCAGCTTTTTGGGCTGCCCGGTAGCGCCCCTGGATCATCCCTCCTTCCTTTCCTTTCATTTTTCCCAGCAGGTTGGTAGAATTGTCCCCGGCGACACCTTTTAGTACGAATCAAAAATGCGTTTCACTGCGTCCTTCGTTGCCCTTCTTTCATCCCTCCTGGTCTCGGCCGCACCCGTCAGCCGGACAGTCACCGACAACAACTTGTTGGTCCTCCGTATGTCCCCCCCTTCCACATTTGGGCAAGCCTTGCCGATCACTCACGCCCCGTGCTCTCCTGATGCATCTCAGAGTTCGCGAACGTCCTCGAGCAGCTGGAGACACAGTTCTACACGCAGGCCCTTCAGAAGTTCCAGACAAGCGACTTCATCTCCGCAGGGTTCTCGTCCGCGCAAATCCCCATCGAAGCGTTCACCGCGATTCAGTTCGATGAGGCCACGCACACGACAATTCTCCAGGTGCGCTCCCTCCCTCGTCCCTTTTGTTCCGTACCTGAATTTGGCCGCTAGGAAACGATCGTCTCCCTCGGTTCCCAACCTCTGAACACTTGCTCGTTCGACTTCTCCTCAGTCCTCACCGATGTCACCACCATGGCAGCAACAGCTCGTCTGGTCGAGAACGTCGGTGTTGCTGCTTACCTCGGCGCTGCCCACCTCGTCACCGATCCTACCATCCTGACGGCCGCAGCTTCCATCATGACCATCGAGGCCCGCCACCAGACCGTCCTGAACATCCTCGCGTCCGGCACTTCCATTCCTCAGGCTTTCGACATTTTCCTGTCGCCCCCTGAAGTCCTTGCCATTGCGGGTGGATTCATCTCAGGCTGCGATCTTGGTATCCAGGGTACGCTTGTTATTCATCATCAGACGCGGGCTTGCGCTCATCAAACGACACTGCCTGTTAGCTAACCCGGCTCTGTCTCTCACGAACACGGGTTCCGTCGGCGAGGGCACCCTCTTGACCTTCTCGTCCCCGGCCATGACTGGCAGCACTGACGTGAGCACGACCATTGTTTTGCATGCGTACGGCGGTTTCTCACGGTCCTGTCCATCTATCAGGGTATGTTCTGCCAAATGATCGCCGGCGGTTTCCCCTTCTCGATCTCGCTCCCCCTCAGCCAGTGCAACGTGCCTGCTAACCTCACCGGCCCCGTCGCGATCTTCATTACGTCGGACAACCAGCCCCTGAACAACAACGCGCGCGACCAGGCTACCGACAAGATCGTCGCCGGGCCCACCATGGCGTTCATCGACAACAAGCCCGAGCTGCTCAGCAGCCTCGTCCGCAATACCGGCAGCAGCAGCGGTAGCAGCAGCAACTCCGTCGACTCGACCACGACGATTAGTCCCTCGCAAGCCAGTGCCATCATCAACAGCGCGTCTGCCGCCACTGCCACCGCCTCCGTGACCGGCTCTGCGTCGCCCGCATCTGCAACGGGTTCCGCGTCTGCTGCCGCCTCCACCGCATCTGCCTCGTCGTCGTCGTCGAACAACGCTGTTCAGGCCGCGGGGACGCTCGGCGGCCCAAACCTCTACGTTGGCCCTAGCCCAGACGGCAAGACGATGGTGCTCGGCTGGAGCACGGTTCCCGCCCCACAGTAAATTTACGGTCGAAGGGGCTCGCGCCCGGAGGGGCATGTGTACTTGATGGACTTTTACTGCAGATCTAGTAGGGTTTGGGGTTTAATGGACTGATATGGACACTTTCAGGTCCTTGACGGACGTGCTATCGCTGCAATGCTTTTTTGATTTTCTGTACTTACCACCGGGCTGGAGGGGTCCATTGGTCGGCGATCCATTTTGTTGAATGGACTTGGCACCGACGGGATGATCGTCGCTCTACATTACTTTACCTACTGGATGTGCTCAATTTTATTCTCGTGGGGATGAGCGCGATGTTCCGCTTGCTCTGGAAGCTGCCTTGTGTTGCCACTTCGTGGATGAGGCTTGTGAAATACGAGTAAAGCGACGATCCTTTATTGTTGGGGAGAGTATGTTTCGCCACTGCGAGAAGGAATGAAGTATGAATTATGTGAGGTCGCTGCGGAAACGCGTGTATGAAAGAAAGAAAGAAACATGGTACACTAAAAGTACATCCACGAGGCCAGAAAATGTCTCTATGATCGGCATATCAGGTCAGTCAATCGTCGTCACTCTCCGAACTGCTACTATAGTCATCAGAATCCTCGTCGGCCACGCCGCGCGCCAGCGCGTTCATCGAGATCGGCCGGCCGGTCGAGACGGGCTGCGGCTCGTCTGGCGGGAACAGACCGTCCCCATCGTCCTCGTCCATCTCTACCGCTTCCATCTGCGCCTGGAATATGTCGTCGAACTCCTCGCCCTCCTCGTCCTCGTCGTCCTCGTCGTCGCCGCCGTCGTTATCGTCGCCGTTATCCTCTGTCATCACGATGGTGAGCGGCTGCATTGTCGCGGTTATCGGTGCGGCGACCTCGTCCCACTCGTCGTCGTCCGAGTCTGCGAGTGGCGCGGGCAGCGGGGGCGCGGGGGACACGGGCGGCGCGAATGCCGCCTGGTGGGCAAGCGGGTCGGGGCCTGATGCGGTGGGCAGTGCGAGGCTGAACGTCGGCTGAACGGGTGGTGGTGGTGGTGGCGGCGGAGAGGCGCGCGCGCGCTTGACTGGTGAGGGCCGGTTGATTTCTAGCTCCTCTACGTCGGGATCGTCGTGTACGCGCTTGTTGCTGGCGGGTTTGGCCTTCGGCTTGGGCGGCGCGCGGGGCTTTGGAGGGGGTGGTTGGGAGGGCAAAGCGAGTGGAGGCTTCTCTGCGGGTGTTGGCTTGTGTGGGAGCGCAGGCTTGGGTTTAGGTGGCGGAGGGCGGGGAGGTTGGGCTGGTGCTGGCCTTTTCTGGAACTTGGCAGCGATGGGGATGTCTTCCTCTTCCTCTTCCTCCTCCTCTTGTGGCAGGGGTCGAGTGGGAACCTCGTCGTCGGGTTCGCCATCCGCGTCTTCGAGTCCTTCTAAAAGCTCCGCCTCTATTTCTTCTGTCGTGGGAGCCTTGAAAGCTGAACGGGCGTTAGAGGGTGGCTCTGGAGCATGGGGTAATGCTACAGGGGGATGTGAGTACGGTAACGCGGGCGATTTCGAACGGGTGGATACGCACGAGAAGCGGAGGCAGACGGTCGTGCCCTCGTAGTCACACGCCTCTTGTGGTTCAAACTGATCAAAGAGTCTAGCTTCTCAAGGGTATATGTCTGCAGATGATGAGCATGAGTGAGACACGGGGACAAGCGAAATGAATGTGCAAGAACACCCACACCCATCCCGGGATCGTATATGAGCACGCACTCAAAGTCCTTCGCAGGCTTCTCGTCACCTTCGAATTCGTGTGCCTCATTTAGCTAGTCGTGGAAACCCGTCAGCGGTTCCCAAGAGTCGCTCCTCACAGGGACAGACCTGCGAAGTCGGCCGCTCGACTCTGACCCCCGTCCCCTCCTTCCCCTGCTGGACCTCAATGGTCCCGGGCTTCGTGGGATCAATAGATTCCGGTTTAAAGTTATCTGCAGCAGCCACAGGTGCCACGCGTCAGCAAAGGGATCGACGCGAGGCGTGGGTGTGAGCGACTCGATACACACATCGAAACGAATAGAAATCTTTCTCTGGGAGGGCCCGTTTGGCGTTGTAAGTTCCCATGCGCATCTTGAGATCCTTGACGAGCGACTGCCCCATCTGAACCTCGTATCGCCCGGGGGCAGGACTCCATGGGGAGGTGCTTGAAGACATCGCAAATGGCGGTGGTGGTGGTGGTAAAGGGGGAAGAAGCCGACAGCCTTGTCGGTGAAACTGGGACCCAGCCGCCCAGTTGCGCGGTAGTGCCACTGCTGCACGGGCCGGAGTCTGGGGTTCAATCGAGATCTGTTCGTCTGCCACAAGCGCTCTTCGTCTTTCGGACTAACAGCTATGGAACGCGCATGCACAACATGAAGTAGAGAAAGTAACTACAGGCGTGAAAGACCAGAGCCGCAGCGTCATGAATCGCCCTCAGCTGCAAAACGTGCCTTCTTTTTCTTCTTCTTTCCGTCCTTGTCTTCACGAGACGGCGCTTCCACAGCCCCCGATTCCCCCTCCTGGCGCTTCCGCTTCCGCTTCTCCTCAACAGTAGGCGCAGCTTCCTCGACAGGGGCGACGAACGCTTCTGCGCGCTCCGCCCGCCGCTTCGCAGAAACTTCTGTTTGCTGAAAGTGATCGTCGTTAAACCCCGTTCTCGCGCCACGGCTTGCGCTCTTACCTTCTGCATCCGCTCCCGGTCCTCCCTCCGCTTCTTTTCGTGAGGCTGGAGGAAGTATTCTCCAGACTCGAGTTGCAGGTCGATCTGTATCCGACGTGCCGATTGGTAACGAACGATCGCGACCCTGGACAATAAAACATACCTTCCGCGGCTGCTGTGCTGGTGGAAACGGTGTGTACACCTTCTTCTCGGGTTTCTGTGCGGGCTCTGGCTCCACACCGGCCGCCTTCCTGGCCTCGTTCTTTGCCTCCACTTTATCGTTCTTCCGCGCGGTCTTCTCGGACGTCTTCAGGTGTTTCCTGCGGAACTGAGGCAGAAAACGGTCCCAGGACTCTTCAGCAAGCTTTGGGTCCTTCGCCAGCTCTCGCTTAATCATGAGCTCCTAGGGGATTGAAATAAGTAAAAAGACACGACAAGGCGGGAGGAAGGGCGGACCTTGATCCGGTATATAGGATGTATGTTCTTCATGCAATCAAGAACTATTCTCCGAACCTCCTTGAGAGATTTATATGGTCCCATGACACTGACAGTGCTGCCCTGCACCAGGACGTAGCATTGTGTCAAGAGTTCTATCGCCTGTCTCAAGATGTTAATGCACGATTCGGACTAAACACCACTATGATCACCTTGAGGGTACTTCCGTCTGGTCCGATGATACGTTGTCTCCGCTTGACAAAGCGCTCCTTATTCCGAACGACATTGCCAATTTTAATGATGTCGCATGCGACATTGTCGTCCAAGATCTTGACCGCCTGACCTACGGCGACTCCACGCGCGAGCAGCTTGATCATGTCGCGCGCTTTGAGGATGACATAGGGGTCATAGGCTTTGCGAGTGGTTCGCACAGACATGGAACCATGAATGAGATCAAGTTGGCATGAGATGCCCTGGAGAAACGTCAAGCATTTCGCCGGATAGGAGGTATTGAGGACTCACATGGGGGTCGAGAGCTCGAGTGACTGCGCTCCAAGCTTCGCGCAAGTATTTTTCGCGGTATTTTGGGAACAGCGTGGCGAAGGAAGACTCTTCAGTGAATGTACCACCCTTGTTGTCGGCAGCCGTGAACGGATCGACCTTCCACTACATGATGGCGAAGTTAGAGTGGTCCCAGATTTTTGACACTATGCTTACACTGTTTTGATATGCATAAGTCGATGGGGAAAGCGCACGAGTGAAATGTGCTCACTGGTCGATGTCGTCCGTGTCCCAAGCTGTTCCCTGCTTTCAGCAAATCTGATAGGCTATGTGGATCCAGAACATACGCTTTTCCTTCCTAAATCGCTTGTTCTTGTTGACGACGACAGTATCGTCACCCTCTGAAGCCATATTGATGGAAGAGTGAATGGGTATTGAGTTGGAACGAGCAAGGAACAATCAAAGTCTACTCAAACTTCACAATTGCCTTTTTTGGACCTACACACTTTTGTTTGACCTTGAAAGGAGCACCACTTCTAGCTTCCACCACATCAGTCTTCCACTGCACTAGCATCCATGGACAACATTCCGGAAGACATTGTCCTTGATGATCTCGACGCTCTTCCTTACGACAATGATGTCCCCTATGAAGAACAGCTTCCATCTCATCCCGAGCCCATATCACTCGCCGACCGCATAGGTCGCAACAAAGTATATTTGCTCTCAGAGACATCTCTTTCTCGAGTCGGCAAGGTGCGCTGGAACATGTCATCGGACGAGCTCGATAACAGGCTCTAACAAGAGAGTTGAACTCCTCCTCTCGTTTATATTGCGCTTGCACTCTCTGCCTCTTGGCAGAGAAAACGCGGCGAAGAGGCAACCCAGATGAAAGCGGAGGAAGAGGAAGAGGAAATGGATGGAGGTATGCCGGGCGTATCTTCATAGTGGCTCATTTGAACTGAATGTTGTGAAGACTCGTCTCGCAGGAACAATGCTATCTTATTGGTCGGCTCACCCATCTCGCATCTTCCAACCGACCGATTATTCGCCTACGCAAAGCACTTCAATGCCACGCCTATGGGCTTAGAGTGGGTCGACGATACCACCTGTGTGCTGGTCTTTCCGGCCAAGTCGGAAGCACAGACCGCATTCAGCCTTCTGCAGAAGACGCTCGACGAGACGCCAGACGAAGAGGGCTTTTCAACGGCCAAGTCTATTCCTATGACGTTTTGGCCACCAGAAGAACGTATCAGCGCCAGCCTCGGTAAAGGTGAGGGCCTGAAGGGGACAATTCGGATGCGATGGGCCAGAAACGAGGATACCAAGAAGAAGGGTGCCAGGTTGGAGAGCCAGTTTTACAAGAAGCACGGTGTGGACGCAGGCAAGGAAGTAGTCGGGGCGCGAAGTCTGGTTACCGCCATCGAAGAGGGAGATTACGAGGGACGAAATTCGTCAAAGCGGAGAAGGAGAGACGATGAGCCCATCAAAGCTCAGCTCGACGATGACATCGAGACATTCTTACGTGAGGACTCGCCAGAGGAAGAGCCGCCGCTGTCTCCACCATCGAAAATGCGATCAGACTACATCGGATCCGATGGCAGGACACTCCTGGAGCGCACGTCGATGATACGCGCGCATCCAGAGACGCTAGCTTCGCGGATCATGATTGAGCTGCCACGTCGCGCGCAGGGACGAGATAGGGATAGGGATAGAGATGAAGGTGGTAGGGCGCCAAGGGCAGGGAGAGACGGCCGGAGGCGGACAGCAGATAGAGAGGGGCCTACACGGAGACGACGGGGTGGTGGCAGAGAAGGACGAGAGCGTACCGAGCCGAGAGAGAAGAAAAGCCAACAAGAGCTTGACGACGAGCTGGAAGCATTTTTGAACGAACGAGACTGAATCCGTGCCGTCTACTGTATATATGTACATCCACCGCGTTACCACCTCTCCGATTATTCATGTCAAACTCCAACTCCAACTCGCAGGGCCGGGCGCGCTTCTTGACCTGCAACAAGACACATCAAAGCTTCGCTCCAATGCTACACCCAAATCAATTGTAATGTTTCTTTTCATTTTCATTGTACGTTACATTGTCCATTTCTCCGCGACGTTGCGACACATACTGTACATTATAAACCAAAGAAATTTTACCTCGCCCAGCTTTCCCGTCTACAAATATGTTGAACGGCTATCTGTCTCAAACGGCGGCTACTATCCTCTATTGTGTCCACGAAGACGGCCCATTATTCGTTATTGAAATCACAAAAGGCACGCGCCTGTGTTGCAACGAACCAATCCGTGTTTTGCCCCCGCCACGAATGATTCGGTCTCGGAAGTCCGTACTGAGTTAAGGACTTCTCGTGTTCTTCAAGGTCATACTGTATCTCGAGCGGTGCGTGGCTTTCGCCTACATCATGCCGAAGAACAAGGTCCCGACAAAGATTTGCTCGGAATGACATCCATATGTGGATGGGCGAGGGCGCGCAATCGTTAACCAAAAGGGTGACAAAGAGAAAGCGTAATCGTCCCGGTGAAGAGAGGGGTGAGACAGCTTCCTGCATCGTCTCTTCCGCTTCGTTTTGGTCTGTAGAAAATCCTGCTGCAGGAGGCGCTGGTGTTAACGGAGCAGGGGACATCTCGATAAGAGGGACAGTAAGTAGGGCGAGGGAGGCGATGTCAGGATGAACGTGACTCGTGGTAGAAAGGATTGTCTGAAATATCTTGCTTCAGCGAAATCAAGTGACAAATGGATCTCGTACCTAAGGCGGGCTAGTGGCCGAAGATGAAGACAGCACATCGGAGGCAGGAGTGAACCTTAGCATGATTAGATTTTGGGCAGCATTGAGCGCGAAATGCGAGGTCAATTTTGGAATCAACGCAGTATGAAGGGTCCACATACTCCTCATCAGGCAAGACCATTTGGCGAGAAGAACTCGCGGTGGTGGAAGAGCTGTATGAATTGGTCAGGCCTGGTTCAGTTGCAGTAAGGTAGATTCACAAGCATAGTCGGGTTCTTCATGTTGCGAGACGCATACGCTGACAGCTTCCGGCGTTTTGTAGAAGGACCACGTGAAATCCAAGAACCTACATTGAAGGAAATGTTGTCGATGTTGATGGTGAGTGCACCAACTTCGGATAGATCACGGCAATGACCAAACACTTGAATAATCAATCGTATTCTCGGGGGATATATCCTCATCCAACTGGCCGAGTGACCATCGAAAACAGCTCTTCAGATTTCCAACCAGTTTCACCGCTGATCGCAAACCAAATACGCAAGGACGCACTCTAACGCAGAGATGCGTTCACTGTCTCGAACATACTCAGATGTATCAACCAAAAAGACCGAGATGCGGGGTCGCTCGGCATTGATTCTCCTTGAGTACGAACTAGACCGGTAAAGGCGGCGAAGGTTGCGGGAAAATCAAGAATGTCATCCTGGTAGTCGTCAGCGTCGGGATTTCCAGGGTACGCAAAAACAGAGATGGCGTCGAGAAGAACAGTGTCGTTCATCGGAGCGTGAGCTTTTGTGCAGGCGAAAACAATCGACTGTTCGGGAAAAGGGACGTCGTTGGGTGGGCTGTACACCCTGAGACTGGATTGGATAGGAGGACCATTGCGGACAGAAATTGTTGTGTCGTAGAGATAATGGAAGGTCGTGACGACTCCGTCATCTACTTTCTGGGAAGAAGACACGCGAGAGGCGCCAGCAACAGCAAGATTGCCAAAGAGCATGAAGGACGACATCGCAAAGCCAGGAAGGTTAGGTCGTTTAGACGCTCGCAGACGAAGACTCTTCTGCCGTGATGGTGTTATAGGGGGGTCGATGACGCTCAACGACGACGACGATGACCTGCAAAGCGGATGCTGCAGAAAAGGTTAACGCGCTAAATGACACGCGCTACGAGCGACGGCATCCGGGATTTGAAAACCACAAAAGTTCCCGAATCGCACATTGTTGGTGCAGATGGCCAGCTGCATGCATGTGTCTCAAACTTACAAGGGACTGGATAAAGAGACCAAGATGCGATCGTGCATTCTCTCAGATGTCCTAACAGAGACTTGGACTCTTCATCGATGCGCAGCCATGCTTCAAGCTTCAAGGGAGAGAACGAGCGAGGTAGATAAGATATAAGCAGGATTGAGCGCAATTCGGTAGAAACAAGTCGGAGTGAACGACTATATCGAGCAATGAGCTGCAATGGGTTGGTGACCGTGTCAGCAAAGAAGACCAAACAAAAGTGTGCCTGTAAAGGTAAAGTGATCTTCTCGCTCGACACCAAGATTCGCCTTGCGAGGCATCTATAAAGTCGGCCACCTGCGACCGCCTTCAAAGCTTCCACATAACAGTATTACAGACCATGACTACGAGCAAAGCGATCGCCTCCCGCTCTGACCCTCGGTTCATCGTCGACTCGCGCTCCGATGAAGAACATGAAGCGGGTTCATCGAGGTCCGGCTTGAAAGAAGCATCTAGAGGCACCGACTCCGAAGACAACGAACCTCACGAGGAGGGGGATGCCTTAGAGGACGGACAAGACGAAGAGTACGGATTGATTGAGGGGATGGATCCGTCAGGCTTTGCGGGACCCAAAGTTGTAAAACCCTTGACTTCGGAGGCTCTTGCAGCATTCAACGCGGCTCACGACAGGGCAGGGGTCATCTACATATCTCGGATCCCACCAGGTATGCGACCCACGAAAGTTAGACATCTTATGAGCCAATACGGCGAGGTTGGCAGGGTGTATTTGCAGCAAGAAGGTGCGCGGGCTATATAATATTCTCGGTACGACGACCGACCCCTATGTAGATGCTAAACGTGCCTATCTCAGGCGAAAGTATACGTCGACGAAAAAAGCCCATTTCACTGAGGGATGGGTGGAATTCAAAGACAAAAAGGTTGCCCGGTCTATTGCTGACATGCTGAATGCACAACCAATCGGAGGAAAGAAAGGGACGCGATGGCGGGACGACATATGGACGATGAAGTACCTTCCAAAATTCAAGTGGAATATGCTCACTGAGCAAGTTGGTAAGTCGCGTAGCTTCCCTACAAATCACGCTCGACCTGACGCATGGTGTACAGCTCACGAAGCGGCCATACACACCGCGCGACTACGCGTGGAACTTTCGCAGTCTAAAACAGAGCAGAAAGAATACCTGAAGAACGTGGAACTTGCACGGGTGTTGGACAAACGCGCCGAGCGGGCACGGCAGGCTGGGAAGGAGATGAAGAAGCCTGAACCGAAGGAAAGGAAAAGGCATGTGGACGGCGAGTCTGGGGAGCAACCTCCTCAGAAGAAAAGAAGGCAGAAACCCGCGCCGGACCTTGAGCAAGCCAACGAGCAGCTGAAGAGTGTGTTGGGTAGCATTTTCTGACACCAGCGACTCATGTATGGCAGAGTATTAGTAGATTAATATAGACTCGTACCCAGTTGCGAATGTGGCTGAAGAGCTGAGCTGAAGCGGAGTGGGAAAACGGAATAGCTACGTGTTGTGGCTGGTTCGTTGTTCTCCATCGCTAGCACATTGAGCATCGCAGACGGCGTTGGCGTTGAAAGCATCTTTCACCGCACCGCTCGCTCTTCACTGTGTTGCGATCGCTAAGAGGTCTGTTCTTCATCATGATCGCTCTCTCTCTGTCCATGGCTCTGATCAGCCGCGCTATATTGTCACTTCCTTCCCTTTCCTTAGTCTCTTAAAATGTCTTGGTCTTCTTCTGTCTATCCTCCCCCTCCTCCTCCTCCTCCTCCGCGTCATTCTCGTTCTCGTTCTCCTTATCGAGGCTCTTATCCTCCACGTGGCCACTCGGACTCATACCCGCCAGCAGACCCGTACCGTCCGGAGTGGGACGCGTATGACAGAGACAGATGGGCTTATGACCGCGAGAAGCCGGCGTATGATTATGGGCGGAGAGGGAGGAGTCGAAGTCCCCCAGCCGAAGAAGGTACGCTTTTTTTTACACAGGTCGAAGTCGATATTTACCTGTCAGTGTTAGCCGGTCGGAAGAGACGCCGCTCTGCTTCACCGTTTGAGAAGGAGCGGTTCGATCCGCGCCCGAGGTACGCAGATGACTACGGTACGTTTGCTGTCTAGACCTTCCCACTGGTATTCTTAAATATTATTTAGACGCCCATTCTCGGTCGTATGGCGGGTATTCCCCGCGCCGGGGTGCATATCCACAACCCGGTCGCCGACCGCCGGCGGATCCGTACACGCTTGACTACCCCGCGACTTTGAAGGTGTATGCCGAGTGGTTCCGCTATTACTACCCACAACAGGCCATCGACGAGGACAATGCCGACAAAGCAGCTGAACAAGAAGCGGGAGATGGGTCGCGGCCACGTAACGGCATCAGAACGCGATGGGAAAAGTACAAGAAGGATTTCGCCGCGTCGCAGGTATATCCGAGACGGTTTATTGTTGGACTTTAGCATGACGGACTCATTGTCTTCCACAGCTTCAAACAATGTTTGACCACCATCGAAAGTCGCCTTGGTTCGCGGAGAAGTATGATCCTTCTCCCGAATTTGTTACACTGCGAAAGCGAGTGAGGAAAGATGGGTGGAGGGGTCGGTTAAACGCTTTCATCGACGATCTAGAGGCTGGCAAATTCGATCCAGACGTCAACCAGGCTGCATCAGAGCCCGCGTCGTTCACAAAGGAGGATGTGAAGCGAGAAGAGGTCAAGAAAGAAAAGGAGGGAGATACGACATTCGAAGACGCAGATGCAGACGGTGTTGCTCCTACAGACGAGAAAGCTGTTGAGAATGCAGTATTAGATGGTGACGATGAGGGTGGTGACAACGAAGGTGGAAAAGTTGAAACTAACGGAAAGGGGTTTTTGGATGCGAAGCGTAATAACCGTGGCGAGGAGATGTCAGTTTTGCCAGAGGGCAATCAGGTTATGATTCGGACCATTCCGCCAGACATCGGTCGGGTCAAGCTCGAGGCAGTGCGTGTCTGGCTATCGCTGCATTATTGCAAACTCGACTCACAGCAATTACAGGCTCTTGAGAACATTCCAGGTTATGTCTACCTTGCTCTAGGAGATCCTCTTCAGAAGAGAAACTACTACCGTGCCGGGTGGTTGAAGTTTCGCGACGATGCCGATATGCCTGCCGCGATGTCAGATCTGAACGAGAAGAAGGTAAATTGGTGCTACGATCGACTCCTCTGCTGCGCCCTTATTCTGCTCGTAGATCGAAGGATTCAAACTCCATGTCATGCACAACACTGAGCCTTTCAGGAACCGCATTCGGTATGCCCCTGAGGTGGCGAGTAGACCTGAGAGACTTGAGAAAGATCTTGAGAAGGCCAAAGCAATCGCTTCTCTCCTAGAATCGGAATATTTGGACCTGCGGAGGATGAAATTTCCCCGCCGGGTAGAACAGATCGGTACAGGCGAAGAGGATGCCAATGGGAACGTGGAACAAGACGTTACAATGGCTGAGACTGAAGTAATCGATGATGCTACAGACGATCCTGAGCCCATCGAGAAGGGTACAGATGCTATCGAACGCAGAATTGAGAAGCTTGTTGCAGAGCTGAGAGAGTCAGGCTCGCAGGAGTTTGGTGACGAAAAGGAGGTGAGTCTGAAAAAGGTGTGTCTCCCAGACTCATCGATTGTTCCAACGACCTGACTCGGTGATTACTCTTTTCGTAGACAGAGCTGTCGCTTGACCTGTATTTGGCATATCTTCGTTCAGCGTTTCACACATGCTATTACTGCGCAGTCATAACCGATCATCTTGAGGAACTGCAGCGCAAGTGTATAATGCATGTAAGAAAGCCATTATCGAAGGCGCTAAAGGATGAGATCAAGGCAGCAGAAGCCGACAAAGCCGCCAAAGACGAGGAGCAAGAGGTGGACAAGGAGAAAGAAAAAGACAATCCTACCAAACCCGCGGATGGGAGAGATTGGAAACGGAATGGTGCGTCCGAGTCGTCGATCGTCTTGTCGCTTTGTTGGTTGAACCTTGTTCAAAAGACGAACGATGGCTGGAATGGCTAGACTCGAAGATAGCCCTCCTCATCGACCGAGACGGCGTTGATCCTCGTCAGTATGGTGGCAAGAGCTATGATGAGTAAGTCATTCGTGTAATTCAACGATAACGACGGCTGTATCTGAGTCCTGCTTGCACAGGGAGCTGTCGAAAGCTGTAGAGCCCTTCGTCAAGCAGGAGGACGAGGGTAAGTTCCGCTGTAAGACGTGTCAGAAGCTCTTCAAGGCTACTTCGTTTGTCGAAAAACATATTGCGAACAAACACGGGGAGCTGGTGAAGCATTTGGACGACGTAAGAATAGTCTTGTATTTTCCACTTTCGATCCGCTTCAGCTGCTCTATTGTTAGATCCCTTATTTCAACAACTTCGCTCTCGATCCGCACCATATCCAACCATTTTCACATCCACCTGCCGCAACTGGCAATAATCAAGCGCCACCTCCCCAGGCCTATGGCCTTCCAGGGCCCGTGACTTATCCCCCTCCCGGCGACTACGGTCGTGGTGGTCCATATCATCCAGCATACGCTGAACGCCATGGCTTTCCGCAGGCGCCGCCTGCCCTCTATCCTGGTACTGTCTACTGGGACCCGTACACGTACCCTTACACTCCTGGTACATACCCTCCTGCTCGTCGAGATGAAGGACTCGGTGCCAAACGGTTGAGCGATCGCATCAGCGGATATGCGATCGGATATGATCCTTCCTCAGAGCCTACCAATGTACCAGCATCTGCTGGTTTGCCCCCTAAGCCGGCAGCTGCGGCACTCGAGGCTGTGCCTATGGAAGAGAATCGCGGCCGGAGAGGCGGACGTAGGGGTGGCAGAGGAGGCGACGCGAGCGGTCCGCCCCCGCCCCCGCCGCCGGATGCGAAGGAAGATCCCAGAGCGGCAGCTGGAAAGAAAGTCAGCTACCACGACATGGACCTTGTCGCCGAGGGCGACGTGGAGTTGCAGTATTGACCTATCATGGCGTCGTCGTCTGATTCAACGTGTAATTTTTTGCTCAGCATTATTTTGGACAAGCGTACGACTGTTTTATTTGGTGTCCAGGCTGCGAAGTGGTCCGGTGTGCTTCCGGTGTTGATGTCGGCGTTAGCTGATAGTTGTATATAGTCAAAACCGCCAGTCCTGCTTTTTATCTGTTTAAATGATGATCGTTGCGCTTAGAATTGATCTCGCGGTAGGTAACGTTCAGATCTCTATCAGTAGGCGTCGCAGGAAGAGAGTCGTTGCTGGGTGCACGCTGGGATGTGGCGCAACGACCTTTCCTTATCAGATTGCATTCGCACAGGGGTAACGATAGGCACAGAATAGATTGAAGTTTGTTTGGCCTATTTAGGGAAACGACATCTTGTGGAAGCATTGCGAAAATGACGATTCGAGCCTGCGGGACCGAACACCCGACCCGCAGGAGCTCGCAGGAGCAGGCGTACTAGAATCGGGCGCTCTGGTATCCGTCATAGTACATAACTATCATCAGCGCTCGAGCTATCCCGACGGACGACCCGCTTAGCAGATGGCCAAACGCCCGAACTTCCTCCTGATCGTCGCCGATGGTGAGCCTGTCGCATGCATGCCTTTCATGATGCCGCTTTGCACGGTCTATGGCTCACTGGCATCCGCTCGCGCGCGCATCCTGGCAGACCTCGGGTTCAGCGACGTCGGCTGCTTCGGCTCTGAGATCAAGACGCCCAACATCGACAGGCTGGCGGCCGCCGGCGCGCGGATGACGGATTGTGAGCAGTCTTAGTCTTCACGCGCGCCCCGATGTCCCCTGCAGCGTGTCCGATGTCCGATGCCTGGATTCTGACCGAGTGCGGCGCTGATGGCAGTTCACACCGCGGCGGCGTGCAGCCCGACGCGCTCGATGCTGCTGTCGGGGACGGACAACCACATCGCGGGCGTCGGCGTGATGGCCGAGCAGAAGAGGTGGAACCTGAAGCGGTGGAATGCGCCCGGGCACGAGGTGAGCGTCTCTCGCCGCCGTCGGCATATAACGTCTACGCGCGCCGTCCGTGGCTCACGCGCGATGCACGCACGCACGACAGGGCTACCTGAACTACCGCGTGGCCGCGCTGCCCGAGCTGATGCAGGACGCGGGCTACCACACCCTGCTCAGCGGGAAGTGGCACCTCGGGCTCAAGGCGGACCACGTGCCGTCCAAGCGGGGATTCGACAGGTCGTTCGCGCTGCTGCCCGCGTGCGCAAACCACTACGCGTGGGAGCCGCAGTTCGGCGACGACGACATGCTCGCGTTCTTCGAGGGGCAGCCGCCGCTCTACGCCGAGGACGGGACGAGGGCCGACGTGTGAGTGCCGAGTGCTCGCGCGGCGCAGGCGAGATCGCTCACGCTCGAGAGGTGCCCTTGACAGGCAGCCGAACACGACGAACGCACGCGACGGGTTCTTCTCGTCCGACTTTTTCGCGGGGCGGATGATAGAGTATCTCGAGGCCCGGCCGAAGGACAGGCCGTTCTTCGCGTACTTGCCGTTCTCGGCGCCGCACTGGCCGCTGCAGGCGGACAAGGCGTACCGCGACAGGTACAAGGGCGTGTACGACGACGGGCCCGAGGCGCTCCGCCAGAAGCGCCTCGCGCGTCTGCGCGAGCTGGGCCTCATCGCGGCCGACACCGTCGCGCACGAGGTCGTCGCGCCCGCCGAGTCGGAGTGGGCGCGCCTCTCCGCGGAGGAAAAGGCGCTGTCGGCGCGCGCGATGGAGACGTACGCGGGGATGGTGGAGAACCTGGACACGAACGTCGGGCGGGTGGTCGATTACCTGGAGGCGGCGGGGGAGCTCGAGAACACGTTCGTGGTCTTCATGTCGGACAACGGGGCGGAGGGCGCGTCGTTCGAGGCGCGGCCGACGATGGGGAACGATCTGATGGCGGTGATTCGGAAGTACTACGACAATTCGCTGGATAACATTGGGGAGCACGATAGCTTTGTGTGGTACGGCCCACGGTGGGCACAGGCGGCGACAGGTACGTACACGCAGTCTGGGCCGTATTACGACGAGAGTCACGACTGAGATGGCCTACCGTGGAAGCCCCCAGCCGGCTGTATAAGATGTACTCGACGGAGGGCGGGATCCGCGTGCCCCTGATCGTCCGATATGCGGGGTTCGAGAGATCGAAGCAGGGCGGGGCGATCGTTGACGCGTTTTCGACGGTGATGGACATCGCGGCGACGGTGCTAGACCTGGCGGGCATCGAGCATCCCGGGCGCGACAGGCTGTTCAGGGGGCGCAGCGTCGAGCCGCTGCGGGGCAAGTCGTGGGCGGGGTTCTTCACGGACGCGGGGAGCGCGAGCGGCATGAGCGCGATCCACGGACCGGACGACCCTGCGGTCGGGTGGGAGCTGTTCGGACGGGCGGCGCTGCGGCAGGGGAGTTGGAAGGTGGTGTATCTGCCGCCGTCGGCGGGTGGGACGGGGGAGTGGGAGCTGTACGATCTGAGCAGAGACCCGGGGGAGACGGACGACGCGTCTGGGCGGGAGCCGGAGAAGCTGAAGGAGCTGCTGAGGCTGTGGGAGCGGTATGTGAGGGAAACGGGGGTTGTGTGGGGAGAAGCGCTGGAGCTAGGCACTGTGGATGTCGGGCTGGACGCGAGCGAGGTTATTGGGGGAGATCCACTGGAGGATACACGAGGGTGGATGGCGGAGACGAGGGCGCGGTCGCGTGGGAGGGCGTAAGTAATACTGGCGTAACGGATGTGATTGATGGACAATTGAATTGTGTTGAGAGGTGCGAGCGAGCAGAGAGCATAGCAGACGGGGCACATGCACGTGGAGGTGAAAGGACAGCGGAGATGGCGAGCGCGAGAAGTGCAGGGATCGAGCCTGCCTCGAGGAGATATTTGCGGCTGTTTGACCCCGACACAGCTCGTCCATCTCGCCGCCCACAGTTGCGCTCTCTGGGCACTCGTCCCTCCCCCTCCTCCCTCCTCCCTCCTCCCTCCTCCCTCCCCCCTCCCCCTCCCTCCCCATCTCCCCTTCTGTCGCTGCGCTGGTCGGGTAGGCTCCTCTCCGCTCTTCACGCCTCGCGTTCGCCATGTCTCCATCTGCCAAGCTTCCCGCTGTCCGCCTTCCGACCGTGCTCCCGAGCCACAGCGTCGACGGCGAAAGCACAGGCCAGGATGCAGTCGTGGTTGAATTGCCTCCCTCTGACAAGTTCAGCTTCGCGTGGCCTTCAGGTCTCGTTCCCCCCGTCCCCCCGCCCATCGTGAACGACCGCCCCACGTCCCTCAGCTCTTCGGACGCCGAGTCTGGCCCGTCCGAATCAGAGTCCAATATCGAGGACCGCGCACCCAGCGCGGGTGGTCCCAGAACAGGCTCTCTCAGGAAGCCCAGGAACGAAGACGCAGACGAATACGACTTCACCCCGACCAATCGCCTCTACACCGAACAGAACCCCATGGACCAGGCCGTCCCTCCTTCGCTTCCCCGGCTTTCGCGCGCCTTCTCCGTCCCCTTGCCCTCTCAGATTGGATATCTGAAAAATCCACGCAGGGCTCTCTTGCACTCGGGCACCGGCCCTCCTACGCCCATTCTCGAGGACTCTCCCGAAGTGGCTCAGCTCCATGAGCTCTCTCTGGAACTCGCCGACCATGTACAGATGGTCATTCAGACTCTCCTCCAGCTCTCTCCACCTCAGGTCTTCGACCCCGCCAAGGAGCAATTCTCTGCATGTTCACTTCCAATCCCTACCCCTTCGATTACTGCTATGTTCACGTCAATGAAGAATCTAAATTATATGTCGGCTAACATGGCTGCCTTTAGTGCCCCTTCTTCTTCCTCCACTCGTGCAGACACAACACCAACGAGCTCACAGAACGGAGAACCGAGCTCGTGTGTGCGTTCTCCTACTGTTCTATCCCGCGAATATACGACGCATGATTTCGATATTGGAGAAACGCTCCAGAGTGTCGGAGACACCCTCAGTGGCTTGGCCGCCGACGTCGGCGTGGACCTCGTTCTCTTTCACGGTGACTTGGGCATGAAGCATGTCGCCGTCAAGGGGGACGAGAGTGGCATTTCTTATACCCTTTCACATGTGAGTGCTTTCCTTCGGTTTGTAGGATGTGTCTTACCGTCGGCTTAGATTGTCCGACAAATTCTTGCAACAGCACATCGAGGCGACTCTCTCGAGATCGGCCTATTCATTGTCGCACCTTTGTCCGAGGTCGAGGTGCCTACGGATGCCACTGAATCGGCAAGCCCGATCTCACTCTCCCCTGACCCCACCATGCCCCTTGTATGCACTTTCACCATCACACATGTTTTTGCGCCTCCGCCCTCGCCACGCATAGGCTATTCTGGTACTCGTGATCAAGCTTCTCCACTTCGCTCTGAACCCTTTTTGAGATCTAATATCCTTTTGCGTCTCCTTCGACATACCGACGCCAAGTTTGCTTGTGAAATGTCTAAAACGACCGCTGCAGGTCGGTCGTGCAAGCTCTCCTTCACGTTAGAGCGCGGGTCACCGGCCGTCGTCAATCCAGCCGTCATCCTCTCTGAGGATGATCCCGTCCTTCAATCGCTGCCTGGCTTCAATATTGCGGGAGAACCGACGTTGGAGGAGCTTGCGCAGTTCGTAGAGACGCTTCGGGGGAAGAAGGTCTCGTTGTATGCGAGTTCCAAGGGCCAGTTTGCGCAGCATCTCACGAGTTATCTGACCGCGTGGGGCCTGGATGTCAGTCCCATCTCTTCAGAGTCGGAAGGCGAAAATATGCCGGACAAGTCGATATTGTCGGACAGCCTAGCAGACACATCGCCCCCCGCCCCTGAAGCATCTTTTGGCACTGCGCCGACGCTCGACGGCCTTTCAGAGCAGTCTAACGGTTCCATTCTTCCCACTACGTCCGGCGCGTCACCTGCACCGTCGCCACCATCGTTTATCTTGATAGACGACGACGTTTCCGTTTTGCGAGAACAATTACGGAACTTGCTTGCCGAGCAGCAGTACCCCCTCCACATTGGTTCGCGCAAACGACCCTCTCTGGCTGCTCACCATCGCCCACGATCCTCGCCCCAGGTCGTTCGAGCTATGGGTTTAGGTATGACGCCGATGGCACCTGCTTCAAGGACTGCCAGCGTGATCGTCCATTTCACGAGTCTGGCCAACTTCAAGCTCGTCAAGGGAGTATTGCAGACCGTGCTCGCTCCGAACGGCAGCTCGGCCGCGCGGATGCCTGAGGTCATCGTCATTCCAAAGCCTGCGGGTCCAAGACGCGTTTTGACAGCGCTTCACACGGCCGCCACGAAACCTGTCGTCGACCCCTTCTTTTCTCCGATCGCGACCTCTCCGATGAGTCCGGGCCTGCACCCGCCCGCCTCTTTCTTTCCCCAGACATCCAGTCCGAAATCCCCCGTCGGGCGTCCAACGAGCAGTCCGCGCAGTACTTCCGAACGCTCCGCTAGATCCCCCAAGGAGCATCCTGTCGATGGGTTTGGCGCAGCCCCGCCTTCGCCCCTTGGGTTGTCTGAGGGCATGGACTATTTTTCCGAGGCAGCGGTCAAGATGGGCACTTCCCCATCGTCCGGGCTTGTCATCCAGAGCCCCGACGGCCAACCTGCAGGCATTTTCTTTCATCCCCGCCCGAAGACCCGCGGCTCACGTATCGCCGCCATTAGCGCGGAGAATGCGCAATTCGTGACGCTGGGCGACGGACCGTATCGCCGGGCGTCTGATGTCGACGACTTGAGCAAGGGAAGGTATCAGTTTCTAGTTCCTCCAGGCACTTCGGGTGCGGGGTTATCACGCCGAAGCTCGAAAACAGCGGTCACGATTGATCTTGGCTCCCCCGAGGGCAAAGACACTCACAGTGGCGTTACGTTGAAAGGGAAGGCTCCATTGGATTCCCCAGTTCCTGCGCACGCCGACATGCCACAGTCCATGCAGAGCATCATTACTCCTTTGCTTTCTCCTTCCCCGACCGATTTGCCACGGCCACCACCCGCGCCTCGCGTTATCACAGCAAGGAAGCCGAATGCCGTGGAACCTCTGCGCAAAAATGTTTCCCCGCCAGCGACACCTCGCACAGGGACGCCTAACGTAGCTGCTTCTGCATCGTGGAAGGCGACCGCCAGGCGGCTCACGCTTGACAGCAAGGCGCCAACCCCGGCGGCTGCAGGAACCACAAAGGGCAAACCAGGGGACTCGAACATCGTCCCGCCCATCAGTGTGCTCGTGGTCGATGGTGCGTCTCCTGCGCTTCATTCGTCATTTTACTCATTTTATTTCCAGACAACCCCATCAACCAGACCATTTTGTCCACGTTTATGAAAAAGAAGAGGATCAAATACGACGTCGCGAAGAATGGAGAAGAGGCTGTGCAAAAGTGGAAGAGCGGAAGGTTCCACTTAATCCTGGTGAGCTCGGCCAGCATACGAATTTATCCGCGGGCTCATTGCCGGCATTGTAGATGGACATCCAGATGCCTGTCATGGACGGAATCTCCGCGACGAAGGAAATTCGGCGGCTCGAAAAGTTGAATGCTTCTCAGGGGTACCCTTCAACGCCACAATCGGATGGACAGCGCACACCATCCGAAGCACCATCTTCCGACTCCCGGATGTCGACAAGCCCATATAGGTCTTCTGTCATTATTGTCGCCCTCACGGCCTCGTCCTTGCAGAGCGATCGTGTGGCCGCACTAGCGGCCGGGTGCAACGATTTCTTGACGAAGCCGGTGTCGCTGGTATGGCTCAACAGCAAGATCATCGAATGGGGATCCATTAAAGCACTGCAGATGTGGGCAGACATCCGGCCAGAAGTCGTCAAGACGATTTCCACAGGGCAGACCAAGCAGGCGGAAAACGTCGCTCGCAGGCTGCATGTACCGGAGGGCCGGGCCTCGCCTTCTGCCTCACCCAGTCGCTCGTCGTCACAGACCAGAACGCCTGCACCTGCTGCCACTCACATGCCGACCTCGGCACCTGGTCCTTCAATCCTCAACCCGGGCAAGGGACACACACGGCTTAAGCCCCTCACCGTGGAATCGCCTGTCGTCCAGTCCCCTCTTTCTGCGTCTTCCGAAGGTGAGAGTACGTTCCGTTCCGTTTCCGTCTACGCGTATACTCATGAACCTTCATTTGCGCGTTCATGTGCTCTAGCTTCCATCGCAACATTGACACCACGCGCTGCTGGTACATTCTAGCCTTCGTGAAGTCGAGCATGCACTGATTGCGAAACCTAGACTTGCCTGTCCCCCCGGTCACTTCATCTCCGCGTACGTGTTGACATTGTTCTTCATTCATGTGTCTCACGTATTATTATCTTTTCCGGCAGACAAACGAGTCGAGCGTTCCGAACCATCGGCACCCCGTCAAACCCCTAGTGCCAAACCTAACGAAAATTCGCTGGCATCACGAGAGAGCGCTGCAGAGCCGCTCAGTGCGCATGCTAGTCCGGAAGAGGACACAGGGCAGGTCGCGGACCCCCCTACCGACGCTTTGTCGGCGCCTAGACCACCTAGCGGGCATACCGCTGCTCCAGAAGGAGGTGTTCAACGAGATGTCCAGCAATGACAATTTTGGGCGACCTTTAGAAACTATGGCATCGTTGTCGTGCCGTTGATCTATCCTTTGTATCTGAAGGTCGCCGAGTTCTTTCGCAGGTTTTTCTAGGATCTCCATTCGTCTTTTGGGTTAGTTCGTCGTCATCTTTGGGTTAACTGTGCTGTACACGTTTTCTGTATTCTGGTGGGAACATGCGTGCTTGGTACTGCGGTTCATATCGATTCGCACGATGTATGGGTATTTGGTAGCTAGTGGTCTATGGACGAATATACGCGCTGGACCGCTGGTGAAGCTGTTAAGGAGCCCAAAGTCGACAGTTTAAATGTGGTGCACGTGCCGCGAGTAACGATATAAGTTGGTGACGGCTGCGTTTGCCGGGATCCAAACTCCGCGCCATCGTGCAGTCGACGGCGAACACCAATAGTTCGCTTTATTCCCATTCTTCTTGAGGCCCACCGGCCTTGTCGTCGCCGTATTTCCCTGCCATGAACACTCTGCACGATCCACATAGTCACAAACGGACATCCATCAACGAACTTCTCAACCCCGTCGCCGCGACTCCCGCCGTCGACGGCGCCCACCATCCCATTCCGCTCCCGCACCACCTGGGGGGGTATGCAGATTCTGCGCATTATCAACATCACCAAATGTCCTCACAAGCCCCCATGCACTTGCAGCCCTCCCAAGGGGCGTTCAAACTGAGCGCTGCCAGCTGGGATCAGGGTGGCGACAGCGAGCAAGCCCTCGCCGCGAAGAAGGCAGACCAGCCCGCGTACAATCGCAGCTATCCAGTACAGCCCCCGCCTCCGGCTTCGTCGCCCGGCATGTATCAGGAGCAGCAGCAGCACCCCCAGAGGGCGCAGAGGCCCAGGGAGGAGCAGAATGGGAACAACAATTTTACGTTCGATCCCCAGCTGTGGCAAAGCCCGGGTGTGAACGAGGCGAATTTGTCGTACACGCCCTCCCTCATCACGCCCTCTTACTCGGACGAGCGCACCAGTGAGTTAGTCATGCCCTCGTTCTGCCCCTCTCACGCCGAACGCGTCTATCCAGCTATATCGGGAGACGTGGCTCCGAGTAATCCTGCTACCTATCCCATGCCTCGACCCGATCAGCCTCCCAATAACTTCAGGCCTGACCCGGCCATGGTAGCAGCCTATCAGCAACAGCGCGCACAGCCCCCGCAAAACATGGGAGGTGCGTGGTCTTTTCTTGACTTGTATGAATGCTTCCTTACACGGTGATCTCAGCATGGCCGCCGCCTGCCGACCATCGCATCCCTCCACGTGCCGGCGAAGCTCATATGCCGCCTCAGATGTATGCGCAACCGCAGTACTACCAGCCTCACCCCGGCATGCCCTACAACATGTACCATCAGCCTCCCATGCAAGGCCCGGGGCTGCCTCAGATGCACATGGCAATACCGTACATGCAGCAGCCACAGCCCCCACCACCGCAGAAGCGCCCAACTCCTCAGGCTGACGGAGAAGAATCAGGGACTAAGACGAAGAAGGCGAGGACCTCGAAGAAGTCGGCTACAGACGGCAATGGTGGGTCAAGGTCCCCCCCATCTTCACGTGATCCTTCTGAGTTCAGGGCCGCCCATTACAGGCAACGGTTCCAGGAGAGGGTACAATGCGAAAAAGCGCAGCGAGGCCGCTCAGATCGCGGCACAGAACGGTGCGTGTGTTCGTTGGAGATGGCAGACGGCCATCCTCGCTCACTATGGTGGGTCTGCAGCCCAACTGATGCCCAATGTGTCGTATACTCCCATGGGGGGTGACAAAGGGAAACAGAAGGCTGCGGACGGTGAGATTAGGCGCCGATTATAGTGGGAATCAGCTTCGTGAGCTGACAACCGATGCATTTCAGGGGCCATGAGGATAGTCAGTGACAGCGGGGCTCAAAACGCGGAAACACGGGGTCCACTGCACCCAGAACTGCAGTTCGCGCGCTGCATGTCGAACCGGTATAAGTCTGAAAACTTCCCTCGCTGTGTCTCGTGTACTCGGCGGTGGGCAGGTGACACCTGCCGTTTCCAGGGCATCCGCTTCTTTTTGAAAGACGACAATCAAAATATCGTTGGTGTCAGTTTTGTGGAGAATCAAAAGGCAGATGCGCCCACAATGAATTTCCCTACACGATGGAACATCTCGCTCGAGCCGTCGCACATAGAGGAAACAAAGGTAAAATTAAAACTAAGCCCGGCTGGTGGATGGGACTCACGCAGCGTTCTCTCAGCGAACGGTGGCGGTCGCGCTTCTTCCCACTCTCAAAAAGGAGTTTGAGCATCTGATCGCTCCGCAAGTCATCCGGCGACCGAGGGAAAGCGACGTCCGCGCTACCTGCGGTACGACCGTCACGATGTCCGTCGCTGAGCTGCCGGGGCTGATCTCTCGGCGAATTTCACAGACACCTGCATGACGTCCATCTTTTCCTCGTCGTGGATGTGCCGCCTCTGCGGGCGCGAAGCGTGCGCGGAGTGTTTTGGAAAAGTCCGCGAGCTGACGGAATACAGGGCGGGCGCGAACGAGGCGGAAATCGCAGCCCTGCAGGCGAAGCGAGAGGCGCACGCGCACAGCAATCCGTTCTTCCTCTCGTGCACGCGTCGCAACGAGCACGTCGCCAAGGAGTTCTCGCCCGTGTCGCGGTTCTGCGAGCCTGAGCTCCAAGATGTGATCGACGAGATGGAGCTTTTGATCAAGGCGCCGATGGTTGAGCCGGAGGAAGACGAGGGCGAGTCCACCGCAACGGATACCGCGATCGACCCGTCGTTGAAGGGGCAGGATGGGGCAGCAGCAGCAGCAGCAGCAGCAGTGACGACTCGAGGTTCACCAACGGACGAAACATCATCCTCCGCTGTGCCGGCACCGACCGGAGGGGACGCAGCCTCCGCTGCTGCTCCTGTGGCGGTCTCGGCAGATCCTGGGGGACGCCCTGAGGTGAACGGCGCCGAGCCTTCGCCAACGGAGCCTCATGTATATCCGACACAGACGTTCGCTGATGGCGAGCTGTCGGAGAAGGCGTTCCGGAAGATCTGGCGACAGGGCGTCCCCGTCGTGATCACGGGCCTGCTGCCCAAGTTCACGATCAAGTGGACACCGGAGTACTTCATCTCCAAATACAGCGCCCAGACGTGCTCGATCGTGGAGTGCCAGACCGACGCGAGCAAGCGGATCACGGTGGGGGAGTTCTTCAAGATGTTCGGGTCGTACGAGGGTCGGACGGATTGCTGGAAGCTGAAGGACTGGCCGCCGTCGACAGACTTCAAGGCGGCGTTTCCGGAGCTGTACGAAGACTTTACTCAAGCGGTGCCGATGCCGACGTTCTGCAGGCGGGACGGTGCGCTGAACATCGCGTCGCACTTCCCAGTGAACACGGTGGCGCCTGACCTCGGTAAGCGGACTTGACTTATCTTATCCGTGATCGCGGCGATTGATTCACACGGGTGACAGGCCCGAAGATGTATAACGCGATGGCGACTTACGAGACGCAGGGATCGAAGGGATCGACGCGGTTGCACATGGACATGGCCGACGCGATCAACATTATGATGCACGCCGAGCCGCGTCCGGACGGGACGCCCGGCGTCGCGGCGTGGGATCTGTTCCGGGCGGAGGACGCTGAGAACCTGAGGCGGTTTTTGCGGAAGCGATACAACGGGACGCAGATGCAGCACGACCCGATCCACGCACAGCAGATCTACTTGGACTCGAGGATGCTGCGGGAGCTGTACAAGGAGTACGGGATCCGGAGCCACCGGGTGTACCAGAAACCAGGGGACGCGGTGTTTATTCCCGCGGGATGTGCTCATCAGGTGGGTGTCGCTCCGTTTGCGTTTTGCTCTGTGCTGACCACGGAGTGCAGGTGTGTAATTTGGCGGACTGCATCAAGGTCGCGGCGGACTTTGTGAGCCTGGAGAACGTGGCGCGGTGCGAGAAGCTGACGGGAGAATTCCGGGAGCAGAACCAGAGCATGATGTGGAAGGAGGACGTGCTGCAGTTGCGGGCGATGATGTGGTTCGCGTGGCTTTCGTGCAAGCGGCAGGAGGGCTACGGGCAGTAGGGTGCGAGTGTACTGAATAGAGCGTGGACGTGTACTATATGACGGGCATCTTTTTTGAGAGGCTTGGGCGGCGACGACGATGAGTTGAGCGATGGCTGCTGCTGTGTAGAGTGTCGCGTAGTATCAGTACGCTGCTTGTCTGCACTGTTTTTCCGAAGAGAGGGGCTCAGGCCGGGGGTCTGACATGGCCCCATTGGGATGACATCATCGGCCGCGTTGAGGCTTGCAGCTTTGCCTTTTAGTGCTCCCTCCCCGTCGCTGCACGTCCCCGCCGCCCCCGCAATGACAAAACCCACACTCCTCCAGTCGCTCCTCGGCCATCCCTCACAGACATATGCACACAAACGCAGCTCACTCAACACACATGGGCCGCTCCAGGCCCCGACCGCCTTCGACCGCAGCCCAGCCAGCAGTGGCGAGTACTCACGCTCACGCTCTCCGCAAGCCCGACCGACGGTGTGTTCTCGCGCCTGCTCTTCCATCTTCCATCCTTATCGGTGTGTTCTCTGCACAGACGCACCTTATCAGGGCAGCCCACCGCTCGAGCAATAACGTCATCCACGCATCGTCGGCGTCCCCCGCACCCCCGGCCCCAAGTCTCGACCTCAACGCTGCGCACGTTATCGAAGGCGACAGCGACGACGACGACGACGACGACGCGTTTTATACTCCCCTCCCTTCGCCTTCCCGCTCCCCTAACCTCTCCCTCCTCGCCGACTCTGCCATCGCGGCCCCACGGTCCCATCATCCACACATGCAGCGCGTGTCCGACGGGTCCGATTCTTCTGCATCTTCTCTCGAGTCTTCATCGACACCCCCTACCTCTGACGAGACACATTCCGTCCTCTCTGCCGCCGCCTCCAAATCGTCTGCCACCGCCGCCCCCTCACCCACTTCCGACTTTCTCTCGGCACGCCTTCGTCTCTCCTCGAAACCTTCCTCGTCTGCCTCTTCTCGCGCATCCCACTCGGCGAGCCGCTCCGTAGCTTCTGCCCCTGCGCCCCTACCGCGTTCATCCCGCAACACTTACACAGACGAGGACTGGGCAAAGGAGGTCCGCTGGCTTGTCACGCCCTCCGCTGCTGCCTCTGTCAAGTCGAGACGCCGCCAATCCCTCCCTGTCGCCCCGGTAAACTATGTCGACCTGCCCACCGTCTTCCAACCACGGCCCCCTCCTCCGCGCCGCGGACGTGCAAAGTCGGGCAGGGTCCGCACGAAAGTGCTCATGACGGCCCTCATGGAAGAGGACGAGGATGCGATGGCGGGCGAAGACTATCACCTCCAGCCGGCCTCGTCCTCGCGATCGCGATCGCGCGCCCGCACGGCGTCCGACCCCACCTCTTCGCCCACCGTCTTGCGGCGCAGCAATAGCCTGACTACCCCTAGCGGCCGCCACGGCGCCTCTCGTAACGGCGTACCATCTCGCAGCAACTCCTTGATTCTCCGCAGTAGTGCGGCCGGCTCGTCAGCGTCCCCGCGCTCGCCCTACACCCTCTCGTCTCGGACCGTAGCGCTCCCCACGCCCCTCCCCGTTCCCCCTCCTCCGTCCTCTGCCACCAGCGCCCCTGGCACCGATGTCAACCTCGGCGCAACCGCGTCCCCCAGCACGTCGGGCTACACTACGCTGACGCTCCCGCGTGCAGCATACACGCCTGCAAACCCGTGGCGCGCCCTCGGCGGCGGCCGCGTAGACCTCGCGCGCGACGGCAAAGCGCAGACGACGATGGCGAGCGTCGAGATCGTGCGCGGGGTCGCCCGCACGCTCCCCCGAGGCGGCCTTCTCAGGCGGGCGACAGCGCCGCGGAGAGCATCGCTCGCAGGCATCCCGTTCCGGACGAGTTTCGGGAGCAAGTCGGAACTGTCGCTGGCCCACGATCCAGGAAAGAAGAAGAGCAAGGGAAATGCGTCATCTCCGCGCCCGTCGTTGCACCCGTCGTCCGCGTCGGCGTTGGCGCTGACGTCGCATCTGTCGCCGCCGAGTTACTGCCCAGAGTCGCACGTGCTGATACAGGTGTACGCGGTCGCGCTCGAGGGGCTGGACGCGCAGATCGTTGCGGAAAAGGTCGCAGACGGGGCTGAGGGACGGGCGACGGGGTTCGTTCCCGGGCGAGGCGTGGTCGGACGTGTGGTCGAGTGTGGTTGGGAGGTGCGTGGGGAGGTGGCAAAGAAGGGCGAGTGGGTCGTCGGGCTGTTGGACGTTAGGAAGGTGCGTAGATAGACGGCCATCGTGTGTGCCTGTCCTGTCCTCTTTGGAGTGTCCTCGGCGGCTCTCTGGGCTTCGGGCCCTCTAAACGACATGGAGCTGGACTTTTTTTTCTTTTTGGATCGAGCTGGCTGAAATTTATTTTTGGCTTTTTGACATGTGTATAGTGCGGAGCGCTGGCCGAGTTCGTGCTTCTGGATCGACATCGTATACACCGCGTACCTCAACCGCACCTCCCATCTCCGACCCTCTTCCCCTCACACGCCACCGAGGACCTTCCCCTCGGCCCTCCACAACCTGCCACCCTCGAGTCTCTCGCCCTGCTCCCCGTCGTTGGCATCCCAGCCTACCGTTCCGTACGAACGTTCTTACTGTCGCTTGGTGGAGCCCCGGAGCCGGGCGCCGTGCAGCCGGCGAGCAGAGCGCTGATCCTGCGGGGGCAGGACGGCGTCGGAGGTATGGTGACTCGCATGCTTCTCGCCCGGGGCGTGGGCGTCGTAGTGCACGTCGAGCCCGCCGTCGTCGACGTCGCCGAGTCCGACACGCCGCTCCTGATGCTGTCGCCCCACGACGACAGGCACGACGACGAAGACGTCGAGCCCAACGCCCGATTGGACGAGCTCTACCGGCGCGTGCGGGCATGGGGCGCAGAGGGCCTGTGCGTCGGCGGCGCGGTCGACACGCTCGCGCAGCTCGACGCGCGCGGCGAGGCGTTCGATTTCGTGCTCGACACCGTCGGCGGGAAGGACGTGTGGGAGCACGCGCACAGGATGCTCTCGCGGCGCGCGCCGGATGCGGGCGTGGGCGCGGGCCGCGCGCAGTTCACGACCGTCGTGGGCGACGCGAGCTCCGGGCACGCCATCCCGACCGCGCACGACCACTGGCGCGCGGGCGTGCGCTCGCTGAAGCGCGCGATGTCGTCGGGGTCGGGGTCGGGGTCCGTGTCGGGATCGTCTTCGCCGGCGGCGCTGGCTTCGCTCCCGGGGTCCGCGGCGTCGTCCTGCGACCAGCTCTCGCACGAGGGGAAGGGGGCCAAGCGCGGCGCGGCCAAGGCGCCGCGGAAGGCGCGCCCGCGCACGGTCGGATACTCGTGGGTGTCGTGCGTCGCGGACGTGGACTTTGAGGGCGGCGACGTGCGCGACGCGCTCGGCGCGCTCGTGGGGATGCTCGAGCGCGGGCGCGCGAGCCCGCCGGGGGAGATGATTCGCGGGGAGGCGTACGGCGCGGGGCGCGTGCTCCCGCTCGAGCGGGCGCCCGAGGCGTTTGGGGAGGCGGGCCTTTTGGAGGGCGGCGGGACGGTCGTGGTGCGGGTCGTGGTGTGATCGCGGGCGCGCACGCACACGCGGATATGGATGTTTATTCTTCTTTTCTTCAACAGTGTATAGGTATCGGACCGGACGGCTGTGATTGCCTCGTGGATTGGACTTGATCGGACTCGACGACGAGGAATATAGATGACCGCCTCTTACACCCCTCTCCCTCTCCTTCTTTCGTAGCTGCTGCGCGAGGGGCTCGTCCGCTCGTATATAATGCCTGCTCCTAGACTTTTATTCGCCCCTTTGGCGCTCCTTCGGCCTGCCTCTCTCTCTCCCCTTATTTCTCTTCCTCTCTTTATTTCCCTCTTTCCCTTTTGCTCACAAGCACCGACCGCCGCACACAGTACGCGCGGTGTCTGGAGTTCCTCTTTGCCCGGCTCGGATCCCTGCCTATCGACGCATGCATGGATACATACATATGCACGCACACATACACACACATCCCTGCATACTTAAATCTAAGTATAAAGCGCGACACACACGCATTGCCCACGACTTGTTTTATGATCCTTATTTAGTTGCTGCTTTTCACACAAGATATATATACATTTCCTTGCAGCCTTTGTTGGTATTGGGTGCCGAGTGATATGAGGGAGCTGTTGGTTGATATGTCATGTGTTGCTCTCCTTTTCTGCTAGTGTGATCTGTGCCTTGGTGCTCTGGCTACAGGGCTCTTTGCAAGCACTTGCTGTGTGTGGTCTTACTCAAAGGGGCTCAGGGAACTGACTTGTACATCCTTTTCTTGTTCCATGCACACAAATGCACAGATACATGCCTTGAAGCACTTATGCCATTGGTTCTACCTTCTAAGCACTATAGAGGCAGTGATGATTGTCCTCTCCAGTTCACAAGGCAATTTTCTGATATTGCATAAAGAAAAGTAGAAGCTATTGCAGATTCCATCACAAGCATAAGTCAGAATGGTTTCAAGTCAAGTATAATTCATATATCAGGTTATAACATGACAAAGTTGCTACACTACAGAACCACCAACACAATGCAAAGAAGCTTGATCAGAATCCAATTCATTTGCTACTCCAAGTGCCCATCCAATGATGAACAGCTTTAAGAAGACAGCAAAAGAAAAGAAAAATGATCCCCCGACGACATAAGCCAGTAGTGCAGCGGCAAAGTCATCGCGCCGTCGAGTTGCAAGCAGAGCTCGGCGGACAAGGGCGGCAAAAATAAGAAAACCAATGTAGCGGGCGGTGCCCGCGTTATAGTGGTTATACTATAAAGAACAGATACTACACTTGATCTAAGCCAAAAGGCCAGAGTGGTAAGGATTCTGGATGTCCGCGGCCTGTATTTGAGGGACTGGGGGCGCGCACAGACCAGGAGGGAGGATGTCGCGGCGCGGGGGTGGGGGGGCAAAGTGTGTGGCAAGCGGTGGGGCGCACATGCCTAAAGTGGCCCGTGGGAGAGTCGGGACGATGTGACTTTGCATGGCCACTGCATGGTCTCGGCAAAACTGAGGGGGTGTTTTTTTTGATCATATGAGCGGAGATGAGCGGCGCGTAGATGCGGCGATATGCGATCGGATTGGATGATTAAATCGTGGGAAAACAGGCTTACGCTTTTGAGAGGCGCGCCAGGCTGCGGGGGTCTCGCTGTGTGGCTGGAGGTGCGGCTGTAACGTCGATTGCAACGGCTGCTCGCTCGCCTGGGGAGCTACGAACCAAGCAGAGACTCTAGCCTCGCTCTTTCTCGACGGATATCGTCCATCACAGGCGGGCCGACGCTCCCAGACCGCGTGCGCACCACACGTGACTGCAGAGCGGCGATAACTCAAGGCCAAAATTAATGGTGGGGATAAGCGGACAAGTGGTTATTCGAGAGAGGCCATGCATCCGTTCGCGACGTTCGTCCTGAGGAGCTACTACAAGGCCACCGGCTGGAACGAAGACAACCTCTACGCCAACCTCACCCGCTCCTCCAATGGTGAGCCCCCCCGCCCGCCCTCGTCGTCGTCGCCGTCGTCTCGCCCAGCGCCGCTGACCGCCGCCCGCCAGCCATCCTCGACTTCACCGTCCCGCGCGGGCTGCACTTCCACATCTCAAAGTCCCCGAACACGCTCTTCAAGACGACGTACTCGATGAACGCCCTCCCGTCCCTTAACGGCTCCGTGGGCTACATCTTCACCTCGTGCGGCCTCGACATCACCGGCTCCGGCGACGTCCGCTTCAAGGACGTCATCGACCGCTTCAGGGTGTACGACCAGCCGCGCAGGCCTGAGGGCAAGGAGGAGGAGTTCTTGGCCGGAGAGCCCGTTGACACCCGTGGTGAGTGCGTGCCCACGCTCGCGCGCGCGCATGCCCCGCCCTCGCTGACGGGTACGCGCCTGCCCGCCCGCCCGCCCGCCCACCAGACTACCTGCTCTACGGCCGCGTGTACATCCCAACCGGCCGCCTCGACGCGCTCGCCTCGACACGGCTCTCGCCCACGCTCCAGGCGCTCGTCGCCGCCATCTCCGACCCGCGCGCGGACCTCACGCAGTCGCGCTTCAGCCGCGGCGGCGCGTCGCCGAGCAACGTCATGCTCAACCTCCAGCACGACACCGGCCGCTGGTGCACCGAGTACACGTACAGCGCCGAGGACAGCATGCTCGGCGTGCGCGTGCTGCATAACTTCGGCAGGCTCGGCGCGCCCGCGGACAGCGCTGAGGAGAGCGAGCGCGCGCGCGACAAGCGGATCGACGAGGAGGACGCGATGGAGGGCGGGCTTAAGGGGCGCATATCGGTCGGCGCGGAGGTGTACTTCAGCGCGAAGGAGAGAAGCGCAGGAGGCAAGTCCCGTCCCCTCCCTCCTCCCGTACTCCAATCGAATCACAAACCCTCATCCTGCGCAGTCTCCACCGGCATCCGCTTCACGACCTTCCCCGACGCGACGCCGCCCTCCTTCCAGCTCCCCCCAGAATCCCCACTCTCGCCCACCCCACCCCCGCCCCCGCCCGCATCCCCCTCGCAGCCGCCCACCACGATCACGGCCCTCTTCAACCCCATGATGGGCCACATGTCCGGCGCGTACGCCGCGCGCGTCTCGCGCGACCTCTCCCTCTGCTCCCGCTTCGACTTCAACGTCTACAGCTACGAGAGCGAGTGGACGATGGGCGCCGAGTGGTGGCTCCGCCGCTCAAAGTCAAAGTCCCAGGACAGCGACCCCGCCGCGCCCGCCCTGGCCTCCCCCGAGCCCGCCGCGGACGCGCCTTGGTCCGCCGAAGAGATCACGGGCGTCGTCAAAGCGCGCGCATCGACCTCCAACGTACGTCGCCCTTCTCCTTGCACGCCTGAGACCCGATTGATCATATCATATCATCCGTCCGTCCGTCCGTCGATCATGCTCGCCGCAGGACGTTGCATTGATGTGGGAAGGCCGTCTCAAGAATCTCCTGATCAGCCTGGGCGTCGTCTCCAACCTCTCCAGCCGCTCGAAGCCCATCAAATCACTAGGACTCGAACTCTCCTACTTTAGTTCCGGATGAGGCACGCGCATATACTTGGTTATGAGTCGCCCAAGTACAAAACATTCCATTTAACTTCGTTAGGGGGAGCGATGTGAGTTTTGCATCAGCCGGTCTGCTACAATAAATAGTACATCCACGTTCCAAGCCAGTCAGGGGACATTAGATAGATAGAGAGAAAGAGAGAGAGCGATGATTAGCTAGTGACGAAGTTTGAGAAGCGGGCGAGAACAAGACCAGTAAGGGTATTGAACCGGAACAAGACAGTAGTAACCAGATGTCACCACGACAAATCGCGATCGTAGGATGTGTGTCGAAGCATACGCACAACTATACACGGCCGCGAGGGTAGCAATCCTCCGGCAGGGGGAGCAAACAGTCAAACAAACAGTCAGACAAACAGAAAAAAAAAACAGACATAGATGCGGAACATAGATCGTACTCGTACTCGTACTCGTCTTAGTCAGATACAACAGCGGCGGAGGCGATGCTGACGGGCGGGTCTCGCTTCGGCGCAGGGCCGCCACCGAGGGTCCTGACGATCCTAGAGATGGCGTCGCCCGATATGACCGGCCGGCTGCCGTGTCGCGCGTGTCGCACGCCCAGCGCCGTCGGCGGCGAAGACTGCGTGCGCGCGTGCTGCGGTCCGCCCTGGCTGGGCGTGGACGCACCCGACTGCGACACCCGGGCGACGCCCCCCGCGTGGAGCTGCCGCTCCAGCGTGCGCGACCGGCCGTGCGCTGGGTTGAACGCGGGCGGGGGTGAGGTGGACGCGAGGCTGCTGATGGCGGGCTCAGAGGCTACCGATTTGGGCGCGTGGATGGACGCCTCGAGCCCTGGCCGTGCGGCGTCGGCGTGGGGAACGGGGTCCGAAGAAGGCTGAGGGGGTTCCGCCTTCGGTTCCACGTGGACGGTGGGTGCGTGGATAGAATCGGCGAGCCCTGCGTCAGTAGGTGCGGTTCTGCGAGGTGGAGAAGAAGTTGTGGGGGGCGGTACGGTAGGTTTGGGTGGTAACAGATGATGCGTGGAAGGCCCATTGGGGGGAATGGTAGATGGATGAAGTGCACTCGGCCCGTTTCGACGCGGAGACTTGGGTCCCGCAGAGTTGAACGGGCTCACGGGCTTCGGGGGAAGGGAGGGATGCAGAGGCAGGCGTGGAGAGAGTTTGGCCGTCGAGAGTGCGGGAGGCTTCGTCGAGCGACCGTTGTCCAGATTGGGAGAGCGGGGGACCGGAGACAGTCGTCCACTGTTGGGCCTCGAGACGCCATTCGGACCACTGGCACCAAGGCGACCATTGCCCCTGGGCCCGGGGATAGCAGCAGGCAAGAGATTCGGGGACAACCTCGCCGCCTCCACGACGGGCGACTTGGCCCTCTCGTCCGGAATCGGCAGCTGCTTCAGCGAGTCGTCGAGGATAGGAGACATGAGCTCCAGCTTCCCCGCGTCGCTCGCGCTCGTCGGCAGCGTGCCGGAGGAGGCCGCTGTGGACGTGATGCCCCAGTCGTCCAAGTCGGGCAACGTGTCGTCGTCGTCCCCCGCCCAATCGAGGTGGCTGCCCGGCGTCGTGGGCCTGTTCTCCATCGCGATCGCGCGCGCGCGCTCCACCAAGCTGTCTATATGCGACTTGATGTCGAACGTGGCCACGGCAGGGTCGGCCGATAGGTGGGGCGGGGCATCTTTGGAGCTGCGCGGAGAGGAAGGGCCCGAGAACGCCTTGGGTTTCTGCGCACGCGTCGTGGGCGGCGGTGGGTCTACCGATAAGCGTGGCTTGGGCACGGAGGTCGAGGACTTTGGCTGATGGGAGCGCTTGCGGCGGCCTGATGCACGTGGCGAGGGGCTCGTCGCCGTGGAGGAGGGTGGGTTGAACGAGTTTGCGGTGGGGGAGGCAGGCTCGATGGTGAGCGAGGGGAGCTTGCGCGCAGCTGGCTGTAAAGAAGCACGCCGAGACGCAGGCTTGGGCTTCGCAGGGAGGTCCTTGGCCGACATGGACGATGGTGTCACCGCAGACGTGCTCTTGACGGTGGACGCGGGCGTGCCAGGAGCCGCAGGGGACGATGTCTCGGTCTTGACACGATGGGGCGAATCTGCTGGGCCGAGGGCGGTGTCAGAGGGGTCCCTCCTTCCGCCGAGTCCACCGGAATATGCAGTGCCCCCACCGACCCTGCTGCCCGCACGCCCCCCTCTGCCCCGTTCGCCGCCCCGTGCGCCCCGTGCGTGTCGGCCGAGCCCGCGGAACGCAGAGCCCCCGTCTGCGCGGCCCCAATCCGACGCGCGTGTGCTGAGGGGGTCTGGGGCGAGCTGGGGCGGGCGGGAGGACAGGGAGGCCATGTGGGAGGATGAGAGCTCGGGCACGGTATCGCGCGGTGCTGGGGCTGCACATTTATGCATGTGGGACGTAAACTTGGTGCCGTGCGCAGGGATGGAGAGGGCCCGTACATACCAAGGTAGATTCGGGCGTTCGGGGCCTGCAGGAGCGAGGCAGAGCGGTGTCCGTTCGACGGCTGCGAACGAGAGGTGTGTGCAGGTTGAGGATGGAGTGCGAGGAAGAGGACCGAGGACGATATAAGTATTTACAGCACCGCCGAGAGGAGTTGAGGCCAGCCACACGGGGATACCAAACAGCTGCAATCACTCCGGGTGGCGCCGCCGCAGAGCCCAACATCCGCAGCCTCATCGCCCCCAACAGCCAGCCATGTCGAAAGCATCCCAGCCAGAGCTCAAAAAGGTGCGCTCTCCCGTCCGACAGCGTCTGCCCCGGCGCTCATCCCACCCACAACCGCTGTAGTTCATGGACAAGAGGCTCTTCGTCCACCTCCAGGGCGGCCGCAAGGTCAGCGGCACCCTGCGCGGCTACGATCTTTTCCTCAACCTCGTCATCGACGACGCGTTCGAGGAGACCACCCCCGCACAAAAGCACCCCATCGGCACCGTCGTGCGTCCCCCCCCTGCCCCTTCTTTCCCGCCCGTGTCCCGCCCCCTGCTGATGCTGCCCCCTGCCGCCGCCGCGCATCTATCTCTCTAGGTCATCCGCGGCAACAGCGTCACATCGATGGAGACGCTCGAGGCCATCCGATAGTACTCACCTCAGGGGGCCCGTGCTCGAGTACCCGTACGAGCTGTACGAGGCTGTGGAGAGGCGGTCGTGCTTGTATTTTTTTCTGCCGGTAGGCTCTTTGTCGCTGTGTTATCAATCCCATCAACTCGCATTCGCATCGAACGTCTTTCGCTGCGCTGCCCTGTCGCCGTTTCTCAATAATGCACGCGATTGCGGCTGTCGCTTGTTCAGACCGACAGGGATCATGACCCATCCTTGATCGTCGTCCTTGCCATGTCGACCGACGCATCATGGACGTGATCGATGCCAGGACAACATGCGAGGAGATGCAAGGCTGCACGTATGATCGGATGCTTACCGTAGCACTACCGTAGTCGACTTGTCTTCCCATTTGATCTCCAAATACTCCGTACGGACATAAGACGCAAACAATTTGTGTTTGACACTTCGTACAACAGCCTATCTCAGGACATATACCCAGATATATCCTCGAACACTTTTCTCAACGCACGCAGGACCGCAGGTTCTCTCTGTGTTCCAGAGTGACAGTTTGCAACTTTGCACAAGGCCTTTCAAGAAGCTCTCAATAGCGAGGCGGCCCTCGGAGAGGGCCTTGGGAATTAAAACAGCTATCTGCCATGAGATTGCGGAATGTACAAATGGTGCCAGGTGGTGCCCGGACGGCTGTGTAATCTCAGAATATACCCAGATATACCCTCAAACATGAAAGAAACATCGAACAGTTAGATCTCTGCCTCGACAATGCTTATAATTTTCATAGGATGACCGTGGGAACCAAAACCCTATCAAAAAAAAAACCCCCCAACCCCAACCCCAGCCCCAACCCGCCCAATCTCACACAACACTCATGCTAAGGTTAGGGTCAGCCCTCCGCCGCATCAAAAATAAAGAGGCCCGCCCAGCCAGAGTGGCCAAAGCGGGACCAGCCAAATATATAGACAGTGCATGCACCGAGGCACACACAAACCACAGGTGCCCCCTGCGGACAGGGTCGCCGTGCTATGGGAGGCTCCCGTGGCCCACGAACTCGGGTCCGTGAAGGAGCTCATGCCGTCAAGGTAAGTATGAGGAGATATGATGGAGGGGGGCGGGGTTATATATGGGGGGGCGGGGCGCACGGACCAGGTGCGTTTGGGCGCGGGGGTGGGGGTAGTGGTGGTGGTGTGTGGTGGTGACGCAGCGGCCGCATGGGCTCGCGCGGATCACGGCTCCGAGACGCTCCGGCGACACCAAGGAACAAGATGCTACACGACGGCACTAAGACCCTCTAAGACCTCACTAAGATGGCTATCTTGCAAACTTGAATACTTCCTCTCCGAGACATCACGAAACCGATCGCCACCGTCGATCACACATCCCTACACATCCCTACACATCCCTACAGTATCCCTGCACATCCCTACACCCACCCACACCCAAACATCACAGCACTATCTATTCGCACAGTAACCAGTAAACCACGTACATGCGCTCCTCGAGCCCGAGGGAACCCGACCGAGCCGAAAAAAAACAACTTAAAACGCGCCGCACGGCGCACACAAGCATCTGCAACGTCAAAGTGAAAGACGCAGACAGGGAAAAAAAAATACACGCATGTAATGGATTGAACAATGTGCACATGGGAGGGGGAGGCGGGGGAATAATGATCAAAGAACAAACACATCAATCAGATGGAACAGGTTTGTGTATATGTATGGACGTATGGATGAACGTATGGATGTATGGATGGATGCGCAGGACGACGTCGTTGAATGTAAAATACGAGATCGGTCGCGGGTCGTTGGTACAGGCGGGGCGCAAAGACAAGACAAGACGGGGGGGCAGCGGGCGGCATTGATACAGCGGCATTATGTGTGCTAGGCGTGTGTTCGAACGGAGAAAGCGGAGCGGGGCGCGCATCACGTCGTGCGCGTAAAAAAGAAACCCCGCGTTGGGAGGAAGGAGCGGAGGAGAAACTGGAACGGACGTGCGGGTGAGGTGGGGTTCAGCAGCGATCGACGGCGGGCATCACAAGTGCATCGGGCTCTGCGGCGCATCGATCGTGTTCGGGTCTAGGACGGCGGCATGCCGCGCGAGCGAGCTCTCGCCGTCCACCCCACGCTTGTGCCTGCGCCCGAGCAAAGTCGCGCCGTCGAGCTTGAGCTCAAACCCAGCGCGATTCGACCGCCTCGGCGCGTCCCGCTGACCCGCGCGCCCGTCATAGATCTCCTTCGACCGCTCGACCGCCGTGCCCTCCACGTGGTCATCGTCCTCGTCCTCGTCGTCCTCGTTCAGTCCGCCGAGGAGCCCCGCCATGCCGGCACCGCCGCGGCCCTTGTATGCGCGCCGCCGCGCGCCCTCTTCCTCCATCCGATGCACGGCATACGTGATATCGAACGCTTCCTTCAGCGTCGCGAGACCCGGAGAGCGACCGTCGCGCCCGCCGCGGGCAGAGTACAACAACGGGGAGTCTATGGGCATTTCCACAATCCTGGGCGTGGGCGGGGGAGGAGGGGCCGGAGCAGCATTGCACCAGGGATGAGCGAGGAACTCGTCGATGGTGTATCGTTGAGCGGGATCGATGCAGAGCAGATGCGTGATGAGGTCTTTGGCTGCACAAGGGAATCGACAAGGGCTTCCAAGTTACCATATGAAAAGCACTTACCCGACGAGCTGATATCATCCCACCAAGGGCTCAAAAACGTGTAGTACCCTCGAGCGACCTTTTCCGTGAGGACGTTGATGCTCTCGTCGTAGAACGGCGGGAAGCCGCACAGAAGCGTGTACAACACGCATCCCATCGCCCACATGTCGACGCTCTTCGAGTACCGCTCGTCCTTGACGATCTCAGGCGCGGTGTAACCGACCGTTCCGCAGGGCGTCATGGTCTCTTCGTTCCATACGACTTTGGACAGACCGAAATCGGCGATCTTGACGCGCCCGATACCGCCACCTCCGACGCCGGGTATGAATTCGCCTTCGTCCTCTTTGTCCTCGTCGTACTGCCGTTGCACGGGGTGCTTGGAGGGAATGATGGGTATGCGCTCGAAGAGCAAGTTTTCGGGTTTGATGTCCCTGCAGCGAGAATGAGCGTCACCGCAGCCTCCGTGCGCACCACAAAATGACGTACCGATGAACGACACCGCGCTCTTCGTGCAGATATCTGATCCCGTGCGCGACCTGGAGGATGACATGTCTCGCGAGGTTCTCGCTAAAGTACGTGAGCTTGACGATCTGATGGAACAGTTCGCCGCCCTCCAGCACTGATTGCGGGGATCAACAGGGAGAAGCGGGGACGGCAAGGGGATGCCTCACATTCCAGGACCAAGAAATAATGTTCTTGCGACTCTGAGAACGACAGGAGCTTGACGACCGAGGGGTGGCTCGTCGTCCGCATGATCTGGACCTCTGGACGGGCGGACAAGCGAGCGCGCGCGTGTACCTGGTCAGGCGACGAGCTGAGCAAGAACGGAGGCGACGTTACCTTTGAGGATATTTGCGCGCTGCGGAACGAGAAGCGAGGGTCAGAGACACGATGGGCGAGACAACGGTCGAGATGTGGAAACGAAGAGAAAAGGGACGGGACGGGGACGAGAGGCGAACTGCACCTCTGTGACGCGCGGTTTCTTCTTAAACCGGGGGTTTAGGTGCTTGTCGTCGGCCTTGCGAGGGCGGACGAGCACGCGATATCAACGGGCGGCATGGCGAGGCTGAGGTCAGAGGAGGGAAGGAAAGCGAGAGAGAGAGAGAGAGGCGGGGCGGGCGCGCGGGAGAGGACACTGACCTGGGTCGTGGTGAGCTCATACTTGCGGACGACCTTGACTGCGGGGGCGAGACGGGGCCGCGTGAGGAGGGCGACACGCGAGAAGACCTTCCCAAAACGGACGCACCTGCGACTTTCTTGCCCGAAGCGAGGTCGAGGGCCTTGTACACGTTCGAAAACGCGCCGCTAGATAGGGGCCATCGGGGCGTGAGATCCACGGGATCTATGTAGAAAAGAAGGCGGACAGACGCACTCTCCCATCTTGACGACGAGCTGGAAGCGCTCGAGGCCCTTGTATTGCGGGATCTTGTCCTTCGCCTCGCGCTCTTCCTGGACGATCTGTTCGACCTCGCGGGCGTATTGCTGGGACTTTGCCTGTGATTGGGACGAGGGCGGTTGTGGAGCGGCTGCAGGCTCCGGCTGCTGCTGCTGCTGCTGCTGCTGGTGCCGGTGCTCATGGCGGGGCTGTGCCTGGTGCTGAGCGCGGTGGTGGGAAGACTTATCGGGAGGAGGGTTTGCGGCGGTGGTGGTCGGAGGAGGAGGGGGGGACAGCTCTGTGTCCTTGTGATTATGGCCCTTGCCATGTCTGATGAGATCTGGAAGAGAACCGACGGGTGAGTTTGTAAATCGCGGATGAGCGATAAGAGGAAAGAAGGCACTCTTGAACGCGTCGACGACGGCGCCTGGAGGCATGGCGAAGGAGCTGGGGGGCGAGGGGGACGGCGGTGGGAGTGTGTGTGTGTATGCGTGTGGCAGACGTGGGGACGGAGAGCGGGCTGCTGGGTATGGCCGACAAGGGACGCGGGCGTTTGGACTGGCGACGGACCGCCCGCTGTTTTGGAGACCTGGCCCTGACGTCACCGCCCTCGCCGTACGTCATCCTGTTGTTCACCCGCTCCCACACACAGTCCGCAGACCGGCCCATTGCTGGCTTACTGTACTTAGATCCATACGTCGCCGGGCGTCCCAACTAGGCTACTCTACACTGGCACCACGTCCACCGCCACGTCCACCGCCACCGGGCCTCACGACCGCTCCCCGCCGCCCGTGCCTGTCCGCAACCCAGCCCCCGCGAACACGCTCGGCGCCCGCCGCCGCCCCGCCGAGTCCGGCGTCCCCACCGGCGTGCCACGCTCCACGTCCTGCCACGAAGCCGCCGGCGACTGCGGGGGCGTCCGCACCAGCAACAGTCGCTGTTTCCAGCCCACACATTCAATATCGTCTTTGTGAAGAGGAGCGCACACACAACGCACCTGTGCGGGCGAAACACCCACGAGGCTCAGCGAGCTCGGCCTCGGCCTAAGCACAGGCACCACCCCCGCCCTGCCCGCCACCGCCGCGGCCTCCCCCCGGTCCCCCCTCCGTGGCCCCTCCGGCCCCACGCCCGCGTCACCGGCCGCCTCCTCGCCCCCCTCCCCCGGCGCAGACGGCGCCCACGCGATGATCCACACCCCCGCGAACGTCGCCCCGCACCCGTACAGGAACGTCACGAACTGGTGGAACTTCGCACGCCGGAAGTCCCCGTAGAGGATCGCCGAGCCCAGGATCGCCGACAGGTTGAACAGCACGAACTGGATCGGGATCACCACCTATGTGCGCGCGCGCGCGCTCGTATCAGCCCCGACCGACCGACCGACCGCGCGCAGGGACGCACCTTGCTGTCGTAGCGCATCAGCGCGCGGTTCAGGTATTTAATCTGGCCGATGCCGGTGCCGATCAAGATCTGAGTTGCGTGCGTTCTCTCAGCGCGACCTGTCGAGAGACGAGCGAGGAGCGGGAGGAGGAGGGCGCACCGCTAGTATAGGATACGTGATCCACTCTGCGAACACATCCATGTACTCCATCGTAAGCAGCGTCGACACGCCCTTCGTCGCGAGCACCGTGAACCCGCCTGTCGCGCGCGCGCGAAACGTAAGTCCTCGTCTGAACAGAAAGCGAAAAGCAAACGCGAACGCACCGAAGAGCGCGCAGAGCCCGATGTCCACGAGGACCCACTCGCCGCGCTCCGACAGGCCGGCGAGGACGACGGCGCCGACGAGGTACGCGACGGAGTACGCGACGAAGATGCGCTGCTGGACGGCCGCGAGGAGCGCCGCGGGCGGGAGGCGCGTGTCGGACGGGTTAGACGAGAGCACGACGGTCACGGCGCCGACGATCGCGAGCAGGATGCCCAGCAGATCGCGCTGATCGCGCGCGACGACGGTTGGTCTGGCGTGAGCCGACTCGCGCGCGGGCACGACGGGACGGGGGACTTACGCGGCGGAAGCGCTCGCCCAGGAGCAGCGGGGCGAAGAGGCAGTTCGCGATGAGCGCAAACTGGGGGCGCGCGCGCGCGCCGCGGGCGCAGGGTCACTGTCAACGGTCGATGCATCGCATGCGGAGGACGCACCGTGCCTAGGGGCGCGACGATCGACGCGGGCGCGAACGCGTACGAGATGAAGTTCCCCAGCTCGCCGACGTTCATGAGCAAGAACCCGGCCCACCTGCGCGCGCACGCGCACTCAACATCGGCATCGCAGCGGATTGAGAGGCCAGCGGACGCACCACAGCTTCGACTTGAGATAATCAGACTCGCTTCCCTCGTTCCCCTCATCCCCGCGCCCCCGCACGCCCTTCCTCCCCCGCGCAGCGCTCATGCGCCGCCCCTTCTGCCCCGCGCCCACCGCGTCCGTCTCCCACCGCAACACCGCGCCGAACGCGCGCCGGGCCCGCCCCTTCCCCTTCTTACCTGCGGCGCTCGCTACCATCTGTGCGTTCCGCCGCGGGCCGAGCGGGACCTCCTCGACGATCGCGCCGTACGTCCGCGGCGCAGGGTACTCGGTGCTCGAGAGCGACGGCGACGGCGAGGCCGCGCGGATCGGGACGAGCAGATCCGTCTCGGACGCCTCGCCGTCGCCGTCCCCCCGCTCTTCCTGAATGCGCGCGGCGTGCGCTCCGAACTCCGCCCCCGCCCCCGCGCGTGCGGCGCGCTCGCGCTCGAGGCGGCGGTGGGCGAGCTTCTGGAGGTTGAGTGCGAGGCTGATGAGGACGTTGCCGGCGACGGCGACGGCGATGCCTGCTGCGGTCGCGCGGGAGAGCTCTGGCCATTCGACGTCGATGCCCTGTATCGAGGGCGGCATTGTGGGCGGGCTTAGGCGAGTGCGCGGGTGTAGAGTAGCGAGTGCGCGGGTGTAGAGTAGCGAATGCTGGCGCTGTACGGCGCCGTGTGCGGCACGGGGAGGTGGATGGGAGGATATAAGTAAGGGACGGACGGGGGGGTGCAGCCAGGCGATCGCGGCTTCGGCCACGTTCCCACGGGCCATAAAGCAGCATTACCGCAGACACTGCGCTGTATCACCCCGAACGACTGCTCGCATGCGGGCTCGACACGTAGCGCACGCCGTCCCCGCCTTCCCCGTCTACTCCGCCGCCTTCCTCTCCCCCTCCGAGCTCCTCCTCGGCGGCGGCGGCGGCTCCTCCAAGAGCGGCATCAAGAACAAGCTCGTGCGTGCATCCTCGCTGCCCCTCCCCGCGTTCGCTCACAGACGCCGCCGTGGCCATCGCGACAGAGGCTGTACCGCGTCGATGAGTTCCTCTCCATGAAGCTCGCAGACGAGCTCGAGCTCGACGCAGGCGAGGACGCCCCGATGAGCATGGCCGTCGACCCTTCGGTGCGCACCCCCTCCCCTTCCCCTCGTGCCTCGCACGCACGCGAACCTGACGACCAAATGCCCGACCGACCGCGCTGCAGACGCGCATCCTCGTGTGCGGCATCAACAGCACCCCGGAGAAGATGGAGAGCGGCCAGAACCAGAACTGCCGTCTGTACGCCGTCGGCGGCACCCAGTGCGTGTCCCTCCCTCTCCCTCCCTAACACACGCGCGCACACACACGAATCCCCGTCCTAACCCCCCCCCCTTCTCTTCTCCTCCCGTCGCCCCCACGACCGATCCCGCGCGCCGTTCTGCTCTGTGCCTTCCCGCGCTCTCGCGCGCAGGATCAAGCCCCTCACCGCGCTGGGCACCCTCAAGTCGGACGACCCGGAAGACTACCAGGTCCGTCCGTCCGTCCGTCTGCTCTCCCCCCCACACGCGCAGAAACGCATGCTGATTCGATCGCACACATAGCGGGTGACGACGGTCTCCCCGGACGGCCGCTACGTCGCCGTCGCCGGCACACACGACGTGAGCCCCCCTCTTCCACCCGGCGTCGTCGGCTCCGTCCTCGTGCCTCGTGCTCACGCTCACGATCGTGTCCCCGCGCGCAGCTCACCGTGCTCGGCCTCCCGTCCCTGGCCCCGATCGGCACCCGCCTCGAAAAGGACGAGATCTACGACGTCGCCTTCTCTCCCACCTCCGTGCGCCCCTCTACCTCGCCAGCACGCACACCGGCTGACCCCTCTGCAGGTCATCGTCGCGACGACGGCCAACCTCCAGATCTACGCGCTCCCGCCTGGCGACGACGACGAGTCCGAAAAACAAACACGTGCGTCGAAGGGCAAGGGCAAGGGCACAGACAAGGGCGCGCCCGCGGCGCCGCTCAAGCACCTCCGCACCGTCGAGCGGCCGAAGCTCCCCGGCGGCGAGCCCCAGAGCGCCTTCCGCGCCGCCCGGTACGCCCTCCCCCCTCTTCCCCTTCCTCTTCCCCTCGCGGGCACACCGGCTAAGCGCACGCGGCACGGCAAGGTTCAACCCGCAGGACGCGCGCGCGTTCTACACGGTCGTCAACACCGCGCCGGCGCGCGGCAAGGGCGCGCGGGGCGCCAAGGCGGCGCCGCGGCGCGCGTACGTCGTCAAGTGGGACGCGGGGGCGTGGGCGGTGGATAAGGTGAAGAAGGTCGGGGATAAGGGCGTCACGTCGTTCGATGTTAGGTGCGTGCGCGCGGCGCTGTTCCTAGTGTGCGTGCTGAGGGCTGGATGGCTGGGGCGGGCGGTGTAGCGCGAACGGGAGGTGGCTTGCGTATGGGTCGTCGGATTTTACGATCGGGCTGCTGGACGCGCAGACGCTCACGGTCAGTCGCGCGCGCCCTCTCTCCATCGCACCGCCTCTCACTTGCTGACGCCCCCCCGCGAACGCGACCGCGACCGCGCCCGCACAGCCGCTCCTCTCGATCCTCAAAGCGCACGAGTTTCCGTCGACGACGCTCCGCTTCAGCCCGTCCTCGCGGCTGCTCGTCTCGGGCAGCGCGGACAACACCGTGCGGATGATCGCCGTGCCCGAGACGCTCGGCGACAGCGGTGCGTGCCGTCCCTGTCCTGCCGCCTCGCGTCTCCTCCTCCTCTCATGTGCGCGGGCGCTCGCTGACGCGTTGCGGTTGCGGTTGCGCAGCGTGGGGGATGTACTTCGTGCTCCTGATGGCGGTGTTCGTCGTGCTGTTCGCGCTCGCGGTGCAGCTCTTCGTCGTCGGCGCGCTCTGAGCGACGGCGGCGCGTGGCCTGGGCTTGGGTGCTGTTCGCGCGGCGTGGTGGAGGATGGTGGAGCTCGTAGCATTTTGTCTTTCTATTCTTTCTCTTTCAATGGGACCATCGCAGAATACATCCGCGCGCCCACATCACCGATACACACAACTTCTAAGCTATTATACACTGGACGCGGGGCTAATCATAGTCGTCCTCCTCCACGAGCTTGCGCTTGACGCCGTTCTGCGCGGGTGGCGCGGCGGCGGCGGCGGCAGAGACCTCGAGCACCATCTCATCGGCGCTCTCTTCGTCGTCGTCATCGTCGTTGTCATCCTCGTCGTCGTCGTCCCCGCCGGCGAAGAGCCCGTCCTCCTCGTCGCTGCCCTCCTCGACCTCGCGCGCGACGCCGCCGATGCCGCCAGCCACGGGCATGTGCATGTGCATGTGCACGTCGACGTCGGACGGGGTATGGACCGCGCTGATGGGGTTCACGGGCGGCGGGACGGGAGCGAGCGGGGCCACGGGCGGCGCGGGGATAGTAGCGGGCTCCATATCCTCGTCCTCGTCCTCGTCCTCATCGTCGTCGCCGCCGTCGTCGGCGTCGGCGTCGGCGTCGGAGGCGGAGGCGGGCTCCTCGATCTCCTCGATCTCCTCGTCGAAGAGCTGCGGGGCGGGCGGGGGGGCGTTCGGGGCGAGGGCGAAGTCGACGGCGGTGAGGCACTCGGCGGGCGGGGGGAGGCGGAGGCCGAAGGTCTCTGGGACGGCGGGGAGGGGCTGGGCGTTGGTCTGCGTTGCGAGCGAGAGCGTGTACTGCGTGCGTGCGAGCGAGCGAGCGCCGGAATCAGCGTGCGCAGACGGGGGCGCGGCGGGGGCGCGTGGGCGTACCTCTTTTGGGACGCGGCCTGCGAACTCCCAGCCGACGCGGGCCTGGACTGCGAGGACGACGTCGTCGTGCTCGATCTTGTTCGGGCGGGCCGCGTGCTCTGCGTAGATGAGCGCGTCGGAGAGGACCTGGGCGGTGTAGCGGTTCGCGAACTCGAGGAGCTGGTGGAGGACGGCGGGGTGGGCGTCGTGCACGGTCGGGGTGGAGGCGAGGAGGAGGGCGACGGCGCGGGCGGTGGGCGGGAGGGCGTCGGCGGCGGTCGCGGTGGCCGTCGCGGTGCGGGACATGGCGGCGCGTGACTGTGACTGCGTGACGGGTTGGCCTGTGGCGATTGGCGGCTTTGGCGGGTGACGCAAGGCAGCAGCCAGTCGTTGAAGCTCCGCCAGCCGGGCCGGGGTGCAGCCGGGGACTGACCCACCCACGCCGGTTGCGTTCTCTCTCAGCAACCAACGACCATGTTCCGCTCGCTCTCGTCCACCGTCCGCACAGCAGCCCCCCGCGCATCCCGCCTCGCCCCGCGCCCCGTCCTCGCCCGCGCATACCACGAAAAGGTCATCTCCCACTACGAGCAGCCCAGAAACGTACGTCACGCCCCTGCGTCTGCCCAATCCCCGCCGCCCGCGCTATCTGATAACCCGCGCTCACTGCACCCCCTCCCTCCCTCCCTCTCGAACAGGTGGGCTCGCTCCCCAAGAACGACATCGACGTCGGCACAGGCCTCGTCGGCGCACCCGCGTGAGCCCCTCGCCGCCACCGCCGTCGTCGCCCACGCGCTGACTCACGCCCTCCCCCATTTTTTTCACACAGGTGCGGCGACGTCATGAAGCTCCAGATCCGCGTCGACGAGCACGGCATCATCTCCGACGTCAAGTTCAAGACCTTCGGCTGCGGCAGCGCCATCGCCTCCAGCTCCTACATGACCGAGCGCGTCAAGGGCCTCTCCCTCGAAGAGGCCGGAAAAATTAAAAACACAGAGATCGCAAAGGAGCTCGCCCTGCCCCCCGTCAAGCTCCACTGCTCCAGTCCGTAATCCTTCCCCGTCGTCCTTGCGGTATCGAAATGCTCACGCGCTCGGCCCTCGCTGTCCCGCAGTGCTCGCGGAGGACGCCATCCGCTCCGCCATCCGCGACTACCACTCCAAGCGCTCCAAGATGTCGGACCCCAAGAAAGCCAAGGGCTTCATCGACGTCTCCCAGAGCGCAGCCACCGGCCAGACCGTCGCCACTGCCCACCCCGGCGGCGAGTAATCCCGCCGTCGCCGCCTCCTCCATGGACCCCTATCCGTCTTTCGTTTCTTCTTCTCGCTTTTCGCTGTCGGTTTCTTGCGCTGGAGCCCCCTGTAGTGTACGATATCCACTATTGCATCTTACATATATACACATCGTCATCGCATGCACCTTTTTCTCGATCCGCGAAACGTGTGGGAGCAGATGAAAAGCAAATGATAGAGTACAGGGGTAGGTGAACGGTGCAGTCGAACAGGCTAGCCTGACCCTTTTTGGCCCACGAACGAGAACGTGCCGCCCGCGAACCACCGGTCGTTGGCCTCCTTGACGCGCTGCGCCGCCGCAGCGGGGTTCGTCAGCTCGAAGCCTGCCGTCGTCGGCGTCGCCATCATCACCACCGTCGGCGTCAGGTGTGAGAGAGGGAGGGAGGGCAAGCGACGCACCTTGCACGGGCGTGACGACCAGGGACGACGCCGTGCCGGACGCCTGCGAGGACTGCGCGGCGCGCGTGAGCGCCGCGGTGCGCAGCTTGTTCGCCTTGGACATTTTTGCTGGCGACGCGAGGAGAAAAAAAAAGAAATCAGCACCGCCGGGCCGACGACACTCACGGTAACAAGGAAGACAGAACAGGACTGGAGCGAGCGCGTCCAGTGCCTCGAACGCGCCGCGTCGGGCAAGGAAACGCAAAGGAAACGCAGGGAGAGGGGAAGAGGGGGGAGATGCTCACCGCGGGACTTCGCCTCGCCCATGCTCGCGCGGACCTTGCCCGTGCCGCCGCCGATCATGCCGAGCCCCTTCGTCTGGTCGAACGCGCCGACCTCCTCCTCCGCCTCGCCGAACGCCATCCGGTTCGAGAGCTTCCGCAGCTCCGTCTGCGCGTACGCCTCCTTCGCCTTGCGCGCGCTGCCCGCCGCGCAACGACATCGGAGTCAGACCGTCAGCCGGTGCGTTTCGTCGAGCGAGGAAAGGGGGGGGGGGCTCACCGCTTGCCGCCGCGCCGCTTCTTGGGGCCGTCGTTCGGGATGGGGAGCGCCTTGACGACTTTGGAGGGCGGCGGGGCGGTCAGGCGGTCGAGGTGCTTCTCGATCTTGTCGCGCAGCTCGTCGCCGTACCCGCCTGCCCAGCGCAGCCGCAGCGATAAAAAGACGTCCGCGTCAGCACGCCCGCGGTCATCGGTTAGAGGACAGGAGGGCGAGGAGAAGAAGGAGAAGCGCTACTGACCGTCGCGCCGCCGCCGCTCGAGGTCCATCCGCGCGGCGAGCACGCTCTTGGCGCCGACCGCGCGCTGCAGCTTCAGCTGGTACTCGGCCGGCGTCTGCTGCACGAGCTCGGACTGGTACACGAAGCCCGTGTGGCGGCGCTGCGTCGCCGACGAGAACCCCGCCGCGATCTTGCGCTGCGCGCCGAGCAGCTGCGAGCGTGCACGGGTGCGCGATAAAATATGAACGGCGTTAATCATCATCGACAACAACAGGCGCGAAAGGGCGGATCGGGGGTCAGCGTCGGTGAGTGGGGGCGCGGGGGCGGGGGGGCGGGACGACGCACGTGGACGTTGCACGCGGGCATCTTCGCGAGCCCGGCGAGCCCGCCGGCGACGCCGAGGAGTTTCGCGGCTGTGGTGGTCCCGACGATGGCTGATAGGTTGGGCGCTAGCATGTTCATACGCGAACTCACGTACATGAATATCTGCGCGCCGTGAGCGACCGGTTCTGAGAACGGAGAGGTTCGCGTTGCGCACCTTTTTGCGGGCCTCCTCGAGGCGGTCGGCGAGGTCGCATGCGCGTTCTACGGTGTTCCATGCTGCTTCTGTGAGAGGCTGGCCGGAGGTCGTTGTCGCCGTGACGAGCACGCTCATGATGACCGCGGGCGGCAGGACTCCTTGCAGGTCTGCTTTGGTCGGGTCCTGGGCAGAGCATCAGCGCTCTCTCGCGCTGCACGCAGAGAGAGAGAAACGCGAGGCGCACCTCGTGGTTCGCGAGCACGCGGACCGCGCGGATGTACATGTTGGGGTCCGCGACGAGCTGCTCGAGCTCGGGGAACTTTGGGGCGTAATGGTCTCGGATAAACTAGAATAAACGCGCGCGGAGGAAGGGGGGTGTCAATACCTGCGGCGAGGCGACGACCGGGCGCAGATAGTTGCCTTGCCTTGTGCACGACGAGGATTTCGTTGTCCACGTCGACGGAGAGGTTGTTCGCCTGCACGATGACGTTGTATTCCGGGTTGGAGTGCGCGGGCAGGGCCATCTGCTCCGCGGGCGAGGGCTGCGCCTGGTACTTCTCGATCTCCTGCATATGCGGGCGCGCGCGCGTAAGCGTGGGCGTGAGCATCAGCGACAGCGCTAGCGCTGGAGGGGGCGCGGGGGGGCACGCACCTTGAGGATGTCTGCCATGCGCTTGCTGCCTTCGAGCTTCGCGACCTTGGTCACGTCGTCGATCCCGCCCAGCTCCATCCGCTGCACCTCCTCCGCGTCGAGCTCCTCCGCGGGCTTCACGCCGCCCTCCAGCACGAGCCCGCCCGCCTGCTTCTCGTCGCCGCCTTCGCCGCCCTCCTCGTCGCCCTCTGACATCCCGTCGTCGGACGCGGAGGCCTTGCGCTTCAGGCCGTTGGCCGACGGGGTGGCGTTGTGCGCTTGCGCCTGCTCCTGCTCCTGTTCGTCGTTGATCTCGTCTCCGTCGTCGGAGAGCCCGTCGAGGTCGGCCAGGAGTTCGTCTGCGAGTCCGCTCATTGGCAGATGTGGACGGTGGAAGGGGTGATGGTGGTGGACGGTGGTGGAGAGTGGAAGCGTCTTTGAAATCGCGTAGCGCGCAGGCACGTGGCACGGACGTTAGCTGAAGCTCGACCGTCCATCCACTGTTCCGAAAGCAAGCTTGCGAACATCTAGCTCCATGAGTACGATGAATTCTACAGGAATGTACGCAAATACTCCGTCAGAGCCAACAAGGCGAGGCTCTGGCCGTATGGCATGCTCGTCAGCGGGATCTTTTTGTATTCCTCCACCTCGTCGAACACCGGCGTGCCAAACGAGACCCTCTGCAGCTCCCCCCTCTCCGAAATATTCCCCAGTACCGCCTTCACCGCCTTCTCGGCCGCGGACACGTATCGCGCCTCCCGGGGAATCAGCCGCAGCCTCAGGGACTTGAGGATCCCGTACGCAAACCCTGCCGTCGCGGAGGCCTCGAGGTAGGAGGTGGCGTCGTCGAGGATGGTATGCCATAAGCCCGTTTCTGGATCTTGCAGCGCGACGAGGGCGTCGATCTGGGCTTTGAGCGCGGAGACAAGGAACAGGCGGACGCCGTCCGTCGATGGCAGCTGCAGCAGCTCGATGAAGTCGGGGATGGAGACCGTTATCCAGCAGTTGCCGCGTCCCCATCGCGCGCGCCCGAAATGATGGCGCCCGTCGAACGTCCACCCTGCTCGCATTGCATTCGTCAGGATAGTTCTATGAACGCGGTGAGAACACCGTACCGTGGAACCACAGACCCGTCTGCGGATCGGCCAGATACTTTACGTGCAGCAGGAACTGCCGCTTCGCCTCCTCGACGTACTCCGGTCGCCCGAGCACCAGCCCGATCTTCGCGAGCGGGAGGACGCTCATCATCAGCGTGTCGTCCCACAGCTGCTGGTGGTTCTCCACCAAGTACGTGATGTGCTGCAGCCCGCCTTCCTCTGTCCGCGGCATGTCGTGCATCACCCACTCCGCCCAGGCGTCTAGGTGCGCGCCGTAGTTGGCGTGCCGCGCCTCGTGCAGGTAGGCTGCGGTCAGCAGGGGCGACATTGTGTTGACGTTCTTCGTCGTGCCGATCTCGAACCGGTCCTTGAACCAGGCGAGAGCTATGCGCAGCGCCTCGTCGTCTCCGGTGATCTCGTGGAACTTGAGAAGACCGTACAATCCGATTCCGTGCGTCCACTGCCATCCGCGCCCACATCAGCCGTATTTCTAACACCTTTTATAGCAGGGTAGGTGCTGTTGGCTCACCTCCCAGTCGTTCCACCCTTTGGTGTCGATAACACGCCCGTCCTCGAGCGTCATCAGGAACTCCCCCGTCTCATCCTTGATGTTCACCAAGCAGTCGATGAGGCTCCTGATCTGCTTCAGGAGCGCAACCTTCTTCGGGTTGACGTTCGCGGCAGACATGCTTGTTTGATGTAATAGCAAGAAGGTTTATTCGGTGCATCGCTCCGTGTCCTGGTCGTTATTTGAGGAGGCCTTGACTGCGATCGGAACTGGCTCTCATTATGGACGGCAGCGGGCCGGGGATCAGTCCGGACCGCTTTTTACGCCCATGGAGATCAGCTGCCGGGATACTTACACCTCACATTGTTCGTGAATGTGTTCTGCCGCCTCAATGTTAATTAATCCCGACTCGTCGGGGCACTCGTTGGATCTGTGTTCGCTGCACATATGGCCCACAAACTCCATGCATCTTCACCGCGAATGGATGGAGTACTCGGACGGCGTGGCCTGGGTATCTGAGGGTATCCGCCGGCTGATAGCTGCAATTTTTAAACCAGCTTGCACATCTTCTAGGCACATCTACTTCTCTGCGCCCGATTCGTGGGGCCCCACGGGGTTCGAAGTGCCAAGCACCCTCAAGCACCGCGCCGCTGTTCATGGGACTCGCATCTTCTCCATAAAGTTCAACACCAGGGCCTATTCAGGGCCGTCGTGTCTCGCTAGCGGCGTTGGCGATATATAATCGCTGAAGGCTCTCCTCAAACCAGGCGATCATCTTCGTCCTCCGAAGTCATGTCAGCTTTGGACAAGGACAGCCATGAGCCTTCCGTGCAGATCGAGGATACCGACAAGGATGTCTACTCTTTCCGGAGCGCTTCTCCTGGGACAGACGGTGCGTCGTCGTATCCCCCTTTCATGTGCGACTGACGTATTGACGGATGCGCAGCACCTGTAAAGGGAATCGATGCGGAGATCGCCGAGTTCTTTGCCGACGCAGAGGCGGTCGGAAAACAAGGTGTCCCCGAGATTGACGACGCTACGAACAGACGCCTGCGATGGATGATCCACAAACGCGTTTTGGTTGTGATGGTCGTGACTTACTTTGCGCAGACTCTAGACAAAGGGTGCGTAACAAGCCTTCACAGCCGGGCTTGACTCAATGAACTTGGCGCGTCGCAGAACTATCAACTTCGCCTCCATCATGGGTATCCGCACGGACACGAATCTCCACGGACAGCAGTATGCTTGGTTGACGACATGTGGTCCGTATTGTAGCTCTGCATCAGGCGTCCATACACTGATTTTGATTGCATTCAACTAGTGTATATCGCGATGTATGCTTCTGAAGATTGACCACGTCCGAATGTCTAACTCACGGATTTCCCAGTCTCTGCTGGGAGTTCCCTGCCAACCGCCTCCTGCAACGCCTTCCGGTTGCGAAGCTCTTGGCTTTCAAGTACGTCCATCCGTCGACGTCGTCAGAGCTTCGCTATATGAATATGCGCCTTCGAAAGCATCACAGCTTGGGGAGCTATTTTGGCCTGTACTGCTGCATGCAAGAATTTCACTGGGTTGGTGATAGTACGCACCCTGCTTGGAATGTTTGAATGCATCTGCCAGCCCGCGTTCGTTTTCATGTGAGTACCACGATCGCGGCATCTCCTGCGCGCTCACCCTCCACTCTACAAGGTCTACCATGTGGTATACTCGGGAGGAGCAAGCTCTCGTGATTGGAGCGTTCTACTCTATGAACGGCTTCCAGCAGTGTGTTGGAGGTCTCATTGCTTACGGTATAGCACACATTGAGCACGCCAGGCTGAAGAACTGGCAAGTCCTATTCACGGTGTGTAGCTGCTTATTTCTCGTGAGCCGGTTCGCACCTCAACCAGAGATAGTTGCTTGGATGTGTCACAGCATTGTGGGGTATCTTCGTCTTGTGGTGGCTCCCCGACAGCCCGATGCGCGCGCGCTGCTTCTCCAAAGAGGATCGTCTTCTTATGGCTGAACGAGTGAGGAAAAACGAGACTGGGATTCAGAACAAGGAGTTCAAGGTGCGCGGGTTTTCTACGTTCGTGACACCAGAACTCACTTTGGTGTCTCAGACATATCAAGTAAGTGAGTGTTTATGTCGAGTTGACTCAGAATCTCGCCAAGATGATCTGACGATCGATCACAATCAGTCGAGGCACTCACTGATCCCAATGTTTGGGCCGTCACCTTGATATCGCTCACAAACGCCCTGCCGACTGGTGGACTCGGCGCCTTTTCGAATATCATCCTCAATGCTTTCGTACGACCTTCTTTCACAAGGCAGAAGGCAGATGCTGATTCATTCCTCTCTCAGGGATTCACTCAGCTCCAGACCTACTTGCTTGCTATCGCGCAAGGAGCAATCATTATGATATTCTTGTTCAGCGGAGCCTATCTCTCGAAGCGCTACAACCAGAAGCTCTTGTTTGCTTTCGTACGTAGCCAATGCACAAATACCTTTTCGGATGTTCCTTGAGCTTTCCTCGCAGCTGTACACCTTGCCGAACATCGCTGGAACGATCGTCTTCCTCAGTAAGCAAGAATCACTGTTTTACCACCGTGATTCTCTCTGAATCGATCCATCCAGTCGTCCCAACAAATCATCACACCAAAGTTGGATTGCTCCTTGCCTTCTAGTAGGTTTTTGCCATCCGCATACCTATTGGAAAGCTTCCAACCCTTCCAACCCTCCCTAGCTGTACACAGGGTTTTGGGGCGGTGGCTGTTCTGAATTTGGCAGTGATGTCTGGCAACGTAGCTGGCCGCACCAAGCAGGTCATTGCCTCTACGCTGGTATTCGTGTACGTCTCATAAGCCATCACGCAGTCATCAGAGATTTGATCGGGTATTCAATGGTTCAGTGCATGGGCCGTTGGAAATGCGGTTGGCCCCCAGGGTGCGTCATGATCGCTATCTTTCGCTGCCATCATCGCCATAACAATCTTTTCGTCATAGTTTTTAGAGCCAACGACGCCCCACGCTACATCAAGGCATTCATCGCTCACATGGTCGTTTATGGTGTCCAGCTGGTCGTGATAGTCACGTTGCGTCTGCGACTCATGCGTCTTAATGCTCTGAAGCGACGCGCACAGAAGGGCTTCGACGATGCAGCAAACAGGGTGCGCTACTATATGACCTCGTCTTCCTGCTGTTCCACCTCTGACCAGTGATCTAGGAACGAATTGAGCACAAACACGCATTTGACGATCTTACGGACAAGGAAAATCCGGATTGTAAGAATTCGACGCACTCTTAGAGATGGCTTCTGACAACAACATCTTTTACAGTCCGTTATGTCTATTGATCTCAACGAAAGCCTCTACTACTCTAAGGCGCATCTGCAATCCCGTGCCGCAGCCTTTTCTCATGACTTATACATACGAAGCTCAACTAATACGTATGAATGACGAGCGCTAACAAGAACTGCATGCCGAGCAAGAAATTATGTGTCGAACCCATACGTTCCATCTACTGTCAAGATGGACATCCCACCATCCTTTGTGACCCGTTTTCTCGTCTTGATCAACAGAGACCGACGGCCAAGTTGACCTAGCCTACGCTTTGTGCCGTTGCTAGCGCCGGTGGAAGGATTGTTTTCTTCCAGGATAGCGAGTCCGGACGGAGCCAAGACAATGGCTTCACCAGTCTTTGAATGATGCAACAGTTAGAAAGCAAGATATATGACTGGCAGTAAGCCAACACATACCTTCAGCTTGACGATTTGGTCGAACGTATCATGACCTGACAGATCCGCTGACACGTGTTTGGCTAAATGGTTCCACCAAGCTGATGATGAGAATCGGTGCATTATCGCCAGAGACGACAGCTCGATGAAAACAGGCGGTATGATGGTGGGCTCTGCGGTACACTACTTGGTATTGAGTTACACTGAGTCCGGTGTCACGTACCTTGCGTGCTCAGAACGACTCTCATCGCCATATGTCTCTGTTGACGGATGAGAGTCAACAACGCCTTCGTAAGTCCCGATGCGGCTCTGCTCTCGGAAAGATACTGTGTAAAGCGTGAGAGGTGTGAGACGTACAACAAGTAGGACAGTCAATACTTTATGAGCCTCGTCTACGACAAGGACTTTCCCGGTCGACACATCTGCTCTTTCGAAGAGACGGAGAAGAATCTCGAAAAGCCCGCAAGCGGAGGAAGAATCGATGAAAGGATCCGATAAATCTATTATAGTGATCCTCCCTTCACAGAAACGGGATTTTGAGGCTGTCTTTGGGATATTCGGCGAAGTGAAGGACATCAACAGATCTAATCGTTGTTGAATTCCACTCAACTGTGCGGGATTGAAGGTCTTTTTCTTCGTCTCAAGGATGTTGAGAAATTTTGTGTAAGTGTATTTCTCGCCCAAAGTGCGTAGAATCGCCTTCAACGTTGTATGATAAGTTCGCAAAAAGAAACGGCATAGTCTATCGATGAACATACCTTGACTGTCTGAATATAAAGGGGCGCGGCCTCCGACGAGCCAATAGCCATCATAGAAAGAAATGCAGAGGCATCAAGCTCCGATTCGGAGAGGTACAGTGGCTCCACTTGTACACGTTTTCCCAATGGTGCATATAAAGCTGTCATCCGGTTCAACGATGAGGGAGAGACATAAACGCGGATATCTGGCGGCTGCACGCCGCGGTACTGGCTAGCGCCCAGGAACGCAACCTCACAAGGCCTCGAGCTAGAACCGGTCTCACCAAAATGAAGGACCAGGCCGGACAGCGGCTTTTTAAGTTCCCCTGTGGCTGGACAATTCGGAATAAACATGCTCTCCAAGAGCACAGATACCGTGTGAGATTTGCCCGATCCCTGCACACCACAGACAACGGCCGAGAACGGGGCGTTCTACAGATCAGCACAGCGTCAACGATCCTCAGCATCCAAGGGCAAGTGACCAGGATTAATCTTACCGTATTCACATAAAGCCGTCTATCAGTTGGGGGAGACTGAGCTCCAGAAGGAGATCTACCTCGGGAGTCAGACCTTGTTCGCAACCATACCACGAACAGAGCCCTCACCGTATGCTCATGATTGTTCCAAGGACACCATACTGCAGGACATTTTTACCCAAATTAGCCTCAAGATACGCCTCTCGAGTGAAAATCGGCGCAGTTCGGAGCTCATGCGTCTCACTCTCCCCGCTATCCGTATTGAAGGAGAGATTGTTGAGGAGCAAACTTTCGTCCTAGATCATTAGTCAGCTTGCGAGGTTCGCGAAGTAAAGCCATCAAAAGGACTGACCTTTAGGTCAAAGTCGACTGCTGAATGACTGGTGGCTCCGTAATCAGAGGCTTTGACGAGCTTGTCGAAAATATGAGAACAACTTCGCACATTCTGATCGGTCTTACCGGGGTAGGCATGAGGATAGTAAAGTCAGGATTTGTGACTTTAGACAGTCGATATATAGGGACGGATAAACAGCTGTTTATCGCGACGAGAGCAACACGCTGAGAGGTATAGGTATGCAGCGTTTCACAATCAGCAATTGGAGGTGACAGGTAGACAGCTTCCTTGCCAGGGCTCCAGAAGGTTAACTGACCGTAACAACGTGATCCAGAAGTTATCAGCGCAGCAGCAGCCTTGTTCCGATCAAGAAAGGTACAAGTCAGATGTCAGCGTGGTGGACTAGCTGACGCTAAGCATTTCAGGAAAGGGGGTGCTGCTTCGCCGTATATATGGTGTCCACGATGCAAGCTGCGGCGGACGTTGACCACGCACTGGACCCGCCGCGTTTCTGCGTTCGCAGAACTCCCCTAATTCAGCTAAGATCCCGTCACATAGTTGGTCAAAGTCTTGAGGTTCCCATCCCTGGAAAGAATTAGTAGGGTGTCGGGTTTAAGGCGCGTTCTTAGAGTAAAAATTCGTACTAATCTTTCCATGTAGGTGAGAAGACCTGAGTGCCTTACAATTCTCTGCTACATCGGGATTCCAACGTAGTGCTACGCAATTCCAGAAAAGACAGACGCACATAAGAAATAGATCAAACTTGTGTTCTACGCGCAGCACTCACTCGACAGCCTCATGCGGAACGTAAGTCCAAATCAGCGAGAATGCACCGAAACAGGGTTTCTAGAATGATGTCGTATGCTAGCAACGTCAAGCACATGCGAATGGATTGCACATCGAGATGCTTAATTTCCGTCGACGATGTGTTTCCGGAGCGTCTCCGATCGGTATCACAATCACTATTCATCGATCCGCAGGGACAAACTACGGTCCCTCTATGTCTCAGAGATTACTGCCCTATGAATGAAATCAAGTCGCTTACTGGACTTACCAGATGAGGATAGATGCTTCTTCATCCGTCGTTATACGGCGTCGCACTATGACGAGTAGAAATCGATGGCCAAGTTGGGCGACAAGCCTGTTGAGAACTGGTCGAAGTTTGTCGTGGCCATTCCTGGTGGGGACAGGCTGGTGGCCTCGCCGGTCTGTCAATTAGGATGCAAATTTGTGAATGCCATTGAAAGTGATGCAAGCTCGTTGGCGCAACTTACTTTCAAGCGAACAATCTTATCGCACAGTTCATTCGCAGATATCTCTTCGGAAAAATATTGCCTTCTTCCAAGGTTGAAAATGAGACACAGTGATCATGGGACATGTGTCACTCAGGGCGGCAGGTATGGTAGCAATCCTGGAGCCCACTGTGACAGAAACATTCAACGAACTCACTGGACCCCTTTGATTTCGATGAAAATGCTGTATTGAGTCCCACCTCACACAACTCCTCCTTCCACATAGAAACATTGGTTTCTGTGACCTGAACACCATGGAATGGTCTCTAAGATCTTCGGGTTTTGAAGGGGACCTTCCTAAGAAAAATTGGGATGAGTAAATGAGGAAGACTTTTAAAGAAGACTACCTACCATGCGTCCACTCTATCATTCAAGGCCGAAGCTGAGATTGTCTGCGAGGTCACATAACACTACAGAGGACCAATCTGAGCAAGGGTGGACCTGCAGGTAGCATAGCTGTGCAAGTGCATGAGGTAGATCGAACGTACATACCCCTACCCATATCGAAGCTGCCAGTATCGCTGGGCCACTGCTGAACCCCGGTGTTCGAGAACCAAATCAGGAGTAGCGGTTTCAAAGCTCATCCGCCCATACGCGATCGATATAGCAAAGCTCTACTGCGGTCTGCTGCGGTACGCAGAATGGTGAAGAAAGTTTTGATTTATTGTCAAACACTAGTCCTCTAAGCAAGATGTTGGTTGTATGCGAACTCTAAGGCTGGCCAGTTTATGGATCAGTATGAAATCGAAAGGCCAATAACCAAGGAAGAGTCCAAACAGCATGCAAGATCGACAGACGGTGTTCGCATCATCGAGACAAGGGAATGAGAGGGAAAGCAGTGGGAAAGCGCGACAGTAGCGCGACCTCTTGCTCATGTGACTTCTGAGAAATCCTCACCCTGCTTTCCCCCTCCTTCCATTGGGCTAATTCCTGTCAGAATGGCACTATTCGAAGTTCCGGGCTGGACTATGCCATCCGCTCCAATGACGAACATATCGCAGCGTTCTGGAAAGCGCAAAAGGCCGTCAGATACTAGCAAGGTGCAGAGTGCAGAAGTAAACCTCGAGAAGCTCATGAAGAAGCTGAAGAAAAATGGAGAACCTACCTCCCTGCAAGCGAAGGGAAAAACAACCCGGAAAATACCCGATGCCTCAATTGCCCGTTCGAAGGAGAAGAGTAGCAAACCCAAGGGTGATGGGAGCAGGACGGCAGTAGGCGGGAAAGTAAAGCAAAATATTTCTGGCCCGACAGAGAAACATCCTATCTCCACGGAAGACACGACAGGCTCTCTTCCATCTTCGAAGCGAAAGGTCAAAAAAGACGCACAGGCGCAGTCGAAGAACCTCCCCAAAAAATCCTCTTCACAGATCGCAGGTTTAACCACGCTGCAAAACAATATGAAGCAGAGCTTGGATGGCGCTCGTTTTAGGTGCGTTTTTCACAGCGAGGCTTGTCTTCTGTGCAGCATTCAAGTCTTCTTTTTCTAGATGGATAAATGAAGTACTGTATAAATCCGATAGCGCTCATGCGCACGATATGATGCGTGAGGATAGAAACGTCTTTGACGAGGTTTGTTTTCAAAAGGAAACATCAACTCCCGGCTGTTGACATGTACACAATTCTAGTATCACAAAGGGTTCCGTCATCAAGTGGAATCCTGGCCATCGAACCCTGTCTCACACTACATCTCAATCCTTTCGTCGTACCCTCCCAAAACAGTGATTGCAGATCTAGGCTGTGGAGATGCAGCATTGGCTCGGTCTCTCATACCAAAGGGATTCACAGTGTTGTCGTTTGATTTGGTTTCGGATGGTGCGTTCGTTACAGAGGCGGATATATTCGGACGATTACCTCTACCAGGGTCTGAAACCGATGAAGAAGAAGTACCTCGGTCTACTGAGGGCCATGGACAGGTCACCGATGTTGTTATATGCGCGCTCAGTCTAATGGGGACGAACTGGCCGAATTGCATTCGAGAAGCGTGGAGAGTACTTCGGTCTGGGTACGCCCTGCTTACGCTCACTTCACTCGGGCCAATGTGTTTAAACAATCCTGATTTCGCAGTGGTGAGCTAAAAATCGCTGAAGTGGCAAGTCGATTTACAGACATCAGCGAGTTCACTTCCCTTGTTTCTTCTTTCGGGTTCAAATTGAAGTCAAGCGTGCGTTGCCTCCACTCTATGCTATCATTTATTTCATTGAATGGGCACCGCATCAGGACGACCGCAACACACATTTTACGCTGTTCGAATTCAAAAAAATAAGCCGAAACTCAAGATCGGACCCAGAATGGGAGGAGTTGTTATCTAGGGGTAACGTTCTTAAGCCATGCGAATATAAGCGAAGGTGAACCTAGTTGCAGTGAAAGATCTTTACAGCAAAGGATATTTTGCTGTAGTGCGGTAATGTTCAATAGCCTCGGTACATTACCCGCATCCTCCATCGGATTATGGATACCCTATTAGCGTACATTCCAGCGCTTGCAATGGTCTCTGCTTTTCCTCAGACTGTTATCTTATCTTGTCCTTATCAATGCCGCGCATGATCGCATGCAGCACGGCTGCTGGCCTGCATAAAACCTTGACGGCTGACATTCGTGTTTCTCTTTCTCCTGTCCCCTCTCTGCCTTACGGAAAGTATCAGTCGGTACTATGTCGGGTGTCAAAGTGAACATCCTCTCTCATCCTCTCGTCAACGCGCGCCTATCCAAACTGAGGCAGACGTCAACTACATCGAAGGAATTCCGGGAGGTACGTTGCTCTAGTTTACGTCTTACATATTGATCATGCTGATGAACGATGTGCAGGGAATTCATGATGTCAGCTTGATGCTTGGCTATGAAGCGAGTAAGGATCTTCAAGAGGAGACCTTCGAAGGGGTGAGTAGTAGCCCTGCTGCTGATCGAGGTAGATCCTGACAGATTGTGGATCATAGCAAACTCCCATAAGCACATTTACGGGGTCGAAGGTGAAACCAAGGATCGGCTTCACTCCTATACTTCGTGCAGGTCTTGGGATGACGGAAGCGTTGTTGACATTATTCCCGTACGTCCCATGTTCGCCTTTTGATCGATATTTGCCTCAAATACGCCATGTTACTATACCAGAGAAGCGCCGGTATATCATCTAGGCTTGTACAGAGAGAAGATCAGTCTTCAACCTGTTGAATGTGAGGCACAACGACGCGTCTTACCATGCCCATCCTTTATTCATCCGTCCCATAGACTACTCGAAGCTACCTGCATCACCGTCGATCGATAAGTGCTTCCTCCTGGACCCGTTGATCGCCACCGGGGGAACCGCTGTTGCTGCGCTGCATATGATCAGCGACTGGGGCGTCCCAAGTATATCGTTTATCCATACCGCTAATGCAACTAAATACTGACTGAGTGCCACCCAGTCTCAGACGTCAAGCTTCTGTGCGTCCTCGCATCCCAAGATGGTTTGAAACATGTGCAATCCGAGTTCCCAGGATTAGAGGTAAGTTTCCCTACATTCGCGTAGTGGACTGTTTGTGAAATCGTTGGCCTTAGATCTGGGTGGCCGCTGTTGACCCGGAACTTACCGCTCAAGGACTCATCTCCCCAGGACTTGGAGACACGGTAGGGTTTTTCGATTAGATTGTAGGAGATTGTAGGGCAATTACTGACGGACGATCATTTCCTGCAGGGAGACCGTCTATATAATACCACCCGAGACGTGTAGGAGTGCAAAGTAGTATAGTCGGGACAGGATTAATAGTACCAATGGTGCATCATTTTGTACATATTCAGCATCCGAAAGCACGAAAGAAAGAGGAGAGAATGAGCTCTGTGATGGATCGTAATAGGCATATGGACGAAGTGATGTTGCCGGTGGCGTGCCGATCGCTGAGAATGGCATCATCTATAAATTCGGAATTCAAAGTTTTTCGACGGGCATAAAATGAATCCTCTTCCCTCGCTCACACATCCACTCTCCCGTCCTCATCGTCGCCTTCAACCGCCATGGCTGTCACAGTATCGGGGGCGTCGACTCCGCTGTCGGCTTCCGGCACCTTGACCTCTCCCTCTCCCGTGCCAAAGACAGGCATCGACGTCAAGCAGTTTGCCCAAAAGCCTCTTGCCGCTGCGTCTGATCTCATTGAGTTCATCTCCTCGCGCTCTACTTCCAGCTCTGCAGTCTTTGTTTATGACTTGGCTGAACAAGCCGGTTTCGGGTCATTGACCAAATCTTGGTCGTCTGACGATGATACTGCTTCTGTCATCCCCCTCCAGACTAGGGCCGGCGCGGGCCTAAGTTTGGTTGGCAGACTCTCACAGGGTACTAGCAAAGACACAGAGAATGGATCGGTACTGACCGCTTATACGACGCCGACTGGCTTGGCTGGTATGATCCCCTCGTTGTTGTACCTCCCATCGCCTACCCCTAGCAGTCGACTCATTCTCCATGTTCCGGCCATCACTCCGGTTGGAGATAAATTCGCGCTCTCGCCCACTCTAGCTCCCCTCACTCCGGCTCTTTCACTCCTACCAGAGAACGTCACCGTCCTTCTCTCTGCTAGCCCCCAAGAGTCTGTAGACCTCGCCGCTGCGGCATACAAATTTCCCACGCACGTCGTCCACCTGTTCGACCATCACAGTTCCGCTCGAGAAGTCAACAAACTCAGCCTTCCCCCGCTTCCCTTCAAGTCGAACGTTGGCACTGGCGTTTCCCATGTCTTGAAGGAGGCAGGTTATACCTTTTTCGACTATGTTGGAGACGAGCATGCGAAGACGGTTCTTGTCATCCTCAATGGTTCGCTTGCTCTGACTGCCAAGGCGATTGCACGCCGTACTTCTAGCTTTGGCGTCGTGGTCGTCCGCGTACTGCAGCCTTGGAATGAGGCAGAATTCAGGGCGATCCTCCCACCGAGCGTCAAGCGAGTTCACGTCTTCGACGAGGTTTCTGCTTCTGGTGTTCAGGGTATCTTGCAGGCCAACGCGTTTGGTACTCTTTTGGACCCCTCTATTGTCAGCCCAGTAATCTACCCACAATCAATCACTCCATTCGACGCGCATGAATATCTCAGCAAGCCTTCTTCTTTCGTCCACTTCATTTCCAGTCTTCTTCCCATTCCTCTTGAACCCTTATCATTGGACACTGGCAAGATCAATAAACTCTTATTTTTCAGCAGCCCCGGGACCGCTCTGTCAAGTGTCCCGGACCTCATCGAGCAGACTTTCGCCACTAGTCCTGCTATCTCTTCTCGTCTTCTCACTGAACATGACGTCTTCTCCAAGCCTGGTGGTATCACAATCGATCGCATCTTGCTAGGCCATAAGACGTCGGACGAGGATTATATCCCCCTTCCTGTCATCCTCCCCGTCTCGCACCAGAGTCACGGCGTATCCAATTTCCTTGCAGTCCTCGATCAATCCCTACTCAAGTCTCACTCGATCGTTTCTCACGCGAAATCGGGATCTGTGCTCCTGGTCGCAACGTCGTGGTCAGCCACTGAGCTGGCTTCGAACCTGCAAGCAGACGTCGTTTCGTTGATCAAGGAGAAGGACCTTCATCTGTGCACGCTTGATACGAAAACCATCGCTTCCAGGCTTGTTGGCGCTCAAGGCTCACAACATGACACTATCCAGGCTGCCCTCATCCATCTGGCCTTCCTGCGCTTGTATCTAGGAACATCCGCTACTGAGGCTGCCATCCTCAAGATTGCGAGGAGTGTTTATGGAGAGAGCGTGCAAGAGTTGGATTTGGCAAAGGTCAACGCTCACGCCTGGGCTGGTCTAGTGGAAGTCGATCTTTCAGGCGTGATTCCGGAGGTGAACAATGTCGGACAGGTTCTAAAGGACTTCCAGTTCAATGCCATTGCCGTCTCTACTGATGACGGGGAGACAATCGTCAATGGCGCGAGGCTCAGTTCTTGGCACGATGCAGCGAAACATCTCCTTTTCTCTTCCGCGTACACTCCTCCTAACGACTCTTCGAATGAGGAATATCCCCAGATCCCTAACCTTCGCCCCGAGGTCCCGGACCGCACTTATCTTGTGACATGCAGCGTTAATCGTCGTCTGACCCCTCGCGAATACGATCGTAACGTGTTCCATCTCGAATTCGACACTTCGGGTACAGGTCTCAAGTACGAAATCGGTGAGGCGCTGGGTGTTCATGGTTGGAACGATGAAGATGAGGTCCTTGACTTCTGCCATTGGTACGGTGTCGACCCCTCCCGTCTCGTCACAATTCCTGTCCCCAGCGGTGACGGTACCATGCACACGCGTACTGTCTTGCAAGCGCTTCAGCAGCAGGTTGACTTGTTCGGAAAGCCGCCGAAATCATTCTACACGGACCTTTCGGAGTATGCGAGGGCTCAAACCGACAAATTCGCCTTGCAGTTCATCGGTTCGCCTGAAGGCGCGTCGACTTTCAAGAAGCTGTCTGAGAAGGATACAGTCACCTTCGCGGATGTGCTACGGCGTTATGCGAGTGCGCGGCCTGGGATCGAGGTGCTATGCGAGATGGTTGGGGACATCAAGCCGAGACATTACAGTATCGCCAGTGCGCAGAGCGTGGTTGGCAATCGCGTTGACCTGCTCATTGTTACGGTCGATTGGGTGACGTCGAGCGGTATGTTCCACTATTTGACTGTCATGTGCGGCCCTCCTGATGAACTCCACATTAGGTTCCCCTCGCTATGGCCAATGCACTCGTTATCTCAATGGCCTGAAGGTAGGCCAGAAGGTAACAGTATCCATCAAGCCAAGTGTCATGAAGGTTCGTTTACGCACGCTCAGTACACACTCGATCTGACTTTCGTTCGTCTAGTTACCCCCCGACAACATGCAGCCTTTGATCATGGCCGGTCTTGGTACAGGTGCTGCTCCCTTCCGCGCCTTCCTCCAACATCGCGCTATGCTTTCGCAGCAGAACATCCCTGTTGGCCCCGTCTATTATTACTTCGGCTCGAGGCGCCAGTCTCAAGAATATCTGTATGGTGAAGAGGTGAGTTTCTTTCTTTTGATCAGGCTTTGCGCCACACGCATGATGTGAACTATACCATAACTCTGAGGCAACGCCTCTGCAGAAATTTGTATTAAAAAAACTAAGAACAGCCAGCTGATCTTCTCGCTCTCGTCGATCCTCATAACGTAAAGCAATTGCTGACCCGGTATAATTTTTCTAGATCGAGGCATTCATTCAAGACCGCGTTATCACCAAAGCTGGACTTGCTTTCTCTCGTGACGGGCCCAAGAAGGTGTATATCCAACACAAGATGCTCGAAGATGCAGAGGACCTCGCACGCATGCTGCGTGTGGAGAACGGCGTGTTCTATCTGTGTGGCCCTACGTGGCCTGTACCTGACGTATACGAAGCTTTGGTCAATGCGCTCGTGAAATACCATGACCTGGATGCCGTCGAAGCGGGTGAATTTTTAGAGGGTCTTAAGGAGGAGGAGCGCTATGTACTCGAGGTATGTGTCGCTCTACGGTTACGGTCGAAGATAATGGGCATTAATATATGTTCGCATAGGTTTATTGATTTTAAATATCCATGCTTGATAGGATACCATTCTGTGGATAGCATCATAGATTTCGTGGAATGTGTTCATGGAAGGAGTGTTTTCTCTCCGCTCGAACTTATCACTGAATACATATCACCTTGTTGTGCCACGGCTTTATTCCCATGTTTTGATCTTCGCTTTGATTTCTTGGCTCGAGCACGATGCAAGTCCAAGTTTCAAGAGCTTTCAGCGCCTCAGAGCTAGCGATGGCATTCATTGTCCAAAAGCTAGTATTATAAAGTTATACAACACGAACAATTCCTGAACAAGGAGTGCAGAAGCGTCCGATATCATCCATTGTCCTCAAACAATCGGTCTTCGTTGAAATGCACCATGCCTCAAAACTTACGCCTCAAAATGGAACCGCCCCTCCGCATACGGCGAACGAACCAGATAGACAGTCCGATGATCAGAAGCCCGACTATGCTCACCACGACACCTATCGCGATCTTCGCGCCACGCGAAAGCCCGCCATGGCAAGTGAGCGCGTTGTCACACGGGCGGCCTTGCGGCTTGACCGCGGCATACGCGCCAGCCTGGAGGCGCGTGTAGTACGGATCAGCGGTGTCGCCCATGACGTGCGCAGCCGTGAGCGTGAGTAGAGGGGCATTGTAGTCCAGAGCGACCTCCGTCTCGACCCAGTCGCTCCGGATGTTGAAGAAGCGGTCGCGCGTGTCTGGTCCGCCGACGACACCGCCGTATATCACGTACGCTTCTTCGGGAGGCGAAGTGTCGACGGCGCTGATGTCCGACCCGCCGCTCGCCATTGCGGACTGCGGGTTTGTGGGTGCGTTTGGGTTCACGCCGACGACGTAGGGCGCTGTGGGATGTGTTGTATCCATATCAATGCAGGCAAGGTTAGAGATTACGAACCTGACATCGGGTTTTTGCCGAGGGCGTAGTCGACCTGGCCTTTGGCAAACGCCTACGAAAACGATACTTAGATCGATGGGCGGTGTATATATATAACGAGACGCACCAGGTACGATGACCTCTTGTCCGAGGTCGTTGCCAGTGGTGCATATCGTGTGAGGAGCATGGCGGCGTTCAGCGCCGGGTTTAAAGAGTTGTTATCTGAATCCCCATCATACCACAGCAGCCCTCCTAGACATGCGTACAAAATAATGTGCGCGCCATCCCAGCATCAGGAAAATCAGATAGGAGGGGAGACACGCGAGGGAAAATGCGCTTCAGCGACGACGCTACCACCACGCACCTTTGGTCAGGCGTCCTCGCCCAGTTCCGTCGACGATGCGATCAAAGTAACGCTCCGCCTCAGACTGCCAAGATGATAGGTTTCCGGCAAGGGTCGGGTCTGCCTGTGCAAGCTGTGCAAAGAGCACGGCGATTCCGGGCGTCTTCGAGTCCCAATCGAACACGACATCCTGCCCGCCAAGGGAGAACTGTGTGTAGTACGTCTCAGCCTGTGCGTATAGATCGCTTGAGCCCGTTGCCCACGCGAGCATGAGCGCGGCGATGGCGAGCTCATCGCCATATGCTGTGGACGGGTACGCCTCGCCAACAGGCGGTATCCCTGTCTGGTACGTTTGCTGCGTCGTCCCTGTGGCGAAGGAGTAGAGCGCTTGGGAGTGGTTGAGCAGAAGGGAAGCGTAAGTGGCATTTTGAAGAGAGGCAGGAGCTGAGAAAGCGCCGTTGGTGCTAAGGCTGCGGTTGGCGTAGAGGTTTGAGCAGGCAGCGAATGCAGCAGAGGCGCCAGCGGAGGCATCGGTGCCGGGGCTAAAGAACAATGGCAGCGCCTAGTCAATGGCTGGAATGCGCGGCAAGGTCTTCTATAGAAGAGAACGGACGAACTTCGTCGCGTTGATCTGGTATGAAGGGCGAGGCAAGGGGATGTTGAGATCGCCGCCCCAGTAATCATTATCAATTTCAGCTGCTCGCATGCTGAGCACTCAACGCCAGCATATAGTCTCGAAATGACTCACTATCGCCAACTTGGACGAACAAGGTATTGGGTGATGGGTGAGCCTGAATATATGCACTGAGTACAGCCCCGTTATTTGCAATCCGTCTCAAATACCTTCATGAGCCAATCCAATCCCCATCTGAGCATGTCGTCCAGGTATGCTGTCTGGTTTGCCATGTCGTATCCTGTGATAAGCCCGACATCAAATTATATTTTCGTCACCGATCACGAATTGCTCGCCTTGCCCAAAATCATTGGCGCCCCAGCAAACGGACATGAGTGTTAAAGACTGGCTTTAGAACGTGGGTTAGCGTCCCAAGTCAGTTCAGATGAGCACACGCACGAATGGGAATGTGCATTTGATATAGTCTGTCAAACCCTTGAGAGATGAGACAAAACACTCACAAAAAAATGAACGCTTACCGCCGGCGTCGTAATAACCACCAGTCAGGTCCAAATTTACATCCTTGCCATCGTCCAAGGAGCTGTCGTTCCTCCATGGAACGCGCTTATTACTTGGGAGTTTGCCACTGCGCTGCACCTCGTAGAAATACAGGAGATTGCCGAGGAGCGTCGTCCATTGTGTATTAGGAGTGCTTTGCTCGGACGAGCGCTCCGCACCGGATGATGCGTCTGGGGGCATCCATGGCGTGTTTGGCAACGGTAATTGAGAAAGAACGGGTCGCGCGAGCTGCGCAAAGATGAGGAGAAACAGAGAGAGAAACATTAAGGGAGAGGGGAAGGTCGTGAAGAACGAGAAGACAGGCGCACGATGTTGGATTATATAGGATGACGGCGAATTCGGGACTACAGCGGGCGCGTTTTTCTAGTAGCATGACAAGCGGCGATGATGGACCGCAACACGCGCCGCACGCAGGCTCGTCGATTGCTGTGTTTGTCCAATGCGGTTGGGAGCTGTCGTGAGCGTCCCTATGTCCTACGCAGTGCATGCAGATGAAGCCCCGCTCGCCGTCGTCAACTGGCGAATTTCTGACATATCCGCTGGTCCAACCACAACCGGCTCCGTTCCGCACATTTACGACCAGCTTATTCATCGATCATCCCAGCTGAGCCCTGACTCACTATGTGGGTGCCGTGGTACTCATTTAGGGACGAGGACTTGTTAGCAGCTCAACATCATGGCACCCATCAAAGTCTGCGTCCTCGGCGTTGGCCTTGCAGGCCTTGCATTCCACATCCCCTTCATCCTGGCCCTCCCTGATCTCTTCACCCTCTATGCAGTTCTTGAGCGCAATCCCTCTGCCGAGGGCGGTAAGGTAAAGCAACGCTTTGGTGTTTCTCCAAAAATACACCGCACCATCGACGATGTCCTCGCCGATTCCGACATCGAGCTTATTATCGTCGGCACCCCCAACGAGACACACTTTCCCTATGCAAAGGCTGCTCTCAATGCTGGGAAGCATGGTGGGTTTGTTACAGATGCGTATGCGCCAGACTGGTCTTGACCTTGTATTTGGTCGATCGTAGTCCTCGTCGACAAGCCCGTGACGCCGAGCTCTGCCGAGGCTCATGAGCTCGCAACTCTTGCGAAGTCGAAGAATCTTGTTCTCTATCCCTTCCAGAATCGCCGCTGGGACTCTGACTTCCTCGCCCTCCGCCGTCTCCTCGCGCTTCCCGCCTCGGATCCCAAATCTCTAGGCGATCTGATCGAATTTGAGTCCCAGTGAGCGCATCATAAACCTACGCAAAATCGTCCACGCGTATCTCGCAACCCAGCGCTCACCTCACCTTCTGCCAGCTTTGATCGCTACCGGATGGCGCTCAAGGGCACATGGAAGGATGAGCCCAAGCCCGCCGCTGGTCAAACCTACGACCTCGGTACACACCTCATCGACCAGGCCCTCACCCTCTTCGGCAAGCCAAAGTCCGTCACCGCATTCATTGAAAATGTCCGCGGCGTCGGCAGCCCCGAAGTGGATGACAGTGTACGTCCCCCCACTCTCGGCCGTCCTTTAAATCGATCGTGACTGATTGATTGTTGGCGACGTACAGTTCACCATCTTCCTGCGCTACCCTGCGGGCACAGTATCGCCGCACCCGTTCACCGCGATCCTCCGTGCCCACATTCTCTCCGTTCGTTCTCCTCAGCCCCGGTACCACGTGCGTGGTACCAAGGGTAGCTTCGAGAAATACGGTGTCGATGTACAGGAGGATCAGCTCAAGGCAATGCCAACGCCCCAGGCTATTCACGAATCCGAATATGGCCGCGAACCTGAGGAGATCTGGGGGACGCTGTATAACCTCGGGGCCAGCGGAAAAGTCGAACAGTCTGTGTACGTTGGCATTCTCCTCCCCTAACGTGTGTCATCGATCGACTGACGGATGGCGATCGTAGCTGGCCGACGTCCGAGCCGGGTTCCTACGTCGGTTTGTTTCGCAACCTCGCAGCTGCTATTCGCGAAGGCGCAGAGCAGGCTGTGAAAATCGAAGAATCTGCGCTAGGCCTCGAGATCATCGAGTTGGCCAAGAAAAGCTCCAAGGAAGGCAGGACCATCGAGGTCCCAGCATGAAAAGCCCGCCGTCTATTGAAATCAAAAAAAGCAATTTCGAGAAGTCATATGCAGAGATGCTAGAGTATACTTATAACACCTATGCTGTATCACTGGAAGCCGCTATCTATTTCATATGGTTGGATTTCAGAATCTGGCCGCGTTCATCAACAAATACCAACAACACGAGATTTTCTCATCACGTGTGGCCCCGTTGACGAACCATCAGCGATGTTATAGTCGGACAACTACGTCGTTGCGAATTACTATGAGTACCTCCGCTGTATCGTTGAATGGCCCACACCCTTCAGGCGATGGCAGCGTCGAGCAGGAAACAAACCTTGAAATTCCTTCGTGGAATCTTTACGTAATGAATCTCGTCGAGTCATTTCATCATTGGGAGGTCTCCGCACGCGACTTGGGAGGGCTTTAATCGAGACATTGCTCCGTTTCTTCGTACAAATGGCATCCCCAAAGGACACCAAGAGCAACACCACGGTGATTGGGACTGATGTTATCCATGCAGACGACGAGTTCCACGGTCCTGAGGTCGTCCCTTCAATATCCGTGTCTACTAGTAAGGGTCATTTCAGGTCCACATGCATTGGACGGACCTGACCCTGTGACCGTTTGTCCACTTGTTGAAACAGCATTCAGGCAGCCCAAGATTCATGATGATATGGAGCTGACTGCGGCAACATTCTGGACTCCGACTAGGCATGTCTACTCCCGTTATACCCAACCTATCAGTACGCGGGTGGAGAGGGTTTTGAGCAAAGTGAATGTATGTATCATCTCCTCACAAAAAGGCCCTGCACATCTCACAAAATACTGTCCAGCAAGGATATGCTCTCACGTATAGCTCAGGCTTAGCTGCAGGTTATGCTGTGAGTTTTCATATATTCCCTATGAACCCACAACTTAGACGCCATGATAGGCTTTGATCCACCTTCAACCTAAACGCATTGCCATCACCGAAGGATACCACGGGATGCACCTGGTGGTCAAGTCATATGTCGAAGGCAGAACTGTGGAGATCATTGGTATAGATGATGAGTTCCAAGCTGGTGATGTATGTTGGTTGGAGACCCCTCTGAACCCAACCGGAGAAGCCAGGTCAGTCTTCTCTATAATAACTCGGTCCTTACTTCTGGTTCTTAACATAGCCGTATCTTAGAGACATCAAGTATTATGCAGACAAGGTAATAGATACGCGCATCCACAGATTGCAGCGTACTGAGTTCTGATGTACCAAGGTGCACGCCGTAGGTGGGAAGCTAGTCGTCGACTCGACGTTCGCACCTCCTCCACTGCAGTACCCGTTCAAATGGGGAGCCGATATCGTCATGCACAGTGGTAGCCCTCAGCCTGCTCCAGAACATACCTTTAGCCGCTTATATTCTGAACGTTAACCAGGAACTAAGTATTTCGGTGGCCACTCTGACCTTCTCTGTGGTGTCCTCGTCGTAAAATCTCTCGAGGAATGGGGCCAGGCGAGTCAACAGTTTCAGCTCAAACATCGCTCCTCACTTACACCCACGTTCTTCCAGCTTCACTCCGGACGCCTCGTTCAAGGAAACGTGATGGGATCCCTCGAATCGTGGCTCCTCCTTCGCTCGCTCCGCACGCTGCACCTGCGCGTGCCTCGCCAGTCTGAAAGTGCCACCGCCTTGGCGCAGTGGCTGAATAAAGTCGCCTTGACTCCCAAGGGCCAAACGTACGATGGCGTTCCGGGAGGATTGATCCAGAAGGTCTGGCACTCTTCCCTCCAGGGCAAAGATGCTCGCGGCTTCTCTCCCGAGCAGCAATTGGAGGGAGGATTTAATCCTACTTTCGCTATGATGGTAAGGGGTGCAGATGATCTTACTGTATAACCAGCTGATGCGCCGAATCAGTTGGAACGATCCGAAGACGCAAGCCTTCTTCCTCACATACTGAAATATTTCATCGTGAGTGGCCCATTTCAGCGTATCGGGTTAGAATATGCGGTAATCCGTTGAACCCATGTAGCCAGCAACAAGCCTTGGCGGTGTCGAGTCTTTGGTCGAGCAACGCATTCGATCAGACCCTGGGGCTGATCCCCGCTTAATACGCATCAGCGTCGGAGTCGAAGGTTTAGCAGTACGTCTGCATCATATATCTGGCGGTTGTGGTATTAATTTTTGGGGCCCTGCAGGATTTGAAGAATGATCTCAGAAATGCTTTCCAGGAGATCGCAAAGGTTTGACCGCGTTCTGTTCTACCCATAGACCAATGCACTGATCAGCAGTATGTTACAGAACAAAGCGAAGCTTTGATGTTAAGGCTCTCGTGGAATGTCCGAGGCCATCTATATCGAAGGGTGGCATTTATTCGTCAAATCGACGCTCTTGGCTAGAGCGACCAATATCATACCAGTTTCACGAATGGAGGACGTGGTTCAAGTATATGTCACGGATTCTTGGATTCTGACATGAGAGTGAGAAAATGACCGAGGATCGAGCATTGAGATCTTGAGACGCAAGGTTCAGATGCCGAACATTGAAGTCTACTTCCTTTTCTCATGATAAAAACTGAGGAAGGCGGCTTTATCCTCCCACCCCATCCCCACCCTTTTGAGCTTCCCCAATTGTGCTATGAGTGCCCCACAAGCGGAAGAAAGCGGATCACGACCGAAGTCCCCTGATGTGACCTCATTGACGAGAAAAGACGGAGAACTGGGAGATTCCGACATCGACAAGAGACGAACGGACGCAGTCAGTGGCTTCAGAGCAGTCGCTAGCTCGAAAAGGTGCGGAAGTGGGTTAGACGACGTAGGTATTGAGTGAGATGGGGTCGGTGAGAATGCAGTGGGAGGATCGTATCTTATAAGGACAGTATATGAGCACATTTAGAATACCACGGCTATCGGCGACGTACCTGATGCACATCACGAATACCTTATACCCTTTTATTGGAACATGCCTGTCTGTGAATATTTCGGCAAACCTGAGCAGCCCACGGCCGTTGCTGGTCGTACATTCCGGAAACACTACGATCGGTCGATCAACGGTCTTTCGAAGCTCCTCAAGGCTACTGGCTTTGGCAGCACTATCAAGTAGAGGAACCTGTCCGGTAGCGCAGATGATGGAGAGCAACGACACACGACGGAATCCGGTGATTGGTATAGGCGTATTGGCTGACCTTGTCGAAGTCGAGTGTATAGCAGCTGAACCAGTGCCCGTTCGTCTGCCAGGGGTCTTCATGACCGGCGTCGATTCTCGCGAGGCCGGGAGCGGAGTGATTTGTGAACTGACTGGAAGGACGAAGACGGGATTGAATCTGAATGTGAGATGGAGCAAGTGAGCGTAAGTTTGATGTCAAGATTAGTGGCGGTTTTGAAGCAAGCACACCGGAAAGCTAACCATAGGATCTCTATCCACGAGACCCAGTTTGAAACGATAAGATCTCCTGCTCGAGGTGTCCAGCTTTCCTCAGTCTTCCCGACACGCCTGAATCAACGAGCATGAGATCATAAAGAGTCGTGGGTGGGTGAAAAGACTCACCCGCGTTTCCTTGTCACAGTTTCTACTGGGATCCACAAGAACCCTAAGATGAAAAGAGCGAATCGACAAAGTATCGCAGTGAGGACATAGGTCACGGCTCTATAGAGTGGAGGGATCGGAAGCTAATAGGTGTTCTGAATTTTAATGCTGAGCATCACAATGAAGACATTCACTCACGAGTATTGAACAGATACCTTCAACTAGGACTGTATACAAGCTAGCGAGAATGACGACTATCCCGGTTCGAAGAACACCGAGCAGATATCTGAGGGGAAGGGTGATATTTAGAACGATATTAGAGTCCGATGGAGGAAGGGGTGTCAGAAATGGCTGTGGGGAAGAGTCAGAAAGTGATATCTGTTGTATGTGCTCATGATGCTATACCTGTATACCAGTGCCAGGATCCTACAAAATATTCCGGTTGCGTGAGCATGACGTCTGTGTAATCCAGCCATTTCGACATAACTTACCCGAAACGCAGAGTACTTTTCCATGTTCAAGTCTCCGTTTTGAAGAAACAAAGCTAGCGTGCCTTGAGCAGGTGATGATACTGCGTGATATCACGTGTGCGCATTGACACGTAGCATTAGTCATTACATCATCGGTAGACGAGCAACAGAGCGCAGCGAACGCTGCATCCCCATGTCTCTCCTTGCCCTCCGTGTCGAGTTACCGTCATATTCTCATTCATTTCAGATATCTGTTCCAGTCGCCTCCACTGTGCTTGACGTCAAGCAGGCGATTTTCGAGTCATGTGCAGGCTCTCCCCGTGTTGAGGGACAGCGGATCGTGTGGCGGGGTCGTTTCCTCGGCGATGCAGAGAAGGTAGCAGATATCTGGAAGGTGCGTCGTGGACTCACTTACTCTCCGTGGGAGGCTCAAGATGGAATCACGAAATCAATGTTCACTCTAGTCAGAGGACGATGCACCAGTCGTACATCTTGCTGTTCACCCATCGGCATGGACGACGGCTCCCCCGGAAGTATCTCCGCCCTCTCCAACGCCAACACAACCTCGGCCGTCATCGTCTGTGCCGGGAATTCAAGGGGCTCAGGCGACCCGTACATCCCCCGTTTCCAACACGCGCCACACTGTCGCTGAACCTGTCACATACATGAATTGGGGCCCGATACAGCCCCCACCGCCTTCCGTTCGTCCACTAGCATTCATCGCCTTCCGACACCAGAACGCCCTTCTCGCATTGACGCATCAACCTCTTCTTTCTTCAACTTCGCTGGACGATCTCGAGATAACGCGCCAATTAGCTGAGAACACCATCGCAAGGCGCGGTTGGTCCTGGCCAGAAATTCTGAACGAAGAATTCCCTGCTGCACAAGATGAGAGTGCCGGTATCAAGTACGAGAAGATCACCATCGAGTGCGTAACTCGTCGACTCTTCTTCCCAAGTCAACAATTCACGAGCTGTATATAGCGGGCACGAATATCTGTCATTGGTCGACGGCTCGGGCCCACCTACACCCCTTCAAACCCATGCCCTCAAAGTCATCTCATTTACATTCCCTCTACTCTCGATACCATCGCCCATAGCGACATCGTATGGCACCCCCGTGCCGTCACAGACCTTCCCTCTGCGGCCGCCGCGTGGCTTCGAGGCGATCATAGGCCAAGACATCGCCCGGGGGCGCCAGCGGTATCTTGAGCAGCGTGGACAGCTCGAAATTCCTGCCTTGCCCCTTCGCGACCTCATGATTCCCCTGTTCCTGCTCGTCCTCCGCACTGTCTTCCTCCTATACTTCTTCTCGCCCATCGAGAAGCCCGTGTTCGGCATCCTCATCGGCGCGTGGATGTTTTATGAGGCGTGGAACGCTATTCGCGCAGCCATCGTGGAAGCAGCGCACGGCGATGGTGCTAACGCTGCTGCGCCCCGTGAGGGAGGCGCAGAAGAACCTGCGCACAATGGGAATGCGAACGTGGATAACGCAAACAATGGTAACGGAAACGGAAACGGAAACGCGCGAGCACCAGCGGCGCCCCAGGGGCCGCGGGCGGGAACACCCAGTGGGGCGCGACAGCGGAGCCAGGGCGACGCGGTCATCGAATCTGTGGCAAGTCTGAATCTACGAGCGGAGAACGACGCGCTGGAAGGACGTCCCTCCCAGCGGGCAGCGCCGACGGCAGGTCATCGCTTGAAGACATTCGTTCAGCTGCTTGTGCTGACCGTGCACCCGGCCGTGTGGGACCGGAGGCGCGTCGCGATGCGGCAGCGGGAGGGGCGTGTGCGGGCCGAGGCGAATGCACGTGAGCCACCGAGGGAAGAACAGGTTGTGACCGAGGACGCCGACAGTGGGGAAGGGGTTTCGCGGGCCGCTGAACGGGAGAGGGTCGAGAGGGCAAGGTCAGAGATGGTTGCGGTGCATGAGCGGAGGCCCGGGTGGGTGAAAGAGTATATTGAAAGAGTCCGAAGGGTAGAATGGGTGGACGATACATGATCCTTGTTTGTGACCGGTCTGTTTCGTATCGCTTGCTCTCGATTCCTGTGTATTATACGCCTATGTGTTCTGGAGCTGTGGTGAACTTGCTTGATCGGGGATGGCCGGCAATCTTATCTTATCGGACGGCGATGTCCACGTTGCTGTGCACTGGCCATTGTTCCGTTGTTTCTGGGATCTCTTTGGGCTCAAGGCTTTCGTTCTCTATAAGTATCATCTTCGTTGGCATCAGTGTCCTCTCAGAATATTCACCTTGATCCTGCATCTACCGCCTGTATCCCACGAGGCACTCGCTTTTCGCCTGAAGCCGCCCGCCCGTATGTCGACGTTTCACGAACTGGTTGCCGACCTCACAAGGGACGCAGAACGCGCTCAGCCCAAGGACGCACTCCAGTTCTGCGCATCCTGGTTTCAATCGCGGCTCGAGGAGCAGCGGACCCGGATCCGCGATGTGCTCTCCCGCCGTCCGTCGTTGGTGGCATCGTTGCCCGCAGACATCTTTGTAGACACACCGCACATAGCATCCAGTATACCGTCTACTTCTTCAAACTTCACAGATCCCTTCTACGGGGGGGCGCGTGCTTCCCTAGATGATTTATACAGTGGCGGTCCGTTCACCAATCCCCCTCATCTGGGCGATGGCATCGCGCCCTCCGCCAGCACTGTTCAACGACCTACTTTCCGCTTTAACACGAATGATACACCTTCAGACCCCCTTGACCGAAACTCTTTCAATCATACCACGCCCGGCCCGTCGCCGGCTCCAAACATGCTCGCTCCTTATCCCCCCACCGCTAGCCACAGTATATACGACAGGCGCTCGTCGATTAGCGCCGAGCCGATATTGGTGGACCAAGAAAGCGATGTCCCTCTTCCGGTATACCCTAAGACTGAAGACCAGTTGCAGCGCATCAGGGCCTACATCGCTCCCGACAACTTCATATTCCGGGATCTGGATGAGGAGCAGCTGTCGGGTGTCCTGAACGCTATGAAGGAGACGCACGTCAAGGCGGGGACCGTCGTCATCCGCCAGGGCGACCAGGGCGACTACTTCTATGTTGTAGAGTCCGGGCTCTTGCACTGCTTCATTGCGGACAGCGCGAAGTATCGCTCGGAACGTGATGGGCACTTGGATCATGGTGAATCGGAGGGTGCACTGCTCGATAGCGCGGCGTTCCACCCCAATTTCGGAAATCTGGTGCAGAAATGCGAACCGGGGAGCTCGTTTGGCGAGCTCGCGCTCATGTACGGCCACCCGCGCGCGGCCTCTGTTGTGGCCATCCAGGACTCCACACTGTGGTCTCTCGACCGCATCACGTTCCGCACGATCATATTGAAGGCCGCGCACCGTCGTCGGACGCTGTACGAACACTTCCTCTCCGGTGTTCCTCTGCTCACCTCGCTGTCGGCAACGGAGCGCAGCAAAGTCGCCGACGCGCTGGTGAGCAAGGTGTACCAGGATGGAGAAGCCGTGGTCAAGGAAGGGGATATAGGCGACACGTTCTTCTTCGTCGAGGAGGGCCAGGCGACGGTCACGAAGTCAAAGGAAGGCGAAGAGATAGTCGTCGGGGACTTGAGTCGGGGCGATTATTTCGGAGGTCGGGACGCTCCTCTGTTTTCATTGTCCCTGCGTCTGATCTGACGTCTTTTGTTCTATTACAGAACTTTCTCTCCTCAGGCTTGAGCCACGAGCGGCGACGGTGAGCGCTGTGCGCCGCCCTGTTGACTCGAATGTACCAAAATTGAAGGTCGCGGCGCTGGATGCGCAAGCGTTCACGCGGTTGCTGGGGCCGCTGAGGGAGCTCATGGAGCGGAACGTAGGGAGCTATAGAAATTATCAGATGCGCTAGGTGCCGGCCGCGTGTTTCTTGTCGTAGTTGTTGTCTTGTTGTACTGTCTGTTGGACGTGTAAGCGATAATTTGTGTGTTTGGCAGGTTCTCTTTTGTGGTGTTGTGTGTTGAGCATGTGAAAGGTCGACGATCTAATCTAATCTTTGCGGAGGGCCGGGATGACGTTTGCGAGGAAGAGGTTAGTGCGTCGAAGCTCCACCTGTCCGCCACAACACACTCTCCGTCGTTGCGATGTCAACAGCAGCTGCCCGTCATTATGTTTATCCTTCCAACCTCGCCGGCCTTTGTGGAGTGGGAATTCCTTTCCTCCGACTTTTGTCCTCCCGACCGACCCAATCTCTTCTTCATCCGCTCACCACCATCCTCTTAGTCCACCACCCTGGCCATCGTCACACCCGCACGCACAGTGGCCACCTCTCTCCACCTTGACTGAATCCTCCCGCTCAAATCAACGCGAAAAGCGACTCAGTCCCTTCCGCTCTTTACTTTTTCCTTCCGTATCGTTTGTCTAGACAAAATGGATGCATTGGACCGTGTGCGCCACCGCGGTATCGCTGAGAGGCGGGGCCTTATCGGTGGTCGTAAGTTCGTCGGTTCTCCTCGTATTCGCTTGGAACTGACGAAATTTGCGTTGGCAGTGGTGTCTGATGTCCTGTGAGTACCGTCCCTCAGAATTTTGCACGTAATGCCATAATATACTCATCTTTGTGTAGCGGAGGCAGCTCTCCCACAAGCACCGACGGCGGCCTTCTTGGCAGCGCCATAGGCGGACTCACCAGCGCCCTCTCACCCATATTATCGCCCGCGTCCGAAACTTTGTCCTCATCTCGGACTCCTACAGCCACTCTAATTTCTCGTTCTGTTTCTTCTTTTAGCTCAAGTACATCAGCTCCCGCCACGTCCGCTACCACAACCTTGCTGTCCACGTCAAAGTCTTCGTCCTTGCTATCCTCATCGTTGTCTACTTCGTAAGTCCTTCCTCGACTGTGTCTGTTTTTCTAAGTCTGTGTGTCCGAACTTTTTCTCTCCCTTCTGTTTTGGCTTCTGATGGCCATAGCCGCGTCACAACTTCACTAAGCAGCACCGCTTCCATCACTAGTAGCGTACTTTCTACATCGTCTGCAAAGCCCACCTCGTCCGCGACACCCACTTCGTCCGCGACACCCGAGACGACTCCACCACCCACCAGCTCTGTTCAGTATTCGGCCTATGTTACAAGCTCTGGTGGCGGCGCCATCACTATTACCTCCATAGTGAACATTCAATCTGCTGTCACCCCGACAAAGACAGCGGCACCTGTTGCATTCTTGCAAAACAAGCCTCTCGAAGCGGGCGTGTTCACCGTCGTCGGCATCGTGGCCCTCGTGATCCTCATCATCGCCGCGACTTTTGCACTCCGCAAGCGCCGCCGCCACCGCCTTGACATGGAATACGCCGAGGCCGTCTCGTTCGACCCGAGCGCGAACCGCTATACCGACGAGAAAGGCGGCGATTTTCATCCTCAGGACAACTGGTTGCGCCGCAGCGCCAGCAGCTCGTCCAACAGCTCAGGCTCGCACGGCGGCGTGCAGCCTATGCAGCCGGTATATGCGCCTGGTCCGGGTATCGTGCGCGACAATCTGTACGCTTCCAACATGGGGTATGCTCAACAGGGACAAGGCTTCGCGAACCCATCGTATCCGGTCGCAGGTCAAGCACAAGGCTATGGTCCGAACGTGCAGGCATCTCAGTACCCGATTCCGCCGCGCTCCCCTTACCCGGTTTATGATCCCGCCCGCTCCCCCCCGCCGATGGCTACCGAATACCCCGCATTCGGCGATGGGGGCGCATCCACTCTTCCTCAGTTGAACATCATATCAGCTACCCCGTACTCCGGCACAGGCATGTTATCTGGCAGCGACCACCTCGACCAGCCGCTCCCGATGCCTAATTTCACTCCGTCGTCCGCAAACGCCGCAGCTGGAGCCCCTCAGCGCAGCATGCCAAACACGTCGTCGACGGACGGCAATGAGGCATTGGCCAAAGACAAAGGCGGCTCACACTCCCGCGCGCTGGATCCCACTTTGCCTGAGCTTCCGCAATCGCCTAGTGCCGGAAGTTCTGCACTTCCTTACGCTCTGAAGGTCCGTCGTGCCCGAGCTGTTTCTGACTACGGTATTGACGCAGATACCCCAACCAGGTGGCTAACGAGTGATCGCGTTGTTTTTATCTCTTTAACAACTGCATACTTTTTCACATCACTCGAGCCGAGCTGTATACCCCGCCACTGCTACAGTCGACGCATGTCCTTGGAAGCCAGTTCCCCCCTCCCCCTTTACCCACCTGCACCCCGTTGGCCACCCCTTTCTAACATTGACGACATTATTTGACCCTGACCCTGATTGTCCGCTCGAGCACATAATGCGCTGTGGTTCACGCGAGTCTGCTGGCCAGCGCGTGCGCCCTGACGCCCTGCGACCGAACCGTTCTGATTTCTAACTAGTTGAGTACTCGACCGGAGAGAGGCTGTCGTAGAACTTGATTCTGGCGGATAATCCAATCGATGTATCTTTAGCACTATTCCCCGTCGCTCCCTATTTTTCTAATTCTGTTTCGGCGTGCACATACCCGTGCCCTAGCCTGTTATTTTTACATCTCCCTTTTCTTCAGCATCGCGACGTTGTAAACTTTTCATGACATGCGGAGCAGTGCTCTAGTTCTCATACCAATATCCAGGTTGATGCGCATAAGGCATCGTGATTTGCAGGAAGATTGGATCGCACAAGGTCCACTCCAATCACTGCTCTTCTACTGCTTCCTTGACCTTCTCCGTGTCTTCACCGTGCTCTGGCACTTCCTCTGTCTGATTCCCCAGAGCCCTCGTCTTCGTGCGCCACTCACGCCGCTCGAGATACCACACGAGCAACGTCGCGGCCAGCGTCGCAGCGCACACCGCAATCATCGCGATCATCCCCTTGCGGAAACGTGGCGCGTCGGTTGCGGGGTAGAGGACAAGCGGCCACCAGGCGTTGATCACGTTGTTCCACATGCTGGGGATACCGGGCACGGATTGTGTGGGTTTGACCGCGGTGGCGTCGACATGTTAGCGAGTGAGATGGAGGGCGAGATGAGAAAATGGGACGCACTTCATAGATGCGAGGACGATGGCACGCTCCTGGTCGTCGTCGGCACAAATCTGGTTCGCCCAGCTACGAGGAACGATAAGGCCGTCCGAGTTAGTTCGAGATGCACGCGCCACAGTACTGATGCTATGACCGACTCACGCGAACGTCGTCGCCTGTCCCGCATATGACGCCCCCGCGATATCTGCCGCATTTGCGTGAGACGGAGAGCGCAAGCGACGTGCGCGAGAAAGGATGCACGCACAGTATGCGAAGAACTTGAGCCCCGTGGGGCTGCTCCATACGAGGATGCATATGGCCGCGATCGTACATGCTATAGACATGTACACCAGGACAGGCCAACGGGCTTGCGTGCGATCTGTCCACGTCGCACATACGAGCGTCGAGGCGATGCCAAAGGCCGTTACGCCTGACGGGTAGTAGTCTGCGAGCGATTAGACTCCCGAGGGTCAACAAAGATCACGAAGGACGGTGTTTACCGATCTGCTCGACGGTGTACCCGCCGATGGCTTTGAGCCATTGGCCCATGAGGTTGTTCGAGCCGAAGCTTTCTGTCTCTCCCGATATCATAAACTGGGAGAAATCGCAAAATCGTTAGCGGTTGTCCTCGTGACAGCCTAAAGGAGGCGGAGAAGATGCGGACGAACAAGCAGGCTACAGGCATACCATCTCCACCGGCTCAGCACGCGTCGGAATATGTTCCACGACAGCGGGCGATGTACCGTGTCTGAGTCAAGGCGGTCGGACGAGAGCAAGCGTTCCTACAGGAAGCAGACGATCATCGTATGCGAGTCGCGCACTGAGAGGAATGATGAGAGCTGCACTATACCTCTTCGGAGAGATAAAAAGCCTTCGTAGTGGCTGGGACATCTGGGAAGATGAGGAACCCATACAGCGCAATAGGAAGTGTGATGGCGCCGTCGACGATGAACCTGCAGGAACCAGTCAGCCCGAGCGTGGGGTGAGAAAGGAGTAGCAACAATGCGTCGTGCCACTCACAGCCATCGCCAGCCACTCCGGCCTGCATTGCCATTCAGATGTCTTGGGATGGAGTAGGGTATTGGTATGTCGTCAGTGATTTGCGGCATGGGAGAATTACATACCGGTATACAGCAGCTTGCAGAACACCCGAAAAACTTTAACGCCCGTCAGTGTATACCTATATATCGAGAAAATTTGTTCTGACAGTGTGCCCACGAGCCCACTGCTCGTGAATATTGCAGATCGCTTCCCGAGTTCACTAGGCTTGTACCAACTGCGTGCGGTTAAGTACGACGGGGAGAATGAATAAGGGAGAGGGGGAAAGGACATACGAGCCGAGAATGTAGTGTGTGCCGACAAATGTCGATGACTCCGCCATCCCTTGGAGAAACCGAATGCCATAAATCTATGAAATGACGTTGACATCCAACACCATAGCGAATACTCGACAGACATACTTGGTGTACGTTGTGCACTGCACTCGAGCTACAAAGATGAAAGGAGAGTGATCGGCTGAACAGAGTCTTATAGTCGCGCGTAGATACGTACTAACCAGAAGGTCAAGACACCCCATAGAATTTGCATGGAGGGCAGCCATATCCGCGGCGGGACAATTTGCAGCATCAGATTATCTGGGAAAGTAGCATTAATCGTATCGTGTCAGCAATACACACTGGGATTCTTCGGCGGGGTTTGCAGATATGAGGATGTCTCACTCGGTATCATTCCGACTATGTAGCCGCAGGTGAAGATGGTATTAATTTGCTGGAGCATACGAAACAGTTCATATGCATGAGATAAAATAACAGCAGACAGACGTGGTTCGAAGAGAGTGACAAACGTTGAACTGCGTTCCGACCATGTTGAGCTCTTCTTTCATTCCGGAGACGTAGGCGTTGGATACATTGGACCTGTCAAGGTCTGCACGGCGAGATCTCAGTGAGCAAGCATACCGCGCGTTTTATGACAGCATAACATGGCAAGAGCGCCAGACGTATCAACACCATCAGCGATGAAAGGAAAAGCAACATATGGGAATCGTTACAAAAGCACTAGACACTCACAATTCGTGAAATACTGACGAGACTGTCAGTCTAGCGGTTCATTGTACGTTGATATCACAGCGCACCATGAGACAGCAATACGACAAGATGAACCAATCTATCTTCAATAACAGCTTCCTCTCTGTTTTAGACATTGAGCTCGTCCCCATAAATGCCTCCCGGATTTTCTGTAATTTGGGCGGTCGCATCTTGGATGTTGCGTAGGTTGGGATTGAGATACGAAACTGATACAGTACCGAGATTTTAGAACCTGTGTTGCTCTAAGCATCAATCCGAGCTCGACGGGTCAACGGTACATGGAGCTGGAGCTGACACCAGTGACCTTCACCGGCGATCAAATGACGGGTGCATCATGTGATGGGAAAGTAGCTGATCGCCTATGTCAAAGGCAATGAGTCACGCGCTGTGTCCAGTAATATATTCACATTTATAAAGAGCCTATACACAAATTGATGTGAATCTGCAGGAATGCATTTCAATGGATCTGCCTCAATTTGCCTCTAAAAAGTCTAGAATTTAAGAGGGAGAAAGAGGGAAATCCATTCAAAAAGATCCCCCTCTATCTCCCTCGACCGACTTTTGACTGGGCGGTCAGCACGAGGACAAACGTACGTATATCAGGAGGTAAGTATGCCACAGAAGAACTTTCAATGTTATGTAGCATCAAGATCAAATGACCTCTCGGAAGCGAACGAGAGCATGAGCGAAAGGATGATATCAGTGATAAGTAACAAAATGGGCCTGCACGACGTAACCCTCGCTGGTCCAGCGTGGCCACCTGCAGCTGAAGCCGCGACCAAATCAGGAGACCGCTCCGGGGCCCGCGCGCTTGTGGCTCTGCAGACTGGTCGAGGCTATTTGGTAGACCACACCCGGGCATGTCTGGTAGGCACTCGAATGGTCTGGGATGAATAGAATGGATCGCACGATGATGATGCTATCGGCACGCAGTTATCCCGTCAGAGATGGAAGAGGTGTGCAGCGCCTATCCATCCGGAGATGAGCGTCCATCAAGACGCTGGCCGATGACGAGGATACGGCAGAGAAAAACGGCCGATCGGTCGATATGGCAGATGGCGTGCACGGTGACTTCCCCGGTAGTGCACGACAATTCGAGTCAATCGAACCATCACTGTATGTTCGACTGTTGGAAAAGAGGCCGTGAATGTCGTGGGTGGGGTTGCAGCCAACATCAACGGGGAGGATGGGGTCGAGCAGCGAAATGGATGTAATAGCTAATAGGCCGACGAGGGCCGTCGGAACCCTGATTCTGGGGGCCGGGCGGCTGACCTATCGAATCTTCTGGAACCAACATGCCATGGTCCATTCCGAGAGATTCGGTATTCCTGCGAGAACGACGGAAGGAGAGAGCGCTTATAGAGCGCCGTTTCTCACAAAAAAACAATAGGGCCTGTGCGAGTGCAGAGAGGTAGAGATGTGGTGGTCTACTGGGACTTTCAGGGCTGGAGGCACTGGGGGATCCCGCGGCATTGAAGCGGCAGGGCAGCCAGGGGCCACAAGTGACGCAATCGTGAGAAAATCTCATCGAACGCCCGATGACTCATTTCAATTGTCATCGTCCACCCTGAGGTCCTCCTCCTCGTTCCCGAAAGCCTAAATCTATCCTCTCTCGAACCGCCCCTTTCTACTGCGAAAATATATTCACATTCTGGCTGGCCTGACGCTTACTGTCTGGATGCGGTACCGCTCTTCGTGTTGCTGACGTGGGACGTTCGACGTACACGGACGCGCAGTGGGTTTCAATATTTGGAAAGCTTATGTTGGGTTGATGTCCGGGATGGTTTAGTAATCTGGAACTTGGCACCGAGATCTCCCGTCGATACAGATTTCTAAACTGGTCTTTATAACGCCCTCGTGTCTTTTTTGTGCTTGTTCGCCCTTTCCCCTCAGCAGCCATGCATTACACCGGCTTGACCTTGGGTTTCCTCCTCCCCTCTTATGCCCTTTATGCCGCCGGTCCTGTGATTGGTGCACCTTCAGTCGCCGTAGTCCAGGAGGATCTTTATCCCCGCGATCCCTCCTCCTCCTCCTCCTCTCGTGTTCTTAACCGAACGCCCCTATCTCGACCGCATAGTGATCACACGGAGTGGGTGAATTTCTTCGACCGACGCGATGGTGATCATGCCCACGGAAATCATCATGCTGGACCCATCGTTGAGTTGAACGAGACCGAGGTTACCATGTACCATGCACCCACGCCTCCTTCATACTGGTCTATCGATGTGGAAGAGCGGAACCCTGAAGAGAATAGGTATCCTGGACTCATGGTTCTGCACGCGCTATCCATGTGTGCTGCGTTCTTCGGTGCGCTTCCAGCGGGTGAGTGGATCTGGCTCTGCTTGTATCTTGAATCAAAAAATCTGTTAGCTCATCTATACCGACAGGTATCGCTCTACGGTCCGTAAATCACGCATGGCATGGTTTTTCCATGATTCTCTTCTGGGTGTTTATCGTCCTTGGTTGTTCCGCGAGCGGTCTTTACAAAAAACTGACCCCTAATATGTGAGACCCCCTCTTTTTCTTCAAATTTCCTTAGGTATAGACCCTCCTACAGGTATGAGGGCCAGCAGCACTCCTCGCAGAGTTACGTGGTCATATTCCTGGCACTGATCGTTTCCGCCATCGACCTGATCTCGGGTATGTCCCGGTTGATCAACTACGTGAAGGGTGTCCGTAGTGGAGACAAGTTCTCGGTCTTGTCGTTCTGGAGGACCGTCATCCTTGGCCAGGACGAAACTCGCGTGGGGCTGGATACTGAGTACACAAACTTGGTTGTGGACGAGCCTGAGGACATGGAGGACCTCAAGCTGCGTGTGGACGAAGGCGCTGGCTCACATCACGTCACCCACGCCCTCGAAGACCATAATGAGACGGCACAATGGGCAAATGACGTGCACCGCCACCGCGACTTTCCGGAGACGCCTGTGTCTGAGCGCACTCTGTTTGGACCCCGATCTCATCGCGGCTCGCAACATTCCGATGATAATTTCCAGGAATATGCTTTGAATACTGTCAAGGTCCCATTGGTTCGTAGAGTTGGCAGGATCGCATTTGCTACCTTGGAGCGTTCTCTCGTCTTCGCCGGATTTGGCCAACTTTTGTTTGGTATCGTGGTCTATACAGGCGGATGTCGCGAGAATTACATCAACGGGTGCCTCGCGCACTTGATCAGTGAGTCAATGGTCATGATGATTTTTATGTCCCGGTACTGATCCTATCATTACTCTGACAGAGGGTGGCATTTTCTGGTGCTATGGGCTTGTTACTTTCGCACGCTTCCTCGGATCTTTCTCTGAGCTGGGATGGGCGTGGAACCGGGCGCCAGTGGGTGAGCATACCTCCGCCGAGTTTGTCGAGTCTTTCGTCATCTTCCTTTATGGAATCACCAACACCTGGATGGAGCGGTTCGGTGCCAACCGTGGCGATCCGTTCACTACCAAGCAGGTCCAACACATCAGCATTGCCGTGATGTTCTGGTTTGCTGGGCTCGTTGGTATGGGCCTGGAGTCTCGCCGTCTCCGCCGTTGGCTTGCTTCCATTTCCACTGCCGCTGTGAAGACCGCACACGAGACACGCGAAGCTGTGGCCGAGCCTGCTAGCTACACTGGAAGTTTCAATCCGTTCCCTGCGCTCGTCATAGGCGTGACCGGAGCAGCCATGAGCGCCCACTTTCAGACTTACTTGTTCCAGGTACGCATTTACAGATTGACTCAGATCCTTTGTTTTCAGAAGCTGACTGTTCTCCATAGGTGCAAATTCATGCGCTTTGGGGCTACCTTCTAAGTGCCTTCGCGGTTCTGCGGTGCTTGACGTACTTCTTCCTTTGGCTTGGTCCGCCGCGGTCCATCTTGCCTTCCCGCCCGCCCACCGAGGCATTGGCCAGCTTCTTCCTTACCTGCGGAGGCCTCGTTTTCATGTTCAGCGACGAGGAAGTCACCATTGCTGCCATGCGTAAGGGTAGTGACGGTAAGTGCAGCTCGCGTATCGCATTTATGCTCATATATATGATCTTCTTCTACTTTCAGATGTAATGATGTTCCTCAACCTGTCGGTGGCCCTCACCTGCCTCGCGTTCTGCTGGACCCTGTTGGTGGTTGCGTTCAAGGGCTGGCTCAAGTCTCGCACCCACTCTGGCGTTGCGTTCCATCCTTCGCACTAGGCCATGATCAAAAACATAACGATATCATCTCAGTAACGTCTTTCCGCCTTTCCTGGGGCTCTTAATGAAATTGTCCTTTTCAACTCCTTGTTGTCGTTTTACAGTGTTTTGCTCTGCTTTTGCTCATGTATGGCGTTTTACATGCTTGTCTCATCACTGGGTCTTTTCTATATCTTCTGTATTTGCTTTCTCGCAATCACTTGCCCCCATTCCCGCACCTTTCCATTTCTACGGGCTTAGTGTAGATCCAGCATTCAACGTTACTTGCTTGCCTTCTATCTTGACGACCTCTGCTGCACAACTCCCTGCCGATGTGCTTATGACTACGCCGACGGTTGCATTACTTAGTTGAATGATTATTACTTTCACGTCCTTACTTCAGTGTGACGAAGATGCTTTTTGCAATCTCAAGAGCGCAGACCACATCCAAGAATCTCTTATCAAAAAAGACCGGCTCCGAACTGCAGTAGAGCATAATCTCCCAATGCACCCATCCAAATCCAGAAACCAGACCACCCGCATCCCACGAATCCCTTCCAGCAGCTCGCGCGATCGTCAAACCGTGTCAGTTTCAGTACGCGGGCAAGCTGCACGGCCGCAAGCCCTGTACCGACGAAGAATGGGGCGCCGTGGCCAACGAGATACCCAGCATACGTGATGAGGGACATCGAGGACGCGGAAAAGGCAGCGAGGATGGGGCGTGTGCGATCGCCGAACAAGAGCGCGGTGGAACGGATCCCGGCGTGGACATCGTCGGCCTTGTCTTGGTGCGCGTAGATGCTGTCATAGACGAGCGTCCAGAGCACCCCGCCGGCGTAGAGCGGGAGTGCGACGGGCCAGTTCACGGTGCCCGCCACCGCGGACCAGCCGAGAAGCGCGCCCCAGTTGAAGGCGAGGCCAAGGACGGCCTGGGGCCAGTGTGTGATGCGCTTCATGAATGGGTATAGCGTCACTACGGAGAGAGAGCATGCGCCCAAGACAATGCTTCGACGGGTGTATTGGTGGGTAGGTAGGCGGAGGGCATGGTTGGGGAGGACGGCTCACCTGTACAGGTTGAGCTGTGTCAGGACGCCTAGGCCCGCGGTGAGCTGCAAGCCCAGAAACACAAACGCTTGTTTGGGTGTGATATCACCGCGAGCCAGTGGTCGCGTCTTGGTACGCTCTGCGCGTTTTTTTGGGATCGGCAGCTCATGAGTCGACGTCTGGGAGCACACGAGCGAATTTTCGCTCACCGACAGCCTTGTCGAGCTTTCGATCCCACATATCGTTGATTGTGCATCCTGCACCGCGCATGACGAGGGCACCGAGTCCGAATAGACTAAGGTACGTGAGTGGGACAGTCGGCGGCGCATCTAGCGCATATGAGGCCATTGTAATTGACCAGGCTAAGCATATCAATTGAGGGGTGTGAATTTGAGAACACGACGGTAGTGAGAAAAGTGGGCCACAGACCACAAGGATAGAAGAGAAGCAAAGTCCCGATGGGCTTGTCTATACGCGTGAGGTACAGGTATGGTCGAATTGTCGGTGACAGGCGATCAACCCATGTTTTGGTTGAAGGCGTTTGAGCTAGTGACTGTGTTTTTGAGTGCGCAAATCGTGACAAGCACAAGTGTTGTGTGTGCGAGCAATGCCATGTCTGTCGCGCCGATGGACTATGTCTTGGAAGGCGGCTACGAAGGATAGGAGTACATCTGAGGCCAGGAGCAAGCGCCATTGAGTTCGTCGAGGCGCGGCCCGAGCCTTGCCGCCTGCGGTATCGACGTCATTCACACCATGATCAGCAAAGCATGTTTGTGTAAATTTCAGTTCAGAGCAGTACATTGGCGTTCGCGCTCGTAGGTGAGATAGAGAAGGAGTAGGTATAAATGCAAGAGACCAGGGTGTCAAAAAAATACATTCTTCCATGAGGCCTTTCTTCACCACTCCTTGCCGATCTTGAACAGCCAGTCCCACTCTGACATGTAGCGCATGAGACCGAGCACACAATCTAACGGTCAAAATACGCACCAGCATACACCTCTCCATCAATATCCGTGACACGACTCCTCACGTTGTACACACCGCGAGCAAGCATTCCCGATGGGAACTCGTCCTGGACGACCGAGACGCGGCGCGGATCTGGTTGGGCACCGTATGAACCAAGCATGGCATCCACTTTCTCGACTTTGAGAGATTCTTGAGTCAACAATTGGATAGTGAAAGATAACAAACGCAACGAACCCTTGATCCCCGCACGCTTCACAACTTGGATGTACCGACAGCCCTAGCAGCTGAAATCAGATGCTGATGATCGGTATTAAACCCGAATGGCTCACAGTAACAAGAGAGTGGTTAACCTGAAGACTGATGTATACACTGTAAAAATCGTAGTGAATACCGAAGTCACTTGCAAAGATGCTGGATGCTCACTTGTACTCGGCGCCCTCCTTGACTTGAAGCGGTGCCGCTTTCAGCTGAGCAAGCTGATCAGCGTTCTTCAGGTCGACCGTGATCGTTTTCCCTTCAGGCAAGGAAGGAGAGGTGAGTTCCAAGGTCAACACTTCAACCTGTTCATTACAACATCATTCATAGAGTTGCCTTGCTGAGGCAGGGCATAGGGCACACCTTGGGCTTGCTCGTGTCGCCAACGGCTCCTGTACCAAGACCCAGACTAGCTTTCCAGCGCGCCAGACTCTCATCCTCTGCATCGAGCTTGGCATACTCATCGATAGTCTTCGCGGCACTTGGCCTGTAGCCTAGGTTTGACCATGTTATCCAATTGGCACGATGTCATGATCCACAGCCACTATATGAACGCACCAGGAGTAGTGTTGGGCGCGAAATCGTCCTCTTCCTGATGAAAAGGTCAGTAAGACGACTGTTGGGGTGGGATGATTCTGACAAACAGTAGACATGGTAGTTATGAGCTTGTAGAGTGTATCAGAGAGTTGATAGTTGAAAAGCAAGGATTGCCGCTCAATTCTATAATCCTAAAGCGATCGCGATCGATATTCCCACGCCTGCTAACCATAATTGAACCTGCATACACTGCTACATATTTCTGGTACTACTGGTACCAGTAACTACTCAAGATCGTATGAACAAAGCCATCAAGTTAAAAACCTTCAAACCATTTAATATATCACGTCCATCCTGTTGGAGACAATGTCAACTCAGATGGCGTACCAGCCCCCTTTGGACGGTGCATTCCGGCTAGTCATTGTCAATCTCAGTCTGTGCCTTCGGAGGACAATATAAAAAATACTCGCCTCCCTTGAAACGACATTTATCCCTGCTGCTGAATTGACATTTAATGCCGAACGGGCATGTATGGCCCCAGCAGCAATGGGGGCCGTACGGACACTCTTTGTCTATAGCGAAGGCGGGATGTCATTTTTGTTTATCCATTTGTATAAACCATATTATGACTAACCGTTATTAAGGAACCAACACGGCGACTGTTTGGCGTTTTTCGCCAATGTACTGAGCTGTTCTGCTGTCAATGAATAGTCATGCGAGTATTTGCATCGATCCTATAGGTAACTCGTTAATGATCGACGGAACTGTCATCTCCTACTATGTGGTATCATACCGCTTTCGAGCATTGTTCTAGCAAGTAATGCTCATTGCAAGGCGGTGGGTTCTCTAAATGTCGGCTTGAGATTCATAATCACTGTTATATGGATGCTCATCTTGAAACTCACGTTTGTATAACGGCTACATATCCACCCCATTGGTCAGCTACAAGATCGAGGAAGTCGCGCAGGCTACTCACCAAATTCGGATCTATCACAGGAACCTTACGAATCGCCTTATCAGATCTCACTGGCCAATTTGACTCATCAGCTGCAAATGTAGAGTCTCTCCCTTGAATCTGCGAGTTTCTCATGAAAAGTCCTTTGAGAACGATAGTTGGTATGGTCGGCGATAGCGCTCCCATGGAAAACATTCCGCCGTGACCTTGTATAGAGATGAGCTTGGAAGAAGCAAAAACAGCCTCTAGCGAGTCGACGATACAGGCCAAATCGACGCTGGAGCCTCCTGTACTCAAGAGTCGTTGAGTGTGATTATACCAAGTAGCTGCAAAGCATGAAACATACCACAGTAAATGATTCGAAGCGTTTGTGGAAGACCCGCGAAAGTCTTGATATATTCTGATAAAGATCTCTGAATAGCGCCTTATAATCTGATGGATATATATATATATACCCTTGATCTTAACATCGACCCCTTTCTTGTTCGCGACGTCGACGATAGTGAGAGAAGAAGTCTGGCTCAAGCCTACACAGAACCGCTCGAACTGGGCGGCAGTACAATGCCCATTGACGACCATATCGTCTGCGAGTTCCCGCTTATTGATGTATAGGGACGTCCACAGGGAGAAACCCTGCGGCCCAATATCCTTGTCATCCGCGAGATGCTGTTGGATGCCTCGAGTGAGTTCCTCTGCAGCCTGTTGGCCGCCTTCCTCGCCTTGCTTGAAATATGCGGGAGAGAATATGGTCTTGGTGCCATCGATGATACAAAGTATCAAAGATTTCTAGAAATAAATTATATCTCACTCAGGCCCTAGATCTAGTCGTCCACAACCAACGACGAAAACGCACTTCGTAAGTGATGCTTGGGCCACCATTGGGTTGCTTCATAGCATGAAGTTGCTCATCGCGAGCCTTTATTTGGCGCTCAGCGGCATCTCGTGATGTAGCGTGGGCTTGCTTCCAGACGGACAACTCAACCTCCAGCTCCTTCACTCTGGATGCGAGACTGGCATGTTCCGCCTCAACAGCTTGCGCAATTTCTGTAGTAAAGAGTGATTCATTTACTCAGCATATCGTGGATGATTCGAGAACACACCGTGCTCACCTTGTATCTTAACGATAACATCGTTCCTGCTCGCCAGTGATGCGAATGAGTTTTTAGAGGGGAGCGATACGTGAAAAGACTGACCAGAGGTAGTGGTTGGTCGAAACTGCGACTGATATATCCATCTGGATATATTACTTCAAGAAACAATGACCCACACTGATGAGAGTAGAGGTTTAAGAGACTGTCAAACCCAGGGGCAGGGGAGGTCACAATCCCACCTATCCTGCGCGGGGCTAGAGCGTCACGGCTTCTGTGAAGTTGCACCGCACGGCAAACCTACACAGGATGATGAGTGCCAAATAAGGACCCATATAAGGGCACATGTTCTGTTAAGAAACTCAATCAAGCGCCGTGCCAATACACCCAATGGGCAGTACAGTACCGTACACGAGGGCATGCTTGGAACATTTCTGACGGAACCCAGATCAAATCACTTCACTCCAACGGGGAACTGAAGAGATACGTTGACTTGTACTTAACGCGAAAGTTCACTTCGAACAGCTTCCAGACTGCGGAATTAACCAACAATGCACCTCATTGTTGTGAACCTAACGTGGTACTATCGGAAACCGTCTAGAGGGCTGGTTGGACCCAACGATTGTGAAGACAGCATCGGATAGCCTCCGTCAGTAGCTAAGCGGCCTCGCGTCCGCCGTTCTGGCTGTGGGCAATGAGCGTCAGGGAGAAAATGGCACTCCTCATTGCTGACCTCACTTCAGATCCCCCACGGAATTGCTAGGATACCGGCAGTCAAAAACTCTGGACCGTCTCGTGGAGCACTGCTGCGCACCTGCTAAGTTGAGTTTTGGCATGCGGTCTCTTCATTTCCGATTCAACGCCAAGTTGGTAACTTTTCGCACCGAATCTCGCTCTGCAACTTTAGCAGAAGAGCTGAATCCTCCATCAAAATCCCCAGCGCCAGAGGCGTCTTGGGAGGTTCCTCAAGTCCTCAATTTCACAATGGTCTCGCTCGCACTCTCTGTCAGCTATAAGTGAGTCGAGTTCATCTATGAGAAGTATGAGAATCTGCGATGCCTTTGACGAGATGCAGAAATGGAACACACTACGCCGTTCATTGATATGCTGTTTTCTGACGCCCTATCGGCAGTGAACGCAATGGGTTGAGCCACTGAAGGAAACATGGTATCTATCAATGTACCGAAAAGACATGGTGTCGCTGTGTAAGAAGAAGATTCCCCGCGAAACAATTTGCCCATTGAAAATTCAGTTCTACCTAAGTACTTAAGCAATTTCAAGCTGGAGACTTATTATATCGAATTGGCACGTGACGCGTGAACGCGTAGATTGCGACGCGTCGCGGTCGGTTGGAGTCTTTAGACCCCACTTTCCCTCATAAGTCACCTTTCATCAGACGCGTTTCTCTGGTCCATGTCAGATATGTACACCTCTCTAGGCATATCACCAAGGAAGAAGCGACGTCTGATTGATGACGAGGATGACAAGGCTTTAACGCCTAAGAAAATCCGAACTGCGTGAGCTATCCAACCTCTTCACTTTAATTCTCTTCATCGAATTATTTCAAAGGCCACCTTCTCCGCCAAAGACTGTCACAAGGCAGCGGGCAGAGTCCAGCCCTACCAATCTCCCCCCACATTTGAACCGTTTGTATGCGGCTCAAACAGCCTTACAGCACGCACTTTCACATGCTCTGGCCACCTGTGCGGTGTCGCCTTCCTCAGATACTGGAATCGTGCGCAACGTGCTTAATCACCAGTCTCTGCACTCTTACACTGGCCTTACGACTGCTTTCGATATGAACGACCTGAAACGGCTTTGTTGGCTATGGGAATGGGACGGCAAAGATATCGCACCGCCAAACACGATTCGCAAGAGTGATGGCGACGACAATCCATTCCTCGAAGAAGAAGTCCCCTCCTCTCAACCTAAGGACTGGACCCGTGGCGCTATGGGCTTCGTCATCAGCCCATCCACTCATTTCTCGAAAATAGCTAAGTCTCGCATCCCTGCCTATGGGATCGGTATAGAAGTCGAAATCGATATCGATAAAGACATGGGAAGTGGAATAGCCTCTGTCGCTCGCTGGACTGCTGCAAGTGAGTCAAGGCGGAAAGAAGTGTTATCTAAACTCCAGCGATGGGCTGAGGTACTGAATTTTCTATATCCTGTACGGCACTTTTTCTCATGATTTTCATAGCTTCATTCAGGGACAGACCTTATCCCAAATCTACACATGGCAAATCTACCACAACTGAACATTCCACCAAAGCCGTCCACTTTGACACGACTCCTTGCTTCATCTTCACCCAAGGCAACTTCTTCGATCTCGATATTAGCGACTCCTTCGTCTCCCACATCTCCATCAAAGAAGCCTGCGAAACATCTTGTCAAGAAACCTCTCAAGGAATCCGAAGGATCTGCAATTGCTTTTCCCATACTACCAGCGCCCAAACTCACTTCAGACTCCAAGAACTCGGTGTCATTCCCAAAGACTCCCTCACGACATTCTCGTGGTGTTTCATTAATTGGCCTTCTGACTCCGCATACACCTTCCACAAGCCCATCTCAAACACACTCTGGAGATTCGCTGCCCTCAACGCCGGTTCACCAGCGCGGGCCTCATGCCGTCACAGTGCCTCAGACTCCCACAAGTTCTCGCCGAGCGGCACTCTACGATCGCATTCGACAGAAGTCCATCACGTCGACGCCGTCTAAATCCGTTAGCTGTGACATTCCTCAAGGAAAGCTCACCAGAGACCAGTTGCTAAAAATGAGCCAGGATGAAATGAGACGTCGTATGTTGTTGGGACGGCTTGGCGGAGTAGCCGAGAGCGTGTGGATGTATATGCTTTATTTTTCAATTGTCACTGATCGACCGCTCATGAAGTCTTTCAGGCTTTTCTCTGCTCCTACAGGGATTACTGCCGCGCCCGCTCGAAAGCGCCGAGCGCTTCCTGTTTCAGAGGTGATCGCTGCTATTTTGAAGTCCTCGCCTGTACCCGTCTCTGCCGCTGAGGCACAGGAATCCCTCAATCTACTCACTTCCATATGCCCCTCCTTCGTCAAGCTACTGGACATCAATGATGAAGAATGGTTAGAGATGCCTGCTCAAACTCAGACCGAGAGTGGCCCCAAGCCTCCACCGAGTCCTGGTAGCAGTCGGAACAAAGACGACAGTGCTGCGGAAGTATTGACTCGTAGCCCTAGAAGGGTTAAACGAGAAGGGGGTGTCCTCAGGGAGGTGCGAGAACGGATTCGACGAGAGCTGGAGCTCGCCGATTGATCAATCAATCTGTGCTTCATATCATTGCTGCTCTTCATTTCATCACACCTTACACATATTGTAGCTTTGCGATACCTACTCGCCCCCATCTTGTTTTGTGAAAGCTCTTTCTGCCAGCACCCCTTCGTTTTGCGATACTGTATCGTATTGTATTCCTCACCCACACCTCGTTTTGTGATACCTCTTTTTATCATCGTTTCATTTGTTATCCTCACGTATTGCAAAATATACTGTTACTTTTCCTGAAAAATCAAAAGGGCGAAATACCATCTCTTCTAGTAACAAGACAGCCACATAACACGACCTTCCGCTGTGAGTCTTGGCCATACATGATCCTGATAGATGGTTTTGAGCAGACGGGATTGTGGAAATGGTGAGGACGTTCGAGGCTGAGAAGTCCACGATGTGTCGACCGAGAGCGCAGTAGATCGTAAAGGATCTATGCCGAAACGGTTGTATAGAATCCTCCCAGAGTTCCTCAAACGTTCGGCATTAGAATGAATGTGATTCATAAATGTTGTTATATCAGTCTAAACATGCGGCAAAGTCGTGGAGGGTGAATCCGTGAAGGGGTGAAATGTTACCCAAACCCAGAGGGGACACGGTGAATGCGTGTAGAAGCGGGCGAGAAGACCTGGCAGTATTTCCGACGCGAGATACACCACGGAAGAGAGGACCATCAAAGAGCTGTCACAATCGCCGCGGTCTTGGTAGGCAAGGCCGCTACCTGCAATCAAGATAGTTTTCTCCTCTGCGGCAAGAGAAAGGTCGAGACCCATTTGGATGGCTGGAAGGGTCAATTCACGTTAGCATGACGGATGAGGGGTCCGCGGTCAAACGCTGTCAAACCGAAAACAAGAGCCACTCATAGATGGTTGTGCAATTGAACTGATCTCGAACACAGTCCTTCATGCATAATGCACGATGGCCCAAGAGGATTGTGCGATCATGAGGGTGACAGCAGCGGTTCGCGAAATTTATGCAATTATCGGAGATTGACACTTAAAAATTTGGCGATATCAATTTTGACGACTTGTGTTTTTCAAGTGGTGATCAAGAAAGTTCGTGCCGATTGAAGCAACCTATAATATCACAAGTTGTAAGTCTGCCTGGCCGACCTATGAAACTCTTCACAATCTACCACCACGCCTTGCTTCCGACTGTGCTCCGCAGCAAATACAGTCATATGGCTCTTCAAGACCTCTGTCACGTCTGTTCCAAGCAGCTCCTGCCGTCCCGTCCTCACAGCCTCGACAAAGGTCCTGATCAGGCCAAGGTCCCCACCACCATGTCCGCCCCCTTCGTCCTTAGGCTTGTGCAAGACAGACTGGCCCGTGCGGAAGTTATTGACGGTGAAGGTCTTCATGTCACCGACGATCTCGCCGTGAGTAAAATGCAAACGAGTTTGGCGGTCGCAAATGAGGGACGTGAATGCGACCATTGTGAATGATGCCGTCGCTCCCGAGGAATACTGGATGTTGACAACCTGGGGAGCTTTGAGCATATGATCAAATAAGCCACTGCATCATCTCGTTACCTGGTTATCACAGACGTCATTATCACTTTCGTACACGCATTTGCCATACGGGCCAAGACGAAGAACCTCAGTGATGTTCTCAATATCTGGAATACCGTCGACGATGGTACTGGATGGCCATCCCGCATCTCCAGTTACAACCTTATCTAGGTAGACTGCACATTCAGATCAGTTTCATGGTGTCTGGTGTCTTCACGCCTTAAAAAACGCACTCCTCTTGGCGCTATAGGGGCACTGTCGCTCAGCTGGACAATCTAGGCAACGTAAAGCACGGCCAGCTTCCGTCGGTTTTGCAGATTTGCGGAAATGCTGCAGGCCTCCAAATGAAGATACACGAGTCGGTGCGGCAGGTGACAACCAGCTACAGAGGATGTCGATGTCACTTTAGCACAAATTGGTCAGGTCAGACAAGTCTAGAAGCCGCTGAATTTCCTTACTGACAACTTTTTGTCATCAAGGAAAACGAACTTTCTTGTTCGAGCGCCCAGTTGCCACGGACATATGAGTGAGCGAAATGATAGTGGCCGACTGGTTCGACATGAACAACGTTGACGAGCTCGCCTAGCTTTCCAGAACGAACTATTTCTGTTATTGCTTGATTGTAGGGCGAGTACCGAAGGACTGTGGATGACCCTCATTATATCACGAGATTGACTACCAGCGAACGAAGCGGAGACCAACCGTGTCCCATGCCAAAAATGACACCCGCTTTCTTAATTGAGGTTTCAATTCGGAGGCAGTCGCTTATGCTGGTGGCCATAGGCTTCTCGCAAAGAACATGATAGCCTTGAGATGCAAATGCTTCGACGAGCTCGGCGTGCATATGATCTTGGACAGCGATGACAACAGCATCGGCAAGTCGCTTTCCGATGGTCCTGATGGTTTCTGCCGATGCTTCATAGAACTCTGTCCACGAGTTGAAGACAAGGCTTCGGTCAATACGATGTGCATCTTGCATCAACGCTCTCGTCTTCGGACGAGGCTCGGCTATGGCAACGACCTTGCATTTGGTGGGCTCTGTGATAGCATAGGCAGCGTAACTCTGGATGTGTGTCAAACTGATGCTCGCAGGACCAAAGAAAGCGTGATTACATTGCCTCGCTGCCCGCATCCGATGATAGCGACTGTCACAGGCTCTAAGGGATGTTTCGGTTCCAATGGGATGGGCATCTTTGGACAGAAGGAAATGGCGCCCAAGCATGAAGTCCCTGATAGTAAACCTGATAAAGAACGAACTGGAACGAGATATCGCTCATCCCGGTCCGAGCGATACCAGAGATATGGGGTCGACGTGGAAAAATATCTTCATCGTCGAGCTTGCACGCATGACTAGAGAGCGCCACAAATTCGAGATGACGATAGAGCACCGGACAGAGAGAGGTGAATTGGGATTGGCTGCTGGACGCCGTCGGCTGTGGCGACGAATATCGTGTTACGTTGAGTTGAGGGAGTTGTGTCATGCCGCGCTTGATTCCACGCCTGCTCGAGAGTCTCAAAGCAACCGCAAACACGCCTACTGGAAAGAAAGTAAGACCGATCTACCCAGCTTCCCGAGGCAGAGTGTCCCTACGGCAGCCTGTGCCCCCATCTCCTGATTTCTTCTCTAGCCGAACACGGTCCATCCTACTTGACCAGCAAAATCCAGTCCTTCATCCCAAAGACTTCGTTCAGCACAAGTCATTGCCCCCTCGCGTCAGGCTACACAGAAACCACCGGAAGCGGGTCGTAGAGAGAGATGGCACTGTCGGAGTTGATGTTCCTCGGGAGATGCTGGCCATTGAGAGACAGTGGTGGGCAAATCCATATCGTGAGTCGTCCTGTACCTCGACGCACCTCAGTATTTTGACTGGTTATGCTAGTCAGAATGCTCTCCACCCCCCTACGACGATGCACTATGACCATGCAGCACCTACCAACAGGTCCGTATTTATCAGGTCATGCACGCTATTTAGCCAACCTTTCCCCCAGATTTCCTCATCCGCCTATCGCCCAGACGAATAACACCGCCTCGAACGTCATCCCAACGTACAACGTACGCTTTGCTTCCCGATGGCCTGGAGCACCCAAAATTCAAGAATTTGTACTCTCGCAAAGGCGTCTATATTTCCTGCCGCAGGGACGTACTACCACATCTGAGTGCGCAATTCGTAGACCATTTATCTATCTCCCCAACGCTCAAGACAATTACTTCACTTAGATTCACTCATGCGTGCTCCGCTCGACGTGAAGATCACACCTACCCGTGCCCTCCCCTTCTATGTTAGCCATCTCCTCCGTCTTCGAGTCCTCCAAGACCTTGAAATTCTCACCGCCCAACTCGAAGCGAATCCTGCTAATGCGGAGTCTGTACCTCTCCTCCGCCGACTGACGCGCAGGGAATTGAAGGCTATCCGCGAGACCAACATCATTCCTTTCGAGGGAGCTGTCGCAGTTCTGATAGTCCCACCTGTCAATAGAGATCCCAGTACGAAAGAACGCGTAGCACCTCATGCGTCTTCGCTGCCTGAACATGACCATGTCATAGCTCCCACAACGCGTACTTCGCCGCAGGTCTCTTCTCTCCCAATCTCCGTCCTCCATCCTACCTCGTCGCCGGAGGACTACGACAGCGTTTCAGACTTTATCACTCCAACCCAGATTCCCTTATATAACGGCGCATCTCTGTTCCCTTCTAAAGGCCAGCGTGCAGCGCTCCACAGTCGACTATCCAAGCTCCTCCTCGTTGAGCGAAGGGCGCGCTACAAACAGCATGGTCGTATAAACAGCTCCGACAAGATGCATTACCCCCAAAAGGACGACAAGTGGGCTCGTGGTGACGAGAAGGCTAGTCACGCGTTCCTGCTCTACTCGACGGGCGAATCCGTCAAAAGAGCGGATACCGTGCCCCTCGCAATCGCGCTATGGAGGTTGAGAATGTGGGAGAAACATGACTGGGAGAACAACGATAAATGGGCATCCATTATTTAACTCAGTCCTGCTCAAGGATCGGGCGCAATATTTACCAATCATACAATCCTGCACGGTCATTTATAGGATACAATGAAAAGACAACAGAGCTATTACAGCCTCACCGATTCAGACCATACCCTCGCCTCCCGCCACCGGAACTCCCATTGTTTCCGTTTCCACCGAGCCCTGACTCCTTGACCTTCCTTTCTACTTCGGACACCTTGCCTTCCAACTCGCGTGATGCACCGTCTATCCACTGCAGACTCTCCAGGTGGCTACTCAACACTTGTGCGATTTGCATCATGGAATTTTCGCTCGCAGTGGGTGTTGTGTTATCCGTGGCAGGCGTTAGTGAGACGGCATTGGCAGCTTCGACGAGTTGCGTGAGCGAGGAAGAGAGGTCATCTAGGTGGCTGTGGAGCTCCGTTGCCAGCATATAGCTGTTAAGGCGGGAAAAAAAATCCTGCGTCAGCACATGATAAAGGAGAACATACGGCGTGGCTTACTTTTTGTCGCGCTCTGTGTCGGCGGGACCCGTATCGAGCGTTCGTAGGCCGCCACCTTGGCCACCCAGAATATCTTCCATCTGTTTCTCGTAGATTTCTAACGTCGTAGACAAATCTCTCTGTTGCTGTTCAATATGATCAAGCGACTGATCAATGTCGTTCTGCTCCTGCTCGGCGGCTCGGACATGGCTGTATAGGGCAGCAAGCTGCGTAGGGTTAGTTTAGCATGAACATTTCAAGAGAACAATGTCCCGTCAAGACACTCACATTGTTCCCATTTTCAATCAACGCACGATCCCAGACGATGACTTCGGCTGAGAACTTGGCAAACTCGCGAACGTGGTTTTCTAGTTCCGTGGACCATCGGTTGACGATCTCTTCGATACTCTTGCCTCTGAGCATAGACGGCGGTGGCACTGAGATTGCGGAAGAGGTGTTGAGCGCAGGTACTAGTAGTAAGTTAGTTGACAGTCAGGTTGAATGTTGTGTTATAAGACGGAGACATTCATACAGGATGAAGCCGATGGGGTTGCAGCTTTGTTCTTGTCAGTACCAAGCCCTGTCCCTAGAGAACCCAATGGCGCTGTCGAAGACTTGAGCAGCGGTATATAAGCGATACACAAAGCAAACGAACCAGGGACATCTTTTTTCTCAGTCGAGGTCGATGTGCTGGCTCCAGTATCGCCCAACGTTCCAAAAAGAGGTGCAGCTATAATATTTCAGTTTCGAGCGGTTTATGGAGACCGAGCGCGGAAAGGGACTTACTAGCGGCACCGTCCTTTTTCTCTTCTGGTTTGTCTTTGTTCGAGTTGAGATTTCCAAACAAACCTCCAGTCACTTATATCATACACTTGGATCAAATCTAGTCACAACAAAGCTCGACACTCACGTCCACTTCCGGTCCCTGTCGTTGCGGGCTTCGCTGCTCCTGCAGTACTACCAGGTAATGAGAATGCACTCAAAGATGCAGTTGCAGGAGCTGGTGTAGAGGTCGAAGCTGGTGCGTCTGCTTTCTTAGGAAACAGACTTCCTCCAGGTAACGAAGTGGTAGGTCCTGTAGAGGGACCTGCTGTGATCGGTGGCGTGGTAACAAAGGATGAGCAAAAATCAACATCAAATTTTCAGAAATAAATCACCGGCACCAAGGTTAGCTGATGGCGGTGGGGTGAAAACTGCGCGGCGATGTTAATTTTAGAGGGTAGTATCGAACATTCAAGCGTACAATTTGACGGTGCGGGAGTGGCCTTCGTAGCACCTTGATCAGCTGGTTTGTTAGCAAACAGCCCTCCAAACGAGCCTGTCGTCCCTGGTGCTGTGCCAGCCAGTGTGGCTGCTATTAACAGAATGGGTCGGTTCTTGTCCGTCTAGTTTGGCACACATTGAGTTGCATACGCACCGTTTCCACCCAAAGAATTCGTCCCTGAGCTGGTCCCAGGGAACAAGCCTGTTCCTGTCGCATTGCCACCCATCAACGGGTTCGTACCGCTAGTACCTCCACTGGTCAAGGGGTTCGCTGCCCCACCAAGTCTGCCGAAGAGGCTACCTCCAGTGGTCGTAGCTCCTGTGTTCGCGTTGGCACTGTTATTAGCAGCCGGAAAGAGACTACCTCCTGGAAGTCCACCGGAGGCAGGTTTTGCTGAAGAGAGCAGTGCAGAACATGAGCGATCGCGAGATATTGAAGTACAAGGCGGTTAGCTTTACTCACGTCCAAATATATTACCTCCTCCACCAAAGGCGCTACCTGTCTGCGTGTTCGTTGTATTGGAGAATGCATTGGGTGTCTGTTGCGCTCCAGACGCAGCGTTTGTCTGGCCGAAGAGGCTCATGTTGAGGACGCGAGACGAAGATGTTGAAGCGCTCAAGAACGCGACTACGCGGTACAGTAGCTCCGCTACCAACGCGTATCCGCATTTAGCAACTGAGATTACCCACTTCTCGCGAACTTCATCAGCTCTCACGATGCATAAACAAGCCATCTCTTTGTCTTCTTTAAAAGCTCGGCGACGCAGTCGAACATCGCTCAGAAATACCTTGGCTTCGGTAGACCCGAAGAAATTGAGATCCTAGGATCTCCCTCACTGAAATGTCATCCCAGATGACTTCGCCAAGGTGAGCGCTAGACAGACATCTCTACGTCTTGATTGTGGTCATGACCGCAGACAGTACCCCGCATCTTTCTGACAGCCGGGGCTCCAAGCTGGTATACGATGCCCACCACCCAACCCATGCCTCTGTCCCACCAGGCTGGGATATGTACATTCACCCGCAAGGGTGGGTGTATTTCACCAATCCCGTTGCTAAAGTCGTGACCGACGAGGATGTCCGAATCCCTGCTGTCCTCCAAGATATTGAGAAGTATACTGCGACTTTTCCTCTTTCTGAGTTAGACGAGCACATGGAAATATTGGTCCCTTGCGGGGCGCTTCCCAAAGAACACATCTTGACTCTGGTAGTCAACCATCTTCACTGCACTGCTTCGTATACGATCGACCAGGCCAAGGCGGAGAATTTTCCCCAATTAGAGCGATATATGGGTACGTTGCATTATCTTTCCTTCTGATGAACGAATGGTTTGTGACAACTTTCAAAGTGAACAAGCAACATAGGCTTTATTGGAATTATCTCTCAGCACATCCTGTCCATGTACCAACGCCAGTAATTGCAGAAGCTCAGGTGAGGGATGCTTTGACGTGGTACCAAATCGGTACGCCAAGAGAGTTCGTATCTCTACAACACAATTCCATAACGCATATTGTGCTTCATACCCTTGTAACAGATAACCTTAATACCGGCGCTCGAAGTGTTGTTCCATTTTCTAAAACCGAATGTGAGGATCTGCTCAGGACTCTCAATGATGCGAAAGGTAAAGTCATCCTCTCATAATTGCCGAACGGTGATAGTCTCGACCAAGTAGGTACTTCTTCAGAGGCGTCTGTTTCTCGCACAGTCTTTTTGTCATGGGTCTCTCGAGAAATATGTATGGACGCTCCACCTTGATGACATATTACTTATTCACACGTATTACGGAGCAGGGAGCTTTCGTGATGCCGAGCGTTACGGTCGGTACACGAAGAGGCAGTCGAATGAATTGCGGGCGGCAGGAAAGCGGCCAGAACCTGAATCGGTGCCAGCACTCCCCATCTACATCCGTCTTCCCTTGGACTTCGTCGTATATTTGGCTTTTTTTGGAATACCCTCTACGTACCTTGCCCATGTCAAGGATGCCAGCGAGTACCACGGACGTCTATCGAATATCCAATGGAGGTGGGAGCGTTACATCGATCGTATCGTTCAAGAATACCAGGATTTTTTGCTCATAGTACGCGTTTGACATATATCTGCGAAGTGAAGCTGACCACATAATTTGACTCGAAGGCTACAGTCCTTCTTTCGTGAGTGCTTGTTGAAAGAAAAATCTCTCTTAGTTCCTCACCGCTCGGCTTTGTAGCGCAAACGTAAGCTTTCTTGCCATAGGGGACATTGGCGCGACAGGCCAAGCTGCTGGCGTTGTTTCGGTCTTTGCATCGATGGGAAGCATCATTGTTGGTGTATTTTGTGTGTGGAAGCATCAAGCCAACCGGCATCAGTCAAGATCCGTAGGTTCCCTGATATCTGAATAATGAATACAGCTAATGACAGCTTTGCTCGTAGTTTGCCTATCTGCACAATGCGCATCACGGTATTCTTGGATTGCAAGGCCATGCCTTGACTCTCAGTCTCCCACCAGTTCTCCTTGTATGGGCCGTTATTGCGTTCGCCGTAGCCTTCCTTGCGTACACGATAGACGGGACATACAATCCAAGCAAGCTAGGCCAGGCAGCAGCATGGGCTACACTTGGTGTCTCGCTCGTTGTGCTTCTGTTCATCGTGGTTGGGCTTTACACGTTCGCAAGGATATGGAAATGGAGAAGCCGTTGGCGTATGTGATTTATTCATTGTCCATCGCTCTACATTAAGGATCGAGGAAGGATATTCTTGTCGGTGCACGCCGATCGCACGTCTGTATTGTTCATGGAATCTGCTTGATCAACGTCGCTCTTACTGATACATTTACTGGTCCATGCAATGTGGCGGAACCAGGACACAACTACAGTTACCGCATCCAGAATTGAATCTTGTTACTCTACAGCCATGGGAGCAGGAATGGTTTTCGAGGCACCAAGTACGTCGTGTCCTTCCCAGAAGGTAGGAAGTTCATTTCCTGGGACGAAGAGCCTTTCGACACCATCCTCTGTGATGATGGCCATGCGGATAACTCCACCAGATGAGCCATCCCTCGACATTGCCAGCGATAACGCTTCACGACAGGGTCCATAGTCAGTTGTATGTGGCAAACACGGTGGGGTGAAAACGTACTGTTCTTCACGAACTGAACTGTCTGTTCCTTCCCCCATCCTTCTTGATATGTCGCATCACAGTAGCCGTACACGTATGTCGAGCCAGAGCCGCCGATGGCCCACGGCTGACGAAACAGCCCGCCTCCGAGCGGAATATTGTAGACACTGGGCCCAACCTCCTTGTCCCATCCTGCGACTATAATACCAGCGCTAAGCGCATCCTTATTATCGTAGCACATTTTCTCAAACACAGTAGCGGCGGTGTAGACTGATGGGGTCTGCGCTTCTTGCCTGCGACGAAGAGTGAGCAAGATAAGAGAAGGGGTGTGGGTCTTAAGGACATACGTATATATCTGCAAGTACCAGTGCGCAATATCTGCGATCGCCTGTGTGTCGGCTGCAGAGCCGGAACGGCAGCAGTAGATGCGATCGTGGACGTAGGTTAATTTATCGGTGACACGGTTTGCCTGCGTACTGTGTTACATGTTCAGTCCCATGGCTTGAGCTGGGTGAGACGTACGATATAACTTCCTGTCGTGGTCCGAGAATCAGCCCCAACGATCACTCCACCGTCGAACTGCACGGCCATAATAGAGGTCTACATAGATCTGAATTGTCAACAAACCCTCTCTCATCGCGTGCCAGATATCACCTACACCGAGGTTAACCTCGCCGCTCTTCAAACGCTGCATGTCTGGGTGATCCATGGTGATAATGTGGTAAGAGAACAAGAATACGTGAGAGTAAGTGAGAGTTTGAACGTCGAATAGGTGGCTGACGAGATGACGCGTCGCACACGCGTCTCGAGCGGATCGACTCAGCGCCGCTCAACTTCATCTGTCCCATACACCCAACAGACTGTCCTCAATGCCCGTCCCGCAACTCTCTGGTCTCTACAACGAGCTGGTACGCGCATTTGATGCGCAACCTTCAGATTTGAAGAAATGCGGCCAGCTTCTTGCACAGCTGAAGGTGCAGTTGAGGGAATGCTGGACGGACTCGTGAACTAATAAACTAACACTGCATAGATCGCTCTTATTGAGACGGGCTTGCTTTTCCCCCAGCGAGACCAGAACCTGGAAGATCTGGTAGTAGCTCGTACGTCCACTCTATCAATGACTTGCTTGGAACGCGACCTTAGAGAGCCATGAACGCAGGTGATGTCCTCGAAATCGGTGCATTTTGGAGCATACGGACGACAGACGTGCCATCTTTCGATCGGTACTTCTCACAATTACGAACATTCTATAATGACTTCAGGTGAGGCTTTCGGCAGTCGATCTTACTCCCGCTTCCAGCTCACACATTTGGTTCTAGTACTGTCCTCCCTCCATCCAAGCGGGAGTTCCCGATCCGCGGACTGAACCTCATCCATCTCCTCATTCAGAATCGAATAGCCGACTTCCACACTACCCTCGAGTCTCTTCCTCTCCCCGCCGACGAGCTTGCTCTCAATCCTTTCATCAGTCACCCTGTCAATCTTGAGCGATGGCTTATGGAAGGAAGCTACAGCAAAGTGTGGAATGCGCGTGAAGACGCGCCTGCCGCCGAGTACGCGTTCTTTGTGGACAGTTTGGTTGGCACAATCAGGTTTGCCCGCATTCGTTTGATTTGGGTGAATAAACGCACTTTGTTAATCCTCACCCTACAGAAATGAGATCGCGAGCTGCGAGGAAACTGCGTATGAGAGCCTCCCTTTGAAGGACGCAGCGACGCTGTTATTTTTCAAGACTCAAAATGAATTATTGGCTTTTGCACAACAGGTATTATCCGTGCTTAATCTGTAATCTGCCACTGACCCACTAATGTATCTAGCGGGGTTGGCAAATTAATCTGACCGCGGGAACGATCACATTTGCGCAGAAGGGAGAGGAGAAGATGGAGATTCCGAAAGAGAAATTGATCGCAAATAATCTAGCCTACGCTCGTGAACTCGAGCAGATTGTGTAATAGAATTGTACTCCGTGGGCATTCATTATGGATCTTGATCAGTCCTGCTTCAGTAGGCGAACTTAACAGTGACATTCCGCTGCAGACAAAATCGACGATGTTTTACAAATACAATCGCAACCAGACTACTCGAAGGTCTCTAGTGCCTCCCTTGCTTTCCGATCTGCTTCATCGAACAAATCCTGAGGCACAGGCACATGCCGACCACCAGTCTCATCCCCAATCCATGACATCTCCAACTCGAACTCCTTCTCCTTGGCATCATCATGCACGAGGTAGATGCTGGACAAGAGCACGAAATAAATAAAGACGGCAACGAGAATTGTATGATACTTGACGTACATCCTGGCAGCTTCCAAGACAGCTTCCCTTGTAGAGAGTTCCGACAGCTTTAGCTTCTCTAGTTCGGTCTTCGCCAATTGCCGGCCTTTGCCTACTGCTGCACCATGATAACCCTAGATCGCGAAGGTCAATAAGTATATTTCTTTAGAGGCTGACAGCATTCTCACGTAGAATACACCACTTGGCTCTACGACGAATAGAGCGGGGCCGTTCTTGTCAACGCCCCCCAGGATCGTGCTGATGCCGAATGGACGGACAGATGAATACAAAGTGTACGCCTGAACGTATCCCCCTACACGTTTGGCGATAGGCTTGTGTCCAAGTGATCAATAGGCTGTAGATTTTACATGTACATGCTTGCATACCTCGATCGATACGGGTCCATTATGATATTCACGCGACCCGCGTGCCTCTTCACTCGCTACTCTTGCGATGTGGCGCCCATCAGCAAGCAAACCAGCGGTAGCCTGGATCATTATCTGAGTACAGTATCCCTAGAGCAGTGAAAGAGACACTGACTAAGCCAATATGTCTATCAATTGTTTGAATGCGCCTATTCACTCCTGGAACCAAAAGCTTTGAGTGTACGAGCTTCTCGACTGCTAGAACGACTCCGTCCTTGACGCGCAGTCCAATTGCAGTTCTGAAGGAGATTTAGGAGAGCTGAATGAACAGAAACTACGAGCTCCATACCCTGAGTTCTCAACTGCCTTGTTTGCGTATTCTACCTAGTTTGATGTGAGTGCGCGAATTCCTATGCAAGCTCTTCCGCTCTGACCTGGAATATGCGTCCATCTGGAGAGTATGTACTTGCCGAAAGATCATACCCTGTACCTATAGATGTCATGGAAGAATAATTGGGTTATAGCAGCAACAAGGCGGGATAAGGTGAAGGTCGTGTCCAGTTCCTCTGCAGGACGCGCAAGCTCCAGGACGCGTTTGCGTGGGAATATGATTCCATACAGGAACACGCGTCACTTGTGCCCTTCTCGCCACCGTCCGCGATTCGTTCTCTAAATCATTCTGTTCAAAAGCTTGCCTGTATATTATTCAGGCTCTCCAGCTCGCCATGGACTACGGAGACGAGTGGAGCTCCATTCTGACTGATCATCCTATATTCTCCCGATCAACAGGCCCTGCGCAGGATGAGACTTCGTTTGAATTGTCCACAAGCACCTTACCAAACTTCACAAATTTGGATCCCGAGGACGATAGTCTGGCACCTTCGGGGCGGAGACAGACTATGGTCATAAAGGACTCTGAGGTCATACTAGCTGTTGGCAGGGAAATGCGCGTAGCCGCTCTTGGGGATGCAAAGTTCAACAGGGGTCCAAAGGCGTACAAGGTCTGCCCTGTACTCTCCTTGGGATTTAACATATTCATGGACGAGCTTGATGAGGTTTCAGGTGCTACATACGCCCAATGTTCAGTTTGAAATTCACCAGTTGGCGCTCAATCCCAGTGGAAAGTTGTTGGCCGTCGCGGGTGCCTTTCAAGTTGCTGTTGTAGTGCTGCCGCGCCCTGGGTTCACAAGACTTGTCCCGGCCACAATTGATTGCAAGTATGCACTTCTCATGTTGATGTTAGAGAGCCAGAATTTACGTTTATATGTCAAGGTCTATCCAAGTCGGGCAGTTCTATCACGGTTCTATGTCTGCAGCACCTATAGCCAAAGTCGAATGGCATCCGTGGGGAGAAGCCGGTTCGACATTGATGGTCATGACCGTTGATGGGAAACTACGGTACGTATGCCATTTTGAATGATCATCGTTTGCTCAAGCGCGCCACAGCGAATATGACATATCGGTGGACACAGAGGAACCTCAACAGGTTGTATCATTCGTGCCAGAAAAGAAGGGGACGTCGTTTGTGGCTAGCGCTCAATCCGAGCGCGAAGTCGCATCTTTCACATTAGGCAAAGGAAGGGCTGACTGGGGCCCTTTAACGATGTATGTAGTCATGAAAAGCGGAGACGTCTTCGCGAAATGTCCGTATATGCCCCACAATGCGTGAGTGCGATGCTGTTCATTGCGAGGTAAGGATATTAATAAATTCTAGGTCAATCCCTTCGGCGTACATACACTCACTGGAATGTTTCGTTGCCGCCAAGAAAGAGTATTTATCCCAAAGCATCTCCATCGAAGCTAAAGACCTCTCAACCACCTATGACTATCAGCATAAGTATGTCTCTGCATTGTTAAAGCAACTTCCGCCAGGAACTCTTTTCCCAGCACCATCACGATCCGTCCTTGTGCATCCCCCAACCACGATCAAAAGCCCTTCTATACGTCACGGTCCTTTTCTACTGCAACCATCTCCACGAATTCTAGAAGGCAGTGAAAGCGGGGATGCTACAGATATCATGTACATGTCATTCGGTAGTAGTGCGGAGGACGACGAAGGAGAGACTGAAAGGTTAGGAATCATCCTCATCGGCTACCAGGACGGGAAGGTCGACATCTGCCTCGACGTGGAAAAAGTGGAAGCTAGATGGGAAAGCAAGCAGGTACGTTCGAAGAAAAAAAACTATGAAACTCCTGATTGCGAGCGTTGGTTATAGCATCAAAGCAAAGATTTGCCCATGCTGGCTGTATACGAGTCAATCGACCTCGGTCTTCTTTCTGCTCTTTCATCCTATCATCCACCTCTACTTGACCTCTTGAAAGCCAATCATCTCGTTTTCCATGCCGATCCGATACACGATGATACTATCTATGTGTATCACGCCTTCGGCGTTCATGCGCTGCATCTGAACAATATGCTGCGCAGCCTTGCGATCGCTCTGCGCGGTGACGACGAGGGTAATTCCTTGATTGCATCCCTGCGAAATCCAGAACAAACGGACGTAAAGCCGATCGTCACCACGTTCTCAGTCGAGCGACGGTATGCAGTCTTCCTACTTTTTCAATCACCACCGGCTGATTCTGCGCAGGGTATCCAATCCGGTCATAGCTGTCGCTGTCCCCAATGATGTTTACCTCACATACAGCATCTTCATCCTTACGTCTGCGATGCGGGTTGTTTCGTTCTCTTTGAATCTCAGATCTGATATTCCTTTATCACATCCAATCGGTCCTACTCCGCAGAGAGAACGGATCATCGACGAACCCCTTCTAAAGCCGGTGGATGGTCCAGCAGCCTATATTTCTCTTCTGGGGTCCAACCCGTTTGAACCACCGCCAGTCTTCTCTCGATCATCAGGTTTACCATCCAATCCACATCTCGCTCTGCCAGCATCGGAGACATCAAAGGAATTTCGCCTGACACCCGATACACTGCGCTTCTTGGGTCAAACAGTTGAACGCTTTACCACGCAGATTCGTGATGTCCAGCTTGCGGACAGAGAGGTGCAGCTACGGGCCGCTCTACAAAAACAGGAGCATCAACGACAGTCGGACAAATTCCAAGAGATGAAGATGCTGATAGACCAGTTGAAAGGTCCACGGCGACAGAAATCGACCCAGAGATTGAAGGATGTCCACGATGCGCAAACGCTCCTTCTGTCTCGCCTGAGTCGGGTGCTGCAAGCGATGATGAAGAAAGCGAGTCCAGAGTTGAGCGACCACGAAACGAAATGGTTTGAAGAGCTCAAGAGGATGAAGGCTGAGGTCCTAGGCCAGGGTCGATATGACGAGGCGGCGTTACTGCCACGTTCTCGCATGGTTTGTGCATCTCTTCTGTGCGTCTTCGCTAGTCGCGCTAATTATATTGCCCCCCAAGCTACAACACGAGTTCAACCGGTTGATTCCGCACCTCAAAGTAGAGCGGGATAAGGAATCGAACCGATCCAGGATTCTTCAAGAACAAAACCAGGATCTAGGGGCATCACAAGCTTTCGAGCTTGGGCAACACTTCACAAAAGAGTAAGTTTTACTTGCTTTCTGGATATATAGACTAAACCTGACGCCCGAATCATCAGAGAGCTCAGAATACGAAAGATGCAAAAGGAATTGGTTAATCTTGCGTCGAAGCTAGAGGTCTCCTTAGTTCGTCCGCCGAACCGAAGCCGGGCTGCAGTTCGAAATCAAGTCATGGAATGACGAGGGTAGGGTGTTCGCCGTCTATTTTCTTTTTGTTTTGACTTTGTACGAGTAAACAATGCCATAACTGTATTTTGCCTATTTTTCGACTCAGAGCCCAAACTTTCACAATCTATCTCGCAACAATCAAGATGTCGCATGCCTTCAAATGAAAACCCCTATACTGTGCTTTGCCCTGCATCTTGTGCAAATGCCGTTTTGTTCTAATTCTTTTTGTTGATGCTCTCCGCAAGTCATCCGGGTAAATGCAAAACCCATGTTACTCGGCAATATTTCGTGTACCTGCTTGGAGCTGCTTGGCGAGCATGCCGTTGCCCAATTGCCGGCCAGGTTTGAAAGTTCAACCACAAAAATTCACGAGAGATTGGACTGCTTTGCAAATTCCTTCTAGTGCGCTTCCACATCCCCTTTACTATTAGCCTTTATTATGCGGTATTTAGATAGCTTCTATGCATGCCTTCGACAAACGCTTCGGAATCCGGCTCTGTTCCGCATTCAAAGCCTTGATGCTGCTCGCCACTCCAAGAAGCATCACTAGGCACAATTTTGAAAATGCGACGAATGTTATAGAGAGAGGTCACTGCCAGCATTCATTAATCATTTCAATTCAAAAGCCCGAAAGCGCATAGTCAGATCCAAATTATTGTAACTACGATACCACCAGTGTATATACGATAAACCCACCTAGCGGGTGAGAGAGCTTCGAGCCCGCATATCTTCACCCTTAAAGTAAATCCAGATCGGGAACGGGATCCCGATTACGATCGCAAGCCCTCCCAGCAGCGAGTTGCCTCCTCCTAGTCCGAGCGCGGCGTACATCTGAGAACCGAAGAGAGGAAACGCGAAGCCCAGCATCGAGCGGAAGACCTACAGGGCGAACGAGAAATCAGTAAGGTCAAAGATGATGCGTCCATGTTATAGACACTCACAGAGGCAGCTGACAATGCGGATGCGGCATACGTGAACGCATCAACAAGATAGAGCTGAATAGGAAGGCTGAAAGAACGTCAGGTTCAGGTCCGGGTCGGAATCTGCAAGGGGATTCCCTACAATGTTGCCATCAAACCAAACCCAAAGATTCCCGTCCCAATGATGGGCATAATCCAATGAATTTGGGCCTGCGCAGACCATCCATACCAACTGTGCAGACGATCAGCCATAAAGCTTCTCGAGTGTGAACAGTGAACGTACAATATGCCGACTGGGACAAAGAACGATCCGATGATCAGAGCCGGGATCCTCATCTCTGGCTTCCCTTTGCCGCCTTCGCGTGCAGCAAGCTTAAAGAAAGTATGATATAGCTAGAGCCATTATATGAAGACAAGCAAACAGCTTACCGCGAGATACATCTTGTCTCCGTAGTGCGCACCAAAGAACGTCGCAAGCATAAACCCTACACCGAGACCGATGTAGGCTAGACCAGAGACGCCAGTGCTGAAGTGGTATACACCAGAGAACAATTCTACGCGAAATGGCTATCAGGATCGGAGGACAGGAAACTGAGACGGTATCAGACGTACCGGGGAAGGTCGCGAACATAAGGTAGTAGATGCCTATGATAGCGGTCAATCCCTCTGTGGCTCAAAAATCTGTTCGGATACGCACCATACATCCTATCAAATGAATAAGCATCTATTGAAAGTCTACGAAGTAGGAGAAGGTTTCACTCACAAGGCCATGTATAAACTTAAGATGAAGCAGATGAAGCTCCTCGTCAACAAGACGAATGGCCTACTGAGATTAATCCATAGGAGGTGCAATTTACTGCTATGGTCCTGAATAAGATGAGGATGTTTCTCTAAAGCTTCTTCCGGATCCTCGTGCGTTGCCACTACACGCCGCAAGCGGATGACCGGCGCATAGGTCTCGCGGAGCAGAGGGATTCCTAGTGCACCAGCGATGGCTGACAGACCGGAGACGACGATGAATATATATTTGTAGCCAATGGTCTCCGCGATGAAACCGCCAGCAATGGGCCCAACGACAGGACCTGGAATAGGAAATGAGCGAGATCACGAGGAAATAAACGACGCAACTGTCGTACCAATAAGAGGACCGACGCTGTACAAGGCCATAGCCGTCGCCCTTTCATTTGCGGAAAACATATCGCCAATAACGCCACCACCTACGGCGATCGGAGCACTGCCGACCCAACCAGCTGCTCAAAATCAATACGAGATTTTCTCGGCGGATGAAGATGATACCTTACCTAGAAAACGTAGTCCGATGAATGAGCCTGTTGTCGGAGCAAAGGCGCATCCGATATTGAACGCCAGGAAAAAGATGTTATTAATATGTAGGACCTAAATCGATGTTGTCAGCGAACGCAGCAGGCAAGGCGGTTTCCGCCACCATCAAAAGGGCTCACCCAAAGGCGTCCATACATCTCCGACAGGGGAGCGTAGATCAGGGGACTGATTGCAAAAGAGAGTAGGAAAATGGACAGGGTCATTGCGACAATCGTTTCATTCGTAATAATGAAGTGCTGGGCGATGTCGATCAAGGCAGGCGCCATCATTGAACTGCCCAAAGGCGGAACAAAGGTATAAAGGGAAATCTATGGGCTCGATTAGGCATGAAGACATCCCAGAGGAGGTACGGGGTGGCGCACTATCGAGACCGCTGTCCACTTTTTGGCTGGTGTCCAGTTTCGTGGGTTGATGGGATCGTGCGCCCAGTCGTCTTCCGCATTCTCTAGCGCTTCCTCCTTCTTGTCCTCCGGAATGGCGGACTGACCCTCGCCGCCGGTCAAGGTAGCCGCTGGCACGTTCGACGCCTGCTTCTCCTGGTCGTGATACGGCGCCTGAGCTTCGGGATCAGCGACCGCCGTCGAGATCGAGGCCGAGTCTGTAGACAGCGGGTGGAGACGAGGAGACTCCATGGTGCTGAAGGAGAGGCCTGAAGGAGAGACTGCAAGGACGCGGGAATGTTCTGCATGCTTCAGAAATGAGATTGTTTATATGGCCCGGCTGACGAGAAAAACCATGGGTCAACTGGACTTGACGACTGCTTCACGGCCCGATCCAGGTCTTTCACGATTGCGGTGGCGTAATTGCACCGTCCCTCCTTGGCGGGAAGCGTCTCGCGCGTCTCGTCCCTGGATCCATATTCGTATCGAGATATTTTTATCGCTCAAGCAAAGGAGAGCAGCGAATTTCTGGTCAACGAGAGGGCGAGCAACATCCAAAGCCGGTCCGTTTTTCTATTTCTCGATGGTTCTCGGCCCACCCAATCGGGACGACTAGTCTGACCCACATCAAGCCGTTGGGAATTCGGTTTTCCATGCCATAATTACTCGATCAGGCCTCGGAAAGTGAGGCCTCCATCCAATGATGGAAAACATACGACAAGAGCAAAAACTACATATAAATTACAGTAAATTCACGAAGCATGTGCCTAAACAACGCTGTATCTTCCGGAAGGTGCCGTGGGGTTCCGCATCTCCGCCTGCAGCGCTGCGGCAGACGCCTCAATAAGCAGTCGCTTGATCTCGCGAACAGCGTGTTCGACCTGAGAAACGGTAGCGAAGCATCAGGAAACGAATATTGCAAAGCATGTGACGTTACGCACCCGCCATTCCTCGTTCGACTCGATGAGCAGGTGCAATTTCGGAGGTCCCTCTGAAGGTGGCTCCTTCCCCTGCTCGTAGTAGATACCTGCAAGTCAAAGGTCAGCGCATGTATCATGACTCGGTCTTTTCTGCCACATGTACCTTTGTTCGTAACCGACGCCCCCGTCATATCGATGAGCTGTAGAATAAATGATGTGTAAATGCTCAATTCTGTCGATCATACGGGCAAGGCGTGACATACCTGGACCATTGTCTCTTTGTTGGTGACCCGCCACCGAGCTTTCTGAGGGTAGTCGTTGATGGGTATGATCGCATGGAAGTCCGTCGCATCCGGGTTGACCTTCCGACCAACGTCCTCCGCTTGAATCTGGGCCTGCAACGCCAGTTTCGACGCGCGCATCTGCGCGTTGAGCTTCGCAACCACGCTGAGAGCCTGCTTGTGTGCGGGGCTGTCTTTGCCCGCCCGCGCAGCAGCCTCCTCCGCAGCACGCAAAGACGATTGAATCTTCTCCTCCTCTTTCGCGTGCGCTAACCTGCGCGCGGCTGCCGCGGCGCCTGCAACACCCAGTTGTCCCTTAGACGAATCAGGCGCCGGACCGCGCTTGATCTCTACCTTGAAGTTACCGAACGTCATGTCGTCCGTCGTCTCCTTCTTGGTAGACGTGGCCTCTTCGGCCGCCTTCTGCTCTTCCTCTGGCTCGCCATAGGCTTTCCGTTCGGCCTTCTCGCGAGCATCGCGCTCTTTGTCCAGCCTATCGAGTCCTTTGCCGCCAAAGCCAGAGCCTGCCGCTTGGGCCTTGCCCGTTTTGACTTTCTCAAGGAAACCTGTGGGGAAGGGATAAGTGCCTGAATGATCGGAAGGATATAGCAATGCGAACCGTTGGCCAATTCTTCCAATTCTTGCGGAACGTTGGCCTCACTAGCCTTCAACGCACGATAGATGTCGACAGAGTACCGATCTTGCTCTGAAGTGATGAAAGTGATACATGTGCCCTTATTGCCCGCTCTACCCGTCCGCCCAGCACGATGTACATAATCTTCCATATGATTCGGGGCATCGTAATTGATGACGAGCTTGAGCTGTTTGACATCCAATCCTCTGGCCGCAACAGATGTTGCGATGACGATCGGAACGACGCCGGCTTTAAAATCTGCTATCGTCGAGTCCCGATCAACTTGGTCTTTGCCACCATGAAGTGACATGCAAAGATAACCCTTGCGCATCAGTTCGCGAAGAAGATTGTCTGCCGCTTCCTGTCGATCGACAAAGATGAGGGTTCTAGCCTCAGGGTCGTCATTGTACATCTGGCCAAGGACCTCAAGGAGACGGTTGAATTTAGTGTCCTCCGCTCGCACCTCGACAATCTGGTCGATTTCTGCAGCGACGACTGACCGCCCACCTACAGTAATCTCCAGGGGCTTTCTGAGGATCTTCCGGGCGAGGGAGTCCATCTGTCTAGGAAAGGTGGCCGAAAAGAGGAGTGTCTGCCTGTCTGGCCGAATATTGTTGATGATCTTCATGACCTGCGGTTCGAAACCCATATCAAACATCCGATCCGCCTCATCAAGAACGAGGTACGTGACACGTTTGAGGTTCGTTACGCGTCCAGAGTTAGCGGTAAGCAGGTCGATCATACGTCCCGGCGTACAGACGATAATCTCAGCGCCTTTCTTCATGTCCGCAATTTGATCCTTAATTGGTGAGCCTCCGTAGGCACAGATAGCCTGATGCAGAGTTTCTTAGTCACAAAACACGGTAGAAACAATTGATCAGACTTACCCGTAAGTTAAGGACTTTTAAAAATGGCTTACAGTCTCGATGGATCTGGACGGCTAGCTCGCGAGTGGGTGTCATTATAATTGCGATAGGACCTTCCATTTGGTCCAGCGAACGTTGATCCTTGATATGCCGAAAGAGTGGTAGTAGGAAAGCGACCGTCTTGCCTGAACCAGTCTTGGCAACACCAATGACATCCCGACCGGACATAATCGCAGGAATGGCTTGAGCTTGAATGGACGTCGGAGAGGTATAATTCAGCCGTTTGATGACATCAAGACTGAGACGACATGTAAGCATAATGATTTCAACATCGACAACTTACTCACCAGCTGGCGGGCAAACCAAAGTGGCTCCATTTCGTGACAGGCCTCGGGCACTCGACTCCACGAATCTTGATACTGTCCAGCTCAAGTCGCAACAGTTCAGCCTCTTCGTCTGTCATAGCGGCAACGTCGGGAGGTGGGATATAAAACTCCTTCCGAAATGGTTCATACGGAATGCGGGAATGGTCGACGGTAGCTAAATCCTTCTTCCTTGCCTTCTTCGCAGCAAGTGCAAGAATATCCTCTGGATTGAGTTCCGTCGCATCCAGCTCGTCTTCCACCACACCTTCCTCAGCGTCATCTGCGCCAGCTTCGTTTGTATCATCCAGTCGTTCACGAAGACGACCATTGATGCCTACCATCTTCTGCAAGTCCTCGGCATTGACTTTTTTCACCTCCTCCTTGACAGCAGTCATAAAAGCATCCAGAGGATCAACTTCGTCATACTCGTCAACTTCCATGGTATCCTTCGGCTTGGCCTTGAGAGCCAGGTCGATCCTGTTGGCTTCGTCATCGTCATCATCAACCTCGAGGTCACCAATATGAGGCTCGCCGTCCGTCATGGACATATCTACCGCAGGCATTTCACCGAGCGTTTCCAACTTGCGCTTCGTTTCGACAGAGTCGTCCAAGGCGGCTGCTGCAGACAACTTAGTCCCCTTGAGCGGATCAGATTTCATGCTCAGGCCTTTGAGGGCACCAAAGGCCGCCCGATTGAGCTGAGTGGTGGGCTTGGCTGGGATGGTAGCGGGCACTGTAAGGGCCAAGGATCAAGTGATGAAATCACAGCGTTTAAACAAAAAAGCTGGGACAACTCACCTAGAGGTGCAGATTTGCCAGCGAGAGCCATAGCCTTCGCCTTGGCCTCGTCCAATGCCTTCTTGGCCTCTCTTTCCTTCTTCCAGGCTTCAAGTTTCGCCCTCTTTGCTTTCAACTTTTCATCTTCGATCGGAGGCGTAGAGGTTTTGCTTCCGTTCTGCAAATTATCTGCAGGTGGCGGAGTCTGGGGCTTACGGTCACGGTCCCGTCGTTCCCTGGACCGCGAACGTCGACGGTCGTCTCGCCTGTCATCTCTATGGTCTCGCCGTCTGTCGTCCCGATAGCGATCCCTTTCTCTGTCCCTTTCTCTGTCGCGCTCCCTGTCCCTGTCTCTTTCGCGTTCTTTGGGTCTTTCCCTGTAGCGGTCACGATCTCTGTCGTCGTCATAACGGGAGCTGGGCCTTTGGCTGTTGCGCCTAGTCGGCGACGGAGACCGGGGTGAACGATGAGAAGGTCTTACCCTCTTGTTTGAAGTATCAGGCGAGTATGACCTGTCTCTGCGAGCCATGTTGAACTGGTACCGATGAGAGAAAAGAGGGGTTTGCAGCACTGAGCAGGGTGAAGCAAGGAGGCCGCGTTGGTTGTTGTTGGTGGTGGTGGTGGTGGTGGTAGGAGAGGAAGAGTGCTCGGTGTGTGTATGTAATCCGGGTGGCTGATCTGGCTGCGTGCACGCAAGCGGAGGCGCCTCTCATCCACATCGCTCGCGATGGTCAACGACGTCCTCGACCCTTCTGCACTTGTTTCTACGCTTCCGACCCTTTTACCCACCAACAATGCGAGGCTCAAGTCCCCGCACGACGCTATCGCAGCTCTTCTACACTCGGCCTTAATCGCGCTCAACTTCCGTCTCGTTGCAGTGGATGACTCCACACCTGCTATTGCCAATCTGAACGGCGTCTTCCCTGAAGGCTGGAACCAGCATGGTCCAGGAAATTACACCTTTAGGTACCGACATGAGCAGAGCAGCCTTGAGTTCATAGTCAAAATCGCAAAGTTGGGTAGTCGCACCCTAGTGAATGCGATCGCGGTCGAGGTGCGTCAGTTGCATCACTCTTGTTCTCACATCCTGAATACGAGCGACCAGAGTGACAAGGCTGCGACTCTTGACATATCCACAGACGATTATTCGTCACCTTCTTTCTTCCCTTACGATGCGAGCGCTTCTGATGCGCAACCCCTTGTTCACGGCTTCATTTCTTCCAATCGTATTGCGGACTTGATGGCGCAGTTCAAACTGAAAATAATTCAAAAGCTGATGCCTGGTTTGCGCAAGGAGGGGTACAGCGAAGACCCTGGAGAGGCTTCCTCCAGCACAGGAGCCGTCCCTGCGCGCACTGATAACCCCCCTGCGCGCCCACGTACCGAAGAGCCTCCCTTTGCTCCTGATCGACAATTTGATCGCCCCTATCGCATCCCCACTGCAAATCCTCTCGAAATTGGCAGGCGGGACCTTGATCCCTTAGCTGCCAACCCTTTCGCACCGCCGAGTTTGTTCCCTAGCCACGGCGGCGACGGGATGTTCGTCGGCCCTGACCACCCCATTTTTGGACAGGGCAGACATGGAAATGGCCCGATGCCGCTCCGTGGGCCTTGGGGAGGAGATGGTTTCTTGCCGCCCATGGGTGCTCCCCCCGGAGCCAGGTTTGATCCAGTAGGGCCTGGTCCCTTTCCAAGGAGAGGAGGCTTTGGCACCCGAGGTGGTTTACCTGGGGCAGGAAATCTGCGAGGGCCAGATAATGACGAATTTATGCCTCCTGGAGCAGTAAGTAGTTTGCCTCTGTTGTGAATTTACTGCCGAAGCTCAAACTCTCTCTAGGGCGATATGTTCATGTAGGATTACGGAAATTCACGAAGCTGCTGTAGTTCATTTGTCGTAGTTGTATTTCTTGTTGTACGAGTTTGGAAAGAACAGTAGGTGAGGCAAACTGTGTCCGTGTATATGTGATCGAACTCCATATTTGCCGTTCGGGGGTCGCCGGTGGGAGAGTGTCTCAGAAGCCATATATATAAGGTGGCCATAAACTATCCTGCATCCTGAACCACTGCTTCCTGTCTCGTCAACCTCGCTGCTCACTACTACTTACTTCACTGAGGATATCCGTATGCCTCCAACATCGCCTACCCGTTCACGAAGAGATGGACCAATTCCCGGATTCAGGGCGTTTCCCAGACCCAAGCAACATGTCAACAACATCGAAGAATTGTCTCTCGAGGAACTCCGAGATTTGTACGACAAGAATAACAGGAGCTTGTCCACATCGTATGCTCCCCCATTCCCTGTCGTTGAATGAGGCGTTTTGAATTTACAAGACGTGTGTACACAGGGCACCCTCGACATCAACGTATGTCACGAGAATCCAGGCCGAGCAGGCCAAGATCGAAGTGCGAATATTTGAACTGGAAGACATAAAGAACATCCAGGACGGGCTCAGACGTGTTACACTGAAGACGGAAGAAGACATGAATGTTGATATGCCTATGGAATCCGTCATCGTTCGCCCTATCGCGGCAAAGGAGAGAGCCCTGGCAAAATACGTAAGTTTGACCGTCGTCGTGATCATGAACTCTCCTGAGAATGTATTGCAGGCCCTACACGCGAGCCAAGGACCTATCATCGCGTCTGGGTTTTCTCTCCAAGAGGCTGTCCAGCTTGAACAACAAGCTCATCTCCTTGATCTTGAACGCAAACAACGAGTCCTGGAGAAGAAACAACAGAGAGCACAGGCTATGGAACGTGGTGGCTTGAGCGAACGCGAAAGAGCGGCTCGAATACTGGCTTTCATGTGAGTCCTGATTATATCCATTTGACCACTCCGTTGACGGTGTCATGTAGGAACTATAAGCCGACAGATTCAGACTTGGAAGACGATTCTGAGGAAGAAGATCCAGCAAGCTGGTTCGAAGATGACCAGGATGATGGGCGCAAAGGCCAGGACATCGTTGAGCCCGACGCTGAAGATCTTGCGGAAGTTATTCGAGTCGATGCGAGTCGAGCTCACTACGGTGCATTCTATGAACCCCGTGATAACGGCGACTAATTGAAAGACAATGTCACGATAGAGGTGTACAAATTCATGTAATAGTATTGGAAAGTTTGTGTATGTATGCGGAAAGTAAAGAGATCCTTAATTTGTCAACATCAGATGATGCTCGAAGACGCCGACATTATGGGTCCCGAGCGTGCACGGGGCAGCTTCTGCCACGTTGCAACCAACTTGACAAGCAAGCTGAATCACGAACATAAGTTCATCGATAGATCACAAGCACAACTGCGAGAACTCACCATTGTGGAAGCTGCATAGACAGCTCAACCGTGCAACCGTAGAGCCTATGGACACATGAGAAATGTTTCATCAAGAATAAATCAAATTGAAACGACTCACCTTCCATAAATTCCTCCAAACAAATGACACCTAAGCCAAAATATGTCAGATCGTCTCGGAAATAACAGACAGATAACGCATACATTCAGTTCCGATCAAAGCACTTTCACCGGGCAGCTTATATACCAGATATTTGGACGTCTGTGGGGATTTCCCAGAACCTCCGTCCAAACAATTCTTGACGTGGGTCTCTTGAGCAGAAGCAGGACCGAGTTCCGCAAGATTTTGGCTGCACACAGGACAGCTGCATTCATACAGATAAGGACGCAAGAAAAAATGAAAAAATGGGGAAATATATACTCGGCGAGATCACTCAATTGCGAGCTAGCCTCCCTGGTGGCACCCGGTACCGACAATCTACCTTGATCGATGAAGATTCGCTCCATCGAAGACAATCTTGTCTCCCGGAACCTACTCGGGACGCTGACAGTGACCTCTTCATAACATGACTGACAAACTCTCTGAGAGGACGCTGAAGCCATCGTATCAGGAAAAGTGGGATCCTGAATTATGTCCTGAGGGTCAAGGAGGACCTTATAGGAAGAACAGCGGTCGCAGAAAATCCGTCCGCAACGACGACAGTGCTGTGTAAACACTATGATGAAAATCACAACCTCTATATTGAGCTTGTGGGGGACTTACGTGCTATCACGAGGAATTTTTTGATGTCAGTGTGGTATCCTATGAAGTATCAATCTTTGACACGTACTCTTCTTAGAAGAAAAGTAAAACGACGCTGGCATTGACGGCATTCGGAAACACGTTCATCTCTTTCCCACCGAGCATGCACTTCATGCGGCGTAGGAGGGGTATATTGAGGTGTTAGGACTTTTTGAGGGGCTTCATGTGTAGGCACTCGAAATTCCGGGGCCTGAGAAAGGTGGGGGGTCAGATCCGTAGGGGTTCTAGAGTTGGTTCGACTAAAATAATCAGTGGAGTAAGATCGTATTGAGGCAGCATGCATATTTTCGGGGGGCGAGGAGCCAGGATAGTGAAATTCTTCTTCATCGTCATCGTCATCGTCGTCGTCAATAAAATCGCCGTCTGAGGAAACACGGTAAGCAGTGCAACGAAAAGTAAACAGAGTTTTATGTATACCTTGACGGGAGAGAAGTAATCCTTGAGAGCCAGCAACGAGTCTGCGCCGCTCTAGCTCGCGGCTATATGTGTTGAGAAGCACCTCGGCCTGTGTCTTCCTAGTCACATCATCATCTCCTGCGCCCTCGAGTCAGACATGCTTTACAAGAACTGCCGCTAGACCACTTGCCTAGTATTCCTTGTCTGAGCTCCATCGTTGCACGCTCCAACTTGGCTATTGTTCGCCGAGCTTCCATAGCCGAGCTCACTCCAGCAGTAGAGTCCGCGTCATCATTCTGCGCTCCGGCAAGATAGCGTGCACGAGCAACATAGTCCTGGGCAGTTGTCAAGGGATTACTTGGCATAGCACCGAGTTCTTGACCGTCCACATCCCCAAAGTCGCTAAGAATTTCCTCATATGGAACCATACTACCATCATTGAGCCAATGGTAGAGATTGCCATCGGGTGCCGCGAATGGGAGAGGTGGGATATCGAGTCGTCTGCGCATCACACGCACCCACCGTCGCCTCCTCACCCACGATTGAGAATGAAGCGAAGACGAACGAGAGCTGAAACCATTGCCAGACCCGGAGGCGCCAAAACCAGCAGTGACGGCACTCCCACCAGTGAGCAAGCGCTCGAGCTGAGCAGGAGGTTCAGCTATCCACTGGTCGTCGGGATCGTCGAAAGAGTGGGCGTACTGCCATCCTGTTTCTGCATCAACTCCAGGAGGAGTCACATCTAGCGTCCAATCAGACCTGAACATAGACTCGAATTACAACAACGACTATGATCCGGTGAATATTGGACTTACAACCAGAAGTGACTGCGTTCTGCACCCTCTCGGGCTGCCGGTTCCTTTGCGCCTGGTTTTGGAAGTGTCAAGGGTTGCTCTCGTAGAGGTAGCTGCACATCACTCCGCCATGCACCAAAAAGTCGCTTCCCCGTGTCCTCGTCGGGTTTAGGCAGCAGAAGCTCAAAGGGCGGCCGACGTCCGCGCTTCCCCAATCCCGAAGCAGAGAACTTTGGCCGTCCCCCAGAAATCGCTAACGTCTTCAAGCGAGTATCCAATCGCTGATTCTCGTAGAGTATCAAGGGTACTGTGGTGTGTACGGCCAATGGATCGTAAGTAACAGTGGTGCCTCGCCACTTCTCGGCTTCGAATTTGGCGAGCACCTAATATTCATGAACATGTGAGACTGATCGAGACATAGTATATTTACCTGGCAAATCCAGACTTCAAAAACAGCCGCTGCAGCATCGTATGCCGTTTCGCCCCAGTTATTTCTGATCAAGGGGTCAGCAGACTGTTTGGTCAGTAAATACAACACGACAGGTAAGTGTCCTTTAGATGCGGCGTTCACTATAGCATGATTAGCTATAAGAACGAAGTTCTAGTAGAATTGCGACGTACTGAGAGGCGTCCACCCGCCTTTGCTACGAATATCAACTCCATGTACTCCATTCACCTCCTCGGCAGAACCACCCTTCTGGAATAGGTATCGAACAATGTCCAAATAACCCTGGTACAGGATAAGGGAGAGACTTGGATTGAAGATGTTGTGACGTACTTTCGAGCACGCGTTATGCAGAGCTGTCCACCCATCAGCATCTTGAGCCTGCACATCGGTGTCTAGAGAAACTAGGTATTTGACGACCTCCAAGTGCCCGTGAAGGGCAGCTTTGTGAATTGCGGTCTAGAGCGAAGATTGTGGATTAATACAGACACAGGGAACGGTTATGCCTGATGAAAAGTACGTGCCTCTCCTTCTTTGTCCTCGAGATCAGGGATAGCACCACAGCTCTCGATCACTGGCCACATCCTCAACCTCTCGCAATATACAGAGGACAGCTGAGCCACTTACGCCATTTCACCATCGCAATATAACCTCTGCTTGCAGCAGCATGCAGCACGGTCAAGCCCGTACGAGATGACGCGTCATTAGCCAAAGAAAACGCGGCAACGTTATCAGATTCGGAGGCGTTGCGGAATATGCTCTGCAGAAGCTGCAGATCACCGGAAGACGCTGCTGCGTAAAGGGCTTCGAGCTGAGCAGGAGATGGCTGAGCAGCCAGTGGAGCAGACGGAGCACTTGGAGCCGGCGATGAATCTGCGTGTAAGGAAGATACCGCTGTCGAAGGAGTAGGATTGGAAGCAAGTGGTGACGGGATGGGTGAGGATTGTGAAGGCGGCTGTTCTTCTACAGCTTCAGGCTCTGCTCCAGGGTACACGAATGCCTCCTCATCCTCGTCTGAGCCTGAGCCTGCATCCTTCGAGAAGTATGTAGTTGGATAAGACGGTTCCGCGGGAGACGAGCCATTGGGAGAGGTCCTGGAGGGTTGTATGTCAGCCGGCTTCAATTCAACGCGATATATGTTTGAATCATCTCTTATAACTTGACTTACTCCTCAATCGTCCCGAGGTGATGTCGAACGTCAGCAGAGAGGCTCATGATGCGGAACCAGATTCAAACAACAAAGAAAGCGGATGGGAAACACACTGGAACACAGCAGCTTAGCTGATTATATAATTCATGCGCTTAGCGTTGTGCTAGGTTGTGCTCTGTTGTACTCGAGTGCTTCCTGCTAGTTTCTACTTCCGCGATCGTTCGCCTCGCGGTATGCGAAGAATTTCTAGACCTCGGTAGTATCACTTTCATCCATTTGCTGGACCGCTACTGACACATCCGTAACTACGATATCTCAACCTTTGACCATACCGAATGTTTCCACGTGCAGAGTGACCGGAGGCATTCCCTTCAATACATCGGCCGGACTCGAAACCGAGCGTAACGCGGCTCGTACGGATCGTGCAATAGCAGACGGGCCAGCAACTAAAAGCAACAGACGGTCAGAGGAATCGGTCACGAACGCGAGCAGCCTGTCGACCCACCATCGACCGACACGGGCCCCTTGGAAGTGGAAATCTCGTCTTGCAACAATCGGCGGATGCTGGGTCGCCCGTGAATGACCTTGAGGGCTGTATAGACCGGCAGCTTAGGCGGTTGTCCCTGAGCCCCGGACTCGAGCGTAGGGACAGAGGACGAAGACTCATTGGGTTGTTGCAAGGTGATGTCTGGGGTTGGGCCTGAAACCCTTGTCACGTAGATGCGAGGCTCGACCGCCAACCATGGCGGCGCGGCAGACAAGGCCTCTGTGAGCAGCGTTGAAATCCAGGATAGATGACCTGAGGCCCAACGTCAAGCGCCCGCCATCCATCCGTGAGGGGAATCAACTTACCGGCATCTCGAACCGCCCAAATGAAAACCACGCGCTCTGTAGAAGACGCCTTCATCTTTGCCATCCTGTGACCTTTGTCAGTCAAAAATATAACGTTTCCCCGGATACTTACCGAATAGACTCCATAAAAAGCGGTAAAGTGTAGGAGACGCCCGATCCCCCTGATCATACAACGTTAAAGCTTGAGCGTCACTGAAAGCCCTCCAACGCACCTGCGATCAATATGCAGGTAGAAAAGCGTCTCAAATCTGGGGGACATCCATATGGGCCATCTATGAAAGCCGGGACGTCACAAATGCCATTCTGCGCTGCACGCTCTCGCAGCCGTCGAGTGAATCCACCGCGCCCTCTGATAATGAACACAACATTCTTCTCCTTCTCCGCGACGGTCCCGTCCATCTTTTTTGGGATGTTTGAGATGGTGAACGGATGCGCTTCGGTCGGCGACGCGCTAATCGTTGGCAGTATGATGTATGCGTGCTGACCGGGCTTCCAATCAAAGGAGCGGCAGAATGTGAGACGGACGGTGTCCTCGGAAAGCAATTCCATTGTTGCTCTCGAGGTGCAAGTCTTGCGGCCTCTCCATATTTTACTGTTCCATACAACACGCACGAGACGGACGACGCGATCGAGAGCCCAAATGACAAGTGCCGGCCATATGTAGTCGTCGAACCTTGAAAGTCAGAGAAAATGATTAGTTAGAATGAACGGAAGAGTCTGAGAACTCACCTGACAGCACGGGTATGAACAACGCCGGCGATCAAAAAGACACTAGAGTAGGGTGAGCGACAAGAGAATGTATAGAGGATTCAAAAGAACTAACGCAATGAGGACTATGTGCGAAACAAGGAAAAATTCAAAAGCCAGCTGGCGAATTGGGCGTACGGAGAGGATGGTCGCCAGTGTGAAGGCAGCCAGCCCCACAGCACCCGCCCGCATCCAGTTGTGCGAAAAATCGAATATCTCGGGGAGGCTGAAATCGCATGATCCATTAGTTCAGTCCTAGTGATTGGATGATTGACAGACCCAAGAGCGGTGTGTGCACCAGCATGCATCCACAACAGGATCAAGCATGTCCTCGCGGCCGCTCTATGAAGAATGTTCAACTGAATCCCGATGAATCGCGTGAATTGACAGCAGAGCATATTAGGACACTCAAATTTACCTTCTCATGTCCTATTCCCGTCAAGACTGATATAGTCCCTATCAGCGTCTCGCAAAACAGATGAATGGGAATCCCCTCACATGATATAATGTTGTTCTTGCCAGCCAAGGCCACCACGAGGGCAAGGTTACTCGAGGCAAAATGCGCAGCTCTGTCTTCCCAGAACATGGTCGTCAGGTCGCGTGCTACGATGAGCTGTATATCAATATCGACATAGGTAAACATCGAGCTCAACTCACTGTCGACTAAGAGCCATATAAAGATAGCAACTATGTAGCCGATAATGAATGTCAATTCGGACACTGAGGCGACAGAACTCGGTCCGATTGGGATTGTCCATCGAAAGGCCACAGTTCTGAAAGCAGTAGCGCATGCTCCAGGAAATCGGCGCCAGAACACTCGACCGTGGTGGCCAGGCCAAGGAGTCTCTGCAGATGCCCTCTTTTCTTGTTGCGACTCGCGTTCCGTGCGAAGAGGCTTAAAACTCAGTGAAAAGAGAAAACGAAGGACACGGATGACGGCGAGTAATGCGATGACGGCGGCGAGGAAAAACCACAGCTCCTTGACATATTTTCGCTGCTGCTGAGCCTTGAGGGCTCTATCCGCTGCAGACGAGGCCCGCCGAGAGAGTGCAGAGGAGTGTGAAAAAGGCATAGATGGAATGGGAGAGCAACCCCGTTCAGCGTTTTAAGGGAGTCCGCGCTTTTATCATGTACACGTTCCATAAATACCCCTACATGCCAGACATGCTCGCTTGAGGATCCGCCCGCATGCTCGGGGCGCAGTCGTCATGCGCGCGACTCGACACCGTCCTCGAGCGTCCGTTGTCCGAGGATGACTTGGGCCAGAGTGGTCTATTTCAAGCGTAGGCGAGGACGTGGGGTGCGAGAATCCGAATGAAGGCTTCGCCGGATAAAGTCTCCTGAAGTTCGGCACAATGTAGTCGATAACGGACCCTCGAGGTAGAGATAGCGCGGCGCCTCGGTGGGGACATCTCGTCTAATGTTCTGCCCAAGTGGTGGTTTCCGAACTTCGACCAACGTACTGGCCTCCGAGGTGAAAACGGGACGACGTCGGAAGGTACACGGCCAAGGTTCGGTCCAAAGGCGTGTCATCGAAGAAATGCCCTTACTAGCCTGAAAGCAGCAGTGTTATTGTCACCACGGATGGCGCCTACGAGCCTGGGGTGACCCTCCGTTGTAGATCACCGACCACACCTGAAGGCGAAAGCTCATCAAGGAAGAACCCCGGTCGAGTTTCGTACTGTGCGTCATGTAGCATTGCTCACCGCTCACAAAGTGACATTCGTACATCGTGATTTGATATGAGATGCGCGCGCGCATATTTACACCTGTGAGATAAGGGCGAGCATTCATGTGTTCCGGCATTGGCGTTACAGCATGTCCGTAACCCCGACACTGCTGCCCTGTAATTCTTTGCGGAGCTAGAGAATACTCGTTGATATTTAACATGTCCTAATGGAACAAAGAATTGAACTCACCTCGCGACACTTATTCCCGGCGTGACGCGACTAATCGCGAACTGGATTGCTTCTTCTCAGTGACATGTCCTGATCAGCGACGAAGTGCTCCGAAATTCGATATTTACCGCTGACCCACCTGAATGCTAGCCCATGTCCAGGGATCGACTGACTGCGAATGAGTGTTCTACGCCCGCGATGGATGCCAGACCGCGAAGATTATTCCCAGCGAGAGCAGACGGCTGGAGGGGAGCTCGGGGGAGTGGAGAGGCTGCTGCGTCGAGTCACGTCACCGAGGCCAAACATGATCAACTGCCAGTGCTGTGAGAGCGATCAGAAACCCAAACACACAGCTCCCAACAGCTTCTCGCCCAATTGATCCTACGAGGTCGGCAGACCCACACAGTTTCATGCTCGCCCTGCGCTCGCTGACATCCCTCTCTCCCCACGTCCCCCGTCTTCCGCAAATTCGCCCTACCAGATTTCTCTCTCAAATGGCTGCACCGACCAATGGCGCCCAGAACGGCACAGTCAAGTCCTCACACGCCTCCGGCCCCATTCCATTCTCCTCTCGTCTCAAGGAGGGTCGTGCGCTGGCCCAGGACGTGTGGTCCATCTTCAAGTAAGTCGTCGGAATTCGTCTTCTTCATCTCCCGAGGCCTCACTGCGTCCCAGTGCTGCCAATCTCCCCGCGGACTGCATCAATCTGGGCCAAGGGTACATGAACTTCGCCCCCCCGAAGTGGGTTACTAAGGCGGCAGAGGAGGCATTGAACACCATCTCGCCCAACCACTACTCCCACCCCAAAGGCCGTCCACGTTTGCGGCAGGCTCTTAAAAACCACTACGATCATCAGTTTGGCAGAGATCTCGATGTCGAGTCGGAAATACTGGTTACGAGTGGAGCTAACGAAGGTCGGTTCGCCGCCAGCACGAGTAAAGCCCACATTTGCTAAGCCTGGTTGGCAGGTCAATACTCTGTCTTCGTCGCCTTTCTGGAACAGGGCGACGAGGTCATCATGTTTGAGCCCTTCTTCGACCAGTACTTGCCATCCGTCACATTCAATGGAGGAAAACCCGTATATGTCCCTCTGCACCCTCCTCCTCATTCCCAGGAAAAGACCACTAGCGACGACTGGAAGATCGACTTCGATGAGCTCAGGTTTATTTTCCTGGCATACGCCTGGATTTATTTTAGGCGCTGATGGATTCTTGACAGGCGTGCCATCACACCGCGCACTAAGATGATCATTGTCAACACGCCTCACAACCCCGTCGGCAAAGTATTCACTCGTCAGGAATTAGAGCAAATCGCAGCATTGTCCATAGAGCACAACCTTCTCGTCATGTCCGATGAAGTGGTATGCGACTATTTTTTATCTAAAAAGCTTACCATAATTCATTTTCGCCCTAGTACGACTGCCTTCTGTTTGATAACAAGGAGCATGTCCGGATCGCCACCCTTCCTGGCATGTGGGAGCGCACAGTCACGGTTGGCTCTGCCGGCAGTCAGTAGCAGCCCATTTCATGGTCTTGCTCTTCCGCTTAGTGTTTTCTCCAGAATCTTTCGCCGCCACTGGCTGGCGTGTTGGTTGGCTCGTCGGTCCTCAATCAATCATCAGCCCTACTCTGGCCGCGACGACTCGTATCGTGTTCTGCACGAACTCGCCGCTGCAGGAGGCTGCCGCCGCTGGCCTCGAACTGGCTCCTCAATACAAGTTCTTCGAAACGCAGACTCGAGAGTACGATGAGAGGCGACGCGTGATGATCGACACTTTCGATAAGCTGGGCATGAAGTATACGATGCCCGAAGGCAGTTATTTCATCCTGCTTGTAGGCTCTGCTTCATCTTTTGCGTCAATAACCCTTTTGACATGGTTATGTGTTCTCCAAGGATATATCCGACGTAAAGTTCCCAGAAGATTACCCTTTCCCTGAAAGCGTTTTGGGCAGAGGACGGGATTTCAAGTAAGCTTCAGATGTAATCTCTTCGAAATCTACTCTCACTCCCTTTCTTCAGAGCGTGCTGGTTCATTGCCATGGAAGTTGGAGTTTCCTCTATTCCTGTCAGCGAGGTCAGTAGTTTTTACGCCTTTGATTGTGCCAGTCTAATTGTAGAGTTCAGTTTTACTGCGAAGAGCACACCGGCATCGGAGAACGTTTCGGGCGTTTCGCGTTCTGCAAGGATCTCGATACCCTGAAAGCGGCCGGGGAGCGACTCCAAAGCTTGAAGAAATTCCTCGTTTGAAGGCCTTGCTGTTGTATTCCATTAGATGTAAACGTAGACAGTCCACTTCACACGTGAACGCACGAAGTCGTGTATGCTTTCTTATCGATTAAATGTTGACTCTATCATATCGGCGGCACGTCATTCTTCGAGCTTGTCTACGATCCTCGACAACGTCTGATCCCTCGTGTCAGCGTCGTAGTACGCAGGGTTGGTCACCAGCCGCCTCGCGAGAAATGTGAACGCGAGCGCCTGCACGCCGTCCATCTTGCCCCTGATGGAACCGTTCTGGCGCCGGCCGTGGTACCACCTCCGCAGCTCGTCTCCGTCCAGCAGCTGCGACTCGAGCGGCAGCCCGTCCTCGAGGAAGCGCATATAGGTGTCCTTATCTTCCGCCTGGCAGAAGAGATGGAAGCGCCCCAATTCGCCGTGATGCACCGCCCGCCCCTGCATGCGCACGAGCTCCCCCAGGTCGTAATCGCGGACCTGGCGCCGAAGATCTGCGCCCTCGCCCTCCACGTGCACGTACTGCGTGCCCATGACTATGACCGCCGCGGCGCGGACGGGCAGCGTCCAGCACGAGTTGTGCGGCACGAGAAGCACGCGGACGATGCCCTCGGCGTACAGCTCGAGCATCACCCGGCGGTCGGACTTGTTGATGCCCTCGTGGAAGAAGCCCACGCCCTTGGTGACGAAGTCGACCAGGCCGCGGTCCTGCAGCCTGTCGGTGTATGGTTCGAGCGATTCAGGATCGACGTGGTGCGGAAGGTAGCCGGTCGCAGCTTCCATCTCGAGGGCGCAGTGGGTGATAAGATCCAAGGCAATCATGCGGCATTGACCTCGAGAAGGGACGAAGACGATGGCAGAACTGTCGGGGACAGCCCGAATGGCTGCGTGGGCGGGCTTCGTCATCGCTTTGAAGAGGGCGGCAGACTGTGGGATCGCGAATGTATGAGCAGTGACGCTCAGTGATTGGTCCCGATCGCCGGGGCGGAAGCTGTAGAGCGCCGACGAGTCAACGTTGAGCCAAGCAGCGAGGTCGGCTGGGTCGTTCAGCGAGTTCGAGAAACCAACGAAGCGCGTGGCTTGCGTCTGTGTGGCATGACGCAGCAAGGAAACGCTGAGCTCGTATGAAGGATCTAGTTGTTCTAAGCTGTCGCAGATAACAAGGCGAAGGCCAGGGAGCGATGGTGGGGTTGGTAGCTGCGATAGGGCTGCGATAAGATGCGACGGCGTCGTAACACGTATTGTCTTGCCTTCGTCGAATTTAAGGACGTTCGTACCAGTTTCAAAGTCGATAGAGAAACCCATTGCTGTCGTGATAGCATGCATTTCTACTACCCACTCTAAGGCCACGCTGCGCCGCGGTGCAATCACCAGGACATGGGACCTTTTTGGCAAGTCGATAAGGGTCTTCCTGTCAGACCGACCGAAGGAAGGTTGAGATCGCTTTATGAATACAAGGGCAGATCACGTACCAAACAACGATCTGGCCCAGGGTCGACTTCCCTGATCCCGTAGGCGAGCATAATAGTGCATGCGTCCTTGTATTGACTAGACTCCAGAACGTTTGAGACTGGATGGCATTGAAGCTATGTAGCCGTTGAGACAACAGTTGCTCGAGAGTATCGTTCTGTAGCACAGAAAGGTTGAGGAACGGGAGGTCCAGTCGTGGTGTGTGGCTATTCGAATGAAGTGGCATCACAAGTGAATCCAGTGATACAGAAATCTCGTCTTCGGCTCCCATCCATCTATCGGAAACGAAACGTATGGTGACGAAGGGCGGTGGTTGTCCATTGGGCACAGCGATCACAAATGATACGTCCAAGGTCGATGTCGACTGCCGGAGGAGCAGATGCGATAGTTGCAGGATCGTCGTACCTTCGTGATCTTCAACCCATAGCCAAAAGGGCTCGCCAGAACCATGGAGCTTGGAACTCCAGTTGAAATGACGAATGATGTGAACAACGATTTTCAGAACGTCGGGTCCAAGTGGTCGCAAATCGTACGTGACCTCGAGTGTCGGGAACTGCTTGGCAGCATCAAGGATTGCTTTGCCGTGTCGATCATTCAGATGTACCAATTCCCCGAGCTCGGCCGCAGTCATGGAGGCCAGCTCTGCAACCGAATAGTCATCTGCCCAGCGCTCTAGTCCATAAAAGATATCTTGCTTGAGCTCGAATTGTTTTAAGGGCTGGTCAAACGGCCACATCCGTTTCTCTACAGCTTTGCTCATGCCCATCAACACTGCACTTATGTTTGCCCATTTGCGACTGATAGCGATTTCAAGTAGGGCTCGGATAATGCGACCAGCATTTTGAGCGACGTAGCCAGTATCCGAGACCAACCCAAAGTCTTCCACATAGAAGCGGGAGATATAACCTTGTAACAAGATGTTAACTTTGCCTTGACTTGTGTCGGTTTTATCCTGGGATGGGGAGTAAAAACCACATAGCTCGTTCTTCCGGAAGGCTTGCTTACCTTGACGTCACAAGGCACGGTCTCTAGCAGATTTTTGAGTTCTTGAACTTCAGATTCTCTCACTTGAATTTGATTGAACTTCATGTCGTTAGTGCGTGTCGTAAAGAGTGTCTATTATGATGACGACTCACTTCTGTGCTCATACTGAGTGTGGCTAAAACGTCACCTTCGGTCATCTTTGGTCGAAGTTCTTTGTTGAAAACCTCGATCGATGCATGCCGAATGTAATATTTTGCCGCGATTCTGCCTAGATCGGTGATGAAGAAAGCACCGTTATTCTCGTCATAGGTGACCATCCTCGCTGCCGAGAGTAGTTTCGCGGACGTGACGGCGTGAAATTCTCTTCTACCGCCCAGATGAGGGTCTTTCTTGAGGTCGTCGTAAGAGATGCCTGATACAGAAGCATTGGATGGGAGGCCGGAAGGAAAGGGCGAGGAAAGCGACCTACCGTAGAAGGTCGGATTCTTGCGCATCCTAACAAAGAGATAGGTATATCCCAACCATTTGACCGCGTCATCGACATTGGCAACAGTTCCAAGAGCAATCTCTGCGTTGAGAGAATCGATCACACCGGATAGGAACCTACACGACTATCAGTATCCCAGACGTTGTAGCGTTTTAATGACTTACTGTGATTCGATTGGGACCTATTGTAATGTTAGTGAACTGATCAAGAAGACAAAAGTGCCGGATGAATACCTGTGCCGTGATCGCATCCAGGTAGTGAGTGAGTTTATCTTCCGTCGTACAGATATACCCTTCGCCACTAGTCTCCAGCCCAGGTCGGCCAGCCCTCCCGAATACTTGAAGGACATCTAACACCGATAGGTCGACAAATTTGCCTTTGGAACTATCGTAGACCTGCGTCCCCTTGATGATAACTGGATGGAGCATGTGTCAGAAATGTGTCATATCCAGATCCCCTAGTAATTGCCATCTGACCAGCATGGGCAGGCAAATTGACACCCCAAGCAAGAGTCGCCGTACAACACAGGACCTACGAAGATGTTCGATAAAGATCGAGATAAGTTTATCTTGACACATACCTTAATAGATCTTGCCTCAAACATCCTCTCCATCATATTCCTGTCGGATCGCAACATGCCTGCATGATGGATCCCGAAACCATCATCAAACAATTGTTTCATTTCTTTGTTCCTAGAGCCTCCAATGTCTCGTCGAAATAAAGAAAAACTTGGATGGTCTTGACAGCTAAACTCATCCAACGTCCCTTCAGCTAGAGCTGCTTCCCGAAGAGCCTGAGCCGCCTTCACTGTCTCTTTACGAGCATGTACAAACACCATGACTTGATGACCTTGCTGAACAAGTTCTATCACCTTCTGATAGGTCACGCGATCAAGGTTTTTCTTCGATTCTGGACTGTTGGGTTTCCCTCTGATGCCTATGAAGTGCTGCTCCAAAGGAACCGGCCTGAAGGACGAATCGAAATAGAAAAGCCCTTTTTGTCGTGAAACGCTATGGATAATTTCAGTACACCTAATAGCATCTAATAATAGGAGCTAGACCTCAAGAACTCAGCGATATCTTGATAATTTGGGAGTGTTGCACTGAGGCCAACAATGCGAATGATCGACTGACTTGATTCTACCTGGATGTACTTTAAAGCGATATGATTTTATTACGGCTTGTACACGTACCTGTCGTAATGTCCGGGCAACAATAGTTTCAATGACTGCTCCTCGTTCTTCATTTAGGAGATGGACTTCATCGATTATAAGTAGCTTTACTTGCTACGCTCCCTAAACGCGTCAGACATTTCGTGGTCAAGAGATTGAAAGATTTGACTGACTGAGGCAATTTCTCCTTCACCAGTCGGCTTTCTGGTCACAACATCCCACTTTTCCGGGGTCGTGACGATGATCTGAGTTTCCGCAATTTCGGCCTTGGTCATTTGCATGTCTCCCGTCAATTCTTGAACCCGGATTGACAGCCACTGCAGTCTTTTCCTGAACTTTCTGACAATTTCGGCCGCCAATGCTTTCATGGGAGCCCTACGTCTAAATTAGTGGTCGGGTCCATGCGTTTCTTGAATAATTTGCTACTCACACGTAGATGATTTTTAAATCATCTCTGCGGATCGTTGATGCTAGAGGAGCGGCGGATGACAAGTCCCGATGTTGATTGAGAACACGCAGGATTGTCAACATCGCAACATCAGTTTTGCCCTATATTTAGGGGGATGAACGGTATTGTAGAGAAGAGCATAGTACAAGAGACTAACAGCACCAGTGGGAGCTGCGGACGAAGGGATGAGATGAAGTGTAATGAACTGAATGCGGATAGATGACGTACCACAAACCAGCATATTTTCGTTGGAGCCATATGCTGTTGGATAGACAATCGACTGTATCCTATTCAAAGATTTATAACCCTGGGCATCCATCAGTACATAATTTCTGACATTAGACGTCCGCAGAAACCATACGGGAAAAGATCCTTGGGCCAAGGCATCAAGTTCAGTTACAAATACTAGCCGCTCTGTTTCAGCACGAGGGATGGCCTTCGCCGGTGGTATCACAACCTCAGCGTAATTCTGGAAGCAAAGTGAATTGAGTGAATATATTTAGAACACTTTTCAGAGGAAAGACCTCATTTTCGGTTCGCGTTGTCCCCATAGGCAAAGTGTATTTGCTGCCAAGATGTGATAGAATATTTCCCTGAACCATCGCTGAAGAACTGTAGACATGGGGCAGAATCTCTGGTGCTGGTTGCTGTACGGTGTTGTTTCAGCCAATTGAACGAGCTTTCGAAGAAAATTACGTGCAGCTTCTGCTTTGAAAAGAGGGCGCGATTGTCTAGCTCTGAAATCATTTTCCATTCGTCTTTTCGCAGCCTCTGGGGAAAGGCTGACGTCTGGATCTGGTGGTAAACGTTCAACTCCGGATGTAAAATATGCATATAAAAAATACTCACGCGTATGAGTTTGACTTCTACCTACCGAATGTGAGGGAGGAGTCCTCACCACAGGCCCATCTACGATTCTACTTGAAAGCTAGAAGCATATCCCGGTGAGCTAAGTTGCTTCAGTTATTCTTGGTATATTCTTACCTCTCGAGCCACAGCAGATCGCTCTTGCAAAACATCTGTGATGAGATCAAGGTGATCAAAACCAATGAGATCTAACAGCTCCTCTTGAATGGCATTATCCGGACGCGAGGAGGACAGCACCGCGCCTAAAGAACTCAACAATGTGTCGGCATTTGGTAGTCTGATGTATTGAGCATGAATTATGGGTAGAATACAAGCGTCGTTCAAGATGAACGGACGCACGAGAGAATTCTAGATATCAAAGTATCCGATCCAGGAACCAAAGCAGTTGGTGTACTGCGATACACATCTAGAACCGTGTCATTTTCTCCCTCTTCGGCGAGCACCTCTACGTCGGCGGAGCTGTCAGTCCCTGGTTCGACTCAGTTATATGCGAACGTTGATCAGACCAGTGTCAGTGGTGAAGAACCTTGGTTTATGTTCTCAAACCTCCATAGAGCTGTTTAGATCTTGTATATGAGGATGCAAGGCGCGCAGCTCACCTCGACCATTCATCTAGAATTCTGTTGCTGTCCGAGGAGCCGGAAGAGGATCCAATGAGAAATTCAACGTGTCCTAAAAAGATATCCATACAAATGGTTTCACACAGAGGGAGAAAGAAGTAATTGAGGAAGAAGTAAATGACAGGGGAATGTTAACGAGGTGCAATACTGGTCCAGTCCGGAGTCAATTCACTTCGGAAGCGGGGCCGTAGAAGCATATCGGCAATGCCCGAACTAACACACTGGAGGCTGACGATATTCGCGAGTGTCTGTAGCGTCATTCAGTCCACTTCGTATGTTTCCTTTGGCACCTATTTGTTGCCCGTATTTACGTAGTCTCACAGGATGTCGCTATACCTCGACCCCCAGATTCGGGACTGGGTTCTATTCCCAATCACACTAGTCATGGTGAGCAATCTAGCTGCCTAACAGCCGTTCGAAGCGTCACATTGGACATTGGTAGATCTTGGTCGGTATCCTGAGGCACTACGTCGTCCTATTGTTGCAGTCGACACCAAAAAAGCTATCTCGAGCAGCCATTCGTGAACAGTAAGCCACAACTCATCATATCACTCAGTCATTTCTCATCAGAGACCCTCGCGAAGACGCGCCCTGGTGCAGTCGCAAGTCCTTCGGGCGACATCTGCAAACTCTCCTCTTCCATTTACATACTACAAAGCTATCTCACAAAACCTCACAAATGCGTATGCAGACGGAAGATACCTGAAGGACGGTCCTCCGAAGAAAGGCGACGCACCTTCCGCCCCTCCCAACCCTCTCACGGATCCTGCTGCTATGGATGGGATGATGGCTGGCATGAAGACACAAATGGTCATGATGGTTCCCCAGATGGTCATCATGGGCTGGATCAACTTCTTCTTCCAAGGCTTTGTATTAAGTGCGCACGCCTCCCTTCGTATCCCATCCTATCCGTGTGCGTTCTTATATGTCACTGTCTCCTCTAGTCAAGCTTCCATTCCCGCTCACTCTAGGATTTAAGTCTATGCTCCAACGCGGCATCGAGACCCCAGACATGGATGTCAGATGGGTTTCTTCGCTATCGTGGTATTTCCTCAATTTCTTTGGCCTGAACGGCTTGTACCGCATCATTCTTGGGGGAGATAACTGTAAGCCCGCCTGTGAGCGATGGGTCTTGGAATTTGCGTTGATCTTCTCTTCAGCTGCCGATGCCTCGCGCGACATGGCCGCATCGCCGTTCAGTGCAGTGGCGCAGCAGCCAGGGCAGCCACAAGACTTCAATAAATTATTTCAAGCCGAGCGAGATAATCTAGAGTTCGCAGAAGGCCTACACAAATGGGCCGGCAGTGAGGTAGAGAACCGAGTACTTCGCAAATATGGCAGAATACCTCCCAAGCAGTCATAATTCTCGGTGTTGGTCGCTAAGTTTTGTCTCTGGAGAATACGCATGGGCCTCGCTTGTGGATTGGAGGTCGTTGGCAGGACGCGCAGCCTTGAAGGACAATGACTGGACAGAAACAGGTAATGATTGAACGTTTTGAACGTCGGTGGATCAGAAAGTCGCGTGGAAGTCGGAAGGACTTCAATAACCTCATTCCATAAGAATCCGGCTGTCAACGAAGTGGCACGCGCAAGAAGCAAGAGAATCATACGTATGCTCGGAATTTCTATGCGACCCACTAATGGTTGATAAGAGGACATATAATGAATGAATTACAACGTCTTGCGTGACTACGATGAGAGCTACCTTGCATGCAAGGTGTCACTGGAAACTACTTAACACGATACGTACATGTCAACTGCAACAAGCTCCGTCCATCTTGAGAGCGGTGAACGACAAACAACAGACAGTGCAGCACAACTGGGCGATCCGTTAATGACGGGTCATGAGGTCGACGTTGGATAGAAGGGCGCTCACATATAGACAAAAGAACCAAGAATATCGTACACAGCGCTTCAAGGCTATACCAAGCCATCATACAGTGACAAAGCCTGCAGTTCTTCGGGTTAGTGGCGCAGCACGAGATCGAACCAAAGAGAAGATATACCTGTACGATAGTTGGGTCCTGCTTGCTTCCTTCGACGAACTCGTCGTAAGTCAGTTTAGCGTCTTTATCTCTGTCCATGTTCCGGAAGATTTTGTCCACGCGCTGCCATGGTTCTGAGCATGAGGGTACGGCGACGCATCGGCCAATGATAATACCTTCTCTGGAGTATCTTCATCTGGTGGTAGCTTGACCATCTGGCCCGTCATTTTATATATCGACTGGACGATCTGGAGCATCTCCTGGTATGTTATTGTACCATCCTTGTCTATATCATACAGTTGGAATGCCCCTGGTGAACGACGATACCGTCCGAGATGTTAGCGATGGGATGGGATGAGGGGGGGAGGGGAACAATGCAGGGGCGCACATCTCAGCTTCTCGTCCAATCTCCCCCGACTCGTGACGCTGAGAGCGCATATGAATTCCTTGAAGTCGATCGTGCCGTTCTTGTTCTCATCGAAGACGTCGAAGACGTAGTCAGCGAATTCACCTGGATCGCCGAACGGAAAGAACTGCTTGTAGATGCGGCTAAATTCGGTCTTATCGAGCTGACCGGAAGGGCAGTCTTTGAGGAAACCCTTGTACCTGAGCGAGCATCAGCTGAGGGCGGCTGCGAAGGAACCGAACGGACCATTGCTGCAGCTCCCGTTTGTCAACTGAACGAGAGGTGAATGGGGAGAGCAGAGAGGAGGCGACGAGGGGGAAGACGTACAGTATGTATTCTTCTGTAGATCTGCGAGCTGCTCCGGGGAGAGTTTGCTCTGAGACTTGCCCATGGTGTGGAAGAAGGAGGGTGGTCAAGCCATGTAAGTAGCCAAGGCTGGTTCTGGAGCACGATGGCTGTGCGGTACATACGCTCCCACACCGGCCCGCCCTGACTATCGGCTCCCATCGGTCGTCAACCGGTCATCTCCGAGGCATGCTCGACTGCCCGTTGAGGACGCTGCATTTCACTCGTCGTTTTTCGAGGCTATCGTCGCCTCATGTCTCTCGCAAGCCGGAATCCATACTAGTCCCCTCGTCGTCTCTCGTTGACCCCCGCGTTCACCTCAGAATTTACCTATCTCTCCCCTCGTCCCAGTTTCTCTCTCCCCACTCCGCTCGCAGACTATTCATGCCGTCCAAACCGAACCGATCAGTAGTCCCAAGGAACCGCATGCCGGATCTGCCAGCTTCGCGCTCAAACTGTTCTTTCTTAGTACAAACACCTTTATACCCCCCCTGTCCAGCCTTTGTCTCTTCCCTCTGTATTTAACCTTCGACGCCTCCAAAGCACCTCTGCGCCTTGTCCGTCACCATGTGTTATACCGTTGGATCAGTCGACCGCGCCCTCAGTATCTGTCCCATGTGCAAGGTATACAAGCCCGCTGGTCAGAGGTGATTCGTCTCCCACGTCAATGGCAGCCATCGCCGGGGACCAACCCTTTTGAAATCCAGATGCCCGCACAAGCAGGAAGTGTGTCACAACAGAGAGCTTCACCCCCGCCACGACGTCATCTACCTCAAGAATGCGGAAGGTATGCATGGGCCACCCGGTCGTCAAACAATTCCTCGATTTATCTTCATCTCTCGTGATACACAGTCCAAACGTTCAATGGATGTGGATTTTGCAAGGTATGTTGCTTGAGTACAAGGAGGAGGTGTAGGTGTTCACCCATCTGAATGGTCCAGTGGGCGCGGAAATACCCGTCACAAAAGTTGGCCGGCCACGGGAATATTGGCTGGCCAGGGTGCTGTCGTGCTCCCAACGCTGGTGAAAACCACCTCATTCCACCTGCCGACTGGCCTGCCGTCTCTATCGTGCATCAGATCCCCTCGCCTGTCGATGTTAAGGCCCTTCTCGATAGCATTGGCGCCTCTCCGCCACCGCGAAAGGGCAGCCCCGGTCCTACAATCGTTGCGACGAAGGTCTCCTCACCGCCAGCATTTTCCATGCAGCTCGACCGCAGGAACAGCACCACGGCCACTCCCTCGCGCGCTGCGCCCACGATCAGCAGAACCCAACCCCTTTCTATACCTAACAAAGGACGATCCGCGGGTAGCCCAAAGGAGGCTGCCGCATCTCTCATGAGCACTACGCCTCGAGCTTCTGGTATGAAAGAGAACATTCCCGGTTCGAATACATCTCCTCTCGATTCTAGCCACTCGTATCGCCGTCAGACTACGGGTGAGCAGACGGAGAAGCGCGGAGACTCCCCAAACACACCTTCTCCTCTCCGCCGGAATATCGATCTGGAGAGTACTATCTCACGCCGTAGCTCTGAGCGCCGGCCGTCAGTCTCCGCCATCAGGGTAACCTCCACAAAGGCATTGGCCGATAGCCCTCCGTTACGTCGTCGCGCGTCTACGGACGACACGGCGTCTTTCACCAGCCAACCTTCTCTATCTAGTGGACGGTCCGTCGGTCGTCAGAACACTATATCTACATCCCGTCCCAGCACGAAACGATCCACTCTAGACGTTGACTTCGCAGCGATGAGTGTATCGGGATCCCCGAGTCCCAGCAGCGCCAGTAGCGAGACTCGCTCACGAAGTGGAAGTGAAGGCACCGTGACCTCAGATGGTGGATTTACGGATTATCTGTCTGACGAATCAGAGGCGGAGATTCAGCGACAGGCGGAAATGAAGGCTGCGTTGTTGGCTCAAAATCACATGGAAGAGCAGGAATTCAGAGCGGCAAGGCAGCAGCTTGCCCATGTCGATCTGCGGCCTCCCAAGTCCTGGAACCCCACCAATACGGCCACCCCAAGGTCGCAGGGAGCATCGACGGCGTCGCAGGCTTATGGTTCCATCCCCGCCATCGGGTACGCCTCCCAGACGAGAGGACAAGTCGATGCGGTCGGAATTGGTCGCTCAAGGTAATCACAGTTTGCAGATTATAATTTCATAAAGGACCTCGAGAACGAGATTGCATGTGTTCTCCTCACTTCCCACCCCCACTTATATGTCCATCACAATTTTGTTTCGATTAGGTGTAGTAAAGTAGTCGCGGGACTGAAGTATTCACGTTGATTCATGGGATATCATTGATCTGTACAACATCTGTCTATACCTGTACGCAAGCATTCTTTCCCTGTGTCTTTTGCGGATGATGGCGTGAGCAATCATTGACGGTTGAATATCGCTGCACGCTGCCCAAGCTGCACGGAACGAGTTGTGGAATGGCGTCAGTCGTGTGACCGTGAGATCGTCGACGTTAGACCTGTATTTCCCTATTGGGATTCATGGACAGTCAAGCGTCCCTCCTCCAGGCGGCAGGACCACTGCTTCACAACAGATGAACCTCGCCCGACACTCCATCACTGCAACGAACCCAGTGAACCTGTTTGATGTCCGTTTTGATGCTGATTGCCAGATATTCACCACCTCAACACCTGCCGGATTCGCGGTCTATCGGGCGAACCCTTTAGAGCTGCTTCGGAAACGAGGTGAGCGAGCACATGGCCTTCGTGCTGCTGAGTCTGATTTGCGTCCTCAGAAATAACAGGCGGCACGCTTTCTGCGGCAGTTCCTCTTCACTCGTCGTCTCTTCTATTTCTCTTGGGAGGAGGAGGAAGTCCTCGATATCCGCCAAATAAAGTCGTCTTCTGGGACGATGCCCTTGGTCAGGAGGTCGCAGAGCTAGAGTTCAGAGAGAAGGTACGGGGAATCACTTGCAGGCGAGGATGGCTTGCAGTGGCGCTGCGTAGACGAGTGGTCGTCTTCGAGATTGGAGCCGCCGTGACGCGATATGGCGAATGGGATACTTGTGACAATCCGAGAGGTAATTCACATCCCTTGTCATAAGCTCAGGGCTTTTAATGGCCTCTTCATGAACGATCGGAACCGTTAACCACCTGGTCACTGATCAGCATTTTTCCAAAGGTTTGCTTGCAATCGCGACAGGCCCGTACGCGACGCTGCTTAGCGTTCCAGGGCGACAGACAGGCCATGTACAACTGATTCACCTCCCACCTTGTCGCCCTCCAGAGCCTATCGGTCCTCCTCCTTCTATCCCACCACGCCCTCCCCCGCAGCCCACTAAGCATCCACATTCGATCATCGTAGCACACAACAGTGCGTTGACGACGCTGGCCGTCCCCCCATCCGGGCGTCTATTGGCCACGACCTCATTGCGGGGTACCTTGGTCCGCATATGGGACACAGCCACGGGAAAGCAGATCCGAGAGTTGCGTCGCGGGACGGATCAGGCTGAGATATACGGAGTCGCTTTTCGGCCTGATGAGACTGAGCTGTGTGTTTGGAGCGACAAGGGCACTATTCACGTGTTCGCGCTCGCTATACGCTCTGGCGCGTCGTAAGTTCTATCTGTTATGCGATACGACGGATTCTCATTATCCCTGCTAGAAACCGACAGTCGTCACTGTCGTCGTTGACCCCTTACTTGCCTCTCCCCAAGTACTTCGATTCGGAATGGTCCTATGCACAGTTCCGTATACCAACGCAGTCGTCACACATATCGCTATCGCAACAGACCTCGCAACACCGATCAAACACCGACCTTGTAGGAGAGGAGAAATGTACCGTCGGCTGGATTAGGCACGTTTCTAGCGAGGATATAACCCAGCCAGGATCTGCGTCGACGGTCGAGCATCAACTCATAGCTCTCACGTTTAATGGCGGATGGTATCGACTATCTGTCCCACGCGGAGTATCTTCATCCAGTACTCCAGGAGCTTCATCTCGTTCTGCCATCCCTACATCCCGTTCGCCTCCTAGTGTGAAATCCTTACACATGCCAAGGCCCCGGTCCGGTAGTGGTTCATCCTTCTCCAGTCGAGCAGACAAGGGAAAGGGTCGAGAGAGCGATCGGGAGAAGGAAAGTCGAGATTGTGTATTGCAGGAGTTTCGACGATTTGGAAGATGGGACGGATGGAGCTGAATGATCAATACTCAGTGCACAGTAGGCAGAACTAGACGGTTTGTCAGAGAAGGGTTGTTGTGGGCTTGTGGGCTTTGTTTTCGCACTTGGTTTAACCATGCATATTCACGTGTATAAGTACTGCATATGGCTCTTGGCTTCCATAACATATTGTACGATTATTTACTCATCTCATTGCTATCAACCAGCTCTTCAGCCACTTGCTCTTCGTCACGTTCCAGCTGCGTTCCAGTGTAGGCACTCGTCATCCGCCCGACCGGAGCTGGTATGTAACGCCTCGATCTGACTACTTTCCGCCATGTCAGCCCTCCTGTCCATTGTTCAACCGCTTGGCTCGTATGCATCTACTTGCGGATACTGTGGTGTAGATGGCGAACGTAGTGAGCAGGCAACGAACTGCATGGCTTCCAGTCTCATGCCATATCAGCTATCCTGTGATGTGAGGCAATTGACAATGGTCTGAAGGCTTTGAAACACGATAACAGACATTCACCTGCATTCGTTGACAGGTGTACCAGAAGATGATAGACCGTGGATGGAGGAGATCAGGGACGTACTGCTACAAGCCCGATCTCAGAAGGTCGTGCTGTCCTCAGTACACAATCAAGTATGTCTCCTTTGCTGCATTCAATCTGTCTGAAATGCGGATGTCGATAGACTGGATGCAGTGGCGTTTAAGCCATCGAAGAGTCACAGGAAGCTTTTAAGTCGGTAAGTAAGAACACGAGAAATAGGTGTACAATTTATGACGATATCGTCATTTCAGCTGGAACCGATACGTGCTTGGCAGCGACCAAGGTAAGAGCATTCGGGGAGACGCTGTAAGGTGCGCGATTTATCACCTCAACCAATCCTCTAAGTGTCCTTCTCAAGTTTCTGGCATCATCCAGGAAAGGACTCGACAGCGCGCCGTTTGAATTAACACAATCCATCCATGTTTCCGAACGACAGTATGTGATCAGCGGCGAACCGGCGCATCATTTTGAGGTAAGTTGTGGTTCACTGACGCGCATCAACTTAATGACCATCAAGGCTATACTACTAGGTCACCCTAGAGCTCTCGAGCTTCACAGAAGAGAAATTTGCCCTATATCAGAGTTATGAAAAGAATATCCACCACAAGGACGATAAACAGCGAGCTAGTTTTACTTCATTTCTCGTAGATTCGCCACTTCACGTACGTGTTCATGGCGTATCTCTTTCCTTGCTTTATTTTGACATCGACTTTGTATCACTTCTAGCGAGAGTCGATACCGTACCCCAAGCCTCCTCCAAGCCACCTACCTCGCTATTATGGTGCTTATCATCAGCTGTATCGGTTGGATGGTGAATTAGTGGCTATGGGTGTGATTGATATCCTGCCCAGCTGCGTCTCAAGTGTGTATTTCATGTGGGAAAAACGATTCGAAAAGTTCTCGCTTGGCAAAGTATGGATTTCTCTTGATTCGCTTGATGACTTTATTCACTTTTGAACGTTGAAGCTGAGTGCATTGCGAGAAGCATCTTTGGCTAGAGAAATGTATGATGCTGGCATCGTTGGATTGTCTTCCCTATACATGGGTGAGTGCTTTAGATTTAAGTAAAAGCTCTTACGAACCACAAATATGATCAGGTTTCTACATTCAGTCGTGTCAGAAGATGCGATACAAGGGAGAATACTTCCCGTCTTATCTCGCTGATCCCGTACGCTTCTGCAAGGTCGATCCCTAAGCTCTCTGTAGTTGATCACTGATCGGCTCTTGGCCCCACAGGAAGATTTCAGCTGGCACCCTATCGAGGTCTGTAGACCATTACTAGAAAAGTATAGGTATGCTACATTCGTATATCCGGAACATTCGAACGCAGATTCAGCTGGATCTCCTGGTAAGATCGCAATGCTCGGTGTTGTCTTGCGTCAATTACCCATCTTCTCGAAACAGTGCTTCACCAGTCTGTGGTAGACCAGCCTACCCCTTCACAGGAAAACCTGGACCAAATACTTGCGTTGAAGTCAATTCGGGGCAAAGAGGTCATCACAGTTCCTATAAATGTGAGCTACTTTATCTAGCTCCAGAGATACCGGGTCGTGAAATTTGTACAGTCGACAAGAGAATGGCGAATGGTGGACACTCGCCGTGATATCTTGTCTACCATCAGCGGTCTAGGCACTGAGCTGTCGAAGGAGGTAATATTCTATCTGCAATGAGTGGGTTGCCTGTGTGGTAGGACCGACAGCCTTCAACAGCATGTAGAGTCTGTACTATAAATTATATCACAAGTAAATGAGCAGTGGTCCCAACGTGTCTGACGAGACAGGAGGACGTGATGAGAGGCGTACTACTTACCCAGTATATGAACCGCCCCAATAACCGCATTCAGAGCATAGCGAACAGTAGATGTTAGTCTCAATCAGAGAATCTCGATGCGCTCATCAGTGCGTAAAGATTACACTATCCTCATTGGTTCTTCCTCGACTGTTTATCCTTCACTATGGATAGAACTTCTTGGTCATGGCGGTCCTCAATCAGAGATAGAACAATGTAGGCGACTAAGACGAGATTTGCCGCTATAATGGCAGTGATGGCGGCATACGTTGCATTGCCTGCGTATAAGTCGTCAGAAGACTGCATGACTGAGTAGGAAGACCTCTTGCCCTTCCAAAGATACTTCTCGGATATGAAGTAAGAGCCAATAGGAATCACACCAAGCGAAAGGCTGAATATGATGAGTTTGATGAGTACGCCTCTGCTCGAGAAGAAATGTCATTAGTCTTCGAGACATGTAAAAGAGCAGGTGACATACCCTTGCACTCCTTGATCAACAATTGTAGATCCTGCCGTCTGTCCCCTCATGCTCTCCACGGCGTTCGAGACGGGTGTCTCTGAAGTGAATTTAAGGGACGAGGTCGACTCTTTCAAGATGGGGGTTAGTAGGACAGGTTAGGACCTACGGCGATAATTCGCCTAATGAGGAAGTCCTTGACTCCTGTCAAGTTCCTGTCATCACTGTATCTTCAGGCGCCTCACCAGTGACGCCTTTCGGGAGATTTCTAGCGCGTTTCCTTACAACCGCTGCATCTACACCGTGAATGTTTACCATAGTGTTCAATCAAGACATTCACACTGAGTCCTTTCTAAATGGCTGTCATACAAGTCAAACAGGATCAATGCCTCGACTAACTCGATAGGTATCAAACAGGTTCTTCCAGCAAATACGGATCATCTCTGTCCGGCTTCAAAATTGCCCACACAGATTGTTTATCAAAACTGATTGACTTCAGAAACAGAATCCTACATGATCAATTGCACGGATTTCAGGTGGGCAGTTACGGCTTGATTGCCGAGGTGTCAACACCATTGCCATTGGCCACGCTTGTTTCGTCTTCGACGCGAAGTATGCGGATGCGAATACGACCTTCCGGATCGGAGTATATGACCCAGGTTCCTGATATCGTGAGTTCAGTCAGTGTCATATCTCGCACTAAGGAACAAAGTTTCCAGCCCACTTCGATCATTTGCCGGAGGTTCACTCGAAGGTTCATGAACGCTTCCAATAGATGCTGGGCCAAAATGATGTTAGACTGGGGATGTTCCTGCAAGATTCAATTACGCACTTCCACGCGAAGGTGTCCCGACACCTATGGCAAGGGGAAGGTTCGGCGCTATCTCCTCCACGTCCAAAATTCCGCGGTCGGAGATCTGTCCCTCAAAGAGTCTTGGTGGATCTTCTTGATACTGTGCATAGAACTTGAACTATTCGACAAGTGCAGATTGGATGCGAGTTCCAATGCGAAGCACGTGTTTGTGGGCCGACACAGCTTGCGACGGGCTCGAAATACGGCTGTAAAATGCCTGTGCCCTCTCGGCGCTCTCGTCTTGTATGTACCGTGAAGTGACCAGGAGAGTCATTGAAGGCTACATAGACACAATCAACGGTACCCATGTCATCCGATTCTGCATGACCATAGCTCATTAGATAAGTCATACAGCTAGGGGCAGAAGACACGCACCCGTCCAATGGAAAGCCGAAAGCGTCGTCGGCTCTGTTGTTGGTTGGTTGGTTACAACGGCAGGCAGACTCCACACCCCAGCGAAGGTTCGCTGCCATACATAATCCGATCACCTGTGAGTACTACTTACACACAGATCATACCCAATCTTACTCGCAGATCCTCTAGATGGTATAACTTTATAAGTGCATATACGTCGCCTATAAACGACAGCTTCTTGTATTGTCATCTGCTTGATAAAACAGGAAAGCCGTTTGGAAATCTGACCCCGACGTCACAGTGGCTAGGGATGTCCCCATTGCTGGTGCAATTTTACTACCGCTGATATTGTCCGGTACGTTAGCCACATTATAAAACTCCCTTCCCCCTGCAGAAGTGATTCTTCGCTCAAGCAAATTGCCGCTGTAGCCTCGGTAGAATATTGGCTTGCCGCCCCAAAGTCTCTCTGTATCACATCAACACATCAATTCAACTGCCACAAGAGGTAAAGAAAATATGTTACCCTGTTCGCGGCAATCCTCGAGTATCTATTAGCCATAATCTGCAGTCAATATGATTGGTGTAGAAGAATCTGTCACATTCCGCAAGATCGCGGTGTTTGGGATCGGATTTGCGGGTGGTGCGTCGACAATACAGCACACGTCGACAATGCCTGGTTGGTGATATAATGCAGATATGACATTTCCGATCTTTAGACCGGTCATTGTGAAGGTAAATGGGATGCCAGGGGTCGCAGGAGCACTCTGTTGTATGGGATGGGCACAAGCCTTATATCTCATGGATTCAGGGAACACCGGATACAAGTATAGTGCATGCTGGGCGCTCGATCAGTTAATGTTGCTTTGCATCTGGGAGACTCATCTGTGTTTTCGGTAAGTGAAGGATTCTCGATGAATTTCAAGCATCTTAAAGACTCAAGTACTAGTTCTCTCATATACTTGTACTGCAACGCTTCAGGCTTCTAGTATGGAAGCAGGCTCCGCTGTCCAAATCAGATGCAACAAATGCCTTGCATTCTGCTCTGGTATTCGGCACTACTTGCAAAGCTTCGCACGTATCTCACTACCGAGGGTCTTCTCAAGCACTATGGCAATGCACATCTTTGCTTTCCCCCTTTTTCCCGTCTTTTTCTGTCTTTTCCTAGGCTCCTACCCACCACTGTATCGAGGGCAAGGGTCTACTACTATGAGAAAATGATGAAAAATATATGAGAAAATATACGACCCCTGAAAATTGGGGGGAGGCCTGCTTCATGGACTACCTGACCCACTGGGACCACTGACTCAGAGGGGAAGACAAGAAAAGGTGTTTCAGCCAAGGTTTTCAGAAACAGCTTTGCGTGAATTCAATCACTATCACTGCTGCTATCGCTATTCTCTGCATTGTCATCATCCGTCGAACTCTCGTCGTCGCTCTCCACCGCAGCCTTTTTGACCGACCCACCGCGCATAGCTGCCATCTGCCCTGCCAGCGTATCCTCCTCGGGCTCCGAGATCTCATCTTCCGCATCCTGCTCGTCCTCGTTCAACGCCGACACATCGTCGATCTTGAGCTAATCATCCGGACAGCAGTTGAGGTTCATGGCGTGATATCTAGATCGATCTCTCATGAAGACGCACCTGCACGGCTTTCACGATGTCCTCCCCGATGAGGGTATCGCTCACGATATGGATCCTCCAAGTGAACAAACCAACACCAGGAGGTGCTTGGAATCGCAGCTTAAAAGACCGGAAGTTGCGCGATCGCGTGGGGTCTGAGAACGGAATGTCTGAGATCTTCATCGGCGGTACGACGACCTTGTTCATCTTCTCATCCGCGATCACGATCCACCATCCCGGTCGACGGTTCTATTCGAATTGTCAGTTGAACATCTCAAAGATCGACATATTCGAAAGCTTACCCCAGGCCAGTATGGCGCATGCGCCCAGCCGCTGCCCTGTGAGGAAGGTGATAGATCTTCATAGTCTTGAGGGCTTTTCAGGAACTCGTCGTCTTTCGCTGCATCTGTATCAGATAGTGGGCGCTCTTCCTCATCCTTCGTTGCACCATTTACAAGAGATCCATGGGTAGGAGGCGAGATACGAAGTTTGACAACCAGGAGGACGAGCGCAGACGGCGTAACGATGCGCTCACCAATGACTACAGCGACGGCGCCCAGAAAACAATAAAATTATAATCCATGCAAGCGCCAAGACGACGCACCTTGAAATCTGGCATCGACTAGCTCCAGCCGCCCCCACCGCGCGGCTGCCTTCTTAATGTCCGGTAGACGTTCGTCACCTTTCTCTTCCAGAGCCTGTATATAGTCCTCCAGAGTGGACACGCCTTCTGGGAGTGTCTCTACATCGTCCTCGCTGATGCCAGGTAGCTGTACATACTTCGCCTTGTCGTTGCCAGGGAAAAGTGCCTGCGCCAGATATGCATGAAGGTGCATGACAGCGAGCGTCGGCAGAAACCAGTTCCGTGCCATGCTGATATTGAGCAAAGCGTTCAAGATATTCGGAGTCTGGAGAAGTATCTCCACTTGCTCTGTTTGCATCGTCAACCATGAAACATTCGCGCAAAAAGAGTCAACTGAGACTAACCTTTTTTCAAAGCAGAATCCTTCACGTCCAAACGCAACAAGTACGCATGTATGAGGACCAAAGCACGCCAACGGCCGTCTTTGCTCTCACTCTTCACAAGCGCGCGAACATCCCTCCACTTCTGGCCTATAGCTGCCTCAATGGCCTTCTCCAATTCTTCCAGTTCAGCCACTCCGCTGGGTTTCCCTGGCCGCTCAAATTCGACTGCCTTACCAAGTGCGCCAACTATGTCTTCGATACCAGATGCTTCAGTCAGAGACTTAAAGAACCGGGAAGCCGTCTGAGCATGAATGCCGTCCTTGGTCTTCTGACGACTGCCGAACCACCAACGACCCTGATAGAAAGTTAGTCTCTTGATGTACTAGATGTAGAAGCGAGCTCAAACATACGACGAGCATAGGAAGAGAAACACCAAACAGTAATCCATAGACGCCCAACACCCAGATGTTATTCTGCGCTTCAACGATCCAGCGAGGAAGCGCAATGCCCATGGTTATTTCCTGCCTACCGTCAGGATGGCCGTAATCCTCGTAGTTTTTGCGGATATTCGCGTCGGTCAACCTATATCCCAACACCACCGCTCAATTTGACACTGGTGAGAACACGAAGGGAGCAGGAAGACATACGACTTGTAGGCCTTGGTGATGTCCACAAAGCGTGAAGCGACAGACTCGGCAGTGTCGTTCGCCGTGAGTTTCACCTTATCTGGATGGCTAAATGGGAATCATAAATGAGGAGTAGGATCATTGATATGCCAGACGCACTAAATTCGGGACAACTTCTTGAAGTGCGATTTGATATCCTTCTCTGTAACACCCTACAACCGTATACATCGTTATTTTGCGTACGCCAGCGGGTAGTGAGTGCAATCACCATCGTGAGCCCGAGGATCTCATATGGGTCATATATCTTGCTGTCATTAGCGGTGTTCGCGACCTTGTACGAGAGCAAAGCAAGGGCTGCCCAACCGAGGGCAGTGAATATGGCTCTGTTAGACCGAGCTCATTAGTTTTGAGCTGAGCGCCGGGGATGCAAGCTTACTTTCTGGATAATTTCGGTCGCAATGACGATCCCTTCGCTTCCTTGCGATGACGCACGCAAGGCCCACACTCGCAACCCGACGTAATAACATGTTCTACATAGCACCAAGTTGTCAGCACGCCGAATTTCTTGAGTCTCACCGACTCTTCTGCACGGGTTGAGGGGACTCACTAGAAGACGAAGAGAACAAGAACGAAAGCGTGAACGGGACGAGGATGATGGAAAGGACGGTGATGATGAAGTAGAGAGCCATATTGCCCGACTCATCATAATTGTAGCTGGCCATGATGAGGACCAGAAGCGGAGGTTACCTGCAAGTCCTGGTTGGATTTAGATGGACAAGGAGTGGACGGGGTGGACGTGGCAGGGAGAGCGGACGATGCAGTCTTCGAGTTCACTGCCGCGCTGGCATATCTGGATGACGTCATTCCGAACGTGTCAGCGCACGCGCTTCGTTCTGAGCAGCGTCTTCCACTGGCTAGGCGAGGACAATGTCCGTGTCTGAACCGATGCGGCGCATTCGCCTCACGTCCGCGCCCCCTCTCCCTCCTCTCAAGGCCTGGTTTTCAATTTCCATCATCGCTGTAGATGCCCCCGTCTCAGACCTCAAGTCCCACCTCTGCTCGACCCTCCAAATCCTTCGCGATGCAGAGCTTCAGGCGAGCGACATCGAGCTTCTGTTCGACGACTTTGAGCTGCTCTCTGAGTCGCGAGTAGACGTCTTGCGGGACGGCGACTTGGTCTGGTATACTTCTCTCTTCTATCTTATGGTACGGCTAATTTGAGGTCATTGTCCAGCATTCATCAGAAACCAAAAAACGCGAAGCGCAAAGCGCCCCCCTCTCAGTCGCCCTCTCGAAAAAAGCGCCGACTTCCTTCTCCCGTTCCATCTCCACCCCGTCCTGTTCCTTCGTTGAAGAAGCGCAGCCCACCATCTCACTCGACATCCAGCGAAGACTCGTCTTCTGACGATAGTTCTTCAGACGATTCCTCGGACACATCTTCCACATCATCGGACTCGGATTCAGGCTCTGACGCCTCGTCATCACCGTCCGTCGTCAAATCGTCCAAACCGCCTCCACGCGGTCAAAAAAGCGATCAATCGTGCGTTACCTTACCATCTCTCTATTTCACGTTGAACATCATCCTCGGACAGAATAGCACATGTGCCCCCAGGATATGGCAAGCCTCAGACACGGAGTCGTAACATTCGACGGCGCAAAAAACGCCAATACGAACGTGAAGCCGACGATACGCAGACACCCGCATCTATCATTCCTATCGCCAGCCCCAACGCAGTCCCACTCGGCTCTAAACCTTCGCTCTCTACCCCTCCCCTTCCCGCCGAATCCCTCAGCAGACCGGAGCCAGTCGCCATGATGTCTCTCTCGAATAAGAACAAAAGACGCGGATTTAAAAGGTCAATGGCAGAGTCGCGTCCCAACCGCATCGTATTCGACACCGAGGACAGTACGCCCATTGCTGCGTCGCCGGTTCCTGGGTTGTCCCGCCCCGCGTCGCGTTCGCACTTGCCCCGCTTGATCCCGCCATCGGAGAAGCAGGACCTCGGACTGCTTCCGCCGAATATGTTTGTCACAAGCGTGGACGTGGAGGCAGGGTTGTGGCCACGTCGAGAGCATGCGAATGATGATGCTGGGCAAAATGGACATGCTGATCGGCCTCGACGTGCAAAGCGGCGCAATATAGCGCCCGAGAAGGAGTACGATGAGGGCAACCAAGTCTCGCAGGACACCGCATTGCCATACGACGACGAGTCGGCTGCCGCAATGGGAGCAGCTGAAGATATTGACTGGGATGGTGTCGAACGAAGGTGGGCGACGCTCACAAAAGTTGTGAGGGGCGCGAACATGTCGCCCGGTTATTTAGTAGGCTGGAAGGTATGGCACGAACACAGGCCTCTCGTTCCTTGCTCACAGACCGCGACACAGGAGCTTGGAATTCACCCGGTCACGTTGACTCCGGAGATGTTGCTTTCGATTGCACGCGTTGTCAGATGCGATGAGAGCGAGGTGGCCGTGCAGCAGGTTCGGCGACCAGGGATGGGGGCAGTGTCGTTTGGAGGACATGTGGAGGAAGAGGAGGAGATTGAGGTGTATGGATGGAACGACGTGTCTGAATGGCGAGCGGTGCCGTAGCTGCTGTACCATATAGTCACTACAGCAATGCTATTAGAGAATATATTACGAGTGCCGTAATGCGGAGGAAGCCGGTGCGGGGAACGCCGAGGACGGGACAGAATTTGCGAGGGCAAGGACGTGTTCGTTCGGCAGCGCTCTCCTTCTCCCTCACGACCTTCACCGCGCTTAGTCGCGCTCGTCGTTGCTCACATCCCCCTCAGGCGAGCCATCAGCGCTCCTGACCGCTCAATCCCGCCATGCTGCCTCAGGTAGCGACCCACATCCTTCACCACACCACCCGTGCCGCCGCTGCCGCACAGAACCAGGCCGGCCACACTCTTCGCAATGTCCTTGGTCTCCAGTCATCCGGCTCTCAGTCTGCGTCTACCAGTTTAGGCACCTGGAATGGGGCAGGCTCCTCTAGCTGGGGCAGCGGCCACGCTGGCGCAGGCGGAGGTGCGAAGTATCACACTGGCAGTCGTTTTTATTCCGGTTACACTGTGAGCTACCCAGCGTCTATCTTTTCGCGTGACCTGCCCCGCTCATTTCACCACCGATCTCAGGGCCCTGGCCGCGCGATCACTCAGGCAAACACCACCTCGGATTCCCAAACGCAGACAGATGACAACGACGACGTTCCCGTACTCAAAGCCGTCGTTCGTTCTTCTAGGAAGCCCCGTGCTCGCAGTCATAGCTTCTCTGTTAGTCGTCAAACTCAGGCAGAGCGCGCACAAGAGTTTGGCGTGCTTCAGGCCGTCAAGCTTCACGTGCGATCCCGCCACGCCTTCGCTGAGCCCTCCACGTCCCAAGAATTGTCCACCGGTACCGACGACACTCTCCAACCGTCTTCGAGTCAGGCCGAGCCAGCACGGGCCCGTCGCAACTCAACCTCGTCTACGGCCTCCCTCCCTAGCTCTGGTGTGAGCGACGACTTTTCCCTCACCCCTCCCCATCCGACACTTGCGCCCACCGATCCCACCGCCCCACAAACTGTCCTTGAACCAGAGCTTTCGAACCCGCCTGCGGAGAATGTTGACCCCTATACTTCAGAGTTCCTCACCCTGTTCGGCGAGATCAACGATAAATCGGACCCCACGAAGATTCGTATCGCCATCCAGAAGCTCCATGATCCTTCCACGCCATCTACTGTGCACGATTGGAATGCCGCGCTCAAGGCGCTCATCCACTTACGCAAACCCGGTGAGCCCGCCACAGATATCATCGAAACCTACAATGCCCTTGTTGCCCGCGCCATCGACCCAAGCGCGACGACGTTGAACATGGTCATCGAGGCCCTCTGTGACCGAGATTACGAAGTTCAAAGAATCGTCGATACCCTCGAATGGCGGAACAGAAAGCGTATTATGGCTGGGCTCGCAGATGCTCCTGAGGTCCACGTCGATACGCAGCACATCTCTGACCTTCGGGCGGAGGCTAACTTCGTCTCCGCTATTTCTCTCTTTGAGGCTTCTGCAACAAAGAGTGCGATGCCCCTTCGTATCTATAGCGTTCTTCTTCGGGCGTGTGCACATCACAAGGCAGTGGACTCGGCGATCCGCGTTTTCTCGCACCTCGAGAACCGTCGAAAGGTCTTCCCTACCGCATCGGTATATGACTACCTCATCGCAGCCTATACCTCCGTTGGAGACCTTGAAGGGGCAAAGGTGGTTTTCGATGAGTTTAGGAACGTCTCTCGAAACAGGAAGATTCACTGGCACTCGACAGAACATGACGTCGCTCGGCAAGCCCACATTGGCGTTTGGAACAGTATGATTGATGCCTATTTTCGTGCAAATGACCCTTCCAGCGGGCTGGAATTGTTGGAGCAGATGTTGGACACACCCAAAGGAGTCGAATTCGAGGTTCAGGATGTCCCTACGCCCTCATTGACGACATACACCACCATCATCGAAGGGTTCTGCCGTCTTGGTGACATGCAGACTGCCCTGTCATGGTTCGAGCGTCTGCTCGAGCAGGACTCTGTAGCTGCGCACCCGTTCAAACCCACGGCGACCCCCCCTCGCCCCGACTCTCGTCTCTGGCAGATCCTGATCACTGCTCTCCTGGAGAAGGGGATGATCAATGATGCGAATCGGTTATTCGAAGTGTCTCAGTCTGTGGCTAAACGAGATGGCCTCGTCTTTTGGTGGTGGGATCGGGCGATGATGTTCCACGCCAACCTGCGCCACCTCGAAGAGAACACGCTCGAAGATGCCGACGCCATCAAGATTCTTGATTTCCTATTCGAGACGGTCCTTGGGCGCAGGAGGCATTGGGGCAGCAACTTACGCGAGCTTCAAGGCTCTTCAGGAATGAAGCCACTCATTTCCAGATATGCTATACACGGGCGTCCAGACAAATCTTTGGAGATCATTCAAACTATCGCCGAATTCGTGCGTACGCCAAACCCGAAAGACCATCTGGTAGCGGACCAGCGTAGTCATACGGAGAAATTCCAGAAGGTGGTGGAAGTGTCAGATGCGCTCCTACTGGACGATAACAAAGTCCTCCGAGAACTTCCTCTCCCTCTGGTTTTGCGTCTCGCATCTGTGTGGAAGTCCCGCGGGATCGACCTCTCTGCAGCCATATCTGAATCATGTCTGCGTGCATACGCTGTTGCTAAAGCCAGTGGCGAATCCCTTGTGCTTTCCGTGGACGACTGGAATACAATTGCGTTCGCATCTGGGGAGCCTATATCACAAGGAGATGTTAGGGAGCACGTATTCACAGTCCTCACGGACATGGCACGCGAGGGTGTTGATCCGAGTCAACTTTCCCCCCAGGTCATGGACAACCTGATTCACATCATAGTCGCCGATAATGATCACCCACAAGTGCGTTCGTTCCTTGAAAGCTTAGGACCCGCCTTCGAGGCCCTCTTGACCAACTACACGGAACGCCTTGAAGCAACGCGGACTTTGCCTGCTCCTTTGCCGATCCCATCTCCCGTTCAAGGCGACGGTCACTCGACAGGTTCCATTGATGTCTACCACAGTCGCTTTGTCGACGAATACCACCTGTACCCTGGAACTGCGACTCTAAGGGACGCGTTTGCCCGTTTCGAGTCTGGTCTTCAAAGCGGCATGTTACCTACGCCGGCGACGTTGGCGCGGTTGATAGATGGCTTCGGTCGTCTGAAGGACATGGGCAAGGTATATGCTCTCTACAACGCAGCGCAGCATGCGCTCTCCCTTTTGGATGCAGGCAGTGAACTCCAGACCTCCAGCTGGATAGCCATTGAGAACGCCATGGTTGTCTCCCATGGACACGCTGGTGATGGCCCCCGTGCAGACATGCATCGCATGCGCCTTATCGAGCATGGTGCCTCTCCCTCCGCTGACGCCTATGGTGCGCTCATTCAAAGTATCAAGGAAACAACAGACGACACTGCGCGCGCCATGGCCTACTTCGAAGAGTCTCAGATGCGAGGCGTCGCGCCGAACATCTTCCTTTATAACACCACTATCTCGAAGCTTGCCAAGGCTCGCAAGGCCGATTATGCGATAGAGTTGTTCCAGAGGATGAAGACCATTGGCCTTCGCCCCTCATCCATCACTTATGGCGCTATCATTGCTGCGTGTTGCCGTGTCGGAGATAGCATGTCGGCGGAGGCCCTTTTCGCAGAAATGGTGGAGCAGCCGCAATACAAGCCTCGCGTTCCGCCGTTCAACACGATGATGCAGTTCTATGTCCAAACAAAGCCGAATCTTCCTCGCTTCCTTCATTATTTGAATGCGATGCAGAAGGCTGGTATCAGGCCCACAGCGCACACTTATAAGGTCAGTTTGGAGCTTGTGTGCCCAGTCCGTACCTAACCCCCTGTCTTTGTACAGCTCATGATTGATGCTCATGGCACTATTGAGCCAGTCAACGTTCCGGCAATGGAACAAACGTTCCATGACCTTGTGGCCGATAGAAATGTCCCCGTGCAAGGTTCGCATTGGGCTGCCCTCATCAATGCCTATGGATGCGTCGCAAAGGATCTGCAAAAGGCGATCGACGTTTTTGAGTCAATCGCGACACATCCCAGCACAGTGTCATCTGGGATCAATCTTCCTGACGCCGTCGTGTACGAATCGCTCATCAACGTCTTCATCACGCTTCGCCGCACAGATCTCGTGGCTGATTACATCGTGCGCATGCGGGGAAGCGGAGTGCACATGACAGCATATGTCGCAAACTTGCTCATCAGGAGCTATGCGTCCGTCGGAGATATCGAGGGAGCTCGCCAGGTCTTCGAGGGTCTTTTGGATCCTCCAGTAGGCGTAGCAGCGCCGAATAACCATGCGCCTCACCAAGCGCTCCCCTCACGCACAGTATCCCCTGACGCACCCGTCTATCGCGAAGTGCGTCGTCTCCTCTGTTTCATATTTATCCAATCTCATTTGTTTTTTTCAGCCATCGACTTGGGAAGCAATGGTCCGTGCTGAGTTAGGAAATGGTAACCGAGATCGTGCAGTCGCTCTCCTTGAACGTATTCAGGCTAGGTAAGCTTTGTCTATACCTTCATAGCCACAAGCACTGATGCGCGCAACGCAGGGGATACCCTGAGTCAATATACAACCGCATCAGTGGCATCATGCTCGACGACTCTGTCTCACCATGGCCATCAGACGCTGGCTCATTAGTGTCAGGCAGCCGGAGTCCCTAGGCCGACTAATCCTCTTGCATACTCTGACATTCATCAGACACGCCTCCTGCAGCACCTTGGATTGTCTGGGACATCCGTGCCATACCTTACTCATGCATTATTCACTTTCGACACTTGCATCGGACATCACGATCCCTAAGATCCTACCCGCCACCTACTAAAATGTATATTATCGTATTGTTTTGCAGATCCATTGTATACTACCTGGCAATTGTGACCGTCGTGCAAAGGCCATGCTCATGATAGATTTTTACGTGCCATTTTATTGCCCTAAATATTCAGGCATTATTATGCCCACAAATGCTATTTTATCTCCGCGAGCAGTGTGAAGTCTGTATTAAGAACTGTCGTGCGTAGGTGCGTATCAAGCATCGACCTACAAGGTCGCATCCTTGATGAATACGTGTAAAGAGATAGATAGATAAGTATTCCCGAAAAAATACAACCATAGCTAGCACTACTAGTCCAATCGGCCGCCCTTCCCATTTGCATGTTGATAATAACCATTCTGATCGTCCTCGCTGAAGAGCCTCCTAAGTCCCAAAAAAAGTCCGATAACTGCTACAGCCAGTATGACGGCAGTCATGAGCGGGTGGTTTGTTACCGACGTCTCGATCGTAGTGAGTTTGCTGTTCAAATACTGGCAGGGGTTGAGCTACCGAGATGACAGATTGAGATTTGACACTCACTCTAGCCATACGTTCTACTGCATTCTCAGAGTTTTTCGGGTGATAAGCCCCTGTTAAGGCACCCTGAAGGGCAGCGAAGATGCTTGTGGAAGACAAAGATATCCTGCTGCCGTTAGGCTCTGTGTCATAGTAAACCAGTTTCTAGAACGAACCCAGTCAGGCCAGACACCAATGAGCTAAGATCAACTTACTCCATGATCAGCGATAACAACGGCGCCGTGGTCTGATATGCCATACATGCTCTTCAGCCAAGTCGCCCATCGCTCGCCGTCCATCCACGTGAATACTATTCCGCGCTCTGGTAGGCCTTTCTCGCTATCGGCTCGTTGCCGCCACTTCTGTCCGATCGTTTCGACTTGTTGGATCAGCTGAGTGCGCTCAGATCCTTCGCTCGGTACCGAAACGATGACCACAAGCGGCTGATGGGGCGCTTTCATGACTTGCTGGAAGGTGCCATCACCCAGCTCCATTGAGGTAGGAAGGCGATTGTTGGTTAGCCACGAGTTTAGCTCTTTCTCGGGGATATTAGCTGAGAGCTGGAGAGTTGACGTTGGCGTATGAGAGTCATGATCCTTGAGTGCAAGGAGAAGGGGGACAGAACTCTCAGGGAGCGATAGGTGAGAAAGGAATGACCTGTCTGTGGAAGTGAAGACGGGGGGAGACCCAAGTAAAGGACGAGCGGCTTTGGTGAGTGTGTTCTTCTAGCAATTCAGCACTAAGGAAGCGAAGCAGAAGTAGAATTCACCCACCAAAAGGTGCTCATCTTCAGATTGGTGAATCAAAAGATAGATGACGGAATTCTCCTTCATCACTTCCTCCAATTCTGAGTATTCAAGCTTGGAGACACTCCTATGTCGACCGTGAGCGATGGGAAACATATTACTCAACCGGAACTCACGGCTTGACAGCTTTATCCGCCCATGATTTCATGACTTCCAATTTCCTGCTTCCCGTGTATTCGGTTTTTTGTCCACCAGCAGAGTATAAGAACAGCATGGGGAATCCCTCCACATCTTGTTCTTTACACAACGCTTTGTGGTCGTCACAATTGACCTCTGCGATAGTCAATTTATGCTGCATTTCAGTGGCAAGTTTTGTCCAAACCGGTGCCAGTTTCTTGCAATGACCACACCTGGAACAACCATCTGTCTGTATGCTTGAGATCAATTTCAACATCACGCACCATGGTGCAAAGAATTTGACGAAAATGTTTCCTTCTGCAGCCGCGTTCTTGAATGTTGCAGGTGTCAGTGCAAGGACTTCGCCGTTCGGGTTCAGGTTTATGGAAGGCTCAGGATGGGGTGTGATTTGGTGGTCTTCAGTGTGTGACTTAGCCGAGGAAACAGGGGGTAGCGGTTCGATGGAAGTATGCTTTTGGACGAAGGCAACTAGGCGCTCGCGACTACGACTACCTTTGAAAGTCTCTACCATGCGACCGTCTTGGTATAAATTCATTTGAGGATAACCACTGATACCATTCTCCGTGCAGAGGTCTACAGATATCTGAGTGCAATGACGAAGAGACAATGTGGCAACACTCACCTCCATGAACGGCACAATTCACCTGTGCAAGATGTACACCCGTCCCTGTGTAATCTCCCACGAGCTCATCCCATAGCGGGGCAAAATCTCGACAATGTGGACACCATGGCGAGAAATGTTCTATAAACCTGTATTCCGCCCGAGAATGTGTATCAGTGGCAGCGACCAATATATCAGTGTCCACGCACCAATACCCTTCCGAGATTGTCTGTTTAAAGTTGTCTGGAGTCAGAACCTCCGAAGCAGCAGATTTGGCAGGGAGAGCAGAGCCGGCGAGTGCGAGAGACGCGATGAGTAATGAGCACGGAAAGCGTGCGAGTCCCTTTAACGAGAAGAGCCTCATCTCTGAGAGGCAGAAATGGCCTGCCTGAGTCTAGGGCGAAACGGAATATCGACGAAAGTAGTCTGCAAAGATGGGAAACGAGAACGAGAGAAGTTGGAGGAAAGTGAGTGGTCAGAGCGGATGGCTACTTATGGCAGGCAATGATCAGAGAATACCACGGCAGTACCAGACCGGCTGTGTCCGACATGCACATCGCGTCGGGTCCCACTTGAGTCTCTCCATGGATTGCCACTGCCCGCCCATCAGCCTCTACGATGGTGACAATTCGCTCTATCTCTGTGATCTGAAGAATGTCACGACAGTGCCATGTAGCTCTTGGACTCTATAATGCCGAAGCGCCGGGTCACACAGGCGCAGTTGAACCAAGTCAACAAGGCATTCCGAACTTCCTCCAAAATTGTCGAAGGAAGATGGAAATACTGGCCCAAAATTTCTGTTGAAACAACTGGGTACGAAAGTGGACCCTTCCAGTATTTGCATGACATCTTCAAAGACATCGTCGACGAATGCCGCAAGGTTATCGAAGGAGCCCCCATAGTCGATTTCTTCATCAACACCGGATTGTCTGCAAATCTTACACGCTCGGTTACTGGTTCTCGACCGGATGGCTACCTACTGAGAGTACCACTGGCATCCAAGCCTGTTAAAGATCATCCGTCATCCCCTGCGTCTGCCGAGCGCAAGGATCTGCGGGAAGACATAGCCGTCTCAATTGAGTACATGGAGAATCATGATAGACACTCCCGCACATGTGTCCGTAATTCCTCTCTCCATGAGTTAATAACTGATGTATTCTACCTGTAGAACGAGGACAAGATTATTTGGAGTATGCATCATGTGATGCGGCGCGACCCGTGCCGTCGTTTCACTTTCAGTATCACTATCGAGAACACACATATGAGGGTTTGGCACAGCAATCGCAGCATCATCACTGTGGCCAAAGATTTTGATTTTTTCGGAGTACACCTCGTATACGACGATCACAGTCTAACTGTCTGATCTATACACCTACAGGATCACGATGCATTGATCAAGGTCGTAACATCCTTTGCCTTCGCAAAAGAGGCCCATATGGGTTGGGACCCAACTCTTCGACGACGAACACACGGGGGACAGTATGTTTTCGACATCGACGTTCATGCACCCGAAGGCACGGTCGAGACGTTTACCGCCGACAAGATCATTTACAGCTTTGAAGCTAACACGCGGGTTTTCCGAGCGAAGGCCAGTGACGGCAAGACTGTCGTTATCAAGGATGTCTGGCGAGACCAAAATGGCGTGTGAGGGCGACTTTTTTGATATTTTTATGGACAGCATGCGCCTGGACCCACTCGATTTTGCGACTGCACAGAAGCATTTTCTCCCCGTCCTTTACCACGGTGATGTAATGATTGGTGGTCAGCCGGATCATACACTCGACTGGACTATGCACGCCGTATCCCCCTGTCCTAAGCACGGAACTATTCGGAAGCGAAAGCACGAGGCGAGTACCGGTGATTCATGCCATGTCTCTCATTTGCGAGCGAAGGCACGTCTGTTGACCTCACGATCCGAAGTCATCATCTGCTCACGCCCTCTACTATAGGTGCATTACCGCATTGTCTTCAAAGAGCTCGGAAAGTCTCTCCGTGAGATCCACGATCTTCACGATGCGTTTGAAGCGCTTATAGACGCATTGATGGGTGAGCAGATCATTCAATGACTTGCAATGCATTGTTTCTTGGTTGATCTTTCCATGAAGCACTCAAATTACTACACAAGTATAAATTCGTGCATCGTGGTATCGGTGCCGGAAACATCTTGCTCATCGAAAAAAGAGGTGTGCTGGCGGATCTCGATTCCGCGCAAAGCTTGTCACCGAACTCTTTGCTCAAAGATCCCGTGGTGAGTCTCGTCTATGTGATCTTGATATCCAACTTGGACACTTATCACCCCTTCAAGGGAACATATCCTTTTATGGCCATGGAGGTATCGGTGCGGAGCTATTTCTTCATCCTTCACAAGATGCAGAGCTGGCAAATTGCCCACTGAAGTACAACCCTCTACATGACCTTGAATCACTGTGGTGGGTGTCAGTGTGGACATTGTTTGTGCACGGACTGCAGGAGGACAACGACACCGATCCTTACAAACATTAACAGCAATTCTATGAGCTCTTCGATCGCTATGGGGGAAGTTGCGTCATGGTTCTTCTCGATATCGCATGCCTTCGGAACACCTTCGCCTCCCTTCGGAATACCTTCGCCTCACTCCCGGCACAGTTTCAGGCATCAACTAGGCCCCTGACTCAGGCTTTGGCGCTGATAGTGGAACGATATTGACAGGCAGAACAAGGGCTCACAATCGATGAGCAGGCATTCGAGAATGTACATGACGGATTAGCGGCTCTGCGTTGCCGGGCCAAATCCTTGTTGTCGACAGGGAATATGCCAATCTTGGACGACATCATAGGGCATCCATGTGACCAAATATACTTGTCTGGATCGGAATGAGCTCGCCCGGATCGGAAAACTCACTCATGTGAGGAGGTCGCGGCAGGAACCTCAGTGGAAGACTAGGCCGGTATTCGACCCAGGGGTTACAAGGATCAACCAAGTTAGACATGCCTCGTCGTGCTGCACAATTACCAATCTCAGTTATGGACAGCCTCCTTGCACGTATTATTCTTAAGTTACAGAACTCCTATCCAGCTCGCTGTGCTTGTTATTATGTACAAGAAAATGTATTATATAGGCCGACAGGTCTTCTTCTTCTATGTCGGACGTGATGATTCCGGGCATCATTGACATGGACATCTCAGCGATGAGCACGGAAAGCATGCGAGTCCTTTTAACGAGAAGAAGAGCCTCATCTCTGAGAGACAGAAACAGACTGCCTGAGTCTGAGGTGAGACGAAATATCGACGTAAGCAGTAAGCAGTCTGCAAAAATAGGAAACGAAAACGAGAGAAGTTGGAGAAAAGTGGGCAGTCAGAGCAGACGGCTACTTATGGCAGGCGGAGAACAGTAACGTGGGAAGAACATAAGATGGAAACATACACCTACCCTCACTTCCCACAACACATCTCGATCGTACACGTTGCTCTGTTCACCTCTGTCTCCAATGCGAAGGAAATCAGAGCGCGTATAGTCAAAGCAAGTACTGTTGAAGGACCTGATGGAGATGATGAACGCGAGAATGTAAACTTCGCCTTCATCGATGCAAAGCTGGTGAGTACGACATGTTTCATGGTGAAGCTTCTGACTAGTATGACGAATGGCGACCTCGTTTAGATCACAAGCGAATTACATCTCCAAACCGCTATATATCAGGCTATCCTGGCTAAAGCTCAAGGCGCTCTGCGAACGAGGACAGTCCACTCGGAAATACTGTGGGCTCTGAATCCCAGCAACAATGTATGGCCTATTCCCCTATGGCTTGAGCTGAAAAATTCAGTGTGTTTTGATTGCAGATTACAGAGGCAATCCGACGCTATGGTGTATCGGACACTAGCACTGCTGTGATCGCTGTGCGCATCACGTCGCCTGATTTTCAGGACGTTTCAGGAAAGATGTGTGCGGTCGTGAAAGGCACAATGAATCCCTTGAGCTCACTAGAAGCACTCACGGATTGGTCGGCTGTCAAGAAGGTGCGCCATATTTCGCCTACATATCCACTGCCTTGCGACTAACAGCCTCGCTCTCCCTAGTATCACAAGTTGAACGCGGAAGTAGCTGTGAAGGAGGCAGGTAAAGATACTGCCCGCGAGCGGCGGATCGTCGATAATATCGTTGTGAGCACTGTTGCAATGAAGAGCGTCATGGCCTAGAATCCAACCGAGTCCTCACACCAAACCTCCAAATCTCGATGAAATCACTCTGCCTTGATTCGAGCTCTTGTGTAATGTAAGTAATCGTGTCACAGACACTGGGAGCACAATGGGGGACCTCTGCGAGGGTCCAGAACAAGTTGCAGAGTATCAAGCTATCAGGGTCAGATTCCAATCTACCAATCGAGGATTGCTCCAAACCCTGCGGAATGGCATTTTTTCCCTAAAATCGGTAATGACATCAACAGAAATTGATAGGTATTCTGACCCCTTTGGTTGGAGATGGCAGATCGTCGTTCATTGTTGAAAGCATTGACTGATGGTACTCGCGTTTGGATCTAGCAATTGTTGAACGTTGAAGCTTGAAGCTTGGAGGACCGCCAATCTATCGCGCAGTGATTTTGCAACTGTTTTGCAACTCACAAACATATAGGTCTTTCTTCAAACGTCTTACTTCCGTAATTCCATCTTATGCCTCTACGAACGCCCGATACATGGTCAGCTCTTCCTCCGCCCTGATCTCGATCTCTAATCCTGCAGACACAAAAAAGACGTAGCCTTCGGACACGTCCAGCTGTCCTTCTGTCCAGCTGATCTTGCCTTTCCCGTTCGTCACGATCACGATGCTTGGCCCATTCACCTTCGGATGACGTTCTTTGTGGTCTTGTGGCAAAACGACTTGCACAACAGAAAAATCGGGGATAGGAGGGTCATAGAGGGTGGAAAATGAAGTGGGTGATTGGGCGGGGAACGATGAGGGCTGTACCCGATGCTTCGTCCATGGCGCAGCTGTATATGTTAATCCGGAGACGAGGTTGGGCACGTCGCGCAATTTCGGTGTCAGCCCTGCTCGGATGACATTGTCTGAGTTCGCCATGCATTCCATGATGTCTATCGTATGCATCGTTTGCTCAGCTCTTGGTGGAAAAAGAGGTGTTTCACTCACCACCAGAAATATATGCATGCGGCTCTCCTGCGCCGAGGAATATCGCCTCGCCCGGCTTCAACTGCACGTAATTGAGCATGAATGCACAAAAGACGCCAATATCTCCAGGGAACTGCTCGTTCAATGTCAAAACCAAATCCTTGATGGTTCTTTCCTCGGCATGCTCCTTTCCGATAGAATATCTCTGTATAAGCATGTCGAGCTGAAATTTGATATCTGACTCGTTGGTTGTCATAACGGCTGAGAAAACATCTTTCAAAGCAGATTTGGCTGAGGGATCGGTGGGATCAGAAGAGCTCTGAATATCCTGGAAGGACTTCAAGATGGAAGGCGGGACAAGAGCCGAGAACTCAGGCACGACACTGAGGAATGCGGCGATCTGAGGTAGAGGTAGAAATCCACAGAGTGCGGTGAACGGTGTCAAGGCAAGAGCCATCTCAGGCTTGTGGTTTGGATCTGCGTAGGCAGGGAGACCAATGTTAAGAAGCATGAAGGCGTAGATGGCCCACAGCTGGAAACTTACCTACCCTTGTAGATGTCTGGTTGCTTGGCATGCAGTTTCTCTGCCGTCTTCTTGTCTGGGTGGCTCTGAATGCTCAGCGCTTTCTCGATAGCGAGCACCTTGAACAAGAATGGGAGATTTCCATCTGAAGCATCGAAACGTTCGATCACGCTCTGCCCAACAAGGTCTGGATGCGCTGCAAGGTATTTGCCAAGGGGCTCGCCAGTAGATGCCACAAGGGAAGGGGATGTGGGGTGTGTGCCCATCCATAGCTGCAGATCACAGGATTCTCAATGAGAACATCACATCTCTTCGAAGTGTGGATGAAACAGCGCACCTCAGCATAGGACGCATCCTCTCTGGTAGAAAAGTTCGGCAAAGCGGCAGCTTTTGCAAACTGAGCGACTTTGGAGGAGATACCGCGTTTTCCCCAGTCATACTGCTGCACAGTAGGGGAGACTTGAAAGACGGGTGGAGAGGATGGCATTGTAGGGCTCGAGCTGGCGTCGACGCCGTTGCTCACGACAATACATACGACGGTCGGGACCACCGATGACGTAGGTCGGCGTAGGTCGGCAATTTATCGGGTATTCATCGCTCTTCCACACCTCTACGGCTCGGACCTACAGTATCAGCCAAAGATCAGCAGCAATCTTCGATTGAATACGGTCACCCACGAGCAACATGAACAGGTCAGGCAATCGCGCTCAATGGTATACTAGAGCCGTACTGAACAACGTGACTACAGAGGACCAATAGTTCTGGTGAGTTCAAATATTTTTCTTATGCCCCGAAAGGCATCAGCAACTTCAGCTGGCATCCGTCGTTCTAGACCATAGATGAAGCCGAGGTGATTTATTGAAGCCATATACCTACATAGGAAACTTCTTTGACAGAATTCTCCACTAGTACCTCCTAGATCAATTGGTACGATGCTGCACGCTGTATATGAACTCTTCTACTGACGAACGTCTCTCCAGCCTGCCCCCTCTGCGGATGACGATAAGATATTGATTCGGCTTCGCCAGCGTCTGCGAGACCTGCTTTCCAACTTGAGGGCGGGCGCCGAAGGAACTGGCGTCACGACTGAGAACACTGCATAAATTGTAGACGCAACCTCACATGGATTTGGTGTCTCAACCTCCTCAATAGAATGGGCGCCTGTCCAATAACAAACCCATTGTGTATCATGGGAGAATTTCAACCAATCCCATGTCCGCAACGCTCGCTCCCGCCTATCTTTCGAAACTTATGTCATTTCTAGATCGTACCCTTTTAGTGCGTAAAGACCCTCTTCACAGATACCTGACAGATGCTGTACCGTGGTGACGTTCCCAGGGTCTGAGAAGTGCTTTGGTTCTGATCGCTCACTTAGTATGAGGGAGATACCCTTTCCTAGGATTCTGAATTGCTCTTCAAGGAAACACGTCAACCACTAATTGCGATACTCAAACGATTCCTACATCATAGGGCGATGATCAGATTACTCGCGCGCGCGTTTCCCTCCACATAACGCCAGTCAGGCAGCCGTCACAAGCGTGTAAACGAACTGCCACTGCAGAGCAAATGCTCCACGATGTCACATTTGCATAGAAGCTCGAAGCGGTATGTGCCCAGTGCTCTCAGCCGTAACCAAGATCTATTTCCATTTGAAGAAAGCCGATTTCCTCGAGAAAAACTTGATGGCACTGTCAAAGTACCGGATTTTCATTCTCCTTTCGTATCAGATGCGGAGGCTGTGGATCTTGATCAAAGGACTATCCACAAGTTTGCAGATATCCCCAGGTTCACGACCATCATAACGCAGAAAACCCAATTGTCGTAGGTTTCACGAGAGTCATACTTCTGGGCTTTCACGGCCTGTTCCACTCATACGAACGAGTATGCGATGATTCACACTGGTCCACCGACACGCATTGGGGCGGTATCCTTCGAAGCGTTCGAACAACGCGCCGCAACGACCTGTCGCAGGTTCGATCATATCGCATGCATGTGATGGCTCTGTCAAAGCAATGACTGTTTTTTTGCCGTTCTTCCATCACAGCCTATGGGGCCAAGCTTGAACTGATCCGATCACACGTCTGCAACTCTTGCTGCAGAAAGTATAAAAGACCTCAACTTCTGCAGATGGTCCCTCAGCAGCGCTCTCTTCAACCACCAACGGTACTGGTTACCACTTGAGTCATTCGTATTCTTGCACTCTTTTCGCAGTCATCGGCCTTTCATCCTCTCGTCAAACGAAGTTTTCCACCACATCAGACTGTCCCTGCGTCATGCGTTGCCTTGTCATTTTCGCCCTTGGCATCGCGGCTGCAGTGTCTGCGCTGCCGATACAAAGTGGCTCACAGTGAGCAAGAATTTCGATTATGATATCACTACGACTCACCGAACTCCCCTAGGGCCAGATCCGAGGACGTCACTACTTTGAGTCATAATACTCCAATAACGTGCGTGAGCGTGACACTTGCATCAATTCTCTGATAAACCGCTGCATCTGCTGTTACCGCGACAGGGAGCGTCGAGGGAACCATGAAGGCGACGACAAGCCAGCCGAGCTTTTTCACTTCCCTGACATTGGAAATCCGATTGCGCCTTTCGTCAATGGCTTTGATGGTGATACTGTAGACATTCCTGGCGTCTTCCTAAAGCCCTAAAGTAAACATTCCTTTTTTTCATCCGAACCATGCTCAAATGCAGTTCAGGTTCACTGAGCGCTCAAGCCGTCCGGAGAGAGCCTTGCGGTTTACTGTACATTGCATGAATTCATGGACTTGCAGCATATGTACATCTCGCCCCCAACTTACCCTAGCCTCGGGAATGGCTCGAATACGAGGCACCGTTCATTCATCGATCCAAATCAACACTCACCACGCACTAGAATCTTCCCGTCATTGTGGCGTCAACTGCAATCCTTCCAAGTGATCAACGACGGCGATACCCTCATGCTAACCAGTTCACAAATGGCGTGCACGTCAAGTCTAACAGATATAAACCTCACAGCAACGAAACATATTTCTCAGACTACTTTACATACACGGTCGACCAAAAACTCAACATGCCATACGTGGGGTCCGTTCCCTTTACTCTCACCTCAGTATACGACGCGTTTAAAACTTGATGCGCGAGACCTGCTCCCAGAAACTCTTGCCCTGAATTGTCGCGATCTCCAACTCAAGCGCAGAAGGCTGGCGTGACCCATCGCCACCCGCGAGAGTACCAGCACCCCAAGGAGAGCCTGTGGGTGAAGAGTCAATGGATCGAGACGATGATCAGAAAAATATGTCCACAGTGAGAATGATGCGAAACGTGGTGCAATAGAGAACCATATCATCAGTTCGTATCCATAGCTTTACACGATGTTCCACCAATGGCAAGGGCTTACGATGATGGGAAAGAGTCAAAAATAGAGAAAGTATGGAATGGTAACAAGAGTTCCAGAAGTGTAGCGTGACGGAAACGAACGGGTAGATTGTTATGAGAAACTCACCGCCGTGGGCCTCGCTCAAGCTGGTAAGCTGCGCGAAAGCGTGCTTATAGCCGAGAGGCACAAACGATATTCCATGATGGGCGAGGGTCGACATCGCAGCGATGGCGGTGGACTCTTGCCCTCCGCCAAGGCCGGCGGTAGAGATAAAGAGGCCGGCAGATTTGCCGTAGAGTCCGCCTGACGCCCACAACTGACCAGTCGCATCCCAGAAGGCCTGACCACGAAAAGGAGAGGTCAATAAGATTGTGAGGTGGTGAGATAGGGGGTGATAGCATACCTTCCATTGAGCAGGGAAATTGCCGTACCGAGTGGGCACGCCGAACAAGAAAGCATCGAACTTGACAAGGTCGGCAGGGGCGAGGATGGGATAGTCAGGCTTGGCAGGCGCATACATCTTCTTCAAGACTTCCTCAGGAAGGGTTTCAGCGATCCTATGAGACAATCCATGGTCAGGGGCGACCCTATGATGGGGAGATCACGGGGAGCGTACTGGTAGATAGTAGCTTGTCCACCGGCCGACTCGATACCGCCCTTGATGGCCTCTGCGACTGTTGAAGACATCAGATGTGACCTACTATCTGGAAGAAGAAATAAGACGAACGCTTTGCGATGTGGCCGTAGAGAGTATAAATGACGATCGCGACTTTGGGAGACGACATGGTAGACTCGATAGCTGTGTGAGGCTGAACAGATGGAGTGGGTTGAGAGGTCGAAGCTGGAGGAGCAGATGAGGACCCTGCAGCGTTAGATGTACCGGCGGTGGTTGGAGCGGACTTTGATTGTGCAGGCTCTTCGTCCGCGAGGACCCTTCCCTGCTTTTTGGACGGGAAACACATTGATAATAGAGGGAAGTATGTGGTCCTGTGGCGCCCAGACCGCTGCTCCAAGAAGGGGGATCCAGTCAGCAAAAAGCCCGCTTAGTTATATAGGGTAGCTGGCGCTCAGGAGTGCGATACTCGCGAATGCCATTCCAGAACGTCCTATCAACGCTCTACACCCGAACCTGTCAGCTATAGTTCGAATGCAGAAGCCGTCGTGGAAATCTGTTGCTCCAAAGGTGAGATAAAGTCAACACATATGACCGACACCCAACCCTCAACGCACCTTTTTTAGTCTCCCGTCCAACAAGGATGAGGTCAAGACCGAACATGTTCTGGGGTTAGGTCTTGCTGAGCAATTTCTCATTCCGGCGACTTCTTATGTATCCGCGCCCCCGCCACAACAACTGACAGTAAGCTATTCATTTCCTACGGGACGAGCGCACTCAGCGCACTCAGCGCACTCATCCACAGTCTGGATGGCATAGTGGCATAGAAAGCATGCCGCCCCGTCCACAGCCGGTTCCGCCAGCCCCCGACTCCCCACGTTCATCCCAATCGCCTCCTCCGGAAGGTGTACAAGGAGACCTCGAGCTTGAGCTCCTTGGGCTCGCCAATGCCCTCTACAATCTCGGCACCACAGTCGTCAATGATTCCACCAAAGAAAAAGACAAGGTGGGCGGCGGGAAGCAGGTCGGACTTCGAGTGTAAGCATGATTAGATTTTCTCCGCTCAAACACAGTTGGATCCACTAGCATACCCATCAGAAACGAAGTCATCGCACACTTGTCTAACATAGACGACATGGCCCAACACGTCCAAACCATGATTCCCATGCAGGTGTTGACCGACATCGATAGCGCACGCAACCCCTTCCACCTTACGAAGGACCGACTAGAGCGCGCTGCGACCGAGAACCAGTTCATGAACGGGAAAATTGCCTCTATCAGCGTGAGCTAAGCTTCCGGGGCCCTCTGTCTAAATTTGACTCAGAAAGTTTATCTTCCCCTCTTCTCTACTAGTCTTACTGTCAGCTCCTCAATGAAGCATTGCTTCAGAGTTTTCCCGAAGTGACCGAGCATCTAGAACCCCTCCCACCTTCGTCTCCTGTCAAGCAGTATGTGAACGGAAGTATGGCTAACGGAGCTTCATAGATATGTTTCCTGTCATTCACCGATGAGGGCTGTACGACGTTCAGCCACCAATATGGAATGCTAGCACCTGCTCGCCCACACCATCTGACTCCGTGCCTGGGCTACTCGAAAAGCCTTATTACACCAGAAATAGCGTTCTCAGTTCATCTAATAGCGTTTTCAGTTCATCCAACAGCTTACAATAATACATAGCTAGCTCACGGCGCTGATCGAGAACAACATAAAATAAAACAATAGAAAAGTCATACACAAAAGAATCATTTTCCCCTTACAGCGCGTCTTCAAATAACAATTTCCGTGGTTTGCTGATCGTAGGTGCTGGCGAGTACAACGCGGGCCTGGGCAAAGTAAAAGATTTAGTCGAAAAATACAGTCACTGAAGTTGCCACAAAACACACATTGATGTGCCACAATTAGCAGCAGGATTACCCATGATAATACTCTCTGACACGCCGGCAATGCTATCAGTCTTGCCATATGCCGACGCATCAAACAGATGATCTGTCGTCTTTTCGAACGAAGCCAGCATGAGAACGCTGTCCTTCATCTTCGCAACGCCGAAACGAGTTATGCCCAGAACTTCTCCCTAGTTGTTAACACCACGGGCTTAGTGAACAATTGTACAAATCTAAACATATGAGCACCCACCTTGTAAGACATGACATCTCCAAGTAGCATGACATGTCGAGGGTCAATACTCATGGAATGGCTCTCCATCGTATACTGAATCTCGTTGATGATCGTTCTTCTAGCCGCTTCGATACCCAGGACTTGAGCGACCTCAATGACGTGGTTTGACGACGTCTGCTCCCCAATAATACCTAACAAGGAAGAGGCCTTGAACACTCGAGCCAGTCTCAAAATGATCGTGCTGACCTTCTGTCACCATGGCCTTCTGCAAGCCATATCCTTCCACAAGCAACTCCTTGTCGCCTTTCTTCCCTCGAGCGTCGTCTTTTTCCTTGACATTGATTACTGCACGTGCGATGGTTGGAACGCCCTGGAAATAACTTCCATATTCAGTATGTCTGGAGTACGGGTGCGGCAGCTATATACCTTCACTACGACATCAGGGAGCACCCTCTTCAACTCCCGCAGGCGATAATACTTGTCTTGACCGTCTACATAGATGCGCAATCGATTCTTCCGGGGAATGATTGTGATAGACTACCCCCGAATAGTTATTTAGTCGGCGTCGTAATCTGATGCATATGGGGCTTACTTCCTGCTTGATCTTGAGCCTCTTCGCAGCCACGATGGCCCATTTGATATCGTCGAGGGTGAGCTCAAGCTAGATACCAAGAGGTATGGGCGTAGATTCCAAGACGATCAATGGAGCTGACTGACCTGCAACTTTTGGATACTCGTCATATCGATTATGACACCGATATATGTGTACTCTGGAGCCCATGCTTCTTCAAGGACAGAGGCAATCTACATATAACTTGAGCTCCGGCAATGACACCAAGTATAAAAGTACATACATCACCTAAATGCGTTTTCTCCAGCCGGCCCTTCACGATTCGTGCTGAAGGTTCGGAGTCTGCTGTCACTAGCTTACAACTGATGATAGGAGTGCTGATGACTTTGGCTGCATTTATGATTTCTTTTATGCGGGGAACACCAAGTGTGACGTTCATGGATGCGACACCCGCAAAATGGAAAGTTTTAAGCGTCATCTGGGTTCCCGGTTCACCAATGGACTGTGCTCCAACGGCTCCGACCGTGGAACCTATCAAATAATGAGCTACGCGGAACTTTGTAAAAATAGAGCAACTCACCTGGCTCGATCTTGGCCTTGACGTATTTTGTCCAGCAAATATTTAAAAATGCCAATAGTTGGTCCTCCGTAACCTTCGCTTTGTTATCGACGATAGCCTTATCCGCCGCTGTTGCAAAAATCCAGTTTGAAAAGCCCGCAGAGCGTCGGACGCGAAGTGCTTACCGGATGCACCCATGGACAGATCAGTATCAGCATCCCACTCGTCATCACGTTCCAGAGCATCAAACATGCCGCGGCTCTCGCGAACCTCAGCCAGACGCTTGGCGACGTGTTCTTGTATGAATCCACGAACAGTCGAAATATAAGCAGCTGTACACTCGCTGACAAACCTTGGCTGCGATAGCTCCCGATTGACAATCTCCAAGATTTCGTAGGGGAGGAGACCATGCGATGAACGAGAACCGATGGACTTAAGATGATCAATATCAGCTGCAGTGCGCAGGGACAACCAGTCGTACGTACAGCTGCATGCTTCCAGGCCCTAACAAATTCAACAGGCTGAGCATCACCCTCCAAGCAGGCGGGATCAAGCCCATCATCTCCATATGTGAATTGTACAACACCACCAGTTCCGTTTCGGACGGACAGATCATACTGCGTCGTCAAGTCTTCTAGAGCCTTCATCAATCGCCGTTGCATATAACCGGTCTCTGCAGTCTTGACTGCAGTGTCGACTAGACCTTCACGACCAGAAATAGCGTGGAACAGAAACTCAGTGGGCGTTAATCCTGAGTAAAAGCTGTTCCGAACGAATCCTTTTGACGGTGGCTCCCTCGATTTTTTGGGAAAGTGAGGCAGGGAACGGTCCTGGAAGCCATCGGGAACACGATGCCCGGCGATAATTTGCTGTCCCACACAAGCAACCATCTGCGAGACGTTGATGACGGAACCTGTCGAACGGCATTCAGTAAATTTTCTGCGATCGTTGACAGAGGTGTGACCCACCCTTGGATCCGCACGTGGCCATGATAAGAGGTGCGTTGTGCCGGCTCAGCTCCTTCATACAGATTTCACCGACCTCGTCACGAACTTTCGATAGCACAGAAGATATCATAGCTTCCAATGTTTGTTCTTGATCGCATCCAGCCTTGTTCTCTAGCTTACCCTTCTTCGCTAGCGCAATGAGATCTTGACATTTCTCGTACGCCTGTTCAACAAGCTTGTCCTTCTTCGCAAACAAGATTGGGCCCGGAATGACATCATTGATACCTAAGGAGAAGCCGAAATTTGCTGTACAATAAACAGATGGTGAGCTCGTGTAAAACGAAAGCATTCCAGTGATCACGCACCAAGCCATCTTGCACAGAGCTTTGCCACCCGATTCATGGCTGCCGCCGCTTCGTGCGGTCCATAATCTCTCATAATAACGCCAAATACCGACTTCTTTTTGCCGCTCCCAATAGTTGCCTTGTCCATGACACCACACATGATCTCGCTGTTCACAATGACTAGCCAACCGTCGTTGGGAGACATATCCGGCGCTACCTCCTTCATTGGATAGAGGGATTGATTAGGTTTTTGTTCCTTGTTGCACTTCGATTCGACGTTGACGAAAACGTTTGATTGTTTGTTCGGTCGCATTAGCACATTGAAGACCTGTTTACCAGTCCAAAGGCGCGTTGGTTTCCAGATCGTTGGTGGTGGAATGTCAATCTGGAGGTTGGCATCCGCAAAGTAGCAGCATATCTGCGTGAACTGCCGGCGGTCAAAGAATTGATTGCGGTGCGAGATGAGCCACGCAGCGGTAATGAAGTCTTGAATGGCAGCGATGACTGGTTCTCCATTGCGGGGAGTGACCATGTTGTGTTTCACACTCATGAGTTCCAAGGCTTCAGTACGAGCTTCTTCGGTCTGTGGGACATCTTGTTTGAAAGCAAGTCAGCCACAAGAACGGTAGGACATAGGATAGATTTCTGACGCAAGTTCATCTCATCACCGTCAAAGTCTGCGTTATATGGGCCACAAACACACTCATTTAACCGAAAAGAGCGCCATGGTCTAACCTTGACCTGAAAGAATGGGATCAGGAAGTGCCCTCCAGAGAGTGCTGGCTGAGAGGGACGAACTCGATGACACATGATAGACAACTAAACAATAGAGTTAAATCAAGCTCATAATATGCCTTAAATTGGACGCTCACCTTATGCAAACTAGGTTGCCGATTGAACAGAACAATATCACCATCGATGATATGCCTCTCAACCACGTCTCCAAACCTCAATCCATCAGCGATCTGTGCTCGGTTTCCAAACTTCAAATATTTCTTGAACCCGCTGCTTCCAGCTGTAACGTAATTTGCACCGGGATGTACATCGCACCCGTTCCGAACTGCCTTCTTGAGTTTCTCGATGTTAAACGTCGTAACGCGCTCGGGATAAGTCAGAATTTTTGCGACCCGCTCCGGCACAGCGACTTCGTCAATTCGCAGGTTGGGATCTGGAGAAATAACTGTGCGGCCAGAAAAGTCGACACGTTTCCCTGACAGATTACCACGGAAGCGGCCCTGTTTGCCTTTCAGGCGTTGGCAGAATCCACGAATCGGCTTTTGGCCCATTTGCGAGGGTACGCCTGGTAATTCTGAGTTGATGTACATCGCGACGGACAGTTGAAGGAATTCCCATTGTTCCTAATGAGGTCTGATGATTACAGAGACGAGTGGAATAATGAGGTATGAGCGCACCATCAGTTGTGGAGTCGGAGCGCCTTTTGCTAGACCCTGTTTTATCAGTGCATTAGTGAACACGATCTCCGTCAGTTTCACTGTTAAGTCGTCCTCGTTAGACGCGCCATCCTGGGCGACGGACGGTCGAATGCAAACTGGCGGAACAGAAATGTACTGCCAAACGAACTCCTCTGGTCGATTATATGCAGGCCGCAGCCCAAGCAACTCGCAATCCTAATCATGGCTCAAATATCACCTTTCATTATCAGAACTTCGATCACATACCTCGTCCGAAATCCTCTTGAACAAATCTAGCACCTTCAAAGGGTTCAAGTCCTCGTGCACCGCCTTGTTAATATACATTCCCAGCTCTTTTTGTGCTTCAACTGCTGGAATAAATGTTTTTTTCCACTTCTCCATCTCTTCTGCCGTCTTCTTTGCACGGAATTTGTCATGGATGATTTTCATCGCGCCGACTTTCTTGACAGCACCGTTTGTTGCAGAGCAGTAGGGGCAATACACTACTTTGCGTGCGGAAGTGTTGACAGCTTTGTTGAGGGCCTGTCGATGTACATTCTCGAGGTTTGGGCGACGAAACCGCTTGAGATAGACACGCCGGTCGGGCTCTTCTAGAAGGACTCGAGCACACGTCTAAGAGAGCGTATGAGATGTGAACTTGATTGCAACCGCAACAAGGGAAGACGGACCTTGCATATACACTGCAGGATACCGATGGTATGCTTGAAGTACCCGATGTGGAACACGGGTACAACAAGTTTGATGTAGGCATAATGCCCTACACAGTCAACAGATTTGAGGCCACACGTCTCGCAGAACGCATTTTTCTCTGATGTCCCCTGTGGTCACCACGATTGTCTGTGTCAGGACGCGACGAGCAAATAGGGTTTTTCGGCGCACCAGTCGTCGATCCAGAACACCGTCTTTCACAGGTTGCCTATCCGTGGGTGTATACAGGTCTCTATGTGTGACCTGAAATTCTGATAGTTTTACAACATTTTGAGCGTTCAGCGTGCCGAACTGCAACTGCTTGCTGCCATTCACCGTCAGACCCCGATATCTGACACGACAGATTGAGAGCTTACATGACCTTCGGCGCGTTATGCGTGACTGTCTCCTTCATGTACCCGCACGCAGCAAACGGAGTGATACAAATTCTGAGTTAAAGAGCACAAGCAGAGGGGAGTCAGACCAAGAGCTTGGGTGTGCTCGGCGACTGGCGGATTTCCGAGATTTCTGCCTGATCTAATCTATGCGCACACGTGCTGGTCTTTCCCACGAGTGATGAAGGTGCACGCGTCGCCGACTTGCGCGTCCTCCTGCAGCTCATCCAACCCATCCCGAACCATGTCCAGGACATCCTACGACAGGTATGGGACAAGTTGCCGATGTAACGAAGCAGATCTAACTTGGACCATAGATATCTCACTGTATTCTCGCCGGAAGGCCGCTTGTACCAAGTCGGTGCGCTCACCGAACGTCCTTACACCTTCCACAGCGATCACTCATGTATATGATTCACGCACATCTCCAGAGTATGCATTCAAGGCCATCTCTGGATCGGGACATACGTCGGTTGCTGTACGTGGAAAGGACACCTCTGTTGTAATTATCCAGAAGAAAGTCCCGGTGCGTCATCTCTCCCACGTTCACTGGCCACACCATATTCTACTCTCATGTCCCTGACGTCTTGCTTAGGATAAGCTCATCGACGCATCTACTGTCACTCATCTCTTCAGCATCACCCCCTATATTGGCTGTGTCATGACGGGTCTCATAGGTACGCCCCAACGTCGCCATGCATCTAAGGTTGAGACTAATGCTTCAAATGCAGCTGACGCAAGAGCACAAGTCGCGCGCGCTCGCTCGCACGCTGCCAACTTCCACAAAGACTTTGGTTACGAGATCACGCCGGACGCGCTCGCCAGACGAATGGCCAACCTCAACCAAGTATACACCCAACGCGCAGCCATGCGCCCTTACGGAATTTGTACATCCCCTTTTCCATATTCACACCAATCTCGGAAGTTCTGACCTGTCATTTCAGCTATGATCCTTATCGGTATTGACCCTGAATTTGGCCCGCAAGTCTTCAAGCTTGATCCTGCAGGGTACTTCGTCGGCTTCCATGCAACCGCCGCTGGGCAGAAGCAACAAGAAGCGATGAACCATTTAGAGAAGAAGTGGAAGAAATTGGATAACGGGCGGGGTGCAGATGATGCGATTGCCGCAGGCAAGACACTCAACAGGGCAGCAGTCATCGAGGTGTGTTGATATCCCAATGCGTGTGGTGCTAGGCACACGCTGCGCCTCCTTCAAACTGGAGTACCGGTCAGCGAACTGACGGTTGGTGGACTAGATGGCGATCGAGGCGCTGTCAACAGTATATGCGTCGGACTACAAAGCCGGTGAAGTCGAGATTGGGATCGTATCGACCAGCGAGGATGAAGACCCTAAGACACGCGGCAAATGGCGCAAAATGGACGAAGCGGAGGTCCAGCAGTACCTGACAGCGTACGCAGAGAAGGACTGAGTAATTCCAGATCGCAATGCATACCTTGTACTTTTTACACTGTCGGGGTCAGGAGAACCGATAAATCATTGAGGCGACGGCTCTAAGATTGTCAGATGTATAGCAGCGTATTTCGGCAGTGCCGGTAAATGTCGGGATAGACGTCTACTATCGGAATACAGAGGCTCCTCCACTCTGGGGAACACACGTGAAGTATTAGAACATTCCTGTACAACCAACACGACACGCACCAGGATGGCATCAATCTCTGAATCTTCTATCTTCCTGATTCTGGGTTGCCAGACCCAACTCGGGGCCTCCCAGAACTCTCCGTACACCAATTTTGCGTTGCCAGAATGTGAAGTTTCGTTTGCAGAGCTCTCATACTTCTTCAGAAATTCAGAAAACGAAGCTTGGTACTGTGCCGGTGCTGCCGGGTGAGGACGCTGAGGATTTGGTGCTGGGAGTAACTAGTCAATAGAAGAGCTGACGGCAAGCATTATGAGCTTACTCGCTGGCCATTTGCGCTTTCCAACAAATGAGATGAGTGGTTTGCGGACGTGCTCTGAGAGCAAACGTGCAGATGTGTGCATGATGTACGAGAGGAACACCGTTGTGTGGAGCACTTGGCTTGCGTTCTTCGATCACGTAGCATGGCAGAGCCCGGCCCGGCGGAGTCCGGTCCTGAGTGGATCCGGATTCTCGGCACCACTCAATGCTCCAACATCCATCGTGGAAGAAGACAACTAGTATCACTGATCTGGACGTCTTTTGGTCTCTGTAGGTAGGAGGCTACTGTGTACAAAGGCTAAATTTTATGACTGAGGGGAGGGCGCCCTCAGCTGTTCCCGCGCCTCTTTGGCTCTAAAGCCCAGCAAATTCGTTGATTTCCGCCCGTTGTTCCGCGCCTTCTATCATCTTTCTCGGCTTCTGTGTAACAGAATACCAAGCATCTGGTCCAAACTGCAACCTCAGAGTAAATCTGCTGGGCCTGAGACACCTCAAATATCGGTTGCGCCGTTTTCTCTTTGTTGCGCATCAGGGTATCAGTCTCGAGCATTGTGTGGAACCGTAGCGACGGCGTGTCACCGATGTACGGTGAGTGCTATGGAATTTTATCCGCGTTGGAGATGAGTGATGTCCCAGATTCTCCTGGCTCGATGATTGCCCCACGGATGTTCCAATCAAGTAACATCTCACCCAGCAAGGCTTCCGTGATGCCTTCCAAATCTCTACGACAAGGATAAATTGACTGGCGAAACTTTAACGAGAACACGAAGGAGAGGCATATCAAACTTTCCGGTCGAGTAGTATGGGGTTGGCCCACATATTCCCCGTAGGATGAAATATCGAGTATTGAGGACATCCTCCATGATGCTGTGGATTAGATTAACATCTCTGAAGAGTTTGACAACCCGAAGCGGGAAACGTGCTGGATATCACCGCTCACTCACTCCTTCATCACATGGACAGGCTCCCAGAGCAAGACTTCTATTTGATTGCGCCCCGGAATCGCTTCTATCTTGCCGACCACCGAATGTTAACAATGACATCCGGCCTTCGAAATTCCTCCTTGATTTCAGCCAAACCATCCGTGGTCTTATCAAAGTCTGTCACGTCAAGCGGAAGAACAAGCAGCTAGTCCGCTCCATATTCAATCCTTAAGTCCATCAGCTGGGTAGGTTTCGCGCTATTGCGACGACACACTCGTTAGACTCCAGCACGACCGTAGCGGGCGCCTTCCCCAGTCCAGTGGAGGTTCCAGTGACTACGAAAAGCTGGCGATTATGTCTGTGTTGGATGATCTAGGATTTACCCACACGCGAGAATTGGCCACTGAGTTGGCCATAGTCTACGAGCTTGAACGAGTTAGAAGGGTGCAATGTGATGCGGGGGAGCCACTCATTCCGCAAGAGTAATCCCATTGGAGTGGCCCCATTACTCGCGGAGTTGATGGCCATTCGTTATGTTGTATTCATGTTCAGATTAAACGGCGATCAGACCGAGGTTCAAGTGCAAAGATCTAGCGTTACATAGACTCAGTAATACAACGGTAAGACAAAATCAAGTCAAACATGAACAAGTTCCGCACTCTAGATCTACCATTCCTCCATTTCTTCGTCTGGCTCCCCATCCAGAGGCGGCCAGAACGCTTTGATCTCCTCGAATACATCCCCCCCACTTCCCACTTCTTTGTCACCCGTCGTACCGACGACCCATGCCTCAGGGTGCCTCGCCTTGTGCACCTCCACGGTCCTGAGAAACAGCGACTCCGCTGCAGTACTGGCAGCATCCGCACACTCTGCTAAATCATATGGGATGGATGGGCTGACAAGGATTGTTGGTGGCGTATTGGATGTTGCTGGAGTGGGTGTGAGCGTTGGGTGTTGAGTATAATACATCGTGAACAGCGGGTCAGAGGCCAATGTTGCTTCAGAGTCGACACTGGAAGAGGATGAAGACTTTGAGAGGGAAATGATTGCATCGAGGTAAGGTTTGAGGATCGTTTCGGTGGACGCTGATGAGTTGGAATTCTCCAACAGCAAGGAAAGGTAGGCGATATCTATCGTATTGAACATCAATCACACGATCAAGTTGCAAATACAGACGAAACGAGTTTACATTTGCCCTTTGGCGCGGACATACTGCCCTCGCCGGTGATGAATGCATGTAGAGCGACGGTATCTGACCCGTCTGCTATAGATGAAGGGGGGAAGACGATGACCGACGTATCGATCGGCTTATCATGGGACTGCGTCGGTCCTTCCTCTGTCTCCGTGCTACTTTCCGTAGTTTCGGGCGTTAGTGTTGCAGGAAATTGCGGCGGGGCGTCAAGGATAGCGATGCATCTTGCGACCGACTGCGTCATCGACGGTCCTTGCGCAGGAGGTACAGAAGATATCTTCCGTAGGTTCTCTGGTAGGAGGTCGGGGGATGAAATGATGAGATCAGTTGTGAGATGTTCAGGAAAGTCGTCAAGATCAACTACATATCTGCCCTTGTCGTCTGAAGGATCTTCGGTTTCTGTCGGTTGAGTGATCGAATTGACCTTCCGGCCAAGTATGTAAACACCACCATTTACAGCGGATACACGACAGAACCCTTGAGCAATCTCTCCTAACCCGCCGTAGTGACCTACAAGGAATGGCGAAGCCCCATAACGGCCAGATGAACGAAGGTAACGCCGCAACCGTGTCAAAGCAAGAAGTGTTTGATCTGGTATGCGTAAGTGACGTCTGAAGTGACATGAAGACAGTAAAAAAGCGGCACCTTCGGGTGACACACAGAATGCCAGTGCATACGCGATCGCTTCTGAGACCTGCTGTTCCAAAGACCACACGTCCTTTAGGAACGCAAGGAACGGTACCTCGGTCTTGCCTTGTAGCTCCGAGCTATTCTCGAAATCGCCAGACGCAAACAAGAGAAAACGCATTAGTCTTCGTTTTCCGACCAAGCTCATCTCCTTGGACTTGAAGACGTCCTCCTTACTCCCCGGCACATTTCTGATCCCTGTCGCGCGGTCATATATTCCGACCCTCTCGAGTAGTCTGTAGCCACCGTATCGTGAAACTCCAGAAGCAACGAGAGAAGAGATGAGTGATCCGGTAGAGGGGATGAGAGACGGGCAGAGTGATATCGAATAATGCCTTGCATGGTCAGGTATCACAGACGAGTGCTGGACGGACGTGTACTTAACACGTTGTGAGGTCATATATGGCGAGGCGTTTTGAGGAGACAGTCGCTGGTCTGCCCATTGTATGAGTTCCTCAGGGGAAAGGCTGGCCTCATCTCCACCATAGTATGGGTTCACATCGAGGTGCGCTACTTTGAAACCTGCTTTAGAGAGTGCTCTAGAGTTGTTCAGTCTAGTGTGGCGGAGGCTGAAAGAGCCAACTCACGCAGCAGTCATGGATTCAACAAGACCTGTTCCAAGAACAACGACATCAAAATCTCCTTCCCCCATTGCCATCCGTTGCTTTAGGTTGTGTAGAGGAGACTCGAGTCCGCCTTTGGAACTTGACAAGTCCAAACAGGATCGGATAAGTCAGCATAATTACGTAATATTTGATCCGGTCAAATTTTCGAAATGGATTCTTTTTTCCTCTTGTTCTCAGCCACTTCCTCCCTTTTCCTTCCACCTGCTCCCTCCCCCACATTCACAATGGGCAATTCCGTGGACAAGAAATCTTCTTCGAAAAAGACTGTCAAGGCTGACAAAAAGGTCAAGGCCGATACCAAGCCTAAGGTCGACGCAAAAGTCAAGGCCGCAGCCCCTACGAAAAAGGTCGCGTCTACGAAGCACCAAGTACCCGCTTCATCCAAAGAGATTCTTGCGAAGGCAAAGACCGTCAGTGGGATTGCTTTTTTATTGTTTGCTTTTAATTAGACTTCGCATTCAGGCCGCCAAGGATGATAGTGAGGAATCCTCAGAGTCTGATTCTTCAGAGGATGTGAAAAAGCCTATTGTGAAAAACGGAAAGGTGATTGCGACCCATGGATTCATTGACCCCTCTCTTACATGTGCGATATTTTTTTGGTCAATCAGGCAACTGCCGCCGCTAGTGACAGCAGCGACTCGGACTCTGATAGCGAGTCCGAAGACGAAAAGCCTAAGGCCGTCCAGGTAAAAATACCTGCTAAGGGTAAGGCTGCAACATCGTCCGACTCTAGCGACAGCAGCTCGGAGGAAGATGAGCCGCCCAAAAAGGCTGTCGCTAAGGCTTCACCTGCCAAGAAGACGGCTGGAGTTAAGGCTAAGGCTGCCCCTGCATCCTCATCTTCGTCGTCATCTGATGATTCAAGCGATGAGGAGCCTCCCAAAAAGGCCGCCAAGGCCTCTCCCGCGAAAGCGAAGGCGCCCCCTGCAGAGGCTGACAGCTCAACATCTTCAAGTGACGAGGATGAGCCAAAGGCTACTGCAGAGGTCAAGGTTGCGGACGATGAGTCGTCGTCAGAATCGTCATCAGAGTCTGAGGAGGACAGCGATGGTGATGTAAAAATGGCTGAACCGACAGTCCCCACAAGCGGTTCGTCCCACTGCAGCATCAACGTATTCATGTCGTTATCTTCTATCTTTTAAAGGCAAACGCAAGGCCGTCGACGATGCTCCCGCACCTCCCAAAAAGCAGAAAATTGCTTCTGCGGAAGAGGAAGCCCCTACTACCACCATATTCGTGGGTCGCCTCTCATGGAACGTCGACAATGACTGGCTTGCCAGCGAGTTCGCCGAATGTGGAGAAGTTGTGAACGCGCGCGTCCAGATGGATCGCAACACTGGCAAATCACGCGGTTTCGGCTATGTCGAATTCAAGACCGCCGAGGCTGTCGAAAGTGCGCTCAAACTCAATGGCAAAGAAATTGATGGCCGCCCTGTCAACATTGATAAATCTCATGGTGTCGACAAGTCTACTTCTCGCGACAACAGGGCCAAGACCTTTGGCGATAGCACCAGCCCTCCTACAAGCACCTTGTTCGTCGGTAACTTGAGCTATGACGCGACGGAAGACGCGCTGTGGGAAGTGTTCGCTGAATACGGTGAGGTCAAGAGCATCCGCGTTCCCACCGACCGCGAGACTGGCAAGGTCAAGGGTTTTGGTTACGTCGAGTTCACCGACTTAGAGTCATCGAAGAAGGCTTTGGAGGCTTTGAATGGACAGGACATCGCGGGGAGGAACGTCAGGTTAGACTACTCGCAACCTAGAGACGATAGCGGTGGAAGCCGTGGCGGTCGTGGCGGAGGAGGATTCGGAGGCCGTGGTGGGGGTCGTGGTGGAGGCCGGGATGGAGGCTTTGGCGGCCGAGGTGGTGGAGGTTTCGGCGGTCGGGTGCGCTTTACTCTTGAATCTATTTTCTGCTGCAAACTCACTTATTGTCGTCTTTTAGGGTGGTGGACGTGGTGGACCCCGTGGTGGTGGACGTGGTGCTCCTCGTGGACGCGGTGGTCCTCGCACAGGAGGTATCACGTCGTTCGAGGGCAAGAAGACTACGTTTGCGTGATTGTCATTCGTGCAATCGGTGTTGTTCATGTTTTTTGACTCAGATTCCGGTATTGTTCTCTATGGCTGCTTCCATGTATCCTTCCGTATGTCACAGTGCAGCCTATGCTTGCTTTGTTTGAGCGTTCCGATTTCCATCACCTCTGGTGCGAGATTTGCAATCAACATCGTCACGATTCATGAGAACGAAGTCCGAGCAAGGATCAAAAATGATAAATAGTTCAATTATGCATGAGGGGATGAATCGATGATGCTGAGAGCACGTCAGAAAATAGAATCCTGTAGGATATTGACGGTATTGAAAGACTAGGTACTAAAAGAATTGTGGTATTAGTTGGTATGCAAAACAAAAACCGTTGGCCTCAACCGAAAACATCAACAATATGCGGGTACAGATTAGACCGCCAAGGGTTCTTCGCCGTCGACAACACACGTCCGATCCTCAAACAAAGCCAGGGATAGATCGCGATCAAGGCTGCTGGCCTTGCATCGCCTTGCGGATTGGATTTTGACTGGGCGGCAACGCGCCGGACCGCTCCAACCTGTCGAACAACACAAACAGCTTCTCGGCCTCTTGCTCCTTCTCTTCGTCCGTCATCTCGATATCCTGGCGTGGGCCCTCGAGGACGCCGGTGATGGGGTTGATAGATGCATCCGTTGCTGGGGCGTCGTCGCTCGCCGGCCGAGGTGGGGCGTTCATGATGCCCTTGTTGAAGAGGAAACCAGCGACGTTGCCGTACCCAACTTGGGACGTTAGCGTGCTCGCTGCAAATGCCTGGATCAGCGATGAAATAACACCAACTTATAAGAAAGGCATTACGATCAGAATCGCAAATCGCGAATAGCATCTCTCCCGTAGCGTCCTTCAACCTCGGATGGTGTACACTCGTCAAAAGTCGTAAAGACCGGCCCAACAGATCTGCTCTGCCTTCCAGGGCGCTCGAACGAGAAAGGTTCGCAGGTAAGATCCATTCTCTTAATCTACTTTTCGCTCCCGCGTCTGCAAGGCAGCATTTGATGATCAACATTATGAGCGGACACAGGAGGTCATCGAGCGTGCTATCGCTCTCCTGCTTGGGTCTCTGACGGACTTCCGCATCATCAGGATCGATCGTCCCGGGAAAATAGTGGCTGAAGGAGACCTCCAGCAAGTCATAGGCACGCTGCAGACTATCCGCGACCGAGTTTGGAGGGGAGGGGGAAGAGGGACGAGACGAGAGCGACCGGCGGCCGGCGGCGAGCATGGACAGTGCTCGATCCAGAGCACCAGGCTTTGCTTCTTTTGGTGAGCTGGAAGATTCGCCGCTTCCGCTGCTGCTGGGAAGACGGGAGTCGTTGGCAAGGACGGGAGACTCGGAATTGGAGTGAACAGTGCTCCTGCGACCAGATGGTGGGGAGATGGTTGGAAACCAGAAAGGCTTGAGGTTGGCTGTGATGGGGGTAGCGATGAGAGAGTGAATGATGTGGGTTAGCGGCGCGGTGAGCGGCGAAGGAAATGTAGGCGGAAGGGTGTTGAATGCTCGAAGCAGAGGTGGCACGATGCTAAGACGGAGCTACGGTGAAAGTTCAATCGTAAAAAAGGAGTTGACTTACCCGTCCAGTTTATCACTCCAATACTCCCCCATCACCTTACCCTCACCGGCTCCAAGATCTGCTACTTTCTCGCAATCCACCAACTAGAGATCGTACGATGAGACTTCGTGATTTTCGCGATTGTCGGAGAGACGTACCTTTGGGTAAAAAGACAAGAGGTTGAACGTGAACTTCAGCAAGTCTGTCATTGCTTCCCGAGCCATTTTCACACCACCCAGGATGCTACTGGTGAGGGAATCTAGTCGTAGACTAATGATCTCCACCACGTTCGAGCGCCCCGAATGTTTGTCGTCGATCAAGGAAATGATGAAGTGACCGGCCGATTGCGATGAGACCGTAGCCAAGAACAGAATGCGAGATGCGAGGAAGAGTTGGTCAGGATTTGATGATTTCTGTGAGAAATCGAAATGAGTGTTCCATGGCGGCAGAGCTATGCATGTCGCTGGCGACTGACCTCGAGTAACCGCACTGATGCCTCCCCACCCTTCACGCTGTCCGATATCCAAGTTTTCCGTGCATCCTCGATAAGAAGCATGGTGTTGGCGACACATCGTAAAGCCTCGCACGACGCGTCGAGATCGTCTTTGAATGTTCGCGATAGCGAGAGCAAGGTGGATAGATTGTCTGAAGATGCTAGTACGCTTGCTCCGGATGGGTGTTTGCCTAGAGATTTGATAGCTCCCAACGCCAACACAGCATCTGAAGCCAGATTGGCGCATGATTTTGCGGCGGATTATGTAGAAGCAGCATACCTTTAGGCGAGATCTTCCCATCGCTCCCACTCGACTTGCATTTGTTTACGTCGTCTAGCAGAATTTGGATGAGCTGCACGCGGGCTGGCTCGTCCACAGCGAAGGGGGATGCTAAGGGAGGACGGGATCAGCCAGGGCATCGCGGAGTGTGGAGAGCCACAAGCACCGTTAGCAATGGACTGCAGCACCTCGGACACATCGGTCTGCGTCGAAGAAGAATAGTGTTCGAGAAGAGCAGACATGAAGCAGGCCGGCCGTACGAATTACAAGTAGATTATTGTGCGCTGAAGGGGTATTCGTGGGGCAGAGGTCGTGTAAAAAAAATCAAACGGAACGGCGTGATCGTGCAGGAGCTGGTACAAGAACAAGGGAGGAGGAGGGTTGCGAGGGGGTGTGGACAGAAAACAGGATAAAAAGGGACGTAGATCATCGACCATCGACTCCGGCCACGGCTTATTGAGCTGCCAAGCAATCGCCGACAGCGCCATAAGGGGCAAATCTCTCCCCGCACCAAAATCTCTCAGCAACCCGCGCAATGAACGGCGTTCAAACGTCTGTCTCCCCAACGCACATCGTGGCAGGCTCTCTAACAGATGATTGTAACGCGCATCCAACGCCAACCCGTCCTCGGCATAAGGCTCATCTTATAAGGAGACAATGGTCTCCGCGGCTGACCTTACTCGGAACAAAGGTTCAGCGATCAGCGGTCCCCAGCTGCTTTGATTTCAACCTGTCCATTGAATCCGAGGCACTCAGTTGCAGCCACACCTCACCCGTAGGCGAGATACCGGGTTTCCCACTGACTTCATTGTAAGCCGGACATATGATGCTACAAACACACTAGCAAGGAACAAGTCTCACTTGATACGATGATCAGAATACTAGAGTAATAAGATAGTCAGCATGCAACGCACTCGACAGCCTTTGTATGACGCAGACGTACCAAGGACTCAAGGGCAAAGGCTACAAGCATCATATCAACGACGCGTCTTCCCACTGCACCAATACTCTTTCCTCCTTCCACCCATCCTTTCTCGACTCACAACAATCTTTTTCACACGAAAAAACCATGATCGTGCCCCATTCCATACCTCTGCCACCACTGGGCATGCCGCCTTTCAGCAGTCGCTCTACTTCTTGTCTCCGCTCGTTGTCGCTCATCTTTTTTTGTTTCGCCTCCTCAGCGACACGGTCAACGTCCCTCAACACGTTGATAAGGTTGGGCATAAGCTGACACTCGAAAACCCGCTTGCTACCGCAATGAGTGCAAGGAGGGATGGTTTTGGCGTCGTACGTGCGCTGCACTGAGGATTGAACTTTGAATTCGGATTTTGTGACAATGGTGATGCTCGGATCTTCTGTAGGAGAAGGAAATAGCTTGTTGAAGACCGCGTCCTTTGTAAAAGGCAGTGGAGTCCCGCCGAGATCATATCTACAACAGGGAGAACATGAAGACCGTCCCTCACAACATATGAAATGGAGCAGACGAACCTGACGCATTGTTGTGCCTCTATAGATAATCTCTTACTGAACTTGTCAAAGACTTGGTCGATCTCCATCGAGTTTTCGTACTTCTCCGATGCCCACGCGTCTTGCTTATTGCCATCTTCCTCTACATCGCCACCAGATTGGGCAGATACTTTGGGCTTTTTTATTGGAGGGATATACTCCGACACCGTGGACAGATATTGCGGAGGATACGACGGGGCACTGAGCCATGGCGAGTCTGACAATGCCGTCGAGGCCATAGCCACGATGAGAGATGACGCTGACGAAGTCGATTCTGAGTCACTGGCGTCCTCATCATCTTCATTGTCCTGTGCATCTGCTGTAGAGGCCGGCTCAGCGACAGGTTCGGAAGAGGGAATGCTGCCGAAAATATTAGAGCCGAGGCCAAAAGGATTGCTTGGGTTGCTTGAGTTCAACTGAACCTCAGGTTAACAAGCGTTTTACTGCATATAATTGATACGCACCGAAAATGGATTCGTTTTTGTTTCTTTGGACTTGGCGAGAGCAGCGGCCTTTTCCTTCTCCTTCTCCTTTTTTGCCGCAAGCTTCCTCTCTAGTTTTTCTGCGAACTTGGCATTGAATCTTAACCCTCTCCATGCCCTGACGCTGCCATAGTGCAAATTTATTAGCACGCAGAGCAATGGTCGCGTAAAGCCAGGACAGACACACCAAACTCACCTGCCCTCCTTTCTCTGGCACGCGCTCATCGCACATCCCCAGATGTACAGCGCTCTGTCGTACGGGCTGTCCTCGAACGGACACCACATCTGCACGAGCAGCTCCATGGGACTTTGGCAGTGTTTACAATGACTTGACTCAAAGGATGGCTCAGGCGAAGGGAGAAGTGCCTGCAAATATAGGCGCATTCAATATTCAAGATGCACATGCTCAGACAAGGAGAAGACCATACAGGCACCCCTCCTATCCTAGATACAGCAGCGTCTTTGGCATCAGATGGTGCTTCTATAAAACCATCTGGAACACCCAGGAGAACAGATGTCTCGACCTCTGATCCAGCCTCCGAGTCCGAGTCCGACCAATCTTCATCTTCACTCATCGTCGTATCTAGCGAACGGTGGAATAGGGAGCGTGGGGATACCAGAGAATAAGATAGGCGGATGAGCGGAGGCCGGATAACTTGGAAGGAGCGGGACATCCCGCGAATATTAGTCAGCAGCATCGAGTCGCCTGTATTTGTGGAGCGCTAACTGCATCTTGTACAGTATATGTTGTGTCCTCACATTCGTTGTTGCCAAAAGGTGTTTCATTCCTATTTGTTGAAGTGACCTCTCGATCTTAGAATGCTGGTCTCTGCCACACATTGTGCCAGGGATAAGCTTTAGCGTCAAAAGAGTGTTTGAACTCCGCGTGCCCAATTGAGCCTTATTATACAAACCAGAGGTCAGAAGCACAAGAAACCCCGAACATTCGAACATACATACAACAGATTTGACTCTTGGACTGCTCTCGACATGTGACTCCTTTCAAACCATTGATTTACCCCATAATACACTATATGACAGAGTGGAATGTGCAGAGATCAAAGGAAATTCTTTCAATGCAACAAAAACAGACTTGCAGAAGTCTCGATAGACAAAGCCATCCTTGTCCTTGTCCTTTGCTTGAGTCTTTGTGATAGACGTGTAGATTGAAACATACCTCATAGTTATTCCTCATCGCTGAGAATGCGGAAGCTAGATAGCTTAGATAAAGCTGGTTATGACCTGAAGGTATTCCGAAGTTGATCTGAAGATCGTCAGATAGATGCTTGAAGACTACTAGATTGGATCCGATGTTCGTTTGCGATGATCTTCGGTCAAAAATCGAAGTAAAGCTCACCTCTCAGAAACGGTAACCGGAATCCTTGAAATTCTGTCCTCGAGAGGGTGGCGTCGATCGTCGTAGGTAGGTCTCGTAGCAATGGGTGATTCATCTTATCAGTCTTCAATAGCAACGATGTATACTGATGTTCCACAGTGACATTGACGCAGACGAGGGATATTATCCATACTTTGAGATACTGATTTCTATATGCCTGTTCGTAGATGAATATACCATAGAGTATGTTTTCAAATGATGAGCCCACCGAGTATGAATGCGGATCGACTTGCAGCAGTCTGTACATGAACCGTAGACCAACGTGTCGACGCCATGATTCGTCGAGAATCTTTTCCCAGGAGAAAGCCCCAAGTTCTAGATACGAAGACCAATCCTGGGGGTGTGCTCAGCCAACGCTAGAGGTAAGCGATTGAAGCACATTTACCTGCTTGCCACTTTTGACACATATTTGCGAATAGTCAACCCAACGATCGACCCATCCGTCCATGTCATCCCAGCTTTGCCTCGGCATCGGATCATCTTCTGGCGTGGTAGGGTACTTGGAAATGAAGTGATAAATGGCTGGCGAGACGCTTGAAGCGATGATCTGTCACAAGAATCAATATCAATAACGACAGATATGTTGAACTACCCTTACCTCGCGTGTTGCGTTCTCTTTGATCTCAATAGGTGAAGGTTCGACAGGGCCACCGAGTGCAGCCAGTACGTCTGGGTCTTCCAGATCCAAATCAAATGCACCATACTCGTCTTGGCTCTCTGAATTGTTCACAGGAGCGCTTGAGTCCGCTGCAGGCATAGCGCCGTTACGAGCGTCAAAAAACGTCTGTAGCAGTTCCCGGAGGGCTCGCCCAACGACGGGGTCATATGCTAGACCAGGGACAGAGAGGACTCTGTGGACCCAACCTTGGAAAGATCCTTAATACAGCTGTGTATATGCACGGAAGCTACTTACTGCCTTGAAGATACCCAGGAAGAGGGTACGTAGGCTCGTTCCCTCTTGAAGTAGTCTCTATCACAGAGCGAACGCAAGCGAGTAAGATCTCAAGGGACCGGATGGCTTGTCTCTTCTGATCAGCCACTCGTACTTTGGGTCCTTGGACGTCAATCTCAAGATATGCAGTAATAAGACTGTCTGCCATTCCTCCAGACCAATCCAATATGTCCTCCATTGGAAGTCCGAGGCGATGCACTTGGATGCCAAAATGCATCATTGCATTCATGCAGATTGTTCGAGTCGCCTCGTTCGAGCCAGCGAAATCGACGAAGCGACGCGCATGGGCCAGACGCTGACGAAGCCGAACAGGCGAGGGATCGATATGAATGGCCACAGCAATGGTGCTGAAGCGATTATATAGCATCGATAACTCATCGCCTCTTGGAGCAGTAGAATTCTCGAAAGGAACAGACCCCACTGGCACGACGAGCGATAGAAGTTTCTTGATGCTGTTGGGATAGTTGTCATCGGGCGCGGCAGCCTTCATTTCGGCCGATGCTTCCACAACCAGCTTGAGAAAGATGGTAAAAGCGCTATCTCCCTTTCCCTCCGCCAGCAAAAGTCCAAAATCATTTGTCTTCATAAATGCCGGAAAGTCGAGGGCCTCGCCATGAAGATTAGAAAATTTTCGACTCCGGAAAATGTCCACTAGGTGATTGAACAAGAGAGAGGCATCGTCCAGCTTCCACCGCCATCGTTGGCGAAGGATGAGGCACCGAGCAATAACGACACGGACGTAGGCATCACGTTTGGTGATGATGTGGAGGGGCAAGGTCCGATCAATACCTGGCTCGGCGGTCAATCGTATGTGCTTCAGAGCAAAGACAACCATATCCCAAGAAGGTGGTACGCGGAAGTTTGAGGTTGACATTCCATATTCGCCGAATTGGGACAGAGCGCATATGCTGAATATGATACCCCATGTATCTTCACTTGCTTCCAATTCCTTTCGAGAGGCCTGCGTTACCACCAGCGTTTCTTTCAAAAGATCCCAGATTGACCCTAACCGTGTCAGAACCGTAGATCGCGCCGGAGCTGAATTAGAGTGGAAGAGGTGAATAATGCAGACCCATATCTCTGCAGCGGATTCTCGAGGTTGTGCGCTATTGAGATCGTCGCGGTGAGATAGAATAGGCTCCATCGTCCTCCTCATTCCAAACTGCAGAAGACGATACATCAAGGCCGTAAGGCGATTTGCCAAAGCGGTTGTATGCATCTGCTCCAGGGCGTTCTTCCGGGTGCATTGAACACGAAGCGTCAGTTCTAGACAAAACCAGTGTGAGCGAAAGATCCTGGAATCCAAAAGGCTCGTAGCAGAGGCCGATGCATCTAGCCACGCGTTGAATCGTCCCATCAGCCTATCAATGCATTCTTGGACCGTTGTCCATAGGATGTCCCAATCATCGTCTGAAGCCTTTGATGATATCACAGACACTAGTTGGCATATGACGTGCGTATCGACGAACCATTGCGAAAATTCTTCGTCCGTTACAGTTGTCGCTGGAGCCTGAATCAAAGCGAGATACTTGTTGCAAGCTGCGGTTAGAAAAGCCCCAACTTCATGAACTGATGATGAGGGCCATAGATGTTCTCCATCGATTTCGCGAGTCAAAAGTGGTTCGACAGCATCTCGTCCCGAGATGAGCGAGAGCAGCTCATATAGCCAACCCTTTCGGGTATACGATTCCGACGCGAATTCCCGACCAGCGGTCAGAAAAGGTATTTTGAGGTCGGCAACAATCCTGCGACGGTGGACAGGAGCTGGCACAGGGTCGCGAATGTGAGGTGTACGCTCTGCAGAGGCAGGGGCTCGTGAGAAATACTCGTCGATGTACGTTGTACGCCCATGCACGCGGTCAACTACTATGGGAACTGGTTGACGAAGTTGCTTGCCCCGATTGATAGGCAAAGGCGCTAATGCTTGACGAAAATCTTCTTCCACGGCAATAGTGATAGCACCCCTCTCCATCCATTTGGAAAGGAGCCTCTCTCCGCGAGATTGTATGATCGAGACGTTGCCGTGAGGTCGGTGAGGCCGATCAGGTTTCAGCTTGGGCCCGCCGACTTGAATGTCAATTGGAGGATCTGAGAAAATGCTGACGTTCAGGAAACAGCGATGAAATAGCATCAATTTTATCAAAATACCGTGAGTCCTGTGTTTCGGGGATGTTGGCCTATGACTGCTATGTTGCCCGTGTGTGACGCGCCTTTGCTTTTTATCCCTTGCATGATGCAGTTTAGCGTCTCCTGCATGACGAGATCTACGTGGACCCGTAGTTGCTTCTCTATGACCGGTGCGGAGCGCAGGCCTAGAACGTCCGTGGCGAGCTTGTCGATGCGTGGCATTCGGAGCTGTTATATCACGTATTCTACGACGCCGAGGCGACGCTCGAGGTTCCATCCTATCGAAGGTTGGCCCGGTCTCGTTCGCTGAAGATAGTTCCTCTCTATCAGAGCTGTCCCACACATCAGCAGGTCCCAGCTCCTCGACGTCAGTGTCGTCACTACTGCTGGAGCTGGAACTGGAGCCTAAGGCATCACCAAAATGCAAGATGTTCTGAACCTTTGGATCACGAAGACGTGGGGACGATGAGCGGTGTGAGGGCGAGGAAAAGGGAGAAGGAAGGGGAATCTCTTCTGCAGAATATGTAATATCTCGGGTAGGCGAAGTTGAAGGTGATGGATGACTGGAAGATAATGAGATGTGAGATGGGGATAGAATATCTGATGTCTAATTTATTGTAATCAGAAAAAAAAAGTTTGAATATGTAGACAAGCGCTCTACCGGTGGATTGACAGGCGTGTGGTCCCGTAATCTCTGTTTGCGTGAAGGTTTGGTAGATGTGGACAAGGGAAAGTCAAGGACACTGTCCTCTTCATTTTCCGATCCCGACACTTGGAATATGCCTGAAATCCAATCGCGGTCAATCGATCGTTGACGTGAGACATCCCTGTTTTTGCCGACATCTTCGCTTCGACCGATTCCTGTTCGTCGACGTTGGCTTAATTTACCGGTGGAATCCCGGTCAGCGTCTCGATGGTTTCCGTATATACGCTTGATACTGTCGTCTCCTCGTAAGCTACCCTGTGAATCTGTTCGCCTTCTTTTCCTAGGCCTGAAATGATCAAGGTCGCCCGTCCGCTGACTATCACTTTCCTTCCCTTCGTCCACAAACTCATCTTCATGATCAGAGGAATAGCGAATGTGACGGCCAGGACTCCTCATCTTCACAATGGCATCGGGGTTATGCCGCAGTTGCTGTTTATATAGAGCCTTGTCAAACGCGTATGGATTGAGCTGTCGGGCCTGCCTTGCACGAAGAGAGTACCGACGCGAGTTACCGGCAAGGTCTAGATCCAGCGGGGGGTCAAGTACAGGTTCTTGTTCTTGAAGCGAAGCCGCGCGCCAAGAGTCTCGATTGAGTGACAATAACGATGCGACTGGACGAGGGCTTTGGGTAGCCGGTAGAGGCGTCAAGGATGGGCTCCTGGAGTTTGTGGAATTGAATGATAAAGGATAGGGTGCATGATCACCTTCAAAGTGCAGCTCTCTATCCTTGCCAGGTGCCGCATCAGGTTCGCCATCTGAGATAGGAGATCTAAAAGATGATGGGAGGGGTATAGACGAGGTAGGTGGCGGAGGTGAGGAGGGTGCATCGCTATGATTTTCCAATGGCAAGGAAACATCATCCATGTGAAATTGTGTTGCGGTAGGGGAGGGGCGATGGTGGAGCGCGAGACGGAGAGACGGGGAATACTCAACAGATAGCGCACCGCTCTTAGAAGTCTTAACAATGGGAGAGGATCCTGACGGTAAAGAAGACCGTAAGTCATCTGCTCTGTATACCGATGGTGAGGAATTAGCAGAAGATAGAGTTGGACCATTTATTGGAGCTTGATTTATCTAGACGCGATGGTTGATTGATGAACGACAAGTGCTTGATACATTGGCTCAAAGATGCTCACTTGTTCCAGAAAACGGGAAGCCAATGGACTGTTACGCGTCTCATGGATTAATCCAGCTTCAGCTTGCGCAGGGACAGAAAGGCCTTGATGACGCCGAGAACGGATTATTGCGGTGGCCCTCTGCCAATATCTTGGATCCAGTGCGTCAATAACCTCATGTTCATCTGAATCCGAGGTGAATACATGTTCCTGCTCCATTAGTACGCAGATAGCGAGTGGAATAGATGGAAATAACGCTTTGAAATTGAGAGCAGACTTGAGGACATTGACGCGATAGGTCACAAACCGTGACTAGAGCATGACCAGTGCATGACCGCGTCGTATTATTGATTATGTAATATTGACAGTCAGTTCTAATCCCCTTCTATCAAGTATGTGATCTCGAAAAAGACCCGAGAACTAGACGGGGTGAGTATGTCTTGGGGAAACTCTACTCAACAAGTCCTCAAAACTCAGTCAATTCTGCAATGCACTCATCAGTGAAGGAACGTGACGTACCTGCGAACCTGCCACGTGTGGGGTACGTGCATGTGATTACCCCAGATCCGGAGTTCCGAGGTGCAGTCGAGTGACACTGTTCACCTAAATCTCTCTTCACCGTCTACCGTCATGTTGCGCTCTGCAGTTCGTTCCTTGAAACCAGTTTCTCTTTTTCAAAAGAGCGTTACTGCTACTAGGTAGCTTGGAGAATATCGCCGCTCCATCTAATAATATTGATTTAGGATGTGCTGCAGGACTTTCTCCACTTCTCCCGCTGCGCGAGTTTCCGCTGTCAATTCATTGCACACCTTCACCGATGAGGAGCAAATGCTGAGAGAGTCTGGTAAGTGCATGGTACTGACTGAGGTTTTGTCCAAATCACGCTTACCGTTTCCAATAGTCCAACGACTTGCTCAGGATATCATAGCTCCCAAAGTCCGTGAGATGGATGAACAGGAACTCATGGACCCTGCGATTGTCAAAGCCCTGTTTGAGCAAGGGGTAAGCAATCTAAACAGTGTTTCCTCAGATTGTTCTGAACCATTGCCTAACAATAGCTCATGGCCATCGAGACGAGCGCAGACCATGGTGGTGCAGAGTCGTCTTTCACTTCTGCGATCATCGCCATTGAGGAACTGGCCAAAGTTGACCCATCTGTTTCGGTTATGTGCGACGTCCACAATACGCTCGTAAACACCATCTTCCGGTCGTATGGTACTAAAGAACAACAGGATAAGTGGCTGCCTCTACTAGCAGAATCAAAGGTCCGTCCACGTTGCTATTTCCAGAGGTACAAATATTCATATTAGGATGACCCTTAAACAGCTTGGTAGCTTCTGCCTTTCAGAGCCTGCATCTGGCTCCGACGCTTTCGCACTGCAGACGCGGGCGCGCAAAGAAGGAGATCACTGGATCATCAATGGTTCAAAGATGTGGATAACCAACTCATACGAAGCTGAAATCTTCCTTATATTTGCAAATGTCAGTGTCAGAGAAGCACTTTGATACGTGGGCTAGCTCACAAGTAATATGCAGATTGATCCGACTAAAGGTTACAAGGGCATAACCTGTTTTGTCGCGACGAAGGATATGGGGATTCAAATCGCGAAGAAGGAGCAGAAGCTCGGCATCCGCGCCAGCTCAACATGCACACTCAATTTTGACGATCTCAAGGTTCCAGCTGAGAACATTATTGGTGGCGAAGGCAAAGGATACAAGATTGCGATCGAGATTCTGAATGAAGGTTTGTTTTAGCTACCAATTTCGAGATTTCACCAACTCACGCTGCTCCAGGCCGCATCGGTATCGCTGCACAAATGCTCGGTCTCGCCCAAGGCGCTTTTGATAAGGCGGTTCCCTACACTTATGAGCGCAAGCAATTCGGTCAACCAATAGGTACTTTCCAGGGTATGCAGTTCCAGATCGCACAAGCTGCAATCGAAATCGAAACTGCACGCCTGCTCACGTACAATGCTGCACGGAGAAAAGAGGAGGGTAAGAGTTTCACGAAAGAAGCGGCCATGGCAAAGTACTGGGCAAGTGTGGTCGCCCAGCGCGTATCGGGGCAGGCAATTGAATGGGCTGGAGGGGTTGGTTTCACTCGCGAAACAGGGATTGAGAAATATTGGAGAGACTCCAAGATTGTAGGTCTACTCTCACAAGAAGTCCGAGGGGTGGTAGTACTGATGCCCCACACAGGGAGCTATCTACGAAGGAACATCTAACATCCAGCTACAGACTATCGCCAAATTCATTCAAAAGGAATATTCATGATGAATGAACATCAGTCTCTGCACACCCCACACCCTGCCATTATGATATTGTAGAGCGAGGTATAAGACGCGATAAATTTGCTTACTGTTCAATCAATTAAGAGCAGGTCAAGGGGTATTCAGCGATGCTCGATAAATCAGTATTGCTTAGAATGAGATAACCGTGACCATTGAGATCTTGAGGACTGACATTGATATATATCACCTACGAGAAATACACAACATTGGGATACAAACCGCTGGACACAAATATATTAAGCACGCTGCACATGTACTTGAATTAAGAATTTTTTTGGTTTTGCTTATGCATGAACTTCAAAGTAGCTTCATAGACTGCCCAGCCAATCGCAGATGAAAGCACTTTGCGTGACAGACGCAGCGAGGCGCCGTCGAAAAAGCCGTTGATGCCACGCTCCTAACGAAAAATAAACCCGACATGTTGCGTTGAGCATAGTGCAGAGGTCAGTGGATAGGGGACGTACTGTCCACACTGTCCGAACAGTGCTCAAAAAGCCACGGTAGCGGTCTTCTGTGCGAACCTGTATTTTTGTCTGCAAAATATTCAGCTATAAAATTTGGAAATGATGCTAAAAAAGCTGAGAACCTTGACAACATCAAAAGGATGCGTTACCAATGTAGCAACCATCCCTGCTGATGCCGCGGATACACTGTGTAGAACAGCAGAACCTGACTGTGAGGAAGGTTGTATCGCATGGGCTAGTACGGAGTTTATGACCAAGAAAAGCATTTCAATGAGAATGCATACATACCCAGTTCGCGTTTGGTGCCTTCATAAAAGACTACAAATAGGCCAGCATAAGGTGCATCCCTCAAGGAAGATGCGAAGAAGCCACGCAAGAGCTCAGATGGGCCAGAACGCAATATGGAGCCAAGAGCAGTAGTTAGGGATCCATATGCATACACATTACTCTGTGAAACTATGTCATCTCGAACATGAAAAGGTAACAACACAACTGCCCACCTCGTATCGAGCCTTGAGAACGGAGAAAGGGTTCAAGAAGAACCCAACTGTTACCCTGGTCGTCGCACCAGCAAGTAAATTACCTTGGCTGGTGAGGGTTGGTAGGATGGATGAGTGCTTAGTAGGGTCGTGCGCACGCATAGTGGCGAAGTATGCAGATGTGGCCATAAGAGTGCGGACTTGGTTAAGACTTGTCATATACAGTGCAATCCCTGGCACATTACTGTTCAACATGTAAGCATCAGTAAATGGACCTCATAGTGCGGGATGGTGTAGAGACCGAACGAGAGTTGCCGAAGTACCACGCCAGAGACCACGTACACCAGCAGATGCGATGACATCTTTGGCTGTCCGGAGGACTGAGCCAGTCGTTCTGATTTGAATAGGTCAGATTCGTTTGAATGTCTACGCAAGGGTGATACTCACCTGGCTTGCTGCCGGCCGTCGCCCTGTTGCAAACGCGTTTTCAGGAGGTCAACTGAATAAATTTCTGTTTAAGCCGGTATTTTGGAGCAAGCGAGGGTAGTTTTACATGGCTGAAGGCATACTGTTGACGCGAATCCAGAAAGTGCGCCTTGCATTTCACATCGCGGTCAGAAAAGACGTCGTTGAAGCAAGGTGAACACTCACCAGAGAAGAGCTGCTGCCCAACATTGCTCATATATCAAACTACACTGAGATTCTTGACCAGACAACGAGAGGAACGTTAGGAAGAAAAGCCTCACTCGAGTTACAGCAGTTTGGCATTTCCCTGGAACGATGGGAAGCGGCTCGGAAGAGGCCGGGATAAATAGCCGGAAGTACCCGACATAGACAACTGCTCGAAGCGAACCATGTGTCAAAGGAGGAAAATAGATAATTTTGGACACCGTCTTTATTCTATATCTAAGGTACAAACATACTCGTTACGGTGGTCAGAGCCTAACTGAAATAAGCTTTCCGGGTCTCTTTGCTACAAGAGCCTCGTTGAACGCCCCAACCACATCATGTTCGTGTATCCACGCCTGGCTGTTCTTCGTCCGTGCCCATTCCCTGATTTTCTTCTCGCTCCATGGTTGATCAGGTTTAGCGGCGTTCGCGCGCGAAGCTTTGACGGCCAGCATGACCTTGTCGATATGTGGTAGCCGTGTCGCCTTGTAGAGGTCTAACGCCTTTGATATGCGATCCGCTCGCTGAGCTTCGTTCGACGACGTTGACTCAGTATGAGAGAGAGCGAGATATAGCGCCCTTCCATCATCGATAGCTAAGCTACCTCCTGCGGCGAAGGCGCCTCCGTGAGGGTGGAAAGAGTCACCGATGAGAACGATTCGTCCTTGAGACGTTGGGGGTGGAGCAACTTCGCTACTCCAACCAGGGAATACATGGATGTCCGGGGTGCGTTCTACGATAGCTTGAATGGTGGGATGCCAGCCCTGAGTAGGATTAGTAGAATAACGGACGCAAGGCGGGTTGAATCAGACACAACGCAGCGTCAAGCTCACCTTGAAATAGTCGCGGAAGTGCTGTACTTCCCCAACATCATTCCACTCCTTGCCGGTCCAAGGCGTGGTCGCTGGATCCTCATACCTGCTACCGACAACGGTGAATAGACCTTTGCCTATGATAACGTCGAAAGGACAATTCGTTTCAAAATTCGTTATTAGATGGAGAAGGCACTTACCCAAAGCGGAAGAGAAAAAGCTACGATCAGGGCCGACTATGTGCACGGAATTATTTATGTTTTGAATGCCTAGGTCGTCCAAGCGAGAAGCTGGAAACACGCCACGAAGCCAGACCTGTCCTGTGAACTGCAGCTGGAACTCGGGAAGGTAGCTCTTGCGAACAGTCTATAACGTCGACTTAGTTGGCTTGAAAATAAGAAGGGGTAAGCGATGACTTACGGACTTGATTCCATCCGCCCCAACAACGAGGTCTGCCTCAAATCGTTCGCCATCCTCAAAATTCAACAAGGCTCCTTCCGGATGAACTTCAACGTTGAGCAATCGCTTGCGAAAGTGCAGAATCTCTTTCGGGAGATTTTCTGCAAGAGCATCCAATAGGTGGGGGCGATAGAAACGCGTTGTGTGATGATTGCGCTGTGTGACAGTCACGGTGTGAAGATCCTTCACGAGGATTTCACCGCTTTTCCAGTGTCTGAATACAATTCATATAACAATCAAGAACCTGAACCCCAACGTCGATGTACTCACTGGAAGATGTGGGGAATCCCATGGTCGCTTCTAAATCCTACGTCATCCGAAAGCGCATTGACAGCCCCTATTGCCTCTAAACTGCGAAGGCCATTGGGGCCAAGGGCAATCGATGCACCGACCTGCGTAAAGGTAGAAAGTTAAGGGCAATCAGACTATCAAGACATTGTTTGGGCCGTACCTCGCGCAATTCTTCAGCCTGCTCAAACACGTGGACTTCTATATTCGGCAGGCGACGAAGGGAGATGGCTGCAGCCAAGCCTCCGATGCCAGCGCCAACGATGGCTATAACGAAAGGTCGAGCGGTATTTGACATCTTCCCAAGTCGTACTTTGTGATGCGGATTTGAATATGACAGGTAGATAGGCAGGCTTGTCTGATAGATTCTCTGGGTTTAATATGGACAGTAAGATCCCGGCAGCCAGGAACTGGAGAAGTAAGGCGTGCGATGATGCAGTCGGTCCTGAATATGCGCAGCTGCCTCTGGCCTCTGGCCAACTGCGATTAACAGCGGATGATATGCTTTCCGATCGTGAAGAACGCCGGGAGGAAGAGGAGGAAGGTCCCCCTTGGACAATAAGGCGATGATGACGGTATCCCACTTGCTTGCCGATAAGATGATCGACACTCGCAGACAGTCCAGGGGAACAGAAGGGGACAGTCAATAGGGCCTGGAAGTCACGTTTATCCTTACATGGAAAGGTCCCTGAACATACATATTAGCAGGCTTACATATCGGCATATTGGTCCACATGACGGCACCGCGCAGAATCGCACCTGGCGGGACAATCACTGTCAGTCGCTGCAACTTTGCAGCGACAGGGGGATGTAAATCTGCCGGCGAGAGTTGGGGAGATTGTGAAGAGCTGATAAGTGCAGGTGGCGATGCTTTGAACCGTGACCATGAACAATTTCATGGTAAGATTGCGCCATAACGCGAACTGTGATCCTGCACTGAGCCATCTTCGAACGAGTGAGCTCTCCTACAAAAGACGAAGACGGAGAATGAAGATGTGAGCCTCTGCAACCTCACCTGTTAATGAGCCGTTCTCCCTCTGCCAGTGATTACAAACTGCAAGACGAAGAGCACTCGCCTACGGTGCAAGGACTGTCCAAACGTCCTGGCCACGCGCCTTCCGTTCCTGCGAAGTTCGCCGATGAGTCTTTCAAGTTGTTCGCGTCGCTTGGGCCGGTCGAGGATCCGACGCCAGAGGAAGCTCGGAGGATTAAAAAACGTGCGACGCTCGTCGTTCTGCCTTTCCTCTGTGTTGGTTATCATCTGATGTCAGTCCATGATTTTGAAACTCCGAAGGCTATCACTGACTCCGCGGCCCAGGTACCTCGACAAGCAAATCGTGTGTTGCCTTCGTTGTTTTTGTTGCCTTGAATCGTACAGTGACCTTCGTACTTTCAGCTCGGAAGCCAGTCTATTCTTGGGATCCTCGAGGATGCGCATCTCTCCTCTGGACAATATAACTGGCTTGTCTCTATTTTCTACTTTGTGAGTAGCTATGCTTCGCGACGCTTCATGGTACCTTGTTGTAACTTCTCCGTCGCGTTTCAGGGCTACTTAATAGCAGAGCTCCCTCAAAACTACGCATTGCAACGATTTCCGCTTGGAAAATGGCTGGGAGGAAACCTCCTCGTGTGGACGGTCCTAATCTTGTCCCAAATGGCTTGTCGCAGTTTCGGCAGCCTGTTTGCTTTGCGCTTTTGTACGTGAGATTCTTCATACGCCGACTGACTTGTTGATTTTGACAAAAATAATTTCTTGCATTAGTACTGGGTATCTCCGAGGCTTGCGTCGTTCCGGCTTTTCTCATTACGTTGAACATGTTCTTTACGGTATGTCCTCGTACCCATGAGTCAACATGTATTCGATCCTGATTTCACTAAAGCATGACGAGTCTGCTACACTTATGCCAATTGTGAGCGAACCTCCATGTTCTTCTTCCTCCTGCAGCTGCATAATTGAATCTGAACTGTTCAGATGTGGGCTGCTGGGAACTCGAGTCCAATCTCAAAGTAAGGCTTCGGCATCCACCCAACGACTTGAAATCATGTTGAAGCTTGATTATTATGATTTCAGTGGACTATTGTCTTATGCTGTGTTGCACATCAATAAGGGCGGTTTGGCTGTACGTGCACATCGCTGTCCACTTCTACGTCGCCTAAATCACATCACGTAGCACTGGGAATGGTTCAGCCTCATTAGCGGCGTGATCACGTTCGTGTATGCCGTGCTTGTGATTTTGTTCTTCCCAGATTCTCCCACTTCCGCATGGTTCTTCACGCCTAAGGAACGTGCTCAGAGTATCCTTCGCATTCGAGGTAATCACGAAGGTTTGTCTTCACAGTATCCCCTTTTGATCCCAAGCTTCTCTGATACAGTAGTAACTCGCAGGGATCGAGCAGAAAACTTTCAAACGTTCTCAGTAAGAGTGATCTCACGTCTTTGTGAACTCGAATAACTGACTTCAACTTTCCGTAGGATGATCGAAGCTTTCAAAGACCCAAAGGTGATCGACCTCAACGTTCACTGTAATTTACATGACTGACGCCGGACATTGGTGGCAGACATGGCTGTTTTTCCTCCATGCATGGGCTCAAGAAATGGCCAATGGGACGACGAGCCAGTATTCTTTGATCATCAAGTAAGTTGGCGGATTCACTTATGCCGAATACTGACGAACCTACGTCTTTATATCTGTTCAGGTCCTTCGGCTTCACGACATTACAGACAAGTAGGTGACTTCCTTGAAGATGGCTTTGGGGTCGCTCGTGCCAATCTCCTCTTGCAGCGTTGCTTGGCTGCGTTTCGGGACTCTCATCTGTTGCTTTCCTTCTCCCATCTGCTTGGCTGTTGGCACGCACAAAGGTCCGCCATACTATCTCTGCATATAATTTGTGACTTATTTTTTTGCAGAATTGTCGTGCCTACCTCGCAGCGGCCGCGTACCTTCCTGCAATTCTGTCAACTATCCTGCTCTTGAGTGCGTATCAATCGTGTGATCGAGTGTCCTTCCAGCAAGATTCTAACATGCAAGGTCATTTCGCAAGCCTTACCCTTTTCTAACCGCTGGGGACTGCTTAGTGCCTTATGGATCAGAAGCTCCGCCGGTGTTCCATACGCCGTCGTCATGAACTGGGGATCCTGTGAGGCCCAATCAGCTGCTTATTCTCTGATGCAGCAATTTACCTTCTCGCTATAGCCGCGACGTCGGGTCATACTAAGAAAGTGACCGTCAACGCCCTCTGTGAGTATCCGCCAATTATGTATGCGGGGCTTTACTTGAACGACGCATCTCGTAGATCACGTCGGGTATGGGCTGGGCAATATCCTTTCGCCGCAACTATTCCAGCCTCAATACAAACCGAGATACCTCTCAACGTCAGTCTCGCCAGATGCCATCTTGACTGACAAGGGTTTACTGACGGCTTGTCTTCTCGTCAGCTGGTGGGTCATCCTGTGGGTCGCTTGCGTCTTCCCTACGTTCCTGGTCCTCTACATTCGATGGTACCTGCAACGCGAGAACAAGAGACGCGACCTTCTATCCGCAGACCAGAGCGAGGATGACCTCGGAGTGGTCATCGAGATCGACGAGAATGGGCAGAAGGTGGAACGGACTGTGTCAGATAATCAGCTCGATCTGACCGACCGACAAAATTTGGTACGTGAAGTGCGTATGCCGCCTGAATCGCCCACTGACGTGCTCGCTTGATAGAACTTCCGATACGTCCTTTGAAGATCATGTATAGGCACTGTAGTACACGGGAAGGATTCCACGGTTATCTATAGGTCCAATAGTGATGCAGCCTCACGACACTTTTCTGACGAATTTGACGCACGCCCGAGGCCATAACTTTGTACGAGGATTGGTAGACTGCTAAAGACCAAGAGATCGCGTGAATGTTTCGAAATTGAGCAATGGTGTATTCGAGTGCGGGGAGGGAGAGGACAAACAAGGGCCAACACGCCTGACGCGACCACGTATCCCCTCACGAGCGTCGCAGCCCACACAAGCCAATGCACTCCTGCCTCCTCCTTGCCCTCCCTCTCCTCGCCCCTCTCGCCGTCGCTGCTGCCAACAATGTCCCCCAAACGCACGGCGTCCACCCTGCCCACTTAGCACGCTACAAGCCTCAGGGCACCGGCTCCGCACAGACGTGGACGTGCCTCGACGGCTCCAAGCAGCTCCCATGGACGTCTGTCAACGACGACTACTGCGACTGCCCAGACGGCAGCGATGAACCTGGTGCGCGCCCCTCCCTCCACACCCGTACCACACGGGACGGCTGACGAAGGGCAGGCACCGGCGCGTGCCCGCAGACTACGTTCTACTGTAAGAACGAGGGCCACATCGGCGCTTCCATACTGAGCTCCAGAGTGAACGACGGCCTGTGTGGTACGTTTGACGTCGCGACCGTTGTCTGTACCACGTGTTAAGCCGAAGATACACTTGTGTGTAGAGCCCGACTGCTGCGACGGCTCAGATGAGCCAAGCGGCGTTTGCAAGGACTCGTGTAAGGAAGTCGGAGAGGAGTACAAGAAGCGAGTGGACGCAGAACGAAAACTCCGAAAGACAGTAAGAACCAATCTATCTATCATGCTCCCCGGCCTCTTCTCGATCGTGACACCGTACACTAGGGCTCCAAAATTCGGTCGACCTACATCGCGTTCGCACAGAAAGAGAAGAAGCGGCTCGAGGGCGAGATCGCCGAGTCGGAGAAGGAGATCGCGACCAGAGAGAAGGAGGTCGCTCGTCTGAAAGGTGTGCACACTCCCGCTTCTGTGTGTCCCATGACTTGACCTGACTTGACTTGACTTGCTGTAGACATCGTGGACCGCACCGAGTCCCTCTCCGCCGCAGCCCTCGAGCACAAGAAGCAGTCGCGTACGCCCCTACCTGTGCCTTCGGTTCATCTTTCGCAGCTCACGTCCCACCAGCGCTCTACGCCTCCCTCATCGCCCACGCCAATGCGCTCAAGTCCCTACAGCGCGAGCACAAGAAACACCTCGAGCGCGAGAAATCCCTCGGCGACATCCTCATCTCACTCCGGAGCGGTTACAACCCAAACTACCAGGACATGGCCGTCCTCGAGGCCGTCCGCGGTTGGGAGTACCATGCGGGCCTGCCCCACATCGGCGTGGAAGAGGACGCGGAGAACAAGGACGAGGAGGGCAGCGACGATGTCGAGGAGGCGCCCGAAGCCGTCGAGGAAGAGCTCGAGGAGGGCATGTGGACCGCCGAACAGCTCGAAAAGGACCTTGACGGGCTGCTGAAGGCGGATTATGTGTCGTTGTTGATGGAGCATGATACGCACATCGGGGCGAGCAGCACCGAGTCGATTTGTGTGTTTCTTAATCGGACTTGTGTGCCATGGCACGTTGTTCACTGACGAACGGGATGTGCAGTGTTCGATTTGGCCGCTTATATCCCAGATGCATTGCTTCCGCAGTACGAGGCTGTTCGTGGCACAGTAGTGTCATGGTTGGCCGCCCTCAATATCATTCCTCGGCCTTCCGGCGGTGCTGCGGGTACGCCCTGCGATGTTATTCCCATCACTGCCGTGCACCTGACTGATCTTGCTTCTATAGATTCCCGTGCTCGCGAGGCGTATAACGACGCCGAACACAGCTTAAGCCTCGCGAAGAAGGAGCTCGAGCAGGCCCAGACCGACCTCGCAGATCTGTTCGACCCCACTGGCTTTGGAAGGGAAGGCGAGTGGAAAAAGCTCGACAACACCTGCTTGTCGACCGACACCGGAGAGTCTGTGTCTCTTTTGTCTCCTTTTGAAAGCTGGACGAGCGCTCACTCCGGTCACTAGTTATACATATGAAGTGTGCCTGTTTGACGAGGCGAGGCAGAAGCCGAACAAAGGCGGCACCACGTTCAGTCTCGGGTGCGTGCACTGGCCGTGTCCCAGCGGCGTCCTGTGCTCTTGCTCATAACGTCGTCGCGTCTAGTAAATTCGCATCGTGGCACCCGTCCAGCAGCGTCGAAGTCGGAAGTCCAGAGTACTACAGCAAACAAATGTACAAGCAGGGCACCAAGTGCTGGAACGGCCCGCACCGCAGCGTCATCGTGAGTGCCCGCCCATAGCTGCCTATCCCACCTGCTGGGATTGATCGTTGTTTTTCCTGCACAGTTGCGCCTCGTGTGCGGGACGGAGAACGCAATACACACGGTGGAGGAGTTGGAGAAGTGCGAGTACCAGTTCACGGGGACGTCGCCTGCGCTGTGCCTCCCGCTGGAGGAGGGCAAGCTAGAGAAGGACGAGCTTTAGTAGCGTGTGTATATATATTTATGGAGTGCTTGCGCCACACTCGCGCCGCGCAATACAGCAGATGGCGACTGAACATATCATATCTCAGCCCTTCGGGCACTATCTGAGACAAGACATGGCGGTGAGAAATGTCAAGAGAGTGACACGGGAGCGACAGGTATCCCAGTATCGCATGGGGCCTGCAGGCGGTGATGGCATCGGGGGTATGACTCAAGACTTCTTCAATGAGTCAAAGATACTGAGGCATGCACGACCAATCCGCAAATCCATGCGTTGCAGGATGCGAGAGTACTTGTCTGGGACAAGCTGTCCCTATGAAGCCTCCCACAATCCCAAGCAGCTTCTTGTTCAATGCTCCAAGTACATCATTAAACGGGTCTGCCAATACCAACTTCACGAAGCTGTGTATGTATCCTGGATTCCATATCGTATCATGGGGGTAGAAGAAAAAACAGGAGCCGGGGACGTATATCGGATCAAGCGCTTAATTCATCGACCGACGAAGCATGACACCAGAATGCCTCCTGAGACGGGACCGACAGCGAATGAAGCGGAGCATCGAGAGGACCGCTACAAACCCAGCATGCGCGCCGTCAAAAGTGCTCGTCGCCGCGATCGCCGTCAGGGTCAGAGTCGCGCCCTCCTTCGTCAGAGTCTGGCGCTAGGTCCGCTTGGAGCTGTGTGCATCGAGGAAGAACGAGCCAAAGGACAGCCAGCCAGCCGTTGTTGCGCCGCGCGCCGTGAACGCCTAAAGCAAGCTGCGAAGCGAGGTGCTTGGCGCTGCGCGTTGATGCCGAAGCCACGAGAAATGAGTCATTCTCTGTCATCCTACAAAGGACAAGCGTGCATAACAGAAGAAGTGCACAACTACCGAGCGCGAAGACACGCGAAAGCGAATCCTAGAGATGACGGATCTGCCGAATAAGATCCAGTGTCGGCGTGCGCAAAAATAATGGCATACACGGCCAACGAATGAACATACAAAATTTTACATACCAAAGAACGGAGCCGAAAGGGAGGGAGACAAAATGGAAGATTGGAATGTGCATGGTGAAAAGTGCAAAGGTAATAAACCCGATAATGATTGCCATCACAGTGCGTCGAATCAAAGGTCTTTGCGTAATGCACTCTCTGTCCCGTCGTCAAAGTGTTATCTGAGTGCCTTCGAAACTGGTGCTGCATTATGTGAGGAGATGGGCACCTTTTAACCTGACGCACTTTGAGCCTGGTGGAGCAAATTTAGGAAATCTAGATTAAGAGTGGTGCGGTCAGATAGGTTGTCCCTAGAATTGAACAATTTACACACCGTGTGGACCCCCAAACGGCGTGGCATTGGCAATTTCTTCACGGGCCTCTGACTCCCGCAATGGGCCTTCGTTTCGGAGGCATCCGTACTATTAGATACCCTGGGGCCGTGGTGTTGCGCCCATACCCCCTCCAAGTCATCCATCATCATAGTGCGCATTTGGTCTTCCACCTGTCCTTGAGTGCCATCCTTGAGGAGAGGCCGCACGGAATGTAAATTTTGGCATGGGTGCCCCTGACGTGTAGACGTTGGTCGTGAACATTGTTGTACGCGCGGAGGAAGATGTGACACCCGTAACACAGGAGTTTCGAGGTGGCGATGTAATCGTGAGGTCGGACCGTTGGGTTGGCGGCGAAGTGGGCGATCAGCAGGCATTCGCAGTGAACGCGGGCTGATGCGCTCAGGTGTCTCTTTTCTCTGTCCGTGACAATGGGGGAGGAGCCTTTGCTCTTCAACATTTCCAGTAACGGCTTGACGGTCCCTTCTCGCCATTCCTCATCAAGCGTCGTTTCACGGACAAGATCTGGAAGCTCCGAATACTTTTTCTCAGGCGTACCTTTATCGGATGAACGACCCATGTCTTTTGAGATCTTGTCGATCACCTCGGGGCGGTTCTCGCAGAAGACATGAAAACGTGGATGATAGAGGTCGGCATGGAAGGCAATGTCCGTGGAGGGAGGTACAGAGATGATTTCCAGAGGTTTTGAAAGGAACAATTTGTACGTTCGGGAGTGAGCGGCTGAAAGGAGGGTTTGGTGACAGCGCATGAGCGAGAAGGTTTTCTCGAGATAGGGTCGGATGGGAATAAAAAGTCGATGATGCGACAATTCCTCTGTGTGGTGGCCATCAACATATGCAACAGGAATGGGAAACGATGAGGCAAGGGAGAGATAGTCATACCAATGCGGTGTTGAATAGAATCCCCAAGAGGGAATGATGGGAATCAAGGTAGGGTCGAAGGCCTGCCGAGAGAGCCAGGAAAGCAGTGTTGATGCCGACGAGCATCGTATCGTTTGGGCAAGTGTTGGTGACGACCGTGCGAACGGACTAGAAAGAATCCAGAAGGTACTTGCAGAGCTTGTGTCGTTCCGGCTGCTGAGTTTCTGCGCTGGATTCCACCATGAGCTTCAAACCGTCCAAGAGGCTATCCATTCTTTTGTGAATGCGGGCACAAAACTTATGCCAAGAGAAGCGGTAGATCTGAGCAGCGAGCTGACGCTCCCATTCACGAATCTCCTTGTCAGAAAACGCACGGGTGTTGGCCTGGGGAGAGGCAAGGTGGAGAGGAACCCGGTTGCTGATTTGGCGTATCAATACCCAGATGGACGAGAGGTGGTCGCTGAGCTGGGTGGACACGCCAGTGTCACAGGCGACGAAGAGCTTCGTCCTGTCTTGAGTGTTTTCAAGAGCGACGGCAGTGGGATGGCTGTCGGCCTTTTCCACGCTGATGGAGGCAAGCGCATTGAGAACGGACGGGAACAACTTGGGAGAGGTGAAAGCACTGTTAGTCGGGGTTCGAGCAAGGCGGCCACTCGGCGAGACATGGAGAAGAAGGACGGGCAGAATGGATTCGGGAGCGACGGGCAGGTGGTCCGAGCAAGACAGCGCCCTCGGAGCCAGAGCCGAGCGCGAGCCATGTCTGCACGCGCACTCACCCGCTCCGCTCTCAGACCCTCCAGCCCGCTCTCTCCTTCCTCTCTTCGTCGCGCACCGCGCCCCTGCACACCCAGGACGTACGCGACAGAGGCACACCCACGCCCAGTGCCCAAGCCCTCCAAGTTCGGCCAGCCGACATTCCAGAGCCACCCGCACCTCCGTGAGTCTCACTTTGCCGCGTCGTGCGAGACGAGGGGCTGAGTTGAGTGTCTGCCATCTCTTCTAGTGAGGAGCCATGAGCTGACACCGGGCATACCGGCGTCGGAGTACGAGCGGAGACGACGCAAGCTGATGGACGGCCTGCCCGACGGGAGCCTGGTAGTCTCCGTGTCCGCGCAAGTCAAATACATGAGCGGAGGTGCGCCTTGACGTTCTTCATCCGAAAAAATATTCCTCTTGACCGCCATATCGTGCCCAGCGATCTTGTGAGTGACCACGGCATGGTATACGTGCGCGCCGTGGGCTCGCGTGCTGACTCCTCGCAAGCTACAAGTTCCGCCAGGCGTCCGACTTCTGGTACTTGACAGGCTTCGAAGAGCCCGACTCCGCCGTCGTCCTCAGTGCGCCCTTCTCTGCCTTTCCCTCTGCTCCCTCTCACCCACCCCACGCGGAGAACAGAGAAAGACAGCAGCGCGCGGGGGTACACAATGACCCTCTACAGCCTCGGCTACGACGCCCACAAAGCGCAGTGGGACGGCACCCGCACGGACTTCTCCTCCATCGTCGACCTCTTCGGCGCCGACGACGCGCGCCACACGCAGAACCTCGCCGCCGACCTCAAGAGCCACCTCCTCTCCGCCTCCACCGCATACGTCGACCTCCCCTCGTCCGCCTCGAAGCGCCCCGCCCGCGGCTCGTACAAGTTGCTCATGAAGTACCTCTCCGGGAGCGAGGCCCCGCGCGGCGTCTACGAGACCATCCTCGACGGGCTGACCGCGCCCAAGTGCAAGCCGCTCGCTCCGCTCGTCAGGGCCCTGCGGGGTATCAAAAGCGAGTACGAAGTGGAGGTCATGCGCCGCGCGGCCGAGATCAGTGGCAAGGCCCATGCGAAGGTGCGAGCTTCTCCTTGTCTGCACACGACTCTACCCTGGATGAGTCCCATGAGTCCCCGCACCCCCGGACGCGATCACATTTTCCTCGCGCCGGTGTGTATGGCGACGGGTCGTTAATCTCACGTGCAGACTATGCGCCTTGCAGAACCAGGCGTGTCCGAATCTCACCTCGCCGCCCACTTCGAGTACCTGTGCGCGCGCAGCGGGTCTCAGCGCCCGGCCTACGTGCCTGTCGTCGCATCCGGGTAAGACGCGCTACCTTCTTTTCTCGCGAGCGTGAAGTTTACGATACCACGCGAGCAGTGAAAACGCGCTGATCATACATTACACGCACAATGACCACCTTCTACGAGAAGGTGAACTCGTGCTGGTCGATGCTGGCTGCGAATACAAGTGCGTGCCATCTTCCATCCGTTCACCCGTGATTCGATTGACCACACCTCCGACAGCGGCTATGCGTCTGACATAAGTAGGTTCATCCCTTCCCCAGCTCCACGTTCTTGATATTCCCTGCCGCCCAACTCACTCCACGCCACAGCCCGCACATTCCCGGCCTCCGGCACCTTCACCCCTCCACAGCGCGACCTCTACGCCGCCCTGCTCTCCGCCCAAAAATCCCTCGTCGCGCTCTGCACGGCCGCGCACGGGCACTCCCTCGACGACCTTCACCGCCAGTCCGTGAGCACGCTGCGCAAGGAGCTGCAGCAGATCGGCTTCGACCTCTCCATGCGCAGCGGGCTGCTCGAGCGCGTGCTCTACCCGCATTACCTGTCCCACCCCATCGGCATCGGTGCGTGTCCGCTCCAGCGCTCGCGTTCGTTCGTCCCGCGCGCGTTTCCCGTGTCTCATGTTTCATTCGAACGCGCTCGCGGCGCCTAGATCTGCACGAGTCGGACACTTTCCATAGGAGCGAACCGTGCGTACATGATGCCCTCGAGGCGCAGTCTCCTCCGTGTGCGTGCGGTCGCTGACACCGCGTATAACAGGCTGAAGGAGGGGATGGTCATCACCATCGAGCCCGGTGCGCGTCCCATTTTTTGTGCGAACACAACCCCCGAATCGATGTCTCACTGCGACCCAAACAATCTCAGGCGTGTACGTCCCTTCTGATCCCGCATACCCCAAACACTTCCACGGCCTTGGAATCCGCATCGAGGTAAGTCTTGCGAGTACTCGCATGCAACGATTTTCTTTGACGCAACCTTCGAAAAGGACCAGGTCCTCATCGGCAAGAACGACCCGGTCGTCTTGAGCGTTGCGGCCCCCAAGGAGGTTCGTTTGCACCCCGAGGCTTTATGTAGCTGCTCAAACGTTCACGCGCACGATCCGTGCTATTTGCCTTATAGATCGCGGACGTCGAAGGTTCATGTCAAGGAGTCTTGGGCCTTGAGCCATTTTAAGGACGTCGATATTTGAGATAATTAATCTGATGCATGATTTACGCGCAACAGACGTGATGCAAGGCCAGCGTGTCTCTATGCCATGACCAAAAAAACATTCCCCCGCCCAAGGCAACCACAACCGCTCTCCGTGTTTCGAGCCCACTGAATTCAAGGAAAGCGTTCTGTCTCACCAGGATATTCTCTGTCCGCGTCAGTTCGTGTGTGCATCGGCAGTTGGTGTTTCCGCAGAATGCAAGGCCTGCAGGATCTGCTCCTGGCGCAGCCATTTCTCGGCAGGAGTGAAGTACCAGGACAAGACCGCGAAGACGGTGACCGTGCCGAAGATGACGCAGGCGAAGTTGAACGATTCGGCATCGACGGGGAAGAAAAAGGGAGAGATCATAACCTGAAAGAGGCTCCGTCAATCGCGGAACCCTCATAAAAAGCAGGAAGATGACAGACAGCAAATATGAGCCCGTTGAACAACGCAGTGGCCAAGTACATCGGCATCGCGAACTTTCCAAGGTAAAAGTGCGATGACTTGAACATGTGCGGGGTCATTGTAAGGCGGAGCAAGCCGATCAGGCCGTATGCAGCAATTGTGGGCACCCCCCCGGCGGAGACGAGGGACGTAAATGCGACTTGACTGGGAAGAATTGTGCACAGCAAGACAGCCCCAAAGACGAACATGACGGTCACCGCGTTCTGCGGCTGTCCATTTGCATTGACGCGTCCAATCCAGTGCGACATGGGAAGCACACCGTCACGAGCGACGGCAAAGATGAGCCTTGAGGCTGCCACGACAGCAATACTTGTGTTCTGAATCGAACTGGTGAGCGAAAACTCATAATTTCATGATGAGCAGGGCGAACCATGATCAATCCCAAAACAGCGATGACGGTCATGAAGATACTGGATTTTTTGCCAAGAGCTAATGCATATATTTGGACGAAGGGCTGAGGAGCATCAAGAGCGAATACTGTGTCGAGGTCCGGCGTGCAGAACAGGAAAAGAATGGTCGTGATGAAACCAAGGACGCCAGTGGCTATAACACTTGACAATATGCCGCGGCCGGCGACAACGCTAAAATTGCATGTGTAAGTCTCGAGAATTGTGGTGTGCGTAGGTGATTATACCTAGCGTTCTTCGTCTCCTCAGCGATATGACCAGAAGCATCAAAGCCAGTCATCGTGCCAGCAGTGAACAGGCTAAGTGGATATGGTGAAACACGCGAAGCAAAAGCAAATAAAAATCAATGCGTACAATGACAGTATCCAATTCCACCCTGCGGGGGCCCCAGTTCCATTGTCTGTAGCGCTCAGGATCAGCACCATAAAGAGCAAGAAGAACGGGGACTTACACGTCATAGTAAAGACGTCCTTGGCCGAACGGAAGCCGTATGTATTATGCGTAGCAATGGGAAGCCAGATTAAACATAGGAAAAAGTCGACCATCATCAACCCAACGGAGAATTTGAAAACCTTGGAGTACCATCGAGGAGGCAAGTAGTTAATGGCGATGGATATCACCAACATCGCCTCAGAAATTGCCCAAATCAAGGCGCGCCATTTGATGTTGTCGTTGCCAACGCCTCCCGGGTAGTCGACCTCCCAAACCGCAAGCTGTGACACGATATAGTTTGCGGTGGTCTGAAACAGATTCTTTAGCGAGTATCGAAGTATAGGTAAAGTGAGATGCAAACCTGACAATTGCTGGCAGTGAATGTCATCCAAGCGGTTGTCGACCACCAAGCAACAACAAAGCCAAAAAATCTGGCATATTTTGGACCAGCACTTTCGGCGGCCCAGATGTAGATCGACCCGCTCAAAGGTAAGGCAGAACAGATCTCGGCCAGAACGGCAGCAGTGATGAACATGAACACCATACTGATGACGTATGACGACCTTTGAAACGGTTAGAAGTTTTCAGCCGATCAACATCTAACGAATGTACCATATCGCAGCCGGTCCCCCAGCGAGTAGTCCCAAGAAGAGTGCAGATCTAAATAGAGATTGATCAACCTGGTATTTGAAAAGCGGTTGAAATACGATTCCTACCTTACACCTCCAATGAAGTTCAAAGCACAGAAACTTGCTGCAAAACTTTCGATCAAGTGCCAGCTCCGGTGAAGTTGCTAGAAGAGTGCAACAGGTCATTGAAGGTGAATCGCAAAAGGGTCACACAGACGAACCTGCTTGTATCCGAGGCTTTGCTAACAATCACAAGAAATGGTCAAACGTCAGTACTTCCATTACAGCTCCCTCTGATGAGAGGGAGAGAAAATAATAAGTGTGACACTGGGGGCTTCCCTACGCAGGTCTGAGCGCTGATCAGGTTCAAGCGGTATAATCTCAACCTCTGTCACGTTTTCGAAATCCACAGACGAACAGGCCGTCATGCAAAAATCTCAAACATGAGCAGAGATACCCGCAGCCATTCCAGTTTCACCACTAGAAACAGACGTTACCGATTGAACGATAGTGTCAAACGCTGTCAGCAATCTCGTCGCCTGCTTGGTCCGTCCCGTCAGCTGCCCAACTGCGTTATTACCAGCTGAATCTCGTCTTGGTCGAGCGATGAGGCCTCTTCATGGCTGCTTTTGCTTTGAATAGATGGTGCGGACATGATGGGTATGGTAAGGTCGCGAGAGGAAAATGACAAGTCAAATCCTGAAAAGTGACCGCAGCGCTTAGATAAGATGATGTAGGATGACGCCGAATGTCGAATTTGCCACATACTCGAGTCTGCTACCATTGACATATTGACATTCGTATCTCTCATAGTAGACCATCTAGGTACATACAAGATACAGTCCGCCAAGGTGAGTGATGTCAGATCTCACTCACGACTCACAGTATAGTACAGAAGTACGGAAGCGTCCAAGAAGTCAAGAATCGTCTTCGTTAATCAACTCATGCAATCCTGCCAGGCGCCGCTCAAAAATGGCTGTGAACGGATCGGGGGAGTGTAGGACGCCTCCCGTAAAAGCAAGTGTATCAATGGGTCGGGTGGGATCCTGTAAGATCCGGAAGGACCAAAGGAGCAAGGCGGTATTGATAAAGAGAGAGCTGTCGTACACGACACATCAGTATGAATAGAACCCACGTAGAAAGAAGCACGAACTTCATGGCAAAATACTGGCCCGGACAAATCCTGAATCCAAACCACTAACTTAGTGGATGTGGACGGAACATCGTGTACCAAACGGCTTACCGTCTCCCAAAGCCGAAGTTTGGAAACTTGAGATCTTTCCTGACTTGTCCCTGCTTATTCAACCAGCGTTGTGGATCGAATTTCTCTGCGTCCGCGAAGAGTTCTGGATCGCGAGCAAGAGACCTAGGCGCAAGAAAAAGTCAATGTCTCCGAGAAAATATCTGGAACTACAGTGCTCAGAACTACCAGTTATTCGGAAGTAAGGTCGCGCCGGCAGGGATTCGGTATCCTTTCTGTATATCGAAATATAGATATTTAGGGAAGGATAAACCTAGAAATGGGATACATACATAGATAATTTCTTCGGTGGATCTGTGTTGAAAGCCGGAGAAAGATCCAGGACGCCACCGGAACGACTCGAGAACGAAGGCCTCAACTTGTGGTAGCAGGTCTACATCGCTGAAGGATGGAACTATGCAAATTACATGCACGGGTCAAACGGACCGAACCCCGATGGTAGATGATAGATGATCCTCACGTCGGTTAGGGCCAACTACATCGTCCAGCTCATTCTGCACGACGGTCTGCGCATCGGGAAAGCATGCTGCCGCCATGATGACAACGCTGATGGCGGAACCCGTCTAAAACCCATCATACCGTCAACAGCTGGAGTCGGGAGGCGCTCTATGCAGACTAAAATTTACCGTTTCAGACCCGGCGCCAAACATAGACCCAGCCAGGTATGCAGCCTCGTTATCCTCGAGTTCTAGCTCGTCTTGACGTTCCACGAGGTACTTCCCGAACGACGGTGGAGCCTTCTTTGAAGCCTGATACACCATATTGATATACATTGGTCACTGAGATCAGGGCGATAGACGTACGATGTCATCTCGGGTGGTTTGCATCTGCCTTCTGAACAGAGCGAGTTCTTCGCGATGATAGCCCCTGAGCTGTTTGCCATAGAACGGGACAGACTTGAGCCAAGGTAGATCGTCGACAACGTGTGCTCCTGGTCGAACAGCGCGCCCAATGCGCACCAGGCATCGACTGATAAGCGGAATGTCAGGGTCTTCTGGGTGACTCGGGGAAGGTTTGCCATAAGTAAGAGAAAGAATCACAGAGGCTGCATATCTATGAAAAGAAACAGCTTGAGTACGCCAGGGGTTAGATCAGAGTCGCAATTCACCTTCTGGCATGCTTGCGATGTCCTTCGGGGTTCTTGAGAATATCGCGTATCAAGACCTTGGCGTTGAAAAGCTGGAGAGGCTCGTATATAGGCACAAGCTTCGGTTGCAAGTGACTGTGCAGTGCTCTGTCCGCATCGCGCGTCAATGAAGATATTCATCGCAAAAAAATATCATACTGGGCACATACTTGCGCAGCTTGCGAAAACGATCTCCGACGCCGATCAAAAGAATCCTCATGTTTCCTGACATCATTTCTCCCGCTGCGACGGTACGAGGACGGTCAGCAGAGTGTATGCCTTCTTTCTCCAAGATCTCAGCGGCAGCCTATCAAGGATACATCATACATAAGATGCCGCAAACAGCGAGAATCATGCAGCCTGCTCTACCTCGTTGTTGGCGATGACGATCACGGTGCGGCGACCACTTCTGAGGCTGTATATAGGACCATACTCTTGCGCCCACTCATGATACTTCAAGTAGTCCCTTCACGAGGTGACATCAGTGGCAGAAGCTGAATTACATCCGACAACAACAACATAAGGCTCACTTCGTCTCGGGAATGATGTTACCCCATAACCAATGACCAGGCGGACCAGGCGGCAAAGGCAGTTTGGTTGCTCCGTGTTTCCACCATAGCAAGAAGGCCACGGTTCCAAGTATGAAGACAGCAAAGGGCGGCTGCAGTGTCAGTCCAGCAGAGAGTGTTTCGAACATGGTGGGCTGTGGCAAGGCGAGACGCCCATCAACCCGCTTCCTGAACTGGCAGACTTGATCTGAGGTTATATAGGGTATTCAAGAAGTCGGGGCGACTTTGAGCCTCCACCCGAGGGAAATCGGGATATGTCAGGCTATAGTTTAGGTTTCTCAGCTTGAAAAATCAATGGGAATTGTACACGGGGCCATGTCATGGCGAGACGGAGTGAGAACTGGACCACAAGGTCAAGTTCAGTCCCAACGCGTTTTACATAATTGATGTGGGGAACCCTGGCCACACTGGCGGTCCTGCAGTCTTGCTCACGACCGCTGCATGGACAAGCAACGAGAATATGGTTCCGTAATATTGACTTGGCTGTATGTATAGATATGACGAGCATGCGTTCATGAGACAATGCAAACGGGCGGGAGCTAACTGAACACAGAAGTTATGGCGGAAAGAGAGAGGAACGAATCATAAGCCAGAGAAGCAGATGCCGATTACGAGGTGAAGGTGCTGGATTAGTAAGATAAATCCACGACTGTTATGTACTTCGACTCAACGGGAGCACCGCACAAGGGCACTGTCCGAGAGTGTGATGCGTTCGAATGCAGGATTATAAGACGATTGCGAGAATGCTAAAAAGTAGGTTGAATGAATGATAACCACGGAGCGCCATGATCAATGCTAGGCCGAGAAGTGATGGAAGGACAGGTAGTGAACAAGGTGTACAGGCGGAGACAAGATGCACGATCTATTCCGCCAAGCCAACCGAAGCGGTTGTTCAACGAAACAAAGACGCACCGCCTCGACCATCTAAGGGCTCGCCATGTGGTACTCGCCATACCGCCCGTCCACACTTGCGCGCCGGCTGGCGCTCACGCTCCCCTCATCTGCATCAGTATCCTCGCTCGTTGAGCTGTAGACGCTCCGTGCGTCCGACGAGGTGGAATATGCTGGCCGAATCGTAGGCTCATCGTCCGTCGAGCCATCAAGGCTTGCGTCAAGGCTTGCGCCATCGGTCTCAGTCTCGGTCTCAGTCTCGGTATCGACGTCCGAGTCAACAAATGAAGCTGCTGAACGCCGTGGGCGGACGGACGGGGTACGAGGGCCGGCTATGTCAGCGTGCGCAGGCGAATTCGAGTTTCGCGAAAAGGATTCGGATACACGTCCACCGTATGCATCGAAGGCTCCCATCGTCCGTATAGGTGCGGATGGCACATCGGTGGCGGTGGTGGATGGAATACCGGATTGATGTGGGTCAGGGAATGTAGACGTGGAGGAAGATTGTGAAGGCAGGGAATGTGTTTGAGAGAACAAGATGAGTTGCTCTGCGTAATGCTGCATCTCCTCCTCAGAGATCATCAGTCGAAAATCGTTGAGCAGAAGAAACTGCAGCTCTAGCGAATTTAACTCTGCCTGGGGCAGCCCGCCGACCTGTCAACGGGAACGATGTTAGAAATCGGTATGGTGTGGGGCAGAAGCGATTCGCTGTGGGGACAGACCTTGGCATAGCGCGAGTTAGTGTAAAAGACATCACTGAAAAACTTGCTTGCTACGGTGACGCCGGCGATGACAAGACGGTGGATATTATACGAGTCAATGACAAATGTCTTCCCTGTAGCTTCGTTTGCTAGGCGAGCCATTCGGTCGAAGTAAACAAGTAGAGAGAGGAAGACCTCATTCGTGGTTGGACAATATTTGAGAATGCGGAGCAGGTAGGCTTCTAGAGAGATGGTGGGAATATTGCGGGCATGGAAGGTAAGTGAAGAAGAAGGGGTAGCCAGAGCGTCTTGAGATGCCTCAGCAAGAGTTCGCCATATAGGCCGGAGCTGTAGTTCTGAGAGCGGGATGTGTGTGGGCTGTACAGAAGATGAGGAGGATGAATGAGAGCCTGTGTAAGGGTTGTCAGACGGAAGATTGTCGTTGGCGGCTGCAATCTGTGTAAGCAGGGAAGCAAGCAGGCGCAGAAGGTCCTGGGATGGGTACAAGTGGATGTCAAATCCTGACGCAGCTTCGGGCGGCTGGTCCGTTCTATGTTGGATGGATGAAGGCGAGGATTCGGCTGGAGATGCTTCAGGCAACGATGGCGGTGGCACCACAGTGGAATGGGGTAATGAGGAGTGAGAAGACGCCACACTGAATGGACGGCTGGAAGAGAAGGTAGATTGTGCAGTAGCAGAAAAAGAAGACGAAGACGAAGAGGAGGAAGAAGAGGACGAGGAAGCGGGATGCGATCTGCGGGACGGCTGTCTAGAGACGGGGCGAGGAGAAGGGTTGGTGTGAATGAGTTCGTGCTGGATGGGATGGGCCAATGCAAGCATTGTTGGGCAACTGAGGTGCTGCGGGATGTCTGTTCGTGAAGATGTGGGTGAACCGATGTAGAATAGAAAAGAAAGCCGTCGAGTGGACTGGTGTTGATCGGGGGGAAAACGCAGTGGGTGCGGCTATTAGTGTGCCAATCAACGTGACCGTCACACATACGTAACACGCGCTCTGAGACAATTGGCCATCGCACCGCCAGTCTCAGTCCACGCGGCCCGCTGATCTAGCTACCAACAAGACGAGAGTACGCTACATGTTGGCCGTGCATTCATGCCAGCTCCGCCCCAAACTTCTCCAGCCAATACTCCTTCACTGACTTCGCCTTTTCCCGAAGCCCGTCTGCGATCGCCATCTTCGGAAGGTCGTTCAGCTCAGACAGCTGCACGATGGTGTGCCAAAGTCGACTCGACTAGCTTTGTCCTCAGCATCCAGTTCAAGGCATGCCAGTTCGTGAATACACACCTTCAGAATCTCTAACGGCACATTGCCTTTGATTCTGTCGATGTCCTTCATGGTATTGCGTAAACCCTTCCATGTCTGTCCAAGAGTGCATTGAGTAATCGAGCGACGATCCCCTGTGGAATCCATTCACCTCAGAGTCGATCGCCGTCTTTCCTTTGGTGACCCTCTTCAGAGCAAAAGCCCATTCCAATGCCGTGTCCTTGTCGATCGGTGCCACGACTTCGTCCTCTTCTTCAATCCGACGTCTCTTGCCCTCTCGTTCACTACTGAAACCTCCGTCAGTGGCAACTGAACGGTCCACGTTTCTTCGGGCTTCCGCGTCCTCGCTGCGCGCGCGCGATGTAGCTGAGCTAGTGCCTATCGTGATCGTGATGGGCGTCCTATTTCCACTGGTGGGAGGCTTTGCTTTGGGCTGTGGAAGTAAGATATCATCAAGTGCTACAGTCTCTTTGAGACCGTTCTTACCTTCCTAGGTTTCTTTCCAAAACCGCGGTCAACTTTACCAGGTCCGAACATCCTCTCCATCCTCTCAACGTACATATCCGCAGGTGTCTGCTGAAATCTCACCTTCTTGACATCGCTTGTAGCAGGTTCGACCGGCTGATTCGTATCGTCAGACAAGTCTTGTCCCAGCAGCAAAATAACCGTATCTATCGTCATTCTCTCCGGAGTATCTTCAATAGACCATTTGTCTCGCTTCAGCTGCCCTTTCTCTCGCACAGGCATCTCAACGGTCTCCAAGAGGCTATCGAACTCGTCTTCGTCCACTTCGCGCGCTTTGGGTATCCTCAACAAGATCGTGGACGCTGAAGTAGGCTCATCCGGGGTCTGAATGTGGCGCCCGGACTTGCGCGGGGCCATGAGGCGTGAGGGGCTGACGGTGGGCGGCCGTGGCATGTACGCTGGCACATCATTCGCAGAGAGCTTGTTCTTCGCGAAGACTGCGCTGAGCGCGTTGACAAGGCTATGTCGGGGAGTAGTAGGAGATATATGATGAATAGGAGATTTCTGAACGGGGCTATTGGGTTCCGTATCGATCTCGATGACCGATGAAGGAGTAGATGGGACAGATGTAGATGTGAGAGGCTCGAATGTAGTACCAATATCTGTGGACGGTCCTGCATCGGTCTCAGTAGGAGGCTCTGGATCAATTACCCGTGCTGCCCTGCTGCTCTTGTGAGCACCGGGCTCAGCATCAGAAGAAGATTCGCTGGGTAACCTCCTGTGTAATCGTCCTGGTCTACGCGTGGCTGGGCGCGGGAGTGACTCTGCCTCTGACGTGTCCTTGCCAGCACTGTCCTTACTCCCTCTCTCGCGAGTGTCTTCCAGCTCGCGGTGGTTCTGCTGGAACGCCGAATGCAGTACCCGCGCGAGTTGCTCGCCGTAGTTCATCTCCTCCCGTGTCCTTTTCTGCCCGCGCGCCCTTTCCCTTCCCCTCTCCCTCATCTCAGGACCCTCGGCGCGTCTGATGGACGCGACTGTGGGAAGCTCGACTCCATCGAAGACCATTCGCACGCGTGGCGGTGGAAGCTCGGATACTTGAGACGAAGGTTCGGCCGCCTCTTGTGTTGAAGTCTGAGATTGAGTCAGCAAAGGGTGGGAGATATTTGAGGACCCAAGGCCATTGAGTGCAGCGACCAGAGGTATCGAATTTAGAGAACCAGAAGCCAAGGGCTTTCTCTTGGGCTTGACCGGGGGAATCGCGGGCAGCCTCGGGGAGAACACATCAGTGTCATAAGCAGAGGTTGCGGCGCGTTGAGACTGGTCCATGCGTGTGTGGCGTGACTTGTGCTTGCCCTGTACTCCCTGACCCTCACCATCTACTTCGTCTTTAACCGGCTCCGCGAGAGGCGTCCAAGTTGGCAAGTCTGCGTATGGCACCCGAGCGGGCGAAGTGGCTCGGGTCGGAGTGTGGTAACGATTCTTATCACCCCCTTCGCCGGCCATACTTATAGAGATCTCCCGAGCTGAAGACAAGATGCATGTTGTTAATACCGATGCAAACGCGATGTACCATCAAACATTCACAGTTCTGCTCCTCCAAGGGTCCCGAGAACAGCTCAGCTGAGGCTCTGAGAATTGCACTTGTGGGTGGCATTATCCGAGGTCGGTTAATGCTGCTCTGTAAGGCCATAATATAGAAGTTCTTGAAAGCTTTGGTCGAAGACTGTTCATTGCTTTATTTTGAGATTCTTATCAATATTCAACAACTTAGAATAGTCACCAGTTATAAGGCCACTCCTATACAGCTGTAGGCAACAAATGATAGAGCCTTGAGATAGAAAGGTTGAAGTATATCAAGTCAAGGGAAACAAACTTGAACAGTTCAGACTAAGAGACTCACAAAATCTGGGCAAGTATGGATTATAAGAAAGAAGAGCATATATATATTAAGCTGTTTAAATCTATAATCATATTGATTATTGTTTGTGAATATTTACACTTGTAAAACTAGACAAATATGTGCAAATATATACAAGCATCACCATAGCAGAAACATGGTTATTGTTAGGCATAGACATATCTGGTCTTTCTTAGTTCTGCTGCTCCACTTAGACTCCAACAAGGGCTTTATAGGAGACTAGCTAGGCTCACATGTTGTGCTTTTGGTGGGGTATACCAAATGTGTCAATCAACTTAGCCAAAATTTTATAATTTAGTTCTTTTCTAAATTCCTCTGATCTCTAAATTCATTACCTCTCTACTATATAAGCATAATTTTGGATTTTGATATATACTATTATAATAAGAGTATGTATATAATCAACCAAATAAATAAGAGAAAAATATTTTTTATTACTCTTAATATAAAAAGGAATATTGTCTAAGTTAGGGATTAAACCAGTAGCACAAAAAGACCAAAACCAAACTTGATAGCTTAACTATTTAGCTATAAGGAGCATAGTAGAAAAAGTCAATGTCTAAGATATATGCATATTTTGAAGGTTACTAAAATTCCCTTTAAGATTTTGCTTCTGACAAACTTTGTGAATAGGTATAATAGTATTTAATTACTATTATGGTTAAATATAGTGATTAAACCCTACTTAGAAAGCTTAGTCATAGATAAAATTCTGTTAACCCTTAAAATATATATGTATTTTAGTCATTGATTTTTACTATTGTGCTCTTGATGGCTAAATAGTTAAGTTTGGTTTTGGTCTTTTCATGCTACTGGTTCAATTCTTGCCTATATAACTTTTCATATTATGGAATGATAAAAAATGTTTTTTATTTATTTATCAGGTTAATTGTATACATACTCTTATTATTATAGAATATATTGAAATCCAAAATTATATTTATATAGAAAAGTAATGAGTATAAAGGTAGAAAAAAGCTAAAGAGAAACTAAATGACAAAATTTTGGCTAAGTTGATTAATATATTTGGTATACTCCACTAAAAGTATAATAAGTGAGCCTAAATAGATTAGAGCTAGCTTGGCTTGTCCAGCTATAATAACTCTAACAAAAACATGACATAGCTATTCAAAGCCCATCTGGCCTATTTTACTTGGTAAGTATGAGGCTAGGTTATCATAGGCTTAAAATAGCAGGCTCTATCCAAATTGTGCCAAATAAGTCTAGCTAGTCTTTTATAAAGCCATAAAGCAGCAGAATTTGAAAGATTGGCTATATCTAAGCCTATATCTAAGCCTACAATAACATAGGCTTGAATATAGCCAATTTTTCAAATTCTACTGCTCTATAGCTTTATGGAAGACTAGCTAGGCTTTCTTAGTATAATGTTGGTAGAGCCTACTATTTTAGTCTCTCAACTTAGCAAAATTTCTATTATTTACTTAGCTATAAATTCCTTTTATTATTCTGCTCTTATATTCTTACTCTTTTTTTGTTATGAACTGCTTGTTTGGTAACCCTAAGAGTAAGAGGTTTTTCCCTAGGTTACTTAATAGAAAAGAGTGGAACAATAGTCCTGACTATATATGTAGCACAAAAGCCAATAATATTGCAAGACTACACCCCCAGGGCTTCGTAGGAAATGACAACCGATCTGTGATCCGAGCGTAGAAACCAGGAGTGATATCAGAATTAAAACTGAGTGAACTCAGACTGAAGCTGACAAACTCCTGCTCAGCATTTAACCCGGCTGAGTTCTGAGATTATGCTGAGGTGGCGGAATCTCAGACTAATCCTGAAAACCGATGCGAGAATTTTGCTGAGATGCACCTGGCCATGATATAATCTTGCTAAATCAGCATGTTCAGACTCCGCGGTTTGCGCCTGCAAGAACTATCACAACCTTCTGTGATGTAGCACCTGCCCAATAGGCTGCGATGGTCGCATGTTGAGGAGCATTCAAGAGGTGCCGCAGGACCTAGCCACGGTGTCACGCCCCATGCCGTGGCTGCCTCTCCTGGTGCGGGACCTTCAAGTATATTAAATACAATCATATAGAATACCATTCCTATACACTTTCCTGCTGCAGTATTGTGAAGGAATGCTCTCAAGAATGCCAGTATTTCAGTGGTCCGTAAGGGGAGGGCGATGTGACGAGTGTGACAAAGGGTGACGGCGCCTCGCAGGCGCCATCAGCACGTCAGCCCTTGTCTTTTTCCTCACGCATCTCCTGCCCTATGCGATTTGTCTGCATGTGTCTAGGCTCTGACACCTGATACCAATACCTCTGGACTGCCAATGTGGACTGGTACTTGGCTTGAGCTGAATCTTGGGGCTTGCTGTGGACACAATCTAGAAAATTCTCGGCTGCTGGGATCTGACTGATGGCTCTGGATTGCTATGCTCGCAGCTTGGTGACTTGGGATGTTCTGTCTGCGTGTCAACCTTGGGCTTTTGCAAGATCCACAGGGAGTGTGAAAGGCGGGCTGTACCATCTCACATTTTGTTTCACAGGTGTTGCCATGCATGGGGTTGGGAGTGATTGTGACTCGGGAGGCGGACCAGGTTTTATAGCATGTCGGTGAGTGGTGTTTCTTATCCTTGTGCCCAGCAAAGTCTCTGGACTGATGAGCAGTCCACTAGTACTGTTATATAGGTATTACTGATAGGATCGTATGAGAACATCTATCGGTGCCGTCCTTGCGCGGTAAGTAAATTTTGCACGTGTAGTAATTGGTGGTGCAATGCTAATTGTGGAAGATTGGTGGAGACTATGAGTTCTAGGATTCTGTAAGTCAGGAAGGTTGGGGTGGTCGACGATGCCAGCAAGGAGGTCCTCATGTAGTATCACAATAATGTCTGTCGATAGAGAAATATAATTTTATAGGCAATTTTTATCACACAATTAAATTAAATGATATTAATAAGAGGATATAACCCGATTGGGATTTATCTATGATGAGAGCCTAGATGGGCTGGTTTGATTCTGAGATGGTGAAGCTGAAATGATGCTGATCAATCTCAGAATAATGCTGAGGTAGTGCGATATGGAATGATTTCAGAACCGATGGTTTGTTGTGGTGTCAGTATTTGCCGGGTATCTTGCTGTGGATCTCAAACTCAGCTTTTTCCTGAGTAATCCCCTGGGGGTGTATAGTATGAGAACTGCAATAGAGTAAAGAAGTATTATAGGAAGACAATACTGAACAAAGAGAATATACTAAAGATCCTTAGCCTATTCTATAGGCCTTTTATACTACTTTGGGAAGAGTGTGAGAATACCATATATGTATACTATAGATATCCTCTAAGTCATTACTCTCTAAGAATGACTACCCTTGCTTCTGTGCTTGCCTTCTTCTGATGAGGAGGGCAAGGAGCTCTGTGCCCTATGAGTATGTATGTATAAGCCTATGTTGGCCACTTATGCAATGTCCTGTGATACTTGACTAGTGACAGGTATGTCTGCTGGGAGTAAATGACCAATGATAATACCTATACCTTAGTATATGCCTTATGATATAAGGTCACTTGATAGTTATAATGATTGTATTAGCATAGACTACCATAAAGGCCTAATAAGTCATAATCATAATAATACCCTCTTTTTTGGTCCTATTTGCTTGGTAGAACGATGCCATGTGTTTCATCACTATTCTATATACAATTTGCTTTCTTGATCCACAATATATTAACCAGATGTGACTTCTAGGATATGATTTGTTTTCTAGAAGGAAGACCAACTTACATTATTTGATCTTTTAGGGGTTGTCTATCTCTATGAAGCTATTTGTTTGTTGGCATACAAGGAGTTCTAAGCCTCTGCTCTAAGGGATGTTCTTTTTTTACCCCTTGGTTTGTTGTAGAATGCTCCTAGTTTTTCAAGCCAGATTGTCTAAACCAGTTTAGCTTCTGGTATAGTGTTAAGAAAAGTGTATGAATTTAAATAGTGGTTGTATGAGTAGAAACTCATACATGTGGGTTCAAGTTTATATCATCAATTTCTTCTTCTTTCTTTTTTGAGGGCTAAACCTTAGTGTTTCCAAGATAGTCATTTTATTCTTCTGATTGTTGTTTCCTCTTGATAGTAATGCTGAGTAGAGTCCACAAACAAGTAGTATCACTCTTATATGGTAAGCTCATCTTCAGTAAGGTAGAGTTGGCATCCAGAGTTTGTTTGTCATAAACATGGGCTTATGGTGGAGAATACCATGTGTGGTATTGGGTTCAAAGCAAGGATGTGAAGAGAATTAGACTTGAAGGACATGGTGAGGAGAGAAAAGGAGTCTGACTCCTTTTCTAGAATTGCCTGTTCACATGCAGAAATAGACATCAAGACCACAGGTGATTTATTAGTTGGGGTTGCATAGGGTATATTCATAATGCTAGTTTAATGTCATGGCAGATGATAGCTAGTTTTTCATCATTGTGGATGATTATGACTTTTGTTGTCATTGTGTAATTTACATTGAGGTTATTTTGGACCTTCTTCATCATCAACATAGAGTATCCACAAAGAAAGATATTTCTGTATACTGGATCATTATTGGTAATGTGTATAAGGCCATAGACTAGACTTTACTTTCCAAGATTCCACTAAGGCATGATGGAAATGGTTTATGCTGTATCAAACTAGATAACTTATGATATCTTAGGATTTAGAGACTGCTCAGTTTAATACTATGAGGTAGGTAACTGCTATTGTTTGACTGTTATCGAGTCACAATAGATGTTGTCCTTCAAGGATGAGGGTAGTTTACCATTATTTTGGACTTGATTGATACATTTTTATTAAAAATAATGTCAACCATGGTCCCTGTTGAAGGAGGGACAGTAGTTTAATATTATTCTAGACGTGATGCCATTTCACTCTTGAAATGACATTCCATAATCCCTGTGCTGAAAAAGACAATAGTTTAGGGTTATTGTGGACTGGTGATGGAACAACAAACTTGTCCCATAACCATGACTCCTATATTTGAAGGAGCAACTAGTTTACTATCGTTGCAGACTGATCAGGACCCAAGATTACTAATCATGACTCCTATTTGGTCAGAAGCAAGTAGTTTATCATTGTTTTGGATATATGGGGTCTTTGTGATTTAAAGACCCTATATACAATCCCTATTCTAGAAGCGACACTAATTTAACATCATTACAGATATATGCTGTTGTCTTATGATATAGATGGCACTATATGATTCTTGTTCATGAAGTGACAATGGTTTAAAATTATTTTGGATGTTAGGTAGAATAGACTTGTGAGTAAATAGCCAGTTTTTGTCATGCTTCCACAATATAAGCTAAAGAGAGTTATGTGATCTAGTTGCCTTGACTAGAAGTTTGACTTAAGGCATGTGTCCTAGTTGCCTCCTGACTAGGTCTTGGAGTGAAATTTCTTGTACTTTAACTCCAAGACTAGATTGGGCATGCTGTGAGGAGAAGCTGGCTCCTCTATGTCCCTAGACCCCTTACTTAGATTTGAACCAAGATGACCCAATATTCTTTTAAGGAAAAGTGGCAGAATATCAAAGCACTTTGACCACTTATAGGCAGGGTTCCACAACATGGATGCCTGGTATCTGCGCTTTACTAGAATGCAACCATACTTTGTGGGTCTATAGTAGTTTGATGTCATCTCGGATAGGGATAATTTAATATTGTTTCAGACAAGACTAGTTTTATATTATTGTGGATGCCTAGTAGTTTATAGTTATTGCGGACCAAGCCTTTGGTAGTTTTACATTGTTCCAGATATGATTTATCCCCTAATTGCTATTGGGAACAATCATTGTTTAGCAGAGGAATGGCCTCTACTATCTCATGTATTAGCAGTTAGGATTCCCTAATGTAGACATGATCCTGTAAACCTAGAGATCCAAAGTGGGATGTCCAAACACCAGTCAGACCTTGACTATGAGGGTCACTATACTAAGTTATGCATTATAAATAAGTCTTGGACCTTGGACTCTATACCAGTTATGTATGGGATCTTTCACTGTATCAATGCAAAGGGGCTGGCTTGTCAACACCCAGAATATACAAGTCATAGAGGGTTTCCTAATATAGAAAAAACCCTGTAAAACTGAGGATCCAAATGGGATGCTTAATATATTTTTCAGATTAAGCATCTGGAAAACCACTCCCTTGTATTAAGCTCTAATTAGCTATAATTAATGCTCTACTATACTAAATTATGAAAGATTAGGATTAGACTTTTTAGCTTACCCCCCCTCTAAACCTGTTCTAATTAGACATAATTTTCCTTAATTAGGAATTATTAGAATTGATTATAACTTGAAATTTCGGAAAAATCATAATAAATCAAGCATTACAGTTCTCATAGCCTTCTTATAGAGTCATATCTATTAGAGCACTAGTTGAATACCTAAACTCAGAATATACCTTATAACAAACTTGCCTTTTGCCAGAATTGAACCAACAACTTCATATATGCAAGTACCCGAGACAAATGCTCTAAGCCACTAAGCCACAAGGTCTAATATATGAACTTGGTAATCAGAATAAGTAAACATAATATAGGCAACCTCAACATCCTTGATTTTATTCAACATCTATTATTCCTCTCTCTTCTAAATAAATAGGTCAATAAATACCTAAAAAGTCAGGTCTTTCAGGATTTAGTTTAAACACCAGCTAAGAAGATAGTAAACCAATGGAAAATAAATAATATATTTTATATAGAGTAAAAACAAATTGTGGCACTTACACAATTTGGATTTAGAATGTGTAAAACTATGATTGAGTGTAATATTCAATGGGACTCTACTAGTATAGACAATGCTACCTGAATTTGCAAATTTGATCAAAAATATGGTTATAAATAATTAAGATCCAATAAGAGAGAGGGGTTTTCCAAATAGCCACTAGTGAGGTAGAGGGTGGGGACAAGGGTATATGTATGGCATGCCTATGTATAAATAAGCACAAGATTGTTAGAAATAATCTTAATATACTTGGTGCACATATTTCCTATATAACAGGCAAATATATCATTTTGGCATTACATACCAAAATGACTGTCTTTTCCACAGCCTAATAGCTAGAGAAAAACATCAAGTTTAAGCATCTCCTATATAACAAGGCAATGAACAATGTGGATGGTGCTGAAAATTATAATATTAATAGTAATGACAATTGTGTGCTGTACAAGACAGCATTGACCACTGCACCAATAGACAAGGTCTACAAGGCTACATATAGCACATCTCTAAGCCCAACCTGCATATTGTGTTCTATATTGACCAGTAGCAGGCATTGGCTAACAATGACAACTTTAATGATCTTGTGTGCAAGGCCAAGGTACTGAGGTCTTCATAGCTTCTTATGGCAGCTGCCAAGCTGCTAACAAAGTGGCTAGGGGCATCAATGCACATTTCTCTCTTTCTATGTCTCTTTTAAAGGCAAATGGAAAGTTAGCAAAAGAGCTACAAGATAATGGTGTAGGCATATATGAAGGAGAGTAATGTGCTAAAATAGTATAGAATGTGCCACATATTTACCTTCTCACTGATAGAGCAGTAGTACTTACTATTTCCTACTGCTAATTAAAG